AAAAAAACCTCTACCTCCCTAAGAAAAACCTCTACCTCCCTAAGAAAAACCTCTACCTCCCTAAGAAAAACCTCTACCTCCCTAAGAAAAACCTCTACCTCCCTAAGAAAACCTCTACCTCCCTAAGAAAAACCTCTACCTCCCTAAGAAAAACCTCTACCTCCCTAAGAAAAACCTCTACCTCCCTAAGAAAAACCTCTACCTCCCTAAGAAAAACCTCTACCTCCCTAAGAAAAACCTCTACCTCCCTAAGAAAAACCTCTACCTCCCTAAGAAAAACCTCTACCTCCCTAAGAAAAACCTCTACCTCCCTAAGAAAAACCTCTACCTCCCTAGGAAAACCTCTACCTCCCTAAGAAAAACCTCTACCTCCCTAAGAAAAACCTCTACCTCCCTAAGAAGGTATTATGACGCAGCTTTCCGGTAACGGTTTGGTTTCCTACTACTTAGTAAAGGTCTTGATTTCTATTGGAATTACTGAGGAGAAAAAGCAGTTGCAGATTAACGGATGTTTAATGATCTATAACTTTGTTATTTGTCTCACATGTGCCTCCGTTGTTCGTTACTTTAAGAGAAGAACCATGTTCATTGCCTGTGTGGCTGGTATGTTGATGTCCTATGTGATTTGGACAATTTTGTCTGCAATCAACCAACAGAGAAATTTTGAAGACAAGTCTTTGGCTAATGGTGTGCTTACTATGATCTTCTTCTACTACTTGTTCTATGATATTGGTTTGAACGGTTTACCATACTTGTACATTACCGAGATCTTGCCTTATTCCCATAGAGCAAAGGGTCTTAACTTCATGCTGTTTGTTGTTATGACTGTGTTGATCTTTAATGGCTACGTCAACCCAATTGCCATGGATGCAATTGAATGGAAGTACTATATTGTGTTCTGTTGTGTTCTCGCCGTCGAGCTTGTTATTGTTTTTTTCACTTTCCCAGAGACGTCAGGTTACACTTTGGAGGAAGTGGCGCAAGTATTTGGTGACGAGGCACCTGAACTCTCTCACAGACACCTTGGTACTGTCGACTTGAACAAAGCTTCTATGGAGCATGTTGAAGAAGTATAATGTTTATTATTGTTTGCTGTAATATGAATTTTGTAACTATCACTTGTACTACGAAAAAACTCACTTGAGGTAGAAGCATACGAGAAACAAAACAGAACTTTTGTGGTTTTGATAGTATGCGTGTGCTCAGATGTTCTATGACTTACGTCTAGATCTGCAAAAGTTCTATTTCATATTCTCTTGGGTCAAACATTCATATGCAAACATTCACAGCAATTGTTTTCTAGCTTATCATGAAAGGAAATGCAGTTTGGATTCGAGTATCGATCATTTTTCAATTATTCAAGTATAGTCGCAATGTAAGAGTCTTTCAACACTACTTACAGAAAGACATAGAATTTCTCTAAATTACGTTCGAAAAGGCGCTCAATTGAAATTATTTTCACTTCAATATTAAATTATTATTGCTTAAGGTGTCTCCTTTCTTCTCTAAGCTCTTGGATATATGTATAACTCTTCACAGTATTTAAGGTGGTTACTTGCATATCGCCGGAATTGAGACTACAGAATGTTCACTTTTCGCGCACTTTTGCGAATAATTGACAAAAAGAAAAAGGAAAAATGTACCAAAGATTCAATTACACTGAGATTGCCCTCACAAACACATTAACAATTTGAACACAAATCCGTCAGTCCATGATCCTGCTTTTTAATTTAGCTGGAGGTGACCATGATCTTCTCAAAATTGTAGTTGTGCGCCACGGGAAACTGAAATGTGGGGCAGGTTCATTCAAAGTACTCGATTAATTGGCAACGGTATTACCCTTAAAATTCGAATGGCCCACCTCTGCTCCGTACAACAAACCTTGCGAAGCTCGATGAGTGATAAATCAAATGTATTTCTACGGTTGCTGATTCGAAGTATGCTTCATTGAAAATCTTGTGTCTGCTAGGAGAGGTCCCGGATGCAGCTCAAGCCACTGTGCTGATAATTCAATTATTCATTGTATTCGGTTGAATTCTTTTACATTTTGGCATGGATGGGAGACAAAGAACTCAGGAAGAGAAAGGACATCATCTAAATTGAAAATATGTGAGAGAGATAACCAATCAGGAATGACGTCGCTACAATGGAGAGGATTGGCAATTAGAATACGATAGCATGATCCAGGATCGGAATATTGGGTGCATAATTGCGGCTTTCCCCCTAATGTAATCTCAATAACCTATAGTACCTCTCGAAAGGCACCTCCACGCATCATGACCGATAAGCTGCGTGCATGGCAATTCGAGCCATCTTGCATTTGAAATTGCATGACTGCTTCCGATTATGTTGTCTCTGCTATCTTAGCCATTGTACATGACTGTCAGCAAAGCTTTGAGGTCAGTGCTCACAAGCATTCAAGCCACAATCGGTTCTCTCACGGCCCCAGAATGCTCACTTTTAACGTTAAACCCCACCGACACCAGAGAAATTGAGGGCACGGGCTTACTCCAGACAACTGAATTGTGATGGATGGGCCATAATAATGATTTCGCATAAATTAGAAGATGATCGCCTATTGGCTATCCCTAGTTATGAGCGCTGTATAGCTTTAAGAGCCGCACAGAACTCACTCGCAACCCCATTTAAACATCGATATTTTCTCTTGTCAGTGTTTCAGCATGTTTTATGCATTTATTCTTCCCCTGGTGGTATATGCAATTATCACTTGCAACGCTCATTTGGAGACTGATGTGACAGGACTCAGTAAGAGAGATGTTGGAAGCATGACGTTCCTGTCTCGGTGGAAAGCAGATTTCCAAATCGGGTCCGAGAAGGACGACATCAGCTTTTACTTCGACTTCGATGATAGCTGGAACTATCTACCTGTGAACTTTGTTGGGTGTAATACCTCAGTGTCCGGGACCAACGAGTTTTCCAACTCTACCACCAACGCAACAAAAAACACTTGCGTGTTCTCCACTAATTTTGGTGACCTGACAAATTTGAAGTCCAGGTATAACAGCACCCTTCAAACAACCATATTGACCGACAAATTGATCATTGGCGATTACCAGGTGGACGGAGTTGACTTTGTCCCTCTTGAGTACAACGATACCATTGGATTTCTTGGACTTGGGCTGCCATACCAAAGCATCGATGACTACTACAACATCAGTGATGGTTCCCACAAAAACTTTGTTCAACAGCTTCATCAGACTGGAGTAATTGACTCTAGTATCCTCTCTCTCTGGCTCAACCCAGGAAACAAGTCGGAGGGTCAGTTTGCATTTGGTGGAATCGATGAGGCAAAATACAATGGAAGTCTTTTCCGGTTCCCAATGGTGAACTCTTTCGCCTATTTGGAACATTCAAAATTTTTGGAAATCAAGATGGACTCATTGCTGACTTCGACTATGTCATTTACTCAGCCAGTGGGTATGTCATTGAATCCAAGCGCCTTAAGTACTTGGTTTCCTCAGAGCTATTTCGAAGCTCTTGTAAATGCTCTCGGTGGGAAGTACGACGAGAAGCATGGTGGAACTTCCGTTCACAAAAAATACTTGACTCTGAACGAAGTTGTCACCTTCAAGTTCGGCAACTTTAACCTTTCTGTTCCCATCTCCTCCTTGGTGGAAGAGAGGCTGGGTAAGGTTTACACTACATTTGTTGCTGGTAATATTGCCACTTTAGGACTCGACATCCTTCAGCACGCCTACATTGCAATTGATTATGACAATAACGAGGTTGCTTTAGGACAGAGCAAAGCCAATGCCTTGGATTCGGAGAAGTTCGTTAATGCTACTTCGAACCTTAGCTCTATTCTGTTGGCATCTGGAGCTTCGGAGACTTCATTGGCAATTGAAATGCAGCTTGCTCTGCAATCTCCAGCTTTGATATTATTTGCATCCCAGAGGTCTTATGGATCACTTAGTGGCAATGCTGCATACACAGGGCCTTTGATGGGCCTTTTTGGTTTAATTGCTGGCGTCCTAATGGCCGTTTAAGAACTATATTGTTTTATAGAACGATGATAGCATTTAAAATTTATCACTGATAGTCTCACGTATTCACCACCACTGCCACAGCCACAGCCGTCGTTGCTGTCCTTTGCTTGATTAGTCTACCTTTGGAACCTAAGGTCAGAATCCTCAACACAGTTCAGCAAATTGATATCAAAATATTTGAAACCAGACAAACAATTAATAAAAGAGAAGTTGGATGATACAATTATGAATTAAGTGGAGTCTCCTATCCAGTCTGTATAGAATTTCCCAATTACTCTAACTCCTTTGGATTATTGAGTGTTCCTCTTCAAAATTGAATGAAACAATACGTGCCATTCCAAATTGATTTGGCACTTCCCAATACATGAATCGTTCAAAATGATAAACCCCCAAGCTAGAGAGAATTTGGATGATCCACTGGCTCTCAGTCAGATGCTGTACCAAAACCTAACGTATCTATGGTTTGCAATTCGAGATAAAAGAGCCAGCTCAATCAAGTAAAGAATGTTGTACCTTTGAAATACCAACAGAAATCGACCCCCATGATAGTTGCGCCTAAGTTTTTATTATTGGTGTTGGAGCCACTACAACCTCAGATTGCAACTATTGCAACAGCATAAATTCTACTGCATCATCACTAGGAAATTACACGTCGACCTTAATAGACTCTCTTGTTATTCAAGTAATCGGTGAAGTGATACTCACAATAAGTACTGCTCCAAAGTCACTATAACTCAATCATATACTAGCAAACAGTGACAAAGGCTTTTAGCAGGGCAGAAAAAAAATGTGAGCCTAGTTTCCTGTTAATGCAGGATTTATTTGCAATCGTCGTACCTGGAACGGCTCAAATATATGCGACCTGTTATGGTTTTCATAAGACTTCACTACTTTTGTTCGTAACTTGAGAACTAGAAATTAAACATTTGATTTTCCAAGACATCAAACTAATCGACAAAGCAATCAAAACATTCATCGATTGGAGACTGTCCAGCAACTCCAAAGACGATGACTCTCCAATGGATTGACTTCCTATAAGCAATTTCAGGCAAGATATTAGAGCAAAATCCTTGGGACGTGGTTCATTTGCAAGAACGGCTATTAATACTAGTAATAACAAACGAGGAAATAGGTATAATAATCCATTGAATTCTTGAAAAAGGGCCCCACTTATCTGCCCATTCAGGTTTTAATCCCATAGATAAGAAGGATTGTTTGAAAACAAAGTCAAAAATGAAGGCATTTGTATAAGCACCTCGAGACCATTGAATATTACTCGCCTCATATTACATTCGTCAGAGCCTTTGGGATAAAATTTATTCTCAGCTCTCTGGTCAAGCTGAGTGATCCTTCTCTATATCCTTGTGAGCTCTGGACTTGTTTACTCTACTCCAATGTCCAATGACCTTGACTATTGTAGCCCCGCAAAAAATATCAATCCAGAACTTTGTGAAGCTCTTCCATATGAATATTTGCTTCATAGATTGACTTCATTACTCCAAAAACTCTAAAAGTTCCCGCTCGATCGGAAATCCATAACAAGAATGCTCTATAGTAAAAGATAACAACATATTGTGTAACGACCTGAATGAATCTTATCTGCCGAGAAGTGGTCAGCTACAAAAAGAAATAAAGAACGCGAAAAAGCTGCTACTTTGCTTATCGAATTGTTATGGTTTGTATGCTGTGAGTCAGTAGATGGTTTTTCGGTCGCGACCCCTAAGCCTTTTCTTAGGAGTTCGTATCTCGATGCGATCTTTTTTCGTCAACTTTTCGGTCGCAAGCTCTACGGCACTCCCCAAAGTCATGCAAGGATTCAGGACGCGGAGAAATGTGAATGCGAGACAACTTTCCATTGAAAGTCTAGGCTTTTCTTTTCCCTATATTTCATTTAACAACGCTTGAGTATTCTCGAAACTTGTCACTTTGATTGGATCTGAATCACTTCTGATATCACTGGGAGCCAGTGTAAACAGAAGGAACAATTTTCAAGCGCAATATCAAGAATGAGAATAGCTGCAACGAAGTCATTAGCAGTCTATCTATCGACCAATTAAATTTTCGTTTGGCAGGAAACGAGAGGGGAACTTTGAGGGGGGAATGTCTGGAATTGAAGCAATTCCAGTTTTGTCCTAAATTTCCCTAAATATGTCCAGTATTTAAAAAGGTTGCGTACACAGCAATCATTTACTATAGGAAAGTATGTCGGAATACCGGATTGGGTCATTCCTCAATACCTGAGAAAGATTTTGAGATCAATTTGACTCCTTTCTTCATTTATCTTCAACTTAAAATTGGAACATAAGCATCTTCGGTCACTGACATAAGCTTGTTTCTCTCAGCTGCTAAAAGACAGCTTACGTGATTTTTTTCCGTAGCAAGAGACCAACTTCATGAAATGGGGTTTTCTCGGAATAATTGTGGATGAAATGGCATTCGGGAGATAAATACATCGCTTCAATCAGAAGTTGACGCGGCACGGTTCCTCTGCGACAAACTATGATGACTTGACGAGTCACATGGCATCTCTGCAAACCCGTCTGCAAACGATTGAAGAAACTTAGGATGGCGGCGCCTTTTTCCTGCTTCGAGGCTTATTTATCTCTATTGGGTAACTACTCCTGAAGTCGTAAGTCGTTCTTTTTGTCAGTGAAGCTTTCGCTTCCATGCGCGGTCGCATCGCCAAGCCTCAGCATTGCGTTTTCAGACAATGGTCGCACTACTTCACCTCGTATGTAAAATTTACGAAGGCGGGCATGACCCAACCGGTCTACCCTCACAAGCCTCACGTTCTCGTAATTGTTATGTGCCACTGTCAACTTATGAATTAATCAATCGGATCATTTGTACAACCAAAACTGCCAACGGATAACACTAAGGCTACTTGGCAGATGCTTGTCGTCAAAGAAGGCATATACTCTTGTTGACCCTTGAAAAGTGACTAAAGAGTCAATTAAATGGTCAAAAGATGTCCAATGTCGAAAACAAGTTACTGGAAACGGTTCTTGGCAAATGTCCAAAATGTACGACATTCTTGTCTAAAACCCAGATGATTATGTTTAATATGACGTACGGCTGCAGTGGTGCTAAATTGTGTTGTTTGCAACTGTACGGTCGAATAATTGACATTGTTTATACAAAAAAAAAAAGGTATAAAATGGAAGAACTTCCGTGATGATAGTCACTCATAGGCCAAAAAAATGATCTTTCCAACCTTCGTCGTCGGTTCTTTGATTAGTGCTACTGCCTTGGCACTCACTTACAATCCAGATTTGTTGACTAGAACCGTTTATGATTCTGAAAATGGTGGTTACACTTTAACTACTAGGACTCGTCTGGGATTCTCCCTGTTCTATGCTCTACCTTCTGTTCTGTCGGATAATAATGAGAACTTTAAAACTTTGAAGGACTTTAGTGCCTACACTGATTACATCGTCAGCTTCAACTCCAAGTATAGGACACAATTGAACTCGCTCTGGTCAGCTAATGGCTACACATCTTACGATGTTTTGGAGGCGGCTAGTAGTTTGGTAAGTCAATACGCATTGACCTCGTATAAGTTCACATTCGATGCAACCGAAACAGCACCTGTCACGGACTTTGGATCAGGATCTGGAATTGACGTTGGGACATATTCTGAATTGGACTTTGGCTCATATTCATATTCTGCTTTGGACTTTGGCTCATATTCATATTCTGCTTTGGACTTTGGCTCATATTCATATTCTGCGATGGACTTGGGATCGCTAACCGCGTTTAACTACAAATCACTTACTGCGTCAATGTTGCAGAGTTTGGGAACCGAAATTACTGAGTATGGTTTCACTCTCAATAGTGATGGGTCTATCGCTGCGCTTGATACTGCTAAAACTACTAGGGGGGGAGCTAAAACGGGTACAGATGTTTCTCAGTCGGCAGGAGAGACTGCTCCAAGCACAGGATCCCCCGGTAGTGATGGAGGAGCAAGTAGTCTCGCCTGTCCTTATCTTGTCTTGGCTTTTGTTTTTGGGGGAATTTCATTGTTGATGTTTTAGAGTTTTATGACTTTGAGTTTGTTTGCTCCTCAAGATTGGCTTTATTCTTTTCCAATGTCTTGAATGCTCTGACCTGTGATACCCACAACTACAGCACATACCATTTCTTGGGAACAATAAAATCAAGGCTCAGGATCTTGTCTTCTCTGTTTAAGGAAGCCGAAAAGGTGAAATGTTCCACGAAAGCAAAAATCATTTGCTGTTATCAAGTTCATATCATTATCTAATTTGTTTTATTTAAGATTATGTTGGTAGTGTTTCTCTTTTTTTTACCTATCCTTAGAGATTCGTAAGTTAATATGGTATCGTAATACTTAATAATTTTTGGTATATACCTTGACCAGGACATAGTCACTTTGGAGATCTTGTCGAATGATTCTAAACAAAACAAATCAAAGTTCATCAATGATTACCATACTTGCACGTCATAAAAGAATAAATAATCCCCAATACTCTTAAGAAGCAACAAATAACAATTATCATCATGTCTATTGTTGCCCATGCTACCTTTTTCGTTCAAAACTCAAATTTCTTGGTAGTTTGTAGTGAAACTTACTGAATGTCAATATATTTTGAATTCTGGACATGCGCCTAGCCTACTTCAACAAGTATCATATTGGTTAAATCGCACACAACAGAAGGAACATCTTTAACACAATTTTCAATACCGTAGTACCGATCTTAACGAAGGTTCCGAAATTTGGCAACATAGAAGGCTACATTCTCATTAGAATATTTTCGCATGAGCCGCATGAAACATTCAAGAATTGTCTTATGAATCGAAATCATTGTGGATGGTGGAGAAATCACGACCATATATTTCTGAAATCTTGATGTCATTTATAAAAAAGCTCAAGGATTTTTCGGATGCTGATATATCTGTACTTGCTCGTTAGGTCATAAAAGGCAGTTCCAAATGAACTCAATACTTCATTATTAGTCCAAAATCAAAATTTCAATTATACACTTTCATTTCAGTTCATAGTTCCATCAGCACACTCAGTCGTGTAAAGAGTGCCTCTGAGCCAAAAAAAAAAAAAAAAAAAAAAAAAAAAAATAACTTCTGAGCAATAGTGGCTTCACCCGCACAAAAGAATATTTCGAAAGAATCATTTAAGGCTCTGCAATTGGGATACAGCTTAGCATTCGAATCATCTGTTGATTCTACATTACTGCAATGTTGTTTGCATAGCTTGGCGAAGAAGTCCCTTAAGGAAAGCCTTCAAAATTGTCAAACTCAGTTATGTTAGGGAAAACTTGATATATTTCACGCACTTACACAGATGTACGAAAACCAATATATTATAAATTGTTAGAATGCAAGTTGAAAATCCAGATATGTACGAAGTCAATAAAAATTCAACAGAATATAAATGTCCCAAAATTAAAAGATGCATGATTAAACCAATGCAAATGCAAGAAGACCAATCACAGCACCAAAGCTAAGAGATTTTGAAGAGCCTGCTCCTTCAAGCAAAGAGTTTGGTGCGCTTGAAACACCGGCTGTGGCCGATCCGGGTGCGCCAGTTGCATGCAAAGTGGATGTCTTTAACGATGTAGGCAATCCACCTGTTACTACACTAGCAACTGTCTCAATAACTCCACCAGCGCCAGTTGTGGTGTAATACACAACTGTCTCAATGACTCCACCAGCACGAGTCGTGGTGTAATACCCAACTGTCTCATTGGATTCAGTTTCGTTCTCAACAGAGGTCAAAACAATGTTACCTTCGGCATTGTTCGTAGGTTTCACAACGATAGTACGGGTCTCCACCTCTCCAATTTCGTTTTGAGTGGTGAACACTGTAGACACACCCTTGTCAGAGAAAACTGTAGTAGTATACAACTTTCCACCCTTGTCTGTGGTTACAATAACATCGGCACATACAGTTGTTGTAACACTCTCAACGAGTGTTGTAGTCCATGTGGTGGCACGAGTGGTAATTCCAGATGCAAATAAAGATGTGGTGGTATGTGTGGAACCTTTCTTGTCAGTGCTTACAATCACAACACCAGACCCGGTTTCCACAGACCCATCAGACTTGGTGGTAACACAGGTAGTAACATAAGAAGTTACGATTCCTGGACATTCTGATGTAGTGGTGTAAATTGAACCTTTGGCATCAGTAGTGACAATCACGACACCGGAATCAGTCTCAACTGATCCATCACTGTTAGTGGTGGTCCATGTAGTAGTGTAGGTAGTCAAGTTAGGGAACTCAGAAGTAGTGGTGAAGAACGAACCTGCAGAGTCAGTGCTGACAATCACGACACCGGAATCAGTCTCAACTGATCCATCACTGTTAGTGGTGGTCCATGTAGTAGTGTAGGTGGTCAAGTTAGGGAACTCGGAAGTAGTGGTGAAGAACGAACCTGCAGAGTCAGTACTAACAATCACAACACCGGAATCGGTCTCAACTGATCCATCACTGTTAGTGGTGGTCCATGTCGTGGTGTAGGTAGTCAAGTTAGGGAACTCAGAAGTAGTGGTGAAGAACGAACCTGCAGAGTCAGTACTAACAATCACGACACCGGAATCAGTCTCAACTGATCCATCACTGTTAGTGGTGGTCCAAGTCGTGGTATAGGTAGTCAAGTTAGGGAACTCAGAAGTAGTGGTGAAGAACGAACCTGCAGAGTCAGTACTGACAATCACAACACCGGAATCAGTCTCGACAGATCCATCACTGTTAGTGGTGGTCCATGTAGTAGTGTAGGTAGTCAAGTTAGGGAACTCAGAAGTAGTGGTGAAGAACGAACCTGCAGAGTCAGTACTAACAATCACGACACCGGAATCGGTCTCAACTGATCCATCACTGTTAGTGGTGGTCCACGTAGTAGTGTAGGTAGTCAAGTTAGGGAACTCGGAAGTAGTGGTGAAGAACGAACCTGCAGAGTCAGTACTAACAATCACAACACCGGAGTCGGTCTCAACTGATCCATCACTGTTAGTGGTGGTCCATGTAGTAGTGTAGGTAGTCAAGTTAGGGAACTCAGAAGTAGTGGTGAAGAACGAACCTGCAGAGTCAGTACTAACAATCACAACACCGGAATCGGTCTCAACTGATCCATCACTGTTAGTGGTGGTCCACGTAGTAGTGTAGGTGGTCAAGTGAGGGGTTTCGGTGGTCTCACCAGACTCAGAAGTCTCTGACGATGACTCGGAAGTCTCTGTGGATTCGGAAGTCTCAGACGAAGATTCAGAAGTCTCTGTGGATTCAGATGAAGACTCAGATGAAGACTCGGAAGATTCAGATGAAGATTCAGATGAAGACTCGGAAGTCTCAGACGAAGACTCGGAAGTCTCTGTGGATTCAGAAGTCTCAGACGAAGACTCGGAAGTCTCTGTGGATTCAGAAGTCTCTGTGGATTCAGATGAAGACTCAGATGAAGACTCGGAAGTCTCAGATGAAGACTCAGATGTCTCAGACGAAGACTCAGATGTCTCAGACGAAGATTCAGAAGTCTCTGATGAAGATTCAGATGTCTCAGATGAAGACTCAGATGTCTCAGACGAAGACTCAGATGTCTCAGACGAAGACTCAGAAGTCTCAGATGAAGATTCAGATGTCTCAGACGAAGATTCAGAAGTCTCAGATGAAGACTCGGAAGTCTCAGACGAAGATTCAGAAGTTTCAGATGAAGACTCGGAAGTCTCAGACGAAGACTCAGAAGTCTCAGATGAAGACTCGGAAGTCTCAGACGAAGACTCAGAAGTCTCAGATGAAGACTCGGAAGTCTCAGACGAAGACTCAGAAGTCTCTGATGAAGATTCAGAAGTCTCAGATGAAGACTCAGATGTCTCAGACGAAGACTCAGATGTCTCAGACGAAGACTCAGATGTCTCAGACGAAGATTCAGAAGTCTCTGATGAAGATTCAGATGTCTCAGACGAAGATTCAGAAGTCTCAGATGAAGACTCGGAAGTCTCAGACGAAGACTCAGAAGTCTCAGATGAAGACTCGGAAGTCTCAGACGAAGACTCGGAAGTCTCTGTGGATTCAGATGAAGACTCAGATGAAGATTCAGAAGAGGATTCGTCGGACTCAAATGGGAATGGTGGAATCAGAGGACAAATATCACATACTGCGGGTCTTGAAGTGTCAAGGGGCTCACCAGAGTAAGAGACGGAACTAGTAATGAAAAAGCCACCAGAAGAAAATCCACTATTAATCGAGATCAAGGTGGGATCGTAGCCAGATCCAATATTGAACTGGTACGTGCGAGTTCCAGTGACAACACTTAAAATTGGATCCGAATACGTGAATGAAGATACACTAGTCTCGAAACCGATGGTATTTCCGTTACCCCATCCTGCAACCGTAAGTACATTTGGCATGTTATAAGGTCCAATACGGATTTGAGAGTTTGGAGTCTCAAGGTAGACAGTTTGGGTAGTTGCCAAGGGATTCAGATTAGGGTATTCATATAAGAGAAGCGAATCCTGGCCAATATTGTAACATCCTGTTCCTGAAACCTCAGAGTACTGGTACATGTTCATTTGGAATAAACAAACGGTACCATCGTTGGTGACAGGGTCGTTTAATCGTCCAAGGTATGATGTACCACCACTTCTACTAACAGTTTGATAGTAAGTAATGATACCATTGTTTACAACACTGTCGGTACTCCAAACATTCATAGTCAGGCCACCAGTATTTCCAATTCCCACCATAAAGATGTTACCATTGTTCAAGAAGTTATCTCCACTGAAGTAAAAACTTGGCGCAGAGGTTTCATTTCTTGCATCGAGAACAAGGGTACCATCATTCTGAAAGTCTCTGTAGAAGTAAACTGACATTCCGGTATGAACACCGGTGTCTCCAATATAGAGCTCTCCGAGGATGTCAACAGTATCCCGATAGGTGTTAAGAATCTGTCCATTTCCGTTGTCATAAGCCACAAAGATATCATCTGCGATGACCACAGGAGTACCCGTGGCAAAGTTTGCACTTCCAGTGATAACTGTATTGGATGTGAACGTAGTAGGGGCGCCGTACGCGCTTGCCACAAACGATGACAACGAAACCGCTATAAGGGAAAGCAAGTTCATCGATATCTGATTAGTTTGAATTTTGGCTTGGATTTGGGTGGGTATTTATTTGGGAGAGTCTTTAATTACTACGTTTTGCAACATAACATGTGCAGAAAATAAACATAAGATTAGAGAAGATTTTCTTTGACGCATCTGGGTGGAATTTGGCAAACTGAGAGGTAACTTTCGGGGTCATAAGCATGAGGGTCATTGTTTTCTATTGTGGATCTGCGGATATGGAAGACTTTAAAAATCGACTCCGCATGATACAAAATATTTTTCTGAATATGTGAACACAATGGTGTGAGGCCAGTGGAAGGATACCATCCTTTAATTGAGTTCAAGTGGGATGTTCCCGATGTTCCTTCAACGTTGGCTCAAATGCAACTTGTGCAATTTTGAGCTTTTTGGGTTAAGAAGATTAGGATGGATTCCCGAAAAAAGCTTCTTCCGGAACAATTTCGGACTTCGAGCAAAATTTCTTGTTTAAGCCATTGATGCAAACACAATGGGTCGGCCGACTAGATAGAAACTATTTGGGAATTCAACCTGCTAGAATGCACCGAGACGAATTCATCTCCGTCCACACAAAACCATGCATGGATTCTTCAGTTGCCTGCAAATGCATGACTATTCCAGATGTATGCTACTGGATCGAGGGATACACTTACTATTAGGGGCTAATTCTTTGTAACTCGTATCTGCATTCAATCAGAACAATAAAGAGGTGTTAAATAGCCGAGGTTTATGCGATGAAGGCCAATACTGATCGGAGATTTGCTCTCTGGCTTAGAGATTGTTGCATGAATACTCCAACCGTCTACAACTAAATTGAGAGATTCGGTTACCATTTATGGTAAATTTTTAGGTATAGATAACTCCATTGAGGGGTACAATAAAGTCAGAGACGATGTTGAAGAAATTAGCATGGTCCCTGCATACTCTGGTGAATAAAGGCGCATTTGATGTGTAACATTGCATTAAAATAACAGGCCAACACGTCAAGCACACAGTGTGATTCCTATGGAATGTGTGGCAACTTGAAATTTCATGTTATAGTTCAGTAGGGTGCAAATAAACTTTCTGGATAGTCGACTTATGAATCGGGGAATGCAAGTTTGTGGCTGAAAAATAATCAACGAGATGCGTCTGAAAACAGAAGACAATAACGGGGTTAAAGCTGCATCTGGGAAAAAACAGCCGTCAAGGATAAAACCACTGTGGAGAATAGTCTGTTGTATATGGTATTGCATTAGTTAAAAATAGGTTCAGCCCTGGTGTTCAATAATCTCAGAGCGGCGCTTAAATATCAGAGGACTTACAACTTCAGACAATCATTTTCGCAATAGCTATCATAAGAATGCTTCAATTTTTGAAAAGAGAACCCCGTAATCCATAGAATCCCAAGTTGGGCCTCCTCATGTAGGTGGTGTGAGAGTCTCTCTTAACCCTCTACTATGGTATTTTCTATCCTCGGCTGTTTGACCGTGTCATTGTAATATACGACGAGCCAATGAAACAAAGAAGATGGAAAAAATTCTTTCTCTCCACTTACACATGGTGAACTAACAATAGTTTATTATGAGACTTCCGAACAATAGAATTCCGGGAATCACATTCTCATGCAAGTGTGCATATCGTCCCTTTCTCCAAAAGATCTGCGTTTGTTTGCCGAAGATTAATCGCCATGTGCTCGATTTCTGGAAATATGCCGTGAACATTCCAGTTGTTAATGCAAAACCCGGACTTATCGAATGAATTTTGCCGTCAACCAAAGAAGATGGTCAAATTGTGAATTGTTCATTCCGCACATTATGTCGATGAACCCTATTTCTCGAGGTACCGTGCACATGAGGTTCTTTAATTTACAATGCGAGACGAAATGCCAAGTTTACAATGGGCCGAATAGAGGGGCAACACAGAAACTAAGAAGCAGGCTGATCGTGCCGCCTTGAGATATTCATTGAACGACACTCGTATGGGCAAGAGGAAATGAATGTTGCGTTGGGCGTACTATCTAGCATCTGATTCTCCACTTATTGTCTGGTTCGAGACTGTAGGCAAGCGCATTAAATGTACACTCGCGCCCCAAGTGCTGATCAAGTGTGCCCTGCGGCACTTGGCTTCTTAACCTTAATTTGGAGATCTGCAAATTATTCTTCGCCGTGATAGTCCGTAGCCAAATCATGAAAATAAAAAGTGATGTTAATCACCATTTACTTGTTATGATGATTCTCCATTCAGATGAGTCTTCTCAAGAAACAACCTAGGCGAGTGTTGCTAGGTTCTACGACAATGTGATGACAATAGGTGCACTGCAGAAGTTCGAAAGAATATGTCCTTTGGTTGGCCGAATGGGACTTAATTCTTCTCTAGATGTTCCAATTGGGAGACACTTCCTTAAGTCGCATTTCATAAGAAGTGTCGGCTTTGCCAGTGAAGTTGGGATGCAGAGACTCGAGCCCTCGCCGCGCCACGGAAATTTTGGGAATCCTTATTGCGTTGAGTAGTAGACTCGATAAAACAGAAAAATCTTCTATTTCTTGGAAGTCAGTGACATCAGCCATAATGTGTACTGGTAATTTTTCTTCATTTGCTACAACAGTAAAAAATACAAGCAAGCGTCACTGTCTTTCACCCTGTGTTGCCATGTATTTGTTTTAATCGTCTTTTAATGAAGACCAGGTTGGTTGCTTTTTTTACCACCCCTTTGTTATTTTGAAGTACAAGGTTGGGATGCATATTTTAAACAATGCCAAGTCGAAACATTCCTGCAGAATAACCTACGTCAATTATCCAATTTCATCTGCGAGACGATGCCTGATGATATATTCGTTATTGCGGTTAAGATAATTCGTCTAACTCGACTAATCACATTCAATTTTGTTGCTCACTACAAACTTTCTTGTTTGACATTGTTCACCATTAGTCATTATTCTCTGATTTTTTGTCTTTAGGTCATCATTGTGGTTGAATCCTCATATAAGTTGGTGAGAATGCAGGCTGGAAGATTCTACATGGTCCGTTCATCTTGCCCCTGATTGATGTCGAAGTGTCTAACGGTACATGAAGTTCCTTCTTGTCTTTCAAAGATCTCCTAAGGTAGTCGATAACAATCCAGCCTACAGAACAATGATAGTACCCACATTGGGGCATTTATTCGTTTACGGAGACAAAAGATAATGAAAGCGCTTGGGTATCACTACTTGAAGCATATGAATTGTTCACTTCACTCGCCGAATCATAAATTCGTATATTTTGTCCGCGTAGCTATCTGATAAGCCTCTCATACGATATTGTGATTTGGAAAATCTCTACTTTAAAATTCTCTTCAAAATCTTAGCATTTTCGACTTCTCACTTTAACTACTTCTTCAGTCCCATATTTTCCTAACACATAATATCCAGAGCTGTCCAAGTATGTTCGGAGGGCCCTACTGACGACTTATAGAAAACAATGTTATTCAATCCAATCATAGTTACACAGAAACTAACTTTTGGCCAAATGTCCTTCAAAAATTGGACACCTTTGCAGATACCATAATGTGCAAGAGGATTTTCATTACTTACTTGGGGCATTGGCGAGATGCCGATTTGACAGGCAACAAAGGTTGAGAATGGAAGAACTGTGTATATTCCTGGAAATAAGGAGCATGGGTTTGTCAACATGAGAGATAAATTGTTGAGTTGGACTTATGTTATCGCATTTGATTCTTTCCTGGAGGTCAAGTATATGTTCTCCTAGTCAAGATAAATGTACATATTGAGCTCAAAAACTATGCTATAAAAATTCTTAGTTTTCACACTGAAATCTTAAAAGTGGCAAATTGTGTGTATTCCACTCATCATAAAACTGAGAATATATTCTCCTCAAAAAGTTTGAGACTATCTCCACGCTGCAATTTAACATTATTTTGGCTTTGCAAACCTTCAATTATTATTAATAAACTAATCGCCGAAAATCACAACAGCGCATTTTTCAAGGAGAGTCTTGTTTTTCTCCGGCTGTGATTCCAAACTAAGATAATACATTCTTTCATGCTCCTCAACTTCAGCAAGGCCTGTGGTAATGTCAGCATTCTCAGGCTTGATTAATTTCGTTCTCTTGATGACCTTGTAGCCTATAAAAACAGCGATGTCTAGGAAGATAATAAAGTAGTTGAAAAGGAAAGTCTCAACAGACCAATTACCTGGCAAGAACACTGTGTAGCCCTGAATCCACATGAAGGAGAACATAAAAAATCCCGTAACAATCGATAAGTACGGCTGACACCACCCAATGAATGAGAATTTATTTCTGTCGTTTCTGTCGACTCCTTGGGCGATGCATGCCCTCCTAAAGAAGTTGTAGGTTACTGTCAAGAGAAAAAAATTCGTTAGCTGTGATGCAGAGACAAGATTGATAATCCAGTCAAGAACAGTAGATGAATTCTTTCCTAATTGCAAGAAACCCAACAGAGCCCATGCAAGAGCCATAAGGACAGAATAAATCGGCACCCCATCCTTATTACAATAACTGAAAAATTTTGGTGCCATTCCTGTTCTTGCAAGACCGTATAAAGATCTTGATGAGCAGTAAGTATAAGAGTTTCCAGCTGAAAATGATGACGTGAGCAATAGAACATTCACAATGTGAGGAAGCACCTTTATCTTCAAGTTATACATGGCAATAACATATGGAGATGATCCAGCACCCAGTCGTCCCTCTTCAATTGCCTGCAAGAATAGCGGGTCTCTCGAAGAAACAACAATCCCAACACAAAGTGCACCTCCCACAAAGAAAAGTGTCAATCTGATTGCAACCTGCTTGAATGCTCTGGGTAATGTCTTCCTTGGGTTGATGGTCTCACCGGCCACCATTGATACATATTCAGGACCGGCGATCAAAAAGTTAGCAATGATAACACAGCTTAGGAAACCTTGGAACCTGCCCAAATCCCCCACACTATAGTATTCATTCATGGGTCCAGGATTATTCCAGTTTCTGAAACCATATACGTCTCTTAGAGGATTTGCACCAACCATTGTGAAGAATGTAAAGCACATTAATCCAACAGCTAAAATGACTTTTCCAATAGCACACCAGAATTCTGTCTCACCATACCATCTCACGGCGAAAATGTTAATGAGAAAGTAGGCTACCATTTGGACAACCAAAGGAATTGCAGCTGAATAGTCCTGGAACCAGAAATGAAGCAACTGGTTGAAAAGAGTTAACTCAAATGGAATAAGTGAACTTTCCAATACCCAGAAGTTAAATCCAGTCATCACTCCATATGCTTCATCCACGCATCTTCCAGCTAATGTAATAAATGGTGAAGGAATGGGAAGGTAGCACACCATTTCAGCTGTGGTTGCGGTCACTGCCAATACTGGGAGGCACCACAAAAAGATTCCCAAAAGCAAACTGAGAGGGCCACCCTTCTTTAGACCATTTCCAATGGAAACGAAAAGTCCCACACCTATAGTTCCACCAATACCTATTAACTGGATGTGTCTATTCTTGAGCTTTCTGTGAACATGACCTTGTTCCAATTTGGAAGAGGTCATTGAAGCTCCATCGTCTTCTAGGTCTACCGCCGTTACTTCATTAGTACTTTTCTTGTCAGAATTTGTGTTGCCAGCCATGTCGCCGCTAATCGTCTCAACGTTTCCCACATACTCCACTAGTGGGGGCACAGGTATGAAGATATCTTTGAGTTTCTGTAGTACCATGTTTCTGGATAAATAAAGTAGTGGGAATATTCTGCCTTTATATACGTGCGGCTTAGCTTCTGTCACACACCTCTTATTGCGTAATTTTGATTCGCTGGTGTTTTTGTTCGGAATGGGTGCAATCTTCCCGGACATATCAAAGTGTCAATCATATGCCCGAAAAAGAATGACAATTCTTCCGTCTGAACCGGTACTAATCGCCATCAAAATCCTGTAGAGTTCTCAGCTTACTTAGAGTCACTTTCTTATCTGTATCTGCTTACGTAGGAAAATTCAGTTTATTGTAATCATGAAAGTGTAATTGTCAAAAGTATCGTCTAAGACCAAAGGGGAAGTCCGGCCTGCACTATCTCGGAAATCGCTATCATTCCGGCATTTGCGATAGTAGTTATCTAAGGCACTACACAGTATCGGACTGATAAGAGACTGGCACTTGTTCCCCTTCTGGGTAGTAAATACTGAGCAACCGTACCCCTGACTCTACTTCAAGGAGAAATCGCCTTAATAATTTTGCTTTCAACTTGGAATGTCGTTGTCTCTCTCTCGTACTTTGCCAGCCTCATGGTATACGAGTGACAAAATTGTAGATTTGGCCCATGATCACATCTTTGATAAAGGATGGCTATTTGTTACTCCCATTGCAAGTTTCGTAAGAGGACATTTGGATGCTAGTCAGTTTGACTTCAATGGACGACCGTTCTTTGTGATCAATGACATCGAGGATGTATACCAGTGCCACGATGTTTGCGCCTATTATGGAAACTATTCTGAGATGATGACTGGGTTATCTATTGAACAGGTTTATTCCAAAATTGCCAGTGTTGAGAAGGTCAGAAGCTACACACACCCAAGTGGACTTTTTTTTGTCTGTCATGATAAGAAGAATGCTCCTAGTTGGGAAGATTTCTACGGGAAAAACTTGCAGCAAATTCTCAAAATGCATGACTTCAGAAAGTTGCAAGTGCGCAGAAGAATCTCATATGATTGTAAGTTCAACTTCATTACCTTCATTGATGGATATCAAGAGTGCTTGCATTGCACATATACTCATCCTGGTTTGAAAGCCACTCTCCCTCTTGATGTGTACAAGATTGAAAATCTCGGTAATTTCAGCCGTCATTACTGCTTTGATGAGAGAACTGGGAACGAAATGAACGGTGTTTTTCTTTATTTCTTTCCAACATCATCCTTGAACTTTTATCAAGGAGGAATGAGTTGTTTTCGCGTGAGACCAATTGATGGGAACAATTCACGAATGGAATTCGAGTACTTTTTCAGTGGAACTGATGAAGAGTTTGAGAAATTTTATAAGTTTGCTCGACAAGTCGCAACTGAAGACCAGGACTTGTGTGAAGCATGCCAGAGGAATCTCCAAGTTGGAATGTACCGTGGAGGTATTTTGAACCCAAGCAAAGAGAATGGTGTCATTCATTACCAAAGTTTGATTCGAAATCGTATTCTCGCGGGCGTTAGGGGTCTGCTCTTTTGGTGATCGGGAGTATGGGAACTATCGATTGTTTATTTATTTTTTGTTTGTGTCCAAGTCAATTTGTACTTGCAACTTCTATCTGTAGTGGTTTTGTTTATTTACAATACATATTTGAGACTATATTAGAAGGCATATCTAAAGCGCGATAGTGTGAAGTCTGTGGCACCATCAATATAGTCACTCTGAACAAATATATCGTTTCCAACACTTCTCCACAGTGAGGTCAAATAAGTGTGTCTATTCTCAGATGCTCACGCGATTGAGGAAAGTTATTTCTATTTTGATAATAAAAATTTTGACGATCCAGCGCTGAAAATGATGATAATTTCTTACTCAAGTTTGATCGTTCTACTTGTTCAAAACTTAAACTGAAAATCTCTTCCACAAAAGCCACCATTGTATTCTACATCGCTTGAAACCAAAATGAGTGAGAGCAACACAAATTGGGTATTCTTTCACTTCAGTCTTGATTATGTGAAAGTAGTGTTTCTTTTTAAAGAAAGGAAACCAGTTTGCAGAATGAAAGCATATTGTCAAAATTAACGCAAAAGTCCTACATACATTCAACTCAACTAAACTAAACAATAACCGCAAAAATTCAAAATCTGTTCTAGCCTGGTAATAAATGGAGATTAAATTGTATTTTAACCCTATAAACGTATCGAATACTTAAAACTTGAAATAACTTGCGAAATCGAGTTGATTGCATCGTTGTAGAATCTAACACCGAATTGTACCTGCAGGTACTTTCAGTTATCCATCACCCCCTGTATATTGTCCATTCAACGCTAGTGAAATCTGCAAGTTCCATCTGTAAACAGCCAGAATGAATTCTTCGGAGTTTAGTCAACATTAGTCGAATTTCCAGTTGATGGCGTTGGCCATGTATTAATGAAGCATCAGCAAGTGCAATATTGAATTGCACAAATTCTTGACGGCAACCTCGTATCTTCCAATTAATCAAATCATCTTCTTATCCAGTCAATTTTGTACATATCTGGATGTTGACACACTTTGCAGTTAGGAAAATTGTACATCTTACTTCCTTTATGAACAATCATATTCTCTTTGTATAATGAAGCTTCATCGTCACTTGCTATGGTTAATTGGAAGAAAGGAAGCTTTTTGTGCAAATAGATATGAAGATGAAACATCAACCTAGTACCTGGTATAATCGATTTTTGTTCTGTCCTTTAGGGGTGAATAAAGCTATATGAGATCCACACTACTGGAGAGCCTTTTGGAGATGCGGCACCAATCTCTCTGTACAGTTTATGTTCAGATAAGTTTCCTACATATGTGGCTAAAAATAATACAAATAGGAGCTCAAAATGACTCAACTCAACTCTATCTGTTGTTACAATTGGCAACTTAAAGAGTGATTGAAGTGGAACCTTATTTGGTAGCAGCTGTCAAATTCTGGAAAATAGCACATGGTAAAGGATTGAATGCATAGTGAGCATTCTCGAGGAGAAAGCGATCCTGCGTCATAAAAAGATACGATAACAAAGCGAAAATGAACAATTGGGTCACTAGAAAGAAGGAGAACTATATAGGTAGTTGCACTTGATCATTCTATAGTTAAGAAATACGTCTCTACAGTCCGGCAATGCACCACCATATCCATAACGATCCTTTGCTTTGACCTTCAAGAATTACAATATTAGTCAGTTTGGGAGAAGCAATGTAAGTTTCTGTTATTCTTTTGCTATTGTTTACTGAAGGCTTTTAATCAAGAGACGTCTTGGTCAAGTTTTTCTTCGGAGCACGAGTGACAATTTCGAAAGGTCACAAGACGACCTTCCTTAATTATGTCGAACGAACTAGACATGCTCATCCATAAAATTCACATCATACAAGAATTTTAATCTTAGATTATGCGCGCAAGGTGAATATTGGCACTGATCAGTTGAAGAGTGCAGCAATCACATACATTCTGGTTCATGTAATAGTTACCAGTATATACAGGTTATTCAGAAAATACATTTACACTTGACTGCAAATCTGATGCATTACCTGTATGGAATTGCTCATGGTGCATTTTTCTGTATTGAGTGTTTTGGACGTTGATGTCGTTCCGTAGAGTGGGAAGTTTGATTCACTTGTGCGGCAGAGACTTGAATATAGCCCACCTGAAGTTGCATAGGCTGACTAGGTGTGCTGACGTGAGGTTTGAATCCAATGAAAGCGGACGAAGTAGTACCAAGACAATGAGCTTAAAGTTTGATACCCACTGACTTCGAGATTCAGATTACATATGGGTACCAGTCTCTTCGAAGACGCTAGTCAAGTGCAAAAGATTCTTTGAGCTAAAGTAAAAAAAATTGCCAACCACACCTTTCAACCACACTGCTAATAAATCTAGGAAATCCTCATACTCCAAGATTAGAAACATGATGACTTATACTTTTAAGGTCTTCAACTCTTTTCAGTCCCCAACTTGCTGACGAGTGTTTGCTATACCATAAGTGAGGATACCTTATCTGAGAATAAAGGAACGAATAGATAGAGATCAATCATCCAAATTTAAAGTTAGCTATAAGGGTGGCCAGATTGTCTTAAAGTTATCACACGACATATTTGCGAAAGAAGGAACTGAGGCTGAATCGAGATTGATTGACTTCCTATGGATCCAGTTCAACTTCTTTGTCGAACGGGGAATGATGGATGAACAAAAAGATTGATGAAAATCTGGATTGCGAATTGTAATATTACAAGGTGTGCTTGTCTCTATATGTATGCATCACTATGATGCCTCGCCCGTCTCACCCGCATAGCAAACGTCGTCATACACCGAACCTTCCCACCGTTACTTGCAAAGAAGAAGTTTGCAACCCAAAATAAAAGGAAGCAGAGACTCTGCTTTAGTGACCAAATAGGAGAACTTGAAGAGGTCACATAAAGAATGTTATTAGCGCCACTTTAGCTTGATTTCCAATTGCGAGCCCTCCGGAGATGTTAATGCTAGGTTGATCAAAAGGTAGAGAGTAAGTGCAGGAACCCCTACTATCACAATGCCTGGCCGAGGATCGGTTGCAGTGGAGAGCACCTTTGTTTTTGAAGAGTGTAACAACCATTGAAATGGTTAAATAGATCCTATCATCAAGATGGTTGCATTGTTGAATTGAGGAAACTGAATGTTCCATTGTTCATATTCTGAAACTAATAGGAGACACTGGTACCTGAATATCTGAACATTCACTCAAGCAAGAATAAATGAGAATACAACGACAACTAGGAAGCAAAAAAAATAAATAAAAAGAAATGGATAAGCACCTATCCTAGATTGGCTGATCTTTACCGTCGCGATTCCAAAACACCTGGTAGGTATTCCGAAGGAATTAGCCTAATTTTGGTGCGGTGTGATGGGAGTGAGTGAATCCATTCCAATCTATCTTGATGGTTTCATCTTGAATACTACCAACATGAATAGTTAGTAATGGCAGCCTTAACCTGAAATAGGATAGTTGATGGCTTCGATTGTTTGAATGGTAAAGATTTCGAAAGCCGTTATGGTGCGGGTTATGAACAGAAAATTTACGAACAAACCCCGGTACCGTTCATGATCCAATCTTCGATTTTATTCGCGAGAATTGCTGTCTTTCTTTTGAACAAATCAAATAATTGTGTGGGAACCTGCAGCATGAAATTCTAAAATACAGAGAAGCATACAATAAAAAAAGGTCTCTCTGACACTTGGCCGTAAAAATGGACGGGCAACTTTTTCTTTTGGTTTCGCGTCTCATGACTTTTTCATCTCCCTAGGACTAACCTATCTCACTCGTATTTCTTATCTAAGAGAGCTTAGCTAAAATTACCTCGGAGCCATGAGGTTTCTTTTAGAAGTCTGCAACACCAAATACGTACATCGCGTCAAGATCACTTCAATTATCTAGATATGCTTGGAAACCCGATCAACTGTCGTAAGTTAAAGTTACGTATTGTTTGATTTAGACGATAAGATTTATCTGCACGTCGGCATAAGCTCCAAGTACCCCCGCCTTTCGTAAAGAATACGAATCAAATCGACTACGAAGCAGCATCAAGCTGTCTAGACTCAAATACGAGAACCAACGGGTACTGGAATTAATAAATGAGCGTACAATAGAACAAGGCAACACGAAGATGAGTACTCTATTGTGATTTAGTATGCGAGTGATTGGCTACAAGAAGTTCAGAGTTTTAGAACAAATCAATAAAATCAAGGCTGATGCAAAATCACGACGCGTCGCCAAATTCAAGAAAAGAGACATGCATTGCTTCTGAGCGTGAACGGGGCTTTGACGTTCAGCCTCACCAACTTAGGAAGGTTACTCTTTCCATGCAATATTAGCTGCGAAACTGAACTCCAACCTTCTAAATCGGTCCAAGAAACGGGCAACTTGATTGCAATAGGTTCGATTGTTACCAAATCAGTACGTTACCTTGTAGACAGCCCCACAGACCTATGACTATAAAGTCAAGAGCATGGCCCTAAACATAATCAATTTCTCACTCTCTATTCTCCACCATGAAGGCACAGTTTGTTCTTGTCTTTTCTACTTTGGCAGCCTTAATTGCTGCTGATACCACTGTCTACATCACTTTATCGGAGTGTGTTGCTATATCAACCGTAACTGTCACTGTTGGATGTCTGTCAGGAGCTTCGTCTGAGGTGACTAGTTCATCCCAAGTGACTAGTTCGTCTGAGGTGACAAGTTCGTCTGAGGTGACTAGTTCGTCTGTGGTGACTAGTTCGTCTGAGGTGACTAGTTCGTCTGAGGTGACTAGTTCGTCTGTGGTGACTAGTTCGTCTGTGGTGACTAGTTCGTCCCAAGTGACTAGTTCGTCTGAGGTGACAAGTTCGTCTGAGGTGACTAGTTCGTCTGAGGTGACTAGTTCGTCTGAGGTGACTAGTTCGTCCCAAGTGACAAGTTCGTCTGAGGTGACTAGTTCGTCCCAAGTGACAAGTTCGTCTGAGGTGACTAGTTCGTCTGAGGTGACTAGTTCGTCTGAGGTGACTAGTTCGTCCCAAGTGACAAGTTCGTCTGAGGTGACTAGTTCGTCCCAAGTGACAAGTTCGTCTGAGGTGACTAGTTCGTCTGAGGTGACTAGTTCGTCTGAGGTGACAAGTTCGTCTGAGGTGACAAGTTCGTCAGAGGTGACTAGTTCGTCTGAGGTGACTAGTTCGTCTGAGGTGACTAGTTCGTCTGAGGTGACAAGTTCTTCGATAGTTTCTTCATCTGGCACTAGTCACTCATCTGAAGTCACCAGCTCCTCTGTTGAGACGCAATCACATCCAAATACCAACGCTCCAGAATCGACTCTGGTCTCTCCCAGTACAGAGTCTTCCCAATCAACCAATGTTGAGTCATCTCCAGCTACTACTTCTGGATCTTTACCAACTACTAGTGCTGTATTCTCACCGGCCACTAACACGGAGTCTTCTGTTGTTACATCTGTTCCTGAATCTTCGCCAGCTATCAGCATTACTGAGTCTACAGTGACCAATGCTATCGAATCATCTACCGTGACTCTTGGTGTTGAGTCATCTGGAGTGACTTCTGTTGAATCTTCCGCAGCTGGATCGTCTACAACTGAATCGTCTGCATTGAGTTCTGCAGCTGAGTCTTCTGCTGAGAGTTCAGAGGGATTTTCTTCCCTGAAAGAGACTAGTTCCAGTTCCAGTTCCTATCCTGTTATTTCTACCATTGATCACTCTTTCGGTTTATCTACCAAATTCAACTGGGAAATGGCTGTAGGTCTTGCTGCTATTGCATTTGTTTAGGAAATTTAGGCTAAGGCCAGAGAAATATAGTTTCATTGTGATGTCATTTAACCTCTGAAAAAAATTTAGTGTTCCATCAACGTAATTACAGGGCAGGCTACCTATTTGGTTGATATTTCTAAGTAAAATGAAAGGTATACAATTGAAAATTATAATAAAATACAAGATGATACAATATATTAAAATTCAAGACAAGCAACAATAAGTGCATAGATTAATCTATAAAATTAATTAAAAAGCCACAATTTTTTGATGTGAATGATCCTGACCAAATCAGAAAATGAATGAATACTATAGATTAATATATAGATAAATAAAACCAGAGAAAAAGGCACTCAAATTTTAGAACCAACAATACTGGAAGTTAAAAACTCAATGTTTTTCGGGGTAGTCATAAAATTTGTCACTGCGGATATTCACCATGGAACTTTCACCACCGCACAAAACATACATCTCCATTATCGAGCTGATTGTCAGCCCGTATCTTCACCTCGTTTCCTAGTTTCAACACGCATTCGCCATCTCTTCCATATTTATAGAATCTGACCACAAGAAGATTGAAAAAGTCGAGAAGCTTCAGAAACGAGACACCGAAGGAATAAAGAACTTAGTTTGATGTAGGATTGGTGTTGGCTTTTCTTTAAAGAGAGTATTTATCTCTAAGTTCGTGTCATTAGGACTAAATCTCGATCTTCCTCTATATTCAATGGGAAGTTGAGTGAGAATGAATTTATTATCAGATCGAAGTCGGGCCGTACCCGTTCTTCAGACTGTGAAATAGAAAGAGTTGAATCAAGTCTTACGCAACCCCAGATAACCCGACCTATTTGGCCCCGTTCTTAGTGAAAGGTCCAAGTCCTGATACTATCGGTAAACCAAACTTGTTAAATGCTTGGCTATCCAAAGTATTTGATGAGTAATTGGTTAAGCATATCAAATAAGGTCATACGGAACGTGTGTTTTTCATGTTCTCTATATCTACTCCGCATTCTTACTTCCTGTTCTATATCTGCTGAATAAATAACAGTTGTGATTGTTCAATTAGAAATAATTCCCATAATCAGCGAAATCGTCATCTACCGTTGCGTAGCCATAGAAAAAACCTTCTCTGCCCTCTTTCGCGTATACTTGCCACATTCTCCATAATCTTATGCGAGTTTCGGAGTCTTTTCCTGCCATGAGACATTTTCAGTTACCATTGTGAATGCTTCACTTATGGGTCCAATTCGGCAAATAATTACTCACGTTCAAATTCACCTTAGCAAAATCACGAAATTTAATTAAACCAACGTAGCTGCTCGGACTTTCTTTAAAAATGCAATACCGAGCATTCCAAGAAAATTAATGACGTTAGAAATACTCGAAGAGCAGATTATTCTTTCGAGATCGACATGTCAAGAAAGGAACTTACTGACGGCTGGGTCAGGGGACAAGTAAATTGTTTGTCTCGGCAACTTATGATATACTTCCCAAAGCAGTATTTTCCTGCAGTTAAACCACTCATGCTTCTAAACTACGTATTGTCTAATTATTGGTAAAGGATCTCAAAATAGTTACATCCATTTGACTCTGACCTATACAAGCTGTGCCCCTCAAATGGTTGCTTCTAAGGCAATTATTTCTTAGGTGCAATTATCCAAATGCGGTTAACAGGATAGCCTCTCACGCATCCCTAGCCATACACTTAGTAGAAATCATGACACTGTGAGGTACCCTTTTGTAAGCATTTTATACCTATTTAAACAGGTGCAATTGGCACAACATGTGTAGCTAGCAATGAAATTGTCATCCTTTCTTTTAGGTCTTTTCGGACTCTTGACTGTCACATCCGCCTTGTATTTGAACCCAACGAAGCCTTCTGAAGATGACTTCTACAAGGTTCCTCCGAACGTCGAAGACTATGCTGAAGGTGATATCATAAATTGGCGTCCGGCTCCACTGGTAATACGATCTATCTACTACCCCGTTAACATAAAGAATGCCTGGCAATTTCTTGTCCGTACGCTGAACTCTGATGGAAATGCGACTGCCTTTGTCACTACTGTTTTTGAGCCATATGATGCTGACCCTTCCAAATTGTTGTCGTATCAATTCGCTGAAGATTCAGCCTCCCCTAATTGTGCTCCCTCGTACAGTGTATTATTCGGTGCTTCCATGGACACTCTTTTTGCACAAGTTGAGATGATTCTCTTGGGCGCAGCGTTATCCCGTGGATGGTATGTAGTCGCTCCAGACTATGAGGGACCTAATGCCGTATTCTGTGCTGGAAGACAAGCTGGTCGTGCAACATTGGACTCCATTAGGGCTGCTTTGCAATCGCAGAACACAACAGGCATTGATACTGATGCGAAGGTCGCCCTTTGGGGATACTCTGGTGGAACTATCGCTTCCGGTTGGGCAGCGCAGTTGCAGCCAAAATACGCACCGGAACTCGAAGAAAACTTGATCGGTGTTGCTATTGGAGGATGGAGTACAAACATTACAGAGACAGTTTTGGCAACTGACGGAACACTCTATTCCGGTTTGATTCCCAATGGAATCAATGGTCTTGTGCAAGAGTTCACAGAATGGAAACCAGCATTAGATGACGCTTTGGAAGATGACAGAAAAGAATGGTTTTATGAAGCGGCTGACAAGTGCCTTATGGGCTCAATTATAAAGTTTGCATTTCACAACTATTTCTCAGGTAGCCATCCATATTTCAAACAAGGGTGGGACTTTTTCAAGAGAGATGACGTTAATCAAATTATTCTTTACAACACATTGGGATTGAATGAGACTGATGGAATTCCGAATGTTCCCATGTTTTTGTTTCATGCTGTACATGATGAAATTTGTCCGTTCAGCGGAGGAGAGAGAGTCTACAATAACTACTGTAAATGGGGGATCGAGTCATTCGAGTTTTCAGCGGCCACTTCATCGGGGCACCTCCTTGAGGCTGCAGAAGGAAGTGGTGCTGCTCTTAAATGGCTTGAAGATCGTTTTGCTGGAAAACCAACTGTCAAGGGTTGCCAAAGAACAAACAGAACGTCCAATTTAGATTATCCTGGTGCCGATTTGTCTTACTATCAAATATTGAAGACAGTAATAACCTCGATTCCGGGAGGTGAGATTGGTCAATCGTTCCCAAGGAATGCCACAACTTCAAACAGGTACGATTCGACCTACGAGTGGCTCTCCAAATTTATTACAAGCTTCGGAACCATTCCTTTGTAAGATATGCTGCTTGGCAATTTGCCCAATTTCGCTGGGCCCACCTTGAAAATATAATATGGTGTATAAATACAGGAGAATCTAGAAACAAATATCAGTACTTCTCGCATCATTGAGTAGAAACACCAGGAGAACTGCTATCAGTTCTAATTATAGTCTCAAGACCATCATTTGCTTGCAGATATTTTAGAGAATTGCTTTACAGGGCTTGGTTGTTTCTGTTGGCTCATTAAGATATCAAACTAAACCCACTAAGTTTACTCTGCTTTCATACAGCCATAATAACAACAGAGATCTATGTGTATACTAGCCCTCTTTTACACCAACCCGATGAAATGTGAACCCAATATATGGTCATCGCAAACTAACTTCAAACAACTCCTATTGATATCGATTTTCATTGGGAATGTAGTATTTCATCTCATCCCAAGAAAGCTTTACTGACATATTTCACCATGCTTGACCTTGGAGCAAATCGCCTGTTAATTAAGAAAATCTGCCCGATCTGATGAGCTATTTGTCCGCCAAGCCAGCTTTGAGTAACGGGACCAAGAATTTAATCAGAAACAGTACTGAAGCCATAATCATATGTATTTAGATGACAGCAGCCAGTATAATTAATATGGTACAATTTGTATTGATTAAAAGATCTAAATGAGCATAAAGAGGAAAATCAGCAAGCCAAACACTGAACCGAAAAACGAACGTTTTTCTACTGCTCCATTGAACGCAGTCAGAGAACCCGTTCCAGAAGCACCAGAAGACCCAGCAGCCCTTGAAGTTCCAGACGTCTTAGCAGTCCCAGACACTTTAGCAGTTCCATTGGGAGACTTGGTCACTGTAATCGATCCCGAAGTGGCGGGGACAACAGCGCGGCCAGTAAACGAGTGCGTTCCTGGAGGCAACAGAAGAACGGTCGGAGAGCAAACATTGACTTGTGGACATGTTGAAATGGTGATGGTGGTTGCAGATGGACATGTAATGACCCAGTTAATCACAGTTTTGACACAAGTTGGGCAGCCAGGAATTATTTCAATTGAGGGAGAAGGTGTGTTTGGATCTGGGGTAGGTGTACTTGGAGTGTTTGGATCTGGAGTGGGAGTGCTTGGAGTATTTGGATCTGGAGTCGGAGTGCTTGGAGTGTTTGGATCTGGATCACAAACGGTGATAGGCTCACAAACAGCAGGGCAAACTAGGGAGGTTGGGCATGGTTTGCAAATGGTCAGACATGTGGGTTTTTGGGAACAGGTTGGATCCGTACACGATGGATTCAAATCCGTAAGGTTTGCTAGCGTGTGGAGAACAACTGGAATGCACCGATCAAAATTGATAGAAACTGGCTTAGTTTCTCTAGCTCGAAGCACAGGGTCCTCAGTAGTAGTAGGAATCTCAGAGTTTACGACAACATCAGTGTTGGCAACATTATCAGTATTGACAACGTCAGTATTGACAATATCAGTGTTGACCACTTCAATATCAGTATTTACCTGAACATCAGTATTGCTGTCAACAATTGGAGTAAATGTGGTGTCTCCAGGAACTGGTACTTCATCGGTAGCACCACTTCCATCCACCGGAGTAGACTCTCCATCATCATCAGTAGTGATAGCTGGAGTCAAGTTATCAGTTGACACATCCGACACAATTGGCAAACTCACCAGTCCCACAGGACTAATACTAGGATCCAGAACAGACAGAAAGTCATTCTTCAGCTTTCCATAGAGTATCCATTGATCAGTTGGCACTCTTGTATCTTCACTATTGCACACGTAAAAGTTGTAGTCGGTTTCAATGATTCCATTGGGCCACACTGCATTCATGCCACCTCTGTCAGTTAGCAAGTAGTCAGTTACACCTAATGGATCATTGTGAGGATTGAAAAGGAAGTTACCATACTGACCTCCTCCATTAAACCCCGAAGCGGCCTCTTCAGGTTTGGATGTTAAAAAGTAATAGTGGGCCAGAAACTCTCCCCAAGGTACCGAGCCCTCATCCACGAGCCACTTATCAAACTCAGACTCGGGGCATCAACGTAAATGTAGAAGTGGTCAGCAGAGACCAATCCTGCGAGAAGAACGCTGATCAAGACAGAAAGCATCTCAATTGACAATTTACTTGTTTGAAGTAACTCAAAGTTTCTAGTTGACAAAGAAAAAAAGTCACCAGGATCTCGAATTGCATAAAATTATATATTCACACCATCATCTGCAGTTGGGCATGGTCAGGCTGAGGTCGGGGTACGGTTGGTGACTTTGGCCGTCATGCCGTCATGCCGTCATGGCCGAAATTATGGAATCGGCCAACTGAGTACATGACATCAACATCATATCATGAGCGTCTCAGTAGTGACATTTCATAATTGAAAATTTCAAATTTCTTTTCGCAATTTATCGTTGATGCCTTTCAATGCATATTAACTGGTGTTGTAAATTTCGCAGCCAAATACTCAGAGTATTTGGGAAGAGTTCTTTACAGAGGCTTGGCGAACTATGCAGCATTCCTAAATGCCCCACTATTTTTCGAGTTACTTGGCAAAACGGCAAATTTAGTCTAAGTTTGGAACTATTTATTGGTATATTGAAATTATATTAATACCCATGTGGCAATGGGATACCGGAACCGGGATGGATTATTACCGGTTTGTTATCTGACATAGTTGGAGATCTACTTCTATATATAACCCAACAGTTTTTGGCGTAACTTTGGAGAATGAAATTGAGAACTCGAAATCGTCTACTAAAATTAGTTTTCTATTTTCATTCACAGAGACTTAGTTTCAATCGGTTCCTTCTTCTTTCCTACAGTAGTCAAATATTCAATTTCGATTATCCCATTAGTTACATAGCTTTTTCCTTGTTGAGAAGGTTCTCGTTTGTTACCGACGATGAGTCCTTGGTGGACCGGCCATCGATCACTTCCAAGTTCATCCGCTCGTAATTGTCTACAACATGCTTGATCTTGGCTGCGTACTCATGGAAGAAAGCCTCATAATCGTTTCCAAATTCATCAAGAGTTTCGGTCATCTCATAAAGGTCCATACCCATGGCTTCACCTTCCTCAGTAGCTCTCACACTCATGCCGGGAATTTTGTCAACCAAGAACAAAATCGCAAGTGTGAACACCGTTGTCCAAGCCACAATGGACACCCACGCTGCAATCTGGTAGCCTAATTGAACAAAGTTACCATTGACCCACCCTCCATCAATTTCGGTCACTCCATCAAGGGCAGCAACTGTCTTGGAAGCAAAAATACCAGTCAAAGTGTCACCAATGATACCTCCAACACCGTGAACCACTCCAGAAACACTATAATCATCAATACCGGTCCAGGCATTGAATTCGCCTAAGAAACGGCACAATGCAGCGTTAATCACCGAGGTCAATGCTGCAGCCCATGGCCAATAGTAACCACACGAAGGAGTGATGTTCACCAAACCAACAATGACTCCCTCACAGGCTGCTTGCATGGAATACCTACCAGTAAGCATTTTATCCACCAAGGTGTAGGTAGCACAGGCGAAACAAGAGGCAAGAATGGTGTTGGCCATGATATAGCCAGTTCTGACATTGACAGCAAGCAATGTACCAGCATTGAACAAAAACCATGCTGCCCAAATCAATGTGACACCAATGAAAGTTGTAAGAGATGAGTGACCTCTATAGTGTGGAATTTTTCCAGTGTGACCAGCTTGACCTCTAGGACCAAGGTACCAAGAGTAACAAAGGGAAGCAACACCAGAAGCGATATGGACAGGACCTCCACCAGCAAAGTCCAATGCACCCAAGTTCAACAACCAACCATTGGCTCCCCAAACCCAGAAGGCCATTGGACAGTACACCACAAGGACCCAGATGGAACCAACCAAAAGCGAAGGGAGAAACCGGCCTCTTTCACCGATTCCTCCCAAAAAGATCTGGACGGTTGCAACAGGGAAAAAACAGTTAAAGCAGAAGTTGACGATGGAAGGAATGTTTCCTCCTTCAAACATGGGCTTAGCCTCTTCTTCATGGAGAGCAGCATGGGCAAGATTTCCAATCATTACGTTGGTAGAAGAGGGCGAATTGGCCAACGAGTAACCAATCAAGTACCAAATGATAATAATACAACTGGTAACCATATATGTCTGAAAGAGCACTTGCACAATGTTCTTTCTTTTCAAGGTACCACCATAAAACATTCCAATGGCAGGAGTGATCAAGAACACACCAAACGAACAGAGTAAAATGAAAACCATGTCCACGGGCACAAGAGTAGATGCCTGGGACTCCAAGTCCACCGCCCTGGAGTTAAGGTTGGAGGCAGAGCCAGGTACACGAGCCATTGTCAGAATTTCAGAATGTCAGAATTTCAGTATTTTAGTGAGCAACTATATACTTTGAAATGTCTCCAGTTTGGAGCGTTTCTCCCCCAGCTTTGGTCTCCATTTTATACCTGATGGCTATGCGGCCATTATCGTTGCAATCCAGAAATATGAACGACTCGATGGGAACAATTTCTTGGCTGACGGGTTTCTTGACCTGATACGGAACTCTTAGACACGACATTCATATTAGATGGAGGTACTGCAGAGAGCGCCGATAAGCCCTATGAATTCCTGGGGAAGGTGGAGGTTCAACGGTGAGAAGGAGGGGTAAAAACTAGATTTAAGAAGGATTAAAAGGTCGAATTTGAAGATTTCCCTGCTTTTCTCATGTTTTTGCCAATGATGGACCAGCCTTTGCTATAGGTTTCATGACCAATTCCCTGTATGTAAAGGTGGTGGATGATGCCAAGAGACTAGCTGATAAGGTGGATGGAGGAAAGTTAAAGGTGTCCAAGGCTCCAGAGGTCAGGAGGTGATTGAGAATTGGAGGGCACAATGTGGAGATTGGAATGCTACTGTTGACAAGTTGATGTGAAGAATTGCATTGCTATTTTTTGGAATTTTGAAAACTGGATGGTTTCTGATTGGATTAGACTGAGGTACAAATCGCTGAAAATTATTACCTCCTTGAGAATCTCTTCCAGGCTGCCGTGATAGTATGGTGCCCAGAAAAATGTTGCTTACTTGTGCACGCTTATCTAGACTCGCCCAACAAGGCTATGTATTTTCAAGTATCCAAGGTACTAGATACGAATTAGATAGCAAAAACGATTGAAAATTGGAATGAGAGGACTGAAGGATTCACATCAATTACATGTTAATGTAGATATGATTGAGGTTCATTTAAGTAATGGTTGTAGTGGAAAGGCATAATTCTCAGTTAGTCTCACCATCGTCGTTTAATCGGACTTCAGTTAAGAAATGAGCAAACTTTAGTTACCAAGACAATTATCAGACTGACAATATGGCCCAAGCGTACTTACATTTTGAACCCTTGTATACCATAGTTCACAGCATCTTAGATCATGACAATTTGCTTTACCCAACCACTAAACAAATACAATATACCATACCCCAATTGCAAATTAACACATACAAGTATATTACCACTATTCCTAATCAGTAATTAGTTCAAAAAAACCAATTCTGCCAGTACCCATTGAAATCCACTTTTGATTCATTTCCATTGAACCTCGAGTCCAAGTTCTTCCATCTTTCTCTACTGCGTTCTCTGCTGATCGTACTTCAACACAGCATTCAACAACACCTGGAAGCCATCAGCAACTTGCTCAGGAGTACTATACTCTTCAGGATTGTGAGAAACTCCATCTCTGGAAGGAATGAAAATCATGGCCGTAGGACATCTTTGAGATACAAGTCCACTGTCGTGACCAGCACCACTTACTATAGGTAACGATTCGTCCTCTCCAAAAAGCTCATCGGATGCCTGTTTGATACAGTCGATACAAGCCTTGTCAAAGTGAATGGCTGGTTGATCCACCAACATTTTCAAGTCGTAAGACAACTTAACACCACTCGACTCCACAATCTCGCTCATGCCCTGCTTGAGCTCCGAGAACATCAGGGCCATTTTCTCATCGATGTGGTGTCTCAAGTCCACCACGAACCGCACCTGCAGTGGAATCACATTCACCACTGCTGGCTCCAACTCCATGATACCCACACTGCACAATCCACCGTACTTGTGGGCAATCTTGTCTCCCAAGACAACCACCTTGGACGAAGCAAGCAAGGCGTCACTTCTGGACCGGAAAGGCGTGGTTCCCGTGTGCTGTGCCTTACCTTGCATGGTAATTTCCACCCACTTCAATGCCTGGATACCTTGAACACGGCCAATCTTCTTATTTTGCTCTTCCAAGATAGGACCCTGCTCGATGTGGATTTCAAAGTGTGCTGCAAGTGGGTTTTCCTCATAGCTACAAGGAACATCACCCAAATATCCGATTCTCTTTAACTCTTCCAAAACGGTGACAGGCTTAACATCGGTCACAGATTTCAAGTCATACACCTCCTGCTGTGAAACGGCACCCGCCCAAACAGCAGAAGACATCATGCTCATGGGAAATCTGGCACCCTCCTCGTTCATCCAGTCCACCACGCAGATAGGATAATTGGGTGTGAAGTTATTCTCCTTCATGGTTCTCAACACCTCCAAGCCACTCAAAACACCGTAGATTCCGTCGTATCTGCCTCCGGTAGGCTGAGTATCCAAATGAGAACCAATGGCAGTGGGCTTTCCTTCATTTTTACCGGGGTAAATGGCAAAGATGTTACCCAACTGGTCAATTTTCACCTTGCAGCCAAGCTTGGTGACTTCCCCAACAAACCAGTCACGAACACCTTTGTCTTCGTCCGATAAAGCCAAACGACACACTCCGGTCTCGTTAAAGTGGTCTCCCCACTTACCTTTTGCACCAAACAGGTTTGCGGTTTCATGAATAGTGTCAAGCAATCTATTGGCTTTGACAGATAACTGCGAAGTGATAGAGATTGTCTGAGTCGAGACGTTCTTTGTAATTGTGGACATTTCTGAGAATTTTGATAGCTGAGAAAAAAAAACAGAGGCTAAAGATGTAAATATATATATAAGAGCCTCAAAGACGGAAAAGATGGGGGAATAAGAATCGAGATAGTGATTCCGAGTTCCGTAGGTACTAAATTGGTTCTCATCGGATTACCGCATCGGGCAAGTGGAAAGGAAACGCCATCGGCTCCGCTCACCCAAACAGGTAATCCGACATATCTCGCTTGACTATATACATTTCGGGAATCTCCATGAGTCAATAATGTTGACCGTGAAGGGACTAATCAAGAAACAATGGAGCTCAAAGATTAATCGTTCGAGCTATATATATGCACCGTGTTTTTTTCATGATCTTTTATTTGTCTGAAATTTGATGTTTTTCCCTCTGAAACTCACATACCCCATCATTGCTTATTTTTCTTATCACTTTACAATTAACCTTCTAATAATTCGCTATTCACTATCAAATCTCAATTATTCAAAAGATCTTCAGTCAGCCCCTATAAAAGCTTCCAGCCACCAGTGGCCCTTACATACTGATTGTCTCTCATATTGGTCTTGACCTCCTCAGAGAAGTCCTCCACTGGAGGCTCATCAACATACACCTCAAACCATCCACGCTGTGTAATATTGTCCACAGGACATCCCTTCACAGGGAAGTACTGGGTCAAAAGAGCATAGGAAAAGAATGCCGTAAAGTAACCAGCGAAAAAACTCAAGTTATACACGTAGGTAGCACCAATGGGTACCTTGGCTCCACACGCACCAGCAAAACCCACAATGTTGGGCACAATTCCAAGAATATAAGCCGCATAGGCTCTCCAATTGATTCCCAATTTGTTGTAAGAGTAGTTACACTCGGTGTCTGCAGAATACAAATGCCACAAGTTGATGTAGCCTCTTCTGACCCAGAAGTAATCGGAGCTGATGACACCAGCCACCGAAGACAAAAACACAGCGTAAGCAGACAAGTAGGTTGTAAAGTTGTTGGAAGAGCTGAAAAAGTGCCATGGACACACAGCAAATGCAACTGCAGCAGCAATGAACCCTCCTCTTCTGATATTAATGTACCTAGGCAACAATGCTGTCATGTCTGTTCCAGCACTGATGTAGTTGGCGGAAATGTTGGTACCCAACTGAGCAATAGCAAAGCCAAAAGCAATTAAGAACACTCCTCCACGATCTCCCTTAGTGTATGAGCCCACATACTCCTCCATAACATCCAACGGACTCCAGTAAGTAGTACCAAACATAACTGTCGATGCAGATGACACCAAGATACCGATGATGGCAGTTAAGGCAAATGAGAGTGGGATAGAAATGGCCTGAGTCCATGATGACGAGCGTCTTGTCTTGGCCAAACGCGAGAAATCCGGAGCATTGACCACCAAAGTTGCGAAGTTAGCCAATGCATTCATGGTAGAGTTGATGAAGGCCCAGGCATGAGCAGATCCAGTCAAAGTGGTTTTCTGGTGCACAATAGGACCAATTCCTCCAGCTCTTTTAATGGTCCATACAAGCAAGGCAATACCACAAGCTGGAGAAACAATGGCTTTTAAGGTGAACAAATGACGAACCTTTTGAGGTCTCAAGTAGATGGCAGGAAGCGAAAACAAACAGAAAAGGAAAAAACCCAAGAATTGGAAGGTAGTGGTGCCAGAGCCCGCCATTCCATTGGGAATTCTCGTTTGCAAGTCGGTTCCAAAGATGGACTTCAACATCAACTGCACACATTGTCCTCCGATCCAAGACTGAACAGATGCCCAGATGATGGCCATCACCACTCTATTAAGAATGGGCCAAATAGAACCAAAAACTCCAAAACTCGATCTACACGAAACGGGAAACGATACGTGATAGTACGCTCCCACTCTTTGGGAGAGAAAGATGAAAAAACCCACCATGGAGTAACCCAAGATCACCGAGATCCAAACTTCCCACCAACTTAGTCCAGCCTCCACTCCGGTTCCTGCAATTTGCCATGTGTTGATATTGTATGAATCAGCAATCCAGAAAAAAATGAAATGGAACCATTTCCATGTTCTTTCTGCTGGATTCATCAATGGACGCAAATCATCATTGACAAGAAACGACTGCGAGAGTGACAAATTATTCTTTTGCAATGAGATGCTATCCAAGATTTTGGCAAAAAATCCCGAAGGTGGCTCATTGAATGAGTCCGATTCGACTTCAATATCACTTCCTTTTTTATCAAATTGATCGACCATAGTGAAGTAGTTGAAAAGGTGAAAAAAGTGAAAAATTGATCCAAAATCAGGTGATAAGCCAACTTAAGCGCAAGGTTCTGTAAGGTTTCGATGAAGTCACTTTTACACCTAGTCAGTCTAAAGACAAGCTAATTAAGCACTATTTTCCAACCTGGAGGTTTTCAGGGCTCAGAAAGGCCGTGATATATGATGTTGCTAAGACGGGCAATCTTATCATGTCAAGCACTTTTTTCCTTTCTGGTGCCGGATTACTACATACGGCTCGAACGAAATGCGGCTTTCGTTATCGCCTTGATTTATGCAGGCATATTTGAAGATCTGACTTTGATTTCCATATTGCTCCATGATCGCACGGAATGACTAGTAGATAAGGAACCGTTGAATCATGGAGATTATAGATGAGATCGAGACCAAACACAGACCGAATGCAAGAATTAACCAGAAAAACTACTAGATTGAGAAATTATAAGGTCGAGATATGAAATGAGGATGAATGCTAGGATTAAAAATTAATCCTCCAATTACGGAATCTAGAATTCACATTCATTTCATAAATCGTATCTAGATATGAAATACCGGTCATGGCGAGACTATTCATGGGTGATAATCTACAGATCAGATCGAAAAAAAAAAAGACTGTAAGCCTCCAATTTGCATCTCTAAATACAAACCTGGTCCAAGACTTCTGTATCAAACAAAAGCTCAAACGGCTGGTCTCCATCGTAAATTTCCCAAAGACCTTCCAAATGATTCAACACCTGCATCGCGATCTTAGATTTGGAGATTTCAACCAATTTCTCCAAGTTGGCTTTGAAGAATTGCTTATGCCCATTATCTAAAGTTGTGCTTGCCGCAATCATGAGTGACCAAATCGGAAATATAATGTCTTGATTGAAGGGCTGGCCAATGTCTGACACAATCTCCGATACCAATCCTTGTAAATGGCCTGCTTTCACGCTATCCATGTCTAGCATCTTCTTCAATAATATAATAGATGAACGCAAAACCACTTTAGCCACACTGACAGTATTCTGGACCAGAATTTCTTGTGAGGTGAAATCTACAGACTCCAACGAGAAAAGAATTGTTTCGGCAAACAGAAGCATCTCGAAATGAAGTCGCTGGTCAGCATCGTCCAAGGGAAGCTTGAGACGACACAGCCACGAGCATTTGGCAGCAATCTGGAACGAAAGCATCGACATCCTGCTAGACTGAGGGCTTCCATCTTCGTAAGACATCTGTGCCAATTTTGCATTGGCCATGGAGAAAAAGTCAAACGGATTTGGCACCAAATGCGCGAGTTTCTTATGGTCACAATAAAAGATTGTTATGGAGTAATTGAAGATGAAGTTCTCAATCAAAACTTTTTCCAATGGAGAGTAGCTAGGGCCCATATTGTTGACATTTGGTTTATCCAAGAGTTTCAGCACAACAATCTTGTATGCGGCACTAAAGTGGGCAGCACATCGTGTAGCATTGGCTCCACCAAAAGCATCACGCAAGCAAAGAGTCTGAAGCACTTGGACAGCTACAAAGAACCATTCCTCACCTCCCTGTACGACCCCATGCTTGATCTTGCCTAGAAAATGCAGAAGTGCCAGTTTATACTTTTCCTGAGCCACTTCCCTATACATATCGTTGTCAAACGCAACTAAAGAGGCTCCACAAGCCACAAATATTTCTCTTAGCATATCCGAGTGGGATGCGGCTGAAAGCACTAAACTCTTTTGAGGTAGCGAGTGGTGGAAATGAGGCTGGGCAATAGTTGGTAGAAACCTGTTAGCAAAATGAGAGAAGAAGAACGAGTCTAGCGCAAACTCAACGCCTAACAGCGCAGGAGGAGTTAACACTAATTCTTTAATTCTATTGTCACTTGAGGTGTCTGCATCGAGTTCTTGGATTTGAGGCGAGGTAACCTGCTTGGGAGAACCTCGTAAATGAAGAAGACTGTTCCCAGCATTGATTTGCTCTCTCATGGTGGCAGAATCTCTTCTGGCTGAATGGGCTATACTGGACTCAAAATGCTGCCATTGAGACTGGTTATGTGAATCGGACTCGTGTGGTAGTCCCGAAACACTATGTGGTCCCGAAATATTATGAATTTCAGGCTCGATCGGCAGAATAGGTGCACCAGATACTTCGGTAGTATTACGAATTTCTGGGATCCCCAGCGCTCGCACATGACTTAGTTTCTCTGTGGCAGAAACCTTAATATTCCAGGGACTTTTTGTCTCCCTCCACCTTGGGACCTCCACCTCTGTGACTACGTTCTTCCTTGGAATTTGTTCCGTCTTTAAATCCCCCATATATGACAGCGAAGATACTGATGATCTCGGCGTGTCAGCTTTGACCTTGACCTTTTGCACGCTTCCCTTACTGTTTTTCCTCTCCGGGGGCCAAACACATTCAAGGTTGCATCGCACACAGTTGTTGCACTTTGACTTCGTCTCGTCACATTTGATTTTCTTTCTTTTGCAGCTATAACAACCACTGAAAGACTTCTGCGTCCGCCTAATCGGCTTGCGGCTAATTAGCTCTTGGGATTTCACCTGGAGGACAAGCTGGAAATCTTTACATTGTTTTGTTGTCATGGTTGTATTGAAGCACTAAGCGTTACGTTGCAAATGTATACGTACGCACGTGATCCCCTCTGATGAATGTCGACACAGTGGATGCAGAAGTCTAAGGTGAAGAAACAGACCACACCTATTTGACGTCGGATAGCCATTATCAGAAATAGGTGTGGAGTAATCATCTGGGGGATCAAGAATGTATGCAGTACCAATCGTTTCGGAATACCCCATTTGGCATGGGCTGCGATAAGACCATATGACAATTTAAAATAACGTCTAAGTCAAGTCATAAGTATTATGAGTGCTTGTAGTAAAAGTATGTCAAGACAAAGTAATTTCAAGGCACTGACAGCATAGATTCAACTATGACCAATGTTATTGAGTTAGTTGAAACTTTTAAGTTTTGTTACCTTGCATTTTCATTGATTACAGTTTGTCTTAAACACTTTACATACTCAACAGCAGACAATTGAATAGTGAAATGTTTTCACCAAAGATATAAGAATCATTTCTCATTAGGAACAAACTCCCTTGTTCTCTTGTATAAGATTCACAGCAGACAGCATATCAAAGAGATTGTTCAATGTACGATGGAAGTTTTTTCTGTGGAGCATTGGGCCATCACTCTCATAATGGCAAAATCATACTCCGAGATTAGAATTGGGAGGTAGTTGTAGGGTTGGACCCAAGATGGGTTGCGATCAACAGCGGTTGTACTCCAGATTTCTCAGAAAGAGTTCGTAGACAAATTGATCACTTACGCTCTCAACATCAGCAATAAAACAAATCAATTTCTTTTGAAGTTCTCTGGAGGATAAATCATGGGTAACTAGGGGCTGGTTTTGGAATGCACCCATGGTGGTTAGTTTGTATGGTACTTGGATCTTGAATTGCTACCCGATGTTGCTGTAACACATCCATGACTGGTTTGAAGTGCAGAGGTTTGGTATTTATCAAAGCTAAGTTTTCTTTCCATTGGCATAAGCATTTCCATCATCCAAATGTAGAGATTTCAGCAAGAAGAAAACGTATTTGAAATAGAGCAATGAAAGGGCATGGGACGATAAATTGATAATGAAGGCGATGATGTTTGCCGAATCGGGCTCTTGTTGAACAGTCCGCATTACATTGAGGAGCCAAAGAAGTAGATGTTGCTTAATATATTGTGGCCACAAAGGTTGATCTTTTTCATGAATACACATTTGAAGGAAATTTTCACTTTGCAGAGGCGTTATGGACAGAGGTCACATGTGGATCTCTGGCGGCACAGAACATTGAAATTTCATCACCTGGCGAAATTTTTGAGAGGAGCTTCTCTGAAAGAATTTTGCTGCATAGGTATAGGCTCCAGCGGAGTTACAAGTGCTGGGCTCGTGGTGTAGGATGTGAGACAATCATGATTTGGCTACATAGAAGAGAAGTATAGGAATGCAGCAGAAAGAGACATTTCGGAGGCAGCTTGATGATAATAGAGAACACCTCATTTTGGAATAGGCATGGGAATCACCTTGTAATTCGACGGAGATTTCTCCTTACTGCCATGCCATACGGCGAGGATATGCCATAATGGCCCTTAATGTGTAATCGCCGATTTAGGTTGCTGGATGCTATGGAAATGGTCTTTTATGACACCATATTTGTATAGTTACTCCTCAATCGATAATATATATCCAACAGTTACCATATGTAATTAAAGATGCACTAATTGGGATTGAAGTTGATGTTCTATTTGAAAGGATAGATTTCAAATTCTGGATACATTGCTGGGGCAAACAGTTCAAATTTCAGGTTGTTTCGGAGATAGATTGTTCCATGAGTTTCCATTTTGAACAAGGAGATCGGACTGCCACCCAAGTGGGAGATACGCCACCGGTTTTAAACGTAAAGGGATATATCCGAATAGTTTTCACGGTGCTGTAACCATCAGAGAGAAGACTTAGATCCTTTGAGCTGTCCGATTTTTGAGCTGTCCGCTTTCAACCCCAATTCGCCCAACCTCCGCAGGAAGAATTTGTAATCATTCTCTATATAAACCAATGGTTGCAAAATCAACTGAAATCAGCAAAACAAATTTCAAGCGAATTAATAACTATGACTACTACTTACTTTATCACTGGTGCCAACAGAGGAATTGGCTATGAGTTGGCCAAGAAGATCTCAGAGAACAAGGACAATGTCGTCGTTGCCACCACCCGTTCGTGGGCCCGCGCAGAGCAGCTCAAGGAATTGAAGAGAAGTAACCTTGAGATTATTCAATTGGATGTTACCCACTCTGTGGATCAGTTGAAGGCTGCATTGGGTAAGCTGAAGATCTTGCAAGAGAATGGAGTTGATGTCTTCATTCAGAATGCTGGTATCTACCTCGAGGCCGGTGCAAGCACTGCCACTGCACCAATTGAGCACTACACTGACCTCTTCGATGCTAACACGCTCTCTGGTATCAAGGTTTACCAGGCAATCTACCCATACTGGATTAGAGAGAACAAGGGCGTTACTAAGAAAGCTGTGTATGTCTCGTCGATTGTTGCCTCCATGACTGGGTTCGTTTTTCCCTCTTTCGGTTATGGTTTGTCCAAGTCTGCCTTGAACTTCCATGCAAAGCACACCGCCTTTGAACATTCCAATAGTGAGAACCCAGTCTTGAAGGAGTCGATCACTATCACTTTGCACCCTGGTGTCGTTGCTACGGATATGGGTTCTGCAGCCATCGAGAAGTTTCGTCAAAATGGGGGTGCCATTGGCCTCGATCTTGACAAGATGGTTATCTCTCCTCCTCGCAGTGCTTCCGATATTGTGAAGGTTATTGATGGTTTGAAATTGGAAGATACTGGATCGTTTATCAGCCATGACGGAGCCAAGATTCCTTTCTGAGGCTCTTGATAAGTGATCCCTGCTGACCGCTAGTATTGTTAAAATCTGCTATAGTGCTTCATATTGAGTAGTATAAGGGAAACAAAAACCCATCCGAACGTAGAACTGAAAACGTTGAAAAGGGTTACTGCCATCCTGGGAAGAGTGAGTGATGGTACCATCTTGAGTTCAGCGACCGCAACAACGAGTTTGAAATGTGAGCCCTAGACGTGTTTTACAAACATGACTAACAACTTTTGAATACATGGCTGGCTAGTATGCTCATCGTTCTAAGTACCGATTGCAGTTCCTTAGTCGGTTGTCAAAGTAAGAATACATGATGAGACGCTATATTGCTCTTGATCTCCGCAAATTGTCAACATTTCGATTCGAGTATGTGCTGGACCAAAGACTATGTGACAATTTTGTGGGGGCTGAGGCCGTGCCCTTTTTGGTGGGGGCGATTCTAGACTTGTGTAATCACTTTGGTTCCCAATGCATCGAATCTGATTCCGAAGTACGTGGTCAACTCGAGCTAAGTAGCCAGCAATTGAATGTACTTGATACCACCCACTTCCATATCATTGAGTTTTGAACTACAGGGTGTGCTTCTGACTACCACTTCAAATGCTAATGCTATTCTGAAAGTGACCTTATTTCTGGTTTTTTGAGACTCACTATTGGAAAGTGGCTGGTTACCAGGTAGAAAAAAAAGAAATGATGAGTACAATGATAGTCTATTTAGCCAGGGTATCGATTTGGACATCAATCTTTCACTTCCTCCTAAACCCACCAGAAGCAAATATGTATAGTCGATAACCAAGAATCTACAGATTCAATCCCGAATATTAGTACCCCGAAGAAACCTTACTGACGGAGGAAGCTTCAACAGAGCCCTATCAACTAAATCATTTGAGTTGGTCTCTAGCAAACGGAGATGCGGTGGCCATTGAACATCCTTCTTGTTGGTGTACTTGGAAATGGAAATGGTTCCAGGATACCTTTTGGCCAGAAACGACAAGTTAACGCTCTCTATACCAAAGGGGAGTTTCAATCGGTAGAAGGGCCCTTGATGTGGCACACGAAGATAAAGGTCAGTCAAAGTACTTGGAATATGAATCTGACCATAAAAATGTGAAACAGACAAGATACACATATAACTTTACTAGCTTTGGAGGAATTAGGTCCAGCAGCACGAGTCGTTGTTAAAAACCACAGACCAGAACACATTATGAATTGAAACAGTCCTTGAATATCTCTGGAAAAGGTTAAGGTTTCCATAATACTGGGGATCAGAGATAAAAAATTAGGATATCTCTCAGCAAATGCTAGGAAAGCATCAATGCAAGGTGCCTCAAACAAATCACCTTGCAAAAAGAGATGCAATGAGCGAATTCTCGTGGTCAATTCTCCTTTGGCAAATTGCACGAGCTCTTCAAGCGTTATGTTGTACCTATACTCACCCTGGAGAGCTGGCCCATAGAAGACATTCTGATAGAGACTATTCTCGACAAGGATCTTCCATTTGCCAATAGGCAAATGATCATAGAAATCTTTCAAGACATATATTGGTAGGAATAAGCAAACATTCAGAAGTATATCTGGTGGCACATCGGAGAGACTCACGGAAGAGTATTTTATGAGGATTCAATACTACTCAAATATGTACAGCGGTACTTTTGGGGGCCTATAGTGGCAAGAATATTCTTTATGTGCTTAAGTCATAACAGCATATGTTCTTAGACCAACAGGTAATAATGTTGATATTGCTTCAGATCGCAAACTTTTGTAGATAATATAATTTATGTCACCATTTTCAGCATAGTATCAACTTTCGAAAAGAATTGAATGTCTAAAAGTTCGTATCAGTGCCAAGATGAAATCATGTATTTTGAACATTGCTAGTATAGGAATAGCACGGAATATTACAAGCCTTTGTATTAGACTGATATCACTTTGAAGCTAATCGTATCGAAGAACGCATGAACTGGCTGCCCGAGTTCAAAAATGAACTTTTACAGGCAGAGGTCCATCTAGGGACTTCACTCATAAGAGAACTCTTTGTTGTCTCTTGTTACTCGAACTTATCTTTGAGATTACTATTCTCACAGCAAGTTTGGTTGGCAGGAGTCAATATTCATGGAGTTCGGATTTTAAGCTCAAAAGCATCAGCACCCAATTTTACCAGTGCTCAAACATTTTCAAGATCAAGTTTCGACATATGTAAGAGGTAGATCAATGTCAATTGGGTCAAATGGAGTACACATTTTGGCAAATATGAGTGGCGGGAAATCATTGACACCTGATTCAACGCCATTCCACAATTATTTGGGTAATTTAAGGACATTCCCAGTGGCGAGCATCAATCTAATTCTCATCATCATCGTGACTGGTGTAAACAAGGAGCCTATTTGAAGTGCATTGGCAAGGTGGAGTGATCTTCTACGATCAATCACTGCTCATTTCAGATTCTGCAATTGATTACGTCCTTCAAGTTTAGGATCGAGCAGAAAGCAGTCTTTGCAGTCTCCATTCTGGTTCAGGGTCAAATTCACTTTTCAAAAACTCAAGAGTCCGAGGAAGTTTTAGGTTGGAGCCATCAACATCATCGTATTCACCAGGAGAGAGATAAAGTGTGCGAAGTCGCGGGGGCCATTCGACTTCCAATTGGGAATCGAAGTTGGTGATTTTTAAGGTATGTAGTGTCTCAGGGTACCGTGTTATCAGGTAACGCATGGTGACTGATTCCAATCCGTAAGGAAGGGTCAAATTCTGATACACTTCATAATCTCTTGCGAAAAGTTCAAGCTCTTCCACTGTATCTGGTATCTGTATCGAACCCACAATGCCCTTAACATACATCTTCTTCAACAATGGTAGATTCCAATCGAAATCCAGACATTTGCCATTTTGCAAGTGAAGAAGCACCAATGTCTTCGGAAGTTTAAGATCCGCGAAGACTGCTCTGGAAGACTTTAGGAACAAGATTCGGAGCTTCTCTAGACACTTCGGGAATCGTAAGTCTGCAGCTCTTTCAGATACCATGATAGTTAGAACCTGCAAGCTTTCGGGGAGTTTTGTCTTCGACCAATCTTCGACTGGTTGGCCAGAAGAACACAACGTTACTAGAGTGGTTGGAAACTTTATTTTTGACATGGAAGTGATGAAGACTGTTGAGTGCGTTGACACATCGAGAAATTTCAAAGGTGGAAAGTCAACGTTTTCCAAGTTGGTCAATTCGTTGTCCGAAACTTGGAGCTTTTCTAGCAGGGGAGGAAAAGTCACATCATCAAGACTAGCAATTCCACAGCCTGAAATATCGAGATCTTCAAGTGAGTCTGGAAAATTGACTCTATCGATGGAGCCTAGTGGATTGTGAGATAATGTCAACTTCTTCAAATTCTGAGGTAAGACAAATCGTGTAAGACCTGAATGGCGAATACTGCAAGACCGAAGTGACAAGTCCGTCAACGAGTCTGTAAATTCAAATTCTGGAAGAATGAAATGTTGCAGTAAACTCAATTTCTTCAAGCCTTGCGGAAATTCATCCCAAATCTGTATCTCTGCCATACACTCGAACTCTTCAAGGTGCGCAGGAAGACAAATCTTGCCAGTATCTACATTTGCAAAGACTGCGAGCTTACGCAAGGTTGAAGGAAATTCTGAAATAGCCATATATGTGTTTGCCTCGTTTGCAAACTTCAATTCTGCTAAATTTGAAGGTAAAATATCCAACACTGAAGAAATATCAATAGCGTGGAGTTCGAGCCCTTTCCATGAGACAAAATTGGCCACAGTCAGTCTTGAAGCATATTTTGTCAAGAATATCGTACTTCCTTTGTAGTGAACAACAGGAATCTCAGCCATGAACAGAGAATTCTCGCCTACAAATTGCAAGAAGCTTTCGAAGACGTCTTTGTAGTCACCTATATCATCGATTTCTTCCAAAATTAGGACCTTAATTCTTGGACCAGAGTCTTGTCTAGCAAGATCTCGGAGCTCCTCGATAGATACTCGGTGTAAACTTTCATCTGGAGTAGGAGGTCCGAAGTAGACACTTTTGTATAGATTGAATGCTACAATATCCTTCAATTTGCCAGTAGGCAATTCATCATGGAAGTACTTCAAATAGAAAGCTGGTACATACAGAAATATGTTCAGTACGACCTCTGGGGGTAGAAAAGGCGAGAGCATGCCTGTTTTGCCATTTCTTTGTTAGGTAAAAAGTGACTCGAAAATGCAGTCTTGGCAACCTGGAACAAATAACGGAAATAGAATAAATCTTAGCCAATCGTAAACTTGATACGCCGAAATGAAATGAAGAAAAGACAGAATGGCAATGCCCGAAATCGAGTGGTGTGTTTGATTTGTGAAATATGAGGAAACGCACACTGATAACTGACAAAACTAGTACGTATAAAAATTCGGGAGATGCATCACCAAATCAATAGCGAGATGCTCAATTTTATAGAAATTTCCAATAATTCAGTATAACGAGAAGTTAAAAGATCTCAATTATTGCGATCTTTTAATAGCAGACAACAATTCAAAACTTGTTAGTTCAGATTGTAGATTGCGGGGTTCGGATTACCCGATTAGGCAAGCCGAGATAAGACGCTCTCAGTGATTTATATATTTTACCTCATTTCCTCATTCTACATCATCAGCAATGTACGATCTAGTCATCTCCAATGGATACATAGTGACTGGCGCCGACATTCTTCCTCCGTCCGTATATATTGGCGTCAAGGATGGCAAGATTTCAACCATTACTACCGAGAAGATCGATGGAAAAGAAAAGATCGACGCTAACGGTGCATTTATCACTCCAGGAGGAATTGATGCCCATGTCCATATAGAAGAAACCAATCTTCCGTATTGTGACACCTTCTTGAACTGCACTAAAGGTGCTTTGGCTGGAGGTACCACCACGATCATCGCATTTGCTATACAGCTGGTAAGCGACACTGAAGAGAGTACCACAATTCTCCAAGATATCGATGACTATAAGCAGGTAGCTAATGGAAAATGTTACTGTGACTATGGGTTTCACCTCATTGTGAGAAATCCTACCAAGCTGCTCATTAAGAATCTTTCTCAAGTCAAAGAGAAGGGAATCTCCAGTATCAAGGTTTATACTACTTACGAGACGCTACGTCTTGACGATTCTCAATTGCTAGCGATTCTTTTGGAAAACAAACGGCTTGGAATCACTCAGATGATTCACGCTGAGAACCACGACATCATCAAGTTTTTCAACGAAAAATTAGAAGAGAAGCTGCTTCTTGATCCATACTACCATGCCGTATCTAGGCCGCGAGTGGCCGAGGATGAGGCAAGTTATAGGGTCATTTCGCTTTCTAAAGTGATAGATATCCCTATTTTGATTGTCCATATGTCTGCCAAAGAGGCTCTCGACCATGTTCGAAGAGCTCAAAACAAGCTCATTCCAATTATGGCCGAAACATGTCCCCAGTACTTGTTTTTGACGTCAGAAGCACTCAAAGGATGTAACGGATATCATGCAGATCATCTTGCCAACCTTGACCATGACCATGACCATAGTCATGACTCCTTCGAGGGTGCTAAATATGTCTGTTCTCCTCCATTAAGAGAGTCTGATGAAGATCTCAATGGAGTCTGGCAGGCCATTCAGAACGGAACAGTGACTATCATGTCAAGTGACCACGCTCCATCCAGCTATGACGATGTCAAGGGCAAGAAACTAGGACTTATAGACGGAAAACCTGACTATAAGAAAATTCCCAATGGGCTACCAGGAATCGAAACCAGAGTTCCTCTAATGTTTGCGTATGGAGTCGAAGGAGAGAAGATATCAGTGCAGAGATTTGTAGAGATCACCGCCACCAACCCAGCTAAATTGTATGGTTTGGGAGACCGTAAGGGAAGCATCCAAGTGGGGTTTGATGCCGATTTGGTGATTTGGCATGCTCATGGAGAAATCGATTTCAATCTCAAAAACTCCATGTTGACTCACAAATTCGACTACACCCCTTTTGAAGGAATGAGGTTTACTAATTGGCCCAAATATACTGTTCTTCGTGGGAAAGTGGCGTATGACTATACTAAGAAACAGGTTTTGAGCACCCCAGACGAAGGTCAATTCTTGCACCGGAAGGAGAATACGTTGAAAAAAGCGTTATCAGCGAAAATCAACAACATTTTAGATTAGATGAAATTTTAAATTAGATGAAAAGTTTAAAATAAGGAATATGTCACCATCGGTTGTGTCAATATTTGTTATTATTATTATATCTATTGTACACATGGTCCTACCTACAATATAGGAGACTTTAGGAAAGTCACCCAACGGTTGAGAACTTTAACCGCATTAAATTCCATAGATTAATACAAAATTCAAATTTGATTACCATTAATGGACCATCGCAAGAATGAAAACATTCTCAAGTGGATTCTGTGCCACTCTTCCCTTATCTCCATCGGCATTGACCACCACGGTTCCGCCTCCTGCATCCTTACGAAGCCACACGAAGCTTATATAACAAGAGCAATCACTCCACAATGGCAAATCAACCAACTATCATTTTTTCCTAATAAAAATGGAGAAAGTAGTAACCGTTTCCCCCTCTCGGGGCCCCGGAGTGTTTCGTAAGGCCGCTGCAGCCACATTGGTGCTTTTGTCTGCGTATGTGACCTTGACTAAGGTGAAATCGATGGTTTTATCACCCGAAGTTCCAATCGATCCTGTCGCAGCCATTTTGGATACTTTACAAGATAATTTCGCTGGAGATTGGTCTAAAAAGTATACATCTGAGGCGCATTTGCCAGGTACAAACTTTGGTTTGGTACAATGGACCAGAGACAAGTTTGAAGAGTATGGATTGGATGCTTCCATTGACACCTACGACATCTTTGTTAGTTATCCAGAGAGTCACGACTTGAATCTTTTGGATGAGGAAGGCAAATTGTTGTACAAGGCACCTTTGAAGGAGGACGCTATCAAGGAAGACTCCACTTCTTCCGGTGACGGTTTGGTGCCAACCTTCTTAGCTTACGGAGCCAACGGCAACGTCACTGCCGAGTATGTGTATGTCAATTATGGAACCAGGGAGGACTTTGCCAAATTGAAGGAGTTGGGAGTGAACGTCGAAGGTAAAATTGCGGTTGCTCGGTACGGTGCTATTTTCAGAGGTTTGAAAGTGAAATTCGCCCAGGAAGAAGGAGCTGTTGGTGTTTTGCTCTACACTGACCCTGGAGATGATGGAGGGGTCACTCCAGCCAATGGTTACAAGCAGTATCCGCACGGCCCTGCTAGACACGAGAGCTCTGTCCAGAGGGGATCTGTGCAATTCTTGGGAGGTGTAGGTGCTGCCCCAGGCGACCCCACCACTCCAGGATACGCATCGAAAGGAGACGTTGAACGTAAAGATCCACATGACAGTATTGGCCGTATTCCTGTTCTTCCCATTTCCTATAGAGAAGTGAAACCAATTTTGGACAAATTGAATGGTCAAGGTGTCAAGGCACCTAAGGAGTGGAGAGGAGAGTTAGAAGGATTTGACTACCATATTGGACCCAACCCCAACGTGACCTTGAACTTGTACTCCAACCAGATTTTCAACATCACACCATTGTGGAATGTTTATGGCGAAATCGAGGGGGAAAATAAGGATGAAGTGATCGTCATTGGTAACCACAGAGATGCCTGGATCAAGGGTGGTGCCGGTGACCCTAATTCTGGCTCTGCAGCTTTGATTGAAATAGCAAGAGCTTTGGGAGCTTTGAAGAAGGCTGGATACAAATTCAAAAGATCTATCATTTTGCAAAGTTATGATGGTGAAGAGTATGGGCTTCTTGGATCTACTGAATTTGGAGAGTATGCTGCGAAGTCTTTGCAAAGAAAGGTTGTTGCCTACTTGAACATGGATGTTGCAGTGGTGGGCCGCTACTTGAAGTTGAGTGCATCTCCCGTGTTGAACGAGGTGTTGAGAGATGTTGCAAAGTTATTACCTTACCCTGAGGAGGGAGTTGGAAGCTTGTACGACCACTTTGTGAAAGAGAGAGGAGACAACATCCATAACTTGGGATCCGGTTCGGATTACACTGTGTTCTTGGAACATTTGGGGATTCCATCTGCTGACTTGGGCTTTGGCCAAGGTAAGGGCGACGCGATCTACCAATACCACTCCAATTACGACTCTTATTACTGGATGTCAGAGTTTGGTGACAAGGGCTTCGTGTACCACAATTTGGCTGCCAAATACTTGGCATTGATTGCGTTGGAGTTGAGTGCCAAGAAGGTGATTGCCTTCTCCTTGGAAGATTACGCTGATGACTTGCTCAAGTATTTCCACCAGCTCGAGGAAACCATTCCTAAGCCATGGTACGATAAGCCAGTCTCCAACGAGGCCATTGAGCGCTATTTGGCTGATTCGGCCATGGAAGACTATGTTTATGAAGTCTCGAGCCACACATACTACCCACGCATGAGATACTTCTTCCCTGAGCTCATGAAGCCTGTAACATGTCACCACAACAAGCAGATGATGATGAAGACCATTCATAGCCACAAGAACTTGACTTTTGGCGAGGTTGTGGAGCACACCAAGGAGCAGTTGGTCAAATTGAAGGAAGTAAGCAGCGAGTTTGACTTGTCCAGTGATAAGTTACAGGAGAAACACGACCATCGTGATGATTTGCCCGTTTGGCAGCGTATCAAGCTCCATTTCCAAATCAAACACCACAATGCATTGCTTAAGTTCTTCGAGAGAAACTTCCTTTATTACAAGGGGTTGCACGAGAGAAGTTGGTTTAAGCACATTGTGTTTGCTTCTGGTCGGTATACTGGATATGCTGGCCAGACGTGGCCTGGTGTTAGGGAGGCTATCGAAGACGACGATTTGGAGCGTGCTGTTGAATGGCTTGGAATTGCCGCAAGGGCAGTCAGGAGAGTGACTGGTTCATTGGACAGGGACTGGTGAGCATACCAACAGAACAACCACACTTTTCAAGAAGACGCCAGTTTTTCGGTTAACTAGTACTACTAGCAACATAAGAAATTTAAGTCGGCAATGTAAGGTTTGCTATCCCCAACTACGATAGAAAGTTAGAAAGTAAGCTGGTAACAAGCAAGAGTATTAACATAGAATGCTAGACGGTAACTAATGAAAAAGAAAGCATAGCAATGGACAGCAGAAACCAGGGGCAAAAAGAAAAAACCGATCGAAAATTATACTTTAAAAGTTAAAAAATCGACTAAAACGTTTTTAGTTCCAGCACTTAGACGACAAAACTCTAGTCTTTACCTGCCAACCGCAATAACCCTGAGTCATACATGTCAACCCGAGCAGTATTGCCAGGAGCACATGCCGACGGTGCGCAGTGGGCGAATGGAAAGAAATCCTAACGGGGCTTATGCAAGCAGGAGCTAAAATCCATGCCTAAAACACACAGAAAACTAAGCCGAAGCTGCCGTCCCACGAAGAAAGGAATCCCGGATCGCTTATGGAAGGATGGTGTGGATGCATGTCATATGCGTAGGCTACGCGAATCAACGCAATGAAACGTCATTACGCGCGATGGGTGGCAGGTTAGATGCCCGATTCAGCAAAATGTCAACATTTACACGTGACCAAATCCCCGTAACCGCCTCCATTCGCTGGCTCCACAACCAGTTCGGGACAGATTTGATCGAACTATGCATTTTCTCCTGCAACCACCCAGTGGTCTTACAGGGGAAGACGCACGTCGTGCCGGAGACGCCAGAGCCATCATCTCGACAAGACGTCTAATAAATCAACCGCATATTCTGAAGATTTTTGACCTCTCTTTATTCTTTTCATCCTTACTATTTCCATAATGTTACTTTATCCCCTTGCTCTAGCCCCGCTAGTAGTATCGTTCTTTGTGGACGTCGCTGCTGCTGCCAATAATGGAGGGTTTGATCAAGCCACAACCTATACGACCACCACTAATGACTCTCCCCAAAACACAGAGTCGTCTTCATTGGCTGGTCGGGAAACAACTCTGACTAGCGTCTCTACGGCCTCGGCGTCTGTGACGGCGTTACTTGTGGATACAAAGTATGACTCCACTACTTCCAAGGGCTCCACCACTACTTCCACCTCCACATCCTCGGCATTACCAGCTGCTTCTGGAACGAGGTACACGGTCACCATTCAGGGAACCGTATACATTTCATATGTCATGACTGCAGAGGTGGCAGGATCCTCTTCCACGACGTCCACGACGTCCACGACATCCCTGATTCTGAGTCTGAGTCTGACTCTGTCGCTGACTCTGACCAAGCCAGCTCAACTCACTACGGTGATCATTGAGACAGTCGGTGCTGCTTCCTCGAGTTCGCTGCAGACTACCACAAGCGAAGAAGGTGCCCAAGATTTGACTACCATCGTTATCTACTCTACTGTGAATCCCGAAACATCCTACGTGTATTCGGAAGTCACCGGGAACCAGCAGGGAACAGGAATCAGCTACAACCAATGGGGATTCACTGGCTCGCAGTCACAGTGGTCGGAAAATGTCGGAGCCACAGCTTACACGGTATGGACACTGAATGGAAACGTTATTACGGGGTCAGTGGTGGCATCCGAGACAATCGTTGCAGGCACCACGCTCACAAGGACAACCACAACGTCCAATGCTGATCTTACCGTCACCAGAGCCAGTTCTGCAACCACCACGAATACTGCCAACGGTGCCAATGGCCTTCTTCTAAACTTCCGAACATGTAGCTGGAAACAGCTCGGTGCATTAATGTCGGTGGCTGCATTGACTGCTGCATTCCATTGCATATAATGACAGGAAGTTTGAGTTTGAAAAATGTTTGTTGATTAGATGATGTTGATCAAGTGAATGTTGATCAAGTGAATGTTGATCAAGTGAATGTTGATCAAATGAATGAGAATAATTGAGTGTTGTTTCGATGAGTGTTGTTCCAATGAGTGTTGTTCCAATGAGTGTTAACCACCACAACATCTGGATTAATAAAGAATACGATCATTCAAAAGATTGAAGAAATATAAGGAAAGAGATGAAGAATTCGAAGTCGAAGAAATGAAAAGTGGAACATTTGAAGAGTTCAAGATTCAGAAAACACCGTAAATTTCATCTGTTTTCTATCATACATTAATCTATCTGAGAATGTCTTCTGGCCATACATGTTAGAGCAATAAGGTGTCGTTTGGCAACAGGTATGAGCAGCTTCATGTGCATCGACGAACATCTGGGTATCAATTTTCAAACAGGGAATTGTATAAGAAACGAAAATGTAATATATTTAATGTCCACCTTTCAGTACTGACTCACGTCTTGTACATAAGACAATACTAACTTCACCACTCCACCAACTCCACCAATTGATTGCAGTTAATAACCTCCAGAAATGCCAAGGACGAGACATCCAAAACCACCGACAATACCGCTAAACACCATCGCCCCACTTGACTTGCATCTGTTGAAGCACCTGGTGGAACTGCTCACGGCAGATGTTTATAGCGAAGAAATCTGCAGCTATCTTGACGAAGTTGGCCGGTCGAAGTCCAGCAGACTCAGAGATAAGACCAAACAGAGCCTTATTGGTGCAGCCATGGATAAAGTGTTCCTGCGCTCGGCCATTCTCTTTTGCGTGGATGTGGAGGCATGGGAACGTCAGATTTCGCGAGTGACTGAGATAGGTGTAGCTATCTATGATCCTCGTGGCCAGGAAATGGCACTTTCACCTTTCATCAAGACATACCATATCCTTATTGAAGAGAATAAGCACCTTAAAAATGGACAGTTTGTACCACACCATGCAAACAACTTCAACGGAGGTGTATCCTATGTTCTTAAGAAAAATGATGCCACTTCGTTAATGCAACGACTTGTCAATGAATATTTTAACCATCCTATGCCGTGCTTACTTGTCGGTCATGATGTTCGTGGTGACATTAAGTGGCTCAAGCAGTTGGGAGTTCGGATTCCCGACCAAGTTGAAGTGCTAGACACCCAAACATTGTATTCACAAACGCATGGTAAACAGGGCAACAGTTTGAAGAATGCACTTCGAGATATTGGTCAGCCTTATGCATTTTTGCATAATGCGGGAAACGATGCATACTTCACGGTACTTTTGGCCATGAGGTTGTGTGATCCCCAGGTCAGAAGAATGACGTATTTTGATGAGGATGCTGACGAAACCAGCCAAGGAAGGCAAATCAATAACTTATTGGACCATAACACGAGCAAAACGGTAGTGGCCACAGTCGAGGGTGTCATGAATAATGCGGTGACCCTATCATAAATTATTGCATAAATGTGTATTAGACAAATCCGTTCATCTGGTCCATAAGGGTCCTTTCCATGGAGGTTTTGAGGCGGGAGATTCTCAATAAGAGTCCAGCACACAAGCTTTTGACTCGTTCATCAATTAAAGACTCCCACCAGCTCCCAATGGTGTGCTCAATTATTGTGAGTTGTCCTTCGAAGTTGACCACAAGAAACGTGCTGTCGAGAAGCTCGCATACTAGCGTGACTCCTGTGACTATACTTTCTATGACTTGCAACTCTCGCACGCTAATTGCTTGGAGAATTGGCGTGACGAGGTGCAAGTACTCACGAGCCATGTCGTTAAGATCCACAGCCGCAGGGTACGCCGTGTGGAGGATGATAGAAAGTGTTCTTAGAAAATGTGCTGCGAGAATCGGTGTATGAGGGCCGATATCAATCCCCAGGGACTCGTACCAGACAGCAAGGATTGGGAAGAAGAATCTTTTTCCAACGATTTTGTTAAAATGGGTAAGTTGCTCCTTACTGATAGCCAGAGGTTCAACGTGTTTTCTGAGTGTAGAAGACATTCTCAAGATTTTTCCCCCACTGATTTCGTCCTTAGCTTCTTCGGAAACCTCGTCCATGAGCTGATTCTGAATACTGTTTTCGATTCGGGCATAGCCGTAATCTGATTCGGCCATGGAAATGTACTGGTTGTGGAGAGCTGGAGGAAGAGTTTTAGAGGGAAACGACTTGGGGTCAAAACTCTGCAGAACAGCTTCATCTTCATAGCCTTTCAATTCACGTGCTGCTAACGACAAACATGACAAGAGACACATTCGTTGTTGTAAAGAGTAATCACCTGTAAGTAGCAATTGACATGCATGAGTTGTCACAGAAGGACAGGAAACGACTACCGCTATCATGGCGTTGAGTTTGAGGTTCTCAAAGTCCTTTTCGTCGTATTGGTTGGTGAGCGCAGTGAGAATAGTAAGTAGTTCTTCAGCAAAAAAGGACACTTCGGAGCCAAACTTCAGCTTCTGTCTCAACAAAGTAGGCGCCGTTTTCAAGGCTATCCTTTGCTTTTCATAGGCTCCATGCGACTTGGAGTCGACAGAAAGATATGCCAACAAGTCTCGAATGTAAATTGGAGCATGCACGGGCTTGGAAGCAAGTGACGGATCATCTTCTTCCTCGCCCATGTTCAAGTCCTCAGAGTCCTTAAGTGTCACTGGTGCTAGCTGGCGCCCAATATCTTGGATTTCTTCGCTGTGATGCTCAATTATCTCCGGAGTTTCAAGAATTTCCCAAGCCTCTTCGACATCGAACATGACATCGCTAGTAGAAATTCTGGTATTGGGCAACAAAACCTCCATCACGTCACTTGACATGTTGAAAATTTTGTCGGTTCGAGAATAGTCGCTCAATGTATCAGCAAAGTAGATGCCAAGAGACTTGACACGATTAGAAAGAGACAGAAGTCTGTTGGAAATGGCACTAACAAACTTTGTATCCTTCATCAAATCCTGGATGCTATGAGACGAGAGCTGGTAGCACATGCATAAGAGAAGATGTGTCCTAAACTCTTGTCTGACTATAGGTTCTTCCTCGAGTAGCCCTATGTTTCCCCACGCTGTCAACAAGGTCAATACAAGGGCCCTGTACACATCATCAGTAAGCGAAGTACGTAGTAGAAGTGACAATGTATGGTTGAGTGCATAACTGTAGCGAGAGATCACCGTTTCACAAGTCAATTGGTCGCACACCAGGGCATCTAGATATTCGCCAGCCAAAATGTAGATGGCCGCTATGGTGTCGAGCTCAAAAGCCGACTTGAAGTACCGAAGACAAACCCAATCAAGAAATCTGACAAGTAGCTGCTTTCGCTCGAATCTTTTCATCTTGGCCACCGATGTTCGGAGATGAAAGCTATCGTGTCTATTGAAGAAGCATTCGAATATAGGCAGCTGACTTGATGTCGACATTAACGACAAAATATAGATATTAATGGTCGAAACCTCCACGTGGCTGTACATGGGAAGCAATTCTTGTGCTAGATAGGTTCCATACGCCGCCATAGATGCTAGAACTGGTGGAACATAGACATTATGAAACTTCATGTCCACTTCTCTAATGATTGAAAAGCATTTTCCCTTGTAAAGAAGCTTATCGAGCTCCCGAACAGCAAGAGCATTCTTGGAAGCTCGGAAGACCATTCCTGGACGAAGGACCTTTTCTAAAAGCCCAGTATGAATGTTGAGTAGATCCACCAAATCGCCCAGCACATCAGCTCTCAGACCAGCAATCATGTCTATTCGGCCAATTAGATTGCCTAAACCCACTGTGGAGCGGAATACATTGGCAATTACGTCTCTGGTGGCCTCCGGAAGTTGGCGATAGACATCAGGTATGGTATACTTGAGTAAAGCGGAGATGACTGCAAGTTCCTCAACATTGGACGTTGGGGCGAAATCTTGTAGAGCCAGAGTGATTTGAATAGCCAGAGGCTCTGCTTTCAAGAGATCACAGATCGGCAGAACTTCCATTTCAATAGGTGGAATGAGATGGTAGAAGGTCTAGATAGTTAACACCGAGGTTACATCCAGGAGCGATGATTATTAAGTATGGGGTAGTAGTGGGAATGGCCGAGGGACCAACAAAGTCAAAGACGATATCTTTGAATCGAGATAAGTTTGAAAATTAATTATAAGAGATATTTAATTTTACATTTGAAATTGAGATATTGAATTTTAGAAACATAGATTGTTAGGAGGATAACTTCAGGAAGAGAATTTATACACCTAGTAATTTGGTGAAGATTATGAGATTTGAGAGAACCTAGCCCATTAAGTTATCATATCAAATTTATATGGATTCCTAGAGGTATTAAGTAATGGTATTTGGCCTATTTTCAGTGTATTCCAGTTGAATTGATGAGTTTTAACACGAGGACGGGAGAAATTCAATGGTACCAAGTTCAATCAAGCTTGTGGTGAGAGATTTGAATGATTTGGAGACAGTAAGAGTAAATCTTTGTTTGGGAAGCAAACTAATGTTTGGATACCGTGGCTGTTCTTGAACGAATTGATTTAACTATGATAAGAGGAACTTTTGAACCAATGATTGTGCGTTCTCTCAACATTTCAGATATATGGAGAGAGTTTCATTATATTGCCATTCGAGGTCATTTCACTTATTCTAAGAATTTATATTCCACATTCTTAAAGTTCAACACACTCTGGAAAGAGCATTCGGATATGTCTACTTTCAATTTTCACTTATAGGTACTACATGATGTGTGTCATCGTCCGAAGTTCGAATTACCTACTTGAGAATACCTTACTCAAAACCCAAAATTTCCAAGCTCCTTACTAAACTGGCGTCGCCAAATCCACGCATCAAATTACCTGGCTCTTGAGTACTTACTAAAAATCTCGTGGGATGCCCAAGTAAAGTTTTCTTGCAACAATTCCACATATCCTTGACCCTATGTATCCACAATCACAAGCTTCTAGTTTCAATTCATGATTTACCATCTCTCACTCCATCTTATACTAAACAAAATCACCCAAGTATACTGTAAAAACTTATTCCCGTTATTTTTCCATATAGGAGCCCTTACATCCATCTCATTCCAACCTCACTCAAAGCTCCAAATCAAACAAAATCTTACTAATGAATTTCAACCAACTCTTCACACATCACATTTCAGCCTATGGCACACCAAGAACTCCAACCTATTGTGATGTCATCTGACATTGTAATTGTAACTGACTCCAAAAAATTTCAATGCTTGTTCCGCTGTTCGTATGCCAATTGCAATCCTGAAATTACAGACCATTGTTGCCAAGACACTAAAAAGCGTTTTAAGCCCACGGCTGCCAATCTTTTTCATCTATTGGGACGATTGACGGCTCATGCATATACGTCAAGTGCCGGTCTAACCGGGTTCAATTTTGTTGAAGCTCCATTGGCTAGTATGAACTTGAGACCAATAAGATGGAAGGGAAGTAACTTATTGCCGCATGTCGTCATATCTGCGGGGCATAGCATATGGAAGCATTCATGCATTCACCGTTCACATCTATTTCTCATATGCATCTCTGTTCTTTGGCTACAGAGTCCAAGCAATTGAGTTTTTTCTTCTTCAAACAATTCTTAAATTCTCGTCAATTCGGGCCCTCCTGGTCATCCTATCCAATAATAAGATTGTAGATATTTATTATAGCCGTGCTCAAACATACAGGTGCGGGCCCAAGACTCAAGAAGAATATGACGTATATAATTCGGCTTTGTAGCTATACATTTACGGTAACTCTCATATTGCCCTGATCATGTCATAGGTTTTGAGTATTGCTTTCCGAGTCGGCATCAATGTAGGCACACGGCGTCCCAAACCAATCACCGAAGACTCTAAATAGATCCATATGTCTCGGCAAGTAATAACATGTACTCCTCAAAGGTCCTTACGACGCTGGGTTGTGTCAAAATGATTGACTCAAAGAAATTGCAAAATTGGTGCTTTGAAGGATTTGGTTATATTAAAGTTGCAAAATTTGAGAGACTGAAATTCTATACAAAAGCACAACGTCTAGGGCTTCAAAGGAGCCGTATGACATAATCTAAACCATCTTCCGATGTCGGAAACCCGACACCTCCTGTGGGTAATCTGTAGTTTGGCAGGTTTTGATCCCCCACCGTTGTGCATCCATGTTGCATTTCTCCTGGGTTCGGAGACATTCCAATCTTACCGATCAAGGGTTTGGCATTGCGACAGCGGTGTAACTATATATTAGAATGATTCATATTTCAATGTTGTGACAAATTCTGAAAGATATAAAGATTAAAAAGAAAAATTGATCACAAGGTTGTCAGATGCACTCAATATCTAATGCATTATCTCCACCATCTAACCTTCATGCACTAGATTGGGATTGTCGCCATGAACTTGAAAAATTTCTTGGAACCTAGTGCCCTGATATATAAAGTCCAGCCATAATGTCGCTCTATAACTCTTCCAGAAATCAAGTCTGTTCATAATGGTCGATCTTAGGTCTCCTTTGCAACCTCAGTTCAGCTCGCATGATGACGAGAAGCCTCTGGACAAAGAATACCAGCTTGATCTGGACAAAGTCTCTCAGGAAGACCGAGAGCTCCCAATGAAGACAAAAGGTGTGGCCAGAATTGAAATGGTTAGAGATTATATGGGGAAAAAATACCTATGGCTCTTCGCTTGTTCCATTTTCTTGACTTGTTGGATGGTCGCTTTAGATGGTACCACTACATACAACTATGAGCCTTATGCTACCAGTTCATTTGACAGGCACTCTATGTTGTCGACGTTGACGGTGGCTACATCCGTCATTGGGGCTGTCTGTAAACCATTTGTTGCTAAAATGTCTGACTTGACTTCCAGACCATTCGTCTATGTGGTTGTGTTGGTGCTCTATGTGTTGGGGTTTATCATTGTTGCATGTTCGCCTTCCATTTCTGCCTTTGTCATTGGCTCAGTGTTTATCAGTATTGGTAAGTCGGGTGTTCAATTGATGAACGGTATTATTGTTGCTGACTTCACCAACTTGCAATGGAGAAGTTTCTTCTTGGCATTTTGTACTGTTCCGTTCTTGGTCACCACTTGGGTATCTGGATATATTGTGGAGAATATCGTGGCCAGCAACTGGAAGTGGGGTTATGGAATGTTTGCCATCATTACTCCTGCCACTTTGATTCCTGCTATTGTGATAATGTACTGGCTAGATCATAAAGCTGCAAAGGAAGGAAAGGTTCCTTTTGGAGCTGAACCTTTCACTGCCAAACAGAGAGAAATTGCCAACATGGGCTTGTCTCCTCTCAAAACCAAATTGCTTTTGATCAAGGAAGCTCTTTTGGAAATCGATGCAATTGGCTTGATCTTGCTTGGATTTGCTTTCTCGTTGATCTTGCTTCCATTTTCGTTATACTCTTATGCCGAGAATGGTTTCAGAAATCCAAGTATGATCGCCATGATCGTTGTGGGTGGAATTCTTTTGATTGTTCACATTGTCTACGAGGTCAAGTTTGCTAAATACTCATTGTTGCCCAAGAGAGTTCTCTTCAACAGAACTTTTATTTGCTGTGTCTTTATTGACTTTCTCTACATGTTTGGAGGCTACATGCCACTCTTGTACTTCACCTCATACACCATGGCTACCCTTAACCTCTCCATCAGAGACTGGACGTACCTCTCCAATACCACCACCATGGGACTTTGTTTCTTTGGTGTTATATGGGGTCTTCTTTTCAGAATATACCACAGATACAAGGTATTCCAGGTGGTTGGAATTGCCATTAAATTGATTGGTATGGGCTTGTATGTCAGATGTGCTAGCACTTCCACTCCTCCAAGCTTAGGTAACGTTGTGGCGGGACTTATCATCACGGTTTTAGGTGATGCTGCCAGTGCTATGGGCACACAGGTGGCAGCCCAGGCTGCTGTTCCACACCAGGATTTGGCTGCTACAATTTCTGTATTGTCATTGTACTCCAGTATCGGAGCAGCCATTGGATCAGCCATTACTTCGGTCATCTGGACATCCAAATTGCCCAATGCCATGTACAAGTATGTTCCAGATATCACTAAGGCTGCTACGTTCTATGGAGCAGTTCTGTCAATTGCAGCTGAGCCTTGGGGAAGTCCTGATCGTCTTGGAGCCATCAAAGCTTACCAGGAAGTCAATTACATCCTTTTCTCTGCTGGTTTGGGGGTTTCTTCCTTGATGTTTGTGGTATCTTTGTTCCAGACCAATTTCTATTTGGGTCGCCAGAGAAATTGCTACGAGAAGGATGAGAACGAAGACATCCAAAAGGATAACGAGAAGAATGAAGCGTTCGGACTCTTTGACTGGGTCAAGAAGCCATTCAACTAAACTTGAAACTGATCATTCCCGTTTAATTATTTTGTTTATATATATCCTTTAAAGCAATTCCAATCAACATCTGAAATTTTGAATGTTAATATATCAAGGTTTCCATAGAAATAATAACATAGTAGTATAAACAATGAGAAGACTCACGTCCTGCTACTATCTGGATGTAGTCCTGCGAAGATCATCGCCAATGCTCCAACTTCTTTCGAGAAGAACCCTAGCCTCCATGCCTGAAAATACCAAGAAAGAACTAGTACTGGCACTCGACCACTACTTCTCCACCACATCTTTCCAGTTTACCAGCGAAAACAATGTGTCCAGGCTCCGCACTTGGATGGAACTTGTGTATCTTCGACAACGACCTTTAGTGGCAGTAGACGTGGAAGCATGGGAGCGCAACCCCAACAAAATCACCGAGATTGGGTTGGCCGTCTACGATCCAGACCGCCAGTGGAACCTGATCATGCCTCGGGTGAGAACACTCCATATCCTTGTGAAAGAGAACAAGAACAAGAACAACGGCAGATATGTGCCGAATAACAAGCTCCGATTTAATGGTGGAACGTCGTACGAGATGCTGACGGCGGAGCTGAAAGGTCTCTTGAACGAGATCTTGACCCACTATCTCAACAATCGTAACGGAGTGTTGGTGGGCCATAATATTGGAGGCGACATCAAGTGGCTTGCCAGCCACGGTGTGAAGCTGGTGCAGAACATCGACACAGTAGACACAGAGAAGATGCATCGCATGAGTCGGCTGAGTGGAAGCTCGTTGCGTGGAGTGCTTCGAACTGTAGGTATTCCTCATCTGAATCTTCACAACGCAGCCAATGATGCCTATTACACCTTATTGGCAGCCATGAGCTACTGTGATCCAGAGCAGCGTCGAGTATTTGAATTAGATACGTTTATGGAACTTGCGGTGGTTGAGGGAGACAAGAAGGATAATGCAGCAAGGAAGAAGGCCGAGAAGTTTAGTGACAGTGCTAAGATTTTAATGGGGCACGAGGCTCCCGATGCACTTGACTTTATTGGAAGAGAGCTCGAGTGACGGAGAAGGGTTTATTGGATGTTCGGACTGAAATGAACATCACTGGACTTCACAACGTTTGCTTGATCAAGTTAACTTCAATAAGTTCACTTGAATAATCATTTTCTAGATCTACGAGGTTGATAGGGTACTAGAACAGAGGTAATTTTAATTTGAACTGGAAGGGAAAAGAGTGATTCAGTTCGGGATAACAATCGATTGTGCTGAATCATTCAAGAATTCACTCAGAACATACTTCATTACTGATTTTCGTAAATTTACTTGTTAAATTCTCCAAGACGCCTTATACTCTGAAGCCTTCTCGAAAAGACCTTTGTTTCTAAAATCTTCGAGTTTGCAAATAGTTATTACCTCAATTTCTTATCTATCCAATGTCTATCTTTCCATAATCCATCATGTAAGCCTTCACACAGTCTCATCTCCACAATATCACTTACTTGAACAATTTCTCGTAATGCCTCCGTATGTCGGCACTATCACCAGGAGAATGCCAATTTCTGCCATTCCTCCATTCTAATTCCAGATCCGTTACTAACTTGCAGAAAAAAAGCTGTCTCAAAGGCCGTCAAGGTAGTCAAGGAACCAGTGTTCAAATATTCCAAAGTCGAGAGCAAATACAAATTTGGTGCCCATGTGGCCATGGCTGGAGGCGTCAGCAAAGCTGTCACTAACGCCATGGACATTGGTGCAAACAGTTTTGCTCTTTTCCTCAAATCTCCAAGAAAATGGGTATCCCCAGATATCAAGGATGAGGAAGCCAACGAATTCAAGAGACTATGCGAAAAGTACGGATATAACCCACGTACAGACGTGTTGCCACATGGATCATACTTTATTAACCTCGCTAATCCCGATCAGGAGAAGGCTGAGAAGGCTTATGGTGGATTCATCGACGATTTGCGTCGGTGTGAGAAGTTGAATATTGGCCTCTACAACTTTCACCCAGGCTCTAGTTTGGACGGTGATCATGGTGATGCCTTGAAACAGTTGGCAAAGAATATCAATAGGGCTATTCAGGAGACTTCTTTTGTTAAGATTGTCATCGAAAACATGGCGGGACATGGAAATTTGATTGGATCCAACTTACAAGATATCAGAGACGTGATAGACTTGGTAGAAGACAAGTCGCGTGTGGGAGTCTGTATCGATACCTGCCACACGTTTGCTGCCGGGTATGACATCTCGACCCAAGATAAGTGGGATGCATTCTGGAAACAGTATGAGGAAGTCATAGGGTATGAGTACTTAAGTGCTATACATCTCAACGACTCGAAGGCGCCATTGGGAGCCAACAGAGATTTGCACCAGAAGTTGGGTTATGGTTTCTTGGGACTCGAGGCATTTAGAATAGTGGCCAACGATAAGAGACTCCAAGGAATCCCAATTATTTTGGAGACCCCAGTGGGTAAGGACGATTCTATTTATGGAGAGGAGATCAAGCTATTGGAATGGCTTGAGGGAAAAAGCACTGATGACTCTGAGTATTTGGAGAAGCTGGAGTCCTTGGCAAAGCTTGGAGCTACTGAGCGTGCTGAGCACTTGAAGAAGTTTGAAGTGAAAACAGCAAAGAATGAAAGGGCAAAGAAGCGTGGAGGCGACATCCTGGCACTTTTGAAGAAGGGAAAGAGAACCAAAAAGGAGGAGAAGGATGAGGCGGAGGTGAAGGATGAGGTGAAGGAGGAGTAGAAGTGATAACTTTATGAGAACGGCTAGACCTTACTTGTTAATGTCTATAGGATAAAGTGGCAGTAGCTCTATTTACAATATTCAGCAGCAAGCATGTTTGAACCAATTGACATTCTCCGTGTAGCCATTGACACAAACTGTTGGCCATAAACTTCAGGTATTCAATTATTGATATTTTATGGCCCGAAATGTCCAATTGATAACCATGTAATTACACTTATAGTACAAGACTTATGAATAGTCTTCAATTCAGACGTCAATGAACCATTTAATAATGATCTCAATTCCAGCTAACCAGTGCATCCATGTTGCTTAGTCCCATTTTCGTCTACTCCTCTATTCCTGCCTCGTCTTCTCAAATGGACACTGGACTTTCCTTAACAAACATTGCCACCACATTACCACCAAAACATGAAACAATCAATAAAGAAAAAAACGAACCCACAAGAAAAACTAAAAAATCTAATTATATTTTTCTCATCATACCCATTTAATTGACCTCATTTGATCTCACCATTCATTCAAGCCATTTCAGCCCCATCCTCCAATGCATATATGGTCCGCGCACGACCTCTACATAAAAATCTCACAAGTGCAACATCAACTTCAACCTTATCACCACATGTTTGGAAGAACGTCCTCGGGATTCGGGGGATTCAGTGGCAATAACGCAGCATCCACTTCCCCATTTGGTAATGCTGCTAACACAAACTCCTCACCGTTTGGCCTGAACACCAACACAACCTCGGCTTTTGGTTCCAACTCTGGAGGTGTGTTTGGAAATTCTACCAACACCAACCAGCCCAGCGCCTTTGGAGCCTCCAACACGGGCTCTGCGTTTGGAAACACTGCCAATGCGGGAAACTCCACCTTTGGCGCCACAAATTCCGGCTTTGGCCAATCCAATTCCATGTTCCTGGGCAACCAAGCCAATACATCCTCTTCTCCTTTTGGAAACAACACCACGGCAGCTAGCGGTGGAGCATTTGGCTCTTCCAGCACCGGCGGTGGTATTTTTGGCTCGTCAGCTCAGAAGCCATTCGGTTCGTCCTTCGGAACGCCCCAGAACACAAACACTTCTCCGTTTGGTGCCACCACTCAACCTGGAGGTGCGTTTGGCTCTGCTGGTGATCCTAACACCAACAATGGTACCGCTGTTAAGCCCTTCACGCCTTTCTCTGAGAAGGACACTTCAGGCACGAACTTCTACCAGAGTGTTAGTGCAATGCCCGACTACAAAAACTTTTCGGTCGAGGAGTTGCGCTTGAAAGATTACGAACAGGGCAGACGCTACGGTAACGGCACTGCTGCAAATACTTCTGGTTTTGGTGCTCCTGCCACTTCTGGCTTTTCATTCGGTGCCAACAACAATGCTGCCAACACTAACGCTACCTCAGCATTTGGAGCTTCCAACAACAATGCATTTGGAGGCACGGGCTCAGCATTTGGAGCTTCCAACAACAATACTGGCTCGGCGTTCGGCTCGGCCTTTGGTGCCAACAACACTGCCACTAACACTGGTGGTATCTTCGGTCAGTCTAATACCAATTCCTCCCCGTTTGGAGCCAATAACACCGCCAGCAACGCCGCATCGGGTGGTTTTGGCTCTGCTTTTGGAAGCACCAACTCTGCATTTGGTGCCAACAAGCCTTCAGCTTTTGGTTCAGCTTTTGGTGGCTCCACTAACACTGGCTTCGGTGCTACCAACAACACCAACACTGGCCTGTCTGCGTTTGGCGGAGGATTTGGATCGAACAGTTCGCCCTTCGGCCAGAACAACAATAACAGCGCCGCCACTAATGCATTCGGCACCACCAACAACAACAACAACAACAACAACAGTTCTCCTTTCGGTGGTGCCAATAATACCTCTACTAATGCTGGAGGACTTTTTGGCTCGAACAACAACACTGGAGCCTTTGGCTCCAACAACACCAACTCAGCATTTGGAGCCAACACTAACAACAATGCTAGTGGAGGCTTGTTTGGTCTGAACTCCACATTCGGGAAGCCTGCAGCCTCTGGTGGTCTCTTAGGTAACAATAACAACCAGTCTACCGCCTTTGGTGCCAACACGAACAACAACACTGGCGGCGGCTTGTTTGGCTCGGCAAGCAACACCAATAATAATACTGGAGGCGGCTTATTCGGTAGCAACAATCAGAATAACAATTCTGGAGGCTTGTTTGGTGCTAACAACAATACTCAGAACAACACCTCAGGTGGTCTCTTCGGAAGCACAGCACAGAATAACAACAACAACACAGGTGGCGGCCTATTTGGTGCCAAGCCGGCTACTGGGGGCTTGTTCGGTGGAAGTAACTCTGGAAATACTGGAGCAAACACTAGCTTTGGTGCAACTCAAAACACTGGAACCTCCGGTGGCTTGTTTGGTAGCAAGCCTGCGGGCACTACTGGTGGTTTATTTGGTAGCAACAACACTGCTACCAATACTGGGAGTGCGGGTGGTTTATTTGGTAACAACAACGCTGGCCAATCTACTGGGGGAGGTCTATTTGGTAATAACACCCAGAACACTTCTACTGGAACTACCGGTGGGCTTTTTGGAAAGCCTGCTACGAACAATCTTGGACAGAGTGGAGGCTTGTTTGGAAACAACAATGCTACGGCGAACACAAATACATCAGCCAACAATGGTGGAGGATTGTTCGGAGGACAACCGCAACAGAACGGTCAGCAGAGCATTGTCAACATCAATGCTTTAAACCCATATGGTGACAATCAGCTCTTTAACGCTCTCACCAAGTCCATCCAGGAGACGGGAACTGTTCCAACTGCTGTTGCTGTGGATTCGCAAAGAAAGAAGAAGGTTTCATTAGCTTCTGCCCATAAAGCTGCTCCACTCTTTGGTCCATCAAGAGTGGTTACGCCACCAGTGTCAACACCTAAGTTTGAGATTCAACCTACTATTAACTCAACCAAACAGACACCATTCACTGCTGAAGTTGACAGAGCCATTTTGTCTTCAGATATATTTTCTCCAAAGAGCGACTTCAGAAAATTGGTTGTGAACGGCTCCAGCGAACCTTCTTCAAGCCTCATTGCATACGATGCCCCCAAGGAATCCCCTACGAGAGTATCATTTGACGTTGCCAAGAAAGAAATTGAACCCGCTGTTTTGGAGAGTAAGCCGGAAAACGAAGTTGACGAAGACGGATACTGGACGTTACCACCATTATCTGAGTTGAGAAAGAAGTCATTGGGTGAGTTACGTAAAATCGAGAACTTCACGATCGGACGTAAGCACTACGGAGAACTCAGATTCTTAAAGCCTGTTGACTTATCTGGATTCAACTTGGACGAAATTTGCGGAAATATTGTCGAGTTCAGCTCAAGAAATGTGGTCGTCTACCCTGATGACAATCAGCCCAAGGAAGGTGAAGGTTTGAATATCCCAGCGGAAGTAACTCTAGAGGGATGTTATCCAATTAACAAGAAGACGAAGTTGGCTATTTTGGATCCAAAGGATGAGATTGTGAAGAAGCATATCGAGAAGTTGAAATCTTTGAAAGAGATGAAGTTCAAGAATTATGACCCTAACACGGGAAGCTGGACTTTCACATTCGATCATGTTTAAATAGCTGTGCAATCACATCCTGCACACAGGTACAACACGCGTTACTTTAAGTACGTGATGATGCTTGTCTCATCAATTCATTCATCATAACGATCATCCATGGGAGTCAAAGGTACTGTGCCAAAATAAAAATTGTATCAAAGTAAATAGTAACTAACAATACACAGGTCTCAATCAGCTCGTTAAGGAGCACGCTCCCGAAGCATTCAAAGAGTTCCAGCTCAAGAATCTTTTCGGTAGAAAAGTAGCCATCGATGCCTCCATGTGCTTGTACCAGTATCTTATTGCTGTGAGACAACAGGATGGTCAACAATTGACCAGTGAAGATGGTGAGACTACATCGCATTTGCTGGGCATGTTCTACCGAACAATTCGACTTGTGGAGAATGGAATCAAGCCACTATATGTTTTCGATGGAAAGCCTCCAGTGTTGAAAGGTGGAGAATTGGAGAAGAGATTGTTAAAAAGACAGGAGGCTGAAAAGCAAATCGAAGAGTTGAAAGAAACTGGTACGGTGGAGGAGTTGATGAAGTACGAGAAGAGAACCGTTCGGGCATCCAGAGAACAGAACGACGAGGCCAAAAAGCTCTTAGAATTGATGGGAATTCCATATGTTTTAGCACCATCAGAGGCAGAAGCACAATGTGCTGAATTGGCTCGTGGAGGAAAGGTTTTCGCTGCCGCATCTGAAGATATGGATACCTTGTGTTATGAACCCAAGTTTCTCTTGAGACATTTGACCATGGCTGAGGCACGAAAGATGCCAATTGATCAAATCGAATACAGTGAGATGTTAAAGGGACTTGATATGGATAGACTGACATTTGTGGACTTGTGTATATTGCTAGGGTGTGACTACTGTGAAACTATCAAGGGTATTGGTCCAGTGACGGCATTCAAGCTCATGAAGGAACACGGATCGTTGGAAAAGATCGTCAAGTGGATTGAAGATAACCCTGAGAAGACAAAGTACAAGATTCCAGAGAATTGGCCATATGACGAGGCCAAGCAGTTATTTATGAACCCAGAGATCAGTAAGGCAGAGGATGTGAACTTCAAATGGGAAGAACCCAACGTGGATGGACTTGTGGAGTTTATGGTAAAACAAAAGGGCTTCAACGAGGATAGAATCAGGAGCGGAGCGGAAAAGCTCAAGAAGGGCTTGAAAGGTGGAGTCCAGGGCCGTTTGGATGGATTCTTCACTGTGGTGAAGCTGAGTTCACCAAAGAGAAAGAACGAGAAGGAAACAAAGGGGAAGGGGAAGAAGAAGGCCAAGCGTTAGCAACATTAACGTACTAATGAACAATCAGATAATATTAATTGTTCTGTAATTGATAGTTCTTGGTAATATATTCAACTTCTACAGGGTTCTTCTCCTACTTATTCATGTACGCTTTCAAAGCTACTCTAATCTCTGGATGATTTCTTCTTCTTCTTCTCGGCCTCCTTCTGCTTTTCGGCCTCAATCTCCTCCACGTACTTCGAAATCTCCTCAATGGTCAACTGCTCAATGACGTTGTTGGGTTTCAAGACAGAAACCTCGATGTTCTTGGCTCCCGTTTGCACAACCTCCAATAACGACTTCACTGTCAACTTGATCGTTTGCTCATCAGATAAGTTTTCCTCGTAGTTCTTCTCCAAGAACTCTTTGACAGTCTTGGCTGATCTGCCAATGGCATGGGCTTTCCACGCATTGTAAACTCCACTTGGCTCTGTTTGATATAATTTTGGAACGGTGTCGTTGGAGTCAAAGCCGGCGATCATGGTTGCAATACCAAAGGGTCTCACACCTCCTGACTGTGTGTATCTCTGCTGTACTCCTGCAACGTACTTAGTCAAGTATTCTATGGACACGGAATCTTCCAAATTCAAGCGGTGGGACTGAGCCTCCACACGGGCTTTGTCGACCAAAATACGAGCATCGGCGTTCAAGCCAGCAAACGTCAACAATACGTGGTTGTCCACTTTGCAAATTTTTGACGGGGTGATTCTTGGATCCTGTAGTTTCAAGGTTGTTCTCTTCTCACATCCTAAGACCACACACAGCGATCCTTTGATACCGACGGCACATGTGCCTCTCTTGACTGCTTCTGATGCGTATTCGACCTCTATTTTGTTAGTATAAGCGATAGATAAATGGAAAGGTGATAGATAAACGAAGGAAATGGAGGAGTTTACCAACACGGATATACAAGATTACTCTCCTGAGAAACATTCAATTGAATAATGTTATTAGGAAAAAAAATGAATCCGATCAGTAAACAGAAAACACTGGAGACGTTTTCTCCAGGGAAAGAGCCGAATATCCGGCCGTTGGTTCGTAACTTGGTCACTAATACTTGAACACTGGGCTGGACCATTAATCTTTCATTCAATGGCATGAAAATAGCCATGAACTCGAGCTTTTCATCCTTGGAAAAAGAGGACCGTCTCTTACTACCACATTCTCGAACGGAAACCTCCACACTTGTCAGGACGTATTATATTCACCAATATTCGTGTTGATACATACGGAAAACATGGCCATCAGGGCTAAAGGTTAGTATGGGTAAAATCACAGGCAAATGACGATTACATACGAAAAAATGGACAATGCACTATCGTAGCCACTCATTGTTTTTGATGATTAAGTAGCTGAATATGGTGAGCACGAAAGTTGGAGGTTTGCCTCTGAGGTGGTGGTACTGCACAAAACGACACTTGTCGATGTCGCCCACAGCGTGTTATTTAGAATAGATGAACTTTTTTTGGAATCAACTGAGAATATTGAAGGAAATAACAAAAGAGGTTTTATTCATAATCATTTGAAAGATGAATTTGTTTGAAGTACCATTTTGAAACTCGTTTCCTGTATATAATACACATGGGTCCAATGTGATTTCGAAAAAATAAGTCCGAAAACTTGAAAATTCTTATTGAAAAATAAGAAAAAGCATTCTTTCAGAGAAATCTATTCATTATCAGTTTTCAATTGTGTCATACCATCTCGTGTGGTCGAATCTGGTACAGTTCTCTTCAAGATGGTCACGTGTACACGACTCCATCTCCAATCCTACATCATCAACTCTTTCAAAAATGGCTAAACAAGTTAAATTGCCGAGAGTCAGCAAGGACCATTATGCACGTGTGTCATATCTCTTTCAGGCAGCCAGCTTCTATGCTAGTCGTGGTGTGCCTGTGATGAGCAACATGATGGCACGAAACGTGGATCTTGTATCGAAAAGAACAGTTCTCAAGCTTCTGCCACATTTGAAGAGGACAATGTGTAAAAAGTGCTTTCTGGTGCTTATTCCAGGACTCACTCTCTCAATGAAAATTGAAAATAGACTGAAGGAGCACGAAAACAAGGGGAAATCGCCAAAAGCAGATGTTTTGGTTCATAGTTGTTTAAAGTGTAACAATCAGAAGCGATATCCCATTGGAAAGGATCCCGAATATAAGTTATTTTGTGAGAAGGAGGGTATTCTTCATTGAATCTTTATTGGACAAGGATACAGAGCAATTGAATAGTATATCTGAGGGACAAGGAATGTTGAGAAACGGATCAAAGGGCATATGAACTGGAATATCATTGATAGTTTGGGCTGATTGATAGACATCGGTGTTTGGAAGTGAACTAATGAATTTTGAGGTTCTTCAAATTTGGACTTTGAGTCTTTTGCTTCAGGATATGCATGGCATCTAATCAGTAATAATGGCCACAATTATTCAGATTAACACTGATGATTTCATACCCATTTCATGATTTTTTATGATCTTGTGATTCCTGACAAATTTAAGCACCATTCTTACCCTGAAGCTTTCACTCTGATCTGTTCTGGACATTCTTAATCCTGTTGTTGGCTCCTTCAATCCCTCATCTATCAATTCTTATTCCTCGCATAAAATCATGCATTTTACAGACAAAATTCAAAACTTGGCCTGCCTCCTATATAAACTTGGAACTCTGTCTCTGGGCCTGAGCCTGAGCCTGGCGACGTGCTGGATATACACGAGCCCCAAAGAATCCATATTTGAAGCCGATTTCATGGGCAAAGATTTCGCCAAATCCCAACATTATACCGTTAATAAACGGAAGCACCAAGTTGATGGCGCCTTTCCTAAGTATTCCAAACAAATCAAGTGTAATGACAGGCCGTGTACTCACAACTTTCTCCTCGTAATCCTCATCCAACTCGCCCATCTCTTCCAGCTCTTCTCTTCCTTCAAGTATTATGCTGTGCGTGTGTGTGATGTCCTCATTGGATACCAATTCATCTGACGACATTTGCGAGGAGATGATGGTGTCAGCGTCTTCTTGGAAAATGTCCAGAGCTTCCTTGGTGAGCTCAACCACGGGCTCTGCTACGATAGCTGCTGTTGCTGCTGCTGCTGTTGACATTTGGGAGGTTCGTATTTTCCTATTCAAGGAGACTGAATGGGTTATTTGTTGTGAAAAATAACAATTTAAAAGAGAATGGTATAATGTGGAGGTGTGAGGGAAGGTTTGTAGGTTCATGATGTGTGTGGGATGTACGGGTGCGAACTCAGGTGGCAGATAAAGTGCCGACCTGGTCAAGTGGGAGAAAGTTGTTTTATGGGGAGAATGATATCTTTGGAATAATATTGATTTTTAATGGTTTTTATTGTAACTTGAGGGAGACTGGATATTTTAGGTCACAAATGCTCAAGCACTCACTATCTTCTGTAGTTTTCAGCAAAATTAACTTAACGACTTGTTCAGTAATCCTTTATTGATTGATTGATTTCATTTTACCTTCTGTGCTACAGAAGTGTTGTCTTTTGTTCATTTTTCGTTTTTGGGTTTCCGTAAGTGAGATCAATAAAGTGAGGCAAATCCTCAATTGAAATGTTTCATATAGACACTTCTTATCGCTGCTGCTGAAGCTAACGAGTAAATTTTTTCTTCATCCTGTCAAACCACTGGCATCATTCAGTAGACTAGATCATCACATACTCTCCGCTATCATCTAACTCCTCGTCAACCATTAAGTACTCACAATATCTCTTGAAACACTACTCGTAGCGACTCTTTTCTTTAATTTATCTTGCAGTGCTTGTTCGATTTACCTTACATCCCGGCCCTTCAGTAACCCATGGGGACTTACTGCCCACACTAGGTTTACAGTTCACTAGATGTGGACTATATTGCTTTTACCCTACTGATGTATCGTTGAGGCAATCTTAATTGAACTTCGTGGTTCTTGCAGAAGATTAGTATTTGGTGTGTTGATTCGCATGGAGTATTACCAACTTTGAAGATACCGAGTTTCTTCAACACATATTCAAAGCTCTCATTTATTCACCTTACTCTCCATTTTGGACTTAGTACCCACACTCTTCCCTTGATTCACCCTCTTCTGTGTCAAGGCAGCGATAACCGCAGCTCCCACTCCAGATCCATCCTCAGCATGTACAATCACAATGGGATCATCCTTCTCACTCCATTGGAAGATGTCTCTCAACGCTCTTGCTGCTCTCTCCTTGAAACCTGGGTATTTTTCATAAACAGACCCGTCAGCAGCACAATGAGCAGTCTTGTAGTTTCTCTTCTTGCAAATGGCAGCGATGCCACATACTGCGAGTCGGGCTGCTCTTTCTCCAACAAATGAAGCCAATTCTTTGAGAGCTTGACGATCTTCGTAAGTAGACTCAACTCCTAGCAGTTGCAACTTTTTCTTTGAATTATCTAATTCGTCTGAAGTGTCCAGGTCGAATAGTGACGGGAAACTCGAGTCCATGACATAAGGTTCTTGTAATTGCTTGTAGCCATTATCGCCAAAAATGAGTTTCTTCTCTGCCAAGTCAAGAATGAGCATTCTCAATACCTCACCCATGTAATAGCCAGAAATCATTTTTTCAAATGACTGTTGACCAGGGCGAGGCGACTCATCGTCAATACGAATATCATACTTCGTTCTCGGTAACACGGCATGTTCGTTATCGAAAGATCCATACTCGCAGTTGATAGCCATTGGAGTATTGTCGGAAATATCGTCTACGAGCTTGCCCTCCAACTTCGGAATATCTCCACACCTCTCATAGTAGGCTCCGTTGACTCCGGTACCGAAAATTAATCCCATCCGGGTCTCCTTGTCTGTGTAGGTGGAAGCAACCAACGTGCCCGTAGTATCATTGATCAATGCGACGACTTCAATGGGAACATTCAATTCTTTCAAAGCCTTGGTCAACATGGGTACTACGTCGTATCCTTCGACCCCGTGGATGTCATATCCTTTGGTCCATCTCTGCAAAATGCCTTCGTCAATGATGTCCTGAGATGCGGGATACGAAAAAGTGAAGCCTAAAGGAATGGGCTCAGACAAATTAGACGGAAAGTTCTCGTCCACAAAAGTTTTCAAACATTCGGCCATGAACTTGAATAGTTCGTCAGCTTCCGCAGTTCTAATTCCCTCAGGCAACGAATATTTGGACTGTTTTGTTTCAAACTGATTGTTCCCTTTCAAGGTCACATTCACTACTCGCAAGTTGGTTCCTCCCAAGTCAATGGCCAAGTATTCGCCGGTCTCTTCGCCCGTTGGGTAGTCTAAGACCCAGGCAGGAATCATGGGGATATTTCCCCCCTTTTTGGACAAACCTTTGTCAAGTTCATTGACAAAATGATTGGTGATTTTTTGTAAGGTACCAGCACTCACAGTGAGATCATTACGGATACGAGCAATTTCTTTTTGCAACTGAGAGGTCGATCTTTGGTCAGTCGACATGGCAATTGGAGATTTGGAAATAGTTGAAGCAACCAAATCTCTTGGGAGTGGTATGTTCCCAAGTACATTGCTGGTGTGGAGTTAAGAGCACCTGCAGCAACTGGAAAAGGTTTCTCCGAGATCAACTCCGAAGTATGGGGTAGGTAAAGACTAGAAACATAGAGAATACATTTCAGAGATTCAAAGAGTACAATTGATGCCAACATTTTGTCGTGACTTCATCCTTCTGTTGTTTACCATTTGCCTCAAACAATTGTCCTTGGTCAATGACTCGAATACCGGTAAGAGAATATTCATCTCCAGAGTACAATTACATGGCAATAATTCTATTCGTGTCATTAAACATATTCTAATTGGCAACACCAACACTCTTGCCTTCCTTCAATCTGATCTCGGTCAAAGCAGCAATCACAGCTGCACCAACACCAGAACCATCCTCAGCAGGGACAATAACGATTGGGTCCTCCTGGTCGTCGGCCCAGCCGAAAATGTCTCTCAAACCCTTGGCGGCTCTCTCCTTGAAACCTGGGTACTTCTGGTACACGGAACCGTCAGCAGCACAGTGAGCAGTCTTGTATCCTCTCTTTTGACAGATAGCAGCGATACCACAGACAGACAAACGGGCAGAACGCTCACCAATCAACTCTGCGAACTTTCTGATGACCTTTCTTTCGGCCACGGTGGTCTGGATTCCGAGGTGCTCGGAGAACAAGTCCTGGACATCAGACAAGTTCTCAAATGGATCCTCCTCAATTCTGGCTGGGAATGAGGTGTCCATGACGAAAGCCTCGTGCAATTTGCTCAAGTCCTGGTCCTTGAAGATCAACTTTTTCTCGTCGGCCAAGTCGAGCAAGATCAAACGCAAAACTTCTCCCAAGTAGTAACCAGAGATCATCTTCTCGAACGACTGCTGACCTGGTCTTGGAGACTCAGCATCGATCTGGATGTCGAACTTAGTTCTTGGCAACACCAAGTGCTCATTGTCAAACGAACCGTACTCACAGTTAATGGCCATTGGAGTGTTTGGAGTCACATCGCTGTGAAGTCTACCCTCCAACTTTGGAATGTCTCCACAATTGTCGTAGTAGGCACCGTTGACACCAGTACCGAAAATCAAACCCATCTTAGTCTCGGCATCAGTGTACATGGAAGCAACCAAAGTACCAGTGGTGTCGTTAATCAAGGCAACAACCTCAACTGGAACCTCCAACTTCTCAATGGCACTCTGCAACATTGGGACAACATCCTTACCCTCCACACCGGAGATGTTGAAACCCTTGGTCCATCTCTGCAAGATACCCTCGGTGATTTTATCCTGAGAAGCTGGGTAAGAGAAGGTGAAACCCAATGGCAATGGAGCGGAAACACCTTCTGGGAAGAACTCGTCAATGAACTTCTTCAAACAGTCGGCAATGAAGTCCCACAACTCGTCGCTGGTGGCCTCTCTCATGGTCTTTGGCAAGGCAAATTTGGACTGGGTGGTGTCGAACTTGTGGTCTCCCAACAACTTGACCAACACAACTCTCAAGTTGGTTCCTCCCAAGTCAATGGCCAAGTAGTTACCGGTTTCCTGGCCAGTAGGGAAGTCAAGAACCCAACCTGGAATCATTGGGATGTTACCTCCCTTCTTGGACAAACCCTTGTCCAATTCGGAGATGAAGTGCTTGGTAATCTTCTGCAAGGTCTCTGGAGTCAACGTGAGAAGTTTCTCGATCTCCTTGATCTCATCAAGGAGAGCCTGAGGGACATCGGTGAAGGTACCCTTTCTGTGCTGAGGTGGCTTTGGACCTAATCTGACCATTTTGCAAGATGTTTAGTTTTGGAAATGGAAAAGAAAAAAAATACTGTCGGGGGAGTGGTGGTTTTATAATGTTGGCGGTGGGTGGTATGTGCACTCCGTCAACTTTTGAGCTGATTGAAAAATTAGTGAAGATTAAGAATATTTTAGAGAGGAGATGTTACCATATTTATATTCGGCCAGATGACAAGACGCAAGGTGTTGGGTGGTCGGATTATTCCCCACTAGCCCCACGTCTCTCCAATTTTTGCCGTAGAATATCGTAGAATAGGGTGGGCTAATTAGTCTGGTGATGGCTTTCCGGAGAAATAATGCCTGCGCGGGCGCATTCGGAGTCAACGCCTCGGGTGATTTTACTCCGCGGTGTACCATACACTTGGTTTGAGATTTCGATCGGAATTTTCGGCTGGATTGTGTTCTCCACAACACATGTGGAATAGATACTCACTTTGATCAAATGAAAATGGTCGGTCGAAGAGGAAAAAAGTGAGAGGTTGGGGTAGGTGCCCCTCTGGGGCCCCGGAATAACTTGAGCGCGGGGCTGCAGGCATGGCGTCAGGTTTTTCCGGCAGTGCATGGTCCCCCACGAATTCTCCACCAATGACTGACAACAATCTGGCACAAGACTGCAACGCATGGCCAGATATGCACGCTGCCAGTCCTAGAGCTTCGACATGCTGCCAATGAAACGCAGTTGCGTGGCCGGAAAAACCCCACCTTTGGCGCCATGCACGTATGGCTCTCTAACCGCATGACATGGGGCATGACGACCCAGCAATAGTTTCTCCGAAATCTCCACTCGTGTTTTTGTATGCGTTTATGTGGGCCGACGTCAAACTGGTGTTGTGGTGTGGTGACGTGACGTTTCGATGTCAAAAATTCATGATAGGAGTAGTTTTCAAGACAGCAATGACCACTTGGCAAATTTTTTTTCACACATAGAAACTAATCAGTTGGCTCAAGGATTCCCTCTTTACCTGCTAGGTGAATTATGTCGACTTTTAGTGGCACCATTACCAAATCAGGTAATCACCGACATACAGTGGTAAAAGTGTATCCGACACACTGTTGACATCGACAAATCTACATACCATCTTGTTACGTATGCTAATATATTGCTATTGCTTCAGTGACTACAGATCCCATATCGACATGTCACTATCTATCCCGTTCCCAGTCTTGGAAGTACCTTGCCTATTTTCTACCAAACCCATCAACAGCTTCCTATCCTCATTGAACGACTCTCATCCAGTTACTCATTTCTCTCACCAGAACCTCTTAATCACATTCAATCAGTCATTCTCTCACCAAATTTTCTTGATCTCCTCATCAAACTTCTTCATCTGCTCTCCGACATCCTTCATGTGCTGTCTCACGTCTCCCACATATTCACTTAACTCTTCCATATCTCTACGCTGAGGATTGTCGTCGTCCTTGCTCTGACCAAAGAAAAACTCATGCATCCGCTTCTTCGTTTCCTCGCTTTCTTTCTGTACAGCCTCTGCACTGAACTCTCCTGTCTCGATGGTTTCCCGTGCCCCATTTCTTCGCTGTTCACGACTCAAATCACTTCTTTCCGTGTGTTTGGCCATAACCTCCAATAGCCTCTGCTGGGACTCCTTCAAAAGCATCAACTGCCCCGTGAAATTCTCACTAAAGAAGGATCCGCGTGCCTTGACTTCGTCTGCCATGGTCTTGACATCGTCCAAAACATCAATCTGTGTCCACAACTTATCCAGCATTGTCACGCTGGCTTTAGCTGTTGATAGTTGGTCTAATGTTAAAATGCTTTGTGCATCTATACCTGTGAAGCCTGAACCTGTGTCGGTATTCTGGGTAGCCGTTCGGCTGATTCTTCCACGAGGTTTGGAGGCCATGGAGGAGGTCGACGGCTGGAAGTTGGTGTAGCTGCTCATCGGAAGGGTTTTTTATTGGCTGAAATGAAATTATTGTAAATGGTTCAAATGTTGAGACTCAGGCGTTCTGACCTGTGAAAGCAAAGGGTAGTAATGTGGTTGGTAATTGGGTGTGGAGCATACAGGATAATCATGGTAAGTATTTGAATTATCACGAAAGAGTATCAAGGGTGAGGTGTGGGATGAAAAACTTGGTAGTGAACATAGAGAATTCAGGAGCGTGTAGATTTGGCTTGGTTTATTGAACGTTTGGCAGCAAACTTTGGTGTTCTTTTGTTGAGGTGATACGTGGTGAGAGAAACAATGTAAACACTTAATTTTCACATCACGTCAACACTCTTTCAGACCATCCATGTATCAGGCTAAATGACAAATGGAATGATATTTAGATGCAATAGACTAGCAATGTATCAACTTACTATACTAGCAGTGAATTATCTCGGCATAAAACTTGATATGAAGGCTCGCAACTGATCTTCAAAGTTATACATAATTTGTTCTGGTTATGCCTGTCACATCTAAATTGAATTGCTTTAATTTGAGTACTTCATCGGCACCGTTAGTATACTACTCTTTCGAATGTTCAACAAACGCTCAGGAATCTAAGTTGAAAGAAGATCCAATTGGGAGGTTGTGACCACTTTTCCAAGATTTTTATTCAGGCCAAATTATGATATAAATTCATTTGAAAAGGAACTGAGAAATATTTCCTTGCAAGAAATTTTGAAAATTTGATACCTTCTACCTATACTTTTCTCAGACCGTGATAATATGAAGCCTGTTATCTTTTTCAGGAAGCGTACACATAATCCCAATTTCTTTCAAAACTGTGTCAAAAATACAAAATAAAAATGCAAAATAAAAAATAAAGTAAAATACAACAAAAAAATGCATAAAATAAACCGCACCAATGAAGAATAAAACCATCTGAAATGCCCTTATAACCCAACATCATCTTTCCAGCAACTTTCACGTTCATAGTGGCCCTCATACCACACCAGGTTCATCTTCCTAGTCCAAGTCGCGCACTCAAGTCAACTACCAGCTAATAGTGGAGACCCATCTCCATTTGGCCAACCAATCCAATACTGCTCATTCATGATTATTGGTTTCTCCGTTAATTGCTACTAGGAGTCAAAACAATCGGTCAGACTCTCACATTTATTAAGTCCCAAATCTTTAAACTGATTGCAAAGATCAGAATCGACACCATCATCATCTTCACCACCACATGCCATGGAGGCCTGGAAAAAGCTCCTCTACCTCCACCAGCCGTTTCCTGATAACTACACCGATGTATCATTCCTTGACCAGCTAAAACGGAACACAACCGTTGCAAAATATTCATACAAGAAGCTTTTCCAGGATTTCTCGCTCATTGGATTGTATGCCTCGTTGCTACTCTTGGTCAATGTTAATTTCACCGGCATCTATGCAAGTATTTGGCTGCCGTACCTTCCTACGGTGATATCCAGTGGTTTGGCGCTTGTGTGTCTCGTGGCAGATGCCCGACTGGGATCAACACATCAATTTAGAGCGTACGTGGTGATCTTAGTGCTTTTGCTTCTAGTGTCTCCAGTTTTGCGCTCATTGAACGAGTCAACGTCGCTGGACTCCATTTGGGCGGTTTCAACCATCTTGACGGTTCTCAATATCATTTGCCACGACTACTCTCTTGACGGAACTGGTAATTACCGTTCCATTCTCTCTACGAACATGTCATTTGCCAATGGAATCGTGCTTGCATCGCGTCTTCTGTCTTCCATGCGGGTCTTTTCCTTCTTGGTGTTCTCCATAGAGGTTTCTATTCTTGTTCCTTTATTTGACTTCAGACTACGACAAATTCTGACTAGGGCCATTATGTTTTAATGTCTTGTGTTTGTTCATTAGTGGCATGGGCTGTTTATTTCGCATACGGGCCTGGATTTGTTCTTTTATACTTGATGGGTTTAACTTTTGTTCTGGTGGTTCTTCCGCTATACTTTGAGCATTTGCAAAAGTATAAGAATGAGTTGCAAGGTCCATGGGACGTCGCCAAACCAACAATAAGAGCAACATATAGTTGATTAAATAACACAACATTGCAGTTTCTAATTGAATGAAAGCTTCTTTCCATGCTGTCCTAAGAACGAGAAGACTAAAAGTAGAGAGGACTTCTGTCTCCTTCTTGATGCATGTTGAAAGTCAAGTCTTGGCAGATTCACCAGGTCTCACACTTCCGCCAGGATTCAGAAAAGTTAATATACTAGTCGTCTTTTCATTCCTGTTGTGTAATGCACATGGCTCAATTAGCTGTTCATCAGCATGGCCGATGATGATATACGCCAATAATTTCGACAAGGTTTTGCAGAATTAAGAGCTGAAGTACCATCATATAATGCCCATTAGCTAATGAAGGTCATAATACCATGTAATAAAAACAAGGAATCCAAGAAATGCGATCAGGAAAGCACCAAATCCTGAAAAAAAAGTCACCAACATACGGCCCGCCTGCTTTTGTTGAATATCAAGAATATCCGCGTCATTGGTCACTATCATAATATCATCTTCCCTAAACATAGAATGTACATTCACTTCAACATCTGTAACAGCCATTGTGTTCCTCAAGATCTTGGATTCTGAAAAGAAAACCCACACCTTATGAAAAATGGGTATTGATTGAAAGTTTGAAGCTGGATAATGAGATGCAGCGTAATCTGCAGCCTGCTGGACGGTACTTTCTGGATCAAAAACAAAGACGGCTTCTTTTTGTGAATAAAGATTGGTAAATGTGGGGTCTTTATTCTTCGTAATAAACTTCACTTTAGTCCGGAAAACATTTGACCGTTGAGATGAATCAGCGACAGTTGCAGACCCGGAGCCCAAACTAGATTTTGGTAAGAATAATTTCTCATCCGCTTCTTGGGTCATTGTGAATTGATAAAGAATGCCAGGTCAGGAAAATAGATTAGATCTCAGATGTTCTCATAGTAGGTCGCGCCATCGCTACATAACCACTAATCAGTGAAAAAGCCCTGAGGATTGAATTACTGGACCGTGGAATAATTGTATAATAAATGTCCTTGACACTCAGTTGCCTGAAGCTTTCGATTCTTAAATAGAAAAGAGGAGCTTAAGTATTTAAGCACTGCAAAGTGAACAAATGATGTGTATTCGTAGTAGATTACGAAATGAATGTGAAACGGACTAAAGTTTATTGACTCGGTCACCTGCCATATACAATTTCTTGGAAAAGGCACTTAGGGCTAATTCATTGAAATCAGTAGAATCATAAGATAAAGATTTCTGAGCCCATGGAGCGAATCTTAATTAGGACCCCATTGAAGACACTTAGATGTGAAGAGTTCTTGGTAGAGACAAAAATCACACAAGGAATGTCATAAAGAGAAAAACAAGAACAGCAAGGAAGGCAATGAAGATTATGGCGAAAAAAGAGAAGAAACAATCATACTTAGGACCTCATCTTTAGCATGCATCTCAATCACGGTATCATCATTTGCTATTATCATCGCATCAACATCTGAAACCATGGAATGCACGTTCACAAGGATATCCGAAGTTGACATCGTATCTCCTTGCTTCCTCGAGGAAGATGAAGACATTATTGAAAAGTTGTGTCAATTTTGACTTTGGATAATGGGCAATTGCATACTCCGCAGCTCGTTCAATAGTAAAGACCTCATTGAAACAAAAGCAACACTCACTTTTTCGATTTTTTTGCTAGAGTCAACTGTCATGAACTGAACTTTCGTTCTTGGCTTCCTTAACCTCAAGTTTGCAGCGATTATAGACTGGGATTCCGTGCTAGACTTAGGAAGGAATGTCACTAACTCGTTCTTATCCCCTCATTGCAGATTAAGGAGGGTCAGTCGGAAGATGGAGCGAAGAGCCAGAGGACGGAGATGAATTCACCACATATCTTTCGAGCCTCATAGTCATGGGAATTCGAGGCACGGCACCTACTCTAACTACACCTTTGAATGGAAGATGATGTAATTCACTTAAATGGTTTTGCTATGTATTAAAACACCAATGTTTTCAAAGAATGCCTCTGTACCTGTTGATTATGTATCAGATAGAAAATTTCTCTTTTGGTGACCAATGGTGTTAGTCGAATTCGAATTCGGTAGGACTCATTTTCACTCTCGCAGCATCTACAATTGCAAAGGAATTTGCAACACTGAACGATACTAGAACGTAATTCTCGTCCGAAGTCCAGAAATCCAACAGCTCTAGAAACAAGATGTTATGTGAATAGACACAATAAAGTGGGCAAAAAGTGATGAGAATGTTGCACTAATGACCAAATGACTTAACTTGGAACGAGACAAACTTGATGAAGCGAATACATTCAGTACTTACTCTTGAAGATTTCGAAACGTCATGCAATCCACATGAATTGTCTCTCCGTTACGTCAATCATTTAAATTTCATTTACAAACTCTTTTTCAATTTCATCGAAGTTACCTGCTCCAGTTTCTATTTTCTCACTTCGACTCGCGTAGTTCTATGAGAACATTTGGAAATACCAAAATACGCTTCCCAAAAAAAACCCATCCCAAACTGGCTCAAATCTGATCAAAAACAAACGAACATTCTCCAGAGACTCACTTGAACGACTTAAATTGCCACCATCTACCCTGTGAATCCAAAAACCCACTTCTTTGTATAGTCGTGTCCCTACCGACACTCCACCATTCAACTTTCCAAAATATCAACTACCACCAATCTTATCTCCACATCACCCGATCAATGGCACAAAGTCCTTCGGCAAGCAACACTCAGCCTCAGACTGCAGCGCCACCTGCTGGACTGAAAGCTCCTCCAAGGGGCCAACAGCAGTACACTCAGGCTGACTTGAATAGAATCGTCATGGAGTATTTGAATAAGAAGGGTTTCCACAAGACTGAGGCCATGTTTCGGTTGGAAAGCTCAAACACGCCCACAGCCAGTGTACCTAGCCCCACGCCAGCCACCACGACAATGTCTGGGCCTGGAGAAATTGGACCAAAAGCCAGAGACGGCAAAATCACAAGAGCTGACCTTGAGTTGAAGGAATTGAGGGAGAAAATGATGCAGACAGAACGTGAGTTACGTGAAACGAAAGACAGAGAGCAATACTTGCTGAAAGAAAAGGAGTTGCGTATGTTAAGAGACGAGGAGGAGAAACAAAGAAGAGAAAACGACCCAGAGATTTACTACAGGGCTTATAGCATATTGCGGGCTTGGGTGGAGACATCGTTGGATCTCTACAAGCCTGAATTAACCCGTTTATTGTATCCTCTCTTTGTGCACTGCTACTTAGAATTGGTGTCCAAGAACTACATCAAAAACGCCAAAATCTTCTTGGATTCATTCAAGGAGGATCACATCATTCTTCACGGACTAGAAGTCCAGCAGCTTGCGGGCATCTCGCTACCTGAACATTTGAAGGAGAACCTGTTGGCGCAAGCCTACCGTGCCAACAAGTACCGTATCTTGGTGTCCAAAACAACCATGAACTTGCTTCTTTACTTCTTGCACGAGAACGAAGCTGTTGGAGGTACAGTGTTGATTCGAATCATCAACCAATACCTCAATCCCATCATTTCTTCAACGCGTCCAGACAAAGTGGACCAAGAAGGTGAGGCTAATCCAGCAGAGGGAATTCCTGGTTATATCACCAGCACAAACGAGATTGAAAAGTTCAACGAGCAGCCGGTTTTGCTAGGCAAGATGCCATTAGAGCCGGATGTTGAAAAGGAAATGGAAGCTGAGCTTAAGGTGAAGGATGAGAGCACTGAGCCCGTCAATGGTAAAACCCTCGTTGAAGAGTTCGAGGAGATGACCAAACCTGACACAGACTCGCCCGCAGTTGAATCTTTGCCTCTTCCAATGAAAGATGCCAGCGATATTAAGCGCATGATTTTGGCCGTGGAGGACCTGAGATCGAAAATCAAATTGGGAGCTATTCAGGCTTCTGCTCCGCTGGTATGTATGTACACCTTCCACAACACCAACAGCAATTTGACATGTCTTGAATTCAATCAAGACTCCAATATGGTTGCTGGGGGCTTCCAAGATAGCTTCATTAAGCTCTGGTCTCTTGACGGTGCACCACTCAAGTCCGTCTTTAAAAGAGACCAACACAACAATGATAACACTCGTCGACTTGTCGGCCACTCGGGTCCAGTCTACGGCATGTCTTTTTCTCCTGACAACAAATACTTGATTTCCGCATCCGAAGACAAGACTGCTCGACTTTGGTCTATGGACACCTACACTGCCCTTGTGTCTTACAAGGGTCATAACCAGCCAGTCTGGGACGTCAAGTTCTCGCCTCTAGGTCATTACTTCGCTACAGCATCTCACGACCAGACTGCTCGTCTTTGGGCCACAGACCACATATATCCACTTCGTATTTTTGCGGGCCACATCAACGATGTTGACTGCGTCGATTTCCATCCTAATTCCAACTACGTGTTCACAGGATCCTCCGACAAAACATGTCGAATGTGGGACGTTCAAACTGGTAACGCCGTACGTATCTTCATGGGCCACACAGGTCCTGTCAATTGCATAGCTGTCTCTCCGGATGGAAGATGGCTCGCCAGTGCAGGTGAAGACTCGGTAGTGAACATCTGGGACGCAGGATCGGGACGCAGACTTAAGACCATGCGTGGACATGGCCGTTCGTCAATCTATTCGTTGGCATTTTCACGAGACGGAGGAGTGCTCGTAAGTGGTGGAGCAGACAACACCGTTCGTGTTTGGGATGTCAAACGCAACACTAACGATGCCGGCCCACTTCCAGAAGCATTCTCTGGAGATTCTACAAATGGACTGGCCTCTATGGCTGGATCCGATAAGAAGCCAACGGACAAAACCAACCGTAAGGAAATTGTGGCTACTTCTGACCATATGACGGCGTACTTCACGAAAAAGACACCAGTTTACAAGGTTCATTTCTCGCGCAGAAACTTGTGCCTAGCTGGAGGAGCTCTCAGCATTTAGTTGAAGTTCTAGAACAACCAGACACGACCATCAGTACAACTCTTGTTTAGTTCTAGGTGGCAGTGCGCATTTTGGGCTCAAAAGCGGAATGGAATGGAGACATTTTGAATTTTAGTAGCAGGAGCACACCACTGGGAACAAAAGTGGACTCTCACTGGCTCAAACTCAAAGTATGTCGTATGCGTCAGATCCGTCACGAAAGGAGATGTTGACGATTTGAGCGTGAGTGGTATGGCATAATAGATGATACACCTATTGACTCCACATTTGCGACAGCGCCACGCCGTTATGAAAGAGGCGTAGGAAAATTTCGTGAATAAACTTTGCTCAGCCATGAAGGTGGTGCAGCACAATGTTTGTAAGTCCCAGACCACTCGTCTGTGGTTAGTTATTGGGTTGAATTTTCCCAATAGATGAGCGACTTCCATGCGAGGTCTTCATGATAAACATGCTACTAGCAGATAATAAACATCAACATGACAGCACTTCTTAGGTAAAAGTTTTAAAGACTGCAAGACATAGAATGCGGTTCCCCTTACATGTGTCAATTAGTTTGACATAATGGTGCGTGTTAGTGCAGCACCACAGCCACTATATACGACACATAACCAACTGAAAATCCACCATTCACTATTATTGGCTATGAGCAATCACCCGAGTTTTACATTCGGGCCACTCTGAGTTCATCTATGGGGTATATAAATAGTATTAATCACCAAACTTCTCAATAGTTTATTCTTTAAAGAAAACCTACTAAATCATGAAGTTTACATCCTCTTTGGCTCTTGCAGCCTACGTTTCTTTTGCCGCCGCTGCTTCTGCTGATACTGCCAATACCGCTGCTGCTGCCGGGGCTGCTGCAACTGCAAATACTGCTGGTGGTGCTGCTGCTGGAGGAGCAGGGAGTACTGGAGCTGCGGCTGGTACTGGAGAAGCTACTGGTACTGGAGTAGCTACTGGAGGAGCAACAGGTAAAGCTACGGACACTTCTACTGGCGCAGGTGCCGCTTCTGGAACCGGTGCTGTCTCTGGTGCTGATGCTGCTTCTGGAGCCGGCGCTGATGCTGCTTCTGGAGCCGGTGCTACCTCTGGTACTGGAGCTGCTTCCGCTGGTGGTGACAATTCTGGTATTCCACAAATGGCTACACTTGGATCTGGAAGTGGAGGTTCCGGCTCCGCTGACTCCGGAGCAGCCTCTGAGACCGGATCAGGCTCTGGATCAGGCTCTGGATCTGGCGCTGGATCTGGATCTCAGTCTGCCATCACCACTTTCCAAGGTGCTTCTGCGTCTGGATCTTCAGCGAAAGCCTCCGGTTCTGGAGGCTCCAATTCAGCCTCTGGCTCACCAAGCGGTGCTGCTGGTTCTATCAAGATTGGAAGTGGAGTCGCTGCCTTGATGGTTGTTGGAAACTTGCTTCTTTAGATAGTTTGATATTGATGATACATAACTCAAGCCTGACCATTATTGTAACCTCTGTAGTTTCACACTCTCAACCATTAATTCCATTACCCCGATCTACACTATCTAATGTACGCTGTACAATCATAATATACACTGAACTGACGTGGGCATCTTTAGTATTTTTTTCTTTTTTCATTCCACGATTGTCTTTTTTTTTTCACTTTTTATTCACCAGTTCAACTGAAAAACTTGTCCAAATCAGACAAGTTGAGGTCTTCCGGAGCACCAATCTCTTGGGTCAAAAATCCAGAACGCACCACCGTTGCCCAGTTCCGCTGAGACTTGGGCGAGGTGCTGCCACTAGAAGATTGAGAGCTGTGACCAGAAGAGGTGCCCGAAATAGCCTTGAGAGCAGCAGCATGTAAGGCAGCGCCAGCAGCAGCTGCGTTGGCACTGTGGGAACATGGAGTCTTAGGTGCTCTTGGAGCAGCAGCAGCGGCAGTGAGAAACTTTGTCTTCTTGGTAGTAGACAAGTAGGACATGGACTTAGACCGTTTACCATTCTTCTTCATGGTTTCAATGGTGAAGTCTGAAGCGTCATCGTCGGTGTCGTTAAACACCTCCAAATCGTCAAAGTCAAAGTCCGAGTCGTTGGCGAGCTTCTTAACAGAGGTGGTGGTAGGAGTAGGAGCAGCACTTGCGTGGTCTTGTTCCGGTTCGTCGTCGTCGTCGTCGTTCTTAGATCTGTCACCGTCGTGAAGAGAAGAGAACGATGCAGCCACCGGGGCAGAGGAGTATGGAACAAACAAGTTGCTGCGGTCAATTGGGCTTTCCAGAAACGTGGGTCTAGTCGAACCCAAGTCAAACATGGTTTGTCTGCGCTGCTTCAACAACGCCGACTGCTTGGCAGCCTCGAAGCTGTCAGTGGTGAACGTCGAGCCCAGTTGCATAAACTTCAGGTTTCCCTGCAGCTTCTGGACATCCATGGCATTCTTGACGTGGACGTGGAAGTCCTTGGCCAATAGTCCACGGTAGACGTAAACCATACGCTTGGGCAGAGCATCGGCCCATTCTCGGGAAAGGGCGTACTTCAAGTTGGAGTCACCCTTCTCAACACGTTTGACGTATGCATTCAATTTGGCACTCACCAAATTGGACGTCTTACTGGACAACTGCGCCATATCTGGATGTCTCTCAATGAGAATATCACAGATCTGCTTGACGGTCATACCAGCACCTTCGGCGTCTTTTTCGTACAAAATCAAGAAAATAGCGTACAACACATCGTCTTCCAACGAGGCATCGCCTTCCTGATCCGGCTTGGGCTTTTCACCAGTCACTGGAATGGTAGTGGAGATGCCAGTTGCAATAGGCACCCGGGTGGAAATCTTGGGTTTCTTGCCCAAAATCGGACCCGCAATGGTAGCCTTCGGGAAGTAGTTGGAAGCAGAGGTCAGTGTGTTGGCGGCTGGGGGTGTGGAGTCTCTGGAACTAACGGAGGCCGTCAGTTTCTTTACCAGACCCTGGGCCGAGTTCATCAACGAGTCAGGAGAGATGCTGCGCAGCGTGGGCGACAAGTCGGGGCTCAAGCTCTTGTCGGAGTTGAAGGAGGTGATATCATTCTCGGGGTAGGATCCCTTTAAATCAGAGATGGTCAGCTTCATACTCGAGTTAGCATTGTAAGTTGGAGATGCATGAGTTGAAGCGACTGGGATGCCGAGAGGTCTTCTATCTGCCATAGCCATGATTGAAAGGTCCGATCAGTAGAGCAGTATGGTCATAAGGGGAGTAAACGATAGAAGATTCTGAACAGCGATAGTGAAATGCTCTTCAGACAAAAGGTTGGTAATAATGCACTTGTATGTCTCCTCAGTTAACCTAATAACTAAGGGCGAGAAGTAAAGGATTCTCAGGATGGGGATGCTAGACGATTAATATTGGAATTTGGGAATGATTTAAAACCATCAACCGATTTTGGGTTTTCAAGGAAGGGGAACAAATCAACATACTGGTAGCAACAAACCCACTAGGAAAAAGCAGAAACAGCCGGAAAAACGAAGCCCGGAAAAACTTTCGATAAAAAAAAGATAATATAAAAAGTCCCGTGAACTCAATCAGGGTGTTTAATAGCAAGTTCCAAGCGCTTGAGAAACAATAATTAATACAGGCAATCTGGGATAATTGTAGATAATTAATTTTTTCATTTATTAGTGATGCAGAAAACCTGCTCTTCGCACTACTCCCGTACTGCACAAAGAACATTTTCGATCGCCTTGTTCTAGGAATACTCAGATAGTCTCCTGATAAGGGCTTCTTCCGCCAATAGGATGAGGATGGTGTTGGTTGACTTTTTGTAGCTTGTATTTGTTTTATATTCATTCACTTTGTGGTGCACATCCTTTCAGAACTATTTTAGCCTCGTTTTTGTCTTTTAATCCTATGTTTGCTCTGTTCTCTTCTCAAATGTGCTTCGCAACCCCTTTTTATCAACACCGCGATACTTGCCGAGCACAAACAGGGGTAGTTTAATTAAAATTAGTAGTTCAGATGTATTCCTTGTTGTTAATTTGACCTAGACATTTGTTTTTCTGTAGGTTTTGTGGTCTCTATGACACTCGTGGGTGCAAAATGGGTTTCGCCGGAAACGGCCCGAAACCGGAATTAGGTCCTTTTGAGCCGAGGATAACTTATCCTAAGAAATTGACACTTCCATTGAAACCACAAGAGTCGAAACCTACGAAAAATACATACAGAATATAATACGGCTCAGAAATTGGGTAAAATCAATGCAGATTGACAATTGGCACTCTAAAGATCTTGTGCACGTGATCACGGTGACTGCGTTTCATATATCACGTGAAGATAACAAATGGTTGCTGGCCACAAATTCCGCGCACACTTTCTGCTTTGGGACTAAATGATCCAATGCACCCCGCGTAGAGCCCCTGTGATCGGCATGCGTCTCGTATGAAGGTCAACGGAAGATCCCTAAGGACGCCGAACGACTCCAACAATTGTAAAAATTTTCTGATGGAATTGTTGAGCTCATATTCAAACAACATGTTGTCTCTTGCAACGACGCCATCCATCTCCGTCTTGTCTTGGCCCACTGACACTAATGCAACAGAGCCAAAATACTAGGTGCCATGGTCTTTCACATACTGGATCGCTCCAAGCGTCTTAGTAAAATCCTCCTTCCAGTAGTCATCCTGGTAAGGAGTATCCTCTGAAGTAGCAGGAGGCATGAACCACCAGTTCAAAGCAATATGGGCACTGCCCAGTTCTGAGGAATAGCTCGTCACCTCGTGAAACCAGCCACACGGAAGATAAAGCATATCTCCAGGTTCTAGCCACACCTCCATCTTATTAAGTTGTAGGAAACCGGGAAATTCTTTGTTTGCAAAGGCAGTAAGCGCGTCGATCTCTTCTTTGTCCGTCAATTCATCTAAATGGGCTAAAATGGGAGGGACTGTAGAGAAGCTGGGAGGATCTAGCTTGTCAGGGCTAGTTCCATTGTACACCTCCTCGTTGACGAGTGCATCCATGAGCTGAGCCCGCATATCGCCACTACATTCATCCTTCTCTAACATCCATCTCGCATGTTCTCCGATGATGGCACCGTCCTCCCGCATATGCCGCCAGTGAGGCGCATGTTTGTTCACTTTGTAATCCACAAGCCCGTTTCCGTATACCTTGTTGATGTTACCAACAGTGTAAAGAGTGTGAGCATCAGCAGGTGAGTAGAGCGTGAACCGCTTTCTGCCTTCTGTCAAAACATACAAATTGTCTGCATGGTCGTGGTGGAGTCCAGACGAGTTACCGGATGGAACGTACTTGCGCAAGTTGTGACGACTGGGACGAAGCAAGTCTGGCTTGGCAGGGTTGTCCAGTGAAGCACCCATCCACAAATTGATTTGTTGCGTCACCAATTTGTTAAACGGGGCGGGGCTGATTGGGAATGTTTCGTCATGAGCTAGCGTGGTGAGAGGAGGTTGAAGAAGCGTCCGGACCCGGAATTCAATGTCGTCTGCGGTGAGTTTATTTTCGGGGTCTGCGTAGTTTTCAATGGAGTCGGAGTCCGAACTGATGTCGTTATCGTCGTCTTCAAAGTCTTCTTCAAAGTCGTCATGAATGTCACCATTGGAGAAAGCCTCGAGTTGGTTCGCAAGGTCTTCGTCGTCAGAATCGGATTCAACGTGTGCAATGGTTTGGATAGCATGCGGGTCGATTTTATCTGAATCTGGAGATACTCCGTTTGTGGAAATTCTAGCAACTTCGAAATTTTCAGAACCATCAAAATCTGCGGAATCTCCAAAACTTCCAACTTCGTCGTCGTCGTCATCGTCGTCATCATTATCGTTGTCCTGCTTCTCCTCTTCCTCCCCTCCATTGTCATCTGAGCCTTGGTCTAGAGCTTCAGACCCGTCCTTTCCGGTGGCATCTTCGTCCTCTACGTCGTGACTGTCATATTGGGTTGTCAAGTAGTAAGTGTCGTCGCCCAGGGCCAACTTCTCAACAATCAGACTCATTGTCATGAGCTCCCTGGTCAGTCCCAGCCCAAAACCGTAGCCATGTTTGCGCTCCACTTGCAACTTATCTGGATAGCCAAGCGTATTGACAATTGTATCCACACGAAGCTTCTTCAAGTCGACAGGATGGTTGGTAGTTCCGGTGATCTTTACCGGTTTTCGTGCCTTGACATAGTTATTGTAGAAGTCATTGAAGTTTTCAACAGACGATACTGTTTCTCCAGGAGAAGTCACATGCCCAGTGTATCCAGTATCTGGAATACGAGCGACTTTTGATTTCCGGTGGTTGGGGCCGGTTCTTTTCATTCCAGTAGATTTCCTGTGTTGGAAAGGTGTCCAGCCAGTGCAGGATTTTTGTACTTCACGATTTACACACTCCATACGCAGCCTGCAGCGAAGATGATTAATTGCCTACACCACAAACTTATCAAAATGGTATACGAACATTTGCGCACGGCCCGGAGCTATTGCAAATCGCAAAGATCGTAAGAGTGGGTATCGATGCACATGGTCGTATTCTCTAAGTCATGGTGCTCGCCGATCTGGTTTTGGTGGTCATTTTCGATGCTTAATCCAGAAAGACGGCCAACTCGAGGGTAAAGCTTACCGGGCAAAGAATGGATGGAGTTATAGAGGGCTTAGCAATAGGGCACCAGGGTAACAGTGGCCCCCTTTAAGTCTTATCACTCTTAAACACTATTTCCTTTCACGTTCATGGGCGGGGTACCTTGATTAGAAACTAGGATATTTTGCGCTAGTACTACACAAGTGCATGAAGGACATTACTTTGGAATTACCTAATGCTAATCACCAGTCCATTATTCTCCCTAACCTCAACGCTCCCAATTGCTCGAATGGTCCGATTAAGCTTTTCTGTATTCCCCTAAGCTTGAGTTGCCCCTGTGTAGGATTATAGGTGGCTATAGGGTTTCACCGCCTGATGTTGCGTATTCTTAAAGTGAAATAATGTGGCGACGGGCACTTCTGCGTCGTAAAAGGCCACTCTCGAACAGGAGCCTTAGAGACTAAGTGCAAGCTTAGTAAGGAACCGGCCAGTTTAGCATGTGTAGACTATAATCCTTATGGGAGAGCATTTCTCCACGCGTATCGTGGGAAGTGGGCGCACCTCTACTGCACTATGCAAGCTCTGACGTAGGTGTCAAATGCAGTGCGTGGCATGGCCCACCACTGTCCCACAGTCTACGGATATTACCAACTATTGATGGTAGCCTTGCCCGGCCGCTGCGCCAAGTGCATCTTGCAGGGATGACATAGCTATCGAAGCACTTTAAGTTGATTATTTTCCAGGAGAAACGGACAACCCCGGGATAAGCTACAACACATGGTTGCAGGACCCTGTGCTTAGTGTCATACAGACAGGGAATGGTGGAAGGTAGAAATGATAAATGGGTGGAGATGAAGGAATGGAAATGTGTACTAGTGGAATGTGGACCTGGAAGGGAATACTGTAATTGTGGAATGATTGAGTTCATGAATTGACCATCTCCGCCGCTGGGCGGTGATGTAGGGACGCATAAACTCAGGAAAAGCACTTCATGCACTTTCGTATCGTAAAAAAGGAAATACCTGGCTCCCATTTGACCGACTCGAATTCAATTCTCCAACTCCTTTAGCTAATTCTATGAGTCCATACTTTTCGTGCCAGATGTACTTGGCTTTATCTCTCTGTAGTTCCTCTGCTCGTCTACATAGTTTTCATGAATGGTTAAAGTATCTATATGCGCAGGCCCAAGGGCCAGTATCAGTCATTACAGGATGTAGAACACGGCTTTCGTGATACTCTTGGACCGCTTCACCAGAGGTGCACTCTCCGATGGCGACGATCTCTTGGTGCCAAAAAAACCCTGGTCCTTTCCAGGCAGAAGGTTGGGCAGAGGTAATGTCTTGCGGGACTCGTCACTCTTGTATGAAGCATAGTTGCTCGTAGACACGGACTTTGTCAATGCTGGCCGCTTGTGGTCGTAATTGCCAGAGTTGGCGATTTTAGGGCTGATGGTCAGCAGCGTGGGTGTAGCTGGGTATTTGGGAGTGGTGGACCCGACCGACTGAAGCGGAGTTCTAGCAACCACACCACCCAGCACAGCCAGGTGAGTAGGCGTCAGGTGAAAAGAGGCAGCGGCCGAAGATGCAGTGGTTTGCGAAGCCACTGGTGACGACAAGCCCAGGCTGGGAGCCAGATGCAACTTGGTGAAGGAGATGAGTAGCTTCATGAGACGAAGATAACGCGAGCCATCATTGAAGTACTTTGTTTTGAGCGAAGGTGGAGGACACTTCAACACCTTGATGAGCAATGCAAAAGCCTGATCAAACTCGGATTGAGAGAGAATAACTTCGGCAGATGTGGAGGCCACAAGCGAGAGGAAAGCTGCCACATCAAAGGCTCGGTCGCCAACTTCACGAATCATGCAAGCAAAAGATACACTCAACAACGCAATTTTGGGCGAGGTGTAATTGAAGTAGATGTTTGGGTAGAACTGGATCAACTCGCAAATGTAGATGGCAACCACCTTGACGTCGTTACACACCTTGTGGGGATTTCTAGAACCGGCTAAAAACGGCGACTGGGCCAAGGTGTGGATGTACATGTCGATGAAAGCGTCAAAAGTGGGAGCATCTACCTGCCACCCCAAAGACTTAAGCACATGGTTCTCCATCTCCAAGAACAACTTCTTGTCGTAACAATGGCAACAGTACTTACACAAGTCGTTCAAGGTTGGGATGCGGAACTTAGAGTCCAAGTTCTTGCATGCTATCCAAAGGGCAGTGAGTCCTAAGAGTTGATAGTGCTGTTTCTTGACAATGCGGACCGAGCAGTATCTGTCAATGATGTTAACAGTCAATGGGAAGGTGGACTTAGATAAGTTCAACTTGTGGATCACGTCCATCAAGAAATCAAGCAAGAGTGGTCTCATGCGCAAGTTGATCTCAGGCTGCTGTTGGATCAAGTAAAGGTTTGGTCTGGTCTTATGTTCCAGTGCCAAAAGATGCATGTACATATCTTCTTTGTACTCGTCCACCAGCAACTTGTGTGCTGCGTACTCGGAGAGTTGAACGTTAATCTGCGATGCCTTGTAAGACGCCTGCGAGACACGCACGTTGTGGAACATGTCAGGAGAATTGCTCATAGTGGGAGGTATTGGATAAGGAGGGAGTTGGATGTGGAAACGGTGGAAAATCTGGGACAAAGACTCACTGGTCAAACCTCAACAATGGACATAAAAAAGATGCGGGAGATGGTCACAAACACAACAGCTTGGACGATGCAATTGACAAAATGCCCTTTGGAACGAAGGGAATGGGAGGGAAGGAAAGATAATGAAACGGAAGAAAGAAGGAAAGAGGGAAGATATGGGCAAATGACGATAGTCAGATAGCTTGCCGATCACGATGCCAAAGAATAAGGGAGGCGAGTGAAAGAAAAAAAAATGAACAATAGAATATGTTACCACTAGGGACAAAAAAAGACTGGTGGGTGGTGGAGACTCCAGTGTTCGGCGCAGTATATATATAAATTTGCAATTTTTCCACTATTAGAATTGGACAAGGTTCGGGTTGGAGAAGGTGCATATGCATCTCTGGCACTGCACCAGCTACCTACAGGGGAGATTTGCGCATATATGCATAGGAATCAGTGCCCACATTGAAGGCACATTGAAGGGGGGACCGGTAGTCCCGGTAGGGGCCGTAGGGGAGTCGGGTGGAGGCCCCCGGAAAGCTGTGGTAAATGAATTCCGGGGGTAAATGTCGCATTTTTTGTTCCCAACCGAGCGGGGCCCGCCAAATTGACACGACTATCTTACCATACAAAACCCTAACCCTTAGTAATTTGTAATTTTTGTGCAATCGTGCCTTGCTTCCTGTTGTCTACCCTCGGCCTCCTATATCACCTGCAACATCGCCCACCTCGACTATCCCATCACGAAGTTTTGATCCTTAGTCCAGCCTCGTAGTCACATCCCCATGCTACTCGCCTATATGGAGACAAAACTTATGGAGTTAATGTCTCGATTGATGTGATGATATGAACCCTTGGCTATCCTGGTGAGGTCTAACAATGTGCAGCTTGTTCAAACCAAGTCGTCAATTTTCAAGATATATCTCATTTCGGATGCTCACGTGCTTCCGGTGGTTGACCTCCTTCCTTCAAATAATTATGAGAGAATACATTGCAAATCGTCCTGCGACATAATCTAATCCGAGAAGGGAACCATGAGCATGATCTTGACTGGACCACTTGTCTGCAATTGACAATTGGACTATCTTCTTGAGGCACTGCCAAGGTTCATCAATCCAAGAAAGTTGCACAACCAACCAGCGGCCCTAATCTGGCTTAGTTAGGCCGGAAGTTGCAAGCCTTCTTAGATAGACACAGGCACCTATGGATGTGGTGCCGGATCACCCACCAAATTAGACGAAACCGGAAAAGTAATCACCTATAGGGTAGACACGACATTCCGGGAAGTGCGACATTGTGCACTAGCGAAAAATCCAATAGGGTTTGGCGGGAGGAAAATGTGAAAACGATGAGAAAATGAGAAAATGGGGAAATGGGAGAAAAATGTCGCGCCTTCTGGCCAAATCTTTTGAGCCTAGCCATCTAAAGTTATCTTTCAACCATAATCACATTCTGGACCATCTTCTTACTGTGTTCATACTACTTCCTGACACGCTACCTCTATATATTCACTACTGGTGATTTCATACTTTCTGTCTGTGCAAAATGGCTGACTCACTCCCACAGGATACAACACCTGTCAAAAGTGAACCAACTGGAGGTTGTGATCTGACTACTGATATCGCCTCAGGAGTTTCTCTGGTATCTGAACTTCCTTCAGAATCCATGGATGACCTCGTTGCTCGCCACAAAAAGGAGCTTCGAGATCTAGTGGCCACAACCACGTCGCTCAAAAAACAGGCAACAAAAAAGACCAGAAAGTCCGTCAATCAGAAATGTCACGACATGCAAACTCAGCTTGACGATCGACACAAAAGGGAATTGGCCCAGGCAAACGGGCAAGAAATCAACGTCATCGATGAGGTGACCCCAGAACAGCTTCTTGCATCGCTTACGGTAGCCGAGCCAGTGAATGTATCATCTCAGAATGGTTCTCCACACACACCAGCTACACCTTCTACTGCGGGCAAGAAGCGGAACCGTGCAAAGGAGAGGTTGGCCAAGCGCCAGGCGCAGGAAGATGCTGTGAGAGCCCAGGCAGCGCAGGAGGCTGCTGGTGAAGTAGATTACCGTCAAATTGAGCATGACCTGATGCTAAGGTTGCTTGAGGCACAAAACTTGGAGTTGCATGAGATCCAACCTGATGGTCATTGTCTCTTTCGGTCCATCCAAGACCAATTGCAATGCCGGCACCAAATTGATGTCTCGGTGGCTGAACTACGTAAAAGCGCCGCTACGTACATCAGAGCCCATCCCGACGACTTTGTGCCATACCTCTTTGACGAGACAACGCTCTCACTTCGCGATATTGATGACTACACTAAGGAATTGGAAGAGACAGCAATGTGGGGATCGGATATGGAATTGTTGGCGTTGAGCAAGACTCATGATTGTGCTATTAGGGTTTTGGTTGCTGGAAGCGCACCTATCGTCTTCAATGAAGGAGCCGAGGATGAGTTGGTGGTTGCCTTCTACAAGCACCTGTACGGATTAGGAGAGCACTATAACTCATGTAGGAGCCGGTAGATGTAAAGAACGATAGGCGTCCTCATGCATGACCCCTCGCTAATGGTGCCTGGAACCTCGTAAATTTGCGCCATAGAAGGCTCTGTGCATATAGTTCGAGGAGAACTCCGGCATATTGCCGTCTTAATCTGTACGGAACTGCGCATGCTCTAACGAGAGCACTGCCACAATACTACATTCCCTCATAAATTGAAAAATTGTTTTGTATATAATATCCGCCGCACACTTGCAGATAAAGATTCCCTTCTAGTGCTCTGGTAGCCACATGAACGTCATCTCTTCTCCTTCCGCTTTGGTCAACATGTCACCGGACGTATGCGTTTAGGGAGCCCCATCACTTTTTGTGATGGAGTGTCTGGATTCTCTACTAAAATCAACCAGCGTTGTCGTTTGCTATCCACCAAAAGTTTACGGACACTGAGCATCGATACAAGAAATCACCCGAAATAGATGTTCAACTTTAGTGACCTCTGTCTAACAAATAGGGGGGAGGGGAGGAGAATTGGCAGATGTCGAATTCAACCGGTGTACTGGTGTGGTGTCGATCGGACTCCCGTAACTGAGTTCCGGTGGTTGGTTTTCAGTTGTATGCACATCGCCCCTATAGTCCACAATCGGAGCCGATTTCAACTTCCGGACATGTGGCACATGTAGGTAAACGTTGCCAGGGTAAGTGGCAGCATAGTTGCGAGGGAAACCGGCAAAACAAAACAATACGGACAAATTTGAAGAACTTCGGAGAAGAAGTATTCATCATCAAACATGACATATCATCCACCAATCACCACAATCACCACCAATCACCACCAATTCCATCCTCGGAGGATTCCCCACCTTGGCAAAAACGACATTCCGCCGTTTGAGCACTTTGCTCTCATTTGCCCAATTGTGTGATGGCATACATGATGTGGCCGCCATGCGACATTCATCCATATTTAGTATTTTCTCTGCACACTATTGTCGTCCAAAATCTTCTCTTCGGTCTCAGATTGCATAGTGCTAGTGGTGAGATTTCAGTTCATTGCAATTGTCCACAGCATGAGACGATCTGGGTCACTATTGTCTTCTTGCAATTACGAAGTTTCGGGTGGAAATTTGCCGGTGTGATTTCACTTTTACCAACCATAGGTTTCATTGCACATAGCCCTAGGTTCATATTTCGGGCCATCCTAATTGCTTATCACACACACTCGCATGTCCTGGCAGGCGTTCGGAATTCACAATGTCGTACCTTTCTCACAGTAACCGGTCCCCCACCAGGTTGTAGTTACCAGATGGATCTCGTAGTAAATAGGCCCATGCACATCTCACCAGTTGGTTATGCTATAAAAGCAATTCCTTTGCGCTGCTAAATTAATGATTTACTAGCTTCATTTTGTGAGCTGGGAGATTTCGAAGCGACAATGGTAGAGGAAAGGAGCCAAGCTGTGCCTATGGATCAACAATCGGCATTTTTTTCTTTGCAAGTTCCGATAAGGTGGTCGTGTGAACAATTACGGGGAATAAGTGCCGACATGCCCTCGGAATGTATAATGTCATCCTCGGAATTACTCTTTAAATTGCTCGATGGTTGCTGCATAAAAATTTGAGAGATTGTCCTAATGGATTCTTTTAGGGCTTTTGTTCCGCTTTATCACGTGATACCTCATCACATGAGTATAAATTCCATCCTGATGACCTAGTGTAATTTTCTAGTTTAGATGAAGGTTAAATTTCTCACTACAAGAATTATTTTCTTTCAATCTCTATTGTTATCCGCGTGACGTCTGGTCATGTGACTGTAAGGTAACCCCTTGTCCTGCCTTCTCTTTCTTCTATCTGCATTGCAGCCCTGGATATTATGAGCAATCAAACTATTGTTCGGGATAATCCGGCTATTTAAAACAAAAAACCAACTTCTGTCATCCTCTTTCAAATTCTATGGATGTTTCCTCTTCCTTTTTACAACTAACCCATCTCATCTTTTTCTATTTTCGTCACTCCATCTCCCTGCATCTGAGCTGTCGTAGCGGCTCGGTACGTCGGGCCGAGACACTTGACACGACATGTACAGGTCGCAGAAGAATACTATAAGTTATCGAAATTATCTTCATTCAATCTATTCCATCACCTACAATCATGGGCAAATTGGCAGCATTTTCTGATGAAATAGGGTGGAAGACCCTCGTGCATTCCAGTCGTGATATCCACTTAATCATATTGGTTCGTATGCTTCGTCTCATGGCATTTGGCTTCACCACTTTGATTCTTGTGGTCTTCCTCAAAGAAACTGGTATGGAGCATGCCACCATTGGCTATTTCATGACCATGACCTTTTTGGGAGATTTAGTGTCGTCGTTTGTGTTCTCTGTCATGGCTGACGGCTTGGGTAGACGTTTCACCATGGTGATTTCATGTGTTATTATGGGGTTGACAGGTGTAGCATTCGCAATGTTTACTAGCCCTATTGTATTAATTGCGGCCGCCATTGTCGGTATTATCACTCCCGGAGGAGGTGAGGTTGGTCCCTTCCGTTCGATTGAGCAGAGCTCCTTGGCAACTTTGGCTCCACACGAGGCCAGATCCGACGTCTATGCTTGGTACACTTTCCTGGGATTCTTCTGCTCTGCGTTGGGTTCGGTGCTCTGTGGGGCATGGCTTGATTATCTTACGGTTAAGGGCTACACGGATCTTGCAGGTTACAAGCTGATTTTCTGGGGCTACGCGTTGATTTCTGTCATTTCAATTGGTTTGTGTCTCTTGCTCTCCAACAAGATGGAATTGGAGCGTAAGGAGGCCACTCCAGAAGCGGAGGATACCGTAGAGGATCAGAACGTCCAGGCCGAGACTGATGAATCAACGGCACTTCTTGACCAGCCTAAGAAGCCCAAGTCCAAGTTCTTCCCAGGATTGAATGCGGACATCTTGGCTATTGTTATCAAGCTTTCTATTCTTTTCGGTTTAGATGCATTCGCTTCCTCACTTGTGCAAGGAACGTGGCTCTCATACTATATCAAGAATAAGTTTGAAGTGAGCTCCACGACTCTTGGATCCATCTTTTTCATTACCAACAACATTGCAGGTTTCTGCTCTCTTTTCTCCACGTCCTTAACCAAGAGACTTGGCCCCGTGGTGACTATGGTGGTGACACATTTGCCAGCATCTACACTTTTGATTTTGCTCCCACTTCCAAACTCGTTGTATGTGACATTGGCCATTCTCTTTGTGCGAGCTCTGACCCAGAGTATGGATGTGGCTCCAAAACATGTGTTCTTGGCCACTTTGGTGCCTCCGGAATTCAGAACGACGGTCTTTGCATGGACCAACATTGTCAAGACCATGGGACTGACGTTTGGTCCTTCCATTACTGGTTACTTGACTGGAATATCACTCCAATGGTTGGCGTTCGTCATTGGAGGTTCCTTGAAGGTGACTTATGACATTGGCATATTGGCAACGTTCTTGTCATACAACAGACATCAAGAACATTGATTATAGATAACAAACGACCGCAATTTCCTGAAAAGATTATGTTATGTAGAACAATGGGAGATCGTGGGCCATTCTGTAGCCCATACTTGTGTAAGAGACGGGACCAAAATATAATTGTTGCAGTGACGGGTGTGTGACAAACTCTGGAACGATTATTTTCCCAGATTTTTGGGAGCAGCATGGTCGGTTAACAATGCTGCAAGCCATTATGTGCGCTCTGAGCTTTCTAAGCCCTGAATTCTCAATTATACATCGAGCAACCCCTTCCTCAATCAAGCTTGAAATGTTTGTATGTCTTCGCCAATTTAGCCTGATCTTCCCATCTGCCACTAAATTCTCTCTTGAATTTCAATCAGCTCTCTCAAAGGTCTAAACTACACCTTTTCTCTTCGCCCCAGTGCTACTTCCATGCCTTACGTATAATAACGGTATAAGTTTTTATTTGCCAACAAAAGATGTAAAAATTCAAGGAAAAAAAAAAGAAAATCTTCCCTACGAGCATACCCAGGTAATGTGGGTCCGCCCTTTACCTCAGCACAGTTTTGCCCCAGATACAGAATGGCTCGAGTTGTTCAAGTCATTTCTCCAGACCCCTAGAGACTTGTCAACCTCCTTGCATAGTTTAATAATATTTCCTACTTGGGTCAATGTAGTGTCAAGTCTTGCGTAATCGGCTAACAAGAGACTCAAAAATAACACCTCCTGAGAACAAGTTCAACAACATTTTAATGTGTCAGTGCTAACCCTTGCCAAAAATTTCAGATTCACAACAATAAAAAGGACCGGAGATGTTGACCCTACAAAGTTTGAAAGTGGCCGAATTTCATCATGTATCTGCGCCAAACTGTTAGGCCGACATGCAGATATAAAGCGATAAATGCAGATAAATATGCCAGAGATCGTGATTCTGGTAACACTTGCAATCGTCCTGGTCTGGGGCCCCGATTGCATTTAGCACCTCAGCATGGAAGACTATGTTGTCCCCCAATTCTATTCATGGTCCAATTATGCACATCCAACCTAATGAAAGGCATCGACCCATCATCAATATTCCTGCGCAAGTCCTCTGGAGCACAAGCAACCGACGACTCCGCAGATTGAACTAATTCTACGTAGTGCATCCTAACGTACCTTGTACCCATTATGCAATAATATAGGAGACGACTAAGTTAAAGACGGGAAATCTCCGCTGGCTGGGATGGCAAGAAACATCGATCTTTTTTCATGTGGTCCAACCCAGCGATCATAATTCATTGTCTGCTACGCAGGGCTACAAAGATTGACTGGATTTCGGTATGGTAACGAAAGTCAGGGCTATCAATGATATAACCAACTATTTATATTTACTCGAATTAGGAGTATTCCCTGGTGTACGGGTGTTTCACTTTTTTTTACACCGAGACATTTTGACCGGAAAACATTACGAGCCCCCACCTCGGTATTGTCCTTTACCCTCGGAAAAGCTCTAAAACCACAACCGTCAGTCCTGCAAACAGTCCTTACTCAAGAGTCCAAACCACATACTCAAGCCGCAGCCATATATAACCAACCAAGACATAACCGTTGCTATCGCTTGGTAAGGACTTTTTTTTGCGCGTTTAGGTGTGGCAACTAGTTGGGCGGGGGCAGGCGCCAATTGGTAAGGAGAAGGTGCCATATGGGCAGGACTTTTGTTCCAAAATTAATCTTGTGACACGCATCCAAGGATTGCACCCGAATTTTTAATTGCGGACCTTTAACGCTCGTATCTCCGCATGTGTTTTCCGAGTGGGCTGGTTTTCAACGATCAGCGAGATATTTTCAATGTGACATAATTATGGGCTTCCACACCTTGAAATGAAGCTCTCGGTTAGGTATTAATATGAAAACTTGGGGAAAGGGCACGTGAAGGCTTGCATTCTTCTCGACATCATTGTGGTATTACCTTGGTTCCTCGGTTACATTTGTAGGATTCTTCGAAGGGTGGATTGCTCATAGGAAGAATGGTTTCAGTTCACTTTTGGTCTGGGCAATCAGGAGTTTGACTTACTTTACAACTTCCAATCATTTCTTCCAAGATTTGGTAAAGATAAACGTATTTTCGTTTTGCCCAGCATGAATTGCTTTCATGATGAATCCATTTCTTCATGTCGACTATGCGGGCTCTACTACATCGTCAAAGTACTTGAGAATTTCCAAATGGCTTAGGAATTGATATCACTAATGAAATCATTATTGACATTCTTCAACATTTCCTGGCTAATTTCTGCCACGGTAATCATAATGTTTTAACAATAATTAGTGATTTCTGGTGTCCGGGTTTTTTGGTGTACGGATGTTTCTTTTCATGTTACGGTGTACGGATCTACATCTCCACCCAGCCAGTCATCGAAGACTCCTACACTAATTACAATATTATGTCATGGTGTACGGGTGTCCTGCCAACCTATCTCTGCACTTGTCATGTAAAAATCCACTCCATCTTACTCATTCAATTATGGGCTGGTTTTGGGCTGATAAGCCTTCTCAATCTAGAACTATAGCTAACACCACTACTTCGGTACCCCCTGCGGCATGTCCCATTAACCATTCGGCACTTCCTGCCCTGGCTTGTCCTGTCAGGCCTGCAGCATCTGACGATGATGTGGAGGTATTAAATCCACTTAACAACATGCCCATGGCTATTTCTTCCGAGAAAGCTCCCGGCCAACGTGTGGTGTTACCTACGGAAAGAACAATCTCGACTATTCCAAGAGGAGAAAGTGCTGATCAGGGCTTCTGGGAGTATCCATCTCCACAGCAGATGTTCAACGCTATGTTGAAGAAGGGCAAGGGAGAAGGTGTGGATGAAACCGCCGTTGAAAGCATGGTGGAGGTGCACAACTTCCTTAACGAGGGTGCATGGCAGCAGATTTTGCAGTGGGAACAAAAGTACACTGAGGATACTCGCGTTGAGCCCAGACTCTTGCAATTCACCGGAAGACCTCATGATCTCTCGCCTCGGGCCCGCATGTACCTCTTTTTGGCCAAGTACTTCCCAGATACCTTTAACTCGCAACCCCCTTTCGACAGACACGACTGGACAGTATTGCGGTCAATGGGTAGAAACCAGGGCTGGGAGAAGGTTCGTTATGTGATCGACTACTATAGTGCACCTGACGACGAGGAGACCGGCATGCCTGCGTTCATGTTGGACACAAGACCTGCTTTGGACTCCCCTCGCAACGCTTACGACCGCTTTGACCACTGGTTCAATCCATTGTGGAAGAGAGCCATGGGCGAATTTGATGATGGGAAGGTTTGATGTTGCTACCTGTGGATAGATGCGTAAAACGATGGTAGAACGATGGTATGTGGTATTTGTATATTCAGCACGTCTCCGAATGTTGCTATGAGACAGGTTGGGTCTCTTGCATGATGCATGTTTTGATAATTGTGAATAAAGGTTCATTGAATGATTTGTAAATCCATTAACAAAAAAGTTACTGAAATCGTGATCCTCCGAGTCAATTGGTTTATGATCTCTTCACTCTCTACGTAATCACTTTCAACTTTTCTGTATTACATATGCTTTCATCTCTTCTCCTACAAACCTCAAACGATGGAATCTTTATCCCTATGTACAGATATTTACAGACTCTTCTGTGTCACCTTCTCTTTCAACGTTGGGGCCAACTCGAACTTCAGTCTCAACCGTGAAATCATCCGTGGCAAACTGCCTCCCAACTCACTCAAGTCAGCCTTGGCAATTTCGTCAAGTGTCCACTGGATCCGCTGGTTGTTTCCACTCTTCACAAAGTGGTCAAGCATGAAATAGTATGTGTAATAATTTGGTTTCACCTTGAATGGCGCCTGCTCCAAAAGACGATTGTAATAGTTAAGTGCAAGCTTCTCCTGCTTAGGCAACAATGCAGCAATCATCATGTTCCACAGTCTGGTATCGTTACGCAAGTTGGCCACGTAGAACTCAAACAAATCCTCAGCACTAGCTACAGAACCAAAGTCCAATTCAGCCCGGATCATGGTAGTCAACAAACCCATGTTGTACTTAAATCTAGAGTTTTCCTTGCAAAAGTGTTCGAACATGGTTCGAGCAGCCTCCAAGTTCACACCGTCCTTGGCCAAACCATCAATGATGGTGGTCACAGTAAACTGGTTGTATGGAATACTGTTCTTCAACTGTGCTAACAATGCAGAAACATCAGGAACCATACCCTTGCTACGGTACATCTTGAAGTAGTAACTGATGAAGGTTGTCATGGTGGCCACGTTTTCCTCAATTCCGTGCTGCTTCATGTATGTGAGAATACCTTCCACGGCGTCGTTGTTGCCAGTATCCACATAGTGAGCTAAAAAGCCGTTCATGACATTAGTAGATGGCACATAGGAGGAATCTTTAGCAGAAAACTCCTTCAATTTGGCTTCGGCCTCTGACGTCCTCTTATTGCTCAATAATCCGAGCAAAATGTTGTTTCTAGTCAAATGAACCACTGGAACATTCTTGTACTCCTTCAAGTACTCATCTACCAAGTCGAATCTATTCAAATTGGCAAATGCGCCAACCACCACAGCCAAAGTTCTGGCATTCATCTCCACGCCAGATGCCAACATTGTCTTGACGGTATTTTCCACGTTCTCGACCATCTGCTTCTTCTCTGGACCAGACAAGTCCTTCACATGGGAAGGGTGTCCCATGGCCTTGATTACCAAGTCCCAGGTGGCCACAGAGGGATTACCTTTCGAAGCCAACAAGTCTCTGAAGATGTCAATGACCTCATCAAAGCGGTGCAATTCAATGTATGCGTTCATGACTCTGTTGAAAGTTGGTTCGGTAATCGCAATTTCATTGGTGACAGATGCGGTTTTCATCTGCTCAAACAAGGTATTCAACATGACCGGGTTGTTCTGGGTGATGGCATTTTGAATTCTCTGAGCGACAAATGTACCATTAGGGTCCATTGCCTTGGTGTTGATGTCGTTGATTTTCTTCTCGTAAAGGGCCACTGCGTCCTTCAACTCTCCCAACTGCAAGCGTCTGATGGTGCCAGTCACATGGAATTTTTCAGGCACTCTCGAGGTCTCCAGTATCTGCAAGAGCTTCATGGCATCCTTGACGGAGTAGTCGACACCAGATTCCAAGCAGTGCATGACATAGACAAAGTAGGTCAAGTTCTGCAAGTCTCTGGAATCAAAGTTACGCTCCTTGTAGGCAGTAAAAGGCAGCTTGATGACAAAGTTCATGCGGCCAACACCAACCTCCTTGGTGTACTCCAAGTAGGTAAGCCAAATTTGCAAAACATCGGTGTAGGCTTCCAGATTTGATTTTCCCTTAATGGCTGCTTCAGCAGCCTTCAAGAAGTGGTAATTGTGGGCAATTTTGTGAGTGACCAACATGTTCAATACCAGGCCGATGGTTCTCTGGCCCAAAACGGCTTCATCACTCTGGATCTTATCGAAAAGGTCTGCTGTGATAGGCTGGAACACCGAGTACAATAAATCGTCGGGGATTTGCTCGGCCGCTTGGATTTCTCTCAAGTACGAGATTCCCTCCTCCAAGATATCGATGGCCTCGCCAATCTCGGCACCAGATGCAGTGGACACCGACTGCTTGACCTGGGTTGAAATGTCTCTCACCTTTCTGTTGGAGATGTGGTTTCTTCCTCTTCTGGCAGGTCTTGCGCCATTAGATGTGTTCTTGTCACCATTCTGAGCTTGCGAATTGACTTCGACTTTGTCTTTTCTTGCAGACTGTCCGTTTTGTCTCTTGTGTCCATTTCCATTTTGTTCACCTTGGCTGGTATGAGAAGGTTGCGTCTGGGCCGAAACAGACGACCAACGAGCACCCAAAGCTGCGGACCTCAGTGCTTGGACGGCTGCACGAGGAATTCCTCTCGCCAATACTGACAGAAGCATGATAGCGGTGGAGGATGATGAGGGTTTGGTGAATGGATAGAGTGAAAAGTGGTTTTCGCACCAAAAATTTTCGCAGCAGGTGGGTTGGAGGTTGAACGAATGACAAAGGTATAAGGAGAATGGGAGACGGGGAGATATACGATTTGGTTTTTATGGAATGGGCTTTTCAATTGAATCTTGGAATCTTATTTTTTTGGTTCTGGTCTATGAATCTTCTTGTGTTTTGTGATCTGATTTTTTTTGTCAGTTTGTGTATGATGGTCAGCAGGACAAGGAAAGGGTTAAAGAGGAAAACGTACAAGAATAAGAACTATTTTGAGCAATTGCTTGATGAAGTCGTTCTCCTGAGATCCTCTGCAAAATATTGAACTATCACGCCCTGTCTGATTTGTTTGCCTAGTTTGACCTTGACTATGACCAAATACTACTGGGCGATAATACTGTAGAATGTAGGAGGAGAGTTGAGAAATTAATATTGTGCAGTGGAATACAGAAATAGCATGGCGAAGGACACCGTCTTCGAACAAGGAGACGATGAAGACTTAAACACACCACCAACCAAGGATCAACAACACTCCAACTTGGCCATTAACCAAATTTCGAATGTGACCTTCAAGTCTTCAGTCTGTGATACTACAAGGCCCAAACATGAAGACTAGAGAACAGTATGACAAATAATCCAAAATTACAGATTGTATAAGAGGGGCCCATTATTTCTCCATAACTTATAAGCTAACAATGAAGCGTCAGTCTTGTCTACTCAAATCAGTTACTATTGTCCTATGCTGTTAGTACTTTCTTACAAAAGTAATTAGTGCATTCAGTAATATTATTCGGATTCTTATCATTAACAAATATCAAATGAGCTGGGTTAGAGCGGATCTATCATCACTAAGCACAGAATTGTACATACGGTTTGTAGTTGATGTTTAAAAATTTTCCACTTGATGCTTATATATGGATGAGTATGTATGTGCAGGCTTAGGGCATTGAATTCAGAGAATAGCACTTATTTCCACTACGGACTTTCTGTTGTCATACGAAAGATACTTTGTTCTGCTATAATACAACTAAATCGATTTCTATGCCCAAATGGGCTATTTTTTCCAAGGAATTTTCACATCTATGGGCCTGATTTACCCAAAGAATTTATTTCATAAGATTGGTTTCGTGGTCTAGTTGGTTATGGCATCTGCTTAACACGCAGAACGTCCCCAGTTCGATCCTGGGCGAAATCAATTGTTTTTTTTTTAATGGCCACCACCATCAATGACCCATCTACAAAGTATTCCCAACCCTCTAGTGCACCCGAAATGGAGCCCCTGCCACTCTCCTATTTCAACTACCACGAATACCTAGTGCAAAGGTATGCACCCACCAAAGACTCTCCAGATTCTCAAGCTTCTCCACATTCACAACAATCTGATCAAAACTCATCGCTTTCAACTAATGTGGCGCCGCAGACAGCATTAGTGGTCAACCACTTTCCTAATCCATATACTCCGCGGCATTCTGATCTCTACAAGAAGACCAGAGTAGTACGAATTCCTCGCCAATATGACTCAGTGGAGTTTCTGTACATGGTTCCACAATACTCCACGTTTGTACCTGGCGACGAGCCAGCGGCTATCAAGGGTGAAAGAAACGAGTTTGTAACTTGTGGTAAGTACGATAGCTCTATTTTTGGAGCTACTTCCGCCACTCCTTTGGTGCCGAACTGGATATCAGAGGAGGAGTTTGTTGAGATCGTTAAAGATGTGAACAGTCGATTGGAGGAGGCGTGGTCGCCGCAGCAGACTCTGACATGGCTAGACAATGTCATGGACTTCTTAACGGCGACGTTGTATCTGCGGCTCTTCACTACAAATGTCCGAGATACGTTTTTGAAGCGAAAGATGGAAGATTTGGAGAGGTATGTGGGGGAGGTGAATCAACGGTTGAAGCAGCGCAATGAGAAATTGGCACTTATTTCACCTGTCAAGAGTGCGTTTTTAAGTTTGGATTTCCAGATCCCTACTCCTGGCGAGACAGTGCTGAAACTTGAAAACGATGGGATGTATGGAAAGTGATAGAAAGATAAGGAACTGAACATAAGAGAAGCGAACTTCAATACGAATCGAGCAAAGTGGTCGAATAAGAATGCTTCTTCTTTGTTCAATGTAAGACAGAGATCTATCAAGTGAACACTACATGTATAATTACTGGGATTATCGAGATTGTTCACTATGAACTGAACCTGCTTGAACACAAAACATTTTGAACATATTCAAACATTTCAAGTCATTTATATGGAATATCATCACTGTGTATTGCATAACGTCAAATTACATAAGGGCACTTTGACTTGGAGAGTATCTCAGGATTGAGTTTGGCTCCAGCCACTCTAGCCTGTTCAATACTTACATTGCTTCCAAAAATCGAGGAAAAAAATTAATTTATCAAAGCAACCATCTTCTTACAATCCCTTTTTCTAATTCCCATTGAGCACTTTCTTCTCTCCTTTTGTTCACATTCCACTCTGATCCTGGAGATTCGGTCCTCCATATACCCAGGCATCGCGATGTCTTCATCACCATGTTCAGATACCTTCCACGTAACATGAACGGAATTCTTGCAGTGGAAAAGCCCAGTGGCGTGCTGTCATCCAAGGTCGTGCTTCAGCTTCAATCGATTTTCGACACGTCCGATGTTTTCGCCCACGACTTGGCTGAGGCAAAGCTGAAGGTCCATGATCAATTGACCAAAGGTACCAGATGGCTGGCCAGCAAAATCGCCAACCGAGTCAAAAAGACAAAAATCAAGGTTGGCCATGGCGGAACCTTGGATCCCTTGGCTTCAGGAGTTCTCATCATTGGAGTGGGAACGGGCACCAAGAAGTTGAGCTACTACTTGGGTGAGTGCACGAAGACCTACGAGACCAGAGCCGTTTTGGGCCAGTCCACCACTACAGGCGACTCTGAGGGCGAGGTATTGACACGTACAGAGACTGGACATGTTACGCTTGAAAGCTTGAAGAGTTCAGCGTTGAAATTTGTTGGAAAATCAAAGCAGACTCCTCCTATCTATTCAGCACTTAAGGTTGATGGAAAGCCATTATATGAGTACGCTAGAGAAGGTATTCCGTTGCCTAAAGCTATCAAGGCTCGTGACATCCAGGTTGACCTGTTTGAAGTGCACGACGACTTTGGTCCAAGTGACAAATTCGATGCAATCAAGATTGAACCTGATGCTGATGGAAATACCGTCTACTCAATGCTTGCCAATAACCCCACGCTCAATGACCTGGATCTCTTCTTCTCGGATGAGTACATGGCAAATGACGAACATTCTACAGAAGATAAAAACACTCATATCGAGCCTAAGTTATTGGATGTCTCTGCTCCAGCTCAACAGAACTTGCCTGTGTTCCATGCCACAGCTACCGTTGGCTCGGGAACTTACATTCGGAGTCTTATTAGCGACTTGGGCCGTGCTGTTGCGTCTTCGGCATTCATGGTGGAGCTCATTCGTGTCAAGCAAAGTGATTGGGAGTTGGGTAAGAATGTTTTCAAGATGAGCGACTTTGAGCGCGATGAGCGCATCTGGGGGCCAGTCTTAAAGAGAGTCTTTGACGTTGGTTCCAGCATTGAGTTGGAGAAAGAGTTTGATTTGGTGACAGAGAAGATAGGACCGTTGTTGGCCATGGAGGAGAGTAAGAAAGAGCAGGAAAGGGATGGAGAGGAAGAAAACAGTGAGAAAGTGAAGGAGACTGTAAAGGAGGAAACCAATGATAAAGTAAGTGAAAAAGAAAATGAGGACAAAGAGAAAGAAATGAGCGCTGATGCTGAAATTAGAGAAGAGGATATCAAGAGACGGAAGATCTCAACGGAAAGTACATAGACCAAGCATGAATAGCATAGAACGAAATTATTGATTAATCTTGAAAATATCTGAAAAATTAACCTCTTTATAACTCCCTAACTGTTCTAGTATTTCGGTCCCATCAAAGTTTGTTTTTCAATGAATAAAAATGATGTTTCCGTTGGATTCTCAACCTTCTATGGCTGTCCAACATGCTTCCTGCACTATCACCTACTACACCAACATTAACTTCAAAGCTAAAAATGAGATTTCTCCGCCGATTCTCGTCGTCGAGAATTTCGGCTGCTCAGTTTTTTGCTCGAACCTCCATCTCGCCGAATCACAACTCATCGTTGCTTGCTCCCACGCACTTCACACCCAAATCGGTGGTTCTACTTTCCACCCCACAAAATCTACCATTTGTCATTGAAAATGCAATCACATTCTACCAGCTTGTGGGCATGCAGGTGCTTGTGGCTGGTGTGGACGGTGTAGTTCCCAATGGAACTCGAAACGGAGTTTCTGAGCTCTGGTTGGACGACTATTTGACGTTTGGAAAGTCGATTGAGCTTTCCAAGAAGGACTCCACTCCTCCTTTGAGAGAGAGCGACGGGATTCACGTTGTGGGTGCCAAAACACATTGGAAGAACATTGATGCAGGGCTCCGGCTCTATTTTGGTGATAACTCCGTGGATTTATCCCTTGCAAACACAGCATTTTCCACCAACACTTTGGCTACGCTATTTTTCTTCCAGCCCAAGCATCTTCAGGAGAAAACCAAGGACTCTAATATGGGTGAGATGCTTTGTGAATTGACAGCCACGCTTCCAAACTTGGAGCCACAACTCTCAGGTCCGCTGTCTGAAGACAGATGGATCAGATTGACTGACGAAGAGTTGAGAGTGACGAAATTTCACGGCAACCTCCTCAAGAGCATCAATGGCAAGTCTGCTGCTTCGTTCCTTGAAAAAAATGAGAAGCTCATGTCGCTTGCTAGCAAGGATACCAAAGTCTACGTAAAATTGTACAATGGAGAGCTGTGCAAGAAGTACGAGGTGATTGCTGGAGGAGGGGGCTGGGGTGCCAAAGCAGACTTGTTGGCCATTTCTCCCGAGGCCAAGCCTCAAAAAGGTGACCGTTTGGAGTTCTTCATGGTTTCTCCAGATGATCGGTATGGTGAAATGACTTCGGCGGTAGTGTCCAACAGAATCAGGTTCGAGTGTATTCCTGAGGCTACTTCTTATGGTGGGGAAGTTCCAGCATCTCAAGAGGTTGAAAACTTGTTCGGATGTGGATGTGAAAGCGGATTTGAGGTGAATGAAGTCAACCATAGAAGTGCGGGAGAGGTGGTTGAATTCTCGTGGAAGTGAGGAGAAGAGCTTGTAAATAGCATAAGTATGTGAATTCTAAGCCGTTCATGAATGGACTTGACATTCATAAAAAGAATAGAAGAATGAAAATTCGAAAGCAATTGAGAAAGAAAGTTATGACGATAAGTTTCAATCTGGAGCTTTGATCTCTGGTGAAAAAAAAAAATTCACTTTAATTCTCTCAGGAGTTGTTTTGTCGGCATCGTTCGATTTTACAGTTGATAATTATCCATTTATTGATTTTAGTCACTCCATTAAGGAATATTGGATTCAACGGTTTTTCAGACGTCAAAACTCATGAGGATTGAAGGAAGCTAACTGTACTTTACAATCACAAAGCTGATTGGCAGATCCAAACCATTATAATGCCCTCTATCACTATGATACATTATACCTTCCGAATCTTTCATGAAGTGAACTTCAATGAGTTTGACGACTGGCTATTCTGGTGATCCTGGCTACGGATATAGAGTCTTCGTCTGGTTCCCTTCTCTACGTGTTTCCCTACATCTCTCGTTGATCTCTTCTTTCTGGTTTCCATACAAACCTAGTAATCGTCTCCCTTTGAAACAACCTCCTTCTTGTGTGGATGCAACAAAATAGTATGCTCAAACTGGGCAGTGTAAGAACCGGTAGCGTCCACTAATGGTGGGTAGTCCTCAACTACTCCAGCACGAACCAACTGGTTCAACGCTAGAAGGTACTTATCCTCTCCTGCACGTTCCAAGTATCTACGGCACCATGGCAAGGTTCCGAAGTTGCTCTTAATGCTCTGAACCAACTCCCTGGCTCTGTCTCCAGGAAGCTTGATGTCGTCAATGTTCTGGTTCAAGGCGTAGTGAGAACACTCACCCTGAGAGATCACATAACCCTTACCGGTTGTTCCGAAAGTCTCAATGGCAAAGGTTTCACCCTCCTCCATCTTGGTCATGTCTCCGTTGGCTACAATCGGCACGGTCTTTCCTGAATGAATCACGTAGTCTCCAATGTTGTGTCCGTTCAAGTTTCTGATACACTTGATGGGGTAGGTCTTGCCGTTCAACTCCAATTCATAGGATTCCATTACCTCCTGCACTGCTGCACCGATATCGTTTAATCTGACATCGATACCGGCCTCGTTGATACCGGTATATGTTGCTTCTCTGACTGCAGTCAAGAGGTTGTCGTACTTATCGTCAAAAGTCAAGGTAAATGCTGAATCAACAATGTGACCGTTGACATGCACTCCAATGTCCACCTTCATCACGTCTTCCTGTTTCAACACAAGTTTGTCTGACGAATTTGGTGTATAATGTGCAGCCACATGGTTCACAGACAATCCAGTAGGGAATCCAATACCTTGCTTCAAAGTGTGGTCGTTTCCAGTGTAGGAACGCACGGAGTTCTCGATAAGGTCTGCAATGTCAAGCATAGCCATTCCGGGCTTGATCAACTGCTGAGCTTTTGCTCTAACTCTACGATGGATCTCGGCACCCTTTCTAAAGTCCTGCCAGTGGTTGTTCTGCTGTCTGTCCAAGTATCTCTTCTCCTCGTCAGTGGTACGGTAGCTGTTCACTTCCAATGGGTACTCCATCCATTGTCCTTCAGGAAAAACTCCATCGGGGTAAGATGAGTCGATGTTGGAGATTTTCTTCTTCTTCTTATTCTTCTTCTTCTTTTTCTTTTCTGCGTCCTGACTTTCAGGAGCTGGCGACTGTTCGTCTTCCACGCTCAAATTTTCGATTGGAATTTTCTCCACCTCTGCTGCTTTCACTTCGCTGGCCATGGTTGCTAGGATAAGTGTGGTGAAGAATAAAATTTCGGTAGTGTCGGATCATGTGACCAATTTCCGATGCCGATGGGGTATAATAGATATTTTAATAGATGAGTAGAATTTTTGATGTTTTAGGCATGCTGAGTGGGGTATTGCTTGTGACTGATAGATATTTAGAGTTTTTTTTTTTTTTTAAGGTTTATTGGTTGATTTTCGTGTTGACCATCTATCATATCTTTGAATGCTCATTAGTTGGAACTCATGCCCACTCTCATTAATTGTGACCTTCACCTACACTATGAAGTGGCACTATAAATATTGACGTTATTCTTCGGACAGGACTAAGCTTACCGTGTCTTCATATTCATCTTCTATGCTAAACAATTAATCACTTTGTATTATTTCGGAATGACACCATGAGCATGATTCTATTGATTAATGCTATATAAGAGGGCCGATGTCAAGCACCCATCCAGGGATAAGAACCGGCCAATTGGCCGAAGCCAAATGCAATCTAGTCTCCTCTACTCCTTTGACGGATCTGTACCCGACAGTCCAAAGAGTCCCACCTTATCGAAATTGATCATTTTACCATCCACAGGTGTCTTCGGCACACTGGCCTGAACGAGCCCATGAAAGTCTGGCGTCTTCAAGAAACTCTTATTGATCGCCGATCCCTGTGATGCTGCTCCTCCTGGCGATGGAGTGAAGAAATTCACATAGTCGCTCATGTTGAAGCCTGCGGGGGTAAGGGCCAATCCAGCAGAAGGCAATGCGCTGCCTGGAACGGCCAAGTTGCCGTAAACGGAAGGAGTGAGCCTGCTCTGAGGTGTCTTTGCAGTGGAGAACATAGGACGCTTGGGAGTGAGTGGAGGAGGAGGTGCAATGAACAGATTGCTCGAGGCTGGTTTGTGCATGGAACCCGTGGCCAGCGTGGTGCCATTGGGGGCCGAAGACGCACGGGGAGTAGTTCCGTACGGTTTAGCGGGCGATGGCGATGTTGCTAAGTACATGAGTAAGTCGGCACCCTCCAGGTCGTTGTAGTTGTCTCTCGAAGGTTGGGTAGGAGTCTTGAGGAGCGCATCGTGGTTTGCAAGCTGCGTTTTAGGCAATGTGGGGGTTGTCTGGGCATTCTTGAAGGGCGTTTCAAGTGACAGCCTTCTGTTCAGCGCGTTGGAGGTCAAAACAGGCGACGGGTGCAAAGAACTCTTGGATGGAGAAGCGTAGCCGGAACCACCGGGCATCTCCTCCAAGACCATGTGAGGTTCAACGCGGAGAGGCGCACCACTGTCTGCTCGGCGCCTCTTGATGGGTGAGTCGTTGAGCTCCGATACTGAGTGAGTGTCTATGGAGCTCTTCCTGGTCTTGGAATTCGGTCCACTTTCGGCGATGCTCTTCAACGGAGAACTCGACAAGAACACTGACGGCTTGGTCAGCGTGGGCAGCTTGCGGTCGGGCGAGTACAAGTTTGGCAGCAGGGTCAATGCCGGGGTGTTTCCGGCTGCAATTTGCCGTTTCCACATGTAATAGTTCTTGAGAGGGCTCGATTTGGGTGGAGACATCAGGGTCAGCGGCGAGCCTGGCGGTAAACCTTGGGAAGAGGATGCAGCTGTTGACGATGTGAGCAGCTGCTTAGCTGCCACAGATGCCTTGGAGAGCTTCAACTTGAGCTCTTTAGCGATTTTCTCCAACTCATCCTTTTTGAGCGGAGTTTTTGGCTTGCGGGCGCTTTGGGGCGTGTCACTCTTGCCGTACATATCAGGGTCCGGCGAGTTGACAGATTTGGAGTCTTTGAGAGTATTCATCGCCAGGAACCAGCGGTTAGACGGGAATTGCCGGAGAAGGACAAAGGTAATGGATCACTCAGAAATTCAGGCTTGCTTGGTGTTTGTAAGCGGTGGCGAACAGACGACCGGAAGCAAGCGGTAAATGAAGAAGCGAAACGAGCGAAACCTAGAAGGTAAAAAAATACGACTAAAGTTCGAAACGCCGAGTTCGTGTAATGAAGAAAGTAGTGATGGGAACAAAAAATTATGTGAGACAGTACGCGTGAGAATGGGCAGGCAATTTTCTCTTTTGGGATAATTACTCGCACTAATTACTCGCAGCAACCGTTGCACGCACCGTGAGCTCCGATAGAGATAATGACAAAAAGGTAATAAATGTTGATAATAAGAAGAAGCGGAAGCATTCAAAGATATTGACAATTTGGAAAGTGAAGGTTTGGAAGTTGAAGTTATTTGGAAACGAATGGTGAAATTGTGGATGGATGAACCTGGACACATTGGAAGAGAGACGCATTCTATGGTTGGGTGCGAATATGTAGGGAAGGAACCATCCACAGGAGAAGGGGTGGAAGGGATGGAATGTGGTTAGGAAATACGACGGGTCCATTGTTGGAGGTTGCTGTTTACTTCTTGAAGGAATTGTTGAAGGAAAATGGTTGATAAGTGAAATAATAGGGCTCTTGGAGGGGTTTTACGGAGGTTTTGGGAAAGGTTTTGGGAGTAGATATGGTGACTTTACTGTTGATTTGCAATTATTTACTAGGCGCGAAAATTTGGTGAGAAAATCGAGTGGGACGTAGAATCTGCAGATGGAGACAAGAAAGGTGACGATTCGGAAGAAAATGGAAATGGCGATAAAAATCTAGAATTGGAAGATTAAAGAGCAAAATGGTGGGTGAGGGTCAGAATATGGGGATCCAAATTACTGAGCTCTAATACCTGCAGTTACTGCTACTACAAGTACAAGTGCTTACTAGTAGTGTTTAATACCAGTGCAGACGACCAGTACATACAACCAGTGCTACTACCAGTGCTTACTTCTACAATCACCCCTCCTCTCTATTCTAGTCCATGCCATTTCTAGTATGATTTTCTTTCACCTCGTACTTCTCAGGAATGTAAGAGACCTTATGAGAATTGTTGGATCTGTTAATGGTGTCTAACTTCTCATCTGCATGCAACCATATCATCTTTCGATATGTCGATTCAATCAGTATCAAATGCTTCAAATTTCCGATAGTCTTCTCTTCTCCTTTCCATCTCAATCTTCTTCAGTTCACTTCAATCTCAATTTTCACACCTCAAGCCTTTCTCACTTCTCTTGACTCCTTGATTATTCCTCGTCTTCACACCTATCCGTAGCTTCAACCTTTTCATCTGACAAGCTCTCTCTATCTCACTATCTCTCTATCTCTTACAATCTCTACAATCTCTCTTAAATCTACAATCTATCAAATATTTAATAACTCTCTAAAAATCTCTTAGCAATCTTTAATCCATCGCTTGTCTCGGCGCCTTCTTTAATTCCGCCCCGGCACTCGCCGCCCAGCCTTATCAACCGGAGATCGCCGCACTGATAAGACTAACTATATATGGCTGTGACTTCCATCTTCTGTGCTCAATAATCTAATATTGGACATTGAAATCTTGATCTTTATTAATACCTATTTATCTATTGAACTGTGAATGAAATCACAATTCACCAACAATTCATTATCTTCAAGTGTATCTTCGTCCAAACCTCTTGTGGGAAACCTTTGCACGTGATCTTTCCACCACCTATAACCACTCCAGATTCATCTCCATCTGGCCCTCTAATGCTTACCACATTATTCCTTCTCGGTCCGGCAGTGCTTGTCTACGTGATCTATCAAATAGTCACACAAGCATTGCCTCGCTTTTTCCTTGTTCCTCCACAACATTGGCAGGACAAGATCCTTAAAGTGATCAACCACCCTAAACCAATTTACTTGAAAGTTGGAGCTAAGCGGTCAAGTTTCCGTCGTCGACTCATCACAGCCAGTGTACAGCCATCTTTTTACACCAACTTTCTCAGTAATAAGTTGCAGCTCCACCCAAAGGACACAGAAAACAAAGATGGTTTCTTCATGAATGCCATGAAGAGAAGAGCTCCCAATGATGCCTCCAGAAAGGTCATTTACGGCTTTTTCCACCCATACGCGAACAATGGTGGAGGAGGAGAAAAAGTGTTGTGGCAGGCGGTTCACGCAACTCTCTTGGAGGATCCAAGAAACATCGTGGCCATCTACACGGTAAATGTGGATGCCAAACCATTGGACATCTTGCAAAAGGCTGCCGACAAGTTTGCCATTACTGGAATCGACTCCAAAAGGGTGGTTTTCATTTACTTGCGTAGGTATGCCCTGTTGATCGACAGTAGCTACTGGAAACACTTCACCTTGCTTGGTCAGCTTTTTGGATCGGCGGTCCTCGGCTTGGAAGCCATGTATGAGTTGAGTCCTGACATTTGGATTGACACCCAGGGCTTGCCTGGAAGTTATCTTCTTGCCAATTGGGTGTTGAAGGAGCCCATTGTCGCATATGTTCATTATCCAATCATTCAGCCAGATATGTTCAGCAAGCTCAAGTTTCAGAAGTTCAGCGACTTAGTCACGATGAGTTTCTCAGCCTCTGACGTGAAACAGGCCATCAAGTTCTTGTACTGGACCGCATTATACAGTTTCTATATGTACTTGGGCTCCATGGTGGATATCACCTTTGCAAATGGAACCTGGACATTGAACCACATCAAGAACATTTGGTACCTCAACCCAATCAGAGGACGCGAGATCGCACTTTTGTACCCACCATGTTCTGCTGAAGTTCCTAAGGGTGTTGCGGATACCGTTGTGGAGAAAGTTAAGCCCAGAAAGAACAACATGATATATGTTGGTCAATTCCGTCCTGAAAAGAGACATCTGCTTGTTTTGGAGCAATACAGCAAGTTCTTGGCCAAATTCCGCGACTCCAAGTTGCCATTGTCAAGTCTCCCCACTATCACTTTCTTGGGTTCTTGTAGAACTCCAACTGACTCCGATACTTTGGATAAACTTTATGCGCAAGTCAGAAAGCTCGACATTTCTGATTATGTTGAGTTTGTTGTTGACTGCTCCTATGAGGAATTGAAGGAACATTTGGCCACCGCCAAGTTCGGTTTGAATGCAATGTGGAACGAGCATTTCGGTATCAGTGTGGTGGAATATCTTAGTTTTGGTGTGGTACCTATTGTCCATGCCTCGGCCGGACCACTCCTTGACATTTTGAGCACAGATACTCCCTCAAAGACCTGGGAAAACGACTTGGGCTTCTTTTTCAAGAGTGAAGAGGATCCAGATTACTCTGGTGTCAAACAAGGTGACAACCTTGACTTCTTTGTTGGAGATGAAACTTGGACATATCCAACATTGTCGGCACTTTTGACAAAACTATTCATCAAGTCACCAGAGACCATTTCTGACGCCAATCTTGCAAAAAAGAGGGCTCTGGCCAAGGGCATTTTGGAGAAGAAGTTTTCTAGTAAGATCTTTACAACAAAGTGGATGGAGTTTCTCCGTTCGGTTGCAATCATGGAGAGAACTTATAGAGAGAACCGCAGAGATGGCATTGATGGTGTCCACTAGTGTAATATACATCGATCATAAGAAGTTAATAGTTGTAGTAAGCTAAGTTTCATTGTAAGCACTATGGGCATAGGGAGTTCTCTGACAAGCCTGAACCTTTCAAATTTTATCATGATGACAAAAAGGACCAAGATTAGTTTATTGGGCTTTTAATGTTCGCGTCATAGACATAGATGTTTCTCTACAATAGTGTAAGTCCGTCATCCCATGAGAGCTTTCACCATTCTACTAATTTCCTGCGATTTAAGACTGAGGTTTTTCTGGGCTCAGCAAGTGCCCCTTGATGAAGAACGTTCGCTAAAAGAAAATGACAACAAGGTGATGAGATGAAATGGGTTTAATGGTTCAAATTCTCGATGATAATTTTCATTAGGGCCCTTAATCATTATATCATGGTTTTGAATCTATCATCCATTCCGTAGGGGATGAAAATTCCATAATTTTAGAATTTTTCCTGTTGTAACCACACTAGGTAATGAGAAAATATTTATCAGCACGAAGTTCCTCTCGGTGGCCAAGCTGGCTAAGGCGCGAGACTGTAATTGATTTGTAATCTTGAGATCGGGTGTTCGACTCACCCCCGGGAGACTTTCGTAGCCTTTATGGCCAAGTTGGTAAGGCACCTCACTAGTAATGAGGAGATCGTCAGTTCGAATCTGGCTGAAGGCATCTTTTTTATTTTTGGAACATCAAGCATCATTAGGTTGGAATTTTCATGGGTTTGTGCTATTTGAAGAGTGGAAAACGACCATGGGTGACAAAATCATTGAAAAATCTATGTACCCAATATTAACATAAAAATTGGTGACTTTGTATTCATAGCTTCTCTGTCAATTCTGCCTTTGTCAGCAATTCCGGGCTTGTGCCGACTCCTTCGAAGTCTGTTGCAAAACTCTATTATCTCGAACCTATACCATTGTGAATTCTCAGAACTCCTTACTTCTCCAACTTTTTAACTTTTTTGTAATTATCAATGCTTCAGAATACAACTACTTGCCTTCTCTCTACTAATCCAACCTTCTTTTTTCTCTTTTTCTGTTCGATTTGTCTGTTCTATCTCTTCACTTCAATTCTCAACTCATTCCTGTGCTAAATAAGATTAATCCCAACATACTTCTCTACAAACATAATAACTTGTGATCATTGTGTCCCCATTACAATCCAATTTAAATAATCAAACCTCTCCAATCTTATTAATATTCATTTCCACCATCCTTTTACCTTTTTCCTCCATGGTATATACCTCTAGGGCTCAAGCCCTAGCACCTGCACGCACCCATTCACAACCGCATCCTGCAGACACACTCTCAACCTCGCACTCTCAACCTCTTCAAAAATTTTTCCACTCTTCTTAGTTACTACCTACCGAAATCATCAGTCACAATGGGTATGTCCAACACGAAAACACCAACATGTGAATGACTACATGTGTTTCCACTGTCCGAAATGATTAGTCCTCCAATTTCTCCCGTCCGAAACGTCCCTCTATCGCTTAATCCAAGACGATCAACCTCGAAATAGTAAAACTCCAGCAAAATTTCCAGGAGAAATATTTTAAGATCCACAAAGCATTCAATCACATGAGTTGGTTTCATCAGCAAACATCGTACTAACCTCCAGTTAACGTTCCTAAGCTCAGAAAGACTTACTGTAAGGGTAAGCAGTGCAGAAAGCACACCCAACACAAGGTTACCCAATACAAGGCTGGTAAGGCTTCCTTGTTCGCTCAGGGTAAGAGAAGATACGACCGTAAGCAGTCCGGTTTCGGTGGTCAGACCAAGCCAGTTTTCCACAAGAAGGCTAAGACCACCAAGAAGGTTGTTTTGAGATTGGAGTGTGTCAACTGTAAGACCAAGGCTCAGTTGGCTTTGAAGAGATGTAAGCACTTCGAGTTGGGTGGTGACAAGAAGCAAAAGGGTCAAGCTTTGCAGTTTTAGGTTACTTTGCGACGTTTGTATACTACTGTCTCATATAATCCAATACAGAAACCTAGTCATAATGGATTGTAAAAGAGTTTTACTAGACCCCTGAAGTTGGGGATGTAGGGATTTTGTTCATGATTTCCAAGTTATATTGGTAAGTAATGAAGAAATTTGGATTTGGCGCCTTTGACCAGACACCCGAACACCAATGGAAAGCAACCTCTCACCGTTTCCATTTCATGTGAGAGTCCAGACAGTATCTTATAGTGATTGGTGAGGCAGGCACCCACATAGTGCCTTACGGATCACGTGATTTACTGGTCCCCGTCACCACTCCTATTATCCCACGGTTAGTTTTCATCCCAGACATGATAAAGAGTTACTTATTTTGCCCCTAATTTGAAGGACAATCTCCACTTTTTTGAAGTTGCCGGTTTCATCGAAGTCTTTGTCCAATTATAGTCATATGTTCCAACCGTTATTTTTTTGCCCATAATCGTCGTGCCTTTCTAAAACGCCTACTTGTGGTGCACGGGTTTCCTTCTCACTATTCACAACCACTTTCGTCTCAAGATCAACTTGACAACGCCTGGGCATTTTTCTCCCAAACATCTGATATTCCTCGCCTACTCGCCAAATTTGCGTGTATTGAGCGATTCTTGTTTTGATAACCCGGTTTTTTTTGCCATCAAAAACCTCAGGCCCAAGTGCTTTCTCGTCGCTCTTTTGGCCCTCTGAACACGCCTGATTTCGTCTATCTGTGGTCTTCCTTATCCTCATAATCAAGAAACGACCATCAGAAACACATCATATCTCCTTTCTATCTGGCAAAAATAGGAAGTCGACTCTCCTTTTACTTTTTGGTACTTCTCTCTGGTCCTAGACTCGGATTGATTGACGTTTGATCTTTCGAATAAGATTCGAGCAACCAGATTCCTCGCATGAACTACCAGAACGACTACCGCCAGACAGGCGGCGAGCATAATGGTAATGGTGCAAACCATCAGCTACATTCGCAGCAGATCCCAAACTTGACCTACAGCCAATACAACGCAGACATGTCTATGGAAGAAGACACCAGCTCGTACGTAGAACCAGTGCCTTCCACGTGGGGCGTAACGGATTCTCCAATGCTGCTGCAGCGGCAGCAGGGTATGGGTAACTTTCAACAGCCGCAGTTCCAGCTTCTGCCCACATTTTCGGGAGGACATTCATTCGACAATAATGAAAGCAGAAATGTGTTCCAGCTGATCGACTCTGGCAATTCGTTGAACTTCCGTCCACCTACGGCATTCACAACCCTTAATAACTCGTCCAACACAAACCTATCGGACATTAGCAACTCAAACAATCTGGTGACCAACTCGTTGCATGATGCTTCCACATTCACCGCAGTCAACTCGAGTTTAGGCAACTTGGCAGCATCAGCGGCCAGGAAGGACGATGCTGCTACTCGAGGTCGTCAGGTTCAGCAGAATCAGCAAATTCTGGAATCACAGCAGCCACGGGTAAGCCAAATGCATGAAACCCAACAGTTCCACCAAAGCATACAACCACAACAACAGATGCAACCCCGTTTCCCTTCGGAGTTGCCTCATACGCCACCTTCACAATTGACCAACAGTGAGCCTCCTAACAGCAATAGTAATTACGTGTATTTCTCAAGACAGCCATCACTTTTGAGCAAAGCAACACAAGATAAGGCTGCTGCAATCAAGTTGAGGCTTGAGAATCACTACCAGATGTCGGTGACGCATGCCATTGAGCGTAATCAGCGTCGTTTGGACTTGGAGAACCGCTTGGCTGCCGAAGAGGCTGCGATGAGTGAAGAACGTAAAAACAGACAATTGCAGAATCTTGGAAAGAAAGAGTCGCAATTTTTGAGACTCAGAAGAACGAAGTTGTCCTTAGAAGACTTTATAACCGTCAAGGTGATCGGAAAAGGCGCTTTTGGTGAAGTGAGGTTGGTACAGAAAAGAGACACAGGTAAGATATATGCCATGAAGACACTTTTGAAGTCCGAGATGTACAAGAAGGACCAGCTTGCACACGTCAAGGCTGAAAGAGATGTATTGGCTGGAAGTGATTCCCCATGGGTGGTCTCGTTGTATTACTCGTTCCAAGATGCCGTCAACTTATACTTGATCATGGAGTTTCTTCCTGGAGGAGACTTGATGACCATGTTGATCAGATGGCAGATTTTCACCGAGGACATTACACGGTTTTATATGGCTGAGTGTGTACTTGCCATTGAGGCCATCCATCGTCTCGGGTTCATTCACAGAGATGTCAAACCTGACAACATTCTTATTGACATTCGTGGTCATATCAAGCTTTCTGACTTTGGTTTGTCCACGGGATTTCACAAGACACACGATTCGAGCTACTATAAAAAGTTATTAGAGAAGGAGAACCTGTCTGGTTCCAACACATTGAATGTTCCAGGCAAGACTACGCAAAGAAACTCCATGATGGTCGATGCCATTCACCTTACCATGTCCAACAGACAACAGATGCAGACGTGGAGAAAGTCTCGACGGTTGATGGCGTACTCCACAGTCGGTACTCCCGATTATATTGCGCCTGAGATCTTCATCCATCAAGGTTATGGACAGGAATGTGATTGGTGGTCATTGGGAGCCATCATGTTTGAATGTTTAATTGGATGGCCACCATTCTGTTCGGAGTCACCCCATGAGACATACAGAAAAATTATCAACTGGCAAGAGTCGTTGATCATCCCGGAAGACATCCACTTATCACCAGAGGCTGAGAGTTTGATTCGCAGCTTGCTCACCAGCAGTGACAAGCGATTGGGACGTCATGGAGGAGCTGAAGAGATCAAGCAGCATCCATTCTTCAGGGGAGTGGACTGGGAACTGATTCGAAGAGTGGACGCACCTTTCATTCCGAAGTTACGTTCCATCACTGACACCCGCTTCTTCCCCACTGATGAGTTGGAAAATGTGCCAGATAGTCCTGCCATGAGCCGTGCACACCAGCAGGTGGAGGCCACTGGCCAAAACACCAAGGAAGATCTTCCGTTTATTGGATACACATACTCGAGGTTTGACTACTTAACCCGAAAGAATGCGTTATAAACTGGCACCCTTTTTGCGATGTTAAAATTGGACTCCGGACGAAACGGTACGATTCCAAGTGATTGCCGAAAGTTAGTCATGAAATCAAGTTTAACGTTTAGATCGCCGTCACGTGAAAGGGATTGTTAATTCAGCCCCGGGAAGCGGATGTTAAGTTGAGACAATAGGCTGTGTGCATAGGTGTCAAATGTCAGACAAGTATTTAAAAGATTCCGTTTAACGATTTATTAAACACCGTTGGTATCCACAAATGTGGCCCCACGCGAAGGTTGGCCCATCAATTTTCGCATATACGCCCGTGTGGCCGATACTCCCTGACAGAAGTTTGTACTAATGTTGTCAACTGCATCTGCACGCAAAATTCCGTAACCGTTACTATATTCCGGGGGGCTAGTGGGACGACAATTTGCGTGACTTGGTTGCCAGCGACGGTACAAAGTGCTGCCGTCCTTACATTTTGCTAATACACCAGGAACCCTCACAAAATTGTGGAATCACTAATTCTGGTAAAAGAGAAAACGAACCCGACTGGATCTGTACCGAATGAAGAAGAAACCCCAATTGAGCCTCCTTCCCTCCAAATTTCATTTTCACACTTCCTTTTCCTTTTGCTCAATTAACCCCAAAATGTCTCAAATTACTTCCACTGTATGCGAAGTTAAACTAACGCCGACCGTTCCGAAGTTTCCGCAGATTACTAACCCAATTCGTCCTAATTAGCAATTGATGCGGCCTTCACTGCAAACATTCTATATACAGGAAGTCGATAGACCTGCTCAGGTTATATATATACCCTGTTACTTGGCCAAGCATAAACCCATCAACCCTATTGGATATTTTGTGTTGCAGACTCTTGAAAGCCTGTGAATCCTGAGTTTCAAGTTATTCCCTCCATTCATCGCCTTACTATAGCCTATCCATCTAATTGACCTGTGCAATGCGTGCTCATCTGATTATACTTGTTACTGCTGGGTTGGTGTCTTTGGCTTTTGCCATGGATATGGATTCCCACTCGACTTCGGATGGTAACTCGCCGATTGAGCTGTCCCCAGAGAACCCAGGGGAATCGCTAATTCCTGTTCCTCACAGAATTTCCCACCATCACGGCGTGCCGATTCTCGAGACCAGTCTATCACCTGAGGAGAAACTATACTGGGAGAATTACACCACAGAAACCTATTTCAACACACCTTCGTCACACCGCTCGGCATTATGGGTCCACATTGCTCTGTACGTGAGCTCCTATGTTTTTTTGTATCCGATTATTTTAGTTTTTTGGAACATCCATCACTGGTTGTACTTGCCGGCATTGACTGCTCATACTGCGCTTATCTTGCTTTCGGTTGTTAACTACTGGATTTTTAAAGCCTCCATCACAGAATTGTTACCTCATAATGCTTTTGGACCCATGACTTTCTTGCTCTTTTTGGGTGCAATTATCCACTGGTTTGTGGCGCTATTGGCGGTCACTTACAAGTATTTGAACATCGATGATGAGTTTGGATACGCAGAGTTGGACGCAGACCATGACGATGATCATATTGTATCACTCAATTCGCCAGAGCTCACTTTGCGTGAATCTAATCTGCGTGAGGACTCGTTTGAACTCGAGGATTTGGGTGAAACTGATGGCCACTTGAAGACCTCCAACAGTCTGATGCTCCAGCGGTCGCCATCGAAAATTTCTCAATTCTTATTGAAATTCCCTGTCTTCAAGAAAGCTACGCAGGTGTTTGGAAAGACGGCACTTACGCTTGCTGGCCTCATTAATTGGGCTCTGTTTGCATACTTTCTCGCCTATCTTCCCACTGGAATTGCTACCTACTGTGTGTACGGTCTTGACAACACAATGTTCAACATGCTTGCACACTTCATCAAGGGTGGAGTCTTCTTCGTTTTGGGTATGGTAACGCTCGCTCGCTATTGTGGTGCTTTCCGCCGCAAGGGATGGGCTTGGAATCACCGCTTTGTCAACGCAAAAAAAGCAGTAACCCCATGGATTCGCTTGCAGTCTAATGGGCTCTGGACCATGGAGTTCGTGGAGTCTGCATTGATTTTATTCTATGGCTCTACAAATGTTTTTTTGGAACATTTGGCCGGCTCTGGCGGTCCCTGGACAGCCAAGGACTTGCAGCACGCTTCGATTGCGTTCATTTATATCGGATGTGGGCTCTGCGGTGTCTTGGTAGAGCGCAAGTTGAGCTCGTGGAGATATCAGAGGGCCGTTGACAATTTGTCGTATGTTGCCGACTCTAAGACTACTTCTACAATTGTCAAGGCCACTCCCGGTTTCTCGCCTAACCCATTCCCTATCTTGACTATCTACTGGACCGGCATCATTATGTCCAAGCATGAGCAAGCCTCACCTTTGTCCACTGAAATTCACATTCAATGGGGAAATTTGTTTGTAATCGCATGTGCTTTCAGATTGATCACTTACCTTTACTGTGCATTGGCACCTGCCAATCTTCGTGCATTAACGCAGCCGCTGAGCCCCATGACTGAATTGGTTGTCAGTTTCTGCTTGCTCTGTGGTGGCATGATATTCATGGAATCCACTGACCCCGTCATCCATCTGTATGAGTACTATGGCTACACGTCGATGTTCACGTTGAACGTGTCCGTTGGAATTGTGGCACTCATCATGGCTTGGGAGTTGAGTGTTTTCGCTATCAAGGATGCCTTGGTGCGTCGGATGGGTTCCCAAAAGATTTAAAGTTTGATTTTCATATGGCGTATTTCCATCGTTAATGCTTAATTGCAACACATCCTATGGAGTACGGATATCTATGAGTTACTTAATTGTTGTTTTTTTATTTATTATGTACTAATGATTATGTTGTTCGACGATTTTGCATATCTGAGCCACTTCTTCTGGTCCAGTGCTGCAGCAGCCCCCAATACCTCTAACGTTTGTAAACAGGCACCATTTTTCCACAGCCTGGGCCCACTTTTCGCTAGACTTCTTGAATACGTATTGACTCACATCACTCATATCATTCTCGAAGCCATAGTTTGGATACACAATGAGGGTCAAGGGCTCGACATTAAGAGAAACAGCAGTCTTGTTAGCATTGGAGATGAACTCCGCAACATCTTCAAATGGTACGCAGTTACAACCGGTTGCAACAAAGCAATCCCTGACAGTCTTGCTGAAGTCTTCACTAAGCATGTAAGTGAACACATCAGTTAATGGTGTACCGTCAGCCAACATTGCTGAGTTCTTACAACTCAATGTGATGTAAAATTCCTTTCTGCAATTACTCAAAACTTCATCTGCCAACTTGAGAATGGCCTTGACCTCCTCGAACTTGGGAATGGTCTCAAATGCGATACAATCCACATCATCACTAGCAGCGAAGTATTCGAGCATCTCTCGATGATATTCACACAATTTATCGATCGACATATCACCGTATTCGCCGCTATATTCGGCTCCATTGGCCAAAAATGCGCCGTAGGGCCCAATGGACGCCACAATGAACACTTTTGAAGTTGGATTCACCAACTTGACCGCATCTTTGACACAATCAATGGATTTCTTCCACACTTGGCGGGACTGTTCTAATGACATGTTCTCGTGCTTCTGAAGTGTCTGAAGAGATGCCTGGTACAGCGACGTGATCAATACGGACGCTCCTTTCTCCAAATAGCTCTGGTGGATCTTGGTGATCATGGAAGGTTCTTGGATAAGTACTTTAGCTGACCAGAGTGGCAGACCTTTTACAGATAGAGGGTTTTCCCGGGGGATTGTCTCTTCCAATTGTGTTCCTAACGCACCATCAAGCACGATTCTTTGAGCGTGGAGAGCTGCCTTGAAAGACATGGTGTTTGAGAATAGAATACTACATACATGTTAAAGGTGTGGAGTCAGTGAGATCATCTGATTCCCATGAAATGAATAGAGAATCATCGAAAATATTCGAATCCTTCAAGTCTTCTCATTTCTTTTATCTTTCTCCTCTCATAACTATCTTTCTATTGTACCTTAAATTTAGTGCTTGTATATTTTGCTAATAATTCTAGTTTCCCTATTATTATCTCTTTCAGAAACCCAGTTACATTTCGCATTTTTCTGTTACTTTTTCTCCACACATACATATTTAATTACTTCATAACCCACCACATAAATACACCAATGGCATAATATTGAAAATTAACAAGCAAAATCCTAATATGACATACACCTAGTTAGCTTCACAGAGTTTAATTTCCGTCAAATGCCCAAAGATTCCCCAGAACATACTCTCCTCCCATTTTGAAAGTTACTCTCCTGCACACCGCACAGTAACCCGAAATCCACCACGCTCTCATCACCTATCTCTATTCATTATGGAAAATCCAGCCAAAAGAAGCAGAGACGACTTTGAGGGCCCCGGAGCCGATGGTGAAGACTACGATGCTGGAAAAAGACAGCATGTGGACCCAATCACCGAGTTGATCGGCAATATCTGTAAAGATATCCGAAGAATTGGCGAGAACTCCAACTTGGCTAATCAGGTCGACGATATCACGTACATTTCCAATCCAATTGTGGCCGAATTCGAGAAAATCGACAAGTTGCGTGACGCCATTCTCGCCACGTTGTACGCAGTGGTGATCGAGCAGCCACAGAAGATCCCCAACATCAGTATCTTGATCTTCATCTGTAATGCCAAAAACTTCTTGGTGGCCAAGTACGTGGTGGAATTCTTCCATGCAAAAGCACAAGAGCTACTAGACAAGTTGAAGGACCAAGATACGGCCATGGAAGATACCGAGGCCAAGCCTGAGTCCGAATCTACTGAGGAAACAAAAGCTGTTGAGAATGCTGGAGTTTTCAACGACTTGAAGTCCGTATTTAAGTTTTTGGCAGCATTGAGTCCTATTATCGAAGATGGTGCAGTCACAAACATCCTCAAGCTGTTCTTGTCTGCTGCCATTGACTTGCAGAACTCCACCGACGAGAGAAACGGTACAGCTGAGGAGATATTTTACAACGTGTTGATTGCCACGCCATATTTGTTTGCCAATGACTTCTCGCAGTCTACCATTGACCAGGTCAATGATATCGTGGAGCTTGCAACGTCGTTCAAGATTGTGGAACTGGACCCTCTGAGAACTATCTCAATTTTGGAGCCATTTGACTCAAAAAACGACAACTTTGCTGACAGTTTGCCCTACAAACCCCAAAAGATCATTAACTTGATTCTTCCTGCGTTGGTGACTTTGCAGACGCCTGAAAAAGATTGGAAGTCGTTGCGTGGCTCGTTGTTCTTGGAGTTTGACGAGCTTGTTCAGCCCATCATCAGTGATGCTTTGAAGAGCAACTCTATTTCGAGTGAAGTCATCAGGCACGCTTTACCTCAGTTTTCTATCCCATCTACTGAGCAGCTCGCAAAGTACAAGCCCGATGGCCTTATCGACAACTTATGGTACGAACATCCAAGACTTCTTTTCCAGGTATACAACACGACTACCGAGTTCCAAACCGTTCCTCCCATTGAGTCGTACTTTGGCTTGTTTTTCAAGGATTTGGCTTTCGACATCTTGACCAACATGTCTTTCAACCAGAAAGAGGCATCGATCCAATTGTCTATTTTGGATTTGTTCTGCTCGAGAGATCTCTTCAGTCCGCCAGGATCGTCCGTGGACCAATTGGCACTCATTGCAAAAGATAATGAAGCTGGAGAAAATGTTCCTCCACTCTCCACCTGGAAGGTGGAAGACGTTGCGGTTGAGAGTATATTGACTATGATTTTCCAACTTCCAAAGCCATTGCACTATGAGATTTACTACTATACTGTGTTGATTTCCTGTTGTCGTGAGAGCCCCGAGTCCATTGCTCCTGTCTTTGGTAGAGCAATTAGATTCTTGTACAACAACTTGGAGACATTGGATTACGAGCTGAAAATCAGGTACATGGACTGGATGACCACACAAATCTCCAACTTCGACTTTAGTTGGAAATGGGATGAATGGGCTCCAGACTCGATCAAATACTCCAACTTGACCTACCACCCAAAGAAGAATTTCATCAAGAACTTGATTGCTAAGGAGATCAGATTATCTAATAAGGCTAGAATCAAGGATAGCTTCGTCACCATGAAAGCAGGCGAAGATGGCGAGAATAGACTTATGGCTTTGGAGGAGTTCTACAAGTACTTGAATATCTCACTTTTCCCGAATGCTACCCAATTCATCATCGATTACGACTACGAGTTATACGGTGGAAACAATGAAGAATTGAAGAATACAATCTCGAAGGCCATCACACAACGGAAGGAATCCATGTCATCCAAATTGATGTTGTCGCCACAGGAGGAGCTTATCTATGAATTTTCTAACCCACTGTTACCCCTTAATGAAGTTGCGAACAAACTTTACGACTTCATTATCGCAAACTGGAGGTCCAACGAGCAGTTTTATGAAATGCTCAATGAAACCGTAGAGGCAATCAAGTCTTCCATCGTGGACGTTAACAGCGAGAGAATCTTGATCAATCTTCTATTTCAGACTTATGCTTACATTGGATCTCGGTCGATTTACTCGGTTGTGAGTATTTTGAATAGAGATGTGGCCAAGTTGAAGTATATCAGTGGAGTGGAAGTCAGTGAAGAAGATTACAAGGTGAGTGGAACCGACTTCAAGTTCCCAGATTTGAATTTGACTCCTCAAGACTTCAACAACAGACAGAAATGGACCATCGAGTCTATATTGAGAATCTGGATTCATCAACCTCAGGTTGCCTTCTTGATTTTGGAGTACCTCATCGAGTTTGGTATCTTGAAGCCACAATTTATCATCCAAAAGGCACTTGAGTCCGATCACAACCTTATCATCAACAACGTTTCATGTATGGAGTCTATAAACAGAGTGTTGAGTGCCAGCTCCAAGAAGGACGAGTTCAAGGAAGTGATTCTCACTTTGTTTACACTTATTGTGGAGAACTTGAACAACATAGTGAGTAAGTTGGAGTTGAAGAACCCAGAGACCGAAGAGGTGAAAATCATCAAGGATTTCACTGACGAAGAGAGCAATGATGCTGCCCTTATGGAGAAAATTGATCTACAATGGTTGTTTTACGAGTACAAGGGCTTGCTCAAAACGTACTTGAGAAAGTTCAATTTGCAACATTCGGATTTCTCCGAGGATGTAAAAAACGTTCTCAATGACATCAAAAATGAGCCAGTCAAGACGGATGTCTTGGGATGGATCCAGGAATTGAGGTATTAAACCTCACCTAAAATTGTAACCTTGTATCTTACATTAGAATATACAGTATAGTGGACCCATTAAATCCTGCAGGTCGTTTTACTAAGAGTGATACCACAATTCCACATACTTATCATCCACACACCATGTCTGAATTCGCCGTAGAAACTAAGGACCTTACATATGTCTTCAGCAACAAGAGACGTGGCCTCGAAAATATCAGCTTGCAAATTCCCTGGGGATCCACTAATCTCTTGGTAGGACCCAATGGAGCAGGCAAATCAACGTTATTGAAGATTCTTGCAGGAAAAACGTTGATCAAGCAGGGCACTCTCAAACTTGGAGGATTTGACCCATTCGAGTTCTCCCAGACAAGACACGAGCAGCACAATTCTGACATTAACAACTATATTTCATACCTAGGCACTGAGTGGGCCAATAATGAGGTGGTGAAGCGTGACATTCCAGTGAAGCTTCTCATCTCGTCCATTGGAGGTGAAACATACTCGGAAAGAAGAGATGAGTTGATCAGCATTATGGACTTGGACCCAGACTGGTCTATGGCATATATCTCCGACGGAGAAAGAAGAAGAGTGCAGTTGGTGATGGGTTTGCTCAAGCCATGGAAGTTGCTTCTTTTGGACGAGGTGACGGTGGACTTGGACGTGATTGTCAGACAGAACCTTTTGGAATTCTTAAAAAAGGAGTGTCGCACACGTAACTGCTGTGTGATCTACGCCACTCACATTTTCGATGGCCTTGGAAAGAACTGGTGTGATCGTGTGATCCATCTCAATGGTGGTAAAATGACCGATAACGTAGACATTGGCTACATTAACTTCGAGAAGAGTAGCGAGCCTGTGCACATCACACGGAATGTCGATAAACAGATCGAAAATATCCAAGTGGCTTTGGCCGAATCTTTGCATCCATTGGTGTTGCATTGGCTTCGTGAAGATTTGGAGGAGAGAGGGTCTCGAGAGGAAGAGAAACTCAAGTTAGCCAAACGTTTGAACGACTGGAACAATGCTCGTGACGGTCATTATTTCGACAGCGACGCTAGACTTTCGGATTATTTCAAGGCTACCAGAGGCAAGCCCGGTCAGAACTGAGCAAAGATAAAATAGATGGAAAATTCTTTTGGTTTGTATAATCTTCTTACTTCACTGTGTAGTTTGTGATGCCATTGGTGTGCAATATTCCTGGTAGCAGATTTGCCTGACCTGGAAGTCTTTCTCTGACTCTTGTTTCTTTCTGCCAATTGTCTGGACAATAAAACGCATGAGTACTCTGTCAATTTTGCCAATATAATGTCGAAATTCGATAAGTTTCGACAACCCTCAACTTAGGGCAGCCATTGTCTATTTGTATTCTATCTCCATTCTCTCTTCATCCATTTCTTTCCTTCTGTAAACCGTAATTTCTGCCAATGCTTGTATCTTTCCTTGCACATTAAATGTCGTTACCCAGGTCAGTTCTATAAAATCGATCTTCAACAGTTCTCTGACTAAATCATGCATCAAAAGTTCTATAACTCCGAATCAAACACCCACAAATCTATAACCCAAACTTCAAGAAGCCAACTCTCTTTCAAGCTCTAAAAATGCAAACACCTCTTTATACCTCGCTAGCTCATTCTCTGCAAGCCAGGTGCGATATTTGGCCTCCAAAAGCTCTTTTTGGTACTCAGTGGTGGTTGATGCCATAGAATGCAACATCAGGGGCGAATTTGCTTCAGCCAGATCGGATTTGGGATGGAATTTTCGCTTGTTTTGCAATTTCGACAGCGATAGTGGCGTAGTGGGACCCCTTTTTTCGTTTCTCGCATGCATGTTAAGGGATGTTTGTTTTGTTGATGTTGTTGTGGATCGATCTTAGTGAAGATGGGACCGAGAGCATGTGATTAATGGCACGTGACAAGATAAACATGTGATATATTATCACGTGATAAAACCAGAATCAAACCCCGCGTGGAGTCCCCTTCTTCTCCACGAGTTACCCGGCATAACAATAAGTGCCAATGAAAGCAATTCGGAATTTTAAAATCATCCAAGCAAACCAAATCAATCACTTGAGAAACAGATAAACAAACGTTTTAAAAACCTAAAAGTCACCTGTTTGCCTTGAGTGCTCACAAAAACTCCACCATTATATCAAATGGGGCACATCACGTGACCATAACCGGCCACGGTGGACGAAATTCAAAATTTTCGTCTCTCAGACAGTTCTTTTTTTTCCTTACCTACTACAATGTCTAACGAGAGAACCTTCATTGCCATTAAGCCAGACGGAGTCCAGAGAGGCTTGATCTCCTCGATCTTGTCCAGATTCGAGAACAGAGGCTACAAGTTGGTTGCCATTAAGTTGTGCACCCCATCTGAGTCTTTGTTGAGAGAGCACTACGAGGACTTGCAGGAGAAGCCATTCTTCCCATCCTTGTTGTCTTACATGTTGTCTGGCCCAGTCTTGGCTACTGTCTGGGAGGGTAAGGACGTCGTCAAGCAGGGTAGAGCTATCTTGGGTGCCACCAACCCATTGCAGTCTGCTCCAGGTACCATCAGAGGTGACTTTGCCATTGACATGGGTAGAAACGTTGCTCACGGTTCTGACTCTGTTGAGTCTGCCAACAAGGAGATTGGTTTGTGGTTCAAGAAGGAGGAGTTGGTTGAGTACAAGCCAACCATCTTCTCTTGGATCTACGAGTAAGCGTATAGCTAATACACTTTGACCAAGAATATTCAGTAGATCAAAGATGAGGTGATTGATAAGATGGTAGAAAACGAGAGGGTTAAAGCTAATTAGTGAGATAATGGAAGGTAATTTTCACAAGCTGGTTGTCTCTTGTACAACCTCTCACAGTCATTTACACTATAGACCATAAATATTTCCCCTCAGTCCTCCCAATCATAGATTTATCAGTATCTGATAATTGTTCTCTTTACAATACTAATTTGTTGTTTATTTCCTCACTTCTACACCATCACCTACTCAACCTACTACCTACTCATTTCTCAGACTGCACACTCATATTTATCACCTACAACATGTCAATGGACGATGACCTCTTCAATGTCGGAGAGAACGACGACATGCTAGAAGAGGATATGGAAAACTTCGACATGGAGGTCGATGACGCCAATGAAGAAAACGCCAATGACGACGACGACAACATGGACGAGGACGAGGATGAAGACGACGATAATGACGACAACGACGACGATAATGGAGACAATGATGAGGATGATGGCGACCGGGACGATAACGACGAAGACAAAAATGAGGAAAATGACGAAAACGACGAAGAGGATGACGACGACGACGCCCCGGATACCGCAAACGAAAATAATGACTCAAACATCACTGGGGAACCAACGCAACAAGATGACGAGTCTTTGGACAAGGCAAACGTCAACGGGAATAACAAAAGCGGACTTCGAGGAGATGGAGCCAAGGCGGGTGGTGATAACTCTGCCCGAGTCGACGAGGACTCCGATGGACGCAGTCTAAAAGAGCGAGTACTCGAAAGTATAAGAAAAGCCAAAGAGTTTGACATTGTACCCACGGTGGCCATTCCCTACGCACAACAATGTCATGCCATGGCCATTTCAGAGGGTCCCAAGTGGATCATCACTGGAGGAGAAGACGGTTTTATTCGAAAGTACGACTTTTCTGCCTCCATAGAGGGCAAGGCCCCGCTTACTGTGGCCCAGAAACATAACTTGATGGATAGCATCACCAAGTCCGGAGTGATCGGATCGTACTGGGAGAATGAACAGCCGCTTACAAAGAAACAAATGCTTGCAGCCAACCCGAAGTTTAAAGAGAGTGATTTCTCTACTGGTTCGGTATCGTATGAACCGCAGGTCAACCCCGTGTACTCACTAGATGTGGAACGTAACGGATTTTGGTGTCTCTCAGGTTTGCTTTCTGGTGGTATTTCGCTCTACACGATGATCTACAACGAAGGAAACATTCATCATTATTTTCGACATAACGCCAACAAGACAGGCGAGCAGACTATCGACACTGGCCATCTGGATGCCGTTTCGGTTCTCAAGCTAAACAGGGCACAAGACAAGTTTCTCTCGGGCTCATGGGATAAAACTATTCGGGAGTGGGACTTAAATACCGGCAAGGTGGTCAATTTGTTTAAGGGAAGCACCGGTCAAATATCCAGCATTAACTACAGACCCCAGGGACTTACGGATATTACTTTCAAGAATGACGGCGAGGGTCAAAATCCCAGTGATGTGGACTCTCTATTTGGTGACAGTGATGAAGAAGACGATGCCAATACTTCCAAGTCTACCGTTAAGGCCGATCTGGCTAGAAACAAGCCTAGCACAAGTGACTCCATCTTCATGTCGTCGAGCATAGATGGAACAATCAACATCTGGGATGCTCGAGTGTCGGGGAAAAATGCGGTTCTACGGCTAGGCGTCCCCGAGAATGCTCCTCCATGGTGTATGACAGCCACTTGGTCCAACGACGGAGATAAGTTGTATGTTGGACGCAGAAACAGTACAGTGGAAGAACTATCGCTTAGAATGCCACATACTACTGGTTCAGGCAACACTAAAGTGCCCAATGTGCTGAAGAGACTCATGTTCCCTAAGATTTCCGGTCCCGTGACTGCTCTCTCCACCATGCCTAATGATAACTTCATTCTCTGTGGTTCCCACGACAATATCCGCCTCTACAACTTAGGTCTCTATCATGAGTTTGCTCAGGAAACGTCCACATCCAAGAAAAGAGCCACACCTTTCTTCGTCATCCCTGGTCATAATGGAGGAGTATTGAGCAACTTGCAAGTTGATGAAACTGGACGCTTCATGATTTCCACCAGTGGAAACAGAGGCTGGGGCCACTCTAATTACGCTGATGTGGTGTTGGTATACTCTATAGACTGCGAGGGCATGCCATGATCTTTACAATAGAGCCGTTTGTATTATATATTTTGATAGTTATCACAGATTCTAGTAATACACCCCATTCGCGAATGAAAATATGTTGTTCTCAATTGCCAAACGCATACACTGAGTTGCGCAAGGAACCCAAGCCCACTTGGGTGAAATCCACACCGGCACTCATCACTTCAGAGTCTCTTACATAAGTGACCATGTCGCCAGCGATATGGGATGCACCCGAGACTAGCTCGCTTCCAAAGTTGAACATCTCACGTTTCAACAAGCCAATGTCAAATATTGACAGCAAGTGTTTGAGAGAACTAAAGTCACCATGCACCATCCGGTAGATCCCCGAGTGATGTCCATCGCTGTTCTTGAGCAAAAAGTGGATCATGAAACCCACGAATCCAACGGTGACACTGACCTTATACACTCTGCTCTGCAAAATGGATTGGCCGTTCTTCTTGGATACACTGCCTTCGGGTTCTTCGGAATCGCCCCGTGAGAAGAGATTCTTGAAGAACACCGAGGAAGAACGCATTAGCTTGTGGTTGATAGCAGAGGATGCTGCTGTTATGTTCGAAATCGAGGACGAAAGCAGGCCCATTCTTGACGAGCCGTCTCCATCTAGTGACGAGATGGATGTGGCAAGAGAATCCTGCTCAAGAGCATGTTGGAAAAGTTTCGTCTCGTGAATTGTTTCATTGCGCTGCTCCTCCACCTGAAGCACGAAAATGGACTCCAATTCCTTGCTGTCAGAAATAGACGTTACAACAGGCGATACCTCAATTGGAGGTATTTCTGACGAAGTTGCAGTTGCAGTTTCGGAACTACTGGATAAGTCTTCTTGTGCTTCCGAAAATATATGTGTTTTGAGTGCAGCTTTGTTGATTTCAGCGTCGTACGTCTCGAGACGGGACGTAGTACATAGCACAGAGTGCTGATTAAACTCACCAAACCAGACGTCAAAAGTCTCGTCACAGTGAGCAGACTCTGTGATTGGGTATGATTCGATGAGCTGCTTGGTGGAGGTGAGGATCTTCACCACGTCATGATCGGTCAAGCCGTCAAATAAGTTACTTGGCGAGAGCAATGTATGTGCCAAATCTGGGTCGACATTGAAGAATGAGGGAGAATCAGAAATGTTAAGCTTCTTAAGGATTGGCTCCTTGAAGTGAAGCATTGCTGCCACGTAGATGTAGAGCGAAACAGCCACAGAATTGTAGCTGAAGATAAAGTCCCACATGACGAGAAGATGCGACGTGTTGGAGATGTCGTGACTAAACAACGTCAAAACAGACAGAAGTGCCTGAAGGAACTTGTAGTCAAAGTACATACCATTGGAAGCGAGATACGAGTTGCTCGATTGACGAATCACCTGGAAGAGCGCCGGGTCCACTTCTTCCACAATACATGGAATAAGCTTCAAGTGATTGATGGAGAGTGCAATATCTGAGATCATAAAGTCACGAAGGTGGTCTACTGTGATTTTCTCCAATACCAAGAACGCCTGCTCATCATCGCCCAGACCCAAATCATTGAACACAAGTAGGACGACACTGGCTACATCATGGTAGCCCTGATAGTAGTTGAGAAACGGATACTTGCGGAGAACACGGACAACTAAGCAGAACAAACGTTTGCGCAAGCACTCAATTTCATCTTGCGAGAGAATGGTGGTGAATGACGAGTTCAATGATGTGTGAAGACCGTTGAAGTGACTTAAGACCGTGAACAGTCGTTTCACGTCAAGCATCACCTGGTTCTCGTCCTTGTGTGGAGGAAGGTCATTTGTTCCAAAATGATAGATGTCTGAAGTGGAGAAGAGGCCGTCTGATTGGGTCTCACGCTTTCCGGATAAGTCTACATCCAACAAAAGCGGCCATACTTTTGCTCTCAAGTGGGTGGAAATTAAGCCCTCGGTGGCCCGTGAGTATTCCGTGACCAAGCCTGTCCTTCCGGCGTTGAGGGCTTCCTCCACGGCCTTAATTTTCAAACTTTTAACCGTCTCACTCAATGGAGCCTCTTCCTTATAGAGCGATGTATCGAGAGCGTCGAAATCCACCCACTCCTTTTCCAGTTGGGCAGAGGACCTGCGTCTTTGAACCAGTGGCATAGTGTGAGTGACTTCCTGGGGGTGAATCAAGACGAAATTGTCAAGTTCAGTCCGTCTTTACACTAAGAGCAAGTTTTAGTGCAAAATACAATAACTGTCAGCACCAGTTTGCAAAATCCAACTTGCAAAGTTAAATATCGACCTTCTACTTTGACACTTCCGTTTAACACTTTCAATTGTGAGCCTCAGATTGTCAATTCTCAGCTTGGTGAGCCAGATGATTCTGGTCACTAACTTCAACCAGCAAACTCCACTAGATAAGCTCTAGCCAATGACAGCAGAGTAAAAAATACAGCTGGGGGAAATAGCGCTGTATCAGAAGGCTCCAAGCCAAACGATACTTGCAAAACAATTCGCAAGAGGTGACAAATTAGGCTAAAGATCCCGTCTGCCTAATGTTCTACTAACCTTTCTGGAATTAGATGATCGAAGAGAACATCAGGAGGCCAGCACTGCAGGTAGCGGTGGAGTACGTCGGCTTGTGCCTGTACTCGGAAGATAACTGTAGACTATATAAAGGGAGGGTTCCCCATATTATGGACTAGACACAAGACACGAGGTAAGTCGAAAAAAAGACGATAAACCAAGAGACAGAGAAAGGAGCAAGAAGTGATAAAACAGAAGAGTCACTTCAAAAAGAATAATAATAAAAAAAAAACAAAAGTTCAACAAAAACAAAATTCAAAATCGTTTTCAAGATCTCAATCAAACTTCTTTTCAAATGACCGCTCTTTCCTACACCACTTCCAAAGACAGGATTTCTGTCGATCTCGACGGAATAGTGTCGGCCTTCCACTATATCTGGTTACGGGACAACTGCCACTGTGAGAAGTGCTTCTTTGATACTACCAAGCAGCGCTTGCTTATTTCGGCCAACATTCCTGAAGACATTCATGCCATTGACGTTCAGGCTTCGAATGATTCCATCTCCATCACTTGGAGCCAGGATGATCATGTGTCTGTTTACGACAAAAATTGGTTGACCTTGCACGCCTACAACCCGCCAATTGTTGCTCGTGAGGATAAGGTTGCTGGTGAAAAGACTGTGTTGGCCAGAAAGTACTGGAAAACTGCTGATATCAAGGGAAACATGCCTACGGTGGACTTCAACACAATCATGGCATCCGATGATGATACAGATGGCGAGGAGGCCATCCGTGACTGGTGCTTGAAGACATGGAAGTACGGATTTACCCTCATTGACAATGTTCCTGTGACTCCAGAAGATACCGAAAAACTTTGTGAAAAGCTCATGTACATCCGTCCAACTCACTATGGAGGTTTCTGGGACTTCACTCTGGACTTGGGCAAGAAAGACACTGCTTACACGACCTTCGATATCTCGTCACACACGGATGGAACCTACTGGTCTGATACTCCCGGTTTACAGTTGTTCCACCTTTTGTCTCATGAGGGAACTGGAGGAACAACTTCGTTAGTAGATGCCTTCCAATGTGCGGAGCAATTGAAGAAGATCGACCCGGAGAGTTTTGATCTTTTGACCAAAACACCTATCCCAGCCCATTCTGCCGGAGAGGAGAAGGTTTGCATCCAACCAGACATTCCCCAGCCCGTGTTCAAATTGGACTTGGAAGGTAACTTGATCCAAGTGCGTTGGAACCAAAGCGACAGGTCGTGTATGGACTCCTGGACCAACCCTGAAGATGTGCCTAAGTTCTACAAAGCCATTCGTCTGTGGTACAGTATCATCACCGACCCAGAGAACGAGATCTTCTACCAGTTGAAGCCAGGCCAGTGTTTGATCTTCGACAACTGGAGATGTTTCCACTCACGGACAGAATTTACAGGTAAGAGAAGACTTTGTGGGGCTTATATCAACAGAGACGATTTTGTCTCCAGATTGAAGTTGTTGAACTTGGGTCGCCAGGCTGTATTGGATCTGATTTAGAGGGAGGATAGGGAGTAGAGGAAGAGTGAACGTTTTATGAATATACGTCTTACCATTCAATTTAGTACTGTAAAAATTTAATGTTTTGAGGTCTGGGCGAGGGGGACGAGCCAGTTCCATGTACTCACTTATTGAAGATGTTCACAGAAAATACATCAGATCACAACAATTATCTGTTGCATTTATCAATGGCACCATTAGCCGTTTTTCAAGCATTCCTTTCAAATCTAAATCAAATTGATTCTACAATTCTTAACACATTCATCGTTTATTCCTCAACTAGACAAAGGTTGGGATTTCGTCCCAGTCCCATGGATCGTTGAAACGCAAACCAACATCCAACTTGGAGATGGTCTCAATCTCCTCATTTGTAAGGTCAAAGTCGTTAACAGTCAAGTTGGCCACCAAACGCTCGGTCTGGTTGGACTTTGGAATGACAGCAAGACCTCTCTGAGTGGCCCATCTCAACAACACCTGTGCTGTGCTCTTCTTATGGTTTTCAGCAATGGAAACAATGTCTTCGTGCTTGAACAAAGTCACACAGTTATCCACCTTAGGGTGGTCCAACTCCACAAATGACTGAGGACCGAAAGACGAGTATGCGGTGATAGCAATGCCTTTGCTCTGAACCCACTTGACCAATCTTGGCTGCTGCAAGTATGGGTGGTGCTCAATCTGCAAAACAGCAGGAGGAATCTCAGCTCCACGCAACAAGTCCTGGATCAAACCTCCACAGAAGTTCGAGATACCAATGGATCTGACCTTACCCTTCTTAACCATCTCCTCCAACTTCTTCCAGGTGCTAAGCAATGGGACATCCTCGTAGATGAATTTGTCACCGTCACCACAGTAGAATCCTGGAGGGTACTTCTCGTCAAAAGGAACAAACTTGAAAGCAATAGGAAAGTGGATGAGGAACAAGTCCAAGTAATCCACCTTCAAGTCACTCAAAGTTCTGTCCAAGGCCTTCTCCACATTGTCTGGGTGGTGGAAGTTGTTCCAAAGCTTGGAAACAACGAACAACTCGTCACGTGCAACCAATCCTTCGTCAATAGCTCTCTTGATACCATCTCCAACCTCTTTTTCGTTGCCGTAGTCCTCAGCTCCGTCAAAGAGTCTGTAACCAACCTTGATAGCGTTGTAGATTTGGTCTGCGCAGGTGTCGTTGTTGACTTTCCAGCAGCCGAAGCCAACCTGTGGCATTTCGTAGCCCGAGTTCAATTTGATAGTAGCCATGATAGTTAGAGAAGAATGGAAAATTTGAAAGGTGGGGGATTTCTACCATCTTAAATAGAGAGCGCGGGGGTTGGGTTGCGTGGGGCAGAACTGCACACAAGTGAAGTGACGTTGGGGGACATTAGTTGAGTAACTAGTGGAGAAAGGAGTAAATATGGGGAAAAACTTGAGTTGCAATGGGTAATTCGAGGACAAGCACTGCGCAACACTTCCGAATCCAGCAATATATCCATAATCTACCTCTTGGCTCCCAATATTGGCAGAATACTTCTATTTGCTTAGAGACGCCCTTTTTAGTTGCGGATAGCATCAATAATTTAGAGGAAGGTCGAAGCAAGGACTCCGAAAATGGAAGCGGAAAGCTCATATTACGTGCAGGATGAAATCGATTAAAACTCGTCCAGACCAGCTTTCAAGAAAATGGAAACACCCGTACATCTCAAAAAAAAAATCAAGGCCAAGTCGAGGTGCCTCATCCCACTCTGGTGTACGGGTGCAGCCTCACCCATCAACTTTCCTATTTGGGTCATTTGTAAATACTAACATCAATTGTAGATTTGTAGCCGGGCCCCAATCTTGTCTATATCGACTCAATCCTCTAATTTTTCTTTCTGTTCTCCAATCCACTTCAACCAATGACGATTCCGTTGTTGTTGAAGATCAAGCAGGGCCAGCTGCTGCCTCTGTTTGTTAAGTCCTCAGACACCAATGTCCAATTCCAGAACAAAGAATACAAGTTCGCTGCCATCTACGAAAATGACATCTCGGAATCAATTTTGGATAGGCTCACTGGCCAAAGCTGTGCTTTAGTGCTTATGGGTCCAACTGGAAGCGGAAAGACTACCACTTTAAGAAGTATTCTCGATCACCAAATGAACAAAGATGGAGAAACTTATTTTACTGCTTGTGAGGTCAGTGAAAACAGATCCTTTGCTGATATTGTGGATAACTGCAAGCGTAAGAGATACGTTAGCTCACTTCCAATGGATAAGCAGTTGAAGAAGACCAAACTTGCACAATCGGCCATGGAAAAGGTCTTCTCCGAAAGAAAGACCTCGTCGACGGTATCCAATGCTACCTCCAGTAGATCGTGTCTCATTGTAACGTTATACAACGATAAGAAAACAGTGACAATCGTGGATATGATGGGAAATGAGAAATACGATGCCGCAAACTCCACTTCGAATGTGTTTGCCAACTCAAACGTCTCATCCATCACCCAGCTGCTTTTGACAAGAACAACCAGAACCCGTTCTTCAAATCTCGTGACAAATTTAATTTTCCAGAAGCTCTCACTTTCTAAGATGAAGTTTATCTTGCACTTGGACGAATGTGGCAATGCGGAATTAATCAAGTCCTCATTGTGCAACATTGTGGATGTGGTTAAGGATTTTAGAGTGGAGCCCCCTCGATCGGTTGTGAGACCTTCTTTATCCACCAAGTACGTTCCTAGTTATGCTAGACCCACTGTATCGTCGTTGAGTCCACGAAAGAAATCGGTTGCAAAATCCATCAGGATTACCAAGCCAAAGTTGAATGTGTTCACACCATTGATTAAAAGACCAAGCTTAGCTAGAAGCGTCACCGAGACTCCTTGTGTGCGTAAAAAACCCATGAACAGAACCATGGAGAACTTGTATCAGGTCGAGTTGAAAAGTTTGAAGGAACAGAATGCACAACTCGCCCAGAAAAACATGGAACTTTCATCACTGGCTTACGAAGCCAAGGAGACAACTGCCAAAAACATTTCCGAACTTAAGGAACATCTTTCAGCTTTTAGGGCCCAGGAGCTACTTTCCTTGAAGGAGAGTCTTGCTGGAGTCAAAAATGGGTTCCTGGCTTTGGAGAGTGATCATTCCTCAATGGTTGCAGAGATGCTCTCTAAAGAAAGAGAGATTGATACCTTGAAAGCCTCTAAGGTGGAGGCTGAGGATCGAATTCAAAAATTGAAGGAGATTCAGAGCGCAAACCAGTCCGAAATTGAGCATTCTAAACAAGAAACCGCGACACTCCAGGGAAACATCGAGCAGCTTGAAAAGGAGATTTCTACTCTCAAAGTACAAGTTGATGACTTCCACAAACGGATCGGTTCGCTCACAGAGGATGTAAGCACTCGTGACGAATCTATCAAATCGTTGGAACGTGACATGGAGTCTCGCCAAAAGAAGATTACAGAATTTGAACACAGCATTGCTATACATAGAGATGAGATTGAGTCTCTAGAGTCTACCATCACTTCTCTCAACGAGGAGTTGGAGAAGCTGAACTTAACGTCCGAGTCGATGAAGAAGCAAGTGGACGCTTTAGAAGATCAACTCGCAACTCTGAAGAACCAGATCGCTTCATTTGAGGGCCAAATGTCCTCTGAGAAAGAACAAATTTCTTTGCAAGAACAGAAGATCTCGTCTTTGCAAGCGGAATTATTACAGAAGGAGCAGACCTTGAAAGATTCCGTGGCTGAGAAACAGAAACTCCAAGAACTTCACCAAGAGGAGCTCGACAAAAATATACAAGAGTCTCAAATTTTGCAACAGCAACTTGAGCTGCAGAGCACTGCTTTGGACAAGTTACAGAATGCCTTCCAACAACAGAAGAGCCAAATCGAGATTTTGGAAAGTGAGAATTCCAAAACAAGCACCGAGAATTCCGAAGCCAAAATTAGCTTGCAAGCTAAAGAAGAAGCCCTCACTATCTTGACCTCCGAGAATGCTGATTTGCAAGAAAAGTTGAATACGCAAACAAGGAGAATCGAGGCTGCTGATGCCCAGTACAAGAAAGATAGAGATGTACACTCCTCCAAGCTTCAGTCGACCCAAAAAAATCTCGAAAAGATCATAGCTGAGAAGGAAGAACTTACTAAGAAGCATAACGATCTCATCTCCTACAATAAGTACATTGTGGAGAAGTACTCCAGTGCATTAGATAAGAATGACGTTCTGAACAAGGAAGAACAAGGTAAGTTTGAAAGCACCATCAAGGAACTTCAAGCAAAGCTCAAAAGTCAGGAGGATGAGCACAAGAAAATTGTTCACGATTTGACTGTTCAGGTTGAGAGCCAGGAAATGGAGATGTCTGAACTCGAGAAATACAAGGCCAAGTGCACGAACTTAGAGAATACTGCCCGGGCAGTTCGGGACGAATCAATTGAGCAGATTGCATTCTATGAGACAGAGATTGCACAATTGATGAGTGAAATTGACAGTTTCAGAAGCCTAGAGGTGACCAACGGCCAATTGCAGGCTGAGTTAGATTCCTTCCGCCACGTCAAGCTCTCAAACTTGGAATTGACGAATACTGTTGACAGATTCAAGACTCCAAGCCCACAAAAACTTCCATTCAACCCTTCCAGCGATATCTTTGAAGACGACCACCAGCCTAACAAGGATTATTTGAAGGCATTGAAGCAGTCGATGAAGAGCAGCCCCAAGAATGTGTTACGTGATTCCAACACCCTATCAAGCGAGAAGAAGAAATTGAAGAGAAAGGCACTGAGTTATATTTCGTCGGTAAAAAGTCCCAAGGTGGTTTCTCGTTAGCCTTGATCACCTTAGACTTACCTTGAACAAAAACCCAGACCACATTATCCGAAATTTCGTGTGCTGTGCCACTTTATGTGCATATCTAATGTGCTATTTTATACCCCACCATGCTACCAATGTTGTTTACTTCTTGTCCTGTTTAATCGTATATTTAATTGATACCTACACTGTTCTCCGGTCACAGTAAAATCTTACCACTGGCCCCATTCCAGTGACATCTACCGTTTTTTCGAACCAACTCAACATCAATGCACCCTGTTTGGCTCCATACGTCGTTCCCATAATTTTGTAGATGTATTTAATCAAAGTATCTTGTTGGTCAGAATCCAACTGTTTGACAAAGTTGGAAAAGTCGTTGATGTTGTGGTTGTTCTTGATGGACACAAGCACCTCAAAAACCGTCTCAGCGTGAAGATCCTTGGTGGCAGATTCCGCCACGTATGGCGGAGTGTCCAATGCCGATTGTAATGCCTGTAAGAATTGTCCCAGGGATAATGCCTGCTTAACGTTTCTGGAAACACTCACAATTGCGTCGTGAGACACCGGAGGCAAGTCAGGAATCAAATCCTGCTTCAGCAAGTGGTTTTCGGGCTCCAAGGCGTCAATGTCGATTCTTCTCCAGTCGTCCATATTTAGTAGTTTGTTGGTGGAGATAGTCTGAGCCTCAAAGTAGGTATATTATATCGTGCGCAGCTCATAAGAGCACTGATGTATGCTAAGTCACCAGTGGATATTTAACATAATTGTACCTCTATTATAAATTTAATGATTCTTCTTTTACAATTCTACACTCAATCCAAAAGCTCCAATATCTATTCCAGTGTCTATTGTACAATCCTTACTTCTTTTGCTTCTTTGCAACCACCTCATCCACTAACTGGTCGTCGAACTCTGTGACAAACTCATCAATGAACTTCAATACATCGTCCTTCAACTTTTTCAGGTCAACAACGAATACAACTAACCCATCACTTCCAACCTCATACTTGATATGGTCTTTATTGGGGTACGCCACCGTTTCGTCAAACGTATCGAAGAACTTGTCCACCTCATCGAAGGTTTGGATGCTATCTAGCATTCTTTCCTCCATTTCTCCGTCAGGGACATCGGGCGAGTTGACCACGATAATGGCTCTAAGAGGGTTATCTAAGCCCTCGTCATCCTCTCTATGTGATGGAATGTCGATTTCTTCGGTCATGGTTGAAAGAAAAAAATGTTGCTAGCTCATTAGGCCTGCAGGCATATGTAGGCATATGGATGGGGAAAGGGACAAACCAAGAATATGGGGGAAGTTGAGCAGTAGATGGGTACGTCAGAGAAAGCATAAATGATAGAAATAGACGAATTATTAGGATAGATGGGTCAGTAAGTAAAAGGTAGATACACAATCCAAATTACAACAAGTTAAACATTTATTCATCATCCCTCAAAGAGATGCCTTGAGTCAGTTGCTCCATTTCTTGAACTGGTTAATCAAACCGTTGGTCGATGGGTCATGTGCTTCCACATCCTTGGAGTCGTCCAACTCCTTACCAATAACCTTGGCCAAAACCTTACCCAACTCAACACCCCACTGGTCAAAGGAGTTGATGTTCCACACTGCACCCTCCACGAAAGTGACGTGTTCGTAGTAAGCAATCAAGGCACCCAAAGTAGCAGGAGTAATCTTCTGAGCCAAGATGGATGTGGTTGGTCTGTTACCCGAAAAGACCTTGTGAGGAACCAAACCTCCGGTGGCACCTTCCTTCTCAACCTGGGCTTCGTCCTTTCCAACCATCAAAGCTTCAGCCTGAGCAAAGAAGTTGGAAGCCAACATTCTCTGGTGCAAGTTGTTCTCGATTGGGTTGTGGGACTGAGCAGCAAGGATAAAATCAGCTGGAATCAACTTGGTACCTTGGTGCACCAACTGGAAGAACGAGTGCTGGGCATTGGTGGCTGGCTCACCAAACAAAATGGTACCAGTTTGGTAGTTAGTGAAGTGGTTACCACGAGTGACAGACTTACCGTTGGACTCCATGGACAATTGTTGGAGGTAAGCAGGGAAACGGTGCAAGTACTGATCAAATGGAGCCACCAAGTGAGTCTGGGCACCGAAGAAGTTGTTGTACCACACAGACAACAAACCACCAATGACAGGGATGTTGTGCTCCAATGGAGCGGTGGTGAAGTGCTTGTCCATGGCCTGGGCACCCTTCAAGAAGGCCTCAAAGTTGTCGAATCCAATGTAGATAGCCACAGACAAACCAATGGCAGACCAGACGGAGTAACGACCACCAACCCACGACTCAAAGCCAAACATGTTCTTGGTGTCGATTCCGAACTTGGCCACCTCCTCGGCGTTGGTAGACAAGGCAGCGAAGTGCTTAGCAATGTGAGCAGTGTCCTTGGCACCTTCTAAGAACCAAGACTTGGCAGAGTTAGCGTTAGTGGTAGTTTCAGCAGTGGTGAAAGTCTTAGAGGCCACCAAGAACAAGGTAGTCTCCTGATTCAAGCCCTTCAAGGTCTCGGCCAAGTGAGTACCGTCGATGTTGGAGACAAAGTGAACATTGAGGCCAGGTTGCGAGTATGCCTTCAATGCCTCGGTGACCATCACAGGACCCAAGTCCGAACCACCAATTCCAATGTTGACAACGTCGGTGATCTGCTTGCCAGTGTAACCGGTCCATTTGCCGGATCTGACATCATCGGAGAACTCCTTCATATGCTGAAGCACATCGTCTACCTCTTTGGCAGTATCTTCACCGTCTACCTTCATAGGCTTCAAGTCTCTGTTTCTCAATGCAACGTGATACACGGCTCTGCCCTCGGTCTCGTTGATCTTTGCTCCGTCAAACATGGCGTCTCTCAACTTCTCCACGCCGGACTCCTTGGCCAATTTGATCAATTCAGCTTTGATCTTGTCATTGATGATGTTCTTGGAAAAGTCAAACAATACCTCGGAGTTGTCGTAGTTCTCAAACACCTCGGAGAACTTTTGGAATCTTTCCTTGTCATTAGCAAACTCATCTTTGACCTTCAAGGTCTTACCTACGGACTCGTAGGTCTGCTCCAATTCCTTCCAGGCAGGCAATTCGGAGGACAAATCAAAGTTAGAAAAAGTCAGCATTGAGGCAATTGGGTTATATGGGAAGAAGAAATTTCTGCTCAACGTGGTGGGGTATTAATAGTGGTTGCACCGAGAAGTTCGGTACACCCCCGTCCTTTTGGTCAGGTGAGCACTTCCGGAAAAGTGATTTGGAAGACTCGGGAAACACCCGGGAACTACGGAGAAATGAAATTTGGAGGGCATATGGGGTTTATGTGAGTGTTTTTTAGTGATTCTAGCATAATTTGGACCGATTTCTAAGTATTTTGTACTATTTTCACCATAGGTTCAAACACCTGAGGTAGGCGGGTGTACGGGTGTTTTGTCATCCATGAACGTTGGAGTGGCAGGTGACTCGCAACGCAACCATGACAGCATTTCTTAATGGATTGTAAAGATTTCGGGAGGTGAAGTTTAAATTTTTTCAAGGTTTTGAAATTTCTAGATATTGTAAAGTATGATTTGTTTTCTCTATTTTTTAATTGATTGGGCAAGTTACTCATTCCGCTAATTTCACTGGAAATTTGTAACAAATTTGTTTGATAATTTTGACTAAATTTCTCTTTGTCTATTATCACAGTTAGTCAGGTATTTTGACACAATTACACCCGAGACTTCCACATATCACATAGATATTACCACATACCAACACGGATCGGTAAATACAAAAATAGGACAAGATAAAACATTGATTAATATTTGATTATACTAAATTCGTCCAGTTCCATGTCCTTAGCTGGTTCATGGACCCATTCATGCCTGCACGTTTGGTTTTCGACTTTCTTCTCCATACTACTATGTCTAAACTTGCTTCCCGCTGGGCCACGGAAGAAACGCTTGTTAAGGAGGCGTTGGAGCAGGACTCACACGTCAAGCACACTAAAGAATCCGGCAGCGGCTCCGGCAGCAGCGAAAACCAAGTTTCCACAGATAATCAGGTGCCACTTGTGTCTAAATGGGCATCTTCACCTTCTCCACCATCTTCTCCTAAACACAAGAAGAATCACCGGACCAGTCACAAGCTTCCGTCTCCTCCACTTACTGGAGAGAGTGACAAGCACGATGAGAGACCCAGAAGACGGCGTGCAGAGGGCAAGGATGGTGAAGGTTCTGGATCTAAAGATACAAGAGAGTCTAGAAGGAAAGAGCCTGAATCCAAGGGTAAGGAGCCCATGAGCGAGTTTGCCAAGGCTTTTGCCGATCGCTTGGATATGGATGGCCACGGCCACAATGAGAAATCACACCGCAGTCGTCGGAAATCGAGAAATGACCACGAAGACAGACATGAGAGGCACGACAAGACTGAGAAGGAAAGGTCCGATAAACATGACAAACACGACAGAAGTAGGACTGAGAAACATGTAAAGGGTCATCTAGAAGCACATGAACCCAAGCATGTTGATCAGGGTGACATACTTCACGAAAAGGGACCAATGACAGACGCGGCCAGATCATTGGCTCTTCGTATAGGAGCTCCAGACAAGGGTGACAAAAAACAGTCCAAGTACATGACTCCAAGACAGAAGAAGGAATTGGCAGCCAGAATTGAGAGGGAGAAGAAGGAACACAAGAAAATCGAGGAAGATAAGGAGAGACAGGCCCAATTGCAGAAGGAGGTACAAGAGATGTTTGATAAGATGAGTGATAAATCGACAAGCTGGGCGGACATTGAGGATGAATAGATAATAGACCATGGGAATGAACTTTGTAGGCAAAGAGGACAGTCGAGAGACACTGTTGATTACTGACATCTTTACACAATTTTACACTTCTTGCTAGTGCTGACAGAATTTCATCCTCAATGCATGTAGTCTGAGTCGAATAAATTGATGAAACTTGTGTTGAGCAATCTGATGGACAATCAATTGTAAAATCTGATGAAACCTGCAATGCTGAAAAGAAGTATATGAACACATACTCACCGATATTTGAGTAAATCGTACCTAAATACAAAGTAAGTTCAATAGAAAAATACCAAGAGAAATGAAGAGGGAATGAATGTATCATGAACAACATGAATAGAGAATTATTTACCTTCAGAATAGTAGCACATTCATGTGCAGCCTCATCGTCAACTCCTAGCACCGAATAACCCAGTACATTAGAGCGAAATTTCATTCCTTTGAAACGAAACAGTAGTATGCTGGCGATTTCACTTTTCTTGAAGTAATTATATATCTCCGTGCTTGCGCTCTTCTTCCTCTTTAAGGTCTCCTCATATCAAGCTTCCTCCTTAGTGCGTTATAAAAACCACCCTATCATCCCAGAAACCTCTCTGGCAATAAACCCTGGAAACCTAGAGAAAAAGTTCAATCACAATTTGATTTCATTCCTCAAACCACATCTTTAACTAACCTTTTGTTCCCCTATAAGCGTCCCCTTTCTTATCGTCTTATCGCTACCCTCTCCAAATAGTGCGAAATCTACATCTACGACCCCACAACATCATCAACTACTCTTTATGGCACTCTTCACTCCACCCTACGTTCGTCTTAACATGCTTAGACTACCTTGGCTCAGGGGGCCACTATGTTGCCGCTCCTTACTGTATTCGACTCGTGTGAGCCGTTTTGATCAGCACAATTACAACCTCAAACGTCATCAACTTATCCACCACATCCAGAACAATCCCAATATGATTGGCCAAACCGCCAACTTCCAGTCACGGTCGCTCAATTGGAAAACCGTCTTGTTCCTTATTGCGTCATCCAGTTCCGTAACCATGGCCATATACTTGGGAGTAGAAATCTACAAGGCATCCTCCGATCCAGACGATGCCAAACCACGGAACGTGTTTCTTCCATTATGGTTCAGCTTTGACTGGCCCTATCAACGCAGGTATGCATTTCCCACATACTTAAAATACATTGACATGCCGTATTTCCTTGAGGTGGAATCGAGTCCATCTTTTGAGGATACCCTTCAGGAAAAGAGCATTCAGTATCAAGTTTTGGATGGACTTTTCCGTCTGGCGGTCGTAAGGGATCTCTTTGGTATTCCGTTGTCATTGAAGTCTCAAGAAAACGATACGTTCAATATCTGGATCGAACCAAAGTATCCGACAGTGCATGGACCACAGGTTCGCTTCGAAAAACAAGATGGGAAACTTCAAATTTCATGGCAGTGGACAATCAAGCTGCTTCACTGGTCTGCAATCGACACATTTCTCACTGGAATGGGGAAAAAACTCGATCGTATGGAGAATTCAGACGCTCTGGCGAAAACTCATGAAAGAGGTAGCGGAAGAGTACACGAAGTGGTGCTTCCCACGGATAGGAAGCTCAGATTGGATGTTTGTGGAGACAAAGATTATAAGGTTGTGTTTCAAGGAACGTTTCATGTGAGTCACTTGTCGGAAAAACCGTGTGGACTCGTAGGATACACGGGAGTGATTGATTTCAACCATTTGGGTATTTGCCAGGGTGCTCGCATCGTTAAATTGGACATGGTCGTCGAGGGAGAAGAGGGAGAGACGCTCTACATACTTACGTGATTGTCGAAGAGTATGGCCTTGGTTTGGTAGGAATGGCTTTTCATTATATACGTTCAAGTTCACCCACGGATAAGCCGCGGAATATGATGGAATACTAATGGGAGGTTTTATGGAGGGAAAAAAAATCGAAATATACCGACATTCACTAAAGATTCGAGACAGCTGGAATTCAAACTTACAAGGAAAAAAAAATAACTTTCTCTCCTTATGATTGGCCTTCTCTACCCAAATCGGTACAATCCGGGGTCCACCTGTTATCATCCTGCAGACACTAATCTATAAGATTCCACCTTGTTGATTCTGAACAAAGTCATGTCTGAAAAAACTGGCAATAATCGGAAGAAACCCAAGACGGACAATCTGGGAGGGCTTAGATCTGCTCAAGCGCCCCAATCGGCGCCCCAGAATGGTTCGTTCCACCGTGGAACAACACGATCCTTGAAGGCATGTCTACTCTGCAGAAAACAGAAAACCAGATGTTTTCGTTCTTCTTCCATCGCTGTCAGTTGCTTACGGTGCTTAGGACTCAACAGAGAGTGCTCACTTGAGACAGAGTTTAAAGCTGCGCATCCCAATGTTCGCTTGATCGATGGAATTCCTGAGGACCTCTATACTGAAGCTCCACCTGTGATTGGAGGAGTCCCCAACGAGCAGGCCGTCAACATGGCGCTTGGAGACACAAAGCGAAAACTAGACCTCATTTATTCGGGAGTTTCGGAGCTTTTGCTGCTCATGAAGGGAGAAAATAATGAGCCCCGCGGCCCTATTCTAGAAAGAGACGTCAAACTCCTCTTGGATGCAGCGTCTACAATGAAGAAGACGTCCCTTCCGTCTACCCCCAACTTGTTTCTTGATACACATGGGTCAACACCTGGCGGCTCTAGGGGTTTGCAAGGACACATTCCGAATCTCATGGCTGGACAGCGCTCGGGGCACCATGACGATTCCCTGATTGATACCGAGGCTATGCTTTTTCTGTCCCCACCTACCTCATTCAAAACATCACCCTATTGTGCCATTTCAGGACTTGTGCAAAACATCCCGAGGCCAATATCTAAGCTACTTAATCTTTCCACAGTCAATCAGAATGGCCGTAAGGCCTTTTTTGACGTGGACTTCGATATTATTACTAGCGGAGTCTTGACCGAGCTTGAGGTTATTGATCTCATGACCGATTTTCGGTCCAATTATGGACGATGGGTGCTGTTTCTGCCGCACACTTCCACAGAGGAGCTAGTCAAACAAATCAGAACGAAATCGTCATTACTTCTCACCACATGTTGTTGTCTCTCGATGAGATACTCGCTCAATCTGAAGCTCAGTCCTGGCGATATCGACAATCATCGCAGGAAGAAGGACACCTATAAATTAGTAATGAGACAATTGGTGAAGGATCTTGACAAGTCTTTGCTTAAGTATGCGTCATTTCAAGGGTCGTCTAACTTTTCCGGGGATATAGAGTTTCTTCAGGCCATTGTGATTTTATCAATCTACTCATTGTCTCTTTCGTCAATCGTCACGAATACAGTAGATCCTGACTCGTTGGTTGATGAGGACTTGAACCTACGTGACCTCAATCTCGATTCGTGGTACCTTTCTGGTCTTGGTTTGTCTACTTTCATTTCAAAGGCGAATTTTGGTACACTCTTCCATTCGATCAATTCCGAAAATGATCTATCTCCCAATTTCACAGTTCTTTTCAATAGACTTGACTCAAATGAGGATCAAAAATTGACTGTACTTCGAATTTACAATCATCTTATATTGATTCATTTGGTAAGCTGTGTATTCAGCGGTCGAATGTGTATTGTGGATGAAATCAGACTCAACTATTGCATGTCTTCATTGAGTCTTCCAAGTGCTACCAATTTTGACGGCCGGATGGTCAGCGAAATCGGAATTCTTCTCATCACCTATAATTTTATTCAGGTGAATCAAGCTTCAAACAACAGTAAGGATTTGAGTCACATAGAAGCAAACTTACTTAATGTCAGAGAGGAGATCACTGCCTGGTATGAACAATGGGACTATTTGTTCACTCAACCTGCGCTTCAATTTGTGGAGTTCTGCTATCATTTCTGTTACATTTTGATTTACATCAACTATATTTATTCCAAACTACTTGTCGCCTCCAAAATTTCCATGGCTACCGATTTTTTCCATCCTGACATCATCGAAGATATTTTGCAATACGCTGATAAGGCATCGATTGTCCAAATCGTGTCTCACGCGTATGTGTTGGTTAAATTCATTCTGACTGTTGAAGACGATTCGTACTTCGCTTATCTTTCTGACCAAATTCATTTCTGCTTCTTCTTTGGAGCACTCACTTTGATGAGAAGTCTCAGATTTCTCAGGACAAATGACAAGCTTCACTACTTGAGCAGTGCTGAAGCGAGATCGAACGGTTTGAGCGAACAAAGTTGGAAAAAGTCTTTAAATGGGGTCTTCTTGTTGATTGAGAAGTACGAAAGAGTGGCTCAAGACAATCCTGATGATATCATCACAAAATATAAGAGCGGGTTGATGGAATGCCTACATGTGCTGTTTCCTGGAGTCACTTTTGAAGGGATGGAACAAGAAATCGATCCAAACTAGCGAAAGATTAATTAAATAGGATTAAGTTAAGTGGCCCTTGAAGTTGCCTTCCATGTAATCAATGTGCACGTATGCTCTCTCTACCATTGGCAAAGTCTCAATGGCATACTGCAAAGCCTCAGCGATGTCATGTGCATCCTTAAACGTCAAGTCAAAGTCTGTGGTGTTGAAGACTAGATCAATTTCCACGTTCAAAAGATCTCCAGCGTGGTAAACCTTTAAAGCCGTGACCAGCTCAATGCATTCAGCAAATCTGTACGCCAAGTAAAGAATTATTTTATAATCCATAGGCTCAGCAACGGCACCAGTCAAATTATCAATATGTTCATATGCTGTTTTGCCCCATGAGAAAATCACATAGAAGGAAAGTAGAAAAGCTCCAGCTGGGTCCAACCACCAAATACCAAGGAAATGACCAGCAGTGGGCATGACTAATGAGACTGTGTTGAAGACAATGTCCGTCATTGCATCCTGTGCCAAAGCTTGGACGGAACTCGACTTGCTGGACTTACACCAGAGCCAACATCCGACTTTTGCAAGAATGGTTATTAGCATGATCAAGATGGCATCATTGCCAATCAGCACGACCACTCGTTCATCTGGAGTGGTCAAAAACAATTTCTTGAACGATTCCAAGCCGACCTGGAAGAACGAGACAATGATAAGAACTGAAAACACCAAGATCCCCAAAGGCTCGAGCTTTGCCCTTCCAATTGGATAAGCCAAACGCAGTTGCCAATTCTCAGTGGTGGAAAGCTTATTTGCGACGTAAATGATGAAAGTGGAGAGGAAATCAAGTACCGAGTCCACCAACGATGCGACAATCGACAAGGAATCGGTCAAGAATGCAATTATCAGTTTTCCAAGCAATAGAATGAAATTAATGAAGAAATTGACCACGATGGCCGTGTAAATCTCGCGCGAGGCCAGTTCCTCATTAAAACCCAAGTACTGGCTCCCTTGCTGGATGTTTCCAGGGGCTCCATTGAGACGAGAATTGGAGGGAGATTGACCCATTTCCAGCGAAGTGACTGGAGGTAGTAGATCCTCAGCAGCTTCATCTAAAACTGGGAGCTTCTTCTTCTTAGGCTCTGTATATGTGGACAACATGCTCAAGTGGATTTTCCCATAATCCAATAGATTATCAATCTCAATGTAGCGCTCGATGAGCTCATTCTGCTCGGTGTAAAAGGTTTTCAATTTCTTGTTACGAATTTTCAGAACATCCACCAAGCGATCTTGCCATGTTGCCACGGTCTTGTACTCGCCAATCAACTTTTCGGGCCGCAATACACTCAAGATACTCATACGCTGTTTCGGATCGAATTCGCCGTTCTCCTCCATGTCGAGGCTATGGACCAGATTTTCATCGGTGAAAAGCAAACTCTGAGAGGTCAAGTCGTGAGTGGAACCCCAATTAGGATTCAGCACCGTGGCATGGTTTGACAAGAGCCGATGGAAAAATGGTCTCTGTTCTGGTTGGACATATCCCTGTCTAGTCATTTCCAACACTGATACAGATTTGCGTCGGAGCTGTTCACGTTGGTCGGGCCCACGAGGTGCCCATCGATTGGGTGAGCTTCCACGACCTCCGTAGCCGTTGAACCTCGATTCGTTCATTCGATCCACAAAGTTGTCATGTGAATTAGTGGATCTATTCAAGAGCGGCAGTGTTTCGGCGGGCAGTGATCCATTGGGGGAGTCACGAGAAGTCATGCCAGTAGTAAGACTTGGTGAGGATGGTGACTTTGAGAGTGCCATTGGAAGCGAATGGGCAGCAAGCCAGGCTAAATAGGCGATAGCAGTGGCAAAGGCAAAGCAAAATCAAGCAGGCAAAGACAACCACTTAGTGACGTGGCTAGAAATGAGATGGAATATTTGGCTTTGCGGAGTGTAGACTAATTTCCATGTGCACTGATGCGCGAGGTGATAACGTATAATAACAGTAATGATACAGGATAGATATGGAGATGAAGATGGGGATTATGGATAAGAGAATGGAGGTGTGAGATACCTAAATAAAGAGAAAGTTTGCAATTGAGCATATTTTTTGGCAACTGAAATGAACTTCAAAAGTCCATTTTTTATTTAAGTTGTCCATTTTTGGTGATTGGGGCTGAGTGAAGTTAATTTCCGAATATAGTCCGAGATGCCAGCAAATCACCGAGGATGGCAACGACTACAATGATAAAATAGACACAGGTTGAAGGGGTACATGCAGAGATAGGAGTGGGTTTTATTGTGCTTCAGGTTCCGAGAATAGGATATTATGATAAATATAGTAACAAATACAGTGATCAATAATGATCGATGATGACGGAGAGGTGAACACCTTGATGACATAGAAATCTGAATACACGGCAATACAGAATTTGAGTTACAAGAACGACTCTGAACTTGCAAATTTTGGGTTGTTAGGAAAGGGGGGAAAAACCTGACAATATCTTTTTGACAACTCACAGTTATCGCTAATTTACAGATTATAGCTATATCATCATTAGCTAAACATATTCTAAAAGCCTTCAAAAAATCAAAAGCTCATCAACCCTCAAAAACCAAGATATCGTAGAATAAATCCGTTCATTGTCATCACTTCGCCAATTACAATATCCTAATACCTTGTCAAAAAACTGATACACTATATCAAATTCTCTCCATGAAACCATTCTTACATAGGGCTCGCACTTTCTTGTCCTACACACACTCCATCCTTCACGTAGTTACCCGCCCTTAAGCTTTTCTCTACAATTTTTTTCTCGATCAAATTAAAACCACAAATGGTATGTTTCCTCTGCCATCGGTTGTTTGTATGATTAAAACCATAGATGTAACTACTTGACTGAGGAAGTTCATGCAGGACAAAACAATTAATAGGAATTCTTCGTTTATGATTCTTCAACCGCTCTCCCATTTCTGTGGGTCAAAACTAATTTTTAAGGTATGTCTGGTCGACACGGCTATTTCATGATGATTGTTTTCACAACATCTGTCCGGTGACTCCTGAGCCATGGATTTAATACATGCATCACCATCTGACCTTATGCCACATCTTTGTTTGAAACCAACTAACATTGGAAGTGGATGTTTTCTAGTTCGTTGTGGCGGCTGTTCGTTTCTGGTGATACGGCCAGTAGTCAGGACACGTAGAGAGACTGATTTACATGATGAAAAACCAACTTTTCAGTTCTGCTTCTGAACCAAAAATTTCTGAAGATAACCAATTACCAAAGCTCAAATTTCTGACCAAATCAGTCTCCTATGTGTTCTGTAATTGTAGGCGTTAGATTTCTAGCGTTGTAGCATAAATTTCGACTTACGAATTCGAAATCGAGTCGATTTATTGGGTCTTGACGTCAGGGTACGATTAATGCTCTGTACATCAATCGATCTAAACCAGGCTAGATAACGAGTTTGGATATGTTGTCTACTAATGTATTCAGACTATGTCCTAGATTGAGAAAATTACAACCTTGCCGTCAATCCCAGAAGTCGAAACCTTTCCTCCATCATACCATCTGATACTGGAGATTGTGTTTTGGTGGGTGGTACTCAACGCCTTACCAGAACCCTTCTGGCTAGGCTTGTTAACTCTACCCTTCAAGTCCATCTGCTTGAACATGTTAAGTGCATCTTGACTTGAGATCTCCACATCTTCCTCGGCCAACTCGACCACATTGTGGATTAAATCCTTCTGTTTCTCCACATGGTATGCCTCTGCCCATCCGTTCTCATCACCCTGGAAAACGATCAAGTTACAGTTGTGGCCGCCCACAATGATCTTGTCGTGCAAATAGAGAATGGATTTGAACGCTAAGTAGTTGGTTTTAACTGTGATAAACGCAGTGGGTGGTAACCCTTCCCCTTGTGGATACACAATCGAAACCGTACCATCATGACTGACATATGCCAACGAGTTGCCTGCTCCGTCATCGTTAAAGGTGACATCATGGATCCATGCACCGGTCTCGTTGGTATAGTCACCAACAAGCGTTTGGAAAGGCAACTTGGAGCCCCACACCGAAGGCTCTGGTTTCTCATCCAAACCCTTGATGAAGGCAGAGAAAACCCTCACATGGCCATCCGTTGAGCCGGAGGCCAAGAGAACGTTGTTAGGGTGCCATGCCAAGCTGGTGATGGTGGATTTGAGTGGCTTCTTCAAGTGTTTCGACACCCACCAGTCGTTTTCCTCCTCGTAGTAACAAACTGCAATCACACGGTCTGCAGAACCCACAGCAAACTTGTCTCCGCTGGGCGACCACTTACACACGGTAGCAGCTCTGTTGATACGTAAAAGCACCAACGTAGGCTTGAACTCTCTGGAGGAATCGTTCCATTCCCATACCAAAGCGTTTCTGTCCTGCGAACAGGTCAAAATCTTGGATCCATCTGGTGAGATGTCTACGGAGGTGACGGTTTTGTCATGGCCCTTCAACTCAGTCACAAGTGAAGGCTTTGCCGAGGAATTGGGCGAAGTCTGATACAATTCGACAACGTTTCCTTTGGTAACAGCCAAAAGATCGAAAGATGGCGAAAATGCGTGGTCCTTGATGGGCTGGTGGCCCAATTGGTAAACAATTGGCGACAGCATTGAAATTTTGGATTGAGATTGATTGGGTTTGAAGATGTTTTCGTCACAGGAGCACTCTCTACTGTGAAGATAATGGGTTTGAATGTTGAAGTTGGGAAACTTGAGGAGGCTGGGGTCGAAACCCGTACACCGGTTGTTACCAGTAGGATCAAAGTCACTTCAGGAAGTAAAAAAACTGGAAAAAAAATGATGATTGAAGGAGGTGACAAATAGAGTAATTTTCTTTCAATTGCGTGTTTAATTCGTCGACTTTTAACGGCTAGCAAATGATGAACATTGTGGAAAGATTTTCAATCTCATACACTCAACGGGTATCAATTCAAACATCATTTCTAAATTCAGAGAACGTTCTGACCAATGAACCTAAGTTTTCAATACATCTCATAGTCCACTATCATCTGCATCTCCCCATCATCATCTACAATCATGTCACTAGTCTGAACATAACATAATGATACTCTAAAGTACAGCACTCCCTACTGGACACCATACTGTCTCTTCTCATCGAGGAAGGCCTTAGTCTTCTTCCACACCTTCAATACCTTCTCATTCTTCAGCGTGGAAACCTTCGTGTCGAACTTGTCAAGAATATATGCAAACATGTTGGCGGTGTCATCATCAAACAACACTCTCAACCACATGAAGATCAATACCACCGCCAATTGGTAGCCAGAGGTCTGTCTGAAGAAAATAGCACGTACCAACAAGTAGATAACAAGGAAGATCTCGTCAAATGCAATAATAGATGCCAAAAAGTCTGCCTGTTTCTGAACGACAGCAATCTTCTTATGATTTGTCAATTGCAACACGGAAATTAAGAAAAGAGGGATAATCTTTAAGACAGACTTGAAGGTGAAGCACCAGATGATTGCCAACACCAAGTACTGGAAATTCAGTTGGGTGAGCAACGTTGGGAAGTGAGGCAAGTAGCTCAAGCCAAACTTATGGGACATGGTAGCAACGAGCGCCATGGATGCTCCGAGAAGCGACAATCTGTAAGCAATGGAGTTGACATAGTAGACATTTTTCAACCACAAGGTCTGCCAGACGAAGGTGACAAGTCCGAAAACAATACACATCACATGGCCAGTAATCCAGATAATGTACTTCAATTTGGACAGCAGGTCCTGTTTACGAACCAACTTTCTCTTGCGAAGCGAGGGCTCAACTGTCTCATTGGTGATGGGTTTTTCGGATTCCACAGTGGACATTGTGGGAGATTCTTTTTTTGTTTTTTCTTTTCGTGGGAATGTTTATTGAAGGCTATATTTTTAACTTCAATTGAAACTGAGCATGGAACATTGCCTGTATATAAGTGATTGCTGTCAAATTTTGAAGGCTGAAAAGGAATTGAGAGATGGACATGGAGAAGAAAAAGAGACAGTTGGGGGGAGTCGGGAGGAAATGCAGTTGACTTAAAAGTGAAATATTCAATAATTTTAACTTGGATTCACCAGGGACTGAATACCCCTTATAAGTCGGCATGTACGGGTGTTTCTATCCTCCATCACCACCTCGAAAATGCACATGCCATATACAGTCTGAGTCAAACCTATCAAAACATGTCTAAGGAAGTATTGGAAACTGACTACTCTGTACATCCGGACCTTAGTCTGCTCGAGAAACAGGTTCTTCTGCAATACCAGGCTCTAGCCATTAAATTAAATCTGCTTTCAGATGAAATTGGCAAATTGAACAAGCATCTCCCGCTGGCAAGACAGATCGGTCTAGATCCGGCAGTTGGACTGGCTGATGGGCTTTTGACGAATATGAGGAATTTGGAGAGGAAAATAGGTCTTGTGTATACGCTTTTCCGGACAGCGGTGTACTCGTTGTTGTTGCAGAACCAGGAGAATCGCGAGAGGGAAGAGAAGGAGGATAAGGCCAAGGAGCTGGAAGATTTCTCTAGCGATTTAGAGGAATAAGATAGAAGGGATATTATAGAGGGGAAGGGAGGATTGAAGTACGTTGACGCGGAAATACTCTGTTCAATGACCATGGAGAGATTGGGAGAGTACTTAGAGCGCGTCTTTGATGATTTAACCGTATGCCTAAGGAAGTAAAGAGTGAGGCTTATGAACTTTCACGAGACATGAGAGCCATCTTTGTGGATGTCCATGAAATAGAAAGCTGGATTCATTCCTTAGGATGAAGCGTACCTTTAAACTAGACTCACTGATGAACCTAGGGATCCCTAGTGGAGTCTACAGACCGTTATGCATTTCGCCAGCATCAGGCACCTAGCTGAGTTTACCTGCGGGGAAAGAACAGTTATGACTAGGTGTGTTCCAACAGGACTCTAGTTTGGTTAATCATGTGGCGATAAAACTCACGTCTGTTAATTCATCAAATGGTTCACGATAGTGAAAGCATATAGGTTCGAACTGATACTCATCACCAATACTCATCCACATTCAATAATAATGGGGTAACAGTTACACAGTCGAACCTTAATATGGTTGGTTAATCACTAATATAGCCCCGCAAACCTCGGGCCAATGAACTTCGACAGTCATATCAAGTCCCAACAGTCCCATCAAGTTCTCAAATCCCAAAAGAGCGGACTTTACACAAATTTCAATACTTGGCTTCTTCAATAAAGCCCCGAACAAAAATCATTCAATTCTTACTTCAGTAGCCGAAGTGCTTAATGGCTGCGACAGTCCCGGGGTATTTCGCCAGGTTTCGCACTTCTCCGATAGTCACCATTCCTCCACATTACATGACAATCTAATAAATTCCAAAGCTGAACCAATAAAAAATACCATAAACCAATCCCTTCACTTGACAATAATACCCCATTACATTGTTTAAAAAAACAATAACACAATGGCCGTTCAATAACACTTCCATCTCCAGCAGTCTAATGTCATCATGATCCAGATGGGTCCAGCTTCATTAGTGCGAAAATGATGGAAAACACCATCAAATGAAAAATCCACTATCAGAACAAAAATCAACAAAAAAATCCCTTGAAAACACCATTAAACCTATTGACACTCAACATAGTCAACCCAACCTAAAAAATATCGGAAAAAAACAGCTTCCATTACTCCCCCATCGAAGGTCTCTCCACATTCACCTGCAGAGTCAATCGCGCGATGCCAATCGGAGTCACCAATTAATCCATCATCTATATATATTCAGCCTTTCTCCCTCTTCTTTCTTCACCAACCATGTCCTACGATAAGTACTCCACCCCATTGTCTTCCAGATACGCTTCGGAGGAGATGTCCCACATCTTCTCCTTGAGAAACAGATTCTCCACCTGGAGAAAGTTGTGGTACAACTTGGCTATCGCAGAGAAGCAAGTTGGACTTTCAATCATCACCGATGAGGCTATCGAGCAGATGAAGGAGCACTTGGAGATCACCGACGAGGAGATTGCTGCTGCTTCTGTCGAGGAGGCAAAGGTCAGACACGACGTGATGGCTCATGTCCACGTGTTCGGAGACACCTGCCCTGCTGCTGCTGGTATTATCCATTTGGGAGCCACCTCGTGTTTCGTCACCGACAATGCAGACTTGATCTTCTTGAGGGATGCTTACGATGTGTTGATTCCTAAGTTAGTCAACGTCATTGACAGATTGTCCAAGTTTGCCTTGGAGTACAAGGACTTGCCTGTTTTGGGATGGACTCACTTTCAGCCTGCTCAATTGACCACTGTGGGTAAGAGAGCAACTTTGTGGATCCAGGAGTTGTTGTGGGACTTGAGAAACATGGTTAGAGCCAGAAACGACCTTGGATTGCGTGGTGTCAAGGGTACCACCGGTACTCAGGCCTCTTTCTTGTCTCTTTTCCATGGTGACCACGACAAGGTTGAATTGTTGGATGAGACCGTAGTCAAGTTATTGGGCTTCGAACATGTCTACCCAGTTACCGGTCAGACTTACTCCAGAAAGATCGACATCGATGTGTTGAGTCCCTTGGCCTCTTTGGGTGCCACCACTCACAAGTTCGCTACCGACATTCGTTTGTTGGCCAACTTGAAGGAGATCGAGGAGCCATTCGAGAAATCGCAGATTGGTTCTTCCGCCATGGCCTACAAGAGAAACCCAATGAGATGTGAGAGAGTTTGTTCTTTGTCCAGACACTTGGGTGGATTGTTGAACGATGCCATCCAGACAGCCTCCGTGCAATGGTTCGAAAGAACCCTTGACGACTCTGCTATCAGAAGAATCTCGCTCCCATCTGCGTTCTTGACCGCAGATATCTTGTTGTCCACCTTGATCAACATCACCTCTGGTTTGGTGGTGTACCCTAAGGTCATTGCCAGAAGAATCAGCTCCGAGTTGCCATTTATGGCCACCGAGAACATCATCATGGCCATGGTAGAGAAGGGTGGATCGAGACAGGACTGCCACGAGGAGATCAGAGTGTTGTCCCACCAAGCATCTGCTGTTGTCAAGCAGGAGGGTGGAGACAACGACTTGATTGAGAGAGTCAAGAAGACCGAGTATTTCAAGCCCATCTGGGACGAATTGGATGCTCTTTTGGATCCAAGCACATTTGTGGGTCGTGCTCCTCAGCAGACTGAGAAGTTCGTCAAGAACGACGTGGCCAAGGCTTTGGAGCCATTCAAGGACATGATCACCACCGAGAGTGTTTCGTTGAGTGTCTAAGTTGGCGAAATGGGAAGGATATATATGCTGTAATGTCAATCTATAAACATATCGTAAAAGTTAGGTCGTAAGTCGTCACTGCAAGAATAAAACTCAAACTAGGCTGCATAATCGGTGTCAAACTTGAGAGGAGCCGCATACTCTTCGGATTTATTCTTTGCGTTTGGAATAAACAGAATATCTCCATAGCTAGGGGTAGCTAAAGAGCTGTTGTCCGAGCTCACCAGTGAGGATGACGTCATCGAGGGCAACAGCGAGCTGGACAGCATGCTGTCTGTTACCGATGTGGCCGACTCGTCCACCAGGCCGTGTCTATCAAGCGAGATATCGCCGAAAATGTGGTTATCCACTGGCTCACTGTGCATGTCATGCATGTCTTTGCTCTTATCGAGAAGATTCCGCACACGAGACAACACATTTTCTGGAAAGAATGTTGTAAAAATCTTTCTCAGTGGAGGTGTATCCATGTCGATGACTCCGTTAATGAGATCTCGTTCGAAGATTCTCTCGTCGGCGTACAACAGAATGTCTTCGGTTGAAGGAATGATGTAGATTTTCATGTCGCTCTTGTATCTTGGGCGAGCAACCACCTTCTTGATAAATATGTTGTTCGGACGTTGTCCCGGTTTACCGAGAGAGGCGAGCATGTCATCCATGAACTCGCGGTCGTCTATAAGCGAGAAGTCTCCTCTTTTAGCTGTTTCTAATTTCATGAGAACTGATCCATTGCTTGAAGACGAAGCAGATCTGGTCACTCTTACCAAACTGTACTCTTGAATGTCGAATAGAGATGTCACAGCAGTATCAAGTTGGTTGAAAGTGGTCACTATAGTGTTTCCACTGGAGTCTGGCGAAGCATGGTCCAATAATGGGTTGTTCTCAACAAAAGTCTTGAGTACCTTGTTGGAGATTCTGGAAATGTTAACCAAGTTGGAATCGATGAGACGCACTCGCTTACTCTGGCATTTTCCCGAGTAGAGCAAGTAAGGATGCTCCTCTGTGACTCCTTCCGGGGTTACCAGCCCATCGGAACGATCTTCGCTGGTACTGGATCTTGGAGTGGAGAGGCCGTCCATGAGCTGGGGAGTACTTGGATAGTTGATTCGATGGCCGCGATGTGCCTTGAGCACTCTCAGAATGTCCAGGTACGCAAGTGATTGAGACATTTCGCTAAAGTAAATGCTAACCAATGAGTTCTTGCGGGCATTATGTGGGGTGAGTTGCCGATACAACTCGTAGATAGAAGGACATGAGATGAGACGGATTCGAAGTCCTGCTTCTAACAGTTTGAGATGAAGCTTGGACGAACTTTGCTCTGAGCCTTTCTTAGTAGTAGACTTGCGACGAATAGCAATATCAACCAACAGAGTGGGCTTTAAGAGTGTGGGATGGACTTTTGAACGTTTCAACTTGGTGATGCGATGGAAACTGGGTTTAGGCATGAGAAGCGAGTCTACCAGCAGAACTGGCGACTTGCTGACCAGCTTCAGTTCATCCAGCGAGCGGGAACTCTCATCAGAATTGAGAAGGTCGGTGATACCTAGAACAGACCGGCCATTTCCGGACCGGAAGCAGGGTTCTTCAAAAGGAATAGTAGGGGTGCCTGTCGAAGCGGCTTGCTTGAATGGATCAGAGGGAGTAAGGCAATCTGAAGATGTGAGCTCCAAACTTCCGTTTGTCGTGGCGATGGGAAAGCACACGGAGTCCTGAATGTGTTTTACAGCCGATCAAGATGGATTGGATGTGCACTGGAAGGGGAAGGATTTGGAGATGTTGGGGGGCTGTTGGGGCAGGCCCTTTAATCTGGGAAAATGGGACGAGACAGTTTCGCTGGGTCCAAATATTCGGACGATTTGTAACCGTGAAATGGAAAGTTGCCTAGTATTTCAAAAGGAAAAAAAATAAAAAATATTTATTCGGAAAGAAATGTTGTAAGGAAAAATCGGGGCAACAGCCTACTCTCATATATCCCAGACCAAAGAGGTGATGACAGGGGACCAAATTTGTTGAGAGACAGGACGATGTTTAACAGGCTAAAAAGGAAAAAAAATCGTCACAGCAAGGATGGGAAGGAGATAGCACTAGCCTTGATATAGTGAGACATGCAGATGTCCCAGGTATGTGCCGGATTCTACTGCTCTGTTCCTACAGACACTTTAGTTATTTAGCCATTTGTGCATAGTTGCTTGGATATAACTGGTCCACGGAGTTCCGCATTCTGACGGAGATGGGGAGATCACGTTGAAAGACTGGGTTCTTGAGCACGCAGAACGTGGCAAAAATTCATCACGGAGTTCAGTTTACTCGGAGGAAGAGTCTGGCTTGTTACAATAATAAAACGAAAGTTTTGTTCGCAATGTAAAGCACTCACATCACCAGCCTCAACCTTCATGTAGACGATATGCGCCCACCGGAAATATCCTGACCATCTAACTTTCAACATGACCTGTTCCTACAGGGCGCTAGGAATAATACCCGGATCTGCTGCGTGTATCGGCAGTAGACCTCCCTTCCCTATGCACTTTAAACTGATCATGGAAGTTGGCTTACTTAAAGTGCTAAGACAGTCATCACCTGGCGTGCTTGTGGCGAGTGGTGACCGCACTGCTTGTATACATGACGGATGTCTTAAACCTACATGGGTGGAGATTGTTTTCGAAAAGATTTGCACTGCCAGACGTCGAAGAAAATCTTTAAATGAAATTTACGGTGGATGGAAATCGATGCTCAGTTTGTAGTGGGCGCTGTGGCTAACTTGATTGCCTGAATTGCTACCACCCTAAGGTGCTCCATCTAACCGTTGCTACAGTGGAAGCCCCGACACTTAAAACCACGGTCTATGTTCAGGACTTATGTCCCAAATCCTTGGTAAATGGGGCAAACAAGCGGCTAACCATCCACCTAAAGCATGATAAACATGTGGCTCGGTGCTAATAAGGGGATTATTGATAGCGAGGGTCAAGTTACCAGAAACAATAGTCTTTTTCGGCAAGGTTGGAATGTAGACAATAGACCCAGTGATAATGTGCACAGTTGAAGTAACAAGTCTAGACCATGCATAATTGCAAGGAAAGTAAGTGAGAAAAAAAAAGAGAATAAGCAAATACTGTGAGTCCAATCACTCCATAAACCTTAATGGACCATGGTCCACATCGCGGACGTTTCGGGAACGATTCGAGGACTGTATCTGCCAACTGTCTACATTGGTCCATGTATCATTGTATCAATATTAGATGATAGTGCCGGGAATTGATTACCCAGTGTATAATTAAGCACGGAGAGTGCCGTTAAACATGTCTTGGTTCTCTGGTTGTAGCAACACTAGAACTAAAAGTTGGAGCCCTGGTTAATGTTACGTTCTCTCACTCCCAATTCTCCACTAAGGAAGTTGTCCTCGTCACCCTTTTCGTTCTTTCTCCAGAATGTCCATCCACTCTCGTTGAACTTGTTACCACGGGTTCTCATCCAGAAAACCACTGCAGCGATGGCAAGCAAAATGGCTCCTCCGACACCTACAACCACTCCCACCACAATCTTATTAGTGTTGCTCAATCCTCCGGATGAAGCAGAGGAGCTACCAGATGCTGCTGAGGGCTCCGAGCTGGATAGCGTCATGATAGATGTCTGCGTCACCACAATGGTCTGACCATTAGCGACCGAGCTAAAAGTCGTAACAACAGCCGAGGAAGAAGCTGCAACAGCGGAGCTGCCGTCTCTTGTCAGCGACGTAGAAGGTGCTGCTGATGTGGTTCTAGGAGATGTGGATGTCTGCTCAGATGAAGTGGGTATTTGATCGGAAGAAGTGGGGACCACATCGTTGCTGGATGTCTGCTGGGATGTCTCTGCGGGGCTGGAAGTATTTTGCTCTTCCGAGCTGGTGGTAGGATTTGCGTTTGATGTAGTGTCTGAAGTAAACTGGAACGCGGACGTAGTAGGCAAAGTCAGTGACAGCGACGATGATGACGTTGATGACGATGACGACGATGAGATCAGTGACGTGCTAGGTGAGTCTGGAGCTGCCGACGAAGTGGGGAAGTCATTGTTCAGAGTCGTGGAGCTGGTACTGGGACTGAACTGATTCGACACAGGAAAAGAGGCATTATCCGAAGTGGCGGAGGCCGTAGGCGACACGTCAGAAACAGCTCCCTGAACTACCGATGAAATATCGAGCGTAGATGAGTCAGCACGAGCATTTAACTCGACATAATGTTGGTTATCGGATCCATCTTTCACATCTGAGTCATTGGCGATCTTATCACCGTTTTTATCATTTTCAACGACTTTATCGCTGTTTTGCGACTCGTAAAACTGCTTGCTTTTGTCATGTTTCACATTCTCTGCATCTCCGTCTTCAAAATTTGGAAAAACCTCTGTCACATTTTTAACATTTACAAGTCTGCTGACATTGGTGATGGCCGAGGCCTGGTACGTGAATAAGTACAAGCCTGCCAAAGCGAAGGCTGTGAGGAGGAAAAACGAACGGGCAACCATGAATATTTGAAAGGTTTTGAACGAGTTTTCAAACAGTTCTCGGTTTCTTGTGGTTGAAAATTCTATTGATGCGATCTCTTACATTATTTACCCATCGTCTAAGCCATATAGAGCACGTGACTGCAGGCACCCCGTTGGTTTCTATGTGCGACTACTCGAGAAAGAGGCGGTGTCGGGAGTTTTTTGAATGGGCTTTGAGTGAGAAAACTTAGACTGGAGTTTAGTAATGAGGGGTGGCTTGGGTTGTTTTTACTTGCTTCTTTTTTGATGTTTTTGCCTCGATGTATGTGAAATGATTAGTAGTTTCCAATTTCTGGTGGACTAAAGTGTGTCAACCAGTGAAGGTTTTGTGTGAAATCTTTTTCGAGAAGATTGTGGTTTTCGCCTGGGAATCTTTCTTCGACATGTTTTTCTTACGATTTTTTTTTTTTTTTTGCTGTGTTTTGCTTTATTTTATTTTATTTTATTTTGTTTGTCTTTTCTTTTCATTAGCATTTTTGTACTTTGAATTTCTGGACTAGGTATTTGCTCCTCCACAAATTTCCTTATTTAGTCAGGTCCATATACCTTCGGAACTCGCGAGTCCAGACTTCCTTCGTCTGAATGTCAACTTCACGACACTTTTCCTGTCAAATGCAACTTTCTAAACACGATTGGAATCTCTTAATGATTTCATTTCCCGTTAATTTATGTTCTGCTTTCCTTTGCTTGACATTACCATAAACTTCTAGCCTTTTTCATGGTTATTTGCCTACTATTCTCCAATGTTTTTCCCGTAAATTGAATTCCTCGAGTTTTTTTTACTTGTTTTTCCTTAAAGGAATCTTCTTGAGTCTAATTTCATAGCCTTTCGTTGCCTCTACCGGTCTTTAAGTCATCGTCTTGTTTTCTTGTCATTCCTTAGTCTACCTCGTTCCTGCTTATATGTCATCGGAACCGTACCATCCCTCTTCCGAATTCGGTCCGAAAATGACGTTTTGTGGCATAAAACCGAGACTTCTCCATGTCAGAGAGTTCCAGCGTCTTCGCTACCAAAATCCCATATATTCTCTTTCCAATCAACTCTCAAACCATCTGGATGAACTCACCGACAAGAACCAACTAAAGATAGTGAAGTGCCAAGGTCTCTTTATGTCAATCACCAAACCTATCGTACTGCAGGCACCACAGTCTTACTGATCCACCAGGACCTGCATCACCACCAAAAGTATTACTAAATGGGCTATCAGATAAATCTTTTACTACACGCTTTTTTCTTCTCATCATGGCAGGGCTAACGTACAGAGAACAAATTGCTGGCTTTCCAGTCAAGCAGATGGTGGTGGTGTCACTTATCCGATTCTCGGAGCCTCTTGCATTTACCTCATTGTTCCCATACTTATATTTCATGATTCGTGATTTCCACATCGCCCCTAGTGAAGAGGAAATCTCCAAATACTCCGGTTACTTGGCGTCGTCATTTGCTTTCTTCCAATTTGTCTTTGCTGTTCAGTGGGGTAACATGTCCAATCGTGTGGGCAGAAAACCTGTTCTTCTCTGTGGATTATTGGGGTCGTCCGTATCATTGATAATCTTTGGTTTCAGTACCAACTACTACATGGCATTCTTTGCTCGGTCACTTTCGGGTGCTTTGAATGGAAACATTGCCGTTTTAAGAACGGTTATCGGAGAAATCTGTGTTGAAAGAAAGCACCAAGCCATTGGTTTCAGTACCCTTCCTTTGCTCTTTAACTTGGGAGCCGTTATCGGCCCACTTATTGGAGGATCTCACTGGTTCACTAGACCTAGTGATCACAATCCTTATGATAAGGAGTCTGCTACTATCGAGGGAGTAGCCGGTGCATTTGACAAATTCAGATCTAACCATCCATATGCCACCTCCAACATAGTCGTTTCCCTTTTCCTCAGCTTCAGTTTTATTGTGGGTGTTCTCTTCTTGGAAGAGACAAACGATAAATTCAAAGACAGAAGGGATTACGGTCTTGACATTGGAGATTCTCTTATTGCACTTGCGGGCTTCAAACGTCCTACTCGTGTATGGAACAAGATTAACGATTCCGATGAGACTTCTCCATTGCTTGAAAGCTCCATCTACGCACCAGACCGTGAAACTGCCACCGGATCTGCAAGTGAAACTGCCTCTGAGACCCAGTCCATTGAGTCACTCAACAAAGTGTTAGATGCCGAGGATGAAGAGATTGAGGCAGCTCCTTTCATGTCAAAGGACATGTCCAACGCTGTTGTTCGCAGATACTCTCTGACCTCGCAGGTATCCTTCCGCCCTCCCACTAAAGCTTTGACTCCACAAGTGATCACCGTGATTCTTTCCAATTGTATGATATCCCTTCACAACATCTCTTTCGGAGAGTTCCTTCCTGTGTTCCTAGCTGCTCGTTTCCAGAAAGATGCCCTACAATTCCCATTCAAAATTGTTGGAGGTTTCGGGCTTGACTCAAACTACATCGGTACGCTTTTCTCGTCTACAGGAGTCATGGGAATGATGATTGTGCTCGTAATCTTTCCCTGGATCGACCGTAAGCTCGGAACCATGGAAGGATACAGACTCTCGCTCAGCTTCTTCCCTATTGTTTATGCATGTGTTCCGTTGTCGATTTTCACGCTTCACAAGTACAACGAGTCGATTCCTACGTGGGTCACACCAATTGTTCTTTACTCATTGACTTCGCTCAGAACGTTGGCATCTGCTACAGGTTTGCCGCAAGTGATGCTTTTAAATCACCGTGCCGCGGCCAAGGAACACCGTGCGTACGTCAACTCTCTTACTATGAGCATGTTGGCGTTGGCCAGATGTTTGGGCCCCATTATCTTCGGATATTTGATGACATTGGGTGACTCTCACAATATTGGCTGGGTCTCTTGGTGGATAATGTCGCTCATGGCACTCTTTGGACTTGTTCAGTCCTACTACATGAAAGATTACGAAGATTGATCCTGTATGATGTCATAATGGTGTGGCTCCCAGTGCCCCACCACAGGTACTATCTCACCTGCTGACAACCTCCCATGTGGAGCTCCGCTCATCAATACCTACAATTAGACTTTAAATTTTGTTGTGTTACATGTTTCTCTTGATCGTTGCACAATTCTTTCTCGAGTGACAGATTCTAATTCTCTTACTAAAAGGTGCGGCTCGCTAACCTGCACATGTCCCGACTATGGTTCCCCCAGTTTAACCTTTATTAGTCACCATATGAAGATCTTATTCAGACAATTCCACATTCAGGGCTTGGAAATTCTCAGAAACTATTCTGGCGACGTATCTTTTTTTCGCTTCACCATAGACAGAGTTTTCACTTTCAGTTAAAGAATTCCATCTTAATAAAAGCTTTCCCTTTCAAGTCTCCATCTCAACTCATCTGCCTACTTAATCCAGGAACGGAATCGCGATAACCAAAACTCCGCTTTTCTACTACCCAACATGACCACCTTCCGTGAACAAATGAAGGGCTTTCCCTTCTGGCAGATGGCCGTGGTGATGATCATCCGGTTCTCAGAACCCATCTCTTTCACGTCGCTCTTCCCATACGTGTATTTCATGGTACGCGACTTCAAGATCGCCAAAGACCCATCTCAGATCTCCAGATTCACAGGCTACTTGGCAGCATCATTTGCGTTGGCCCAGTTTCTCTGTTGCATTCATTGGGGCCGTCTCTCCGATCGAATCGGCCGCAAGTACGTGTTGCTCTGTGGACTTTTGGGCTCTGCCCTTTCTCTCACGATCTTTGGCTTCTCTCGCAACTTCTATATGGCTTTGGCCGCTAGAACGACCGCCGGTGCATTGAATGGCAACATTGCGGTGTTACAGACCATGGTTGGCGAAATCGCTACTCAAAGACAACACCAATCCATTGCATTTTCGACATTGCCCTTGCTTTGGAATGTTGGATGTGTGATTGGTCCTTTGATCGGTGGATCCAAGTACTTGACTCGACCCAAGGGAAATGTTGATGCTACATCTTTGGATTCCTATTACGAAAACTTCTTGAATCATCATCCATATGCATTGTCCAACATCGTTGTAGCCCTGTGTCTCTGTTGCAGTGCTCTTATGGGGTTTTTGTTCCTTGAAGAAACCCACTACAGGGCCAAGAAGAGATATGACATTGGATTGGCGACTGGAGACTGGATAAGAAGTAAGTTAGGCTTCACTATTCCTTTGAGACCATGGGAGACCAGAACTAAACCTTTGACTAAGTCTGCGCCAGTGGTGGACACCGCCGTGTTGGATGACGACGACTATGACTCGCTTGACGAGAACACGCCTTTGGCCTCTGATCCGGTGCCCATCTATGGAGACGAGCAAAATGATAACGAATCCATCAGCTCTCTGGGTCCGTTCACTCTCACCAGAAGATCTTCTCTTGCCATTTCGAGACGTTATTCACAAGCATACTCTCTCCAGCCGGTGATCCTGACAGTTTCTGGAGCTTCTGTCAACGAGGAAACCAAGAGTCTTTTCAAGGCATTCAGAAACCGCAATATCTTCACCAATAAGGTGATTGGAACTGTCTGGTGTTATTTCATGATCTCGTTCCACTGTCTCATTTTTACCGAGTTCCTTCCTGTTTTCCTTGCTGGTCAGATCCGTCGTGATAAATTACAGTTTCCATGGCGCATTCTGGGAGGTTTTGGCTGGGATACCCAGGAAATCGGAACCTTGCTATCATCCACAGGATTTGTGGGATGTTTCATCATCATTTTTGTCTTCCCCTTCTTGGATAAACATGTCAAGACCATCAACGGCTTCCGCTTTGCTTGTTTCATGTTCCCAATCTCTTACGTTTTGGTTCCATATTCTATCTTTACCATTCCAGAGTACAGTCCATGGTTGCCCTCATGGACCACTACTGTCGCACTTTACGCGTGTACCGCCATTTCCGTGTTAGGTTCATCGTTGGCATTCCCCCAGATTTCCATTTTGGTGTATAGAGCCACCAAGCCCAGGCACCGGGCCTTTGTCAATGCTAGTGCTATGAGTGCCACGTCTTTGGCGCGTTTCTTGGCCCCGTTGTCTTGGGGAGCGTTGATTTCGTATTTTGATGGCCAAGGAGTGAGTCAGATGTCGTGGATCTTACTTGCTTTCATGGCATGCATTACACTCACATTGGCTTTGAATCTTGACGAATATGACGAAGATCTTGCAGAGGCTGAATCTGTGAGTGTTTAGATGACTGAGATGCGGCGAGTGCACAAATTGAGTCACAGATCGAAATATTTACCTGCTACGGAGTATTAATTGACGGCAAGGACTTCTTAAGTGAATGTCCGATTCTTATGTCTATCACATCCGCCAGAGTGGCAAAATCAACCAATCGTCCACGTTAGTCATAGAAATCATTGTAGTCAAAAGTGCATTGTGACTTGAAATCTCGTAATCTAAAAATACAAGAGTTCGTATTGTCCCCTCTTCGTCTAGACCAATCCTATTGAAGGAAGCGGTCGGTCATAAATTTAATCGGTTAGTTCTGCAGGTACACCGCTTTTGGACCATTCCTTCTCAACCGTGCATGGTCATGGTCTGCCCCACATGATGGTGCAGGCTTCTATGCTCCAGCCGTGTATTAATATGAACATGGATTCCCTCCAAATATTGTGTTGCTAATCCTATTTTTCTACTGAAATCATGCAGCTCGATCTTGTAGCACGTTATTATTACTATGACTATTATGACGACTATCTGAGCTGGTATTACTTGCGGTGGTTGCTTTGGCTTATTGTTCTTCCTTTCATTATTATATTTGTAATTTGGTTACGCAGAAGACATAACAAGAAGCAAAGAGTTATGGCCCCTAACAACCAGTACTATCATGATCAGCAGATGGCATATGGACCACAAATGATGCAATATCCTCCTCAACAATATCATCAAGGTTATCCAATCAATGGCTACAACCAAGGTTACCAGAACAAAGAAGCCGGAGAATGGAACCAGAACAATAATGGACTCAACCACGGAAACCAGTCTACTGGTCCAAACCACGAGACAAACCCGAATGTCTCTGGCACGACCCAGGAAGTAGCCCAGAACAGGACTGGCAATTCTGGAATCGGTAACGATGACTACAACCGCCATTACAATTTGGGTACCGAACCTACAGGTGAATTTACATCACCAACCTCTCCTCAGGAACCTCAAAGAGGCTACACCCGGATGTAGGATAATGTGATGTATTGATTTTGGTTGGTTAATGGGCTGTCAATTCGATGGGGCTTTGAACAGGATTCTAGGTCGTACATAGGAATATATTCCATAATCACATGAAGTTCAATAATTGTAGAAATCATCAATTGGTCTATTTTGCACGGAAATTGTTCTATAATCAGTTGATTTTTGGATCATGAAGGCCAATTGATGCAATTCTCGCACATGTTTGTTCCTTATGTTGACTGGGTTAATTGCGTTGAGTTGTGCAGCTCGTAATTGAAACAGGCTTGGCAAACATGCCTCGATAGGCATTTTTTTCACTTGTCGGAGCAATTCACTCCACAAATTCAACTGCTAAGGGTATATGTCGTGGTAATTAACTGAGGAGGACTACATTTCTATTTGTCAACATATTTTGACGTTCACGAACAAGCATTTAGTTCTGGGTCCTACTCTCCGTATCTCAAAAGATCTCATAATTAGCCAAACCAATAAGGTAGGAAATTCGGGATCATTTCTCTTAAACAAAAAAGGAAACACGTTGCGTTTATGATTGGAGACGATATGATGCAGACATAAACATGGAATGTAACCACGTCATGCTCACATAGAGGAAACCTCATCAGACAGATGCTGTGATGAGAAAAGCTATTTGCTATTTCGTAGGAAATTTCTCGACGCTTTCTGAAAATTCTACTTCTTGTCCAAGATGTTTGTGTCAACTTGACTATTCCGCAAGCTTTTCTCTCCGTTTTTCTAGGTTGTACGCGAAACTTCTAATTCCCCTTATTGTGCCTATGACTGTCGCAGATTATGTTAAGACGCTAATATGTGCCAAAGGACAAATTTCGCGTGTTTTAAACCCTGACATAACTTGGGAAATGACGTAACATACTCCAGGGAGTCATTATTGGTCTCCCCAAAACTCCGGACAGCGGACATCCAGCTGATTTTCTTGTTTATTTGGAGCTTGTCAGGAGAAACTGGGTATTTGTGCTCATAGGCTCATGTTCTTCCAAAAGATGGCAGGAAGAATTCTCAGGTTTATGTAATTCGAATGCCTCTAGTTGTGACCATTGCTTGGTCTCTGCTTAAGTGGTTTACTTTTGTATGGGTTGAAAGGGTACAAAAGACTTCCATTTGCAACACTTTCAGAAGATTTAATCATTCCGAATGGGGAACATGTCGGTCCTTACTATTCTGCAGCTGTCCCTGGTCTTCAGACTTGTTCTACAAAGTTATGTATTCGCAAACGGAATTCCAGGGTCGCAGTTCAGAGAAATTAAGAGTCGGAGAAACGGATGAGAGAAGAGACTTTTAATGAAATGGTGACAGATTATAAGTGACAGGGAACACATCCAAAAGCTTACCGCATTATCCATGATTTGACAAGGTAATTGAGACTCGACTGAGATTTTTGCAGAGGCTCGACTGAGACTTTACAGAGTTTCTATAGAGACTCCACTGAGATTCCATTGAGACTCCAACTATACTTCTCTATCAAAAATCCTCCATCATACAGCCTACAGCAAACACAAAGAATAATTCCCTTTCTGTGCCAATCGACATAGCGAGGAAGCAACAACTCCCTCCAACAAACATTCCATGCACATTGCTCCAACACTGCATCTACCAAGAATTCCATCACCGATAGCTCCGCTCCTCATATCTCTCAATTCCACTATTCAACTACTTTCCATTCTTCATGTCGATTTCATTCTTTTTACGCTCTACACCTCCAAACAATTTATTGGTCAGAACATGTTTTTGGGGATCATCCACATTAGTTTGCTTGAGATATTCTTTATCCTGCATATACATAGCATCTCCCCATAGTAGGGCTGGGTGTCTATATACTGTGTGGCTTGTATATTCAGTCATTCATTGCTTTGTCCATAGAAGCAAATGATTGAATGTCCTACACACAGTGGCAACGTTCCCTCAGCCTTGCTTATTGTGTCTTGGCTGGATTCTCCTGACTATATAAAGTGCAAGTAGTATCCACTCAAACGTTATTTCGGTGATGTACGTGAAAGATTTGGCTAAAAGGTATTACTATTACAATGGACGCTATAGAAGCAACTGGTACCGGTACCGGTGGTTTCTCTGGCTCATTCTTATCCCAATTTTCTTCGTGATTCTCATGTTACTTTTCAGAAGAAGAAGAAGAGCAAAGACCACCACTATTACTCCAAATAACAATTATTATAAGGAGCAGCAGAATTACGGTTATGGAGGAGCGCCTCCGGTGCCTCCACAGAACCCACAGGAGCCTAATTACAATTATCAGCAAGGGTATGGCCAGACCTATAACCAAGATTACAACCAGAATTATAATTTGAATAGTAATCCTACCGGTGAATATGAGAGGCCATCTGGACCTCCACCGACTGATTACGAGAGACCACTGGAGCCTCCTAGGGGATACACTAAGTCTTAAAGTGAAGTATAAGGTTTTGATGAACACGGATGAGATATGCTGTAATGATCATAATGAGCAATTCTGAATGAGCAAGATATATGGCTTGGTGAGAAACCAGAACAATTGATTGAAGGGGTGGGCCTGAGCCCTAGCTAGTTTGTATTAATCGATGTAATGAAGTTTATATACCCGGCAAATGAGTGTCGTGTAGAGACAAGAACTGAATGTTAAGTGGGGTGAGTAATTGGGTCAATGGAGGGGAAATATAGTGAGAAAGGGAGAGAATATTGTCAAAGCTGAATGAATGAACATTGAAATTGTCAAAACAGTGAAAGAACAAAAATAATAGAAATGGTCACAAATCTTTATGGATATCAACAGAATACTAGGAATGGTTTTTGTTTATAGTTTACGGGATCTTCGGCATCGTTGTAGCCTTCCAGCTTCAGTGTAGCCTCTTATCCCCAATCCAAGCAATCATTGGACTAATCACATCAACACAACCCCAATCGCTCTCGCAAGCTACAACTTGGTTCTAACTGATTCCCGTATTATTAGAAAAAAAAGATTCCCGTCTTATATAAAAAAAAGATGATAAAAAAAGCAAGCACAGTGTAATAGATAATGACAGATTATCTAAGCGAGCAGGAGCCCGAGGCAGCACAGCAATGAGTCCGACAAACCACCACATGGCACGCCTAGTCAAGATACTAGTGTCTATATTCAGCACAGACTCCTAGCCTCATCCACTTAGAATCTCTGGTTAGACTTCTTAGCCTTGAGCTTCTTCTGGATCTGGATGGCAACAACGGCAACGAAAGCCAAGAACACCAAAACGAACACAACAATAACACCTGGTGGAAGCATTTTTTTAATTAAGTTTTCTGAGAGAAGAAAAATGTAAGTTTTTTCAAGTTTTTTTCTGGGACCGTCATATATTTATTTGGTTAGTGCGCCATTTTTTCCGATAATATTGTTGACGCCTATTTGGGCCGGTGCAATCACAAACCGGGAAAACCGGGGTTCAAAGTGCCGACCATTCCTGTACAAAGAAAACCCTCAGTGGGACACTTTTGCTAGTTTTGCCATTAATTTCCCGAATGCAAGGTGATGCGAAGCAATGGAAGGTGTCAATGAAGCTAGGAAAGTGATGGAAATCATCGTTGAATGTTCATAGTGAAGGGTTTGACTCCGTCCCCCGGAACTCGCCTGGGGTTGTCTGGACGATTTTGGAGTTAGTGTGTTTTGGTCTCCGCCCTAATTCCGAGGGTATACTGACCAATAATATTAACTCGTTCTTACACTATGACGTCTGGCGGGGCATATCAAGACTCCGAATATTCCCGCACTTCTAGGATTATAAGGTCGGCCCGAGCTAGAATCTGTAGATATATGAGCGATGAGCTATTATCTGCTTTGTGACTAGCTTGTACAAGACGTTGGTGGCCTATTGGAACATGCATGAGTGAATGTTAGTAAGTTAGGCGCAGAGAATATGTTGGAAAATACGGCTTTTGGGGCATCTGGGACTTGCTATGGCCTGCAAATTATGGCCCGCAAATCGTGGCCTGCGAACTATTGCCTGCAATTTATGGCTTATCAAATTTTAGCAGAAGATTTCGCCGGATAAACGAAGTCGCCTGTCACTGGTGGAGGCATAATGTACTGTGCATGCAAAGTGAATGCAATAACAAAGCAGTGACAATACATTGGCAACGCATGGTAATCTCAAGGCTAGTCAATCGTGAGTGGTAAACTAAACATAGACCGAATATTGATCGAATCAAAGAAAAAGTCGGTGGCCGGCATTTCGGCCCGCCACGGCTATCTCACTGTGTCAAATGTGGAAGTTATAGTGCACCAGCCTAAATATTGACAGAAATGCGATTGTTCTGTGCATAGTGCCTGATGGAGTTGGCTTTTGACATGTGCATTAAATCGACAACTTTTGTTTACTTGACCCACAAATGGCTGAATAAAAGTAATAGCCACGAGTTAAAATGAACAAAGCTGAAAATCATGAAGTCTTCTCAATATATCCGCCAATCCATTCAACGAATTGAATGCCACACTGATAGGATACCTTTGTTGATTTCGATTATCCGGGGATTCCGGCCAACGAGCATTTGAAGGTAGCCGTTTCGGACCCAATGACTTTGCTGTTCACTACCTGTGACATTTTTTTTTTTTTTTGCCACTATTAACTCTATTTTGAGATCCATACTTTAGAGTACCGTTTGGATTTTCCTGCTAGTGATGTTTCGGACTTAAATCTTCACATGCTCGGTGTGGGGCTTCTAACAAGCCAACATATATGGGCAAGTCTATAGCCCTCTGAAATATCACCATCTCGATAAAACTTATCATGGCTGCCGTCCACAAAATCACTCTCCAAAAGGGTCCCCGGTCGTACTCCGCCTGGAGTTCTCATTCTGAGTCACAATTGACCCCCGCAAACTATGACAGAGTTGTCATCCTCTTGCATGGATTTCCTGACAACAACGATTCGTACAATGAGGTGGTTCCAATAGTCCGCAAGCACTTCCATTCCGACAATGTGTTGACGGTGTGTCCTTTGTTGCGTGGGTATGAGAAATCGTCTTTTGCTCCTCAAGACCAGTATAACATGGCTGACATGGCTGGAGACACTCGTGATTGGATCTTGAAGCTTGTCCCCAACAAAGAAGTGCCAGTCCACATTGTTGGTCATGACTGGGGTGCCGTAATTGCCTTCAAAACGGCTTCAATGTATCCGGACGTGATCACATCGATGGTAACCATGGCAATTCCATACATCACCAACTTGAAGCCATGGCAGATTCTCTGGTATGCTCCTCGTCAGGTTTATTGCCTGAGCTACATGCTTACCATGCAATTTGCCTTGGTGTACCGTGCCAAGTTTGGCAATTTGTCTGAGCCTGGCTATTTGGATCAGTTGTGGCAGTACTGGTCTCCAGGATGGGAATATGGCAAGGCAATCGATTCTGTCAGAGATACATTGGGACTGTCTGGAGTTCTTGATGCGGTCACTGCTTATTATCGTAATACCATTTCTTGGAAAAACAGAAAGGACAAATGGCATGTCGACTTCAGCCAGGTGCCTACTCTTATCCTTGGAGGAGAAAAGGATGGATGCATGGTTCCGGAATTATTTCATTTGGAGGCACAGATATTGGCCCCTGTTCCTCGAGTCAAGGTCCAGCTTTTGTCAGGAGTTGGCCATTTCTTACACAGAGAAGATCCAGTGAAGGTTGGGGAATTAATCTGCGATTGGTTTGACAAGTACCGGGAATAATGGAGTGGACGAAGGACTTGAAATTGGAAGTAACAATTTAATGGAATGACTGATGTTGAAATGAGTAAAGAAATGATTTGAAAGAACGGACTCAAGGATTTAATTGGAAGAACTCTCCATGAAGTATTTCAAAGAACATTATCAATAAACATTTTCGAAAAACATTTTCAAAGAACATTTTCAAAGAACGATTCCAAAAAAATATTATCAAAGAACTATTTCTAAGGATTTATATGAGATTTCGTGAAATTCTCTTGAATTAACAAGGAGCCCATATTGTTCAATTTTGATTTTGAATTGAAATTTGCTAGTATATTGTTCATTACATTGCTCTCCTTCAGTAACTCGATGAGTCCAATTTAGAACCTGGGTTCTTTCTCTTAATGTCTTGAATGCCTAGTAAGTCTCAGTGTTGACCTTCCGCAAAGTGTTAAACAACGTAGTCACCGATTCAATGTAGTAAAGGAAGTCATAGGCTGTTTTTCGTTGCTAGCCGATGGCCACAGTCAATACATTTTAGATTCTCAGAGAAGCATAGAGAAATACGGATCCAACTTTTGAAAGTTCGTAATGCACCGAAATTTAATAACCCCTAGACGAACAAGTACGAAGAAGTTCAAAACCAGTGCTCGAGACCTCATCGTGAACCCATTTTGATGTCAAAATTTCTTTCTAACGAAGGATAAAGTTCTGACAGATGAGTTGTTCCGAGATTATTTACCGATCAGTTGACGAGAGACAACTATTCGGGAAAATATCGATGCTCTCATTGGTGGAAGAAAGAGATGATGATTACCATTTTTTCACGCCCTAAAATCACATACTAGAGGTAAAACTCATGGCTTTTCGGAGAAGGCATGAGTAATGGATGACAAAACATCAAATAGACTAGGGAGTTTTACAAGGGCTGCGTCGAAGCAGAATTTTCACTTCAACATTCGTACATGGAATGTGGCTAAAGTTATTCCGAGGAACTGCGATGCAAAATGGTGCGCCGAAAATAATTACTACTTTTACCTTTCCGTCTTAACCCCACACAAGTTGGCAGGAGAAGAACAATGGTGGCATAATAGCGGTGAGTAACTTCGTTGCGTCCCAAAAAAAAAAATCTGACATCGCTGCCATTCACTGATGTCAATGGAGCAAGCATAGGTGCATTTATTGACTGTCCAACCACAGACACACTGCTGGATGCACCGCCGACGCACCTCCAATGCACCGACGCATCTCAACGTAAGCGCACTTCAAGACATCACAAACGCCCAACCAGTACATCTCTACGCCCATCCCTCACGGTCCAAATTATGTTTTTGGCATGAAAATTTGAGCAGTGGCATGTTTTTTAGAACTTTGCAATCCCGACATTCCTGTCACACCCAAGGCAGGATCTGTGAACTATGACATTGTGTTTGGCCGATTTGAAAGACATATAGGGACACCTTGTGTAGATGAATCGACGAAGACGCCTTACCCTAAATCCCAATGCGGATTGACCCGTGCACCGTACTGCGTCTGGTTTGCAACAGGGTAGCCCCTCAACACCACATATACGGCTGGTTATTAAGGTTCTATGATTCGAGGTGGTGTGGTCATAGTATTTTAACAGGGTAAACCCCTCATCTGGTGGCTCGTACATGAACCAAGTGCTTTTGTCGCAAGTATGTGTTCTTCTATTGCCATGTATTATGTAACGTTCATGTATCTTCATTGCTAATGGCGGTGCGGAGGCATGGGGTGATCTGTTCTCGTGCGTCAGCGCGGACCACATGCACCTTTCGGGGACAGTCTATCTGCTTTAATTCCGTTTATCCTACATCTTCATGAATCGCCTATCTATCATCCTCAACGTTCTGAATGTTTGAATGTGGGTATTTCATAGTCTATGATTTCAAAATTTTGGTTCAAGGCTCAAGCAGCCACTATTGGTCCTATTGTGACCCCTCGATTAGGCGATCTTTGTATACATCAGATTTCACCTAAAAATTCTTCGATCAACGTGCATCCAACATGTCAAGCATCAACGGAGGAGCGTTGGGAACGTTATCATCAAACGTCGCATTACGATGAAATCGAGATGAATAGGGGCCTGTACAGGGTGAATGTAGATGATGAGCTGCAAAACCCCAAATTGACATGTCCACCCTTGCGGGTTTGATAGATCAATTCTCAGGCGGGCCATTAATTAAGCAGGAAAATTCGCATTCGCCGCACTGGTTGCACTCACTGCACCACAAATACTGCATATGTGGTTTCTGCACACGCCCGCGTACACAAAGAAAGTTCGTATCATTGCTGCGGGGCGGTTCTCTGTTCTGCTTATAATCTCGGGGTTGTTCATATAGATGATCTCATGCAGGTGCAGATGAAAAGGTCTGGAAAGCTGCTGCATCTATGCATCTCACTAATTCGTAAATTTTTTCGTATTGACTTCCTCTTGTCCTTATTTTCTCCAAATTATGGGTGTTTGTAACCCTTGACTACTATTCCATGCATAGGGCTCGGAGAGGGCGGACTTTTCTTTATCTTCTTCAGTACAATCGAATGCTAAATTGTACAAATGAATCTGTTAATCCCCTGATTTGATACAATGATGAAGGCGCAGAACACCCCATCTTCGATTAAACTTGTTTTCACTAATTTCAATAATCCTCCCTAAACCATAAGGGGAAAACCTCCCCACAACGTGCACACCAGAATGTGTGTTCATATAATGCACTCAACAATAGACCCTTCATATCACCTCATACCACCATGAACAATAGCGGTAACCTTGGCAAGATATTTGCTGGCAGGGGAAGCAATCATGTGCAGCTAGTCAGCCCTTACATTGGCGAGACCTCGAAATATCAGCAATCAAGTGTCAAAAATCCTTAAGTTAAAATAACTCAATTTGAAACTTCTTGAAACTCGTTGAAAAATGTCGAAATCGTCGAACTTGTCGAACTTGTCGAAGAAGTTCCTGCAGTTCTAAAGCCAGCAAAGGATGGCATATGTTGATCCCAGATCGATCTTGTCGATCATCGAGGAAATTCATGGTCTTGTCAGACCGCTAATTTCATGTCTCAAATGTATATGCGAGCACTTGCCCATACTAATTTTAGCCTATGCTCCGATCCTTGTAGGACAAACTATTACATCTCTAATGTTAAACCAGTGTTACGCACGTTATCGACTGTTTCTTAGACAGTTGTAGCTGCTTATTTACCTGGTCAAATCCCACTCCTGGTTCATTTTGCCCAAGAAGAGACTGTTGAGGCTGGCGCAGTTCAGTATTTCAAAGCACCAGAAAACTGATTCAGTTCGCTAAGTCAGCAGCTCGCCCACGGCCTCGCCCGTGCTCGAGGCAAAGCTGTGAGTAACCTGTGAGTAGGCCGAGTTAGCAAACGTACTTTGTAGTGCCAGGGAGTCGGTGCCGGTACCAGACAAGACACCTACATAATCGCCATAGCTCCAACCTGTCGGAGCAGTGACGCTGTTATCAAGGATCTGCGCTTGGGTCTGTAGCTGGAGTTGTGGGGCATGATGTAGAAGCAGCGGCTGAAAATAGCTCTGTGCGGGTGGGTACAGCAAAGATGAGAAGCGTTTCGCGTCTTCCAAGTCATACAGCATGCTCAGAAGCGTCTCGTACCCAGGCAGTATGTCCAGCCAAAGCGATGCATTGCTCAGCGTCAGCTGCCGCAGGTAAATGTCGGGAGCGCTGGCGCGTCCATGGACATGGTGACATGGTGCTAATGTCGACTCAGGAGGTCTGCCATCCCGAAAAGTTGAATTTGCTTCGGTTTGACCCAAATTTCCCAGGCTGACGCTTCCAAGTCCCAGAAGTCCCAGGAGGCCAGCAGCCCCCGTTGCTAATAAAGGTGCCAGCATGGCTCCCAGCGCCATGGGCCCGTACCAGCCTACGCCTCCTAACATGGGGCTGGAGCCAGTTGGTATACCACCAGCACTTGGAGCTGACATAGCACCTACATTGGTACCAATAACAAAACCAGTGCCCGCTAGTGGCGACATCTCTGTGTTAGACCACCCGCGTGCCATGGCACCACCGTACAGCGTCTGGTTGTTGATATGAAGAAAGGAGTCCAGCATACCAGAAAGGGGAGTAGCCGAGCTCTCGTGAAGAGTGGACAGGACATAAGTCAGGTCGACCCCCGAGTCCAGGCCCGATGGCAGGCCAGATTCTTGCTCTAGCTTCTTACGTCCACGTTTAGCTCGAGGGTCTGGGGCCTTACGGTTGCGACGCTTAAGTGGACCCTCCAAGAACGTGCAGACGCCCTTGTTGAACTGGGAGCATGCCATACATGGGATCAGGTTCTCGATGATGCAGCAAGTCTTGCGTCGCCTACAGAAGTCACACGGTCTCTTGGAGCGGGACTTATAAGGGCGGACCGAATTGACACGGCTAGCCAATAGTTTCTTCGCTAACTTCATGGCGATAAATGGAGCCTACCTAAGTAGATGGATGAGCAACAGAGTAGTTGGCGATGGAAGGATCAGTGGTGGTAGCAGGAACTGCAAAGAGCTGCGAAGCTGAATGTGAAGAATGGTAGGGAATGAAAATTAAAAGAACATGGACCAGCCTTGCAGAATCGATGGGGATTATATAGTGAATCGTGGGTCTAGAGACCCTAACAGTGATACTGTGCATCTTGATAAACCGCATGCATCATGCATCTCCATGCGTGTGCACTGGGGACTATTTTGGGCCCCCTGTGGTGATACTCCATCCTGTATCTAATCACGGCGGCTTATGTGCACGCCGCCGACGCTAGCCCAATGCCTCGTCTCTGCGTGCGATAACGATCATGCACCGAACACCCATCCTGATATGGACGGTTTTCTCCAGCCATAATAAAAACGCCGAGTCAGGTTAGGAGCTAGTGTGGGTTACCATATCATCATCCATACTAATCGCTCTAGTTTGGCTCCTGATCGGCCCAGTGTCATGGATGATTACTGAGAAATGGTATAATGCCATTTTGACCCTGAAAAATATGCCTGTGGGCCCCATTTCATATCGCCATTTCGTTTCTCCATTTTCCTTGTCCACACTCTTGTCTCTCAGAATCTCCAATTCCCTTTCCAACTCTATTCTGAGAGACCCGACTATTGATCCATTAGCAACAAGTCTAAATTCACTGCCTGGTTTATTGCTTTGGTCATGATTCCCTTTTTTCGCCTATGTACGATCTTCCAATGTTTTTTTTTTTTTTTTTTTTTTTTGGCATCTGCTTTGGTCTCGCAAGTGGAAATAAACGGGGTAGTCTCAATACAGGCCCAAACCAAAAAAATTTCGTTTGTGTTCGTAAATGGTGATTCCAAATGGTCAGCCGCTGACGGAAATTGCGGCGACTTTGATTCCGAAAAACACCGTTGCCGATCACCATTTTGTGAATTTTATTGCCACCTTCTCCATCTCTCTATCGTCGGATCCCCATATCCCATGTCCTCCGGTTACATTCTTTACCCCCAGATGCACAGCGGTATTACTCCAACCCGCCAAAGTATCCTGTCCACAGGCTCCTAATGTATAATGCCTGGACTCCATTCCATCGTAAACACCGGATCATGCCGAGGGTTCCCACAGGATTATTAGCCACAATGGGTCATTTCACTTCCACGGGGCTGATGCCGACCCTGCAGTCTAACTGGGTTGGTTAGGTCAGAGGGGAACGGTGCATGGATAGCGCCCTGCTCATAAAATCAGTCAGTAACGTTCACCTTGCACTGGGTGCAAATGTCCATTCTGCCGCACATATCGCCGTAGCTGCAAATATAGATTTTGAACTTCGCTGTGTAAGCTTGACATCACAGTGCCGTGTTTCCATTTGAGTATATTCTCCGGTTCTCAATTGGGGCTAGAATTTTCACACTCTGAGTATACCCAACTTTCCGTGTTCCTGCAGTATGTCGGCCCATTGGAAACTGCCTTTGTCGTTGATGACTGTGGTTGCGATTTCTCTTCACTCGCATGCAACTACCAATTACTATCAATCCATGTAGATCGATGGTATCACTGGGATCGTCACCCAAATGGAATTTGTTGACGCCGTGTTGATCCTTGCGGGGCTCAATTAAGCTTTGTTCAGTAATTACCCGTATGCCCAGACTTCTCGTAGTGTACGGTTCTGTGGGTGACGGGTGACTTCACCTTATCAAAGATTCAAAATACGGGTTTCTGTAGGAGGCTGGGTGGGAAAATAATGCGGACAAATTTGGGGTTAGTTTCGAAAATTAACTTTTGAAATGCAAGAGTCGAGGTTGAAATTGTTTGTTTGTTTGTTGATGGGCAGTTTGACTCTTAATCTTTTTTTGGTCGTCAACTTTTAATAGTAATTTTTTAGTTAATCTTTTTGTTGTGATCTGCCAACTGAAAATAGATCGAGCTTCTAATAAAAATTCTGTTGTTTGTTGTGAACAACATGATCGTTCGTTGAATCTCTCAGAATGCTCATCCATCTTTTAGTAGTGTAACATTTATTGTTACAAATAGTGCCACATGAGCCGAACGTCCGTCAAAAACGCCTCGGCTCTGTCCCACTTGTCCATATCTTGCTCAATGTAACCAAAAGTGCCGTTGCTGTCTTGCTCTAATTTAATTGAACATAGTTTCCTGGGAACAGTCCCGTCTGTCCGTTATATGTGCCCGTCCACCATCCATTGGCATCTCCTTTCTCGACAATTTGAATCACAGCACCCGTGGGGAATGTCAAATCGCCTTGCGCTTGTGCAGTGTAGTCGTAAAGAGCAGTACAAGTTTCACCTCCAGCAGCTCCATAAGCAGGAGGAGCAGCTGCAGATGTAGGTGGAGCTGGGGCACCATACCCAGTGGCTGCCGGTGCCTGATATCCAGTGGCTGGTGGAGCCTGATATCCAGTGGCCGCTGGACTTTGGTATCCGGTAACTGCTGGGCTTTGGTATCCTTGGCCAGGTACTCCTCCGGCAGGACTTTGGTAACCAGTAGCTGCGGGACTTTGATACTGACCATATCCTGGTGCTACTGCTCCAGGCTGCGCATACTGTTGCTTTTCGTTGCCGTACCCATATTGTCCATACTGACCTTGTCCTGGGGTGTATGGTGGAAGTTGTCCACCTTCCGGAGGAGGAGAACCAGCATTCATCATTTGGTGTCTACGCTTGGTAGCCTCCAATTTGTTCTTAGCATGGCCTACCTTGAAATGAGTAATGCCAATTGTGTCTGCCTGCTCCTCAATGTTCCCCTTCTTGGCATGGTAGGCTCCAACAATGTCCAGCAGCAAATCAAAGTATGGGATCTTCAACTCCTCCATCCGAGTGTAGAGGGTGTAAAAGATGTTCAATTGCATATAATAGAAGGAAACGAAAAGTGGCTTGATGAAGTCCAGCTGCATCTGGAACAACACTGGGAGCTCATTCTTCAACATATCGTTGTAGTAATCATACTCCTGTTGTGCGATGCTCACCTCGGCCTCAGCGTTATACATCTTCTCCTCATCTTTGGCGGTCCTCTCTTTCTTGTCTTCGTACTTCTTATGATTTCTCTTATGACGGTCCAAGTCCACTTGCTTGTGGTCTCTTTTGGTGGCCATCTTACGAATCAGCGCAATCACCTTCAACAACTCTTGAGCCGGGTTGACGATTCGCTTCTCGATCAACTCCAAATCAGGCTTCAATGTCTCCTTTAACTCCTTAACCACCTCCCTGTACTGTTCCGAGGCCTTGATACCTTCCGGATTATCCTCCGGGACGGTTGCATTTGGGTCAGACAAACGTCCCGAGATGGGCTTGTAAATCTCCTCAATAGCTTTGGAGAAGTCAATCTGAAAGTCCAACATGCCATTGACCGAAGCAAAATACCGCTTGGACTCGTCACTCAACTTTTTGGTTTCCATCTCCAATTCCTTGAACCGTCTCTCTGCATCCGCATAAACTGCATCCTGGGTAATTTCTCCCATATTCATTTTTTGCCGGAAGTTCTGTGGCACACGCACTATCGACTTCTTGAGGCCCTTGAACGACATTGTGATGATTGCTTTATTTGGTTGATACTATGAGAATGGGATGTATGACTATTGGGGGCAATACACTTTTGTATTGTGGGATGTACGGGTGCGCGAATCTAGACGGAAGAATTTTGTGGTCGCTCACAATAGTAACTGGTGCAGATACTTTGCACCCACCAAATACTTGTTGAACTGCCACGGAAAATGGAAATTACCAAAAATTCCGGGGAAATTGAGAATCAATGGTATTCTGCTGTCTCTGAAATAGTTTTTTCTATGATTTTTGCAGTTTTTTTGCTGCAATTCATGGCCCTTTACCTACTCAATGTGGTGCGAAGCATGGTATTTATGTACTTTCTGGCGATCGAGTGTTTCCTCCGGCCACATACCACTATTCAAAGGGTAGGGATGGAAATTAAACAATTTAGGATGGCAGGATACTGTGGACTTGATTTCGTTAAAAAGTATCGTCTATGGGAGCTGCTGTGGAAGTGTAGATTCTTCGACATCACCAAAAGGGCCCAAACAACTTTCGAAATTTTATTTCAGGACAAGCAAAAGACAGGGGAAGTTGAAATTAAAGGATATGATGCAGATATATTTGAAGAATTTAATGGAATTTATTTTGAGGAAAACAAACGTATTTCGGGTCAGGAATGGCCAGCAATTATGGACGAAAATGGCCAGCAAATCCGAAGTAGCACCAATGATCGTCATCAACTTGATTTTTTTCTGAAATACAAGAGTAAAACGCTTCTTACCACCTCACAGTTTAATGAGAGTGCTTTCCTACGGCGTGGTTGGCTCGGTATTCTATCAACCCTGGCAACTACGGAACTTCTGCTAGATTGTCAACCATTGTCGACAACAACTCCCACTACCACAAGAGAACAATCAAGCCTACTAAATTCGAAAGATTTTGAAGAGAATTTACATCAACAAAGTGAGGAATTGGTGAATACGGCTGGAAAAGAGATACTGATGGTGAAGGGAAAAGTCATCCAAAATTTATCCAAAAATGAACAGCATATACTAAAAAGCTATTTAGACAACACTCTCAAGTGGAAGAGGTCACGAAGCAAGGAATCGATTGTTTCCGAGTCCTCTATTAGTGCCACGTCGATACTGGCAAGGAAATTTTTGAGTAGAGCCAAGTTGTTCAAACGCCCAGGTCGAAGGTTGTAACAAGTACACCAATGCAAATCAATCAAACGCTAGATAACTTAGACACATTTCGGTATTTCAGCAAATAATAAGAGCCGTGGAAGGTAAATATATGGAGCAAAGACAGCAGGGAGAACAGGGAGACGAAGGTGCTGGTGATGGATTTGTTTATATGGGAGGAGGTGGTAAGTTTTTTCCCGAAACTGGCCAGCAGTGGTGAGAAGCCGTCAATAGCAATTAACAATGGATCGTTTCCTTTAGCGATGGTTTGACATTGATAAGCAGACAGCCGACATAATGGAAAAGAAAGTTTGCTTTTCAACATCCATTATAAATTCACCAAATCTAGCGCCAGAGCACTTCAACCCAGTGCATATATAAAATTTACAAAGAGCCTACGACAGTCATCTCCAATTGATAACACCTGGCAGCAAAATGCCTTCGAAGAGAATATTCGCCGACTACAAGGCACTGCCACCGTCATTGAAGCCACAAGTCATTCATTTCCTCAGCACTATCGAAATGCCGAGTTTCAAGAGAACACGGCATTGATGAGAGTTAATGGAAACGGCAAAATTATAAGATTGAGCAGAGACGCCAAAGTTGCCCATGTAAAACAAAGACGCAAAATTTCTACCCAAATAACATAAATGGCAGATAGACGGAAATTTACATTAGAATATACCAAAATAGAAACCACTATAATGATGCCTCAGTGATTGGATGGTGCAAATGCCATTTTGATTAGAGTTTCGGCCTAGACACGGCTGATTATCGGTCAAGACGCAGCTACAAGCGATATTTCTTAAAGGCACACGTAAATTCTTGGCTCTCTAAGCATTCGGTACCCGGTAGTTTCCAGTTCCCGGGAAAATATGGCAAACTCGCCCCTGTGGACGCAGATGTTATCAGACAAGGTGACAGAATAGAGGCTTGGAGAACAAGATCAAGATTATGCATACGAGGAGTCCATTAAGAGATTTAATTTTCTCTTTGATTATGACCAGCAAACTTATGGTGGTGATAAACGAAACAAAGTAGAAGAATTTTTATAGCATTGACTCAATAAGCTTGTGCATACGGATGAACTATGTGTAAAACAGAAAAAAGAATACCCAAATTGAATCACATCTCTCCTCACCAAAATAATGACAAGAAAAATCTCCTCTGACTGTCCGTGCCATGCACACCTGTTATGTCAGCCTTTGTCGGATACATGGCTTTTTCGGGAAGGCAACAATGTCTATGGTTACTCACAATGTCAATTTAGCCTCCCAGCGTACATTTACGTTTAAAATGGAAAGCCCTGGTCCAGGGTTTCAGTCATTCTGGGTTGGGAAGTAAGGCTGAGGAAAAGGTTTCAAAATCTCCCAATCATCCTGGAAGTTACACCTGGCGTCATTTCATGCGCATCCAACCCCACTTGCAGGTGCATTGAGTGCATAACATTATCCAGGCAACACGAAATGTGCGTGGATAGGACACACCCATGATGGGAGTATACCTTGTAGGGGAGGAATAATGGTGGAATGTGAAAGGCTCAGGCAAAACGGCGTTTTATGGGGCCATAATTGTGGGGAATGGATAACCCAAGGGGGGTTTCTGGAACATGCACTTTACATGCCAGTACGTCCGGTATCTTGGTTAGGAGAGTGTCCATGCAGCGGGGCTTGCGATTTACCGGCGCCCGCTGCAGTTCCAGTCACTTAGTGACAGACACCAACAAGGAGTGACTGATACGAGCCAAAGTGGAACTGGCCCATATACCGACCCACCTCATGTGCGCAACATAGCATTACCATGCGTACGAGCACACTTCCATGCACATTGAAAGGTGATGCAAGGGAGAGTGGTTAATTTGCTCAAGGCACGGAATGTATTTTTTTGTATTGTCGAAGTTTCAGGCTGACATTGAGTGTGAGTTGGAACTGGGAGGTCATGAAAGATGACATGAGAATTGGGAGAATTGCGTGAATTGGGAGGATTGGGAGAATTGAGAAAATTGAACGAATTAAGTGAACTGGGAAATCAAAAGATAGAAACAATCGAGACAATAAGATCAGTAGAATCATCGGGAATGGGAGAGTACGAGATTGCCAAGATGTGACATTGATAAAGTACAAGACTATAGGATCACAAATCTACGAAATCTTTAACATTGTGAAATTGTGTATGACAAAGCGGAAGTGTGAGATAGTGACACCCGCGACGTTAAGGGACATCATAATCATTATTCCAAGATTCCGACATGCATTCTCATTTAAATGTTTATTATAGTGCGATATTAGTGCTCCACATGTTTGGCTTTTTTAATGTCTTAAATCATGATTTTTCGTATAGTCGATTTTTTTTCCCTCTTCTAGTCATTCTTTTCTATTTCATAAACTTTTTCTTGGTCTCTCCCAATTGTCCTTTTTCTATTATCTTAATCATTTTCTTTCCACTCTCATTCTTTTTCTCATTTTCTCATAATCATTCCTTAATAAATTTAATTATTACTGTTGTCGCCTTCTATAGTCATCACACGTGACCTCGACTGTCACTCTTTCAATCCATCGCATCATCTTTTCGGTTGCTTCCACCACTTTTTTCATTCTGGTATCTTGTGGAACGTTCTCGACTCTCATTAACGAGTTTCCTTTGGTGTAATTTACACATTTAATTCCTTTACACCCTCTCCTTCCCCACCTTTTCCGGTCCCTTCCGATTCTCGGATTTTGGAGGTCACCTGACATCACCAGTTTTTCACCACCATCCGGTTGCTCCATTTTCCTTCGTTATCTACTTTTCTTCCTACAATCTTCCCAATTCCTGCCCTTTCCATGTTGGACTTGCAAGACTTTGATGTCTCCCCCACCTGTGGCTTCCTTCCCTCGGAGTATCCCGTGGCCAGGTTGTCTCTGCCATACTATCAGCCCTGGGAAGATCTAGTGGCCAACCTCCCAGCGTTGCTTTTGTCTCGCCGCATCCGTGTATTGGTGGACAAGTTGCCGATTCTCCCCACCGATAAACTTACCTCCATTGCTGAGGTCAGACGTGCCTACCAAGTGTTGGGCTTCTTGGCTCATGCTTATGTGTGGGGAGTCAATGAACCCACTGATCGTATCCCAGAAAGTGTGGCACGTCCACTCGTGGACACCGCTGAAACTTTGGGACTTCCTCCATTGGCCACCTATGCCGGCTTGTGTCTTTGGAACTTTAAGGAAATCATGCCCACGGGCAATTCAATCAAGAACCTTGATTTGGACAACCTCACCACCATCAACACTTTCACTGGATCCATCGACGAGTCATGGTTCTACCTTGTAAGTGTATTTTTCGAGTACAAAGGTGCTGGAACCATCCGCACGGGTGTGGAGTCCATTGCCCACGCCCAGAATGGAGACTCAGAAAAGTTGATTGGCTCACTCCAGAAATTGGCACAGGCGATCGACGAGTTAGGCACTGTCTTGATGCGTATGGAGGAGATGTGTGATCCTCATGTATTCTACTTCCGTATTCGTCCTTACTTGGCCGGCTGGAAGAACATGGCCGATGCTGGCTTGAACAAAGATGGAGTTTTCTATGGTAACGAGCAGAAGCCTAGAGCATATGCGGGAGGTTCCAACGCCCAGAGCTCCATGATCCAATTCTTAGACTCCTTGCTTAGCGTGAAACATTTCTCTACCGGTGAGAGACCTGTTCCTCACCAAACTACCGATTCGCAGACAACTAAGACTGCTGGCCCGAGAAATGATTACCTCATGGACATGCGTCAGTACATGCCACGCAAGCACCGGGAGTTCCTTGCCACCATTGACCGTGACAGCTGTATCCGGGACTTTGTTATGAAGAACAAGGACAATTCCGCGCTTGTTCTCGCCTACGATGCCTGTTTGGCCATGCTCAAGCTGTTCCGTGACAAACACATCCAGATTGTCACAAGATACGTGGTTTTGCAGGCAAAACAGGCGGGAAAGATGGGTTCACTGCTGACGTTGCGGTCTGGCTTGGCCAAGAAAAAGAAACTGGGTGCCGAGGAGAAGGGCACAGGAGGCACGTCGTTGTTGCCATTCTTAAAACAATGTAGAGATGAAACTGGAGACCCTGCTGCTGGAAGCTGGGGCCAGCGGATACTCAGCGATGGAGTTATGCGGTTGAGATACTCTAAGCCAAATGGGATCAATGAGGATTGAATGGGATAGGGATTTTATTAATTTGCCAGAGTTTGTTTGTATATAGAATTAGTAAAATAGATTAATGGATGCGATGGTTTGATCCATTGAATTCTTTATTTGACTTCACAATATAATCTTTTTACTCTCTCGCATTTACAGCAACACTAAATATTTAACAACAGTTTTCGATCTCTACTTCCCCTGATTTACCTCTTATCATCTTCATAACCATTATTCCCCTTATCACATTTCGCACCCAAGTCACTGGCAAAAAAATTATTTCACACCCGTACACCACACCTATAGTGTCGCTATCTTGCAAAATTTCTCTGACTCATGTTCAATCGGATTGGTAGACTTCCATACATTATCGCCAGAACCGCAAGAACTTATACAATGTCCACTGAAGCATCTGGAACTTCTGCTGCTGCTCCTGTGGCTGCTGTAGCCCCTGCTGCCGCTCCAGCTCCTCAAAAACAGGGTAAGAAATCGAAAAAGAACGACCAGTTCATCTTGAAAACTCCAAAAGGTACTAAGGATTGGGCCGACAAGGACATGGTATTGCGTGAGGCCATTTTCTCTACATTGAGTTCATTGTTCAAGAGACACGGTGCTGTGACTATCGACACCCCAGTGTTTGAACTCAGAGAGATCTTGACTGGAAAATACGGTGAAGACTCAAAGTTGATCTACAATTTGGAGGACCAAGGTGGTGAATTAACATCGTTGAGATACGACTTGACTGTTCCTTTTGCCCGGTTTGTTGCCTGCAACTCGATCTCTGCCATCAAGAGATTCCATATCGCTAAGGTTTACCGTAGAGACCAACCAGCCATGACCAAGGGAAGAATGAGAGAGTTTTACCAATGCGACTACGACGTGGCCGGCAATTACGACACCATGGTTCCTGACTCGGAGGTTTTGGCCGTATTGTGCGAGGGTTTGACCGGCTTGGGTATCAACGACTTCAAGGTCAAGTTGAACCACAGAAAGATCTTGGATGGAATTTTCCAGGCTTGTGGTGTCAAGGAAGACGATGTCAGAAAGATCTCATCGGCCGTTGACAAGTTGGATAAGTTACCCTGGGATGCCGTCAAGAAGGAAATGACTGTTGAGAAGGGTCAGTCCGATGAGGTTGCTGACAGAATTGGTGGTTTCGTCAAAGTCAATGGATCCATCAGAGAAACGTTGAAGTTTTTGCAAGACGCAGAAATTTTAGCTTCTAATGAATCTGCACAGCAGGGTATTGCTGAGATGTCGATTTTGGCTGACTACGTCGAGGCTTTGGGCATTGAGAACTACTTATCGTTTGACTTGTCTCTTGCCAGAGGTTTAGATTACTACACCGGTTTGATCTACGAGGCAGTCACCGAGGCTTCTGCTCCACCTGCCAACGCTGCAGAGTTGAAGGAGAAGGCTGCCAAGGACAAAAAGAAGGCCAAGAACGCCGAGGACGATGCCAGTGAGTACGTGGGTGTGGGTTCCATTGCTGCTGGTGGTCGTTACGATAACTTGGTGGGTATGTTCTCCAACGGCAAGTCCATTCCATGTGTTGGAATTTCGTTTGGTGTTGAGAGAATCTTTTCCATTATCAAGGCCAGAGCTGCCAAGGAGTGGGACCAGCTTTCGCCTTCTCACACTGACGTTTTCGTCATGGCCTTCGGTGGAGGTGCTGACTGGACCGGATTCTTGAAGGAAAGAATGACGGTGGCTAAGCAGTTGTGGGCAGCTGGCATCAATGTGGAGTACGTTTACAAGGCCAAGGCCAACCCTCGTAAACAGTTTGATGCTGCCGACAAGTGTGGGGCTAAGTTGGCGGTGATTTTGGGTAAGGAGGAATACCCCGAGGGAAAAATTAGAGTGAAGGTGTTGGGCCAGGGAGACGACTCTACTGATGGAGACCTTGTGGATGCTGCTGACCTCGTTAATATTGTTCAGGACAAGTTGGCGTCATACCATGAGAGTGGCATGGATGTGGTAACGCGGATGGTGAAGAACTTGTAGATATATAATGAAGAAAGTAATAGGATAGCGTAGGTTCATGCGACTGTTTTGAGAAGAGAGATAGAGAAGATAATGATCTTGAAGACAAGTGGTGTAAAAGACCACATGAAAGTTTATGTGGGATCCTAGCGATGTTACTTGGAGATAAAACTTATCCATGGGATAGAAACCGCTCTAAGAACTGACAAATCGATAAACTTTTATTTTTACCAGGCATATCCTAAACTTCTATCTAAAACTCATGTCCCTATCGCCTAATTCTCATCCAACCCTGTGACTTTTTGACCCAGCTTTTCCTTGCCTTCTCTCTTCACACGACACCAAAGCGTGTTCACATCCTCAAAAACGAAGTAGAACAACACTCCACACCAAGAATTAATTTGTGGGAGCGGATCGTAGAATTCGGAAGCAAGTTTGCGTAACTCAGGCAATTTCGTCCACGCAATGTATGGAAAGTCATGGTGCTCATTGTGGTAGCCGACATTCCATGTCAAGAGGTTCAACTTTCCATAATATGAGTATGTTTCTGGAGGAACAAGACCTCCGGGCACATTACCTTTGGATTTCAACTTATTTGTTTTGGGTACATTGTTCTCGTTGAGAACATAGTGTTCAGCAATAAAATGGCCTGCGCAAGGATGCAATGAGCCAGCCAAGAACGACGACATGATAAAGTAGCCGAAAGAGTTCCATCCCCAGTGCTTCACCATCACCATATCGACGACAATCTGCACAATAATGTTGAGAAGGTGGATATAGGTGAACTTGATCTGCGTGATGAACATGGGCCGTAAAGCATAGAAAAAAATCTGACAAGTGGCGAAGAAGACCTTTCCCAACAAGTTCAGTAACACTATTCCCTCGAATCGCGTGGGTAAATCCGTGTCCAAGTACTCGTCACCCAAGAATTTATGGTGCAACTGATGGTAAGGTTGGAAAGAAGCCGAGTAGGGAATACCAATAGGCAAGTTGGTGAAAATGGCGAAAATTTTGTTGTGAAAGGGTTTTTTGAAAAGCAAATTATGAGATAACTCGTGGATCGCAAGAAACACCGCCTGATTGGCGGTGGCTCCGATGACATATGCGAGAATGAAAAATTTCCAAGAAAGCGGCGACGTATCCCTCAAATAGTAGGCCACGGAAAACTGTAGTAACACTACCAATATTACAAGCCATTTAGTCTTTGGTTCATACCCTGTGAGCTTTGACACCTGCGGATACTTTGCCATGATGGCTTTTCTTCGCGACACGTGTGGTTCCGCCTCCTTAGTCCAGTAAAACTCATTCAAAACTTGGATGGGCGCATCTGCTGGAGGTGTATCAAAGTGGTAGGTTTCTTTGGAAACACGGTGAGTGATGGAGCTCATGGTGTTGATGGTGAAAAGAAAGATTAAATCTTTAGTCGGTGAAATAAATCAACCCGAGCCCGCTTTCATGCAGGATGCAATGGAGTGGGGTGAGCCAATATGAACCCATCACAGCCTCGTATCAATTTGCATATTATTGGCCCAGCCTTCAAGATTGTATGATCTCTAGTAAGAGTACTGGGACGCGTAGTAGCTCTGCTGCGAATTTTTTGAGATTTGAGAATGTGCATTGGAGCTTTGACTTTGACTTTGAGGTGGAGAATCTGTTGAACCTGGGGCATTCACCAGTGGCTGCGAATTAGCATTCGGGTTTTGCCCGTTGTAGCTTTGTCCATTGTAGCTTTGTCCATTGTTGACTGGTACATTATAGTCGCTTTGTCCAAATGGACTGGACATACCGTTGGCAAAATGTCCCATAGGGCCATTGTGTCCATTCCACATGCCAAACATGTGGTTCGGGACGTTTGGACCAGGTATTGCTTGAAAAGGTGCATACACCTCGTATGGCAAATTGGTGTTCGGAACTTGTGGCATGGTCATTTGAGCTTGAAAGCTTTGTGGCGTTTGACCCGCTTGAGGATTCTGACTTTGCCCCATCTGTCCCATTGACGGCACTTGACCCTGCATTGGATATCCGAAGTTGTTTTGAGGGAACATGGACATATTTGATGGATATTGAAAGTAAGTACCCACAGATTGCTGGTTGAATTGTTGTTGCATTCCATTAGGTTGCATACCATTAGGTTGCATACCATTAGGTTGCGTCCCGTTAGGTTGCATTCCGTTCACAGTTTGGGTTCCGTGGACTGTTTGGAATGGCTGCAGAACTTGCAGTCCAGTCAATTCTGAAATTTGGCTGGATGACACAATCTGTTGTGTTGGCTGGATGTTCTGACTCGATTGAATGTTCTGACTAGATTGAATGTTCTGACTAGATTGAATCTTCTGTGATTCACCCTTTTCAGACAGCTGTGTCGCAATGACCTGAGCTTCCATGGCATTTTCAGATGGCTTTCGTTTAGCGATCGTCACCTTTTGTGACATAGGCTTCTCCTGTGGTTGCGGTTCATCTCCAGAATACATGGAGCCAATAATGTTGGAAGTGTGACTAGAATCTTTCTTATTCAAGCTCGACGCATGGCCCAAAATGATCAGCTCGATTTCCTCGAGTGAAGAAGGGGGTCCACCTGCACTAGTCTGATGTGGAACTGGTGACTTTTCAGAGCTCTCCAATGCTTTATTGAACGGTTTTTTCTCCTTAGTTTTATGCGTTGGTTTCTTTTCGGCCTTGGAAGTTATTGACTGTTTGCCTTGATTTTGCTGTTTCAATGGCTTCTTGGTCTGAATCTTGAGCTTCTGCATAGGTTTGGCTACTGACTCTCTCTGGACTTGGGTCTCTGGAACATCCACCTTAGCAAGCACAAACACTTGTTTCTCTGAATCTGTATGGATTTTTGATCCATAAATCTTCAAAGCCATTGCAGAAATAGCTTGAAGTCTCAACATATTCTCGTATTGTTCACATTCTGCTCTAACCGCATTCATTCGGCCAGTCTTAGTATTGCCGTCGAGCTCAGCCTCTTTCATGATTCGTTGTGCCGCTTCATTGTCAAGGAACGTGGGAATATCCTCATTGCGGACATAAAAGTCCGATCCAAAGAGGATGTTCACGTTTCCACTGGTGAACAAATGATTGTCGTTGAAATCCTTGAACTGATAGCCAATGGGCAGGAAGTCCTTGAATTCTACATCCTCTTCAAAGTAGTAGCTTCGGACAGGAGTTTCGCTGTCTTCATCGAATATTTTTGCCCTGGTTCTGTCGTCAAACCTCCCGGACAAAGAATTCAATGCACCGACGAAGCTCTCTTCGAAGTTGCACATATTTTGATTTTTTCTGGCGAATGCCAAAATAAGTCTGATATTCTTGAGTGCACCAGTAACGCTTCCTTCGGATAACTTTTCGACATTCTGGAGGTATCTGGAGAAATAGGCTGAAAGAAAAAGACGATACTGGCTCCTTGGAGCTGGACGAGCATCAGCCATAATGGAGTAAAAGCAAATAAGAACCGTGAGTTGATTCTCGATGTCTTTCGCGTATTCAGCAAACCCGATCTCGCTCAGGAGGGGGAATAAATAGTTGAGTAAGTCATGCTGGGCTTTCTCCACGTTGAAAGAGCCCAGACGAGCATCTCTGTAATTGTAATGTTTGATTATTTTGAGCAACATTGTCTCATAGTCTTCTTTTCCAAGTTCGCTAGGCTTTTTTTGGGCAGTTTCGTGGAAAGCTGCCTCCAACCATGGTTTAGTGAATATTGTATCCAAATTATGTTTTCCAACGGGATACTCTGGTATTCTCGTGAACTGTGATCTCAAGAACAAAATTGTTGCATTGAACTTCATCTTTAGGTTGTTGTATATAACACCTTGACTGTTGTATGGCTCGTTCAATGTTGGAAGTAAGCCCAGACATAACGAGTAGTATTGCATGGCAGTGCTGTATTTGAGTTTCGCCTCTGTATTAGTAGATTTTTGATTTTTGATGCATTTGTAGTACTCTGACACCGACTTGCAAGGCTGTGCGTAGGAAACGCTTATTTGTGTGGAATGACGAGCTAAATTTCCTAGTCCTAACAAACAGTGGTAGACAATGTAGGTTAAATTGGCATCAAAATCTGGGTTTGGAGACTTTAGTCCATTCTCTGATGTCTTAATATTGATTCCGCTGAACCAGTTTTCTGGAATGAGCAGCACGTTGTACTTGAGCATGAGTTTCTGCAAAAGGTTATGATAAAAGTCGTTGGCGGATTTGATAAACTTGGTGAATGTTTCGTTCAACTTCCTCATCTCGACTGCTTTAAATTCAGGCTTCGCTGATTTCAAAGTGCCAATCAGTGAATTGTAAAGTTCTGCGTGCTGAAACTGGTAGAACTTGATTATAGGATGGTGAAACTTACCCCACATCGTTTCGAATAATTGGATCAGCGCAAAACTAACAGGATTAGGCTGACCATTGTGAGTTTGCAGGGTCTGATCGTAATAAGACTCAATGTCACTTTGAATCCAATTCGAAAATTTGCTATGAACAACGGCAGTGAAACCTAATAAAAGTGGCTGATCAACGTATTTTCTTGACAAAAACTCATCGAGCTGTGTTTTGTATCCGGAAATATCGGAAATTATAGATGGTGAAGACATTGTTAAAGATGAAACTCGATTATGATGGACATTATTGTCGCCATATGCTTGATCTGAATTTTTTCTCAGTAGTTTCCATAGATTTTACTTGCCTGGCCTGCATGCGATCGCTTCTTGCGTCTACCCATACTGTCACGGAATGATGGGGCATAGGGTATAATTTTCTTTTTCTGTTTTAGAATGTAATGATGACTTAGAAATGTTGAAGAGAAAGTGACAATAGCGTGAAGTTTGAATTCTGATAATGTTATGAGAAGTCTTCCACGATGGTATGATTCATGTGACATAATTATTAGTTTATAATTGAATACCAACCATTTTGGAAATAGAGTATTTCATGTAGCTCCTGTCTTGAACGATTCCTTTGCCATTCCCTCGACTTCAAGTATGTTAATTCCCTCGTATGACAAACCTAGCTACATGCATGTTGTAAAGATGCATTTTCGCCACTTCCAGATACCGGAGCATATCCAGGTCCGAATCCGATAGACGAGCCCAAAATGAAATAACTCCATCATCCCGCCTCTTCTCCATCTTTGCCTCTTCTTCACGTGCTGGTGGCAACTTCAGATATATATATTATCCTTCTTTTACAATTACCACGTCTTATCTGGCTTCTCAAACATCGCAGCGAATAATCTCACATCATCGCACATTCAACAAATAAAGACATTGCTCACATAAATCCATGTCTGACGATCCTCTCCCCGTTAAAGTCTATGTGTACGATCTTTCACACGGCCTTGCAGCAGTCTACTCGCCAATGATTCTTGGTCGAGCCATCGAAGGTATCTACCACACTTCGGTGGTCTACAATAACCAGGAATACTATATTGACCAAGGCATAAGGGTCTGCCGAGCTCCAGGAACCACCAAGTATGGCCCTCCCAAAGAAGTTTTGCACGTCGGCGAAACTTTTGTTCTGCAAGAGATCTTAGATGAATTCATTGGAGAGCTTCGAGAACATGAGGACCAGAAATATCATGCACTGAAGTATGACTTGTTCGATAACAACTGCAACCACTTCACCGATGTGGTGATTGAGTTTTTGGTGGGCAAAAACCTTGAAGACCGTATTCTCAAGCTTCCACAGGAAGTGCTTGCCACTCCCAATGGCCAAATGCTCCGACAGATGCTTGGAGGCGGCAGTGGCGGAGCTCTTGGAAATGCACTGTTTGGGTTTTAGACTGAGAACCCCGTCTTATTACTGGATGTTATCATAAATCCAGCTGACTATAGATAAATTAGCAAGCATAGATATTATAGCTATATGAAAGTGATATGTGATTGACTTCTGTTGTAGGAATTATTACCTCCATCAAATACTGTATTCTTTTCCGTCTTGAAATCGTTCATCGTTGAGTTTCTAATATTCAGACAACTTCTATCTTCAAGAAATCAAATTCTTCAATTTCCTTCTTTAATTCTGATTGTTTCCCTTTATTTTATTACTCATTCATGATTATCTAGAATGGGACATAGCTGCAAATTTATACTTCGCGCATTAACAGAATGGCTGCAAATATGAAACCTCTACGAAGTATAAATACAGTGCGTGATCACCCGCCGTTCTTTATCCTTTACTCCTCTTTTTCTTTTCATTTCTGTGTTTTCTGCCTAACTCTTCTCTCATGGACAGAACCTCTGCTTGCGACTCAAACGATTTCACACTGGCTTTCGACACTATGAGTTCAGGAAGCATTGCTGCCACCTCCAGTGGTTATAATGGTGTAAACACGGATGAAACTGACCCAGACCTCACCTTTCTGTCTAATTTATTTCCCGTTGGCTACTCCAATGTCAATTTCCTGACCCGTGAGACTAATCCCTTGCAGCAACTGTTTTGGAAGTCTGACGCGAACCTGATTAGATTTCCCAGATTGTCTGGCCAGAGCACCCAGGTCCAGGGCAATTCGGACTTTGACAATACCATCAAAGGTATAAAGACTTCGGGTGGGCCCTACGTTGGCCAGTATCCTGTGCAGTTGACCAGACCCGAGCTGTTTGTCCCGATGAACAATTACACCTACGGACATTCAGCAGCTGACCTGTCTGTGTTATCTCGGAAACGGCAGTACCTGACCAATTTCACTGCGCCAAACTACAATCCTCTTGTGAAAGACTTCAAAGATACTACGCGTGTAGTTCAGGCCAACCATTCGGACTATAACAATGAGCACTTGCTTGACAAATCACCCTTGGACCCTTCATCCGGCGGCAACGATCAAGTTGAAATGTTACGTATGGAGCTTAACTTTAAGAGTCTGATTAATAAAACATTGAGCGAGAAGCTCAACGCTCTCACTACCAACGATGGTGCCACTCCCACGTCGTCGACAAGCCCTGGTGACAGTCGCATCACCATGCCCAATAATTACTATCAGTTGTTTAAAGACCTCACTCGTACATTAAACGAGAGGACACAGGAGTTGGAGGATACTAAAAGCAGAATGGAAGCCATTTTGGTAGGATTAGTTATGAACAAAGATAGCTCGGTGTCAACACATGGAACGTTCGACCCGCAAGAATTGGCGCACCGTATCACTACCAAGCTCTCCATTTTGCAGAAAGAGAACGAGACGCTTTTAAAGATGGTGAGTCACGGCAACAAGCAAAGTCTTCTTGTGGAGTTAGGGTTGTTGAAGAACGAGAATAAGCTGTTGCGCAAAAAGCTTGGAGCCCAAGAGAAAGCCGCATAGATTAGTCGAATTTATACTTGTGGAAGCAACTGCGGGAATCTAATATTCTCAAGTAGAACTTAGGCAACATGAGAGGACTCGACTTACAAGCCGCCATTGACCAAGAGAAAATTTCCCAAGCATACTTGGCAGATCTCGTTTACATGTACTCAAATCAAATTGGTATATTGCGAGCAGCGCTCGCTAACAGAGGAATAACTCTACAAGAATTGACTATAGCCATGGCACAAGTACAAGTCGAATATGTCCGGCGCCAGAAACTTGAGCATAAAATACAGCGGCAACTTCGGGTCAATTCGATTATTGCCCAATGCGAAAAGGAGGCTACCAGTGCCGCTAAGGCGCTCACGAAATCTCCAGACAAGTCAATCGAAAAAGTACTATCTAGCTTGTACAAGAAGGAGTCGCGGATGCTCAAGAAGTTAAAGCAGATCTCTTGACCAGCAGAGACGACCTGGCTAGAACCCAAAGAAGTCTCTCCACGTTGCCCAGGTGTCCATCTCAACATCGTAGATGTATGCCATGGAGTGCCTCAACGACGACTGCAAATACTGAGGCTGGTAGTCATAGATAAACATCACCAACGCCCAGGTGAGTACAGCGAAGTACTTCCACAGTTTGTTGTAGATCTTGGCCTTGAATCTGCGCGATTGTGAATCATTCAAATCATTGAACTTGACCATTTCTCCCTTGATCCTCAAACTGGGCTGGCGACACTGCAAGTACTGATCGAGAAGAATCTTTGCAAGAGCAATCAATACCCTCAGGAAACAGTATAATGTGATTTGGTGGGTGATTCCGGGATTGAACGTGTCAAAGTGCTGCGAGTACACTACCCATCCAGCAAATGCACCAGCCACGAACTTGACCAAGCCAGTACTGGGTCCCAATATTTGATCCAGCTTCAACAAATTCACTGCGGTCTTGTAAATAATAGCGAATGCTGCCAACACCGTGGAATGCTCCTTGGTTGCCTTCAACACCAGCTTCATTCGGGGCATAAGGGGACCCGAACGGTACAACAAGTTTATGACAAGCGCATGGGAGAATCTGAGCTTACCTCCGTAGACTATACCGTTACGAGATGAGCGGAGAATCTCGAGAAGAGGCCGGTAGAGGGGGTTCGTTAGCACCGTCATGAGAAGAGAGTGGTTGATAATGTGGAGTAGTGAGCCTGTATACCGAGGCTCATGTTTGGAGGTTGAAGTTCCAGCGAAGAGCAGATCAAAATGTGGGGAAAACGTTCATTCTAATTACATTTTGCTCTTTTGTGTGGTTTGAGTATTGGGTTTATCGACACTTTTCATTTTTTTTTCTAATTGCTCTACACTTTTGGATTTTTGGTGGTCGAATCGAATTCGCATGCGCTTCCGTGCAAAGCATAATTTTCGATCAATTAGGCGCGAACTTGAGAAAAATTGTTAAATTGACTTGAGGCACAGAATGCCAATTGTCCCAAATCAAGAGAAAAAATCAATGTCGCCAAAATTTCCTAGGAATAATCACAAAAACAAACACCAAAATTCACCTACATTCATCAGCTCTGCTAAACATTCATCAATTACCTGTCCTTCTGATTCCCATAAGTCCTTCGAGTCCGATTGTCATTAGTCCAGTACAGAGGTGCAGGCCTTTTGCTAGTTTTTTTTTTGTGGTGAGTGCGACTGGTGAATTTTTTCTCCATTACTCTTTTCACACCCAATTCTACATCACATCGTCAGACGGTTTGAACTGCCTGTCCCTACTGTTGCTGTTAATTTAAGAGTTTCTTTGCTGCTGTGTCTAGTCCAACTACCTGTTTTCAGCAACAAAAATTTATTTTCGAATTTCAGTCTCGTCGTTGCGTCACTGATTTTTCACCGTCAAGTCTATTTGTCTATCTGACTTGTGAGCCAACTCCTCCCTCCAGAGTGGCAAAACTATCACGCATTTAGTGATCTGATCCTAATCCTTTCGATCTAATTATTACTTTGGTCGTTGTCTTTTAGGTCACCTCACAATCATGGCTTCCACTATCTCCTACGCCAACGTCGCCGCTACTGGAACTTCGAAGTCCGACTCCAACCTGGATGTCCTGGACGTGGTTTCAGATATCTCTTCCTCGAATGAGGTTGTGTCGCCAACCTCTGAGGCTCCAGCTCAAGAATCTGACAAATCTGATGTGTCTGAAGTGTCTGAACTGACTGAATCTGCCACTACACCTGCTCCAGCTCAGAAAAAGGAGAAGAAGGTGTTGGCACCTGCCCCTGTTCCTACGAAATCTGTTTGGGGAGTTGCTTCTCTGGAGCAAAATACTGCTAACGTGGATGAGCACAAGTGGCCAACTCCAGACAAGGTGCCTCAACTCGAGCAGACGACACCCTCCAAAGCTGCAAAATTCATCAAGCCAAATAAGTGGGTTCCCATCAATGCCAAAGTTGTGTTGCCTAGCCCCAGAAATCACTTACAAGGCGCCGCAGGCAACCAGCAGAAGAACAAGAGAAAGAACAAGACCCAAAAGAAGAAGACGCCTACTTCGTCTTCTGATGACTCCATAATAAAGAAAGACGACAAGGAGAAGTCTGACAGTGAAGTCACTAGCGAAACTTCAAATGGCGAACTCGAAGCTGAATCCCCGGAAGGTGAACAAGGTGCCAACGGTCAACTGCATAACTACAACTACCAGAACGATGGCTACCAAAGACTGCGGTACAACAACCAGAACACATCGCAGAAGAATTTGAAGAAGTTTACCCAGAATGGTCACTCTCAGAACGGAAAATCCACCCAGCATCAGCAGCCTCGTCCAGGCTTCTATCCGCAATTTGTTCCAAGCCAATACCAAAATTACACGGGAGGTAGACAATTCAAGCCTAACGGTGCCAATGGCAGCCAATACAGAAGAAGCAACAGCAATACCAACATTCCAAATGGTTATGCTGAGAACTACAATGTCATGGGCGGCAACTACTTGCCTCATATCCCACACCACCCACAGGCTATGATGGGTATGCCATTTGGCAGCCCCGTTCCAGTTCAGATTCCCCCACCAATCAGCCCCAAGCAGAACCCACAGCAAGCATTGACGCAGCAGATTGATTACTACTTCTCTTTGGAGAACTTGATTAGAGATGTGTTCTTGAGAAAGAACATGGGCACCGAAGGATGGGTGGAGTTGGACTTGGTGTTGAACTTCAAGAGAATCAAGATTATTGTAAATGGTATCCACAATGCTATCGAGGAGACGGATCCTGAGAAGAGAGCCAAGGAGTTAGACACAAGTATCTTGCACGCCGTGCAACAATGTCAGAATGTGGAGATTGGATACTTGAATGGAAAGGAGCACGACAACGCAACAGCCACGGAAGTGCAGTTGAGAGTCAAGAACAACTTTGAGCAATGGTTGTTGCCAGACAACTAATTCCATGGGTAATATTATTAAACTGCAGGGATGGCTGTTGATGTTGTTGATGTTGTTGATGTGTTGTTGACGTTGCTTGCATGTATATATCTTCACCTATGCAGCGTTGGCGCTAGCGAAATACTTGTTGCTAAGTTGGTGAGATCGATCTGAGGATTCTGCCAGCGATACCTTTTAAAAATTTGAAAAAAAAAAAAGAAAAAAAGTTACTTCTGCAGCATATTCTATTTTTCATTGTTAATCGTCAATTATACATTTTTTTTTAACTTCACTATTATTTATTATTATACCAGATTATTACCCAATTCCTTGCTGACAACGGATTCCTCCAGTCCATCCGATTTTTTCAGAGAGTGAACCTCCAAACTCTTGATAATAAACTCTTCAGCCACTGGTCCGTCAAGGTACTCCAAGTCTTCCTTGGGAATAATCCGTGGCCATACCCATCTGGCACAAATGGCGAAAAACATAAGCACACCAGGAAATCCCACAGCACCTTTAGTTAAAGTAATAGCAAACTCTGCCAACCCTGCGATTACCTGCAACAAAAGATAGATGTAGAACCACTTCTTCTTTTCTTTGGGGATAGAATGCAACTCCCTCCAAAGTTGTGGACATCTGGGGTCATGAGCAACATAGTCCGGGTCAGCGAAGAGGTACTTGATCTTGTTTACCACTGCACCATCATGAAGGCCGTTCATTCCCATAATGAAGAAAAGCCCCGCCAAAACTGCCTGTGGAATTAACCCCAATACCGTCAAAAGCGGCCCAGACATCATCACAAATGTAATGGCTCCCTGTAAAGTGTTGGTGACTCTCTGCTCCACGACCGAAAGTGCCTTTCCGCTCTGTAAGTCATGCACAACCAAAGAACTAGTGTGCAATGGAGCCTGGGGGATCAATCCGTTAGGGGCCGGGATTCCTAAGATTCCAGCAACGCCAGTGGTGAGTCCCAACAACATAAAGTCCCAATGGAACGACGCAGGCTTTGTCAATGGAAAATCCTTCAGTTGGCACATCAATGATGACACATTGTGGTCGAAATAGAACAAGAACGTCAATAAAATCGCATACGGAATGGCCAAGAAGACATCTGCTACAGAAATGTTGTCGCCGGGCCAGAAATGAATGAACCAACCGTGGGCTCTACCTACCTCAGCAGAATTTATGGTGGGGGCAAATGCTTTGGTGGTGGGAAGAGTAGCCAAGTGAGCATCGTCCAAGTAGCCGCCAAAGTGAACAAAACCAGTGAAAAAAATAACGGCAAGGGGTACTCCGTAGTCCACAAAGAACTTGCGGGTCCATGGACGGAAATAGTGTAATTCCGAGCCAAACACCGTCGATCCAAGACCGAAGATCACCATAAGCAAACTAACCATGACCGAGCAGAAGCCAGAAGCGGGTCCATGCTCGCTGAACTGCCTATCCAAGATTTGGACAGCTTTCTGGCAATAGACGATGCAGATAAAGAAGCCAAATACTTCACATGAGAAGTTGGAAATGATCTTGAGAAACGACACCCAGTTGCACAACGCAGTGACAAAGTGCATAGCCATCAGCCACAAGTAAATCCAGCACATGAAGGGGAAATACGGCGTGCCACGAGGCTGGATCAACTCGTACACTGTATAAGAAAAGATGGCAATAGGACCTGTGACTCCAACTATACAGAGAGGCTGACCAGAAAAGAGACCAAACACCACACCAGCAATGGCAGAACTCATGAGCACCTCGTTGACACCATATGCGTTGTCTGTACGATCGAACATATCCTGAGCGAACGCTATGGCAGGTAGCAAGTTGGTGAAGAAGATGAATATGACCGATGGAATGACCCTGTAGTTGTAAGCATCAGAGAAGTCTGTTAAGTAGTAAGGTATGCGGGCCCGGATGTCATTGTAGACACCTCTTCCTAATTTTCGTAGAGTCATAGGAGAAGAGCTGTGATAGTGTAATAAAAAAGTTGAAGATTAGATGTGGTTGAGACCGGTGTACAATGACGATAGCGAAGAGCAGAGACAGGACGAGATGCATGTCTGATAAAAGTAGCAATGTCCACAGGTATGGAGCATAGGCATGGTAATTCGAAGTAAAAAAGAAGAAAAAAAGAATTTTAAAGAAGAGCGTAGGAAGTTTCCAACTAATTTCATTGAATGACTTCGAATAGAAGGAAATAGATTCATTAGTCTGGATTTATGGTTATGGCTCTACCCTCTCTTAACCCCGATTCAAGTGTACAAATGTTGAGCTCGCTCATTTTCTCTCCTATCTTGCACGATAAACTTGGGATTTTTATTACGGCTTCAATAACTTCCGATGTAGATCTATGACCAGAATTTGTTTCGAGTCCTGGATGACTATACCATGGGGCTATAGCAAGTCGAATCTCAATTACAGATCTATGACTGCATGGTTATGTTTATTATTAGACAACGTGGAAATTGATGATGAAACATTTTATGTAAAACAGAACATAATAACTAGTTCTAGGAAACATAGTACCAATACTTAATTAAAATCTTACTTCGAGCTTCTATAATTTCTAATTTTCAACTTACAAGTCAACGATGAACTGCATATAACATGAAACTAATTTGATGATTATCCTACATTTATCACCCCACATCGTTCGGTCCCTTGGCCCAGTTGGTTAAGGCGTGGTGCTAATAACGCCAAGATCAGCAGTTCGATCCTGCTAGGGACCATTCTTTTTTTAATTCTTTTTGTTTCTTCTTTTATGCTACTAATCCATATTGGAGCCGGGCGCCATTCGCTGCTACTCGATGCTAAATATAAAAAACTTCTCCGAAATGCCCTCCTGGTAGACTTTTCTGCAGCCTCGCAGATCATTGAGAAATCTCCACTAACCAATACTGGCTATGGATCATCGTTAGATCACGACGGAAACGCATCTTGTGACTGTACTTACTCGACCATAAATTTAGGGAAAGTGGAAGAACTACTTTCGTTGACAAACATTGGAACTTGTGCAACGCCGACCTTGGCATGTGAGCTGATAGTGCAGAGCCTAGCAAGTATATATCATCGAGGAATTGCACATGGGTCAGCCAGGGGTATCTTGGGGCTTCTGAAGCCATCATCGATGGAGTTTGAAAGTGCAAGAAAGTTGTGTCTGATTGTTGTGGATGAGTTGGTGCTGAAACACACGAGGCTGCTATATGAAAGGTATATGGAGAATGAACGACAACTTGAGGCATTGATTGACAGAAAATTACGAGAAGAAGAAACAAGAGATGGTATGGAGGAGGTAATCAATGGAGATACAGAAGATCAAGGGCTCAATTCAGAAAATCTTGATAATACAAACGAATCAATCCTTCGTCAACACCGATTGGATGTGTCTCAATCTGTCCAGGATACAGTAGGACTTCTTGAGACCGGTGATAGCATAAAAATGTCTACGTCTTCAGGGGGAGCGTTTCTTCGGCCACCAGGGAGAGTCAGCTGTGCGGGAGTATATGGTGCTGGAAGCGGGTTCGGCCGTGTAGGAGACACAATGGTGATGTGTTTCTGCAGTGGGAATGGTGACGATATTGTGAAAATGGCACTTGCAAGTCATATCAGTGACCGGCTAGCACGCATTGTCAATGAAGAATGGACCGAATTGGGGCCCACTTTAGTCGACATTGTCCGAGAAAGAAGCACTATCTGTCAACTTCAAGCCGTTGACGAGAATCTCAACTCGATAGTCTACGTGGGAGTGGTAGCCGTAGTGAAACAGCACAACAAGCTCAGAGTTGTGTATTGCCATAGCACCGAGACATTTTACTTTGGGTTTCGAGGACAAACTGGCACGGAGATTGTCCTCAGTAAGCACAACAAGCCAGGTACATTTGTATGTGGAGAGTACAGGGCATGATGAATATAGAGAGGGAAAAAAATAAAAAGAACAAAATTGAAAACAGACATTACTCAGTTAATTAGAACCTGTATTGAAGTACATGTGGCTACCGCTTAACGGGAGGTGGCGTGGACCTTCTGGAAAGCACCCTTCTGCTGGAGCTTAGAGACAGAGTCCTTGGCACCGGCAGCAGCGCTCTTAGCCTTCTCAGCCTTTCTCTCAGCCTTCTTGAGCTTGGCAGCCTCCTTGGCCTTGGCCAATCTCTGCTCTCTGGAGGCCTTTCTCTCAGCTGGCTTCTGGTTTCTTCTCTCCTTGATGAACTCCAAAGAAGCACCGACAATAGGTCTCTGGTGCTTGACAGCTCTTCTGGTTCTCTTCTTAGAGGACTCCTCAGAGATACCCTTCTTGTGGTGTCTTCTGTACAAGACGGTCCAAGAAACTCTTCTTGGGTTCTTTCTCTGGTGGAACAAAGAAGCAGACTTGGATGACTGGAATCTGAACACCTTGGAGTCACCTCTCACGAACAAGGTGCCTCTTCCTGGGTAAATCTTAGATCCGGAGAACGAGTCGATTTCGATCTTCATTGTGCTGCTAGGTTAGTATGACTTGTTGTTTATAGGCTTGGGTAGCTGGAGGATATTGGACACAAATTGAAGATTTTTATTCATTGTGGAGAGTTGGATAATAAAATGGAGGATCCATATCGATGTAGAATTTCATAATAATTTCAATGGATATGACTGCGGTTGTTCATATCGACCCCAGTACGTATAGGCAAATTCAACATACCAAGTATGGCTAACTAAGAAGAGAGTAGAAGTAGGCAATAAGGCGAAAATTTTTACCTCTTGAGACTCGCGGACGGTGTGCAGGAGGTGAATTTTGGAGGTCGAATTTTGGAGGTTGTAATCACGTGAATGTCGCATGTCGCAAAGCATCTCGGAGAAATAGGGTTACAGGAAACGGGGTATATTAAAGGTTTTTGAAGGTCTATTGAAGTTCATGAGATGCATTAATAGGAAAGATGATATTTCAAACTTCGAATCTTTATATAGAGTTTTGTGAATGGAACAAATGATCACGAATGTTGGAAGTTCAATCCTGTACATAAACATCCAATTTTGAAATTCCATATCCCCACTAATTGGACTATAATAGACAGTTATTTCTTGGAATTAACAACAAATTCATCTTTATCAAATATACAAATTTTCTCTCAATTTGTTTTCGATCCCTCTATTTCCTTACTTTATCACTATATCCCTACCATGTACTTCAATTCACATGCGCGACATTTCATCGATCGAAATGGTTGATTGATACCACGTGACTATCTGTGACTGCTCTTCATTCCACCTACTCTTCGCGATAAATTTTCGCTACAAACTTTCTTCTACTCATTCATTTTCCGACCGGAGTGTAAATATACTAAATCACAGAGATGGTCCGTATTCTTCGTTAACCGATCAAGCATCCGTGGGAACCGTGATTGTGCTATTTGAAGCTCGGAAATCACCAGGAAATTCTCCTACCCACCAATCGTTTGCCAAAGATCTAAAAATTGTCAAAATACTAACATGTCAGGCCCCAAAGAGTAAGAACACCGAAAACGTCAACGCCAAGTTGGGTTTGGTCATGAAGTCTGGTAAGTACAGCTTGGGCTACAAGTCCACTGTCAAGGCTTTGAGAGCCGGCAAGGCCAAGTTGGTCATCATTGCTGGTAACACCCCAGTGTTGAGAAAGTCCGAGTTGGAGTACTACGCTATGTTGTCCAAGACTCAGGTCTACTACTTCAACGGTGGTAACAACGAGTTGGGTACCGTCTGCGGTAAGTTGTTCAGAGTTGGTACCTTGGCCATCTTGGACGCTGGTGACTCTGACATCTTGTCCACCCTCTAATCGTGTATACTAATATATGGTAGACAAACAATTATGGTAGTTTAAGAATAGTAGGAAGATCGAGTACATGTACTAACGTTAGCATGTAACAGCTACTCCTCTATGATTTGAGTTCCTGGCATTATTCTAGCTGTCACTATTCGCATTCGAATGACCTTTCTGGAAAGGCATTTCATGTTCTTTGGGAATTCTCTCCCACTACATTATTCTCTTCCCCTGTAATGAAAAAGTTGTCGTCTATTCCATGCAATTTATCAGTACCCTTCATTAAATCCCTAATAATCCTATCGTTGTCTCTCGGTGAGTTCGGCCTCCAATTCGGCAATCTCCCGCTCTTCTTGAGCAATCAACTCATCAATATCCGTGTCGCGGTCCGAGACTCCTCGCCTTGGCAGCCCATTGATGCTGTCTGTGTAAATCTCTAATTGCACTCGCTGGTCCGATACCTTTTGTTCTAGCTCAGTGGTTTGCAGCACAAGCTCTCCATACTCCCTCTGCAACTCTGCCAACCGAGCTTGAACACTACTTCCGTTGTTAATCGTAGGATACTGCTCCACCACGGCGGCTACAGCCCGACAGATCTCGTTTACGTCCTCGCTTTCAATCACTGATGCGGGGATCAACTTGTACAGGCTGGCTATACGTTTCTTCGTGGGAGAAGAGAGCTCGTCGACAGCTTGATGCGGTACATCTATTGCCAACTCGGGCACACGCACAGCAGGTGCCTGATCTTGTGAGTTAGGTCCATCAATGTAGATGGATTTACCATCGATTCGTTCAGGTCGAAGTTCAGCGTATCTGTCTTCGTCTGCAGATCCACCGAATCGCGTCCCTCTTGGACCACTCCGACTTATGCGGTAGAGACTCAGTTCCGGCGGCAAGGCGTCACGGATGAGCGAAGTTACCTCTGGTTTAGAGATTATGGCATTGGTGAAGATTCCTGGGTCCAGGAAGTCTAGAGCGGAGATGGTGGCACATGAAGCCGTAATGGCCGCGATTGCATCGTCATTCTGTGACATGAATAAGTATTAGATAACGAGGTTGTAATTATTGATGGTGAAGGTGAAGATAGCGGAGTAGGTGTAGGTTGAAGTGTTGATGTTTAATTGTTTTGTAATGTTGCCTGCAGTACGCGAATTGGGATTTCAAAAGGTAAAGATGGTAACAGAGACAGAGAAGAAGGTAAAGGGTGAGAAAACTGCCAGCGGAACGAGTGTGTTGGAAATTAGAAGATAATTTTTTTTTGGTAACTTTTTGATTATTGTTTTAAGTTTATTTTTCGTTTTTATGTTTGATGATTGTTGAAGCTTAGTGGTATTGGCTGAAATATTGAGATAATGTGAATATGTAAGAGAGAATCAAATGTAAAGGAAAATAGAGAACTGAGCAAAATGTTGGCGAAATGAAAAAACTTCATTCGAACCAAAGTTCAAGTTCGTAGAAGATAATTGAGTGTTTGTTTATATCATTGTGTCATTTAATACAACTCACCTTATGTTCCTCTAAGTTGAGATCCATATTGAATTGAATGACAGAGTCCATACCAATGAACCTCCAGCAATCTGACATCAAATCTAAAACTTGCATTATAAATATCAGCCAACTCACTATAAAAGTGTACTAGAATTAAATTTCTTAACCTCACTTCTAATCGAAATTAGTTCTCATTGCTTAAGATAATCCTCCGCTACCTCAAGATTCCACCTACTCTACAACAAAGAACTTTCAAGGTTATCAAGCTGAATTTATCAATTTATTCTCTAAATTGGTTTTCAATTTTTTTTTATTCACTAGCATTTCAATAATCAATTAAATATCCAAAATCCACTCACCTCCATTACTCACCTTCATTACTTCTTCGCTCACCTGCACATTTCCCGATCTTCAACTACTCTTCTTCATGCCCATCGACTTGGACAAATACGTCCGTCCAGGCAGATCTTACTACCTTGCGCTAGGCCTAGAAGGCTCTGCTAACAAACTCGGCGTGGGTGTCATCAAACACAACATCGGTGCCCTCTCGCTGGAAAATCGTGCCGAGGTACTCTCTAACGTCAGAGATACCTATGTCTCTCCTCCAGGTGAAGGCTTCTTGCCTCGAGATACCGCCAGACACCACAGAAACTGGGCAGTACGAATCATCAAAAGAGCATTGATCGATGCAAAAGTCAAAGGCATCGATCTTGATTGTATCTGCTTCACCCAGGGCCCAGGAATGGGTGCTCCACTACAAAGTGTGGTAATGGCCGCCCGTACATTGGCACAGCTCTGGAATTTGCCACTTGTCGGAGTCAACCACTGTGTGGGACACATTGAGATGGGGCGAGAGATTACCGGTGCGCAGAATCCCGTTGTTTTATACGTTAGCGGAGGAAATACCCAAGTGATTGCCTACCTGAAACAACGATACCGTATTTTCGGCGAAACCTTAGACATTGCCATTGGAAACTGCTTGGATAGATTTGCACGGACGTTGAAGATTCCCAACGATCCTGCGCCCGGCTACAACATTGAGCAAATGGCCAAGAAGGGTAAGCACCTAGTACCTCTTCCATACACGGTCAAGGGCATGGATATGTCAATGTCAGGAATCTTGGGATATATCGATGGTGTGGCCAAGGACATGTTTGGAGCCGGAGAATCCATGAAGGATGCCGATACCGGCGAACCTATCACCGCAGAGGACTTGTGCTTCTCGCTACAAGAGACCCTTTTCTCCATGTTGGTGGAAATTACAGAGAGAGCCATGGCACACGTGCAGAGTAATCAAGTGCTTATAGTGGGAGGGGTTGGTTCTAACGAGAGATTACAGGAAATGATGGCACTCATGGTCAAGGATAGAAAAAACGGTTCTGTGTATGCTACAGATGAGAGATTTTGCATTGACAACGGAATCATGATTGCACATGCTGGACTTCTTGCATATCGAATGGGCCAGACGAATGAATTGAATGACACTGTCTGTACCCAGAGATTCCGAACTGACGAGGTATTTGTTGAGTGGAGAGATGATTAATGTATGGCGAGGACACGATTGCTGGCGTAGAACAATAGCAACCTTACAAGATTTTGATAACTTGCTCTTTTCTTTATTCTTTAACTCGACTCGGATATGGATGCGAAAGTGTCTTTGTCTCAGTGTGGTCGTATAACTTTGACTTTTTAAAGGCTTCTTTCTGTAGGTAGACCGGAGTCAGATACGGGTCGCAAATTTCTAGCAAACAGGTGGATTATGAGTTAGATTGAATCATTCTCGAATTGTCTTCCCATTGACATTTCAATTTCTTTCAAGAACTAAGTATTTTTTAACCATCATATATTAGGTATTTTACCTGCGGCCATACCATGAGAGCATTCTCACAGTCCTATTGAGAGTGGATTAGCCAAGGTCGCTGAACTGCTACCATCAATGCCAAAAATTTCCAAAGATCTCAAAATTTGAAAATATAAACCTTTATATAAATGCAAGGATAATTTCTTACAAGAAAGTGGTTTCGTGGTCTAGTTGGTTATGGCATCTGCTTAACACGCAGAACGTCCCCAGTTCGATCCTGGGCGAAATCATCTCTTCTTTTTTTTCAAGTAGGTATCTGAAAGTGGTTTACGGGATTAATTTATATTTTATTCTAATCCTGAATTGTAGCTACTTCTTCCCATTAACCACCAACCGACCGACATCCTCATCATAAATAAATCCTCTTCTTGTCAACAAACGAACAACCAGCCCTCGTATCTTCGGCCCACCCAGTGAATGTAATCCTCTTCCCGTGACTATACTTAGAGGTTCCACAAATTGACATTTTCGGCCGTATCTCTCAAAATGGCCTCCTATTTCTCGAAGTCTCATCTCTTCTTGCCACCAAGAATTCAATGCCTCTTCAACAGTTTCTGTTGCTTCTTTGACAGTGTACCCATGCAAATCTACACTTGTCCTCACAATTGGGTGTGGTTTAGTGACAGATGTGTACCGATTTCTAGTGTTTCTTGCAGGAGACTGGAATTGAAGTTCCACTGTATTTGATTGTGTTGGCCCAGCACGTAGAACGTCGGAAAGAGACGTTTTTGGAACAGTGAAGGTTTCTGCTGTGAGTCCAAGGGTATGATCGAAAGTGTGCTTCTCCATTTTCGCATTGACTACTGCCTCTGCTGCAGCCGTGACTTTGTAGATATTTCCCTCGAAAAACACCAACAGCTTCTTTAAAAATGCATAATTGAGTTTCTGCAATTGCTTATTGTGCATGATTAACTCGTCTAGCTCTGCCGCCTCGGGGCTTAAACTCTTGTATGTATACGACGGAACATACACCGGCTCCAAGGGAGTGCGTTGAACCCTCGAGGACCAAGCTTTCGTCTGCCGCCTAAATGTGGCCAAGATGTCTATTAGTGCTCGGATCTTGTCTCCTTGATATTTCTCCACATATGGATCAGTGGTTTGAGGCGGTAAGCCACAGAGGTCGACCAAAGGAGGCTCAACGGGCTCCATTAGCGCATCAGCAGCAGCCTGAAAGTCGTTGTTGTGTAATTCTAAACATTCAGAGATCTTAATTGGATCAATATGTGGGAACATGAACTGTAGTTCACTTTGATGAACGTTCTGGGGGACGCAATGGAGATCATTTTGGGTAGGAATGTGAGATTCACTTAGAAGTTGCTCAACCAAGTCGTCAAAATTATCACAAGAAATAAGTCTTGCCGCTAATTCGGACCTTGGTACTGCAGGGAAGAGGTCAACCAAGGATTCTAGTCGAGAATCTTCAGACATGAGTAGGAGATGATGTTGATGGAGTGCACAAATGGTCGAGTCTGATTAGAATTCTTTGAAGTCGAATGGTTATACGCAGTTCTGATATATTGGAAGTATACAGAAGTCTCTTAAAGTTCATGAGAAACCAGACTCAAAAAAAAAAAAGAAAACGTAAATACCTTTCCGTTGACTGAATATCCCTGTCAATTTCACTGTAATTGTTGCTTGGAACTTCCTGGACAAGTTTTTAGTTCCCACAGTACGATCAAGAGGTCACTAAGGTAAATCAAAAGAATGATAAATGATGACAAAATAACCAAGGCAAACAAAAATTTACCCTAACTCGAACTCTAAAATGAAGTTCAAATTCATAACCGAGATAGGAGCATATGTTGCAATCGAATACTTCAGGAATGGCAGATGTATGATAGCTCCACATCCTATTGATCTTTCTAATATGCTGTACATACTGTGACAGCTAATCTTAACCATCAACCCCAAATGTCTCAATATAACACAAAGACTTGTGTCTCCAAGTGCCCATACCTCCCAGACAGTCCCCTAATCCATTAACCAGATACCTAATGCCTAATGCTGTCCCCTTTGCTGCATGATCACAGCCTTAAGCGCCAGGAGAAATGCCGTCATATTCTGCTCGGTTGAAGCACTCAAATACCGCGTGGTTTTGGTTTCTATGAGCATGAGACACCACTTCTTACCCTTGGTAGCATCCACTTCCACCACATCCAAAAACCTCTCCATTGGGATCACCTTCTCCGGTTGTTGTGTTTTGTCCTCGGATTTGCACATGTATAGGTTCTTGTTTGTGACTATCACGTAATACTTCTTCCACTGACTGTACAGGCTCTTGTAGACTAGTAGGGGGCCCTCCTCCACCAAGAACTCTCTGCTCTCTTTAGCAGTAGAAAGATCTTGCAAATTTGGTGCCGAATATGCGGAATTCTCCGGTGAAATATCCGCGGCTTCGTCAGCGGAATCCTCCTGGTGCTCTGGCTGAATCACGATTGTCAATGCCGAAATCCACTTATCAAAGAGTTCCTGTGATTCCACACGTAAATGATAGGTCTTTTTGCTGCAGTAAATTGCAAAGTGATAGGCATGGCCGCCTGGAATGGCCGCAAACAGGAGTAAGTTGGTCTTGTTGATCACAGCACTGGGTTTATGTTCTGACGAGCTTTTGTAGTAAGAAAATTGACAGTTCCGAAGGACAGCCCATCGCTTCTTCCACTGATGTGTTTTCACGGACTTTTTTAGCACCCACGACAGCACTAGAACTTTGTTGTCATCCAATTCGTCTGACATAATGAAAGAGTAATAACTTCAATTCGCTCTCGAGTCCGAGTGCCATACAGGCCCCGAATGCTAAGCCACTAGCTACAGACCATCGTCTCAAGACAGAATAGGAGAACGATAAACAGGTATTATTTTAAATTGATGTTGCATGACCAATGTTGATTGACTAGACAATGTGATTTATTGTGTAGTTGGTGTCTGACAGTGAGAGAATTGGCTGAAAGTGAGATGAATTCAATAGCAACAACTGAATATGAATGGGCCGTAATTCTGCTATCATATCGGGGATTCTACATCGAATGGACCCATTGTAATCTTTTTGAGGATATTCTTCAATGATTATGTTTTCATACTGTCTAGGTTGTTAGAAGTCAGTAAAGATGTCAGTAAAGGTGTCAGTAAAGATGTGAAAACTCTCAATAACCACTGTAGCAGTCTCCAATTTCGACTTCCTGAGCGCACAAACTATTGTTCAACTTTCCTACACTCTTGTGGTCTCTTTCCATATGTTCTATTTGATTCTGTTACTTTCATTCCACTCTACATATTCGCTAACTAACTATTCTTATATTATTTATGCTTGTAACTCCATCGCCGACTTGATCACTCCGATCACGGCACTCGTCTGAATCTTGTCATTACCACCCTTCGACACTCCATACTCAATATCTGCCAACCCCTTCAAAATCTTTACTCTGGTCGCAGACTTCAAGTCGTAACTCGACAAGATCTCCACGAACCCTTGGACCAAATCCACAAGCGCCAAACCCTTAGTCCTTTTAAACTTGTCAAACGTCAAATATGTCGTTGTCCAGTCGTCCTTCAATACCAGATCAAGAATGGTCTCGATGTCTCGAGGATGCGGTGCTCCCACGCACTCATAGATCATATCGATATCTACCTGGTCATCTGGACTCTCCAACGCTGCTTTACATGCTTGCAAGACATTAAGAGCTCTTCTCATATCCCCCTTTGATAACTTGAGCAACGCATCTTCGGCCTCAGCACTGATCGATAGGTTCTCTTGCTGGATGACGTTCTGCACTCTTTCACGTATGGCATCCTCGGAGATGGGATTGAAACGGAATCTCGTACATCTCGAAAGCAATGCTGGGTTCAATTTGTGTGAGTAGTTGGCTAAAATACAGAATCTGGTGTTCTTGGTGTATCGCTCAATAATTCTTCTCAACGAGTTCTGTGCGGCCGCAGTCATGGCATCTGCCTCATCCAAGATAATTAATTTGAACCCACGACTGAAAATCTGCATCGTTGATGCAAAGTCCTTGATTTGGTTTCTCACCACATCAATACCTCTATCGTCTGAGGCATTCAACTCCAACACCATGTTCTTGTAGTTGGGGCCATAGATTTCCTTGGCCAATGCGGTGATGGTGGATGTTTTTCCCGTACCAGGAGGCCCGTAGAAGAGAAGATGAGGCAATTTGCCGCTGTGGACAAATTTCCGGACCGTGTTAACGATCTCTTCCTGACCATACACTTCGTCAAGCGACGACGGACGGTATTTTTCCACCCTGAAGGTTAGTAGGAGACAAAATGAAGGAATTTGGATACAGAATTGCGACGTACCAAGGTAAGTTGTCTTTGGTGGACATGTTAAGTGATTCAGGATCTTCTGGGGAGATTAACTGTGCTACGCGTAGAGATGGTTAATAGTCAAGTGCAGGCAAGATGGTCAACTGATTATATTCTTGAAATAGGGATTGGTGACGGGGTGGTGAGAGACATAAATTAGAGATTTGAGTTTACTCAAGGTTAATTTATTCTTCTCTATTTTGATTTGTTTGATTATATGTGTAGTTTGCTTGGTTGGACGGGCATCTTCGCCACTAACACCATGAAGGTTCGAACAGAAGATCCCAGAATATCGTCATAAACATGAACTATTAGCAAAAAAAGTTCCCATTTTTACATGTAAGGCATTTTAAGAATTCTTCAAGTATTATATTCAACTTCACAACTCAAAAGTGAAAAAAAAATGGTAAATCTCTTTGTATAGCGTGTCATCTTTATGCAAGGACAATGCTAATCTTCTCTGTATTGTTAAAATTGACAGATGTACTATCGCGAACGATAGTACGAACGAAACTTTTGAAAGCTGAATATATGAATGCAGTTTCGGTGATATATGCAGTCCGATAAATTTATTACTTGCAAAAGGGTTAATTGACCATCTGTTATTTATATTGATGAGTGAATGTTCATTGAGATTTTATCCGCAACGAATCTTAACAAAAGTGAAGACGATTTTCTCCAATTTATATTATGCTATTAATGACCTACTCACACCATCATCATCGACCCTACAGAGATAAATAACACCACCCACGTCGCAACCAGCAAAATACCTGCTCCACTCTCCACGACAGCATAATGTCCCACGTAATTGCAAGACCCATACTCTGACCCTGTATCCCAATAGTACGACATCTTGATAGAATTGTTTTTTCGTGGACAAACAAACCCAAAAACCGCAGGACAGTCCCGAACCACCGCATAACAAACGTTCACACATGGTAAAACTTCGAAGTAGTCGAGCGGAGGAACGACCTCCTCATCTATGAATGCATTTCGAGACTCGTTGGCTGAACGATGAAGATATCCAGTGATATTTCTCGACGAGCATCTAGGAATGGTCACTGAACATAGCCAGTCTTTGTACAGCTGCTTGCAATCATCACATGTTCGGATGGGAGAAAAGATGGCGTCGCCTGTGGTGTTACATGCAATTTGATCCAATGCCTTAGAGAAGTTGCCATAGAGGGATTTGGCTCGATTATCGTACATCATTCCAAGGTCTAGCTTGGTTTCAGCATCGTCCAGCGTCAGAGCCGGAACAGAATATGCCACCTGGTCACAGAATTCGAGATCATAGATAAGCGCACAGGCCTCCGTGCTCATGGTGTCGAACTGGAACTGCTGATACACTGCACCTCCATATTGTGCATTCGAGTCAACCCCTCCAAAGTCAGACACTAAATACCCGACATACTTGGTACTAGCATTGAGTCCAGTCACCAAAAACTGCTGGTAAAGCCCACCTCCACGCGAAGTATATGATGTAATATAGTTAGTCGAAGCGAAAAGAGCAGGTCCATTCCGGATAGCACACCATGAGCTGCTTGTGTCGGCGAAAAGATCCTTATTTTCGTAAGAATACACATAAAGCTGGTACACCGATAGGGAAGCGTTGTAATTTGCTTGACCTGATGCACCTGATGGAGCCGTGAGGTTTCCCGTGACAATGAGTGCACTTTCGTGGTCAGTGTCAACGACGCTCACAAACGATTCGTCGTCATACTGGAAAACCAAGTCGTTTTGGGAGACACCTATCATATACGACCATGTGGCACTGGTATTGGTACTTTCCGGGGCTTGCACGGCGATGTATAACACGGCAGTTCCCGTCAGCAGAAGCGCAACATCAGTAAGGGCTTGGAAGTACCCGTCTTCGAAGTGGGCCATCTGTCCTACCTCCAAGTTGGTGAACATTGTAGAATTGAACGAGTAGTACACCGTCAAGCTGTGGTTGGCACTTGCAGCAGTGTTGTAGTCCTGAGTACAGATGTTTCCTGTAATGAACACCAAATACTGGTAGTATTCTCCCAAACCAGTGGATGCATTGACATTAAACGAGTAATACTGGAGCTGGCTTTGAACTATAGTGTTGGAAATGGGTTTAAATTCGTGCAAGTAGTCCGAGTCGTCCCTTGGAACATTTTGGATCTGATCTTGAAGATCCAAGGTGAGATTAAACTGGTCTCCCACTAAATGGCCAGTAGCATCTAGAAATGCATAACATCGGGCGATGAACGACAATAATAGAAATACCCAGAACATCCAGGTTATTATGGATTAAGGATGACCAGATGTGAGATAACTAAATCGTTGCCTGTCTATGAAATGTGTGCAGACCATGAGATGTAAGCACCGATTACGAACTGAGGGAATAACACCATTACCAAGTGACGGTGATGGAATGATTGAAAATTCTCAGAACATTATTTGTATTGTAAACTGAAACCGTTCTACTAAGTTGTTCCCTACTAATCATTCTTGACCTATCTTTTCCTACATCCCCATGGTGTGCTACTCTAATAATTAGGTGAGTACATCACCGAATGAATATATATCGTAAACTGCTCTCATGCCTAGAACAACTTCCAGAACTTCTTCTTCTTCTTCTTCTTCTTGTCCGAATCTGCCAGAGCAACTGTGCGAATGTCGGGATGCGATTTGGATGGCTCAAGCTTGACTTTATTATTAGTGGTGTCGTCGTGAGACAAGAACTTCTTCAATGGAGTAACACTACTCTTTGTTCTTCTTGAAGGTTTCTCTACCTCTGAAAACGTCAAAGCTGAATGTTTGGGGGTTTCAGAAGTGGGCGATGTAGTGCCTGAAGGAGGATCCACCAAGATGCTTGGTCCATTGTGTACACCTTCGTCGCTTTTCATAGCATTGAGCTTCAAGCTTCGTTTCAAGTCTGCAATGGAAATTGCTCCCGAGTTCCCTGGCAGCGGCTTTGGCGCTTCCACTGGGGCCAACAACGACTTTGTTTTGTATGGGACGGCACCAAAAGAATTGGAGCCAGTAATTGCCCTTGCAAGTTTTGCACCCTGACCACGAAAGTCGGGATCAACACCGCGAAGATCCTCGCAGAACTCAAGCGACTTGTCGGAGATAGACCGGAGGAAATTGGCAAAGTACTGGTCATCACGAGTATTGGAAGCCAACAGTCGAAGTTCATTGTGAAGCTTATCACGATATCCATCGTAGAGCTCCGCAATCTCCACAAACGAGTCATAGGATTCTGTGGTAGATACGCTGCCTCCACTTCCTTCGCTATGCAACGAGCCATCTGATAGTGACTCTTCGTCGCTGACATTTTGATTCTGTGAGTCAGTTATCTTCATAATAGGCAGATCTGCAGGCTTGGGCAGTTCAACAGTCTTCTTGGAATTGTTAGAGGTTGAAGCGGTCATGCTCGTAGAATTCAGCATTCCAGGAGCAATACCTTCGACCTCATCCTTGAGTATTCTTTCGAAATGGCCCATGTTCAGTGCCGGAACCACAATGACTGGAAGTGGGAAGTTCTTTACCAAACGATCACTCAAACGAGATGAGTTCCACGATTTCAATGGCGCACTGTTCCGGACATTGACTTTCGAGGCTGTAGATACAACGTTAGGCTCATATAACTTGTACATGTCCTTAAGGACATCCTTGGTTGTGCCCTCACAAACTTCAACTGTGATTTTGGCGATGATACCTGGGTTTACCACCTTCATGGCGTACGACATCACGTTAGCTGCAACCTGTTTGATATACTCGGGACGGCTTCTCTCTCGGAATCTCTCACGCAGCTTTAATTTCGCAGGATCACGATTTACGTGAGTTGGAGACATCAGAAACTTATTCATCTTGTTTTTGGGCCCGGGTGGCTGCTTGACAGCACTAACAATGATAACAGTGTCGCCGTGCTCTATGAAAGAGCGGAGAATCCAGTCCATAGCTACCCACGTATGCTGCCTTCCACTGATATACACCAAGATCACTCGTCCTGGCAACACTGGACAGAGTCCCTTGTGCAAGAGCTTGCCAAGGTACAAATCTTCAAAGTGTCGATGCATTTTAGTGAAGGTACATCCTCTTCTAGTAATGATGGGTGTGGTGGGGTACAGCACAGCATTCTGGAAAAGGCGGCTCATATCCATCCCTCGGATTGGCGAGAGCATTCGGGTCGGACTGGCACCTGGTGAAGTGCCTGGAGATCGAATGGGCAAAAGATCTCTATCTCTGCCTCGGCCACGGTAATCCATGTCGTTCAGCATCCGTCTAGGAGGAGAATAGTAGTCGTCATCGGAGAAGTCCAGAGTTGGATCTTCGGCGATCTGAGTGCCGACGGTATCGAAGGAGACACGATTTTGATAGTGGGCGTTATTTCTCGCTGTCGTTCTGAACACCACCGTCTTATACTCGTCGTTAGATCTCTCGTTCAAGAAGTCGAGAAGTTCTTTGGCACTGGACTTATCTCCTGGAAGTCTGTTGTCTATAGTATCGTACTGAGGGCCAGAATTAGTCCTGAATCCCACCAAATCAGGCGACGTAGACATATGTGGGAATGCCGGACGAATCAACGATGGCTTGAGAGTGGTCGGCGAAGGAGATCGAGACATGGTTGCAGAAAGAAACCGTTGGGATGAGAATGCGTCTAGAGGACCAGTTCTGAAAGGGCCAAGAATTAGCAAGTCGAAAGTGAGACAATCGTGATTGTTCTAAAATGATAGGGGCGGTGTGCGATCAAGAACGATTGGCCAGTAGCACGAGGACAAAAATGGCGAGAAATTTGGCGTAGAATGACTAGAGCACTCGGAGGAAACTTATGACTTGAGATGGTGACAAGAAAACTTTCACTGATGCCTAGACGATCCCAAAGATAAAGATAGCTAAGGCTGATGGGGTTTTCTGCAGGAACACTTACTTTATCAGGGCAGGGCTATTGGTGTGGGCGTCAAAAAATGCGGAAAAAAAGGGCCGTCACAATATCCTGCGATCAAATATTGGGCTTCTTGACAGTACTACGATGATTTCATTTGCAAAATTGGCTGTATTGGGACAAGATGGTGAAAGTTTTCCTTGCAGGTCGTACGATGTGTGGAACCAGGCGCGAGCTTCTCTCTACATCAGCCTGTGCATAGACGTTGCATCCAATGAGGGTCTTGATGTCAAATTCCCGGTTGCGACTGGTGGAGTTGGTGAAGTCTAGCAAACGACAGCAAATAGACTTACAAACATCTCCGATGTGTCGACATGCATGGCAATGATGCATCCGTTGGGTGATGCTTTTTCTTTTTGGTAGTGTCAAGCGGCAATACCGCCTCAAAACTTTCGCAACTGCATCGCATCCAATTTTTATATTCACATTGTTTGCGAATTGATTGGATCGCTCTTGTCATTGATGCGCATCGAGGGGAAAAACACATTTGCCTGAAAATACCAATCTCACTCTTTCTTGTCCTCGGACGATGGTCCTGAGTACATAGATGGAGGTGATTGATGAGGTATACCCGGCATTTCGTAGTTTCCGCTTCCCCACTGAAGAGGAGGGAGTCTGATGCCGGGTCCGCCTTGCGACCCCATGTAACCCGCAGGTGTATGAGAAATCGCAGGTGTTCCTGTCATACCCGACATCCGGGCCATTCCTGGTACTCCGGGCATGCCTGCCATACGGGGAAGAGGGCCCCTGGAATCACCGGCAAAAGTAGGAAGCAGCCGATCGGATATATTCGGCATTCTCATTCCTGGAAGTGTGCTTGAATGGAGAATAGGAGCATTCGTAAGATTTGGAGGTGAAGGATTAGTAGTGACGTTTGATGTAGTTGTTTGAGTAGCAAGATTAGGCGTTGAAAGCTTTGTGCTATGTGCACTGTGATATGCTGGCGTGGTCATGGTGGATGGATGTGCTTGACTTGGAATTGCTTGATTCGATGCTTGATTTGCTTGGGCTTGCATAGCATGAGGTCCCGATGGCCCTCCAAGAGTGAGAATTGGCCCAAAGTGAGAATTTTCTCCAGTCGATTGTTTCACAACCGATGGAGAAGCTGATGCATATGAGCTAGAATCACCAGCTACTCCTACTTTGGAGCTTACAGGTGTGGACGATGCACCCCTTGATTGCTTTGCTTGATTCTCTTCAGGCACACCACTAACGAATTTCGGAGCTTTCACATGTAGAGATTCATTCGAGCCGTAGGTGAGCGCACCACCATAGTTGATGGCCTGAGTGTAATTTTCAGGCAATCTCTGACTGGGAAGAATTGGAGGCAGATGCAAGATCGGAAATGTGGACAGAGCCTCCGTAGGTGACGTATACACCAAGTTGCGTCCATCTCCGTTTCCATTGGTTGTCAGTAAGGTGGCCACAGCTTGCTCCCTCAGCAAAGGCAGCAGTGTGGAGTCCTGGCCTCTTCTGGAAGCTCTTGTTCTTGTAACTGGAGGGTCCGCCGTCTCACGACGATACCCAGGTTTCCGTCCCCGAGTATGCTTACGTCTGGGACGACCCCTCTGTTTAGGTGGAGGAGGAGGAGGAAACTCAGGAACACTGGAGGTGTTATTGTCATCTTCATCTTCAGTCTTCGATAGGCCGTCATCGTCCAGCACAATTGGAGAGCCCGTGTGAGATAAACGGAACTCGTTGAGCATCTTGAAGTCAGCTCTTTCGCCCATCATTCGCTTTTTACGAACCAGCTGTAAAACTTTAAACGTTTCTCTAAGCAATCTAAGCCGTTGGCCAACATTAGTCAAATCGTAGTACCAATTTTTTTCCAATACCTGAACATCATTCAGTGAATTCTTTCCATATTCTCCAAGACGATCCAATGACTCTGATATGGGACGTACAAAGAACTCTTTCGACGTCGAATTAAGAGGCTGGACATGTTTTCTCACCACTGGAGGTACAGAAGCCCTTTCTCTACGAGGAGAGGGTGTCGACAGCAAGTGATCTCTTGGATTGTAGGATAAAGTGACGAAGCGGGATGGTGACGCCGAACCCAGTCTCTCTTGGGCCTCGATCCATTTTTCTGGCGTGTAACGTAATACCACCTCGCTTGGATCTGCCATTGAATTGCGAATTAATTTTTTTCCTGGAGAAGCGGAGTGATCAAAGAAAGATGTGGAAGAATATTTGAGTGGGGATCCTTTTAAAGAAGGCGCTAAACGTAACACACACAGACAGAAGGATATGTGTGAGTATGCAAGGAATGCTGTAAGATGCTAGCGGTAAGCAAGATCGGTTGAGTTACGCATGAGGTCGGCGCTAGAGGTTGTGTCTGGCATGCCTGCATGCAGATGCTACACACTAACTCGTGCAGGATGTTGAACTTTAACTGCACAACCTCCAACCAGGGGCCGAATATTGATGATAAGAGGGGAGTGTAGATCAAGAGTAGATTGAGATTGAGTGACAGAGAAATAGATGAATAGATTTCTGACGGAGTTAATTTGCTTGGAAATGAGGACTTTCTGTATGGTTGTCATCACTCTTAACAATGGACGCAAGGTATATTACTGCAGAACGTTGACAGATACCTAGAAAAGTGGAGATGATCCGAACCACCAAAACCATTATTACTATTTGAAGAACCTGATTCATAAAAATTATTGGATTAGAACCTGCAATATCTGGAAACTACTTGTGTTTGCAAAGGAACTCTACACCCTTGCCTCCCGCTATTACACGTGACCCATTGCGACCCTTCGACATAGTCATTTAGTTTAATCATCCATCTCCAGAAGTAATGACTACCTCGGAAATCACAAAGACGCCCGAAAACGAGCCTCTATTGGCTACTGCATCTCAACTCCAGGGATTGGTGGAGTCTTTCATTGAGTTGGGGGTTTTAGTGCACGACAACCAGGGCACTCATCAATCTCACACAGCATTGACCCACAAGACCAACCAGGTAATCAGCCAGCTCTCTGGACTCACCAATAGTCCTTTCACACAGCAGTATCCTATTCCCATTGACGTGATTAGTTACATTGAGGACGGAAGAAATCCTGATATCTACACAAGAGAGTTTGTGGAGGTTACAGCGAAGTCGAACGCCAGACTTAAAGGAAAGATGTTGGGGTTTGCTACGCTTCGGAAAGTGCTTGGAGACAAGTTGGTTGAGGAATTTCCCCATTTGGCTGGTGCGGTAGAGAACATCAATAGTCGAACCGATAGCGCAGGCGCTGGTTGAAGTAAGATTCAAATGATGTGATTGAGAATGACTTAAGATAATCTGAGAGAGAGAGAGAGAGAGAGAGAGAGAGTGTGTGTGTGTGTGTGTCTGTGTGTGTGTGTGATTAGAGACTATCGGATGGATGTGAGAACGAGCATGGTATGGGTGAATGTTAATAGACAACCTTGAATGATAAGATTTAAGTTGTTACGCGGTAGAATAATAAATGATTGTAGCAAAAAGAATGAATGAAAATAATGATTGTATGAATCGGATTAAAAGTTTGATGAATAAAAGAGCATCATTGAATAAAGAGTTTGTAACGATTCAGAGAAGTGCAACATATGCCACCATGATCAAAAATTTAAATACAGTTCTTATCAATTTCATAATACTAGCCACAGCAAGATCTCGTTAATTCAGTAAGATCTTCGATTTAATGCATCTCAATAACTCCCAGATGAAGTCAGCCAGCATCGACAAGTGTGTAAAATCCGCTAAACAGGCGAGCGGTCGTAATACTGCAAACCTCGAACTATACGATGCCGCACTTGCTGGATCTTGACGCTTGGGGCATTTTCGCGTCCTAATGGGATGATGCAGGTCGGCAAACCTAGTCGGCTGGTTCGGTGACTTTACGTCTGCAAGGGATTTTTCTGAAAATCACCGCAAAAATGTATCAAACGATCCTAGTCGCGATTCCTCGGCTTCTTTTCCATCAGTGGTGCTGTTCGCTAATCTCGAATCGTCGATCGCACAAATTGCATTTCAACACCTCCTTCGCGCACTCATGGAAACAAAATATAGTTAGGCATATTATTGACTATATCATTGTAAAGATGCTTTTTGTGAGAGTTTGATTCCCCACTTTAAAACAATCAATGTCTCAGTGGTTTCTGTTAAATCTGAATGGAGAGTCATTATTACTTGCGCAAACACAATCGTTCTGCATATGCAAGAATGGGTTAGTATCCGCAGGGAAAAATAGAATGAACCAATGACCAGATCCTTGAAATAACATATGGAAGGTACGCTGGAAATTTTCTTCATTAACTCACTTTTTCTCTGATCCAATTGAGATTTACCATCTTCCTCAAATAAAAATTATTTGGATTCTTTCCTTTGAAAGGTCACCTATGCACACGTATAGGTTCGTCAATTTCATGTTTGGAGGAGAACATCTCTTTTAGGCGATCTGACATATAAACAACAATCGCGCAGTGTGCGCAATGTAGTGCGTATGGATCTAACTAGCCAGCATAATAATCTCCAGCGTGCGCAAAAGCAAGGAATCTAACATCACAGGGTTTGAAGATGCTGGCGGCCAATTCAATTTTACTCAACGAGGGCTCAAACCGGACAGGCTACTTGAGGGCAATGTACGATCATATAGTCCGTGACCCAGAATATGAGATGCATGCAGAAGATTTGCTGGATAGCCAGATTATTGCTGCAGCATACAGGCGATCTCAAGCACCCATTAGCGCAGGATATGCTAAAGGCGTGCAAATGGCCCCCACTTGTATAAAATATCCACACACCCATAACTTTTGACTCGTAATAAAGCTTTTTCAGTCTTCTAATGCGTGGTCTCAAGAGCTTGCCTTTGCTTGCGGTTGCACCTTTGTTGCAGTCGGTGGTGGCTGCCTCCGATGATGCTTCCACCGTTACTGTTTACGAAACCGTCGATGTTACATATGTGGCTACTATTACCGAATATATATACACCAACACTGGTGGATTGTTGACCACTGACTACGTTACGGGTGCTATCCATGCAATCGTCAACGCCGTGGATGCCTCAACCACTGAGTCCGAGACTAGCGCCACTGAATCTGCTGGCTCCAGCTCTATTGCTGCTGAGACTACTTCTGATTCCATTTCTGCTTCTGTTACAGAGACCACTAGTGCAGCTGAGTCCTCTTCCGCAGAGGTTGTTTCTTCTACAGAAACAGTGAGCTCTGTCGCTTCTTCCGAGGCTGCTGCTTCTTCCGAAGCTTCCTCTTCCTCCGAAGCTGCTGCTTCTTCTGAGGCTGCATCTTCCTCTGACGCTGCTGCTTCCTCCTCTGAGGCTGCTGCTTCCTCCTCTGAGGCTGCTGCTTCCTCCTCTGACGCTGCTGCTTCCTCCTCCGAGGCTGCTGCTTCCTCGAATGCTGCTGCTTCTTCTAATGCTGCTGCTTCTTCCAACATTGCTTCCTCTTCCCAGCCTACAGATGCTAGCGTTGCAACTACCACGGACTCTTCATCCTCCATTACGTCCTCCGCTTCGGCCGCAGTCTCCGTTGCTGTCTCATCCGTTACACCTTCATCCACCTCAAGTAGCATCGACACCTCCATCCCAGCAGGTATCTACAGTGCCTCCACATCCACCAGTACTACTATCTTGGCCGACGGTAACACCGCCGTCTACGAGTTTGTTGTTTTGTACACCAACACATGCTAGAAGAGCAGACCCAAACTCTTCTTTCATTTCAATTCATACGATAGGCTATTTTGGTTGACCCACGAGACGATTGGTCTCTTTCCTTTTTTTATACATAGAACCCCCACCTAATATTAACGCGATACAGTCCTTGTAGCCTATTGTTATTCTGTTTACTGGCCTAGTCTTTGATGATCGTTGTGGATGGCTTTCGATGCCTATGTCGGGTGAATTCATGGATTTGTATTGTGCATGGACCCGCACTACATCCGCGGCCACACCGACATACAAACTGGTATTGGTGCATGGCGCATATGCATGGTAGACTTATGGCCAGTTTTATGTGCTACCTGCTCGTTTCCCAAGATTTCAGATGTGCACACCTCCTTCAAAGATGACTGTTTGCAAAAGTCATTTTGTAGAACGGGTGAAGATTTGAAGAGGCGTGGTATGTCGGTAAGGTGTTTGAAAATGAAGGGACTGGCCAACAATGATTATTAGTGTACAATAAAGAAGCGGAGAACAATAAGGTGAGGCCAAGAAGAAAATCTCTTCCTATGCTCTTTATGAAATGAATTGTGAAATATTAATCTTTTTTTTCATCACTTTCTTTTTCGAAATCGTGTTATCACCTCGTCATACGGTTTAACGCTGTCTGACCACCATGGAAATGAGACAGGATGAGCATAACACTACCATAGAACGCTCTTTGTAGCTATGTTCTCCTACAACATCATTGAACGGCAGAGCCGGTGAGCATTTAATTATTCTTACCATGGTACCATTTTCATTCGCTTTCTGAAAAAAATTATCATCATCTGGTCAGTCTAATCTAGAAGTTCCGAGGTGCTTCTGAGTTTAAAAAACACTAAGGTTACAATCGCGCGAATTGAAATTCCATTTACCCACCTGATCAAGAGACAATGCAATTTGAAACCTTACTTTTAATTTCTTGCACATTATTAAGAATTGTGCAAAATTCATCCAATCGAGATTTTAGGAGTAGTTTGATTTTACTTTTTGGGCTACCTGAAAAGTGGGATTGGAGTTAGAATGTTATAATGAACAAACACTAACAAGAAAAAGAAAAGGGTATACTTGCTGAGAAAAGGGAACCCTTGCCCTTAATGTTCCGAGAATGGAATTCAGATATATGCTCACTAACTCCAGAGGTTGGAAATTATGGAACGCGACTGACATAAACTGGCGACAGTGACATCGTCAGTATCAGAAGAGATAGGCAAGTAAAGTAGGAAACTATCGAATCATAGAAAAGGATTTACATTGTCGATTGAACTCCTTATTTAGAAATTCTGTCCTCAATTACACATGCATGCTTATACTATGTAATTATTGGCGAACTTGTAAGACTTCTTACAATAATAAGCAACACGTGAACGAATGTTACAACAAAAACGGAACGAAAAAATAAACATGAAAGGAGGATTTAAAAATATTTGATATATACAACTATTTGCTAGGAGCGAGGTCCACGAGAGGGTTGCTATCTCTGGAACTCCCCACAGAGACAGTGTTATGAAGATGGCCAATAATTAATAATTTCTAGGACTCTAAAGAATCTCAAGGTTTCGGGATGATTAATATCTTGAGATAGTTAATTTTCCATTTGTTAATAAAGCATCTCACCATGATAACTAAACTTGACTATGATATAGTTTCTAGTAGTAACCACAGAAACGTAAACAACTGAAATTATGTAGCAATAATCTATAACCAGGATCAGCAATTAGTCACCGACCACTACTAACTAGTGATTATTTAGACGATTAAGTCCATCTTCTTTTCTTTATATTATCGCAGACAAGCCTCTTCTACAACAAGTACTTAAGAAATTAGATAGTTTCTTATTACAACATATAAACATAAAAATTAAACTTCCTCAACATGTTCCAAGGAACGCTTGTGCGTCTCAACAGTGTCAAGGTGTCTGTTGGAAAGTTCAGGTGCCTCGTCACCGAAAACTTGTGCCACTTCCTCCAAGGTGTAACCAGACGTCTCTGGGAAAGTGAAGAACACAATGACAAGCTCCACGGCAAGAATACAACAGTACACAATGTAGTACTTCCATTCAATGGCATCCATAGCAATTGGGTTGACGTAACCGTTGTAAACCAAAACGATCATCATGACGAATTGCATGAGATTAATACCCTTTGCTCTGTGGGAGTAAGGCAAAACTTCGGTAATGTACAAAAATGGCAAACCGTTCAAACCAATGTCGTAGAACAAGTAATAGAAGAAGATCATGGTAAGCACACCATTGGCCAAAGACTTATCCTTGAAGTCTCTTTGCTGGTTGAGAGCAGATAAAATTGTCCAAATCACATACGAAAGCAACATACCGGTGATACACGAAACGAACATGGTTCTTCTCTTGAAGAAGCGAACAACAGAGGCACATGTGAGACAGATGACAAAGTTGTAGATCATTAAGCATCCGTTAATTTGCAATTGCTTCTTTTCCTCAGTGATACCAATAGAATTCAAGACTTTAACCAAGTAGTAGGAGACCAAACCGTTACCAGAAAGCTGCATCATAATACCAACCATCACAACCAAGAATCCTCTCTTTCTGAAGTTCTTCTTTGTAACAAAGTCGAAGTAGGAGGTGTTTGCGTGAAGTCTTTCTTGCTCCAAGGCGCTCTCAATTTCTTTCAACTCAAACTCAACCAAAGCGATATCTCTAGGATCCTGGGAGTTTCCAATATGGTGCTTCATCAAAGTCTTTCTTGCCTTATCCACATGGCCCTTGGCAATGTGAAATCTTGGAGACTCAGGAATCATCCAGCAAAAAGCTAGCTGTAAAACTGGCAAAGCACCTTGCAAGTAGGAAGGAACTTTCCAAGAAGCATTTCCATCGATAGTTCTGGTTCCGTAAGTTACCCAGGCTGCCAAGATAGCACCCAAGTACCAACAGATGTTATAAACGAATGTCGAAACTTCTCTGTGTGTAGGGTAAGACAACTCGGAAATCAAAGTTGGGGAACCAATGGTAGCCACACCAGAACCGAAACCAATAATAAGTCTGGAGCCCAAGAAGAAACCGTAACTGTTAGAAACACCTTGTAAGACAGCACCGACGATAGTAAGAGCCTGACCGAAAACAAGAACAAATCTTCTTCCAAAACGGTCAGCCAAGAATGGAGCGAATGGAACAGCAGCAAGAGAACCAAATAAAGTACCGTTACTCAAAGCTCCAAGCTTCTGACCCTGTGGGTGGCCCATAGCAGACTGCCAATGTGACAAAGATTGCAAACCGTTCAACATGGAACCATCATAACCGTTGTTGGTGGAAGTGATGGTGATCAAGAAGATGACCCAGGCCAACTTTCTCAAGTGGGACACCTTGTACCAAGGTCTAGTTTCAGCAATATAGTCATGAACGGACAACTCGTGTCCCTCAACAATGTGCTCGTCATTTGTTTGTCTCTTCTCGATTGGAGACTCCGATCCAGAACGGTCAGTCATATGAATTGATTAAAGATGGTCAATATATTTAAGGTGATGCTAGCCAAGACGTCGGTATTTATATTTACGATTTATATTCCTCGTCCCACTAGCGACACGGTAACCCCGCTACATCATGTACCTGTGTAGTTTCATTCGGGCATTGAACGGCGTGAATTGCAAAAATGGAAGCTTCCCAGTTGACTCCAAGTGGAGGCGGCGTGTGATGAAGCCCTGTACAGCGATGTTTTTCCGAATTGGTGATCTCCATGCACCCCACAGTTTTCTATATGCGCCTATGGTCATTTATTGTTCTCTCAATGTACGACTTCAACTTCGAGTCTCTGTGAAAACCTGATCATTGTACACTTAAGTCTCATTTGACACAATTTGTGAGCCCGGAACTTAGCTGTCAAGCATTTTCTGGGTGACGGGGCCAAGTAATTTTTCGTGCAATACCAGAGCGGTGACTGACAACTTGCATGGTAGTGCAGAGGGTATGAAGGTGTTACAGGAACCAACAATATTTTTAGCTAGTTATTTCCTTTTTTGGACGGCATGACTGGGGTAAAGTTGGGGTCGAGTGGGGCGATTTCGGAAATCACACACCTCCTCCCACCACTCATGCCTCTTCGGTCCCGAAGAATGATCAATCCGGAGATTCAACGCTCACTCCGTCCACTTGTCCCCTGGGTAAGCTTCCTGAACAGGAGTTACATACGACACTTCTGACAAGGACTCGGAACTTCCAGCTCATTAACAACTGTTGTACGACTCATTCTTTTTTTTCTGGAAAAACTACAGGAGTAAATTTTGTATTTGAAACGCATGTTGAGCAATCGCTCTGTGGTTTAGTCATTGGTTGGTTACGGACCCAGAAAAAATGATATAGTTGTCAAGGACAAAATTCCCAAATTGCATACAAAGAATTTTCAAGGATGCATGCCCTATCAGGGTGGAAGATCCGGGACAGCGGAACACTTATTGGTTCATTGTTTGTTTGTAGGTGAAATCCGACAAAAGTCACCTGGGTTCTTATCAGACAATGGCCAACTATTTCGTAAGGTAAACCATCGATACCCCTCCTTCCCTTCCCTTTCGTAAGTTGTTTGCTAATTCTCACAGTTGCCCAGCCTTTCAAAATTTACTGATCTGCCTATTGTCCCTTTTGCGTAATTCTTCCGCACCCTCCCACCTTGCATGTCTATCAACTTTGCCCCACCTTCAAGATTCTCGACGACAAAGTTCCGACAATTTTTTTTAAGTCAATTTGACTTGTCCATTTGGTTTTTCGAAGCCCCCCATGGTTTTTTTCTTTCTTTTTCTTGTCAGATAATGATCAAATTTTTTCTTGTGGCGCAGAACTTTCAGCGAAAATGCAATACGAGTTAAATGCTGACTGGTCATTTTTTGCGGATAAGTTTTTGAAATTTATTTCAAAATCTTAGCTATAACCACAACTATCAGTATTGTTAATCTGCATTTACTCAAAGGAGTATCTTCAAGTGATACTGAATCCGTAAGGTCCAGGTGTCTTTGCCACATTAGTCATTAATTTATTTTGTTTCACACAAAGTCAATCCTTTTGCATTGTCAGGAACTTCCATAATATTCTGGACACCTCCCCACATTGGAATCCAAACTTTTCATTTGGACCCCTTTTTTTGCAGATATTTTATGATAATTTCTAATCGCCATTCTACAACACAAATTTATGCAAAACTTCAACATTTTATCACCTTGCAAGTTTGTTTATTCTACAATCTCACAATAATTTATCGATTCAGTTGGAACATTTTGCCCTAATTTAACCACATTACAGCTGTGCCCACTGGTGCGCTTATTGCTGCTTGCACTCCGGAGGGTTCTCCTTAGGGCCCTTCTCGTTGATGTCGTCGTCATCTTCCTGCTCGTCGTCTTCGCCTTCTTCGCTGTCGAACTCCTCCTCGTCCTCGTCAGCAAAGTCTTCAGGGAATCCATATCCAACAGCATCTCCAGTGAACCAGTCGATGGCACGTGGAATCAAGCGGTCTTTGATCTCCTCTCCCAACTGGTAGTCCAACTCCAATCTCTCCTCCAAGTCTGCGTCCTCATCTTCCTCCTCTTCCTCTTCGTCTTCCTCGTCAGCCTGTGGAGCCTTTGGTGGGTCGAAGAAGTTGAAGAACGATTCAGTAGGCGTCAACTTCTCGATAGTACGTGTTTGCTTGGTGTTCTTGTTTCTCTGTTTACGTCTCTCGATGTTGATGGTGACGTTGTTCTCCTTGGACTTCCAGTTGATCTCGCATCCATCTGCATGGTCATACACGAAGTCTCCGGAGTAGCCCAATTCTGCTTGGTAGTGGTAGGTCTTGGTCAAAACCTGGTTAGAAAAGAACTCGTTTTGGTTGAACTCGAAGATCAACTCGAATCCTGGTGTCTCCAAGTATTCCATACGGATATCCTTCAACTCCTGCAAGATCTCACTATCTCTCTCAGTAATGGTCTCGCTGACGGTAGGCAAATTCTCTAAAGCAGTCAACCAGAATCCTGGAATGCCTTTGACGGAAGAAGCGGCATTCTCAGCATCATCTTCCTCTTCTTCCTCCTCCTCATCTTCATCCTCATCTTTCTCCTCCAATTCCTCTCCAACCTCGATTTCCTCAGTGGTTGGCTCCAGTTCTCCATTCACAATTGCCTTTCTTCTCTCGTACAAAGGCTCATATTTCTTAAAGTACTTCTTCTCCAACTCCAACAACTCCTTCTGGAATTGCGCCTCCAACTTCATCTGCAGCTGCTGGACTGCCTTCAATCCCAAAACACGCTTCTTAACGTGGCGCGACAACTGGTCAATGTATCCACTCTGCTGACCCACGAGAGTACCCAACTTGCCCTGGATCATCAGCAAAAGTGCAGGGTTGTTGGCCAACTGCTTCGTCAAGTTGTTCTCATCCTCCTCAGAAATGGTAGAGACAGATGGAGGCTGTTGCTTGAGGTACAGGTTTGCCACAGATGACGGCGTGTTCTGAGGCGTTGGAGCCTTGGAGATATCGCCGTGTTTTCTGATGGGTTCAGACATGATTAGTGGTTTAGTTGAAGATTGATGGAAGTTTGGGAAAAAGAAACTGAGGGACCCTCTTGGTCACGTGTCATCCCACATCCTTCTTTTGTGTTTAACTGGGAAGAAAATGGAAAGAACAGGCATTTTTATGTATGTGAATTATAAATGGTGGTTAAGTAAGTGGCGTTCATTTTCTAGGACTGAATTTTTTATTGAAATCTATCCATTTTAGATGTTTTCAATAGGTGGTTTTGTTTCTGAAGTCCACATGGCCAAACGCGCAATTAACACTAAATAGGCAAAAACGATATCATTGAGAGCAATACAAAAGATAACGAAGAAAAAGTTGTTTGAATCTCTTTGTGGTAATCCCTCCTTTTATCTTCTTTTACTTTTATTTTAATTTTCACAAAATGTTTTTGATTACTTTCGGGAGCCTCCCGATTTTTGGTCACCTCAAACTTTCTCGTTCTTCCATTAGATTGTGTTAATTATGCCTACGCACAGTATCCATCACTCATTATATTCATAACTCAAACGACACAGATTCAGACATCTCCACACTCTCGGGTATGTCGTCATACCTACCATCTAAATACTTCTCGATATCTTCCTTTCTCTTCTCCCAATCCAGCACTTTTGCCAATTTCTGCTCGATTTCGTGGATCTCGTTATCAATAGACTTCAAATTCTCCTCCGACGTCAAGTCATGGAAAATCCAGTTGCCTGGATCGCCCTTCTCGTTTTTGATCTCCAAAATAAAGTCGTGGTACTTCATAAGAAGCGGTCTGTGCGACAACGTGATGAAAGTAATCTTCTTCCTCTGCAACAACTCAAATAAATAGTCCTCCACATCGGTACTCACGGCGTTGGTGGACTCATCCAAAACAACGAACTTTGGGTTTTTGAAAAGAACACGCGCAATGCTCATTCTCTGTTTCTCTCCACCACTGAAGACGTCTTTCCAGTCTTTCTTGACGTTGAAATTGCCCTCTCTAGTCAACAAATACTCCAACTTGACCTCACGTAAAATATGGTACAAGTGGTCATCATTGTATCCCATTTCGAACATCTCATCGTAGGAGTATGGGTAGATGATCTGGTCTCTCAAGTTTCCGTTGGTAAAGTATGTCTTTTGAGGCAAATAGAAGATGTCTTCGTCGCTGGGCTTGGATAACAATCCATTGTAGAGCGGCCACAAACCGGCCATGATTCTGGCTATCGAAGTCTTTCCACATCCATTAGTTCCCAAAATCAAGAGATTTTTGTTCTCAGAAATGTGGAAATTCAATTTATCCACCAACTTCTCACCCTCGGAACCTTCTGGTCCTGGAATGATCACCGGGATGTTCTCAAAACGAACTCCGTTAATAAAGTTTCTCTGGATAGTACCGTGAATATCATTTGGCCCAAGCTTGGATCCATAATTGAAAGTAGGCGAGTGGCACATGTGCAAATTAGTGAGCAACGTGAAGACTCTGTCTGTGTAACCTGTAAGCTCCGAAACATCTTTGATAGAGTACATCAATCTGGAACCGGCATCTGCCAAAGACAACAATAATCTCTTGTTAATGATAAATTGTCTCATATTCTGCTGTTCACCCAGAGGGTCTTTCTTAGCCGAAATTGGAGGAGCTTCTCCCTCATCGATATGATCGTGACCCTCGGAAGTGGGCCACAATTCCTCCAAAAAGACAGGCAACCCAGCAAAGACATAACCCCACGCAGACCAGGTATATTTCAAGACGTAGTCTTCAAGAGTGGAGTATGAGAAGGATATATTGATCTCTTTGTTGATGTGGCCCATTAATTCATCGAATGTTTGACGCAATTTCGACTTCTCAATCACAGAGCCTTTGTAGAACCCAATTTCCTCGGAGTTGGTTATAAGATTCAAGTGTTGGTTATAGTACTGGCCCTCCAAGTGAGTTCTGCGAGCAGATAACTTACCAAAGGATGGAGTGAACTGTTTAAGGACGAATGCTGTCACGAAGTAGTTGGCAAAAATGCCAACAATGGCACCAGTGCCCAAGTTATCTCTCAAATAGACGGAAAAGAACACCAAATCAACCAATGGTTTGCCCATACTGGAGAAAAGCCCACAGATGGAGTCACAGAACTTGGCAACATCGTTAGTAATATACTGATCGATGTTCTGAATCTCGTTCAGGTTAAACAGAATCTTATAGTATGTCATGACCTTGTCCAAATAAATGTCATGGATGTAACGAATCAAGTTTGTTCTGAAACTCAACGAAAGCCTGTTCGTCAAGTACTTGATGGCTGCATTGGTGTAAGAGGCCGGGAATGCAATCAAGATCCAGTAGATCAAGTCACGAGCAAATTTCTTCCCATTGGCAGAAATCAAGTTTTTAACAATCTGACCGTCGAGCTTGGCCACAATCAAAGACAACCATGTTCTCAAAATCAAGAAAAAACACTGTGAAAGCAACAAATATGTGTTCTTACAGGAGAATTTCGGGATTAGAATACGCCAAATGATCACTAGCTGATTCAAGAACTTCAGATTCAAGATGTTGTTCTGTCTCAACTTCTGATCAATGTAGAAATTTTTGTAAAGATACTTGTCAGACGCATACTGGTCCATGTTTGGTTTGGGGATGATAATACGGCTGGTTCCGTTTCTTCCCTTCGGGATAAAGATCTCTCTAGCACCATTCTTCAAGATGGTGGAAGACTGACGAATCAAAGCCGGCCGGTTCTGGGTGCGCTTGTACTGGTAGTCGTTGTACGAATGGATCAACAGGCGGATGGCAAAGATTGCACCTATTCCGAAAGTGGAGATGATGGTGCCAAAAAACAAAACCACAGGACGACTCTGATAGTTGATGGTGACCCGGTTGTCTTTGTAAACGAGCACAAATTCCTTAAGAATCATCAAGAGACGGCGCATGTCTTCACGCGTGTAGCTTGTGAGACGTGAGATATGCACCATCTTGAGAAACTGGTGTAATTGGCAGAAAGAAAAGTGGTTGTAGCAAGAATCTAGAATCTGGAGAACAGAGTGTAGATAGTACCCCACACTGAGAAATGGGGAGGGGCACCAAATAAAACGAAAAGGACTTTTAAAAATTCTAGAAATTTGGGAGATATGAGAACGAGCTAGAGATTTTGATTCCGGGTTTAAAAACATATTTATATGAGTTGTAGGTGGTGGTTAATGTGATCGGTTTGTGGACATTATCACATGGGGCGACATGGATGTAGGACCGAGAACAATAGAGTAGATGAGCAAGGTTAAGGTTGTAGGATTCGGATTAATATGTTATCAATCAAGTAAGGCTAGTAATGATTTAGTCATTCTTAGTTGTTGTTTTTGAGTTTAATTTATGGATTTTAGAGTCTGGGACTCAAATAGTGTTGATGGTGGTTTTACGTGATTAATGGAGTTTCAGTGTAGATTGCGATGACTGCACCAACAGGTACCTGTAATCACTCATCAGAAGGTAATGGCAATTTGATATCGTTTAAGTTATTAATATTCAACAATGAAAAGAAGAAGAGCATCTGCCGTAAAAACACAAAAATTAATTACCTTCTTGTTTTTCCCTCTTCGCTTACTCTTCCTATTCTTATGTTGGTGGATACTCGTTGTCATTTGTTCTATATACTTGATCCAAGTCACCAACAAACACTAGGGCGTGATACAAACAGGGTGTTGTAAAGAAATCGCTTTAATTCAAAGTCAAAGCAACTGTATTTCATCTTTGGTTATAATTCATAGATAGCTGGAGAATTTCAATAGACAGCGATCCAATGAACATCCAAAATACTCATATCTGCTAGAGTCCATAATTTTGGTCGTGGATTCATGTCTACTATAAATCAGACTTCATCGCATGTTTCATTCTCCCCTGTTCTTCTCTTCTTCTCTTCTTCCCTTCTTCCCTTCTTTACTCATTTCTTGCTCACTTCTTCATGGCTTTGGTCACACATGCCTTGAACGCATTAAACTCCTTCTCACACACATCCTTGGAGATGTTATTATATGTCTTGAGAACACATTGGCCGTAGGCAGCACCGAGCTCCAGACACTGGGCGCTGGCTTGCATAAGGCGAGCCGCTGGTCTAACTTTGGTCATTGTAGTAGTTGAGATAGAATATGTAGGAAGGTACAAGATATAGGTTTATCGATGGTTCCGCAGAAATCTCAAATCAAAGAATTCTATTATTATGATGCCAATTCAACTTTTCAATTTCATATTTTAAATGCAATTCCATCTTCTATTCCATTTCTCCTTTTTCTTATTTCCATTTGTGGTATGATTAACTCAATAATCTTTGATATCAATTTTAAATTCTTTAAATATTCAGGTTTATTAAATTTTGGTTATATTTTATTATCTTTAATATCATTTGATATTTCGAGTCCTTAGAATTTCAATTATCAATATTCCTCTATGTTCCTACTTATCATTACTAAATGTTCATAATGGAGTCTTTTCAACTCCACACCTTGTCTATCCTGTCTATGTATAAATATCAAAACTTCTGCTCCACCAGGTACACCAACTTCATGGCCTGTTCCATGAACATCAACGTCAAGATCGAATGAGGTCCTACTCGGAATAACTGGGCCCAAAATCCCTTGTACAATGCAGTGGGTCCCTCGGTCTTGATTGTCTTTGCAAAACAGTCCATTGGTCCGCTGTACAAGTCACCCTTCTGGTTGTACAATCTAGTCAACACCACATCCCATGGGTTCATGACAATGGCCACTCCCAAACCGGCTGCAGAAGACGATACAAAATGTAACCCAATAGAGCCATCCTCCAACAAGTTGTGCTTCAACAAATAGTTTTTAGTCAAGTTGTACACTGGTAACTGGGCCGCAGAGCCTGCTCCGGTTCTCAACACTGCGGCATCGGTGCCTCTGAACAAGCCCTTGATGCCTTCAGCCGAGTAAATCTTGGTGAGACCATCAACGACACCCTTGTAGTATGTTTGCTGGCCCACATTGACCTTCAAACTGGAGTTTGCCTTGTTGAAAGACTGCATTCTTGTCTTAATCAAGAAGAACGGGTTGGCGATGATGGCACCGGCAGAACCCGATAAGAAACCGGCCAAAACGTTGATTAGCAAGTTCTGTGGAATCTTTGACACGTCATCGTTGTAGTGAGCAGGATGCAAAGTTCTGGTCAAGAGCTTTCTGCTTGGCTCATACAAACCAATTCTACATCCATTGAGTCCAATCTGGTACACGTATCCACAGATCAAGCCCTGCTGCAACCCACGGAGTCCCTCGTTCTTGTAGATGACCACCAGCGCCTGCAAAGGGTTTTTGTAGAGTTTTGGAGCGTCAGATTTGGCTGTAAGCTCACCTTGCAACTGCATTCTTGTCTTGATGAGCTCGATAGGGTTTGTGAAGGTGACGGCACCACATGCGGCGATTCCACCGGCGATGAAGCCACCAAGGGTGGAAACTTCCTGCGAGATCGGCTTGCTTTGGAATTTTTTCGTCATGGACGATGAAAAGTAAAGAAGGTGATAAGTTCGTGGAGCTAATCCGGTGCGAAACCGGCGAAAATTTTCAATAACATAGGCAAACTGGATAGAGTATAGAGGGAGAGCAAATGGGGAAAAAAAAGCTGGCAAAGAACAATACGTGATTAAGGAATGGTGTTTTGCAAGGTATTCTGTAAAAATGAAAATTGATAAAAGCTTATGGATTTTTTGACATATTCTTGGTCATCTGCGATCAGCCAGACTGTAGACAGCGACTAGTCATGGAGTGTAGACAGAGACTGTAGTATGAAGTCAAAGAACACTATTGTGAAGGTTTCCTTCATTGTAGTAGTACATTCATCGAATGGCAAGAACGGCTGTATTCAGCCGTTAACTGATTTTGAATTTTTCTCGAGTTTCGACCACTTTGTCATTCCATCGTATAGCATTTTCGTGTTTATCTTGACGCTGGTGGTATTACCATTTGGTGCTATCTGTCGTAGACAATTTACGATTCTCTCGCAGTTTGAACCTCGCAAATTATCCACTCTGCGTTCCCTGTCATGGATAATAACTCCGAAAATCATTAGATTTAAAACCGCTTGATAAAGCCGTCCTTGGCAAATTCCTCAACTAAACGATTCTTCGCTCGTAATCTCCATCGCCACCATCACGTTTGTGATCTCGACATTCTAGACTCATCTTGTTTTCTCCCCCCATATTCTCACCATATTTATACCCTCGTCCTCCCCACATTGCTTGCCGCACCCACCACTTTCTTTCCAATGGGCTACCCTTCTCCAATCAAACCTGCTATTCGTAAACTCTCGGACAATGTTGTCACAGTGTCTTGTCCGTTCTCCATCTTGAACCGTTTCGATGTTGGCGCCAGAATGACGTTATTCAACTTCGACGGTAACATTGTGGCCTTTGCTCCCCTTCCATATGGAGACTACTTGAAGGATGCCATTGAGGTGTTGACAGGCGATGCCAATAGCGATGCTACCATCACGCATCTAATCATCCCTAACCATGAGCACAATCTAGCAGCTAAGTCCTACAAGCCCACCTACCCCAATGCAAAGGTGATTGCAGGCTACAACGTCAAGTTGGGCGAAGCATGTCCTGTTGACTATATTCTTTCCGAGGAATTGGGCAACAAATTGTTAGGCTCTAGCGAGTTATCCATTTTGGGCTTGTCCGAGTCTTGGTTGGACGACTTGAAGATCATCTTTTTAGCGCATAGTATGAACAAGGATGTAGTAGTCTTCCACAAGCCTTCGAAGTCGATCTACCAGGGCGATGTGTTCTTCAACATTGGCGCTCGCGACGAAGATGAAAGCATCGAGCAGTATTCATCAGCCACCGGATATCCCGAAAATCACTATCCATTTACCGGATGGTCGTACTTGTTTAGATTTTTGAATCCATCCAGCACGTTGGGATCATGGCTCAATGGAAAATTCTGCAAAGCCGGTGACGAGAAGTCAAGGGAAGGTCTTGAATTGTTGCTGAGCTTGGATTTTGATGTGGCTGTGCCATGCCATGGAAACATCATCACAAAGGATGCAAAGGAGGTGTTTAGAAAGACACTGGGCTTGTCCAAGTTCGAGTTGAAGAGCTCTCTTTGATTGCCTCAGGAACATTGAATGATGCAGAGTTGCCTTGAAGTATAGTTTAATGTTTCGCTGGTCTGAAAGTTATGTTATTCAACACGTAATAAGAGAGTATATGAAATCAACGATTCATAATTCGACATTAGGTAATGAAAAGGTGAAACTTTTTCGCTTCAGAGAACGGAGTTGCTATCTGACTAATTAGTAATTCACACATTAATAACCTCTATAGATCGTGATTATGTAAGATCTGGAACCAGGTCGTTAGCTACAAAGAATACACAATATCTACCATAAACTGCATATCCTCGAGGTTTCAAGCCCATTTAATCCATTTTTATAAATATGAATATAAACTCTCATTTCTCAACTTTCATTTTCATCGTTCGTATTTCTCATACTTCGCTGATCCTCACCTACACCTTCATCTCAACCTTCACATTGTGCGAATCTTCACCTTACCACCAATGTTGAGATCTAGACCTGACAATAGGCTATTCGGCCAGTTGCATCGTCGGTTTTTGGCGACGGCAGCCCCTTCACAAGCCCATATTTTGGCAAAGTATCCCATTGGTCTCCTGGTGCATGGCTTCACCATCGAAGATGTGCGTCCAGTGCCGGAGTTTTCGTTGGTTGCCGTTAAGTTAAAACATCCCAGAACTGGGCTGGAACACTTGCATTTAGACTCGCCTTCCGACAAAAACAATGTGTTTTCTGTTGCCTTGAAAACAAACCCTCCAGACTGTTCCGGTGTGCCTCACATCTTGGAACATACGACGTTATGTGGATCATACAAGTATCCTGTAAGAGATCCATTCTTCAAGATGTTGAATCGTTCTCTCAGTAACTTTATGAATGCAATGACTGGTCACGATTACACGTTTTACCCATTTGCAACTACCAACAGAAAGGACTTCGACAATTTAATGGATGTATACTTATCGTCAGTGTTCGAGCCATTGTTAACTTACGAAGACTTCCTGCAAGAGGGTTGGCGCTTGGAGCAGAGTGATTTGGCTGATAAAAACAGTCCTCTTGAGTTCAAGGGTGTGGTGTACAATGAGATGAAGGGCCAGTATTCGAATTCCAGTTATCTCTACTGGATCAAATTCCAGGAGGCAGTATACCCATCGTTGAAAAACTCAGGTGGAGATCCGGCAAAGATTACCGACTTGCACTACGAGGACTTGGTGGATTTCCACTCGTATAACTACCATCCATCCAACGCTAAAACTTATACTTATGGATCTTTCCACTTGAATGAGCACTTGCAGAAGTTGAATGAGTTCTACCAGAATTTCGGAAGCCGCTCGTCGAGAAGAGATGTTAAGAAATCAATTTTCCAGACCATGCCAGATGTAAAGTCTCATAATGTTGAAGTCACTGGACCTGTCGATACCATGACTTCCAAACCGATTGATGAGCAGTACAAATCATCCATTACTTGGTTTTTAGGAAATCCATTGGAAGAAGACGCTCAATATGAGATCTTCAAGTGGAAAGTGTTGAATTCATTGCTTTGCGACGGCCACAATGCACCCTTTTATCAGGAGTTGATTGAAACTGGTTACGGAGAAGATTTCTCGCCAAATTCTGGTTTGGATCAAACCACTGCGCTTTTGGGTTTCACGGTTGGTGTCAATAACTTGACTTTGCAGAAAGTTGAGGAGCTTGAAAGCAAGATCTTGAATATCTTAACTGAGAAGGTCCTTCCTGAACTTGCAAAGGGGGATGCCTCTGTGTTCCACGAAAGAATAGAGGCTATCCTCCATCAGTTAGAGTTGGGATTCAAGAAGCACAGACCAGAATTCGGCTTGGGCCTCTTGAACTCGATCGTCCCCTCTTGGGTTAATGGACTCGAACCTATTAAGAATTTGCAAGTGCAAAACATCTTAACTAGGTTTAAGGAAGACTACGAAGCAAATGGCTTGAAGCTTTTTGCAGATATCTTGAAAGACACAATTCTAAATGAGAATACTCCAAAACTCACGTTCACCATGAAGCCGGAAGCTGACTACAACGAACAGCTTGCTGAAGCAGAGACAGCAAAGCTCAAGAGCAAGGTTGAGATTCTTACTGAGGAGGACAAAGACATAATATTTAAGAGGGGTCAGGAACTTTTAGCTAAGCAACAGCAGCCAGCAGATGTGTCCGTCCTACCAACTTTGACTATGTACGATATCCCAAGAAATGGTGATTTCTACCCCTTGTCCTTCTCTGATTTGGCCGGGAATGGTGGAAAGATCCAGAAAAGAGTTGTGGACACCAATGGCTTGGTCTATGTTAGCGCTGCCAAGAACATTTCGTTCATTCCTCACCGTCTTTACAAATACTTACCGTTGTTCAACACCTGTTTGACCAACTTGGCTGGAACTGACACAACGCCTATCACTGAATTAGAGAATAGAATTCAGCAAACTACTGGAGGTATTTCTTTTTCTGTCACTGCAAAGGCAGACCCATACAACATTGGTAATGCGCAGATTAAATTTGTCATGTCCGGAATGGCACTCAGAGAAAAGTCCGACAACATTTACAATCTCTGGGATGAAATCTTGAACCGTACTAAGTTCACCGAAGAGGAGGCTGTTCTCGACAAGCTCAACACTTTAGTGAAGAACTTGGGCCAGAATCAACTAAACATGATCGCAGATAGGGGACACTCCTATGCCAATGCTTATGGCAATGCACAATTAACTCCAGCTAAGCAAATCAACGATTTACTTGGGGGAGTGGAACAGGTTAAGCTTGTTAGTGAATTGAACAAGAAATTGGACGAACAAGGTAAGGAGTTCTTGAAACAAGAAGTGTTGCCAATTTTGCAAGAACTCCAGCAATTGATCTCCAGAGGGTTCACAGAGACCGAAGCACATGGTTTCAATTACAGCATTGTTACAGACAAGGAAGGAGTGAAAGAGAATGAACAACTTATTGAAGCATTTGACAAAAAATTGAGTGGCTCAACCCAGTCGCATACTGATCAATTGTCTGAGTTCATTGCCAGCTTTACTGCGCCAACCCCTAACAAGACTATTTTGAATTTGCCGTTCCAAGTAGGTTATGCTTCGTTGGCTAAGTTAGGATCATCTTACACGTCAAGGGACGGTGCAGCGCTCCAGGTTTTGTCTCAGATTTTGACATACAAGCACTTGCACTCTGTTATCAGAGAAGCCAATGGAGCTTACGGAGGAGGGCTTAACTATGACGGATTGGGAGGTACTCTTAACTTCTACTCCTATAGAGATCCTAATGCCATCAAGTCTACTCAGGCTTTTGCTAATGCTTACAGTGCAGCGAAGAAGAACCTCGCGGATGGAAAATGGGAGTCTAAGGATTTGCAGGAGGCCAAGTTAGCGATTTTCCAGAGCGTCGATGCGCCTAGCCACATTTCCAGCCAGGGTTCCGGTCTCTTCTTGGAGGGAATATCTGATGAGATGAGACAAGAGAGAAGAGAAAACTTCTTGGATGTGAGCCTCCACGATCTTCAACATGTCAATGATAAATACTTGGGAACCAACGAGCAGGATGTCTACACTGTTATAGGAGATGCTGCTGTTTTGGGCGCCGATTCAGAATGGAAAGTGAAGGATTTCTAAATGAATAATGGAGGAATACTCTGTTGGAGGTGAACCACCATCACCTACTTGTATATACCAAATAACACATCTATATTGACCGAATTCTATGTACATGAAGTGAAAGTGCGCTCACACACGGTGGCTTCTGTTGTAGTCCTTGGCGACCAAGTCTGGCACCTTCCTCTTTTTATCCTCTGTGAAAAGACAATGTCTCTTTGCTCTAGGGTCATAGAGGATCAAGTTGAGTCTCTGCGAGTGTCTTGGGATCTTGAACCACTTCTCATAGCCAGTCTTAGCCGCAGAGATGAGCTTGACCATGGTGTGGGTAGTTTTTGCTTTGGCAGCCATGGTTGGATATGATTTATTCTAATGCTTGTAGAAGTTGTAGGTGAGAAAATTTGTATGGAGACACCCGTACATGCGAGAACTATCCAAGTACAGAGAAGCTGAATGATTAGGGACGCAAGATAACTTGAATTGAAAGTTTTTCAAAATGTTTTGTGACATCCAGTACTGCTGATGATTTTCCTATTCTTTTTGATTTCAATCTCTTTTTCCATCAGTATGGCCAATTCACTAAGTAGCTACTTTTGCACCGGACATTATAGTGCACTACATATACACAGTACGTGTACACCTTAAGTATGATACGAAGTTATAGACTATTCCATGAAAGCAAAAGAAAAAACCACTTTTCAAGGCAGAATTAGGTCCCCTATATATATTAGCAACCACAAAACCACCCAACATTTATAAAAATGCCCATAAAGACCCACCCCATATCAAGATTCAACCCCCCACCTTGGCAGGCTCGCAACGTAATCCTCCATAAAAATTCGGCGCGCGACTGACACGAAATCACAACTCTCTTTTCCACTTCTTGAGCAATCATGTTCTACGACTTGTGGCTAGTGCTAGCATTGTTGAGCAGCGTCGTGTCGGCGTTGCAGGTGGAATTGATCGCACGTGAAAACCCAGAGCCCGTGTGTATCAGAGACTTTGTTGGCCAGAACCAACTCGTGGTTGTCAACGTGAAAACCGACGGTTTCCAAGGAGACGGCCAGAAATTGCAGATGACCGTGTACGACACTCTCGGCAACCAGTTCCACAAGAAGAACGACATCTCCAAGGATCTCAGAGTTTCGTTCACTACGCATGAGGCCGCAGCCATCGATATCTGTCTTACCAACTTCTTGGATAGAAACAAGAAGCAGAGAACGTACTTGAGCAGACACGTTGAATTGGACGTGGAGAGCGGAGCTTCTGCCAGAGACTGGAATGTGATGCAGACCGAAGAGAAGTTACGTCCTGCTGAGTTGGAGTTGAAGAAAATCGAGGAAATGACCAGGGAAATCGCTGACGAGTTGACGTACTTGAAAGTACGTGAAGAGAGAATGAGAGACACAAATGAGAGCACCAACTCGAGGGTCAAGTGGTTCTCAGTACTCATTATCTTGCTGTTGGTAGGTTTGGGCGTGTGGCAGATTCAATACTTGAGACACTACTTCAAGGTCAAACACATCATCTAGGTGCTTTAAAATACAAATATAGGCTTATCTGAGCGATGCAACGCCGTCTTTGCCATGAGGTGGAACACACTCTTGTGGCCACGCTTGTAGTTGCTGACTTCTTCGGTGGAGAGCTCAAAATTTATATCTTCCGCTCGAATGTCTGCATCCTCCGATCGACTGTCGAGGAATTCATAATAAAACCGTGTAGAATTAGCGTCTGCTTGGCGTGCTGCCTTCAATATGATCCGGAACTGCGTTTGTAGGTCTGCTTTCATAACCTCCATGAGCATTTTGTTTAGCATCCATGAGACGAGAAACTCTACCTTCGTCCATTTATCCTTAAATTCAGCAAAGCTTTTATAGCTGAGATCGTCAGAGATGCTAGAGAAAAGACGCTCGCTGGTGAGTGTCTCACACACATTTTTAACGTTTGATTCCATCTTCGCTTCTTGAACCCAACTAGGAAACTTCAAATTCGTGACTTTACCAAGCAACAGATTCACAAGTACACATTCGAACTCAAGGATGAGTTCAACGGGAACATTTTGTATCGTCATATTGAAACAACGGAAATATACCGCCAAATACTCCATCTCAACCTCGGCTAACTTTGAAGTCAAATTTGCTACCAAATCCTCCACATTTGAAGCCAGAAGGTGACCGTGAACATACAAGAGACACAGGATTAGCCAGCGTAGCTCCATTGAGCGGTGATTATCTGTAAAAGAAATCACCTGCTTGCATCTGGAAATCAGAATAGCTGGATCATATTTGATTAAGAGCCTTTCTCTGTCATAGCAAGGATAACACTTCGAATTGGTTGGAATTCCGAGACCCGTAAACACATACTCCACTGCACGATCGTACCAGTCCTGCTTTGGCCCTAGAAGTGCAAGAAGTCGATCAAGTAGAAAACGGTTCTTACTTGATGGTTTCTGGCAATCTACTGCGAAGTAGTTGAAGAGCATCTTGAAAAAACCTTCGTAAGTGACATAGATACAATGAACGTTGGTTTGAGAAGAATTGAAGAGAAAACGTTGATACTGAGATGCGGAATCAGCACAGTCAAACATCCACCGTAGAAGGTTCCAAATATCGAAGGTTTCAGACGTTTGAAGTTTCTTCGCTAGCAACGGCTCATCATAGACATGAATTGTATCCATGGGATTGGCAGATACTCTGGAACGTTTTGCGTTCGGCTTCGACGTTTCTTCTGGTTCTGGAGTGGCATTTGCCAGAAGGTGAGGCATGTTTTTGAATAGCAGTGTTGTTTCGCCTAGACCCGACGTCTTATTGCCCAAATCCGATAATGATGTGATGCTACGTAGGGGAAGTCCAAACTGGCGATATTTGGAAGCAACTTCATGGGGCTGCTCTACCTCTAGAATGCTGTCGGATTCTTCAGAGTCAGAAATGAATTCCACCACAGCCTGTTTGGGCAGACCCAACAAATCCACACGAGAAGCGGGTAATTCAGGTTCAGGATCCGCTTTACTTGCTTTTTTCAGCTTTTTGATGTGCTCTCTTGAATCGTTAGATCCTGCTTTTCTAGGAGAAAAGAACGACATGAATGAAGTCGGCAACAACGTCAGTACCACCTTGTGTAAATGAGAATTCAAACCAACAAGAGCAGTCAGGTCACCATCTGCTATCAACTGTATGTACTTCTCCAAGATTCGTCGACTCCGCTCCAGAATCAGTGACTTGTATAGTGTGTGATCATAATCGGCATTGACCTGCTTCATGTATTCTGTTGATCCAGCAATTCCTTCCAAAGACGATACCTTGTGGGTCCAATTGGACGTTGAACATCGACAGCTCAATGTTAGTAGTATATGGAGCACATTGGTAGATGGAATCACCATAAAGATAGGCACTTGAACAGTTAATTCTAGGTATCGTAGAAGGGCATCGAATTGGCGAGTGTTGTTGAAGTTAACATCCAGATTAGGCAAAGTTGCTCGGGCTAATTCAGGCAAGAACAGGTCGGTGAGTCTTGTCTGGGCCTCGAGATACCTCTGAGAGTCCATAGTTCATAGTTTATGTATGAATACTGCGATAGTGTATGGAGAAGAGAGCTATTAGTAACGGATTGAGAGTGACGTGGTAGAGAAACAATATCGAGGAGAGTGAAAAGGATGAAAGCGAAAATTAATGTATTCTCAATAATTAAATGTTACTGAGCATTATTATTGACTGTCGTCACTGATCTACTTGAATAAGTTTTAGTTAATAAGTTGGAAAAGGTTTCTGTGGTATGACCTGGCCATCGTAGTTTATACTAGGATAGAATTCAATGATTAGATATCGTGAAATGTTTATTGAGAACACAAAACTTCACATTCTACCTTATATTATTATTTTTCAATTATGTGAATAGTGAACTCGATCACTTTCTCCGCCTAATATACCAAATGAACGTGATTCGTAATTTCATATATTCGTTCATTTCATCATTAAAATACTTTCATGTCCCATGAATTCAGAATATTTCATACCTTTTCTTAGTCCAATTCTCCTAACTGTCCCATAATCTCTGCAAAGTCCTTGATATTGACACTCAATCCATGATGATGAAAAGTATAATTGTACACGTCTCCTTCAACGGTTGAAGTACCACACCCTAACATATCTATCAAAACCGTGTCACTTATGTCGTCAAGCTGCAAGTATGATTTCACCTTGGTCAAATCTTTCATGGAAAGTCTGAACGTTGTAACATCCACATTCTTGTTTCCTGATGCTTCCACAAACAAGCTCCATGCTTGCCTGATTATCCGATAGTGGTCACGAAAACGCAAAAGACGATTACAAAACGTCACGAGCTTGTCAATGTCGACAATATCAGAAACTTGCAACACTCCATTCAACTTGCTGGAGATGGTCAAGTGAAGAAGCAATTGCTCGACAATGGCCCACCTTGGGCTCTCAGTAGAAACATTAGCATGCCCCGTATCGTAAAACCACTGAATACATTGGCATATATCTTTTGTAAAGCATTGGGGGACTCGTAGCTTCTTGAGTATAGCTGGAATGTGCGATAGAAGAACATCAGGCGAAAGTCCCGACTCCAATATGCATTCGTACTGGTCTAAAACCTCTGTCTCGGCCAGCTGTGTAATTTGGGTATACCTAGCGGATTTGGTGAATTTGGGAGGCATGCCAGTGGAAAACGGACTCTAGCACTTACTTGTCCGATCCGTCATAGATAGCGAAATAGCCGGGACACTATCGCACATTATTCGATTCTTCCAGAAGAAATAATCAGAACCAGCTGGCTTTTTCAAAGGCAATTTTCAAGAATAGAATAGTAACCTGAAGTGAAGATTCATTTTGAATTTTGGACTTTTTTTCTTTTCGTATAGCACCTTCATTTGGAAATATTCAATCGCTTATTGACGCTCAGTCAACATGGTGGCGCCTTCAACCAATACATCCTTGGTGGATGTTTCCAGCAAATACTCGGGCCCATGCCGATTTTTATTCAAAAACGAACTTGAACAACCGTCGGGTTCGTTCAAACTCCGCGGAATGAGCAAGTTAGTAGGATCTGCTGTGGAGAAAGCCAAACTGGAAAGTTCCTCCAGTGTTCATGTCTACACTTCGTCTGGAGGTAACGCCGGAATCGCTGCTGCTTACGCGAGCAAACATCATAATGTTCCATGTACGGTCGTACTTCCTGTAACATCGAAGCAGGCCGCTTTGGACGCATTAACCTTGCTTGGTGCTACCGTCGTCATCCATGGAGCACATTGGGGCGAGGCAGATACTTACTTGAAAGAAGTGGTAATGAAAAAGGACCAAGAGATTCAGCCAGATACTCTAGCCATCTATTGCCATCCTTTCGATAACGAAATATTGTGGGAAGGACATGCAGACATTGTCGATGATGTTGCTAGTCAATTAAAAGAGATGAACGTCAGTCCTTCCAACGTGAAGGGAATTGTGTGCAGCTGCGGCGGCGGAGGACTCTACAATGGAATTGTGACTGGATTAAGAAGAAATAATTTGTCGGAAGTTCCGGTTTTGGTGCTTGAAACCAACCAGACTCCGGCATTTTATCAATCCGTGGCTGCTGGTAAGCCTATTGTGTTGCCTAAGGTGGAGACTTTGTCCACTACTTTGGGTGCACCATATATTTGCGAGAAAACTTGGGAAATCTTCCAGAGCCATCCAACTTTTGTTGAGATCATGGACGATTTGGATGCTGTTCAAGGCACTATTGACTACTATGAAGATTTTGGGGCACTTGTGGAACCAGCATGTGGAATCACTGTAGCAGCAGCTAATAAGAAGCAGGAATTGTTGTCTGTATTTGGAGAATTGAAGCCCGACGATGTGATTGTGTTTATCATATGTGGCGGATCTGGAATTCTGTCCGAATTGTTGGAGACTTATCGTGGTTTGGTTGCGAAGTAGTTTCCGCATTAGAATGAGTACTAGACAATGTTGGCCGGTTATCAAATCGACAAATCAACTATAAAGATGTTACACTATTAGATACAATGAGAAATATAAATTTGCTCCATTCGTATGAAAAATCATTTCAGTTTTGAGCCTAGAGAAAAGTTGATCCCATGTGCGAATTTAACTTTTTGGCAGAGAACGTCCATGCCAGTATATCATTCAAGCAGCTGGACCAACCCTATCATGGCAAATATCTATACAAATGTTTCATCACATTAAATTTGAAAATTTTCAATTCATTGAAAAATTCCACAACTTCTCGCCTCCAGCAGCATGTCTTGCTTTCTTATTCTTCGAGACCTTATCAACTTGCATATGACAGTGCGAATGTGGAGAGTCAACTAGTTAGAGCCATTATTTCTTTCTACAACATGAGCGGAAATTGGCTAACCCAATGGGGCACCAGTGGTGGTGTTCCAAATGAGCCAAAGCTGGATGTGGCTAAAGACAACACATCGCTACTTCATGAAACACAGGATGTTATAAGCTCCCAACCTGATCAGCTCTCGAAACCTAATGGTGTGGGCAACTCACAGGTTAGCCCAGATCATCTCCAGGAAACAAAGTCTGGCATGGATGATAGAAATGAAGAAGTGAGAGCTAGAACTGATCTGCTGCCGCAACGTAATGCCAAAATCGCCAAGGTCACGCATAAAACATCCACATCGTCACTAGCTTCGATAAGCGCAGGAAACTGGTTGAGCTGGGCTCCCAGGACACGGGTACTAGAGAAGGATGGTGATCATATAAAATTAAAGAATGGAAATACCGGCGTTCGTGAACTGACGGAGAATGGTGCTGCTCGTAGACTTGCAGATGGAGCTGATAGTGGAGATCATGAAGGTCAAGATAATCGCAACGATGGCAACGACAAAGGAAATGGAGGAATTGGCAATGGAGGAGGAATTGGAGATAATGGAACGGGTGGAGGAAATGATGGAGAAAATGGCAACGGAAACGATGATGAAGATGACGATTATTTGCCAGAAAACAATGGCGATGAGATCGACGATCATGTTTCCAGCTCCAAGTACCGCAAGAAGCTGTGGGGATTTTGGAATTCCGAAGAACCTAAGGACAGAAAGGAGAAACCCGTCGAGAAGATTCATTTGACTACCAATACGATTCTTAGAACTCCTTCGCTCATAAGTAAAGATGAAACTAAAAACGGAAACGATTTCAGAAATGGGCGTGATGTTTCTCCCACTAAGACTGAGACCGAAATTTCTGAGACCGATAATGGTGATGATGATGCCGTCTTGTACAAGCCTCATGACAGCACTTCCCAGTTTAACAAAATCAACACCCACAAGAATGAGAATTTGCGAGAAAATGTCATTGTTCCAGACTGGAACACATGCCTTCATAACCAAAAGCTGGAGTCGGCGCATACGACTTCACAGGCGGTAGGCTCTCTTGAAAGTATTCGGAACCAACCTTTTGACATCAAAAATTGGAGGAGCTACTTGTCGCATCTCTCATCTCGCTTCGGAATAGGATCTGGATCTCACTTGTCTGACCAGCCCGAAGCCCAGCCTGCGGAAACAGCGGTCGAGAAGGAGTTTAACTCCATTTACGAGAGAAAATATCGTTTGTATGGAAGATCGCTTGCTAAACTTCCCTATTTCAAACATGCGTGTTTCCCCAACTACAGCCTGTTTTATACCAAACATGACGTTTCGGAACTGGGAGATAAAACTCAGCTTGAGGAAGATGCCCAAGATGAGAATTCCATAACGATCACCAATGATGCTATGGGAAACCTCTTGATCAACCACCGCAACCACAATCCGTCTTCTGCTTCTGTTACACAGTCAGATATTGTGAACAAAAAAACGGGACCATTAGTGAAAATCAAGAAGATTTTAATCGTAGGAGTCCATGGCTTTTTCCCTACGAAAATGATCAGACCACTTATCGGAGCTCCCAAGGGTACATCGTTGAAGTTTGCAAATGAAGCAGAGAAGGCAGTGATACGATACTGTGTGGAAAACGATCTCATTGACAGTAGAGAAACACACAACGTTTCCATTCAGAAAATTGCGCTAGAGAAGGAAGGCAAGATTTTCGATCGAGTAGATTTCTTCTTGGAAATCATGACTAAATGGGCAGACGAGCTCAACGAAGCTGACTTTATATTTATCGCCGCTCACTCACAAGGCTGTGTTGTATCAATCATCTTGTTTGCCAAACTCATTCAGATGGGAATCCTAAAAAACCCCCTTCAAAAACGAATTGGTCTTTTAGGTATGGCCGGTGTTAACAATGGACCCTTCTATAGCATGGACAAGTCATTTTTCATGAAGGCGTACTCTGCCATCGAACACGATTCGTTATTGGAGCTTTTCGAACTTACCAAGTTTGACAGTGCCCAATCCGTGGCTTACAAGGAATCCATGCAAATCATCATCAATGCAAATGTGAAGATATGTTTCATTGGATCCATCAATGATCAGTTAGTGCCGCTATACTCAGCACTCGCATCTCATATTTTCCATCCTAATATTTACCGGGCCTGCTACATTGACCATTCATCACGAACTCCAGAGTTCATCGAGAGACTAGTCTCAGTGTGTTGTCAACTCCAGAATCTCGGCTATTTTGACAATAACGTGATTAAAGAGCTCAGTGCAGTGCTTGCTGGACCATTCACAGGCGGCGGCCACTCAAAAATTTACAATGACGGAAAAGTCTACGATCTTGGACTTAAGTTCGCTCTTGACACAGACGATTTGATAATTCCGCCCGTACCGCAGACCCAAGGAGTTGCTGTACAGATTCCTAATTCCAAGTATGATGAAGTGGTACGCGTGCCTCCCACTAATCAGATCTACATCAAAGAATTCAATATTGGAAAGATTGGGACCAACCCCTTTGTCTTACCGTGGTGTCTCCGTGGGCTTATCTTCAATATTGAAAAGAACTGGCCAGAGGTGGTTCCTCACATCATGATTGATCAGAAAAGTCCTACCTACAAGTCAGGCACGCAGGAGATCGACGCCCTCTACGAGCTGTTTGATAAGTGGAAACCGGAAACAAAGTTGTTAAAGGACCTCAAGTTCCGGCTTAATGGAATTCGCGCTAGCAAACTTTGACAACAGGAAGGATTTCAATTTTCTACGCTTATCGAAATCCCCGAATTGGCTAATTTTGGATTGGGTAGATCTTCTCAAAGTTGTTGATCTTTTTCGACTTTTCAACTAGTTCGGCGTGAATCGGGGCTCTTCAATCAGAACTTTGGTTTTGTGAAAGACTTATTGTTTTGACCGGCGAACTTATTATCTACCATTGATTAACAATGAATTTCCCTGGCCTTTGTTGGTATTCCCCATAGCAAGCCGGCAGACAGTCGCCTACCAACACATGACCACGAATGAAAGAAATGTAGCCACCTACTGGATTAAACAGCCAGGTACTTGAACCCAAATACTCAGAACCTACGAGAACCACCTCACCACACCCAACCGCTTTCAAACCTCTTGAGAAACCCCAAATTTGCGGGAAATCCAGAAAATGCCGTAGATATACCCACAGTGTATCCTACAGGTTTCCTACAGGAAAACTCGCTGCGTTTATGCGCGACTGCCTCTATCAAATGTACTACATCACCATCCAAATTTCTAGTTATTGCTAGTGTTTTTTCTAAGACTCTTGACGGGAGGCTGTTTTCGCCGAAGATTTTTTTTTACTATAATTTTTTTCTGTTGACCATCGTTCGCTCTCCTTGTTCGCCAATATAATTTGCTACAAAGTGACCGTCCTATCGACCTTCCTTTAAAATGCCACGTCTGGAACTTCACATCGTTAAAGGCGATGACATTTCCCAAAACAAAGGCATGCCCTTGAAGTTGGCACACCTCTTGAACAGCGAGCTCAAGGGAGAATCCAGAACCGCGTCTCCTCCTTGCAAAGACGGCGATCATGGGCTTATGACACCCCTTCTGAGTGAGATGTTGTCTCCTCATAGCGTGAAGAGCGAGGATGACTCGTCGCCCGCCGGCATAGCAGCATTTGCACAAGTTGAGCTTGTGCGATCTGCATTCGTGCTGAAGTTCCCTGATGCCCTGTGGGCAGATATCATGGAGGTGTTGAATAAAACACAGATCACTCCAGGCTTGACCAAACCAGAAGTGCAGTTGATCGTGCACGAGTGGTACCAGCTGCTTCCCATCAACTACCAACTACTCGAGTATGAGTGCTTTATGCGCGATCGCCGCACTATCCATGCCAAGATTGCCAATTTGGAGGACTTGTATGGACAGAAGCGGGGCCAACTAAGTGAAGATCATATCGTGGCCTTTGAAGTCTGCTATGAGCTGGAAGGTTATTTGCTTTCGGATGTTACTATGCTCTTGCCGGATGTTCTGCCGGATGACATTCATGCCTTGGTAACTGCGCACTTTCCACACAACCCTAAGTGGCTGTCTCGTGAGCTAGGCTTCATCAACGCGTGTATCAAAGTCAATGAGCCACTTGAGTTCATTCAGCACAATCTTGTGTTTAGAAAAGCACTGGAGGTTAAGACACGCTTGCAAGCTTTAATTCGAAAGGCACAGCGGGAGGATGCTCCTCCTCCTCCGGCACCATTGACGGAAGAGGAGATCTTCCGGAAAGAACGAATCAAAGAATTCATCAAATCGGATTTGACCGCCAATGGTTTAAAGCGTTATGGCCCATGGAGAGCTGACAAGTTCAAGATTCAGGAGATCCGCGACGTATTAAAGGAAATGGGAGGGAGCGAAGCAGTTCCATTTACAAAGCTCGAATTGGAACTTGTTCGTGAGAGTCTCAAACATGATACACCCATGGATGACTTGCTTCAACTGCTTGTATTCCGTTCGGAGAAGGAGGTTGAGGAGAAGCAAAAGAAATTGGAGATTGCATGCGTTCGTCAGAAGCGCTTCGCTAATGACGTGGAGAGGTTGATCTACGAAGCACAATGGTATGCTCTGATGGCTGGAGAATCCGGGGGTCGCCGTAGGCGCCATACACGCAACGAGGTGGAGCTCGACGATTTGCGGAAGCAGGCACTTGTCAAAAAAGAGAAGGTTGTGAAAGAATTCACGCCCGAGGAGTTGGAGGAGAAGGAGAAAAAAAGAGCATTGAGGAACCAAAGAAGAGCAGAGACTATACGGAGAAAAGAAGAAGAAAAGGAGTTGCTCAAGCAGCAAAGACTGACTCGTATTGTCCGTGTCAGACGTACAAGAAAGGCGCTCAAGGAGAAAAGTTCTAAAGTGTCTGCATTGATTGAAGAAGCCAGATGGTTTCAAAGCGTCACTGGAGATGGCAAATACATCAAATCTGGAGAAAAGAGAAAGCGCATTCCAACATATCATTTGATTCCGGAATTCCAGAATAGACAACAGTTGAAGAGCGCGCAGAAAAGATTGGTGGAGAAGAAAAAACAAAAACAATCGAAGCAGAGACGTGGAAGACGCTCACAAGAAGAATCTTCCGAGAGCGAGACCGACTCTGATGCTGACGAATTGGAAGAGCTCCAGGATGCCATTGACAGTGATGAAGATACAAACACTGTCGAAGTAAGTCCTTTCGATCCAGTCAGTATTATGCATGATACTCCTGTTCCACTCAATAGCAGGCAACTTTTCAATGAATCCATTTCTTCTCATCAAACCGTTCCAAGTCCAATTATATTCAGTGATGACGTACTGGTTATGTTGCAGCCAAGTAATGTGTTGCCTATTAATAACGTTGTGGCTGCTAAAGTCATCAAAGAGAACATGAAGTCTTATAAGCGTTTACCTCTGTCATTTCCTCCTTTCGAAATTGCCGAAGGTAACGGAAAGACTAAAATGAACTCAAGAAACATCTTGCACGTCCGGTACTTGTTATATCCACAGCATACAGAACAATTCATTCTCGCCACACCGAAGAGTAATGAACTCGATCCAATCTTTGAGTTGCAGAAGATCATTGAGATTCATTACGCTTTATATTTTTCGCATTCTCAAATGCTCAAAGAAGTGTTTTATGAAGAGTTTTGTGTCAAACTCGTGGCTGCTGTGGAGGAAGATAAGTTTTCTGATTTCATGTATATTATTGACAAGTGGAATGCATTAATGTTGGAACTTTCTCCTTATGCCATTGAGGTCGATCCCCTGATTGATATCAATGGCAGCTTGAGAGGCTATTTGCCTAAGTCTTACAAGTTTGAGCCAACAGTTCTGGATTTAAAACTTGACACATTTTATCTCGAAGTACTTAATGCCGGAGATTCCATTCCAGATCATGTCATGAAGCCCATATTCACAACTTTCATGCCACCATCGGTTCATCCCGTTCAAGGTTTACCTCCTCATACACTTCCAACCGAGAGGTTTATTACTAGGTATCGCCATTTGAGACCAGCGACATATGCACAAGCATTCATCTCGCTGCTTAATAGAATGACCGAGCTTTCTCGTTTTGCAGTGCAACAACTTCTTTTGAGGGCATACACGAGGATTGTGTCACCCGATTCAAGAAAACTCAGATGCTACAAAGCATTTACTGCTGAAGTGTATGGAGAGCTCCTTCCATCGTTTGTCAGTGAAGTGTTGACAAAGGTTGGATTAAAGCCCGAGGACAAGTTCTATGATTTGGGTTCTGGTGTGGGAAACACAACATTCCAAGCAGCTTTGGAGTTCGGAGTCAAAGATAGTGGTGGTTGCGAAATCATGAAGCATGCATCTAAGCTTACAGAGTTGCAAGAAAACTTTATGCAAAAGCAGTTGATTGTTCTTGGCTTGAAGCCGTTACCTCTCTCCTTTGCTTTGCATCAGAGTTTTGTTGAGAACGAAGAAGTGAGAAAAAAGTGTGTTGATTGTAACATTCTTATTGTAAACAACTACTTATTTGATTTCCCTTTGAATGTCGAAGTTGGAAAATTGCTCTATGGCTTGAAGCCAGGATCGAAGATTATCTCCTTGAGGAATTTCATTCCACCAAGATACAAGGCTGGTGCTGACAAGACAATCTTCGATTATTTGAAAGTTGAAAAGTTCGAAATGAGTGATTACCTATCTGTCAGTTGGACAGCCAATAAGGTACCCTACTACATATCGACAGTAGGCTCTACGATTCAACTGGAGTATTTGTAATAATATAAGTGCAACATGTATTATAGTCCTGTCATTGAAGTACCTTAAATCTTTATCTTTTTAGCTCCCTTACCCAACCCACTTGATCTTTTCCCTTTTCCTTCAGTCAGTCCGTTGGCAACTGGATCTGGAGTAGCTTCAGCTGTGCTTGGTTCAACAGAACCAACCCGACCACTGGAAACCCCATTTGGTTGTCTGCCACGTTTACGAGTTGTTCCAGAATCGGACTCCTTCGCAAGAGCAAGCATTAACGTGTTGACCCTTCGACTGATTTCTTGTGGAGTTCTCGACGTAATATACCAATCAAATTTGAAGAGATCACTTTGCGTGATTTCCTGCTTGATTTTCTCGCCTAGCTTCTCGCTGAAGATTCCATACTTATGAACACAGCACATGATAAAGCGGTCTTCAAGCTTGGAATAAATACGCTTCGAGTTATTCGGAGGATACTGAATCTTGAGATCTTCAAGTGGGTCATCGAGAGCTTCAATCTTCGAAGCCAATAATGCTTGCTGGTTTTCGAGCTTGGCGACCTTTCTTTCACTTGCTTCAATTTGAGCAATGTACTTTTCATAACCCTCAATTTCTTTGTAAGATTCCCAGAATTTCTTACTATATCTCTCAACTTCCAGAACATCTTGCCCAAGTGCCTTGGCAACCTCCTTGTACGCGTTCCTTCCAAATTTGGCACAACTGTGGATGAAGGTGGTGAAATCACGTCTTGACCAAGTATGAAAACTTTCGTTGAGCAAATCCTCCTTTAATTTATATTCCTCTTCAGAAAGGGGTACAACACTCTTAATCTTCTCCTGCTCAAGTTTAAGTTTTTCTTCTCTGGACATATCTTCCTTGTAGTCATCACTTAGAAACTCTTCGTCACTATCTCCGAAGTCATCAAGCGAGTAAGCGTAACCAACTTCTTTCTTGTAGGCAAGTTGCTCTCTATTGAGCAACTCAATCAACTCCGGTGGGAAAAACTGATGATCCTGAGGATGGTACACCTTAGGTTGTTTGATTTTGACTGGTGCACTCAGTTTTCCTGTCGCTGAAGGAGCTTTCAACATGTCTTTATAGTAATTGTCCACGGAATAGATCTGTTCCTTCCTTTCACGCTTGGAAGGGTGAATCCAAGTAAGTCCCAACCCCTCGTTTTCACGTTTTGCGAAGTTCTGACCATTCCACTCGTATACTGATGCGTCAGATGTGAAGTTTTGAAGATCATCAAGTCCTAACTTGTTAAACTTCGCATTTAAAGAAGCAGTTTTCTCGCGACCTCTAGCGAGAATAGCATCAATGTCATCATCAAGCATTGAATTAGAGTTCTTGGCTTCGAAAACAGCCTTGGCACCATGTTGGATCATTCCTAACAAGTCATCAGCAGAATTTCCTATACTTGCAGTGGATTGTCTTCCTTGTTGGATGACAAGCTGATCCAATCTTAATTTTTGAGCAGCACGATCTAAAACTTTCTCTTCGATAGCATTCTCAGTGACAAATCTAAAAACCTGAACCTGCTTTTTCTGTCCAATTCTATGAGCTCTGTCCATTGCTTGCAAATCTGCTTGCGGATTCCAATCAGAATCATAAAGAATAACAACGTCGGCGGTGGTTAAGTTAATTCCCAAACCTCCAGCTCTTGTGGTCAATAGGAAAATGAATTTATCGGAATCTGGAGCGTTGTAGTCGTCAATTGCTTCAATTCTGTCTTCATGAGAGGTCGAACCATCGATACGGCAATAATTGTAGTCACGGAAAAAACAGTAATCTTCCAAAATATCGAGCAATCTCGACATTTGAGAAAAAATCAACACTCTGGATCCCGCAGCCTTGAACTTCTTGAGCATCTTATCTAGAATGATCATCTTTCCTGAGTTGAATACCAAATGTTCATCGGTGGTATAAGGAGGGCCCGGTTCGGCACCATCGAACAAATATGGATGGTTGCAACACTTTCTCAATTGCATCACAATGTTTAGAAGTCTAGTCTTTCCTTCTCTCTTGCCCACCACACCGTTGACTGCGTCAATATCTTTCTCCAATAACTTCTTGTACCAGTCCACTTGCATATCGGTCATACCTGTGTAAATGTTTGTCTCAATTTTAGGCAACAAGGATGTTTCAACATCTGCTTTGACTCTTCTTAAGAGGAACGGACTCAAGACCTTATGAAGCTGCAGAACCACCTGGTCCTGGTTTTTGTCCTTATCGGCCTGACTGTCGAACCATTCATCGAAAACGTTCGAGTCACCGAACACATCAGGCAAAATGAAATTAAGAAGTGCCCAAAGCTCGTGCAAGTTGTTCTGCAACGGAGTGCCGGTGATGAGAAGCCTGTTTTTGGAGTAAAACAACCGGATAATCTGCGAAAGCGAACTGTCCTCGTTCTTGATACGGTGGGCCTCATCTACCACGATGTACTGCCAGCGGAACTTCTTCAACTGGGATTTTTCCCTGATCACCATCTCAAAGGACGTGATCAAAACGTCAAACTTGGCAGTAAGCAACCGGGACCGAATAATCTCTTGACGAGATTCCTTATTACCCTGTAAAACCACAACATCAACTTCGGGTGTCCATTTCTGGAACTCACGCCGCCAGTTGTCAAGCGTAGACTTGGGAACAATCACAATGAATGGGCCATCGACATTCTTGATATAACGCAAGTATCCCAAGAAGGAGATAGTTTGTAAAGTCTTTCCCAAACCCATTTCATCTGCCAAAATACCACTGAGGCGGTTCTCGTATAGCTGGATGAGCCAGTTAAGACCCTGGATTTGATACTCACGCAACTGGCCACTTTGAACATACAGCGGAGACTCAGTGAGCACTGTTCGCTGCTGTTCAACATCACCAATGTGTTCCTCATCTTCGAGAAGTTCTGCATCCTCCTCCTTTTCTGTTTTTCTTCTTCCTCGAGTCAGTTTTTTCTTAGGCTGCTTGAAACTGATCTTTCCATCAATCAGACGGATCAACTTCTTGAATTTGGCGTCCTTGGACATGTTGATGTCGATAAAGTAACGAAAAATGTCTGTGAGTCCCAAAAGGTATTTGAACCGAATGGTGGAGTCATCCACATCGTTTTCTCTGGCAACTTTGGGATCACAGTTCAAGAGAAATCGTTCTACTCTGGCCAGGTCAACGTCCGATTCGTCAACGTCGACTTCGATATCAGACTGTGGTTGATCGGAGTCTGAGTCGCTATACTCGGGAGTTTCAGCTTTCTTTTTTCTTCGATCTGCCATCTATAAGGAGTTGTATGTGGTATGTGTAGTTGAATATTGGTATACATGTCGCGATGTCGTGCAGATTAACTGGCTGGCATATCAGATGAATATACATATTTGGTAATATTTCTATTTTTTAATTTGTGCTTGTAGTTTTTTAATTTGTTTGTTCTCTTGATTTTTCTTTTTTTGTCAGTGGCGAGTAGTAGCCCGCCGTTGCATTAATAATTTGAAGTTCCTTGGCAAATGATTTATACTTCAAGTCGCCTACTCTCAACGGACTAACTCTACTCACAATTCGCTTGATCCGAAGTGTGTAACCTCATAATCCCGTCACAACATTTCCTTCAAAAAGACCCCAGTCAATTGCATCCTTCCCTTGTTCTCTGAGCCACTCGTTGCACTTGAAGAATACTTTCAGTTCAAAAAATCCTCGACTGGCGGAAAGTGGAGAAGGGTGCACTGTCTTCAACACCAAAAACATCCCGTTGGCAGAGTTAAGTTGAGCAGTGAACTGAGCAACTCTCTTTTGAGCGGGGCTTCCCCATGCCATGATGACAAATCCATTCTTCTTGTCCTTTGCATGTGTAATGGCAGCTTTGATAACCTGCTCCGTAAATTGTTCCCATCCTTGGTTAGCGTGGCTATTAGCCTTATGTGCTTCTACTGTCAAACAGGCGTTCAACATGAGCACGCCTCGTTTTGCCCATTTGGTCAAGTTTCCTCCACCCGGCTTTCCCTGCTTTTCGAGCTTCTTGTACTCTGGAATCTCAAATGATGGAAAGTCAATCTTCAAAGTTTTGTAGATATTGAGGAGTGACGGAGGTGGTCTCGTAGGCTCTAGTACCAGGAATGCCAACCCGTGTGCCTGGTTGAAGTTATGGTATGGATCCTGGCCCAAGATTAGACATTTAACTTCAGGAAGTGGGGTGTAATGTGACCACGAATAAATATGACCCGGTGGAGGAAACACCGTTTTACCTGCTTGAGCATGTAAAAACCTCTTGAGTTTGAGGAAATACGGCTTTGTCAATTCGGTATGGAGAGCTGCTAACCACGAGATGTGCATGGTGTTGATCTCGAGTGTGAGCAACTGCCTCTGTTCCGGAGCAAGTGAATTTATCCATTCCTCTTTATTAAAATTGAACTGGGCGCAAATTTCTGCGTAATCTTTTTTTTTTGTATCGTCGGCCACTTCTGGAGTAGTGGATTCTGTAACAGATTCTTCCTCCAACTCCAGGTTAGGTTCAGCACTTGCATCGGCTGAATCATTGACCGATGTTGTTGTTTCCTTAAACACTTTCTCTACTTCTTTCACTGCAATTCCAGCGTTGTTTATGGATTTTGCAACTTCCCGATCAGTAACGTCCATCTTCAACTTGTTAACATTCACCGGAGACTTCTTCTTCGCTGGTTTCTGCGTGGCTTGCGCAAAGAACTCCGTGATGAGTCTTGGCTTTTTGCTAGGATGCGCGTCTGGAGCCCGTCTATTTAACTCAGTCATGGTCTAAAGTTCAGAATCAAATGGTGGAGGAATGTCTGAGACGTGGAGCAGTTCCTGCAGGACGTAGCCATGATGCCCATTATAACACCTTCAACAACGGGAATGGGTAATCCAGTGATTTTCTTAAAAAGATACTGGTGAGCCAGCTGAATAGGAGATAAAGCACTCCGGCGGCTAAAATTTGCATCAACGCCTTTGTGTTGTCGGTTTTGATTGCACTAATGTCAGTGACCTTGTAGTTGCCCAAGTAGACTAAAACCACCAAAGCAGCAGCAAGGGAGAAGTAGACAAAAGCCACGAGTAGCATCTCCACGCCAAACTGATAGTGAAGACCTCCGCTGATGTAAATTGGGACGCCCTTGTCGTTCTGTGCGATGAATGGGACCTGTTGAATGGTAGTGAATGAATATCCACCCAAAATGAGCAACAACATCACAATCAGCACCACCTGGTAAATCCTACCTTTGGTAATAGTATTCGTAATGAAACTGGGACCTCTTTTCTTGATTAACAAAATGGTTCCGAGCGTGGCTCCAAACGTAAGACCAAACTTCTTGATAGGGTTTTCCTGATTGACCACAATCAGCTTCAGAGTGCCAATGGCAAGCCAATCGGCAAATTTAAACACCTGGTCATCAAGGGAAGTGTCCGGGATGCTGAATTGGGCATGTGGCTCTTGCAAGATGTCGTAATTCTCGAAGTATTCGTTTCCTTCCTTATCGTACTTCTTGAGTCTTTGCTTTTCGTGAAGCGCAGCAATGCTAGATGGTGGAATAAGCCACACTTGTGGTACTTCCCTAAGCCTGAGGTGATTAAATATGTCCACATTAGAACGATCAACAATGTCCACTTCTGCAAAGTACAAATACTGCGACGCTGGATAGTTCTGGTACCACACAGAAACTACGCGAGGAAGGATTCGTTTAAGTTGCAAGCATGCTTCACAATTGTGTTTTTCGTCCGATGAAGTTAAAACCAAAAGAGTGAAGTGGTCTCTGTCGGGACGAGAAATGATCAGTAGATTGGCGTTGGTGATCTGTATGATGGATTCCGGCAGTTGCATGGCGGCCAAATCTAGCTCCAAAGCATGAAGAATATCACATTTTGCTACTGTAAGAAGCGCAACGAGGCCAATGAAGGCATTCCAGAAGAACATGGCTAGTTTGGAGTGATGAAAGGTTGACGGCTGTGTGCACGCCGGTTGTAGGTCAGAAGTGAAGGCTTTATCTTGTGATGAAGGAGTACGGCGAATAATCGGGTAGATTGAAGTTAAGTGATGTTGAATGTACGTTACTATACATATTTGGATTAAAGCTTTGTTTTCTATCATAATGTTGTAGTTTCTGGTATTGATTAATGCATGAATATTACGAATCTCACTAACTTTTGAGAACTTGTGCGAACTTACTATTACTCTTATTTTCCTCCAATAAACTACAACCATCACATTATCTCTCTAATCTGCTGTCTATTATCCGGAATTACCCGTTCACTCACCTAATTATCATTCACAAAATCTTCCTTCTCATCCTTGTTGATGACCAAGAACCCCAACGTGACAATGACCGCACCAAATAAATACCACAAGTTCACATGAAAACCCTTGATGAACCAATCCCCTACCATCGCCAATGGAATCGTAAGCGAAAGCCCCACCGTCACAGTCAATGGACTGGTGAGCAACACTGCCTTGCACCAGCAGAAGTCGCTGATGAATGTAATCAACGCATTCATCGTCAATAGCCCAAGAACATGAGCTCCCAGCGGAATCTCAAAAACTTCTACGCCTGTGAAGTGCAAAATAATGATCACCGGCCATAGAAGAAGGAGGCACGAGAGTCCAACAAACCCAAAAAAGAGATGGGTGTCCAAAACACGCTCAGTTGTAGAGTTCTCCTTTGTGATTTTATGCTTCAAAAGAATGGTGTAAATACCATAGATCAACGCACCAGAAAGTGCTAGCAAGTTGCCCCAGAGAACTAGGAGTGGCGTGGATCCCTCAGGAAGGTGTGATGAGTCCGAAGAGTCGATTCTGGTTACTATAAGCACACCCCCAAACGAAAGCATGATGCCCACGATCTTATTGGTGTTGATCTTCTCAATGTGATACAAGTACCCCACCAAAAGAGTGAAGAACGACGAAGTGGACGACAAAATCGTCTGCGATGCAACAGAAGTGTACGAGAGCGATGAGTTCGTGACCAAGTTGGCACAGAACCAGAGCATAACGAATTGAAGTGATAACTTCACGGTCTCGTATACGGGAACTTCCTCATCTGAATCTTTTGTGTCCATTTCCAACTGGGTCTCTGGCTCCGAATCCACCAAATTATCCTGAGATGCTCCGTACTCATTGGCAGAAACAGGCACCGACTCCACGTCCACTATACGCTGATAATTGCACTTCTCGTAATCCTGCTTAAGGAGGTCTATAAAACCAACCACGGAAAGATTTTTGTAGCGCAAGTATGGAATGAAATAAAACACAAAGCAAGAAGTGTTAATCCATGTGATGAAAAACGGTTTGCGGTAGACATTTGTCTCAAAGAGGTCGTTGATTAGGAACGACGACAGAACCCAGAAGATCACCACAGTAGCCAAATTCACTAGTCCCAAAACCCACTTCTGGCTCGACAGAAGCTGATGCTCGGGTAGGAAAAATGACTGCACAAACGTGACAACCGCCGTCAGTAAGCGATGAATCATGGATGCTGACGATATTGTGAAGAAAAGGTTGTGTAGGTGACAGATAACGTACGGCCCCAATCGTACCTGGTGATACGACACGTGACATTCCACGTGATAACACACGTGATTTGACGTGTGTGTCACCTAATTGGGTATCGATGCAATCAAACATCCTGTATATTATCAGCGCAGAACAACTGGAAAACTTCGCAATTTGTTGATCTAAGAGTTTGTTTATCCTGCAGTTAGAACACCATGTTTCTCCGATGATTTTACCCCAGATATTACATAGAAGATGGAGTTAAAAATGAAAAAGAACTCAATTATTAGGAATTTGACTATTGAGATTCTCGGAATCTTAAACTGGATCTCCGAATAATGTACAGCGTTTCATCCCTCACCCCGCTTCCATGTTTGGTTAGCCTCGTGCGGCTCACTTACTATTTCCGGCTAGAGATAAGACACAACACCTTCTCTCGTCTTTTTGCTCACCGATTTCTTCTTACCATCGATTACTCTAAAGAGTTTTCTCTCTTTTTTTCATCAAAGAAGCCGTCACATCCTCCGAATTTCACGAAAGAAAACCCGTGCCTGTCATGTCCAACGCATTTGACAGCGACGAAGAGGCAGGTGAGTCGTCGTTTCTTCTTAATAGAAGAAAATCCATTCTCGATCAGCCAATCGGGCTGTTCCGGGGACCCAACTCGTTACATAACTTTGCCTCGTCTTTCACCAGAGCCCAGCTGTTTGCTGTGCTGAAACTTGATCCGGATATTCATAAAAAACGGTCCTTCTTTGCTGGGTCTCTGCCTTATGACGATGTTGCTGATGACGAATTGTACGACCCTGGTTTGATGGTGCCTTCGTCCCACGGAGAACGCTTGAGTTCCATTTTGAATGAATATCACTCGTATCGTGGCTCCGGCTATGGTGGTGCACCTTCTCCATTCAATGAAGTGTTCTACCAGGATGATATCACTAACGTCCTCCAGAATAGTCGTTCCAGACAGGGCTCGACGTCAGGAGGTATTCCAATTCCGCAGAAGAGGGTCATTCCTGCCAAATCATTCCTGTCAATCCGCTCAAGCATCTCTTACGCCAGCACCGCGTCACATTTCGGTTTGAAGAAGGTTGAGGACAAGAACGGTAATGTGGTGACCATGGTGGCGGGTCAATCGACTGCTCCACAAACCATTCTCAACTCTGTCAATGTTTTGATTGGTGTGGGACTTTTGGCGCTTCCTGTGGGACTTCTCAATAGTGGTTGGGTGCTAGGAGTGCCCATTTTACTCCTCTGTTGTTTGGTAACCTGCTGGACTGCTACGCTTTTGTCCAGAGCTTTGGATACTGACAGCACGTTGATGACGTATGCGGATTTGGGCCACGCAGCTTATGGATCTATTGCCAAGTTGCTCATTTCTTTGTTGTTTACCACTGACTTGTTGGGACTGGGTGTTTCGTTGATTCTCCTCTTCTCCGACTCGCTTTATTCTCTTGCGGGCGATGAGGAGGTATGGACGAAGACTAGATTCAAGTTTGTTGCATTCTTTGTGTTGACTCCTTTCACATTCATGCCATTGCCCATTTTGTCCATTTTCTCCTTGTTTGGAATTATGTCGACCATATCCATAATTGTGTTGGTGTTTGTATGTGGCCTCTTGAAGCTGACATCGCCAGGTTCACTCATTGCTGTCATGCCCACAAATTTGTGGCCTACCGACCTTTCGCTGTTGCTCATTGGCATTGGCATTTTGATGGCTCCATTTGGTGGCCATGCCATCTTCCCAAACTTGAAGTCCGATATGAGACACCCACATAAATTTACCAAAACCCTCTTCACCACATACTCAATTACTTGTTTAGCCGATTCTTCCATGGCAATCATCGGATTCCTCATGTTTGGCTCCTTGTGCAGCAATGAGGTAACCAGCCTTTTGTTAGAGACTGCCGGATATCCTACCTGGATCTATCCATTGATCAGTGGACTCATTTGTATTGTTCCCCTTGCAAAGACTCCATTGAATGCCAAACCCATCATCTCCACTTTGGATGGTATCTTCTCACTCGATACTATTGTTGAAGGCGATAGCATGTTTAAGAATTTCACCAAAGAATTGGGCCGCTTCCTTGTCAGAGTCGGTGTCAATGCTGTGTTTGTTTGGGTGGCTATCTTGATCCCAGAGTTCGACAAAATCATTGGTATCTTGGGATCTTCAATCTGTTTCCTTGTATGTATCATTTTACCTTGCTTGTTCTACTTAGTTCTTTGCAAGGACGATATTGGAAGGGCCGAGAGATGGCTCGTGAGAATTGCTGTCGCAGTGGCTACTTTCTTTGCTGTTGCTTGTACCTACAGCACTGTTGCTAACTAAGTTTTTACATGGCATTATAATACATTCTAGATGAACACGGACCGCAGCACTTGGTCGGCGTAATCCATTTATCATTTAGTTTTCATTTTTGAGAAATTGCAAGAAGCACTCCGTAACCTTTGCCATCAATGGTTCCAAAAGGCCGTTGTCAATCAAAAAGTCGTAATTGAGCTTCATCAAAACAATCTTATTATATTCCTTCTGTTTTTCTTGCTGAACTTCACCGGCGGCTTTGAACACAGACTCAAACAACTTCTTGTACTTCAAATTATGAGAATTCAAATTTTCTTTCATGGAGAACTTCACCAACAATCGGCGGTTCTTCTCGAAAGCATTTCTCTTATAGGTTAAGGAGAAAACAATTCTATCCTTCAACACCTTCTTAGAAGAGGATGTGCTCACATAGTTAATGTGGAAGATGAACTGCATCAAATTCAAGTTCTGGAATTTGACATCGAACTGCAAGCGCTGCAATTTATTGGGGAGCCTGTCCGAATCATTCAACTTGAGGATATCCTTGACTTTCTTCACAGACTTGATTATCGGAACGTACTCCTTGAGATATTTGATGGAGCCGACGAGCGCTTCATGTGACTCACTAATTCGCTGGTTGATAAATGCAACTAATAATTGCACATTCTGATCTTCTTCTGGGCTAGAAGTTAAAGTTAATAAGCCAGATTTGCCTTCAGGAAGACGCAAATGGAAGGGTTTGTAAAATGGATCAATATCGAAAGTGATGTCATTGGCAGAATTATTAGTCACCAGAATGTTTGTTTTCTTGAGCTGGTACAACATCTTGATCAACAGATTCACCTTGGCCATATTATCAAACAACTCATTTAACAACGAAACAGGGTTGCTGTTATCGCTGTTTTCTGACATCTTGTTGGAAAGGTCGACTGACGTCAGCAATTCGAAAGTATCGTTTTCGGGTTGAATCGTAACGTTAAATTTGCTGAAGGTCTCCACGTCAGATGATGAGATATTCTTGAGAGAACCGCTTAAAGTTAAGATCAATTTTGTAGCGTTGTCGACTGTTGTGAGACGAACAATAAGAAATAATGTGGTGCTTGAAACTGAGATCGGCAATAATTTGCCCGTGTTGTGTAAAGCCATCACAGTTTCATAGTTGGCAGAGGTGTTTTGAAGATCGTGAGATAAATTGAAGCGATCCATTGTAGTGGAGTCATCAACCTTCACGTAGTTGATTCTGCGAGCGAGTAATTCTTCCACAACCATATGATCCACAATCATATTAGAGCAAGACCTCGAAAGATTGTTGAAAAACTCATAATCTAAGTCTTCTTCCCCGCCAAATTTCAACTTCTGCACCCATTGAATCTTCCACTCACCTTTAATGGATTTGAGTCGGGCAACCCACCAGTAGACTTTCGAGGTCAACCCACTTATCATGTTGATGAGGAACCACGAGGAGGGCCAGTTACGGCATCTATAAAACTGAATCTTGTTGGAGGAAGTAGCCTTCTCGTCTATAATGAAGTTGAAAAGTTTCACTGTTTCGTAATCGTTAATTTTGATGAAGTCATTGGCAATCCATTCAGAAGTCACCAATTTTGTATTGAGCGCCAGGTTGAATGTATCAAGTCTCAATTGAATCAAATTTTTCACGACGTTGTTAACCATGTCCTGCTCACTCACAAAATTTTTGTTCTTGACCTGGGCGGGCTGACTATTGATCCTGTTCTGCGTTAGGACTTCTAAGGGAGACGGATCCATGAAATAAAAGAATCCAGTGAGAGGATTGATTGCCAAGAAAGTTGATTTTCTGGGAGTGAGCTTAATAAGTAGCTGATATGGATTGACAAAGGAAATCGAATCGTCGGGAATCATGGAAGCAAGTTGAGAGTGGATTTTGGCCATGAGAATCTCTGAGTGCTTGTTAATGATAAGATTCAAGATAAAATCCACCGTCAAATCATCAACATCTTCCGAGTCGGAGTTTCCGCTGATATCCTGAATATCATGGTTGAGATTATATTTTCCATTCATGAACCATCGGAAGTTGAGGTTGTACAGCTTGTCAATTCCGATCTCGATAAATGACTTCCAGTTTCGTGATAAGTAGTGGTTGCACCAGTAATTGATGATAATGAGCGACGAGTTGTACTTGTACTGAAGGTTGTTCCTCCACTTACTATTAACAGACAAATCACGCAATTGTCTAGATATCAAGTACAACTTGAAGGAAACAGCATACTTGTGCAAAACGTCGTAGAGACCTGTCAAGGATTGCTTGAGAAGTGCCTCATTGACGACGCTTTCCAATTTGGCTCTGGATGCTTTGGGTAGCGTGGTTATTACCTTAGCATCCTTGTATGTGATTAAGGAGGTATCTGGGTTGATGCCAAACAAAAAGGCAAAATCAATGAAAAAGAATGGAGACTTGTAGTAATCCTTGTCGTCATCGATGATTAGGTCGTTGGCAACGGTGATGGACACTTGAAACTCGTTGGGTATAGTGATGATAACACGGCCGTCTCTGACCTCGTAGTTATTGTAGAAACGCCGTGGCATGTCATTTATAAGCGCCATCCGAGCCAGGAGTGTTAAGTTTAAGTCACGAATCACTTCCAAAGTTTTCTCGGCCGAGATCTTAGGTTTGGCAATGTAGTTATAGGTGGGCAACTGGGGCCTGCCATTCACCAACACCTCCAAACTGGTCAAGATGTCAGAGTTTGGCAACTTTGCTCCAGAAAACGAGTTGAGCTCGTTGAGACCATATCCCAAATTGTCGAAACAGAATTCTTGTGTTCGAAGCCAATTAAGTAAGTCAATCAACTTCGAAACATCCTTAGCGTTCTGAGCCCACTTGACCAACGTGTAAATCTTGATGAAGTCTTGCCGAAGCAGAATGATCACTTCCAAAAACTTCTTTTTTCGGGCAATATCGCTCTCGGACGTCCTGGTGTTCGCCAAATTCTCAATCACTCGACTGAGCTGCTTGTAGGCCTCCTGGGTATAGAATCTCAATACATTAGATAGAGGGACTATATTGTTGGTGATATGAGGAAGCTCAGGAAGTTTTCCTTTTGATATCTGTGCCAGATTGATTCCGTTGGCGGCGGTTATAGGCTGTGGAGACACACTTGTTCCTGGCATAATCAGTCACGTGCGCCGAGATTTGGGGCGTGGGAATGGATGATATGACGAGAAGAGGGTGTCACAGACTTGTGGCAAAGCACAGCTAATGAGGAAAGTGGCAGGTGCCGGTAGTAGAGAAGATGGTAAGTAGTGAAGGTTTGAGTTGGTGAGGTTATAGACACCTTCAGTCTATATGCAGGATGAAATAGAAATCTACTCCGCTATTAGCAGAATAAAATGTATGGGGCAAGTTGAAGGAAGGATAAAATGGGAGATGAATATAAATGTGGATGGATATGAAATTGTGACTTTCCTTCTGTAGTATTTTCTCAATTATTACGGATGTTTAACGATTTTTTCGTTATTTGCACTTTTACCTCTTACCCTTTCTTGAGTGAGTATGGAACTTACTGGGCCTTCACACTATGAATACATTAATGATACATTGAAAACAATCTCCAGAGCCAGCAGAATTTGGCGACGATTGTAAAGGCATTGAAGCAAAATTTGACCCGAAAGCCACTTATGGATAATTTAACTTCTTTGGGGTGCCCGACTGGTGCTTATCAGTGGTGGGCACAGCGATCGCAACGGACAGATGGATGCATTGGGCCACAGGTGGCTGCACCAAGTGAGATTACCAGTTTGTGAAGAAAATCGCCGACATCAGTATATCTGCCAGCGAAATCTTAAAAGATCACTCCCCTCATTTTGCCCGAAGAAACGATTCGGGCAACATGTCCTTCACCCATACAAAACGGTCATCTTCCAATACTTGAGACACCAGCTTTCTCTTGTCCTTGCGGACCAAAAATACCTCAACCAAATCCATCAACCTCGTCATGATGTCCTTAGCCTCTTGAGGCAACGACTCGTCCTTCATGACAGCAGGTACCCGGTACCAATCCCAGTCAATCATGGCAATGCGATGAGCAGGAGTGTTTCTGCTTCTTCTTCTCTTCAACACTGATGGAGACACACCTTGAGTGTTTGCATACTCCAATGGTGGGGCATCGAAGGGAAGCCTATCTTCCAAAATGGAATAGATGACCACTCCAAGAGACCACGAGTCCAAAAGCTTTCCATCGTATTTGATTCCCATGAAAAGTTCAGGACTGACATAGTCTTGTGACCCGCACTTGGTTGACAAAAGCTGGGTAGGCAGCTCAAGTTTCTTGGAAAGACCAAAGTCTGTCAAAACGCTCAAAGATGAGGTCAATGATGCAAGGGCTGAAAACTGAGAGTTTACTGCGTTCGTCGAGATGTCTGCAAACGTCTCACTGAGTAAGATATTTTCAAGTTTGATATCACGGTGAACCACCATGTTGGCATGCAAGAATCCTATGGCGACAACCAACTCCGCCACTATACGCTCCATAAGTTTCCAGAACTGAACAGTGCCACTGGCCAGTTTATGGTTCCTCAGAAGCCATTGAAGCAAGTTCCCTCCTGGACAATAGCTGAGAAAGAAATATTGCTTGTTGGACATCTTCATGTTGTAGAGGTCGTACATGTCTGCACCTGGAGGCGTCGCCTGCGACGCATCACGGAACAGCTCCTTGATCTCCCTTGACGAGATTGAAAGAGAAATATCGTAGTCTAGAAGCTGCACAATGCTGGGGTGATGGAGATGCAGCAAAATGGCCAACTCTCGACAGATGTACAGACGGAAGTTGGAGACACTCGACACGTCGTTTGTGGGGACAGTGATGATTTTGATAGCAACTTCTGCAATCTGAGGGGCAGTGACAGTAGTTGAATGGGCGCTGACGACAGTACTGAAAGCTCCGGAGCCAATCACGTCGTCAAAGACATAAGACACCCCTAGGCGAGGTGCATGAAATTCCTGATCCTTGAATGAGATATCAACATCAAGCGGTGGCAGGGGAATCTCGGTAGCTCGTCTAGGAAGCAGCTGAGGGTTGGATATGTGTCTAACCTTACCAACTGTATGAGTCATTTCGGTAGGACTGGTGAAAGTCCTGCCAGGGTCAAACTCCGACAAAACACGCGTAGGAGCAGGGAAGGGTCCATTCAGAGGGTGGACACCGCTGCCCTTGGTGGCGGGAGCTCTCTTCTGGATGTCTAGTTGATAATTCTTGAACAGACCATTTGTCAAGACTGGCGTGGGCAACTGGGTAATTTTCTCGTAGTCCATAGACGTAATCAGAGAGCTCAGGGAGCTAGGTTGCATAACTATGGCATCCGCTAAGCCAGAGAGAGATTCCAGGTCGCTATCTGGAACCAAGATTCTCAAGTCTGTGTTTCTGCGAGTGGGCTCATGAAGGGGAGGGTTGTAATGTAATGGAACGCGAATAGGTATCTGGGCATCAGCATCTAGTGTCATGGTGGATGCCAATTGTTTGGCAGGACTGGATGAACGCAGCTGGACCAGAGACATTTGTGTAGCTGGTGGGCGATAAGAGCAAACCTGGGGAAGCTTTGCGCACGACGGGAAAATGGAGCGCGACGAGGTCACGAAACAGAGGAAGCAGCAGATGCGACACTTATGAATGGGCAAATGAGCAAGGGGTGCCAACCAGGCTGAAAAATGACAGACGAAGAAAACGAAATATGAGTTGGATGTGCAAGATTTTGATGATGTGCCATCCGCTTGAATAGGGACTGCACATGACCGGGTTGCATTATGTTGAGGCTGGTCTTGCAGTCCCACGCCTTACGTTTTCCTGCAGCAGGTCAGGTTTTCATAGTGAACATCAAATTTAGCTCGACTTGGGCTGGCATTAATCTGCACCAACACTTAACTTCATTTTGTCAATCGCGGTTAATGCAGGGCGTTCCCGGTAAGCACTTTGTGGACTTGCCCATAGCTGTGCATTGAAGAAGTTTTAAGCCTTGTTATTATTTTGTGAGATCCCAAGAATGTGGAGACGAAGGTACAGTGGTTCTAGAAGATTTGGTCATCACCCAGAATTGTGAGTCAGAACTTACTACTATTCAGGTAGTTTTCGGTTGACACCCGGTTATGTGCCATATTGAGCCAGTGGAGATAGCTGGAATCAAGTGAGTGGCATGGAGTATATGCAGAATCAATGACAGAGGAACAAATCTGACAAGGGTTACGTGCCAGAAAAGTGAGGGCAGAGGTCACGTTTGACATCATTGCGCATTGGTGTGGGATGGATGATTACGATTGTGTTTTGTTGAAATATCAAGCCTTGGTGATAAACTAACCTGGCGAATCATACTGTAAAGGGATGTCTGTAGTCTCCACTCTTGTGCAGGCCTGGCATCCCAATTGGCGTGATTGGCTGCAGACTGGAGCTGTAGGTGGATTTGCTGCATCGAGTAGCGGAAATGCCTAACTGAGCGGAACGATCGCTCTGTATTCAGGATGACATCCTTTTGAGAGAGAATTCGTGTTTTTTGGGATATTTTTGGCCCCCACTAATTTTTCGCTAGCATGCTGAATGCTATTGTTCTGGATAATAACCGAAACTGGGAGGCTGATCAAAGTTTTGACGGATTGCAATTGATTCACGACGCGTACAAATATTTTCCATATGGAAATTGTAGCCATGGCTGGCACCAAGGCTGGCAACAAGGCTGGCACTCAATTTCCTAGAAGTCATCCATGTCGATCATTGCTGGCACTAAGCCTAACAACTACGAGGCTAGTATGAATTCAGGTCGTGTACAACTGTAGAGAACCATGTCCGGACATGTCTAAGCTTGTGCAGGTTTGGTTACTCCCATAGACTGAGGAATCAATTCCGATTAGTAAATTCCGCTGGATTTGAGTTTGTCAAAATTGCGGAGATGCATGCTCAGGTAGTGGGATACGGGAATCAAGTAGGTGGATGGATTTGACTGTAGAAGAATTGGCGAGAGCATCATGGGGAGAACAATTTACGGCTCAAATTAGTAGATTGTTGGCTCCATGAATAGAGGAGCCTTTGAAATACTGTAAATTTGAATCTAGTATATGAAGCAATAAGGGATTAGTTGATAGACGATGAAGAGACATCGTGACAAAAAGTAGCGTCGAGCGACGCTTATTAGGTATGTACTCCTGGTTTCACAATAAATTGCGACTATGCAATGTTTGATAAGAAGATATCCATTCAGAGTACCCCTGTTGATGGAAAAAGGTGTTGAAAAGATAAGAGCTAGAATTCCAGTACAACGCTCAAATGCACCAGCATCATTTTTTGGTAAAGTCACACAATAGGTGGGTCTGCATCGGCAAACACGTAGTTATGCGGACTATATCAGGAACCCGGATTTTTTCCCGGACTAATAAGATCTGAGTTTCGAGGATACTTAATACTATTGACGCAAATGTTCGGAAGAGCATCCAGGAGGATTTGGCCTATCCCGAAATTTGTAGGCGATAGTCCCTTGTTGCTTGGCCAGATGGGTTAGAAGATTCGGTCACAGGGGTCATCCCATTCGTAGAGCTCCTTGGGACCATGACTTACTTCATAACTTCACAGAGCCGCACATGGTCATAAAGGAAGGTTCTCAAAATGGATGGCCAGACTGGATCGATTTAGCGATAAGAAGAGTGTTTGGAAACAACACGTGAACATTTTAAGCCCAACCTTTCACTAAGTCCAGGCTCCAATTTCATTACCCAAAACAATTCTGCTTTCAAACTCAAAATGTTTTCAAGTTTCATGGATAAAAAGATCTTAAAGCTCAAGTCTCTAATCATGAATCTAGGATCTGTGAACTTAAGATTTGACTGGGTCACATTATCATCAGACTGAATGAATAAGATGAACAAATATGATATAAAACCAGAGCAAACCCCCAACAAAATGGAATCCACGTACTCATCGATAACGATCCAGCACGATAAATGGCTTGTAACATTAGCCCGACAATAGCACCCACAATAAAACCTTGCGATAATCCACTCAGTATATATAGCGCAGCAACCGTCACAGCTTTTCTTCCAAAGGAACGTTTTCCGTTGGTAATTCTTCGGAGCCTCAAGCCCTTGAACACTATATTAAAACATGCACAGATCCCGACCAATGTATACACGGTAGCAAAGCAAATCATTGACCAGTATACTGTAAACTTCCAGATATCAGTCGAGTAATAAAGAAACAGCTGGTCATACTTTTCTCGTAGGGGACCTAGGGGCCAGTAAACAGATGGAAAAGCAGGAGGTGTATACCCGATAGGATAATTTTGAGAGCTGACAAAGATTCTCATTATAGAGCATCTGTAGAGAATGTAGAGTTATCATTTGATCTGTGAGTTATAGACCTTGATTGTGATGGTGTACGGGTGCAACAAGGGTTGTAAAGATAAATCACTTAGAGGAGATTAAAAGTTGGAGAGATTCCAGGATTATCACAGAAATGAATATTCATCACTCGGATCTCGATTTTCTGGGGTGCAATTTGCTCTTTTCGAACATTATGGATGTTGATATTAATGTATGGAAATGACTTATATACAGTACTGTTGCATCTGGAGCAAGTGATGGTCATTGAAATGAAAAGGGTAAATAATCGTCAATATGTCAAGTTCAAATGACTTAAGAGTGGATAAATATAATGTTCATTATCTTTCATTGAAGTATCGACCACTACTATTTATGTTGAAACTATCAAATTGAGAATCAGGATTCCATTCCATACTGATTGGATCAGATACTTCAAACTTAAATGTCATGCTAACAACAAGATTAAATTAATTACCTTGTAATCTTTCCTCCTTCACTAAACACTTTGACATGTTTTGATATTCTTCAACAGTTATTACATTAATTATATGCCGTACCTTCATATCTTACCGTTTGGTCCTTGTAAAAAGCCGCCTTTTCATTAAATTTCTAGATCAAAGTATCAAAAATACTCAATCAATCTTAAATAATCACATACAACTACTTATTTCCCTTTTGTCTCTTCTCTTCCTATGTTACAGCCATCGCCGTCTGAACATCCAAACCTCCTACATACACACCCTCGCCACCTACTTCAACAATTTGAATATATACTAGTAACCCACAAAATGTCCAGAAGATACGACTCCAGAACGACCATCTTCTCGCCTGAAGGCCGTCTCTACCAAGTCGAATATGCACAGGAAGCCATTTCTAACGCTGGAACGGCAATTGGCATCTTATCCACCGAGGGAGTGGTGTTGGCGTGTGAGAAGAAGTTCACATCCAAGCTCTTGGACAGCGACGGCTCCGCAGAAAAGTTGTACCATATCAACGACCAGATGATGTGTGCAGTTGCTGGAATGACGGCAGACGCCTCGATTTTGGTCAACCATGCCCGTGTTTCGGCTCAAAGATACTTAAAGACATATAACGAGGAGATTCCATGTGAGCTCCTTATAAAAGGAGTGTGCGACGTTAAGCAGGGCTACACGCAGCATGGTGGTTTGCGTCCGTTTGGTGTGAGTTTCCTTTATGCTGGCTACGATGACCGCTATCAGTTCCAGCTCTTCACATCCAATCCTAGTGGAAACTACAGTGGATGGAAGGCCACGTCCATTGGTGCCAACAACCTGGCTGCTCAGACATTGTTGAAGAAAGACTATAAGGATGATTTGCTGTTGAAGGATGCATGTGAGTTGGCCATTAAAGTTCTTTCGAAGACAGTGGATAGTTCGAACTTGAATAGTGAGAAGTTGGAGTTTGCCACGTTGAGCTTAGGAAAGAATGGGGTTGTCCGTAAGATTTGGAGCGATGAAGATATCGATGTTTTGATCAAGGCGCTGGGTGTGTTGGAGAAAACTGACGACGAGTAGACTAGAATACAGAAGGAAGCGACAATATGTAGGGAATTGTGAATCCATTTTAGATGTCGAAGTGATTGAAGCCAATGCTGTTAGGAAGTCATACCCCAGCTTGGAGCTATGTGTACGAAGCACTTCTCTTGGTGGATAGACACTCGGTCTTTTGTTCTTGAGTTTGTCATTAGTGGGGAGTTTGGTAAATTCCGAGTCTTCAATAATACATGTTGGCATGTCTAATGATCTTTTCATAAGTGACCTATATCCTACAGAGAATTTACGGGAAGCTCCACCTCGAGGCACTTTAATGAAGAGAGAGGTTCGACCACCATTAAATTGCGTAAAGGAATACCAATCGTTGAGCCCCTAATTTGAATTCGAGCAGGCTGTTTCAACCAATCAATAACAAATCGTGCTTCTTTTGTCTTTAACTACATAGCAAATTACTAGTAGATCCTCATTTTTCAAGCTCCGATTAATACAGCTTCCGCAAGTAAATCTCGAAACACCCAAACATTATTGGAGCTTCAGATTCCGATTTGCCCAGATCTTCTATATCTCCTTTCAAGAATCTCAATCCCCATATCAATCTCCACCGATCTGTCTAACGCATAATTATGGGACTTTTCATTGAATGGTCTGTACATTCACCGACATCTGAACATGTTTCGAAAGTTAACATCATCCCAGTGAATAAATGATCGTATACACTCATCTCCGGGAAAGAAAACAATAGGATTACCTTCCAGTTTAGAAAAACTCATTATGCTGTGTCATATCTCGACCAGTAAACTGATTGCCCATTTGCAACATGGCACCATCTCAAGCATTCCACAATCATTTGTACCCAAATTTTCTTATTTTTCGGAAGAAGTCCACCCAGAGTATGCCAGTTCATCGGTCACTGAATCCAGATTGAAGTGTATAGCAATCTTCTACATGGTAATCTCAACACATCATAGTCGGTCACTCACTTTGCCTATCAATGACTTCACCTGTCCTGTGACGCATATCACTCACCATTGCTCCATTGGGTAGCCTTTATCAGAGCCATGCCTCTCATAGGAAGCTCTTTCAACATCATCTTCAATTATCTTCAAAGAGTGAACATCGAGGTTAAAGTAATTTGATGCTTTACTTGGGCTTTGCTACTTCTGAAACCCCCACATTTCCCATATATGGAGCTTCTCATCTCTTAAAATGGATATCGAATTATAAACCAGCTTCAATAAATTTGCCCACCTTCACTTTATCGAAGTTAAAAGGCCCTCACAAATTGCATTGTTGTCACTCTTAGTACCTGTTTGAGTCCATGCAACAGAACTGGCTGCCATAATTCCGAAGCTTAAACCTAAGCCAGAAAAGTCTACGGCAAACCGATAATTAACTTTATGATCTGACCAACACCAGTTACATTGGTTCATTAACTCACCAGCAGTCGTGGTCAATTCATAGATCCATGGTCCACACACAGCAGGCATCTTCCATTGGCTAGTTAGTACCTCGTAAAAGTTGCCGTGTGCATGTTGTGGGATTTGTGAATGAGACTCTCACCTTATATCAACTTCATTAGTTCGATTTATGTAATCTACTTGGTCGCAAGCAATGGCTCCAGTTACCGTCGTAAATAGAAGAAAAAGAGAAGTTACTAATGATTTTAATTTCATTATGCTCTTTCCTTTCAATTTTAGATACGCATCTGAATATGTACTTCTTGAAGATGATCTGATGGACATGTATAGTGTATTGAGTACTATGCACTCATTTTGGTCTACATTCATTATTGCTACTACATCACTCTCACCTAAAATTGCGGATAGAGCACGAAATTATTAAAGAATCAATACGGAAACACCATCAATTACTTACTATTATAAACCTATAACCACTTTACCATTAATCACCATGGATTTGCTCAAGCCTGGTTTGCCTCGCCGGGTGCTTCATCTGATCAGAACAACCAATACCATCACAGCCAAATTGGTCCAACAGCTCAACGCCTTGAATGAAGAGACAAGCGTCTACCTCCTCTCTGTGTCTTCTGTGGACTTTGAGGTTCTTCCTGGCTCAGTGGAGGATATCTTCTCCAAGTTTTACTATGCAGTTGGCTTGGACAAGAACAAGGCCACCCATATTCCCGAAATCTCGTTGGATACGTTGAAGAAGTACCAAAAACAGATGCAAGATGCCTCTTCAGGATCTGACACCCATCAGGCGTTAATTCTGGTGGTCAATCGTTACTCTGTGCTCATTGCCATGTATCACTTGTCCAATTCCATCATCTGCAAGACGATCGTGGCCAAGAACCAGTTACGTTACTGGTCGGACATGAAACTCTCGACCTACTCCAAGATCTGCTATGGCATTCAAACATTGCCCGTGCGAGTGTACCACTTTGCTGCTACTGGAGTCAGAAACACCGTGGTGACAGCTCTGGATGAGTCGAAGTTGAAGCAGCTTCCTTCGGCACTTTGGAAATCGTTCTGCCAACTTGCTACCCAGATGGTCTCGCATGCCAATATCAACTTTATCATGAAGTCGTCCCGTTTCCGTATGCTCAGGGTGCCGCTTAGCTTCCTTGACGACGAGATCAAGGGTAAGATCGAGCAAGTGCAAGAGCATTTGGACGACTATTACCAGAAATTAGGACTCATCATCAACAATCTCCCAGTTCAGCCTGCTCTAGTGCAGCAACTCTTGCCAGAATGTGGATCGGGCATTGAATCAATGCTTGAGACAATTGAAACGTACGTGAAGAGCAACGGAAATGCCCGAAAGACAGCTCCTCCCAACTTCTTCGTTCGTTATTGGCCACTTTTGTTTATCTTGGTCAACTACGGCCCCGAAACAACTACAAAGGTATGGACGAATCGTGAACAAATTCTCGAGTGGATAAAGTACAACTTGGTCGACACGGTGGTGGGATTCTGGAACAACTGGATTGTCAAGCCAGTGGGCGATATGTTGGCGATCTTACGTGACGACAACACCATGACCATCACATCCAAGGAGTCTTTGAAATCGGATTTGGACTCGCTCGACAGAATGGTGTTGGAATTTATGAGAGACAATAATGTGGAAGTCGACCCAGCACAGGTGCACCAAGCCGTTTCACAAGGAGATCTTACAATGATGATGTCACAGTACGAGAAAGAGATCAAAACTCCTTACAAACTGATCATTAAGGGACTGCTTATCCGGTCTATCTTAATCCAAGTTCAAAAGACCAAGGTTGATGGTGCAGTTGCTATCAACGGCATCGACAAGTTGCTCAAGTCCCAGCAGTTACTCTTTGGCATCTTGTCGATCCTGCCCTCTATTTTCATTCTCTACCAGGGCAATCGGGCCTTGCGCAAAGATGCACTGCTCTCCAGTGACGTTACAAGTCGCCGCATCGACTGCCTCAAAACCTTGAATCAAGTGGAGAAACTAGTTAACCGCGAGACTGACGAAGACAAGCTTGTGTGCGATGGTAAGCTTTTTGTTGAGATTGTCAATTTGTCACTTTTATCGAATGGCATTGTTCCTAAGAAACTCCGCAGTGACTTTTTACATGATCTTAACGAACTTGCGGTGGCCCATACTGATACCAGTGAACGGGCATCCAGTGCTGTCAACCGAATCTGGAATATGTACCTGCCCTTTTTCAGGTCTCTCAAGTGAGCTCCCCACCTTTATCCAGTCTGGGTGATGTTAAGATGGGGGGTGGGCATTCCACGGACTAGTAGCCAAAAGTACTGATTACCTTCCATTAAAGTTTAAATCCGTTCATTTCGCAATTTATCTCCATTATAGTTCTGCCAATTACGTGGTTGTCGACCCTTCCCATTGCTGCATGTCTTCCGGTTCCTTCTCCTACTTTTGACGTACAGAAGGTAAACTACAGTGGGGATTCGGTGGGGAAGCATGCTTGACTAGCGGACAGAAGACACTCCGCAGTCACCCTTAAGCCCATGCCGTATCCAGGTACAATCGACGAAAACAGAAATTACTAGCTATGCATAAATCACCACATTGCTGTTTGGCGTAAGAGAGTGTCTACGAAATTTGGCAAGCACTTTAGGCGACAGGGCAAGTTTTGCGTCCATCTTTACCCTTTTTTCGCAGACATTTTTGGGCCCACTTCACACCACTTTTGTTCCTGGTTTCGCACCAACTTTGACTAGTTATGCAGCTATTTTTTGATAGGTACACTGCACTGAGCACTGTGTATTAACCATTGCTAACACATAGCGCACCTACCTGTTTTTCCATGTCAGCCGCACAACGCTAGCAACAGGGATCAACTGAAGCCAATGGGAATTCTTTTTTTTATTAGTTTTGAAATTGAAATGGTTGCAAGCATTCCATGATCGAATACTCAGTTTCTGCACTTATTCCAACATTTTGTGTTTCTCCAGTTTCTCCTTTCGGTTGGCATATCATTTGTCTCCCCACTCCTCCCCACCGATTTCGCAACGAGTACGTTGCGGGGAACCATCAATTAGTATAAAAGTTTACGCCGATCCAGACCATGTTGAGACAACTGTCGTGCTGGTTTTTTTTATCAACTGCTTGACTGCTTCTATAACATTTATGGCTTAGGATCTTTGCTGCTGCCTGGTGCTTTCCTCATTTGTCCTCTGTCTTCATCGCCGCCTTTACTACTTTAACTGACTTATCTGACTTAACTGTCTCAACAGCCCCCAACTGCCTAAAGTGGTTCATTTGTCCTTATTGCTGCGCTTACTGCTTTGCTGACAGTGTCCACTCTACTTCTCGTGACTCATAGACGGTTCTGCCACCTCAGGACCCTGCCGAAATTCCCGCATCTTTAGCTACTCCCTGGTTATCCCAGGCTTCTAGATCACCCTCCGCCGCCGTGTCTTCGTCCCACATTCCACGTTCTCTCCGGGGAACAGAGTCTACACCCACCATGGCGGAAGAAGAAGACCACTTTGCCAACACCATCAATAACACTGGTGGGTTTGGCACCAAGACTGCCACTGGCAACCTGCGCATATTTAATTGCAAGCATTGCCAGAGAGCCTTCACTCGTGAAGAGCACCTCACGCGGCACATACTTCTGACCCACAATAAGCTCAAGCCGTTCATTTGCGGTATCTGCTCTCGGCCTTTCTCCAGACGGGACTTGCTCCTACGGCACGCAAAGAACTTACATCAGGGGTCAGAATTAGCAGTTTCCCGTATTAGGAAGCTGTTCAAGAATGCACCCGACAATGATGAATCGAAGCTACAAGACGAGCTGCTGCCTGAACAAAAACGCATGAAGATGTCAGTGGACATGCTAGTTAGTTGACAGGGTATATAGGGGTTACAAACTTTCGGAATATTACAAGGAAATCATACAAGAACCGTAGATACCTGGGATCTTGAAACACTGTTGCATTCCATTTTTTAATTTCACTGGTGAGAAATGAATAGGGGTATTCATAATAGCAATTATTTTCCAAATTCAGACCATTCCGGATGGTTTGATGAGGTTTGAAGTTTGACATCTTTAATATCCAAAATGGGCAATTCTCAGCCTGTGCAGGTTGCTACTACATCACCATGGAGCCTCTATTCGTATACCTGGTGCCAGACACCGATTGGCATGTGATAGTAACGGATGATGCGGGCCATTTCTACTTCAATAGCACCACGAAGGTGTCTAAGTGGCAGTTGGCTGACATTGAGGCCGATGTGGCCAATAAGATAAACTACGATGAGGTCCTGGTACTTTTCGCTAAGGCGAGAGGGTTGGATGTGGGGAGAGCAAGGATAGAACGTAAGCAAAGAAAGGAGGTAGGAAGAGATATAGAAAGTAAAGACGAAGTGGAAGTTGAAGAGGGAAGTGAAGAGGTGGAGGAACAGATCGAAGATCAGGAAGAGATGCCTGAGATGGATGTCATGGCCGAAGAGCAAACTATGGACCTTCTCAGGGAGGTAATGGCGGAAAATAATGTGGAAATCGATAGTGAGCTGGATAAGACTGAAGAGACAAATCAACAAGGCTTATCGTTGGGATATTCCAGTAGTGATCTGGATAGCGAGGATGAGGATGAAAACGAAAAAGATGAAGAAATAAGAAGTGGAAATGAAGAAGACATTGAAAGAGGAAGTGGAGAGGAAAAGTCAATTCACAATGAATCACATAATGAAGATGATCCGGATCACGATGCAAGTGAAAACAATGACATGTCTGCCGAACTCGATCTCTCCCTTGAGTCCCATGAAGATCCAGCCGCCACACAAGCTTTTGAAAACCTTCTTAACTCACACAAATCTTCAATCTCCATCTATGATCCCTGGTTCTTGGTGGAAGAAGAACTACTCCCCAAAATCGCTACCGATCCAGCATTCTACGCGGTGTCAGAGACAGACCGAGAGTCCATCTTCAACCGGTGGGTATCACAGCTTTCTACAACAAAGGCAGGTGTATATCCAACTGGCGAGTTGCTTTTTTACCACATGCTCCAGGACCACAAGAACGATGTTCGGAGCATGTATTTCAGTGAATACCTCACGGCACACAGTGCGGTTGCAAAATTCCTAGCCAACCATCCAAATGTCAATGGCGAGGTATTGTACAGACAACTCCGAGTGACATTAAATGATTTTGCCAAGTTTGAACGAGCAACAAAGAAGCAAAATAAAAATGCAACCAATGATACAAAAGCCAATGCTACTACTGGTAATCTCAAGGTTGCGCACCTTAACCAGTTCCTTAAGGCTCATCGCAGTGACCTTGCCCAATGTGTCCTTGAAACCCCAGGAAATTCCCTAGAGACTACAGGAAGTGCTTTTGACCAGTGGAACCAACTCCTTAACAACGGAGTGCCAACGTCCATTGCGCATGATCCTGCCAATTTCATTGTCGGGGACGAAAAGCGATTACATTGTTATCGTGATGCATTGTCGGGACTGACGGAGTGATGGATGGGGAACATCTATAGAGGAAAAGTCTGTGTCGACGGGGTCGATGGGGTCGATGGGGTCGATGGCCGTAATTGTAATGGCAGTCATACACTTCGAGCATATGACAAATTACGTTGCCTTGGAGGGTAATTCTCATGGTGCAGTGACTCAAAAGAATAAATGTGGAGAATGCACACTTAGTAATGGAATGATCTCACTATGTGTGTGGACAATACTGAGGATACTAGCAATTAATCTTCAAGTGACTATATTTGCCAATACCTTCTGCCCATTCAGTCACACAATGAATTCCAAAAATTCAATTGACTAACACTACATGTCAATCTTCCACATTCCCAATTGACGGAATTAATTAACGGAGATTGTAGTAATTTCCATTTTTTAACTGAGGAGGCCAGCCCCGATCACATGACTTCCCACCCGAATCAGACCGTACCATAATCAGTGTCAGTGGGTTTGCCACCTGCCTACAGGTTTGGCCCGCATGGCAAGCCTAATTGAGAGCGGACCCGGGTGCAAATTTCTTACCACCGCCGATTACATCCCAGAATTGTCAGCAGTGTCGTATAACCATTTTTTTCATCGCTTTGTCATGCCAACAACTTTCTTCTATCTATTGTTCCGATGAAATCGCCGTACTCCCCATCTCCCAAATTACGTGATGCTTTTCTTTTTTTTGTTTTTTTGTCATTGGTAAGGCAAATTTTCGCTGCACGGGTCGGGAGATCCATACGGCAGGTATCCGCACTAACTCCGATCCGGTAAGTGGTACTCATCTCAAGATTAATAAGGTCGTCGTATATAAAGATATGGCCTGCCAGTTATGGGGAGATAATTGGATGGATGAAATTGCTGACTTGATACTTCTAGTTTGATATCTGTTTTCTACTCAACTATTTGTGATACTTGTCAAATTTACTCTTTGTTTCAATATCACTTGCCATTTATTCACTTGGCTTATCTACCTAATCATCAGCTACAATTTCCCATGTTACTCGTGTCCGCACAAGACCAAATGTTTTCCAAGTTAAACCCGCTCAATTACTATCGCAAGGGCAAAAAGACATCGTCTCCATCTCCCAAAGACCAAGCTCTGCATCAAGCTCTGAATCCATGGTTCCTCAAGATGTGGAAACGTACCCCCAGCGAGTCGTCTATGGGAGAACACAGACGTAATACCGTGGTTAGCCGTTCTCAGTTGAAGAAGTCAAGGATTGCCGCATCTCAGGCCATGGCCGTGCCATCGGTGGCAGTAAGTCAAGTGCCGAGGAGAGAGCAAATTGCCAGTCACGACGACGACATTCAGCCGTACGCCGCAGGAAACGGAGAATTACTAAGTCCCGAATATTTCGTGGATGTCAACTTGCGCTATACAAACACTAACACAACCAGCATGTATAGCAGCCGAGAGTCGATCCTAGACGAATCTGTGAGGTCTTGAAATTTTGAAGTCTGACGAGTTGCAATTCACTTATTGCAAACTTCTATTGTCATCCTGTACCACTGCATGATTCTTGACATATTATGGTCAATTGCAAACATTTATTGATGGAAAGTCTCGGCTAGTATCGGTAGCTATACCGAGGAATTCCAATATGTTGGACCTCGGTTGGTTGAATGTAGTCGATTTTCTGGTGTCGGCACTCGGTAGTGGATGGGACGGCTTTCGGTTTGTATGCTCGGCCCGTTGGTGGTCCGATGCATCTGCCTGCATGACGTGAAGCCGTCTTCCACAGTTGTATATATCTTAATTTTCCCAGCATGTATGTATTTATTCACTTTTTTTTTTTGAACAAAAAGAATCAAGAAGAATTCTGAACCGCAGTAGTATTGGTTTTTGTTTGATTTTCGTTTGTCCTTGTTAATCGCTCTACATTCGCTCTCTCATTTCTAAGCTTATTTTTTGCAACCCATCTTCACCTTATTACCCAAATACCGATACTTCTCAGAATCACCAATTTTTTTCTCTATGCTATTTACTTGTCCATTTTCTACACCGGAGGAAGTGCACACCGACACACTGGACATTGTAGCTTGTAAATCATCCAGTTCTCTAAGCAACTGGCATGGAAAATATGATGGCACGGCGTTACCAGCACCTCCTTCATCATTTGTTCATACGACCTTTTCTCTTTGGTATCTGCTGTTGCTAACACCGGAATGGATAATGACGACATGCAGATTGCACAGTCCACCTCACAAATGGACACATTACTTCCTGCGGAATGTGGCTTCATGTTGGCGAGAATATCCGAAGCAAATCCACTTTCCAAGTCACTGATCAGCATTACTGGGTGGTAATTATACTGCTCAGGAAGCCATCTATCATTGACCCAGAATCTTGCCCCCAATCTACTTTGTAAATAGAGCAAGAGAATCTGCACAAGGAGCCAGCAAGACAACGCGTACACGAGATATGGATCCCTAGCATGTCTAAATGGGTTGGAAGCATTGAGACACAAATACAACACCGGGATCATCCTCACAAGCGAAGTGCCCAAGACAAATTCCCACAGGAATGTCCGACTACGATTCTTCAATGTGTTTCTGAAGAATTGAGGGATCCAGTAGGAGTTTATGAGCAAGACACCCGAATATTCCACGACACGACGAACTGATGTTCGCCACTCAGCAGCAACAAGAATCATGTATGCCACAATACAAGAAAGCATGAATCCTGTGAATGCATACCCCACGAAAAGGCTGGACTCCTCTGTGGCCTGAGGAGTTGGCAAGTTGGCCTGGGTAGGTTCAGCTGCCGTAGTAGTTGGGGGTGTTGTTGTGTTTCCAGTGCCACCCATAGTGGCATTTCCTTCAGTTGCAGTGCCTTCCGTTGGAGCTTGCTGGGTCTCAGGTGATGCTCCACGGAGAATCTCCCACCAAGTAGTTCCTCTTTCATTGGCCTGCGTAGCACTGATTGTCAAAAGGTACCGAACCTCAAACAGATAATAGAGGAAGCCACTGAATACTCCAATGCAAGTACACAAGAGATAGAGCTCTTTTCTCCAGAGGGTAATAACCGATAATACCATTACAATCAGGTCATAAAAGCTGAGCATTCCAATACAAATTGTGGACACATTCGACAACTGGCTTGGCGTGTGGCACTGTTTCGTCTGTTTCATGATCAATTTGAGCTCCAAGAGTACCAACAATAACACACAAATCAACACATTTCTCAATTTTTTCGTTGTCACCTCCACTCTCTCACCCACGAAAGCTGCGGAGGGCTTATTCTCGAACAAAATTCCACAATCCGGAGAATATAGGAGAGCATTTGAAATTTCTAGAGGAGGAATCGTTTTAGGGAGTGGTAGTCCCTGTGGCAGGGCAAGTTCCAGATCAATATAGCGCAATTGGCTCTGAGTATATTGAGTCTTCTCAAACTGAATATAAGACACCAATTCACATTGACCGTCAGCCTTCTCAATCGACCTGTTGATATCATCCATGGTGACATCTTTCTGGATGTTGGTAACTTCCAAAAGACGGGAAACAAGCAACTTAGTCACGTTGAAATTGTTTTCAGTGAATCCAAAATGTGGCAACGCATAGTTGCCTCTGAATTTCCCTGAGTTCGTGATGGCAGCTAGTGATCCAGTATTTTGATAGTAAACACCTAGCATTCTCAAACGATGAATATCAGATTCGCTATGGTTCTTAAGAGTCACCTCCACAACGACCAATACCGTGTCCTTCTCTACACCCAAATTATGCTGTTCAACATTTAAATCCGGATAAGCGTCACTTAAAGAGTTGATTGAAACCAGAACAAGGCCGTGGTTATAAGTGGTGATATTGCCAACTTTGTCCACGATGGTGTCATACTCCTCAGGAGGCGAATTATTTTCTGGATCCAGTTCGTACTTCTGCTTCTCGTCCTCGTACTTCTCCCGACGGTAGTAATTGTAGTAGTCTCGTAGGTAATCAGGCAATTCAAGAGGAAAAGGAACAATCTTCTGTTTTGGCTTCCAAACCTCGAACTCGCCGTGAATATCCCCAGAAATATTGAGATGGTATGCCTTTCCGGAAGGTTCCACCGGGTTGTTGCCCCAGAACGTCTTGATCCGTTCTGTAACTTCATCTGGAAGCATAGTATCTTTCTGAGAATCGGAAAAAGGATGCTCCGGCGAATACTCTCTGAACGGCCAATCAGACACATTTCGGTGGTCCAAATTGTCCTGGTACGAAAGCCTGAGCCCCGGCAAGTCGCCGTATCCCAAGTAATACTCGGCTTTTGCCTGCTCATTCTTGCTTTGCACCAACTTATCCTTGTAGAGTTGAAGAACCTCACGATCTTTGTCACCCGTAGCCTCATCTGGTCCTTTCGGCATCATAATGAAGATCATCATGATCATGATGATCATGAATGTCTGGCGGTCCATAGTTAAACGTTTAAGATGGCAAGAATTAGTGGTTAAGTTTAGATATAGTTTGTACAGGTCTGGAGTATGGGTAACGGGGAGGAGGATACTGGGACCCTCTTGGGTTGACATTGCACAACCAACGAGAGTATTCTTTTAAATCATTGTTTTTCCGTATGTTAATCATTTCAAAATTTATTGGACTGTTCCAAGCTGAAAGCTGAATTTTTTGAGTAACTTTGTTTGGAAGAATTGATTGAGAATGGTAGAAGCAACTTTCTAAGAAATTCAAGAAACAAAGTAGAGATGTTATTTCTGATGCCTATTGTTTTTATGGTTGATTTTTGAACAAAAATCGTAGATTTTTATTATTCTTTTTTTTAGGATTTATTGAATTCCAAAGTTATGTGTGAGTGTAAAGTTTACGATGTAACTTAGTTAGCAAGCGAAGAGAATCACATAGATATATTGACAATGACCAATTCTGACATAACAGTGTGCATGCCATTTGAATTGGGACGAATGTAGAGTGTTTAGGCGTGAAGTAGGAATCTCAGATGAAAGGTAGAAATCCTAAAGATCATTAATCGTCTTTAAGAACGATTTGCAGGTCGTTATTGATTAGAGAGCCACAGGTGAAGACCTCTTCGAAATCAACGTGGTGCGTCTCTTCATCTTACTATAGACCTAAGTTGGCCTTAACACGGAGTGAATTTAGGAAAGATAAACTTAGGTATTAAGCTCATTTAAAACGCCAAATGAAATGTAGACGAGAATAGATACAACAAGAACTCTTGATACCATTGGATCTATCTTCAAAAATGGCCCAGAAAAGAAGACTCTATGCTACACGATTAAGTTGCTTTAAATTGAGCTCTCTTGTTTCATTTCTAGACATCGTAGAAATTTATGGCATCAATTACCAACTCTCTTGTGTTTCAAAACCCTTAGCTATCAAAATACTGTACGGGTACGACTAAGATTATCCAAAAAGTAAAACGAAAACTGTCAAGACAGCGCCTTTAACCAATAATTTACCGAAAAACTTTCAATTGACTTCAATTTAACCCTCGAACTTACTCACAAACGAATTCTTCTTGTTCACCTTTTCGCAGCCACATACCACACTACATCTTCCTTTTCTTTCATTTTATTACTGTCAAGCGACACATGCATATTTTGGATATAAATCAAACCGCTGGCTGCCAGCAGCTTATGGTACACGTCAGCGACATTACAAGAACATAGCTGCAAATGTCACGACTATAAGGAATCCCGAAGCGCCCACCTTCACTCCTGAGTTGGCGGCGGCCACCACGGGTGGCTCTTCTCTCTTTTTTAAATCGTCAAGAAGACTACCAAGAAGTCCTTTAGAGGCAGTACTGCTTGCAGAAGCAGACGAAGATGGAGAGGCCGACGTGGTGGTGGTAGCAGCTATTGTGGTTGGTGCACTGGAAGATTCTGATTCAGAAGCTGACGCAGTTGCAGGCTCCGTCTCAGAAGCAGACTCGGACTCAGATGTTTCAGCATCACTGACTGACTCAGAGGCGGACTTGGTAGCGCTACCTGCCACTGTGGTGGTAACTTTCGCAGAAGTGGTGGTGTCATCCTCTTCGTCGTCCTCGTCCCAGTCACAAACTTCTGTGTACTCACTCTCATCTACCTCAGTGGTGGTGTATGATGACACAATGGTCTCAACAGTGGTTACATCTGTGGACTTGCCAGCAATGGTAGTGTGGTAAGTACGAGTACTGGTCAGAGTAAAGACTTTGGTTTCCTTTGAAGTATAACCTCCAGAGCCATTGTTATTACCAGAACCTGAGCCTGATCCAGAACCTGAGCCTGATCCAGAGCCAGATCCGGAGCCAGAGCCAGAGCCACCAGTTGGGGTGGACTTCTGGGAGGTGGTAGGAACGTCACAGACAAAGTCATCGTCGTCCTCATCATCATCAGCGTCCGAGTCGTAGTAGTCATAATCGGCATCACCGCAGTCCACATTCTCGCAGTTGGCCTTGCACTCAGAGTCGTAGCCTCCAGTCGATGACGAAGTACTCTGCCACCAGGCGGTAGTGGTTGCACCCGATCCAGAACCTCCGGATCCTGATCCTCCTGAACCAGAGCCAGAGCCAGATCCAGAGCCAGAGCCAGAACCTCCTGATCCTGAACCAGTGGCTGTAACAAAGACATCCTCCACGCTAGTGTTGAGAAGAATCTCGTTCTCCTCACACTCCCACTCTTCGTCATCCAATGTGGTTACGTATGACGAGGTCACAACCTTGGTGGTAACCACACCAAAAATGTTAGTGGACGTGGTGGTCTTTACAATGTTGGTCAGGTAATGGTGGCCAGACTGCGTGCTTGTAATGGTGGTGTCCTTAACTGTAGTGCTGCTGCTTCCGTTGGAGTCAGTGGTTACCACAGTGGTCTTTCCAGTAGAGGTCGAGACACCGGCCACAGAAGAAGATCCAGTCTTTGAGCTACCAGAACCAGAGGTGTTCGAAGTTCCAGAGGTCTTGAAAGTTCCGGAGGTCTTGGAAGTTCCGGACCCAGAAGTGTTAGAAGTTCCCGAGGTCTTGGAAGTTCCGGATCCAGAAGAAGTTCCTGAAGTCTTCGAGGTTCCAGAAGTCTTTGACGACTGAGTAGTCTCCACAGCGGTGTCGGTGTCTCCACCAATGTCAGTGTACAAGTCACTGCAGTAGACATCATCGTCGTCGTCATCATCGGTGGCACTTGAAGTTGTCGAGCTTGTGGTCTTGTTACCGTTCAAAAGGTCACTCAACCAGTTTCCAGTGGTTGTAGTTGAAGCTTTCGAGGAAGAGCCAGTTGATGAGGAGGTAGTTAAGGTGGTAGTCTTATTGTTTCCGTTCAAGATGTCACTTAACCAGTTACCTGTAGTGGTAGAGGTAGTGGAGCTGGAAGATCCGGAAGATCCAGAAGTGGTAGAACCAGTTGATTTCGAGCTACCGCCGTTCAAAATATCACTCAACCAGTTACCCGTGGTGGTAGAAGCACTGGAGCTGCTAGAGCTAGAAGCTCCAGAAGTAGTAGTGCCAGTAGATTTCGAGCTGCCACCGTTCAAGATATCACTCAACCAGTTACCAGTAGTGGTAGAGCTGGAAGACCCAGAAGACCCAGATGAATTATTAGATGCACTGGAAGAGCTGGTAGTACTGGTAGTAGTGCCAGTGGTCTTAGTGGTGTCTTGAAGAATGGAGCTGAGCCAGTCACCAGTAGTGGTGGAGTCTCCATCGTCGTCACAGATCCAATCATCATCGTCCTCATCAGATGAAGTAGAAGATGAAGCTGAACCAGAGGTTGATCCAGATCCATTTGATGAAACAGAGCCAGATTCAGATGAATTGTCTGCAAGAAGTGCAGCAAAAAGACCTTGGGCACTAGCGGTCGAGGTGGTACTGGTTTCAGAACTCGAAGGAAAGCTTGGTGTGGATTCCAATGCGGAAGTGGATGTATCCACAGCACTAGTGTCAGCCTCGGCAGTCAGGGAAGGCTCACTAGTGTTCGCAGCTGTGTTACTGTTGGCATCAAGTGCTGGGCTGGCTGTAGCAGCAGGAGTGTTCGAAACAGTGGCCTCAGTGGTGGTAGCAGAAGATGAGTCGTCGCCTTTGCCACCAAGAAATGCGGCAATAGCATCAGAGAGAGCTCTCTTTTGCGCTGAACTAATAGCAGTGGAAGTTGGGGCTGCGGCACTAGTGGTCTTCTTGTGGAAGAGACCCGCAATGATATCGAAAATACCTTCCTTTGTCGTGGTGGCAGTTGCGGTGCCTGTTGCAGTTGCTGGTGCTCCGGCAGAGCTCTTGTGGAAGAGACCGCCAATTATATCCCAAATACTCTTCTTTGTAGTGGTGGTGGTGGGAGTTGAACCGGTGGCAGTTGCCGTTGTAGCCGATGTGATGGATGCACTGTCATCACATCCATCTTCGTCATCATCTGAAGAGGATGAAGTGCCTTTAAGTTTGTTCAAGAGATCGGCAAGCAAGCCTCTCTCTTCGAGCTCCTCGAGCTGACGCTTGACTGATGCTACCGCGGTGCTGGTTGCAGCAGCAGATGCTGTGGTTGTCTTCTTGTGGAAAAGACCTGCAATGATATCAAGAAGACCCTTTTTGGTGGTTGTGGTTGGAGCTGCGGTGCCAGTGGCTGTAGTTGCAGTTGTAGTGCCAGTTGCAGGAGCTCCAGTAGACGTCTTGTGAAAGAGACCACCGATTATATCCCAGAAGCTTTTCTTTGTGGTCGTGGTTGAGGTTCCGGTACCACCAGTGACGGTGGCAGTTGAGGCAGTGGTGGTCACACTGTCATCACAACCATCGTCATCATCGTCAGAAGAGGATGAAGAACCTTTAAGTTTATTCAAAAGGTCCGCAAGCAAACCTCTTTCATCGAGTTCCTGGAGTTGTCGCTGGACTAACTCATAGTCGTTGTTCAAATCAGCAGTCGCAAGTGCCAGGTGGGCACAGAGCAAGAAGGTAAGTACGGGTGCTGAGATTCTCATTGTGTGTCACCCATGAACGAGTGGAAGGCGAGATTAAAGGGACAACAAGAAAAAGATATGGGAGGTGGCTTGCGGTGGTGGGAAGAAGTACGACTATAAATCGAAACTGGTGGATGTGGCCCTAGTACCCATTACCCAATGCGGTAAAGAGTGTTCGCAGCCATTTTACCAAAGTAGGTGAGAAATGGGCTCTGTCTCCTGCACAATACCAAGGGCTGCTGTGCAACATTCGCTCAATCGAGTATATTAACAGTTATTGCTACAAGCAGTAATGTTCATTGCGATTTGTGGAGACGATGTAATATTCTGCTTTGGGAAATTACCTAAAGTAATTTGGCATTTCCAACAGCTAGGTCTAGGCTGGCAGTGGGATTTAATGAATGGAAAGAGGGAATCAACGAGATAAGTGAATAGCATGAGGACAATTCACGGAGAATGGGCTACGGCTTCACAATTTTTAGAAAATTTTCCAAATTTGTTGATAGGCCATCTCGATATTTATTCTTCTGGTTTTACGGCTCGCCAACTTCTGTCTTCTTCATTCGTATGTTCGCTTAACATATTCCTGTTGTTCCGTTCTCTGCACTGTACTTAGCTATTACCCTTTTCGGAAGGAAGGTATAAATAGTTACTTCTTCACGAGTCGACGGTTAACTGCAACAGGGCACAACTCCTTTCCTGAACGAGGCCAGCAAAGGCAGAGCCTAGTCTTTACAAATTGGGTAATTAATTGGGCTTGGAGTTTAAAAGCCTTGATGGAAAGCAGACCCTTGCCTTGTACTGTGAGGAATGATTAGGCAATGTATATATTCCTTTAGTGACTAGGTAACCCCAATGTAGTTGACTGTTTGATGGAATCAATCCTATAAGTTACTTATTGCGTTGGAGTTTCAATATTTGAGGATCATGCTGTACTTTATATTAGTATTCGATTCCTTAATAGAAGTCCTCGGTTATGTCCTTCTACAATAGTCTTAATTCAAATATCTTTTAGGTATGAACTGGCATCGAGCCAAGTATGTGAAATCATATATAGTGCTAAAAGGCCATGTAGCCCAAGAATCCCTCTGGCATAGTAGCCTTTCCTCCGGTGAATGCTCTCTTGATCGATCTGTTGACCCTCTTCTTCAATGCTCTCTTCAATGCTCTCTTCTTAATCTTGTCTGCGGAGCAACAGCAACTGGTAGTATCTGAAGAGCTTCCAGAGCTTCCAGAGGATCCAGAGCTTCCTGAAGATCCAGAGCTTCCAGAGGAGCCTGAAGATCCAGATCCCGAAGATCCAGATCCTGAAGATCCAGAGCTTGACGATCCACCACCAAACAAATGGTCGACTAAGTTGTCAGCAAGACCTCCAAGAATAGAAAGGAATGAACCACCACCGGAGCCACTGGATCCAGAGTTAGAACCAGAGCTTGAACCGGAACTTGAACCGGAGCTTGAGCTACCAGAGTTTCCGAACAAACTGTCAAAGATAGAAGACAATAAACCACCAGAGCTAGATCCTGAAGAGGTGGATGAACCAGAAGAAGAAGAAGACGAGGATGAAGAAGAAGAACCTCCGAACAATGAGCCGAGAAGTCCCAGCAAGGAGGTTCCGGAAGAGGAGGATGAAGAAGAGCTCGAAGAGGATCCATTTCTGAAAGTCGAGAGCAACTCCGAGAGTAAACCTCCGGACTTAGTAAGACTCGAGAAAAGTTCACTGCCAACCTCCACTCCAACGCTCAACAAAGAACTGAGGAACGATTTATGGGTGGAATTGGAGCCGCCTCCAAAGAGTTCGTTGATCAACGAGGAAAGTGAGGCTCCCGAGAACAAACCAGCAAGGAACTTCAAAATGTAGCTAAAAATTGACTTGATGAGGCCACTGTTCTTAATAGTGTTGAACAACGAGCTCCAGTTGATACTAGCAAACACCCTTTTGAACAAATTGATCGTGTAGGAGATCAAAGACTGGTTTCCAATAATGGACGAGATGATGCTCTTGACCAAGCCCAGAGAGGTTATTGACCTTACAATGGTTATCACAGTGTCAAGAATAGCTCTCTTGTCCATTCCATATGCCTCCTCCAAAACTGAATCTGAGTAATATTCTCTCTTAACCATAGGAGCTACCGAGTCGGCGTAGATGGCAGAGAGGAATGGCTGAGATGATGATAACGCATCACGAGCAGCCAATTCTCCTCCGTCCTCGACTCCTTCCAAAATATCTCTGGCTGTGAGGTATAACTCCTCATTCAAATCTTCATCGTTCAAAACAGAGTCAAAGAACGTTTCAAGCTTCCCACTGGTTCTCAAACCAGTCAATAAGGTTGTTTCGTTGACAAGACCTCCGGAAATGGCATCTTGGACACCTTCCTCGATGGCAGTAGTAAAGTTGGTGTTGTGAAGCTCATCAATGAAATGTTGCAACAAGTCAGAGTTGTGCAACTCCATGACGAACTGGTCAATAAAGTTTGCGTCGTCTCTTCTTTGTAAATTAGTAGAGAAGCCTGTCTCATATCTCTCATTCATTTCTCTGATGGTGTTCAACACATAGTCAAAGTCAATGATGGACACGCCGTTGTCGTTTCTTTTGGTTATGCTTCCTTTAGTGGTTGGCGCAGCAGAAACAAATGCTGAGCCCAATACCGATGCATATGTGAAAATAGTGGAAAGCCTCATGGTGGCCACAGTTACACCTAAAAAAACGGGATCAGCGAGGGAACGTGAAAGGGTAAAATCGAGAAAAGCGGTATGAATACGGGTACGGGCCCTTTTTAACAGAATAGAATCATTTGCAACCATTCAGTTTCGCTTTTAGGAAATTCCCCAATTAGGCAATTCTCACCATGGACATTAGTCTCAATAGGGTAATCGGAGGTAAGAAGCCTCCACCTGAAGCGTCATGAGCGTAGATACGTCGTGGTTCGTAATCTTAGCATATGCTATCCGAATTCAGCAATTTTTTTCATCACTCGTCAAGGTAATGGGAGGTTGTTGTCCTAAGTTTAGCATGGCTGATTGCAGGAAGGTTCTATTACACGGTAGAAATGGAATAGACTGTGCTAGGGATTGCTTATATGAATTTCGGGAGGGAGATATTCGACAAATTAGGACTAGCAAGTGATCTGAGAGCTCCATAATATTGAAGTTTTTTTTGCTGACGGTCAAGTGAGACAGTTTGTGGTTGCAATGTTTTAAGTTGTGTATTTAGCAAAAGTTGGCAATGAGTTGAGAAAATAGAAACATCGTACAAAAAATAGGTGGAGGGATAAGAAAGAAAAAAGAATAGAAAAAGTTTGGAATTGAGAAATGCAGCAAAATTCTATGAAATGAAATATGAAAGAAAAGGAATGCAAGAAGAACAGGTGATATCACTTATAGGAGCTACGAAACAGAGGCAACTCAGAGAATAAATGGAGTTGAACTATCCATTGAGAAGGATTGAACTTAAAAATAATATAATCCTAAAATTACCAAGGAATTTTATCCCTTTGACACAATTGAGAGATGGTAACTCCCCTATGAACGTTCAATCACCACTGACACCATTTCATTTTATAAAACATCTCTGTGAATGAGTCAATGAATCTGTATATTCCCTTTCATTTCCAATACCATTCCTTTCCAATACCTGAAGATTACATCCGCCCCATAATATCTACGTTGTTTAGCTCTCTATTTTTCTTTTGCTCCACACATTCGGTATTTTTTCGAAATTCTGTATATTTTCATCAACATTCTTGGATCTATGAATTCTAGGTGTCCTTAAAGCTGTATTTCAGTGAACAAAATATCCCAGCTAAAACCAAAACTCAGAAAATTAAGCATTTCAAACGACTGACGAATTATGATTCCATTCTTTCTGCCCTATCGATCCATTTCTTTCATCCTCTTCATTTTACCACCTTCTCCACCAATTGTTGTCCTGCACTAATACATCCATTTCTGCAACTCCACCTACAAAGCTCCATCTGCTATCCACACCATGAGACCTTCTCTTGTGAGACTTGTCAGACAAAGACGTCCAGAGCGGAAAACCGAGCCGCTCTTACCCCCTCTCCAGCTTTACAAGGCCATTTTGCGTGCACATCACAGCAAACTTCCACAAGAACTCAGATTCTTGGGTGACGAGTATGTGAAGGCAGAATTCAAGGCCCACAAAGGCATCGACAATCCACTTCACATAGTTGGGTTTTTGACACAGTGGCAGGACTACTTGCGCAGCATCGACGGAGGAAACTGGAAGGAAGGTAAGTTGACACAGCAGGAGTTGAACAAGATGTCTCCGGAACAGGTTGGCCAGCTTTATGAGTTGATGCAAGAGACGAAGCGGATTGGATCAGAGAGTTCAGAAGAGAATTGATGTACATAGATAAACCAGAGGTGCTGACCACCATAAGGCTGACTGAATTGAAAGGAGGGTTCTACTTGAATTACCTCCATAATATACAAGAAGTGAGAGTAAGCTAGAGTAACTGAAACAAATGGAGTGTTGCGATTATGTTATGAAGCTTGATTTAAATCGACATTGATTTCGAAGTACGAATATGATCACATCAATTATTGAAACCTGTCAATTAACATTTCCATCTATTTCCTTAGTGAATCCACCACGAAATGCAATAATCTACTCAGTGAAAAATCGACCTCATCAACTATTGACGATTAAGAAGTGAAATAAGCATAATCCCAATTTCCATGACAATTTCCATGACAATTATTATCAAGTAAAAAAACCCCAACTACATCCTCTCAAAAAGTCTAGCTTCCTATTTAGTCCATCTACAAACCCTTGCCGTAGTTGCCCAGAGCAAAGAAAGCCATGATGATGGCCACGATGTTCTCCAAGGCCTCCAACCATTTGGTCAACTGCTCTGTCACCTTCGTCTGGTCAGCTCCCAACTTAGCGAAAAAGTCCTTTCTGTATGGACATGCCTTCATGGCCAACTTGAAAATTGGCTTGATCAACATACCGTGATACTGCGACAACGTCTTGGTATAAGCATCGGTGAAAGTCACTGTCATCTCTTTGGTAGGGTTGTCCACGGTCTCTCTCATGGCCTGAGCAGTGAATTGCAAGCCTCTAGACAACCACAAGAGGCCCTGAGTAGCCTTTTTGTCCTTTGTCCCGGCCTCCAGCAACACCAAATCCTGCAAGGTGGCAGCTCCGGCTGGGTCTTTCAACAATTTGGCTCTGATTTTCTCGATGTTGCCAGTCATGTCGCTCTGGACAACACTGAATGCCGACGATCCCAACAAGTCAAAGAGCTTGACAAGCGACTCGGAGGCCTCCAAGAAGGCGGCGGTGTCGATTTTAGAGTCTGTGACTGGCACGTCGACGAACGACTTTTTCATCTCATCGAAAAACGTAGACATGGTGGTGTTTTCTGTTGGTTGTATTTGCTTTATTTAGATAACTGACTTGGTCTACGTGGATTGTGCGCGAGGCTGAATAAATGGGCGACCCATACAGGACCAAACTTGGGTGATTTTGTGGGAGAGATCGATGAAATCTGTCTGGAAACGAATGAAATTTAAATTTGGGAATCTTGTAGGATTAAGATTTATCAATTTTCATGTTTTGCTTGGTATATTATAATTAGATTGTTATGAATGTGCAACTGCTGCACCAACTCATGCATTCTCACTCTCGACAAGATAATCCGATCTATACGAGGCAAGTTTACATGAATTCTTCAGAATGAGTGGAAACTGTCCAAACAGTTCGCAGCTCTTAATTTGCAGCTCTGGTCCTTAACTGTTCTTGACTCTGGTTGCTCGTGTCATGACTGGTCGTTTTCAAGTTCGTTTAGTTAATGTTTTTACCACTCCAAGTCCTCTGCCCAACGAACCCTTCTCTTCTCCTCATGAGCCTTGGCCTCGGTCTTTCCCATGCGCACATACTCGTCAAACTCTTTTTTGTTGTAGAAGCCTCGGTAGCAACTGTCGGAGGACAGACTGACCACTCGAGTGCTATGGTATGCCTTGATGAGCGCCATTTTTTGCTGCTCGCTTGATGGGACTGTCTCGTTAGTGGGGATCTGGACGATCTCATTGACGTCCTCGGGCATTGGGAATCCCTCGCAATTGGACGCGTTGAGTTCCGTGCCAAACTGAGTTGCATCGTTCACGAGCCCTGTCAGCGAGTCAACCAAGTAGATATCGAGCTTGTTCAGAGGCTTGAGTACCAGATGCTGTGGTTTTACTATGCGACTCGATTTGGGCATGCAGATTCGGTTTGGGGACCGTAGGGCTGGAAGTGATGATTGTAACTGTAATGGTTGTGTTGGCTGTAATTGGAGTGGTTGAAGCAGAAGTTGCGGGATCAGAAGTGGCTGAAGCGCCTGTTTCTGTGACAATCTCTTTTTATGTCCCTTCTCTGCTGTGGAGTCGCCAATGTTGTTGTTGCATGTGTTATTGGAGATGTTGGTGCTGTGTGCCATGTTGCTGGCATTGGGAAGCGCCTGTAGTACAGTTGACGCACCCTTGTGTCTCTTAGCCGGCCGAAGTGCTGAACCATCCTTCCGCTTCTTCGAAGGCTCCGGCGAAACATTCTCTTTATTGTCATTATGCAACTTTGTATGGAGATACGAATCAAGGTCGCCATCGAGCGGGTCTGTACGCCGCGAGAAGCGGCCCTTGAACACCCGAGTTCGGAGCTGATCGTCCAACTCGAAGTCGTCGTTGCCTTCTTTTAGCAGATCGAGAAGCTTCTCTATCTTGTCGTTGTGGAGAGGTCTTTCTTCGAGCAAATCACCGGAAGAGGCACTGTTTCGGAGGTGGTAAGTAGCTTGGAACAAATCTGAGGTCATCAGCGACATCCCACACAGCAAGTCAGGGGTTGGAGTGGCGGAAAGCAGCTGGATGGAGCCAAAGGCATGGCCAGACTTCTTGGTGGGAGAGCATGCAGAGTCTTCTGGCAAGAGGTCATGGACATCGAGGTGGCATTCGTCTAGTAGACTGGATGTATCGAAGGAGACTTCAACTGGAGAGGACTTCATTGAGCTTTGGGATGGTTGAATAGTTCAATGAGGTTAGTTGGAGTTTTCTACGATAACAAATAGTCTGTGTGTTTACAAACGATCTGGAATAGGCAGGAGGAAGAGACAGGACTGCGACAATGTGAAGAGTGAGAATTAAACATGGCATTAGTAGACGGACTGGAATTTGTAGAGAAGGCATGAAATTGGCAAAAATGGAATCGATGGAAATGGCATGGGGTTGATAAATTGGGAATAAAAGAGATGTGGTGGTGTTTTTGGTGTGTTACAGAATATGCAAGGAGATGGTCCACGGACTTGTTAAGTTAATTGACAAAAATATGGGTGCGACCATTGAATGATAATTGAGAGATTTGACAATTAATGGAAATTCTGACAAGAAAGAGAAAATTTTCGAAGATAGGAGTTATTGGTTCCAAATATGAACGGTACGAGTTTTCTTCACTTTCGATATAATAATATTGTTGTGGTTGGTTATAGAACCGTTCATTGAGCATAGAGTGCGGTGTAAATATAGAGACTCTGATAAGAAAATCTGTGATGGGGAAAGGTTTTCTCTTAATCTGCGTCTTTTTTTGCTATTTCCAATAGAAATATGCTGAGCGGGTTTCGTAACAATTGCTTGAATTGAATTGTACCATGGATCTTGGATACCTAGGAAGCTCAGCATTTGTACTAATCAGTTGTGATTTTGCAACGCTTGGAAGATTTCTACACGAGTAACCGACCTTATTGGAGGGGGAACACGCTCTCATTCTATTACATAAAAGTACTCAATTCTTTTTTTTTTCAATCATAAAGCTATTTAACATTTCCATGATGGAAGAACCTTAGACTCCCAACCAATACTTGTCTGCCTCGGTAGTAATTTCGGCCTCTCCAACAACATTGTCGGAAGAAGATGCCAAAATAACACTGTAAGTGTCCTTCTCAGACAACCACTTGTTCTTGTAAGAATCCCAGTACGAAGTTGCCTCCAAGAGCGGAAGCTTGATTGTCACAGTCTTGGTCTCACCTGCTTTCAAGAACACCTTGCCAAAGTCACGAAGCTCCTTGACTGGACGGATAACTCTAGGGTTGTGTGCCTTCACATACAACTGTACCACAGCAGCACCGTCGACCTTTCCGGAGTTGGTCACATCAATAGAGGCAACAACCTCATCCCCTTCCACAGATGCCTTGGTGTTCTTGTAGTCGAAGGTGGTGTATGAAAGACCAAAACCGAATGGGAACAAAGGCTTTCTGTCCACCTTCTCGTAGTATTTGTAGCCAACGAAAACGTCTTCTCCGTACAACACACGGCCATTGGTGGAGCCGTAGTTCAAGTACGAAGGGTTATGTTCGAGTTTCTTTGGGAAAGAGAGTGACAACTTACCGGATGGGTTGACATCACCGAAAAGAACATCAGCAATGGCATTACCCAACTCGTTACCTCCAAACCATGCCTGGACAAGACCCTTGACGTCATTAATCCATGGCATAGTCACTGGAGATCCCGATTGGTTGACCACAACAACGTTCTTGTTGACCTTGGCCACTTCAGCGACCAACTTGTCAGTCCAGCCGGGAACATCCATGTCTGGTCTGTCAAAACCTTCGGATTCCCATTCCTTAGACAATCCAGTCACCAAAACAACCTTGTCGGCCTTCTTGGCGAGCTCAACAGCCTTCTCCAAAGCCTCTTCGTCGGTAGTTTTGATTTCAGCTCCAAAGTATACACCTCCAGTCTCCTGGTACTCAGTAACGAGATTAGATGTTGGCCTTGTACCATACTCAACCTTCAACTTGTACTTCTTGCCCTTCTCCAACTGCACCAGGGCTCTCTCCTCACGGGTACCCATACCCAAGAAGAATGCATCACCCTTGACCTGCTTGGTCTTGTTGTCGACAATGAGCTTTCCGTCCAAAAACATCTGAGCCGTACCCAAGCATGAACAGCCGAACTCGTAGGTGGCAGTCTCATCTGGAGTGTAGTAACCCTCCATGTCTGCGTAGTACAATTGGGTACCAGCAGGCAATTTAGGACTCTTGTAGTCGGTCAAGAATAACTTGGAGCTGTCCGACGAAATCACGTCAAAAGCCTCTCTGTTTTCAGTGCCTGGAGCCTCTCTGAAGAAGCTCACAGTGAAACCCTTCTCACCGTTCTCTTTGGTCAAAATGCTTCCGATATCTGGTAAGGTCTTGTCCAAGTAGGCACCGAGCGAGTGCTCCACAACAACTGCATTCTTGCCAGCACGCTCCTCCACCTTCTTGACAATACCGTCGTATGGAGAAACGGTATATCTTGCTCTCAACGAGGCAGAACCTCCACCGGAGTTTCTCTCGGCCTTAGCGTTGGGTCCGATCACAGCAATAATCTCGTTTCCATTGGCCTTCTCGGCACTCAATGGCAAGATGTTGCCCTCATTCTTCAACAACACGATGGACTCACCTCCAACCTTACGCAAGAGCTCACCAGCTGCTGGGTCGTCATTCTGCGACTCCTTCTGGTCCTTAGGAATGCCAGCCTCGAGACAGTCATTGATGAAGTGGAGAACGTAACGACAGTTATCGTCAATGACGTCTCTGTGAATTTCATTACAGACAACCATGTGAGAGGTCTGCACGTCCTCACGGAATCTGGTTGGACCTGGCATCTCCAAGTTCAAGCCAGCATCAAGGGCCTCCTTGGTGGTGTACACTCCATACCAGTCAGACATTACCAAGCCATCCCACTTCCACTCTTCTCTCAAAACGTCTTGAAGCAACTTCTTCGACTGTGAAACGTGCTCTCCATTGACCTTGTTGTAAGCAGTCATGATGGACTTTGGATTGGCATCACGCACAGCGATCTGGAATGGCTTCAAGTACACCTCACGCAAAGCCCGCTCGCTGATGATGGTGTCCACACCTTTTCTCTCGTCCTCCTGGTCATTACAGACGTAATGCTTCAAGCATGCAACCACATTACCCAGTTGAATACCATTGACAATTGCGGCAGCCATGTGGCCCGACAACGCTGGGTCCTCGGAGTATGACTCGAAAGCTCTGCCTCCCAAAGGTCCACGGGCAATGTTACAAGTTGGGCCAAGAATACAGTGAGCACCTTTCATCTTGGCTTCTTTACTCATCAACTTACCTGCTTCGACAAGCAAGTCCTTGTTGAATGTGGAAGCAACTCCGGTTCCACAGGGGAAACAGTTCGAAGGCACAGCATCGAAGAAACGGGTTCCACGAATACCATTTGGACCGTCAGAGACAGTCACTGAAGGAATGTCCAATCTATCAATTGGGACGGTCTGCCAGGCATTCAAACCGGCAAGAAGAGAGATCTTCTCGGAGAGAGTAAGCTCGGTCAATAATTGTTCGACGTCCAATTGAGGCATATTGGGCTATGAATGAAGAGTTCAGGATAAAGATGAATAGTTCAAAGATGAAATGGTGTTACTATATACTTTGGAAAGTATTGGAACATGCCCCGCGCGGACTCCAGGTTTGGTCGCCAAATTGGGCAGAGCACCCGAAACATTTCGATGTCAAAGCGCACCGTTACCCAATCCGGACAACATTGTGCATACGCCTGATTGTGGGGTGAGATTATTATCATGTACTTCATGCTGTAGCCTAGACACCCCCACTTATGTACCTGGCATGTGGGGTATTATTTCTCATGCACACTACTTATTTGGATTTTCGATATCTGGTGTTGGGTAATGGACTGATTGGCTATGCTGATCTGGTTGGGTTGATTTCGGCTTCGCCAGAAGAACTGTAGTTCATTGGTTCACCGCAGTTCTTATGTTCGGATGAGACGGATGACACAGATGTTGAGATCCATTGCAATGCCAAGAGAGATCATCGGGGAGAATAGTTAGCTCCTACGAAGAATGCCTTCATGAATCTGTTCTTGATGGTAACTTTTGGTAATTTTTCAGGATAACTTCATAAGATCTGTAGCGTTCAATATGTTGATACTACTTCTCTACTCTAGATTTCTATTCCGTACTGATGCAAATTCCATATTGATCCTTATACCAAGCACTTCAAACAAAGTCCCACTAACAGATACATTAATACCTACGTAATTACTCCTTTAGTTACAAGTTCATCTTGGTAAAAAAAAAATGACAAAATCAAGTCTCGCATTCAGTTAACTACCATACTCTAATATTCCCTCAAAATGGTGTTAAGCTCCTCTCTCTGGACACAGTTCTCGATCTTGAAGCAAGCGGCCACCTCGTCCAACTCCTCAAAAGACAATGGAACGAAAAGCTCTGCATACTCGTGCTGGGCATATTGCGAGAACAACATGTCTCTCAACACTCTGCTGATGTAGTCTTTCATGGTCCAGAGGTGAGGATACAACGCCTTGTGGAAGTCCTGGGGGACATTGGATGCAAAATGATCTTCCAAAGCCTTGTACAACTCTCCAAACTTGGGGTCGATGTCATTTCCCCATCTGTCCAAACCCAAGCGCTTCTTCTTCAACAACCATTCGCCGAAAACCTCATAGAACTTGGACTTTGGGTTGACATATGTCAAGCCTTGGAATCCAATGTCCTTATAAAGCCAAATAGACCACGAGATTGGTGCATTGTCTCCACTGGGGTCTCCAGTCTTGTAGATTTCCAATTGGTCCTTCAACACCAGGTATCTGACCTTGTTGGTCTCTGCTGGGTTGGCATCTCCTCTGAAGTCCGAGGCATACACTGGGCCAAACTCTCCGTTCCACACTGGAACCTTGGTCTTCTTCATGAACTCAATCTTTCTCTCATATTGTTGTTTCAACTTGCTCTTCTGCTCTTCAGTGCCCTTGTACACTTCCTCGGACATTGGGAAGCCGAAAATGGTGTAGTCGTGGATCGAGTACACACTATTTGGCAAGACGGTGTCTGGGAACTGGCGGAAGTCCATGGCGTAGGTGTTTCCGTCCAAGAACAAGATGTGGTTAGGGTCAACCTCACGAATAGCCTTCTCGACTCTGTCATAGAAATTGACCAACTTGGAGTGGTCAGCGACAGCTGGTTCGTTCAATGGGTTGTATCCTGCCACCCATTCGTTGTCCTTGTAGTGCTCACCGAGCTTGACCCACAAGTTGACAATAACATCTTGGAAAACCTTAAAGTCCCAGAAAAGCGACTTGTGGACTCCAGAGTCCGAGTGCCAGTCCTGGTTCTGTCCACCTGGAGTGGCATGCAAGTCCAAGATAGTGTAAATTCCTTCAGCAGCACATGTGTCAACCACACGGTCCAAACGGTCGAAACCACTCTGCTTGATCTTAAACATATCTCCATCATCGTCGATGAAGTGTCTGTAGTTGAAAGGAATACGCAAGCAGTTCAATTTGAGCTCATCCTTAAAGAACTTGGCGTCCTTCTCCGTCCAGAAGTAGTCGTAGAACTTGTCAAAGAAGTAGTCAAACTTCTCTTTTCCCATCTTGGACTCCATAACCTTCTTATGCTCGGTCTCATGGCCCGGATATCCGGTGATGAAGTTCTCCATGTTGAGATGGCCACCGGTGGCGCATCCCTTCAACACCACTGGGGTGCCCTTGTCGTCGACGATCTTAGTTCCCTGTACTTTCAAAAAACCCATATTTGTTGAATTGTTGAATTTTTTAAGAATTCAGCCTGGAGGGTTGTCTAAATAATAGTTGGCGGGGAGGTCAGACTCGGTGCAGGATACCCCAGCTTTATGGATGTCTTACTAAAAGGAGAAGAGGTAAGCGAAAGTGCGCTTGACCCCCAAAAATGGCTGTCATTCCTGGCGGTACAGGTATTTCGTGCACATGGTCCATCTCCACTATTGTTTGAGGCAAGGTGGCCTAAATAGGTATTGTAAAGTCACCTCGACTTTTGCTCGGCAAATGTGCCAAAATCGGAGATGTTCCCACCTTCCCGTTTTCGGAGGATATCCCATTTCAACTCTTGGCACGTGTGAAGATAGGTATCAACCAACCACCCAAAAAACCATAGAATCTGCTGGTTCTAAGACTTGATCGATCAACGACAAATAAAAAGTAAAAAAGTGCATAAAACGAAGATAAATCAATCATCACTAAAACTTCTGAAGGCAATGGTCGTAATTTATAAACTCCTTCTATTCTTCTCAAACTTAAATCGGGTAGTGGGAGAATTCCGTTCTTCAGCCGTTTTGCTTGTATGACAATGCACTCACCCCGCACTTATAGGACAAAATCTGCATTAGCTTTCTTTTTCTGCTTTTCTATTATGAAATTGAATTGCGTGTACACACTCCTCGGATGGTCGACGAGGGGTTTCTCCTCGTTTACATCTTAGGCTGCGGTGATTCAGCCGTAGGTCGCAAAAACCGAGCCATAGCTCGAACATTTGCAGCCATTGATGATGCCTCAATTTTGCATTATTTTGATACTTTTTTGCTTCATCCGTGCAGAATATAAGTTCTCTGTTGTGTTTCGTTGCTGGTTATGGTAGGCCAAGGCACAAAAGGCGTGCTCCAAACATGTGTTGAAAAAGAGCTTGGCTCTCATGTCCCCCGTCCGCCTGCACCCCGGATTCACGCTGCAAGCGCACATCGTATTAAGACCTAACACACAGGCTGCAGTTATTGATGAAGACCTCATTTCATGATCCCAAGTAATATAAATACTGGACCATCTGTCGTTATTATCATAATCTCATCACTTTCTTCACTTCTCAAATTGATCATGGCTGATTCTACTAGTGTCATTTCTGAGAAGAAAATCGAAACAGACGAGTTTGATGACGTTCATTCCGTCACCATCAATGACTACATTGCTGAAACCAGACCTTGGTACAGAGTTCCTCACTTGAGACTCTTGTCTTTCTGTATATTCTTGATCACCATCACTTCCACCAACAATGGTTACGATGGTTCGATGTTGAACGGTTTGCAGTCTTTGAGTCACTGGCAAGAGGACATGGGCCACCCGGCTGGCCAAAAGCTTGGAGCTTTGAGTAACGGTACTTTGTTTGGCTCTATTGCTGCTCTTCCATTTGCTCCATTCATTTCCGACCGGTTCGGAAGAAGAAAGGCTATTTTTGCTGGCCAGTTGATCACGGTTATCGGAGGTATCTTGCAAGGTGTTTCGACAGGTTACGGATTCTTTTTGGGTTCCAGAATTGTTCTTGGTTTTGGTTCATGTATTGCTACAATTGGTTCACCAACCTTGATTTCCGAGTTGGCCTACCCTACCCACAGAGAGTCGTCTACCTTCTGTTACAACATTTGTTGGTATTTGGGCGCTATTGTTGCTTCATGGGTCACTTACGGTACAAGAAACTTGGATAGTAAGGCCTCTTGGACTATTCCTTCCTACTTGCAGTCTGCTTTACCTACTTTCCAGTTACTCCTCTTTTGGATGGTCCCCGAATCTCCAAGATTTTACGTTGCAAAGGGTAGGGTTGAGAGTGCCAGAAAAGTGTTGACCAAATTCCATATTGGAAACTCTGAGGACCCTAGAGACATTGCCTTGGTGGAGTTTGAGTTGAGAGAAATTGAGAGTGCATTGGAGCAGGAGAAATTGAACTCCAACTCTTCTTACTTGGACTTTATCACCAAGAAGAATTTCAGAAAGAGAGGTTTCTTGGTCTGTTTTGTCGCCATCATGATGCAGCTTTCCGGTAACGGTTTAGTCTCGTACTACTTGGTTAAAGTGTTGGAGTCCATTGGTATTACTGACGCTACCAAACAATTGGAGATTAATGGTTGCTTGATGATTTACAACTTTGTTATCTGTGCTACCTTGGCATGTGTCGTCAGATACTTTAAGAGAAGAACCATGTTCATTTTCTGTGTCTCTGGTATGTTATTGTCGTACGTGATCTGGACCATTTTGTCTGCCCTCAACCAACAGAAAAATTTCGAGGACAAGTCTTTGGCTAACGGAGTTCTTGCCATGATTTTCTTCTATTACTTGTTCTACGATGTCGGAGTCAATGGCTTGCCATTCTTGTATCTTACCGAGATCTTACCTTACTCCCACAGAGCAAAGGGTATTAATCTTATGCAATTTTGCATGTTCATCGTTTTGGTCTACAACGGTTACGTTAACCCAATTGCCATGGATGCCATTGAATGGAAGTACTATATTGTGTACTGTTGTATTCTTGCCGTGGAGCTCTTGGTGGTTATCTTCACCTTCCCAGAAACTTCCGGTTTTACTTTGGAAGAAGTTGCTCAGGTCTTCGGTGATGTTGCTCCAGAAATGGCCAACAGACACGTTTCCACTGTTGAGACTACTAACAAGCGTTCCTTGGAGCATGTTGAGGAGGTTTAATTAATGTTGTTCAATGAAGTATATGTTTATATTCTTAGTGTAGACCCATATTGGAGTTTTTCACATTTTTATCTGAGCAGAAGGGAACATGGCTACCTGTATCATGTTCTGAACTCAATCAAGTAACTTATCTCATTGATCTTGTGCTTTTGATAAACGAAAATTCTGTCTGTTTCATTTTTGATCTTCTTCAATGCTTGCCTTAACAATAGTCGTCTACAATTGCTACATTCCCTTTTCAGACCTACTCCTTACAAGTTTATTTCATTCCGTCAGGTCTAATTGTTCTACGACTGATACCCCCACAAATTTTTAACAATGTCAGCGTCTTGTCGTTATTCATTTCGGGTTTTTACACATACTATAATCCATAAGAAAAGCACTCCGCAACAAAGTCATTCATTCAACCAGGCGTGGTCACTCGAATATACCATTGTCACTTCTAATGTAACATCTGCTATGCCATGCACCTCGGTATTATGCTCGAGGGGATGTGGGGATGAACATTAGTCTCTTGTGCAGATTGTTCTGACACCCAGAAGTCCCTTTCGACGGAATGTAAAGATTGCTTTCGGACGACTCTTGGCTCTTGGAAGACAGAATTGTGGAGATGAAGACGCAACGTTTGTCGGTCGACTTAGCAGATAGAAACGATACATGCAATGAAGGACAACTTAGGCTCGCGTATTGCTGAAATTCCTCTTCAAATGACGTGACGGATTGCCAAGAATTGAATTGAATCCCGGTGATTGTTGTCAAAGTTGGTCAATGGTGCCATTTTTTGGTTTGCTCCAAATACTTGATCAGTATCCACGATAGGAAGTAGGAAAGATCCTGGTGCAAGTCCCGAAAGACATGGTTCACATATACCGTATATTCGGTTGAAGAGTGGGTACAAAGTGTTAGCGGGCATTACTTTCTCGTCAATTGAATGATGATTCTGTCAGGCTGAAACGTTGGTATTGGCGGTTTTTCAAGCACCATCTTCATGGACCCTCAAAAATTGTTTTGTAAGCTAATCTCTAGCGGTCACTATCCATCCCCATGACATTTCTCTTCACATTTTGGGTTGGAAGCCAGACAAGACAGACATGACAGAGAATCTTAAGCTTTTCTTTCACTTCCAGAGAATCATAAAAAGATCGGTGAGGCTGTTAATTATATTAGGCAATGCAGACCCATCTAGTTACAATTGATGAAATTATGTCAGTCACCTGTACATTTCATCCTTGAGTCTTCAATTGCCATCAAGCTGTGTGACATCCAAAATTCCAATTCTGATGGATACTCTTCCGCTACATGGTTGATAAGTCGCTCACATCTGGTCGCCCGAACATTCTTCAATCTTGAATTCACTTACTGGGACAGCCATTTCAAAAAATTAACTACACTTTTTCATACCACTTATTTATGCCAGAGGAGCAATACTCTCACACAGCGTACCATGGGCCCATCCCCGTACAAAGTAACCCCTGAACCTCTGTTACTATGTATTTACAAGAAGGTGAACGTGAGACACTGTCCAATGTTTTGCATATCATTTTGTCTAGTGTCAGAACGCATTCTGTCAGGTGGAGACATCAGTCGCTATTCAATATTGTAGAAAACACTTAATCTGATGTTTGCACTGCAAACCACCTTCAAACAAACCAGCAAACAAATCTGAATTACACATCAAGCGCCCAATCGCCTTATTTGACAGTAAACGGATATGGACCCTCTTGGAAGAACTCAGCATTGAACATTGCCAACTGAGACTCGTTACAATCAGAATGTCCCCTGGCTTGCCCCAGAGTTTTCGAGCTTTTTGAACTCTGGGAAATCATAAGAAGCCAGGAGATCGTCTCAATACTTGTATAATATAGGCAAAGAATCTGTAAATTTCAATCTCATATCTTTTGAGACTTCCTATACCAAACATGCTCACCGCTTACATACTTTTTTTTCGAGTCTAAGAGAGCCGTATCGAATGTTCCGTTGATACAGACAGATAACTACCTGTGGCTAGTTATCGGACCTTTCTAACTCAATTTAACTGAATTCATGGGAAAACACAATCAGGTATCATTCTGAAGCAATACTCGCCCTTGTCGTCACTTAAACAGTTGATTATATAACTGATAGTTTCTTTTGACATTGAAATTGAAGATCATGGTTGAAAAGATCAACAATTTGATTTCTTGATACATCAAAAACACATATTAGAAAACTCACTATGTATTTTCCAACCAGTAAGTATAGGTTCTATCCTCCTGCAGGTACGCCAGACTTGGTGCACCAATAGAGTCGCACGTCGTCCACGAATTTCTCACTACATAGTACTACTTCATCATGGGTGCCGCATACCAGATTCTCGGAAGATCCGTCCAGCCCCACGTGTTAGCCCTCGCTACCTTGGGCGCAGTTGTGTTTGTTGCTGCTCCAAAGCCTTGGGGTCCTCCCAAGCCAACTCACCCAGCCATTGGTGCATCTTCTCCAGAGGAGGAGAAGTTTGTCCAGGACTTTTTGGCCAAGCACTTGGAGAAGCATTAGGTGGATGTATATATGAAATATATTCTTAGAGGAGTGGGTGTAGATTGTATGAATGCAAGACATGTGTTTTTGTTTGAACATACTGAATACTTGAAGATGATAAGTGAAAGATTGAAAGAGTGGAACATAGGAAGACTGGAAGAAAGAAAGATTGGAACACAGAAAGACTGGAACTTAGAAAGACTGGATTGAAAGACTGGAAGGCTTGGGGCCCCAAATATGAGAATGTTTGGAAGGCTACATAACAGCCACTGGAATTGACGTTGCAGAGTTTGATGCACTTGAAATTCCTAAAAGATTTTGAAAAGCAGAATAGGTCATTCTAAGAAACTCCTTTTGAATCTCCCTTTGCTTTGTACACTTGTTTTCCAGGTTCCATGTATATATCTTCTGTTGTTTCTCACACAGTCCATCCGTGTGTATACATAGTTGAAGCATACAAAATGTGCATGTTACCTTCATCTTTGTAGTTGAGATATATTCTGTGTGTTCTATCTTTATCTGTCTTCAAATCTATTCTTTATTCTATTCCAAATGTATGTTCTATTTTCATCCTCTATCGATTCTATTTTATATTCTTTTCCCTTCCATTCATTTTCAACACCGTCTCTATCTTCTCTGGCCTGTGCACTATCCATTAAATGCACTCAGTGTATGCCTACACTATAGAACATCATAGCTAGGACATAGCAGTATTTTCTTAAATATTCAATCTAAGTCCATACAACTATTAGAAAGCTCTCCAATTAAACCAGTTTCGAAATCTCATCAATATTGCTTTTCTTCTCGAGTCTTCATCTCGATTCCTTCCTGGCCTACCTATAGTGCGCATCTCATCTCATAAAAAATTCATACTACTACTCATCATGTCTGCCATCTACAAAGCATTGCAGTCCAAGCTGTCTAAGGACACTTCGGAGAAAACAAAACACATCAACCGTCAGAGAGTGTTGGTGATCTCGTCTCGTGGTGTCACCTACAGACATCGCCACTTGATCAACGATTTGACGTCGTTGATGCCTCACGCTAGAAAAGAACCAAAGTTCGACTCCAAGAAAAATTTGTACCAGCTTAACGAAGTGGCTGAGTTGTACAACTGTAACAACATTTTTTTCTTTGAGGCTAGAAAGCATCAGGATCTCTACCTTTGGATCTCCAAGCCTCCTAATGGGCCTACCATGAAGTTCTACATTCAGAACATGCACACCTTAGATGAGTTGAACTTTACTGGTAACTGCTTGAAGGGTTCCAGACCAATTTTGTCGTTTGACAAGTCGTTTACGGATTCTGCCCACCATGAGCTTCTCAAGGAGACATTCACTCATACTTTCGGAGTTCCTCCTAATGCCAGAAAGTCCAAGCCTTTCGTGGACCATGTCATGACGTTTTCCATCGTGGACAACAAAATTTGGGTGCGTAACTACCAGATCTCCGAGACGGAGGACATCAAGGAGTCGGAAGATTCTAATGTGGACGTTGAATCGTTGTCCTTGGTGGAGATTGGACCTCGTTTTGTCATGACATTGATCACCATCTTGGAGGGTTCATTTGGCGGACCTAAAATTTACGAGAACAAGCAGTACGTGTCTCCTAATGCTGTGAGAGCACAGTTGAAGCAGCAAGCTGCTAACCAGGCCCGTTCGCGTGCTGTGGCTGCATTGGACAGAAAGGTGAAGAGAAGAGACCAGGTGTTGAAGGCAGACCCGTTGTCCAACGAGAGTTTGTTTAAGTAGTGTAAGATAGGATAATGCATGGGTATTTAGGATGGTGTAGGATAGATTAGAGTGGTTGTTGGAAATGATGTTCTATCTTCTATCTTCTATCTTCTATCTTCTATCTTCTATCTTCTATCTTTCTCCCCTGAAATTTTTTTAAGTCTTTCGTGGCTTGTCTCCTCAAGTGACTCTCCTATCCATACCGTCTATTTTATTTGGTTCTCCTACTCATATTCTCTGGCTCCCGTTCCCAGCATATTCTTCATACTCTTCATACTCTCAATTCTTGAAATTCCCATTATCTTCTTCGTCTCGTCAACTTCCGTTTGTCGTACGATCTGAAACATTAGAAGGTTGGGCATTTTAACATGAAACATGCAGATACACTTCTTCTCTGCTCCTACTCCACTATTCACAATTATGACATCATTTGTGCTAAAGTATGCACGGTGAATTTCCAGATTCGCTCCGTCTGTCGTTTCATCTTCCAGTCAATAAGATTCTTTTCTCCAATTATTTCCCACCAAATTATTAACGGCGTCATCGCATCTTCTCTGCAAATGCCCTGGAAATTTCCTCCTTGCTCTCCGTCCCTTTTCTCCCCTCTCTCTACTCTTCAAGTCTACATTCCGATCCTCTGTGCATATGTTACACTGCCCCCAGGGGCAACCCGATTCCTATGCATTGACATCTGAGAGTTACCAATTAATCTCCATTTGAAAAGACACCACCATATCCCCAAAAAAAAAAAACTCAGCGTGTCCAGCGGGGTCTTCGTACATGCTGGAACCTGTTAAGAAAATTATTTTCTCGGGAAATGTCTGAAATGGGTGACAGCACCCAATGACGTTCATCCACCAAATTCCACATCAAGGTATTATAGGTGCACTCCAAGCCCATGATCCAGGCTTAGGAATCCAGACAGGCATTCTCAAACAGGCGTATTCAGGGTGGAATTTTTTTATATTTTTTATGTCTGGTCGGACCCTCTCCAAGAATAGGTTTCTGTTTCTTGCTCTTTTTTTTCTCTTCCTCTACCTTCGTTCCGTGGCACATCGTTTATCCCCTGGTGTTGTCAGTACCTGCCTGCCTGTACCTACTAGGGCTGTTCCTGGCCTGTACCTGCTAAATCTACTACTATACCAGTTCCTGCCATCTCCTGCACGTTTGAATCAGACCTATTTCTCCTTGTCAAACATGCCAGGGTTGAGAGACAAATTCGACGATAACGTTCGCCGGGAAGGTCGGCTCGATACGCCAGACACAGAGCATTTCCCGTTCAGAAACTCGCCGCTTCCGCCGTCCGCGTATACTCAGTATCCGCAAGACTTTGACCATCATTACCATCAAAATTCATCCATTTCTCCAGTGACTATGACTCCACCACAGGCGCCTGCTGTGCCTGAAAAGGCTCCTCCAACTCCGCCAAAGCCATATGATGACGATTTCTTGCCTCCAGAAACGCCTCCAAAGGACCTTGACCGCTCGAGATCCAACAAGTATGCTGGGTACTATAACCAGCGAGAAATTGACCACACCACGGCACCTCACCCCCCATATACGCGTGTTAACAACGGCTCGGACTCCAGTTATGAGATGCTGACGTTAAACTCTAATCCATTTGGAGATAACGCCACGCCAGCGTCCAGTACGGCCAGAAATCCGTTCGAGCCTATCGACACGTCCCCCATTACATATGATCACTATCCGGCCCAGAATACCAGAGATGACGACATGGATATGGCGGCTAAGATGTCTGGCAAACATCTAAGACGCCAGGAACGTAATAGGCGCAAGCAAGATGCCCGTTTGCCCTGGTATCATTACACTAGGTTGCCTTGGTTCACCATTATTGTTACCACCATCCAAGTTGTCGTGTTCATTGTGGAGTTGGCCAAGATGAGTATCTACACGGGTTCGGCATTCCAAACAAAACCTTACTTCAATCCCATGCTAGGCCCTTCCACCTTTCTACTCATTAGTATGGGTGCTAGGTATGTTCCGTGCATGCATCGTATCGACAACATCACCCTGGACCTTCTGATCCAATTCCCGTGCCCAAATTCCACATCTACAGATACGGATGTGTGCAATTTAGCCGAACTTTGCAGCCTTGGAGGAATCCCCATATTGAATAACGAATATGCTCCTCATCAGTGGTACAGAGTGATTACTCCCATCTTTCTCCACGCGGGCTTCTTGCATATCATATTCAATTTGCTCCTCCAGATCACTATGGGATGGTCAGTGGAAAAGGCCATTGGTTGGCTTAAATACAGCATCATCTACCTTGCCAGTGGAGTGGCTGGTTTCCTCTTGGGTGCTAACTTCTCGCCCAACGGCATCGCATCCACAGGAGCCTCCGGAGCTCTTTTTGGAATAATTGCAACCAATCTTCTTTTATTTGTCTATTGCGGCAAGAAAAACACAAATATCTACAACACAAAGCACTATCGTCTGTTCATCATTATTATGGTGTTCGAAATCATTATCCTGTTTGTTTTAGGACTTCTTCCTGGTCTCGACAACTTCAGTCACATCGGAGGTTTCTGCATGGGTCTTCTTCTATCGCTTGTTTTCCTCAAAGATCCTTCTTTTGTCTACAATGAGGGCATTTATACCTACGACGCCGATGCCACGCCCTGGCAGCTTTTCATAGAAAACTGGAACCCTATGAACAGATGGAACGACAAGATTCAGTGGAAGGTCTTGGTTTGGGTTGGTGTTCGTGTGTTGAGTTTGACGCTAGCCATTCTTTTCTTTGCGTTACTCTTTGTCAATCTTTATTCCAAGAGAATGGAGAGCGAAAAGCCAACATGCTCATGGTGCAAGTACTTGAGTTGCATTCCTGTCAACGGCTGGTGCGACCAGGGTGAAGTTACTGTGGAGACGATTACCACCGGTGACTCCGGCTCGTCTTCCTCGTCTGCTCCCACAATGACAGCTACCCCAAATGCCACCACTAACACTCCAACTACAACGTCTGCTACATTAACTACCGCATACCCTGGAAGTATTGACAACCCTAACCTTAAGCGGGAATTGCATTTCAGTACTTTTTCGACATCTCAGAGGGGCCCAGAGACGATAGGTCCACAACACAATCAGCACCATGAAACCAGTCTTGTTCTCTTGGCGCTTATGGCCATTCTAAGCTACAGATTCATCCGCCGTCTTTACAAATAGATAATTACGCAACCTTAACGACCAAATATACGAAGGGAAAATTGCATTAGTGAGATTTCTTTACTTTCAATAGTTACAACTTTCGAATATCTGTTTCTGTTATCCTGCACAATAGACTCACCACCAGTTTTTCTCTCAGATTTTTCGATTCTCTAACCTATTCAAAGATGCTCAGATCTTCAGCAAAAGCCATAAGGCCCTTCTCAACCAGTGTGCCTCGTCTGTTTCTCGGCAACTTCTTCGGAACCAAGGAGGCCAAGAAAAAGGAGATCATCCAGAACCAGGACGATTATGAGGTCGATCCAACATCCAAGATCGTCATCTTGAACAAGGAAAACTCACCAGAGTACAAGCCATTTGTGGCTGAAGAAGCCATGCCTGACTTCAAAATCAACCAGTGGAAGTTCACTCAGGTCAACCCTGAGAATATCGAAGCTTCTTACTCCAACGAAACCTTGACCCAAGTCATCAGTCAATCATACAGCGAGTTGAAGGGAGAACAAATCAACGAGAATCAGTACAAAGATATCAGTTTGAGTGATTTGCAGTTTCGTTTCCAGTTGGGTAAGTTGTTGCAACAAAAATTGGGATTTGACATCAATGACCACACGCTCACAAGAGCACACACTTTGGAGTATTTGCATAATGAGTTGAATAAAGTGATTTCCCACAGATGGTCCAGCGAAAGAAACCCTAACGCGGTTGTTTTAAGACCCGAGGACTTCGAGCTGGTACTGAACGTTTACTTAAGCAATGAGAGAACCCAAGAGGAGCAGAAGAAGGCATTTGAGGAGTTGGTGGAGAAGGCAAAGGAAGCCACCGCGCTCTAGACGTAGCGCCCATATTCTTGTATATATTAATGTACGTTAGCACACTGAATTTCACGAAATTGTAAATCACTTTCTCTTCGTCACAATTAGTGCGGCTGCTAATAGCGAAGCAACACCCAATGCTCCAGATATAAGGAGTTGGTTCGACACTCCTGGAATGATATCTCCGCTGTTATGGGATTCGCTATTCTTGACTATATTTCTTACTGGTGCATGCTCGTGAGGGTTATGAAGGTACAAGTCGGCCTTGTTCTTTTCCATCTCTTGGTTGATGCGAATACAGTCCCTCAAGTCATTGTCAGATGTGATGGATACAACGTCTCCTTCATCATCCACATAACTGATAGCGTATGCTCCGTCGCCATCCTTGGTTGCCTGCAAAATCTCTAAGTCCTTGAAATGTAATTTCTCGCTAATGACAAGCCTTAAATCCTCCAACGACTCATGGGGCTTGAGCGTCACTCGATGAACACGGCCCTGAATAGCGGGAGATTTGAACTTGAATGTAAAAACTGCCAGTTGATCAGACATGTTGGAAATCGTTTTGGTGGGTTGTCTTGAAGAAATACTCTCTCCTACTGCAGAAATTGAGTCTTGAGGACCGATGTCAAACAGATGGAACTCAGAGGGTGTCACGTCAGGTACACTTGCAATCGAGTCAGAATGTGTGGAATCATTGTCATCGTTATCAAGCGATGTCCAAAATTTATTCCATGCTGGTCCCTCTTCTTTAGCTTTTGGCTCTTGTGGATTCAGCTCGATTCTTTGGATTTGGTTAAGCGTAGCATAGGTGAGCTTCAAAACATCTACAATGCCGACAATTTCATTCTCATCATCAACAACTGGCAAGTTCAAGTAGTGGCCCTCGAACATGCGTCTCAATGCCTCCTGGATGGATGTTGTAGCTGATGCAACATCTGGATTTGGGGTCATAACCCGTACAACAGAACACTTTCTAGGATCCAAGCCTGCTGCAATAACTCTCAATACCACATCTTTCGAAGTGAAGATTCCTGTGACGGTTTCCTTCGAGTCTCTCACCAAAACTGCAGTGGTTCTATTCTCCTTCATAAGAATTGTCGCATCGTACACAGACGACTTGACACTGGTATAAACAGGTGTTGTTGAGCCATCAAGCACAGAAAGTAAAGTTGGACCATCCATCTTGGATTTCAAGTCCTCAAAGTATTCAAATACATGGCGGGGCTGATCTGCCACTCCCATTTCGGAATGAACTGAGTCCAAGGCTTCGTAAAGTTTTCTTGAAGACGAATGCAATCTTTCAAGCTTCTCCATCTGCTGAGCATAGGACTTAGTAATATCCAAGACTCCCACAATATGGTCATCATCGTCCAAAACTGGTAGGTGTCTGAACCCTCTCTCTACCATCAAAGTCAAAGCCTCAGATGCTGGGTCAGAAGCTTTGGTACAAATAGGCGATGGCGTCATGATTTGATCAATCGAGACCGTGCTGGCATTCAATCCGGAACCAACAATTCTGAAAGCTAAATCCTTAGCTGTAAATATACCGATCAAGTGGCCCCCATCGTCTACAACTAAAATACAGTTCTCTTTCTTAGCAGACATCAACTGAGCCACTTCAAAAACGGTAGCCGAGGTCTTGCAAATGATTGGATCGGAGGGATTCAAAGACATTACAGTTCCTGGAGCAGCTTTTCTCCTTTTGCTCAGCTTAGTGGGCTGGCCCCTCTTCTTGGAAAGTTCATGCTCGATCTTCCTTCTGATGGCTTCATCTTTTTTGGACTGCCTTTTCCTGGAGTCCGACACAGGGGAATCGTGAATAGTTTTGCGGAAGCTAGACATTAACTTGCGAGCGAAAAGCGAAGGCTTCTTGAGTTTCCAATGAAGTATCAACTTAGTTGAATACAAAGAGCTGGAGTGTGCAGATTGGCCCATTGAATCAGTACAATGTGTAAACAGATAAAACAATATACAGAACCGATCTGGAGGTATAACCAATTGGGAAATTTATAGATAGTTGATCTGCTGTTAGATAAATAGATTGTTCGAATTATGAAATGTCCAAGTGATTTTCGAAGTGGTTGTAAATTGGTGGTACGATATGGATGTTCCACAGACACATCAATATATACCTTATCGCACGATTTTGAAACGGTTTTGATTTGCTGGTACGAGAACCGTTTCTGATTCAGATGACGTTATTGGTGAAACCCGGGAATGGATTTCATGCAAGATAAGTGCAAGTTTGTTTCTTCTTCTGGGGCTCGTTCGACTTTCGTTCACGGTAGTCGTCCAGGTTGAATCCGTTCTAATGCTAATCTCATGCACATTGTTCTAGGCAGCATAATCTAACTAGTTAAATGAGCGTTATTACGACAAGAATGAAATATGAGGCTTTCCCAAGTCTACTCTGACTTTATCCTCGTGTGTTCAAGTATTTTTGAAGTAGCACTCTTCATCACCACCACCAAACACGCTCACAGGATGGAAGTATCTACATAAAACGAAAGTATAGTGAAGCTGTTAAAACAACGTTCATAAATTCAAAGCAAATCAAGAAGTTCGATTCGATGTCAAGATCCCTTGAATTTAGAAAATTATTGGCCGGAAGTGGTTGGAGATCTCCTCCTTTCATATCTCAATTTGAAGATATTTGCAGCCAATCCCACTCTTATAAATAGCGCAGCCACTCACCCTAACATTACCAATTCTTTTTCTTTCAGTCATTCCTCTCATTGATATATTTTATTGCCATGGTAGATCTCTCCTATATTCAAACTTACATTGACAACTTTCAACGCGTTCCATTACTGGGATACCCTATAGCGTTAATTAAAAGGATCATGGTCTCAGTCTTAAAGACTGGACCCTTACCATCCCATATTGGATTAATTATGGATGGAAACCGTCGTTATGCAAAATCAAAAGGATTGAAACTAGAAGATGGACATTCTGCTGGGGCGCATTCGTTGGCAGGGGTATGTTACCAAGTTCTTGACATTTAGATAGAGACTAACTTCAGATTTTGGAAACATGCTACAGACTCACTATAACAGAAATCACAATCTATGCCTTCTCAATTGAAAACTTCAACCGCCCGAAAGACGAGGTTGACACGTTGCTTGGTTTGCTCAGAGATAACATTAAGCACTTGCAAAGCTTCGATGATTCATATGTACATAAATATAAGGTGCGTGTGAAGGTTATTGGAAACAAATCATTGATTCCAGAGGATATTCTTGCCGACCTCACAACTGTGGAAGAACGCACCAATCTCCCAGATTACGAACGAATCTTAAACATTTGCTTCCCTTACACGTCAAGAGATGATATCACAAACGCCGTTAAAGGAGTGTCCAGAAGCATTGAGTGTCATAAAATTTGCAAGGAAGAGGTATGTGAGAAAACCTTGTCGGACCATATGTACATGGGTGCTGATACCATCCCTCTCGACTTATTGATCAGAACAAGTGGCCACTCTCGATTGAGTGATTTCATGTTATGGCAGTGTACTGCGAACTGCAAGGTAAAGTTCATCGATACATTGTGGCCGAACTTCAAGTTCTTGTCACTTTACGGTATACTCCTTCAATGGAGCTTTCAAAAGCAAACGGAAGAAAATGAGAAGAAAAGGGCAGATGAGCAATCTGTAGTATTAAAGCATGTCGATCTCCTGGCACTTCCTAGGCCGCCTCCATTTGCATGCGTGGGGCAAATCTCTTGAGATTACCGTTGTGCTTAGTTGAGGTTAACAGTTCTGATCACCTTCTTGACTTCCTTTTTGTTGCGTTCTTTTATCTTCGCCTCGTCAATTTTGTTCAAGTAGCTCATATATACAACAACCTCTGCCACAAGAATGAGCAAGCCAAAGAAGAGACAGAGCAACACTCTGTAACTGTCTTTTATCTTCCATGAAGAGTCGGTCCAGTACCAAATGGCATATACAACACTTGCCACACTTATGAAGATGTTAAATATGGTTGTTATGTGGCTTTTGGTTTCCTTGTGAGCTTGAGACGGACTGAAGTTATCGTCATCAACTTCATATAATGTTGTATACTCCTGTTTTGGTTTGACAAGGTTTCGGTACTCCTCTTCATTGGCCTTCAATCGAAGCAACTCCATTGACTTCAAAAACTCCTCTGTCTTTGGAATGTCCGAGTTTTTCTGGTTCTTGTTGGGTACATTGATTTTGGTGGTGTTCAATAGCTTTAGTAAAGACAGGGTGGGCTTGCAGCGCATATAAAAGTTCTTGAGGTTCCCATGGGATACCGTTTTTTCCTTGAGAAGTTCATGTTTCTCTTGTTCGGATAATTCAGACCCGCTGATGAGGGCTTTTAACTCTGGCGTTACGTTGAAATTGAGCATGGTATTAATTGAATTATTATTGATGGAAATAGTCTCAATTTCGCGACATGTCTAGCCACCAATGACTAAAAGAATCAACCGCCTTTCCAAAGATCATAACAAAAATCTTCAAAGAAATGAAGAAATTTGCCCTTTGCCCATCACTGCTGGAATAAAAATATTTCTCACCTTTCTTCCAATTTGTCAATTATTTTTAATGTTTGACGTATTTCATTTGGAGCCACTCTCCAAGTAAATCAATTAGAATTCGGTGGAATTTCGCGATAACCATTAGTCATACTACTCCACAATTTCTACATCCTATCACATTCTTTATCGGAAATGCCTGTTACAACGTCAACGATTGTGGGCGCGTTAGCGTGTCAAAAGAATTCCTTTTTGAAATCATTCCAGACCCTGGTTATCTCGTGCAATGAGTATGAGCCTATCATGACATCTAAAGATAAGCAGAACAAGGGAAAGAAGAAAGAAGAAAAAGTTCCAACCGAGAAGTTGTATGCTGTGGAACTCGAGGATACCATTCTTTTTCCTGAAGGCGGGGGCCAGCCATCTGATACTGGCTCGATCTTGCTTCCAAACCTGAAACAGGTACAAGTGAAGCAAGTGTTGCGTAAGGAACTCACTGCCGTTCATGTCGTACCTGAAGCTGTTGAGCCAGGATCGTTGGTAACCCTCAACGTGGACTGGGATAGACGTATTGATATTATGCAGCAACACACTGGACAGCATTTAATCTCCGCCGTGTTTGACGGATACGATTTGGAGACCTTGAGTTGGTCTATGGGCGACATGATCAACTATATTGAGCTTCCAAAGAAGATTGATGATGATTTGATTGAGGAGGTGAGTAAGAAGGTCAACAACCTCATTCTAGAAAACCTCCCTATTACTGTCACTACACCAGACGAACATGGAGGAGAAATCGACACGAAAAAGATCCCAGACGATTATGATATGTCCAAGGGTATTGTGAGGGTTGTCAAGATTGGAGATCTTGATGCAAACCCATGTTGTGGTACTCACTTGACATATACGGGCCAAATTCAAGCAGTGTCATTCTTGCATCAGGTTAACATTCGAGGAGGTAACTCTCGGTTACATTTCATATGTGGTTCGAGGGTCTCTAAACAATTGGCCAACTACCACAAGTTGTTAAAAGAGATTCTGGGAAGCACTTTGTCATGCCAGATCGAGGAAGTCGTGACAAAGGTTGCTGACCTCAGTGCCAACTATAAGAAGGTACAGTCTAGAGAGAGTGGTCTTCTCAAACAACTTGCAAATATTCGTGCAGTTGAGGTCTTCACTAAATTCAAGAATGGCGAAGGAAGCATCGCTACTGTTTATCGGGAGGACAATGGTCCCGAGTACTTAACATTGTTCCAAAAAGAGCTCACTACATTAATTAATGGCGATAAAGACTCTGGAGTGAATGTCAGCGACAAGTTCACTGTGGTCCTAATTAATGGAGATTACAAATCGGGCAATGGAGGAATGGTGAAAATCTTGGGACCCCAGGCTGATGAAGTCCTGAGTGAATTAAAGAAGTTGATAAGCAACATGAAAGGCGGAGGCAAGGGTGCTAGCTTCCAAGGAAAAGTGACTAAGTATGAGAAGGGAGAGGTTGAGACTGTGTTGAGGTACTTGGAGCTGTTGGAGCTTGAATAAGTAGTTGGAGTTATTCTCCCAATGTGGCCTCCACAATGTGGCTTTCGAGGGTTCTTTCAAAATAACACTTCAGAAGAGTCATTACAATCATTAAGCCTTCTCCACTAGATTGTCTATATATACAAGATGCTCTAACGCTTGACCCACGTTGGCGACTTTCTAGCCTTGACCTTACCAGGCTTCTTTCTCTCTACCTTTCTAGCGTCTCTCGTCATCAACCCGGCCAATCTCAACCGCGACTTAAACAATGGATTGAACACAACCAATGCTTTAGAGATTCCAAACATAGCAGCTTCGGCCTGACCACTGATTCCTCCTCCCTCGGTGGTGATGAACAAGTTGTACTGGCCCTCCTGGCTCACCACCTTGAATGGATATGCGATTTTGTTTCTGTCCATCTCTCGGCTGAAGTATTCACTGAATGACTTGCCGTTGACAATCACTTGACCCTCACCTTTTACCATGGAGATGTTGGCCACGGCTCTCTTTCTCTTTCCTACTGTGTGTGCACGTCCAAACTCATCCAACTGCTTGACCACCTTTTGCACAGACTTCTGAGTGTCGTCGGAAGAGGCAGTATAGCTGTTCAACAAACCAATCACATCACGAGGCATCAACTCCGGCTCGATACTTCTCAAACGGTTCAACAACTCAACCAACTCCTTGTGGTGGCCGATCTTGAGACGAGTGCCTGCCTGTGTTCTCTTCTTGTACTCTTCAAACGACACGAACTTGAATGCTTGTAATTCCTTGCTGTCCAATACTCTGGTGGGCAAGTTCTTGTGCTTTCTAACCATAGCGTTCAACTTGTTGATGTTGTCATCATGCACTGGGTTTCCGCCATAGAAAGTCGACAATCTAGGAACTATTCTCAATCTCTCGAGTTCCCAGTCACGGATGTTGTCGTTGAGTCTGGCGGGAGCAAATCTGTTAGGTCTTTTACCTTCTGCTGGAGGCACTGGAGGACGACCGCTAGTTGTGCTGACCAGAACAGCTGGCGCATTCTGAGCACTCTGAAGTCTCCACGAGCATGTGGAGAAATATCTCACAAGGCCACGGGCCGAACTTTCGGGTCTGAGGAAAGTCATGATTGGCCTATAGTTTAGGTGAGTTTTGTAGGTTTGGATGGAAATTTTTCGTGAGAGTCGTGTGCAGCACCTAATCTATTGTGTCATTATCCATTCCCATATATATAATACAAAGCGTGAAAGCATGCGGGCATGCGGAAAACTATAGTACATTGCAGCGGTCAGTATTCTAGTCGGCGAGTAAAGATTTGATGCTGCCTCTCCGTTCATTTCCTTGTGTTGGGGGCAGCAAGATGGGTGGTGCTGTCTGGGCATTCAATAGTGCGGCCAAATTGCTAGGTTTGGACGGTGGAAGCTGATGCACTGGTGCCTCAGCACTGACTTCACTGTTGAGCAAATTCATTATGGACGATTTAGCTGTTTCTCGTGGTGCTTCCTTTCGAGGCTCCTCAGTTGGTATTTCCTGTCTTGGTACATCCTGCCTAGGCGCTTCCGAGATATGTACAGGTGCTGGTGGTGGTGCTGGTGCGATGGGAGCCAATATCGGACTTCTAATGGCACCATGGTTCACTGGAGGTTCTGGCTTGTTTGGAGTGTTGGAAAGAAGTTCATTAACATTCAGTCTCTTGATCTCTGAAGAATTGTTGGAAAGGCCGGGAAGCCGTGTTGGATAAAAAGGTGCAGAATGTTGGAATGTACCCATGGGGACCGCTGGCTGTTGGATCTGTGCTAAAGGTAGCGCATGTACTGCTGGTGGCTGATTTGCCTCTTGACGTCTTCCCTGCTCATCCACCGCATCGTAAACATGAATCTCCGTCTTAGGGATGTCAATGTGTGATGTTTTCTGAGGTTTCACGACTATGGTAGTGTCGACATTGGAAAACTTGCTATCTTCAGTGTTGGAATCCTGTGCTAGTCTGTGATCTGCACTTTGAACGATATCCTCCCACCCATGTTTGTTCCCGTTTCTTTGGTAATAATTTCGTACCATGGTAGCCGTTTTGGTTGCAAGTTTCTCAGCAATGCAAGACCACCTTGATCCATAGACCTTTAGTAGTTGTGGAAACTCGTTGACTTCGGTAATGCTCCAGTAACTTGAGATATGCTTCTTCTTCTCTTCTGGGTGACCTTGCACAATGACTAATTCACTTTGCTGATCAGCATTGGAAACATCTGGATGTACAGAAGTAGTGGGGTTCATGATATCTGGTTGAGGAATGAAATCAACCGCTGACATTCCAGTCATGGGAGTCATTTCGGCAACTGGGTTTCTCTCAGTCGGCTGCACAGGAAATGGTACGCTTTCTTCGTCTCCCTTTGATTTACTTTTCTTTCTAGGTTGAGACTCCATATTTTCTGTCTTGACGACATCGTCGCTTTCCTCCGCCCCCTGCTCGGTTCTTCTCTTTTTCTTATTATCGATGTCAACGTGTGAATTCTGAGGTTCTTCAGCCTCTTTAGGTGGAGATTGCAAACTTTGAGAGTTCTCAACAGTTGATGATGGGGCAGTATCAGTGGAGGTCTCCTGAACTGCCGCTTTAGGCTTCGATTTCCGACGTGTCGCTTTCTTGGTATTCTTCTTCTTGAACTGTGACACCAAAAACTTGTAGTTGACAGCCTTCTTTGTCATATAATAGTGAACCACGCATTCCTCAGCATGGCGAATGCCTCCCATGAATCTCGAAATCTGCCCGAAGCGCTTAGGAAATCTGCAGAAAGCCTCACAAAACATTTCATGTTCTCTTTCGGTGAAGTTGTCCATGAAATCCGTCTTCACTCTGGTTGTCCAAGCTTGCTTGTCGTGAACAATATTGTTGGAATCCATGTACTTGAAACCATCCCTTAACACCGGATCAAGAATTAAATCAGGAATTGTAGCCGCAACTCTTTCAGCACGTTTCATAGGATCTTCATTTTGCTCATTCTCGAGACTTTTAAGAATTTCCTGAAACTCGGCCTCGGTTGTAACCAAATCTCCATGTCTTCTTCCACGACGGCCCGATTGTGGCGGAGAGTCAGCATGAGCATAAGAGACTTCATTAGTTGGTTCTGTTGTCTTAACCCTGATATCGATGGATTCAAGTTCACGCCTCATGTCATCGTCTGGTGGATGTAATACCTTCAATTGCTCTTCAAGAAACCCTCTCTTCGTATTGTTTTCCTTTCTTAGAGTCTCATATTCAACCCAAAGAGAGAGTCTCTTCTTCTTTAATGCTTCTTTGTTACCGCGAACGGTGCTTAGATATTGCGGGAAGCTATTAGAGAAGTGCACGAGATTCCTCTTGTAAAACGGATATACGGAGAGGTCTGCAACAGGCTTCGACAAAGAGAACCTCATGAAGCTATCCTCTTCGCCTTTTAAAGACGCCCCCTTAAATTCTTTGTTGATTTCAAGGAATTGGGTCTCAATTTCTCCAAGAGGAAAGTTGCAGCCTTCAGGATAGTCCACGGGGCCATTTAAGTCAATTGGAACAGTTGTTGCGACATTGGTTACGGCATCTGAAGGTTGGGTATCGTGCGCACGAATAAGATGTGGTTTGACAGGCTCTGCCGAGTGCAACTTATCATTTTCTGCATTCAAGATGTTCCTGTCGTAGACGTCGACTTCTTCGTCATCCTCATTGCCTTCCTCATCGTATTCATCTACTTTTTCGTCTTCGTGACCTTCTTCATCATCTTCGTCATCTTCATCGTCGTCTTCCAATTCATCATCATCTACTTCGTCATCCATATCATCATTTCCATCGTCATCGTGTTCGTGTCTATGGCGATCTTCATCCACTTCTTCATCATAATTATCCATAGAAACATCTAGGCTATCATCTTGGTCACCTCGAATATCTTCAGGGTATCTGTAGCCTTCGGTACTGGGAGACATGGATCTATCTGTTCTGCTATCGCTGTATTGTTCATTCCGTTCCGTGGAATACTCGTAATCCTTTCCTGAGTATCTATCGGTGTAACGATTGGACAGACCGGAATACTTTTTAGATGGGTAGTATGATTCGCCTCTTTTCGGTGTGCCCAAGCTGTTAGTGAGGCCAGAGCTACGGATCCGTTCCTTGGCAGAATGCTGGCGACTACCTGATTGTGGAGGACGAGATGATCGGCTGCCTTTCTCGGATCTTTGCGAATACGAGTTCTTCCAGCGACTTCCGTATGAACCATCATTATAAGAATCATAACGCTCTTTCTTGTGGTCTCCCGAGACTGATGAAACTAACCCATTCAGGCCGCTTCTGGAATTGACAGGAATATTGTTTGGATTGAACCGGCCAGAAAAGAACGGCTTTGAAGTACTGTTGGAGCTGGGTTTGGACCTTTCGCCCCTCCATGTGTCCCTAGAAAACAGGCCATTCTCGCGTGGCGCGCCATTCACTAAATCTCGAGAGGTGGAATCTCTGGCATTGGAAGCATAACCTTGGAAATCTGAGTCCCGTTTTGTACCGTTGAAAGAGCCGTATGCGCCTGTGGAGTTACGCTCGCCACCTCTTTCAGCATTTCGTTCGTGGTAGTACCCCGATTGGTACGAGGAATACAGCTTGTTCCCGTAGCCATATCTGGAATCTTTCAGGTAAGAATTGCTTCTGCTGCCCGAAGATGGCGCAGAACCTGTGGATACTGAATCACGGAAACGGGGTCTGCTGGAGTATTCACCAGCGCCTGGCTTTTCAGCTCTTGCTGGCGGTTTAGATTGTGATAGCAGTGACAGACCTGGGCCAGCCGGCGATGAAGCCAGGCCCGATGTGCTCTTGAAGTCACGTCGCGTAGAAGACGCATAGAAGTTCTTTCGGCGCTTGTAGTCGTTGTCGCTCCCATATCGGTCCAATGGGGGACCTCGGGATCCTGAAGACATTTTGGATAGATATTGAAGGTGGAACTTCCGGCAGAGTTATATATGGCTGGAGATATATGCAGCACAGTTGGTATTGGTAAACGGCGAAGAACACAAGAGTGTGATTGATAGTGAAGGTAGAATGTTAATGGGTATAGAAAAATGTCATAAGACTTGAAACAAAGGAGAGTGGTAGGAATTTTTTTGTGTATATTATAGGCCCGTACCTCCATGAACTTATAGAGAGGCTAGTCACGTGTGGAAACAATCAAGGTCGCTAGCCAGCATTGAATTCAAGATAGGATATTCTGATTACAAAATAGGAATAAATCCATGTAGTATAATACAAAAAATTCAATTCATGTTATTCTATTATTATTCTGGTTTCAAATTTTTCATGTGATTATATGCATTTTAATTGGTGTACATGCAAATTGCTCTCTATCTATGGTGCACAATATTGCTCTATAGTACACTACTTTCCAACTCGTAAGATCCGACGGAGGACTCCAACCTCATCAATGGACCTTTCTAAGTCAGTTAATGGCACATTGGGCGTGATCGTCTTGTTTCCCACGTCCACGTGCATGCTGTAAGTTTTCTGTTTTGAAGCCAAAACCACCGTTGATGACGATTCAAGTGCTCCTACTATCTCCAAGAAGTCACCTTTCTTCAACCGGCCCAACAACTCCTCCGTACACTCGAGAGTGTACTTGCAGTAAAAGTCATAGAGCTCATTTACTGTAGGTGCTTTGGTGAGCGATGTATTCTCCATGCTGAAAAGACAGCAAAGAACAGCTTTCTGAAGCAAGTTCAAGTTGTTGAGTTTGGCCAGAGTATTGTCACCAAATGTGGAAGCACAAGCTCTAGCCACATGGCCTATCATGGCTTTTGGAGCAGTCTCAAATGTCAAGCTGGAAAAAGTCTCACTTTGCTGGGCCTGTTTCTCCACGAGCTCAATACTCTTGTAGCAAATATCGAACGCCTTACGAAGATCTCCAGTAACCGTAGAACATTTCTTGCAGCATAAAGTGATAGCGGTTGGATGCATGATTGGAATGGCGTTGGTCATGTTCTCCTTATCCTCTTCCACAAGTGACCTGAGCTTGCTGAGAATCACCTGCTTGATCTGGTCACCTGAATATGGCATAAACTGAATGGATTCTGGGTTAAAACCATTGCTCCGGAGCCGAGGCAAGAATTTGTCTGTGAGGTCCAAGGCGTTGGAAATACCCACAAGTATCAATTTCGTATTGAGCACACTGCTCTTTAAGTGGGACGCACAATGGAAAAGCTGGAAGAGGACCTGTTGATCTTTGGTGATGAGACTGTCCATCTCGTCGAGCACCACCACCAACGAGTCAATGGAGTTGTTGCCCTCCAAGAGCACCTTGTAAAGATCATCAAATGTCTGCTTGCGTGAGGGCGCCTGGCCCGTGACATGGCAGTAGATTTCGTGGTAGATGTTTTCCGGTTTGGAGATTGCCATGCAGTTGACTCTCATGACCAGCACGTTGGCGCCGTGAATGTGGTGAATGTGGCGAATTCCAGATGCCTGAGTGACCGGGGATCCTCTTTTCTGTGCAATTAAGCTGTCTAGTGTGAGGTTAATTTGGGCAGTCTTGCCAGTTCCTGGAGGCCCGGAAACATATAGGCTGGCACATTTTCTGAGAGTTAGCGACATATTAATGAACTTGGAGAACGCGTCTGCCTCTGCAGATCTTCCCACAAGGTGAGTGACGTTCTCCATCTTGGCTCCACGTTGGAACAACGCTTTAGCTTTCGAGTAGATGGAGTCAGTGAAGTGGAGCTTTCTAGCATGGCCTGAGAGTGAGCTGGAGAGATCAATGACAGATTTTTTTTCTGGAGTTGTGGGAGGGGTGGCCAATTGTGAAACTGGTCGAAGTGCCCTTCTTTTTGGATCTGGAACGGCGGAGGTGTTTTGTCTTTTAAGCATTGTATGAAAGTCAAAGGTTTAATAATTGCAGTTAAATGGAAGTAACGATGAGATCGATGGGAACGATGGGAACGATGGAATTAGCACAAAATGAATGACCAACGGATGAAACGAAAGACGTTGGAAAATGAACGAAAAGTTTGAATTTGAAAAGATTGAATCGTTCCACCAAATTCTGTGTGCCAAAGGTTATATATATGGAGATGCGAGCGCGTTTAATTAGACCCAAAGTGGAAGCATAAGTGGTAGCGTAATGTGCGCGAAACGCGAGCGAAGAATTTCACCAAAATGATAGAATTTTGGATGATATTGGTAATTATTACTATGTTTCAACGTGGATTAGAGGCAGATGGACATTCAAGGATTATAATCATGGGATTATTTGAAAAGTTTCTCTCTCATTATGTTAGGTTGGACCCCTGTAGGCACCCAACCAGCATGTACGTGCACACTGTTACCTGAGTAACTCGACACGGTCTGAGTATCTAGTATACAGATCACTGCAGTGTACAGAGACAGTATCAGAAGGTAAGTAAGTACTATACAGTGATCAGTATACAGAAGCTGCAGTACAAAGATCAATATATAAAGACTATCATATAGAGATTGGTGTACCAAGACTGGCAATTGTATAAGACAGTGTGTACTTGTGTATTACTTAACTTATCGGGATACTTCAACATTGATTTTCATCTGATCGTCAATATCGTTTACCACCTATAGGATTATCATTTTCATCAACTTATTTCCATTTGAATCTTTACAATAAATGTCAGAGACAGACGTCACACGGCTTAAAGCATCTATCTACCTCAGTGTAGCCAAAATGGTGGAGGAATACTCGCAAGAATTGGGCACCACTGCCAGCCCGTCTTTCGTTGCTTCATTGGTCGAATTGGTGTATAATCAACTTCAGAATTTAGGAGAAGACTTGGAGCTATTTGCAGATCACGCAGGTCGGGCTGTTATCAACGACTCAGATATGTACATGGTGACTAGGAAGAACGAGATTCTTACCAATGCGTTGAAGGAGTATGCGAAGGGCCTGGGTCTGAGAGATTGAAGACGGGGTGTTGAAGTTAAAAGCATAATGGAGAATAAATCATCTCATTCAGGCTCTGGAATCACCATTTAGGTACTTTTCAGGAGACCACCTCTATTTTAGAGTTTACTGTCGTATTTTCATTGGTGTTTCATCACTTGAGCCATCAACAGTGGGTGTGAACAGAGGAAAACACAAAACTGTGTCCAATATGAGAATTGTCCGGTCAACTTTTCTGTCTTTTTGCTGCCACTTTGCGGCCACTTCTATCACGCTATAGTCAAAACTAAGGACAGATCGAACTTAGCTTAACGCTTCTTGCTTAATACTGTCATGGCTAGAAGTACACTGCTAGTAAAGATCCAATTATTTTACTCAAAAACTTACCAAAACTTACAAAGTTTCCAATACAATACTAACGATACTCTTAACGCTTTTAGATTCTTACACAGAGACATGCCAACGGTGCATCCCTACCATAAAAGGTCAGCATTATCCAAATTTGATCTGACCCCTATTGTCCTATTCAGATATCATCTCGAATTCCCACCTCTCCATTGTCACCCATATTTATTCTATTTTTATACATCCTCCCCAACCAGTGCCGTACCTTCCCTTCTCTGTCACTTCTAGCTACTCCATTCCAGTTCCGCATCCTCCATTTCCTTCTCCTATTCGCACTTGCCCCACTGCCCCTCCGACAACAAAGAGTCCAACAGCCACTCCAATAATCTCAACACCATCGCGCCTACAAATATTTCAAATCAGAATCATCCCAACCTGTCTCCCGCTCATTCCTCCATCCAATCTTTTCCTGTCACCTCTACGTCATAATTTTCCCAACCTCTCCCAATATTCTCCGCACCATGCGCACCCCACCATCTTCCCTGTATACCTTCCATTCAACAACCATAGTTCACATCTTTATCATCTTTCACATACCATGACTACGGCCAAGGCGAAAAAGGGTCTTTCGTATGTGCTCGGAGATGCGAGTGCGAATGAAAACCACATTCTCCCCATCAATGCCATGCAATTTTCGGCGTCCAGAAATGTCCTCTACACTGGAGGAAGAGACGGTTTGGTGAAATGTTGGAATGCTCCTGCTAACACCTCCCGACTGCTGGAGTTTACGTTTGGCAATGGCGATAAAGACGACTCGCAAGATTTGGATGAGCGTCTTTTGCGCTTGGAGACTGCCATCTCCTCCAATCCATTGCTGCACCGTATCCCACAAACCAGGTACGATGCTGGAATGGTTCGTAATTACAACATCCACTTCGACTGGATCAACGACTTGAAGTTGGTCAATAACGATCGAAGTCTTGTCACAGCTCTGGCTGACTTGTCCCTCAAGTTGATCGACTTGGACGGCGACGACTCTGACGTCCATAAGTTCCGAAATGTTCACACTGACTATATTAAGAAGATATCGTCTATAGCGCCGCATAATTTGGTGGTCAGTGGAGGGCTTGATGGTTCAATTGTTGTATGGGACTTGGAGACCTTGAAACCTGTGCAACAGTTCCAAAACTGCTCGGCTAGTCCCCATTCACCTCGCTCCGTCTATGCACTTTCCAATAACCACCTGAATTTGATCTCTACGGGCGGGCCCAATAACACGATCAATATCTACGACCGCCGTATCGACTCCGAAGGCCAGTCGAATCTCATTCGTCGCTTGGTTGGTCATCAGGACAATGTTCGTTGTCTATTAATGAATGGCAACTTCATCTTAAGTGGCTCATCTGACACCACCGTCAAACTCTGGGATATGCGAAACTTTAAGGTATACAAGAACTTTGAAGTGCACGATGAACCTGTTTGGAGCTTGACAACCCCGTTCTGCTCGGGCTACGCCTCTGAGAGCGACTTCAGTGTGTTCTACTCTGGTGACAAGGGAGGAAACATCGTGAAGACTGATCTCGGTTACCTTTCCAGCAATTCTCACCTTCATGACTCCGAAGTTTTCCCTACTGCGGTGTTTCTGTCGTCAGACATTGCATTCATAGATGAGAAGGTGGGATTGTGCACTTTGGTGGCAAAGAGCGACTCTCCCATTGTCTCGTTATGTGCTGAAGGCGATTCTTCGCTTTTTGCTTCCACTTACACTTCGTTGGATCGTTACTACATTCCGGAATCAGATCCTCTTGCCAAGTACCAGTATCTTCGGGCATGTGTGGACCACTCTATGAATATGGAACACGTTGATGTTGATGACTTATCTGGGGTTGATGGAGCGCCTAGCGACCAGTCAGACATAAACTCGGACTTCTATGATATAGTCAGTCATTTATCTATGGATTCAGCCAATCTCGAGATTCTGTCATCGCTTTCTGCCACAAATTTCTCTGCAGCAGGAAACATTCCCGATGAGGAGCTGGTTTCCACGGACTACACATCAATGTTCTTGAACACCAATGGTGGCCCTTCACTAGAGTTTGTCAATGCCTATAAGGATGAATTGGCAATTAGCTTGGACAGCAAACAAGAGTTCGACGAAACCCCTGTGGAAATCTTGCTCAATCCAGTTCCACCAAGCAGTGTTCTTTCCATTCCTTTCAACAGAAAACCGTTCCAGTTTTACCAAATCAGCCCAAAATCGATTATTTCCAAACGCATGTTCAATAACAAACGCTGTTTGCTTACGCTCTACTTGAATGGAGATATCAAGATCTGGGACGTTCTCATTTGCAAGGAGACGAAATTCTTCCCATTCGCGAATAATCAATGTCCTTTGTCTAAAGACGATTTGAAGGAAAGAACAAAAGAGTTTGACAGCATATATCAAGAATATCAGACGTTGGATACTCTCAATAATTGGTGCGAAGTGGAAATCAAATCAGGTAAGCTTCTTGTAAGCTTGACAGAATCTACCATTTGCAATGTGGACATCTATTACGATGATCTCGTCAAGAGCTACCCGTTCCTTTCCACCGACCATCCGGACAATGCGGTAGCGAAAGGACTCAAGACTTCTCCTGACGACAGATTCCCCATAGCACGCATCTTCATGAACTCGATATTTCAGAAGTACGCTCTCTACGAATTGGCTGCAGATCTCAAGTTGAGGGAGGAGTTGCAGTTGACAAAAGCTAATCCAAAAGTCAATAGTGGAGTAGACGCAGAACAGCGTTCCATCGCCAGTACAGACTCCAAAAGAAAGAAGCTTTTCACCAGGAAGTCGTCAAAAAATAGCATTCCACAGTCGACGCTCCGGAGCCCTTCATTATCAATTGCAAGTAATATGAGCGAGTTTGCCAATGCCGGAGAAAGTGCCGGAAATGACAATTCACCGCCTCCAGAAGACTCAATTGCCAAAATCCTTCAGATGAACAAGCAAGTTTATTTGGACAAGTACAATATCCATGGACCCAAGAAGTTGGTGAACACGTCACTCAACCTCTACACCAACAATCCAGAATTACAATTTCATGACACAGAGGTGCTGTACAAGCCCGTGATTGACTCCAAAAGATTACCAGGTCATTTACTCATCATTGTTTTCGAAACATCCGCAGATCTCGGAAATTACAGAGAGGTTTGTAGTTTCCATTTGGATGAGTTGAACTCTCTACAGTTTCCAGCACCCCAAGCAAGTGCAAAGGAGGAATTGGTCAAACAGCTACGGTGCACGTTACCCAGATGGATAGGCCTGCCTATTCTCTATGACAAGTTCCCTCATAAGGAGCTGCCTAAAATATCATTTCAGTTGATGGAGATGGACTATTTAACTCTCCCACCAGAGAAGAAAATTGGAGGCAGATCGCAGAAGAAGATCAAGAAGTTGCCATCGCTTGAGAGTTCGGAGAGTTCTATCAAGTTGAGCTCACAGAACATGCTCCGTGTGAACAAGATCCTTAAGTATTTGGTAGATAAGTTTGATCTGCGAACCTCCGAAATGAAGGACAAACGGCCACCTAGTGAGTGGCTTGTTCTTGAATGTCGTGGTCAGGAGCTTAGTCCAAGCTTGACTCTTCAAACAATCAAGACGAAGATCTGGAAGTCCAGCAGTGATATAGAGTTGCGATTCAGACGGAAGTTTGATGCATAGCATTAGAACGGTGAGATCTCACTATAAAAGTGAAAATAAATTAAATTGGAGAATAAAATTGATATAGATAATTGAAGACCATCTTCAGAATTTGAAACTCCCTTCATTATTAACAAACTTCTGTGAAAAGATTTTGCACCCACTTCCCACCATCTAGTATCCAGCACTTCATACTGGTAGTGCCGCGCACAGTAAAATTTGGTGATGAGCGAAAACTACATCTACATACATCCAGCGTCTAATACCAACCTACCATGGAGGACGTCGAAAGAGCCACCTCCCGTTTGTGGAGATCCTTCAAAACCGTCAAGGAGATGGTCAGAGACAAGGGCTACTACATTACTGATGAGGAGATCAACATGACATTGGAAGAGTTCAAGGCCAAGATCTGTCCTATGGGTGAACCACAGAGAAAGTTGATGTGTTTCCAGGCTCAACCTACTGCGGAAGCTGCCGAGAAGTTCCCTGAAATGGGATCGTTGTGGGTGGAATTCTGTGACGAGGCATCAGTGGGTATCAAGACCATGAGAAACTTCTGTATTCACATCAGTGAGAAGAATTTCAGCACGGGTATTTTCATCTACCAGACATCCATTACACCCAGTGCAAACAAGTTGATTCCAACTGTTTCTCCTGCTACCATCGAGGTTTTCCAGGAGAGCGACTTGATTGTCAACATCACCCATCACGAGTTGGTGCCTAAGCACATTCGCTTGTCGAAGCCAGAAAAGAAAGAGTTGTTGGAGAGATACAGATTGAAGGAGTCGCAGTTACCACGTATCCAGAGAGAGGATCCTGTGGCTCGCTACTTGGGGTTGAAGAGAGGCGATGTGGTGAAAATCATCAGACGGTCGGAGACCTCAGGACGGTATGCTTCTTACAGAATTTGTTTGTAACCGTCCGCATGTACTATAGCATATTGTTAGAAAAACACGTTGTAATGATCATGTGTAGCTAGGCCAATCTGGCTGCCATCACGGCGTCTTGCACTCCATTCCACCATTTGACGTCTTGAAGTTTCACTCCCAGTCTCGGCGATACCTCCACGCCATTCTTGCCCAAGAAAACTGGGCCGACCGTTACTACCACACTATCTACAAGGAATGACTGCAAGAGCTGGTTGATTACCACCGCACCACCTTCAACCATCACTGAGTTTATGTTTTCAAGGTGCAATGCACGAAAGATGGTATCCCAGTTGGCTAAACTGGAATCTTTGAAGTCTATATGTAAGATCTTTCCGCCCTGGGCCTCCACTACCGCCATATCTTCTTGCGAGTACCTTGTGTTTGTGTTGGTGACTATATATGGAGCTAATCCGTCGCCCTGTTGACATATCTTGTGCAATGTCGAAGATGCGTACTTCCACTTTCCATTTGGGTCCACCACCACGGGTCTAATGCGTCCTCCATTGGGGCCACCATGGTATCTGCAACTTAGTTTGGGATCGTCGGCAAGAACTGTTCCTATGCCCACAAGAATTGCGTCGTGGTTGGCACGGAGGTAGTGGGTCATGGTCTTGGTTTCCAAATGCGAGATGACTGTCTGGGTTCCAGGTGCCGCAGCAATGCGGGAATCAAGAGATTGGGCCCATGTTAGAGTCACAAAGGGACGGTTTGAACGAGATCCATTGGGGAGATAGTTGGCTAAGAACGGCACTAGGGATGGTGGAAGAGGTATTAGAGACATATGGTTGAGGTTGGTGCAGGCAAAGGTTTTCAAGTGATGGCATGAATTGCCCTTAAGGTAGTGAATGGTGTCAAGTTGAGAAGAGGAATTATTGAAAAGCAGAGAGAGATGGTAAGGTTATGATGATGTGGTGAGTTTGAAGAGAAGAAGAAAGGGTGCATTTGTGGAAGAGCTAGGTGACAGCAGTCAGTGAATTTGACAGGTGCCACAGGTCCACTTGGATTGTTAGAGAATAGAATAGGTAATCATTGAACATTGAGAAGAATCATCAAAAGAAGGAACGAATACCAGCAGGGATTGGAATGGATTAAATTTGAAAAAATAGATCAGAATGGGTCAGAATGGATGTCAAACATTATATAAAGTCAAATACTTGCTGGTATTTGGTGATAATACGACAGTATTCAGAACATTGTTTGGGAAACCAATTCAAGGTGTAGTACAACAAAGTATGGTTGGGGTATAATAAGTAAAATTACGATGTATGGCAGACATAATAATGGTATATCAAAGTGATATTAACCAGTAGGCATTTACCAATTAAAAATCTCAAAAGTGCAGTAGGGAATAGATATACAGAGATGTACCAGACAATTGATGATACCTTAATATATATATTGTCATAATACCCAAGAGTTCGATAAGTTTCGAATCGTTCTCATTAGACTGACTTCCAGTACCTAATCAAAATTATCTACATTTCTCGTTTATAGCCAGCAGCTTGCCTCATTTCACTTGTCGCAGATAGGAGGCCAAAGGTTAATTCGCACCAAATTCGCACCAAATTCGAACCCTTTCGGCCCGTTCTCATTCCGTCATTGCTGGTACTTCCTTTTCACGCGCGACTTCCGGTAACCAACGGCATGTCATAATATTAGGCAAATCTTCCACTATTTATACCCCAGGAGGATTCGGGGTCTCAAAGAAAAGTCATTGCCAAGAAACATCCCTTCTTAAAGCATGCAAATAATCCTTCATTTTTTTTCTCCCCATCTTCTCTCGCCGCAATCTTTACTTTCCCCTCTCAAGACTTAGTAAACATCTCCACGGTTTTCCTCTCTGTATACCTGCATGCAAGCCCACGCGAACGCTTATATATGGCGACTCATCCGTTCGTGTTTCTTTTCACACTACCCATGTCGTTCCAGTACTCCATCGACACGCCGTTTTTGGTGCCCTTGTGGCCGTTGTTTGACACTGCCGTTGCTACAGCTACTGCCGGTCGCTTTGTACCCTCTGAGTTCCACTTTGTTCCCGGAGAAACCTTTTTTTCAACTTTCCCCATCGTGGCTGCCACCATCGCTACTTACTATGTGGTGATTTTCGGTGGAGACTGGGTGTTCAAGAAATTCAAGATCCAGCCATTTGTGTTAAATGGCTTGTTCCAGATCCACAACTTGTTCCTCACCACCGTGTCGTTGACTTTGTTGACGTTGATGGTGGAACAACTCGTGCCTATGATCTGGCACCACGGTTTGTTCTACGCCATCTGTAACCCAACTGCATGGACCCAAGAGTTGGTCACCTTGTACTACTTGAACTACTTGACCAAGTTCTGCGAGTTTATCGACACGGTGTTCTTGGTGGTCAAGCAAAAGAAATTGACCTTCTTGCACACCTACCACCATGGTGCTACTGCCCTCTTGTGCTACACCCAGTTGATGGGATTAACCCCTATTTCCTGGGTCCCCATTTCCTTGAACTTGGGTGTCCACGTGGTCATGTATTGGTACTACTTCTTGGCTGCAAGAGGTATTCGTGTATGGTGGAAGGAATGGGTCACCAGATTCCAGATCATCCAGTTCATCTTGGACTTGGGCTTTGTCTACTTTGCCACCTACCAGAAGATTGTCTACACCTACTTCTCTAATTTGATCGGCACCTTGCCTGTCTGTGGAGACTGTGCTGGAACCATGTTGGCAGCCTACTCTGGGTGTGGTATTTTATCCTCTTACCTTGTCTTGTTCATTGCCTTCTACATCGAAGTCTACAGAAGAAAGACTACCAAGAAGGCCAGAAGAGTTAAGTCTGTCAAGGGTGGTATGGCTGCTCAAGTGAACGAGTATGTTCATGTTTCGGGCAAGTCGGACTCGCCAGTTCCTGATGGTCTCCGCAAGAGACTCTAAGAAAAATGAGACAGCCTATGAGACCTGAGAAATTTGAGAACATTAGAGAGTTCTAAAGTTCTAAACGACAGTGACCTAGAGATGCAAATGATGACAGCATCAGCATTGGAGACTTTCTCCGTGTAAATTAGACATTCGATTTTAATTATTAATATGCGCTACAACTTCATCGTAGAATGGGATACCCTCCGCTGCTCCTTTCTTCTGGATAGCAAGGCTAGAAGCCGTGGTAGAAAACTTTACCGCCTCTTGCAATGTTGCTCCAGAGCTGAGCTGCAGAACAATACCACCGAAAAACGTGTCTCCTGCTCCCGTGGTATCGACAACCGTATCAACCTTCAAAGACTTTGCAAAAAAAACGCTCTCGTTCTTGCCCACAGATACTGATCCTTTACTGCCCATGGTGATGATGGTCACTGCAATGTTGTTGGGATCAAGCATCCCCTGAAGCTTTTCAGCCAATTGAGAGAATCCTGCAACTTCATCTTTAGCAATGGTTTTCTTAAAGGTGCCAAGTTCGGATTCATGCAAAACGCTGGATGCTACGTCTAATGCCTCTCCTTCGTTCACAATCAACATGTCGATCTGCAGCAAAAGCTCCAGCGTGATCAACTCACTCTTGTATGGCGACGGGTTGTAAGCTATGTTGATGGAAGGTCTGTTCTTTTTGATCCATTCAATTGACTGGCGAGTGTGTGGATATTCGTTCTGTAGCACGACATAATCACAAGATCCACTCTGGTCGCCAAAATATTGTTCGTAATCAGCATCTGAAGGCTTCAACTCACCATTGGCTCCAGCAGTTATCAATATCCGGTTTTCTCCTGACGTTTCAACAAGTATTACTGCAACTCCAGAAGGTACGTCATTCAACGTCTGGATATACTTCGTATCCACTTTAGCATCCACCAATGCCTGTCTTAACTCCTTTCCAAAACCATCGGAGCCCACATTTCCCACCATTCTCACGTGGTTTGCTGCGTTCTTGGACAATCGGGCACACGCCAACGCTTCATTGAGACCTTTTCCTCCTAGATGATTCTCAAACGAGTTGGCGGAGTATGTTTCGCCTGCCTCGGGTACTTTGTTGGTGTATGTGACAAGATCGTAGTTAAGTGAACCAATAATAGTTATCATTTTGAAAGGAAAGTGGTAAGTTCGACTTTTTCTGGGGTAAGTGTACAGTCACTCAGATCTTGGAGTATAGTTTCGCATTGGATCTACTACCTTGAGCACTTTCATATATACAAATATTAATTTTAAAGGTTTGAAATTGCTGAAAAACTACTCGATTTCTAATTTGTACTCGAATTACACTGTATTCCTTCCCAATATACTTACTCCTTGAGGAGACCTTGTCTCTTCAATCTCATCTTCTCGGCAAAGGTCAATGGCTTGTCTGAAGGTGGAGCCTGGGCTGGAGCCTGGGCTGGAGCATTTGGAGTAGACACTGGAGCAGCCGAACCAAATGGAGATGCTCTTGGGGTGGCAGATCCGAATGGAGATGCTCTTGGGGCAGCTCTCGATGGAGTAGAAGTAGACACTGGAGCAGCAGAGCCAAATGGAGAGGATCTGGAAGGAGGAGCAGCAGGAGAAGCTCCGCCGTTGCCTCTCTTGGCAGCGAACTCCTTCTCCATCTCAGCTCTCTTTCTGGCGATCTCTGCATCCTTCTCCTTCTGGATTCTCATCTCCTCTTTAAACTTCTCCATCTCAGCCTCTCTGGCTCTCTTCTTAGCAGCCTCCTGCTCCATGATTCTCTCCTTCTCCTTCTGGAGTTGCAACTGCTCGATTCTCTCTCTCTTGACTTGCTCGATACGCTCCTTCTTGGCTGCCTCGAATGCTTGCTTGGCTCTAGCCTTCTTCTCGGCAATCTTGGAGGCATTCTGTTCGTCGATCTTCTTTCTGTACTCCTCGTAGTCTGGGAACACACGGCTCAAACGCTCCTTCAAGCTAGTAGCAGCCTCAAACTCCTTCTTGGCCTTCTCAATCTTGGATTTTGTGTGCTCCTCGTGAGCCTTGATGTCTCTTTCCTTTTGTGCCTCGGCATCTGCAGCCAAAAGAGTCAATTCGTATTTTCTGCTGGCTCTCTCCGCGTGGTCAGCTCTCTTAAAAACAACCTTCAACTTCTCGTCCAAGTCCTTTCTATCCTTGTTCAACTGTTGGATCTGCATAGCACGCAACTTGTCAGTGTCCAAGTCTTCCAAGTTGTTCAAATCGATCTTGATGATTCCCTTGGCGTTGATCTCCTCGGCAATTTTTCTCTTGTCCTTCTCGATGATGGCCTTCTTCTCTCTCTCCAATCTCTCCAAGTTCTTTCTCTCCTGCTCTTGAGCCAATCTCTCCTGCTCAGCCATCTGCTCAGCAATCAACTTCTCTTGTCTAGCCTTAGCGGCAGCCTCATCCTGCTCACGCTTGAGCTTCTCGGCGACCTTCTTACGCTCCTCCAAGATTTGCACCCTGTCGGCGATTTCTTGTTGTTCAGCAACAAAGTTGGCCATAGCGTTCTGCAAAGCGGCTTCGCGTCTCTGCTGGAATCTGCTCTCGGCATGTGGGTCAATAACCTGGTACGAGCTGGCCAAAACTTGAGCCAATTTGGACAATTGAGTTCTCACCAACTCGGCTGGAGAGGCTTGCAACTTAGAAGATAACGAGTCAGTGAAGGAATCCTCGAATGGGTTAGACTTGAAGGTGACAACTTGAGACTCGTGGTCGATAGTCAATGACAAATGGCCCTTCTTGACAGCGTTTACAATCAAGTCCTCAACCTCCAATGGAGTCAACGTGTACTCAGTACCCTCGATAATACCCAAAGACACCAAGAAATCCAACTTGACAGCCTCGTAGATCTGAGAAACCTGCTGGAAAGATCTGATCAACACAACCTCGGTCAAAATTGGAATGTACTTGTTGTAAGCCTTGTCGTCCTTGATCACCTTGAACACATCGGCAACCTTCTCCTTTGCAACCAATGGGTGGAACTCGGAGTCGCTCATGATCTCGAACAATTGCTTGACAGCAGGGTCAACAAACTTCAAGATGGATCTGCTGACAATAGATGAGATCAAACTCTCTCTAGTAGGAACCTGGTTCAAGTTCAACAATGAGGTCAACTTGGCGTTCTTGGCCTTTTGGTCATCGACGATGGTCTCGTTGACGTTCAAGGACTTGGTTGGAATTGCCAATGTAGACAACACAAGCACAGAGGCGTAGTGACCCAATTCAGCATCGGTGGCATTTGGAGACTGCGAGAATAAGTTGAAGAATTTGTTCCAAGCAGCAGCATGGAACAAGGTGTTATCAGACACAGCAAAGATTCTGGCCAAGTTCTCGTAGTAGTTGGCCATCATCACAGGCTTTGGAGTCTTCTTGGATGCGGTAATCAAAGCATGCACGTCGTCAACAGAACGGAAGGATTCCTGCCACAACTCCAACTTGACGGAAATATTCAACTGGCTGAAACGCTGCTCCAAGTAACGCTGCACGGTTTCGGAGTCAGACAAGTCCACAGCATTGAGGTTAGAGCCTGGGGTCTTGGTCTGGACCTGGGTAGTGACCGATTGCATGTGAGCTCTCAAAAGCTCACACAATCTTCTAAACTCGGCCTTTCTGTTGAACTTCAAACAGAACTGGAAGGCCTGACTGACAATGGCAGAGTAAGTCACCTCCAATTTGGAGTTGTTACGCAAGATATCCAAGGTAGCTCTGAAAGCTTCCCACAAGAATCTCAACCATGGAGTAACCAACTCTCTCTCGGTTCTGTCAGCCGAATCGGTGTTTGAAACAGCGGACAACAAAATAGATTCTGGGGTCTGAGCGCCTTCCAAGTCATCCTCTTCATCCTGGTCAATCTTGATCTCGGCCTTGGCCTGAGCTTCGTCCAACTTCTTCTCAGCCAACTCAATGAACTTTCTCACAATCACCTGAACGGACTCCAAGCCATTCTCGGACAACTGGACGTTCTTCTTGTACTGGTGCAAGGCATCCTTGGCCAATTTTCCCTTTCTCAAGTCAACTGCCAACTCGATGAGCAACAATCCAATAGGCTCCAAGTCTTCAACTTGCAAGTATCTGATTCTTCTGGAGGTGATGAATTCGTACAAAGTCTCGAGGGCAGCCTCGGATTCGTCGACACCGATGAGGTCCTCGGCACGTTTCAAAATGTTTTCGGGACGGAACGCCTGGTTTTTGTGGGCTGGTGGCATCTTGGATGGTTTGTCCGTACTTAGGGTTCGATTTAGTTTTGCAAAAAAATTTTACTTAGGATGTCGTGTGCACACCGTGTTGGAGATGGGAAGAAGGCTGGAAATTGGGGAAAATTCAAGAACAAAACTGGAGGGATAAAGTATTAGATTAGAAAGATTATTAATGTTTTGACTTTCGTTGCCTCCTGTGGTGGTCTAGTGTTGTGGAGATGTGTTCGTTAAGTACCGTATTGGCAACCACTAGTGAGAAAGATACTTTTATGAGGAAGACTGCGATAATTGGGTGAAAGTGCCTTAAAAATTTGAAAGAATAATAAGGGAGATGATTGTAAGTATGGTTTTGATGATGTAGGAGTTTTATTTCAATTTAATGGTTTTCACCATTTATTTAGGAGAAATGTTCATCTGTGATATGTTGAGAGGTGCCAGATTTGAATAGTATTTAGAAATGTTTTCGCAGCCATTTAAACTAAGACGTGAAGGACATACTCTACTGTGTGATAAATAGATACGATATTTGCTTATCTCAGTCGATCAACCTATCTATTATTTCATCGTCTTAATTCTCCTTTTCTCTACAATTACTTTTTCCTCTGCCTATCCTCTTCTATCTATTCCTAATATACATCAGAATGGAGGAAACTTGGCCTCCATCTCTGGAATCGACTTCTGCAATCCCTTCTTGTCCAATAAAATCAAACTAAGACGTGGATCAATTCCATACTCCGTAAACACTCTACGAGAGTCTGTCTCTTGCTGCTGGTTGGTGTATGCATAATGGCCATGGTATTTGGCATTCTCCTCCAACACAAGATCCTCGTAGTGGAAGTAGTCAAACTCCTCGGTCTTGGCAGCACCAGCCTTCTTCTTCTTGGACTTCTGTCCATCTTCCTCCTCCTCGATGTTGGCATCTACCAATTTGTAGATCTTGGACACCACAAGGAAGTAATCGAACTCATACTTCTCGTGAGCGTTTTCAGACTTCTCCATCTCCTCCAAAAGCATCTTGTACATGGGAGGAACCACCTCTACAGGCATATTAATCATTCTCTCGCTGACAATCCAACCCACCTTCAACTGCTTGCTCTGGTCCTTAGTAGTCTTTGCTGGCACCAACAACTTGGACAACACAGTATTGAACTCAAGCTGGCTCTTGGACTTGCTCAACACGTAGTCCACCACCGCCTTAACGCTGGGTTTGTTGTAGTTCTCTGTCAAGTTGATCACAGACAAAAGAGCAAAGGGATCGCTGTTTTCTCCGTCAGTTTTGATGGTGGTTCCCACGGTATTTCCAGACAAGATCAAGTCAGCCAATCCAGAAACGTCGAATTGTGTAGCATCATCTCCGAAGAGCTGGCGGAGAAACGTCTTAGATGCATGGAAGTCGATGGTGGGGTTCAAGTCAAAGTAGTCGAAGTCCACATTGACCACCTCCTCCATTTCCTCGTTTTGTTGAGATTCCACGTCCGATTCATCGGTGGAGCTGACATCGATGTCTGAGTCCTCTTCTTGAATTCTTCTTTTACTCATGGTGGTATATTGGATTAGTTCTTCTCATCGCGAAAAGGTATAGTGGAGATTCCTGCCTACTGAGATGACTTAGTATACTTGACACCATTTAAAGGTATGTTATTGGAGGGGTACGGGTCGTCCAGCGAAGACGATTCGGATGTCAAAGTTGAAAGGTGTGTTACTGATGTGGAAAAGGTTGCTCCAATTGACAAAGATGATGCTGTTGCACTAACATCAACTGGGGTTGGTGGAACTGGAACGAAGAGACTGAAGACTCAGCCAAAGGGAAGAAAGTTGAGAAAACCAGGACAAGATCCCGCTAACATGGATTATGTGGGTCCATGGGGTAAAAGCAGCGACTCTAGTGACAACGAAGAGGAGCCTGAAGAGGTCGCAACTCCGAATGTTACCCAGGAAGTGTCAATTGCCCTAGAACCTTCAGAAGTCGTTACCACCGAACTTTATGCGCTGGATGCGTTCATGGAGATTGGAAAGGATGAGAAATGTGGAAAAAATGTGAAGAATTCCGACTTTTCTATTCCTAAGAGAGTAGTGTGTGTTTTGAAGGGCCATACAAAGAGTGTGACCAAGGTGCGGTTCTTCCCAGGTGGAAGAATGATCCTTTCAAGCGGAAATGATGGCAAGATTTACTTGTGGAGTCTCAAAACTCGAGATATGGTGCGTGGGTATTTTGGCCATTCTCAGGCCGTCAAGGACATTGTTTTCAATGCCTCTGGCTCCAAGTTCGTTAGCGCAGGTCTAGATAAGAAAGTGCTACTCTGGGACACCAAGACGGGCGCAATATTGCATAGCTTGAATCTCGATGCAATTCCAAATGCCATAATTTTCAATCCTAATAACGAAAATGAAATCGTTGTGGGGCTCTTAAGTCGTCGAATCGAGCACTTCGATCTCTCACAATCCAATTCGCCTATCCAAATCTACGATCACCACTTGGGAGCCATCAACTCGCTTACAGTGGTTGATTCCAACAAGAAATTCATGTCCACGTCTGACGATAGAACTATTAGATTCTGGGATTGGCAGATCAACATTCCGTGTAAAATTATAGCTGATCCCACTCAGCATTCCACGCCATATGCCGCTGTCCATCCAACAGAAAGCTTCATAGCATTGCAAATGATGGATAATACTATCCAGGTTGTTCAAGGAAGCGGGAAATTCAGATATAATAGAAACAAGACCTTTAAGGGCCATAGAGTGGCTGGCTACGGAATTCAAGTCGCCATATCTCCAGATGGGCTGGTATTGATGAGTGGAGATATAGGAGGATACATCTACTTCTGGAAATGGAGAACTGGCGGTTTCATCAAGAAAATGAAGGTGTGTGACTCGCTTATATCGTGCATTGATGTTTGTTCAAAGGGTCTCGTTGCAGCTGGGGGTAGTGGTGACATATATTACTGTGAATAACAATAATGACATGATGCAATCGGAACTGGAGTCTAAGTGATACAGCACTTTTCTTTCCTGTACTCTGCTCTCTTCTTGCGGTACTGTTTCTTGGAAAGTGATGGCGCTGCAATTTTATCCTCCTTGTCGTGGCTAAAAATATGATGTAGATGGTGTCTCTTCTCTGACACTACCGGCGACACAGCACCATCAACAATATCGTGCTTCTTCGGATCTAGCAGCGAACTTTTCTCGTTATCGAATGTCTCTAACTTCTTCTTGACCTTATCAAGATCACTGTGCGTGTGGTCGAGAGGGGGTTCCTCAAGTGCCAATCCACTAATATTCGAAAATTCACTCCACTGACTGTTTCTGCGGAACTGTGGTGTGAAACTGATACTCAAATTGCGACTTCCTGACTTGGAAAGAGCCACTGACTCTTTATAATAGTTCTTGTCCTTATCTATGACATACCAAAGGTAACGCTTCCGAATATCCACGAACTTAGAACTTGTCGGTAGGATTTCCGGTAGCGGAATGCTAGATGTAGTGGAATTTATAAGTTGAATCGGCCTGGAAGTCAGATCTGAAACTGAAATCGTGCTCGAAATAGCAGAAGTGCCATCAGCGACCGCCGTAGCCTCCGTGGCATCTGTGTGAGACGGAATGGTCGACAAAGCATCTTCCTGCCAGTATTTCTGCCGGAAGCCTTTTGGGACAGCCACAGGACTAGCATTTGCAGATACAGCAGACAGAATCAGACTTGTAGAGCGCATATTACCATCACACGCGACCAAACGGTAGAAAAGCATGTAGGGCCATTCGGTGTCGAAAATTTCATGGAACTTTTTGGTGACCACCCTGCCAGACTTCTTCATATCGTCATACAAGTACCAAGAAGCCTTGAGTGACTGATCGAGCGATTCATCTTCTATATGGGTATTTTTTCTCACCGCTGAGACAAAGTGTCCAGATTCAATGGTTGTTCCTCGATGACAAACTGCACTTTCCAAGATTAATTTGTATCCGTAGGCATTCTCCTTTCCAGCATCCTCCTGATCATCTGCGACAAACAGTGGTAAATTTATGACAGGCGGAATGATGACACGCTTTTTGGAACGGCTGGCCAGGTGGTTACCGGCTGAGAAAGAGTATCTCTTAAGACAGATGGGCAAGATGGGTCTTCTGTTAGCAAACTCCCTGGAGTTGCGGGCAATACTCTCATTTCCATCTAAGTCGTTATCGTCTGTGTAGAAAGGCAAAAGACGCAAAAGCATCCATGCGGGAAGCATCACTTCACGTGGCTTGGACTCCACGCTGGAAATCGACCAGATTGACAACGTGGATGACCGTGTTCGTACTCTTACTTGTGGGGTCGAAGAGCGCGAGTCCGCACGGCTGTTTCCCGACCGGTTCACCGATGAATCCGTGAGGTCAGCAGCCTTCAACTCTACACCCTCGGTGACCACAGGTACATCACCCCCAAAGAAGGGCCGAGATGTACTGTCGAGAGTAGCTCTTCTTTGCAACTCACGTTTCACAGAAATGGAGTTGTTGAAGTAGTGTTCCAAGCACTCCTCCAATAGAACCGCATCGTCTGTACTCTCTTCCTTAGCTTTAGAATACTCTTGACCGGTGTATTGCTCCGGTGGACTTCCCTCTACATGGTGTCGTTCTGGCTTCACCAACTCAGTGTCGTCATCATCCGGTAGAGAGACAAATAAAATCCGCTCCTTGGAGTATTTTGTGTCGTCATTATCCTGCTTACCAGAATGCTGGATCTCCACGCGAAACGTCAACAACGGCATGGAAAGGGTCTCTGTGAGGAATTCAAAGAGTGGCGCTGCATCCTGTTGACGGTGACTCAAGGCTTCACTGAAACCCAATTTCATCAAACACTCGCAGATTCGTTGGGTGATGTCAGTGGTGATGAGGTTTCCCAGACGAAGCAAATTCACATAGACCCGAAGCAATCCGGAGAGCTGGGTGACAAGCGGGTTCGAGTGCTGGTTCAGAATAAAAAGTATCGGCTCAAAACTCTCCAAGTTTGCAAACATTGAGAATAACAACGCATCGAGATAACACATTACATTTTCCCAATTTTCTGCACCAACCAATTCAATCCGGCAGCCCATACGATCGTACGGATCATTAGTGATGAAGTATCCGATGTCACTGAGCTGGAAGTATCGTATCAAAATGAAGGTCTTGACCACATCCCCCTGGGTGAATGGCGACTTGAGCAACAGAATAACTTGACTGGTCGATGGCTGCGGGAGATCACCCGTAAAGAATGACTTTACTGTGGTAACTGCTTGCAGTGAGCCACTATACTTCTTGGTGTTGATTGCGAGAGTTGAAGAGTGAGTGTCTCCTATATGGTTTCGCGAGAGCGAGTCCTGGTAGTATTCCCAAAAAGTCTCGGGGAAAGCACAGAACGGCTGCGGATCTTCCGCTCGAGACGTCCAGCTGGTGAGTTTTCTGCGTAACATTGACGTAGTAGACTTAGCCAACTGGTTGTTAGACATTTCTCAACATTCGACTTATCGCGAAAGTGTACAGGCCGTGGGTTTTCGCATCCTCATAGGTGACCTCAAATTTGGGGTAAAGGGATCTGCTTTAAATCCCAATAAGGCGAAAACTGAAATAGACGGAAGAATCGACTTCTTTTTGGGTGCTTCTATATTTCAAATCGTTTGTTTTGTAGACTCGATAACTTTATTTATGCTGGATTTTGCCTTTAGTGTTAGATCATGTATGAGTATACGATGCACCACCTGATTCAAATTGGACAAAACGAGTATTTTGAGTCGGGGTCCAGGAAATTGGGGCAGAAAATCGAGAATTCAAGACGGTTATCAAATGGTTCGGGAATCAAACGTTTCCGATTCCTAATAGCTTTACTACATGTAGTCCCAAGTGCCTCCATTGGTTGCTATATTAGTGCCGGCGCATGGCCCGCAAACAACTAATGGGATTCCATTAGAGCGCCACATTAAGCTCACGTATCTTGTTTAAGACGTCATCCATCTTCTTATCAAGCTGCCCCGACACAAAGTCGTGGCGAGATTCCGCATCCAACTGCTTCTGCACCTTGTTAAGACGGGCATAGTTGTCCCCAAAAAACCGCAACTGGATCTTGACAAATGCCTCAAACGATGGATTTAAGTACGGAATCCGCATTTCAATAAGCTGCGGAAGTTCATCCTTGAGCTGGCTATTGAGCACTCCGTAGCTGGTCTGCGCCCTCGCTAGTTCTTCCTGGGTGTCACGAAGCTTGAGCTCAGAAGCAGGGTCCTCCTTGGGATTATCTATTAGTTTCTGCACCTTGGCTTTGAGAGCATCGTAGTCAATTTTCTTGTGCGACCGTTTCTTGATGGCCTCATTGACATCAACGTAGTATGAGTTAAAGCGCTCGATAGGGTTCAACACCGTCTGCAAATACGGCTGCTCCAACTCTTCACCACTCTCTGCCACTTCCCTCATAGCTTGCTGGTACACTGCAGCCACGCTTTTCTCGTCTTTGCCGTAGAAGCCGGCTAAGACATCACCCACTGATGCTTGCACCTGAGCCAAAGCGTGGAGCAGGTCCTTGTAGTTTCGAAGCTCTTTGTGGAGGCGCAATGACGCCTTTTCCATAGCATGGAAGCGCTTCTCCTGGTAGTCGAACTCCAAGTCTGCGGATTGGTCGATGTGGCCCGTTTTGATTTTGACCTGGGCTCCCGCCCTATTAATCGCTTTCTTTAAGCCGTTCCAGGACATTTCAGGACAGGATCGTAGGAAGAAGAAATAGTATCGACAATTGCCAATAAAGAACTGCTATTGGGTATGATGTTGTTGTATGGAGTTTGGTGATATCTGAACCACGTAGATCTCGAAGTGTGTGTGGGGAGTCACAAAGATGGCGAAGCTAAAACCTGTGGGCGGAAAATCCCGATACGGTGACCAATTAGCAACCTCTCAGGAACCAATCGGAAAAGAATTAAGTACACAATGTCTCACAATTGCAACACAATTGTTACGGACTCAGTGGTGGAAGTTAAAGATTCCGGGTATAGGTTTCAAATTAGTTCATGTCGCACCCGTTCCTTCCGCTAAGTCCCCCATCACTGGTGTCCTACTCACCTGCAGTCATAGTATCAGCAGGAGAGTGCATAATCTGAGTGACGAATTTGCCCGAGTACCGAGTGATACATGCAACCGTTAACACGTCGTTTCGAATAGATGTAGTCATCAAGTGGTTCAATATCACGTGATTGGGGATCAGCAAATGATATGCCTCTTTATTAGAAGCATAGTATGAGCTGTCTGCCCTTCTAAGTGCAGGACGCTTACCAAACCCAGGGTCTCCACCTACTTGTGGGATGTTGTGTGCATGGTTTTGCTGCTGATTAGCCAGCATCTTATTGAGCAAAACATTGTTCAAGTGCGCAGGTAATTGGGGCGGTTCTGGGAGCTCGTAGTCAGCGCTCTTACTCTTGAAGTAATCGTAGTTAACAAACATCTCTGGAATTTCCGAAGAGTAGTGGTCGCTGGGTATCGTGGCATCCATTACAAACGACAGCAGCGCCTCAGTGTGATAGGTCAGATATTCTGGCTCCTCCACATGTTCGTGATGGGTTTTCTCTAATTTGGACTCTTTCAACAAATATGAGTTCAGTTTCTTCTGGATCAACAGTGTGTCGTGTTCGCCAGCCACCTGGATGATGTTGGCATCAAACGGCGTGGTGGCATCTGTATGTGTCTGTTGGTTTGCAGAGTGGTTGAACAAACGGTGGGGGTCCAACACCTCGAACCAATTGAAGAAGATACCTTCCTGGTCCGTGGCAGTAGGGAGTTGCTCCAGGACTCTGTACTCGTTATTGACAATGTAGAGCAATTTATGCACACCCAATGTCAACTTGACGGTGGTAGAGTACTCGTTGGGGTGGGAGCTGGAGCGCTTGAGCTTAATCACGTCTCTCCAGTTAGAAAACGACCCAATGATGGCCACCTTGGCGATATTCTCACGCGTAGTGTTGACCCACTTAATCTCCACAGGCACCAACTCCGCAAAACTATTGCGCGAGCTGCCGTGTTCGTGAGCCAACGACAGACCATGAGCATGAACCTGGACTTGATTTTGACTCAGACTCAGATTCTGGCTGGGCTGGCCATTCCCAGTGGATGTCAACGGCACAGGCAGTCGCAGCAGCACAGAACTCGGCAGATGGCTCGAAGACTTGGGCACAAACGCCGAGATCTTGGTGAAGTCCACCTTGGTGAGGTCGTTAAGCAGGTCAGTCAGATTCTCCACTGTCTCAACAGAGACAGACACTCCTGGGGCTCGAGCACCGCCTGCAGCGCCCTCGTCGACATCCATGTCGGATGCATCGTCTGGAATGATGCTCCGCAGCACCTCAGAAGCGTCGTTATCCAAAAGTCCATCATTCAACTCGTTGAACTCGTCTTCTATCAAATCGTCGGAGAATTTGTTCTGCAGCCGAATGACTTGCAAAGTCGGGTCAGCTGACGAGCTAGCAGAAGTCTTGGGCAGAGAATTCTGCTTTTCAGACAGAGGTTGCAGCGGCATATCCAGCAGCAAGTCCAGCAGTTGGTGCTGTTTCTGTCTCTTGACTTCGTGCAAAATCAAGTCGCTGAATTCCTCCTCCAAGTTCTGGTGAGTGGTCTGAGATTGCGACGACTTACGGTAAGCTGCGCCACGCATACTGGCGGCCGACTTTCTTGTCGACGACGTGTTGTTTCCCATGGTTTAATGATAAATAATACTAAGCAATTATCCCAATGTGTCTGGGCATATAGGTTGGACGTTTGGGTGCAGGAATGGGGTTACGATGATGGGCAGGATATGTTTGGGATGGGCTATTAAAATCCAGCAAAACTCTAAAATCAGTGTTATTGTGAGGGAGAGAAGAGTATGTATGAATTCGAACAAATTTTAAGTTGATCTGGAGTGAATTTGATTAGGTCTCTTCTCTGAGTCTGGGGCATTGATCTCCGTCTGCACTCCAGAATGTCTAAAGTGCCCCGACAATTTGTACAGGAACGGAGGAAGATCAGAGAAGTGGATGATCAGAAAGGAAGATCAAAGGAAGGAGAAGCGAGATATAAAGGAATGTAGAGGATAAGAGGAAGAAGAAGAAGAAGCAGAAGAGGAAGAAGAAGGATAAAAAGTCTGAGTTTTGTTGACGGACTCTCAACATAGTAACCATGACTAGGAATAACTATTCTCAAAGAGGTTAACTTTCGGGGTGCGGAAAAATAAGTATGAGACAACCGAAACCTGACACCATTTCAGTTGCAGGGCTGTCAATGCAGCCCAACTAAACATAGGAACCAGAATGTCGTCTGCTTGGTTGTTGACGACCATATGGAGGTTGGCACATGGTGACTACGCGAAAATCTTACGAGCGGGCCTCCAGGTGTTGATTGAGTGGGGAATGGATAATTCCGCTTACGTAAGGACATATGTAATGAGAGTTTGGGAAGTCAAAGTTAAAATAATGTTTGGAGGGGAGAAGACATTGAAAGGACGCAGGAGACTGACTTATACAAGCATTGTCGAAGAGAATTCTAGTTTTTTATTCCATGGTTAGCTGTAGTTTTAATAAGTATAGATGATATTTTGAATACTCATACTTATTTCAAGAAACAATAAGAAAAGATAAATTAAGATTGCAATGAGTACATCATGGAGTACAGCTTGAGAGGATAGTATGAGAGCATAGTTTGTGGCTACCGTGTGAAAGCACCATTTGAGATTACAGATTGTTCGATAACACCTAGGCTTCAAGGTGCGTAACAATAGCCTCCATAGTGATAGGAACAATGGGAGTATCATGAGAAGTTTAAAATGTTTCCAAGACAAGAGTGGCCAATTAATACAATGGAAATAGTTAATAGAATCTAGATGGACAATTAATTGACCACTAATTGTAGAAGTGAATAGTTGAAGTTGAAGGTGGGGATTATAATGTACTGGTCTGTAAAGGTAACAGTCGAGCTTCCATGTATAATTTCTTCACCGGGCCCGAGAAAATTTACTGAAATTGAATATATATATATACATACTTGCTCCCCCTCTTTAACTTTGTATATTATTTTTTTATTTTCTTATGTCCATAACCCCAATCCCTGTTCGTATCCACTTTATTGGTATCTGAGGACCCCTCCTCCATCTTGAACATCACACGACTACACTACTTGTGTATACATTGAAGTCACCTACTTACCCATGGTGATTCCCTCCAACGATACCCGCCCACGCGAAGAAAGAGACTACAAAGAGGTGTATCCCGATTTGGACGAAACTGCTCAACTTGCAGTGTTCACTATCCATGAGGAAAACTCGCTGTCACTGCCAAAGTCGCAGTCTCCAACTGGTAGTTCCAATCTGAACAATTCACGTCCAAACACATCCACTAACACCGCCAATGGCGTATCCAAGCCGCCTAAATTCACTACCAGACGTCGGTCACTGGCTGCACTGCACCTCTCGAGGTTACCGCGTTTGGTAGCAGAGTATGGCTTCAGACTCAGACCTCATAAGCAGAAGAGTCCCTCCACTTATATTCGCGAGTATTCCCAACCAAAACCTACAAGACAGGTTATGTACGACATGGACGAGCAGGACTCTGAGTACTTGGAGTGGCGTAATACCAGGGAGGAGAACTTAGCCGTGATTCTGCCCGAAGTCTTCGAGATCGTGATGAGCGTTTTGGAGGAGCAGTGGCAGAAGCTAGAAGTGCAAATGGCTGCGGTGGGCAATGGGCCTGGCAACACTAGTGACCAGCTTTTGACATTGGATGAAAACTTCGACAAATACGGCTCGGATGACGGAATTGGTGGTGTGGGGTCCATTTTCGAGCAGAGATGCGCTGTGTGCAATGATCTGGAGTGTGACAATACCAACGCCATCGTGTTTTGCGACGGTTGCAACATCGCCGTGCATCAGGAGTGCTACGGCATTGCGTTCATTCCTGAGGGACAATGGTTCTGTAGAAGATGCATGTTGAGTCGAGGGAGAAGCGTTGACTGTACATTCTGCCCGAGCCATACGGGAGCATTTAAGCAGCTCGACAATGGCCTCTGGAGCCATGTTGTATGTGCATTGTGGATCCACGAGGTGTATTTTGCAAATCCGATTTATTTGGAGCCCATTGAAGGCATAGACATGATCCCACGCAATCGCTGGAAGCTCGTGTGCTACATTTGCAAGCAGAAGACGGGGGCATGTGTTCAATGTACCAACAGAAATTGTTTCCAGGCATATCATGTCACCTGCGCTAAGCGTGCTGGCCTTTACATGGTGATGGAAAAGGGAATGCAAGGAGCACTAGCGTCCAAGGCAACCTTAAAATCGTTTTGTGACCGCCATGGCCCATTAACCTGGAGCAGAGAGGCGGTTCTCCATGGAATCACGAAAACAAGAATGTTCTATCGAGACAGCAGACTTCTACTGCAGCAGAACGACCGGTTGGTTCTGCAGCGTCGTCAACAGAATAGATTCAATACCTTCAAGTGGCGCACAGAGAATAATACACCTATTGCTCCACAGAAGTTCGTGGACGTTGTATTTTCAACCATGCTTCAATTGAAAGTGGAGACTACTGCTGGTGAATTTCAACCTGCGACTTCGAGTTCCATCCTACGTGGATTAGGGCATAAGATCCAAATGACTAAAAAAGACATCTATGACGATTTGCGCGCCGCCAGTGCTAGTTTGTGTCGGTACTGGTGTCTTAAGCGTGAGGCCAAAGGTGGTGCTCCACTTGTTCGCCCTTCGGCATCCAATCCTATATTAGTTCTGGCTGCATCCATGTACGAGGCTAGTGCCAGCGAGCTTGGTGTCGGTCCGGAGTTGGCACATAGGCAACTCGAAGAGAAAATCCAATTTGGCCACACCCTTATGAATGACCTTCGCAAGGTGATTGAATTGGCGCAGACAACACGATACAGACAAGTTGTTGCTCATGAATCTACAAAGTTGCAGTTGACAATGGCGGATACCGCCTACTTTCCATTGAAAGCTGTGGCTGCACGGGTTTTGCGTCATATTTGCGACAAGATAGACTCGTTACGATTGATAGCCAACGAGCGTCCAAAAGCAGAAACCCTTGCACTTCCAGACATTATGTCCAAAGTGGCCGCATACAGATACACAACGGTAGACGAACTAGACAATGACATCCAAGGGCTCCTTACGCAGATTTTGCGCGAGCACAAGGGTTCCAGTGCATTAGGTAAAACAGCCACTCGAGCGCTTAACTATTGGCGGGATGTTGGCCGAAACGATGTCGTCGAGATCGCAGCATGTGCCAAAGCAGATATACCATTTGTGCAGATCGAAGGGTTTGATTTTGCGTTAAAACCTTATAATCCCGCCGCAGTCCTTGCAGAGGAGCAACTTTCTGAGGTTGAAGAGGACGCTTTTACGACTAATGATAACCAAATTTTATGGCGTCGCTTCTTGTCGGATAGCCAATCCTCCAGTGCTCCAAATCAATAGATCTTCTGACTGTGCCCCGCCACTTACAAACAAAGTTTATAGAGTGCCTAGTTCGCTGATCTTGGTTCGCATTGTCTCTAAGTTCCTACACGTCTCCTTGTAGATTGGTTACTGTGAGTACCTCAATCATGAGGAAGCGAAGAGATAGCCATAACAAAACCGGTGTGCATGATCTTCAGGCAAGTGTCGGCGTTATTGTACCGGAAAATCTTCCATGTACGTTCGACTTTTCTCTCATTTTGGTTGTTGTCATGATTTGCCCCTGCGAACAAATCTTGCCCCCCAAGCTATTGTTGCGTACAGGAGGAAAGCATTCGTTCAACTGAGTGGGGGCACTAACCTATGCACCCATAACCACGTCATTGAGTAGTTGAACACGCAACTCACTTCCACTGTGTACAAATGCAATCATGACACCAAAGAATTGCGCTTTTCCGTTCTTGAACCTGAGCAAACAGACACCCGGGAATTATTGCCCAATTGTTAACCAATGGGCATCTGTAATGCAGCTTCTGCTTGCATGTCGAATTCTTTTGAGGCGTATGCCGACCGGTATATAACTTGCGTACCCCTTGGTAGGCGCAGGTACCATTGCCTATTTAGACCTGTTCCTGAATAACAGATGTCATGCGTGTAAACACCGTACGGGACATCAACTGCATCAATTTTTTGGTGCAAAGCCTTCCTATGCAGATGCTCGACTTCACTTATTTTTACACCTTTTCCTCCTCGTCTAGTTGCTTTTGTTGTTTTTGCATTTGTACACCTTTTCCTTTCCTGATCCTCTCGTTGTCGTTGTCGTCGTTGCCATTTCCTTTTCACTCAAATCTCCCACTTCGCGTCTGCATTCACGCTGGCTAACTTATCCTACTCACGTGCGGAAGTCATATTTTCCGGCTACTGTCTAGACTTGGCTGATATTCCGATTCAAAACAAATCCTGGTAATCATCTCATCTTTTTTCTGGAATAAACCTCCATCATGTCCGCGGATGCTCCATCCACGACACCTCTGAAGCGTCTTCCGATGATTGTAGACATTGCAATCGACAATAATGGGAAGCAGATGTACCAGGTGCATGAGACTTCTAAACTAGTCAGAAAGGAAATGCCTAAGTCAACCAAGTTTTCCGACTCGTCCATTGGTTCCTTTGATATGTGTGATGATGCTACTCCTCCCATCGAGAAAATCATGGGCACTTTGCTGCCTTCGGATTCTAAGCAAAAGAGCTCGTCCTCCGACACGTCGTTGCCTGAAATTGGTAGAAGTGACGAGGGAGAATATGATGATCAAGACGGAACTTCGGACTCGTCGCAGTTCGGTTCGGGAGGCTCGGCTTCCGATAATATCTGGAGTAAAGACGTCCAGAACGCGTTTGAAGAGGTACTTGCCATCGTGCCAAAGAATGGGTTGAACAAGATAAAGATTGGTGGAAGGTCTTGCGGCAGAAATGAGTTGATTTCAGACTACATTTTGGCGAAAACCGGAAAGTTTCGGACCCGTAAACAAGTTTCCTCTCATATCCAAGTGATCAAGAATATGGGTCTGAAAACGGGGCTCATTCAACTCATTAATGATGGTCCAACATTTGCGTCTGTCGACGAGATCGAGGAAAATTCCAGACGTTTTGAAGAGATCTTTTCCAAGATTAATCTCTCGAAGTCCCTTGGAATGAACTCTATGATGTCTTCTTCGTCTTCAGCGTCCTCAAAAGTACCTATTGGCCAAACAAGGCGCCATTCGTCGGCCACTTTAGGTTCTGCCCCCAAAAGGAGAAAACTGCCAGAGTGCTTTGTTGGCGTCAGAAACATTTGTTTTTCTATCGAGAACCTGATTATGGGATCCAGTCCTATTTATCTCTCGATGCAAGATGATGCGCCACCCACATCATTGACTGTTAAGGAGAATGCTGCTATCTCCAACCGGTTCCCCGGACTAGAGGAGTTTGCTGATACCAATGTTCCGATTATTCACAACATGGTGAGAATTCACAGCCCACTACAACTTCCGAATAACTTCAACATTGAGACCGGCCTCAAAACCAGCTATATGTTAGACTTTGGCGCCCAAGTGGACCAGATATCCAGTTTTACCACCGTTTACTCGTTCGGGAATGAAGTACTCAAGGTAAACGAAGAGGATTTTCAAGTGAACGCTTATCAACCATTTTTGCTAAAATTTTGGAAATGTTTTTTCCTCCAACTCTTACACCAACCAGCTTCTTTAGACGCTGCCTTCAAAGGTATAACCGTCAAACAGATTATTTACAACAGAATGCCTGGCCCAGTACATATGGTTCCCAAGAATAAGATCAGAGCTGTCTTGATCTGGGAATTCGCTAAAGTGGACGATTTTAAATTAGCAAAGTCCTCTACGTCTCGGTTGTTCCTACCCCAGTCACTTGCGAATATTTCTCTGGGAGACAATTCCGCCAGCTACTATGCTCCTCTGGTCAATATTCCAGTGACTGCTCAGGTTGCAGATCCATTGGAGTACGATCCCTTATTTAATAGAGAGGGGTCTGGATCACATTTTAGTGGTCATGGAACGGAGCTCAGCTTTCACAACCAAAGCTTTGTCCCAATGCAAGGAACCCAACATCCTCCGGGGTTCCTGCAGTCGTACTCCCATCCATCAGCAAACGTGAACCTTGGGTCTGTTAGGGTCAAGGAAGAAATTGACTATGGCACACAGTTTTACTGATTGCTTTACGACTCGCCCGGTGCACCGTCATGGTTAGTTCACTTCTACACGATGATCATCATCAATTCTATCATTTACTATGGATTAAGCGACCAATTGGAGTACTTGCACAAATATGTGCAACTGTAAGCGAAGCGCAGCCAACATTAGTCAGGCTACATGGGATCAAGACGAACCGAGGTCAGTACGCAATATAACCCCGTAAACTGGTGTTCGACCAAAAAGTTTTTATGAACAAGAAAAAAAAGGACAGAATTATCCAGATAACTTACTCGTTTTTTTGGCAGTTGACAGCTATACATGAAATATAACAAACTGAGCAGATGCACGGAAGAATAAAAATCACGATGAACAATTAAAAAAAACGATTGACAAGAAATTGCGGAAGGGAGAAAAACCCCTTTCGAACGTAATATATTCATTATAAGTCTGGACCACATGTCCCACTGCTAAAATCGGTCGCTACTTAGCACTTAGTACTTCTCAAAGCCCACTCTCTCCAATCTCTCGGCTTTAGTTAACACCTCTTCCTCCATATTGGACATGTACTTGGACATCTCCTCCAACCACTTGTAGTCGTAGGCACCCAAAATTCTGATAGCCAACAAGGCAGCATTGGTGCTGTTGTTGATGGCCACGGTAGCGACGGGGATTCCACGAGGCATTTGAACGATGGAGTGCAACGAATCAACTCCGTCGAGTGTAGAGCCCTTAACCGGAACTCCTATGACCGGTAATGGAGTCATGGCAGCCACCATTCCTGGTAAGTGGGCTGCACCTCCTGCGCCGGCAATAATTGCCTTGATGCCTCTGGAAGCTGCCTCAATAGCAAACTTTGACATCCGGTGAGGTGTGCGGTGGGCAGATACAATAGTCAATTCAAATGGAACACCAAACTTCTTTAAGATGTTGGCACCTACAGCCATCACGGGCAAGTCAGAGTCCAGCCCCATGATAATGGACACCAAAGGTTTCTCCTTTTCGGCCACTTCTGCTGGAAGACTGGCCTCTTGGCCCAAAATGTAGTCCAACTTGGCTTTGGCCTCTTCCATGGATGAACCCACGATATTGATGTGGCCCATTTTTCTCTTGGGCTTGCTTTCCTTTCCGTACAAGTAGACCGATGCATTCGGGGTTTCCAATGCACGGCGACATAATTCCAACTCGCCGTTCTTGTTATCTTCACCCAAAACATTGAGCATAATGGCATTAGTGGCGGAAGTGGCCATCTTGGTGAAGTTCTTTGGCAATGGCAAGCCAGCCACAGCACGAATGTGAGCCTCAAACTGGTTGGTCACGCATGCATCGATTGTGTAGTGGCCCGAATTGTGAGGTCTTGGAGCAATCTCGTTAATCAAAAGGTCTCCATTAGGAAGCAAAAACATTTCCACGCCGAAAATACCACAACCAGGGAAGGATTTGACAGCATTTTGGGCAAGAATCTGCGCTTTCTGCTGCAAAGTGTCCGAGATGGGGGCTGGGGCATAAACTAAATGGCAAATGTTCTCTTTATGAACGGTTTCAACTGTTGGGTACGAATACACCTCACCATCGAGTGCTCTGACCACCATAACGGCCAATTCCTTCAGGAACGGACACCATTTCTCTGCGTATAAAGGTCTGTTGGCCAAAAAGGTCAAGGCTTCATCAATGGACTCTGCATTCTTGACCACAAAGTTTCCTCTACCATCGTAAGCCAAAGTTCTGGACTTCAACATGTAAGGGTAACCGTAGGAGTCACCAATGGCGGCCAAGGCCTCGGGAGTGTTTTCTTCAACATCCACAGATTCCACGACGCCCACACCGTGGGATTTCAAGTGGGTCTTCTGCAAATATTTATCTTGAATAAGCTTGATGGTTTCAGGAAGTGGGTAGATTGGGATGTTGAGAGACTTGGATACGGATTTCAACGCCTCCACATCCACATGTTCGATCTCCACTGTCAACACATCACACTTCTTAGCGAGTTTGGTGATAGCATCCAATTCAGTGAATGAACCATCGACGTGAGAGTCTAAAGCATTGATTTGCTTAGCAGGACTGTTTGGCTGGTCCAAGATGATTGTTTTGATATTAAGTCTGTGAGCAGCTTCCACAAGCATACGGCCCAACTGGCCTCCGCCGAGAATTCCAATGGTTTTAGTGTCCATGGTGTAGTGAAGATGAAGAAGATGAGGTTTCTGTTATATAGTTAATTGATCAGAGTCAGAGTGCAGATGAGTCAAGTATTGAACGATAAGACGATAAGATTTCCAGGAGAGGAAGATTTGGGGACGAGAGGGATGAAGGGGAGAAATGGAGAGAGAATTAGAAATTCTGGTTTTTTTTGTAAAGAAGAAGTGAAGAAATGTGATAAATGTTTTATTGGACATTGTGGATAAAATTGGAGTATTCGCACGTTAGCTGGGAATATAGAACGAAGGGTGGAGGAAAAGTCGAAAAATTGGAAATGTGAAGAAAAAAGATTAAAAAAAAATACTGAAATTCTTTAAGTATAAAATTGAACAGATGTGAAATTTGGAAAGAGAGTATAAGATTATATTAAGCTATGAGTGCATTGACTGAAAGTTCAGGGGTTAGACTACTGATGAATGTGGCTGAATGAATTGCTGCGAAAGCGTTGACGTTTGACCGGAATTATACGGTTACGATACCCAACGTACATTTCCGACAATTCTGAATAATGCGTTGTGGATACTATTGAAATGTCAAGAGATGTCAGAGATTGGTACATAGTTGTAGTCATAAGCTGGTGTATTCGGTCACCTGTCCACTGGACAGTTGTATTGACTTACATTGAGAGATAAGAATGACCTACAACAGACAGTGGAATTGGTATAGGAAAAGATACCATCAACAAGAGAGCCAAAACAGCAGAGCTGAACGGTTGTGACACATAACTTGACAAGGTGAATATATCGTTGTCAATACTTTCAACACAAAGACTAGCCTAGTCAACATATCGGAAGACCTCAACACAGACTACTCTAGAGCACACGGACAGTTTACCACACAAACGATAGAGTCAACACTATCGACACGGTTCATTAAACGTCGTGAATTCCTCGTTTCTGACCATTAAAAACATGATTACTGTGTCTAGATAGAATTGTTCATTGGTGGTTTTAATTCTCGTGATTATCAACAGCCACACCTCTCCGAAACCTATTGGTGCTAACCAAAGTAATTCCTCATCTGTCAACAACTCAGCTTTCAAACTCTCAAGCTTTCAAACTTATTTTTCTCTCCAATGCTTTATTCCTTCTTCATTCTTCCCAGTCTTAGCTTGATAATCTCCATCACTCATATCTACACTAGATCTATTCCCAATACATTACTATACCCTGCCCTAAAACTTGGTTGTGTTCTTCTTGTTCTTTTTCTTGGAAATTCTTCCATTCCGGGTTCTTGGTCCCGAAGTGCTGATCTTCTTTTTCTCCACCTTCTCTTTGTCTTTGTCTTCGTCTTCCATCTTATCTTCCTTTTGTTTGTCCAAATTGGCCTTCAACTTTTCGGCAAGACGGGCATTCCGTGCCTCGTTAAGCTTTGCAAACTCACCATTTCTCTTGACAGACTTGGCCCGCAACTTAGGCTTAGATCTCAACGACTTGGCCATTTTGGTATCTATGAGTAATTATGAGATATGATGAGATTCTCTAAAGGGCATCTCTGTCCTGCAGAAGGACTCACCATTGGGGCAGATTCCACCACTAAGGAGAAGGTCACGTATTATCGAGGAGCAGGAGGTAGAAGAAGGGGAAATGTCGCGAGGAATGGAAAAGCAGTCACAACTCGAAGTTTTAGATAGCTCAATTGGCTCTAGTTTTTGCTAAACTCCATGTTCCTATTCATACATTAATCTTAGCTTAGGTAGTACACCCGTACCACCCACATGTTCCACGAATAGATCCGTGCATCCTTGAATTCAATAGGAACCCACCTTTGTAAACTCTCTTTTCACTCTCCTCTCAAAACCCGTACCCACCATTGGGAGAAGGACCACTTTTCTCACGTGCACCATCTTAGGGCAAAACCCTAACACTCATTTCCTCTGGGTCGCGCGACATTGTTGCCCCATTGGGACCCATGTCGCACTCCCCTCCATGCCACCGCCTGCAGACAGTGCCAGAGCCCACAGTGCGGGAATCTCTCCTAAAAAAATGAAAATTTTCTTGCTCTTTTTTTACTTTCTACAGACAGCAAAGCAAAATGTATGTATCGTCACAAATCCGTTGCAGTGGCTTCACAATCTCCTCGTGGTGATATCCAAAGTCACCAAATCATCAAAGCCAAGTCTTCCATCCCATCAATTCAGCTCCAAATCCCATGTTCAATGGGGGTAGTTTCATCATGTTAAAAGTTTAGGATATCCTCAGCAGAACTAGAGGAGAAGCAGCGGGAAAATGCTCCTGAATTTGCCACCAGGAGATACAATAAACATAAACGAATCAATACTAACAGCTCAGGGCTAACCTTAGAACTCAGAAGAGACTCGCTGCCAGTGTCATCGGTGTTGGTAAGAGAAAGGTGTGGTTGGACCCTAACGAGACCACCGAGTTGGCTTCTGCCAACTCTCGTCAGGCTATCAGAAAGTTGTACCGTAACGGTACCATCGTCAAGAAGCCTGTCACCATCCACTCCAGATCTAGAGCTAGAGCTTACGCCGAGTCCAAGAAGGCTGGTAGACACATGGGTTACGGTAAGAGAAAGGGTACCAGAGACGCCCGTATGTCTTCTCAGGTTGTTTGGATGAGAAGATTGAGAGTCTTGAGAAGATTGTTGGCTAAGTACAGAGATGCTGGCAAGATCGACAAGCACTTGTACCACAACTTGTACATGGCTGCCAAGGGTAACACCTTCAAGCACAAGAGAGCTTTGGTTGAGCACATCATCCAGGCTAAGGCTGAGGCTGCCCGTGAGAAGTCTTTGAAGGAGGAGGCCGAGGCCAGAAGATCGAGAAACAGAGCTGCCAGAGAGAGAAGACAACAAAGAATCGAGGAGAAGAGACAAGCTTTCTTGAACGACGCTTAAAGTTTTACATAGCTGACTCTGTACTTTACATTGTGGTAGCACCATTAATCCAATATCGTTTCACGAATTGATTGTAGTGAGTTATCTTAGAACTTAGTAATATGTTGATGTTATATAGTCTGTTGATGATTCCATGTTAAGGTTAATTTGGCGAGGATCCTTGGATTCAGACTGGTCAATCTGGGATGTCTAATGAAAATGGTTACAAGACTGTTGTTGGTGACCGATGAAACCAGCCAGTTTCTCATATTTAGTTCGTATGTGACATGCAATAGATACTCATCTCTTCATAGATTCTGTATGTTTCAAGAGGTTGAAAGCCTTCAGACTGTTGGATAAGATTGTAGTTGATTTAGGAAAATCTTTCTTATATCACTTACTCATTGTCCCTAATAACGGATTTAACAGATGGTTTAAATGGTTACTTCTAAGTAATCGACCTACGACGACTTCAATAGATTATGCTCTTCAGAATCCCGATAGTTATTTCCGTTTCTTTCTGATGCATTTGTAATTCTTCCTCCATGAGTTTAGGGGTTCTTATGTTTAATGACTAAAGGTTGTTGAATCATTGGTTAAGCTTTTGACTCAATAATCTTCATCCCCTGTCTTATGCCCATTATTACAACTACCGTGCTAAACTCACTTGAAGAATGGTTCAAGCATGAGTTTGACCTTGTTGAATTCAAAGAACACTTATACTGCGTCAAATATTCACACATTCATTACTACGATTACCAATACCTGTGGTATTTCTATTTTCCGCAATAGAACTGATACCAACGACTCACTCTAAATTCTTCTACAAAATTCACCGTTCCCCATTAAATGATTATACAAAAAGAATTAAATATGCTTAAAGTCTGTGCCCTGGTACAAGACAGAAGATAATGCAGAAGACGGCCGTTAACAATATCACCAAAAAGAGTACCCATGCTGCACGCTTCATAAGCAACCGAGAAATGAACTTGTCATCCACTCGGCAGAAGGTTTTGTTGGGAATAAACGACTCGGTTCGATGAATGGCAGCCAAGATCGGATCGACCCTATAGATGGCTGAAACCAAGCAGTAGAACGACACGAAGAACGTTAAGATGACAACACATCGGTAACGTTTAGGCTCATTCAAGAAGATTAAAGCAAATCCAATCCAGAAAGAGAAGAAGAGAAAGATGAAACCAACAATCATTCTGGCATTGATAGTCTTGTTGACGTTTTTGATGGCCACGAAGTTCAAAAAGTTTGGCAAGTAGTCGTTTTCAAGCTTGTTGAAAACAAATCTCTTGACACCTGTAAACACATCGGGGTCGTCTCTTCCATCTACCTCGATGGCATTAATGATGAACAGATTAAGTTGTGGAGGAACGTTAAGATTCTTTTCTGAGTCCTGAACGAAATACTTCAAGAGCAAGTTGTGCGACGAGTCCTTCAACGTTTGTCTGGAGATAAACGAGTTAGTGTGAGAGTTCTGCTTGATGAGTTTCTCCACCAATGACGGATTAAGTGAAGAGCGTCTGTTTCCTGGTTGTCCTGGAAACTGGGTCTGCAGATTCGGCGACTGAACCGCACTAGGATAAGACTGTTGGGAGAGATCAAATGTGATATCCTCCATGAGTTTTGAGTTGGAGGAGATTCGTTTTTCCTGGTACGGCGAGTACGGAGCCGAATCTATGATTGGAGAAGGTTGAGTCAACTCATCGGAGTTGATGTTCTCAATCAATTCTTTCAACTTGGGGTCTACAGTGTTGAGGTTGATGTCACCCCGAAGAAACTCAGACAACCTGTTCGAGTCGTTGTCTTCTAGAATGTGGTCGTTAATGATCAAATCTAAAAGCATTGACAGCGAAAGCGAACGATGCTTGCTCCGGTCTGAAAGGGGCAACAGATCCCGCTTGTTGTCTGTGGGTGATGTTGGGCCAAATGGATTGTTGCTGGCAAAGCCGTTGCCGCCCATACTATGGGTAGAATTCCTCACAATGGATTCACGCAATCCTTTCACATAATGTTTGCACAAATTGAGATGATTGACCAAATCAAACCAGAAATCCAAGTAATCCGAATTGCGCTCCACATATTGCATGTATAGGTAGTAGTTGGACAAGTTGATAGGCGACTTTGTTTTGTTGGAGAGAATTTCTCCTAATGTCGGTAACCGCCCAAGTTGGACATGGTTATTCGTGAGGTTGAGATTGTTGAGGTTGGCTAGATAATGAGAATTTGGATTCTCCAGTTGATATTTTTCCGTCATGACTTCTAAGCCCTTGGGAAGATAGGCTTGTGTGTGTGTATTTTTTTTGTTCCTTGATCTGGGATGTTTCACCTGGCTGGTTGAGAAGACGAACATAAACAGAGGTCACGTGCACAAAAAGGGCGTGTAACATTCATTGACGAGACGTTGAATCATGTGACTAATAGACACGTGAACATTTATATCACGTGAGTAACAGAGATTTTTTGTTTGATTTCTTTTTTATTTTTGATTGGATATTTTGAGATATTTTTTTATCTTTGTCATTCATGATTTGCAGAATCTTGTGATCTTTCCGATTCACGTGAGACAGCACGTGCGGAAACGGTTTACTCCTCGTGTCGGCTTACTGGAATAGGCAATCTCGGAACCCTCAAGCCGAATCCGAACCGGCAAATCTGTCAAAAGTCCCTTCCCTCCAGTTACTTAACTAGATTTCCCCTCTACCGACTATTTATACTTGCTCCTCGGTACTCCGCCGGTGCCCGCGGGGTGAAGGTTAATTTTCCCTCGTCCTACATCTACAGTATCGCAGGAAAAGAAATTTGGAGGTTGCAGTGGCTCCACACGGCATTTTGGTATCATTATCTCGTGCGGCACCCTTCATGTGGTGTACGGGTGTGTATGGGTACCCATTTGTATGTCATGGGTCACTATTGGCGGTTTTGCAATATTTACTAATTATCCCGGTGTATTGTGTGTAATTTAATTGCTTGATAATGATTGTGGAGGTGTGGGTAGGGGGGCCATGACTGGCACAGCCAATGTATTTTGCAGTGAAAGTTTCATCCGATAAATCCGGAATTGTTGTCCCCCCACACAATTGAAGATGTCCTCCACTCCCAATCCAGGAAAAAACTGTGGGAATATCTTTTGGTAGTTGCGTCCTGTAGATATGGGATATCATCTGTCATGGGCCACTTCATGCTTGTCATAGTTGCCAGGGCTACCAACCATGCGCCAATCTATGCGTCCTGCGATTTCTCCGTTATTCATAAATTTATCCAACTACTTTTTTCTTTCTGGTTTCAAGTATCTACCACCCCTTAAAGCTCATATTCCCGGTTGTGTTTGTTCCTGTTTTTGTAAACTTCTACATTTACATCCGCCTGATTTCCATCGCCGCATCCTCCAACTCGTTCGGGTCGCCCATCGACATATTTTTCCGTTTTTATATGATTTAAACCACCCAGATGTTGACTATTGGCTTACACTTTCCTCGGTCTACCGGGTTGCTTACCGCCCCGGTAGATCCTTACCTCCTTTGCCGTCAGTTTGATTACCGTCAGTTTGTCAAGATGATTCAGAATCTGATTCTGTCGGTCACCAATTACAAATCAAAATTGACGGTCGAAGTAAAACGTCCATGTCTGCAACTTTTCCCAGAGATGGCATTGCTGGACATTGTAGCTTTGACAAATTCAAGACTCGCAGGTCCTGTGGCGTGTGCAGCCGATGACTTGGAACTCTCGCTAGTTGACGGCCCTGATCAGATCGAGTTCTTTGACAACTACTTCATGGAGTCTGTCCCAACTAGGGAAAGATTCCATAACCACCCTGAGGCCTTTCCTGGCAACGAATATGGTCCCGCCGAGTCCCACTACCCATCGGGTTACGATGTGGCCACTTTCAACGACTTTTCCCCCACCACTTCCATGTCACTGCTCCAGCCACTGTCGCTTCTGTCGTCTTTCCACTACGAACATCCTAACGGCAGAGCATTTGCTATGAACGCAAAGCAGCAGCCTCCTTTTGTCCAGATCCAGTATGCTGCCAATATGGTTGCTCCACAAATGAACTCTTACTTCAACGACTTCAATCAACCCATGATGGGTCGTGAGGGCTCCTCGGTTTATGGATCCTCATCGGAGTCGTATGCCTCTCCTTTGGATGAAATGTTCTTCAAAGCTCCTCCTTCAGAAGGAAGTGCTGTAGTTGTAAACAACAACGTCGAGGACGCTCCACTTTCCAGAAAGCGGAAATACAAAGGCTCTAGTCCTTTGGCACCAAGGGATCTGTTTGTTAGTGAAATGGCCTACCAAGAGAAAGATTCGGCTATCGAGAACTCCGAATTGGAACTGCCATGCAACTTAAAGTTTGAGCCTTCAAAGAAAGTTCGGTTGAACTCGTTTGCTAAAGTTAAATGTGAAGAAGAAGAAAGAAAGGAATACGTGTGCAAAGAGTGTGACGCCAGCTTTAAAGTGAAATCGTACTTGACCAGACATATGCGGAAGCATAACAATGCCAAAGCATTTGTCTGTCCATTCTTCGAGGAAAGTGAACTCGAGTGTGGTGCTAAAAATGCAACAAAGTGCCACCCAACTGGTGGATTCTCTCGTAGAGACACTTACAAAACGCATTTGAAAGCTTTACATTTTATTTACCCTCCTGGAACTAAATCTAGTGACAGAAACTCAATCGGAGGAAGATGTGCTGGGTGTTTTGAATTCTTCGATAGCAACGCAGACTGGTTGAAGAACCACATCGAAGGAGGTGCTTGTAAAGGTACTGTTGGGTTTGAAGGAGTGAAGGTTAAGCTTGAAGGTGTCTAAGATAGCTGCTTCGGATACTAGTGCACTTTTTATCTTCATTTCTTTGGTTGATCCAACTAATTCATGGCATACTGTGGATGCATGGGCAATAGGTGGTTTCCGATGGTTAATTCCAATGATGATTTTTACCACCACCACTTCATTTCCACACGCCATTTCTGCATGTCATTTCTACATGCCCCCTAGAATTGCCTTTATTTGCATCTTTAATTCTTCGAGTCTGCTGACTCCATGTTATCTTGTGTACTGTAATTAGTGAAGACGTCGGTTATCGTAACTCCCGCAAGCCGCAACAGAGCCGTACGCGTTGAGGCAGCCACGACCATTATCATGTACCTGATTTGGTATTACCTAGAATGGCATTGCTGACAACGCGTCGTAGATGGTTGGCAACCAGAGTGTAGTGCGAGTGCAAGTGCGATTAGTTCCAATTTTTGTCGGATGTGCCTCGGATTTATCTCATAAAAGCGGGGTCCCGGTAACTGGTGTTATGTAGCGGGTTTTCGTCTCATCTTCAAACCGTGCAGGTGGTTTGGATATTTGTTGATGGGGATATTCGGGGTTATGAGCACGTACATGCTGTTGATCGCGCAGAGAGGAGAAAATATCCAAAAAAAACAACAAAAAAACCCATACCATGCGACATAAATTACAGTATTTGCGACTAGGAAAATCCATCGTATAAAATGTGGCTGAGTAAGGCCTACAAGACTAATTGAAAATCTTTGCTGGGATTTCAGCATTTGAGCCCTATTATTTAAGCGCATGGTTAATCTTGACATCATAGCTATTAATTCATTTCCGCATCTTAAGATAAAAGGTTAGGAATTGAAGCACTGGGTCAAGACCAGGGTTCAAAAGGGAAGATAGTCTAAGGAGAGAAGGAGATTGCGAGATAACAGTAATTGAAATTAACTGATGTTCAGTAACAAGAAATTTGATTGGAGCAATTGACCTGCGAGGTGGAGATCAGCAATTATATGGCCCGTCAATTGTAAACGAATTCCTCGGTAGCAACATACCCCCTTTGTATTGAGTAAGAAATTCTTGGAATGGCATTTATTTCGCTATTCTAATTATGCGGCGTTTCATTCCCCCACAGTAATAACGGAGAATAAGGTATGGCTGTACTGTGCTTTCAGTTTCGGTTATCATTGCTCGGTCCAGGATTCGGTAAATTGTCACAAAACTCGGGTTTGATTTGGGTTTGGTTTGGTTTTATCTTGGAATTAACATTACTCGACTTTTAAATTAAGTTTAAATTTGGGTATTTATCATTTGAGTTTTTATTTGAGCTATTATATAAATTTATAAGTAAGTTTTCAAGTAAGTTTCCATTTGAGTTTTCATTTAAGCTTTCATCATTTAAGTTTTCATTTGAGTTTTCATTTAAGTTTTCGTCAAGAAGCACTTTGAGGTGTTTATGTAAGCCTCCACATTCTCCAAGTTTAATTTTTTAATCTATCATAATAGTATTCATGTGAGCTTTGTGTTATGTTTTAGTTTGAAGGTGCCTTCTCGTCTTCTCCACATTACAGTTTCTTTGCGTGTTTTCATTGCACTACATAGTCTCCATTATCCATATGCCCATTTGTTTACTATTCTATTGTATCACTTCACCGTCATAATCTCTATTTTCCCCCTTTCCACTAGTTAAATCCTTGACACACGAGTAAACTTGATAGTTTAGAGAATACTCACTATACATACACAGAAAACGGAACTTCAGGTAACGAAACTCAAAACACCTAAACCCCAATACAAGTTCCCTGAGCGAGAATAGACCAAGTATTTCAACACTTTTTTGGCTGACTTAAGTCAGCAAACTCGTTAAATCAAAAGTACACTTGTGACTTGAAATAATAACAAATGACCTTAAATTCTTTACTTGATGATACTATTTCATTCACTACCAGCCCAATAAAGCACAATCAAGAAATGTTACTCTATCGGAACTATTCAAAACGGAGTCCTAATGCCCGTTCAAATTTACCAGATTCCAAAACTTTCATCGCTTCTACAATGTCCCGGTCCTTTCCAAAATTTATTCCTATCCACCAATAATATAGTAAGGATGATCACAAAATGAAACCATCTATCTATTCGATCCATTGCTCCTATGTTATTCACTTCATATCACCGCTTTTCATCACCGTGCCAATATAATCCTGGAGATACTGGTTCTCATTAGAATACCTGGTGCAAATTGCAGACAGATCTCGAATATTCTGCATGAGCTGTGTTATTTCTCCCTTAAGTCGCAAGATCTCGTTCACTTTATCCTGCTTAGTGTCCATGGTAGTTGACAGTCGATTATGTTGTCTTTACCTGATTCAAATTGGACCGTGACAATAACACCCGTACACCAGGTTAGGTCAGTCAATTTCCCCCCTTTAAAAAAAGACGAAAGAGAGGAATTTCTAAAAAATTATAACACGGTGATTGTCTCCAGAATATTCCTACTTTAGCCATTTAAGTTTTTACAATGAAAACGCCTTTCGATCGATTCTACCAAAACTTAAATATCATAATGTCATACTGCACACAAGTGGGTGGCCAGCACGCCCATCCAAAATTCCACGATAAAATCCCACTAAAAAAACCAACCATACAGAAAAGAATCATCATGTCTGCCGCTTTGGACAAGTCTTTAGACGACATCATCTCCTCCACCAGAAAGGCCAAGAAGGTCGCCAACAAGAAGAAGGCCGTTGGCAAGGGTGTTGGAAAAGTGCAGAAGAAACAGGTTGTTTCTTTCAAGAAAGACAAGCCAGCCACTAAAAAGGCTGCTGCCCCTGCTGTGGACTTGTCTTACGCCACCAAGGTGGTTGCTCAAGGCTTGCCAAGAGACTTGAAGCAGCAAAATGTTAAGGTATGTTAGTTCCGGATCGGGAACTTTGGATCCTTCGTTTTCCCCAGTTAACGGGTGTATTTGAGGGTGTGGGTGATGAGCACTAAGCGGTAATAGTACTGCCATGTGCTCGGTGTCGATAGACACGATGAGGGAGAATGCAACTAGGCTTTCTGGTTCAAGGTGGGGTTCTGCTTGTACAGGTGACTCAGGATTTTGCCTTGATATAGAAGATGTCAGATCTAGGTGATTATCTAGACTGTACTGGAGAACTGGAGATACTATCTACCAGATTTCATATGAATCCGTTGGAAAACAAATCTATAAACTGATACTTCCTCCACGGATCAGTGTTTTGAATTCATTCATTCAGCACTTCACTTCTATCTAGAACTCCGCAAAGCATTTCTCAGGATATTGGGACTATTAAGGTATTTGGGAATTGGGTTAATGGTATTTAAATGGCATCGGACGGTTATCACGGAATTCGGACTCATCAAACATCACCCCCTCGACACATCCAGACTATGTGTCGAACAAAACTAACAATTTAGGATTTCTTCCAGTCGCAGGTCGGCGGCGTACAGGCCGTATCGTTGAGCTACAACGAGAAGGGTAACTTCAGAGGTATTGCTACTATTATCTTCAAGTCGAGCAAGAACGCTACTTTGGCTGTGGAGAAGTACAATAACGCTCCAATTGATGGAGGTGCAACCAAGTTGAAGTTGGAGTTGGTTGTGGACCCAAGCAAGAAGCCATTGGCTGCCAGAATCACTGCCAACGAGCCACAAGCTGCTGCTAAGGCCAAGCCTGCCGCTTCCAAGAAGGAGCAGCTCAAGGAGAAGGTGAAGGAGAAGAGAAAGCAGATCCAGCAGAAGAAGAAGGCTGCTGTTAAGGCCAAGAAACCAGCCAAGAAGACTGTGGAGCAGTTGGACCAGGAGATGTCTGAATACTTCAACAACTAGTTAAATAAATGTACGAGTAGGAGAATTGAAAGTAAATTGAGAACTAAGAATATCTTGATGCAAGTAAAAATAGGTGAAATTGTGTGAGATTTCTCACTTAGAGACGCATGGACGGAATCTAGAGAATCTCGAAATTCAAATGCGCAACTCACAATCGGACTAAATTTCAATAATCGAACGTAATTAGTCATATCTACCGCAATTTCATTTTCGAAATATTATTAGGAAATTATCATCAAACAAAAAAAAAAGTTAACCAAAAATCCAAAGAGAACCCTCGCCTTTTCCATAGTTTGACAAACATTCTCCCGCAATAGCGAAACCTCTAATTCAGGTACACCAAAACCAGCCAAAAAGGTAAAAAATGATTCAACCACGTCCACTACATGGTTCACTTTACATTATCTATCAGAGTATCCTCCATTTTCCCTCCATAATCTCCATTCTACCTGCACCCAATGATTCTTTCCATGTAACGGTATGCGGCTGACATACAGTCCGGCTTCAAATAAAAATATTCAACTACTACATAATCTAGCCTATGCTAAACATCGACTACTTGATAACAGCTGAGTTCCATGTGGACAAGGGCCCACTGCTCATCCACCAGTACCCGCTGGAACTTCCCGGGTTGCAGAATTTGCCGTTTTTGCCTGAGCTAATGCTTCCAGACCAAATTCACAAGAGACCCGAGGACTATACGTTGTTTTTGTTGCACCGCAACTTATCAACAGGCCAATTCCAGTATAAGTACGACCGCGTCGCCTGTGAGAATGATCCTTACTTCGTCTATACTTTGGTCAACAATGTAACAGACAACTCTGTGAAAAGAGGTCTGGTAATCAAATCGGTGAGTATCGTCACCAGGCTTCTGTATTTCAAGCATTTCAGACCGTTGCTTATGATTTGTCTTGATGTTTATTTTGCCAATAACGACATTAACTACTTGGCGCAGCTCTACGACAGTATCAACTGCAAAAACTTGCAAGTGAGCCAGGTGAGGCAGCTGGTGGTTAAGAAGTTGCTTATCACGTCCATATTGGACTTACCTTTGAATGACAAACTTTACTTCGACGAGAATTTTCGTAACAAGTTGTTAGGAATCAAGGAAATTAACGAAGACTTGTTTATTCGGAAAGATCTCAGCTACAATTCGGTGGTTTCGTTCAACAACATGAAGATCCCGATGAAGGTGCCCATAATCTCGCTCCCGGATACCATCGGTGACTACTTCAACCCGACAGATATCAATTTCAAGCCCAATTTGCTTAATATCTTGAACGCCAGCCTTGCCAGTACTTACCACAACAACGAAATGACCATCTACGGCCTTCTGACACCTCCCATTATTGTGTTGATAAACGCCATGCTTACAGGCAAAAAAATTATTTTCATGAGCTACGAGAACTCTGCTGGCTACATTATCGACCATGTTTTGCTCGCGCTCAAGCTCATTACTGGTGGAGGTATTCTTACTGGAGTTTTGACGAACTATAATGTATTCCCTATGATTGACGTGTCCAAAATCGATCTTCTAAGCGAATGTGACTCGTATCTCGCTGGAACTATCAATCCGTTCTTCAAGTCCAACGATAAATTATGGGATTTACTATACGATTTGGATGCCAACGAGTTTCATGTTTCAAGCCAAATTGATGAGCAGGAGTACTCCAAGAATTCCATCATTGGTGAGGATGCCAAGTTCTTGAGTAATTTGCAACACTCTTTGTTCAACTACAACGATGACTTAACTACCATACAGTTTATTTTCCGCAGACACATCAACGAGATCGTCCGGGTGCTCTTGTCTCTGCGAAACTTCAATTCCAGCTTGCCCGAGCACAAGCAATCCACGCTTCTTATGGATGGTGTGGGCTACTTCTGGCACAGTGACACCACCAAGTTACTCGAGATGTCGTGTTACCAGCTAATATCAGGTAGGTTCCAGGACAAGCTCTATTCCAATATATTCAACTACAGTTTGATGCTTCCTAAGTTGCTGAACGAGCTCAATCTCATGATAGACTTGCAACATCACATGCAGAAGCTTAATAATGTGACGCTCAACCACAACACTCCGCTGCGGATCAACGAGCGTGAGATCTGGTTCAATGTGCTCAAGTACCTCATCAGTGGGAAGTCACTCGAGACATTTTTGTTGGTGACGTACTTGATTCCGCCTAACTCGTCTACGAGTCTCCAGAGTTCGTTGTCGCATGGAGGAAACTTGACAATTTTTGACAAGAACAAAGGCATTGAGCTCCTACTCATTAATCTCTTCAACGAGGACCACCAGGTGAAGTCCAACATCGTGATGATTTTGCAAGAGCTTCAGGACAACTTTCTCTGCGGCTGGTGCCTAAACAACTTCTTGCGGTCCAACTACATGTATGAGTTGGCGTTTGAGGATCTCGTAGAGTCTTGAGCTATGTACTATGTAATAAAGGCTAGGAGGACTGGTTCAGGAGCCAGTCCAAGGATGAGAGTCAATAGGGTGCTCCCTGTAGTGATTAACTGAATCGTTTCAACAATCGAAATGTCCTGTCAATTCAACCGTTTCCGTCAGTTGTTCGTCTTAATCATCTTTCTTGATTTTCTTTGAAATAACATTCCACATACTCAAGCGATCACCGGGAGTTCTTGTGGAATACGCAAGTCCAGAGCCCACGTATTTGGATTCACGACCAGCACCTTCGTAATTCAAATTTGGATTATTGGTTGGAAAACCTGGCCTGGCAGTTTGTTCAGCAAACTCATCTTCTTCATGATCAACAGAGGCATCGCTCTCCAATCTGTGTCTGTCCTCTTTATGAGAAGCGATGTGTTTTTTGCCCACTACAGTGAGACCAATAGCCACAGCGGAGAAGGCTCCGAGTTTAGTGAGAAGACCTTTTCTGGTTTCCATGATAAGAAGTTGGTAGTGGGGACCGGCACAGTGGGGTGATGTGTAAGGTAGAGGAATGATTGGAAGAAGGACGAGACAATTTCAACGAATTCAAGGAATGGATTAAAAAGAAGGAAGAAAAGGAATAACTGAAATAGAGACAGGATTTGATAAGTTAGTAAGAAATATAAAAGTGGGAAGCATAGACCATGTCTAAGTAAATCACATCAGAAATGGAGTAGAGTGGATATAGGGATGGATCTATGTCTTGAAAGGAGAGACAAGAATAGATGAGAGTAAGAGAATGGAGGAATAGGAGACCATGAACTGAGAGGAAAAATAAATTCAGATATCAGAGAAATCGAATTTTCAACGCTTATTGAAAGAAAATTCATACGAACATGCGAAGTACAATTGGAAGTGACAGGGATTTCCAGATGTCCTATTGTCATAAACTGATAGTACATCTGAGTATACTCCTATGGGAAAACAAGGAATTAGAATAAAGGAATTAGAATAAGTTTGATGGAATATTGGACCTTCTTCAGCTTCAACTTCGTAGATACCTCTGCTAGAGTGTCTATAGAAACCACTATGTTGAAGTCACTATGGATAATCAAACTACCTAACTGTAATATAATGATATTTTCTATACCACTTTAGAACATAGCTTATTTGAATAGAACTTCAATCATCTCGTTTTCTTCTGGGTTTTTTTTTGGGTCACTGCTTAAGATCTCACTACTCTACATGTCCAACTTTCAGGGTCCTCTCGTATAGTAGCTACTCATGTGAGTAAATTCTCAATCATGAAAAATCAACATGAACATCCCACAACTTCGTCAGATATCCATTTTCAAGCGTAAACAATATATATATTATTCAACACATTAATTAAAAATTTAAAAAGTAGATTGAAAAACTCATTTATTCATGATTCTCCAAGACCCAATCAACAATTTCAACCTCTTACTCAAGTGTCCCAACCATCTTCATGTGCACATCCCAATGTTGAGCAAACTATATAGATCTACCAAAATCCCACAAAATATTCAGCCAGCTAAATCCCACTTTTCTTTCTCTCTAAAAAAAATACCCCACCAAATCCTATTAAATATCTATTCCTTCTCTTCCAATCTTCAAAGCCCCATTCTACCATCTCCAGCTTTTACCTACCCCAATTCCCCCACGTCTCTCCTGCCCAAAATTGTGCGAAGACTTCCAACCCAGACCTCCAACTCTCACCTTCTTTTCCTTCAACACCATGGGATTTCTTCAGACGTTGAAGTTCTACGCCAAATCTTTTGTTTTCGGCACCTTGATTGCCACTTGTGCCCTCTACGGCGTTTTTGCAAGCATCTTGTTGAGACTCATTGGCAAGCCAGAGTATGCCCAGTACACCGTCGCTAGAGTGTTCTACTTCATGTTCTCCAAGCTTTTGGGAGTTACTATCACCATTAAGAATGAGCATTACTTGCGCCAAAACCCTGCAGTTGTCGTTTCCAACCACCAGTCTGCGTTGGATATTTTGATTCTCGGCAAGGTGTTCATGCCGGGCTACACTGTCACCGCTAAGAAAGTGTTGAAGTACTTCCCCTTCTTGGGCTGGTTCATGATTGCTTCTAGCACGTTCTTCTTGGATAGAGCAAAGTCCGAAAAGGCACGCAAGGTGTTGGACAGAGCGCTTTTGGGGTTGAAATTGAACCTGCGACTGATCTTCATGTTCCCTGAAGGAACCCGTTCAGCCACTAAGAAACTCGAGATGCTTCCTTTTAAGAAAGGTGCGTTCCACTTGGCCAAGCAGGCTGGTATCCATGTGATCCCCGTAGCTGTATCCAACTACAGTCACATCTTCCATTCTGGAGACAAGGTGTTCAACCGGGGTAACATTCTCATCGAGGTGCTTCCTCCCATGGAGACGACGGACTTGAAACTGTCGGAGGATGTTACTGCATTTGCTCAGGAGGTTCGGGACAAAATGCTCCACTCCATCGAGACGCAGGGTTATTCGCCAGCCAGAGGCGAGACGCCAGTAGTGGTTGAGGCAGAGGACACTGCTTCGGAGGTTTCCGTGGAGGTGATTGGCGAGGAGACTCCGCTTGTTTCGGGCGATTAGAATCAAAGAAGAGGTGAAAGGAGAGTCCGGACGTCCCTCTTTTAAAATGCGATCTCTTGCAATGGTAAATTAGGCATTGGATAATCGAAGACTTAGAAAGATAGTATCATCGCAAGCACTAAATCCTAGATATAGTTGTATATTGAATATCCAAAGTGTACATTAAATTAAAAACAAGACCAGGTGAAAATCGACACCGATACTGGTAATCAGATAACCACCATCACTTAGCAGGGGCCCGTCCTAAAAAAGAGCCCAGATCACTATAACTCAACTAAAATAGATAATCGAAGAGCATACTCTTATAGCATAGCCTTACATCAAAGAGAATAGCTTAATAAATTCAGTTCAGTCTTTGCTTAACTTTTAATCCATTTTACATTCTCTCAAATCAATAAACGGCCAGTTCACATTATATTATTTTACCTTCAATACCCATCCAATAATCTCAGCAGTCATCTATAAGAATTAACGGATTACTTTAATCCCCCTAAAAAAACACAAACAAACAAAAAACTCATCCCTCCTCTTACTAATAATTTAAGCAAACATCTACGTACTCATCTGAACAAACATCTAGCCGAACCTCTAACCGAATGAATTACCCATCGCTCAATACCATCTATCCTGCGAGCACCTACTTTAGACCATACATTATATCACTTACAAATGCATAAAATATAGCTAGTTTCAAGATCAAATCCAAGTCAAATAATAAACCAAATTATACACCACACCACTCTATCCGAACAATATTTTCCCCATCCACCATACAACTTATATAGTTAAACTTTTGAAAAGGCAGGCACTGACCTTCATAGACTTGACCTGAGACTTTCAAAAATTTCAGACCTTCGTGGACTTTAGGACCTTCAAACTCTGTACACACTTCCACAACCACAACCACATCAACCCAAAATCCCATACTAAACGTTCTATTGCCTACCAAATCCTCTTACACAAACCCAAAAATTTACTATATAACCATGGGTTCCCACCACAATTCTTCCCATCAATTTCTTATCAAAATCCTACCTCTTCTCCGCTCACGGGGGACCATACTGAGTCCCTGACTCAATGTCCCTGCACGGCGACTTTTCGTGCCTTCTCCAATCCCACGCGTCCCAAACATGGGACTCTCCATACCTTAGTGTTTTTCACGTTGCACCGTCAGGGTTTTCTTTACTAGTGCCACCCGCCAATTCTCTCTACTAAGGAACGCCGCCACTTGCTGCCCTCAAAGTAAGACCCACCCATTCAACTCTAGATCGTTGCCGAAAACTATGGCCGAGTCCGATCTTCTGCACTATTATAGGGAACTCAAACAGTTTCTAGACATCTCGGACGATTCGTCGTCACGAGCCAAGTCTAACTCGTCGCGAGCACAGCGGGCCAGAGAAAAGCTTCTTAAGTTATCGCTGGCTCAGTTTCGTGAGTTGAGCACCGATGTTTACGACGAGTTACGTCGAAGAATCGATGAGCTGCGCTCGGAGCCAGACTTTTTGCTTCCCAAGCTGACTTTCCACCCAAAACGAAACCAGGCAAGACAAAAATTGTCGCTGTTACCCCAACTGCGCTTCAAGGACTTGGTGTCAGACATCAGCTTCGAGATCGAGCGCAGAAACTTGCACTTGCCAGAACAAAAAACCTCTACCAACAACGCTGCCACGAGCAACTCCAACACTACTTCCCACTCACGTTCGCAGTCGCTGGCATCGGGCATTTCCGCGCCTCAGTATCCATCTCACTCCGTTTCACATTCCCGATCGGCGTCTGGAGCCGTTCCCACCACTGCTGTGCCGGAATCTTATCAAACACCTGCGACTTTAAAGACGAATGTAGAGTCCGAGCCAGAGCAGTACCAGCCACGTGAGGTGGATGAAAAACCGTCTGAAGTGGCCAATGGCAGCTTCGCCGAAATGCGTGACGAATTAGCTACTCCTGACTTGAAGCAGACTCCAGTGCCTCAGAAGTCTATTGGAATCCAATCCAACACTGTGATCCCCACCAAAGCCAACTTAGCATGGCTGAGTGATGAGGAGAGCGACGACGACCTTAACAACGGACCTGACGAATCTCAGCCACGTAGACTCTCATTGGGTAACTTAGGCAAGAATGTTGCCGGTAGTGAATCTCTTAAAACTGAGGAGTCACATCTCGTTCCAGGTACCGATATTCTGTCTACTGCAGGTCTTTCGGCAGGCTCTAAGGCTGCTGCCGGTGCCCTTTTGGGTGGTGCAGTGGCCGCTGGAGCTGTTGGCCTCGGTTCCAATTCTGTGGGCCCCACATCGACAGATGCTGAGAATTCAGAGCAGGTTGATAAACTCAAGGCTGAAAACGAGAAATACATCAAGGATATCGAGAGTAACAAGGCTGAAAAGGTGAAATTGTTGGAAGAACTTGAGACAATTAAGACTGAAAAGGAAAATAACTTTGACCAACTTCAGACCAGCAAGGCCGAGATTTCGAAATTGTCCGAAGAAGTTGTTACTGCAAAAGCCGAAATCGATAGATTGGTCAATGAATCTGAAACTCTCAAAACTCAACTAGATAAGTTGCAAAAGACCAACTTGGACCTTCAGAACCAGTACACCTCACTTGAAAAGTCTCACGGAGAAGTCTTAACTGAGAGAGCTCAATTGAACGATCAGGTTCAAGAGCAAGCAAAGAATAGAGATGGCTTGCCTGATCCAGAGCAACTTGCACTTGTACAGCGCGAGCTCGAATCGGTTAAGGCTGCCTCTGCAGCATTGCGCTTAGAGAACCAGTCCTTGAAGGCTTCCCAGAAGGAGTTTAAGAGAGCCTCTAGAGATTTGTCTCTGAAGGATGTCAATTCGAGCCCTAGAGCTGTTCGTGTTACCCCTGCCAAGGAGGTTGAATCGCCTCGCGATATAAACACAGAGTTGAAGCTGTTCTATTCGAAGTTAGATCTGCTTGCTTCCCCGAAACCATTATCTGCTAGCAAAGAGGAGGCTTTGCGATCCGAGGCGGTACAGTGGAGAACGAGATATGAGAATATCCAGGCTGGAAAGCTGGCCAAGGCATTGCGTGACTTCAAGCAGCCTGATTTGCAAAGCTATGTTTTGCCCAATGGTTTGGTCTCCTTGAAAGATGGAACCACTTTCTTTGCATTGATCGATTCCTTCCTCCTTAGCATAAACGATGCAGTTTTGGACAACGATACTCTCTTCGAGAAGATCTCCAACATTGCGATCTTGTCCAACAAAATTACCCTGGTTGGCGAGAACAGCATTTTGTCTAACAACGATTCCTCTGAGGCGGTCCGTCAAGCAACCACCCATGCCTTGACAGCCACAAGATATCTTGCAACGTACCCAATGTTTCTTCCTAAGATTGTTGTTGAGCGTGCTGTGTCCCAGGTAGCTTTTACCATGTGTGATTACTTGTCTGTCTCCAAATTATATCTGGGATCTTCTAGTGATGCCGATAGAAGTTTAGCAGGTCTGGGAATCAGCCCGATCGTGGAGGATGATGTACACGTCAGACCATTGAAGATTGGAAGTAAGATGAACTCTACCATAAATTTTGATACATTCAAGGAAGACGAAGCCAAGGCTACATCTCTGGGCGTATCCCGAGACGAAATTGACGATGCTGCGACAATTCCTGGCGACTTCCAGGATGCTCTTTCCGAATCACTGCCTATTCTCAACAATGTGGAAGATCCTGGCGATTCCCAACCTGTGGACATACAGCCTCTTAATTCGCCACCTCTTGGCTCCGAGGAGGCTGGCTTCCAGCATGCCGAGAAAGAAGTTTCATTGCCAACTACTCATACATCAACACATCCCAAAAAATTATCCTTATTCGAGAGAATCCTGAATTCGAAAGTCTTGGGTGCTGACAAGAACACCCCAGCTGAGGATCTTCCAACCGACCCCATGAACGACAACATGAAGGAGAATATCGTTCCAAACTCCGAGTCCCCAGCTGGTAAGTCCACCTCAACTTTCCAAGGAATTCAAAATGCATCTAGATCTCCTGTTTCACCTAAGAAGTCTTCCATTTTGGAAAGAGTCAAACAATTTGAGAGTCCACCAAGTGGTAAGTCCAGCCCCAGGGCCGCCACAAAAGAGTCCCCCTCTGTTTCTGTAAAGTCAGCTCGTGCTTTGTTTTCCAAGGAGCCAGCTTCTTCTGATTTTAAGACTATGATCGCTGAATCTCCCGAGGCTAAACTGACCAAGGCATCTGAAGCTGACACCTCTGCTACTCCTACTAGATCCAGAAGTATCTTCCAGAGTCTCAGAGAGAGATTTACTCACGACAACTCTGCAAAGGAGGCTGACACGTCTAGAGACGCTGATATATCCAAAAATGTTGACGTCGACATTTCTAGAGATGATGTCGCTGTTTCCAAGGATGTTGATCTGGAACCATTAATCGAGTCTCCATCACAAGTTAAAGAGAGATCTCTTTCTAACATCCCTGTGAGCGCAGCCTTGGAGAAGGAGGTGGAGAGTACGCCATTGCCGTTCGACAAGAATGAGAATGAACCCGAGACTACTACCAAGGTCGAGGTTCCACTTCCGAAGTTTGTTGGAGGTGCAGCAGCGGCAGCAGTCTCCAAGGCAACTTCTTCAAAGTCGCCAGTGGTTCAGAAAGTCACGCCTCCCGTTCTTAAGAGAGTAGAGACCGCCGAAGAGGTGGAGAAAGAAGTCGCTCCAAAACTGACCACCACCACTAATTTGGGAGCCGAGCCAGAATCTCCATTGGCTAGAAAGACAGAGCAAAAGGTCGAGTCTCAAAACCAGTCGATTCCACGCAGCTTCTCGGCAGTGAAGTCACCCGCCTTCAAGGTTAAGAAAGTAAATTACGCTCAAGGTACCAAACATGAAGCTAGGAATGAAGAGAGTGAACTGGAAGATGGTGAAGATTACGAAGAAGAGGACAGAGAAGAAGTGGAAGCTAGACAAAGACAGGAGTACAGGAAGTCTATGGCAGCCGCAACGTTTAATTTCGATCTCTTCGACATTGATGATCCAGATAACACGTTGACCCAGGTGTTGTTGTATTTGGAGCATCAAACTGTCCAAGTGATTTCTACTATTCAAGATTTGTTATCAGCCATCAAAAAACCCGATGCTACTAGAGGCGAATTGAGAACCAACTCCAAGGCCATTTCCGAAGTGATCAGCCAGATGACGGAAGCCACCAACACGTCGATGAACCAGACCAGAAACCATCAGTTGAAGGAGCACGGCAGCTGGGTTGTTAAAAGTTTAGAGGACTGCAACCACCGGATGTTCACGCTCTGTAGACCCAATGGTGAGAAGGAAGACCTGGATTTTGCAGACAAGAACTTCAAGCAGAGACTTGCAGGTATCTCGTTTGATATTGCAAAGTGCACCAAGGAGTTGGTGAAGACCGTGGAGGAGGCGAGCTTGAAGGAGGACATTGCTCAACTCGATGCCAGACTCAGTCACCCAGATGACTTGACTTAAGGAGATGGAAGGGAAAATTGTGCATTATTGTGTCATTAGGCGTTACTTGAATATATGTAATTATTAAGAGAAGAATGTGAGATTATCAGAGGCAGGTAGTTATCGAAAGTATTTCGAGAGAAATTTGCGGTGGGTGTCGGACTCCAATGTGTTTGTAGTAAAAGATTGCTGGGTTGCAGACTTCTTGGCGAAAGGGGCATTTCCTCTCCAGCTCTTCTTAGTGGTAGTTTCGTTTCCATCTGGTGAAATCAAGGGATTACCAGCTAGAGCGATTGCTTTCTTTTCTTTTTCCTTTTTTATCTTCGCTAGTTCGGCCATAAGTGCTTCTTCATCGTCATCTTCATCGTCATCTTCATCATCTTCATCGTCATCTTCATCATCTTCATCGTCATCGCTATCATTGTCCGCTTCTTCAACGTCTTCAACGTCTTCTTCTTTATCCACATCTTTCCCTTGAACGGAAACATCTTCTTCACCTTCATTATCGTCTGCTTCCTTTAAACCTTGAGTTCTTACCCCATCATTTGGGGTCTTTTCAATGACCCTCTTCACTCTTCGTTCTTCCTCAAGCTCATCAAGTGCCCTCTTACCTACCGAACGATCAAACTTGGTGCCTTGAACGTCCAGCCGAAGCTTCAAAGATGTCTGACTATTAAGAGAACGCGAGTGCTGGATGGTATCTTTTATAGCATTAGCACGGCCGCGCTTGCTCTCTAGTGTAGGTCGATGGTTGGTTGTCATGGTAGTAGTTATGATGAGATGCGTGTAGGAATTTATAGATACACCATCACTACATGTAGCTTTATAACAAAGCATAAATGTCACAAATAGATAGATTTGAAAAATGAAACGTGGTCATTATGAGAAGGTAAAATGGTGAAATGCTTATTTCATCTGTCCATTGTTCCAAAATCTTTTCACATCTAAGTTAAATGATACTCATATGTCCCTCCTCACCAGTAAATCTTCGGAAATTTCATTTATGAGTCGAAATATGCAGAAAATGTCACTCAACAATTAAAGTAGCTTAAGTAAGATTACAAAATGTTAAATTTCGGAATGTGAATTGCCATATTTGAATTGAAGTTGCACAAATGAGAAATATTCGGATTGAGAAGTGGAGATCGAATTCTCTTTAGGCTGGTGGGATTTTCAGTTATGAAGGGCACATCTCTTATTAACTCACCGTTGGGTACAAGTAAAGAACCTGAATCAGACTAATAATTCGATTATATCGTATAACTAACCTCACTTTCGACGTCAGCCGTGGATTCATGACATATGCGGTCCCAATTGGTCTACTTAAACGCACGCTCAAGTAATTTCAAAGAATTGTCAATTTTACCTCAGCAAGTTAATAACTTCCGAAGGAATATTCTCTCATGGAAGAAGAAATCAGATCCTTCAAACGTTCAAGTGAACCACAGCTTCAACGTATACTCGCAATCTCTGTTAAGATACCATTTACAACTTCCTATCAACTTCCCTTCATTTTCATACTTTCATTGATTATATCTTCTATCTTTTCAAACTTTTTCTTTATTTTAAACATTTTCAACATTCTGTTTCATTAATCTTGTGCTTTCTTCATTTCCCAATAATGGACGTCCCTATGTTTCAATCTCTGTGAAATGCCATACAAAGTTCCCATCAAAGCCCACAAAAAGTATATCAAAAATCAAAAATTTAAAGAATTCATCATATTCACTATTCCCTTCTTATGTTCCCCAATTCCTCTCCATAGTTATCATCACTGTCGGACCAAATTTTAAAGTAACTCAAGCCGGGGAAGCTTTTGGGGTGCATATGCCTCTGGGGTAAAAAACACACTTACTTCCTGAACCTCAGGATCTTGGTGAAAGTCAGTTATGTTTGTATTTCCTGCGTTGAACTCCAGTTTCAAGTCCAGGAAACGAACCTTCCGATGCTGTGACCTGTGCCGCTCCAAACGAACCAAGTGTGATATCACAGGCGTCAATTTCGAAGTGGAGGGATGTGGGAACTGTCGAAAACATGGCTGGAAGTGCAGTTTTATCAAGGAAAGGACCGTCAAAATCGAGCCAACCGACGATTCCGTAGATAGGGGGTCTTGGAATTTCAATAGTGAGCCCATAAGTTCCCCGGTGCCACTGTTTGAAGAGTTAGTTCCTAATGACATGAAGAAGGTCAACGTTGACTTCTTGAGAGAGAAGTTTAATTTCCACACGTCAGCTTTCAACTCAGACTCGTCGTACCAGTACGTGTACCAGGAGCATCCGATGGCCATCATGAATGCCAAAACCAACGATGATCTGGTCTGGCACCAGTCAGGTGTGGTAGTGGACATGGACGCCAAAAATTCTCTGTATAAGCTCCAGGGCTTTGGAGGTCGCCCGGTGACCAACCACATTTCCAACAGGAACACATACAAGTATTTACTTCTGATTCATGCGTTCACGCTTTCAAGTCCGGAATTCACCTTTCGTGACAACGAAGTCACCAAGCTTTTGGAGATCTACTTTTTCAAGATAAACTCCATATTCCCCATAGTGCACGAGAAGCGTTTCTGGGACGATTATAGGGAGAACAAGGCCAATTCGATCTTGAAGTACGCCATAATATTGGCAGTACTGCGTGACAAAATGGCGGAGCCCATCTTACGGCGAGTTTTGCTTCGAGGTAAAAATTTCTTGAGCCAGTCTTCAAGATCACTTGACCAATATCCAGAAACGGAGTTTTTGGAGGATTTCAATTACTTTTTAGAGGAGCTAGAGACAAAGATCCGCCAGATCAACCTCATTCTTCCCAAGTTGGGAGATGTCGAAAAGCTCACCAAGCTCGTGGTGCTCTTATTGCTCACAATGCATTACCGAGCAGACAGACTTGGTAACGAACAGAACTCTCATGATTTAACCGCGGCTATCAATTTGGGAGTTTCAATGGGTATTCACATGAAGCCTGAGAATTCCATTGTATCGGAAGAACGCATCAAGTACTCCACCAATCTTTGGTGGTGCTGCTTCATTCTAGATCGCTTCAACGCCGTCACCAACAGTCGATGTCTCTTTATCAACCAGGACGATTTCAATATTGATGTTCCTTACTCTAACATTAATTTGCTAAGGATGGTGCAAAGGGCGCGTGTATTAGAGAATATGTTGCTGACCATCTACCGACCCAACATCCGAGCAAACAATCTCACTAGTGATGTCAAATCACGGTTAGAGATTTTCAACTTGGATGAGTTTCGGGTCTCTGAGTTCGACTACTGTGATAAAGAAATTGCCTCGGGCTCGCCGATGTTCACCACTCCTCCTGATACAAACCTTTCAAACGAGGACTTGGAAAGGTATGTATCTGATACAATGAGATTTATGACCCGAATTATCAACAATTTGGTAATTATAGTCTCACAGAAAACAAGATTTAGCAACCCTGCGATCGATAATCTGATACCTCGCAAGGACATGATCAAGGCCGGAGCCAATTTGCTCTGGTACATTAGACAACTTGACGAGAGGCTCATGATCAACATTCCAATGATCACATGGGCTTTGAGCATTTCTATGGCGTCGTACTTGAAGGTGCAAGCCATGTCAATTTTGCATAACAAGGCAAAACCGAATGTCGAAAGCATTGTTCCTCACTACGAGCTCGAAGACTTCTTGTGTGAAATGAAGAAGTACAAGGGTAAGTGGTGGATTGTAGATGAGCTCTATAACTTAACCAGTGACTTCATGGCCAAGCTTGAGCTGTCTTCAAAGAGGAATGGAGAGCATGAGTTTACTCTCCCCGAACCCAAAAGAGCTAAGACTGTCTCTGATACTGAGAATGTCAAGTTGCAATCAAACGTCCTCTCTCGAACGCTGTCCATACCATCGATTCAGAACATTATCCATGCATCCAACAACTACAATTCACCCACCGATATTGTCAATACGTGGGAAATTTCATCGGTTAGTACCAACGAGTATGACAAGTTCTTTGAATCCATGCATGTGGATATCTTCGATAATGAATTCTTTAAAGACTTGCCGAATGTCATCAATACGTTATAACTACAAATCTGCATCAACCCAACCAACTTCATATTAGCTTCTACTCTTCATCGCTGACGATCTCGTCTTCCCAACCTTCTTCATCATCGTCATTTCTTCTTTCTGGCATCAACTCTGCCATCACAGGCCCGCCAAGCTCCTGCAACATTTCATTGACCTGGTCAACCACGTCTGGATCCGAGGCTTCAGCATCAGCACTGTTGATGACCCTATAACCTTGAGTAAGAGCCAGTTTGGCCTCCGCAATGGCCGCCTGAATTTCTGGGTCTTCAGATTTTGCTACTACAGCTGCTCCCAACTCTCTATAGTCGTCCTCAGAAGGATTTTTGTTGTGGTATGCAAGCTTGGCCTTCAAAAGGTGGCTCAATGCTTCGTAGTAGAAACAGTCCAATGCATTATCGTTGATGTCAGCCACGCTGGAGCAGATAGCTGGAACTACATCATACATGGACAACTCGATGGCAAAACGAGCAAGGCCAAGCAAAGGTTGAACCAATTCAATGTACTCGAATGAAGCCTCCTCTCCACCTTCAGCCTGGTTAATCTCCAAGTTCTGTTTCTTGTGCTGGAAGTGCTCCCAAGACTGGAGCAACGCATGTCTTGCATCGTCATTTCTTTGCTGGGAAATACGGATCAGCGCCAACAAGGACAACGCTTCCGGGTTGGTGTCGTCTAGAGCTAACGAGTGCGAGATCAACTTGTCACACTGGTCTTCGGCCTCAGGCTCCATGCACAAGTCGGTCATCCAGATCTCGATCTCGGCGAATATGCCCTGGTTCAACTTCTTTATTAGGTACTGTGACAATTCCTCTGAGGTAGGGTACACCTTGGCCAATTCCACCAAGGCTGGGTCGTCCTGACTGTTAGAAGCGACCTTTTCCAACTGTGTCTGCAACTTGGCGAGAGCAACGTCCAAGTATTGGCAACCGTCACGGCCACCGATAATCTGGCCCAAGTATAAGAATTTGTCGACGCCGTGATTTGCTTCGGGGTCTATTTCAACTGCTTTACTCAAGACGGAGTAGGCAGACTCGACGTCATTGACTTCCAAGAGAGCTTGACCGAAGAGCTCAAGGACAGCGGGATTTTCCGGGTTTTGCGTGGCTGCCGGCGCCAACAAGTCCAAGGCCTTCTGTTCCTGGGAGCTCTGGAGGAGGGCACGGGCTCGCTGAAGGATGGTATCCATGGTATGAAGAAATGAGTACTAATTTTTCGCAGTGCGGTGATGAGATGAGGTGGAGGGGATGGATGGAGATATACGGAGAAATAACCAGGGAAGATAAATACAGGGAAAGGCAATGAATTCAAATTCGAAGAGTTTTGCCAAGTATTGAAATTTATTCGAAATTGAAAATTGCAAGAGGATTGGGAAAGGGTGAAAGAGACATTGCTACTGTGTGGCATAATACTCAGTGTAAAGGTGGTCATATGATCAACACATTGAAGTGAAGAACACATTGAAGTGAACGACCATAACAACTTTCGAAAAGAAATTGATCAATTTTGGCTCGAAGTGTCTATATTGATTATCATTTTCATTATGCGGTTCTATTGTTCGTACATGATGAATCCTACTCAATCTCCATCTCTCTGTGCATTCTCATCTTCAACGTCATGTCAGCCCCATTACCCCCAGATAAACTTGCCAAGCTCGAGTCCGAATACGGGATTCTTCACCTCATTTACTGCAGAAGTAAGAACCAGCACCGTGTGGCGGTTTGGTGGAGATATTTTTCATTGGTGCATCGAAAGGTCAGAACGATCCTAGTCAAGTTCCAGACCATGGAAATCACAAGGCTGCTAAAGAAAAGAGAACTGCTACGGCAAGAGGCTATAGATACAGCTGCATATCTTTTTAAAAAGAGGGTTTTAAAGAAGGCTCTTTACGAGTTCCACGGAATCATTGCATTGGGCCAGTTCATCAACTTGGGCATTCTACTAGTAGGAAATGTCAGTTCTATTTACAACATATTATCAGAAATGGATGAAGTTAGTGACAAGCTTAGTTTGGTGGGCCCAACAAATTTGGTGAAATCAGTGGAAGAGGATGATGATGATATGGGAGTGGAAGTGGAGATGCCTCCGATGAAGAAAATATCCGAGAGTGAGACAATGGTACGAGTCACTGAGACGACTTCGAAATTGGGAACAATTTCAAATACGGATCTAGATTCAGAACCAATAGTGGCTCCTCCTTTCAAGGAAAAGAAAGAAGAAAATTTTGATATCGACAGTATTTTCGGAGACGATCGCAAGAAACATAAGAAGGCATTGAAAGGTAAGAAAGAGAAGAAGGACAGAAAGGAAAAGAAAACGAAAAAGAAAAAGAATGCCATGGATGACATCTTCGGTTAACTACAGTACTTTTAAATTCGGCATTTCATACACCATATATATATCACCATTATCCCATAATACCAATCCCAAAAATCAATCATAACTTTTTTTGCAAACATTTAGTTGTACTGAGGAACAACCTGCTTCGGGTAGCTGTTGAAACCGCCCAAGGAAGGTGCCATCTCGGAAAATACGGGTAACGGTTGTTGAAAAGCAAACGCTCCCAACTGGTCCGTATCGAGACAAAAGTCGTCGTCGTAGTCGTCATCGGCCGGAAGGGCAAATTCTGGCTGCATGACTTGGTGCAGCAACATGGCTTGTTGCTTGTAAACGGACTCTTGCAATGATTGCTGGGGGATTTGGTGAGGGCCAATGGGCGAGCCAACCGACATTGTGGGTGAGTGGTTGTACTCATAAGAATTAGAACCATGAATCGGGGTGTTGACAGAGTTTGGCGTGTTTAATGATGGCAGTTGGTAGTCGCCAGTGACAACAGACCCTGAGGTACCAGCTTTCAACTTCTGTCTTTGTTCTTTGATCATACGGTTCATTTGCTTCTTCAATCTATTCTTGATTCTGGACTTTCCCTTGAACCCGAGAGGCAAGTACTTGCACTCTCCACCTTCAATATGAATCTCACACCAGATCTCTCCGTTTTCAAACCACTCTCCACACATGGAACAGTTTCCTGGGGACAGGTTGCGGCTCTTGATGGATGTGCCTTTAGGGTAACGGAAGTGTCGAGACTTCAAGTGAGTTTTGTAGGTGTCTCTTCTGGAGAAGCCTCCACTAGGGTGACACTTGTGGGTGATATCATTTTCGTCCTTGTAGATGGAAGACTTATGGAACGGACACTGGTAAGCTTTCTCAGCGGCATGCTTCTTCAAGTGACGAGTCAAATAGCCCCTCATCTTGAAGCGAGACAGACAGTGAGGACATTGGTGTACGCCGGTGCCATCGTCACCCTCGGCATCCTCATCTTTGTTCTTATCATCTTCGGAAGAAGTGGAAGAAGGAGTGTTGACCTGGGGCAGAGTGGAGACGGACACCAGCTTCTTGTTGGAGATCAACGAGTCGTTATTGGAGGAGTTGGAGGTAACGGGTGACAAGATATCGTTGCTCTTGTCCAACTTCAAGTTCATCACTTCAGCGGACTTGAATGCATCCAACTCGGATCCAGGAGGCAACTCGTCGGTGAAGGCCCACTCGATCTCACCATTAGAGTTCTTGAAAGGTAACAAGCGGGTTGTCAAGCCGGTGGAGCAGGGCTGAGGAGCCTGGGAGGTGGAGCTCTTGGAGACTGTAAATGGCTCGTGGGGAAGTGCAGAGGCGGTGTCCATGGAGGGAAACAAGCCGGCGCATTCAGGCTGTTCGACCAGTTTTTTCTTAAGCTTTTGGGGAGCAATATTGTCGTTTCTGGTAGGAAGAATCGTCGACAACACCAAGCCGAGGAACCAGAACAAGGGTCCCACTACGGGAAGGAGTGCCAAGTGCATCACCCAGGCAGGAGTATTCCGCCTGAACGGCTTAGTAACTTCAGACATTAGGATTGAATTCGTTGAAGGATTCGAGGAGACGGCCAGGCGTTTCAGGATAATAAAAGGCAGCAGACTAGGCAGTACTGGAGGAGGTCAGGCGCTGGAAGGAAAAACGTGAGGACGAGAGCCTGGTCAGCGACAAGTTAACGTGGGCGGGAAAAAAAGGATATAAAAAACAACTAACACTGGACAGCCGATGGCGACTGGAAGCTCGGGAACACAGAAACTAAGTAGGAGGATGTGATCACAAACGGAAACGTGGAGTTATGAGGGGGGGGCGGGCCAGGATTGTTTTGATGGATAGAAAATAGGTAAGTTCAAATAGGAGATTTTTTGCGAGTTTTGCTGTTCAGACAAGATAGGGACCATGACCGATAAATGGGTCATGCACGACGTTTTTTTTTTTTTAATTGTATGGGAGGCACAGGTTTCATCCCCAGGGCAAAAATGCGTATTTCCTGCAGGATGGCGCATTAGAGTGGGCGAGGTGGAGAAAGGCTTGGCGCAAGTGGCATGGAGGCACAGGGCATACTAGTAAAAACCACTTCGGGGAAGAAGAAGATCATAGTGAAGTTACATAATTTGAAAGACTTCATTTCCATTAGCAGGGTTTTCATGTTATTTTTCTTTTGCAAAGTGGCATTATTTGATGGTTGGGGGCATTGGTACCATTGGGCGTGTGTGCATCACCACTAAAATGAGGTGAGAAAGGTCGGGTTTCTTTTGCTGGAAGTGGATTTTGACTGACTCTCCACTCCTCCCGGGCACGTGATGTCGGTGTAACACCTTACGAGGGTGGGGGATCCTTTGGTCCTGTACCATTTTGATGCTGTGGGATCCTCCTCCCAGACCGACCTCAACCATAATTGGCTTTTGCCCATTAATTCTCGACCATCACCCGAACAAATGTGAACCCCGCTATTTTAACGATATAAGCGACCCGGCGCAAAGTAGCAACCACAGACATTGAGTCATTAGCGACAATCTCATGGATTGGCTGTAGGTGAAAATGTGTAGAGAGAAAGACTGATCGACTGATCGACTGAAATTAGACTGAGTCAGATAGTCAAAAGTGTGGAGAAAAATGCAGAATGTGACGGGCCGACACAGAAAAATGACCTAAAATTCTGACTGAGACATCGAAAATGACAGTGAATGTAAAACTAGATGAAACTGAATGAGCTGAATGACACTGAATGAGCGGAATGAGCTGAATGAAGCTGACTGGCACGGATTCGTTGATTGATTGACTGACGGAATGACTGATTGAAAATAAGTCATTGATTCAAAGTCATTGACAATCATCATTTTCCACTCAATGTTCCAGCTCTCGGCCAAAAGGCACAACCATAGCCAATTGCCTGACACATTCACAACCATAAATTGCCGATATACATCTTGGTGTCAAAATTAAATTTTCAAATAGAGGTCAACGGCACTCCCATGGGCTTTGAAGCGTGGTCAGCATTTCTAGAATTATAGACTCCTCTTTTAGAAATGCCTCTCCATTTTCAAGTTGGCCGTGAATAATGCCTTCTTCCCCATGTTGTTTGGAGCTTTGGCCCCGATACAAGCATGGTGTCTTAAATCAACAATAAGCACCAACTGGAACATTGGCACTGTGCAATGTTGATTGTCAGGATTCACCCAACAAGCTCAACCCGGCCAACGAAGGATAAAACAAAAGTCAGATTGACAACGGAACATCCCAATTCCACTTTTAGACGGTGATCTGTATACGATCATATCGAGAGTTCGTGCTCATTGAAAAAATCCATGATGCTAGGGACAAAGCTGGTCTCGTTGTTCACCAACTCTGCCAAATGGTCAATATCGAAATGAATATCGTCACTGGTAATCGAGTCTCGGCTACTGAAGTATGGGCCTGGCACAGCAGCATCATTCATGATATCTCCAGTAGATGCCATGTTTCGGATTTCCTGTGCTCGGTATGCTAGATCTTCAGCAGTAGCAAAGGCTGGCATGGAATAGTTGCCAATCATTGGTGGAACCAAAACTTTCATGTTCACCAAACTATCCAGATGATCGTTTCCTTCCAAAAGCTCGTCGGAGCTCACCTCATCATCGTCATCTGACTCATTCTTGGTGATGACTTCGTCGTAGAATCCTGGAGATGTGATGGAAAGCAGAGGAGGCAATACAGTCTCGACATCGGTTGCCCCTGTGACCAACGAATGGATAGAAAGACGTTCTCTCTTTACCTTAGGCTCGTCGACTTCGGAATTCTTTCTCTTAGCCTGTTGTGTAACCACTTTGTCGATGTTATTCACCTTCAGGTTGAGATTATTAATGGATGCAACCACCTCATTGACAAACCACCATTTCTCTGCGAATTTCTTTAATTCTCGTAAGTAAATCAGAGAAAGCTCGCCGACTTTCTGCAACTTTTTAATATCGATCGCCATGTTCTCGATGCTCTTCAATTTCGAAATGATTCGCAATCTAGTGGTGAGTGGAACCGAGAATGCAACCAATGCAATCAGCGGAATAAGTGGCGTCTCCATCATCAACTGAGATCCTCTTCCATCTCTCAACATATCTAGTAATGATAAAAACGATTCGCTTAGATTGAGACTGAACTCGTCCATGTCCGGTGTATCATTGGAGTACTTGACCTGACCAGTACGCAAGATCAACACAATTTGATTATTCAAGATTCTTGAAAGAAAAAGTACCATTCGATCTCTGTATTCTTCCACGGGAATTCCAGGAAGATGGCCTTTCTGCGCAGTTTCAAATTGTCGATATTTACTAAACTGGGCTTTGAGTTCCTCCAGATCCTTCACGACCTCCATACCCTGCTCAATGAATTGGCCTGGACGGAACTCAGGATCTCCTTCCAAGGTGTCCATCTTTGCGATGACTTCAGTGTTTCCAATTCGCCGAGGGGGACGGAACACAGCAATTAAGGTGTCTTCAAGAGAGTACGCAAGGCCAACCAACTTGTCTAGGTGCGGCAAGTCTGTCGGACGACTGATGTTGAAGTCAAGACGCTTAATGAACATCGCTTTTCCATTCATGAGGCCGTTAAATCTGTCAAATGTGAAAATTACCCACCATAAATGTTTGAGATAAATGGACTTCTTCTGCGCACCTTCTTTGGCAATACGAACATGGAAGAACTCCTGGTGAATAAGCAAAGAATAAGCGTAACTGATGCATTCCGCGAGATCGTGACTGCTCTGCTCATTGCCGAATTTGTTGAAGTTAAAGTTTAACGAGAGGAGAAGCTGGGTTATCAACCTTGCAAGTTTTTCTGTGTCTCCTAATTCAGGCAAGAACATAAGAACCTGTCTGATTTTCATTTCGAGGTCAGTCAAAAACCGTATCTGATTTGCTCTGAATGAAGCACCGTTATTGACAAAAGATCTAGCCAAAATTGGTTCCGCCAACTCGTCTCGCGCAGTAATTAGTACAATAGCATATATGATGATGGTTGGAATCTTGTTGCGCTTGTACAACTCCCAGAACTCCTGCTCGAAAACAATGGGAAAAACCGAATTAATTTTGTAGAAATAAATTTCAAACAACTGCAACAAATCAGTCTCCGAGATCTCATAGAACCCTGGTGTGTTCAAGGTGAATGCATGCATGGAAAGGAGGAACTTGAAATGTGGAGCGTTGCGAGGCGAGAGCTTCTTGGTTTTGATATAGTGCTTCTTCGACAACACCTCGGTGACCGTCTCAACTTGCTGCGGGGAATTTTCCTTGCGACTGACGGTCTTGGAAAAGTAGAAGCGAGGCTGTCTCATGGTGGTATTAAAGTCATAATGCTTTTTGAGATACTTCCAATCGATGCGGTGAATAATGGTATCTATGCTCTCGATGGATGCAACGTACGGGGCCCCAGGGACGGTTGGAGGGAACGGAGGCGTGAACTGCCATGAGTCACTGGAGCCTAGTGAGTCCCTAGTGGAATTATTGTCGACTCCGGAGTGTCCAGAACCTTCCGACAACGTATGCTTGCGCAACGTATTATTGGCGGTGTTTTTGGTGGGTGTGTTGCCTAAATTGTAAGGGTCATGACCCATGTGGTCAGTAGGCATAGATCCAGAAAGTGAACCTGGGATAGATGGTGGAAGCGAACTAGGAATGGACTCAGAAATAGAGGGAGGAATAGAAGCAGGAATGGATGGAGGAATAGAGCCTTGAACGGATCCTGGCATAGTATTTCCAACGATATTTCCCATACCCATATTCTCCATCAGTTCCAGGATGAATGGCTCTTTCGACAGACGTTCGGCCACTTCGGCCAAAGACGATAGCAACGTCTGGCCACGAACGTCACTGTCTACCAGGGCCTCGATCTGGCTCTGAATATCTGAATGTGAGTGCATGTGGTATTTAGAAGCTTCGTGGGTGTAGTGGGTATGGCTGGCTTCATGGTGGGTCAGCACTGGATGATGATGCTGGCCATGAGTTGCTGTAAGAGCAGGTGGCGGGTCCCCAGAAAAGCTGCCGGCTCGACTGGCAGAACCAACAGAGCCATTATTAGTAGCGTGACCATTATTACCATTGTGGCCATTATTTACAATATGGCCAGCTCGACCAGGATTGCTAGTAGTCGAGCCAGGACGACTGACATGACTAATAGTCGAGCCAGCATGACTTGAAGGACCACTAGCAGGACGGCTGGTAACAGAAGGAACTCCGGAGTGTGGGTCTGAGTCAACACTACCAGCGGCATCGCTTCCCTCAGCAAGGACCACCGGCAAGGCAAAGTCCGGCTCCATTTGTTCCATCTTAACCTTGGAAGGTTTGGCCAAATCACAAGTTAGGCCCCGCAGGCGACAGTTATCGCAGCCATAGACATCATAGTCAGAATTCAGGATGATGCAGCGGATTCGCTTAGTCCGACACTTTTTGCAGCAGCGGAAGGTTCGTTTTCTTGTTTTGTAGTTGCTGTCGAATGCTGGGAACACGAACATGAAGAATAATGTGGGGGAGATACGTGGGGGAGGCCTTATAGGCAACAGACCAAGAAATAGTCAGAAAGCCGAAGTAGGGAGTACAGCAAACAGATGCACAGCAGCAAAAAGACAAAAACGAAATATTAAAGATTTCGGGAAAAGAGAAAGATTTCAGGAATAAAGGACCACGACAATGCAAGAAACGTTGGAGTCAGTAAGATGAGGTGTCGCACGCACCTGCGGGCGGAACCCAACCAAGAATACGAACAGGACGAATATAGAGAGAGTAAAAAAAAAAAAAACGAAAAGAGAAGGAAATAAAAGAAACGATATCGAGAAAATTGACAAGATCTACTCTTCCTTTTGGACCAATTTACACCTGACCACAAACATGAATCCAGTTAGGATTCGGCCTTGTACTACGGAATCCAGCACTAAAGATAGAAGATAGACTGACTGCGCACTAATGAGCCCTGATGAGGCCGTGGGGTTGTGGGGTTACCAGATAAGGCTGGGATGGGGCAAAGGGAGGGGAAAGTGTGTAATGAGAGAACTTGATGGGAAGGAAACAAGAGACGAAGTTTATGGGTAATTAAGTTGGGTAGAAGATGTTTAGGGTGAATCTAGGGAATTTAGTGGAGATTGGAGATTGGAGAAAGTGAGCATAGCGCGAATAATTATAGTGAAATGACCACAAAAAAATTGACAATAATAATGAGAATCATAAAATGAATGAAATTGACTAATATTGGATTTTCTCCATGGCGTTGTTGACAACAAATGTACCAAATATGGTTCCAATGGCAGTGTCGCCCAATTGAATGAATGGTTCGACTTTCCACACTTACTCATCCAGACTGCTAATGGATATGTGCCCTGGGATAACCGTCGGATCAACCTTCACTTTTCCAAATTGCTGAGGGGTTTAAACCATCTCCGTACATTCCTTCCATTGGATGACGAGACAGACGACACGTGAATGTCGGACCTTCGGCATGAACGGAGTGCAATAACTCCGGTTTTGCAACTGACAACTTGACTTTGAAGGTACTTTCGCTATTTCTTCGATTTTCCTTGATTTTCTTCGATCTTTTTTTTTTTTTCGGATGCATGTCCCGAAGTAGTAACCTAGACCAAATTGGATGTTGACACGGAATGGGGTGGGTTTGATTTGACACGGATTTGACGGATTGACTAGGGTGAACATAGACTTCATAAGTAGGTGGGCACAAGACCGAAATTAGTAGCCAACCCGAGTTCACAATATGAATAAGTGACGACACAAGACGACATGAGACAAAAGGAGTCGGTGATCTGCAGTGAGACAATACAAGTAATGAGGCTCGTTACGGAAAGTGTTGGGGCGAGCATTTCTATTGGGTGAACAGGGATATGTCTTTGTAAAAAAAATTCGGAAGTAGATTGATGTGAAGGTAGAGTGGCGATATTTAGAGTCAGAATGGCTACGTGGGTTAGTAGTGAAAATGTCATGTTATAGATCTTGAGCACAGTGGACCATCACATTCATGAGTCCATGAAGCTTATCTAATGAAGACAAATGTAGATAATTAGTAGAAAACATTCGAGCTCTTTTTCTTTTTTTTTTCTCTTATTCACTAATTGTTCTTGGTGCCATACGTATTCAATTTATACTTTTATCATGGATAATGAATAGGCTGGCCCTGGTTTCTTTCAATGTGACTTTGCTGGAAAAATTGATATCTGACTATTTTCTTCATTTTTCCTTTTCTTTTCTTTCTCCCTTTTGTTCTTGACGGTTTCTCTATTTTACGCATCCCATAGTATAAATCCTAATCATCATGGATATCATCAAGTCTTTTCAATCACATCTGGGCCTCCAATTAGTGCTAATTCTTTGTTTGGCCATTTCTTTCCGATCAAGTCATTCGTACCATATCACTACTTTCAAATCATTTAATTCGTTTGTCTTTTTTTTCTCTCTTTTATACTTTCTTGGCTTCTATTTGTATTACATTTTCTTTATCATACATAGTGATGATCTTCCTCACCTACATACCTCCCACCCGAATCTTTCACTTTTCCCAATCATGTGCATATGACCTTCCACCTCGACCTCCTTCTAATTCTTCATGCCTACATAGCCTTATACTCATTGCCATCCCCATACACCCCATCTCGTACACCTAGTATACTCATCGTATTTTATGTACCATCATATACCCCATCACTGTATAACTAATGCGAGCGAAAAAAAAAAAGTACAAACCATCCCATCTCATGTACGACTTGGTCTCCTTTTCCCACCCAGCAGTGGTAAAGATCCAAGATAAATATTGGTTCCATGAGTTCAGCGAAGATGCGTTCCCAGGCCAGACTTTTGGTCTCGAAATTAAAGAGATCCTCCACCACTCCAAATCAGAGTTTCAGGACATTCTTATCTTCAAGTCCACCTCATTCGGCAACGTGCTTGTGTTGAATGGTATCGTACAATGCACCGAGAAGGATGAGTTTTCCTACCAGGAACTCATCGCACATGTCCCCATCATGAGCCATCCTGATCCCAAGAAGGTGTTGGTGATTGGTGGAGGAGACTGTGGGGTGGTAAGAGAATTGGTGAAACACACGGAAAACGGCAGTGTGGCCAGCATTACCATGGTGGAAATTGACCAGCTGGTGATCGACTTGAGCGTTCGCTACTTGCCAGATATGGCCAAGCACCATAACCATCCCAAGGTTAAGATCGAGATTGACGATGGATTCCAGTTCTTACAGAAGTTGGAGCTTGTAGATGAAGCAGACAAGTATGACGTGATTATCACCGACTCTTCAGATCCTGAAGGTCCCGCCGAGGAGTTTTTTGAGGTCAATTACTTCAAGTTGTTGAAGAATGCTGTCAAGAAGGATGGAATCGTCATCATGCAATCCAGTGAGAATATCTGGTTGAACATCAACTACTTGGGCGAGCTCGTGCAGAAGGCCAAGAAGGTGTTTTCCAACGTGGAGTACTGCCAGTGTTACATGCCTTCATACACAAGTGGTCAGCTTGGACTTATTGTTGCAACGTGCGATGAGTCCAAGAACTTGAAGAAGCCATTGAGAAGATTGGATGAGGATGAGGAAGCAGAGATGTTCCGTTACTATAGTGGAGAGGTACACGAGGCTGCATTTGTGTTGCCTACGTGGGCTAAGAAGATTGTACGATAGTATTATTGCATGTCGGTCATTGGGTGACTGGGGTGCTTTGAAGCATTATAGATTCTGAAGTTTGGAGGTCGGAGGGGCCTTTTCGTTAATTGATATATATGATACTGGTTGAGATCTGCGGCTGGGCCTGTTAACGTAGGAGTTGATATTGTAACGAGAGATATCGAATAGATATTGAAGACATTAGGATAAATACGGTAATTCGATTTTAGACATTATTTGTCTATTGAGAATAAAATTGCATTGAATTTGGTGGCCGAGGTAGGTGTTGCAATATATAACGCAGTAGTAGGTGATTTAGAATGAGTTATTACTAGGATTTCTGGAAGTTCTCGGTTTTATAGGCAAATTGTGTGGGGTTTAAGGACATAATGATATGACTTCTTTTTCAAATTCGAGTAGTTATACATTTCTTTTTGTGCCTTCAGATTGGGGGATTTTTTTTAGGTTTTCTCTTCCCCTTATTTATCGGGTTCTTAAAATTGGAACATAGGGATAAAATTTCCAAACTGTTGTATTATGAGCCATATTTTGTCAGAAAAGTCCAAAAGTCCAAAATCCTTTTAAATCCATTCGAAAATTTATACCACCGAACTATTATACATCTTATCCTCCGAAATCCTTTCTGCTACTATTTGTATTCATTTATATTTATTTATATTAATGTAGAGAATGAAAACATTATATCAATTTATTGTTTTGTTACCAACTGGTGACAAAACAACAATCCTGCAGATAGAACACACAACACAGACTGCTTATCCCTTATTCAGAACCACCACAGAATAAAATTTTTACCTCCAAAAGATTTCTAGTCCGAAACTATCCTTGAAAAATCCCTTTTCTTCGCATCATTTCCCACTTCACCATTCAAATCCGCAATTTCATCCCTGTTAATTACATTCTCACGTGACCATATTGTGTCTCGCACGAAAAAGGTAGTGTCCTCCTCCTCATCCGTAACAAAATTTTACACTACACTACTACCCCAACACGACCTTCTAATCTTTTTGCACCCAATCTCGCACATGAGCCACGAAGAAGACTACACCACCAACATTGACGAGCAGTTGCTCACAGCAGTCAAAAATCAGGTTAACGCCCACGACCTCGACGATGACTCCCGGGTGAAGTTGGAGTCTCAAAAAGACCACCAAAACCTTCAACAACAACCACTGCAAGAGCAAAGAGCCGCCCAGGCTGCTCAGGCTGCACAAGCGGCACAAGCTGCTCAGGCCCAAGCTCAGGCCCAGGCTCTATACCACCATCAGCAACATTTGCACGATGTGGGTGATTCTGAGTATAACATTCAAATTCCCGAGCCTATAATCGATTCCAGACTGAAAATATATCCGGTGCTGGAAAACACAATCACCAACGAAGGTAACTTGATCACGCGTCCTTTCCCCGAGCAGATGTTCCACACTCGTGAGGAACTCAACGAGTTCATTTCAGAGTTTGCCCGTGACAACGGGTTTGGCATTGTTATCGCTCACCTGAACAAGAAGGCTATTTACTACACCTGTGAGCTTGGTGGCCGGTACCGCCACAAGAAGGGCAAGACTATCCAACAGCAGGAGGAGGAGGCTGCGGAGCGCCAGCTCAATGAGACTGGTACCGCGTATGTGTTGGAACCACATGCCAGAACCAAGAAGTTGCGGTGTCCATTCAGCATGACTGCCAGTTTCCGCAAACTGAATCTGATTTGGCTGTTGCGGACCACATGCAATGAGCATAACCACCCGCAATTGGACCCATTGCTGAACCATCCAATGTTGCGCAAAAGACTGGATGAGCTCAACTTGTTGATTCTTGACTTGTACAAGGTGGGCACCAAGCCGCTGCATATCGAGGCCAAGATCAAGCACCAGTTCCCCGATGTCCTTATAAAACGTGAGGATATTTACAACGAGATCCGTGGTTATAAGCGCAAGTTGAAGAAACAGAACAAGTACCTGTCTGCGGGTGTTGGAGCCAATGGTGTCAAGAGACGCAGAAACGCTGCGCTGTACCATCAAGTTATGGAGGGCGATGATGATGACGAGCATGATGAGGTTTTGAGTTACGAGTTGGAGAGACAGCGCCAAGAGGCAGAGCTCCAACGCCAGTTCCAGGCTGCAGAAGCTCACCATCACAACTTATCGCATTCACACTCGCTTGCTCACCATACCCACTTGGACGAGCAACAGTTGCAACATTACCAGCAGCAATTGCATGGTCTTCATGATGGAGACCATGGCGATAGCACCGCTGCAGCAGCCATCGCAGCAGTGGCAAGTGCAACTCATGGCAACGGCAATGGTGATTTGTCTATTGATAATATCGACAGTCGCTTGGTTGGTGAGTAGTTGACAAAGGACCAGGTTGACAAGACGAACCGATAAGACCAACTAGGACCAAGTTGACAATGCCAAGTTGGCAACAGAAAAAACATTTGGCCGTGTAATATAGTGTATACTAAGGACGGAATAAAAAGAAGAGAAGTCAAATGAAAGAACGTAGTTGAATGAAGTGATGCATTTGTTGTATTTACAATGTACGTAACAAGTCCATTGCCTGGGATCTTTCCTCAAACAATTTGGCTAGTTCGCCAACCTTTCTCCCTCTCACCACTGGCTTTTTCACGGGAAGTTTAGGAAGTTGAGACATTTCTGGAGCCACTTGAATGGATTTGGGCACCGATGGTCTTTCGAACTTATACTTCTGAGGTGGCCACTGTAACTGAACGTTGGATACGTCATTTAGAGTAGACTGGCGGATTTTTGGTTCACGAGAAAGTGGTGGATCTGAATGAGACACTTTGGGGCGATCTCTGCGTGCATCCACTTTGGTTTCTTCATTATTCACGCCCTTGATATTTCCCATTTCCTTGATATCATTTGACTCTTGATCAGCGATAGCCTGCTCTTTAGATGCTCTCACACTTTCTTCTTCAAAGTCTTCTTCAACTTCCTCCTGCTCCACATTCTTCGAAAAGTCCAATGGGATGCCCCATTGATGCTTCGATGTGGGCGTCGTCTCTAATTTTATGGACACATCTAATTTCGAAAAGTCTTTCGAAACTTCAGAGACAGAATCCTTTCGATCTTTCGAGTCGTCCCGCAACTCCAACAGCAAATCGGAAGCGCTGGTCAAAACATCATAATGAGGGTTCCCGTCCTCGTCAGATTCACCTTCCATAGTAATGTCATACGACATGTTATACAGCTCGTCGATGGTTGCATCGTTGAGATCCTCACCATTAACGATGGCAGAAACAGACTTGAACCTCTTCAAATAGAGTGGGCGGATTTGGGGCCAGTTCAGCAATAAATTCTTCACAAACCGCACTGCCATAGAGATACGGTCCTTATTAATCTGAGAAATCGGCTCGTTTGTAAGGGCATGGCACAAACTTCTCAGGATGGATACATAGGAGTGTTTTGTTTGTTGGTTATCAACAATGCGACGACATAGATCCATGAGTTGGAAAAGCACCACATCGGCGCCAGTTTCATTGCCATATGCGAGAATGTGGTTGAAAATAACCAAGAGATAGTCCAAGTCGTCTCTCATAGGCAAGGTGATAAGATCCACTGGAACAAGTGGAGCAGGCATCTCCATCAAGATCTTCTTGAAGCATGACGCTATGCAATACAAGTCCCAGTCATTGATCCAGAGAACCTGGTTGCGCAACATGCAATTGAAGAGAATGTCGGTGTTCATTCTGTTTCCAGGTTTATGAAAAAGAAGCTCCACTTTGGGCCCATACATATCGACGATATTGAAGAGCTGGTAGAAATGGTGATAGAAAATCGGATCTGATTGGGCAAAAAACCGAGTAGTATCTGAAATGATGGGTTTTACAGGCGATGCCATGACAATGGTGGTACTGGTGGTAACCTGAGCATCATGCTTATATATGTTGAGCGAAAGCTTGAGCCTGGAAATGTCCACGTAATTGGAGAGTTCAGAAAGGTCGTCACATGATGTAAGAAGACTTTTGCCCTGTTTCTTTGTGTCGAAAAGCAGATTTAGCTTGGATAACGACGGTTTAGAAATGGCAAAATTGGCCAAAAGCTGAGTGATGGATTTCACGAACCAGCTCTCGTGAACGGCTATAATCTTGAGAAGATTTTGCACGTTACGGTCGTCGTCAGCCAAGAAGCTTTTCAAGAATTTGATGCCCCAGATCCACAGGATCTTGTTGAGACCTCCACTGAACATGATTACCACATATGGATGTGATGGAAGCGACAGCATCATGGTAGGAATGAAGAGTTCATAGTCAATATCATCTGTGGAAGGTAGGTATGACGTATCGAATACGTATATGGGAGCTCCGGAGTAGGCATCCACGGTGTCTGATTTGTAGAAGATTCGGTCCATAGTGGAATAGTATGATGAGTAGCGAAGGGACTGATTACACGTGAAAAGGACACACGGAGGCCGTAATGTGAGTGACTCAGATAGAGTGGTCGAGTCAGGAAAGTAGGTTCGGTGAGTGAAGTGGTGTTCGGTGGAGTAGTACGTGGAATAGTAGGTGAAGTTGATGAATTATACTGAATATAGGCAGTGTAGGTGAGTGTATAGGAGAGAAGAAGAGAAGGACGGAAAAGGCATAAAAAGGGAGATTTATGTGTATTTGAGAGTGATTGAGTTAAGAATAGTGATTACTTGGTATATATGTCGTGGTTGGTAGATAATGGAGAAGTTGAAGACGTTAGTTGCCTTTTCCAGATTGGGAAGGAAGGTAAATACGAGACGTGTTAGAGAGGAGTTGGAGTGGTGGAGAGGTAGAGAGGATGTAGATATTAAAGGAGAAGAAATGAGGATGCTTTGAAGATTTGAAGATTTGAAAATGTATCTATTAAGACTTTTTTCTCTTCTTTCTTGCAGAGGTTGATGAAGTATTAATGATGTTTGAATTGCTTGTTTGATCTGGTATACGATCTCGCAGCCAGTTTTGAAGTTTCCCTTTAAGATTTGGCTGGACATTTCAATTTGAAAGTTAGCTTGCGAATGGAAAGGTAAGTTGATATTAGAGGACAATTTTCATTTGTAAATTAACCAAATGATACTCGGGGCTGTGTTGTGAGCCATTATACTGGAGGCTAGGATGGTTGTTGCAAGATCCATAAGTTACCATGAGGTGAATTATTACGAGTTAGAAATTAATCAAAGGGATATGCATTTTAAAATAATTGATCAGGAGTTAGTTGAATCTGGAAACTGATCGTTGTATTTGCTGATTGGGGTACATTGAATGGAAAGGAACCACCACTTTGGTGATCTAAGACAGAGATTTCAGACCAGCGATTGAAAACAGAGATTTCGATCCGACAAGAAGAGGTCGGAAATAAAGTAAATAATTCTGGGTGTCAAATTCCCCTCCACTGAGCTCTTACAGCCATCTCTGTCATATCAGAAAGACTAGAATGTGATAATGGGATACTGATCCTCTGACAGAGGATCATACTACAAGAGATTAGATAAACAAGGATTGGATAAAAGGTCTTAATCATGCCTTCTTCCCTATCTTCGACCAATCCATTCGTGTTCAAGTCTCGGTGCTACTTATTAAGTTGTCTTAGTGAGAATAGTGTAATCAGACAAATGCAGAAACATCAAGAGAATACCAACGGAAGAATAATTTGAGCAGAGACACAGTTCAATAATACCTAAAAAAAACTCAATCATCAAATGAAATAATTCCAATGGATAAACTCTACATCTGATATCTCCCGGGTCTTCTTCGCACTTCTTTAGGCTCAGAAAGCACAAAATAATATCCACACCAAATACCACAACAATGCCAAATTTCATCATTCTTCCGCTCTAAAATTTTATTTACCCATTTTCTTCTACCACCAAATCATCTATACCACTGATCCTTCCAAATTATCCACCAACTATACTCTTGGAATATATATCGCACGTGATTTAAACGCACGTGATGCGACAACCACCTCTTTGCCACAACCTCGACAACTATAACCAACATCATTAATCATGGCTCCATCTAAAGAGGCACCTACCTCCGAGCCAGAAACAAAGAAAAAAGCCCCCAATGCTGAGGAAGAACTCAACGAGGAAGACCAGAAGTTGAAAGACGACTTGGAGCTTTTAGTGGAAAGATTGTCGGAACCAAACCAGGATCCAAAGTTATACGCCCAATATTTGAACACAATGAAGACGTTTATCAAGGAATCCACCACCTCCATGACTGCGGTACCTAAACCATTGAAGTTTTTGCGTCCACATTACCCATTGATGACGGAATTGTACGAGAAATGGCTGACTTCAGACCTGAAGTTTCCCAACGACCTTTTGTTGCAGTTTGCCGACGTGCTCTCGGTGCTTGCAATGACCTACTCAGACGCTGGCAAGCGTGAGTCCTTGAAGTACCGTTTGTTGTCGTCCGACGACACAATTGGCGATTGGGGCCACGAATACATGCGTCATTTGGCTTTGGAGATTGGTGAGGCATACCAAGAACGCTTGGGCTCTGATGAAGTATACATTGCCCGCTTAGTGGATTTGTCTTTGCAGATCGTGCCATTTTTCTTGAAACACAATGCCGAGGCCGACGCCGTTGACTTATTGTTGGAGATCGAGCACATTGAAAAGTTGCCCCAGTTCTTGGACGATTCCACTTACAACAGAGTGTGTCTCTATATGGTGAGCTGTGTGCCCCTCTTGGCTCCTCCAGATGATACGGCATTCTTGCACACGGCCTTCTCCATCTACTTGGCCCACGGTCAATTGACCCAGGCATTGACTTTGGCCATTAAATTGGACAATGAGGCCTTGATCAGCCAGGTTTTTGGACTGACTGAAGATGCCTTGGTGCACAAGCAGTTGGGATTCATTTTGTCACTGCAGTTCAACCGTTTCAAGTATCCTGGTGAAAACGATGAGGTCCAAGAGACCATTTCCAATGTCAAGTTACCCGAATTCTATGCCTACTTGGTTAAGGAATTGAACTTGTTGGACCCCAAGGTTCCTGAGGATATCTATAAATCACACTTGGAAGATCTGAAGTACTCGTATGGCCCAGGCTCCATTGACTCTGCCAAGCAAAATTTAGCTGCGTCCTTCGTTAATGCCTTCATTAACTTGGGTTACGGCTCCGATAAATTGGTCTTGCAGTCTGGTGAAGAAGAGAGCAAGTCATGGATTTACAGAACTAAGGGCGCTGGCATGATTTCCTCCACCGCATCCATCGGTTCTCTCTACCAGTGGAACATCGATGATGGTTTGCAGGCCCTTGACAAGTACACATACTCTTCTGAGGACGAAATCAAAGCTGGTGCTCTTTTGGGAACCGGTATTGTCTCGGCAAACATCCATGACGAGGCCGAGGCTGCGTTGGCTTTGTTGCAGGAATATGTTACGGACCCTAAGAAAGTCATCCAGGCCTCTGCCATCAACGGCCTTGGAATTGCCTTTTCCGGCTCTGCAAACACTGACGTGTTGAATTTGCTCTTGCCTTTGGTTTCTGACGTTGACCAGCCTTTGGAAATCTCATGTTTGGCCGCCTTGGCTCTTGGACATGTTTTCGTCGGTACCTGCCAATCTGAAATTAGCTCAGCTCTCTTGCAAACTTTGTTGGAGCGCGACTTCGTTCAATTGAGTAACAAATTCATCAGATTTATGGCTTTGGGTCTTGGTTTGTTGTACATGGGTAAGACTGAGATGGCTGAAGAGGTTTTGGATGTCATTGATGCTATTGAGCACCCTATTAACAAGACTTTAAAGGTGTTGGTAAACATCTGTGCATACGCAGGTACCGGAAACGTCTTGCAAATCCAGTCTTTGTTGCAGATGTGCTCTGCAAAACCAAAGGAGGATCTCGAAGAGGAAAGAAAACTCGAGCAGAGTGAAGACCAATTGCCTCAGGACGAAAAGGAATCAACAGATGCCCCGGCCAATGGCGACGATCAAGATATGGAAGATGTACCAGAGGTGAAGACTGAGGAGAAAACCGAGGTCAAAGACGAATCAAAGGATAAAGACGATACTACTGCCGAGGATGAGGAAGACGATGACGAGGAGGAGTTGTACCAGGGATTTGCCGTTTTAGGTCTCGCATGCATTGCCATGGGCGAAGATATTGGTCAAGATATGGTGTTGCGTCACTTCTCTCATTTGATGCACTATGGAAATCCGTTGATCCGTAGATCGGTTCCGTTGGCCATGGGTCTTGTTTCCGCATCATACCCTCAGATGAAGGTTTTCGACACACTTTCCCGTTACTCACATGACCCAGACTTGGAGGTCACTCAGAATGCTATCTACGCTATGGGATTGGTTGGTGCCGGTACCAACAATGCTAGATTGGCGCAGTTGTTGAGACAGTTGGCACAATACTATTCCAAGTCCCCTGACTCGTTATTCATGGTAAGAATTGCACAGGGTATTTTGTACTTGGGTAAGGGTACCTTGTCATTGACTCCTTTCAACATTGAACGGTCCATTTTGAACAAAGTTTCTTTGGCATCATTGTTGACTGTGTCTGTTGCAATGCTAGATCCAAAGCTGTTCATCTTGAGCGATTCTGCTACAGAAACCTCTCACCAATTGTTGTACTACTTGACTCCGGCAATCAAGCCAAGGATGTTGATCACTGTTGACGAAGAGTTGAATCCAATTAAGGTCAATGTTAGAGTTGGTCAGGCTGTGGATGTTGTTGGCCAGGCTGGTAAGCCCAAGACTATTACTGGATGGGTGACTCAGGCCACGCCAGTGTTGTTGAACTACGGAGAGAGGGCCGAGTTAGAGAATACCGAGGAATGGATCAGTCTATCTCACACTTTGGAAGGCATTGTTATTTTGAAAAAATCGCCAGATTACATGGAAGTGGACAACTAGCGTGTTTAGAATGGATTAATTTGATGTCAGTTGCGTAATATGACTCTATTGTATTGAACGTATTGATAGTTGTAGTAGCCGAGTGGGTTCATTGTAATTTTTACTTGAACTCAGGAGCCTTACTGCCCATCATCAAGCCAATAATAAGACCAAACAAACCCAAGACGGAAGCAAAAATCTCAATGACCAAGATCTTCACGAACAAAGAAGAGTCTGCTGCGTCACTGACGGCAGCGGTGGAACCGGTGACACCTACAGCAATTCCACACAACAAGTTGGAGAGACCCACGGTCAATCCAGCCCAGAACAATGCGTAGCCAGTATACAAGTTCTCTTTGGTGTACAAGGAGGTTTCGGGCACATTGGTGACTTTAGCAGAAAACACAATTGCCATGATCAATCCATAAATGGCGACGACCTCACAGAAAATAATGGAAATCAAGTTTTTAGTGGTGATTCTTGGGGTCTTCACACCAGCACCGAGGATGGAAGTACCAGTAACAAAAATGCCCCAAGCAGCACCAATGACAGAGAAGCCGATACAGCTGGCGATACCCAAGTTTGCCCACATGTAAGGGGAAGTGGTTTCTAGGAACTCACCCACATTGAACAGCTCACCCTGGCCCTGGAAAAGGAGATAGCCTCCAACAATGAGGAGCGAGAGAGTGACGATCGATGCTGACACTGCCATTGTGAAAATTGGAGGAGTTGAAGAGGTCATTTTATCTGGATATCTCCGACGAACAATTACAATCGAGATGTACGGGTGTGTACTGGGGTGGCCCAGTGGGCAGGATATAGCTAAGTGGGATTAGGAGCAGTATTTATAGTCAAAGGAGGGGCAAGGTGCATTTGCAGCCTTCTGGGGTATAAATAGAGCCATTCCCCTCGAAGTTTTTGCCTTCTCTTACTTTCTTCATGTCTTTTTCAAAGTTTTTTGGAGGGTTTCTAGTGGAATAATTTAGTCGCTCTTGACGTATTGAGTTTCCCACGATCTTAAACATAATAGGAATCAAGTAGAAATTTTGGAACCTAACCTAATCCATATATTACGAAAGACATATATGCTAGCCAGAAGAAGTCAATCCTAAATCTATAATAGAAAAAGGATAGGAAAGAATAGTGCTTTCTCTTTATATCTTCGCTTAGATTGACGTTTTTGCACACTTCAGATCTGCCTTCTGTACATTCCATCACATTATGGCCAAAAAGCACATACGTTTGGGAACACTTCTTTTCGTGGTTCTAGGGGCAGTCCTATGGGTCATTAAGACTCGTCAACTATCGATTTTGGCAACAACACCGCCGGTATTTGTGCCAGTTGAGAAATATGTAGTTGAAACAACGGAGACAGATGGTCGGAAAACATTCATCAAGGTAACCACCACCGATCACGCCAACGGTTGCCAGAAGAATGTTATAACGAGCACGAGGGCAAAGACTCAGATCGAAGACTCGCTTCTTGTCGTGGCACTGATTGCGAATGTCAAGTCATTTGGAGCGCACAGATCATTCAAGGACTTCATCGATGTCATCGGGACCTTGGAGTACGATAAGACTAAGATCAATTTGGCGTTTTTCTGTGGAACAGATGAACTCTTTGCTGAGGTTGATGCTTTCATGGAGAACTATTATACGTTGCAAGCTGCAGAACAGTACGGGAAGGTCACCATACTCAAGGCCGAGTTTCTTCACTCCACCTTTTCATCTTCTGACCACGACCATAAGATTCAGAGGCAAAGAAGAAGGCTCATAGCTCGGGCAAGAAATTATGCGTTGCTCAATTCCCTTGATTCTGAGCAGTATACATTGTTCATGGATGCTGATGTGATTCTGCTCGATCACCCAGATATGTTGAAGCGCTTCTTAGCCACAGGTAAGGATATCATAGTTCCTCGAATCGTAAGAGGAGGTAATGTTGACTACGACAAGAATTCGTGGAGAGGAAAACGGAGACGCCCAACCACCAAGCAGGAGCAGCTTATGGATGAAAACAGATGGGATGAATTAAAGTATGTGCCTCGTGATAAGAAGGGTGAGATGTTTCATTTTGAAGATCTTGTGAAGGAGCAAAAGAAGGGCACAGCTGAAGGGGCCAAAGTGAGTCTTGATTATATTGTGCCTCTTGACTCTGTGGGAGGCGCTATTCTCTTCGCTAAGTCGATCATTTACAAACAGGGCGTCGTCTTTCCACCATACTATATCATTGGCACGAATTGGGAACGTTACGAAGGCTGGGATGGAATTGAAACCGAAGGTCTATGTTATATTGCCAGAAATTTGGGTTATCTGTGCTGGGGAATGCCTAATTTAGTAGCTCAGCACTCCGATAATGACTGGATAGTGCTGACATTGGGAATGAACTAGTCTATTGATGGATTATCCGTTTTCCGCTTTAGTCTATTGGAGTGTTTTCCTGCTCAATTCCGCACATTCGGTACAGCTGCTAGATTGAGCTGCGTTTGAAGCCCGTGGGCAGGATATCTCCACATACAAATTGGGCCCCTTTCCTCCGTTTGTTCTTCATCGAAAATGTCTACTCTTCGTTGGGGAATCATTGGCACAGGTTGGGTCTCCGAGAAATTCTCTACAGACTTGATTAAGTTTTCCCCTTTCAACGAGACAGGCATCACTCATGTGGTAACTGCTGTTGGATCTTCCTCTGTGGAGAAAGCTAACAAGTTTGTCGAAGGTACCTTAGAGCCATTGATTCAATCTATTGGTATCGAGCATCCACCAATAACAGCTTCTACTTATGATGACGTCTACATCAATCCAGATGTTGACATTGTCTATGTAGGATCACCCCATGTGAACCACTTGGAGAACACTCTCAAAGCATTTGAAGGTGGAAAACATGTGCTCTGTGAAAAACCTGTGACAGTGACTGCTAAGCAAGCAAAGAAGATTGTGGATACTGCCAAGGAAAAGGATTTGTTCTTCATGGAAGCTCTTTGGGTGCGCTTTTTCCCGGCCAACAGATCTTTAATTGACCTCTTGTATGGACCTCAAAAGGTGCTTGGAGACATCAAGAAGGTCACGGCCAAGTACACCTATGTGCTAACTGATAAATTCAACATTACCCCTGAACACAGACTTGTGAACAAGAAACTTGCAGGTGGTGCTATGTTGGATATTGGTGTATACCCATTGACGTATCTTCGAATGTACTTAAACCCAGAGCTGGACCCCATTACCGACTGGAAAATCACTCAATCTGAGATTGTGTTGGATAGCATGACAGGAAAGGATGAGGATAAGGTGGACTATTCTGTGAAGGCCTGGTTTGAGTTGCCCAAATATGGCCAGGAAGCAGAGATCGAGGCAGGCTATTACGGAGGCACGCTGGATTACGAACATTGTGTAATTGAGGGAACGAAGGGCGTGGCCAAGATCAGAAATGCTGGCTTCCCGGGTACTTGGGAATATACAATTGAGACCGACGGAGATAAAAAGGTTACCAAATTCAACAACTCGGTCCCGAACACTCTCGGTTTCTATTTCCAAGCAGCTGCAGTCGGTCAAGCAATTGCTAAAGGAGAAAAGCAGACAGTCATAGCTCCGTGGAGCGACAGTATCGCTGAGATGACCATCGCGGACAAGATACGCCACGACAATAACTTTTTCTATCAGGAGGACTATGAGTAAGAGACAGTGTGGGGTGCATTGAGGGCCAGCCACTAGTTTATGTAATTTGCTACTGTCTGCATGTAAATAAGTGTGTACTTCAACCACAGCTCTTCTGAGATAGTTTCTCCATTTAGGTCGACACGGAATGCGAGCCACAACTTCCCGCGAACGGAATCAAAATCCCACTCACCCGGTATTACTAATACCGAGAGAGCTGTCATTTAATAAGATGTCACCGTTAGAACTAAATTTATTAACGTTGGTGAAGGCATGGAGAGTACTAGAACGGGAACAATTGATCTTGAGTTAGGAGAGAGGTGCAAAGCCGAAATAGGCACGACTAACTTGGAAAAGGTCAAGCTGAAACATGAATCTTCAGTTAGGATTACCTCACAAGCTCTTCAAGAGTCTTCTTCAGAAGAGTCTCAACTAGACCAGGTTGACGTCTACATTCCCGATGGAGGTGCCAAGGCGTGGATCAACCTTGCCGGCACTTTTGTGGGGTTGACTGGATGTATGGGGATCGTTAATTCCAACGGTGCGGTGGAAGAGTACATCTCACACAATGTGCTTCCCAATACCTCACAGTCCACCATTGGATGGATATTCAGTTTGTTCAATTTCTTCATGTTTGGGTTCATTCTCTTTGTTGGACCCATTTTCGAGAGTTATGGTTCTAGGATATGTATGGCAATTGGAATTGGCTCTTTCACAATGGGATACATGGGCTTTTCATCTAGTTCAAAGATGTACCAGTTCTTGTTGAGCAGTGCGAGTAGCGGATTTGGATTATCGTTTATGTTTGGTTCTAGTGTTGGTATTGTGGGACAGTATTTCAGAAGGCGTCGCGCATTATGCCTTGGTATCGTGTTTTCTGGAGGTGCTATTGGAGGCATTTTGTTTCCAATTATAATGAGGACATTGTTTCCCAAAATTGGCTTTCGCTGGACCATAAGAGTTGTGGGATTCATTATTATCGCATGCTTCGTTATTGAGGCTATTCTCACAGTTGACAGGAACGACGTTATCAACCCAGATGCGAAGAGCCAGAGTTTCTACCAGAAAACTTTAGGAAAAATTAAGCTTGGAGCTTTCAAAGAGTTCACGTTTTCGACTTTGGTTATCTCCATGATGTTAACTGGTTTTACGTTCCTCCTTACACTCACATACGTGATATCTTACGCTGTCGCTGCTGGCTACACCTACCACGAGGCCACCAACTTGGTCGTTGTGATGAATGCTACATCTATTGTGGGTAGGAGCTGTGGAGGATACTTGGCAGATAAATTTGGACGGTTCAATATGTTTTTAGCTGTTAACACCACTTGCACATTCTGCTTTTTGGTGCTTTGGTTGCCTCACCCTATTGCACACTCGTTTAAGGGTCTTATGGCGTTTTCGGCCATCTATGGAATGGCTCTGGGTTCCAACCTTCCTCTTGGGCCTTCTACCGTCGGACAGATCTCGAAAACTTCCGAATTCACCAGCAGATACGGAACTTCTAGTATGTGTAACAGTTTCATTCACCTCATAGGAGTGCCGATTGGAGGAGCCATCATCGGCCAGGGCAAAAACTTGAAGGGTTACGATAACATGGTGATTTTTATCGCATGTTTGTCGATAGTTGGATGGGGAGCAGCAGCAGCATCAAGGTATTCGCTTGCTGGTTTTGCATGGAAAAGAGTATGACTTGTATTGAGCAAGCACTCAAATTGCATTGTTGGAAGTTTATAGACTCAGGGAGAAGCGATTAGAATAATGTATTATGTTCGATGTAGATCAATGAACTCAAATAGGTGGGACCAAATGGGACTGGAATGAGGTTCGCAAATAAGATGATACAATTGATTAACGTCTCCATGGGACTTTGTATTATGCCTTTGCCCTGTTAAATAAAATCTACACTATTTCCATAGAAATCATGGTCAGTGTAACCCTCTATATTGACCGCATGAAGCCTGGACTTGTCTCCTCGCGTGAGCACACGCCAAACCGACCGTTTCAAGCGAAATTCCACGTACTCAGCCTCTTCGGTCTTATCCAACTTTCTCTTTTTTGTCTCGGGATCCTCTGATGGCTTTTTATTGAAGAAATCCACGAACCAATCTTGTTTCAACTCTCTACCATTAACCACCATCTTAGAATTGGCCAAGCCAGCCAAAAGCACCAACCGATTAGAAACAGTCACATCTTGTAAGTCCATGATGACCCTCTTAAAGACGGAGTTGTAAGTGTGGGCCAATTTGTTGGAGATGAAAAGCGTAGTCAATTGGGTAGTTCTGTTTAATACCAACTTGACCTCTGACTCAGGTGTTGACTCAATTTGAAGAAGAAGCACACGCTGTGGTTCTTTAAGCATATTAGGTCGCGTGTACTCAAGTGGTCTTTCATCATTGAGACCAGTTGAGACATTAGCAACGCCTCGACTCTGAAGATCATTCAAGTTGAGTAAGATCTCCATCAGTTTCATGAAAGGATTGAACACCAACTTATGTTTGAGAATACGCTGTTCGAGCTCCAAAAAGCGGTAGTACTTGGCCTCTTTCACCAAAAGTCGGCGATACTCATCGTCCTTAATCACCGAGGTGTTTCCTCTCAAAAGTTCTATAAGATCAGCAAAGAGCAACGGCGAGCGTGAGACGGCCGTGGCAGGTCTTTCTGGTGGAGGACGAATAATCGACTTTTCCATGATAAATCGCTTGTTGTCTGTGATGTGGCTGTCATAATTGATCAGAAAGAAGTTGGGGTAGTTGCCTGTTCGAACAAACAATTCTTTGGCCACCTTAAAGGATTGACCTCCAATGGAAGCAAAGATATCTTCATTGTTCAACTGTCTCTGGAGCCGTTTTAACCCAAAATAGTAGCTGTCCAGCCAGATGTGTACGAACTCATAATCGGACTCAACTGTTATATGGTATCCTTGCAAGTGGTTGTATATCTTCTCGAAGATGTTTGGATTTCGATCAATGAACAACACGGTATCTGCATTGTCCTCCTGGGAGAAGTAAGTCGTAAAGTATGACGGAGCATCCGACAGTAAAGACGCTCCACTCAATCTAAAGAGTTTGTAGCCTACCTGGATGAGATAGACTTTAGCATGGGGAAGAATGGGAGGAATTGCCGGGTCGAATTCATCGGCGATGGGGAGGTGGATGTCGGCCATTGACGTCAGAAGAAGTGCACAGGTCGAAGTATTTGTATTTGAGATGTTTGTGGAAGGTGTTGGTTTGTTTGTCAGAATTTGTATGGGTTAGTCAATTATTTGTCAGTGCGAACAGGCATGAAGGGTAATGGAGCAAGAACAAATGAGATGACGAAATAAAAATAGAAATATGGCCAGAGGTGAAAGATGGAAATTTAGATGAAAAAACCATTTGGAGTTGGTGAAAGTGGCGAAGGTGGCTGAGGTGGCTTAGCTATGAAGTTTCACTGTTGACAAATAGTATAAAATATACTGAGGAGTTGACATAAGTGACATGGAATAATCGACATGGAATAATCGAAAAATGAAAACTTTACATTAGAGGAGGTGAAGAATGGATCAAATATACCGTGTAGGGTTGCTATCTCTAAAATGATGTAACGTAGTTAATCAAGGTATAGGCGAAGTTCGTTGATGAAGTAGAAATTATGGACATTATAGTGATGAGGTGACAGTGCAAGGGAAAAATAAGCGACTTGCTTGAGTTACTAATAAATCTCAAATCTGCCTCGGGACCAGGGCCGAGATACAGCCGCACTTCCGAGGATGGTGTGATTATCCATACATTGACAGAGGGAATGTAGTGATAACTTTTGAATCATGGACCATTCATTGGAAGGTATTTGGGGTTCAGGATGTTATGGCAATGGATACTTTTCTTATATATGGTGTGGTGATAAATGTTGTGATTAGGGTGATGAGTGTTTCGCAGCAACTGAGATGAGGTCTGATTCAATAGCGTGTAATTCCGTCAGTAAGTAGGAAGATGATTTTGATCATGAACTAATAGATGAAATCTTTATTTCTTATAACTTTTCATGCTGTAAACGTGTGGTGTAGGTCACTGTAGGAGAGGCTGCAATGGCTAGATCGTTTAAGTGTGAGAACGGGAAAGCCAGGGTTGACTGTAATTGAAGTGAATCAGGAATCGATTGAGAATAATTGAGAGTGAAATGATGGGGATCATGCTTCAATAATCAAAAAAGAAATGCGAGACAAGTCAACATCAGTCAATAGGAGATTACTACATGGATGTTTGACCCGAAGTTGAGCAGACTAAAGTGTGTAGTACCACCGTGAAAATCTTGAGCACTGAAAGGTTGGATTCAGAACTGGGGAAAATCTGATGAGATAGATAAGGAAAACACGAGAATTTTAGAAAGACTGCAATAGCAAGAATTCTTCTCAAGCATTTATCGCAGATTTATAGTTTTATAACTTTTGGTAATGTAAACAATGTGAAGTCACTTACAAAGATTTAACCTTGCTAAAAGCGCCCCTTCTAGAATGGCTAGTTTTCGAAATATATTATAAAGCTTACATTTTGAAAAAGTTTAGAGATACTTTGAACTTCTAAGACACCTCATGCGCTTCTTTCAGAACCATATTCTCTCTGAAGATTTCGAAGTGTATTGGGCAACTAGCATCTCTACTCTGTCATCGTAAGCTCATTTGATTCTAACCATTCATAAATGCCAAAAGGTTTTCTGATGTGAAATATTTTCTCACTATATAAGTTTCAAATGCTAATACACTGCACATCTTGCGATTATTAAATTGACTATTATACGTTCTCACGTTTTAATCTTGCAAATAACATCTCCGATGGTCTATCTCTATTTCATCCCAAAGTAACAATTTTACTGATCAATTCACTAAATGATGTAGTGTTGCTTCACCAATTTTGATAATGACTTCACTCCGTATCTGAAGTCTACCCTTACTTCTTACAGTGACAACCAATGATCGTTCTCAAATCCAACTTTTTGAACTCTTCATTATATCTACATCTTCTAATTTCCCATAAATCACGTCGCCACGATGTTTTCCCTATCCATTAATCAAGTTTCTATCGCATCTCACCTTTATTCTCCACATTTCGCTCCTCCACATTGTCCTCCACATTACATCCTCTCATCTCGTCCTTAGTGGTACCTTCCCTGACGTCTTCTTCATGGCCAGAAGGTCCAGAAACTTTGACGGATGCTGGACGTGCCGACTACGCAAAATTAAATGTGATGCCACTCGTCCCATATGTCTCCGCTGCCGAAAAGCTAACCTTACATGCAAAGGCTACAGCATAGTATTGGCTTGGGCAGATCCACTCACCTTGAGCCACTCTGGCCACATGATATCTGTTCCCATGGCTAGAGGCTCTTCTCAGGATGACAGCGGTCTGCGCCGTAATGTCGATCTTGTGAAGTTTCCAAAGAGTCTGCAATTCGAGAGCTTTGACCATTTGAATAGCGTGGTGCTACTGATCGACGATCGTTCGAAAGACCTTGAGGTTGGCGCCTACTTTGATGGTCCATTCGGTGTATATGTGCCAGGCGAAAGTGCTGTTCAACCTGTGTCCATGTCTGAAACAACGACAATTGACACCAGAAGTGATAACACTGCAACTTCTCACCTTGGAAACCCTCCAGAATACAGAAAGGTACTTTTGAACGACTCTGCTACCTTTCCTAGCACGATTCGGACAGCAGTAATTCGTCCAGGTTCGGTTTCTAAATCCATTCCAATCACCCAAACACCTCTCGTATCTCATCCTCCGAGAACGGCACCTTCTCCAGAGGTGCTCGGCTACGATTATCGACTAGAAGAGCCGGAAACGTCTATTTTCTCTGAAACCGATAATTCCTATGTTCATTTTGATCTTCTTGACCTGGCCAAACTCACCATTTTGGCCATTAAAGGTCCACGGTTCGAATTTAGTGAACAAAGCATGTTTCATATTCTTTATCCTAAGTTTTTCCCCAATATGGAGTCGGACGAATGGCGTCCTGGTAGTAAGGTTCTTCTGAATTACTTTGAGGCTCAGAATGGCGGTGGAGTAGTATTGAAGCCACTTTTGGTGGAATCCTCCTCATACATAACGGCCGAGCTGATATCTTTTGTTCGGGTAGCCCATCCGAACAATCCATGGGACTTGTGGGTCGTCCCGCTTATCAAAACAGTCATTTATGAGCTTGTGTGTGAGGATTATGCCCGGAACTGTCATTGGCGGAACCATTTCATCAATAAGTCTGCCACTGAGGTGTCTCGCGATCTCTTGATCAGAAATATCAAGCTAGCGATCTTATGTATGGTGCTTTCATCGAGTGCTTTCCAGAAATCGCTGCTTAGAGGCTATAAGCATGCCAATGCCGTCAATTCCTACTATTTGGACGATGATATGCGACGCAGTATCGAACTAAGAAAAGTTGGTATAAATATGTTGAACTACCACTTGGATGAGTACGATAACAATTCGGAGTTTGAAGACAATGACGGCTATGACACTTATATGATGCTAGCGTTAATGTTGCAGGTGCAGCTGGATAATGCCTTCGGAGTATTTGAAAATTACGAGCTTATCTTTGCTATCGGTGATTTTATCCTCAATAAGAAAGCCAAGGATGCATTTTCTCCTGTTGCAAAGTATCTCCGAAACGTTTTCCATGTTATTAATATATTCTATGAATCCACTCAGGCAATTAACTTCTTCAACTTTGCCATTTCTGAAAAGGAAAGGAATCTCAAGTACCTGGACCTCAATGAGAATTATGATCTCATTCGAGACGACAGCAGTTACGATAAAGAAGATGATTTTGAATCAGATAATGAATATATTCAAAGAAAACATAAAGATATTCGAGTGGCAGCGCTGAGTGATAAGTCCCACCCATTTTCATTCACAGTTTACTTCAACAAAAATACTGAATCTGAGCTAAGTGCGTCGGAAGAACCAACGGAGGCGGAACCAAAAGAAGAAACTCCAAAAAAATCTTCTCGAAAACGTCAAATTCACACCCCTTTGACTCCACTGTTAAAAGATGCATCCATGTATGTCAGTTGGGGATTGCCAAAATCGTTGATTCAATTATTGCATGAGGTGACACAATTGGCCAACCATAAGAACGTTTTTCAAAGTAAAGGCGTTACACCTCGAAACTTTCCAAGATTATGTGCTGAGTTGGAAGACAAGATCATGAACTGGAATGTGGAGGACCACTGGAAACTCCACCACAACGAATTCAACCCGATCTCAAATGTGGCTACAAAAGTGTTTATTTCCAGCTTCCACGAGGGTCTCTTTTACTACGTCACTAGTTTTCAAAATGCGTTGTTGGTTTATTATAAACGATTGATACCCGGGAATCCTATCCAGGCTTACCAGGAAAATATTGAGAAATCATTGGAAGCCATGGAAAAATTGCTAGTATTAGATGTGAAGGAAAAAGTGCAATTTTCTCCATCTTTCTGGCCTTTGCTAATATGTGGATGCGATATTGATCTTCCAAAGCGTGTAGACTTACAAGAAAGATGCCAGAATCTCTGGAAATTTGAATGCTTCAAGAAGTACAATTACTGGCGGTCCAAACAAATCCTCTATGAAATTTGGAGCCGGAGAACTCAAGAGGGTGAGAATTTGGGATTCATGGACATGATCCGCGAGTGGGACATTGTGCTATGTCTCGGGTGAAATGGAGGTGGTATCCAAGTTGGAAACCTTATGTTGGAGATAGGATGCATAGGAGAATTCACCATTAGCGATTTTCTCATGAATAGACTTGATGAACTGGGGACTGAAGTCATCGGGAAGTGCCAATTCCGACTTGTGTGGTCGCTTTAAGAAGAACTCAGAATATGGAACCAAGAAGAAGAAAAGGGCTGATGGAAAACTAGACTTTTTTTCGAGAATAGTATCGTCGCTTCGATTTCCGGCAAACATAAGGCTGACGACGTTTGCCTTGAACCCAAGGTTGTACGGCGAATCATTCACACTGAATGCCACCACTTTTCTGGTTTCTGAATGGGCCACATTGATATAGCGGACTCCCAACTCTTTCCTGGGTATTCTTCTCCTTTTTATGTGGTCCTCCCCTTTTGCGAGCATTTTCTCATACCTTTCATAGGCTCGAGTCTGCCTGGTGGTGATGGCATCTAAGGATGTCCAATTTTTCGACAAGTAATAGATCAGAACAAAGTAAAGCGCCAGTATTGGCATTATCCATATCCAACAAAGCACGTAGAGTATGACATAGTGTGGTCTGCTTTCGCTTGACCTTGACCAGGCCAGTCTTGTTGAAACAGCAACAAAGCATAAGATGAGAACGAACAACGCATCGAAAAATTGGAGAAATCGGAAGAAGAAGACTAGATTATCCCGGCCAATAACTGTGCCTACCCACATGCAAAAATGATCGAATTTAGGTACACAATAATCCAAGTCTCCCAGGTGGAACAGTCGTTGTTGCTTAAGAGAGTTGCACTTTGGGCACCAGAACGGGAAGCCCTGTTCATCACATAGGAAAGCATCGGGAACAGGCAGAAGTGAAGAATCCGCGCCATAAATGTCAATTGGTCCTGTTTTCACGCATCTACCAGGTCCCTTGACGAAGAGCAATATCCAGTAGAGAAACATTGATGATTCTAGTAGACCAAACAAAACCCATAATACAATAGCTGCTGGTTTCAGGCGGTAGAGGTAAATCTCCTTATAGCCCACCACATAGCAAGTAGAATAGTCTATGTATGCTAACCCAAGGATCACTAGAGCACAGACACCCTTTTTGGCTACTCGTGGAGTGATCATAAGTTGTAAGACTCTGTGTGCCCCCACAGGTGATGATGCATGGAATATCCTGGTGTGCATATTCCCCCCACGACATGAGAATTGTTAATGCATAGTGGGGCAGTGTCAACAAAACCAAAAAACAAATGAGGGGCAGTTGAGCCAAAGATTAGCAAGGGATCAGCTAGCGTCAAACGCCTTGTCAAAGAATCTGTCTTATTTGCGAGCCATTTTTCCCGATGCAAAAACTGTCCGGATTGGGAAGTTATTCCGAGAATCGTAAAACTTACCAATAATTGGGGGTGCTGCCATAGAGTTAGGGGCAATATCTTACGTGAAGGGCGAAAATTGATATGGGATTATTCCAATGATTGCTAAAAAAAAAAAAAAATTCAGGATGCGGGTGAAAACGGCACCTGGAACCCAAAGTACATATCCTCAAAATGAAGTAGTGTCACCAGCGGCACAAAAGATTGCAACATACACTTAATTTTTCAATAGATTATTCTTGAATGATTACAAACAAACAAAATGGAGAAGTTCTCGTCGAGCCACAATAATCAGTGATTGCGCCGTAACCTTCAGCTCGAACGAGGAAAAACTCGGAGAAAATGGGCGGTTGCAAACCATGGGCCAATGCATTCATTTTGAGCCGTTTGGGGTGTGTGCTAGAGCCGCTCGGTATGGACGGAAATCATGCTAGGAACTCCCACGGAGTTGGCAATTGATCTGGTTTTCCCTAAATAAGCCCGACAGCATGATTCAGACGTAAAGAAAGCAAAAGTGTGGGGGAGATATCACTCTAACTATTTCAGTAGCTCCTAGTTGGTCATAATTACCAACACTGTATGCGCTTAACACACAAGTTGAGAATGTCGGAACAATTAGTTGGTGATGGACGCCCATTTTTCCGGAAGATCCCCACCATGTGTAGGTTCCAGTCTGAGAATGCGCTGGAGTTCCCAATTCGGTCCTTAAAGGTACATCCTGCACGTGACCCCAGGTTGTTCCTTTCATAAAATGGTCGAGCATATGCAATCATCCATATATGCACACGAAAGGCGTCAAGCGGGGGTTTTTCCGGGCGGTCATGCTATGACAACAACTGACATGGTTGGTCACATAACTTTCTCCGGTTTGCTAATCTTCCCCCGCCCCCTACATGAGGTGACGTTTCCAATATCAAGGTTAATTATTCTTATTTTTCTTCGCCTTGTTGATCTTCTCCTCCATTCTCAAACGATTGCTTGGCCACCAGTCACTGATCCTAGTTACTGGTGCCACCCCGGACCCTCCCACAGGAATGGTTCCCTCGGAACTTCCACCGTCTTGGCGAAGCATTGACCCGGTGGGTGGGTCGCGGGCACGTGACCACCATCCAATCCGGAGGTACTATTTCCCCGGTCCTCCACCCCATCCCCATAATTTACGATTGTGAAATCCTGCAGGTAGATATGCTCCGCGCATTTCACGGAGAAAATGAAAATCCGTAACACAACTTTTCCCCATTCTTTTCCCCATCTTTTTAAAAGTCAAAACCGCTACTACTTGTGGACCTGACGCCGTTTCCCACATCCCAACCCCTCCTCCAGTGGCTCGTGGTGATCTCTGTCTTGCGGATATTCACCGTTCCGCCAATTCGACCAACATTCCGACCATTTTGGACCAATCACCATTTCTCCCTCCTTTGTCAAAGTCATCAAAGCAGCTGCCGCCATGAACTCGCCAGAGTCGCTCCTGGAGACTCCAGACAGAAAGGATATGCCCAGAAAACGTTCCAAGGTGTCGCGAGCCTGTGATGCTTGCCGCCGCAAGAAGATCAGGTGTGATGCTGAGTACCTGTCAACGCTACTGAAAGTCACCAAAGTTTGTAATAACTGCTCGAAGAATGCCGACGAATGTACGTTCTCGAGAGTTCCTATGAAGCGTGGACCTTCCAAAGGTTACATCCGTGACCTTGTGGACCATATGGACAATGCGTACGGCTCACAGTATCCTTCCGGTCACCATACTTCTGTCATCAAGCTTGACCGTCCACGGTCGAACCTGGAGGACGTAGCCGCCGGTAACACTGCCTCCAACACCACTTCCTCTGCTCCGCCAGTCATCAGCGTGTCAAGCCACAAAGTCGGGACTCCCGGAGGCGCTCTGCTGGGGCAGGGGCTGATGAAGCCCATGTTACATCGCCTTGCATTCACGTCGCTGCCCGGAACTACGCTGCCCATAATTTTGCCGCCACTCTTGGGTCCTCTGCCACTGACACAGCCTGTGAAAGTGAGTATACCTGTCACCAATGGCGGTGCTCCAGTCAGTCCGCATGCGGCTGCGTTAGCACAGTCGACCCGATCGCCTGAAGGCACTGATCATCGTCCCGATAATCGCATCCAGGGTCCTCTTTGGAAAGTGCCATATGAGATGCCCTCTCTGCAGAGCGCTGGCCTGGCAGCATCCTCGCCGGGAACTGGCATTGGTAATGGCCTGAGTGTCAACAGCAGACGCTCGTCGGTGGATTCTGTGAGTCTGATTCTGACAACTGGTTCCCGGTCCAGACTTCCGTCTCTCAAGCCGCTGATGTCAGCCAATACCGAGCCGTTCGTTTCTGACCTGGACGACGATTATTATTCGGTGAGATCTCGTGCATACTCGGCCAGTCTCTCGCCTCGCAATTCGGTCAGCTCGATGCTGTCACTCAATGGAAGAATGAACACGCAGCTTGTGTTGAATGGCCCACCGGCACCTCCACCTGCGGCTGTATCACCAGCTCCATACCATTTCTCACCACAGGTAATGGTTTTCAACTCGCAACAGCCCCGCAACCATCCATTGGGCCCTCCAATCGCACCCATCCCACTCAATTCCATCGAGCATAACTTGCGGGTCTACTACAGCAAGTTCCATGCCAACTTCCCCATATTGCCTTCCAATGAGCTGCAAATGCTCCGACTTCTCTCCGCGCTCCAGGCCGAACAGGGCCCAACATTGCAGATTGTTCATTTGTTCAACTCTGCTCTCAACAACCTTGTGCATTACCAGTTGGTTCCGCTCGAAATGCTGATCGACTTGCTCCGTCATTTCCTTTCGCTTTATCCATTCAATCACCATGGCTTGGCTTCCAAAGATGATTTATTGCTTCTTCTGTTCCTGGCACTCGTGATTGTCAACTACACTATTCTCATTAACGGCGACGTCTATTCACTCGGCATTTCTTTGGCCTCCTCAGTATTCAACGACTTCAAAGTATTGGAGCATTACGCCGAATTCTGCAATTCGAGATTGCAGAATACTGACCCAGACGATGTTCAACTCCTCTTACCCCGCTTATACTTCTGTTTATCCATTATTGACAGTTGTCATAGCTTGAGCTTCGGTTGTCTGCCACAAATGGCTGGTACCTTCGATATGCTCTACAAATCTGTTGACAAACTCTTTCCCGCGGGTATCAGCTCAGCATCCTTCCGCTACAATATCCAGGCAGCAAGGATGCTCAACGATTTGGTCAAATTGAGAAGTCTGGGCATTTTTTCTTCATCGATGATTTTGAAGTATAATCCAAACTGGGGAGTAAATTCAGAATCATCTCCGTCCAACTCCCCTATCCAGAATTTTGCTGCGCTATTCATTAATCAAATCAAGGACAAGTACGAGCTATATGACTATTTGATTGAAAATTACAATCACCTTAAGGGCATTCCTCACAAGGATGTCTCTGAGGATGATATTTACGAAAACTTTTACGACTACCAATTCAAGAGCAGCCGGCTAATCAAGAAGTTGTCCCAATCGATCTTGAACTTTGCCAACTACGTGTCCACCATCTATTCCCAAATGAGATCTGCATCCAGCCCGGTCAATTATGACTTGATTAATCCATTCTTCAACATGAGCTACGGCCAGTCCTTTAAGTTGATCAAAGCTTGTAAGTTATTGATCGATTCTCTTCTTGAGCACGTCAGTAACAACGAGATTGTCACTAGGGCTGTCAAAATCAATAATGATTTGTCAATCGCATTCAACCTTTTGATGAGCAATCTCAATAATAACATGCCCAATGGAAGAAACGGCTTACCCAACCAAGGGAAAGCAAATGGTGCTTCCACAGCTCAGTTCTCGGAAACTTTGGATGCTTGTGGTTTGGGTGCCACTTGCGTCAATCTAATTATGAACAAGCTTGAACTTTACAAGTTAAATTTTGGTTCTTTGCCTTCTCCTGATGATGCTACCAATGGCAAACGCAGAAATAATCTCGAGTTATGGAAACAAGAGTTCATGAACACAATCACATCATTCGTGTCAAGAGAAGATATTGATGGCTGGTACTGATATCTAATGACGGCGCATGCTATTGCTACTTGACTTATGAGTGTTTTGGCTAATTCTTGGTATTATATAGCTTATATACTTTAGCTGATGAAGATAAAGATAAATGACTAATCAATCTTGATTTGAGAGTAGATAGTTCTCACGAACCACAAATTACTCAAGAATCCAACTGATCCACAGACCACAAATACTAACAAAGATATGACTCCAGAGTAGCCAACGTACAACACAATCGAGGTGAAATCTTGAAGGCCACCGTCTCCGCGAAGGAAGAACAATGCGTGAAGGAAAACATAAATGGCACAGCCCCCTCCTACGAAGAAAGACTTCCATTGCCACTTGTAGTTCTCACTGCACAAAGTGTAGTAAATGGTCAACACAGATATCAAACCAGTAGTCAATAGCATCAAAACAAAACAGAAAAACAAGAAGCCAAACATGTAGTAAATTCTGTTAAACCAAAGAGACGAGAAAATAAAGTAAAGTTCGACAGCAATAGATCCGAATGGGAAGAGTCCCGACATAAACATAATTGGCACCGTTCTCAAGTACCATGGCTGCGTAGGAATCTGTCTTGGAATTTGATTAGTTCTGACAGGAACTGAAATAATTGATCTCTTGGATTGCCAGATTGAGCCCACAATTGATAATGGGAAAGAAATAGAAAACCAAATAATAATGATAGCAGCCATAGTTCCGACTGGAATAGCACCAGAAGACTTTGCGGAAATCAAGAAAAAGTTCAAGAAAATGAAGGCCAAGAACAAGATACCTGGAACAAACACTGGGGTCAAAAGCATGTTAGCCTTCCAGTTCTCTCCTCCAAAAAACCTGTAGAGATATCCGCTGACGTAGGAAGAGATGATACTGAAGAAAATGTAGAGAATGAACATGAAAGTTGACAATGCACCTCTGTTAGATGGGGATAGCAAGCCCAACAACGCAAACACGATTGTGACGAGTACCATGCAGAATAACTGTATACCATTTCCGACCACAACTGACAAAATCATTCTGTTTGGTGGAGATCTGAACACATCTCCGTAAACCAACTTCCAACCGCTGTCGTATGCAACATCATCGTCCAAGTTGACTTCGTTGTACTTGACAATATCATTCTTCAAGGTGCTAACCAAGATGTGAGTCATAATCACACCTAAAATAATGACAACCAAGGAGAAGTTAATTAAAGAGACCCATTGAATCTTTGGGTCGTACACATGCAAGTATTTGTCCCATCTGGTGGCCCAAGCAGTTTCGGATGCCTCAAAATCGACACTGTATGTGAAGAGCACTTTCTTTTCAGAATCCTTAGACAAAGTAACAGCTGCCAAATTGGTATCACACAACTCTGCAGCGCTAGCCTTACTGGAGTCGAGCTTGCTTCTGTCGAGCGATTCGGCCTCGACGACCACACCCACAACTCTGTACTCATTGTTGGCTCTCTTATGATACTCAATTATGATTTTGAAGTGGTTGTACAATTGTGCCACGTTATTCTCGTCGACCTTTCCGATAGCAAAACCAGAACGGTAGAACTCACTTTTGGTTCTTCTTTCCATTACCTTTCTAGCAGCGGGCAAACCATCAACGATCCAATTGTAAGAATATCCGGCGTGGATGTTTCTATTCACAAAGGCAGCGTCTGTCTTCTCATATTTAGACTCACAGAGCTTCAGGCACGTTTTTGGCTCCAACATCTTAATCTTGAAAGGAGAGTCAAAGATACGGTCACCAAATATGATTGAGCCCAATGACTCCAGCTGTTTGGTAGGACCTTTTTCAGGGGAGCAGAAACGGAACTTTGGATAGTAGTAGTCGTAAGAATAGATCGGCGTTTTCGACTTGGAATGGGAGTTAGACATCGTGGGAGTCAAATGGTTGACCAACAACTGGATTTCATCACCCTGTTTATAGCTTGTGGGTGCCACGCCAGGCAAATAGAAGGCCGTGACAACTCCGAACCAGAGGAAAACAGCCAAGGATGTCCAAAGACTAGACTTCATCGCTGGAGACAGATTAGTAGGTGAAGAAACAAAAGTCCGCGCAGTTGTTAGAATGTCCAACTGGACTTCCGCGTCATGCAGGAAAATGGTAGCCAAGTAACAGCCAGTCACTCAGACAAATGGAAGGACAGAAAAATGCAGATCTCAGGAAGAGGAATTCACTTGCAGAGGCAACACAAAAAGGAAGCAAATTCAAGATTAAAAAAATATAGAGAGGTGCTAAATGTATCGTAGAGTTCACCTGATATGATTAGTCAAGTCAACAGGTTTAACCAAGCCACATTCAATGTCGGGCGACCTCTTGGATGCAGCATACATCTCAGGATATTGGTGAAGTCGATCCATGTGTCTTGGGTCGGCGACAAATAGAACGAATCTTGGCGAGTCTTTCTGCTGCGAGCTCCTTGTTAGTCATGTAACCGGGCCGTTCAGGCGAAGTGTCACACTCTAGTCGGAGCCTCAAGCAAGTACTACATACCACTCCGTCTTCTGGGCAAGCTTTATGACGGATGCGGCAAGTCCAACACCCCGAGCGAGACCTCAGTACTTTGTGCCCCCTCGCACCCCACCTGTGTGCATCCACTTGGATCTCATAACGCCGCGCGGCGCTTTAGATCGATGTTTAGAAGGTTTGAACTTGCAGGAGTTGAGATATAGTGAGTTTTGTTGGCCGTTGACGGAATTTAGCGATTTTGGGCCTGGCCGTGATAAAGCATTCTTTCGTAATCGCGTTTTAATGGATTTATTGGCATTGCATCGTGCGTTCTCTTCGACCATTTCACTCATACTCTGACTTGCCGCTTCCCACGAACCTTGGAATAAGCAGGCGCTTTTCAACCCGATCAGTGGCTCGTAGAGACCATCCCTTTCCTGTTCTTTTTGAATTTGCCACTGTGAAGTCGCGCTCTTTTGTTCTTTTTGAGACGCCGAGAGTTCAGCCGTTACACATTTCTTTGCAATTGCAGCCAACTCCTCAACAGACGTGTCGTGGTCAGTACTGATATCTGAGGTTAAAAAATCGGCAAATGGTAGGTCGTCACTGGCGGGGAAGTTGAGATTTTCTGAGAAAAGAATTGTCAGGGAAGTGTAGAATGAAGAATCCAAGTCTTGCCGCCGATACATTTGGGTATTATGATTTGAAGGGTGGGCGGGATTTAATAGTTAAGAGTGAAGTTGAGTGATTTTGAATGGCCCTTTAGATTGTAACCTATCTACTAACTTGAAATCAGTTTCTTATAGTTTGGATTAGTGGATTATCTGCTCTTTTTTCTCCTAAGTTGATTCTGAACCGTTAGCGTGAGAGAGAGAAAGTGTTAATAGTTGATATTCGCGCTCAAGAGTACCATCATCCAAGATGACAAATGGCACACAGCTGCAGAGTCCAAATAGGCCAAAAAACGAAAAAAAAAAAAAGAAAAACCAAAAACCACGAAACATCAAATCTAACTTCCTCCTCTTTCAAAATTCTATCATGGTCTTCTCTATGTAGTTGGCCAGCCAACTACGACATCGTGCTTGCATAGGTTAGCACCCAATTCAAATCAATAAGAAGATAACGACAAGATTCAGTCCACTGACCATTGGAAGTTACTCGTATACTCTTACCACCTATCATATCGTGTTTAGAGGCGATCTTATAGGGCAACTCTAAATCTTCGTCGATAGCCATCAAATTCGTCTCGAACTGTGAAAGAATGTCAAGCAATGCGATCATCGAAACGTCCAACTTGTTGAAATTGAACAACTTTCCTAGCGTGAATTCATTCGATGAATATAGCTGAAGAACAGAGCTTGTCTTTGTTCTCTCTCCCGTCTCGTCGTTGGACGAAACTCCCTTTTTAACCACATAGGACTTGGACCCCATTGGCACCAATTTGTAAGAGTCAAGCGTCAACAGGAATCGTTTCTTAAGAAACGAAAGTAGTAACACCACCTGGCCGAGTGCAACATTGACTTCTGGCCATGGGACCTTGTATCCTAATCGGTAGCCGTTAATACGGGCATAATTATCCTCCTTGTCAAAGGAAATCTCAAAGAGTTTGGTATAGATATTAAGCGCACGGAGTTGATCCAAATGGTTGAGGTGTTTCTGGTATAGTGCCTTAGCCTGGTCGAGTTTGTTTTGTTTCAACAGAAGCTCCAAGCTAAGAGAGTTTTTGAGCTTGATGATATCGTTCAACTCGTGAGAATTTAATCTTTTGAGCTCCAGATCCAATTCGGCCAACTGTCCCACCAACCCATCGTATTTTGCTTCCAAATCTTGCAACTCCTTCAACTTTTCTTCCTCCAATGTTTTCAACTGAACGAACTCCGCATGTGACTCTCCTAACTTGGCGTCTAGAGTGCTATCGGTAGCTGCAGAAGCCAAAGACGCTTCCGTCTCCTTGAGTTTTTTTAGAAACCCTAGGTACGACTCCTTTTCCCTTTGACTTTGGTCGAATTTGAGCTTGTAATTGGATGCTAGTAAATGAGCGCATTCGCCACACATGGGATGGTTCACGTCTTCGTTGGTCGACAAAATATGGAACACTTGGTTTAAAGAGCTGATCTTGGAGAAGTCCGGAAGCTGCTCCTCGGTTTGTCCTTCTCCTGCTCCCTTCACGTCCTCAGTTTCGTGACCATCCTCGTCTTCATCTTCACCGTCGGAAAGAAACACGTACGACTTCTGCGAATCAAAAGAATTGGAATAGCTGAGTTTGGAGTAGTCCTGGGTAATGATAGCATCATCATTGGCATCTTGAAGAGCTTTATGGGCCAAATTCAATCGATCTTGAGGTATATAGTTTGCTGGTGATAAGGGTACATGATGAGAAGGCTTACCGGACCTTCCTAAAAGATAATGTGTTTGGGCTTTCGACAAGTTTGAAAGTGTTTCGTCTAAGGCAATTGGGGCCTTACAGTTTTGGCACTGAAAAGCCATGATGACTTGGGTTATAACAGATGTGATTAGTGTTTTTGAGTTCTGCATAGTGATAATGAATGTAGGTTGACAGAGAACTACAAAATGATAACGAGACGAATTGATATTTTTTTTTTCATACATAAAGACAGTTTTATGTATCATTATTTTTATACAACCAAGGAGAATCTCTTTATTCATTATATAGCTATACATAATTACCACCAGAATTTATGAATATGATCTTAAAAGATTTCTCTGCTTCGTCCCTATATATGAATATACTTCTTGTTTTCCACACAGAACTGAAGAAATCCAACTAATCTGATGATACCACCATGACCTTAATATTCCATTTAAGGGATCTAAGGTGACGCATCTCATATTAGTTTCAACGGTTTTCTCCTTGATAAAGAGAAGCTAGTGCCAACTTCTTCGTGTACACAGACTACTAAGATCTCCCCCAGAAGGAAGAAACCAATACATCAACCTCTTGTTATCATTCTCCTTTGTGTGACCAAATTTCTGCAGATTATAGGATCAAAGATTTGGAGCTTTCAGAAACTAAATATGATTAAGTTATATAAGTTATTACTACCATAGAGTATGAGGGTATTCGCAAACTATCTCCACTTGTGGTCCCAGTTTTTCATGTAAGCCTAGAGTTTGATGTCTCCTGCGATACACGATTTTAATATTAAAGGTGATTCTTTACTTGATAGTTAACTTGAAACAGATCGCTCTACTTAAAAGTCATGATTTAACAGGTGAGTTGCTTGTACTAGAACTATTGATCAATCGTATAACAATATGAACCTGAGTAATTCAAAGCCTAAGCTGAAAAGGACAAACCAACCGCCTAAACAATGAGCCATAATTTGGGAGAATTTGATTGAGCTCTATAACGAGAACAAGGAAGAAACGGTTGAGGGTTTTATATTAGTAAATATTATTCGCTTTGAGGTTTATGTTACCAAACAATTACTGATATACAATGTTTCATAGAACATTCAGCTTATCATGAAATTTAAGAAATATTAGGACACGGAGCATAACTCTTTCCTTAATAATTCAATCCACATTATTCGATATGCAATTTGATCATCATAGATGAGAAGTATAGATTTTCTTTGGAGTATCTATTAACATTCTTGATGACAAAGAAGTGCTTCATAACTATCTTCTTGTCAAAAGATGTATGTAGTCATGAAATCGTTAAAGGTTAGGAATAGGTGCATTTATACCCATACAAAAAGAATGAATTATTTAGTTCAAGAATGAGGTTCACTAAGCAAATATTTTAAGTGATTTAATTTTACCGCTTAAGTCTGGAGATCGGCATTTTATACCTATTTAGAACCAATTTTGCAATCTCGATCTTGATTTTAGGATGATATTGAATGATCTTACACGTGTCTTTGTCAAGGCAGCAAGACGTGCTCAAAAATGTATGCAGATTCATCTAGGCTCCTTTAAAATGTATCGGAAATCTTTTATGATTTCAAAGATAGCAAACATTGGGTGCTTTTATTTTTTTTTTTGAAACATTATATTAGGTACTATATCAGGGACCAAGCTGTAAGAGCATGGTCATAGTCCTAGTAGAGCATAGTGGAAAAGGAGGTTACTGTTCTGCTGACATCATCACCAAAGCTCTCACCATTCGGCTAGGCAAGCGGCCGTCTCCAGGAAATAACATGTCCAGAGGCAACTGCCGACAGACCAGTTTTAACTCAAATTACTATGTTAAGATGGGATGTCGATAAAGAACATCCTGTGGCCGGAGTGGCTGCAAATGCACACCATCCTCCTGCCTAAGCCGTCGCCGGATGAATTCATGTTTAATGATACGTACCAAGCGATCGACTTTACGGGCCTGTTCCAAGTCGACAGGGAGTGGAGCGATCATTTGGGCAAGTGAAAGCTCGCCCAGGAGGCCCACCGCCGTCCACAAGGCTTTCGTACAGTCACAAAACTGATAGATATGCCTGTATAGATCCTCATGGGGGAGACGCTGCATGCAGAGCATACATTGAGCAAGTCTCCCATTCTTTGGCTCCGTCGTCCAAGGGATGTAGGAGCCGATGTTGAAGCGATGAAACGCCTCCAAGGAGTGGCCTAGGTGCCATTCCAAGTGATAAAGCTCCTTCCAAAATTTCTTCCAATGTTTGTAAGAAAGAGGGAGGAGGTTCAGGAGGCCCTCAGACCTGATAGCCGTATCGTTACGATGGTATTTGCGACTAAGAGAAGCAAAATTCTTCGGCTGGCACCACTTTTGTTCCGAGAGACTGAGTTGAGCCGAAGACTGAGTCTTGGACACAAGTAAACGGAAAGCGGCGCGGGTGTCCTTTGGGAGGTTGGTGGGTTTGAGACGTGGGCGTCTCGTCTTGGGCGCGAGCTGGTCCCAAGCCTTGAGGTAGGCAACTTCGCCTTCTGTGAACGTGAGCCGAACATGATCGGTACGCTTTGGAGAAAAGAGGAAGTCTTCCCAGCTGTAAGAAGCGATGAAAAGTGAACCAAACTGGCGTTTAAGAGAGGTATGAGCTGTTCGTTGGGCGAGTGTGCCCATATGAAATAAACATTTGGTGCGGAAGTAAAGACTATACCATGAAGTGTCATCCGTGATGACGTGATATATGACTTTGGCTCGGTGACCCTGGAGTTGGCGCCAGGTTTCAATGACACCAAAGCCTCCCTTACGTGGTGGTGTGTAGAGCGTTGTCAACGAGACACCATAAAAAACACCAGATACGGCGTCCTTTACCCGCTGGAGCTGGTCGTCCTTCAAAGGCGTATGTAGGTCTCGAAATGGCAACTTGGAGTGAACATAGATGTTAGTTCCCATAGCGCGTACACAGAGACGGAGCTGTTGGTACGTTTGAGTCTTGCAGAGATACGGAAGGTTCTTGAGAAACTGGGGCCATTGAACCCCGTTTAGCGGAATACCTAGGTAGCTCGTGTCGTCAAACTGAAAAGTGCCATTTGCCTGCCTAGTCCACAAATTCTTGCGTGGATAGGGGAGGGAGGGGTCGTGACCATCCTGGAAGTTAGGCAGAGTACCGTAAAGAACTGATTTGTCAGTATTCACAAGACTACTGCTTGCTTTTTCAAACATGGCGAGTTCCGCGCCTGCGGTAGCATAATCCCTGGTATCCCCAAGATAGATGGTAACATCATCAGCGAAAGCATGATACTTCATGTGCGTGAACTGGATAAAATCGTACTGGATTGGGATGCCGATCAAACGTTGGTTTAAGCGGCGTAAAAGTGGTTCAATCGCTATGTTGAAAAGGATGGGTGACACAGGGTTTCCTTGACGGACGCCACTGAGAAGGGGGAAGGACCTGCCCGTATAGTTGTTGAGGATGATCCTACCTGTTTGGCCGGATGTGATCAGCATAAGGAAGTTAATCATGTGATGCCCAAACCCTATATGGCCAAGAACCCGGCGTATGTAACTATGCGAGACTCGGTCAAAGGCTTTGTTAAAGTCGGCCATAAGAAGGGTCCGTTCGGGTAGGTTGTCGCCAGTGGTCGGATACTCATCTTTTATAAGGTTGATGAGAGTGCGTGTCTCCATAAGGTTTTGATCCATACGGCGGTTGCTCATGAAGCCACGTTGGTAAGGACCAATGAGCAGGTTAGCAATGGACTGAATGCGGGTGTTAGCAGCTTGACTGACTACTCGAAGACAGCAATTGATGAGCAGGATGGGGCGAAAATGTGTCACGTCGGTGGATTTGTAATGACCTCGTTTGGGAATAAGGGTGATGAGGACCTCTCGAAAGGCGGCCGGCATCACTCCTGTCAGCATTAGTTCATTTCCAGCGCACACAAGAACTGGGCAAAGCTGTTTCCAATGGTACTTAAGTACGGGGTACTGAATTCCATCTGGGCCAGGGGCGGTGCCATGATTGCAGAGTTAAAGGGCCAGAGTGAGTTCCGCCTCAGTGAAAGGTCGGTCAAGCTCTTCAGCTTGTTGAGCGGAAATGCGGACTTTCATTCCTTCTAGATATTCGTCGAGTTCCTTATCCGAAAATCCGGGCGTAGCTTGGCTGTATAGTGCTTGGTAATAGTGGGTAACCATCAGAAGCATGTCAGCATTAGTGGTGGCCACTGTGCCTTGGGCTGTGTTAGTCAAGGAGTGGAACACCATTGGAGTATGCGATTTACACTGGAAGAATGACCGCGCTGATGCATCAGCCGAATCTTCCAAATGTTGTGTGCCTTTGTCTCGAACCGATCGGGCAAAATCAGGGTCGAGTCGCCGGAGCTTGCGATGAAGGTGGATGTATTCAAGACCTTCGTTTGTGATAGCGGACATTGCTTCTTCTAAAGTACCATCGCGGTTAACTGCTCTGGGACCCTGAGGATCATACATGGGCAGTAAACGGCCGAGGGGGTATTGAAAGCGGCGAAGACCATACGAATTGGCGGGATTCATGTCGATCACAAGCCGAACAGCAAGTAAGGAGTGGGTGGAACTGATGCTGGAAGGTCTCCATAGCTGAAATTGAAAGGCTCTCGATTGCCACAGAGTGTGAACATAGAGGCGGTCAATTCGGCGAGGAGAAGGGAAGTGGTTGGTTGGAAGTGAGAAGACAGTGGGGTTACAAACGCCTACATCGACGAGGTTAACCGCGGCAAGAAGCTCGAGAGTGCTCCGAGCCAGGTGTCGCTCACTGCTTGGTGTGTGTTCCATGGAATGGTTCATGTCTCCGCCAAATATGACCTTAAGGTCTGGGTAAGCAACTGATAGATCCAGAAGGGGGACAATAAGTTGTTGTAAAATGACCGCTTGAAGCTTTTTGGACCGGGAAGGGCGATATGTGTTGACAATCAATATCATCTCCCCTGTAGAAAGCAGAATTCGAATGTCGTTACAGTATATTTGAGATTTTAGCCGTCGTGTTATCTCGTTTTGACCTAGCACAGTACATTTCTTGAGATTGAGGAAGATGCCTGTTTGGGCAGCTCGTGAACGGTTGAGTAGGCGAGTGCGCCTTGAGGTCACCAAGGAGGGTGACGTATAAAACTGATAATCATGATCAGTTGAAAATTCTTGGAAGATTTTAAAATTGCGGGTGGAGCCCACAAATTCTTGGATTAGGAAGATGTCAAATTTGCGGGCTAAGGCACAAATGATTTCGTGCTGGGATCGCTTCTCGATATTGAAAGAAGCAATGTTTAATATGTTGGCCCTATGCCGACGTAATTTGTACGGGATACGGCTAAGTTGAATTATTCGTTTGTCCATTTCAGGACGAGTTTTCACTTAAATCTGGGGGATCAAACTCGGCCCAGTTTTGTGGCCTCTCCAGGGTATCCTGTGATGAGGAAATTTCCGTGGATGTGGCTATGTTGGATGTGGTTGTAGATGGTTGCAGCGAATTGTTCATAGTCGAGGGGGGAACCAGGACTGGTGGACGAAGCGGATCGGGGCCCGGTGGTTCCATGGCCGCATCAGCATCAGGAGGGTCTTGACGAAGCAGAGGGAGAACCTCGTGATGAGCGTCGTCAAGAACAGTATCCATAAATGGTACTGGTTGATTCTGGTCTTGAAAACCAGAAGAGGACCGGGCCTCTTTGTGGGGGTGGTGACGGGGAAGAGGGCCAGAGGTGGCCTTAGTGATGGTAACCGATTTAGGCTTAGCGTATGGCTGGTTAGTGACTGATTTTCCGGCGAGGCGGGAGGAACGTCTCTTAAAAACCAGGCCGAGGGTTTGATTACGGTCCTTGCGGCTGAGAATAGGAGTGGTGAGGACGTTAGAAGGATCATTGGACTGGGGGGTGCCCGAGGGAACCACTAGTGGAGCTTTCGACTCGGCAGCAGGATCCTCAGATGAGGGCTGGGAATCGAGGGTAAAGTTTGATTCAATGTCGATGGAAGGTTCAGCATGGTTAGTGTTCTTAGGGATTGGAGAAGGTTCAGGGGACTCAGAGGTATCCATGGAGGCCTCTTGATGAACGTCTGACTGATCAATACATTCACCCAGTGGGGACTGAGAGTCCAATTCAAGACCTGTTTCTGGCGGATTTAAAGGTTCAACATGGGGAACTTCCACGGATTGGGATTCGTCAAGCTCGGCCTCTTCGGGGAGGTTGTTCAAGGCAGAGAATGGATTGGATGGAATGGTTGATGATGATGGGTTATCCATGTTGCGGTTGGCCTCTGCCATCACTACGCGCAGACGTTTCAGCCCACGTTTGGTGACAAGGGTGAAGCCGTCCGAGGAATTGGCGGGTGGTGGAGACTGTGGAATCTGTGGGATGATGGAAAGGGGACAGTCCGGAGAACCTCTGAGATGTCTGGCAGATGGACAAGCACAACGTTTGCGGCATTGGAATGTTGAATGACGTTGGCCTTGGCAGATTTTGCAACCTTTGCGTTCATCCTTGCAATCATCAAGACCATGTTCTGTCTCTCGACATACTGGACAAAATTGCTCGGCATACTGGATTGTACATTCCATACCCACGTTATCATAAGCAGGCTGTCTCAGGGGACGAGCCGTGGCATGTTGGAGGTGGATATCGTGTTGTTGTTTGAGGTGAGCTATATGACGAGCTGGATCCGGTCCAGTGTATCCATCTGCAAGGGCTTTCTCATAGCACAGATGAGATTTGGCGCTTGAGGACGAGAAGATCGAGTAGAGGGATGGCACTAAGAATTCCTGGTTTTGGAGCCAGATATCCTTAGAGACATGTTTGGGGGGTACCTTTGATTGACCCAAATGGATCAATGCTAGGGCTGTTTCCCGTTGGGGGGTCAGAGCCCTAACCTTCCACTTGAGGATCTCATCGGAATGATGGAGGAAAGACCTCTGAAAGTACTTCCTGGAGTTCTTATGGGGGTAATAATCGATTTGAACTGCAATGACCTTTGTTTGAGTGGCTTGAGGATGTCTGAGACGAAATATCTTATCATCTTGGTCATTGTACGAAAGATCTTGAGAAGTGAGTATCCCCCGCAAATAGTCAACCGTTTCTTGAGGGTTGGTATAGATTTGAAATGGGATATCATCATCAAAAAGATCACAGAGAAGTCGCTGTGCTTCGTCATTGATCTTAAGATTTGGAAAGAATACTTTTCCGCCCACAATACGGTGCTGCTTGGCCGCTGCTAAAGCAACATAGCGGCTCGCAGCGGTTGTGAGAAGATTGAGATCGTCCGAGACGGTCGAAAGAAGGTGCTCTTCTTGGGCCAATCTGACTTTAGGCTCATTCACATGCTCTCGAGAGTCAAGATATTCCTTTGCTTCGTCCGCCGATTGTGTCGTGAGGGTTTTTGCGTGGAAGAGATCTTCCTTCACCTCAGTCATAAGGGAATCAACGTATTGCAGTATACCCTGGGACAATTCCTTTGTTGACAAGTCATTGGAGTTGACGAGTTCCAATTTGAGTGACAAATCTGACTCTGGAAGATCAGCAAGGTGATGAGTGATCTCATTAGAAGACATGAGTTGACCCAAAACTTTAAGCTGCCGTTCATATTTGATACGTTGCTGAGCGGTGAAGCGCAGCGTGTATTCTTGCTTGACATATTTGTAGTCGCTCAAAGTCACCGATGTTCCTCTGGAATTATGGCGGTTAGCTTGGAGGTGTTCAGCCATGGAGATATTTTTTTTTTGATTTGTATTTTCGATAGTAACATTTTTTTTTGATTTGACATTTTCTGGAAGTGCAATCGAGAAGGTAGAATTTTTTTTGGTTTTCGAATTTTCTGAAGTTGCAAAAGTGTTGGTAGCATTACCAGATGCAGGATCTGATAAACTGAGATCAGGGGGAGAACGTATGATCGAGTCTTCGTCGGTGTCCAGAGCACTAGATTCTGCTTCAGACGAACTGATGAAGTACTCAGAATCATCTTGCTCCATAAGATCTTCATAGTAATCATTGGGGGGAATTGTAGTAGATATCTGGCTGACTTCTTGAGAAGTAGCCACTGAGGTGCTACCAAAGGAGGTAGTCTCAGAAACAGTGTTGGAATCTTCGCGAGCGCTTGGGGATGGGTCATCCGGAGGAGGAGGCGGCGGCGGACCGATGCCTACCCGTTCGGGATCGTGAGAACTTTCGGGAAGCTGGTGAACACTCAGCATTTTAAGGCTTTTATTTTTTTAAACATTTGTGTATTGGGTACTATATCAGGGACCAGGCTGAGAAGCATGGTCATAGTCCCGTTGAGAGTAGATAAACTAAGGTTGCTGAAATGCTGCTATCATCACCAAAGCTCTCACCATTCGGCTACGCAAGTTGCCACTTCCAGAAAATAACATGTCCAGATGCAACAACCGACAAGTCAGCTTTAACTCAGGGCACTACAGAAAAATTGGATGTCGATAAAGAACGTCCCGTGGCCGAAGGGGCCGTAAACTGTCCCCTTCTTGGCTCTTGAGGTGACGACGGACGTATTCATGTTTAATGATACGTACTAGGCGATCAACCTTACGGGCATGGTCTAATTCAACAGGAAGAGGTGCGATCATTTGGGCGAGGTTAAGTTCACCCAGTAGACCCACCGCAGTCCATAAGGCCCTCGTACAGTTGCAAAACTGATAGAGATGCCTAATTAGAACTGCATGAGGGATTGTGTGCATACAAAACATGCACTGAGTTATTCTCACGTCAGTGGGCCCCGAAATGCGAGGGAAGAAGGAGCCGATGTTGAAGCGATGAAACGCCTCCAAAGAATGGCCGAGTTGCCATTCCAAGTGGTAAAGCTCCTTCCAGAACTTCTTCCAATGTCTATAAGAAAGAGGAAGAAGCCGCAGAAGTTGCTCAGAGCGAAGGGCCGTATCTTTGCGGTGGTGTTTGCGGCTAAGAGAAGCAAAATTCTTTGCCTGGCACCATTTGCGTTCTTCAGGACTAAGTTGGGCCAGGGCCTGGACTTTAGTCATGAGCTGAGTGGCCGAAGCACTGTGCGGTCTTAAGCGGGGGGCCCGAGTTTTCGGGGCATGTTTATCCCAAGCGTGAAGGTACGCCACTTCGCTCGCAGTAAAGGTGAGGTTAAGATGTGAAGTACGGTGTCGGGAGAAGAGAAAATCTTCCCAGTTATAACACCCAATGTAGGTATAGCCAAGCTTTTTCTCGAGGGCCTGATAGGAGGTATGAGCGTTTCGCAGAGCAAGAGTGCCCATGTGGTGCATGAACTTCAATCGCATGTAAGCACTAAACCAAGACTGGTCGTCGGTGACGACATGGTAGATGACTTTGGCTCGATGCCCTTGAAGTTGAAGCCCCGTCTCAATTAGACCATACCCTCCCTTTTGAGGGGGGGTGTATAACTTTTTGAGTGAAATGCCGTAAAAAACCTTAGAAATGGCGAACTTAACACGGTTAAGAGGCCGGGATGGCATTGGTGTATGAAGATCTCGAAAAGGCAACTTGGAGTGAACGTAGATATTGGTACCCATGGCACGGACGCAAAGACGGAGCAGTTGGTACGCTTGAGTTTTACAAAGAAAAGGAAGGGTACGAAGATAACTGTCCCATAGAACACCATTAAGTGGGATACCGAGGTAAGTCGTATCAGTGAACTCTAAAGAGCTATCAGCCTTCCGGGTCCACAAATGCTTACGTGGGTAAGGGAGAAATGGATCATGACCTTGCTGGAAGCCGGGCAGAGTCCCATAAAGGACTGACTTGTCAGTATTTACAAGACTACTGCTCGCTTTCTCAAACAAGCCAAGTTCCGCGGCGGTGGTCGCATAATCACGAACATCGCCAAGATAGATGTTAACATCATCAGCGAAGGCATGATACTTCATGATCGTGATTTGCAAGGGATCATATTCGATTGGGATGCCAATCAAATTTTGTTGTAAGCGACATAGAAGAGGCTCAATCGCGAGATTAAAGAGAATGGGAGACACAGGGTTGCCTTGGCGAACACCGCTGAGAAGTGGGAAAGACCGACCAACATAGTTGTTGATAGTGATCCGACCGATTTGGCCGGACGTTATCAGCATAAGGAAGGACGTCATGCGAGGTCCAAACCCCATATGGCAGAGAACCTGGCGAATATATCGGTGGGAGACTCGGTCAAATGCTTTGTTAAAGTCGGCCATAAGAATGGTTCGTTCTGGTGCAGATGCATCATCTTTCGGGTACGCTTCCTTAATAAGGTTGAGAAGGGTGCGTGTTTCCATAAGATTTTCGTCCATACGTCTGTTGCTCATGAAGCCCCGTTGATTAGGACCAATAAGAGTATCAGCAATAGATTGTATCCGGGTATTAGCAGCTTGGCTAACAACTCGGAGACAGCAATTGATGAGCAGTATTGGGCGGTAATGCGTCACATCAGTGGAAGCTGAATGGTGGCGTTTGGGGATTAGTGTGATGAGGACTTCACGAAAGGCGTCCGGCATCATCCCTGTCTGCAAAAGCTCATTTCCAGTACGGACGAGAACTGGGCAGAACTGTTTCCAATGATATCTGAGGACTGAATATTGAATTCCATCGGGGCCCGGGGCTGTGCCATGGTTGCATAGTTTGAGAGCCACAGTGAGTTCTTCTTGGGTGAAAGGGCGGTCAAGCTGTTCCGCTTGTTGTGCGGAAAGGCTCACCTTTATCTGTCCTAGATAGTCTTTGAGAGCACGATCTGTGAGTCCAGGAGTGGGTTCACTATAAAGTGCTTTGTAATAGCTTGTGACCATTCGAAGCATATCCGCGTTTGTGTTGGCCCGAGTACCTTGTGCAACATTTGTCAAGTCATGGAACACCATTGCTGAGTGTGACTTATACTGAAAGAAGGACCGTAGTGATGCTTCTGCCGAGTCTTCTAAGTGTTCCGTGCTCGTATCGCGAACTGATCTGGCAAATTCCGGATCAATCCGTCTTAGAGTTCGATGAAGTTGGATATATTCGAGGCCTTCTTGCGTGATAGCAGCAATCGCCTCGTCTAATGTACCGTCAGGATTCACCGTGATCTGGCCCTGCGTTTCATACAAAGGCAGGAGCCGGCCAAGGGGATATTGGAAGCGGCGAAGACCAAATGTGTTTTTATCGATATTGGGAAGTTTTACTTTTCCATTATTATACTAGGATACGTTTACAGATTTGCACTCTATATAAAGGCAACTTGTCCGAGTGGTTAAGGAGAAAGATTAGAAATCTTTTGGGCTTTGCCCGCGCAGGTTCGAATCCTGCAGTTGTCGTTATTTTTTGGTTGCAACATCTTTTCTATTTGACAGACTAATTGGGTAGATTTGCTTTATTTTTACTCATGGCCCGATCGTTTGAAGAGGGTGATAAATTCGGATCAGCTTCAATTTCTAAACGTCGGTCGCCATTTCTTGTAGTTGGATCATTTCAATCAATTCCTCTTCATAACAAAGTTTTTTCTTACTCCGTTATGCTGGCATAGTAAACTCTGGATTCACTCTTCTTATAATCCACACTTTGATATCCATTTCTTTATTACCATATTTTTATTATCCGTACTCTTTCTCCATCCAATAATCCTTTTTTTTTTGTGCTTCAGGGTCCTTAACCAATCATCCTTGTTTCTTTCGTGTTATTCCATATCATCACCCACCCACGTAGAAATATCCTCCACGTCCTTTGCAATGTAGTGGCCCTCTATGTTCGAGAAATCTGCCCAATGAAATGTCCCGCAATCCTTATTCTGATACAGATTTTCACACAGCCAAAAGTAGCGGCCCCGGGTGGCTGGTGCCTTATATGATCGACGCAATGTCATGCTCATGTTACATTTGCACTTGGGAAGGTTGGCCAAAAATTTCTCATCGTAGCATCGAAATGTAAGGCCATACCGCGTCGTCCCCACCTTCGGATGAACTTCCAAAGCCTTCAGCATCGAATTTACGCAGTGTTTGAACTTTTCTTGACACCCAGGTTTCATCATCAATAGCGAATTGTGAGTGAGAGGAATCTGGTAGATAGTTCCGTTCGTTGACGAGTTTCTCCGCAACCGAAACATGCGTGTGGATCCAAGTGATACCGATGCAATGTAGTTATGCGGACCTATATGAGATAAACGGTCCGAGTGCCACTCCAAGTTGTTCTGGAGCTTCTGGTAGTAGTTGACAGCACAGAAGTTGCCAGTCCATGGATCTTTGCGCTGAAACGGAAGTCTTTTGTTGGATGGAATCACCACATCGTTCACATAGGCTTCTAGAATGTCTACGGCCCTACCAAACATGGCAGAGTAGGGCACGGGCTTGCGGGACTTGAGCCCATTATAGATGAGGTCGGGGTACTTGGAGTTAGGCTTGCAGAACGCACCAGTTCCGTGGTTCAGCACGCAGTAGTTGCCAAATAAATAAAACTCGTGACTCTTGTAGAGATTGGTATGAGTGGCCACGTCGTCTAGCAATTGGTCGGCAATTTCTGGTGAAAAGAAATTTGGGTGCAACGATGCATATTCTCCAAGATGAGTTTCGACGTCACGCGGAGTATTGAGGGTTATAACATGCCCACGTTGTTTTTTGCCTGGCAGATTCAAATTTGATGATGCTACATTGTGTGATGAGGAGGGAGAAACATCTTTGGCATTGACGTTTTTGACGTCACCAGCCTCATTGGTGACAGGTTTGCGCATCTCACCAGCTTTGCGCATCTCATTAGCCTTGCGCATCTTGCCAGCTTCCACCACGGTACCAGCCACGGCTAAATCACCAGCCACATCACTACCATTTGCCAGTAGTTTCACCCTAATGTTACGACCCAAATTGCCCTGATGAAGTCCTCGCCTCTTGACACTACGCGGTCCACCGATCACCGCACGCGTAGCATCGATATCTCCTCTACATTGCCGTAGCAAGTCACCAAGTGCATCTCTCAGATAGTCTGGGTAATAAAGACACATCAACGCCAACTTATCGTTAAATAACTCGTCATGGCTGTCCATCGTACTTGTTAGCTTGAAATGTAAGATCTTGAGAGAATGGCCGGTGTACGTAGGTGTTGCGGGCCCAGGTCAATAACGGTGGATTTTTTCCGATGCTTCATGCCTGATCGTGCCAGGACGAAACCACTTCAGTAATTCTGACAACATTCATCATCGGTGTTTTTCGGTTTTCTTGTTTTTTACAAGTCTTCTTGTTGGAATTTCTAGAATAGGAATTTTTTACCCCCACCTCGTGTCTTAGTCTTGTGTTGTTGTCCATCTTGTTCATCAACCTCATCTAGTTTTCAAGTTTTCATTGGTCTTGTTTTCCCTGGTGTTTCACCTGTGTTCTTCTAATTTTCCCACAACATGTCCTCCAATGAATCTCTCCTGTCGGAGCCAAAGCAGGTCGTAAGCACCAACGCCAATGATCCAGTGGCCATCACCAGTGAGCCAAAACCTCAAACAATGGAGGCCAGACAAAGTGAAGATGGTGGAAGAACCATCTCTACGTACTCCGACAACGAGTCGGGCTATCAGCGTGAATCCAACGAGTGTACGGAATTCTGTATGGACTTTTTCATTTGTTTTGGTGCCTGCGATGCCTGCTGTCCTGCTTCAGGAGAGGGCTGTTTGAGTAGTCTCGCTGCTTTTGTGGGAGGACTCTGCTTCGCTTGTTGCAAGTGTTAAAATCAAGAAAATATATTCAATAAGAGAAAAGGAATTCCAGATGGAAAGGAAATCATGGAGTTGTTGGCGAAGAAAATTATGTGTTTAAATTAACCGCAGAATTGATAGAGAGAAACTGTTGATATGAGTGCTGGGAGCTTGGATTTCTAAACACTCTCATGGAGTATTTTATTAGAAAACCAGTCACATGTCGCTCCCTACAGAAAAGTATAGAGTCTGTGACAGTCCATAGAGCTTTTAAGGTGGTTGCGATTCTAATTTTGATTTTGATAATCTGTACAGTTTGAATTAAATTATGAAAGGATTGCGAAGATACCTTGTATTTGCCAATGAATTAAATCTGTAGTTATTCTGCTGAACCTATTCTGTTCTCTTTGATCTTTTCCCTCGATACTGCTCTCCCTGGTCGTATCTCCATGTTCCCTTTTCTGGCGGTGTTCTCACTTCCCGTTCGCAGCCAACTTTAACCATGCCTCTTTCTCGTAAAGAATTGGAAGATTCCACAAAAGCCGATTTTGCAAAGGCCAGAGCATATACAGTGGCCCTGTCCCATCCATCCATCGAATTGCTTCCTCCTCCACTCGTCAGGTCACTTTCTGTACCTGCCACAAACGGTGGTGACAAAGTCCCTTTAAACAATGTGGAACCCCTCATAGATTTACTCAGTGAGGCTTCCAAAGAAGATGTCAAGTTAGGTTCTGGAATTCATGACTTTGGGAAAGATTATGCCTCATGCAAACTTGCAGATACTCAATTCCCAGATTCAACGTTTCCAAATATCACCTTCCAGGATACAATCTTTCCAGATCTCGATCCGACAGCATCCACTGAAACAGTACGGTTACATCCACTCAACGAAATACTGCCACTCAGCAAGCACTCTGGTCCTTCAATTCAGAACTCGCCACACTCGCACAAAGAAGACACCAAAACGGCTACTCCCAAAGAATGCGACCAAAGTGAGAAGTCAGCTCCAGATAGTATCCGCAAAGAAAGAGTAATGGTCATTATTGCATTTGCCTGTATGATCGTGTTGTGTCTGGTCCTAATTCCTGCTATTCTCTTGGCCGTGTGTGGGTCTCGTCTTTCTCTGTGGAATTATTACAATTCACTTGACGTGGCCGCCCAAAGAGCACTAGTTGAGAAAATGAATGCAGTTCTCATCCTGACGGAGACACCTTATAACGGCGAAAACACTCCGCGAGAGTTGATCTTCGATGGAATTGTATACTCTCCCAGAAATACCATGGAGCCGGCGTGTGGTTTCACCCAACAAGATGCCAACTTGGATGTGGCACTACTCTCTTCTGTCACGAGCAAAATTAGAACGTATGGTACTCAGTGTAACCAAGCCACATATATTCTCAATGGAATGCACCAGATGGGCTTGAACATGACCATCATGCTTGGAGTATGGATTGGAGAAAACTCGGATGAAAACGAGTTGCAACTAAAAGAGGCAAAATCGTTGCTTTCCAAATACCCGCTGAGGTATTTTGAAAGCGTCATGATCGGCAATGAGGCGTTGTATCGAGGCGATATCTCTGAAGCAAAACTCATTGATGCTATTCAAGAAATGAAAGAGTTTCTATCAAATCAAAACCTAAATGTTCCAGTGGGAACGTGCGAGATGGGTTCCTTCATCACGGAAAAGTTGCTTGGAAGTCTGGATATTGTGGGCGTCAATGTGCTTCCATTTTTCACGGGTCTATCGGTTGAAGATGCTGCTCAATGGGTCGGAGATTACCTCGCGACATATATTGTTCCGCTCAACAAAAACAACTGCTCTCTCATAATTTCAGAGGTTGGATGGCCATATTCTGGTGGCTCGTATCATGAGTCCATAGCAGACCCAGCAATATTTCAAGATTTTCTCAGAACTTGGGTATGCAACACATCCAAGTCCTTGCAAGGAGTTGATTCGTGGTACTACTATGAAGCGTTTGATGAGCCCTGGAAGGCAATCTTTCATGATAACGACAACAAATGGGAAACTGAGTGGGGGATATTTGGGCAATACCGTGATATGAAAACAAACGTGTCTTTTCCAACATGCTAGATCTTCCAAACTCTGTACAATAACCATAAGTAAAAAATAGCAAAACAAGCGAATGATATTGTAGTGTTGACGATGACCCAGAGATCTGGATACTGTGTTGGAGGTTCAAACTTCGCTTCCACAACGTGGAAAGCTACCACGGCCAAATAGGATCCTGTCACAACGATTTTATGGTAGATTGACAGATTGCTGGGCCAAAGCAAGTTTTTTTCCAAATCGACAGAAAACCCACTGATTAGCCAGTTGATCAATATCAATAGAACCGAGTACTGTAACACCAACCCATCCTTCTTTAAAAGTGGGAACAAACTGAAAGTTGCAATATTGTTGATCCACTGGATGATGGCAATGTCGTCCTTATCTGAGGTAAGAAGCAAGAAAGTAGAGGGAATCAAAGGCACCAACACCGACTTCTCGTGGACCTGGAACAGGAACAAGAAGAATCCCCACGCAGTAGCGCTAAATCCGTAGATAATGAGAGTAGAATGCACATTGGTGCGTTTGATCAACTTGAAGAATGCCATAAGGCATGGGGGGAAAACAGAAGCCAAAGTGAACGCCAAAGAAAGCTTCTTAAGTTGGTCATTGGTAAAGATTTTGTTGTACTTGACAACCAAATTCGATGTACACCAGAAATTTGCAACTTTATCCTCGAAAAGACCTCTCTCGAAGGGGAACATTCTGATGAGAATTTGTTTAACCATATCGAGGACCTCAGAATAAGTTGAGGACGCCAAAATGAACGGAGAAACCGCGACAATGATTGTCAAAACCACAGTGGCCCCAACGAGAATAAGTTTTCCCAAGTTGAAGGTTGCAATTGTGGTGTAAAGCGACTTTTTAGGCGTGAATAGCTTGGCCAAGATGTAGAAGAAGATGAACGGACTGTAATATAAGGCCATCTGTTTGAACAATACTGACGACATGAACCAAACAGAGGCAAGCACTAGATTTCCCTTGAGTAAATCAATAACCGAGAACAAAAAGAGACCCAACATCACGGAATTGTATTGGAAGTGGCCATGGTCGATCAAAATAAGTGCTGGTTGACTCAAAATTAATGCAATTACCACTAGCTGGTGCATTCTGCCCAATTTGGCTCTCTGACCACCCAAAAGTGACGTGAGCTGCATGATAGCAGGAATGTAGACAATCAACTCACTGATGATGCTTGAATAACGCATAAACGTCTTAATTTGAGGGTTTTCAATCCCTCTAGAAATGTCCAATTTGAACCAATCGGAATTGACGAGGGAACCCAATTTGCCAAATAACCACAGGTGATACGCGGTCAATGGCGGATAGTCCAATCCCCAGTACTGTAAGTCGTAAAAATACCATTTGGTGAGCGGTAAATTAATGGTGATTTCCATCCAATGTCTCTGGGCCTCAAAGTCTCCATTGATTGGTTTCTGGCCCTCGCCTGAGTATGACCCCAACCCTACTGCACTTCTCAAGAGAATGGCAGTCAAAATCAAAATGTAGCGAGCGGCCCACTGATCAGGAGCACGTTCGAAGACATGTAGAAGGTCATGAAGTGGAGTGGTGAGAAAAGGAGTTTTGGGGACGAAGTTTGCTGGCTTCAGAGAAGTAGCAATACTCTTTTCCCGCCTCTGGTGGCCAGCAGTATTGCCAGGTTTCTTTTTGCTGGAAGATTTGGCCATTATCGTGTATGGAAAGTGCCTAAACAAGCGGTGAAGATTAAGTGGTGGTATTATGAATATGCAGGAATAATATTGAACAACCAGGAGATATTCAAATGAATGAAGGATTTGAGAGAGATTGACAGCATTAATTGATTTGAGTAGGAGAAAATAAGTGGAACATCTCTTATTAAATTATGAAGCTAAAGTTAAACGTTGTCAATAGATGAATTTCACATGGAATTCGCCATCAAGCTTCCTTATATATATGTTGATATTTTTCAAAATTTTTCACACCTAGAGTCCAAATAGAGTATAAAGCTATCAGTTACATCTGAATTATACATTAAATTGCTTCAATTATGCACATTTTTAAATCTACTAACTCATCATATTTAACATAGCCATCAAAAGTTTCATATCAAGGCAACTTGTCCGAGTGGTTAAGGAGAAAGATTAGAAATCTTTTGGGCTTTGCCCGCGCAGGTTCGAATCCTGCAGTTGTCGTTACTTTTTTTGATAGAATGTCTATCAGCTTTTCAAGCCAATTGGTGTAGGTGTATCTTTTTTTCCAATGCCAATTGAAGATTTCTCCCAATTAGCAGATGAACTAGTTACCTGCTACGCGCAAGGTGTCCTAGAAAAAGCCCGTCAGACGGCTCGGAATCATGTTCGGATTGGCGACCAGAATTCCCGACTCATTCAGTCTATCTCGTCTATCAGCAACCAAATGCAACGGTACCAAGAGCCAGAATCGCTAGACGCTGCGTTGGACGCCATTGACTTGGCCAAAATATACGAAGGTGTAGACAAGCGGGAAAAAGACGCTGCCAATGGCTCATCCAAAGACGTTTTGGGCTACGAAGATTATATAGTGTTGGAGACATTAGGCTACTTCAAGAATGATTTCTTCCGGTGGGTGAATAGTCCGAAGTGTGGCAAATGTGGCCAGGATGGTAGCAACATGGAGTTTCGGCGGTCTGAGGGCCCTCCGACGCCGAACCCGGACGAAATCAGCCGTGTGGAGGTGCATCACTGTAAAACTTGTAACGAGGACGCAACATTCCCCCGCTACAACAGCCCGGTGAAGTTACTAGAAACACGAGAAGGCAGGTGTGGCGAATGGGTCAATTGTTTCATGCTTATTCTACTGGCGGTGCTTGGATCTACGGCAAACATCAGGTATGTGTGGAATCATGAAGACCATGTATGGTGCGAGTATTACAGCGAGAAGCAGAAACGTTGGATCCATTTGGACCCATGCGAAAATGTATTTGATGAGCCTTCGCTCTATTGCGAGAACTGGGGCAAGAAGATGAGCTGGGTGTTGGCAGTCAGCGACGTCAATATCGCCGACGTTTCTGATAAGTATATCACCAAGGAGGACAAAAAGATCGCCAAGCTGAGCGTGGCAAACGAGAAGGAGGTGCTAGAGTACATCCACTGGGCACAAGAGAAGCTCTTAGTGAGATACTGGGATCAGAAAATCGACCCGTTTCTGTTATCTACCCACGATAAACTAGCCAAGTTATATGTGGAGATTGTCAAGCGAAACGACCGGCCCACTCGTACCAGTGGGTCTACGCCTACCCCTGCGGCGACAGAAAGAGGCCGACAATCTGGAAAAGGAGAGTGGACCAAATCACGAGGAGAAGATGGAAACAAGTAGACGAAATGAACGACCAACATTGATCTGAAATAGACTCCATAGCAGTACAAAGTAGGTAAATCAAATTATCATCCAATTATCATTATCATCCAACTATCATCCAATTTCCATAGTTGTCACGTCTGGATACCTTTGGACTGTTTGAACAACTTAAGTCCTACCCATGAGAAAAGTGCCCACCACCAAGCCACAACATAGACGCCCCATAGACTCATCACATACTCGTCGATAGTGCTAAACACAACATATAAATAATCGTATTCATGTTTAGTAGATTCTGTCCAGGAAAGTGGCTCGATGACAAACTTCCAGCACAGGAAGACTGTGTTGGCTGTGACGATGAAAAGCGTCCATGAAATCGCTAGCACGGCGTATCCGTACCAGAATAAAGTGGCTGACACATCCTGCGATTCTTCATCTGAGTCCAGATCGATACTGGGCTGTATTAAAGGGAGTGGGGCATCGTGATTCATGAGCAGATGCAGATAACAGTTGGTGAATGTTGCCAGATGTGCACCAGTGCATCTGGAATAGATAGTGAATATGGGAAGAATGGAAGATCATCAGAAATCTTATTAAAAGAAAAAAAAATCTTGCTTTTCCCTGATTTATCATAATAACGTCCAAATTGTTTTCCAAACTTTTTTTTTTGTCAACTTCTCCTCTACAAATTGTTCAATGTCTATCAGTGTATTGTAAATCTAATGGCTGCGAAATTTCCCCTCCGTTGACTTTTGCTCACTCATTAATGCTGATCTTGGTGCTACCAAGAAGATGTGGTGCGGCCTCCTGAAGCCAGCTAAGCTCAATGGCCGAACAGTTCCTACCATACGCCTTGGCCGTGTACACGTATTCGATGTACATGATGGCATCCATGTTGGGCCGGCCAAATAAGTTGGACGAGGGATGAATACTGATGAGTTGACCAGTGGAACATGTGCGGAAGGATCTGTCAGGCATTCCAATGGCAGTATTGAGAGCATAACCCTTGAGAAAAGACTTCATAATCAGTGGGATATCCAACAGCTTTTTGAGATCGGACATGTAATCCTCGTCGTCACTTGAATCTCCATCCTTCTCATGGATCTGGGCCTTGAGTTTTCTCAACTGCTGCTCTCTCTCATGCTGAGAAAGTGAATCATCTTGTCTGATAGTGGTGGTCATGTAGTCAATCAATTGCTTTCTTACACGCAACACATTCCTGAAGCCCTTATAGCTGAAGTGGAGCTCCTTGCACCATAATTTCAACTCGGTGGTGTTTTTGGAGTTGTTCAAGCTCTGAAAGTACGACAAGTATTCCTTGAGCGCAATCAAGTCACCCAGCTTATTTCCCAATGGACTGTATTGTCTTCTCTTTTGGTTGATTTCGTCTCTCAACTCTCCGTTGCCTCCAATGTTCAATATGAGATTATCTACCGAGAGACAAGAGGCGATGTCGATTACATCATGCAAAACTCCGTAATCCAACGCACTGATGAGGACGGCTGAAAGGGCTGGAGGTAATGGCAAGACGGCCATCTTATAACCAAGAGACGTGATCTTGCCGGAGTTATCCAAAGCTCCCAAAGAGTGCAAAGTGCTCAACGCACTCAAAATGGCCTCCTGACCAGGATGTTCAAGCCAAGTCCAATTAAGAAGATCATCGACTCCCAATTTCTTTAAAGTCAAAATTGGAAGAATCACATCGTTTCTCATGATTTCTGATTCCTGTTGCTTCGGAAGCTTGGTCAAAAGTAGCTTTTCCGAGTAAAGGCGAAATACTTTACCTGCGCTCTCTCTTCCTGCTCTTCCTGCTCTCTGTCTGGCCGAAGCCTGGGAAATTGGTGTAGTGAGTAATGTCGAGAGTCCCAATTGGTGCTTCCATACCTTGACCTTTCTCAACCCAGAATCCACAACGTATTTAACTCCGCTAACCGTGATGGAAGTTTCTGCAATGTTAGTGGCCAAAATTACCTTCCTCTTACGACCCAGAAGCGATTCAAAGATCTTAGACTGTTGAGCAGGTGACAACGCAGCATACAACGGAAGAGGTACAATAAGAGGTGCTTCCTTCGGTAGCTGTGGAGCCACGGTGTTCAAAATGCTTACACAGTTGTCGATTTCCTCTTGACCAGGCAAAAAGCAGAGAATATCACCCTCCTGTTCTCCGGAATTAATTTGCACCACGGTACGGACCATAGTATCGACGATATCTTCAGAAGATCCACTTAAGTAGTGTCTGGAAACAGGATACATCTTACCCTCCACAAATAAGATTGGGGCATTATCGAAAAACTTACTGAAGAGTTCAGCATTCAACGTGGCCGACATGATGATGATTTTGAGGTCAGTGCGCTTCTTGCTGAGAATAAGCTGTTTCAAAAAACCCAAGATGAGATCAGTCAACACCGTTCTTTCATGCGCCTCATCAATGATCACCGTCGAGTATTTTGAAAGTGTCTCGTCCAACATCAATTCTCGGATGAGCATACCATCGGTCAAGTAGTTCAATTTCGTTTGAGAACTGGTGATGTTAGAGAATCTCACCTGGTAACCAATCTCATGGCCCAACGGCGTTCCATGCTCCTCGCTGACTCTTGTGGCCAACGAAGCAGCAGCCACTCGACGAGGCTGGGTGACGGCAATACGCTTTTTGTTGAGAGGAATAAGAAACTGGGGGATCTGCGTCGATTTACCGGAACCAGTCTCTCCAATGATCACATTCACCTGGTTCTGCTGGAAGTAGTCGATAATGGTGTCCTTATGCTGGTAGATCGGGAGTCTTTCACGGATGGAAAGCAAGTCTGATGCTCTTTCGGCCATGGCAGCCTTCAGTTTTCTCGACGAGAGGTTAAAGGCCAGGCTTGGCTCGTCATCGTCGTCATCATCATCAGCAAAAAACACTCTCTTTCCCTTTTTCAGGTCCTTCTTCTTATTCTTCTTGGGACTTGGAGTAGACACTTCGGACTTGGAACTGTCGATGACTTTCGTTCTGTCTTGACTTCCCGTATCAGGGCGTTTGGAGGCATTTGATTCAGACTTCAAAACATCTGTACTAATTTCAGCAGCTTCAAGATGTACCAGTTCATGCTCAGCGGGCACATCATGAGCATGCTCCTCCACCTCTTCCTTCACCTCATCTTGAATGTGCTCTGATGGCTCCAGATCTTCGTCAAATCGGATTTTTTTGTTTGTACGGTTCACATGAACATCCGTTGCTTCAGGCTGGTGGGCCACAACATTTTTCGATCTCTTTCTCTTTCTTTTGCGGGCGCCAGATGTATCGCCAGCCAGAGACATGGTATGGTTGTAGATTTTTTATGTGGAGTCGCACTAAGCTCATCGGTAGATGGATAACCATGCGATGCCATAGGAACTATCTGATGAAGGACATACGATTTTGCCAATTGAATTATTATTTGATTTTCCGTAGTTGAATGGAGTCCTGGAAGTCAGACAAACTATTCTTTTTTTTCTTTAATGCTTTTGATTCTTGTTTTCTCTGAGTTAGTCTGTCTCACTTAGTTTCGCAACAATGATGCTCATTCCCACGTTAACAGAAACCAATTTTTAATGACCAAAAATTCCATCACATCATAAAAAAATCAAAATAAGACGAAACCAAACAAAAGGAAAACATAAAGAGAATGTTAATTGAATTAAGACAAGAAATCCGTAAAAACGAGAATGTAAAAACGAAAAATTCGACTCAATCCATAAATATCTCTGTATTCTCTAATTACTCACTTGATCTTGTACCTAACATTTCCCAAATTCTCATTAATCAAATCACTACCATGTTTCGCCAGTTGGCTAGACCAGCAAACAGCCGGTACATGCGCACATGGTTGGCCAGGTTGCAATCCACCGTGGCCACCACCGAATTGCCACCCGAAACAATCAAGATTGTGCCGTCTGTCGCCGACTTGACTCAACCTGACCATGTCGCCAAAGACTTTGAAGGGTCCCTTGTGGCACATTTACTTAATCGAAACTTGGTGGAGTCGCTCACTTCTGACGATTTGTACGCACTCACTGAGCCTGGTGCCCAGAAGTTGAAGTTGTACTGTGGAGCTGACCCCTCGGCTTCGTCGTTGCACTTGGGTAATTTGTTGCCCTTGATGGTTCTTCTCCACTTCACCTTGCGTGGCCACGATGTGGTGGGACTAGTAGGAGGTGCCACTGGTGCTGTTGGAGACCCCAGTGGTCGTCAGACTGAGAGAGATGAGATGGACGCCAACCAGCGTGAGTCCAACGTAGATATCATCCAGAAGCAGATCCTGGACTTTTTAAAAGGTGGAATTGAGTATGCCAAGCTGAGAAACATTGACGTTTCTCAGGATGGATCAAAATTCGGCAATGTGGAGAGTGTTAACAATGCTGAATGGTGGAAAGACATTAAGTTGTTGGACTTTTTGGCAACTTATGGTCGTCACATTCGTGTGTCGCAAATGCTTGCAAGAGACTCCATTCTGTCTCGATTGGAGTCACAGCTGGGCATAGGCTTCAACGAGTTCACCTACCAGATTCTTCAGGCTTACGACTTCTGGCACTTGTTCAAGAATAGAGGTGTTAATATCCAGGTGGGAGGAAACGACCAATGGGGCAACATTACTGCCGGAACAGACTTGATCTCGAGGATTCAACGTCATTTTGGTGGTATTTATAAGGACAATAAGGAGGCTCCAGCTTACGGTATGACGGTTCCGCTTTTGACCACACCTTCAGGCCAGAAGTTTGGCAAGTCTGCTGGTAACGCCGTTTTCATCAGCTCCAAATTGACCACACCATTCCAGATGTTCCAGTTTTTCATCAACGCACAAGATGAGATGGTTGCCAAGCTCTTGAAAGTGCTCACCTTAATTCCTCTTGATGTCATTGAGGGGACCATCTTGCCTCAGCATAGCGAGGATCCTGGTTTGAGAATCGCTCAACGTATTCTTGCTAGAGAGGTTGTAGATTTGATCCATGGACCTGGTATCGGAGACGAAATGGCATACATTACCAGTTTCTTGTTCCCTACGCCAGATCAACCATTTGATGACGAGATCACTGCCTCCAAGTTGATATCGAAATTTAGCAAGTCTGGAATCATGCAGACAGTTAGCCTTAGCCAGTTTCCCGATGCCAACGACATCAAGATGAGCACATTACTCTCTGTGATTTTTGATAAGTCGAAGAACGAAACCAAGAACCTCATTAAGGCCGGAGGTGTGTACTTCGGTATTGACAGAGACCAATTTGTTGATCCAGATGACGTGGTGTTGTTCGACAGAACAAACCATTTGATTGACGGCCAGTTACTTCTTGTCAGAGCTGGTAAGCAGAAATACCATGTGGTCAACATCACCGACTAGATGAAGGAAAGCTTTAACTTCGACTTGGCTACAGACAGATCTGGAGTGGAACCTTTATCTTGTATATATTAAATAACACTCTATAGACTATTGGCTCAAAACGGTACCCACAGCCTCAATAACGTTATCGAACACCTTGCTGTTGGCAGCGATGACACCCTTAGAGTCCAAGTGTCTCCCCTTGCCGAAGTCCAAAGGAGCACCGGTGATGTCACCAACTTGTCCACCGCTCTCGTAGATCAAGATGTTACCAGCAGCATGATCCCAGATCTTCTCTCTGTAAGTTTGACTAATTGGCAATCTCAAGTAGATGTCTGCCTGGCCCTTAGCCAAAACACAGTATTTGACCTGAGAGTCCAAGTTGACAGTCTGCTGCGACACGGTAGCATCGTCAAAGCCCAATAATCTCTTGATCTGGCTCTGTGTAGAGTGAGACGAATGTCCCTTCTCGACACCTTCAGCAACCTTCAACTTAGCTGGTGAAGTCTCGTTGGTCATGGAGATCTTCTCCTGGTCCTTCAAAGGAATAAACTTGTCTGTAGAGAATAATGAGTGGTAGAACGAGCCAACACCCTTGACAGCCGAAAACAAGCCTCCTTTGATGCCGGTCTGCTCCTCGTTGGACACGATGTTCTCAGCCAAGTTGGGACATCCAATGACTCCCAAAACCACCTTTCCGTCTTCGATCAACGCAAGACAGACGGCAAATTGGTCCCCTCTCAAAAAACCCTTGGTGCCGTCAATAGGGTCCAAAGCCCAAAAACGTCCCTTCGCTCCACCCTCGTAGTTTCCGAGATCAATGGCCTCATACACTGACTTCAAGTCGGTGAGGGTACCAAGAACAGCATCTGAGTTGGCCGTTTCAGTTTGTGCATCGACAAGGATCTCCAAGATCTTGCTACTGAGGTTTTTGGCTTCGTCACTGCCGTCCTGCAACGACTCTGAGTCTTCTTCACCCACAATCTTGTCATTGGGGAAGTTCAACTTGATGGCATGGTTGATGAGGGCCTGCGAGGCATAATCGCCCACAGTAACCGGTGACTTATCATCTTTGATTTGGGTTCCCGATTTCTGGGTGGCAGCAATGGAATCGCTAAGCTTTTTGGTGAGGACAGATGCTCTCTTGACAGCCAAAGTAGCCACTTCCAATTCTTTGGCGTATGGGTGATCTGTAGAAACCATGAAGGAGTTGAAACGGGGGAAAAATGCAAGCGAACGCAGGAAGAAATGCAGACACAGGGTTCGAGGTGCAATAAGGGACAACAAAATGGCCGATAGTGCTAGACTCCAGAGAATTTTTGGAGTTGTCTTCATGAAGGCGTCGTGTGGAGCACAGTAGATAGATAATAGGTTGGAAGATTCAAACACAGATATAGATAGTTTTGGGAAGAAAAGATTGGATATGGATATTTATAGAAGACTGATTAAGGTATCAGGTGAGGAAATAAATACAAATCTGGGTAGAAGAAGATAAGAGAAAGAGAATTGCTAAGGTATTGAACATAATGACTCTGATGCGTATAAGCTGGAAAATGCATGTAGCTAGTGGTCAAGGACATCGAAGTAAGAGTGAGTCTTTCAAATATCTACAAAATGTAGAATAAAAAAAAAACGGGAGGAAACGATAGTCTCAGGATCGATTGTGGTAGTTGTCTTCTTTCTCTCTGACTATAATCATATGAACTCTCAGACTATCTTCTTATTCCCTCTACTTCATAGTTAGTGATCACTCCGATTGTCACCTGGATATACCCTCACCATGTTGCAACAATCCAACATGGTATCGACCTTTCCAGTAAACATTCTACGGACCAAAATAATGAACATCTCCAAAAGGATAATATTCCTCTAAATATCCATATCTCCAAAAATGAAAAGAACAAAAAATTAGCATCCACAACATTACCCTCATTCATCATCACCTATTTCACAGCCTACCTCCTCCCATATACCGGCCCAAACCACTCTTCTTATCCATGCATTCAGGCATCATCTTCATAGGATGCTTGAGCTTGGTCTCGTGGGTCGTCCAGTTTCTTCCCGTTATCTCCGTGCCAATAACTGGCCGTCTGATCAACTATGAACTCCATTTCTCCACCTTCAATAACTACACCTACGGAGTGTTTGGTGTCTGTGATATCTCCAGAAACGTATGCTCCCACCCCACCATCGGCTACCCTAGCAGTGATTTGTTCTACTATGACCATATGGGTGTTTCTGTGACCGACGAGGAACTCGCGGAGATCGGGTTACCTAGCGATGCTACGCGATCCATCTCTAAGCTACTAGTAGTCCACATCGTGGCATTCTGTTTCACTTCGGCACTCATGTTGGAGTCTATTCTTCTACTAGTGGTTCTCTACGTCCATGATAAACATCCTGGGCTGCTGCTTTTGTCATTGTTGCGGCGTCACAACAAGAACGCCACGGAACAACCCATCAAACCTAGAAAGAAAGACATCACGCCGTATCTTGAATGGATGCTCCTCTTTTCGTTGCTTTCATTTGTTCTGACGCTCTTGGCGTTTTTAGCAGATATTCTCTTGTTCATTCCCCGCCTCAGCTTCTTGGGCTGGATCCAGTTGCTTCCTATCCTGTTGATGGCACTAATAGCATCGTTAGTGTGTTTCATGAAACGGTCCATCTCTTCTCGTCGTCACTTGGAAGAGGAGGAGGCATATCCGGCCAATGAGATGAGAAGCAAGAATGGCATTCTGCCTCGCTGGGCTGATGACACCGGCTCAGACGATGGTTTCTATGTCTACACAAATGGTTTCTACACAGCAAACAACGACACCGACAGACAGAGCCCAGAGGTGCACATATTGGGGCCGGGAAGACACTATTCAGATGAGACTCGGCATTCGGAAGATTTGGGAGATGGAATCGAGTTAAGAAATATCAGAAGAGAAAGCTGATCAAAGCTTTCAATGATGCTACTACACCATCTACACGTAAACAATTGCATAAACCACAAAATGGGACATGTCACTAATAACCATCATAGCATGTACTATATCCAAAATATACGATACCAACCCATCAGATCTGAATAACAGCCTGTGCTACATCATTCACGTATGGCATATATTACCTAGCAATTAATAAGCCTTGGGACGAGCACTGGGAGACTCAGATCCGCTCTTTTGGGTTTGTTCCTTCTCCACTTTCTCGTCATCCTCCTCTCCTTTTGGAGTCTCGAAATATGGTCTTTCTCCAAGAACCGTGAGACGGAAGTGATGTCTAGGACCTGTCTGATGTTGGAGGAAATCAGCCACGGCAGTGTGAACCAGGAACCGATTGTCCCAGACAATCACGGTTCTGGAGTCTGTTCCACGGTGGGTGGCCCTGATCTGAAACTCCGGGTTGTTGAGCACATGGTCCTCCAAGAAGTTCAAAATGAAGTCCGACTCCGAAGGCTTGACTCCCTTGACATATTGGATGAATCCACGCGAAAAGAAAAGACTCTTCTCGCCTGTCACTGGATGGGTTCTCACCAAAGGATGCTCCGAAAATGAGGTCTCCTTAACTTTGGTTGCATGGTTGTTCAAGGCCGCAATCTTTCTCTGGTAGTGGTTCGAATGAACCACCGTCAACGTCTCGAAGAACTTCTGCAACTCAGGAGACAATCTCTTGTAAGCTTCTCTCAAATCAACAAACACAGTGTCTCCGCCAGATGGAGGAGCCTCCAAAGCTACGAAGAACGAGAACGATGATGGGTAACGTTCAAAGCTGACATCGGAGTGCCAAACAAAAGTTCCAGTTTTGTTCTTGAACTCCTTCTCGTACCGGGTCTCGTCACCCTCTTTACGAATGGTGACAAAAATCTCAGGGTAGTTCTCGGCTGCATAACTTGTGTGATGAATGTGCAATGGTCCAAAGTATCTGCCATAGTCTCTAACAAACTTAGGACCCTTGTCTCTGAAGTCCTGATTTCTGAACACCAAAAGGCCCCTGGTCTCAATCAATAAGGCCAAGTCATTCTTTGCGGCATCGTCCAACTCACTGAGCTGGATTCCGTCAATCTCCGTACCATAGTTTGGAGACAAGTCGAACTTCTCCACTTTAGTATTTCCCTTGAAGAGATTCTTGAATTCGGGATCTCCCAAATGGCCTTTGTCGTTCTTCTCGTGGCCAGGATTGTTGTGGTTGACAAATGCATTGGCATCTTCCAACTTAGTCTTGTGTAAGAATTCCGGATACTTAACAGTCTTCTTCTCCTGTTCGAATTCTTCATCGGTTAAGAAACGGCCATTTTGGCTTGCTTGCTTAAATTTCTCAACGAATTGTGGGTCGTCGAACTCAACTCCTGTGGGTCTCCAGTAGGTAACCATTATTGCTGATGGTCATCATAACAAGATATATGCTTAACTTATATCAGATCAAAATCTCAAATTGTGGAGGTGCAGCCACAGTGTGGCTTTTCCCCAATGTTTGCACATGGCCCATTCTAGCACCATTTGTAGACTCTCGCTTCAACGTATACGTCGTGTATATGACATACAAAGTCATGCGCCACAAGGAGTTTTGGCTGGGTGTTCTGGGGTTGACGTTATCTTTGGAGATAATTCGCAGCCATCAAGAGGAAAGGTGACTGCGACATATGGACCTTGTCAACATAGGAATGGGTAACAAACTTGGCGAATGACTACAAATGGCTAGAAACAGGAGAAAAATTGGCAAGTTTGAAAATTGGCAAATTGGCATGGGTTATTATTGGTCGTGCTATGGAGAGAATAATTCCTTATTTTCTAGTTTTGTGCTACAAGTTCGTTATTTCAGAGAGGTTGATTATGGATCAATTATTATGACAGATGTTGGTGCAGGAAACCAGTTCGGATAAAGATAATATCATCAGATAACTAATACAAAAAGACATTCACGGGACTATCGGGATTAGTAAAGTGAAGCAAGAAGTTCGAAATTTCGTCAACAAATTGCAAATTCATTTGGATTACGTTATCGGATCGTTGTTGGATTTGTGCCGAGGTGATGTGCAATGTTGCGATGTGATTGCAACATTAGACCCAGGAATTCCGATGGCGTTATCCGTTCTCGGACCTTCGTGATCAGAATCGATTGAATCTGGACTCCGATATGCTTGCTTTAGAAGATACAATTCGAATGGCACTGGGCATTTCGATTGTGAATGGATAAATCAAACTAGTCAAATGTGTAGATATTCTCGAGCAATTGAGTTAGATCTTTAACGACAGAGGTCTTCCCTCTACATTATCTCGTCTCGTTTATGCACAGACTTCTATCGTCTATTGTCAACTATGTACGGGTCAAAGTCAATTCCCAGCTCCATTCTTGCCAGTAAGCATCTCCATCACGTCAAGCTTCACCTTGGGAGATGCCCCACCATATTCAACAATTTGGTGGCCCAAGTTCGTAGCCTGAACAGAAGCAACTAGTTCAGAAATCTCAGTGGCTGTCTGGATCTCTCGAAGCTTGTGCATAATCTCCACTCCATGTTCGCCCAATAATTGCGGAGTAGTATCTTTCACAAGTTTAACCAAGTGTGACAAATCATAGGTGTTATCTACAACGTTGGAAAGCACAAGTTTGAGCAAGCTCGTGGTCATACCGTAATGAAATACAATTGGCTTCAAGGAGGAAATGTCCCGAAGAATCTGCTTCTTGGTAAATTGCTGCTGTGTAGCAAGTTTGGTGTATCTAGCCATGTAGAGTTCAAAGGTCTTTTGGGCTGGAGCCACTCGGTAGTTTCTGCACAACAAAGTCAAGGCTTTGTTGGACGTCGAAAGGTCTGAAGATGCTGCTGTAATGTAGGCAAGACGGTCAAGTGTCACTGGAGGCAAGTCTTCCAACAATTGCGGCACAGACACCACCAACGTAGTGTTAAGAAACGTGTCAAAGATTTCAACCTTTTCAACAGATGCCGAAGCAAACAAGTCGTCAAGAAGTATAGCCACGAAGTCGTTCATGACGAACGGATTGAGAAGGTGGGCGTTTTTCGTGAGATATTGTATGATCATCGTGTAGCCATCGACACTTGCCTTTGTAAGAAGGAACTGCGTGATAGTTTCGATGGTGATATTGCTGTTTGGGGTATCAATGAAGAAAGTGTAAAAGTTCTCGAGGCTATCGTACTGCTGCAACACGTCATCGGAGAACTGGTTAGCTATAAGTTTGTTTTTGGAGCTATGGGTATAGGTCAAGGTACTATCCGATTGTGGAAGCTCAGAAAGCTCAAAAATGTCCAGATTCAACTTGTTTAGCCACGAGGAGGCCAAGTTGGCGAAAAGAAGCTTGCTGCCGCTCACAGATGATTTGGACACCACCTGATATCCATCTTTTCCTGACAATGGACATCCCAAAGCCAAAGAGGTCACAGCCACGTCTTCGAACGCCGGGCGAATGAGCAAGTCACATACATCGGATGGTCTAACAATGTCTTCGTATAATCTTTTAGTCAGGGACAAATCGGGAGGGTTTGGGATGGCATCATTGATTTCCTCCGGTGAACGTTCAAGGTCAAAGTGGCCGAGACTTCCAGTGGGAGTGAAAGAGAGAGAATGACTGGACCGCTGAAATCGAAGACCGGAGATAAGGCCACCACGAGGAAGACTTCGAATCATACTGAAATGTTAAAGAATGTGGTGAAGGATATCGGTATGAGGTATTGATCGTGAAAATAAAATTTGGTGCGAGTATGTACAAGTCTGGGGAAGTGTTAAATGAAGTAAATGTCAGTAGGTTCAAAATGAAGATTACGAGAATCGAAGCGGGTAAAGAAAGTAAAAAAAATTCGGAAGATGAATTATGAATTACAAATTTCAAAAGTTATTTCATTGGGAATCATGCTAGATATTGTCAATAAGGCAGTTCATAGCGATCTGGATGCACATTCAAACTTAACTGAAACCTTACAAAAGGATTTATGGAACAATGACAACTTTGAAGAAATAAAAGAAAGAAAAAATTAATTTAAAAATCGAACAAGTCTTAAATAGAATCTCACAATCTCCGAACTTAGAAAGAATCGATGTTCGTTAAGTATTTCTTCATACTACTTCAGCTAGTATTCAGTTTAGCTGACTTCTCTGGAGTCAACTATGTCGAAGGCACTTTAAATACCCTTGCAAACTACCACAAATCTCCGTGCTCTTACGATGCTCTAGCCGATTACATCGATCAGTGTTCGGAAAAGTCGTTTGAGCTTGTAGACTCACGGCTCAGGCTCCAACTGGCAGTAAGGCTTTCACTATGTGAGTTCGAAGAGGCTGGAGTGGAGTATCCAGACGCATGCAAGCATATCACCAGCAACGAAGAATTTTCAAGATGTGTGAAACTTTTCAGGGCATCCTCCCTACTCTGGACGACATATTCTGGAAACTATAGAAAGCTTAGAAGCGTGTGCTATGAGGAATCACTTCCATATACGAAATATCACATCATCGAATTATATACAAACATCACAAACGCATACTCGATGTTCTACGATGCCATGAAAGACTCTTTTGATGCCACCAGTGCCAAGCAGGACGAAGTGATGGCCAAGTTGCTCCAACTACTAGTTCTTGTCGATGAAGCCATAGAGAATAAAACAGCTCAGTTTGAAGGCTTCCACCACGCCACTTCACAGCAGATGCAAATTATGCTGGGGCTCTACCTCGACTTGCATGGCCAGTTTTCGCTGCTGGCAAAGCACATTTTAGACAAAACAACATCGTTGGGTGAGGACTTCCAAGGCGTGCTTGAGGTCGTTACCACCGGCCGAAAAGAGCTAGCTAACGCTCAAAAATTTGAATACAGTGCAATTCTCCACGACTTACATTCACTTGCACTGTTTCTACATGATAGTATGAATCATGCTGGCCTATTGGTTGATAGTCTCCATCACACACTGGAGCAGGGCCGAATTGTGAAGAGTATCATTCTGGAAAATACACAAAGATTCCAAATGTTTTTTGTCAATCATCTGGATTCGCTTATTGGCTATCACGATGTGGCCATAGATATTGTTTCCGATATTAACAATGAACTTGGAGAAATAGAACATCAAACTGGAGCCATTGGAAGGTTGGCCGGAATCACCAAGAACTTGCTAGATGAACATTTTCATGACATTTCAGAGGTAACTAGAAATATCACCCAAAGATTTCAAGTTGTTTCTGGCTATATATCTGAATTCCCGTTGTCCATGTCATGGATGTTCCAAAGTATTGGTGAGTGGTCTACCAAGTTATTCGCAGCCATTATCTCATTGGCTATGCTCATGACTTTGGTCAGCACTTCCATGCGAAACCTCCAAGTTTCCAAATTCTTCATGGGACTTATCCCGGGCCTTTTCCTTGGACTTCTCCTCCGCCTATGGTGGCTGATGTACTTCCTGTCACTTCTCCACATCTGATCACTGTACATAGCGCGATAAGTCACTTATCACCAACTGGTTGGTCTCCAAGTGGAGACACACAAAGCAATGAAACCTACCTTGCTACTAACGTTGATAGGCCTATATAATTGGTCTTACGCTTTGGGTTTGTGGTTCAAGGCACCCTCGTACCATCCAGAACCAATCGATACTACAGTGTACTCCAATCTCTTCACATATGCACATCTTATTGATATTGCTTACTGCGTGGATAAGTTTCACCAGATAGGAGAGCCATTTGATTGTGAATTGGCATGCTCCTCTAGGTTTCCAAATATGACTCTTGTGAAGCAATGGTATTTTGATGATTCTGTGGCTGGCTACATAGCCACCACTCACTCCAACATCTTCCAGTACAAAGACCCAAGCACGATAATGTCTCGCAAAAAGAAAACAATCGTGGTGTCCTTGCGAGGAACACGCTCTCTCTATGATACTATTGCCGACTTGAAGGTGGATATGGTGTCGTACTCCAATTTGAGATACTCACTTCCATATTGTGGACTGAATTGTAAGATCCACATTGGATTCAATGAGTATTTTCAGAACACCATCAGGACTATCCACCTGGTGCTAGAGAACGAGTTAGAAGACCTGGAGGATTACGAATTGGTCATGTTGGGCCATTCCATGGGTGGCTCTGTGGCTTTACTATTGGCCCTTCACTACCTTGACTTGGGATATGGCAAGATCACCTTAGTGACAATGGGTCAGCCACTTGTAGGGAACCGTGAGTTCACAACTTGGGCAGACTATGTTTTAGGGAGCTACATGCCCGTTACACACAATACCTTCGACCGTATCTATCTTCGGGTGGTCCATAAGGGCGATATTGTCACCACCATACCGAAGAATGGAGGTATGCTCTTTGAGCACTACTACCAATTTGACAACCAGATCTACCTCAACATTTCCGCGAGAGATACCATGCCAGGGCCTCAGCAAGTGGTGGACTGTTTTTCAGGGGATAACTCTCGGTGCATAGCCAAAGACTTCCAGGCTCGAGACTTGATCTCGAACAATTATTACGAGAACCACAACACCTATTTCCGCCGGCTTGGGCTTTGTGGGATACTGCCGGTGTGAGACTTTGCATATTTCAATTCGAGTATTTATTTTTATTCCACTAGTGAATGGATTTTATCTTTGAGCATCTGTATTAGACTGAGAAAGGAGTTTGAAAGGCATAGGAAGAGGTATATGTGAAAAAGAGAGTCTGAATGAAGAGTATTTGAGAGACCGAAAGGTAGAACGCTTTAGCCAGTGTGTACATCTTCGTGGCATTGTGACAAATAAGGAGTACCGAACTTTTGGAGAGTAGGATATTAAAATATAAAATTGTACTTTCCAGTTCCACATAGACGGATGGATCAAAAACTTGATCCAAAATACAATGATAAGGAGATTAAAGGTTGCACAATTAGAATATTAGTGTAAACATTGTAGAAGGGAAAGTGTCAGATACATGAAGTTGGGAAATGGCCAGTCGTCGATAACCAAAGTAGTGACCGCCTGAAACATTCAGTTTATACTGTGAAAGTGTCTACCTAAAGAGAAGAATCGAAGAGAGAATATTAATTGGGGAATGAGGTTCAAGTCTGAAACTTATCTTGAACCGAAGCTAATTGAGAAAACAACAACAAAAGCTTGTTTTAAACTGGCTTTCTAAATAAAGGAAGTATGAACGGATTTTTAGTGCCGAAACCCTAGTTCCTACTTACGATTACATAAGGTAACTTATCTAGAAACTCTATACAATGACTAACTGAGGTATTACTTTTACCGTCCGACTATCTTACCATCTATCCGTCGATAACTGCGCGAATGAAGGTTACCACCACTAATTCCTATTCTGGTGCTGCGCTTTGGCAGAAGTTCGATGGCCAGTGACTCCCCGTCAATAATGGTCTGAGGAAGCTCAGGAACTTTTAGAAAAGCTGGCCCATCACCGACAAGGAACTTTACACAATGGTATTTGCGGTCGAAAAATTCGATTTCTACGTTGCAAACTACCCTAGACTAATATTCAGAGGGCCACTTGATCAAATTCTCAATACGTTGTCTTCTGAAGCTAAGTATCAGCTATGGCTCTCCATCCTGCAGCCATATTTGGGAGCATTTTTTATTTTGCATAGATATGGAAACCTCGACCCAGATAATTTGTCTCATACAGCCTTTAGATTACAAGATTATTGTTGAACATTAGTGTACTCGTTCGAATCTTTCCCACCTTTGGCCGCAGTTTTGCTTGACCTGATAACATTAAAAATGTATTTATCCTGCTTAGTAGCTTTTGCTCGTGGCACATTCAATTCTACGAGTATCACCTTAACATTGTACGAGAATCTATTTAAATTGTGGCTGTAGTCTACAATTTTCAAAATACGGAGACAAAGAAAAACAAGAAAAACAAAAAAAAGACGATGAAGCAATTGAACATAAGTTGCAAAATTCTGGTTCCCAAAAAACTTTTTGGATCATAATCAGAATCTGCTTTAACGTATCTTCCCAGAATGCTCCAAATCCATGTTTGGGTGGGCCTTATCAAACTATGCAGGCCTTGTTTCTAAATTAATCACTTACTCCGACTTCAAAGAAACATGACTCGAGAACCTACAAACTCGCTAATACTTACCAAACTCGATCAATCGCTCCTCGCGGATCCACAGATTCTCGCCGATCTCTTGGTTTCTCGCAACTTCAACGTGGAGTTGGTCTTTCTACCCAAATTCGCTAGATACATCATCATCTGTGCATCTAGTCTGGTGGCCCTTCATGTTCAAGATTTCTTATCGCAAAATCTCAAGGATAAAGTGACAATCTCCTATAGCATCAAAGACAACCGGCTGGAGATCTTGGAGGACCACCTGTGGCTATTGCAATCCGAAAAGGGTGATTCAACGTATCTTGAGCTTCCTCTGGAGGAAGGTACACGAAGATTTCTCATTCTGCCTCCACTTTCGCCCCATACGGAGTGGTCTGACTACGGTAAGGAAGAGGAGGGCCCCAACAAGAAGGCCGTCTACTCTCCAGAAGAGCTTTCCCATCTTCTATGGGACCGGTTTGGAGGTTTCGAAAGTTCAACTCTCAAAAGATTCAATGTGGAGGCCAGCGACGACGATGAAAACGAAGAAGAAGATACTCTGGGCTTTGTAGACATTTCTAATGGGCCTGAGGTGCTTTTTGAAGACATTCACAGCGGAGTGCCAGCTATAGTGGTGGATAGTGTGAAGAATCAGAAAAAGGGCTACACTCCGCCACTTCCCAAAACGGCCATGCCGCCACAATAGCCTAGACAGCTACAATTTTATAGCGGAAACCATCTATAGAAAGAAAGAATTAAGAAACGAAAAGTAGCCAAAAATGGCCGATAACCTCCAGAGGTTCTAAATCTCTGGACTATTCACTGTGCACTCCCTCATCATGAGTGGGAATTTTTTCGAGCGATGAGATCGCATAGTTACCAATTTTATAAAAAAGTTAGCCATGGCCAAAAAAACGAAGTCGGCTGCCAGCCCCAAAACCCCAGCCAAGACTAAAAAGGCCGTTTCCGCATCTCCTGCTGCATCTCCTGCCAAAACAAAGAAGACAAAGGCTCCAGCTAAGTCTCCAGCCAAGTCTCCAGTCAAATCTTCAGCCAAAGCTCCAGAGTCCACCGGCAAAGAGTATGGCTATGTGTCAAAGAAACAAGCATCCAAGGCACTCAGTGAGTTGAAGAAGTTCTTGGAGCGTCAGAGTGAGAGCCCCAAAACCGATAAGTCGGAGTTGTTCGATGAGGACGACGATACCGTCGAAGAGTCCGGAGACTTGTTCTTGCAATTCCAAACCAAGAAGTACTTCTCCAAGAAGCCTGAGTTCAAGCCCAAACTCATCGAATTGACCAAGCCTTTCTATAGAGAGAACGAGGAATTGAAGACGTGCTTGTTCCTCAGAGACCATTTCATCACCAGCAATGAACAATTGGAGGAGGTCGAACAGGCAGACATCCCTACGTTGAAGAAGATCCTCACATTAACCCAGTTGAAGACTATCTACCAGACATTTGAAAAGCGTCGTGAGTTGTACAGTGAGTACGACTTGTTCGTCGTGGACGATGCACTTTTGAGCTCCATGCCTCTGGTTCTCGGTAAGACCTTCTACTTGAACAAAATCGAGAAGTTCCCAGTCAACGTCAGAGTTGCCAGCACCAAAGCTCCTAAAGAGTTGTCGCTTGTGACTCTCGGTAATCAGATCAACAAGGTGTTGTCGTCTACTGCATTCTTACCTCCTGTTGGCACCAGTATCACCATCAAGATCGGAAACTTGTCAAAGTTGTCAGAGCCTGAATTGCTTTCCAACTTGCACGATGTGTTGAAGACCTTTGACCAGGATCTGCTTGTCACTGTGGGTGTCAAGACCTCCGAGTCGCCAGTGTTGCCACTTTTCTACACTGACAAGATCTACAGCGATGCTGATGTTCTTGAAAACGCTCCAGACGCTGAGGAAGAAGAAGACTCCGAGGACATTTACACCAAGGCATTGTTGGAGTTGGGTGATGAGCAAAGTGTCGCCAAGGCACTTGGTGGAGAGTTGAGAAAGTTGAAGAAGACCAAGAAGAGCAAGGGTGTTAGTAAGCCATAGACAGCATTGTACAATATACGATTTGAGAATTTGCTAGTAATTATCTTTGCGAATATTTACTTCTCAATGGAGATAGGTTTCGCAGCCAATTCAACTCACCGAATATAACCCAGAACCTCTAAAAACACTCTCGAGAAAAAGATACATGAATAAATAAATACTCTTAACATAGCAGTGTCTCACAAGCTCCCTTTCTCTCAAGTTTCTTCATTTACATTCTTGGTCAGCCATTGACCCAACTTACTTTCATTCATCACCTACTCCATATTATGTCGGACTCGCGTATCTCTCATACGACCACTCCACATGTGGATTCTAACGTTAAAATACAATGGCGAAGGTATGACCTTTCAAATCTAGGAGATTTTCAACCCTTTCACTAACATTCAGATTCTACAAGGGTGCTTCGAGCCAATTCACTGCTAAACGTGGGACGAAGCCACGATTACAAGTCTGATGGTGTCAGTCTTCACATTGGCGACTTAAAAGTACCCAAAAAGTACATCACCATCACCACAGGGCCAAGCGAAGTTGAAGTTCTCGACAAGACTAAGCTTACTATCCGCTTTGACTCCATTTGCACCACCACCGTCAACGATGTGGTGTATAAATTACCGCAGAAAGAAGCACATCCTATCTCGCAGACTTTTGACGCCGATAAGCTTGTATTGAAGGTCAATGCTAACAAATCAGATAGAATCCAACTCCACTTAGTGTGGGAGCCTGTCCAGTTGCTTGTTTTCTCCAAAAGAATCCAGTACGAGGGTCAGATTCAGCCCAGTCCACTTCCGGGTATTATTCGAGATCTCCACTCTGAAGGCTTGGATTTGCGTACTGTCACAGACCCTTTAATCGCCACTCATTACATCACCATGTCTGATTTTGTTGATTACAACCTCCAGATCGCTGTTCTGTGTGGAATACCAGTAGTTTCTACGAAATGGATCGAAGTACTTGAGAATGCACCTGACAACGTTGCAACATGGTTAAGCCCACAAAAAGATCTCTTGTTAGCAGGTACAGAAGGCGACTTTGCTTTCCCAAATCACTTGCGTCGTTTGCTTTTGGCTGGTACTCACTGCCTCATATACTACGAAGGCACACCTCTGAAACACGTACGCCGGTTACAAAGCTGGCTAGAGTGTCTAGGATGTGCCAGTGTGGCTATTATAGATGTAAAGAAACTTACACGAGAAGCTTTGAGTATGTTCGGCTTGAGCTGTGTCTATCTTTTTACATGTATAGATGAGCCTTCAACTGTCCCTTTCAAGGTTAGGGCAAATAACACTTCTGACCTCTGGAGGGCAGTCGTGGACGTCGATATTGTGAACCTTAAAGTATCTACATCAGCTGATCTATTCCCTGAGCCCACAGTGAAAGAGGAACCAGACAGTTTAAGGTTGACCCAGCGAAGAAAACGACGTAGGGTCGAGCGTGTTAATGATACAGATTTCTTTCTGTTCAGCCAAGTTTCTAGTCAGCCAGCCGCTGACTCTTTGAATTTGGCGGTAAATTCTGGTGAGAATGAAAAAGAACTAGAGAAATCCCAGCTGTCACGTAGGGAAAATTCAAACGTCGCTGAAAGTTCAGAACAATCAAAAGTTTCGGAACTTCAGGAGCAGAATCCTGAAGATGTTTTAGAGGTACATGAGGTGAAGGCTACTCAAAAAAAACACTTTAAAAGCTCACATAAGGAACAATCTGTTGAGCCTGTGACCGAACCATTACATGGAGAGACCTCTGTTGAAGTCGAGCAAAGTATCAGCATACAAGATGACCGTGAGCAAAGAAAAGCAGAAATTGAAGCAGGAACAGAGAATATAGAACCGATCCCTAAAAAGCAAAAGAAAGAAGCAAAGTGGATTGTTCCTCGGGTATCTCTTGCCGATGCTGTTCTTTCGACCAAGAAGCAAGCTGATGTTGAAGCCAGAAAGGACTTCGAATTCGATGATATTGGATCGCAGTTCGAAAAACTTGTGGTTGTTGAAGAAATTGACTTGAGTAGAAGAAAAGAGTCGGTGCCTCTGGTGTCTATTGCTTTGTATAAGGGACGCAAGAACTTTAAGAAGTTCAAGAAGAACGGCCCACTGACTCACAGTTTTACTAGGAAATTTCTTGAGTTGGAAGATGACAATAACGAGATTCATTTCTCCGACATACCAGCAGCTCCGAAAGAGCCCATAGCAGAGAAAATCCGTGTGGACTTTGCACAAGAAATGGATAGCGTGAAAGGATACCAGCCATCGCAATTATTTGTTGCAGAGGATGATGAAGATGAGGAGAATGATGAGACGACCTTTTCGTTTCTGGCCAGTTCAAAAGTCCCCGTGAGAGCACCGGCTGAGGAGAGTGACGATGATGATGATGATGATGATGATGATGATGATTTTGCATTCAAGTTCTCTCGAGCTTGACATTATAGTACATAAGTGCTACATAAATTCATAAGTCGATTTCTCTATTAGCGAATGTATTTCTATGCCCTTACCTACGTGCTCTTTTTCTGGAGCTTCCCCCGTTATCACCAGTATTTATGTTCATCAGACGTTTTGACCCCAGTCCAGTGGCACTAGAGCTCGAATCCTCACGTTTGATTGAATCAGCAGGATCATTTAAGATTTCACTCATGAAGTCGTCAATCCCCGAATCTGCGTTAGACGGACTCTTCAGCAGTTGCTGCAGTTGTTGTTGTTGCTGCTGCTGCTGCTTACTGATCTGATCAATCCACTCTTGTGTGTGGGCCAAATCATTGCCGTGATCTTGGAGCTTCTGCTCGAGTTTCTGGAAATTGTCGTTCGAATCTTGATTGCCAAAGTAGTTGTTCTGCAACTCCGGGAAGAAATGACGAGGTGAATCCACAGGCTCTTGGTTCATAAATTGTTGGAGGAACTTATTGTTTGAGTCATAGTCTTCTCCATTTCTCACTATCTCCTCAACTGAACCGTCCTTCCATGTGGAAGATGGCGATCTAGTATCCGAAGGTGTCTTCTGGTATGTCAGATCCATCAACATCAACCGTGGCCGCTGTACTGGCGTTGGAGATGGTGAGTAAATGTTGTTACCCTGTGGATTATTGCGGTAACCCTGTTTGGCTTGATTGTTGAAAGCCAGTACCTGATTATTGGCATCATGTGGACCGTTCTGCACCTCGAAAATCTTTCCAGCAGACTTGCCGTAGGCGGCCTCCACAAAATTGACGATTTTTTGTATCATCTGGGACAGCTTGCGCTCTCTATCTCTTGCGTTGACAATTTCCTGCCAGAGGTTCTGGTTATCGGCGCGGATCCTTCTCAAGTCCTCCAGCATTGCCAACTGTGTCATCTTGAGCTTGTCAACCTCGGTTGTCATTACTTGCAAGTTCACCAAGCTATTATCCTCTTCCAGGTTCGACTTGTTCCGCACAATGTTGTCTAGTAGATCCTCCCTTCCGCGAATGAAGTCAGGATTCTTAAACTGGAAGGCATCGTCCAGGTTGGAGCCCTCCTTCATTGTGCCGCTGGTGACATCTTGCACCTTGTGCCAGCCATACATGTTCAACTGGCGTACGAACGACGCAAAGTTATTGTGTTTGAAGTAGTTTGGCAAGATCAACTTCATAAACTCTTCACGGTGCACAACAACAAATGCTTCTCCATCATCTGTCCACCGGATATAGTCATGATTTGCAGGGTCATTGACCATATTCCATACTTTTAGAACGAACGCGGGTCTAGTCTTGGGACCCTGGTCTTTCTTCTTCTTGACGGCTCCAATTAACGCTTGTCGTGATGATACTCCATTGGACATGTAATCTGGCACCATTGGCATATTCAGATACGAAATATTCGGTATCACCGGCTCTGTAAGTGGAGGTAATGGAGGTAATGGATTGGCATATCTTGTGAGGGCCCCGAGTAGTTGTGATCGACATCGTTCGGCTGGGTGGCATCCATGCCATTGCCAAACTCAGAAAGGGCTCCAAGATTCGGAGATAGGAAGTCTCCGTTGGACTTCAGATGATCTAAATCACCAAAAAGATCTGTGTTTCCCGGCAGAGGAGTGGGAAGATCAAACGATTGGAGTAATGTCGGGGTATCTACAACATCAGGAAGCCGCTGGTGGTCATTTTGTGGCTTTTCGGGCTCTTCCCGCTTGATTATCTCAATGTCATTGTCTTTACTGATGGACTGATCCATGTCATGGGAAGTCATGTGTGGTAGTGGATGTACCAAGTATGAAGACTGCGTGTGTGGCGAAATCTGCTAATTTTGGAATTGTGGAAGTTGCGAGAAACGTCTGAGATGATTATTATATGGTGCAAGGTAAAGTTGCTAGAAGGTTCTATGGAGAAGAGTAGGTTTTGGAGATTGTGTGTAGGTGATGAGCATCTCTGTGCAGTATATGGTGATAATGAGTGAGATTGGGATTAGCGGATTCTTGAAAATTATCAGGAGATCTGACAGTTGTGAAGTGTTAACATAAGGGTTTATTTTTTTCTCAAAATAGAAATTACTTTTTGAATTAGCGTGGTCGTGCGATGATGTATTAATGGTGAACTGTGGGGTCTCTGAGTGTTCCGTGGCCGGTCTTTAACAACCAATTCTATGTACAGTAGCAATAAATATGGCCAGCAATGATGAATCTAGAGTCTGGTCTTTGGGGTTTGGGAAAGAATATCGACTATGCGATTGCAATTGCGTCATTATGAAGGCATTAACAAAGTGTCTGGTGGACAGTAACTTAGTAATTATCATCTTGTAGTCATTTCAGTAGTCCAATCAGGTTATCCAGCAATTCATAGATCCCTCTATTACTGTAACTTCCAATAGGACTGATCACTCACATCTTATTGATTAAATCGAGTGGAAGCTTGGAAACAAATATGTCATCCAATTTATATCCTTCGATTATACCGTGGGCCTCGCAATTCTGACAAAAGCATGCATCGTCTGGACATGTGCAAGTCTCTGGCTGATCTGGGGTCGACGAATCGCTTTGTGGAGTAGTATTTGAATTTAGAAGCTGCTGGATGAAGCCGAGAGACTCGTTGTTTCGAAAACTTCCATCCTTAAGTAGATGTTCTTGTAGCTGCTGCTGGTATGTGCTGCTATTGAGTGGGTCTTTTTGGATGTATAAATTTTGGAGGGAACCCTGGTGTGAATTCAGTAATGAACTCTGAACTTGATTCTGAAATGCGCCGTGGTGTGAATTCTGGAGTGGATTTTGAAGTGACGTATTCTGTAATGGATGTTTGTGATCATCAGGAGTCACAGAATTAATTCCTCGATCTAGTGGATTGGCAATGTTATGAGCAAGCGTATTCTGGAATTGGAGCGATCCATCTTTAGATGTGAGAATGAGATTTGTGCCAAACTGCGAATCGCTGTTTAAATACTGGAGATTCGACGCTGGAGGAGCGTTATTATGCACCTCGCAATTAGGACATTGGCAGTCGGACGAACAGCAGCACGACCCAGGAATAGAACATGATGGCACGTTGATCACCTCAAACACCTCTTTTCCCGATTCAGACGTCAACATTCCCGATGTTAGAGTGTCCATAAATGGGAAATTCTGGGTGGTATCCTGGAGATCAAAGAATTGGGGAATGAACTGAGTTTCTGGAACCCCTAATTTAATATTAGCTTCATTCTTGGGTTTTTTGGAGCAGCACAGTCCCTGTGATTCGTCTTTTGTCGAGATTCCATTTGTATTTCTGGTGGAGCAGCACAGACTTGCCTCTTGAGTAACAACTGAGGGACTCTTTTCCTTCTTCAGGCAACAGGAGCCTTTCTGGATCAGATTCAGTTCTGCTTCTGTCCTGACTTTATCCAGCTCAAATTCTGTCTTGATTGGTCCAATATCTGAATTCCCCTGCCCCATTTCGGTTTTGTTCAGTCCTAGGTCATTCAGATGCAACTTCTTGATGTATGTCGACAAAATCTTCGACTTGGATACCCGTTTGTGGTTACAAGTACACAGTTTCCTCACTTTTGACACCCCTTGGCTGCAGCATGGAGTGGAATTCACAAAGCTTTCTGCCCTGATCACTGGTTTTGATATCTGATTCTTCTGTTCCTCTTCATTGTATGGCCCAACAATCTGGCCACTACTCAAATCTATGATGTGCTTATCTGAAGCCTTCAAAATGATCACCGGGAGCTTCTTGCAATCCAGGCCTTCAGGCTCGGGTGAAGATGCTATTTCCTCGGCGAACACGGCTATTCTATGATTCTTATTTCCACTGGAAAGAACCACATTGGGCCGTCCTTTGGAGCGAACTTGTAGAAGCGGCCTAGTATGGTGGCGGCACAGCGATGAGCGGTGACCTCGAACACATTCCAGGCACAGGTATTTGATCCCATCGATTAGAATCATGCTTTGGTTGCAAGAAATGGGAGTTGGTGTTGGAATGTATGTCTGGGTCGAAAGTTTCTGGGTCTATACTGTAGAATTCAGATGAATGGATGTTTGAGATTTGGGATTTCGCTTGAGCTTGCAGGGCCTAATGGCGAGAAGTAACAGTGGTAGTAATGAAGGAAGGCTTTTCTTAACATAATGTGGTTCATAGTGAGCAAATTAGGTTCCCAAAATGGTCATTTATATACAGGTTAATTATGAAACCTAGGTGAATAAGATCAAGAAGAATTTGTATGCTGTGATTGAAGATGGTTGATTTTCATGATCTGAATTATGAATTAGGCAGATTGAATTTATTTCAATCAATTTTGTCTTGCTTTTTTGCATATACCAACTGTGTCAGTAAAGGATCACTTTCAATTTGGTGTGGAGGCTGCGAAAAGTGCCAATGGGCCAATTCTTTGAAGGTGAGCTATGTTCATTGATACATCCACAAATCATATACAACTTCTAAAAGACTCTCATGCTTCGAATATTCCTGCTTCCAGCTTCTAATGGGTTTTCATATATTTTTTTCCTTATTCCAATTTCCCCCTTCTATTACATAGGGATCTGGTAATCACATCTATATTCCACATCGTAGTATCTCTCTCCACACTATCTTGATTCCAGATCGTTCTCTTATTATTCTCACATTTCTTCATTTCCCTGTGGCCATACTTTTGCGCCTCTTCCCGGCTCAGTTCCTCGCTCTCCTCGTCTAAGTCTTATCTCTGACTCACCTATTCGTACAGGCCGATGCGGTCAGATAAGATGTGAGGCAAGACTGGAGAGAAACAGCGACACCTCTCAGTAACATTTTCAAAAATCACACGATACTTAGAAAATATTACATTTATAATATTATCAGAACTCCCCTCCTCTTTTCCTCTATTTACCTTAATCTCACCTCATATCTGTAATAAGCTCATTTATCTCTATTTTCCCAAACCCTATGTTCCCACCATAACACTCATAAGACACACCCGTACACCATGTACCTCTCAACTAACTCAGAAAAAGTCTTCGTGTTTCTCACCAGTGAATGCTAAAGAACCTAGCACGCAAGCAAATTATGACGACCTCCTCGCATCCTTGGTCTGCTAGCAAAGTTAGAACCACCTTCTTGGACTACTTCAAGGACCGTGAACACTCGTATGTTCCATCTTCCTCGGTAGTGCCCCACAATGACCCAACTTTGTTGTTTGCCAATGCTGGTATGAATCAGTACAAACCCATTTTCTTGGGTACGGTGGACCCCACCTCGGATTTTGCTTCTTTGAAGAGAGCCGTTAACTCGCAAAAGTGTATTAGAGCTGGTGGTAAGCATAATGACTTAGAGGATGTGGGCAGAGACTCTTATCACCATACATTCTTCGAGATGTTGGGAAACTGGTCGTTTGGTGACTACTTCAAGAAAGAGGCTATTGGCTGGTCATGGGACTTATTGACCAACGTTTATGGCTTGCAAAAGGACAGATTGTACGTCACCTACTTTGAAGGTGACGAGAAGAATGGCTTGGAGCCCGATTTGGAGGCCAAGCAGTTCTGGTTGGATGTTGGTGTGGCTGAAGATCACATTTTACCTGGAAATGCTAAGGACAACTTCTGGGAGATGGGAGACCAGGGTCCATGTGGTCCCTGCTCGGAGGTTCACTACGACCGTATTGGAGGCAGAAACGCTGCCAGTTTGGTCAACATGGACGATCCAAATGTTTTGGAGATCTGGAACATCGTGTTTATTCAGTACAACAGAGAGCCAGACTCGTCGTTGAAGTCTTTGCCAAGCAAGCACATTGACACAGGTATGGGTTTTGAGAGATTGGTGTCGGTGTTGCAGAACAAGTCTTCTAACTACGACACCGATGTCTTCCAGCCTATTTTTGAGAAAATCAGAGAAATCACCGGTGTTAGACCTTACACAGGTAGATTTGGTGCTGAAGACGTCGATGGTATCGACACCGCCTACAGAGTCATTGCTGACCACGTGAGAACTTTGACCTTCGCCATCACTGACGGTGGTGTGCCAAACAACGAGGGTAGAGGCTATGTGTTGAGAAGAATCTTGAGAAGAGGCTCGCGTTACGTGCGTAAGTACATGAACTACCCTATCGGCTCGTTCTTCCAGCAGTTGGTGGATGTAGTGATTGACCAGAACTCTTCCATTTTCCCTGAGATCGTCAAGAACAGTCGAGAGTTGAAGGAGATCTTGGTAGAGGAAGAGGTTTCCTTTGCTAAGACTTTGGACAGAGGTGAGAAGTTGTTTGAACAGTACGCCATCATCGCCTCCAAGACTCCAGAGCAGACCTTGAGTGGTAAGGATGTTTGGAGATTGTACGACACCTACGGTTTCCCAGTTGATTTGACCAGATTGATGGCTGAGGAGGCTGGATTGAAGATCGATGAGGCCGCTTTTGAGGCTGCAAAGGAAGAGTCCAGAGAGGCCTCCAAGGCTACTGGCTCCAAGAACGCTGCCAACTTGATCAAATTGGATGTGCACGCCTTGTCTGAGTTGGATAACAACTCAGCTGTTACCAAGACCGACGATTCGTTTAAGTACGGCTTGGAGAACACCAAGTCCACCATTGTCGCTCTTTACGACGGCTCCAAGTTTGTTGACTCTATTTCTGAGGCTGGTGCTCAATATGGTATCATCTTGGACAAGACTCCATTCTACGCCGAACAGGGTGGTCAGGAGTACGATACTGGTAGCTTGGTTATTGATGGAACTGCTGAATTCAGCGTCTCTAACGTCCAACAATATGGTGGATACGTCTTGCACACTGGTACCTTGACTGAAGGTACTTTGAAGGTTTCGGATGACATCATTGCTACCTACGATGAATTGAGAAGATGGCCCATCAGAAACAACCACACTGGTACTCACGTGTTGAACCTTGCCTTGAGAGAAGTATTGGGTGATGGTATTGACCAGAAGGGTTCCTTAGTTGCTCCAGAGAAGTTGAGATTTGACTTCAGTCACAAGCAAGCTTTGGCTCCTAAGGAACTTGAGCAGGTCGAAAAGATCTCCAATGAGGTTATTAAGGCCAACAAACAGGTTTACGCTCAGGACGTCAGCTTGGCTGAGGCCAAAGGCATCAATGGTGTCAGAGCTGTCTTCGGAGAGACCTACCCAGACCCAGTGAGAGTTGTCTCCATTGGTGTTCCAGTTGATGAGTTATTGAGATCCCCAGAGAACCAAGAATGGAGCAATGTTTCCATTGAATTCTGTGGTGGTACTCACGTTGCCAAGACTGCTGAGATCAAGGACTTGGTTATCATCGAGGAGTCCGGTATTGCTAAGGGTATCAGAAGAATTGTTGCCGTTACTGGCCATGAAGCTCACGAGGTTCAGAAGATTGCTGAGGAGTTCGGTGTTAAGTTGGATAACGCCGACAAGTTGCCATTTGGTGCCGACAAGGAGCAGAAAACCAAGGAATTGGGTGTTGCATTGAAGAAGCTTTCCATCTCAGTTTTGGACAAGCAGAAGTTGAACGAGAAGTTTACCAAGTTGGACAAGGCCATTAAGGACAACTTGAAGGCCAAGCAGAAAGAGGAGTCTAAGAAGACACTCGATGCCGTCAACGAGTGGTTGAAGGACGAAGAGAAGTCTAAGGCTGCATTTTTTGTCGCTCATGTTCCAATTGGCGCCAATGCTAAGGCTATCACTGAGGCTATCAACTTGATCAAGAAGCAGTTCAAGGAGAAGTCGCTCTACTTGGTCACTGGTACCACCGACAAGGTTGCCCACGGGTGTTACATTTCGGACGAAGCCATCAGCAAGGGTGTTGACGCCAACGAGTTGGCATCTACTGTTGCCTCTCACATTGGAGGAAAGGCTGGAGGTAAGGGTAATGTTGTGCAAGGTATGGGAGATAAGCCATCGGGTATTGGTGCTGCTGTTGAGGCCGTGACTAAGTTGTTGTCTGAGAAGTTGTAATTATGTCAAATAGATATTTATTGATAGTAAAGTTTTGACGTCTAGATACAATAGCACTTACACTCACAATTTCTCTGGCTCGTGGGTGGTGATGTAGTCCTCTCTCTCGGCAGTTATCTCCTGGGCATTTCCTCCTAAGTTGGCAACTACCTCATCTACTATAGCACGCAAATCAGGTTCTGGCACAGCCGAGTCACCTATTATGCTGATGGTCACTGATCTCCAAGTGAAATGAGGGTAGGAGCCTACTTTGACTTGCTGAACACCGTATTTCTCATCGCACCTGTTCTGAAGAGACGACAAGAATGGAGCCATATTGCTTTCGTTGCTTGAGGTCGACACAAAGTAGCGGCGATACTCCTTCAGCACCACGCGAGGCTTGATAACTGGCGCTAGCGAAGTCATGAGTTTCTTGAACAATTCAGGCACTCCAGGCAAAACGTACACTTGGTCGTTGATGGCTACTACTGGCACCCAAAGCTCGCTGTCCGGGAATGTCTTCAGCACGGACACGGAGCCCGATGACAGGGGAAACGTAGCCATTCTGTAGAAGGCACTCAATTGAGGAGGCGAGAGCAGGCTCAAGTACGACAGGCGGAGCCTTTGCATTCTGTCAACGGTTTCCTGGTCCAATTTACATGGTACCAGAAATGCCGCAGCCAATGCATCGTAGGTGATGTCGTCGTGAGTGGAGCCAATTCCTCCACTTGTGACGATAAAGTCACAGTTTTCGTCCCGCAAAATCTGGAGAGATCTGATGATATCAGCTTTGTCATCTCCACAAACCACTGTTTTCTTCAAAGGCACGGCGAGCTCATGAAAGCAGAACTTGGCAAATTCATATGAGTTAGTATCAAGGATCTTACCGTTAAGAACCTCGTCGCCGATGATGAGACATCCAGCAGATTTGACGGCTTGGGGCATTCTGAGGGCTTGTCTGAACATGAGTGAGCAGTACTACATGGGAGATAGGAAGACGGATAGAGGGAAAAGAGTGGAGGGAAGGAGAGGGACTGAACAAGTGGAGAAATTATGTAATTGACGGAACAAATGGAATTCAAGAAAGTCTTAGAGAATCTTGATATTTATATAAATCAGCAAATGGTTATGTAAGATTCATTAATTTTGAATTTGAGCCAAATCTACTAAATGGATTGATAGTCTCTTGTGCACTAATATACGGAAAGGTCGGAATAGTCAGGGGAAGTGCGAAGTTGGGAAAAATTCCTTGTGGTGACCACATTTGAACAAAATATGAAAATGACAGCTAAAAATCTTAAACGCTTTTTAAAACTTCAGACTTGGATTTCTTAGGCATCAATCGGTTGTAACTTGTTGCTATGGCCATCCCCACAGTTGAGCTTATCGGGAAACCACAGTACCTAGCCACACCACGCAACGGTGGGAGTGTACTAGGAAGGATCAGTGAGATAAAAGGTGATGTAATGGAGCAAGGACTTGAGAATTGATACTATCAATTATATCTATTTTTTCGAAGAAGAAGAAGGAATAGAAAGAGGAAGAATGGTAATGTATTCATATCAGATGGTTTTCTATGATGGTTACTAAAAAGTGAATGTCAAGTAAAATAACGAATATGTGATCGTAGTTTACCTCACCCAATTTCAGATAAGTCCGGGACCATTATTACTTTCGCACCCATGTGGAAACATTACTAGGTCCGATACGGAGCAGCATGACTAGCCAACCAAGATAAAAAGGTGGCCAAATCCCGTAAAAATAACTAAAAATGTAAAATAAAAAGAATAACCGACAGTTCCCTATATATAAACACCTAGAATTCCCTGAAAACATTCCCTCCACGTCGTCTTCTCCACCTCTAATTTACTGAGTTCTCCTTCACACTACCGGTACCGCACGACCCATTACTAACGGAAAAGGGCAAAAATCTCACCAATACTGACTCCACGAAACTACCCAGCTTTTCCTGTTTCACCTCCGTCCCCACGTTACTTTTCCCTCTGTCCATTTCTGTGTGTGAGAAATATGGGTAATAACCCGTCCAAAAATGATCCCCTACCGAATATCTCCTCCGCAGTGAGCCTGTCGTCTTCTGGTGTCGCAGTCGCCGACTTAGACTCAGACGACGCTTCGCCGGCGCTATCTCGGCCTACCGGCAACGGTAGTGACATTCTCCTCGAGAAAATGTCAAACTTCAAACTTAATGACCCATCTCCTTACTCCAAAGCGTCGCCCCAGTCCATTCCTTCCCGCAAACCTCAGCGAACTTCGGTGCCTGCTCGGGATTACCAGCTCGACATCGACATCGATACTTCCATGGCTGCCTTGTTGTCCACCAACTCACACTCGCCTCACTCGCCCAGTTCCCCTGCTAAGCTGCCTCGTTCTGCTTCTAACTACGTTCTGACTTCTGACTACGTTGTGGCTGAATATGCCTCGTCCGTGGATAGCCTGCGTAGCGGTCACCTATCAGTTTCGCCTGTGTTCACCACTAGCGGTGAGCACAAGGACGAGAGCCTGGTCCTGTCTGTCAGCTCGTTGGCGAACTCTCCAATCTACGTGAAGTCCGGAAGCGGTCACGGTAACCCGTTCCAGACTCCCCTGGAATCGAGCTTGGACCCCATCGTGGAAGGCTCCGTGGAGTCTACTCCCGAGCCCAAACACTCTCGTAGGTCTTCCCATTCAAAGTCAGCGGACTTGGGCCGTACAGTGCTCTCCAAGCAGTCGTCTAAGTCATCAGCCAGGTCGTCGGCCTCTATCTCCCCTCCGTTGCTTCCTGTCAACAGGAAGGTGGACTTCGATTTAGACCTGATCATTGACAAGCTCTTGGAAATTGGTATGAAGAAGGTGTCCTCGCCATACTCGCCTCTGAAGAGCCGTAGAGGCAAGGACAAGTTGCCCTTGACCACCCAGGAACTCAAGCAAATCTTGGCTAAGTCTCGCTCCATCTTCATGGAACAGCCTACATTGTTGAAATTGTCACCTCCAGTCAAGATTGTAGGCGACATTCACGGCCAATTCCATGACTTGATTAGAATCTTTAACTCGTGCGGTTACCCTCCTCATACGAACTACTTATTTTTAGGTGATTACGTTGACAGAGGTTATAAATCCTTGGAGACAATTCTTCTCTTGTTGTGTTATAAGATCAAGTACCCAGAGAATTTCTTCATGTTGAGAGGTAACCACGAATCTGCTAATATCACCAAGATCTATGGTTTTTATGACGAGTGCAAGAGACGTTTGCCTTTGATTTCCGGAAGCCATAAATTGTGGAAGAACTTTATTGATGTGTTCAATACTTTGCCTATTGCCGCCACCATCAATGACAAGATTTTCTGCATTCATGGAGGTTTGTCTCCAGAATTGCACAGCTTGAAACAGATTGAGCAAATCCAGAGACCTACAGATATTCCCGATAAAGGTTTATTGGCTGACTTGTTGTGGTCCGATCCAGATCCTCTGGTGCGTACCTTTTCCCATACCAATTGGCCGAAGAACGACCGTGGTGTTTCCTATTGTTTTGGAAAGAAACATGTTGATCACTTTTTGTCAAATTTCAACATGGACTTGATCGTCCGTGGCCATATGGTTGTTGAGGATGGCTATGAATTCTTCAACAAGCGAAAGTTGGTAACCGTTTTCTCGGCCCCCAATTACTGTGGTGAGTTCAATAATTACGGTGCAATCATGAGCGTTGACAAGAAGTTGTGTTGCTCTTTTGAGTTGTTGAAGCCTCAATAAGAAAACGTGCATTCCTTCTTTCTCTCAAAGACGCTAGGAGTAGTGGCTCATTAATTTTCATTGTTTGACAAGTCTCGCCTATGTCGGTTTTTTAACGTTTATGCAGATTTTGACAACTTATGATCTTAATGACTTTTATTCTTTTATTCTCGTTTGGTTAGTATTTTAAATAAATTGTTTGTGAATTTTTGTGTAACTTAAGTCCTGCTTACTTTTGTACGTGTTGTTGTATAAATAATTAGTTGATTTCTATAAAAACTGACCCTTTGTTTATTTCTTGAATCTTAGGATCGTAAAAACGATTCTCAATCCGATTTCGATTTTTTGAACTTCTTAAGCATCCCAGAAAAGCTGAAGTTCAGCAACCGGAATATCTTGTATAAGGCCAAGGCAGCAACCAAGTTGAAGACAATGTAGACGCAGTAAAAACCAACGTTTCTCCAAATGTATGTATACTTAATACCAATTGTGAGAAGATAGCTGTCTGCTTCAGAATAACGACAGTAACCACAGTTGGAAGTATCATTAGCATTAGTGAGATATCCTCCAGCAAAACTCAAGTAGTTCTCCAAGTACTCACCGCAAGTTTGGCCACTTGGTGGATCCAAATAAGACAATTCATGTGGTGTGCAAGTCACAGATCTGCCGTGAAGGAAAGAAGCTAACAAGTTCTGGATGACGTAAGTATAAGGACTGACCTTGTACATGAAAGTCCAGAAGCCAGGCATCAACTTTTCAGGCTGAACCACACCGGCAAAACCAACAATAAAAGAATAGAAGAACGACACCAAGATAGCAGCAGACTGAACATCTGGAGCAAAGTATGCCAACATGAGACCAAAAGAAATGTTGAATAATTGCAAGAACACTGAAAGTGTCAAAAAGAACACACCTGAGTGAGAGGCACCAAAGTCGGCACGAGTTGGGAAGTACAACGACACAAACATGACAGTGGCACAGAAGATACAGTATGGTATCTCGTTCACGAACTGTACCAAAACCATGATCCACCAACGGTACGTCTTAGAGAACATTTCCCTACCTTCGTATTGCTCACGCCCATGAAGACATTGCTCCTGAATCTGGTTGATGGCAGGAGCCGAAACAACAACAGAAAGGAAGGCACAGAACATACCATTTTGCATACCAGCCATTGAGTGCTTCAATCCAAAGAAGGTAAATCCAATGAACAAACCATTGATGGTCATCAACATAAATTTAGCCATGACATACTCTGGATTTCTCCAGAACACCAATGCATTTCTGACAAGAACCCACTTGAATTGGAAAAGGGCTGAAGTGGCATAGGTCTCCTTGAGCTCCTTGACTTCCTTTTCAGTAAAATCAGAGTGACTGTTGCGCAGAGCACTCTCACGAATAATCTCATCCAAATCACGGTCCGCCTGGATCTTCTCTTCGGAATTACTCCAGACGTCAAACCAGTTCTGATCGGTTTTAGCAGTTGCACCAGCACCGATGACCTCCAAGATGTACTCGGCCGGATTCTCGTGAGAAGAACACTTTCTTCCGCCATGCTTTTCGAAGTAGGACACAATACTCTTAGAGTGAACACCAATATCTCCAAAGTAGACTGTCTGTCCACCATTTCTCAAGAGCAATAATCTGTCAAATTCCTCAAATAATGTAGCAGAAGGCTGGTGAATAGTACACAAAATAGCTTGGCCAGCAGCAGCCAACTCCTTAAGAAGCTGAACGATAGACCAAGCGGATTGAGAGTCCAAACCTGAAGTAGGCTCATCTAAGAAGAGCAACAATGATGGTTTGGCAACTAACTCCACACCGATAGTCAATTTCTTTCTCTGCTCAACATTAAGTCCACTTCCACTTTCACCAACAATAGCCTCGGCGTATTCATCCATGTTGAGCACCTTGATGATTTGCTCAACGTAGGCCAACTTCTCGGAATCAGGAACAGACTGTGGTCTTCTCATTCTTGCTGCAAAGCGAAGAGCCTCTCTGACTGTTGCTTGCGCTAAGTGAATATCTTGTTGTTGGACATAGCCAGTACGACGAACAAATGAAGAATCAAGTGCACCACCATTGACCAACATGTCTCCAGTTACGACACCCATCGTGGTTCTTTGAGACAAACAATTCAACAATGTTGTTTTACCAGCACCCGACTCGCCCATCAAAGCGGTCAATTTTCCAGGGAGACAATAACCAGAAACATTGTCCAATAACTTTCTCTCTGCACCGTCGTAAGGGATCACGTAGTCCACGTTTTTCCATGCAAAAATGTCTTTGGTTGCCAAATTTGGGAGATCCTCAGGAACTGGCGATCCAGAAGTCTTCTCTAACTCATTCTCAGATGAAGGTCCGGACTCTTCATCATTAACTCCCTTCTGATCAGGTAAAATTACCGAGGAGGAGGCTTTTCCTCTCAAGAAGAATAATCTGTCAATACCTCCACTCACAGGACGGACAATTTCGAAACCCATAGCAGAAACAAAGGTGAAAAAGATGATGAAACCAATGAGAATACCAAAGTTTCTCCACACGTGAGTAAAGCTATATTCATAGGCCATGTGGACATACCTGTCACCAGAAACCCAAGACTGACCCTTGACGGACCCAGTGAATGCACAAACAGCGTTCTCACTAGTGTAACCAGGACCACTTGGAGTTAAGTAGATTGAATCACATTCCATTTTTCTTCCGTGGAATTCAGTAGTGATCATTGCTTCGAATGCATAAAGAACAGGATTGATGTAAGAAATCCACTTGAACCATGGATGCATGGAAGGTCTCTGGATCATATAAGAGGAGTACATCAAGGAAGCCAAAACAAAAACACCAGCAAGGGCATTAGCACCCGAGATGGTCTTATTCCAGGCAGCCACACTCTTGAACAAGTTGCTCATGGCCAATGACACCAAGAACGAGAACAAGAAGAACACGAAAAACTTTCCAGCCTCTCTAGCCAAATTGGACAAGAAATAGAGGATTATAACAAAGAAGATATTCATAAAGAACGAAATTGGAACATATGAGAGTGTCTCGGCAACAGCATAGGCAGATGGATGATAGAAGCAATAATTCTTTTGCTTCAATAAGATTGGACGAGCACTAAAGGAATTAGAAACCTCAGCAAGAGAGGTCAACGACATGTACAACACCGAGAAGAAAATCACACCTCCTCTGGAGAACGCACCAGCCACGGTTTCGGGAGTATTATAGTAAAGAGACCCAGTAATCAATGCCTGGACAATAGCAGCCACAACCTGAATGATCGTATAGGCAGCGTTACCCCAAATGTTCTGGAAAGATCTTCGCAAACAGAGCTTAAGCTGTTGAAAGTAGTTGATGGTAAACTTGGAGCCAATTCTCAGAAATTTCTGCTTCTCCTGTTTAATTGATTGTAAGAATTCAGCCTTAGTAGAATCTTTGGAGCATTTCTGCTTGTAGTCAGCTATCTGCTTCTGAAGATCGGCATACTCGTTAGATTTGAGCCAGTACTGCTGGAACTCTTCTGCTGTGTTAGGAACCTTCTTCTCAAAGCCTGGCTTTGCGAATCTTCCTGCTGGGTCAGTGATGGCAGTCAAGAACTCTGCAGTGGTCTGTCTAGCAGGACATTCGTAACCCATATTCTCGAAGTAGGCCTTTGCTTCGGTTACAGGACCGAAGTAAACCTGTTTTCCTTTGTACAAAACTGTGACCTTGTCGAAGGTCTCGTAGATGTTCTCACCGGCCTGATAAATAGTAACAAACGCGGTAGTCTTCAATAAGTTCGTGGACACACGGATGGCTCTGGCATATTCTAAGGCCGTGGAGGCATCCAAACCTCTAGTGGCATTGTCCCAGCAGTAGACGGTACCATTACAAGCCATCGCTTCTGCAATACTGACTCTCTTTCTCTGACCACCAGAAACACCTCGCACAAAGTCGTTTCCGACCTTTGTCTTGTAGACGTGACGCAAGCCAAACACCGTGGCCAACATTTCTCTGTTGAAGGCCACATGCTCGGCCACAGACATGTTGTCCACTCTTGTGTTGGGAGTCTTACAGGAAATGGCAAAGTCGAGGGTCTGCTCAACGGTCAAGTGGGGGAAGTGGGTGTCCAACTCTGGGTTGTACACCAAGTCGGAGCTGAAGTGCTCGAGCATTTCATTTTGAGGAATTCCATCAAACTCCAATTCTCCATCCACACCCTTGTACATATCCAAATCAGTACCACTAATTGTTTTCAAAAAGGTGGAGCATCCAGCACCGGGACGTCCCAACACAAGAAGCATTTCTCCGCTTTCCACAAGCCCCGTCAAATTGTCTAAGATGGCTCTATTACCTCTCGCCTTTCCTTCACGAGCTGCGATAATGCCACCGACAGGGCCCTTGAGTATGTCAGTAACGGTTGGAAGAAATGCAACCGATTGGTCCACGCCGTAGACTGTCAAATTTTCAAAAGTCACACCCACGTCTCTGCTCTTGATTCCATCAGAAGACGAGCGACGAATGAATGCTTTGAGTAACTTTTGCAAATCAAAGTCATCGGGATTGACGGTCAATGGTCCGTCTCTTGTTGTCATGCGTGAAATTTCCCTACTTAATGTCTCCAAACGATGCAAGATATCTTCATTTCTGCCCTCAGTGACGGTTCTCACAAGTTGGAGTTCAGCGTCATCTTCTAGGGTTCCACTCTCGAGGTCGTCCGGACCGAAGAAATGTACCGGAGAGTCGCTTTCCACAGATGAAGGCGGAGCCATTGGTGATGGAGAGCTTAAAGGAATTAAATTAAAAGAAGAATTGGTTGTTGGAATCTTGGAACCTTTTATGGTTTCGGAAATAGCTGGAGATGCGGCTCTAGTGATGAGCCAGATGTAGGAATACACAGTGCGGAAGAGAAGGATTTAACTCCGCACTAGACGGAGCGGGCGGGCAATCGGGACGTTGGGAGATAGAGGCAAATTGGGAAACAAGGGTGATGACAATATGAGAGATTGAGATTTTGAGAGTAAAGTATGATTTACGTGAATTTCTGTATGGTTTTCCAATGGAATTTGCTGTTGAAGAATGGACAATCTGGGAGGGAAATAGAAGGTGCGGAAGTCGCTACTCGAAGCTCGATTAGGAAGTCGCAGGGTAAAAATGAAACAACGTTAGCCACCAGATAGGGAAACAGATCCGACACTGTATATGGGGACGATTGTTGAATTAGTCAACAAATATGGCGAAAATAATGAGGGGCAGCTTATGACACGACAGGACACGACAGGACTTGAGAAGACACGGTGAGACAGGTGACTTGTTTAATGCAAAGATATGACGATATGACTAGTCTAGAACTTTAAGGTATGAGGAGGACTGGAATAACGAGTAAGAGAGTAAACTAATTGTAGATTTCGTATAGTAATAAATGTACGGCTGCTATTTAGAGAATAGCAGACTTGACTGTGATTGAGCCGTGGGTGACAGTATTACAAGACAAAGGAGCATATAATGTGAACGATGTATTGTGTATGGTGCTAGATTGTAGTCAATTGTCAAATCAAATAATTGATTGAGGTCGCGGAAATAAAATTAGCCTCCGACGCCTACAATTGTCTTACTCATCATCGGAACAAATTCTCGATCAGTCAAATAATGAACAATACCCCAAACATCGACTAGAACAATGTTTATTCATCCGGAGCTTACCAATACTTGTATGTATATAGAGTGGCGGAAATAAAATTCGGGTCTTTTCCCCGAATTGCGCTTCCAGAATCATCTATACATGATTCTCCATACGAGTACTTCAGTATGTCTTATTAATTAGCATTAAGTCCGAATTTGTATGGTGATTCTTTCATCGATGTATCCGCAGACATTAAATATATCCGTAATGATTGAATCTTATTGATCCGCGGGTATATCCTAAAGTAGCTGGAATCCGTGGTTGCCGATAATATCCAATTGCTTACACAATGGTCACAATTGGGAACGTATATTCTGTTGTGTCCATTATTTTAATATTTTGTGAATAGTGTTGGTACAATTCAGTTGCGGCACAATTTTACCTGTTACGTTTCGCATTTCGACTATCGTTTCTTCATCAGTTCATTCGCTTCTATCGTTATAGGCACTCTCATACTCAATTATGGGGAACATTTAGCCATTGTTCAATTCCACAATGGCTCCATTATTGTAGCGAGAGATTTCGCAATTCGTCTGCAACACTTAAATACCTTAAGTTTACATTAATCGAACTCTGCAGTTGTCGAGTTTTTGCTAAGATTCTTCGAAGATTCTCCCTACAATGCCGTATTAAAACTTTTTTATTCACCTATCCCATATGAGTCCGTCACTCATAAGCCTTAGTAGAAACCCAATGTATGTAATTTTCTGGTCAATGCAATTCAACTCCTCAGAGATGGCTGGACGTTCCATCGCCACTTTCGCCAATAGAAAACTGAACTTTGCTGGTCTCACTCGTGTTGCTTCCCATCAATGTCACTAACTGCCTATAATAGAGGTCAAGCACTTCTCGGTAGTACCGAATAGAAGTCTTATTGTTAGGTAGCTGCTTAGCGGGTACGAGCTTCCAGTCCACCCTATTCAAGAAGTCTAGCTCGAGACAATTGAGCTCTGTTAATGCAACTCCTCCAACCTTCGCGTAATGGTCGTTGGTGTAGAAAAAGTCTTCCAAAGATTTCTGCGCTAGCATGGTGGCTACCAACAAGAATCGGTGCACCGTCCACGAATTCAACGTGAAGTATGGCTGGAAGTTGTGTGATAAGAGGTCAATGTAGTAGATGGTTGTGAGCAAAGTGGTCTGAGTGAAGTTGTTAAACTTGGTGAGACGGCTGAGGTATGTCTCGATGGAAATGGCAGGAGGAGTTCGCGAATGGTACCGTGTGAGCACTTTCTTCTTCAGCTCAGCTGAGAGACTGCCATCTACATCAGCACTGCTTGGATGCGATACAGACATTGGCACAGACCGGTCATTCAACCCGATGAGCGAGTGGAGCATTCGAGAGATCAAAGATATCATATCTTCGATTGCGCAATTCATGAACTCTGGGGGGAGTGACTTAACAACAATTTGAGGATTGATCTTCTTTGAAGGAGCATCTGAACCAGGAGTTTCGCTTTCTGTGTGACGTCTTCTTCTGGATTCCACACGCTCTGCTAAATCATCGTCGCTGATGTTTTGATCTTCATCATCGTCATCTTCTTCAATATCATCATCACCATCATCATCATAGCGCTCAAGTTGCTTCAGAAGTGGGGAGTGAGGTTTGCGCAACGGCTTTGTGTTCGACAGCTTGAACAGATCAAGACTAACTGAAGGCTTGTCTGATTGATTAAGATACTGCTGGTAGTAATCAAAACTCTTGATGCGCACTTGGCGATTCAAAGATTTAAAGTAGAGCTCGTGGTGATCGTTGCTGGATGGGCGAATGTACTGCTCTAGGAATGGATCGATTAGGGAAGACTTATGCGGAGAAGTCATCTTGGACACCTTAGGCAGTTTCCGCTGTGGAGGGCCATTCCGGCTTCCATCACCATGATACGTTTGTGGAGGTGGTCGCAAACAAGGCGACACATGCATAGGCCCTATGGTGGGGGTATTTCGAGTGGAGGTTGTGGTGGACATTTGGAGTTGACAAACAACCTAACTCATAAGTAACGGAGAAACCATTAAAGGGAAAAAGCGGAAATGGAAAGGACTGTTTGAACGTTGGGGGAGCGGACGGTCAGTAGATGTACTGGGCCAGAATTAAGGGAGATAAACTTTGAGAACTTGTTTCAGGAAAGATCAAACCAATAAAAGCACTGGTGATCACACTTCCGAAAGAAAAAAAAAAAAAAAAAACTTTGCTCGCAGATTATTGAGACGCAAGCGGGTGTCTGAATGCCAGTAACTGATATAATTAACTAATTTGACAGATATTGGTATCACTCCACAGTTAAGAAGGTCAAAGTCCAAGGATTCCGACTAACACAACAGGCGCAAGTGATGTCTTAATATAAGTAAATGGGGCAACTAGCCTGTGGATGCTGCGAAGGTCAGACATTGCTTCTTTGTACAGGACAGAATTTTTGTTGTACGTGGTGGAAGCGCACACACGTGCTCTAATAAGGTGCCCACGTTGGGGTTTGCAACCACAAAATAACTTTGGCTAGGGTGTGGATTATGCGGAGTAGTAGTTCGTCATGATGTAACTGCAGTTGGGGAACTCGCCTAAGTTGCTGTCTCGTTTCAGAAATGTGCTATTCGTGTTGGAAAAGACACGTGGTGGCGTGTTTTAGATGCTAGGTATGGGTAGATCCCGACTAGCTTCGGTTAGTTCGTTCAAATTGTATTAATTTCGATTCGTTTTTCGCACATTTCTGATAGTCTTCAAACCTTTGTACAGCACTTATTAGATGTCACTGTATGCGGCCGTCAAATGCAGAAGAATGTTTGACGACATCTATTGATCTACCGACGATTGTTGCTTTCTAACCTAAGCACAATGAAGCTGGATACTTCCTGTGAGGTTGTTGAAACTCGAATGGGCGAAATGGGACATAACTACCAGTGCTAAACTAAGTAGGACTTGTAAAGGCGGTCAAGTATACCATTCACCTGGCCGAAGTAACAAAGCAGCAACACACATTTGACTGGGATTTACCAGCACTCCTCTGCACTCCAAAGCAAACAAAATTGACAGCATATAACTCCTATAGTTCTTTCGAGACAGGATCTAATTCCACATCCAGGCAGGACCCAATTCAGAACTCACCAACCCCGCTGCACAATTTGGTTGTGGCCGATGGGTATGTGGAGTTTGATTAATCACCAAGTTTGCAGCATCAAATCAACTTGGTAATGCTATTTCTCTAGCAGAGTTGTTGGCGTGGCAAGAAACTGACTTGTTATCAGTAATCTCTATGCATGCGGCAGTTGATCGATAAGAGATGGCATATTGCAATTCCATTAATTACTTCTGCATGAATGATAAAGCTGTCAGCACGGCTTTGAGGAGGGGACTGATTCTCCACTAATAACATGCAACAAATATTGACAGGCAATAATTTCCGATGCATGGCATACGGCTATGTTGTAATAATTTTGGGGCCCGACCTTGTTTCAGAAGTGCTGATCTCGCATGGTATGAAATAATTGAAGCAATAGATTTCGACGATCCGAACAGCCAATGTGGCTGATCGCAGACCCACTATTGAGCAAAAGCCTGTGAATTTCACATAGCCTGTTCCATCAATTTTCTTTAAGCCGCTCCACCATTGCTAAAATGTCGTCGTCGAAATCTGAATTTAGTTCGTGGCCATATTCATCGTTGACTTTATGATCTATGTTGACTTCATTTGTGGGTTCCTCTAAAGCGTGGCCAACTTCCTCGGAAATATCCTCTTTTGAATCTGTACCTTTTGAAGTAACATTGATCGCCATAGGGATTGGGCTAACAATAGCCTCGTTCAAGACATTTCCGATTCCCAATTCACGATATAATCTGACCGTCAGTCTGTTACTTCCACTTGGGATTCGGACAATTTTGTGCCGCTTCTTATCAAGCATGCACAACTTCTCTTCAACCGTCAACCTCTTAACAAATTGTGTCACTGCAACTTGGCGGGTTCGTTTGGGACGTTGAAGGCCCACTCGAATTGGATCGCTAATTTTCCTGCAATCGGTTTTTGCCTTCAACGAATTCTCCTTAGAAACCTTCTCGAAATTTACACTCTGTGGTAACGAGCCCAGTACACTTGTCAATATAGTGTCTAATTTACCGCTCTCAACATACCCATTATCCACCTTCACATTTCGGAACTTAGCATTCTCAATCTTCAGTATCCCATCCAGACTTCTTTCATTTGTTATTCTCTCTATTCTCTCCTTAGCGTGTTCTCTATTAACGGGGCGCTCAGTGACTTCTGCACTTCTACTATTAAGAAACTTGGAGATGTCTCGCTCAGTACACCCCAAATATTCTGAAAATTGTACCACCAACTTGCCGCTAGGTAAAGTATAGGTGTTTCCATCTGCAAACACGCCATTCTCCAACGGCGGCTTCGCCAGATGGGGATAGAAGTCACTACATACTCCGACGTTCGAATCAGACACTACTTCGATCTTGTTATTGAATTCATAGTACCTAAGTCTTCCGTCGCTCCATTTTTTGTCGTTTTGAAGTACTCGTGTTGAGTATAGCACGGCAAAGTCATGTACTATGGACACCAGCATGTAGTTGGTATTATTCGCGATGGTAGCGAAGTCATACAGGTGTAAACAATTGGAACCTTAAGTAACCCCAAGTTGTACCATTTAGAATAAAAATTGCAACTTCAATTGAACAAGGCTATATTCTGTACAATTCAGTATTGCTTTTATGGAATTTTAATATTCCATCATTACTGGAAAACCTCTCTTTATATTTTCTGTCTTTTTCTTCTTCATGTCACCTTTAACTATTTCTAGAGTTATATCTGATTGGACTACTCATCCTTAGAAGTAATTGCTTACTGATTACCGCTCATACCTTGAACCGTTGATTATCTTAATAGTCAAATTGCACAGAAGTCTTGAATGCACATGCTGGGCTCTAGAAAATTATCTGACAAAGCTCAATGTAGACTCTGTCATTGAAACAAGACACGACTAGGACATGGTCCTTGTAAGTGTTCATAAAATATGTTATTCAAAAGGGATCTATCCCTTTGTTCGGGAATCTTCTCAACGAGGTCATATGATGGTATCATTCTCCATGGATAAGATTGCACATATCTAGCAACTTCTTCTAATTTTCTCTTCTTCTACACTTGTTACTCTACAATTCTCCAATCTAATACTTACATGACTATTTACAGGCTACTCCACAGGATCATAAAATGGCAATCCTAAAGAGCTTAACAACGTTCTGGCAGCCTCGTCGGTACGTGCTGTCGTCTTGAATGTTATATGGAAACCCCAGAGATTAGGGTACAACTCCTGGAAGTTCTCGATCTCTGGGAAGTATTTAACATCTTCCGGGTCCAACCCAAAAGAAATATTACCATTGTTGTCTCCAGAAGTGTTCTTGATGCCCTGGAACGTTCTGATACGTGGCAAAACCAACTCAGTTAGCGTAATTAAAAACTGCGTCATGTCTCTGCCTTCCAACTCCACCTTACATCCACATGGTTTACCCTCTCTGACCTTCCAGGGAAGAATGTTAGATCTGTTGTACAACTGCTTGGCCTTGACATTAGTGATTTGGGCAATCTGCAATCTGCTGGAAATATTCAACCATGAATCTTCCAATGCCTCCTTGTTGTACAAGTTGATGGAGATGCTCAGGAGCTCTGGAACATTCTTGGGTCCAATGGGCTTAATGTCTTTGGTAGCACGGCCCACTCCCTTGGGCTTCTTCATGTTACGGTACAAAGCATATGGGGAATCAGTAGCCCATTCTCTCTTTCTGTTACCTGGGATGACCTTGGCATCGTGCTCAAAAAAATGCAACAACAAATCGCTCTGCAACGTATTCTGGTAATGTTCGGCGACTCTATCCTGGTCAATCTCCGTGGGCTTGTAACCGACAGATTCGATGTCGGATCTAGGAATCAAAAGTGGTTGGTATTTGGGGCTCAAGGCGGCCTTGCTGATTTTCACCAAGTGATGCACAGGCTCTACTGTAGAGTATCCTGGCTTATTTCTCACTCCCGAGGTGGAGAAAAGACGCACCCACAGTCTGTTCATGATGAGTAGTGAAGAATATGAATAGACTGGAGAAAATTTTGAGGTTGGTGAAAGTGGAGTGCAGGAAGTTCTTACAACTGAATAATTGGAAGTGTGAAAATGGGTAGTGGGTAATGATGAAACGAAAAATCAAAGAACTTTTTTTTGAAATTTTTTGGTCTTTTAGTATGAGATTTCTATTATTATGAAGTTCACGGTAAATTTGCTGAATATTCGTGGAGATATAATGTAAGTAATGAATGGTACTGCAGGGACACGCAACAAAGAGACAAACATAAATACTTGAATGGATTCTTACAGGGACTAAGGTAATTCTAAGAGTGAAAAGAGGATCGTATAAGATAATACCTCTTATTCATTGCTTTCTCAACTTTTCACATTTTATGTTTGGTCTTTTTAACAACTATACTCTCCTATGTAGAGTCATTCCAATTGACCGTTACTGCATTCTTTCACACCTATGACTCAAAAGTTTGCATTACAATGTTTTTAAGCGTTTAAGTCGTTTTTTCTACATCAATCAACGTAATTCTCTAAAAGTTTGTAACTTACCCACCCTATCAAACCCATCCCAAATTTGAGCTGTTGATAGACCCGTACACCACAAACTATTAGGCATTGGGACTTATTGATATCTTGAACTACCATGAAATTCGGTCTTGATTTCAACTCAGATGTGTTGCCTCGGTCTCCGGTGGCAAATCTGGACCCCTCATCTGCCTTTTTTGATGTCTATAAGTCCCGGCCTGCCACACCTCGCACTGAACAAGCACTGGCCATAGAACTTCTAAACAACACGCTTTCCAGAATGAACCGCTTGCTGATTCTGAGAGCCCAGGACAGCAGTGCTGAGAGACGGAGGCGGATAGAACTCTTGTTCCAGAAGGGGCGCTCGCAGAATGACTACATAGGCCAGCTAGTGGAGCAGAAATCTGCTCTGGACAGAAAATTGAAGAAACGAGAAGTCCAGCAGATCATAGAACATCAAGAGAAACTACGGAGAGAAGAAGAGGCACGCAGGAAGGCTCTTCAGGAGGAAAAAGAGCGCAAGGAGAGAGAAGAGTTGGAGCGGAAAAAGAAGCAGGAGGAAGAAGCTAAGAGAAAGGAAGAAGAGGCAGCTAAACAGAGGGCCGAGGAAGAGAAAAAAGCGGCCGAGGAAAAAAAATTGAAGGAAGAAAAGGAGAAAGCAGAGGCGCTGCTTAAGTTAAAGGAAAAGTTACGTAAGGCAAAGGAGGAGGCTGCTCGAAAAGCTGCTGGAGGTTTCACTGTTCCGGAAGAAGTAGAGAAAGAGGTACTCAAATTTAGACAGGATATCCTTGACATCAAGAAGAATATCGTGGAGGAGATGAACAAAAATCGAGAATTGAAAAAAAATGCAGGTGTGGTGAAACGGAAACTTAACATCAAGTTTGGCCAGTTATCGTCTTCAATGACCCAATTGAACACGATCACTCGGGAAGTGGTTGAACTAGTCAACTACACGAAACAAAACGAATTAGTTTACCAATGGATTCTCAATTTCATCGCCAAGGCCATTGTTGCACAAGCAGAGACCGAAGTTATCGTGCAACCCACTGCTGCCCTTCCATTGGCAAGATTGGCATTGCATTTGTTACAAAATCTCGACGGTCTCTACTACTATCTCTGTGCCCGTTTTGCTAAGAAATGTGCCCTTATTCTTGGCTACACATGTGCCATTGATACCGAGGAAGGACGAACCCGAATGGGATGGAGACGAACAGATGAAAAGTGGGAAGCAGAAGTCAAGTACGAGGAGAGAATGGGTGGAATAGCGGCCGTTTGGGCGGTAATGGCACGTTTGGGTGCAGACCAGAAAAGCTTTCCATTCTTTAGTATGGCTTCTGAGTGGAAGTTCATGGCCCGAATGCTCAACACAAGCAAGGATCTCATTACCAACGTTCATTACGTTGTCTTCTGCAATTGGTGGGAGGCAGCGGCGGAATACCTTGTCAAGAACTACGGTAAACAGGCAATAAAGGGGTTGCAATTGGCTGTGGGTGATTGGGTTTCTTACGGTAAGCTGAAGAGCTATCCTGCTGCAACTAGATTGAGTATTCTCGGAGAGGATTACGCTACACAAGGTAATTTCAACCTGCTCAAGGAGATGGATAATTAGGTTCCCAATTATAATATATGCATGTAACGAATTCTAAGTATCACTCTGGAGCGGTTACTCTGAATCTGATCCATCAGAACTCTCTTCGCTTTCGCCTTCGTTGTCTTCAGAATCGGCTGCCTCGGTGTACTTGACAGTAGCCCGAGTTCTTGTGCTTCTCCGAGGTTCCTTCTGTAAAGATTCAGTCTCTTCTTCCTCATCATCAGATTCGTTCTTCTTCGCGGCTTTAGATTTGTGAGTCCTGGTGGATTTTGGATTTCTTGAGACTTTGCTTTTGGATATCCGCTTTCTGGGTGGTGCAGTGGACAGAGTATGTGCCTTTCTCTTTTGATTAAATCTCAACGTGGGCTTTTTAAGGGTCTGACGTAATTCAATTTGCACGTCATCGGGAATATAAATCCTGGAAATGACTTTCTGTGCTTCCTGATAATCATCCATTGGAGCAAACAAGTCCGAAGGTAACTTCATCTTTCCTGGCCATGTTTGCAAATTCCAGCCCTTTGAATCAGCAAGCTCTTTGATCATTAACTGGCAAAGTTCAGTAATACGATACAAATTCACAGCAGCGTCCGGTAAATCTTCCATGGCGTATAATTCTGGATCTACCTGTCCATCTCTGTACTGCTTCACTCTGCTGGCAACATAATAAAGGAGGGAAATATTCTCCTCTTTGGCAATAGAATCCAAATACATGGAGATGTATGACAGGGCGTACGCGTATGCGTCCACTTCAGGCTGTACCTCATCTCCCTTTACATCGTTCATCATTCTAGTAAATCTATCCTCATGGGCAATTGCATGGATAAGTCTGGCAAGGACTCGTTCGTACACGATATCATTTCGTTCCTCGCACCTTCTGAAGTTGGACGCTATCCATAGAAGAGCATTGCGCTTAATTTCATCATCTGGATCATGACCCACAAAGAAAATCAAGTGTAAGAACCGCTCCGAAATAGCATTATGAGTCAACTTCTTCTCTAATGACTCAAGAAAATTTGCTCGGACCTGAGACGACTTATCATGTAGCAATCTCGAAAGGATGGAAATCACACTATTGTTAATGAGCAAATTAATGGAGGGATATCTAGCCAACTTGAGAATATTAAGACCTGATTCGAGTCTCAATCTCTGCTGGAAACAAGGAGGAGTTGGAAGCAAATCTGGCTTGGACTTCACTATCTCACCACTGTTTGTCACAATTGTAGTCAAAAGTTTTAAAGGCTTCTCTAAAACACTACCCAAATCTTTGAGATCAGAATTGTCATTGACCACTGAGCGAACTCGATTCACAATGAGACGAATTGAAAGCAATTTCTCGTTTAAAGCACTCAACTCCTTATTGCCCTCTCTCAATTGCGCGTCAGTGATCCACTCTTCACTAGTGACATATTCTTTCTTAAGATTCTTGAGGCGATTTTTCCTAAGTACTTCATCAACAATAACAGTGCTTATATCATTTGAGTGAGCTCCGAGAACAAGTGGTTCAATCAAATAAATCTCAGCAAGGGCAGAGAGATGAGTTGCAAATAGAGGACTTGAAGGCTTCAATGGTAAAACTTTCTCAGCAATATTTGAGAAGAAAAGTTCCTTTCTATCACAGTAACCAATGATTTTAACCGCATAACGAGCTTGATGTGGCGATCCCTCTGTTGCTATGAGCTGCAAAGATTCGGCAAATTCGGAATCTTCCGGGAAAAACTCTGGGTATTTCTTTATGAAATGACTGTATGATTGGATGAGAGAGTCCTCAATTTCAACTTTTCTAACCACAATTAAATCGGACAAGACTTTAATCTGATTTTTAAAAACATCGGGGAAGATGGATGAGAGGCGATTAATGAGTTCGTTTGAAATCTCTTGATACTTGTGGCTCAGCTCTTTCGATATTTTGATCAACTCCGACGTATTGGTTTTGTTAAAGAAAATATTCGATGAACGGTAGAGCAATATCTTCATTGTTGATACCATGTCTGATGCTGTGATTGAATTCTTCTCATTATCGATCTTCAATGTTTTCGAATCATTGAATTTGACTAGAAGCTCTTTGAGAGAATTCTTGACTGATTTGAAATCGGTGTCTGAGGAAATACATTTCGATATCAACTTAATGAGGCGAGCATTTCTCATTTGGAAAAATCTTTCCAAACAATCCAGACTTCTCAATCCTGGCGGAAAAGAAGCGGTCAACCACTCAATAGTTTTATTGGTCTTAGAACGCATTTGATCCTTTGTATCTTCAGTTGGTTGATTCTCCTTGTCTTCGCCCTCGATTGAATGATTTTTCAGATTTTCTAGGGCTAAATCCAAAAACTTCTGAAGGGCGTCAGCAAATTTTTTTTGCCTGGTGACAATTGCAAAGTATGAAGCTTTACTTCTGTCGTCCAAGGCATCGTAGAAAGCACATAGCCTCGAAACTCGCTTCAAAGAATCCTCACGAAATGGCACCAACTTCTCGAACAAACAAATGTCAACAGTAGCCGTGAGAGACTTATCATTTACGTAATTGAGTTGGAGGATGACATTCGGAAGCTCTACTGCTAACATTCGCTCCACTTTCTTGACTTCTTCTTCACTCAAGTTGCCGAAATCAACTACTTCACTCTGCGCCCTCAAGTCGGAATAAGTGTTGTACACATCAGCAAGGACACGGATGGTAACGTCATGGATGTCGGAATTTTTCTCTCTTGAGAGTCTGAATAGAGTGGTGAGCGTGTCTTCAGTGCATACTTTGCTGGAAAAAATGGAGAAAGGTAGCAACTCCAACGCCCTACAGGTAGCAAACCTTACTCTCTCGTTGATGTCCGCGAGGCACTTGGTGAAACCAGTGCAGAGTTCGGTGGTCATGTCAGAGGTGACAGATTGGGAACACAAAATACCAGGGACCTGCTCCACCCATTTAGCACGCACTATAGGCGAAATATCTGAGGAGACCTTGAGCCAATTCTGCCAAGTAATCTTGTGGGTATTAATGAAGTGAACCAAATTGCTCTCGGGGGATGCTTCTGGGGAACTTGCAAGCATGTTACCAATAGTGGAGGTGGATAAGAGCCTGACTCGCTCGGAATCAGAGTTCAACTCGTCGTTGATGAGACCCATGACAGAGTTGAGTAATTCAGGCACGTATCTCCAGATCTGAACCGACCACGCGTGGATCTTCTCTAGCGCCAGGTATGATGCCTCGTAGTCTGTGGCACCGTTCTTAACTCTGGCACTTTCATCAAGCATTTCCGAGAACAACTGAGCCACATAGCGAGACATTTTGTCGACGTTGGCCTCGCACACTGCCAAAGAAAACGCAAGTCCGGGATTGGAGATGTTCGATGTAGAAGTAGTCAAGCCTGACTCAGGTGTTGCTGTGAGCTTCTTAAGCAAGAGCATCACCACTTTTTGCGGTACTGACTCGGCCTCTGAGAAGACTTCGGCTAGCATTTCACAAGCCAAGTGCTCAAGCTTTTCCGGAAAGCCCTTTGAGGCCACCAAGAACATGGTGTCGAACAATTGAGATATGAGGTCTGGAGCATCCGGTAAGTCCACCACGAGAATGATCAGCCGAACTTCCACAAGCCTTTTGAGCACGTAGCACTGCTGTAAATAGCTGGGGTTCAGCTGGTCCCACAAATTGGAGAACTGGGCAAAAAATGCCTTGAAGATACCTGAAAGTTCATTGTGGGTATATGGAGCATCTGGAGCATAGAGACGTAGGATATCAGCCAAACCACAGCATGCGTAGGCCAGAACTGCTTTATTGGAGTGGTGTAAGAGCTTTTTGTTAGCCAAATCGGCAGCGATAGACGCGTAGTCCTGAGGTGTCTCTGTCTGGTCAGTAGCTGAAAGTGTATCGACTAGAGCCAGTAAACGGGCGAGCAATTCTTTGGTTGCGATGGGATTTGCGATGGTAGAGATGATGGACGTGTTGACGCGTCGTGAATTTCTAGCTCGTTTCACCATTGTTGGTGTTCTGAATTGTAATACTGATTATTTGGATGTACATTACGCGAAGTGCGCGGGAGGAAGTAGATGGAACAGATCAGGGTAATTGATGAAAAATAGTTGATTTTGAAGGATATCGAATTGATTGTGCAAGATTTTTTATTTTCTTAAGAAATACCCAAATGAGTCATATTTTATCTTTTCCTTTGGTATTTTTAGCATGTTTAACACAAGTTCATTATGTTGTGTTTATTATGTATTTTTATCAACCCTAGCAACTTAATTCTTGAAGAATATATACTGATTTAATGACTTGATTTCCTTGATTGTGTTCAAGGAAATGAATTTTTTTAATCTGTGTTGGACATCTAGACTTGCTTTTCGTCCTGTGAAGATGAATATTTTGAGACCCAAATGTTGATTCAGCAGTTAGCTTGGATGGCCTACGAAGATCAAGTGTTCTAGGCCTTTTCTTCAGTGTAAACAGCTTTCAATTTTGATTCATTTATCAAACTTTCGATTTCCATGACGTTCGAATTTCTTTAATTCTTGTCCTTCTAAGTCGTTCCTCCTACCTCTTTCGTCTTCCTTGTTTCTTTCACTCCGCGGCCATGTGTTCATCACAACCACTCCATAATACATGAAAGTACCACATTCCAACACTCATTCTGAAAATCTCGGCAATGCAAATTAGTCTCAGAATAATCAAGCAGATGACCTTGCCGTTGCCATGTGGCTGGTGTCATTCCCGTTGTGAGCAACGGTGCATAGATCTTGATTGTCAGTGTCAACGATATCTTGTTCAAAAAAGAGTCATACATCTTCACAGTTCTGGTGTCGGATTGAATTATCTAGCAGGATGTCTTCCTCGCTATGTATATGGCCCATTCTACAACAACTAGTGACGACCTTCATCCACCTCTCATGGCCCCATTCACTCATCCACCCATCCAACTCCCACTAATTTCTTGCTTTTTCAATTTTTTTTTATCTTTTCTTGCCACTGTTTCCCCTCCTCTGACATTATGTACCAACAATGGTCCATTTTCTTAGATGTATGCCCTACTTGCATCTATCCTCTTCAGCATCGGTGACCATACGCAAGGCAGGGTCCAACGTCGAAATGTCACCCTGTTACCAACTGGTAGAAGTTCAATCTTGGAACATTTGCGAGTTGTATTTTCCTCACAAGAATTGCCCAATGTTGATGTTCCCTTCATACCCTTGTTTACCTCCACCTTCACCAGTCTTTGCTAGTGTCAACGCACGGAAGGTGTCTCACTGCAGTGTACCTGCGTGGGTGCAACCAACTAGTGGCTGGCGAAGCGGAAAACTGCGGATCATCAAATATACCCAATGCGGAAGAAATAAACAATCCAAAAGGAAAAAAAGAAATGCTAATTGTTGTTCTGATCTGAGTCAAACTTTAATTTCGATGATAAAATCGATACTGGCGATCGTAGACCTTTCACCACCTTGCAACGCCCATGATTAAGATCCGGCCTCCCAACCTTGAGTTGTGACCTGCAAAATCAGCTCAACATTGCCCATCAACAGAAGCAAACTGCTACTTCGAAGAACACATTACCCCCACAAAGTCAAACCGGGACGAGCGGATAGGAGGGCAGATGCATCTACTACAGTAAGTATAAGAGAGAAGTCCGCGAAATCCACCATACAACCATAGTTCTGCATGGCAGGCAATTTGGAGAACCCTATGGCCATCGGGGGGACTTCGGGATCATGGCCACAGGGTTCGTTTCTGTATGGTGGACTATCCTATTCTGTTGAGTGTTTTATGTCTATCCGCTTGTCTATGCTGTTTTCTTTTTTCAATCTATTGTGCACCAATGTAGACAGTATCTATATAATTGTGTATTGTTGTTGGAAGATTGTACTGAAATTTAGTCTGGCAACAGTTTCTTGTTCTTATTGTGTATTTCATTCCGCATTCTGGTCCTCCTTCCCTGCATTGGTAGACTTGCCCGTTCCCCTCCATGATGTAACCTACCAATGCTTATCTGGCCAACATAACGAGCACTGCGCCTATGTATGGCGACAACCTTTAACATTACGGAGGATTGGCGACAGGAATCATCCGAGTTAATAGATTGAAATGATATAAACCTGAAAGTTTTGTTCTGAACTTTCCAATGGGGAATGTATTTTTTCAATCATTCCGATTTTACATTTCTCAGCCATATCTACCTTCATAACAATTTTCTATTTCTCTCAAACTTCACGTTTATGCAATCATCACATTTCTCCCAGAATCCCACTTTTTCATTCAGTCTCACCCAATCTCACCTTCGCCTCTTTTCGAAATTTCACTTGTTCTATTTTGGACCCCATATTAAGTGCACCTGCAGTGATCGTCCGTATTGCTCATTCCATGTGTGCATTATCTGCCTGTCTACCTGTGGCCGTCTGCCTCACTGTCGCAGATTCTCATACAACTCACCGTCTACAGTTTCCACATCTAATATGTACTAATTAAACCTCTCCCATAAAGTTCATTTTCTCTACGATTTGTATCTAATTCTTCTCTCCTCTCATATCCTCCCTAACTTTCACCACTCTCTATTTCATGATCCTCCCCCCTCTCCCCCTTCATCATGCAACCTCTTCATAATTTTTGTTCCTTCAGATCTGTCTCCCGACTTCACATCGCAACTGCCTCCCCACACCAACCTAGCTCCTTCTTTCACTGTCCCAGCTGCAATTGCCAGCCTCATACAATCCAACGTTATATATACCCACAATCCCTATAGGAAAGGTGTGGCACAATTTTTTTTTCTCATCATTGCAAAAAAATAAACACATCTAGTTCGTTGTCTTGAAACTTCGCGAGCCTCGTGTTCTATATGACCCCATCGCCTATTTTCCATTCCCACATTCCATCGCCAAATCGCAGTTTCCACTTTTTGCAAAAATTTTAATCTTGCAAAATTCAATTAATACTCAACTTTTTCTTATTTTTCATTTGCATTCAGGCGGCTTTTCCCATACTTCCAGTTTCCCATCCCACTTTACCCATTCCATCGTCCCATCTTCTCCGATCCGTGTCTCCCCACGCTTATTGGGTTTGTTGTCCTGCAGGTAAACCCTCGCAGGCTTGTTTACCGCACTTCCGAATCAGGCAACCCAAACAAATCTCCAACTGCTGGTTCAAGTCAAAAAAAAAACCTTCATAACTACCAACTGTACCGTTTTTTTTTTTGGCCCTGCCTTCCACAGTTTCATATTTTATCTCCTGGTGCTAGCTTTTCAATTCCAGGCTACCGTCACCTTCCCCTCGCCAGGCCCCTTCGCCTCGCCAATCTTTGGGATCTACCTTTTCCCTTTACATTCATTAGTCACCATTTAACCGCCAGTCAGTGGCTAAACCTGTCCTTACGTGACCGTTTAGCTCCTAATTCCCCTTTTATCTCCAGTTTGCCACCGCTTTCCACCTCCTGTAGCGGCTATGGCAACTACCACTGAAGTGTTGAGCCACGTCCGCTCTTCCTCCACAACATCTGTGGCTGCCTTGATGTCCCCCAACACAACCGTCTCATCTGTGGGTGCTTCCACCATGGGCAAGCGTGTGCACCGCGAGGTGCGCTTTGGCGCTTACGTTCTCGGCTCCACCTTGGGCGAAGGCGAGTTCGGCAAAGTCAAATTGGGCTGGCGCAAAGACGGCAAGCATCCTTCCCAAGTAGCCATCAAGTTGATCAAGCGCGATTCCATCATGAAAGACTCGGAGTCCGAGGTCAAGATCCACCGTGAGATCAACTCTTTGCGCTTGCTCAGCCACCCTAACATTGTCAATTTGGTCGAAGTGTTGAAGAGTGGAAAGTATATCGGCATCGTTTTGGAGTATGCCAGCGGTGGCGAGTTGTTCGACTACATCTTGCAGCACAAGTATTTGAAAGAGAATGTGGCCAAGAAATTATTTGCCCAGCTCGTTTCGGGCGTCGATTACATGCATCTGAAGGGCTTGATCCATCGCGACTTGAAGTTAGAGAACTTGTTGTTGGACAAGCACAAGAACATCGTCATCTCAGATTTTGGCTTTGTCAATTCTTACAATCGCGACAGAAATGACCTCATGAAGACTTCCTGTGGCTCCCCTTGCTATGCGGCTCCCGAATTGGTCTTGACCCAGTCGCCATACTCGGGCCGTAAAGTTGATATCTGGTCCTTGGGTGTTATCTTATACGCCATGCTCTCTGGCTACCTTCCTTTTGATGATGACGCGGAGAATGAGGATAGCGCAGACATTGTCAGATTGTATCATTACATTTGCAACACGCCCTTAACATTCCCCGAATACGTGTCACCTTTGGCTAGAGACTTGTTAAGAAAAATCATTGTTTCCGACCCAGAAAAGAGAATTTGCATGGATGAGATCAGAAACCATCCTTGGTTGGCTCCTCACGCTAACTTGTTGTCCATTAGACAACCTGAGTGGGACAGAATCCACTCCGAGGACAAGGAGAGACTGAGAACTGCTCACTTGATCAACCCTAACAAGCAGAAGAGATTCTCAATGTTCAATGAGACAACAAGCTCCTCCACGTTGATGTTGAGTTCCACAAAGAACCCACATGGAAGGACATACACGTCAAACTCGAACATCATATATTCGAATCCAACCACCTCGTCATCTCTTGCTAATGTTGTTGCTTTGACCAATTCTAACGAGCCCAACTTGGCCACCTCTGCATCTTCCGTCACAAATGGATCTACTTCGACCTTGTCGTCTACTGTTTCTAACGCTGAGAGTGGCTCACCCTCAAAATCTAGCCAGTTTGTTTTCCAGCGTGGTCATTCGAAATCCGCATCCATGTCTGGTAGCTATTCTTCGGCTAGTCATGCCCTCAAGGCTGTTGCCACTGAGCATGATAACCAGAGAAAGTCACTCCACGAATCTGATGTTCCAACTAATATCCCTAATGCTCATTACGGCCATTTACCTAACGGCGGTTTGCCCCGCTCTTCAACATACACTGGTACAATATCAACCATTGTGGAAAGTCCAACAAATGCTGAATTTGACGTGTCCAAGCAGAAGGAATGGCTCGAAAGGAATACTCACTCGCCTGACTTGGCGAAGGAAGCAAGATTGCCTCACTCACAGAATAAACCAAGACCTACGTCGTATCATCCAGGGTCTATGAGTTCATCCTTATTGACCAATAACTCTGCAACAATGTTGGAATATGTCAAGCTTTCTTCTCCTAAGAATCTTGCAACACCTCAATTCTTGTCTGGCTCCCCAACAAAGAGTACATTGAGTGCTGAATTGGTGGATAGAGGACTTCTGGGAAGTCCCATTCCTCAGAGTTCAGTGCCTGCTAGACGGGCCAATTCTAGAAGAGACTCTGTGGTTACTGCTATCAATGTCAATGGAGTGCTCACAAGCGATTTGAGCAGTCATGAAAACAAGAGAAACTCCGTATTGAGTTATTTGGAGGACAAAATGGATACTCTTGATTTGACCGAGCTGCAAAGCCCAACCCGTCCCGCCTCTGAGTCTACAGCTGCAACACTGCCACCTCCAGCCCTCAAGCTCGATACTGACCTCCCCCCTCCCAAGCATGTCACGCCTCAGATCAATCAACTGCCTACGTTTGCTGTGCCAACAGAATCTCCCAAGGAGAGAGAGATTGTTAAGGAATCGGGTGTTGTGAAAGAAAGAGAGGTTTCTAAAGAGAAAGAGATAGTGAAGGAAAAGTTGCTTGAAGATGACAAGGAAAATATCGATAAGGAGAGAATGACCCGGCCCACAGAAGTGACCTCCAGGGAGCGCAACAAGGAAAGCAAAGAGATCAAGGAGGCCAAGAAGCGTAACAGATTCAGCATTTTGTCGTTCTACAGCAACTCAAATGCCTCCTCGTCACTTGTTGACACAAACAGCGTCCACTCGTCAGGGAAGAAAGTTTTGGAACCTTCAAATGAAGCCAACGTGTCCCACTCTGCGAATGCCAAAGAGCAAAAGAGAGTCGGGTCATCGTCCTCCAACAAGTCTGCGCAGAATAGAAAGTCTATCGCTGCTGGTTCAGTAAATGGCACCTATGTTAATGGCAAGGAAGCCAGTGCTGCCCGGAAAGTAATGAACTTCTTCAAGCGCAGAAGTATTAGAATTGGCTAGAAATTTGGGTATTTTAATGTTTGCATGTTTTAATGGTATAGTTATATGAATGTCAAAATGAGTAATTAATCAAATTTCTGGTGTAGTATCCTGATTGAAGAGAAGTATCATAACGTTACAAACTCAACAAAGAGGACATCGTAGGGAACCCAAAATAGAAAGAGATTTGAAATAAAGAAGATCAGAATGTAAATTTTTGGCCTAGAATTCCGTGCTTTCTGAAAAGTATTTCACTCATCCGCTACAAGATGTAACATTTATTGTCGAGAACTCTTGCTTAGTATCACTGTGTACTATTTGGGAAGTATGAGTGAGATGATATAAAGTGAGTGAGAGCCAAATCAAGAGAGTCATGAAGAATATACAAAAAAGTAGATAAATCGCCCTCAACATCGAAAAAAAAATCTATCATTTTTGAATTCAAAAGCTACCAAATCTATTTTTCTTCAAAGACTTCACCACCACTAATTTGGCGCCAATGCAATTTCCCAACTTCTCATCTATTCTATCTATACATTCTATGTGCGAATCACTCATCTCGTCTCTGAATAATCACTATACCATGGCATCTTCACATCCTAGTGTCAAAGATAGCCCGAACTACCTTGTGGAAAATGCTATTGAGGAGGTGGAATCACCACTAGATTCGCCGTCTACAGAAACAGACTCAGAAAGAGATGTCCAAAGCAATAAATTGGAAGGTGAATATGAAGATCAGGAAATCGAAACGGAAAGCTCTGATTCCGACTTGGATTTGGACTCCGATGCAGAAGTAGATCCAACCGACGAGTCACTTTCTACCACTATCATCCAGGAAATCGACGACGGGACATATATCTGTCTCGTATGCACTTGTGAAATCGACAGACACCTGGAGATCTGGTCATGTCAGAATTGCTACCGAGTGTACGACCTCGAGTGTATTAACGACTGGGCAACTCGAGGATCATCTACAAACGCTCAGAATGAATGGCGATGCCCCGCATGTAACGTGGAGCACCGTACAATCCCATCTAAATTTACCTGCTGGTGTGGCAGAGTGACCAGACCAAGTGCTGATACGTTAATTCCGTTCAGTTGCGGGAACCCATGTAATGTCAAGTATCCACACTGTGTTCATTCATGTTCGTCTGTTTGCCATCCTGGAAAACATCCGGAGTGTGGAGCGTTGGGCCCAGTCATGAATTGTCGATGTGGAAAGCACAATCAGCAATTACCATGCTTGGTGACTCCATACCAAATGGGATGGACATGCGATACGCCATGTGATACTGTGGTGTGTGAAATGGACCATAAGTGTTCTGGTGGCTGCCACCTGGGATTCTGTGGGCCATGTAAAGACCAAGTGGATGTCAGATGTTACTGTGGAATTGAAACGAAGACAATTGTCTGTCTGGCTATAGATCCCAAGGTTTGCTACGAGAAGGAGAACCGGAATGAGAGATTTGTCGGTGGAACGTCTTGTAACAATACAATTGTCGAGTACTATGAATGCGGAATCCATAGCGAAGAGCTCACCTGTCAACCGCTATCACCTTCCACACTCAAATGCAAGTTCGATCCAGCAAATGTCAAGACTTGCTATTGTGGCAAAACACCAGCCCATGAACTTAGGTCCAAGTGTACTGACCCTATGCCCGAATGTGACCAAGTATGTGGGAAGTTGCTCAAATGTGGATGCACTTGTCTTGCTAAGTGCCATGAAGGTGACTGCGAGTGTTACAACATTATAGAAACGAAATGCTCCTGCAACAATGCCAGCTATCTCGTACCATGCAAGGCTCTCCAACAAGGATTTGTCGCCAAATGTCGTCATAAGTGTACAGCAGCACTCAGTTGCAGAAAGCACTACCATAGAGAAGAATGTTGCGAGTTTGAGCAGATTGCACTAAAAAGAGAAAGGGAACAGCGGAAACAAGTGAGAAATCGTGTTCGAACAAACTTCGAGGACCTGCTCTTGACTATGGAGCCCATCCATATTTGCACAAGAACATGTAATCTCTTGAAGCCTTGTGGATCCCACTACTGTGAAGCCATGTGCCATAGTGGTCCATGTGGAGTTTGTCTCGAGTCTTCCAACGAGGATCTTGTTTGCCATTGTGGGAAAACCGTCATTCCTGCTCCTGTTAGATGTGGAACCAAAATCGTATGCCAGGAACAATGTGTCAGAGAAAAAGAATGTGGCCACGCTCCAGAGCCGCATAGATGTCATGATGATAACAAGCAATGTCCTAAGTGCACCAAGTTAGTGGAGAAAACATGCAATTGTGGAGCCAAGCTGTTGAAGCATGTTCTTTGTTCAGTCACCAATGTTTCTTGTGGAAGAATATGCAATTCTAAGTTACAGTGTGGCCATGTATGTAACAGAGCATGCTCTCATGATTGTGTGGAGGGCCGTCATGCTGATGTTGCTGCCTGTCGGTTGACATGTCGCAAGATAAGAAAAAACTGTCCTCACATGTGCCAGGCAAAATGTCACTACTCGAAGAAAACACCATGCGATGCAACCATTTGTAAGGAGGAGGTAGTGATCACTTGTGAGTGTGGAAGAATGTCCCGAAAAGTTCCATGTGGAGCACTGATGGCTCTTCCAACGAAGATCGGTACTATTTTTGGATGTGACGATGAGTGTGCTAGAATCAAGAGAGAAGAAGAGCTCAAGAGCATTTTCCACAATTCCCCGGCAACACATGAGAGTACTTACCCCGAATCTGTAACTAGCGTTTTCCGTCGTCAGGTCAACTGGTGCCTGAAGATGGAGTCCATCATTCGCAACTTCGTCAGTGACTACATGGACTGTGTTGCTGCTGAGCTTCCGGCAAAGAAAAGTCTCCACTTCCCTCCTATGATGAAACCACAGCGAGAATTTCTTCACAACTTAGCCGAGGTTTACAGGCTTTACTCCGAGTCGCAGGACCGGGAACCCATGAGATCAGTGTTTCTTTGCATTACTAACTTATCGGTATTACCCACTCTCACAATTAGGCAGGCATTGGATAAGGAAGAAGATATGGAGAGGAAAAGAATTCAACTTGAAGAAATGAAGCTCTCGCAATTAAATGAAGCATTTTTTAATGCCATTTTGATCCAGGATGTGTTCTTTGGAGTTACGAAGGAAGAAGTGGAAAAGAAGGTTAATGAGATTCTCGAGAACCATCCTGAGATCAAAGAATCACAACTTGAATGGATCAAGGATTCAACTTATGTGTTCTATGACAAACATTTCGCCGAAATGGATAAGGATAAAGAGAATGAGCTTTACATTCTCCTGAAAACCTTCAAGAAGGTGTTGAGAGAGAAGTTGATTGCTTTTGATTGCAAGATGTGTTTGGTTAATGAGGACGTAGACCTCATTTTGAAAACTGACCTGAATAATGTTGTTGCAAGTACTGTTGAAGAAAAGGAGAAGCCTGAGGGTTCCAACAATCTCTACAGTATTTTGCAAAATCAAGAACAAGAGGTGGAGAGTTAGCATTAGCATTTATAAATAGACAATACTTTACAACATTCTATACACTTTCATCTGCATCGCCATTGTCGACCTTCTCTGTCATTTCTGAGTTCTCGTTATTTTCAATCTCTTTAGATTCTTTGTTTTCATTTTCGTTGTCGTCATCCTTCTTACCATGTCTTCTCACTCTCTTCTTCTTGGATTCACTTGCTGGTTGATTAACAGTTTTCTTCTTCTTGATACTCAAAGGATTAGGCTCACTAGGTCCCTTTCTTTTCTTTTTCTTGGGCTCCTCGACATCCTCTTCCTTGTTCACAAATCCCACTTTAGAATCATTCAAGCCTTGATTGAGTTTTGCGTTTTCACTCAACGCAGCAGCTCTCTTAGATGCATCAGAAGCTGGCTCCATGACCATGACCGATCGGTTCATGAAAATCAACGGAACACCAGGAACCGAACGGAGTCTTCTTCTCAATCTCGTGGACTGACTGGCAACTACGTACCTATGCTTGTTTACTCCGTCAATGTTGACAATGGACTCAATGCACTCAACTGGAGGCTTTGGGTCTTTAGGTGGATGGTTGCATCGCCTTCTCTCGAATGTCTTGGCCAAATTAATGGCACTCTGGTTATCCGTGGCATACAAAGCTTGCATGCAACACTGGGTAATCATGGGTTTTGTTTCCGCCTGGATGGTTCTCTCCAAGCCTTTGACCAAGTCAAACTGGGCCTTGTCACAAGTGAGTACTAACTCATCGTCCACGATGGTCTGGTATGGCTCCCTGAACTTGAATGTGTGAAGGTAGATGTTCATCTGTTTTCTGTATGCTTTTGCTCTTTTTTGTCTCATATTGGCTGGAGTATTTGGTTGATCTTGGAGTGGAGATGGAGGTTTGAATATGAGAAGAGATGAGAACCGGAAGAATTGTCCAATTCCGAGGGTATAGGGAAAAGGTTGACAGTGCGAAAATTAGCCGAAACTAGCACAGAAGTAGCTTTTATTCTTCCGAGGGTGTGCTTTTGGAGTATTCCGAGGGTATAGATGTGTGCCGGTTTTTTTCAATTTGAGATGAGAAACTTATCTTCAACTCATCTCCATCTATAACATGTCTGTCGTTGGATCCTTGATTTTCTGCAATGACTGTGGAAACTTGCTAGACTCTGTTACCGCAAAGCCTACGCTAGACTGTAAAGTGTGCAAAAAATCTTATTCCAGCCAGAAGTTTGCCAACTTGAAAGTGGTGACCAAGTCATCTGAGGATGCATTCCCTTCTTCGTTGAGATTGAAGAGATCGGTGGTTAAGACCTCGTTGAAGAATGACGAGTTGGAAGAGGGTGCCACAATCAAGGAAAAGTGTCCAAAGTGTGGAAACGAGGAGATGCAATACCATACCTTGCAATTAAGATCTGCTGATGAAGGTGCCACGGTGTTTTACACTTGTACGAGCTGTGGCTACAGATTCAGAACCAATAACTAGTGGGGCAAGTTCCCTCTGTACAATAGAATTAGCATACGTCATAAACGAATTGAGAAAGTGACTTTGTAGATTGATGAACACATCCAATAATATCAAACGCAAGCCTATAAGCGTTAATTTATGACCGTCAAATGCTCTAACAGTAGGCCCTGAGTGAGTTCGTATTATATATCTCATCTGATCTAGCTTCCACAACTTGTGCCTAAAATTCAAACAAGAACCTCTCTAATAATTCTCGCTTGTGTCTAAGTCTAATAACCCTACACTGTCTACTCAATACTTTTAATACACTATTTTACCGTTCCCTAGTTCGTCTTGATGGTGGTGTACTCCAACTCGTTGGAGTTCTCATACTCGTACATGTCCAATGCCACGACTGCACTGTCTCTGACCACCTGCTCCTCGTCGTTCAAGAACGACTTCAACACAGGCAAACACTCGTCAGTTGCAATGGATCCCAATGCCTCAGCAGCCTCATGTCTCACCATACCGGCCTCACTCTCGTCCTTCAATACCTTAATTAAAGAAGGCACAGTCACTGGGTTACACAACTGACCGAAAACGTAGGCAATCTCGTGTTTAAACAAAGCAGAGGGATCCTCAAAGCCCGAAGCCAATGCAAGACAGGCTTCATCGGTGGCCAAGTCTCTCAACCTGAACATGGCTCTGTATCTCTCAAAAAGTGGCTTCTCCTGGTCGTTCAAGATTTTCTGCAACTTTTCAATCTTAGCTTCCTGGTCGATAGGCAAAGGAGGAGCTGGGTCGATGGAAGTGAAAGCGGAGGTCTCCAAGTTTTCGCTTTTAGCAGCCTCTGAGTTCTCCCAACGGATTCTCTCGATAGCCAACTCGCACGTCTGTCTAATCTCGAGAGCAGGGTCCTCTTTGAAGTACTTCTCCAAGATTTCCAAACATTCAGCGTCTCCGATAGCACCCATAGCTTCGGCAGCCTCATGTCTGACCATAATTTGCTGATTAGCCTCATCAGCCAACACCTGCTTCAAATACTGGTTAGCGTGGGTACTTTTAATCTGACCCAAAACATAAGCGACCTCATGTTTCAACAACTCGGAACTGTCAGCAAACGACTCAGCAATGTAGTCGATGGCCTTGTGTACGATGGCCTTGTCTTCGGACTCGGCACCTAAACATTTCAAGTTGAACAAGGCTCTGAAACGGTTAGCGAGTGCAACATTTCCTGCCTTGTTACACAAGACATCTCTCAACTGCTCAATGGAGGCGGTGTCAACGTCAATATCAGCCATGATAAAGTAGGTGTTTGGTGAATATTCGGTGGCCTCAGATTTTTTTTTTTTTTTATGCATGAAAGCCGATGCCGAGATAAAGAATGATAATGGGCGAAGACAATTTGAAGAAGAAGATTTTGAGGCAAAAAGAGTAGGAGTAGAGAAAATAAATAGAAACTTACATTGAATGCAGTGTGTTTTTGGGGATGCTAACTTGTTTCTTCTACCTTGGTTGGATTAATGGTTGGCGAAGAGAAAGTCCGTATAAGCGCATAGCATGAGCGAGCAAAGATAGAGCATCAAGAGTGAATATTGTGAAAAATGTAAAATTGTGAATTGACGAAAAATGAAAAAATGGAGAACTGGACGAAAAAAGATGACATCAATTGGACCAGCCAAGAAATAAATGCATTCATTCACTTTGGTGAATTTTGTGCTTGCTGTGGATATTTGGGAGATTCATGGTGATATATTTTGGTAAGGTATATGATGAGTAGAAATGAATACAAAATAATTGCTAATAACAAGAAGACAACGAAAAAATGAAGAAAAAATAACGACTTGTTTTGAAACTAACTTACCATTATTACTTTTTTGAGGACATTGATAATTATAAATAATGACAATGCTGAAGATATTCAATTGCATCGATAATATTAGAATGCATAAAAAGTTACATAGTTTCAATAAAACATTTCAATTTTAAAGCCTTATGGAATTAAAAGCCCATATTTAGTTTGCTGAAATAATCTTAAGGAAGTATCTGTTCAATTAGCTCGTGGAACCGTCTCCACTCACAGTAGTTTGAAAGCTTTTAATCTCATTTCAAATTGATTTGATGACGTTTTCATATCCTAGTCACAGCGATCCTCTCAGCAACAAACACTATGGCTGGATTTTCCCACATACTAACACGTTTTAGGCTTATGAATTAGGTATCAACGAGAAGTTGCCTTGTAAACAAGAACAATCGAGGCAAGAGATTCTTTTGAAATTTAGCCTATTTTCATCTCCATTAATCATGGGAATCCGGAAAATACAGAGAGTCTAAAAGAGTTACAAATGTCATATCAAATGAATTGTTCCTTTAGAATTAAAATCAGGTACTTTTAAGTTCGTGGCATATTACTACAGGAATTGAAATGCAATCATGTGTCAAGTGTCCTTTTCTGTTCCGTGACATTGAAGGGAGACACCGAGATATGTTCGAAATTGGTTGGGAATGCTTAGTTTCATGTGATGGAAATGAAGGAAGTAAAATTGGGCAGATAGTTCAAACTGTTGAAGATTGAGGAAGATTTGGTTATTGGCTGCAAGAAAATCGAAAACTTGAATGCAATTGCCACCATTCGAGCCGAAAGCTAGCAAGAAATCTCAACTCTTTGTTTTAAAAAGTTACAAATTAATACAACAGCAGGCGAAAATAAGGGTTTTATTTAGGTTTGGCACATTAGTGCAACAGGTTGAGTAACCTGAATGTATGGTGAGGCATAATGTCTCGGAGATCCATAACATTGGCGATCCATAACACTGGAGATTAATATCGGAGAAACAAATTCGAAAACCCAAAACACTCCTTATAATTATTTAATTACAATAAAGAATGAATCTTTATTCAATCATCAACCTATATTCTCGGCATCCTTTTAACAATCACATACTATTGGAGTCGCACTATGTACTCTACAACTCTACCATAATCCAAATCCAAAAAAACACCATTTACAACATACCTCCAAGAAGAGAGCCATCAACACCCTGAAACAATCCACTAAGCCTAATTAATACTTCTATACTTCGCCAATTCTTTTTTTCATCCGCCAATTCCATCACCTTCCAACATCGTCCACGTCTTACTGGTGTACGGGTGCACACCCTCCATATTCGAAAATTTTGATCTTCATTCACCAACATCACCATGGCTCAACCTCCTCTTCCCGACTTGTCGAACGCCATTGTGGCGCAGGATGAAATGGGTAGACCGTTCATCATTGTGCGTGATCAGGGCAAAAAGCAGAGAAAGCACGGCCTCGAGGCCACAAAGTCTCATATTTTGGCCGCCAGAGCAGTGGCAACCATTGTCAAAACCTCATTGGGTCCCCGTGGCTTGGATAAGATCTTGGTCAGTCAGGATGGTGACATCACCATCACAAATGATGGAGCCACCATCTTGTCCCAGATGGACTTGGATAACGAGATCGCAAAGTTGCTTGTTGAGTTGTCCAAGTCTCAGGACGATGAAATCGGAGATGGTACCACCGGTGTGGTGGTGTTGGCCAGCGCATTGTTGGACCAGGCCTTGGAGTTGATCGAGAAAGGTATCCATCCAATTAAGATCGCCAACGGTTTTGACGAGGCATGTAAGATTGCATGTAATCAACTAGATGAGGTTGCTGACGACATTCATCACGGTGCTGACTCGAGCAACTCATCGTTGTTCAAGGCTGCCAAAACATCTTTGGGATCTAAGATTGTTTCTAAGGCACATGACCACTTTGCCAACATGGCTGTTGATGCTGTGTTGGCTGTGGCTGATTTGGAGAGAAAAGATGTAGACTTCGAGTTGATCAAGATGGAGAGCAAGGTGGGAGGTGGAATTGAGGATTCTAAGCTTATCAAGGGAGTCTTGTTGGACAAGGAGTTTTCCCACCCACAAATGGCCAAGGAAGTGACCGACTGTAAGATTGCCATCTTGACATGTCCATTTGAGCCTCCCAAGCCCAAGACGAAGCATAAGTTGGACATCTCCACGGTTGAGGAGTTCAAGGTTTTACAGGAGTACGAGCACAAGAAGTTCCTTGAGATGATTACGCGTGTTAAAGATTCGGGAGCAAACGTGGTTGCTTGCCAGTGGGGATTTGATGACGAAGCTAATCACTTGTTGTTGTCCAACAACTTGAACGCCATCAGATGGATCGGCGGCTCTGAGTTGGAGTTGTTGGCTATTGCCACCAATGGCCGTATTGTGCCTAGATTTGAGGACTTGGCTCCTGAGAAGTTGGGCCACGCTGGCACCATCCGCGAACTCGAGTTTGGTACCACCAGAGACCGTATGTTGGTGATTGAGGATTGCTCCAATACTAAGGCCGTGACTTGTTTCATTCGTGGTTCCAACGAGATGATCGTTGCTGAAGGTGTAAGAGCATTGCATGACTCCATTTGTGTGGTCCGTAATTTGATCAGAGACAGCAGAGTGGTGTACGGAGGAGGAGCAGCCGAGTTAGCATGTTCTATTGCTGTTAGTTCTGCTGCTGATAAGCAGAAGGGTATTGACCAGTATGCTTTCCGTGCATTTGCCAGTGCTTTGGATCAGATCCCTATGACACTTGCTGAGAACTCGGGCTTGGACCCAATCGAGACGTTGTCTACGCTTAAATCGAAACAGATTCTTGAAAAGTCGTCACACCTTGGAGTTGACTGCTTGGGCAAGGGTCATAACGACATGAAGGAGCTTTTCGTCATTGATCCATTGATTGGCAAGAAGCAGCAATTATTGTTGGCCACGCAGTTGACTCGGATGATCTTGAAGATCAACGACGTGATCATCAGTGGAAAGGACGAATACTGATTGTACTATAGGCTAGGTTCTAATATATATCGATACCGAGATGAAGAAGGCATGGTATTCAGAAGCAGAATCTGAGCGAAAGCGACGAAATAGAGAGGATATTAGATTAATTCAAGAGCTGTCGAAGAGTTCATGGGTCTAAAGAAATTATTGAAGACCTCATAAATTTCTGCATATCTCCAAGTAGGTGTTTTGTCTTATTAGGCTTTAAGTTGGACCATTTGATCTAGTGCGAATACTCTCTTCTTTCTACTTAAACAACCATTTCTATATCCTTGACTCTCCAATACACCAAAAATACAAGAAGAACAAGAAAATAACCACCAATAATATCCTCAATAACATCCACAACCCTTAAATTCCCCACCTTTTTTCCATTCCCTCCAATTGCTCTATTCCCAAAATTTCCCCAAGGTCGTCCCCCTACCATAATACATTTAGTACCCATGCCTCCCCAACCTCCGTACCCTCCTTGCTCACTCAATCTCAGCATTGCCTCTAACTTCACCATCCAATTGTCCCATCCAACACCATCATCATGTCGTCAATGGGAACGCCTGCGGTTGTCATGGACAACGGTACCGGATTGACCAAGTTGGGATTTGCCGGAAACGACTCTCCCTCGTATGTTTTCCCCACTGCTATCGCGACATCCACCGCTGCCAGTAAAGGCGCCAAATCCTCCACTTCCGCCAACTCCTTTTTGAGCTCCAAGCGTGGCTTGGAAGACTTGGACTTTTTCATTGGTGATGAGGCATTGAGCGCCGCCACAGGCCCCAACTACTCGTTGTCGTATCCGATTAGACATGGTCAGATCGAAAACTGGGACCACATGGAGAGATTCTGGGAGAACTCCATCTTTAAGTACCTCAGATGTGAGCCCGAGGATCACTACTTCTTGTTAACCGAGCCTCCTTTGAATCCGCCGGAAAACAGAGAAAGCACTGCCGAAATCATGTTTGAAACTTTCAACTGTGCTGGTTTGTACATTGCAGTGCAGGCTGTGTTGGCATTGGCTGCCTCGTGGACGTCGTCAAAGGTCCAGGATAGATCATTGACCGGAACTGTCATTGATTCAGGAGACGGTGTCACCCACGTTATTCCAGTGGCTGAGGGATATGTGATTGGTGGAGCCATTAAGAACATTCCGTTGGCCGGAAGAGATATCACACTCTTCATCCAGTCGTTATTGCGTGACAGAGGAGAAGCTGACACGTCATTACAGACCGCAGAGAAGATCAAGCAGCAATTCTGTTACGTGTGTCCAGACATTGTTAAAGAGTTCAAGAAGTTCGACCAGTATCCACAAGAAAAGTTTGCTCAGTACATTGTGGAGACAGCAGCAAGAAGCAAAACGGTCGATGTCGGATACGAGCGGTTTTTGGCCCCGGAAATCTTCTTCAACCCAGAAATCTTCTCTTCAGACTACTTGACTCCATTGCCCACAGTGGTGGACCAGGTGGTTCAGTCATCGCCAATTGACGTGAGAAAGAAATTGTATAAGAATATCGTGTTGTCTGGAGGTTCCACCATGTTCAAGGACTTTGGCCGTAGATTGCAGAGAGACATCAAATCGTTGGTGAACGAAAGAATTGAGATCAGCGAGAAGTTGAGCGGAGTCAAAAGTACCGGTGTGGAGGTCCAGGTGATTTCCCACAAGAGACAACGGAATGCTGTGTGGTTTGGAGGTTCGTTGTTGGCACAGACTGCTGAATTCAAGAGTTACTGTTACACCAAGCAAGACTACGATGAGTATGGACCCAGCATCGTGAGAAACTTCTCGTTGTTCTCTGTGCCATAGGCTATAAAATTACGGTTCACAATTGTACAAGATAGATACGTGGTGTAGACTTTTGAGTAGTGCTATTGATCTTTAGAGCACCTGTGAGTCTCATCACCCACTGCAATGCGAAAAATCCCGAAAAACAGAAAAGAATAGCCACCAATAGGACCTGAATGTTAATAAAGAATTGCATAATCTTCTCACCTCCTTATTGTCGTTTATCAACATTAATCTCTTTTATTTGCTCTCCATTTCCAAATTTCACTTCCCTACATTCCTCATGCTCTTACATGGCCACACCCTCACATGGTGTCACTCTACCCCAACGAAGCAAACCAAGAAGAGAAAAAAAAGAAGAGAAAAATCAATTATACCGATTCCGAAAAATTCCTCTCTGTTCCTAAATTTCCTCATCAATCGCCCATATCATATCTGTTCATCCTGATTTGCTAAGGTTCTCTCCACATTTACACCCGTACACCGAGAATACTCATTGTCGATACCAGATAAGGTTGAAAGTTCCTCTAGACATTCTCAACACCATGTCATCCACACAACTCCAGGTGGTCGACGGGGTTGCACTCAACCAGATTTTTGTTGGCTTGAAGCTGGCGAAAGAGGATGAGCGCAACCGTAGCGCCATCGAATTGCGTAACTTCCTCGCATCCATAGCCAGAGACTTAACTCCAGAACAATTCAACCGCTATAACAACGAGATCAACAGAACCATCTTTGATTTGCTCCAGAGTAAAGACACCGTGCAGACTCTCGGAGGAATTGCAGCGTTGAATGCGTTGATCGACTTCGACAGTGGAATCGGAGAGGAAAATGCAACTAAAACAGCCCGATTCTCCAACTACTTGAGCTCGTTGATTCTCTCCAATGACCTTACCATCATGAAGCATGCCACGCGAACTTTGGGTAAGTTGGCCACTCCAGGCGGGACCTTGACCGGTGACTTCGTAGACTTCGAAGCTAAGAAGGCCATCGAGTGGCTTCAGAGTGACAACCGTCAGCACGAAAACAGAAGACATGCAGCTATTCTCATCATCACTGCGTTGGCCGACAATTCTCCGTTGCTTCTTCAGGGCTATATCAACCAAATTCTTGAACACATATGGGTACCTCTTAGAGACTACAAGTTAATCATTCGAACCGACGCTGCTGTCACGCTCCTGAAGTGTATGTCGATCATATACTCAAGAGATGTTGAAGCAAGACGGAAGTGGATTCGTATACTTATTGATCTGGCATCGAACGTGCTTAATGAGAACAATTCCATCGACACAGACTCTAATGCGAACGGCTACTCCTCAAGCTACAACTTGATTTCCAATGCTACCGCCCCTTCAAACGAGGCTATTCATGGTTCCTTATTAGTTTACCGTGAGTTGGTCAAGTATAACGATGACCCGTACATCAAGTCCATGTTTGAAGTCATGTATGAGAATATCACCCTTTACAAGAGCCACCGCCTGTCTGTTATCAGGCAAGAATTGACCAACATATATCCACTCCTTTGCAAAGTGAATCCTGATTTGTTTGTGGAGAAATATTTGCATCGCACCCTCTACTTCTTCTTGTCTCAGTTAAAAAAATACAAGAACCAACACGGCGAGGCTGCTAACGCAGACAAGAGTGCTATTTTACGGAGCATTGGTTTGATTGCATTGGAGGTGGGTAACCAAATGGCGACGTATTTGGATGCCATCTTGGACAATATCAGAGATGGGCTCTCCTACCCGGGAAACTCGACTGTGCAGCTGATTTTGGCTCATGCTGTTACTAATGGAGACACTACGGGTACATCTTTGAACTCTATCTCTACTGCAGCATCCGGATCATCAAAATACAAGGCAATTCGCAAAGATACAGAGCCAGCTATTTTTGACTGCATTGGGAAGCTTTCCATCGCGGTTGGTCCAGCATTAACTAAGCATCTTCAAAGGGACATTCTCGATATGATGTTCAGCAACTGCTCATTATCGACGCATATGCAAGATGTGTTGCAGACCCTCATAACGAATATCCCTTCACTAACTGCTACTATCAACAAGAAATTGCTTAATTTGTTGAGCTTAGTGTTGTCTGGTAAAACATTTCAGCCTCCGGGGTCTCCCTATGGATCGATTAAGATCAACGAAGCGTCCGCCCGTGATTACAGATTGATCATGATTTCCAGAGATACTGGACTCAGCATAAGCAGCATTCTCAATAATCCTGAGGTCTATCAGACACAAGACAATGCCATTATTGTCCAGGCGTTGCAGATGTTGGCATTCTTTGACTTCGAAAACTATCAGCTCAACGAATTTGTCAGATATTGCATTATCACATACTTGGATAGCAGTAGCCCGAAAATCCGTCTGACTGCTACGTCAACTTCTTGCAAAATCTTCATCAAGGATCCTATTTGCCAGCAGACCAGTGTGAACGCTTTGAACGCCGTCAATGATGTCGTGGAGAAATTACTTTCCATATCGATCACGGATCCAATAGCAGAAATCAGACTCGAAGGTTTAACCTGTCTTGATGAAGCCGGTAACTTTGATCCCCAACTATCACAGTCGGAGAACGTTAAACTGTTGTTCATTGCATTGAACGATGAAGTATTTGCTATCAGAAAAGTGGCTGTGAAAATTTTGGGCAGATTATCATCCATTAATCCAGCATATATCGTTCCCTCTTTGAGAAAAACTTTGATTCAGCTCTTATCTAGGTTGGACTTCGCAAACACAAGTCGGAAAAAGGAAGAAAATGCTGTGATTCTCTCGCTTTTGATTTCCCACTCGAATGAGCTCACTCGCCCATACACAAAACCCATTGTTGAGGCATTGCTCCCTAAAGCAAAAGATTCCAGCTCATCCGTGGCTGCAAGTGCAATCAGTTGTCTTGGAGAGGCTGCAATAGTTGCCGGAGAAGATATGAAGCCGTTCCTTCCAGAATTAATGCCATTAATTTTGGATACATTTCAAGATCAAAGTTCATCTTTGAAGAGAAATGCTGCATTAAAGGCATTGGGCCAGATCGCAAGTTCATCTGGCTATGTCATTCAACCTTTGTTGGACTACCCACAACTCTTAGGTATGTTGGTTGGGATATTAAAACTGGAAAGTTCGGCACATATAAGAAGGGAGACTGTTCGTCTTTTGGGTATTTTAGGTGCATTGGATCCTTACAAACATCGTGAGGTCGAGCAGACCTCCCAGAAAATTCCTGTGGAGCAAAATGCTCCTCCGGTTGATATCGCGCTTCTCATGCAAGGAATGTCTCCTTCTTCTGACGAATACTATCCCACTGTTGCCATTAATAATTTGATGAAAATTTTGAAAGATCCTTCCTTGAGTTCTCATCACAATAAGGTTATTCAAGCTGTGATGTATATTTTCCAAACTCTTGGCTTGCGTTGTGTGTCCTTTCTTCCTCAGATTATTCCTGGAATTATCAATGTGATGCATAATTGCCAACCAAGTATGCTCAAGTTTTACTTGCAACAGTTGGGTGCTCTCATTCTCATTGTCAAACAACATATCCGACCATTCCTCACTGAGATTTTTGGAGTCATCGAAGAATTTTTCAATGCCAGCTCTCATTCCAATATCAGAGTCATCATCATTCACCTCATCGAGTCCATTTCCAGAGCTTTGGAAAGCGAATTTAAGATGTACCTACCAGACGTTTTGCCTATGTTGCTTAACTTAATTGAGGATGATAAATCCCAAGATAGAGAGCCTTCCATACATGTTTTGAGAAGTTTTGTTGTCTTTGGAAATAACATAGAGGAGTATGTTTATGTCATTGCTCCAACAGTGGTTAAGATGTTTGAGGTGGGTCCATTGCTATTGAGAAAAACCGCCATTGAGACTATTGGCAAGCTTTCAAAGAGTGTTGCTCTTAACGATATGTCCTCCAGAATCGTTCATCCATTATTGAGGGTTTTACGCCAAGGCAACGAGGAGTTGTCTGTGTCTGCTATGAACACGTTCTGTTGCTTAGCTCTCAGTTTGAAGAACGATTTTGTTGTATTCATTCCTATTATCAAGAAAGTTTTGATTCAGCAAAAATTTCAATCTGCCATGTTTGACCAAATTGTCACCAAAATGTTAAATGGTGATCCTTTACCTACACACTTGATAATTTACAAGGACTATGAGTTGCATATGACCCATTTTGATGTTCCAGATATTGACATGCCTTCCAAGAAGTTGCCGGTCAATCAGAATGCGCTTAAAGCTGCGTGGGAATCTTCTCTGAGAAACAATACAAAAGAAGATTGGCAAGACTGGATTGCCAGGTTGAGCAAGGAGCTTTTGAAGCAGAGTCCTTCGCATGCAATTAGAGCATGTGCTGGACTTGCTTCCGATTATCACCCTCTCGCCAAGGATTTATTCAACTCAAGTTTTGCATCATGTTGGAGTGAGTTGTATTCTCAACATCAAGAAGAGTTAATCGAATCCTTTTGCATAGCATTATCTTCTCCAAACAATCCTCCGGAGATTCATCAGATTTTGTTGAACTTGGCTGAATTCATGGAACACGATGACAAATCTTTGCCTATTGCGATAACTACTCTTGGTCAGTATGCTCAAAGATGCCACGCATATGCTAAAGCCTTGCATTACAAAGAATTGGAGTTCTACGAAGAGCCAACGACACCAACTATTGAGGCTTTGATCAGTATCAATAACCAATTGCAACAGTCTGATGCTGCTGTGGGTATCTTAAAGCATGCCCAAATGCACCATGACCTTCAATTGAAGGAAACGTGGCATGAGAAACTTCAAAGATGGGACGACGCTTTGAGAGCTTACAATGAGCGTGCAAAACTTGAACCAGATAATATGGAAGTTGTTATGGGTAAAATGAGATGTTTGCATGCTCTCGGAGAGTGGGAACAACTTTCTGAACTTGCCCAAAGCAAATGGAATTCTTCTACCAATGAGATCCAACGAGGTGTTGCGCCTTTGGCAGCAGCAGCAGCTTGGGGATTGGGCCAATGGGATAGAATGGACTCATACATCAAGGTCATGAAGTCCGAATCACCTGATAAAGCATTCTTCAGCGCGATTTTAAGCTTACACAGAAATAACTTTGAGGATGCCTCGAATCATATTTTGAATGCTAGAGACCTTCTTGTTACAGAGATAACTGCATTGGTAAGTGAGAGTTATAATAGAGCATATGGTGTCGTGGTGAGAGTGCAAATGCTTGCAGAGTTGGAGGAAATTATCAAGTATAAATGTTTACCTCAAGGTTCTGAAAAACGTGCATTAATGAGAAAGACTTGGAACACTCGTCTTTTGGGCTGTCAAAGAAATGTTGATATTTGGCAGAGAATGCTTAAGGTGAGAGCACTTGTTATCAAACCTAAGCAGGATATGGAAATGTGGATTAAGTTTGCCAACTTGTGCAGAAAATCAGGAAGGTTCAATTTGGCAGAGAAATCCTTGAATAGTTTGTTGGAAGAAGGTCTGCCCGAGAACCCATCTCGTGCTCCACCCCAAGTCGTCTACGCCCAATTGAAGTACATGTGGGCTAAAGGTCAGAGAAAAGAAGCTCTTCGCCACTTGGTCGATTTCACTACGCGTATGTCACAAGACCTTGGTTTGAATCCAAATGACTTGATCACTCAACCTGTTCCTCTGGATGGTCCTGGAATTCCAAAGCATGTCGAAGAGTACACAAAGCTACTAGCAAGATGCTTCTTAAAACAAGGTGAATGGCAAATTGTTTTAAACACCAATTGGCGTACAGAAACATCTGAGATCATCTTGGGAGCTTACTTATTGGCAACGCATTTTGATGGCAAATGGTATAAGGCCTGGCACAACTGGGCATTAGCCAATTTTGAGGTCATCTCGCTCTACACTCAAGGCAACCGTGCAGACTTACCAAATGTTATGGAGCAGAACGAAGGCTCTGAAAAGCACATCCAACAGCTGCAGATGATTTCTATGGAGGTTGTGCAGCGCCATGTTATTCCATCTATTCAGGGCTTCTTCCACTCTATTGCCTTGTCGAATTCGAATTCTTTGCAGGATACTCTTCGTTTGCTTACGTTGTGGTTCAAGTTTGGTGGAATTTCAGAAGCTGCTCAAGCGATCACTGATGGTTTTAATATGGTCAAAATTGACAACTGGTTGCAAGTTGTACCTCAGTTGATTTCCCGAATCCACCAACCAAACCAGATTGTTAGTAGGTCATTGTTAGGTTTATTGACGGAGCTTGGTAGAGCTCACCCGCAAGCATTGGTTTACCCATTGGCTGTTGCGGTGACCTCTGAATCCGTTGGGAGAAAGAAGGCTGCCTTGTCCATCATAGAAAAGATGAGAATTCACTCACCTACATTGGTTGAGCAGTCTGAATTGGTGAGTCATGAGCTTATCCGTGTCGCTGTTCTTTGGCTTGAACAATGGCACGAAGGATTGGAAGAGGCTTCAAGATTGTTCTTCGGTGATCATAACGCTGAGAAAATGTTTGAGGTTCTTGACCCGTTGCATAAGATGTTGCAAAAGGGTCCTGAAACTGTGAGAGAGGCTTCATTTAACAATGCCTTTGGAAGAGAGCTTGCTGACGCATATGAGTGGGTTTTGAACTACCGCCGAACTAAGGATATCACTAACTTGAACCAAGCTTGGGACGTGTATTATAATGTTTTCCGTAGAATTGGAAGACAATTGAGCCAGTTGCAAAGTTTGGAATTGCTGTATGTATCACCCAAATTGGAGGATGCAAACAATTTAGAGTTAGTTGTTCCAGGAACTTACCAACCTGGGAAGCCAATTGTTAGGATCATGAAGTTTGACCCAACATTTACCATCTATTCTTCCAAACAGCGTCCTAGAAAGTTGAGCTGCAGAGGAAGTGATGGAAAGGAGTATCGTTATCTTTTGAAGGGTCACGAGGATATCAGACAAGATAACTTAGTTATGCAGTTGTTCGGATTGGTTAACACATTTATGTTGAATGACACAGAGTGTTTCAAGAGACACTTGGATATTCAGCAGTTTGCTGCTATCCCATTGTCTCCAAAGGTTGGTTTATTGGGCTGGGTTCCTAATAGTGATACCTTCCATATGTTGATTAAAGAGTATCGTGAGTCAAGAAAAATCTTGTTGAACATTGAACACAGAATTATGTTACAAATGGCACCAGATTATGACAGCTTGACCTTATTGCAGAAGATCGAAGTGTTTACCGCAGCTCTTGATAATACTAGGGGCCAAGATTTGTACAAGGTGTTGTGGCTCAAGTCCAAGTCATCGGAGGCTTGGTTGGATAGAAGAACAACTTACACAAGATCATTGGCGGTTATGTCTATGGTGGGATATATATTGGGATTGGGTGATAGACATCCTTCTAATTTGATGCTTGACTGTATCACAGGAAAGGTTGTCCATATCGATTTCGGTGATTGTTTTGAGGCAGCAATTCTTCGTGAAAAGTATCCTGAGAAGGTTCCATTCCGTCTTACCAGAATGCTTAACTATGCTATGGAGGTCAGTGGAATTGAGGGTTCTTTCCGTATAACTTGTGAGCATGTGATGAGAGTGCTTAGAGACAATACAGAGTCATTGATGGCAATTTTGGAAGCTTTCGCATATGATCCATTGATTAACTGGGGTTTCGATTTCCCCACTAAGGCACTTGCGGAAGCCACTGGAATCAAGGTTCAGCAGTACAACACTACCGAACTTTTGAAGAAGGGAGAGATTGATGAGGCTGAGGCGGCACGTCTCAACAAGCAAAACGCACTTGAAATCAGGAATGCCCGTGGTGCCCTCGTTCTCAAAAGAATCACCGACAAGTTGACAGGAAATGACATCAAGAGATTGCGTGGATTGGACATCACCACCCAGGTGGATAAGTTGATCCAGCAGGCAACTAGTGTCGAGAACTTGTGCCAGCACTACATTGGATGGTGTGCGTTCTGGTAGTTCCCAGTTATCTAAAAATTATACTATACAATACATGAACGTCCATAGACTATGCAATTTTTTTGGAGGCACTGACAAAACCGATACCCTTGATGGCCACGGTCATGTGGTCGTTGTCACCTTCCTCAGCTCCGTCCTTCAAGAACGCTTCAGTGCCGAAGATGCTCTTGATGTCACGCAAGAACCACACAAACTGCTCGTCGATTTGATTCTTGTGCAAACGCAATCTTCCGACATCCTCCTTTCCAATGGCCATGTATGCTAACGCCAACTTGAGTTGATTTCTTCCCAAACATGTAGACTGAGTCAACTCTTCAAGAAGTTGGTATGCCACCTTCTCACCCAAGTCCTCAGGCAACGAGCCAGCAGCACCGGTCCCTTCGGTGAAAATTCTCCAACCTCTTTTCAGCTCTGCGACCAATGTGACACCAAAACCAGGAGATTTTCCTGAGTTCTCTCCTCTCCACACATCGGCAGTGATGTTGACCTCAATTCCCGTGGGTCTCAAGACGTTTCTAGCACTGTCAATGATTCTGTTGACAATAGAAGGTGAAACACGGGTACAGTATGCAACACCACGGATAGCTGACATCTTGGGGGTATCCAAAGCATGAATAGTCAAAGGCTGTGCAATAAGAGAATTGCACAATAGATGCACCTCACCTCCACCCAAAGGAGGAGCACCTCTTTTCAAAATGTGTAATTCCACCTCTCTAACACCAAACTTCTCCATGACAGGAATAAGCCCCCACTTGATAGCCTCCACTCCAGCGTCGCTGGTTTTGTCTGATCCGGTGAGGCCCTTGAACACAATGGAGAACTTCTTCTTGGAAAATGGTGCAAGGAATAGCATAGGTTCTAGAAAGTAACCCACCGGCTTGTCTCCTGAGCAGTTGTGCGTGAGCTGGCCACCAACGATGATTCCAGGCTTATATATGACGGTAGTACCGGTGTATGAGATCTCGATGTGAGAGCCGTTAGTTACGGACTCCAAAAGTCTGAGAAACGAAACCTCGTGGTCTTTGAGACCTGGGTTCATGTCATTGGATCTGATTTTCAGGATCTTGATCTGAGTTCCTGCTAAGGTAGCGAGCACCAAGCGGTAACGGAAGTTTCTAGCTCCCTCAAAGACAATAGGCTTGGACATGAGGAGTAGGTGGTAAGTGAATTTTTCGAGATGAGCATCTGGAGTGTATGTGGAGGAGATGGTGGTATATGTAGATGGAGGATGAGGAAGATGAGGGTTCTTTAAAATGTATGAGACGATGATTTGGATATTAAAAGGTAGTCGTAGATGGTAGTGAATGAATGAGTTGTATATATGTCGGTTTAGATGTCTGCGTGGATGTTGAGGGTGATTTGATGGCTTTCATCTACTACGGGTGAATAGACTGAGAGGAATGTATGGGGCATTTTTAGAAAGACTAGAGAACGGAGAAATGATTTTCGCTATCATTAGTATTCCAAAGAAGAATGCTTGGTTTATGAATTTTTTATCAATTCCTTTATTTTTTTCTTTGATTTTGTGAGGTTTCATTAACCAGCCTTTCTGCGATTCGCAGCCATAATAGTTGTATAAGACGTATGGTCGTGGGACGAAATCATTAAAAACGGGAAACTTCTTTTTCCGTATCCTTGTCAATTAGTACCATCATTTTTATCAGCATATGCTGATTACAGTGTCAAGATGGTTTTATGAAGCAGCTAACATGAGAAGTTGAGTTTGCAAATAAGGTTGCACAACTTTCATTCAATCTACTTGCTTATTCAGGTCGAAAAGTTTCTTTCCGATGTATTTAACTGAGTACTGACAATTGCAAACTTTTGAGATTTTGACAAGCGAAACCTAGAAAATGTAAAGGACATACAAGAAAAACTGGCTTCACCTTCCCTTGCTTTAACTAAAGCACCAGACCCATACCTAACTACGGACACTCACAATAGCTAACTGCGGACACTTGCTGGCACAAATCTGAAAAATACCTGAAACCCAAATACATGGTCACAAATTAATTAACTCGTTCCATCATTCACCATTAATAATAACAATAAATATCAATAAATCTCAAGTTGCCTCGCTGCGAAAATGTATAGGAGACACATTTATCAACACTAATATTCCATACCTTTGTCTACATATCTTAAACAATAAATCACAAACTGAAAGACTCGAAATAAAGCACTATTAATTCCACAATCATGACAGGGGCCAGTCTCTCAATCCCAGCATACTAATGTAACCCCAACCCACCCACTAGATCTACATTGTGTGTTGCGCACGACCACACCTAAAAACATCAACCTCCACTTACCCTCCAACTACTCTCCTTATCCATGTCTCTGCAAAGCGGAACCCCCGTGCTGCCGAAGCGGCCCCGCGAAGAAGACCTGGTCAATGAGTCTAAGCGCATTAAGACGGAGGCCCCAAGCGGCCTTGATGAGTCGCAGTTCGGCGATCTTTTTGACCCGCTTCCATTTGAAACCAAAGATGGTTTCTCATCGGCGGACTTCGCCATCGATGACAATCTTGATTTACCCAACATGCTTGATGCCCCTGATAATGTGGACCTGGCTGTTTCCACTCGACAAAACACTGCCCCTGCCTCCAATGCTGCTGCCACCGGCACCTCTGTACCAGGAGCAGTCTCGCCTGCTCCAGGCAACGGCAACGGAAGGCCAAATACAAATCCAGCATTGCAGGGAGCAGTTCCGCGTGTCAACTCTACCAGCAAACTTCCTGACTACCTACCTACTGGTTCTGGGGCCGGTCTGACTACTCCAAGCTCGACTCAAATGTATCAGTCTATGTCACAGCTGAACTTGGCCACATATCCATACCAGAGGACGTCGATGGCTTCTACTTCTGGAATGCTGGCTCTGAATGTGCCAGGCTCTACAATGCCAGGTGCCTCTGGAACGGGCGTAGTTTATCCTAATCAGTACAGACCACCTATGAACAACGCATACAGACCAGCCACCAACCGGTTTGACCCGAAAAGAACATTCCCTCCAGGCATGTCAGCGCCAAACAACGCTGCAGGAGCAGGTAATAGGCCAGACGATCCTTCTAAGCTCAACGATGCCCTTGCGGCCGCAGGTGTGGATATTCAACGTGAAGAGGAGCTTTTGCTGTCCAATTACAACCGTACAGCGCTAAGTCTTCAGCAGCAGCAGTTGGCAAACAGACAACGCCAAACCTATGGGCCACTCAATGCGTTTTTACATCCCTATCATGTGGCTCTTCTCATGAACAAGGTTGCTAGAGAAAACGGAGTGGTTCAAAATTTCATGGTTGACCCAGAAATGCTAGAATTCATGTCTGCCGCGTGCAAGGAGTGGCTTTCTGATATAGTCACGAAAACCGTGGCATTGTCCCGTCACAGACGGAGAGGCATTCCAGCGTTGAATAAAAACGGTGCTGGAAAACCCAAGACCATACATCCGTCGCAGCGTTCAGAAATCTCGAAAGAGCTTCGTAATTTGGCTCTCAGGCAGAAGGAAGCTGAGGAGCGCCGTGTGCTCAAAAGACTTGCACTTGGGCTTGAAAAATCGGATGAGGTGGCCCCTGAAACGGGAAACAAAGCAGGTGCCGAAGAGACACTACATCGTGCAGCCAATGCTACTGCAGCCATGATGACCATGAACCCAGCACGGAAAAAGTACTCGTGGATGACCAGTGGAGCATCATCAGCTGGAGATGGTGCTAAACTGACTGCCAATAAAGATGGTGGTCCAAAGCAAAGCGCACTTATTTCTACTAGAGGTGACAACGGATTGAGATTCCGAGAGATTAGAACAGGAAATATGATCACTACCAAAGATCTTTTGGGTGTCCTAGAAGAAGATCGTATGGGCACTTCAAAGGCGGTGGTGAAAGGATATGCAAAATTGAAGGATTAGCCATGTATTGTAATGAAGGAGATGACAACATTTGTAGCTTATAGCATCCTGTAGAAGATTCCTTGATCGCTTATTATCTACAAATATATAGAGATGTGGATGTTTCTCGCTGGTACTGAATGTTTGCTGAATTCCTGTTGAATATCTGATCTTCCTTATCTGTGGACTTGTGCGAATGGTTGCAAAATCTCATTCATTGCTATCCTCACCTCATGAGTAATAAATACAACACATTGAAAGACGGTCCAAGGCTCCCCAAGCTGGCTGCTCGAAGCAGACACAATTACCAGATTTCAAGAGTGAGTAAGGCAGATCTTCTCAGACAACCAAATCGGCGGCCACCATCTACCCCAGCACCAAATCCTGATATTCCTCTTGATCCCGAATCACATCTAAATGTTTCTAATTCCAGTTCGTCACAATGTCTCAACAATCCAGCTGTACTTCCCGTCATTGGCTCCCATGAACTTATAGAATGGGTGCCCACTGGCTATGAGACCTCTTCGAAGGAGGAAACTACATTTGTATCTCTGGCCACAGACATCCCACCTGAAAATATAACCCAAGATACTTCTGAGAACTCACTACATCAATATTCTCCCATGCCTATTCCACCTCGAGTACCTGAAGATCGGGAATTTTCTCAAAAGATTACTCATCAGCCAACGAGAATTAATAGTCAGAGTGATTCAAATTTGAGTACTTCTCATTCTGCTTCAAATGTGCAGCCAGAATCTCCAATTCAGCTAGCTCTTGACTCTCACCAGCCAGCTCCTTCACAACAAGAAACAGAGATTTATCGGGTATCTGATGGTAACTTACAAATCCTCAGGGCTCCTAAGGCACCCCAGCAGCCACAATTGTGTTCTCTTCAAATTGAAAACGAAGATTACCATCCTTATTCTACTTCAGAAACGAACATGGGAATCTTCAACCAATAAACCCGGGTCTTGATGGTCCCCTTTATCATTTTACAAACCTCTATGCACATTACGCTAAAGAGGGACGTTGGTACCGAGTAGCGTTCCTTCCGGAGCAAGAACTCTAACTAGAATCTTGTGGTTGAACTGTAATTTATGCTCAGGAAAACTCCGTGTTCACTTCGGTATTCAAAGGTATCGCTCGATAGAATTAGTGTTAATAGTATAATAATTAGCATAAAATCGAATCGTCATAAATATCTGTGATAATTATCCAAGTCTGGAACAATGGAAATTGCATGTATCTGTTTGAATGGCTGCGAATGGCTGCGAATTAGTCGCAAGACCACAATTCGCTATTGTTACAATGATACCCAAAAGTAGACTGTTTGACAGTGGAAAGAGAGGTCCGATCTTCAGAAATGCAACTTTTAGAAGTACTCCCCGAATGTTGGCAAGAAATAGAAATCGAAATGGTCCAGGGCCCCCTCAGGATGTCCACCACATGACAGGCACACCTCGAAGTCCCCATGCTGAACAGGCAAATCACGATTCTGATTCGTCTCCTAGTCAACAGATTGTAAATCAATCTGAAATCAATGGCTTCAATATTGAAATTCATATGACAACAGCCTAGAGAGCAATGACATTTCAAAACTTACGGATCCATGAAAATAATTCTTGAAATCATCATTCTATTCAAATCTTTGAACTTTCAAGTACCTATGTGTTCATCTAAAGTGGCCATGAATGACTCTTCATTCACCATTACTCACTTCAAAGCTAAAGCACAGTATAAGAACAAGAAAAAAGGATCACAACAATAATTCGAATTTCAAAATATAATCAATAAGGATAATTATAATTTTATATATACTTTCTCGATCAATGCCTCTGTCCTCTTTTTTTTTTTTTTTTGCTCCATTCTCCTCCACCTTTCCTCCATACCATCTCTACTGCACACACAAACACTTGTTTACATTGAAATCAATACTACTATCTTCTAATGGATTTCGTCCTATCCACCTATTACAACGCGTTTGATGTCGATAACGACTATGATATAGACTCAAGTTCTATAGAGCAAAAAATTGACGCCGTGACTAACGCCTTGGCCCACAGCCCAGAGGCCATACTTAACCCAGAGGTGCTAGAAGAATCGATTGATATCATCCATGGATTCAGCCAACTAGAAGACAAACCCAAGAAACTTGCAGCATTCTTGGTTTCTTCATCCTTCAATAATGCCTGCCACCAATGTATTCTCACTATGGACCTGGGAGATTTCATAGACATGGCTGATAACCTCAAGAATCAACTAGAAAGATATGGGTATTTGATGTTTGTATTGCTCAGTTTTTTGGGCAAAGAGGAAATTCAAGTAAGCACCAGACAGAAGCTGTCATCGGTGAAATGGAAAAACAACTGTACTCAGGTGGAAGACGCCTTGGATGCTGTGGCTGCTTGTATGAAGATCGATCTCTCCAAGTTGTTTGTTACCACGCCTGAGCGGACCCTGTACCTCGATATGTTCATCAGACCCATTTTTAGACTCATGGAGTCTCCAGATCGCATGAAACTGTTGCCTATAAAGACCCTAATGTTTCGTAATCTTGCGTTCGCTGTTACCAAACACGGAATGGGTATTATCGTGCAAAACGCCGTCATCCAGTCCTTGACCTACTACATACACTTGCCACCATATATGGCGGAACTCATGCATATTCTCAGCAAGCAGTATGACCATATAACGTTGACTGAAGACCTTCTTCGAGAGATCAGTCAATTGGAATTTAATGCCAACGATACAAATGGACCCAAGGCGGTTTCTGAGTTTCTCATCAAGCTTTCAGAGCTCAGCCCGCGTCTTATCTTGAAGCAGATGTCTTCCACATCCCAGCTCTTGGATAACAGTAATCAATCATTGAGATGTTCGGTGGTTGAAACTTGTGGAAACATCGTGGTCGACATTTTGAAATCTGAGTCCGAAGATCCGGATGGCGAAGACGAGCACTCTGCAAACCGAACGCTGCAAGTTGATGGACTCTTGAATTTGCTTGAAGAGAGATTTCTGGATCAGAATCCGTTTGTCCGGACAAAAGCAATCCAGGCAATGGTGAAGATATGTTCCTTACCAGTTCGCATACCCAAACGTCGTCAATCTGTGATGCTATATGCTGTTAGATCATTGGCGGACAGAAGTACCTTGGTTAGAAGGAACGCTATCAAGTTGATGTACAAGTTGTTATTAACGCATCCTTTTTCTGCAGCTCATGGAACGCAATTAGAGTATAAAGTGTGGAAGAAGCGGTTGGACGATGCTGAAGCAGATCTCAATAAGTACTTGCCTAAGGTGGTCCATAAGATGGACCATAAGGGGATTCAAGGCAACGAAAAAGGGTCAGAAGAGCTTAATACTATCGAAGAAACTGATAAGATGGATGTTGAAGAGGTAAAAGAAGACAATACTGGCTCCGATGACTCTGATTCGGAAATAGACCACGACGAATTGAACGAATCTATGATGGAACAAGAAAGACAGCTCCCAGAGACGGAGGTCCTTGTTAGAGCCAAACTCACGGTCCAATATTACGAAGATGCCATTGAGTTCATCGAAGCTGTCCAACAGGGAACCAAGGTAACATCCACTCTCCTTTTCTCAAAGAATAGAAATGAAGTATTGGAATCGATGGATTTTTTGGTGCTTGCAGATGCATATGGTATCGAAAATGCCAGTGAAGGTATCCGTAAAATGCTTCACTTAGTGTGGATGAAAGGTTCTTCCGATGAGGGTAAGTCAATTTCTTCTCACCTCATTGACTGTTATAAGGACCTCTTCTTGACTGCGCCCAAGAATGCGTCTGCAAATCAGACAGCAGTCTTGTTTGCGAAGAACTTGATTGGCTTGACTGTATCAGCTTCAGTGGCGGACCTTGCATCTCTTGAGAAACTCTTGTGTTTGATGTATCAAGCTCGATACATTCACACCGAGGTTGTCAAGGTATTATGGCTGATTTACAATAAGGCTGGGTCTGAGGATTCAGACTATCCCAAAAACTATATTCACGGAGCAATCATCATTCTTGGAATGTTATCTCTGGCTGAGAACAGCATTGTTCAAATGGGTGTTGAATCGTTGTTAAATGTCGGTCTCGGAGATGTTGGAAAAGAGGACTTGGAGCTCTGTAAATACTCTTGCTCGACTTTAGCAAAGATCTCTACTGCAGATCTGAAGTCGGCTACAACTTTTAAGTTTCCCACCGATGACCCAGCTATAAAGGGTTTGCAGGATGCATTATTGTTGTTCACTGATAAACCAGAATGGTATGGGGTTGCCGAGCAAGCTGTTTCAGCAATTTTTATGGTTTCTGCTGATCCCGAAGAAGTTTGCTCGCAAGTTATCAAAGACAAGGTGAAACAAGTCTTCGGAGGAGATCTTTCACAAGATTCCCAGGTGGTGGCTCTTTCTCAATTATTATTCGTTGTTGGACATGTAGCTATCAAGACCATTGAACATCTTGAGAAGCTTGAAGCACTTTTTAAGAAGCGAAAACACGAAAATGAGGCCAAGAAGTCCAAAGCAAAAGAAGACGGAGATGAAAACGAATTAGAGATGATTGGAGGAACCTCTGAGGATGATTTCACTGATGCTGTCATATATATCAAAGAGCGGGAGCTTCTTTTCGGAGAGAAGTCACTTCTCGCTCGCTTTGGTCCCTTGGCTAAAGAGATCTGTTCAGACACCAAAGCATACTCTAACGAAATTCTTCAACGGTCTGCCACCCTTTGCCTAGGTAAGTTGATGTGTGTTTCGTCGAAGTTCTGTGAAGACAACTTACCTCTTTTGATCACCATTATGGAGAAATCACCAGATCCAGTTATCCGAAGCAACTGCGTTCTTGGACTAGGTGATATGGCAGTGTGCTTTAACAATCTTGTGGATGAAAACACTGATTTCCTTTACCGTCGACTTACTGATGACAACATCATGGTTCAAAGGACTTGTTTAATGACAGTTACGTTCTTAATTTTGGCTGGTCAGGTGAAGGTTAAGGGCCAGCTCTCCTCCATGGCCAAGTGTTTGGAGAATCCAGACCAAAGTATCAGCGATATGTGCAGATTGTTCTTCACTGAATTGGCTACTAAGGACAATGCCATCTACAATGGATTCATCGACATTTTTAGTGGATTGTCTCATGATAAGACGCTCTCGAAGGAGTCGATGAAAAGGATTATCAAGTTCTTGGTTGGATTTATTGAGAAAGAGAAACACCAGAAGCAGCTTGCTGATAAATTATTGGTTCGTTTGATGAAGTGCCAGACGGAATCACAATGGGAGGACGTGGCTTATGTATTGAGCACTATACCTTATAAGAATGATAGCATCAGCCAGGCTTTAGAGGGTGGTTACAAGATGGTACTGGCCAGAGATTAAATAGATAAACTTATTTCAGGTATGTTGCTGTTGCGTAGCCTTATGCACCATAATAGTATGTTTATCAAGGCATCACAATCGCATCAATTGGCTCTGTTTGAAACGTCATGATTCAAATGAAAATCAATAAATCATGTCAACCGAATAGTACGTCATGCCACTCAACCCAAAATTATTTTTTTTTTTTGACCTTTCCTTCATATCAGATCACAGTAGTTACCTCTTGGCCTACAATTGTAAGAAGACTGTATCTAAATATGGCAAACACATAGTTAAGTGAGCATGCATTGTAAGTTGGGGAAGGAATAGCCAGTCCATATATTGACGCCGCCGACCCTCGAATTCAGGAACCATCATAATGATTTCAAAAATCCAGGAAGGGATCTCCTTCCTTCTGGCTCTGGCCGGCATGGACGAGGCCAGTTTCAAAATTTTGCTATGTTCCTTATTATCTTTCCCATTCAACGTCGTCTTCAAGAGATTGCCTGACCAAAGGTATACGTTGAAGAATGTTTACGTGGTGTCAGTATCTGCTTTTTATGTTTTCGCCATCTTGAACCTTACCACAGGCTTGGGCACTTTGCTCATATCCTCGGGTGGTTGCTACTTCATCACCAGATACATTAGAACGAGTCAGATGCCTTGGATCAACTTTTTGTTCTTGATTGTCCACTTGGCGTACAGCCATATCCACGCACAATTCTTCAACGTTTATGACCCGACAGTAATTGACATCACTGGAGCACAGATGGTTTTGGTGATGAAGCTTTCTGCCTTTGGTTGGAATGTACATGACGGAAAACATAAACTGGCATTGACCGAGTACACGAAGTCTCGAGCAATCAACAAACATCCCAATATCTTACCATTCTTGGGTTATGTGTTTTTCTACCCTTCGTTGTTAACCGGTCCTGCGTTCGACTTCGTGGACTACGACAAGTTTATTCACTCTACGCTATTCGATGACGTGCCAGAAGACAAGCGTCCAGGAAAGCGCAAGAGAAGAATTCCACGTAGTGGTAAGCAGGCGCTCAGCAAGGTGCTCCAGGGATTCTTTTGGGCATTTTTGTATCTTCAAGCTCCCAAATATGTCAGTCTCGACTACGTTCTTGGAGGAAAGTTTGTTACGGAGCACAGCTTCTTGTACAGAATCTTCTACTTGTGGATCTTGGGTATAAACCACAGATTGAAGTACTATACCATTTGGCTTATTGCTGAGGGTTCGTGTATCTTGTGTGGAATTGGTTATAATGGATATGATGCGGCCACCGGCACCTTCAGATGGGATAGAGTGCAGAACATCGACCCATGGAGATTCGAGACCAGTCAGAATGTTCACACGAGTCTTGAGGCCTGGAACATGAACACCAACAAGTGGTTAAAGCATTATGTTTACTTGAGAGTGGCAAAGAAGGGCAAGAAGCCAGGATTCAAGAGCACCCTATTCACCTTCGCCACGAGTGCCTTCTGGCATGGCACAAGACCAGGATACTACTTGACATTTGTGTTGGGAGCTTTCATGCAAACCATTGGAAAAATTTACAGACGTAACTTCCGTCCAATCTTCCTACAGGCCGATGGAAAGACTCCAAAATCCACCAAAGTTTTCTACGACATTGTGTGCTTCTTTGTCACTCAGCTCACGTTCGGATTTGCATGTCAGCCATTTGTGATTCTCGACCTCCAGAAGTCGCTCTACTGTTGGTGGACCGTGGACATGTACATTCCAATTGGGATTGCCGCCTCGCTTTTCTTGTTCAGAGGTCCATTTGCCAAACAAGTTACTGGCTTCTTCAGGTCGTTGGCTCCAAAGAAACCTGTGGAGACAAAGCCTACGGAATTATTGCCCCACGAGGTTGCTATGGTTGAGCTGGCTGTTGAGAAAGCCTTGCAAGAGGAATACGAAGTGCCCACTTTGGGTCTTCCACCTATCGATGTTATTGAGCAGGCTAGCAGAGAAGAGTTTGAGTCCGACATGAAGGAATTTGCTGAAGCATGGCAGTCATTCCGTACGAGGAGAGGGTCTCTTGGTAACAATGATTTGGACGGCTTGAAGGACGCATACAATAATTTCACAGGAGAGATCAACGAAATCTTCCAGTCCAAGAAGCAGGAGTACCAGAAGAACAATTCTAAACAGGAGGCCCAGGATATCAAACCTAAAGTGGAATAATTCCAGTATCTGCAGATGCCCTTTTCTACCACGAGAAGATTAGTTCTATATCAACTTATGCGATTTACTATGCCAAACTTGAATATCTCTACTTTTGTCAACCATACAGCCTCCGAAGGTGTCTATTAGTGTACCTTTGAGTTGTGGAAGCATGTGAAATTCTGTCAAACGTCAACTCTCTAAGTAATTCAACTTGTTCATTTTCATCATTTTTCCCTATGTCTTCAACTTTCACATTTTTTCATTTGCTACAGCCCATCAACCATTGTTTCAACAATGGTTTATCTATGACTTCCTTTTCTCACGGAATCATTTTCAACTTATGTTATAACTTTGCATTTTTTTCCCAACTTTTCCACGAACTTCCAACACAAATCGTAAATCGTCATCAGATGGGCGATTTAGGCAGAGCTCATAATTCCCACTAACTGTTTAATGGCTGTTAAAACAGCAATCAAGAGCCCTTCGCGTTGGCAATCCGCCATACAAATTAACCATATAAGACTCTAGAATTTCCATCACCTGATTGGGAATCACATACACATCTTCATTATGCTTACCACGACAAGATGGAGACTTTTAGCGACAAGATCGCTAATGGCAATGCGTTTTAATTCTACCACTGCTACCAAGCCTCCCACGGGAATCGTCTTTATGAATATGGGAGGACCTAACAAGACTAGTGAAACTTACGATTTTTTGTATCGTTTGTTCTCCGATAAGGACTTGATCCCGTTGGGACCTTTCCAGAATTTGTTGGCCAAGTTCATTGCCAAGAGACGTACGCCATCCATTGAAGAAAGATACGACGAAATTGGAGGAGGCTCTCCGATCAGAAAGTGGCTGGAGTACCAATGTGGGGAAGTATGCAAAATTTTGGACAAGATCAGTCCCGACACGGCCCCACACAAGCCCTACGTTGCTTTTAGATATGCTAAACCGCTTACTGAAGATGTGTTGGTAGAAATGAAGGCCGATGGTGTCACTCGTGCTGTGGCCGTTTCTCAGTACCCACAGTTCTCCAACTCGACTTCTGCCTCTTCAATTCACGAGTTGTACCGTCAAACCCAGGAGTTGGACCCAGAGAGAAGTATTGAATGGTCATTTATTGACAGATGGCCCAAGGACAAGTGCTTGATCAACCCATTTGCTAAGCATATCTTAGAGAAGTTGCAGGAGTTCCCTGCTGAGGACAGAGACAAGGTTGTCATCTTGTTCTCTGCTCACTCTTTGCCCATGGAGATTGTCAACAGAGGAGACTCTTACCCAGCTGAAGTCGCAGCCTCTGTGTACGCCGTGATGGAGAAATTGAACTTCTGTAACCCTTACCGTCTTGTCTGGCAGTCGAAGGTTGGTCCTAAGCCTTGGTTGGGTGGCCAAACCGCCAAGATCGTGGCCAAATTGGAGTTGAATGAGAATGTGAAGGGTTTGATTTTGGTTCCTATTGCTTTCACCTCTGACCACATTGAGACATTGCACGAACTTGACATCGAGCTTCTTGAGGATTCCAAAAACAAGGACATCATCAAGCGTGCTGCCTCATTGAATGACAATGCGGAGTTCATTGATGGAATGGCTGAGTTGGTCAAAGCTCACCTTGAGTCTGGCGAGCCCTACTCCAAGCAACTTGAATTGGACTGGGAATTGAGCAAGGAATTCACCACCAAAACTTTCAACCATCCAAGCGAGATGTTTGGAAAGGTTGCAAAGACTGAGCTTTAAGAATAATTTAGAAGAGGCCAGATGATGATGCCGTCTAAAATGCAGCGAGTTCGTTGGTAGAGTTGAGGCCATGAGAGTCTAGTTGCAGTACATAAAGAAACTCAACACATATCCTGAAGTACCGTAGCTTTCACCTATGATATTGCGCCTCTTAAGCCCCTTCGATGTTTCTTACAAGTTGTACTTGGATTACACGTGCTGATTTCATTCTAGTTATAATACAGTCTAATCAGAGTCTTCATCTTCGTCGAATAGATCTAAGTCCAAGGCAGCTGGCGTAGCCTCTTTTGGAGCCAGTGCAGCGTTTTCAACTGGTTTAGTGGGTCTTTCCTCGTAATGAGGCAGTTCCTCTTTAGCATCCTCCATCTCCACATCTTCAGGCTCTGACTTCTCGCCAATTTCTGCCCGAATCAACTCGTCCGGCTTCAAAGACGCCATAGCCAACATTCCACGCCGCAAAGCATCCTCCGCAGGCCACACGTAGTTGTTTGGGTGGATCATCTGCGACATTACAGTAGGTGGAGCCTTGGAGAACTTGGCGAGCTTCATAGCATAGTTGAGCAATCCCTGGACACTGACCTCAATGGGGTCCTTCTGTGTGGACTTTGCAGGGAGTCTCGGAAGCTTTTTTAAGTCGGCACGGCACGATATCAACTCTTTGAGGATATGTTTCGACTCTGTATCTAGCGTGGAGTTTTGTGTCTTAAGCAGGTCGATCTGGGTCCCAAGCACCTGGTGATGTTTGAGAACATCAAGCTCTTTGGATATGTTGTTGGAAATCGAGATCAAAGAATCCACTTTGGCAGCAATCTCTTCTTCTTTGAATGAAGACACCAACAGACTGAGATCGTTAAACGTCGTCTCGAAGTCACGAAGACTGACCACAATGGGCAAGTTTTCAAACCGATCAAGGTCCTCTTTAGTATTGATCTTCGACCGGATGTTAGTCAACGATACCGGTAGGTTTCTAGTGGGATTTAGCGAGCTGGTAACATATGATGGAGTTCCAGGTCGAGACGTGGGTCGACTGGCATTGTTCAACCCATTGAGCTGGTTTAGCCGGGTGGACAGGCCGACACGAGAGACTGGTACAGAAATGAACGACTGGTCTTTGTGTGGAAGCATGCGGATCTGTGGTTAGATTAGTGTGTTGGTGTTGAGAATTACTTCGCGACTGTAGAGAATAGAAGTTGAAATGGGTGTATTAGACTTGATGGGTGACAGGAAAGAAGTACAGAGATTTGAAGGTACAATTTGTTATTTTTATTAATATATTATACAATAATATTTTGCTGCAATTTACGAGTTTGTTCGTCCACAGCTTTCATTGGTATGAAGCGTAACGTCTTTGATTATGAGTCTTCAGATGAAGAAGAGCCTGAGGTTAAGAAAACAAAGAAGTTGGTGATCAGACCAGAAATGGGTTCGAAAACGGAATCCTTAGGTTCAAATCTTCCTTTCCAAAAAGATAAATCTAACTTTGAGAGGGATTGTGAAGATTTTAGTTCAGAGTCAGATGTAGACTACATGAGTATGGAGCTACGAGATGAACTCGGTTCGAGGCCATCGGGACCGCCGAAAAAGGCATCTGTCAATATACCAATGACCAACTCGATTGGGTTGAAGATGATGGAGAGAATGGGCTTCAAATTGGGCGACACTTTGGGTGCTCGAAATTCAGCCATCACAGAGCCTATAGCGATCAAAGTCAAGATGGACCGGAAAGGTATTGGAGCTACGAGAATGCCGGATTCAGTGGCATATCAGCATGACGAATATCGACTGACTGCAAAGGATAGGCATGTTGAGGCGAAAAACAAGAAGTACTTGGTGCAACTACAGAGGTTTTGTTTTCATGAAAGTGGAGATGATGTTTCTATTTCGGAAGGAATGGACGTGGAGGAGGTGAACCTGTTGTGGCGGAAGTGTGCACGAGAGATGCTAGCCAGCACAGAGGGTCGCAAGTTGCTCTTTGGAGAAAAGCAGGTGGATCTTGAAGCGGAAAGTAAAGGGTGTCATGAAAGAGGAGTTCAAGCTACTCATCAAGGTTCCAATCATCAAGAGAGACGAAGAGATCAGGCACAGCGAAAAGACCAAGTGGAACTTGTCAAAGAAGACGAACAAGCACATCAAGATGAACATTGTGTGACTGACAGTAAAGAACTGGATACTCCGTTATCGGAATCTCTCTTCAATTCCCTCTCCATCACAGAACAACTTCACAGACTTATATCATACACCCGTGATACCTTCTTCTACTGCCCGTATTGCAGTGTTCAATACAAGAACAAGGAAGATATGCAAAATGGGTGTCCCGGTCCATATGAGAATGACCACGCAGAGTTGCTATGACAGTGGCAGTGGAAGCAACTCGACTAAAAAGCCTCTTCCAAGAATCTCTCGCGCTCTCTCCTCTTCAATTCAATCCGCTTATTTATTTGTTCAACGGAAACAATCTCGCTTTTGTCGATGAATTCGAGTCCTGCTATCTCCTCCTTACTAAGATCCTCAAATACAACATTATTTGGAAGAACCCCGTACAAAGGTGGTGCTTTCTCTGCTGCAGTATATTTAGAGCTCTTTTCAGCAGGCGCAAACCGCACTTTCCCGTTTTCTACTACCTCCTCTCTGCCCCATCGGAGCGTCAAGTTGCACCCATTAATGATAAATCCATGCATGAACAAAAGTGCCCGCTCAGCAGAGCCTCGAAGGTAATACTTTATATATGCGGTATGTTTAGCGTAGTTCACTCGGCAGTAGATAATATTTCCAAACGAGAGAAAATGTGCTATAAGGTCTTCTCTGGTAATCGAGGTGTTGATACCTCGGATACTGATGACTGTATTATACTTATCAGTGAATACTGTAAGCGGTGGTTGTTTTTGTGCAATGACAACAGCAGGGGCTGCTACCGTCGTCTCTTTTCCTCGCTTCAAAGGTCCCGAAGCATCCAGGTTGCCGCCACTGGCAACTCCCACTCTAATTGGTCTTTCACCAATGATAACTCCATTCATGTCTCGAAGAGCACTTTGCTGGGCATCTTCGGAGAAAAATCTCACAAATCCAAACCCCTTAGATACACCTGTTGTGGGGTCCGCCATTATTTTCACTTGTTTGACTGCACCAGGATACTCTTTGCTGAAACGAGCATAAAGAGTTGGTTCCGTGACATCCTGGCCCAAATCTCCTACGAAAACAGAAAATTCAGCGGAGTTTTTCGCTCCAGTAGGACCCGATCCCTGTCTTGGAGAGCGTGAATCTCCATGAGAGCCTCCAGAGGCCCAATTGAGCTTAAACGTTCGAGAACTTCCGGGCACTTGCATTCTGTTCTTTTGGATGGCACTGGCCACACCCTGCTGTGAGGAAAACGTCACAAAACAGTATTGAGGCTTTCCCATCTTGTCTCGTATAAGCTTTACGGAAACAGGGTTCTCCCCCACTTGGGCCCATATGTCCATGATGACTTGTTCTGTCCATTGAGGATCTAGATCACCCTGCCAAAGCTGATGCTCCGACTGAGTTTGTGAGTAGACCTGATGGTAGGCATTATTCGAGGGTTTCTGCTGATACCGACTCTGGGAAGCTTGGCTTCCATAATGTTGACTATGTTGGCCCTGTTGATGAGAGTTTGATCTGTATGAGGACGAGTCGTTTCTGGTGTTACGGGTATTTCCGTAGCTCAGCCCGTAGTTGGTTTGGTTGTAGTTTCGATTCCGGTTATTTCCGGGCCGGTACAGGTCTCCACCTTGTCTGTAGCCACCGCCGTAATGGGACATAGAGAAGATGAGTTGGTGAGAATGCAGGAAAGTGTTGATGTAGTAATAGTAGTAGAATTCCCAGAGTGAATATTTACGAGTATGGACAATTCGAGGAGAATGATAGCGTTACCGGGTATTTCTTTGGGGGATGAGATTTTTGAATTGGAGATGGAGGATTGTAAGCAATTGTTTTAAACTCAAGCATTACACCTACAGGGCAAGTACTAATTGACGAATACTGATGATTGAAAGGGAACTTGATGAGCAAAAGAAGAGAATTTGAAGAAATATAAAGTAAATTTAAGAGAAATAAAGAAGGGAATGGAATTTACTGTCATTTGACCTGTGAAGTTTCTAGATGGTCAATTTGATAGTTTATTGACCCTTTGGTAACTGTTGAGATTCATGGTACTTCTTGCACTTTTACTCAACACGTACGTCACTACAACAAAATCATGGAATTCATCTGGAGCCACCCTATTCAATAGCATCGGTTTTCAACTTTTTATTAACATCCTGTATTTGTCTCCATCAATTACCTTTTCTTTCTCTATTCAACGCATCATCATGTCATTCGCACCCATCCACATCATCAATAACCCCAAACCTTCAAAACCCTCCATGATTTCCATTTCTGTACTTCACAAACATCTTAAAATTACTTCTAAATCCTGGATAATTTCCTCTTTGCTTCAATTTCTTTCTCTTCTCCAGCACTAATTATCTCCAACCTGCACGTAATCACAAACTACACCCAATGAAAACTTGAGAAAATACCATTAACAACTTCACGATGTTTTCCAGAATCAACACCCGTGCGGCCTTGCGTGTCGCCAGAAGATTCCAATCACATGCTGCTGCTGTGGAGGAGAAGGCTGCTCCCTTCAACAACAAATACAACTTCAACATAGACCCTCCTCCAGTGCACCAGTACTGGAACATCAGGAACGCATCTGTTCTCTTTGCATTTGTGCCACTTTACATCGCTGTCGGGTACTTGGGTAAGTACACTGGTTCCGAGTTGAGTGGATTTGAGGGCTTGTTGGAGTTTGCAGACCTGGAGAAGTCTCCATTGAAGGAGCTCAAGTTTGGAGAGGCCCAGAAGTAAGACAGCATCAATACATCAATATAAGAAAAGTTAGATCGGTGTAGAAATGGGAAACTTAGAGAGGAGGAGAGAAGAAGCCGAGGAAAATGACGAAATGAGAGAATGGGATGAAGTTCATAGACAGTGAATCTGAGTATAAGCTGAGAGTGTTCTTCAAGAAATTAGATGAATATTGGAAAGAAAGAATCTGCCAAATGTGAAAGACATACTTCTCTTCATACATTCATAGTTGGACTTGATCATGCTTGAAGGATTTATACTGATTCAGGCTCAATTCTGGATATGGGTGTATCTCACAGAATTGTTGAATAGTACATCTCTATGGGTATATCACCAGAAACACAATTTGTAACGTGAAATCCGATACCTTTCTGGCTTATTATGGCGAACTTTTATTTTTCCAAAAGAAAGTTCCTCCAAAGCTTTGCAATTGTCTATGTCCTTTCTCTATACTAATACCTACCCTCCTGTATATACATAGTTGTCTCCATCTACTTCTCCCAAGCCAAATGTCCAGAAACAAAACAAAAAAAATCCGCCCTTACGTGAAAAAAAAATGTTAACTAGCCATAATAGTACATCTTTCCTCTTCTTATGCTAGTTTCTAATCTCTTTGCATCATTCCTCTTCACCAACCGAAAACTCCAGTAGTCGTGTCCTGCACGATTATATCCACGAGATACCATTGGGCAAAAAACCTCACTAACAAATCTATCCAACCTACTCACCATGTTGTCCAGATTAGGTTTGAGAGCCACGCGGGTGCCCCGCAGTGCCTTCCGGTCCTTAACCACCAAGACCACCATCACTGACCAGTCAGACGGCAGAGTTATCACTTTGACTGACCCAAAACACCCAGAACTCGCAGACTACCCTAACCCAAAGCCAGAGTTGGCCCAGAACAGAGACCCATACAAGAAGTACGACTTCCAGCAGTTGAGAAGAAACAAGAACGAGCCGCTCAACATAGACGATGACTTGTACGACATGTGGTCGCCTGACTACTTCCAATTTGTCTCCGACAAGACCGCTTTGAAGCACAATGCTATATTCTTCTCCATTGTCCTTGGTTTTGGTGCTGCCATCTACTTCTTGCAGCTCAACCCAGAGAAGCCTGCAATGCCTCGTTCTTTCCCATACAATGGTTTGGCCAAGGATTTGGGTTCTGGCCGTGAGGAGACAGACTACTTCTACAAGGTGAAGAGTGATGCTGATGCTGATGCTGCCGGCATTTTGGCAGCTGATCCAGACATCGCCACGCAGAAGGCTGCGTACGAGCAGGCCAACGCCGACTTCATCAAGGCATAAAGGTTTATAGTATATTCGCATTAGAAAGAGAGACGTGTAGGAGGGACAAGCCGTACTGAAGAATTGTTAAACCTGTTAATTTGAATCCTTTTGGATCTTGTGCCGAGGTTAGTAATCTGGCTATGGTTTTGGTTCTGGTTTCATTTTTGAATCTGGCTTTGGTTTGGATTGTGACCTTGTTCAAGTTCAGCTTTATTTCAGATCAGTGCAAGTCAGTGTATAGTTCTGGTACTATGCTGAAGGGGTCTAGTTTCTATCCCAAGTTCTCATTTCTTTTTCTCGAGTAATCAAAAATCTTTTGTTTAATCAAATCAACTTCAGCTTTATAGTCTATGAAGATTCTCATACTACGGGGAAGTATTGTCGAATATGGAATTTTAATGTAATTGAGCACTCTTAGAAGTCAATACTGCTGATATGACCTTCAACTCTCTCTTAAGTCCAAATTGCTATGGATTTTATTGCAGGTTGAATATCCGACCTCCACCAGAGCAGCATTCGATCATCACTCAATCTCAATGATAATGAATCTCATATTCGAAATCAGTATTTACATACGCTTAGTCTCTAATTCTCTCGTAGTCTCGAATTGCTTTCCTATGCTTCAAAATTCCTTACTCTAATTCAAACCTGTTTCGTTCCTTTATTTAAAGCACCCATTTTCCCTTTCACTATTTATATCACTCTTCACCATGTCTCGTGTCGCATATACAACCCCAAGTAGTAACTCATAAAACATTCATTGGAAACATGTAATCGAGAAAAAGAATTGAAAGCACAATTTCTACTACTCAAATTAGTCCAAAATCAAACTTTAATGGCCCCTCCCAGACTTAAATTTTCCCACTAAAATTCAATTCCCCATTCCTCCAGCCTAAACCAGCTTCCTGCACCTAGTATGCCACAAATCTTTCACCATAAACACTTCTCCAATCATTCAAATCTAAAGATATTCCCATTACATCTCCCTGTGCGTTGAAAATGACCAGCGCCCACGCGTCCACAGCTTCTGGCAGCCCGCATGACGCCGATGCTGCCTCCCGAAAACGCAAATCTAGAAGTTCGCCAGTGGATTATTCATCTCAAATGGGAAAGTCTGGTGGCCAGAATTCCAACGGCGACAATCTCCTGCCCAGAAAGAAGATAAAGGTAGAAGAAGAACACACTACCGAAATCACACGGGAAGAAGAGTTAGTCCTGCTCATTTCAGGCTATAATTTGGCTGCCAATGAGTTGTTCCAACTAAAGGAATACGGCTCTTTGGTTGAGTGGAATCCTTCAGACTTCTCCTCTGCAGCGAACAGCCAAATTCCAGAGATATTCCAGTATTTCATCGAACAGAATCGTTACAAGTTGATTTGGGACGAGGATTCCATGGAGAACATGGATAGCATGCCTTTAAGACTTCAAAAGAAAAAACTCCAAGAACGTGAAGAAATGCTTCGAAAAAAGTATCCGTTTATGGACGAGGTCAACCAAAGAGCTGCTGAGGTAGAGCGTGAACTTCTATCGTTTGGACTCAAATCCATCAAATCTGAACCGAAACATGCTATCAAGGCAAAACCTGTGAAAAGTAAGTCGAAGTCAGCCAGAAAACTGGACACTCCTGCAGAACTTGAACTCGATGAAGAGTTAGATGAAGAAATCTTGGAACTGTACTCGGATATCGACACAAACTACAAACTCAAGGATGTGGTCTATACCATTCCTCCACCTATAGTTACACATCCTTCGCATATTCCATCGTGGCGTCCTCAAGATCAAAGTGAGAGTGCTATACATGGAGAGGCAGAAAACACTCATCACGTCTTAGACTACGACTTTGAGCCCATCAAGGTCATTTCCACGAAGAAGAAGCCATTTCTGGTTCCTCAGATCGAGGCCAAGATCAGTGACTTCGTCAAAAATAAGTTCCAGGCCGCCATTGTGGATGATGGTGGAGTGGAGTACTCTAATACACCAGAAGAATCCCGGGCAATTCTAGATCAGCAGCGTCACATGCTAGAACGTTTATACCACAAGATTATGGTGGAAGAGAGGTTTGAGTTGAATGGAGATAAGATAGAGCGGCGCAAAGTCATTTTGCCTAATGTTTCTGTCAAGATGACCGATCCTTTCCGTGACACCGGTAGTATAGTACCGAAGATTCAGGGTGCAAGCAACGACCAAACCTACCAAGACCATTTTATAGCACAAGGCATGGCGTACTCCAAGATTTGTCTCCATTACCGGAAACAGCGCATTGCTAGAGTTAAAAAGATTGCTCAAATGATTGAGCAGCATTTCAGAAAGAAGGCTGGTGAGAAGGAGAGATTGGCTCGTGAGAGAGAGCAGAACTTGAGAAGAATCAGCAGACTCGCTATTCAAGCAGTTAAGAAGAGATGGTCTCAGGCCAATAAAGTTTACAGAGTGTTACAGAATGAGAAGGAAGAGGAACTCAAACAGATTGAGGGTCGTGAGCACTTGAGTAAAATGCTCGAGCACTCCACCCAGCTCTTGGAAGCACAGTTGAATCGCTCGTCTCATGAAAACACCGAAGCGGAATCCGCAGCCGATTCTGCAGTTGACTCAGATGATGACAGTAATGCAGAAGATTCGGAGAATTTCTCAAGCTCCTCTGAAAGCAATGATGAACAGAATGAAGAAAACCATACCGACAAAGGTGATAACGAGCTCAGCGTAGAGGAATTGAGAAAGAAATATAATCTGATGGAGTCATCTGTTGAACCTACATCTGAGATGAATGGTACGAACTCGGAACTGGGAGATGAATCACCACTGGGTAATGGTGATGGACTTGCTGCACTCTACGAAAACGGAGAAGTTAAGGCTCCAGTTTCTTTAGAGTATACTGACGACCAGAAGAAGCTCATTGAGATTACAAAATCCGAAAAGAATGAAATGCTCGATTCAGATGAATTTTCCGATTCCATGTCGGACGAAACCTCATCATCAGACGAATCGGAGTCGGGAGAAGAAGCCTCTGAAAGTGAGTCTGAAGTTGAAGTTGGTTTGAATGGTTCAGGTCTTGCTGGTTTTTATCAAACGAAGGAAGATGTTGAAATGGACGAAGCTGAGCAATCAGAGAAGTCAACGGAGGAAGAGGAGGAACCTAAAACACCGGGTTCAGCAGATAGCGAAAAGGATGAAAAAGTTGAAGAAATCAACGGATTTAAAGTCAAAGACGTCCCAGTTCCTTCTCTTTTGAGAGGTACATTGAGACCATACCAGAAACAAGGTTTGAACTGGTTGGCTAGTTTGTACAATAACAACACCAATGGTATCCTTGCTGACGAGATGGGTTTGGGTAAAACGATTCAGACTATTTCACTTTTGTCGTATTTGGCATGTGAACATCATATTTGGGGCCCTCACTTGATTGTGGTGCCGACCTCGGTGATGCTCAATTGGGAGATGGAATTCAAAAAGTTTGCTCCTGGTTTCAAGGTGTTGACTTACTTTGGCTCCCCTCAGGAGAGAGCAAGAAAGAGAAAGGGTTGGAATAAAATGGATGCCTTCCATGTCTGCATCACCTCTTATCAGTTGGTCGTTCATGACCACTCATCTTTCAAGAGAAGAAGATGGAGATACATGATTCTTGATGAGGCTCATAATATCAAAAACTTCAGATCTACACGGTGGAAATCGTTGCTAAATTTTAATACTGAGAACAGATTGTTGTTGACGGGTACACCATTGCAGAACAATTTGATGGAATTGTGGTCTTTGTTGTATTTCCTTATGCCTTCTTCCAAGGTAGACCAGATGATGCCTGAAGGATTTGCAAACTTCGAGGATTTCCAACAATGGTTCGGAAAGCCTGTGGATAAGATCTTAGAGAAGACTAATACGGGTGATATCATCGACGAAAATGTCACCAGTAAATTGGACAAAGATACAAGGGATACAGTCGCCAGATTGCATCAAGTTTTGCGTCCCTACTTATTAAGACGTTTGAAAAAAGATGTTGAGAAGCAAATGCCAGGAAAGTATGAGCACATTGTCTATTGTCGTTTGTCTAAACGTCAAAGATATTTGTATGACGACTTCATGTCTCGAGCTAAGACCAGAGAGACATTATCTTCCGGAAATTTCTTATCCATCATCAACTGTTTAATGCAATTGAGAAAGGTGTGTAACCATCCAGATTTGTTTGAAGTTCGTCCTATTGTTACATCGTATGCAATTCCAAAAACGGTCACAAATTCTTTCAAATCATACGATGCAACAGTGAGAAAATTGCTTTCAGACGTCACAGATGAAAAGTCGATCTCCTTTCCAGTATTGAATTTGGATGTTTCCAACAAAGAGGATATGAACTATTTTGCTGCCCAGTCTTGTGACCGTCTCAAGACTAACAAGAAATTGGAGGAGCAAATCGCAGAGTTGGATAAACTCATTGAGGACGGAAGAAGTGTCAAAAACCCCTCCCTTACAGACGTTTTGGAAATTAACAGGTTTTTGAAGTTGGAGGAGCAAATTGATTTAAGAGAAAGACTCAAGCAAGCTCTTTACTTGAACACTTTGAGATGCAGACGGGCACCAATACATGGATGTTCCTTTTTTGATTTTGCAAGAACGGCAACGAAAAAGAATAATTGTGAAACCTATAACGACATGGTTTTGAGTATTCCACAAAGAGCAGGCAAAATGAAGGAAGTGATAGACAAATATGCGGTCATTACACCTCTGGTTGTCACACTTGATATGAAGGATCAAATAATTCCAATCAGCACACAATACAAAGTGCGTGATGAGGTTTTGAATGAAGAAATTCAGAACCCTTTCCATGAAGCTCAGGTGAAGTTGTCAATTGCATTCCCTGACAAACAGCTTTTACAATATGATTGTGGAAAGTTACAGAAGTTGGCCAGTTTGTTGCAAGACTTGGTGCCCAATGGCCATAGAGCCTTAATTTTCACGCAGATGACTAAGGTGTTGGATATTCTTGAGCAATTCTTAAACATCCATGGATATAGGTATATGCGTTTGGATGGTGCAACCAAGATTGAGGACAGACAGTTAATGACTGAAAAATTTAATAGAGACCCCAAAATTCCTGTTTTTATCTTGTCCACCCGTTCTGGTGGATTGGGAATCAATCTTACAGGAGCAGACACTGTCATTTTCTACGATTCGGATTGGAATCCCGCAATGGATAAGCAGTGTCAGGACCGTTGTCACAGAATTGGACAAAGCAGAGACGTTCACATCTATCGTTTCGTTTCTGAGTACACGATCGAGTCTAACATTTTGAAGAAGGCTAATCAGAAGAGACAATTGGACAACGTTGTCATCCAGGAGGGAGATTTCACTACCGATTACCTCGGCAAGTTTTCGGTGAGAGATTTGGTGAATGATTCCTCTGCTATAATAGGCGACTTGCCTGACAAACCGATTGGAGAGGACGCCAATATTGAGCTCCTTGCACAGGCCGAAGATGAGGCGGACAGAAATGCCGCCAGAGAAGCTATGAAGGAGGTTGCAGTTGATGACGAAGATTTCAATGAGGAGAGCAAGGCTTCATCAGAGAAGCCTGAGAAATCCAGCTTGGATGACGAAGATTACGACGCTGGTGTTGGGCATATTGACGAGTACATGTTGCGGTACATTGGAGAAGGATATTATGTGGAATAACGACGGCATGATAAGAAAAAATCAAAATATAGAAAAAAATTGTAAAATATTAACGGTGGTGTAGATATATGATTGAGAGAATAATTATGCCAGTTTAGTATACTCGATATTATCTAGTACTCGTAGGCATGGGTGTCAATTTAGGACTGGCTGTAAACAGTAGATTGCATGAAAGGTTTACTTGTATAGCTGTCATATATTCATGTTACGGCATAGACCCTAAAGTTCAAATTTCGCTTGCTGATCACATAAGCATCATTGCAAATGGTCCCGACTGTAGAGGTGCGAAAGACGAAATGTATGTATTTTACAACTTGACAATTACCAAATACCAGAACTCTTGTGCAGAAATCAAAGCCTGTAGAAGCTAGAAATATTTGATAATCCAAAAAATCCGCTTATTTGCGCCTCTCATAAAGTATCCCCCTCACCGATTCATTCGAAAATGTCACCTTCAACAATTTGGAGTATCTATCACGTGATTCACATTACACCGGACGCTCGTCTTTTATTAATCTCCGGACATATCCACGAGATAACGACAAGAACATTTTCTACAATCATCACACACAATGTCTTCCAGCATCCAATCATTGTTGAAAACGGAGAAGGAAGCCGCCGAGATCGTTAACGAGGCTAGAAAGTACAGAACCTCGCGCTTGAAGACCGCTAAGTCTGATGCTCAAAAGGAAATCGACGAGTATAAGGCTCAGAAGGAAAGCGAGTTGAAAGAGTACGAGAGCAAGCATGCTGGCTTGAACGAGAGCATTGAGAAGGATGCCGATGCTGAAGTTGAAAAGGAATTAGTCGATATTAAGAAGAAGTTCGACGAGAAGAAGAGTGCTGTGGTTGACTTGTTGGTTAAGGCTGCCACCCAGCCAACTCCAGAGTTGCACATCAACGCTTAGACGTTCAGTTCTACCACGATTTATCGTGAAATATACAATTTTATGTGCAAGATGTAACTATGTAGGCTAGTAAGACAGATCGGGCTGGATATTCTGAGTCGAAGGTATTCGAGGTGTCTATGCTCCACCCTTGGCCAACTTCTTGAACGAATTAAGAACCTTCCAGATGCGGTTGTCGTAACTGGCAGTATTTAAGCTGCTCACAAATCCCCACGCCTTCTTGTCATCGGGAATAGGATAGTCAATAGGGGGAGGAATAGCGGTCTTCACACCCAATAGTCTCAACAATGGCTTGTCCATGACTACGGATTTTGCATTGCAAAGACCCTGAAGGCCCTCTTCACCACCAAACTTACCGTAACCGGACTTCTTGCATCCTCCAAACGGAAGCTGACACACGTAGAAAGTTGCAAAGTCGTTGATGGCAACATTTCCACTTTCCAATCTTTGAGCAACCTCGTTGCACTGGCCGAAGTCCTTTCCAAACACAGAGTTACCCAATCCATACTCGGTGCTATTGGAGATCTCAATGGCATGGTCAACATTACGAGCCTTCATCATGGTCAACACCGGACCGAAAACTTCTGTCTGGGCAATCTTCATTGTGGGATCCACATCCACCAAGAGCGTGGGCTCAAAGTAGTGACCTTGTGGGTAGTTTGGATGCAGATACTGTTTACCACCTTGGAGAAGTCTGGCACCTTTTGCGACAGCGTCCTTTATCAATTCTTCAAACTGGCCAAAACGGTTGTCAGAGATCATAGCACCCATGTCGATCTCATCTAACTGGTCAATGTCTGAGCCCAATCTGAATCCTTGAACTCTCAGCTCTAGAATATTCACCAACTTGTCATAGGCTGCAGGGACACAAATCACTCGCTCTATACCAATACAATTCTGACCAGCACTTTGAAAGGTTCCTCTCATTAACACGGACGACAACGCCTGTAAATCGATGGCATCATCCAACACTAAAACAGAGTCCTTGCCTCCAAGTTCCACCACACATGGCGTCAACTCTTTAGCTGCACTTTCCAAAACCTTGTGTGCCACAGGCTTTGAGCCAATGAAGGTGATGTGCTTCAAGCCAGGATGCGAGGTGAAGTAATCTGCATCCTCTGGAAAGCAGTAGCACAACTGGACGAGATCCTCGCTGATATCAAGCAGACGAAGTGCCGCATGGATCATTCCTACAAACCATGTTGAAGACCAAACAACTTGCTCAGAGCATTTCACCACAATGGCATTACCACTAAACAATGCAGCCACAACAGGACCAATTAGATTATGCAAAGGATAGTTCCACGACACAATGGCCGAGACAACGCCCAAAGGCTCGTACCTGACCTCTGCATTCTTCATAAGTCCCATAAGCAACGAGGAAGGGCCAGGTCTAGCCGAAGTGCGCAATGCTTTCTCACCGTGAGCTACAATCCACGAGATTTTCTCCAAAGTAACCATGATTTCTCCCATGGAAGCATCCAACTTGGTTTTTCCACTATCTCTACAGGCCACTCTGGCAATGTCTTCCTGGTTATCCATGATGAACTGGTTAAGTGTTTTGAGGAGTTGTTTTCTCAACACAAAGCTGGACTTTGCCCATTTCTTTTGAGCAATTTCCGCCCTTCTGATCTTGTCATCCATTTCACTTCTCGTCGTTGTGTCGAATGTACCTAAGTACTGGCCAGTGGCAGGACAGTAACTTTGGATCTTGGAAGCAGAGCTGCTCACACGAATCCCGATATTGGGAGGATACAATCTCTTTCCCTTCCAATGTGGTTTGGCTTCATCAGGGATCGGATGCACGAGCTTCTTGGGTGCTTCAAGCTTGTTGTACTTGTTAGGTCTGGAAGTGACATACCTTTCATACAAGTAATAGAGAACTGGCACAATAACACACACGAAGAACGTAGTGGATATGTGGTACTGCCACTGAGACTCGGCGAAGTTGAGGTCAATTGCAATCATTGAGCCAACTGGGAAATTTGCCAACTTCTGTCGTAGTAGTAGTTGCGATCAGTTGATGGCTATGTGCACACGTTGGTTTTTCCAGGTTTGAAGAAAGTATGATAGATTGGGGCAAACTCTGTAGTTAGTGACTGCTTTGTGATTCAATTCTGATTTTCTTCAGATCTCCTAAATTTTATGTTGCTGCTGAAATTTCCATGTACTCTGGTTATGGATTTGGATGAAGTAGATCCTAGTCGCATAATAGTCTATACGAGACTCAGCAATTGGGTACAATTTCTGATTCCCGGTTTTTATGAGGAGAAATTTATATGGACTTGAAGTATAAACCAGAATTCCCTTTTCAATGTAACTTTCAGTGAATTTGGTCTTGTTTTCGATTTTTAAAGTTGTTATCTCTTCTTGCAACTTTTTCATCTAATCGCATATCTTTGAAAATAATCATGAACACCACTGGTGATTTAACAGAAAAAAAAAATTGATGCAACAATGATTATGGCTACATCAAACATCATTTCTTTTGTTGTTCAATAATAATTATATAAATTAGTCTTTTATTCAATTAAGTCCTCCTGTGCTTCACCCTGACCAAACCGTGCAATTAGATCTTCAATGTTCTCTTCTGTCCGATTCTGTACGATGGCACTTATCATGTTGTGGTCAAGATAATCAAAAAGTGAATCTGTCACCTTATTGGCACCCTGGACTCCTGAATATACATCGTAGCTTGCGGCCCTGTCAGTAGGTGGAAGTACATCATATTCAAGCACGTTATCTTGTTCAAAAACAGACTCTGGCAACTTGGCCAACACCTTATTTTCACCCGAAAGAATAGAAAATCGCACTAAATTAATAGGTATGAGTTGCTCCTTTTTCGTTTCGCTGGAGAAGAACTTGCCGAACCACGATTTACCAGCCGCTTTGCCCAGTCCAATCAACACCAGAAGCTCATCATGTAAGAATTGGCGGTGTGCTTGATCTTTCCACAACAATGGGGCACGGACAAGATACGTTTCAGCAGCAAGCTCATCAACGACATTCTTTTCTGTGTCGAGTTTAACCTCACTTCCTAGACCCACAGCTTCGTATAGCTTGGCTCCACAATATGGATGTGCGTTGAAAGCTCGAGCAAGGGCCGATTTTGCTGCTTCATTGTTCCCCAAGTTCAAGTGGGCCAACACTTCCGAGTATGCTAATCCCGGAGTGTACCACTGTCCGTAGGTCAGGACGAGGGGAGAGTTGACAAACTTGATCAAATACAGGTCCTCGTCACTCAAAATGGCATAATGGTCAATGAAGTAGCGTACTCCAAGGGGATCTTCTGCTGGCGACATTGAAAGCAAGAGCTTACAGTAGCACAAAGCAGTATAGAACGTGGATCTTTCTGCAAGTCCAGTGATAAGTCTGAAAAGACAGAGATAGAACTGTCTGTTCATGTAACTCTCATACGGGAGACGAATGAGCTCGTTCTTTCCATCCTGGAGCATTTCATGGAATCTCTTGTTTAAGCTTCGGTCAAAAACAAAGAGCCCCTTCTCCACAAGTGCATTACTAGTGGCCTTATTATTTCCCTGTCTCAACATAACCATGGCGACCTGCAAGAGCGTTTCCACATGGTAGGGATGCTGTTGCAAGAGTTGCATGAGTGAGTCTGGATCTGGAGTCATCACCACCGATGCATAGAATTTCGAGTTTGCTACTCGTTCTCCCACAGATTGGATTTTGGCAAACCTGAAGTATTTGATCCCCAAACGTTCCTCATTTTTGATTTTACTCTCGATTGTAGCATACTCTTCATCTTCTTTCTTGTACACGAGGCAATTTTCAATCTCTTCAGTGGTCAACTCCTCCATGGTCAATGGTTTCTGTGCGGTAGGCAACCAGTCCTCCTTGATACGAGTAAAGAGCAACTTTCTAGCTGTTCCCGGAACGCTGCGGTGGTCCTTGCCTCCCCATCCTCTTGTAAGTCTGGCCAATTTCTTGAACTGGGCCAAAACCTCAGGGGAAATAGCGAACGAGGTTGTACTATTGGCGTCTTCTATAGTTTCCAACGAGAGATTTCCAAACAAGTTTTTGAGCTCTGTATCTGGATCTAGATTTTTGGACGATCCAATCGAGAGGAGAGGAAGACATTCCTTGAGTCTAGATGTGGTGAAGTAGAGGTAGTTGGAGTCTTCGTACCAGATGGGTGGATCCTCTAAGTTGTACTGGTACTCACCATCAACATCATCCTCAACCTCAGGAGAGGCACTTTGAGCATTCTGCTGGTCTCTCTTTCTGACTTCTTCCAAGAAGCGATCCAAGTCTTCATCGCCCTCAATGCCCTTGGGGTCAGTCTTTTTCTTTCCTTTTGCCTTTTTCTTTTTGTTTTTTCTGGCCGTAGATGTCTGTTTAGCCCGAGCAGCCTGTGCGGTCTCTAATGCCTCATCGTCAATCCCTTTCTCTTGCTTATCTTCGTCACTTTCGTCACTTTGCTCACTTTCATCGCCTAGCAACGCAAAAGCATTCACTTTTGGAGCAGAGTAGACCACTTCCTCATCAGATCCACTAACAGAGTCACTTAAAGCCTCTTTGAGACCACGATTATTCTCAAGTCTTCTTAACGCCCTCGAACTCATGGTAATCTGAAGAGTTGACTTCTACACCTTTGTGCGGGTGCAGGCCATTTCTTATAGTAGCTCCAATACTTATGCAATTGGAGTTTAAGATATAGCATACCAGAATTCAGCCTACTGGAATCTCTAGAGAAGCATTAGCCTGAAAGAATTGAAAGGTATCAACGACCATTGTCTTCCACAGATAGAAATTGCACATCATCTTTGCATCAAAATGGCCCAATCAAATGACGTATTCTGTCTAGCACATTTCTGTGAGATCCACGGACCCACCACAATTCTATGCTGCCAAAAACTGGATTCACCGCTAGAAAATTCCAGCAGCTTACTGTCTACATGTGACTCATGTGCGTTGCAGCTCCCTGAGTCCGCAACTCGTCTAGTTACAACCTCTGAACTCAACCACACCAACGACAAGTATGTGTCCACACACTACCCGGTGTCAGAACGAATTTATACGAGTTTGAAGAAGTTGGTAATGAAGTGCTTATCTGTAGAGGCGGTGGCAGATCCGCTGAAGGTATTGTTCTTCGGAGACGCAACCTATGGCTTCTGTCTCAGCAAGGTGTTTAGTATCAAGGACATCAACGCCCGTGGAGGAGAGCGAAAGTATGCCATGTTGATGGTTTCTGACTCCGAGTCGCATCTTATACGAAGCTGGGATACAGTGTCGACATATTTCAACGAGATGATTGGACTAATACAGAGACAGGTGGAGGAGAGAATGGAGGAGACGGCCAAGAACAATGCTAGTGACAACGAGAGGTACTTGCGGAGGTCCAAAAATATAGCGAAATCTTTGGTTGTGCTTACGAACGATGCACAGATTTTTGTCAAGGTGCACTTGTGGGCAATCGAGTTGCTCAAGGACATGCTGTAAAGGAGGACTAAACCGCGAGAATCGAGACGATAACACCATTCAAGGTGGGATGCCCAATTCATTGGATCAGTGAATCAATCTTGTCTTGACAAGACGACATTTACATAATCTATCTGCAAAAGTTCACCACTCATTCTAGCCATTACAACAGGCAATAATCAATACATAACATCACTAACCAGAACATATAATAATACTATGAATCCACCTCTTAATTGTTCTTTCAAAACTGTTTATTTTCTTTCTTTCTTTCATCTCATTTCCTTTCCTTCGCTGTGTCTTTCGTTACATGTTCCTCTCATCCACTTGTCCCATTATGCCTCACCATATGTCCTTCACATTTTCGCAACCATGTTTGTAACTTATGCCACTTCTATTCTTCATTCGTAAATTTCTACGGTACGTATATCGCTCAAATAGAGTGGCGCTCCGTTCTCTCAATCGTGTGCCCAATATTCTATTTCTCCTCCTATCGCTCTATCTCATTAGCGCATATTTGACCGCCTGTTTGGTGATAGAAAGGAAGAGCACCCTGTGGTCAATTGCTGATGCTACAAGACTCTTTGAGTCTCACCACCCTGATCTTGAAATTTCTTACCTTCCATTGCCATATCAGCAAAACCTACCCCAGGAAAAGTCTATTTTGGCAACACTGTATGACCCAAGACTCATCCCTGCTCTCTGGCTTCATGTTATCAGAGATCGCTTGGAAAAGGATAGACTAGGATTCGATGCAAATCTCTCACTTCCTTTCCGATGGGAATCATATCTTGATCTCTTACCTCTAGTGGTTTCCCCTGCGTTGACTGCTTCAAACATAGAGAGTTGTGCATCTTTTCGAAGAGCTTTCCACATTGGAATGGATACCACTGCATTCTGTAGAGAAAACAGAGAACACAAAGCACTTCTGGGGTTTCCCGGAGTTAAAATCGTTGGTCCGACCGATGGGGGTTTAAATGACCGTGCGCGTGCCTTTGTTGGTGCTAATTACCTTATACATCTGGACAAAGTACCCGAGCGAGCTGTACTTCTTGGAGTTGGACCAAGCAAATCGGATAAGAGGAAGGCAGTGGTGGTTCCTATCAAATCCATCCCATCTGTGTATCTGCGCATGGATGTTATCAGTCTTGTGGAAGAGTATTTGGAGAGTTGCGTAAATTGTAGTACTATCACGTTGACTAACGAGCTCGAGAGGCTTGAAAACATCTGGGAAATTTCTGATACTCAGATTAACTTCAAATCAGGATTTGAATTGCAAAGAGATTCGATTCGTATTGAACATGGTTCGCTGGAAGAACGTGTCGATTTAGATCCTACAGACTTCACATTGTCATATCAAGATGTCCAACAGTACTTCAACACTAGGGTGCACGAAAGAAATCCTTGGGCTAATGATCTTGACTTCAAGATGGCTTTGAATGCTGGAGAACTCACTAAAGATAACAACTCAGCGAAATATTTCCATGAAGCCCTGCTTTTGAGTTCTTCAAGAGGTTCCCATTTCGACTGGCGATTCTTCAAAAAATCGACCTACTCTATTTATGAGCATCAAGCGATATTGCATAGGTTATCAAGGGCATGGTTGCGCTTCTCAAATCTGGTTGGTTTAGACTCTTGGCTCGCACATGGAACACTTCTTGGCTGGTATTGGAACGGGTTCAATATGCCTTGGGACCAGGACTTAGATGTCCAAATGAGCATGAAAAGCCTATTCCTTCTTGGGAGAAACTATAATCAGTCTGTGGTTGTGGACTTCACAGATGTCTCGGAAACAACTGGAGTTCATCTGTATTTTGTAGATGTGAGTCCGCATATCTTTGATCGAGAAAATGGCAACGGGAAAAACGTCATTGATGCAAGATTCATCGACATGAGTTCAGGTATGTACGTGGACATCACCGGCCTTGCTATTACGAACGACTATTGGCTGACCTACAATGCATCTCGAACCAGAAATAGTGAGTTGTTGCACAAAGTGTTTGACACCGAATACTCTAACGCAATCAATTCTGCACGGGAGCATCCCGATTATATTAATGATTATTTGAACAGCCTCAATATCATTGAGTCTGAGACCTGGGAAAAGGGCCATTTGTACAATTGCAAGAACTTCCACTTCTATAACATGCTGGAACTTTCGCCCCTCCAGAAGACAACATTTGAAGGTGAGCAAGCGTTCGTTCCTGCGAATTCAGAACGCCTCCTCCAAAGAGAGTATACCAAAGGTACATTTGCAACAGAGTATGGAAACTGGATTTTCCGGCCTGCTCTCGGTTTATGGGTCCACAAGAAAACTTGCAAAAATGACTACCGAGGTAACGATTGCCGTGATGCAGCTGTTCTTCTTGAAGAAAGTTCTACTCGCTCTATGAGACTCACACGAAAGAATCGATTGGATGGAGTGTTGCTGAGAGATGTGCGAGCAGATCCGTGGATGATGGAACGTAATGAGCTTCTACAGAAGTTCACACCATGATGAAGGCATTCTTTAAGAATTTCATTAATTGATGAATTCTTCAAAGATCATCTATCAGAGGGACATCCTTCTTCCGACCGTCTCGTCCTCCAGAGGTGATGTCTGTTGCGATTCTTGAGAAGGGCCATATAACAGAAACAACTTTACCCACAACCAATGCTTGACTTATAGGTCCGAAGTCATTCGAATCGATCGAATGGAATGCGTTATCACCCTCAACCCAAAGATGATTTCTTGGTATAAGTGCTTGATTCCTTGGATATGCCTTATTTCTGGGTATGATGACATCGCCCTGCAATCCAACCACTCGCTTCGTGACGAGCTTCTCTGGGTCTGAGGGCGAATGGAACATAATGACATCGCCCCTCTTCAAGGAGTTTGGCGCTTTGAGGTTATACTTTTGAATAAGTACCACATCATTCTGGGTGGTTTTGGTAGCTGGGTTGAATGTGGGAGCCATGGATGATCCGGAAATCAGACACGGCTGGTACACATGATCAAGTGCCGTGAAGAACACTGGGAACCATGTCAATGTGAAAAATGCTGTTCTTAAATGCGGATGGAGAGACATGATTAGAAAGGTTTGTAATCGAGAAGTATGGAGAGGAAGTTAAGTGCGAATTAGAGACAGGTTCCCTTGGTTGCAAAATATGTGGAAAAATTGAAGGAGACACAGTGGGGAGAAAAATTACAGATGTGGATGAAATTCGACATCTATTCTTTCTCATGATGGAAGCAAATGGCTAAACTCGTTACAATGGAATTTTCTGGAACCGTTGGTTCAAGAATCAAAGTATGATTGGAAGCTGCTGAGGTTCTTGAAAGGGTCTGTCATGGTCTGTCGTTTCCCACTAGAGGAAGATAACTGACGGTGAAAGGCTCTGCTCAGCGGCCAAAATTTTTGCTATCTTTCCTGTATTGCTAGAACACCATGCCTGTGAATTTGAAATTCTCATGTTTAAGGCACTACTTTGTGGATCAAGCACGAAGTAGCAAGTCGTAAGAAAGGAGTAAATTGAAATTTCAGGCTACTGGAACTATGTCCAGATAATTCGTTTACTTCATTATTATCACAATTTCTCATGTTTTCTTTATTATTCTGACTACATCAAGAGCTCTGCTTGCACCTCTATACTGTGCGAAGTGAGTGGATTGACCAACTCTGAGTAATCTGACAATTTTCAGTTACATCCATACGTTTGCTACTACGGTATACCCGACCAAACATTCTATCGCATTGAAAGTTTCTTGAGCAAGCTGTGCTTTGTGAGCCCCAAATTTTTCCAGAGTCTCACTTTCCAAGCCTGACATTTTAGACATTTTCGGAACACCACTATCTAACACCTTTCTATTGTTAGTACCATGTCAAACGCTTTAGATCAGATTATGATGGAGGACATCGCCAAGAACTGTCCACAGCAGTTTCTTGCTTTCCATCAATGTATGTCCAAGCCTCCCTCGGAGGCAGATTGCGTACTTGAGCAAAAGAATCTCAGTATGTGCATTAAGACAAGCGTTCCCGTGTTCCAGAAAATCAATGGCGAATGTGCTGATAAACTTAAAGGATACGAAGCATGCTTGAGAGCAAACGATAGTGACCGTTCCAAGTGTGAGCAGGATCTAAAGGTTCTACGTCAATGTGCTGTTGGAGCAGTGGTCTGAGCAACTACTGGCCATGTAAATAGAGTAAGGTTTTTCAGAGTATGAATGATGAGAGTAAAACCAAAGACTTATGTAAAGACTATGAGAATAATGAAGTTCTTTTGAACATTTCTGATTGCTGTCTTTCTCTAGGACCTAGCTACGATTTGTAGAATTCCAATGATATGGCGAACTGAGTCATCAAAGTTAAAAACTACACAATCATGTCAAAAATCCAGATTTTTATCGTTTGAAATAAGATTACCAGCCTTTGATTACTATTACGATTCTTCTTCACTAAAATAATTGTTCATGACTTTCTTAAGTTTCTATATGGAGATATAGCTAGACTAGATAGAACCAGCAATAAAGGCTAGCCTCGAGCACGAACACCCACTTACTAACAGAACAGACGCTTCTCAGTGGCCGTAGCTTACTCCAGTGACAATAACCAGTACAAGACTCAGACCACATACTTAGGAGGAACATTGTCAAGCTTGATTGGACTCAAGAAGTTTTTACCAATGTCCCTTGCTTCAGGGTTCTGGTCGTGAGTCTCCTCAATCTCGTGCTCGTGATGCAAGAGCTCGTGCTCAATGTCCTCCTTGTGCTTGATATGGACATCTGGGTCCTGGTCACGGTGGTACTTGTTCCAGTGGTGATTCTCGTATTCGGCCTCAAAGTCCAAATGGTGACCTGGCCCAAGCCCCAAGTCTGGCAAGTGACCACCATGCTGGCTGAATAAAATCCATTCCTCCTTGGTAACCTCACCGTCGGAATTTGCATCCAATATGGTCAACAACTTGTTAAGAACTCTCTTCTTCACTTCTGAGTTAATGGATTCTTCGTGGTCATGTGCGCCCATCCCCGAGCCGTCACCGACCACAGAGTCACGGGTCAATCCGTAGAGATATAAGAGGTCATCCGAATTCCACTTGCCCTTGCTTTGCAAGTCGTGGAGGGTGAAGAAAGATTCAGCGTCGAAGCCATCCAACTGATGTTCTTCCTTCATGTGCCATTCTTCCCAAGACATTCCAGTGGGTAATTTGGCGATTTCTTTGTGAGCAGTCACTCCGATAGCCACAGCTAGCATAGCTAAGGAAAAACGCATGATGTCTGGAGAAGAAATCTGTAAGAAGAAATGTAAGTATAGATAGTGATAAGTCTGAGATCGATTGTACAGTCCTGGAAACGTTCGGGAATGGAATTGTGATAGAATTGATGATGGATTGGAGGCGGTAAAGAGTAAACGCTTTAGCATGCAGACGACGAGAAAACACCGAGCCTGTAATCAGAAGATTTGTATTTGTAAAGTGGTGGAGGTTAACTTCCTCAGTTTGGCCAGATGTCAGTTTCAATGGAGGGAATCCCAAGAAGTAATCTTGGTACATCAAAAGTGATATTGAAGGAGAAACGACGAACAAGATTAAGAAGCTAGTGATCACTCTAATGGAGAAAAGTGAATATCTCAATATATGTGATGTAATTCTATTCTTATTAAGTCTTTGATGAATTAATGTTCATGGACATGGTCAACATTGAGATCAAAGACACAACGATAAAATACAAGCAAATAATCCTCGAATGTAATACCCGTATTTCGAACAAAATTATAATTAATCTAACAAAAGAATATTAAGAAAATTTTCTTCATATAAACTTGAATAGTCACTAATCAGTTACATTCCACAACCACGGTGCATATACTGCATATTACTGGCCTGAACCCCAGATTCTCCATCTCCAACCTTTATTACTTGTTGCACCTTCATTTACCACATCGTATGAGCGAAACGAACCTCAATTTACCCGTCAAGCCTACCACGTCACGTGTTGGCCGTACTACTCAGCGCTACAACGAGGAGTCCGGTGCTCGTATGGTGGCTGGGTGTATTTGTCTAAATGATGCCAAAGACAAGGTGGTGATGATCCTGTCCAGCGCCCACAAGGGCCAATGGGTGTTTCCCAAGGGTGGAATCGAGACCGACGAAGGTGATGACTTCGTGGTGAGTGCTGTGCGCGAGACATGGGAGGAAGCTGGATGTGAAGGTCGAGTATTGGAGAAATTGCCAGTAGTGTTGGACATGCGAGGCCGTAAGGCGCCAGTGGTTAGCGTGGAGGATCGACAAAAGGATTTCGATCCGTTGAAGCAAGTTCCAAGGCTGGAGTTCCATTTCTACGAATTGTTGGTTCTGAACATGGCAGCACAATGGCCCGAGGCAGACAAGAGAGAGAGACGGTGGTGTACGTACTCTGAGGCCAAGCACGAGCTTTTGAAGGCTAAAAGACCCGAATTGGTCAGTGCATTGGACTCATCGTGCATTGTACGTGATTCTGAAGGTGTGGAGGGGAAAGATGAATATTAACTGTACAAGTGATGAATGAATGAATTTTATAAATATAGCACCACGTGTAAAAGCCTACATTAGAAAGTTGTTACTCCATTCCAATGGATAATAGTGAAAGCCCATTCTAGCCTCTACAGCATCAATCTATACACTTCTATCTACCCTGGTCTTCTAGATCTTCTATTCTTACTCTCCTGCTTAAAGGATCCTCCTATTCAAAAAGTCCTTCTACTTAAAGAGTCCTCCCATCAAATTGGCCAACATGTTGTTGCCTCCCTGGGGGTTGCCCAAGTTTAAACCGAAGTAAAAACGACCCAAGTACTCCACCAGTGGCGCAAGCCCAGCACTCACCAAAAGTTGCTTATAATGTTGGTATAACTTCAAGTACTTCTCGCCCGAGTTGACCTTAGTGAGCGTAGCCAAAAGCAACTGAACGAAGTTCAATACCTCCAGCTTCTCGAACATATACAAATCGTCGACCTTGGAATAGTTCTCAACGTCGGACGCAACATATTTGGACAAAAACCTCTCTAATGCACTCAGGGCAAATTTGATGTTCTTCAAGTATGCGTAGTTGATGACTGCTCTGGCAATAAATTCTCCAGCATCGCCAGACTTGCCTCCTTCCTGATACCAGGAAAACAAGTAGTCGACGTAGATAGGCAATGACTCGTACGTTCCTAATATCAAGTGCAATTCTGCCACAGCAAATAACTTATACTTTTCATCTTCAGTAGTCTGTGAATCGATGGCCTTCAAGAACTTGGATCCGAACAAATGGTGCAAATCAGCATCACCAAATTTGGACAGCGAGGACTCCTTGGACCAAGCCAATGCATTTTTGGCCACATCGCCCAACGATGGGTCAGAATCTGGCAAAAGTGAAATCAAGTCAATAAGCTTCCACTTATAGTCCTTCGATGCCGCCTCGTTGGAGCATTTGATCTTTGCCTCACCATAGACCTGAATCAAATACAAAATCAAGTCGCTGGCCGAGCCATATTCCTTATTGGTGGCCAAGATAGACAGACCTTGGTAGAGCAAGTCAATGGCTTCTGGATACTGGCTGGTTTTCACGTATCTGTTGGTAATGGTTCTTAAGGTCTGATGGGCTTCATAGAAATCTTTGTTATCGATCTTCTGTTGGAACCGCGCGATGGTTCTCTGTAGTTTGTCACTCATGGTCTTGTTCTGATGGTTAGTGAAAGGTGAGGTATGTAGGACGTGGAGGATAGTGGTGATTATTGGCATGCACTAAAATTAATTTTTCGATGGAAACCCAATTGGTCCAGATTACGGGAGAATGTAAATGTTAAGAAAAGTTTAATTGATTAGGAAGGTTTTTTTAATAATTAAGAAAAGCTAGATACCCTTTTTTTACGAAAGGCTCAGAAGCTACAAACGGAATCTCACTCAAAGTTGGAGAAAACCTTGCATTGATTAAAACAAATCCAGGATGGAGAATTGCTTAGGAGTCATTTATTTTGCATCCAGCTAGCTTAATTTATACGTTTGTTGCATTTAAACTGCTTTGCCTGTTGCATGAACGATCATTGATCAGGAGTCACTAGTCCAAGAATTTAATATGAGTTCCAAGTCTTGAATTGTCAACCTCCTCCTTAACCTCCTGAGGCTTGTTTTTGGGGCGGAGATCGACAAATTCGACTGATTTGGGAACTTCAACCTCACCATGAAAATTCTTGAGTGACAATTCTCGTAGCAAGGGAAGATTCCAGTTAAATATACTGGATGTTCCCCCAGATATGGAAAGCTTTTGAATTGTTTGTGGTAATTGTAGCTTGGAGTACTCAAGATCTCTTCCACAATGTAATGTCAACTCCTCTAAATCTGGAGGAAAGTCAAAGCCGTTGAAGGCAAGACTAATCTCCATTGACTTCAAATTCTTGAGCAAGACTAGCCCTTTCCATTCATGCAGTGAAACGACCGCTGAGAGCTCCTCTAGGCTTTGGGGAAACTCTGCTGTCAATAAGTCAGGATCAACGTACTTTTGTTTAATAAGTTCCACAGAGAGCCTTGCACATTCATCTTTGTTCCACAAGTCAGCAGACTCAAATGACTTTGTCTTCCGTTTTCGATGAAGTTTGAGCACTTTTAAGTCGGGGAAGGAGACTCCTTCTAAGTCTTGCATCTGATTGAGACTAATGTCAAGGGACACGAGAAGTCCTGGGAACACGATATTCTTCAAAGACTCTATCTCGCACTTTGCTAACAGAAGGATTTCAAGAAAAGGAGGAAAGTCAATTCCTGTCACATCTTTGATCGGATTGTCATCTAAGTTCAATTCTTTCAAATTGCTGGGTAAATCAAGTTCTACAACGTCAGACGCTTCGATACCACAACCATTTAAAGTCAAATAGGTGAGTTGTTTTGGAAGTTTCAAACCTGCCTTTGAACATGAAGAGAGTGACAAGCGTGATAAAGTGTCGGGAAGCTCCCAGCCCAGAACATTACCCATATAATCAATTTCATCATCAGAATCAGATTCGTAGTTTTCTGAGTTTGGAAATGTAAGATAGCGATTCGTCCAAGCAATTCCGATGCTCTTTATTGTCTTAGGCAAATTCCTCAATTGTATATCTTCACCTACCAGATTAACTCTCAAAACCTCTAGGTTACTAGGAAGTTCATCGAATTCAATGCCACCCAACGTTAAAACTTCATAGCTTCTGTAATCCCAAATAATCTCCACATTGACTTCTGTGAGGTTGTCAGAGTTGACATCATAGCGATAGATTACATTCTCATACTCATCACTTGCAAGAGTGATTTGGGGAATGGTTTTCAAGAAGTCAGGATAAGATTTTGTCAAGTCTTCAATGTCTCCTTCGAAGTACCTCAACTCCAAGTGTTCTACTTCAGCCTCAATATCCCCAGAAGCGAGTTTTTTGAGCTCCTCAAGAGATATATACGTAGCATTAGACCGGAAATCCGAGAAAAGACGTTCAAACCTCGGGAGTTCGTCGGTCGTAACATGTCTGTAGAGTTTCTTTGCAATGAACGCTTTCCATGCATCTGAAGTGGGTAAGATGTTATAAAGATCTCTCAAAGTGTTTGATGGTAAATACTCGAAGATTTGTGCTTTCACTTCTGAGGGCAATTTGTCAAACATCGATAGTTAAGAGGTGATGATTTGTGCTTTCACTTCTGAGGGCAATTTTTCAAACATCGATAGCTAAGAGGTATGACTCATAATGGTCTCCCTTTCCTATTGGAACACGTCACAGTCAGATCATCGTTGACTCCCACGAATAATACAATCCTTGTACTTTAACTTAAGAAGAAGTAATATTTCGACCGACTCATTTACCAATGTTCCAGTTTGTTATTATCATCAGTGATCCAGCTTTGGGGTTGTTCCACCTCTCATCCTTCACCATTTACTACTGATTCTATCAAACATATTAGTTGGATCTTCTATTTGTTTTCTTAATTATTCATCTCTCAAACCCCCATATAACACTTGATGTTTCACTTCGTGTTTGAAGGGACTCAGAATTAGCCTGGGAGGTATCTCAGTTAGAACAATATTTTGATTAAGTGATCTGATCTCAAAGCTTCTCAAATTAGGAAGGTCAACATTGAACTCTCTCTCATGAAAGGCGAAAAAAATAAAACGAACTGATTTTGGCTAAAAAGTCAATTTGCACGAGAGTTTCAAGGATTCGATACCTCCATAAAGACAAGTTCTTCAAAAACGATCATTGTGGATCCGAGAATAGCGTGGCTGGAAATTAAGCTTAATGACTGATTCGGGAACTTCCACTTCTCCAACAAAGTCTATGAGAGACAAATCTTGGAGTAAAGGAAGTTTTCAGTCAAATATACTGGATTTCCCTCCAATCATAGACTGTTTTTGGATCGTTTTTGGCAATCTTAGTTCCGAGTACCCAATATCTACTACACAATGTATTGTCAACTCTTCCAAATTTGGAGGAATGTCGAAATTAGCATTCTCAAGACTTATTTCCATTGCTCTTAATTTCTTAAGCGCTGTCACAACCGGGCATTGATTTGATGACATCCGCATCTTGAGCTCCTCCAAGCTTTCGGGTAGCTATGTAGACTGATATGAAGCGATCAATGGAGCATAGATCTATGGCTTCAAGAAGAGCAACTCCATCAATACCTCTTACAACGATGTCCTCACTCAAATAGTGAGCACACCCGAAACCCAATAACTGCCATTTTTGAAAAAGTTTGAGAACTTTCAAGTTGGGGAAGTTGACTCCTTCTAAGTCTTTGCATCTTATTACGACTAATATCAAGAGACACAAGCAGTTCTGGAAAGATGACATTCCTCAAAGACTGTATTCTACAAATTGCCAACAGAAGGACCTCAAGAGAAAGAGGAAAAGTAATTGCTGTCAGGTCTTTGATCGAATTGTCATCTAAGTACAATTCTTTCAAACTGCTTAGTGAACAAGCTGAACAATGTCACACGCTTCGATACCACAACCATTTGAAGTCAAATGGGTAAGCAGATTTGGAACCACTAAATCTTTGGTAAAACACTCAGAGAGATACAATCAATAATCCTTCGGGAAGTTCCCAGCTAAGCTTACCTAAATACTCTTCAATTCCTACAGCTTACGTTTCGTCCAATTCATGACACCACATCCACGACACACTGAGGACTTTTATCGTATCGGGTAACTTCTTAAACATTGCGTCAATATTCCTCAGTTTGATTGTTTGAATCTCTAAGTGGCAGGTAGATGATTGAAGTGTGAATCATTGTGATATGTGTCATATTCATCCATACAGTCAAGATTGATTTCGGTAAGGTTGTCAGTACGAAATATAACAAGGATAAGAGTGCATCATTTCACTCAAATACCCGTCAAATTCACCAATCTCGAAGTGTTCAATCTTAGTATCAATTTCCCCAGCTGCGAGTTGCTTGAGCACCTTAAGAGATATGATCTTAGCGTCAGATTTATATTCCGAGAAGTCAGTGAGTTCCTGATTGATATTAATTCTGCTTTGCCTTTATCATTTACTTACTCAAATAACACTCTGTCCTCGAACTGACCAATCAATCAGTATTCAACAACAGCCACCTATCTCATCAGCAATTACTGAACATCCTTATCCGTTCGAATTCTCTTCCCTACATTTATTCTCCAATAAATCATTAATTAATATACACTATAGCTTGTAAACCTTCCCTTCATCGACCATGATGTAGTTACTGCTTTCCATCTTTGCAAATCCACTAGCAATCTCCTCGGGACTGAAAATTTCCTCTTGTGGAAGATCCTCGTTGATCAGGTCAATCACTTGTTCTTTTGAACAACTGCCACTAGTGTTGTCGAAAAACAGAGAGTTGACGATAGAGCTCATCACCGAAAGGAACCTCTCGTATCTTTCTGTACTGATACCTTCAAGATTGTCTGCCGCCTCAACATTCTGCTCACTCGTGGTTTCTGTTAGTGGCTGTTGCGAAAGATGCATGTGGTCGAGATCATCGGCAACCTGTGATGCCTGTCCTTCAGCTGGAGGGGTGGCAGATGGAGTATTCTGCTGACGCTCATACTCCGAGATACCCTGAACTTCTAAATCGTCTTCCTCAGATTCGGTTTCGGGCTCATCTTCTTGTTCTTCGTTGTCTCCAAACAATGCAATCTTTCTTCTCTTGGGCTCGTTTTTTCTGGCGATCTCCTTGAACAAGGCGAATCGAAGCATTTCCTCGGCTACTTTAGCATCCTTGACCTCAATAACCTTAGACAAACGGAGCTTTGCGTGAGCTGTAGACAAACGAATGAGAGTTTCCAAAGTTCTCGCTGTCACTGGAGCCGTCCTCTTCTCATTATTAGCTGGATCGCTGTTTCTCAAATCGCTATATTTCTTCACAATGTACTCCGAAGCCTTTTTCGTGAGCACTGGCTTAATTCTCTGCTTGGCATACTGAATGTACTTCTTCAAGAATGGAATCGACAAGATGGTAGGGGTTGAACCATTATGCGCACGGTTAGCAACACCAGCATGCAAAAGCGAGTTGAACTTCTCGTACATTGGCTGCTCAGCGTTGTCATCTACTGATTCAGTTCCCGTGGCCAAGGACACTGCACTTCTCTCTCTCACAGGCTCACCTTCAGCCATTCCTGGCAGAATGAATCTGTGCATTCTCAAAACGTGCTCCGAAATGGTTCTATCTTTCGTCTGGTTGACATCATCCGTGACCACGAAAAGCAAATCAAAACGAGACAAAAGAGAATCTGGCAACGCGATGTTCTTGTGAGGATCTTTATGAACATCATACTGGCCAAACACCGGGTTGGCAGCAGCAATGACTGAACATCTGGCATTAAGAGTGGTGTGGATTCCTGCTTTCGCAATAGTGACAGTCTGTTGCTCCATCACCTCGTGGATGGCCACACGGTCAACGTCTGACATCTTGTCGAACTCATCAATACAAACCACACCTCTGTCGGCTAAAACCATGGCACCAGCCTCCAATCTACGTTCTCCAGTTTCCTTATCTGTGGTGACAGCCGCTGTCAAACCGACACCGGAGGATCCACGACCGGTAGTGGCAATTGCAAGAGACGCAGTATTCAATACAAATCGCAACATTTGAGATTTTGCAGTGGAAGGGTCTCCTACCATCAAGATGTTGATGTCTCCACGCAAATGTGTTCCGTTGTCTAAGTTCTTCTCCACACCACCAAACATCATAAGCAAAACAGCCTTTTTGATGTAGTCCAATCCATAGATAGATGGCGCAAGAGACTGAGACAATGTGTCGAAGATATTCTTGTCTTGAGCCAATTTGTTGATATTTCTCACATCCTGGTCGGTCAACTTTTCCTGAGCTGAAACACCAGTAGATCTAGCATGTAGCGGATAGACAGCATTGGCCAAGACTACTGTACGGAACGCCGACGAGTTGTTGTTGGCTCCTCCCAATGCTCTGTAGATACCGACAATCTGGACACGGTCACCTGGCTTTGTCAAGTCCACTAAATCGTCATCCAAAACAATATCCACTGAACGAGGCAACTGACCCGCTGGAGCAGTCTCAGGCATCTCCTGGACAGAAATCTTTTGATGGTCTCTGTAGGTGGAAAAACCGTACTCTGGCGTCAACTTGTTTCCATCAGGGTCCTCCAATGGATATACGGCAGGGGTCGTGATGGCATCAAACGAAGTGGTGTTGTCCTTGTACGATTTGGCAAAGAATCTAGCGGTTTTCTCGGCATAATGCACCGATCTGATGACCTTGGGCCTAACCAAAGACGCCCGGGTGACGATACCCTCAATGGCCACCATACGGCTGAGGTGGTTTGCGTCGATAGTTCTAGGCGTCACCTGATGGTCTCCGAAGGCACCCTTGAACGCAAGGTAAAACTGTTGATTGTCATCCAAAGGCTCGAATCGATTATCATTGGGATCATAAATGGTGAGCACGGTATCTCTCAACGCACGCTCGCAAGCAGGCAAATAATCGACAGGGTCATCCAAGAGACCTTTCCAGAATTCCACGTCGAAGTTTCTAATGTCGTCAATGGATACAGAGAGACGAAATTTTCCCTTCATAAGCATTTCCTTGATGTCGTTTCTGTAATTAGACCCTTGGTCGTTAATTTGGTCCAAAAACTCCTGGAACCTTCTCACACGGTCGCCGAATACGGCATCGACCAGCTGGTCAAACTGGGAATCATCCATAGTGTAGCGAAAGAAGAAGAAGTTTAGATGGGATTTGTAGATAATTTTCGATGCGCGTAGGTAATTAGATTTCCCAATGGAGATTAATTAGCGCGTCGAATTTGGCGGGTTTATGCAGGATACACTTAACTATTATGAGAATTGATGGAGGTGATTTCGGCAAAGAATAAAGATGTTTTGAATTTTTATATGGAAGTTGAGGTATGGAGACTGAAGTATTGAAATTTGACTGAATATTAGAGGTATGTCTGTGAGTGTGGTGTGGGCTATTTTTGCACTGAGAATGCCATTCCGAGTAAGACTTGAGTGGCTGTTTTATGAATTTTGTTGATTTGAATTCTGTTTATATGATGGTACAAGGTGAAAAGTTGCAAAATTGGATGGACAAGAAGTCTGCAATTTCTTTAATTTTATATTGTGTTATATGAGTCGTTGAATTTCGTGGAAGGGAATGGGAATGTAAGTATTATCTGTTTCAAGACCCCAATTTGGTATTAATTTTAATGTATTGCTGAGTAAGGATGTCCTTTGAGCATTCCTAAATGCTTATTTTCATATGATAGCATTCAATTGTATTAATCCTCCAAATTTTGGAATATTAATGTCTTTTTGGATAGTCATGTGTATTCAACGAGTGACGGTTCCCGTTATTTACTCACGAGATTCTCTCATATTCATTACTCTTTTTCAGATGCTACTATTTGTCCAGTCTATTTTCTTATATTCTCTATTTTAAAGCTCCCACCCTTTCATGTACGCCTTGTCAGAATCACCATAAATCGTATCCCACTCCTCATATTCCAACGAAGCCATACCCTTATACTTTCTGTTCTTCTCACTGTCGTACAACGAAATATAACTCCAATCCAAGAAATCCTCCAAGTTGTAGCTGGGCTTTCTGAATGGCTCACCGAAGATCTTGGCCAACGTGGCCACATTGGGGTGGTAATGGCTCATCAATGTCTCCAACTCCCACAACGAAGAGCCCATGGCCTTGGTCTTAAGTGGATCAACCTCCTCGTTATCGAAAGTATCCTTGTACTCGGAAGTCACCTCCAGATTCTGAAGCAACACCATACACGTAGGATGTCTCTTGAGCAAGTTATACACAAATGGAATAACAATCACCACACCTGGAGCAGACGCCGAAAGCGACAATCTGGCCAATCTCTTGATAAAAGATGCAACCAAATTGGCAGACAAGTGCGTGGAACTGAGAAACAAATCACACAATCTGAAGAATCTAGACCTGTAACGAGTGTACAAGATACTTGGAGTAAGCAACGAGTAGAGCTTGGTGTAAAAGTCTGGGTACTCCAAGTTGTAATTCTTTATGAGTTCCCAAAGCGAGTTGAGTGCAAGAATGGGGACGATTTCGTCTTCTTCCTGGTCGTATGCATCAGTTAAGAAATCCATAAGACTGGCAGGAACACCCATAAACGGAATGATTCTCTTGTGCAAAATTAGCAACAATGCTTTGTAATGAGCTGCAGTGAGGTCTGTGAGCTTCATGATGGCGAAGAGACACTGCTGGTACCGTGCTTTAAAGCTGGGTTTGTATGCGGAAGGTGGGAGTTGTCCACTGATCCAGAGAGGACATTCATGCAAAGTTTCACGGTCTGGAACATACAAGAGACCGTTGCGGATGATCGTGAGGTAATTGGAGAACACCAAGTTCTTCTTTTCGGCGTCAAAGTCAGCCCATTGGCTGATTTTCTGCACCAATGTTTCTTCAAAGAAATACGTTTGCAAATCCCAGTATTTGCCAAACTTTTCGAGGAATTCCAGAATCAAAAAGTTATCCGAGGAGAGGTCACCCAAGATTTGGCCATTTTCACTCAAAAGCAATGCCTCTACCAACTGTTGGTACAGATCCACAGCGAATTCTTTCACGGATTCTGCCTGAACTAATCCCAAGAAAATGTCCAAGGCATCAAGCTGAAGTGACAGCTCAAAACTGAGTTTTTCACGAACCAATTTAGCCAACACAGTCTTATACTTAGTGTACTTGTCAGCGATCCATTTAGCGACCAACTGCTGCTTTTCATCTCTGGAGTTTTCCATGGTCTTGTCTGCAATTATCTTTTGGAAACACTTGAATAAAGTAACACCAACCAAACGTCCAGTTTCCTCGACCTTATCATCTTCCTTTTTTGCGAGAATGGAGCAGCACTTATCAAGTTCACCCAAGAGAGGTACCAAGCTGTTGAAGTTAGACTTATCCATCACATCTGAGCCTAGCGTGGTGATTTCGGACTCAGACAAACGGAATTCTTCCACAGGTACAGTTTTTGTCTTTTTGGACGCAGCCTTAGCACCGCCAGCACTTTTCCTTTTGGCCATATTTGTATCTTTTAGCTATTACAATGAACTTGACCTAAGTGATGAGATGGGCCTGTATACTGGTTGGAATACCAAGTGAGAAGGTGATGGGTAAAAATTCTTACTTTTAACCTGCATATTACCAAAATACACCACTATATAAGGCCCAGCGATCCCACCCCCATTTTCTCTCTTCATATGACCTTCCAAGTTTTATACACATGATGAAGTCTTGCGTGCATCATACAATTCCCCTGAGGTTGAGTTGGCATTAGTCGATTCCTTTGGAAATGGTCCGTACGGACTGTTGGGTTTTAATGGTGAAAGTGTTTGGCGCAACCATCTTGTTACAACACACAAACGCTGAAAGAGTTTCTGACCCTAATTTGGACCGTAGAAGTGGTAAAAGAAGTAAACGAGTAGACTGTGCGAGATGAGATGTCATCAATGGCAATTGAACAACTCGAAGCTCTTGATAAGAATGATGACGAGGCGAAACTTCAGAAATAACCAACCAACTTTAGAAATTGAGATGAACATCTTATGTGACGATTCATGTTCGAAGATTCTGGTTGTCGACTTATTGACCATCTTCTCGAAGTACGTTTACCATGTGCGATGAGAACAGCTTAGCATCGAAAATGTCAATGTTATCATTGTGTCAGAGATCATATCAGTAATGTCCAATTTAACTGAAGACTTCAACAACATGCATCTCAACATCCCTACTGGAACTTTTCTTTGAGTGACTTGACGGGAATTCTTACTTCTAGAGTCATTATTGTATCAACTCTCTCTACTCAGTAAGCCCAATATTTTCACACAAGCCTACTGACTTCACAACCAATCCCAACTACATCTATCGTCGCTACTATTTGTATTGATTATGTTATACAGCTTAAATGAAGGTCTCGTAAGCAACAGGAGCCAAAAGCTGTGGGATGTTACCCTCGGTACCAACAACCTTGGCCTCTCTTGGCTGAGCTGGTTGTCTCTTCAAAGACACCTGCTCACCCTTCTCCTTGGCCTCCTTCTTCAAAGCAGCGTTGGACTTGACTCTGTTCAAGAACTCCTGACGACAAGCAGAGTGCTTGACGTGCTCAACTCTCAAGTTGACCTTCTTCTCAATGTATCTGTTACCAACAACCTTGTTGACAATGACACCAACAGAAGACTTGGTAACGTTGTAGACGATACCGGTCTTACCGTGGTAGTACTTGTGAGGCATACCCTTTTGGATAGAACCGTTGGCCTTGATGTCGACAATGTCTCCAACCTTGTAGACCTTCAAGTAGGTGCTCAAAGGAATGGCACCGTGCTTCTTGAAGTCACGCTGGAACATGTAACGAGTACCGGATCTGTAACCACGACTATTATGTTAGTAAATATTTCGACAATGAAGAACGAGTGGGAATATGCTATTTTCGAGGGGTTTTTGATGGACAAAAGTCAAAGGGGGAGGGACTCTTCATTCTTCGTAACTGAATTCATGCTCTCTGTATTCTCTATGGATCTCTCATAGGTCATTTGAAGCTCGCTAACTTCAACAGAAATCTCAACATAAAACTCTAGGAAAACTCGACAAACTCTGGATGGAATGCTAATATTTTCTGAAAGTTCCACGGCCATATTCAAATCCACATCGTCTCACGGTGTAATGCTAGGGACACATACGATTTACCCATTTTTCTATAGTGCTGTTGTAACTAGGAGAGGAAGATTCGAAATTTTTTCGTGAGGATAGACAAAATTTTCCACACTGCACAGGGTGTGCGGGTGTGCAGATAGTCGATATTCTCGCGGGATAGTCGGTTCACGTGATTAGCGAGATGTTGAGGGCAAGAACCCTAATTAGGTTGGGGTCATTGCCCCGGGAGGGATTTAGATAAAATTGGTTATTTCTTGAAGTTAATGAGAATATTGTGGTAGATTGAAAATGATTTTATTTTTTTGGAGAGCGTTGTGAGATTGTCGGTGTTGAAATCGTTGGGGGGTATGTGATCGAGAGTAGCTAATGGAAGTGTTGATACAGTGTAACCATACACAATCAGACAGAGATGAATAAGGTGGAGTTCTAATGACCAGTATTTCCTCTGATAGTAGACTGTTGAATTTTGAAGTCTAATCTCCCAGGGAAGTGTACTACCCCAAGTAAATTCATTGTACCTCTACATATATGGCATTATGTCTCTATCTCTATACTTTCAAGCTTAGGATTAACCACAAGTCTATGGAAATCAGCCGATTTCCATCATTCATCAATGGATTACAAAATCAGAATCAGAAATCCAAATCGACTCCATGTACACTTACACTTAGGAGTTCCATCAGAGCTCCACTAATACTCCGGTACACAGGCAATTCAAGAGATGATCATCTCTATTCAAGATGTCAAAAACCAAAATCTTGGTCGTATATCCTGACCCGGACTCTCTTGATAAAGTCATTGAAAAAGCCAATTTCCAGCATGCCAAGAATGGTCCATTTGAGGCGGTATTGATGCTCGGGGACAATATAATTCCCACTCCTCCATCTATAAAGCCTGAGGTGCCAACCTATTTCTGTGGAGAAATTGAAGGTGAAGGCTCATTGGTTGATGTTGCCGAAAACTTCATTTGTGTTAAGAAATCTTGGGCGAAGGTGAAGCTTCAATCGGGAATTACCCTTGGTTTTCTCAACAAAGCTGGAACTGATGAGATTCCATCGGAAGTGGATATCCTAGTTTCTTACTATTGGGCATTTGGCGTGGCCAAAACACAGCAGCTCACTTTGGTTGGAAACAGAAAGGTTGACGAAGTCGTGGCGGCTGCCAGACCACGCTATCATTTCGCTGTTGGAACAGAACAAGGAAGATTCTATGAGCATCCGGTATTTGCATGGGACAAGACCAGAAGCTCCCGATTTATCTCTCTAGGTCAGGAAGGATCAGGGATCAAATGGTTCTATGCATTTGCAATCGACAACTCTGACGACGATATCTCCAAAACGGGGCCCAATCCTTTTGAATTCAAAAGATCACGAGAAGAATCCGTGGGTCCAGACGAGGACAAACAAGCAAATCATGCTGGGCCACTAGAGAAGCTAACCAGCATTAATTCCCTGGAGGAAAGACCGACCAAAAGAATGAAGGTGGTTGCTCCCTCGGAATGTTACTTCTGTCTCTCCAATCCTAAACTTGAGGCTCACATGATCATCGCCATAGGCTCTCACTCGTACGTGACTATCGCCAAAGGTCCACTTCCACGTCCCACCAAAAGCCGTGACTTTTCTGGCCATGCAATCATTATTCCGATAGACCACGGACCAACTCTTCCGTCTCCATTGAAGGACTCTTTAGCATTCAAGGAAATCAACCAGTTCAAGACTGCGTTGGCCAAAGCATTTTTATCTACCTCACATGCTACCGTGTTTTACGAGATTAGTAGATCAGAAAATGTTCACTTCCATGTGCAAATGGTGCCTGTTCCGTTGGACAACGCACAAGGGGTATTCGAGAATGCCCTCGCAGACAGAACAAAAGTAAACAACGAGAGGTTCGAGCGGAATCTCCAATTGAAATTCATAAAGTTTGATGAGGAAGACGAGAATTACTGGTCTCTTCTTGATAGTGGAAACTACCTAAAGTTCTCTCTATACCAGAAAGATAAAGTTGTGCATTACATAGCTCAGTTATCAGGAACCTTATCACTTGATCTCCAGTTTCCCCGAAGAGTTCTAGCCTTCCATCTTCGAAGCCCCAAAAGAATTTATTGGGAAAAATGCCGACAAACAGTTGCACAAGAAACCACTGATTGCGAGAAGTTCAAGAAGTTCTTCAAAAGCTACGACTTTTCCCAGTGAAATGACCTGAAAATGCCTTACCTATGTACTAATGCTAATATTTTTTCTTTTGATGCCAATTGGTTCTCATTTTCTTCACCTCTGAAGTATTTTACTTGTCAAGTATCCAACCTTTTAATCTTTTGAGCTTTCTTCAACACATCTAGTGCATCCACAAATGAAAAACCACTCACCCAATGCTTCTCTACGCACTTCAACTGAATCCTCCGGTCTGATTCCATAACTGATGCATAATTCTGTGCCTGGCTCAATGTCTTCAGTAGTGACATATTCGTAACTTGCTCCGTCTCTGATTTTCGTCACGTTGCACCTACAAGAGTGGTTAAAGAACGAACCAGACGGATAGACTCCAAACCCAAAGAATTCACGCTCTTCGTTCTCTTGCGTGGTTGGTGACCAGACTCCAAATGCATTGGTGAGGTTCCTGCCAATGATATTGCGGACCTTCTGTGGATTTGTGAATGGAAGGAATTCATGCGGAATGACCAATCTCACAAACTTATAGATGTTAATATATGCAATAAGAAGGTACGGGTAACGTTTGACCTTATCTATTTCGCTGGAATAAAGGATTTCCAAGACTTTCTTCTCGAAGGTCAATTGCTCGTCTTCATCCATATCTGATATAAGCAGTTTGGTCATATATGTGGACTTTTCTTCCCGATAGTAGTTGTATAGTGTCATGATAATGTATCTGATCTCCGTGTAATCATCGGAGGTGACAGTTGGAAGCTGGCGGAATCGCTTAGTAGGCTTCATTTTCGAGATTTTGGATTCCCATTCAGTGACCTCAGCCCATTTGTCATCCATGACACGAAGAAGTTCTTCTTCGCTTTCTGGAACTCCATTCTCGTCAATATCTCCCTGACACCTGACGTACAAGTCTTCCATGCGTACTAGTGTGTCTGCCAATATACTGTCTGGGTCATAGTTGCAAAACTCATTCTGGCATTTCTCCGAACAAAAGTATATTTTCTGCTGTATCTTATATTTTAGGGTTCTTCCATCCATGTAAGTGAAACACCAGGTGCATACCTCCTTACGGAACGCACGGGTCACGGCACTTCCTATGGGTCTCCTAGCAGTAAGAATACTTGTACCTTTGGAGATAGCACCATGTGCAAAGCATCCACGACCACCGTAGCTAGTGGTCTTAACTTCAAAAGCAGATGATATTTTGTCCAAAAGCACCTTTTCTTCCGACTCGTGTACCTCTTCTCCAGAGCTGTCAGTGGCTTCGACCTCATCTGTCTCTTCGATGATTTCTCCAGCTTTCACGACACCACGTGGATTCAAGTTCGTTGACAAAGATAGCATAGTTATCTCGCCACAAATATTTGAATTCGATATTGGTTCAGGAATAGACGGCATGATAAGACGAGCAATGCGTGTTAGAGAAGGTTGTTTAATTCGAAAGTGATAATAACGATTTTCTCATCGCAGCCGAAACATGCAGATGACATGTGCGTGCATGAAGGCACTGAATACGAGATTTCAAGAACTTCTCATTTGCAAAACCTTCATAAACTTGATCCCTAAAAGTTCCAGAATGCCGGGAGTAATAATAAGAGGTTCTTATTCTAAACAACTTCAGCAAATCGTAGAAACTATAACATACGATATCTACACATATACATATTCAGTTATTAGAAGGGCCAGGGCTTCTGCTAATTAACCTTATCAATTGGTCTAATACCAGAATATACAATATATATTGAAAGTCACCAGAATATTTAAGTCACTAATTGAAGCAGACATCACCAATCTTATACCAGATCTTCCACAACAAGCCTTCCTTTCTTGGAACGGTGGCAAGATACTCCTTCTCAAGCATCTCCTCCTCATCGATCTCGGCCTTACCAGTGGTGAGATCGGCCTCTAAGTCACTTCTCCAGTGGGTCTTGTGCCAGAACTTCCAGCCAAGATAGAGAATAATGGCGAAAATAGGGGCAAAGTAAGAGGTGAACAAGTTAGCCACAGAAAACTGGCCGGGGAAGAAAATCCAGAAACCGTTGAAGAAAAGAACCAAGAAGTTGAAGAGAGCACCCCAGTACATCAACCATGGAGTGCACCACTTTGGAACCTTGTAGAAAGTATCCTCTTGCTGGTCCAAGTCCTGGGCCTTAACTGCCTTTTTGAACTTGAAGTAACACAACCACATGACAAAGTAAGTGGACAAGATACCAGTGGTGGCCAAGTTAATGAACCAGTTGAAAACCTCGTTGGAAGACTTTCCAACACTCATGTAGGATAAGCATCCAATGAGCATGGAGAAAGACACAGCCACGATAGGACATCCGTTCTTCAAACATTTGGCGAAGATTCTGGGCAAGTAGCCGGCCAAAGCAGCAGAGTAAGCACTTCTGGCGGCACCGTAGGTAAAACCGTTACCACAAGACCAGGCAGAGGTCATCACAACAGCGTTGACCAAGGAGTCCAAGCCGTGAACACCCACGGTCTTGATACCAATAACCCATGGAGAAGAGGCAGCACCAGATCTTCCACTAGAGATGGCAGCGTCCAAGAGAGGGTTGTTGGAGGCACAAAGGGCATTCATGAAGAAAATACCACCAATGTAGAACAAGTAGATTCTGATGTAAGTTCTCTTAGCAGCAATGGCGATGTTTTTACGGGGCAAAGAGATTTCACCGGAAACCATACCCAACAAGTCAGCACCACCACATGCGAAGGCAGCGTAAACCAAGACGTTCCAAAGACCCAAGAATCTTCCGGTGGCACCAGGGACAAGGTAAGACTTCATAAGTCCACCCTCTTTCCAGTTCTTGAAGCCCAAAACCTCACCAGAAGGGTTACCACCGCACATGGCAATCAAACCAAAGAACATCAATCCCACAATCAAGAGCACCTTAAGAATAGAAGAATAAAATTCGATTTCGCCGTACCAGTTGACACCGAAAACGTTGAAGAACAAAATGGACACCAAACCGATGGTGATGAAGATGGCAGGCAGCGCATCAGTCCAGTAGCTGATGACGGAAGCAAAAGCAACAATTTCCACACAAATAAACATAAGCGAGGTGTACAAGTAGATGATAGTGACTGCAAAACCCATAGCTGGATCCAACCATCTAGCAGCGAAATGCAAAAAGGAACCTTTGAGAGGCAAGTAGGAGCACATTTCTCCCACAGCTTGCATCAATGGCCAAACCATAGTACAAGCCCAGGCCACGAAGGCAAGGAACAATGAAAGAGAACCTGAAGTCCTAAGTGGAGTTTTCAAACCGATAAACAAACCAGTACCGATGGACTGACCGATAATCATTAATGAGACATGACGAGAAGACAACTTTCTCTTTGTCGTACCATATTTGGCAACATCATACTGGTCATGGAAATCGGCAGCGCCCGAGGCAATATAATCTCTGTTAGGAGTGGCGACATTTTCGATGTCGACGCTGAACGACGACTGTTTAGTTTCTTTCTCCATGTTGAGCCTGCTCAGGTGGAGATAAATGGAAGAATGACCAATGAGAGAAAACTAATGCAAGATGCGAAAAGCTTTTGCAGAGGATTTCAGGTGAGTGATGCTAGACTTTTTGAAAGATGCTAAACCTATGAAAGTGTGCACCAAGTGTCTTTGCGATGAAACTAAAAAAGCACTTGATAACCTGGCAGTATACGTCACTTTTATAATTTTTCCCCAGATCGAGATAGCACACAATCAGGCATGGGGAAACCGAAAGTTTCATGGTTGATAAGCGGTGTGCTGCAGGAACTTTACTTCTTTTGGGCCGGACCGCTAAGATTTCTTTTTTTTTATTCGCGGGCTTAACCTTCGTAAAGATGACGAGAGATAAGAAATAGATGGTGAGGCTACGACGGTTTTATCAAGGGGCATGTAATGGAATTAAAGAGGCCACCAATGTCCCAAATAGTTTCTTTAAAACTTTTGAAAGATATTGTCCTTTACAGGGAAACTCACGGCGATGGTTCGGCCCTAATTATTAAAGTCCAGTCAATGGAAGAATGTTAGTTGGGGAATGTAGCAGGGTCACAGAAAGCAGGAAATCACCTACTAAGAACAGGAAAATGGCCCCAGAAGCAGGATAGTCGTCCGCGAATCGCGCGCCATGTAGGTCAGAAAGGGCATCACACCCGCAGTGCGACAGCCGCTTTGTTGTACGTACGTGCACGATCATGTTCCAATAGGCCCAGTTAGCAAAAGGCGTGTCCTGCTCCACGGCGTTCGGCAAGTGCCGCATTAAACCGTTTGACTCGGAAGCGCTAAAGGGTTGGCTCGGAAGGTCCGAGAGTTTAGAGCTTTTGAACAAGATCTGTGGGGTCAGAAAACCATTTTGAAAAAGATAACGAGTTTCAACTCGATAATGGGAAGACGGAATTGGCTTACAGAAGAAGGGTTGCATTGGGTGCGGAATTGCGCATTGTTGGGAGCCTGACCGCCTCGGAAAAAAAAAAGACCAGATTTGGAATGAACTTTTCTAGAAAGCTAATATGCCCATGAATCCATGAAAACTGGACTTTTTTTTTTTGTTTTGCAACCCGCCGCAAACGCTCGGCCCAAAGTCCTTATGGCTTAGCGGCTTGGTGTCGATTGAAGTGCTATATCCAGGACGGAGTTGTAATGCCGGTGTGGTTGCTCGGTGTTTTCGTGCAAGTTCCCGATTGCTCTATTAATCAGGTCATGTAGGTATACATTTGGCGGTCAGAAGGATGAAATGAAAGATTGCGGGTGACCTCTGGCAGTATTTGGCAGATTTTGGCGGATATTGGCGGTTTGTGGGTGGTTTCTTTTAGGCGGGCTCATAGCGGGTAGACTTTAGAAGTGGGGCATGCCTAACGCCTTTGTAGTCAGTCTCTCGGAAACAGGGTTTCGTCTTTTAGAAAAGGTGAAAAGTAGGCAATTTGAACTATTTTGTATTTATGGTGAATTTGAAACATACAATGTATTCCGGAGATAATTTTGACAATGTTGGAGTGAGTCGTGATTATTTGTTAATATATATGAAGATTCCGTTTGAATGAGTGGTGTTTAGTTTGCTCTTTGATGATTTTTAATAAAAGGAAGACTCAAGAGCTAAAAAAGCAAACGGAGTGTTCAAAAAGTTTTGTTATACGTTGTCATAAATCTCCACATGTGCCAGTTTACGAATATTAATGAAGATCCTGAAGACATGAGTCAGAGAATAAACAAATGCTTGGAAGGTCCGTTTATTAAATTAATGACTCGAAATGGTCTATCAGATATTTGCGGCATCAAATCCATAAGCTCTGGAGACATTGGGTGGTTTGTGACAAAGAATCTAATACTTCTCATAATTCATTGGATATCGCTGGAGACATTCTCAATACCTTACAAGTCCAGAACGACTTGAATGCGTGTCGTCTTTGCTTGGTCAAGGAACTAACCTCGATTTCTGTATTACAAATGAATCATTCCTGATACCATTCGTTTGACTGAAGAATAACAATCATTGCACAAATGTTTAAGACATTAGAAGAGAACTTCCTAATTCCTTCGTTCTCCAAAATTTGAGATTCCATACTACTTGAATTCTTTCAACTTAAATTGGAAAGAACTGGTGAGTTTTCGTCTTGAATGGGGTTAAGAGTCCAAAAAAAAAAATGCACTTCTTGATGGAAAACAGATGTTGCAATATGGTATGTTAACTGTTCGAGTAAGAAAGCAGACATGATAATTTCAAGAAGTGCCAACCAACTCAGAAACCAAAACATACATCTGTCAATGGACTGTAAGCAATTACGAAAGAAAGAAGAGCGATAACGTTGATGAAGCAACTTCTCGAAATGAACAACGTTCGGAGCAATCAGAAATAGATGAAATAGCCCAAGTTCCTCAAGTTTCTGGTTTGCAAAGTGTGGATGCCACTCAGTTAGCTTCATTTCAATTTCCATACTAAGACAGTTGGAAGTCTCAGACGCTTGCTCTTTGATGTGCAAAATGACTTGGAAAATGGCTTAAACGAAGAAAAGGTCCATAAGCACCCATAGAGGCTGTATTCTTTTCTATTTTTTGTCTCTGTAACAGCCAAAGAGAATCAATTCCTCCAATAGGGTTCTATTTCCATCATCACTAGTCCAATAGCAGGGCCCATATCTTCACAATTACCAAATCACAAGAATGTTGCAAAAATTCTGATCATCAATCCTTCGGTATCTCAGTCCGGTCTGTACAGAATTACTATTTAGCCAATTCCGCTGTTTGAGCAGATAAGAAGCCGAGATAGTAATTCCGTGTTATATGAAGATAAGCGAGTTGAGAAGGGAAATTAAGAGCGAATTTGGCCATCATTCCTCTCAAGCTACAAGGTACATCCCCTGAACAATATATATGACGCGGAATAGGATGAAATCAGATAGCAATGGCTCGATTCCATCCCAATTCTGTGGTTGTGATACAATGAGTCGCTCCAGTCACTATAGAGAGGAATGATATCCATGTCTTCTCACCAATTTCTGGAATAATTTGATCCTTGATTTACGTTGGGAGTTTACTAAACGGACTATCTTGTTCAAGAGTCAAATTTCCATCAATATTGTTGGAGACTGGCTATTCTTGCAGAGAGTTATGAATAATGGAAACTTCAGGTTATGAATTGATTGAACGAATGCTCCAATGACTCTGCTTTTCCAGAGGAATTGGCTGAAAATTCAGGTGCTCTAAAAATCCACCAAAGTGATTTGATACAAATCCATTCTGTCCAAATCCATAGTCATGGGAAAGTCAATGAGAACATGGCAAGTCGTGAGAAATCATCATCCCCAGATGCACCATCGTTTACTTATCTCCAGCCAAGGGTCCCCCCACATTTACCACATGGTCCGATTGGATTCTCCAAATTGGAGGTGGATTATGCATGCCAGTATTTATTCCACTACTTTACATCATTTCTAAATGGGGACAAGACCATCCGCTGCAATGACTCTACATGACCAGACTTGGATCTACAATAGCCCAACAATGCCCCACTACAATGGCGTGAATGAAAAGAATTTCACCCAAAGCTGCCGTTGGGAGCCTAATCATGCTATTCGGGCCGTTGAACTAAGACGAATTCTGTGGAGAAAGACTTAGTTCTCCCCTCTCAAAAGCCATCTCCCGTTCAGGAACAGCCAGACAAATGCCGTACAACCTGTCATGAGGAGTCGCCAAGAGACTCCATGTGCCAGAACTGGACGACAATGCCAGATAGCTGGGTGAGTATGCCAGATACACCACCAGTGCTTACAGAAACCACTCCGGGGCCTACATGTTCAAGCGAGCATCGATCCGATGTCGTCCCCGGTGGGGTTGCCAATTTGTCGCAAAATATAAGCCATGTCTATCAATTGACAAAAAGAAACTATTCATGTTGATTTCCTTGGCCATTTCCACATATTGCTAAGTCTTCAGCGAAGAACGATACAAAGTGACCCGTTTAGGCAAGCAATGACATTAGAGAATGCGAGTAAATAATATCAGTGATTGACGAGGGAAAAAAACAAAGGTAAAAAGGCAAAAAGGCACAAGGCAAAAAAAGAAAATTTTGCAAATACTACAATGGGCATGTTTTCAGCCTTATCAAGAGGGGCCAACAGTCAAAGACCCCCATCGACTGCACACAGATGAAGGCTTTTTTGTTTTCGGTATTATGTCGCGGGGCATTATTACGCGGAGAGAGAATGACCATCCTCCGCACGCTGAGAAAAGCAAGCGGATGGGACAACCTATCCGGGACGATCAGGCAAGAATGGAAGATGAAGCTAAGTGGGGGCAGGCAACCGAAAATTGTGCTTTGAGATAAACATGTGACGTCGACCAAGAAATCGTTTCACAGAAAAAGTAATGCGATGGCGGAAGAATATCACACTTGTGCATTGGCAGAAGATCCAATTATTCCGATACCTTATCCCATCAGACCAGTTATCCGCGAGAGCGCCGGATGATAAGAAGATATGAAACAGGCATGAGCTTCAGATACCGTCCCTGCACGATATATCATTACGGTTTTGCAAAGTCACTAAAATACTGCCGCTAGTTGGTTGCTCCAGTGCTCACGCCTGGTTATGCTCGCAATGCCGCAGATGCTTATCATTGCCACATGTGCCTGTGTACACGCCATGCATAGAACTCACTATTTTCTTGGCGAGCCCCGCCATAATGAAGCGACTCTAAATGATACCCATCATTCAAATAGCTACCAAATCGCAAGGTTTGTAATTTTATCCATTTCTCCTTACTTTTTCCCCTCGCGATGAAAGATTTTGAAAAACAGGTGGACTACGATGATGTCCTCTCGCGCCACACCGCCGAGTACAACTTGTCGGTGTCGATGTCCAATCCTCAGTTGCATGCTCAGGTTGAAGAGGGCCAGGAATTGAAGAAAGCCTTGGAGGCCAGACATTTGTCTATGATTGCAATTGGTGGTGCCTTGGGTACTGGTTTGTTGATTGGTACCGGTTCGGCTTTGAGAACCGCTGGTCCAGGTGCTGTCTTCATTACTTACTCGCTCATTGGTTTCGTCGTTTTTATGGTTTTGTCTGGCTTAGGTGAAGTTGCTACTTTTATTCCTTTGGCTGATGGTTTTGCTGGTTACTGTACTAGATACGTTGACGAGGCCCTTGGTTTCGCTTGTGGCTGGGTTTATTTGATGAAGTACTTGTTGATTCCTGCAAACCAGTTGGTTGCTGGTTCGCTTGTGATGAGTTTCTGGGTTTCAAAGGATACCGTTAACCCCGGTGTTTGGATTGCAGTGTTTTTGATAATTATCATCGTTATTAATGTTCTCGGTGTCCGTTTCTTTGGTGAAATCGAGTTTTGGTTATCTTGTCTCAAAGTGTTGACCTGTTTGGGTCTCATCATCTTGTTGTTGGTCATTGCCTTGGGTGGTGGTCCAACAAAGGAGAGACTTGGCTTCCGTTACTGGAGAGACCCTGGTGCATTCAAGGCATACTCCGAGAAGAGAAGCTCTACTTACACATTGAAGGTTGAAGGTGGTCTTGGCCGTTTTGTTTCCTTCTTGTCTGTGCTTGTTACCGCCATTTTTGCATACATGGGTTCTGAGTTGGTTGGTATCACGTTCGCCGAGTGTGCAAGACCAAGACAGGCCATTCCAAAGGCTATCAAGTTGACCTTCTACCGTATTTTGCTTTTCTACATTTGTTCCGTGTTGTTCTTGGGTATGTGTGTGTCTTCTGGAGACCAAGGTCTTTTGGGAGCCAAAGGTTCTACTGCTAATGCCTCTCCATTCGTCATTGCTATCAAGAACGCTAAGATCAAGGGCTTAGATCACGTCATCAACGGCTGTATCTTGCTTTTCGTCTTGTCTGCTGCCAACTCCGACTTGTACATTTGCTCCAGAACCATCTACGGTCTTGCTGTCGGTGGATACGCACCTAAGATCTTTGCTAAGACTAACAGAAACGGTGTGCCATACTACGGTATCCTCTTGGGATCGCTTTTCTGTTGCTTGGCATTCATGACTACGTCGTCTTCTGCTTCCGATATTTTCACCTACTTCGTTAATGTTGTGTCATTGACCGGTTTGATTACTTGGTCGTGCATTCTTTTCCTCCACATCAGATTTATGAGAGCATTGAAGGTGCAAGGACTTGACAGAAAGAGAGACTTGGCCTACCGTTCGCCATTCCAGCCATTCGGATCTTACGTGTCGTTTGCCATTTGTATTCTCCTCATATTGATCAAGAACTTCACCGTTTTCTTGGGTAAGGAATTCCCTTACAAGACTTTCATCACTGGATATATCATCCTTCCAGTGTTCCTTTTGATGTTCTTTGGATACAAGTTCACAAAGAAGACCAGAATGATTCCATCGCTGCAGGTGGACTTGAACACCTATAGAGATGTTGTTGATGCTGAGGAGGAGAAGTTCCGTCTTCAGGATGAGGAAGACAGAGCTATTAGAGAAGCCCAGGGTAACCCCAAGGACTTCAAGTGGTTCTACGAGAAGTGTTTTGGCTGGATTTTCTAGAGAGTATTCTAGAGAGTTATTTAGGATACGACTGCGTCGTGTATATTTTAATTGAGATGAATATGAAAATCACTTACGAGATTCGGGTAGTGGAATACGCCAATTGATACATCCGGATAGAAGAGATTCGCGGACATTGAACCCCATCCTAATGTGACAGGTGCACAAAAAAATAACCCATGTCAAAGCAGGTACTTGCAGGACAGAAACAAAATGCCTTGCATATTCGACGGATGCCAAGGAAACACCTCAGAGACATCTGCATGTAGCCACCACCTTTTAAGGCATTTTACAACGTTGTTATCTGAAAGGTTTGTGGCATAAGGCCAAGAAACGGCATTTGTGATATTTTCAATGCAATTGATAGACAACGATAAACAATAAAAAAAAGTGCTTGTATGTAGCTTTGATGGCGGGGTGGTGAATGGTTAGGTGGAGTGTGCATTAGTCTCGAAATGACGTTCTTTTGATTGGCTTTCAATTATAGTTTTGAAGGATGATTGGGCAACCGTAGCTTCTAAAATCTGATGAGGAAAATAAGATAGTAACCGTGGACTCGGGGTATGAGATGACATGGGGGTAGGCAAGTGTGAGTTGCCGTGAGCCGTGATAAGATATTCCGTGACTAGATTTTTATGAGATATTTTATAAGTTATTCAATGCGATGTTAAGGTGTTATTCCATGAGTGTTAATGAGGCATTCAATGGGTGTTTATGAGGCATTCAATGAGATGTTCAATGTGAAAATTTCCAAGAAGTTGGGCTAGATAGAATTTTTGCAATGATGGAGAAGTATTAGTGAATAGTTGGATCATGAACATATTAAACAGTTGGTCGGTCCAATATTATACACAGGGGCCATAGAAATGGTTAAGAAGTATTGCGTATTTTGTACTATACTGAGAAACTCAAAAGACATTTCGAAGTAGAGGTAATGTTGGAAAGGATATAAAATCCAATAAGAAATCCCGGAATGTACCAACGTACACAAGCAGATGTTGGCTATATGGATATTTGTGGTGACACTAAGAACTCAGCATCAATAATCGTTCAATCCTTCAATAAACAAATTGAAACTCAGGGCTCGAAAGTAAATAGACAACTTGAGAGTTTGAGGAATTCAGAGGATTCGAGCAACTCGTTTTGTCCGAATTACATCAATGGAATAATGTATCGAAGTATCACTCATTAATTGGTATGGACAATGGTTTAACGAACTTTTTAGCGAAGAATGGCTTGTTCAGTTGAAAATTAGTACATTAGTAGGAAGTAACGGATTTAATGTGCATTTATGGTAGATTCAGATTAGTTGTGGAAAAGTCCGATAACGGCTCATTGTTTAAAACAGTTAGATTTAACCTCAAATTAGGTTTCTAGACTCAACGACGACTATTGGCCAATGGTAATGATTGGCCATTACAACAATGTAACTACCACCAATGTCCTGCTAGCCAATCATACTAAATACCCCATTATAAACTGGAATCAATTGACTAATTCCAATTAAACCTTAGAACCAAAAAAAAAAAAAACACCCCACATTATAGTAGCAATGATAGTTGGGGGTAATAAACGGGATTGACAACCTCATTCACGTGATGTAAGATCACGTGAACAAAAATCCATTACTGCGCGATCGATCTATAAAGAAAATACCCACCATACCAGAGATTCACATAGCTAAATCTTCCTCCTCCCCCAAGGCAAATCGTCAAAAGTGTCACGCCCCCAAATCCAATGAACTCGAGTGGCTTGGCCAACAACGCCCTCGCCGGTACATCTTTGACGCGCATGGATGCCCTTCGTGCCCACGGTGGTGTCCCTACTGGAGTTGGTGGAGTATCTCCCGTGGATGACAACGCCATGGTGCCGCAAAACGCCGATTCAAATAGCCACGGCCAACATCTGAACCATCAAAACCACTCCTCCCACAATAACCAACATCTGCACCTCCCGCACCACCTTCAGCATCAGCAGAATCACGATTCACACCACCAGGGTGGATTTCTGCAAGTTCTGGCTCGCCAGAGCTCCATGGCGCCATACGAATCGTTTGGCAAGGTATCCGACACCATTTCCAAGCTTGAGAATGAGCTTGCGTCCGTGGGTCAGGAAATGGGCTACTTGCGCCATGTGGTGGATTTCCAGAATCAGAGAATTGATAAGCTCACCCAGCTTCTACTAGACATAATCAACAACAAGGACGTATCGCCTATTATCATCAATCTGCTACAATCCATTCAGACGAGTGATGCATTCAATGTGGATGATTCTCACGATTCCGTCGACGACTCAGTTCGTGACTCCGTTCACGATCTGGTTCACGACTCCGTGCACGATGTGGCACTGGCCATCCCGTCGCTACTGACACTGGGAGTAGTCTCTGTTCCGGGCGTCGGGAATGTGCTGGGTGTGCTGTTGGATAGCAATATGGATCCACAACTCCATCAGGTGGCTCAGGCCGCAGTTCAGGCGCAGTCCACATCCAAGGTGGACATTCTCGATGACAAAAAGAATCGCAAACGGCCGTTCGGTAAGATTAATGGTAATTCCGTGGGTGTGGATCGTCTTTCAAAACATCAGCTGCAACAGCAGGCCAATCTGGGCCAATCACATCTTTCCAAGCAACTGCAACAGCTGCAGCAACAACAACAACAACAGCAACAACAACAGCAACAACAGTCCGTGCCCAAGGAGAGTATGGTAAATATGCCTGGGCTAGAAGTGGTCAATGTGGACAGTATGGCAGGACGCAAGAAGCCTAAAGTGTCTATTGATTTTCTTCACAACCCTATGACTGTAAAGGAGATTTACGACGAATTTACGAAGGGTTTTCGGGGACAGATTCCTCTCCGAGAAATGGACGAACGTTTTGGCAAACACGAATGGCGTGGCGACTCGCGGTCCAAAGAATCCAAGCGGTTCCAACGGAGGAAAAAACTCTGCGATGCCATCGAGAGAGGCATGGGTAAGTACGGCAAATCTGCGGAAGAAATTATCAGCTACATCGAAGAGTTTCGCGGTGACAAGTCGTTGACGTGGGTTATGAATGGAAATCTACCCCGAGACTTGATGGAATGAGAAGCAAAAAGATGATGAAAAGCAGAGAAAGTCTTCACGGAGTGGGATTAACGAAGGAGACCAAACAAGGGGATGTACGAAGGAGTATAAAACAAAGGAGAGGACTAACAGAGGAAAAAGCGGCGGTAAGAGAAGAAAGTGATTGGTTGATTTCCAACCATTATGACTGCGATGATTGACGATGTTGGGTGACAGACAAATGAGCTTGCTGTCTTGTATTCTATTTAATTTTCTATATTGTATTCGTAATGTATTATGAAAGGCTGGTGTGCTACGAATGATGTAAGTTATGGGAGGCCTGAGAATCAAGATACAGAAACAGCATATATCTTCAACTAGACTGGTCGGTTTGATAATTATCTTGATATGTATCCACACGAGAGAGCTAGCAATAAGCAAATGAATAACGGGGGAAAATATGAAGATCAAAGTGTTTATCAAAGAAGTTTTGAGAACTTTTTTTTTGGCGAATCGTCATTTGTTAATCCTTCCAACGTGAAAATGAAATAATAAGCTACAAGTATCTAATTATGTCATGAACAAATCATGAAGATCAAGTCAAAAAAACTGATTAAATAGTGGGATTGTTTACCGCGAATCACTGAATTCGAATATCGATCAATTTGATTTTTCATACATATATCTACCTTCTCCATGGTTTCATTTCCATGAACATTCTCCATATAAGACTCAATCTTCTTGAATCTTCTTTCTTTCCCCGGATTAATGTGGGCCCTGTAGCACATGACCATCGCTCACGTGACAAAAAGTTTCGATTGAAACCTGCACGTGACCATGACTATTAATTAGCAAACTTGCCGCAATTTTAACACCACAAGTTGAATTTTCAAAAGCTAATATCCATTTCCAAAGGTTTCTACACCCCTAATAACCTCAATAGACCCCTAATTCTCTCTCTTGTGCATAAGTCTCCATGGAACCCCACAGAAGTTTCTCGAAGCCAAAAGTCGCACGCCGGGTAACCCACAAATTTTTTCAATATAGAGCGCACAAGTCCCACCCAAGCAAAAATCCAAAAAATCAACTTTTTCTTTACTCGAAACATGTTGGCCGCTAGAAATTCCTACAAGAACGCCGCCAAGCGTTTTGTCCGTTTGCAGTCGACCTCGGCCCCATCCGGTCCTGTCATTGGTATCGATTTGGGTACCACCAACTCGGCCGTTGCCGTTATGGAAGGCAAGGTTCCTAAAATTATTGAGAACTCCGAGGGTGGTAGAACCACTCCATCCATCGTGGCTTTCACCAAGGATGGCGAACGTTTAGTTGGTATTCCAGCCAAGCGTCAAGCTGTGGTGAACCCAGAGAACACTCTTTTCGCTACCAAGAGATTGATTGGTAGAAGATTCGAGGACAAGGAGGTCCAGAGAGATCTCTCCCAGGTTCCATACAAGATTGTCAAGCACGACAACGGTGACGCCTGGATTGAGGCTCGTGGCCAGAAGTACTCGCCACAGCAGATTGGTGGTTTCGTTTTGAACAAGATGAAGGAGACTGCCGAGGCTTACATGGGTAAGCCAGTCAACAATGCCGTTGTCACTTGTCCTGCTTACTTTAACGACGCTCAGCGTCAGGCCACCAAGGACGCTGGTAAGATTGTTGGTTTGAACGTCATGAGAGTGGTTAACGAGCCAACCGCTGCCGCTTTGGCTTACGGTTTGGAGAAGAACGATGGTGAGGTTGTTGCCGTCTTCGACTTGGGTGGAGGTACTTTCGATATCTCCGTGTTGGACATTGGTGCTGGTGTCTTTGAGGTTAAGTCCACCAACGGTGACACCCACTTGGGTGGTGAGGACTTTGACATTGCTATCGTCAGAAACATTGTTGAGACTTTCAAGAAGGAGAGTGGTATTGACTTGGAGAAGGACAGAATGGCCATTCAGAGAATCAGAGAGGCCGCCGAGAAGGCCAAGATTGAGTTGTCCTCCACTGTTTCCACCGAGATCAACTTGCCTTTCATCACTGCTGATGCCTCTGGTCCAAAGCACATCAACCAGAAGATCACCAGAGCTCAGTTCGAGACCTTGGTTGAGCCTTTGATCAAGAGAACCATCGAGCCATGTAAGAAGGCTTTGAAGGATGCTGGTTTGAACACTTCCGACATCTCCGAGGTTATCTTGGTTGGTGGTATGTCCAGAATGCCAAAGGTTGTTGAGACCGTCAAGTCCATCTTTGGTAAGGAGCCATCCAAGGCTGTCAACCCAGATGAGGCTGTCGCTATGGGTGCTGCCATTCAGGGTGGTATCTTGGCCGGTGAGGTCAAGGATGTTGTCCTTTTGGATGTCACCCCATTGTCCTTGGGTATTGAGACCATGGGTGGTGTTTTCGCTAGATTGATCTCTAGAAACACCACCATCCCAGCTAAGAAGTCCCAAATCTTCTCCACTGCTTCCGCTGGTCAGACCTCTGTTGAGATCAGAGTGTTCCAGGGTGAGAGAGAGTTGACTAGAGACAACAAGTTGATTGGTAACTTCACTTTGTCTGGTATCCCACCAGCACCAAAGGGTGTCCCACAAATCGAGGTCACCTTCGACATTGACACCGATGGTATCATTAAGGTTTCCGCTCGTGACAAGGCCTCTAACAAGGACGCATCCATCACTGTTGCTGGTTCTTCTGGTTTGTCCGACTCTGAGATCGAGAAGATGGTCCAGGACGCTGAGAAGTTCGCTGAGTCCGACAAGGCCAGAAGAGAGGCTATTGAGAATGCCAACAGAGCCGACCAATTGTGTAACGACACCGAGAACTCTTTGAACGAATTCAAGGACAAGCTCGAGCAGGGTGACGCTGACAAGCTCAAGGAGCTCATCAGCTCTGTCAGAGAGATTGCCGTTAAGGCCCAGGCCGGTGAGGAGGTTGACGCCACTGAGTTGAAGAACAAGACCGAGGAGTTGCAGAACGAGTCCTTGAAGGTGTTCGAGAAATTGTACAAGAACAACGAGAACAACTCTAACGACTCTGAGCAGCAAAAATAAGCTATGACTAACGAATGACCAACACAAGGTTGATTGTTTACAGTTGGGCCTTTTCGCTTGTATATATTTTACTTATAATTAACCTGATAGTTATCCAATTTGTAGCTAGGTCTGTGCTAAATTGAGCCCCATGTTATAACCGTGAGATCGAGGTAGTCCCAGACTAGCCAGAACCATTTCCGCCAGTTCAATGCTCGAGTATCGAGAACTAGTATTTGTACGTGGATGTGGATGATGCGCAGCGCTCTCCGATGGATTCAGAGAGTATCGAGAACTTGTATCTGACTTGGGATGTCTTCTGACGGTTCCGTACTGGCTAGTCAAAGGACCAATTTGTGAATTTCCCAGATAAACAGACGTTCCCAGACTCAGTTGCGAGTCGGACTCGTAATCTAACATTTCGCCCAACATGGATCTTCTGTTGAGCACTCTATGGAGCTTTTCCACATTCAGATCTAACGTTTCAGCTTCAGAATCGATATCGGACTCAATTTCTGGCGACGACATATCTTCCTCCAGTACCTGTTCTTCCGAGACAGAAATCATTGATTCAGCCATGGAACGGCCGGAAATAGCCCTTTTACCAGAAGCAGACACTGATGGATACATTAGAGGAGAAGAATTGACGATGCTGGCATTGTGAGACGACACGATTTCACCCACTTGCTTCGAGTAGGCCGAAGGAAGCGATTGGTTCGCTAGAAGCATCTGAAAGACGGCTATTTCCTGACGTAATCTGATTCTCTGAGCCAAAACCCCAGCTAAGAAATGCCGCCACATTTCCTGGACTTCCTCCTTCTCCTTTTGGGCCTCAATCAGCATATCATTCAAATATTGTTTGAGTCCCAGCAGCGAATTGATGTGTGGAGGAGGTGGAGGTGCGTCGCTGTCGATCAGGAACGCGGCTTGTGATGGTGGAGTGATGAGGTGCTGCTGCTCAGCAAGAAATTGCAGGACATGAGTCCACTTACCTCTTCTCTCTGCTCTTCCAGGGTCCAAACTGATATGGCGGTCATCAGAAATGTCGATGACGCCTTTTCCCAACCTTGGATTGTTCACCGGAACAGAAATGGCGGCCGGACCCACCTTCGATCGAGACTTGTGCATACGGAAGGGGAAGCCTTTCTTCAGGCTGCGTGTTTTGGTCAGTGGCATCCGAGCAGTGGACGTGGCCCTCTTACTCTTAGAGACATAGTGGAGTATGGGTGCAAATTTTGCCCTAATCAGGGCCACAATTTTCTTCATGCGGATTCGAAGTCGGTACGCTAGACTTCCCTCCTTAGAACGAATGGCCTTTTGTCTGGTCAATGAATGCACGCTACTAGATTGAGGGAATACCTTGGATCTCCGAGATCTGGATTTCTTCAATCTGCTGCGCATGGTTGGAGGAGCCTCATCTAGCCTTGTGGAAAAAATGGTCGCCTGTGATCCCATCAGGTCGGAAATATCTCTTGAATTCTTAATTATGGATGAATTGGCAGGCCCGTGATCTCCGTCAACTATATTCTGATCTGCAATGAACTTGGAGAATCTTGGAGGTACTTGGTCGATGTTAGCAGCTTCGATCATGGACTTACCGGGGACTGTGGGGGTAATGTGAGATGTATTTGCAAACCTGGGGCTTGAAGTAGTAGAGATTTGGGCAGTATTGTTAGCCTCCTCAGTCTCTTGCGATCGATCATGAAGCAAGTCCACTGTATCAAATGATCCCTTGTAGTCCGAAATGTTATAGTATGGAATTGACATAGCAATGGAGACAGACAGATCTGTTTCAACCTCTAGATGGGCAGGTGGTGACCTAATCGCCCTAAGTCGCTGGGCATCGTATCCAGACCCTGGAGATTTGGGTGGGTGGCTATGGAGTAGTTCAGTATTGACCTCCGATTTGGTAAAGTCTGATTTGGCATCCAGGTAGCGCAGCCAATCTTGGGACATGATTGGGAATTGTTGAAGTTAATAAGCTTGATATAGTTAGGGGGCAAGAAATTTGGGAAGAAAAATCTCCTGGATCACTCCCGATGGTTTTATTGCAAATAGATGGCTGGCTCATCCAAATCGGGCGAGATGCATCCTCGATGCAGGTCCCGACCCCGGTTTCGCATTGGCCATGCGTGAGAAGTATGCACCGTGCAAATCATTGAGTAGTGTTAATTTAGGTTGGAGGAGTTGATTTTGTCCGGCTAGGGAAGATCAGTAGATGAAATTAGTTTCTTGTCTAATGTGCTTTGAGTACTTCAATGGGAAGTATTCTGACTTGAACCGCAATAATGATCGTTGCATGCCGAAAACCATGAATACATAACCAGCCTGTCCCCTGATTCATTATTTGATAAGACACTACCATTGTGGATAGAATGGTCGTTTTATCTACGGTTCAACTATTGGGAATATTCTTTGCACTATTTTCATTAAATACTCGCACCTAGTAGGTGTATCTGAAAGACTCGTTCTCGAAGTCGGTCAAATCGTTCCACACATTCTCTGTTTTTTCCTCCTCGTTCAATATGGACGTATCAGTGTTTCTCCTCTTATTTCTCAAGTAATAGATGCTGGCAATCACCAATGCTAACCCAAAACTGGCAGCTTGAGTTGCTAACATTGAAACCTTCGCCGGCTGAAAGTATGGTGCATCCTTGACTCGGTAAGACTGTGGTCCAGTGATGTTACCAATGGCAAAACCGATACTGATGTACAACGATGTGACTCCAATCTTCTTTGTGGAACCAGCCACATTAGCAGAAGCCCAGGAGTATACAATAGCCAATGGGGCTGTAATACAATTGATCATGTAGATTCCCACCAAAAGTCCTGCCTTGTTGGTTTTGGGTAAGTATGACATCAAGGCACCTCCACATATTGCTGGAAGCAAAAGCACACAGATGGCAATGTATCTGGTGGTACCTTTCATGATAAAATACGTGGAGATCCAAGAAGACATAATGCTGACTACACCAGAAGGCATGTTGAGCAAAGCTGCTTGTCTGGAGGTGAAGCCAAATGACATGATATCTTTCGCCGAGAAAGAAGAGATAGTGTTTGAGGAAAACGAAATGGTTGCGGAGATAATCAAGTAAAGCCAGCATTGAATGTCAAGCAACATCTCCTTAACTTGGTGAGGCTTGAATTTATGGGCATTAACCCCAATTTTTCCTTCGGTCAACTTTTCCAAAAGCACAAATTTCTCTTTGGGAGAAAGCTTCTTAGTGGTCAAAGGCTCGGAAGGAACGAAAAAAACAACGTAGATCCCGCATGCAATATTCATGAGTCCTACTACCAAGAACAATATTCTCCAGCCCTCAAAAGTGCTATCAACTAACTGGAAAAGATAGGATAACAACCCTCCGAAGATCTGACCAAAACCTAAACCAGAATAAAAAATACCGATTCTGAAGGCGGCTTGGGATCTGTTGTAAAAGTTTGTGGTGAGAAGAACAAGACAGGGAATTACTGATGCTTCTGCAAAACCCAAAAGAATTCTTAAGGCAAGCATGCCATGATAGTTCTGAACTGCAGCGCAGCACATGGTGCAAATCCCCCAGACAACAACGTTGAACCCCAACACCAAATGGACAGGAAATTTCTGCAAGAGAAATGCCTGAAAAAATTCTCCAACAATGTATGCAACGAAAAAGTAAGTGGCCAAGTTGGAGAACTGGTTACCTTGGAATTTCAAATCTTTGGGCATACCCATGACATTAGAGTAATTTAACGAAACCTTATCGAGGAATTGCAAAAAGTACACAAACAACATAGGAAATACAAGCATAATGTCCAATTTCCTAGTTATCTGCTTCATGGTCACCTCTTCGGGATGTGCTTCATGGTCAAAATTATGGAGATAGTCCAAGTTCTTGTTGCCCGTGGAAACGTACTTGTCAGCCTCTGAACTTCCAAGGCTCTCGATTTCTGTTGCAATTCCAGACTTCTCTACCAGCATTATTAACGTTGTCGTTGATGATAGACACCAACCCCGGGCTTGCAGTTGACACTTATATATTGAAAAACTGGATCTTATCAGGGTCTGCAGGCAGCGATAAGTTTTCTCGGAATGGTTAATCTTTAGACCTATCGGGGTCGCAAAACCGTCGGCAATTTTTCGCAGTTTGCGACACTTTTGCAAAAGTCGCCGAAATGCTAATTCAAGACAAATTGATAAGATTACTTTCTTTTGTAACTATTTTCTTCTGCTGACCTACTGCCTACATGACTTTTTCTGGCCCAATCTTAGTAACTGGTGCTACCGGGTTCATTGGAGCTCACTGTGTTGGAAAGTTGTTGGAGCGGAATTACAAAGTTAAGGCTCATTCGAGATCCATGGAGAAATATTTGAGATTGGTTTCTAGTGTTCCTGAAAATCAAAAGCATTTGCTCGAACCTGCAATTTTCTCCGATATAACCCATGAGGAGGAATTGGCTGCCAATTTGGAAAATTGCACTGGTGTAATCCACCTCGCATCTCCATTCAAATTCAACGTGGAGGATTTCGTAGCTGATTTGCTTGTGCCAGCTCTCAAGGGTACGGAGGCCGTTATGAAAGCTGCTAACAGGAATAAATCTGTTCAGAGGGTCGTATTGACGTCATCGTTTGCTGCAGTCTACGATGCTTCTCGAGGCATTCAACCTGGTGTGGTGTTAACTGAAGAGGACTTTAGCCCTTTAACATGGAATGACGGGGCTACTACAGAGAGTCCAGCTGTGGCATATCGAGCATCAAAAACGGTAGCAGAGAGAGTTGCATGGGAATTTATGGAAAAGCATTCACCTTCCTTTGACTTATGTGTATTATGTCCAACCATGGTATTTGGGCCCTTATACTCCACGAAACTCATTGGAGGTTTGAAAGATTTGAACTTCAGTAATCAAATGATTTTGAATTTGATGAGGACAAGAGAAATTCTGCCTACTACTAATCCTGTTTGGGTAGATGTTCGTGATTTGGCAGAGTACCATGTTCGAGCATTGGAAAGTCAGGAAGCTTCAAACCAACGGTTTTTGATTTCTGCTGGAGATTATGATAATCAGCAGATTGCTGATATATTGAGAGAAAAACTTCCAAAAGAGCTTGCTCAAATGATTCCTATTGGGACACCTGGACAAAGAATCACTGGAACCCATTACACCACTAATTCATCGAAGGGAATTCGAATTTTGGGGGTGAAGTACACTGAGTTGGAGACCAGTGTTGTTGACTTAGCAAAGCAGTTGATAAGTGTGGAATAATTTAATAAATTAAGAAAGAAACAGATCTGGGATAGTTGTAATTGAAAGGAAAATGTAGTTCGAGAAGCTTACTATTGCCATTGTCCTTCAAGACACTGTCGCTGGTTTCCACTTAAACATACTACATCCAATTTCAATCAGTATTTTACTACTCAAACTTATAAACCTGCAAGCTCATCGATGTGCTTCTTCATGTCATATCCACATACTTCTTCAATAGTAAGTTTGTTCTCGCTAAGGTCTTCGGCCTTAGAGCTCCAACCAATCCTCTCGTTGAGATTCTCTCTGGCTCTCAAAGATGCTTGTTGAATGCGTGTAACTCTGGGCTTCCTCTCTTTCTCATAAAGTGCTAGACCCTCGGCAACTGTGAAGTTGAACTTCTTAGAGAATATGTATCCCAAGGCCCCAGAGTCCTCAAATGCTGCGCAAGCACCTTGTGACTGATCTGGCATCATTGGATGACAAGCATCCCCTAATAACGCAACTCCCTTGGATCCATCGGCACTGGCCTTGAAGAAGTATGGTAGTGGCTCGTGGACGTATAATCTCCATTGTTTGATATCGTAGCCACACTTCACAAAGAGTTCCACCAACTTGGGATCCAAGTCTGGGACACAAGCCAAAAGTTTTTCTACCAGGATCTCGTTGTGCCAGCCATCTTTGACGTCTTCGGGATTTGCTGCATAGAAACAGTAACATGAAACCACACTATTGTCTGAGCATGGCGATAAGACGATCTTGTTCTTATCTTTGCCTCCCCAAAACTCAATTGCTGCGTTTTCGGAGAAGTCAGCAAGTCCCAACTCCCTCACTTTCTCAGTGTCAAATAGCACTCTGATACATGATGAGTCCTGGTTTCTGAATTCTGGCGTGATTCCCAACTGGGGCTTTGTCAATGTTCGAATACCATCTGCCGCAATGATCAAATCAACGCTGGTCTCATTGCCATTTTCGAACTTCACGTATCCTGTCTCGTAGTCAACTTCCACGGCTTTATGGTTGAGAATAAGCTTGCAGGGCTCACCCTTGCCTTCAGCGGCCGTTGCATATTTTTTAAGGACATCATGAATATCAATACGGTGAAAGTTGTAATAAGGAAATCCAAATTTGGCTTTATAGTCACCCAAAGAGAACACACCCTCGACATCTCCAGTGGCCCAATCGTGTCTGACCAAATCCTTCAAAATAACAGGCTTAGCCTCCTTAGTATCGATTTCCCAGTCGTGTAACCATTTACCTCCGTTTGAAGCAACAGAAAGTGATGCTCCAACCTCGCCTGCGTAGTCGTAGCGTTCATAAATTGTGACGTTATGGCCTGCTCGCCTTAAAGCAATGGCTGCGGAAAGGCCACCTAGACCTCCTCCTAAAACAGCAACATCCAAGGGTTTCCAAGAGTAAGCGGTCATTGAATTATAGACTTTTGATTAATAAATCAATTGAAAATTGTATAAAAGTCAAAATCATTAGTGGTTATATTTCATGACTTTATCGGACCTGCATCTAATGATATTGTCTTATCGGTGTCGCAAATGTTGAGAAAGTCGCCGATGGTGGAATTTAGAACATTACTAATCCCGGAAACTGATAGAAACGGATCTTTGCCCAGTTGACAAAATCACCTTCGTCGTTATCTCGAGCCCAGACGGCATGTAGTAATCGTTCGAACTCGCCGATATAACTGAATCGCAATTTTTCCTTAATGGACCGAATTCGAGATAAGATGTAATCTCGGTCAGATTGTTCGACACAAACCAGACCGGCCATAATGAGAGGAAACATGAGTCCTGTTTCTATCAGTGTGGAATTCTCGATAGACTTGAGCGATTTGAGAATGATAGACAAGCAAGCAGAAACTCGAGAATCCTGTCGATTGTAGCCTTGACGGATTTGGTGGAGGCGAAGAAAACACGACCATTGGAGTGCTAGCCAGTATGACGAAAGTGTCATCTTGTGAGAGTCCAATTGCTCGTTAAGCAGGAAATTATTCATGATGTCCATATTCGATGGGGACCAATGTTGCAATTTCATCTCAATCAAATTAGCTAGCGAGTCAAACAGCTTTTCATACTCTGGAGACTGGTGTCTGGCAGACCGTAGGGCTGCCAACGTAGAAATGTTACCCATAATCTTAAAGAGATCGCCAGCAAACCCGTATCGAAATCCAAACTTGCAATTCAAAATATCCTCGACGTGGTTTCCGTTGTAATTGGCATACGGATTGTTCCTTGACCTATCCATGAGCGGCACAGCACATGTACTGAGCGACGAAACATGATCGAGATAGCAAAAGAGCTGGATAGACAAAGGAGACATTTTGGACACCTTGTTCAAGCCACCACGGACTCTTATTATATCTGAACCCTTCTCAAGCGCGCTGCTCCAGTATAGAGAATTACCTTCGAAGATTTCCTGGATTGACACAAGGCAAAGGCTTAAAAGAACGTTTTCTGTATCGTCGAAAAAATCGTCATTCTTTCCTGCCAAACAACACTGCGCCATACTCCGATACTTAACAGCATCCCTCATGATGTCCAAGTTGGAGTCAGCAGTGATGCTATTGAGCCTGTGAGAGCTGGCAATTGCAAGAATTGGGAACCGAACTCGAGTATCAGCTAGACAAAGCGGTATCACCGTTGTAAGAAACCGCGTACTGGTCTTATCTGAAAATAAGAGCATCGAAACCTCGTTGATGAAGTAGCACAAGAGCTCACCTTGAGGTTCTGGGATCCCCACCGAGTTCAACATGCACGAGGCCAAAAGCTCCATACGCTGTCCCTCATACTCATCCTGTTCAGGTGGACTTGATTGAGCTGACTGCACTGACTGGCCTGCTTCCAACAGAAAGTCTAGGGACTCGAGGAACATCTTTTCGGTTGCGTTGAAAAACGCTGAAGGTGTGAGTGCCTGGACCTCTGACTTAGCTAGGTCGTCCAACCATTTTGAAACTGCGGGACTAGGCAAATTGGCAATTTCGTAATTTCCATTCTCTGTATGATCATTGTGAGTGTGGTTCGTAAGATTCTCAGTTGAATCTTTCGAAGTTCCATTGATTTTCTCAAAACTCAGTTCTTTCTCTCGATCCTTACCCTTGCTCTTGTTGTACCAGCAAGTTTTCATTTTCTTCACACAATTGCCACAGCTTGGCTGGCCCTCGTCACATTTCTTCTTCGATTTGCTACATGGAACACATCGGTTCCGACTATATATGCCTCTCACACCTTTCTCGAGGACCTTGGGTCGCCCGACTGTTTTTAGCTGTCTGTCATACGTACATTGGATCGTCACCCTGCTGCACCTTTCACAGGGATTCTGGCCTGTGCATTGCTCTTTTCTGCGGTGGCAGCGATCGCAAGATCTTTTTGACATGAAAAGGCAGTGGTATGTTCGCGATAAGATAGCGAATGTGTAGGAGTAATAAACAATTCACTCCATTTATATTCTGAGGATCTATTGTACAGACTTGATAAATTTTGTGTTTAAGGGATTGTGGTATGTGGTATTTAGAACTTCGAATATTTATCTCAGTTTAGCTCTCCATTTTTGCTTTTTATCATTTTCTCTGTACTATTGATACTCGAATTTCCCTTAGATCACTTTATATCTTGAAGCTTAAGCACATTTATTTCTTCTTTCTCATCGAAAGCAACGGCGAAGTGGAATTGGCACTTATTTTGGTGATGTCATGTGCATCTATACATGCCTGGCGTGATAGAAGGACCGCTTCTCCTGCTCTGCTCTTCACAGCCTGGCAATATTGATCCACTACCGTTTCCCAAGAAATGCCTCCAATGACATATTGGTCCATCTGCTTCATTAACTCAAAAACATCAGTAATGCCATGATTAGCAGCTTCGCCTCTATACATAGTCATTGCATGTGCAGCGTCTCCCATGAGCAATATCTTGCTGTTCTTGGTGTCCCATTCCACCATGGGCCAGTCTGCCAACTTAATCTCCACCAACTGTGCTGGGACATGGGCGGCACGCAACACTAATGCTTGGAGATCAGGATGCAATCCCTCAGCATGGCTTACAAGTGCCTTAGCCTTGTCTTGTGGCGACGCGAACGGCTCGCTTTGGTCGTATTTCCACGAGAGGTTGACTTGAGCATAATACACGTCATCCTGCTTCGTGTATTCCGGGGTAGCAAGCATTGAAAACCAAAAGAACGTTTCGTTAGTCGGAACCGTTCCTTGAAACAAAAGAGGATCAAATCGTTCTGCAATGTCGTCGGTCTCTTCCTTAGACATCTGCACTTTGGCTCCGCAGAACCGAATAGGTAAATAATTGAGGTTTCCCTTTTCTCCACACAAGATTTTTCTTGTAGCTGAATTGGAGCCTTCACAACCCAAGAGTATATCGCCCTCAAATGTCTTGCCCGATGCACAAGTGACCTTAACTCCATCTTCTGTGTCTGAAATGTCTGTGAGCTTGCAATTCCACTGCACTTCGATGCCCTTGAGCAACGTGCGTCTTATCTGCTCACGTCTGACTCTTAATCTTTTGGAGGGAGGAATTGCAACCACTGTTTTTCCCGTAGCTGCGTCGATGTAACGGAAATTTCCAGTATCGTGAAGATGGAAATCCTTCCGGACTTGAGCATCGTAGATTTCCAGAGCAAGATGAGGAGGTAATAAACTCAAAAAGTTATCAAGAGCCCAGTGCAAAGTTATGGCCCATCCAGCACTTTCTCTGAACTGGACATCACAGTCCCTGTCGAAGACAATGAAATCAATTCCTCTGGCTTTCAAAGCTTGAGCAGTCAAAAGACCAACGATCCCCGCTCCGCTAATGAGCACTTTTTTTGGTTCCACGGTCATCTTCAAAATCAAAAAGAACCAACGATGTAAAAGAAGGAAATGTGCCAAATAATTGGGCTTTAAATGTGAAAAACTACATTTCTTCATTCTGCAGGTTTTTTAGCTTATCAATACTGGTAACTGTAAATCCTGCATCAGTCCTTATCGCTCCCCCCACAATCGCTGTCGCAATTCCTTGAAAAGTCGCCGATGCATCAAACTTCTGCACATGGCCATTAACAGCGGAATCTTGAAGATATATAATTACCTAGTCAATTGTCAGGTAAACTTCACTTTTCAGCATTTCTCCACTTCTTTCAAATATACAATGACTCTGTCGCACGAATCTGTCAACCCGATCCATCCTGATGTCTTAGCCAAAATGGATCCGGTGTTCGTCAAAATGTACAACGAACATGTTGCGAATATCCCTAATAAGCCAATTGATCTTTACAAGCTCAGAGCGAACTATTCCAAGATCTACTCTTATGGAACAGGTGCGTACCCGGATATTCAAAATGTGGAGGAACTGACGTTCTCCTCCTTCGACGGCGGCGATGTCAAGATCAGAATATACAGACCCAACGACACCAAGCCAGAAGAGATCCTTCCGGTTCATATTGATTTCCACGGAGGCGGTGGAGGTTTGGGTGACTTGGAGACGGAAAAGCACGTGCTCTGCCACTATGTTGATTTGGCCCGTGTGGCTGTTGTGGACGTGGACTACCGTTTGGTGCCTGATTATGCTTATCCAACATACATCAACGACTGCTTCTGGGCATTAAAGTATGTGTATGAAAACAGCGGTTCTTTAAAGTTCAACAAGAATTCCATATCCATAGGAGGCGTCTCTGTTGGCGGAAACATTGCCTTTATTGTCTCTCATCTTGCCAGAGACAACTCCATTCCTTTGGTTCTCTGTGTAGCTGGAACACCTCAGGTGGACGATGTGGAGAAGTACCAAAGCGCCCAAGACTCTCCATACGACTCAGTGAGAGAATTCGAGTTTGCTCCGACGTTGAACTGGTCTCGGATTACTTATTTTGACAAGTTGAAGTGGCAGACGTTACCAGAGGATGCAACTGAGAGGTTGAAGAAACTCAATGAGATTGGCTGGTTCAAAAACGTTCTCAATGCACCAGACTTCTCCAATTTGGTCAAAACGGTGGTGGTGACAGCAGGTTGCGATCCTATGAGAGATGAAGGTGAGACATATGCTGCCAAGTTGTTGCAATACGGGAATGAGGTGGTGTTCAAAAGATATCCTGGGGTTCCGCATCCGTTTATGCACATGGACAGCTATCTTTGGCAGGCCAGTGACTACATTAAGTATACTGCGTTCGAAATAGCGCTTGCACACGGCACTGTCAAAACATTCAGTAATTAGTAGCAATAAAAACTTTTTATTAAGGTATGTAATCGAGAGCTTACTTGGCTGGAGCCAATCCCACGGCATCCTTCTTCAAGTCGTACACAGAGTAGTATCTTCTCAAGAATGCATCTCCGATAATAGCCAAATCGCCGATTGGCTTAGGGAAGTCCATAGGAGTGAATGCAGAGATACAAGAGCCCGAAACCTCCAAAGTGTAGTCATAAGCTGTCAATGTAAAGTTGTAACCACCAAAAGTCAAAGTCAAATCTGGCAAGTTGTCACGAGTGTCACAATCCACCTGGTACTGGCCAGACCATGACTTGGTGGCACCAATCTTGGAGTTAATGATCTCAGCCAAAGAAGATGGCAAGGTGATCAATGAGGTACCGGTATCGATGGCGGCACCAGTTTGGGACAACTCAGCGTATTCGTCACCTAATCCAATACCGTCAAAGGAGACCTCCCAGTAAGCCTTTCTTCTAAGTGGCAACCAGGTGAGCTTTCCCTTGAACAAGGACTCGTCGTAACCACCGAAAGTGGCCACGCCGCCGTTGTTCTCGTCCTTGTTGGTGTCGCCAAGGTAGAAACCAAATTGTGGGGCATCCAAAAGACCCTGGGAAAGGGCGTTGTACACTGGAGGAACGATCTTGTTGACAGAAATGGTGTCGTAGGCCAAACCCAAGATACCATCGAATTTACCAAAAGCGAAGGCCAAGCCCGGCTCGGATGTTGCCTCGGCAAAGTCCTGTCTTGGGATCACCAAGTCACCAATGGCCAAGGTGTCCTGTGAAACATAGCCCTCCATGGCACCGGAACCATATTGAATGGAGAAATCGGAGCCATTGGCCTTGTAGGAGGAGGAGGAGTCGTGATCATACTTGGAGTGCAAGTAGCAAGCCAATGAACTACAGTCTCTGGATGGCACCCACAAGTTCGAGGACCCAGTGTCCAAAATGACCTTAAACGACTGTCCAGGTGTACCCAATTGGATCTCGGTGAAGTATTGTGCGTTCAAGTAGTTGGTCAAAGGAGCCTCGTGTTTGGAGTTCAGCACAAAAGGAATCTCTGCAACCTGCTGGGAGTTGTCGCCGCCGTTGACGTTGACGCCAGCGCCAGAAAATGCGCCAATGTACTTCTGAGCCAAGGCGTTTGTGTACTCGGAGAATCTGGCGGCATCCAATGTCTCCTCAACAGGGATCTTGTTCAACTTTGCAGAGTAAGGTTTAGCCTCGGCATAGTTTGCGAGGGCAGCGGCAATGGCCACAAGAACAGAGAACTTCATATTTGCAAATATCACGATTCTCTATATAAAAACAGCAAGCAGTGAACGGCACAGCTCTAGGGTTTCCAGCAATAAAGAAATGTGGTAGATAAGATATAGAAGTAGTGGCGAGGGTATGGTTTATATATCGGAAGACGTGTGCAGGACTGGAGAGGAGGGGGGAATGATGGATGGTGGAGTAGGAGGAGTAGAGAAGCAAGTAAAAAGGCGGGAGGTACGGGTCCAATCTATAAAGGGAGGATAATAGTTTATGGAGATAACTAAAGGATTTTTTGTACTTCTCTATTTGTGGCTTTAATGTGTAATATTGGCTCTGATGGTTCAATTGGGTGACTTGCGCAACCTTCCTGGCACACCCGTACACCTGGTCACCCCCAAATTGGGGCCAGCCAGCCTAGATATGGAAATGCTGGCGATGAGGATGAGCCAGCGGGACGGTATAGATTTCAAAATTTTTATAGGTAAAGTGACTGATTGTTTACCTTTCCTTGATTTCTTTTTAATCTGGTGATGACAATCGATGGGGTTACGGATGTATTGTGCACCAAGATGTTCTGCAGTGCTGGATTGGCTATTATCAGTCCGCATTCGGCATAGTAAGTGGATGCAGTTGCAATCGAAATGTCAAACTTTGACACTAGCACTGGTGTGGGAAATCGATAAAAAAAAACATGAGAACAGTGAACTTGTTTAAAAGTCAATGGGCTTGCTTACAGTTTGTTTCCTAATATCTCTTCTCATAACTTCGTATCTTATCTTATCTTATCAATTCGTACTTATCTTACTTATCACTGTGAAGCCTTGACAAACTCTTCCACACCTTTATCGTAGCCCTGCTCCCATTCCCACAAAAATCCCAGCTTGCCCAGTTTCTTGATGTGCTCCTGCAATCTGGCGGCCTTGACAGCTTGTCTTCGGCCAATCAATGAGCCTGCCTTAGCAAATTCAACTCCATCATTCCAAGCAGTGGTGAAGCCGTCCTTGTATCTGTCATGTTCGTATTTCTCTTTCGAATTCTGACCATCCCAATACTCAGTGTGGGCTTTGAAATTACCATCCAACGCATTCTGGAAAGTTCCGTCGTCAGGTACCTTCACCCTAGGTGCATTGAATGATTTGCCCAACATTTGACGGAAATCCCACTCTCCTCCATTCCCAGACTCGAACTTGTATGTCCAGAAGTACGAACCAGCACCAGCCCTCTGCTCCATCAAGTCCAATTGTCTCTGACCATAGTTGGCCACGATTTCTGCCCGCTTGGAGTTGCCGTAATCATTAGGATCAAGCCCTGTTTTGCCCCAAGTATCTCCGTCCAAAACACAAGACCATTCACCCACCATGAAGTCCACACCGCTGCCGTTGTCATTGATGTTGGTAAGGAGGTCTTGATCCAAGTCGTTGATGATCTGGTCGGCGCTCTTACCCTTGTCCTTCCCATCGAAACATCTGTAGCAATGGTGATCAATTACCACACCCAATGAATCGCCCTGGTCCTGGTTTTCCTGGACCCATTTTGCAAACTGGTCGGGCCACCAGCCATCAGAAATTACAATTGGCACACTCTTGTCCTGCTGGCGGATTGCCTTGATGGCTGACGAATAGTATGATTTCTGCTTCAGTGCCAGATCAGAGAATTCGGATTCGTTCACAATCTGGATACCGGCGATGTTGTCATAATGGGCCAAATCCTTTGCCACAAATCCCAAAGCAGACTCCATTAATTTCTGGCTCGACGAAGATCCCCAGAACTCAGCTTTTCCCCCACTTTTCTCTCCACTATGGTCGTTTCCATTGGCTCCACCTGGGAGGCCATGAATATCGACCAATACACCAATATTATGGCTAGAAGCAGGTTCGATATACTTCTTTTTGAAAATCTCCCACGAATTGCTGTATACATCGGCAAACTTCTCAAATTTTGTGCCCTTAGTGTACTTTCCTCCATCGATGTTCCAGTAGCCTAAAGGCACTCTAATTCCGGTAACACCGTTGTCTTGAAGGTATTTCCAGTCCTCATCAGTTGCATAGTTGTTCCAGTGGTCCTCCAATCTTTGTTTGGCGGCATTCTTGTCTTCTTTAACTGCCTTAGTCACGGCATCCAATTCACAATCAGTTCCCTCGGGAAAAATCGAGTGGAAAATCCATTTTTCTCCCACAAAAACTCCTCCGAAGTTGACTCCAAAGTTGTATCTAGCCTGGTAGATCTGCTTCTTGGAAGGTTTGCTCGAGACCGCCGGATCAGCAGCTGGAAGTCCGGAGATTGAGTGGTTCTTGACCTTGTTCACTAGGCTGGAAAGTCCCATGTTATGTTGTAGTTGCTAAGATAGTGTTAGTAATTGGAACTTCCTTGACTTTGAGAGATCCAATGTCTATATTATATACCAAGCAATAGCAGCAATTATTGTGGATCAACCATACAATTGGATTAATAGGTTGCTTCATGACTACATCATTCTGCAGGAAGAGGCTGTAACTATAGCCATGATTGCTAGGTTTCACGTGGTAACGATTATTAGGATACTCTAATCAAAATCGATACATACATATCTTTGGAGAAGAAAAAGTTTGCTCGGGCTCGATTTTTCTAGTTTATTGTTGTGAGGCTGCTGTTAGTTAGTAGTGAATTGATAGGTGTGGCGCCTGAGAGAACTTTGATTTAAGTAATATTGACGTTGAAGAGAAGATTGTGAGAAGAAATATTCTTTTGCAATCTCCTTAATCAGTTGATCTTAGCTACCTTTCGTCCATTGTGAAGTTATTGTTTCGTTGTGGTATAGTAGTTGGCTTGGTCAGCTATGATGACCTAATCATTATAACTGTCATCGAACAAAAATTACAATTGTAATGCTCTAATTTTTCTGATCAGTCCTACTAACAAAATTCTATTTCATTTGAATTGGCCTTTTAGCTATTCCACCTTTTCTATCCAAATCTACTATCTTCAACGCTAGATACTTTCTGATCTACGATTTGCTTTTACTCAGCCAAAGGAGGTCATAGCCGCTGTTCTACCTAAAAGTACCCCCAATGAATTACAAAGGTGTAATAACTTTCCATCATTTCGTGTCTCTTTGAAAGAACTTGTATCTTTTCTACGCGTAATTTCTTGAAGTTGTTCGTTGTCTGCTCTTTGGCAGCAGTTGGCTGCGAAATCGCCACGAGTGGAAAAAATCGAAGAGTGAGTCAAATTCCTACAGCTTAAGATATCAATTTCTTAGCGATTCAACTAGCTCCGTTTATTCTTATTCTCCTTACTTCTCGTTTCTATTCCGATATTTTTATTTTGCCGGCTTTACGACTGAGATCCTTCCCACCTTCCTTATCTCCTGCATCCCTCTAGATCATCCATCATATCTCCATCTCTTTACTTCTCAACCGGCTCATCTTCATGGACTGGCCAGAACCCCTCGTGGGCCTTTTTGGTAAGTTCAGACTCATCAACACCCATCTTACTTTCCTATCATCGTTCTCTCGACACACAATCCCCACTTTCGACCATCTTCAAAAGTTGAATAATGACATCTCCATGCTAGATCTAGCCATGATCAAGTTCCTACTACCGCCTGGAGACGTGTCTTTTGAGTATGTAGACGAAAACCAGGTCATGCTTAATGAAAAAGTGCGCTTCTCCTGGGACAGAGGCTACTCACAGAACCAGCCCAAGACGGTAGATGATGCGTATGAGGCAATCAATCGCCAGGAAGAGCCAAAACACGAAAAACAGCTTCTAATCTTTGAATTCACTGACATCAGAACACAAGGTATTGGAGCAATCATCAAAGGAAAGGATGTGGACAATAGAAAACGCCAGAAAAGAGAAATGAAAGATAATCTGTTCAACACAGACTACCCGGAGTTCTTCCTGGAAACGACTAAGCTTACAATGGATCAATTGACCCAAGAACAACTCCAAGCTATCATAAAAGGACGAAATAACACATTTACAGCCTGTGTGGAAAAGTTTCTTCTGGATTTTACGCAAGAAGATATCGATGAAGGCGTGCCTTTCAAGACCTTAGTGGAAAGCACTGTGAAAACCGTTCCAGAGCCTTCCCATTTGAGTGACCCCGTGGATATGATGGCTGTCCGACAATCTGATTCCGTGCTGACAGCTGACAAACCAGAAATGGAGGAGATGATGAATGTTCTCAAAGAAAAACCCCTCTTCCGAGACCAGATTCTGGTTTCAGCTACTCTCACGGCACCAAGACCAGCCAAACTCGAATTATTGGATCATAATCTCATACATCCTGATTTGGTGGAGGCTCTTTGGCAATTTAAGGGTATTGATGCCGTCGACGGGGGCCTATATCTGCACCAAGCGCAAGCATTGAGAGCCATCACGGATCATAAGAAGCATGTCATTGTCAGTACATCTACCAGTTCGGGAAAGTCGCTCATTTATCAGATCCCCATCTTGAACGATATTTTGAATGATATTGATGCGGGAATCAATGGCAAGTGCCGTACAGCTACGGCCATGTTCATCTTCCCTACCAAGGCATTGGCACAAGACCAGAAGAGACATTTGACGGAGCTCATCAGTCATTTGCCTACTAAGAATCGAAAAATCACTGTTGACACTTACGACGGAGATACAGCCTCAAAAGATCGTGGACGTATTCGAAATCATGCTGATATCATTTTTACCAATCCTGATGCTATCCACGCTGCCATTCTTCCAAACCACAACATGGATACCTCTCTTGAACCAAGGGGATGGGAAGAGTTCTTGAGAAACCTCAAGTATGTTGTGATGGACGAATTGCATGTTTACAAGGGTACTTTTGGAGTCCATGTAAGCTATGTGATGACTCGTCTCAACCGATTGATCAGTCTATTGACATACGACACGATTCCTCTTTACATCTCATGTTCTGCCACTATCAAGAATCCGGAGTCTCATTTCCGTACTGTCTGTGCCATTCCAGATTCGGGTGTGGTTGAGCATATCCATGAAGATGGGAGTCCTAGCACTGAAAAGAAATTGGTGGTTTGGGAGCCTCCAGTGCTCATGAATAAGAAGGGTCAAAGAGATATCCCTCAGAAGAAATTGGCGCTGGCAACATCAGTAGAAACAACAATCAAATCACCTTACCTTCCCCGAGAGAGCATTATCGGAGAGCTGGCGAAGATTTTGGTACATTTGCTTTGCAAATTACCATCAATCAAGGTCATTGTTTTTTGTCCAATTCGACAAGTCTGCGAGCTCCTAATAAAAGAGGTTCGTTCATTGATTGCGTCCCACGATCACCCAGAATGGACAGGATTACATGAGCATGACGTTATGTCATACCGAGGAGGGTATTCGAAATCAGATCGTAGGGCAATTGAGAGCAAGATGTTCAATGGCCAGTTACGAGCCATTGTGGCAACCAATGCGTTGGAGTTAGGAATAGATTTGTCTGATTTGGATGTGGTGATCTCATGTGGTTTTCCAGGTCTGAAACTGAATTTGCATCAGCAATTTGGCAGAGCTGGCCGTGGAAAAAGTTCCAAAGGAAGCTTGGCCATTTTGGTTTGTGGAGGAAATCCCGTGGATCGGTTTTACCTCAAGAATCCCCATGAACTCTGTGATAAAAACTCCTATGAAGATTTATGTGTGGAAGGGATCTTAGACGGAAGTCTGAACCAATTGGTAATGTCCATGCACTTGCAATGTGCTGCTTTTGAGTGGCCCATCGACTTGGAAAAGGATCAAAAGTGGTTCTCCCCTCACGGGTTGCCAAAGATGAACGCTGCATTCGAAACGTTGTGTAAAGAAAAGTTGAACATGGATAATAGAGGCACTTACAGAACCGACCCAAGGTATCTTCCGTGGCCCTCGGAAAAGATTTCATTACGTGCTATCGAGCTGACAAACTATGCGGTGGTTGACATAACCAATAACAGAAACATCGTCATTGAAGAAGTGGAAGAGCTGAGGACAAGCTTCACCTTGTATGAGGGAGGTATTTTCTTACACCAGGGATTGCCTTATCTCGTGAAGGAATTCAATCCAGACGAAAAATATGCCAAGGTTGAAAGAGTGAAGGTGACATGGATCACTCAACAACGAGATTTTTCTGATGTCGACCCAATTGAGATCGAATTGGTAAAGAGGCTTCAGCCTCCTAACTTCGAAAGGCCATCAGACATTCCAGTATTTTTCGGGAAAATTCAAACAACCATAATTGTTTTTGGCTATTTTAAAGTGAGCAGGAAACTGGAGATTTTGGAAGCAGTTGAAGTGAAAAATCCGCCTGTGATCTTGAAGTCGAAAGGTCTCTGGCTAGATATCCCCACTTCCGCTATTAGGGCCATCCAAGAGAAAAAGTTAAGCCCTGCTGGCGGAATTCATGCCGCTCAACATGCTATCATGAATGTTCTACCTATTTTCATTACTGGAGGTGCAACAACTAACCCTAACGTTCGCTACACTTCAAATTTAGGAGACGCTGAGTTGGCCACAGAATGCAAGGCTCCAGAGAAAGAATTTGCCCAAAGGCAATCCAAGCGCAAACGACCAGCTCGTCTCATATTTTATGATGCTAAAGGTGGAGCGAGAGGAACAGGTATATCTGCAAAAACGTTCGAGTTTATTGATGATATTGTCTATACCACTTACCAAAGAGTATTAGGGTGTGAATGCGAGTGGGGATGTCCCCTGTGTGTTTCTGGATCATTCTGCAAGGAGAATATGCTAGTGATGTCCAAACCGGCAGCGATCATTATTTTGGGGACTCTCCTTGGCTATCCAGTTGAAGAATTGAAAGAACAAGTTCTCGATGGACCTGAGGAGAACATGCCTCCATTGAAGGTTGAAACCATTACAGAGGAGGGTCGGACAGTCAAGTTCGCTCCTGATGTCGAAATTGTGGAGGTCAGAAAAGCTACTTTCCCAGTTTCAAACATCAAGAAAGAAGACACATCTGATTAACTCAATGCTTCGAATTTTTGCGGCTTGTAATCTGAGAAGCCTTTCGCGAGAGCTTCTGGCCAAGGCTTGGCTTCTTCGCAAACTCATTCTCAAATTCATGCAGGGCTGGGGAGGACCGATTGGTGAGATAACTGGCCGAGCTATTATTACGTTGAACCATCGGTAATGGTTTGTGCCTATGGCTTCGAGGTACCTCTAGGGCCTGATTTGTTGCTCTGTTCGTAGGTATAGGAGGAGCACTTTTTCGTCTTGGTTGCAAGGCTGGTGAGCCTGGCAACAGACGACGTTTCCAGAGCCGGAACACATGATGAACAGATTTCAAGTAAATAGATGCAAGCGTTCCAATGCTAAGTTCGAGTTCTTCAAGAATAGTTGGATCTATGTTGTCACTTTCAGAGGTAATCAGTGGATCCACATTGATAACAACCTCCTTTGTTAGCTTTTGAAAGTCACCATCCGTACCCCCGTTAGCTTCATTAGTGATCATACGCCAGTAAAAATAACCACGATCTCTCAAGTCCGGGTTGTCACTTTCTTCTGTAGCATGCTTTAAGACCTTGAGAACTAGCGGTTCACCTTTTACAGGGAGTTCGATATAGAATTTCACCACAGCTGTAATAATTGCATATTGCACTTCCGTGGGTACTTCACTGAAAGTTTGGACAAAATAGTTGAGTGCTTGCTCCGCAATTGGAAGTTTCTCCGAATACTGGCCAATTATCCAACAGATTGCTACCTTTGCATCAGGCTCATCCATAAGTATATAATGCAGAGCAATTTTTGGAATCGCATAATCAAACATTCCAGGATATTTCCGAAGAATATTCTTGAGAACAATAGCTACTTCTTGGACAACGTAAGGGATGTCATGCGATATCAAATCAATCAAAATTTCCACACACTGTGAAGCTGCCACTTCCAATTTTACTGCTAAATTTCCGAAGGCACGAATAGCCTTTCTAGCCATGTGCACATCTACTTCTGTAGCATATTCTTCAAGTTCCCCAAACACAACACCAACATTAGATTCATCGGCAAGCAAGTAGATGATCTCAAGCTTTGTATCCTTGACATAGACTGGGTCGTCAAACTTCCAAAAGAATTGCTCAACATCCACGTCAAGTAAATACCTCTTACCAAGTAAAATCAAGATGACGTTACGAAGGACTAAAAACTGGACTTCGTAAGGTTTGTAGAGTAATGAGACAAGCGATGACCCTAATCTTTTCGCCAATGAAGGGAAAACATGCTCAGGATTGCGGATATAATTGCTCAAGTAAACAATTACCTTCGTCGCATTCAGAACCACAGCGGAATTCTCGTGTTTCAAGCATGGAAGAATAGCTTCTAGCAATGTCAGTGCCTCTTGAGTTGTCTGTGGAACAAATGCCATTAAAGCATTTAGCAAATATACTTGTCTCCATTCGTTCGCATTAGCTAATCCCTTGGTTAAAGTAAGAGAATGATTCTTATCGATAGCCAAATTCAACGTTGAAGAACTTTCTGTAATCGAGTTCAATGCAGCCAAAGTGTACATAACCACCATTTGGTTTTCGTCGTATAATAATTCGTTCAAATCGTCCACCAATCCCTCAGAGACTGTCCTGTTTTGGTCATACTGGAAGAGCCGGGCTACGCTAAATGCTGCAGCTGTCCGTACATGAGGATTTTTGTCCTGGAGAAGCCTTTTCACTAAAGAAAAGCCCATGTTGATAAATTCCTTCAAGTTGACGGAAGTAGTTGTCTTGACAGCCAAGGCCCGGAGTGCTGGGTTGTGATCCTCAGAGAATCTGGCGTAGAAACTGAGGGAAAATAAAGCAGGCTTCACATTTAGAGCTGCAAAGTGCACCACGTATTGAGAACACAAACGACGAATCTCGTAGTCATCCACAGCCATCAATTCCACGATATCCAGCATTAATGATGCCAACTCGGACTTATTGAGGATGATGTTGGCAACCACTTTCTTCAACACCACTTTGATGCGAGGCTGTGGTTTCAGCTTTTTGCAAGCCTGCTCCAACTCGGCACGAAGCTCGGACGCCTTGCACTTGACAAAGTACTTAGAATCACTCATGATGCTTGGATGAAAGAGTTGTGCCGGCCGATCCAAGTGGTGTATGGAGAGTCTCGCGGTGCGGACACAGGAAGACTCGGAAGTTGATACCGGGTGGATTGGGAGCAAAGGCACAGCCCAGATTGGCAAATAATAACCATTCTATTGTACCCTGTCAGAGAAAGAAGTGGTAAGGGTTGAGTTCTAGATAATTCAGGTTTGAGTTAATGAAGGTTGATAAGGGATGACAGTTAAGGCAAAAGTGATAGCGATGAAAGTCATTGGAGGGCTGATCAAAGGTCGAAGCTTTTCTATAATAACCAATCCATTTGCAATTTTTTATCAACAGCAGGGATGAGGCCCTAAACGTTCTAAAATCTAAACAAAGTAGCATATTGATGCCAAAAGTTGCAACCTATTCTCCGAATCCCAATTGTAATCCCCTGAAACCAGGCTCAAAAGACTTCAAAAACTAGAACTATACCAATTGAACATATCCGGACGCGTAAGAAACGCTAGAGTCGTTCTTATGTGTAGCCTGGCTACTTTGAGAGTAACCTAACCACTCAAAAACACTCTCGTTGGCAATACCGCCGCCATGTTTCCTGTATTTCTCTATGAGGCTCAACACAATGGCGACAGGTTTTTGCCCGCAGATGGTATTCCGTGTCGTGTCAATGTACTCGTCCCATTTGGTCACCAGCCCTTGGGCAGCAATACGCATGGCGGTTCGATCCAACACCTCAATTGACTTGTAGATGGGATTTTCGCCTTTAGACAAGACAACTAAATCGTCCAAATCTTCCAAATCTTCACCTGGAACATACATAGTGTAGCCAAATCGGCGGCCCCAGTGGCAAAAGTCCAGCAGAACCACAAAGGTATTCTCTGGCAGCTGCATGTATGGAAGCAACGCAGAGACAATGTCTTTGCGGAGCAGTTTGGACATACCCGAGATTAGAATGGGTACGATTTTGGGCGCCACACCGTCTTGCTTGCACCGGTGAGCAATGAATGGCGCGTGCATCTCGAACAGATGTTCATCGTCATCTACAGATCTGCTCATGTATTTGAACAGCGAGCAGCTTTTTACAAGATTGGTGCAAACATCCTGGTCCACTTGCAAGCGGCCCAAAGGAGTGTCGTAGTAGGCATAATGGGAGGTCATGGCAGAGTCACGGAAGTAAACGTGATGCGACGGACCCAACACAAACACACGCCGTACGTTTTTAGTATCCCACGTCGAATAAGTTTCCGCCAACCTTGCTCCGCAGTAGGTATAACCAGCATGAGGACCAATAAGGACCCTGGCGCCAGGTTGAGGGGATAACGAGGCAGCGGCGAAAAGCTGGTTCAATTGGGCAGAGAGCCGTGCGGGATCCGCGGAATACCACGAACCAGCATGTGAAGCAGATCTTACCAGCATGGCAGGTGGGAAAGTGGCGAAAACGTTTAAGAAAAGGGTGATACTTGAAAATGGTGGCCCAGCTGGGGAATGAGAGGGTTTATATTATGTGGTTATGCAGGACTGATAAGGAAGAGAGAGGAGAGACAAGGTGGAGGGAGATACTAGTGGGGGAAATAATTGTAAGGTGGTGTTACTAAAAAAACGGAGGAAGTTTAGGTTTTTAATTTGGTGGATCTCGATGTTTTTGAAAGGAAAGTAAATGATGAATATGATAGCCTTGAGGATTGGAAGCAATGGCTGCGAAATACGGACAGGTCGTAGAAAAGATATCGAGATTAGAAACTTATTCGTGATTTTATATTCCTTTAGATTCGATACTAAACAGATGGTCTTAATTTTAATTCGTTTTGTTCCTTCTACTACTTAAATAGAGGTGTGCAAAAGATCATTCTAAAGTAGTATTGGGTATAGAGACAGTTATCAAGTTGCTCTTACTTCTCACGATTTGTTAACAATAGAGGAATACTCATTACGAAGCTTTTTTGGAAATTAGCCTGGTGCAGAGAGTTGCAAATCAAAATCGACCTAGATTACGGAACATCGAACAATTAAACCACAACTTGCTGTTCTCCCTTTGGCCAAATGATAATTATGGGGTGTCGAAATTCAATATGATTTGGCATGGAAGTCGAATTCATTACCGACTGATTCATTGCTACTGTTGAGCTACGCAATATCTCATTTCAAATCTCCATCGTATATTAATTCATCATTCCCTACTGGTTTAGTTTCGAACGTAGGCTGGGGAACTCTGGATATGTGCTTCGGTATTTGTATCGCCCATCCCATTTGCAGCTCCCATTCCATACGTATCACCCATCCCATTTGTCTCCATTCCATCCACATCTCTCGCGTATTCATTTCCTATACAAACGTCTCCGTTTTTGGCCATAGGTGTATAAATGGGAGGTGGGGTGCTTGGAAGATTGTACTCTGTGTGTTCCTGACACACATTCTCGGTTGGCTCGTTTCGTCTCGCTATCGTGGCATTGGGTCGTGTTATCTCTGGCCTCAGAGGAGTTGGAGTTCGAAGGCTGATTCTGGCTCTAGACACGGGATTTGACGCTCTAGATCGTGAAGGGGTATTTTTCTTCCTTCCAAGCGATCGAATCCATGCTGATGAATTATTTTGCTTCTTCTCTTGCCTTCTAAATCGCTGGAATGCTTTGTTGGCATTAACATACCGAAGGTAAAAGAGCATGCATAGGAGGAGGAATACCACAAGAGCTAGTGGGATAAAAACATGCTTTCTATCTACTTCTCTTTTGACTAGTAGTTCCTTATTCGGGAGGATCATTGTTGCTGATGATATGGATTATTGTAGACATTAAATACCCTATGCACATGAGCACCTGCTTGTCTTGGAAGTTTGCATAGTTGATTTCAGCCATTTTTTGGTCATTCAGGTTCCAATACTACGAAATTGAAGAAGAATGACAGAGGAGAATAATACATTTGAATATGTGGCAGATTATGAGGAGAAACGATAAAAGTGGAACGAACGAGTATAAGGATTGCGAAAGTAGATTAGAGAATAGATCCAATGTAAAGACTAATTTTTAATAACGGCACGATAAGAATGAATTAATCTAATTATAGATCAGCTTAATCTTTCTATTGTTAGAGTAACTTTTGGAAATAATACTCTGCCTTATTTTAATCTAAATTTTCAAGATATCAGGTCTGTTCTGTTGGTTCTGTCTTTTGGATTGGGTATGCCAACATCCTTCTCGATCTTCTGCTCATCTTCTTCCTTTTTATTTGCTTCAGACTATCAGGACCCCGAATTACATGATATTCTGTCTGTCTTGACCACCGATATCTCCTAGTGTTGTCTCTTGTCATCTATAAATACTCTCATGGCCATCGCTGGACCCTTCCTTTGGCTGTCATTTCATTTTTCAATTCGATGGGTTGCTAAACGGATGACTTTTCCGTTTAGGAGGTGACCAGTGGTCTCGTTACCTCCGTTTCTACGATTTCTCTGTGCATCGTTTATTCTATCATTACTTCTTGGAAACGGTCAAGGTCCAGTCCTGTGCGTACAAAAACTCGCCATTGGCCAGATAGGTAGAAGTACAGTTGAAGTTTCCTCTGAACATGAAGCCAGAGGGAGTCAGATCCTTCTCAAACTCCACAACGTATGGCTCTTCTCTAGGAAGAAATTCATCGCCGATGTAGACATCACGCGACTTCACGACAAATCCAGCCTTCTTGACTTCCTGCTTGTACTTGAACTCCTTCAATGGGTTATTGGACACCGTGAAGTGGATGGTCATGAAGTACTCTGAACCCTCGGGGATCTCAAAGTGGATGTCCTTGTTTCCTAAGACGGTAACTTCTTCGGGCTCTTTACCATCGACCTGGAGTACGATTTTGAGGACTTCGACATCTGGATGGTGTTCGCCCATATTGTGTATTTTCTATGTGAATTGGGTGGTTATTGACGAATGGAGGTGAAATCCGGGGAAGAGTCAACCTTTATATACCAGAGCAGTTTGGTGGGGAACGGGGCCGAGGAGTGTGGACTTACCGAGGCCATGGCCACATGCTGCAGGATTATCACGAAGAGGAAATTTATTTATCAAGGGATTGGTTGCGGAGAACCGCCACCTAAAAGGTAGGTTTTGGACACGGGCGAGAGGTTGCAGACCAGTCATGGGTTTTGGTGGAATTGGAACATTCGGGACAGGAAGATCAGAGAGAAAAAAAGTAAAATCCCATAGAAGAAAGAAATTTGTTAAACTAAAGTGAAATGACGATAGGAAGGTCCAGTATAATCCTGGAATATCGCATTTGCCATGTATTTGGATACTTCTCATAGTTCCGTAGAGGTTCCATGCCACTTGAGCAATCAAAGTACTTTTCATATGTCATTTTGATCCAGTGCGACTATGAGATCTTACGTGTAGAGGGCTCCAATTAAGCTATTAGGTAATTCACCAATTCATGTTTATGTCAAATCAAGTTTGCACCAAAATTATTAGTTTAATTTCCACTATCATCCTTTTACATCTTTTTCATTGTTTACTAATTCGTTTGTATTGTCATCTGCATTATTATTTCCGTTGTCAGCTGTTTTGTCATTTCTAATGCCTTAAGTCCGTGGGCATCTAGTGCGCATGCATTGACGACTCCGGAACTTTCATGATATGGAGAAGGACAGGAGGAATCTGACAATGGTGTGGAATGTAATGCCCTTTTTTCCTGTATTTCTTATCACATTTTTGCTTTGTCTGGTAATTTCTCTCCTCACCTTTTTCACATGATGTCGTGTATGGTGTTCAATATTGTCCTCCACGTTACGTCACAGTTACGAACAGGTAGTACTGTTTCTGTCAGTGATGACTGTAGTTTGTTATTGTCGTATATTTCCAGTATTGCGATCAACCAGATCAATGCATCTCAATTCTGTGCGTATATAATTCGTATCTCTCTCGATTCTTTTGTATTTGTTTGTCTACGGTCAGTCTCTACCTCAAAAGGCGAAATGGATCACCAAGTTATTTTCACTTGTGACTCTTGGACGACTCCAAGTTGTACGGACCATTCCATTTCCATATAAAATGCAGAAACAACAACTAGATAAGAAATCTGCTGCTCTCAATCACTCATAAATCACTAATTGACCACCCATTGCCTTCCATCGTTTTCCGCTTTAAAATCTCTACTTCTTTCATAACTTCCCCTTTCACATCCTTGATTAGCTCAATGTAGACAGCTGGGGACAAATATCTCCAGCAGTTAGCCAGTCAATTGTCATGAATTAGACATTAAGCTTTAAACACATTCTGGACGCACATCGCCTAGGAGCCTCCATGAATTTATGTACGTAAGATTTGAATTGAGCAAAAAGTAACTAAGATCGATTGGATCAAGAAATTCAGATTAGAAATTATAAACACTTTATAAACCATCTGACATGGGAATTTTTTATCTTCTTTCGATCAAAACCTGATTTTTGCCTGGACTTTATTCCTTTTAGGTTTTCAAACGAAGGCGCGATTCTGTTAAAATATTGGAAATCTCAACCCGCAGTGAATATGGTAGCTCATTATATTTCCTCAATATATGTCAGTCCGACTTCAGTTGCCATTACTTCAATCACTTAAGAGCAGTAAACAGAACTTAAATTTTGTACGCGATAAAATTTTAGGGAATTTTGCAAACGAGGTTAAGGTTGGCCTTTGGTGTCTTGGCACCAGTCACCTCGTAGGGAAGCCGAAGAAAGTAGAAAGTGATGTGGGTTAAGCATTTATCGCACATTCAATAATTTTTCAGGTTCTTCTTATTTAAGCTCTGTTCTTTTCTTCCTTCTTGTCATCCTCGACTCCTTCAAATCTATCTATTTCTATCAGAGGCTTTCGTCTGAAACTCTTCGTTTCTCATCCTTCCCTCTACCTTCCCTCTCTCTTCTAAACCTCTCCACCTCGTCCTCCAAAAGCTGCCGAAGCCCCACAAGAGTCTTCTCTTCCTCTTCCTTGCCTAATTTGTACGCTTCAGAACATACTGCCTCGCTCCGCTTGCGTCGAATCTGTGCAAAATACTGATGACTTAATGCATCCTCCACCTTGAGACGACCTCGAGGCTCCCACTGAAGTAATTTGCCCAAAAGATCCAATGCTGCGTCGCTTGCAAAAGGATACACCACCTTCCATGGAACCAGATGTGCAAACTGATGCACGGTGTATATTTTCTGCATCCCCAAACTTGGTGGAGGTGCTCCCAAGAACTTCATTATGAGATGGAATTGGTCGAGCAGATCCTTCCCTGGCATCAATGGCCGACGACCATAGAGCTCTCCCAAGATACATCCCACAGCCCACATATCCACTGGCCTTCCGTATCTCGACTCTCGAATAATGAGCTCAGGTGCCCGATACCATCTGGTGGCCACATAGTTCGTAATGGGTGCGACAGTGAAGAGAGATGGCGACACCTTGATGGCTCTTGCTAAACCAAAATCACCAATTTTCACGGTTCCTGTGCTACTGACAAGAAGATTGCTGGGTTTCAAGTCTCGATGGATCACATTGGCCGAGTGGACGTACTTTAGGCCACAGAGTACCTGGTAAATAAAGCTACACACATGAAACTCAGAGAATTGGACAGGAGAATAGACAATTTTGGAAAGGTCGTATTCCATGAGTTCTTGAAAGCAATATAGCCCCTCGTAAGGCTCAACGGAGACGAAATTCACATCGACAAGCGAAACAATCTGAAGTCAGTATTAGCAGAACGAAGCAGAAAAAAAAAGACACCAACATACATTGCGGTGGCCACGGAAGTAGCGCATCATACGCAATTCCCGAATTGCCCGCCGAAGTAGAACTTGTTTATGGAGAATGCCCCCGACCTTCTTGATTGCGAGCCACACGGGGGAATCACCTTGGGCCCTAGAGTCGGTAGCCAGACAGACAACGCCGTAGGAGCCTTTTCCAAGCACTTGGTGGATATTGTAGCGTTTGGGAATGTAGAAGTTAGCCTTTTCATAGACCTTGTAGTCAGACATGTTTGTGGTTGTAGTAGGTGGCTGCGAAAAGTGAATATGGGGGAGTGAAAAGACAACGGAGGAGGCAAGAGAGTAACAGGGAATGAGAAGTAGGAACTAAATGAAATCTAATTTTTGGAGGAGACGAAAACAATCGAGCAGTGTAGGTTTTGTCACATTTTTATGTTGGCTTTGTTGACGAGAATCTTGAGGCTACAGAGTTGGCCTAGATAATTCACCCATCTAAATCAATAGATTCCCACACGTAAAAACCGAACTACAGAGGAATCAACATCATTTGGTCTATCAAACAATTTTCACCGAGTTTGGACCTCGAATAGTTTAACAATGCTTTTTGGTGAAATTGGGTAATATTTGGGCATACACGGTGACAGTGTAATGTACATAATGGATTAAAGCTTTAAACCAGTCATGGCAAATCATTGCATTCAACTCCAAAAAAAAAAGAAGAAAAAAACAAATCATCAGCAACTCACAAGAAATATAAACGAATTCATTTTATATTCTTCATAACTTTCCGCTCCCAATTTCTCCCACTAGTCATTTCCATCTCTACCACCCCCATCACCTTCTGGCCTGCGCACGACACCGGAAAATTTTAGTAAAATCAAGAACCATCAACCTTCTACTAAACCACACAAAATGAGCAGCTCCAACTGTCGTTTCTACGAGAACAAGTACCCCGAGGTCGATGAGGTGGTCATGGTAAATGTCCAGGAGATCGCTGAGATGGGTGCCTATGTCAAGTTGCTCGAGTACGACAACATCGAAGGTATGGTTTTGTTGAGTGAATTGTCCAGAAGACGTATCCGTTCCATCCAGAAATTGATCCGTGTTGGTAAAAATGAGGTTGCTGTCGTGTTGAGAGTCGACAAGGAAAAGGGTTACATCGATTTGTCCAAGAGAAGAGTGTCTGCTGAGGACATCGTCAAGTGTGATGAAAGATACAACAAATCTAAGGCTGTGCACTCGATCTTGAGACACTGCGCAGAGAAGTTCAACGTATCATTGGAAAAATTGTATCAGACGGTCGGATGGCCATTGTCCAGAAAATACGGTCATGCTTACGACGCTTTCAAGTTGCTGATCACCGACTCCACCATTTTCGAAGGCGTGGAAGCTCCATCTCCAGAGATCTTGGAAGAATTGAAATTGTACATTAGCCGCCGTTTGACTCCTCAGGCCATCAAAATCAGAGCCGATGTGGAGGTGTCGTGCTTTTCCTATGAGGGTATCGACGCTATTAAGTCGGCCTTGAAGGCTGCTGAGGCTGAATCCACCGAGCAGATGCAAGTTAAGGCCAAATTGGTGGCTGCTCCATTGTATGTTATCTCCACTCAGGCATTGAACAAGGTACATGGTATTGAGTTGTTGGAAAGGGCCATCGAGAAGGTCACCGAGTCTATCGAGGCTGCTGGTGGTAACTGTAAGGTCACTATGGCACCTAAGGCTGTGACTGCCACTGAAGATGCAGAGTTACAGGCTCTCTTAGAGAGAAAGGAGGCTGAGGATAAGGAGTCGTCTGATGAGGAGGAGGACTAGATAATTTAGCATTTCGTTTACATGGACCACCCATTCTTCTCTGTATATTTAACGTTCTATATGGTGTATGGCAACGACTTGGTGAGTGATAATTCGTGCTTGTTGGCACGCTCAATGATTGTAGCAGGGAGGTTGTTGAGGAGAAGCGAGGGGATCTTAAGATCGACGAGCGATTCTGGGAAATGCACATTGTCGATACTGATGAGGTCTTGGTTACCACTGAGATCGAGAACTTTTAATTTGGGACCAAACCTCACATTCCTAAGTACCCGTAGGTCGTTGTACGCGAGATTTAACTCTTGTAAATGGAAAGGGAACTCCATAGACTCGATTGCTTTAATCAGATGGTATCCCAAGCGCAAAACACGCAAGTTAACAGGCAAAATCACGTCCTTTAGCGATGTAATGTATTTCTCATTATCTTCCGCATAGGGATCCATTTCTAAGTCTAAAACCTCAAGGGTGGGAGGGAGCAGCACATTCTTCAATGTGGTGATCAAGTTGTTTCCCAAATATAGCTCCTTTAACGCCGTAGGAAACACCACCTTGTTTAAAGTTTTGATATTGTTGTGAGCCAAATACAACTTCTGGATCAGATTTGGAAGCTTGAGAGGATTGATGCTGTTGACTCCATTGCATGCCAAATTCAATTCCAAGACATAAGGTGGAAGCTTCAAGCCTCTAGTGTTTGTCATGGACTGTTGGAGATTGAGCCAAATAGTCAGATCAGGAAACTTGATTCCTGTCATTGACTCGTTGGGTATGCACGAGAGATCCAAGTATTCCACCGTTTCGGGGAACTTGGCACCTTTAATACATTCTATTGGATTGTTCGAAACCGAAAGATGCTTCAAGTTTCTAGGGAAGTTGATGCTCTTTAAGCTGTCAATGCTATTCTGAGACAAGTCAAGAGCTAGAAGGTGCGGTGGAAGATCCACATAGTTCAAGAAAAAAATTTTGTTTTGCAGAAGGTCAAGGCGTTCAAGCATTGGCGGAAACGAAACGTAGTCGATGGATGTGATGACTCCCTTGGAAGCATTTAACGCCTTGAGTTGTGTGGGCATCTTGAAGCCCGTGAGCGTCTCAAGAGAGGACCCGCCTCCGATGTTCAAAACTTGTAAAGATTCTGGGAATCTCACACCAGGAAGAAACCGAATACAGTTTTCTGCATAATCGCACACTTTAAGGTTTTTCCAAATGACAACATCTTCTGAGATCTCCTTTCCCAAATTCACCAACTCATCCTTTTCGGTGATGTAGATTGTGCTGGAGTCATATTTTCCAACCACCGAGCACTGTGTCACTTTCTCGCCGCAACAGATGTTCAAACTTCGAAGAAATTCGTTGTATTCGCTCTTCTCATCCTCTCTATAATCGGCCCATTTCTTGTTTTGGTTAAATACAATGTGATAACCCACTTCATGGGCACCTTCAAAAAGACTTCTGTGGGTGGTGAAGAGACGGCAAATATATTTAACACCTTCCACAAAATTCTCGTCGTACTCAATGCATATGTTAATATGCGTGTAGGTGGCAAACTCAAATTTCTCTGCTTGGTCCACGGAGACTTGTGTAATGGGTATGTTTTTTAGTAGGCGAAGACTTCCTAAATGCTCGATGATGTGTCTGTTCATGCACTTTCCCGCCAAAAGGACAAGCCGGGAATGTACCTGTGTGCTCTTTGCCACCAGGCCTCCATTCGCAGTTTTTGTGGACTCTACCAGTATGCTGAGGGGTGGAGTTGTAGCTACTTTACTGGTACTTTTCATATCCGCATTGTAGGGTACTGAGCCATGTGGAATTGAGCCACCTGATGCCAGTTTGACATCACTAGGCATAAATTTGGGTGCAGAAGAAGCAGAAAATTCGATTTCAGGTGTCACTTCAACCAAGTCGGACAGTTCTGGCTTGACAGAAATGAGTGTTTCATTTCCAGCTGGTGGATGTGGTGACACGCCTGCAGTTTCGAGGAACGAGTCAGCGGAAGGACTTGAGGGATCTATTTTCACCCTTTTGGGTGACTGAAGTGACTCCAGCTCCATTTTGGGGTGCGTGTATTTTATCTGTGGATTGTATAGTTATAAAGTTGGTGATGAGATGCTGTATGTGATATCTTGTGCAGGTCTGTTCATTGATTTGGCTACATGAGGTATAAAAGTTTCCTTTATTTCCCACATTGAAAAGATTTATTATATTAAAATTTGAATATGTAACCCAATCCTAATCCCAAGTCTAAATTAAAAGTTGATTGGCCGGAAGCAGTGTTGAAATGGAGCAAGGACTGGGACGGTGAGATGGAGATGACCATGGTCAGCATCGGTGTCAGCCAAATCTGTTCTTGCAATCAAGTAGCCTCGGAGAACCAAAAGGGTGGCACTACAGCAAAAAAATGCCACTCCTGCAAAAATTGAGGAGTTCACGTACTGTTTTGGATCCACGAAACCATGGTTTCCCGATTTCAATGCAAGTCCAATCACAGGTGAAGCAATACCGGCCAAACCCAAAAATGGCCACGAAAGACATACACCAACACCCACTTTACGTAATCCAACAAGTCTTGCCAAAATTGGGGGCGTTGTTGCAAACACACTGCCCATCATACTCCCCATAATCAAACAAAAGGCAATCACAGTAGCAAAGTTTCTGGCAGGGATCCACATGGCAATCGCAAATACGCCACATAGAGCGTACACGCCGACACCTATGTTCATCACGCCAAACTTGTCAGAAAGCTGCCCAACAATGGGTCTTCCAAGCACGGAACCAACCTGGACCATAGCAGAAGCAATAGAACCTTGGTATGGAGAATAACCCAAGGACGTGGTAAAGTTCGCCATACCGTACAACACAATCACATAGCCTAACATGCAGAAAATGAGGTAAAAGCAGAAGATCCAGAAACCAACACTGCGCGTAACTTCCGAGTCATATAAAGCAAACTTGGTCTCCATTCGAGTCCTAATAAGAAAAATAGATATCCATGTAAGCCCAAAACACATAATGGACTGGACACGCAAAGCCCAAAACACCGACTTGGCCTCCAACACCTTTTGCATACCTAAATTATACACCAACCCTCCACATCCTGAACCAGCGGCTGATATGGAAGAAGCGAGGGTTCTTCTGTTTTTGAACCATTGGGGCAAAATAGAAATGGCAGGAAGCGTGATGAATGCAAGGCCAAAAGCCTGGAGAAGACCCTGTGTGAGATAGAGCTGCCACAAATGTTTAGCAAATGAGGCCATCATCAACGCTGCAAATTGAAAGCAATTGCCCAAGATGATGGTGGGACGCAACCCGATTTTACCCTGAATGAAGTTGATGGCTGGAGCAAACGCTAATCCCACACCAAACGTCAAGCCTCCAATCAAAGCATAGTCATATTTGTCTGCACCGGCGAAAGTACCGTTATTCAAGTAGTAAGACAAGTAAATGGCAAAGCCCGAGTTTGCACCCCACGTATTGAAATTCATGAGAAAACAAGCGAATACAATAAGCCACCCGTAACCGCCATCAGGAATTTGAGAGTACAGGGCAGATCTCTCCAACGGTTTGCTTTTCTCATCAGCCATGGGGAGACCTACAATGACCTCATCTTCGTCGTTGTTGGTGAACTCCGTGCTTGACAGACCCAAATTATGGACCGGAATATTACTGGGCGTTTCCAGCATGTGTTCTGGTCTATTAATAAAAAAAAGATGTAGTACCCTTAGGTGTAATTATCAAATTTCGGAAAAGTTGGGGAAGAGCCGTTTTGAGTATTACTAACATCCACACCTCCGTTTGTATGCAGATTGAATAAATCGGGGCCCCGGACTTTGAATAATAGTTAAGTTTATTGGGAAGATAATTTTTTAAAATTTGACGTGCCGAAGAGGGAGGCTTAAATATCCCGCTCGGCTCCGTGTTAACACCGTAACGTCATGATTTTTTAGATATGCGGTACCGAAGCTTGAAAATATCGGCCCGAACCACATTCCGTCTCTCGGATTTTATCTTATTTCCTCCGAAAGTGCGATTCGTATATGCGAGATTTCTCACACATCTGACGAAATATGCCTGGAGTACTATACAATTTCCAAGGGGTGTCGAATTGCTCAACAGTCCCGTGGTCCAAAACCAAAATTCGGTCATATTCAAGAATGGTTTTGAGTCGGTGCGCCACACAAAGTATGGTACATTCACTGAATTCCTCCACAATGGCCGTTTGGAGCTTACTGTCGGTAGCGTAATCCACACTAGAAGTTGCTTCGTCCATAATTAAAATCTTGGACCCTCTCACAAGTGCTCTGGCGAATGCAACACATTGCCTTTCACCAAGCGAGAAATTTGCGCCTTCATCCTCAACGTGCAGATCAAGGTGGAACTTGTGCATATGCTCACTAGTGCCATTCTGGGCCCTGACCTCTTCGAATTCGGCCGTATCGATTATTCGGGCACGAAGTAGAATCCTCCATAATTGCTCATCTGTTTTGCTTTTGAATGGGTCTAGATTGCTTCGAATGGTTCCACGGAAGAGCACTGGGTCTTGAGGAATGATGGAAAGTTTCAGTCGCAAATCGTGTAATCCAAGTTGGCTCACATCCAAACCGTCAATTGAAATTTTTCCATGGGTCAATTCTACTAGACGGTATAAACACACCATTATGGACGATTTTCCTGCCCCCGTTCGTCCACATATTCCCACTTTTTCGTAAGGCTTAATTTTGGCTGAAAAATGCTTGAGGGCAGGAGGAAGTCCAGGTCTGTAGCTTAAGGTGACATCTTCGAACTCGATTTGGCCCTGTTGCGGCCAATCTGGTGCTGGGGCAGTTTCTGACTTGACAAACGCCGCCTCTTTCGGGAGGTCATAAGCATAGTCCATAATTCTCTCTGTTGAATTCATATCTTGCTCAACCTGGGTGTACATCACCACAGCAGTCGAGATAGCACTTGACATTTGAAGAACGTAAGACAAGAGTAGACCAGCAGATGCTGGTCCAATATTGAATACTCTGAAAACACATAGAAGTGAGATTGCAAGCGCAAATGCACCAGTCAAAAATGAAAGCACAACGTCAAACCATCTTTGGTTGGCTACTGTAACGTAGTATGCCTCATTCATACGATCCACATAGCGAACATTTTTCGAAAGAAACGCATCTTCGGATTTATAATCCTTGATAGTCTCTAAACCAGTTAAAGTTTCGGTGAAGTTGCTGTAGACAAATGATCTCTGTAAGGCCTCCACCCTTTTCACTTCTCTCCCTGAGGCTTGATAAAACTCTCCAGAGATGAAGAAAACAAGGAATAGAACAGGAACCGCAATAGCAAACCATGGAAGATAGATAATAGAGAGGATGATGACACCCATAATTAATCCAAAGTAACTGGCAATCATAGCGACTTTATCGCACATTTCGTTGTCTAACACGTCTGTATCCTTGGTGAATCTGTTGATGATTCTTCCCATCGGAGTTGTATCCATATACCACATGGGTACATGGAGAATGTTCTTGACTGCCTTGAGGTTCAAAATTCTTGAAGATCGGTTCAAAAGAGAGATTATGCCAGCGAAATGGAGGCACAATCCCAACACTCCACCGAATATGAACAACGTGTATAGCCCAATGTAAAAATCGTTGCTCCGGTTCTTGAATCTATATTCAACCCAAAATGAAAGCCAAACATTGGCAAACAAGGTGAGGAATATAGCACATACGCTGAAGAATAAAATTAGTGGAATAACCCAGTTGCAAGTGAAACCTTGAGCACCAGCCGCAAAATATCGCCGATAAACCGACCATCCGATAGCATTAACTGACTTGGATTCCTCAGAAACTAGCTTTCCATCGACTTTATCAATATTTTCGACTTCACAGTTCTTTAATTCTACTTTCTCGTCTTGAGAAACTCCGGGGGCTATGGAGTCTTTTTCCTCCTTCGCCTCTGTTTGGCTATGTTCCATCAAAAGCTTAAAGTCCGTGCTTTTTTTAAGCATTTCATCTAAGGTCCCAATAACCATGGTTCCATCCCCGTTCAAAAAAATCACCCGGTCTGCAGATCCTATGAGTGAAAGTTGGTGTGTAGCCAATACTCTAGTCGTGGTTTTCAACATACCCAAAATACAGTCGTCCATGATGGTTTTTCCGACCTTGGAGTCCACAGCACTAAGAACATCATCAAGAAGTATGATATCCGGGTGAGAATATACAGCTCTGGCCAAACTAACTCTGGCTTTTTGACCTCCAGACAATGTGATGCCTCTTTCACCGATTTCTGTCTGATCTCTACCTGGCAAGATATCAAGATCACTCTGCAAAGCACAAGCTTCAATGACATTCCTGTAGCGATTTTCTTCAAAAGGGAGCCCAAAAGTGATATTGTTTCTGAGAGTAGTATTCTGTAGCCACGGTGTCCCGCACATCAAGACTGAGCCGTTCATTTGAATGTGTCCGGAATTTCTCTTCATTCTGCCGTTAAGTGCCTGAAGAACAGACGACTTTCCAGAGCCAATTTGACCGGTGATAACCACAAATTCTCCTGTTCTAATAGAAAAGTTCATTTGTTTCAATTGGAATGTTCTTTTCTCGGTTGTTGAGTTACCTCTATCCGAATCTTTACTTGAAATTTCTTCACAATCAACGTTCACCTCTTTATTTTCAGGTTCATCGCTTTTCTCCTCATCCAGCTCAACTAAAGTCCATTCAAAATTTCCATTGCTGACATCAATGGCCACCTTTTTCTCTTTCAATACCGTAGCCTGATCTGGCGTCAAATCTCTTTCAGGATCATAAACTATTTCTTCAGCTGCGAGGAAATCACCCACTCTTTTCATTCCGATGAAGGCGTCCGTACCATTGGCAATAGAGAAAGGCAACATGACGAAAACAGCAGCAAGAACACCGAACAACGTCAAAGAAGGGAAGATAGTGGCCGCATTCCTTTCGGACGCATCTGAGGCAGCATAAAGAACCATAAATGCTGTGAATGATGACAACAATGGTAAGGAGGAGGCGGCAGCAATGATAATACTTCTAGTAATCTCCATCTTCAATATAAACGACATCTCAGTGATCCTTGTCTCCAGAATTAAATTAAAGTAAGGGGTTTCCCATGAGTAGAACTTGATCATCTTCAAGTTGCTGAGGATTTCTTTCATGTATCCCACCCGGATATCGGTGAACTTTATGGCCCTGAATCTGTACCCGAAAAGCAAAGTTCCAAGTGCTGCCACCAACATCACATATAAGAACATGACTCCCAAGCCAGCCAACGCAGGGGCTTTAATGTTCTTCACCAACAAAGCAATTGAAATGGCGGCTGGGAACGGCCAAATAAAAAGCCAAGGTGAAAACCCGACACCAATGTCAACTCGAGAAATATCGGTACTCATAATGGAAGTGATCATAGACGGAGGAAACTTCTTTCTTGATTTCTCACTGAGACGAAATGATTTGTCCAACATAAGCTTCGTGAGTAAACCCTTTAACTCAGCGCCCGTGAACGTTGAAAGGAAGAAACCCTTGTTGACAAACATGTTCCCCACTAGAATGGTGAGCATTAACCCAATGGCGTATCCCACCCCTTTCCCTGTTGGTTCGGGTAGGCCCAATGCTCTCTTCAGGACGAATTTGATCAATTCCCGAGACAATAATGGATTACATGCCACGGTCGTCATTCCTGTTGCCATGTAAAAGCATGCTGTGAAATACTGCCACCTGAAAGCCTCTAGAACTGAGTACACGCAAAGCGTTGAAGCTGGAACGTAGTCGTCCAATTCTGACTCAACATGTTGATATCCTTGATGAGCCATGTCACCTTCGTTTGTGTTTTCCTCCTTTCCTTTACTTTCCCAATAAATTTCTTTCAGCTCCTCCGTCTTTGATATTTTGCTTCCCTCCTTTCTATCTTGTATTACTCTTTTCTTCCTCTCGATATGTTTCTGCTTATCCTCCTCCAACCTGCGAGTAAACACCTTCTCAAATCTGGCAGCCAACGTCGTTGCACAAACATCTTCGTTCAACTTGAACAAATCATTGGGCTCCAAAGTTCTCTTGTAGCCTACTCTAAGTACTGGAAGAAGCCAGGTAAAAAGAAAACTCAACACCAATGTCATTGGACGAGGAAATGTCCGTCGCTCATCTTCCAATGGCACCGGAGGCACCTTTTTTGAAAGAAACCGACTAAGAAATCGTCTTTGGAGTTTAGGTCCAGCCTCTACGTCTGCGGCAATTGAGCTTTGATCAGTGGTCGTCACTGGTTGCTTAGTTTCCGGTTGATATAACTTTGACTGGAGTGAATCAGGCTGGTCTTTATCAACATCTTTTGAATGCACTAACCTCGAACGACCTACACCGCTAACTCTGCCTCCATCAAGGCTCCCGACAGTGTCAATCGATACCATTTCTACCTGACAACCAATGCAGTTACAATGCTACAAGGTCAATTCGACGAACAAAGGCCATTTATACTTGGGGCATCAATACGAGAAATGACATATGCCGTAGCCAAGACTATGACGCGGTGTTAAAGTGCCGTTTTTTATGTCTACTACGCTGGTTAAGGGGCATTGGTGATTCTTGAGGTTCACTATGTAGTAAGAAACACCGAGATCGGGACTAAAATGTGGAGCAATTATAGAAGCAAAAGTTACGAACATTATGCAGTCCATTAACTATCAGAGGGACGAGTTGAAAACGCAATGAGATGCCTTTTTAGAACGTTTTTAAAAACCTCAAACAAAAAATTACAATTTCAATTTGATAGGAAATAGAAAAAAATAAAATATTCAACGGGGCAAGCCGGGAATCGAACCCGGGACCGCCCGCACCCTAAGCGAGAATCATACCACTAGACCACGTGCCCCTTGAACATGTCCGTATTATTTAAAATTTAATCATATAGAGTATTTATAATCTATATGCAGTCACATTTTGGTTGATACGGTTTATTCAGATTTAGATATTCATATTGTGTTTAGAATTATTCAACCATCGAATGACTCACAATTGGCAACCCTATATGATTAATAGCAGGTATTAGAAAACGAAATCTACTTTGAATCACTAGAAATACTTTTTGAGTTAAAATACTCCCTATTTTAGAAATCTTGAACAATAATCAATCCTAACATCAGATCAATCACGGCCGTGGCTGCAAGACTGGTGATCTCACTATTGGAGTCAAAAGGTGGACTCACTTCAACAACGTCTCCACCAACAAGGTTGATGCCTTCCAAACCATCCAAAACTGAGAGCAATTCTCGTCCTGTCCATCCTCCAATTTCCATGGTGCCAGTTCCTGGAGCATTGGCCGGATCCAATACGTCAATATCCACAGAAATGTATACGGGCATATTTCCGACAGACTCCTTAACCTTGTCGATTATCGCCTGTTTACCTAATCTGTCCAAATCTCTGGCAGTAATGGTCTGAAAACCACATTCTCTGTCGTGCTTAATGTCATATTCAGCACTAATGTAAGGAGCACGCAAGCCCAAATGAAAGCAGTGATCCTTAGCCAAATATCCTTTTTCTGCTGCGTAATGCAAAAAGGTACCGTGATTCAATGACATGTAGTCCGAGATTCCTCCTCCCAAAACCTTGGGATCCCATGTATCAATATGGCTATCGAAATGCAATACTGCAAGCTTTCCAAACTTTTCGTAAGCAGATCTCAATGCCATAAGTGTTACTGTGTGGTCTCCACCCATGGTAATCACCTTAGTATGTTCAATCAGTGATGCTTTTCCACTGACTGTATGGTTGTGGATAGCCCTCTGTCCTCTGTACAACTGATTTAAAGCCACCCGATTATCAAAAGGAGTCATTGGAACATCACCGCAGTCAATAATCGTGAAGTTGTGATTAGTAGGGTCATAAGGGTCAATTTTTCCGAGTTTGGAATCTGGTCCATTACCTCTAACTGGAGTGTATCCTTGTCCCAACCTACGAGCTCCCAGACGGATAGCCTCGGGTCCAAATCTTGCGCCGGGTCTGTAGGAGGTTCCAGTATCGAAAGGAGCGCCAACAATGGCCACATCAATAGGTTTCTCGAACAAATTTGGGTCGAAGCAATTGAAGGACTCAAAATGGCCGAAAGTGATGATTCCTCCGAGAAAAGACACTTCTGAAAGGTCTTCAGTGTCGTCATCAGATGGAAGTCGGAGCTTCAGGCGTATTTTCAAATATCCATCATGGGCCCTTTGCCGTTTGGCCTTATCGTGATTCTCGGTGATTGATTGTAGTGCCAGAGCAATCTGCCATGGCGACCCAACCAATTGTGTTTCATCCACAAAGTAGGAAACCAATTTTTGTGGTTCATCCAATCCTTCAGAAAGTAGTTGCAATTTGAGAGCTTCAGATTCTGGTGTCAGCACCACTTCCCCATATAGTTGGTCAATATAAGATTCCTCTGGCAATTGCGGGGAGTTTTCAACGAAAACCACTTCTTGTGCGGATTCGTAGGCGTTGAATGTTGGAGATGCTGCTATTAACAGCACTAGTGACAAAATAAGAGGCCAATTCATGGGTTAAGGTTGGTTATCCAGTGGAGATTGAACCGTAGATATAGATGAGTGGTGTGTATAAAGTGATTATTCCGCAAATTCCGCTTAGCGGTATGATACCGCTAAAGGTGGGGGGATGATTGATGATGATAGATGGAATTTGGAGGCTGCTTTAAAGAAAACGACATGGCCGAAAGAAAAAAAGGTTGAAAGGTAAACACAACGTATAAGCATACAAATACAGGCGTATTACAGGGAGAGAGATGAACAGAACCAGTGACAGACAACCTGATAGAGGAAATTGCAGAGCAACAAACAAAGAAACAAACAAAGAAATAACCAGGAGAGTGAAAAATAGGATAATAGACCGACAAAAGCAAAAAAATAAAAATGAACATTACTATTTTAGTGACGGTCTGAGAACTCTGAATTATCCAAAACTGCGAATCTTACAGGGTAGGCATCAGCTAGGTTATTGGCGTCAACAAAAGTTACCGCACTTCCGAAACGGTAAACATTCTTCAAATACAACGACATCCTCAATTGAACACTACCACAAATCCCATGTAACCAATTCTTCGTATTTCCCTTTTCATTAACCAGCCACCTTTTCCTCATCGCTTCTGCCCTGTACCTTCCATGCATACTCGCTAGTAACCATTACTGCTTGCACATGAACGTCAACTGTTGCTATTGATGAATATGCACCTTTCCAAGACACAAAACAAAACATATACCATCCTGGAACTTTTCAATGCCTTTTGATCTCCCTCCCTTCCCTACTCATATCCCGAAATTGGTATCTCTCAGTATTTTTTAAAGGGTCTCCAGTCTCCACAACCTGCATTGATACATGCGGCTGGATTCAGCCTCACATCTGTTTAAAAACTATAACATATCGATGTTACTTGTAAAGATTCATAGAGGAAGACACAGCCACGGTAGAACTCTTCATGCCGAAAATTGAATAGTCAAATCCCCTATTTCTTTTCTGTTAACTTTTCCTCAGTTTTTGGTGGCCGTTTTCTGTCTATTGTGTCATTTCCATTCCTTCATCTCCCCTCCTCTTCCCTGTACACACCTTATAAATAATTCTTGCTACTCTTCTCTTGAGGATTTCATCCACATGTCTTACAACCAACAGCCGGGTCCACTGTACGGGGGCAATCCCCAGTTTGCCAACGGAAACCAGCAATACTACCAGAACAACCAGTATTCGCAGAACCAGCAGTATGACCAGAATAATCAAAACAACCAGTACCAGCAATATCAACAGAATCAAGATCATAATGGGAATTACGAAGCACAAAGTGGACAGCCATACGATGAAAAGCCATACCATTCGGAGAATTTTGATGACGCCTTCAAGGTCGAAAAGCCCCGCTTCAATGATGTTCCCTTTGCCATTTTCTTCCTTTTGGTGGTTGGAGGGTTCTGTGCGGTGGCCGGAATCACTTTACATGCCTTGTCGTCTACCTGGAGCTTCCAAGGAGGCTCAATCTACTCTAGCAGCAACACTTTTACCTTGAACTCAAACACCGCCGTGCTTTTTGGCTTTGTGGTTGTGGTGTCTGTTGTTCTCTCTATTCTCATCCTCGTGTTCGCAAGATGCGCAGCCAAATTGTTCATCACTACTGGCCTTATTCTTAATGTCATTCTCGGCTTAGGAACTGCCATTTTCTACTTTGCAAAGCGTTACTACTCTGCTGCAGTTGTGTTTTTGGTGTTTACTCTTATTTCGGCCCTCATGTATTGGCGATCCAGACTGCGTATTCCATTCAGTGCCAATGTGTTGGAGATCACAATTGATGTGATGAAACGGTATAAATCTACACTTGTGGTGTCGTTCTTAGGTGTTGTCATTCTGGGTGCCTTTTCGGCTCTCTTTTCGATGGTCATTGTGGGTACTTATGTCAAATTCTCACCTAATGAGAATAACCCTGGCTGTAGTGCCTCTGGTGGTTCGTGTTCTCAGCTGAAATTGATCGGTGTCCTTGTATTCGTGTTCTTCGCTGGATACTTTATCACCGAAGTCATCAAGAATGTCATCCATGCCACTATTTCTGGAGTTTATGGAACTTGGTACTACTTGTCGGGTTCTGACCAGGGAGAGCCAAAGCATCCAGCCTTGGGTGCGTTCAAGCGTGCTATGACTTACAGTTTTGGTTCCATCTGTGAGGGTTCTTTAATTGTGTCAATTCTCCAGTTAATCAGAGCATTAGTTCGTATCTTGCGCAGTAATGCCTTGGGAGATAACGAGCTTTGTGCAGCATGTGGATACTTGATCTTGGACTGGATTCTCGGCTTCATCGAGTGGTTGGTCCAATACTTCAATCACTACGCCTATATCTACATTGCACTTTACGGAAAGAAATACACCAAAGCTGCCAGAGAAGTCGTGCAACTTCTTCGTTTCAAAGGAATGGATGCTTTGATCAATGACTGTTTTATCAACACCTCTGTGAACTTATACTCGATGTTTGTGGCATACGTGGTGTCGCTCTTGACCTACTTGTACTTGTGGCAGACGGCTCCTGCTTACAACAGCAGTGGAAATTACTATGCACCATTGATTGCGTTCAGTTTCGTTGTCTCCGGCCAGATCAGTAGAGTTTCGTTGACGGTAATCGAGTCAGGAGTGTCTACTTTCTTTGTTGCTTTGGCAAAGGACCCTGAGGTTTTCCAAATGACGAACAGAGATCGTTTCGATGAAATCTTCCGTAACTACCCTCAAGTGTTGAACAAGTTGGTGTCCAACTAATGCCGATGAATGTTTATTGGACTGTCAATTTTCTTGAACTTCTTCTGGGTGACCAGAGTGTATTACTTGATAAAATGTAACATTCGAGTCTATTCTCATTTCGTAGTAAAGTAGTTTTTATCTGTACCCAATTCCAAAAGATGAATTGACTTGGATAGTCTGAACTACAACAAATTCTATTATATCTTTCTACTTCAGCTTGTGTTTTGGCTTGTGGTGGTTGAAATCCTCCCAAATCTTTAGCTTGGCCCAGTTGCGACTTACATATTAACAATAACAGTATATGCAATTAACACAACCTTTTCATACTATGACTACCGAAAAAGCAAACTTGAAAAAATTAAACATGACCACAAAAACACAAATTAAGAATCAACAAATAAGGATCGAAAAGCTCATTAAATCTGGGAAAGTGTGATTAACGTCTATTATTCAAACTCCCTCTTATCTATCGTGCATACAACCCTCAACAGTTGACTCGTTTAACCTTATACTACTTTACTTCCGTGATGTTAACCTTAGCAATTGGAGATCTTTTCATTCCAGACCGGGTCATTCAGATTCCTCCAAAGTTTCTCAAGCTTCTAGCGCCAAACTCAGGTTCAGTGCCATCGAATCCGAAAATCTCTCTGGTGCTATGCTTGGGCAATATCACCCAGTCCAAAGAAACTTTGAAGTTTCTCTATACTTTGTCGCCCACACTTGATGTTGTTCGTGGCGAATTCGACGACTACGTTGTTTTGAGCCAGCAGCTCCAGCACTTGGCCGGAAAAAAGAGCCCGGTACCTCTACCTTTCTATAAGGTGGTCACTGTGGACAACTTCCGGATTGGATTCACAAATGGATACCAAATCGTGCCCAAAAGCGATCCATTATCGTTGCTAGCATTTGCACGGGAAATTGATGTGGATATTTTGATTTGGGGTGGCACACACAAGGTGGAGGCTTACACATTAGATGGCAAATTCTTCATTAATCCAGGTAGTGCCACGGGAGCCATCAACTTCGAATGGCCTGAGAAGGACGACGAAGATGAGGAAGATGAGGAAGAGGAAGAAGAGGAGGAGGGAAAGAGCCATCTTGAAGAAGATAAGGAGGAAGCCGACAACGCCGAAGAGAAGGAAGATAAGGATACAGATGAGAAGGTTGAGAAAGAGGAGGATGAATTGGACGAAAACTTGGAGGTTGACCTCACGTCTTCAATACCTTCCTTCTGCCTTTTGGATACTCAGGGTAGCAAATGCACCCTCTACATCTACACGTATATGAATGGCGAGGTAAAGGTTGACAAGGTGATGTACCAAAAGGAATAGCCTATTTTGCGATAAATTCAAGAAACTAGTCAAAGGTACTCGGAAGGGGTAGCAGATCATTTAATTACAACCTTCAATACATTTTCAGATCTGAATACTTCCACAATAATCAAATGCTTATTATATATTACAACCAGCCCATATTTACGCCTGCACCGACAGGTAGTGAAGAACAAACTCCTTGCGGATCTTCTCCCAGTTGTGTGGATCAAAGAAGATGTAAACTCCTCGCTCCACGTCGGGACTGATGAGCACAGGCTCAACATTGCTGTCTTTGGTCAACCACACCTGAATATCCCGGTGATATCTCCAGTTTCTGGCCACGAGCTCGCGGGCAGCGTACTCCTGGAGAGTGTCACGCGGCTTGGTGTAAAAAATGTAGAAAAGTGTCTCATCCATAAACGACAGAATCTTGGTGTCACAAGGTTCTGGTGGAGGAACAATGTTCTTCTGTAGGATGGACTCATGCAAGGAGAAGAAGGGCTCCACCTCAGATCTGGACGTTTCCTGCCATGGAGAAGCTAAGTTTTTTAAGATTTCCAGGTCCTCGCTGAGATCGAGTCCCATGAGCCCGAGATCTTGTCCTATGGCGCTGCTGTTTTGGTCTGTCTGGTCCATTTTAACGAGCAGTGAGATGCCCTTGAGACCGAACTTGTCAATGTCGGCCGTTTCAGGAGCAGGCGTGGATCCTGCTGTAGAGTTTCCATTTAGCGAGCCCAGTAGGCCTGGAGGAAGAATGGCAGTCATTTGTGGATTATTAGAATTATGCTGGAATTGGTGATGTAGACGTCGAAGTCACGTGATAACCATCACAATGTCTGGATTTAGACTTCGAGTAGCATTCGTGGTGATGAAATTGAAATTGGCGCTACAGGATCAACGTATATTTAAGATAAAGGGCTTGTCCATTACTTGTGATGATAAACATAGTAGTGAGTGTGGAAGAAAGTTTGACAGTTAGTGCGACTAGGATGAGGAACTCTTGTAACTGTGAGTATGATGAAACGTCAGCTCCACCTGACGAGTTATATGCCACGAAAAAATGCAATATAATTACGAAAACCTGCTTAATGAAAGTTATCTAGTGTTATGTTGCCATCGCTGGAAATGAGTCTTATTTGTGTCTCAAAGAATGCAGGGGGGCCTCTGTTCGTTCAATCCGTCTTGTTTGTCCACCATCCCCAGACTTGTCTTATCTATACTTTCGACTTGACTCAGTAAAAAAAAAAATCTTCTTGTTTTGTGAATGCTCGTTCGACACAGCTCGCTCAGGGCTCTGTCCAGATGCATAAGATAATTAGCACCATAAAAGGAACGTGCACTGTAATCTAAACCTTGACCAGTTGATCCCGAAAAGTACGAGCAAAAGAGTACCTGTATTACTCACTTTTCTAAGTTTCAGAAATGTCACTACCAATTGAAATCAAATTGGTAATTTCTACCACTAGTCGGCAGCATGACATGACTAGGCAGTCCAGTATAGACATTTAGCATGTAAGAATTTCAACCCCTCTTCCTCAAATGCCTGTTCTAAAGCTCATATATGCTTTGTTGTTCATGTTCATAATAGCAAGGCTGAAGTATGAATAGTCCTGGAATATGAAGTATATTGCAATTGATTTCCTCCTTTTCCTAGCATCCAGTGAACTATATACCTTTCTGTTAAAAGTTATTTGCCTCATTCCGTATGTCCCGATGCAAGATGTTTTATCCTAGTCTAGCTTCATATGATCTTAATGAACTTAGTACACTAAGGGATTCTTTAACGCCAACCGAACGTCACAGATCTTCTTTCGATGCCAGAATTGAGCAAGTCCACCCGCACCATCGGTACTTTAATTAGTGTCTGAGGTGAGAACTTAGATCTAGCAAAAGGGTCGCCAATTCGACAGTATTCGAGGACACCGAACAAGAGCCCAGGTACAATAATAACGATTAATTTGTTATTGTTGGTCCTTCGCAAAGGAAATTCACTACATTGGAACTCTTGAGACCCCAATGTGCGAGGGTCCATCTATCGAAGACCAAGCCCACCAGAGATCTTTCCCCGACTCCCTTACAGACCTAATTGCTGGAAGGGTTCTCCAAAACTTTTGCCAAACAAATCAGATCGGGCCGTCCCTAATTGCGGTCACCACACGTAGTAATAGATTCGTCACCAATTTCGCAGCAATTCAAGGATCTACTTTCGCAGGCATGGACAGCTTGTTTTGGCCACATCATATACTTCGAAAGCAAAGCCAACAGAGATATAGCTGGCAGATCGATGATAATATAAAACAAGAAAAAGGAGGAGGAAGTTTATCGAATCTTGAAGGAATACAAATGTTCCCTCTAAAGTGTCGCACACAGCATTCTGATCCTCTGTCTCAGAATGAAACAAATGAGATAAGGAACAGCATCCCAGTAAGCGCTTTCAACTCTTATAATAACAACTAATTCCCTTGTTCAACCTAACGGGATTTGCCTTGTCCTAAACACGATAGTGCATATGACCAGTATCACCACGGCTACCACATTGTTAATCAGATAGCAACATTCCGAAACGAACCAATGCATATCAGCAAACGGGATACAACTGTCGTGAATGCTCCCCACAAAACAATTGTTCCGGAACTGTCGGTTGCATTTATTGGGATCTTGGTGATTCTTTTGGCGCAGGCCATATGCTTAGGATTCATAAAGTTTAGGGAGTGGAGAAAGGGAGATAAGACACAGTCCACACAAGGAAGACCTTCTGTTCAGACTACAGAAGGGACAAATGCTCATATGTCGTATCTGGTTCACCACAATGAGCAGCTACCGGCGTATCCACTAAATGATTTGCCACCTCCACCGTATATAGAAAGGTCGGAGGAGGCAAACGGGGGAGGGCCAGCAGTGGAAAGACCAGCAGTACCCCAAGTGGAGAGACCCCCAGTCGCATACATGGCGTCATAGGGGGAGCAATGATTATGCAATTGAGCAAGAGAGAATTGGAAACATGTGAACTGGAGTGATAAATCCGAACGATTCGTGTGATTTCATGAGGATGGTGATCCCTCAGTCTTTTAAGGAATAAAATTTATTGAAAACGGGATAGGGATATTTGATTTATTGAAGGTAGTTTTATTGGAGCTGAAACTTTAGGAGCTGGAATTATTGGAGCTGGAACTTCAGGTAGTCTCCTGGATCAGGATAAGGGCATATGATCCTGATATCAAATCCAGACCTCACAATAAGAGAATTACAATCAAATGAACAAGCAATGATTTTGTGATAATTTCTCTTCCATGGCTAGATTTTGGATGCTGACACATACTTCTTTTGTTGGAGAGTGTTTGTGGAATTTTTAGGGTGTTGCTGCTTTTCCCCTCTGAGTACATCTTTGGTTGCCAGCGAGGATTGCGAATCTTGACGTCACCTAAGGTTGAATTAGTAATACATTTTGAAAGATACGGCCGGGGAGATATTTTAAACGACGAATACAATAGGGTCCAAGTAAGTGAATCTTCTAATATCTGCGCTTGTATAAAATTTCCCATCAAGATCAGACATGGTACGCACTAATCTCCTACCTATCCATTTCTCAAGAGAATCCATTCGACTCATTTCCATGAAAATTCTTTCATTGACTTCCTATCTTCATTTCACATTCTCCTAACATAGTGATTTACATAATACAGTGAACTAGCGGAATGCGACCTTGCATCGTTCACAACCTCCAATTGACTTCTTAGAGTTCCTAACCAGACAAAGTCATGGGCCGTAAATTGACAATGGCATACTTAAATCATGGAATTCGTTTCTCATGGCTAGTAACTTCATCGTTTCTAGTGAATATACAATCAACTTAGGGTCAACGATCGAATCTAAAGACGGATGCCCAAACGACTGGCCAAAAAACCAACGTCTGGACTGAGCAATCAAGGCAACACTTCTGGTAATACTATTTGCAGCGAGAGCACAGAAGTGAACAACCAAGGCATAGTAACGCATTTGATCAGCTTATTGACTCCAAGAATGCTGGAATCACCAATTCGTTCCCAATCTTCAAGCTCAGGAGCTTCCCAGGTCAGCGACTACGATGAGGAGAGATTGAAGAACAAGAAGCATATTGAAACGCTTCGAAAGTCACTCCAGAACCCAAATTTGTCACCATCTGTTAGGACGATGTTGGAGAATGGACTTCGGGACTTTGAAAAAACCGAAAGAGACTACGAAAACATGCTTCCGAAGTATACAGATCTGCAGCCACCTCCATATAGAGAATAGGTATCCGAAATAAAACACAGTTCAGAGTGCAAGAGTCGGACAAAATTTCGACCAAGGAGCAGGATATGATCTAGCAAAGAATCAGATTCGTGCATTATGGCGTGGGAGGACTTTTTGTTTGAAGCTTGGAACAAATCTCTTGAAAAAATGGCCATTCAAGATTAAGATAACCATTTAAATTTGCCCGGGTCCCGCTGTGACAATTAGAGGTAATCATACCACTACTCTGACACGGCTGGAAGATTAGTCGATTCCTTCTGATTGTAATCGAATGAACAACGAAAGAAGGTGGAGAGAAAGACGAGTGATCGAATGGAAGAGTTTTAATTTTCTGGTTCAATGAGAAGCTCTGCACTTATCTATGCTTTTTGACCTAATCCAGCGACTTCACCTCCTTGTGATCACCATATTTACGTACTGAACCAACGCCCCAGTCAGACCTCTCCAAATGAAGAATAAATGCAAAAACGCAATCATTTTGTAGCTTTCTTCGATAACATGATCGTTGATGATTACAAACTCTGAAAATTATCTCAAGCCTTAGCAATCATGGACCTTTTCATAAATTTCACCAAAAAATGAGCTACTTGGAATCTTACGAGGAATTACCAACATGCCTGCTCCGATAATGCTCAAAGCAGAGGAACCCCTCATGAATTGCCCACAATCTCTTGTAGCAGGGTTCGGAGAATGAGCAAGCACTTGCTAATTCGTAATAAAGGCGGTTTGTATCGTCTCTTAATGTTGGAAAGATTGCTCTTCTGTGATTTGCGAATTACCTCCGCCATTTCTGGTTTGTTACATGTATGCTAGCCCCACAAATAATTTCGCCGTTCACAGCATCATTCCATGCGAGAGAGTAGAAGTTTTCAGTAGAATTAGTGCCATAGAGAAAAGCTATTGAAGTGACATTTTCTTCTCCTTCTTTGGGGCTAGAGAGCCAGTTTCTGAAGGCTGAAGCAAGTTAACATTGACCATAGCCAGCACTCACCCTATGAGTCATACCATTTGGACACCAGACGAATGAATGATGACAAATACTGGAGGAAATACCAACAATGTTCGCAACCTCTTTTTCGTATCCAACTACGTTCATAACGCAATTGGTGGTAGCGAGGAGGCTTGGTGAATCTAACGGCAAAAGACAGGAACGAAAAAGACGTAGTTCGTAATAGGACAAACACACAATGGTAGACACAATGAATTTCACGATGTCTACCAAAGCTAACCGCTACATTGGAAGGTCCAGATTTGCTACTCTATTTGAGAGGAATTATGGTCCGGTTAAACGCTTTAACCAATAATCAAAAGACGTATCTAGAAAGGACTGCAGACGAACTTTAGGTCTCGCGCATCACTAGCGAGTATCCTCGGAGTTTAAGTGATCTGCTTCCAGATTGAGACGATCGACACCGCTGATCAATTCTGATGATCCTTTGCTCCACAATTGCATAAAACCCGCCCAATCTTTGTCCAATCTTGGGAATTTGCCACATTCTCCCCTTTTCACGCCTTCTTATACTAACTGGCGCAAATCCCACTATCTAATTCATAATCAATACCATTTCAATATCCCTTCAATCTGGAACCGACATAACTCCTTACTACAACTGAATCACTGTGATATAATAAGGATTTCACTTGACATTTAATCTGACATTTATCCATTTAATTGTCATTTTAGGCGTTAAGACTCATATTGCATTTTGATTATGGTCTAATAATACACTTGTTACTAATCCTCGTCTGTAGTCTGCAGGGAGCGAGGCAGACCAAGGGCGGATCCGCTTCTATTTACAGCAATTAAAAGCTTCACCGTTGATGAATCTCTCAACAAATCCGGCATATTACTAAGCTCCGAATCATCTCCGGGCTGACACACATCGACATATGCAGGGAGATAAATCACATTCTCATCCATCTTGCCGAATATAAATGGACTAGCTCGCCCGACTATTCTTTTTCTTATAGCACTGCTTTTGATAATGACTTGGATGCCCCGTATCAATCTGCTGCGTCTAGACTCACGGCGTTCGTCCCGTCGCACTCCCTCCAGTACCTGTAACCACAGCCGTGATTGTTCAGATGCCGAAGATGAGAAATCTTCTTATAGCGGTTTGTCCCGTCCAACAAGCCCTTCAAATTTCAGTCTATCCAGTGGCGGGAACCCAACAAGACTTCATGGCGGTAGCGCCAGTACATATTACGGAGTTTTCAGCGCAAACTCACTGGTTGAAAACTTGCCTTTTGCAGATGCTGTAGACCCTCGCTTTTACCGGGGGATCCGCACTGCTGCACCTACGGACGACGATTTCGAGGTGGCTCAGAGACAGCAGACCTCCAACCTGGCGCGCATTGGCCAGCTTCAGAACTCGCTCGAAAACCCCAATTTGTCTTCAAATGTGCGTCGTGTGTTGGAAGCTGCACTCCATCAATTCGAAAGAACTGAGCAGTTGGACAAAGAATTGCTTCCGCCATACACTGAAGACGTTCGCCCCCCATACACGGAGTAAAGAAGAGAAATATGGTTGAAATGACAGTGATGAAAAATTTTGAGGATGAGAGAAATGGCACAGATAATGAGGACAATGGATAGAGAACACTCCGAAGATTTTTGGAACTGAGCTCACGAGAATGGGCGCAGAAGTGCGAGAAGTGCCATTTGATTATAGACTTAATGATTATTTATATATTATATCTGAGAATAGAAGACTGATAGATCATCGAAGAGTAGAGCATTCGACGCGAGTGAAATTTGGCCAACTTCCAACTGCAGTGAAAATGAAATTAAGGGTTAGTAATTCCATATCATTACATTTGCTTTGTCTGATGATGATTTCAGTGTCCTGGCAGTTCGTTGTTAATTTCATCATGATTATGATGATAGATTCCTTGAGCGCAGTCATCAGTACACAGTCTACTCCTATTTGGTTACGTCCATGGCTCGCTATCGGCGGTATTTGCATCATATGATAGGATTTGACATTCTTTTTCGTTCACAACTTTTGAAATTTGGTCGACAAGTCTCAGACCATGTATTACAGAGTGCATCGGACTCGCCGAAGGAGAATTTGTAGATGGATCTCGTAAATGCATATCTTAGCATGACTACTAAAACTCTAAGTTAGAAGTAGTGCAACCAACCAAATAGATAATTTATACACGGTTGAAGCAACTATTATAAGCCATTCATAGGGTTGATCAGATGCACTGATGAATGAAGTTGCAAGGCTGCAAAGAATTTAGAGAAAAGAGAAACTGAAAAACCAACTCAAAGGAACCCAGCCAAAAAAAATCGGAGTAAAGAAACCCCACCACAGATACCGGAAAAACGAAACAGCAATGAAAAAAATTAGAACAAGACTAAGAAAAAAAGTCAAGAAATAAAAATGAAAAGAAAAGTTGATAAGAAAACGAGGACAGGAACTCAAGGACAAAAATTTGAATAAAAGTTCCACCATGAAATCATCAATACTGAAGAACAAAAGCAGATCCAATTAAACCAAGGTACATAAAAACACCATCTATAGACCACGTACTTTTCATCCAATCAGAAATCACTAATTACAGAAACCACAACAGTTCCCACAAAAGCCATCCCATATACCTTCGTTGTCGTCTCCATCTTCCCCGTACCGGAAAAAACTTGGCTATGTCATCTTGGCCGAATGGCCGGAACCCTCACAAGGCGCAATATGTCACTTGTATCTTCCACGCAGTCTTAGTGTGGAGGTTCCATTTCGCAACCGCAGCAACCATTGGCAGATGGATAGAACTCCAGAAACGACTATCAAGGGATACTCACAGCAAAAACTTTCAATTCACAGCAATAATCCTCAATTTCCAGCAATATGTAGTCATCTTGGCACTGGGCACTTGCTTCATTAACCGAAACATCAGTTCGGTGTCTAACTCCAATCACCCCAGGTGGACTCAGGGCACATATCCCGATTATCATACTTTAGGTCATCACCCTCAACCTGATCCCGTTCTTCTCTTTATTTCCACATTTACATTTCAAACATGTCTAGTAATGCGCTGCCGAGGCTCACCAAACGTGAAGTACTGGCGGTGAGTTTCGTGCCCATCATTGCACTCCTGGTGTTCATTTTTGTCGGGTTGATTCGCTTTCTCCTATATAGGGACCGCAAGAGTAGTTGTCGTGGTACTTCCGGGACAATTAGTCCTCTCCCACCGCCCGAGCCAGTCCTGAGACCTGAAGAGGCCGAAATTGAAAACCCACCACCTCCACCTTACCAGCCAGACAAGCTTCCACCATACCCTACGGCCCCGGCCCCCGCATACTTGAGAGACGAGCGAGCGGAGAGCTAGGAGTGGAAAATGTGAATTGGTCGGGCCAGACGGGTCTGAGCTCTGACAAGTGTGGATTTAAGGTGGCACACGATCAACTACTGTTCCCTCGGAAGATTTGACTAATAAGGCTTTCTCACAGGAGAATTACTAGTTTGACTGAGACGATGTCTCTGCGTGGAGGCGTATTGGCTTCGGATTGACTGGGAGTTGGATTAAAATATTCGGGCTTTTTATTTGTTATTTATTTGTGGAATGTGGATGACGAAATAGTTGATGGTGAAATTCAATTCCGAGATTCTAAGTTGATTAGAGTTGACTATCATTTGAAACAATCCAAAATTTCATGTTTCCCGTCTGAGATCAGGTTCATACCGATTTGCCGGTTCAAATCGTTTGCAGAGAATCTATCATGTTTCCACAAATGTCTTTAACTCCACCACAACCGGATCCAGACCCGAGTTATCGACTGGTTCTCAAAACTGGTTAGTCCTTCCAGGATTCTGTGAATAATCGAAAGGGTACCCACAAAGTTTGTTGAGATTCGAACCCAGATTCATTATGCTTATAATATATGATTAATATCTATGAGATTGACTCCAGAAGATATAAATGTGTAAATAAGGATGTCGTATTTCTAGTTCCAGACTAGGGGAAAACAAAAAAACTCCACACCTCTATCGCCATAAGAACCCCACCAGTATTCTTAAACTGAATATGACTAGTGAATTCCACAAGGCAAATTGGTGTTCAAAACGTCATGATCACTAAGTGCTAAAGATCTAAAAAAACGGAAAAAGAAAACTCGAGCGACCGTCTACGATAATATACGTAAACATTGCGTCACAGAAACCAAAAGCAAGTGTTCTTCCTCCTTATAAGTATAACACATCCAACATATTCCTAGACGGGAGCATGCAAAGTTCGCACATAACATACATTATCACAGAGGTTTCGCATAAAATCATCCATACATACTCGCCATCTTGCACCCACAACTTCTATGCGAAAGGAAAACATTCTTTGATGGAAATTCTTCAGACCTTGATATGAGCTTCTTATCATTTTTTTTTTTAATCGTAAGTGAAGCATGTCATCTCCGAACGACCACGTACACTCCTTCGTGTCCCATTTTATTTCGGCAGAATGACCCAGTTCGTATATCGATAAGATTAATGTCAGAACTTATCCAGATTGACGACTCATATCCATTTTTTGTGCAATTGTAATAGAGAGCTTAAAAGCATAAGAAGACGTCTATACAACTACAAAACAATAATTGCAGATACACACCTTCGATGGCCACTAACAATGCTAAGCTCTATATTCCAATTGGGTTTACAATTTTCTTCTTCCTTGGGATGGGCAGGATTATTTATTTAATTATTATGACCAGATACAAAGCGACTGAAGAAATTGTTCGAGAAATACCTCCAGCCACTCAAGTACGATCAAGCGTTGTGGTCACAACGACGACCGTTCAGAACTTGTCAGCTACAAGAGAAAATCCCTATTCAAGAGATTATTATTTTGACTATAATGAGCAGTCATCTCGAAATGCTCCCCTTTGCTTGTCTCCAGGAGCTCCACATTATATTTCTCCACCTCATATGTCACCTGGGGCCCCACCTCCGGCCTACTTTGTGTCTCACGACTATAGGTGAAGTGACAGGTTAATTGGTTTAGAACATTTGCAAGTGTATATCAATTGAGAAATGCACGGCCACAACCGCTTTGAGATGGAGCTTTTCGACTCCATTATTAATCATGTTTGTTATGTTGCCAACCTGGGAGTCACTATTAGAACATTCACAGATTCATTGAATAAATAACGACTTCTCAATTAAAGTTGGTATTTTGAATGCTTTCATTTATCTGTTGAAAATGAAAGACTTTAGATTCAGACTGATTGTCAGCGTCATTTTATAGTTAACAAGAGTAGTGGAATGTACTTACTTGTCATACAATAAATACAATGAAAAAACTTAACAAAATCCCATGAAGGTTTAAACAGAAAGACTGCGGTTGTTGGGCTCATCATCAGTATTAACTAGCTGTAAGGTCAAACGTTAGAATTCCGACCTGATATGATCCCAATTATGTTATCCTGGCAAACAGTTAAAATTTGCGAGGTAGTACAATTGCCTCTGGCAATCTCTGTAGCAAGCCTTGGAGTGGATACTAACATATTATGAATTCGCTCGGTGTGAAAGCCGGAACAAAATTCCGAGAAAGGAAAAACATGATTTATTTGTGACGGAGATCTCCGTATATAATACTAAAAGATTAATGGGTAATCTGTTAATTCCTTTGCTTGGTATGACTCAAGACTTGAAAGAATTATTGGTCAAATATTTCCTAGCCTCACGTTCCATGTCTATCATGGAATGCACAAGGAAGAGATCACAGAAAGTCAGAATTGTTCCAAAGATTGAAGTAATAGCGTCAGAGTGAATTCCGTGACTCGAAGATAAAGTGTAACAGACGAATGAGATACGAAGAAAAAAAGAGTGAGACTGTAGCGAATTGCTTTTCAATTAGCATGAAACTTCAGATCTCATCCGCAAAAGACAACTCTCGCCGAAAGCCAACCATCGCATTCTATCTCTTGGTAACTAATAGGAAATGGGCCAAAAGTGGTAACAATGCTCATAACTTGTCACTCTTAGCCAGAATGTACAGCGTTAAAAGGCATGAATGACAAAATCCATTATCGTACCCCCGTGCAATAGGTTCCTGTTAAACGGCACTTGCACAGTCTCTTTCCTACAACATGTCCTTTTATCTCCTATAGCACGTCCTTTCTGACATCTGGATAAACCATATGAGCATATGAGACTACTCAAAACACTTCCAGAGCGTAAAACGTGCATATTTGTCAACATGAGAACTTGTTCAAATGGTACAAACCCTGAACATGGTCACATAAAACTGTAGGCGTTATGTTGCCCTGACCACTGAAATTGAAGGTAACTGAAATCAGGATGTATAAGTTTGGATGAACCTCCTTTCTCTCAATATCGAATATGGTCTTTTCGAAGAAGAACGACAACTCTAGAGTTCAAGGTTTCGCTCGTGTTCCAGGAACGAAAGCAGCTGAGAATCGAGACAAAGCAGCACAGAAGAAAGCACAAAAAAGATATCCAGGACAACCTAAACCGAGAATGAAATACGAGGATGTCCCCCCACCATACGAACCACCACCAGGCTACGAAGAAGTATTATATGATGACAAAGAAGCTTCAAAATAAAAGAATATCTATCATTTAAGGAATGAATAGCATTTAAGGAGAATATAATGGAATACAAGTCTGCCTAGAGTTAGAGGAAATGTAGGGAGCAAGCTTTCTCGGCCATATGCATAAATGGCCTTGGCGATTCGTAAATTGATTGGTCACATGTGGATTAAAGAAAGTCCAAGAGACTCAATTGAAGCCAACCTCACATTAGGGAAATAAAATAGGACAACAAGAAAGTGATTAACTAGCTTAATTAAATCATTCTAGCATTTCAATTACCAATACTAGTTTACATGAATGTAATAATTACGACTTGGATGGTGCTTCAGATGTCATTCATCAGTTGTCCAAATTTCAATATGGGAGGTCTTGTAAGCAAAAAAAAAAAAGCTTATAAAGGTCACTTAAGGGTTGATTAGCGGTTGAGTTTGCAAAATGATTAAATATAATTCAGCTCATTATTACCCTGAGCGCAAGAGCGAATATTGGCCGGACTTTTGCTATAACAAGGGCAGTATTTCCAAATTTAACCTCTACAATTATCCCATCTTTTTGAAATCAAATAAACCAAAGAATACTGGAAAAAAAAGTGGAACATGCTTGGAAACAAAGCAACGCTAGATAAAACAATCTTTTCAAGGCCTAATTCAGTCACACAATCCATAATAACTGGATTAACAACCTGCCATACAAATTGGGAATCTTATAATAATTGTCATCTACTCACTATATGTGCCCTTTATATGACCTTCACTTTATTTCTGAAGTCCGGCCATCAGAGAACTTTTGATCAGTTCACCAATGTATCCTGTATGATGTGTGTGACTTAGATGAGACAACAGTTACAGAGAATTGAAATAAAGGTAGAAAAGCATTTTCGACCAAAGAAAGCAACAGCTGATTTAGTGCCTGGGAGAACTACAACCAGAAAAGTATTTTGGCCGTGAGAGAACGCTATTCTATCTTGAGGTACTGGTGTATCCTTATCACTGGTATGATGAATGTGCGGCTGTGTCATGTTGTATGTGCACATAACGTGCATGAGACAAAACTCGGGGCAGTGAGGATGACAAGAATTTAACATTTGACAGATCTATCCTCTCAATTCATTCATTTCCTATTTTTCCAATTGCACACTTAGAATCACCATGTACATTGAGCTAACTGAGCGTGACACCAAAACGGTGGGGATTCAAATTGGTATATCTTGTGGTGTTATCCTTGGTTCAGGAATTATAGTGATTATCATAATAAAGGTTGCTCGGCGAATGAGGACTCCAGAACCTGGACCCCGACGGCCAATTATATTACCATATCCCGCTCTAGGACAAACAACATCTAGAGTTCAAATTGAGCAAACAATAAGTATGCATGAAATCCCGCTGGTAGCTCCAGTCTCCCAATCAGTGCCTGTTGAAAGCACTTACAATCTGAATGCAGAAACGACTGAATACAACATTCCTCCTGTCCCTCCTCCACCATATAAGGAGCCACCAGAATATGAGTACAGGCAGAATGAAGACCTGTAATGATTGAGCGATCAATTGGGTATTCTCAAACGGAGAATCCACCCGGATTCAATTGAGGAGGAGGGGGTCCTAGATCTATTAGATGAAACTTGAAGAGGAGAAGATGAAACTTTAAGAAGATAAGATGAAATCAAGACACCGGAAGGGTGCCTGAAAGCATAACCGGGCTGACTGTAACTCTAAGGTTGTTGAATACCGGTGCTTTCGTGACTTTTAAAGTGCTCGGTCACCACCTTCAGTTTCCTTGATTTTTTATTCCTGTTTCGATCAAAGCGGGAAAGGAAGCATAATCTAAAACATACCATGGTGGGACTCTTTCAAGATCTTCTTTCTGCGCTAAAATCTCGACATGCTTAGACCACCAGGTTACGATCACTTTTAAATAAGAGAACGTTATTGCAGTATTGATGCTTCCAACTCAATATTCATCCTTATTGAATCAATTTAAATCTCCTGGTACTCTTTATGTGATGAGTCTCTCCTCTTGCGTCTCATATGAATTGGGCATCAAGACTTTCAGTTTTTCTTCTGATTGGGCAAAATAGTAGAGATATCATATTTCATCCAAATATAACACGGTAGAGCTCTTGTGTAACTTCTTAATTCCCATTATAATCCCGAAACTCACTTGCAATCTCCGTCCCAGACTGTATGAGAATTTGCCATCAAACCTCAACGATTTGGTCTCCACTCGAGCCACTGGGTAAAAGCCATCTAGTACCATGAGATCCCATATACAACTGGGATATGCGCTATGGAAGAGGTATTGTTCCATTAGAACTCTAGCATTGTACGATAGAATCATTTGGATATTATTGTCGCTCAATTTATGGTCTATCTTGCAGGTATGCCTAATTTCAGTGATGGTTGCGGCCAACAATGTCTTATGGGTAGTCACCGGAATCATTGAGTTTATCAAATATTGCTTATTTGACGAATTACAAGAGGAGCCTATCCTTGAGGAATGTGATCTCAGTACCCAGAACCAATTTAGAGGTCAAGCTGGGAATATCCCAGTACAGGTTCCCGAAGCTCCCCCTCCAGCCTTCTTGGTGTAGAAAGCTTCAACAGCAGTATTTCCAATTGCCTCTTAATCAAGGAAGAAAGGAATTAATACGATTCATTCCAGATGGAACGTTGTATAATAAAACGCATATTAGTACTCAGTTATTCAGAGGTCATATTTCAGAGCGCGCAAGCCGAAATCTTTCATTCCAACAGAAAAACTCTTGAAATATTTGTTACAGCGGTACTGTTAAATTTTAAAGACTCGAGAAGTAATGTTAACATGAGTAAGTCGCAAAGTTGAACAAAGTTGACCATGAGAAAATCATATACATACATCGCTTAAAGAAGAGCAATTGACCAGCTTTCTTAATAATTGGGAGCGTGAAGGTAGTTGTACGGGTGGAGTAAATCAGGTTAGCAAAAAAAAAAAAAAATAAACAAAACAAACAAACTACATATCTGAGCAGACGATAGTTACATGTAGCAGCGAGAACACGATCAACTACTGCTAAACACTCAGAACATGACATCACCATTGTAGATAGAGCAACCTTTTTTTGACACAAACTCAAACTTTCCTTTTACTCTACCGCTGGAATATATTCGGAAGTCATAATTCTGATATTGCTTGAACCAAGAAAGAAATGATCAAAACAGCACATGCCGGGTTTGAATGAACATAAGAGATTTTACGGTTGCTGCTTCCTTTTATACTATCCAGAACGTATTCATTAGGAATTATTAACAACTCGTATATAAGGAATGTTTGAGAATTATTCCTGTCCCATTTGCAACTAATTCCATAACACGTTTTAATTTTTCCTCTCTCAAGTTTTTGCTCAGTTTCTATACCTTAATGCCTAAATTCTACTTTTGTCGAGCTCAACAGCAATTTCAAGTAAGCCAATGTCCCGACGGTAACAATCCTTCATCTTTCCGTCCCCTTTTCAATGTTTCGGATCGGGCCAGGCGGTCTTTCGGACCGCTACTTCGGACCGGTGTTTCGTATTCACGTTTAGTTCTGCCAGTCCAAAGCTTGGCATTATTTCCAATCCATCGATAGCTTTACGCTTGAGTATTTCATATCTGAATTTATTGTCAATGCTTCATGTTGGTTCTGTTATTTGTTGTCCAAAGAATATACTGCTTGAATTTTAATCTTGAAATATTGAATTTTGCTCTCGAAGTATTGAATTTCACCTTCAGGTCAAACTCTCTATTACCGATTTGAGAAGAAAAAAATGCATGTGTTAGTCATTTTCACGAATAAAGTGACCCAAAGGATCAATGAGCTACGCCTTCGGAGGTGCAAGTAGTCAATATGGATGAAATTCTGATTATCAGTGATATTCACTATCTATTGGACTGCACGTCAATTACTTCGATCATACATTCCTGTATTAGCCCATGCGTTTTCTACAACATCGCAGATCATTCAGTGACTTTCACAATGCTTCACCAGAAAATATTCGAGCTTATCTCAATTAACTTCCACTCGATTGGCTTGATAATACACCCACGGACTAGAGCAAATAATTATCCCATTGAAATAGCTGTAAAAATCATCTGCTGTCAAATTCGCCGCTTAGACCTTCACCATTTTCTGTACCTCACGATAGACTGCATGTGGACTGTGACGTCGAGGCGCAACTTAGTGTCTTCATGACCTACTACAGCGAGCCATATGACGGAGACGGCTGAATGCACTGCCAAATGAACGGCTAGATAAACATAACCAAATTCCACTAAAAACTAGCCTCGAGTTATTCAGTCCTTTGACAGATGTATATACAAATCGAAAAACGAAGTCTTACCCCAGCTCCTATTGCGGTGGTGATCATTATTGCTGTGATCATTTTGTTCTCGGTAACTATAAGGTGTCTATCTGCCAACAGGTACAGAACGAAACCACCACCACCAACTGAGAATGTTTTTTATAGCAGAAATAGCGTGAGTGCACTCAATGGGCCCAATGGAACCAGCAATGCGTACAACCTGACAATGAGTCAAACAACTCATATCAATCAAACGGTGAATGGCACACAAATCTACGCCAACGTTACGGCAATCAACAACAATCACACAAACGTTCAGAATATGGGCTCGTTTCTGCAGACGGCAGAGCAGCCAAGTTATGACCCCTACCGTGAGAGACCTGCCACTCCACCTCCGGCATATGTCAGGTAGTCATGATTCACTCGAATTAACGACAATTACAATATATGAATGCATGAAGAATTATAAGTAGTATGAAAAATTTTCACCTTTTTTTCTTCTTTCCTTTTCTCTTGACATTTTCATCAAGTTTCAGTTTTCTTCTCCACCTTATTCTACTTTATTTTACCTTTTCCAACAAGTTTCTTTGTTTGTGTCATTGAGAATCCTTATCGCTTCTTGCATAATAGAATCTTATTTTCTGCGCCATATCCATCAAAAAAATAATACAATGTTCTACTAATTGACACATTATCGTTATATTCCCCGTTGTTTAGATTTCCAGTCACAACCCCATACTTTATACCCCAGTCTTTTCTTTGCTCGAATGTCGTCCCACAAATAACCCTCCCATTATCCTCACATTTCTCCGCTCATCAAATCCCACATTAACGCACACATTACGTGATGTCCCACTACACTCAGAATGAGATGTAGGCCCATGTGACATAGATATTGATAATCTGACCATTTCGTGACCTTTGATGGTTTCCTTTTGTCCGTTCATACCTCGGGCATTATTTCATCCCTGTCATTCGTTTATATTGCGTTGCATCCGGTGGTTCCATTTAGTGCGCAATTTCCCCAGTATATTCGGCACGTTACTTCCAAAATTTTACTCCACAAATACTTAGCTCCATCAACTCCAAAATTTCAGAACTCAATGTTGATCCCTCTACGTTTCTCCTCAAAACCTTCCACGCTCCACAAAAGAGACTTTGGTGGGCACGGCATTGCCATCATTGTGATAATCGTCGCTATCTTTAGTGTAAGCTTGATCTTGGTGAAATATTGCGCAAGGGTGGTGAATGCCAAAAAGCCCAAAAGATCCAGCGATAATTCATCGAACGATGGCCAAATACTTGAGGAAAATCATCAGGTGTACACTGAAGACAACCTACCTCATACTCCTCCTCCTGAATATGTAAGCGATATGCCAATTCCTCCTCCTGCCTATGTGAGATGAGATGATATGGATAAGGACGCCATGAGATGAGCATACAAACCTGTTGCTGAGGTCAACGCTTAATGATTTCACCGGAAGAAAATTTCATAAAGTTTATTCTATTAACTCTACACCTTGACAGGAGAGTTTATGTCAAGCTACTTAATCCAGGAGCCGGCTCAGACTTGCTGCGTTCCTACCAGGGTGTTGATCAGCCTCGCAAAGCAACCAATTTAATTTATGATTTTACTAATGAACTCCTCATTGCAGGCAATGATGTTCCAATTATGATGACTATGAAGCTATCAACTCCATTACAGAGCACATAAAAGATGTGTTTCTAGATGTTATGTCTAATGTTGCTCCGGGTTGGTTTTTCACCATACATTCTGGCTGCGAAAATTCACGTCACTAGAATAATCATCTTTTCACCGAATACTATAGTTACTATTCTTTATTTAATATATTTCGAACTATAAATTCCCGCCTTCCAAAAGATTTATCAATTTTCATGCTGAAATTTCCATTCGGCCAGATCAAAAATGTTTGACTCATTACCTATAAACATACCTGGCTCTGTCATTCCTACACCATCCTACCAAATTGAGTTCGCTTTCTCGCTTTCTAATCAATGAGCGGTGCATTAATCTTCGTCATCGTTGCCTGGTCGTTGATGGTTGGCACTGGTGCTTTCACGGCGGTGTATTTCTATTTTGAGATGAAAATCTCACGCAAAACAACGAAAAAGCGAGCCACGAGAGCTCAAAGAATATTCAGACACCAAGGTCTCTTTTCGGGAGATGATTCTATCGAGGTACCTACCTTTCATGCCCTCCAGATTGTGCCCTCTCGTTCATCTTTAGAAAGCTCCCTTCAAGATAGAGATTCCAATGAACTAGAGCATCTAGACTGGCTCTATCAATATCAGAGACTAGTACCACCTCCACCAGTCTACAGACGACATTCCATGGCTCCGCTGTATGCTACACTCCCCGCAGCTGCACCTTTGTATCAGGAACGAGATGGACCAGGCAACGACCCTTACGTATCTGGCAACAGCAATCTTGGTAACGACTTAGCCTTATCTAGAAGCGATTCAAATACCGAGACCGGATCATAAATACTTGCATCATCAAAGTATGTATGACTAGAAATATAGGAAATTCAATTATGATACCCCATGCAACGTACCATTGAGACATGTCAAAATAGAAAGAAGGTGGGACCACGTTCAGAGACCTGAAACAAGCAATGTGAGCCGCAACTGCCCTGAAACGCGTGAACAATGACGCGAAGGAGGTCTAATCTCGTATTCAAGACCAGATCTTGGGTGCTCACGATTCCACCTTGGAATGCTATTTTCGCAGCCATTTGCGAGTCCTCAATAAGAAGAGAGTCAGAAGCTGTAAGACTCCTATACACAAATGGCAACGTACAGAACTATTGTTTGCTATCTATTCCTTGCTAAATAATTTTCAATCTTTTCTTCATTGGAGGTTAGATTTTGGAATTTTCTTAAGCCTCAATGCCAGGGCATCTATTTGCATGAGAAGTGAATTTTCCTGTCTGACCAACCAACCTAGAACGAAGCGTGGATCAACTGCGAAATGAATAAAATAAGAAAGATTTGGACAATAATTTATCCCTAAAGCATTCATTCCACTCATACTTGTTGATGTCTGTTCTCCTTCAGAAAAGGTCCACACCAGTGGTTATTGTCCCCATAATGGCAGCTAGCGTCGTGCTCTTCTGCCTAATATTTTGGCTCATTTGGCGATTGTACCCTAAGAATAGGCGACAGTTTGATGAAAAGTCCACTCGAAGGATGTCATTACGCAACTTTCAGATTCCTTGCCACTATAGAACATTAGATCCGTGGGCACGTGGCAGTCCGGGTCCTCGATCTGTCGGTCAGTTTGACTCCACTGATACTATTCCACCGCCATACGTCGCAGAGAAGCTTCCTCCGTATCCGAGGCCGGTTTATTTAGTTTGAGAAAGATTCTCTCAAAACATTTGATTCTTGATGGATCTGAGTAATATGGCCAATTCAGGTATCACTAGCATTCTTTTAGGAAACTTTGCAACAGAAGCAAAATAAAACCACTATAAAATTGAAGAATCAAACAGTTAGAGAGTTAGACGAAAACGGCACAGAGCCTAATAGGAAGAATAAGAACTTAAAAAATTCACTTATACTTACCAGAGCCCAGGTTCATAAATAAGGTTGACTTGATATTGCATAGTGGGAGAAGGAATCGTATATCCTATGTGGCTGTTGTAAACACGGAAGTTATCGGAATTCCTGAATGGTCTCTATTTCACATACATAACTTGGATTGTGCATAATCGACTACAATGTCGGTCACGTTTTGGAAAAGGTCACTGATGTGATGCCTGTTCCTCAACGTATGATTACCAGAGCTCAAGTACGGTGAAGTTCATAATATAGGGACTTGGCAACTTGCCATGAATAGCATACAATTAGCATGAAATTATTCAATAAACTATTTAAATCAGAGGAAAAGAAGAGATATCCAAAGTACCCTCGATTGGAAGAGAACACCCTTGAGCATTCAACCGAATGCAAAGATATCTTACAGAAGATGTTTGTTTCGACCAAAGCACCTCTAGAACCTCCTATGAAATACAAGATTGCTGCTTTGAAACGTAAGCGCAGAATAAGAACAAGAGGTTCCAGTATATATGTGTACATTCCTGGAGATTCTGGGTCATACGAATGGATTGAATGCCAGGGAGAAGGCTTAGAGTGTGGAGATTTCAGGTGTGGAGGAGACTCTGGGTGTGGAGGAGACTACGGAGGTGGGGGAGGAGATGGTGGAGATGGAGGATGTTGAATTTGAGGAAATACTAGACTCGGCCAAACTCATGAAAGGAGTGATCTTTCGAAAAACTCGACGTCGGTCTCGAATGAGCGAACATAATGTATAGATTCAAAGAAACATTATAGCTTAATAAATTTGTTTTAACCGCCATCATTTGTGCACGAATTGCCCGTATACATTATTCAAGACTTAATAGGACAATTTTCGATATGCTATATTTAGTTCTGTAAGAAGTGGCCAAATCGCTCCTTTGTGCCTCCTCGTGACTTGAGTTGCCCTTTGCTTATTAATTTAAAATAAAAGGCCAAGTTGGACATTCATACACAGCAAGATTCATGGGTTTAATGGACTTACTATTCAGACAGGAAAAAGAACCAAAAGCAGTGCAAGAACGTCGTCAAGGAAGAGAGACAAATGTTCGACCAGGGGGAGGTCGGTTCCATACGCAGGTGTGCATGATGGTGTGTATTATACTGAATATAGTAACAGCACTGGAGAGTACACCATAGACTGCGGGTAGAGGTGACTCTGGAGGAGGAGTTTGCGGTGGTGGTGAGGGTGACAGTAGAGGTGGTGGAGAAGAAGGAGATTGTTATGAACAGTACATAAATAAGATATGAATAGAAGTCAAAACCCTGAGATTTCGTAATTTCATTATCAATCACACTAATTTGTTCCTTGGCATCATCAGGAACAATTATTGATGCGAAATGCTTGACCATGACGTACATGTACATGACAACCATGCATTCTGTCATACATTTTGGTTAGAAGTCACAAGAAATTTCATGCTAAAATTACTTTCGAGTGATATGGCCAAACCTTTTGTGACCTCATCCTTATCTTATCTCGTAAATAATCAGCCTTACCAATAGTACAGGCAAATGAAAATCTATAAGAAGACAGGAATACGTCGAATTGATAGTCATAGCCAGATAATTACCATGGGTTTTTTCAGTAAATTATTCAAAAGCGACCTGAGATCGAGAGAGCAATCTTCAAGAACAAGAAGTCAGAACAGAAGGACCAGACAATCTAACGCTGGCGTGTATGTTGGATCCTATGTGGGAGCAGGAGGAGGAGACTATGGAGGAGGAGGTGGTGGATGTGATGGAGGCTATGGAGGGGGAGGTGGTGGATGTGATGGAGGAGGTGGCGGTGGAGGAGGAGGAGGAAGCTGTGGTGGTGGTGGAGATGGCGGAGGAGGTGGTGGTGGAGGAGGATGTTGATTAGCTTAAATATGCTTTGTTCTCGGTATATTGTTCGTCAGTTGGCCAAGACTAGACTACGGGGACCTTTCAATAAACAACAACATCAAAAGATAAGTCAGTAGACATTTTGAATCAAAAATCAACAAATCTGAGGAAGTTTGTTATATATCCTCGCTTTCATTTCCAGTATTAGAGTCTCCATTGCAAGTACGTCATCAGAGTGCTCTACCTTCGAATGTTGTAATCCTACATTTAGTTTCTCTTATGGTATTTCTACCGTCGACTTGCATATTCCTGTTCAGCACTTCATTCCATCCAATCGAATTACCGCCTTGAATCAAAAAATTTGTCGATCTCTAAAATTGCCTCAGCCTCCAACTACCGCGAGAGCTATGTCAGCCGTTTAATGAACCTAAGCCCAAAGTGACGCCAAAATTATCAGGTATTCGTTCTAATAATTGTGCTACTCAATTCCACTTTCGCATGATTAGTACGTTATCGATTTAAAAGCAAAGAAAAAGGAAAATAGAACTTTCATAATGAAGAATAGTCTTTCTCAAAATTCAGGGCAACTAACAACCTTCTCATAAAATGAATGACAAGTTCATCGAGGCTCATATGCACTTCTACATATTTATATAGTCGATGAAAATAGTGTAAACCGAAGACGAACATGGGGTTTATCCAAAGATTGAGAAACAGAAAACAACATCGTCAACAAGCGAATGAAAACATAGTGAACTCAGCAGGTCCACCACCTGGAGCACCCATTAAGTGTGAGGCCATCCTGCAAGACAATCTAAAGCAGAATACTTCCATGCCCAGACAAACAAGAGGTACTGGACCTCCTAGGGTTGCGGCAACCGGACTGAATGGTGTCCTATTAACTCGGTCTACAGGTGCAGTTCAGACTGAAGGAGCTTTTGTCAGGGGAGGAAAAGGAGGAAGTGGTGCTTCCCAAGGAGCGGTTTTTGGAGCAGCTCTCGGGATGACGTTGGGTAGTAGCGGAGTATAATGGTTGATGAAAGGTCCTTCAAAACCAAAGCAGGCCAATTTGATGATCAAAAAGGTTCACTTCACTCTTTGTGGTCAGGATAATATACTTAACAACTTTTATCGTTTGGTTTACTCGATTTATTTAACAATTAACAAAAATTCTATTGTATACTGCCAGATGTTCAATTTCTAATTTACAAGTTGTATTTAAGTCACTTGTTAATGTTTTCTGGTCTGCTAGATGCGCAATTAAGAACTGGCATGTTAGAATCGCTAACATACTTCAAAAGAATCGCAAATATAAAAATGACAGGACTCCCAAAACCTTCATTCAAAACAATCAATTTCCCAATCTGATCCCATGGCCGAATACGCCTGCTTCTTCTTTGGGGGCTTAGGTGCGGTCGTAGGAGTCTATCTCTGTTACGAAGCTATCATTTTTGAAGAACAAAGCGAACTGGCCACCCGAGCAATACAAATGCTTGAGAATCGTAATATAACTTTCGAAAACCCATGGGAGTTTTTTTTGGAGCCCACAACTCCTCCTCCTGCCTACTCTAAGTTTTCACTGGATTACACTATCCCCTACTTTGTGGAAGAGTACGGACATTTCGACAGATGGGATAGACAGACAAGAACAATGGAACACGATTAAATTATGGTGGATTCAATTAAATTGAACGATATCAGATACTTGATGAACCCACCTTTAAAAAAGACGGTTCTAGAATCCCGAAGTTCAAATTCCATTCTCAAAACCACAGAATCCCATAAAAGACAAGATCTCAGGTAATCTACATTGAGCCCCACAAATATCCCCACAGCTATCCCCACACAGTTTATTGAAAACTCAGAGCAATCGCTAGAATATATCATTTTGCTCGTGAGTTCAGACTTACAACAATAATTTCGATCGTTTCCCAGGCAACTTACAGACATTGGAACAAGCAAAGTCGCTGCTCCATGCAAAAACAACGAAAGAAATTTTCTAGTTAATTCATCGAAAAAATACACGAGACCAATTAAACAGTCAGAACTCAATCCTGGCTACAAGTCACTCTGGGTATTCGTCGCTTATGAGCGAGAGCAGGGCACCTACAATGCAAGAGAAGTGAATTTCCTGTCCATGCCTAGAGTCCGAACAGGAACGATAAGCAAGACAGTGTATATAATATAATGTTCATAGAATCTCCAAAAACCTCATGTATGTCGACCTTGCAAAAAGATCAAAAGCTGCGGCAGGTATTTCCACTGCCCTCGTCATTGTCGTGTTAGGTCTCGCAGCCTTGGTGGTATGGCGCACTAAGATATTCCGGAGAAAACCCGAAGAGAAGAAGCTGATGACTACTCTGAGCTCTTTGAGAAGCTTGGTTCCATGGCAATATAAAACACTTGACCCATGGGCAGAAGGAAGTCCATGTCCACGAGTGCCTAGTGGAACTAGCTCTGAGGTGTCGCTGAATTTAGAGAAAATTAGTTATCCTGGAGCAGCGTACTTGGTTGAGCGTGAAGAGAAACAGAATCTGAACCCTTTTGAGTGCTAGAAAATTGAGCTCTGAGAATCCCGATTGACCTACTCATTCGGGATCCAGGCCTGGTCTTAGTGTATTCAGACTATGTAGAGAGTGACTTCAGTTCTTGTTGACCCGGTGGATTTTTTTAGGGGATTTACTGTATTATTGTTATGGCCTGAGTCTCAGCTTTTCACATATGGTCTAGATGGTGCTTCAATTCGGCAAGTAGACTTCCCAGATGGTATCAGATGTATCGCGGCCAAACGCGAGAAGCACCTGGACTTAAATGTGACGAGTAAAGGTCTGAGACCACCATATGGAGAAAATGGCTCCAATTTAATTCTTGTTCTAATTTGATTTTTTCCAAGCAGATAGTTATTTGAATTTGAGTTTGAAATCTTTGCCGAATGTGTATCTGTGTGCCCGGATGTCACCCAGGGACATCGTTGGTTTATATGTAGTTTAGTGAATCGACTATCATGATTAACAAGAAAATGTTATTGATTAGTGGATTATAAAATATAAATGTCAGAATTCCTTCGTTCGCTCGTCTTTCCTACAATTAATCTTCTCATTCATTCATTATAACTAATATTTCTTATCAACTTTTCTCCATTTCTCCGACTTTCGTAACATCATCATCTCACTCCTCCACACAAAACCACCTACTCATCTCATCATGAAGTCGACTAGATTCCATCCAAACATCATCATCACAGGAACTCCTGGATGTGGAAAAACTTCTCATGCAGAGAGTTTGGTTTCACTGCTTGAAAAGCCTTATAAACACTACAATGTGAGCGATTTGGCCAAAGAGAGAAAATGTCTTGAAAGTTACGATGACAACTTGGATACTTACGTCGTGGATGAAGATAAGCTTCTAGACTCCCTCGAGGAGGACTTGAGAGATGGAGGTGCGATCGTTGACTGGCACTGTTGCGATATTTTCCCTGAACGGTTGATCGACTTGGTGGTTGTTCTCAAGACCGAAAACTCCAAGTTGTACGATAGACTCAAGAAGAGAGGGTATAAGGATAACAAAATCCAGGAGAACTTGGACTGTGAGATCATGGAGGTTGTGTGGCAGGATGCTGCCGGGGCATACATTCCGGAGATTGTGATTCCTCTTGCTTCGGACTCTGTGGAAGATATGGAAGAAAATGTGGAGAGAATCTCGGCCTGGGTGGAGAACTGGGTGAAAGATCACCCAGAGGGTGTGACCAACGAGATTGATCCGGAGTTGTTGGCACAAAGAGAGGCTGAGGAGGCCGATGATGATGAAGAAGACTGAGAAATTGTTAGTCAGAAATGACAGAAGGATGACAAGTGGAATTCTGATAAAAGAAAGGAAAAAAGTAAAAGTAAGAATGAAAATAAAATGAAAATAAAATGAAAATAAAATGAAAATAAAAATAAAAATAAAATGAAAACAAAAATGAGGAGAATCGTTAAAGCATCGATTATTTAGTTTCTCCAATGATAACAAATGGTGGTGGGGTTTGGTCCTTTGGTGCAAATGAAACTAAAGATTACAGTAAAGTAGAGAGTTGAAAGGTATCACAAAAGACTTTAAAAGCAAGAGGATAATGATATTATGGTATCTGCAGAGTACTGTAGGAAAGACCTTCCCCAGAAAGTCGAGGATTAACTTCTTCTTTAAATTTCGATGCACACATTAGAAAGTCAACATCAAACTCCTTACAACGAACACCGAACAAAGAAAGTACAAGAACAGTAGAAATACAAAAGTGCCATGGATTGGCCTAGATTACTATAAATAAAGACTTTTACGAGCTCTAGACGTCGCTTCATCGACTATGCTATCATTATGCAGAGGTATAAAATCAGGGCTAGCTGACATCAAGAACACTTTCTCTTAACCGAGAATGTGGGTTGCAACTCTCTTCAAGGCAAAGAGAGTGACAATCAAGAACAAAAATATTAACACGTAATAGCCACGCGTCACGAAGAAGTAGGTCCACTTTGTCTTAATTCTGCCCAAATTGTGGTGCTCCAACTCAATCACACACTTAGCGTTCTGCTCAAAAATGTACTTGGACTCCTCGATAATGTCAAGCTTCTGTTTCTCAGTGAGCGCATTCCGGGTAGCCAACTCGTAGTCTCTCTTGTAGAGAAGACGGAAGGTATTCTCATCTTCAACGGCAAACTGGAAGAAGTTGGTACCCAACTTGACGATGTCATCGTGCTTCAAGCCGTCCTTCTGAGGGAAGAGACCAGTTGCTCTTGAGATAGATGAACGCATGACTCTTCCTCCAGCGAAAAGGGCCAAGTACATCACATGCAAGTAGGCCAACAAAATGTATGGCTTCTCCTTGCACACTTGTTGGATGTGGTTGACAAACTCAATCTGTGCGGGCATGATAGGGCTCATAAACTTCTCCTTTCTGTTGTTGTAGTAGAACATCAAGTCCTTCTCGCAACGGGCCAGTCTGGCCATCTCAGGTTTCCATACTTTGGACAAGAGGTCTCTCCATTCACTAGATGGGTCGGCCAACTCCTCGTTCAAACACTTCTCCACGGTGGCAAACACGTGGTAGAAACTCTGCAATCCCTGTCTGTAGATTTTGTAGTCTCTCAAGGCGATAGCGAACTTGAGAGTCACTAATTTATCGATCTTATTGTGCAAAGATCTTGTTTCCAAGTTGATTCTGTTGGCCAACGCACCAACGTCGGTGGGCTGAGGAATGATTTCCTGTTGGTTTAACTGTGTCTTCGTAGCAGCTGCCATTATTGATTTAGGGGGATTCTAATAAAAAAATGGTTCTTGTAAATTTCAAATGATGGGGCTACCAAGTCCTATATAGGTGTTGGCCGCAGGTCCCGATAAGTCCGACGCGACGACTTCACTCGCATATATCAGACGGATGGCGCCGATTGTTCCTAATTCACACCACAGAAATGGTGTGCCGGAGGATGGAAGTCATGTTATTTCTTTCTTACCTGGGAGTTATCGGTGAATTTACATGGTGATCATCCCATGGAGATTTCGGTTGGTGATGTCCATGTCCTGCAGAAAGGCATGACCGAGGACGGCGAGACTGAATTTGCCTAGCCAAGAAGAATATAAGAATATACGAGATGAAGGAAAGGAAGAGAAAGGATTAGTGGAGTGTGCCCGGCGTGAGGAGGTGGTGAGTTTCATGAGATTTGATGGGTTGGAACGCGGAGAAATCCGGTCCTTTTTTTCGTGATGTTTCGGTGGCTGGTTCTCCACATTTTTAGTAATATCTGTAGTTTTTGAATGTTTTTATTGTGATTTACAATATCTATCGTGGATCCTTGTTTGGATTTTGGAACAAGTTGATAAGGATTTTGTATATTTCCTTTTTGGTTTGCAGTAATAGTTTCTGCATTATTGACTACGGGTTTATGGTGGAATTGTTGTGTGGTGCATGTAGTCAGAATTGGGTAAATGGATAGGAGTTTGGAGGTGGGAATTAGGGGAATATTGATTTTCTGGGTCTAGTCTGTCGTCAAAGAATGGAAAAGTATGAGGTGCGCTCAAATATCTCTTGATTTAAATTATTAAAGTATAAGATGACTTTCGGTTAATGATCTTTGTGATCGCTGTGATCGCTATGATCGCTACCCCAGTGACCATTGTACTGGGTACAGGTGGGTGAGTTGCATAATTCAGTATGGTAACCATAACGAGCGCAGTAGACCATTGTTAAAGAGGATTAAAAGTAGCTTGTCTGGAAATAGTGTCAGAATATAGATTTTGGTGACATTTATGAAAGTTTTGGGGGAAATAGGAAATCGTCTTGCGTCTTGAGGATGCTGGTATTGCTTAGGAAAGACTGATGATGATGACCTACATCCAAGTATGCCAAAATAATTTACATTTGCAATTATTTTAGGGACTTACTATGGAGATATGGCATTTGGGTGAATTTTAATGCAAAACAATTATTCCAGCTACTTGCTTAACCTCCCGATACAACCACTTGGATAGATCAACAGAAGTCAATATGTCATTGGCACTTCTCTCTTATCTCTATTGTTTCTATGATTACTATTATTGCTTCCCTTTCTATCATTTCTATGATTATTATTTTTTCTATATTGTTATCATCTAGTCTTGATACGTCTCTTTATTAGTCTGCCTCAATAAACAAAAGAGTCTTAATATTCATAATGTCTGTCTTTCTAACGCCTTTAAGACACCCACACTATTCTTCTCTAATTACTTCACATCAATAATTCTTCAAATTCAATAAATGATCTTATTCTAAACAAGCGCTCAATTCTTAATGGGGTCATGCTTATCCAGATCAATAGTCGATGTCATCTACGCTTCCATCCGTTTGATATTGTATTTATAACCCTATTCATAATCGTAACTGTAAATGCCTAATTGAAGAACCAAACGATTGGCTTCTTCCAGAATGGTGCACAAGCAATCTTCTGTTTGAACTCCTCCTTCTCCAATTGCAAGATTCCACTGTCGTAAATAGTTCTGCCGGTCTCAACGTCGATTTCATCAACATTAAGCCAGTACTTGCTCCATTTGCCAACGTAGATCTTGTGACCGACGTAACATGCAAGAGTGAATGGAACACAGGCGTAATTCTGGAAAAAATTGCTGACATTAGCTTCACCTCCGTCTGGGAACAAAGCAACCCAGAATTGTCCAATCAAAATCAAAGCGTTGACGATGATAGAGAGCCAAGATCCCCACACTCCGGTGTAAGAAACGAAACCCAAAGATTCCAAAGGAACACCGTTGTGCTTCAAAGCCGCTCTCCATCTCAAGTGACAAATACAAAGGGCGGGCCAAATGAAGACAATGGATAATGCAACAATGGACAAAAGCCAGTTGAAAATGACATCCTGTTTCTTGTAGGTTGCAATGAAGGCAAAGCAGGAGGCCAAGATAGAAACAAACCAGGCTCTAAGAGGACGACCAGCTTTGTCAACGTAGTCAAGCCATCTTGGAGCATAACCTTGGATGGCAAGAGATCTCAACAATCTAGAAGAAGAGTACATGGCAGCAGTGGCCACAGAAGTAACCGAGTTCAAAATAACTGCGTTCATAATGTGTGGGATCACCTTGACTCCATGGATGTCAGCAGCCAACACGTAAGGAGAAGCACTAGTGGCAGCACCTCCAGAACCCATAAGTCTATCGGAGTTGTGAGGAACAAGCAAGCCAACAATGAGTAAAGTACCCACGTAGAAGAAAATCACACGCAAGAACACAAGACGGATGGCACAAGGCAAGGCTCTCTTTGGGTTTCTCACCTCAGAGACAGAAAGAGCTAAAAATTCGGTACCACCCATGGAGAACGAGGCGGTAGAGAAACATTTGACCAAGCCCTTAAAGTTGGTATATGCACCAGGGTCTCTCCAGTACTTACCACCAATGAAACCGGTCTTGGTGGCACCCAAATCCACACACAATCCCATAATGAAAAAGCCTGTTAATGCAGTAAGCTTAATAGAGTTCATGACAAATTCAGCCTCTCCGTAACCCTTGACACCGAACAAGTTAATGAAAATAATCAAAACCATGAAGATCACCACGAAAACGTCGGAGTCAATGGAGCTGTTCCAAAACTTAATGGTAATGGAGGCGGTCACCAACTCCAAGGAGATGGTTGTGGACCATTGGAGCCAATAGTTCCATCCCAAAGCGAAAGCGATAGACTCATCCAAAAACTTTCTGTACCACTCATTGAAACCACCCTCCAAGTCAGGGTATGCCACTGTCAATTCACCCACCGAGTTCATGGTACAAATACACATAATACCCACAATCATATAGGCAACTAAGAGGAAAAGGGGACCACCCAATCTCAATTTGGCAGCAGCACCAACCAAAAGTCCCGTACCCAAACCACTACTAAGGGCAATGACACATAAATGGGACATCTTCAAGTTCTTTGCATGCACATGTGAACCGTCACCTCTCTGGAACGATTCAAGGAACCCAACCTTTGGTGCAGACTCTGGAGTTCCATATGGCTTGATCTCCGATACCATCTGCTCTACAGATATGCTGTCCTCATGCTTGTATTCTTTGGCCATGATGAAAGATTGGTTAAAGTTGGAATATCAAAAACCTAAGGCAGGGAACAAATGAATATATATGCATCAAACACGTCAGTTGCATATCAAAAAGAAACTGTGCCATCATGATTGACTTGATGCATTGATTACAATCTTTACTGCCTTTGGTTGGGTGACACTACAAATGGCGTTTTCTAGTGCCTAACCTTTGGGTGCAAAATGCCGCGATGACTTTCACAAATGCCACTTAACCTCTCCTTCATGTACCCATGTCATCATGCAAAATTCACCTATTACACCGTCTTAGCAAAGATGGTTGCGGGCCGAGTGCCCTTTAGAAGGCATTTCTTTTTTGCCATGGTCAAACATAAACCCCCCACTTTAAATTCGGAGTCCAGCTTAGACCCCCGGGTCGGACTATAAACTTGGCCTGCCAGAGCGAAAAAGAAATCCTCAATATAGCCGCGTCATGGAAAAAGAAGACCATCTCTTCCATGTCGCTTCTGACTTCCTTATGAGTATTTTAAACAGCTCAAAAGCTTAGATTTATCCAATTCATGACTTTAACAGCCACTACACTATGTCGAACAATTTCCTCCATCGCCGTCTTCCATGCATTTTCCGGCATATAGCCGTGATGACCGATTGGCGTTTTGACACTTTGGGCAATTACACGACCCAATTATTCCGACAGAAATCCGGCAATTCGACATGGTCGGCCTCTTATCAAAGTCAGCGGCAAGGTTAGTTGCTGAATTGAGAATATGGGTCCGATGAAAATTACATACAATGGACACAGCAAGTGATTTTTGGTAGTTAGTCATTCCTTTTGTAAGTTTTCTTTTAGTTCGACGGTATTTAGGCATGCCGCAGAGAAGGTTTACATCGCAATTATCCACCAAAAGAACCCCCTAGCCTTTCCCCCACTCAATCATTTGAAGGAATGTTAACTAAGCGGTGCTTCCCCTCTACCCCAACTTACATATGTCAATTACTGGCGTTTTTATTGTTTTTCCTTGGTTATTTTTTTGATTAATTTTTTTCGTTCTTCGGATAAACATTGACTTACAGGTAGGAACAGGAATTATACAGGAACTGGCGAGTCATTAGTAAGAATAGCCACTTATCATGAAAAAGTAATGATTATTGTCACAGTAGGAAGAAGATCGTAACTGCACCTGAAATTTCTGCACGGTGACGTAAAATGCAAAATGGGCTGGTTTGGCTTTGCACTGTTCTGCAGCTGGAGACTACCATGACCTGATCCATGACGCCTACACCCTAGAATTTGATCGACCACGATGGGAACCTTGTGGAGTTTCCTCCACAGGATGAATTTCCGAATTCGCCGGGATTGTACATCCGTGGTAGCTCATTCCATGCATCTGTCTCGCCAGAGTGTGGTCCAAGCTTCCCCACTGAAACACATATGCGTGGCGTTCCGTCCCGGCCCAATTGGGCCCCCACAGTGTTTCTCTCCACATTCCCCCTGGATTTGCCTTAAATCATCGCTCAATAGTGGGCAACCTTGCCTTCCCCTTGAGCCTCGTTTCTTAGTCAACTTAGTAGTGCATACATATTCGTATATAGGTCCAAACAACAGCCCTACTGTCAACTAACGCTAGCAATGGTTTGGGCTCTTCTCATCATTTCGTGGATTTGAAATTCTAGTGTTTCTGATCGGTGAAACGTTTTTCAATTTCTTTATATTGCTTTGTCTATTGGAATATTTCCTTGCCTCTTATTCTGTTACTACCTAAGTGGCATTGCATGCAGAACTTGCTCTAATTACTCAAAGGGATTCAAGACCCATACTTCGATCGTTCGGAGAATCAAAGATCGAAATACTAAGTCTAATTAGTAAGTTCAAATTAAAAATTTCTGAAATTACTATCCAAATGACGTACTAGGCAAATTTCCATACCATATTAACATATTATTTCCTCTCCACATTATCATCATACAAACCTTTCCGTTGATGTATTTTTGGTCACGTGATGCTGGCCACCGTCTTACTTCCGCTTTTCTCCATTGGCCCTTTACTTCTCCATCCTATGGTGCAGTTACTTTCTACCACGCAAGCTTATGACGTTGACTTTGCAACCGCTTCAACGGCTTACTTAAATAGGTATCCAAATCCCTACGCCAAACACGTGCTTTCCTCCGACACAATCGAAACCTACGTGGATGACCTTGGCAGACTCAGAACTACCAGGTTGGTGGTGAAGACGGGGGCTCTTCCGGACTTTATAAAGCCATTTTTGGGAGACAAGCTCAATTCTTGGATTCTAGAAAAGTCGATTATTGACCCAAAATCCAAAAAAGTCTGGACTTATAGTGCCAACGTTGACCACAGGAGATTTGTCAAGATTGAAGAATACGTCAACTACGACACCACCGACGAAAACACCACGTTGCAAGTACAGGTGAGGTTCTCGTCGAATTTCATTGGGTTCAAGAAGCGGATCGAGCAGTGGAGCAGAGACAAGTTCCATCTGAACTTGGGCAACTCGCGTGAGGGATTTATGTATGTGATGAATAAGTTCCAGAGACCGAGATGGGCATATGAGTGATGACATGGCAGGACTGTAAATAAATGGGTTTCATGAATGGTGTAGATGATGTAGGATGGGGCGTGTGACATAAGTATTGTGGTGATGTGGTTTCCCTAGAAAAGATCAGGTGTAATAATAATGTTTCAATATTCTACTATGGTCTATCAAATTAGTACTTAGGAGATGAATTTTGTCGCTCTTACCAAATTCATGGCTTTCAAATTATGGCATTGTCTATTGAACTCATTTTGTGGCCTTTGAACTATACTCTAGCCCTTCAGGTACATTATTAGTGTAGCTCTCACCTCACCCACAGCAGTTCTACCTACCAACAACCTGGAAAAACTACTCTCCTGTTCACAAAATGGTGGTTAATTCGGCCCGGCAGTATATTTACCCACTTTCAATTCCTTTTAATCATGTTCTAGTCATTGTGCGATGTCTTCAATATGATCCCGGACCATCAACCTCTCACCCGGACCAAATCAACTATGACACCCGGAAATCCGAAGTAGCAATTGGTCCAGATCATGGAACCAGGAGAGATTATACTTTCCCAGACAACAAAAACACATTGCTGTAGCATTTCCATACTCTGCTAAGCTTTCCAATTACGTCACTATCTAGTCTGCTAATTTCACTCTTGTCATACTCATTCCATTCATTTCTTCATAATGTCAAAGTGATGTCTCACCCTCTGCTTTCAGTTTCCTATACCTTGTAAGTCTCTGGAGTCACTCACATTTCCAATTAGACTTATACCACGGCTATTTTGTACATTTGTTTCAGACATTTATTTTATTATCGGCTCAATCTTTAACTCGGCCTGGTGGACCTACATAGCAACCACACCATTAGACTATTGCAGAAACAAACCGCTCAACCAACCCTAAAAATACAAACATCTTGACTTTCAAAATACTTAAAACTTCCGATTGCTCAAGTCCATCCCTCCCCAATTCTAAGTTAAAATCCAACCAATCCATCTAAATCTCCCACCACTTCATCAACATTATTGTCCCTCATTTACCTGTCCCAGTCACAGGACCTATCGCACTGCACACACATATCACGATAGCCCTAACCTAGACTTGCCAACAAGGTTTCTTCCACACAATTTATTATATTTGCTCCAGCCACTTCTTTTCCTTACCATTTACCCTTCCAACTGCTTCTGACTGCTCATTAGCCGCCACTAGCCGTTTCTACCTACATAAGCGACTCATCTATAGTCGAACCTAATCCTTATCCGACCCAAGGGTCTAGACTCCTTAAGTCTACCAACATACATCCACCAAAACCTGATCATTGCAACAGGTTTTCTGTTATTCTCAATTGATAATTCTCAACGAAAATTACCCCTTTTCCCCTCTTATTGGCCATTCCTCTTCTCCTGTAACCAATGGGATTCGTTGAGGCGGAATTGCCGGACCAGGCGCCTGTTGAGGCGTCAAACACTCCAAGAAAGGAGATCTTCACGTCAGAGTCGTCACCCTGGTTTCGAAGAAATTCGTTTTTGTCGCAGAGCATGATCGACAACGAAAACTCCTCAGTATATGACTCTTACAGCTTTTTACCAGGCACTTCGTCATACAGCATTATTTCCTTAAAGGAATGTCAGGGTTTCTTGTTTAACCAGGACCTTTTTGCCACTCCATACCAGCAGCTGCGGTCTGTGGCCCGAGAAAAGCGTATTCGTGCTCTCAGTTTCTCGCAGAGACCCACCTCCAAGTCCAGAAGTAACTCGTCGTCCACAAGCTGCTCCAGCTCGCCGGCACCTGTCAAACAGAGACGTCACACATCTTACAATCCAAGGCCACAATTTAATTTCGCCGGTTTTCGTGGCGGCTCGGCGGTGGACGACGATCTGATGGATATCGACGAGTTCCCTGAAGCTCTACAGCGAAGCGTAGTTGTAGACGAGTATGAGGAAGCCGTTTTGGGCGAGAGTGACGGCCTAGAAGGCAATGATGATGCGGAAGACGACGACGATGATGACGACGATCAAAATAGCGAAGAAGATACCAGCAGTTATGGGTTCATGAGTGGCCATTATAACGTGCGAGTCACGGACATCATAGTGAATGAAGAGGATACCAGTTTTCTTCCCACGGAGGAATGATGTATTCTGTCAACCTGTGAATGCACCTCTGTAAATACGGGATAAAATAGGCCAGGATCATCTGGATGCATCCTGCTTGGTGATGGATGTGATTCACCAATACATAATTAACACCACGGACGGAGAGTTTATAATATTAAGATTGCGGAGTAAAATGAAAGAGAAAAGGGCTTTTGAATCTGAATAACTATATTTCTTCGAATCTTCCTTCAATTTGTCCAATTTCCATAGATTAACTCTACCTACTCGATCGCCAGTATGGTGTGCACGTAAGTTATAGAAGTTCACCATATTCTTTAACCACTAATCCCAACTATGGCTGATCTTAAACTGCAGTTTGAAAAGCTCTCGCTAGCCTTTAATGGTCAACAGAACAATTTGACGGAGTTGGCTGAGAGCCGGAGCCAGTTGGAGACCCAGTACCAGGAGAACAAGATTGTTCTTGAAGAGTTTGAGTACTTGAACGAGAACTCCAAAATCTACAAGTTGACCGGACCAGTTTTGATGCCACAGGACTACGCTGAGGCCAAGATGAATGTCAGTAAGAGAATCGAGTTCATCCAGAGTGAAATCAAGCGTGTGGAGGAGAAGATCGAGAATGAGCAGAAACTGATGGAGGACACCCGCAACAAGTTGTTGGAGGTGAGATCGAGCATGAACTGAGGAGGACAGGACGAATAGAAGACGAGAGGTGGAGAGAAAAGAAAGATCGTGAAAGAGGAATAAACAGACTAAATAGATACCATAGCAATATATATTACTAGCCTCTGGCCAATTGAGACTTAATCAAATTCACCAAAGAGATGGCATTGAAAAACGTCCATTGTTCCACGGCATTATAGGAGGCACCTGCAGCCTTGACACTAGCCACACTCGAGTCGACGTATTGGCGGGTTCTTTCGAAATTATCACTGGAATCCTGGAGCATGTACAACTCGGATTTCACGTAGATGGAGGAAAACAGAAGTCTTTTGGCGTACCATGCTGAGTCATTCGACATGTCTCCCGCGTAGAATGCCACATCGTCACTCAAGTTATGTAGTTCCTCCAATGAAGTGCCCCAGTTGTATGGAACCACAAGCTGGGCCAATGCCTCTGAAAGCAGGCCAATGATAGGTGCATTATACAGCAATCTCTTGTTTATCAAGTACAGAACACGGTGGTACTCGTCCTTGACAGCGTGGAAGTCCAGTTGTGGGTTCAACACTTCGTCGTACAACTTTTGACGTTGCAATTTGAGCCAGAACAAAACGAGCGAATATTCCGGGCTATGTGTGGACGAGGCGGTCACAACGCTCTGAATGGAGTCCAGGTATCCCAAGTCCTGAACAGCAGCGTCAATACTCGCTCTGGAAAAGCCGAGAGTCGGAACATGTTCGATGGCCTTGGAAAGTAGAATTGCTTCGGGAGTTTTGGCGTTGACAATGACGTTGGACGCCGTGTGGTGGGTGGAGTGGTAAGCTCTGATTGGTGAGAAGCCGAGGCAACGAGAAAAACGCAACATTGGGGAGGAAGTTGGTTGCTTCGTAGATGGAGTTTGGATACCTTCGGGTGGGCCCACAGACGGGAGTGTACAGTGTAGTATTAGACCAGCCTTGGGATGGGGGGACCGGATTCAAGAATGATGATTGGAAACTTTAAGTTGTAATATGGTGACGCGGGGGGCCATAAGAAGTCTTCAAGTTTTTAAATTCTCGTTCTTTGTGTTTACAGCTTACTAAAGTGTTGTTATTACGGAGTAATCGATTGCTGGTTTAGAATGTTCTGTGCGTGAAATGGAGATCTTGGTAACATACTGTTTTGGTGAACACTAGTGTGTGAAATCTGTAAGGAATAGGAAATGCTGTAGATATTGATAGGAAACTTTTTGTTTACAGTTTGTTTGGTTTGAAGATTTTGTTGTCTGGATCCGTCCCACATTTAGGTGTACGCAGTTGTTTATCTTCTCGATGTATATGTTGATGTTAAAGTGGAATGTGACAGTGGATTTTACTATGAACTCTCTGACTAAACAAAAACATGCAAATTAAAACATGACCAAATGAATGAGATCTTATTAGAATATACTGGAAAAAAACTTGCAGTAATGAAGAGGATACACCCAACTAGTGATCTAGCTCAACAATCAATTCAGTACTAGTACAGCACAAAGCATTCAGTCAAGGTAGATTTGACAAAACGCCAATTGGGGCGGCCAGAATGGCCATTGAAAGAATTTTTAGCGATTATAAGTATCATCGTGGCCAATAGCGTGTTCAGCTATTGATCATCCCTACTACTTAATAACTCACAAAACTCAATATTGCTTAATTTCAGACCTTATCCACATCCCTCAAACTTCTCAATTCTTCAAAAACAGCCATAAGATTATAAATCATCTTCTCCAAAATATTGTCTCCTAATGAATTTTTCAATGTGTTCTCCACAACTTCCAAAATATACCAGATTCCATCCTCCACCTCTTCCCTACATATACGCGAAGGCGATTTCAATCTCTATCATCCCCATTATGCTCGTATGTTTCGCTCCAAAACTTCGTTAATTCTCTTACTAACTCCAGATTAAACAATGGCTTGATGCCCAAAATCCACGGCACGCTCTTGATGACGAAGATGTTCCCACGCCGCTTGTGCCCACTGTCTCATTATCATACACCTCGACAGACTCCATAGATACCGTGGTGGTGGTTCCACAATCCATAAAGGTTGTGCTAGATAACGTATCAAAGTCTGCTGTGGGCTCAATTAAAGTTGAGTACCCTCAGTTGACCACTGACGACAACCAGAACGAAGAATATGATGAGGATGAGCAGTTATACTCAGCTGTCAGCAAAGAAGCCAACTTGAAGACATACCAGAGTGCAGATATCGCCGTTTATCGATTGGAAGGACAGCGTGCTTTGGCAGTGGTGGTGCCTCATTTCACCAATCCGATTGTCGAGAAGGTTGTGGCCCATGAATTGGGAAAATTACCAGTGGACAGTGCCAACTGGATTATTTTGGCTCCATGTGTGCTCAACAATGGTGTGTCGCTCAGTAAGTTGGCTGCTGGTTCTCTATTTGATAATGTTCCAAAAGTCCAGCCCCCACACTTCATCACAGGCATAGGAGCAGCTGTGGTGTCTGAATTGGCAACCCTCAACAGACTTGAAAAGTGCAATACGCTAATTCTCAATGCGGAGGGCCATCCTGGTTACGAAAAGGTGGATGCAGACTCGATCATGGATGCAGCAGAGGTGGCTAGTGAGTATTTTGTCAAGTCAAAGGCAGACTACATTAAGAAGCTAAGTCAGAGTGTGCGTAAGATCAATTCGTCCGCCACTTCCGGGATGTATATTTGATTAAGAGCAGTATATAGGTCTATGATGATGAAAAGTTTGGAATTGGACATCATAATGTGATTGCGAATGAGTACAAGATCGAATTGATCTTCACGTAGTTGATCATTAAGAGGTAGAGTTGCGCATCGACAAGAAGCAGTTCCATAACACAGAAACCGATGAAGAAAATGGAACCTGAAACGGTCTTGGAACCAAAAGAAAGTTGATGAATTGAACGGGAAACCATACGGAGTAATTGACCATGAGAGTCTTCAAGTAAACCCGACGAAGCTTGTCTCTGGTATCGTCCCACGTGCCGTTTTCCAACACAATGGTTCCGTAGGTGAAAAACGCAAATAGTGAGAGCGGTGAGTAGCAGAACTGATCCAGCATAACCTTGCGGAGCACCTCAATGAATTGTGGATGCTTTGAGTAGATCTGGAGAAACTTGTACCACCAGCACTGGAAGAAGGACATAATGAAGCCCCAACACATAAATCCGGCCAAGCGTCCAAATTGGAAGTATGTGATAGGCATTGATGTTGTCAGCAGCTGCTGAGTCAAGTTGGTTCCAAAGTTAGCACTCTCTGAGTTAATCGACTCGGTATCCGTCGACCGGAGGTAGTCAAGAAACCGGTCCACATTTTCATCGTCTATAGTGTCATCTATATCTGCGGGAGCGGTTTCTTCGACCTCATATTCCTCGTTATTTGTGTTGCCGAACGAAATATCGTCGGAATTGAAAGAAACCGTAGTCTGGGTATCGTTAAGTCGAATGCTGAGACGTGGCGATTCCGATTTATAACATAAAAGCGTCTGAGCTAACGTCTCGGAGATTCCGTAAAGCACGAGATTTGTGACGATGATGGTGATCAACGAATTCTTCATGTATAGCTCATTATACTTTGTGGTTAACTTTAGAAGGAAGAATGCTAGAACAGAAATAATTCCCAAGTTGATAGCAGGAACATTGTGGATTCGAACACAGTTGAGGAGGCGAGTGAAGACACTGACCGTGTGCTCCTCCTGGATCGTGTACGGATCATCATCTAATCTGACCATGGTGATAAGAAGATGGAGGCGATCCGAGTGCAGTCTGGGGTAGATTGAGTGAGGGAAATGTAAAGCTAAGGTAATACGAAGGAGAAATGAAGAGATGGTGAAAATTAAAGATGTTATTGGAAATGATTGCTCTTTAAACTGCGGAAGTAATTTAATTCGAAAAAATTGTGAGTTGAAGGGTTCATTGAAAACGAATCAATCAATGTAATTGCGTCCAAAGTTGATGTAGTCTGTCATTTGGAGATTTGGACATGGTTGCTCATGAGCTGCAGTTCATGCTCAAACAATTTCTGGATAAAAGATTCCTCTATACTTTTTAATCTCTTCATAAAAACTCATTGATGTCTAAGTGTGCTTCAGTTGTGCTACTGTGTTATTGCGAAGGTGATAAATGATCGGTTATATATGAGGTTGAACAGGTATATTGAGAATATAGTGTGTTAAGACTATGTGATTGAAAATATGACAGGGATATGAATTATGGGTCAGTTAGCAACTTTCTTCGTTTAGACCGTTTTGAATATTAGTATCTTCTGGTTAAGGTGGTCATTCTCGAAAATGACTTAATGTTCAAATAATGGTAATTAAATCATGGAATGAAGGAAATGGAGAAAAGTTCCAAAATGGATCGCAAAAATCGTAAATGTACAAAACCATGCCACATATATAATTGAACTCAAAGCAATCACCACTGTTTCAGCCATCCTAAGTTTGGAAGATAGTCATCAGTTCCTAAAAGTCACAACCTTTCTTCACTCGCAAGCTACTCACTACTATTAGCACTCACTACCAATACTTAGTTACTCACTACTGTGAACAATCGATTATACGTTACACTCGACATAAACATCCTTACACTATGTAATCACAAGTTAGTACCAAGGAATCCTTCTTAATTTGTTATTTTCTCACTTTTCGCCTCCATTTCTTTCCTCTACCCTTCACTTCCCTTTCTATATCACCAGTCCTCTTCTCTCCATCCTGCACACGCCTCCACCCACTGCCAATCAAAAATTGAGAAAAGTAACCACTCAAACCAACCATGTCCTACAACAAACAGTACCAGCCTGTCAGAGGCGAAGCTCCTCAGGGCGACTATGAGCTCATCGACGTCGATCCTCACTTCAACAGAGTAGTATCTTACTTCAGAGCATCGGATTTGGGTCTTTGGGCTGCCACAACTGCAGCCTTCCCAGTTTCGTTGGTTGCATGGGAAAAGTTGGAGCCCGTGGCCGGTGCTTTCAAGCAGCCAGGCAAGGTTCCACCAGGAGCATTGAGAGCTGCATCATTGATGGGCTTTTTTGGTGGCTTCTACCTTGCATACGTGAGATCGTCTAGAAGATTCTTGGGATGGTCTGAAAACGCCAGAGAGGTCAAGAAGGACAGATACGAGATCAAGAAGTTGTTGTCTCAGGAGAAGTTGCCATACCACGAGAACGAGAGTGTGTTGGACGACAGAATGAAGGACATTGCCAACAGAAACTCGCAATATGCTTTCACAGCCATGGCCGTTTTGCCATGGTTCAACTTGGCATACCACCCATACCACGGTGTGGACATCAAGAAATACTATGAGACGAGACCTGGTGAGGAGGAATGGGGTTTTACTTTGAAGCCATACGAAGAGATCAAGGCAAAGTATGCCCACGTTATTGAGTAGATTGCATGTGGTTTTGCTGCAACCCGGCGGGACTGCCAAATGGCGATATAGTTGAAGCTGAATGAATATAGCTGGTAATCTGGTAATGGTAATCCAGTAACGTTAATTTTGTAGATTTTACCATTTTGTAAGAATACACTCTGGTGTTTGATATATTATTCCTGTGTGCAACCCCATGTCGACATCCAACTTGAACTCCACCTTTTTCCTAATGTCCAGCCCTATCAGAGAAGACTTAGTTGTTCCGTATGTATAGACATTATTTTGGAAATAGAATTGCTGGTTTGCCATATACTGAAGTTTCCCAGGGAAAAACCGGCCATTTTTGGTAATCTTCCTCGCCTACGAACAATTCACACTATTGATATGGAAACCCCCAGATATGACTTCGAAATGGCGACCCGAAACCATAAATTATTCCCATCGGAAGAAATAAGGTGTCACTTTAATACGAGGGATGATCCAGAATCTTTCTTTTTTGGCGTTCTCTTCAATATTCCAACATTATCAATACCGATCTCCAGATGTTACATTCCATTTCCATCATTTTTCATTTTCCGTATCCAGACTAACCTTAGTTACCGTCACCTGCCAGCAAAGCCAAGAAATGACTCCTCTTCGAGCATGATGAGTCAGACCTTGCCAATGGCTGCCATGTTCATGAGAAACAAAATCATGTCGTGGTCGTCGGTGTTCTTGGCTCTCCAGACTTACTTGTCTGAGCCTATCAACAAGCCAGCTACCTCCAGCGACACCGCATCCCAGCCTCCATTGTTGAGATTAGCATTTGCCCTCATCTCGTTGCTTACCTGCTACGTGGAGTTCTTCTTTCCTTCTACCAGTCCAACTTTGAAGAGAGCTGCTATTCAGGCTGCTGAGTCTGTGACTTCTGCTGCTGCCGAGGCTGTCTCTACTGCTACCGAAGCTGCCAGCTCTTTGTAATAGTATAATACATTCGGACTATAGTACATGTTATAAACCCTGGTTGTTTAGATTACTCTTTGGGCTCCTCTTTCGCTTCCTCTTTGCTCTCGCTCCACTCCAAGATGATGCTATCGACTCCCTTGTAACACACACAGAGGTGCGTGCCCTTGGCATCCCAAACAATGTCACAGATACCAATGTCATCCTTCTTGCCCACAGCATAGATTCCCTCGCACCGCAAGAGATCCTTCACGTCCCGGTAATGCAGCAGCTGGATGTCCCAGATACTGACATTTCCCGAATCATCACCAACGGCAAGATATTTAAAATCAGGTGATACGGACGCAACAAACACCAATGCATTCTTCTGGTCAATGTCGATGTCTTCCTCTAAACGGAAGTTGTCTGGATTCCTGAAGATGTTGGCACTCACAATGGAATCACCCGAAAAAGCGTCCCAAATGTTGACAGCGCCATCCATAGACACAGAAAGCAACTCGTTTCCTTGAATATCTCCGGATCGTGAGAGCCAAGTGAGACACACAATTGGAGTTGTATGATAGTAGACGTTGGGTTCGTTTTCAGAAGAAACGTTGAGTTCAAGCGCATCTTGTGACAGTGAGCTGTTCCATACCTTGATTGTGTAGTCAACATCAGATGCCGACGCTAGCAATTTGGAGATGTTGCCAAACAGAATGGTCGAGATGGTGTTCTGGTGACCGACAAGCTGCCCCACCACAGTTACTGAAGTTTCAAGCGGAAGCAACGGATTCACGCTGTAGATTTTGATGGCATTATTTGACGTCAGGATCGCAAATTTGGAATCAGACACCCAGCACGCAGTACGAATCAGATTAGGATGGCCAGCACCGTTTGAAGGAATTGGATGAGCATTTGCAGAGTTCACCTGGAGAATCTCGCCCACAGGCGCCAATGTGGCTCCATCCCACACGGCAACGGTATTATTTACATCAATGGTGAGTAAGAGCAGACCACGGCTGTTCCATATTAGCGAGTAAAGTGTTGCAGGAACTCTTTCGGAATCAGTCGCCGAGTTCACGATGTTCTTGAGACGTCCGTCGGGAGTCCAGGCGCGAATTTCTCCATCAATTCCAGACGTTAGGATCATGGCACCCTGTGGAGCCCATGTGATGGTGCTAATCTCGTTGTTTACGGGATGTTCATCCACCAAAACTGGGGGATGGTTGAGAGTGACACTTTCGGCTACACCATGCGAGTCTAAAGCGTGAATGAGTGCCAGAGCATCCTCACGGCCAAACGCAAGCACTTCGGAGTGTGGGTGCCACTGTGCAGCCACCGATGGAGAGAAATGTAGAAACGGTTTGAGAATAGACGTTGTGAACGGGAGCTCGTGAGATTCTTCGGGAACTTGTGATTCTGGAGCAGCAGCCACATCATTGTTGGACTTTTCGGCGTCCTCTCCCGTAGTGGCATCTTCCATTTCTACGTCTGGCGCCAGCCCGCCATTTGCCTGGCTTTTTAGCTGGAAGTTTTGACTTGTATCAGTTTCCGCCTGTTTGAGCTCGTTCTCCTTTATGAGAGCATTAACCAATGTAAGACGCTCCTCTTTGCCCTCAGCTGCATCCTCAACGAACGTATATAGGATACCTTTCTGTACCAAATTAACTAAGCAGCCTGGTTCTATAGATTCGATGAATTTGTTCTTATCGTGTTCGTACTCGAGGCATTGGGACTTTTTCTCAAGGGCAAATGCCGCAAGCTCGTAGCCACTTTCTTGTAGATACCTCCATATGAGGTAGTTGAGTTCTAGGCTCGTAAGCGACATGAGGGTTGTATGTGGTGTTTTTTTTTATTTTTGGTGGTTTGTATTGTAGATGTATTCCTGCAGGATGCTGGTTGGTGCCAGAATGGGCAGAAGATAGGCTGGGAGATATGAAAGGAAAACTCACAGTTGGCAAAAAAATAATGATAGAGATGAACTATCAAGGCAAAGAGGAGACTAGAACGGGCTACTCAGTTTTTTTGCGTTAATTTTCACCCTTTTGTCGAAGGGGCGTCTTCCCGTGCTGAACCCTGATTTCCACTAGTCTTATGAGTCGCACACGAATGGGCCATACCAAGTCAACGCCTATAATCGATAATCAATATCAACACATAGCACCACCGCATCTGAGAAAATGGATACAAAGGCGAATCGCAAGTCTAGAGCGCCATGGCAGCACCAGCGGGCACGTGGAGTATCCAACCCGTACGCTGATGCTACATCCATTGTGGAAACACAAGATCCAAATTCCAACACACTTCAAGTTCCCAAGACAGCAGCTTCCAAAAGTAGAAGACAGACAAGGCGGCTCTCGATCCACGCGTCGGCCATGGCGCCGCAGAACATGTTTGATGCCGGCAATCTACCTCCGTTGCCAGGAGCTCCGGGGATGTATAGAACAGCCACCAACAATTCAGACATGGTGTCAGTTCGGTCACAATTGAGAGAGAAAAAAGAGGAGGATATTGTTGATATCATCAAGACAGAGCTCCGCGATAAGGATGCGACAGCCATCGACGATTTCTACAAGTCATTGGTGGGGCAGAAGCAGACTTTGGATAGAGACATTAAGGACAAAATCAACCAGAACCAGCGAAACATCTTGCAGTTGACAGACAACTTGCAGATAACACAGGAGGAATTGATGCTGTTGCGAGTGCAGACCAAGGAGTTATACGGAATTTTGGCGGAGTTCACAGATGCAGCTGAACGTAGAATCGAACTTGAGGAAAAAGAAGCAAAGAATGTGGTGGGAGCTTCGGGAGCTACATCCTCTGGGTCATCCCTCCAACTTCGTCTGCCTAAAAAGAAGCGTGATCGTCTGTCGGTGATGGTGCTTCAAAAAATGTGGGTGCTGGAGCTCCAGCTGTTGTATAAACATGTTGATGGAGCTCAGAAGTTCGTCCAACCTATTCCTGGAAGACATATTGTGGGAGAGAGTGGGAGGTGGCACGAGATCAACATCGGAACGTGGAAACCCACCAAGCCCATCCATCTCTTCCTCTTGAATGACGCTGTGCTCGTGGCCACGCGAAAACTGGCTCAGGACGGAAACTCCAAAAGACTTCAAGCCGTTTACTGTTGGCCACTTCTGCAGGTGAATATCTCTGAGATCCAGCCGCCAGCACAAGCAAACAAGGGACGCGATGACAAGATGTACGTGATCAACGTGCGGTTCAATTCGATGTCCTACGTTTACCAAACTGACCGTTACGACCATTTCATGAGAGTCATGAACGCATACACGAAAGGAAAAACGGAGATTATGCAAAAGGAGCGCTTAATCGAAGAGGAAACGTCGAAACCGTCATCGCACGAGATGGGCCACCACAGAAACGCCAGTGCTGGTAGCTTGGCGGATGAGTACACCGACAAAAGGCAATTGCGCGATTCGCTCAGAAATTCAGGTCTTATGGGCCTGCCACTGCCTTCGACAGAGGATGTCACCCGAAGACCCAATTCACAGAGGCAAAGTGCAGATATACTTCTCAAGGACATTTCTGCTAGGGTGCATCAAAGAAATAGATCCCATGACTTTGCAAAGATAGAGCGCTCCGGAAGCAGGTCTGATAACCTCCCAGCAAGACTGTTTTCTGACTTGAAGACTTGCGAGGACAAGCTTGACGAAGTTGATGTGCATTTAGCCCACAATGAGTACATGAGTGCTGTGGGGCTCCTTAATCACATCGACACTAAAGTTGCCGAGGTTGGGGAGAGGATTTCGCTTACGAAAGGCGATAACAATGCCAAGGATGAGCTAAGGCTTCTTGTGGACGTGGTGAAGATCAAAATTAATGCCAGAAGGGTCAAAGTCAAACAGGGTCTTCAATTTGTAATGCACCATAGTATAGCAGGCTTACTGGCTCAGAATATTGGCGAAATAATCGAGTATTACTTGAGCTTTGGCAAGTTAGACGAAGGAATCATGGTCTTTCTCGATGCGATGTCTAATCATCTCTCTCAAACTGTGGGAAAATTCATTTCCAATGACCATGGGTCCACCAGAGTCGATATTGTCAATTACCTCGCCAACTTAACCATTGTGTACGTACTGATTGTGAAAAGAGCAGTGACCATTCACAAAACTTGCATTGAGCCTATCATGAAGAGAGACAGTGGTTCCACTGACTCAAGTGGGTTCGTTACGTGGTCTGTGAGCCAGATCTCTCAGCTAGTAGAGTCCATCGAAAGACATGCTTCAGGAACACTATTAGTTAAGAACTCAAACGAGTGGCAAGTCAAGGATCCAAAATACTACAAGGAGCTTGTGAGTGTAATTGAACCTCAGCTCGCTCAATTAAAGAGGGAAGGTCTCAATGTGGACTATCTATTTGATGATATCCTTCATTGTCGTCCAATCGCAGCATTTGCGCAGAAGGACAAATAAATAAGAATGCAAAATTCTGGAAGTTCAAGGAATAGATTCATAGCTTGGCATAATAGTCTGTAATATCGTACTTGTGACGAAGACTGCCACCATTGCGCTTCAAATATAACATGCACAAGGAGGCCACCATAATCACACCCAAATAAATGGAAAACAATACGCCAATTGTCAATGCTCTTACAAGTGGCTCTGTCACAAATGTTGCAATTGCCGCCAAAATTTGCCTGACCAAGTTATTGAGGGCCACTCCCGTGGCTCCTTTACCAGGTAGAACATCAATAATGTAAGTCAAGGTCACGCCAATTACAAGCATAGAGGCGAATCCAAACAATGCTGTGCCGATCAATGGTGTTAACCAGAATTCCCCTTTATCCATACACCAGCCGAAAATCAAGCACGCGGGTGGGAACAAGGACACAGCAACCACAATATTCCACGAAATACGAGATTCTGGAATCATCTCGCCATTGTTTAGTTTAGCACAGCGGCGAATGAGCCAGTCATTCCATTTTCCTCCATAGATCGATGCAATAATATATGTGAAAGAGTTGGGAATGTACATCAATCCCACAATGACTGAGCTGAAGTTGTATGGGGCAGAACTGTAAGAGTTCGTGATGGAGATATTGAAAAAATAGATCCCCATAAATGTAAAGGCTGAAAATGCGATTGCAAGTGCAACAGGTGGATATCCAAGAAGCACCACAGCATGTGCTGGGCGAATGATATAGTCGTACAAAATGTGGGGCCATTTGGTCCGGGGTTTCAGGATGTGTGAATCAGCCATTGACATTTCGTATTCCTGGAGCCGCTTAGAATAAGCCGAGCGATTGGTTGTAAGTCTCAGAAGTGCTGGAGTTACGAAATCCATAGGAGTTTCATCATCCAATATTTGTCTTCTCAATGACGAGCTCTGTGATAGATTTGTGGCGATGCGTTCGAGCTCGTTTTCAGCCATTGCAATATTCTTCTCTTCAAGTTGCTCTTTCAATCTCAAACGAACATTTTCCATGCTATCCTCTTTTCGAAGTGTCTCAGGAAGAAAGATTATAATCAGGACCACATTGATTCCACAAAAAATGACCATGACCCACATGGTGGCACGCCAACCCCAAGCTTCTGCAACAGCACCACCGATAATGGGAGATAAGAAAGGACCCAATAGGGGACCCAAATAGAATATTCCCAAAGCAGTTCCACGCTCTTCTGTGACGTACAAATCAGCTACCGTTGCTGCTCCACATGCCTGAACGGCAGAAGCACCCACACCTGCTAGTAGACGCATTGCGATGAGGGAAGAAATGGAGGGAGCCAAAGCAGAGCCAATAGAGAACGCAAAGAAAAATGCAAAAGAAAATACATACACCATTCGACGGCCATGTTTCTCTGAGAAATTCGACCACCACATAGGAAATATACCCAAAGATATAAGGTATATACCTACGGATATGTTGACAGTGCTGACGGTAGTGTTGAGGTCGGCTGCCATATCGTCCACGGCAGGCAACATGATAGAAGTTCCCATGGGTCCGGTGATACTTGCGAACGCAACAACAGAAACTACTATAAGCTTAGTAATGCGGCTGTAATTCCTGGCATCGTCATATTCTGGAACAACAGTAAGAAATGACAAAGGTCCTCTTCTTTGGGAAATAGGGACTCTATGAGAAGCAGCAGTCAGGGTCACTGAGGTTTTAGACTTGGTCCCCACCACTTCTTCTAACCGTTCTAGACTGATCCGGGAGCCAGCAGTTCTATCCGAAATTACACTTGATTTGTCAACTAGTGTTTCTGGGAGTGGGTGTTGCTCATGGTGTAACTCCAGATTAAGCAGCAAGTCTGCAGCTGAGCTTGCCAAAGATGCTGGAATCGACATGAATCAAGTAATAATATCACAGGATTTTTGACTCATTAACTGACTTTTAGAGTAATGGTCACGAGATGGTTATGAGACCAATCGGCTCGAGTGGAGACAAAACCCCGGAGATATACTACTTCCAAAAGATCAACAAATATTATACATGGAGGCTTTCGCAAGCTCCTAAATGATTGATTCGAGAGATGACAACAGCTTTTAATGCATGTGTAATTGTCTTGTCGACACATATTGCACAATAGAAGACGTCCAATTGTGCTGTTACCTGCGTATTTTCACAGATCGTTTCGTATGAACTTCAAAAAATAACGAAACAAGAAACTTACAAGATGAGATTATTATTCTATGTTATCAAAAACACTTCCGTGATTTAAAATTTTAATTTTAATTTTGAAGATACCGATAAGTGAATGCCTGCGGACCTTGCCCAAGCACCAGTCATAACGGCTTAATTGAGACAAGGATGCAGGAAATCGGCAAGTTAGCAGCCGACCTCGAGAAGCCATAGGCAAAATTAAATTGATTTTAAAATTCATTTCCTAGATTAAAAGCAAATAACTCGTTCAAGTCAGTAAAACTCGAAATTTCAACGAGGAATCCTACCAAACTGAGGACCAAATTTAGCCGACATGCATGATTGAAGATTGATTTGGAGCTTAATTACAAAATAAACAAGAAGAATCACAATACTAATTATGAAAACAGAAACAAAATTTGGAAGAGAGGGCTCCTTATTTATATGTCCGAGAATTGTTTGCAGCCACTAAGTTCACATAGTATAAATAGCCACACTCCCCTCTTAAAATCATATCCCACATGTTTCTATTGTGGACCTGCACGCAAACTCGCCACTACCCCAGATACATACTCATCACTACCCAACACTGCCCGCCAAATCCTTATCTAGATAGATAGTATTTCTTTTCGCTCTCGGTGGATCTCCCCAATTGCAAATAGAATTTTCAGCCAATGCCATTTCTATCTCGCCATTCGTGGCCGGTGGTACTCATCAGAACTCCGTTCTGTATAGTTTTCTTTATCGTCGGAGTTCTCAGCATTCGGTTTACCCAAGTTCTTGCAGATTTGTTGTTCAAATCGCTGCCTAGGGTTTACCATCTGATTGCCAACTTGACGAAGGTGCATTTCCTAACATTGCTTGCATTCTTGACCTCCATTATCAATCCGTCAAAAGTAGTTGTGACCTACAACTATGATGATTTGCCAAAGTCAAACAGCTTCAAGGTGGACTCCAACGGTAATCTTTCCAGCATTCTCTCACCAAACTCGGTGTGGATTTCCAATCACCAGATTTATACAGACTGGCTCTACCTATGGTTTATGGCATACACAGGCCGATTTGCTGACTCCGTATACATTGTCCTAAAGGAAAACTTGGCTAAGATTCCTATTTTGGGACCAGGAATGCAAGTGTTCAAGTTTCTATTTTTGTCTAGAAAGTGGGAGACTGACAAGGTCAACTTAACGAATCAATTGCTAGAGATCGACGCGGACGCTAGAGGTTTGGGTCCTGCTTCTGGAGTCAGATGTATTTCATCAACAAACCCCAGTTTGCCTGGTGTCGCTCAATGGCCAAAAGGTGATCACCCAGATAAGAGGATCTGGCCATACCAATTGATAATTTATCCAGAAGGCACTGTTAAGTCTCCACATACGAGAGAGAGATCGAACAAGTTTGTTCTGAACTTGAATCGTCCACTTCTCAAGCACGTTTTGCTTCCTAGAGTTAGAGGCATCTTCTTGATGTTGAGACTGTTGCGCGATACATGCGAGGTAGTTTATGATGTGGCTTGCGGATATGGCGGCCTTAAGCCGGAAGACTACGGAGAGGATGTTTTCACTCTTAAGGCATTCTACTTGTTGGGCTATGGACCTTCCTCAGTTAACTATCATATTCGTGCATGGAACCTCAAAGACATACCTCTTGGAAATGATGATTCAGTGGATATCGACACAGTGGATCCAGAAGTGTTGAAGAAGTTTGAGGACTGGCTCTTCACTGTTTGGTATGAGAAGGACAAGCTCATGGACAAGTACTACAAGACCGGAACCTTTGCAGAGGCTGGGAACAGTAAGTCTAGAACTGTAACAGCAGATTTCAAGTTGAAAAGTTCCCTCGAGGTGGTTACGCCATTTGTAACTTTAGTCTCAGCCTTTCTTATCTTGCGCCTTGTGGTGAAGGGATTGTGGCACTTGTATTGCAAATAGATTCGACTGCCTTGACATGTTTCCTAGATCCTGCACCTCCCACATCCAACTATTTCTGATACAGTTTGGCTGCGAAATTGAGACACTACTGCGATTAATTGATTACCCTTCAAGCTAGAAGCAGGTCTGTTTCAATTCGAAACTCGAATCTTACCTATCATATATAGTGGTGAAATTTCTTTAATTTTCGTTCTCAATTTACTTTACCATTTCTCATGCTTGCTCTTCTGTTTGCTATCAAGTATTGGAATCTTGTGTCAGTCACGATTGCTGCTTTCCTCTTATCGTTCTTGCTTGTTGGATGTTTCTCGTCAGAGCTGACATATTCGCTGGTTTATCTTTTAAGGTTGCTGTTCAATGACTCAGCTGATTTGGTCTCGCTAAACCTGTCTTTGCCAGACATAACTTTGAGAGCAGGATATTTGGCCATGTGCGTAAGTGTCGACTCTGCCATGGAATGTGTGGCTGCACATAATCTGAGCGTTCTTTATGCTTCCTCTAGTATTAAGCTTGAAGAAGGAACCATGAGTCTTACTGATGTTTCTAGAGGGCTTTCCGAGACATGCAACCCCCGCCTTCTAGTTTGTTGTATCATCTTAAGTCTCTTGTTGATAGTGCTTATACTTTGGCTAGCTATTCCTCTTGTGCCAGGAAAAATGTTTATTCGCCGAGTGACGCTTGCACTTGGGGTGTTGACGGTTCTTTTGTGGGGGTTAGGAGCAATGCTTCAACACCAAACGGTTCTGACCGCGGTGAAGCTCGTGGAAATGAGCTCATTGGGGCTAATCAAGTTGAATCGTGGGGGTCGAGCAGAGGCCATGACGTGGACAGCATTTCTGTTTTTGTTCGTGGCTACAATTGGCGTTGGATTCGAAAACTGGAAGGAAGTACAGCCGCAGGTCAAAGAACAGAAAAGATACGGAAGTTGAGCGAACAGACCGAACAGAGCGGTGGAAGATATATTAACATTGAAATGAAAGGGGCCTGTATGATTCGTTATGGTAGATAAGCCCAAACCGAACTTTAGAACCATTATCTGATTTTCAAGCCAGTGTACCAGAAAGGTGAGAGAGAGACAACGGGATCTCAAGCCCAGGTGAAACAAAATCACAACAAATTAAGTCATTAAATAATACATATATATGAGCCAAAATCAACCGAAACTATTAGCATATAATGGAAAGCCAGATTTCAACTGCTCTACACTTCAAAATATTGACCTACAGGTAAAACCCACACGTGACTAAATATCACGCAGATATCACGTGTACACACTGGATTCTCTCACTACCAGTTCCCACTTTTTTCCACCGCGACTCACATTCTCAAGTTCTTGTTGTTCCATCGGCTACCACCAATTGCTTCTAATTCCCCCAGTCTTCCCGACAGAATGAACTACATGCAGCAGCTCGACACTTTCGTGCTGCGTCTTAACGACGCCGGCAACGACTACAAGGAGCTGCAGTCGGTGTTTCTGGAACTTCTAGACATGATAGAAGCCTTTAATGGAGCAGCCGAATACGAGTACTTTTTGAAGAACATGGTGCCGATTTTCTTGCAGAAATTAGATGATGTACCCATCGCGTTCAACAGTAGCAGCCCCGAGCACAAGTTGCGGAACCTGGTGCTTGAAATCATCCACCGATCAATCATGACCGATACTTTCCAGCCTTACGCAGAGGAGATTTTGGTGACTTTAACGAGAATCTTGGAACTCGAGAACGAGGATAACGGTGTGCTCTGTATGAAGATCATCACCTCTTTGCATAAGGCCTATAAGACGACGTTGCATGATAAAGTGGACCCATTCATTGATATCATCAACAAGGTGTACGATAACATGGATGAGACCGTGAGCAGCGTGTTTTCCGAGAGCCAGCAGGCTCTGGTAGAGGAACAGAACGAATCTGGCCCGTTTGTCGAGGACTCCAACAATTCCAAAACACTTAGTAAGGCCATGTTTTCGTTCAAAACATTGGCAGAATGTCCAATCACCATGGTGTCTTTGTATTCGTCATACAAGACGCTAGTTCAGACATCTCTCCCCATTTTCTTGCCAAAAATCATCCACATATTGCTATTGCAGGTAAAGCAGCAGAAAGAATTCCGTGAAGAGCAGTTGAAAACCTCCACATCCGTTACAGCTATTCTGCCTCAAATTATCAACAGACAGGCGTACTCCGAGTTCATTTTGGGTCAGGTGAAGTCCGCTTCCTTCTTGGCGTACGTGTTTATTCGTGGTTATGCCACCCATCATCTTCCACAGGCCCTGGCTAAAGTTGTGCCTGACGTCATCATCAGATTACTCCAGGATTGTCCAGCGGAACTTTCCATTGCACGTAAGGAACTTCTTCATGCAACACGTCATATCTTATCTACTCCGTTCAGATCACAATTTGTTTCCAAAATTGAGTTTCTTTTTGACGAAAAGATTCTCATTGGTCATGGCTTGACTGCGTTTGAAACGCTCCGACCATTGGCATACTCCACAGTCGCCGACTTTATTCATAACGTGCGTAATGAACTCACGCCCAAGCAAATATGGTCCACGGTTCAAATTTATTGTGATCTCTTGAAAGACGACTCTCTTGCATTAACCGTTCAGATCATGAGCGCAAAGCTTTTGCTTAATTTGGTGGAAAGAATCATGAAGTTGCCCAATAAGCTTGAAGGTAGACAGCTCTTCATGATCATCATCGACTCGTACGCTAAGAGATTCCACAGTCTCAATAGAAAGTACGATTACATTCTTAAAAAGCACCAGCAATTCGAAGAAAAGAGAAAAATCAAGGAAGCTGCAGCAGAACATGCCGTGGAGAGATATAGATCCAAAGCTCCAGAGATTCCTAATGCTAAAGATTCTGAACAGCTAGGTATGGAAACAGGAGACGATGACTCGATGGAGGTAGACACAGAGGCCAATAATGAACAAATTACGGAACTACCTGAAGATATGTTTAGCGTTGAAGAGCTCTCGCCAATCTCAATTTCTTTCTCCAACAATAACAGTGACTTATTAAAGGATGCGAGATACTTGTTCCGTACTTTAATGACCTTCTTGAAGTCGGTAATTTTCGGCTTGAAGAACTGCAATCCTCCAGTTCCACCACAGCCACAGCAGGACCCCAAAAATCCTGGTCAGGTTGTCAACTACGATAAATGGAATGACTCAGCAAAATTAACATCTCTTGAAGAGATCACCATTCTCCGCAGTCTCTTCAGAGGTGGTATCAGCTGCTTGCGCTTCTTTTCCGTGTCCAAGCCTAAACAGACTGTGCTGGCCAAGGCATTTGACTTCTCATCCGGGGGTCCCAATCTTCCAATCACATCTTCCAAGGAGGAGAAGGATTTGATGGAGATTTTCGCAACGATCTTCATCCACATCGACCCAGCATCTTTCAACGAGATTGTCAGCGCTGAGTTGCCATTCATGTTCGAGTCTATGCTTGAAAACGCGGCATTGCTCCACCTTCCTCAGTTCTTTTTGGCGAGCGAGATCACCTCAGCAAATTTTTCAGGTATCTTGATTTCCTTCCTACGCTCCAAGTTAGACCAACTTGACAAGGTTGACTTGGTCAAATCCAATATCCTTATACGTTTGTTCAAGCTCTGCTTTATGTCAGTCAACTTGTTCCCCACTGCCAATGAGAACGTAATTCTCCCCCATTTGAACTATTTGATCTTGGAGTCATTGAGGCTCGCAACAAAGGCTGAAGAACCCATTATTTATTCCTACTTGGTGAGAACTTTGTTCAGAAGCATCAGCGGTGGAAGATTTGAGAATTTGTATAAGGAGATCATGCCTATTTTGCCAGTGTTACTCGAGAGCCTCAACAAATTGATCGCAAACTCCCGTCGTCCATATGAGCGTGACATCTACGTTGAGTTGTGTTTGACTGTCCCTGTTCGATTGTCTGTTCTTGTTCCACACTTAAATTATTTGACAACACCTTTGGTGTACGCTCTCAATGGATCGCAGGAGCTTGTGAGCCAGGGTTTACGTACTTTTGAATTGTGCGTTGACAATTTGACTGCAGAGTATTTTGATCCTATGATTATGCCTGTCATCTACGATATCATGGCAGCATTGTGGAAACATTTGGAACCTGTTCCATACCATCATCAGCACTCACATACAGCCATCAGAATTCTTGGTAAACTTGGTGGACGTAACCATAAGCACTTGAAGCCTTGTGCAGACTTGAGAACACAATCCGAATTGGATCAGGAAATTAAGGCACTCGTATCCATTCATGGCTTGGGAAGTAAGATTCCACTTTCAATCACGCCTGGTGTCGAATCTGCTTTCAAATTGCTTGAAGATCCACGCTTGAAAGTCCACTACAGGATCAGCGCATACAAGTATTTGTCTAGCATCTTGAAGCTTTTCATCGATACTACACCAATCCCGCAGGACTACCCTGTCTTTATTAAGGAGCAAGTGGAGCTCTTGAAGCTCGACGAGCTCAATGAGTTCCCAGAACTCGAGCCTTCTGACATAAAAGATGCGGCCAAATTAGACCGTCAACAGAAATTGTTTGGCCGTCTCTTGGAAGGGTTATTCTTTGCGTACTCTATTCCCGAACTTAAGGAGGAATCGGGCTCATTAATCGACAGTATTACCACTCACTTCACCCTTATTCACTTGGGCACTTCTGTGATTGGAAAGATCAAGAAAGATCGCCCTTTCTCTGTTAAGGATCAGGAAGGAAAAGCATTCATTAGTGAAACAGTATTCTTCAATGCGCTTAACTATTCTTTGAGCTTCTGGGATAAGGATGTCCGTGAGAAGGGTATTCAGACCATCAAGAATCTTTACAAAACCACTGTTGTGATGTTTGGATCCGATGAGGATGCTTTGTACTCGCCATTGTTCCGCTCTATGTTTTACAAGTTCACCCACTGTTGTTATAGTGAGTTCTATCATAATAAACTAGGTGGAGTGTTGGGTTTGAAGACTATGTTTGAAGATTTGAATATTCCCTCAAAATGGTTCTTCAAGCGCCAATTTGAACTTGTCAGATCCATCTTCTTTATTTTGCGTGATACGCCAGATACAGCTCCTTTCGAAGTACGTGATATGGCCAAGAAGCTTGTATTGACCATTCTCAAGGAATGCAATTCTGAAGTTTCGAAGGATACAATTCTTGAGAAACCTTTCCAGACCTTGGTTGGTGCCTTAGTGTACGATCTCGCTAGTGCTGTTCCAATTGTCAGAGAAGTTTCTCAGGAATCGTTGGGAGTGTTGTCGGAAGCTACTGGAGTCCCTATTGCAACAATAATTGGACCTTCAAAACATCTTTTGCTCACCCCTATATTTGGAAAGCCTTTGAGAGCCTTGCCATTTCCAATGCAAATTGGTAACATCAACGCTATCACTTTCTGCTTGGGTTTAGAAGATACTTTCACTACTTTCAATGATGAGCTTAACAGATTACTTCTTGAAGCTTTAGCCTTGGTTGATGCTGAGGATGAATCACTTGCTAATGTTCACCGTCTTTATGAACACAGAACAGCTAAGCAACTCATTGAGCTTCGTGTTGTTTGTATCAAATTGCTTTCCTTGGCACTTACCAAACCTGGATTTTCGTTAGGCTCGTTGTCCGAGGCCAGAATTCGAATTCTTGGTGTGTTCTTCAAGGCTCTTTGCAACAAGTCTACAGAAATCATCAATGCAGCTCATCTTGGCTTGAAATCTAGTCTTGATGAGAGTGCCAAGCTTCCTAAAGAACTTTTGCAGAATGGTCTTCGCCCGATGCTTATGAACTTATCGGACCATAAGAAATTGACAGTCTCTGGTCTTGAGGCTTTAGCACGTCTACTTGAATTATTGATTTCATACTTCCGTGTTGAAATCGGTAGAAAATTACTTGATCATTTGATGGCATGGGCCCAAATCAACACTTTGCGTCTGATTGCAGGCCAGGATTTGGAGAACAACCATACTGTTCAGATAGTCATTGCCATTTTGAATATCTTCCATCTTTTGCCGGCTAAAGCATACACGTTTATGGAGGAAATCATCAACACTTTGCAATACTTGGAAGGTCATTTGGATCGCCACCAAAATTCACCCTTCAGATTGCCAGTTCTTAAGTTCTTGAATCGATTCGCTGATAACTGTTTGGAATACTACATTTCGCACTACAAAAACAGGAAGTTGGGTAATATGTTAGCATACTTTGCTGGAGAGGAAGATGGCCCTAGAATTCGTGAGGTTGCTAAGGGTAAGATTGACAGCATTGTAGAAGATTTGAAGGCAGAGACAGACAACGAAGTGAAAATCATCAAATTTGCTAACACGGTGGACTTGATTGCTGCGATTTCCAAGTTTGATACAGAGTGGTTTGACCAACAATCACCACTCTTAGAGACACTTTCCGAGACTGTTGAAGTCCTCATTGGAATCAAGGGCCAATTACCTTTGACTTCCAGCACCCATCTTCAAGCAGACCAAGCAATCTCTAATCTTGAGGTTCTCATTGTTCATTACATGGAAAGAAACCCCAAAGACGTGGATCTTCTATTCAATACTGTCAACCGCCTCAGTATGTTGAACTTAAAGATTCATGAGCGTATTGAGGAGTACATATTTGAGACCGTTGTGAAGTCTCAAGATGTCGAACATAGACAACACTATATGAGTAAGTGTGTCGATTTTATTGCTGATGAGACACAATTGAAGGCAAAGATTTTTGTCTTAAAGAAGGTATTCGACTCTGCACTCTTGTACGAAATCGATAAGAATGGCAATGCAGACTCATTATTCGCCAATGGTCCAGCTTGGTTACAGAAATTCGATGAGAATATCTGGAAATCTACTAACGATATTATCACTGATAGAACTTCTGGAAAGATCGATTCATACAGATTCGCTTTGCTTGAGAGTACTACAATTCTTCTTAAGTGGTCTCCTAACCAGCTCAATGATTACAGGAAGGACGTGATCAAGTTTAGTTGGAACTACATCAAGTTGGAGGATAACATCACGAAACAGGTTGCATATGTCACAACTTCCTATTTTATTGCGGCTTATGAAACACCAGCTCAGCTTGCTACTCAGGTGTTCGTGGCTCTTCTCAAGACTCACCAGAGTGATTCCAGACACTTGGTGAGAGAAGCTCTCGATATCCTTGCGCCAGTTATGTCCTTGAGAATTGTTGACGGTGATTCACCTAACAGTTGGCTCAAGTGGCCAAGAAGAGTCCTCTCAGAAGACGGTTTCAATGTTACGCAGGTCTTGAATGTATACCAATTCATTGATCAGCATCCAGACCTCTTCTTCCCAGCCAGAGAGCATTTCATTTCGAATATTATAACAGCAATGGGTAAGTTGACCATCTTGGCTAATGCTGCTTTGGAAAATCAAGTCCTCGCTATCGACTTGGCTGAACTTATTTTGAGCTGGGAAAAGAAGGCAGAGACTTTGAAGAAACAAAAAAAAATCGAAAATGTGGAGTCAGAAGCCAATGGAGAGAACAAGGATGCCAATGACTTCTCAACTTCTGATGATTATGTCGTCCCCTTTGGTCAGAGAGAAGCATGTGTCACATTCTTAATTAGATATGTGTGTATTAGTCCTCAGAGAGCTTCTGAAAGTGAATTGGGACAAAAAGCATTGGGAATTCTTTATGATCTTTTGAGTCCACAACATTGGCCAGAAGTTTCCGTCAAGATTACTTTCTTCGAAAAATTTTTACTTTCCAATGACTTGAACTCTGCAAACTTGTTGGGTTACTGTTTGAACGCTTTGGAGGTTCTAGGTGTTGTTTTGGAGTGGAAACCTGCTGAGTGGATTATCTCCAATCTTGGATATCTTCATAAACTACTTGAAAAATGTATCAAGTCTGAAAATCATGACATCCAAGAGGTCCTCCAAAGAGTCTTGCGCATCATTCTTCTGGCGATTAATGTTCAAGTTGAAGTTGAGACTGCGGAAAATGAGGAGTCTGAGACGAAGCACTTCGTTAACTTGCTCACTACTACCGTTTCTGAGGACTTGAGTGATACAACATCCATGGCTGCCGGTGTTACCTTGTCCTGGACTTTGGCCAATTACAGGCCAGCCACACTTGATCCATTGTTGCCCTCGATCATGAGAACTTTTAACAAACTTTGCAAGGACCACATCGCAATCACTCACCAAGGTGCCCAATCTAAGGACTCGTCAGCAACTAGTGATGAGGCTAAGATAACAACCAAGCTTTTGGAGAAGATCTTGAACTTGTGCTCAATGAGAATTTCCAGCCTTGGCGACCAAAGAAGAATTTTCTTATCGCTTCTTGCTCAATTAATTGAAAGATCTTTGGATAAAGATATTTTGGAGAAGATCATCAAGATAGTGAAGTCTTGGGTGTTTTCTAGAACCGACTTATTTCCTACAACGAAGGAGAAGGCTGCTATTTTGGCAAAGATGATGATTTTTGAAATCCGTGGAGAGCCTGCTTTATCCAAGGAATTCTACAAGATTATTGTTGATATCTTCGAAGATGACACATTCAGTTGTACTGAGTTGACTGTTCGTATGGAGCAACCCTTCTTGGTGGGAACTCGCTCTTCGGAAGTTTCTGTTCGTCGTAAGCTTATGTCCATTTTGAACAACAGTCTAGAGAAAGATATCAGCAAGCGTCTCTACTACGTCATTAGAGAACAAAACTGGGAGTTTTTGGCAGATTACCCATGGTTGAACCAGGGCCTCCAGCTTCTCTTTGGAGCATTTAACTGGGACGACAGACTTCAATTAGTCTCAGAGGAAAATAGATTACCTCCGTTGACGACATTCCCATATGAGCCTAAAGACATGGATATGGACAGTGTTAGTTCCGATCTCACAAAGTTGTTAGACGGTCACAACCTGTTCTTGAACGAAATTTCCGATGTCAGCGCTGGAGCAATTCTTGAGCCCTTGATTGATATGTTCTATCAAAGCAGTGAGACAGTTCACCGCGTGTGGTCATCAGTGTTCCCAATTGCATTCAAATCTATTCCTCGCTCAGAGCACTTGGATTTCACTCGTTGTATGGTCATTCTCTTGTCGAAGGACTATCATACCAGACAAATCGACTCCAGACCAAACGTAATCCAATCTTTGATGGAGGGTGTGTCTCGGTGCGACGAACTTCAGCTCCCTCCATTCGCAGTTGAATGCTTGGCTTCCAACTTCGATGCATGGTCACAAGGTATTCACATTCTTGAGAATATTGAGAGTCTGTCTATTAACGGTAATGCTGAAGTGCGGGAGGTGACGCAGGATGCTTTGGCCAAATTGTATGCCACTTTGAAAGAAGATGACATGTTCTACGGTCTTTGGAGAAGACGTGCAAAGTATTCTGAGACTATTTCTGCATTGTCATATGAGCAGATAGGTATGTGGGATAAGGCACAGCAGTTGTACGAGACGGCTCAGATTAAAGCAAGAAGTGGTGCATTACCATATGGTCAGTCTGAGTATGCCCTCTGGGAAGACCACTGGATTTTGTGTGCTGAAAAGTTACAGCATTGGGATATTCTCACGGAGCTTGCTAAACACGAAGGATTTTCTGATCTTTTGCTTGAGTGTGGTTGGAGAGTGGCTGACTGGAATGCAGACAGGGATACTCTTGAACAGACTGTCAAAAGTGTTATGGATGTTCCAACGCCTAGAAGACAGGTGTTCGAGACGTTCCTTTGTTTGCAAGGATTTGGCCAAGAGAAGGAGACCCTACAAGAACTTTCTAGGCTTTGTGATGAGGGTATTCAATTGGCCCTCAGAAAGTGGCACGGACTTCCTCAGAGATTTGGCAACGCTCATATTCCTTTACTCCATACCTTCCAGCAATATGTTGAATTCATGGAAGCTAGTCAAGTTTACTCCAGTCTTGTTTCGACAAATGCTCAGAATTTGGATGTAAAGTCGCAGGAACTCAAGCGTGTTTTGCAAGTATGGAGAGAAAGATTACCTAACACTTGGGATGACATCAATATTTGGAACGATCTAGTGACATGGAGACAGCATGCTTTCCAGGTTATTAACAAGGTTTACATGCCATTCATCCCTATCTTGCAACAAAGCAACTCTGACGGCAACGCCAATTCGTATGCCTATAGAGGATTCCACGAAATAGCTTGGGTGATAAACAGATTTGCACATGTTGCCAGAAAACACAACATGGCAGATGTGTGTATCAATCAACTCACTAAGATCTACCAACTTCCTAACATTGAAATTCAGGAAGCATTCTTGAAATTGAAGGAACAGGTCAAGTGTCATTACCAGAGCCCTAACGAGCTTAATACTGGTCTTGATGTCATCAGGAACACCAACTTGGTCTATTTTGCTACACAACAAAAGGCTGAGTTCTTTACCTTGAAGGGTATGTTTTTGAGCAAGCTCAACCAAAAAGAAGAGGCTAATAAGGCATTTGCTACTTCTGTCCAGATCGATCTTAACTTGCCTAAAGCTTGGGCTGAATGGGGTGTTTTCAATGATAAAAGATTCAAAGAGAACCCTAACGATCTAGTATATGCAAATAACGCTATCAGTTGCTACTTACAAGCTGCTGGTCTTTACAAGAACGGGAAGACCCGAAAGTTACTTGCGAGAATTTTATGGTTGATAAGCTTGGACGATTCCTCGGGAACTTTGGCTCAGGCATTTGAAAACTTCAGAGGTGAGGTTCCAGTGTGGTACTGGATTACGTTTATTCCTCAGTTGTTGACGTCTTTGTCTTACAAGGAAGCCAAGCTTGTGAGACAAATTCTCATCAGAATTGCAAAGAGTTATCCACAAGCATTGCACTTCCAGCTCAGAACCACCAAGGAAGATTTCGCAGCTAAGCAGCGTCAATCTATGGAGCTTTCGAGACATAAGACATCGAGTACTTCTCCACCAGCTATTGATCCAAAGGATGCTTCTGAAAATGGAAATGATGCGGACAAGTCTAGTGAATCAAAGGATGAAACGAAGGATGTCAAAGAAGAAAATGATGGAAAGCCAAGTGGTGACTCTAAGGCTGAAAACGGAACGAGCAAGGCGGCTGATTCTAAACTACCTCCGGCAGCTGCAGCTATTCGTCGTTCTTGGGAGTATGTTGAGGAAATTATGGGTATTTTGAAAACAGCATACCCATTACTTGCACTCTCTTTGGAGTCCTTGGTTGATCAAATCAATCAGAGATTCAAGTGCACTGCAGATGAAGATGCTTATAGGTTGGCAGTGGCGTTGTTGAACGATGGTATCCAATACCTTAATAGACTTGGAAACCCCCGCGAAGATGCCAAATTACCTCCTGTCACGGAAGTTAACATAACAAGATTCGCTGAAACTGTTCTTCCTAAGCTGATCCGTGCAGAATTTGAGAAGGATTTAGTGATTGGTAAGCCAAACTTGGAAACCTACATCGTGAAATTGAGAAAATGGAGAGATCGTCTCGAGGATAAGCTCGATAGAAGATTCACTGAAGTCAATTTAGAGAACTTGTGCCCACACTTGAGTGAGTTTCACCATCAAAAGTTTGAAGATATTGAAGTTCCTGGTCAATACTTATTGAACAAGGATAACAATACGCACTTCGTGAAGATAGAACGGTTCTTACCAACTATTGATTTGGCTCGTGGAACTAATGCTTGCTACAAGAGAATGAAGATCCGTGGCAATAACGGAAGTTTGCACTCTTTTGCTGTTCAATTCCCAGCTGCTAGACATTGTCGTCGTGAAGAGTGTCTTTTCCAGTTGTTCCGTATCTTTGACGACTCATTATCGAAGAAGGTTGAAACACGTCGTCGTAACATTCAGTTCACTCTTCCGATTGCTGTGCCTTTATCTCCACATATTAGAATCATTAATGACGATTCAAGAGATATCAGCATGCAGAAGATTTACGAGGACTTTTGTTTCCGTAATGGCAAGGACCGTGATGAGCCTTTCATCTACACTATCGAGAGATTGCGGGCAGCATTTGATCCACGCTTGCCTAAGCCGGATATTATGAGTATTCGTGTGGAGATTTTGAGTGCTATTCAAACCGAATTGGTTCCTTCGACAGTGTTGAAGAACTACTTTGTGGATCTCTATCCAAACTTTGAAGATTTCTGGCTCTTCCGCAAACAGTTTACGTCGCAATATGCTTCGTTCATCTTTACAACCTACATGATGTGTGTGAACACGAGACAACCTCAAAAAATCCACATCAATAGAGGCTCTGGTGACGTGTGGACGTCGGATATGTTACCATGCAAGATTGCCAGCAAGAATGCCTCCTTGGACGGCTCCAGCGGAGGAAGGCCCGCCCCATTGTTCTATAATGCAGAGATGGTGCCGTTCCGTTTGACCCCAAATATCCAAAAGTTGATTGGCGAATCAGGCCTTGAAGGTATTTTGGCCGTATACATTCTTGTCATAGCGCGTGCTTTGACAGAACCAAAATCCGATTTAGAACAATACCTTACGTTATTCGTTCGCGATGAAGTTATTTCCTGGTGCACGCAGCAGGACCCCCCACGGCCTATTCCACAGGACAGCCAGCTCAGAGAAATCGTCATGATCAATGTGGAGTTGATCATCAAACGAGTTCTTTCTATGGCTCACAGTTCATCAGGCTCAGGTGTTAGCACTCAAAGTGTATTGGAGATGATAGCACAGGCTGTCAATCCTCACAACCTTGCGGCTGCCGATACTCTATGGATGGCATACTTTTAAAATGTATTATTGATAATTTTCGACATTGTGTAGCTTATCTTGTGTTATCTATTGGGCGTTTGAGCCCAAAATTGTAGGTAACTCTAGATATACAAATCGCCGCATCCCCGCTTTTTTTTGGCAGTTGTGGCCGAGGCGTATTTTTTTTTATGCTGAAGTTTATTACTGTGGAATTAAGATTTCTTTTTAAGGGTTCTTCTGTGGGCTCTTTCTCTTATTGTGGTTTCCTTTTTTGTAACTGATACGGTTTCAGAAACGTCAAATTGTGCATGCATGTGGTTGTTGATGGCTCGACAAGCTCCATGAGATTTTTGTAGTACAAGGAATGAAAGATAAGGAGAAAGAATGCGTCCCATCAGATCGAGAGAAAAGCCATGAAAATGGGAAAAGTCAATCATGATAAAGAAAATGTACGCGATGAAAAAAAAAAAAAAAAAAAAAAAGTACAATATTCTACATAGATTTTTAATTATCCGGGGAAACAATTACGTTTCCAATGCCTCAGAAATGCCACAGTAAGAAAACGCCGACATTTTTGACACATTTGACAGTCTTGGCAGAAACATGGTATAAACCACACCGCGTATGAACAGAAAGAATGACGAGATTGAAATGAGGAGAATCGTCACCAAATCCCCTGATACTCATTTCATGAGCTCATAGATAACCCTTAAAAAAAATACAATCGATATCTTTCTCGGATAAGGCACTATTACGATTGCGACAGAAAATGCAACCCCGTGAAAACTAGCGTGCGGCATTTGACCACCTTATCGCGAATCAAGATTGTCTGCAACATGAGTTAATGGGGTGGAGAGTTGCCGGAAAACCCGAATCACAATCGAATGGGCAATCCAAGCCCCTCTGAAAAGGGGCATCGGGCTCTTGAGCGCAATTTAGGCTTCTCAATTATGGGTAAGGAAGTTGGTCTTTTGGGGACAGCAAATGAGAAATTTGACACCAATTGTGCCAAAAGTCAGGCACACGAAAAAAGAAAAGACCAATAGATAATCGTTTATAGATATACTGTGAATGGCGCTTTCAGACCGCCACATTTTCAACGAGGCTTACCTGGAATGGCACCCTTTTTTTTTGCAGCCGTGCAATGAATGGGATCGTTATTTACGGTGAAAGCACCTCTCAACTACGATGGCAAGACTCAATGAATAGTGACATTTAAATAGACGTATTCATCACTTCTGAAATGTGTGACAACATCCAAAATCCAAAATGGTTAAAGCTGTAACACTGAGAACACCATCTGAGATTCAGGAGAAGACCGTTTCACTGGAGAAGCAAGTAGCTGTTGATTCCAACACTTCTGCTAGTGACATCTCCCTTCCTAGAGATGATAATTACGATTTCGACGACCCTTCCAACTATTTCACGGAATACGTCGATGAGTACAACCCCCGAGGCTTAAGAAGACCAACTTTGGAAGAGTCTGAGACTCTTCGTCGTATTCTTGGCAGGGCTTCGTACGCTACATACTTGATCTGTCTTATCGAATTAGCTGAAAGAGGTTCTTATTACGGTGTGCAAGGTATCTTAGCCAATTTTATCCAGAGACCTTTGCCACCGGGAAGTACTACTGGAGCTCCATTATCTAAGACATCTTCACAAAATGCCGGAGCTTTGGGTTTGGGAATTACCACATCTTCTGCCTTCACATTATTGTTAACATTTTTGGCCTATGTGGTGCCCTTGTATGGTGGTTTCATTGCTGATACCAAGTTGGGTAAGTTCAAGGCTATCTGGATCGGTGTGATTGCTGGATTCTTCGCCCATATTTTCTTCATTATTGCTGCCATTCCATCTGTCATTGCTAGTGGAAAGGCTTTGGTGCCAACTGTGTTTGCCATTATCACTTTGGCTTTGGGTACTGGTTTCATTAAGCCTAACCTTTTGCCTTTGCTTATGGACCAGTACAAATTCAAGCTGGACGTAGTTAAGGTGTTGCCCACTGGTGAAAAGGTTATCGTAGACCGTCAAAAAACCTTGGAGAGAATGACATTGGTGTTCTACTGGGCCATCAACATTGGTGCTTTCTTCCAGTTGGCTACTTCTTACTGTGAGAGAAGAGTCGGCTTTTGGCTTGCATTTTTTGTGCCAATCATCATGTACTTGCTTGTTCCATTGGTGTTGGTGTACTTGCAACCAAAGCTTATCAAGGAGCAGCCACAAGGTTCGGTGCTTTCCAATGCATGGAAAGTCTTCAGAGTTACTTTCAGAGGAAACTGGTTTTCCAGATACAGAGATGGTTCGTTATGGCAATATGCTAGACCTTCTGTCATGTATGCTCGTGGAGAGAAGTGGTACAAGGAGAAGAAGCTGATTCCAATTAGTTGGGACGACCAATGGGTGTTAGATATCAAACAGACCATTGAATCATGTAAAATTTTCTTGTATTTCCCAATGTTCAACTTGACCGATGGTGGTATTGGAAATGCAGAGAACGCACAGGCTGGTGCAATGGTGACCAAGGGTATTCCTAATGACTTGTACAACAACTTCAACCCATTGACCATCATTGTGTTGATTCCCATCTTGGACTACCTCGTGTACCCATTTTTGAGAAAGCACAAGATTCCTTTCCACCCGGTGTGGAGAATCACCTTTGGATTCTTCTTGAGTGCTACCTCGCAAACTGCTGCTGCCATCCTCCAACACTATGTCTACAAGACCTCACCATGTGGAAATCAAGCCAGTACCTGTGATACTGTGTCGACAGTGAATGGATGGTGGGAAGTTATTTTGTATGTATTGGGTGCTGCTGGTGAGTGTTTCGCCAACACTACTGCCTACGAATTGGCCTACACTCGTTCTCCACCACAGATGAAGGGTTTGGTGATGGCCATGTTCCTTTTCACTTCTGCCATTTCTGCTGCTATCGGAGAGGCTTTGACTGCTGCACTTGTGGATCCACTTTTAGTTAGAACCTTCATTGGAACTGCAGTGGCTGGATATGTGTTTACTGTTGCATTCTTCATCCATTTCAGAAACTTGCACAAGAAGATGGCCATTGAGCAATTAGAGAAGGAGAGACTCGAGAGAATTAACGGTGGTGAACATTCTGATGCTGAGATTGCTTTTGGAGGCTTGGAGAAGAGAGAGGACTTGGAACCTGTGACTTCGATCAAGTCTGCTGTGGGAAAGTAGTGTGTTATTAAGAATATGTAGAGTATATCAAAGAGCTGAAACAGAGAGTTAAAATAGAGATGTAGGTGGGGTCGAAGAGGAGATCGAGAAAGAGTTCGGATTTGAATGTTTTTTGTCTGAGTATTTTGGCAGTACAGCTCTTCTTCAATCCATATTACAGCTCACATGCTCGCCCAGCAATCTATCCACCATCTAAATCATCTCATTTCATGTATTGACTCCACCACCTCTTTATCTCTCGAGCTGTACATCACCTCTTATCTACCCTTTACATCGTTTCCTACTAGAAAACATCAGTTATCATAATAAATATATAGGCTTCTAACTTCATCTATTGCGGAGTGGGTGGGATAAACGGATCGTCCTTCGACGCAACCATCTTGTCATATAACATCCGCTCCAATTTCGGAAACATCTTCTCGGACAACTCAACGCCCTCGCTGAGCCAAATCCCCCATGCTCCCATCATATTGGCCATGAGCATATCCGTAAAAAGACGGTCTCCCACAACGGCAATTTCGCTGGGCTTGGAGATTCCCTGCTCGGAAAAGTACGCCATGATCTCCTCATGACATCCAGGCTTCTTTGTTGGATGGCGAAGCACCGTCACCCCAGTGTCGGTCTCAAGCTTAATGGCCTGGGCATAATCAGCGTCGTCATTAGTACCTGCGGAGTTGGAAACAATGAGCAACCTTTCCTTAGGATATGCATCTTGGAGCTTTTTCCACACCTCTGCGTAAGCTGGCCACACTTTATCGTCGTGGTCTTTGGCGAAACAGTTATCCTTATCCAACACTACACCTTTGATCTCGGTGGTATGGCCGGGGATTCTCAAGGGAATCGGAAGATTATCGAACGACTTTACAGTCACGTGTGGGAGACAGAGTGTCGGGTTGTAGATCAAGCGCGACGCGTTAAGGGTTGCAGAGGCATTGAAGAGTTGCATGTTGGTGATAGTATGTTGGGAGTGTAGATAGGAAAGTCGTGATAGTGGAGGAAGAGCATAGATAATACTTAATATTTGACTTGGTTTCTTTTTTTTTTTTTGATAATTATTCTCATCAGAATTTGAATTACGATCGATCACTTCTGGTAAGTATTTGTATTTCGAATCTTATCTTTTTTTGTAATTGCTCCAAATCAAGTAAACAGAGATTGCTTGACTAGCATGACCAGCAACCTAGGTGATCTAATATACCAAAGATACAAATAACAAGCTTTTCTTTCCTTCATCCATATTGTTCATATTTCATTTAGAACAGCCAAGATCAGATTCTCCTACTTTGTCACAGTTTCAAAAAGTATTCGATTAAGATTCACAACTATAGATTATGTCCTACGTCCTCTCAAATGTACCACCACAGTAAATGCTCCTCCGAGAGCAACTAATCCACAAAGAAGACCTGCTCCGTTTGTGTATCCCAAGTTTTCAAACAAGATTGGGAAGTAAAATGGTCCAACAAAACCGTAAACTTGTCTGAACAAGTTGACATACAATCCGACATCAGCCGCATGCTTGGGGTCATTGTCAATTGCAAATGCGGTTCCAACAGTAGATATCATGTTCTGGCCAGCTGCACCGATAGCTGCTCCGATGATTGGTGAAATGATATACTTATTGCCCTTCACCTTGTCCAAACATACTCCAAACACAATCAAACCAATCATTACCAAAATCACACCTGGGTAGATGATCCACAACCGATCATAAATGACCTTGACTCCTCTTCTCTTTAACAGCATAGCCATCCACCAATCAGAAAGAGGTCCTGCAAGGCCTTCTCCGATGAATGATCCAATAATAAGTGCAATGTATTGCAAACTTAATTGTTGAGGTGTCAATCCAAAAAGTGGCTCGAATATGATGGGAAGCTCAACAATGAACGCAATATTAGCATAAGCAAAACCGAGCATGATGGTGAAACATACCAAAGTGATGTTTATGTTCTTGATAGGTTTCAAAGGATTGAGCCACAACTTATAGTCGAATGGGTGTGCTGGAATTGTCCATTTGGGTGCTGCTTGGCCAGGGAAGTACACTGTTTCATCCACAATACACCACGAAATGAACTGAAGAAAGTACATGATGGCAAACATGAAGAAGACCCATTTGTAGTCATCAGTATGTTGGACAATAAATCCAGTGATGAAGGGACCCAAAGGAGTTCCTACCACTAAGCAAGTGGACCAAATACCGTTGAAGGTTCCTCTTTGATGAGCAAATGTCAAGTCTCGAACAATACTAGACCCTGTAGCAACTGCAAAAGAGTTAAACACACCCACCAAACATCTTGTTGCGATTTGCTGGCTGTATGTTTTACAGTAAGCACCGGCAATACTCAAGCCAAAATTGATCAAAGTCGAGACAGCAAGAAACTTGTTTCTGCCGTATGTGTTCATCAATGGAACAAAAATGATTGGGAGAACACCCATAATCACGATTTGCACAGAAGTTGTATATGACGCCTCGTTCATGGAAACACCATAGTCTTCGGCAAACTTGATATACACCTGAGTGAGTCCAGCAGCCACAAAGGTGCACGTCATAATCTGGAAGGAGATCAAGGCAATATGAACATACTTTTTCTTGTTAGGCCAATTCAAGGGGTCATTAGGGTCACTAGAAGGAATTGGATCCAAATTATAAGTTCCATGTCTTTCGACAAGGTAAGCTTTGTGAGCTTCATCCAAACCAACGGGCACTTCTTCAAAGTGTTCGTCGGTGGCCTTCTCGTAATCAGTCAGAAACTGTGACATAATTATTTGGTGAGAATTACCATGACTACGAAATCTTCTGGCTTTAAAAGTCTACTTGAGTTCGGAAATAGGTTTAATAGATCCCCACAACCCCCACAAATATCATAACCCACAGATGGCTTAGTCCCCCACTAGGCCCCATTCTGCATTGAAAACAAAGAAAGGCGTGTGACTTGACACGGTTTACTAATCGGACACCGAGGTGGGTTCGCCGAAGATTACGTGCCCTGATAAATCGAACAATGAAGCAAGGAAATACCTTCCCAGTGGAGCATGGCTCACTTTTCGGAAAATACCTATTATCCGTGAAATTGTAATATTAGTAATGGTGTGATATCTAACAAAAAAATTTCATCATCTGTGTGAGACTTTTAAGATCTCTGGCCAATCACACATAGTTGTCAGGTGCCGAACTCATTGCTACCTTTGATCTCGGAAATACATTGTTACATATATGGGTAGACCTACAATTGCGGATATTGTCATAAGATTGGAGATTTTCAAAACTTCTTCTGCTGTAATCGCCGATTCCAAAACTATCAGTGGATCGGGGAAGATAGCAGAAGATACCGAATCATAACGTCTTCCAAATTTGGTTTTCAAAATTGTAATTTTAAATCCGTTTTCTCTTTATTACCTGAGAAGCAAGTGTTTTCAAGAAAAACTGAGTTCAGAAACCCAAGGGATGATTCTCAGCCATGGAGCTCATCTCAAAAAGTCTCTCTATATTGAGGATGGGAAAATCGCCGGGATAGTGTCAGAATGGCGTGAGGACCCTTGGACAGAACATATCAATAGCAACTCCGCTTCTTGTGCGCATTTCCGCCCCGGGCGGTGTCTTCTTAAGTCAGAAGTAGTATGTTGAAGTTAGGCATGTGATGTTCATTGCTATCAATGGTCTATTTTATCTGTCTTCTCCATTCTTGTCAAAAGACTTAGTTCGTACCATTTCTTTGAAATTTAAATCTGACATCGGTGAAGGCTCATCCATTGCCAATTATGAATATCACCTCTACCTCCTTGTTTATGCTGGTTGCTGACTTGTCAATCACAGTAAAACAGAATAAATAGGCATGAAGATTAAGAATAGATTATGTATGTATGGTGAAGTTCTCTTTCTACCTCTTTTTTGTTTTTTCTCTTCTTCCACCAAACGGAAGGGGGGCTTGAGCTCTCTATGATAGCACTATCTGGACACTACTCTATCATGTATGAATTGATCTCAGCATCCTGATCCATAAAAGCAATACGGAGGAGTCTAAGATTTTTAGCTCTAAATAAATGAATTAAATCAGTATTGCAAAAATGTGATTAATTGGAACTCCAAAAACAAAACCATTGTAATGATACATATTAAATTTTCTACCTCTAATTTTTAAATGGAGTAATTCTGAGTTATCTCCCTCTAACTTTCCATTACAGGAGTTAGTAGCAAATGTTTCTTGTGGGGTAATCCAGACATGCGGCGAAGAAGTTCCATAAAACAAGCTGGCTCTGCAGATCTCCCAAATGAAAAAGCATTTCCGATTGCTTATTTTTTAGCCTTTGTTTTGTTGATTCCAGTGAAGCGCAGTTGGTTTGAAAGTATTGCTTCGAAGAAGATAAGCTTACAGTAATGAGTCCAACATGACTGCCTCGAGCCAAACTTAGCAAATTTTTATATCAAAAGAAACTCAAAGGCGAGTCATTTGAAGTTTTAAGTATAATCGTGCTTATTCCTTTCACAAAATATGTCGTTCAACTTTCTAATGTGGATTAACATTGTTTTAAAAAGTTGACCTGCCAGCATGTTGGAGAGTGGAATCTAACATCACCTACGAACTTCCGAGAAGATGTGAATTAGATGAACGCTTCCGCAAGCGATGGCATGTGACACATTTGGACGCTGCTCTGTCATAATTTATATATAAGTCAAGTCCGACAAAGAATGGATTTTGTTGCTTAAAATTTGGTCCAAACTTGAGTTTACCACTGACTTGGAGGTGGAATTTCGACGTCGTGGTTTGATATCTGAAATGTATCTCTTTCAAAATTCTGGTCATACAAACTTGCGGTTATGGGTTCTCAATGATATCAGTTATCAGAGATTTAGGAAGACTTCGACTGAAAATACTTATTTCTTGCACGATTAAAACTCAACGTGGTCACTCAAAGACAGGGAGAGCCGTTTAAGACAATTGTTAGAATTTTCATTTCGTCTAAACATCATGAATGATGGTTAACTGGGGTTGATTTTTCTCTTCTTAATTAGCGACATACATCATGATCATTTAGATTACATGAGAAGCGATTAATTTGCCTAGATCAGAAACTGAAACGGAAGTTAAATGAATGTTTATACGTGAGTTGGTATACTTTGTGCCCATACTCAGAAATGCACCTTTGAAGAAAGAGTTTGAAATTCACGACTTCTACGATGAAAGCCAGTCATATCTTCGGAGATTCCAACAAGAAGACTATTTCGGTTCCCCAATGGTTCTAGGTAGGAAACGACTCATAAGAATGGTGTATTTATGCTTATGCTCCACATGTAACTCAAAAGTTTTTCTTTTGCGCTTTAATGTTCCAACCTCGTGTATCGAAGTGACCCTTGCCATCTCCTAATAACCGGCAAACACCGCCAAATATTCAAAAAGTTTCCTGAATTCACTTTGTAAAGTTCCCTAGGTTGGTCAAAGCTAGTCCTCAAATCCATTTTCGGATTCGTTGACTAATTTCAAATCTGTGACTTAATATGTAACCTAATAGTGCAAGCATGACTGACCGGATTTACCACTAAGAGCAATTGGTCAGTTACCTTCCATAAATCGATCTGACAATTTCTAAATGTACCAATTCATTCAATCCATTTAACCCTCAAAATTTCCATCCAATCCCGATTATCAGCTCTGATTAATATATACTATATTTATAAATGTGTCAAATATCACCAATGCTACCTACATAATTCAGTTCGCACACAAATTTTTCATATACATCCACCTATAAATGTCGGGACCTCGCCGAACGAGAGACAAGAACCCAAAGCAACAGGGCCAGGCCGCAAGTCATAGCTCGAAATCGAAGGTTCCAGCTTCTTCTGACCTTGACCATCTGTGTATCATTTGTGCTGAGCCAATAAAGTACTCCGCAGTTTCTCCATGTAACAACGTTACCTGCCACCTCTGTTGCTTCCGTCAAAGGGCTCTTTATGGCAAGAGAACTTGTTTAGTGTGTCGAACTGAGCACGATGATGTGATTTTCACTGAACAGCCCACCGTGGATGACTCTCGTTACGATGCTTTCTTCGAAAAGTCTCGAGGAATCGTGGATGACAAAAACGGCGTCCATTTCACCGCACAATACGTTTACGACGACACGGAGAAATTGCTCCAGGTGAGCTGCACCCTCTGTAATGAGATTTTTGCTAATTTTAACGAGCTCAAAGCACATACAAAGGAAGTTCATCAGCGACAATTTTGTGACATCTGCGCTGCTCATAAGAAAGCGTTTGTGTGTGAGTTGAAGCTCTACACGCAAAAGCAACTCCAAACACATCTTAATGAAGGCGACAATGAAGGGTTCACTGGCCATCCGCGGTGCCGTTTTTGCAGAAATCATCGTTTCTACTCGGAAGACGAGCTCAATGTGCACATTCGTGAAAGACATGAGCGTTGCTATATCTGTGACCAGGATAGAAACGCCTCGCATGAGTATTATCGTGATTACGACGACTTGTACAATCATTTTCGTGCAGCCCACTATGTTTGTTCCATTCCATCGTGTGTGGAGAAGCGATTTGTGGTATTCAGAGAGGATCTCGACTTAACGGCTCACATGCTTAAGGAGCACGGTGGTATCACGGGTCAAAACGGCCGAGTGGTGATTGGTGCTACTCTGTCGCAGTTCCAATCGCAACTCCTGACGTTTCCACGCAAGAATACCCCGAAAACCGATACAGATTCAAGAGACACTAAGAAACGAAGATTTGATGAACGAGCAAAGCATTACCTTAACAACGACACAGTCGCAATTTCCAAATTCAACCAGCTTAACAATCTGTTTAAACTGCGCAGGTTGACTGTCGATGAACTTGTGGATGAATATAAAACACTTTTCACGTCCGAGAGTCTGGATGTGTCACTTTTGATTTATGAGCTCGCTGAGTTGTATCCGGAGTACTCGGAACAAAGGACCCAGCTTGAAAAAGCATATAACAGCCTCAACCCAGCTGCTGCTGCCCCTAGCATTGGTGAAAACTTTCCTATTTTGGGCAATGGACTGTCGCTGTCAATCTCCAACTCCTCCTGGGGTGCTGGAGTAGCTAGAAAATCTAGAGAAGAGCTCTTCCCTGCACTTTCCAAGCCATCTCGAACCACTTCTCCTGTTATCAAGAATGCTCCTGTCAGATACACAGTTTTGAAGAAGCCTACTCCAAAACCTAAGGTAACCATCAATAACTTCCAGGGTAACTCTGAATATAAGCCCAGTTACTTGGACAATCTTACGCGTGGCCAATCAGAGAGCAGTCTACCTATCCTTGGAAGCTCTAGTGTGTCTTCAGCAGTCTCTGCCTCGAGTTCACGTGGTCTGTCTCGTGTGCAGCTGCCTGTTCCAAGACCTTCCTCTGCCAATCTTTCGGAAGACAAGTTCCCTACGCTTACAAAGAAGTCCACGCGCAAAGAGATTCCTCCTGTGCGGTCACCAGTGACAAGCACCGGGCAGTGGGGTCAGGGGCTTACTGCTGCTCCTGCAAAAGAGGAAGATACTTGGGGTATTGCCATCATAGATAAGAAGGCTGAGAAGTTGAGAAGGAAGCAGCTAAAGAAAAAATAAGTAGGAAGCAACTGAAGGAGAAACAAGAGATGATATTTGGAAGAATTCCGACGGATTCTTTGTCCTTTAAAATACTCCGACCTATTCAATTACACTGTATACTTTCTTATTTCTGATCCCTTGTCATGGGTGACAGATACTTCCAGAACTTTGTCGTGCAGGAATCTGCTACTTTCTCATCTACTTATATATCTTCTGTGCATCTTGATTCAAACTTCCACCCTTCCTAAAATCTTCAATAAACAACAAAAACACGCATTATGTTTCGCCATCTAATTCGTCCTATGCGCCAATTACCCAGATCTACGCTAGCCAGTGCGCTTCGTAAGCCCCTCCGTCCTATGATGAGTCCATTGACTTCATTTTCTCCAATTTCTCCACTCAGACACAATTCTTCCAATGATAAAACCGCCACGTTGAAGATGGACCAGCCACAGCTCATGATAGCGTTTACTTGCAACAAATGTGATACCAGATCCTCGCACACATTCTCAAAACAGGCGTATTCAAAGGGCACGGTACTCATTCAGTGTCCAGGGTGTAAGAATCGTCATTTGATAGCAGACAACTTGAAGATTTTCAGAGACAACAAGGTCAACTTGGAGGATATTTTGAAGGCCAAAGGTGAGTCTGTAGCAACCACCACGGACGATTTAGCGTTTGAGGACATTCCTGAATCCTTGAGATCAACTTTAGGACATCATGCTAAAGATGCACCTGAAGAATACCAAAAGGAGCCGGTGAATACAGACTTGCCGGAGCCAAAGAAGTAGGGATTGTATATACGGTTACGTTCCTTGGATAAGGACCGTTGGGAACTTTGGCAAAGATTGCTTGACTTGCATTTCAATGTATAAATGTATCAGAGATTATAAGTTTGCCTAGCCATTCGAAGTTGATGTTGATGGTTTTTTTTTATCTTCAAGTTCTAGTGTAAATTCATCATCTTATTTCTAGCCCTATTTCCCATTCTGTGTCTGCTCTTTAATAGATTCCAATACGAGGACTTACATCAATTCTTCCTACATACTGAACCCAAACATCCAGACTTTCTTCTCCAGACTTCTTCTCCAGACTTCTCCAATGTTAAGATATATTCCGAGACTTGCCACCAGATCGACTAGAAATATTCGTTTCTTTGCAACGAAAACTCCTTCTAGCCATGATTTGTACATGGAAAAGCTTCAGAAAAAGGCTACGGCCATGGGCTTGAGTTCTGTGGAAGAGTTGAAAGCTAAGTTAAAGGATGACATTGCCCAAAAGAAAAAGGAGTTCAATGCCTTGGATCCACTTAAGGAACTTGACGAATTTGAGCAGAAACAGGCAGAGATCTTGAAGCAGAAAAAGAAGAGTCTGGCTGCAGACAGAGGTCCAATTGATAAAAGTGAACCTCAAGCTCCATATAAGACTCTTTCGTCGTTCGTTGATGTGGAGAAAGTAGTAGAATTGCCTGAAAAGGAATTGAAGTTCATCTGGAACGCCCGTTTTCTGAACAAGGAAGGTGCCATGCATGCTACACTCAATGCAACTCAATTTGCTAATATTTATGCGAATGCTTTCAAGAATCCTAACTTCATCTTGCCTTTGCCCAGAGACGGACAGGGTTACGAAATGCATTTCGTGCAATGGGCGTTTGTAGGACCATACACCACTCACTGTATGTTAACCTCGTTGGCAGAATACAAGCTTCACAATGAATATGCCAAACCACACACCACGCTCATGTTCCATCAGGAATTGGTTGATGAGACTGGATTGGTGTTGATGAACGGACAATTGGAGAAAGACTCGCTGATGACCTTAGACGAAGCTCAGCTTTTGGTGCTTAATGTTCAAAGATTCTATGGCGGATTAACCGAGTCGCTTGGCTCTGCCAGAAAGTTGGCCTTGTTGAAAGCATTTACTAGCGGAAGTGAAGACTTCGACATGGACAAACTCATTGAGGAAGCAGCCTCGTTTGATTAGCTGTACATATAATATCATGGTGTTTTCTCATTTACGTCATTCCTACCCTGCTAAACTGAGAATGTCATCAAGCATAGACCCCAGATCGTCGTCCTTTTTCTTGCGTGTTGCCCTAGACTTTGTAACCCTCTTTGCCGGTGCTTTGCGTGTTTTAGCCTTTGGTTCTGGTTCTGCTTCGTAGTCGCCTTCTGAAAAGTCACTCACGATTTCAGCAGATTTGGTGGGTTTTCTTCGAGCCGGAGCTTTGCGAGCAGCCTTACGCAGCTTCGGTTCAGGATCTATCATCTCAATATCTGAATCACTATTGATTTCAGCTTGCTTGATGGTCTTCTTTCTGGTAGGTTTTGGTTTTTTCTCAGTAAAATCGTCGTCTTCGTCGTCATCAGACAATAAAATACTCTTCGATTTAGGTGCAGCTTTCACAGGGCAAGCTGGTGGCTCTTCCCATGTAGAATCTTCTGTGATTGGCTTCCTCTGTGAATCCATACGAAGCTTATTCAACAACTGTCTGAAAGATCGTTTAACATTTCCTTCATCTCCAACATGGAATTCTTCCTCATCGATATTCACATCAAGCAATGCTTTGGCAGCATTGTCAATAGTCTTATCCACGTAATCGTTGAATATCTGCTTGTCTTCTTGCTCTATGAACTTTTTCGTTACATCAAACATTCCATCTTCAGGAATCAAAAAGAGATTGGACTCGCCAAGAACCTGCTTGAGAAGTTGCTGAATAGAAACCTTCAGAGTATTGTCTGAGTCAACGGTAGGCTCATGGAGCTTCGGCTGGCTCTCTTGCTTCGAAGCCTTTTTCTTATGGTAAAGTAAGATATCATTAACATTAGCGATCTTTCCCACAAACTTGTTGGAGAAGCGACGCGAATTTTCCACCTCGTAGTCGCCCGTATGATCCACACGCAACCTAATAAGCGGAAGAATGTCGATGTCTGTGGCTCCTGTCGACTCGTGCTCCTTTTTTGCATCTGCGATAAGAGATTCCACTTGCTGGGTCAAAAACGTCTGAATGTCAGCCTTCGACGCTGGACCTTCCACAAAATTCTCCTTTGCCAACGAGATTTCCTTCATAACAAACGGACGCACTGACTGGAGTGCAATAGGTGTGATCAGGTACTCTTTCCCTTTGATGTCTAGGAGAAAAACGTGTTTGGGAGCAGTTTCTCCCTCACTGAGCGATGTGGCCACCGTAGAACCCGCCTGAAGCGTATCAAACCCCGTTGTTGGATTGTATTGAGGGAAGGGAATGCATTCGTGTTCGTGGCCCCAAAGCACAAAGTCTAGAAAAGACGGAAGAAAATCCTCTGGAACATAAGAGGTCATGGTATGCCGAAAATGATTCTGATGAATGCACATGAGATTGAAAAAGTCTGAATGCTCTTTGGGACGTTGGAATGTCACGTCGCCATTCTTCATGATCCGCTGAAGCCGCTCATCCCTCATATTGTTGATTCCATATAATGCCAACTTCGAGGTACCTTTCTGGAACAAAAGTGGAGTGACCTTAATTTTATCTGACTGTGGGATCTGACCAAAGTAATTGACCAATCCGGTGGCAGCCATCACGTCCAATGGCGAAAGCATGCCTTCTCCTGTAGCATCGTCATGATTTCCTGAGATAGCGAACACTGGAACGGCCACATTTAAGTTAGGATCCTCATAATTGACGGTCTCGCCAGAACGGAGTGCCAAAGCAGGATCACTGAGCAATTCCAACTCACACGGCCTGTCCCCGAGGCAATTGAGTCGGAGTGATTGGATCACATGGAATAGTGACTTTTTCAGTGGTTTCGTCACATGAAACAAGTCTCCACCTTGCACTAGCATATCTACATCATGTGATTTTGCTAAGTATGTGACTTCTTGAAACGTTTTCCATGAGTCGTCGCCTCGCACAGGGTCGTTTTCAAGGTATCCAACATGGTTATCTGTAGTTAATAAAATCCGGATTGTGTCCGGACCTGGCTCGATGTGATCCACAGGCGGCATATTAGAGGTGTAATATAGAAACCTTAGCCAGATCCAATGCAAATTGTTTGATTTGATCCCTGGATTTCCCTATAATCGGTACTTCCCCAGACGTGATGAGTAGCTCGTTTAGTTGATGGTAGATTGCACACAACATCTCGCTACATCATCTAGTGACCAGATCCAGAATCTCTCCCTATTTCACTGAAGTTCACGACATCTGTCTCAATTGATAGAAGGACGAGTCCTGATAGGTGAGCTGATCATTATTTTGTGGCTTCTATATTTCCGTTTCTTCGTGTCCCCTATACTCCATGGCAGACTGCGAGAGTCGCCAGAGGGACGAGATTGAATCTCTCGAGTCCATCTATGGCGACATTTTCACAGACATTACGCCTTCCAGCACAGTTTGGAACAAAAAGGCTAGTCCCCATTTCCAGGTGGCGCTTCTGTCCCAGGAAAACCCTGATAGACCCGTGGTTTCCTTGATTCTAGATGTTCAATTCACAACAACATATCCAGTACTGCCGCCCATTGTGAAGGTTATAGAGCCCAAAAACTTGCTTAAGGCGAGTCAAGCCAAAATTGACGCCAAGATTGCCGATGTTTTGCGAGAGTATGCGGGCGAAGAGGTGTGTTTCACTATAATCATGGATGTGAAGGAGTTGCTCGATGATTTTCAACAAACTACAGAACAGGTGCTCTCTCTCGAGGAGGAAAGAGCCAAAAGACTCGAGAATGAGCGCAGATTGCTCGAACAGCATGAAAAAGAAGTACAGCGAAAAGAGCAGCTGGCCAAACAACGACAGACCATGGAAGCCAATGAGCAGATTCTCCAGATGAGAGATGATTATGGAAGTTCACAGTATGAGGGCTCTCCTGATGTTATGGATGCTGCAGTTGACGTTTCAGACCATTCGCTAGTGCCAAAATTGGTTTCTGGTCAGATATTCGAGTTTGCCAATGCTCTTTGGGGAAATGTTCCAAAAAGCAACTCCAGATTCCAGTTCAAAGCCGTTCAGGGCTTCATCCGAGCACATACACATGATATCTTGCTGGATATCGGCACCCAGTACATAGTCAAGCCGTATCTTCCACCAGATTTGCAGAAGAAGTTTGATGATCGGAATATCGATGTTTCATATCTTCTAACGGTGATTAACTTGAATAACCATCGGTGGCTGACGAGCGATGGAAAGTCCGAAATCCGTGCTTTGGAATTGGAGCTTGAGCAGGTTATGGCATTGAGTTCTCTGTCTGTTCTCAAAGTATTTGGCTTCCAGATCGATCAACATACACAGTTCCCATCCAAATGGACCATAAGATTACTTACAGAATTGCCCGTTGTGCTGCAATCACTTGAAGACATTCTCAGCACCACAGATTTCATCCATTGGGGACTTGCAAGAAACTGGTTGATCCAGTTGCTTCCAGCATTGGAACACATGCACGATAATGGACTATGTCATCGCTTAATTTGTCCATTGAGTGTTCTTGTGTGTGAAACTGATCTGGAAGACCTGACACAGCATCATGTTAAGACGTTGAAGTTATGTCATCCGGCTTACGGGTATTCTCTTTTACGAATGGTCAATTCATGCAATACTAAGGCCAATGGTGACGATTTCGTTTACAAATTCATTCCTAAAGCATGGATGGACCCTGATCCATCTGGTGGTTATATTAAAACCGATATTTGGGAGCTTGGGGTATTGTTCATGAGAGTCATGTTCAGTTATGATGTCCTCACCACTGAGTATCATACACCCGAAGAATTCTTCTCCAATTTCGATGTTAGCGCGTTTCCAGGTCTCGAAGAGTACTCAGAACGAGTCTATGATCTACTCACAAAGATGTTACAACCCAAATCTTCCAAACGTCCCAGCCTATTGGAACTCAATGCTCTTAAGTTTCTTCGATCTGGAATAGATTTGAGTATGCAAGGACTTAAGTCCCGTTTGGCAGAAGTCTCAAAAAGTCTAGACCAAAGCATGATCCAGTCGACTGTAGGCATTCAGAATCGTGTGAAAGGTGATCCTATTGGTTCATCAAAATACCAAACTTCAGCATTAGATGCAGCCAGAAGAAACTTGGCAGTTTCTCAAGTTTCCAGGAGAAGATATTCTAACAACAACCAGAGCCCATTTTTCTCATCTGAACTCAGCGCTGGTGGCAATACCCAAGAATCTCGGTATGAAAGAGAATTTGAGGAGGTGGGCAAGCTTGGAAAAGGTGGATTCGGTGAAGTGGTCAAAGTTCGCAACCGGATGGAAGGTACTTTTTATGCCATCAAGAAAATCAAGCACCGCTCCGATAAGTTGGAGACTCTCCTTTCAGAGGTTTTATCCTTGGCCCGTTTGAATCATCAGTATATCGTCAGATATTATGGATGTTGGGTTGAAGAACTTCCAGATACACCAAGCAAATCTCACAGCGCAATATCCTCAGAAGAAGATGATGAAAGCAGCTCTTCAGATGACGACGAAGAGTTCGAAAGTAATTTGAATGTTCGATCCACATCCTTCTTGAAGAGCCACGACAGTTCGTTCCAGATCGACTACTTTAAGGACTCCATGGACCCACTGCTTGATTACGATGATAGTGATTTCGACGACAGAATTGTTTTTGCTAATAGCAGCGATGAGGACACTGGGAGCGGGGAGGAAAACGAATCTGACGATGACGATGATACTGAGGAGATCTCAGAAAGCTACACTGATGATTCCTCAACCCCTAAAAATGCTGTCCAAATTACAAGAAGTCGCAGCAGGGTTCAAGGTAAGTCAATTTTATACATCCAGATGGAATTCTGTGAGAACAACACATTACTTAATCTCATTGAACGTGGCCTACCTGCCAACCCTAACGAATATTGGAGGTTATTCAGACAAATTTTGGAAGCAGTGTCTTACATTCATAGCTCTGGTTTCATTCATCGAGACTTGAAACCCACCAACATTTTCATTGATAAGTCGAATAACATTAAAGTGGGAGACTTTGGTCTCGCCAAGAGTTCCCGATTCTCCTCTGCTGTTCTGACGAATAACCAAGTCACACCCAAATCAAACAAGGATCTTTCTACGGTGGTGGGAACTTTTTTCTACACGGCCAACGAGGTTGCTTCAGGAGAATATGATGAGAAAATAGACATGTATTCTTTGGGGATCATCTTCTTTGAAATGTGCTACCAATTGGGTACTGGGATGGAGCGTGCAATGATTCTTAATGACTTGCGATTGGCAGATATAAAATTTCCATCAGGTTTTGCTGAGTCTCGCAAGCCTACAGAGAAGAGAATTATTCGTCGTTTATTGGACCACGATCCACATAAGCGGCCAGGGGCAATGGAGCTTTTACAAAGTGGATTAATACCTCTTGAACATCAAGATATTATCATCAAGGAAGCTCTCAAGTCTTTGGCGGACCCTGCCTCTCCGTGGCAGCAGCAGGTGAGGGAAACATTATTTAACCAACCATACTCATTGGCACAAGATTTGATGTTTGAAAATGTGGGTAAGAATTCACACAGCGAAATTCTCGACAATTCAATGAGTGACTTTCTTGTATTGAGCCAGACGCTCAATGAGCTCTCTCGAATTTTTGACAACCATGGTGCCATTCAAGATTACGATGGCAGTTCTTTGCTTCCAAAACTCCAAGCGCAATCTAAAAAATTGGTTTATGAGTTGCTAGATCGAAGTGGTTCGGTCTTGACATTGAGCTATGATTTGGTTCTCCCGTTTGCCCGCTATTTGAGTCGCCATAAGATGCATGACTCCAAGATTTATAGACATGAGTTTGTCTATCGACCAAACTTGAGAGGTGTGGGCAAACCTGACAAGTACTATGCTGTTGCGTTTGATATATTTTCCAACAATCTGCCTGGTCTAATTGCAAGCAGTGCCGAGTGTATCAAGGCTGCTGATGAGGTGTTGAGCACCTTTCCTTGTTTTAAGACAAAGAATGCCCAAACTTTCATTATTATCAACCACTCCGATGTATTGAACAGTGTTATTGACTTTGCATTTGGCAGATCTCAGACAATATCTCAATCAAAAAGATATGAACTCATGGGTGTTTTATCCCAATTGGGCATAGAAAGAGGAACTGAGGATGTCAAGACCTACTTGCGTAATGACTTCAAGATTCAGCATACAGTCATTAAGGATCTAGTCGATGTGTTCAATTTCACTGTGGAGCCGGAAAGGGCCATGCAGAAGTTAAGAAAGATCATGGTTGACTCGCCTCTTTTAGCAAAAGTGGAACGCGCTCTTGATAACATCAGAGACATTTTGGAAATTGTCAGCAAGCTTGGAGTGAAGTCAAAAGTCTCCTTCTGTCCTTTGAGCAACTACAATGCAAAGTACTACGATGGATCTTTCATGTTTCAAGCGATTCACAGAATAGACAAGAACAGAAAGTTTTCGAGAGTTGCTACTGGTGGCCGCTACGATAACTTGATTGACTCTCTTACGAACGACGGTCTTTCGAAGTCCAGTACTCCTCATGGTGTAGGGTTCCAATTGACAACAACGTTGCTCTTCTGGTTGATGAAGAACACCTTGAAACGTGCCAATACTTCTGATGGTGTTTCCAAATCTGTGACTAAATGGAAAAAGGTGAGATGTGATGTCTTACTTACTTGCCTGGAAGAGTCTATCATTAGAGATTCTGGATACGAGTTATTGAGCCAGATGTGGGCTCGGAACATTAGCTGTGATTGGTATATTTCGTCCTTCCAGGAAAACGTTCTCAACAAGGCAATTGACGAAGGATCAAATTGGATTGTTCAGTTGAGACAGCCTAACTTGTCGCGAAAGAAGTTGAAGAAGGGCCTGTTCAAGCCCATTCGAGTGAAAAACATTTGTTCTAACAAAGAAACAGATGTTGATTATTTCGAATTGTTGGATCATTTGAGCAACGAGATTGAAGAAAGAAAGAACGAAAATACCGAATCCATAATGGCTGAATCTTCTGGAAATAGTGGGGAGAACGCTGGAGAGTTAGGAAATGATCAAGCAAGGATAGGTGAGCCGATTTTTAACATTGATATTAATCAGAGAGTGATAGTGGTTCCAAACGCTGCTCCTCGAGGCAGAAAAAATAATAAGAAGGAGAAATGGGAACTTGAAAATGACTCCAAGTTGGCTTCTTCCAATATGATGAAACAATTGGCTAGTGCTCCGATTATTACTGTTGACCTGACTGATTCTGTACTTGACATGATCCTGACATCTTCAGTTCAAGTGCCACTTGAAGAATGGTTCAAGAAGTTGTTCTTCACCAACAACAAGCTTCCGAAATCGTATGCAAGTAACATTTACGATACTCTCAACAAGGAATCAGCAAAAGGCACACCTTGGGCAATCTTGCACTCTCCCAAAACCGACAAGACTACTATTGTGGATCTTCAAAGGTAATTATCTATGACATTAGGTTGAACTGAAGTCTATATAAACCATCAGGCACTCTTTGTAAGGAAGTTCTTTTTCCAGTCCCAATACTCTTCCAACCGAAGCCCACTGTATTCAGCGTAGTTAAAATCGATGTTCGAGAGCTCACTCTGAATCATTGCCCAAATTCCCCAGTAGAAGCCTGGCATACCGTAGTAACACTCAATTTCGTTTATCAACCCCTCAAGTTCCTGCTGTGAGACATTAATATCGTTAAGGTAACCTTTACACCAACTGACCATCACCGGGTTATTCATCGAGGGTTCTGGAATTGCTGAACGGTCACAATCAAAGCCTTGCCATTCAGCAAAATGGTTTGCAATGTCAAACGCTCTGGGAGCCGGAAGCATATACTCATAATCAATAAATTGGATAGGGTTGTCCTCAATTGGAAGAAGGCTAGCGTCAGAAACTCCCCTCTCGATCTTTGCTGCGAACTCCTCAGTCTCCGGAATGATAATATTGCCTGAGAGCAAATCACAATGAGACACCACCACAGAGGACTTGGTAACACGGTTGAGCGTGCTCTTGAGCCACTTAAACTCCTTATGGATGACATCGCGGATGTTCAGCTCCGTAATGCTATTATCATCTAAATTTGTCCTGAAGATATCAACGAGAGCTTCATTGGCCGGAACAATCAGGATCCAATCATCAATAAGGTCCCAGATACTGCTGATAATCTTCTTGACTTTCTTTTCACGCTTTGCGGGCTTTTGTGGGTCGTTTATGAGTTGGTACAGTTTCTTCAAGTTAGCAGTGTACTTTCTGAGTTTCTCCACGCCATCCTCGATGTAGTCGCAATCAACTTGGTGATGCCAATTGCCCAATTGCTGGGCGATCATTGGGTATAAGTATGGATTGCTGAGCTCCTTAGGCTCCAATGATCTTCCCGGAAGGAAGCCATAGATAAGACCGTTGGAAAACCGAGCATGAATAGGTGGAGCCAATTTGAGCGAATTGAGAACAAGATGAGATACGAATTCACGATGACGGTCAATAATAAGGTTAGTACCTTGTCCATACACGCGCATGAGCAAAGTTTCCAGCGATGGCGTGTGTGTGCACAGCAAGAGCATATTGGTGATTCCTCCCGTGAGTTGTTTCACAATAATATCACACGTCCACGAGGGAAATACCTTCGTAAGCAATGACTTGATCTGTGTGTAGTCACTATCGAGGTTAGTTTGGAGATCCACCGAGTACTGCGGCAAGTAGATGGCGTGGGTAGCATACTTCTCTAAAAGAGACTGAATATCAATTGGCAGCTGGTCCTCCACTGTGTTGAGCGCGCCAATGTCGATTTTAACACTGCCATTGCCAGCAAAGTTTGTGTAGTTAATATCAGCGGCTCCATTCACGTCAGATAGCTCTGAATGCTCGGGGATTTCGGGAATTTCGTGTCCATTTCCATTTGAGAGCAACTGGCCATTTCCATGCAGTGAGATCACAGAATCATACAGAGTTAACACATGCTGCTTCAGAGGCGTCAGTGGAGGCAGATCCCACGCATCCTCATCCTGAGAAGTGGCGCTTAGCCGTCTACTGTCGTTGGTAGCATGAGCATCTGACTCGAGATCCGACAACAGCGGATTGTTGAGGGTATATAGGAGATTTTTGTTTTTGATTTTCACCACCGCCGGCAGCAATGTAAGCGGAGGAATCACCGAGTCTGAATGAGTGTTGACGGCAGGATTTCTGGAGAATTCAGCGGGCGTTTGAGAAGTAGATGTACTGCTGAAAGCAGTTACTGGTACGCAGTGAACTGCACCGCCAGACAAAATGCAGTATACTGGAGGAGCCATAAGTCCAGGAAGGTGACTAACAAGGGAAGGAGGCAGGAATGTCGGAGAAGCGGTGGTGGAAACAAGACGCTGGACGAGGTTATGGAATGGTAGACGTTTTAATAGGTATTATGTGAGGCGTACTGCACCCAACGCAAGGGTCCAAGAGCAGACGAGCACAAGGCTGGGAGGGCAAGGTATGAGATAGCATTCCTAGATTTATTTTTAGGACGTTCGCCTTCATATATGTACAAAAATGAAAGATTTTGTTTAATGGATTTGGTCTAATTTCTGTTCTTCTTTTGTTGGTTCATTCCCGGTTGATTTTTTTGTGTCTCTTGGACCATTAACGAACTGCTACAACGGTGCGAACTTCACATGTAGATTACCCAATTAGGCAATATGGTTCGTGAGGAACCGAATCAAAAAAAAAGAAAAGCAATACCGCAATGAATCTTGAGGAGAAGCAAGCTAGTGATGTCAACTGTCATGTTTATTGAAGGACTGCTAAAAATGGATAGTGTGATGAAACTACGATGGTTTGCTATGCTGTTACACCTGTACCTCCGAAGGCATTTCTGATAACTGCTATAGTCAACAGATAACAAACTATCATGCACACACAGGACACACGAATGAAGTCCAAAACAATAAAAGAATTGTCATTTATACTAGGTCAAAAAAAAGAAATATGAAAGTCGAATTAAACAAATTGCTTCTCGTCCTCTACAATTGTGCCCGAGCCATGGACTCCATCACATACTGCATCATTTCCTCAATCTTCATACGAACTGGCCAATGTGATGGTGCATGGTGGATCTCCACACCCAACTGTTCAGCCCACTCGTAGACCAATCCTTGGTTGATAACAAAAGGAGTACCCACAAATGCAAAGTCGAATGCCCCCTGCTCGAGTAGATCGTTCACCTTTGTAGCGTCATTCAACCTTCCCACACAAGACACCACCGCAGTGTCTCTCACAGCTTCTTTCACTTGCTTTGCAATATCCACGTACATTCCAAAGCCTTTGGGAATTCTGAGGGCCATGGAATCGTTCCCTCCGGCTGAAATATCAAGTAAGTCGATGCCACGCTTCACCACCAAAGGAGCCAATTTCACGGAATCTTGAGCGGTCCACGAGTCTGGGTTGTCACTCAATTCAGAGGCACTCCATCTCAAGAAAACCGGATAGCTTTTAGGAACATTTGCTCTGACAGAATCGATCGTTTCCATCAAAAATCTGATTCTGTTTTCAAATGATCCGCCGTATTGATCTGTTCTCTTGTTGGAAAGACTCGACATGAACTCATTGATCAAATATCCGTGAGCAGCGTGAATTTCAACAAAGTCGAATCCAACGTCAACAGCTCTCTTTGCTGCTTGACCAAATTGCTTAACAATCACCTGAATTTCTTCAATTGTCAATTCTCTGGGTATTGGAAGTCTTCCACCTGGTCTGTAGATGACAGCAGATGGAGCTACCACCTCGTCCTTTTTACCTCTGGGGTCCCAGTTCTCTAAATATTCAAACAACGCTGACTGCATAGCCTTTCTGCCAGCATGACCAATTTGGATTCCGATTCTTGACGTATTGGCATGAGCATATTGGACTATTGGTCTGAATTTCTCTGCCTGAGAGTCCTTCCAAATTCCCAAGTCCACCACAGATGTCACAGCATAAGGAGCAACTGAAGTGGCCTCCACCACTACTAAGCCTGGTCCTCTGGTTGCAAGTCCCCCATAATGGACTTTGTGGTATTCGGTCACCTCGTTGTTGTCAGCCGTGTACTGGCACATTGGAGACACACCAATTCTGTTAGGTAAGACCATATTTTTGACCTTCAATGGTTGGAAAAGCTTTGGAGTTTTCTCCGATAAGTCAATTGCAGACCCTACAACACCTTCTGCCATTGGGTATTCGAATGGAACCCCGGTTGCTAAGTTGTATGGAGCAGCAGTGGGAGAAGCAGAGCTTGGAAGTCGAGTTGGGATCATGATTGAGATTTCTTTGTAGAATGGTGTTTTTCGATAATTAGGAACATGCTAGTTGGAATGCCTTCGTCTTTTATAATTCTAACCTGCCTAGTGACTACTGTTTGTTGTTTCATTCAAGCTCTCGGCATTTTCAAAATGGATCTGGTGCTGTTCGACGGCCCAAACACTTCAAAAGGTCCGCTTCGCAGCGGATCCGTACTTAAAGCGGATCCGTACTTAAAGCGGATCCGTACTTAAAGCGGGTCCGCCCTACAATGTGAAATAGAACACACTGTAGTCAATTATCAACATAGAGGTATAATAGTTAACGGAGAAATGGCGGGACAAACCCCACGTGCTGAATTGGTTGTCAATTGGATGATACGGCGATAATCTGATAACCGCATAGTGGAATGGGTCCTCAATAAATTAATTGTTGAAATGTTTGGGTTTGACTATTAATTTCGTTTTGACTCTTTGTATATTCCGGGAATCTAGTGGCATTTCGCAGTAAAACGGGTAAATAGCGGCAAAACGGGAAAAGGAAAGTGAAGATATGCCTTCAAGAAGCGCCTATAATTATCTAGAATATTCTTGACAATAGATTCTCGGAGCTAGTTCACTTTAGGAAGTCCAGTTCTAGTTGGAGATGTTCGTGTATTTTTCTTCTTCAATGCTCGTTGCCTTGAACTTTGAGCAGCTCCTGGTTATCGCTACACATCTTCGGTTACAGTAAAACAGTTATATCTTGATAGTTTGTTTTGGACGATTCGGTGAAGGTCATTTCCGTTAGTGTACTCACAACTTCTCGCTTTCTAGTGCTTTAGTAACGTACTCCACCATCTCACTAACATTTGGGTTCAATGGCCAGAATGAGCGTGCGTGGTGGAGTTTGACTTGCAATTTGTCGGCCCAATCATATACCAACCCTTGATTGATCAAAAATGGCGTACCCACCAAAGCAAAATCAATCACTCCATCTTCGAGCAACTGGTTGATCTTTACTGGATCGTGCAATCTGCCCACAGAAGCAACAACTGCTTTGTCTCCAACAGCCTTCTTAACTTCGGTTGCAAACTCAAGAAACATTCCAAATCCCTTGGGTGCTCTAAGTGCGTTTGAGTCGTTTCCACCAGCAGAAACATCAAGGAAATCCACCCCATGATCTACAACGATGGGTGCCAACTTGATCGAATCCTCAACTGTCCATCCTTTAGGGTCGCTACTGAGCTCACTGCCACTCCATCTCAAAAAAAGTGGGAAATCTTTTGGAATTTTTTCCCTCACAGCATCAATAATTTCCAACAAGAATCGGATTCTGTTATCGAATGACCCTCCATATTGGTCTGTACGATGATTGGACCTAGCAGATAAGAACTCGCTGATTAAGTATCCGTGAGCAGCATGGATTTCCACGAAGTCGAATCCAACATCAACTGCCCTTTTGGCTGCTTGTCCAAACTGCTTGACAACTTCATGAATCTCTTCAATAGATAATTCTCTGGGAGTTGGAAGTCTTCCTCCCGGTCTATAAGGTATAGCTGAGGGTGCAACCACTTCTTCCTTTTTACCTCTTGGGTCCCAATTCTCTAAATACTCGAAAAGAGCTGATTGCATGGCTTTTCTACCCGCATGGCCGAGCTGGATGCCTATTTTAGAAGTATTGGCATGGGCAAAGTCCACGATCGGTCTAAACTTTTCAGCCTGGGAGTCCTTCCAGATACCCAAGTCAACAATGGATGTTCCACCATTCGGAGACACACTAGTAGCCTCAACTACAATTAATCCTGGTCCTCTCAATGCCAATCCACTATAGTGGACCTTGTGGTACTCAGTCACCTCGTAGTTATCGGAGGTGTACTGGCACATCGGAGAAACGCCAATTCTGTTAGGTACAACCATACCATTGATCTTGATTGGCTGAAAAAGCTTCGGAGTTTTTTCCGATAAGTCAACGGCAGTGCCAATGACTCCATTTGCCAATGGATACTCGTAAGGAACCCCTGGAGCTAAATCATATGGAGCATCAGAACCTTGAGCAGGTTGAGGGAGTGAGGGAATTGGAAAATCGGTCATAATTATCAAACGAATGTTACCTTTCTTGTTTTATAAGGAGGAATGAGGGACACGAGCTGGTGGTCAAAGAGGTCTCGCTATTACTAATCATATTATTGGCGATCATTCGCACACACCACTGTTCTGATATCACGATATTTTGCAACCATTTGTATACCGGGATGGCCAGGACAAATTTGGGAAATTGAGTGAAGAACAAAGGAAAGCCAAGGAAAACTGTGAGTTTTACATCCGACATCCGAAATCAAATAATGAGGTCCCCTCAAATTTTAGGTCTATGGATTTTGAGAGTTCATGGTGGAAGATTACCGTCCTAGGGCATTGAAATGGGTGTCACGCTAATAGAAGGACTTAATGTCATGATGACAAAAGAAGGCGAATCTGTGAAGATTGAGCGAACATGTTGGTTGTTGTGATTAATCGATCTGATGTCTTCGATGAAGATTGCATTGGAGAATGTTCACTTAAGGATCAGGGAGTATTAGTAAGCAAATGAATGAATCAAGAGAGAAAGAAATAAATAAAAGAATAAGTATTAATAGCAATAATCATTTTTCAAGGTCTGTAATATATTCCTAGGTGATATATCTGTTTCATGGTTCTATGAATTATTTTTTGCTTGAGTGTCTTTGACCAAATAGAAGGTTAGGGCCACAAAAAAATTCCAAGGAGTAGCAGGAGATAAATAAAACAAGTGAATGAACAATTTTATCCACTTGTTGAATATTTAGGAAGTATTCAAATGAAATTATGCCAGCAATTGCCTTGGGTACACAAAGACGATTCAATGTCCACAAAGCCACATATTTAAAACCCGTACACCAAAATGAGGAAAAACCCATACACCAATTATCAAAGACCCGTACATCAATAATTAAGTTAGTATTTTGCAACCATATACCTTGACTAAATCAATCTAAACAGTTTATTGTCAAATCTGTTCATTATCTTAGAACTTTGAACTTTCAGCTCTGATTTTAGAATCATTGATATACTTAATCATTTCGCCGTACTTGGCCCTCAATGGCCAAAAGGGAGCAGCATTATGAATTTCCACACCCATGGCCTTTGCCCAGTCAATCACTAATCCCTGGTTCACCAAAAACGGAGAGCCGACTAAAGCAAAGTCAATAACACCCTGTTCGAGCAACTCGTTAATTTTCACTGGGTCGTGCATCCTTCCCACCGCAGAAACGACAGCCGTATCACCTACGGCCTCCTTGACTCTTCTAGCAAAGTCTACAAACATTCCGAATCCCTTCTTAGGTCTATCAGCACCCGAATCATTTCCTCCAGCAGAAACATCGATGAAGTCGACGCCTTTTGCCACCACGATTGGAGCCAATTTGACCGAATCTTCCACGGTCCATGCTTCGGGATTGGAATCATGTAATTCGCTTCCGCTCCATCTCAAAAAAAGGGGATAATCTTTAGGAATGTTGGCTTTCACGGATTCAATGACTTCTAACAAGAAACGAATTCTATTTTCAAAAGATCCACCGTACTCGTCAGTTCTCTTATTCGAGTGCGAAGACATGAATTCATTGATTAAGTAGCCGTGGGCCGCATGGATCTCCACGAAGTCAAAACCAACAGCAACCGCTCTCTTTGCAGCAGCTCCAAATTTCTCTATCAATGCATGGATTTCGTCAATTTTTAACTCCCTTGGTGTAGGAAGTCTACCTCCTGGCCTAAAAGTGATGGCGGAGGGAGCCACAAGCTCCTCTTTCTTACCTCTGGGGTCCCAGTTTTCTAAATACTCAAACATAGCTGACTGCATTGACTTGCGCCCAGCGTGGGCCAATTGGATGCCGATTTTTGCGGTGTTTGCATGAGCGTACTGGATAATTGGTCTGAATTTTTCAGCCTGGGAGTCTTTCCAAATTCCCAAGTCCACCACAGACGTTCCGGCACTAGAAGCTACAGCAGTAGCCTCAATCATAATTAAGCCTGGCCCACGAGCAGAAAAGCCTCCATAGTGGATCCGATGGTAGTCAGTAACCTCGTTGTTGTCTGCACAGCATTGGCACATGGGCGAAACACCCACTCTGTTTGGAAGAACCATGCTTTTGATTTTCAATGGATGGAATAGCTTGGGTGTTTTCTCTGTGACTTCAAGTGCTGAGCCTACTACTCCATCGGCCAATGCATACTCAAATGGAAGACCGGGAGCCAAATCGTATGGTGCATTATGGCCGGTTGCAGGTTCTGGAAGTTGTAAGGACATTTTGGTGTTTATTCTATTTTTTTGCTTTTCTTTTGGTGCTGTTCTTATTAATTTGTTGAAATAGAAAACAGAAAGGACTAAAAGTTCTGCTTTTAAGTATTTTCAAAGATTTCTGGCTTTATGTAATCAATTTCGGAGTTGCCGCATCGGGACCTACACCCGGATTATTTGTTATCTCCTGCAGATTCTCAAGTCTGATAGTCACCTTAATACATCGGTCCGAGTGGATTATACAGGGAAACGCACGGCTCACACGGGTGACAAAAGTTTGATATGATGATTCGAGTTTTTGGTCGAGAATTGTTGTGTTATTTTGTAGTCAATTGCGCCACTTTCGACTTTAGGTATCCGTTACTTCCGAAATGTGTTACCGTGTCAGTGCATGGCCCCCAAACTGGTAGAAATGTTCTTTATCCAGGTGTCTCTTTAACACTCCATATTGAACTTTAGGTACTTATAAGAGGTAAGCGATGAGCGATGAGCTGGAGATGTCTCGGAGGTGTCTCGGAGGTCGCCACACGTGAACATTAACAATTTTCCACAATGAACAAAACAGCATTATGCTCTTCTTATAATCTTCTTTTACTCTTCTTATACACTTCTTATACACTTCTTATACACTTCTTCTTTTCTCTGTTGTCTCTTTTTCTTCTCTTAACTTCATTTATCTTCCTCTTCAATTAAACTTCCTCCACTCTAAAATCCCGCATTCGTATGCTCTCTTGTCACACGTTCTCCACCGGAGAATATTCAAGCTCGTCGATCTCTTGCTCGACTCTGAGCATCCGTGGCTCGTAGCAACGTTGGGATGCCAATCCAGGAAACAACCGGAAGTACAGCCACAGCGCAATAAAGATTCCAAGACACAGACCCACGAAAACATCAATGAAGTGATGTCTATAGTCTTCGGTACGGCTCAATGCAATCAATGCGGCGCCAATGGTGGGGACAAACGCGATGATACTTCTCCAAGCTCCTGCCTGCGGTCTTGTTGCTGCTAGTTGGCCAGCCAAAAAGAACAGTAAATAGAGGAGCCCAGCAAACGAGATACTGGAGTGTCCCAGGGGCGTTGTTCTAAATCCATCCAACAACCGTGGAATGTTTGTAGTCGTACACACATCTACAGCGTAAACCATCACCTCGGTTGGTGCGTCTACCCTGGGAATACAACGGGCCAAAAAATCTGGACGGTGACGTCCAAATGAGTTCTTCAAAATGTCAGTAGTGACACTGGTTGCAAATACAGATATTAAGACACCAAGAAGTGCAACGTACGTCACGTAGATTTTGTTTCTAGGCTTGGTCATGACTAGAGACACAACTGCAATTGTTGCAAGAGGCACTGCTCCCGCATAGAGGAAAAGCTGGTGATTGGTAACACGCTCGTGTTCTGCAAATGGATGTGAAATCAGCAAGTCACCAATGTAAAACTGCCGCTGGAAGGGCTCGATGTTGTAAACCACTTTGTAAAGTATGATTAACACACCCAAGAGAATGGCATCTGTGCCTCTCCAGAAAATGAAGGCTGGACCTCCTTTAACTTGGTCAAGACCAAAGGTGGTCCGATTATATCGGTCATCACTATGAAAGTAGTTGAGAATCAGGTGAATGGCGTCCATCGTGGGAAGAAAAGGATAAACATAACCTCTCGATAAGTAAACCTGTACCGCAGAGGGGGAGGTTGGGTCACGTGTAACGCTTACAGTCGCGGAGGTACTGGTGTGAGGATGGGGAATGGGTGCCGGAAGTTCACTTTTCCCACCGCCTAAGTACATACCCATCTCCGCTTTGGTAATGATTATCCGGAATGATATAAAACCTTGCAGTTGCTTCCTTTCAAGAACATTTAATCATTTCGATTTTTTGTAAACCATGGCCGTCATAGTACTTCCTACACCTTTAGATTCTGAGTGTCTGCTGCCCAGCGAAATGAAGGAAGACTCCAGGTTGGTTGGAAGTTCCAAAGTCACAGAAGCAGCCTTGGAGAAGTTGCAAAATTCAGAGAAACTCAACCCACTCTTGCATTTTGACTTGTCTCATTGCCCCAAGCTTCCTTATGAGAATTCAGTCGCTTCTGTATGCTTCAGCGGAACCATTTTTGAGAAAATCGACGCTGTGGCTAAAGCTGGTTTTGACAGCATCGAAATCATGACTCCAGACTTGGAAGAGGCAACTCCTGAGGAGATTTACCAATATTGCCAGTCTCGGAACATATCCATTTCCATTTTGCAACCATTCCGTGATTTGGAAGGTTACTCACAAGAGAAATTCCAGGAGAGGTTGCGTGAGTTTGAGGAAATGTTAAAGATTTGTACCATCTTACGCACTGATACCATCCTAGTTTGTGCTAACTGTGATTCAGAATCCTCAGGGGAGATGAATCGTGTAGTTTCCCAGCTCAAACAAAGTGCGAGATTGGCTGCGAAATACAATGTCAAAGTTGCATACGAAAACTTATCTTGGGCAGCTCATTATTATGAGTTTGGCAAGATGGTGGATGTGGTCGTGAATGTTAACGAGCCTAATTTTGGAATCTGTGTTGATCTCTTCCACATCAATATTCACGGGTCATCATTGGATCACATAGATCGCGTACGGAACAAGGTGTTCTTTGTACAATTCTGTGACTCTCCCAATATCGTCAACATGGAGATAATCCAGCAGGCAAGAAACTATCGAGTTTTCCCATTCGGGGGCTCTTATACCAACATCATTGAAGCATTCCACAAGGTGCAGCGGGCTGGATACACGGGATGTCTTTCGTTGGAAGTGTTCAACAAGCTGTTCAAAGACAAGACGGGCCAGTGTTTGGAAGTGGCGGAGGATGCTTTCAGAAGTTTGGTGTATTTGCAATTGACATGTTGTGAGGGTTACTTGCAAGAGTTGCCTAGTGTGAATGTCACTTCGGTTTACAGAACGTTTGCAAATGTTGGTGCGTCTGGTTTGGAAATTGGTTTCCAGTCAGAAGCTGATATTGCCAACTTTAAAATTAGAGCAGAGAAACTTTGCTACTCTCTGTGTGTTTCTTCTATTTCTGCGGTTGTTAAGGCTTCCAAGAGCCAAGTTTTCGTCGACGTTTCTAGGATGCTGTACAACAGATACGCATTGCTTTTGAAAACAGCTTTCTCGATGCAAGAGTTAGATTCGCATCCAGACACAAAGGTAGATGAGCACAATTTGCCGGTGCAAACGAGTTTTGGGAACAATGAGGCGGTCATCACATTGCGTGTAACCAACGAGTAATTAATAGATAATACAATCACATTCAGGAGCGATCGTCGCGGAAAAACTTTTATCCGGGATCAGCAAGTGTTGTAAATTTGAGATGCCTCTGGGATAAGTGGTTATGTTCCCCGCCAAACGATATGAAATTGTGAGTTGGATAATCGCGGGTAATGGAGGGTTTCTATCCTTCTTTAACCGTCTTTTGGTGGTCAACGCTGACTCATCCCGTGAAATGAGCACCTTTAGGGAATTATTGCCAGAAAAAGCACCATACAGAGTGAGCATTTCGTATCTGTGGATTTAGAACAGAATTCTCAAGATTTATTAGCGAGATCAGAGAATATAATGGTATTCTTGGGGCCACATCAAGTCATAAATCCATTTCTTTATCGGTTTATCCTGCACACATGACTCTCCACGATCTTTAAGACCATCTCCTCTTCTAAACTCCCACCTACTCCTTATTTTTAACCTCCAAACCCATATTTCGGTTGTATATCCCAGATCATGGCAATTAACCTAAAGGAGATCGAAGACTTCGCCGTGGAGCTCGCTGAGGCTGCAGGTAACATCTTAATTGTGGAATCTCGTAAGCGCCATGATTCCAAAGACATTAAACTCAAGATGAACGCGGTTGATATCGTCACAGAAACAGATGAGAAGGTGGAGAAATTCATCCACGATTCCATAGCAGCGCGCTACCCTGATCACGATTTCGTCGGGGAGGAATCTTATTCGGCGGGACAATCCAAGAAATACTTGGTAACTGATAAGCCGACGTGGGTGGTTGACCCGTTGGACGGTACAGTCAACTACGTTCATCTTTTTCCCATGATTTGCGTATCAGTGGGTTTTTGCTTAGGTGGCAAACCTGTGGCAGGAGCTATCCACGCTCCATTTTTAAATCAGACGTATTCAGCACATTTGGGTGGCGGCGCTTGGCTCAACAAAAGCGTGCAATTGCCCCTTCAATTGCAGCCATTGCCTGCTGAGGCTCCCAAGGGGTGCATTTTTGCGTGTGAGTGGGGCAAAGATCGCCGCAACATCCCGCAGCTGAACTTGACTCGTAAAGTGGCTTCGTTTGTTAATATGGCGGCTCAAACAGGCGAGGATTCGTTGCCTGGAATGTGTCATGGGGTGCGCAGTATGGGTTCTGCATCGTTAGATTTGTGTTTCGTTGCCTCGGGTGCATTTGACATTTGGTGGGAAGGTGGATGTTGGGAGTGGGATGTGTGTGCGGGCTTCATCATTGTCGAGGAGGCTGGCGGCATAATTACTACTGCCAACCCTCCTGAAGACCGGTCTGTGATTCCGGAGGCAAAGTTGGGCGGCAGACTTTATTTGGCTGTGCGTGGAGCTCCAGATGTCGAAGGAGAGACCGCGAGACAGGCACAAGAACGGGTCGTCAGAGCGGTGTGGGATCGTGTGCATTTGCTAGACTACGAGCGGCCATAGAGTACATTATAGAGAGGAACTTGAGTGGGTTAATGGAGCTTAAGTGGACTAAGATTAATTCTGGATGCTAATGATGCCGAATGGCTGCAATCATTGATATGATGGCTCTGCAGTCTGTATCATAAATTTATAGAAAAAAAGTTAACGTACATTCCATGGGATGATGGTAGTCTATCCCAGTGGATCGTCATCAACGTGCCACTATATTATGATTTGGTTATCTCTTTCAACTCTCTCCAATGAGTTTTTTTTCAATTGTTCATTTTTAGACTTCTTTCTTTCTCGTTAAAACCATTGAATACCTCTGACCTGTGTTTTTCCTGCAGGTAACGCTGATTACCCTCAGATCTGTTTAGCCACCCTCCATTCCCAATAATCGTCCCGTTCGAGATGAACAGCATTTACGGGTCAGACAATTTGTTCGAGAATGGCTGGGCCACAGGTGAAGATGACCAAAATGGCACGAATAGCCGCCTGCAGGCATTCTCTTCTCAATACCCTTCTTCGTCAACCTACTTGACATCACTGCAGTTGCTCCGAGCCAACGAGACAGCTTCGCCAAGTGTCTCTGTCGACATTTCTAGCCGTGTTCCAGATCAGTATTGGGCGATTTTTGAGAAATTGCGTCCTGATGTTGCCACAGTTAATGAACTCCAGTCAAACTTGTTCCAGCCACTTGTTTCTGCTGGCCAACTTACAGCCCACCAGGTCTCCCGCATAATTGACACCTTGTACGACCATAACTTGTTGCCTGCAACAGTTGAGAACAATTTTTTCCAGATTTTGGGACTCTTGGCCTTAGAATTGGATGTTGCTGGTCTGGGAGATTACGTCACGCTCCAGTTCAAAATGAACTCTGGCCTTCCACCATTACCCCCTGCATCCGTGGAGCTTCTTCTACTGGACTCTCCTAGTGTTCCTGAACCTGTTGATCCATTAACGTCCCAGTTAGCTAATACTTCAATTTCGGACGATCATGACGATAGAGAGGAAGACTGGGGTGCAGACGGTCTCTTGGCAGACCATTCAGCGCTTCTGATCGATCCAGACACAACCAGTCCCGAAAGTCTTCATGTTAATGACTATCCGTATCTTAGCAAGTATGTGGGGGACATTAGAGACCAGTTTAAGCCTCTTGTTGGTCTGAACAATGCTATCAAGATTAAAGAGGTGCCAGAAAAGGAAGGGTTGTTGTTTAAGCATATTAACTACGCAATTTCTCACGACCTTCATTTGGGCATGCATGGTCCCAGTGGAATAAAGAAGGTTATCAGACGGTATTCAGACTTTGTGTGGCTTTTGGAGTTTCTACTTAAAAAGTACCCATTCCGTGTGATTCCAGGTCTACCACCAAAGAAATTTTCGGGTATGTGATTTTTTGTCGAATTTTATTTCGAACTTATACTAACTGCTTTAGTAGGAGCGTCTCCAGATTCACAATTTCTTCAAAGAAGACGTCGTGGCTTACATCGGTTCTTGAACCAATTGGTGAAGCATCCAGTATTGAGACAAGAGCCTATTGTGGTCACATTTCTTAGTGTTCCAACAGACTTGAGCTCGTGGAGAAAGCAAGCTCGTGTAGATTACTCGTTAGAATTCAAGGGCCAGAAGATTCTGACCAATTTTATCAACTCCATATGGCCCTCTGTTGGAGAGGAATTTCTTCAGAATTGGAAAGCTGCAGAGGTTAATATCCCAAAACTCATTGATACTTGGACGAAATTGGTCATGTTGGTCGAACGATATGAGAAGAGACAACAACAGATCGCTTGCGATAACAGTAAGTTCGTGGAGATGCTCTCCAAATTCTCGGCTAATGATGACTCCCTCTATCCACACAAAGATACGGAGCATAAGGTGATTTCGGCAATGAACAAGGATGACACAAGCTCGATTAATGACTCGCTTTCTTTTCTCTCGGCATTCTTCAACAAGACATCCACTCTTCTCATCGATGAGAGCTACATTATTAACACAACGATCTTGGAGAAGTTCAAAAACTACTTGGATTACCTTTACTCCCTTCAGGAGCTTTTTGACCGGTCCAAAAAGCTTTCCATCAACTCGATTCCTCAACTCCAACAGAAGATTCAAGAGAACGAACGCAAGTACGAGAGTCTCAGCAAGGACGATGTGGATATTAAAGGTAGCGAGCTTGTCAAACTCAGGCAAGCAATCATCAACGATAAGCAAGAAATGTTTCAGCAACTTAACAAAGACTGGCTTATCAAAAGCTGTTGCTTTGACGAGTACATAATGTTCCAGGAAACTCAGTTTCTCATCTCCGAGGCGTGGACTGATTGGTGCAAGGGCCGCTTTAAGTTCCAGGAGAAGTTCGCTGGTCTATATGACAATTTGAACAACGATGTTGTTCCAGACATGCCACTTGGTCGCTAATTACTCAAATTGAAGTTTCATGTGATTTTGTATCTTTAACTTTTTGCTCCCAGTATGCCACCAATTCGTGGTCAGGCTCATTAGCATCCAACTGTTCGTTGTAATACTTACGGTCAAGCACCTTGGTGATATTCAACTCTTTCAGGGCTTGTTCAAAATAAGTACTTCCAAACAATTCTGCCAATATTCTACCTACCCGAATACCTAACTTGGCACCCTCCGGATATCCTTCATCAAACCCGTCTTGTAACCCCAGTTCCTGCGCTGATGTCAATCCATCTAAGTAACCTTGATTTATTTGCGCTCTTCTCCTATCAGCATACGTGGAGACACCTTCGTCATCACTGGCCCAAATATCGTCGCTCATCTCATTAGATATCTCCGCTTTTTCTACCCGTGGCTTGCCTCTGCAACTCCCAGTACACGGCATCGTTTGAATAGGTCAGATTAGAGAAGAAGATGGATGTCCTGTGTAAATGCCAACCTATCAACATAAAGACGTTTTATGAATGCAAATACTGAAACAAGAAATGCTAATTTTGGACATCTGGGAGTTACGAAAGAGATTGTGGAATTATCGTTAAACCGTTCCTATACTTTTTCACTTTGTTTATTTGCGTTCCCTGTTTATGAATGGCGGGATTGTCTACTCTATTGCTGGCTCTCATATGCTATATGCACAATGCTATCTTTATACCGACAATTACAATCATTTAGATGTGGACAGAAACTTCAAGAATTAAATACTTAAGTTCTGGGATCCAACTCATTTCATCTTCGGTTGATTCTTCAATCTTTATACTTTCCAAATCTTCCATGGTTATTCTGAAAACACCATATTTCAAATGAAATCCCCTTTGTGGTCACGTGACTGAACGACCCGAAAACCAACGAATTTGAGTTTATCAATCGCAACTTCGTTTACTCCTCCATCTTGGAAAATTCGTCTAGGTTAATATCCACAGCTAATCTTGACCCTAGATAGCTTATTCTATAAGTGAATTTTACTACTTAGTGGCCCTTTGACGATTCCACGCGTTCTTCGATCAGATTTACGACCCTTTGTTCCGGTGCTGGAAACCAGAAGATAAGTGGGCGACGTCCAACCAGATATTCCAAGTTTGAAGTTATTTGCGTATATTCCAAGAAAGCTTTGGGATTAAATCGCTCAAGCTACCAGTTCCATTGCAAACGAAGAGCCATTCGAGCCTGTCCACATCAAATTATCTAGCCGTTCGTTTCTACTTGGACACAAAAAAACACCCCTGAAAATGGCCGAAAATATCATCACCCAGGTGACACAGGATTCAGGTAGTGCCCTGCCATTGGGATACGATGACCATGACGGGCAAATTGACTACAACTCCAGGATAAACTTGAACATTCGCGGTAAAGACTTCAATATCACTAGAGACGAGCTTATGAGCTTGCCTGAAAGCATATTGTTGAGTTTATTCCCAAATGGTGTCTTTTTGGACATCAGTGGCCAAGTTATTAGCAATTTGACTGAGGATGACATTGTCTATGTTAACTTCGACCCAGATTGTTTCGAGTATATTTTGAGTACCTTCGGTAAAGCTCAGCAGGACCTCTTATCAATGTCGGGGACCATTTCACCCCAAATCACTGGAGCCAGTAGACTTGACTCTGCTGCGTCGGTTTTACAGACAAAGCCTGCAATCATTGTGTTGAGAGAAGATCTTGACTATTACGTCATTCCGCCAGTCGCAGGTTGCACTGCTGAAGACATTAAGCACTTGAAGATTGAAGTCGGCACTCAAATTGGGAGCCACAAGCTTGTCTTTTCTGGACTCGGGTATGATCTGACTTTGTCTCCCACAGTGGAGCAGAAGCTTGGGCCCGCAGAACAACACCTTTTCGACATGTTGTGTACTTCTGGATTTGAAAGGGATCTGCTTTGGGGCAGCCGGTCGATGGAACCTGATAGATGTGTGATTCAGTCGTTGCTGTTGGTTCGTCTCATCACGGAATCGCCAACACCCCCAGAGTCTCCACTGTTGAACCCGGTCACTTCGAATGCCTCTACCAGATCTCGGTCCAGATCAAGAATTGCCTCTTTAGCAAACAGTGCCAGTCGTGCTGCATCGAGATCGTTGTCAAGGGCAAGAAAAAACAACGAAGCCAACTACACAAAGTTGTTACTCTTCTGGAGGAAGCCAGCCAGAAAGTGTTGGTGGTCCAACCAGGAACTTGCAATCCCCACCGGAGGTCTGAGTCTTGAGAAGCTCGGAAAAGAGGTGAATGTTAAGATTCACGTGAGAAGAGTATGGACTTTAGAGTTGTCTGTCATTGGTGTGCAGTAGGTAGAGAGCAGTGTTTGTAATAATAATTAATTTCTTAGATAATATTAATGAGTAGTCACAAGATTAGTTTTCAATATGGCCATGGTTTTGATAAAGTGCTTAGCATTGTTGGAAAAACCAAGTCGGCCACGATGACTTGAAATCTGAACTATGACGATCGATCAATCTATCGAATTTCTCTCTAAACAACAATGAGGTCTTGGAAAGAAATCAACAACAGGTAATTGAATAGTGATCCTCTCGTAATAAAAACGTCCATGATAAAAAAAACCCAGACTTCAAGAAATAAAGGAAAAAGGCAACCGGAAAGCCTTAGACTTTTCTCAATATTATGCCTGTTCCTGTCTTATTTCTTTGGTGATCGCCCTCGTAACACAGGAAATATATGTGGAATCAAAAATGGCTGCGAAAATTGACTGATAGGTCGTAAATGCAACTGCCGGAGATCAAAAGATTAAGAAATTATCTATTTGCGACAAAGAATAAATATCTTAGTATATCATTGTTTATTTTTCTTCATGTTTTCGCTAAATTGAGTCAGTAATAAATTATAATAACGAAGGAATATAGAGTCATTTACAGTTCGCACTATATAATCACAAACACATTTCCAGCCATTGTCATTTTATTCTCACCACCCTTCATTTCACAGTCTTCCAGTCTACATCCTTGTATCTAGACTTAGCCATTCTGAAAAGTTTCCAGAGCCCCAAATAGCACTTCTTGCGTCTCCAGCAGATCTTTCTTGATGGTTTCTATTACTCAAGCAATTCGCCGTGTTACGGCTGCCGTTTGTGTTTCTGCCACCAACCCAACCACCATCCCTGACATTCCCACTCCTGCTGAAGGTTCTAATGAACTCTTCTTAAGCCCATCATTGATCACGGATCGCATTGTCACTGACACTGAGATACCCACTACTCGCCCTAGTAAAACCACTCAGGTCGGTAACCATTTCAGGGAATTCAGACCCTGTAAGAGACTAGTAGCTAAGGCAAGAAAGCTCAAGTCTAAAATTAAGAAAACTTTTAAAAGCTTGAAGGTTCAAGTTCACAAGAAAGACAAAGCCTCCCGTCACCACAAAGATGGTATCGTTGACAATCTCTTTGAAGCCCAATTCTCTCCATTAGACCCAGAGGAGTATTCACCCTATGACTTCTCTAACGATAAGTTTTATTCTATGAGAGCCATGTATAATCAAGCTTACTCCGGTTTCCCTAACCGCAACCTGGTACTTACTCAAATGGTTACAGATACTACGGGACAGACCTCAATTTATCCCGTTGAGTTCAGCCCCCAAAAGTATCTTAACTCAATGTTTACCGAGGCATTAATCTCTCCTGTTATTGATTCTACCTCTGTCGCTTGCACTTGTAACCAGTTCACGCCTTTCTTTTTCCAGAGAATGATGGACTTGTTTGTGAAGTTGCAAAACTACATCCCGACCCCTTGTGTCGCCCCGATCAATGAGACTAGGACATGGATAGAAGTTTCTCTGGTTAGACTTCCTGAGTCAATTAAATCGCTGAAACCGTCAAAAAAGGTCTATGCTGAGATATTCTCTGCTCGCGTGCCATTGTTTGTGCAAAAGCTTATCTCCATTGATCTGCCACCACTGGGATTGCGGAATATTCAATCTTGGAGCATTCTCGGGCCGCTTGGTATTGATGAATGTAAAATAGAGGCTGAAGAAGAAAAATCAGTCATTTACTATCTGGACGAAGTTGAGAAGGAGGGAGAAACGAAAGGGGAAGAAGAAGTCGAAGACTCAATGGGGTTTGTTGATGCTGCTGAAGAGAACATGCCAGATTACAGACAGTTCTATTTAAGAAACTCAAAGTATCAGGTGGATGATCCTGGCTTTGAGGAAACTTATAAAATCTCGTCAGTCACTTTTAGTGATCGTGATCAATTTGCAGAGTTTCACTCAGAAGATGCTCCAGTGGTTCTCTTTCCTAACATATACCCGGAAACCCTTGTCTGGAAGCCTCTTAGGTGCCGCTCTGATAAGTTCGAAACGGTTCCCAAGACTCTTAGGAGCTGCCTTAAAAATACTAAGCATAAGGTGCTGGAAATTGACTTTAGCTTTGAAGAAGCACCTGGCCAGTCTTCTGATGAGTTTATTCTCTTCCAGACTGACAATACTTGGTTTTGGGATGTTTGTGATAGGTTTGATGAAGCCACAAAGATTAAGAGTTGTCCAATTGTTGCCAATGATAAGTATTGGGACGATATCAGCAACTTTATCGCTATTTCTCAGCAGACATTTATGATGCTCTCGGTAGGTATTAGTGAAACGAAGATTTATGGTCTCCATGAGATTGTGGGCAAATGTGATTGGGCGGTAAAGCTTGCTGCTGAAGTATTCAGTTCGTATTTTGCAATGGTAAATAGATACGAGGTGGTGATTCAGGCCTACTGGCATGCTGACGATTTGTGGTCGTTGGAAAATGTCCAGTGCTCTCTATTTGCCGAGAGAAAGCGTCTTTGCACCTTGAGGAAGAGTATCCAGCTACTCCGCAACGCGGCCCGGATTATTATTAGTGATAAGGATGAGGTCTTAAAGAGTTATGCAACTGAGTCCAAAGCCTGTGTCACTGCTGTGACATTTGTGTTGCAGGAATTTGATTTGTTCTTTGCCAACACGTTGATGAAGGCTAACAGGGGCTGGTCCCCGGAAGAACTTCAAGCACTTTGTGGTAAAGTTGAATTCGACAAAAATTATGGTCCGTTCATTGAGCACCATCTTAGTGATGCTGATTCTCTCTTGACTCACAACATTGAAGACATTGTAAGAGGAATTCATGTGTTGGAGACCTTAGATGCTTCATTGGAAGCAGTACTCATAGAGATGTCTGAGTGCATTAGTAGGGAATTGAAGTTAAACTATTGAGTCTTAACTTGCTGGTTAATGGATGGTTAAGTTTGGGTCCATGGAGGAAAGATTTCTCAGAGAAACTCTGACCAAACAATATCCTTCAACGGGGATGATTGAAGAACACGTATGCGAGTGTTCTCTCGCCTAGGGTGAAGGAAATTTGTCAAGAGCTCCTCTGAGGATGGTCTAATCTTCTTAAATTTTTATTTTATTCTTATCTGTTAACTTTTCAGTAGCATGGTAGTTAGGAACACAACTGTGATTCAAATTAATTGATAAATGATTAACTAATGGTTTTTTCAGAGACAGTCGTTAGGGAATTTCCAAGTAGAAAATAATGTCATGACTTTCGATTTTGATGTTGTTTTTCAAATTTGAACCTATCCCAGGCTTTATTGTCTTAAGTCTTCTAGAATGAAGTTGATTCCTGTGATGGATGGTTGCCAATATCCTTGGCCAGTTATAACCTCGCTCAATAGTATCAAAAATCCCCACTTGTCAAATAGGATGGTGATTGCTATGTCTTAGAGAGCGAATGGGACAGATACTGAGTCTCTTCAAGTTTGGAGGAAAGGATGATACTCTGGCTCTCAGGATTTATGATTCATACATCTGCAATACCCTTGGGGTATGGTTTCAGCGGATGTGAGGTTTGTAAGGTGTCAATACCATAGGCTAAGAGTTTCGAAGACAGAGATATCCTCTGAACGAACATTAAGCTCTCACACTGTCCAGGTACATTCAATCTTCCTGAAAATCAAAAAATGGATAAGGTTTTCAACATGGGAAGCATCCAATTCTTTCCAGTTGAAATTCCCGCAACAATAGTTAAGTCTTACAAAGTTACTGGAATTTTGAGGTCACTCAAAACTGGAGCTTGCTCCTCTGGACACAGAAATGCAATTTCAAGTACTTTTAATCTCGGTGGAAAGATAAAGGCTTGCGGATTCTCCGAGGTATAGATTTTAAGAAGTTCCACATTTTCTGGAAGGAACACTTTGCGCCAATCGTTGAGTAAATTTCCAGATGCAATCAACTACTCAAATTCATCGGGAGCTTGACATTTGTAATTGACTTTATTTTAGTTTGAGACATATCGAACACTTTCAAGTTTGATAAGAACTCATTATCAATTATGTCATTGTTCGTGAAATAAAGTTATCTGAGCAAAATGGGAAGATGAACACAGTGGAAATCACTGATTTCAGAATTGGACACCTTGAAAAACTCTAGGGATGGAGGAAATTGAATGTCTGCTAGTGATTGTTTGGAGCCAATATCCAACTCCACATGCTTGAGTTGAGGGCTCAAATTGGAAAGTAAAAGTTCAGGATCACTCAAGGTGCAATTGACAAGAACCAAGTGTGTGAGCAGTTTTGGTAAATTTGTGCAAAGAACAACTCTACAATTCTCAAATTTCAACTTCGTAATTTTGGCAGGAAGGAACTTCCAGTCGTATCGGAATGTAGGTAGTTCAAATAGCTTCAGTTTACGCTTACCTTGAATCTCGATTGTCGATAACGACTTGGAACAAAGCATGAGTGGAAAGTGGGTTTGAGGCTTGGATCCTTCAAAGCAGAATTTGAGGTGTTTCAAGCTAGAGTAGTCACCTCCAACAAAGCAATTACCGCCAGTTAAATTCAATTTCACAACACTACAGACGGACATACGCTTTGCATAGATATCGACGTCCTCATTGGAACCTTCAATCTCCACCTTTGGAATTTTGTCAAAGTAATCAGATATTGATTCAAGTAAAGGTGGTGCCAAATCGGTGGGGAAGTACCTAACGTTCATTCTGAGCAGGCTGACGGAGGCTCTGATATTTCCATTCGCTAAGTTACGAATCTCTTTTTTAACAAGTAGATGGTGATCATCATTTGGTGTTGCAGGGATTCCAATTTTGACTTTCTCGTAAAGCATCGCTCTAACAAGATCTTGCTCTTTGCAATTAGTTGGTAGTTTCATACAAAAGTGCCTCTTTTCACTTGGAGAGAAATTGGAGAACACCTGACGAAGAATTTCTAGTGGGAAGTCACTAAGAGACAAGGTCATTGAGGCAAATGAAAAACTAAAAGATTTGAATAAAGTGGGGCACAGCCGTGTTTTTTATCTAAATTCTATTTCTGGTAGGTTGATATAAACTGGTATGCCACATTATTACCTTACCTGGTGGGTTACCTGGTGTGTGCTTTAGCAAAATAATAAATATTAATATATGAAGTAAATAATTGATTGACAATGCTGAAGCTTGATTATTTGGGTATGTTGTGATTTCCCTTTGGACCCTTTTGCCCTTCAGAGGATTGTAGGATCAGTCAAGCCACATCTAATAGAAGAATCTTCCGAGATCGATCTTGAAAGGTTCAACATAAATATTCCCTTGAATTTCGAATACTACAAGGAGATTTGGAGATTCCAAATCTGAAAAATCTGCGACGTATGATATATTTCCCTTCTTCTTGTTTCTGGAATGGCTGCGAAATGCATGAGCCTTGAACCTTTAAGACGGATGAATTTGAAACAGAACATTTCCCATACATTGTAAAGGAGTTGCTATATGAATCCAGACTGAAGATAGACTTAGACAAGAAAAAGAAATTTTACTCAACAATAGAGAAGTAGGAACACATGGGGCCATAGGACGGTGAAGCCTTCATCTTCAAAAGCTTATATAGCCAAAATTGTAGGATATAGAACAAGGGAGACTCTGGAGGAGATTTTGCGAGAGATTTGCTTTCAGAAGCGTCGGTAACGAGTGCAATTGGTAGGACGACCCAGGACCAGAAACCATCCTGTTTGAAGCTTTAGACTTAATCTCATAAGTATATCAAAAACCACGACAATGAGCAACTAATCAGAAAGAAGAAAAGAAATCAGAAGGAGCCATCACGCCAATAGATCTTAACGAATTTCCATCCGTTCATACTATCCATTTCCTATTTCCGAAAATACTCTTATCCTTCACTGTCCCACCAACACCATCTCGTCCTACACCCAGCACTACGCGTAACTTACTTAAATCTACATATCTCCATTCTTCAATTTCAACTCTCCCCATGCTGACACAGTACGACCAGGAGAAGCTCGATCACACTCCCTGGGTGGAAAAGTACCGGCCCAAGAAATTGGACGATGTGTCTTCTCAAGAACACGCCGTCAAGGTGCTCAAAAAGACTTTGGAGCTGGCCAATTTACCACATATGCTTTTCTATGGTCCACCAGGAACAGGAAAAACCTCCACGGTCTTGGCTCTTGCCAAACAATTGTATGGACCTCGATTGTATAAGCTGAGAGTGTTGGAGCTCAATGCCTCGGACGAAAGAGGTATTTCCATTGTGAGACAGAAAATCAAGAACTTTGCCAGACTCACGGTATCCAATCCAACGCCCGAGGACTTGAGAGATTATCCATGTCCTCCTTACAAAATCATTGTGTTAGATGAGGCTGATTCCATGACGAATGATGCACAGTCTGCGTTGAGAAGAACTATGGAGAACTACTCCGGAGTTACAAGATTCTGCTTGATCTGTAACTACATCACGCGTATCATTGATCCGTTGGCACTGAGATGCTCGAAATTCCGTTTCCGTCCGCTTGACAATGAGAACGCTTTATCGCGGTTACAATATGTTGTTGAACAGGAAAAAGTCAACTTGGATCTGGAGAAGGTTTTGCATGAGATTCTTAAGGTTTCTGGTGGTGATTTGCGTAAAGCCATCACTTACTTGCAATCTGCTACACGTTTGAATTCCGTTCTAGAAGACGGTGGTATCACTGTGACCACTATTCGAGAAATCGCCGGAGTAGTGGATAAAGAGCTTATGGATTCGATTGTAACCACGATTCGGACGAAAAACACCGAGAAAATCGCCAAAAAAGTTCACGAGGTAGTACTCCAAGGATGGAGTGCCCAGCAGGTTTCGGACCAATTGCACGATATCTTCATTCTTGACGATAGTTTGACTTCCCCTGAGAAGAATGCCATGGCTCAGCTTTTCTTCGAAACTGACCGCAAACTTAACAACGGAACGGACGAGCATATCCAGCTTTTAAACTTGAGTTTTCAGCTTTCGAATGCTCTAGCCTAGAATTAATTACACGAATACTCACGTAACTACATTGTACGGTGCTCATGGTTGTATTAGGCCTTTTCGGCTCCATGTCACTTACTCACCTTACGGAAACGACATTAACATCGCAAATTTTAGCTATCTGCTTCATCTCAACCTTGTTTGCGTTGCTGCGGAGGTTGCTGTGTCCGCATGTGTGGGGGCACCCCTTGTGGAGGACCCATACCTTGTTGCATTCCTTGCATCCCTTGTGGTGTTCCCATTTGGTACATGAAGTAGGGATGAGGAGGAAACTGGGCACCCATACCCGGAGGACCTTTCTGCAACTGACCTAAACCTGGAGGAACATTACCCTTTTGGTTCGGTTGTTGACCTTGGCCACTGAGCTGATATTGACCTGGTTGGCCAGGTTGGCCCTGACCTTGACCTGGCTGCCCAAATTGACCTTGTTGGCCACGTTGGCCAATAGGTTGGCCCTGTTGAGCATTTCCTGGATGTCCTGGTTGTCCTGGTTGTCCCGGCTGTCCTGGTTGTCCTGGTTGTCCTCTTTGTTGCATTCCTGGATGCATTCCTGGTGGCATACCTCCTTGAAATATTCCTGGAGGTGGACCATATGGATAAAATTGATTAGGCATGCCCTGATGACCTGCAAACTTCATCTCTTGAGGAGGAATTTGGCCTTGTTGTGACTTGGCCTGTGGAGACTCTGGCTTCTTGGCACCGTCTGCTGGAATTTCTCTCTTGTTCATTAAAGACATGAAGAAAGAGTCGTTAGAACCTTGCATCATTCCCATTCCTGGCATCATTGGCACTGGGCCCTGCATTGGTCCTGGTCCAGGATTTCCCATAGGAGGTGGTTGATGTCCCATTGGCAGCATTTGGCCCCTGGACTTAGGGTCTTGAAGGTGTGGTGCCCCCTGTGGCCCATGTGATCCCGAAAGCTGGGGTCCTTGTGGCCGCGAGTGCTGAGTTCCGTGGGGATGTATTTGGCTCTGTTGTATCTGGCTAGATTGGACTGGTAATGGGCCCTGGTTCTGGCCATGCATAGAAGTTTGACCCTGCAATTGATTTTGACCTTGTCCTTGGATTGGGGTTTGTGGGCCCTGACCTGGGGTTGGCCCTCTTGGAGAAGCTCTCAGTTGTTGGTCTTGCGTGTTGAAGAATCTCAGGTTATGCTCGCCCGTAGTAGAGACACTTGTGGAGCTATTCTGACCAGAGTTTAAGGTTGGCCTTGATTCTTCAACGGGGGAAGCTACATTTCCACCGAAAAAGGACGAGAATCTGGAGCTTTTTGCCTCGGGTATTCCTTTAGCATTAGCAGGCGAAGAGGAAGGCTCTGGCAACAGCTGTTTAGGCTTCACAAATGAAAAAAAGCTATCAACTTCGTTTGCCTTGTGCTGGCTCAGTGCATCATCGTATTCTTCGTCGTTCTTGCGTCTTTCTTCTTCCCTCATGAGTTGTTTCCAACGCTCAAAGTCCTCGACAGTCAGACCCATGTCGATCTTGAGATCCTGAGAAATATCCAGAGAGTCCCACTCGGGAATTCCCTCGTCGGCGGTTTCGCCTAAAAGTTGTGAGATTTTCTCAGTAGACATCGAGTCGATATCGGAGGACTTCAAGAATCCAGCCGGTTTACGCTCCCATGAGAGCTGGTTGGCTTGATTATTTTGATTCTGCTTGTTTTGGTTGCCCAGTCTGTTTTTGCGGTTCTGGTTGTTGTTGCGTGGCTCTCTGTTCTGTTGATGTTTCGCAGGTTTTGGCTGGGCTTTGAAAGCCCAGAAGTTCTGGTCTGGGAGGCGAGAAATATCGAAGTTAGCAACTTCCGGATTTCCCCTGAGCGAAAGTAGGTGGTCAATCGTGTAAACTCGTGACATATGGGCCTTTGCAGGTGGAATGTAAGACAGAAATGACAGCCTGTTTGCCGAAGAGGTAGGAGAGGACAGGGTAGCAGCATCGCTGTCCTTCAGCTCCATTTCAGGAGTCAGCTCTTTTGCAGCGTTAGCCATGGCCAGCTCTAGTAAGCGAGATAAGGCATTTCCAGGCTCCAATCCCGTATGGGAAGAAGGTTCGGTGGATGTAGATGGCGTTGAGCCAGCAACGGCATTCATGCCGCCAGAGATGGAGATGATCGACGAATCGATAATTGCTGGATCCAGAAGCGGCTGCGGCAACATTTTGTGGCGATAGTGAAAATTGGGGAGGTAAGTTTCAGCGGTTAGAGGTCAAAGGAGCCAATCTTGGTATTGGACAACTTAATTGACAACCAAATGGAGAAAATTGGTAATTCGAAGTGGAAAAACCGAACAGAATTAATTAAAGCGGAAAATATAAATGCTTTATGAGTGGGCTTACTCGCCTTGAATATGTGCAGAGTGCTCTGGTTCGGTCGGTGAATAGGTGTTTCCAACCAAGAAGGATCACTAAACGTTGGAATATGGTCGTGTGTAGTTCAATTTTCTGTTCGTCAGGTTTGTGGAAACGAATGGGAAATGATTGGGCATGAAAATTTCTAGAAGATAATAAAAAAATGTTATATTTGTCCAAGAATCATATTGGACCGACTTAATCGGTTTTAACTTTTTTTTTTGTGCTTTTATGTCTGAGGCTCTATGGCCAGTTTCATTGTTCGAAACATGTGTTGATCTCAAATTTTAAACTTATAAAGTCAGAAAGAGCTCTAGGAAAACTTATGAAGTAGTTGAAGTAATTTACAGTATAAAAGATTCTCGTAAATTCGTTTACTAAAATTATAATAATACAATCCCTGAATAAATCTCATCAGTTCTGTAGGAATGGAAGATTCAATTTCTTAATCTCCCGACACATGACAAACCAATCAATCTCTCTCAAATTAAGATTTTTGTCTGTTCTCTGTTTAATGGCACGCTCTTGTTCCTCCCATTTGAAGAGTTCGTACATGAACCTCAAGTTTGGCTGAATAACAATGTTCAATCGGCGTACTCTAACATACAAGTATGCTTGAGGAAGATTCAACCCGAGTCTTCTCATCACCTCTGCAATTACCACGGTGGCAGATCTGGAGACTCCAACTCTGCAGTGTACCAAGATCTTGGTATTACCCTTTGTCTTTCGGTACTCAAGATCAATTTGCTCCAAAATCTGTGGCAAAGATTTCGTGAGCTCGTCAATTCCGTCATCCTGGAGGTTGTTGATCTTGACCACACCTTCAACAGAACACTTGCTATTGTATCTGTTGTAGCTAGTATTCTTGGGTGTGATATTGAACAACTCGATGTTTCCGTTGTCCACCTCGTCGACAATTATATCGTTATTATGCTGGAACTTGTATCCATTTAGCCAGTCAAGCTCCTCTCCAACAGAAATCACCTTCTTGATACCAAGCTTGCTTAAGAGAGATAAACTGTTGGCATGTTTTAGGGATCCTAGATAAAGGTAAGGCAATATCCTGGACGGGAATGAACCTTCCACCTCCTCGACCCAGCTCCTGTCGAGAAAAGAAGAGGTGTCATTGATATCATCTTCTGATCCACCATCAGAGTCTGAGCTGTCCTCGTCTGAGTCATTGGCGATGTATCCCAATTTAAGTCGGTTTGGAATGCCTTTGCTGGGCACAGAATTGGTTCTGCCAAGCAAGATTTCGTTGATTTCTTGACATGAAATCGCTTCTTGGCTTCCCCAGTCTATGCGGTTCTTTAAAGCAACAGGGCTGAATCTTCTCAATAATATTTGCAACTTCTGAAGGACGAGCACATCGCTGTTGAAAATATAGAATGGTCTTCCGTAATCCTTATGGAGGCGAAGCATGGCTTCCTCTAAAGAGAGATCTTCTGCATACATAAGATAACAGAATGTGAGGAGAGACAGCTCTGTGTATCCGTCCGAGGAATATATCAAAGCAGCCAAACTGCCCTCGGCCATCGAGGATGAGTATAAGTAGAGGAGTTTGCAAGTGTTGACTATACTCATTAAATTATCCTGTTTGCAATCACCGAACCCAATTGAGCCCGAGGAAGGAAATTCCAAGTGAATGATTTCGTCCACATCATTGGCTTTACGCGAACTGATGGTGTACTTGAACAAAAGATCGCCAAGGGTCTCTGCATCTGGAAACCGTGCATCATTATGGCAGTGAATAAATAACTTCCAATGTGCCCTGGGTGGTGGAAGGAATGAAATAAGGTTTTCGGTGGGGCCGAATGAGTCCCTGGTCAAACATGAGTTTTCAGGATCGCAGTAGATGTTCCCATTTTTCTCGGGGGTAGAAATGTTGATATCGAACGGAACCTCGTTTTCCCCTTCCTGTGAGAGCCAATAATGCATCATGATTTGGTGGTCCCAGATGTTTCCTAACCATACATTCTTAAGTAGCCGAGTAGCAGCTGACATCCTGGTGGTTTCAACCTTCTCTTTCACTTGGTAGTCAGATTCCCACACAGTGAATGTGTCAGATTTGAGAGTGACCATGCTGTTCAAAGTAAGTTGGGTCTTTTTGGAGGCCTCCAGTCCATTTAAGATTGGGGAGTTGTCCCTCATGGTGAAGAGCTCTGGGTATTTCTTCTCAAGACCGTTTCCGTTTGCATTGAAGAGAAAAACGTTGAACTGAGAGAGACCTACTTTATCGCTCATTTGTGCAAGCTTGAGGAGACGGGAGACGGAGTGGCATTTACATCTGTTCAAGTGATGTTCCTTCTCAAAACAATAAACCACAAAGTCAGAGCATTTAGCCAGTTTAGCAACCTGAATATGAAAGTTTCGAAGCGAAACGCCTCTATCTGGGTCAAGGTTGAGAAGAACTGGCATGTGGCCAGTCTCAAAGCAGTCACGAACGATCAAATCAGTCAAATCCAGGATGTTTCGAGCAGAATACTTCTCTGGAGGAAAAGCAGCAAAGATAAGGGCCCTTACCTTAGAAATAACTTCCGCTCTTGAGTACTGAATTCTCTGAAGAATCTCATCCATGGAGACAGTGTTTCGGAGCAATTTCAGAGACGAGACACAAGACTCGTCGCTTTCCGAATCAATTGATCCAAAACCTCCAATTTCGCTGCTCTCTACACACATCACAAACCGAGCATTGGCTGGTCTCTCTTCTTCGACATCAAAGTTGACAGGTGTTCCTGGCATGCTCGCACCCTGGCTGATTTGTTGTGAAATGAAGAACGACCGCTGGGTAAAGTTATCCTTGTGGAGGCCGTGGAGCCAAGGGAACATTCTGGTAGTGGACGGTAGTGGCTTGTTGAAGTACCACTGGAATACCAGCGTAAGCTGGGGTGGGGTGATAGAGCGGAGGTTAAACAAAACCTCTGCGGGAGAGGTGGCCATAAGCGGATTAAGATGGTTCTTGAAGAACTGCGAGCTTGTGGAAAGCGGAGATACAGTTTCCTTGATGGAATAATTGAAGAGCAGTTCCAACACCGAGTCGGTCGAAGATGTCGACGATGACATCAGCAGGTCTGGACGCATGGCCACATCCACTTTCTTTGTCTTTGTCAGGATTTGGCAGCACACCTCACACTCTTCCTCTGCATTCTCTGAGTGTTCTTCAGAGATGACTGTACCGTTTTTTGGAGAGTTGAAGCTCTCGAATCTGGCCCGAAAGCGGTCTCGCTCATAGATCATATCATTAGATGTTGAAGACGATCTTTTGGACTTGCTGGTGAGGATTTCAAGCGGCTGATCCAAACTTTCTTCGTTATCGTCGTCCAGGTCTTCGCTCAGGTTCTCGTCCAGGTCTCCTTCGCCATTTTCGTCTTGGCAGGTAACTATGATGGAGTGCTTGGAGGGCAACATATTGGCAATTGATGAAAAGTCCGTTTGTGGGCCCAGTGGTCCCGTCGCCAGGAGCCGGTCCACGATAGAAGTATCCAGTGGAACCTGGAGAAGAGAATCATCACTAAATGACACAATTCTCGGGATAAGGTTACTTTCAGAATGAAGAGAGCCGCCCGCAGGGGGACTTGCGGGACTGGGCGGTACGGAAACGGCGGTTTGTTCCGTCAGAGTCATTTTCGAGAGATGATAACACGCCTTAGGAAGTTACTCAGATATAATTTGAGTCCACTAGTGGTTCAATTTCGTTTTTCACTGTCAAAACAACTCCGAATCACAATCTTCCTCACTATATGATGACAGCGGCTTCGAACGGCGCCAATTTAGCGAAATTTATGGCTGTGGCGTTGTTCTCTTGTGTTGAAGGTTCTCGTTTTGTCGACTTAGACACACAAGATTAAGACCCACGAGTTGAGAATAGTTCCTAGCTAATAGTAAAAGAAGTCGAGTGACACACCCTATGGAGAAGAGGAGGGTCTGTGACTGCACGTACTGCTGAACAAAGCAAAAATTCTGAAAAGTGGGAGATAAGATAAGATTGTGGGTCAGGAGGAGTGAATGATAAGAGGTTATGGTCACGTGCGGGAGAAGCAGGACCGTGATTGAATAAACGGCTGGATGAAGAAAGGAGGGGGTGGACGATTGTTGCTAGGAGATTGCAAAGTATTGAATTTTCGAGAATCTCTCCTTTTTTTTTCGATTGTAACTCTCTTGATTTTATCTAGCGTGGTGTAGTCTTTTTATAAGTTGGAGAATGTCCACACGTGATGGTCACCCCAGATCGGTGAAATTTCGAAGGGAAATTTCAAGTGTGTACGGATGTTTTAAAGCGAACTATCCCAAGTTAGTAAGTTTTTCCACTCGCTCATCACTCGTCATCTCAATGGTAGTGTACGAGATATATTGCTCACGTGATAATATTCACGTGAGTATACCACCATCAAAAGATTCGTTTTGAAAGCCCTAAAGTATTCAGAAATACATCCACTCCCAAAAGATCATGACAGACTCAACATCCACGGTGCTTGGGCCATTGAACCAAGCACGTGATTTGGCATTTTCTGACAAGGGAGCATTTCCCGAAATCGTGAGGCACATTCTCAACGTAGCGTTGAATCCTGACTTGACTATCCAATCTTGGTGTAGCAACTTCTTAAGAGAAGCCTTCACCACTAGTGAGGAACATGTTACTGCAGCCGTGAAAATCGATTTGGCCATAGACGCTTTGCCTGTGTTACGCACTTTGGCTGCGGTACGAGACTTGCAAGTGTTCAAGGCAGTGATAGATGTGAGTATTATTGTGTTCAAATTGACATTTCGGTATGTAGCGGAAAACGACGGTAGTAAGAACGTCTGGGATGGCATTAATGAATTAAAAAATGATTTAGTGGCCAAGTATGATACGCAATTCCCCTTTGAACTGACTTTTGACCGCGAGCATGACGCTTTCCGTAACATTGACGCGAAGTTGGAGTTGTTGAAGTTCGTAATCACAGTCATTGATTACCAACTGCGGTCGCTGACAAGCAAATTCTACTCGATCTCGCGGGTCAACCCCAATCACACGCTCATCAAGTCTGCATTGATGGAGAGTGAGGCCAATGCATTATTGGATGTAGTGTTGAAAACACTTCAAAATGACATTTTGGTCACTCCCATAGTAACTGCCACATTCAATCATCTTCTGGTTCTCTTGAGGCGTAAAAGGCAATTGGCCGATCGGATTCTTCCCATTTTGGAGCAGTTTGACTCCACGACCAAGGTTCAATCTAACTACGAAACACTCGAAACTTTTAAATTGTCCAGAAAATACGCCGACAGAACGTTGCGTGTTTTGCTTACATACATCACAAAGTGTCAATTAGTACCTCCCAAATTCCAGGGGGCCATCAGCCGCAAGCTTTCCTTGCTCACTAGCCGAGGAGATGAGATTCGGAAGAAGAACATTTTGTTGCCAGCATCCGACGATTCAACCATCAAGAAACGCAAATTCGAAGGGTTCCAAAATGCTTCCAAGAAGATCAAGACACTCGACTACAAAAATTTGTACAGCTTGACTGATATTAACAGCGAATTGAATAGCTTTGACTTATCTACTCTCCCTCAGAACATCTTGATTTCGATGGCCCTTACGGCATTAAGCCGTGCAGACGTCAGGAAATTGTCGAAGGCGTTGGAGATTGTTAGTGCTCGATACGTTGATGCCGTGAAGGATATTTCACCGATCAATGTCAAGAACGAGGCTGACGGAGAAGATGAGGATGACGCTAATGGAGACAACTACGATGCAGAAACAACATACTCGCTCCCTCCACCCAAAGCACTTTCGTTCCAGGATAAAAAAGAACACGTTAATCTCATCGTGAAGAATTTCTTTGAGTTGGCCAACAAGGGATTCAAGGGAGAAGAAGAAGTTCCTCCACCTGTGGACGGAACAGTGACTACAGAATTGACCCGTGTTGCCATGCGTACATGGAAACAGGACTCGTGGTTACTTTTGCTTACCAGGTTGGCGACGAGGGGAATGCAAGTTGTTGATTCCTTGCCAAACGAAGGTTCTGAGCTGGGTGAGAAGGCTAATATTTCGCCCGATGCCGCTAGCGAGCAGCAGCTAAGTGATGTGATCCGCAAGGCACTCTTTGATTACTTTTTGGAAAACATCAAAGAGCGTGTGGACCTTGTCATTGAGTGGCTCAATGAAGAATGGTACAGTGAGAAGGTTGTCAATGAACAGAGGTTACGTGAACAAGTGGAAGAAAAATGGTATGCAAAATACGAAAAGGATGTATCGGGCATTGAAAATGTTGAAGATGAAATTGCCAAAGAAATGGAGGCAGCCGAAATTCCAACTCCCCGTTATTTTGAATGGGCACAGAAAGTATTGGAGGCCTTGATTCCATTTTTGGAACCCACCGACCGTAAAATCTTTCTTCGTCTTTTGAGTGACTTGCCCACACTCAACAGTGCCATGGTCGGGGGCATCAAGTCACTCTGTGCTGACCCAGCCCGTTCCAAACTTGGCTTCTTGTCGTTGCAATTCTTGATCATGTACAGACCGCCTGCCAAGGAAGCTTGCATTGCTGTTTTACGGGAGTTGAGTGACGGCGACCAGGCCGATCTTAAAGTAGAAGCGGAGAAGCTACTTAACAAGTACGAAGTTCCCAGTTCGAAAACTTAGGGAGAAATGGGATTTGGAAAATTGGGAAAGAAATAATTAAATCTTTGCAATAATTCCAAGTTTCTTAGACTATCAATTACTCCTCTGTTTTTCGCTAATTTCGTGGGCAAGACTTTTGAGGAGATCGGCATGGCGAGCCTCAATTAGGGCAAGTGATTAATGATTGCCTTAGTTGGCCGTATGAGCTCTTGTCCACCTGCACTCCAGTATGTTGTTTGATTGAGAAATGCGTTAAAAATAGCAGTGTCGCGGTGGCAGAGCATCTGGTTCCCAGATTGACGGATTGATTAATGTTGAACAATGAACACATGACAAAATTGTGAAAATTGGATTTTTGACCTGTATTCCACAAGACACTACATGGGTATTCTGTTGCCAATATTAGCAATATGCAAAGGTGGCTCTTGTCGGCCAAATCTTCACTGGTCAATCACGCTCTCCTTCGATCCTAACCAATATTCAGGAACATTGTCGTCAACCATAAATAGTGTGCGCGAGCCAGGTCCATCCTCCAATTTTGTTTCAGCGTCGGTTTCACTACTGGTTTCTCCTCCTTTTGCATTTATTTCCTCTGCAAAAAATCCACCATGGTGTTCGATTCCGAGAAACAATCAAAGGATCTCGACAAGTCCACGTTTGACATTGTCAGATTGGGCGAGTTCCGCACCTATCGGTGTGGAGCGCTCATTTCATATCTTGGTGTGTGGTTCTTGATTCTTTTGAAGGTGGCCATCTTGGCCTCTGATACCTATACGTGTATCAATATTTTGGTATACAAGCGATGGAGTACTGAGGACTACCAAGTCTACGAGTTCAAAGTGGCCAAGTGGATTTTCACTGGATGCATAAGTTTCAGATTCGCTTTGCTCTTATGGCAATTGTCGTGGGCCATCTACGTCTACAGAAGAAGAAATATTGCCTTAGCATATTTGAACTTCTACGCCCGTTTGATGTACGGGGTCCGTTATAGATACCAATGTGTCTTCCACGAGATTGAGAGTGGGAAAGACAACTTACCATGGGCATCGTTTTTCGTTTACGACCAACTTGACGATGCTTTGGAGGTTCTTGTGGCTGATACTCCACGTACGGTTATCAATGTGATGACATTGAAGAACTATGCTGTGGGAAATAGCAATAGTAACATCCTTGAGAACATCAGAGACATCGCCGTCAACAACATGAAGCTTGCCATCATTTTAAGTATTATGCTCTGCTCGGTTGTTATCTCCTTGTTCTTCTTTTTCAAGTTCTGTTTTGCTATGCTATGCTATATCCCTGTCAAGGTCAGTACATCAAAGAAGGGCTTCAAGTCGATCAAGGCTTTCTGCTATTTCCACGTTAACGAAAGAGTTCGTGCACTTGTCAGTCGTCACCACAAGTCCAAGGCACAACTTCTCCTGGACGGTATCTTGGATATACAGGAGATCAACGCCAACCCCTTATTGCACTCAAGCTCTGATCTCGACTTGCCAGGAAGAGGAGGTGATTTCACTCATCCTGCCTTCATGAGGTTGTCGTCGTTCGATAGGGCTGCTGCCAATCATGCAAATGCTGATGACGATGCCGACTATTCACGTCCTCCAAGAGCGCATACGGCAAGCAGCTTAAGGAATCACTCATTTGGTTCTGAATCAACCAGACTTCCATTTGGTGAGCCTTCAAAAATCACGAGAAAAACTACCTCTGATACCTTGATGACCGAACTGACATTCAATACATTTTCCGACGCCAGAGGGTTCAATGCTAGTGGAGACTTGAGCTATCAAGGCTATTCTCCTTCCGAGAGACCCAACCCATTGGAGCTGAGTCTGCTCTTTAATTCAAAATCGAATTCGTATTCGAACAGGAAGAAGCCTGAACCTTTATTGGAGGAGACTGACTCTTTGCACAGTCACGACGGCATGCTTGATGAAAAGCAGCAAGTGGCGGTATCAACTTCTAGTGTAGCACAGGAAGAACTTGAAATAATGGATGGGCAGGATTATTTTCAACCTCCACCTGAGAGTCCATTATTGGGAGACGACAGATCGGATAGTCCGTTCAGTGACCACTCTGCTGCTCCATATCCAGTTAGGGGAGTATCTAAATACTTCGACCGCAGAGAAGATTAAGCGCATTCTGGAGCATGTATTAGTGCTACCAGTGGGAAATAGAACAAAGAGCATATTGGGTAACTAATGTAGAGTGTAGATTGGCGTAGGATGTAGAATGGTTTCAGCTACAGTTCTTCTGAGAAAGTCTCACTTCATCACACATTATATAACAAAAACGCTACTAAATGATTAACTATTTTTATTTCACATTATATTAAATCATTTTCACTATGTACATGGAACCCACCGGTTTCTACTTTTTCAGTTCATATTCTTTCTTCAATTTGGCCAACTCCTCGTCGCTAATTGGAGGAATAGGAATGTCAGCAAACTCATCCTTACTGAGAACATTCCACGTGTACATGTAGACGCCCAACGGGATGGCACTAACAAGGAAAAATCCCACAAAGTTTCTCCAGAAGAATGGCTTTCTGACTCTGTACAAGGCAGGAGTCATTTGGTAGGTTTTGGGGTCTCTGTATCGGTTGTGGCCCTTTCTGAGAGGTTAGTAGATGCTTGTTTCAAATGAAATATTTCGACATACGGGGCGCCAATAACTGCCATGATGAAGTAGTTGCTAAATGGTGAAGAGTGAGTGAGTTGATTATGAGGTTATGGATAGGTCGTGTGGTGGCTAGTGGTGGGGGTGGGTGTGAAACTGGTAAAGTAGGAGAAATGATGGGTTTAGCTGTGTTTTTAGAACTCAAAAGGTTGTAAATGGGTTTTCTTATGTGAATCTGAGACTGTATTCTTTTATCCATCTGTAGAATGGAAAATTGAATTTTTAAACATGTCGAGAGTGATTTTGGAAGTTCGCGATAGAAGCCTAGAAATGTATCAGATGGAAAAAATTGGTCGGACCCAAAGGAAAGTAGGAATTGAAGACAGGTAATAAAAAATATATACCAGCAAAGTTTGTATAATTTACGATTAGGCAATTGAGTTTCAAATAAGTATCCTGGTTTTAACATGTTATTGGCCATTATAGGAGTATCAACTCTTCCTTGAATCGGAATTTCGTAGCGAACAACTCTCATTAATTCATATTTCTCTGCTACTCCTACTATTATTCAGTATACCCTTTATACAATACAGTTATGCTAGTAATGGTTCAACCTCCACAACGTGATCTTTCCCACATCGTTACCAATGGCAACCATCTGACCATTAGGGGAAAATTCAGTCACCGTCACTCTTCCAAGTGGCGTTCCACTAGTAGGCCAGTTGGCGAAAACAGTACCCAGAGGCAAATGCACCATCTTTAATGCATCCTTTTTATGTTTGGAAGAAATGCACAAAATTTGTCCGTCTGGCGAGAATGCCAAATGTGAGATAGGTGTCACCAAATTGCCAACCTCCCTGAAAGGCTTTGGGTTTGCACCAGCAGCAACCGTGGCAAAAGTTGAACGGTCATAAAGATGAACAACACCACTTTCAGTGCCCACAGCCAACCAGCGGTCTCCTGGTCCACCAAATCTGATGGCAGTAACAGCAACTGCATCCAAATCTGCCCAACGACGAAGGATCTTTGTGGAAGAGGAATCTACTTGAAATTCCCACATGTCTCCGGCACGATTGGCCACCATAAGCATCTTTTCGTCCTTAGTGAACTCAAAGTCCACGGCATCACCATCTACTCTATATCCTCTGACGAACTGGCCAGTTTGACCATTCACTAAGTTGACCCAGCCAGAACTTCCTAGCAATGCAACGTATGTACCATTAGGGCTTATCTTGAAGTACTCGTATGACTTCTGGAACTTCTCTTGTCCATACATTCTCAGGATCTTGTCGATTTCTCCACTGAAAATGTTCCATCTGTTCATGTACTTTCTATGGCCAGCAGCATACACCAAGTTAGAGCCAGGAGCAAACTGAACGGTGCGGATAGGCAGATCACGGAAATGAACCAGCGAAACAAACTTGTTTATGCGGCCATCGATGTGGTACACTCTGAGGGTTCTATCCGTACCTCCGGAGATCAAGAGTGGATGCAGAGGGTGGAAACACAAGCCATGAACTGCTCCTCGGGAGCGACGGACGATGTTGGCGTCTTTGAGTCTCATAATATCCAATTTGGTAGGAGGAAGTAGTTTGGTAGTGGTCTTAATATAGTTATTCGTGGAATTTAAGATCGACGTCAACTCTGTCGTATTAATACCCACTGAAGAGTCTTCTTCGGCCTCCTCGGTATAGTCTTCCACTTCTTTCTCGTTACCCTTCTTCTCTTCTCCAAAAGTGACAACCCATTCTGGTCTGGGGTAGATTTTCTCAAACTGGCTTCGCAATCTAGTCACATACGCAGCGCCAGAAACCGTCTGTTCTTCAGGAGCTTGACGATACTGTTTCAACTTATTGGAGAGAATCGATACGGTGTTCTTGTCGTCGTCACTGTCGATCCATGCAGCCTCTTCTTCCTCAGTTTCATTGTCAATGTCCATATCGTCTGTAGTAGAAGGGACATGTGCCACAGAGGCATCTCCACCATCATCGATAAAAAAGAGATCCTCGTCTTCATTTTCAACATCGCTTCCAGTGACAGACGACCCGTTTTCAAAGTCAGAATGCATTCCATCATCTTCATCGGAATATTCATAGAGGTTCTCGATTTTTCGCAAGTTGGCCTCAAACCCGGCCACGTCTCCAAAAACGAGTTTTTCTAGAGCCAACTCCTCTTCGTCCTTAGGAGGAACAATGGAATTTTCAGCAGTCATTAAAGATTTTGGGTTCTGATCTCACTAGTTTGACTTTCTGATTTTTTGGTGAGATGCGATGGGCATTTGTGTTGTGCATATAGCACAACTCTCGGTTGATGTACCTAGCTAGTGAAATGAAGAACATTGGATGGATCCAAAAAAATAGAGCATTGATTTAATAATCTGTTATTATATGCTTATACTAATCCTTGAATTGCCTCACCGACTACAGTTTACTTTTCGAAATGCCTTTTTCATTATCTGTCGTCTATGTATATCACTTCTTGAACTCGCTCAAGAAGTTCACGTAGTATTTCTTGAAGTCCTTCGCATTCAACTCGACTAGCTTGGAACAAAAGTCGTTGGCCATCTGTTGCGCCAATCCCATATTGGTCAAGTAGTTTGCCAAAAAGCTCACGAACTCCTGCTGCTTCAGACGCTCTCTATAGATTGTCAATAAGAGCGAAAGTTCGCCAGCAATGTTGCGGAACTGTGCATCCTTCAAGTCAAATCGCTCCTGCTGGAATGGCAACTCGAAACACAACTTGACTGTGTTCTCCATGAGATAGTCGTCAATGCCTTCGATAGGTGCGAGCGTGGACGCGTACTTGTCTTTCTCATCGAGCAACTTGCCATTATTACAACCAATGACACTGATCACATTACCAAACTGAGTGATGGCAGCTTTGGTGGTAGTGGTTTCCTCGATGTCGCAGGAGTACTCAACAATGGATGCTAACAACCGTGGGAACAATGGTTTGTTAGTTTCAGTCAAGAACAAGGAGAACTGATTGTTCAAGACTATGATGCTAATGAAATAGAGGAGTGCTCTCTTGAGCGCATACTTTTCTCTGACCAAATTAGGATAGTCCTCATCTTCAATCTGAAGTGTCTCGTAGAACTTGAGGATCATTGGTGTCATCAAATCATTCAACAACTGAAATATATTGTCATTGTTTCTGAATTGATGTACTATCTGACCCACAAATCCAGAGAAGTCAGCGAGCTCCTGAATTTTTAAGTTAGGTGTAGCCAAAATCAACGAGATCAACTTGCTAAGGTGTGCGCTACCATCAAGGTCTAAAATTGGCATCAATCTAGCAAATGCAAAACGGGCCGCTTCTCTCACACTTTCAGACTTATTGAAGTTTTCCAAAGTGATTAAGACAACCTGTGCAGCATTGCCAATCTTTCCTACCAATGCTGCGTTGTTCTTGAGTGGATCAGCTTTGCCTGGTGCTTGGGTGTCAAGACCTTTCACTATAGTAGATATGGCCATCAATGAGTGGTGGGCCTGCAAGGGGATCAATGGATTTACGGACTTATCATCACGAGAAATGCAAGCCTCCAAGGTACTGAAAAGAGGCTGGAATAAAATGTCGACAGATTTCGCAGCCACCTCAGCCTTGGCAGTCAAGGCAACCAACATGCCAAGTGCTTCAAACAAGTAAAGCTGGTTATTGAAGTTTCCATTCTCAATCAAGTCATCATCATCATCGCGTGTAGGCAACTCAGCGGTAATAACAAGCAATGGCTGGAACTTCATGAGTAAATTTTCCAACATGAATTCGTTGATCTTGGGCTTAGTGGCGTTGACGAATCGGAAGAATAGGTACCAAGTTCTTAAACGTACACTTTCCACGCCGTTGAACAAACCGTAGTCTGAAAAAAGCTCAAGGATCTTCGTGATTAACTCATCCATGCTGGTATTAGTTGTGTTGGTAAAATTTTTTGTTGTGAAATGACGGATGATTAATTCAAAAAATCCCAATTGGTTCTTTGGGTGATTAATCAAGTTAAAATTATTGATAATTTTTACCAAGAAGTTCTGGACAACTTGATAAGGCTTTGACGAAGAGATCTCATTCTTGGGAAGGTTGATGAGGTTGTTCTTCAACGAATCAGCAAAGTTGCTCAACTCATAAAGTGCCAAATCGACAGTAATCCAGCTCGAGGGGGTGCCAAAAAGTGAGCTCTCAATTACGGAAGGAACGATCTCTAAGTAGATTGCGGGCCTTAATACAGCGATTGTGTCTTGGAAAGTTTTGAGTTTCAGACGAACCTCAAAAAACTGCTCGTCGTCCTCAAATCCATCGTCATCCTCGTCATATTTCATCTTGCCGATGACCTTTCTAAGTAATGTAGAAAGCAATTCGTCAGAAGCCAATGCAGGAATCTTCTTTGAAAGCAAGAGATTCTGTTGAATGAAGGGGTATACCTGTTGGGAGACATCGTCGTACTCATGACCCAAGAATTCCAAGATTATGGGCCATAACTTGAGAAGTTGTACCGAGATTTCTGGAAGAAGCGAGTTATCGTTCTCCAATACAAGGGTCAATTCGAGACCAATCTGGTTAGCAAGTCTGGCCAAGTTTTCAATGAAGTCCAAGTCGTCATCCTTTAAAGAACTGATGATCGAGGTCAAGTCAAGTAAATCGAGAAGCTGGAGCTTGTTAGTGGGCTTCATCTTCTTGGAGATAATTTCAATGAGAGTAAGACAAGCCTGGTTCCGTAACTCGGACAGCTTCAAGTAGTTAAAGATCACACTTAAAAAACCATCCAGAATGAAAAGACTGATTTCCATCCAGTCGATGTAGTAGCCCACAATCTTGAGGGCATTATCCAATAAAACAGGATCTTTTGCACTTGTCAAGATTGACTTCCAGCTTGCAACGAGCAGAGCCATATCACGCTCACGAATCAAGTCCTTGAGGATATTATTACGATTTTGAGCGTCCTTGGATCTCGAAATAAGTTTGTCTCCCACTTCAGAATGAATGGAGATCATGATGCGCAAGTAGTAATCGACGCTAAGAACATGATGCGACAGGATCATCAGCAAAAGCTTCTTCAAAAAATCCGCATCAAGCTGCGAGTATACGTAGCAGAATAGTTTTGCAAAAATGTCACTAAACTTATTCTTCATATAGACCTGATCATCCTGATCTGAAGAGATGACATCATTCAAATACTTGAATAAATTAGTGTTCAAGGTGAACAACTGCTCCTGCGACAACTTGTCTGTATTTTCGTCTATAACTTGGAAAATGAAAAACTTGAGGCCTTCGTTCAACTTCGTGCCCTTTGCCGCCGAGTCTAAAAGTAAATCGACGCATGTCTTGTAGCCTTGCTCTGTGGACTTGATCTCATTAATAAATTGAAATGCCTGGTTCTTTAACGCCGGGTCTGCTGTGCCACTCAAGGCAATCTCCACCGCCTGCTGGATTTGTTGATCCATCTACGAGTGGTTTGAAGGGATTAGGAGAATCTTAGGACGACGGAGTGGTGGATGAAGGTGAATGGTGGAGGTCTGCGGAGGACGATGCACGAGATGTTCAGGTTTTTTTTTCTATAATTTTGCTTTTTTGATTTCCAGAGTTCGGCTACGAACGGTGACTGGATCCAGGAAGTTTGGAATGCTAGATGATTTGAATGCTCGTGTGGAAAATACCTGAGGCGGAAAAATTTAAGACTTTGTGGGTAGTGCGCAGAGATGTGTCACGTGACCAAACATCGAATCTGTTTGAGATTTCGCGATGGGGTTTAAAGGTCTGTTGATTGGGAGAGATTGACGCAATATGTGAAGAATTGGGGCAACTGACGAAGGTATGTGTTGGTTTAGTATAAATTTCAGGAAATTCTAATACATCGTCAGATCACGTGACAAAACTCACAAGACCAAAACTCACGCGAATATTCACCTGACCAACAAACACGTGATATACAGCAACTGCATATTAGACAATACTCCTCCCCTCAACCTCCCCCCCAAAGGTCTCATATTATTTGAAGGTGTATACTCTCAATTGCCGGTAATTGCTTGTATGTTTAATTACATGCCTGTTTGAACGCCTTTCCCTCTCTGCAATTCTCGTACTAAGCATATTCTTCATAAAGTAATAGGGCAAATCAAGTTGCTAGTGCGAATTTATGTAAGGTGCTCAGAAAATCCAAAGCGGCGCACCGATGTTCAAAAACCCTTCATTACAATTGCCGAACGGTCCCCCGATTCAGAGGGTCTCCCGCCATACTACGTTGCTTTTCTTCTGATTAGGGAGGAATCGCAGATCTGATTATCGTCTGATGTTGCAAGTCCCTGCAGCTTGGCGTTGCAGATCAATCAAACTTAGTTGAAACACCTAGAACAAAAAATACGTATATCCATAACGGAGAGATAGGTATCGGAGAATAAATTAAATATCGAAATAGAAAATGTATTCGAGTGAAAAAAACAAAGTAAATCTCGTTTAGGTAGAAGCAGAGTTGGAAGTATTATTATTTATCTGGGACTAATTTTAAGTCTCGGTCGCCCATGTTTCATTACAACGAGGGAAATGGGAAAATACATAGGCAAAAGAAGAGAAAAACAGAAAGATAATAATGGAAAGAGAATAATGGAAGGAGAATATAATTGTGGAAGGAGAGCTGAAACACGGCTAGGAAAACAAAAAAATGTTAATCATAAGAACAAAAAATAAAAATTATGTAGTCAGTACCAATCGAAAATATAGACCGGAATTGCCATATGGACGTTTAACCACGGTTGAAAATCAAAGAGATCAGAGATTATCTAGACCTGAAATCCGCTAGATGCTTGAAATCCTTCAGGCGTAACCAATCTTCCTCAAACTTCCACGAACTTATGATGCCAACATTCACAAGCGAACATTTGATAAAAGAACAATTAAAAGGGAATCTAGATTCATGCACATGCAGACTAGGGACCTATAGAAGGGTCAACGAAACTAGGGACCATGTGCGGAATACACAACAAACTGTCATTGCGCAAGGTTATAGTTCCATACAGCTTAGTTTGAAATTGGTTTGGCTCTGTGAGATTCATAGACTTACATGCATCGCACATCTCAGTACCTCGACAACTCGGACTTGTGTATTTCTGGAGGATATAGATATTATTTTCCAGTAAGATTGAATGCGACAGGGCACAACATGGAGTTGAAGCGTTATTATGGATGTATTTCTGCAAAGGAATAAGAAGGAGCATGAACAATAGGCAGCATGAACAATGAAAAATGTTCTTGTGTGCAGGACGAACAATAGTGCTTCTACCTTATCACCGAAAACTTTGAACCCTGGGGAAGAAAGGATTTGGATCGGAAAGTCTGGGCACCCGTTCCGAAGGCATGGGGTTGTAAGAAATGAGATCGTTAATGATGGAACGTCCCATCATGCAAAGGCAGGGATTCTTGCATGTCACTGAGGATAAGTAAGATTGCAGAAAATGGAATGATGGACGTTGAAATAGTAAGATTCTTTTGACACACAAGACTTGGAGGCATATCACAGAGGTATTGAAGGTACGCATAGAAGTGTGTCAGAATTGAGATAGGCCATGAATACAAGCGTGACGTAAAAAGGGTGGGGGAGAACGTGACAAGGGATAAAAATCAAATGAAGTGATCAGATAGACTGTCCAACATCGAATGATGTCAAAGATCAGAGGGAAATGTGAAAATCGGTGAAAAAAATTCAAGGATCTGCGTACACTTGCCTGACAGGGCATTTTGGAATAGGTGTAGGTACAAGCAGGGTGTGGGTATTGGACTAGATAATATTATTTAAACTTAATAGGTGGCTAATTGTGCACATCTCCGGAATGCCAATATTAGAAGACATGCATGTGGCGGACACCCTGAAGGCAAAGTGACCCAAGAAATTTTGAACAATAGTCGAGAGTTTGGAACCCGAACAGCCTTAGTCATTTGTCGAAACTGTAGTTCATATGGACGCTGGAGTGATCAGGTATGCATAACAAAGTGGTCGCATAAAATGGAATCTCAAAGGGTAGCTGCAGGGATTGTAAGAATCGGGCCAATCCATCTACTGTACAAAATCACTCCGCATAAATGAACCCTGATATTACTACAAATTTGTCATCAAATATTCTTTCGTATACTTTAAATGAGACAAAGACAATACCATATGAGTTCCATCAGTCTATTGTTAATGAAGACTGAGGTTACTACCACATAAGTACACATGCATTAAGGAATTTCACCATGACCGCTCTGAAGTTACGACTGGACACTAGCAAAATACTCTAATCATAACCTCCTTCGGAATCACCAAGGGTAAGACCAGTTTACCAAAACACCACAACACAATATTATGATTACACCTAAACACGAAAACAGTTTTTTTTGTAAAAAAAACCCTTCGAAGATCGCCAACACAATCGCTCACAACTTTCCTCGCACCCCCCTAAAAAAGATTCAGTCGCTTTTAGGCCAAAGTGTCTCTTCTGATTTTCCCTATGGTCGCATGGTACTCTCTTCATTCATGTACTTAGTCAGGCAGCACCTTATATTCGCATCCTCATGATTTCCGGTGCTTCGGAATAATAGTTTGCTTGGCTTCTCCTCATTTCTTGCACTCACTATTTTTTAGATCATTTCAGATGTATTTTTTTTTTTGGTACTGCTATTAGACCTTCTCTCACTGTAGAGGGTCCCTTGCGCCTCTTTGATATACTCAGTATGATTTTATTTTTTCTTTTGTTTCTCGATCCCTGCCTTCCATTATATACTTATTAAATGTCATATATCGTGAACGTCCTTCTTCTGTTTTCACATTCTTCCCCACCTGGTGCATTGCTCGCAAATGGTTCCTCTTTCCTGGGTCATTGGTGGGCGGTGCTCGTAAATTTATCTGTTGTTGTCTGTTGGTGACCAAGCCCCTGCCATGATGAGAAATGGCCAAAATACACCAAACTGGTACTTTGAAAAAGTGCCAATATGCTTCTTCGCTTCTGGAAGGCAACTGATGTGTCACGTCGATCGTTGGCACTTTCTGGAAATTGTCATTCCAGGCAATTTCACCAAATCACAAGAACTGGCCTCCACCATTCTTCTCGGCTATTGTCCGCGCTCCCGAGGCCTAGGTTCGCAACCGGTTCGGCAATAACAAAAAACTACTCAGGATACAGGTGGCAAGAATTTACCATTGGTAAGGTTCTCGAAATCAAGCTATCCCATTCCAGAGTTAAAGGGTTCACATGAGCAAGAAAATGAAGGAGAAATAATACATAAAGAAGGGTGCAGTAGGCAAAGAAAATAAAGTAGAAGATAACGAAGAAGAATCCAACCAATCGTAAAAGTTCATTGGAAGGAGAATTGTTTTCGAAGTTCGCAGCCGCGGAATTAACCACGGACTTAATAGATGGTTCATAATGTGTACGAATCAAATTCTCTAGATGATGCACAGCAGCCTAAAAAAGCCCCCATTTTAAAACATTGAGATGATGACCTAGGTAAGGTCTCAAAAGAGCAAAAATGTAATTTCTTTCATTGGTGAAACTGACTGAAACTATCTGACTACGGCGAGAAGGCAAATATCAAATTGGGGCATTGTGGGTCCACAAGGCTATTATGTGGTCTTAGTCAGCCTTATTCATGCAACCGGCTAAGGGTCTGCTGCGCATCTCGCAAAATCTGAATTAAGCCTCTGGCATATAGAAAGGACACATCACTGATGCGCCCCTGCCGGATCGACTTGGCGTCAAGACAATGTGGGCAATTGTCTCAATGATCAATATTCTGCATCTATTTAACTTCTCCAATTATTGTTTCGAGCCTGATTCCCATATAACCACTGCAGACCCATGAGGTGAAGGTTAACGAAAGTGACCCAACACCTGCACGTGGGAGCACCTTAAAATATAAGGGTTCGCGGAGTGCCGCACGGGCAATGTGAAGGAGCCTCATGCTGAAAGTAGTGTTTACTATCCTACCTGTCATGCCATGCTGTATGCATACAGAATATGCAATGTGCCAAATGCTAACCGAAGCACAAACATTGCTTCACAAACAGCAAATTATGGATTATAAGACAACTCCCCTGTCGAACATGAATTCTTTTTTACTGTGGCCTCGTGAAGACAACGAAAGGGGATCATTATATTCAGAAATCGCTCAGCATGACAGTCATAAAGCATGCAGTCCTAATCGAGATTGAACTGCAAACCCTGCGCATATGCATAAGGGGCAGCTTATGCATCCTGTACAAATTTGACAGTTGGCCGCAATATTATACAGGTCGTCTTGATTGTGCTCGCATTGGCGGTCCAGGATCTGCTTACCTTGTGTATGTCATTGCGGGCTACTATAATCTGAGTCCAAACGAGGTCGATATGAAAAATGGAGGAAGTCAGTACCGAACTGCATGACATACAATTGCTACCAACTTTTTCTGCTGTGGTACAGCCCCAATCTTATGCGCTATATGTGTGGCCAATCTTCTCAAAGTCACGCTTGTAAAAGAGAAAGGGGTATGCGGCATACATCAGTAGTTGGTCTAAGTGAGTGCCGCACCCCAAATGGCACTAGTGTGTGTTTAGAGAGAGCGCCGTGCCATGCGTGTGGTATCATTCAATTCGTACCTTCGGATCTACCTCTGCCTGCAGCATCTTATCCATCATAGATGCGTTAACCAAGATGCCGGCAATCGTGGGGTTAAGTCGACTATTCATGCCATCCAATATGGATTAGCCATTACTCGTCGGAATTGTTGTCAATCTGTACAACCATCACAAGATTGAATAATTCTGTTGATATATGTCTATGTATAAGAGGTTCATTCAGTCCAAAACAGCATACTTCTTCAATCCGTCAGGAATGGCATCCCACAAGTTCTTTTCCTGGAGCCATTGCTTAGAGAACACACGGGCGCTGTACTTGTGCGACGAGTCAGCAAGGACAGTCACCACGTTGGAGCCCTCGGGCAATGACTGGGCAACCTTTGTGGCAGCAACCACGTTCAACGCACTGGTTCCCCCAACATACAATCCTTCCTCGTCCAACAATCTGTAAACCATGGCAATAGACTCCTCGTCGGGGATTTTGAGTGCTTCGTCAACCAATTCGATGTCTGGACGCAAGTTTTCTGTAACTCTGCCTTGACCAATTCCTTCTGTGAATGACGATCCTCCACGCACTATTTCATTGCCTCCACTAATAATGTACGAGTACAAAACTGATCCTGGTGGATCTGCCAACACACACTTGACGTTTGGATCCATCGTCTTCAAGTACCGCGTCACACCAGCAAATGTTCCTCCTGTGCCAGTGGAACATGTCCATGCATCCACTTTTCCATCCAATTGGGCCCAAATCTCAGGACCCGTGGTGTCAATGTGCGCCTGACGATTGGCGATGTTGTCGAACTGATTGGTCCACACTGCATTCTCGAGCAGCTCTGCGTGTCTCTTGGCCTGGTGGTTGTAGTTCTCGGGATTGTCGTACGCCACGGCTGGAACAGGATGCACCTCTGCACCCAAAAGCTTCAATGTTTCGATCTTAGCTTGCGACTGGGTGTTAGGCATGTAAATGACACATTTATAGCCACGCAGACGACACACATGGGCCAACCCAATTCCGGTATTTCCTGCTGTACCTTCAACAACAGTTCCTCCAGGCTTAATGAGGCCCTTTTTCTCGGCATCATCCAAGATAAACTTAGCAGCACGGTCCTTAATGGAACCTCCAGGGTTCATATACTCCAATTTAGCCCAAATATTTCTTCCTACAGCATCAGACACCTTTGGAAGACGAAGAAGCGGAGTATTTCCAATAGCCTCCGAGAATCCGTTGGCCGTGAGTGGAATAAACGGAGGCTTAAAGTTGGGAGTGATCTGAAGGGTCCGCTTAGCTACCAGAGCAGCAGCTGCTTTCGATGCTGATTTCCTAAACATAGGGTTTATATTGAAATGTTCAGTGTTAAACTTTTGGTTGATTTCAACTTGGGTGCTTGCACGTGACACAAGCGCACGTGACGTTTATCATGCGATCTTGGTAACATTTCTTTTTTCTTTCTTTCTTTCTACTAGTTTATTGTTGCGTGCCTCTGATTGCGGGCACCTCTAAATGGTGCATTTGAGAAGGGCAACTATCTTACCGACATATCTTGCTGATCTCTGTAACTCTAGCCGGGTCATGAGAATGTTCCAATATTTCCAATGTGCAGGTTGTTTAACGTTTATATATAGCGACCACTCATGTCACTGGTATGTTTCCCCATGATTCAAAATTGAATAGAAGCCCCACCCCATACCCTAATTGAAGCAATCGCCATGGTCGCGTATAAGTTAGCGCGCCAAAATGTGTTGCACATCATTGCGCATCCAGTAGTGCATCAACGGGCGGCACATCACTGCAAGGACTGCATCTAAGATTCTAAAAAAGATACGGAATACGACTTTTGGATAGTGATCCGTGTTTATCTCTGCAACAACAGAAAGATCAGCAGTAGATTATTTCATATTTGAATGGTACACCCGCCCTGCCAGATTTCCAAATCTGTAGAGGATTTTCATCAATTCTCTTTCTGGAAACGAGGAACGGAGTAAAATGATTTTTTCCTGAAAGCGAAAGTGATGCAAGACTTTCGCACGGCGATTAGACTCGTTGCCAAGGCTATGTAATGAATGGTGGTGGAAATAGTGGAAGGTGTTTCCCTACATTCGCTACCGAATCGCATCAATGTGCTTAAAAATTGTCCTCTTGTTTCATTTTCAAATGTTTGTCTACGGAGCGACGTCTTCATTTGCAGAGCCCCAAATCTATTCCACGGAAACATTTTTTTTTAGATCTGGTTGAACCGGCCAAGTAGAATTCAAGGGTAAAATATATATCTGAATGTTCTCTGATCGAAATGAATACTACCGAGGAAGACCCTTGTCATCCCCACTTGAACGCGTCATGCATCGACGAGAAATTATACATGTTCCACACTTTTCAATGTTGCCTCCAGTCAGTCGATATCCATACCAACGTTGTTTGAATTGACTTATACCCGGAAAGACCTATTAGGAAATCCGAGAACTGTATTGAAGTTTGTCCCACCGACACTTGAAACCTTTGTCACCAATGGGGTCGTTGTTGGTACAGGACGGATCCCACTCTGCTGTCAGGTTGCTCAACTCGCAGACTATCGCACATATGCACCTTCCTGCAGCACTACGGGGACGCACAAAATACAGGACATGTACATGCTATGCGTAAGCTTTATTCATGCTGCAATTGATGCCCCTAATCGGGGCATGTAAAAGGATGCACTCTCTGCAGTGCGCCATGCATGAAGCACAGGGACGGACGGTAAAGCTGTTTGCTACGTTTATAAATGTGCTGACTTCCTCTTGTGCTCCATATTCTCTATTCATTCTTTTCATCGTTTCTCATAGTCACCATCACATAACATAAGGGCTCAAGCTTCTATAAGATATTCTTTTGCTCAAATTTTCGTACACTCCCGACATATTGCACATACTCATTGATTTCTTCACATCAGAGTTTCCAAATGTTTGTCACAAGAGCTAGTCCCGCCCCTCAACTACCCTCATTCAGTGAGTTGATGCTGTCCATTGTGCACCAGTCGCCACTCCCACAACCAATGGCCAATGACCTCACATTCCTCCCTGCAGAAGTCGTCAAACAGCATCAGCTCGTGTACACTGCACGTCCCACCATGACGTTGCAACCACAGGCTATGCGGTATACTCCACAACTGACCTCGATCGAGCCCGCCGCTTCTCCTCTTGGTCAAAAAGAGAGAATGCTGCCTCCACTTGCATACGATTTGCCCACTCCACCTGCCTCGGTGGAGTTGTCGCAACATAGTCGATGTGATTCAAAGAGCCCCGTGGGTGATGCCTCTTCGTCGCCAATGTATGGCGTTCCCAAGAGAAAGCATGCCTGTAAGACTTGCGGACGTCTTTTCACGACTCTGGGCCACTTGGCTCGTCATAACCGTACTCATACTGGTGAAAGAAAACACATGTGTCCATGGCCACAATGTGAAGCTCGGTTTGCCCGTCAGGACAATTGCATGCAACATTATAAGACTCACATGAATGGAAAAGGAAAGCGCAATCGATTAAGAAGATAGGAAAGATTAGAGTGGTAAATGATAAGCGACTACTGATTAGAGTGAGAAGCTCCAGTATGGAGACGCTAGTGAAGACGTGAGTGCACACATGCAAAGTTGTTACTGTCTAGAAGATGATAGACGGCACATTCACAAAGTAGGATTACGATTAATGACGGCCTGGTTATAGAAAATAGATATATGAATTCCTATTTGAAGAGGCGATGGAGGGGATGGCCCTTTTGTGTAGTCTCCTGGAAGAGTCGACAGTTGTCCGAGCGGTGTCCAGGACGACGATCAGACAAAGCGTGGATAGTGTGCTTTACCTTTCTATTGTGCACATTTGTGCTCCGCACTTCGCAGGACCGCACATCGCAAAACCGCACGTCGCAGAGTTTTGACTTTTCGTCTCCTACATCAAAACAGAGCCTCGTTGTTCCCTGCAGATTTCTACTATTGTTCTCTCAAGTCCTCATCATAACCACTTCACCTTAGTCATCCCAATACCACAGTTAAACAACGAGGTCTCATTTTAATAAGTAAATTGTCCAGTCTTCAAATCTCTTGCTGGCTGCTGGTAAACTACGTTTGTCCTAACTGTCACATCATGCTAGTTGGCCGTTGCGCATAAGTTCGGAACGAGATTCGGTTGTCACAACCCCGTGATCTCTGAAATTCAAAACGAGGCTGTATAACTCCTAAGATTAATCTTGCTAGTAATCAATGTGGAAATTCTTCCGAAGTGGCGACAGTGCCTTACTGCTCAATGGTGGGCACGGTGATTGGAAATGATTGCACCTGCGAGTTTTTCATGCATGTCTGATGGAGATCATGTGGTTGCCCCAGCAGGGCTTTTCTTTTATTACGAAGATTTTGCGAAACCCCTCCATTCTAGAGCGCTTTTTTTTGGTTGATGGGTGCAATGGCCATAGTAATCAGTTAAAGAATTGTGTTCAAGAGCTTGTTTGGCGAAAAACCTAACCGTAATGCCTGCAATTCCGTGCTCCCTCTTTGGTATTAGTCTATTTACATTCTGATTCCACTTTCTTGGGTACTTTCAGGGAATACTTAGAGAGAGAATGATTTGAATCTCAAGTTGTTGGTCCAAATTACAATTTATGTGTCGTATTCTCCTAATAGTCTGCTTTGCAGGCCAAGAAAGCTTCTCTACTGACTCGTAGCTGCACTTCGCTGTTTCAAGAGTTAAGGTGTTTAACTTCCTTGCTCAATACCCAAATGTTTCCTAAGCGCTAACACGGCGCATTAAGCTCTCCAGACAGTATGAGAGGTGCACGGAGGATTTTGTAGGTATGTGCGTTATTATACATGGAAGCAATCCACAGTCCTTCTTGAGATTTTCGGCGCATGCACCCGCCAATCCAAAAGAGGCATTTGGCAAATCTGCCTCTCTAAACGATAAGACAAATTAGGGGCTATTCTAGGTGTCTCCCAGCAACACAAACCAATTCTTTGGGGAAGTGATAGTCGAATACTGAGCATTTTGACCCTAGAGAATTCATTAACGTTTTACGAAATCGTCATTAAAAACTTCGTGGAAATCCAATCAATATGTCATGAGAATGTCACAAAATTTCAGTTGACAAGCCTTTAACATCTCGCACTAAATGATGGATTCCGACAAGAAAAAAGCAATTTATTGTCTTCCAAGGAGAGTCTCGAAAAAATAAAATAACGCGATAATGGAAAAGTCACAAAACGGCCGGGTCCATTTCTGTCCATGAAGGGTTGCATGCAGATCAAAGTCTGATTTTTTTTTTCTTACAACGTGAAAACGCAAGATCGCTGAACTCTTCTCCTAATTGGTTGTTGGCCAATCGTATTCTACCTTCGCAGATTCATACCCGAGCTTTCCTTTCTCTTCTATCTACAATCTGATAGGATTAACCATGCATGTTCATCTTGAGATTTTCAAGAAAACCACACATAAAGCACCTTTGAAATGTTGTGAGTTTGACGTAGAAGTAAACTCATAAGGCAAAAATTATTGATGAATCCTCGTTGTAGACGAAGGCACTAGAACTAGCCTCCCCACTGTTCATTCACAATTACCTAATTTTCTGTATTGTCGCAAGCCCACATGGCAATTCCATCCATGCACGGATGAATTTTTCCAGACTTCCCTACAGATATTTTTTTGAGAAGAATCCGTTGACCTACAAGAGAATTTTCATACAGACTTTGTTTTCACGTCGTTGATGGTCCCCTTCATTCAACCTCCCAGTTCTTGCAGGACAGTGCATGCTGCGAGATGCATTTTCCCCAATGAATTCGAGGCTTTGAAAGAACAGTTTTCATCTGTATGGCGCCTAGATGATGGGTCATGTAGCGAGGTAAATTGAAAAATGTTTAGCCTTCAACATAGCCATTAGGGTGTTTTTTTCTTCAAAGATTTCGAATAGTGAGAACATTTAAATTAGGTTTGGCGAGATTCTGATCGATATTCCTAGAAAGCATGGAAAGTTAAGGAATCAATATCAGTGGAACATTTAAAACGGTAAGGACGTGCAGGGCTTGCGGATGCTTTTCAACATGCAGAGTTTCATGGGTTGACAGCCCACGATTTGGAAGCTATTCGTAAGGAATTCCAGTGAGTTTTCCCTCTCTAGCGATGTTTCTTTTCTTTTTTTTTTTTTTTCGGAGTTGTTGGAAGGTTCTCGCAGAAACCACACTTCTAATGCAGATGGGGTTATATTGGTAGAACTTAATCTGCACCCTAACGTGCGCTCTGGCGGAAATCATACGTTAAATCGTCTGTCAAGGGCACCAATTTCAGTGATGGAATCGGGTAACAGAATGTTCTTTAATGTATTCCAATCTCACAAATCAAAAAATATTGAACAAAAAATACTGATCGTAGTTTCCATGCACCTATTCACTAACGGCTATGTGCGGTGAAGATTATAGTTCGTATCCGAAGAGGAAATTGGACCGAAGAAACGGGATGGGGTCCAAGGCTCAGCCAGCTTTATGCTTTCTCTTCCTACGTAGAAGGTCTGAAATTAATCCTCTTTAAGCAATTCTTTCGCTTCGTGTACAGCATTACACATTACATTTCCTTCAATCAACGAATAAAGAGACAGAGTGTGTCCACGACAGATATCGTTAGTTTTGATGACATCCTAATGACGATTATTTTTCAACTTTACCTAGCTACTGGATGGGTTGCTTCCGAAATCAATTCAAGAATAGCGAGCAAAAAGTTTTCCTAATTTCCACACAGAGCTTTTCAATGGAACACTCATAGTCAAGATTTCTGATTTGTCCACACTGGTTGGATGAAGTGTGGGCTGGAAGAAGTTCAAGAGCCATCAAACCAGCAAAAATGCTAGAATGGATCAATTCACTAAATGAGCAAATCTAAGTTGGCACATATGATTGGTCTTACAAGCGCAGGAGGAAATCTTAATCGCTTTCACAAACACAATTCGAAAATGGTATAAACGTGGCTCCGGCTTGATTGTATTAAACCACACTTTCGGGTTTCGTTTCAGTGCATGTCCTCAGCTAAATTCAGATGGTCAGGACCCTTTATAAGTTGAAACAAAAGTACATATGGAGAAGCAGAGATGATGATAAGCAAAACGTCAGCCGTTTGAAATAAAAGATACAGTGCAATTGAAAATGTACCAATGATACTTTTGTCTCCCTTTATCACAATTTGAATAATCAATGAAGATCTTGAATTTGAGAGAATATAACAAAACTTACCTGAGAAATACCGATTTCATTTATGGCTACGTCGTCAGTGATATACCTTAGCATGATTAAAATTTAAAAGGATCGGGAAATCGAATTTTATGACGGGTATTACATTTTGACTACAGGTGGATTCTCTCTACACTTCAGTTAGTTCTTCAAGCAACAAGCCATAAGTGACAAGTGTCAGGGAAAGGTGATTAAACAAGGGTGTTCCAAGAATCAAGATTTGTCATCCGAGAGCAAAATAAACCGATGGAAATAATGATCAATCTGGTGAGCTATGAATAAGAAAATGAAGTCATAGTACAAAGTTGAGATAAGACACTGAAAGTACTTTTGAACTAATAAAGCAACTCCCGGGCTCACTAGTCCTTTTTATAAAATATTCCGTGAATTCACTAAGACTTTTCGGACAATACTTCGATTAGAAAGATCCCGATTAAGAAGATCTCACTAAAACTCAAAGTTCGTTCAGCACAAATATAGGCATTGCTACGAAACGTTTAACAGAAAAAGATTCATGACAATAGTATGCGTAGCGGGGAAACCTAATGAGTAACACATTTCTCACATTCTTTAGACATCCCACTAAGTAAGTTCTTGCTATTCGTTTATTCTACGCTGTAAATTCCGAGCAAGTGATATATCCCTGCTTACGACGTCAAACCCAACATCAACTCTTTAATCCTATTGAAATCGTATATGCTTAAAAATCTTATTATTGAAGACTAGTAGCGTGAATGCCCAAAACGACACATACTCAAATAGATTCAAGAGACTTCAAGGACGAGAGATTGCTTTGTATGCCTAGTATTTGGCCCGTAAGTTGAGTCACCTACCACAGCCTCAGTTTCCAAGGAACTTCATTATTTCTTGACTATTTCTCCGTCGCCTCCTTAATTGGAACCAGTTAGAAGGAACCTCTCAAAGTGTTGCCTACGGAATTTCGGAGATACTCTCATTTGCCATCGGTGAACTTGCAAAGAGTCAACCACTAGCAAATTGGACGGTGATCTATACGGAGATAAAGTCTCAAAAATTCTTGAAATAATTCTTGGAAGTCGGTACACAGACCATTTGTCATCAATTGAGGTTCATTATTTGTGACTGGCTCTCCAAATCTCCTCTTCATAAGATATGACACCATTGTAAGCTACGAAAGATATCGTCCACTAAATAAAAAGGGCCATCAACATCGACGAGAAAGGTTTATATGAGCTTTTTTGTTTAAGGTCATATGACGTTTTTCATGTGTCCTGCAATCACATTCATAGACTCGAAAATTCCGAGAACTTGTCTCAGCGGAATTTTGTAAAATGTGTGGAGTCCACCCATCGACGGAATTTTGTTAGACTGTACGTACTTGATTACGGAATTTTGAATCCCATTATCCCAAGCTATTTAACATAGTATGTGGACGGGTCCCATACAGAAAATAACGGGAATCTGATTAAGACATCCATACTATGTATTCGGAAGCATTCGCAGGCTCTGCAGCTCTCTGCATCCCCGAAGATCAGAGGGTTTCAGTGGATGTGAACAACTTAGGCGTAACGGTTGAGTCAAAGGACTCCGAGTTTGGAACTGCCAATATTCTTCAGAATGTGTCATTTGGACTACCTGCTAGCAATATCATGGCTATTATGGGTGGATCTGGTGCGGGAAAGACAACATTGCTCAATGTTTTAGCCCAAAGATTGAACATCAAGCATACTACCATGAAATTTTCGGGATCCATTGACTACGAAGTATCCAACACCAGCCATTCAGGAAGGATAACTACCGCATACATGCAACAACTGGATGTATTTTTGCCAGGCTTGACATTGAGAGAGACATTGGACTTCCAGGCTCAATTGAGACTCTCAAGATCTACAAGATACGAGAGAGAACAGCTTGTGCTGTCGCTTTTGCTCCTTTTGGAACTCGATCATCGTTCCAACGAAGTGATCAAATCTTTCACTGGAAGAATTAATTTGTCTGGTGGTGAACAGAGGAGAACTTCGTTGGCAATTCAACTTCTTTCGAAACCTCAACTCTTATTCTTGGACGAGCCAACTACTGGGCTCGACACCAGTTCTGCCTTGAAGTTAGTGACTGTGCTAAGAAAATTGGCCTCTCCGGAGATCGGTATTACAATTATTCTCCTGATCCATCAGCCGAGAAGTGAAATTGCTGCACTTTTTGATACAATGTGTGTATTAGCCCGTGGTGGCCGTTTAATTTTCTTTGGCTCTTTGGAAGACTCATCCTATCACTTCAAAGAGCTCGAGATGAAGGGTATCGTGTCCCATTCAGATGCTGATGATTCCTATCAGATGTTGAACAAGATTATGTCCTTGTCTGTTAAGAACACAGCCTCCGCTGAAAAAGAGGAAGAAACCAGCAGAATTGTAGACTCCATGATAAACGAATGGAGCAGTTCCCATGTCATAGAAAACAAGTTGACTGCCGAGGAGCAAAAGTCACACTTTGCAACGAACTTGAAAGTGTTCAAGCCGAAAAATCCTTTGCCATTACATCGTGAGATAGCGGTATTGACTAGAAGAACATTCATCCTTTCTTTGAGAGATCGTGCCTCCTTATTCGGTCTTAACGGTGGTAGTGCTTTAATGGCTCTTATTTTGGGTTGGATGTTCTTCCAACCAACCCCGAATTTATCAGGAATTCGTTCCCTTACTTCAAGTTTGTACACCATGCTTGAGGTGATCGGCTTCTCTCCCCTTGCTATGGAGCTTGAGAGATTATGGTCTCACGATGGTGTATTTTTTTTCAAGGAATATCAGGAGCAATGTGTTAGTATCACTGGATTCATCATATCCAGAAGATTGGCCAAGTTTGTCACTGAAGAATTGCCCATGAGTATCCTCTTTTCGGTAATCACGTATTTTATGTGGGGTTTAAGATTGGGGGAGACTTACCTGGACACAGGCGACGGCTCCTACTTCGGCATATATTTCGTTGTGACAATGCTTACCGCTGTTCTTGCAACCACCACTGCAATGATGAGTTTTGCTTTGGGAAACGACTTTTCTACCTCAACTTTAATCGGCAATATTTTCTACCAGATCCAGAATTCGGGGTGCGGATACTTCGTCAATGCAAAGACCATGCCAGTGTATGTTAAGTGGGTGAAATACATCGCTTATTTCTGGTACGCGTTCGGTGCCTTGACCTCGAATCAATACTCAGATTGGAAGGGTAAATGCCCATTCCCGGAGGGTGATGCTCGTTGTATTGAGTACACCGGAAATTATCAGCTAGAGATTCTAGGTTTCCCTCAAAACTGGATTGGTGCTCCAATCGGCTACTTATGCGTATGGGTTTTAGGATTTAACGTACTCATTTGGGCAGCATTGAGATGCAGAAACTTTGACATATCAGTGGCTAAGAAGAAAAAGAACAAAATTGGTGGCGATGAAGAGCTCTCGCCAAGAACAATTATGTCGTCTTCTGGTTCTTTGAGTGATGAGAAAGACTCCGGAAGCAAAGACCCTGTTAACATCAATGTTAGAAATGTCACGCTATCTGTGGAAGTGAAGGAGTCTCAAAGTCTTTTCGCTTCCAAAGTTTCTCGGACATTGCTAGATGATATTAGCGCTAACTTTAAAGCTGATTCCGTCAACGTTATCATGGGCCCTTCAGGTGGAGGAAAGACAACTTTCTTGAACTTCTTAGCATCAAGACTTCCAAGAACTTCAAAGTTTTCGAGAAACGGCCATATTTTCTTGAATGGAGATCAAGAAGTTTCTCCGAAACAGATTTCCAAAATTTCTGCCTACGTCACACAGCAAGATAATTTATTGATACCTTATTTGACCGTCCGCGAAACGCTTTTCTTTCAGGCTCGTTTGAGACTACCAGAAAGAGAGCATGCAGATATTCCAAGCTACATCGCACACCTAATGAGACAAACGGGTCTTACTGACTGTGCTGACACACCCGTTGGATCTGCCACTGTTAAGGGAATTTCAGGTGGAGAGAAGAGAAGGGTTTCAATCGCGATTCAGCTTTTGAGTCGTCCAAAGATCTTGTTCTTAGATGAACCTACTTCAGGATTAGATATTGCTACTTCTGCTTCTATTATGCTGCTTTTAAGAGATTTGTCCCGTACCGGCACTACTGTGATTTCCACAATTCATCAACCTAATCAGGAAACCTTTTCACAGTTCGACACCTTGACCTTGCTTGCTCGTGGTGGACTAGTCATTTATGACGGAGATATCTCCAAAATTTCCAGCTATCTAAATGTTTTGGGTCACTCCTGTCCACCAAGAGTGAACATGGCTGACTTTGTCCTCGATTTGGTCTCCATGCAAATCGGAGAAACAAGTGAACAGTTCCAATCTCGGGTTGACTATCTTACCCAATCGTGGGAAAGCAAGAAGAGTACTGAAGAGAGCGCTTTCATTTCAGGAAATCCAATTGATCTCACCAAATACGGTGGTGCAGCTGTCAGTAGTTGGACTGCCTTTCGTGCTGTATTTGGAAGACAATTCACAGTATCATACAGAGCTACAGATGTCATGGTGACGAGGACTCTTCAAGCCATTTTCCTAGCCATTGTATATGCGCTCTTTTATGCCCCAATCAAAAACTCACAAGATGGTATCAGTAACCGTCTTGGTCTCGTGCAGAACGTTATCAACTTGTACTTCTGCGGTTTGATCAATAATATTGGTCTCTATCCCCACGAGAGAGATATTTTCCATCAAGAATATAAGGATGGAACTTATGGTGTTGGAGTCTTCACTCTGGCTTACACTTTGGTTGAATTGCCGTACGAAATTTTTCCCTCCATCTTTTTCTCCGCATTGGTCGTTTTCGGGATTGGTTTGCCTCGCACTCCAGGAATGTTCTTTGCTATGTTATTCAGTGCAGTCGTTTCGTTCAATACTGGCGAATCTCTTGGTATTATCTTCAACAGTTTCATATCACACTTGGGTTTGATCACAAATGTTTTAGTTAACATGTTCGTGATAGCTATTTTCATGGCCGGAACTATGTCATTGCAGATGCCTATGTTTTTCAAGGCTTGGAACTATATCAACCCAGTGAAGTATATTGTTCAGATCTGTGTTAATATGGGCTTTAGAGATCAGGATTTTGCATGTCCTCTGGGAACTTGTGTGTTTTCAACAGGAGACGATGTACTCGAGATGTACAATTTGAAGGCAAACTTGAACTCGGCTTTTGGTGCACTTACAGCATGTCTTGTGATTTACAGAGCCGTGGGAATTGGCTTTGCCTACATGAAAGCAAGATGGTTTGTCTGATGGAAGACAACTCGACTTACAGGCACCACATTTATAGCAATATTTTAGAAGATTTAGCTTATCGCATTGACTACGAAGACTACGTAGTCACCAATACAAGGTGGAACGCTTCCACCTCAACACTTAATAAGCTTCACTACAGTAAGCGATACTGGCGAACACTGAGGACCGATGGGTGAGTCATACAAATTGTAGAAATCACCAGAAGAACATTGGTAGAATAAAGTTGAGTTGCCCAAACTTAATTGACCTCTGCGAGTAACCAGCCATCCAGCAGCGTAGATTGTGCCGTATTGTGGAACAGGCCCATCAAATTGAAACTGACGACTTCCAACAATCGACCCAATTCTGTCTTGCAGGTCCTTCAAAACACCATTTTCCAAAGTCATCAGAAGTGTAGTCGAACCGACGCACGACACAGCATGAATGAGCTCCTCATCAGACCCACAGTCATCATCCTCAAAATCAGCATCGTCGTCGGACCCACTGTTCACGTCCCTCCTTGCGAACGACTGATCTTCCAGACAATCATCATCCTCATCATCCTGATCATCTTTACTTTCAGGAATTCTCTGCACCTGACCGTCTTGAATCTGGTAAACATCAGCAGTTTTAGTGGGCAAGGCAACAGTCACCACAGTCTGGGTTTTCACTACGGTAGTGATTTTGGGGACAATGGGTTCTAACTCTGGAGTATTATAAGATCCAGAATCATCCAATTCGAAAGGGTTGATTACAATGCCGAAGTTAAACGACAAGGAGTCAAAAGAGCCTTTAAGACTGGTTGCCTTGGGTTTATAACGAGTCCAATCGTCACCAGAGGCAGGGTTGTAGAATGCATGGGCAAGAAATCCCGGGGTAAAGAAAAAAAGCACAAAGGTAGTGACCAACATAAGAAAAGAATGGAAGAAATAATTTTTATTTAACAATTAGCGGATGGCCTCTTTATATGTGGATGTCCACAAAAGGAATGGCTGCGAAAAGGATGTTTGCACCTGGTTCCCCATACCGAATTCACTGTGAATGTCTTACTAAGAGAAGTGGACAGGAGTGCAAGATTGTGGGACGGTGGAATTAATATTGAAACCACCAGAGAAGCAATCGGGCCAAACCCACGGAAGCTCGACTTTCCCTGGAATCTCCATTAATACTCTTCCAATGACCCACCTTTCCCGATTGTCCCTATTGCCTGCAGTACCACAACTATCAAATAAAAAACTTGATTATTCATCATTCTTCCCCGGAGATGTTCAGATCACTTTTGCAAACCAGAAGAGTATGTTGTTACAAATCGAATTAGGTAGATCCTTTGTATCTCGACTATTCAAAGATCCTTTCGGGCTTATACTAACGTCTAGATTCCAAGTGTGAGACTGCCGCTTTTGGCTCGTTATATCTCCACTGAGATCAAGGATGCCATCGACAAGGCTGTCCAAAGCTCTCCAGTTGTGTTGTTCATGAAGGGTACTCCTGAATTCCCACAGTGTGGCTTCTCTAGAGCCACCATCCAAATCTTGGGCCAACAAGGTGTGGATCCTAACAAGTTCGCCGCCTACAATGTGTTAGAAGACCAAGAGTTAAGAGACGGTATCAAGGAGTACAGTCAGTGGCCTACTATTCCACAGCTTTATGTTAACAAGGATTTTGTGGGTGGATGTGACATTGTCATGTCCATGGCTCAAAGTGGAGAGTTGGCCGAGTTGTTAGAGGCCAACGACTGTTTGGTGCCAGAGGAGGAAGAGGCTCCTAGCTCAGCTGACGTCAAGCCCGTCAAAAGATCTTAACTTGTAAGTAGTAATGAATGTGAGTTTTGTATTTTCCCTTAGGATAACTACAAGGAGAGTTTCAAGTGACAATGGTGCCTACAATTTTCTTCGCTTTCAGCTCGCTATCAGAAATCTGGAACATTTGGGACTAAACGCCACAGATTTCCCAACGAAAAACGACATGCTGAATATGGAATACATCAAAAGAATTAAATAATGCTAGCTTGTCCAACTGTGATAAGATGTCACCACAGTTAGTGTGAGAGTAGTACTACACCTGGTTGTGGCCACTCTTAGTCGATGACCGTCTCCTCAAGAGATTCAGGTCATTCAAGTTCAAGGTGAACTTATAGTCACCGTTCATGCCACTGATAACAGATGACGACCTCGTAGCGTATTCTTCATCATTCTGCAGCTTCAGAGAGTCGGTCGAAGACCGGGATGAAATCGAAAGATACTTTAATCCTCCAACTTTATCCTGCGATTCGGTTTCAATGTCAGAGACATCTACACTTTCCAGGAACCTCAATTCCAACTCCAGGTTGTAGTCGTCGTCATCTTCATCATCAAAATCATCGTCGAATTCGTCACCAAATTCATCATTCACCTCGCTATCACTTCCGTCGCCGATCTTGGGGTCAAATACATCTTTGAAGTTGACATTGCGAATAGGATTTGGAGTTCGTGGCAAACTTGATTTGCCTTTATTCTGGAACTTGGTTGCTTTGTCGAACTTCAACTCATGTGGATCAACATTATCCGATTGTTGTAGCAGTGCTAACAGCTTTAAGTTGACATGTGACATAGCAGGGTTGCTAAAAACTTGCTTGATTGCAATACCGGGAGAGACAAGACCTCCAGTCATATGAGCATTGCCAGGCGAAACAACTGGCTTTTTAGGAGGCTCAAGGGAAAGAGTCATTGTAGACAGGGAGCGACGAGCTGGGGATACTTCAGGGAAGTATCCCAGTGCTTTTAGTGGAGTAGCATCAGCCATCCACGGATGCTGGTATATTTCCTCAATAGTGATACGCTGTTCTGGATTGATGACCAACATGCGAGAGATCAAGTCTTTGGCATCCTTGCCGATCTCATCCCACCATGGCTCAAGGAACACGTAATTTGCAGTAATAATTTTCTGAGTTAATATGTCATGGTTGTCATCATAAAATGGTGGGAACCCACATAAGATGGTATACAAAAAGCAACCCAAGGACCAAATATCGACGGACTTGGAATAATAGTTGTTTCTGGAGGTGGAGCTGTGGAACTTTCTCTTACGTTCCACTCCACAATGAATAACTTCAGGGGCTGTGTAGCCTGCCGTTCCACACGGAGTTTTGAGATTGCTCTGTGCTTTGCCTTTAGAGGCGAGAGGGTCAAATCTGAGAAGCTTGGCCAACCCAAAATCGGCGAGCTTGATAGTACCAACACATCCACCACCGACTCCGGGAACGAAAGCTCCTTCATCTTGTTTCAGTTCATCGTCTGATTTCCGAAGTGACTTCTTGTACTCAGCTTCGGGACGGGGATGGAATGGAATCTTCTTGAACAAGAGGTTCTCAGGTTTGATATCTCTGTGGACCACATTGTGCTGATGCAAGAAATGGATGGCATCGAGTAACTGCAAGAACACATGTTTGGCTAACTGCTCCGAGAAGTATGTGTACTCGATAATCTTGTTGAAGATTTCTCCACCATCACAATACTCGATAATAAGGAAGCAGTTATCGGGAGTATCGAAAGATTCAATCAACCTAAGTGTGTTCTGGTGGGATCCAGCGTTAGCAAGCGTGTTCATAACATGGATTTCATTATGGATATTGGCCAACTGTTTTTGGGTTAAATTCAACTTGTTTATGATCTTGATGGCAACGGTCTCATCAGTCTCCAAGTTCTTGCCTTGATAGACTGAAGAAAACGCCCCTTCGCCTAGTACTTGCTGAAGCTTGTACTTTGAAGGCAAGTCCGGAAACTGGTCCAATGTGAAAATTGGGTCTTGACTTTTGGAAGAAGTTTCTTTCGGCATAGTCTGGGACTGTTTTGCTGAGGCATACAGCTCGAAGAGAGACTTGAAGTTCTAAACGTTAGTTAAATCCTAGGAGGGGCGAGTGTGACGTGGGGACAGTTTGGATGAAAATTGTCTGAAATATCAAGGAAGAGTAGCAAGGATCTGCAAGGGTAAGCAGTGGGACCTTTGATGAGGAACGAAGTTAGACTCAAAAAGGAAGGTCGAAAGAAAAGCTTGCCAATAGAATAGTTGCAAGAGTGATTCAGATCGGACCCAGGAGGAAAAGATGGGAAAAAAAGATGAAGTATATGATTCACGGACATTTTGAATGCACACTGCCCTAAAATAATAGGTCTATGTAGGAATGGGGACATACTTTGAGGACGGTCATAGCAACAGAAAGGTGGGGAACCACAGTGGGTAAAATAAAAATAGCGGGGCAGTATTGAGAAAACACCTCGGGCGACAGACAGCAAACAGAGAAGAGTGTATCTCAAGGGCAAATCAGGACAAGATTGAAGCTTTGTCTCAAAACAACGAATCTACACCACCCACAAAATTACGGATCTGACCATGTTTTATCTTGGGAATGAAGCCTACACAAACCCGTCCCGCATGAAAAGCTCCGATGGGCTTTTTGGCTGCATGATATTTTTTTTTGTTTTGTTTGCAAGGGCTATTTGTAGTTGGTCGGCCTGTTACGTCATATCGTTGGTTCCCCTCAACATCAAAATGTTCCTGTGACGCAACCTTTCTAACCTACCTCTTTAGGTAAGGGGATCAGGCACCTGCCTAGTACCATGGTTATATACAGTATATTAACTTCCCCCTCTAAACACTTGCAAGATATACTCACGTTACGTTACTTCTCGATCACATTCAAGAATGGTGGGGATGCACGTTCCAGGCTGTTACAGGTACGCAAAGATCACCAGAACGTGACAGACACTCCGCGACCATCTTCATGGTTCAGTAACAGTTTGTTTGTCTGTCACCCCGGGCTTAAAACCAAGGGCCTGTTTTCCTTCTGAGAGATGCACGGATCTGTGGGTGTAAATATGATGACCTTGAAGTGCTATTTTAAGATCATTCCACTGTTAAAGAAATCATGACACATTTCCAGCTTCGTACGGCATTTTTCATTGAAGTCTAGTATCTAGGACAATTAAAGTCAATCGGTGACATGTCCCTAAATGGAATGAACTGGCTACAGAACGACGTCACACCTAAGCGACTCGACGAGGCTCAGCAAAAAGGTACAGTGTTGATGTCATGTACAACGGCTAACCCCGCGACCTCGACTCTCGTATAAATGAGACCGCATCATTTCGTTCTAGTTCTTGACAGATGCCAATTCGAAACATCTTCTCAGGAGCATAGAATGTAGAACATCTGTCATTTTGCAATCCACGTGTAGTTTGGCCGATTTGTCATTTGGCCGATTTGTCATTTGGCCGACAAGTGGTAGGGCACAAAAAGGGACCTCAATCCACAGGCTCAGTTCTGGGTTTGTATGTCGTGGCCGTAGACCAACAGAATCCTATTTCTTGGATAACTTTAATTCTATAGTGTATTCAGAGGGGAATACTAATTGGCTGAAGAAGATTGCCCAATCATGCAGGATGATTCATAGTACAAAGAATTAACTACTTTGGTAAATACTGGAAAACCCCACAAAACTTGAGATCAATTAAAGTCAACTTCCGAGTTCTCACTTCAGAACTAGCTGATAGCAATATCATGAAGTTCGTGCTCATTTCACACTCAATTTGATCCATCTCTTCCATTGATCGCTAAAAAGGACTTTCACGTGACTTAAACACGTGATCGCATCTCTTGCAAATTTCATAGACTTAGGTTAGTTAAAGACTCTTACCTTGACCAATGGGCAGCAAAACCAAAGGCAATGTTTACTCTGCGAGTAACATCAATACTGAAGTTCTCCAGGAATTAGCAGAAATTGCAGAAATTGGTATTTATGGAGACTTGACTCCTCTTATACTGTTTGTCAAGAAGAGCAACTTGATCAAGGCCATCACCAACATCACCTACTTTGCATCAGTTAATGATATCGGACAAGTAGCCAGGAACGCAAAGCACCTTGCAAAATTGTTGGGCTATATAAATCACTGCATCCATTTCCCAGATCCTGATTCGAAAAATTTGGCGGTGAAGTTGTCACTTTTGGAAGAGAGAGACCGCATCGTGGAGTTCTACCACGAGCTTTGCAACAACCACTTGAAGACAATTTATAAATTTTATGGATTGAGAAAACCCCTGGCAGTGATAGCATTAACTAGTCTTCTACTTGCATTGGTTGAGTATAAAAACCATTCTGTACTTTCCACGTTCCATGAGACCTTTGATTTCAACCATTCGACTCTTCCGAAAATCTTGGTTCCAACAAGAGATGAATTCGAGAAAAATATTATTAATGAAGTCTCCATGAGATATGCTGTAATGGAATTGTGGATTGCCATCTGTGCTAATAGCAATTCTGCTTTCAGGAAATCTTTGATGACGAACTTCAAAATCATGAACAATTTTTGGAAGCATGTTGATATGGAACGGTACGAAACATTGTTAAGGATCATCAAATTTGTTGACACATACGTTCTTTGTGAAGCCTCCTTCAAGAGATCTACTAAATGTCAGATCCTCAACGAGAATTTCTTGTACAGTTTTAGAAACTTATTTGCGCTCGTCAATGCCGAGAATACCAGAAAAGCTGATACTGATTTATTGGAATACGAGTCTTTCAAGACAAATTTCATCGAGTTTATGAATGTTTTGGTGTCGGACCAATCTAAAGGTATTACTTATCCGATGAATGAATTTGGTTCTCCTTTGGTTGTAAACAACAAGACATTCAAGGTCAACAACAAACTTATCTTCACACTTTTAACTTCACTCAAGCCTTGGGACTCACCCGATCAGCTCCAGTATTGCCTAAGAATTCTTACTTCAAATCTGGAATTGGTGGCCCCGTACATGAACTGGATTGTTACTTCTTCAGGAGGTTACCATGATCCGTCGTTGACATCTTACTGGATAGGTCACACACTACTTTACTCATCTATTTTGAAATCACTGGCTCTCCCAGTTCAGGCAGATTTGATTTCCCTTGCCCCGCTTTCCAAAAATTCATTGACCGAATGCTTGTCATTCCCCAATGATTTAGTTAAACAGTTGGGCTTGCAACTAATTTTATTTCAACTTATCAAAGTTGCCAGAGAACCTTCTCAGTTGTTAATCGAATCAGTGTTGGGCAATCTTCCAACACAGGCTAGTTTCGCTCCACTTCTCGACCACAAGAACAGACTAGTCAAATTGACTGCAACCGTCATTATCAAGAGAATGGAAAGTCTCGTTCCGTCCTCTTCCTCTTCCGGAACTGTTTCCATAATTAGTGAGAAGCTCTCAAGTATCAATGTGGATGAATGCGACAGTTTTGAATTCATTTTGCTTGACAGCTACTTATCCATTCAGTCTAACAATGAACTCAAATGGTGGAATAAACCAGCAAATGGAAACTCATTTTTCACATCTTTGCTCAAGCTCTCGAATATTGATTTCCTCAAGCCAAAGGTATATCGAATTTTGGAAAAGCTAACTAGAACTTCGTTTATTTTCGGCAGTGAAAACTTGATCGAGTCCCCATTGCTAATGCTCATTGATTCCACCGCTAATTTTATCGGATCTGAATCATTTGATAAGATTTGGAACTGCCTAGACGAATCTATCGCTAGATCCATGAAATCACCTTACAAATACTTGGATATGTCCCATACTAAGTATCATGATATCTGCATCTTTGTTGTCGTTCTCTTTGAGCAACTTTCGTTCATTCCAGATATCAAGAATACCACCACCATAAACAACTGGTTGCAGGTTTTCATGACAAAACTTATTGTCATTGGAGAATCGCAGAAAGCAATTGAATGTCTTGCTAATGAAAAGGGATTTCGACTTGCATTCGATTTGGACTCGATAAGCGTTAAAGAGAATATTATTTCAAAATTTGATTTTGCAGAGGCGGTTGTCGCACTCAACCGGTCTCTTCTCAAGCAAGGAGAAAATCGTGTTTTTGAGATTATTGGTAAGATGGGAAACTACTTGTTGGGAGCTTTGCCATCTGACGAGCGTCTCTTTGCCAGTATCACAAACCCAGATACTTTCTCGTGCTTCAAAAGAATTGCTTTAGAATGCATGTCTGCAAATGATGCCCTTGCATTAACTTTATTCTCGGAACTTTTCCAGAATTTTCATCAAGACTTTTCCGGTACTGACCTCAATTCATTTTTGTTTATTCAATGCAAAGATACGTTGCCAAAAAAAAATCAGCATATTCTAAGCAAGTATTTGTGGATTTTTTCAGATGAACAGATTGTCGAGTTGGCTTCTTCTTTCGAAAACGAATACCTTGTTGTCAAAGTCATCACGACACTTTGTCAAAGGAATATTAAATTTGTTCCGGACTTCGAAAAGCTTTTGAAAGTTCAGTCGCCAGATTTGCAAGAAATTTTAGAACATTTCAAAGATTCAGTCAGGGACGTCAGCATTATCATTTCTAATCCTGCTTTCTATTTTCTCTTGGATGAACCTAATGCAGATATTTCTGAGTATGTGTTGAACTTGGAATCAATTGCAGACGAGGTTCTCTACCGAATCGCACCAGTAGCAGTTAGTGTTGCTGAAAAGCATAAAGAAAGAGTCATTTATTTAGCTCTTACTATGGCTGATTTCCAGCAATCATTGAAAATTTTCTCAACTTTTGCAAAGTGGTTTAACAGTTCAGAAATCTTTAAATTGAGTTTTGAATTTGTGGAGAATTCCCCGAAACTTGCAATGACTTCCGGGTTCACGGAGTTCTTAACACTGTATATTGAAGCATTCAATGTTACTGAGGATGACGCTATCAAATTATGGCTACAAAGAGCTATAATCTACATAACCAAAAAGTTTGCGGAATCCCTGGTACTTTCAGCCAATTTTGACAGTTTCCTTTGTTCGATTCAGGTTTTCTTGACGAAGTGCAAGGATTTTAGAAAATGCGTTTCACTGGATGTCCTTAACACACAATTTGAAGTTTTATTGAGACACCAAAAATGGATCCTCCAGACCAGGTATATTTCATATGCCAACCAAGTTTTGAATACCATGAAGTCCAAGAAAGTTACCGCTGACAAGCTACTTCAGATTTTTGTCACTAACGAGAACAATTCTTTGAGAATGCTACCAAACTTCGACGGAGAGCTTCGTTTTCAAAGTGCTTTGCTCATTTATACTTTATTCAACTTGGCACCTTCTTCTTCGTTGACATTAACTAGCCAACTTCTCGAGCTCTATCTTGGATCGACAAGAGCCGAGGATTTGTTGCTCAAAGATGTTCTTGCTAGAATTGAAGCAAAAACTACCAAGAGTTGGGTGACGAATGTCACCAATTGGGATTATATTGATGAGCTTTCTCAAAAAGACATTGAATTGGTTGGCGAGGATAGACTCATTCTCAAAGACAAATCTAGTCTTATTGTGGTTCTCAACAAGGGTTTCGTCACCAACACTGTCAAACATATGCAGCCGATTCCATCGATTCCCAAAGGTGACAAATATCATGAGTTCTTGGAGTTTTCGTCTCTATGCTTCTCCGGAGGATACCAAGACACAAGATATGACCCGAATTCCTTATTCTTGTTATTTTGAATAATCGTGAACTTGTTGAAGAAATCGATGGAATCCTAAAGTTCAATTTACCTAAGATCATTGAATCTGGGCTTTTACAATTCATCGTGACTTGTCTTTCCATTGACAAGATTCGCGATATCTCGAAGATAATCTTATATGGTATCTTAAAATTTATTAACCAGTCTGAGGAGAATTTCAAGGACAAGAATATCATCAAGATTTATGTTTCCACGATCTTACACACTTTGCAAATTTCTGATCACAAATCTCCGATTGTTTGGTATTTCAGTGGAGAATTTGCGAACATCATAACAAACCCAGGTCACTTCCTATATGAACGTGTTATCCGGTATGTTTTGTCAACTCCACTCATTCGTCCGTTCGAAATCCCACTTTACAAGACCATCAGTGCAGGCTTGGTGAATGATGATTCCCTCGAAGAACAAAACTACTACAAACAAGTTACATGGTTGATTGAACTGTTAACTAACGGTATTTCCTCGGTAGAAGATTTGAGAATCTTGCGTTACAGAGAAACTATTGAGTGGGCACTCAACTTGAGCAACCTATCTTATGTTTCGGGCATGCTTAAATCGAAGATTTTACAATTTATCAATGAAGTTCAAAGCTTCGAAGCAGAAGGGACAGACTTAATGGTGACAAAATTTGCGGGCTTTTCATCGCTTGAAATGCTCAAGCGTTCGTTGGACAGCACAATCTTCTCTAACCAACATCAAGCATTGAATCTTGATCAGATTGCCTTGAAGACCGGAATTGTTGCAAGTTGTCAGAAGAGAGTACGTGATTGGACCGAGAACGATGTCTCAAAAGCAGTGAAAAGAATCCACAATTAAGTAACGAGAATAACTTCGACTACTTTGTATATATAATTGCATCAAGGTTACTCTTTCCAAACTTTATGTCTTGTACTGGTAAAGGTAATGTTGTAGTAACAATTGTGCATATAGCATTCTTAATTACGCGATAGTTGGAAGTACTCACTGTTACCTTCTGATTATATCATGTCAGTATGTCATAGTCCATTTGAAATTTGGCAATAGTATTGCAGTCCGTTTTTTTTGCAGTAAAACTAACACTCTAGCTTGGCAAGCTTACACATTATGGTATGGACTTGGTCCTAATTTCAATAATACTCGCTGGAATACACCGTAACACAGGTCTTGTATTTGATACCTCGAACTTTTCCTCTATCGACTTCAGGAGATGGTTCGGTAAATACTTGGCTTTTGGAGAAGTGTGTTATGACAGAGTAGTTTCTCTTTTGAGAGCCAGTGGTTACTTTAAGCAAAGAAATCTAGTGTTCGATTACGTGACTAAGGAGGCAAGTAAAGTGGTGAAGGAACAAACGGGAAGAGACATCGGCGAATTTAAACAGGACTGAGTCGGGAATACTTGCCTTTGGGCAATCAGGCTACGATCGAAGTTCGAAGAAATTACCCTTTAACTTTAACATATGTTTGGTTTATAGTGGGCTTTATTGGAAATAAAAGGTCAATACCTTTTGAATTTCTATTATCTTGTGGAAATGATAAGTGATTCATAATTGCCTATTATCGAATTTAGAGATTTAAGCAGATAGAGGCATTCGGAACTATTCTAGATCCTGGACTTCTGCAATATATTCCATTATGACATCTGTACACCAACAGTAAATTGTATTGTGATAATTAAACATATTCGAAGGTAAGCTACACGGTCGGCACGACGTGATCTAACTGCTGCGAAAGCAAATCTTTAAGATTGCCCTTAGTTTTTTCTTTTTCTTGGTTGTATTCCTTACAGTGGACAAGATCGACCCAGGTCAACTCGCTAGCCTTTCGCGTGATTTTGTCTTAGGAGCCGTCCGCAGTTGGCCTGGCATGAGGGGGTGGGCTGGAAAAGGTAGATGGCATGAGGGAGTGGGCTGGAAAAAGGTAGATGGCATGTTACGGGTCTGGCCGTTCGGCTCCAGGAAACTCTGATGGCTTTCAGTGTCAGCGGAGCAATTGGCTTTCTTTTTTGTCTATTATATCCTAGATCGAACCTCCACTCCTGCTTGAACCTACAATCTGAAAGAACAGCAAATATGAGGAGAATTTCGATTCCATTAAAAGATCTTGCACCCATTGTTGCCAGAGATGGCTAGGCATGAGCCCGCTATTTCTCACAACATCGACAAGTTGTGAGAACCTATTTCATTGAATGAGAATGCACTCATAGAGTTATTATTGCAAACCAAAACTTCAACATGCAAGCCTTCGAATTTCGTGATTCAAAATTGTAGTTACCAAGAAAGCGCCTTGTTTCAATTTCATCACAGAACAGATCTTGAATACCCTGCGTGTCTGTGACAGTTGCTCTCAAATCTCATTCGATTTTATTATTTCATCATCTAGTTAAAAGCAAATGTTCTACGTTTCTCAACTTTCTACCTCAATATGGTTTTCTTTTTAATCTTCAATTATTTCAATTGCGTGGTAATAAGAACATATTTTCAACAAAACATTGCCCTATTATATAACTAAAAACGAGTCACTATTGGGAATTGTATTCAAGTTTTTGGTCTTGTGCAATTCTTTCAAACTTTGAATGCACGTTAGTTCCAATTCGAATGTAAAATCGAGCAATGCATATAAAATATGTAAGCTTGAACTCAATCAAGAGAATACTTGATTTGTGAGAACAGAGAAGCCAGGAGTTCGTCATCACAGAAGTGAAATTTATGAATGTACGTTGATCTTTTATTAAGACTTGGCACTTTCAATTGGTATTGTCTTATCAGTGAGATCAAATATCAATAACCAGGTGTTGAGATGCATTGACCAGGACTAAAATCATGTCTTGGTCATGAAAAACCAACACTTTCATTATACTTTTACAATGTACTGACTTTTTGAATGTCATACCAAAAGGAATTAGCGGATCAGTTTCGAACTGCCATTGAACTCGAACAAAAATGTGATACTCTTCTCACCAATTCCTATCTTGAGAAGTATTCACCGAAGAAACTAGCATCCTTTGGTGTTGCCATAATAAATTTGGTCTTGACTAATTTAAGAACTGGATTAGGTGGAAAAACATTGATAGAGCTTTCTCTTGATCCAGCTCTCTCAAAGCAGGAAGACGAAATCCCCACAGGAAATCTACGAGTTGGAGACATCGTGAAGCTTGACAGAATGTTAGCTTCCTCATTAAAAATGCCAGAGAAGCCGAGGGAATCTAACTCACTAGAAGGTGTAGTTGTAAAACTCACTGGTAAACTACTATGTGTTGCTGTGGAAGAAAATGTTTCAGACGAAAACCTAATGGCGCTATACAATAACACAGGTAATGACAACATAAGAATGTGGATAGTCAAACTTACCAACTCAGCCACATACAAAAGAATGTTTCAAGCAATGAAGAAACTTGAAGAACTCAAAGATTCTGACAAAGGCGAAGTGTTGCGGATTCTTCTAGGTGAGTCACGATTCGTTCCTAAAAGTGGAAGAAAGAAAGAGAAAATAAAATTCTTCGATTCCACTCTTAATGACTCTCAGAAAATCGCTATTGAATTTGCCATGAACGGATCTCCTATTACGATAATACATGGTCCTCCAGGAACGGGCAAGACGTATACTTTGATCGAATTGATCAAGCAACTCACGTTTAACCGCAAGGAGAGAGTTTTGGTTTGTGGAGCTTCCAATATTTCGGTGGACAATATTCTAGAACGACTTTCACCGACTTTTAGTGGTGATGATGGTGAAGATGATGAAACTTCCAATAAAAACCAAAAGCGCACCAGAAGAAAGAAATCTTCGACTACATCTACGAATCCGGAAAAGTTGATCAGAATAGGACATCCAGCTCGCCTTTTGCCATCCAACTTGCAACATTCACTTGATATTTTGTCGAAATCTTCTTATGCTGGAGGCAGTGACGGGAGCCAAGAAATTCTAAGAGATATTGAGAAGGACATTAGCAGCACTTTGGGCCAAATACGGAAGTGCAAAAGATATGGTGAGAGAAGGGCACTTTGGAGTGAGCTCAAGCAACTCAAAAAGGAATTGTACCTGAGAGAGCGGAAGGTCGTCCATGATCTTCTTGTAAATGCTCAAGTAATTCTAGCCACCCTACATGGAGCAGGATCTAATGAGTTATTTTCACTATACAAAGAACATGAATTCTCGGTAAGCAATCCCCTTTTTGACACCATCATCATCGACGAAGTATCACAATCTCTAGAACCCCAATGTTGGATCCCCCTCTCAACGCATTTGGGTTGCAAGCGTTTGGTAATAGCTGGAGACAACAAGCAATTACCTGCTACGGTTAAGTCTAAGGACGAGGCACGTGTTATAATTGAAAGGGGGGAGTCCATTGGAGATCTAGAATTTACTTTGTTCGACAGATTAATTGCGAACCACGATGGGAACGACTACCGGAAACTTCTAGATGTTCAATACAGAATGAACAGCGAGATTATGGACTTCCCATCCAATAAGCTTTACGAAGGCAAGCTAAAAGCCGATGAATCAGTTATGAATATTACACTTCCCGATTTGGATGGAATCGAATCCACTGATGCAACTGTTCCACAATGCTTATGGTATGATACACAAGGAGGTGATTTTCCCGAACAAACTGCAGATGAACCTGGAATAACAGTCGCTTCTTCTGCAGGCTCAAAATTCAATGAAATGGAGGTGCTTGTCGTTGTTCAGCATGTCCAGCAGCTCATTCAAGCAGGTGTTCAGCAAGAAGCGGTGGGGATAATTTCTCCATATAGCGCACAAGTCTCAATGCTCAAAAAAAGCTTGAGCGGAACCTTTGATGCTATTGAAATTTCAACTGTAGATGGCTTTCAGGGCCGCGAGAAGGAGGTGATCATCTTGTCATTGGTGCGATCCAATGAAATTCGGGAGATCGGCTTTCTTAGTGAGCCAAGGAGATTGAATGTCGCAATGACTAGACCGAAACGGCAATTATGTGTGGTCGGTGATTTGGAACTTCTAGAGACATGCGGACTGTCCTACTTGAGAGACTGGGCTAGATTCGTAAATTCCAAATTTGAGGTTATATATCCAGATTTGGGGGACTATTAGCTTATGTGCAACCACGGATATTTAAGAAGATTTCTTTTTGTACACGAAATCATATTGGAACAAATGATGTCATTTCGACTTGCGGATATGTAGGTAATTTACAGATTGCAAGCGAGATTTATCGTGGTAAATTCCTTTTTCAAACTGTCACATCATCGAATTCTGCCACTCCTTCGATCGGTGGAATATGTACGCTGTGCATACTTCTGGAGATTACCATTATTCATTTGAGAATGATAATATTTATTATCACTTACCACCGATTCAGCCTCCTCCTACGAAATCTGTCTGAAAAATTTGTCCAGACTCACTTCGGCAAAACGAAGTGTGCACCTCGTGTTGTATGTAGTGCGCCAGCTCGAACCAGCAATAATTTTCTCCATTGGAAGAACTCCAAGATTTGCCTGGATCGCCGATTAGTCCGCCACCGGCATAGACTTCTACGACATACAGCAAAAAAAAATATAAAAAATTGCTTGGAGAAATTATATTACACATGCAACTAGTCAACACAGCTCCATTTCTTCATTGAAGGACTCGAGTGAAACCTCTCTTCCATTATAGTAGTACCCGTAGTGAGAGCGAATTTTGTAAGGCTCGGCAAACAGTACCAGGGTTCATTTGAAGCGCGCCCCAACTCCTTGGAACATGTGTGCACATCTGGTGTTGACTAGTGTCGCGAATCTGTAAGGGGAGGCCACCATATCGGGCTCATTCCATGCAAGCAATTTATGAAACATTTAAACAAAGCGCGAGCTGCTGAAGAGTCGAGATTAACATTTTTTTCTCTAACGTTCATTTCGTTTCATCCTCGTCCATTCATTTTACGAGTTCGCGAACATATAAATTTTGCGCATTTGCCAGTCTTTCATTTGGTTCTTCAGAACATTTCGTCTTCTCGTCCGCTCCTTTGAACTCTATTAGCAAAATGAAATTCGCTACCATCGCTTGTGCCGCTTCGCTTGCCTCTTTGGCTAATGCTGCCACTCATTACGTTACAAGATATCACTACGTTACTGTTGGCCCAGACGGAAACGTTGTTGGTTCAGATGTCTCCGTTGCTCCTCAGCCATCCGGTTCTGAAATCAACAAAATTCTTGTTGTCACTTCAAGTGGTGATTCGCTTAGCACTTTCGTTCCAACTACTTTAAAGACTGTCACAGGCTCCTACAGCTCCATTAGCACAACCGTTGCTGACACGTCTGTTACTTCCTCTCCTGCCTCTACCTCTACACCCGCCTCTTCTTCATCGAATGACTCTGGTGACATTTCTTCGGCTAACGATCCAACTTGGGCTAAGGAGATTTTAGATCTTCACAATGAGAAGAGAGCTCTTCACTCCGCGCCTGCTTTGACTTGGGACGCAGACGTGTACGCCTATGCGCAGGCTTACGCTGACAAGTTTACTTGTGGCGGTTCCTTGAAGCACAGTGGTGGTCAATACGGTGAAAACTTGGCACTCGGATTTTCCACTGCTGAAACTGCTTTCGAGGCTTGGTACTCGGAGGGTGACAACTACGATTACTCTACCGCTTCCAGCTTCGACCACTTTACCGCCGTCATCTGGAAGAGCACTACCAAGCTTGGATGTGCATACAAGGAGTGTGACCAAGGCAGATACACCATCTGTTCTTACGACCCAGCAGGCAATGTTGTTGGCGCAGGTCTCCAGAACCTTTTCTCTAGTTAGGTTGATGATTTTATGTTATTTGCTTGGTTTGGTTACAAATAAAATGATTCGATGTAATTTTTTGTAAATTTGTGAGATCTTGCAACCAGGATCGTTCAAAGATAGCCAATTTGAAGTGGAGCCAAAGTTTCCGTAGAATTTTAAGTTGTTGAATAGTGTTGCCATTATTTGTCCGAGAAATACAGTAAATTTATTTCGAAGAAGTTCTTGATTGTTTTAACGTCTCTGCATAATCCCATCATGGGTTCCCGTCTTTATGCAGTATGGTATGAGACACTCAAATTTATGACTTCACTGGAAGTTTCACCTCTGGACTCGAAATCGCCACATGAACCAAAGTGCTGGTTTAACTTCACCGGGTAATTGTTCAGATATGGATTCAGAAATTCAGTATGATCCCGATTCCATGATCAAAAAGGAGGACATCGTTTTGGAATTTGAGGAGGGCCAGAAACAAGACGGAGAATCACAATCGGAAAGGCAATCAGCTCTGACTAAAAGGACATCCCGCGCTTGCATTCGATGTCGTTTTAGACATACAAGATGTCCCGGGGGACAACCATGTTCCAAATGCATGTTGGCCAAAACCAAATGTGAATATGTGGAATTTGAGAAGCGATTAGTTGTGTCTCGAAAGTATATCTACAAGCTCCAGGAGGATATTGCGAAATTGAAAAAAGAAAATGCATCTTTGAGAAACAGTCTTCGAGAAGAAGAGGCCAAAAGGGTTTCAGGAAGTACGCCGATTGAGGGTAACAATTCCCTCGATATGCAAAGAAGGATGGGGTCATTTGGCGGCTCGCGATCCGAATCACAAGTAATATCACAAGAAGAAACACCAGAAGGTTGGCAGGCGTCGGAAGATGAAATCCAGAATGAGATTATTCACCCCTCTTTGGACAAATATGGCCGGCTAATACAATCCAGGACTGGGGAGAAGTTGTATGTGGGGCTGTCATCGATGACCTTGTTCGGGCTTGAAATTCAAAACATGGCCCCGTCATTTCCGCCCTCAAATCTATTACATCTCAACTCGTCATCTACTACTCCTACTGATTCGCCGCAGAGACAGTTCAACACGCTCTCTAATGACCCCGATACCGGATTCTCTGATGTTAAACGAGAAACAAAGATTTTGGAGAAAGAAGGAAATGCCTACAACATTACCCTTGCAAAGACAAATACTCGTCCTGGTCTTTCTGTTAATTTCACACTCCCGTCTTATTCATATGCTATTTTATTGGTAGATACATTCATCAATTACAATGATGGGTGTTTCTACTTTTTTAATGAGGGCTTAGTCAAGAAGTTTTTAATGAATCTTTATGCTGGCAACACTGCTGACAACAAAAAGATCATTAAGCGGAACATCATACCAAACGTCGGCCCTGCTGATGATGAGAACACGATTAAGAAGGATACCGATGATGACACAATCTTGGAGACGATATGGTTTTGCAAAATACTTTTAATCTTCGCAATAGGTGAAATGTATCTCGGAACAGAATCAGATACGCATATGAATAATTCCAAGAAGGAAACTATCATGAATTACGAAAAAAACAAAACCAAGAAGAGAGTTATAGGGAAAAGGAACACTTTACCTGGCTCAGGCTTCTTCTATCAGGCATCCGAGCTATTCACAGGTTTGTTTGCTTCGGGAGCCATCGACAACATTACAAAGGATGGTGGTATAGAGGTTATGCTACTTTACGCATTCTATCTCCAAGTTGCGGATTGTACCATAGCATCATATTTTTACTTTGGATTGGCACTTAGATCAACACTTATTCTTGGGTGGCATGTGGATGCTGACATGGAGAATGTCAACAGATTTGAGTTAGAACATCGAAGGCGTATCTGGTGGACCGTCTATATGTATGAGAGAATGTTGTCTTCGAAGGCTGGATTACCCTTAAGTTTTGCTGACGATAGTGTCTCAACAGAATTGCCCTTTGACTTTCAGATGAAACTTGATGATTTTCCTCGCGATGAGAATGATGTAAGAGGCTACTATATTTTTCCCTCTGCGGAGTATATCAACAATTGCGTGACCATCACCCAGATCAATGCCATTATCTTGTCGTCGCTTTATACAAAGCAACCCACTGCCAATATTTTGCCTGTTGTTTCTGATCTTGTTCATCGTTTGTTCAAATGGAAAAACTCTTTACCTGAATTTTTAAGAGTTGACTTTTCACAAGAAGATGTGAAAATTTCAAGATTAATCGTCAACTTGATGACTGAATACTTTCAGGGTATGAATTTGGCAGTGAGGCCATTGCTTTTTCATTTTGCTACAAAGAAATTGAAAGAATTACAGGTGGAGAACAACACCAATCGTTACGTTGATTTAACGAAATATTCGAAGAATGTTCTAACTTTACTCAATGCATCTTTTCAGGCATCTATTAATACCATCAAGTCAATTTGGGCATTGTTCCCCCAAAACATGGTTGCACTATTCGGGTGGATGGATCGTGAATATTTGTTCACCTCTGCATCCACCTTGATTCTTTTCAATGCTTCGATCGGGGTTCACGACGCCACAAGGGTGCACCTAGATCATGCACTCACCGTCTTCAATAAGATGAAGAAACTTGGCAACTATCCTGCGGCGTTACGCAGAGCGCAGTTGTTGAAATTGATCAAAGTACTTGATTTTAATGGTGTAATGCAAGACATATTGCAGAAGCACGATGATGGCTTTAAGTCATTCCCATCTGACTCTTATGGTGTTGATATTCAATCTAATCCATTTGGTGATGCCACCCCATTTCGTGAGGCAACCAACCCATCCGGGTATAGGCAGCCTGTGCCCTCACAACCTTCTTCGTCATCCCAGCAGATTGTACCAGAGCCACTTCGATCGGATTTGGACTTTATTCAATTTAATGATCCAGTTCCATCAAGAACCAGACCAAATTTGAACAGACATACGCCAACAATTCCTCCATCTGCTAACTTGACAAATGAGGATGCTTTTCAGTTTAACAATCATATTAGTGAGCAGAATGTCAGTGGCGGTTTCTTTCCAAATTCAGATTTGGCTGGTATTGAAGGTTTGACATACCTTGATGAGGAGCAACAATTATGGAGTGAGATCACAAATGACGCAGTTTGGTTGCAACAATCGGGAGTTCCGGCAAGTAACCCTCCTCGAACGGACTTTTCCACCACTCTGTTTGGCACCGAGTTCACGCATAATAAGAATCATTCACAAAGTGGGCAGAATATTTCGGGTCAACACTCGATGAGTAATGTTGTTGGTGCGTATAGCGATATTATAAACCTGGAATTTCTGGAGGATATATTCTAGGGTACCGGAATTAGAGTAGCAGATATATTGTTCTACCATTTAATTAAATATATTGTTACAAACAGTTGATAAACTACTCAATAATGCGTGACCTTCGATTGAACATTTCAAAGATAAAAAGCACTCGAGATGTTTCAACCAAATCAGAAAAATCCAAGATTATACTCGTTATTTCCACTTCCTTGTTGCAGAAGTATCTGCTGAGGCGAAATCAGCATCGGTGCACCTCCTTTGGTAGTTGAACCCATATCTTGAAATCCAGAAAATCCTCCCTCGTCGGTGTTGAAGAGACCATCCGATGAATCCTTCGATAAGCCATCATTCGGCAAGCTCTTTGATTGGTGTGCAACTTGCGTATTCAATTGCGCTGCCCCAATAGCCCTCTGTTGTGTCATATTCATTTGAGGCGAATTGAATTGTTGATTTGGTTGACCTTGAGTCATGCTGTACAGGGAAAATGGTTGTTGTTGTTGTTTTTGAGGCTGTTGAGGCACCTGTGGGGTTCCCTGATGTTGTAGTTGCAGTTGCATAGACGTCTGCTGCTGGCTTAGCTGGAACTGTTTAGCCTGCTGTTGAGATTGCTGATGCTGCCTTCTCTGAAAATCTTCTGATTGTTGCGGCAGCTGTTGCAGTTGCAGTTGCAGTTGCTTAATTTGCATAATCTTCAGTTTTAAGTACTGGATAGCCTCGGGATATAAATCGTGAAGACGCTTGTACAACAGCTTCAACTCTGGCATCTCTGCGGGAGCAGTCAAAATCACAGGGAACTGAAGTCTGTTAGGCTGCTGCGCTGCTGCCTTGTTGTGATACTGATCATTAATATAGGCCAACACACTCAAATTGCACTGTAGTCGACGGTTCAAGTTGTTATACTGGTCCAAGATACTTTGGCGAGATTGATGCAGCATGCGCTTGATAGTTTGCTGATTGCTGAGTATGGTGACATAGATATTGTATGCTTTCTTAATTAACAGGGAGTTAATTAAAAGAAGTACCGTGACACGATCACGATCGATGTCAATCTTGGAGGAATCAGACATTTTAAAAGTTTTTAAAGCACGATATTGCTTACGTCTTAAGTAACCTCTGTCAGAAATGGAATGTGAGAATGGTGATTTAAATTGACTTTTTTTTGTTTTCGATACTTTTTGTTCTCTCCCGCGACTCGAACACCGACCTGTGCAAAACTCCTGGAAGCACAACGTCATATGGCACTGTACAACTCAACTATGGCAAAATACATTCTTGTAAACCGAATAGTTCCAATTGATTGATTTCGTTGGATTCTTGTAAACTGAGTAATTCAATTTGATTGACTCCATTGATTAAGAGATAAAATTCAAATTCGAATACGCTTCGGATATAAACTACGTTAACTTCTTTCTAATTAACTTGAATAATCATGGAATAAGATTGTAATTTACAACTTACTAGTCAATTCTGGAACAGCATCATTGAGATCTGCAACCAAGCCGATATCGGCCACGTTGAATATGGGTGCCTCTGGATCTTTGTTGATTGCAACAATAGTCTTGGAGTCCTTCATTCCTGCGAGATGCTGAATGGCGCCAGAAATTCCAACGGCGATGTACAATTCTGGGGCAACGATCTTTCCAGTTTGACCAACTTGTAAAGAGTTGTCACAGTACCCAGCATCTACGGCTGCTCTTGAAGCACCCACGGCAGCATTCAACTTTTCAGCCAATGGTTCGATCAATGCATTAAATGTCTCCGCATTCTTGAGTCCACGCCCTCCAGAAACAATTTTTGACGCTGCACCAAGTTCTGGTCTCTCAGACGTGATCAATTGTTCAGATACAAACTCGGTTCTGTTTCCCGACTCAGTAGAACCCGAGACTTCTTCTATGGCACACTCCACCTCACCCAGTGCGGAGGGAGCGAAAGCAGATGCCCGAACAGAGAGAATAACAGTCTTATCGTTGGATTTGACTGTTGCTAAAGCGTTACCCGCATAAATCGGTCTCACGAATGTTTCCGGAGATTTAACTTTCACGATGTCGGAAACTGGCTGAACATCAAGTAGAGCACCAAGTCGAGGTAAAAAGGACTTGCCCACTGCACTAGCAGGAGTTACTACATGAGAAAATCCCTTACTCTCCACAACATACTTCAACAATGGTGCCAATTCCTCTGCGAGATAATGATTATATTTATCACCTTTTGCCAATAAGACATTTGAAATGCCTTCAATTTTGGAGGCACTAGTAGCAGATTGTTCACCCTCTGGACCTGCCAAAATGGCGGTGACTGGTTCTCCAAGTTCTTTTGCAGCGGTGATTGCGCTTAAGGAAGATGCAGAAATCTTTCCATTCGAAGCTTCAACAAACGCCAAAGTTTTCAAAGAAGCAACAGATTGAGAGAACAATCTTTTGCTTGCTAATGAGCGTAACATGATGTAGTTACTACTTGTCTAAGTATTTAGTGGTCCTAAAGTCAAAATTTTCAGATCATATTGTGCAGAACTGCCCGGAATCGGACCAAAATCCATACAACTTCCAAAAAGTCCAAGTACATGAGCGAGAATGTCTCTAATAATGCGAATGGAAGGATCAATCATTGGGAATATGTAAGTCTTTCTACTTCATGATTTTCGTTCGCATAACACTTTGCACAAGTGCTTTCCAGTCAAAAACTACTACTACTACTACTACTACTACTACTACTACTACTACTACTACGCTGGTGCCTACAAGGTGGAAAGGTTTATTGAATAGCAACACCAACATTCCACAATCCATTGGTTAGAACCACTACCACCTCACTTGCCTGACCAAATGAATTAAGTTGCCAAGAGGAATTGTTTGGTCGGTAGTACTGTGAGATTGTTTCACATGGTTGAAACATATTCACAGCTTGACTTTATTTAATCAACTGAGTCACATCCCCAATTGCATAATTATATTTCTCAGTTTTATCAATCTTGTTTCGTTGAATTGCCCCAGGATCATACCCAATGAGATCGGCGCTTAAAAAACTGATGCGCTCACGTGCACGTTGACATATTCGTGGTTATTGGCACTGAATTGTGGTTATTCACAAGATTTGATAAGAGTTCCATTAAGGCTATCTAGACTGAAATCCACTCTCCACTCAAAGTGATGAAGAACACCGGTAGAGGCAGAAATCTGGCGACTGATGATCAACGGGCTAAAGCTCTGTCTCCAACGCCTAGCACCAGGCATATCTCCACAAGGCGGTTGAATCTTGAAAGAGAACCGTTGAAGAACAACCAAGAAAGTGAATACCTCACCTTTGCGAACACACCAATTGTGAGCGGCAAGCAGCGAATCGAATCAGATCATCTTTCTGAAGAGTCGATTGTCGTTCTGCGCATGACACCGATGATACCCACAGAGAGTATCAATCATGTATCTTCGAACAGTTTAAACCGAAGAGGACTGTCGTCAAATATACTGGCTACCTACGTTCCTGTTTCGGGCCAGGACACACCAGACTGGTGGGTTTTGCTTCCATATTATTTGCCAATCTTATCTTGGATAAGCCAATACTGTAACGAGTTTTTTATTGGAGACTTGATAGGTGGAATCTCGTTGGCCACCTTTCAGATTCCTCTAGCCATTTCATATTGTACATCGCTAGCCAAGGTTCCTATTACTTGCGGTTTATACTCACTTGGTATTTCTCCCTTGATATATATGCTCCTTGGTTCAGTTCCTCAAATGATTGTTGGCCCTGAAGCACCCATATCGTTGATTGTTGGACAAACAGTAGAACCGATACTCCATCATGCTAAAGAATCTCTTGACCCTGTTGAGTATGTGGTGGTGATCACATTCGTCAGTGGAGCAACGCTCCTCGGGTTTGGTTTGGGTCGGTTTGGCTTTTTGGATAATGTCTTGTGTGCGTGCCTATTGAAAGGTTTCATATTCGGTGTTGGAATTGTCATGTTGATCAATTCTTCTATTGAAATGCTTGGTTTGACATCTGTTTTAGAGCGAGTGATCGATGACCTGACAGATATGGATATTCACTCTCCATTTGATAAGCTCAAATTTTTGATGGCTCATTTCCATGAATATCATGTGCTCACTTTGCAAATCAGTTTGATCGCCTTTGCAACTATTATGCTGATCCGGCGACTCAAGGCTGTCGCAACGAAACTGAAATCGAGAATAGCACAGCACGCTGTTTATTTTCCTGAAATTTTGTTGGTCGTGGTGACTTCTACTATACTCTGCCAAAAATTTAAATGGAACCACCTAGGAGTTGCAATTGTTGGTTCTGTTGATGAAGTCGACAGTACAATCCCGATTTACAATCCTTTCTCGCTGACAAGCTTATCCCTCATTAAGAAACTAAGCTCGGCGGGATTTGTGTGTGCAATGTTGGGCTTTTTCGAATCTACGACAGCTCTGAAGTCTTTGGGATCTCGATATGATTTGCCAATTTCATCCAACAGAGAACTTGTAGCGCTCGGAACTATCAACGTGATTGGAAGTATTTTTGGGGCTCTTCCAGCGTTTGGAGGTTATGGCAGATCAAAGATTAATGCTATATCTGCAAGAACTACAACATCAGGGGCAATTATGGGACTAATTTCCCTAGCGACAGTGAGTTCAATTTTGAAATACTTGCACTACATTCCCAAGTGTATTCTAAGTGTGATCACTGCTGTGATTGGTATATCTTTGATGAGTGAAGCTCCATCAGAGATTATATTCCATTGGAGAAGTGGCGGACTTGATGAATTAATCACCTTCGTTATAACGGTTATTACGACTCTATTCTTTTCTATGGAAGCAGGCATTGCAGTCGGATTGGTGTATCTGTTGATCAGAGTCATTAGAAATTCCGCTGAATCTAACATTCAGATTTTGGGAAGGGTGCCTGGAACTAATACGTTCTTGGATGCTGACCTTGCAAACCTTGATCAGGCAGATGAAGATGATGCCTATAGGCGACAATGCTCCGGTCTCGGTGGTTTTGAGAAGAAAGCTTCACAATTGAACTTATTTACTGACAACTTTCGGCTTCTAAATTTCCTGGCTTTAGAAGAAATCGAAGGTTGCTTGATCATAAAAATTCCGGAGCCGTTAAAATTCACGAATGCTAGTGACCTTAGATCCAGATTGATGCGCGTGGAATTGTATGGTTCGACCAAGGCGCACCCAGCACTGAGGCGAAGCAGAGATGAATCCATGACTAAGTATATGATTTTTGATCTTGAGGGAATGACTTCTATTGACTCTTCTGCTGCGCAGATATTAAAACAATCCTTATTGGCTTATCAAAGAAGAAATATTCGAACATTTTTCATTCGTGTTAGCAAGAATCGTCGGTTAAGGAACAGGTTAAGAGATACAGGCATAACAGACATATTGCGTTCAGATTTGAGAGATATTAAATATTTCGAGATGAGGACGCATAGCAGTTGGAGCAGATTTATGGGAAATGCTGAACATTTTAATAATAACATTGATGATGTGTTGGACAACAGTTACAATAACCGTGCCATCGGAAGTTCGAGTGACCCATTTTCTGGGATGACCGAGAGTTCTTCGTCGCCATATTTTGAGCATATTAGAGGAGCTCTTAAGGTGATTGACTTTTACGAACAACATTACCTTGATCGAACAAACTCTGTATAGATGCATATATTCTTCTTTAATCGTGGTAGATCCTGTATCTATTAACAACAAAAAAAGTTAGTCGCGTTGATGTCAGAACTTTAAGAAGAGCCATATCATGAGCGAAGGAAATCAAGAAGTCAACATCAAGGAGGAGTATGAGTTATGGAGAAAGAACTGTCGCTATATGTATGATTTTGTGAGCGAAACTGCTTTGACCTGGCCCTCACTTACTGTGCAATGGCTCCCAGAACATCAAACCAATGAAGTTATCGACGCAAAATTACTCTTGGGAACACATACCTCTGGTGAAGATACGAACTACTTGAAACTTGCTTCGACACAACTTCCAAATCTGAGTTATGTCGACTTAGATGGAAATAAAAAGAAAGCCAGTTCCAAGATAAAAATTTCTAAGAAATTCCAGACCTCCAGTGAGGTGAATAGAGCTCGCTATATGCCACAGAACCCTGATATTGTGGCAACCATCAATGGTGATGGAGGAGTTGACTTGTTTAATATGTCTCAAGGCGACACTGTGGGGCATTTTCAGCCGCATTCTGAGAATGGATATGGCTTGTCATGGAACTCATCGAAGGAAGGCTATTTGATCACCTCCTCTGATGACAAATCCATTGCTTTAACGGACATTAATAAACTTGACAACGACAATGGTTTGATTTTCAAATCTGAACTCCATGAAGATATTGTTAATGATGTGAAATGGCACTCTTTTGACAGCAATCTTTTTGGCTCTGTCTCAGACGATCTGAAGGTTCTTCTTTACGACTTGAGAGTTCCTAATGTACCGGTCTCTACTTTCTACAGCGAAGGTTCCAAGGGAGTTAACTCCATTGCGTTTTCTCCTTTCTCCAAGAATTTGGTTGCAGTTGGAAATGCCAATTCTAACATTACCCTTCTAGACCTTCGAAAGATGGCCTCTTCAAATACTAGCTACTGGCCACTTCATACAATGATGGGTCATGGTGATGCGATTACCTCCCTAGAATTTTGTCCTCACAAAGATGGGATTATTGCCTCTGGATCTCAGGACAGGAGGGTAATTATTTGGGACCTCTCAAAAATTGGCGAAGAACAAGTTCAGGAGGATGCAGAGGATGGCTGTCCAGAAATACTTATGATGCATGCTGGACATACTGGGGCTGTTTCAGATATCAGTTGGTGTCCTTTCATGGAGTGGACCCTTGCATCAGTTGCTGATGACAATATCGTTCATCTTTGGGAAATCAGCAAATCAATTGTTCTGGATGAACTGACTTTAATGGAAGATGCAGATCTTGAGTAGAAAGTTGACATGAATCAACTAAAATATGTCTTGGGATTTTATCCCGATCATGGCAAAAGTTCACGCGTCGAATCTCGCACGACACTTATTATTCTGGAGGAAAACCAAAAAAAAACACCTTCTTAACGTTGGGCATACACAAACTGTTGCGAAATGTCTGATTTCCCACCTAATCTATCAATTCGGCCCTTGACCCTTGAAGACCTTGACCAATGTGTTGCCTTGGAAGCGAAGGGGTTTTCGGAGGCGGAAAGGTGTACTAAGGAGAAGTTCCAGTACAGATTGACAACCTGCCCTGAACTCTGCTCAGGATTGTTCATCAGAGAGTATGGTTATAAATTTAATGCAATCAATTTGCCAGATGTTGCTCAGAAGTTAGAGAAGAAGATAAACGAAGAAAATTCTTCTGATACTAACTGGAGCGGGGATAATGGTCAAGATGAGTTGACCTACGATCAATTACCAGTAAAGCTGTCTGTCGTCAAGGAAACTTTGATAGGGCACATTATTGCCACCAAGATTTATTCCGAGAGAATCACTGAGGCATCCATGGAACTTCCTTCTATTGATGACCCAACTTCTGGGCATATTGAGCAATCCAGATACATTGGTATTCATGGGCTTGTTATCGATCCTCAATGGCATAAGAGAAACTTGGGCACCTTGTTGATGCATGACTATATTCAAAAATTGTCTAACCAAGACTTGGGAAGTAAGGTAGTTATTATCGCACACAAGGAGTTAATTCCATTTTATGAGAAAATCGGCTTCTTCAATCATGGTGAAAGTGCCTGTAAGTTTGCAGGTGAGTCGTGGTACGACTTGACGATTGACTTGGTACCCCAAGATGATGACTAGTCCATTCAATTCCCCTCGATTACACGCCTAAATATATTTTCCTATCCCCTTTGAGCGGAAAAGACCTGAGTTTTATTTCACGGGACGTAGAATATTCGAATTTTTCTTCTTTGTCTGATATTGTAAGATTAGGTAATTGAACCGGAAGTTAACGCCCTAACCAATTCACCTCAGAATAAGTACTACTTTAGAAAAGTCCTTCATTTTTGAAGTGCGACATTAAGTTAGCTCAAACCTCCAAAAAATGAAGGTTCCTGAGCCTTTGCGATATATCTTCAACAGATTTCCCTTAAAAACATTTCCAGCCATCGAGGACAATACTCATCATCAAGAAAATGAATTCTTTTTTGGTTTGAATGAGGCATCGTCTTGTAATGAACAAGATCAAAAATTTTGCTTGGGAGTCCACAACATTCAACCAGTAAGTATAAAGGGAGAGAAGAAGTACATTCCGACTGACCCAGTCAGTTTGGGGAATTGCCTTATTCTATGTTTTCGAAACAACTTGTTCTTACCATCCAAGGGGAAGCAGCCACTCTCACGAAATTCAATGAGACTGATGTCTTACTTAATATCTGATAGCAAGGAACTTCCTGTGTTAATAGAAACCAACGGCTCAAGGACTGAGTCTATTACTGATTCTAAATCGTTCGCTCAATCAGTATCGCTGAAATACTTTTCTAAAGATCTGCAGGGTTTTTTGATTAACCACCTTCTTGACAACTTGAACGACCTTTGGATACTCATCCTCCTAGTTGATGTCCACGAAAGCGGGTCGTTCGACTATTCCAAATTATTTTATCAAGATCCTGAAATTGCTTCCAACAAGATTACAAACAGTTTAACTACTATGAAATTGGTGGCGGATATTCCCTATTGGACATCGTTCAAAATTCGATATCCACATTTATTTCATTCTCATTTATCCACAAATCTTTCTGGTGAGTCTCTAAGAGACTTGATTAATTCTTTCAATTCCAAGGCAATCGAAGAAACGTGCATTGAAAAATTGCAGGATTTTGAAAGAACTATTCCGTTAGTGAATAAGTACTTGGAATCCATCGAGGAAAGCGACTCGAGGTCAATAATAGAGCTCAAATTTGCTTCATTCGTGTTTGTTACATCAACCTTCATCTCTAAATCTAGTCATATTGGGCGACTCCTTGAGTTCAAGTTCAAGGATGTTATTTCATTCTCGAAGGAAGTTATTAGTCGCTATTAATGAATTTAATTCATGATAATCTATTGATTATGTTTATAACTGTAGCATTCTCACTGAACCTGGTAACGAATTTATTGTATAGCAAGTGAGTTGACATTGCTAGTGAGTAATGAAGTGATATTATCTTCTATGATTTTATCTGAAGTTTCAGCAAGATGCTTCTTAGGATCTTGCTTTCCAACATATCTGGTCTTCAACTGCTCCTCCAGCAACTCTTTCTCCTCGGCAACTCTATCATTGTAAAGCTTCGCAATTCTCACTAAACTCTGAATGTTTTCCAAGTTTTCATGTTCAGCATGATCATATTCAACCATCTTTAATCCACTTTGCCACGATTTCTTGTGAAGATTCAATAGCATATTTGTTTCGTACAGGGTCTTGTGGTAGTCAATATTCAACGAGTAGTAATGCCTGTTGAGCCCGTGAATGAGTGCTTGAATTGAAGGCTTGTTCAAGTGGCCAACATTAGAGGTCGACTGTCTGGGCTCCTGGCCTCTCATTAATGTGCTAGCATCAATAGTTCTGAATGCGTCGATCACCACTTTTCCCTTGACCGATTGAATGGGGTCAATGACCACTGCAACCGCTCTTTTGTTCAACTGCTCAAAACTCTGCTGAGTGTTCACATCAACAGAGGAAAGCCAACAACCAAATCCAGGGTGTGAGTGGTACCAACCCACAACCATTTGGTCACGTCCAGTTTGTCTCAACATGTCCATCATCTTCGTTTGGAATACATCATCAACAGCCTCGACAGACACACCTGTACCAGATTGTGGCATAGCAAAAACATCAATAACATGGATTGTGAAATCATCTACAAATTCTCCTAGCATTAACCCCATGACCTCCATAGGTACACCAGCACGGCCATGCTTAAGCATCTTCAAGAGTGCCAAAGAAGATATGTATACGGTTTCAGCATCATCGATCGCCGGTGAATCTGTCAGTGATGGTCCGCCAGATCCACCCAATCCATTTCCGCCACCGAGCAATCTTTGTAATCTCTCCATGATTCAGTTGCGATTCTGTAGGTCCAAAATTATGCTCACGAGTTTCTAGTGGCAATTGAGACTGGTGAGTGCACGTAAGTCAACAAATGGGTTTCATTTCGAAGAAGTAAAATCATACTTAAATGTCAATGGAAAAATGTAATATCTTAGTATTGATTTCTCTTATTTCTACACATGTGAATGACGTGTAGTATTTTCTCATGAGTGATAGTTCGTTGTTCATTGTTTGTGAAAGTTGGTCGTCTTCAAAACGTCTCGCAGATTACGGACAGTGATTCCGTGTCATCTTTCAAATTTGTTTATAATATAAGCTCATATTAACTCCTTAACTAAAATTTGATTCTTGTGGCAATTGCGACCATATTCATTCACTTCTTGAGAGAACCTGGTTGATCCAATTCAAGTCGTGCCGCGCATCTGTGTGGACTCTAAGTGTTAAGACTCTTTTTTTCTTACGATGGAGGGTCCAGAAGCATTGAAAGGCTTGAAATATCCAGCCAAGGAACATTCTGAGAGGGTTGTGTCTCATTTTCGAACTAAGAATAATGTTGGGAGGTTGGCAATTTTCATGAGTGGGGAGAATCTCGAGCTTTACCAGTACTCCGATCAAACAAAGCCGATTCGTCAAAACCGATACTTTTATTACTTGAGCGGATGTGATGTTCCTGGTTCCCATGTCTTGTACAACGCAACTAATGGAAAACTGACATTATTTCTTCCTAATATTGATGAGGATGACGTGATGTGGAGTGGGTTGCCAATTCTGCTTGAGGAAGCCCTCGAAAAGTACGACGTTGATGAAACCAAATATGTTAGTGACATGTTTGATCATTTGAAAGGCTTGAAAAGTGACGGTATTTCAATTTACACAACTGATTTCAACAAATGGAACTATGCCGTCAAGGAATTTTTGATTCAAGGACATAATGACTTCTTTTATGCTTTGGATGAATCCAGGCTTATAAAGGACTCGTTCGAAATTGAATTGATGAGACATGCTTCCAAGATTACTGATAACTGTCACCTTGCAGTTATGTCAGCTACCCCTATTGAGACTAATGAGACACACATACATGCTGAGTTTATGTACCATGCCATTAGACAAGGTTCCAAGTATCAGCTGTACGATCCTATTTGTTGCTCGGGTCCAAATTGTTCGACTTTGCATTACGTTAAGAATGATGACGATATTAGTCCTGAAAAGAAATCGGTTCTCATAGATGCTGGTGCTGAATGGAATTGTTATGCTTCTGATGTTACAAGGTGTTTCCCGATTCATGGCGATTGGACAAAAGAACATTTGGATATCTACAATATCGTTCTTAAAATGCAAAGCACGACTATGGACATGATTAGGCCCGGCGCAAGTTGGGACAACATCCATTTGGAGGCACATAGAGTAATGATCAGGGAGTTTCTCAAGATTGGAATTTTTAACAACGAATTTCTGGAAGAGGAAATTTTTAATTCGAATGTGTCTGCCAGATTTTTTCCACATGGTCTTGGTCACTTACTAGGAATGGACACCCACGATGTTGGTGGTTATCCCAATTACGATGATCTGGATCCAAAGTTAAGATACTTGAGGTTGAGACGGACATTGAAGAAAGGGATGGTTCTCACTGATGAACCTGGTGTATACTTCTCACCGTTCTTGTTGAAAGATGTCCTTGAGGATCCAACCCAGGTTAAGTTCATCAACAGAGAGATTCTTGACAATTATTGGTATGTTGGAGGCGTGAGAATTGAGGATGATTTGCTCATAACTGATGATGGGTTTGAAAACTTCACTAAGATCACGTCTGATCCCAATGAAATTTCAAGGATTATCAAAGACAGCATTGCAAAGGGGAGATCACATTTTCATAACATAGTATAGTTTCTTAGATATTAGAAGATGTCCGATTTTTCAATCTGATTTATACATAACTTGATTCAGATGCTGCAATAATAGTTTTTCTTTTGGATACCAACATATTAAGAAGATAAGAACTGGCGAAGACTGAATGACCGAAATCAGGCGTTTATTACCTCAATATCGATTACGTCATAAAATCAGTTAAGTTCCTGCCCTTATAAATAGTAATTGTCATTTCTATAAATATTATAGAAATTTACCTCACAAGTAACGACATTTTAATAACGCTAGAAATTCACTATAACATTAATTGCTTCTTGTATATAGGTCATTCATTGGTCACGTGAACAATGAATCTTGAATACGACCCCTGACGCTCACAATACAAGGACTACTTTTAAAGCGATTGAACAAATATGGATGAGAACTACGATGTCATTGTATTGGGAACTGGCCTTACCGAATGTGTATTGTCTGGTATTTTATCTGTTGAAGGAAAGAAAGTTCTTCACATCGACAGACAAGACTTTTATGGTGGAGAGTCTGCTTCGTTGAACTTGCTGCAGTTGTACTCCAAATTCAAGCCATCTTCCCAGAAACCGGAGTCGATTACCGGCCGTGACCGTGACTGGTGTGTTGATTTGATTCCAAAGTTTCTAATGGCAAATGGTGAATTGACGAACATCCTCGTGCATACAGATGTAACCAAGTACATTGAGTTCAAGCAAATTGGAGGAAGCTACGTCTACCGTGGTGGACGGATTTCTAAAGTCCCATCAAACGAAATTGAGGCATTGAAAAGCTCCTTAATGGGTATTTTTGAGAAGAGAAGAATGAAACGTTTTTTGGAGTTCGTTGCTGCTTATGACGAAGAAGTTGCATCTACTCACCAGGGATTAGACTTGGACAAGAATACCATGGATGATGTGTACACCCACTTTGGATTGGAGAGAGGTACTAAGGATTTCATCGGACACGCCATGGCTTTGTGGGCTAATGATGACTACTTGATAGAACCAGCTAGACCTACTATTGAGAGAATTATTCTTTATGTCCAGTCTGTGGCTAAGTATGGTAAGTCCCCTTACATTTACCCATTGTATGGATTGGGCGAATTGCCACAAGGGTTCGCAAGACTTTCAGCTATTTACGGAGGCACGTACATGTTAGGTACTCCAATTGATGAGGTCTTATATGATGAAGATAAAAGATTTGCAGGAGTTGTTACGAAGGAGGGAACTGCGAAAGCCCCAATTGTCATTGCTGACCCCACATATTTCCCCGAAAGAGTGAAGAAAACTGGACATAAAGTTATTAGGGCGATGTGTATCATGGATCACCCAGTGCCAAATACTCACGATTTGGATTCGGTTCAGATCATCATCCCACAGAACCAGGTCGGTCGAAAGAATGATATCTACATTGCGGTTCTTTCCGATGTTCATTGTGTTGTCCCTAAAGGCTACTACCTCGCAATTGTTTCAACGATCGTGGAGACCTCGACTCCACACATTGAATTGGAGCCAGCTTTCAAATTATTAGGAACGAGACTTGATACGTTGATGGGCATTGCTGAGTTGTACGAACCCTCCCAGGATGGTTCTGAAAGCGGAATCTACCTCTCTAAGAGTTACGACCCTTCATCACACTTTGAGTCTACTACCGATGACATCAAAGACTTGTATTTCAGGATTACTGGAAAACCATTGGTTTTGAAGAAAAGACAAACTGAAGAGGAATTGAATGGTCTTGAATAATCGAATACTTAGTTATCTTTATATGTGGACGCTCACTGGAAAAGTAATGAAGCTGCAAGCTCAACATTTCCGTGAGAAGCTTTAAGCGCTGCAATTGCTTCTTGTTTCGTAAAACCCAATGATATTAACTGTGTAAGATCCCCCTCTGCGAATCCCCCTGATCCAACCGTTGAATCAACTTCTTGTCTTCGCGTTGTCGAATCCGCCAGGCTCGTTCCCTTTGATGAAATATTCAAGTCCTTTGTAACTGAAGTCTCCAATGGCTTGATGTTCATTGCTATTTCTGATTCGTTGAGGAAACCCACTTTGTGCTCTCCAATCAATAGAGCGTCCTGCCCCAAATCGATAAGACATTTATGTCTTCTGAGCATATCTAAGCCAAACAAGATACCAACATGAGTCTCAATTACTGTGAAAGAGCAAGGAACCTCAAGATTCGAATCTCCCAAACTCACAGGAACACTGTGAATTCGACCCTCAGTTCTTGCAGAGCCAATACCGATGGACATAGCAGCATACCTTTTGTCCAAGAACCTCAGGATGCCGAATTCCTCTGCCAATTTTGGATGAATGATTGTCTGTTGAGCCCCTGAGTCAACCAAAGCGAATGTTTCGTGGCCATTAATTCTCAATTTGATGTATAACATATTGACTTGAACAAACGATTCAGGGGATATGTCGTATGCCAATTGCAAGTTTTCATCTATTTGCTGCTGACGAATCATTTCAAATATTTTTGCCTGATTCTCAGGATCTTCGGGATTCTGGTGAAGCTTACGCATCTCTTCATTTTGAACATTGAAGTTGGCGTCACGTCCTCGCAACCTAGCAATCATTATGTCTCTGAAGACTTCCGGGTCGGATAGCTTTGAGAATAAGTCGGGATCCAGTTCTCTTATCTGAGAACGAAGCTGAGAGTCTCCATGGATTTGTTGACGTAACATCTCTATGCGGTCATCTGAAGTAATGTTGCTCTCACTGATAGAATTTGTCTTATGCTCGCTCAAAACAATAATATCACCTTCAGTTATCCCTAACTGTGCAATCGTTCGATTCCATCCTTCGAGGCGCTTGTAGTTGTGGTATAAAACTTGTTCTTCCTTGGGAACCCCTGTTTCGGATTCAATGTACGCGTTCAAATCTTGTAATGACATCTCATCCGAAATTTCAATCCCTATAGGGTCGTCTCTTGGTTCGTAGGAAATTATTATTTTTGTCATCGTTCTTAACAGTGGTACGAAATATGTGTTTCTAACGCGAAAACGCCACGCAGAAGTGCTTGGGTGGCGAAAATACCGACTCTTCTTAACACTCTACAGAGAGCTTCTAATGAGCAGAATTACTATTCATTGCACATTTGAACTCCTGTTCGCATTCTATTTGAGATGATTTGCTTTTCATTCATGAACTATCCATATAAAGAAATCCGGATACACAGTAAGTTGTTCACCATTCACTTGTCGTAGCAGATAATGCAGTAAGACAAGTTTGACTCTCCTTAACCAAAAACAAAAGCTCTAAAGCTGCTTCGTTAGAAATCAGGTCGAATACTTTCAGAGATGGTTCGTTTCTAACATGTCGGGCAGAGCATTGCAATTTGAGCACCATTTAGCAACATTTTCTTGATCGGCTTACTTTTAATGCCATTCGTTTGCAATTCAACAACATCCTCCAAGACAACGTTTACAAAATCATCGAATCCAATCAAAGTTCCTGTGAACTCCTTGTAGTTAGTCAATAATATCCTGATGTTGGAACCAATGGAACGATCAATTACTTCCAATGGTAAAAGCGTTGGTAAATCTGTATTTGATGAGGTGGTTCGTAAATCCTCATCTGTCTTATTCAGGTTGAATTCCTCTTGTGACATCTTGACTGAAATGGAACAATCTTGGGTGTTGCTGACCATTTTGAAATTTTGAGTGAACATGATTGCATGCACACCTAGGCACCTTGGTGAAGTATGGCCTCACCCTTATTTGGATTCACATTTGATCTGCTCTTTCCTTCCCCATTTGCCTTACTTTTAGATGTAGTACTCTGAGGTGATCCTTTCACTCTCCAAGCATCAAAGTCAATTAATGCTTGCATGCAGCCCCATTCCGTGATCTTATTTTGTAACCATACCAAATTGACTGGCTTAGTTAAAAAATCATTGCACCCAGCTGTTAACGCATTCTTCTTGTCAACTGATGAGTTCGAAGATGCAGTTAATGCCACTATTATAACGGGTGATCTAAAGATATTGAGATTTAATTTCTCGTCTTCTTTGAGTTGCAGGTGGCCACTGTAATTGCTGCCCCCTAGTTCGTGTTGTGCGAACACTCCAATCTTGTTCACCTTCTCCAAATGTCTTATTTCCTTTGTCGCCTCAATTCCTGATTTGACAGGTAATTGAATATCCATTAGTACTAAGTGAAAGCCACCTTTTCTCCACTTGTCAACTGCCTCTTGGCCATTTTTAGCTATCTCGTAATGAATCTTGTGTTTTCGTAAGAATGCACCGAGGATTGCTTGATTGATTGAATTATCTTCAACAACTAGAACAGAAATCAGTGGCAAGACTTTTTCGAATGTGCTAGTATTAATTGTCGTTTCCTTAGAATTAGAATTTGCTTTAGTAGACATTTTAGCACTAGAATCTCCAGAATCTTTCTTAGCCAAATCTTGTGAACTTCGAGTGGTTGATGAACCAGAATTCATATTGACACTTTGTGAACCTTCAGAATCTTTCAGAATTGTAGAATAACTCTGTCTTTCGGGAAGAGACCGTGGAATACTTTGCCCGTCCTGTGCTTTTCCATAACTCGAATTTGAAGGCGTATTGGTCTCACTTCCAATATTGCTAACATTAGACCCATTATCCATTTTAGGTGCCAGCTCGGAATAGCCTTTCTCTACCGAATTCGAATCCACTGGAAATCTTTTTATCGCATTCTGTTCCCCTAGAGAAAAATTCTTTGGCAATAAAAGGACAGCCTGCGGATTTCCATTTCGAGATTGCTGGTTGAACGATGGAACTGGTGATTGGGGAGGATTTGAAAGTGATCTTTTGTGCTGATTAGGAAATTGTAAAGGAGGTGATTGTGATCCTTGAAAGCTCGGAGATACTGAGCGGTACTTCCCGAATGAGTTTTGCCTCATTGGTATTGGCTGGTGGGGTTTCAGGTGGAAACTGTGATTATTTGTGCTCAAGGGAGAGAGTCTATTCAGGCTTAACCATGGATGAGTGGGAGATTGAGGGCGGTCGTGGGTTGATGAACTTGAATGATCGAAATCTTCACGATGCAAACTTCTGTCATTGTCTGAACTGATATCAGGAGCAACCTTTGCCTCTGCATCAATTAGAAATGCATCAGACATAGACATAGCTCCTGAGAATTGATCGTCGAGTATTTCCCAAATAACCTGATCAGGTTCAAGAGCGACATAAAAATGTTGGTGCAGGTTGGACAATGACAGCTTCGGTTGACTCTCATCAGCTAAATCTGCTTTGATTCTACCAATGGCGAGTTTGGTTTGTTTCACTCGTCTGGATTGGAGCTTCTCTTGGGGGTGCATTCTTGATAGAACTTGTATATCAGCCGGATCGTAGAGCTTCCCTACGGAGTTTGGAAATTTGACACAGATGGCACTTTTGAGATCGTCAATGATTTCCTCAGGTCCAATCATAATTGTTGTGGGGTTGCCCCCTTTTCGCTTGACCCATACTCGCCTGAGCATTGACATCTCATTCCTTGGTTGTTGCGTGCTTCTGGTAGATCCACGTGCATTTGGACTACCATATTGGGCGTAGCTTTTTCCCATTTTTAATTAATTGAAAGTGTTGCTATTGTTTGCCATAGAATTTAGGGTTATGGAAGGCAAGTTCAGTAGTCAAGAAAATGAATTATGTGTAGGAGTTACTTGTGTGCCCTAGTCTCGCACTATGTTCTCTCATTGCGTTCGATAAATTCTACATTCGGATAATAGCCCCGTTCAAACATCCCGGTTCCAACGATTAACTACGACGTAAATGGCACATCCAGAAAATCTCATCGCGTTCACCTATTGGCTGGAATGGAAAGTCTTCTTAACTTCATCCTTGATAATGTTCATTCCTGGCCCTCTAAAACACTGGAAATTAATGGGATTCGCCTTCAACTTCAACTTTCTCTTCTTCGTCATCTCCCCCATCTTCATCTACTTGTTCTTCTTCATCATCTTCATCATCATCGTCATCCCAAGTAAAGTTTTCTTCCTCATCATCATCGGAAAAGTGTTCAACGCTTAGTCTCTTTCCATCCTCATTCTTAGCCAAGAGCTCCTTTCTGGATTGCTCGTTCTCTTTGAGCTTCAGTTCTTGTTTGAAGTAACGGTACCAGAATTGTTGATAAGAAATTTGAACTGGTACGAGTCTATTCATTGTTTTCTCCAAGGTGTCTGGATACTTCCTTAGCAACTCGCTTATTTCGTCCGTTTTATTCTCGATATCAAAGACAGAACATCCTTTATCGTCTGGAGCCTCGTCCAAATAAAAGCTGTCGGATGTATGCAACTTGAACAAGTCGGTATCAAAGCGTGTTGAGTTGTAAGCAGCACCTGGAAGCTTCAGACTCAGTACGGGTCCTTCTTCTTCATTGGGCGCTTCTTTCGGGTTGTCAATGGTAATGATGTTGGAGAAAAACGAAGCGAACAGACTAACAAATTTTCCCGCTTGTTGTTCCACCATTTCCAACTTAGAGTCCAATGAGTCTAATGCTTTGTTTGCCTGTGATGAAAGAGACTTGATATCAATATTGGGCTCAAGTGATTTGACATGGTCACCTAAGTCTTTCAATTGCCTTTCAATGGACTCCACATTCTCTTGAACAACTTTGCTATTGTTGATGTTTTGTCTAGCGTTATTCATTTGATTGATCAAATCCTTCTTCCTATTTTCGAAGTTCACCTTTTCTTGTATTCCCTGAGCACTTTGTGAAGCGTTGGCCCACAATGAGGAGAACTTGGATTCAATCATTGAATATGCAGCATCAATTTCACCTTCCAAGCGTTCAATTGCATCTTGAGTTTGTAATTTTGTTCCATTATCTCCCTCTTGGCTTTTATCGGGAGTCTCCTGTTGATTAAGAACTGGATCAGTAAACTCCATTGTATATGTTAAAAAGTTGTTGTAGTTCTTCCAGACAGTACTAACCCGCACTCCCTGAAACTCCCCTCCTATCTTGACATCTCGAGTACACATGTGTTGAATGACGTTAGCAAAGTATCATCTTTCTAGTCTCAATAATTGTTTCTAATCTTCCAAATGGGAACTTCTAGATTGATGGAGTGGTTGGGTTAAAATTCTTGTTCCGGTTTTTTCATGAAATTTCTTGCATTCTTCAAGGTCAAAACAGGCAATCTGATACGATTCTTTGCTGGTGAAATAAAGAAATCAATATCTGTATTTTTTTACGTACAAAGTATATGAAAAAGGGAGTAATTGCACTTCCTTGACGATTCTGAAGGATATCCTGTATTTCCCACAATTTTGTTAGTGTAGTTTTCTGGAGTATCCACAGGAAAGTTGCAAATAACGAACTCCTAATTATCCTCATGAAGAGTTCAATTCTAATCAGATTGAAAGATGCCTCATTTCATTCAGGTCTTCTGAGAAAAGATCATTCTTTTATATTTAGTAAACCTGTTGACTTCTTTCAGATATCAAGACCGAAAAAAGAGGCTACTTATTGGGGAATTGTGGGTCCCAAGAAATCGGTATTCTTAGACATACTTGCCTCCAAGTTTGTTTCGGAACCAAATTTATCCCGAGTCTATCCAGCAATCACTGACACTAGTACAGAAATTCAGTACTTAAATTTCAGAGAGAATTCTGGACTCGATCAAGTTCATTTGTCCGCCAGATATGAGTCATATTCTTACAAAGGTGTACTTGAGATGTCTGATGATGTCAACTCGGTAAAAAATTACGTGACAGGGGCCAATAACTACAACAGCAATCATACTAAATCTGTCGATAATGAACTACTTCAAACAGTGATGTCATTGTTTCTGTTGGAAGCATTGAAGGATAAATGGATCAACAGTTTAAGTAACGGCCAAATGCGAAGAGCTCGAATCGCTAAAACATTGATGAAGAAGCCAAAGCTACTCATCATTGATGATCCTTTTCTTGGATTAGATCCGAGTGCAACCAATTCAGTTTCAGATTCATTGAGTAAGATAGCTGCCGAACTCAACATTGGACTCGTCGTTGGATTGAGGATTCAAGATCAGATTCCATCATGGATCACTCATATTGGTCTTGTTGATGAGCTGGGACTTAGACTATCAGGTAAAAAGGATACTGTTGTCGAGGATTTGAAGAAAATTTTTAAAACGAGTTTAACCATTCACAGGCATCATGAACTCTCACATTTGAAGTTAGAGCCCAAAACCGTCTCCACATTAGAGGTCGCCGATCCAATAATTGAATTCGAGAATGCTTCAGTAATCTACAGAGGACAGCCAATATTAAGGGCCTTCGACTGGAAAGTTCAACGTGGTTCGAAATGGCGAATTTTGGGAGACAATGGATCTGGAAAGACAACGCTTCTATCTCTTATTACTGCGGACCACCCGCAATCTTGGAGATCAGTGATAAGGATAAATGGAATATTACGCAAAACGGGTAGTGGGGTTAATTATTTCGACATCAATGATAGTATTGGGATATCTTCACCTGAAGTCCATGCCTTGGTACCGCGCTCAATGACTACTGGTCAGGTTATTATGAATGGCTTAGTTCCTGGAATCGGTAACTCTAATTTTAAGTTCAAGTATAGACTTGAACGGGAGAACATCAGCGCTTTCGCAAAGAATGTTCTTGATTTGTTCTATGCCGAAACAGATCCGATTTGGGACGTAGCATTCCAGCAATTAACTGTCTCACAACAGAAACTTGCGTTATTCCTTAGAGCTGTCTTGAAAAATCCCGAAGTGTTGATACTCGATGAAGCGTTTTCTTGTATGGACGATGAAGTCTTAATGATGAAGTGTCATGCGTTTATATCACTGCAGTTGACTGATACAACAGTTTTGGCTATCGGACACATTGATTGGGAGCTTCCTACTACAGACTACACACTACATCTCAAAGGAGATGCAGATCGGAGCTATTCTATATACTTGAACAATCAATTGTGAAGCTAAAATCGCATAGTCTGTGTTTGCATATAGGAGATTAGGAGTATGAAGTGCGCGGTTACCGTGGAACTTATGCAGCGGAAGTCGGCAGACAAAAATTGTGCTCGCTTCCAATACATCTCTTCCTGAAATCAAAATTAACTATTAGACCATCACTAGTCGATTACTATCATAATATTTAACGGTTGTCAGATAATGTCGAGCTTGATTCCAAACGCTCCTGCTGATGATCGCCCGGATGATGTTAAGGCTGATTTGGAGTATGGAAAGTTGACTTCTGAGGAGTATTTATATGTCTCGAAGCATCCAGTTGGAGAACCATTGCCTATTCCAATCGATGATGAGCCTCCTTATGTAATACATATTGCAACATTGCTTAGTTATCTTATATTGATAATAATCGGTCATATCCGTGATTTTTTCGGCAAGATTTTTAAACCTAAAGACTATGAAGATCTTGTCGAGAAGGATGGATATGCGCCGTGGTATGACGGCTTTGAAAATTTCTATGTCAGACGTTTGAAGACAAGAATTGACGATTGTTTTGCCAGACCAATTCATGGTGCTCCAGGACGCTTCATAAAATGTTTTGAACGCGACAGAGTCAAAAATGGCTATGTTTATACTGGAGAGTCTATCGAATGCTTGAATTTGTCTTCTTATAATTATTTGGGATTTGCTCAATCCCATGGTGTTTGCACGGACAACGTTTTGAAGATCGTCGAAAAGTATGGAACTTCATCCTGTTCACCCAGAAACGCGGTGGGAACTACAAATTTACACAAGGATTGCGAGAAGGTAATTGCTGATTTCGTCGGCAAAGAAGACTCAATAATTGTTAGTCAAGGTTACGGAACTAATGCAAGTTTATTTGCTTCCATTGTGGATTCTCAATGTCTTGTGCTAAGTGATTCTTTGAACCATGCTTCAATCAGATTTGGAATTCGACTTTCTGGGGCCTCAGTGAAAGTCTTCAAGCACAATGACATGAGAGACTTAGAAAAGTTGATCAGAAATGAAATTGCTCAGGGCCAGCCTAAAACTCACAGACCATGGAAGAAAATCATTATCGCCGTCGAGGGATTATATTCCATGGAAGGCAACATGGTTAATTTACCAGAGGTTGTCCAATTGAAAGACAAATATAAATGCTACTTGTTTGTCGATGAAGCGCACTCAATTGGTGCATTGGGTCCACGAGGTCGAGGTATTTGTGATTATTTCCTGGTTGACCCTTCGAGAATCGATATTTTGATGGGAACTTTAACTAAGTCTTTTGGTGCTACAGGTGGATATGTCGCCGCGGATAAGTGGATCATTGATAGATTAAGATTATCTTATTTAAATTGCAGTTTCGGTGAAGGAGTGCCGCCACCAGTTTTGGAACAAATTATATCGTCTTTGCAGGTTATCAATGGCTCCATCAGTCCAGGTGAGGGCGAAGAAAGGTTGAAGAGAATCGCCTTCAACTCAAGATACTTGCGTCTTGGATTGAAGAAGTTAGGATTTATCGTTTACGGAGCAGATGATTCGCCAGTCATCCCATTGTTATTGTATCTTCCTGCTAAAATGCCCGCCATCTCTAGAATGCTTTATTCCATGAAAATTGCGGTTGTTATAGTGGGATACCCTGCGACTCCTATCACAACCGCTAGAGTTAGATTATGTGTCAGTTCGGCATTGACAAAGGAAGACCTAGACTACGTGCTAGCTAAATTCAGTGAGGTTGGTGATATTCTATATTTGAAATTTAGCAGTGGGATAGCTGGTGGGTCTCCTGAACCGAACGTTGCCCCTCGATTGTCTATTGAGGAAGTTCTTGCACATAACGTCGAGGACAGTAAACTTCCAAAATTGTTTTGAGTACCTAGACCTCAACATCTAATATGCACCGCTGATTAAAATATATCTCTTCCTATTAATGTCAACAGATCACCTAGTTCCTCCGCTTCGATATAACATAGTACAGCCCAACCTCTATCGTGGTGGCTATCCTCGAAAAGTGAATTTTCCTTTCCTCGAATCCCTCAATTTAACGACCATTATCTCATTAACACCAGACCCGATCACAAAAGAGACAGATCCCCAACTCTTTGAATTTGCGGAGGAGAAGGGAATCAAGCTAATTCACATCGAATGTGCACAATCAGGTAAAGGAAAGAAGAGGGGAGTCCCTATGGGATATACTTCGGCCCTCGCTGCGCTCAAGTATATGATTCACAAGAAGTTTACTCCGGTTTATCTACATTGTTTGAATGGTGGTCAAGTGACAAGTCTTGTCATCGCTTGTCTAAGAAAGCTTCAGTTTTGGTCATCAATCGCAATTTTCAATGAGTTTATTAACTTCACTACAAACATAACGCTAAACGACAGAACTTTTGTGGAGGGATTTAAAGGAGAAATCAGTATTCAACCTCAGGACAAAGCCGAATGGTTGTGGGTGGGTTTGAGTAAAGGTGTGGTAGGAAACCATCCGAAAATCAAGGTTAGGGAAGAGTCTCAAGATTCGAAGATTGACTGTGCATCGACTATCTAAATATTACTTACTGAACTCGCAGATAGAACAAACAATAAGCATTCATATTCTGAACTTGATCCTTGCTACAATCAAATTGCACTTTCGCATCATCGAAGTAACACCATTGTTTCCCATTGCCCGAATGCTTTTTCTTTTTGACATACGAGGTATAATGCCCAGTTGTTAAGTTACCAAAATGATTAACCACACCATAGAGGTGGTAACGAAAGGGAGGAGTCTGATTTCGATTGGGGAACGATGCTAAAATCTCATTTTCACGTTCTTTTGGTATAATTGATCTTGGGTCTGAGTTGACGTATGTTCCAACGGATGGCCAGAAACGAGTCAAATCCAAAACATCTTCTACCGGATAAGTCACAAAAGTATCTAGCTTCTTGAAATACCCCCTCAGATCCATGTTGAATCTCTTGAGATGAATAATCAAAACTTTTGGGAACCTTGTAATTGTTATCTTTTTTGTCAGTTTTGTGAACCGCTGGCATCTTGGACAATGCCATTTGTTATCATCGTCAAGTAGTTCTGTTTCGGTGAACAAATCCAAGCACTGATCTAAGGTGACCTTTACATACGATCCTGAAATCTTTTCTGGAAGTGGCAATGACAATATGGAGAAGGCATTGTAAGTCGTGGAAGTCAAATGACATTCAAGACATTCCAACTTTGAAAGATATTGCCCTTGGAAGTAGTCCACAATCACGGAAAAATTCAACTTCAAATATCTCTCCCATTCTATCGTAGATGCAAGTCGCACTGGCATGAATTCCCTAGCTTTCTCTTGCTCCGGAGATAACTCCATAATAGCAGCCCGCTCCTCTGCATTCTCGATTAATCTTTGATTCAAATCTTCATGCAATGAATCCAAAATATAATTGAGAAACTCAATACAATCATGTTGTTCCGAATTGGCAAATTGTCGGCCCGGTGATAACGATCCCACTGTTTGCTTGAAAGAACCCGGAGAAAAATATTTTCCACTGTTATTGAACATACTAGCCAACAATTTCACAAAACTTGTAGTAATAACACCTTTGGAACCGAGCTTGTTTTTCATGTTAATGTGTTGTTTGTAACTCTGTAGAACCTGGGTATTGTTCTCTTCCACTACAGGGAAAAAGAAGCTAGTTAATTGCGGAGTTGAGCTCAAGCACTGAAGGATACAATTCATATAGCAGGAATTTCCAAGATTCGTAAGTCCTGTTGTGAACAGTTCAAGGAAAATCGTCGACTTATTTGTTTGGACTTTCTGAGCAGGATTTGATTTCTGAATTTCACCTGAAGGCACCTTCACCTTCGAGGCCACAGGAATCGAATCTGATCTGATTTCTCCATTAGAGTTCTTATTGGCGAGCTTGTTCCCTGATAAATCATGGAATACCATCGACTTGTGATAGCTATTCAAACTTGTAGCCTTCGTCTCTCGGTTGGACTCAACAGGTGAGGCAGCACTTGAAGATCTCGCCGTTGACAAATAATCACTAAAGTTACGGACATATGAACTATTAGTAACTTCTGACCTAGTTTCGCGAGTCTTTGAACTGTTTAATGATGTGTCCGAGGAATGAAATTTTGAAGTTTCACTTGTTAATGCACTTTCGCCAAATACCTGAAACCACTTCACCAAGCCACCTCGAAGGTAAGCTGGATACTGCTTCAATCTTGAGCTAATATATTTGTTGTCAAAAATAAGCAAATTAATCAAACTTCTGAACGGGTTTTGAGATGGCAACCCGTTATTGTCCCCATGGAGAAGGGAAAATTCTAGAGAATCGAACCGATCGTTGCATAATCCACCAAAGCGAAGATTATAACAAAAGACCGACTCGAATTTGAATCTCTCTTTGAATAATTGAATTTGATGACTGTCCACGTTCTTTGCCAATGCAACTTCTAAATCCATATCTGTTGGATTAGCATTCGCTTCCAATACCTGTCTCAAAACCAGTGGTTCAACATTGACGACATTCAGAAAGTTAATATGGCTGTAATTGAATTCCTTCTTACTTCTGAAATCCAATAATAATACCTTCTCCGGCGATTTCCTTATGATATGATTTAGTCGCTCGCAACTAATACTATCGCTCAATTCGAAGTCAAGGTGTTGCAATTTGTTATATTCAATGTTTCCCCGCAAAGACTCGAATCTTCTTTGAAGACTATCTTCACTCGAAATATGGCTTTGCCCCCCTAATAGAGAGACCTGATCACGAATCGACTCGAAATTCTCTTTCTGAATCTCAAGAGCTTCAAGAAGTTGGTCAGAAAATTTTAACATGACCTCATCCAATGTCCTTTGAACTTGCAGAACTAACCTTAGGCTTATGCTGAACGTTACAAATGCAAATTCGTAATCACAGTATCCTAGCCTTTGATGTTTGCTTACTTGAAACTTGAAATTTTCAAGTAGAGTAATGGCATATCCAATAATGTCAGCCGCTCGTGATGATTCTCTAACTAGGTTTGAAGCTATCTGCTTCGAAATAACTTCAAGACTTTGTATAGAAGTCAGACCAGACTTTAACTCACCATCTGTGACCATGTGATCTAAGTGGCAAGGTGTAATCACCAAGATCTATACTTGATTACATCAAGAGTCACGTGACATATAATATGCAACACGAACATAATCACCACATATTGTATACAAGAAGAATCTCAATTGAACCCGAAGCTCTAGTCAAAGGTCACTGTAAGATTTTGAAATTAGGAAACTCTGATCCAGTTAATGGGGGGTCGTGTAGATTAGCTAACAATCAACTACGCATTCATTCACTCACAATAAAAGCAACAACCGCCTAAGGATATGGCTGTTGTAATAATAATAATTCATAAATAAAGTTACGGGCTGTTTTTTTAAACATTGGATACAATGTATTATTCCCGAGACCATTATAAAAGCGCGGAGTCACAATCGAATTGAGAGTATATGAACAAAGGATGCCAGAATGCTGCGTTCAAGATGTAATCCTTAATCAATTTATTTAACAACTTCAATCTTTACAGCTGATCACCAAAACTCCAAGTACATTTTACAAAGGTATTACGAATTAACAAACTCTAGTTTATCAAATAGAGCACTGAGAAGAAATTCGGCATTGTAGAAAAAATACTCAAGTCATTCTTAACAACATAACACCACTCTTTCTCAAGCGATAAAGTATATGAAATCGCAAAAAGTAATTCCAGACAAGGCCCACTTCTCCTTGATTACTATATGGACTCAACTTTTGAATCAAACTGGAGAGCCTCAAGTATTTCTGACGAGGAATCATTGAAATAGGTGTGAATTTTTCTAGTTTGTAGTCAACCAAGACGTAGAAGTCGAAGTACTTAAAGAATTTATAATAGAATTCTCTTTTCATATTGTACGCTTGACTTTTTTTGGTATATTTTCTGTTGTATAGAAATTAGAACCTAGATAATTTCTTCAGTAACAACATTCATCCGTAGGGTATAAAACTTATCTGTCTCTATAATGTTAATTTCTTTAATCTATGAATATAAGTGGAATTCCTATCCATTCACTTTGGAAGAAATTAGATACATGTTCTTTGATCGTATATGTTACTAAAAATTCCCATGTGCGCCCAAAAAAAATGCATTAGTATAAAGAGTTAGGGTGGGGAATTGAGAGTTGTCACAATGTGTATTCAACTTAGTAGTAAAGTATTTTGCGGACACTCGATCTGTTTTCCTTTCTTTATCCAGTGAAGGATCAAGAGCTTTTACTCTTCTCTGTGCTTGGGCATGTATAGAACTGATTTTAGGCAATGCTTTGATTGCAAATATGTTTACTAAGAAGTTTGCCATAGTTCTTGCCATTTCTACTAGATTCTGATTGTTTTTTTGACGAATATAAAAAAAGGGTAAAAAATTTGACCTGAGTTGTTCAGTTCGATCTATTCTTAGTACAAGGTAAGTGCTATTTAAAAGAAATTTTGAGGATACTGTGTATTTATTAAGATTATCAATTTTCATACTTGTGCAGTGGCGTGAGTTCAAGAGAATTAAGTGAAGGCATGAATATGGAAATGTGGACATTGAGATTCTGAGTGTATGAACATTCACATTCTGATTATCTATTGAATTTGAATTTTCTTAATCCATGTCTAAAATGAGAGAGGGAATTATGGTAATATGTAAACTTTTGGCTCACTGATAAAGATAGTATAGTAGAATTTCTTCAAAGCTTATCAGAACAATGTTAACAAGTAGGAAATTACATAACTGAATCTGCTTAATCAATGTTCGTCGCGGATGTTCTGGCCAGAGTTTGGATATTTTGAAATGGTATTATTGTTGTTACTTTCTCCAAGCATCTCCAATGACATTACTTGCAGTAGCAAAGTTTATTTAATACATCACCTTTTAAGTGTTTGATAGAAGAATCTACATCTGGTGTTAATGGATGGTTTATGGACCGCAAGAGATGGTTTGATGTTCGAGATTAGCTATTTTGGAGTTAGTAGTAAACTAATTGGTTGCAAAATATGCGCAAAGAGCTTTGTATAGTAGTTCTTATTCATAAATTTATTATTGTTATTTCCTTTGATCTCAGTCTTTTACTTTTGTAATGATTTCTTCTGCTTCACAGATAATGTCACAAACCAATAATGAAAGATCTGAGAAGTCGTGCTTAATATTTTTGGAATGCGATTTGGGTTCATGAAAATTTTTGATTCCTGTATGTACATATTGGTATGATATACAAATATTGCAATCTTTGATTCTCAACGTTTACGCAAAATGTCAGATTCCTCGTTTGATATCACGAGAACTTATTTGAAGTTCCTAGAAGATGACCAGGATATGACGATGCCTATTGCGGCTATTGAATCGCTAGTCACCATGTTGCGAGTGAAGCAACCGACAACTTCAAGTGAGTTGATCAAATCGGTGAAGATGAATATTGAGACTTTGAAACTGTCAATTTCTAACGCAATATCCCTTTCGGCTGGTTGTGATCTATTTATGAGATTTGTTTTGAGAAACACCAACTTATATTCTGATTGGGAATCTTGCAAGAAAAATTTGGTGGAAAATGGAGAATTATTTGTGCAGCGGGCAAAGGAATCGAGATCCAAGTCGGCAGAGTTTGGCTTACCCTTCATAAAGGACGATGACACAATTTTAGTTCATTCATTCTCGCGTGTTGTCTACCAGCTCTTGGTGAAGGCCAGGACTGAACGATTATTGAGGTTCAAGGTTCTTGTCACCGAAGCAAGACCATCCGAGAAAGGGTATCACATGGCCAAACTTCTTCAAGAGGCGGACATCCCAGTGGAGGTTATTGTTGATAATGCAGTAGGATATGAGCTCCATAAGGTTGATAAGATCATGGTAGGAGCAGAGGGAGTTGTTGAAAGTGGTGGGATCATCAATCATATTGGGTCGTACCAAATCGGCTGCTTGGCGAAGGCTAATAATAAACCGTTTTATGTTGTAACGGAGTCGCATAAATTTGTCAGATTGTTTCCTCTAGCTCCTAACGATTTACCTCGAGAGATTTCGAAGATTGTCGAACGACAGGATTTACATGCGGAGAAAGATTCAACATTTCTTAGGAGTCAGTCAGTTGATTTTACACCTCATGAATTCATAACTGCATTGATCACTGACTTGGGTGTATTGACGCCTTCTGCAGTCTCAGAGGAGTTGATCAAAATGTGGTACGATTAGTCATTTGCTTCATGAATTTGTTGAAGCTTTTCTTGGAGATCTGATAAGTCATATCGATCGATCAAAAATGCATCCCTGCGGATTGCTATGCACTGGATTCCCTTCGCTTGCAATTTATCAACATCAAGTGGGATTCTTGGGTTATCCATATAGAATAAATGTGTGACAAACTTTGTCCAATCATCAATAAATTCGTGATTAGATTTCTCTAATGAGTACTTGGCCAGCTCAACAATCATTCGAACATAATCGTATGCTTGCATTCCAAATGTTTCACGGTCTTCACAACCATTCAAAAATAGGATTCGTTTCTTGTTTGTTTTCATGTCGGACGCAATAGCACGACCAACACCTTTTAATATAACAATTGGAACAATGCTTGTCATCAACGAACCTATTGAGAATATCACCAGATGTGCATTTGCGATTGCAGATATGACATGATTCTGGGCGGTCGGGCAGATCTCTTCACCGTAAGGAGAAATATAAAAAACCCTTTCAATTGGTGATAGCAAAGGTTCGATATCCTCTGTCTTGTTAAAATGCAATTGTGACTTCTTAAGCTCTGGGTGGATATACAGTGGTAAGTTCCCAGCTTCCTCGTCAGAGGACAAAGCTGACTCATCACTATCAGAGGATTTTTGATTTAAATTAAGTCTAACTTCAAGTTCTTCGGTGGGAGTTGAAGGTCGGGTCTTATCAATCGGCGGTGGATATATTTCCTTTACACTGGATGGGTGGGAAATTTGTGACTGACCAGTAATTATGAGATCATTCGATAATTTTGCACCAATGTGGTAGCTGAAGTTGGTGTTGATACACGGCAAGACTTCAATTTTTGGATTGATATCTGTCATTTTCATAAACAATTCGATTGCAGAGTCTAAAGATCCGATGAAAAGTCTCACTCCAGTGAGAAACAAATTGCCCACATTCGCAAGTTCGTATCGAAATTGTTTATTTATCGTAGAAGACATGCTGATTTTGGACCTTTTGAGCAACTCAACATGAACATGTATTAAAAATGCTCTGAATATCTCTTTCGTTGAGAGGGGTATTCCATTCCATAGTGGATGCGTTCCATCGACAAGTTCATTCCATTGTGCTTTCGCTCTCACTGGATCCTGGTCTAATCTGAATGATAATAGATCCCTCAACTTCGCCTTGTTGTCAGGAATTAGCCTTGTAAGTCTTGATCGTATGTCTCCTATAGCTGGCCCTCCAATCACACGAATAATCTCAGAAGTTGACCCGCCATTATCCAGAATAGGTAAGACATAAGTGACATCCGTGGAAATTGAATTGAATAATGGGACAAGGTCATTAGTAGCGGTTCCTCCACTCAAGACAACAATTCTATGTCCCATTAAACGTGATTAGGATCTCTTGTATTCTACACAAACTAGTTTACTTGGATCAATACAATACGCCGGATTACAACTTAGCGATGTTGAACACACTCTCCCAACGCCCACATAGTGTTCAAACTTCGCAGAATGAACTTCAGAACGTTAATTGATAGTTCACGCTGCCCTAGTTGAATCGAATTGACTGGGCGAAGTTCGGGTTTTAATATCGGATATTATGATAACAAGTTGAGCGAAAAATAGTTGGTGTAGTATTTGAGAGAAGCATGGTATCAGGCTTACTTGTGCAGGTAGAATCAAATCGTATCTCAATTACTTGGAGAGCAGAGCAATCTAACAACCTATTAATCGTTGAATTCTTGACCATTCTATAATGAATCTTTAAACGCAACACTGGGAGGAACGCTAGAGTGAATTGTATGCCAAGTGGAAAAGTTCTGGATTGACATTGTGAGAGACCAACTCCATAAATATCTTGAGAAGAGATATATGAAATGATGGCAAATTCAATGGGGTAAGCTCAGCGTTTTTATTGTAGCGTTCCTATTGAGGGCAGCTTTTGTGTAACATTTTTCGGTAAAAACAGTCACTTTTTTGTGTGGTATTTCCGAGCACAATTTTGCGGTATTTCTCAGAACGTACCCGACTTGTTCTCTGATCACGTGTGCGCAAAATTTTATTTGATGCCATACCTTGAAGTTTTTGTAGTTTTTTTCACTTACTACTAATTAGTTAGTTTATTGACAATGTCTGATCAAGAAGTTTTGGTTTTGAGAGGCACTTTGGAGGGCCACAACGGCTGGGTTACTTCCTTGGCTACCACCCCAACTAAGCCAGACTTGTTGTTGTCTGGTTCCAGAGACAAGACTTTGATTGCCTGGAAGTTGACTGGTGGTGAGGACAACCAGTACGGTGTTCCAAAGAAGTCTTTCATTGGTCACTCTCACATTGTTCAGGATGTCACTATCTCCGCTGATGGTGCTTACGCTTTGTCCGGTTCTTGGGACAAGACTTTGAGATTGTGGGACCTTGAGACTGGTGAATCTACCAAGAGATTCGTTGGTCACACTGGTGATGTCTTGTCTGTCTCTATTGCCAAGAACTTGAGACAAATCGTTTCCGCTTCTCGTGATAAGACTGTCAAGGTCTGGAACACTATTGGTGAGTGTATGCACACTTTGACCGGTCACAAGGACTGGGTCTCTGCTGTTAGATTCTCTCCAGAAAAACCATCTTCCGTTATCTCTGCTTCGTGGGATAAGACTGTTAAGGTATGTTATTTCTTTAAAGTGGAAATATGATGTTTCCAATATTTGCTACTTCAGACGGAGCATAACAGCTTCGAATGAGACATTCATAATCACCAAGATCTCTGATTCCACTTCGATTAACCGGCTTTTACTAACTTAAATAGTCCTGGGATTTGTCTGACTACAAGCTTGAAGCTGACTTCATTGGTCACACTGGCTACATTTCGTGCATCACCATCTCTCCAGATGGATCCTTGAACGCTTCTGCTGGTAAGGATGGTGTTATCATTTTGTGGGACTTGAACTCGAAGACCACTTTGTACACCTTAAACGCTGCTTCTGAAGTTCACGCTTTGGCTTTCTCTCCAAACAGATACTGGTTGGCTGCTGCCACTTCTTCTGGTATTAAGATCTTCAACTTGCAGGAGAGAACTTTGTTGGATGAGTTGAAGCCAGAGTTCACTGTCAGCGCTAAGGCTAAGGACCCAGAGGCTATTTCTTTGGCTTGGTCTGCTGATGGTCAGAACTTGTTTGCTGGTTACACTGACAACATCATCAGAGTCTGGCAGATCATGACCTCTTCCGCTTAATTGTAATAAGTAGATTTATAATACTAAATTACCGTTCTCATAAATTCATTCCCATAGAAACACTTTTCCACTGGATGTACCGCCAATGATCCAATTTTGTGACGGATGGAAAGAAACAACTGCAGGAACAGCTGTCATCTCTGGGGCCTTCAAGTTTGCAATAAGTTCTCCGTGCTGGCTGTAAATGTCAAAGCTTCGCTTCATGTTAGCTATCACAAACTTTTGAAAACTATCTGCTGGCCGCATTTGCCATCTTGCCTTCAAAATAGAGACCCATCGACCAGATTGGCAATTATGATGTATAGAATTAACACTTCTTATATTACCTGTGGTTTTTTTTGGCGATCCTTCAAAGACTGGAACGTAAGATTTCCCCCATTGATTAATATCACGATAATAATGATGGTCGCCGCTTAGATCAAAAATATTAATCTGATCATCATAACCATTACATACCAACCGATTGCTTGAATTCCAATCCACATTCGAAACTGAGAGTCTCGAAGAGTAGGATCCATACAAGTGCGGAGATTTGAGTTTATCATCGATGTCCGAATATGAGTTTCTTTGAGAAATGTACCTCAAGTCCCATATCCTGAAAGAGCGATCCAAAGAAGCAGTGGCTATTTGATACTCCCGGTTGGGGTTGATACTGAAGCCACCAATCTTCTTATCGTGTAAGCGCAAAAGGCTCAGATATGTGATAGTCGTTTTTGGAGCTCTTGTATCACATTGAAACAAATGACCCTCTAGCGTGGAAACAACTAGTGATTGTGGCGTGGAAAGATGTACGTTGACATCTGAAATCCCTAAAGTCTCACCATCTTGATCACTCACTGAAAACAATTCAATTGATGTCTGTTTATGTATATCCATCATCCTTGCAGAACCATCATACGAAACGCTTACAATTCGGTTTGGTGACGAAGGCATCTCAGTAATTCTTGAAATAGTCCTTCCATGAGGTTTAATGGTTGTTATTACTGGAATATCATCGTCGGCATTGGATGAATCGACTGCCCAAATACCTAAGGTCCCATTGGTATCTCCAGCGAAAACAAGTCTATCATCTTGGGCAGGGTGGAAGAGAATGGAAGTAATACGCTGATTCACAAGTTTGACTTTAGAAGGTTCAAACCTTTTGTTCAACGTCAATGAATTGAACTCTTTTCGAAGATCCCTCAACGGCTGGTGGTTACCTGAAACAACCAGTTCGATTGTTTCGTAGAAATCTCCAGCAGAATAGCGCCCTCCTAATTCCAGAAGTCTTGCCAATACATCAAGATCTTCTCTCTTGCGATCACTGTCCTCTGTCTTATTTTCCAGAATACTTTCATCAAAGTTGGGATCAATTTTAAGCACTCGTGATTCGTATTTAAGATTCCCCAGGCTCTTTTCTGCTAGAATGTCAAATAAACTATAATTGCCAATGAGTTTGGTCTGTCTCAATTCATTGACACGCTTCTCTCTCAAGCGATCCCTCTCTATTTCCTCTTCACGTACCCTGTGTAATTCTTTGGCTTCGGGCGTTGAATTCAAACGCTGAGACCGTCTTATCGGTGCTTGAGGTGGTTTTTTATTCCGAGCAGACGATGCTTTACCGGAGTTCTGGATTTTGGGCTTTGTTACTCGTGACAAAGAATCATTGATCTGGTCTAATTTCAAGCTTTTTAACAAGTCCCTGTTTCTCTGTATATTCTTTTTTCTAAGCTCCTCGAGATTTGTATTCGGCATTACTGGACGAAGTTCAGTTTTGCTCGACGCGATCCTGTGGAATTTCATGGCGGATGTAACGCAAGATATCCGAACAAAGGTAGAGACTACCACAGAATACAATTTCTCTAGTATCACCTTCTTTCCTCATTCCTAATAAATAGTCGAACACATCTTTAATTGAACAGGAATTCAATAGGCGAACGTCTTTTACGTAAGGGATGGCAGCTTCTGCTATCTCCTCTTCCAGGTAACATTGCACCCAAGGCATATCAGTGGGCCGAGTGAAACTTGCAGTTAGCAAAGTGTCAGATGTTTTGTTGACAATGTGCTTCAATAGCTGCTCTATAGATTTGCCTTTTGATAAAGCCACAACAAAAATGAATCCATTTTTAGCCAACTGTGTTCTCAACGACAGCAAGTATTTTCCAAGCTCTATCGCCGCATTCTCATTGTGAGCACCATCTATTAAGGCAGTGATTCCGGTTCTGTCATCAGATATAGTTTGTAACCTCCCGGGCCATACAGTTTGCCGAATACCTTCTCTAATTTTATCATCTGTGAGACCAGGGTAATCAAATTTCTCTTTAAGATTCCTCACAAGGGAAAGAGCTACGGCAAGATTTTGAATCTGGTACTCACCTTTGAGAGGTGAAAATTTTATCAATTCTCCAATGGTCCGATCTTCACTCGGGTTGGTAATAAGTAACTCCGACTTCATTTCCTTGGCCCGGGCACTAACAGTGATTAGTACTGATTCTTCGTTGGATCCATCTACCACTGAAATAATATGCTGCTTAATGATCCCTGCCTTTTCTCTCGCGATTGCTTCGATGGTGTTTCCTAAAAGTTGTTCGTGGTCCATTCCAATTTTTGTTATGCCCGCTAATATGACACCTCCAGAACGCTTTCCGTATTGGTCCACGCCCGATGGTTCCAACACATTGGTTGCATCTAGTCTGCCTCCTAGTCCCACTTCTATTAACGCTAATTCCACTTTTTCGATTTCAAAAATCTTGAAGGCAGTTGCTGTAAGTAATTCGAACTCAGTGCATCCCAAAGCTAATCGATCGTTTTGAGATGACACTAGAGATTTTATTTCCTTGAACTTATTTGATGGGTATACCTCATCGTTGATAGATATACAATCGTTGCTATCTAAAAGGTGTGGTGAGGTGAATCGGCCGTGACGTACTTGAGCTACGTTAAGGATCGATGATACATAGGCAATGGTTGATCCTTTGCCATTGGTTCCAGCAACATGTATTGATTTGTAGCTCCTAATGTGTGGGTTGCCTATAATTGATAGCAATCTCGAAATTCTAGCAAGTCCCAAATCGATTGGCATTTCAGATAAAGTAGTTCTTTGTGTGAAAGGATATCCTACCTGCAAAATGTTAGAAAAAAAAAACGAATGCGGTAGACAGTTGACTACAAATGGACACAAAAGATTTCATACAACAGAGGCTAGAATCTCTAAATAATATTGACTCTAAGGTTGTTAAATTGTTAGATTGTATAAGCGTGTTGTTCGATACATATGTGGAACCAAGCAGGCAGAATGATGCAGAGAATATTCTGGTGAAAGATCAGTTCAAACGAGAAGTCAATGAGGTGTATGGACTCCTCAGTACCCTTGCTATAGAGCTCCGGAAAGAGGTAAAAATAGTGGATGACAATATTGGTGTCTATGATAAGAACGAGGACTCAGTGATGATTCTTCCAATTAATGTTGATCACAAGAATACAGTCTTAGGAAAAGTCAAACTAGAGGAGGAATTAATGAAATTGACAACTAATTACTGAGTACTTATCTTGCATTATATGAGTCTCTATATTTCCTCAAGGTATCCCAGTTGAATCAATCTGTCCACATCGGACTTCCTCACATAGAATTGTGAATCTTTGATGAGATTGAAAGATCCATATTCAGTTTGTACCTCGCCTCCATTCTTGAGCACTCTCACATCGATGAAAAGATCCTTTGGTGGTTCAAGGTCGACAGATAGATCGATGTCTGAGAACCCCGCTTTGAAATCCAGGGCCAATTCTTGGTATTGCTTATAATAATCCTGTTCTGGGTGGCTCAAATTCTCTATCATGAGTGTGTTGGCTGACAAGGATTTTGATTCATGATTTGAATTCTCGTTCCCTTTCAGCTCGCTACCGATGAATGGATCGATATTTAGCCAACATAATGTATCAATTTTCTCAGCTCGGAGTTTTTCGTAAACTAATAAACATTGCTTGTTCCTTCTCATGCTCAAATGAGTAGCAAATATTTGACATTGGTTTATTTGCTTAGCATCTTCGTCCTCGATGTCACTTGCTCTTTCTTGTTGTTCAGTTAGATAGGTAACATCCTTGTCGAGATCAGAGACCTCTTGAACAATATCCTTTACTAGCTCATGCAGGTAGATGGGTAGTTCGCTCAAAAAGGTCGATCGTTTAGTCTCGATCATTAGCTTATTAGCTAAGTCGCCATACATTTTTGTGTAGTTGATGGTTTCTACGGGCACGCAAACATTGGAAATTAACAGCATTCCTGTATTCAACTACTAAAGAATTTGAAACATATCCGGAGTATCAATTTCTTAGATAAATAAAGAATTCATAATTACCCGTACGTGATGTGGTCTGGTAAAAGTACAATGTGAACTTTTGTCAGTTTTTTATCTCATTACTGATTTGATAACTTTGTCTAGTAGCGCATATTCTTTGCTCATTTTTTCATGGTTTGTACAAAAGTCAAGAAGCCAACTTGTACAATAAAAAACAACAGAATCCATTAGGATAAAACAAAGACATTCAATTCCCAAGTTCTTAGTCTACTTTGAATATTTTTTTCGTATTGGAGACCCAAAAGCCGCGACTAGATATTCTGTATCGCTAAGAGTGTTTTTGATAATTCTTCCCGATTCAGTTTGATTTAATAGGCAGGATCAACAACTAAACTATATCCTGTGAACAGTCACGGAAGCCAGGGAACATAGTGAGAGTTTCTCCCCCCAGTTCAAATTGAGCGTGTTCACCTAGTGAAACAAGACCATTTTAAACTTCGGTTATGCTTCGCCACCTTCATTAAATCGAAGTTAAACAAAAGTTTACAATGAAAGTATTGAGCCTCGCATTTTCAACATACTATTGGGTAGACCATAGCTGTCTGAAGAACTCTACAACAATTAAAGTTCTTGGGAAAGGAGGATTCGGGAAGGAAAGATGTGGCGTCAGTTGACCTACGAGTGAAGTAGAAAATTTCGAATTTTTATGTCGTACTAGCGTATCCTTTCGGCAGGTTAACCCCAATTGCATCATAATCTGGAGCAATAGCCTCAACGTCATCCACTTTCTGGGGCAAATCAGACTCAATTGACTTTAGAACAGCGTCAACACATAATAGAGCACGAATTCCGTCACTGATAGTGCACGCCGGTTGTGCTTTCCCTCTAATAACATCAATGAAGTGGTTTAATTGTGTATCAAACGGCTTTGTCTTTCTTGTTTCGCGGGTGTCGTTAAGAAGTCTTCTTCTTTCAACAGATGAATGCCATGACCTCTCCGTGATATCCAAATTGTTCTGATGATACAAAGTAAAATCTGGAATAGATAATGTCCCCTTGGATCCGAACACCTTATAAAAACCTTCTAGCTGGTGATCAAACGGTATCAATGGGTTCTCACCCGTTCCAACCTCAAAATTAAAAGGGGAAGTCACATTGTCTGCACATATAAATGTTCCTGTTATGCCATTCTTGAATCTCAAGGTCATACACGCACCTTCATCAGCATTAGGGTATTCTTTCCTTTGTTTCTTCAATAATTCCGCATAAACTCTCTCAACTGGTCCGAAAAGATATTGCAAGAGGTCAATATCGTGTATCAAGTTGATCAATAAGGCGCCACCTCCAGTTCTGACATCTGTCCTCCAGGGAGAAATCTCGAAGTAAGATTTGGGTTTTTGTAAGGCCCAAGTTCCCTGAATTGCAACGATTTCTCCAACATGATGCAAATTCTCTTTAGCCGCCATAATAAACGGATTGAAACGTCTATGGTGTCCTATTAATACCTTCACCTTCTGCTCCTTGACAAATTGTTGCAAAGCCTTGGCCTCCTCTAAGCTCGTGCTAACAGGCTTCTCGATGAGCAAGTTTACTCCCTTTGATGCAAGACTTGCTGCAATGACAGCATGAGTATGATTAGGGGTACAAATTATAGCACCATCTGGATAAGGCATCAAATTAGCTTCCAAGTATTCAAATAGTTTGTCGATGCTTTTGAAGCAAAGAGTGTTAAGCTCTCCTGCGAGTTCAACTGCCTTTGGGCTAGGATCAATAAGTGCAAGAAGCTCACAATCAACATTTTGCAGAATGTGCTGGGCATGACGGGGTCCAATGAGACCAACACCTATAACGATTAACTGGACTGGATTTGATGCAATCATAACTGCTCAAAATTAAATAGTCTTGCAGTTCGACAACCTTTATAGCAAACGTTTTTAGTCCAGAACCAGAACAGTTCTGTTTGGAATGCGGAGAATAATTGGCGGTAGAGAGTAACTCCACAATGACTCAGGAATTTTTTTTTTCCGGGGAAGTATTTCGAGGCTCTTATGAATTTCTTTTTTTTTTTTAGGCATCATTTATCCGCCATATTCAACCACCACCAGTAGTTTCAACCCCGCTCACAATACTGAGCCAAGAAAACGGCATCGCAGGAGTATGGATTAGTGTCAGTGGAGAAATCATTTATCAACGTAGTGGAACAATGATGTTCCAATGTTTGTGGATTGGGAGGTTTTTTTTCTCTCATACTAGCAGCAATTTTGAAAGATGATCATGCCGGTAACTTGAGGATAAGATTTGTTAGTATTCGTTACCCAATTGAGAGTTGGCGGATTCTTTTCTTCTCCGTCTGTCATGTCAGAAGCCTCAAAACCTTCATCTGAATATAATCGATCACACTAGTAACCTTCACGCACTAGTTCTCCCCATACAGTCCTGAGCACTATATGTTTTCACAATAGATCTTTACTTGAACGGGCACGTGATCAGAGGGATCATTGTTTATGGGTGACAACCGAACTGTTTCGGGCCAAAAATGTCCTTCGATATTGATTGGGAAAAAGTCATTGAAGATGAAAGTATTAATCAGGGATTGGAAGAGATTTTAAATGAACAACTAAAGAAAGTGACACTTCCTTCTTTCATCGATAAACTCACTGTTACCAGCTTCTCCCTTGGTAAGATTCCTCCAGAAATCACAATACGACACATTGATAATCCATTTGAGGAGTTTTACCACGACTATAATTCTGATGAGAGCATTACGAAGGTAGTGAAAAGTTTGTCACCTCAGCTCAGTGAAAGTGATAGTGACAACTCCGATGATGAACATTTGCACCACACCACCTTAAATGAATTTGACAACAAAGAGATCCTACCTAACTTTTCTCCTACACCAATCGAAACAACTAGCCGAAAGAGTCTGGACATTTTCAAAAATTTTCACAATTACAATATGAACAACGTCGGTTTGGGTCACCATGATATGGATACACCTGCTAACTTTTTCTCTCCCAATAACTATCCATTTAGAGCAAATTCCACACGCCAACCAGAAGCAAACAAAAGTGAGAATGATATTCAATTCATACTAGATATTAATTATAAAGGCGATGCATCATTGGAAATCACAGTTAATCTACAGGTGAATTACCCTTCCTCTCATTTCATCTCCCTCCCAATAAAATTGAGAATATCCGATATAGTCATTCACTCATTAGCGGCTGTGGCTTATTTGGAGAAAAGTGTATTTATCACATTTCTTTGCGATTTGAATGATACAAGTTCGGACTATTTCACTTCATCTAACTCCTCAGGACAAAGCAAAGTTGCAAATATGAATGGTGGAAATTTCGTAGATTACACTGGTACCAATTATAGAGAGAGAATTGATGTTATCAAGAGTGTGAAAATAGACACCGAAATAGGGGAGATGGAAAACAACATCTTGCGAAATGTCGGAAAGGTGGAAAAATTCTTGGTTGAGCAGCTTCGGAGCCTCATCAGGGATGAAATAGCATGGCCCAATTGGATATGCCTTGATCTTGATGACGACGACGATGAGGATGAAGGCGATCACGAAGATGAAAATGAAAGTGTTGACAAAGATGCAAAAGATCATGCAATGAGTGATGAAGGAAAGGAGCAACTCGAACATGATAATCGTGACAAGCGACATGATGCTGAACATGATGCTGAACATGAAGGTGAAGATGAAACTGAAATGCCAATTGGAGATCGGGGTGAAGATGAAGGCAGTGATGTAAACAAGGTTCCAGAAACCAAGTTATAGCTCTTCGATTACATCGCGTGAACTACATAAGCGAGCTTTGACATAATATTCTCTCCAATAAATCAATAATTCTACATAAGAGTAGTTCTGCCTCCTATGTCGTTGCTTGCGGCGCCATCGGGCATATTCCCATCTCTCCCAGTAGAGAACTGGGTATAAATTTTTGTAAGCTTCGCTTTCTCAGAGGCAGAAATTGATGGTTTTGTTTCGTCCAAACTTTCATCAAAATGGCACTGTCTAATAACAACGGCCAGGCTTTCATCACTTTTTTTTCCGGAACCTTCAAACATTCCTTCAGGGTTACTTAGGATCTTCTCAATTTGGTGAAGCAACCTGACTTTATCAGATGGTTTAAGAGATCTGCTTTTAAGTTTCTCGCTATTAATTTGAAAGAACTCGTAAGTCTTGTCATCAGAGGATACAGAGGCCAACACCGTCTCCTGCTCCGCCAATTTTTCATGCACAGCCTTCAAGTAAGCATTGTAACCCAATCCTTGCATATCTGCTCCACTGAAACCGGCAGTATTCTGAGCAACTTTTCTTAAATCCACATCTTCACTCAACTCCATTTTCAGACATATTCTTTGTAAGATGTCGAATCTATCATCAAATTTCGGCATGTCACAAATGATACTTTTATCTAAACGACCCGGACGAAGTAAGGCAGAGTCGATTAAGTCTGGTCTGCTCGTTGCAGCCAAGACATAAACGCCATCGAGTCCTTCAGCACCATCCATTTGTGTAAGCATTTGATTGACTACCCTATCAGTCACACCTGTTGAATCATGTCCTCTCTTGGGTGCAATCGAGTCAAACTCATCAAAAAACAAAATGCAAGGTTTTGCAGCCTGGGCTCTGTCGAAGAGTTCCCTCACCGATTGTTCGGATGCGCCTATGTACTTGTTTAAGATTTCTGGACCTTTGATGGAGATAAAGTTCAATCCCGACTGTCCCGCAATTGCACTAGCAAGAAGAGTCTTTCCACATCCTGGGTAGCCATATAGAAGTATACCAGACCTCAATCTTAAAGGGCAATTCTGGAAAATTGGGGCATATCGGGTAGGCCATTCTAATGTTTCTAGTAAAACATTTTTGGCTTCCGTCAACCCCCCAATATCTTCCCAACCGGTGGTGGACTTTTGGAGTTTCACACCCCTTAAATTTGAGGGCTGATATCCGGAGATCGCTTTCTCCAACATTGACTTAGTAACAGTTAGCTGCAGATCTCTGCAATTAGTCAATTGCTTTTGATATAAACATTCATAAAAGATTCTGTCACTGAGAACCTTCAAGTCATTGGGAAGATACCCTTCGGTTTCCAGCACAATATCCATGATATCAAACTTTATGGAACAACCCAAATGATTGACAAGGTATTCATTTAAAATTTCATGCCTCGCGATCTTCTGAGGGGCTCTCAAATGAATATAATCTTCAATGAGGTGAGACAATGAGAGGGCTTTATTGAACGAATCCTTCGAGACTCCAGAAACCAAAAGCGAGATATTCGTCTTGTTTTGAGAGTTCACCTTTTGAATATGAGAGTTCAAAAATTCACTGAGCTGATTAGAAACAGAAGAATCTCCATGTTCAACCTCAGCAGACAAAATCTTGTCTAAATTGTCCAAAATCAAAACCGATGGTTCATACCACACCGCCTCGTTTATCCACTTGCTGAAGTTGTTGCAAAGCTGATCAATGGACTCATTCATTATTGTTTCGCATGAAATAAATTTAACGAAGAAGCCGCAATGGCGCAACTTTCGAGTAGCATGCTGCAAGATTAGGGTTTTACCACATCCTGAAGGACCATGTAACATGATACCAGAGTTGTTGAAAGAAACGATATGGTCAACTATGTCGTCAAGTGTCAGGTCGGATCCATACAAAGGACTCGGGTCAAGCTGTAATATATTCTCCACGAATGTGCTTGCTCTTGGCAACTCTTGTCCAATTTCAATCTTTGGCGGAGTCTTGCCCTCAAGGGAGTATGGCTTTATCCAAGCATACGGATCATCAATTCTTTTGAAACAAAGAATTCCTCCATGAGGCAAAACCCCAGGAATCGCCGGAATTCTCGTCATATTAGTGATGGGACTATCAGTGATCATATTGCCTTTCTCATAGAGGAACAGGGATATACCTTGGGAAAGCTTGCTCTGAACCTCACCCTTCAATCCCGAATTCAAATTGATTGCTTCTGTTTTCTTGGTTTGAACAATATATGGGTGAATTACGAAAGTCGAAGGCCGCTTCGAAACATTTTTAACTGCTGCCTTGAGAACGACTTTGAAGCCAATCATTCCCTCCACATTTAACATTGTTGCAAGATCCTTACTTAGTCCGACAGTGTTTGCTGGGGCGGAAGGGTAGCTGACAAGCTTCGCAATCACATTCGGATTCTCAACAAGGTGAACGCTATCTTTATCCTTCGTCAGACCAGAATTGTGCTTCTGATTCGACTCCAGACCAGGATGCTCAGCTTTTACTGATGGACCTAGGACGATGGAGACAGAAACAAAGTCAGCACGGTTAAAAATATGCAGAAGTTCATTTAAATTAGCATAGACCTCAATTGCCTTTGAATTTTCTTTACATTGTGCCTCAAGGAATAAATCATTTGGCAACCCAATGCCACGCTTCAAAACGCAGGGTCCAACATTTGCGTCCTCGTGCGTTGAACGATTACTTTTTGCAGACTTCACCGAATGGCTCGACGTTCTCTTCTTCCTTTCTTTCAACTTAGGAGCAATACTAATTTCAGCGAATGGATCAATTAAGGCGTAGGTAAATTCAGGATTTCCAATATCTTTCACTAGTAACCTGACCGAAGAAGTTTTGGTTGGATACACAACCAAAACTTGATTTAAAGCAACACAGCGAGATTGTTCAATCAATTTCGACTCGATATAACTAGAATGAAGCTCGACAAGCTCCCAATCTGAAGAGTGCTCCGGTTCTAAGAAGATAGTGGATGTCTTCGGGTTTCGAATTTTCACATTCACAGTAAGCAACTGCTTGTCCGCTAGTTTTAGGGAATGAGCGAAAATTGGATCCATGGATACTATCTTTGGGCCATCCGAACTCATACCAGACCACCCAACGTAACTTTTCTGTTGTGACTGCAGCACAAGTTCAACGATCACTTCTTGTGGGGAAACGTTGGCATTGTATAATACGCTTGACAAATTTGCAGGTAAATCTACCAAATTGTTCCATGACTGTCTGAATGACAAATTGATTAAAGTCCCTTCCATTCCAAATAATTGACAAACAAATGAGTGCTGTTTAAGAAAAAGTTGTAGGCATTCAATTGGAAGCTAGCACATGGAGGAGAACCGAGGTATCTACGTACAGGCCCATCGACTGCCCCACATTGGTTCCTGTGAACAAAAGCGAAAGTTAATGAAATGATTTAAAAGACATAGAAGAGGGTTGAATTAAGGGGGCTGACTTCCGGATCGAAAGCAATACTTCCGTAACTCATCCTTAGTATTGCGGTGCATTAATGCATACGACTCCGTACATGATTCAATTCTTCTCCCAAATTGAGAATGATTCCCGCTTCGAGTACAATACTGGACAAAGCGCAGTTTCCTACAAACCATCCCATTTCAACTACAACTTAGATTCTTTAAGTTTTTTTTTGTATGTACATGATCAGCGTCAGCCTTTTGCGGGGCAAGTTCGTTTCCTTGGAATGAAAAACGTCCTAGATTTCAATTCTCTTTCTCTTTCGACAGAACTTGATTGAAACTCTCCAATGAGTGATCACTGTCTTGCCTCTGCTCTAATCTCTTCCGTAATTTATCCTGATTTGCTTGCTTAGCAGCCTCCACAGTTTGGAAAGACCTCCTTCTTATGGAACGACATTGTTCCCATCCTACAACACTTCCAAGGAAAAATCCACATACACCCCAGTGGACGGACCGAGAAGGGCTTTTGTGAATTAGGAAAGTGACAGTTCCAAGAACTCCCATAGACTGAAATCCAGTGAGCATGGCCTCGCGGAAGCATGGCATGCTGACATAGTGGTCGATTGTTAAATCATTCAACAGAAACTTCTGCAACGCATTCACGAACGTAGTTTGAGATTCATGAGCGGGCTCCTTATCTTCGAATTTCGGAGGCAAATCCTCAAGAAGTTGAAGAGGTGCCTGGCTTTCGTGTTGAACTTCTGATACAGCGGATATTTTAGAAGGCGAGCCCCCAAACCATCCCATCTTTCGAACGCTCATTCTGGAGTATCTTTAGTGAGCATTATGTTGAACAAAATAATCACGTGATCATAGTGCATGGAGCAATTATTACACACAGTCTTGAATCAGAGCTTAAGAAGATGATCGGATTTAGAAGTACATAGCAAGAAGTGAGGAGCTATGGACAATAACCTAAGAAGTATTGAGATCTTCCTTTAAGTCAAAAAATTTGAAATCGATCTTAAAAAAATTAGCGCCGCCAAGTTTCGATCCTGGGACATCAGGGTTATGAGCCCTGCGCGCTTCCACTGCGCCACGGCGCTTTTTACGTCCTATTTCTGTACAATCTCAACCATGATAGAATATTGATCAAAAAAGCGTGCATATAAAAATATTGAATGCTGAAACCTAAAGGTCCCCACGTACTATCCGAAAAGAACCACAGGGCGAAACTGCGAGACCAAAAGATACTTTTCGCCATGAGTACAATTGAGGACCTTTTACTTGACTCCCAATTGAAATGGGGAATGCTTTTGCCAATATCAATAGCAATGGTTTTGGTTGGCTTGTTAAGATCGAATTTGACCGAATTGCTTTCTTCGAAGCCAAAACTTGAATTCTTTAAAAAAGCTAGAGAAAAGTACGTCCATACTTTGAATTGAAGAATATAATTTTGACGACTAACATATTTAGATCATTTTTGCAGCGTGTGATATCGTTTAAACTCAACAACAAAGTTTTGAGTATTGAAGACATGGAATCAAGACGGGCGTATTACATGGACGCATTATCTGGATCAGAGTTTTATGCCACTATCGAAGATCCCTCGGCAGCCCTGAATCCATTTACGGATGCCTCGACGAACGATGCGTTAATGAATATGGCTAAAGGCAATATAATGAGTTACGTTCCCCAAACTTTGATAATGGGGTGGGTGAATTACTTCTTTGCAGGGTCTGTCGTTATGAAACTACCATTTCCATTGACTGAAGGGTTTAAAAGTATGTTACAAAATGGTGTGAATACACCAAATTTAAATGCAAGATATGTTTCGGCTATATCATGGTATTTCGTCAATTTATTTGGTCTTCGTCCAGTCTATTCTTTGATAATGGATGATCCCGAAGCTGCTGATCAATTAATTGCTCAACAACAGCAGCAGCAGCAAACAATTCCTAATTTGGGTGCACCTGGAGGTCCTAAAGTTGACAAAGTCTTCAAAGCGGAAGCCGAGAATATTCAAATCCTCGAGCATAAAAGTTTGTTCGATGGCATTGCTTTTCGAACTTTAGAGAGATACACCTGAACTTTTTATGAATGATCGATATGAGATGCACTTATGTTTTTCTTTTTGTGTGATCTTTTAAGTTGTAGACTTTCAATTACACGAACGTCAATGCAAAAAAAAGGACCTCATCGTCCTTTATTTCTTGACAGCTTTATCACATTACGTCTTCTATATTATACAAATTAATCGTAATCATGGACAAAATGAAAGAAGTTGTATTGTATAGAATATTCTATGTATTGTCTATGGGATGATGGCATCGATGAGTCCTGTGTGGAGCATCTGAAAGTACAGATGAGAGGCAATCATCGGAACTACTCTAGACTTTCAACGAACTATTGAGAAAATGGCACCAACAACTATCATATGCATTGGTATGGCAGGTTCAGGCAAGACTACCTTCATGCAAAGATTAAATTCTCATCTTCATTCCAAAAAGTCTGCCCCTTATGTTATCAATCTTGACCCAGCTGTTTTAAAGGTTCCTTTTGGTGTTAATATTGATATTAGAGATTCAGTGAAGTATAAAAAGGTTATGGAAGAATACAATTTGGGTCCGAATGGAGCTATTGTGACGTCCTTGAACTTGTTCTCCACAAAAATTGATCAAGTCATCAAGTTGGTTGAGAAGAAGGAGGATAAAATAAAGAATGTCATTATCGACACGCCCGGCCAAATCGAATGTTTCGTTTGGTCTGCATCAGGTGCAATTATAACAGAGGCATTTGCGTCAACGTTTCCAACTGTCATCGCTTACATTGTTGATACACCAAGAAATTCCTCACCAACAACTTTCATGTCTAACATGTTGTACGCTTGTTCAATCTTGTACAAAACTAAGTTGCCAATGATCATTGTGTTCAACAAAACAGATGTGCAAAACGCAAAATTTGCCGAAGAATGGATGACCGACTTTGAGCTGTTTCAGATGGCATTAGCCAAGGATCAAGAATTGAATTGTGAGGATGGAACATCTTCTGGATACATGAGCAGTTTGGTCAATTCAATGTCATTAATGTTAGAAGAATTTTACTCACAGTTGGATGTTACAAGCTGTAGTGCTTTTACTGGAGAGGGCTTTGACGACTTTATGGATGCAGTTGATAAAAAGGTTGAAGAATATAACCAGTACTACTTGGCTGAGCGTGAAGCAATCCTCAAACAGAAGGAGGAAGATGAGAAAAAGCGAAAAGCCAAATCTCTACATAAGTTGATGAAAGACATGGAATTGAATGATCACGACCAAAGGGATTCAGAGGTGCTTTCAGATTACGAGGACGGCAATGACGATTTAAGTGGGGAAGTTGAAAGAGATGACCATGAGGAACCAACTAGGGAGTACACGTTTCCAGAGGACAGACAGACAGAGCTTGGAAAGAGTGATGCAGATTTACAAGCTCGCTACCAGGCCGCCTTCGATGCGACAGCGAAGACTACGTCTTCTAAGACCGCAGAGAGTATTGCTGAATACATTAGGCGCTAGATACATAAATCATGATGCAAACAAGCTTTCTATTGCATAAGGAGTAGAATGGTATTCCTCTTTGAAGATCAAATGAGGCTTGTGTTTAGCCAAATGTAAGATTGTTCTTCCAAATTCTGAATTGCACCATGCGAACCATGGCCTTGTGTAGTCTTTGCCACGAGCAGAATCAACGTTGACACTTTCGTGCATAAGTCCAAGACCAGCTGTGGTTTCCATTACTTGCTTTAGATTAGTTTGAATCTCCTCATCATTATCGGTCGTTCTGATCCTCATGAGCAACGACATGGGCCAAGCATTCATAATTCCAATGTGTGGTCCTCCTATGCCCAGAAAATGAACACCCTTGAGAAAGTACGGATTGCCATCTTTAGACAAAATCATCTTTCTGGTATTCTGGTAAATTTCGTCACTTGCATCTAGATATCCGATATCTGGCAAAGACAACAAAGATGGAACATTAGCATCATCCATGAAAATACTCCCACCGTATCCATCAACCTCATAGGCATAAACACGGCCCCAAATTGGATGTTCAATTATTCCATACTTCTCAATACCTTCTTCAATATCTTTGATGAAATCCTCCGTGTACTTGATATGTCTTTTGAGATCCAACTGAATAGAATCATTCTGAAGAATGTTCTTCATAGTTCTTCTTAATTCCACAAGCATATGTGCGTTTCCAGGAATAAAAAACTGTAATATTGTGGCGTCATCAGAAGGTCGGAAAGCAGAGCGTACCAAACCAGTATTAAAATTAACTGGATTACCAACTCCACCTAGTGGCAAAGTCTCCGAGCCGATGTTCGTTTGCCTTTGAAATGTATAGTAAAATGGTAACGCACGTCCATCTTCCAGATTAAACAGAGGCTGTGATTCTCGCTTTAAGACAATAAGAATTTTCTCATAAGCAGCTAACCAGTACTTAGTGATTACAGACAAATCACCGTCAGAATTTTCCACATAATCGTTTGTTAAAGTAAGAAACGATGCCAATGAATCAATTTCGTACTTGCACTCAAAAACTAACTTCCAATTCGGAACTGGATAGACCAGATCCATGGCTGTATTACCTCTTTTCACTCCGGATCCTGGCGGAGGATGAAATGCATTACAATATGGAGATGAAATCACATACTGTTCTTGTGTTCGTATTGCTCCTTTAATGAGGTCTTTGAGCGGTTGGTCATACTTGATCAATGGTTGGAAGACAGAAAGTTGCCTAGCGGAGTCACGAAGCCATTCAGCGTGGATATCTCCCGTCACGACAAATGTCTCCGGTAGTTGAGCATGATGACTTGCTCCATTTCCTGAGCCCGAAGGCTTGTGCCATAAGATGGTAGTATCTAATGTGTTGGGCAAGGTGTTTTCAATCAATCGAGCTAAATCGGGGTCTTTGATTTTTGACTTCAAATCTGTAATGAGCTTTTCCAATGCCTGTGAAGTAAATGTTCGGCATTTTGGCGCCGGCCGCATATACGGATATTTGAATTTGCCTTGTGAGAAGGGTGGATGCTTTTCCTGGCAATAATCGACGTATTCGGGACACTTGTGAGTCTTCTTATCAAGTTTGGCCAAAAATTCCGGAGTGATATCATCTTTCCAAAAAACGTCATTCAATATCTGCTGTTGGGAATCCTCGAAAGAATGTTCAGAGTTGTCATCATTGAGTCTATAGTCCTCTTCAGTTACATTTGGAAGGTTCATATCATATTGTCCAACAGAGGTTGATTGAGTCCAGCGATAAACAACAAGCACAATCGCAACTATCAAAAGCCAATGGACTGGCTTTGATACACGAACAACTTTGGATAAATTATATCGAGGCATTTTCTCATGTGAAGTTATTCAAAGGCAGTTGAGAGTACCTTACAAGTCTAAACACGTGACCATACTTATTGTTTGGTTAGATACAAACTATCTCCATCCGACGACTCAGCAACTTCGACAAGACCCCACTCGCCGATTGTCCGGATTAAATGCGAAACCCCACTTTCGTTTGAATTCTCACTTTCATGATGTGTTTGAGCCCAAGTTAAAAGATCTTCGTATGTGGCATTGAAATTCTTTGTCATATAGTTGGTATTCGTCAACAATTGCTCAAAAGGTTTTGATAACGGAAACCTTGAAGATAACCTGATAGCAAAGACATCAAAATCATCTTGAGAACGAATGAACTGAAGAAGATCATCGTGCCTGTCTTCAATGATTGGAGGTTCAATTGTTATCATGTAAACATCGTTGTAGACAACATCATATGGGAAAAAGCTATGCACATCATCGAAAATGTTAATCTTTGCCACTTCATCTGCTAATGAAGTCATTGGCAATGTGTCCATAAATGCTGCAAGTTCATCTTCTTCAACTTCAACTCCATGCTTATCAACGACAAGAGGCTTTTGCAGAACTGAAATTTGATCACTCAATTTGTCATTTGAATAGGACATCTTAGATCCAAGTGTGTGGAGATAACTATCTTCTCTTGAGGCAAGAGCAATGCGAAATAAATCGCTGGAGGCTAAATCTGTGAAATAATAATTCTTAGTCCTCTTAACGTAATCCTCACTGTTAGAATACTTCCCAGACAACTCAGTAATACCAGCACGTAGCATTTCATATGGAGGATTGCATGAGAGGAGACTATGTTCTGACATAAGCTTCTGTTTCTGCTTCAAGAAGAAGATCATGGGTGTGTTGGCTAGCAATCGCTTATACCACCTGAATGAATTGATAGTGGACCTGACCTGAGGAACATGTGTATATGGTGACAAAGTAGATGCAAAATTTAGCAAGATTTTCGCTTGGTAATCTGTAAAATGTTTAAAAGAATGATTTCGAGAGCTAATTAAAGATCCTGAATCTAAATCGTTAAAACATACTTTCAGAGATTTGGATTCTCGCTCTTCGAATAATGGGGATATTAGCTCACTGATAAGCGGAGGGAAATCAGCACTATTGTGAATCTTATCGTGTTCATTAGTGACGTTCATTCGCCAAAGATGTTGCATGAACATTGCTGGACCGGTATTTCGAAGATGATCTTTGATCTCCATATTCTGTGCATTACGGTATGCTTTGCTTAGACATTCATATACTCTAAATATATCTCGAAGTTTTGGAGGTATTCTGGACAATATGTGGCGTGACATAGGATGATGGAGAGGTGGTACATGATTTTAGCACTCGATTCGAATTCTTCACGTAACAAAAACCTGCATAAATTGTTTGGTTGTATCTTGCGTCTGTGATGTGTAGGGTTCTTGGAGCTACAATAAAGTGCTAAACGTGTGCCGTAGGTTAGGTGAACATCTTTTATAATTATCATAGTACACATGTTTGTCTATTTCCTCTACTTCAAAACAAACTTGAAATTCGGATTGGATTGAACCAAGCAGGCGCGTTACATTCTCTAAGAGTTCATTCTACTCCTTGACGGCTAAGAGATACATCAGTGTTAACTCTAGTACCAATAAATGGCTCCCATGGCACTCTTCTCCTCTCTACATGTCGTGCATAGACCCGACAATTTCGATAACAATTCATTGAATAGATCGTATCTCACAGACTTTTTTTTAATTACAGTCGCAAATGTGTGTATGCGTGATAGGAAACGTAATCGACCAATAGTTCATGACCTGAAACTTGCTCATTCAAAAAGCGTAATACCTTCGATTACAAACGTAAACGTAGAACAATGAGTGCGGTCTTTGAAACAAGTTGCGATGGAGTAATTCAGTTCTTGCGACAGCTTTCAACACATGACTTGGAAACCACTCCCATGAACGTAAAGTTACGGGAAAAGTTGGAATGCAAATCAGCATAGCTGGCTCTTCTGGTAATGCTAAAATTGATTCTTTTTCTGAACATCATAAATTTGGTACTATATTCGAGACTAGACTATAATAGCATGGTCATGGTCCTATTGGAAGCAGTTGAATTGAGGCTGCTAAAATACTGTATTATCGCCAAAGCTATCACCATTCGGCTACGCAAGCTGAGCTTCCAGAAGAGAACATGTCTAGATAACCAACATTTCAATTTTATTGTAGGTCACTACATTAATATTGGGTACTTATATAACACGACCCGTGATCGAAAGTAAATTTGGAAGTGTTATTGATATTTTTTTCTTGAAACATTTGTAGATTGAGTACTATATCAGAGGCCATAATGAGTACCATGTTCATTTTCCCGTTAAAAGTAGTAAGGCTAAGGTTAATAAAATGCTGTTATTATCACAAAAGCACTTTTGGTTTTAAAACAATTGCATATTGGGTACATTTTTTGGGAAATTCTGATGTGAGCTATTACTGTACGGTAATTATTATTTGAACACAAAATAAAAACACAAGAGGCAACTTGTCCGAGTGGTTAAGGAGAAAGATTAGAAATCTTTTGGGCTTTGCCCGCGCAGGTTCGAATCCTGCAGTTGTCGTTATTTTTTCTTTTTCATGATGAAGTCCATCATTTTCTCGATCCCTCGTTTAATTAAGAGTAGAAAATCTATGATAGAGCATCTTTTTTATTCAAACATTTGATTGATTATTCGACTATATAGGCGCCATCGCTGGCGAAATTACATAAGATTACAGAGAAGACCAGCACAGTACTTGCTATGCAAAGAAATTCATTAGAGAGGTCAGGGGAGAAGTTATTGTCCAAAAGTGAGTTATTATTTTAGAAATATGGAGCCGAAGTATGTAGAATGATAACTTTTCGTTGTCAACAATTGTCACAAGCCACTAACTGAATCAAAACCCCAACTAAGATCTTATGTATGCTGTTAAGAGCTCTGGATTACAATATTTTGAAATGATCTGTCAACTTTCTGAACACGAGCTTTTTCTTAAAAACAATTGTATATTGGGTACTATCTCAGCGGTCATACTGAGAAGCATGGTCATAGTCCGTTGAGAGTAGATAAACCAAGGTTGCTAAAATACTGCTATCATCACCAAAGCTTTCACCATTTGGCTAGGCAAGCTGCCACTTCCAGAAAATAACATGTCCAGATGCAACAGCCGACAAGTTAGCTCTAACTCAGGTCACTACAGAAAAATTGGATACGGGACGGCCGTAGGGGCCGTAAGTGGTCCCTTCTTGGCTCTGGAGGTGACGATGGACGTATTCATGTTTAATGATACATACTAGGGGATCAACCTTACGAGTATGGTCTAAATCAACAGGAAGAGGTTTGGGCGAGATTAAGTTCACCCAGTAGCCCCATCGCAGTCCACAAGGCTTTCGTACAGTTGCAAAACTGATAGATATTCTTTGTTAGAGCTGCATGGGGAAGGTTCTACATACAAAACTTCAACTATTCTAAAAAAAAAACAATTGTATATTGGGTACTATATCAACTACGTTGAATTTTTTTTTAATTAGCGTATACTATGTTCTATATCATGGACTACTTATGTAATCATAGACCTGTTAGTGTAGTTAAAGAAATAGCGGAATTTTCTTTTTTTTTTTTTTTTTTTTTTTTTTTGAAACATTATATTAGGTACTATATCAGGGACCAAGCTGTAAGAGCATGGTCATAGTCCTAGTAGAGCATAGTGGAAAAGGAGGTTACTGTTCTGCTGACATCATCACCAAAGCTCTCACCATTCGGCTAGGCAAGCGGCCGTCTCCAGGAAATAACATGTCCAGAGGCAACTGCCGACAGACCAGTTTTAACTCAAATTACTATGTTAAGATGGGATGTCGATAAAGAACATCCTGTGGCCGGAGTGGCTGCAAATGCACACCATCCTCCTTTTTTTTTTCGGAATTGGGTTTTTTGAGGTCTTTATTTAGACAATATTAAGCATGCACATCATTAAAGAAAAAAAGAGGCAACTTGTCCGAGTGGTTAAGGAGAAAGATTAGAAATCTTTTGGGCTTTGCCCGCGCAGGTTCGAATCCTGCAGTTGTCGTAATTTTTTGCAATTTGTGACATTAAATGTCTTTAGCATTTCCTTAAAAGCTAAAGAGTTGATGAGCGTGAGTTGCTACTCATGAACTGATGAGAATTGATTCAAAATGGATATTAGCATCTCGGAATCGCTACCATGTTTCTTAAGTATTTAATGTGACGTGCACAGAACGGTAACAAACTAATGCATGGTTCAACTTTTGCATTTCTCAATTTTTCCCCCATCATCGCGCTCACTATCGCTTTACCAATTAGATCACGATCTTGAAACTGATTGAGATCCTCATCTATTCAGGGGGCCGGGTTAATAAAAGCTTACAAGTTCCGAATTTGGGTTCTTATTGCTTGAGAACAGGAGAAGTATTTTCGCGATGAGGCACCACAACATCAATATGTACAACCTACACTTTTTGTCTCAACACCAACTACGGGAAGATGTCAGATGATACATATGACCTCGGAGGAGGCATGTTTGAAGAGCCTGAAGGATATGTTCAACCTCCACCAGAGTCTCATTTCGTTGAGTACGAAAGAATTCTGGGAAAGGCCAATCCAGCAAAAATTCAGTTGAAACTAGTTGGAAAATCACCATTGTGGGGTCACTTATTGTGGAACGCAGGTAAATATACGGCTAACTACCTTGATGAGCACTCTGAAGAGCTTGTTAAAGGCAAGAAGGTTCTTGAATTAGGAGCAGCAGCTGGTTTACCATCACTTATATGTGCAGTTAACGGCGCTTCGAAGGTCATTGTTACCGATTATCCAGATGCGGACCTCATATCACATATTCAATACAACGTCGATCACCTTGAGGGCGTTCCAGCATCGACGGATATAAAGGTGAAAGGTTTCATTTGGGGTCAAAACACCTCCAGTTTGTGTTACGATAAAATCTACGATTCTGACGACTTGCCAAAAGTTATCGATGAGAAAGAAAAATTTGACTTGGTAATATTATCAGATCTTGTGTTCAATCACACTGAACATCGCAAGCTATTATCCAATTGTCGTGATTGTATGAAGAAGGACGGTGTTGCTCTTGTTGTGTTCAGTCCTCATAGGCCATGGTTGCTAGAGGCTGACTTACAATTCTTTGTGACTTGCGAGGAGTTCGACTTCAAGGCGGAAAAGGTGGAACAGGTCAACTGGAAACCTATGTTCGATGAAGACGAAGAGACAGTTGAAGTTAGATCTAGAGTTTACTGCTATAAACTTGTTCCACAATGGAATTAGATAGGAATACAATGCAGAGCAATTACGGGCGGTTTTTTTTCTCGAAATGTAACAAGTCAGATTTATTAGCGAGTAATACTTACTTTCATAAATAACGACAAAGTGTTGTATTAAGTATACATTGGTTGGTTACCTCTGGTGAGGGTCATGAAATAGCGTGAACAATTTTCAAACAGTGCGTTTAAGCAGCGTTAGAGTTAGCCTTTCTCTTACCGTTAACCAAAGTAACGTTAACGAATCTTCTGGTGTACAACAATCTCTTGTAAGCTCTTCCCTGAGGCTTCTTTGGCTTCTCAGTTTTGTCAACCTTTGGAGTTTGAGACTTAACCTTACCGGCACGAGCCAAGGATCCGTGTTGCTTACCCTGAACTTGTTAGTATATCATACTATATTGATTTCGTCGAAGTCTGTAGTCGATTCATAACGCTAAGACCGCGTGAACATCTCCTATTGAATTCGTCCGTTTGATAAATTGAAGGCAAATCCCGAATGTGGCCCCAACCGATAGAAGTAATGCAATCTTCCCATCACAAGAGCATATGGCGGGTTGATCAATCAGATGGACGTTCAATATTTCAGCTGTTATTACATACCATTCTTGCTGATTATTTTAGTAGTTAAAAAGGGAATCAATAAATTCTTTTTGAGGATTTCCTCAAGAGTGTGCGAAAATTTGAGGTCGTGTTAAGCCGAAATATGCATTGGTCATCACGTGCATTTAGGGCTTGTACCCTAATAGTACCGAACATGATTAAGTTTCAATTTATATGGGTTTAGGTTATTTAGTGTCTATGAATTTGTGTTTTATAAATTTCATTATGCATTTAATAGTACTAAGTTCAAAAACTAGTGTTCGCTAAGTCGTGATCAACACGATTAGAAGTGTAACTAACACTAATAAAAACACAAGAACATTAACCAGTCCGATAGACCACTGTGAAACAGGATAAAATGACGAAATGAGCAAGGATTGGACTCTATAATACCTAAAGAATCCCTGCACTAGGGTGTAAATACCAGTTATTATAAATGCAACCCCAATTGGCTTCCCGAGCCTACCCACTTCTTCACTTTCTCCAAGATTCTTCAATTTGAAGAGTTGTACTATACCAATACCAACAGTGACAAGAGAGAGTGAAGTCCTGAGCCAAGCAAGGAACGTCCTCTCGTTGGCCATCTAATAACGTTAGTTGTGGTTGATGAATAGGGCCAAATTGAGCCCGAAGTGTGTGTGTGTGTGTGAAATGAATCACTTGATTTGATAAAGATATGAACATACATGATCTCTGGCAACTGAACCTTTACTTTCCAAAGTCAAAGACGAAAAATGGTCAAGGAATCCAGATGGAGACTTAGGATCTTCATTAAGTAAGTACCTTGTAGACGGATCGATGGAACCAAATAGAGCAGAAGACATTATGAGAGATGGATACGTCTTGTTTTAGATGTTATAATATGCTAGTATGAGCAAGGTTTCGAGATAACGAAGGGATGGTGGTGAAGGTATCCTGGTCGTGGGGTATTTCTTGAGACAGGGTTGTCATGATGTAATCGAGCCACACTTCTAAAACATAGCCGCGAACTCAAGGCAGGTACACCCGAAAAATTGATCGTGTCAATGTGAGACAAAAAGACCAACGACAAAACCGGACGTAGAAACCAGCATATGAGCACCAAAGACACAAATCAAACTGAATGTATCGAATCTGAGGTGACTTCTGGAGTATGACTCCTTGCACGTGCCCCAAGCACTTATCTAATCTTCAATCTAGTAATCCTTTTGAGAGAATTACACATTCTGAGTAAATCATACTGATAACTATCACAGAAGCATGACAAATTACAGTACACTGGTCTTAAAAATGTATGAATTATATTGATGCTATGGCCACAGGTGTGTTGAATGTGAGAAAATGTCTCATGCAATTGCTCCTTGTCTGAGATCTCTATTTTGCAATCATCAGATGAAAATTAAACAGAGCAATGATAAAACAAGAAGCCCTATGCTAGTCACAGGCTTCTCATTGGAAATTAAGGGAGTTTTTAACAGACCGGCGGCGTTTGTAGCGGTGACTTCAAGCATCGAGTAAGATCTGATCTCCCCCACTTTGGCAGATAAGGATGGTACACCAACAGATCCCAGCGATGGGCTTGCAACGTCGATGTAAAAGCTGGAGAATGACTGTGTAAATCTGGATTCGGTAGTAACTGTAACACCTAGAGAATTAGTTCCCGTTACCCATACCAAGGTTGCAGTGGTGGAAGTCGTGGCTCCAAGAACCATCGTAATCATAAACGATATGAAAAGCATAGAACCGATCTTCATCGTGAAAGTTAAGGTTATGGTGATCTATATGGATGAATGAAGGTAAAGCACCGTCGGAGAACTTCCCACTGCTTTAGGATACCGTTGACCTAGGGATACCTTTGAAACTTCCAGGCCGTTGTAACTTTATATGCTAATCCACTACTCATCTGTGTCGTGCCATGCAACATGATCTCTGGTATAAAAGCTTCGCATACGCATGCCGCGAGAAATATATTACGCATGCTTCGACCAGGTAATCATAGCCCTTTGCCCACTTATTAAAGAATAGTGACTAGAAGAGACGTTTTAACTATTTAAAATTTCCAAATCCGTATGCTGGATATTGGTGAAGTTCGTTCTTCATTCATTTCTTTATCTACTTTGATGAGGTATTATATGTTTGGTGAGACTTCCTGGGATTGTATCTGGAGGCTTGGAAGGAGTGTTGCGTAATGATGCTGGGTAACGGAGTTCTAAGAATAAACCATCAACAAACACAGAAACTTTAGCTCCAATAGGGGGACAAGTTGTTCATGTAGGCACAGCAACGAGGGATGAATTCCTGAATTATACCGCACGGTTACAATGAACCCTCCACTATTGTTTTCAGATAATCTTCCTACCTGATACCATGGAACAACCTCCTTCGAAATTTGCGCAGCGACATACAGGAGCAGGAAGGATACTGCATAGCAATGTTTTTCTCTTCAAGCTCAAAACCTTAAATTGTCCAAGCAAACTAAGAAAACTTTTCTCCAAACTTTTGATCGACAAATTAATGCTTGTAAGATATCAGTTTCAATCCTGAAACTACACCACGGCTTACCTCACAGGGATGTTGGAACCCAAAATTAATGTCTAAAACAAGGCTCAGCATTGAACTCCTTGAGCTGTCATCTGTGAGGTGCTTGTAGCCCAAGCCATGTGACTTATAAATACTTACCGCGGAGACGCGGCAATCTACTTGCAAACATTAGGGCAAGCTTCTAACCAGTAGAACACACTAGAATTTGCCAACCCGTTGCATAGAAGACGGGAATAGGCTATGGTTACCGACAATGCCGAAATAACCTCGCAAGTAGACTGGCATACACGTCATCGTTATGAAAACTGCACATCATTACTATATAAAGTAATCTACTACAGGTTTCTTAGCTGGCAAAACGTTGATGTCCTGATTGACAGCTTCAAACACTTTGTACTGTCTGTTCAAGTTGTCGTCAATAGTAAGGATTGATGCGATATTGCCGCATCGATAACAATAATTAGGGGCTGACCAAACTGTCACTAGAGCCCCAGCAAACATTTCTTTATATCCCTCCATCACCAACTGATGTGCTCGCGCTATCAACGAGATATCGTTCTTGTGGCAGAACTTAGTCACTTCATTTTCACCAAACAAGTAGCCAGCACCTCTTGGTGAAACTGCCCAGGCAGGTACCTCCTCTGGATCCGACCATAACAAATCACACATAGCTCCCTCATGCGGGACCTCCTGCTTTCTGTCTAGTCTCCGAATTTCGTCTAAACGATCAATATCAGGGCTGAGCCCTCCATGTACGCAAAACACTCCTCCTTTACCTCCAACTACTGCTCCTAGGGAAAGGTAGTCGAACACCTCGCAACAATAGCGCCAAACATTAACACTTCCATACTTGCGCAAACATTCATCATAGAATCCGTAAACAGTGGTTATCTGTCGTGACTCATGATTGCCTCGTATAAGAGTGATTTTATCTGGATAGCGGATCTTTAGCGTAAGCAACAAAAGTAAGCTTTCGAGTGAGTAAAACCCTCGATCTACAAAATCTCCCAAGAATAGATATTGTGTTTGCGGAAACTTCCCGCCTGTGGCAAAAAGAGTCACAAGATCATGTAGCTGCCCGTGGATGTCACCACAAATAGTCACCGGTGTAAATAGTTGTTGGATATTCGCCTCTTCTACTAAGATCTCAATAACCTTTGTACATATTTGCTGAACATCTTCTTCAGGAATAGACTTGCACGCTTTAATATCTTCAATTATTCTGATTGTTAGTTGTGATGTTAATACAAAATATGACTGATCCATACTTATCTAGCTCCAACATTGTGGAATATATCAAGTCTATTGCGTTCGCGTGTGAATATTCGTGGTGAAAGATAATACACCTACACCTTATACACCGGATGCACATCAAAAGAAGGTTTCAGGTAAGTTAGCTCTAAGCTTGAATAACTTCAGAAGTTGTAGTAAACAAATGTTATCATCGTAAGTCATACAGTTTGAATTTCAATTTGAGACAAGAATTGGGCATCCTTGAAAATCATGATCTAATTATTGCTTCATTTTCCATTCAATAAGTTCCGAAACTAGTTACGTAGGCACAAAGCTAGCTGCTTGCGAGTTTTGAATTGCCATTATAGTTTTTGTGAATAGATGTGATTATTTTGAACACAAAATCCTTTAAATATCTGGAATAGAGACTTGCCAATTGCTTATGTCTTTTGGGGCCAATTTAAGAATCCAACGAAAGGTCTTATAGTGTAGTGGTATCACCTCAGATTCTGATTCTGGTAACCTGGGTTCGAACCCCAGTAGGACCTTCTTGAATTTATTTTTTCCATAGTACCGATATTTTTTTTAACAGTATTAGATCAGAATGATCATCCACTTAATATGACTCAGGTCCTCACAGAAAGAATGTGGTCCAAACTCTAGTCCTTTACAATCCTCGATACTTTAGCAATAAATAAAATTAGAAGATCTGAATATTTCTGATTAGTTAAAAGGGAAGTTCTTGTTAGAAATTTTGTAGTAGTAACTTCTGGTCATCTTTCTGAAAGTCTTACCCCAAATAATGAAGATGATGAATGCACCATTGATAACAAGGGAGAGCATAAACATCAACCAAGTAACCACAGTGAGGCCGTTGTGATCGAGCCAAGCTTGAAGAGCCCAGGTGAAACCAGTACCAATGAGGTTTCTCACAAACAACATCAACACCAAACCCTCAGAAGCCAACTTAGGATAACACTCAATTGCGTAAGTCATCGTAATTGGACCAGAAGAACTCATGGCGAAACCAAGGAATCCTTGACCAACAACAACCGAGAGAGGCCATGGTTCCACATTTACGGAACCTAAACCGTAAGCCAACAAACCAGCTGCGTTGATTACCATAACACCAATAGTAGGCCAAAGTCTGAATTCCGCTTCCAAGATACCGTTGTTTCTCTTGGCCATCTTGATAGATAACCAATCAACGAAGGGGCCACCATACAACATTCCAAAGAAGGAACCAATCAATGGAGCCAAGTTGGTCAAACCAGTGCTAGCAGTGGAGAAATTATAGTAGGTGGTGTAGATTTCGGACTGGGTAGTGGCAAGCAAGGATAACCACATCATTTGAGCACCATAAGAAATACCACCCCAGATGATAGCAGGGAAAGAAATCATGAAGAATGGACGGATGAAAATGACATGCCATGGTCTGCGCTCATTGAACTCTAACTCCAAAAGTTGCATGGACTTCCAGTATCCTCTCTTGGTACCCTCCAATTCTTCTTCTCCAGATTCTTCAGAGTTTGCTCCGCTAATAATATGCTTGATCTTGTTGTCCTTCTCTGAAACAACACCTGACTCAACGGCAGATAAAACGATTTCCCTGGAACGCATTTGTTCCAAAATATTCTCTTCTGTCAGCTCGTCTTCATCCTTACGAGCAAATGTGGAGTCCTCCATCAAGAAAAGCTGGAATACGAACAAAACACAGAAAATAATGACCTGGAGTCTGAAAGCCCATCTCCAGTCTGGTAAGTAGCCAGCAACGACTGGTCCGATATCAGAACCAAAGTACAAAGCTAAGACCAACCAGGACAACTTGGAAGCTCTCTCATGAGTGAAAAAAACATCTGTGGAGGAAATCTCAACCAAAGAGTCGACTGGGGCAGCAGCGAAACCCGAGATGGCGTTGATAGCCATTAAGTACTGGACATTGGTGGCATTGATACCAATTGCATTGGCAACGATAGCCAAGAGCGTACATGTCAAATAAACGAATCGTCTACCCAACTTCATGGCAGTTGGCTGGAGGAAAAGACATCCCAAGCCCAAAAATAAGAAACACAATGCTGAAGACACGTTCAACTGGTCGTAAGTACAGTTGAACTCCTCGGTCCACTCGGTCCAGAATGGACCCGACCAATTAACTGTAACAGCTAAAAAGAATGACCAAATGAATAAAAGCAAAAACTGCAAATTCTTCTTTCTTTGCGACCAGCGCAAAGGATCATTGACATTCTTCAGGGGTTGAGGCTGAAGAATAATATCGGATTCACCTTTTCTTTGAATATGTAAATTGTGGGCAACATCCACCAAATGGACTGTACCAGGAATCAATTCATCGTGGTCAATGGGGACTCTTTCACCTGAAAGCACCAAATCAAGTTCATCCATGTCTGAGAAAAGTTTGTGGGGATTGAAAAATGCAGAGGGCCCTCAATTTATATATCACAACCAGTGACCTACTGCATTGATAATTTGCTAAACATCGTTATCAGTTCCTGAGAAGCGTGCATGATGCGGAGACTTAATGGAATGAGGACTGGGCCTCATTCATAACCCTCTACAGGCTTTGACAGACTCCGTCCCAATGGGGCAAGTTACTGCGTCGGCTATATGCAGAAAGGCGGAATTGATCGAATGGGCATATTGTTTGTTAACGGGCTATTCCGCAGAAGTCGGGGAATTTGCAGCCAACCAAGAACCCTGATTATCTACGCCACCTTGGATACAGTTGACCTTCGGTAAATTTGCAACGATTCCCCTCGTACACTCGCAGTTAGGTGGGGTTGAGTTTGGCACGCTGTGAATATGCTTTCGGCTTGTCTTTATTTTTCCTGTTCTAAATTCTTCTCTCAACATTGTTCATTACGTTTATTATTCAGAGTCATTTTCGACTATTGCATGGTCCTACAGATTCAACTATCGGACATGCTAAGATTGAGCGAATATCTTGATTACCTTATCTTGTCACACATGATCTACCTGTTTCTAGAAGTTCGAATCGGCCATTGTACTATAGTGGAAAAATCTACCTTATGCCTAGAGCCCCCACTCCCCTCTGATCGCGCCTGAGTGGCCGATTTTTTCACCCGCTTGTAGGTCTTTCCTAATTGGGCAAGTGCATTCAGAACACTTCACGCCTCAACTGCACCATGACCGCAACAGAAAAGAAGTTTCAATGCAACAAAGATTTTCATGCCTTTTCCCGATTGGAGAAAGTAACATCGAAAGTCGGATTTCTTGGTATCTTTCGCAAGTTCGATTTATCTCGCCGAAGCATGAATTTTGATTGTAGAAGTTTATCTGAAACTAAGTGTGGTTTTGATACTCGCCCATGTATTCCTTCGTTCCTTTTCTTAGTTTGGAGTACACTATATGCCCTTGTTCAACTTTTGCTGAGCTCTCCTAGTTGCAATTTTGATAATGAATGTAAAAAAGAGGCCAATAGAAATTGTGCTGACACTTTGAAAATTAAAGACAAATAATATTGGTACCGTTTTTTTTTTAGTGACGCAGCTCCGGAATAATTTTCTCCCGATGTGCCATAGAGACCGAAAAAAGCAAAGCTGAGTCCAGTTTTGCAATATTTTAATAGTTCGCCTATTTACCTGGTAGTATTAGTAGAACTTGCTTACTTTCATCTCGCTAAATGTTGTCCATCAGCTTCCCGAAACCGGCTTCACATTCCTCGTTTCTACGTCTTCACTGATTGTACAAATTAAATCTATTGTAATCCAACACACCCTCGTTATATTTCGGCCCACAGACAGTTCATATACCTAATTGTTACTTCCAGCTTGGTAAGGTATACTTCATAAACGACTTCTGTAATTGCTTCCTGACGGTGACCTTCTGGGCACCCACAAAACTATCAATACTCACCTTGATGGCTCTGTTTAAGTCACTTTGACTGACGAAATCGCTGAGTCTCATTCTTGCGAAAGCCTCTCCGATTCTGATAATACTTTCCAAATGACGCACAGTAATAGGGAAGGATCCCGTTGTGATGGACTCTCGTCTCAAGTCCGCATAGACTCTTGCCACCTTGTCCATATCCATCTGGTGCAATTTGGGCGAAACTTTAGCTCTTGCATAACTGATATATTTGGAAAGAAGCTCTTGTGGGATTGGAGAAATCTCACTTTCCTTTTGTTTGGTGGCTTCGCTGATACGGTCTCTTCGCGTTTGTTGCTCCGAAATGTCTTGATCATCATCGAATACATCTTCATCATTAGATGGGTGTGAACGCATGTGGGAATCAAGGACAAAAGAGGCAAGCCTTTCATCCAGTTCGGGATTCACGATATCTCTGACCACACAAAGAATGTCAAATCTTGAAAGAATCGGTTCTGTTAAATTCACATTTTGAGAGAGTGGGAGAGTAGAGTTATATCTTCCGCCAGTAGGGTTAGCAGCAGCGATGATGGAACAACGTGCTTGCAAAGATGTGACAATACCGGCCTTGGAAACGGAAATCGACTGTTGTTCCATGGCCTCGTGAATCGATGTCCTGTCTTGGTCATTCATCTTGTCGAACTCATCAATAAGACAAGTACCCTTGTCTGCAAGAACCAAGGCTCCACCCTCTAAGGTCCACTCACGAGTAATTGGATCACGACGAACAGATGCGGTCAAACCAACAGCAGAGGCACCTTGACCTGTCGCGAACACAGCTCGGTTCGCTGTCTTTTCAGCATATTTAAGAATTTGCGACTTGGCAGTACCTGGGTCACCGAGTAACAAGACATTGATATCACCACGAATAGAGTGCTTTCCGTTGACGTCTTTGGCAACACCACCAAACAATGAACATGCGATAGCAGTCTTGATGTCCTTGTGACCATAGATAGATGGGGCCATCGATGCAATGATTTTGTCGATGATACCTCTCTCCCTGGAGAGCCTTCTGAATTCTCTCTCATCCTCCTCAACCCATGCCGCTTGACCAGTGTCGGAGTTAAACATCGAAGAAGTCTCCTTACGGTTAATGGAGTTGGCTTCGATGACCGTAGCAAACACGGGGAATCCATTCTTGGCATTAAGTCTGCCATCGTAGTTGTTCTTGTAGATTCCCACGATATCCACTTCCTCGCCAGGTTTGGCTACATCCACCAAATCAGAAAGCAAGATGACTTCTCTGTGACGAGGCAAACGACCAGCAGGAACAGTTCCTGGTGCTTCTTGTAACGTGATTCTTTGATAGTTACGGTAGAGAGTCTTCTCAGAGTTAAGCTTGAATGGTCCTTTAGCGTGACAATTGGTACAAAAATTGACCTTGACCTCTGCATTTGAGTCTTGAATAAATGGACCAAGAACCACTCCACACTTGAGGCAGTCAAATTTAACGTACTTTAATTGAGGGAAAACACCTGTTCTCCGCGTCACAACACCGGAGATTCTCACCAACTGATTGAGGTTCTTCTCCCTTAGTTCACGCAATGATAAGTGATTAGGAAAGTTGGAGATACGCACGTGAATTTCTTGGTGGATCTGCGAGTAATTTGGGTAATGTAATTCAGTGGCCTCCATAGCGACGATGTCAAAGATCTTCAACATTTCAGTTGGAGAAGAAGCCAAGAACAATGCCAAAATGGCCTTGGATGATGCCAAATGATTATATGAGACGTCCAAGGACTCTGCATTGACTTCACCCAAAGTACGAATTCTGGCACCGTACACAGACCGACCCTTTTCGTCGGTATATTCCAATAGGAAAGATTTTAGCTCTCTGGCAATCGAACGAGAGACAGAAGGCTGTAAGATCCACTCGGTAATGGAAGGAGCCTTCACATCAGCCAAACTCTCAAGAGATAATTCTTCGTGAAAAGGATCAATGTCAACGTCGTTCATAAACTCGTCATTGTCTTCATCGTATTGACGTCTTCTCCGTCTCCTCTGGATAGGCAAACCGTATTCGTTGACATCATCCATGCGCTCGTCGTCTTCATCGTCCAAGAACGCCTGCGAACGACTTCTATTTCCTGGAGCCAAGCCTCCAATAAGCTCGTCTCTGCGATTCAACTGCTCGTCGATTCTTCTTCTGGTGGCTGCGTCCATGGCCTCATACTCCTCATCATCGATGTTTCCATCGCCCAAATCATAATGATCCTGACCATCGTTTCTCCTGTAGTCCGCTTCCAAATTTTCCATCAAATCTTCACCTTCATCCTCATCTGAAGGGTTCAAATCTGTCACATCGTTGTGGATTTCTTCTTCCTCCTCTTCGAATGGAATTGCAGGCGAAGAAGGAGGCAATTGGGGACTGGAAGCCAACGAGGGCGTGGAGCGTTCAGATGCGAGATCATCATCTTCGGCCAGTCTCTTTCTGGGACTCGACATTATGTTAGTGAAAGAAATGAAAGGTAGTTAAGAAAATGGAGATGCGTGTAGTTCAGAAATTTGACGCGCGCAATTACGCCGAAAAGGGTTAATTACATGAACTGGAAAGATAGCCAGATAAGATGAATTGACAGAGCATAGAAATAAAAATTAATTGACGCGTCTTGAAGATTTAGAATGTGGTAAGTTTTTGGAATGAGATGTAATTTGTCTGAGTTGTCAATTTCGACGCTTTTGTCTTTTGCTCGTTAATTTTTCCTAAGTGCATTGGCTTAGGGCTTCGTTTCTATGATCAATATCACACGCTCATGAATAAAATTTGCTGAATACTTAGAAGTGCTCTTTCCATAGCATATAGGCATTTCTATTTCATTTGCATTCATTTTGATGGCGTTTAATAGGGCTTGAAAGTTATTGGAGAAGTGCACCATACTCCACACCGTTATCTCTGATTTCCTGTCTCCAATTCATCTACATCAATCACTTACAATTCCTCTTAGCTATGGACGAAAAATCTGTCACCGCAGTAGACTATTTGGAGGAGCAGCTTGAACTTGAAAGAGAAGCCCGTGAGGTGATGCCTTACGAGCCGGATGTCTGCACATATCCCAAAAGTTGCCGTCAATTGGTGTTTGCTTGCTTGACTTGTCGAAGACAGAATGAAGGTGCCAACATCGGCGTGTGCTACCTGTGTCTGATTCAGTGCCACTCTACTCACGAGCTTGTTGAACTCTTCTCGAAGCGAGATTTCACCTGTGATTGTGGAACCTCCAGAATGCACAAGGGAAGTTCATGTGCCCTTCGAGCCAAACAGGCTCGAGAGTTGGTAGCTGCAGAATCCACAACCAACACTTCTGTTCAAATGTCATCCGCTCGTGGTTCTCCCGTAAAACCGCCCAGGCTCCGTACTGGTTCATTTAGTGAATCTTTTGCTTTCTCATCCATTGACTTACCACCAGCAGATGACATTCCTAGTCTGGACAACAATTATAATCACAATTTTGAAGGCAAATTTTGTTCTTGTGAGATGATTTACAATCCCATTCAAGAAACTAGAACGATGCACCAATGTTATCTTGGAGATGTATGTGGTGAGGACTGGTTCCACCAAGATTGCATTTTGGGCTATAAGCCAGGCATCCACCGCAAACGGATTCAATCATCTGGCGAAAATATGCTCGATGAACTCCCACCCCCTGGGTTAGAAGCATCTGAGGATAAGCCACTGGTGACCCCGCTTGTGGATGAAGACGACGATGACGTTATCCCGCACTTTCCAGAAATAGATTCGTTTGGCGAATTTGTTTGCTGGAAATGTGTTGAAGCTAACAGAGCAGCATTTGATGAGCTTAAACACTACCTGAAGATTGTGGTTCATCATATGCCTCATTTTGACCTGGTTCCTGATGCTGAAACCTGGGAGACCCAATACGAACAATACAAGGACAAGAATGAGGATGAAGAACCACCAACGAAGAAGATCAAGACAGAGAAGAAGATTCCTTATTCGGTTTTCTTATCTGAAAGCTTTAAGGACGATATTACAAATATAATGGCCTCTCTCCCGGAGGAATCAGCTTTAGGGAAATTCTTGAAATCGGTGGAATTCTTCAGCAAAGATGATCCCATCTTCCAGCCTCCAAAAGAAGAGATGGCCTCGTCCACCTCATCAACAGGATCTCTATTCGAGCTTGGCTCCAACGCATTACGAACCTTGCCGGCCCCACAAGCTATCGAAGGGCTTCATGCCTATGGAATCATGAAAGCTAAACTTCGTGATTTTTTTAAGGGGTTTGTTGACCAAAATAAAGTAGTAACCGAGGAGGAGGTGAGGGAGTTTTTCGGTAACATGAAAAATGGTGCTGGTGGAGATTGATTAAATGCATTAATGACTTAAATAAGTATCTCACATATATACAGATTAACATGGAGTTCGTAGCACTTCGTAGATGGCAAAGGTGAATTATTTCTTACTCTTCTTCTTCTCATCCAATTTCGCAAAATCAGCCTTCCAGATATCGTTGAATTTAGTCTTGTCGGCATTCGGAAAAATTGCCTCGAACACGTCAGAGTACCACAGAACAGGAATGAACTTAACTCCACTCTTGACCTCTTCGGGAATTTCTTCTAATTCATTCTCGATATCCTTGGGGAATATTACGGTATCACAGCCATATCTCTTCGCTCCCAAAATCTTCTCTCGAAGTCCACCAACTGGCAAAACCTTACCAGTAAGTGTAATTTCACCAGTCATGGCAATAGTTGGAGGCAATGGCTCATTGAGGGCCAACGAGATCAAGGAGGAAGTGAAAGAAATACCTGCTGATGGTCCATCCTTAGGAATAGCTCCATCTGGACAGTGGATATGGATATCAGCGGCTTCGAAGAATCTGTTTTCTGAATACTCCTTAACCATAAACAGTTTAGCGAAAGAGTATGCAATAGTCGCAGATTCCTTCATCACATCCTTTAAGTGACCCGTGACATGCATTCCAGCATGTCCAGAGCCTGAAGCGATCGAGTGCGTCAAAATAGACTCAATGTACAAGGCATCACCATTACCAGAAGTGCTATAAGAAAGACCAGTAGCAACACCAGGAGGAGGAACATCGTACACACGAGCCTTAGTGTAAATTTCTGGGCCAACATAATCCTTCAAGATTTCTGGGGTAATTTCCAACTTTATATCTTCTGGAATATCCATAGGCTTAACTTCCCATTCCACAGGATTAGTGGAAGCATTTTCACTTGTATTTTCCTCAACGGAGGCAGAGGTTGATGATAAAACTGGTTCAGAGCCCGCTTCGGGTTCAATAGCTGCAACCTTTGAATCTCTCTCCTCGAGTTGCTCCACGATTTTGAGTGAAGCCTTACTAAAGATTCTCGTAATGAGTTTCTTGATGTTTCTCAATCCACTTTCTCTGCAATACTTCTCAATCAACTTGGTGATTGATTCAGTTGGGATGATGACGTGAGTCTCATCCAAGCCAGCCTTCTTTGCGGCTTGTGGAATCAAGTGCTTCTTCGCTATTTCAAGTTTCTCATTATTGGTGTAACCAGAGACATCGATGACCTCCATTCTGTCTCTCAATGGACCAGGAATGTTTCCCAAATAATTTGCAGTACAGAGGAACAATACTTTGGAAAGGTCGACCTTCACGTCAATATAATTATCAACGAAAGCATTGTTCTGTTCAGGGTCTAAGATCTCGAGGAACGCAGATGCTGCTCCTCCGGATCTGGACAAGTCCAATTTATCGATTTCATCGATCAACATCAATGGGTTAGAAGTCTTTGCCAGCTTCAAAGCTGCAATGATACGACCAGGAATTGAACCAATATAAGTTCTTCTATGACCCTTAACCTCATGAACATCTTGAATACCACCCATTGCAATTCTGACGTAACGGCGGTCCAAGCACTCAGCAATAGACTTTGCAATAGACGTTTTACCAGTACCCGGAGGACCAGCCAAACACAAAATTTTACCATCCACTTTGCCTGAGACCTTACCCATCGAAATAAACTCAAGGATACGCTCCTTGACTTCCTTCAATCCGTAATGGTCACGATCCAAGATCTCCTTGGCAAGCTTGACATTGAAACGATCCTTCGAATATACGCCCCATGGAATCGATGTCAACCAGTCTAAGTAACGCTCACTGACTGCCAATTCGCTAGAATGTTCGTTTTGACTTTCCATCTTTGCTTTCTCGGTGTTGTAAGCCTCCATAGCTTCCTCAGATAATTTCAAGTGCTTCAAACGTTCATCAAATTTGTGAGTTTTGGAATTCTCTGCCTCTACAAGACCAGCATTTCTCTGTAAGCCCTTGATGTACTCTTTGACGATTTGCTTCGTTTGGGCCTCATCAGCTCTCGTGGTCAACTCTTTCATAGTCTTCTCGGCAATTGTGTATGCCTCCAACTCATTCTTAAACAACTCCAAAGCCTTCTGCAACCTCACTTCAATGTTGAACTCCTCCAACAACTCTTGGATCTTACCAGGAGTAGCACTGGTGGTCGAACCTATGAAGTCCGCAAGCTTGTGGGGTGATGCCAACAAATTGCTGGCATCTCTCACAGTATCCTTCTTGTTTGGAATGATGCGGGCCATCTTAGCTAATAGAGACTTCACATCTTCAATGAGAGCCTTGAACTCTGCCGATGAGATGTCGTATGGCTCATCTTCACAGTGCTTCACCTTTGCGTACGAAACACCAAAGTTCTTCAAGTAAGCAGTAGGAAAATCCTCCTCCTCCTCCTCCTCCTGAACCTTGTCTGTCTGCTCTTCCGGAACTGTGAGTTTCTCCAATTTACATCTCTCCATAGGGTAGCCCAAGATTCTCAAGTATGGGCCGTCCTCATAGTACCTTTGGACGTAACAGTGCACACCAATGTTGTACACCGATTCCCCCTTATGAATGATATCGGTGTCAGGTTCTTCTGGGTCTTTCATGTGGAATAACACAAAGTGAGGTTCTCTGCGGTCACAGATCTCCACAATAGTCTTCTTTACCGCAGGATCTGAGATGTTGATCGAGAAAGGACGGCCCGGGAGTGGTGGCTTGTCTTTCATAGCAATCGCCAAAAGCGGCGGATATGCTCCTGTCTCAGCATCGGCCACTAGGGATGGAACGTTGTCTCTGTCCTTGTTGTTATTATTGTTGTTGTTATTGTTGTTGTTGTTGCCACCGTTTCCACCATTTCCACCGCCCAAAGGGGCAGATCCTGGTCCAGCACTGGCACTCACCGAGGAATCGGATTTGTCTATAACTTTATCGTCGATCTTGAGCGGCTCGCTCTTATCCTTGGGTTCCTTTGGTTTTTCTTCATCCGGGGTCTTCTCATCGGGCGCATTGCCCTCATCTTTTGCCGGCGTGTCATTCTTGCCATTGTCATTGTCTGGGGAAGATTTCTTGAGCTGCAACGTAGGCACAGACTCAAACTCGGGCACTTCCGAGCCATCTGCCGCTACCATTCTCTTAGATGATGTTGGCATCACCGGCAATTGCCGAGCTAAGTCCGCAGCATCAAAATCAAAGATGGTGGCACTTCCTTGTTGAACACTGGTGGCGTTTCTTACTAAGCTGGGGAAGACGGCGCTCTTTGTGCGTGCAAGAAGACGCAAGTGCCGCATCTTCTGGCTCAGTACTCTCGAGTACACAGTTCTTGACGTGAGCATCTGGGAATTTGTCAGAAATGTGGATAGATAGAGTGACGATGGATGTAGCTGATAATGGAGATTTCTCCATACCCAGATCGCCGAGTTTCTGTGCGATTCTGTGGTCACGTGCATTATTTGTTTTAAGGTCACATGATTGATATGATAGGAAGAGTAGGATTTCTAATCTGATTGTCATTCTGTAACGATGTGTGTTCATTTATGTTCAACTACGTTCTCTTTTTTTGCTAATTTTCTTATACTTTCATTTCCGATCTTAATATAATTCTATTTGAAAATGTTTGAATTTGCTCCGAATAAGAACTAAAGGCATTCACCATGCATCCTCGTCCATTTTAAATCTTAAAAACATGTCTCTTCTTTGCAGGTTCTTCACGGTCCTCGATTTTGCGTTTGGAGGGCCGAATTGGAGAAGAGTGATCATCTTGAAAGTTATCGTCATGATAATAATTAAGTGAATTCAAGTCTTCCTCTTCCACATTGAGCCCTCTTCCTTGCAGCTCCAGCACTATTTTGGATGCGTTTGCTGAAAGTAATTGTATTTTCTTTTTCTTTTTACTGACTCCATCCTCTAAGAGCGTAGCGTTGGCTGTTTGATACAAATCCTCGGACTCTGAAATGTTTGTCAGGTTAGCGTTTGCTTCTGGAATTACTAATTTGGCGGCATCGTCTTCATTAATTGCTTCTTCCGGTTCTGCGGAGACTGCTGGCTCAATATTTTTCTCTATAGGCGCCTTTTTAATGGGTGTGGATTCCACACTTGACGTGGGGGAAGAAAAGTACACTGGCTTTTCCGTCTTCTCGGACTGTGAGAGTTTGAGTGACGCCTGAGATGCTATTGATTCGGCTCCAAAATCGGCAAAAGAATTGCCTTTTCCCTTAAGTATTTTTTGTTTTGTAAATACTGGCGATGCACCGGAAAATACTGATAAGTTGGGAGAGAGGAACTTATTGCCCAAACTAACCGATCTTCCAGACGACGTAGGCGGTGACATAAAATTAGGCTTGGTCCACTTGCTGCCCAATGGTGCCACCTTTCTCTCAGAGCGCACGCTGTTGACCTCGTCCAACTGTTTCTGGAGCAGTGCCACCAAGTCCTTCAACTCATCTATTTGAGCCTCATGTACCTTCTCTTTTGTGGAAAGCTGCAGTTTTAGAACAGAAATACGGAGTTCGTAATCACGGAGCTTCTCAGAAGCGTTTCCTAGAAGTCCCTGTGATGTTGGAGGTGTCTGCTGTGTTTGTTGATTTTGTTTGTCTGCTCGCTGTGCTGAGTTCTGTAGACTTAGTAATTTTAGAACAGCTAGCCGGATAAGCAGTTTCCGGGATTCATTCTCTCTGTCAACGCCACGAACCTGCTCCTGAAGACGGAAGTGTTCATCTATTTGGAGATCCATTTGCACTTGGATGCTGTTTGTTTTTGTTCGCGAATGTATGTTACTGTGGTGGGGTCAATAGCTAGAAAGAGGTTGTAAGTAAAGGTGTTTCTGCCATGTATGAATCAAAATAGAGAGTGGAAATAAACCAAGCGAGTAAATTATTTGTGATTCTCTTCTTCTGAAAATATAGATTTTTTGGGGTTATCTATAGTTCTCTCTACTAGCTTCCAAATCGTTATAACCCTGCACAAGATCATCATCAACTAATTATTCATGAAACTCCGACCAGCTTCGTTGCGGCAGTTTGCGGACAGAAATGTGTTTGACGCTTGCGAAGACGCTTGTTTGGTGGACTCCGTGCTTGACGAAGCCGCCATCCTCAGGTCTCAACACCACAGTTACAGCTTGAAGGATGGTGTGAAGAATGTCATCTTAGATAAGTCTGCTCCAGATTACGAGCAAATGTTCCTAGAAAAGGGCCAACCTTTAGCTGCGGATGAAGTGTTAGAGTCTTTGAAGCCGCTGGTGCTCAAAATCCCTTTGAAAGCTCGTTCTGAGTTTCGTTCTGGACAGCTTCCACTGTCTGAACTTTTGATGGCCATACAATACTATGCTAGCCATACGGAGATGCGTAATTACTCCATGGATGAATCTGCCTTAATTACTCTTGGACTACTTGCTGAGCAATGGGCAGACGAGATTGTGGATGATAATACTGCCAGCATGTTTCTCGAACTAGACAACGGAGAGGACCTGAGCGGCGATTCTCTGCTTCTAAGAAAATTTGGACCAATCTCCGATAGTGAAAACGAAACTATAATGGCAAACTGGGCTAAGGAGGAGTCAGACTCCGATGTTATGTCTATTGATTTCGAAGAGAGCGAGACTGATGAAGAAATACAAGAAATAAATTCAGTGGAGCCACGAGTGACCGACGCGGGAATGGGTCCTAAGCGAAGAGGAGACATATCCGAGGGCCTGCGAAAGAAATCTCGCTTGGCGGATTCTGCTCACTCCAGTGATCAATCGAGTGATAGTTCAAATGAGAGCACAAGTGAAAGTTCAAACGAAAGCTCAAGTGAAAGTTCAATTGAGAGTTCAAGTGAAAGTTCGAGTGACAGTTCAACTCAAAGCTCAGATGACACTTCGAATAGTAAATCGAATGACAGCTCTGATGACGAGAATACAGATTCATAACCTCGGGGCGCTCCATGTATCTAGCCTGCAAGCGGATTGAGATATCAGACTAAGTTGGAGATCTGATACGATGCGATCTGAACTGGATTCGAGTCTGTCTATATTGAATCTTCTCCCTTATTAGTGTTCATACATTTACGTAATGTCTGGGCCATTTTTCAAATTTGTCTATAGCCCCTGTATCAATACATGTACCATATTTTTCATTACTAGCATCAGCTTCTCTAGGTTAGGTAACAATCATGGCAAATCAGAATATGGACATTATTACTAAATTATCACGATTTCTAGAATTTATTTGGGTGTTCAAATTCACCTCATGGAAGCTTAGGTATAAGAATGTTAGGCTTTATTAATGTTGGTGTATGGGTCTTTGGAGTCGTTTTGTGGACGTCTCTTAATGTATGAGTACAAACATGCAAAACAAAGCGAAACGAACTATGTCTTCCTTCTTGTTTATGTGAGTTGTATTAGTGTAGTAAGGCTTGTCCAACCTGTACGAATCTTGGAATTTCTTTGAACTCTCAGAAAACATCTCTCTTGACAAAACACGTATCAAATCATCATAACAATATCAACGAATCAATATCAAACGATAATCTTTAAAATAAGTCGATTCCAAGCGTTTTTGTTGTTCATAATCACGTAATGGTCTTTTTGAGCTTTAGTACATAGTTATAGAGTCTAAGTTCACGTGAGTTCTATCTGCACTACTAATGCACTTTCTGGTATCGAAAACTCATCTCTGATATTCTTATAAACCCAAATGGGACAAAAACGTAGCAGAGAAACTCTGCCCGCGGTCTTGAGGACGAAGACGAAGAAGCAGCGGAAGAAGCATGCTGCAACTGTCACTCAGGCAAAAAATTCGTTTGAGCTGCTTCCAGAAATCGCAAATTCACCAAAATCCGACCATGATATAGTGTTGTTAGATTCTTCGGGGGAGGATGACTACGACGTCGTTGTAGAGTCCGATGATGATAAAAGCAATGATGAGAGCGAGCCACCGCAGAAAAAACAGAGGACTGGATTTGAAGACAACGAGGAAAGTGAAGGTGAAGGTGATTCTAGGAATGAACTAATAAAAAATAATGACTTCATAGAGTTCGGGTTCAGTCTGTCTGAAAATGAAGAAGAGGACTACGGAGACTATTCCGATGATGGCCTTCTTAGCGATGATAATCTGGGATCAAGTCATGCTCATCGCAAGTCAAAACCAGCATTTCCTTGGGTCAAGGGCCATGATCACCTGAAGCAGAAAGAGATTGCAGACTGGCTAACACTTGAAATTAAGGATTTTGTAAACTACATTTCTCCATCCAAGGAGGAAATTGTGATTCGTAACACTGTTATCAATAACCTTAAGACAAAGATTTCCGAGTTTTGGCCAGCTACTCAAGCTCATGTGTTTGGATCTTGTGCTACAGATCTCTATTTGCCTGGTTCAGATATCGACATGGTTATCATTTCTAATACTGGGGATTACGAGCAAAGATCGAGATTATATCAGCTTTCATCGTTTCTACGGACGAATAAACTTGCAAAAAACATTGAGGTGATCGCTACTGCTAAAGTGCCCATCATCAAATTTGTGGACACAGCATATAACATTCATGTTGATGTTTCCTTCGAAAGAACAAATGGCCTTGACGCGGCTCGCAGAATTAGAAGATGGTTGGACTCTACTCCCGGATTGAGAGAACTTGTGCTAATAATCAAGCAATTCTTACGTTCAAGGAAACTCAACAATGTCCATGTCGGTGGTCTCGGTGGATATGCTACAATCATCATGGTCTATCATTTCTTGAAACTCCATCCGAGAGTGTCAACCGACAACATGGCGGTGATGGAAAACTTGGGTACATTGTTAGTGGAGTTTTTTGAATTGTATGGTCGTAACTTTTCTTACGATAATCTAATAATTTCCATTGACCCAACGAATGATAGCCCGAGGTACTTGTTGAAGTCCAGGAACCCAGTTTTAACTGCAGGTAGAGGTCAGTTTTCCATTATCATTCAAGACCCTTCAGATCCGGCAAACAATATCACAAGATCTTCCTATAATCTCAGAGACTTGAAGAAGGCTTTTGGTGGTGCGTACCAGCTTCTTATTGATAAGTGTTACGATTTGAATGGAGCGTCGTATAAGAACAGAATTGGCAGTCTGATATTGGGAGACATCATCAAATTCAAAGGAAAGGATAGAGATTTCAATGATGATAGAGACAAGGTTATCAACTCTGCTCTTATTAGTAACGAGAGTGAAGATGAAAGCGATGGGGCTGATGGCAACGACAAGTACTACTTCTCTGATATGACTGCTAGTGAAGATGACACATTTGTCAACGTCGAAATGGCACCAAAGCCTAAAATGGCCAAGAAAGCTGTCACACCAAAAGCATCGACCACTGCCAAGGTTGCCTCCTCAAAGACCATTTCCAAGGTTCCTGACGGGCCAAAAATAGAAGTCGAGAATAAGCAACAAGTTGCTGACTTCATGAGCATCGAGGATTCAGATGACGAAGCTCAAGATAATGGCGACGAGAAACTTTCCAAGTCTAATTTGGACAAGGATATCAAAAGAGAGTACTGGCGTCAGAAGGGGCTCGAGATTTGAGTCTGAACGATGCATCAAGCATCTGTACATTAAACGTATTAAAGCTACACCCAACTCCTTATGTATAAAAACAAAAGTTAACAGCATCCAGTCTGTTTCATGCGCATGTTAAGTAATATTCTGTCATCATTGGTATTAGCGGCCTGTTCTTCCTGGTATTTGTCGAAAAATTCCTGTTCTATCTCGTCAGTGATCTGGTCGAAGAGAGCAACGATACCCTTCCCTGTTTTGGCACTGGTAGTCACCAAAGACAAATTCCTATCACCACAAAACTCTTGAATCATCAGTAAATTAGCATCTGCACCCAAATCCTCCTTGTTTCCCACTACTTTGATTTTAATATCGGGAGGTCCCAGTATGGCAAGTTGTTCAATCCAATATCTTGCTCGTTCGAAGGATTCATCAGGCAGAGACATGTCAAAGCACACAAGTGCAACTTTAGAATTTCGATAGTACATGGGAGTTAGTGACTTGTACCGCTCCTGACCCGCCGTGTCCCAAATCTCAAATTTGATGCTTCTGTTTGACGCTGTATGCTCTTTGGAGATAAATGCTGCACCAATCGTATTTGCCAGATGTGGGTCAAATGAGTCTGTAGTGAACCTATGCACTAATGAAGTCTTTCCGACTGATGAGTCCCCCAAGAGAACGATTTTGTATGGTGGGGTCATTGAATAGATAAGATTAAAAGTATTAGGATGACTTGATGGAGTGCGAATAATAAGTGCGAGTAGCATAACCATGCTCAGTAATCCACATAGACGTCAATCCATTTACCTACGTAGTTAGTTTTAATTATAAATAACGACTCTTTTAGTACAGGTGTCTCTGACTTTTCTTGAATATTTTTGCATTCTTTTACATCTCTATTTTCTCCAGTATGTATTGCTACTTCTTGTCAGTAGACGTTGTTTTTCTTTCATTATTAGTGCTGACGCCTCTACTGGAAGCCGCCAAGAGAGTTCATGAGTTGGGAGTTTCCGCCAGACTGTTGGAAGTCCATCATGAAGTCCTCCAAAATAGCGAAGGCGGCGCAGATACCCACGGTCACGGCAGCTGCGTTACCTGAGGAGCCCAACAACTCACCAGCCAAGGCAACAACAGCCAAAGAGAAAGCACCAGTGACTGCAGCCACTGGGACAATCTTAGACAATTCTTTGGTAATGGAGACATCTCTCTTACCAGCAATAATGATGCTCTGGTCCTTGAACTGTCTTGCAATGTCCTTTGGCGCAGAACCAGAGATATTGGCCCAGAAGTGGGCAAATGTAGTAGCCAAAACCAAGACAGAGGACGAGAACACCACAGCTCTGATTGGAGACAACACGGACTCGCTCAATGAAGCTGGAGCACTCACGTAGAAAGAAAGACCGGAAACCACTGAGCCAGCATCGGAACGGGACTCAAGGATCTTGGAAATCACAGGGTAGAATGGTTGCAAAGCAATAGAAGCAAAGTGCAAGGAAAGCTGAATGTTGGCCAACACAGTGAAGGCGAACAAAACTGGCAATGCACCAGTATACAACAATCTGATTGGGTAAACATTAGCTGTACCTCTGGCCTTGTTGGATCTGATAGGCAATTCAACTCTGACGTTCTGCAACGCAATAGTAGCAAGGCCAGTGGCGATAAGGATAAGCACCAGAGGAAGGTTAGGGAAGTTAGCTCTGGCAAAGATACCAATAGCGGCATCCTTGATGTTCTTCAACTCCATGGAGAACAAAGCTCTAATGAAGTAGGTGACTACACCGTAAGTCTCTGGCACACCGTCTGGAACAGCAGTGACGGCCTCAACACCCACAACGTCTCTAACAAGCTGAGTAGCAGCGTTGACAGCAATGAAACACAAAGGACCCGAACCGAAACCGTATCCCTTATCAATGACTTCAGCAATCAAGTTCAAGATGAAGTTCCAACCAACGATCTGAGTGAAAATCAAAGCGTAAGAGCCGTATGGAACAGACTCACCGGAGTAGTTGGCCAACACTGGGTTGTAGTATCCGGAAGCAATCAAAGCCACAGCGAAGGTGGAAGCCAAAACCAAAGCAGTCAATTTCTGAGCAGTTTGGAACAACTCACGGTCCTGGGCATAATTGAAGTTAACATTAATCAACTTCAAGCCTGCAGCAATTTGCCAGACGAAAGCAGAAGTGATGATAGGAAGCAAGCCCAATTCTAATAAGGAGCCCTGCTCCAAAGCAAAGAGCGGTCTCAATGCTGGGTAAGGGTCAGCCATTTTCAAGGTAGCATCCTTGACAAGACCGTAGATTGGAAGTTGTGACAAGAAGAAAAGCAAGCCGGAACCAATGGTGAAGATCACCTTTTCGTCCAAACTGATCTTTTCATCAGGGAACTCGATTTCAGGCAAGATTGCGGAGAAAAACTTGACCAAATCAAGAAGACGGACTAAAGTTAGTATGCTATTATTATATTGACAAGGCACTGATCAGTACTTACAGCCACTCATGTTGAATATGTTTGATATAGATTTTGCAAACCAGAGTGGGAAAATGGTCGACGACATGAAAGGTCACGTGCCATGCGGCTCTGAGCCAGCCCCGATAAACGATAGAGGTGGGGGTTACAGTAATTTATAATTATGTGTGCAAATGCTGATAAAAATTCGATATTGTATTTTACTTTATGCTCAATTATCGAGGAAGTCCTTTTATTTTCTTTTCTATAAGCTTCTTGAAAGCAAATTGTTAAAGATCTATGTCAAGTGTGGAGATCGCCCCAGTAGAATTTTTCCACCTGGTCTGTCATGCCGGAATCCGACGTCCATCCTACAATCGATTAGACTCTGTTATCACTATTGCAATTGATGAACATGTCTAAAATCCTAACACCGTAGAATTACTAGTACTATCTCGTATATTTTACACTCTAAATTTAAGGGCCATCTCGACGGCAGCAGCACCCCAATCTTCACCATGGTTGTGCATCTTGCCAGGAATGAGTCCGGCTCTGGCTTCAGCCTGTTCGTCCGTAAGGCAGGTCAAAACTCCGAAAATGATAGGAATTCCGGCCTCGAAGTTGAGTTTCATCAACTGGTGGGTTACGGAGTCACAGATGTACTCAAAGTGCATGGTGGAACCCTTGATAAGGACACCAATAGGCACCACGGCATCAAGGGGCTCACCAAGAGCCTTCTGTTTATCGAGGAAAAGCTTGGATCCGTATGGCAACTCAAACAGGCCAGGAACGGACTCGACAATGATGTTTTCTTCCTTGACTCCAAACTCCTTCAATCTCGCAACGCATCCGTCCACTAAGGCAGAAATGATGGAGTCATTCCATCTAGCATGGAGAATACCGATTCTCAACGATGATCCTGGGTGTTAGAAACTACTGTGACATTATTGTGGTTTCATTTATCACATACCGTCGTATTTTTGGTCAACTTTACCCAAACCTTTCACAGCCATTTTAACGATGGTTCTACTAACGGAAAATCGACCACTCTTATAATGCGCCAGCTCTGCAGGATTACTAAGTGCATGGCCCTCCATTTGATGATCATGAGTAAATGCATAAAGAAAAATCAATAGAGTGAAGGTTTTGAAGTTTTAAGTTTTAGAAACTCTTAATTTTTGAGAAACCATCGACTTCACTACGTATCTACTTTGAACCAGTTCACTGATCGTAAAGGCTTGTATTTGTTAAAAGACTTTATTACGTCATCAAGCACATTATCGACCCGTCATTACTAAAGCCACTCAACACAACACCAGTACGTTCTTCATCCAAATCACACATAATGAATCGATTCCAATCGACGCTTTGCATCTAGAATGTCTCATCAAGGGTAATAGTAGGACTTTTAGGAGGGGTTCCTTTTTGCGTAGTAGTTGTGTTAACATGCAATTCTGGACGGAACAACGTCTTGGTCAAAGACTTGGTTCTTCCAATTTGAATTGATTTCGGCTCTTTTGGGGAGGATTCACGCAACTCCTCCAATTGTGCCTCAGTATTAAACTCACTTACATCGATACCAAGACGTTGAAGATCAGCATATGCATCAAAGGATTGTGGCTCTGGTTCCTGGTAATCCTCATCTGCACTTGTCTTTCCGGAGTTGTGGAAGTTACGGAAGTTCTCCAAGCTGGAGGTAACATTCAATTCCTTGGTCTCATTCAATGCATCCGACAGTGATGACCTCAGCAATAGGTTTTCCTGGAGGGACAACTTGACAGACTCAGGCAATTTGAGCAATCCAACTCCTTTGTATGCTGATTGCAAGAATTCGTAGGCATGGGATGCTGCAGCCGGAGTTTTGAAGATGATGACTATTCTGCTTAAGAAGGGCAAGTCAGACCAATGGACGATGTTGTAGACAAAATCGCCGGCCTGTTCAGAGTCAAGATTTAAGATGGAAAGCTTGATTTGATTGGCCAACGAGAGCAGGCGGCCCTCATTTGGGAGAAAATCATTTCTGGATAAGTTGGAGACGATTATGGAAGTGCGAGTCATGATGCTGGATGATAAAATAGAACGAGCAGCAAATGAATAGGAAGAGTGGAACACAAATCAATGGATGTAACTGGCAATTTTTTTCACAATTATGGATAGTCCGGGTAGGTGGTTTAGAAATATATCGAATTCTTAATCAATCAAAGGTCATTTGCTAATCCTGTCCGCAGGGTCCCTACAACATGGAGCATACAGTCCAGGCATAGCCCCAATTTGCACCAAGACGATAAAGGAGAGAGATTTTGCGAGAAATGAACGATGGGAGGGTCATAAAAGTGTGGGAGATAAGTAAAATTCGATAACATGCATCAGGTTAAAAAAAAATTCTTGGTTTTAGCAATTTCGATTTTTTAAGGACAAAAGTGCATTTTCTGATTTGAACAGGCGGAGCAGTATTCACAGAAATGTGAGAATCCTCAGTGGAGTAATTGAGACACAAAGTTTAGTAGCTAGGCGAAAAAGCAAACCAATTAGGCAATAACAAAGACCTTTCATCTTAATATTTTGGCTTCTTTCTCTAATTGAAACATATATATAGAACAAATGTTCTACACCTTGCAATACAAAGCAATGGCTAAACATCATCCTTCCCCCCCAATTTATGACCACGTTCATTCCGCTACTCATTTGAGCCAAGGCAGTGCCCGACTTGCAATTACGAAGGACAAGAAAATTGATGCGTTATGTCTATTGTTCTATACCCATTCCCCTCAACTGTGCCCCACTTGTGCCTCATTCACTTTCGCTGATATTCACTTGTTCAAGTCGAAGTAAAGGTCATAGTGAAGAGAGCACTTTGGATTGAATGCAGCTCCACATTGCACACACAGGCCGCACCTTGTGTACTCCAGGAAATCCAAGAGCGCCTTACATTCACCACATAAAATTACCTTCTCTCCATCTTCTAAACTACGCTTTGGCCAGGTTTCAATGGTGTGGGTTGCTGATTCCTGATGACACTTGTAGCAGGGGTAAAAGTTGTTGCAGCATTTGAACTTTATAGCGATGATGTCAAGTTCCAGATGGTAATGAACACATCGGGTTTTGGAATCTACAGTAGGACCAAGCACCGTAGTCATGACGACAGTTACTGAAGAGACTTACTGGTGAGTTAGTCCCGGAGCCCGCGCCTCTCTGCAGTATCACTATGATTCGCTTTCAGAGGTAAAGGTTTTTTTTTGCCCATCAGCCTTTGCTCGTAAATATAGGGCCCTGCTTTTGAATATTTTGATCTTAAATTCACATGTTTGCCGGCAACTCACCGGCAATCACCGAGAACTTATCAGCAGCTACCTATAGTTTACCGGCAGTGAATTTTGTGTTTGTCCTTCCTTTACACCTTATACATTTGATGCCTTATATGCCGGCTGGAGAGCTCAGTAACAATACAGTGTACACCGGTTAATTGACTTAAAACACCCGATGGAGTCACATATGAGATCGCTGGAGGAAAATCCAAAATCAAATGAAGAACATCCCTGTACTTTTTGTTTTGAAAGCTTACTTGGTTTCCGCTTTCGAACTATGGAATAGGGGGAGAATTGTGATTCCCCACACCGTTCGATGGCAGTTTTGAGCCTTCTATGGAATTCACGAATAATGCGAAATTCTCAACGTTCTATTATCTAAACATTCTCCTGCATAACCAGAATTTCATCAACAAATAGGTAGTTTCCACCATGCCCAAAAGAGAAGCAATAAGTAGTCAAGAAATCGTAGAGAAGCCGCATAGGAACTAATTATTGCCTCTTAGTATCTCCAACTCGTAACGTTAAAGCCAAATCAAAGCTCTCATTCCTCTGGTTTGCACCCTTTTACATAGACGTCCTGCAGAAACCGCGATGGTAAACAAACAAACAGAAAGTGTTGATCTTCGATCATTGATCTCGAGGTGCCAACCAAGTGCTGGTGCAACAATTGTAAGAAATTCACGTCGCATCACATTCTTGACTCCATAAGTCACCAACGAAGACACTTAATCGCCGAATTTAACTGTCGTGTTTCTGCGTATGCGTGAGAGACAAAACTTCACACCCGTACACCATAAACAAACTACGCCTGAGTCTGTTTCTGCGCACACCGAAGGTGTTTTTGTTTTCTTCGCTGGTACCTTCAGACTATCAATTACTAGTCATACTACCTGTCTGAGCGTCTCAGACTTTGTGGTAGCCTTTCACGGAAACAGTTCATTTCTGTTTTCTTGCCACTTCTGGAAGTTGGCTCCCATTCTTCACTCAGCTTTTGACACCCCCTTGCACAATACTTAGTGTAAGACACTGAACTCCACTGGTGAACTTTCCTTCCACCCATTATAGTGGCAGAGGTTTTATAATACATTCAAACGGACCAGTACTCGTCGCTACATCCTACATTCGGCCAAATTTGCCCAGTCACTCGCTTACCATAATTAATAATGTCTTACGAAGCAAGAACCCGCTCATCCTCCGAGGCTAACCGACGCCATTCGGGCCAGCACAGACGTGCTCTCTCCAATTTGCCCACCAATTTGGTTGCTTCCCGTGTCGCCAAAAGAGATGATGACAGACGCAAACGACTCAATGTCAGAGATCAGGGCCGCGAGAACGACCCTGAGGCCCGTGTATCCTTTGGCTCATCAGAAATAACGCAGCCGCTCTCGGATGACGGCCTAATACGCCACCACTTCGACAGAATCAACCTGGAGGTTGGTGAGCTTGGTGTAGATGGTACAGACTCCGAAAATGCCAGTCCTCAAGTATTCTCTGATGCGTTGAGTACAAGGCCAACTGCAGAGGAGGACGAACAAGAGGAAGAAGAAGAAGAAGAAGATGATGAAGCCGAGGAAGAGGAGGACGTTGAAGATGATGAGAACGATCCGGCAGACTTACTGTGTCCACAAGAACCGAAATGGAGTCGGGCCATTTTCAACGAGTTACAGCACGTAATGCGCAAATACTCGACAACCACATTGGACGAAAAGGATGAGGATACTTATGATGTGACAATGGTGGCAGAGTACGCCCCAGAAATCTTCAACTACTTGCATGAGCTTGAGCACCGGTTGTCACCAGACCCAAACTATATGGATAACCAAGACGAGTTGCGGTGGGAAATGAGATCTGTCTTGGTAGACTGGGTAGTACAGGTGCACCAACGCTTCAACTTGCTCCCTGAGACACTTTTCTTGACTATAAACTATATTGACCGCTTTCTCAGCCGCAGACGGGTTTCATTATCTCGATTCCAGCTAGTTGGTGCAGTTGCACTCTTTATCGCTGCTAAGTTCGAGGAAATTAATTGCCCCACTGTTAGAGAAGTTGCATACATGGCAGACAATGCTTATAGCGTCGAAGACTTTCTCAAGGCTGAACGTTTCATGATTGACGTTCTTGAATTTGATATGGGTTGGCCAGGTCCAATGTCATTTTTAAGAAGAACATCGAAGGCAGATGATTACGACTATGAAACGAGAACATTAGCTAAATACTTCTTAGAGGTGACCATAATGGACTCGCGATTTGTGGCCTCGCAGCCATCATGGCTTGCAGCTGGTGCACACTATCTACTGAGAAAGATGCTTAACAAAGGTCCCTGGACAGAGCTTCACGTATTCTATTCGGGCTACACAGAAGAACAATTACGTCCATTGGCTCGCATATACATGGAAATATGCCAGAACGCAGAACAGAACCATCGGGCTATCTTTGAGAAATATCAGGAGCGCAGATATAGACGATCCTCATTGTTTGTGCAAGAGTTTCTCCGAGCCATGCGGCAGTCCACCAGAGACTAGTTCTGTTTTACATACCAATGGCTGGATCAGCATCCTATCATTTCAATCATCATTTAATCAGGTTTTTCCCATTCATAATAAATATTGACGCACTAACACCAATTGTACATCGACTATAGGACCGCGATGTGGGTCGTGCACGTGAACCTCTTACCACATCAAATAAGTAGGAATTTTCTCCTCCCCTCTCCACATTCTACCCCCAAAATAACCATGTCCAGAATTTTCTCAGTTCGTGCTCTTTCCCATATCTCTAGATTGGCTGCTCCACAGATCGCCAGAAAGTCCCCAATTTTCACCAGGGCTTTTTCCAATTCAGTCATTCGTTCCAACTCCACCAAGGATTTACTTGAAGTTGTCAAGTCCGAATTTAAGCTTGCCAACTCTGTAGAAAATGAATTGGCTCCGGACCACGTTACTTACTTGAAGGAAAGCGGATTTGAGGTTGTGCAGAAAGCTGGCGAGTCCAATGTGGAGTTGTCCAAGACCTTGGAATCTGGAGAAGTTCTCAAGGTCTTCTTTGATATCGACGAGGTCACTGATGTTTCTTTCGGTGCGCCAGAGGTTCCTGAGGAGGAGGATGCTGGTGAGAAGTTTGACGATGAGCTTTACCAGTACGAGTCCACTTTTGCTAACGTTAAAGTCCTCATCTCTAACCCACAGAACAACAACGGACTCTTCTTTAACTTGATGTTGCAGAGCTCCGAGGAGGAGTTCTTTGTGGACTACTTCAACTACAAGCCAGACACTACTGCTTTCTTGAAGCAGGTTGACGAGCAGGGAACCTACTTGGGCAAATTCGAGTACCAGGGCCCAAGATTCTCCAACTTGGACGAATCCTTACAGGCTACTGTTGAGAAGTACTTGCAAGAGAAGGGTGTGGACGCCGACTTGGCCGACTTCATCTTTGGCTACTCCGAGATCAAGGAAGAGGACTCTTACAGAGACTTGTTGAGTGATGTTGCCAAATACTTAAGCAAGGAGTAAGAAGGATGTTAGTTGCCTGTAAATATGTCTGATTTCTGTAAATAATGAAGTGATAAAATTAAAACATTTACAGTAGGTGTCTAGGTGTCCCTAAAGTTTAATATATCGAACTATATTCTATGATCTTGTTGCTATTAGACTTCAACTTCAACTTCAACTTCAACTTCAACTTCAACTTCAACTTCAACTTGGAAATAATCTTCTTAAAACTCACTGAAAGGATCCTCGTTCTCTTCGTCAAGATTCATCTTTCCCTTTCCTGCCATCCTCACTGCTGCCATTTCCCTAGAGGCGGCTTGCTTTCTTACCTTCTGTGTCATCTTCTCAATCTCATCTTCAACATTGTCAGAATCCTTTTCAGCATATTGCATAACCAACCGTCTTCCCAATAAGTGTACACCCTGCAACTGGTTCATGGCGTTCTCTGCCTCCTTTAACAAGGTGAACTCAACAAATGCAAAACCTCTGGCAGACTTGTCGAACTTCTTGGGAACTCTGACGGACTTGATCTGACCATAAGCACCGAACAACTCCAACACATCTCTTCTGGCTGCCTCAAATGGCAAGTTCTTGATGATAATCTTGTTGGTCTTCTCTGATTTGGATGCCAGCGACTTTCCTCCTGCCTTTCTGTGAGATAACTTCAATTGGATACGGTGTCCATCAATTGCATGTCCATCCAAAGTAGTAATGGCCAACTCTGCCTGGTCCTTAGACTTAAACTCCGCAAATCCAAAACCCATGGATAGCACACCACCAGCGTTCTTGGGGTCAGGCTTTGTCTTGACAGTTGCGACCACAAATCCTGGAATCTTAGCAAATACCTCACTCAAATGTGCGCTGGTGGTTGCGAAATTGAGGTTCTTCACGAAGATGGAAACTGTCGGACCCTCCTCCACCATCTCGTCATCCAGACCAGTAGCGCCATCATCCATGACATCGCTAGCAGTGATTTTCGCCTCGACAGCTTTGTCGGTTGACTTCTCGAGATCGACATTCTCACCAGCCACTGGTTCACGAACAAACAAGTCCTTAGGTCCTTTCTCCAAATACAAAATGCTCTTCTTGAACATTCTGTACGCTAACTTGGTGAAAGCTGCACGGGCGCCGGGCAGATCTCTGAATTCCACAATGGCGATGGTTCCAGCTGGAGGCATCAAAATTCTCTTTAGCGATCCGTACTCCGAAAAGAGCTCGCCAATCTCGTCGCTCGTGGTGCCGAATGGAAAGTTCTTGACCAAAATGATCTTGTCATCACGTTCCTTGTGATTGAATGTAGTCAAGTCAACTCCTCTGTCCTCAAAGTATTTTCTGACGTCACCTATCACATGTGCTTCAGCCAATGCTTGTTTGACAGCAGAAGCAGAGTTTTGAGGATCGATTAATTGAGCTTTGGTGATACCCATTTTGGCAGCGACAGAGTCGAGAACTGCATCGTTGTTCATGTAGAGGGAGTTCCAATTAAATTGTCCCTTGTTGGCCAGAGCCTTTTTCTTAAGTTCTCTTTGCTTTTTGAGAGGCAAATTCTTCAAGGCAAACTCGTCGAGCTTGTGGTCTTTCTTGACCTCACCGGCCAATATATGCAAAAGTCTACCTTGGAAAATCTGTTTGTCCAAGGCAATGTAGGCAGATACAGCATCACTGTTGTTCTCGAATTGGACATAAACAAATCCCTTAGACTTACCAGTTCTCGTGTCCACGGCAACATGAACCTCCAGAAGCGGTCCGTAAGTTGAGAAGAGGTCACGGAAATCATCCTCAGTGGAGTCGTACAAGATGTTACGAATGAATAAACGCCCAGTCTGCAAGATCTTGTCTGCGGTTACCTTCTCGGGATCGACTGGCTCTGGTCTGACAACAGCTTTTCTTGGCTTATTCTGATAGGAAAGCTGAGTATTGCTTTCTTCAGATTGAGTTTCAACTCTCGTTTGCTTAATTTCTTCATTGTCCTGAGTCTCGTTTTCCTTCATTCGTATTCTTCTCTGCTTGAGCCAATCAAGATCTGAAACGTTTTCATCCTTGGCTAAGTCATCAGTTGGCTCTGAACTATCGACTTCAGCTTCATTGTTTGTTTTAGTTTCTGTCAAGCTCATCATGGGTTCATCCTCGCTCTCTTCATTCTGCTGAAATTCATCATACTCATCATCACTGTCTCTCTCCACACCTTGTGGAACAGAATACTGCTCGTCAAGTGATGTATCCTTCTCCTTTTTGTCCTCTTGGGCCAATGCCTGCTCCAAAGCTTGAGCAGAAGGGCCACCAGATCCATCTGCCAACGAATCGTTAGCCCAAGACTGGGTCTGAGAAGATGGCTTCATGGAATCTATAAACTCCTTCAACTTTGGGTTGGCTGCGATCTCCTGATCGAGTTTCGACTTTTTGTCTGTTTTCTGTCTCTTTCTTTCGAGTGCCTGCTCCTTTTCACGCAAAAGTCTCTCCTCTTGCTCTCTCAACCTCTGCTCGGCCAATCTTCTCTTCTGTCTGACTGCCTGTGGAACGGTAGGGTCAGAAAAAGTTTTAGCGACTTGGACCTCGATTTTGGCCGTGTCAATGAACGACTGGTTGAAGTATTTGACGGCACTCTCTGCATCATCTTGAGATTTGTATCCGATGAAAGCAAATTGTCTGGATTCACCGTTTCTTTTCTTCATGAGCTTAACATCAGATACGTTTCCATTTTTGGAGAAATGCTCTTTTAGCCTCTCCTCCGTGAGATATTTTGGAAGTCCCTTGACAATCAAACGAGACATTGCTGATGAGGTTAAGTATGTGATGCGATGAGTTTGATTTTCTATGCACCTGCTCCGCATTTTTTTTTTTTGGACCCAGGACTTTTTTTTTGTCTCTTCGCATTTTGCAACCATTTGTAACCTTTAACCTCACAAATGGAGCTCTTCGACCATTTGGGAATCTGGCCCGATCAGAATCCCACGCTCAGATCAATTTACTATAAAATCAGAGGCTTATTCATTTTATATAATCTCGGGCGGCTCCTACTTGTTTACCATATTGTATCGGCAGGCTTATCCGTTGTGGGCATACTTGTGCCAATCGCTGCTGAACTGACCAAAAGACAGTGCGGTGAGTGGTTTTGGACGACCGCTCTACATTTTCTCGTATGTTCTGTATCTTCACAGTCTTCTTGTGCATCTTTACTGACGAAAGAATCTTGATCGTGTGAACATCCTGGTCACTGGGGACCAAATTCTACCCGAATCGGCCATAGTAATCAGTAACCATCAGTCAGTAGCAGACTATCTTTTATTAGTGTACTTGTCTCGCACCTGTGGAACCATCCATCCTCAAACGAATTTCTTTACTTGGTATTCGTTATGGAGAGTGCCCACCATAAAGACCTTGCTAAATATGTTCAGATGTGACGAGAACTGGGAGCTTTCGAAATCATGGACGGACTTGATATTTAAAAGAGTAGTCACATCGGAGGCTCCAGAGTGGATAGTCTTGTTTCCAGAAGTCAATATTCTCACACCTGCAACATCGTACCTACAAAATCTTCAAAGCGAAAAGTATTATCTCCCCAAATTTACTGAGGTCCTCTATCCTCGATTCTCTGGGCTACAAAATGCATCACGGGCCCTCAACATTACCTCCAGTGAAAAATTCTCGAAATTATATGACTTGTCTATCAATTATAGCCATAAAGTTTCACTTCTTGCCATTTTCTCCAACGCAAAGTCCATTGAAGTTAAAATTCACGTCAGGGCAAGGAACTTGAACCGCTTTCCACAGAAAAGGGCCAAGATCGAAAAGTGGCTCGAGAAAGTGTGGATAGAGAAGGAAAAACAGGTGCATAACATGAGCTTTCAACAAGATCAGCCAACTGGTGAGATTTTACTGGTCCTTGATATGCCATTGACCTCCATTGCCACGACTTCTAGTCATCTTGCATCAAATGGATGGGCAAACTTTTAATAATGGAGTTTTGGTTTTCGTCTCTCTCAATTCTGTAAAAATTATCCGTGTAACGGTCTCCATTAATGTGGCTCAAAAATTGCTCATCGTGGGTGATGACGATGAGCTGGAAGTTCTTCTGTGTCTTCCTAAAGTCGATGATATTGTTTAATGCCATGGCCAATGACTCAGCATTCTCCACATCCAAGTTAGTGGTGGGTTCATCAAGTGCAATCATTCCGCAGTTTGTTCCAAAACATTCAGCAAGAGCCAATCGAATCAAAATACTTGTAAGCACCTTCTGACCTGCGGAACATCTTCCTCTCATATCAAGCTCTGAATTTTTCTTGTACATGACCACTCTGTAATTATAAGATCGACCTTTGGCAACATCACATTTGATCTCAATGCCGTCAATATCTGTACCTCTGTACGTCTGGTTCCAGAGCTCCCGAAGAATTCTGTTGATTTCATCCATTTTCATACTGTGATACTTCATGATTGCATTATCTAACGCCTGAGAATACGTTTGTAAGTCATTAGACACCAACAAATTCGTTTGCAATTTAATCCACTCCGAATGGTACTGCTTGTCGATGTTCTTGAACTCCGTGGACAACTCATTCTGCAAATGCTGGATCTGATCGTTGATTTGCTTCACTTCACCTACCTTTCCGAAATGTTGGGAGTTGAGGTCAGTGATCTGACTGCGCAACCTCTGAGATGCCGCTTGGTACTTTTCCTTTTCCACTTCGGCATTTTGGATATCTATTTCATTCAATGTTTGTTGAATTCTATCCAACTCTTTTTCTGTTTGGCGAAGTTCGACGTTGTCTTGAATATTTCTCTCAACCTTCGTTGCATCATTGATAGCGGCTTCGAGTTGCTTGATTTCCAGTTCAAGTTCGCTCTTGCTATGTTCTAAGTTTTGAACCTGAGTAGTTGTTTCTGCCAATTTCTCCTTGATCAGCTCAACTTGCTCCTTATCATTAAGTTCGTATGATTCAATTGCCTCAAGTATCCTTTCAAATGTCAACAACGTGGAAGAAAGATCATCTAACATGCTTCGGCTTGTGTCTTCATGCTTGCTGCAAAGATTCTTCAAGTCCTCATATTCTTCTGACTTGACCTTGAAGTTGTCTCGTAGATCTTGGAGAATAATTGCAATCTTTTCTTGCTTTTCTTGCAAAGATTTTACATGAGTCTCAGAATCTGCAATGGAATTTTTAAGACCAACTGCTTCACTGAATGCCCTTTCCATGTCACTTATGAGTAACTGCTTGTCTTTCACCTGGCTCTCCAACTTTGAAAGCTCTCTTTGATGAGAATTAATTTCTTCTGTAGCATCAGAGATTGCTTGTCTCAAGTTCTTAACCTCAAAGTTTTTCTTCTGCTGCTCCCTTTGCAACTCAGAAACAGTCACCACAGAACTTCCAAACTCCTCAAGTTCATCTTGAAGAAGTAGCAATTGGCTCTCGATATTGGCAATCTCACCAAAAACTCTGTGGATACCTTCAACAGGTTTTGTCAATTCACGAATTTGCTCAAGTTTAAATCTCATTTGTTCAAGTTTCGTCTTCTCCAATTTGATGTTACTTTCTTTCTCTCTGATACTTTCTCTCTGAATTTCAGCTTCTGTCTTCAATTGTTGCAACTCCTTAGTCAACTTGCGATATTGCAAAATGTCAAAATGGATATTCTTCATTTCTTGCAAATCCTTCATCGTCGCTTCAACATCGTCAGTGAACTTGTCGGCTGTGAGGGAATTAATGTTATTCTGTAGCTCGGTCTCAAATTTTGAAAGCTCACCTCCGTTGAATCCTCTGTTACACAAAGTGCAACATCTTGTCTTCTTAGCAATATCCATAGCCTTAACCTTATAGCTTTTGGTCACTTCAAAAGTGTTGAGGTTGTACACAGCCGACTTGTGATCGTCCTCGAGCTCTTGCAATAGCCTTTCATAGTCATCAACCTCTGATTCTTCCAAAACGGCAAGTATATTGCTTTTATGATTTTTGATTTTCAGCTCCATTTCGGAAAATGCAGCGTTTGTACTTTCCAAGCGAGCATTCATCGAGCTGAGCTCATTGTTTGAACTACCAAGAAGCTCCTGCAATGCATCGGTCTCTTCTTGGAGGTTCTTAATGCAAATTTCTAAGGTAGACTCACACCCTTCAGCCTGTAACTTACTTCCAGTCAACTTTTCAAAATCTGCTTGATTGGACGAGATAGACTTATCCAAAACATTTTTTTTGAGACTTTTTGATTCTTTAAGCAAGTCAATCTTGCTATGAATATCCGATTGCTTATTAGACGTTGCAATTTGCCTCATCAAGTCATCCAATTCAACCTCGAGACTTGTAAGTTTCTTTTTATCTTGAATCATCACTTCTTTGAGTGAATTAACGCTGGAAGTTTCCTTCTTCTTCTCAAGTTTGGCTCTCAAGGCCTCCAACTTGGATTTTTCCATTTCTAAGGAGTCTTCATCAAGGACCAACACACTAAGTTTGTCTTTTAGCTCTTTGATTTTCAGGTTGGTGTTATCAATATCATCTGCACAATATAATGAATGTTGATCTTCCTTTGTGATTTTATCTCGGAAAACACCCAATTCTTCGTTCAACTTACCAAGTTTCTGTTCGTTTTCCTTCACAAGCTGCTTGAAGCGACCATCAGCAACCTTATGCATATGATTTAATTCTGTTTTGATTTCTTGCTTTTGTAGAGCCTTATCGAGCTGATATTTTTCGGCAATATTTGACGATAAATCAAATAGCATTTTCATATTTTCCTCATATTGGCCCTTCTTAGTCTCCAAAGAACCCTCACTCCTCGTCAATTCATGAAAGCGAGTTTGCGTCTTCAATAATTGCGCTTCCAAACCTTGCTTGGAAACCTCTTTTGTCTTCAAAGCATCAGCCTTTTCTCGCTGAATCTCTGCAAAATTGGCTAGCTGATGAGCCAACTCCTCGTCAGAATCAGCCAAGATTTTGATAGATTTCTTTAAACGCAGATAGTTCGATTCTGTGTTCTCAAGAGTCATTCTGTGTCTCTCGTATTCGCTCAATGTTTTTTGAAACGACTGGTTCAGATGGAATAAATCCTCAGCTTTCTTCTCCAATGTCTCTATCTCCATTGTCAACTCGGCAATTTCCAGTGTATACTGCTCCACTTTCGCCGAACTCTCTTCCAACTTCTCCCTAATTTTTTGTGCTCTGACCTTGTCGATTTTTGCGTGTTGCACACTTTGCTCAATTAACTTGATATCAGTGGCCATCTCCTTTTTGATCGTCTTTAAATTATCCAAGACCTTAGTGAATTTCAGTGCCTCAAAGATCTCATCAAAACGTTTTTTCAACACTCCTGCCTCACTCAATGGCCAAAGACTGTCGTCCTGGTGGCAGAAAATCACGTATTCTAAGATGGCCTTGGATGCACCTAGATATTGAGGCACACGCGTATCCAATTCGGCATTTTTTGAACTGATGGACGTCTTGTGTCCGCGAGAAATGACAGCCAACTGCCCTTCTAATGTTTTAAAGGTGTTTGTAACCGCAGATCCTCGTGCTCCTCTCTTTCTGGTCAATTGCATGTTCCTAGTTACTGTCATCAGCTTGCCGTCCACTGAAATGTATCCCAACTTTATTTCAGCATTCACCATCAGTCGATCTGCAATGACAGGATCATTGACAAATGCTCCACCTTTAGAATTAGGCGGGAGATCTCCAGTTGTAGCATACTTAAGACATTCGATAATGGTAGTCTTTCCACATCCATTTTGACCACAGATAAGAGTGAGAGGTGAACCGAATTGGATAGTTTCATGATCTTTAGGAGAAAAGGACCGTACTCCCAGGATAGAAAGTTTATATAGGGAGGACATTAAGTCGTCTTGGTTAACTTGGAATAAGAATGTAGTTACTTATGTATGGTTAGTGTGCAGGGTCTCTAAAACAATACCTTTTATTACTATAGACAGACCTGGGTCCGGCCCAGTCTCCTAATATTTAATTCTCAGGTAGTTAGACGATATGTTCTCAGTATCATTTGTACGAAATTTGTCATCTTTTCTCCATAACTCATCAGGAACGTTAGTAATTTTGATGTTCTGGCAGGCCAAAGTTCACATGTCCTGGGGCTAGTCCAGAATTGGGGTTCATGAGCTGTGATGGGCTCTGATGCGGTGATATTTGCTGCATAGATTGATGCATTTGCATTGTCTCCTGTTGTGGACTGGTATGCGCACTCGAAGATGCCGATATAGCACCGTCACCGCCCATCTCATTCACCGTGGCAACTCGCTTGCCCTTTCCTCTTCCACGAATACCTTTGTTGGAATTTTTGTATAAATTCCGGAAATATTCCAATAGCTCCTTCTGACTGTCACTCAAGCTAGCGAGTTCCTCCCCACTAAGCTCAGCAAGAGTCTGAGTCAACCGATTCAACGTTGGCAAATGAAACTTGTTTTGGTGAGATTTCAAATTACCCAACTGAGTAAAGGACTTATCACACCCATCTAACTTGCACTCAAAAGGTTTCTCCTTGTTATGAGTGAGCATGTGTGCAGCCAAGTTACCCTTTCTACTGAAGGAACGATTGCAGACAGAACAAGTGAATGGTTTCTCACCAGTGTGAAGTCGCATGTGAGTCCGCAAATTACCACCTTGAGTGAATCTCTTAAGACAATAGGTGCATTGGAACGGTTTGTATCCAATGTGCGAACGAACATGAACATCAAGGTGAGTCGACTGATTGAATTGCTTGAAGCAGTAGGGACATTGTTGAGTCTTACCCTTACGTTTCTTTTTCTTATCGCCTTGGTCGTCATCCGTATCATCATCCTTACTAGGTTTCTCAATTCCTCCAACCAAATCTACCGCAAGTGGAAGCACTCCATCCTTTTCTCCTGAATTCGGAGTTGCTAAAATACTTCCATCAGCAGCTTGTTTAATCGCATTAGTGTTACCCTTCTCACGGGCCTGGATGACAAGCATCAACTGGTCAACCTTAGTTGCACCAAGAAGTGGTCTTCCATCTTCAGACCTGGCATACTGTTGAGCTGAAACCAAGTGCTTATCATCCACATTTGGCTCAAAAGGCTCACCCAATTGTGAATTGTTGGTCGGTTGAACCAGCTGATAAGAATAGTTACCCTTATCGGTTTCTGGTGCAAATTGACGTTTCTTGAAAATTGGAGGCAGACTATTAGTTGGAGCTTGCATCAGGTATCCTGGATTCGCCATTCGACCTCCCTGATTACCCTGAGGCATGGATGGAGCCAGAAACGAGTACTGGTCAGGCTTCTTAGCCTGGCCTTGCTGTTGATATGGAGCCATTCCTTCTTGATAGCCATACTGATAAGCATCCTGTTGTGGAACGGAAACATTCTGATAATATGGTACAGGCTGCTGCTTCTGTATAATGCCCGAGTTGCCAACATTTCCATACTGCTGTAGAGGTGGCTGTTGTAGTTGTTGCTGCCGTTGCTGCTGTTGTTGCTGGAGGGACATGGCGACATTTGGATTCATAGTAGACACATGCATTTGGCTCGGGGAAGTCTTTGGTGATTGTGGCTCGTCGTTAAACTTATGAGACGATTTCAGAGACATCGAGGAAGTAGGCGAAAAGTGACCACCTTCTGGAATACTTGGCTTCCTATCGTTCGCACGGGGACCCAGCATAGAGCCACGGTGTTTGTCAAAAATGTCTTCCCTCAATTTGGTTGACGCATCCTTTCCCTGAACTTGCTGGGTGTTAATGAGTTTGAGGATTGAGTCGCGTCGCTGCTCATTGCTCATATTCGTAAAATCAATGCTTCCATTGTGTTGAAGATTCGCCAAGAAAGCATTCAACTCGTTGTTAGGGATTCCTGCTATCAGGCTGAATATTCCGGCATTCTGAGCATCCCAAAAGGAATTAGCGGTATCAAACAGCTTTGTATTGCGTTTGCTGCCAGACGACTGTGCGCCCTGGCCAGAAAGTGAAAGTTTGTCTTGGTTCCAGCCAAAAATGTTGCTTAAACTGTCTTTGTTGATAGAGTCGTCGTCCTGGTAGTATTCATTCGTAGATGTGGTCGAACGGCGGGTCCGGCTGTCAATTTTCCCTGAATCTTTTACAGATTGCCCACTCACCGAATTTCCTGTAGATCCAGGAATCTGGATAAGAGAGCTGAAAATACTGTTCAGTCTCAGGGATCCCGGCGGCACATTCGCGCTCACAGGCATCTGGGTATCACTGTCTGTATATTTGGACGACACTGGGGGCGGTAAGAAAATAGAATCACCTCTTAGTCTGGTGGGAGGATCCATGGGGACAGCCCCACTCACCGAGTCTCTGTGACCCATATAATAACTGGGAAAAGCTGCCCCTCGCTGACCTCCAGATGCGGGATTCATCATTTGGCCCTGGGAGGGCCCCACGGGGAGGGTGTTTAATAGCTGGGAGATCAGATCTTGACGGCCTGGGTTGAACAAGAACAGAGTCAGGTTCTGCCGGCTATGATGAGGTTGAGGGCCCACAGGAGGCAGGTTCATATAGTTTCCCACCTCTAGGCGCATCAGATTGTCTTTCTTCGCTTGCGCAGCCCTGGAGGCGGACATAGCAGTCGCCGGAGGGTGGGAATCAGCAAGCAGATCAAACTTGCGAGGTTGGGAGCTCGCAGGCGGGTGCAGCAGGGACGTATCGGCCGGCTGCAGCATCTTGGAAGACGTTTTGGCGGCTCGTGTATTCGGAACTTGCAAAGTATCGCCCATGTGTGGAGTTGGCGGCTAGGAAGTCTGGAGTAAATTGGACGAAAGGTAAACGATTTGGAAAATAAACACAAGTGGGGGATTCTCGTGTGGAAGAATTCGTGCGAATCGATTGCTATCTACTGGCAAGGTACTCCATGTACCTAGAATGGCTGAAATCAAGCTGAATTGGATGGTGAGTTTCTGACTTCACCAAAGTTGATGTTGTAATACACCCCTGGTGATAGTATGGAGCTGGATATTAAAAAATTCAGAGTCGGGAGTAAAAAATCGGCCACAACTCGGAATTTAAAGATTCTGATTTTGATTAGTGACGTCCGCTGCCGAAATTGCACAATAGCAATAGCTGATGTTGGAAAGAGTGTGAAGGCTGTACATGACGGGTGTTTGCTTTATCGCACACTTCGGGCACTGCACACGTGACCCAGATAACCCAAAGGTGGACGAAATGAAACTGGTACAGGGGAGGGAGGTAGAGGTGTTACGAGGAGACTAGGAGGGGAAACTGGGGGTAAATAATGCGCAACGAAGGTTTTATGTTTACATTGGGAATTGTTTTTTCTTTTCGAATTGTTAAATCCTTCGATTCACGCTGACAAGTTCCATGGTGAAATTATTAGCTCGGATATTGAGGACCGGTGGGTGTTAAACACGTGATGTAGATCAAACATCCATACACCACGACATTGTGGGGGTACTCTTTAATATGAGAAAGGGTCATGGGTCGTAAATTTCCTTGAGAAAGAGTCAGTTTCTCGTAATGAAACTTTGGTGATATTTTCGTCGTGAATTGAGTTTCTTTTTCGTTCGGTTTTTACAGATATTATTTCCTGCCATTTCTCATTTTTCTATAGTTTTTTTTTAACCGTGAATGTCGCTGAAATGGCTAGATCTACCTACTACTGATTTGGACTATTTCGCAGATCTCTCCACATCGTCCTTTCCTTCTAATTGGTGAATCATTCTACAAAAGTTGGGGTCTGTTTACATTAACATATTAAACATCCCATCCAAGCATTCCTCGAGTCCATCGTCGGTATGCAAGTTGTAGTCCTGAAGGTATCTCAGAGGGCCAATCTCATTGTTGTAGTAAAGTTTCAGGTGGAGATTGTCAAGAAATTTGCTGGTCAACCGTAGGTAGCTGCCCACTTGAGGCATAACACTGGAAAGGTGATCATAGTCCGACACAAGAAGAGAGAGCATGATGCGTTTGATTAGATTGCTCTTTTCCTCTGATGTCAATGTTTCCACCTTGTCCAATTGAAGTCTGTGGTAATAGGGACGGAATTCTTCAGGGATGCTGCTTGCATCCAAGGCCCGTTCTGTTCTTTCTGTTTGGGTAGAATTCTCTTCATGTAATTGTTCTGAACCGGAACGAATGGGCTTCGATGTGTCCAGCAGATTGTTCGGGTGATTAGGTGTGGATTGGTTTTGATTAATTTGTTGATTTTGAATATCCTGGTCGTTTTGGGGAATTTCATTATCCTGGTCGATATTCTGACTCTGGTATTTGTTGGTGGGGCCAGAATGGCCATGTTGGTCCTCTACTTGTCTTCGTAAGAATTGTAACTCGTTGATCATCTCGGAATTCTGTTGTTTGTACTGTTCAAGCTCCAAGCGAAGCTGGGCAATGGTATTTTCTGCCACCAGCAGTTTTTTTGCTCCAAGATCTATTTCATGTGTAGTCAAATCGGGTAGCTCTAACTGTGGTACATCAGCATTTGAGTCAACATCCGCTTCCGCATTAGAAAGCCAATCTAAAGATTCATTCCCTTCTGCTTGCATACCCTTATTTCCCATTTGACTGTTCCAGTGCTTGTGTGTCTGGGCTCTATCGTTCTTGTAGCCCTCTTCATTGGTAATGGGTCTGCACAAGTCCTCGTCTACAAAGGTGCCCTTGCTGTCCGTGAATCGAGACTCGGAAGATTGAGGCGGGGTGGTTAATGGAGATGATGGTCTGTTACTCTCAATGCTAGGGCGACGGAGCTTATCGAATGTATCATCTACTTTCAGATCACCATCCAGATCGAGCCGGTGATGTGAGTAATTGGCTGAATTGAAAGGTCTTCCCCTTAAACGAGCCAAGTGCTCGTCGATGAAAGGTTGCAATGTTTTGAAAAGAGCAGCTGCATCTGTTTTGTTCGCAGTGTTTGCGATTCCATCTTCTTTGTATCTGTTGTCACTAATAGAGTTTCCTGTAGTCGTGCCAGTTGAAACCCCCATGGAATCGCCCATGGAGCCCGTAAGAAAGTCTCTTCGTTGAAACTTATTGTTGTTTCGAATAAGTGGCGTCAGATGTGACGAAATGGCGGCACTCTGGAATTCTTGCCCATGTTCATTCTCATTGGTTTCGTTATCGTGTTTTCGAGCCAAATCAAGAAATGCCTGAAGATCCTGTAATGAATGGACGGAGATCTCGTCAGTGGAGCTTAGCTTGTCTGTATTATCCAGCGTAAGATGGGCGAAAGACTCCGAGAAGTCGGCCGTAGAGGGCGTGGCCATGGTGGTTGTTGTTTACAAAAATGTAGATGATGTTTGTATATGTAAATCCGTGCACCGCGTATATCTGTAGTTGAGTAGATACCACTTTCTTTTCACTATTGTCATTTTTTTTTAATTTATTTTAAATCGGAGAGTTTAGAAATCAAATGTGTTTTATTTTAATGACTAAGTATGCTCAGGTTAGGTACGATCATGTTTTAAGCGAAGCTTACTAGGTACTATATTTTGTGTGGATCGCTCAAGCATGACTAGCATAGAATTGTCCCTAAGATTTCCCATGTCAAAATATTACCTTTTCTCTGATAAGTTAAAAAAGGATTGCTGCCAATTCCATGATTTAAATTTCATAGAATCCTCCTGTTTTTAACTCTTACGTACGTCAGTATCTACCATCATAAACTATCAACTACTCCACTCTTATCTGTTGCATGGGTGATTTCAACGCTCAACATGGAACTAATGTCTTGAAATCCTTATGTTGTTTCTAGAAACTTGAAACCTTTCTCCAAGAACAACAAGTAACGTTCATATGGATGAATCAAGACATATCAACATGATTCCGTCCCTCCCCAACTTTACTAGCTACAAGATCCATAAATATCCGTCTATTATACAATGCATTATTTTTTTTAAGGCTCAACCGTCAGGTAGCCACCGGCCTCGACCTTCTCCGTAAACGTCTCTTCCACGTGAGTACACAATTCAGACAAGTTGTCCAAACCTTGGTGGAAAGCCTCCAATGCTGTGATGTTTCCATAGGTCTGAATACGAATGTTCAACTTATTCTCAGATGGATGAGGAATCGAGTAACCACAGAACTCCACCTCGGGGTTCTTCATAATCATGTATCTCAATGCGTTACCAACAGTATGGTCTTCATCCAAGATCTGGAACGAGGCAGCAGTTCCGTCCTCGGAAGAGCCAGGCAACAATGTGATCTTCTCTGCATCGTACTCCTGCTCATCAACCTCTGTTTCCATAGGAATATCTGCAATTTCTTCCGACATGATGTTGTTGGTAGCAGAGATGAGGACAATTTTTTACTCAAGTACATCGGTACTGCAGATGGAGAAATGATCGTTAATGGTACTTTCAAAACACAGGGTGATTGAAGAGGTAAAATCGAGAGTAGAGGGCTTGTAAATAATTTAAAAAGAGTAAAGTGATAATGACTTTTTTCTTACTTCGTAATAGCAATTAACGATACGTGGGATTTGTAAGTGATCATGGGAGTTGCGCACATGATATATATCACGTGATAATGTATGGAAAGTATTATTGTCACCTTTTCACGGTTCACAATTTCATTTTCAGCTTAACCAATTCTTTCAAAGATCTTGTTTAAACCGTTCTTCAAAATTTCAATCTCCCATCTGATCGTTTACCTCCATAACCCACGAACTCATCTGAAATTTCTTTTTCACCTCATCGCACTCTTATAAAGGCGCGCATCCCTCTACATTTTTTTTTTTTTCCCTAACACTTTCTTTTATAATGTCTGACTACAACGGTGGCTACAGCAACTACAACAGCGGCTACAACAACTACAACGGTGGTGGATTCAGAAACAACGACCGCAACGGTGGCGGCAACGGTGGCTTCAGAGGCGGCCGTGGCGGCAGATTTGGCGGACAAAGAAGAGAAGCTGAAAGAGTCGAATTAACCACTCCAGAGTGGGATTTGGACTCTTTGCCAAAGTTTGAAAAGAACTTCTACACTGAGCACCCAGATGTGGCTGCTCGTTCTGAGGACGATGTTCGTCAGTTCAGAAAGGAAAACGACATGACCATTGAGGGCCACGACATCCCTAAGCCTATTACCTCTTTCGATGAGGCTGGATTCCCAGACTACGTCTTGAGCGAGGTCAAGCAGCAGGGTTTCCCAAAGCCAACTGCTATCCAGTGTCAGGGTTGGCCTATGGCTTTGAGCGGAAGAGATATGGTGGGTATTGCCGCCACTGGTTCTGGTAAGACTCTTTCATACTGTTTGCCGCTGATTGTGCACATCAATGCTCAGCCTTTGTTGAAGCACGGCGATGGTCCTATTGTGTTGATTTTGGCTCCAACTAGAGAGTTGGCTGTGCAAATTCAGACTGAGTGTTCCAAGTTCGGATCCTCGTCCAGAATTAGAAACACTTGTATCTATGGTGGTGCTCCTAAGGGTCAGCAGATCAGAGATTTGGCTAGAGGTGTGGAGATTTGCATTGCTACCCCAGGTAGATTGATTGATATGTTGGAGACAGGTAAGACCAACTTGAAGAGAGTCACTTACTTGGTTTTGGATGAGGCCGACAGAATGTTGGATATGGGATTCGAGCCACAAATCAGAAAGATCGTGGACCAGATTAGACCTGACCGTCAAACCTTGATGTGGTCGGCCACTTGGCCTAAGGAAGTCAAGAACTTGACCAGAGATTACTTGGTTGACCCTATTCAGGTCACCATCGGTTCTTTGGAGTTGTCCGCTTCCCACACCATCACACAGTTGGTTGAGGTTGTCACTGAGTTCGAGAAGAGAGACAGATTGGTTAAGCACTTGGAGATCGCCACCACTGATAAGGAGGCCAAGTGCTTGGTGTTTGCTTCCACCAAGAGAGCATGTGACGAGATCACTTCTTATTTGAGAGAGGACGGATGGCCTGCATTGGCTATCCACGGAGACAAGGACCAGCATGAGAGAGACTGGGTTTTGAGAGAGTTCAGATCTGGAAAGGCTCCAATCATGGTGGCTACCGATGTGGCTGCTAGAGGAATTGGTATGTATACCCTCGCATTTTGATTTACTAACCATTGTTTAGGAATGACTACCCCTGCTGGCCAGGCGGAAACGAAAGGAGACTAGAAGGAAGGATTATGAAGAAAGCAACAGAGCTCGAAAGAGTCGATACAAGAATACGTCGATGTAATCTGAAATGTGGAGCCCGGGCTATGACCTGGTGCACTTAATTTTCTACGCGGGGAAAGATGAGAATGGCTGGGTGATTCCAGCTTATCAAACCATTGTACATTCCTCCAGCGTTCAGATTCCATACTCATTGTGCTTTCTATGTAATCAATAGACATCGAACTCCTTTTCTTTCATTGTAGCGTCATACTAAACACGGTGCCGGAGGCTTCATTAATCAGAAGCACTAAATGTTCGAGCACTTACTAACTATTTTTAGACGTTAAGGGTATTACTTATGTTATCAACTACGACATGCCAGGTAACATCGAGGATTACGTCCACAGAATTGGAAGAACCGGAAGAGCTGGTACTACTGGTACTGCTGTGTCGTTATTCACTGATGGCAACTCCAAGTTGGGTGGTGACTTGTGTAAAATCATGAGAGAGGCTAACCAGACCGTTCCACCTGAGTTGCAGAGATTTGACAGAAGATCTTATGGATCTCACATCAAGTATGGCCGTGGAGGATACGGTAGAGGTAGAGGTCGTGGAGGATACGGTGGAGGCCGTGGTAGAGGAGGATTCGGAAACCGTCAGACCGGATCCAACAGCCAGCCAATGGGAGACAGACGTCGTTTCTAGAGGAGCAGTTTATAGAATATTTATGGAATTAAGCTATTTTATCGATTTGTGATTGTATTTGGCTCCTTCTATGGGGTGTTTGTAGCATAGTGTATTTTTCCCATCTTAAACCCGAAACTTTCGTACTCATGTAAAGATCCCAAAAATATTTCCGACTATCATTAAGCCAAGCCAATTCCTCTCAACAGAGGATTTCAACATCAATGGCAGAACTTTTGAATTTTTTTGACCTTGATTATGTGATTCAATTGTCACCCGTTCCATGTTGCCTCCTTCAAGTTAGTCATACTAAGTTATTCATTATGAATGCCCATTTCGATTTGTCCATTTCCAGATGTCGATTATGAGGGGACGTCTGGTAACAAACCGAGAAAGATTCCGGGCCCTGGAAATAGGCAATAGGGGACCAAAACATTAAATTCTCAATTGAGTCGGTCTAAAACTTTATCAATAACACACCTCGCAGGTACTTACAAGTCCAGAACTTAGTTCGTCACGATATTGCTTGCTCGTCACAAAATATTATCAAATTCATTAAACCAATATTATTTAACCGTACCCATCATGTCGACTGCCCGAGACGACTTTTCAAGTTTGCATTTTCAGCCTTCAAATAAACGATGTAGTCAAAGGCCTTCTCTAATATAACCGACTTGTTCACCTTCATGTCCATACAAACTTCGTTTCCATTGGCAAACCAAGGGATAATCGTCTGCAAGCTGTTAATCTTCAGGTTGATATTAACACGGTACTTCTTTTCAACCTTATTATGTGCCTCTTTCTGGGTATCGGTAAGTCTTCTCTTAGAACATCTCTTTCTCTTTGGTTGTGAAGTGGCTGTTTCGGGATGGCTATGTGTGGCAAGTTTCTGTGACACAAGTCCAGCTTGTCCATCAGCAGCATCCTTCAACACGTCCTTGGTGTCGAAGATCGACTCCAATGCCTTGGGAGTCAAGTCATTGCTTCTCTGCATCAATTGTAATCTAGCACTCACTCCGTCCAATAAATTAGTCTTGTGGGGGGCAGCAACATCCACATCCTCCTCTTCCTTGATAGGAGGGGTGCTGGAGACCGTCGAAGATCTGGAAGAGCCACTGAAAATACTCTCGTCGTTGTCCAATAGACTGGAGAACTCCGAGGTGATTGGGTATGGCTCAAAGGCCGACATTTCAAAGTTGAGTGCCTCCGTTAAGCTGTTGGTGGTGGTCATTGGAGCCGACTTGGCAAGCAAATCAGAGATCCATTGCTCTTCCAACGGCGAATCAGCTTGGTACTTAGAATCCATTTCAGTTAATTAAATCAAGAGTGGAGAATCAAAAACATCCAGGGTTCCCAGGTTTGTGAGCTTCTTATATAGGAACTTCATACATTACCACCACCTGCATAGGTGCGAGAACATGCAGTGGGTTTTTCCGATGGAAAAGGCTATTGGGAGTAGGTGCCGGAACAATCTCAATCTGTGGTGCCACTTTAATTTTTCAGTCATTCGATTTTCTGGATGCGAACCCTACCCACCATAACACCAGAAAAAGGAAAAATAGCGAAAAAAGCAACACCATCAAGTATCAACTCCAAATTGATTTCTCCTCTTTAGTTTCCCCCTCTTTATGCCTTATGGAGCAATCTCAAGTAGACCTTATTCACGAACTTCGCATGAAATACATCCGTGGAAGAAATTCATTACCCCTGAATCCATTCCTTCCTGGAGTTTAGAGAGCAAGTGAGGGAAAAAGGCCATTTTGCGACGATCAGGAATTGCATGGAAGGCGGCGGCGAAAATTTTCGAGAAATTAGACACTCCGGCAAGCCAGGAATCGTAACTGCGTCATGGAGAATACGGCTTTTCCATTTGAAGTTTTTTTTTTTTTTGTCATATATGAGATTTTTTTTTTTTAATCCATATGCAATTTTTGTTTCTCATAGCTCAGTTATTATGTCACTTACTAAACTTTCCCATTCCCTCCGAGTTCTAGCATTCGACATTGAATTCTATTATTGGCCACTTTTCTCACCCACTGCTGGCGCAACGAACGTGGCTGAGAAATTGGAAGATGAAACGTTGACAGGTTCACCCGGCTATACCCAAAACATTGGCCAATGCGTTAATAAAACTGCACCAGGGCACTCGTGCAGCCATGTGTCGGAGCAAAACGTGAGCGATCGGACGTAAGCGCATAATTTTTTCCGTGATCTGCCAAGCCCTCACAATTTGCTCGGTAATTTATGTGGGCTCGGACTTAGGAGAACAGACCCCTAGGACATTCGAATTTTTTTTTTCTTGTCTACGTTTAAACCTCCGACGTACAATCCATTCCCGAGCTTCTCTATCACGGCGTTAAGACTTGCCCTTCTTTTGGGTGTCCGGAGTCGGAGATTCACACTTATCATACAAAAGTCACTTAAGGGAATAAGGGTCGGCAATGGAGCGCGTGGAGGGGCAGCAAGCGAGGGGTCAACAAACGTGTAAACATTTTGAACCAGCTAATAATGCAGTTTTACCGCTTTACACATCGAAGTTCACAGAAGTCACAACACCAATCGGAAATGTAGACCGCCACTGTAATTTAGCCCGTGATTGCCTGGTGGGTGATTACGACACCGCATGCAGGAATCATTCGTTGCGATCTTCTCACTAGTAAAACTGATTGATTTGATTGCTTGAAAAGTCATAGCACCAAGTGAATGTGCTGTAAAAATCGCCTCGAATTGGGCGAACCACAAATATAAGAATATTTCCACAATTTCACTTTATTTTTTGCAATCACGGTTTTAATCATCAAAATCCTTCCAACTTCAACACCCCATTAATCTTGGTGCTTATCCCATGTTTCCTAATCTCCCTAACCTCCATGTTGCAGAAAATATTGCAAGGATCGGATCGGGCAACTAGTGGAGAAATATCAAGGAGGAATCAAGGATAAAATGTCAAAGAAAGGGTGAGCCCCAGTAAACAAAATCTACCTTAAAATGAAGGGCCAGGGGCAATTATATAGTTTCATGGCAACCTTGGATGTCATGGCTGATATGCGACTACAAGTTTGGATAGTGGGGGACTAACATAGTGCGCAATCTTCAGACCTATACACGCATGGCAAGTGGGAGACAAGACTTGTGAAATTGAGATCAACATCAATCAATGAAAATCTTGATAATCGCATGCCCTTATTTTTATTTTTTTCCTTTATTTTGGGTTTCTGGTTGGCAAATCCAATTTTTGTATTCTGGTGTGCTCGCTGAGGGATGTGAGAATCCTGATAGTGAAGGAAATGATCTGGGTATGCGAATAATATGAAGGCATTTGAATACCTGATGAAATCGCGTGGGGGATAATCGCATATTACCTCTCAGTTATGTATTCGCTAACAGCTCAATTATCTCTTGTTATTGCAGAGACTTTAGGGATAATCCATGACCTTACACACAGACTACCACAGCCACCGTTTAACCTACAATGTCACATTTCTGCCGTACATTCAGTAATTCTTTTCTCCAAACCGGTGCCACTGGACCACAGAACTATGTAGGATACACCTTATGTGCAAAATTCGTACATTTTGTAGCTTTGGACTATCCTGTCACATTTTTTTATCATTTTCCTTTTTCTTTTCTTTTCTTTTCTTTTTTTTCTTCTGCATCTTTTAATTATTGACATTATAATCTTTATCTATTTCTTTCAAGTCCATCGATTTACTTTGTCCCTCATACTTCTAGTCATTATTACTTGGTCATTTTTACCCTTAGTTCCACTCTCGCCCTCCCACGCACTCCCTCGTACTTCTTTTCACACTATCCAGTATTCGATGCCTTCCTTCTCTATTATTGTCACTCTAGACTTACCTACAGTTTACGAGCCGTCACCAGCCGCAGTGGGGCTGTAGCTTGTCATAGAAAACCTGTCATTCGTGACGTAAAACGTTCAGTCGAGAACATCGTATATTTGTGCGATTATATAAGCGCACAATTGTTTGACGGCTCTGCTTACATAATCTTTTATTATTTTGATGGCTCCGCTTATGTAAGCGGAGATTTCAGCGATTAGGTAAGCGGAGAAACAACACTGCCTTTCATTACAATTAGACGAAAATTGTCAAAATTTTAATATAAAATGCCCAATCCAGTTCCTCTCTCAATTAGAATCCAATCTATTCATTCAACTCAACTACTCTATTAACAATGGCTTTCAAAGACGAATCATCAGGCATCGCAGCCTCAGTGTTTCTTGCAATCTACTCTATTTTCGCTCCATTCATGTGTTTTGTCATCCTTAAAAGAGGAATCAGAACCGTTTACGGGTTTATTTGGTTTTTCGCCATAGTGAGATTTGGCGGACAGTTGTGTGGTGTTGTTCATTCCATTTTGGGTCCCCAATACTGGAAATGGCTCATTGCCTACCTTGTGTTAGGTGCTGAAGGTTATTTCGCATTGATTCTTGCCAGTTTCCATACAATTTGCAAGGGCCAGAAATACGCCTTAGGTACCTCATGGCTCGAACAGACTGGTCCCTCTACTTTTAGTAATGGACTTCCAATTGTCAGCCGTTTGACCAAAACTTGGTCTGCACTCTTCAAGACAGTGCTTATCCCTGCCAATGTATTGGTGATCATCAGTGGAGTTATCCTTTCTGGAATCTCCACCGAAGATGTCAATCAGCAGTCTACTCTGCTTAAAGAGTCTAAGAAGCTCCGTACCATTGGCCAAGCAATGTTTTTGGGCCTTATGATGGTGTCGGCCGTAACCAACCAATATGTGATGTGGGTGCAAGGTGTACGCAACAAATATACCATAGCAACCACACTCGCCACACCATTCTTGCTTGTGAGAGGAACATTTGGAATTTTGTCAATCTTTCTCACCTCAATGAACTACTTCAACGTGCAAAACACCGTGGGTATGAAGACTTCCGTTGTAATCTTCGAATATACATTGGGAACCACCATGGAGCTCTTGGCTGCTTGGATATTGGTGTCGCCATTTTTCACCGAAGGCAAAAAAAAAACAATGAGTCTGGGCAATGCTATTGAAGACACGAGATCAGAAGAAGATCACAAGAGGGAATGGAACTAAAGTGGGGAAGGGATCCGGAGATATGAAGATATAGGTAAATACTAAAGAATTTTTCATAAATGGACAATTAAGAAATTTTTGTAATGTTGATAAGAGCCACAGAAAAGAATTCCAAACTTAATATTCAAGCCACCATAAATTTCATTAATATCAATAATGATCTTGAATACAGACATCCAAAAAAAGTGCAGATGCCAACTACAAATGCCACTAAGGCGAGATGGGCGAACTCCACAAATAGCCCAATCAAACTTCATAGCCCCACTTCTCCACTTTCTTATTAGTTATTCCGCCCATTGTTTTGAAGCTCGGATGATGTGACCCAAGTATGCGATTGTGAAGTTGAATAGATTATGTTAGCCCACCATGTATTTCGGCCATTGAAGTCCGTTTTCTTCCCAGGTTTTTCCGCCATTCAATTTCAAATATTTCCGAATACTTCAAAATGCACGCGAATCATCCTTCCAAGTCATTGAACTAACGATCTGATACTTCTATCATGACTTTTGTTACCACCGACCTGCACACAAACACCAGGACCTTATGGTTCAATGTATCCATGCATGCAGGTGGAAGTCAGTAAACCTCCGAAATGGACGATCTTCGGGGTCACTCTTTTCTATATCCAACTTAAGGAGTCTTCAATTTCATGCTATTGGTCTTTCCTCCTTCTTTTCTGTGAACTTCCCATTGTTTCAGAAGTTATTGTCGTCTTATCGCTGGTGAACACCCGTACACCTCACACTTCAAATGTGGAGGTCATTGTGTCTTTCAACTCCATTGATCGTTGGACAATCGTCTTTTTGGAACTTTTTTTTAACTGGATAGTGTTGTTAAATACTCCTCCACGCACATTGAACTGATATTCTTATCTCATTTTCCCTATTGAGAAGCCAGTCCTATTGCTGCAACACCCATGAGTAACCGACCTACGATTGCTGGAAGTGGTTCATCCAGTTCGACGGTGCCGGTATCGACCGAAATGGTTCCGGATGAACCCAAATTGCCACAAAATACAACAATACCGTCCTATAGATTCTTCAAACTCATTTCGGTGAACTTCAAGGAGGCAGCATTAGACTCTCCATCATTTAGAGCCTCTATGAACCACTTGGATCTGCAGCTTTTGAACACAGAGAAGTGGTTTGTTGCATTGTCAGCATCCTTCTCGAAGATTCCTCGTGTGATCCAAGAGCTTCTGGGCTTTCTAGATAGTTTCATGGAGTATTTGGTTCCGGTGTTCATGCAAGATGGACTCTTGGACCAAGAGTATACAGTGTCTTCATTAAACAACACCAAGGATGGCCTCAAGAAGATCTGGAAATTGGCTTTGGGAATCATCGAAGTCAACATGCCCAACATTGAAATCACCAAGAGTGAAATTATCGAGCGAATCGCAACCTACAAGCAGCTTAGACGACAATTCGACGCTGCCCAGGAGAAATATGACAAGTTCCTCTCAGTATATATGGCGCTGTCAAAACTGAAGGAAGCTCCCATGATATTGGAAGATCTGCTACAGGTTTTTGCAGTCCGCAAAGAATATCTCCAATTGAGTTTGGATCTTACCATGGAGATATCTGAGGTAAGCAATCTTATCAACGAAAAAATCAACCACCGGAACTTCTTGCTTTGGAAAGAAAAAATGGACAAATTTAGCTATGACCCTATGGTAGCCGAGTTGCTATCAGAATTTTGGACCAAGACTGATCGAATCCAGTGCTGGAGTGAAGCCTACCATAAAGCTATGCTCAATCTTAGTGCTGACTTGCTTCTTGCCAGAAAACACATTGAAGAGCGCACAATATTGCAGTTCACTCCATCTAACCTGCTCAATGATTATCGGGCGCTGCTTATTAACTCGAAGGTCTTGGAAGAGGCTAACGAGCCTGCTGCAGAGATCCATGGTTATTTATTCATGAAAACATGGACGGAAAGGTCAAATAAGCCAATCTGGGTTAAGAGATGGGCGTTCATCCAGAGCGGAGTGTTCGGCTTTTTGGTACTTAGTCCCTCTCACACGTCTGTCCAGGAAACTGATAAGATTGGTGTTCTACTTTGTAACGCAAAATACTCACCCAACGAAGATCGGAGATTCTGTTTCGAAGTGAAAACAATCGACACATCGTTGGTGCTCCAGGCAGAAACACTTGATGAACTCAAATCTTGGCTCAAAGTGTTTGACAATGCAAGAAACAGAATAATCAATGAGAACGACCCAATGCATGAACTTTTCTCATTGGCCAGCGGAAGATATCCCCCTCTTGTCACAGAGTTCCTGTCAACCACCAACACAGTAATGGATAAGCAGATGTCAAGTTCACGAATCATCAACAGCGCCGGACAGATCATCACTTCCAGTAAGTTATCTTCACATCTAGAGAAGAACGAGAAATTATTTCAAAGTTCCATCTATAACCAGATTGCTCATATATATCTTCCATTTATCACTGATGCCAGTCGCTCGTCGTTGATTGCTTACAGTCTTACAGGTTCAACGAGTGTTCCTACAGCTCTCAGTGCTAACATCTGGGGATCACTCAACTGGGGAGTATATTACATGAATGATGTGATTCCTAATGAATTGATTGAGGATGACATCCCCGAGGAGGAATTCTCCAAACAGATCGGTAATGGAATGAGAGTGCCGAAAAACTTTCCCAATGCGTGGCTTCCACGAGATATTCAGTTACGTGCATTATTCGAGTCTTGTGTGGGACCTCTGGAGTGCTGCCTTGTCTCATTCAATTGTTTGCTCTCTCCTAATGCCCAGCAAGAGCTCCGTGGAACTACCTTCTTTACGCAGAACCATATTTACTCATATATCCATTCTTTGGGATTTGTCTCATTGAGTAAGGCGCCTATAACACATTTTGTGGAGGCTCAGTGTACACACAAGAAGCATTATGACATGTTGAAGGTGGTAAATTTGCAGGGATCGCTAAGGGCGAAATTATTTTTGGATGATGGTTTCTTGATCGCTAAGAAATTGAATTGCATCTTCGAAAATGCCGCTAGCAACGAGCCTCTAGGTCTCACTGGTCTTATTCGTCAAATTTTGAAGATCGAGACTGAGTACAATGCCGAAAAGAAGAAAGCTAAGGCTAAAGCAAAGCGTTTAATTGGAGAGGACCAAACGTCTGTTCTCAATGGAAGTTCGGATATCCAATTCGTGTCTCAACCTACACCTAACCACCTGTTCCGGGTTGATTATTCTGATGAGATGACATTGTTAGGTGAACATATTGTCAACCTTCCTCCAAAAGCATTGTTTCACATATTCTTCGGATCTCGTTCAACATTGCTACAAGAGGCATATCCGGTTGTCACCATTAGAATCAGTGATAGAACGAAATGGATGAAGGACCCAGATAATGAGAATGGCCTTTTCCGTGGGTTTGTTACTGACTTCCGATATTATGGCAGTAAGCACGGAAGATTTACTGTTATACAAGAACTCGATCCGTGGGTCGACAACGAGTATTACAATTGCAAGATTACAAGATCGAGCTTCAAGATTAAGTATGGACCTGAGTTCAAGTTTGTGAGTCGTATCATCTTAATTGGTGAAAATGGCCATACCAAGTTCAAGTATTATGGAGGAGTTATCACAACTGACAAAAAGTCTCCTTTGGGATGGTTAGTTAAGAAGATTGGAAGTACTTACAGCAACTCCTTTTTCGGTTCCATTTGCAGAAGCATCGATGAGGCAACTAGATCGATCGGGCATAACGGAAAGGTTTTGAAAGCGATCTATCAATACGGTAAGATCGAAGTCACAGACCTACCATACCAGAATCCACAAATCCCACCATCGGAAGCCAGCTTGGGTACTGTAATTAGACTATTTTACATGGGTACCATGACTTCTGCCGGCAGACGGCTAGTCTCGACCGCATACTTCATTCTAAGTGTGTTGAAGATTATATTTACCAATTTGTCTGCGCACCGGATTCTTGTTGGAATAATTGGTGTGTTGACGATGATGAACCTTTTTCTTGGAGCTAGAAGTACCAAGTATTATTGGCAGGCAAAGGAAGCACGCGAGCTCGCTCGCGAAGTGCTCAACTTCGAGCCGATGATGATGCAGAGAGCCATCTACCTGAAGGATATCCGGGAGCTCATCATGAAAAACGATCTTATTGCTTCGGACTCTAAATGTTTCCAGACCTTCCGGAACTCGTCATTTGTTCTCAATTTTGACCAGCCTGCAACCTGGAGCAATGCATATCAAGACGATATGACCCGTTCAGTAGCTATCAAATTGCGGAAGTCGCTTCAAGAGATCGGAATCCGCCGAAACGAATTGATTGTCAATTTGCGGATGCTTAATTCCTTGGAGGAAGAAATTGCTCGAGGAGAATGGAAAAACTGGTTGATGAGTGAGCTCGAGAAATGTGATTACTTCCGTAATCTGCCATTACTTGAAGAAGCGGCCATTCTCGATTCTGACTTCGAGACCGGAGTTGAGACACTCAATGAATTTTGCTCCAGTTGTTCAAAAGAGATGGATGTACTTCTTTCCTCTAATAATTTACTATAATTAGAGATACCAGTGAAGTCGAGCAACATCGACCATGATTACGGACCAGGATACGAAACCATGCATGAATTAGATTACATAACGACGTCAGCGGGCACAGAGGCTCGGCGGAAGCACCGTCTCCAGGATCTATGTAGCTTTGTTTTCAGCAGCATCTCGACGTCTTCCACGTCTGTCGACGAATCTTGCAGAGAATTGGTCAGAGTCCTAGATGCCCTCCGACTTGCTGACGACACCACCGACAGTCTTCTTCTGATTCTCTTGAATGACCTCACCATGGCCTCCGCATAGGTGACCGCAGGGGGTATGATAGTGGTATCAGATATTTCTGTGGTCTTCGCGAGCAAAGACTCGATGTCGAGTGTGATAGCTGGCGAGGAAAGATTGGAAGAAATGAAGAGTTGGAAGATGGAGAAACGGGAAGTGATAGCATCTAACAGAGGCAGCAGTGCCAGCAAGTCTGCCAAGGTCAGCACACTGTACTGTTTGCCAGTGTGAAGAAGCTTGAGGTTGTTGATGCAAGTGACTGCGGAATCCAGATTCTGCAGAAGTAGATAGATTAGAAGATGGTTGACGGACACCTGTGGGCATGGGTGGAGGTATTGGCTCACAAAGTGCACCACATCGTTGATCGAAAATGTGAAACGATCAATCAAGTTGGGGAGTATGATCGTGATCTGGTCTGTTGAACTAGGCCGAGAAATTGGTGAAGATATGGAAGAATCAATCGCATTCAAATCGCCGACATCATCTTGAGGACCCACAACCGTTGCACACGATGAGCAGGGTGTGAGCAGCAACCACTCTTCGTCCACGTCGTATAATTCCAGGTAAATCGACATGTTTGAAGGAAGAGAGAATCGATGGGGAGATTTATCTGAAGTGGATCAGTTGGGCCTATGAAATGCCTGAACCAGGCATATCTGCAGGATGGGCGCTATGTTCCCCACCTTACTCCACAAGCGCCTCGCGGGGTGCAGGTATCCTCTTCCGCAACTATGCTTCCGTGGTGCATGGTGCTGGCGACTCCTATTCAGACCAGACTTCATTCACCGAGATTCCCAACAAGGGTCGCGGCGCATACTTCCGATATTCAGGGCCCATATTCTAGAGTAATTGCTTCTGCGATTTGGGTGCGTCAAATAGGGGCAGAGTTGGTTTTTTATGGTTGAGTAACTTGAGTTAGGAGGGTTGGTGGGGGAGGGGTCATTTCCCAAAGGACCAGTTGTGTCGACCACTGTGAGAGAAAAACCAAATCATATAGCAAGAGTGCAAAATGATCACATGAAAGGAATATTACGCCAGATACTTCCTTCGGCAACCGATTTATTGCTAGCTATGAATTTGTGAACCCCCAAGATCCTATAGAGAAATGAGGTGGATATCCGAGCACAACAGGGCATCTAACATGTAATCAGGGGATCACAACTTAAACTTCCGAAAAAGGGGTTTGTGGTAGCAATTGCTTATGGGGAGAGGGTACCGAACCAACTGGTCCGTCGAATTTACCCAGACCACGCCATTTTGTTGTTCTTTTTATTAGTGTTTTTGCATCTCTGTGCCCTCACTTCTGTCTGGGCCAAAATCAAAGGCGCTCAATACATTCCACAACTCTGAGTACTCATTACTTCTGTCTCACATATCTAAGTCCCAAGATCTTCAAGCACATAGTAACGCCTCAAATAGTTCCAATCGTCTATGAATATTCCCTGGTGTGCGCGTCTTAGAATCTCTGCCAATAGCCTATTTTGCATTTTGTAGTCAAGGTCGGTGGGCTCTTGTACTATACGATCCAACTGCTCTATAATGACCAAATCATGGTTCTGGTCGAGAACTTCTAGCACCGACGTGAGCGACGTCACTCGCTCATAGTGGAACGCCTTCATTCTCTCGGCATCCTTGACCCATGGTTCCTGACTTTCTGCTAGAGCTTTCCGTAGTCCTCCGGGCGTGCTGTTGTTAATGTATACCACGGTCTGGCCCGGGGGGAGGGTTGATACTTGCTGAAAAACCACGTGAATACAGGGGACTATGCCATGCTGGGGCGATAGATGGTACATCCTCAACTTGTAATAATTAATGTGCTTCCAGTGTTGATGTTATATTCTGTACAGGTCAGATAAAAACAAAGGTTAGAAAGAGAGTTGCAAATGGACAGGTACCTATATTCCCGAAAAAAATTAATAACATGTATTCCAGATCGACTACTATTTGAAGTTTTAAAGATGTGACAAGTATCAAAATAAGACTTATGGCGTCCATGGAAGGAAAAGATATTGCCATTTTGAGATTTGATAAGATTCCTGATGATTCCTGATGATTCCTGAAAATTCCAACTTGGAAGATAAGAAATGACCTATATTTTCTTCTTCATATTCACATTTTGCTCACTCCATGGGAGAATAAGAAAAACGCTGTTATTAGAGAGAGTAAATTTTAGAGCTACCAGACCTACCAAGAAAAATGAATTTAGCTTTATCAGCTCATGGATATATAAGTAGTAACTCTTATATGTTGTTAGCTTTATTTATCTTTTATAGTCTACGGCATTAAAGGTATTGTTGGTTAAAGTACTAATTTAGGAGATCACAAATTCTTATTGCTTGCAATATGAAATGCACCTTGGAGAATTTGGCCAATAGGCTGGCATAATTATAAAGCTTACTCAGTCTTCTTGGAGTAAAGCGTATTAGAGTAAAAAGAACATAACCGAAATTGGTAGACATCATTAAGAATGGCTGACAACCAGTTAACTACACGGACTATATACTACATATGACCACAGGTTCCAAACTCATCAACAATTGGAGTCAAGGCCATGCCCGACGCAAGAACTGTAATTTCCAAAAAGCCATATTCCTGAAATTTATTCGAAATTTGTATATTTGATCCTAGGATATATATACTTGATAGTTTCAAGAACATAATATCTTATAACTTCGATCACGTGATTGATACTCACGTGATCCAGAAAACCACCATGCCCTCATCTCGAGATCTTTCAAATATATATTTAACATCAATAGAGCCATGGATAGAAGAAGAATTCTCGTTCCATCCGAAGCCAAGGTCCCTATTTTGGGCCAGTCATCTGGAGCCGAGCGCCCAAAAAGGCAGTTTACCCCCAGTGAAGGCGTCAGAAGTTTCTTCATCAAAACCGGACTCAGTAACAACGCAAATGGCCTGGCATTTCTAGAGGTGGATGACACAATTATTGAGGTCAGTGTATTTGGACCTCGTCCAATTAAAGGCTCGTTTATCGACCGTGCATCCTTCTCCGTGGAATGTAAGTTTCTTCCTTATATTACCCAGCCCAACGAATTATTATACAATGGAGGAGCATCTCAAGGAAATGGGCGGTCTTCACTTACTCCTATCGAACAAAAAATTAGCACATACCTTGAAACTGCGTTTTTACCTGCGCTCATGTTGGAAAAATACCCCAAATCGACCATCGATGTGTTTGTCAATGTGCTTTCCTTCAACTCCAACACCTCATCTTTGTTGAACCTAATATCTTGGGCCGTCAACTGCACGTCATTGGCATTGGTGGATTCAGGAATAGAAGTGCGTGATTTGGTCACATGTGGCCATGTAAAGTATGTGGATGGTAAAGTTGAGTTGGATCCTCAGATCTCTTCGGAGAATGATTCTCGCATAGGTACAGAATGCTGTGCCAGTTTCATGGCTATGAAGAATAACGAGGTGGTGGCACTTTGGATAGAGGGAAACGACGACACAGAAGTGACCGAAGAGCTCTTACAGACTCTGACAAATGCATGTGAGGAGATGTCTGGGATTGTCAGACAGAACATCAACGGATTTTTATTGCAAGCAGCTGAGTAGCCCCAGAGCTAATGTGTATTCTATATTCTAATGTCGAACTCTATGTACATCACTGTAACTTTTTCTCTTGCAAGTCCTCTTCTTCGACCAATTCGTTCAAGGCGCTCTTGATGTGGATCAATTTGTCTGCCAATAATTGAATGGTGAAGGTGTTGCGAGACTCGTTGTCGTTGTAGATCAAGAACCGTTTGTTGACATTGATGCCAGTCGACTTGGAGATGAGTCTTGCAATTCTAGTGTATGTTTCCACAACATTGTTGGACTTGGAGATACCGTTGTAAATCGGTGTGGTATTGTCCGAGATACCACCAACCACATGGTCGAAGATGTTGGTCCTCAAAGAATCAGCAAGTTCTTTTGCTTTCAGCGCATTCAAAGGAACATTGATGATGTGATATTTGAGTTCAAATGGCTCGGAAATGAATGTTACATCGTGCTTGCCATCAAGATGATACCTAAACTCATAAAGACCTTCTTCCCAGAAAAGACGTTCATGGGAAAAGTGAACCCTGCCAGTTTCTTCTGGGCCAGTCCAATCCCAACGATTGTTCGATGAGATTAACGTTCTGTAACGAGAGTAAGACGTATGAGTGATCTTGTATAATCCAATCCAATCCTTCGCAGAGTGTCCAACAGGTGCCGAGAATGAAACTTCAAGGTCATCACCAACGTACGCAAACGGAATTGGCTCTTCACCCTGCTTCAATCCTGAAATAGATAAATTATATTCAGTGCCAGTAAAGTGCTTGTTTTGAGATAACTCAACCAATGTTTCCTTGGAGACACTGTTGCCTGAGGAAAAGTTTCCACTAGAACGTAACTCCTTGACAAAAGAGTCAAATGAGTCCATGAACATTGAACTGGTACGTCTCTTTTTTGGTGAGTCTTGCGAGTCAAACCTCTTCTGGATGCTTCCAGGTAACAAATGTTTCTTAACTGTCTTGGTAACTCCACTATCTTGTAAGACTTCCTGTTCACCGTAGATTTTAATCATATGGTTCTTTTCAACGAAATTGATTCTGAAAAAATTGTTCATGACCCAAAGGACACATATAACGATGTTGTCAAAGGTAGGCAACATCAATGTAACGCCCATGATGCCACATACTCCGAAAACCTGCTCAGGGTTATTCAAGTAGCGGTAGACACCAGCCTTAGTCAAGTGCGTTCTTTGGGGCATAAAAGAAGACTTTGGAATAAAGAAGTCACCATAAAACCAACCGAAGTAACCAATCAGATCAATAATCGAAACATTGATCCAGATTTGTGTCAACACGAGGAGGACTCCCAAAAACAACCGCAAATACAAGTAATCGGTAAGCAACAAGTCTTGATACTTCATCAGGGTGAGAAGTTTAAAGAAATTCATTCCGATGAAGGCAGCATACGACAAGTTAATCACAGAATTGAATAAAATAGCAAAATTGTTCAAGGCTTTCTCGACCGGCATGTTGTTTGCAAGATACCATTTGGTGAAGATCTTATTGTAGCTCTGCAAGATAAGGACAGCGTTAATGGAAAGGCACTCCAATGACTTGATAACCACAGTGAGATAGAATAATACCTTACCAACTGCACCAACATTAGTAACAGAAAAGGATGCGAAGAGTGGAATAACAACAGCATAGGTCACGCAGTTAACCAAGTTCATGACATCACTAGCCCTTAAAACGTTGAAATTAACAAATCCAACCAAAGGTTTTGCATTCTCAAAGTTTGACAAATCCTTGAGTTTGAAAAGTTGAGCGAGACTCGTCTCGTTGGCAGATGGGCCATAAATCTTGTCAATATGAGGGTTCTCGATGAAGTGCAAGAACACCATTTGCAAGAAATGGCCAAAAACTGCAACTATAAGCACAGTGTACGATTTCGCAATTAAAGCAAAACCGTAGTAGCCAATGTATCCCACCGAATACATAGGATGGGGGAACATCTCAAAAACACCATCAAAGATCAAATCCTCATTGTTAATCTGTCTGAAGAAAAAGTCGCCCCAATACCAAGCATAATCCTTGATAGTATTGTGGGCATTAACTTTCACCCAGAAGTTGAAAACGATGAATGTGATTCCAGTAATCATTCGCAAAGCAGTCAACCAGGATGGTTGACCGTGCAAGAATTGATTGTCGTTATCAATTGCACAAGCCACGAAAAGACAAACAAAGGTTGTGAAATCTTGCATCAAGATCAAATCGACCACCTTTCTGAAAATCAACCAAGTGTTGAAATCAATTGGATGTTCGTAAATGTTATAGTTGGATCCCATCTGCGATTTTACCTCGGTTTGAGCAAAATTAGCCAATACAGACGTTGGTTGCTTGGAGAATAAGCCCAATCTCTTGCTGATCTCCACCAAACGAAACTTATTGGATTGCTGATTCAACAAGAAGCCAATCCCGAAATTATAAGAAAGTCTCCAGAAAACATACATGGCCACAAATATCTGAATCCGGGTACTGTTGTCAGAAACAAAGTAGAACACTAATGAGTTTGCAATCAAGAGGATAATGATGACTGTTTCACAAATTGATTTGTGGACTGTCGGATCGAAGAGGGTTTTAACCATGTCATGGGTTTCGGGAACCGAGAAGGTTTCACCATTGAATGTGACACCTTTTCTTTCAGACGCCATTTTCTCACAAGTTAAGAATATTTGTCAGATAAGATCAGCGAATTTGCCCCAGATTTCGAGGAGGTTGAAATGCAGGCTAACTGTGTACCGACTTTGATTGTGATCAATTGGCGACCAGAAACACAAAAAATCCAAAAGGATACCTAAGTGTAACTTTAGTAAAGAGTGACAATAGTGAAAAATTCAACGGTGGGTTAGATTTTCTGCTCATATATGTAGATTCTCTCAGGTGAGCCGCATTCCGATTTTGGGTTGATCAATGCGGTCTAAGATTGAACAAGTGCATGTGATTTTGCCACATTTGCGTGTGTACCCGCCAAGAAACAAAAGAGAAAGCTGCAAAAACGAGTGCATATTTATATAAATAGAGAGTGGAATAATCAGGGAATAAAGCTCTCTTTCTGGTGACTTTTTTGAAAGACGTGAATGCCCTTTTTATATGGATTTTGTGGTTTTGTGGTTTTAATCGTCGTTTTATCTGCAGTATAACGATTTGTCTTGTGAGCCTGTTGAGTATAGAGTATGCAGGTGATAAGAATCCGGTCCGGTTAGCTGAGGAAAAGTAGTTTGAACAAATTAGAAATGGAACAACTTAAAGAGCCGAAGAGGAAGTTACTTTGGTAATTTAATGGTATGGGCAGTTAGTGACGGGAAAACCGCAAAAAAAAGTGTTCTCGGTTGGAGTTAATGTTTTATCCATGGAAGTATGTGAGAAAATACCAACAATACAGTACCCATTGTTGGACCCCAAACTTCAAATTACCAAATTCAAAATGTAGAATCCAAATTACGAATTGCTGAATCCGGAAAAGAATTTGCAAAGTGAGTTATAGTTTCGATGATGAATGAGTCGCCCAAATGAGCCGCAACTGTATCATCTTGAAGTCGCTGACGTAAGCTATAAAGACCAGGCCAATGGTCCAATGTACTAAGAAGCCAATATCAAGGTCTACTTGTGAAAAAGTCAAAATCTTCTCAATTTAGATTGGTGTACTCGATTAAGTAGTGTCTGTCTATCTTTCAAAGGCTTTATGTATTGCATTCCTAAACCGAGTTGATAAAAACGCAAAAGAAAAACGCAACCAAGAAAAACTTCAAGTTCAGTTATTCAAATTACCCTCCCATATTCTCAACGATTGAGCTACATTTCCATACTTAAATCGGAATCCTTAGAGAAATTGAATATATCACGTGCTACATCACGTGTCATCTCTATAATCAACATTGACGATCTAGCTACGTACTACCCATCCGAAGTCATGGCTACAGTTGCACAGATCCAGACTGATTTGGCTGATTTAGCCCATGAGGTCAAGCGAAGAAACCACGATGTTCGTCTGGCCATTGATCATGCCACAGCAGAGTCTCGGAAAGTATCTCCGACAACGGTGGTTAATGTGCATCCAAATCTTCAAATGGCACTTTATCTGCCATTTATTTCATCTTTGTCAAGCGGAAATCCCAAGTTGGTAAACTTGGCCCTTCTGGTAATCCTCCGGCTTGCAACTCTGAGCTCTCTCAGCCACAACCAGCTGCTGTTGATTGTGGACAGTTTACATCAACTCGACATAGGCGCTAGTAGCCTTGAAACGCAATTGAAGACTCTACAAGCGTGCACGCCATTGGCTACAAATTACACCTTAGATCGCGACCACTTTTTGCGAATTGTGGCGGTGTGTTCGAGGCTTGCCTCAAATTCCAATGTCGTTGTGGCCAATACAGCTTCTGCTACTCTCCAGCAAGTGTTCAGCTCACTTTTCGATAAACTCAGAAATCATGAGACAGAAACAAAGAATGCCACAGTGATAGTAGATACTGATATGGGAAATGAGAAAATGCCTACATATCAAGTGGATGACTTGGAGGCAGAGTGCTTTTACGTTTTCCTGGATTTGAGTTCGGCAATCGATGGAGGGAAACTAGAATACTTCGACACCAGTGACATAAAGTTACGTCCCCAGGCAGCACTTGAGATTATTGAGAATATTCTTTCACTTGCTGGAGATGTTTTCGAGAGCCACGAAGAACTTGCCGCTTTGCTCAAATCTAAGACTGTTCCTGCGATGTTGAAAGTGCTCAATTCTCCTGGCTATGTGTTCTCACTTGTAGTGAGAACTCTCAGGACACTTCACATTCTATTGGCATCCCACATGACAACACTTAATGTGGAATCTGAAATTGTCATTTCGTTTGCCAATCACATAATGCTCAATAGCAATGGTAGCGATTCTACTCTGCATGATTTCAATTCACCCACAGTTCTGCCGTTTTGGGAGAAAGTGCTTGTTTTGGAATTTTATAAGGGCCTTTTCTCCCACTTCTCGACTGTGAGACAGGTCTACGCCAATTACGACAGCATTTCAAAAAAAAAGAACGTCTTGCATGAAGTTTTGACTGTTATAAACAATTACTTACTGGACAACTTTAGCCAGAATTTCAATAATGACACAATTCAAATACCCCAGGATCGTGGTGGAAATCAGTTGTCCAAGGCGACTTCGACCATGAAAGTTGCAGTCTTGGACCACTTGGACAAGATAGACCCACCAGAAAATATTCCATCCTTATATCCTATGCATCTTGTTTTCAAAATCCTCGTATCTTTTTCTGAGGGAGTTTCCGATTTTGTTTCCAATTTGTCTACTAATGCAAATCCAGAGACGCTTGAACGGGACGTCGAATTCATCACTTCAATGAATGAAGAGGTCTTCCCTGAGATCTTCCATCTTTATAAAAAGTTCATATACTGCAATATGGACTCAGAATATTTCCATACTTGTGTTCGTGCACTACAGAAGTATACCCATGCGATTGGAATTTTGGGTTTATCATCCTTGAGAGATGGTCTCCTCTTGACATTATCCGATTGTTGCACCAGGAATGCTGCACCTGAAGACGCAAAGAAGAACGGAGCTTCACATTTTCTATCGATTGGTGAATCTATTGTGGAATCAATAAGCTCAAGTATACAATCACCAGCTGTGGTCTCTCCATCGCTGAATCTGATTTCGCAATTCAGTGAGCTGTCTCGAAATACAAAAAACGAATTAGTGGGGATGCGCTCCTTCAACTCGAGACAAGTCGTATGTCTTAGGGCTCTCTCTAATTTGGCGTTATCCTTGGGGTCGACTTTGCAAGGTTCTTGGAAAATTATCTGGATTACTTTTCAATGGGTCGATTATTTCATGAAAGGACCAGATCAATTCAGCGGATATTCAAATCTGAAGGATATTAAAAAGTTTGGGGAGCCGAGATTAACAAGTCAAGACCTAAACACGATGGATGGAGCAAACAAGCGCTTTTTGGAGAGTATCCATGATTACCAACAGTCATCTTATAAAGAATTGGTGCATGTGCTTATTGAATTGTATGATGGTACCAAAAGTGGCGTTAGTGATGACATGATTCCAATTGAAGTGTGTCCATTCAACAAGATCTACTTTATCGACCAGCTCGTGCTAATCGCAAAACTCAACCCGCAAAAGTTTTTGTTCTACCAAGAGGACACCTGGAACCAATTAATTGATTATTTTATCATGTTAGGAACGAACAGATCAATTCAATATGGTGTTCGAAATTACTTAGTAAAGTGTTTTACAAACGTGATTGTTGACATAACCAGACAAGGTTTCGATACAAATGATGAAAAATTAGATCCCATTTTAGCGGAGAAATCATTGAAATCGTTACTCGGATTCTTACAAAATTTACATGCCTTGGGAACCCCACAAGAACATTTGGTGTTGAACTGTGAAACTGAACTTCATTTAACAGTTTTGGTAACAGTTCATGGCCTTATAGATGGGTATGTCGAAAAATACCAGAACTCGTGGGATTTGGTGTTTGCTATACTAAACACCGCTTTCATTAACACCGAGGCTAGATCTGTCGATGCGAATCTCAATGACAAGATAGTTTCGTTGATTTCAACGTCATTCGGTACCTTGAAATTGATCTTGGATGAGTTCCTTACCACATTACCTTCGCAGCAGCTCAAATCTCTTATTGACACGTTGCTAAACTTTTGTTCCCAAAAGTTTGATCTCAATATTTCGTTCAGCTCTGTAAGTTATTTCTGGCTAATAAGTGATTGCATCAGTTCAAAGATCGGTAGCGATGAAATGGGTAACATCTCACACTTTGCAGGTCTCAGTACGATATCCGAATTGGAGTCCTTATTGGCGAATTCCAATGATTCTGCGACAATGAATCAGGCTCTCAATATTTATCTCCTTGCTCAACTTTCAAATCTTTCTACGGATAAACGAGCAAGAGTTCGAGAAGGAGCAATCCAGACTTTATTCCAAATCATTGATGTTCAAGGGAAACAAATATCATCCTGGAGAATGGTTTACGATATTGTATTACCTGGACTCCTTGATTTGACTATGTGTTTTGAGATCAAAGAGAAAGAAAACCGTACTGATGCCACTGAAAGCTTGAATCTCGTTCTCTCTGGTCTTGTCTCGATGTATACAAAGTTTATGATGGACTTCGAGAATGAAGACAAAGACCTTACACTTGCATTTTGGAAGGAACTACTCCAGTATTTTGACAACATGTTTAATTTGAGTTGGAAGGGTTTAAATTTGAAAATTTTCGAATCTTACCAAGACCTTGTTATGCTGCTCTCGCGCAAGGCAATCCCGGAAGAACTTGCAGATATGCTATTCGAGTTTTGGGTCAACGTCTCGATTGATTATGATTTTGTCAACCCAGACTACCTGGTTTCTTTGGCTGTTTATAACAGATCATTCAAACCTCTTTACCAGATTATCAAAGATAAGCTTGACTTTGAGACTGCCTCACGAGTGATGAGTAACTTAAATAAGTGTGCCAGGTATCCCGTTTTAAAGCCTGGTCTGAGCGACACAACTAAGCCGACAGAGCTTCAACAGTCCGTTTTGGACAACCTAGTTTTGATTGATAAGAAGGGGGAGAATGAGGAGATTTTAGCTGCAGTGATTCAGCAGTTGGGTCTCATTTCTTCATACCCATTTGAAATTCGTGGACGAATTGAAGCGAAGTTGAAGAGTATCGAAGCAAGATTGAAAATCCCATCATTCATTGCAGTTAGCAGCCTGGCTTTGAAGTTGGTTAAAGGGAAGATTGCTGAACTCAGCAGTACGACTGTTCTTCTAGCTGATAAAGTCTTTATTAAGCTTGTGAGGAGCTTACTCTATCTGGTACGTTATAAAGCACAAGGAATTAGTGGACTTCATGATGAGCCACTATGGGTGCAATGCAATAACGTTATTCATGACCTTATCAGTCGGTTTCTTGTTGAGAATGGAAAAGCTGCAATTGATAAAGAGATTTGGCAGTTGATTTTAGATTGTATTACGGTATGTTTCGAGACCCTGACGGAGGCTCAAGAGAAACACAATGTTCGGCAATATGAACAATTGACAAAAACGGTACTTCCAGTGCTATTTTCAGCGGATACTGGTCACCCGGACTTAGTGGATCATTTCGTGTACAGTGTGTACCAGCAGTCGTTTCTCTATGAGTCGAACGATATCGAAAAGGATTTGGTTGGAAATTTGCAAACGTCGTCTTTAACAGAGATAAGAAATGCGTACAAAATGCTTTGTGAATATCATTTTGAGGAAAGTTTCGGAACCACTGCTGTCCTGCTGGTGTATAAAAATCGAGACATGCGCTTCAAATGTCTTACAGAACTATTTAAGTTTGCTTCGGCATCAGATCGCAGCTCTTCAATTGCTATGGAGTGTTTAATAACGCGTACAGCTTTCACTCTTCGGCGATTCACGGCCGATGAAGGTCTCCTACTCCGCAAACCACTTCCAAAAATTCAGCGGGAAGAAATCTCGGTAATTCTTCTCGGGTTACGAGACGTCAGCCCTTTGGCATCTGTGAGTCAAATGGCAGGTATTAACAATCTACTTTCCCTCACTATACCCTACGCTACGCGGCTCGAGAATATTTCCTATTTGATCGAGGACATTTTGCGTGAGGGCCACACAGGATAAATATAGCAAGAGGCTTGTATAAAGAGAAATAGAAGGAAGGGCCGAAGCATAACAAAAAAGAAAAAAAAACCCCCCCGGCCAACATCAACTGGTGACCAACATGTGGCAAAATGCCGATTTCTTAACACTTGAAAATGGTAAAAACTCGTGAACCCAGAATTCTACTTGCACAACTCTTGATGGACTTCAAACACTCTCACTTTCTTATTTGTAATGGCTCATCTCTGTTGTCATTTTGGTTCTACACCGCCCGGTCTGCACACAGACAGAAAAATCGATTTAAAATTGTAACTTGAATCCTGTGCTCTGTCAATCAGTTACACCTTTTTGTTGTGACGAGAAAAATAATTCATTTCTTCTGGATCAACACTTGCACAATCTCCACTTTCGCTTGAGCTGTCTCGGTTTTTTCCAGATTACTTTGGCCTTACTTCGATTTGCCAATCACCCTGTGGCTCCTAGAAGCTTTTGATTTCACCGCTAACCTTTCAAGGCCCCCCCTTTGCATTCTCTGCGGACGCAGTTGACATTTTAATAGCAACTCGCTTGCTTGATTCCCATTACCACTGATTTGAACCGCGTTTTGCAATGTCGGGATTCAGAAACAGCGGAGGTTCCAACAAATACCAGGAGTTCGACCCGGAATCGGGCGATCTCAACAGAAAAAGATCCCTTGTGCGCCCAGAAAGACAGCGTATTGATCAGAGTCATCCAATGTATCATTATGCTCAAGTGGTCAACCAAGAGTCCGACCATTTGAAGGTGCAGCCTTCTCTGACGGGATTAGAACCCACCAATTCTACCTCAGCGTCGCGTAAGAGCTTCCAACTGGGTGTTCAGAATATATCTGAGGATGACGAAGAGGGTATCCCACTTATGAATATTGAGAGTCCACAGAAGGCTGGCCGTGAGGTTTATGGCTTGAACGATGAGGTCCATGACGTCCCAACTCAAAATGTGACCCGCAACGTCCACAGAAAGCCAGTGCATGCCAAACCAGAGAACAACGATAACGACATCTACTTCTGGAAGGTTTACTGTTACGTGATTACTTTCTGGGCTCCAGGCCCGCTCTTGAAGTTGTTCGGTCTCAAGACCAAGAGTCGTCAGTTTGCGTGGAGAGAGAAGATTGGTTTGATCACATGTATCTTGTACATTGGAGCTTTCGTTGCTTACATCACATTTGGTTTTACCAAGACTGTCTGTGATCCAGGTAGAATCAAAATGAGAACAAACACCATCAATGGCGGTTATTTAATCATTAATGGCCGTGCCTACGACTTGACATCTTCGCAACATCCAGGTGCTGCAGGTATTTCTCCAGGAACCAATATTTTGTATCCGCCAATCAACGCTGGAGGAATGGATGGTTCCTTCTTGTTCCAAAATGTTAATGGTCACTGTCAAGATCTTATCGTCCCCAGAGAAAACTGTTCGATTCCGACCAATGGAAATGAGTTGGCCTGGTATATGCCTTGCCGGTTATTTAACCAGGATGGTTCTTCCAGTGTTAACAAGACCTCTGTTTACTACGATGGATGGGCATGTCACACCAGTTCTTCTGCCAGAGATGCTTACTACGGCTTGGAGGTGAATGGTGACGTTTATTTCACTTGGGATGACATCAAGAACAGCTCAAGAAATTTGGTGGTGTACTCTGGAGTAGTTTTGGATCTCGATTTGATCAACTGGATCCTGACCGATGATGTTACATACCCACAATTATTCAATGACTTAAGAGATGATGACACCTTCAAGGGCCACGACATCTCATTGATTTTGTCCAACAGCGAGGAGCGCAGAGCTGCCAAGTGTTTGACTGAAATTATCAAGGTGGGAGTGGTGGACTCTGACTCCATTGGATGTATTGCCTCCAAGATCGTCTTGGTTGTGTCTTTGGTATTCATTTTGTCGGTTGTGATTTTGAAATTTCTTATTGCTTGTTATTTCAGATGGTATGTTTCCAGAAAGCAAGGCGCAACAGAAATTGATAACAAGTCCATGGCTGCTCGTGAGAGAGAAATCGAAGATTGGGTTGAGACTCCAGCTGCTAGTGGTCCTATCAGTACTGTTCCTGTAAAGGCTAGAGCAAACTACAAGACCCAGAAAACAAACAGACAAAGTGTGTTTTTCAAGTCGGGCAACGGTCTGACGTTGATTCCAAACTCGGACTTGAACAATTATTACGCAGGTGGAAACGAGAAGCTTTCCAAGGCGTTCAAGTACACCACCATGACGACACAGGCTGCTACATTAGGAAAATCGAAGAGAAATCTCCGTGCTACAAACACGCGTTCTATGCTTTTCAATCAGTCTAGAAATCTGTCGGTGGACTTGTTGAGTAGACCTCAATCTGTATTTAATCCCTTCGATGGAAGTGAAGAGTTCAATGTGAACGGTTTGAGTCCAGACCTTATCCACCCAGATGTTGTTCCTCAACCACCTGTGGAGTACCAGCCGTTCGGCTACCCATTAGCGCACATGATAACGTTGGTCACCTGTTATTCTGAAGATGAGGAAGGTTTGCGTTTGACGTTAGACTCCATTGCTACTACTGACTATCCAAATTCGCACAAATTGGTTATCATTGTTTGTGATGGTTTGATTAAGGGTTCCGGAAATGACAGAACTACCCCAGAGATTGCGTTGGACTTGATGACCGACTTTTGTGTTCCTCCTGAAGATGTCCAGGCTCACTCATACGTTGCCGTTGCACAAGGTAGTAAACGTCATAATATGGCAAAGGTGTACGCCGGTTTCTACAAGTACAATGACGAAACTGTTCCCCCAGAAAAGCAACAGAGAGTTCCGGTATTGACCGTGGTGAAATGTGGAACTCCTGAGGAAGCAGGTGGAGCGAAGCCAGGTAACAGAGGTAAACGTGATTCGCAGATCATTTTGATGTCTTTCTTCCAGAAGGTTACTTTCGATGAGAGAATGACTGAGTTAGAATACGCGCTTTTAGAATCCATTTGGCGAGTCACTGGTTTAATGAGTGAATTTTATGAAATTATATTGATGGTGGATGCCGATACAAAGGTTTACCCTGACTGTTTGACCCATATGTGTGCTGAGATGATTAAAGACCCTACTATCATGGGATTATGTGGAGAAACCAAGATTACCAACAAATCGCAATCATGGGTTACAGCTATCCAAGTTTTCGAGTACTATATCTCTCATCATCAAGCCAAGGCTTTCGAGTCTGTATTTGGAAGTGTGACGTGCTTACCTGGTTGTTTCTGCATGTACCGTATCAAAGCCCCTAAGGGTGATAACGGGTACTGGGTGCCGATCCTTGCTAATCCAGATATTGTTGAGAGATACTCGGACAATGTAACTAATACTTTGCACAAGAAGAATTTGTTGTTGCTAGGAGAAGACAGATACCTTACCGCTTTGATGTTAAGAACTTTCCCTAAGAGAAAGCAAATCTTTGTTCCAAAGGCCGCATGTACCACACTTGTTCCTGATACCTTCAAGGTGTTGTTGTCCCAGCGTCGTCGTTGGATTAACTCTACTGTGCATAACTTGATGGAGTTAGTTTTGGTAAGGGATTTGTGTGGAACATTCTGTTTCTCGATGCAGTTTGTGATTTTCATTGAGTTGGTTGGTACCGTGGTGTTGCCAGCAGCCATCACATTCACCATATACGTGGTTGTTTATGCTATCGTGTCCCGGCCAACGCCTGTGATGTCATTGGTTCTTTTGGGTGTCATCTTTGGATTGCCAGGATTGTTGATTGTCATTACTGTTTCTTCTTTGAAGTACCTTATCTATTTCTTCATCTACATTTTGGCATTGCCTATTTGGAACTTTGTCTTGCCTTGCTATGCATTCTGGAAGTTCGACGACTTTAGTTGGGGTGAAACTAGAACAGTTGCAGGCGGAGACAAGGGCGCCCACGGCGATAAAGAGGGAATTTTCGACTCATCGAGTATCGTGATGAAGAGATGGAGAGAGTGGGAGAGAGACAGAAGAGCATACGTCACAGGTGGATTGACAGTGCCAGGAGCTGCTTGGGATCCTGCCAGTGCAGAAAAAGACATGGGATACTCGGGAGGATCGCTGGGATCACTGCCATAGAGTTGCTGATAGCAAATGCATGTCTTCCATAAGGTACTACACGATCTACTGTTACATTTTTAAAAATTTCATCATAAATTTCCTATATATAACCCATATAAACGTTGCTATCCATAAGCATGCACCAGGCTGCCTCGAATCGACATTATGATCCTGCAATTACTGGAATCCATATCCAGCAGAATCTCTGGAGCCCTGGGAGCGATACGACAGAGCAGAGGAGGAGGCTGCGGAGGTGATGTGGTGAGTCTTGAATTTTTCAAGTCTCCAAGTCATCTTTGGCTTGTTGATAGAAGGCTTGAATGCAGAGCCTGGAGTAGCTAAAGCGTACAACATTGTGAATGAATATGTGGAGCGATTTGTAGAAAAACTAGAGTGCTGAAGCAAAAAAAAAAAAAGGGAAAGAAAGTTACAGCAGCAATTGCCTCAACCTTTATACTCTTCTCGTTTTACGAGTCATCAATTCCCATAAGGGAAGGGCTGCAAGTGACGTTTCCCACTGCCAAAAGGGCCTGGGGAGACCAACCGAATTACATTCATGCATCAATAGTGTTCATGCATGGACTTTATTCATGCTTGTCTCGGCGCAGGGCGTCTATTGGAAGGAGTTTTTCTATCACACCAGAATTGCTCTTTTTTTTTGGACGCGAAGAAGGGTCAGAGTGTGATAATGGATCGACAGACCGCAACTTCTACGCATTGACACAGAACAGTCTCCCGCAGATCTTTTGGCACCCATTAGGAGGGGGATAAAATATTAATAATAGTGAATTGTGGATTTTAAGTTCGTGTTTGTGGCTATCAGCTGGTTGCGGCCAGAACCACCGTCCCCGCCACAGGCCGCACCCTTGCATTGACGACATTGCCTTCTACCGTATTTTGTCTTTTCTTTTTTCTTTTTTTTTTTTTTTGATTGGGATTTTATCTGGAATCCTTTGTTGTTTTTTCTTCTTTGGTGCTCTATTTTCAGGGTCGCTAACCATTTTTTCAAAAGTTCCAGGACAACATAATAAAATATACCTTTGTTGTGGTTAAACCTGTGGATGTTTCTTGCAGGTGATTTGCCGGAGGCAGGGTGGTGACCCTTGTTCAGGTGCAAATCTTTAAATACAGAAAGGTTAAATGCAAAACCATGGCTATTATATGTATAAGAACTCCCTAGGCTGCTTCGTGCTTCTTGCGCATCCAGAACTTTTGATGCATCTGAGGCTAATTCACTTCGATTTGATTCTAATCGTAAAAGGAGGCGGTTGTGCATCCACTGATAGCCCCCCGACTTAATGGGAGCATTCCAAACCTTATTCTATTGACCCTTTCTCAGCCACCTGTTAAAAAAGGCAGGTTATTTCCAAATTTTCGTTCGAACTCATTCACCCATGAGTCTTCTCATTCCGCATGACTTTCAAAGATAAAATGGAAAGGTCCACCTAGTGGGACTCAAATCTAACATGCGACGGGTTGCATCGATGGGAATCGCTCAGACGTCACTTATACCACGTCTCGAATCGCAGGTTGTACAGTCTCGAGATGGTCCATCCGTCAAAGGGTGTACTTCGCGAAGCCTTGAACCTTTATCTTGGTTTATTGGGTGCGATGCGCATACTTCAACCAACAGCATAATGAGAATATTCTATTGATGTTTATTAGCTCTAGAATTAATTGCGGAGGTGACTGTACTGACAATGGTTACAAATCCTCATTCGCCAAATACTGTTACCCCGTCTTGGATTCCTGTCTGCAAGGCAGGCAGGCTTAACTCTTCATGCTTTATTTAGGCGTCACACCTACACCGTTGACGTTACGGAACATGTAGACTCCGTTCCCTTCTTCGTCCAGCACAAAGCGACAGGTTCTAATTACTTTCCACAACGAGATCCACATGTTCTCGCCGTCGTAACGGTAGTGGTTGCCCATGACCTTTTGGATGGCAGCACTAGCCTCACGAGCATTGTAGAATGGGATTCTCGACACATAGTGGTGCAACACGTGCGTCTCGATAATGTCATGGAAAATGTGCTGGCCAATGAAACCATAGTTTCTGTCGATGGTGGCAGCAGCACCTCTAGCAAATGTCCACTCCTTGGCAGAGTAGTGAGGCATGGTGGGGTCGGTGTGTTGCAAGAAAGTCACCATCACCAACCAGTGGTTGACCCACAACCATGGAACAAACCAGTCAATCATCATGTTGAAAGTTCCAAAGTTCTTGGCCCATTGGTAAACCAAGGTAGCAGTGGCCAAGATACCAATGTCCGACAACACAATGAACCAGTATTGGTGAGGGTCAAACACTGGCGAGTTTGGAGCGTAGTGACTCTTTGCATACCATGGCATGTTGTAACTCTGACCCGTAGCGTTGGTGGCCAAGTAAAATTGCAAACCACCCAATTGCTGGAAGATGAGCATGGCTGCAGAGTAAATTGGCAGGTCTTCAACAAGCTCAGACACACTGGCAACCTTGTTGACAGCCAAATAGCTCTCCTTGGTGTGAGGAATAAATACAGTGTCTCTAGAAATGTGGCCGGTGGCCTTGTGGTGCTTGGAGTGGGAAAATTTCCACGAGAAGTAAGGAACCACCAAGTAAGAGTGCAACACCCAACCAACAAAGTCATTGATGCCCTGATAGTCAGAGAAGGCGCCGTGTCCACATTCATGAGCCAAGATCCACAAACCGAATCCGAACAATCCAATAAGGTACGATTCCAACATCCACAAAGCACCTCTGACTACCCAAGCAACAGTTTCATGGTCGGAGAACTGAACCTGAGGAATGAACTTGTGGCCGGTGTATCCAATGAGAACCATCATGGAGATGTCTCTGGCAACATATCCGAGCGAGCGAACCAACGATCTTTCGTAACAGTGCTTAGGAATGGCAGACAAGATGTCCTTGATGGTGTAATCAGGCACATTGAAGGTTTTACCAAAGGTGTCAATAGTGGTCAAACCAGCGGTGGGTTTCTTGGAGTCTGTGACAAACTCAGCGACATTGCCCTTTCTAGAGACTGCGGTGGAGCTCTCATTGCGTCCAGTTACAGTTACCGACGACATTGTAGAAAGAAAGTGGTGTAGTGAAACGAGGCTATAATTGAGAAAATTTTTGAAAAAGAAATCTCATCGCAGAACGTGTACAATCTCGGGTCGGGCTAAAGGACGTGAATAATGCGTAGAAGAAAGCTTATATACGCTAAAGATGAGAAGATTTAATTGTAGCTCATTTTTAATTACATTTGAATAGTCGATAGTTTACTTCTTGTTCGAGTCGCAGCCAATTGATGAGTACCAACAGTTCAGTCCATGGGTGCGGCTGGACCAGATATGAGTGGCCTACACGGTGATTGAGAGGAACTCATTTCAAGACAATAAAAATTAACAAATTATCGAATGGGGATGGTGCAGATAAATGACATTTCATGATTTGTTCGCAATGTTGACATTTTCAATCGGCGAGTCGTTACTCGTTGTGATCTTTGGTTATTGAATGCAGATTTACGACGGCACGACCACTAAATGGTCCGGTGAGGCAATTGGCATGTGCTCGAGCTATTGCCTTCAGCGCGTTTTCCTATTTTGATTATTTTTTTTTTCCTACTCGCTGATTTCGAATTTTCGTTACTTCTTTGGTTGGAGCTTATGGCGCTTTGCTTATGATGTTTCCTTGATTTCATCGTTTTTTTGTTTTTTTTCTTTTTTTTTTGGGCCTTTGTCTATTTTTTCGCTTGTTTTCTGACTCCGCTTCGTTGCATATCACTCGCTGATGTCTTCCGTCACATGCAGAAGAGATCTACCGTTATGCATCCTCAACCTGACGACCCTGTTTGAATGTAGTGAGGAAATCTAGTTCCGGATGAGTGGCAGGGGTAGATGAGGGAAAATTGGTAGTGTAATGATAATGATACGTATGAGGGTACTATTGGAAGATACAGGGGTGTATGGGGTATACCATGGAAGATGATGAGAAGTGGTTGCTGGCACTGCAGTGTATAGTAGTCTAAAATCAACTACTCGTGAGTAGACTAACGGAAGAAAGTGTTCACCATTATTGAGGGGCCAGTGAGGCGATTGTGGTTTCATTTGGTTCTGGCCGCTAGTGCTGATTCGAGCTAACAAGAGGTAATTTTTCAGATGGTTTTTTAGTTGACTTTAGCTTGAACCCTTGGAAGCAAAATCAATTTGCTTTCGCTGTGTATTCCCTTCCTTCTGCTGCATACGTCTCCATATCTCTTCGGCGCTTTTTGATCATTACGAACCTCCCTAAACTCTGGTGCCCCCAACACTTCCTATGCGATGCTGAAAGGTAAGAAGCCGAGTCAGCTGATTCTTGACATATTGCAAACGTTGCTCGCGGTAGTTAGGACCAGGTCTTTGCATCCCTTGCTTATGCTCCTGGTTGTAGCCGATCTCTGTTGTGGTGCATTTTATTGAGGAATCGATTCAGAGTTTCCTCTCTCAGTTTCAACACCCTGTATGACCTTTTTCAGTAGCACTTAATTATTCCAGAATTAATAATAACAAATAAAGATGGCTGGCCCTTGTCAAATGGGGGTTATTTGTGATTTTTGAAGTTCTTTGCTTATGAATTTGATGAATAGTTATAGATTGGATTCAAGTAATAGCAGCAAACCAAAAATTGGCTGTACGCTTCTTTTAGTCTCTTCATTGCTTGCTTCAGTCGTAAGGAACTTTTGAAGGTAACTATTCATGATCTGGAAATGCAATAGATGCTTGTTCAAATACTATTGGATTTTTCCCTTGAATAAGGATCACAATAATTTAACCCCACGGCGACATTAACATACATTTCTTGAGTGGAAAATAAAGGAGTACTTTCAGTCGTAATTGATGTATTCTATCATCAATATTTGCCACTTTGACTTCTTATCAAAGTCATTCCTAAACAAATGTGGATCAAGAAGAATCGTTCTTTTGAAGTATCAAAAACGAAATTGCCAAAGTTTCCCCAGCGATTTCAACCACACTTCATCCGTGTTTCCATGAATTTCATGGTAACTTCATAGAAGTTATACTTCTCCACAGAATGATCCTTTTTGAATCAACAAAGTTTATTTTCCCCCGACTATCTCTAATATCGGAGTCAAGAAGCCATAAACTGACATGAATAAGTCATAGATGGAAAAAGCCACGATAATTCAATACTATTTTCCAATATAATTGAGAAGGTATAGTCGTTGAATTCATGGAGAAATGTTCAATATATTTGAAATCGTTTGATTATGAAAACTATTTCTAGAGTCCTTAGATGTCTAGCCTCCTTGCGACCGTCCATTCTCAAACCGGAATTCCTCATCGAAACCTGTAAAAAGAAATGAAATCGATTGCTGAATGTGCATTCCAACGCTTCCAATTTCAAGAGAAACCAGGACTAAGCTTTGAACTTGAAAACGGCAATCAGTTAAAGGAAAACTGGGAAATCAGTCTCCAGTACTCGCCTGACTCATGATTTCTACTCCAAATGCGGACACTCCCAAAAGAGTGATTGCAGATACATCTCCGGGCCACACAGGTTGCAACGCGGCCACAAAGGAAGGAGGAGGCATTAATTATTCCAGAAATCTGATCTTCTTCAAGTCTGTGCCGAATTAGCTTTTATTCACTGAAACTCGCATTTTTAATGAATTGCAACGTTTTGAGACATTGAGCAACTTGTACGAACGCACAAGATACGATCGTGGAGAAATTCTACAACAGCCGTCACGGGGCACCAATCCACTGTCAAATTATCGAATCTTGTATCGAATACTCGCCAAATCAAACAGATTTCCTTATTCAGTGAATACCTGAAGTAGTAGAATAGCTTTAAGTTATGTGCCCTTTGCTAGACGTAAGATCCGGGGTAAAGCATTGATGCTTCCTAAAATAGGGCGCGGTTGACGGCATACAAGCACTAGTTTGGAAGATATGCTCGGAAATACGGGGCGCGCAGACGCAGCCTCATGCACCACATTTAAAGGTTCCCCTCTCGCTCCCTTCTTAACTCAATATTGACAGCATGCGCCGCTTCTTGCATGAGTACTACCGTGTTTTACTGAAGTCACGACTTATACCGCCCTTTCGCTTACATTGTTAATATCTGTCCTGGATATCACCTCACGAAGCTCATTTGCCAAAATCCTGACATAGGACGGCGTTTATCCCGAAAGGGTTCATAGGTTAGGAGTCACTACACGAAACTTCAAAGAAAAGTATCTTACCAGCAACGGGCCAAGCTCTTTAACTAATTATCTTACTCTATATGGAAGCACCAATTAAAGGTGGCTTCGGGAGTGCGGAAGAGGGGGTCTCAAGTCAACGTGAAAGTGTCGCTAATAAGCGTGCGATGCATAATTACAGCTACCTAGGTTGGGAATTACTAAGCTTTGAAAACCAATTAGTGGAAGACATTTCCAAGGTTTGTATATCGAATAAATCTTTTCCATCAAGGGTGTGCAAAACCCTCCATCTAATTGTGTTGCCACAGGTTAGTAGTTCGGATTTACCATGCAATCAAGTAGAATAGGTGGGGAACAATGCCCTGACGATCTCCCACAATACAAGTAGGAGGTGGATAGGCAGCATATTCCAGTTACAGTAAGACGCCAGGAGGAGGCCTTTTACCTAATTCGGAAATATTGCACTTACCACTTCCAGATGAAGGGTAGGAGTGCATTGTACCATATGCCACCTTCGTGAGAATTTCCCAATTGGGAAATTAAATTGTATTTCTGGAGCCGGTCGAACAATTTTACCTTTGCAGCGTCAGCCGTGGTACACTCTTATAAATACTGTAGTAATTTCCCTACACTCTAAGTTTTTTTTTATCATCGACCCACTCTTCCAACACTCAACTAATCTCAATGAAGTTCTCCACCCCAACCCTTTTGGCTATTTTGGCTACTTCTGCCGTCGTTGGTGCTGCTCCAACCACCATCTCCGAGGCAAACACCGCTGGTTTGATCAAGAAATCCGACATCTCTGATGCTTTGAGCATCATCGAGGAGTTGGGCCAGTTGAATCAAAAGAGAGCTTTCGTCGAGGACGAGAATGAGCTTTTCGAGCTTTCCAAGAGAGCTGACTCTTTGCTTGGTCAGTTGATTACCACTTTGACCAACTCTGGTATCATTGGTGACGTTTGGCACTTTTTGACCACCGACTCTCAGTTGAGAACCACTCTTATCAACGTGACCAAGAAGGCCTTCTCTGCTGCTCTCACTTACGGTCCATCTGTCGTTAAGGCCATCTACAACTCCGGCTACATTCAAAAGTTCTTCAACCTTCTCTACACCGACAGTCTGTTGAGAACTACCCTTTTCTCTGTCGCTAAGACCATCTTCGGTTCTGGTTTGAACTTGTTGAAGGCTTTCCTCGCTACCAAGGATGGTTCTACTGCCACCAACACTGCTGCTGCTCCAGCTTCCACTCCTGCTGCAAAGAGAGAGGAGACCCTCGACTTCGACCCAGAGTTGTACTACGACAAGAGAGATGCTTTGACCATCGCCCAGTCTGTCTACAACGCTATTAAGCTGACTGGTATTGTCCAGGGTCTTGTTACCAAGGCTTTGGCTGACCCAAATGCTACTATTTCTTTCTTGACCTCTGCTCTTAAGAACGGTTTGGTTGTTGTTGAGGACATCTACTCTTGGGCCAAGACCTCCGGTGTTTTGGACTCTGCTGTTAACTTCCTCAAGACTGACGGTGTTAAGTACGCTAAGGCTATTGCCACCTTCCTCGGTAACAAGATTGTTAACGGTTCTGCCACTGTCAATGATGTTGACAATGCACCAGGTGCTACTACCACCACCACTGCTGGTACCGGCGCTGCAAGTGGTACTCAAGCTAAAAGAAGACTTTACTAAGTTGGTTGATTCCTTCTCCACAAAAATAGAACCAACGCATCTTTCTAGCCCGGGGCTAGAGAGACTCTCTAGCATCAAGCATAATGGGGGAGAGTCTGGAACTCGATCAAATAAGCCTGCAGTGTTTTTACTGGTCTACGGTGAACGACTCTTTGGAAGTGTCTGGCTGATATCCAACGTCCTTTTTTTATCCATTCTTTTTCCGTGACACCGCTTTACTTCGGTTGTAAATGTTTATCTCACAATAATATATATGGTTTTGAAAATTTAATCGTAGTATTTCTTGGTGGAATTGCCAACCTTTTGCTTCTCTCATGTAGGTTGCTGGGGTAATTTATGCAAGGTACGCACCAAGGCTGCAAACTTGTCCGGTTCATGCATAACATTGGTTCCAGGTTTACTCTCGCGCATGATCAACCAGTGTACAGGTGTTTGAGTACTGGTGTATGGGTTTTTCTCAAGATCTGGTGTACGGGTGTTGGATTGACATGTTTGTGTTCACGGGCCACAAAGCCAAATAAACCCTTTAGCAACACAAGAGTTTTCGATTATAAAATTTCAAAGAACATATGCCAATTGTTCAGTGAAAATTTAAATGCTCCTCCTACCTGTCTTCCTTCTGACTAGGTATATTACATTCAAACTTCTAAAATCAATCTCTAATCATCTTCAATAAGCAGTCAACGTCCATTTACTCTCAGACCCATTGAAACTCTGCTCTATCACAAATACGTACCATTTTTATACTCATCTAATCATCTTTCAATTCTTTCCCGTCTTCAGCCAGTCATCAAACTACAATTACATACCCAGACACCCGTGCACCGCGACAGGAAAATTTTCAGCTTATCGTACTATACTCTTTACTTCACCGTCAAGTTCCGATCGCTGCAGTGATAATGTTCCGTGGACTTTCTGCTGTGTCGAAGCAGTCCGTTTTTAGGGCTATCCCGAAACTTCCCGCTCGTTTCGTGGATTCGAGTCCATTTTCCTTGTCTCAGTACAGACTGGTGCATTTGGAATCGATACCAAAGACTTATGAGGAAGAAAAGGAGCACATTGATGAGATCAACGCCACGTTGCCTGATGCAGATCTTTCTAGTTCCAAGAGGTTGAGAAATATCGGTATTTCTGCTCACATTGATTCCGGTAAAACCACTTTTACTGAGAGAGTTCTCTTTTACACTGGAAGAATCAAGGCTATTCACGAGGTTAGAGGAAGAGACTCTGTGGGTGCCAAGATGGACCACATGGACTTGGAACGTGAGAAGGGTATCACTATTCAGTCTGCTGCCACCTACTGTTCTTGGGAAAAGGACAACAAGGACTACCATTTTAACTTGATTGACACTCCAGGCCATATTGACTTCACCATCGAGGTCGAGAGAGCTTTGAGAGTATTGGACGGTGCAGTGCTTGTTGTCTGTGCTGTTAGTGGTGTGCAATCGCAGACCGTGACTGTTGACAGACAGATGCGTAGATACAATGTTCCTAGAATTACCTTCATCAACAAGATGGACAGAATGGGTGCTGATCCTTTCAGAGCCATTGAGCAGATTAACTTGAAATTGAAGACTCCAGCGGCTGCTATCCAGGTGCCTATTGGAGCAGAAGCTGACTTGAAGGGTGCCGTCAACATCATCGACAGAGTTGCCATCTATAACGAGGGTGCTCAAGGTGAAGACTTGCGTATTACGGAGGAGATTCCTGCTGAATTGGTCGACTTGGTCGAAGAAAAGAGAGCACTTTTGATTGAGACCTTGGCCGATGTCGATGAAGAGATCGCCGATATCTACTTGGAGGGTGAAGAGCCCTCCGTTGACCAGATTAAAGCTGCCATCAGAAGAGCTACCATTGCCAGAAAATTCACCCCAGTTTTGATGGGTTCCGCTTTGGCCAACAAGGGTATTCAGCCAGTTTTGGATGCTGTGGTGGACTACTTGCCTCAACCCAACGAGATCTTGAACACTGGTCTTGAGTTGGTAGCCAATGAGGAAAAGCCTATCAAGTTGATTCCTTCCAGCAACGAGCCATTCGTCGGATTGGCTTTCAAGTTGGAGGAGGGCAAGTATGGACAGTTGACCTACATTAGAGTGTACCAGGGTAAATTGAAAAAGGGTGCTTACATGAACCACGTCAAGTCTGGTAAAAAGGTGAAGGTGTCCAGATTGGTAAGAATGCACTCCAGTGATATGGAGGATGTTGACGAGGTTGGTGCTGGAGAGATCTGTGCCACCTTCGGTATTGATTGTGCTTCTGGAGATACTTTTATTGGCCAGAACTCTGAGCGCAATATTGCCATGAGTTCCATGTTTGTTCCAGATGCGGTGATCTCGTTGTCTATCGAACCCAAATCCAAAGATAGTGGAAACTTTTCTAAGGCCATGAACAGATTTCAGAAAGAGGATCCAACCTTCAGAGTGCGTTTCGACCCAGAATCGAAGGAAACGGTTATTTCAGGTATGGGAGAGTTGCACTTGGAAATTTACGTGGAAAGAATGAAGAGAGAGTATGGAGTGGAATGTGTTACTGGTAAGCCTCAGGTTGCATACCGTGAAGCCATCACATCGGCCACCCTGTTCGATTACACCCACAAAAAGCAATCTGGAGGTGCTGGACAGTTTGGTAGAGTCATTGGAGAGTTCTCACCTATCGATGGAGAGAACAAATTCACTCAGCATGTGGTGGGAGGAAAGATTTCTGAGAAGTATTTGTTTGCTTGTCAGAAGGGCTTTGAGGACTCTTTAGAGAAAGGTCCATTGATTGGACACCGTGTTTTGGGTGTCCACATGCATATCAACGACGGTCAATCGCATATGGTGGATTCCTCGGAGTTGTCTTTCAGATTGGCTACTCATGGAGCCTTCAAGCAGGCCTTCTTAAACGCCAATCCAGTGATTTTGGAGCCTATTATGACCGTTGAAGTTAGTGCGCCAAATGAGTTCCAGGGACCAGTGGTAGGTTTGGTGAATAAGCTCGGTGGAATGATCATGGAGACTGTCAATGGTCAAGATGAATTCACGGTGACTGCTGAGTGTTCGTTGAACTCCATGTTTGGTTTCTCCACCTCGTTGAGAGCATGTACTCAAGGTAAGGGAGAGTTCTCGTTGGAGTTCTTGAAGTATGCCCAGACTTCTCCACAATTGCAAAGACAGTTGATTGAGGAGGCTGAGAAGAAGAAGAAGTGATTGTAAATAGTGTACATAGACCCATAAATTGACGTATGGTAAGACAGATGTCATGACAGGGCTGGTGGTATCATACTGTAGTAAGGTTGAGATAGAGACAGAGATAGAGACAGAGATAGAGACAGTGAATGGGTCATTTAGAAATGGATACAGAGATCGAACACACTACACGAATTAGAATTAAGTGAAATGTAAGCACGCTTTTTTTTTGATTCCGATGGTAAACCGTGCTTATTGTTAATCTTAGGCTGTGTTTTAACTCCAAGTGCATCAGCCCGTCTATGCGACCTTGAGCTATGATCAATGAAAGACAATAGAAACAGAAATTGCAGTGAATGCGAGGCTCTTAAGTTTTTGAAGAATTTTCGGCTCTGATGCTCGTCTATGTAGCAGCAAGACACCTTATTTAACTTGTGAGTGTGATATCGCTTATCAATAAAGATTTACACACTAAGTTACCTTTCATTTTTATATAATCACATTCTTCGTGTCACAAAGGTTTGGTCTAAAATTGCTGGTTTTTGGTGAATGTTAGAGATATTCTATAGATATTGGTATATGTGGTTTGAATTTGCTTAGTGTTGTATCAGCTTGTTCGGGAAAACTGATGGAGACCTTAAATAATAGTAAAATAATGACCGAGAGGAAGAGAATTTACGAATGGACGAGCAAATCTCAAAAAGAAAAACAAAACCCCAAAGAATGACAAATGGATCGAATGGAATTACAATTTTTGAGATATGAAGTTAAACGATCATGAGATTAGAAAGAACTAAGACATAGAAGAAGGAATTGAAAAGACGTAACCCAAGAATAGAGGAAAAACTAAGTACCTCTTAAACTTGAAAAATTTAGGTATATGCTTGAAACAGCCTTCAATAAAACACTAAAAATAACTACATGATTACCCTTACATTCAGTTGCTCGTATGATACACAGTTGTATTAGTCGTATGTATGTCCTCTAAGCCTAAGCCTTAGCAGCAATCTTCTTGACAGCATATCTTCTCTGCTTCTTCAACACCAACACCTGGAATCTCTCGAAATCAGACAAGTTAGCTCTGGTCTGTCTCTGAGCCAACTTCTTGGCCCAAGCAGTAGCAGCCCACTTACCCTCAATGTCAGCAGCAGCCCACTTCTTGTGAACGGTACCGGTTCTGGCACCTCTTGGCAACTTAGCCAAGACGAGAGGGGTCAAGACGACCTTGCCCAAAGCAATAGCCTGTCTCTCGATGGAAGGACCGTCAATCAAGACCTGGATGTTAGTAATAGGTTTGGAAAATTTGGTGGATATGGAAATGTGTGTGAGGATAAGAATAATACTTGGAAAATCCCATGACCATGCGATATCAGACCGCTTCGATAACGCCAGTATCTACATGGATATATGGTCGATGATACGAGGACACTTTGGACACTCTAGACATGATTTCCATAGATATTTTCTCATCTTCATGACATTTTCCACATCATTTGGTAAACGGTGGAACATACTCTCTTCTGGTCGATGATCTCGACAATGGTGGCCAATTTAGAGTTGTCGATCAAGACAATACGGCCCAATTCAACGAGTCTCCAGTTGGCAGTTTTAACGTTGGTAGACATTGTGCTAGATTATGATGAGTAGGAAGGTTTGAAAAGTAGGAAAATTTTTTTTGATAGAGTATGGTGCGGGAGGAGTGCATGGAGTTGGAGTTTGAGAGAGGGAATGTACGGGTGTCTTTCCATCCTGTGTGTAGTCTGAGGACGAAAAAGTTGGTCGTGTGAATGTGTTAGGGCTTAAGCCCTAGATGGCTCTATTGGTGATAGACAGTAATTATTGGTCAGAGTAGTAGGGACTGGATGATTTTATGGAGGTATCTTTAAGCACTTTGATGATTACCTGATTTAACCTACATTTCATTCTATGGATATATTCTTCCTTGTATACTTCCTTACTAAGGATGGAATGATAATTGTATGTTCTTGTGTTGTATGCAGTTTGATAATCAAGTAAATCTTGTGTGAGGCTATTCTCACAATTTCCAACTGGTTTATTACACCATTCTCATCATCAACAATTGTATGTTTTTCCAGTTTATATGATGATTTAATTTGCGTTCTAGATCCCAGTTTCCGAAACACGCCTAGTTTCACTAAGGTTCTGGGCACCATGCGACCACTTTCTATTCTGATAGACATTTCAGTGAATGATACTAACTTTCAGTCTAAATCGCTAGAACAGTGTCCAAATACGTAGATGTAGAACAGTTTTTGTTCATTGATTGGTTGTAGGTTTGAAATATGGTGTTGTGATTAACATAGGCCATTGGTGGATACGCTACGATTGGCTGTGTGGTCGTCACGCTGCTGATTTACATGGTGTTGCTTTTGAGTTTTTGATCTGGCCTTAATTTGCTTCTTCGTTGTTAATGCTTGAAAATGATTAACGTCTATCACAATTCCTATCACCTCATCACTATTTTCATGACTTCTATCAATTTCTATACCATTTCTATCGGTTTCGTTTCTGTCAATTTCTTGATCAAAGAACTAATTGAGTTCCAAGCTCATCACCCATTGTAAAAGTATTCAATTTTCTTGTTTCCAAAGTGAACCTCCACAAACCTGATTCAATATCACATTTTATCGACCCGTTGAACTCTCATCTAAGTCTTCGCTTGTGGAGATGTTGTACTCAGAAAACACGTACTCATCTTCTGCTTTCACATCCACATACCCATAATTTTGGTAGTTTTCTGACGTATAAATAATCACTTGATAAATTCGACTAGATTCTCCTTTCTTTTTCTTTTCTTTCCCCTATCCTCCCTCTGTCCCTCTCCCTATGGCCTCTCCCGCATAATTCTATAGAACTATCTACACCAACATCAACCTCTAAACTTCACCTCCACACCTCTAATTTCCCTGGAAATAAATCACGTTTACCACTTCACAGTCTCAATTCTATTCCTCTAACCTCTAATTTTTCCTCCAATTCCCCATTATATCTCCATTTCTAATCCCCATTTCCGTCCCCATACTTCGTCTAGGTCACATGACTCACGGTCTTAAAAAAAATCACCCAGGCATTCAAAATATTCATGAACAAACACTTTGTCCGTCTCATGAGTACTAAGAAACCTGTTGTGCAGCCTCCGTGGCTCAAACCTGTGCCCTCGTCGGTCCCAAAGCCCGTGTTGAAGATCTACAACTCGCTAACCAGATCAAAGGAGGAGTTTATTCCTTTGACTCACAACCATATCACTTGGTACTGCTGTGGTCCTACCGTGTACAACCACGCCCATATGGGCCACGCTAGAAACTACGTTTGCTCGGACATCTGCAGACGTATTCTCCAGGACTACTTTGGCTACAACGTCAATTTCGTCCAGAATGTCACTGACATTGACGATAAGATTATCATCGCTGCTCGTCACGAGTATCTTTTTGAAGAGAAGATTGCAAAGGTGTACACCGAGAAAACTCCACAATTGTTGGAAGAGGTCAAGCAGTACCTCTCTGATTACGTGCAGAAGAACTTGCCCGGCTTTTCTGGTTCTGTGGACACCGAATTGGTGCCATGGATCAAGTCATTGGACCTTCTGGCGTTGGCGGTAGAAACTCCTAAGTTGCCTATGTACTGTAAGGCTGCTGAGACTGCCCACGGTGCCATCTATGGTAGCTCGACTTTTTCTGAGTTTCTAGCCGCCGTCGAGGACGTTTCCGTGCCTAGTCTTGATAAGAAATTCGGTTCTTCCGTCACAGACCCAAATATCTTCAAGAAGTTGCCAGCATTCTGGGAAAACAAGTTCAACCAGGACATGGACAGACTCAATGTGCTCCCACCCAATGTAACCACGCGTGTGTCCGAATATGTGCCCGAAATTATCGACTTTGTCGACCGCATCATCGCCAATGGCTACGCCTACTCCACCACAGATGGCTCAGTGTATTTCGATACCATTGCGTTCGAGAATGCCCCTAACCACGACTACGCCAAGTTGCAACCTTGGAACAAGGGCTCCATGGACCTCATCAATGATGGTGAGGGCTCATTGTCTTTGGGAGAATCTACTAAGAAAAGCGCCACAGACTTCGCCTTGTGGAAGGCCTCCAAGCCAGGTGAACCAGCATGGGACTCCAAGTGGGGTCCAGGAAGACCAGGTTGGCACATTGAATGTTCGGTTATGGCATCCGACATTTTGGGAGAAGTGATTGATATTCATTCCGGAGGTGTGGACTTATGTTTCCCTCACCACGACAACGAGTTGGCACAGTCTGAAGCATGCTTCAACAACCAGCAGTGGATCAATTATTTCATGCACAACGGCCATTTGCATATCCAGGGCCAAAAAATGTCCAAGTCCTTAAAGAACTTCATCACCGTGGAGGAGGCCTTGCAGACATTCACTCCTAGACAGCTCCGTCTTGCGTTTGCTATTGGTTACTGGGACAAGCCAATCGACTTCAAGGATGCCCTTATCTCTGAGGTCAAGGCTTATGAATCGACCTTTTCCAAGTTTTTCACCACCGTCAGAGCCTTGAACTCCGACTACAAGCATTCTGTTTCTGAAGGTGTTCACATCTCTAAGAAACTCTCAGACGTGGAGAAATCGCTTTTGCAGGAATTGACAACTGCCCAGACAGAGGTCCATTCTGCATTCTGCGACAACTTGGCTACTCCAGACGTGGTGAGAGCACTCAGCGATTTGGTTTCTAAAGCCAACATGTATATTCAGAGTACGGTGACTGGCAACGTGTCGTTACGTATTGAGCCACTTCTTGCCATCACCAAGTGGATTTCCAAGATGTTGGATGTTCTTGGTTTCGAGGCTAGATCCGACAAGCTCGGATGGGTTGATGGTGGATCTGCAGAGGCAGGTGCCGCATCAAAGGAAGATGTTGCCATGCCATATGTCAAAGCTTTATCTCAATTTAGAGACAATGTGCGTGAGCTCGCTATCTCCAAGGCCGAGCCATCCTCGTTCTTGACATTGTCAGATACGTTGAGATCGGACTTGATCAACTTGGGAATCTCGTTGGATGACAGACCCACGGGTGGAGCATTGGTGAAGTTTTTGAATGAGCAGGAGAAAGAGGAGTTCATCAAGCAGCAAAGAGCCAAGGAGCAGCAAGCGCTTGAAAAGGCCGCTAAGAAACAGCAGCAGGCCGAGGCCGCCGCCAAGAAGGAGCAGGAACGCTTGGAGAAGATGAAAGTCAACCCTAAGGATTTGTTTCAGGACAAGAGTTTGTATTCTGAGTGGGACGAGCAGGGACTTCCTACCAAGAGTGCTTCGGGTGAGGAGGTGACCAAGAGCATGAGGAAGAAGTTAATGAAGCAGTACCAGCAGCAGGAGAAACTTTATGGTGAGTGGTTGAGCAAACAGTAGATGAAGGGGAGGTGAATGTAATATACGAAAAATAATGTTATCGGAGTGGTCACGGGATTGTGATTTTTATACTGTTATTAATTTTCCTCTTCCCTTTTTGATTGACTAGTCTATTGTGGATTCTGGTCTTCTATTCTTGTTTATTGTCTCGATTTGAGTTCCTACCCTTTACACTACTAACCCTTGTCTTTCCCTATGAATATTCTTCATCATATCCTTCTTGATCATTCTACCTCTCTCAAATTGAAGATCTCAATTACTATTTTAAAGTCTCCCTTCCTCATGATAAATTTCCATTGACCAGTCCCCAAATTCTACGTCTTGCATTCTCCTGTACAATCAAAGTTATCACCACCTCACCTACTACCAACTATCTAATGTTCAATCTCGTGGCTCGTGGCCAAGCCGTGGCCAACCAGGCGCTTACTGCATCTTTAGTCGCCAGCGCCATCATTGCACTTGTGTCTATTGTTCAATTATATCTCGGTGGGGCATGGAGCATTGATACCACCGCCATCTCCAACATCAACGCCAGCGCGTCACTTAAAAACTCCCGTATGTACGGATCTAGTGGCAAGCCCAAGGAGAATTCAAAGATTTCCTTTGATTTGGACGCCGACTTGTCGTCGCTCTTCAATTGGAATACCAAGCAGGTGTTTGTCTATTTGACGGCAGAGTACCCTGGCAAAACGGACGATTCTTCTAACAAAGTCACGTACTGGGACAAGATCATTACGAATGCGAAGGATGCGAAGATCGCTGTTAGAAACGCAAAGTCCAAGTACTCTGTGTGGGATGTGGAGAAGTCGTTTAGAGGAAGAAATGCCACGTTGAGATTGGAGTGGAACGTTCAGCCTTGGGTTGGTCCATTGTTGTTTGGCCTGACCGAGACAGAGACGACGTTCCAGTTTGCGGAGAAGGAACCCAAGAATAAGCGGACTTGAGTAAATAGGGTGTGAAAATGAAGTGTGAGAACGGTAGTGTGAATGCTGTAGCATGAGTGTCTATGTTGTAGTACGAAAGTCAACATCATGGACATTTAATGAAACAGTACCACTCTGGTAGTATAGTACAAATATTAATAACTGACAACGCCTGTTGATATCTACTAACGTCTGTTATTCTCTGTAATCTTCTGTATGGACAAGCTAATCTTCAAAATATGCTATTTACATGTATGCTATTAAATGCTGTCAATGTCTGACGTGGTAATACGCAAGTGGTCAAGTGCCTCAAGCGCACGCTCCCGTCGTGAATTGCTGTCTTCTTTATGGGTCGACTTGGATGGCGGAACAAGCTTGTCAATTTTCTTTCTGAATGCCACCGTCCGTGTCCGCTCGTCTCCAAAGTATAAGAGATACTCCATGGATTCTGGGAAGTGGTCATAGAGTGAGAATGCGGGCTCCCTGTTTCCACCACAGTGTGTCTCGATGCTGTTGAATAGTGCTGATGCTAAAGTGGGTGTGATGATGTTTGCAGTTGGAATTTTCCTTTCAGGAATAAAAAACCGAGGAAGGTCTCGGAGAAGTTGGCCCGTAGTCCAAGTTTCCCCTGGATTGAGTCCATTGAAGGCCTCCACCTCTTGAGAAAGCATGCCCAATGGGTCTCTGATGTGCTTGAATTCGTCGATCACCAGATCCAAGTCACAAGTGTTGTAATACTCGTTAAGGATTTGGTATTTGCTGGCAATAGTCTCACGCGACAAGGTTCGGCTCAAGTATACCACGAAGAGCTTGTAAATGTATTGGATTTTTCTTCGGATTTTGATTTCGATCCAGTTTCCACTTACAAGATACCTTTCGCAAGCTTCCAAAACGCGATCAAGACTCCTTGGCGTCTTCATCTTGAGCACCTCGAGCGAAATCTCGCTATATTGTTTTCCTGAAAGCCTGACGTTCCTTTGGAGCGTCTGCTCTAAAACCTGGTGATATGATGATGGTTTTGCGTCGATTTGTTGAAAAACACGAAGAAGAAGCGAGGCAAGTTGTCTATACTTGATTTGTAGAACCTTTGACGACGTAGATCCGTTGTCTTGATCGATCATGCTGTTGATCTCGCTCATAGCATTATTTAAAAGATCGTGTGCTCCTTGAAAATCTCCTCTAGCAAAGTATATCTTGCTCATTTCCTGAAGAATGGCCATACGAAGCTCGGGGCTAATTCGCTTTCCTAATTTCTCCTTAATCTGGTTCAAGAACTTCACTGCAAGCACCATTCCCTTGTCAGAGTGTCCAGTCGTGGCCACTGAGTACTCCGAAATAATGCGGAGCAAAGTTGGAGAATTCCGAGAAAGGTCTGCCATTGCGATGTTGCTACCAGCGATATTGTCAACCGTGGACATTCCGTAAAGCTCGAATACTGACTCAAGCAACTTGTATGAATTCTCGAACCCGGTATGATTCACTTTATCCATGTGTAGCAAGGCTCGTATTAAGTACAAATAAGTCCTTGCACTAATGGATACCTTGAGCTTCGCCATTTCTCTATATTTTTCCAAGATCTGAGCGTATCCCTCATAGGTATTGAGCGAAGCATTGTGCTCGAGGAATGGCAAATAATGTTCTTCGGTGAGACGATGCATCTTCCTGACTCTCTCGAAATAACTTCCAGCTGCCCGTAACTTGTTCAACGATACGTAATGCTTGATGATATCCACCAACAAATGGTCCATGTCGCGGGGACTTATTTTCTTCGCATCAACTCTCTTGATGATGTTAGTTACACGGTCGGCGAGATATCGGCGAATTTCTCTGTTCGACGTGCTCTTGTACCACGCCCGGTAGTTTCTAAATTGAACCCGAGTCACTGCTGCACTGGCAAACGGGACAACTGACTCCAGATGGGCTTCAAATGCAAGCTCATCGGCTCTCTCATACTGGCCAAACTGCGTGAGCGAACTGACTGTCCTGCAATACACTTGCTCGTTGATCAACAGGTACTTTCTGGCCATATCTAACACCTCGTTGAACTCTATTTCTCGATAGGTCATTGTGAGATAAGCTAGCATTTTGCATACTAGTTCAGAGTCCACGAGCTGCTTTCCTGAGCTTTCTTGTGATTCAAGAATGTTTCTGAATGTTTCTAGGGTGGTTCCGACATCTTTATCCAAAATGTCTGCTTCAACAAGCTTCGTCTGAAGGCCAGCAATTTTCTTTTCGGAGATAATGCCTTCCTCCACGGCTTTCAAAAAGGTATCGTACCATTTTCTGGCACCTTCAACGTTGCCTGTGTTAGAATTGGCCAAAATCAAGGCTGAAAAAATTTCTGCGGTCGGCTGAAGGTTTCTCTTCAAGATTTGTTGGTAGAGCTGCTCGACTTCTTTCAAAACACCCAATGATGCCAACGCACTCATCACAATAGCGTAATGGACCACATGTGGCAATTGGTTGTGGCCGTACATGTCTTCGAATTGTTTTTGAAGAAGCTTCCAATCTCTTGTTTGCTCGCTAACCCTTAATAAAATATCGATTTGATCATCATGGTGTAGCAAGGTATTCTCGGAATGGACTTTCCAGACCCTGTCAAATGCTTTGAGGGATAAATATGCATTCATGACACTTCGCAAGTCGTTGTGGTCTCTGTACTCAAGCATGTTCGTGTTGAGCTTTTCCGTTTTGTAGTTCCACAAAGTCACGGCTCTCTCTGGGTCTGAGGTCGAAATTGAAAACATGATGGAGGAAATAAACCGAGAGAACGAATTTTTGCTTTCAGTAGTTTCCATAACTACATTCTCAATGGTTTCCATGGTTGTGCCGAAGTCGTATGGCGCGATGATCATGCGGAGAGCGCTTTCGTATGTTGAGTATTCAGAAGTGTTGAATAGAAGGTGGCCATCTCCAATTTGGTCTAAGAAAGCGAGGAAATCTCGTAACACGCCAGGAAGCACGGACGGCGATTCGCTGTAAAGCAAGCACTTACGCAAGAATATTGATATGAGAAGTCTCTTTTCTTCGAGACTTCTATCGCTCTTTAAAAACGTGAGGATGGACTGTCTGCTGTATCTGAGACGATCTCCATCTCGAGAAAACTGGAATGTGGAAATGAGCGTATCCGTCCAAGAGGGTTTCGCACCCAAGTGGCCCATGGTATACACGGGACGTATTAACGTCTCATAAGGTTTATATTCGCCGTTGTTCATCATCAAATGGAGCACTTTCAGCTTAGAATGGATCAATTTCCGTTGAAGATTCAGATCAGAGAAACCTCTCAGAAATACAATTTCCCATAATTTTAGAACTAGAACGTACGCATCGTACGAATATTCACCTGTAGCCATGTCGATGGCGTTTTCAAACATCGAGTGCACTGAATGAAGGTGAGATTTTGAATGCTGGATATCATGTAGATACTTCGCTTGAAGCAGTGAATCTCCAAGGATTCGCTCTATATCATGTAGTTTTGGCACCTCCTGGAACTTTACTGGATGCACTAGATTTCGGAGTGTCGTATGGAACGCTCGCAGCGAATATATCTGTGGCGAAACACCAGTCAGACTGACATTAGGACATCGTAGACAGCGAATTGATATTAGTCGCCCAGAAGAAGCGCCATTCCGCAAGTGAAGCGGAAGAGAGCCAATTATTAGGCTTTTCATGTGAAATTGTAGAGAACCCGAGAAAAAATTGGGAATTTCAATGTAACTTCGTCTAGTGGTTGGAGATTTTTTGAAAGATAGACATCAGACGTTTTTCATTGTCTTGTTTGTGTGCAGTACGAGTAATCAGGAATAGATTCAAAGAGACTGATGGAAATGAGAAAATATGGGATGGAAATCCATAAAAGTGGGGAGAAGGAAAGAAAGAGACAAAGAGGAAAACGACAAGAACGAAACGACATGAAAAATTAGCCATACGTTCTAGTTTGTAGGACTCTGGGTGCTTACTCCTCAATAATCTTAGCCTTGTACTGTTCACAAACGGTTGGTTCTTCCTGTCAGAGTCATTAAATCAGTTTTTTATGTGTGTAGTCACCGAAGCAGAAACTTCTAGTACAGTGTGAATATAAAAAATCATCATAAAAAGAACGCCACCAGATGTGTGAAACAGAATCTATGGTATATCTACGGTTGTTAGTGGCTGTGTCACGCTAGCAAACGTCACGAGTCAGCAAAAGACCTATCATCACCTCTCCGGCCCCAGCCCTTCAAAATTTGTACACAGAAGGACGACTCCTCAAGAGGGGGGCCCGAGGTTGAATATGTCCGCCCGGTCACGAGTATCATCATTCGACGTCTCAGGAAAAACATACCTAGATGTTAGTGTTTCATTTTAATGGTGGAATCAGAGGGCTCATACAAGGCTGAAACTTAACGAAAATGCTGTTGTCAACCCGGAACATTCAGTTGGAACAATTGGTAAATAGCAAATAATCTTCGCCCTAGCGTGAAGACATACCATTCATTCAATCCCACACAAAATGTGGTGTCGAGGAATTTAAAAAATTTTGTGCGGTGCGAGCTGTTTATATATGGGGATGTGATGGTTTGCGCACGACCAGGTAGCCCTAATAGATGTGAATGATTGATGTTGCATACGATTAAGTTTCGAACTTGGTGATGTTTTTCATAGATAATAATAAACTGACGGCTTTGCAAAGTACTAGCATTGTTAAATTTGCGTGTCTCATGCAATTACTTGGAGAAACCACGTCCTATGAAACATGGGATCATTTGGTTATGTTAAGAGTTCTTCTAAACCACCACAATTTCAAAATCTAGTTCGATCTCCTTGCCAAATTAGTACCTGCCTGATTGCTAGTCTAGTTATTCCAACCTACTGTGTCATTTCAACCTGGCCCCATTAACTGATACCAAAGAAAAGGACCTTCACCAACACTGTAAACACAACTTGTGCGCCAGCAACAGCAAAAACTAACAACCGAGCCTTCTGCCCACCGTCTGTAGATCCATCAGCATCCATGGCCATGGAGTTCTTCAAAAGAATAGGACGAACCTTCAACATGATGCTAAGTCCAGTCACAGCACCACTAAGTGCCACTATGATCCACTGTAACAAATTCAACAATTTATGATGCTTTGCATTGCTTATAAGGACAACCAAGACAAAGTTTGCCACGGTGATTGGGATCCACAATACGTTGGCATAACTGTAAATGGATAAAAGTCTCGTGAGGGAGAGACGCTCGGGGAATTTCATCACCCAAGTGGTGATCACATAGAGGGCCACAGGTACCACCACTGTGTATCCGTAGAAGAGACTCATGGAGATAGTGAGAAGGTCAAACAGATATTCATATCTAGCATCGTCTTTACCTGAATGGAGCCAATGGGCCAAGATATTGGACCCCGTAGACGACACAAACATGAGAAATATTAGGGTGGCGGTAATCCAGATGAATCCGTAAAGCTCTGTGGGGTCATCGTCGTCCTGGCCAGCTACCACTGAGGCGTTATTGAATGGGTTCATGGCCAATATGATTTTGCCAAAGAAATCCTCAGTATTAAGATCAAAGAACTGGCGGTAGTACGCCACCAGGAGGACATTGCTCAGCTTTAGTTGTGGTTGAATCACATCTGGGCCCGTTGGCTGGGCATTGTACACTGGAACTTGAAAGGTTAGTATTGTAATCAATTGATAGTGATACTTGATGTTTCTGAGGTGTACATACCATCATGCTGGATTAAATCCGGCTCGTCGACCTGCACTGGTTAGTGAATGATTGGAATTGACTAGAATGGGCAACATACATCCTGGGGTATTTGGATGAAATTAGACATGGTATGTGACTATTAGAGGAATCTCACTATTTGAGTAAATTAACCATGTTTGCACGTGACCTAGTTAGATAGTCTAGATATACGGATTATGAATGAACTTAGTAGAAAGAAGTGATTTTTAAAATGAATAGAATGATATTGAAGTTCAATTGAATTTCCGTTAATTTCTGTTTTGTTTTTCTTTTATTTTTCTGTTTTGTAGTGGTTTTCTATACCCTAGCCAGTGTACATTTCATAGATTGGCTAAATAACAACTGGTAAATGATCCTGAATCATTCCATCCCTCCTAATTTGCTCCGTTTCAAGATCCCAAATCAGAGGTCCAAAGTGCTGTCATCAGTGGCGTGAGTTCATCATTGTCTTGAACACTTTCCAGTAACGAACCACCAGAGAAATGAGATCGAGCAGTAACCATTCGAAGTGCAGATTCCCTTCTTGGCACGTCTTGCGTTGATTCTGACAGAAGAAAGTCCGAAGATACCTCCAGACTTTCACGCTTTTCTTCGGAATTCTTGAATAGTGGAATATAGTTCTGGAACGTCATATTCAATCCAAAGATTGACAGTCCGGCCGAAGTGTCAGGCTTTGAAGAGAAAGATTCAGTTGAAATTAAGGACTTTGCTACCTTGTGGCTTTCTGTGGAACTGGGACGCGTGAGTGAGTCATATGTTGTAGGTTCTGGGTAGAACAGTATACTTATTGCTCCGAGAAGACACATTGCACTTACAATGGCTACAATAATCCATTCATCTACCGTCTCTGAGAGGATGCACTCATAGCTTACCAATGCAATTGCTTTTGAAAGCCACATGATACTGTAAACCACAGCTACTGCTTTAGGACACCCATGCACAAGCTCGATGGAATATATGGATGACATAGGCTGCACAAATGTGTAGAAGAGACAGAAGGAGAATAGTGTTAGGGCTAGAAACAGTTCTGTCCTGATGTTATAAGCACGGGTTATTTGGAACCACTGGTTTCCTTGCAATACCAACAAGATGCAAATGGCTGCGTTGGAAAGACCCAAAATGAACATTCCAAACACGTAGCAGTCTTTTCTCCTAAAGCAGCAGAGAAATAGCAGACAGCAAGAGAAAAGCACAACCAAAGTGTACTGCAAAAGATGGAGATATACTAAAAGTGTGTCATTGAATATCAATTTGAGGACAGGTCCAGCGGTGAACATTGTCATCAGGGTTGGAATGTTGGTTAGCATAGCAGCAATATGAATATGAGCACTTCGAAGACTTAAAGTCCAGAACGTTGATATAATTTTTCTTTCTTTTCCTGTTTTTCCTATCTTCCCTTGCGTTTTCCATGTGGGCAGAAGTGTTGCTTGCAAATGGCTGCGAAAGTCTCTTCCCCACCCATTAACAGAGGAAGCCAGAGGCGAGCGTGAAAGCAAAAACGAAATAAATAGAATAAGAAGACCCCAAGCTGTCTCTGAAAGGCTCACGTACGGAAGTGCAGCCTCGATACTAAAGTATATGCTTGCATATGAGTAGATCAAGGCTAGAAGGCTTCCTAGCGAGATAGATACATGGAAAGTCGAAATGCACATTGCACTAGCATGCGAGTTTTGGTAACTATATAGTTGAATGGCCACCATAACCATTCCGCATGCGATTCCGCGTATGAAATGAGCCAAAATGTGGTGATACAAGTACGGCAGTAGAAAGAGCCCTGTGCTAGCGCATGCCCAAAGCATTCCTGCCATATGTAAGCTGTGAACGGGCAGAATTGCCATGGTTAGGAGAGATCCAGCTGCTATTAGTATCCTTTGTACTTTTTGTGGGCGATGTTGCTGTATTTATACGCACCTGCTCCTCCGATTGGACATGCCACCCAGAGGGTAGCCTTCTCGGGTACTGAGAGGTGTGGGAACGAAATGTCGACAAAATAAGGGATCAAGGAAACCGCTTCTGCTCCCACAAGAAAGCCTCCTATTACTAATGTTATTTTAGTGGCGAGTGAATAACGTGAGTTGGACATTTGTGAGTGGGTGCAAAACGAGAAATTGTGAGAAGTTTGGACATAAGAAATAGAATTATCCACCAAAGATGAAGCTGCCAAAGAAATGTGTAGAGAAAGATTGAGCTACTGGCTTTCATAAAAATTTGGTGAAAAGAAACATTTGAAGAAGAAACCAAACCATCAAATATGAATCTGTCATCTTCTGGCGATACTGTTTATGCAATCACCATTGAAAAAGAGCTAGAGCGACAGAGAAAAAGGTGTTCAGAAAAAAGAAGATAATAGGAAACCTAAGAATCCAGATATAAGACTACTTTAAATCATCCTAAACGCCTCAAGGTCTTTTTTAATATCCATACCCCAGACTGCCTGCAGACATGTCACTATCACCAATTCTTGATTCAGTCCATACTACTACATGCCACGAGAACGGCCCGATCTGGCCCGTGGCCCCCTTCATAATGGTACCTCGTCACCGTCCAACACATACACTAAGCGAACTCTCCTTCGTTCGCCGCTTATCTGCGCAATATACCCAGAATTCAAGGTGTCACTTTCAAAACCTCTTGCAGGGCTTTCCAGCAAGTCTATAAATGACGAAAACGACCAAACCCTCCATGAGCCGGAAGAAGATTCGTATTTTGGTGAGGAAATGAGTGAGGATGACGATATTGTGTGGAATTTGGAAGACAATGCACCACAACCAGCCAATCCTTTAAAGTCTGTCTCACCAATTGAAGAAGACATCACCTCCGTCAATGTTTTAATCAGACATTCGGCGATTGTGATCAATGGAGTGGAATTCGGGCTCAACGCAGGCGTTCGGTCTTCAGTTATGATTCCAGGGCCGTCGGGAACAGAAAATTCGCTTGTTGTATCAATGCTTTCTGGATTTGTTCTTCTAATTCGAATATGGCGAGTTCCCAGAACATATGGAGACGCCAGCTTTGGCGAAACTGGCCATGCGGTTGAGGAATCAACTACGTCACATTTTTTCAAGCCGTTTGTTGTTCAATGGTGGAAAACAGACGCAGAATATGCGGCTGAAGTATCGGGAAGTCGACTTTCTGTGCATTCGTCGGGTCTAGCAGTCGTTTCTGCTGCCCAATCGTCGGTTTTCAGGATCCACATGTGCCAGCAAACAGACATGGGTGTCCAACTACTTCCACAATTCAATGTGGACGTGAATGGAATTATACTTCATTCATGTTTTTCGCAGCCACTCAAAGATGTAGGAGATGATCATATTACATTTCTTACCCTCACGTTTTCCAACATGCGGAGATTAGATCTATCTCTCTACAGCTGGTATGTTTCTGACTCGCCAGAGAATTTGGTCCGCTGCACTTTGCCATTAAACAACTCATTTCCTGTTCCTATCATGATCATTCCACTTGCTAGAAACCACAGCTTTCTCTTTGTTTGCACCGACATGTTCATCGTGGTGACAGTACATAATATCATGTCTGCTGACTACTCGTTTTCTCGATTTGCCTACGATGGTTCATTTCCAACTGCTTTTCACTTGCCAGAACCTCATCTTATGGGCCCAGATATTCAAAAATCCGATGAGGTACTTCTAGCTTCTGATTCTGGTACAATTTACGCTGTCACTGTCACTGACAATAATTCTCTTGTGTATGAACCTGTTGCTCAGGTGGCGGATGCGGTGTCAGTTTTCACGATGCAAAAGAATGATTCCGGCTACATGCTACATTACGCCAGCGACACTGGAGGCTCCAAAGCAATTCAGATAAGCACTCTCTTTACAAGGGACATAATCCAAGCAGACAAAAAATTACCATACAGCGAAGGTGTGCTTGTTCAGGATTTCAAGAATTGGTCTCCAGTAATTGATGTTCTGGTTATAAACTCCTTAAAAGTGAGAAACATTGCACCCTACTGTTCTCAGGAGGTCTGGGCATTGACTGGGGCGGGTAAAAGAACGAAGTTGACTCATCTTCGAAGTGGCTACTCGGTTAAAAAAGAGACGAAGCCTGTTGGCAATCTCCGTAAGACCAAAGAAATGTTCCGAATAGACCTCAACGGCCGCCATTTCATCATATGTGCCATGCCGCTATCTACGACACTCTTGGAGTATCAAAACTGGCAGGCAGGTCTGTCGGAAGATGGTAATGGAGATTCGTTGGTGGAGATCGAAGCATCGGCCCTTATCTCTGACGAGACCACTTTGAATGCGGTGCTTATACCCAACACTTCCACGATAGTTCAGTTCACCCCATCTCGAATTTCATTCACCAACTTGGAAGATTCTAAAAGGCTAGATTTTACAAACCAGAGGATCTTGTCAGCAAAGGTCGAACACAACATCGCTGCACTTATCATTGACCGTGAACTGGCTCTCACTTTGGAGTTGGTTGAATTAAGTGAAATCACAGATTATGAAACTGAATCAATCCATCCCACAAGTATAATGAGACCATTGTGTTCTGTATCCTTGGATTTTGAGGTCAGTACAATGAGTATTTGTGCTGATGCTGAATCTCAGAAGCTCTCGATTTTCTTGGGAACATTCGAGGGGTTCATAAATGTTCTTGAATTTCGAGAAGCGCAGATTACTGTGATTGCGCAGATAAATTTAAGTGTTATGAATCCCTATGCTTCCCTGACATCTTTGTCCGATGAATATGTGATTCCTCACGATATTCTTTACCTGCCACAATCTCAACAGCTCTTCGTTGGGTCTGAGCTTGGCCACTTGATCCAGTTCACGTTTACAGAAACCAAATTAGAGCTCGTGCAATACTTACTTCTCGGTTACACTCCTGTTACTTTGAAACTCTGCAAGACGGACCATCATTTCCTTATGGTGTGCTTGCGCAACCTCTGGCTCTTCAATTTTTATTCATCCAGCCTTCCCACACAAGTTGTGTTTGAAGAGAAGACGGATAGACCAGTTTTAAGGCTCACGGAGCTTCCATCAACTATAGACCAGCATTTAAGATTTGCATTCACCAGAGAGGATGGTCTCGTCATTGGATCCCTATTCTGTCACAAAGTGCCAATTGTGAAGCAGATATCAGTGGGTGAATCAGCAAGAAAGGTGTGCTATCTTGACTCTATGAATCTCTTCGTTATTTTAACTAAGGCAAAAGAGCCCTTAACGAGGTTGAGGTTCGTGGATCGAAAATCGAATCGTGCATTCCCGAGTGTTGAGGTGGACTCTAAATCAGGAAGTCAGCGCAAGGATAAAATATTTGAGCCGGGCGAATTCCCCGTCTGTGGGTTTGTTTGGGAGATCCAGCGCCAGGATAGGGTGTCGAAAAAGCTCATTGTTGGCACCTCTACGGATAACAAGTCGGGGTCAGTTAAAATATTGGATATTACCAAGCTTGCCTTGCAAGGCACAGAAACTCCAGTGGTACGAATTGTGGAGTTGATTTCCATACCCAGAGACGAGCCAGTGACATGCATCGAACAAATTGGTACAACCATTTTCTTTTCGAGTGGCTGTAAAATCTTCTCCACGTCCTATAGCTTCGAGGATAGGAAGCTTCGCCCTGTTAGAACTCTAACCACACTCTCCAGTGAGGTGATCTCATTATCTGTCAGTGACAAACAAAATTTGGTTGTTAACTCTCGCCTCGACTCTTTGATAGTGTTTAAGTATAACCATGGAAGTGGGGAGGATATCGATATGACAGACGATGAGAACGACGGATCTCTGCTGGAGAGTCTTAATGTTGAGTTCAAGGACCCAGTATCGAGAAGTTTGGTCAATCATTCCGTAATGAAAACGAAACTTGTTGCTGGTGACAAGTTGCACTCGTCGTTGATAGTGGTGGACGCCAAAGATCGAGTCTCTGCTCATCCATTCGCTTACAGACTCTCCATGATTCCACGTGTTTACATTTCGAAATTCAATGGGTTATGGTCCAAAGACGCGGATGTTAAGGATCGAATTTTGAGCGTCGGAGTCAATGGAGAAGTGTTGGCGTTGGAGCCAATAGATGATCAAAGTGAAGAAATCAATAGTCTCACCGCCGAACTTGAAGGCAGAAGGGGACTTCGAGGAGATTCAGGATTGGATTCGCTTGTTGAAAGGTTGAATAGACCATTTGCTGACAAAGTGACTGGAAAATGTTTCCAGAATATCTACAAACCGTTCTTCGACTTTTCTGAAAATTGTGGGAAACTTATAGACTACGACTTAGAAGATTTGTCTCGCGTCCAAACTTCTAGTTTTATGATCTGATAATAATGAAAGTTAAATATTTCTTATTTAGCGGGTGGCTTATGCATTAGAAGAATCCTCACTCTCTTGGCTAGGCTTCTCGTCAAATGTATCCTTAGACTGTAAGTTTAGCTTTCTGCGTTGTCTTTGTTGTCTGAATTGAGCCGCACTTGAAAGCCTTTCTGCATCAGATGTTTCTGCTTTTCGCAACTCTTGAAGTAAACTTCTGGCTCTCGATCCAATATCCGCTCCTTCGGGTGCCACTTCAGAGGGTACTTCAGGAGAGTCTCCAATATCCTCGAACGTCAGTCTTGATGGGCTCTCGTCACCACTGGATTTCTTGATGTTCTCCAAAAGATGTTTCTTCATTAATGCCCTCTTTCTTGCAGAAGATGGTTCGCCCTTTTGTGGCCCCGAAGCCTTTAATTTTTCAAGAAGAGAGTCCATGACGTTTTCAGAATCATCATCATTCTGTTCAGTTTTGGCAACCTTGGCCAGATTGGCATTCTCGATTAGTTTCTTTCTCTGTTCGTATACTCTTAATTCTTCCTCGCGCTTCAAATTCTCACGCTGAGCCTTCTTGAACTCTGTCATAAAGTTGGTAAACTTGCTGATGAACGAGTTTCTAACAAAACTGTCCCCGGATCCTCTCCGAAATACCTCATAAGTTTATCAAACTCGCTGAATGTATAATTAGATTGGTCCATGAGCAACTCAGCCTTTCTTTTAGCCTTTGGTAAGAGTGGGGAAATCACCTTCAAGACACGGTCCTTAGGGTGGAAAGTCGATACATCGCTCAAATTACCAACATCGATCGAACTTTGAACATTCTTTATGGACTGTGCATACTCCTTACAGTCACTAGAAATATTCTCAATGGAGAACTTGGCAACTTCAACGCAACTCGAAAGCTCTGTTAAGAAGTCCAAAAGCTCAGGATACAATGTCCGGATGGTTTTCTCGACATAATGCAAGAAAGACATGCTGTTCTTATCGTCCTTGACGAAACTCAATCTCTGCAAAGAGCTCAACTTGAATCCCTTGGCTTGTTTGGAGGTATCATTCATGTAATTACCAACAGCCAAGATGATGTCGAAGACGCTTCTCAAATGAGTAGAGTGCTTAATGCTTTCAACAGCTGCATCGAGGCTTCTCAATTTCTTCACTAAGTCCTCATAATCTTTCTCGTAATGGGCAATCGTTCTCAAAGACCGGACTCTAGATTTCCAGTAATGTTGTAAGTTGTAGATCAATTCCACGTAAATTCTATCTGGTCTTTGCAATTCATTTGGATCTTTATCTGGCGAACCGATTTGATCAGACTTGTAGTCAGTAGAATATGGTTCAAGGCTTCTTGCCAAACTATTGGAAACTTCCACAATTTCATCTTTAGAGAGGAACTCCAAAACTGCTGGATTCTCGAGAACATCCTTGTCACATCTCAAGATCTTATCCACAACTTCAGTGTCTGAAAGAGAGTTGTAAAAGTGCAAATTAATACCAAACTGCTGTGCGATATCTCTAGCCAAGAACGTGACCTTGTCGACATCTTCCTTCTTCTTGGTTGCCAATCTCTTGATCTCTTTTGCTGCAAAGATGGTCTCAATTTCGTCCAAGACTCCCTTATCCATCAATTCAGTAGCCACATTATGGGGTTGTGATCCGTGCCAAAAAGAGCTCTTTCCGCCATCTAAACCATCGACCTTTTCCCAATGCAATTGCTTCAACTTCTTTTTAGGACGTGGATATTGATCAAATGAGTTGGGAACGACAACGGGCAAAGGACTTGGAGAAGGTGAGCCAGTTTTCTGCATTGGAAATGGTGGTGGAGGTGGGGCGGGTGGTGCGTTCGGACCACCAAGCGCACCAGGTAACGGAGGTGGTACCGGGGGTGGACCGCCACCTGTGAATAAAGGCATAGGTGGTGGCGGGGGTGGAGCTGCACCGCCCAATGCTGGTGGAATTGGTGGAGGTGGTGGCGGTGGTGGTGGAGCCAGGCCACCGAGTGTTGATGGAAGAGGTGGAGCTGGTGGTGGAATAGTCGCAGTGACGGAGGGTTCTTCTTCCTGCTTATCAACGGAATCCTCGAATTTGTCACTATCCTCCTCTTCTTCTTCTTCTTTGTCATGTTCTTCTTGTGTATCTGGAATCGCATCCACTTTCTGAACTTTGTTGCTCAACTCTTTCAAGAACTTTGGATTCATATTGCTGACTGTAGAAATCCTGTTGCTCTTATAGTCCTTGACGGGAGATATCGAACTCTTGACGACTTCTTCCACATCACTCTGTTTGACTTTTCCTTGAGCGTATTTCTTCTCAATTTTAGCCAAGACCTCAACAGAAGACGCTCTTGAATTCCTAGAAGTTGATGGTGGTGTTCCTTTCAAAGCTTTCAATTGGGCCTGCAAGTCGGCTTTGAGCTTGGAAACCTCGTCAAGTTCTTCTTGAATCTTTGCTTTCATGTTTGGTTCAATGATGCTTTCGAATAGCTCGTGATCGTTAGATGAAGTAAAGTCAATGTTGAAGTCCTTGAAGTTCATTTCCAACTCTCTCAATCTTTCCATAGCCAAAAACTTCTGTTTCGAGAACATGGCACTATTGTTGAATTTCATGATATCATTCGATTCATTTTGCAAAGATGCAAGCTTTTTTCTCAATCTAGACAACTTCTCCAAATCGTCCTCTCGACAAGCACGCTTCGGACCTTCAGGAATTGGAGGATAATATGTCTCCTCTTCCGATTCATCTTCTTCTTCCATTTCGCTTGAAGCCGCTGAAAGTTCCGGTACCTCTGGAGGGGGGCAGTAACTGGGGCAGTGTAAGTTTCAAAGTCGGTCATTTCAAGCTCTCTGGCCAAGTTCTCGATATCATTCATCTGTTCACGCAAAGCTCTTAATCTGGAACTAGGCTCTATATGGGTACCAAACAGCTTGTTATCGAGTTTATACTCAGCCTTCTTTCTGTGAATTTGTTTTTGCAACTTCTTAATGAGTTCTTCGTTATTTGTTTGAACCAGAACTGTGGTCCGGCCATTTGCTTTTCTGGCCTTAATGTCAGCACTGTTGAGCATGATTAATAGTTCTCTCATCTCCGCTTCTTGTTCTTGCTTTTCGATGAGATGCTTTCTCCTCAACTCTTCAAGTTCTTCCTGTAGCTCCTCGTTCATTCGTCTCGAGCGTAGCAATACAGTTTCCTGCTCTCTAATATCATTCGACATACTCGTGATTAATCCCTCAGTTCCCAATGAAAGCTGACGCGACATTTCGTCTCTTTCTGCCGTTGCTTCATCAGCAATCTTCTTGTAGGTTTTAACATCCGATAATGCCTTTCTGTACATGTCATCCGTGCTCAAGCCGGCAAACAACCGATTAATAGCGATTCCTACTGCGGAATCATCATTTGTAGTATGAGCACTGGAAACATTCTGAATAATACCATCTAAGAGCCTCATACTCCTTGAGAGATCCTCAACATTATCCTTCTTGTCGACTTGATTGAGGTACATGTGCTGAATTGCACTAACAAAATGGCCCTGGGCTTCACTATTCTGAACACTTTGCCAGAGCGATTTCACCAATTCGACAGGATTGTTGAAATCAAGGTCCTCGTCTATTTGCTCCTTGGTTTTTAACTCTAGTTCGTCGCCGTCAGCCATTTCACGGTAAATCTCACATTGTTTGTTTAAGTTTTCGTATCCCAATTCCAAAAACTTTTTCATGAGAGTATCAATTCCAGCAGCTTTAAGTTGGGACCGAAGGTGGATACGAACTCTGAAATCAATTCCATACTCAACGATCTTGTTGATGAGAAGCATAGTTCCAAAACAATATTCGAGAAATTGATTTTCAATCTGAGACGTGCTAATGGTTGAAGAAGATGTGCCAATCAAGGCTTGCTTGAATTCGTCTGATGCTCCGACAAGCGATGTCTTGTAGGTTCCTCTGCCATCAATGGTCTTCTCCACAAGCTTGAGCCAGAGTTCAAATCGATGGAACTTGTTTGGAGTAGGAGGCTTTCTTTGCAAAGACTTCTTGCTCAGAGTGTTGGGAGTGACAAATTCATAGTAAGACTTGGTGGATAAAGCATCCAATGCACGTAGCACCTTATGGTACTTCGCTTGGTTTTCATTGCTATAGTACGCAATCATGAAAATCAAGGTGTCACCAGCAATTTTTCGGGTGGCAATTCGAGGTGAGAGAAGAGAGCCAGTCACTGCATTGACATACAAGGAGTCGTCAGTTTTGGCACGCTCCGCACCCAATTTCTGATTCATCATGCAACGTAAACATTTGAGAGTGTTAAACTCCTTGTTGAAGATGTCATCCAGGATGTCTTCGATGTCTTGGCCACCTATCTGGTCATGGACCTTAGTCAAGTACGAAGACAAGGCAACGTCACCCTGAAAATCGAAGATGAACTCACGGACCCAGTCGATAGGTTCAGTACGTAGCGAAACCCACAAGTTCTCGAGCTCCTCTGATGTGATCATTTTGGAGATAAGTCTTCGCGTATAAAACTCAGGACTCGACTTACCCTTCTTAATATGCTTATTGTGCTCGCTGAGCGCATCCTGATATACGAGCATCCATTTCTTGTCTACGCTGTATGCGAGCATTTCCTGGCGTGCTTGTGCCGGTAGAGAACGGAAATCACGGCGATCCATCAACTCCCGAAACATGCGCTCAATTTCAAGTGGATTGGAGGGCCGCTGAAGTGCAAGCGGAGGAGCATTGTTGATGCTATTATTACTGCCGCCGTTCAATGTGGCTGCCAGTAAACTGGGCGTGTCCTCGATGGTGGCCATGGATGGGGCCGCTGACCGTAAAGATGCATTGGTGGCTTTTCGAGACAAAGCGAGCGACGATGCCAGGAACGATGGAGCACGGGAGGAGACCTTCTCCTTGCGTGGAGTGGTCTTATCTGAGTGTCTCGTAGGAGTAACTTCGCCACCAGATCGTGAAGTCTTGTGGTCGTACGGATTGGTTCCTGGGGTCAGAAATGAGTAAGTGGATCCATGGCGAGAATGGGTCAGATTTGCCACATGCGGGCCTGGAGTGATCGTCGACAGCGGGCCATCTCGTGTGTCTCTACTGCCTGAAGATCCTGTGGATGCCACACTGAGCATGCTTCCCTGGCGCTTGCCAAAAGAAGAATTGGATACCAGATAAATGTCATTGGCTGTGTGATTCAGATGGGCAGTTCCGCCGCTGCCCACCGAAACTGAGTCCAGCATGTCCAGAATAGCATCAAATTGCGGTACTGGCTTGTCGCGAGACTTGCGCAAAGAGAATATGGAGCTGGTGGAAACCCTGTTGGGGTTAGAGGCGGCGGAGGAGGATCTGGACGGGGACTTGGAGCGCGAGTGGGGCGGTGGCGCATAAAGTGATGGTGTGTGTGCCGAATGGGCCTGAATGGGTGTATAGTATGGCCCAGCGGTGGAGGAGTCGTCACTAGCGTGAGACGCCATGTATGGATCTATTCGTCTTCTCTGCGACATCAGAGAAACGGTAACCAGTAGAGGATGGTGCCGTAGGTGGTTGGGATGTACAGGTGTGGCGTAGAAATTGTCTGTGGTTAAATTGTAATACGCTGGGAGGCGCAGTGTTGTGAATTGGGAATAAACTGCCTTATGGTGGTGAAGGTTTAAGTGGGAGGAATTGGCGATTAGTTTGACCAGTTTGCGTGTTAGTGTGGGAGGTACGGGTGTAGGTGGGGGAGTAGGAAACAAGTTACGCCAAATAGTTTTATTTTTGTCTGTAGTGCGCGTAGGAGGTGCATACAGATGGTTGAACAATAGAGAGTGTGGGAGAAAAAATATCGCTGAAACGAGCAAGTATACGGAAATCATAGAGGACAGCCTGGAAGATCCACGAGGATCCACGAAAATAAATAGAAAATTCACAAGAATGGAGGAAAATCCACGAGAATCGAGGAAAATCCACATGGAATTTAAAGATTAATGAGGGAATTATAGAGAAAGTCCAGACAACTTTCATTCAAGAAGAAAGATTTGGAAATGCAAAGAAATTGTGATTTGACAATGTACTGTGCTAACCGATTTTAATGTTTAATGGTCCTAAAATTGCTGGTTTATGGAGATTACGTGAGGGTTATGATCTGACTGGCTTGATAGCCATTTTTGGCTCTAAGCTCCTGGTTGGGGTACGGGTTTTTATGAACCTAACATGATGGCCATTTCTCCCACTATTGTATTCTCGCCTGGTTCGTCATGATCTTCAAGGATTTAAAAAAATGTCTTCCTGCCTCCATCTACATCTTGAAACGTCGCTGAAGTTGTTACATGGAGTGTATGGGAATCTTGACGCCAGCAACTATTTAGCTCACAACCTTAAGAGTGTGGAGGTTGCGAACGTCTAAAGGCTCCTTTGGTTGTCATGACCACTGGCTGGAGATGTAGAGTGGCTATTTACGTTTTTGATGCCTGGAGAACACCTCAATTAGATTCTCCGGATTGTTTTTTCTTTCCCTCTACCTGTTTTCTGTATATCATATTGGAAAGTGGTCTGTTCATTAAAATAATCACCTCCTATGTTCTACGAAGTATCAGATATTGTCTGTAAGTTGTTTGTCTTAGAACAAATGTGTACTTTCATATTGATTGTTATCTACTGCACGCTTTCTTTTTTTTTTGCTGCTTATTCCACTCCTATTTCTGCACCGAAGTCTCTATATTACGGTGTTGCTTGTTCCGTACATCCCTTCACTTCTGTCCTACTTTTCATATCCTTCTTCCTTGTGTTCGTCTCTACTCCCCTAATCATGCATTCTTTACAAACTCTCCTTTAACATTTCCATGGTCAGATCGAGATCTTGTTCAATGGTCTTCTTTCCTTTGCCCTTGCGTCCTTTCTTGCGTTTCAGTGATGATTTCTTGGTGTCCTCAACGACATCTTGATTTTCTGCCTCTCCATTCACCACTTTTTCCACAACTTTTTCTTCTTTCAAATCCTTTTCCTCCTCTTTTTCTTGACTCACCTCCTTCTCCTCTTTCACCTCCTTATCTCCCTCGATATCTAACATCTCCGAGGTGTCTGCGAATTCCTCATCCTCGCTATTATCCTTTTCTGTTAAATCTTCTTCTATGGCCCCTTTATCAGAGGTTGCATTCATTGTCTCCACCTTGTTATCTGAATCTGGCTCCCTCGTTACCCCAATCTCTCTATCGTACTCGGCAGATGTCTTCATTGCGACCTGGTGGTCGTCAAGAACTTGTTGTGACTGGAAGTGCTTGAATGCAACGTTATCACGAATAACCTTTCTAAAAACATCAATGTTGATCTCGTCCAAAGATATGGTCTGAACATCCTCCTCGGTGTCCCAGATTCCAATCTTGCTCCAGAAGAGCTTGGCTCTAATAACAAGTAGCATAATGTATAGTTTCAATACCGCAGGTTCGTCCAATGGGTCCAGACCATGAACAGAGCCCTCGGCACGCTTGAATTGGAAGTTCAGAACAAACGCAATGTCGTCATAACTTGAATTCTGCTTCAATTTGTAGATATTACCATGGATCATCCGCAACTTGGCGAAGAAATCACAGATGGTTCGCAACTTCACGAGACAGAAGTTACAAAGCGGATGTGTTCCAATCACTTCATGTGCCTCACCAGCGATCTCTCGCGTGTTACCAGCACCTCCAGTTTCAGAAGCTGGGCCATACAACTTGAGATTGTACAAGCGTGCGTGCTCCAACATGTCGTCCTTGCATTCTCCACAGAATACACAAGGGTCTTTGATGGCAACAGGAATCTCGTCTCCCGTTTTGGCGCCCTTGTAAGTCAACTTGAACGTCTCGTTGACTCCGGAAACAGGCTCAATGATGGCACGGCCCTCCACCAACAACCCCCAGAAGGTCTTGCCCTTACTCCAACGATTCATAAAATTGCCACTGAGCAGCGGAATGTGTTCCACACACGGCTCGATCTCCTCTACCCAAATCTTACGAAAGTACTTGAGATTCTTGAGCGAAGCCAAATCGAACTGGAAGTCCGGCTTTATGAGTTGGTAAATAAAGCCTTTAAAATCCTCCTGGTATGCCGAGGTGTCGAAGCGTAATGCTCGCACACATGGGCCATATATCTGCAGCAGTAATAGAAGAAGCTCCTCTTCTGTTTCGATAGGGCCCTTCTGAAAGTCAAATTGGTGGTCCATGCGTGGGGTGTTGGCCCGCAGCGCCCGCTGTTGGTCCTCCAACTTGAGAAACATCAGTTTGAGGTCTTTGAGTTGGTCTTGAAGCGACTCAATGATGGTATCCTTCTCGGAAAGCTCCTCAATCAACTTGCGATTCTTCATCTTGAAGTTGTAGGTTTCTCGGCTGGCGTTCGACACCATTTCGTTAGCCTCGTTGAAAAGCGACGCAGTCAAGTCTTCCACCTCACCTTCCAACTGCTTGTTTTTCTCTTCGGCTGCGTTTTTGTCTGCTCTAAGTTCACCAATTCGTCCATTTAGTCTTGCTGACTCTTTGCGGAGCTGCAAGATGGTTTCCTCCAACTGCAGCAGCTTGGCAACCTCGGTGACCAATCTTGTGGAGAGTTGGGTCACCTCTGCAGCAAGCCGTGCATCCAAATTGTCTTCCATTTTCACAATGTACTACTAAGTAGTTTTGGTTGTGGTGATAATATGTAAGTATCCATGCAGGCTGGATCTGAGTTTTGACGGAGAATGAAAGACTGGCAATAACGTTGAGGGCAACAAGACATAGAAGGGAATGTAAATATGATTTTAAATGGGGATTCATGTTCAATGGCAAGTTTATGTCTATTTTTCGGCCATGAAGTGGAGGCTTTAGCTATTCGTTAACCTTTTGGTGATTCGCAGTTATACAAAAGTAAGGAAGCTATAGCAAGTAGCAATCTAGTCAAACAAAATAGCAAAGGAGACGAGGAGCGAGCAAAACAATGAGAAAAAGGTAAATGAACGGGATGAAATGGAGGGAGAAACTTCCAGAATTCAAACCTATCAATATCCTAGTCTACCTGAATATATCCATTCTTAATGTCTCTCTTACATGGAACTATATACGTACGTGTGCACTCTAAAGTTTGTCCAAAGAATGTACTTAGTCTATAGTATCTAAACTTTGTATTTCATTGTTGACCCTATGTTCTAGAGTTTCGGAGATGTTTGTTTAGAGTTTTACTGTCTGACTCTAATTTTTGTTTCATGTTCCATTTTTTATATTTAACTTTCATTTAATGTTTCATCAAAGTATCATGCTAAAGTTACTTTACACTAATTAACTGAATTCGTACAGTCTCAACATATTTTGCAACATACATACGCCTGCTAAAAATCAGAAACGTCACCAAAAAAGCCGAAACTCAGCATCCAAATTCAAAAACCAACACCCAACTATCCATTATCATTTTAGATTAAAATTCTCTACTCTAGCTCGGGAAATATACATCTCTACCAAATCGGCAACTTATCGGCCCTACATACACTCCTTATCTTGAATCTCCACAATCAGTCATCCAGATCAGTGGCCGTCTTACTCCAGGTTTCAAATTACAAGGAGTACCTTTTCTTATTGTTGATTTGTACCTTCTTCTACTCTGGTGCGTCAACAACTTCAGAACCTTACATTATACTTGTGAAATACTTCAACATTTGTCATGGTTAACTTACAGGACTACCATCTACTGCTTAATGCACCCATTGGCTATGCCAAAAATCCCATTCAGGCCAAATTCGAAGTTCCACGCACCGTATTGGAACCAGATTACATTGTATCGCCGCCTCCAACAGGCTCAAAGACGATTGACCTCCTACCTCCAGAGATCCTAGATAAGGTCACTGGACTTCTCAGCCAAATAGACACGCTTAGTTTAGCATGCACTTGCAAGGCGTTAGAGCAGCCGTGCTTGGACCGCTTGTATTCTAGAGTGGTGGTGGACTCCAAATACACTCAGTTCAACAAGGAACATTCTCGCAGCTATACCTACATCAACCAACTGTACAGTTTGAAGAAGTTTTTCCAGAGTAAACGGAAACAGACAATCAAGACCTTATATGTATTGAGTCTACCGGACCTGCTGTGGCTTGGAGATCCACAGATGAAGGGCTTGCAGTGTGAATTCTTCCAAAGTCTTACCAATCTCCATGAATTGGTATGGCTAGCCAACTTCTTCGATACCGAGTACTTGGTCCATTTACCTAGCCATGATTTATTGACCAGACTCGAGCTAAACGTCTCTAGATGTCATCTAGATGATCGTAGATATTCGTTTTGGTTCCCCAATTTGGAGATCTTGAGCATTCGGCCCTTTGCAAGTAAAGAGACGTTAACAAGTTTCATTCGAGGGTTGCTAGCGCCAGAAAAGTCTGCCACGGCAGGCAGAAGTCTTCAGAGTTTGAAGTTGGCACAATTCGCCGACGACCCGGCCGTTTTGCTACCTCCAGCACGCTATTTGTCCAATCCTCAAGAGTATTTGGAGGCCACCACCCATACCAGACAAGACAGAACCAAATTCGGTGGCGGAATCCCTGAAGTAATCCTTGGGAAAGGAGGGCTAAGTGTGTTGAATGTGTTGACAGCACTTTCCTTAGACAATATCTTGGTATGTGAAGAAGATGCCCATCGTATAGCGAAAGGTGTGATTCTTCCCCAGCTTCGCCAATTGGAGATGAAGAATGTCTCGGAAGTGGGGGAATCGCAAGCACCAAAAGTAGGATTTTTGGGAATCTTGGGCCCCAAGGTGCCTGGACTACAGCATCTACGTCTAGACTTCCGAGAAGCGTCACCAGACACCGTTGGACCGTTTTTGAAATGCGTGAAAAACCTCAAGTCGCTAGATCTTGTGGTAAGAATGAATGATGTGAAAAAAACCTACGTGGATGTGGATAACATGTATGTGGACTATGGCGAAACCATTGGACGTTTGCAACAATTGGAACATCTCTGTGTTGAAGTGAGAGTGGAGATGGAGTTGCTAGATAAAACACAACCAACGCCGGTGTTGATGCTCGAGGCGTTCACGCAGTTAGCCAGCCTACGCACATTAAGACTCAACGGAAACGAGGGAGCTCATGCTGTGGAAACGTTTCTCGATCTCTTGCGAGCACTTCCTCAATTGACCATGCTTGATGTGTTTGGGAAATGGGCTGGAGGCCCACCTAATTTGGGGTTAGGCATGGTGCATCCAAATGTGTTTGACAGCTGGTTCAAAGTGCAGCACGTCGCTCTACTCTATTGGCGGGTCCAGAGTCTGCTCAAGTACATTCGCATCCGGGAGTGTGTTTTCGAAGTCCGAGACGGGGTTGCCAATCCACGGAACCATCTCGACCGGTGGTTCGACTCTCAAATCCGGCCGGGCTGGGGCGACGAGTTCACTGCCACTTGGTGATGGAAAGAGTTTAGGTCAGCAGCTGAAGCAGATTTTTCTTTCAGTTCCAGGTTGCAGAAGTATTAATTACTTAGCTCTACTTGCTAATAGACCAAATATTAGTGATAAATGAAAAACATAGGGCCACAGAATTCATTTTCATCAACTCGACAGCAAAGACACCATTTCTGTGATATTCTTGACCATCTCACACCAATGGGCGACAATTTTAAGCCATCTCAATTTCCGAAGACGGCATCATGTTGGTCCGCATATTTTTCCGGTCAGACTGCGTCTGGCTACAATAAATTAAGCTCGATTAAAATTTCTTCAATTCATCATACGTAAAACTCTATTAAATACCTCAGCGAAAATTGTTTAAAAATTGTTCACCAAATTAGTTGCTCTTGAAAGCAATACCGAAAAAGTTACCAAACAAAGTGGTCTGGTACTTTGGCTCGTTGACAGTAGCGTTCTTTCTAATCTCAGCCATGATGGAGGCTTCTTTCTCTTGAGCGGTCTGTTTGGTTTGCATTGTTGTAGTGGAGATATAAGTGTCTGAAGAATGTAATTACAGGTGGGAAATTGGAAACAATTTATACCCGAAAACACAGTGCTTGACTCATTATCACCTGGCCATTAGCGCCTCATCGGATTGATGGGCCATGGCCATTAAAAGTCCGAGACCTGTATTATACGGACAAATACACCCTCAGTATCCGGAAACGCCAACAGTGGAAGCAGGACAATTTCGGGCTTTTCGCGCGTTCTTTCTCTGTGATTGTCTATATTCCGTACAGCCGCCGTTTACCTGCCAACTCCTTACCCAATCGAGAAGGTGGGGTTATTAGTTTGTCCGACAGTCGCCCAGATGGACTTTGGTGAGCCCATAAATGCCGAAATGCTCAGGAGATAGAAACTCCCCGCCTATGGCCCCTCCCTGGATTTTGAAATGTTTATCTAAAACCCGGCACTAGTGATCATAAAGCCGGCCTCGGGTTAGAGGAATGACAGATATGACACCTTGGTTATTCCGAAACTCGGTCTAACGGAGGAGATTGGAGATAGGATAATTTTGTGTTCGCCATAGTCACGTGACCGACATCCAAAAGGAAAAAAATATTGATATGGGCGATGGAAGAGTTCGAATGGTCACATGTCCAAAGTGGTCACGAGATTTTGCATCACATGAACAGTGGTGGCTTTTCCAAATTTCTTCCTCCTACTAAATATAGGAGCAAAATACCTCGAAGCTAAAAAAAGCACTAGTTGCCGCAAATAAACGACAAATTACGAAATACAGGAATTCCCTAGTGGTCACCCAGATAACGAACATAAATGGCGGTGTAAACGATTTTCCTATCGTCTCAAGTTCCTAGCACAGCCACAAGATGACTAAAGCAGTGGTTGATCATGACCGCAGGCATTACTGCATAAAAGCAGGAGTTGGAGGCAGTTTCCTGCTTCCACGCATGAGGACCGAGGGAACCAAAACAACCAAAAAATTAAACATCTAAACAGTCCACTAGATTTTCACCTTGAGACAAAATTCCTTATCGACTCCCTCGTTGTCAATCCATTGTTCTAGAACAGTGACTTGTAGAAGCCGTCTAGACGCTAAACGACTTGAAACAAATGACGTCGTCAATGAGTTCAGTAGTCTCGCAGGCAAGACACTTGCACAGCAACTAAACAAGCATAGTTAGTCAGTTTAGTAGGGACGATAAATTCCTCTAGGTACATCACTAATGACATCAACATGTAGGTGTGAATACCTCAGAGGGTTAGGAAAATAGGCTTTGCATGAGGGCATCAACCATGCAGATCGGGGAGCGGAGTTCAAGTGCATGGAAGAGCATAAAAAAACGTTTTCTACTTCACTCTGCATTAGACGCAAAAGCACCATAACTTACCCGCTCTGTGCAAGTCCGCGGTCCCCAATAGGCAAATCTGCAAGAGAAGGGTTTTGAAATTTTGGAACTTCGGCCTATACAGACCATACGGCGTTTGAAGTGGCGGAGTGTGTGGAGATTGCAAAATGCTACTTCTGTGGTTGGAATGATATAGAGGTTTGCTGGGTCATCAATACTAGTTTTCATGGCGTTGCTAGTGGCATTTGTGGATATGGCGAAACCGAGGTTGAAAAATTTTGTAAACTTCATGCCGGTGCATTTAGGTGCGTTCCTCTGTGGAGTTACGCCATGGAGAACTATGGGCCCTGCAACATGAAAAGAAAATAATGCAATGGAAACCGAATTTCACCGCATGGAAGTTCCGCGGAGTAGAACCAACGGACTTGTTTTGCAGTGATGGACAATGTTATAATGTAGCATCTGCTTATCCAACATTTCACAATTAGTTGGATGCATGCATTATTGTAGTAAGCTCTCCGCGATGGTCGGACGCATACTTTACATTGTTCTGTTGGAATCTCACTGCCGTTTCATCCTCCCACCGTAGTATACCGCCAGTGCTCATTGCATTGCCTACAATGGTGGCATGTCCAAGCAGAGAGTCTGTGACAGCCAGTGTGAGAGCAAATCACTTTCACTCAACCGATACCTCCGAGATCATTTCTTTACGAAATAGGATCGCTCGCTTCTAAAGTTAGGTGTGGGTAGAGGTAAATCTCGGAACTATAAATCGCCGTGCGGGGCACGAGTTGAAGGTGGGAAATCAACCAATAAGAGAGCACACAAGCATTTGATGATGATGTTACGTCAATAAATTCGAGATCAACCAGAGAACAATGCAACAACACGGCATTGTAGAGATGGACTGGGCCCATTGTTGTCACAATGTAGCTACCTATGTCGAAAGAATGGACTCTTTTCAGTCAATAAAACTTATCTTATCGGAGTTTTAATCTTGGTGCTTGCATCTGACTTCTTCAAGATATAAGATAGGTTGCCAGGATGATTTGGTGATTTGCCAGGATGATTAAAGGGCCAACCTCTGTGGGTGTATGTAATTCGGCCACACCAAATCCTTCAATACCCCCGGACTTTGTCAGATAAGCAAGTACACGCGTGCCCAGAAACTTTATCAATAGTTACCTATTGGAAGCAAATCACGGGAGCTTCCAGAAACCCAGAAATCGCATCGCCGTTAACCCGTCAAACCCGTATGGCATTTGGCTAGCCATCTGTAGGATAGGCGCAGCGGCCGCATGACATGCTTCACTTGCGCTAGTTGCGGGGCGCACTTCGCGGATGACGACAACATGCTTTGCGGGTTAATAGTTACGACACTCACAATTTACGACTTTACGGGTCTACTGCCGTTGAAAGATAAGGACAGGTGCTTTCAACAACACCACTTCGGAACAGCCGCTCAACTGATGGCCCTGTGGCGCTCCCCACTCCTCGCAAAACAATGAGGTCAAATGGCACATTGTTTCGCACTTTTGGCGGAATTTGCGGCGACGACAATAATTGGAGCCATTCAAAAGAAAGCCACAAAAGACACAAGACAGAGGCGGAGAAAGGCAGAGAGACAGACAGGATTCTTGATACAATGTGCAATGCAAAATTGGGGGAGGGGAGGGGGATTTAATTGAATGGATTTCAGGTGGATGAATGGACGGGATACCCTGATCATGCGGCGAATTTTGCCGATGCGTGGTGGTCGTCAGTATGATCTAAGGAATGTTTGGGTAGCTGCATGAGGCTAACGTATGCAGCATGTGCTGTTTGTTATCGAAACGGCGTTCTGATGAAGATAAGTTGGCATTTGCTTCTATATTTGGGTAGTTGCTATTTGATGTCGGACAAATGATGCGTGGAAGAGATGCTAGTGAGCTATCATGAATGATGAGAGGGTGGGGAATGAGCAATTAGTAGTCGAATGGATGTATATTGAAGGTTAGGTCAATAAGGCGGGTAGCGAAATTCGGGTACCACGAGAGAAATTAGGTGGAGGGTAGGCGGAATTATTATGGGCTAATTAGTGTTAAGCACGCTAGTCGTTAGACTGTCCTAATGAGCCATTACTAAGTCTGCAGAGATAAGCCAAGCAATGCTTTGAATGGCGCCCCACAGGGTCTGGAATGCTAGCTTGCATGTGACAATAGCGGCAGTTCCGCGGCCTGCGTAAAACCCACGCGTATATGCTTCTTAGTTATGCATGACACCAGCATTCTATTGCAGGTGAGAGAGTTTCCATAGTCGTAACTGCCCACATACCGGGGAAGCTACCGGAGGAGTGTGTTTTAGTGCAGACATTTCTTTTTTGCGCTTAAAGACTCCAGCAACAACCTTCCCAAACGGGTAAATCGAAGCTTCCCCGTTCTTTAACATGCGAAGCCGTTAGATGGTAATGTGATTGCAAGGTATGGAAGCATAGCCCACACATACCCAGTCGATCATTGTGTGGTCACGCCAGTCGGTTTGACTCGCGAAGGCGAGGTTAGGTTGGTGGTGCTGTATGTAGATGCATTAGTCAAGGTGATGATGTGATCCACGGAGATCGCGCCGTCACATACTATAATAGGCAATAAGCTTGTACTCTATAACTCGTTCGGCATATAAGCACAGCCACCATGATCAAGGCATCGTACTGACCATCGAACCAACGCATTTTACGTTACTGCCGCCGAATTCTCCATGCAAGTGAACGTTGCGAAACATTCCAAACGTGCTTTTTCCACCTCTCCATGAAAATTTGTGATAGAGATTTCGCTGAACCTTGTCACCTAACTCACACAAATGCCATTTACCACACTTTTTGTTTGAATCATCTCAACGATGGCGCCTGTATATGCTCCTGGGCTAAAAAGATTGGCTGCACTGGAGGATATTTTTTGTGTTGTTCCGCCAGTTGCGGGAAGATTTCTTGGCGCTTCTATGCATTGCATTGTGCAAGCCCTTATACGCACCCTAGAGATGCCCAAACTTAAGTTATTTTTGTGTCTCAGGTTGCATGCTTGACGTGATCTCCTAAGCACCAATTAGTCTTCTTTCGGGCACTGCTCGAAGTGGGCCTTGCATTCACAACCGCTACATCATGCATCGAAATCTATATATTTGCCGGTGTTCCCTCGCATGCTTCCAACCTTCTATTTTTCATCCTCCTTCTCTTAGCTAGTACTTGACAAGACACCTTCTCAGTCTCATCGTCTCGTTCACGCTACTTCTCCTCACTCATCAGCGTTTCCTTTTGGCATCATCAGCCACTCATCTTTCCTTCCACAGTCGCCGTGTTGATTTCCCCAACTCGTTTCCACCTTCCTCGCTTGGACCTCATGGCTTCTCCAGATACAGATGCGTGTGGCTCCAGTCCCAAGGTGTCAATCCCGCTGATTCTCAACGCCGAATCCACTCAACGGAAAGCCCTGCCTCCCAGACTTCCCCCTCCATCGCTTCTCTCCAGACATGACTTTGCTTTCGACAGAGATCACAAGCCCTTTACTGCTGCTCGGGCCCCACTACCCTCTACATCGCCTCAACAGGCTTCACATTTTGTGTCACCTGCTCCTCACCCCCAGCTCTTGCAACTGTTGCACCAGCATCGCCAGATGCCCATGTACTTGAATCATCACGAGTCGGCATACCACCTCCAGCATCCACATCACCAGCAGCAGCCGCAGCTGCCTATGCACCAAATCCCCCCACACCAGCATCACCATCCCGCACAGTCAATGGGGTTGCCAATGGGAGGTATGGGCGTACAGACGATGCTGACGCCTTACCCAATGATGCACATGGCCAACTATGGCTACAATCCATACCCTACACCAGCTAGCCAGGTTGTTGTGTCGCCAAGCCACCAACTACAGCCACAGAACAAACATCGCCGGTTCCGTCGTCGCTACTACCAGATCCATCGCAAGTACAACTGTACCTTTGCTGGATGCACCAAGAGCTACGGGCTGTTGAATCATTTGAACACTCACATCGTCACGAAAAAGCACGGTCTGCGCAAGTCCAAGTCTGATTTCAAGCATGCTGAGAAGGACGATGAGTCCAAGGATGACGACAATGACGCTTCGTCTTCTACAAACTCAACCACTACGCCGTCTACAGAAATTACCAACGCTGACATTGAAATGAAAACCGAAGGTGACATTGCCATTAGTGGTATTACTCATGGCACCAATGCTGCATCTGACATGTCCCACACCGTGAATGCAGTGGCAGGCACCGTGGCACCAGACACGCATGAGGTTGTCACGAAGAAGTATGCGTCAGAAAGCCTGACGGACATGGTGACAGACATCTCGGGTGCCACAAACACCAGCACGCATAATGAAACCAAGATTGTGCTTCCACCTCCCAAATGGACCAGTGGCTCGGCAGCGTTGACGTTGCCATCTATCTCTGCCAGTCCTAATGATGGTCCCATCAAGTTGCCTTCGCTCCCCTCTGTGGTGGGTCGCAGAAGTCCGCTGCCATAATTTGTGCAATGCAGAGACCATCTGCAACCACCTACGATAACGCCCCTATATAGAACATGACTAATAATCACGAATCATCGTTAAACGAGATTAAACATGTAATGCGATGAGATCAAAACATGGTTATCGCACCACCAATTTTTCAGGTTTTTAAATTTTCCTTATTTTCTACTTAGTGCAAGTGAATTTTCTCATGCTAAAGATAACCCCAAGACAACAATCGCATGGGGAATGGAAAGGTGGAATTGGATCCAACCCAAAAATTACTAAACACACGTACTAATGACGCATCCAAAACGGCTCATCTTCTTGCCTGACGTACCTGTGCGGAGGTGCAGCCGCCCTGCAAATTGGCACGGCATTTTGTGCGAGTTTATCGTAGAGTAAAAGACGCAAACCGCGGGCCATGGTTGATAAGACGGAGCCACTGTAAACGGAGAAGGCCGATCAGGTGGAAAAAGAAAAATGCCAGAATAGTAGAATGGCAGAATTTCAGGATTCCAGAATTGTCGCATTGGACTATCCCAAGAAAATTTGATCGACAACGGCATCTTGATGCAAAGAACCTTTCTTACGATGACCTCGGTGCGATGCACCCTTTTTTCTTGCTTGCAAGGGGAAGATGCAAAGCTCGCGGAGTATTTTGATATTTTTGCGCTAACGCAACCCAATGTGCGTTCCACGACACGACCATGCCTGCTGATGCGAGTGAGCTATGACCCCACATACGACCTGTAATGCGCGGCGGAGCCAATAAAAGCGTTTCACATGGATTCGGCTTGCGTTGGTGCATGGAAATCCACTAGCCGCCAGGTGGGGATTACCGGATAGGGCAGCCCCGATGGGATGTCCGCGATTTTTGTTTGTTAGGCGATGATGCGAAAACACCCGTACACTTATTATTGAAGAATAGAAAGCATCCATACATCCTTGATTTGGATCAGATGCCACAAATTTAGTCACGTGTAGTGCAATCACGTGCGGAACATTATCAACAGAATCGCACCTGTACATCCTCAAACACCATAATCCTCTCTACTGAACCATAATTCAAGATATGGCTGAAGTTGCACAAGAAGCAGATCCTGAACCGCAGGAGCCGGTGGTTGCAATTGAGGAGCCCGAAGAAAAGGAACAGACGCCGGATTTGGCGCCGGAAACGCCAACCCCAGAGCCTGCTGCGCCAGAACCGGTGAAGAAGCCAAAGAGGTTGACTTTACAGGAAAGATTGGCACTCGCGGCCAAAGCAAAGAAAAAGGCACTGGTAACACCAGTTGAATCGCGGGCGGAGTCCCCAATTGAGCCTGAAGTGGCCAAATTTAGTGAGAAAACCGAGACGCAAACGCAAGAAGTTGTCGAAAGGACAGAACCTCCTCCTCACAATGAATCAGTCGCAGAACTCCAGGCTGAATTGGCGCAAGTGAAGAGCAAGTTGGTTCAGGCGACAGATGAGAACCGAATGCTTCGAGAAAAGGTCACTAGCAGTGCTAATACGGCTGAAATGGACAAGAAACTTGCTGAAAAAGACGAGACAATCAAACAGCTCATGGAGGAGGGACAGACGCTCTCAAAGAGAGAACTCAAGCTCAACGAGAGGATTAGAACCCTTGTTCAGAACAACAGCAAGCTTGAGACTTCGCTTAAGTCCTATTCAGAGAAGAATGAGGAAACGTTGCTCAAGTTGAGTGAGATTGAAGATGTAATGAAGACACATAAAATCAAGTCGGTCGACCAGCTCTTTGAGCTTCTAAACAATTCCAATGCGCAAGTGCAAGAATTACAGCATTCCCTCGACAAGGAAAAAGAATCCAATTGGGAAGCAAAATACAAGGAGCTGCAGAAGATGTACGAGACCGAGCTCAATGATAAGAAAAGTTACATCAAACAGCTCAACGACAGCGCCTTGGAGCTCCAAATGCTCAAACAGCAGGTCAAGCTAGATGTGCAATCAAAAGAAGAGTTGATTTCGCAACTCAATAGAGAAATCGTCGAGCTTCGAGACGAAAACAGTGCCGAAGTCACCAGACTCGAGTCTAAGATCGAAGGACTTCGTATGGAGAATGAGAGTTTCCTCAAAATGTCCCAAAACGGTGTGGACGCTGGCGATGACAACGCAGAGGCCCATAAACAGATTGAATACCTGGAATTCGCCAAACTTTCCGAGACTCATCGTAACTTGCAAGCACAGTATGTGTCGTCGCAAGAGAACTGGAAGCTTATTGAGTCCAACTTGCTCAATAAAGTTGATGGGTTGACCTCATCGTTGGAGTCACTCAAAAAGTCCAAGCTCAAGAGTGCCAACGAGGTGAAGAAATTGAACTCGCAAGTATCTGCGCTGGCAGAACAGATTTCGAAGTTCAAGCAGGAGGTGGCTGTGCTCCGCAACGAGAACAAGGAGCTTGTATTCCAGATCCAGGTAAAGGTCAACGAGTATACCGAGTTGGAAGAGAAACTCGAAGAACTCAAGACAGTGTTCAATTCTGACAGACAAAACTACGACATTAAGATCAATGCATTGAACGAAAGCATCCGCAAGTACGAGGGTCAGAGCCAGGTTTACAACTCGTCGACTTCCTCGGACAATGTCTCGTCCCTTCAATCCAGAAGACTTCGCGATAGTGGGCTCCACATCAATTTGGAAGCTCGCTCGTTTAGAAATTACTCTTCGCAATCCATGAACTCGCTAGGTACGCCTATCCAACAGTGGGAAGAGGCCAATGCGTCTGCGCCATTCACGCCATACGGAATTGACCAACACCAATACTCTAGCTCTTCACTCACTGAGGAACTCCATCCATTTGATGCACCTGACTCTGCTGCAGAGACCTCGTTTAACTTTAAAAGCGAGACTCCTACACTTCCAAGCTCTGGTGCAACAAAGAATGTTCAGCTCATCAACAAAATGAGTTCCAGTATCCGCAGACTCGAGTTGGAACTTCTCAGCTTGAAAGAGGAGAACGAGCAGATCACAGCGGAGAAGGACACCGCACAACAAGAGGTTATGGGCAAGTATGACTTAGAAAAGCAAGTATCCAAGCTTGAAGAGACCATTTCACAGTTGCAGAAGGAAGTGGCCGAGCGGTCGAAGAAGGAGGAGACGCTCTTGGAGGTTATCGGTGAGAAGTCGGAGAAAGTTGCGGAATTACAAGCTGACGTGGTTGATTTAAAGGATCTTTGTCGGCAGCAAGTGCAGCAGATGATCGAGATGGTTGGAAAGTAGCCAAAAAGACCCAATTACACCTCAAGTGAGAGTTATCACTGGTTTCAACTCTGTTATTTGCTACGACCTTGCTAAAATGTGATGGTATGCTCCTTTAATGCTCCTTTAATGCTCCTTTAGGAATCCAACATAATCAAATTCTTGATCTATGAAGTGCGGGATTTGAGAATGTGAGCAGAAATGCTTAAAAATTGTGAGATGTGAAATTTACAGCTGATTCTAGGGGGACGATCAAGAGCTTGAGAATCTCGGCTACAATGATTTTTCAATATTGTTGATTCATTCAAATGTTGAGATCTCGTACATGGTTCAGATCAACACCAGATGATTCATGGAAGAATCTTCGACTGAATGAAATGCCAATTTTGGATATAATCGTCTATTTGCAATCAACTGCAAGAGAATCAATTGACCACTACTGAATGAATCAACTACACCTGGTGGATCGAAGGTGACCTCAGCAACTCCATGTACGTTCCATGAATCCAATTCAACCGTCTAGATCGTAACCCACTGGACATTGAATACAGCCTTCAAAATCCCATCAAATCTTGTAAATCACAATGAGCCTACTTATCCAATTTCACCCTAAGAATGACTTCATATCTCCTATAAAAGTTCCAACCCCACCCTGTACAAGGTAGCCCTGATTCTTTGCCTTCATGGTGGGGTCTGCGAATCTGGTCATGTGGCCCGGGGCAAAAACCCGTACACCTTCACCAACCCTAGTTAAAATCGCAACCATTGCCTCATAATGTTAGCCCCACAGAGTCCAACAATGTCCGAAGATCCCAAACCAGGAGATTCGAACAGTAGACTCGCAGTACCTATCCCAATCAGGAAACACAACGCAGCCGTAACAAACTCTCACAATGTCCGAATTAGCTCGCCATTAGCTTCGACTGGCTTTGCTTCCTTTACTCCGAATACCTCCATGAACATCCACCAGCACCGAAGACCGTCTTACTCATCAATTGAGACATCTAGAGAGTCACACTACAATTTAGATTACCCGCGTGATGCGGCAGTACTCTCTCGATTGCAGTTGGACCCCAAATCACGGTTCTACGCCCGAGACAGACCCAGAACGTTGGATTTGCCTGGATTGTTACCGTATGAGACAGAAAACCCTCAGGACAGGGCCAAGTTCTTGTCGCATATAGTGGCGCACTTGTATATTGCTGTTAAAAGTCTTGACCTACAAGGCTCGTTGTCCATCACTGCAAAAGACCTTGCCTCGTTGAAAGATGTGGCGGGACTTTCCGACATTGATTTGGCGCTCGAAACCAACTTGTTCGAGATGAATACAGCCAAGGAGACCATGGATGATGACGATCAGACCGATTACTTTCCACATGAGGACCTAGACGTCGAGGACGATGACGAAGGCGATGACGAAGGCGATGACGACGATGATGAACAAGACGACGATTCCGAGGGCGAGGAGGATGGAGGATATGTCCAGGATGATGGCCATGAAGATTTTGAGTCGGGAGAGTCGACTGTTCAGCATAAAAAGTCGCCAAAGTCTGCTGCGGTGGTAAGCGTGAGAATATGGACCCAAGAGCTTCTTGTATGGCTCAAAATGAAGTATGATATGCCCTTGACATTGCGAATGTCACTTGCACGGGTATACTTTGCTATCTGCTGCTGCAGGGGCCAGCAATTGAACTTGCGAATCTATGTCAAGGCTTTTGAGCTTTTGACCAAAAACGTACATCTTCTAACACTGAATGGCTTTACGCTTCCCTGGAATCCCATCTATTTGGAGCTCACTTGCCACTTCTCTTCAGTGGACTCTACCTTTGAACCAGTGGAGAAGATGGACTTGAACATTTTGCTTCGATTGGCAGAGAGAGCGTCCAACTTTTTCCCTGCCGAGGGATTGCCAGTAATATTCCGTCATTTGAGTTCTCGCTTCTCCATAGTCAATGCCTCATTGGTCTTGTCCTCATTGTCAATGCTCCCTTTGACTTTTAACGCAGACTACGGATTTGGACACTCGGATGATACCCTCGACGTTCGTCACTATATTCCTTCTCTTTTCTACATGTGGAATAAACTCAGCAGGAGCGCAGGTATTGAATCTCATCTCACAGGCCACTTGGGCTCGATTTCCATGATGTTCTTGACGTATCTTTCAAAGAATCCACTGGCCAAGGAGTCTTTCGGAAAGTTTGGTGTGTTTTCCGAAGAGCGCTTTAAATACCTCATCAACACGCTCTTGAACAGCTTGAGTATTAACATCGAGAAGTTCGCTTCCATGAAAACAAAGTTTTTCCATGGCTTCTCCAGCGCTATCGTTTTCTCCATCAACGGAAACCAGAGTTTGCTCAAGGACGGTATTTTGGACCACCTTGATACCATCCTCAATGCCATTAAAAGTTATGTTCATCCTTCCAACAGCGGAGAATGGTCCAGGCCTATATCAAAATTTGTTCTCAGCGCAACTTATCAATTCCATAAAAGATACAATATGGAGAGAGAACCCACTGGTGTTTTGCATCAATTGGACGAGGAGCACAAAATTTCAGATGAGGTTCGTGACAGATTTGTCGAGTCTATGTTACCTGTGGTGAGAACTGGTCTTCAATCGAAGAGAAGTAGTGCTGGTGAGGATTACATCGCAAGTTTGGGCTTGTTAGCATACCTCAATTCCAATTTGACTTTGGGTTATATTTTACTAGACATTTATGAGTCCTTGGAAGGTGTCATATCAACACATAGAGTGGTGACTGCATTGAGGTGTATTGAGGAGTTGGCTCGTTACTTTGCGTCTACACCAGGCTTTAGAGTCCATCTTGTCCGCATTCTTACGATGGCACTTCCAGGAATTGACTCAAATGACTTGAGCAAAACCATGCACACATTGAACGCATTTTCAGCGGTGGCAAATTTCGTTCCAATAGCTGACTTGACGAATGGTGAATTGGATGCTGGACTCGCAATGGAATTCACAAATATGCAGTTGGAGCAGCTCGAGTCTCAGATTTTCAGTGGACCATCAGTGTCCCAGAGTGTATGGTCAATTGATCAAGAACTTGAAGTTCGTGCATTGAAGTCATCCACCTCGGCTTTCAAATTGCTTATGAAATCTTTTGCAGAGAGAATATTCACACTTCTAGAAAACATCCCTGATCCATCAAAGAGTAACGGCATTGAAAAAGATCTCTGTGATGTTCTTCCTAAGTTCGTTTACCTCATTATTGAGGCCATGTCAGATGATATTTTCAAGTCATTTCGAGATGAGGTTACCAACTTTATTTTAGATCATACTATTCACGCGATTGCAGATGTCATCGCAGAAATTTGTGGTGGTTTGATCAGAAGAGATCCACCATTCTTTAAAAGATTCGGACCACTTCTCATTGACAGAATTAAAGAAGATGTGTTGGAAAATGGAGCAGGACAGGCAAGAACGGGAATTGATATTGTTCCACGCGACCAAAATATGTTTTGGAATCTCGTAATTCTCAATGAGTGTATTGGAAATGCTGGATCTGTTATTGTTGATATGGGAGAAGAATTGAACGATCTTTCTTTCTTCCTCATGGACAATGTGAAGGGCCCTACCGTCTTTGCAAGTACTTACTTGCTAAATCAAATGCTTCAAGGTACGACGAAAATTAGACTAGCAGAAACTAGGCTCATTAGTCCACAGTTTACAGAAAAGCATGAAGTGGATGAGAAATGTTGGGGTGGTTTCCAATTCGACGAGTATAGATTTTCACAAGAGAATCTTACTTTCCAATGGTTTATTCCAACCGACCGTGAGATTGAGTTTGCAGTTGCAACCTTCAAACATCATACATCGAAAGCATTATCAAACATTCTGAATGTGATGAAGAAAATTTCAGGTTCAAAAGACAACATTTCACTTGAACTCTCAGATGAACTCAGAGTGAACTTTTTGTACTTGGCTTATGGTATGAGTGGAATATCATACTTGTTCGATCCCTCATTTGATGAGGATATTCCAAAGTTGAGCGACCACAAGTTTGAGTCTATTCAGCACCGCCTTCTTCTTCTTGCTCAAATTCGGGATATGAAGTCTTCCAAGTTTGCCGACAAGGATTATGGTGAAACGGACAACATTTACGAGAATCTTCAGCAAATTGCGGATAATATTGAAAGCAATGATGCAATTGATTTCAATGTTGATTCAGAGAAGATTGACCGTGAAGAAGGTTTTGAATATCTAAGCAAGAAGAATGAATCGATGGAAAGCTTAGATGATAGTGATGGATCGAAGTACAAGCGCACCGAAATGAATTCCTTAAGCAAGTCAGAGTCACCAACTATGGATGAATCTGACAGGGCAACGCCATGTTTAGCAGGTGTTGAGATGTCAACAATGAACCCTGCCATTACATTCAGAGAAAGAAAGCTTTACACCAGCAGATACTTTTTTGGAGACGACATTGAGGGTCGTAGATCGAACGAGCTTTATCTTCAGATTCACAGAACCAGGCACTTAATTGGTAAAAGTTTGCACATCATTTCCAAATTTATGATGGTTCATTTGAGTGACAATACCAAGCTATTCAAGCATCTACTTTACATTCTTAACATATGGTTTGCTGATGTCGGTCGTGAAAGAATTTTGGACCAGACACACGCAAAGATTTCGTCCAGTTATGTGAATGAGATCCAACAAATTAACCGAGTGAGAAAGCCTTTTACAAGAGTTCTGTTGGGATGCAGAATCGAATCCTACCACCTGTTAAGAGTTGCTCTTCATGCAACCTCAAGGAATATGACAGACTTAGATAAATTCCTAATTGAGGACTTAGTGAAGTTATCTTGCTCGAATTACACTGCCATTGCGGATCCAGCACAAAGTACATTGATCGATGCTATGAAGAGAGTGAATGGTTCGTACTACGTAATTGTGAGAACTGCATTCCGTCTGATATCTAAGGCAATTCAAGAAAACAATCATAAAAACATTGAAAGTGGTTTAAGCATTTTTGATTTGAAAAAAGTGAAAGTGAAGATGCAAAACGATTATCTCAACATTCAGAAGTTTGTTGAGATCCTCCATAAGTGTCTTAATGTTGACAACAAAGACGTTAATGAACTTGCACAGGATCTTTTCAAGAACTTGATTGGGACTATTAGCGCTCCCAGCAAGAACTGTTTGATTGACCATGCTTTGGTCGATTCGATTAGACCTCCAGATGAATTTATTGACTTGGAGATAAAGGCAGTGTCTCTTGCGAAAGAGAAGAAACGGAAGATTTACCTCGACAAACTTGACAAGTTAGAAGATTCTGTGGTCGTTATTGAAAAGCATAACACTCACTGGAAGACAACAACTCTCAACATTAAATTCTTGGTTGATTTGCAAACGGATTATAATAGACCATGCAGCAATGATGTTTTCCAATTATTGACCAAATCTGCGTCCTTTGACCACCCACTTGTCTCTAGACTTGCAATCAAAGGAATCACAAAGATATTGAAAAAGTTCTACGTCTTAAGTGCCTATGAATATGACCTTTCCAAGATTTTGGACTTGGAATACGTTGTCAAGGATCTTAAGGTTATCGATACAGAACCTCATGGTGGAGAGTCGTATTATCACACATGGAGAAAGGAACTCAAGAATGTTGATCACCCGAATTATTTCATTGACCACAGGGTCGAATCTGGATGGCTCTTCTGGGACAAAACCATGAGAGCAGTGACAAGTGAACCGTGCTTCAAACTCACATTGAATGAAAGGGACGAGTCAATTGTAAGAGGGTTTTCCAAGTGTGTAAATAAAGAATGGTTGAAAAACATCGTTAACTTGTGGATTGCAGACAATGAAGCAAATTCAGCCTTCCAAGGTACTGATGTCTACATGATCGAATCGCTCGTATTATTGTTATCCAATGGGTGGATAGAAAACATGCTGTTCCAGGATTTATTAGATATCATTGGCGATGTCTACGAGAGAACTGAGAAAAGTACTCATATTGTCTCTTGTGAAATGATTGCGGGTATTCTTATGGGAGCTAAGGTTTTCAACACGGAGATGGTGGACACCAGAGACGAGTTTCTTTGCAAATTTTTGAAGAATTTGTTAGAGAACGATTTGACCCCGGAGACTAAAAACGTATGGACCATCTTCTCGTGGTGGATCCCTTCAGATGTTGATATCAGAAGATTCCCCAAGGTGACTGATGTTCTCCTCAATGTTACGATTAATGAAGATTCTGATTCTGCTTTGAATGGAGCTACAAGAATCAGCTACATCAGATCACTTGTGGCCGCGATTCCTTGGTCTTTCCCGGATCCAGAATCTGTTTTGGATTTGTGTTTTTCAAACATTGCCAATAGATATCAGGCTATTCGTGAGCAGATTGGTGCATTACTTGCAATTACAACGTTTTCATTTTATGGAGACTCTTTCGCAACCTGCGACGAATTCGTTCATGCTAGTCACCATGAAGGCTTTCAGCTTTACAAAAGGAGCATGCATGCACTGTTGTTTGGGCGTCTTACAAAATTGTTCGAGACCGTAGAGCAATCAAGAAAGGAAGTTGAGCATTTGTCCGCTCAGGAAATTCTCAAGTCGAGGTACATTTACGCGGCAACTACTACATTATGCTGGTTGAAACAAGCTTTGAACACAAGTATATCCATTCAGTTTCAAGGACTTGTCGTCCCTCATATTGTACCTTACTTGCTAAACTTGGTCGCAATGAAGGATGTTTGCCAGTTGGGTGGCATTGATCCGCTCAAGGCATTCAAGAAGGTTTCCCAGATGCCTTATGATGCAGAAAATCTTGAAAATGTGGTTGCCATGCTTGAAAAATACAGCAAATCGAGTCTCAATGTCGTTCAATCATTTATTCTTGGTGAATTCACTGAAACTATCTACTTCAAAAATTTGTTTGCATTGACAACAGATCAGAAACTGAGAATTTTGAACCTAACAAGTTCTGCGCTATATCAGAAAAATTTGGAATTTAGAGAGGCTTCGGCCACTACATTTTCTGGCTTGATTCACACTTCACCTCCAGCAGATGTAGAGAGAATTGTGAACGAATACAAGAGCAAATTCTCTCGTGAGTTGGATCAGATCAGAAAGAAATACAGAAAAGTGGGTTTCAAAAACATGGCTCAAGAGGACATCATTATTTTGCATGGTGCTACTCTTGGTCTCGGAGCATTGGTTCATGCCTTCTCGTTCCTGTCACCTCCGCCAAAGTGGATTCCAGAGATCTTGACCATTTTGTCCAACAAAGCATCAGGCATACCTGGTATTGTTGGAAGGTCTGCCAAAGAGACACTTGGAAAGTTCAAGAAGACACGACAGGACACATGGCATATAGATAGCAAGGTCTTTAACGAGTCCCAGGCACATGATCTCGAAGGCGTCTTGTGGAAGAGCTACTTTATCTAATATCTTTGTCACTCGCTATTATTTAATTAATATACAAGAGGCGAATGTGTAACAAAAATAAAAAAAAAAAAATAAAAAATGCTAACTGGTAGATCAAGAAGTTTCGAAAACGTCAACAAATACCTGTCTTTCAGTCTCATTGAGATGATCAAAGACAAGGCTGTAAATGGCAGGGTTGCTCGTCCTCAACGACGTGCTGAAGTCCTTGAAAATATTGAACGGATCCACAGAGTCCAATGGAGTACTAGCCAACGGATCCTCAAACACAGGCTCGGTTTCTTCTGAGAAACCAAAACTGGACAATCTGGTATCTTCTTTCTCGAGGAAGTTTTGATAATTGGCGGTGTCAGGTGCACTGTGGTCGTCATCGTCGTCGTCGTCGTCGTAGTCTTCCGTCAATGCTGAATTGGGTAATTCGAAGTTCAGGTAGTCAGCTTCATTGAATTCGATACGCTGTTTCTCGAATTTACGGATAGCCTTAGGTAATTGATGGAACAACTTTGACAATTTGGAGCCAATTCCACTTGCCAAAGTAGGCAATTTTTCTAGAATGTCTCCGTGGCTCAAAAAGCTGATGAGGGTCAAAATAGACAACTTGATGTCATAGACCCTCTCCAATTGCGGAATGAGAGCATACCATTGAGCAATGAACGAGTCCAAGTGATTGTTTTCTTCCAACAATCTGACGGTGTTGGGACAGTCGTAAATTAAGCACGATCCAACATAATTGACCAGGGCTACTGTCAAGGAATTATTTCTGACATGCTGAGCATCCACCTGATTGGAAGCTAAAACTGGCAAGATCGTTTTAGAAAGCTCAGCGATATACGGAGGAGCATTCTGCTGCAACGAGAGAATTAATGTCTGTGCGAGCTCACATGCAAGTACGATGTCGTTGTAGTCGACGCTACCGTCCTCACCCTCAATCACGAGAGAGATGATCTTCATGAAGCGGATATTTAACTCGGGTGTCGAAGCCAAATCCTCGGTACCAAACACCATGTAGTTACGTAAGCATTGCGAGAGTTCCTCGGTGTACATCAAGGCGATACCATTGGAAAATGAGTCTGAGAGTTTAGTGAAGTGGCTCCACATCAACGGCGTGACCGATCTCAACAAGAAAATGGAGTTTTCAATTAACTCAGCGACGTCTGTCAAAAGATCGTCCAAGTCATTTTGCAACACAATTTCAATGGCTGGAGAGAAGGTCTCCTCCAACTTGATGCACACGTCTCTTGAATTTTCGAACGAAAGTAATACAGTGATCATAGTGTTTAATAGTCCCAGGGCCGCCATGACCTTGTCACCGTTATCGACAAAATCGCCATCAAAGTCGTCAATTTCCACATTGGCGGCTTCTGTGAGACCTTGTGCGAGTTTCATAAACTGCTCCACCAAGTTTTTCATCAACTCTACACCAAATGGTTGCAACTGCTCAGAAAAATTCTCCACGCATTCTTGCATAACGATCGAGACAGCATCGTTATCAATTTCACCCGAAAGCAGGAGAAGTTTGGACATGGTAGGTACAATGATGTTGGACAATACTTGCTTGAACTGACTATGGTGCATGTATGCTTGGATGGCGAGGGCGCCTTGAAGCAAAATCGGCAAACACGACGATGAATCGGATGTGAAAGGCAGGAGAATGCCCTGGTATAGCGTCGACAAGGTGTCCTGGTTTTCAAAAGACAAATCTGAGAATTTGGAGCACACATCTAAGGTTCTAGCAACCAAAAATTCATGCTGAGATGTAAAGTTGGGTAATACCAACTCGCTGAGAAACTTCTCCATTTGAGAGTAGTAAGGCGACTTCTCAGAGATCAAAAGGTGAGAGACTCCACCGATCAAACGCATGGCACCATCTCTCTTACGAGCAACCTCCAAGTCTTCTGGAACCTGCAGCAATGAAGACAATTGGGCGTATGCAAATGTGACTATAGGTTCCAAGGTTGTCTTTTTCCGTTTGGAAGCTAGCGTGACTAATAAGCCTAATGCTGCAATGTCAGGCTCCAGCTCGTCGAAGTTATCCATTTTCAGATTAATGTAGTCTGCTGGGTCGATGTCGAAGAGCTCCAAAGACTCTTCCGAAGGAATCATGAGAGGATAGATCAAATGGGAGACGATGTTCTCGGCGTAAGGCTGGAAAATGGCCCATGTTTCCTTCTGTGTGACACAGTGGCTCAAGAACTCCAACAAGTGGTAAAGAGTGGTTGATCCAAGCCACCTGGTTCCACTGCACCAATTCTCGATAAGAGACAAGTACACGGACATTAAATGGGGAACAAACTCGCTCACAAACACCGAGCGGAAGGTATCATATTTGAATTTGGCCGATAGGTCTCTCAGGGCGTATCTGCGGAACAAACGCTCGATGTTGGCCACTGACCATTTGTAACATTTCGCAATTTGAGTCTGTGTACGATCCAGCTCCAACATGGAGTCTGCAACCACATATGCTGGGGGAACCATCTTAGTAACGTTACAGTGGAACTGGCCCCATGCCACCAATGCCTCCTGGGTCTGCAAAACTGTCGGCAAGTCGTAGTATGTGACGAACTTGTAGGATTTCAAGATGAGTTTCAACATCTCGGCAGTGAGCTCGGTGATTTCCGAGGTCAAGATAGCATTACCGACATTAAGCAAATGTGGGAATACCTGCGTGATGAGAGGATCCAATTCGGTCAGTCTCTCGTTGTTAGTGACCCACCGATAATATCTGGCAATCTCGGAAAAACACAAGACTCCCGTGTACAACGCCAGCGTGTTATCCAGCTGCTGCAATAATTCGCCAGTCTGAACGATCAAAGCGGGCCATTTGCCATCATAATCAGAGCCGACAAGCACTCGAAGTACGGGAATCAACTGATGTCTGGTCTGGTGGTCAACCGTAGATAAGACAGGAACCAAGCGGTCTTTGATGACAGGTTTTTCGCCCTCATCAATTGAATCGCCACGAGTATTCCAATGACGCAACACTCTGTTCTTAAAGTACACAGCAGCGGCCTTCCGGATGTCTTGAGGAACTTCGGAAGCTGCCATGATATCTAAACAGGCTCCCAAAAAGCCTGGCTGCCTCGAAAGGTGGCGGAGTTGCAGTTCCGAGCTCTCCCTGACAGATGAATTGGCCAGGAGTGTTCCGGAGAAGCACAGAAGTGGCTTATTGGCGTCCATGTCAAAAGAAGATGGTTTATGATTGTTTGAAAATTTTAGCAATAGATACAGGAGAATTACAACCAGATGCGATAGGCATGGGGAGATTAAGGGGGATTAAGAGGGATTTATGTATAAGAAAACGAATGTTAATTTTTGGAATTTTACAAGTTTCTTTCTGGACAATGTGGTGGAGAAAATCGTCGATGATGGCGTAGATTGAGACAATGAGATAGTGAGAAAATCTCTAGAGTGTAAGTAAAAAAATGTTGCGAGATCCTGAGATGGATCATGAGACAGTACATAACGAACCATAAAACATTAGACATGATAATAGTAAAATGGAGAAACTGATACGGGAAATTTGAGAAATATGGGGACAGTTGAGAAGTGACTGATAAATTACATATGTGAAAACAAAATTATGTGAGTATGATAAGTGAGGGATAGCAGAGTGGTACAATGATAAAGTGGAGTGAATCTATTAGTGAACGCTATGGGCAATTTCAGCGGGCAAAAGAGTAATCACCGAAAGATTGGAAAACCACATTATGTTTTACTTTCCATGAACCTTCAACTATGCAGATATCAAGAGAACTTTTTATTTTCAACCCATAGCTGTCGTCAATTAGAGTAATCAACTCTTTCGTCAGAAATTCTGGTCTAGAGGCAGATTTTTAATAATTAAATAAAGAATTCAATCGTACATTGTTTTCTTTTGCTTTGGCTCTCAATTATAACATCAATCTCTTTATCAAACTGGCCATGCAAACAATTTATTTCAAATTGCTCCAACCTCTGGGTAATTGATATGCCTTTCAACCACTTTCCAATTTCAACGCTGATGGATAGACTTTCAACGGATGGAGGTGTGATAATTTGACCTTTGAAATTCTTCAAAACTAGTTTCTGCAAGTAAGGTAGTTTCCAGTCGAATTCAATGCATTTTCCATTAGTTATCTCAAGCTCTAGTAGAGTCACAGGGAGGTCAAGGTGGGAAAACTTGGATTTACATGACTTCGGAAATGTTAGCTTGAGACTTTCCAACGCAGATGGGAAGCATAATCTATGGTGCCCTCCCTTGACGGTTACTTCCAATTCTCTCAAGCCTTTAGGAAAGGAAGTTCGCCATAAGTCTTCAAAAGCACTATCAGCTTGAAGCACTTTAAGAGTAGAAGGAAAATCAAAACTCCTAAAATTTTTGATCTTCCCTTTAGATCGGGCCGAGATTTCAAGTACCTCCAATTCAGGAAATGTTACTTCAACTAAATTGATAAAACAATTACCATATGCATCTAATTCTCGAAACAGATTGGGAAAATCACAACGATAAAATGTTTTTGTCTCATTAAAATTCACATTAAGAACCCTTAGACGTTCTGGAAACTTCAAATTCTTCAATTCTAGGATCCTATTATGCTGCAACTTGAGCTCTATGAGAGACACAGGGAACTCGAAGCCTTCGAGGCTCTCAATGTCACAATCGGAAAGATCAAGAATTTCGACCGAATCTGGAAACTTTAGGGATGATAACTTGCTACCGATTTTGACATGCAAGATCATTCTTGTTAACATCGGAGGAATTCCAGTCACAAGCTTCTCAATATCAGGAACTGAGCAATTTTTTATCAGCAATTCCTTAAGCGTTTCGGAAACTCAATTCAGTTTGGAGGAAATTTTGAAATATACTCGAATGTTAATGTTTCTAGCCTTGGAGGGAACAAGCCCCATGCTCGATCCAGATATCTGCATTCTAGTCGTTTGAGGCCCTTTGGAAGAACTATGAGAGTCAAGTTTTTGTGATTAGCTATTTTCAAGCTAGTCAACGAAGTTGGCCATTTCTTTATCTTTCTCAAGATTGCAGAGGAACTAAAACTTAATTCCATTAGCTTCACATCTCCAGGGATAAGAGATGGCCCAAAAAATCTTGCGTGCCTCAAATGAAGATGCAAAAGTAGGATTCTGTTTGAAAAATGGGAGGAATTCGTCCTTATAATCTAAGTACATGGTACCGATGGAAGCATTAAGACTTGCTGCCTCCACTAATTGCTCCAACGAAATCACTCTCAATTCTTTATATTTTCTGGAAATTGCAAGTTATCTGAGCACCGAAGATTCTGGTAATCCTTCGTAAAAAGCTGTCAAAGCATTCTCAGACAAGAAGAGAAGAATATTGTCGACGACTTCTAAGGGGAGGCAATCAACAAGAATTTCGGACATTGTATCAGTTTTTGATTGGTACTACCTAATAACTTTCTCACATTCTATATATATATTCGTGGTATGGCAACATGACTCATAGTATTGGGCCACCTGTATCTTGATGAACCCCAATTAGCACAAGTGAGCCAAACTTCCTACCGAATTCTATTCTCTCTCAATTCATTTGTCAAACTTAATAGCACTTCAAACTTCTCTCGAAGTCCATAAGCCAATGAAACTCAATGCTAAGTTCTTTGCTCATCCATACCTTTGACATCTTTATCGTTTGCTTGAGAGCCTCACTAGTAGGACGTGAGAATTAAATACAGTGGCTGCGAGTTCAACATACAGTGGTCAGCTCAATAAGGTGTAGTCCTTATTCGAATTATAAGTTTGTCATAAGTACTAAAGACATCGCTCCAGCATCATCGACTGTTTTCTGTAACCTGAATCAAAAAATTGCACTATCCCAATGCTAAAGATCGAGATCTGTAGATTATATCTATTTGTCCGTTCTATTCTACACTACTAATTGCCCTACTGGTTACTTCACATCCATGCCTTAATTGTCTATATATGCTACTCCACAGTTACTCCACGGTTCCATTGATATCGGCACTCACACTGTCAAAGTCATCGTCGTTCTCTCCATTCATGTAAACGATCAGCTCTTCGATGTTGGTGGTATTGTTGAATGTGTCGTTGAATGTGTCATGTTCTGCCTCTTCAGCACTCTCCTCCTCCACTTCCTCCATGGTTTGGTTCCTAATTCTCTCTCGAAGCTCTGCCTGCGACTTCAACAATTGCAAGCGGCCCTGGAGAGCTAAAAGCTTTGGCATCATCTTCATTCCGTTATCAAGGCTGCTCTGCAAGTTCTTCAATTCGCTGGCTAACTCCTCCTGTTTGGAAATGTATCCTCCATGAGCTAGCAAAAGCCATTTAAGCCACATCGACAACGACGACTTTTTGCTCGTTTCGCTGGCCACCTTATGGCTGATGATCAGAAAGAGGTTCTTGACAAGGACTGAACACTCACTGGCCTGCGAAAAGAGACGAATAGTGTCCTTGATATTATCTTCGATGTCATTGCTGGAACACAACTTAATGACACTTTTCTTAGAGACAGTTTCCTCGAGCAATAAGTCAGACAACTCGGAGAAAAGCTCTGCTGGTGCAATGTTGTTGATGCTAGTTGATTCGGATGCAACAAATGTAATCTCGGGTGTGGAAATGTCCAGATCACAGGTTTTGGATTTATAGTCGATGGGAATGGAGTAATTACCCAGAAAGTGGATATCATCCGATAACTTCACAAACCGGGGTTGGTTTGCGTCGTACCACACACCAATTACGCCGTTCTGTGCAGCGAAGAATATGTTCTCAAAGAAAATAGTAGGTTGGTTCGTCTTGACAATGGCACACGATGTGATTCCATTGCTGACCTTGACGACCTCAGCACCATTGTCACCGAAAATTACTCCAGTGTCGTTCTTCAAAAATTCCACCCTCGTGATCGTACCACATTTGCTCTCAAAAGTGACTGGTTCATTCTCTGGTTTAGAAATATCATGCAAAATTAACGTGGAAGACAGCTCTCTGACAAGAGAGACCACAGATCCTGACACTGGCAGCATATATGCGAAGGGCAAAAGCGATGACTCGTCATTGCCTTCTTGTGCAAGCTCTCCGATAACCTGTTTCTTGGATTTGGTTCCATCTACCAAGTGCACCTTGGACGAAGCGACAAGCAATGCTGAAGCACCCAGTTTTTTTACAACAAAGTCTGTCTGCCAAATTTTACCAACTTCGGCATCGGTTTTACCTAACTTGAACAGTTTCACCAAGGTGTTACTACTAACATCAACCTCCGAAACTACCTGGGAATTTGAAAGGGCCCAGAAATGGCCAGAAGTGGTTGACCGCGTCAAGGAGACGCACGAGTCAATGCATGTGATGGTGTAGGCGGCGTCATCCTTGTTGGGCGAAAATACAAGTACAGTTCCGTTAGCCAAAGCGACCGCAAATAATGAGGTGGAAGTATGACCATTGATATGACCGTTGCCGTTGAGCGATCCGTTTGAAACGTGAGATTCGGCCTCACTGGCTCTTCTCTTACCCTTGCGGGGTGTTTCTGTGACGCTGGACTCACTGAACCAAGTGGAACAGACCACGTTCTGGTCAATATCTAGTTCGAATCTCTTGATGAGGTTCTCCACGACCAAAGGGCCTGGATGCTGTGCGATTGGATAGATCTGGACCTCGTTTCTGCCATTTTTCAGAATCACATTAGCAAGGTATGCGCCCGTGGCGTCCACCTGACTGTATGCTCCCGACATTTGTAGATGAGATGGGTTGATAGAAATTGAAAATATTCTCGCGATGGGTGTGAGTAGTGTGCAGGATACTAGGTAGGGATATGAACCATTTAAGAGAGTGCGGGTTAAAAGGAAACTTTAGGAAGATTTCAGGAGATAATCAAGCTTTTAGTGATCGATAATAATCTTCGATACCTTTTTTCCCGTGAAATTCGGCCCATATTCCCCATTTCAATCAACTCTTGAAATTGGTGATTTATATACAGGATGATAGTATCACTCACTAGTGCTCATACTTCTATATCAAGAATTCAGACAGTGGTCTATACAATTGCAGGTCGGTACAAGATTTAGAAGCCGAAAATTCTCACCGTGCATTATTTTTGACTTTTTTCACACTTTTTCGTCTGTGGATGCCAACTCTCACCGCCTTTAACTCCCAGGTTAGACTCAATTACAATGTCAGAAGAACTTTATATCCCCATTCCCCACTACCCGCCGTTCAAGCTTCGGTCGTCACTCATCGATAAAGATCCAGTCATCTGGGTACATCTTCTTGAAGGGTATTTGGACCTTTGCAAGCTTCTTCTCAGTGGAGACGTTGTGCTTAATGTAAAATCTGCTCAACAACTTCAGTTATTTATCAAGGTTTTCCTTTCAGAAACGGCACAGGAGACTACCCAGATCTTCTCGTTGGGTGCAATCAACCCAGATATCAAGAAAAATACCACGTTGCTCAGAGCATATGTTTTCCAGGTGATTAGATCGTACAGTGCAGTGAAGCTAGCACTCAACGGCGAATCTCTCTGGAATTTTGTATTGATCTACGTGGAACACAACGTATCAACTGTGCGTGGCCTCATTGATGGGTCTCTCAAGTCGCCGTTGAACGATAACAAGAAGTCTGGAAAGATTCTGCTGATTCCACTTCTTAGAAAGCACTTGGAGTCGCTTATTAGTCTGGGAAAGATGCCTGATGACCATTTAAAGTACTTTGCATCACTATTGGGCCAACACACCCTGACGCTGAAAGTTCAGAAGGTACTGGTAACGAGCTCGCACTCAAAAGTGCTTGCAAAAGACAAGTATAAAGGCAATGGGTCCAATTCTCTCCAGTTTGCTGAGGCTTTCGTGAACGAGGATTGGATCGAGATGTTGGAGCGATTGTATGCTGGTGGTAAGAGCATCTATGCCCAGACAGTCAAAAATTGGATGGTAGTCAGTGTTCTCTCCTTATCCACAGCCAAATTGGCCAAAGTGGTCTCAACATTGGGCATCAACAGCGCCGAGTCGATGATTTTGGCGCCGCTTCTTAGTGCTCTCATCTTATCGGATGCATACAAGCAGTTAAACCCAGGCCTAGAAGCCAGATTGCCATTTTTGAGTAACATTGCGTTTGCTGGAGCCGTCGAACCTGTCAACGAGGCAGACGTGGAGTTTTTGGTTGGAATGTTTCCCAGTTTGACTCCAACGAAGGCTGCTACCATCCTACGCATGAATGGATGCGATGCTGAGAAGGTTACCCACCTCCTTCTAGAAGATCCGCTGCTTATAAATACTATTCCCGAGGAACTGGAAACAAAGAAGGCTCCGAAGCCAATCAAGGCTTCAGAATTGGAAAGGGGAATCGAACGGTTCAAGCTTCGTGACAACGAAACTACGCAGTCCGTAAGCAAACAGCAACCGAAATCGAGTGAGACAGATATAAAGAACAAGACCTTATCTGCTGCATTGAGGCTTCTCTACGAAAGTGATGAAGACGAGAGAGATGACACGTATGATGACCAGGAACACACGTCTGGCATGGCATTCCTGGAGTATGACCGGAAACCCAAAAATAAGGATAAGGCTAGGGTTGCAGTTTTGGACGAAGATACAGAAGATGCACAAGATACAGAGTCTGCTTCTTCTCCTGCTCCACCTGAAGTTAGCAACATCGAACTTAATCTATTTGATGTTTTGAAAACAAACGGAGAAACAGCTTTCGAAAAAACTAGCAGAAAGCTGAAAGTTCGCCAGGATATGAAACTGGCAACAGAATGGACCGATGAACAGATCGAGGGATGGTACAGAATGATCAAAAAATCTCCCAGAAGATTTAGATTGCTTGAGGAGCAGTATGTGTTCCACTTCTCCAACCGGAAAACACTGGCTACGACTTCCAATGCTTCCAAGGCTTCGCAGACCCCAGGAGGAAATAATCCAGATAGAAAGAAGGTCAACGCCAGAAATGAAAAGCAGAAATCTAGCCGTGCTAATCATAATCGGAAGAGTGGACACAACAAAAAAGCGAAGGCTGAGTTAGCAGGTTTACGTGAGTAAATTCGATAGCTGTGGGTTTGTAGCGAATAATTATACACATGTCCTTCATTAAATTACCATCCATGATCAAACAACATCGACACAGATTCACCGTTGTGGATTCTTCTGATAGCTTCAGCAAAGATCCTGGAAACATCCAAAACCTCAAACCGGTCTGGACCGAGGAAGACACTGTTGGTAGTCTGAGGAATACTGTTAGTGGTGATAAACTTGTCAATGTCCGATATAAGAACTTTCTCAAGGCCATCTCCACTGAAAATAGCGTGGGTAACAAGACAGTACACCTTGGAGGCACCCGTGCTCTTTAAAAGCTGCGCTGCTCTAGTGATGGTGGTACAAGTATCAGCAATGTCGTCGATCAACACACATATACGGTCCTTGACATCTCCCACTAGCATAGATGAGTTTACCATCTCCGTTGTGGAGTTAGTCTGGTTCATAGACACTGTAGCAGAAAGAATCGGAGAGCCGATGGTCTGGGGAGCAACTTTGATTCTTCTTTCCTTATGAATCAATGCAAAAGAACATCCCAAGGCATCTGCAATGGCGGTAGCTCTCTTGGCTCCTCCACTATCTGGTGACACAATGACGCACTCCTTGTAGTTGGGAATGTAGTCCACTATGTATCTCTTGAAAAGTGGCATCAGGTACAAGTTATCCACGGAAATGTCAAAGAATCCCTGAAACTGTGGATCATGCAAGTCCATCGTCATGCATCTGTCTGCACCAGCCGTCATCAATAAGTTCGCAACTAAAGTACCGTTGCTACTGACCCACTGTTTATAGCCACTTTCGTCTCTGCCGTTTTCATCCACGGCACCCAAGTTGTTTGGGGCAGCTGAGTTAGTGATGATCTGTTTAGGTTTGCTCAAAAAATGAGAAAGACCTGGAGCAGTGGGTAGTGTTTCCCTTGCATCCATCGCTACCCGTGGGTTTTCTGGTTGTCTCGAATATGGGAAAAACGGGAGCACAACAGTGACACGCCTTGCACTGGAGATCTTACATGCCGAAACCAATATGAGAAGCTCAAGAAAGTTGTCATTGACATCACCAGAACCGTTCTGTATGATGAAGACGTCCTTCTCACGCACAGAGTCTCTAATCTCGATGGAAGTCTCTCCGTTGGAGAACTTTTTCAGGTCTACCTGGCCAACATCAAGCGTTAAGTTCTTGCAAATAGATTTGGTGAGGTTGGAGATAGAAGCTCCGCCTAGCACAACAAGGTTCCTCATCAGGCTTTGTAGAACGTGGGGGAGTTAGCAAAAATTTTATGGCCTGCGCATTATGTAGGAGACCTGGCGATTGGACCACCGGAGAAACCGGGGAAGCCGCGGACATGGAAATCAGTTAATGATGATAAGACGACATCATTGGCTTCTCGACCATTTGGAAGGAATAAATGGTGTAAAGTTAAATGGCTTCGGCAGAATCATGGCAATGGGGGAATGGGCTGCTTCATGACACGTGACCCCATAGTCAGCCACCAAAATCTTGGATTTGTCATTAATGAAAATTGTAAAATAAATGGAAATTACTTTAGAGTCTTATCTCATAAGATCCAGCTTGGGTAGTATATTTCACCCATTTCACCGTTCTATAGTTGGACTTCTCCGTGACCTTAAGAAAGTTCACTGCGAGCCCAGATGCACTGTACATCTCCAAGGTAAAGTCCAAAGTAATGGATGGTTTCGACCAGTTCAGATCCGGGTGATCGATTCCCAAATCGATGTTAAGCATATGCTCAGCTTCTCCGTAGAACCGACTGAACTTCCAATGAATCGCATTGTCTTCAGGGATGTACTTGGCTTTACCATTAGAACATGTAACGGAGTTTCGGGTGACTCCGATGGGCGTTGGAACCTTAAGAATCACATTAGTAGCGGACAATTTGGACGAAAATGTTGAGCGTAGTCTGATTTTCAAGCTGATCTTATCGCCGTCCCTCTTGACCCAAGAATTGATGCGAAAGGGGAGAGTGGCAGTATTGGCAATATGGTAAGTCATGAGCTGGAAGGTACCATCCGGAGGAACAAACCGGATCACTTGTTCGGTGTCGTATTTGTCCAATTCCACGCACTTATGAAACTTGAAATCGTCCAAGGTTATTGTCTCGAGAAGATTGTCCAGGATGCTTTCATTAGAAAAACCAAAACGGCAAATTGGCATTCCAGACAAATGTGCCTTCATGACAATAGTTCCGTCGATGTTTGAACGTACAGTTTCGCCTCGAGTGTTAAGGAGCACATGCACTTTTTCATCCACGTTCAAGTAGATTTCATTCTTTCTATATTTTATGCCTGGCTCACGCCATGAGATGCTGTTGGGGTCATACACGCTCTCCAAATTGGACTTCATTTTCTTATCGCTGATTGATCTCTTGCCACCCTCGTCTTTGATTTTCAACCCGGCCAAGTTGGGAACTACCGATGATAAGTAGGAAGGCTCCAAGTTCGTGGGGAAGCCAAACTCCACCAGTTCGTCGAGAATATCGAAGATTGCCGTGAAATTGTTGGTTATGTTCTCTTCAGTAAGTATCAGGGCCTGTGGGCCAGCAAATGCCAGTTTCAACAACTCAACGAAATTATAGAGAAACTCAAAGATCACCAGGGCATCCTGATTGGAGCGCGTGACCACAACTATCCACAAGTAGCCACTTCGAATGTACAAAAATGACGTGGATCCCAAAGTAAGAACAGGCAGTCGGATCTCTCTAGCAGCAGGTGCCGACCCACTTGGAGCTCGGGCAGCCGAGTTGATCACTTGGATGCGGAATACGTCCGAAACGTTCCGCTTGACTCCCTCACGGAAGAATTTGGACATTAGAGTGTCGCCCTTAGAATTGAAGATGAAAATGGCGTTCATTTCGAAGGGAATCGGTGGGATCGGGCCGAAATGGATATTTAGTGATTAGTAGAATGGTGTAGATCCGTACACCTGTGTGGAAGTGGAGAGGTGGTGGAGAGAGAGAGGTAGAAGGAAGACGATGACAAGATTGACATTTTGATAATATGTTCATTTGTGGAAAGAAGGGAAAAAATGCATGGTAATATGGATTTTTTCTTTTAGAAGGCTAGTGGTTCAGGGTTTCAATAAAAGATGACAATTCGCAGCCATGTACTTCAGCTGAGTTAGCTGAGTTAGCTGAGAACATGAGAAGCTGAGAAGATGATTCATATGTAAGCGATTTGCATCCATGAAATAAGAATAAGAGCACGACGACTGCAGCGTGTATGATTCTTTCTTTCTCTTCTTCTTCTCCTTTTATATGTTTTAGATGTGGTTTTCTGTGGGATCTGGAGCCCTTTTGAGGCTCATGGTACCTTGAGAGTCGAACATTTCCAAATTGAATCGTGCCAACTTTCATTTCACGATCATTAAAGAAACCCAATTCCCTATAAGCCATCACATTATCCATAACGTATCCTCAATCGTTCCAAATGAAGCTGCCCCAACAAATTACACTTACCTTGTGTCGGTTTTTGGATGCTCTCATAAACCAACGTAGAGGAGGTATTACAACGCCAGTGAGATTGATGGTACTTCCAGAATCCAGAGAATTGTTTGAAATCAACAAGTTAAGGCCATTTTGTACATTCCAGAGCGATATTCTGATTTTTGGCGTCGACTTGTAATTTCTGAAGAACTCTAGCATTGGTCATAATATTCAGAAACTACAAACAAATTGCGAATAACATTAATAACACTATCAGGGATAAAAAATTCTCTCCATTTCTGCTGAAAACTTTCCATTAAACAAAGATTAATACCTCCAAATGATGTTGAATCAATAATAACCTTTATTTTTTTTCAAAATTATTAATAGCTGGTTATCCAAAGTCAACTCAATATCTATTCCACTTACACTACTTATCAATCTACAATTCAGTTCTATTGTCCAGGACTCAGTTCACCCACTCTAAACCTACAAGCCTACAAATACTATCATAAACCTACAATATTATTCTCTCAAGCTATATTCTGAAACCACTCCCCAATTCCAATTAATATCCATTAAGAAAAAAAAAGAAAAAAACCACCCAGTTCCAGCTAAATTTCACCTCAATATCTCCAATCTAGGAACTACCTTCTCACTGGCGTGCACACACCTGGAAAAAATTATACATCTCCACCAAGTCTACTACTCCACAGCATGTTTAGGGTCGCCACACTGGGCAGTAGACGCCAGCTTCACACCGTGCCTGTGTTAAAAGACCACTCTAACTTCCTTGCAAATGGTATCAAAGGCTTGTACTCCCCAGCAGGTTACAAGTCCGCATGGCTCGACTACCAGAAGTACTTGACCACCAATCTTACCTTGAATACCTCTGGTACCGAAAATGAAAGCAGATCCACATACCAGATCTTGTTGCTGACTGCCAAGCAGACGACAGAACAACATACCTTTCACTATGCTTCGCAAGCTCATAACAACCATCTTTTTTTTGAACAACTTGCAGACCAGTCGGAAGCGGCAGCTACAAAGCCCTCGCGGTTCTTAATGGAACGTTTGGCCGACCAGGACATCGCATCAGTCGACCAGCTCAAGCAGAAGGTGGCAGTGTTAGCCGAATCTGCGCTAGGCCAAGGCTGGATCTTCTTGGTGGAATTGCCAGATAAGTCCACCAAACTCATGTTGTGCAACAACGATGGCACGCCGTACTACTACGGCAAGAACCAGAGCTTGGACTTGAACGGATCCATTGACGAGAACAGCTACAATGTGTTACAAGGCTTAAAGGAGAAGGCTCAGGCTGGGGAGTTGGACTTCACCTTACCTCTTTTGGCCATCAATTTGTGGGACGTGGCCCATGCAGAGGACTACGGGCTTAATGGCCGTGGCGACTTCTTGTCGAAGGTGTGGAACTGCATCAACTGGGATGTTGTTAACAAAAGAATGTTCCAGGTTTAAATCATGTACATAGAATAGAAGCCAAGATGAGGATGCGTAGGCAGTTTGGAATGAGTAGACAATTATAAATTTTATGATTTGGTGATTGGATGTCTAGTTAATGTCTATTAACTTCAACTATTTATATTTCTCAAACCTCCACCTTCCCCATAGTATCTACGATCTCTTCAAAGTCCATCTTAAAAATGCTCTCCACCGTTACACTTTTGATGGTCCGTGTGCTCAACTGCACGATCTCTGAAAGTTGCTCCGCCGTATCTTGACAGTCCTCCACCACTCCTCGAAGCGACTTGTCATTGTACCAATTGGATGACTGACATAGAACAAGATTGGGAAGTAAATCACATAGAACCGACACCGACGATATCTTCTTCGCCAACCCCGCCACTGCAGTCCGGAGCTTCTTCACCTCCGATGGCATTTCAGAACTAGAATCCGTCTGCGACTGGACCTGATTGGTATAAGTGTTTTGAAGCACCAAGTACTCCTGGTTCAATTCATGGAGCAGTTTTACGTGTTCTGTAACGGCCGATGCAAAAAGCGTCTCGATCTGCGCCAGAAGCTCTGCCTCTTTAGCCACATGGCCATTCTGATCTTCGTACCCACGCATTAGCCTGCTAATGTTGGCTGGATGGTCATTGTACTGTGAGTAGAGCTTTTTCAAGTTGTTGAGAATTGTGAATTCCGAATCTGCCAACGTGGAGTTGCCGTGGTAGATGGCTCGGAGCAATGGAAGCGCCAATGCCAAGTACTCATTCAATAATGCTGTTGTTTTGAAGTGCTCTGTGTGAGCTATCAAGAATTTCTCCATTTCATCATTAGAAAGCCCTTTCAACTGATCGAGTTGGATCACTTCTTCGTATTGTTGCGTAATTTCCTCCGCAGAAGATCCTTGAAGCTCCTTCTTCTTGTTCAAATATATAAGCTTATCTAGCTCAGTGGCCAATTGCTGGTTTAGTTGGTAATACTCGTCTTCGAGATCAAAGTCTTGGACTACACTCGAATTCAGCCAAAGTTTTGGGATTCCGTACTCATGATCAAGAATTCCTAGAGCAAGAATATCATCACATGCCTTTTCTACATCCTCAGACATTCTGTTTCGGCAGGAGTAAATGAAATAGTCCAGAGTAGATAATACCCAAGTTTGACTATGGTAGTACATTATGCAGTACAAACAAACTAAACGTACTAAAACTCTCTGGTGATTGATGCAAAATAAACAGCTTGAGAATCCCGCATTCTCGAATATATAAAGACCAGAAGTTCCCACATCATTTCGACCATAACTTACCCCTCTTTTCCTCCGCCACATCTTGGACCTACAATAAATATCCTGCACATAAACCACAAAACCTTTGGCCCCAGTGGTTAACCACCACAGTTTTCCATTACATCCCACAACTATAAATAACCGCCATGTCCGGTCTTTCCAAACAAAGATACCTTGCGATCTTATCTTCAGGTGTATTTGCCGCATTTTCTCCCGAAAAACTCAACAAGCTCCACCAAGAAGTGGGTGACTATCTCAATGGCTATAGTGGACAATTGGATTTAACCGAAAGATTCAACTTATATGAGTTACAATTCTACCTAGCGCTCCTCACCAACCATGATGTAGAGGCCAAGTCGTATTTGGACCGAATCAATGACCAATTTGCGGGCAAACCATCGCAGAAAATCATGGTTTTGCGTCTGATGTACTACGAAGCGTGTGGAGACATGAAAGCCGCCGTCAATGCATTGGGGGACAGCGCAGATGAGCTCAGAGCATCCAGGCGGTTGGCCACATTCTCAAGAACCAAGCAGGATGGCTCACCAAACGTGGCTGAGTACATCAAGAATCTCAACTACTACTTGAATCTCCAGCCCAGTGACTCGCTTGCATGGGCCGAGTTGGGCGACCAATACAACAAAGTGGGCCACTACGACAAGGCTGCATTCTGTTTTAGCGAAGTTTTGTTGCAGGAGCCCAATGCATACAACATTTTCTATAAAGTGGGGTTGAACTTGTACTATCAATTCCTTCAAGATTACCAGGACAAGAACGACAAAAAAGATAAGGTTTTAGCATCTTTGGCTCTTCTCGAGAACGCCAGGGACAACTTCTTGCGTTCGGTGGAGATCAGTGACACATATGTGAAGAGTTGGGTGGGGGTCTATGTTGTTTCTGGCCATTCTATACTTGACAAATTGGACAACAACAAGGCACTTGCTGGCCAGAAGAAGGTGACGCAATTTGTTTCCGAAACCCGCCAGCTCCATCAATTGAGCAAGAAACGCATCATTCAACTTGAGAAGTTGCAGAGCGAGGATGAATTATCCAAGTTTCTTGAAGGTAACTTCTAAAGTCGGACAGTGAAAGAATGACCCAAGGCATGGTTGATAATCTAATGGATTGTTTTATGGATGCTCTTATCGATCTAACTTATCAATCAGTTTTGCAATGCTACGATTACAGACTTACATCAAAAGTCATCACAGATGTTTATTGAGTCATAATCAAGAAATGAAGCAATAGATCAACAGATCCAGTTAGTCAGGATTACTTAGTGCTTAGTGCCACACTTGCAGGTCTCACCACACTTACAGGACTCGCCGCAAGAGCACACTTCTGGTTCGCTATAGTCAAACATTTTTAATTCTGAATTCTTAGTTTCGAGGAAAACAATGAGGTCGAGACATTTTGGATTTCTGGGGGCCCTTTATAGCCCCACCATGTGCACCCGTGCCTCTCGGTCATGCTTCATGTACTTAGCACATGCCGGATGCCAATTGGCTAGAAGTTTGATCTGACAAGATAAGTCGAACTGAATGGAGAAATAGAGAGCTTTATGAATTTGACAGTATGGTACATTTTGATGAAATGGCAAATTTGCAGACCTATGCAATGAACTCACATCAAAGTGAATTTATATCACTTCAATGGTTAGTGCGCAGAATCGGAGAGAGGTTTATCCTGAAATGTGATCTATTAATTTTAATCTATGCAAATAATCGGCGTATATACCTGGAAACAATGGGTCAATGTGTAGAAAGGCTCTAGAACTCTCCCTTTTGGTGAATGTCGTCTCTGGAAGTGACATCCTCCAACATGCCAGCGGCAGCAGCAACCAATCCCAAAAATGGTCTCGATGGATCCAACACCTTAGAGCAGTACTCAGGGTGGTACTGGGTACCGACGTAAAATTTGTGGTCCTTGAGCTCCACGATCTCCATTCTCTTCTCGGACTCGTCTTTACCGATGAACTTCAAGCCCTTGGCTTCGATGGCATCGATCAACTTAGGGTTCACCTCGTATCTGTGTCTGTGTCTCTCCAACACAGAATCGGCACCACCATACAACTGTCTCAACTTGGACCACTTGGAGTCCTCCACGAACTTGGTGGAGTGGATACCCAATCTCATGGTTCCTCCCAAGTTGATCTGGTCCACGTCTGGCATGTACACCACAGAAGCAGTGGCCTCGTCGGCGTTAGGGTCAAACTCCATTGACGTGGAGTCCTTGTAGCCCAAAGTGGATCTGACAAACTCAATGACAGCCACTTGCAAACCCAAGCACACACCCAAGTATGGCACGTTGTTTTCTCTGGCATAGTTGGCAGCAGCAATCATACCCTCGATACCACGAGAGCCAAAACCTCCTGGAACCAAGATACCGTCAGCCTGGCATACCAAGTGCCATGCCTTATGGTAGTCGGCCAAGTTGGACTCTTTGGTCTCGACCTCCAAGTCCGAAGACTCAACCCACTCGATCTTCAATCTGCGGTGGCATCTCATGGAAGAGTGCTCCAAGGCCTTGATCACAGATAAGTATGAGTCCTTCAAGTTGGTGTACTTACCCACGAGAGCAATGGTAACGGTTTCGATAGATCTATCGTGAGCAGAAGTCAAGGTTCTCCAAGAAGACATCAACTTCTCACCCTTGGCTTTAGCGGCAGAAGCCACTGCCTCAGGCGACAAGTCCAACTTCTTAGCCAAGAACTTCATCATCTTTTGCTCCTGCAACAACAATGGGACGTGGTATGTGGAGTTGACATCACGAATGGCAATCACTTGCTCTGGACCAACATGACAGAACATGCCAATCTTCTGGCGGGTAGCAATCTCCAATTCCTCAGAACATCTACATGCGATCATGTCAGGGGTCAAACCCAACGAACGCAAGTCCTTAATGGCGGCCTGAGTTGGCTTAGTCTTTTGCTCACCGTGAATCACCAACACCATGGAAACATGGATCAAAGCAAAGTTGCTAGGGCCAACACGGAACTGGAATTGTCTCAAAGCCTCCACAAATGGAGCACTCTCAATGTCACCAACAGTTCCTCCCAACTCAATGATACAAATCTCTGGCTCCAAGCCCGACTCATCGACAGGAATACGTGCTACACGTTCAATCCAAGACTGGATAGCATCTGTGATATGAGGAACCACTTGCACGGTTTTACCCAAGTAGTCACCCTTTCTCTCTCTCTCAATAACATGCGAGTAGATTTTACCAGTGGTGATGTTGTGGTCTCTGGTCAAGGTGATGTTAAGGTATCTCTCGTAATTACCCAAGTCCAAGTCGACTTCTCCACCGTCGTTCAACACAAAACACTCACCATGCTCCAATGGCGACATGGTACCTGCGTCGATGTTCATGTAGGGGTCGATCTTGATGGAAGTGACACGGTAGCCCAAAGTCTTGAACAACAAGCCAGTGGACGAAGCGAGAACACCTTTTCCAATACCAGAGATCACACCTCCCGAGACGATAACGTACTTCATGATTGTCAGTCAGAAAAAAATATAAAAGATAATGGGAAATACAGGTGGAGACCTACACTTGCCCTCTTAAAAGAATTTAAGCGGGAAGGAGAGAAGAGAAGGAGAAAAAAAAAATCAAGATGAGTACCGGGCGCTGTGTGTCGGATGCGAAGAGAAGGTACAGATGTGAATGGTATAGAGGAATGAATGGAGGGGTCTTCCGTACATTTTGGTTATCTAAATTTCATTAAAGTTATTAATCGTTTGAATCACAGGTGTTTTATTAGTTTGAATTTGTATGTATTTGGTTAAATTTTGTTTCGTATGTGTTTCGAAGATCATTGATATATATTCGGAGACGTTGCTTAAATACCTGAAATGGGAGATTATGAATCTATATGTATGATGGATAATGTATGATGGATAAGAGTTGGATGTAATGGAGCAAGATATTGCTGGCAATTTAGAGATGGCGATAAATAATTAAAATTATAATGGTTGATCTAGATCTGATTTGCTTAATTTTTTTTTTTTTTTTCACGTTTCTTACGTTTTTTTTGGTTTTTTTTTTTGGTTTTTTTTTTCAATGGTAGGTTTTGGTTGCTTATGAGGAAGGCTAGATATTATGGTAACTTTCAACTACAACGAAAATGAGCAAAGGTAGATTCGAGGAATTATCCCCTTATTGACGGGACTGAAATGACTTACGTCGATTAATGGAAGATTTGAGAGGAAGTAAATGGGAGCAGAGGAAAATATGGAATCTCTCTCAGAGATTTATGATTAAGTAGCAGAAGAGAGCCCCATCGAATGGGATTTTGAAATTAAGTAATTGGAATAACTTCATGATTCGAGAATTCATGTTGAAGTTGGAATTTGAGTTGGAATTAGAGTGAGAGTCTAAATTTGTGTGGAAGTTGAAGTTGAAATTCAAGAACACCGCCATATTCTCAACCTCATGATCAGACCGTAGCCATCAAAGAAGAATTGGCAAAGTCTACGAAAAAAAGGAGATAGAATAGAACAAAAAACAACGACAAATCATTGAAGAATGAAGAAGAAAACAGTTTTCACAATCAAAAGCTTGAAACCCAAATCTAATCATCTACCAGTGAAGTATTCTCCACACTATCCATTGTATGCCAATGTATACACCTCAGGCCGTATATATATATCCAGCGGAGGAACCTTCATATGGCAATTTCTGTACGCCGTGGGAGCCAGAGTACCGACTTCTCCGTGGCAGAGAGACCTCATGTGCTGACTGGAGGAGTCCGAGACACTCGCAATCATCCAGCAAACAAATGTAATCTCTTCTACACAATCTTTACACCCTCAATTCCACCATTTGCACGAAGCACCTGTGCCTTCCCCTGCTTGACCAACACATCCACAACCTTCTCAAAAAGATTGGAATCGATACCCTTCAATGGCTCGGACTGGGGCAACTCATCCAGCTGTGTAAGCTCGTAAACGGTCAACACAGTACCCAATTGTCCGGTTCGATCCACGTACTCATATAGAAGCTTGGCCCACTCGGCTGGCGTCTGCCAATAGATTAGTATTCCCGAGTCACGTTTCTTAGGATCCACATACTCTGCACGAGCCAACTTGTGGATCATATGGTTGAAGATGTCATTGAGAAATTCATCCAGCACAGCTCGCTCCAATTGCTTATTTTGGAAGAGTGGCGGCACCTCAGTTGATGGATCCTGTTGGGTTAGAATGTTGCCATGGCTCAGTAGGCTGTATATGTTGTAATATTGGCAGAATTGCAAGATGAGTTCTGTCCATGCATCTAGTTGGTTTTGTAGGATTGTGGCGTTCTGCTGCTTTGTATAAAACGGCGGGAACGAGTATATTTTGGGGAATTCAAACATGGTGAAGGTAGTAGATGGAGTAGATGGTGAATGTATGGGGAGGTGTGGGTTTCTTGATGGTGGACTAGCCAAAATAGAGGAGAGTACAGCATAAGAAAAAAAATTAAGTGGGATAGGGAAGAAATAGGAAAAATTTAGAGAAAGAAATAAAGTAGAAAAGAAAAGAAATAAATTATAGTGTATTGTTAAGACAGTATTAGAGTTATGCAATTGGAAATATTAGAGATAGAAGTAGAGATAGAATTAGAGTTAGAATTTAGTAGTTAAGATTTGCTTTTCAGCAATCAAGACTTACCAATAGTTAAGACCAATAACAATTCTCAGCATCATCTGCCCTACTCATTCTACATGGCTCTCTATCCAAGAATATTAATTTTCAGTATACAGACGTTATCATTACTTAAGCCTCAGCCAAGTCTCTCAAACGACGGATGGTGGATCTGACAGTGGCAGCAGCGGCGGTGGACACAGTGTAAGCACCACCAGCAACAGTCTTTCTGCATGCTCTACAGGTCCAAATACCGGTAGCACCTCTCTGGACAGTTCTCTTACCACAGAAGGAACAGTCGTACTTGGCGTGCTGCTGGACCTCCATCTTCTTGGTCTGTCTTCTCAAGGAAGAACCGTATCTGACACCGAACTTACCAGTGATTCCGACCTTCTTAGTTCTCTTAGTCCTGACTGTTAGTATTAGAAAAGGGAGATGAGGATAAGGCATGAAAAATGGAACACATATACATGAAACCATTAATGGAACGAAAAGACTCGAGAAATGGGAACGAAAGTTAAGACTTGGAGAAGTGGACAAATGGACAGATGTAAAAATTGATGACACAAATTCCTTTGCCATCTTGTAGCTCATGATCATTCTCATTGGAACAATCTCAGATTGGTGAAAATTCTCCATTCCATCACCAACGATCAATGAATCTCATTCAAATGTTTCTGATTGTTGTGTTCCATAATCCCTTCATTCATGAGTGCCTTTTGTGTCGATTTGTCTCGACGAAAGTAACATACATCTTGCTGTATTCTGTAGTAAAAAGACTGGAAGAAAAATTCCAGGCACTTTTCTCAGTGTGCGAGAGAGTAAAATTTTAGACGTGCGCAGGCGAAAATCTTCCTGGGATGAGATCACGTGTACATTGATCACATGTTTCAGTGGCTACTCTCGAGGGCTCGTGCCCTTGGGTGCAAAATGCAACACATATATAGTCATATACCCACAATTGTTCATCTAGTTCTTACCATTTTTTTCTTCTCTTCTCGTGTCATTTTATTTCGCTCCCAATCTCTACCCTTCCCTCTATGACTTCAGACATCATCCCCATCACCTCTCCCTGCTGGTCCCGTAGTGTGATAACCCTTGCCTTCATTTGTCCTGGCCTCTATACTAACCGCTAGGATCTCCTCTGCCTCCTAAGGAATATGTTTCTGTTGCCGACGAATATCCGTCGTTCCATGTGTTTCCTGAAGATTCGCCTCCGGCTGTGCTGGTCCTGGAAATTCCAACCATCTCCTCGCCCTATCGTAAGCTCCCATGTTCAGACTTCCCAATGGCCCCGCTATTCTATTTCAGAAACACGGACTACAGCCTGATAATTGATATTCTGCCTGAAGAACTTCTACATCTCAACGAAAGGCCACTTGACTACATTTGCGGAGTCTCTTATGGCGAAGGTATGTGTAAAGAGTCCATATATTGTCGCCTCCATCTGTTTGGAGAACGGGCACTGATAGAGCGGTCAAAAAGCTTGAGTGAGTTAATTATGGACGAAATGGAACTGACTGAGTGGTTCAGACACTTTCATAAGTTGTCTGGAGTGTTTCATTCATGTAAATCCTACTTTGCAGGCGAAATCGTCGCTTCTCCTCGAACGTGCAGCCATTATAGTTGTTGCCTGTCAAACGAACCCCATACGGACGAAGATATGGGCGACCTACAACAGCAGTGTCCCCATCTCGATAAAGCGTCCCAAATCGATAACCCAAAGATAATCGAATGTCGAGATACGACACATAATGAGAACCAGCTTTCGGGTGAGTTTTCGAATGAGAATGATGGTAGACGCAATGATGAAGATTCACGCAGCTTGGACCTGGTGGATTATACTCCAGGACAAAACACCCAATGTGAAGCTATCAAGTCATCCGGGAAAAAATTCAAACTGATAAAGGCGCTATTCATGAGTAAACTTTCACGCTCGGCCAATGCCGAGATCGAGGACATCGTCTCTTACTTACACTACAGGTTAAATTGCTATCAAGATGTGGAATTAGAAGTGAGAGCAAGAGAAATGCAAGTTCAATACGACCCTTATTGGAGTTCAGTATAATCACCACCAGTGGGGAGTTAGTTATTTTGCAGCCGGGGGAACAAGTCCTCGTTCTCCATTTCAGAACCCTCAGGCGCATGGTTGATAACCATGTCATCGGTAATGAACATGGGCGGCTGAATGATGTGCGGGGCATTTCCGGGTCTAACCATATCCAGTTCAGTGTTCCGACGGTCATGGATTTCAAAGTTGGCAGCCCGCTGCTCCAAGGAAAGAAGCTGGCGAATGATAGCATCGGTGCCGCTGAATCTTGGACCTTGCAAGTTTTCCTCGCCATTCACTGGTCGACGTAATTCCGCCAACCCTCTTTGTGCAGCCCAGTTGGACAAATTTTCTTCATTAAAAGCATTGAGGTTGTTCAAAGCACCAGGAAATGCTGTTCCTAGCACTTCATTTGGAGGCGACGGAGAGGTACCTATGGGTGTCTGTGAAGGCTCAATATCGACGCGAGGACCGAACATGCGTCTCCGCCTCTGAGGGAGAATAGCTTCTATCTCTGTTTGAATACCTGGTGGTTCCAACATGTAAGTTCTCAGCTCCATTAATGTATCAAGAAAGTTCCTTAACTGGACAACTCCATGACCAGAGAAAACACAGAATGAAGATTTTTGGTTCTCTGTGAAGTCTGGAGGAGGCTCACGACAGTACTGAGTAATTTCTCTCCGGAGAAATGCGGAGATTCCCGTTAGTGACAAGTGAGTAAGACGCGGGCAATTTTTTAGCAAGAAATAGATAGGACCGATGGTCAAGTTCGTGCAATACGACAAGTGTACTCTTTCCAAACAGTCCTGTTCACCGCGGCGTCTAACTAGTTCTAATATTCCACCATCAGTGATGAGATTACACTTGACTAGTCCTATTCTTCTCAACTTGGGCAAGTTCGAGAGCTCAATTAAAGTCCAGTCTGTAAGTTGCGAGCAACATGCCAAATCAATGTACTGGATGCGGTGACATGCGGTGACAAGAGCTTGCACGCCAAAATCCGTAATCAGTACACAGTGGCCGAGATGAATATAATGAAGACTGCGGCCCAACTTGGTCAAGTGTCTCAAGGAAGCATCTGTGATTTGCAAGCACTTCGAAAGCACCACGTTCCTTAGGCGGGGCGCACACTTGACCATCTGCTCCACAAGGTCATCTGTGATGGCGTTGCAGCCAGTCACATCGAAAATACGCAACTTATCGAGATGGTGGTCTTCTGGTATAAGCTCAAAGAGACTGTCAGTAATTCCAGCAGCGTTACTGATACGGAATTCACGCAACTGTGAAAGCTCAGCGAATATCAGCTTCAAGTGCTTGTCTGAAACATTGGGACAATTGTGCAAGTCGATCTCCACCAAAGACTTGCAATTCTCGTACATGGCCAAGATGGTATCGTTGGTGATATTCTCACTGTTATTGAACTTAATACGTTTGAGCATCGGACAAGAACGCAAAAGCGTGACGATGGCCTCCTCAGAGATATTGCCGCAGCCCGGAGCGTAAAGGCCCTGTAAGCGAGTACAGTTCTTCGCTAACGCATATATAATATCGTCCTGAATATCCTGAACGCCTGTCATATCGATAGACTGTAACCGATCACAGTTGTTCAAGACCTTTGTAATTGGAACATGGGTCAACTGTGTGCAATTGACGAGGGTCAAACGTTCCAATTTGGGACATCCAGCAAACAAGTCTAAGAGCGAGTCATCCACCAACTTGGTCATGAAAGAAAGGTTCAAGCGCTTGATGTAATTACGGTAATCCCAGTGGGTCTGCTCCCTCGGAAGCCTCATGACGTTCAGGATCTTGTGGAACGCCAAGTCGCTTTGCATGTTGGGTCTGAACCATAGAATCTCCACAATTAGATCACTGAACTCTCGACACACCGTCAAAAGCAGAAACAAATCGCCCTTGTCCAAGTACTTAAATATCTGAAGCAAAACTTCGGTTGGTAATTGCAAGAGCCGCGAGTTGTTGAAGTTCATCATCTGAATGTGTGATCGTTGCGTGGTGGATTTTCGCCGGCCAAGTATTATGGACTCACGCATCTCCTTGTAATCGTTGGAGTCGCTGTCCAATGAGTGGTGCTCGTGGTTGCCGTGAGCCAACAGCCCGGCAAAATATGATGCTAGTTTGCCTCTCTTTGTGGACCGAGATCCATCAGAGTTTGTGTTGGTAAAGACCATGGTGTTGACGTTTCAGCCTGCAATACAGCGGCAATTCTGGTTGTGTAAGATGCGTCGACTTAGGTGCGGATTGCTTGTTGATTTTTTGCAATGGAGTTCTCCAGCGGATCGTTTGTAATCACCTGTTGAAGTTGTTTGGTAATCAGTGGGTTGAAGTGAACAATTCGGGCGTCACAGATGGTCGTTAGCTGCTGCTTAGTGCACAGGTGCAGAAGTTCTGGGCAGCACTCGAGATCAACTTTGGGAGGACACGAAGTTCGGAATTCGATGCAGAAGTGCTGATATTCCAATAGTGAATAGGTAAGGAGATAGCTACACGCAATGAAGGCGGAAACGACCGTCACTACCTGCAGGATGATACCAATGGATAGGCGAAGTACTTGAAAGAGGGGCTAAGTCGAAAGAGAAGAGGTTGAAATACGTAGGGTGACATGATTCATATGGGTTTATGGTTTTTCTTCGGTGATGTTTTTGCTTTTCTTTGTTAACTTCACTCGGGGTCCGGAGAAAAGTCACCGGTGTTTTATACAGTCCTTCTTGGATCAGTAGTATTGGCAGAACTTCGTAAACTTTATGTATTATAGCATTAAGGTATATCCATATTTGAATTTTCTAAGGATAAATTTGGGAGTTTTTTTTTCCACTTGCCGGTTCACATCTCTAGAAAAACAGACCACGCTGGTTAGGGCCTGAATTGGGTGTGCCAGGGTTGGACGTATACCCGAGGGCAGCAGAGCTCAATGACAACTGCTCAAGTTGCTGCATTACGGTCATTTCCTGCTGAAACCGCTGTTGTGACACATACAGCATGTTGCCCTGTTGATTCATGAGTGGCTGTGACATTTCCATGCCCATACTGTTAGTGTCCAGTACATACAGGTTGCCGGCGTAGAGAGGATAGTTCCCGTTCTTCGCTGGTGCCATGTAATTCATGGGAGGAGGCATCACCTGGCCCTGAATGGGCGCCTGTATTGGCTGGTGGTGTGGAGAATGGCTCTTTCCATTTCCTCTCGAATTTCCACGTTTAGGCTTGCGTGCACTAGACGATCTGTTCAAGCGATTTGTTGATAAACCAACCTCCTCAACAAGCTTCTTGTAGGGCTGCAAATTCATGATATTCATCTCTAAAAGAACCCGCTTAACTTGATTAATCACAAATTGTTGGTAGCGAGCGCTATTGTATTCGTCTCCGAACGTCAAAAGGATAGGACTGGAAAGAATCTTGTAAATGAACAACGGACCAGCATTGTGCTCCTGATTCTCCAGTAGGACGGCTTCTAACAACGCAGACGGAGGTCTCAAGCCTACGTCATCCTCATCAAATTCGTTGTAGGGACCAAAAATGCTGTCCATGAGAAGTTGCTTCACACGGTTATCATTGCGATGGTTCAAAATCTTGAAAATTATAAGATGCGCCAATTTATGCGTGCAAAGCTTCTCCAAGTGTGGCATGAACTTCTCACACAACAAGTCATATCTATTGTCACCGTCAAGGCCCTTGAAGCCACTGAATGTGTCTAGGAACCATGTGATCAAGAGTGATCCGTTGCTGTTGACAACCAATTCGTTGGCAAATTCAACAATTAAACTAGCTACCAAAAACACCTGTTCATTGGTTACCGATACCTTCGAACTAGGCTTAGAGTCGTTGGCAGTTTCCAATATAGTTCTAATGCAACGAGCTCCGAATCGACCGGAACTCACCTCAATGAAGTTCTCAATCAAAGACTCGAATATAAAGTCATTGAAAGGCGAGTCGAATTTCAAGCAGCATTGTAACACATAGTTACCGAACTGGTCATTGAACAACTTCACAGCGTATGGTTTCAAGCTGTCGGTGATAATTTTCTTCTGTTGAAAGTCATTATGGCAGAGATTTATAATCTTCTGTATGGCCCACGTACCGTTCTTGTGAATACTTAACTGGGTTAAATATGGTGCAATTTCTCTGACCATCATCAACTTGATTAAGGGAGATTTAATAACCATGAATAACTTTTGCACAACAGTGTTGCCAATATGGTCGTGACAGAGTTCTGGAAGCTCATCGAGCATTGCCAATGCCAAGTCTTCCAATTCTAACTGGGACATGATCTTGGTCTCACCCTCACTCTCTGGAGAAGGCTGGCGATTGTTGCTTTGAAGTGCACGCTCATTATTCTCGAGAATCTTGCGCAACTCTCTCAATTTTGGTGAATCAAACTGACGGAGAGGGATTGGATCAGGCAAGGGCCCAAAATTGGTCTGGTATTTCGACTTAGGGAAGCGAGTGGTGCTGTGAATTAGCGACTTCACCTTATTCATGTCCACCGACTGCATCACTGACAAGCGAGATACAGAGTACAACAAGGAAGACTCCAAGTCCTGAGGAGGCGAAGGCTTATTGAGCTCAGTAGAGTTTCGGGCCGAAGAACGTGCACCATCACTTGGAGTCGACTCCTGTCTGCTTCCATTCATTTGCTTGATGACCGGAGGAGTCTGCGAAAGACTCTGCTTCTCTGGAGGTGCGGAAGGCTCGGCCAACCTGGCGAACGCTACATACAAAATGGAACCAGAAACGATCTCCAAGTGGTTGAAGTTTGCTTTGAGTCCCATGGCGACCTCGATAGATGAGCACTCTACAAGAGCCATTTTAGATGAAGCCATGGAGCTGACACGAACGCTCAACACGCTACGGCCATGCATTCCTGCCACGGCAGCGGGAGAATTGTTCAAAAGCTGGAACAAGTTTCCAGCATCCACAAATTGTGGCACATTGTCGAAGAGAAGTGTGCTGGTGGGACCAAGATTGGGATTTTCGAAGTTGGTGGTGATTACCACTTCTGACAAGTCAAAGTCGTTTTGTAAATATGGCAGGAACAGTCCACCAAGCGTGTTACCGAGTGCGTATCCGTCGAGATGGTGGCCCTGCTGCAAATTATGAGAAGCCAGGACGTGGTTACCTTGAGATGGTTGAGCGTTATGCATGGGCATTTGCAGACCTTGCATTGTCATCATGGGGTAAACGGCCATTGGGATCTCGGGAATAGTTGGAGTGACGCCCAGATAGGTCTGCGAGCGATTACGAGTGGCCTGTCCGGGAGCGTCGGAAAGGTTTAAAACAAGGTTATCCAAAAGTAGCGAAGCGTCGTTCTTGGAAGCAGACAAAAAAGGCAGCAGACCAATGCGGGAGGAATCCAAACCATGTATTGGACCGAGACTACTATGACCTGCGGCGGTTGTGGTGTGGGAGCGGTTTCTGGTGGGATTTCCCATTCCCAACAGTGAAGGTTGGGCACTCAATGTGGGGCTCAAAAACAGCAGGCCAGGCTTGGACAGTGGAGCAGAAGACTCTTGGAACACATCGAGCACCCCCAGCCCCAGCATATGCAGCGGCAGGTGGAGCAGCACGGCATCATCGTTCCAAATGGAATTGGTCAGGAACAACGACCCTGACCGCATTCGACGACCCAGCAGGCCCAGATTAAGGAGCAGCAGTGAAGCCAGCAGAATATCCATGGCACCCGAGCCACTAGATGTGTTGTTATGGCTGTTATTGCCTCCATTTCCGCCCATACAATGGCCAGTAAACAAGTTCTCACCAATATGGGACGAAGGCAGAAGATCCAACATGTGGAGTGAGTCCAACGGCCGCAGAAGCGAGTCTTGCGGTAGCACCGATGGCGGAAGCAGTCCTGATACCGACGAAGCGGGGATAGGGATCAGTCCTGACATGATATGGGAGTTTCTAGCCAGTGCCGGCACTCGAGAATCCTGCGACGTGGAAGCAACGCCAGATGCATGGGGGTCGGGCTGAACGGGCAGCGCATGCGAAAGTGAAATCAGCGGCGGTGAATATGATGCCATGGCAGGAGATATGGATAGGCGTGGCGAGCAATTGGTCCAGTTTTCAGCCGAAAACTGGAGGTGGAGGTTATGCCGAAAGTGTTTTGGAGCTAACGTAACTTATAGAGACGCTAGAGAAATTCTGAAAACACGAGACGGGAGCGGCCGCACAGGAGATCACAATGAGCACGGTTGAATGGGTGATTTGCTGGATTTGTGTGGTGGTTTAGTGGCGAGGACTTGTTTAGTAGGAGGTTGGAGTTGGAGTAGCCGGGTGTTTTAGACAGTTAGCGACTTGTGGGGTCCGGGTGTTTGTGCGGGAATTCGACTTTTGGATTTGCAGGGCCTCAATTTTCATTTGGCAGCGACGGGGAGGGTTAATACCGAAAAAAAAAAAAAGGAGGCAGAGGTGTACGGGTGTCGTTGCATTCAATTCATTGGCTGTATTACGTGTGTTTAGGTTTTTTTTTAACGTCTTATGGATACCCTTCCCACCAATTGTGGATCGTCTCCTGTTATTGTGATTGACATCATTGGGAAACGTTCTGGACTTCGTTTTGGAAGCCATGCAATTATGCGCGACCCCTGCACACAATCACGAAAAATGCGCGGGTTTGTCGGGTCTTTTTATTTTTCGTTTATGGATTAGTGGCACGGGAGAACCGGAGGGAGTTTTTATATAACTCATCAGCCTTCGATGGAAATAGGGGTGGTGTACGGGTGTATATTCGGTTCGGATTCCTGTCTATGATTCATAATGACATCTGCGGTTTGCGGTGTTTTAATTTGAAACGGGTGTAAGTTGCCGATTACCGCCTAGAACTTCCTACCCCAGTTAATGAATTCGCGCTCCCCTATTTCCCAAATGAATTCTGGGGTTCTTCTAATCACGTGATATAAGGTCCTGTGATCTTAATCACGTGTGTGGACCATCATCATCATCAACACTTTCGCACGTATCTTCTCTTTCTCACATTCTCTGATCAAAATCTATGGTGTACGGATCTACATACCAATATTTCTAGCACCTATGTCCCTCTACGAATACATCCAAGAGTTCGCTAAGGCAATCGCTTCGCAGAAACTGAAAAAACTCCGAAACCTCCTCACAATCAATCCTGGCCCCGAGGAAGGTGCATTGCGTGCTTCGTTCCAGGACCCCAGCGATGTGGACTTATACCTGTTTCCAGATAAGTTCAAGGCGGTGCTTCAGTCGTACTTGCAGTTAATGAAGTCGATATATGTGGCAGCCGACATCAATCGATCTTTCCACGACCATCTAGACTTGATGGTTCACTTGAATCGTGCCGCAGAAACCCAAACCAACTGGATCTGTCCGACGCTTATAAACTGTAGTAACGAATTGATATCGATCTATCAGGTGCGGGCAAAGCTGTATCCCGATGAGGAAGGTGACAGTGACGACCTTGAAAAGCCCACCACCAACTCGTTGGAGTTGGTTGCAAACACCATCAACAGATCGTTCAAGATCTGCCTCACCGACAAGAACAGCGACATGACCCAGTCGAAGAAGTCAAGCATTCACTTTTTCTTGGCCACGCTCATCAAGATCTATTTCAAACTAGACCGCTTGGAGTTGGCCAAGTCTATGGAAAAGGCTTTAATGGGCACTGGCTTGGCCATTCCAACGATCGTGCACAGTCCTGTCGAGTACCGCAAGCATATTGTCACATACTTGTATTACAGTGCTCTCCTCTCGCTTGATGAGGGCGACTATGCATTTGCGGAGACGAAGTTGCTTACCGCTATGGAATTTCTCTCGTGTTATAAGCTCCAGAAAAAGGTCACGGCTCAGGCTGAAAAGATTCTCTTTCTCTTGGTGCCTTTAAAGCTTCACAATTCTCGGTCAGTGTTGCCTCTGGAGGTGTGGGACAGATATACAAGTTTGAGGTACGTCTATAAGGACCAATTGTTTGATGCGATTTACACAGGGAACCTCCGTAAGTTTGACGAGTGCATCAACAAGTTTCAAGCGCTTTTCCTCAAAAGACACATCTTCATCTTGGTATTGAATTTAAAGTCTCTATGCTATTTACGACTAATCAAACGCACCGCATCCATATGTGGAGAGATGAACACGCAAACTCCACACATTTTGGCGTTCAGTGGGCTTCAACTTGCACTTGAGTTCTCCAAAGGCAATAAGTACGAATCAAATGGCTACGGTGTACCTGAATCGGTGGCAAATGGCGAGTATTCCACGTCCTACGAGGAACTTGAGTGCATAATGGCCAACCTTATTGCCAAAAGGCTCATTAAGGGCTATCTTTCGCATGGCAACCGATGCGTTGTTTTTCTGAAAACAAATGCTTTCCCACTGACTCTGGAGATCTAAAAGTTAAGTTTTTTTCTTAATCTTCTTTTGATTTGGTATCCATTTCGGTCCTTTTTCATGGCTTCCACTGTCCATTTGTCTTCTCTACAGACTCCATGCACGTGACCAAAATTACCTTTCAAAGAAATCAGAAAAAAAAATTCAACTTAGTCAAACTCCATCAGTCACCATGTCTTTCATAAATATCTGTCGTGACAACACCGATCCTTTTTACCGTTATAAGATGCCTCTGATCCAGGCCAAGGTCGAGGGTAGAGGTAACGGTATCAAGACGGCCATTCCAAACTTGTCTGAGGTTGCCAGAGCTTTGGCTAGACCTCCAGCCTATGTGGTCAAGTACTTCGGTTACGAATTGGGTGCTCTAACTTCTTTTAAGGAGGAGGATGACCGTTACTTGGTCAATGGTTCTCACGCTCAGAACGAGTTGCAGGACTCGTTGGACGGCTTCATCAACAAGTTTGTCTTGTGTGGAGCTTGTAAGAACCCTGAGACACAGATTATCATCAAGGGTAAGGGTAACTTGCAGAAGGACTGTAAGGCTTGTGGTAGAATCACCGATATCGACTTGAGACACAAGTTGTCTTCATACATCTTGAAGAATCCCCCTCCAACTGCCGGAAAGAAGGCAGCCACTGCTACTGCCAACGTTGTTGGTGGAGGTAAGACTATCACAGAGATTGCACAAAACGCCGAGAATGGTGATAGCCCAAAGGAGATTGGTGACGACGATGACGATGCTTTGACCAAGAAGATCAACGCCGAGGCTGCAGCTTTGAGCAACGAAACCGTGGAGGTCAAAGACGAAGATTGGGCAGTTGACATGTCCAAGGCCGCTATCGAGGCCAGAGCCAGAGAGTTGGAGGGACTCAGTCTCAACGATAGCCAGACTAAGCTCACTGAGTTTGGTGAGTGGGTTTTGGAAGGTGCTGAAGACAAGGAAGACTTGCCATCCGACATCGACATTTACAAGAAGATTGTCGAGTTGGACCTCATAGAGAAGCCTGAGGTTGTCCTTGTGTTGGCACAGGTTTTGTTTGACGAGAACATTGTCGAGCAATTGAATGAGCACTCTGGTATTTTGGGTAAGTTGATCCATGCCAACGCAGATCTCGAGGGTGACTTCGAGAAGGCTTTCTTGGGAGGTTTGGAGCGTCTCTTGGGTACTGAGAAGCCTGAGTTGATTCCTTCTGTTCCAAAGATTTTGATGACTATTTACGACAAGGATTTGGTTTCTGAGGAGGCCATCATCAACTGGGGCTCCAAGGTGTCCAAGAAGTACGTGCCAAAGGATGTTTCCAAGAAGGTGCGTAAGGCTGCCAAGCCATTCATCCAGTGGTTGAAGGAGGCTGAAGAGGAGTCTGACGACGAGTAGGCATAGCAATTAATCCATACGATCCCTCACTGTAGAGTTTCCATGTTTCATTAATATACACTATTTCTTATACTGGCCTTTGTAATTCTTGGGGTTGTTTGGCATGTTGGACTTGTTAGGCATGTTTGGCATGTTAGGCATGTTAGGCATGTTAGGCATGTTAGGCATGTTAGGCATGTTAGGAAAACCTGGCATCCCTGGCATCCCCGGCATTCCTGGCATTCCTGGAAATGGGAATGGCATATTAGGCATTGGAGGCATCTTGCCTCCTGGACCACCCATAATTTTAGCCAAAATCTTCTGAGGATTGAATTCTCCACGCAATTTGTCTTGTTTATGACAGTAGGCAGACCATGTAAGCTCGTCGAATCCGTAGTTGAAGTAATCTGAAATATCTGCACCTGGAGCTCTCCATGGCTTGTCTTTGAGCTCCTCAAGATCTAGTTGAGTGAGAGGCTTGCCCTCATATTCAGCCGTTGCGTTCACATCTATCGCTGACGCCGCATCTGACTTGGCCACGATGGTAGTTCCGGACTTTTTCTTACCATCTGAATCTGCATCTTCATCGTTGACTTCTCCCACCGTGTCATTCAAAGGACCCAGTGTTGTGGTCACTGTAGACACTTTTGGTGCACTTTCACCTATAACAAACTCGATGTCGTCATCACTGGACTCTTCTTCTTCGTCTTCATCGTCATCTTCTTCACTTTCCAATTCTTTTTTGATTTCCTGTGGCTTTTCAGTCTCTTTTCCCGGCAGTGCCACCTTCTGACGTTTTGCAGGCGGCTGCTCGTCATCTGACCCATAGAGATAGGCGTCTTCGTCTTCGCTATTGGCCATGGTTGGAGGTATTTGTGGAATATTATAGTTTGTATTAGGTTATGGTAGTATTGGAGTGTATACACCCGTACCTCCAGAGTGCGGTGGGCAGTAGTATTTGACTTTGTCTCTTCATATCGCACTACAGGTCATTTTATGTCATAATACATTCATGGCTAATTACCTATAACTATAGACCGTGGACGTGAGTTGCCATTCTTCTCCTGCATCAATTGGATCCATGGCTGCCGACGGAACTTGTTCCTGTAGACAATTTCTTGGATAGCCCTTATCCACCGCAACTTCTCCTCCTTGTTGGCTGCACCAAAATCAATAATCTCCCCATTGGCGAAACGGATCTTGAATGCGTTCTGCACTAGAAGGATATCACTGAAGTTTCTGTAATTGCTCGACGACCGGTTGACGTTCTCCTTGTCCACGTAAATCACTTCCACAACCTTAGCCAAGTTAATCTTAGCCCTGGTCTTGTGAGAGAATTCACTGTGAGCTATGAGCGATGTTCCCGAAAGCTTGAACCACCTCTTTTTCCACGTTTCACAATCTCCTCCATCCTGATGCATATATCCCTCTACAATCAAATGGCTCTCAGTTCTCAATTCGTCCAAACTCTCATATGCCGATTTGATACTAGTTGGTAATATTTCGTATGGCTCAGATTTAGGAACGAAGAGCATTTTGACCTCAAGTTGAGCAATTTTGTATGGGTTGCGCTGGGTCACTTTACCTCCAATAGTAGCAGTTTCCCACTCATTGAAGCAAGAGATATTAAAATTGCGTGCAATACCTGTGATCTGCAGCTCGTATTGTTCCAAGTCAACATAACATCTAGCAAATGACCCGTCACCAGCAAACTTGTTCTGCCATGGGTCCTTCACCTCTTGAGGCACATACTTGGTGGTAGTGATGATCTCCTTAGACCCGAAGAGTCTGCTGATTCTGTTACGAGACTTTACCACCTTTTTCTCGTGTACCTCCACCAACGTACCTTTTGGCTTGTCGTAGATTGCTTTCATTGTCAAGATGAATTCAAGCGATCTACCAACAGTCAATTCGAACTCCTTGCCAATCAAAACATCCAGCGAATCAAGATTGTAGTTTGGAGTCTTGATACAGTGTACGCCATTATCCAATGTAATGGAAAACGATCCCTTTCTGGACTTGACATCCGGTAATGCAATATTCTTCAACCCAACGACTCTAAGGAAGAGCTTACCTCTGTCTGTTTCAATCGACAGTGGGACTGTCGAACCCTGAGAATCAGAAATAATTCTGTGTTGAGAATTCTGCTCAGATCTCAAAAGAGTGTCATCAGTAACATTTGAGGGAACGGAAACTGTGCTAAGAGCATGCTCATGTCTTGAAACCTGCTCTCTGATTTTCTCGTTTGCGATTTCTCCAACGAATGTCTGTCTCATCTTAGGGGGTTTATCAAGTACAACACCTGTGACTTCATCACCATTTTTCACAAGTCTCACGGGAGAGGAGTTGATCTTGATTGGAGATGATTTAGGCGTGTTCTTCTGTGGCGGAGTATTGCTTGCCTTGACAACATGAATCTTTGCTGACGGCTTCATTGGAACAGTGCCATTAATATTCCGTTGACTGCGTAAATCAGTCTCTGTTGGTGTCTTGATTTCCTCCATGGCAACTGGTTCTGACTTCTGGATTACATGTTGTATTGGATCTTCAAGAGGGGCATGAATAGGAGCATTAGCTGGAGGACGAAGAGGGCCACGCATTCCATGAATTGGAGGAAGTGGGGACAGCACATTTGCCAGAACAGGACCCAGTAAGCGACGTTGATGGTTTTGTACTTGGTGATCTTGCGTGGCTGGCTCAACTGGCTGGACCAAAGCTGTTTGAGAATCAGAATCTTCAATTGAGGCCTCAGTGATAACCTCATCTTTGAATGGTGATTGAGTAGCTGCTTTCATAGGACCAGAATCGGTTGATGTGACAACATTGGAAGGCTTCTGTGGAATTTCCCTAGAATGGAGCTCATCGTTAATGGTGTTACGGTCCTGTTGTGGAGAAAAGCCAGCGTTGCTAATCAACTCTGGATCTGGATCTGGGAAGGTTAATTGATCTTGTTTCTTCACAGGAATAATTCGAACTGGGGTCGAAATTTCCTCTGCTGACTTTGGAGATTCAAAAATACTATCTGACTTGAGCTGAAAGATGCTGAGATCATTCAAAATCTGATCCTTGGACTCAATTGCAACAGGAACAGATTGGAGCTCACCCATAACATGCGACAATTGACTCCTTCTCTTGTTGGGGTCAGAACTGGAAGTCAAAGATTCGCAGTGAACTGAAGCCAGCTGTTGAAATTTGTCGTAGTTGTCTTCTGGTTCTTGAATGACAGAGCGCTTTCTGGTTCCCACGAGCTTTAAGTTTGCATACTCTTCGTGGCTCATTGCTTGCTTCATTTGCAAAATTCTCTTGACATCCTCTCTATCCATACTTGGTAAGGTCTTCATTCCGCTAGCCTTTATGGTAGGGCGAGCAATGTCCTCAAAAATGTCATTATAGAAGTTCTTAGGCGACAATTTTGAGTTTGATCTCTTGATCTCAAACGTAGGTACATGGAACTTCGATTTTTTGACGGTAGTCTGAGGCTTTGGGACTTCTTGCATAGTCACAGAAACTGGCCTTAACGTGTTGTGGATTGAGTGGCTCTTCTTAGGAATTGGACCCGGAGCAGGTGGTTCCTCAACACTTGGATCATCAATCTGAGATAAGACATTCTGCATTCCTAAACTCCGTCTTCTCTCAACCTTGTGAGAGGCGACGCTCGTGCTCAAATCCGACTGGATAGTTTGACTGTGCATGAGACTCTTAAAGTGGCCCTCTAAGCCTGACGTCTGAGAAATCTCAGGCAAGAAGCCAGAAACTTGAAGATCTTCAAACCCTGGACTCACAACTCTCTTCGAAACAAGATTGACTTCCTTAAACTTCTTCAGTTTCAATGAGGCAGGAATGTGGTATGTGTTGCCATTTGAAAGGTCTGATGTGTTATAGTTCTGAAGATTTGGAACTTGATATGACAGCGGAGCGCGGGGTAGCTGGTGCTTGCGCTTTTGCAGTTGCAAGTGCCAGATCGAAAGATAGTCGATGTTTTTCTTGTCCTTGTCATGCTCAGCGGATAAAGATTCCTCGAAAGTAGAGGTCGGGTCTAAAAATCTTGCAACCGAAGCAGATGGTGGAGGCATCAAGTGCAGTGGAGGAAGAATGTTAGATGAATTTGCCAAAACGCTGTTGTCATGATCCTCTTGCTTCACCATTAATTTATCATTGACCTTAACGTCAGATCTATCCTCGAGGGAACGTTCATTCTTAGCATTAGTTGAAGTTTCCTTTTGGACTTTAAACGAGCCATCCATATCAAGATCTGGAGTACTTAGCACAACAAGATTAGGCGTAGACCCGTGATCAATTTTCAGTGGAGCCAATGTTTTCCCTAAAAGTTCCTCGGATGTATCCTCAAACAAATCGGACGCACTGCTATTATGACTCAATTTTTCATTGCTAGGCATGGCCGCATTAGAGTGATGAATGGTTTCAAGCTTAACGTGAGAGATGTTATCGGTGTCCTCGTCAATGTCGCCATCATTGGAAGACTCAATCTCGTCGGAAATTGCAGCGGGTCCCGCATCTTTTGGACTTGGCAGATTGGATGCTACGAGTCTGACTTGTCTGCTAGATCTGTAGGCAACGTCAGCTTGCGCAATTGACGCTGCTTCAGAGACTTCAAGATCTGCCGATGAGTTCGCTTCAAATGCATGATGGCGGACTGGAACTTGAAGCAGCAGGTCATGAAGGGCAGGATCCTCTGAGTTAGGGTGTTCCGAATAGTTCGTACTCTCGGAAATGCGAGTACCCTTGTTTTCGTGAATCGCATTGTTTTCAGGATTCTCATTATCTTCAATGTCCTCGGAATTGTCAATGGTCGTAGACTTGTCGAAGGATCGATTGAGAGGAACTTCCACCTTGACGGTAAATGAAAGCGAATCATTAACTTCTCGGCTGATATCTTCCGTCTTGATAATTGGCAGGTGCTGCACATCCTTGAGCGTTTCCTGAGGTTCTTCCTTTACATTGCCTTCGGTAGGCTCTTCTTTGGCGGCCCATTCGTTTTCGGAATCACTTTCCTGCTTCACAAGAGGTTCTTCGGGTTCAGATTTCACCACGATCTCACGTGGCTCTGCTTTGACGTTGGTATTAGATGGTTCCAGAATGCCTGTAGCAAGTGGCTTTGCATTATGCGTGCTCTGGGAGTCAGATCTGACGTGTGAGGTATTTGGCTCCTGCTTAATCTTTCTTTCCAAAGAGTTCTCCAGATGAACTTGTGTGGAGGGGATTTTCTCAACTGCATTTACATTAGTGGTGGCAATGGGAAGATTCACCTGAGAAGCCGAATTGAGAAGATTCATAATCGACTTTTCTGTAAGGTTGTAGGAATGGTCGAAAGAGTCCTGAAACACCTCTTCTTCCGAATTAGACTCAATCATAGAGGATCTCTTCACGTCGAACGTGAGAATCTCGGGGCTGGAGTCTCGCTGCAAGTCTGGAATATCTGTAGAAGGAATAATCAGACCTGCTACGGCATCGGAAAAGCCCTTGATTCCGTCATTCAACTGGATTCCTGAAGACAGCGCAGCAATGCTATTGTAGTTCAATTGACGATTGGAGTCCATGAGCGACTGGAGAGACGACTGGGATGAGCCAGCTGACCTCAAACGCACTTCTTGGGTCTTATGGAGCACATTCAATGGGTTTTCGAGTTTTTCGCGCTGGTCATCTAATTGGAACGACAAGTGATGGATATTTACTTCCGTCTCCTCCTTCTTTGCCAAATTTAACTTCTCCAAGTGGTCGTCAAGATCATCTTGGGCCGCATGTGAGCTGTTATTGAGAAAAATATCCAATTTTTCGTTCAACGAAAGGTTGCTATAGTTCTTGTGGCTCAAGCGGTACTCACTCAACACGGAAATGTCAACATCATCATTCTCGGCCTCGTCTTCGTCGTTTTGTGGAGATAAAAGTCCAGTAATGGTATTCGACGTATGTGGAGGAGGCACTGGAGGCGGGGATGCGTTGGTGCTCTCTGTGACCTGGTCATTCTTGTCCATTTCCGACCACATGTGAATTAGAGAACTCAGTACTTCCAAAGTGGGGGAGTTTTCGTGGTCTGTAGTGGGTGTGTAGTGATGAAGGGTCTCCAAGTTACTCTGTTCAGGGAAGGCGACGGATTTCTTAGGCGACGTTGAAGGAGTGCCAGTAGACTTCATTATGGACTTACTGGGCAGTACCGTATGTCTGCTTTTTGCGTCGAAATCCTCGAACTTGTCCATTCCGTCTTCGATTCTGTGGTTTTCAGGTCCCAATTGCGAGTCATTCATCCAGAAGTTGGCCGCCTCGTCAGGCGTCTCCAAGTTATGTTCAAACGACGTCAGATGAGTGTGAGCAAGGGCATCGTGGTCACTAACATATGTGTCTGAGCTGGAGTTGCAGTCCCGGTCATTCTTTTGATTCTTGTGATTTTGGACACTGAGCGGTTTGGTTGGCGAAGGCGCGTCCAGAAGCGGGTCGATGATATTTGCCGGGTCATTGAACGCCAGTGTTCCCATTTCTTTGAGAAGCAAGTCCACCGAATCTGTGGGCGTTAGTAAAAAAATAGAAAACAAAACTGGGGGAGTTGAACTTTGTGAGGATGTTCACGGTCCCACGAGTTCACGTACCATTTTCGTGCTTGAATATGTCGCTGGAGTCCATGGCAGCGACGGGGGGAGTCAGCAGCATGAGGTGAAGATGTACTAGGATATTTACACTTTGAGTTGAGAGAAGGTTGTTGTGTTTGGAGTTTTCCCCAAAAGGTGGAAAAGTAAACAGGACTTCGTTGTGTGCAGTCCGTACCCTGTAGACATTTAAATGGGATGGAGGGATCTCACAGAGAAAAAGACAGGAAATTCTTGTAAGGAGACATTAACATGTGGAGAAGGGAAGGATGAATTTGTGGGTTTGATTTGGTGGAAAAAGAGGCAGGTTTTGATTTTTTATGGAAGTTTTTGTTTTGACAGTCTCGTTTAGAGTTAGTGACGAGTCGCACATTTTGTAGGGAAAAGTGAAGATGGGGAAAGGGAAAGACAAGAAAAAAAATAGAGAAGAAATTGAAAATCGAAAAGAAAGAGCAAAGGTAGGATAGCAAATCTATGATAGGGAGCTAAGGTAGCAAATGGAAGGATTTGCTAGAGAGAAAGTCCTGGTTACCATTAAACATTCACTAAGTCGTCTTTTGAATCAATCGACCTTAAGGGTGCGAAGACTTGGACCATTGATGGTTAGGTTCATGTGCGTTGCGGAGATAATAGCGAGAAACGGTGGATATTATTGGCTGGAAAGTAATCAAATTAACAAAATGAATCAATTGGCTAGGCAGGAACTGAATTCGTCAATTTGGACATTCTACTGGACACTCAAAGATGGTTGGCGTCAGGTTGATTGACTGGATTAACTCAAGATGTTCTGGTGTTCCATTGACTAGAACGATTTATAGGCACCATGTATTACCAGTTTGAAAAGGAAAGGTATGAGAGGTAAGATAGGTGAGAAGGGTGACTAAAACAAAAAATTGTGACAAACAGTGAAATGAAAAAGTGAAGTGAAGAAGACTAAAAATGAGCATGAAGATAGGACAGTCAAGTATCAGAACGTAAAATAAAATACTAAGAATCACTCGGTTCACCTCAGTATGACCTTGGAATGACCGTTTGACGTCAAGCCATCGAGTGTCCTCGAGTTTGCGCACGAAACCCTAGTTATACACTCACACCACATTCCACTCTAAACCTAGATTTTCTTCAAATTAACCCAAAAACGTCAAGATTTCTTGGACCATGTTTGGAGCATGGACCTACGACATTAATGCAAACAATGTTAATTACCGTCGGCAATTGTTCATGTGCCTGAGACGGTACAGGTGGTACAGGAATGATACAGATAAGGTGTTGCTATTTAAGTCATGAAATGTGAATTTCAGAGGTCATGATTGGAAAGTTGATAAAAATACAAGGAATTTAAAGTGATATGATATATAAATTGTACCAGGGATGTTCTATTACATCCACGAAATAGAATTAACTTTATTCTGAGCTATAGTCACGTGCGCAGTCACGAGACCCTTTCTCACCGCCCTATTCCCAATCACCAGGGCTACTACTATTGTTATGTTAACGACATCCATGTGTGTTGACATATCTGATGATATTCAGGATCAAATCACATCTTAAAGTCCCAGTTTGAAGATTTCAGTTCATAACCATCGCCTTTCCAAGTTTCAATTTTTCAGGTCATTTTCTTTAGTTTCTGGTCAGTAGAACCATTTTTATTTATTTCCATTTATCTTCTCGTCAATTTCCAATACTTTCCCTATTTTTCTCTTCAGGTATATCCTATCACCACGTTTCCCTTTTTCGCGTACTTTCCTTTTTTAAACTCAGCCCAGTGGCAGTGCAGCAACCTCCCCTGCCCTCGGAACTCCCACGACATTCACCTCTGACTCCTTCCCCATACCGTTCTCCTGCGCCGGCAATCCGTCCACATCTGCGGCTTGTGTTGACAAAACATCCCGAGGGCACGACACGCGTGTTCTCCTGCAGAGAACAAAGTAATGTGTCTTCTGTTTACGCAATTATGGTATACATACAGGAAAAGGTTCCATTGCACCTTGTGTCAAGGCAATTATTTCTCCGGTGTCGTCTAGCCTTTCTTTCTTTTTCTACCCTTTATCTCCAACTCCTGCTGGCTTAACCACAATTTTTTTTTCTCCTGACTTTTGTTCTTTTCTTAACTCTAGTCTATTCGCTCGCTATGTTGTTGAACTCTCTTGTGTTGGCAATCCTCGCCAGATTTGTGGCTGCTGCCTCTTCCTCTTCAAACTCTTGTTCTCTTTCCACCACTCTCTCTGCTGCCTCGGCTGTGCTGAACTTGAACTCGTGCCCAACTTTGGAAGGTAAGATCGAGATCACCGGTGACCAAGTGGCTAACTTGGACTTGAGTTCCGTGGAGGTTGTTGAGGCCGACTTGTCCATTTTCAACTCGTCGTCCATCCAGGCCATCAACTTTTCCGGCTTGGAAAATGTCACTGGTTCTTTGGACTTCACTGCTTTGACTCAGTTGAACAACATCGATTTCTCCAAGTTGACCTCTGCTGAGGAGTTGTCGTTTGTGTCGTTGCCATCTTTGGCCCAACTCAACTTGAACTCGGGCTTGGCCAACGTCTCCTCGCTCACCTTGTCTGACACTGCCTTGTCGTCCATTGACTCCCTCTTGAACTTCAAGACCATTGGAGTGTTGAACGTCAACAACAACAAGAACATCTCGTCCATTGACTTGTCCACCTTGAAGACCGTCACCGAGGGCTTGACCTTGTCATTCAACAACGACAATGCCACCATCAAGTTGGAGAACTTGGTTTGGGCTGCCAACTTGACCATCCAGGACGTTGGTGAGGTTTCCATCTCGTCTTTGGAGGCTGTCAACGGCTCCTTCATCTTGGGATACAACGGTTTCGACTCCGTCGAGTTTGACTCGTTGAACACCGTGGGCTCTTCTTTCCAGGTCTTCGCCAACGACAACTTGGAGTCGTTATCTTTGGCCAACTTGACTGAGATTGATGGTGAGTTCCGTGTTTTCAACAACTCTTTGTTGCAGGACATTTCGCTTGACAACTTGGCCACCATCAAGGGTGCATTGGCCATGTCTGGAGACTTTGGTAACTTCACCTTGCCAAAGTTGAAGGAGGTTGACGGTGACTTCTCCGTTTCTTCCACCTCTGAGGACTTCTCTTGTGAGGCTTTCAACGACTTGCACGATGACAAGAAGATCAAGGGTCACAACTACAACTGCTCTTCGCCATCTTCGTCTGTCGTTTCTTCTGGCTCTGCCACTTCTTCTGGCTCGTCCAAGAGTACCGGATCTGGATCCGACTCCTCCTCCACGAGCTCTTCCTCGTCGTCTTCCTCATCCTCCAAGACTGGAGGTGCCGGTTACTTGACTCCAGGCATGTTGATCTCCACTGTCATTGGTGCAGCCTTTGCTTTGATCATGTAATGTAAGTAATAAATTAATGTTTGGTTTAATGAGCGTGGTATTACTTGTAGTCTCTTTGAGAAAGACTATTCTAAATTTTGTTCTATATCCCAATCTATTTTCTATATTCAATTCAACATACCATTTTTTCAGTTCAATTCGACAGAGAGAATAGAGAATATTCACAATATTCTATCCTATTTTCATTCCCCTATGCATTTCCTCTTGTACTGCATTTTCTGTCCACTATTGATGTCCTCCAACTATTCTTTACCAACAAAGCAATTCTATGCCCGTGTCCTAAAAATAGCTGGGCGCACAGCCTTCTAGAACAACATAAACATTCTCTCTCAATGAAATTTTCTTCGTTTAACCTCTAACCATTCTATTCCAGCAAATTCTCCACCAATTATAATCGGTCAAATCATCATCCCTCCCTTTCTCGATCAAATAGCTTTAAATCCCAATTGGGCATTCGCGACTGGTGTAGCTTCAGGTTGGAAACGTAGCAGGTTCTCGACATTATCTGCAGGACCAGTATGATGCACTTTCCCGATTCGATTAATTACTGGCCTATACTTTTCACCCGACCAGACATTTACCCTGGAAACGTACCTTACGAGGATTGACGGCCAAATTTCGAAATTGAAGTCACCAACTTTTTTTTCAAAGTCAAAAAACTGCCATACTATTGCCCATAATGGACGCCTTCAAATCCGCCAACCAGGACCATATTGTCCAAGCTTATGAAAAGTTACTGGCCGATGATCAAACCAAGCTTTTGGCTCAGATTTCCAACATCGATGACCCTGTCAGACTCGTGGAAACCGTGAAAAGTGCTATCCAGTTCTCTGCTTCGGCAGCATCTAAGACTTTTTCCCAGCTTCCTGCTAGCTCCACAGGTTCAACCTTGGAAGATAGTGAAGATTTGGCCAGGTGGTCCAAAATCGGCTTGGACGCCATTTCCAGAAATGAAGTGGCCGTGTTGCTTTTGGCAGGTGGCCAAGGCACGCGTTTGGGCTCCAGTGACCCCAAGGGCTGCTTCAACGTGGGATTACCTTCAGGCAAATCTTTGTTCCAGATCCAGGCCGAGAAGATCAGAAAAGTCCAGCAACTTGCTGGCAAAGGCGGCAAGGATGCTACCATTCGTTGGTACATCATGACCTCTGGCCCCACCAGAGAGGCTACCGAGCTGTTTTTCAGCGCCAACAACTACTTTGGCTTGCAGAAGGACCAGATCGTCTTCTTCGACCAGGGAACGTTGCCTTGCTTCAACTTGTCTGGCACCAAGATCTTGATGGAGACGCCTTCGTCACTCTGTGAGTCACCAGATGGTAACGGAGGCTTATACAAGGCCCTTGACAAGGCCAAAATTTTGCAGGATCTCCACCAGAAGGGAATCAAGCATCTTCACATGTATTGTGTGGACAACTGTCTAGTGAAAGTGGCCGACCCTGTGTTTGTGGGATTTGCCATTGACAGAGAGTTTGATTTGGCTACCAAAGTCGTGAGAAAGAGAGATGCCAATGAGCTGGTCGGGCTCATCGTCTTGGAGGAAAATACCAACAAACCATGTGTCATTGAGTACAGTGAGATTCTGAGAGAATTGGCTGAGAAGAAGGACCCACAGGACTCATCCAAGTTGTACTTACGTTCGGCCAACATTGTCAACCACTACTATTCTGTTTCACTTCTTGAGAAGAAGCTTTGTCTGTGGATTTCATCACAGGAGTACTTGCCATTCCATATTGCCAAAAAGAAGATTGCATGTGTGGATTTGGTGACTGGCGAACAGGTGAAACCTTCGGAGCCTAACGGAATTAAGTTGGAGCAGTTTATTTTCGATGTTTTTCCCTCAGTGGACCTTGATAAGTTCGGGTGCTTGGAGGTAGACAGAAAGGAGGAGTTTAGTCCGTTGAAGAATGCCGTGACCGCTGCCAACGACAACGCCAACACGTGTAAGAAGGCGTACTTGGAGTTGGGAACCAGTTGGGTTAAGAAAAATGGTGGAATCGTTCCTGACGGAGCATTGGTGGAAGTTTCCAGTCTTAGCAGTTACAGTGGAGAAGATTTGGACTTTGTTAAGGGTCGTGAGTTCCAGGATGGCGACAAGATATAGATAATTTAATTGGTACTAGTTGAAACACTCAAAGTTGGTGCATTAGGAAATGACGTAGATGTGCAAGCAAGCAGTATAAGCAAATGCAAAGGCAAAACAAAGTTGTAGAAGCAAGACGTACAGCAAAGATCTGCAAGCAAGATCGATTCACGGTTCAGTACATGGAACTACAGAGAATGCGATTATTTACACTTATTTACACTTTTCATGGTTTTGAAGGAACATGGCCAGAGTGTAAACCCGTAGGCTTAGCAATTCGTAGACCCAATTCCACCACTTACTCAAAGCCAATCCTACTTGGTCCAAATAGCAAACTTGAAAAAACAAAAATTCTTTTTCCAAACATTGCTATATCCATTTAAAATCGTCATATAATATCTCGTATACACAAATCTTTCTCAAATGTCAAATTTTAGTATACTAATAGCATTTGGAGAAATGGTGGGGTCCCCCACCTCCGACATAATCATCACGGAGCTCCATCTGTATCCTCCGAATTATCATTTAAGCCTTGTAGCAATCACAAGCTCATAGCCGTATGTCGCGAGTCGATGTCTGAATTTCTCTCAAATTCCATTTTTTTTCTTGCTACCCTGCCTCTTTCCTTGCTATCTCAACCGTTTCTCCATCATCCTACTGCAGATTACAGCACAAGAGCCCTACTCCACAATCGACAAAATTCCACTTTATTCGTCTCTAGGGCTAATTTGCACGAAAAATTTCTTCTCGCATCTCGCTCTACTCGCTTGCTAGTTGCTGATCTTATTGGAAGATATATTCTGGTGAATTTTCCCCCCACTCATTCAGTCTACTCCATTTCAACATAGACTTTAGACCAATAGAATGCCCCGTCGCTCTTCCACTGCTCCCTCAGTGCCCGTGGTAGCCACCATCGACATCGGTACTACTTCGGCAAGATGCATTTTGTTTGCCAAAGACGGCACGGAGGTGGCAAAACACCAGATCGAGTACTCGACCTCGGCCTCGGAAGCTCCAGCCGAATCACTGAACACTGATCAATTTCGGCGCAGAAGTTCGCTCGCTCGTCACAACGACCCGATTTTCACTGCTGAGGGTGTGGCAATTCTGATTTCTGACCATGTTGAAATCGAAAACAACGCCGCTTCAGTCGGTCCCACCTTACGCTTTCCTCAACCTGGATGGGTCGAATGTATGCCCGTGCACATCTTGGCCAATGCCGTGCAGTGTCTTGTGGCATGTCTCATCACGTTGCGGAAGATCAACCAAAACCCAGACTTGAAGATCAAGTATAAGGTCAAGTGTATTGGTATTGCCAACATGAGAGAGACTACCATTGTATGGAACAGAAAGACTGGAAAGCCATTGAGCAACGGTATCACATGGACAGACACTAGAACGGCTGAGATCGTGCAACATTTGGAGAATATGACTGACCAGGAGTTGAAGGACGAGATGCGTGAGAAGACCGGGTTGCCATTGTCCACGTATTTCAGTGCTGCCAAATTGAGATGGCTCTTGGATAACGACGACGTGATCCGTGAGGAGTATGAGAAGGGTGAGAACTTGATGTTTGGAACTGTTGATACCTGGCTTATCTATCACTTGACTAAGGAGAAGGCGTATGTGACAGATGTGACCAATGCATCCAGAACATCATTTATGAACTTGGAAACACAAGACTACGACGAGGAGTTGCTTGACTTTTGGGGCATTGATCCTGACAAAATCAGCTTTCCTAAAATTGTTTCGAGTTCCGAATTCTACGGTCTGTTTGTTGCTCCCAACTTATCCAACTTGGGTTTCCACAACAAAATCACCCAGGAGGCTTACGATATGTTGAAAACCATTTACAATGTTCCAATCTGTGGCTGTCTTGGTGACCAGTCAGCTTCGTTGGTGGGACAAATGGCAGTGACCCCGGGCTCTGCAAAATGTACCTATGGAACAGGTTGTTTCCTCTTGTACAACACGGGAGTGAACAAGTTGATCTCGCAGAACGGAAATCTTACCACGCTCGGCTTTTGGTTTCCAACCCTTAATGGTGACGACGGTAAGCCCCATTTCGCGTTGGAAGGTTCCGTGGCGGTGGCTGGTTCCATTATTCAGTGGTTGCGTGACAACTTGAAGCTCATTGAAAGTGCCAAAGATATTGGTCCTTTGGCCTCACAGGCAGATACCGCCGGTGGAGTGGTATTTCTCCCAGCATTCTCTGGTCTCTACGCTCCATACTGGGACCGTGGAGCCCGTGGTACCATCTTTGGTATGACACAGTACACTACGGCAGCCCACATTGCTCGTGCTGCCTTGGAGGGTGTGTGTTTTCAAGTGAGAGGCATCTTGCGTGCCATGGCAGAGGATGCTGGCGGCGCCAAGGATTTCTTGGAAGAAGCTCTTAGCTCTCAGCACCAGGATAAGCTTTTGTCAACTTTGGCCGTGGATGGAGGTATGTCTAAGGCTGATGAGGTGTTGCAGATCCAAGCAGATATTTTGGGGCCGTGTGTGACAGTCAAGAGAGCAGATAATGCAGAGTGTACAGCATTGGGAGCTGCTATTGCTGCCGGTTTGGCATTCAAAGACGAAAACGAGAGAGTTTGGAAGGATTTCGATGATGTGGTTTCTAGTCTTTCCAGCGATGATGATCTGGCCAATATTTTCAGCGCAAAGCTTCCTGACGACGAGAGAAGAAAGAACTGGAGAAGATGGGAGCGTGCTGTGGATCGTGCCAAGGGCTGGTTGGATGAGGACTAGAAAACCTAATGATTAGAACTGTGTGCTTGTGCGTGTATTACTATCTTATTAAGTAGAATGAAAAGTATCCAAGTTTTGGTGGATTTAATATTCATCCCGCGTTTAGGCATTTGAAATTACTTTGGGTAGAGTTACGCTTTTCCTATCATGAAACTGAACTGTCAAATATCCACGTCAATTTCCATAAATACTAATTACATCTGATTTCTATTCCTCTGAGCTGCTGTAGTCATCGATATCCACCTGCTCCACGGTATCATCTTCACTCAATAGAATAGAGTGGGTGAGAATATCATTGTCATGGTCCATCGAAGTGTTCTCTACATTTTCAAACACAAAAGAAGAATCTACACCCACAGCAACCTTCTCCTTCTTAGGTGACAAGGATGTGAAGAAGTCCTTGGCAAAATCAGAACCCTTTTTTGCAATTTTGTCAAGCTCTGCCTGTTGCTGGTCCATGCGATCACGCACTTCTGAAAGGAACTTATTGTTGAACATGGTGGAAGCCTTCTTCTTGACCAATTCCTGGTTATTCGAGAAAATAGTTGATGCCTTCTTCATGGTTTCCTGGTTATTAAAAATAGTTGAGGCTTTCTTCTTCATGAACTGCTGGTTCGCGGAAAACATGGACGAAGCCTTCTTGGTCAATTCTGGAGGTGGAAACAAACCACCAGATCTATGAGGAGTCTTCTCTGGAGATCCATTTGAAGACATATTTAAGGATCTCTCTGGAGAACGATATGGTGACCGATGCGGAGACTGATGTGAAGACCCATTTGCACCTATTTCTGAAGCTTCAATCTCCACCTTATCGTTCTCGTTGGTCTCAGGACTTATGTTGGGCCAATTGGCCAGGAATATCGTGCTCACCTTCTTTTTCAACATGTTGACCTCCTCATTAGCACGAGTCTTGATAGTTTCCAAAGGACGATCCTTATTAATCTCCAGATGAAGTTGAGCCTGGAGCTCCATGAGCTCGAAGCGAAGAACCTCGGCCTGCTTCTCCAACTCCATCAACTTTGCCTGTTTCGAGGCATATTTCGCTAGAAGGTCGCTCTTAGTGGGAGCCGCAGGCTCTTTGGACTGTTCAACTATGGGCACACTAACCTTTAAGCCCTTAGATCTGGCTGGAGACACCTGGGGCGCATTTCTCAGTGGAGAGAGTTGGAGCTTGACGAGTCCGGTAGTTTCCGAGATGATGCGATTTCTGGGGGTCAAAACCCCGACATTTTCCTTATCCATATGAAGAAAACAGTAGGTTCCACTAGTAGAATGGATTTGAAAAGCTGATCTTAGCCTTCTGAAATTTTGCTAGTCATTTAAAGGTCATTGCCTAATTGGGAAAAATGATCAACAGAAGAAAGTGGGTACGATCCACAACGGCAGACTAAGAACGTTCGGCGGCATAGGTTTCTGCATAGATCTGGGCATCTAGTGAATCACCTGTATTTTGTCTCTGAGGGTGTGGTGGCATCAGGTGAGTTGATAAGGAGACGCACCTGGCCGATCGTGGTCCGATGACGAAGGGTTATATGACTCAAAGATAAATTAAGGGATAAAATTGATGAGTCAGGGTGATTTTGCTTTCTCAGAGTTTTAGTCTTGTCGCTTTTTATTTCATGTCAATTTTTTTTTTTTGAAATATTAGACTTGTCACTATATTACTAGTAGGTAGTTTGTATGTCTATTTTCAAGCTATTTTCTTCTCACTTCCCCTTCTTCGACTAATCCAATTTATTGATTCTTTTTTCTACAGCCAATTTCTCTATCATATGCTATCCAATTCTATTAAATACTCTATTACCTAAACCGTTTCCAAGAATTCCTCGTTGGCAAAGTGGAAGTCGTTGACTCTAACCTTGAACTCGTCAGTCTCCTTGTTGTATTCAAGAATCTCGAATGAAGACAAGTCGTCAACAACAATGTCTGCACCAGCATCTCTCACCTTCTGTGGTCCGTAGGTGGAGCAGATACCGACAACCATGGCACCAGCACCCTTACCAGCAGCAATACCAGCAGGTGCATCCTCAAAAACAACGACCTTCTTAGCTTCATCCTCGTAGCCCAAGTCGTTTCTGGCGTTTTGGTAGCCCATAGGGTGTGGCTTACCCTTGGTAACCTTCTCAGCGGTGATAAAGGTGTCAGGCTTCTGGATATCCAAGAGCTTCAACCACTTGGTGGCCAAAGGCAAGGTTCCAGAGGTGACAATGGCCCATCTCTGCTGCTTGTTGGCAGTTTCCTCTTTAGAGAGCTTGTCAAAAGACTTAACCAACTCCACAGCTCCTGGAATAGGCTTAGCATGGTGGCCAAAAGTGTCTGGAATGGAAGCTTCCCAGGCAGTCACCTGCTCTTCAATAGCATCTTCTGGAGACCACTTGGCGATAACGTCAAATGTTCTGCATCCATGAGAGGTTCTGATAATTTCCTCTGGCTTAACATGTGGTCTGGTTTTTCCAAACTCTCTCCAGAACTCTGAAATAGCTCCAGTAGAGTTGACTAACGTTCCATCACAGTCGAAAAGAGCTGCGTTGACATGGAAAATAGCTGGTTGATTCTGAATCGTCATTGTAGTGAATGTGGTTGATGATGTGGAAATATGATTTTGGGGAGCGGATCGTCTACTCTTTATATAGTGTATGTGCCTTTCTTTTTCCCGTATCTATTACAATCATAGATGAGATGGCCTGCACGCATAGCTATCTCATGATGTACCTACGCCGGATTAATTGCTCCTTACCTGCAGAATGTTGATGGTTATGCCTGTATGAAGTGTAATAATTGATCACCAGACCCTTTCCTTTTTCCCCCTCCCAACGTTCCTTTTTCTTCTTTACATTTTTTATTTTTGCTGCCCGACAATTTGCTGTACTAACGTGACTTAAGAGTAACGAGATTTTTCCTGGAGGTCCGGGTGTTTCGTGACCTCTTCCAACTCCTTCAATACTTGCTACTACATTTCAACATGCTACGTGTACTCTGTTTGAACCATCCCAATACGGTCCAATCTTCTTGTCACTACGTCATTTTGACGTAGCTGATTCTCAGACAGTGGTTCCTCGTGTTTACGGATAGGCAATATGACATCACTGACTGCAGGATACCTACATAGAGTTGGAATATTCCTAAAGCCTAGACGCCAATAGGTCCAATTCCCAACCGTATCTAGGAGACCAATTGATCCGGAATGTTTCTTTTCAAGCGGAACTTGCCGTTTTGATACACGGGGCCTCTTTCTTTGGATGATATCATTCCCGGCTACTATATACAGGACAAACATAACTTAATCCCTAGTTTGGATTCCTTTTGTCCTGCGATCCGTACTGTCCGTAGAGAATTTTCAACTGAATTTTGTTCGTATACCCGGCGGCTACATGCTTGTTCCATCTTGGCGGGGCCCCTCCTTTCTTGACCAAAAGAAATGGACACAAAAGCTAATTGTCCTGCAGACTACATCATCATCATAGTTACCTACACACCTTTGCCTCTCAAGATTCTACTAAACTAACTTCTAATTGAAATCTTTAACCATGTCTTGTGAAAATGAACATTTCCACCTGCATGGAGGCCATAACGACGACCACGATCATGACCACGACGGCCACGACCACGTAGCACCCGTACCCACGTCTGTTGCTCAACTGTTGAACTCCAAGATCAACCTACCGCAGGTGACAGCATTAAACTTGCAAAATGAGAGGGAAGATTTGGCCAAAATGTTCAAAAGTGCAGAAAACAGATATCTGTTGAAGCCAATCATTAAGTCTGATGCAGACGAGCAGCTCATACTCCACATTCCGTTCCTCAATGGAAGCGTGAAGTTGCATCTGATGATTTTGCGGACTAATGGAGACAAGTATTGTCCCAAAACCATTGAGATGTGGAAAAACAACCGAGGAATTGATTTTGACTCCGTGGAACAGTTCAAGCCGAATTTCAAGGTGGAACACCCGCATGTAGGTGTTGCAGTCAATGACGATGATGACGATGACGAAGAGGTGCCTGAAACATTAGAATCAGATGCAGATTTCGTGGAGCACCATCTTCCCAGACACGTCTTCACTGGAGTTCAGCACCTTACGTTGTTTTTCAAGGATATTTACGGTGATGAGGAGGAGTGCCATATCCATTCCATTGAGTTGAGAGGGGAGTTCACGGAGTTGACAAAGGACCCTGTAATCACGATCTATGAGGCTGCAGCCAATCCTGCCGACCACAAGAAGGTGGAGGCCACGAATTATCTGATGAGTATGAATTAGGAGGGTAATGACGATTTATGACAATTGGTTGGGGAGTGTAATCTTTTGAGGTGGCAGATCAAGTACTAAGAATTTGAGCACCAAATATTTGGGAGGGTAGGGTAAGGTTGACTGCAAAGTTAAGTAATTTGGTAGAAGAGGCTTTAAGGACAGGAATAAGGCGGATTTACAGTACTTCTAGCCAATTGAAATCTATACTGGCTACGAAAGGGTACCGGATAATCAAAAATGAAGACTTAAGAAGGATGCGTTGATGATTCACATACATTTGAACAACCACACTGAATTTTGGATTCAGTTTCGGCCCCATTTCATCACCGATTGAAGTCACCAATACAGTCACTATGCTCATTAAATCTTACTACGACCACATGAATTCAATATTTATACACTAACCCCATAATTTACGATTATTAAATGTACCTGATCAGTAGTTCATCAGCCAAATGAAGAAGCTATTCCACCTCCGTAAATCTTTCATCACGGAAACTCATCAACCTCATCAAAATTCTCTTGACATCAAACTATTGACACATTCAACCACAATTCCATTCCTCCTGTCGCCCCATTCTATTCCCTCTAGTCCTCAGATCACTACCATTATCACGATCATCACTGACCTGCTAATACTTTATCCTGTAGGTGCCCCGGAGACGCATATTTCACAGCCAACCACCAGATTTCCGGGCACAAAGATTACAATACTACGAACATTAGAAAAAAATCTTATAAAGCACGATAACTGCAAAAAATAACCTCAAATCCCATCAGTAAATCCTACCAACTCGTTCGAGTTATTTCTTTAAAACCTTTCCCAAACCTAGTTCACTCAATTCTCTCCAACTTTCTTCTCGTCCACTATATGCACCACTTCCGTCCAAGCGCATGGTCCAATAGGCTATTTCCAACATACGAATATTGAATGATTTGACGGAATGGCCCCATTGATCGCTTGAAAAGTAGTCACATGGTCTCTGGATCCATTCTATTGACCCAATTTAGCCCATTCTATATTCACACCACCTTCTCGCCAAATATTTCCTGGTCCTCTACCGGAGTCTATGCTCGGAGTTTCCCACAAGTAGTTACCCATAGTAAATGTCGAATTTCCACTACACAAACGTCAACAAATACGTCTTGAGTATGGAATTTTAACAATCTCTCATTCAATTTCTATATTTCACCACAAAACCCCTTAAAAATCTCCACAGTCTCTCCTCCAAAAAACCTTCCACTGTGGCAGTCAGGTGAGCCTCGGACTTCAATCCTCCACATTTGCCAGGTATATAAACCCCCGGGCACCCATTCTCAAAAAAATTCCAACTAACTACATAATCACATAATGCCTAAGCTTGTTTTGGTCAGACACGGACAATCCGAATGGAACGAAAAGAACTTGTTCACCGGTTGGGTGGACGTTCGCTTGTCGGAGGTTGGCCAGAAGGAGGCCAAGAGAGCTGGTGAGCTCATCAAGGAAGCTGGTATCCAGGCTGATATCTTGTACACTTCCAAGTTGTCCAGAGCCATCCAGACCGCTAACCTCGCCTTGGACGCTGCCGACCAATTGTACGTCCCAGTCAAGAGATCGTGGAGATTGAACGAGAGACACTACGGTGCCTTGCAGGGCAAGGACAAGGCCCAGACCTTGGAGCAGTACGGTGCTGAGCAGTTCCAGACCTGGAGAAGATCTTTCGACATTCCTCCTCCAGACATTGAGGATGACTCCAAGTACTCGCAGGTTGGTGATGTTCGTTACAAGGACATTGACCCAGCTGTGGTTCCAAAGACCGAGTCCTTGAAGTTGGTCATTGACAGATTGTTGCCATACTACCAGGACGAGATTGCCGGCGACTTGTTGCAGGGTAAGACCGTGCTCATTGCTGCCCACGGTAACTCCTTGAGAGCTTTGGTCAAGCACTTGGACAACATCTCCGATGAGGACATTGCTGGTTTGAACATTCCTACTGGTATTCCATTGGTTTACGAGTTGGACGAGACCTTGAAGCCAACCAAGCCAGCTTACTACTTGGACCCAGAGGCTGCTGCTGCCGGTGCTGCTGCTGTTGCTGCCCAGGGTTCTAAGAAGTAGAATATACGATGAATTGAGTGAATGATGTAGAACATGCAAGTATGAATTGGTCGATCGAGGTGCTTGTATAAGTTGCATTTAAGTGTAGAAGCGTTCTCCGTTGCAATGCATCACTTTATTTAGGTTAAACTTCGCTAATTTGTCCATTCCATGGGAACACTGTCTTGAATATCCCATTAGAGTCTACGTACACTTGTAAGTGTCAATGCCCTCTTAATGATTTGCGATATTTCGAATTGAATTGTAGCTCGCTCTCAGCAAGCATTGAAGTAGACCCAACTGTTACATCGTTCATGCTCTTTCTCACGATACACCCCGGAAACTGTTCCATTTGGAATCAACTTAGTAGTTGGTTCTTAAGCAGCATCTGACCATCAGTTTGGAAAACGAATTTTTAGCCTTAAGTAGCATTCAATACATGTTTGATCCAAGCCCATCGCTACAGAATTGCAGGAGCAACTCCTAATTCTGAACTTAACTCCCAAATTGGCTTGTCCACTATGGCAGCAAAGAGAAAAATTAAAAATAAAACAAAAAATGATGCACCTACAATCTGAAAAAACACCACCCACCCATACCTATCTAGCACCTGGTAACAGTCAACGGAATTCGAAAAACACAACTGCTGGTCATTTTCAAGCTCGCCTATCGTCTGATTAAGGTCGCCAGCCAAAACTCGTGGCTTGATGAATATCACGTTACAGTTTACCCACTTCTGTCCACGAGCAAAATTCCAGTTGAAAATTCCAGCAGGATCACTCAAATCATTTGCAAGTTGCCTGTTAGCGATTTTGAGAACATCCACCAATGTAGTGGACGAAGGTAATCTAAACTCCACAAAGTATTCATGAACAGTCAACCACGATTTAATCAAGAACTTTACTTCAATCCTTTGATCAGGAGAAGAAAAGGTAGGCTGAGGTGAAGATTTAGGACCTTCAGACTCAGAAGGCATAAGGTTCTCCAATTCCTCGTCAACCATAATCGCAGTAGTTAGAGATAAGTTAGGGGATTATTCCTGCGTCAAACGTCAAGATCACGTCAAGGTTACGTCAAACTGCGCGAAGAACGAAAGTAATCTTGCTAGCATTAATTTACGAGATTTCAGCTATTTTCATTAATGTAACAAGTATTGATCCCATGGGAAGGAGGATGATCGAAATGACTTTCCGGATTTCTTATTAGTAATTTCATTTCATTTCTATGTTTTCGTAAGTACAAACAACGAAACTCATTGAGTTTCAGGTCTATAGAAAAATCAAACCTCAACAGATGCAGCGAACAAAAATAGGTAGAATATCACTCAGTACACCTTTCTCGGACTTAAGAGAGAGTAACTGTCATTCATAGGTACTCTCTCCTCTATGGGCAACCTCATCCAGGGCGTACTAGAGACAATACTACAGAATCAATTGTATCCAGAACTTGGCATGGACATAGCGTCATAAAGAGTGGTGGATTGATCATACCAACATTCTGATTCTTCTCCCTTCTTCATTGTGGCTAATGATTCCCTTCATTGCTTCATGATATTAGAACTCATGGCTGAATCATCATGAATGTCATTTGGGTGCTGTCGTAGCATTGTGAGTGTTAATAAGCCGGCATTTCAGGGAGCATTCTACTGATAGAAACCTCACTTCTCTCCAAAGTACTTATACCATAAACCAGCAAATATAAAACTGAAAAAAATAAGACCGAGCAGTCCACCCATAATCTGAAGAGCCACCACCCATTCAGACATATCTTGAATTCGGAAACAATCAATTGAGTTTGAAAAGCACAAGAACTGGTCGGTGACTACCTCGCCTATCGTTTGGTTAAGATCACCAGCCAAAACCCGTGGCCTGATGAACACCACATCACACGTTGTCGCCTTTAAACCACTGGCTAATTTTCTGTTGGAGGACTCACTCGAAGCATTCAAATCATATGCGAGTTGCCTATTGGCAGTATTACAAGCTTCGAATAAGGTAGTGGATGGATGTAACCAGAACTCTGCAGAGTACTCTCGGACCTTCCATCTTGATGCTATTAAGAACTTTACCTTGATCTTTTGATTATGAGAAGAAGAAGGTATGTATTCTGGTGTAGAGTCTGGTATTTCAGACTCAGAAGGCATAAGGTTCTCCAATTCTTCGTCAACCATAATCGCAGTAGTTAGAGATAAGTTAGGGGATTATTCCTGCGTCAAACGTCAAGATTCCGTCAAGGTTACGTCAAACTGCGCGAAGAACACTCCTAACATTAACTTACGAAATTTCTATAATTTTTATTAAATGTAATGAAAGATCGAATGTAGAAGTATTGATTTTCTTTTCACCTTCGGAAAATAAAGCACGAGAAAAAAAGAACGATTGGTCTAGATGTTCCGCAAAGATAAATAATCCATCAGATGCAGAGAATTGAAAGTAGCCAGAATGCCACATTGTTGGTTCTCCCTCAGAGATGGTTGACCTTCACGGAGATACTCAAACATTAACTCTCCAGAACTCCTGTTGTCCTCCACTTCAAGCTTAATGTAGAAAATCTAGCACAATCACTGTCTAATAGAAGCCTTCCAAATGCATGGAGGATGGATAAAGTCAACATTCTGACCGGTGATGGACACTGCTTTGCTGTGTCTAATGAATTCACTATCAACTACTTTTTAAATTCTCCACTTTCTAGAAAAGAGCTATGAGCCATCATGTCTGTCCCATTTGAGTGTTGTCGTAGTCTTGCGAGCGTCAATAACAAATGAGAGCTCTCAAGTTGTTAGCTATTCAGGGTTCGACTAGACCCAGTTTCTCACAAATAGTAAATTAGGAAAGCTCCTTATCTAAAAAGTCTTTTCTCAAACAAGCCAACTGTTACAGAGACGAATCTTATTCTCAGCTCACTTCTCTGCAAAAAACTAGGCGCAGGCGACTGCAAGTATAAGAATGGCCAAGCAAATACCAATAATGCCTCCCACAACTTGAAAAGCTAGCACCGACTCAGAATTTTCTTGAATTCGGAAACAATCAATGGAGTTTGAAAAACACAAGAACTGGTCCGTGACTACCTCGCCTATCGTCTGGTTAAGATCACCAGCCAAAACTCGTGGCCTGATGAACACCACATCACACGTTACCGCCTTTGAACCACTGGCTAATTTTCTGTTTGAGGACTCACTCGAAGCATTCAAATCATATGCGAGTTGCCTATTGGCAGTATTACAAGCTTCGAATAAGGTAGTGGATGGTTGTAACCAGAACTCTGCAGAGTACTCTCGGACCTTCCATCTTGATGCTATTAAGAACTTTACCTTGATCTTTTGATTATGAGAAGAAGAAGGTATGAATTCTGGAGTTGACTGTTGTATTCCATAATCAACAGACTCTAAAGTCATAAGGTTCTTCAATTCTTTGTCGCAGTAGTTGGACATAAGATGAAGTTGAGTGATGGTATTTCCTGTGTCAAACCCCAAGATCACGTCAAACTCCTCGGAGTCCGAATAAAGCATTCCGAGAATTTATTGACGAGATACCAAAAAATATAAAAAATGTTATTTTATTAGTATAGCATATACGTATGAGAATATGTAAGTTTGAAAGAGCAGTATGATATAGATAGTATTTAAGGATGGAGATACCATTTATATGGACAGTCTCAGCCCCTAGCAAATCAAATTATTTCGTTTGTATGGAAATACCAACCTAGAGGAATGAAAAAGAAAGGGGGCAGGGGGCAGATTACGTTACTTATAAGCATCTTGATTTCCAGCTATTTAAGCATCATTGTCCAGACAACGGAAATATTTATCAAACAAGACGGTGAAGAAGTTACGGCTACTGGATTTTTTGCAGAGTCACTTTTTGTTCTTGATTAGTCGATAGATATCGAGCATAGAAATTCTTTCCCCATATGCTGACTGTAATATCCACTTCAATTAGCAGCCGACGCAACCTGAAGGGTCTGGCCGGCTGTAACTAATCCCCTTTTGGAAGTAGATTCTCCGAACATGTCTTGACCCGCCTGGTTACTTATATGCTCTCTCCAATAGAATTCAGAGGTTTAGGGTTAATTCATGTAACGCTTGGTGAGCAAAAACGTGAGTAGGATCTGACTTTTTTTCCCAATTCAAGCCTTTTATAGAATTAGTGTTCTGAATTGATGTACTACTCATGATTGTAGAGGGACTGTAGCACATGTAAATCACTAAAATCTCTAGCGATTCCTCATTCCTGTTGTGCAGCAAGGACTAGATGAATATAAGAAGTACGAAATGCCCATTCCATAAATATTGAAATGATTCAAAGTTGATCTTACGTAACTTCAGATCTCAGAGACGAGGTGGACCACGATGAGATTTGTCAAACTGAGATCAATCCGTCAGAAGACCTACCTTATAGTCTTTGTCCTGATTATTCACAATGCTATATCTTTGTCACCCTTTTATCTTTCAATTAAGATTCCATTCAGTTTATGGCTTCTCTATCTATACCTATCCATCTCCATCAAGATGGAAAGAAACGTGGAAAACCATTACGAATTAACTAATCTTCATCCAGAAATGGTTTTTTCCACCGAATCTTAATTCAATTGACAAGTCAACACATTTATTTTTTTCATTCATCCATCACTTTTGATCGCAACTACTTTTATGAAAACCAATAACCACAACTGCGAATTAATCCTATGCCAACCACAGAACCACTAAATAAAAATTACAAACCAAAATATGAAACCACACCGTCCAAACAATATCACTTACTAATTTGACCCAATAATTTCAAATCATTGAAATGATCACATTCTCTTACAATATTGTGAATTTAAAATTCCTGCACATAGTCATCAAACATTCCTCAACCACCTAAACTTTTTCTGTTTCCATCGTCACGAACCTTTCCTACTCATCAACAAAAAACCCTCCAAATGTTCGGTTCTGGCTCGAACCCGGGTTCTACGGCGCCCACTTTCCTGTTCGGGCAGTCTAACGCCACTCAAAACCAGTCTGCTGCGTCTCCTTTTGGCGCCAATGCCAACAACAACACCTCCAAGCCTGCTACCTCTGCATTTGGCTCTAATTCGGCATTTGGCTCTTCAGGAAATACTGCTTTTGGTCAATCGTCCAATTCTGCTCCAGCACCCTCGCCATTTGGCTCTCTGGCACCCGCAACCTCAGCATTTGGTGCTGCCCCAGCTTCTGGCTCTCTATTCGGCGCTAAACCAGCAGCCACATCAACAGCAGCACCTGCAGCATCCCCATTTGGTGCTGCTCCAGCAAAGTCTACCACGCCCGCTTTTTCTTTTGGCTCTAATACTCAACCAAATGCCGCTCCAGCCACCAGTTCATTTGGCTCCTCAAACAACAACTCGGCCGCACCTTCTGGAGGCTTGTTCGGCGCGAATGCCGCAAACCCCGCCACTTCTACAACAACTCCGGCTGGTGGTTTGTTTGGTGCTGCTGCTCTGAAACCAGCAGTCTCTGGATCCGCTGCTCCAGCTTCAGGAGGTCTTTTTGGCCAGTCTGCCTCTACAGGTACGGGCTTTGGTGCCAAACCAGCTGGTGGTGCTGCTGCTGCTCCAACTACAGGCGGCCTTTTTGGTTCTAGTGCCAACGCCACCAAGGAGACTACGCCATCATTCAGCTTTGGCGCTAAACCTGCCGAGAACAAGCCCGCCAGTTCTGTTGAGATGAACTCAGCGGCTGCATCCAAAGAAACTACTCCGGCCTTTTCTTTCGGTGCCAAACCCGCTGAGAATGCTGCCAAGCCTGCCGAAGGTGGACTTTTTGGCGCAAAGCCAGCAGCATCAGGCTCGGGACTTTTTGGAGCGAAGCCAAATGAGCTGAAAGGCTCTACGCCATTCTCATTGAACCTGGGCTCCTCTACACCCGCACCTACTGGCGGTTTATTTGGTGACCAGGCAAAGAGTGGAGAAGCCAAGCCTGCTTTCAGCTTTGGTGCCGCCAAGTCTGACAACAAACCTGCAGCAGCTCCATCATTTTCTTTTGGTGCCAAACCCGCCGATAAGACTGAACCCAAGACTGATGCAAAGCCTGCTACACCAGCATTTTCTTTTGGTGCAAAAAGTGCTTCTGAAAAGCCCGAGGATAAACCAGCAGCAGCCGCCCCAGCATCCACGACTCCCTCTTTCTCGTTTGGAGCCAAGCCAGCTGAAAAAGCAGCAGACAAACCCGCTGAGAAACCATCCTTCTCCTTTGGTGCTAAACCTGCCGACCTGAAGGACGCTTCTGCTCCTAAACCAACAGGATTTTCTTTTGGGGCAAAGCCCGCTGAACTGAAGGACTCCAAACCAGCTTCTTCGTTTAGTTTTGGAGCTAAGACCGAGGAGAGCAAGCCAGCTGCAGCAGCTCCAGCATTTTCCTTTGGCAAGACTGCGGAGAAGAAGGACGAGCCAGCCGCTGAGAAGAAAGATGATAAGCCAGGCTTTAGTTTTGGTGCCAAGCCAGCGGAAAGCAAGCCGGCCGGCACCACTTCAACTTTCTCGTTTGGAAACACTGCGGATAAGAAAGACGCGACCACCGAAAAGAAGGATGACAAACCTGCTCTTTCGTTTGGAGCCAAACCTGAGGAGAAAACCACTAAGCCAGAAGAAACAAAGACACAACCAGACAAGAACGCTCCTACGTTGAAACCCACGACGCTTGAGCCACCAGCAATCTCTTTAGATAACAAGACTTTGGAGGACTTGATCATGAAGTGGTCCAAACAATTGACACAAACAAAGGGCATTTTCGAAGGTTACACATCGAAGGTTAAGACATGGGACCAACAACTTACCACCAGTTCGGAGGAAATCTCCAAATTGCATAAGAATGCCAGCGAGGTGGACAGTTTGCAACAGCGCATTGATCAACAGCTACTCTTTGTGGAGAACCAACAAGACGAGCTTGATCAGATATTGGACAGCTACGAGCTGCAGGCAGATATTTTGCTAAACTCCATTGACTTGAATAGTTCTGATGTTGCGTCTACTGCTTTGGTTGCCCAGACATCCAATAAGAATGCACCATCCGGTTTGAACGTCACAGACAAGTTGCGTGAGAAGGCATACCACAATGCAGAATTATTGGATGAACGTTTGGATACGCTAGGTGACAACTTGTCATCTTTGGTGGAGGAGATTAATTCTGTTAGCGATGTTTTCAACAAGTCGCTCATGAAGAATATTGCCGACAGCGAAGGTTCCGCAGACAGCAGCGGAAACTCAATTGAGGAAATCGTGAAGTTGTTAAACCTCCACTTGGACAATTTGAAGTACATTGAGACCACCAAAGACCAGCTAGAGGAGAAAGTCAAGCAACTACAGGGTCCCAAAAGACTCCGGTAGGGTACTCAAACGAGAAAAGTATCAAAAAACAACAACAAAAGGCTACGATTAAGGCTAAATGCCTGATGATTCCAAAGAGAACCTACGGGTTCCGAGGCAACATTCATCTACATATGGGAGGAAAAACATGTTCGTATCGGATATCAATATCCACTACTTAAGTATTGCGGTTGACAGCATTGGTCACCTGTACGCTTGACTTCCGTACAAGGTAATAAATCTAACAACGAAGACAAAGTGATTGAATTGACCCATAAAATTAAGCTGGCTATCTATGGAGCACCATGTCGTGGCACATCCCAGCCAATACTCAAAAAGTCCTCGTCTCTCTTTCTTTCCCGCCATTTTCGCAAGTTAGCTACTTCCCCATATCTCCCCATATGTCCTTCATAGATCTGCAACTACTCGGACCCAACACCGGCATATGATTTTAGGTATTTAAGCAGGTGATATCCCCACATGAAACCACTGCCAAAATGTCTGCTCTTGTCGGTGCCGTCAAATTACTTTCTAACCCCGATGTTGATAAGGTAGTCCTAATCAAATTTATCTTTCGTCAGATCAAAGCTCAAATTAGGGTGCTTGGTTATCGAAAGGTCGCATCCATTCTCCTTGGATTGTTAATGGTGGGCGTGTCGTCGTTCATCAAGATCCCTCAAATTCGCAAGATCTTGAAGCCGCCAACTGCTGACCAAAGAATTAGGTTAGCAGAGGGTCTTTCCAAGGATTCTGTGAGATTGGAGACTTTGGCACAGTTCATCCATGTGACATTCAACAAGCAGCAGGGAAATGCGTTTCTCAACTATGGCGAATCCTTGTTGCTCGGCATCCAGAACATTGGTCTTCTTGCCATTTTGGAATACTACCGCATGAGAAAGGAGCTTCGTGAGTGGAGCAGCTTGCCTAAGGATGCACAGCAGAAAGAGGCATTAAAGGCCACTATCAAGCCTATTGCAGGTGTCATTGCTGCTGTAATTTTCCTCACAAAGATTGCTCCAAAGCCATTGATTGCGGCTTTGCAGGTTCTTATCATTCCAATTGGAATTGCTGCCAAGATTCCCCAGATTCGGAGAAATGAGGAGATCAAGTCCACAGCACATTTGTCGGAGGTGACCATTGGTGCCAATGTGATTGGATCTTTGATTCGCGTGTACACCACTCTTACAAACTTCAAGCCAGGCAAGAGAGACAGTGTTTTACTTGCGGGATACCTGACTTCGTTTGCATTGAATGCTGTGCTTGCGGGACAGATATACAAGTATGGAAAGACCGATAAGAAGGATTAGGAGGATGAGTATAGTAATGCCTGTGGAATTAGTAAGCGAGATTAATGTGGAATATTGAAATGAAAAGTGTAGGTATAGGAAGAACAGTTTCATAGAAGTACCCAGTAAAGAAGTAGGTTTATTCTTATCAAGCCCTTGGATAATGAGAATCCTATCATATTTGATACCGATGAATTGAGAAGCAATGACTTTAAAAAAATTGTTAAATGCTCTTACATTCTTTGACATAATTTGGACATAACTTTGAGACACGTTTGACATGAACATACATATATATGCCATCATTGAATATTCAATGCCATCCTGAAATTTCTGCCACTAAAGACTCCATAAATCCAAATAATCTCAATAATACTTCAATTTTATCTCCTTTCGATTTCCAAGGTGGCGGTTCCCCACATCTTCATGATGTGGTATCTAACTATTCTCATCATGAGAACTCTGACTAATCTATCTCGATTCTCAGAGTCGCTCCCCCAACTTTCAATAACTCACGTACCCATACATAGAATGAATTACATTTAAAATTCAAAATTCAAAACCTATGAAATAAAATTTCAGCCCTAAATTCACTTCTTTTCACTATATGAAAGTTCCCATAATTTCCAACTCCCACTCCACCTTTTCTCCACTACTATCTGTATACCTTCCATATCTCACCTACTTTCTTTCCATGGTCCATACCGCCGAATACCTCCCCGCTAAGCCCTCAGACATCTCTTCCGTCTTGCAAGGTGGCTACAACCACCCGCTTGCACGTGAATGGCAGAGCGAGAGACAGCTTACCAAGTCCATGTTCATCTTTCCACTTTTTGTTTCCGACATCTATGACGAAGAAACAGAAATCGCTCTGTTGCCCAACATCAAGAGACACGGAATCGGTAAGTTGTTGGAGTACGTCACTCCATTGGTGGCCAAAGGGTTGCGTGCCGTCATTCTTTTCGGTGTGATCTTGAAAGAAGGTGTCAAGGACCCAGTAGGCACTGCTGCTGACGATCCAGAAGGTCCTGTGATCCAGGCGATCAAGTTGCTCAAGGAGAACTTCCCCGACCTTTATGTGATGTGTGACGTATGCTTATGTGAGTACACTAGCCACGGTCACTGTGGAATTTTGCACGATGACGGCCAGATCAAAAGAGAGCCTTCAGTTCGTCGTATTGGTGCTGTGGCCGTTAACTACGCCAAAGCAGGCGCCAACTGTGTGGCTCCATCGGATATGATGGACGGCCGTATCAAGGAAATCAAGTTAGGACTCATGGATGCCGGCTTGGAGAACAAGGTGCTTGTGATGAGTTACTCGGCCAAGTTCAGCGGATCCTTGTACGGTCCATTCAGAGACATTGCTGGAAGTGCACCCAGTCACGGCGATAGAAAGCTGTATCAGTTGCCTAGTGGTGGTTCGGGTTTGGCTCGTAGAGCGTTGGTTAGAGACATTGACGAAGGTGCAGATGCATTCATTGTCAAGCCTTCTACTTTCTACCTTGATGTAGTGAAGGAGGCATCCATCATCTGTAAGGACTTCCCTCTCTGCGTTTACCAAGTCAGTGGAGAGTATGCCATGTTGCATGCTGCTGCAGACAAGGGCGTTGTGGACTTGAAGGCCATTGCTTTTGAGTCCCATCATGGATTCTTAAGAGCCGGAGCACGCTTGATGATCAGTTACTTCACTCCGGAGTTTTTGGACTGGCTCGATATCTAACATGTATAAAGAATGAACTGGAGATGGTGAGTCTCTGGTCAGAAAATGAGACTGTGATATAGATCAGAGAATGTAGATGATGGTAGAGTTGGAGAAAGATATCGGACGGCCGAGAAAGTACGGCTGCTAGAAATTAGCATAGGAGGACCGGAAATTCAGATATCAATGTTCAATGAGAGCTGTTGGAAACCCGTGAAGTAATCGAGAAAACAAAGGTAGATAAATGACTCTGAGAAAATTGAAAGTATATTAATGTAAGCTGTCAAATATATGATTGGAGTAGTTACAAGATGCAGATACCAGTGTACATTCGGGGTGATAGTTGGTGATCAGCGAGGTTATCACCAGCTTCTCAAGCACGATGTCAACGAATCTTTATGAGTCTCGAATGTGCAAGTTGTATTAATGTGCTGGACTGATCCAATAAATAGTGTCATGACGAAATAAAATGAGCACACAGAACAGAAACAGGTGAATTAAGAACGGTGGCATAATAAATTATGCAGCTAGTGGCTCCTGGAGCACCTTGTCTTCTTGTTCCTCTTCCTCTTCTTGATCTTCTCTCACAGAATCCTTAAACTCCGAGGTAGGCGCATCAGGTAACTTAACATCTGGTACCTTGACATCAGGCTGAGGCTCTGTCTTGACCTTCTTGCCCAAAACCTCCTCTTCCAACCGTTCAAGCTCCTCCTCCACCTCATTCTCATCCTGATTACTGAGGCCTGACCCGAGCATGTCGCTCACCTCATCGACCTTCAACCGCTCATCCTCCAAGTCGTCCAATACCTTGTCGATCTTCTCAACACTCATCTCACTGTTGAGCTTCTTCAACACCTCGTTACCTTGAGTCAATCCATACAAAACATCTTTCTCAATCAACTTGAACTCGATTGTTCCTATTAGATTCTCCAAATTGCCTAGCTGATCATAAGTAGTGCTGATCACACTCTGCTGATGCTTTTTCAGCCGTAAAAACACTTTGGCTTTGTCTGGTTTGCCATCTTTAAGTGCTTGCTTGGCCAATGCCGTCTGCCTGTCAATGACTGTGTTAAGCTTTCGCTCGTACTGCTTCAAATTATCTCTTTGCCGTTTGAGCTGGAAGATTGCCTTATCCTGAGCCGTGATTTTGGGCTGGGAAGGTTGCTGGCCCATATTAGAGATTTGTACAAGAAGACTAAGGTTGGTTTGGTGATTGCGTAGTTCGCACGTGACAGATAAGGGAGGGTAGGATTAAGAGAGACAGGGAAGATGATAGGAATTAGATCAAAAAAGAAAATATAAATCGATAGAGACTAAAGAGAGAAATTAAAGGGAAGAAAACTAGAAAATAAAATCTTTCTCTTTTCAAACTAAAAAGAAAATCAATCTTATCTACAAACTCAACTTCAATTGTTCTGCCCTACACCATACTTCTAGATTATGTGCAATATGCCATCAAACGGCACACAGTCAACTTGAAACGGCATTCATAACCTCGATCTCATGATAACAATACCCATAGCATCGAGTAGTCAGCCACATATCTTCACTGACCTCCGAACAATGTTTTCTCCTGCAGATAGATCGAACCATTCAATCACCTTACCTAATTAGGCCGATTCATCAACATCTTCCAACCAAACTTGCCCTGACAGTTCAATACCACGCCGAGCCCCAATTGGGAAAGTTAATAAGCTATCCTGCAAATTGCTGAAGAATCTTTTCCCAGCAACCAACTGCACAACTCTCGCTGCTCCCTACTGCTGGTTTCAGCTTTGTGACCTGCTACACTAACTCTCGATTCTCCAAAGTGAATCTTTACCACCTGGAATGTCTGCCCTCAACGAGTCTCCGCCAAAGATTCACAAAACACCATTTCACGACTCCACCCTTGTGCTTGACAACCTCAAATGCTCTGTATCAAAGAAGAGAACCATAGACGGACTGTCTCCACTGAAGAGGAGAACTGAACTCAAAAGGCCGCTTCCGACACTCTTGCTGACGCATGGTCTCAGATCTAAGTCGCTGATTGCTGATTTTGCTCGCTCACTGACCGTGGACTTACCTGGTCCTCCACCAAAGCCTGTGGCTTTGTCTCCTCCCAGACCAGCCAAACTCCGTAGATCGACTTCATTGCTCACTCTGACAGAAGTTTCTGCTGACCGATTTATTCCTAGCCATCGAAATTCCACTTCGGGAAAGTTAACTTGTGCCAATGCGCTTCCTCACCCGAATGCACTGCCTCAATCTCATATCAAGGCACACACATCTAAGATCTACCAGCATCACGTCGCAGAAGCATGCGGACTTCACGTCAACTCTCGGATCTTGAGCTACAGACCTCCTCCGCCTGAGAGATCAAAGCCAATCAACTTGTTCTCGCATCTTTCACTGAGTTCTTCTTCTATTCCTAAACTGCTACGTCCATCTGTGGCCTCTGAACGAGCCAAGAAGATCCCCACAGCACCAGAGAGAGTGCTTGATGCACCCAACATCGTGGACGATTTCTATCTTAATCTCGTGGCGTGGTCACTGACCAATCTCATTGTCATTGGTCTTGAAGATGCCGTGTATGTGTGGAATGCACTGACAGGCTCGGTGGGTCTCCTCTGCGAGGTTCCAGGTAAGATTGTCACTTCTCTCAAATGGTCCGATGATGGCTCATACATCTCGCTTGGAAAAGATGATGGAACGGTGGAAATCTGGGATATCGAGACAAATTCCCGACTTAGAACTCTCTCATATTCAACCACGGGCAGAATCGCTTCTCACGCATGGCTGCTGCACCTTCTCACATCTGGATCCAAAGAAGGCACTATAAGTCATAGTGACGTTCGAGTTTCCAGCCATTTGGTGGGAAAACGTGACAATTCACATGTTGCTGAAGTATGTGGTTTGGAATACCGAGCAGATGGTCAACAATTTGCCAGTGGAGGAAACGATAATATGGTAGCAATCTGGGATGCCCGAAACATGAGCGGAGATGCTCTTTTCCAAAAAAATAATCACCGTGCTGCCGTAAAGGCGATTGCATGGTGTCCATTCCAAAACCTGATGCTTGCAACTGGCGGAGGAACTAGTGACAAGACTATCCACTTCTGGAACACTTCGACAGGAGCGAGAATCAACCTGATTGAGACCGAGTCACAGATCTCCTCGCTCAATTGGGGATGCACAAAGGGAACTGGCTACGAAGTAGTGGCAACACATGGATATCCATCCAACAGCATATCGTTGTTCCATTACCCTACATTACAAAAAACAGGAGAGATTACGCATGCACACGATTCTAGAATCCTCAATGGATGCCTTAGTCCCGATTCAACTACATTAGCCACGGTGGCCGGTGACGAGAACCTCAAGTTCTGGTCACTTTTTGATACATACAAGCAGTCAGGAAATGACGAGGCCGAGCTAGCCAGCAATGACACAAAGCACATCAAGAAGCTCATGAACATCCGTTAGCATTAATAGACGCATTACGACAACTATTGTAATTTGAAAGTAAAGAGTAGTATAGAGAGATGCAGCCGATTGGTGGGATATTAAATTGATAATACATTCTGAGGGTTCCTATGAAATTTCTACAATGTTCCTTTGTATTTACTTCCGACTTAGTCAGGATAACCTCGACCTGATAAGCCTTAGACAATTGCACCCTCACTTTAAGAAAAAAAATGGAACGGCCAATCACCTCTACTTAACAAATCTTCAATTATAAACTTATAGAAGAAAATAATTATGGAAGATCGAAATTAACCAATGATTCCCAAGCAACTTACTTCCCCAGATCTGCATTCTGCAGGCCAATCCCAATAGAGTAGTATGACGAATGGATAATATATATACTACGCCAAACAGAGATTTTCAATACCATGAAGGATATCGTTTTAGAAATCTTTGCTCAGCAGCCTCTCGAAATCTATACGCAAATATGCTTTTGTTATGCGTTTGGAGATAATTCACGAGACCTGGTAGTGGAGATCCTCCAGAATGGCTTGCAATCATTAACTACTTCATTTCCTTGGGTATCTGGTCAGGTAATTAGGGACACCGAATCTGGCCTATACAAGATCACTTCTTTAGGAGATACTCCGCGTCTTATTGTGAAAGATCTCACAGAATCGTTGTCAATGGATAAACTCCGCAACGCTGGATTTCCATGTTCCATGTTGGACGAACAGACAATTGCTCCTAGAAGTACACTTCCCGGTGTTTTTAGTGACTCCGAAGAATCACCATGCTTCCTTATACAAGCTTCATTCATCAAGAAGGGTCTTATCTTGACGTTTTTGGCTCATCACCAGGTATTCGACGGAACTGGAGAGGGTCAAATTATTTCACTCTTATCCAAAGCCTGTAAAGGAGAACCTTTTACGGCGGAAGAGCTTGCTACTGGAAACATGAACAGAGAGAATATTGTTAAGCTTTTTACTGAGGAAGAAAAGAAAGAATATGGAGAGTTGAAGATTGGACTCGAAAAACAGATTATTCCTGAGAATCCGTTGACTTTTGAGCCCTCGGAGAGTTTCTGGGCCACTTTCACGTTTTCTGCTGACTCACTCAAGGAATTGAAAGCTTTGGCCAGTAAAAACTTAAGGTCCGTTCCATTTGTCTCTACAGATGATACACTAACTGCGTTTATCTGGCAGGCACTTTCCAGGGCCAGATCTTCTCGGTTGCCGGAGAACTCTAAAACCAGTATCGCTCGAGCAATTAATGTTAGACCGTACCTAGGAATTCCCAGTACTTACCCTGGAGTGATCAACAATATGACATACAACGACTATGAATTAAGGGATATTGTTCAGCTTCCATTGGGAGAAGTGGCATCGAGTTTGAGAAGCAAAATTGACAAGAGAACTTCCCAGCTAGCAAAGGACTCGCGTGCTCTAGCTACTCTCATAGACGCTACTAAAGATTCGCCCATCACATCAGCCACAGCATCCATATACGTTCCTTCTGATATTGCCCTCAGTTCGTGGGCTCAGCAGAATAGTTATAGTCTAGATTTCGGACTCAGTCTTGGGAAACCCGAATCAGTGAGACGCCCACAATTTACTCCCGTGGAAAGCCTAGCGTACATTCTTCCTAAGAGCCTAGAAGGAGACATTTCCGTTGCGATCTGTCTTCGTGAAGAAGATATGGAGAAGTTGAGAAGCGAAATAGGGAACTATGCCCAGTATGTGAGATAGGTATTAAGCAGGCAGAACAGGGGAATTTTGGTTCTTCGACATGCAGCATAAGAATTAGACATAACATTTCAAGTTTCTAGGTTCATCATTTTGCCTGAGCTTATGTAGTAGAGAGTTCAAACCGATCTGGAGTTGGGATTGTAGGTCAGAGGTTTAAAGTTCCAACCAGTTCTGTCATATTTCCAAGTCTGGTCTATGTTGTTGACATCAATTGAATTGGTCACGAGTACTGTTACGTTTGAAATGATATCAGTGAAAAAACCGCCTTCCCAGACAATTTTTTTAATACTTTGTCAATCTTGGAAAGCTTGACGCTCATACCAATGATATTTACGTCAAAAAAAAAAAAAAAAAAAAAAAAAAAAAAGTCGAAAAACGTTGTGTCAAAATTAAACTAATATTGATCATGCAACAATTCTCAATGTCCATGCCATTTCTCGTGGGCGTAAATCACCAGATCTGGTTATACTGACGAGACTTTATTATCAGCTCATACTGTTGTTCACTCCAAATAGTACCAATTTTCTAGTATATACACAAAGAGGCTTAATGTGTGCAAATAACCATCGTGGGTCTCAAATGGTGGAAATAGACAGCATTAACAGATTTGGATAGATCTGACAGATCTCAGAGATACGACACACCTCATTATTAGAGTGGACAGTTATTGAAAGTTAAACCATCCATTAACATCAGAAACAAGATAAACCACTTCACTATCTAAATGTTCCAATGCCAAATGTGGAAACCAAGAGCAAACGGTCACCGATAATTGCCAGTAGCAATCTTGCGACGGTGCGGCATACTCAAAGATTATGCCACATCAATAGGGGGCCCAAAATTTTTAATTCCATCCAATTATTTCCACTCAAATGTGCTATTACATTTCCACCACCTACATCATGGAGCCCCTCAATTGTCTCAGCTATAATCAGCAGCTTCAAACCAGACCTACTGCCAGTTATTCTACGGACCCACACATCATCGCAACTGCAGATCTTTGTTTACAGTTCAGTGCACTACCATGACGTCACGGATAAAGTCTCAATTCCAATAAAGTACAAAAACAATAGAAAATACCCCCAAAACGGTAATGGCACAATCCCCACGATAATCATAGTCGTTAACTCCATGATAACATACTCATGGATCGACACCACATGTCAATTTTTCTGGCTTTGCAAATCCTAAAGTACGAGGGGTCCTAGTAATTGGCAGCCGTGCACACCCATCTCTCACATCGGATCTCACTTAAAAATCGCCGAACCGTAGCCCACTCAACATATCCCCAAAAGCATTTGCTAAACTAGTGTCCCCCACCGGTCGTCCGGTCTTCAGTATCGTCAAAAAAGGTTAATAAGTGCAAAAATGTGTTTGGTCACGTGCGTCGACCGCCCTCACATAACGTTCGCACAATCATGTCCAGCCTCCCAATAAATCCAGCTACTCATGTCTAATTCTGGAGAATTTACCAGAACGCAAATCTTCGGCACGGTGTTCGAGACCACCGCCAGATATGGTGACTTGAACCCTGTGGGCATGGGCGCCTTTGGCCTTGTGTGTTCGGCCATGGACAAACTTACTGGACAAAACGTCGCAGTCAAAAAGATCATGAAGCCGTTCTCAACGTCGGTTTTGGCCAAGAGAACGTACCGTGAGTTGAAATTGTTGAAACATTTGCGTCACGAGAATTTGATCACATTGGACGACATTTTCTTGTCGCCATTGGAGGATATTTACTTCGTGACCGAGTTACAGGGTACAGATTTGCACCGGTTGCTCACGTCCAGGCCATTGGAAAAACAATTCATCCAGTATTTCACTTACCAGATCTTGCGTGGTTTGAAGTATGTGCACCTGGCAGGTGTCATCCACCGTGACTTGAAGCCAAGTAACATTCTCATTAACGAGAACTGTGATCTTAAGATCTGTGACTTCGGCTTGGCCAGAATCCAGGACCCGCAGATGACCGGTTACGTGTCAACAAGATACTACCGTGCGCCAGAAATCATGTTGACATGGCAGAAGTATGACACAGAGGTGGACTTGTGGTCTGTTGGATGTATTTTAGCTGAGATGATCGAGGGTAAGCCTCTTTTCCCTGGTAAGGATCATGTCCACCAGTTTTCCATCATTACAGAGCTTTTGGGACTGCCCCCAGCCGACGTGATCGATACTATCTGCTCCGAGAACACCTTGCGTTTTGTGCAGCTGTTGCCACATAAGGACCCGGTGCCATTCACCGAGAGGTTCGCCCAGTGCTCGCAATTGGAGCCTGACGCCATCGACTTGCTTGCCAAGATGCTTGTATTTGACCCCAAGAAACGTATTTCCGCTGCTGATGCGTTGACGCATCCATACATGGAGCCATATCACGATCCGTCCGACGAGCCAGTTTGCGAGACCAAGTTCGACTGGAGCTTTAATGACGCAGACTTGCCGGTCGACACGTGGCGTGTGATGATGTACAGTGAGATTCTAGACTTCCACCAAATGAATGGTGCTGACCAGGCCCAAGTGATGCCTGAGCAGGAACAGGTGCCTACCCAGGTAGCATAAGAAAGGAGATAATGGACGGATTTGTCAGTGGTTGTAGGATGTTTAGGTAAATTGATTACTTACACTGTATCTTTCAGTTTGTAAAAGGTTCGAATATACATGTATGGAACGATAACTGCTGGACAAGAAGGACAGCTTTCTCAAGAACGAAGTTTGACTCCTTTATCCATCTGAGAGTAGATCCAAATACAAGGATTCGAATTGTTTAAAATGCCATGATTTACTTTATTGAGCAATTTGTTTGAATTTTCAATCCATGGACCTACTCACAGTCTAGACATACGACAGTTCAGCCTTTATAGCCACCAAAATGTCCAAAACTTGACCCATTTAGAATGATTGTCTCTATTCTGTCTAAGTAACCACGTAATCTTTTTACACTACAAAAGATTAAGTCTTTTCTCATACTACATTTATTTTGCCATACGTTCTTTCATCTTTCTTTTTACTCCACACTTTTCATTATTTCTGCCTATACCTTAATTCGTTCCTCGATCTTTCTCCACATCTACATACTGCACACCTACAACTATCTTTTCTACCAACTATCAATGCCAACAGTCTCCCCATGCAACTACCGACTAGAAAAGAAAATCAACCATTCCCTTCTGGTGGCCGTCACCTACTCTGAAGTCACCAACCATCCCGAACTTCTAGACGTCTCCATTGAGTTCGTCAATACTAAGACACCCAAACCTTCCAATTCTCCATCCAGCACTCCAGATGCCGAGGACGGCGACGAAGCAAATAGAAACTCAGCACAGAATGAAAGCTGGTTCAAAAGTTTCTGGGCCAGCGAAAAGGCGCCGTTGGCTCCATCTACGCTGCCTGAGATTCCGTTGTTTCTAGGCTATGTCCAGATGGTTGGATATGTGCGTCTAAACCGCCAGATCGGCGGAGATGGCACACTGGATGCTGCCACCGACGTCTACTGGAAGAATCAGGAGTACTTGTCTAACTATGCAGAGAAAGACGACGAAATATTCGACGGGATTCATGAAACAACCTTCTTTAAAGACCACGGCAGCGATACGCCAAGAAAGGGACGTATTGGCGGCATCAATGACTTGAACTCCAAACGTTTCGATGCCACTACGGTCTATTTGCTTCATGACTTGGCCCATCCTTTCAACACCATGCAGATGCCCGGAAGAAACCCTCCAGAACTTCCTGAACCATATCACCACGCATTGGCAACTGATCTTTCCGAATGTATTGTGCCCTTCTACGTCACGGCACAACATCTTCTTTTTTCTTCTGTGCGTTTGGCAGACAAACTGGTAGAATGCTATAAAATCCGTATTCCTCGGCCTCCAGGAACATTACCTCCGTCATACAACACTAGACTGTCAGGTGCTGCGGGAGATGGAGGAGTAGTTTCCATATGCTACTCGTTTGTAGTCGGTGTTCTGGAACAAACTAGCGAAGCTATGCAGCAACGTGCTGTGTATTTCCCTATGGAATTGAAACCAGGGAAAAAAGGATGGGATCGTGAGTGGCTCCAACGAGACTACCTTCAAGACGCTTTGGTTGATAAAGACTGGAAACCACAAACAGTAGATGTTGGTGCAGACGGGGTTGCCAATGGTACCAATGGAACCAACGGTAATGAGGGACGAACCGAGAAGAAATTCATTAGAGATCTCGATACGCTCATCGAGAGCAGTGTCCACGTTGTAGCGGCCAACGAGAGAAGGAAGAGCTCGGTTTCAGTACAATCATTAGACTATACGGGATTCATTCACCAAGTACCTCCGAAATTGAAGGTCCTGTATCAGATCCGGGTCAACAACCAATCACTCTGTAAGTTGACAGTCTCCAAGCCATACTATCATGTTGGGGATGATGTCCACTTCTTTCTCGAGCTCTTCACGGATTCAAGTGTGTCCACTAGGGTGGTAGGAGTGACTACACATGTTGAAGCGCACGAAGTTTTCAATTTGGAGTCTGAATCCACTAGGAAAACCATCAATTTCTACAAAGTGACACCTACAATCAAGCTCAATACGTTTGCTGATGCAATGGCCGATGCATACAACCAGAGTGGCTCTGGGCTAGTGACCGGAGTAGTGAATTTGCCTCGGTTCTTGGCACAACAATTCCAGCTGTCAACTTTCATGGATTTGAAGTACTTTTTGGTTTGTAGATTTGTTCTCAATGAGTTTGAGAAGAGCGAGGGGCCCAAGTACATCGATGAGGATCCTGCTCGATTCGCAGATTACATTCAAGAGTATAAGATGGAGAATGAGTCATCGGAGTTCAAGTTTCTGATTCCGTTGACGGTGTTGCCATAACTGTGCCATTAAGTGGTGTGCTGCGTAGTTAAGAAGAAATTGAGGTTATCACCCGTTACTTCAAAACGTTTATTTAAAACCATTCTCTGGCCCCATTGAATGATAGCATACGGAGGGTTGAGAAGTATTTCGTGAAAAGTTGCCCGATTTTCGGAGACCTCGTGGCGCAGAGATTCAGCTATCGCAAATTAAGCAATAGCAAGGTCAATTTTGCCACTTTCGCAACATGAACGGATTACCGATATCTCAGATCTATCAAATTCTATGAGAGATAATTTCACATGCTCGTTATTGTCTTTTGCCTCCTAGATTCTTCCATGCAGCTGTCACGGCCTGCACAGCCTTGGGTGCAAAATAGGCGAACAGGTCACTGTTGGGGTAAACATCCGTACACCTCTAATTATCATTGGAGTTAGCAAAGCGTACCAAATTTGCAATTACAATCCCTGATCATGGTCTACACGGCCCCAGTGGTCGATCTAGCCCATTAACATGACCCTAAGTTGCAATTTCATGCAAATCTATGCCAAGTGTGGCACCATACTATGTGTGAAGCTTATATAAGCCCACCGCAACCTTCCTACAGGCACTATAGATAAAATACTGACTATATAAGGTGACATTGCTCATTTGTTCAGAGGGGATAATTATTTACTCTCAACACACTTTTAAGCTTTCAATTGCTAACCATGTCTTCTGTGATTGTTTCCAACGTTCCAAAATCTGTCTCTGCTAACAAAGTGGAGGAATTCTTTGCCTTCTGTGGCTCCATCAGCTTTGTCAATGAGGTTGGCAAGACTTCGAACGGCTTGAACAGCTTCCAGGTGGTTTTCACTTCCGAGAAGGCCCTTGACACTGCATTGTTGTTGAACGATGCCGAATTGGATGGTCAGCCCATTACGGTGACCGAGGAGAAGTTGCCCGAGTACGGAGACGCTCCAAAGAAGAAGGTTGACGACTTCAAGGTGCAGAGCGAGTCTACTAAGACCGGCGACAACCACTATGATGATATTTCACAAGAGGAGAAGCCCAAGCTGGCCATTTTAGCCCAACTTTTAGCGTCAGGATACCAATTGTCGGACGAATTGATTGACAGGGCCATCACCATAGATAAGGAGCAGGGAATCTCCAACAAATTCAAGACCTTCTTGTCAGACTTGGACTCCAAGTACTTACACACGCAGGATCCCGATTCCAACACGTCTAAGAATATCAACAAGGCCCAATACCTGTTGAACTCGTTTGCTTCGTCTGTTGCTAAGCTGCCTTACCTGCAAAAGTTGCAACACTACTTTGACAAGGCATCTGCTCACCCTTACGGAATCAAGATTAGCCAGTTCTACGAGCAGGTTGCACGTGAAGTGAAGGATGTCCATGCAGAGGCCACTCGTTTGTATAACTTGAAGAAGGCTGATGGAGAAGGTCAGCCTCTCTCAACACCTGCTCCGGTTATTACTGAAACTTATGAGAAACGCTAGAGGCAATGTATAGGAAGGAAATAGTAACAAATTATGAAAATTGGAAGTTTTAGGAAGTTTGTCAGAGTAGAGTAAAGAGGTTATAGGAACAAGAAGGTGATGGGAGAGGAAGATATAGTGGAGATATAGGAAAACAATTGACTTAAGGCAGTAATAACCGAATTTTGAACAGAATGCAACAAGTGGGTGGATCATGGCATTCATTGATTAACGGTCCTAGCAACAATCAAGATGCTACCATGGCCACTGACTCATCTCTACAATCCTAGGATTAATTGAATGAATTAACATAAATGCAGTAAAGAAGAATGCACAAGTGTAGCGGTCTATATCTTAATTGGCTTTTCAAGCAAATGGCCCATGCGCTCGATCTTAGTGCTCAAGTAGCCCTCAATCTCCTTCGATTTGATGCCATCCTCCGTTCTCCACGCCAATGGAACCATAGGCACCCTCTCCACTACTCTCACGTCTCTGTTTCTGCCTTCCACCGCCACGATCTTGTCAGGATTGTTGGTCAATAACTTAATATCCACAAGGTCCAAGTCCACCAAAATGGCAGTAGCCAATGAGAAGGAGCGTCCGTCCGCAGGGTGTCTTAGCATCAAGTTGGCCTGGACGGTGTCTGCACCCAAATCCTGTAAATTGTAAGCCTTCAACTTCTCTCCAAGCCCAATGCCTCGGCCCTCCTGCCGAAGATACACAATGCATCCGTGTCCATTTTCACCCATAAGTCGTCCAGCCTCATTGAATTGCTCACCACAGTCACATCTGGCAGACCAGGCCGTTTCTCCAGTATAGCATTCCGAGTGGATCCGTGCCAATACCTGGCCATTGAATGTAGTTGCAGACTCTCTGATCAAGTTGCCATCAGCGTCAAAATGAAGTTGTTGGCCCGTCCTCTCGTCGATATCTGCCACCTCTCGTCCTGGGAACAATTTCCCCACATATGCGCCTCGTGTCATTCTATCCTGTTGTGACTCGCCAGGCTGCTGCTTGAACAACGTTTTAGACCGGATATCCTCGCCAAAAACAATGGCCAAGTGCTCCTTGTTGTCCAAGTTGTTCTCATAGAGATGTAGGAAGATCTCAGGACCTTGCACAGTTGGGATCCGGGCTCGTGCTATACACTTGACAAGGGGTAATTTGTCGTGGATCGGGAGCTTGTTTCTCTCTTCCTGTGAAAGCGGCTCAGGGATTTGAGGGGAACCACTGATTGGCACTGAAGGTGTCAAAGCTGGCGACACTAATGGCATGTTCTGGAAGATTTCTCTTCTGATGGTGGAAGCCACCGGAGCTTGCACTGGCTGCATGTTTCAAATGATAGAAGCGTGATTGAAAAGCTGATACTTTTTTGAAGTTTTTGCACTCGTAGAAATTTAAATAAGTAAGACTAGGTAAAAGTTCAAATAAATGGTAGAGTTGGGTGACAAATCGGGCACATGAATTTCCGTCCGCATAGTGGAGAGTCACGTGCAGCGTGGAGGTTGTGGGTTTTTTTTTGTCTTTCCTCACTACAAATTACTCAAAAGTTGCGTATACACTCACTTTATTAGTAAGATACCGTATGACGGATTTTTTTTTTTGGGGAAGGAGGGCGAGGAACTAATTGAGGTTAGCACGGTGTACGGGTGTTTTGATTTTCATTTTTTCTACGCCAAATGGTGTACGGGTGTTTTTATTAAATTTTGTGTTTGTCTTCGTGCTTGGTGTACGGGCCTGTTTCGCACCAATCACTGGCCCAGGTTTTCCCTTTACGTCTCACCAATCTAAAAAAATCTCAACAGTACAACCTCTTCTTCAAAATATGTTGCAAGCACTTTCCAGATCCAGCATCCGTGGCTTTGCATCCGCGGCTAGAGTCGGAAAGCCAGCCGCTACCGTCACCGAATATTTGACCACAGGAGGTTCCACTCAATCGGTGTGGCCAAAAGGTTTCAGACAACCAACACCAAAGACATGGGAGGAGTCCGGCGAGTCTGCTTTGCTGAAAGCCACCAAATTCTTCTTCTTGTCGGAAATTGCCCGAGGCATGTACATCTGTATGGAGATGTACTTCCGTAGTCCTTATACCATTTACTACCCATACGAGAAGGGACCCATCTCTCCCAGATTCAGAGGAGAGCACGCTTTGAGACGTTACCCAAGCGGTGAAGAGAGATGTATTGCATGCAAGTTGTGTGAAGCCATCTGTCCAGCACAGGCCATCACCATCGAGGCCGAGGAGAGAATCGACGGATCGAGAAGAACTTACAAGTACGACATTGACATGACCAAGTGTATTTACTGTGGATACTGCCAGGAGTCGTGTCCCGTGGATGCCATTGTGGAGTCTCCAAACGTGGAGTACTCGACCGAGACTCGTGAGGAGTTGTTGTACAATAAGGAGAAGTTGTTGGAGAACGGAGACAAGTGGGAACAGGAGTTGCAATACTGTATTGATGCAGATGCTCCATACAGATAAACACATAACTGCATGCCCGTGGGCGAATATATATATTGGAACCGATGACTTGTAGGCATTGAACTTTGATGAACTTCGATGAATTGGGGGGATGATAATAGATGAACAGTTGATGAAAGGCTGTGGATATTCAGTTTTGGGCAGATCAAACTTGGTGAAGGTAATCTTGGTGAAAGAAATCGATTGGATTGCCTATGTACCTAGTAGATCTGGAAATGATTTCGTTTAACAGAATGGTATTAGTTAATTGATTTTCTCAGTCTGTAAAGATTCAGAGTTGTATGCGCTGTGAGGAACTCGTTCTTCACTTCTAAGGTTACTTTGACTACGGCACCGAGTTATTGACACCTCCATTAATCTTGACGGCAATTACATTGTTTACCTCAGGTATTAAAAGTCGGAGTTTTTCTTTTTTTTTTTTCCTTTTTTTGTTTGGCATGTTTTTCATTTTTTGAACTTTGTCAACAATTTAACATCTCCAGTATTCCTATAAGATTGGTGCGCAAATGATTAAGTCAAAAATACACTAGATTTGTATGATACACATTGAAGAAATCAACACCAATCCTGATTAGTTGAGAACTACTTGAATTTTATCTAGAGTTGGGTCTCATTTGAACATACACCAATGGGAAGGTGATGATTCTCAATTGAATCATGTCTGGGACCTTCAGCAATGAGATTTAATCACAAGGTAGAGGAAGATTCTGGCCCCAATAACCCTGCTCGTGAGATTCATGACTTTGAAACAATGTTTTTATCCTTCCTAAGTCCAAAGTGAGGTGTTCAATCTGGGAAAGGTTGACTATTAGTTTGGATGAGGCCAGATTTCTCTTCTGCTTGGCCCCGGAAATAGGTGATCCTTAATAAAACCAGATTTTTCTTTTCACTGGATGGCCGAATGGACTTTAATATCATATAAATGAATTGAATTATAAAAGATTTTCACCTTGATTAGTTCCAGTAGTATATCTTGTTCAACTTGACTCAAAGACAAGCCAAAAAAAAAAAAACATTGAAACAAGTCTAGAACCGAATTCACATAAGAAGATCTTCAATATAATTGATTGTGTTAAGGCTTCAACTAGGCGAAGCTTACATTTTAACTAGTTGTTCGATCGATTAATGAGAGAGAATACTTCACTGTGGCATGAAGAGAGAGGTCTTATCACAGCCATAGAAACTCAATACTGATTGAGATTCAGAAAAGATAGAAGAAAAAAACTACAATAAACTAGTGAATCCTCCAGACCAACAAGCTTACTGTTCAATGGAAATGAACTTCGTTGAAATTGAGATGCTCATTGTGAGTGGACACCTAATTGTTATGACTATCCTACTACAACACTGTAGACACTCTATTTAGTATATTGATTTAGAATAAATACAATTTGATGATGATTTTCCCTTAGATGGTCAATCTATTTTCAGCTGTCGGTCTCTAAAATTGTGAGATCGACTTGCTGCTCATAAAACAGGAGGAAAATCTTACCATGAAGACCAAATCCAGCACTAAGCTGAGGAGAAACTAAGTTCATTCAAATGAATAAAGTAATACAACATTGGCATCCAGAACTTTCTCTTGGTATCAACACGTGAAACCTACCGAAGACGTTGTTGTTATCCCTTTCGGACACTCAAATAGAGTAACCACCTAGAGAAAATCATAAAAGTGTTCAAGATGATGTGAACTGCAATTTTTCTCAAAATTAAAATCATCTTCAACATCTTCAAACTTTCACTTTGTATCTTCTTGCTATTAACTCTCCTCCGATATGATTTCTCCGTACTACCTTTCGTCTGTCTGACTCTACCCTTGATGAATTTCGCACCCAAATTCTCCACGAAATCCTCCAAAAAAATTACCGTTCCACCACCCAAATCAATACTGCCTTTCCTGCACACCGTAGAAGCCTCCATACCATAAAACTTTCATTCAATCCTTTCAGAAAACCCTAATACTATCCTTCCAGCTCTAAAACCTCAACCAATTGAATATTCTGGAACCCTTAAGATCTCTCAATTTCAAACTCAAGCGTCCCCCACTCCCCCTAACCGTAGACTCCAAAAGTCGTGCACACACCAATATCGTCCAACTAACCAAAAAAAATTAATCTCAGTCACTAACTACTACACCTACACCATGTCGTTTTTCGGTTTCGACGCCTCTGGCGCCCAGTACCAGAACCAAAGTGCCCCAGGTGCCAAGGATTCTTACGATTTCCAAGACACCTACGAGGGATTGGGTGAGCTCGAGGAAGATGACGCTCTCAATGACGAGACCTTTGGCGTTGGAAACGTCAGAAAGGATTTTGACTTTTCGTCCACTTCCGCTGCCGCTGCCCCTGCCACCCGTACCAATCCAGGTGTGAGCTACGCACGTGCTGCTGCAAACGACGATGAATTCATGCAAGACTTGTGGGGAGTCAACCGTCCGCAGCCAGCTAATCAGCAGCAGCAGCAGCAGCAACAGACCCAACAGCCCCAGCAGCCCCAGCAGCAGGTGCCCGAGGAGAAGAAGGTGTTGAGTTTGCAGGAGATTGAGGCGCAGTTGACGGCAATCGACAACTCGCAGCCACGTCCAATGGCTCCTCCCCAGCAGCAATACTTCCAGGGAGGTTATCCTCCCCAGTTCCCTGGGTATATGATGCCACAGGGCTTTATGCCTCCCCCTGGCCAGTATGGCATGCCATACCCTGGACAGTTCATGCCTATGCAAGCGCAGATGGTGCAGATGGGCGGCCATGTGCCAATGATGGCTCCTCAACAGCCTCAGCAGCCACCCGCTCAGTTCCAGCAACAACAGCAACCACAACAGCAGGTCCAGCAAGCTCCACAGGCTCCTCAGGCTCCTCAGGCTCAGCAACAGTTTCAGCAACAACAGCAACAGCAACAGCAACAACAACCTCTTCCACAGGCTGTGCCTGAGGTTGCCGTCCCCGCCGAGTCCAAAGAGTCAGACTTGTCTCAGTTCCCAGTCTTGGGCTCCAAGGGCGAGGTAATTAACCAACCTGTTCCAAGAGATGCCGGTGCTGTTCAGCAACAAAGACTGCCTCAGAACCAGCATGCCTCTCCCCATTACGGTCGCCACCACCACATTCCTATGGAGGACTTGTCACCAGAGGAACAGGAGAAGTTAGCTAGAAGACAGGAGAAGGTATCGAGGATCATGCGTTACTCAGGTGTCATGAACCCTAAGGACAAGGACTTTGTTACCCGTTTCCAGCTCTCTCAGATTGTCACTGACGATCCCTACAATGAAGATTTCTACGCGCAGGTGTACAAGGTGATCCACCCAAAGACCTCCTCTGGTGGTCTCGGTGCTCCTCATGCCCAGCAGGCCAACTCCATTGCCCAGGCATACTTGGACCAGAGTGGTCACAGATTGGGTGGAAGATTTAAGAGAGCAGACGTGGCTTTGCAGAGAATGCAGCAGCAGGTGCAAAAGGCTGTCACTGTGGCTAAGGAGAGACAAAAGTTGCCTCAGCATGTCAGAGAAGGTGTTTTGGGTAAGATCTCTGTGGGCTCTGGAAAAAAGCCAAGACAGCAGTTGACCATCTTGAGTAAGGCTGCTCAGAAAGCCAAGGACGATGAGTCTGAGGAAGGGTTGATCCCAGTTCAAAAGAAGCAGCGTTCGCCATCAATGGCCGCACCATCCAAGCCAATCAAAAAGTACACCAAGAAAGATATCATGTCTATTTTGGAAGACATTATCAACAACTTGATGACTGTGGAAAGCGAATCCAGATCGTCATCTGACGTTGATACCACTCAATTATGGGCTTCCCTTCACATTTTAGACCAGGCTTCATCTTCGGGTGATGACGCTTCATTCGTGAACCCATTCATTCAATGTCTTAACTACTCCAAGGCATTGAAGATTTTACCTCGTTTGTTCAAGTTCTTGTCAAGAGAACAAATCTTGACCATTGTGACTTTGATTATGTCCAACTTGGAGAACCTCACTGTTATTAAGGACGGCTCCTACACAACTTACGAAGATAAGAAGGTGCCAGAAAAGGTATTGAAGTTGGTGGACACTTATTCCTTGACCTTGAGCAAGGTGTTAATGAACGCCGTTCAGGACTTCAAGTTCAACGAAATCATTGGTTTGCTTCTCATTTTGATCCAACACAACGTGGTGTCATTCGTCTCCACCACTAAGATCGGATTGTCCATTTTAACTACGTTGTTGTCTAGAGCCGAATTGATGAGAGGCGAAGGCAAGATCTCAGCTACCGATTTATCCGAGTGGACCTCGTGTTACGATGAGTTGTTCACAGCATTGGAATCACGTATTGCTGCTATCTTCCCACCAAACAATGGCGAGGCCGAAGATGATTACGTGTGGCAGTTCTTGGCTACGTTATCGTTGGGAGGTAAGTTGAGTCACCAAAGAATCATCGTCGATGAGGTCAGAGACGAGATTTTCGGAGTTATGACCAGAGCTAAGGCAATTGACAATTCAGACATGGCCAACCTATACAAGAAGCAAAACATGTTGAACAACTTGAACATGTACTTGGTTGTGATGGGATTGGTGGCGGACGAGAACGAGATCCAGGAGTTGAAGTCGTAGGGTCTACAGCAGGAGGGGGTATATTCGTATAATGTATCTAATGCAATCATTCCTTCGTAATTATAGACTCAGATCGTCCAATAGATCAATTTCAATGGGAGAGAGATCGACCGAGGATCGCCTTGACAACGAGGACGACACCGACTCATCTTGCATGGGACCTTCCCGGCTAGGTGTATGTAGATCCCATGTAGCATGGAGCCAATCTGGATTTGAAAACGGTCTCATTCCGGCTTTGAAGCCGGTGGAAGCGGTGTCCATGATGGAAAAGTTGTTAACGTCACCAGTCGAATCTCTAAGTCGAAACTCCCTCATGGAGGACTTTCCAAAAAGCCCAAATGTAGATTCTCTAGATCCAGAGTCTCTGATACCTAATTCTCTAATGCCATTTGCCAAAGAAGAACCTGACTCACCACCTAATTCACCACCTAAACCACCACCTAAACCACTTCCCAAACCAATACCTGAACCAAAACCTGAACCAAAACCTGAACCTCTGAGAACCTCACCCAAGCTCTCGATCTCAGTGTAGCAGTCGTCATCCAGATCGCAAGTTTCCAAGTCACTGTCTCCAATGTCGTCTGTCAGACACGAGAAGTGTTCATGATACAAAGATGCATGGTTCCAGGGCGACTTATCAAAGAGTTGGTCATACTCAAAGGTTAGTGACGTCGCTGACTGAGCACTCATCATGAAGTTAAGAAGAAGAGTAGCCTAGAGAGCAAGAAATGGTAGACGTAGGAAATTTATGCTTCCCACTATACCAGATCATCACAATTCCGCCCGATGGGGTTACTATTTCTGGCCGTTGCTCCCGTGTTAAAAATAACCTTCCGTGCATGGAAAAAATGTCAATAGACGATCAAGGATCAGAGGAGGGGGGGAAAAAGAAAAAACGACGATTAGAGATATAAAGTACTCGACTAGTGCGACATGTGAAATGTTAATTATCTACCAATGGACTTATCAACTTAATGAATTTCCATGGGTTTCTCATGAGATTCTTGAAGGTTTTAAGATGATGAGAAACTATCTCATTCAAGGTGGAGAATGTAGTTCCGACATTGCGCGAGAATGACGGGAATTTGTGCGGTCCAGGCGACCAATTCTGGCGCAAAACAACCTTCAAGCAGGACCAGGAACACTCCACTGTGAAAGACGAAATAAGTAAGACATTTTATTTTGTCTGGGTATACGCAGAGAAGGACTAGATGGGGTTTGGGGTCAGAATTTGGGGACGATTTGGGATATTTGTTTCAAATTGGACTTAGGATCCATGGCTTGGATGTATAGATGATGGCTTGGACGTGAAGACGAAGATATTTTCGACGCACCAACATTATTTTTTTACGATATTTTAAGTTCCATTAGACGGTTCCATGTGTGTGGCACACTACAAGACCATCGAATAGGAGAGGACCATTTGCCTGGTACCATAGCTGGAAACCGATGTTCTGAGATATTTTTATTGATTTCACGACATCAAAGTGTTATTAGAGAAATGTCATTTAGAATCCATGCACGACTATTGAACGATATCGTCAATTGAGATTGACGATTTTAGGAAGAATCAAATAAAAAAAGAAACAGAAACAATTGAGAGGTAAAGTATATTTATAGTATTATGAATTCAAGAGTCAAATTCTTAAATCCTTAGAAATGGACCAACAAATTTTCGAAATTTCTGTTATAAATCCTCTCTACCATACAATAGTCTTTATAATTGTTAGGCCCCACATCACATGACCATACATCACATGAGCCCAATATAGAACAGAATAACCACCAGGGTGACCTCCAACTCAGGTGTTCACATTTTTCCCCATCACACTGTACTTCTTCCTGATTTAACCTGTTCAGAACGTACTTTGAAGGCTGAAGAATACTTCATCGCTTTTTCGCCCCGTCTTGCCTGCTATGGCCCTTGATATCTCTCAGATGCTACTGAAAGAGGAACAAATGCACATTTTGACCCATGGATACGTCCATGGCCACGTTCACCAGCACGATGACCATATGCACATTCATGGCCACTTCCACAATCATGACCATGTGAACGATCTTGATGTTTCAGCTCTTGATGGAGAATTGGCCCCAAACTCCCAGGACCAAACCTTGGGAAGTCTAGCCATTTGCAAGGAGTTGGAGTCTCATGACGTATGCTCCGATATCTTGTGTGATGACTTGGACGACTGTTACTTCTATAATTGTGAGAAATTGGCTGACCACGAGGACGAGTGCAGCGATCCATGTTGCAGTCTGAACTGCGACCCAGAATGTAATCTGGCCTGTGATCCAGAATGTAACCTGCCCTGCGAGGGTTCTAGCGATGGAGAATGTTGCCATGATCCCCACTGCCTAGAATCTGACGATAAGGTATGTACAGATCCTGAATGCTTACAGAACGACCACCATGACAATAGCTTGTGTGCGTTGCAGAAGTCCAAGATGTCCATATTTGAGAAATTGATAGAGAACGTCCAGAAGAACATCGAGGCGCTGTCGAGTGACATCGAACAGCCTGAAGAGTCCTCAAAAAGACGCAAATTGGACAACCTGCTTCTAAACAACTCGTCCCTCCAGATTCATTTCCCTCACCACTGCCACCCCCATAAGGAAGAAACCAATGTCTTAATTGGTCAGACTCCCGTGCTACCGTCCAGTAGGAGAGAGAGCCATAATATCCACCAGTCATGTTTTCATGCCAAGGTGCCAGTCAAATCTGAGGATCACAGGCCGGTGAGCCAGTCAGACTACGATTTTTTCATTCAGTTCAACAACTTCAAACGGTTTTTGGACGAGGGTTCCAGTAAGATCTCCGAGCCCAAAGAGCACGAACTTATTGAACAACCTAGTCTGTATGCGTGTAAGTGGGAACGCTGTGCGAAAACAGTTGATGATTCCAACCTAGTGAGCCATGTTGTGGACGACCATCTCAAGAATGAGTACCAGATCGATCAGCACAACTCAGGAACTTACCAACCGGCTTTTGAGTGTGAGTGGGAGAACTGTAACTTCGTAGATGCTGATTTTGGTGAGTTTTTGTCTCACTTGAACAGCCATCGACATGCCACCTCCACCTCCAACTTAGGAGCCTCCAACATTGGTCGCAACTCCGATATTTCCAACATCAATAATTTCAGCAACAACTCTGATCCCATTACAAGCTATATACCTGGAGCTCCAGCACTCCCCACCCCTGCATCGATATATCCAGCAGACTCACCAAACAATGGGTTAAACATCACAGCCATGAAAATCTGTCCCAAGGCAGCAGCGGAGAAAACTCCTCTAGATCCGGAATTTACCTGTCGCTGGCAGGTAGGAACCGACATGTTGGGCCAGCCCATTGTGTGCAATAAAACCCACAATAATGAAGGAGAACTACAACACCACCTCCAGGAAGACCATATTGGTCTGGGGAAGCCAGTATACGCATGTTGTTGGGTGGGATGCGAACGTTGTGGAGGCAAACCGTTTGTGCAAAGACAGAAGCTTTTCCGCCATATTCACATCCACACACACTACAAACCTTGTGAATGTAAGGTGTGTGGCTCTAAATTCGCAACCCCAGCCATGCTCAATCAACATATGCGGACGCATTCAGGTGAAAAGCCGTTCGAATGCTCTATTTGTGGCAAGAAATTCACTACGAGCTCATCATTATCTATTCATAACCGAGTGCATTCGGGTGAACGGCCCTTGGAGTGTAAATGGCCTGGATGTGGAAAAAGGTTCAGTGAGAGTTCCAACTTGGCTAAGCATATGCGTGTGCACACAAAAACATATACATGTGAGGTATGTGGAGAGGTATTTGATAAGAAAACAGGTTATACGAAGCACAAAAAGAGTCATTTACCTCAAAATGGCCCAATTGGACCTGCTGACCCCACCCCTACTGGGTTTCCCAACTTTCTGGACTACATACAAACGTAACGAGTACCATCCTGCAGGACTATGAGAATTGTAGCACTACTAAAAAATTTGACCAAATTGAATATTAAGAATAAGTTTGCCCACCATGAAGTCTACGACCAGACTCTTGAAATCTGCAAGAATCCCCAAGATTGCTCACGCTGAGCAAATATACAAGGCTCCTTCTTTGGCCTCGATTTCTCCTTCAGAGCTCCCCAACAATGCATTTGAGAACAACAACTTGTACCACATAAAAAAGACGGCCTACGGTCACTGGCCCGTCTACAAGAAGATTCAGAACACTCGCATCAGCACGGAAATTAAGAGAGTTGAAGGTAATGTCAGTCGGTTTGCTCAGGAATTGTTGGGTCTCATTGGTAATGTCAAGTCGAATAACTTGAAGGTGAACACCATCACGGGAGAAGTTAACATCAAGGGAGACCATGTGGAGAAGATCAAGGAAGTGCTCGAGAAGCACGTCCGCTACTAGTTTGCGTCGTTAGTGATGCATGTATAGCACTTGTATATATCACACAATTACCGGAGTCAAGTATCTGTAGAGATGTAGTTCTTGCTGTTCATAAAATTCATGGCGTATCCGGGCCAATTTCTGACAGAGGGGTGTTGCCACTTTCCGAAGATCCAAATGCGACCTGGCGGATCTGGACAATCCATGGATCGTGTAAGAGTTCTGCTGCGCTCGGTCTCTGTTGTGGGGCATGCTCCAAACATCTAGCGATAAAGCGGCGGCCAGCTTCACTGAGTTGATCCGCCGAAGGCAACTGAGGCTTGTGCCCTGCTGCAATGTGGTACATGATCGCCCACTCGTTGTCCAAGTTAGCCCATGGACGTCTTCCAGTAGCCATCTCAAGCACACAACATCCCAACGACCAAATGTCCACAACGCCATTCTTCGAACTCGATTGTCCAGTAATAACTTCAGGAGACATATACATCGGGGTACCGGTCATAGAATTAAGGTTTTCCAGGTTGTTATTTGTTCCGGATGATTGTTTCGTTGTGTTTCTGGTTCTACCCGAAGCAGCAATCACTTTGGCAGCACCGAAATCCACAAACTTAATAACACCATTGTGATCCAACAAAATGTTCTCAGGCTTGATGTCACGATGAACAACACCAGACTGGTGAAGGTAAGCCAAACCTTCGAGCATTTGTAAAGTGTACACTTGGATGACCATTTCGTCTTCAATTCTGCCATGAGCAAGAAGTCCCGAAAGGGAGCCTCCTTCACAGAATTCCATGAAGATGTAAACCTTGTCACGGTGAACCTCAACTCCGAAGTATTGCACAACGTTTGGATGATTCAACATTTCAAGAACAGTCATTTCCTCTTTAATTGACGGAATAAGCTTGAGTGACTGCGTGTCATGGAATACGATCTCTTTAACAGCCATAACTCCACCAGTGTCCAAATTAACAGCTGCATACACTTGACCGAAGGAGCCACCTCCAATAAACTTACCCTTCTGCCATCTAATGGAGACACTTGAGAAGGAGGACGCCAACAATGTAACAAACAGATATTCCAGATCAGTAATGTCAAGAACACGACCCACAGAGTTTAATTGCTCTTGTATATCGGTTCTGTACTTTTCAATTTCGTCAATCTGTTCCATAAGTTCATGCTGATACAACTCGAGCACAGATTCATCGTCATTAGCATTTTCAATGCTTTGTCTTTGCGAAGTCCACTTCAAAAGTCTGCGCTTTTCGGCTTCGCTTGATCTGGCACCCATGATATCGAAGTGTGAAATGAGAAGCGACATACATCTTGCTACTTTGAGTTTGAGTTTGTCAAACTGGCCCTCATTGAGCACCAAAACATTGAATCCCTTGGTCATCTCCATTGCAAACTCAAGTGCCAAAACGCACCATCTGAAAGTTTTTCTGTCCGTAGGAATACAATCATCACAAATGAAACTCACCCACTGAATAGAGAGGTGAATGAGTCGCATGATAACAACTGAACTTCGAGATTGATCAGACCATCTAACAGCACTTTTTCCAAAATCTCGCGCGTAAATGAAGAATTGATTCACAAGTTCCTGATACTCACTTCCGGGAGTTAGCTCTTTGCACTTTTGAATGACTATGTCGACAGAATCAAAAATTGCCAACGTCATACGAAAGAACATTTTATTGATTCGAGTCATTTCCTGGTGCAATTTCGTCACAGATGAACGTTGTTCCAAAGGCTTCACTATTCCATTCATAGACAAGGAACCAGAGACAAGGTCCACAAACCTCTCTCTGGACTCCTGAATGTTATTGTAAGACAACCCTGTTACAAGAATTAGCTGTCCCACCTTGAGATCGGTTATTGGGATATTCTCAATAGTTAAATTGATCATTTCACCTTCCCATACAATGGGCTTAGGAGGACATAAAGCGATCAAGTAAGCATCATTAGAATGCATAGATGAATCACTAGCATAAGGTGTTTGGTAGTATGACTCCGACTTGATGGAGTTAATCAAATCTGTGAACTCGTTGAATGTATCTGATGCGTCAACTCCAATGAACCCTCCACTGATTATTTGAAGAATCTCATTTTCCTTACCCTGAAGTTCCGGACAAGCAAAGAAATACATTCCCTGCATCTCCGAAGAGCCAGTATAGACAAGAAAATGGTTCGTTGCTTTCAAGATGTCAAGAATTGACTTCGTTTGATGGCCTGGGACTTCAAAAATGAAGGAGTTGGTAAAGCTTCTTGACATCTCACCAGTAAATCTGGCAAGCTTACGACGAAGCTGACCAAAATTCTCTGTGGTAGAGTTGTACCAACGTAGAAGATCAGTGGAGCCAGGAGCGGGCCGTGGTGGGTTACGCACTTGGTGATTGAGATAAGCTAACAACTTCAGGCAGAGTCGGGATGTGATGGAAATGACGTTTTCAGCCACAACCATGCTACCACCGTCAATGTAATCACCAAGACATTTCAAGTAGTTCCACGCATCCTCTAATTCTTCTGGCTCCTTATTTGTACGGAATAAATATGGCGACCTAGAGCTATCCACAAGCTTCTTGTTTAGCAAAACCAAAAAGTAACGCACGCACAGTAGAACCACAGTGTCAAAGTCTGCCATATCTTTTTCAAATAGATCTTCGATAATCCACGTCTTACTCAGATCTGGCTTGCAGAAGTCCATGATTCCACCTTTTACTTCTAAAGCAATAGTGATATATGACTTCATATCGTCTATCATCTGGTCGATCATCATTAACGTTGGGTTTTCCAACTTCTTTGCTAGAGCCATACGAATAGTGATGATCTCCTTGATTAATCGCATTGGGACAAGACATAGGTCAAGTAATTGATTACCATAGTCTGGCAATTTGAGAACTTCAAACATATGGCCCAAAGTAATGTATGTTTCCTTTGACTTAACAATCCATGGTGCCAACGGCGTGAAGATTCGCTTCCTAAACACTGTGTGTACGTCTTTCTCCTTGACAATCTTATCTGCCAAAGACTTGTTATCTTCCTCGAAAATTTGTTTGACTTTACTATCTCGACTTCTTGTGAGCGACAGTGTGTCAACCTCGTCCTCAAGTCGTCTGTTCTGGACACCCTTGGTAACGTCTAGCTCATCGTTTCCAATCCATTGTATGAAAGACTTCGTGTTTCTAGCAATTCCGTCAGCAATGTTGAGCCAAGCAGTCAATGCATCGATTCGGTCATGAAAAGCTTCTGTTCTGCAAGCTGGCTTATCATGTTTCATCTCCTCTAGCGTTCGCCACAATTCACACGCTTTATCGTATCTATCTAGAATTTCGGCCACTTGATCACGCGGAGACTTGGCTCCAACTTCGTATGAAACCTCATAATTGAGAATTTCTTCTATCAACAGGTCCACTTGAGTTCTTCTGTACAAGGTGTTCTTGCGTTGATCATCTTCACTTCTGTCAAAGAGTTTTGCTCGAATACCATACCAGAGATTCTCCTTGTAGTGAGCCTGGAGGAAAGACTCTTGAGCTTCCACATGATTGGCATTATCGATGATTTTCGTCTTTTCCGAACGGACAACGTCTCCATTAAGCACCGAGGACAACATGGCTTGCCACTCGAGTCGTTCCAACACGCCAGGATCCTCTACGGTGTCCTTGCTGATGGTTTTCACATTATGGTCTATGCTCAACTTGGAGTTTGTGCGCTTCATGATGTCGAACGCCAAGGAATAGTCAATCTGGTATTTGTCCTCATCCAAATCAGTGAGAAAGTCCGAGTTTCCGTAGGGCAGGAGCCCTTCCTCCTCTTCGTCCTCATCGTTATTGCTAGTGTCTGATTCTTTGAGTTCTGCGTCGCCCCCACCGATGCGCTTTGTGTAGTAATCGTCCATGCCCTGATTACGGATTCTCTTGAGGTACATGCGCTCTTGTGATAAGTACTGGTTTGTATGGGGAATGTTGTTGGTGATAACCAGTCCGATGGATTTTGGCCTGGAACGTCTGGTCTCTGAGCCTGGAGCCTTTGCAGTAGTTCCTGACGATTTAGAATCACTGCTCAAGCGCTTGCCGCCGAATTGGGCGTTGGAAGACCCGTTTCCCGACGAATGGCCCGCTGACAGCGAGGATTCCGCACTAGCAAGCGTGGGTCGTCGACTGCCACTATTGCTGCGGTGTGAGATAGCAACAGGCCTGTTGGGAGCGGCCGAATCCTTCGCACCGGAAGAAAAATATGGCATGATGGTATCAATCGGTTGAGTTGACCGAAGGACGAGTAATTGCCGTGGAGTTGTAGATTACCGGGTCGAGCAACTGGATTGAGACAGGTGACGATGGATGTGTGAGCCCTATCAACGAAAGGAATAAACTGGCAAGGAAAGAATGCAAATTCAATGAGCCCCGTGCGTGACGTGTGGCTAGTACCTGCGGATTTGTTGATAGAACTATGCCACTGGATTGGTGAAGTGGTTGGAGGTAGTAGAGGCGTCCTTATGGTGTAGGGGTACGGGTTTTGGCGGAGATAGTAGTTACCATGAAACGGAGAAGAGGAGGATTTGGAAATAGAAAATATATGGGTATTCTGCTTGTATGGGTTTCAAAGTAGAATTGAAGAATTTGAGATTCTCTGGATTTGTCACTAATGATTTGGTCTGGAGGTTGTGGGGATAAGATCGACAACTTGTCGTGAGCGAGCCTTCCAATCTCCGTCTTTCAAAGGAAATAAAGAAAGAGGAAGCAAGTGAAGTGTGAATTGATTTTTTGATTTTTTTTCGAACATACGCAAGCAATCCAGAATTTAAGAAAATTATCAGGGGAAGGTATTACCTTTTATATTTAGTACTTTATTCGTGGGTTTCATTGTCAGGAATTCTGTTTTTTGAGATTCATCAAGAGATATGGGTATTAAATGTCTGATCTCACTTGATATGACATCGACAATACGAATAACAAAGGAAAATTGCCATACATTCCATGAATAATATACATTCACAGATAGCAAATGCAATATAAAACCACGTAATCCGTTCCAGTGAGACCTCCCACAAAAACCGAATAAATCGATTCTCATAAGCTAATTGATCTACATACACCTTCCAATACATCATCACTGCTCCATACACTCCTCCAACAACCAATGTCGAATGGTGTCTCTCTTTGATATCAGCCTGCAACGGCCCACATGGTCGCATCTCTCCACAGGAGTCCCGACTCTCGACCAGATGCTTGATCTCCAATCAGATGGCCTCTTCGACTTTCAGTCAGTGCCTGCCAATGCTGGAGTAGAGGCTATGGTTTGCAACTTGATGGTATCACATCTCGCCAGCTCATCGTCTCTGAAGATTTTGGTCATTGAGACACTCAACTCGTTCAACTGGAACTTACTTAAGCAGCATCCTCAATTTGATGCCGAGTGGCATCCGCGAGTCTCGGTGCATAGACTTCTACTGGTGGTGGAACTCTTTTGGTTCTTCACTTTTGGGCCGGGAGCTTCGGCCGATTGCACATCCACATTGCTCTTCATCACGAACTTCCACGAAATTGTCGATTTGTACCGACTTCATGTGGCACAATCCTACGAAGATGCGCTCCTCAAACATCAAATCGATAAGAACCGTGAACTCCTTGCCAACTTGGACCGTGCCAGAGAGGAGGGATTGGAGCTGGTCTCGCTTCCTCTGCTACCACCGCAGTCTGATTTGCTTAAGCTGAGTCCCTATGTAAAGGCTCAGAAACACATCGACGAGCTCTTCAAAGAGATTTCGGAATTCACATACAAGAACTCGGCCATCGTGGTGCTTCTTGGCCACCTAGATGCCAAATTCATGCCCTACAATACAGCTCGGCTGCTGGCGATGTCGCCGAATAACAGTTCGATGGCGTCTCAGAATACTGAATCTACGCTGTCCCAGACTTTTGGTCGAGATGGTCGAGATGGTCGAGATGCCAATCGGTTGGTCCTTGCACCTGTTACTTTTGGCAAAAATCCAAGTGGAAACAGGGCTGGAGGGGAGGCGGGCCTCAACGAGGTGAAAATTACAGCCAGACTTGTCTTTTACAACGATTGGTACCACAAAAGTCCATATATTCGTAATACGGAAAACCCTCCAGATGTTTCTGAGGACTTTCTTGTACTGGTGGTGAAAGTCACCAGCCTAAATGGCGTTGCTAACATCAACGAGCCCGTCTTCTTTGACTTGAGCGCACGTCATCCCAACAGTGAAGCATCTCTGAATGGGTGGCTCATTGACCTCCAGGTTCAAGAGGATCAAGATCTCTCTGCATTAATTCAGGACTCCATCAACTCAACCCAAGCTCCACGAGCTGCGTCAACGCAGATAGCACGACAGTTGGCTTTACCGTCGTCTCCATTCTCCACCCAGCGGATTTCAAAGGCAACAATGGAAGAGAATACGGAATGTTTAGTCGATAAATCGGAAGGAAGACTAGAAGAGAGCCTAACCGATAAAAGAGAGACTGGCGAAGAAATTCAGAAAGAAGAGGACAGTGACGCCAACTCAGAGCAAAACTACCAAGATCTGTACATCGATGGATCGGATGTCGAACTGACGGGTACTCTCTTGGAGGACATATCGGAAATTTAAGTATATACGGAATTTCACATCCTCGTGAATATCGACTGGTTTGTCTGAGATGCAATGTTTTTCTTCACACAGACCTGCTGCAGCCGAAGCTCAACTTGAACCTTCTCAGACATAAGATAAAACTGAGCAATATCTGTTCGCAACACTTTGAGCGCTGCTGGAATCCTAAACATGGTACTAGGAAGTTCGTTGAATGAAATGTCGAGATCCTCAATTGAGTCTGGGAGATGCATCATATCCTCGATGTAGTTGCGACGGATATTAAATACCTTTAGCATTGGAAGCTTAGTCTTGAACGACCCAGTCAAATTGTTGTAGGAGAGATCTAAAGTTACCAAGGTTTCAGGAAACTTCACACCATATAATGTCAGGATGCTGTTATGTGATACAACTAGGTGCTTGATCAGTTCGGGGAATTCTATATTAGCAAGGGAAAGAATCCCCATATTGGACATGCAAACTGTGGAGAGGCTCGTGAAATGAGAATAATCATAGCAAGAAGGCCAATTGATGGAACCACGTTCGTGTGCATCCACAGGACCCACAAGAGACAAGCTTTCAAGTGATGGGTATAAGCTTGACATCTTCTCGATGCTCTGAAACAAGCATGAAATGACCTCCTCGTCCAGGCTCCTCTCTACTACCAGATTGAGACCACCCATGAACAAAAACACCTGACGAGTAACATTCAGCACGGATTGAGGAAGCCTTCGGAGAAGACGACTAAAACTCCTGATGATCCGGTATCGCTGGTCTACGTTGGAGTTATCACAACAGAGCACAAACACTAATTTCCGCCTAACATTCACCTCCGGGTACAATTTAGATTCCCATTCGGGAATAAAGTCCTGAAACTCATTGATCGATAGGTAAGTATAGCGAGAGAGTAATTCCAAGCTACTGATTTTCTTTGCACGAGGCAACAATCTGAGCAGCTGACGCCATGAATTGGTGATTATCAATCTGGAATAGCGAACGGTTTCTATAACTCGCAAGATTTGGTTCGAGCAATTGGCATTGAAAAGTAGCAGGAGACAGTATAGATAATCCAGGTCGAGCTTCTGGAAGATTTGGCCGAGGATATCTGGAGGTAGGTCCGCAAACTCCATTAAGAAGAATGGGGATTAGTAGGGTGAGTAAGAGGTCACGATCTGATGCCTGATTAGGTCCGATAAGCGCACGTGACCACAAGCGGGGTGTAAAGTATGTAAATAGTGGTAGCACGTTAGAAATGGAAGAACACATACCAGGAGAAGAAAACATAGTGCTCAGATGTATTGCATCGGGATATATTTTCTTCAATTGTGGTTTAGGTGTAAGTAATTTGCCTTGAAATCGCATGGAATTGACAATGGACAATGTTTTACTTCACTAGTGCAGAATACTTCCGTTTCAAACAACGAAGCCACTTTTAGAAACAATTAGGTGCCTTTTTCAATCTTCTAATATCTGTGTTGATACCCATTCCCAAATATTAATACTTATCATGGCGCTATCCATCAAACACAACGACCTGCACACAATGCGATGAGCATCAAGTCTTTTTCCATACAATGAATGTTTCTCCATACTCATCACCATGGCCACCGTCATCCCCCCACCATCTAAAAAACAGAAAAAGGAGGCCCAGCAGGTTCGCGATGTGAATATTGTACCTGAGGATCTCCCAAATGTGCTAATAAAATTCCAGGCCGCTGATTCGGGAGACTCGGTAGGAGGATCCATTAGAGTGCCAGGTGGAATTACAGAGAAACAGTTGGAAGAACTTTTGAACCAGCTCAATGGAGAAAAGGATGAACCAGTTCCATATAGCTTTTCTCTTCTTAATACCAAAGAAGATGAGAAAAATCCAGAGTTGATCGATATCAAAGACAACCTTTACCTGTCAGTTTTGAAGCCAGGCATCAAGACTACCGAAGATTTCATGACCATCGTGTACACGCCACGAGCCATTTTCAAAGTTAAGGCCGTGACAAGATCCAGTGCTGCTATAGCGGGTCACGGATCCACCATCTTGTGTTGTCAATTTGCACCTAATGATTCAGGCAGAATGTGTTCGGGAGCAGGCGACTCGACCGCCAGAATCTGGGATTGCAACACTCAGACACCTTTCAAGACGCTTTCAGGGCACACGAACTGGGTACTTTGCGTGAGTTACTCGCCATGTGGAACCATGATCGCCACAGGATCTATGGACAATACTATCAGATTATGGGATGCAGTCACTGGTGCTCCCCTCGGTAATCCGCTCATGGGACATAGCAAGTGGATCTCAAGTTTGACGTGGGAACCTTTGCATTTGGTTGATGTGGGCGAGAAACCCAGGCTTGGTTCGGGTTCGAAAGATGGAACCGTTAAGGTATGGGACACTACTCGTAGAGTTTGTTCTGCTACTATGAGTGGCCACACAAATGCCGTTTCTTGTGTGAAATGGTCTGGATCTAACATCTTATACAGTGCATCCCACGACAAAACCATCAGAGCATGGGATATGGCTGCTGGAGGTAAATGTATCCAGATCTTGAAGAGCCACGCACATTGGGTCAACCACTTGTCGATCTCGACCGATTACGTGTTAAGAAAGGGAGGTTTCTCACACACATCATCCAGGACATCTGCTAAGACCGACCCTGCTGAGCTACGCAAAGCAGCTTTGGATCAATACGAGAAGGTTGCAAAACTTAACGGACAAATTTCGGAGCGACTCGTGACCGCCTCTGATGACTTCACCATGTACTTTTGGGAACCTCTCAAGTCTTCCAAGCCCGTCTGCAGAATGACTGGTCATCAGAAGTTGGTCAACCACGTTCTGTTCCTGCCAGATGGTCGCTACATTGTGTCTGCCTCCTTCGACAACTCCATTAAGATTTGGGACGGAATCAAGGGCACATTTATCGGAACATTCCGTGGCCATGTAGCGCCAGTCTACCAGACCGCCTGGTCTGCCGACAGTAGGCTCTTGGTCAGCTGCTCTAAAGATACTACGTTGAAGGTGTGGGATGTTCGTACAAGAAAGCTTAATGTGGATTTACCAGGCCATGCTGATGAGGTATATGCTGTGGACTGGAGCATGGACGGCAAAAAGGTTGCTAGTGGAGGAAAAGACAAAATGGTGCGGATCTGGTCCAGTTAGAGAAATTTTGGTATAGAAGATATGGGTGCAACTTGGGTGCAAGGTCTTGTGGCTGCTGCGATGGTGTGCAGGTCGCAAGAATTGGCCCTCTTGATTAGTAGGAGGAGATAAGGATGAAACAACGAAAAATCCATGAAAATAAATTTCGTAAATCAAATGATTACTTCTTACAGATAGATTTCCCCTGTTTTAAAGGCTTCAACAGTCTAGGTGGCGTCAATACCTGACATGCTCCGCCCATTCCTTTTTGAGTCTTACACGACGATATACTAATCTAAGGCCGAAGTTCCGACTCGCATCCATCCAACCACATCTTCACCAAACCATGGCCATCGTCAAAAGGGGAGGCCGTTCCAAGGCGAAGACCCAGACTGCGCCTGCGAAGAGCGGGATCCAGAAAGCAGAATTCGATCTCACCAAGAAGAAGGAGGTAGGAGTATCGGACTTGACGTTATTGTCCAAGATCACCGACGAAGCCATCAACGAAAACTTACACAAGCGATTCATGAACGGAACCATTTATACGTACATTGGGCATGTGTTGATTTCAGTCAATCCGTTTCAGGATTTGGGCATTTACACACAAAAAACTCTCGATATGTACAAGGGCAAGAACAGATTGGAGGTGCCTCCACATGTATATGCAATTGCCGAGTCCATGTACTACAACTTGAAATCGTATGGAGACAATCAGTGTGTGATCATTTCCGGAGAATCCGGTGCCGGCAAAACTGAGGCTGCCAAGCAGATTATGCAATATATTGCCAATGTCTCAGTGGATGACAATTTGAATAAAAGTTCTCAGACAAGTGGAATTACAAAGATCAAGGACATGGTGTTAGCCACAAATCCGTTGTTGGAGTCGTTTGGATGTGCCAAGACCTTGAGAAACAACAATTCTTCAAGACACGGCAAGTATCTTGAGATTTTCTTCCACCCACTGACCTATCAGCCTCATGCGGCTCATATCACCAACTATTTGTTGGAGAAGCAGAGAGTGGTGCAACAAATTACCAACGAGCGGAACTTCCACATTTTCTATCAATTTACCAAACATTGTCCTTCACAATATCAGCAAATGTTTGGCATTCAGGGCCCAGAAACATACATCTACACATCTGCCTCTCAGTGTACCACTGCCGATGGAATTGATGATGGAAAGGACTTTGCCGAGACATTGCGTGCTATGGATGTGATCGGTGTGACGCAACCAGAGCAGGATAACATTTTCCGAATGTTGGCTACAATTTTGTGGGTTGGAAACATCTCATTTGTGGAAGATAAAAGTGGAAACGCAGCTATTCGCGACGAGGGTGTCACTAATTTTGTTGCCTACCTCTTGGAAGTCAATCCGGAAATTTTGAAGAAAGCTTTGGTTGAGAGAATCATCGAGACCTCCCATGGTATGCGCAGAGGCTCGACATATCACGTTCCTTTGAATATTGTCCAAGCTACTGCTGTTCGTGACGCTTTAGCTAAAGGAATCTATAACAATTTATTCGACTGGATTGTTGAGAGAGTCAATGCATCCTTAAGAGCAACTGGTGGCCAGCATGAGAAGAAATCCATTGGTATTTTGGATATTTACGGCTTTGAGATTTTCGAAAACAACTCATTCGAACAGATTTGCATCAACTATGTCAATGAGAAGTTGCAGCAGATCTTCATCCAGTTGACCTTGAAAGCTGAACAAGATGAGTATGTCCAAGAGCAGATTAAATGGACTCCGATCGACTATTTCAACAACAAAGTTGTGTGTGACTTGATCGAAGCCACCAGACCGCAACCTGGATTGTTTGCCGCCTTAAACGATTCTATCAAGACTGCCCACGCCGATTCAGATGCTGCTGACCAGGTTTTCGCCCAGAGATTGAGTATGGTTGGATCCAGCAATCGTTATTTCGAGGACCGTCGTGGTAAGTTTATCATTAAGCACTACGCTGGAGATGTGACTTACGAGGTGTCTGGTATGACTGATAAGAACAAAGATAGCATGTTGCGTGACTTATTAGAACTCTTGTCTACTTCGACCAACAACTTTGTCTCCGGTGTCTTGTTCCCACCGGCTCTTTTGGCTGCAATCACTGACTCCAAAAAAAAACCGGACACTGCCTCCGACAAAATCAGAAAGAGTGCTAACCTTTTGGTAGACACCTTATCGCAGTGCCAGCCTTCCTACATAAGAACGATCAAGCCCAACCAAACAAAGAGACCAAAGGAGTACGATAATCAGCAGGTGTTGCATCAAATTAAGTACTTGGGTTTGAAGGAGAACGTGCGCATTAGAAGAGCAGGTTTTGCTTATCGTACCACCTTCGACAAGTTTGTTCAACGGTTTTACTTGTTATCGCCCGCTACAGGTTATGCTGGTGACTACATTTGGCAAGGAGATGATATCACTGCGGTGAAAGAAATTTTGCGTAGTTGTCATATCCCTCCTACTGAGTATCAAATGGGTACCACCAAGGTATTCATCAAGACTCCAGAAACATTGTTTGCTTTGGAAGACATGAGAGACAAGTACTGGCACAATATGGCTGCCCGTATCCAAAGAGCCTGGAGACGTTATGTCAAGAGAAAGGATGACGCAGCCAGAGTTATTCAGACAGCGTGGAGAAATAAGAAGCATGGAAATAAGTTTGAGCAGTTCCGTGATGAAGGTTCTGCTATTTTGCAAGGACGTAAAGAAAGAAGAAGAATGTCCATGCTTGGTTCACGTGCGTACATGGGAGATTACCTTGGATGCAATGATTCTACCGGATATGGTCGCTTCATTGTCAGCCAGACTGGAATCAATGAACCCGTTTACTTTTCTGGCAAGGGTGAAATTCTTTTGCACAAATTCGGTCGTTCATCAAAGCGCTTACCTAGAACATTCATCTTGACTAGAACGAACTTATATGTCATAGCAGATGTCTTGGTGGAGAAGAGATTGCAACTTCAAAAGGAATTTTCGATCCCGGTATCGGGCATCAGCTATGTGGGAATGTCCAATTTACAAGATAATTGGCTTGCAGTGTCGTTGCACTCGCCAACGCCAACAACTCCAGACATTTTTATCAACCTAGACTTCAAGACTGAATTAGTTGCGCACTTGCGCAGGCTCGACAGAGGATTGACAGTCAAGATTGGGCCTACTGTGGATTACCAGAAGAAAGCCGGCAAGTTCCACACTGTTAAGTTCATGAATGGATCAGCCCCTCAATATGGCGATGTCTACAAGTCTGGTACTGTCACTGTGGGACAAGGCTTACCACCAAACAGCAGGAACCCCAAGCGTCCTCGTGGTAAGTCAAGTGCGGTGGATTACAGCAAGTATTACAACCGTGGTGCCAATAGAAAAACAGGAGGCTGGCCTGCTCCAACCCCAGTTTCTAGACCTGTGCAAAATTCCCGGCCACAACCTTACCAGTCGCCACAACCAACACAAGTTCAGCCACCCCATCAGCCTGCTCAAACTCAACCGCAGCAGACGACTCAACACAGAAGAGTACCTCCAAATCCTCCAGTGCAATCACAATCTCAGGCAAAAGTACAACCCCAAGTTCAGCAACGAGGACATCCACAAATTCAGCCGCAAGTCCAACAGCAACCACAAGGACACCAATCATCCCAGGGACGTTCTGCTAGTGCGGCTGTTTCGAAGCCAATTAAGAAGTCGCCAGCACCTGCACCTCCTGCCAAGAAGAGTGCTCCTCCCCCTCCACCTTCGTTGGCAACCTTCAAACCTAAGCATCCTACCTATAAAGTAATTTTTGATTATGATGGTTCAGTGAGTGGATCGGTTCCACTTGTGAAGGACGATATTGTGTATGTTGTGAGCATTAATGACAAGTGGGGTCTAGTGAAGGATCTCCAAGAGACCAGAGAGGGTTGGGCACCTTTAGACTACATGAAAGAGGTGGACCCTCCAGCGAATTTGATTGGTGGAGCCAAAGCTGCCCCTCCACCGGCCCCACAAGTTCGTACCACGTCAGCGCAGCAACCCGTGCAACAGAGCACGGAGCAGAGTTTACAGCAGCCTGTGCAATCAAATGTGCAAGCGACTAACGGAGCTGGACTTGGCAATGGACTTGCAGATGCATTGAAGGCTAAGAAGAACGAAGAAGTGACTTTGGCCGGTTCGTTGGCTGACGCCTTGAAAAAGAGACAAAATGTCACCAGGGATGACAGTGATGAGGAGGAGGATGATGACGATTGGTGAGAAAGAATCTGAATTATGGATGTGAAAATTTGAAGAACTGGAAACAAAAATAAAGAACTCTGCCTCCAAGCAAGTCATCGGGATGAATGGTGCATCACTTCTTTTTCTTTTTTTAAATTCGATTTCACTTCTGTCGTGGCTGTTGCGGTAGAATCTACATTCTCATTGCACAGAAATTATATATATTTACAATGTTAAACTTACCATCCACTTGGGTGCTTGATAGTCTTCTTAGGCAAGTAGGCACAGGCATTGGCATCACAACCAGTGTTGACCACATTGGTGGCCCACCAGCTGTAATGATCACCAGCACCAGTGTAGGTAATACAGAAGAAAACGAGAATACCGGCGATAGCGACACCGCAGTCAAGACCAACGGCCGTGACCAAGTTATACTTTCTCCACCAAGCATTCTTGTACTTGTGAATAAAGTAGTTGAAACCAAGGATCACAGCGAACCACGAGCCATACTGGAGACCAGTGGAGGTTGGGATCTTACCAGCACCACTGACAAGCAATGTTGGGTTAAGGCACTGGACAACCTTGTTTTGAGGGTAGAATTTCTTAAGGGCAATGACACCAAGGGCGACAACAGCACCAACCAAGAAGAACCAAAGAATGAAAGAGTATCTTCCACCAGCAGCGAAAATATGGTCACCGAACAAACCCCAAACCAAATGTTGGTTGAAGGAAGTTCTCTGGGTTCTACATGTCATGTTGTTCTTAGCATCAGTCTGACAAACATCAGAGATGTGATTCAACAAGAAGACAGTTACACCGGCATTAAGAAGAGAAGCCCAAATACCAGCAGCGAAAAGAACAAGCATGGTCACCACTGGAGGAGTCTTAAGGTAGTGACCCAACTTGGCACCCTGCGACATGTGCTCAGCGTGCTGAAGGGTACCGAAACCGAACATCATGAAGTACATGACAGCCATTGGCTTACCGTGGAACCAGAAGGCACCGACCAAGTTGAAGAAAGCCTGCAAACTAATGACAACAGTACTCTTGGCTTCAATAAGACACAAAGGAATGTAAAGAAGACCACCCAACACGAGAGCAACAATGAATCCACCGACATCAAGCTGAGTTTCTCTGTTCCATCCCTCGACAAACAAAATACCGAGAGCCAAACCAATAAGACCCGAAACAAAGTAGAAAATGGCTGGCACTCTTCTGTACTTCAGAATAAGCTGAGAGTGGATGTCGACCTTGACTCTCTGCAATGGTTGAATGACAGAGTCCTTGAAATTGTAGATGATCATCACTACCATGGACGAGAAAGCGGCAAGAGACAAGGCAGTGGTCATGAGGAAACCAATTGGAAGCATGACTGGAGAGTACTTCTTAAACTTTGCGATGTCAAGTTCGTACTTCTTGTTGACGACCTTGGCTGGAAGGTATGAGGTACCGTTGGTGTTGAAAATGGCATTGGTCATGATTGGGAAGTGGGCAGTCTGCCAGTGGTTTCTGTAGTAGAGACCTGGGATGACAATCCAGACCCAGAAAACAAAGGAAGCGAAAATAGACATTCCGTAGACGTATGGCACAGTCAATGGGTTGGAAATGTTAGAGATAGTAGACCAATCAAACGAAATTGGTAAAAGAGCAAGACCGTTCAGAGTACCGAAAACCTGGCCCACCACAGCGTTGGTTGGCACGGCCCAGGTAAGGAAAGCACCGATGTTGGCAATGAATGGGAAGATGAAATCGGAGAAGAAGTACCACACGAATGACAAGACGAAAATCACAGAAAAGTATTGAAGACGAGAGATCTTCCAGTTTGGAACGTATGGATTTTCATCAGAGTGCAAGGTCTTCATCAAAGCACACGAAGACAAAATACCAGGCCAGACCACATCGGGGTTGTCGACCAAGATTGGGATGGAAAGACCACACCAGCACCAAGAAATCATGAAAGATGCAACGTTGAAAAGAATAGCTCTTCCCACACCGTAGTTGAAGTTGAAGAACTTGAGCTGTTCAGCAATCGTGATGTTCACAAGTCTGGTGGAAGTCACGGTGTTGGCAAACATGAAGATCAAGGTGTGTTCCTTGATGTTGAATGGGCCCGGGTTCAATGAGACTCCGAATGACTTTGTTCCAATTCTGAAGTCAGGAACAATCTTGTGCCACAAGGTACCAAGTGGGTATGCGAGAAGCTGGGCTACAATACCACCAATTGCAATGGAAGGGAAACGCAAGGTGAAGAAAGCATCGACACCAGCAATGACAGAACTCAACACAACAGCCAACACCCACATTCTCAAGGTGTTGGCAGGCATGTCGGTGACATCATCAACCATTACCACTTCCTTGATGTCGTCGGCGTTAAACTCATATTCGGTTTCAGCAGATGAGGTATCATTGTCGACTTCCTTGGCAATATCAGAAATTTCCTCTTTGGCAGTGGTTTCACTGGAGACGTCATTACGCTGTTGCTCGATAGGATCGGAGGAGAAGAGCCATTTGCGGAGCCTCCATGCACGAGATTCTAGGTGAGTATCGTCACCTGAAACCTGGTTCTTAGCACCAGAAGATGAGGAGGAAGTCACTGAAGAAGCCATTGGTTGGTAGTAAGCGATCGAGACAAAAATTGGGGAGAAACCTGGTCTATTTATTGCTGCAAAATCTGCAAGATGGCATTCAACGGGAGGTCAAATGATATTCGTAAGCGTGCATATTCTCTCGTGCCGTGCTTCGACCCGACGACCGGGTCGGGATTCTGGCATACAATGCGAGTGCATGGAGAAGGGAAATAAACGACTAAAACTTGAAGAAACTATCAATAAAGAGAATTTTAAGGGGAGATGCTAAAAATGGCCCAGTGCTCGTTATTTTCCTATTAATGTGAACTTTTTTTTGATTGTTTTAGATATTGAGAACTGAATTTGAGCAAAATGACGTGAAACTATCATTCCAAAAATAATCTGCGGCACTTGATGTCTACCTGCATGGTTTGCAGCACTGACTACCCCTGTATGCAATTCCTCATAGTGACTAAGATGAGCGCATCAAAACTGATGGATCAGATATGGTTCCATGTAGCACCACTTAAAAAATGTTCTCGAAATGGATGGGGCACTGGGATCAAACAGCAAGTGCCTCTCTTTTTTTCCCTAGTGGCTGCTTTGCTCTTCTACTAATCTTTGCCTACTAGTAATGCACACCTAGTTCCATATGACACATCCTTGATAGCTCCAGTCCTGTACATCCCAAATGAATCCTCCTGTCAAAACCAATCCATGGGAAGTGTGGACTCTTAGTAATTAGTGGAAGAGTTCGGAAAGGTGCTTCAATGGAGCTTTTGCACGCATTGTAATTTAGTGATTATGTGGAGTGACGGGGCAACTTACTACAAGCCCCGAGTCGGCTTTCGTGGGGTGCTGGTATCACCTTGCTTTCTTTTTGAAGTCGTTTCTCTATCTTCTCCACTATTATGCAGATAACCAGCTTACAAATACATTACTACCATCCAGGTGTTTCCGATCGGCTTCAAATCATATTAACTACATGGCAATTGTATTTCATCCATTGTCCATTGGTTGATAGTCTCCCATTTTTATTGCTTCATATGCTTTGGAACAATGATTATTTCGTCTGGGAAACTATCACAAGTACCCCTCCAGGATCTTGAGGATCATCGGTGAAGTATAACCTCTAAACTGTTAGATCAAGACCCTACTCAGGTGTCAACTGTGCTCTGTTATTGGTTGACGTTTACAATTTAGTCGTTTTTCAAAATGTCAACTGTCCAAAGCTTCTGGGTCATCGCTCCCCCACCCACGGATAAGCTGGTGAAATCTGCCTACCTACGGCTGAAGGCTTAATGCCAAGTATTGACGACCCGTCAAGTCGGAAGCACGCGGAGCTCGCATCGAGGTTCGGCATGGGCATTGGTTGGCTGTAGTTTCTGCGTGCCCTGCGGGAAACTTCCAAAAGCAATTGATAGAATAGATTATGCCGATTCCATATTTCCTCTTATGCATGGTCCTACCCCGTGATTGGAACATATATTGTGTGGTTGGTATATAGTTGCTTTTTCTAATATTTTTTATCAACTCTGCTGCTGGTTTTAACATGGTCATGCATTATCATTTGGTGATCGGTTTGCTCCGACGCAAATGTGCATGGCAGTTAAAGCTTCTGCCTGCACCACTGTGCTGATCGTTGTGATAGTTCACGTGACCTGCGGAACCTCGTCAAGCCTTGTTGCGGCTATATTGGAAATATTTACATAATATGGAAAAAAATGAATCTTTCCGAGAAGGTTGCGGTTCTTTTTTTGGCCGTTGCACAACACTAAACCGGAAAAATCATCAGCCACTTTTATAATATATGACTCAGAACCAATAACCACCTGGATTGTCAAAGTGTCATGCCACTATGTGCATGTCTTCGACTATTTTTATTTCAACCGTTAGCTTGTGACACCTTTCTGAATGCCAAGTACATCCCTCTTGCGTACAATAGCTCATTAGAGAAGATATTGGTTTCTGGGGTAACTTCAATGTGATTCGCCATGGACCTTTTCGGTTCAGAGGACATCGCTGCAAACAGATTGTACTTGTAAAAGCTTTAAACAATCAGCGACTGGAAAAATGAATTCCCTGGCTGATGCATGGTCAATTATTGGATGCCATGCATCAAGCCGAAAGTGGTTTTCCGCTACTAAGGCAAGCTCTCGAGGTCAGGCTTCTGCGTGTGGAATTTTGCCGTTTCTATGTGCATGTTTGATTTTATTGGTTAGGCTAACTCTTTCTTTTCTTTTGCTATCTTGATATTTAGAAACAGATGTGTAATTTTCATCCAGAGCACTAATTATGCGTTGCGAGAAGAGAGTTATTATTCTCTTGCAGGAATTTTGATTCGTGGTGTTGACAATTGGCTATCCATACTCTTGATGTTTCAGAGCTTCTGGGTCTTCATTGCTGTTGATATTGTTTCTGGAGCCCATTTTCTGCTAGAAATTTCTTAAGATGTCTTTTTTCGATCCTGGCCCATAGAATTTTTTACCATTCTTCCATCAATAGCTCACAATGAATATGTGATTTTTTTCTGCTGATATCAAGCGGTTGAAGTAATTTTGACTGTAATCTGAGTTCTGGCGCCCATCTACGGACATTGGTCTAATCTCCACGGAATTAACTTTTGGCGATTAATTTCAAGTCATGCTGTTTGCGTTTAACTTTGTCTCGACTATAGAATGGGTTTATATTCTTGTTGCTTAGTACTTTCTCCTTTTGATCATATTTATCAACTAGACAGAAAAACTCAGATTCCTGATATTGTGCTACTCCGGATCTACCGAATTTAGATTCATTCCTACAAATTGTTATTGAACATTTACTTTCTAGCTGAATCACATCGAAGGATACTTTTCAAACACACCGAATATGACTGGGTCGATTAATTAAAAGCTACCCTTGTAATTTCTCATTGCTAGAGGTTATGCCTCATATCACAGTCCCAAAATCAACAATCATGTCAATAAACTTTGATACTTGGATTGACTTCTTGTTAAATCCAGGTTTGAAATATTTCACGTATTGTGTACTTCTTTGTTTGAGAAACAAAACCACTGACTTTCCAATATGTTGACTCCAAATGTTTTGAAAAGCGGTTCCTCGCATAGGGAAAGGATCAGTTTCAAGGTTACTACATGATACTCTAAAGGATAAAACAAGTAGCCAAAATTCTGACCAGCTCGCTTTATTCTTCGTTGAAACAGCATTATTGTACTAGCATGAAACTCATTCTTCTCAAATGTACTCGCTTCCTACTATAAATCCGATAAGTATACCATACCGTTCTAAACTGTAGAATTCAACTTTCTATACATAAAAAGTGAAAGAAAAATAGGAATCTGTTTTCCTTCCGAATTTTCAGTCATCCCGACTATTCTTCTATCCAAGTGTGCACATAACCACACAAGTCTCATACTCCAGATCATACTCTGACTCCATCGTTAATTACACCCTATATCAAATCACTTCTAACTCGGCGTATGGCTAAGCATTGCTGCTGAAATTGTTCTGTTTCTTCGATGTCGAAACAAAAGAAAAACTCGCTATTGGCGGGCCACAGTCGTGCGGCCCATACAACGTCAGCCAAAGACGAGATCACAGCAATGAAGTATGTGATGGATAAGCCTATCTTGCCCGTGTACCCATTGGACGATAAGCAGCCACCCAAAGTATATCCTGACTATGTTCCTTGGCAAGAAGACGACTCAATGAAGGATAAATTGAAGAATTCAGGCTACCTTAACAAAGGTTATTTTGAGAGTCCACTGGTATCAAACGAATACTACTCGGCTCGAAATTTAATCCAGGAGACCCTTTTTTCGTCTACTCAGAACTGCTCGACGATACTTAAAGAACTTTCACAGCATTTTACAAAGGCATACAAAACCAGGAATGAGGTGATCAACAAGATTTCCTATTCTTCCAACGCATTCAAAGTTCCTCCACGAGTAACTCTCACCGCCTCAAAAAAGGAAGCATGGCTAAAGGATTTGGCCAATCAGGATGTGCCCTTGCTGGCCGTTTCAGTAAAACTACCTCATGGTATCAGGAACAAGGTCCTAGTTGATAGTATGTGCAACTATGTGGTTCCCATCTCGCGGGCCATTTGGTTCACCAAGTGCTCTCTTTATAGTGAGCTTCTCTTGTTGCGCAGAAAGTATCAATCTAAACAGAGCTCAATTCCTCAGAATGGAGTGGTCAACTTTCCACCTTTGGATGTTTTTGAGGGTCGTTGGCTTCAGGAGTGGACTCAGCAGGTTGCAGATTATGTGTTCAAGTTTTCAAAGGAAATGCCAAATGTGGGGACGGGAGAGCGGAAGGGACCATTCCAATCAAAATTGAATTATTTGCTCTCGTACATTCTGTCCTTGTACGTTGAACGTCTCATTGATAGAGTGTTCTTCTTGTCGAGCATCATCAAGTTTTTGAGAGATGACTTGCCTTTTGACACTGCCGACCTTGCACTTTTGTTAGACTTATCAAAAGCAGAGGAAGGTGAGGAACTTGCAATTCTTTCACAGCTATTGAAAGGAAGATCCGTCAATTATGGACAGATTTTGGTGGGAATGACGTTGATTACCATGTTCTGGAATGATATTATGGAAGAAGACTTTCTCTGCAAGTATTTTAGCGAGTCACTTCTTCTCAACCACTTCTTGATTGAGAAAATCCCAGTTTTGACTGCGAAGACATCTCGTTCGTCTCTCGCATCCAGCTCTTTACTGAAGATGCTTAAGGATGACCTACTCTTACTCATTTCAACTTCCATCAATAAGCTTTTCAAACACAATACCAATGTTTTCATCGTGCCAAACTATTGGGTGTTGATAGGTGATGTTCTCTATCAAGTGCTCATGAAGGATAATTCATTAACAGACCCTATCCAGCAAGAAAATCTCCAGAAGGTTCTTCAGCTCATCAATTACAGAAATGTCAGTCTCATGCTCAATATGAAGTATCTCGTTCGGGAGGAAAGAAAAGAAGTGTCACCTCGTGTTTCTGCAAGAAGAAGTTCGTATCTTGACGCTGACTACCAGTCGGCAAGTTCCAAGTCTAGGTACCAGCGAGTCGAAGAGGCAGAACACACATACATCAATCGTGCAACCGACGACAATTTGAAATTTGTGGAGCAGCTAGATAACCTCAAGCTCAACAACAGTTTGACTGCTTTGTTGAAACCAAGACCCTCAACTCTGTTTGACTCCAACTTGTGGAAGACGAAACTAAAAATTGTGGTGTATTGGTGTGTCACCGTCTATCGAGACATGGGTTCCTCTTCGGAAAAGATCTTAATCATTTGTAATTACTTGAAAAGAAAAGTCTTACAGGCTTTGACTACAAGAGGTAGCTCGCATCTCAAGGCAGAGTTTGAGAATGAATTACTAGAAAGCATTTTCAGTTTATCACAAGAACCAGCTGAGAATATTTGCATGTACAATTTGTACGTGCTCATCAACGAGTTGTACCAGCTCAAGATTATCTCAATCTCGTCCTACTTGAGAAAGATCATTGCATGTGGAGTGTTTTACAAGTCCCCTCAGGAAGGAGAAAATATCACACAGCTTTCCAGTGATCCCCAGATTTCCTTCCATCTTTCAATCTTGCGAAATTTGCCTGTCTTGAATAACAAGCAATGCGATCACATCTTACGGAAATGGACAGTCGAAGGATTTAATTTTCTTGATCATTTCACAAGTGGAACTTCATTGCTCCAAGAGCATTTTTTGAATTGCCTAGTAAACAACACTTTCGGATCAAAGTTTCACGAAAGCTTGCAGACTATCTCGTCCTTAAATGTGGGTGTCAAGTTTTTGTTGGTGAATTGGTTAACATCGCAAGTCAAGAAGACTATATCCAATTCTCCTAGACTTATTCACATCACGCCTTCAACAATTGCAAACATATATCTGTTCTATTCGATTACTGATAATTTAACTGTCTTCTTCAAGGTTTTTGTGAAGTATGTCTTGCAGAATGAAAATAAGGTCATCATATTTTATTTGGATACCCTTTATTTCATCTCCAAGTTGATTTTGCATCATCACAATTTGGTCAAATTTATCGCTGGCAGCAGTTATGAAGCTGTTTCTTCAGCCTATGAACTCTTCAAACTTGTGATCTTGAACTATAAGGATCTCCTGTCTCGTGAGACTGATTTGTACAAGTTTAAAGAAGTCTGGCGTATTATTGATTCGTCTGTTGAGAAGTCATCCAAGACTGAGAGTATGCAGACGCACACAACAAAGGGTGGACTTGATAGATTATTATATGGGAGAGAAACTGCCGATTCGCCAGTCAAAATTTCTGCCCATGCGACAAGACAGAATGATGCCTATTCTGCTGAAACATTTAAGTACGATCTTGAATCGTTACTAACATTAAAGATTCCGGATTTAACTGGAGAAGAATTGGATGACTGCTTCAATGAAATTGCACACTGGGGTCATCCTTTCAAGAAGGAACAATTTACAGATATAAATTTGGCAGAACAAGCGATCCAACAGGTTCTCCATGAATGGCTCCAAAGAGTTGCTAAGCTCACAGAGAGTGAGGATTTGGCAATCTTTAAGCTCTTGGAAACTCTTAAAAAGAACTTTAAATTGAATGGCGGAACAATGTTCTATAGCTGCGTTCAATTATTTGTGTCCGAAGTGTTGCAGAAGAAGCAAGTGAACCACGAACTTGCCCTCTTGCTTGCTAAGCTTTTGACATATGAGATTCTTCTGATTTTTGATCTCTTCAACATCTTCAGGCAACTCCATAATAGTGCCGATTGGCTCACAGAAATCTTCACATTTGGTTCAAATGAAGTATTTGGGTCCCTTTTCAGCTACCAGTCTTTGCTCTTGGACAACATTCAAAAAGAGTATATTAGAAAACATTACGATGATGTTGTGATTTATTCATTGGAAAGATTGAAGAAAGAGGGTATGCATTCTGAAAAAGGAATTTTCGTTCGTCATAAGAATTCTATTCTTGGTGTTGTGAGAGATGCATTGATTTTCAACCGAAAATGGACAATGCATTGTCTTGTGGGTGAAATGGAGACTAAAGATCTGATTGAACTCTGTGATCAATTGTTTCCATCGGAGCTCTTAGTAAGCAACATTGATGATATCTCAAACCTCGCCAAGGCTTCCAACGAATTTTCTTTACCAATAATTCAGACAATCTTAAAAGTGGTAACGACAAGCATCCTAGATCCAAATAAGGTTCAGGTCATGGCCAGCACAATTCTTGACAATTTACACTTCCTGTTCGGACCCCAGAACTCATACTTCGGCGAAATGTTCAACTACCTCGACTGGGGATTCAAATTGCAGATCTTCAATTACCTAGAGAAGATTTTCCTCACTCAAATCCAATTCGAACCCGTATGGGAACTAGAAAATGCCATGGTGACAGAGGATGTGCACTATGTTTCTCTTCGATTGAATGAAGACGGAATTGAGTTGATCCCTATCTTCAAAGATTTCTTCAAGAAGTTCTCTGTTTCATCAGTGGACAAGCTAGACACTCCACCAGAACTTTTTGAGAATCTTTCTAATTTCTTGGTCAAGTTGTTGCAACTCCTCAACAATCAAGCAGCAGTGGAACTGGACGACCGTACTATCCACGACACGATATCCATCCTATTGCGTCTTCTCATCATCCACAAAACGTCATTAACATCTGCAATGGCGCGTGAAGACTCTGTCAACTTTGTTTTTTTGAAGAACCTCGTTGCTCTTCTCAACTCGTCCTACTTAGCTGATGGACATGAAAAACTTCGCATTTTGCTCTACGATCTACTTTTACTCATGAAAAGCTCGTTAACACAAATTCTCAGTGTTGCTAGTGACGATATCATGGCTACTTCGCCACAACAAAACTCGCTGCATAGCCCGCTGAACGCTGAAGCCAAGAGAGATAATGCCCTCCTGGAGTCTTCAGATTATGGATCTAATGCACTATCCACCATGTCTGCCATTCTCAATCTCCCGAGCCTAGCATGGCATTACCATTTGAAACATCTGGAAGTGCCGAAAGTAACAGTGCTATTGCCCTTGATCGTTCTGAACTCGAAAACGACGGTGACATTGATTTTGTCAATCAGAGTGGGTTGGTCCTACAGCACTGCAGACGAGACTCTATGACGTTTATTCCATACATGGCCCAAGACGATCATCCATCGGTACCCTTTTCCATCAAGAGTCTCAAACTCATCGAGGATACCAGCACTGGACTCAACGATGGATGTATTGACCTCTCGTTGTTTGATGCATACACTACCAAGGAGAATCCCTTGTAATGTCAAGTCGTTGGGGCCATCACTGTTGATGTTGTTCCTGCATGAACTCGAGGCAACTTTAGTGGTTTCAACAGGCGTTTCAAACCTTCACGACTACGGCTACAAGACCATCTGTAATTTTGATCACCCTCAAGGATAACCAGTTCCATTATGTCTCTGGATCCGCCCTCTACACCATATGCTTTGGATTCCCCAATCGCTGAGAACAGGCTACGGTCGTCGCAACATGAAAGTCTCCAGTCACTTCAAGATGACAGGTTCCAACAAGCTGCCACGGCTGGCCGTGGTGTCGACTTATCTTTTCTCAGCGCCAACTTTTCTTCAGAATCATTGGACGCTAATGGTGATTCGCCTGTGGCATCGACAAGAGCTAGCAATTCTGCTTATACCAACCCACTGGTCCCTTTCCATAATCGAAGATACTCCGCCAATGGCAGTACGCCGACGCCGTCGCTTGGTAACTCCCCTGTTGGCCAGCAATCTCATTCTCATCACCAAAGAACAAATTCCAATTCTGGTGGCTCACGGCCAAGGCCACGGTCGCTTCTAGGTTCTGAGTCTTTGAACTATGCCATTTGGGAAGATGGAGCACCAACTCAGGAGAAAATCGCCAGTAAACGTCACTCGGCATACTTTGGTTCAAAGTTGACCCCTCTTGCTGCACCTATTGACACTCGTAAGGGCAGTCTGCGATCGGGTTCGCCTGTTCGGTCAACATCCCCCGTCAGAAGAGGAAATACTTCTCCTTATAGGAGAAACAGTTCGCCGTCTAGGGAGCCGTTCAACTTTAAGCTGCAAGACTTATCAATGTCTCATAGCAACTCATCCAATCTGTCGTTGGTCGTTAAGCCTGCTCACAGAAAGGGTCATAGGTACAAGCATTCTTCGGTATCGATGAACTTGTTCCAGGAACCAGTACCAATCGCTGATGCCAACCTTCAGCAGAATCTTATTCCGGATCTGTATCCTATTCCCAACTTCAAGGAATCGCTCACTAGTGCTGGCCCTTCTCAAAAATTGAAGCTCATGTTATCTTTGGCGCATTTTGCTGTTTCAGTGCTTGTTTTTCTAGTAGGTGTCAAATTCCATCAGCCTACTTTCTCCACATTAGCTCATCTTGTGTTTTATGACTCTTTAGGTTCATTTGTGGTTGCATGTGTGGATGTAGTTTCGAATTTCGAGGTTTGGAGCAAATCCTCCATTGCTTACCCTTTTGGTTTAGGACGTCTTGAAGTCTTGACGGGCTTCGCGTTGAGTGCTTCTCTGGTGATGGTTGGTTGTGATCTAGTTTCGCATTTTGTCGAAGAGTTGGTCGTTTCTTATGTCAACGCCTCAGAGGATTCCATCGAGCACGGTGCTCACCATATTCATGGATCAGCAACTGAATCTGTCAACTGGATGCTTTACGAGACTGTGTTGGTGGCGGTGATTGCAATTACCTGGTTTACTTCCAGGTATATTTTTGACGGAGGAAACATTTCCAGAATGTTGACAGAAACAGACGTTGTTCTGCTGAAGGCAAGATTATCCAAGGCAAGAAAAGGAGGCATATTGAGCTCCACTGAGAATGAAGAAAGGAACTTCTTGGTGCTGATCAAAAGTGTCTTCCATGTTTTGGTCAAGAATCCTATCAGAATGCTTACGTTGGTATACTCAGTATTTCTCGTGTTCCTCCCTATAATTTCTTCTAGTGAGTCAATCGGATTTGATATCAGTGAGCTGTCTACTTTGGTTGTGGCTGCAACTCTCTGCTACGCGGGATGGAATCTTGTCAGAACGTTAGGTGGCATCTTGTTGATCTCGTTCCCTTATTCTGATTACGACTACAACGTGCTTCGAGCCACCATAACAGAGAAGATATTTGGGCTACCAAGCTTCAAGAGCTCGTACCTGATCAACAGTGTTTTTGTCACCAAGGTCAATTATGAGCTTTACATCGCATGCATGGCAGTTACTTTGAAAGGTGGAAGCGCGGACGATGAGTCTCGACTTCTTTTCGAGATCAACAGAATTTTCGAAAGGACCATTGGCGATTTCGACGCAGATAGCAAGGTGGAAACCACTATTAGTATCACGAGGGCCTAGACCTAGCCCACGGTGCTCATAAGGGGATATCTGGACGGCTGATTGGAGCAGACAAAACAGTTCCTGTGGTCTGTCCCAATGCGGTAATTGTTAGTCATTTTAGCGCGGTGTTAAAATTTTTCATATAAAATAGCCTACCATCTACCCACTGCCTATACAACAAAAATAAAAAGAGAATATGATGAGTAAATATTCTAAAGTTTCTAAGGCGGTTCGCATGAACTTTTCCCGTCAATTGCATGCCTCCAACGCTGCTTGCAAGAGTTTTGCTTCGCAACCAGATGCCTCATCTTCCTCAGTTACTGGCAAGTTCATCGACGACGTCACCAAACCATACACAGTCACCACTTACGCCCGTCCTAACTTGGTTATTGCACGTGGAAAAGGCTCCTATTTGTATGACCTCGAGGACAGAGAGTACGTGGACTTCACCGCAGGTATTGCTGTGACCTGTTTGGGCCACTCCAATGAGGAAGTGTCCAAGATCATTGCTAAGCAGTCACAGACATTGATGCACTGCTCCAACCTTTACTACAACCTTCCTGCGGGAGAGTTGGCCAACAAGTTGGTTGCTAAGACCGTTGATGCCGGTGGAATGTCTGATGCCCAGAGAGTGTTCTTGTGCAACTCTGGTACTGAGGCCAACGAGGCTGCATTGAAGTTTGCAAGAAAATACGCCAAGTCTAAGAGCGAAGAAAAGATTGAAATCATTGCTTTTGAAAACGCCTTCCACGGAAGAACCATGGGTGCATTGTCAGTCACAGCCAATCCCAAGTACCAGAAGCCATTTGCTCCATTGATTCCTGGAGTCCACACTGCAAGCACCAACGACATTGAGACTGTCAAGAAAGTTATCAGCAAGGAGAAGACTGCAGCTGTGATCATCGAGCCTATCCAGGGAGAGGGAGGTGTCAACGCAGTGGATGAGACATTCTTGGTGGAGTTGAAGAAGCTCTGTGATGAGAACGACGTTGTCCTCATCTACGACGAGATTCAGTGTGGTTTGGGCAGAACCGGCCAGTTGTGGGCCCATTGTAACTTGCCAAAGGAGGCACACCCAGATATCTTGACCATGGCCAAGGCTTTGGGTAATGGTTTCCCCATTGGAGCCGTGATGATCAGCGAAAAGATCGAAAATGCATTGGAGGTTGGAGACCATGGTACCACCTACGGAGGAAACCCATTGGCGGCCTCTGTGGGATCTTATGTGGTTGATCAGGTTAGTGATGCTGAGTTCTTGAAGCAGGTGCAAGCCACTGGAGACAAGTTTGTGAAGTCGTTGTCGGCAATCGCTGAGAAGTACCCAGAACATATCGAGAAGGTCAAGGGTAGAGGACTCTTGTTGGGATTGCAGTTCAAGCCGGAGACTGACATCAATGCCATAGTTCTTAAGTGTAGAGAGTACGGGTTGCTTGTTATTACTGCTGGAGGCAATGTGATTCGGTTGGTTCCAGCGCTCAATATTCCCGATGAGGCTACTAGCAAAGGTATTGAGATTTTGGAGAGGGCGATCTCTGAGGTTGTTGTTTAATTGAGAGTTTGGTTGTTTAGTTCTGCTGATAGATATGACATTAATGTTTATAATTTATTTATCAAGATTGAGATTAGATTTGAATGTTTCCATGAATGAAATGAACAATGGAGACAAATGAACTTGTATTGTCATTTCTGGTATTCATTAAAGATTAGAAAGTAATTCTAAAAGAAGAATCATTTTAATTTAAAAAGTACTTAGAAGCCAGATACCATATTTGCTTACAAAATGATTTTAAATAAAAGAATCCATTCAGGAACTCTCAATTTTCTTCTCAACTTTCTACCTTGAAGTTCGCAGCATCTTCTAAGTAGCTGCGAAGCAGATCATAATGTCTTCAAATCAATCACAAAGAAATAATCAATCATTAGTACAAAAACAAAGCACAGTGAGAAATGACCAATCAAATCAGTTCAATCTACGAAATTTTAATAATACAAACTTTCCAATTAAAAAATTCCCGAATTCCCCAAAATTCCCCAAATCTTCCCAAATCTTCTCCATATTTACCCATCCAATCGTAATCTCCATCGGGTCAATCGCGCCCCGCGGATCGCCAAAAATTTTTTAGATACCCATGGGGTACGGATCTTCTCCCGTATTGACATCAATCCCACTAGATACCGAAATCCAAAATTATCATGACGGTATCTTTCTCGATACCCACACTGGACCTCGACTACTGCCTAGAGCAGTTACTCGAACATAAACCTCCTCACATCTTACCCGAAGATACCATCCAACAGCTATGTCACCAGCTCAAAACACAATTACTTGGTGTACCCAATATCATGACGCTACAATCACCGTGTACGGTGGTGGGCGATATCCATGGCCAGTACCACGATCTTCTTGAGATTTTCCAGATCGGTGGTGCTCCGCCTACTACAAACTATGTGTTTCTTGGCGACTACGTTGACAGAGGCTACTACTCAGTGGAGACCATCTCACTTCTAATAGTGCTAAAGCTTCGGTATCCAAGCCGAGTTTTCCTTATCCGAGGCAACCATGAGTCACGGACTATCACAACTAACTATGGCTTCTACACAGAAGTGCTCAACAAGTACAACGGTTCGCTCAAGGTGTGGAATTACATTACCGACTTGTTTGACTATTTACCGCTAGGAGCTACCATCGACGGCAAAATATTTGCCACTCACGGCGGTCTCTCACCCTCTTGCCAGCAACTAGACCAGATCCGCGCCATCGACCGCTTCAAAGAGGTTCCCCATGATGGAATCATGGCAGATTTAGTGTGGTCGGACCCAGATCCAGACATTTTAGACTTTAAGCTCTCGCCAAGGGGCGCCGGCTACCTTTTTGGGTACGATGTCATGAGGAAATTTTGCCATGACAACAATTTGGATCAGCTTGTTCGAGCACATCAACTATGTAACGAAGGTTACGTCAGTTACTGGCAAGGAATGTGCCTAACGATCTGGTCTGCGCCCAACTACTGTTACAGATGCGGGAACCGAGCCAGTGTGCTTGAAATCGCTCACTCCAACTACGAATCGAGGTCCAAGAACGCACAGGGGGTGCTTCCTGGCCAGTATTGTAATGTATTCGAAGCTTCTCCAGAAAACAACCAAGACACATCGGAGGGAAAGAGTGTCAACGGAATTAATAGCAACGGTCTGACCAAAGACATGTTCAGCGTGTATTTTGAGGGCCGGCCCCAGACCCGCCAAATTGAGTACTTCCTCTGAACGGCGGCCAGATTCCATGTCATTCTGTCTTCATTTCTTGCGTGTGTTATTACTGATATTTATTGGCCATATATTATACATAGTGACTTCTTCACCCGTAATAAAGCTCGAAGTTAAAGCCGTTGTGAACCTCGTAGTCGTCCAATGAGATATGATCCTTGTATACTTGATGGCCCTTCTTCAAGATCAACTTGTCGTAAGGCGTGCCTACCTGAAGTGAGATCATCTTCTTTAAGTCACCGATGGTGTCAGAGGGCAAGCACTTAACCTTGATTTTCTTGCCTACACGATCATTTGCCAATACCTCGATCATTGGAAGAAGATTTTGAATTGTGGTGAACAGAATATCATCAGAACATTAGCTCTCTAGGCAGGATGTACTGGTAAACTTCGATGGGATGCATACAGAGCCGACATGCATTGGCTACACCCAGACCATCTTCCACAATCCATTTGAAGAACGTTAAGAATCGTCACTTATAGGCGTTGCTTACAGGGCCATTGTGTTGTCCATCGTACCTTTGTGTGAATTTCCGTAATTCCGTAATTCCGTCCTTGTCTCCTCACCTTGAGTCACGGGACTACATTGGTAGCATGACACTACCACCCACCAGACTTACTGGAAATGGACAACCAGGCCATTGAACTATTTCCAAACTTTCATTGAATCAGGAAAAAAAATTGAGAAATATTTCATTTTCTTCAACTCCATAACGTTTTGATCTCTATTTATGTATTTTTCTTTTTTTTTTCTTAGTATATCTTGTCTTTCTGTTCTGCCTTTTTGTCTTGTCTTTGTTGTCCTGTCTTTGTCTCATTCTCTGCCTCATTCACTACATTTTTTACTCTTATCGGAATCGCATCCATCAGAGGACTTTTCCTGCCAACCACCAAACCTTCCATTCTTCATCAGCTCCGTAAATATTCCCCAGATCCCATCCTCGAGGTTATTCGACTCCAGAAAACCTCTGGGACGTCCCATCTCTAAAATATTCATTCCAGTGTTCCCATGTCATCTTGTCCTGCAGACGCATGCACTCTGTCCTTTATCGACCTGATACAATCTGGACTTCACCTGGCAAAAAACTTCGGTGTCCTACACTTTTCCCTCGCCAGCCCTAGCGTTTGTTCCCACCCTTAGAATTCCCATTTCAGTTGTTCCGAATATTTGAGACCAATCTGGCCATCCTTATTGAAATCTTCTTCAAAGTCTGCTTCGTCTTTTTTTCTGTTCCTTCCTACTTCCGCTTCTGCATGGCTTGATTCCATTTGATGTCTCAATTGCGTTATCACCAAGTCTCCTCTACATGTCTGCCCTTTCTCCTGTGCTAAGCGCTGGTGCCAACGACTCCATGCCCATCTTGCCCCATGAGTACTTTGTCATTGCCAACGTGTCGAAAATCCTGGGAATCTTCTCGCTATTGGTCTGGCTCTTTGCTCAGCTACCGCAGGTTCTTGAAAACCACTTGAATGAGTCCGTTTCTGGTGTTTCGCTAGCCTTTTTGATCTGTTGGATCAGTGGTGATGTTACAAACTTGGTTGGCTGTCTCCTCTCCAGAGCGCTTCCTTTTCAGATCTGTCTTGCGTCCTACTACTGTTTCATCGACTGTATCTTGAGTCTCCAGTTCTGGTACTACACCAGAGTATACCCCAAGCAGCGCATTCACCACAACTTGCTCCAAAGTCCCAATATGATGCGTCCGGTGCATTCCCGGGGCAGCGGCCATCATCCACATCCGTCCAGGACAAACCGTTTTGAAAGTCCAGGCAACGAGCTCTCTCTTTCAAGATCACACTCGTCATCTCGTAGATACCGCTCCAAGCGGAAAAGTTTCATTCTGAAGTTACTTTCGACTTCAGTGTTGAGCAGCTCCTTCGGCAAGGCAAACGCTATGCCTTTGAAAGTACTGTCGAACACTCGTGGTGAAAGCTTCGACAAAATCAAGTCATCCATGGCTGCTTTAGCGCCTGTCTTACACCTGGTAGTGGCCAAGGCAGCTCTGTTCCACTATAATGGGGCGTTTGTGGGTGCTGTGTGTGGCTGGATCAGTTCTGCGCTCTACCTCTCGTCCCGGTCTCCTCAAATATGGGCCAACTTCAAGAGCAAATCCACCAAGGGTGTCTCTCCTTTCTTGTTCTTGTTCGCCATGATTGGAAATACCCTTTATACGGTATCCATTGCCAGCGACTTGTATCTCTTATCTAAATATGATCAGCACTTGGGAGACGTCAAATTTGACGAAGTATTTTTTGCTCAGTTGCCATTCATTATCGGAAGCTCGGGAACAGTGCTTTTTGACGCCATCCTATTGTTCCAATTCTGGTTGTATCAGAAGGACCCCGAATACCTTCCATACATGGGCCATGGCGATCTTTTTGAAAACAACATCAACTTCAATGAATCCTTGAAAGAGAGATACCAGAAAAGAGCACATGCTAAGCGCAAACTGCACTCGTCAGTGGTCCACTTTACTAAGCCGGACTGGTACACCAACAATTACTCGCACGAGTTTGATGAGCCAGACGAGTATGCGGGTCACTACAGCTTTGCCAATCAACGTCATGGCATATCTCACAATGGGTATGGGGCCATAAACAATGGCTACGAGACCCCTAATAATGGCAATGGCGGCCATGTCCACTCCAAGGCACATACGGAGCGAATCATGCCAACTTATATCAACCTGGCATTCAGCATACCTCCTCCTCCGCACTACATTTCGTCATCATCATCGCAAAGTCATAACATCATGCATTCCAAAGCCAGAAAGGGAATTTCTGGCACGTTCAGCGCAATAGCTAGGTCGTTTTCTCACTCATCTTCAATGGTGAAATCACCGTCCATTGCCTCTTCTCACGAAGAATCTGTTGGTTCCCCAATGGGGACAGGGTTACTTCCACACTTGGTGGGGACTTACTCGTCCGTATCGAAGAAGATGATGAACGATTCCAAGATCCCTTTTCTGCCTATAGATTTCCTACATAACGAGTTCACCCAAAGAAGTGGGGGACTGAGTAGTGACCATCCTTATACACATTAACTAGGTTTAATACAATTCACAAACGGAAAAAATCAATGATAAACTCTATAAATGCCTTACTTCTTTACTCTCCATGCACTGGGAGGGAGTGTTTGCAAGTAGGTGGCTTTTCTCTTGACCCAGAACCAAATGAATACTCCAGCAGTCAAACAGATGGCACTGGTGTAGAAATATCCGTCTCTAATGATATGAACGGTGCCATTGGCACCAATGCATTCTTGTTTCTGTTCCTCGCTATTGAGGTAGTACTCTGAGGCTGGTGTCTTACATGTTGCAACAGTGAACTTGTCAATCAAGTAGAAGATGATCAACCTTGGCCATGTTCCTCCGTAGTTAGAGAGTGTGTTCAATGTGGTCATATAGGTTCCACCAATGGCAGGATCTGCAATCTTGGTGTGGAACGCACAGAGAGAGACAAATTGAATGGTGGACATGAACGAGCCTAGCAAATGTTGGACGATGATGAGGAGGAACAATTTGAACGAGATCTGACCGTTCTCTATTTTGGGAAAGGAAAGCAAGATCAAATGCGCCCAAAGAGCAGCTACCAAACGACCGGCAAAGCCAAAGAGCCACGGACGTAATGGACTCTTTCCAGAAGACCACCGGCCCGCATAATACCCAAAGATCATTTCAAAGGGAAAGTCAATGAGAACTGTGATAGAGAGATCTTCCTTAGAGAAGCCTTTTTCCAATAATTTCAAGTTGGTGGCAGCCTCGTTGGCTTGGAATCCCAACTTCGCAAATAAGAGAATGACGACAAATGTCTGGACATTCGGAAGCTTTAACACCTGAATCATGGAGCTGTAAACGTGCTTCAAGTCGTGGAAGTACCTTTGGCTGCCTTCATTGGGACGGTTGTGGTAGTCTTCATCCTTGTAGTGGCTGGTGGAGAGCTTGTCGAAACTTCTTCCACGCAAATGTGGAGGTTCCTCGGGAATAAAGTACATAACTAAGGTCACTGCCAAGTACAGCCATCCCCAGAAAGCAAGGTAACCACCTAAATCGAACAAACCTTTGTCGATGGGTACTTTTCTCAAGTATTTATTGGCGAAATCAGGCGAACTCAATGCTAAGAACACCGTGAAACTCAGGAAATAGCCACAGTTCATGCCAATTGTCTGGGCCGTGGACGCAAAAGGCAAACTTTCCGGCGATAAGCATGTCAATGCCCATCCATCCACAGCAATATCTTGCGTAGCGCAGAGAAACACCAACAAGAAGAAGCAGAAGGTGATTTTGGACAAATATTTGGCCGGATCCTCCATGAGGTCGTTGATGACCATTCCCAAGTACAAGAGTGTGAAGCCCGAGACGAGTTGAACTGGAAGAATCCATGATTTTCTGCGTCCTAGCTTCCTGCTGTAAATGGCATCCACGATTGGAGACCATAAGAGTTTCAATGAATATGGATACGACGCAAGCGTGAAGATTCCCACTTGTGAGTATGATACTTTGCCCTTTAAAATGAATGGAACAGATCCAAATGCTAGTCCTACGGGCACTCCTTGTAGCGTATACAACACAATAAGCACGATGAAATTCAAAAGGTCTTTCCTAGGGAGTTTGGCTGGTCCAGACAGCGCAGGCCCCGACGGCGTGGCATTTCTCGGCAATGAAGTAGGAAGAAGCCCGTCGTTTTCTTCGTCGAATGTAGCATGATTGACGAAGTTCTCATGGATAGGGTCAATGTGGCCCTTTTCTTCCATGGCTGAAACTTTTGGCGACGACGCGGACCGTTTATGAACATCCATGGTAAGTGTGGAAGAATGCGATTGGACACGAACGGACGGGATCGAGAGCAATCCTGTCGAATAAAAAGAGAATTTGGAATTATATCCTCGGTCAAAAAGGACACACCTATATGGTTGGAGGTAAAATAATGTGATACTGTTCTAGTAGTAGGTAAAGAACAGCGCGATCAGTCGGCATAGAGGTGAGGGAAGAACTTAAACGGGAAGAAATGTGGAGAAAAAATATGGAAGATGAAATATTGAAAATGGTGGAGGAAATATGAAATATGAAATACGGATATCAGGAAATGATTTCTATTAAGAGCTCGATACTTAAAATCTTTGCCCTGACTAGAATGTACTAGATTGTCTTCAGATTATATGATTCAACTTTTGACCTCTAACATGTGTTCTATCCAGGCCCTATTTACAAGCCCAACACCTTTCTGGAGGCTCTCAACACGATCTCGGCATCTGGGAAGGCGAAAGCCTCCAACTCCTTGGCGTATGGAGTTGGGACCTCACAACCAGTGACTCTCTCAACTGGAGCGTCCAAGTAGTCGAAAGCCTCGGACTCCATGATCTGGGCACAGATCTCGGAACCAACACCAAATGCAGGGAAACCGTACTCCACAGTCACCAAGTGGTTGGTCTTCTTAACAGACTCAATGATAGCTGGAACATCCATAGGTTTGATGGATCTCAAGTTGAGAACCTCAGCCTTGACACCGTACTCCTTCTCCAAAACCTCAGCAGCTTCAAGACAGTGCTTAACAGATCTGGTGTGCGAAACCAAGGTAATATCAGTACCTTCTCTCTCAATCTTGGCCTTACCGAAAGGAATGACGAAGTCGGTGGAGAGAGCCTCCTCGGAAACCTCAAACGATTCACCGTAAGCAATCTCATTCTCCAAGAAGATGGTTGGGTTAGGGTCTCTGATAGCAGCCTTCATCAAACCTCTGTAGTCCTCAGCGGAGTATGGAGACACCACCTTCAAACCTGGAATGGATCCGTACCAAGCAGCGTAACACTGCGAGTGTTGAGCAGCGACACCAGCAGCAGCACCATTGGGGCCTCTGAACGTGATGTTACATGGCTGGATACCTCCGGACATGTACAAGGTCTTGGCAGCGGAGTTGATGATGTGGTCAATGGATTGCATGGCGAAGTTGAACGTCATGAACTCACACACTGGCTTCAATCCAGCAAGAGCAGCACCCACGGTCAAACCAGTGAAACCCATCTCGGTGATAGGCGTGTCAATGACTCTTCTCTCGCCGAATCTGTCAAGCAAACCTCTGGAAATCTTGTAGGCACCGTTGTACTGGGCCACCTCCTCACCCATGAGGAAGACGTCGTCGTCTCTGTCCAACTCCTCGGCGATGGCAGAGTTCAAAGCGTCTCTGACGGTCATGGTCTGTGGGCCCGAGGCGGCGGAGGCCTTTCTCATGGCGGCGATGTTGGCTCTTGCGGCCCTCATGGAGGTCCTGGCGACACTGGACAATGGGGACATGATGGGGGGAGAAAGATGTGGTTGGTAGTGGTTGATATATATGGGACGGAACGATGAGGACCGTGAGCGCGGCTACGGAGATACAGCTCCGGGAGGGACGGGTCCGGGGACAATTGAGACAAAAGAAGAGAGAGAAGGTTGAAATGGGGAGAGAAGACAAAGAAAAAATAATAGAAAAGTGAAATAGAGCGAATTGGAAGTTAATAATAGACTGGTGCTTTGGAAGGTGGGATTGGTGGTGAGATTGGTGGTGGGGAGGAGATGAGTTCGCGATGTGACAGGTGGTGCGAGATCTTAAGGTGACAGGTTGGATGAGAAGGTGAGTGGATGAATTGATTGGATGGGATTGAGTGGTTGGAATGAGGAGTAGGAATTGAGTAATTGAGCAATTGAATGATATGAGTATTGAGTGATTTATGTGGATCAGTTGATTTGAGTGGAATTTATAGATTAGTAGAGTGGATTGTGTGAAGTGAGTGTAGTCAGCTTTACTTACTTCATGAAGACGAGAATTAAACGAACAAGAGTGCGATCCGAATATTAATTGACTTTAGAAGCTGATTTAATGCCAAGTAAAGCAATTGAGGTTGCTGTTGGTATTGAAATACTTGAGATTTCTTGAAATGGCAATTCATAAGCCCAGGTTGACTCAAGTCAAGACAAGGATATATCTCAATCATCTGGCTTTATGATTCAGTGAAATCGGTTGAGCATGAGTCTTTGATGCCCACCTTAGCCCTATTTTATGAATTTTTTGCCTTCTAAAGTTTGGGGAGAAGTTGATCACATAAAACCTTCTAATTTGGAATCGTCTCCCAAAGGTTTCTTCTCCCCTGAAACGAGTCCCTTCTGGGAATTCCAGGAATTTTGCCCGTAAAAGTTTCATTGATACCTTCCGGACGTTCTATTCATCAAGCGTCAAAGATCACATACATGTCAGGGAACAAATATTTGTAAGGGTCACCTCTTCGAGTATCTTGAGAAGAAGCAAACATTTGATGAGTCGAGACTTAATGCAATTAGACTCATCTGGGAATGCTTAAAAGAGTGAGAGACATCACATTGCTAGATGATCTATAAACTCAGAATAAATACGGCTGCGAAAAGCAACACCATGAGTTTTTCTAACCATCGCATTTGGAAAGCTTTCTTTACTCTCACAATTGGTAAACATTTTTTAAAAGAAGAACCAATGGAATCATCGACTTATTCAGTCTGCTGAAAAGTCTTTTAACACCCAGAGAAAAGTATACTCTGGTATAATTTGAAGATTCTCAACTATGACAAGGGCCATTGAAAAATTCATAGCAAGATTTGACCACCAAAACCACAACTAACAAAAACCAACGAAGAAAATGATTACACATCTAATGTAAAGTACACTCCAATTCGAGTTTATTTTCAAATAATGTTTCAATTCTACTGTCTTCAAAGAAAAGGAATTTCACAGCTAGTTCAAACCTCACGGCCTATTCAGAAACAGCCCCGGCGAAAGACATGTCTCAACCTCAGCACCCTCTGATAGCACCTATCTGCAAACTGAAATTACTCTTTAATGCTCCTCTTACATATTCAAATTATATTGCCAACATTGAGTATACACACTATCAATAACCCAAACATTCACCAGTCTAACAGGAGCACTCATTGATGCCCTACAAACCCCTCACAATTGCCCTGTATCCTTCAATGTTACAAAATGTCATAATACTCTAAGATGTCCTAAAACCCATCAATGCCACAATCCACCATCATTGTCTAATATATCTCAGAGCCCCAACCAGTAAATTGATCTTTCGGCCGAAATTAGTCGTCACTAGCATAGGTTCAACATATACTTCACCCCCGCCTTCGCTCAATTTCTTCCATACAGCTCCAAGTTCCGCTAATCCATTGCCCCATTCCATCTCCATGAAAATCCCCTTATCCCATAACAAACTCTGCTCAACAAAATAACATCATCTACACCATCAATTCATTTATTCTTTCTTTCCTTCAAATTTTCTATTCATCTTTTCTTTTCTTTTTCTCATCTCATGTATATTCGCACCCAACATTCGTCTTATCTTATCGCACCGGAAAAACTCGCACTCAATAAGGAAATCGTCTATTAGAATCTTATTCTCAGAGTAGCATCGCCCCCTCTCGTGACTCACAGAAACAACAAGAGCCAATTTCACTCTCCAAAGCGAAATGTATACACTCGGGGTTCTTCGGCCACCCAAAATCCAGGAAGTCAAGCAAGTTCCCCTCTTGTCCCGACCACCCCCGGGTACCCGAGCTCAATCTGAGTGCCCATCGCAAAACCCCACCTCCGTACACCAGTGACCAGAGTATATATAAAGTAGTCATCCAATCCGCTTTCTTGAGTTTCCAACCATCATGCTCAAATTGTTAAGGCCCGCCTCTACCAGAGCAGTATCAAGTCGTTTTGTGGCTACCTGCGTAGTTCCCATTACACTCCCCAATGCCGCTTCCCGCTTCTTTTCCCATAAATCTTCAAATCTACAGGCTGGATCCACCGTACCATCTGAAGCTGCTGATGCCGCCGCAACGGTGATCGCAGAACAGAGAGATGCTAGCACAATAGCTCATAGCGCCACATGGTTGGACGCATTGACTGAGCGTGACAGACAAGCTGCCGAAGGAAACGTTTTGGACTCATTTAGCTATATGAATCCCAAAACCACCGAAGTGGGTGAAAGAACCCGTTCTGAGTCGTTCTCCTACCTTGTTCTTCCATTTAAGGACGACAGGTGGCTCTGTGACTCGTACATCAACGCTTTTGGTCGTTTGAGAGCCGGTCAAATGTTTCAGGACTTGGATGCCTTGGCCGGAAGAATCGCTTACAGACACTGTGCTCCTGCCGAACCCATGAACGTCACCGCTTCTGTGGACAGAATTTACATGGTCAAGAAGGTGGACGAAATTCAGAATTACAACTTCGTGTTGGCCGGTTGCGTGACTTGGACTGGAAGATCGTCTATGGAGATCACTGTCAAGGGTTATGCCTTTGAGGACCTGGTTCCAGAGGACATATCTGAGGAGACTTTGCCTAATGAGAATGTATTTTTGACGGCTAACTTCACCTTTGTGGCCAGAAATCCATTGACCCACAAGTCTTTTGCCATTAATAGATTGCTTCCTGTGACCGAGAAGGAATGGATTGACTACAGAAGAGCTGAGTCGTTCAATGCCAAAAAGAAGCTTGCTGCTAAGGACCAATCTATTATTGAACCATCTGATGAGGAAAATAGACTCGTATACGACATGTGGAAGGCTTCCAGAGAATTGACTCCTCAATTCAACAAGAACGTTATGTTCATGAAGGACACCACCGTCTCATCTACCTTGTTCATGCAGCCTCAGTACAGAAACAGACACTCATACATGATTTTTGGAGGTTACCTCTTGAGACAATCATTTGAGTTGGCATACTGTGCTGCAGCAGCATTTTCTTCGGCTGGTCCTAGATTCGTGTCCTTGGACTCCACCACATTCAAAGCGCCTGTTCCTGTGGGCTCTGTTTTGTCCATGAGTGCCTCAGTCTCATACACCGAGCATATTCATGATGGCAGCGACCCTGAGGCTGGTGTCGACTCGCCTTTCAACTTGCCTGCCACCAACAAGATCTCTGCTAACCCAGATGCTTTCTTGCTGGAGCCTGGTACTTTGGTACAAGTCAAGGTGGATACTAATATCAAGAACTTAGACTCTGTTGTGTCCAAAGAGTCTGGTTGCTTCATCTACTCATTCTTTGTTCCAAGAAGCAGCTACGAAGAGGGAAAGCCTCATTTCTCATCGGTGATTCCACAAACCTACTCTGAGATGATGGAGTATGTCGAGGGTAGAAGAAGAGCACATGATACTGCCAACTATGTGGCCACCATGCCCAAGTAGTGAATTTATAGAGGTATCAAGATCAATAATTCGTGAAGGAAGTAGTAAGTAACTTTTCGCAGGGAGTTTATTATTGGCACCCCTTGCGTAAGTGTCGTGTGACAGGTCTCGCCAATACTCTAAAAAAACTTTATAAATTAACAATCCAAATTGTGCTCCAATTCCAGGTTTATTTTAATTATTCATTTATTCAATTAATCTGTAATAATACAGAATGCATACCTATATCCCAAATTTTAACACTTTAGAGCTAATCGCTATCACCATCGTGAATCTGGGCGATCTCTCCCAGGTGCTCCACGTTCTGGTTATGAGCAGCATCTCGTAGACTTCCTCTTCTCGTAAAATCCACAAGCTTGGCCCTGATTCCTCTCTTGCCATCCAACATCTTCTCGGATAAATCAGAGTACACCGACGTTCTCGATTGGTTTTTTTGAGAGTAATTTCCGACAGTTGAGAGATTGTTTTTTGGCGTAGACTCGCTGATGAGAAACGTTTCCGAGTCAGGAGATGCGATCAAGGCCTCCAGGGACCGTGCATCCTGTGAGCGTCTCCAGCCTACATAACCCTCTGACGTCTTAATGGGTTCAAAATCATCTTCAAATGAATGATGTGTTCCCTGATCACTACCAGATGGCAGGTTGGCTGTCGAATTAAGGAATTTGGCCATCAAGTTATAGTTCGATGAATCATTAGATGTGTTGTAGAAGGTATTATTGCTGGTATCTTCTTCTTCGTTAATGTTGTTGAGGTCAGGGGAAACAGCCTTCTGAGTTTTAGAAGGAGAAAAAGACATTGAGCCGTCAGCTAGATTGCCGTCACTATCAAGTCTTTGCACGTTCTCTGACAGAGTATCACGAACGATTGAATGGCTCAGGAGCATTTTGACAGGAGACGGGAGGGAGTCTCTGCCTCCATCGACAAGTCTAACCGAAAACAACTGTTCGGTATTCACTGTGTCCATGGAAAGTTGCGATGTGTGTTTCTGCAGCAAGAGGAAATTCTGCTTTATAGCATTGGAATCAGACGTATCGTTTGCACGCCATGATTTGATTGGCTTCTCAGATGCGTCGAAATAATTGCTCTCTGCCTCAGAATCCACATGAGTGAGACTTGACAGTGTGGAGTTATTGTCGTTGTCAAGCTTCAATGCGTTCAATGCACCTAATTGTCTAGCATGTTCCCTAGAATCGTCCATATCATAAGTGACGCCAAATCCTGGGCCAGTGAGCTCAGGTTCTGTTACTGACTTTTCAGATTCAGCATCTTGATCTTTCTTGCGGCGACAACAACAGAATAACAAGAGCAAAACAGCCAAGAGGAGCACAAATGCAGGTATTCCGATAGCCAAGCCCAAGATGAGCTTCTTCTTGTTATCAGACGATTTCTTATGAGGAGCAGGTGTAGCACTTGAAGATGCCGAGGAAGTGGAGGAGGAAGCAGTAGAACTTGTAGGTGTCGAGGACGAAGAAGACGACGTGCTAGACAGCTTTGAGTCTCCATCGATTCCCATTACTTTGAAAGAACGTGATTCTGAGTCAAATGTGGATGTTGCCTTGACTGTGACCTTGACAGAATCCAAGTCTTTAGGAGCAAAACCTGACATTGTCAAATTCAGTGAATGGTAGGATAACCAGTCGGAGGGATCGAAGGTGACATCAATGGTAGTGTCATTAAAGTCCGTGAAGAACGAGCGCATCAATTGCAATTGGAAATATTCGTCTCTGGTGGCATTGACGTCGGCCATCAGATTCACAGTGAATACAGAGTCAAGAGAGTCAAACGTGTATGGTAACTCCACCTGATTTCCATAGACGTCCTTGACAATAACAGTAAAGTTGTCAAAAGTAGATGAGTTTGGAAATGACCCTGTCAATGAGTAATTCTTGTCATCCAACAGGATGTACGAAGGCATGTCATCAGTAGAAACAGACGAGATATTCTCGGCAGAAATCAAGGTTCCATCAAGGTAAACACTGGAAAAAACAGGCACAGTGTAGTCAAAGTCCGAGCCGTATGTTCCGTTGACTTTAATGGATTCGTTGAGCAGAGTACTGAGCAGGTGAGCACCCACAACCAAGTAGAAGATGCCTTCGGCACCTGCGTAACCTGCGTAATCCGAGGCAATGAAGCTAAAACCGTACAGAAGGGACGGAGCAATAGAGCTGGTCACATAGGGCACAGTTCCAGAGAACGTGTTTGAGGAAGAGTCGAAGTTAATCCAGTTTGGAAGCGAAGTTCTGTCCATACTCCGGCCATAGTAGGACGAGATGGGTCTAGAGGCATGGGCGTTTTCCACAAACACCAGATTGTTAAATTGTATGGAGAACTGCTCACCTTCCTTTACCACCAAGCCATTGAGGCCGTTGGTCTTGCCGTACTTGGCAATGGATGTGAACATCACATCGGAACTGGATAACGATAAGCCGGAGCTATTAGACACCATCATGGAGTAAGAATTACTCAAGGAGGAATTGTCTGCAGAGTCTGCGCCTTGCAACGAGATCTCAAATTGACCCATATCGCTGGAGGATGGAGTTCCCGTGAATGTTCTGGAATCTGAGTCAAAACTGAGCCATGAAGGCATGTTGGAGGCCGAGTAAACGACGGAGCCTCCCGCACTGGATTTGTAGGTGATTGATGCAAGTGTGAACAGGTAAGGTTGGTCCACACGAGCAACATTGGGGAGCTGCTCGTTCATGGGCCATCCCACGTAGACAGCCCATACTGGAGCCAACAAGAAGAACCAGATCATGGGGAGGGGTGGGAACCAGGAGAAGAAACGGAGAAGGAACGACGAACTGAAGGATAGGACGGGATAGACAGAAGAACCCAGGACTTTCAGGAAAGTTTGATGAAAAGGCGGCTGAAAGAAGAAAAAAAACTTGACGTGAATGGGATTGAAGGTGGAGGTTTCGAGACTAATAGGCGACGCGCAGAGCTAAAGAGCGTGGTCGCGATGGCAGGCACATAGCGAGGCAGGAGGGTATAGCGGTGTGGCCAGGGGTTGGAATGTGAGCCATGAGGCTGCGAAAAGGCACGAAAATGCGAAAATTTGGAGGAAATTGCCGAAAAAAGAAGGGGCCCGCGAGTGGTTTATTCGTGAAATACGGTGCGAAAAAGGTGTAAATTGGTGTGAATTAGGTGGTGAAAAGGCTGAAATGGAGGGGGTGAGGACATGGATCCGTTATGGAGAAGAGAGAGATCGTAAAAAAAGAAAGGAATCACTAGGATTTTTTGCTGATAGAAGAGAATTTTAGAGTTGAAAGACCTTGGAAGATGAGAATCTTTTAACGTGTGAGAAGTTTCTCTGGTGTTTGTGGCCCATTTGAATGAACAATTGATGATGGAGTTCTGAGACACTGTTGATATTTTGCCGTGTTGTTTGTTTGTGGTTGTGGGACGCGCGAAGCCGCGTGTCGCTGCCTGGTGCAGCCAAGCAATATACATGAATTTTGCCAGATCTCTAATAATATACCAGATACACGAGATTCAATATACAAGATATTATACCAGAGAATATTATAATTAGAAGCTCTGAGCAAATGATGGATTATTGAGATTTCGATTGTCGCCGTTTATTTTGCTCTTTCTGTATTGTATCTTTATTTTCTTTTTTGTTTTCCTCTTCATTCCTGCCATTCCGTAGTTAACATTCTCTCCCAGTCTGAAAGAAGAATGCGATCATTTGTCATATGCTGGTGAAACATGGAGATGGTCCGACCCGCTTAGTGTATGTAAGTCTAAGATTTACCGGTCTCAGGCTTCGATATATATATACTGGGGTACATCTGTTTATTTTAATATTTCTGAATCTAGGATATTCAGTAGAGTCTCAAAATGGAGATTGAACAGTGGACGGTTTTGACTGGAATTGAGTAGATTGGCCTTACTGGTAAATGTATTGTCTGGGTCTAGAATATAAAACTGTCTTAATGTAATACTGCAAGCGTGGAAAGTTAGTCAGAAACATATATTGAACTAACACTAACCAATAAAACAACGGAAAAGTGGCATTCAAGTAGTAATTGATGGAAATGCAATTGACATCAGGTAGCCGAAGGAGTTGTGTATCATGTGATGTGTAATATCACAACTAGTTACTGTGTAGTTGTCTCTACATGAGTGACCTAATTGTAAGTAGCTCTGAGCTTTCAGCAGTAAACAGTCTATTGAATGTCCTTTATTAATAGAGACAATATTACACTATACCTGTTATATCTTTCACAGTTGTTTTATTCTGTCCTATGCACAAATCTATGTATCTTCTGTACCTTCTCGTATACACCGCACCACTTATTATGTGACCGTTATCTTCCTTTCTGCTTTCTATCCAATTCTTCTTTCTCTATCTTCTTTCCCCCTTTAATATCTCCCTCTCGTTTCTCTCCACCACATTCTGCTTAGCCCTCACCCATCTGGGAACATAGTACACCGCAATCACTCCCGCATAGCCAAAGAGCAATCCCACCAACTTCTCCGCCAACAGATGGAAATACATGTTGGTCATGAGAAGCATAAACCACCACAACAGAAGAAGCGCAACGACTGCCACCTGCGGCGTCGTCTGAATCACTCCAGAGACACGTTCAACAACGCTTTTCGTCAGCGCTCTCACATTGACCTGAATCTGGCGAATGAACATCTTCCACCCTGGCCAATAGGGCTTGATCTCATGAAACAAGTAAAGAGACGAATGTACAAGCAAAAAAACATGACCCAGCGGATCATGGCCACCTTCCCAGGTTCCACGCACGCGACGGCAAGTGGCAGAAGAAACGTTTCGAGACTCAAACTTGCCATCCAATTCCTGGAAAAGACTAACCATCAGCACATCGAGTCGATGTAACCTATCAGCAGCAATGTTTGCACACTTGCCTCCAGTCATCAAAAACACTTTATCCATAATTGGATGTCCAAAGAACCACTGCGTGAAGGCGATCCACCAGATGGTTGCCAAAATGTATCGTACCACAGCACCAGCCAATACCTTGCCGTTGGGCCGTCTGTACATCTCCACACTGTAAAATAGCACCACTACAAAAGTCGTCCATCCCCAGCCTTTCTTAACAAACAACTGGTTAAAGATATTGCCCTTGTCATTGTAATAGTTGTAAACTTCCTCTTGCTGCGAGACGATGTGGAGCAACTTACCCAAAATGAAGTTTAAAAGAAATGAAGCCGCATATGAGAGTTCTGCCAACGTGCAACGTATGCTGTCGAGCGATGTCAATGCCCTATTTGCCTTGGCCATGTGCCGATTGTAGATGGCTTCGTTGTTCATGATGGCAATTAGTGTTGGGTCTGGGTGCAGTGCAGGTGAAGGTTGCCAAATGAAGGAATATACTTGAAGGTTGGAGTAGAAACTGGGAATGAGACTTTCGAATGAAACTTAGGGTATAATGGTTTCGGGATAGTATGGATTAAAACTACGGGATTGAATTATGGATTGAAATTATGCAATGAAGTTTATGGAATCAAGGTATAGAGTAGCAATACTGAGAAAAATTATAATAGTTCTTATACATACAGATACGAATTTGTCTCTCTGCGAAACAGAATAGGGCGTCAAGGTTAGCATCTAGTCGATCTGATTAAGACAAAGCTTCTTCGTGAGAAGTTTGCTTTTATTTATTGGGTTTCTTCCCCAAATCTCTATGTATCTTCATTATTTCTTCATTATAATAACCCCACTATGCTGAATATCGAAAACTAAGATAATGCAATCTAATAGTTTGACATATCAGAGCACTATGGCTCATCTACTTGAATCGAAGGTGTCTCAGTAGACAGATCTCTCGGATAAACCTTCTGTGGTGACAGCTTCTTCTCCTCTTCCTCCTTCCTTTCCTCAAGCAGGTCGATAGGCTCTTCGGCACTCTGCCACCTCTTGACCATGTCGTTCATCAAACTGTTAATAAGTTCGGGGTTGACTATGCTCTTGCGGAATTCCTCGCTCTGCAATAGGGTTAAGATATGGAGACAGTTTGGATAGACCACGTACTTTGCATACTTAGCGTCTTTCCAGTAGTTCAAGTATTTGAGGTAGTTGACGAATGCTGGGTCGGACAAGTAGTCGTTTTGGGCTAACCAGTTGACATATTGGATATTGGCAAGAGACTGAACAAACTCAAGCTCTACCTCCCACCTCGTGGGAAGCTCATCCACCTCTGTCATTTAAGCTAGACTCTTTAAAGCAGAATAATTGGATGAGGGTCTGTAAGAAACAGTACGAAACGGACAGTAACGGATAGGAAATACAAGTGGCTATCCAATTCAAATGACGCTGTCAACAGAAAATATCGACAGATTATATTAATGTCACAATGATTCAGATGTCGAAACTGTCTAATAGGTATCTATACAAGATACTTAGTGGATGTTAAGTGCACACCTTTAGCAAAACAACAACCCGACCACCAAAACAAAGGATTGGAGAAAAAAGGACCACTCCTCAGAGTTTCAGAAAACCTTACCTACCGTCAAATATGTCCCGACAGGCCACCTTGGAGAAAGAGTTGGAGCAGCTCAACGATCTCAACATCATGGCTGATCAGCTACTAGATACCATCAAGAAAACACAACGAAACATCACGTCGTCCAAAAGTGCCACCGATAACACTTCTGCGTTGCTTGAAAACTGGATTAAGATCTTGAACCAGTCCAAATTTGTCGGAGACGTACTTGAGGATCCCAGTTGGACAGGTGCGGTCGATGTGGAGTCTTCACAAGGTCTTGATACGGAAGTGGCCAAACTCAATGCTGAGCTCCAGGCACTTGAGAAGGAGAATTCGGCTATTCAACGACGTCTTGACTCGGGGTCACTGCCTATCAACAAGAGAGTCAGAAGATAGGATAGCTTTACGCGATTGGATAATTATGGATATATAGGTCACACGGAAACTTAATAATCGTATAGGAAATATGGGAGTATTGGCAATGAGATATTCCAAAAGTACATGATATTCAACAAAATTGTGGCATAAAATATACAAACATAAATACTACTTGAAGATACTGGCGATCAAGTCACCCGAGTCAACCGAGTCTCCCTCCTTGATTTCAAGGTCTCCAATCTTTCCACTCACTGGAGCACTGATTACCATCTCCATCTTCATAGCACTCAATACGGCGACCGGGTCTCCCTTCTTGACCTCCTGGTCCTTCTTGACTCTGACCTCCACAACGACACCAGCCATTGGGGCTCCAATGTCGTTTGGTTGGGTAGCCTTAGGTCTGGTCTTGGTCTCGATGGAAATAGTCTTGTCGTCCACAGTGACAGATCTCATTTCACCGTTCAACTCGAAGAACACCTCTCTAGTACCGGTCTGTTTCGAGATCTCTCCCACTGCCAACAACTTGATGATCAAAGTCTTACCTTGCTCAATGTCGACAACCATTTCTTCATTGACATCCAATGGCTTCAAGAAGTAACGAGTTGGCAAAACAGACAAGTCTCCATACTTCTCCAAGCTTGCACGGTATGCCTCGTACACTTTAGGGTACATGACGTAAGATGCAATGTCACACTCAGTGATGTTGTCTCCGTAACGAGAAATCAATTCTTCCTTGACCTTTGCGAAATCAACTGGTGGCAACGTCAAGCCTGGTCTCTTGTCCAACTTTGGTCTCTTGTTACCCAACATGTTGCTTCTCAAAGGTTCTGGGAATCCTCCGTATGGGGTTCCCATTAAACCTTCCATGAAGTCTAAAACCGAGTCTGGGAAGTCCAACTCAGGGGCCAACTTGATGACATCCTCCTCAGTAAGATTGTTTGAAACCATGAACTGGGCCAAGTCTCCGACGACCTTAGAAGTTGGAGTAACTTTGACAACATCACCCAAAAGCTTATTGGCGACCTTATATTTCTCCTTGGTCAACAACCACTTCTCACCCAATCCCAATTGCTGGGCCTGGAAGATCAAGTTGGTCAATTGACCACCTGGGATCTCGTGTTGGTACACCTCTGGGTCAGGACCCTTCAAATCAGCTTCGAAACAAGAGTAGAGCAATCTCATCTGGGCCCAATAGTTGTCCAACTCTCTGACCAAGTCTTCGCTCAATCCATGGTTCACTTCACCTTCAAAAGATGCAAGCAAGGCACTGATAGATGGCTGAGAAGTCATACCAGACATAGCGTTGGAGGCTGCATCCACAACATCAGCACCAGCCTTAGCAGCAGCATCCATACTGGCAACACCAGTACCAGCAGAGTCATGAGTATGAACGTGGATTGGCAAGTTGGGGTACTTAGCTCTAATGTTAGACACCAAAAGGCTTGCAGCCTTTGGCTTCAAAGTACCAGCCATATCCTTAATACCCAAGAAGTGAGTACCCATTTTGACAATCTTGTCAACAACATCCAAGTAGTACTCTAAGTTGTACTTCTTACCTGGCTGCAACATGTCTCCAGAGTAGCAGACAGTGGCTTCAACGACACCACCCGCTTTCTTGACTGCGTCAACACCGACCTTCAATTGATCCAAGTCGTTAAGGGCGTCGAAAACTCTGAAAATGTCGACACCGTTGTCCTTAGCCTCCTTGACAAATTGGTCAATGGCATTGTCCGGCAATGAAGAGTATGCCACACCGTTGGCACCTCTCAACAACATCTGGAAAGGAATGTTAGGAACCAAAGCTCTCAATTTTCTCAAACGAGCCCATGGATCCTCGTAGAGGAATCTCATGCTGACATCGAAAGTGGCACCACCCCAACATTCCAAGGAGAACGCACCGTTCAATGCGAAAGCAGTGGAACGGGCAATATTTGCCAAATCAATGGTTCTGACACGGGTAGCCAACAAGGACTGGTGTGCATCTCTCCATGTAGTATCGGTAATCAAGGTACCATTGAATGCTCTAACCTGCTGAGCAAACTTCTCAGGACCCTGCTCAAGAAGAATTTGTCTCCACCCTCTAGGAGTCACAGCACCATCCACATCGACAGGAAGACCAGTCTTAGGATCGTGCAAGATAGGAATCAAAGCCTCGGTAGAAAGCTTAGGAAGTCCCGTCTGACCCTTAATGGAAGAACCGTTGACAGCCAAGTCTCCGAGATAGTTCAACAACTTAGTGGCTCTGTTCTGCGAAGAGATCATCTGGAACAAGGAAGGAGTGTCATCGATAAAGGTGGTCCAACAGTTTCCATTGATGAAAGTCTCGTTGGTAAGCATGGCCAACAAGAAGGGGATGTTAGTCTTAACACCTCTAATTCTAAATTCGATCAAGGCTCTCAACATCTTTCTTCTCGCAATCTCGTAAGTGGAACCAGAACAACTGCACTTGACCAACATGGAGTCATAGTGGGGAGAGATCACAGCACCGGCAAAACCGTTACCACCATCCAATCTCACACCGTTACCACCAGCGGAACGATAAACCTCAATCTTACCAGTGTCAGGCTGGAAGTTCTTGGCAGGGTCCTCGGTAGTGATTCTACACTGAATAGCAAATCCACGAGTGGTGATTTTATCCTGGAGCAAGCCCAATTGCTGCAAGGTAGCACCAGCAGCTATCTGGATCTGGGCAGCCACGATATCCACACCGGTGATTTCTTCGGTAATAGTGTGCTCCACCTGAATTCTAGGGTTGATTTCGATGAAGTGGTGTCTGTCCTGTTCATCCACAAGAAACTCAGCTGTACCGGCGTTTCTGTAGTTGGCAGACTTAGCCAACTTGACGGCGTCAGTCAAGATAGCATCTCTAACCTTGCGAGGCAAGTTCTTTGCTGGAGCAATCTCAATCACCTTCTGGTGTCTTCTCTGCACAGAACAGTCTCTTTCGAACAAGTGAATAACGTTTCCGTAGTTGTCAGCAAGCAATTGAACTTCAATGTGCTTTGGTTTGTCCAAGAAACGTTCAATGAAACAAGTACCGTTGCCGAAGGCAGTCAATGCCTCGGACCTGGCTCTGTTGAAGGCGTCTTCGATGTCGTCACCCTCTCTAACCACTCTCATACCACGACCACCTCCTCCGAAGGCAGCCTTGATGATAACAGGGTAGCCGTACTTCTCGACAAACGCTTTGGCCTCCTCAGTGGAGTCAATTGGTCCCGGGGTACCTGGCACAACAGGAACGTTGTTTTCCAAAGCCAAAGTTCTGGCAGAAACCTTGTCTCCAACAGCATCAATGGTCTTGTAAGAAGGACCGATCCAAGCGATTCCTGCCTCTTCGACCTTACGAGCAAATGTGGAGTTTTCAGAAAGGAAACCATACCCAGGATGAATCATGTTAACCTCGTGCTTTTTGGCAATGTTGATAATCTCATCGATTTGCAAGTAGGCTTGCACTGGTGAGTATTGACCCTTCTTGCCAATGACGTAGGACTCGTCGGCCTTCAATCTGTGCATGGATAATCTGTCCTCGTGGGCGTAGATAGCCACGGTTTGCATTGACAACTCATGGGCGGTTCTGAAGATTCTAATTGGGATTTCTCCTCTGTTGGCCACGAGAATTTTGTTCATGGGACCCAACACGGTGGAGTCGCGTCTCATCTGGTTGATCTTAACCGCCTCAGATCCGGAAGGAGCAAGCAACGACATGGTTTAGGGGCGAAAAAGTCAACTAGCAAGTTTGAATAAAAAGATAGCCAAGGGGAACTGGAGGATTGATAAGGCTCCCTAGCACTGCAGAAAGTCTAGTCTGATCGTTTGCCAGCCTGTATAATGGATGGGGTAGAAACCGGTGGGGGGATTTCAAAAAAGGTTACCAGTGAGTGGCAGCAGCAGTAGCAATGACAAGAAAACAAGAAGCTGCAAACTTGAAAAACTTTTGCGGCGATTTCTAAAAATTTGCCGTGATAGCCGTGGGGATTTCACCACCTGGGGATCATCGCTGTTTATATATTTTCTTGCCAAAATGGTTGCACTGTGACCGGCACAATATTGGAGCGACGCAATCCGGCACTTAGTGCGACTTCCAGTGAAGGAAGTTGAACTCCGACGTGGACCCATCGGATAAAAAGGACCTAGGAGCATCGGGTTAAGGGAGCTTTTGGGACCGCCATTCGGACAATATATATAGAAGATGATCCCGGGCTTTTTTCTTCGGAGACTTGGGTAGATAATTGCAGTTTTACGGTGGGGGGACCTCTTGAAGTTTAGACATAGGAAAATTTTCGGAGTTTGTTTTCTGCGGTAGGTCACCTGCCCCGATGGGGCGTCTCTCACATGAGCAAGTGGGCAGGTACGATATTACAAGCATCTTAAAGGCGAGAGTTTTGGAGGACATGAGGTCGAGTAATATGAGATTTTTTATTCTTAATTCAGCTTGATTGAGTATGTTTTTGGTATTGGAAGTGGGATTTGGTCAATAGAAAACATAGAACGGTACAATTGTATTCAATAAGCCTGGTATCCTCGGAGTAGTGAGTCATGGAAACTCCGAGGCTACATCCAGGAAATGAATCATCCGGCTTGCACGGGCCCCACGACATGGAGTGATTGGTGCGATTGTCCGTTGGGCCGGCGATGACGTGTGAGGGGCACATGAATGAAAATGCAATAGGTTTTGAGTTATTGGATTTAAGTATGGAATTGGAGCGGAATGAGAGGTGCTTTGTGTTTGGGTTGGGGTTGGGGTTGATGAGCATTGGTAGGTAATTCGATTCGATGAAAGTGGAATTGGCTAAACTTAGAAACAGCTGAACTTAGAATAGGTTGAACTTTGAATTGTCTGAACTCAGAATTGGCCGAACTTAGGTTGAACTAAGCATTTGAGATTTAGAGAACGTTTGGAAATGGACTGGAAAGTGATTAAATAAACTTTAGCTTGCCATTGGCCAATGATCCAAAGACAATTTGTTTATGGTGGGATCACTTCCTGGTTGAGACATGAAAATTGACTCATCGTACTTGGACGTGGCAATGGGCAGCAGAAGTCCGGTGCGAGTGAAAGTCTGAAAATTCCAGAGAATGCGAATAAAATTGCGAAGAGAGCACAAAGAAGTTGATGAAAATACAGTGATTGGTGTGGATTGATGATTCTCATGGTGAACCTTAGCAAACAACAAGTGAAGTTGAAATTTTTCAATTTTGAGCAATTGACAACTCTCACAACTGATGTCAATTTTAAGTGTTGTCAATTGGAACCTCACAAATTCTCAAAAATCTTGTGACCTACAATACTCATCAAACTTCTAATTCTTTCCTACCCTTTCAGTCCTACCTACCCTTTCAATCCTACCTACCCTTTCAATCCTACCAATCCAGCTAGTCCTACCAAATCTTCCGAACCCACCAAACCGCTAAAACATACTTAAGCTTTTAAACTCACCCATCGTCCGATGTCTCTCCATTTTCTTCCTTAACCCTAGCCCTCCCAGTATCGCACCAATAAGAGTCATAGTTGATGCAAAATAGTCGTGCAATTTGGTTTGAGGTACGTATTTCTTGATTGAAAAAAAATTTTCCCCCACTGTGGTGGCTATTGCTCGTCCGGCATGCCGATGTTTGTCGCTATCTCGTGCGAACATGGACCCGCTAGTAACCTCGGCCCCATCGGCCCGCCCTGACATCATAAAGTTATACCCGTTTGCCCTCGTCTCCAAGTGATGGGCCCAAAGTTTGCCTCCAAAACCCGTAGCCGCCTATCCGCTATCGTACCCCTCACGGTGAAAAACTGTGTGGGAACAGCAAAATCTCCTGATGAGCTAATCACGCTACTGTGCATTATCTAGTCGGAGTTAGAGGCGCGAGGCCACAGAAAAAAATTGGAGAAGCTCATCTGGAAAGATATAAAAGCTCCACAATCCCCATTATATTTCCAGCTCACACCACAATGATTAGAGCTTTCTCCACTTCTGCTATTTCTGCCTTCAAGAAGGAATCTGTTCAACAATTCAACAACGTGGCTAAGGCCGCTGCTGTGCCAAAGAAGTGGCAGCCTACTCCAGGTAACTCATTCAGATCATTTGCCGAATACCGGTTGAGAGCTGTCAACCAGTCGCCATTGAATCTCAGGGCTATTAAAAAGGGCAACTAGGAGTTGCGGTATATGCGGGGTTTAAAATTTGTATGAGCGATGCTACAGGTTCGGTTCAATTCTTCACGAGGTATATTAAAAAATGCTATTAAAATTGTTAATTGACTTTTTCATTTCACTGTGAATCATGTGAAGAACGTAGATTAGCGCGCAAGCGCATCGGACATTTATGTCCGTCAATCGTAATCTCCAGCCAATAACTCCTATGAAGGCTTAGATGAGGGGACCCGCTAACATTGTAGGATTCGCTAACCTGTAGGACCCGCTGTCCATGTAGGATTCGCCAACCTGTAGGATCCACTAACAGTATGGATCTGCCCACCCGACGACCCGTCAGGGCTGTGGGTACCTGAATTGTAGCAATCGGAGGGAAAAGGAGTCTAGAATTTATTTGAAACTAATGGTTATGTTGAATGTGGTCATGTCCTCGTGAGACGACGTGGTTGCTGATTTGTGTTATCTATATGAGTTCGACACTTGGTTGTCACTTTAAAGGTTTGATCTGGAGTGATGGTATCAGTCAGGAGAGATGTGGCTGTGGATTTTATGAATGAATTGGTCTGGTTGATACTTGGAGTTTACGTGGTTTTGTTGGTTATCGTGGATTGTGGATCGCCATAGTTTACGGACACAGTTGATGGAATTGTCATAATCCAGAGATTTGACGTGTGTATGTGTCAATAGTGCATTAGCCAAGCAGACAAGAGCTGCCAAAGCATCGAGATACTAAACAAAAAAAAAAAAAATCAACCAAAATAAAGAACCGAGGTGATCAATGTGGATTGTACTCAGATATGGTAGATTAGACCTATTGGGATTACAAATTGACTTTGATTATTTAAAGTGTTGCTACCTATAGTTTGCTATCTTTTATGCATGCTTTTCAGCACCCAATTACATAAAAGCACTTAAACACACTTAAACATCTTGAGAAACAATTAAGAACCGCTTGAAATCATTTGAACTCATTTAAAATCGACTTCTTTTCAGAAAAATATATAAATCACTTGTCTCTTAGAATTAAAGTTATCCCCTGACTCCGGAAATATTATATGTACTTCAAGTTATCACCTTAATTTTTCTTTTCCCTCTATTCAGTCCCTAGTGGCTGCGAAACCGTTCACTCGCGATCCGAATGTCGGATCCTGTGCCGAATACTACAAGAGTCCCATCAATTGTAGTCTCATCCAACTCTAATAAATTCTATCGTCAAATGTATAAAATTCAACATTTCTCTACCTCCCCACACTTGAAATTTCTCTCCTATCTATCTTCCTTACCAAAAACGTTTATCATTTACCACGCGAATAATTCCGTTGATTTGTAAGACACCGGCACGTGACATGACGAACTCATCTGGTTTAAAACTCAAGGTCACGTGATATGGCATAATCATCCTCATCTTTGTATAGAGAGGCACGGGCCCAATACAATCGACCCCCACGTTAACTACCAATCGTACATTAATGCCTCCTGTACTTGGAACGGCATCAAGCATCCTTGTAAGGTGTGGTAAGACTCCACAGTAAGGAAGACCAGTTAAGGAATAATTTTCCCCGGTTACATCTCCTGTTTGTGTATTGTCCTATATAGCATCTGCCTTCTGCTTATTCACACCCTATGCCCCATATTCTTTACCTAACTTATCATTAATTATGCCTGAAACCTCGGCTGCACTAATCGATCAGTTGGTGTATATCGACAACTTCATCAATAGTGGCACCGGAGATACTCCCAACTTAGACGTGGATGGTCAACTCTCTTTGGATTTGGCCGCGTTCGCTGATGATCTGTTCATCTTTCCTGACGAAGAGAAACCAAACCATCGTGATGATGACGATGACAACGACAATAACAATGACAAAAGACGTATACTGGATCTCGCCGACGTTGACAGGTTTAACGGCGACTGGTTCGAGCACCATGACGAGTTTGTGACCAATGTGGGTCGTAAACCAGATGGAATCGGTGCATTAGCAAAGATCAACGAGAGTACTAAGCAAGCTAAGTTGAATAGAACAAACCATTACGCTAATGCCCATGGAGCGCAAGGTGCGCAGGGTGACCATGAAACTGAACATGAGGGATTGAAGGGAAGTGACACCATTATGACCTCGGAGATCGGCGACTTGTCTGGTCTTCCAAAATTTCCTGTTCCTCCAGGAGCAAAGAATTCTCTTAAACAGGCTGGCCTCTCGCTGAACCAAATTGACTTGCTCTCGGCGTTGATCGCCCAGCACCAGAATTCTTTGGGCAATACCATCCCCGGTTCGGTTGGTGTTTCCCACGGCTCCTCCAGTTCACATCTTCCACTTGCCATAGCACCCACCCTCGCTTCCAACGGACATACGCAAACGCACAGCCTAATACTGAGCGATCTAGACTTGGCCCTGTCGGTGGTCAGCCAACGAAACGGAAACCATTCGAGCCAGAATGGCCAGAATGGCCAGAACGGCAGCTATCTCGTAGAGAGCCCAGGATCCATGTACAGCTCGGGCTACAGCAGTGGAGGCACGTCGATGCTATCTACGCCGCAGATACCATCTCGAGGCAGCATCAGCTTGGGAAGTGGTACGCCGTCACTGTTGACGGAAGAGGTGAAGAGGAAAAGGAATACGGCTGCTAGTGCCCGGTTCCGGATTAAAAAGAAGCTCAAGGAAAAAGAGATGGAAAACAAAATCGAGCAATTGGACGAAATGATTAAGAACTTTGAGCTCAAGATCAACGAGTTGGAGATGGAGAATCGACTTCTCAAGAATCTTATAATAGAAAAGGGCAACCGTAACTCTGACCAGGAGTTGAAGTTGTTGAAGGAGCGGGTCAGACATCACAGCGACCAGTCCGCAAAAAGGGAGTAATAAATATCTTGAAGATAATAGAATAGGTTGTAGGTGACAAGGTGCATAGTGTAAGGTTGACAACGGAGAGTGGGGCAACAAAAATAAAAATTGAAGGTTATAGTACCACTAGAATCCTTGATGTAAGTTCGATTATTGATCACTAAATCGCTCACTCAAGACTTATCTTGTCATTGATCTGTTCTTCAACGTCGTGATTGGGGAGTTTCAGTAGTTGATGATCCTATGATGAACCTTCCATAAACCTTGATAGGCCATCGATGAACCTTCGATCACCTTCAAAACTTCGATGAGCCTAATATCTTCGATAAACTTCGATGAACGTTCATTGAATCCTTGATGGTTATCAAATACATGATCTTGCCATCACTTCCTTATCATTGCGAGCATCACGAACCATCTCATGATATGCATCTTGATTTACTTATAGCTTTTTCTGCCTACAATTTTCTCTCATATTATGCAATATCTATCAAATCTATCTGTGCATTAAATGACAACTGGGACCTGTGAATCTATAAGGTTCTATAAGTATCCAATCACAGTCCTACCAGTCCATTTATCTTATTGCACATCTTGCTCATTTGACGAGCGGCGGAACCGCAACTTCTTGACGGTCTTCCAGCCGGAGTAGTCCTTCAAGTTGTCCACTATCGAACCGATAGAAGATCCACGAGAGGACGTACGGGTTGAAATGGTGCCAGCCAGTGCAGTGCGGCTCCTGGGCAGCTCCAGCGACAGGTCAGACCCACTGTTTACTTGCACCATATTCTGCTCAAACTGCTCAAGCGCACGGTCCCACTGGGCGCTGAGCTCAGATTTCTGTTGCTCAGACAGAGAGTTGGAGGCCAGAGATCTAGGTACGTGTTCGTATAGGACACGAGGGATCTCTTCGGCATGGAACACAGGCAGCGTCTTGAACTCTGGAGGAACAATCTCCAGGCGTCTGCGGCGAGTGGTTCTATCGTTGGTGACTTCACGTGTATAGCTGATAAACTCATTAAAGCTATCCAAAAGAAGCTCGCATATTAAGCCTCGGATATTCATGAGCTGCTTCTGGTTCGGGAGCACCTCGCCACAGAGGTCGGAACGAGTCTTGAATGAGATATTGATCTCCTTGATAGCGTCCTCTTTCAAGAACACCTTGTATATGACGCTCCACTGGTGCAAGAGACGGTTATTCTGACGGATCATGTCATCGCAGATAAGATCCGACGAGAGCTGGGCCATGTTGGCGAGGAAACGGTCGAGTTCCACGACAAACTCTAAGTTCTCCATGCAGTGGGAGTTGGAGAGGAACTGGACGAACGATCCGCGGTTGTAAGGGCCACAGTCCGTTAGGTATGTGTTGGGACTGATGATTTCATCTAGAGTTGGGATGGTATAATGTTTTGGAAAGTTGAAGTCGTCCATATGGATGAGAGGAGTAGTTTGCTGGCGGCTATAGCACGGCAGCGATGGACGTCGAAGATTCAAAACAGGGGAAGACTTAACACTGTGGTGTAAAGATGGAAAATGTGGAAAAAAAACGTGGAGGACCACCAGGTATGCAAAATTGGTGGGGGAGGTGGGACGAGCAAGCGTGGAGGAGTTGAGCGGTATAAGTGTAATCCGAACACAAACACAAGGTAATACTCAAAAAAAAAAAGATCCCTAGTAAGGAAAACAAAAAATTTAGCCAGAGGTTAAAAAGTCCCGAATCTCGGGTGTTGATATGAGCTAAATTTTGATGGAGAATTAGCGTTATCAGTGCACTCCCTCCTGTAGGCCACAACGGTTTACATGCGCAAGATAAGTCACACAGGCACTGTGGGCTGCTTCTCCACTGGTTAGCGGCGTGGGGGCAATACTCCACCACAGTTGGAAAATTCCCATATATAGAGATAGGGGAAGTTTCAGGGAGGTTCTGGAGGAGCAGAAAACTGGCAAAATTACTGATTTAATTGTCCCTAAGAATTTCCAGATCTACAGCCTCTTCCCTTCGATGTCAATGAGCAAAAGGCACGCGGACTGGTGAATCTGCACATCTGCATTAATTTATTCTTCCGGTTACCTGCCCTGAACCGGTCAGGTTTTCCTGTGCGGGCCGAAATTCTCCTGTCCAAACAACCAAGATGCGCCCCTCAGTCGAGGCAAGTTGGAGAATTTTTAGCACACTTTCAATTACGGGCATGTACTTAGCAACTACTGCGCGGGGTGTAATCCGAATGCTATCGATTCCAATAGCAGTGTGGGGTATGGTGAGAATGAGGAAACGAAGAGTATGAGCATGAGCATGATTATGTGTGGGAATGAGAATTTGGATTTGATATTCTGCAGATATCGACAACCACAACATTCCAATGACGTATCGATACCTAGAGGTTACCGAGGATATTATGGAAAATATTGTCTAGGTAGGTGAGAGTGGGCCAAGTCTACGTTTGTACCGGCCCATAAATGCTGGACGTTGCGCCGACAGACACCTTGGTGCTGGAGGTGAGCAGAATGCGCAGGTTTTTGGTGCATCGGTGACTGGATTTTCGTTTTATTTTCTCGCGAGCCGCACTTAAACTTTGATGTAGGCTTGCTTTTGGCCATGGATCGATCGAGTTTTTAACCTTTCATTTTAATCTTTGTTCCAATGATGGAGACTATTGTCCCTGGATTTCTCCCTTGAAGTTTGTGGCTAGTTCGTGCGCTTGAAGATATGGACAAAGTTGGCTCCAGCTTATTATATTATGAACGACGAAGATCGTACGTTGATCTTCGGTTAATCTTACTTTTCCTGGGAAGTTCACATTCTTTAATATTTTCTCTCGTGGGGCCTGTCAAGTATTATTTCAAATTTGGACCCAGGCTTAAACTTTTAGTGAAAAGGTGACTGCCTCATATAGAATCGTTGCTTTTTTGCCCAATGCTTCGCTTATCCATGCATGGCTGATTATCTTTGGTGGACTTGTTCCAATTTACCACCTCTCGCTTTGGTGCTTCTACGTAGTTCAAGTGGGGAATTCTGACCTCACCCTCCGATCATGCTGGGTAATTGATTTCTAAGACATTCCCGCCGATTTTGGTCTAGTGGACTTTTATGGGGCTGTAACACCTTGCTGGCGACTCTATCTGCCGTCTTAGTCTTAGATTTGGTCTGGTCATGATCCGACATCGGGTCTTGGCTAGGGTGGAATACTAACAACCAAGTAGTAGCCAATCGGGGCTTTCACTTGTGGAAAATGGACCCCTAGCCTGGGCCCTCATTCTTTGGTAACTTTGTCTTGGTGATTTTCATAGTATTCAACCAAGCATGACCATTTGGGATCCTTTATTTCATATTTGTGCTACGTCCTGAATCTCTAGACTGTGACATTCTTAACTCGACCCTCTCAACTCTCTCCTTTTACCTCCTTGATGGTATTTCCTGGGGAGTGTCAGTCACTCTCATTCCAATTGATCTTCTTCTCGTCTCATCTTCTACACATACTTTCGTAAGTCGTTTATTTCTATTCCTTGAGACTCTTGACGTTGGTGGAGATAGCATGGTACACAAGTACCAACGCAACCGACACGAAGCCAAACGTCAAAACAACCGTGTTCAATTCCTGGTCAGTGATCATCGATGTGGTAACGTGTTTAGTTTGTCGAGTAGAGTTTTGGTTTGTGCGAATACATGCAGGTGTCGATTCACGAAATCCACCAACAAACCTCCAGCATTCTTCAAGTCCTATAACCTTCAAACCCTTCAAATTTCCTGATGGTGCAATTACTTCAAAAGCCTCGAATCCGGTCAGCTTTTCTACTTGTATTCGGTCAGCTATCTGCTGCCAATAATTTCATGCAACTCATCCAGTATTACATCGGTAACATTCAAGTTAGTGGTGCACACAGTCGATCACCATAGGTTCAACCATATGAACGATATCGCCTAATTAAAAGGGAAACTGAGCCCGATATCAGCAAATTGATTCGTTGAATGACATAACCACTGATAAGTTATCTTCTTGGTATCTACCAGATTGCGATTCACTGGTTATTTTGACAACAGATAAGATTCGCTCACTTTCTCTGACAGATAGTGCACATACATATCATTGGCCGAGTTATCCGGAAAGATAAGAGCACGTTTCTTGACATATCTGTCAGGCGCCTTCAATCTCGTCATTGCCTCCCTGAATCTCCACATTCATGATAATTCTTTGTTTCTTTAGTCTCTCGCCTAAATCATACCTTATCAACTACTAGTGATACCCACATGTATCACATAGTGAAACCCACATGTGTCGCATAAAGTTACCCACATTTATTGCATAAAGATGTCCTGTGGAATAAACACCCAGTGTTCAATAATTAGCTCACCTGATATTTCCCGCAAATTGCCTCCTGCTCCTATCTGAAGTATCCTACCGGTCACAAACGTTGCCTTTGTGGCTTAGTCTGGACTGGCAGATAACGTCCTTGTCTCCTGGGTCTCTGGTCTATTGTTCACTGCGGTTTCACAGGCTAGAACTTCACCTGCCTGATAAGAAAATATCCACCAGGGTGTCCACTTCCAGACAACGGTGCGTAATTTTGCGTCAAGGTTCAATACAGAAGTTTCTGTTGACGTCGAAGATCCCATGCACAGTGAAGATCTGCTCGAATAGCTCTTCCTCGGTACAATTTCTCTTCCGATAATCTACATTCGCTGCACATTCTCTTCCATTGCTACATTCTCCAAATTGGAGGTTTCGCTCTCTTTTTCCATTCTGGGTAATCTCCTTTTGTCAGCGCCTATGCACAATCTTAAAAACTCAATCTGATCTCCACTTTCTATTCAAATTAAGAAAAGATGCAGGTTGCCCACGGAGGTATGGGTGTATGGCCTGGAAATTCCTGGTCATGTTACTGAGGAGGTACAGGTGTTTGAATATGTACGGGCCTTTTCATTCCATATTGCCTCCTACTAGAACTCTCCCATCTTATAATGCCTCCGTCGTCCTTGGAAGAACTTCTATATCGACACCTCATGAACTCTCCGACATTCCATGCTTGGGTGCGGAGAGTTCATGCTCGTATCAATAGAATCCCCTTGGAGGAGCAACCAATCGAAGTAGGCCGAACAGTTTACCTCGAAGACTATCGGCCCACCACTTGGCACAAGATCAATGCTGCTAGGATAATATTCTGGGATGAACTTAAGAAATCCTTTACGTTCCGCTCTTAACGAATCCCTGTATTACTATATAATGAATGCTTATGAAATGTCACCTGTTTATCCCGTGTAATTGTTAACAATGCTGTTGGCATTGACCCTTTTGAACTCGTCCTTGTTGATTAGAGCCACATCATCCCGTAAAACGGTTACCACCTCGTTTTGTGAATCAAACATGAAATCGTCAACCACCACGTCTTGTCCATAACTCATGATTTTATAGGCCGGGGTACGCTTCCAGTTTTTGGCAATATTAGTCAATGACCACAAAATAACATAGGGACCAGTGGATGCCACGATGGTTGTCTCCTTGGAATTCAACAGAGTGTTAAAAACAGCCTTGGTGAATCTCAACTCTTTCGTTTGACTTGCAAGTGCAAGCTGAGTAAAATGTTCGGGCCGAAGCGCCAATCTCTTGGGTACTGGTTTCTTGTCGGCATCAAAATATTTCTGGAATCCAAGTGATCCAGCATTCTTTTGGTGCTTTCCAATTTTCAAGTCGATAAGAAGCAAGTATGTCTTGCAAGTTGCCAATAGCCAGCGTCCATCCTTGCTTACGTCGATACCAACAAAAGCTTCACCGAGAGCTGGAAGAGAGGACTTTGCATTCACTCCAAGACGGTCGTAGAGTCGAATTCCACCATCTTTCAGGCCAACTGCGATAAAACCTTGGTCTGTGACAGTCATTGTTTCGAACCCATTGTTCTTGGTCTTGTAAGCTTTGAAAGTATTATCCTTAACAATCTTCTTGCCGCTGAGTCTTGGATCAATACGAAAAAGAGAGTTTGCAGAGATACCGTTCAAAGTTTGTTCGTTGGTGAGACCAGCAAACTTGGAAATTGGGGCGAACGATTGTAGTTGCTCATTGTCATCGGCATCCCATGCTTCCACTACTTCGCCTTTAGTCAAGTCAACTTTGTAGATTTTGGAATCAGCTGAATCATTCTTTGTCAAAAGCAATGCATTATCTCCCTGATGGAGCATCGTGCGTTTCGCTAACAACGATTTCCCGTTGAGATCCTTCAAGCCAGAAATACTTGTCACGAAGCCCAAACCTTCATCATCCCTCTTGTAAACACCAAGACTGTCACCTCTGGTCACGTAGGACCGATCTTTCGCTTGGCCAATTGCAAGTTCGCTATTCTTGAATTTGGAGCTCAAGAACTTCTTTTCCTGCTTGAAGTCTTCGTCATCATCGTATTCATCTTCGCTGTCAGAGGCGACGAAGAGACCATTTGGTCTTGAATTTCTGGTTTTCAAGCCGGTCTGGATAATCTTAGAAAGTGCTTCCTCATCGTCCAGCTCGTCGTGGGCATCAACATATTCATCAGATTCAGAATCACTGGTATCATCGATATCAATTCTACCGAATGCATCTTCAATATAGTCCATTGAGTCTGACTCTTTCTGGTTAGTGCGCTGAGTAACAGCAGAGTACATGGCTCTGAAGAACGCTTTCTGGAAACCTTCAAGCCCTTCGAAGGCGGAAAACTTGAGCATAAGAGAGTAAGCAGTGTTTGTTTCAGTACTAGACCCTTTAGTGCTGGCATCCACGACATAGTGGTTGAAAATAAATACCTTATACTCGAAATTAAAGGCCGGGTTCATTTCCTGTGACAATGGGATGCAGAATGCGAATTTCTCCGTAGTACTCACCAAGCAATATCCCTTCTCCTTGACATTTATGATCTTGATGACAATATGAGGGGCCAAAAGCAGAAAAGAGTCGGAGGCAGGATCGAAAACACGTAACTCGGTCTCCGATCTATACAATTCATCACCTTGCACGTCGATTTTCTTCAGAAACATTTGCCTAGGAAAGGTCAGAGCATCAGAAAACTTGTCAAGCTCATCTTCATCATCGTCATCATCGTGATCATCGTGATCATCGTCATCGTCATCATCGGTGTCATTCAGGTGACGACTAGAGTCTCCATAGCCATACTGGATATCACGCAAATTTTTCAATCCTTGTAACCCCAGCAGGTCCTCTTCACGGTCTGTTTTTGGATCATAAACGAATTCGTTCAACTGATCCAACTCGACACCGGCAGAAGATTTCTGATACTTCAGCTCATACAAGCATCTATAAAGCGAAGCCATGAAATGGTCCAGCTCGTTGTACTTGATATCTTCGTCCACCACAAACTCAAAAAGATCTCCGATATCGCCATTCATATCTTTCCATGCAATGGCCCGCGTTCCATCCCGTTTAGTGAATATCCGAACCTTCAAGTCTGGAGCTAAAAAGAACACACGTTCATCTGCGTTTCTGACATCTGAAGTCGCCCCCTCGTCATCATCATCATCATCAGCCTCATCCGTTACCTGCGAACTGGTCTCTCCTTCCTCGTAAGCTCTGATAACAGCCAATTGGTAGAGATATGGAGTGGTGGTTTGTTTGATGGTAATATACGCATCATTATACAAGCACTCAAGTGCACCCTTGGGCAGCAGTGGGGAGCGAGTCAAAAAGAGTTTACCTTGCGGTATCAGTGCCACTTCATCCACTGGGGATGCGCCGATGAATTTTTTCAAGAAATTCATGGCAAAAGAATGGAGTTGTAGGTGATGATTGTGGTCTCCTTATGGTTGATGCAGGAAATATATGGGTCTGGGGGTCACGTGTGGCAAATGTGGCGATAAGAGTTTAGAGGAATATGGTGCTGGATGCTTTTTGAAAAGAAATTGAGTATTGGAGTTTTGGGAGGATCAAATCTATTGGATCATATAATATATTTTGAAAATTCGGGAGGTTTCTCTACTTTTCAATGTGAATTTTTGTTGTCCGCAAGTATTACTTGAGGCAGAGATTAAAGTTAAAGTTAGCCGAGATAGTAATACCATGAAGACACTCTGGGACGAAAATATAAATACAAATTGAATATGGCAGGTTTAATTTATTTTTCTTTTTTTCCATCGCTTTATTTTCATTTAATTTCTCTTTCTTTTCCTTATCGTCTAATATATGGATACGGTCTCATTTTTGCACTTGTTCCACCTATTCGCACCCATTTTACAACTTGCTTGACCTCTACCCATAAATAAAAACCAAAACTAAGTCATTAGAAAAAATCCTAAAATTCCTAAATCAAACACAAATCACAAAGCATTTAACGTCAACACATGTGCTAACAGTTCCAGAAGAAAATATCAAAGCAAAATCAAAATGTCCCATCACTTACCACCAATTCACCTCATCTCCATCTTCCTACACCTAACTCTGCGTTACATTTCTTCACTCTTTTCTACCATGTGGTGTACTCTCCGACACAAGACACTAGCGCCGTTGTTACAGTGTCGATGGAAATCCAAAGTTGCCCAAACAAGCAGAGAAGTGTCTGAGGCTGCGTTTAAAGACCAACTTCGAGCGGTCGACGCAGCAAATGCCAGAAACCTACCAGAATGGGCCAAAAGGGAAGAATCGCTTCGAAAACGGTATGGGGCATGGAACCCCACTAGGAAGCTTTCCCGCCAACAAATATCGGACATTCGAGAGTTGAAGGCACAGTGGCCGCAGATGAAGACAAAACAACTAGCAGATCACTTTCATGTCAATCCAGAGAGTATACGGCGGATCTTGAAATCCAAATGGGAGCCATCTGAGACCGAGTTGGCCAGTATGAATGAGAGAGCAGCGAAAAGAAAGTTGCAGAGCCAGGAACGCAAGAAGGCGTCGTTGGAGCTGATCAAGCCACCAGTTAAGAAATATGGCAAGTCGTCCAAACGACAGGGTACGAAAACTACGAAAAACGACAAAAAGCCTTTTACGGTGGGCGTGGGAGACCTTATAGATTGAATTCACTTGTATATAGTTAACGAGTCATGACAATGTACCTAATTCTTCAGTATGGTGTATATGATGATGAAGCCTGAGTAGTGCACCAGTGCCCCAACCGAGGATGGAGTTCCCCACATAGTTAAGATTCAGCGACTGTAACTAGGATAGGACCAACATCTACACTGCCACTGTGATTAATATAATCGACTCCTATCGAGTACCATCACTTGACAACTACACCTGTTCATCTGTTGATTACATCTGTTGACCTCCTGACTTTTATAATTATATTCCTCCAGTGAACCACTCCCACATGTCCGTTCCTATTCTCACTATCCCAGAGTCCGCCTTTGACCCTAACGCATACACTGCCGGCCGGAGACAGCAGACTAAGCTCATCAAATACCTTCTAAGCTTGACCCGTGGATCCGCAGGACTTTTGGTTCTAGCTTATTTGGTGGGACTTTTCGGTATCAAGCCACTTATGGAACTTGCAACGTCGCAGAGATTAGACTTTCTCGAAGCCTGCCGAGGCAAGTTAAGGGACCTATACTTGAATGTGATTGGCCGTGTCAACTACATTCCAATTGTGGCCATCAACAAGAACGACGGGTCCGGGAAACGCTATGCAGATGCTGTCTGCCAGACAGAGGATTTGAATGCTAAGGAGCCACAGCCAGAAGCCTTGGGTCTTGAAGCTGTTCAAGCAAAACTCACCAAGCTTTCCGATGTGTTGAGGCAGTGTGATAGTTATGAGTCCACGAAATTGCCCCACTATAAAGTCATGGACTTTCTGCTCAAGGATTTCAGACAAAAGACAGATATGGTATATTTCAACCAGCGAGAGCTTTTCGACAAGAAAAAGGAAGCCAATAGCAAGGAGAAGGCTAAGAACTTGGCCCAGGAGGTCAAGACCAATATTCGCCTGATCAAGGGAATGTACATGAGTGGACAAGTGTAATGAGAGTGTGAATTTCATAGCTTATAGAAGAAGAAAATGGAAGTGTCAAGAGTAGAAAAAATTAATCATAATAGTGAAAGTTTCAAATAGAGAGAATAGAGAGGAGAGAGGGTTAGAAGACTAACTTATAGTAGAAGAATCCATATCTTCAATCAGTATCTTCAACTATAGCGAATCCGACTGTCATGTCTGCAGGCTTCAAGTATCATCAACTTCTACACCTACATCATGCCCCCAAAGGTCCAGATTAGTGATGACGAGCTTGAAGTGAATCCAGATGAGGCGTTTGGATCCGAATCAGAAGATTTGAGCGACGTAGAACTCGACGACGATGAGGATGAGGTCCCTGATGACGAAGAGGACGAAGATGATGAAAATGACGACAATGACGAAAATGGCATCGACAACGACGACTTCGGTTTGGAAGAGGCATATCTGCCAGAAGATAGTTCTGTGAGTCGGCCACTGCGGGGCAGTCGACCGGTTAGAGAAACCAGAAAGAGACAGTTGACCTTCTACGACGAGGACGACTTTATGAGTGAAGAGGAGGCCCCTCCTCCTCCCAAGAAAGTCTCTGTGAAATTGAAGATTCCAAAACGTTCTACAGCTAGCGTGGAGCCCACTGATGAGGAGCTTGAGTATAAGCCAGACGTGCTGAGATTGACTGAGAGACAGCGAGCCAAGCTCGAGGACGATTCGTCAGAGAAGTACGAAGACCTGATGTTTGCAAGAATGGACGAACAGCTTCTTGCACTCAACCGGAAGACAGCTAAAAAGAAGGAAACGGCTGAGCAGATGGCAGTGAGAAAGGCCGAAAATGCCAGGCGAAGAGCACACTATAAGACTAAGCAATTGGAGGAGGAAAAGCGTGATACGTTGAATAAGTTGCTCAAACGGAGAGCTACCAAGACCAGAGAAAAGGCGGTGGATGACTCACTGGATTCGAAGCAGACTCTCAAGCCACGCAGACCGACTATCCAGCATGCTGCACTCTCAAGATGGGTTTGCAAGCCCGAGAGTTCTGTTTTGGGGATCGCAGAGTAGAAATAGGCCAAGAGATGAATACAAGAAGATTTGAGGAGTAAGTTGAGAAAAATGGATAAGATTAATGCGGAAGAGAGCCTTTTGGAGTTGAGAGCGTAGATGGACAATTGAAATTACCGATTGAAATTTCAAGTAGTTGATCTCATGAACTGCTAGAATAGTTTTATGCAATGAACTGTCATGTAGAAAGCAGAAATCCTTCATCAGCACAAAAATCTATGAATACCTTAACCATCATATCATCATAATGCAAGCCATAGTTATCACTCCGAGCGTCAACTATCGTTATTTCTAATTCAAAACCAAGGATATTAGTCACAACTAAGATATCAGCTCGTGACCGTGAAATACATCAATCAGGCCTAAACCATAACTAATTTGGAAATTTCCGGCCGATAGTGGGTGGTGTCACAGAGATGAATGATGGAGACGGCGAAATTTCCCCAAAGGGAATCCAAAAATAGCCTGAAATACAATGTTAAGTATTCATAATCATGAGTGCCTTCCAGAGGCACCGGAAAGTTGGTGGGGGTTATCCAAGCCAATTGTGTGGTTTATCACTACAACCACAACATGAAGAATGAAGTGTATTTGGGATCCAACAAACTTACAAGTCTCAAATTCCAAAAATAGCCGCCGTTGTTGGCGATCCGATCTTTCAGTTACACATGATCATTGGTTTTGTGAGCCTCAGGTCATTGAGCCTCAGGCCATTGTGCCTCAAGTGGATGTCATGAACTTCAGACATGTAAGCCATTTTATATTGAGCAAGCCACTTCAAATAAAGTAAGCGAATTAAGCGAGCGAATCTGGGGAAATCAGATCGGCAAATAATAAAAAAGAATAAACTAAGAAAAAAAACAAAAAAAGGAGACTTCTTATCAATGGAGGTGCACCACAATTTGAGAATGTGGACATCCCGACCTCAGTTTCTATTCACAATACCTGAATATCAAGTTCCGCTCGTCAGCTCCTCATTCCGTCACATTTGCGCTCGCAATACATTGCGACGATGGTGCGAGGATTCCATGTTCTATCTCAGATTTACCACTTACTCCTCTCCTTTTGAGAAATTTTCGTCGTTAAATTTTCCCAGATATGGTCCCTTCCACCTTTGAGACGATCTTCAAAATTTTTTTCCCTTTTCTGCATCCTTTCTCGCTTCTGGTCATTGCTACACTTCCCCGATAATCTATGTACACTATACTTGCCCAAATCACCACCAAACAAATGTTCACTTCAGGCGGCGCAAAAGAAAACCCACCCTTTTAAGTCCCATGAAAAGATTCAGGTTCACGTTCACCTCCACAAATATTCTAAACCATTTTTTGAATTCCATAATGCTCCATTCCTACAGCTACCCATAACCTCTCTCCAGATACAATTTTAGTCGTGGTACAACTGTCCTGCAGCCCCTACCCTCAATGCACCTCACCTTCCAATTTGCAAGCATAATATCACCATTTTTCCCCTCCTCTCCGTGGGTAGCCTGCGCCAGAATTTCTGCTGGACTTTCCCTACTTCGTGTTGGACGCCTCAGGTGCGTGTTGTCACATAATAAACTTCAAAAATTGTTGCCTCAGCTTCTGGTTTTCCCGCTGGCCAACATCTCCTGTCGACCTCATCACTCCAGGTCTCGTCACCTTTACCGCCGGCTATTTTGAAGCCTTCAGAGCTCCACTTAGTTTCTTCGTGTGCTGAATTGCTACTTTTTCGTGGACAGACCCTTTCTACCTGACAGCTTTGACCTCCAACTTACTCTCCTTTGTATTCCACAATGAATACTTCCATGCAAGTTCCAGGGTACAACAGCGCTATGGCGACACAGCAACAGCAGCAGCAACAACAACAGCAACATCAGCAGCAGTCGCAACAGCCACAGCCACAACAACAGGGCCGAAATTTGGCACTGTCGCCTCACAACCAACAATCTTTTAACTCGGTTCAGCAGTATCCCCAGCGAATGGGAAATCCAATGGGCCCCGGCCAAAACCAGCCTATGATGGCAACACAGGGCTTGCCACAACACCTGCCACAGATGGGAAGGGCCCAACGCCCGCCCATGCAGAGAACGCATCTGTATCAAGTTGCACCCCAGAATTCACAAACTCCAACCTCGAAAATGGTGTATAGTCCAGTTCCCGACAACAAGCTGCATTCGGGATCGAATTCTCATGCACACACCACTCCATTAATGGTGCAGCAGAACATGCCAACGCAATTCAAGGTTCCGGCTTCAGGAATGATGCAGGGCCCTAAGAACCAGCAGGGCCAGCCCGTTCAACACCTGCAGTTACCTCAACAACCACAGCCACAACTGCAGCAACAACACCTACAAATTCAGCCTCCTCAACCTCTCCAACAACAACCAGGAAGCGCGAACTCTAACGGCAACTTGAATCTGGACGGCTCTATCAACTCTCCTCACCAAGGTTCCATAACCGGGTCCCAGAGTGTGAATGGCAGTGTCAATGGGGGAGCTGTAGCATTGCAAGGAGGTGCAATGAATAAAATTGGGGCAGCTGCTGCACAGAATGAGATCAATGCAAAGATTTTCAAGCGTAATCTCGGTAACGCAGGCGTGATGCGTATTCTAGACTTGATCGATATTGTGTCCAATGAGTCCGCTGAAAAGCTAACCACGCTCGATTTCTGGACCCGCTTTGTCCTGAGCTACTTTGCTCCGAATGCGGTAATGCGGTTCACGCCTGCCCCTGGCTCACCAAAACTACCCAACGAATCTATCATTGACGGGTTCAATAGACTGGCCAATGGCCGCCTGTACGAGCTCGATGTGCTTACTGCACCTCGATTCCTCGTGGCAAGCATATTGTCACAGGCACTGACAAAACACCAGGTGACTTTACCCGGTATCAAGTCGCAAGTGATGAACAACGGGTCGGTGTTCATTGCCTCCCAGCTCAACTTTCAATTCACATATGCCGATGGCACCTTGGGTATTCTCCAAGGTACCTGTCGTATCTCTCTTAATAAGGACTATCGTATTGACTGGCTAGACTGTCGCTGCTTGAACTACCTGTCGTCGATAACGATGAGCTCTCTTGAAAAACACTGGCATCAATTCCGCAGCTTATCGGATGATAAACTCGATTCTGTCAATTCCAACGGCGACTTTTTCGAAAGATTGTGCGAGAGTGCTCAGTCGGTACGGAATAGCTCCAATTCTGGTGTCCACGACACAGCCATGCGGATCATGCAAATCGGCGATCTAATGACATACCTCAAGCCGCTTATGGCGTTCTCATCTGCCAACGGAATCAACCTGCCGTTGAAAGCTCTCGAGGGATATATGGCGGCTAGTTCCGGCTCGCATTTGCTGAGAATTGGTTCCGTGAGTGCTGCCAATGGCGCAGCTTCGAGTCCATCTCCAAGAACAATTTCTCAGGACGAACCAAAGAGTGTGTTGAAGAAACGGCGACTCTCGACGACGGTTAACAGTCCGATGAACCCTGATTCACGGAGATGACATGTGTATAATTAACAATGTAGGTGCTTAGATATTCTAGAATGGTGTATTATCAACTTTTAAACTCATGTAGATTCATAAGGGATCCAGCGGGTTACAGATCAAACAAATGTATAGCATATTAAGTAATCATGTTATTTGAACTCATTAATATCTTGGCTCTAACTGATTTTCACTGTTTTTCTCAATTCAATCGTTATTTCGCAATCTGTATTTCTCAAATCAATCTTATTTTCTGTTCAGGACCTACACCACCTCCACATTCTATGGATAATGAGGCATTCGCCACACTAAGAGCCCGACTCGGGCTACCACTCTCGGAGATTATTCGACCGACGTCGTTGGCCAACTACATCGGTCAGCGTCATCTCATCAACGAATCTGATGGTGCTATTTCCAACTTTCTCTTCATGGGATACATACCTTCCATGATCCTTTATGGCCCGCCAGGAGTAGGAAAAACAACATTGGCTAACATCATTGCAAAGGACACCGGTTACGTCTTGGTGGAATTGTCTGCCACAGAAGCCACCGTGGCCGAACTAAGGGAGCTATCTTCTCTGATTCGTGGAGAGAACAGGAAGAGACTTCGACACGGAGAAGCACGGCTCAAAGTGGCTGTGTTCATAGATGAAATACACCGCTTCTCCAAAAACCAACAAGACTTCTTGCTTCCATTCATAGAGGCGGGAGATTTTGTATTCATCGGAGCTACCACTGTTGATCCCGCAAAGAGAATACGACGTGCCATTCTTTCACGGTGCCAGTTGTTTGAACTTCAACATTTATCCAACGAAGAAGTGATTGAGGTGTTACGCAAGGCAGCATTGTATGAGAATATTCGAAGGAAAGTGCTCTCCAACCTCGAGTTCATCACTTTCGAGGATGGTGCCTTTCAAGTGGTGGCAGACTACTCCCATGGAGACACGAGGACAGCCATCAACTTCATTGAGTTGTTCAGCTCTCGGTACAACTCTTCTGATCATACTATTGGCTCTAATCACAGTAAGTTGACGTTTAGCGTCGATGACGTGAAACAGGTGGTGAGATCACTTACTAAGGCAAGATTTGGACTTACAAACGACGAAAACATCCCTTTGTTTGTACAGTTGTTCAATTGCATGAATGGAAGAATTCTGTACAATCAAGTTGCTTTAGATAACCCACATCCTTTGGTCACATATAAGCATGTGATGGGATCTCTAATAGTGACCATAAAACATGCCAAAGTGCTCGACACCCTTGTTGACCATGAAGAACCACCACTTAGATCTTCAGAGTTTTCCAAGTATTTGGACTGGGACTTAGAAACCAAGAAATGGGGAGACCGGGCACGTGAATGGGCTTCACAAATGGACTACTCGGATGATAGTGACGTCGAGCCTGGGCAGATATATTCAGACTCTGACTCCGACGACATTGCATTCTCTAGTCGAGTTTGCAGGATTTCAGCTCCAAGTTTTCGAGCTTCTGCTGCAGTTCACACCTTGCTTCAGCTTTTAGCCAAGGGAGAGTCCGAATTCTTCATTCTAAAACAGCTCATACTCTTCGTTTGCATGTACATCCTGCCAGATACTCCCGAATTAGTTAAAGTTGTGGCTGTTCTCAAAGCATTGAGACATTCTACCGTTGATTCTACAAAACTTCTTAGTCTCCTGGTAGAAAGACTATCTGGTCTTCCTAAGTCATATGAAATCTCTTTTGTGAAAGTGATCCGTCAGATCAAAGATTACTGCTCACGTCAAACTGCTGTTCCCGAACTTACCCCACACATAGAAGATATAGAAATTGTTTTCGACGAGACATTGGCAAAACAACTATTGGAAGATATCGACGAGTCAGCATTAAGACAGTCCTACCATTTTAATTTTGCGGTAGTTGACGAGAATCAAATTGAAGGATATACATTGGGATGGGAGACCACGCTGGTTGACGACGTGATCAAATAAGTAATACAGCTACAATCAAGCATACAATTTTGAATGGAATTGCTACAAAGCAACTATAGTACAATTTGACTAGAAAATGCAAGTTTCAACTCATGCCAATCAGACACTACTCCTCTTAGTGTCCAGTATTTTCAGACTCCTCATCATCATGTTCACCGTCCAAGGCAGCGAAAATGTTCGAGGCCATGGAGTCGGTTCTCTTGGAGTTTTCTCTCGGAGACATAGTAGAAGCAGTCACGCTGGGTTCAGTAGGTCTGTTGGACTGAGATCTTGGAACTGCAGTGAAACCTCTAGAATCTTTGGTTGGCGCTCTGGAGTCTTTCTTGTTACCCCATGATGAGCCTCCTCTAGTGGAGTTGGATCTGGAGTCGCCACCACCATAGTTTCCACTGTTGTAGTTTGACTTGTTGCTTCTTCTCTTCTCAGCCTGGGCCCTACTGTCTTCGATTCTCTTCAACTCAGCCTCATTATGAATCTCCTTGATGGTCTTAGGACCGGCTTCTTGCTTAGCTGCCTTCCAGTTGCTCTTTTTCAAGTCTTGCAAGTCCATCAACATAAACTTAATTCTAGATGAGAGCTTGCTATTTTCCAAGATCTGTTGGATGTTGTCAAAAATCATATTCAATGCAGCTCTGTTTCTTTCAGTGGCCTCAAATCTTGGGCCAACAGTCTTGATTAATTGCGTCAAGTTCTCCAATGAATCCTCAGATGGGTCCACAACATTCTTAGATTGGTCTCTCAAACAATGCAAAATAACTTGATCGTTCAACATGTTCAAGATGTATAAGTTACCAATAAACTTGACCAAACCAAGACCTCTTCTCTTGGCAGCGGCCATAGCGTAATATTCATCAGACATCATCTCTGGCTCCAATGGAGTACCATCAGGGTTAGTTGGAAGCTTATCCACCCATCCCTTCTCGTATTCAACCTGACAAGTTGCCAACAAAAGTCTTCTGGCTAAATCACCACCAGCTGCAGGCTCGCCAGTCTTTGTCAAAGTGTTGACATCCTTGATTTCTTCTGGAATTTCTTTCAACATCTTGGCACAGAACTGGGCATAAACAGAAGACCAGTATGGCTCGTCACAAGCCTTTGCAAAAGTCAAGGAAATAACTTGCTTGATAGTCTTAGCATCCTCCTCCCAACGAGATTGTTTAGCAATAGTCAACAAGTCCTCAGTAATTGGCTCGAACATCTCCAAAGTCAACTTGTTCAAAGCAGACTTAACCTTTCTCTCAATATCCTCAGTTTCAAGGATTATAGATCCATCTGGAGCAGTCTTAACCTCTTCAGTCTTAGTTCTAGACCTTGGAACCCATCTGTTAGCAGAAGGAACCAATGGCTTAACATCCTCAGCAGGCTTGGGTGGCTCATCGTCACCCTTTCCTCTCTTAGATTGGTTTCTGTTTCTAGTCGATCTTTCTCTTGGTCCGCCAGCGTTAGAACCACCTCTTCTCTTGGATCCAGTTCTTGAGTTTTGTCTTCCTTCAAATTGGCCCGATCTACCAGACATCGATCCATTAAATCTGCCTTGCATCTGGTTACCAAATTTGTTGGAGTTCATTCTCTGAGGACCAGAAGCGGATCTCTTGGTTGGAACGATTCCCAAACCTTCTAGCTTCTCCTTCCATGCATCATCAATTGGGTATTGAACAATGTCCTTAAACTGGAGCAAGAACTGGGGGTCGTATCTGTATTGCTTCTGACCCTGCTTCCATCTTGAGTCAACACCAGTCAAAGGATATGGGTAATTAAATGAGAATGGGTCCTCGATTGGTTTAGCAGTTGACAATCTAGCGAAGTACAGCGAGAGATCAAAGACAGACTCGTCGTCCTCGTCGTCTTCGTCGTTCTCATCTTCGTCATCATTGTCTTCCTCGGCAATTGTTGTGTCTTCGACACCGGTGGTGTCTGCAGAAGTCTCTACCTCAGTCTTCTCAACTGGCTCCGTTGGCTCAGCAGTCTTAGCTGTTTCAGTTGGCTCAACCTTTTGCTCAACTGGCTCAGCTGGCTCAGCAGCCTTCGATGGCTCAGTTGGCTCGGCCTTTTCTTCGACTGACTCAATTGGCTCGACTGCCTTGACAGTATCCTCGGGCTGAGTAGCTTCGATTGGCTTGACAGACTCAGAAGCAGTTTCTTCAGCAGCCTGAGAGGCTTCAACTGGTGCCTTAATCTCAACGGACTCCTCCTTGGCAACAGGAGTAGGCTCCTCCTTCTTCGTCTCAACTGGAGTCTCTACTTTAGACTCAGCTGGAGTCTCTGGAGTCTTCGACTCCACAACTGGAGCAGTAGCAGCCACTTTTTGCTGGGCAGCAGCGGCAGCGGCAGCCTTTTCTTCGTCCTTCTTCTTCTGTGCAGCCTTGGCCTTCTCCAAGATCTTTCTTCTGAACTCTTCAGCAGCAGCAACCTTGCCAGAGGCAGAGGCAGCAGGGGCAGATGCGGGAGAAGCTAGAGTTGGCGAAGACGATGCTGGAGAAGTAGAAGCAGCACCAGCAGCATGCGAAGTGACGGACTCGGAGCTGCCCCCTGTAGAGACAGTCTGAGCATGCACGGGGACGGGGGTGGTGGATGCCAGGCTCAGAGCAGAAACCTTTGTCTTCTCGTCCAAGTCAACCTGTTTGCCATCCTTGTCTGTGATCTTGACCTTGGAGGCACCCGGCGAAGAAACTGCAGGGTACTGCTGCAAAGGCGTGTGCATTTGCTGGGGCAGCTGTGGGTTGTAGTTGGGGATGCCACTCATTCCTGGCACCATACCCTGAGCGTAAGGGTATGGGAAATAGTAAGCACCAGCATATACGCTTGGTGGGTAAGGATAGCCACTGAACTGGTTGTTGCTGTTGTTATTTATCTTCTGGTTGTAGTTGTTGCGCTTGTTGTAGTACTTGTTCTGGCTGCCCTGGTAGTTTTGTCTCTGGCCATTGTGATTGGCATGGCCCGAGGCACTTGAACCTGTGTGGGGAGCATTTCCACCATGAGCAGCGTGTGCAGCATTACCTCCGTGGGTCTGTGCATTGTGCTTATTGTAGGGTTTCCCATGGTACCCCTGAGGGTAGTTTTGATGTTGGCCAGACTGAGCAGTCAGTGGGGTGGCGGCAGCAGGCAGAGGCACTGGCGACTGAGCAGGCGGGGGCAGCGAATGCTGCTGGTCTTGCAGACCTTCGGTTCTTTCAGCCATTTGTGGCGGGATCAAGGGCGGTTATTGAGGTTGCCACTTGATTCGAGATTGGAATCGAAACTTTGTGCGGTTACTCCAAGATTGTTGGCGAGAGGGACCTAGGGGGCAATTAATTAAGCAAATAACTAACTGCAGAAGGTCAATGGCCGAACAAGAGCGTCTCGTAGATGGTGAGACGGGGGTTTTTCTGACGAGAAAAGGGAGTTTCTGGAGATAGAAAAATGTGTTCCTAGTAAAAATTTTTCAGGACTGGGTGTGTGCATGGCACGACCTGGAGAGAAAGTGACATGTTATGGAGGGGATGGTGATTTTGGAAGTTTGGGATATTCCATATTTTAAGATGGCGATGAGAAATGAATAGGTGAAATTTGAATATGAAGATTGCAGTGTTTTGCCTGGTGGTTCTAGTTTGTTTTTTTTAGTACGATTTGGTCTAGGAGGAGTAAGTCGCGATTGCTAATTATGGTCTATGTGAGACACAGGAAGGAAGGAATCGAGAAGGGAATGAAAGAAAAAGGAAAATTAAGGTCAAGGTATAGTAGACAGACAAAAGAATAAACAATTCGTAAATCAAGAATTGAAGAATATATTATAATAGATCTTAGAATATTAGATCTTCTCAAAGAATACGTAGAAGGTAGTTGAAATTTGAGTGTATGTCGCTCGTATACTTTCCAGCCGTCTCGTGCCTGGTCATGACTGATTGTTACGAGCGTTTTCCTATGATAATGGCCTGTAGAATTGACACTACTGTCTATTTTGATTGGAACAGTTGTGAACTGAGTGAGTGATACACTGTGTTGGGAACTTGGTCAGGGATCTCCTGGGATGGTCGTGGTCAAAAGTGGTGTCTGTAGATTAGACATATGAGAATAATGTAAAGTTGGAGGTAAGTTCATAGCATGTTGTTTTTCCACTATACAATCTTTGTCTCATGTGCTCCAGTCGACTCTCCACGCTAAAAGCTGTGGTTGCCTAGTGGTTCCTTGATAAATGTAGTGAATTTCCATTCACAATGTTCGAAGACTTCGAGTATGCTTTACATCTTGACTGTGATTTTGTCAATTTCGAGTCACTTCCGAGCTATTCTAATCTTTTTAAACTCTTGAGCACATTGTCCGCATAGTTTTACCTTGATCTGTTATGGTTCTCCAGTTTCATGGCTCTCCAGTCTCCTGGAGACCATGTTTCCATGCATTGTAAATGACAAGTTACCATATTGCTTAAAGATCCATTGCACCACAATAGTAAACCCAATTGCACATCTCCAATTTATATTTGGTTACCTGTATATCCCATGATCGCCAGGACTTCCCCTGACATATAATCTGGTAATTCATTTCCATTACCCTACCAGTCAGTTATGGCAAGAAGGACCGCACCAAGAGCGCCGCAACACCAACCAAAAACAAACAAACAACAACCTTCTCCTTCAAAGACTCCACCTGGAAGCAACTGATGATGATGTCCTGCTCCACGTCCACACACAAGTCGCTCTTCTGCTCTAGACACCATTCCTTAGTGCACAAGCCACATTTATCGATTTTCTCCACAAGAACACGATCATTGCATTGGCACTTACAGTATTGCTGAAAGCAAAACGATAGCGAAATGCAGAGAAGTAGAGGAAGTACCAATTTCATGAGCTGTAGATGATAGAGAATCAGTTACTTTTGTTGTAGACCTGCAGACGACCTCAGTAATAACAACTTGCAGAAGATCAAGTAGTCAGCCTATTGAGATCCGAACACAAAGAATAATTTCAGCAGTAGCTTGAAAGCTCGTACTGAAATTTCACAAAATATCACAAATATAACAAGTTTAAAAAAAGTTGTGGTCTTCACTCTACGATTTGTTCACCTCTTCAGAACCACTAGTCCTACTCCCCAGATTACTCTCCTGTACCTAATCCATCGTCGTGTGAATCTCACCGAGGGCAAACGTTAACTACTAGTCTTACTCTTACTCATTTCACATCATGGCAGCCGTCGATACTCCATACATCCATGAAGGCGGCATCAAGCCGTACTTCGAACAGCAGATCCAGGATACAGAAATCAAGATCCAGACCACTACTCAAAACTTGAGGCGTTTGGAAGCTCAACGAAACAAGTTGAACAGCAAGGTGCGTCAGTTAAAGGACGAATTGAGGCTTCTTCAGGAGCCTGGCTCCTATGTCGGAGAGGTGGTGAAGGTTATGGGCTTGAAGAAGGTGTTGGTGAAGATACATCCAGAAGGAAAGTACATTGTGAATGTCACAAAAGACATCGATATCAAGAAGTTGACGCCCTCATTGAGGGTTTGTCTTAAATCTGACTCATACGACTTGCACAAGATCTTGCCTAACAAGGTGGATCCGTTGGTGTCGTTGATGATGGTCGAGAAAGTTCCTGACTCTACTTACGACATGGTAGGAGGCTTGGACAAGCAGATCAAAGAAATCAAGGAAGTGATCGAGTTGCCCGTCAAGCACCCAGAGCTTTTCGAGAGTTTGGGTATTGCGCAGCCGAAGGGTGTGATTTTGTATGGCCCACCGGGCACAGGTAAGACGCTTTTGGCCCGTTCGGTCGCTCACCACACGGACTGCCGGTTCATCCGAGTGTCAGGTTCCGAGTTGGTGCAGAAGTATATCGGAGAGGGTTCTAGAATGGTTCGTGAGCTTTTCGTTATGGCTAGAGAGCATGCTCCATCCATTATCTTCATGGACGAAATCGACTCCATTGGATCTTCCAGAGTGGAGGGCTCGCTGGGCGGAGACTCCGAGGTGCAGAGAACCATGTTGGAGCTTCTCAATCAGTTGGACGGTTTCGAGTCTTCCAAGGATATTAAGATCATCATGGCTACCAATCGGTTGGACATTTTGGATCCAGCCTTGTTGAGACCAGGAAGAATTGACCGTAAGATCGAGTTCCCTGCGCCAACAGTTACTGCCAGAACCGACATCTTGAAGATTCACTCACGGTCGATGAATTTGACGCGTGGAATTAACTTGAGAAAGATCGCCGAAAAGATGAACGGATGCTCGGGTGCTGACGTGAAGGGTGTTTGCACGGAAGCAGGTATGTACGCATTGAGAGAAAGGAGAATCCATGTGACGCAGGAGGACTTCGAGTTGGCTGTGGCCAAGGTGATGTCGAAGAACGACGAGGGTGCTGTGTCGTTGGCCAAGCTCTTCAAGTAGGATTATAGAGAAGGATTGAAAACAGTAGTTTATTGTAGGAGGGAGATGAGACAATGTTAGACATGAGGAGAAATCGACAAAGCAAACTCTATGATGTAAGAATTCCGAGAGAGAAGAAATAGTTACACTGATGGAATTTTTAGAATGCCATATCAAACTGATCTTTGGCTTCGATCTCATACCACTGTCCTGCACCTCATACTTACACGTAGTGAGAGTGAAAACTGTCAAGACCACACTGGAAACACCATGGCAAAACTCATTTGGTGGTCTATATTGTTACTAGTAACAACAGTGTTTGCCCAGGATGCCAGTCTTCTTCTACGAATTCGCGAGACCCAGGATTCTCTCATTGAGGAAGGAGCAAACCTCGGTTTATTAAGTGAGTATGATCAATTGATTACTGATTTGGAAAGGGCTTTGGAGGATAACGACGAAAAAATTACAGCCAACTTGGTAGCACAGGTCTACTACAACAAAGCTATTGTGGAGCTCAGCTTGAACAAAGTCCAAAGAGCAATTGGCGATTTGGGCCGCACTTTGGACTTGGATCCATCATTATCACTTGCATCTTCCCAACTCATAAAGGTGTTGGTGGAAAGAGGCAGATTTGGCGAAATCAGAGCCCGCTTCTCCGCGGAAGATTATTCCGACACTTTTTTGCAGATGGATAAGTGGGAAAATGCGTATCTGCGAGTTTCCACCTATGTATCTGGCGAAACTTCTGAATTGTCCGTTGACGAGTGTTTGGAGATCATTCTGATGTTTCTAATGCCGATTACGCCGTACAACTCCAACGTTTTTGAGGCTCACCTTTATTGTACCAAAGGCAAAGCCAAAGAAGCTGTGGCTGATGGCGACCATGAAACGGCATTGGCTTTATACAAAGAAATCATCTCGGACTACTCGAGGTTGTTGAACTTACATCCACAGCGCAATTTGCAACATTACAGTGACTTTGCCGAGTACAAGCTCTTCACCCAATTGATGGTGCAAGATAGTTGGGCCATTGTCAAATCTTGCTTGCGTATTGACAATGTGTTTGAGCAATGTGGAAGTCTTTCCAAGATGTTTTCGAAACTTCAGGATTTGTTGAAACATTTGGAGGAGTATTCGATATTTGACGGCTTTCTCTACCCCAATGTGGGCGAACAGACAGACCTTCAGCAGGCGCGCCTTGATTCGTTTGACTTTGATTTCCGTCTAATTGATGAAACCTTATCTGGGCGAGTCAATCTTGCCAAACGAGAGATGAGCAAGCTTCCCAAAAATGTTAGAAGCGTCTATGACTTCCTCATGTGGAAAGTCGATGAGTTTTCGCAGCGAGAGTTTGGCGTTGCAGCCAGAGTGTCGGGACTTATGTTTGTTGAAGTTCTCAATAAGCTCGCCTGTGAAGCTGGAGTCAGGAGTGGCAAAGCAAATAACCCGTACTGTGGCAAAATTAACGACGACAACGACATGTTTTTCCCTAAGTACGCAGCACAGGTTGACCAACTCATAAAGAGGAAGAACTTCAAGGAGGCGCAGAGAATTTTGCAGAAGTGCAACAGAAACGTCCAGAAAACAGCGTTTTTCAAAGAGCGGTGGTCAGTGGTGGAAAGACACAGACAGCAGCAGCAACAAAAACATCAACAGCAGCAACAGTACGAATTTCACCAAAGACAGCAGAGACTGCGTCAGTACCAGAAGCAGAGACAACACCAGCAACATCAACAACGACAGCAGCAAAACCAGGACAAGTCCAAGGATTACTACAAGATCTTAGACATTCCAAAAGATGCAGACGAGAAGACCATAAAGAAGGGCTACAGAACGCAGACATTGAAGTATCATCCAGATAAATATAAGGGTGGAGATCTTTCCGAGAAGCAGATTGAGGAGAAGATGCAAGATATTAATGAGGCCTACGAGGTGTTATCGGATGCAGAGAGCCGCCAGTCATACGACAGAGGTGACAGTGGAGAAGGTCAAGGAGGAGGTCATCCAGGTGGATTTGGAGGACAGCCCAACATGAATTTCCATTTCGACCCCAACTTTATGGGTAACTTCATGCGTGATGGACATTTCCAGTTCCATTTCTGAGAGTAAAGAGAAAAAAGAGGAAATGGGTAGACATTGTTGAAATATTTTGCGACTTTTTGCTCAATCCTTTCACAATTGCATATACTTATGCGATTTTTCACTCCTGATATATCCCAATTGTAATTTCTGAATACTCACATGACGTGATGAATATTATAGCCAACGGCTCTTGCCGAGGAGTATGTGCAGTCCGATAAGCCTCAGCCGAAGATGAAAGAGGAATGGAAATACAGCAATGCCAGAGAACCAAAAAAATTATAAATATATTAGTATATATAGCACAAATGAAATAGAGAAAAATAGATATAGAGCAAGAATTGTAAATGCACTAATTCAAATGAGGAATCGTATTTAGACACATTTCCATCTTTTTGTCAATTCCCAAAATTGTCTTGTTGCCGCCATTTTGGTAGACCGTGGTGTACGGGTGCGCCATGCCATGATATAAGAACTCATTGAACTCCTCAAACTCTGCCTACTACAAAAAAACCACCATCATGAAATTTTCGGTGGCAACTACCCTCGCTCTTGTCGCAGCGGCAAATGCCTTCCCAATTGGCTCGGTGCAGTCCCTATTGGGCTCGTTCAAGGACTCTGCCAACGTCTTACCCATTGTGGCTGACTCCGAAACCCAGAACTTCCCATGGCCCCCATGGTCGAAGCCATTGATTGACACAGAAAAATTGCAAGATGCAATTTCTGCCGAAGCATTGAAGGAGAGAGCTGAGGCTCTTTTCAACATCTCCAAGGCCTCTATTGACAAGTATGGTCACCCAACAAGAGTCATTGGCTCTCCTGGTCACTGGGGTACCATCAACTATATTTTGGAAGAATTGGGCAAATTAGGTAGTTACTATTCGTTTGATGTTCAACGTTTCGAGGCAATTGACGGTCGCGTCAAGTCTTTTTCACTTTTGATCGATGGAGTGCAGCCCAAACTGTTGCTGGCTTTGGCTTTGACTCCTCCAACTCCAAAGGGCAGACCAGTCCACGGAAACTTGGTTTTGGCTGCAAACTACGGATGTGACGCTGCAGACTTCCCGGCTAACTTGACTGCTGGCAACATTGTATTGGTCGAGAGAGGCCAGTGCGCTTTCGGTGATAAGTCTATCAACGCAGGCAATGCTGGTGCCGTCGGTGTGATTATCTATGACAAGGATGCACCTTTGCACGGCACCTTGGGCGAACCTACCGGCAAGGAGGTGCCTACTGTGTCGATTAGTACCAAGGATGCCGAGAAGTACATTGAGGTGTTGAAGAAGAAGCCTTCTCATGTGTTTGAGACCACCTTGTACGTGGACTCGTACGTGAAGAAGATTAAGACAACCAATGTAATTGCCGAGACCAGAGGCGGTGACCACAACAACGTGGTGTCTTTGGGTGCACACTCTGACTCTGTGGCAGAGGGACCAGGTATCAACGATGACGGATCTGGTACCATCTCTTTGCTTGAGGTTGCTAAGCAATTGAGCAAATACAAGGTCAACAACGCCGTGCGTTTCGCATGGTGGGCTGCCGAGGAGGAAGGACTTTTGGGCTCTTACGCTTACGCCAACTCCCTCTCGGATGATGAGAACCAGAAGTTGCGTCTTTTCATGGACTACGACATGATGGCTTCTCCAAACTACGAGTACCAGGTGTACGATGCCAACAACAAGGACCACCCTAATGGATCTGGAGACTTGAAAGACCTTTACATTGACTGGTACGTGAGCCACGGCTTGAACTACACTTTAGTGCCATTTGACGGCAGAAGTGACTATGTCGGCTTCATTGACGTTGGGATTCCAGCTGGAGGTATTGCCACTGGAGCTGAGGGTGTCAAGACAAAGAAGGGCCAAGAGAAGTTCGGCGGTGAGGCTGGCAAGTGGTTTGACCCATGTTACCACCAGTTGTGTGACAACTTGGACAACCCAGACTATGGGGCCTGGGTGATCAACACCAAGTTGATTGCACACTCCGTTGCTACCTACGCCAAGAGTTTCGAGGGATTCCCTGAGAGAGAGGCACCTTCTGCAATGCTGATCTCCTCCACCAAGGTGAGTGACTCCTTCAAGTATCGTGGCCCTAACCTCATTATCTAAAAGTAGTACACCATTGACTCAATTGGTGAGCTGCTGTTAGTATTTAAAAGTTACTTTAATCGACTCTTGCTTCACATAAGTATCGCTATGCTTGCTCCATCTCGATTCATGCTCTCAATCTCTCGAATTTAAAGTCTCTGTATTCAATTGCTCTACACTTCTTTGAGAATCGAAGTTTCGTGACACTTTGTGTCTATTTGACTCTTTCAAAAAACCTAAGCTGTCAGACTTTTCTGTCACAATCAATCTGACTTCAATAGCTTTATCAGATTGACTCATTAGTCTCGATCTATCTGACTCCCTTGTCGCTATCTATCTATCTATCTATCTATCTGGCTCTTCGGTCTTTATCGTCGTCTGACTCCGATATCCTTACAGGGCTGCGAATCCCGTGTAGAAGTTCCTGAATGGGCCAAAAAGTGCGAACATTTCAGTTCTCTCCTATTCCATTCACAGTTGATGACCAACTATAATCATGGAAATTCAAGTGAAAAGTTACCCCATAACTTCTTTTGCAAGTGCAAGCACTAAGTTCGAACCAATTTTGATGCTGCAAACCATCTATAGCGCGTGGGGGAGCTGTGGGGGCACCACAAGATCACCTCCACCAAAAGAGTGTGGGGGACCGTCCCTCCACATAAGCAGCCCGTGGGGGCGCACAATATAAAAGTGAATTGACTTCCACTCAATGTCTCTTATCAAAAAAGCTTATATTCGTGGTTTTTCACAAGTAAGAATGACTGTTAGCAGACCTAAGATTCTCCAGCTCGGCCCATGGGAAAACTCGAAGCCTGAATGGGACAAGTTGGCACAGCACGCTGATATTATCAAATGTGAATCCAAGAACAGAGACGAATTCTTGCAAGACTTGAAGGATAAGTACTCCGATATCACCAACATCGCCAGAACCTTCCTGTCCATTGCACAAACAGGTCGCTTCGATGCGGAATTGGTGGAAGCCTTACCAAAGTCTGTGGTGCTGATCTCCCATTGTGGAGCAGGTTATGACCAGATCGATCCTGAACCCCTCACCAAGAGAAACATCCAATTGTCCAATGTTACGGAGCCTGTTGAGGCACCCACTGCATTGACGGCAGTCTACTTGACGTTGGCTGCTATGAGAAACTTCCAGAGAGGTCACGACTTGTTGGTTGAAGGTAAATGGCCAATTGGCAAGTGTGGAGGATCTCCTTTGGGATATGATCCTGAAGGAAAAGTTGTTGGAATCTTGGGTATGGGCGGAATTGGCAGAGCCATCCGCGACAGATTGGAACCTTTCGGTTTTGAGAAGATCATCTACTACAATAGAAAAAGATTGAGCCCTGAGTTGGAGAAGGGTGCTGAATACGTCACTTACGACGAGCTTTTGTCACAGAGTGACGTGATCATGGTCAGTGTTCCTTTGAACAAGAATACTCATCACTTGATCAATGCAGACAGCATTTCGAAGATGAAAGATGGTGTGATCATCGTGAACACAGCAAGAGGAGCAGTTATCGACGAAGCCGAGATCACTAAGGCCTTGAAGGATGGTAAGGTGGGCTCATTTGGCTCCGATGTGTTTGAGTATGAGCCGGAGGTATCGCCCGAGTTGTACAACTTGCCTAATGTGGTTTCGTTGCCACACATGGGAACACACACGTATCAGGCCATGAGAAACTTGGAGGTGTGGGTTGTCGAGAACATTCATCAGTACATTACCACCGGCAAGGTGAAAACGATTGTTCCAGAGCAAAGCGGTATTGACTTTGGCCACTCTGCCATGATCTAAAAGAAATCGATCCCCACAATCATAGCAAATGGCACAAGGTGTCATTGCTGATACACTGAAATTGAGCTAATTTAATTTGAGGACAGCAAGTAAGTAGCTATTTGGACCAGGAAGATTGAATATGTTATAACATCGAAATTGTGACCAGGAACAATTTTTCGGAGTTTTGGGTATAGGCTTGAACCAACTCTTCCAGTTTTGACTTTCAATGTATAGCGTGTGACTTATGTCTCAATGATAGACTAAAAACTCAATCAAAATACCGTAATACATACCTGATAATCCACTCGATTGTAATAATCCACTCAACTGTATAGTTAATATCGTCTCACATAAATAGTACAGGTCTCATGATGTGACTCGAAACTAAGTCAAATTTTTGACTCTTAGTCTTAATGCGACACTGATGTCATCATCACTCTGTATGCAAACCTTGAAACACTGGCCCAATTGTATCCAATCCGATTTCGTTGACATGACACATAATAATTGATTTCAAACTCAACAGAATTCTTGCCTTAATGGCCCTCTAGATATTTGTCTTCTTGCCTTTTCCTGTCAAAAAGAAAATGAAACGGCCCAAGTGAAGCCGCATTCGTAAATTTCCTTCGTATACACATGATGTACGGGTGTCTCTACCCCATGGTCCGTGATCGGACTAATACCATATTATGGAGCCAATGGAGGTTTCCGCTATGAATTGTCTTTTCTGTGTCATGAATTCACTAATGCATAGGCAAATCCTGTCAAGTCTCACCTGACTTTTCCAATTCCTTCAATTTCCCTCATCTTGTCCTTATCTCTGTAGGCATGTGAATACTGCATATGGTAAAGGGCTCCAAATAGAACTTCTCCATAATCCCATTGATATATGGTATTAACTTTTAAAACAACAGTACAAATCAATACATTTATCCCCACTAATTGCTAATTCTCGATTCTCTTTCTTTTATTCCAGCTTCTTGGCGTTAATTCCGTATTTTTCAACAGCCATCCAGTTTCCACACATACAGGACATACTCTGAAAAATTCTCGTGGCCCGAATAACCGGTATTAACAACTTCAACCACTCAGTCACCCTGGTTATCCTTGGATTCCATTCACACGCATCTTCGTTGTGACTTTTCACCTGGTTCTGTACTTGACACCATTGACTCTAGTGTTTTGGCCTTGCATTCTTCCTGATTTCACCCAATAATCCTTTCTCGGATCTTCTCCACGGTTGCTCTGGTTTCTACCACTTAATCTGTTAACAAAATGGCCGAACACCCCCATTTCATCACTACTGAACCACTCGAGGTGGACTATGAGGCACTTCCTGAGGATGCTAGCATTGTTGCCCATCTTTCAGCTGGTGCTTTCGCCGGAATTATGGAGCATACCGTCATGTACCCCATTGACTCTATCAAGACCAGAATGCAGATGATTGCCTCGGGTCAGCCTGCCAGTCGGTCAGTCATTCTGTCTATTAGTCGAATTTCTTCCAGTGAAGGTGCCTACGCTTTGTGGCGTGGTGTGTCTTCTGTCGTTTTGGGTGCTGGTCCTGCCCATGCCGTGTACTTTTCTGTTTTCGAAGCCACCAAGACCATGTTAGTTAATCGTGTCACAGGCTCCAGCAGCAACAAGATCGTCACCGACGAAACACATCCATTGATTGCCTCCGGTGCCGGAATTGCTGCTACTGTTGCATCCGATGCGTTGATGACTCCATTCGATGTCATTAAGCAAAGAATGCAGGTTGGAGAGAAGATTGTGGAGAAGGTCGTCAGCAGTGCTGCTTCTGCTTCTGCTTCTTCCACTGCCGCTTCTGGTGAGTCTTCTGCACCCGCTGCCTCCAATTCGGTCAAACTTTTCAAGACCGCTGCTTCCATCTATCGTCGAGAGGGTTTGAGTGCGTTCTTCATTTCGTACCCAACTACCTTGTTCACCAACATTCCGTTCGCAGCATTGAACTTCGGATTCTACGAGTACCTGTCATCTATCTTAAACCCAGAGAACACCTACAACCCATACTACCATTGTGTGTCGGGAGCCATTGCAGGAGGTATCGCAGCTGCTTTGACAAACCCATTGGATTGTATTAAAACCGCTTTGCAGACTCGAGGTATTTCTACCAACGAGTCATTAAGAAGCGTCAATGGATTCGTCAGCGCAGCCAAGGCATTGCACAAGCAGGGCGGTATGGCAGCCTTTAGTCGAGGCTTGAAGCCCAGAATTATCTTCAATGTGCCCTCCACAGCGATCTCATGGACGGCCTACGAAATGGCCAAGGAGATCTTGTTGAGAGATTAGACATACTTGTATATTAGACCACTGTATATATGGCAATGTAATTAACGTCAAGAGTATCGGTATTTTCTCATGGATAAACTAGCTATGTTTGGAGAGCTTCTGAGCCACGAACGAAAACATCACACAAGAGCCTAAGAACCCAAGGAGATTGAAGAAGGCCGCACGTGAATATGATCTTTCCTCTTCCTCAGTTCGAAACGACGTGAATATACGTCGAATGCTGGCCACGATCATAACAAGATGTAGTTGATGTTTGTAGAATTCTGAGTTGCATATAAGCCACCCAAACATCATATACCTGGAGAGAGCAGTTCGACTTAAGGAAATAATCTGTTAATGTAAAATTTAAAAGAGAATATTGGATATTTTTTTTAAAAGCGGTATAAGACTTCACACTCATGTTTGTGATGTTTATGCGTAGATATGCATTTTCATGTCTGGTATCAATAGAACTGGTCCAGAGTCTGAGAAGCGTTTGATGTCCACATTACATAGCTGTGACAATAATACTATTACACTTTGTGACAATTTCCTTACTGAAGAAATTCAGAACTCTTAAACAATATTTCTTTTTTTCCAATTCATAAAAAGAAACCTAACTCTCGACAATGATCGGTATCGGGTGCCATGGCCGCAAATTGCACTCAACAGCCTTTCCTCACATTGAAAGACCAACCATCCGCACCGCCTCCCATGCAACCCAATGGACTGCTTGATTTCTGATGGCGGTGCCCAGCGTAAATTTGTACGCTCAGGAAGCTCTCAAGAGCATACTTTCCTCCGAAGAGGTGGATGGAGAGAACCACCGAATTTCCCACCCGTTTTGGACATGTCCTGCCGCGTGCGAGATTCGCACCAGCTTAGTAGACGGGTATTTGCGGCATGCCGCGAGAAAGGTTGACCACTAGTCCGGAGACTAGCAATCCGGTACAAAGAGGCGAGGGTTCAACATACCGATTGGATCATACGGAAAAACCGGCGAAATATAAGAAAAGAAGGCCGTAAACACATTCTATCGTATATACCAAAGATCATTTGAACTCTAACCTTCCGAATCTTCAAAAGTTGCTCAAGAAGAGTCTAAAGGAACTCTATAAAGCTGTCGCTAGACAAACAAACATCTAATAGAAGTTTGTCAAATGAGAAACTTTCCGTGTTTGTTCCTTCCATTTTCAGATTATTTTCCTACTTTCGATAAGAATATGTTATCAGAGAATATCATTATCGACCCATATCGGTTTCTGCCGTTTTTGGATTGACCGTTATTGCCCGATCGTAAAATGTTGTCTGATTACCGGATTTTAATATCCGCAGCTCACTATGACACATTTCTACCGCTAATTAATCTCCGCTTCATTATATATCTTAAACCATCATCTGATAATCCACACTTACAACGATAATTCCACCATGTCTGAATACGTAATTGTTGGGTATGTCCAATTGATTTGTTCTGCTTTAAACATCTGTTTCTAACCTCAGTTCTGGTATCATAGGCTTGTACACTGGATACAAACTTCTAGAGTCTGGAGTGCCCGGTGAATCCATCACTGCTGTGGCAGAATTCTTACCTGGCGACGAGTCTATCAAATACACTTCTCCTTATGCGGGAGGAAATTTCTCCGGAATCACTGGTGATGATCCTGACTCGTTGAAGTTCGATAAGCACACTTACGAAAATTTGCCCAAGTTGCAAAAGCTTTTGGGTGGGCCCCTGTGTGGCTTAGATATGCTCCCAGCAACCGAAATCTGGGATAATGTCAAGTCGAAGAAAATTGACTCTTTGAAGCAGTATCTCAAGGACTACCAGGAAATTAAGCAAGAAGAATTGCCTGAGGGTGCCAAGTTTGGAGTAAAATTCACCACCTGGAACTTCAATTGTCCTAAGTTCTTGAGTAATGTCCAGAAATTCCTTCTTTCCAAGAAAGTCACTTTCATCCGTAAAAACTTGACCCATATAACTCAGGCATTCGGTCCTGCAACCAAATGTGTGTTCAATTGCACCGGAAATGGTGCCCGATTCCTTGGTGGAGTTCAGGACGCCAAAGTGTATCCTACAAGAGGACAGGTGGTTGTCATTAAGGCTCCTCACATCAATGAGAACATGATTAGATGGGGAGATAACTATGCCACCTACATAATCAAGAGACCATATTCACATGATCAGTTGATTCTTGGTGGTTTTCTCCAGAAAGACGACTGGACTCCAGATACTCTCTCTGAGCAAACAGAAGATATACTTTCCAGAACAACTACTCTATTGCCAAAGATTTTGAACCAGAATCCACATGGGCCAAACATTGAAGATTTGGAAATTGTGAGAGTGGTGGCTGGATTGCGTCCCAGCAGACATGGAGGTGTCAGAATTGAAAAAGAAGTGCTAGATGGAAAGTTGTTGATTCACAATTACGGTGCTGGAGGGTATGGATATCAGTCGGGTTTGGGAATGGCAGATAAAGCTGTGAAGTTAGCATTGGGCCAGAGTAAACTTTAAAGTCTGGAAAGCAAAAAATAAAAGGCGTATCATCCTTGAATTGAGTTGTACCTGTTCAGTGCCTGGATTTCGAAAATTTTCTCTGCTGTCAACAGTTATAACAGAAACAATGATATGTTTCTCCTTTATATTGGTCTCTGGATCACGAAACTTGAGTGAATGACTTCAAAACTCTTCTGGATGAAAATTACCGAACCTTACTCAAAGTTTTCACATAATTACTAGTCATGTATCATTTTTTTTCGATCATACGTTCGTTTTTGTTGAAATCGTATCATGGACCATTTTCGGTCTTTATCGTATTAGTACCCTTTTTCGGTCGCACCCCATGGCACGGGCAGATCCCGGCGTGTATAACAATGCACCAATCCGGCATCTAGAACTCAGAGGTTGTGTATGGGGACCTTTACATTATTTTTTGATCGACATGCACTTATCTTATCTTACAAACAGAGGGTGTTATAAAACCGACTAAGAGATGAAGCGTCCTAAGTTAACTCGTTCCCGTACTGGATGTGTGGCTTGTAAAAGAAAAAAGTATGTATTTGGCTTGATTTAGCGAGCCCCACAACTAACTCTTCAGGGTGAAATGCGATGAAACAAAACCATCTTGTCTAGCATGCCTCAAGAGGGATCTTCAATGTCAATGGCGGGAAGACACCACCCGTCAATACTCAAGAATCCGATTCAAGGTTAACGACATGAAGTGGTTGCAGAATCCCGAACTTCCGCAAGGTTGTGACAGTGATCCTGCGAGCGAAGGTTTCAACAATGCAACCATTGAATTCTTCAACGATCCCAATGTGGAGATCTATAACAATACGGAGGATTTGAATGTACAAATGGAGGAATTTGATAATGCCACCATAGGAGATTACAATAATTCAGCCAATCAGGTTTGCAACAACACAAAGTACATCGTATCCCCTGGAATGAACTTATCAGGATTGAATCCTCCTGGAACTGGAATGAATGGACTCCCAGTTTCTGGGATGAACTTGTCTCCGTTGATAGGATTTGATGTTTCCCAGTTTATGGAATCGGAAGCACTTCCACTTTCTCCAGAACAGTTTCCTTTGGTACCTAGTCCCTCGTTGCCCATTTCTCACCGCTTGTCACCACTGGAGATTGCATACTTTGACTACTTCCACAACAACGTATGCTCAAGGTTCTCCATCGTGCCGAACAAGATAAACACTTTTCTTCAGGCTCTTGTTCAACTCAGTATCACCGACCTGGCAGTATTGTATTGTCTCTTGGGTTGGGGGCAAATAATGAAAGATAGACATTTATCTAGAACGCCTCATTCCAGTAACTCTTGCACTTCTGAAAGTGAGTTTACTAGGAAGCTGTTGAGTATCCTTGCCAAAAGAGATAAGACTAATCCGAGTGAGTTGGTTCTGTTTCTATTCTGCTATGCCACATTGATGTGTATTGAAATCTCAGTTGGTGATACAGATGAATGGTCGTGGTACTTGACTCGCAGCTATAATCTCCTTAATACCATGGGAGGGTACAAAGTGTTGTCCAAATATTCTCATGAGGGGAAGGTATTGGCACAAAACTTTGCCTACTTTGATATCTTGGCCTCCCAGTCCAATGTCAATGGTACTTATTATCCTGTGGAAGACTACAATGAAATCTGCTGTGTTGGCGGCTCATATTCCATTGATTCTATGCAAGGCTGCATTCGTCCGCTCATTTTCATTCTTGGTGATGTAATTAACTTGATAGTTCAGTCAAAGAATATTGCCTCCAGTGAGGTCAATGATGAGAATTGGCACCTACACAATGACGTCCTAGTTAAAGCAAAAGAACTCGAAGATAGAATCGACAATGCTTGCATAGATGCATCTGACTTCAAGGTTTTATCTGAGAATGATGTGATTGAGAACCATTATACTTTGTTTGCGTTATATCAGATGGTCATTCAACTTTATTTGAAACATTCACTTCGACGCCTCCCCCCTGTCGTTCCAGAGATTCAACTCACTCTTCGAAAAGTTAACGAATGCTTGTTGTCCTTAATTGATACATCGTTAGCGCTGTCGTTGAGTTTTCCCTTGTTGATAGCTGGCATCAGTGCGGTGAGACAGTCTGACCGAGATGAAATTTTGCGTAAGATCAATTATATTGTGGAAAAACAAGAGTTTGACAATTTGACCAAAGTCAGGAGAGTTTTGAAAGAAGTGTGGAAGATCAATGCCGAAGGTTCGTTATGCGTTGACTGGTATAAGATTACTAAGAAGTTTGGGTGGAGATTAAACGCTGGAAGATAGCCAGTTTGCAGTTTTAAATACTGTTCCAAATCTTACTAGCAAACGATTCCTTTTTCTCCTCCTGAGTACTTTGTGAGCCCAAACTTTCGACATCTGTGTAGACCCCATCGGTCTCTTGGCGATCAGAAACAAAATCCATATGCTCGTAGCGGATCCACAGACTCTTTAAGTATAATTTGAAACCACCCCAGACAATAAAGAAAAATGGTATCATGATATAAACATCGACAAAATTACCAGCATTAAATGGAACGAACACGGACCAGCCCTGAACCAATGTCAACGCAATACCTAAAACAATACCGATGTAGTTAGCATATGGGTAAAAAGGAGCCTTGTAAGGAAGTTCATTGTCAGTTCTTCCCAGTTTGTACCATCCAGCTCTAAATCTAAGGTGAACAAAGATGATTCCGCTCCAAACGATAAAAGCACACAGACCAGCTAAATTGATGATGTATCCATAAGCCACCGAAGAACTGCTTTTGATGGATAGAATTGAGAGAAACCCAAAAAGATGGACGGTGTGCGTTGCAACCCATGGAACGCCTTGCGTGGTCACCTTAGAGAATACTTTAGGTGCATATCCATCGTCAGCCAATCTCTTGAGACTTCTGGCAGGATAATAGATAGCACTATTGATAGATGAAAGAGAGGTGATCAAAACAACAGTGGAGACGTAGAAACCAGCATTTTTCCATCCAGCATCTACTAAGGCAATAGTCATTGGAGATTTCATGGTCTTGTTGGATCCAGAGAGTCCTGGGTCGGTATAAGGAACCGTGATACCATATGAGATGATGATTCCAAAGTAGACATAGAAAATACGGACGACAGCTTGCCTTACAGCATTTTTCACTGCGGCCCTGACGTTTCTCAGTTCGGAGAACGTAACAGAAAGACTCTCAATTCCAGTATAGTAGACACCAGCATAGACGAATGAGTTGGCAATACCCTTGAAACCGCTATTCAAAGGGAAATTCTTGAATGGATTTCCGGGACTATGGCCTTTAATTCCACCAGCCGCATATATCACACTGAATAAGTAGAAGCCAGTAATGAACAGCAATTTGATAAAGGCAAGAATGTATTCGACTTCACCGAAGATATCCACACCAACCATCTGATAGATAGAAAATGCTCCCCACAAGATCAAGTAATAACCCCAAAGAGGAACTTTGTCACTGTAGAAACTCATCACTGATATAACGGATACATACTCCGCAATAAGACTACACACCCATAAGAAGACATAGTACCAGCCCATGGCAGCTCCAAAAGAAGGATCAACCCATCTCGAAGCATGTGTGTTGAAGTTGAAATCGAACAAACTATTCAATTCTCCGATGCAAAACATCATAATCATCACTAGCACTCCAACTATAGTGAACCCCACAATCAAACCAGCAGGCCCACCATCACGGAGAGCAGAACCCATTCCGATAAAAACTCCAGGCCCAACAATTCCAGCAAGAGCCATCATAGAAATATGTCTTGTCTTGAGCCCACGCTTGACTCCAGTATTGGGATCAAACTTGTGCCTGATTGCCTGAGACAGTTGGGTCTGCACCACAACCAATGCTTCTTTTTTGTCCATAAAAAATAGTTAGTTATTGATAGAACGACTAGAATTTAATCCGATTGGTATCTCATTTGGTTAAATATTATTATCGGATCGTTGATCTTCATTAATCCGATGGTTGCAATCTTTATCTTATCTATTGGTTTGTTGCGGTTAAAACCTTCCTAATTTGGTGATCCGGTCGTAGATTCTACAGCTTAAATATGTTATACCGGAATTGAAAACCAAGTAATCTAATCTCTTTTCATGACTTACCAAACATCAGCGGAGAGATTTGCAGATCTTGTCGCTACGGTTCCCATCGTTGACACTCATAATGATTTCCCATACTTAGTTCGCAGTCAGCTTCATTACGAGACAGAGAACGATGATCAATTCACTTTTGACACTGGCCTCACGTGTCATACAGATTTAGTCAAGCTCCGGAAAGGTGGAATTGGTATCCAATTTTTCAGCTGTTTCATCGAATGCAAAGATGAAGACCCATTGTACCAGGATTTCAACAAGGCTACTACCGTGGTGAGAGACACCATGGAGCAGATCGATTATGTACGCAGATTGGCTGAACGATACAATCATGATTTTTCCTACGTTAGTCAATCGTCTGATGCTATCAAAGCGTTCAAAGAAGACGGTAAAATGGCCCTCGCCATGGGTGTAGAAGGCTTACATCAGGTGGACACCTCGCTCGCAGTGTTGAGACAGTACTTTGAGCTAGGAGTAAGATACATTACTCTAACTCACAATTGCGACAACCCATTTGCTACTGCTGCTTCCTCTGTGTCGGGAGGACTCCCTGATCGTGGATTGTCTGACTATGGGAGGCAATGTGTTAGGGAAATGAATAGATTGGGTATGATGGTGGACCTCTCCCATGTTAGTGTGAAGACAATGACTGACGCATTGGAAGTGACTAAAGCACCGGTTATTTTCTCTCACTCTTCGGCGTATGCGGTGACTCCTCACCTTAGAAATGTTCCTGATCATGTCTTGTTGAAAGTGAAGGAAAATGGAGGAGTGGTATGTGTGAACTTCTTTCCTGAGTTCATCTATAGAACTAGCGACAAGGTAGCTACCATTGACGACGCCGTTGCACATATTTTGCACATTGCCAAGTTGATCGGTTGGGAACACGTGGGACTTGGCTCTGATTTCGATGGAATCCCAGAGGGTCCTAAAGGCTTAGAAGACGTTTCCAAGTATCCGGACTTGATTATGCAAGTAATGGAGCACTCGGATGCTACAGACAAACAGATTTCCATGTTGATGGGTGGAAATGTGTTGAGAGTTTGGCAAGAAAACGAGAGGATTGCACAAGAACTTCAAGGGGAAGGAGCCAAACTCATCGATGATAATTGGCCCGATAGAGAATGGAAGTTTTTTGATTATGTCGAGGAATTTCCTGAGGTCTATCCTGGTTCTTTCCAAAAGAAAAAGAATGTGTACACGAGCCAGCCGTTGGATGCTTGCGAAGGTCAGAAGAAATAGAGTGTGTAGGTTTTATTAAGTTGAAATCGCTTCCACAATATTTCTAATGTGTAGAATGTTAGCCTTTAGATACACTTAGGGTTCAAGAAGAAGAATCAAAAAAAAAAAACGACGACCCCGGTGAGGATCGAACTCACGATCTCAAGATTAACAGTCTTACGCCTTAACCAGCTTGGCCACGGAGTCGCTTTTCCTGTTTAGAATCTATATTCAATACAGTACAAAACTTTTTTAAAGTGCCAATACTGCACATTAAGGCCATGCTTCTCAGCCTGGTCCCTGATATAGTACCCAATATACAAATGTTTCAAAAAAAAAAAAAGGTGAGTTACATAAGTAAACGACTTAATATCAGTACAAGTGGCGAGATTTAAATATCATATAGAATCAAGAATTACGGTCAATAAGGAATATTAATATGAATATGGCTAGAATATTGATGACAACGGCAATCTATGCAATGGGAGCTGTAGCAATTAGAGCTATGAGAGATGATTGTATGGGAATGCCAAGAGAAATCACGTACGTTAACGCTGCAGCCGTGATGAACATGTCTGCCTTTTCAGAGTGTGTTAATATGCCAAGTGATAATATAACGGTGCTGATGGATGAGAATGGGCGGTATATAATATACCCCTCTAAGCCAATTGATGGCTTCGACTACGAAGAATGGTTCAACTGTTTGGAAGAGCAAGAAGCTGATCACATAGTTAGTGTGACGGATGGCACGTACGTCAATGATTTACAAGAAGTAGATACAGAGTGTGAAGTAATCCTAGTAACTGCAGTCATACCTGTGGCAAGTAATGTTACTAGTTATGGAAAACGAAACTGCTGCAGTGGTATATCATGGAATCTTTGATACTAAAGGGTGTGGATATAACAAGAATGCGGGTTACGGAAATTATTGGCCGAGTGTATGCCTAACAGTGTCATCTAGTGCTAAGAAGGGCTTAGAGGGATGGAATTATACTGGTAGAAAAGTAAGGTTTGGCGGTTGTCCACATCATGACTGTAGAAGCGGTTGCAGATTGAGGACGAGGATGGCAGCGTTCCAACACCGCTATTTAAGCAGCTACACTAACAGGTCTATGATTACATATGTAGTCCATGATATAGAACCTAGTAAACGTTATTTAAAAAAAAGCACATGAAGTAGACTTCCAAGCAAAAGTTACCGAGTTTAGAATCCAATTATTAACTCTGTGACATGAAACACATAGCTTAATTGAGTAAGAAAATGAAATGAAATTGATGTCCATATTCCTCTTTCAAAAACAATAGTGAAAATCTTGTAAAGCATCGTTAACTTCCAGGATTACTCGAAACGCTCCGTAATTTTACCATTCTGCTTTCACTATGTCTTTTATCGGAATAGACGGGTTATGCTTTTTTAATATTTTGAGGCATTAGGAAATAACGTCAGATTCTGGATAACTACGCTTGGGCAACGATCATGAATTTGCCCGTAGCACCATATTGCCGCAAAAAGAAGCGTGAATCCTATCATCTGATGTGTGATAGCTCCGTCCCTAAACAAAATAAAAATCCCCCGGATACTATCATCTGATACAGATGATGCGAGTTTCGTCCGCTTTATATCGGAGACTACCTTGAAAAGTCCGATTAGGCTCCGGGTCCGAAAAATTGCCACTCAAAATCCTTCTTTCGGAACTTCGGAGTTAACAGGAATGGAATACGGATCCGTCAGACCCCGAAGCAATCAGGGTCCACATTGATATAAAAATGGACTTTGTCCGGAGTGTAATCATTCAATTTCAAAAATCATAAACACAAATCACAAACACAATGAAGGTTTTTATCACTGGAGGCTCCGGATACATTGGTTCAGTTGTTGTTCCTCTTCTTCTTGATGCAGGACACTCTGTATTGGCACTTGCTAGATCGCCAGAATCGGCTGCTAAATTGAATGCTTTTGAGAATGTTGAAGTAGTGCAAGGAGATTTGAATGACGTTGAAGTCTTGAAAGAAGCTGCTTCTCGGAGTGATGCTGTGATCCATTTGGGCTTTAACCACGACTTTGCTAACTTCGCTAAGAGTGCTCAGACTGATTTGGACGCCATTAAGGCCATCGGAGAGGTGTTGGCAGGAACAGGAAAGGCATTCATTGGAACGAGCGGCACAGGAGTTGCCATAGGCGTTCCAGGTGTATTGAAGGAAGACTTCCGCCCGTCCAACACCATGATTCCCAGAGTTGAGCTGGAGAAGGTCCTTTTGGCTTTGAAGGACGTTGGTGTCAGGTCCCTGGTGGTGAGGTTGCCATTTACCGTGCATGGACCAGGTAAAAAGGGTTTCATTCCTACTTACGTGGAAATTCTGAAGAGCTTGGGAGCTGCTGAATATGTAGGAGACGGCAACAACAAGTGGCCCGCCGTGAACTTGGCTGATGCTGCTCTGTTGTATAAGCTCGTGTTGGAAAAAGGTACTGCTGGATCCATTTATCACGGGATTGGGGAGCAGGGAATTCCATTCAAGGATATTGCCGCCGAGGTAGCCAAGGGATTGAACGTTCACACCAAGTCCATTCTGAATGCGCAGGCCCAAGAAGATTACCTGTGGTTGGCAATGTTTGTCCTGGCCGATGTTCAGGCACTGAGTGAAGCCACCCAGAAGGAGTTGGGTTGGAAGCCGGTGCATGGTGGCTTGTTTGAAGATATTAAGGTGTATACGTCTTAGATATGGAAGAAGGGCAGAGAGCATTTGAATTTACGAATAATGCACCTATCGAATAACCTAATAATGTAGCAGAACATTTGAGACGACCGTGTAACAAGTTAGAGGGCTGACAGAACTAATATAAAGTAGACTTGATATCAAAGTTCCACTAATTCTGAGTTAGCAGAACAATTTGAAAGGCTCACAACGATATCCAGGCATACAGACCAGTGAGCACAACCCAATAGATGCCCATGATATTAGCCAAATACAAAGGAATAACATGTTACATGTACAATAATTTCCTTCACGTTGTGAAACCCAGATTGATGTCAATAATAGCCGACTAACATACTGACCACTTTAGCCCTGACCAAACTAGACTTCCTATTCTGGGAATTGAGTCGGGCCAGCAAGATGCCGGCCAACTTCCGGCTAGCCAGGTCACCAATTTTGATTTTGAAGTCTTGACAGCTGCTCTTCCTATATTCTCATTCCATTTTCTTTCCATTTTAATTTTCTCCCATTTCTGAACTCTCCGCAGATTTTCTACTTCCATTCCCTCTTCACCATCTCGGAACGGAACTTTCGGCTGGATACACACCAAAACACACCAAAACACATCAACAATATCAAAACACGCTCCTTCTGTTGCTACTCACCACAATGAACAAGTTCTCTTCGCCAGAGAAACATGCTCGCCATGGCACGTTCATGCGGTTCCTCGTCATTCTCAGCAGTGCGATTGGGTCTTTTTTGTTCGTGGTTGTCTTGAGTATAGGTGCATCCATATATCATCTTAGAGATGTGGTTTCCGGGAGAGAGAAGCTGAATGCTCCTAAAAAGGAGAATGACGTTGAAAACTACACGGTGCGCCAGCCGTACCCCGACATGAAGAATTTGAAGATCACCAATTCGTTGCGTTATTACGCTTTGCAACTAGGACTCGATCTTGAAGAGTATAACATTACCACCGGTGATGGTTATGTGCTTACCTTGCACCATCTTATCGATCCTAAGGACACACCGGCTGTTCGTCATGCAAAGAAACCAGTCTTGTTACAGCATGGGCTTCTATCTTGCTCAGGTGCATGGTTGGCTCCTGGCCAGAACTCATTACCATTTTATTTCATGCATCAGGGTTACGATGTATGGATGGGAAACAACCGGTGTGGGTTTGAACCTAGGCACACGTACTACGAAGGGAATCTCATGCACAACGAGGAATTCTGGGACTGGGATGTCCGTGCACTTGCTACCTACGACTTACCATGCATCATCGATAATGTGTTGATCCACTCAGCCCACGATAAGCTCTTCTTGGTGGGCCATCTGCAAGGATGCACTCAGACTTTCGTGATGTTGCGTAATCCCGACTTTAAGGAGCATCATCGCAAAATCGAACATTTTTTCGCTTTGGCTCCAGCCGTGTTCCCTGGTTCTCTCTTTCACGACCGTTCATTTATCAAGTTCATCCACCACAGGAGTCCTAAGGCATACCACGCCTTTTTTGGCTCTTGCTGTTTTATTAGAATTCTTGGCTTTTTCCGCAAGTGGATTGGAAAGACGAAGATGTTCAGTGTTCTCTCCTACCAGTTATTCAAGTACTTGTTTGGATGGAATATCAACAACTGCCATCCAGATAAGAAAGTTTTACATATTCAATTTCTCTTCAACGTGACCTACATCAGCTCTAGGCTCATGTCGTGGTGGCTTTCGTATTCTGTCAAAGAAGGTTTCTCCAACCAACTCCAGCCAAAGTCTGCGTACAAGGATGGTTCAAACTTTGCATTTACGCCAGTCCCTACTAAGGAAGAAACTAGTGTTACAGGCGAGGAAACACCTCAGGCTTCCCCCAACGCAGAAAAACTTTCCGAACTTCTGCCTGAAATGGATGCTGATGCCTTGGATGTGCCCTTGCCAATAGACGACTCGGAAACTTTCTTTCCATACAAGCAAGAGTGGTTCAATTTCAATAAACAGGAGGAGATTGTACCTATGATCATTTTCCCGTGTGGTGAAGATTACTTGGTGGACGGTCAGAGATTAGCCACTCACATGAGACATTACGAAAGACGGTTCTACAAGGAAGGAGTTAACCTCGATGTGGTGGATTTGCCAGACTACAACCATCTTGACGTTATCTGGTCACTGAACACCATTGGTAAGATCGGCATGGTCATTCACGATAAGATCCAGTCTTTGAACTAACGGATGAGACTTTGACTAATATAATAATACATTAACATGACGTTCGCTTAGCTACTTGCTCCTCCGCTAAGTCCAACGCATTGAATATATGGGCCCAGTAAAACTGACTGTTTAAGCTGAGCGCAATGTAGACACCTCCATCTTCTTTGTATAAGGGATCTAAGTTGCCGTTTTCTATAATTGTTTCCCCCGAATGCTCCCCTAAATCAACATGCAACTTCCTCTGTAAGTAATGAAAGTCAAAGGCGTCCGCAAACTTGGCCAATCTTGGAGTATTCAAGGCCACCATGGCTAGGACGGAAAACACCGCCAATGGATCGTGAACTGGAGGCCCAATGTAGTTGTTATACTTTTCTTTATAAGCATTGAAATAAAAGGTCAAAATGTTGTAAAATAGGTTGCGGATGGGTGAGTTCTTGTTGGATTTTTCTTCGTAGATGCTCAGACGAACCTCTTCGGTCGCCAACACCGTATGGGTGAAATTCAATGGGCATAAGATGATCTTGTTGGCCAATTGAGGCGTCAGAAAAACAATTGATGCCGCGTGAGGGTCACAGTGGAGGTTGAACTCGGTATACGGCGTGATGTTGCCGGTTTGAATGGCTCCACCCATGATGGAAACGTACCGAATCTTGGAGATAACCAGTGGGTACTTTTTGATGAGTTTGGCAAAATTGGTCAAGGTGCCGGTACATATTATGCAAATTTGACCCTCGTACTGTTCAATTGCTTCTTTCATTGCCTCTAGATAACCTGTTTTGTTGACGTTTATCCGTGGGTTCTTGGGCAAGGTAACTCCACCGATTCCACTTTCACCATGGACGTCTTCGGCATGAATAGCTTTGATCTGTAGCGGATGCTCGGAGCCAGAGAAGACAGGGATCTCATTCTGGCGAAATCCTAACACATCGAGCAAAGCGGCAGCGTTCCGAGACGTTTTCTCAAGCAGAACATTTCCATGCACAGTTGATATGCCTAGTAAGTGGAAATATGGACAGAAGGACGCAAGCAAAATGGCAAAGGCGTCATCGTTGCCAGGATCGCAGTCTAGCCATATGGGCACATTTATATCTGGAATTGGCTCTAACAAATGCATTCTTGATAGTCAAAGACGTGGGGAATCCAAAGGTTTATATATATTCGCATAATTAGATGCGGCACTGAAAATGCCAACCTCTGAGGAAGACAGGATCGCAATTCTGTGGCATGGATATTGGTAAGTGCAAGTGGGGATTTCTTCCGGCAATATCCGATTCGATGATGACATGAGCATGTTTAGCCTTTCTAATTGGTGAATCTCAACGTTGATATTCTTGGAGAGTTTGGTTCGGTCCACATGTACCCCACAATTCGCAGAATGACATAAAGGTCATCTAGAGGCGAGAATGACCAAGAATACGAAGGTAGGCAGTCATGGATCGGAATACTGCGTTGGGAAATGGCCGGAAAAATGATGCTAGAGGAGAAACAGTGACTATGGGCAGAAAAGTTTGGCAGTTTAGAGAGCTGGTGATTATTGTCAAGCAAGAGGCAGACCCAAGACTTAGACCCAGTATAGAGATCTCGTATGCAAAGCTTGAAGACCGAGTTGGCAAGTCAGGGTTATCTTACAGAGTTAGTGAACGAGCTGAAAAGAGGATGTTTATACAATGTGTCGGGACCCATTGAGAGGAACTATATATATCCTCCTCTCCAAATTACTAATAACGTATGGACAAGAACATTGATCATTCGCAACGGTGCGGTCCGGAAATGGGTCACTTCCGTGTTTCTCGACTTTTCTTCCATTTTCGTTACTTTAATTACTTATTCTCGACTTCCGTGCTGAAAATCATCTACCCGTACATCTTCCCTTCTTTATTCTCTTCTGTATTTCTCTCGCTACTGCTCTAATCTCTTCAACCAACCTTATTCGCTTACAAGTCTGCACCCTCCTCTTCAACAGGAACACTGAATGCACCGGCCAAAAACACAGCAGGCTCTTCAATGTTATGGTGCTGGTAGCTCAACACTCCTACTCCTCCAGCATCCAACATAAATTGGGGTTAATGTTGATTGGTCTATCCACCCATCTGGCAGCGAAACATCTCAAGATATGGCCATGGGCCACCACTATCACATCACATGCAACATTGTTCTTGAATGCCTGTGCATGCACTTCTCTGATGCGTTCAATGGCCTTGTCCACTCTCTCGGTCACCTGTTTATAATCCTCACCTCCCTCACATCCATAACCCCAAATATTCCAGTCGTCCGTATGGCCTCTCTGCTTGCGCAAATCAAGAATCTGGGACGTGAGAAGCCCTTCATAGTCGCCATACTCCCATTCTCTCAAGTTGTTCTCCTCCTCAATAGGAATCTTGGATCTGGTCAAATCGTCCACACCTTCCAATAATAATTGAACAGTCTGTTTTGCTCTGGTACGAGGTGAGGTCAAAACCAACTTCAAATTCTGTGGCTTCACGATTTGGAAAGGTGAAGCGCCAATTAAGTGCTTACCAGTGTTTCTCATCTGGACAACTCCGAATGGAGTGAGCTCCAAGTCGGTGATGGAGGTGTACTGGCCCGATTTGGACCATTCTGTCTGGCCGTGACGGACAAAAATCACTCTTGGTGTAGGAGCCTTTGCCATTGTAGGGTTTAGAAGACCTTTTGGTTTTTTCCACGATAATAAATTCACCGGAAGATACTAGCTTCAATTTATAGGTTTGCTGATGTATATGCACATACACTTCCCGGGAGTGCACAACCCATCAAAAAAAAAGACCAATAACACATTTTGAGAAGGTCACAGTGTAACAATGTCGGTTAAGGCGGAAATCACTGAGAAGATCCTCTCACTTGTGCGTACGCTTCCTAAGGACAGAATCGCCCATTACGCATCGTTCAAGGATGTGCAGTTGGAGAGATTTCTGAACAAGGAAGTGGTGGACACCATCTCGGAGAAAGACTTGAAGTTGCAATATTTCTCCTTGAGGGACTTGGTGAATGACAAGTACAAGAACTACTACAAACTTGATGACAAGATGTTGAAGCCTAAGGGTAATCCTCAGTACTATGAGAGACTTATGGCTGATCTTAAGGGTGAGAAGAAGGAGACTTTTGGCAGTGCCATGAGAACGGTTGTATTTGGTAAATAATGTATATAGCAATAGATAATGGATAGGAAAAGTGTCGGAAACGGAGAAGTGTAGGGTAATGAGAGGTTTAGGGTGAGGAGAAGTGTAAGGTTGTGAAGAAGAAGTGGAGGTTCTGGAGGTGAACACCATCAGGAAGTGCAGAGGTGAAATTTGCTTGAAAGAATTGGGAGTGAGAAGATGAGATGATATTAGTTCGTTTATATTGTGTTGAATGTAAAAAAAAACCGGTAGAATGAAAGATCTTGCCGAATGAAGTAGAAGTTAAAGAACCTTGGAATTTACGAAGGATCATACTCTCAGGGATTCTCAAGCTCCAAGAAATTGACTACAATATTCAAATAAAACTCAGTGCTTCATATCTGGACATAGAGACATACACATGTACATATCCGAAGTTACCGTTTTTTGTGTCAACAATACTAACCATACCCATATTTCATGCCTCTCTCTTGTTTCTCCATTTCTTCGTAGCTCAATATGGCAGGTGCTAGGCGGGATAAAAATTCGTAAATGTGATCAACATCTTCCCGTAAAGTTACTCTCCACGGGTAATTGTTTCTACATTAACTACACAAGCAGAATTTTTCTCTACATCTCTCTATACTAGTTGGCATCTTCAAATGACGCAGTATAATACCCAAAGTCCTTGTGCCACACAGGATTGAATCATTGGGACTGTTCTGACATAACATGACGTGAAGCCACAAATATCTCCTTAAGACAATGAAATCAAAAATTTGATCTCCTTAATATCATTGAAACCGACTATGGCTAAAGGAATGTTCGGAAATTCTCAAAATCTCGATATTCATAACTGCTTTCTCCGAGTTCGCAGCCATCGCCGAAATGGCCACCTGGACAATACGTTGACGACTCAGATCTAAATGGTCCAAAATTAATGAAAATATCAAAAATTCCAAGGATCCTCAATTTCCATAATCCGGAATTCCATTCCAACCTTTCAAATCTATCACCTAAAGAAATGACACTCTTCTCCAATGTCGGCCATTGCCCCACCATTCCGGCATTGTCGCATCTTTTCTGAGCTCGTGGCATTTTCAATAATTTACAAGTTACAGCCACATGGCTTCGCTAGGAAGATCTCGTATAGTCCAGGGACTAGTGGCGCTTTTGGCGCTTGTGGGTCTATACTACTTTGTTTTTGGCAAAAAACTGGCTGACTCCTTCTCGCCAGAGGAGATCAATGATATGCTCCAGAATAAGGCAGACCTAGTCAAAGTGAAGAAGGTGGAACTTCCCATGGTCGGGCTCCAGAAGCCGTATGTGGATAGAACATCACTTCGATCGCCCAATTGGGATTTCAGCGGTGACATTCTAGTGAGGAAGGACTACGTTCGTCTTATTTCCCAGAAGAAACATATGGTGGGTAATATGTTTGCAAGACTTCCCATTCAGGCTGAATCTTTTGAAATGGAGCTCACATTCCACATCCACAGTACGTCTGCCGCAGCTTTGTCAGCAGATGGAATGGCAATTTGGTTTGTGAACGAGCCATCCCCCATTGGAGATGTCTTTGGTGCCAAAAACTTGTTCAAAGGCTTGGGTATTTTCATAGATACCTACAAAAACGGCAAGAAGGGAAATTTCCCTTATGTTGGAGCTATGCTTGGTGATGGAAGAACGGCCTACAACAAGTACAACGATGGTATGGATACCATGATCACGGGATGCACTGCCAAATCCATCTTGAACCCCGGATCACATCTGACCCGGATGCGTATCATCCACACGAAGAACGGATACTTGTCTGTAGACTTCAACTACAATCCTCAGAGAGCTGACGACTGGCATAACTGCTTCACGTTATCCGATATTCATCTTCCTCCTGTCAAGTACTTGGGACTCACTGGAGAGACCGGAGAGTTGACTGAGAATATCGACATCATCGAGAACAAAGTTTATGCTTTGTTCAATCCAGAGACAGATGACTACATCGAGTCGGTGGAGCTGTTGGAATCATTGATGGAAAATCAGTTGGATGAGTCAGAGAAGCAGGTGGACTCGACCCGTCCACGTCAGCGTACCAGAAAGTCGGTGGTGAGGTTGAGAAACGCAGAAAGAAGACTCAAAGAGAGAGAGAAGGAATTGAGAATGCAGAAATACGGCGATCCAGACGCAACTTTCCCAGTAAGAATGTGGAGGATGGCAATGACCATAGCCAAGTATTTTATTTACCTTGTGTTGGTAGTTTTGATCTTGTGGGTGGCTCACATTGTCTACAGAACACGCAAGCAGCAGAGGAGGTCCAGAACGACTGGTCTCTTAGATTAAAAATACATGTACATGAAAGTTTTCGACACTGTGTATCGAGTTAAATGCGTGGCGGCTTAGTTCTTCCTCTTTCTTACCTGCTTCTTTGACTCCTTCTCATGGACGACCTCGATTGTGTTGTCCAATTCTAGTTCGTAAGACGCTCTGAAGATACCAAAAAACTTCATCACGGTGCCCACAGACATGATATTGAGCAAAGACTCAGTTTTCTTTTCAGGAAAAAATGGATCGATGGCAGTGGACCTCTTGATCTCGTGGAATCCGTTGCTCTCATAGAGCTTGGTCAACACTTTGTCACAGGTGTACGCATCGGCTTGAATAATGATTTTGATATTCGACGTTTTGAGATTCATGTCCTTAACATAGCGAGTACAAAGTTCTCTGGCCTTCTCTTTAGCAATCATTAACAATTCTTCCTGGAGGCCCGATTCACGATACACTTTTCTGACGTGCAAGCCGGAAATTTTGGCATAAAAGACGTCGTTAGTGGAGGCATCTGGAACGGGAATCACGGTTACCACTGCAATTGGCGAGCCGCGGTACTCGATAAAGTCGGTAGAGTGCGAGGCACTGCTGAGGAAAGGCAATGCTGATTTGGTTGAAAAGTCCTTCTCTTCGGCATTGGCATAGACCTTCAATGGAAATCTGAAAAGCTTCAGCATGTACTTTTCGGTGGCTAAGCCATCACTGATCAATCTGAACTCATCTGTGATCATGAAACTAGCTGTACCTAAGGTTCCAGCAATGAAAAGAAGCACCGGGAAGAATTTGGTCAAGAGAAACTTATTATTCTTGAACAAATGAATAAATTCTCCAACGGAGTCTGACATTGAGAAAAGATCGCCGTACACGTAGAAGAGGGCAGCAGTCAAGATAGATAAGACAAAAGTACGAGCCACAGGATGCCAAACGATGTGGCTATTCGATATACTCTGAAGCTGACGATAGTAATCACCGTGCAAAGTGAGAGCAGCAGTGGCTAGCAGAGGCTGTAAGGGCACTCTGCGAATGGTGGACTCTGCATCCTTATCCAAGGGTTCGTGGAGGTTCAAGTCTGTCTGCTCAACCATAATTGAAGATTCTACCTATTTTTTTTTGGGATGAGGCGGCGAAGAGATGGCAGTTGGCTGAAGCTTTATAGGATTATGTGTAGGCTTGATATTATCGCACGTGGGTCTATACTGGAAACGGCAGGATAATGATGGAAGAGAATGGAAGAGACGAGCTGAGGTATTGAGGAGTGCTCTTTTAATTCTGATTTTTTTTTTTTATTATTTGTATCTGTGTGAATCTATGGTAACTTATGAAATGTGAGAAATGAAATTTAGCTTGGATAAAATTTGACACATTTGACAGGCATTGAGAATCTTTGTCCTAAGCTGTCAGATGGGCGAAAAAAAAGGAAATTGACACAAGTATGGCAAAGGACAAATTTGAATGAGAACGAAAAACATGAAAAAAAATCGCCATAAAAGAAAAATTGACAACGAGAGAGGATTAAGATTTAAAAACTGTAGAAAATTTTATGGGCTTCGTCCAATGGTAATAATGTGGATCGAGTAAACATCAAGCGTATTAAACGGGTGAGCATTAAGTATAATTCCATCAGATCAAGCAGGAACAAAACTTGAAGGTTAGTGCGGAATTTAGAATACGAAGTTCGATACGAATTGCATTAGTTCAGTAGTCATCGAAGAACCTATGATTGTCATATGAATGATAACATAAGGCCATTGACTTCAGAACAGATCCATTCCAGCCAGAAGAGCACTCAACTAGAAATTATTAGTTTAACAAGATTATAGTAATCTGGCGCAGATCAACGATGAACCTTGTTCTTTCTGGCAAAGAATGGTACATTAGAGCGGAAAAACGGATGCCAGACCAGTGTTCCTTCATAATTTGTTTGTCTCACATGAACGAGGATGAGTCTACGGAAAATTATTCACCCTGAGAATTACTTCCTCCGCTAATACTGACTGTGAACCAAATTCCATATACCTTCAAACTCTGTTTCAATTTTGGTGCCTCGTTGTGATTCCAAGACCTGTCTATTAATCTAAAGTTCAACATTCAATACGGAATTTTGTCGGCCCAGTCCCTAGGTCTCCACAGTCACCTCATTAGGCACATTATCCTAACAGAAGGTAGCCACAAATCGGTCAAATTTTAATCACTCCACACTGAAAATCAATGATAAAGACGGGAATCTATACGTTTGACTGATCCAGTACTCTGAAGTTCCAAAATCATAATCTAATAAAATATCTCTACCACTGGTTGCAAAATCGCATCATCATGATTCTCCAAGCGTACCAATCAGAATTACACCAAAAGAACAAATTCCGTCCCAATTCCACATCACCAAGCCATTCCCAATAAAAAATATCACCATAGGACCTCATGGCCTGTCTCGCCATACTTGCTTCTGTCGTGGATCCCTGTATGTTCTTCTCCGATGTGGACGCACTTCCATAGTTAGATATCTAATAGTGTGGCGCGATCCACAGTTTTGCAACTACAAATCGGCCCCATGATCTCGACTTTACAACTTAGCCAAAAGTTTCACCGATGCCTACACGTGCGTATTCAGACTTCTCATTCGGGCCAGAGGACCCTGTAGCGGTGAAAAATGTCAAGAAAGTAGCCATCATCGGTGGTGGTGCCTCGGGTGCCATTACTTTGGACTCATTGGTGGCAGAGAACACCTTTGACGAAATCGTTTTATATGAAAGGAGAGACGTACTCGGAGGAATTTGGGTCTTGGATCTGGATCCCATTAAGACCCCAGCCGACATCGTCAAGCCAGGCCGCTTGAGCAGAGACATTGATCCTCCATTGAAAAATCCATTTGCTGATGGCTATACCGATAGTAGAATCAGGAGCTTGTGGACAAAACAGGAAAGATTCGAGCAAACACCCGCCTATGATGGCATGGCAACCAATATTATAGAGAAGCTCATGACTTTCAGCGACCAGAAGCAGTGGCTCCCTGAAGGTAACAATAAATACGTGGACAGATCGGCGGTGAGGGACTACATTGACAGATATATCTCAAGGAACAAGGACAAAGAGAACGTGAAGCTTGTGCTTGGAACCACCGTGGAGGATTTGGAGAAAGTGGCTCCTCGTGCTGATAGCGATCTTCCTTACCTGTTCAAGCTCACCTTGAGACGCCGCTTACAGGACGGAACAGATGAGTGGTTCCAGAATACGTTTGATGCAGTTATTGTGACTGTGGGCCACTATCATATACCCTTCATTCCTGAGGTTCCGGGCTTGAAGGAGTTCCAGGAAGAGCGCCCACATGCCATTCAGCATGCAAAGTTCTTTAGAAACGCAGTGCCATATACGAACAAAACGGTACTTGTTATTGGTTCTAGAGCCCTGGGAGCTGATTTGACCAAGTTTTCTGCAGATACAGCCGTTGAAGTATACCAGCTGATCCGGAATGTGGAAGGCACCAGACGGTTCTCCAGAAAAAGTAATGTGACGTTCAAGCCTATTGTTACCAGGTACGAGAAAACTGACAAAGGTTTCAATGCTGTATTTTCTGACGGAACGGTGCTTGAAAACCCCGATGTGGTTGTATATGCTACTGGTTATCAATTTCTGTATCCATTTTTGGTGCGTTCTCTTGGAGATATTACACTTGACGGAAGAATTGTTCCTGACTTGTACCAGCACACATTTTTGGTTAAAGATCCACTTATTACGTTTGTTGGTGTGCCTACAGATGCCATTTCTTTCCGTGCCTTCGAGTACCAGGCTATTTTGACTGCTCGGTACTTGGCAGGAAAAGTAGCGCTTCCTCCTCTTTCTGAGCAGAGAAAATGGCTTGAAGATAGATTCAATGAAAAGGGAGCGACGAGAGCGTACCATACTATTGGAGCCTTGGACGCTTTGGATTACGTGAAAACACTCCTGGAGTTGGGGACCATTAAAGATGTGTCCATAGCCCCAGGAAGAGAGTTCCCAGAGTTGTCTATTGACGAGATTGAGGAATACACGGCTGCCGGAGCCATTCTCAGGGAATTCTGGGATGCTCCCCGTATACCTGAATAATTTTGTGACCATATAGAGAATATAAAGATAAGTTTAAACGTTAAAAAAAATTTAGAAGGTAAAGCACCAAAAAAGACAAGCTAGCGCAGCCAGGTTTCGATCCTGGGACATCAGGGTTATGAGCCCTGCGCGCTTCCACTGCGCCACTGCGCTTGTTTGATGAGTGAATAATATTATTTGGTTGACTATAGAGTATAGAATAAGATATCTTCTGAAATCTCCCGGAATCTTGCCTATCAAGTACCATAACATTTAAATATAACCGGATTTATTAATTTGAGTAATACTGAAAGTTATGACAAGGATTATGGTGTTTCATTTCAATCCCACACGAAGGGCAGAACAATGAGCATGCAGTGAGACATTATCCCTGGCATCAAGCTATGAATAATATTCAAAAAGTAAGAACAGAAGTCTAAACTTATGATATAAAAACATGCAGTTTCATTGGCACTTTTTAAGTCATTTCCGTGTTGTTCATTTGGAAGTGGGATGGAGTCACTGAAAATCTTGATAGTACTAGTGCGCCATTGAAATCTTCAGGAAAATCAACTCAACTTTGGTCTGCATTCAAATCTATAAAGTCGGTCACCAAGATCGATCGAAAACTGCTTGATGCCTTGATCGTGTCATAATTATCATAGATGTGCTCTAGAGTTTTTCCGGCGTAACCGATAATCTTCTCGTCTCTGTCATGGATAAGCCAATAGTCATCTACAATTGTTCGTCAATATTAATCGAATCATTATATACAGCTCTTAAGCATCTTCTGGAGAAGAATCCACTCCATCTCCATCTTCGAGCGCTCACATTTCGCTCATTGGTCCAGTACGACCTTTGGCCCATGGCTGGCATGGTAACTGGTTCAGCATTGGTGCTCACTAACTCAGTGGTGCTGCTTCAAGGGCTCAACGACGAGCTTATCGAAAGTGAACATCTGAGAAATGGTACTTTGTCTCTTCAACATGGCCAAGTTGTTGATTCCCTCGTTGAAGAAGGTGGTGATCTTCTCTTCATCGGCCTCATTCTTGTGCTGCTTGAATGCGTCATGGATTCTTCTCTTGGAATATTCTCTGAAGTTGTAGTTGTCAAACTTGTAAGCATTAGCCAAGAGCTGCTTGTACAAGCCGAGGACCTGTTTGGAGTTTGGTGCCATCTTTGATGAAAGGTGTGTAATGTATTTAGATGTCTGGAGTAATGAACTTTGTCATCATAGTCATGTGCAGGACTGGACAGAGATCGGACCAAATTGACTGGGGTTAACCATTTAATTAGTGTACGTGGAGCTTTCAAATTATTTATTTGCTGCCTTCTAATTGGTAATCGAAATTTTTTTGTCATGCTCCTTTACTAGAAGAAATGAAGCAATTGGGGTTAGTCTCTATTAGAGGTTCCTACTTGTTATGGACCTTCCAATAATAAACCACAGTGTTTGTAACGAGGATTTGCTTTCTGTCACACATTTAACTACTATGATAACCCAAAAAGAAATTTCCCGATTACTACATGTTTTCAATAGTGCTTGAAAATTGAATTTCATCTCAATCCTCACACATGGTCAACTTCGCTAAGGGCCAACAATTCCTCGAAAAATCGATCATCTTCCTCTTCTTCTGGTTTACGTCTCGTAATGAGCATTTCCCTTCCGTAGAATAGAATAGCATGATAGCGTCTCATACGTGTTTTCTTGTTCGTGTTGTCGTAGAAAAGCTCAAAGAGCACATCATGTAGAGTTTCTTCCACTTCGAATCGAGTGACGGCCCAAACGCATTCCATGAATTTTAAGGTGAGCGTCCTTTCTGCTTCATCATGATATCCTGGCTCATTACTTTGATTGAGTGCTTTCTCTAGGAGTGACAGAAACTCTATCCGTTCGCCATTCTCTTGGGCCATCAATAGCACTCTGGTAAGTTCGTCCTTACATTTCGTATGATGGCCATGGATCTTGGACTTATCAAAGATTTTAGACAACCCCAACGTCCTGCTAGCTGCAAGCACGTAGTGTGCCTGCTCTAGAAAAATGTTTCCCATGATGTGCAAGAGTCTTAAGCCAAAGTGTTCTCGTCTCATGTACACAAGTTCCATTCTAAATTTCCGTTGGAGTTCGGCGACACTTCCCGTTTCCTTTGCTTCCCAGTATTCGTCAACTCGCTCAGATATATTGCGGAGGAGTTGATTCTTGCGTTTCTCCTTCGCTAGTGCGGTCTTCTCTTTAGCATTAGCCAGATCATCATGGCCAGGTCCAGCCTTGGCAATATTTCCCACCAAATAGAACTCACCTATCCATTTCCTGAGTTTTGGACCTCCAAAGAAATGTTGCATAAATTTTTCGGCCGACATGGGTACAAAGTGGTGGTTCTTCATGCCCTCCACTCCAACTTTATCGTATATGTTTCTAAGATCTTGGTTCAGCAAAACTGCGTATATTGAGGCCACTTGCTGGAACCGCTCTAGGTCAGCTGGATTACGATATGGATGGCATTGAAATCCAAGGACTCGAAATGCTTTCACCACATCCCATTGTGGAGCAGTTACCGATAATCCTAGCTGCTGATAGTAGGTACCATCGATGGGTGGCTGGCCCAAAACTAGTGATCTGACAGAACCCCTCCATTCCCTGATAGACTCCGATTCATCAGTTAGTATACTTTTTGCATCGTCGTCCATCGATAGATGTTGGCAGTTTCTTGTGAAGATAGCTTGTTCGCATATGCTTGACATCGATGTTTGTGTGAGTGCTCAAAGCTTTACGGTTTATCACGTTGACACCTTTAAGGCTTAGGGATAAAATAATGGAATCCACTATAAAACAATACAGCACAATTCTAAAGGGATATGTGCCAAGATCCTACATCATGGATGACCTCGTTCATAGTATGGTGGAGAAATCTTGGTGAGACTACTGCAGGATTGACAACCTCTACGATAAGGGCAAAGTCGATAATGGGGTGATAAGGTATTATGTCGAGAGAATGTTGAAATTGAGGTGGTGGTTTCATAAGGTTAATGTTTCTTCTGCTTGTTTATTTCTGTTGGATGATAGGGCTGAAGTGTGTTCGGTATTGTTTGGTGATGAACACCACCTTGAAAGGTTATGACTTAACAGTTGAGGCGGAGAAAGGAAGTCCCTCGTACATTCTTAATTTTCTTTGTTTACTTATTATTCTTGACTTACTCATTTTTTCTCTCTATTCTATTTTTCTCTTTTTACTTGCTAGTTTCGTCCTGTCTTGTCTTCTCGTTGCTACGGCAAATGGTTGCAAAATCGAAAACATTCTGCGCTTTACATAAGAATGAGACGTAACAAAAACAATAAGCATAGCCTAGTCCTCATTAGTACACTGGGTGTCTGGTGTAGAATGGATCATTGTCTTCGTGTCTATTTTATAATAGTATTGTGAGTGTTTCAAAGAATTTCCTCCATTGAAGTGCAACCATTTAGGAAATGACTCCCCATTATGCTTAACGTCATTACGAGGTCAACAGGATTGAAGTTTGTTTCGAAAGCCTACCTCAGATTGCTTCGAAGTTTTTGGGTAGGCTGTTTCGATCCATTCTAAACGTCTTTCGGACGCTCCTCCTGGCAAAACCGTGTCTCCTTTTGGTACCACCGATGTCCCAAGTATATAATTTTCATTTTCTGAACGTTAACTGTTCTTCCCTTTGGGAGTGACTAAACTACGCGATCTCACACGACTGAAAACATGTATGAACTGAAATAGCACTAGGTGCATAAGGAAGATGTAGGAATTGATGGTAGCAACACTTTCTAAAAGAGCGGGGTTAAAACGCTAAATAAATCTCGAACTCCCGCCCCAATTAATAAAAATGGGTCATTCGTCATCTAAACTTCCAGAAGTAGACACTCGAAAACCCAAGAACGTAACCCCGACGATCGTGGATATTACTTTCGAAGAGTCGAATGGTACAGAGTTTCAGCTACATTTTCCATCAACAAGTCCATGGTCTGCTCGCTGGCTGAGACTATTCCCAGGTATGTTACAATTCTCTGAAGGGTCAACCAGAGATGATCCAATGGTGATGGCGGTATATCCGGTAGAAAACAATGATTATGCTATTCAATTACCACCTCGAAGAGGTGACAAGAGAGCTTTCTTGAGAATATTAAATGTTCCAACTGAAGTCTTGTATTTGTTAGAATACAAATCAGACTCAGGTGTAAAGTATACATTCGAGTGGTTACACAGTGATACCCAGGACGGAAGTTGGATATTGAAACAGAGCGTTCCACCATGTGGACAATCTAAAGACTCACAAAATGGCATAGCGAAATGGTTTCCTGGAGATCTTTCCAAGGGTGAAATAGGACATTTCGAGACCCTCTTAGAGAGTTGGAATTTGACGTTTGGTATATACTTCCCATTGGTGGTAATGGCAACGGCGCTCTACATTGAGTGCATAAATAATCCGAAATTATGCAAGCAAGGAAATTCCACATATCCAGGACCCGATTTAGTGGGAAAATGCGGTAATCCAGGTGGAATTGCAGAATATATGAGTTGATATAAGGTCAATGAATTAAATAACATACAGATATTCTATGGTGCCATACCTTGCGATTGCTACCTCTCAATCAAGATCATCATGTCCATAATGAGTAAAACATAACGAGGTGGAAAGAGTCATGTCATACCCAGGTATATTGCATCTCTCATACGGTTTCAAGAAAAGAGTCTAATTAATCGAGAGTCGTGTATCCATAATCAACTTGCTTTGTAGTTTCACGCCAATCATAATTCTTCAAGCAATCAGCATTCAAAATTGTGCAAAACGATAATCGGCCCAACATGCCTCACACATCAAAGAGTGTTATCATCAATTGTGTTCTTTCTCTTGTTCTTCCTTGCCAAACATAGCCTCATAGTCTTGCTCAGATAGGTTGTTCTTGCTGCTCTTAGACTTCTTGGCACTAGCTTCCGCCATCATCTCCTCAAAGATTCGGGCCTCTTCGTCCTCCTCCGGAGAACGTTGGGTGTTCAACATCATTTTGGCAATAAATACAAGTGCCTCGGCACGTGAAACTCGTTCCTTCTTGCTGAGTGTCTTATCATTGAGAACCTTCCGAGAAACTTTGCTTAAAATACCATTAACCTCGAACTTAGTGGTCGCCCACGCGGCGGCCAAAAGTTTACCGGTGATAACACGCTCTGCCTCCATCTGTCTATACTTCTGCTCTTCGGTGAGCTCTGCACCCAGCTGTTCAAGTTGTACCTGTTCGTGCATCATTTCCTGTGCGGCTACCTGGGCATCCATAGCCGTCTTCAATATCAGGAAGCCACCCTTGACTCTGCTCGATTTTGACTTCACACTGGTGAAGATCTTAGACACTCCAAAGGTCTTGCTGGCAGCGATAGTGGCGTGGGCATGTTCATTGTATGCTTTGCCAATGAGATGCAAGAGTTGAATTCCAAAAGATTCCACCTTCAAGTCCTCAAACTCGGTGTGCAAATTATTAGTGAATCTTTCCAATGCTTCTTTGTTTCCAGCACAATCCTGGTACTGTTTGACTTTAGCTGTCAATTTGGTGGTCAAATTTTCGATCCTCTTCTCCTTCTTAAGCTTGGACTCCTCCATGTGTTGACGGAGTTTCTCCTGTTGCTCACGACTCATTTTGTTCTTTTTCTTCTTGCTGACTTCAGTTGACATGTCGGTATATGGAGTTTCACTCGCAACCGTGCTTGAAGTGGTACCTTCAGTTACTGTCAAATCAGTGACCTTTGAATTTAACTCACTAGTTTCATCCTCCTCACCCAAAATCTCTGCCGTTTCTGACATTTCAGTCATCATGCTCAATTCGCCGATCCAGTCCTCGAAACTGTCACCTCCAAAGATCATTTTGAAGAACTCGGCAGGGTCTATATCAGCTTGCTCAGCCAACTTGTCGTTTTTCAAGCCTTCGATTCCAACCTCATCATACAAAGCTCTCAGTTCCTTGTTCAGCAAGATTCCATAAGCTTCTCCTAACTCCTGGAACTTTGCCGCTGCTGCCGGGTCATTTCCATTTTTGTCTGGATGGCACTTAATTGCCTGTTTTCTGTATGCTTTCTTCAATTCTACCTCGGTGGCAGTGACCTGAACCTCTAGAATATCGTAATATGTTGTATCCTTGACCATTTTAACCCTGAACAGATTTAATTGAAAGAATCAAGCCCCAGAAGAACAGATAAGATTGCTTGGTTCCGGCTGTGCAGAATGTACAGGATTGTGATGATGATGGTGAAGATGGTATTGATTTAAACGAGGCTGATGCAATGAGAGAGAATATGTGATGGGAAGTGAAAGGAAAAATCTGTGAGGAAAATTTGATTGAATTCTTAGCCTTGAATCTATTGGGTTTAGAGAAAATAATTTAGGTGGTGGTTTTGGGGAGTTCAAGGAGTAGACTACATGTTTGATAAATCAGAAAAGCAATAAACCAAAGCTTTCGAGGGATGTGAATCAAAGCTCCAGAGAGATGGGAATCAATCTGGGAAGATGAATACCAGCAATCTTTTTTTCAGGGTTCCTTCCAATCATAGCCAATTATCAGCTGGTCGTGTACATCTCATATTCAAAAGGTGTCAAAATGCATCAGAGTATATCAATTTTAGACTGATCTTTCAATCTTGTAAATGGGTACGTATTGATTGATACCATATAGAACTTTCTAGAGTCGATAAACGCCCGTAATTTTTAGCTCTTTTACATTTTGCTTTTTTAATTCTTATTTTTCTAGGGTTTACTAATTTCTAGCCTTTATCACGTCAACTGGAACCTGCAACCTCCAAAAAGTGGGGGGCATGCACCTCCTCGCAAATAATCTCCGAAGTTTCCGTGACAATTCCACCAGCTCATTAAGGAGAAAATCATGATCACTACTAATACCAGAGCAGAAATTGCCACCAGCCGCAAATTGGTATCAATGCTGCCATAAATCTAAATATTTAAAGAAAAAAATTAGAGTAATTGAAGCCGTGTAGAGCGCAGTGAAGAAGTCCGAGAATGCCGAGCTCCGAACACCGAGATGGATCACTTTTTCTCCCCACCATTTCGGAACACTTTAAAAGAAGCCGAATTGCGCCAGTCGCAGTGTTCCCAAAGACTTTAGACTGCTTGTCGAGGCGAATTTGATTGTTTGGCCTCAATATATGACTTTCCATTCATTTTTTGTCAAGTTCCGCCGCTAACCATATAGTTTGTCTTATTAGAACTAGGTAATTGATTCTTCAAATTTCAAGTACCTTCTAAAGACTTCAGCAAATCTGAGCCAATCTGAAACTATAGAAATCTATTAGCTTGGAAAGAAAAATCTCAATTTTTTTGACTCTTGTGAATCTCTCGAAGTTTTCAAGCGGATACTACAGTTTGATCTGATGATGTCTGCTACAGTGACTGAAAAACGTCAGGATGACATCGAAGACGAGATCAACGTCATTTCCAGAGAAGCCATACATTCTCACAATAACTCTCGGAACCATATTGAAAGCACTGCTCGACTGTTGGAAAATAGACTAGGTGACTCACATGTCAACATCTTACCCAAGAAGAAACTTATCATTTGCATGCTAGGCATGTCAGTAAGTTTGTTTGCTGTCTTTTGTGACCAAACTTCCGTCACCGTGGCTCTTCCTGTGATTGGAAGGGATCTCAATGCTGAAAATACCATCAACTGGGCGGGAACATCTTCTCTTTTGGCCAACTGTGTTACTCAGGTGCTTTTTGGCCGCTTTGCCGACATCTTTGGAAGAAAGACTATGCTTCTTGGTTGTCTTGGCCTTCTCTTAGTCTCCAACATGCTCTGTGGTTTTGCCAAAACCGGTCCGCAATTCTATGTTTTCCGTGCCTTCGCTGGTATTGGAGGTGGAGGTTCACAGTGTCTAGCAATGGTAATTGTCAGTGATGTGGTCACCTTAAAGCAGAGAGGAAAATACCAGGGCATTTTGGAATCTAACGTGGCTTTGGGAAACATCTGTGGACCACTCATTATGGGTGCCTTTGTCAAACGTTCCAGCTGGAGAAACTTCTACAGAACCCTTCCTCCCGTCATTGCTTTGGTGATGGTGGTGGTGTATTTTGTAGGGAACAGTAAGAAAGACGAGCAACCTTCTGTTCTTACCGGCAAAGAAAAGTTTCGAAAGATTGATTACTACGGCTTGTTCTTCGCGACTGCTGGATTGACCTTGTTGTTGATTCCAATTTCTGGGGGTGGAAGCACTTATGCCTGGAACTCTACCTTGGTTATTGTCATGTTCGTTCTCGGAGGAGTATTGCTTTTGCTGTTTTTGTTAGTCGAATGGAAGATCCCAGAGCTTCCAATGATCCCCCTCTACATCTTCAAGAACGGCTCATTGAGCCTCCTATTGTTTACCACCTTCTTGTATGGAATGGTGTACTACGGCCTATTGTATATCGTCGCCTACTACTTTCAATTGGTCAGAGGGTTCACCGAGATGCGCTCTGCAATTCTATTGCTTCCATTGGTGATTCCGCAGTCGGTTATGTCTGCTGTCGCTGGTAGTATAATATCACATATTGGACACTTTTTGCCCATCATGTATGCTGGCTACCTGTTCTGGCTTGCTGGTTGCGGAATGACTATTGCATGGAATAGACACACGTCTGTTGCAATGATGGCGGGTACATTGTGGTTGATTGGATCAGGGTTTGGCTTCATTTTCCAGCCAACCATAGTGGCTGCACAAGCCAATTCCACAAAGGCTCAGAGAGCAGTAGTGATCAGTACTAGAAACGTGTTGAGATCTTTTGGAGGTTCGTTGGGTATAGCTATTTCCTCTTTGATTATTACCAACTCGTTTATAAAAGAGATCAACAAGCAGCTTCAGGAAGAAAACCTTCCTCATGATTACTTGTACTCATTGAAGAACTCCATCTATGCTCGGGTTGATATGTCTAAGTTGACATCGACGCAGGTCGAATTGATAAGATCGATGTATATGACAGCCATCAGAAATGTCTTCTACTTTTATCTTCCAGTCATTGGATTGTGTTTCTTGTCGGTGTTTTTCGTAAAAGATAACGGTTTGAGATGTTTGGATGAAAGGGACCCTGATGAGAAGGTTGTCGAGGAGAAATAGAAGAAAAATCTAATTGAGATAGAGATTAAATTAGCGTGTTTAATTCTAATAATGTGTATTTAAAGTGACATACATAAGAATGTGAAGTCAAATAAAAATCCGACGAGGAAAATGCACTTTAAGCAAAATCTGCAAGTGTTGAACTATTAAAACGCTGTTTCTCATAATCAGCATTGAGAATAACTCTTAGACTTCTTGTGGACGCAATTTTTCGTAATGAACTTTGGTAGAATATATCCATTCTGAATTACATTGCCTACCCTAAAACCTGATGTTGTGCAAGAAGTCATTAATCTGGTTGGCATTCACTTCAAAGTTGAGCCCATTGTTCCTTAAAAAATCCTTAACCCCGTCAACGTTCTCTGCAAAGAACTCCAGAGCCTCATCTTTCAAGTTATTAAACTCCTCCACCGTTACATCTTCCTTCCCAAACAAGGTCTTGGCTCCACGCCGAAGAAAATCATAATGACCTCCATCAAACATTTTGTAGGCATAGTTGTAGCCAGTTTTTTTGTAGTCGAAGTTGTCTTGAGCTGCCAGCTTGAACATATCTCCAATGAAGTATATATCTTTGGTGAAGAAACGGTGAAAGCCTCTGATGTAGATTGCGAACAAAACTCCGACGAACAAGAGAGTAAATATTGTTTTTATTGTTGAAATGATGAAATTGAACCAAATTCGTATGACTCGCTTAATAAACCTATATGCCAAGTATGACCCAAGAAGCACTAAAATGGTTGTGGTAGCCTGAGGGAATGTTTTATGAGCAAAACTGATGCCATTAATAGAATAGCGGAGCACTATTTCCAATAGGAAAACGACCACCCGGCCGCAGAACTCCAAAACGTCGCCAGCGTTCGTCATGGATATGGAGGCAATAATCACAGGTGGTATTTGTATGTTGGAGGTACGGATCTAATGTGGGGTAGAGATGGATGAAATGGAGAGAGGGTTTTAGATAGTCTATGAGAGAGAAAAAAACTCTTTCTATAAAAAAAAAGAACAACGCTAAAAAATATTAAGTCATTTTGGTGTCCTTTCATCTGTCATGAATACAAGATTGTTAGGAAGTCGATCAGTAGAAAAGGTGGATTGAGATGACCGGCTACAATGATATGAAGACCGTGGTCAATTGAGCACTGGAATCAGAAAAACATGACATTTAAACCATAACAACTAGGTGGACTGAATTTCATTCATCTAGTATCAATCTCCTATTGATTGTCACCTGGGTGCAACCTTCCTACACTTTACCACCCATATAAAATACGTCTCACATCAAGCCAGCACAAAAAAAGCCTAATTTTGAGATGGTAATTAATAATCTATTCATTGAAGTACGTCGTCTGCAACATTGTAAAGCCAGATTTCGAAATAAAATTCAATCCACTTGAGGTCCAGCCCCAGAGGACGTAAGGGTTACCCGACCATTTACATTCTACTATATAAGCGGGCGATGCGCATCAGAATTTTTTGTTCTTTGAAAGTTGACCTCCAGATTTTCCATACCTATACTAGATGAGGGTCTGTGTCTCGTCAGGTTCCCGGTCTCGCTCGGTTTCGGCCGAAAGCTTGCGCACTTTTGTCTCGCCTATTAATTTAGGGAGGCATACTATGGGTGCACTTGTCAGGGACTGGGAACTGGATGGGGCTCTGGGCAGTGCACATCGAGTTCGGAGAGTTTGGTCAGATAAATGTGGTTACAAAGAATATGCTTGAGGTCTGAAACTCAAGGGTGTCCCGTTATGCCTCTACATTTCTTGTAAGTGTCGTTAAGACTAGTTAGAAACAAAGCCCAAGAGGACAGAAACTCAAAGGATCAACGTTCCATTAACATGGTTCATCGAACGCAAAAGCCTTGAGCCCTTCTCTATCATTATGCATTCTCGATCCAAAATCGTCTAATAAGCATAAACCTAGCCTCAGTTGACTCCTTATCGTCATCAAGATGCCTTATTCATCAGCTAGTTGAATACTCATCAGTTATTTTCAGTCCTTCATCTAAATCTTCTACTCTTCTTCGCTGATTTGCTACATTGCCTTCGACATGGGTCAAGCATTATTCGCACCTACGTGCCGTGACATCATGTTTGCACACATTTTCTTCTCCTGCCTATGCAGCTCCAAGCACCTCAGTTGTGACACAAGACCTTGATTATGAGGGAGCCAAAAATTAAACGAAACAAGAAAGAGTATTATCTAAGAACACAAAAGAACCCTTTCTCAGTGTCCGACTAATAAGTGTGTTTTATTATTTTTTTGTTCAAATAATTTGAATTTGTTCACTGCCCAGTATCTTTATCGCTGGCTTGTCCCCCATATCTGCACACAGCAGCAACTACTTTTGTCCTCACAGTACAACCTACGTTGCATCATCTGAAGTTAGAGTATAATTACCTAGAGCAGACTCGCACACCCTCCACTCCTTGTAATATCTGATTATTCATTGAACTTCGCATGTTTCTGAGAAGGAAACCGCCACAACTTAGTGTGTTGGAGGAACTCCAGCAAACCTACAACGACGTATGCAACACCACCATCAAGAATTTGGATTTGGAAGAGAAAGGAAACTTTGAAGATGCTCTCAAGGGTTGGAAAGCTCTTCACACGCTGCTACTCTACAAGATCGACGTTTTTGAGAAGAAACCAAACAAAATCCATGCAGAAGAAGCTAGCACTCTTGGTGAGCTAAAAGCGATACGGGATGAGAACGTCAAGCATTTGGTGCGCTTGCAACTACGCTTAGACGAACAGAAGCGTCGTCAGAAGAAAGCTACCGAAGCAGCTCCTCCGTTGCTTTCGCCCCCGTTGACCTCGCCGCCAGTTTCCTCTTCCTCTTCCCACAATATGAGCATTCCGTCTTTGCGTAATGGTAACCCCAGCCGATCTTTTAATAATGGCGCTGGTCAGCGTCAGATGATGAAGTCACTCAGAAACAATAGTGGGCCTAGCATTAAGCTATCGGCTCTGAATCGAGATGCCGTGAAACAGGCTGCCAACATTTCATGGCAGAAACCCAAGAAGAAGGAGTCGGAGATTTTCGATGACTTCGACCAAACCGAAATATCAACCACAAATTGGGAGCGCCTCAATTCTGCGGGATCCACCTCTACGGACTCGTCGACATCGTCCAACTTGATAGACTTAGATGATCTGCAGCCAGAAGAAGACTACTTCACCACTTCTGTGAGCAAGTCCTTGGAGGACCTTTCTTTTGAGCCCATAATCAAGAAGAAAGCACCACCTCCACCACCTCCGCCACCGAAGGCCACTCCACTCCCTCCCGCAAGACGCACGCATTTGGCTCCACAGAGCACACCTCGCCAATCTCTTTCGGCGTCACCTCCCGAACCTCGAGCAACGTTAGCCAAACCTGCCATTCACATGGCGTCACATTCTACTCCTGACATTCGAGCTAAACCTTCCGCTGAGACACGCCCTACCAAGACTTACACTTATACCCAGCCAACACCCATCAATGTGAAAAAGATGATGGCTGCTTCCAGCAACAGAATGAAGCCGACTCAGGTAAAGACGGGTAAGCCAGCACCACCAAAAGCTGCAGTCAAGCCTGCTAATAGATCTGCTGTGTCGAAGACCCCAGCGCCCGCTAAGCCAGTAGCTCAACCTACTTCTCAGCCAGCTACCAGACAGGTGAAGAAATCTAATATTACTTATAACTACAAAATAGTTGAGAAAAAGCCTGTTGCAGGAGCAAAACCTCGGACACAGACTAAAAAGGCAGCGCCTCCCGTTGTAAAAGTGGAAGTGCCACCATCGCCTACTATGGACGATATCCTTGGAGGCTATGAAGAACACGACACCATGGATGCACCAGAACAAGTTTCTAAGGAAGGAGACATGAGTCCAGAGGAGATGGATGCTCTAATTAAGTCTATTAGAGGTATAGACGAGTTGGCTGCTGTTCAAATTCTCAATGATATTGTTGTTCGTGGAGATGAGGTGTATTGGGACGATATTGTGGGGCTAGATGCAGCTAAGAGTTCGTTGAAAGAGGCAGTGGTTTATCCATTTTTACGTCCTGACTTGTTTCGTGGCCTTAGAGAACCAACTCGAGGTATGCTCTTGTTCGGCCCTCCAGGAACAGGTAAAACCATGCTTGCTCGAGCCGTCGCAACAGAGTCGAAATCCACATTTTTCTCAATTAGTTCATCCTCACTTACTTCCAAGTACTTAGGTGAGAGTGAGAAATTGGTTAAGGCATTATTCTTGCTAGCACGGAAACTCAGCCCCTCCATCGTCTTTATTGATGAGATTGATTCTCTATTGGGCACCAGAACAGAAGGTGAAATTGAGAGCATGCGGCGAATCAAGAACGAGTTCCTCGTTCAATGGTCTGAATTATCATCTGCTGCTGCAGGCAGGGATTCAGCAGCTAGCGATGTGAGTCGAGTTTTGATCTTAGGAGCCACCAACTTGCCTTGGGGTATTGACGATGCAGCAAGGAGACGTTTTGCAAAAAGAGTATACATTCCGTTGCCAGAGGACGAGACAAGGCGACTCCAAATCAGTAAGCTCCTTGCATACCAAAAGAATACTCTTCTGGAGGAAGACTATGACAAGTTGGTCGAACTCACCAGGGGCTTTAGCGGAAGTGACATCACACTATTGGCCAAGGACAGTGCCATGGGTCCATTACGTTCGTTGGGAGATAAGCTATTGAGCACACCCACGGACCAGATCCGGCCCATCCAGCTCGAGGACTTTGTGGAGAGTTTGAAGTACATTCGTCCTAGTGTTTCATCCGAGGGACTTGTCGAGTACGAGAACTGGTCCAGCAAGTTTGGATCGTCGGGAGCATGAGCATGAGGATGCAGTTTATAGCATAATGGTATATTACCAAAAACGTTTCGTTTGAATACTTATTTCATTTCTATCTATTACAAGACATGGGCACGAAATGCAAGAGCCCCTTATATTCCGTCGGAGAACCCACTGACAACAGACTTGGCGAAGCCACCCTCCTTAACAGCCAACTCATAGTAGCCGTAGATGGTGGTAACACTCAACAAAATGGAGGTACCACTGCCCAAACAGCCCATCATGTCACTGACAACCGACAAGGCACCAATAGCGGCACCACCAAAGGCGGCGGCAGTTGGAATGATCTTCTTCAACTCCTTGTAGGCGCTGGTGTCTCTGTGGCCAGCAATTACCAAGCCCTGCTCCTTGAACTGCTTGGCAACGTCTCTTGGAGAAGTACCACTGATTTCGATCCAGGTGGTGGAGAAAACAGCACAAGAACCCAAGACGAAAGCCACGTAAATAGCAGTCTTGATAGGATCCAACATGGCATCCGTCACGGAGAGAGGAGGCTGGATGTAGTAAGCCAAACCGCTGACGGCGTACAACTGGGACGAGCCAGTCTTGTGGCCCCAAGAGCCCAAGAGCTTAACGAAGAGGTTGTTTGGCCATCTGATGAAGAGCATCTGGGAGATGATGAAGATGTTGGAGGACAACGCAGATTGCAACATGATAGGGGTGTTGGAAGTGTAGAACAATCTGATTGGGTACAAGGCGTATGGGCCTCTCTGTCTGGTAGACTTGATTGGAATCTCGACTCTGAAACCCTGCAAGTAAACCACGGCAAAGAACACAATCACGGTGGACACGACCTGGAGCATGTTAGGCAAGTTCTGTCTGTAGAAAGCCTCCAACAAGGCTCTCTTCTTGTCCTTTCTGGAGCCTAAAAGGTGGAACAAAGCGATCACGGCACCATCAAACTCGGCACCCTTTCCAGATGAGGAAGTGGTTGGAGCGAAAGCTTTCCACATCACCTGTTCACACACGTTGGTAGCAGTGAACAAGGAGATACCGGAACCAAGACCATAGCCCTTCTGCAACAACTCATCCAACAAAATGACAATGATACCAGCAAAAACCAATTGCAACACCAACAACAAGCAAACACCAGTACCCAAGGTACGTGGAGGGCCGTACATGCCGGTCAAAACGTAGACGGTAGCCTGACCGATAGACAAGATGATGGCAAACAACTTCTGGGCGGTCTGGAACTGTTCTCTATCGTTCTTGTTGGACATGTCCACATGGATCAACTTAGTTCCTTGCAACAACTGGAAAACCATGGAGGCGGAGACGATCGGAGTGATACCGAGCTCCATCAAGGTACCACGGTTGGATGCCAACATCATTCTAAGCCAGAGCAATGGGTCAGAACCATCAGACGAGGCAATACCGTAAAGTGGGATTTCCGACATCACGAGGAAAATCAACAAGGTGACACCAGTCCACATGACACGCTGGTTGAACGGCACCTTACGTTCTGGTGCGATGACCTCGGGCACCAAGGGCTCGAAGGGCTTGACTAGGTCTAACACACGGAAACTCATAGCTGTGTAGAAGAAAAAGGTTGTGAGGTGAAATTTGTATGGCGACGTGTTCAGAGCAGTGAGCGTTGGTGAGAGCGAGTCTGGTCACGTGATGTGAGAACACCTGGCTGAATATGTGGAGAATCAAAATGTTTGTGTTCGGGGAGGCTACTGTTCAAGAGAAAAAAAATAGGGAGACAAGATCTTATCTAATTATTGTGGCTTGGAGAAATTTGTGTGATTTGGGGTGGATTGGGTTGCAATCAATTGAATTGAATGGATTGATTATTGATCCACCGATTCGGATGCGACGCGATTACCAGGTAGTGGACAGAAGAGGATACGTGGAAGGTTACATTAAATTGTTAAAATAGTGCAATTAAAAAGCATTAATTTATCAATTCGATCATGATACTGTCAATTAATATCAGCAAATCTTTCTTTTTGAAACCTCCAACCGCAATGTTGCAGAAATTTGAATATTTTCGCAGTTTTCACTTTTTTACTGAGTTTATCAAACAAGACTATTATTCTCATATAAAATGGCTCTGTGGCCGAGCGGTCTAAGGCGGCAGACTCAAGTTCTGTTATCGTAAGATGCGCGTGTTCGAATCACGCCGGAGTCATTATTTTTTCCGATGGGAATCAGTATTTAGCCCTCGCACGACGCTCCATATCTTGACTGTTTAGTCAACTCCACTAAATACCAATGTCCGACTGGGCCGCCAAACTACAGTCTCGAGGCTCACAGTCCCCCGACAGTGTGGCACACGCATCTGTGTCCAAGTCGGCGCTGCCGGAGCCTTACAATGCCTCAGAAGTTCTCAGAGCTTTATCTGCCCGATATGATAATATAGTGGCAGGAGCCAAAGCCGACAAAACGGGAGAAAAGGCCAGGGTTTACCGGTCGCTAGAGTCGAGTTCAGCATGGAGCACTAAGGGAGGAGCCAACAAGAAACGGGACGATGAGTACAATTTACTTTTTGAAGTGAATCGGTCCATTCACATCCAGAAACATCGGAAATAGCCAATGAGAGGATCTAGAAAGGACTTGTAGAGAGACAATGAGATGCGGCGATAGATTCATTTTGCAAGATGTTCAAGTGCTCAAAGTCTCAAGTGTGTCAAAGTGTCATCAAATGTCATGTCTTTCAACTTCATGTGGATGTCATTCAATGTGTCTAGCTATTACCGTTCCAATGTGTGCATGCCAGTGCGGATAGAGTTTATCTCACATTTTAATGGGTGGATAAACTCTCTCCAGGAACTATAACTATATATGAGGTGACCGAAACAAGAATCAATATACCATTCAATAAACCTTCTACTGTACATATCAATCTTTTCTCCTTCCTATCTACCGTCTCCCTGTTAATGTAAATTAATTCACTTATCAACAATTCCATCAATCTCCTGATGGTTCCTTTACCCCATATTATCCAGCCTTTTCCGCACCCTCGGCGAATATCCTCTCGGTGTTTACGCGGCCATGCCGGGACATGTGCCAAATCCACATTCTTCAGGTTCCTCGCACTTTCACCTCCGTTGAACCCGGAGTTCCTCGCGGAGTTGCTTGCTCCGAACTCCAGCGATCTGCAACTCTTCCACCCCTATCCTACTTATTCAATTTCCCAAGCTTCATAGGAAAATAAAATTCAAGTCATTTATCACTTTCTATCGCACATTGCAACCCTCCATCGACTTCCCGTCATTTTTCGCCAGGTCTCCCTTCGCCCGAGAGGACCCCCGGTAGAGTCCGGAGACTGTGTCCCCTCCTCCTGCAGGACAATCACCACCTCCTCAAAACCCCGGGAAAGTATAAAATCTGGGGTAGGCATCCACGGGAAATCTTCCAATTTTTTTTGTCAGAGGTCGTCGTAGCATTTGAGAAACTTGAAATCGAACATCATTATTCGTTACAACGCGTCTAATAGCATCTCCAAATCGTTTTAAAAAAAGAATTAAAACCCACTCAAGTCATACATCCATAATGTCGAACTCCGTCTCCCAACAAATGCATGTCGAAACTGACATCATCACCTTGACTCGGTTTATCTTGGAAGAACAGCAAAAATTCGCTCCCACTGCCACTGGTGAATTGTCGCTTTTGTTAAACTCGCTCCAGTTCGCTTTCAAGTTCATTGCCCACAACATTAGAAGAGCCGAATTGGTTAACCTCATTGGAATCTCCGGTACTGCCAACTCCACTGGAGATGTCCAGAAGAAGTTGGACGTGATTGGTGATGAGATCTTTATCAATGCCATGAAGTCCAGTGGAAATGTCAAGGTTCTTGTGTCCGAAGAGCAGGAGGACCTCATTGTGTTTGAAGGTGGAGGCCGTTACGCTGTGTGCACGGACCCAATTGATGGTTCGTCCAACATCGATGCTGGTGTGTCTGTGGGAACCATTTTCGGTGTTTACCGCTTGAAAGACGACCTGACCGGATCAATCCGTGATGTTTTGAGAAAAGGTACCGAGATGGTGGCTGCCGGTTACACCATGTACGGAGCTTCTGCCCATCTCATGTTGACTACCGGTAGAGGTGTGCACGGATTCACTTTGGACACACAATTGGGAGAGTTCATTTTGACCCTGCCCGATTTGAAGATCCCTCACTCGCGTGCAATCTACTCGGTCAATGAAGGTAACTCTTATTACTGGTCCGAGAACATCAAGAAGTACATTGAGGATTTGAAGAAGCCTCAAGACTCATTGAAGGGTAAGCCTTACTCGGCTCGTTACATTGGATCCATGGTGGCTGATATCCACAGAACGTTGTTGTACGGAGGAATTTTTGCTTACCCTTCAGACTCAAAGCTGAAGAACGGAAAGTTGAGAATTTTGTATGAGTGTTTCCCAATGGCCATGTTGATGGAGCAGGCTGGAGGTTCTGCCGTCAACGACAAGGGAGAACGTATTTTGGATATTTTGCCAAAGGGCATCCACGACAAGTCTGGTATTTGGTTGGGCTCCAAGGGTGAGATTGAGCGTTTTATCTCTTACCTTTAGGTGTATAGTAAGATAGAGTTGAGATTAGGTGTAGGTGTAGGATTACTGGTACCATCGATAATACTATTGAGGATTGGTAAGTTATTGATGATGTTTTTGATAGTGTTTTTAATAACTTTTGAAATTTTGAATTCTTTTTGTTCTACAATCTTACTGTTGGCAGTCTTCATATTTGTTACATTCCCCTTTGCTCAAGATCATTGATTTCATTGGTTAGCATCTTCTTTGGTAAATTGAGTCGGGTGACAGATTTCTTAGTACAGGTCGCACTACATGATTGATCCCTAACAGATTCAATTATTAAGTGATATCAACTGTTATGGCACTATTAATTTAATTTGAATATTCAATCAACCTAATAAAATTTTTCCATGGCCACTCTTCCTTTCTTTTTTCGTCCTTTTGTAGTCATCTCTCACGTTTTGTATATCCTCTCTCTTTTCCCTAAAGTCTTTAGATTCCCTATTAATCCCTCCGACTTCCATCATCTCATCGAAATCTCCTACATTCAAAATATCCATCCAATATGTTCCCGATTCTTCACTTCTTTGAAAATCTTCCTCTTTACTACCCAGACTCAATTATTTCTCTATTCTCCACAGTGTTCCTGATGGAAGCAATGCCTCACCTGCACGGTAGTCTTGACTCATCATCTTACTCGACTCCACAATCACCAGTCACCTCCATCTATAGCATCCGAAGTCCCACCTTCCTGCTTCTATTTGCATATCACTACATCTTCTGCATAGTCATTTACCTCGCAACATATTCCACGATTTCATCTCCTCCCCATGAAACACCTTCATCGATTTACCCACAAAATCAAAAATGCACTTGCTAGTCGTTACGACTTGGTCCATTTGAAGCGCTTGGCCTTTGCCATCGCCTTGACCTCTTGTCTTTCGCTGGGTTCCATCATGCTTTTCTCGCTTTTTGCCCTGGCTCTCCATAACAGCGTGGGGCTCTCTTATACCCAGATCAACTTCATCGTATCTTTGTCTGCTGTGGGCATGTACCTTTGCTTGCCGGTATTGGGGTACTTGGCTGACTGTTACGGGCCCGCCTTGCTCTCTTTGATCTCCATCTGGGCGTTTTGTCCTGCTTATTTTGTTAATGCCATCATAGTCAGGCTGGTGAGTACTCACTACGAGTTACTGCCTCAGCTTACGCCAGGTAACGTGGCAGTGTTGGCAGTGAGTTTCTGCTTCATTGGCTTGGCCACCAGCTCCTTATACTTTGCCAGCTTGCTTACATGCGCAAGAATCTACCCTAATCACAAGTCTCTAGCTATCTCCATGCCTGTCAGTTGCTACGGTTTGTCAACATTGATTGGCTCCCAAATCATGAAGCTTGGCTACTTCCACGAGCTGAAGAATGAACTTGACTTGTACAGAGTATTTCTGTTCTTTGCTTTCTTGTATCTTGTGGTTGGTATCCTCAACTTCGTGTCCAATTCCATCGTGTCTCTTGAGCAGGAAGTGATATTTGGGGAGACAGAGCCGCTTTTGTCGGACTCGGAGACATCTGTGGACTGTTCCAGTATCTCAGATTCGTCTTTAACCCCGGTGAGGTCTCAACGCTCGGCTTTGGAGCCCGTGGACCACCACTCTAGATTCATCGCTTTCCTCAAGGACAAATCCGCTTGGGTGTTCTTGCTTTCGCTCATGTTGAACGTTGGCCCTCTTGAGAGTTTCCAGAATAATTTGGGTCTGATCATTCAGTCTACATCCTCAGGAAACGTCCAATTGACCGACCAGGTCAGTATCATCGCCGCTCTGTCTACAATCATCCGTCTTTTAATTGGAGTTGTGGCCGATTGGATTTCCAGCGAAGATCGCAAGTACCCGGTTTGTAAAGTATGGCTTTTGGTGGGTTTGACTTTGATAGGTACCGTGGGTCAATTTGGCGTATTCTACTTCCCAGACTTTGCAATTGTGTCCGTGCTCAACGGAATCAGTTACGGAGGCTTATTCACGACATACCCAACAATCATTGCATCTATCTGGGGTGTGGACTTGATGGGTTCTACTTGGGGCTCATTTATGGTGGCACCTGCTGTGGGCAGTATAGTGTTTTCGTTGATGCATGGACACGAGATGGACTCGTGTACAAAGTCTACAAAGTGTTTGAGCCGATACTTCCAGGTTACAGGTGTGAGTATGTTCTTGAGTACATTGTGCATCTTGTTTGTGTGGAGAATTATGTGGTGGAGACGAGGATTGAAATGCTTCTGATCTGATGGAATCAGTAGAATTAGACGAGGTAGTTTAGTACCTTTAACCAATGCATTTACAACTTGAACAAACTCCCCTGAGAATTCTACCTTTGATTTACAACAATCGGTATAAAACCTCTATTCAAAGTCTCCTTATCCTTACACATCCTTTCTACTTTGTGTTTTAGGGTGGAATTTCATATCATCTCAACTGGTGAGTGGTCCGGTGCCTGCATACACCAGATCCACACCTCTCGATTAAATACGAACTGGTGCATTTTTCCGTAAATAATAAAGAGGCCCATCAACACCAATCGCGCTAGAAGCTGCAAGTCCAAAGGAACACGTTGGACTGCGGTGACGTGTATGGTGGTTTTTCCGGGCGTTTTGGCCGTTTTTTCCTCACTCAGTGTACTCAGCCAGTGAAATCTGGTTAATCTGGCCACAGGGCGAATTGGGCGAAAAATCCTCCGTTTCCAGCCGTCCTTCAATTCGAAATTGGAAATGTGCAGTATGTCTACCATAGGCCATACCCACCATATAAAAGTGCATCGTAGGGTCCAATGACGCGGGGAAACAGCCTAAATGTTTACAACCACAAACACCAAACTAAACCGGTCATTTGCTACATCCTATACCGCGTCCCAGACCAGTGTTTCGTCTCTACTATTGAGGCCAACCACCTGACGTGGCCAGGCAAATGTGCCCAAGTCCTGTATGGGTATGCAACGTGCTGGGAAGACTTTCTTTTTCTGCGACAATTTTAGCACGACATGGAAAGGGGAATCGTAGGAACCATTCGAGACAGACCGCAAAAAAATTAATTCTGCCAGCATTCAAAGAGAAATGTGGAGGTATTTATATAGGTTGAAAGGATATGGATGAGATGCATGTGAAATGTAGCAAGGATTCTCTCCCACATATAAATACACCTCGTCATCCCACCCATTTCCCACCTACTTTTTGGTCGACATTTTTTTCTGCATTTTATGTTCCGCATCCTCAGCCGCAATGAGTGAACACGCTGTCGTCGCTCACCTCTATGCAGGTGTGGGTGGGCGCGCGACTTGTTTGGTGGTTCGCGCTATATATAGTGGGCCAAATACGCAGATTTTTTCTGTTCTTTGACACTTGTCGTGAAGCGAAAAGTTAGTAATACATAATGAAGGGACTTATTCTTGTTGGAGGTTACGGTACTCGTTTGAGACCATTGACCTTGACCTTGCCAAAGCCTTTGGTTGAGTTCGGTAACAGACCAATGATCTTGCACCAGATCGAGGCATTGGCTGCCGCTGGTGTCACCGACATTGTGTTGGCTGTCAACTACAGACCTGAGGTTATGGTTTCCACCTTGAAGAAGTACGAGCAGGAGTACGGTGTCCTGATCACATTCTCTGTTGAGGAGGAGCCTTTGGGCACTGCTGGTCCTTTGAAGCTCGCCGAGAAGGTGTTGAAGAAGGACGACTCTCCATTCTTTGTGTTGAACTCCGACGTCATTTGCGACTACCCATTCGAGGAGTTGGCTGCTTTCCACAAGGCCCACGGTGCTGCTGGTACCATCGTGGCCACTAAGGTGGACGAGCCATCTAAGTATGGTGTCATTGTCCACGACAGAAACACTCCAAACTTGATTGACAGATTCGTCGAGAAGCCTGTTGAGTTTGTCGGTAACAGAATCAACGCCGGTTTGTACATCTTGAACCCATCCGTCATTGACTTGATTGACATGAAACCAACTTCTATCGAGAAGGAGACCTTCCCATTGTTGGTTGAGCAGAAGCAGTTGTACTCCTTCGACTTGGAGGGCTACTGGATGGACGTTGGTCAGCCAAAGGACTTCTTGTCTGGTACTTGTCTCTACTTGACCTCTTTGTCCAAGAAGTCCCCAGAGAAGTTGTGTAACGAGAAGTTCGTTCACCAGGGTAACGTCTTGGTTGACCCAACCGCCAAGATTCACCCAACTGCCTTGATTGGTCCTAACGTGACCATCGGTCCTAATGTTGTCATTGGTGAGGGTGCTAGAATCCAGAGATCGGTCTTGTTGGCCAACTCTGAGGTCAAGGACCACGCCTGGGTCAAGTCCACCATTGTTGGTTGGAACTCCAGAATCGGTAAGTGGGCTAGAACCGAGGGTGTCACCGTTTTGGGTGATGACGTTGAAGTCAAGAACGAGATTTACGTGAACGGTGCCAAGGTGTTGCCTCACAAGTCTATTTCTAGCAACGTTGAACACGAGGCCATCATTATGTAATGGACCTTTCATATCATATTTTGTTTCTGAGTTGTATTTTACATAGACTTTCCGAAGTAGTTTAATCTTCGCAGTCCACTCGCTGTGCTAATAGAAAAGTTCTCAAGTGTGTATTTACATGATATTTTTTTAGACTTGTCCCTCAACATATGAGACGAAGTTCTTTCTCAACGACTCACTCAATGGTTTGGCGTTGCTCAAATACAACACCAATAATACCCGGGCAATACTAGGTTCATTAATAACCCCCATCTCCGTCAACTTCTTGCCCTCGTAGCTCACTGAGACGTTCTTCGTATCGGAGATCACCCACAACGTATGATTTTTAGGAACAGAGCCTTTGAATCCCAGAAACACCTGTCTCAATTGTTCCACACCCTCACCAACCTCTTGCTTGATGGTCTTGGCCATAGGACTGGCTAAAATTGACTTCGTCAACCCGTCACGCAAGTGACCAAAGTCGGTGTTTCTCACTGGAGTGATTCTGACTGCGTAGGGCACCTTTTGAGCAATATCATCAACTAATTGCTGGGAAATCTCTTTGTCATTGAGTAAGTCTGCTACTGACTTTCCTTCGTGCTTCTGTAAGTACTCCTTTACTGTCGATGCAATCTTACCCTCATCCTTGGCAGCAACATACAAGCCTACTCCATAGACCTTGAAGCTAATAAACGTAACTGATCTAACACCCGTTGCCACCAACTTATGGTCGGAGCCAATAAGTTTGTTTTCTTTCTGTGTAACAGCCGTAGGGAATGGGTCAATGGAGCTGTCGACATCAACACCCTCAAGAGACCTAACGGACTTATCGTTAAAGATGAGTGAACCAGTGAACACGGTGGCAGCAGCACCAACAGCAGAAGATGTCGTAAAAAGTGATTTTCTGCTCACGAAGGGAGCAGACCGCATGCCCATACGGGCAGTTCTGAAAAATCTCCACATGTTAGGAAGAAAGCTGAAGTAGTGTGGAGAAATTAGACCTCAAAAATGAGACTGTAGGAAGTGCATCGGGTGATATTGAGAGGTTTCACAAGCATTTGCCAAAGCTCGAATGCAATGATTGAACAGTTGCAATTCTGAAATCTTTTAGCTAAGTGTCGAAAATTAATTGATGGGATCCGAATTTTTGTAATCAAATCTGGCCAATTTCTCTGCTCACGGCATCCTCACTCACTAATGACTTCCCACTGGCCAACTGCGACTTATATATGCTTTCCCATTTGGCCCATTCCTGCTCCAAACTCTCAATATGATATGACATCCAATCTTCCGCCACCAATGTCGACGATAAGTAACCCAATAGCGAGTCACCTGCGCCTGTGACATTTACAATGGCCAAATCCTCGTTTTCGCTCGGAATAGGGAAATATTGCACAACTACTCCAAGACGGTTTCCATCTACTTCGCGACCCATAGAGGTGAGGGTAAATTCTGGAGCATAAGCCGAGGTGGTGGGCACAGATTTGTAGTCAGCCACAGAGGTGCTGAGCTTGATGAGAACACACCCACGGGGTCCCAATTTGACCAAAATGTTAGGAATGTAAGGAAGGAGCTGGAAACTTTGTTGGAGTACTCCAGTGTCCATGAGAGCCTTCATGGTTGGGTTTTTCGCAGCCAATGCACTCATTTTGTCTCTGAAGGTAGAGTCGATTCCTAACGAGTCAAGCACAGGAAACCAGTAGTCGTAGTCATCAAAGAGTTCTCGCATGGCAAATGACTGGTGGATCTGGCTGAGCTCGTCGCTGGTGGGCGTGATCATGTGGATGTTGCAGTTGGGAAACACACTAAGACGTCGGGAATTGATGCCTGCTATCCGAGCCAGCTTAGGTTGCGACGTGGGCTCAACAATTATTTTGGGCCGGTGGATCTGCTTTGAGCATGCTTCAATCACTGCATCAAGCCCTGCGGACAGAAGGTTACAATCCACTACAACAAACCTGGGCTGTGCTCTCTCGATTTGCTTACTGACATGCTTGACGAGAGAAACATCCTCCATGATGGCCATGTCTGCACAAGCCAAAAGTAACAGGCCATCAGAATCAAGAATGGCAGAGTATTGTGCCGTCTGCTTGCCATTTTGCACGGATATTCCGCTAATATCGTGGTAATTCTCGTTGATTTGCTTAAGGATGGAGTGACCTGCAAAGTCATCACCAACAGCGGAAACAAACCGGTACGATCCCTTTTTGCCCTGGCTTTCGAGTCCATACTTGTATGCCATGCTTACATTGTAACCAACGCCTCCTACCGACGATTTCAGGCTGCCTGGGTTGGAATCGTTCATGACAGTAGTGGATGTGAGAGTGCTCACTGTATCCAACGCAACCAGACCGATAATAAGGGTATCGACTTTATCTGGGATAGAAAAAGTAGAAGGAGATGATGGCGTTGGTGAAGTCGACTTGTATTCAAAGAGTTCCTCTGGATCCCTCTCTGTTCGTCTGGTCTTCCTTATTCCAGTAGAAGGCTGGAACGTCACCTGGCTGTTAGTAATGCATTGACAGATTCAACTCTTCAACATACCTCTGGACCATTTTCCTCAATCTCAAGGAGCTCCTTGGCGATTTTCAGTGCCGCCTCTGCATTGTTCATCACAAACTTCATGTTACATTCCACGGATTGACCTTTCGTGTCCTTTGCGATTTTCTGGAGCAAGAATGGCGTCAACTCTTTGCCTAAAACGCCTCTCTTCTCTGCCTCCACAATGGCATCGTCGATAATATTGTTGATGAAATCACTTGACAAGGCTGTCTCTTCTGGTGGTGGGACACATACCAAGCTTCCAGAGGTGAGGCCCATGACGGTATTCTGATTATACACTATCGATGCGATCTCCTGCCACGAGTCAAACGAATACGGAGACAAAACCCCAGACTCTCTGCAGAAAAAGCCTGGAACTTCGACCCGTTCTCTGCCATTGTCGTTATATGTTCCAACAAATACTCCCTGTGTCTCCAAATACTCCATAGTTCGAGGAATATCCAAGATCAGCTTGGGACCAGCACACACCACGGTGACTGGAGTACGAGCTAATTCTGTCAAGTCAGCACTGACGTCCATGGTGATGTGTCCGTCCCTATGAACACCACCCAAGCCTCCAGTAGCGAACATCTGAATTCCAGCCAAGTGCGATAAGATCATGGTTCCGGCGATTGTGGTTCCACCATTGAGTTTTTGAGCCATTGTCACTCCAATATCCCTTCTAGACACTTTATTGACATTCTTTTGCTCTGCTAAGAACTCCAACTGGCTATCTGAGAGTCCCACATAGGGTTTACCTTCAATGAAAGCACAAGTTGCCGGAATGCAGCCATTTTGTCTAATCTTCGACTCCACTTTGCGAGCCATTTCAATATTCTGTGGAAAAGGAAAGCCATGTGTGATAATAGTGGACTCCAAGGCAACTACTGGCACCTTGTCGTGGAGAGCTTGTGTGATTTCTGGAGAAATCGTCATGGCTTTCGACGTGAGTCTCCGGATTGATCTGAACATCATAGTCCCGATATTGTAGGTTTACAACGAGGTGTATGAATTGAGTGGTAAACTTAAATTTGAATTTGAGATCCGAGTCGGTTTGTCCGAATGAACTGTCTATATTGACTTGAGATATGTGTCTTCGCATCTGTATGCACATTGACCACTTCTCATCATGGTGGAAATCATCGAGTTGGACAGCTCAAACGCAGTAGATGGCAATTCTGCTTCTACAGACGTCCTGGTGTTACTTGCCAATAACGAATTTCTGGCTTTATTAAATTTGCTGCGAGATACCATGTCTGAACTTGATTCTCAGTTGGTAGGAGACAAATTGGTCAGTTGGCTAGACATAAAGCCCACGAAATGGGATTGGATGTCGCCAGGAATTCCCGAAAAAGATGAGAATCGACTACTCAGTTGTATCCAATTGGCCGTGTTCTTGTTTTCGAAGGTCTCCGGTGATCTTCAGTACCTATTGATGAAATCGATATCTTACTACATGAACGAGCATGTTCCATGGAGCAACCGCAAGTGTGCCGTGGAAGCATGCAAAATCGATAGTGCTCTGTGTATTCAGTTTATGCAGCGGTTTGTGGACGAGCTACGGCCCGAATTGCTCAAGTCCACTACGTCCAAAGTGTCGTTGGCTGGATATGCGAAGCCAAAGAAAATATCTGCGCTCAGACCTACGCTTGGGCTTGGAGGAGGCGCTGCGGGAGACGAAAAGAATCGTTCGGAGTGGAAAAATTCCCATGCGGTGAAGAGCTTGTCGTCTATTTGCCTATTGGTAAAAATTGGCCAGAGTTGGCCCAATTATGACCAATATTGGCCTATGGCTTCGACGTTCATCATGAATGTCTTGGATGATTCAGATCCATTGTTCAGAGCCCAGGGTTGCTATTTGTTAAATGATTTTATTGGTTCCAATGGTGCTCGATTGTCCAAAACGGGCTTGGATTTAGCCTTTGGAGAATCTGTAGAGGTGTGTCTAACGTATCTACCTCAACTCACGCCTGCTCCTGTTTCCTTGGTTGTGCTCAAAGCAGCCTATCCTGTCCTTTTCGTGCTTCTTCAATTGCGAGGAGCTTCATATCGACTGTACCTCGATATCTTAGAGAAGAATATCCTTGGTCTGATATCTCATGTTCAAGGCAGGGATAATGACGCAGACACCATGATTGTTTTGACATTCTTGGTAGATCAACTAAGGTATATCATTCTGGAACATATTGGGAGTGCCATCTTGGTGAGTTTTCCGAGAACTAATTTTGTCATCAACCAGCTTCTCATCAACCCGTATTTGGTGGAACGTGATAATGGTCCTCAGTTAGTAGATTCAGCACTAAGAGTTCATACGGCAATTCTCGGCCTTTTTACCCAGCTGGATGACAGTGATGCTCTCGACATAGTTCTGCTGTACAAATACGATTTACTTGGTGCATGGACAGTCTTATGCAAAAGAGTGGTCAAGTACAATGTGGGCACACCCTACACGGGAGAGTTGATAGAGAAAAATGTGACAGCGCTCAAAGCCATAGCTGTGGGTTGTGGGCTCGGACAGGAATTCCATGAAGATCTCGATGCTATATGGACCAGGGCCCCAGAGACGAAAACCTATGTGCATTAAATGATTGATCTCTATATACTACTTCTGGTTCTGCAACGCCTGCACAACCCGGATGTTGGTGTCCAAAAATCTGTTCAAACAGTTGGACAAACACTTCTCCTCAGTGCTATCTAAGGTATTGGCGACAATGGGCTTGTTCTCGTTGCACTTTTTGAAGCACATATCCGTGAAGTTGTGGATGGACATCTGCACCTTAGATTTGGAGTTTTCCGACTCGATAAACTGCAAAATCTCCTTTCTGGAGTCATCGTCAAGGCTCTGCAAAGCTGCCTGAGAGATTTGAGACATGGTGATTGGTGTTGAACTCGTGGTTGAAATTTTGGTTGGTTCCGCTTAATCTTGTTGCTCGGGTGTACGGGTGTAACAATGATGATGGGGCATGGTGATGTGATATGATTCCATTAATTTTTTGTTTTTATTGAGTGTTAGTTCGCTTTACTTTCACAACATTCTGGGGCCATTTTCTCCATTTTCTCCATTTTCCGCTCTTTCAGCATTGATCTTTCTTTTTAATGGAAATTGACCCCCAAACTGTCAGAAAGGACAAGGTCCGTGACCTCCTACGGAATCTGGGCCCGCCAGTCGACCAGAGCTCTCGAACTGCAGCCCAGGAGACATACATACGAAGACTTCGCGGAGATATCGAACGTACAAAGACGTTTCTACGCCAGGCTAAGGAAGCCAATGTTCAATTACAAGACGAAACAGCAGCAAATTCTACTTGGGACCATTACACGTGTCAACAGGCGCATCTAATAAGTCTATACGAAGCATACAAAAAGCTTCCGTACATGGCAATGAAGAACGACCTGATAGGGATTGCCACAGCTGCGTCATTGACGAAAAAAGCTGTGTATGAGCAGAGACAAACGTCCAAGCAGATTGAAGACGATAACATCGAAATTGAAAGAGCCAACGTACAGCAAACACAATTATTGGCCGACTACAAGGAAATTGACGAACTTCTCAAACAGCGTATCCAAGCACATCCCGAAAGAATGGATAAGCTCCGAGCTAAACTTAGACAATCGCAGCCATTGGATATGGAGCTTGAACTGAAACTCGAGTCTGTGCAGAATGCAACAGCATCCATGAAGGCAGTGGAAGAACGTATGTACCAACATGTTAGGCGGGTGGTTACTAAACTCTATGCTTTGCAGGACTGGGAGAATGCTAGTGTCATGGATGAGCAAACCTTCAAAACGAGCATTATGCTGGCATTGTCATTGATTGTAACTCTCGTGACAAGCTTGCTTTCGCCCCAGGAGAAATGGGTGGCCGTGCCTACGGGAGGGCCGGAGGAGAAATTGCTACTGGTGATGATCAGAAATAACTTGGTGGTAGTTCGAGGAAACGAGGTGCGACTTCGAGACTACGGGTTTGATGAATAGAGACGATTAACACAATTGACGACTTCCAATTCAAATTTGCCTTGTTTTCATTCATCCGTGCAAATGCCGCTATTACAGCATTGGTTGGGTGAGATGACTATGAATATGCACAACAATACCACGGCATGCAAGACCATGCCAGGTACAGCCTCGAAGCCAATAGGATAGTTAACGAGAGGTCTACGATGAAAAAGATTGAAGACTTGAACCAAGAAAACCATTTGGACCACTGTAGAATTTTCCTGGAAAGGAGGTGGAAGTCTAACAGAGATCGCAAAATTAGTCCTAAAATCTCTAGCCTCATCTCCAACGGTCGTTTCTCCACACTCAGCGATACACCCGTACATTTCATGAGTACCATATGATAACGGAGCTGATGAATTCCAATTCTGCAACAAACGTCATGACCACAGAGTCTCATGTTCGAAAAAGGAAGAGGCCCACTATTGTCTGTCAACGTTGCCGTGTTAAAAAATCCAAGTGTGATAAGGCGCAACCGTGCCTGAATTGTGTCAAAGCCAAATGTCCAGAGACATGTGTTTACGAATCTGAACTTAAGCGTGAAGTTTCGCCACCAAAGCTATCGTCCGTACCACTGGACTGGAATGAATCGATCGAAAAGCATCTCAAGTCTCATGAAAGTGCCAATAGGCTGCAAATGTTCTCACCGTCATCGTCTGTATTTATGACAACGCCCACCAGAAGCGTCATTGTCGAAAGCAACGATTGGCTTATAGGTGTTAACCCTGTGGTTCGGTCGACGGACATGTTGAACATGCACATGGACCTAATGGCCATGAATTCAGCTTCTGGCTCTTCGCCAGACTCGTCGTATTCTCAAATCAAGTTCAAATGCGTCAAAGACTCCACCAGGACGATCAGTCAGATGGAGATCTCACAGCAGGAGCCTGGCGCACGCTTGTTCTGGAATTTCAATGAGAGCAAAAAAAAATTGAAGTTGTTGACCATCCAGAACTTTCTGGATAATCGGCTTCGGGTGCAATTGCAAGAGGAAACACGTATGACATTCGGTCACAAATACATCGATCTTTATACGTACGGACTTGGCAATATTTACTCCAATTCCATCATTCGGAAGCAGTTTGCCGATTACGGGGCATCAATTGGTGTTTCTTTCTTGCATGATTTTGAATTTATGGAAGGAGATTCTTTTAACACGGCCTTGATGAGGCTTCTTCCTCTGCGTCCTGCGTTATTGGCTTATGTGGATCGCTTTTTTCAAAAAATTTACCCGTTGTTTCCTGTTTTGGATGAGAAATGGTTGCTCACTCACATTCAAAGGCTCTTGGTGTATTCCTCGGATGGCTCTGCCCTCTTGGATGTTTGTATTACTAGTAAGGACGATTTACTGATACTTGCCATTCTTCTCTTTGCTTTGCGAATGGCTTACCTTTCATTCCTCACTAATGTTCGAATACTGAATGAAAGTATCTTGGATATGCCCAGGGAATGGGGGCTGACACTACGTCAGTCTGAGATTTCCTTGAACTGTGTGGATGTTGCGATCAGGCTCCTTAACTCGGGCAGATACCACAAAAAAACGCTGCTTGTGAATTTTCAAGCGCACTTGTTGCGGGCTGTGACTCAAATTTATGCTCTTGAAAATGAAACGACTTTCAACATTCAGGACCCCGATTGTAATATTGGACAGTTGGTTCATATGGCCACAACTCTTAACTTGGACCGCGATCCAGACTATGTTGAAGATAACTTGCCCACTGATGAAGCTTCAAAGAATCTTCGACGAAAATTGTGGTACGTCTTGGTGCGTATGGACTACATCATATCCTACACCTTTTTATCTCCAAGGTGTATTTTAGCTTCACATTACAATACGAAGCTTCCAGATTTTTCTCCGCTTGGCATGAACATTGTCAATGCCAAAGTTGAGGAAGAGACAGTTCAACTGATGATGTACCTACATGAAATAATTTGTGGCGGAAGTGAACTTCTTGACATATGTGTAGACATGCGGAACCCTCATCGTGCAATTGATGTTATTTGCAAATTGAACGATTTCGAGATCTTAATTGATGAACGTCTTGGCCGAACTCAGATGTACTTCGATGGTTCTGCTCCCAATAACTACTCCACATATGCGTTGACAGTCCTCCAGATGCAAACACAGGTTCTCCTCAAGCTCTTCTTGGCAAACGTGTATTATTTCTTGCACTTATACTACTGCTACCAGGGGGTACTGGAGTTGGACAACTACTTTTTCAGGAAGCTCCTTCTTATTGCCTTCAATGAAATGAACCACTTCTGTCCGGAGCTAATGTTCTCCACCACTCTGATTGCTGATCCAACCTTCAATCTAATTATGACACCTGTCATTCTTATCTACTTGCATGTGATTGCAATTTTGGGTGTTGGATTTGTGCTTCGAATTCATTGTACGATGTTTATTTTGGAGAGAGACCAAAAAAATGAATTGGGTCTTAGGGTGGTCAGGGACATGGGAAATCGAATTGAAACTTTCCTATCTAGGAAGCTCAAGCTTTGCAAATTGCTCAGCGAAAGATATTTTTACGGGTGGAAATGCTCCAAAGCCAACGGGTTTGGTTACAATATTATATACGACAATCGAACCTACTCGGGAGATCTAGAGGGATTGGCAAAGGCAAAATTGTCATGGTCTGACCGTCATCAGATGGACATTCTTGATTTGATACCAGAAGAAGTTCCCATTCAGATGTCTGACGTAGGCGATGTTCGCCAGCACTGCTATTATAGCGTTCGGAGTTTGAACGACTCTGACTTGAAGGGCTTAGACTTGTACAAGACCATTCAAACAGACAACTTCTGGATTACTTTTAACTCCATTTCTGAACGTGACAGTTATGCCGCTGCTCTTGCAAAGGGTAAAGAGTTGCATCCTAGCGCACCTGAGATTGTGCCTGGTGTGGGAAGTGTAGTCAATTACGAACTGAGCATTCCGCCACTGGGAGTTGGAACCCCACGGACTGAGCTTCCTGTTCCGGCTCTTGAAAAGGAGTTTCCTGAACTCGTCGGTCCTGCTTCGAATGACATGTTTGATATCAATTTCTTCAGTACAGACTGGTCGATTGACCAATTCTTTCCGCCGATGAACTAAAAAGGAAGTTTATTGAATACATAAATTTATGCGGAGTCGTCGACAGCGTGGTGATCCTTATACATGTAGAACTGCAAGAAAATGATGCTGTCCTCGAAAATAGTACCCAAGGAACCCAACAACCAGCTTAAGTTCAACAAGACATATTGAGAGTCATTTCTGTAAAACAAAATCTGGCCCGCGTAGGTGAGATTTCCCAAAGTCGAAAACATGAAGAATAACAAACTCAATCCCTCCACAGACCGTCTCTGGTGGTTCTGGATAATCTGAGGAATACGTGCTCCCAAATACAAAATGGCGGACATGTACCCGATGATTTGAGGACCCAACTCAATCTTCGACGAAGGAGAGTCGTGCTCGGACCCCGAGCTGTCGCTAAAGAAATAACCCATGCATCCAGCACCCACAACGAATACGATAGGCAATACAAATCTAGTGAATACGCTATAGTCTTGAGGTTCAACTGCAATGTCGGTGAGTGCAGAGGATCTTCTTCTCAACAAAGGTGCATGCTCCGCACCATGGGACGAGCTACTGTGAGCTCTAGTACTCTTCCTGTGGTGCTTTGGGTACACGTTGGTGTAGTACAAGTACGAGGCAATCATCAAAAAGTCGGCAATACAAAACCACACGGCAAGAAAGATCACCTCCGGAAGCAATCCAGCCCAGAGGGCACCAATGAGGTTGAACAAGTCACCAAGAAACCAGATACTGATAAAGCCGATAGCAATACCTTCGGCAGACTTCACTCTCCATTGCTCAATCAATTGAGGCATGAGCAAGACTATCCAACTGGCGAGGCTATAAATGTTAGTAGGGATGCGGAGAATGTGAACGTTTTGGTACATACGAAGTGGAGCCCATGATTCCAGATACTGTGACTCTCCATGGAGCCACTTTATAGCCTTCGGCGATTGTGAATAGAGACTCGGTCAACGAGAGCATCGAAAGAGAAGTTGGTGATAAGGTGGGAAGTGCAGGGAAGAACAAAAGATAAAGCGAGGAACAAAAATTTTCCGACGGTGACGAAGCCATATAGATGGAAAATGGCGAACTGGGAATTTTGTGTCATCAGAAGCATGTTTGATGATTGCTTCCATTCGCAATTAAAATTCTCCTTTTCTTGTTTCTTTTCATTGTCTTCGCTTTGTCTTGCAAGATAATACAGAGAATCACGAATTCCGTTCTCAGCCTAATCCTTCGCGCGAAATGCGAAAAAACACTTTTGAGGAGCAAAAATAGTACACTAACAAGTCGAATTTCGAGACATCAAAAATCCAATTTGGTGATAAATGTGCCAAAAATGATATGAATGAAATTTAAAAGTCTTAAAGATTACCGTTATGTAAATAGTTCTCTCGATAACCATGAAATGAGGGTGTTTTCTGCAGAAACTGGGAATGCAGCCTTTTGAGTAGCAGCATGATGGAATTACCAATTTCAATGCAACCGGAAGTATGTTCATTTTATATCACACGAAACTTTGCAATTAAGTGACCACTTTTACTTACAAATCCCCATTGTCGTTTCTGCTCAATAAGAAGCGAATCTGGCATTCTTACACCTGTACACCAATGAATCTCATTGTCTCCCGCACACTCGAAAAATTTTTCTTCACTTCTCTTTCATCACTATTCTTTTATCAAACATCACATAATGGTACGTGAATTCTGAAAACGAAAAAAATTTCCACAATCATTTCGGTTGTGCGCTGGGGAGTGGAGCCATTTTTATTCGCTAAAGGCAAATCACAGGTGAACGTTGACCATTGTTTCTGTAGTTCGGAATGTTGGACCTTGTCCACCTATTGCCGTAACCATTTAGTTGTGCAAGAATGTGTATTCACTTCTTGGTGCACAGGCTGAGTACCTCACGGTACAGTAGAGTGAGTTTGGAAGTTGTTCGTTGAAAGTAATGGAGAACAACCGAATCAAAACTAACTCAATGACCCAGCCTTCCAAGAAAGTTGCCCCAGCTCCTTTGGCCACTAAGAGCCAGGCCTCTAAGGCCCCAAAGAACCCTCTCATCGAGGCTAGCCCTAAGAACTTTGGTATTGGCCAAGCTGTTCAACCAAAGAGAAACTTGTCGAGATTTGTTAAGTGGCCACAGTACGTGAGATTGCAGAGACAAAAGAAGATCTTGTCCATGAGATTGAAGGTGCCTCCTGCTATCGCTCAGTTTCAAGATGTCTTGGACAAGAACACTGCTACCCAGACCATCAAGTTGTTCAACAAGTACAGACCAGAGACTGCTGCTGAGAAGAAGGAGAGATTGACCAAGGAGGCCGCTGCTATTGCTGAGGGCAAGAAGGCTTTCGACGTTTCTTCTAAGCCAGTTGTTGTCAAGTACGGTTTGAACCACGTTGTCGGCCTCATTGAGAACAAGAAGGCTAAGTTGGTTTTGATTGCCAACGACGTTGACCCAATTGAGTTGGTCATCTTCTTGCCAGCTTTGTGCAGAAAGATGGGTGTTCCATACGCTATTGTGAAGGGAAAAGCTAGATTGGGTACTTTGGTTCACAAGAAGACCTCCTCCGTCGCTGCTTTGACTGAAGTCTCTGCTGAAGATGAAGCCGAGTTGGCCAAGTTGGTTTCTACCATCAACGCCAACTACATCGAGAAGTACGAGGAGAACAGAAAGCACTGGGGTGGAGGTGTCATGGGCTCTAAGCACAACGACAAGAAGGCCAAGAAGGCCAAGCTGTTGGAGTCTAGCCAGGCATAGAGGTTTTAATTTTCGTTTTTATAATTCACATATCATAGGGTCTAATCGTAGACTGCGAGCGCAGTTGCCAGTAGATTGATAAGTATTTGAAGCGGACGTATGATCATACACTTCAATTCAAATTTAAGTTCACCTAAGGGTTCATTCGTACAGTAATTGGATAATAGCCTATTTTGGCGTACCCTAATGTCTGAAGGTACTGCACAAGTGCACATCATCAGATAACAAACAAACAACGGTTGCACGCTACTGAGATAACGGACAGCGATCAGGTATATCAAGCAGATACGTCTCTCTCTGATTTTTATATCCGACTTACCGAACTCACCCTATACTAGCTGAACAGCGTTGTTCTTTCCATTCAGCGAAGAGGTGTTTGCGTACGTTGGATATACACGTGACTTAATGTGACTGTTCTCTATGCACAGGACCTCAAAATTTTCCTCCACCTCCAAAATATTCAGGCGCATCCTAACTTAGTTTCTTACTTCATAGACAAAACGTATGTTGAAACCGTGATCCACCCCGAACCTATGACCGTCTATTGGATAGATTGAAGCTATCGCCAATCTATGAGGCATTTGATATGCTCTTTTCCTCGTTCCCATGGGATATTTCAATTCCCAAGGTCATTCTGTCTCGTCCACTTACTAACCCTCAGGCAAAATGGCTAAATCTAAGAACCACACCGCCCACAACCAGACCAAGAAGGCTCACAAGAACGGTATCAAGAAGCCAAAGACTTACAGATACAGATCTTTGAGAAACGTTGACGCTAAGTTCAGAAGAAACCACAGATACGCTTTGCGTGGTACCGCCAAGGCTTTGGCTGCTGCTAAGGAGGAATAAACTCCCAGCGTCTATCTACACTAAGTATCAATGTACTTTAATCTCTGGCAAAAGTGTAGAAGTCAACTGAGATCCCAACAAACTTCCATGAGAATCCAAATATCTTCAATTCAGTACAACTCTGGAGTTGGCTCTTTATTACTACCATCAATTCCCTCTCCCATATCCCTCTTTCATTATACTTTGTTCTCTGATATGTTCTCTGATATCCAATCTGTCTTGACTATAGCCTGGTTCCGCCTCGTTCCTATTTAAATGTGGATTGGCTGGGAGACCTCATTCTAATATACCAGCTCTAAATGCACTATGGCTCTTTGCTGCAAAAAACACTTTACAACAGTATATAAGGAACCCATCCCCGTAGATTCTCATGTAAGCCATTTCATTAGATCTTATTATAATTCTCAATGTCAACTAAAGTTTACTTTTCAAACCTCAACTACTACACAACTGAAACGGAGTTGCAAGAGTTCTTGTCCCAGTATGGAGCGTACGTATCAGGTTTAATTTTGCTATATTTAACCTCATTTCTTTCCTAACCGCCAGCACAAACGTATTCATCCCCAATTATTACGTACGCTTTGGCACCCATAGAACAAAGCCCTTAGGTATTGCTTACGCAGACTTGCCCAGCGCTGAAGAAGCAGAAGTGGTCATCAAGGATCTCGACGGCAGTTTTTACAAAGATCGTAAGCTTAGAGTCAGACAACATACCCCCTATAACCCCCACCCCCGGTTTCTGAGATTGAGTGGCTCTTTACGAAGAGCTTCCAGACACCTGGAGTCAGACGACGGTCCAATTGATGTGCTTGGTGAAGACGAAGTGCAACCTGAGTACGAGGAAAGCAAGGAGCAATTGCCACCGAGTCATCTGTCAAAGGAGATACAGTATTCTGAGACTACTTTGTTTGTCAAGGGTATAAGACACAAAGCTACTGAGGAGAGTCTAAAGGAGTTCTTCGCTGACTTTAGTCCTACTAACATCAAGATTCTCAGACCGAGGGGATTCATCGGAGGCTTCAAACCCCGTGCTCATAGTGCTTTGGTATCCTTCAATCTACTGGAAGACTGGTCGCTCGACCATATCATTGAAAGCTGCAAGTCTCGTTTGTTGGATGGTTATTCGCTTAGTGTAGGGAAGGCCTTTGCTTCGCGGGATACACCAGACAACGAGCAAGAGGCACCAGTGGAGAAAGCAGAGGAAGATGAAGCAGCATCAGTTAAAACTGTAGCACAAGAAAATGTGACCGAAGCGAAAGAGCTGAAAGCAACAGAGGCGACTTCAGAAGAGAATCCCTTGAAACCCCAGGCAACTACCGAAGCAGCGAAAGTATAGTATATAGTGGATATACACTACGGAATACAGGTGAGTTAACGATTACTTTTTGTGCTTCATTACTATTTATACATCAAGCAACACGCTTAATCTTGGGTCTTCTGGGTACCTCTCAACAAACCGGTTCTTCTAGCAGCAATCAAACCAGCCTTTTGACCTGGCACGGCACCTCTAGAGATGGTAGAGGCCTTACCAATGTGCTGATGGTTACCACCACCGTGAGGGTGATCAACTGGGTTCATAGCGACACCTCTGGTTCTTGGCCAGGAGTTTCTCTTGACCTTGTACTTGTGGAAAGCTCTACCAGCCTTCAACAATGGCTTGTCGATTCTTCCACCGCCAGCAACGACACCAATAACACCTCTAGCGTCAGAAGAGATGACCTTCTTGGCACCAGATGGCAACTTGACTCTGGTCTTACCCTCATCTGGGTTGTGTCCGATGATGATGACGTAGTTACCAGAGGTTCTACCCAAAGCACCTCTGTCACCAGCCTTCTCCTCAACGTTGGACACAATGGTACCCTCAGGACAAGAGCCCAATGGCAAGACGTTACCGACGTTCAAAGAGGCCTTCTTACCACAGTACACGAACTGACCGGTGTAGACACCCTCGTTAGCGATGAAGATCTCCTCTCTCAACTTGTATCTGTATGGGTCTCTGAAGGCAACCTTGGCCAATGGAGCACCTCTACCTGGGTCGTGGATGATCTGCTTGACAATACCACGGATGTAACCGTGACGTTCAGCATAGTCCAAGGTTCTCAACTTGGCAGCTCCCTTTCTCAATCTGGTGTGAGAAGTGAAGATGGAGCCAGCACCCTTTCTTTGGTTACGAATAACTCTACCTGAAGATGTTAGTTGCTATGTTGTCTCGCAAATATCGGCTTGAAACTGACCGATGGAGGGGCCGTAGCGGCCTTGATGTTCACATACCCATTGTTAGTGTTTGGCAATGTCAGACTAGTTCTAAACCTAAACGAATTTTCAGTGGTGAGAAGTTTTTTCAGTGGTGGACGGCACATAGAAAGTTGAGATTTCAAGGGCTTGTACCCTAAATAATAGTGTAATCACGTGACTGTTGAATATATGGTAGCCTCTAGTGAACCATTCTTAGTGACCAAGAAGAGTAATCTATGAAGAATGAGGTAGTTTTCTGATTGCTTTAGTATGGTTTGCTACAATTTGATCCATTGGCTTGTATCCATGTCCCATGACTTTTATTATTACCATCCACTACCACGTCTGATTCGCACCCCAATATATCTGGTGAACTCATCAAAGAGCTCATTAAGATCGTCCTTGCTAAACAGCTTGAGCTTCTCCTCAGTTGTTTGGTTCAGCTGTGCCGGTCCTAGCAATTTTTCTGCGTCTTCTTTGGTGAAAGTGTCAGAATTGATGATTTCCTCAAGTTCCGGATTGGGCTCGTTCTCCACAATCAACTCGTAGTACTCTGCTAAGTGCAAAAGATTCTCAGGAGAGATCTTCTGTAAGTCTTCGACAGTTTCGGGAAACTCTGATGGTGCTGGTTCTCCGAACCTGTTACATAAGGGTGCAATTCTAGAAGTAGGTGCACTGGAGCCGTCGATGTGGGTATTAAAAGCTCTCTTAACAGTTCTGTCCTCTAAGAAATCGAGCTGGCTTTGTAATTCCCCTACCAATTGAACGATATCCTCATTGGTGACGAAATCCTCAGTGTCGATAGTTTGTGGCTTAGTGTCCATTTGGGCCATTTTGCTCTTGACGTCCTTTACTTGAATCTCCATCAATTGCTTCCCTGTTTGAGCGATGACCTCGCTTTGTTTATGCACAAGAGCATAAAGTTCTTTTATCTTTTCGTTCAAGTCCTCGTTTGACATGATACTGAAAGTTGATAGTATTATCGAAAGTGCGATAACACTCTGTGGTTAGTTGCATACAGGCGATACGGGTATTCCTTTCAAGCAAGTGCCTAGGCTCTTGACAAATTTTATCGACGAAGAGATGAAAAGATAGAAAATGGAAATAAACGTGTCAATTATCGGAGTCACAAAGGCTCACATAGGGAACACGAGAACTCATGGAGAGTCGGAATTCTTAGGGGACAAGCACAGATGCGAGTATCGACTCTAAGCCAGCAAGTACGGCCTTTCTACAACGGCAAGTATTCACATTCGTCAAGTCTGGATTGCTCATGTTTCTTCTCTACATCCATGAGGATTTGTAGTGTGAACTGTGCTTTAAAGTCAAAGATCTGTAGGCGGAGGTTTTAGTAGGTGCGCTCAGTTTGATTCGTACTTCTCACTACCCCGTTGGCGATTTACTTCCTCCAGATCAATAACCTAACATTTATTCCTCAAATTTATGCCACAACAACGTAATAAATGCTCAATTTTCGAAAAGTACAAAATAGATACTAACGTTATGTAAGAATGCAAAATAGTAAATTACAACAAGAGGTTCTATAGTGTAGTGGTTATCACTTTCGGTTCTGATCCGAACAACCCCGGTTCGAATCCGGGTAGGACCTTCTTTTTCACCATAATTTTTTGATGAATGGGATTCACCTCCTATACGGGATCCCTCCACACTACTTAATGCTCCATACCCGTTCTTACAAAATCCACTCCCAACTTTCATAGCCTTTGCAACCCCGCCTTAAATCACAACCTCACCTAACGGCCAAAATTGAATTGCTAAATTGACGTAAATCGTCGCTAGTTGGGGAGCAGGCTAGGTATCCTACATTCCACAGTTCAGGCTGTCAAAGCCACCGTTGGAAGGAAGTGTCTGGACAATTGGAGGCAACCGAAGCTTGTCGTCAAAAATTAACCTTAGCGCACAAATCAAATGAACCACTCCCAAGTTTCTCCTGGGGACAATAGCCATCGTACATCTCACTTAATTTCAAAGAAGGTCCAAATCGGGCTAAGATAGCCAGCAGCCCTTCATCTGCAGGACAAGAGAGTGAAGCCAGACTTTGTCAGGGACGATGATTTATGGAGCTAGAAGGCAATTTTCGCTAATTCTTCTATTTCTTTGAGGCGTTAAATGCTAAAATTAACAAGGGGATTCTTTTTTTTCTCGATTTTTAAGTAGGTTTTTGCCAAATCAACCAGATCATTATATCCACATGATTCACTCAGGTACCGGCATCGCCCTACCATGCAACCGACCTGTATAGCCACTAATGCTGGCCCAAGGACCGATTCGTTTGATCTGGGCGAATAAATAGTGGAGAGACCCAGGGATTAAAATTGATTGCTCAAAAATTTTTATCGAAGTTGGTCGTGTTAGTCTACTTGCTTTGACTTTTACTCATCATCCCATCTTCTCGACTTACAGTGGTTACTATCCAGTCCAGTCAGAACATAACTTCGTTTCGGCTACCACATAGCTGCTAACACTTGCTTATAGGTACCAGCTTGCTTATAGTTGCTCACAGCCGCTTCTAGTGCTTATAATTGCTAAATTTGAACTTGCACTTACATAGTCCAAGTTACTGCTCCAATCTACACCAGTTACAACAATGAGAAGACTATTGACAATTGTGCCATTCGCCCTCGTTGCAGGCTCATGCACTATGCTTTTGTTCGTTCTACTCAGTGGTGCTACCGACAACCTGAAATTCCTCAACAAATTCTACTTCTCAAGTGTGACCACATCAGCAGAGACCAGATGGACACTGTATGCCATCTGCTCCCCCAATGGCGATGGAACCGTCTACTGCTCTAATAGGGAGCCTGCCTACCCATACTCCCCATCTGACAATTTCGGTGATAGCTTGGTACCAAATGATTTTGTCAAGAACAGAAATACCTACTTCTACTTGCTGAAAATCGCATATGCATGGTTTCTTCTTGCCCTCATATTCTCGCTCTTGGCGCTTGGACCAATTTTGTGGTCGTGCATCTGGCGTGGCTTTCTTACTGGGTTCTTCGCTTCGTTTGTGATTGGAACAGCCTTCCTCTTTTCGCTTCTTGGGTCTCTGTTCATTACTGCTGCTCATGTCAAAGGTGTCAAGGCATTCAAGAAGGCAGGCTACCAGGCCAAGGTGGGAAGAGATATGATGGTTGTTATCTGGTTGCTGTTTGTATTCTTGTTGGCATCTTTGATCTGGATGATCTTTGTTGGAATTCATGGTGCAGAGGAGGAGTTCGAAGATCACGAAAGCCATTTCGAGAAGCACCTGCGCCATAGCTCGGAACTGGACTAATGCATGTGATCAGTACGCTGTTCCACTTTCACTTCAACTTTTTTCCCATTTGTTCTTTAATTTTAATCGTATGGTTTGCAAATGTAGTCAGGAAGTAACCATGAACCAGTCAATGTAGATTTGGGTGCGAAATGGATGTACCCTGCAGTGAATTACATCATCAGCAATCAACGCTTGATAGGGGAATGTAACGTCAGCATTGCTGTATATAAACTTAATATTGCTTACTACATCACAAGAACACTGGTGCTTATATTCTCAATCATTACCAACCAAAGGGCCGTTTCTACTATAACTGAGGTGTATAACTGGCACAACCATCATAATTAACATTCGCACCAAAACCTACACTGGCATTAACATCATATTATGTCTAATAAAGTCGAATTGGTCACGCAGCCCGCCAAAGAGGGCGAGACGTCTGCAAGAAATGGGGCTTTGCAAAAACTACTGAAACTCGTGGAAGCCGAGGCAGGAGATGGTCCTGATGTTAAAGCGGGGTCTCCATTGTTGGATGAAGAGGGATTTGAGATTCCACAAGACAAAATTCCATTGGACGGTCATTTTTCCACCGACGAAATGAAGGAGTTGGTTAAGCTCACGCAAGAGGAGGGGATGCTTCTGGAAAATGTGGAAGTGAAGGTTTTGGATACCAATAAGGTTGGAGATAAGATCGAGATTGTGGAGAAAAATGACCAAAAAGAGGAGGATGACAAAAAGGATGAAAAGAAGGATGAAAAGGATAATAATAACAAGAGGTCATAATGGTGTGACTTGACGATGAAACGATTTTAGATTGCAATTTATTGCTTGTGTATGAATATTAATGTTGTCCATTACTCCACAATATACTCCACAATGTAGAATGCGAAAGTATAGAATGCGAAAGTATGTACCCAATGAAAGCTGTGAAGATGAAGATGCTAATTTATTTAATATTTTTTTTTTTACATTTGATCTTCGTAAACTTGGAATTTCACTCGTTTCACTGAGCCATTTTTTTCTTACTTAATGTCTCTGGTTGACCTGACTTTATTCTCTCGTATTAGTCTTCTCTCTGTATGCAGCCTAAAAATAAAGCTTACTTACCACCAACCAGTCTCTCTTGGTTACCTTTACTTCACCACCTAACCGTCCCCATCTCTGAAATCCACAATTTCACATCTCGGAATTTCCAGCCATGGATCGAGATGTGCTACGAAGACCGCTATACCTAGTGGCTTTCCTCGGCCTCCTACTAGTGTATTTTACCGCCTATGATTACCTCTTGACTCCCAATGAAGGTGCCGACGCCGGATCGTGCAGAGTGGTATCCATGTATCCGTCGTTTGCAAGGATCCGGTCATTTGACCAATCTCACACAAAGTTTGCTTCCAAGTTCTCGCTCTATTTATACCGAGAACAAGGAAAAGATCCCATTCCAAAAGAAGAGAACGAGGGTTTTCAGTCTCTCGATGGAATACCAGCTCTCTTCATACCTGGAAATGCTGGCTCATACCGCCAGATGCGCTCTATTGCTGCCGAAATCTCCAACTTATACTTTGACGACAATATTCATGTGGTAACCAACCCTAACGCCAGAAATTTCGATTTTTTTACCGCCGATTTCAATGAGGACTTCACTGCATTCCATGGCAGAACCATGCTTGATCAGGCAGAGTTTTTGAATGAGGCAATTCGCTTCATTTTGCTGCTTTACCTGAATACGTCAAATCCTCCAACATCGGTAATAATCGTGGCCCATTCCATGGGTGGAATTGTAGCCCGCGTCATGCCCACACTTCCTAATTACGTTCTAGGATCTATAAACACTATAGTCACTTTATCTTCCCCGCATTCAGCTGCTCCTTTGACTTTCGATGGTGACATCTTGAAGATATACCTGGCAATCGATAGATTCTGGTTAGATGCCTTTGAAGTTGATCCCAATTCGCTGGGAGTGGCTCATCTGAGACTAAAAAATGTATCTTTGGTGTCAATCACTGGTGGCCTCTTGGATTCTGTGCTTCCAGCTGACTACACCACGTTGGGCTTCTTGGTCCCTCCGTCCAACGGATTTGCCGTTTATACGACAGGAATTCCTGACGTGTGGACTCCGATGGACCATTTGGCTATTATGTGGTGTCGTCAATTGAGACGTCAATTGCTGAGAATGCTTTTGGAGTTGGTTGATGTCACTTCTCCTCATAGAACATATCCTCTAGAAAAGCGCATGCCCATTATGCGCCGTCATTTGTTGTCTGGGTTTGAGAGCTACTCGAAGAATGATAGACTCCCACCTGGAGATGCTGATGACCACATTATTTTAAGGTTTGATAACAAGGAATCGGGTCGTGGTGCCTTTCCAAGATACATTTGGAAGTCAAATGAATCCAAGGACTTGGTAACTTCGATCCCTTTACTGGTGAATTCTACTATTCTGATAGTGTCTGATACAGAATTGGATCAGGTTTTCTCGTCGAAAGGCGTTAAGATTCTTCTTTGTCGAAAAGAGGGAAAGGGCACCAGAACTTTGGACCTCACCACACTGGTAACCAACGAGTACATTGAGTTAGTATGTGCTGATCTCTCGGATCAAACCAACTTTATTCCTCGCTCTGCCAAGGATGTTGAGGCCATTGAAGAGTCCTCCTTTGATGGTCACAAACTGCCATTTCATGCATTGCGATTGAATCCAGAGGACTTCCAAGGATATGAAGAATTGGTGATACTAGATACAATGACCAAGTTGAGAAGAAAGAAAAATTTTGTGATTGTTGAGCGCAGTCACTTGAAGGATACCCAATACAACCTTGCTAAGGACATGTTTACCTTGATTACTAGAGGGGCTGAAGTCTCCTTGTTGCCCAGCAGTCCACTTGCTATTAATTTGCATATTTCAGGGGCATGGTCAAGTATTTTATCCTACCGCTTAGAATTAAAGGGCCTACAAAAGTTGCTGGACGGAAAGTTCGAACCTTTCATGCGCCAATGGAAGGAAGAACCATACGAAACCAAATGGCACATCAATTTGAATTCACGCAGATACATCCTGATTTCAATGCATGGAATTGCTCCATATACTCCATTCAACCAAAAGCCAGATACCAGGGGGTTGAATTTGGAGCTTTGGAAAGATCCACAGTTGGATATGAATGAGAACGAGATCGAGACAATTGATGTTGTTCTTAAAGTTGACTGGGCGAACAGCTTAAAACTATTGGTGTTGCGGTACAGACTCGCTACGATTTCGCAATGCCTTGCTATCACTGTTCTTGCAACAATGTTCCAGTTTGCTCAGTATTTCAGTTCAGGAACCTTCCCAGACTACATATTCGGCTTGCTGAGGGTAACGCAGCGCAACGTGATGGTTCCAATCTTGATCATCCTAATCCTATTGACTCCTCTTACAAAGCTTCGTGCCGTTCAAACGTTTTTAAACGTGATAGACCCGGTAGTGCTTCATGATCCTAATGAATTGAACTTGAGTTTACATGATGATTTCACACTCAATTCGTTCTTCCTTGGTTTACAAGAGCTGGTTTTATCTGGAGTCAGTTGGGTTTTCTTTACAATGGGTGTTGGACTCAACTTCCTCTTGTACTACGCGCTCCAGTTTATTGGCATTGTTGTACTCACGGCAGCGTCCCTTGTACTGGGTGTTTTCTCAAGGATAGACAATACCCAACAGAGAGATGTGGATAATTCTCTGAGAAGGAAATTTGTCACCACTGCCCTCATAGTATGTGCGGTGCTTTTCTATCTTCCTTATCAATTTGCATACATGGTGAGCTTTGTCATTCAGGTTGTCACTACCGTCAAATCCATGGCACACAATAGAACTAGGTCGATGTGGAACTATCATATCAGTTTTCTCATGATGATGTTGTGGGTTCTTCCCATCAACGTGCCTGTACTTGTTGTTTTTGTCCACAATCTTAATATTCAGTGGAACACCCCATTCTCCTCGCACCACAACTTCATGGCAGTTGCACCAATTGTGGCACTTAGCGAAGTACACAGTTTTTTCCCCGAATCAATGCCGTTTGGCGGAGAGAATAAGCAGAGAATAAGCAAAAAGGTGTTTGCAAAGGTAACGTTTGCAATTCTAGGATACACTGTGTTTTACTGTACTATGTATGGTGCCAGACACACGTTTTGGCTCCACCACTTGTTCAACATATGGTGCAGTTGGCTCCTTATTGGATTCCTTGACCACATGTACAGCCCTCATGACGAAAAGAGCAAATAGGAGGGTTATCGAAGGAAATTTCAGATGTTCCAAAGGCATTAGCGTCAAGTACAAAAATTCTTCCATTACTAATATACAAATATACATTACACTGAACACCAGCCTAAGACCTGCGTGCACTGAAATAAACTCTGAGGTCAGGAGGGATAGCAACACGCAGTGTCTGAGTCCCAGGTATTCCCTTCCTCAAGTGTTAACCCATAACTTAGTTAGCAGCAGAGGAGTACTTGGTAACAGCTCTGGTACCTTCGGAGACAGCGTGCTTGGCCAACTCACCTGGCAAGATCAATCTGACGGCGGTCTGGATCTCTCTAGCGGAAATGGTGGACTTCTTGTTGTAAGCAGCCAACTTGGAAGCCTCGGTAGCGATTCTCTCGAAAATGTCGTTGACGAAAGAGTTCATGATAGACATAGCCTTCTGGGAAATACCAGTGTCTGGGTGAGTCTGCTTCAACACCTTGTAGATGTAAGAAGAGTAAGTCTCCTTTCTGGTCTTGGTCTTTCTCTTACCCTCACCAGAAGAAGCGGTCTTCTTGGCGGCTGGCTTCTTCTCAGCTGGAGCCTTGGATGCTGGTTTCTTCTCTGCCTTTGGAGCCATTGTTGATTGATTACTAAAAAAGTGTTGGATATACAAATTCGAAGTTGTGACTTTGGCGGAATCCCCTCAGAATATATACCAGTTGCCACTAGTCTGGGTGCAGGGGCAATCGCGGTGGGAGAGGGAAAATCTCACTATGTGCCTGCATCCAGTAAGGAAATCTCTACAAACAAACGATAATTTCGCAGCCGGGTGAGTATATTTGAGACCGGAAACAGGAGAGTGAGGGAGACATTGGTGTCAGGGATGGAAGTATTGACTATGAATTGCAGGGGACTTGAGATTGACACCAAAGTATTCACCGTGAATGGAGTGGACAGAGTAAAATTAGGACATGTAAACACGAGCTACTACTCTACTGAATATGATGATTTTTAATTTTAATTGATAATAATTTTTCATGATTAGTCAATTCAATTTTGATTTGATTTTTGTTTCATGACTCTCAATTCTTCCCCTCTATCTTTTCAGTCTCAATGTCTTAGTCTCACTAATTTACTAGCCCACAGTTTAATTGATCTCTCCGTGTCGTGACATATGTTACGCATCCTCAAGCGTACATGTCAGCCCATCTTCGCGCAGCGTAACTATGGGACCTCAGCGTAGTCACCAGCGCGGAGATCCTCGCGAACATACAGGAGGAGAACCTCTCAGGGAACGTTTCCATGCACTCCCCAATGGCAACATAACGTTATATAAAAGCGAATGGCACCGCACAACGTCACAAGTCTTTTTTTTATAACAAACTATATAAATCAATCATCACAATGTCCGGAGGTAAAGGTAAAGCAGGATCCGCTGAGAAGGCATCCACTTCTAGATCTGCCAAGGCTGGCTTGACTTTCCCAGTCGGTAGAGTCCACAGATTGTTGAGAAAGGGTAACTACGCCCAGAGAGTTGGTTCTGGTGCCCCAGTGTACTTGACCTCTGTGTTGGAGTACTTGGCCGCTGAAATCTTGGAGTTGGCTGGTAACGCCGCCAGAGACAACAAGAAGTCCAGAATTATCCCAAGACACTTGCAGTTGGCCATCAGAAATGATGAGGAGTTGAACAAGTTGTTGGGTCACGTCACCATCGCCCAGGGTGGTGTGTTGCCAAACATCCACCAGTCCTTGTTGCCAACCAAGAAGGCTACCAACAAGGCCTCTCAGGAATTGTAAGTGGAATAGCTTAAGGAAATTGATTTTTCTTTGCTCCTATATTATAATTGACACAATGGCGTACTGGTCGCCTTGTTGTTGTGTATATTAGTATGTGGTCAATATAAATGTTAAATACTACAGTTTTGTAATATAAAAGTATTATGCTTAATGTCTTGCTGTAAATATTAATTTGTTTAGCGATATATGTATTTAATTCGGATATTCTTCCTATATAGACTTTCCGGCATATCTGCCTCCACTATCAATCTTTTCTTCTACATTTCCTCCAATCTTCCGATCTTCATTACCATGGAAAAATTCAGTGCTTGGAGAGATAAAGGTACGGGAATCTCCCCATTTATGCCTCTGGACATTGCCAAGTCACCTGTTAAGAAGTACGTGGTGGATCCGATCTTGTTACTTGTTAAACTTCCAGTTTTCTTCATATTATACATAGTGGCCGCCGTAGCACCTAAGCCAGCCATCAAGGCGGTGTTCTCACTTCTATTTGGGTTCAGCGACATCGACGTACTGGTTGAGGGAATTCGCCGCACGAGAACGGCGGAAATCGACAGAAACAGACCAGGTATCAATCAAGTGGTCATCTCCAATTGGATTTCTCCATTGGATGTGTTTTTGGTGTATATTTTGTCGAATGTGGCGTCTTTGAAACAGGTAGCCGTGGTATTACCCAGTAATGGGGCATTATATACCGTAAGTGCATGGCTGACCATCTCACTTTTCTTCGGAGAAGAGGTTGTCAATGTTGGAGAGAAGATTGTCGATTTCTCCTCCTTGAAAGACAAGTTGGTGTTGTATTTTGTGGAGGGAACAGCTTCCAATAACCGTGCAGTTCTCCCCTTCGCTTCAACGTCGACCTCTTATTTTGACAGCCCAGGCTTCACCTATAAAGCCTTAGTGTTGAAAATGTACCCCAACTCGCTCACGCTTCCCATTCCATATTTAAGCAGATGGCAGTATCTCACACGTTTGCTCACTCATCTGTCCAAGGGTTTGTTTAAGGTGAAGATCGTGCCTATGGAAACGATCTCTGCCAACTCGCTTAGGCTGGTGTACGCAGACAATGGACTCAGCACTGTTGAATTGGGTTCTGACCAGAAGGAGAAGTTCCGTGAGTATTATAAGAGTTATGCTCTCAGCAACTTCACCAAGTAATCACTTGTCTTGATCTGGAACCTTGGATTTATCCTTATTTGAATGTCTCGACGAATGCTCCTTGGACTCTTTGCTTTTGTCATGTTTGGACCTCAGATGCCGATGTCTCTTCTCCTTTTTATCGAGACTCTCGCGGCTCAGTCTTTTTCTGCTTTGTGCCTTTATGGACTCCGTTGCAAACTTAGCCATGGGATCTTCGAAATCGTCGTCGTCGACCATTGTCTTGAAACTCAAGTCATCTAGTTGCTCGGGTTCTGGCTCGTATTCCAACAACTTGGGTTTCAGAACTGACTCGGATACATCTTCAATTAGGGCCGGCTCGGGGTACTCAACCAAGAAATCATCTTCGTTCTGTCCATCCACGAGTTTATAATACGTGTGGTCCACCTTGAGTGGCCGTTCGTAGACCTTCACTCCATTGAAGTTATCGATAGCTAATGCACATGACCGATGGTCCTCGTACTTCAAGTAGCAGAAACCTCGAGACTTACCAGTTTCCTTATTTTTGATGAGATTGACGTGTGTCGGATTTCCATATTGGGAGAAAATGATCACGATGTCTTTCTCCTTCAAGTCCTCATGGAGATTTCCAATATAAATGTATGGGGTGTCACTGTAGTCTGCATGCCAGGAAGCAGCATCGGAAACGTTGGCCTGGAGTTCCTTCTCATTAATAGCAAGAATCTTATGGATGGAATTCATGATTTCTCACCCTTGGAAAACAGCCAATTAGAAAATATATCTCCAGTTGGTAGTTAGTTTGGTTATCGGTGGTGGAACTATCTCCACATTTTGTGCAGGCGCACCGATGAGATGGGTCTTAATTTTTTTCTCAGTATAGTGTGAAAGATCATAGACATGGCTAGAAAAGGCAGCAGTGCCGGTGAGCCGGTGAATAGAAAGAGAAAGCAACAGGAAGAAGATGACGATCTTCAAGTCAGTGGAGTTTTGGACATTGAGGAAAGCAGCGACGACGAAAATGACCAGGATGAGATCGAGGTGAACCAAGACCAGAATGAGGAAGGAGATGACGAAAATGACGAGGATGAAGAAGATGAGGATGAAGATGAAGAAGAAGACGATGAGGAGGCTGAACTTAATCGTCTTTTGGCTGAAGAAGAAGCTGAAGATGACGACGACAGCGAAACTGACAGAAGTGAACCAGAGTCTCTCAATGACAAACTCAGTGGAATAAAACTCAAAACTCTCCACACACAAGATAGAGGTGAAATCTACACAACGTTTTCGGATGGAAATCCTCGTACCATCAAGCCCGAGATCGAGCCCGTCTACGATTCCGACGACTCAGATGCCGAAAACTTTAACACCATTGGAAATATTCCACTCTCCGCATACGAGGAGATGCCTCACATTGGTTACGACATCAACGGAAAGCGTATCATGCGTCCAGCCAAGGGTAGTGCTTTAGAGCAGCTCTTGGAGCTGATCGAGTTGCCAGAAGGATGGACCGGTCTTTTGGACCAGGACACTGGACTGTCGTTGAAGCTTACACCCGAAGAGTTGGAATTGATCCGCAAGATTCAGAACAACGAGAACACTGACGACTCCATCAACCCATATGAGCCTACTATCGAATGGTTCACCTCCAAGACAGAGATCATGCCGTTGAGTGCAGCACCTGAGCCAAAGCGCCGTTTCATGCCTTCGAAGCATGAAGCCAAGAAGATTATGAAGATCGTCAAAGCCATTCGTGAAGGCAAGATTGTTCCACCCTCTCAGGTAAAGGAGCAGGCTGAGGAAGAGCAGCACAACTTCGATCTCTGGAACAACGATGATGCATCTACTGACCACATCATGAACCTTCGTGCACCTAAGCTTGCTCCACCAACTAACGAAGAGTCCTACAACCCTCCAGAGGAATATTTGTTGACTGAGGAGGAGAAAAAGCAGTGGTTGGAGACCGCGCCCGTGGATCGTGAGACCAACTTTATGCCTCAGAAGTATCTGGCCTTGAGAAAGGTGCCAGGATACCAAGAGTCTGTTCGTGAACGTTTTGAGAGATGTTTGGACTTGTACTTGGCTCCTCGTGTGCGTCACAACAAATTGAACATCGATCCCGAATCCTTGATTCCAGAATTACCTTCTCCTAAGGACTTGAGACCATTCCCTATCAAGTGCTCCACTGTGTACCAGGGTCACACAGGCAGAATCCGGACTGTTTCGGTGGATCCTACCGGATTGTGGTTGGCTACCGGCTCTGACGATGGAAGTGTTAGAGTGTGGGAGATTTTGAGTGGACGTCAAGTTTACAAGCTCCAAGCTATCGATGTTGAGGAGAATCCCGAAGAGCACATTGATGCTGTGGAATGGCACCCAGACTCGACGGTTGCCATTTTGGCCGTCGCTGCTGCGGAGCGTGTGTTGCTTGTCGTGCCACCTATCTTTGGCTTTGACATTGAAAACGCTGCCAGAAACAAGATTGAGGCTGGTTGGGGTTACGGCACTTTCGGAAATGTCAGAAAGGATACCGAAATCAATGTCAACTCCGATGACGAAACAGAGACCACCTCCGCTGACAAGCCAAAGCAGGATGTGGCTAAATGGTACACTCCATCTCCAGAGCAATCTGTCAGTGGTATCTCCGCCATCATTGAGTGTAAGAAACCTATCAAGAAACTTTCGTGGCATAGAAAGGGTGACTACTTTGTCACTGTTTCCCCCGAAAGCAAGAACACCTCAGTGCTCATTCACCAGTTATCCAAGCACTTGTCACAATCGCCCTTCAGAAAGGCCAAGGGAATTATCATGGACGCTAAATTCCATCCATTCAAGCCTCAACTTTTCGTGAGTTCGCAGCGTACCATTAGAATCTATGACTTAGCTCAACAGGTGTTGGTCAAGAAATTGATGCCTGGAGCTAGAATGATCTCTGGAATTGATATTCACCCTCGTGGAGATCATCTTTTGGCATCTTCCTACGACAAGCGTGTGTTGTGGCATGATTTGGACTTGAGTGCCATGCCTTACAAGACGTTGAGATACCACGAGAAGGCAGTCAGATCCATTCAGTTCCACAAGGGCAACTTGCCCCTCTTCGCTTCTGCATCGGATGACGGATCCATTCACGTCTTCCACGGTACCGTTTACGACGACTTTATGACCAACCCATTGTTGGTGCCTTTGAAGAAGTTGACTGGACACAAGGTTGTGTCGAGCATTGGTGTGTTGGACTTGGTATGGCATCCTAAGGAGGCATGGTTGTTCAGTGCTGGAGCAGACGGCACGGCTCGTCTCTGGACCACTTAATACTCTACTCTAGAACATCTTAACATAATGTACATTATCTCCTATCTATGATTTGTTGTAAGTACAACTAACTAGCTTCTTTCCCTCGTACGTAGAAACCCACAAGGAATCGGGGGTGGCCCTGAACAAATCTTTCAAAATGATCTTGACATTGTCCACTACACCCGTGTTCTCCTCGTGTATGAGCCAATCCATCTTCTTCCAGTCCAAGATACCTTCATGGCAATGAACTCTGGGTGTCTTATAGGCGGCCATATCCTGATCTGACACTTGTGCAGTGAAAAGGTGAACACCACCCAAATCTATGTCGTCTCTAATCCAGCGGAGGACGCCACGATCTTCATACTGAGGAATGTGAAGGCCCGTTTCTTCAAAGGTCTCTCTGACTATGCAATCGTAAGGAGACTCATTTTCGTCGAGTTTTCCACCCACACCGTTCCAGCGGCCCATCCATGGAGCCTTCTGTCGATTGAGAAAAAGCACATGGTCTGATTCCGAGCGAATGAACCCGAGGGTGTACTTGTAGCGTTTCTGAGTCATGGTACGCGTAGTATGATTTCGCGTATTACTTCGCACCATAGTAATGTAACTTATGAGATAATGCATAAAGTTATAGAGAACTGATAAACCCGTTCTCTAAACTGGTTAAAAAAATTAATCGTGATCAAACTCATATCTTCATTATTTCCGTAAGTTGGTCCCATGGTAATGGCCACTTATCTTTGGAACTATCCATGTGGTCCATGTACTTGTCTCTGTCCATGTAATACTCTAATTCTGCTATATCTTCAGGCAAACCCAACTTTCGATGGTCTTTACGAGTAAAGAGCAAAATGGCTAGAGATCTTGCCAAAGGTGGAATATCCATGGTAAATAGAGCAATTGCTCCTGCCATTATCTGGCCCACGACCTCCGGCTCCACCCCTCCATACCCAGCACCTAACGCTGGAAGAATTAATGTGCGGACCTTGTCAGTCTTGCGTCCACTTTCAACTAGAACGCTCCACATGGTATCGAAAACTACCTGACAAGTAGTCTTCTCTGGAACCACCATAGTGGGCACCTGAAGCAAGGTCGTGATGTTCTTCGTGTATGCCAAAGTGGAGGCAAAGTCCATTTGGGCTTCTCCATATACCTTAGGCAAATCAACGTGGTGGACAGTGGCAGGAACTATATATCCGCGATGATGGTGGGCATTCCGTTGAATACACCGTTCAAGAGTCTTGTAGTTGAAGTTTGGAAACCGGTCACCCGTGAGTTCCAAGAGAATTGCTTTGTCGAAACCTCCTCCCATGTAAGCTAGAGAATTGGCAGGAGAAACAATGGCTGACGGGCCAGAATCTACGTATGAGCGAAGAAAAGGACCTAGTGCCGCATGTACCACTGAGACGGAAGTATTGAGTGCTGGGATGGCGTCAACGGCCATTTGGATGGCTGACACCACCGTCTTATTGGAGTTTACTATGACATAGTTCATAGGTCAGTGTTCAATGTGACTGATCGTTAGGTTTTTCTTGTCTCAAATGAATTGAGTGAATGAGTGAGCGATGTCAAGAAGATCAAACAAGAAATCAACAAAAATCAAATAGTCAAAAAATCAAATAATCAAAACCGTAACCAATGAATCGTACAACCGTCCAACTTTCGTCCCACTCACCTATTTATTGGTCAGCTTCATCTATTGACTCCACCTCCTAGCCATTGTGCAGTGCGAAGTCAGCCATCAACAGCAAACCAAAACAACCCAAACCAGACAAATAGCAAACGAAAACAGCCCACCGGAAAAAATTGACAATTCCCCATCCTTCTTCTGTCGGCCAGGTTTTTGTTAAACTCTCCTATTCAGATCACCCAATTGTGGTGGAAGGGCACGTGCCATGTCTTATTGCCGAATCCTGGGGAATAGAACATTGAGGCCCACTGTTTCCCACTTTTCCGACTCTTTTGGGGCTGAATGGTCTCCTCTCGGTGTACGGGTGCATGGCCACACCTCCAACCTCCCAACCTCCAGCATCGTAGCTCCGACCTGTCATACGATTGCTCCATACAGTGCCAGTGGCACGAGTGACCCTCCAAATCCCCAACCTTGCGCTACCTGCTAGTGCAAAGTTCCTGCTTAAATAAGCCCCGCCTTTGTCTCGTCCCCAAATTGTCACCGGTCACCCAACCATCTAAAACCGGGGCGCTTTCTGCAGTCCGCGACACCCCAACCGTTCTATATAAAGTGTCAGACATCCACGTTTTCTCGCGGTTTTGCTCTCCATCCGGTTTTCTCCAGAAATTTCCCTCCACTCCTCGACAATGGCCCCAATTGCATTCTCCGACATCCAGAAGCCTTCCAACGACTTGTTGAACAAGGACTTTTTCCACTTGGCTTCCGCCAGTGTCGACGTCAAGTCCACTGCTCCAAACGGTGTGGCTTTCACCGTGAAGGGTAAGACCACCAAGGACAATGCCATTGCTGCTAGCGTCGACGCCAAGTACGTTGACAAGGCCACCGGCTTGACTTTGACCCAGGGCTGGAACAACGCTAACACCTTGAACACCAAGATTGAGTTGTCTGAGTTGTTGACCCCAGGTTTGAAGGGTGAGTTGGACACCTCGGTTGTGCCAAACGGCTCCAAGAACGCCAAGTTGAACTTCTTCTACCAGCAGTCTGCTGTCAACGCCCGTTTGTTCTTCGACTTGCTCAAGGGTCCAGTTGCTACTGCTGACTTGACTGTTGCTCACGATGGTTTCACCGCTGGTGCCGAGTTGGGTTACGACATTGCCTCTGCTAAGCTCAACAAGTACTCTGTTGGTGTTGGTTACGCTAACCCATTGTACACCGTTGGTGTCACTTCCACCTCTAACTTGTCTGTCTTCACTGCTGCTTACTACCACAAGGTTTCTCCATTGGTTGAGGCTGGTGCCAAGGCCACTTGGGACTCTGTCAAGTCCTCTGCTGTCAACGTCGAGTTTGCCACCAAGTACAGATTGGACTCCACCGCTTTCGTCAAGGCTAAGATCGCCGACTCTGGTTTGACTGCTTTGGCTTACTCCCAGCAGTTGAGACCTGGTGTCACTTTGGGCTTGGGTGCCTCCTTCGATGCCTTGAAGTTGGCTGAGCCAGTCCACAAGTTGGGTGTCTCCTTGTCCTTCTCTGCTTAGGCTATGTATAAATGAATTGTTCGTATACTTAGATTCTGTGCTACTTTATGTATTGCTTCTCATTATTTAGTGAATTGTGTGCCTGCCCCCACCTTTATTGGTGTTTACTCAATTAATGGGCGAGCAGACCCGGACCTCTCCATATTACCCACAAGGCTTCCTACTCATCAGAATAGTCTCTATAGACCATCATGGAAGAAAAGCCACTGGTGCCAGACCAGAAGCTGGTTCAAAAACCTGATCAGAAACCTGACCAGAAATCTGATCAAAAACAAAATCGTACCATTCCCACCATTCTTCAGGTATCGCGGCCCTTCTTTACCTTTGCAGAGCTTTCCTACCTCCATGGCAACACAATTCCAGAGAATAGAAAGTTGGCTTATAACCAGCGGAAGCACCAGGTGTTCCAGTTTTTGTTTCAGATAGTACGCATCATGAAGTTTCCCTTGCGTACATTGAGCACCGCCATGAGTTACTATCAAAGGTATTATCTCTTCAACATGTTCGAGGAGCCAAAAGATCAGAACCCAGACAACGACCCCATTGTTGAGTTCGAAAAGGATCCATATATGGTGGCATACACCTGTATCTTCCTTGCCACCAAACATGAGGACTGTATCAAGAAACTTAAGGATATTCAAACGGTCGCCAATAAGCTTCGAGACATTGACCAAGACAGCCGAACCTTTGCAAAGACATCCTCAGCAATCACGTTATTTGAGGTTCAGCGGAAAGTTATAATGAGCTTGGAGTTCAAGCTTCTTCAGGTGTTGAAGTTTGATTTCTTGAATGGTGCATCCACTATTCCATCCATCGAGTCCTTGGTTGTTATCTTCTCAAAGCAGCTAGGACTTGACTACAACTACACGCTTTTTGGGTGGCTCGTCTCTTTCGACATACTGTCTACACCACTTCCGCTAGTGGTGCCTCCTCATTGCATAGCATTGGCCATCGTGATCATCACTCTCAATCTCAAACCTACAGACATCAGATCCAAGTATGGGGAAAAGTCCGACAACTCAGATTTCAGCGATATTTTGGATAATTTGGACTGTTTGGCTGACTTCAAGTGCCCTGAAGCCTTGGTCAACGAAGCCATTGTCTATATCTTGGACTACTATGTGCATCAAATGAATTTCCTGATTTTGAATGAATACATGCCAGCCACCAACCTGGAGTCTGGAAAAGAGCAGATCTTTAAGTTCATGGACCTCAAGTCTAGATTCAACGACCTCAAAGTTCTCAGTGAGGCGTCAGTATCAACTCAGGGACTTCTCAAACAGGATAATTACTTGCGTAAATGGGACTACACCGTTGGTAGCAAGGGTGCTGCCCGATTCATGATAAGCAACAAGAGGAGACGTTTCGATGCTGAATATGTTATTTTACGTCCACCTAAATAGTGTACTATATTCCTGTCTACCCCAATTTGTAGCTGACACTAGTACCAACCGAGTGTAGATTTGTTTTAAAAGACATGAAATTGACTGAATCACTCTCACCATCGATCATTTTAGCATCCCCATTGGTGTCTGCCCATTCAACAGGAATGTTACGCGTGTCGTATGTTGGGTCTGTGAAGACAAGCACATTGAATATGTACTCGTCATCTTTTAGAAAGGGCAAGTACGAACCTGAAGCAGTGATCTGCCGTATAATAGTCTGGATCTCTTTCTGGATCTCTAACTTGCTTTTCTCGCTCGAGCTTGACGAATCGTTAATATCCAATGCAAATTCCCATCTTTCCACGCTTTCTGCCGTGGCCCTATTGAGAATCACTACCACAAGTTTGGTGAGCTTTCCTCCGTAAATCCATTTCTTCACCTGGTCCATGATTTTCTTTACGTAGTCCTTCACTTCATCGTCATTACTCACAAGCATTGGTAAGTCATATTTTCTGACCGTAATAAAGTCCTCAGCAGGATAGATGCCCCTCTGAAAAAGGATATTGTGGATTGCAAACTCAAAGTAGTCTGCTACGATTTTGGACGAGCCTTTGAGGGCAAGTTTAGGCAGAGCGTCTGACATGAAGATGAAGTAGGTGTATGAAAGGTAAATAGTAGGAGTGCATGAGTAGGCTTGAAAATGCCTGGGGAGACATTGAGTAGAATATCTGATAATTGGGCAAGTTATGGAAGTAGAAAGGAAATCACTGGAATAAATCGTGTGTAAATTTGTAAGTTGCAAAGTCTGAGTTTAGTTCGTCGTGTTTTCGATTTTTAAGGTTGTTATTTATCATTCTGTAGTTTAGTAGTTTCGCAGTACACAAGTAAATATAGAGAAGTATTAGGTAGATGATGAAATTAGTTGACTTTCAGGAGTAGAAAACATCGAATTAAAAATCGAAAAAAGATATTCCGGATCACCATTCTTTCCTTGAATAAAGAAAAAGGTAACTCTTGAACTTGGTAGCATGGCTAACTCCATAATACATTCCATTACTTTCCTACTCACCCACCTTACTCACTCAATCACTCACCCTATATCTCAATAATAATACATTTCATATTCACATGTGCAAATCCACCGAGCCAAGCTCCGCCCAATCGTTAACATCTCCCTCACATAGCATCAACTTTAACATTCCACCGTCCCAATGTGGACCCTCATTGGTCTGATCCCAAATGTCCAGATCACAGTTATCAATGGACAAGTAATCCAGCACCCTCGAGCGAATGGTGTGCCATAGAGCATTATCTATCGGGTGTAAGTCGCTATAAACTAGCGAGACATGCGGGTCGAATTCCTGAACAGACCACTCAGCAGCCTCTTGTGCCAGCTCCTGTTGGATGCGAGCAACGTCAATTGCAACCTCGATGGGTTCTGCCTTGCTCAGTGACGCTGATCTCGAATGCAGTTTGTGTTTCCTCACCAAGTTACCCGCATGGTCCTTATGGTAAAGGTGTGGATTTTTCGCCTTGTGTTCTTGTTCTGTTTTCTGGGGTAAGATGACGAAAAGTTCCCGCACGATCCGGGCGAACGACACCAACGTGGGATCCCTGGCTACCTGGAAGTAGAGCTTCTTGAAGTACTTCCTCTGACTGTTGACTTTCCCCATCTGGATCCAGTGTTGGCTAGACGAACTTCTAGGAAGCGAGTTGAGGGCAATACAGCACGCAGAGAGAATGCGATCCACATCGTCCTTTGGATTAGTCAAATCTATGACTATGTTGGTGGTGATAGTCACATGGGGCTCAAACTTTGGCGGCAGCCCTGGGAAGACCGTGTTGAGTGAAGCCATGACAGTCTCTAACTTATCGTGAAGAGGCGACGATTTCTTTGGACAGAGCCACAATGCGACGCCTAAGCCTGGTGGTCAGTATTGTTTTTATGAATATTTTGACGTCATTTACTCAATTGTGTAAAGTTATTTGTAAATACATACCCATGATTCAAAGAAGTGCTGGTGGTGGTTCCGATTAAACTGGAGTGCGCACATGTGTAGATCCCTGTACTACTTTTTGAAGGCTTGACAATAACCCAATATCAAGAGGTGTAGCATAGGAGCCATGGTCATCACTTTACATCATAATCCATCCAGGCTTAAATTGTCTATGTAGAGAAGGATACCTCTGCCTAGTACTTGGAAACAATTACATCGATACCACTGACAGCAGCATCGTTAACAAACCACGACACTGGCACATCAAGCTCGTTGACGTACTTGCACGGTAACTTGGAATCTTTCTTGTTGAATATCTCATCGATAACTGGCGCCTTACCCTCTCCCTCTGCTACGAATGCTATGGCTCCCGCGTTCTCCAACACTGGGAAGGTGAAGGTGATTCTTCTTGGAGGAGGCTTAGGGGAGTCTCTGATCAAAGAGATGTGCTCGCTCTTCTCTGTCAACAAGGGATGTCCTGGGAACAAAGAGCATGTGTGACCATCTGGTCCACATCCCAAAAGAATCAAGTCCAACTTGAGGTCTGTTGGAAGAAGCTTTGCGTAGGATTTGGCAATCTCAGCATCTTTAGCTTGATCAGATCCCTCAATTTGTCCGTCCTCTCCAGTGAGCAAAGACTCGTCAATGGTGTGAACGGTCGGCTTTGGTCCGGTGAGATTGTTGAGCACCATTTCAGCAAAAAGTCCATAGTTCGAGTCTGCGTGGTCCAATGGAACCAATCTCTCGTCAGAAAAGAAAACCTCCCATTTATCCCACTGTACCTGACTGGCAAGTTCTTTGTTGTCGATCAAGGCTGCCTTCAATACCTTACCTAAAGATCCTCCAGAAACTGCGATCTTGAAGGTTTTGGAATTCTTGAGCGCCTCGTTCTGGGCCTTCACAACGTGCAATCCAACAGACTTTGCCACGTCAGCCGAATCCTTATTAGAGTAAATAGAAACCATGTTGTAGTGTTAATTCAATTCGGATGGGCCCCAACGGTTGCTGTGGAAAAGTGGACAACCGTTGGCTGCAGGAAAAGCATTGTTCCGATGCTATCAGTAATCTCACAAAGTAATCCACATTACTCAAGATAGTGGGAATAATCGGCACTTTCCTTGATTTTTTTGTTGAGAAATTTCTCAAGCTTTGTGGCATTTTTGTAGTAAGTGGTCGTCTCAGCATTGTACGACCGACAGTTGTTGAAAATGAGGTTACAATCGTACAAGAACTGATCAAACGTCTCGTACTTATCATTTTCAAGTTTCAGTTCCATCGTCGAAAGATCCATTGGTTCCTTAATGACATCGTAGTAGTCTCCCACTTCGTCTTTATTCACAGGTACTGCGAACGGCCAAGCCAGAGGATGGTTGGTGATTTCCGAGAGAAGTGTCACCATGAAGTTGTAATGTGGACCTCTCTTGGGCTTCTGTGCCAACTTATCCATTTCCTCCAGCCATCCGCTCTCCGATAAACCAGGAATATCTTTGGCCTGTAGCTTGAAACCTGGACCAGCATTTTTGAAGACTTGGAGTCCAGGCCGAACAACGTGTGATTTGGACCGCAACTTGACCTTCTTCTCAATGGCGGCCTTCTGAAGTAACAAGATCTTTCCCGAATCTAGATACCGCAAGCGCGACGGAAGCATTGAGCACTGCATTAGCGTACCTCCTTCATAATCTTTGATGTAACCAACCCAGACCAGCTTGGGGAGCGTGACTTCTTTGGTAAAACCCTGCTTCTTAAAATAACCAATGGCATAGTTATCTGCGTAAGTCAAGAAGTACATGATGGGAGATGTAGCACGAACATAGTCCTTCAAGTGGTTCATCAAGTGAGCACCGTAACCTCGAACCTGCTCTGTGGAAGAAATGGCACAGAACACAATCTCCGCAAATCCACGATTGTTGAACGGCCGGTATGTGATACCTCCCACAACTGTCAATGGCTTTCTGACCACGGCCATAGACAAATGTGATCGATCATAAACTAATCTCAGGATATACTCTCGGGGCATCTTAGGCAATTGTTTCTGGAAAATGTTCTTAAGACCAGTAAGCACAATCAAGTTTTCTCGCGTGTTATCGTTGTTCACCACTCGAAACTCAATCTTTCCATCCCGTTCTTCAAGCACCGATGGTCTCTCCTTAAATGAGTACTCATCTCCATCGAAATTGAAGTTAGTGATCCGGCGCTTTTCCTCCTCGTCGTCGTCATCGTCATCGTTTTCGTTCCCGTTAGCGTTTTCTTCGTCATTTTCTTCGTCGTTCTCGTCATCATTCTCGTCCTTGGATTCCTCAGCATTGTCATCGCTAGCATCCTGCTCACCATTCTCCTGTTCAAGCTCGTCTTCCTCTTCATCCTTGACTTTTTCATCAGTGTCTGACTCTAACTTTGGACTGGGTGAAGATTCCATGGAATCCGCGTCATGGTACTCTTCTTCCTCCTCAACCTTGACCTTCTTGTCATGCTTAGCTTTTTTCGTCTTCGGATTGTCCACTGACGAGTGAGTGGCAGACCTTTTTCTATCCACCATGGAGTATTGTTTTATGACTTATGATTCTGGAGTGCAGACAAATAGGTGAGGTGGTAGCGATTTATGGTGTGAGTAAAACTTGTAACAATTTAGAAAGTTTGGGAAATTTGCAACAAACAGAAAATAAAGACGTACCGTGAGATTGAATTTGAGACCATGTTCTAGAAAATTTGGATGTTGATTCAAATTCGGTACTTCTAAATTAACGTTCCCCACTCATTTTGAGTATTCGCTCAGTATACTCAGTCTCAGTACACACACTCACTTTGCCAGTCACTTAAGGTAACTTGCACCCAATTGCACAAACAAACAATACAGGATGAAGATAATGAGCAAAGAAATACTTGTGAATTGATGAAGAGCTATAAAACCCAATCATCACACCCAAACAGCCACATCTGAGTAGTTCTTCATATACTTTAGGTCTCTTCTCTCGTGGTGCACGGGTGTACTACCCATCTCGCATCTCAACTTTTTCATGATGAGCTTAGTAATTTCTCCTACATCATCATGTCTTACGCCCCCCTTGAGAACCAGAGCCAGGCTGGCGTGGCCACCGTGCTCTGTTGCAACTGTGGTGTGCCCATGGACGGCTCTCTGGGTCTTGTTATGTGTTACGACTGTATCAAGTTGAATGTGGATATCACTGAAGGTATTCCAAGAGAGGCCAATGTCAGTTTCTGCAGAAACTGTGAGCGCTTCTTGCAGCCTCCGCAACAGTGGGTGAGAGCAGAGTTGGAATCTCGTGAGTTGTTGGCCATCTGTTTGCGCCGGTTGAAGGGTTTGAACAAGGTCAGATTGGTGGATGCATCGTTTATATGGACTGAACCTCACTCGAGAAGAATCAGAATCAAGTTGACCGTTCAAGGCGAAGCCATGCAGAATACCATCGTGCAACAAACCTTTGAGGTCGAGTACGTGGTGGTAGCCATGCAATGTCCTGACTGTGCCAAGTCTTTTACAACCAACACCTGGAGAGCAACTGTCCAGATCAGACAAAAGGTTGCCCACAAGAGAACGTTCTTGTACTTGGAACAGTTGATCTTGAAGCACAACGCACATGTTGACACCATCTCTATCCAGGAGGCCAAGGACGGTTTGGACTTCTTCTACTCTCAAAGAAACCATGCCACCAAAATGGTGGACTTTTTGTCTGCTGTGGCACCAATTAAGGCCAAGAAGTCCGAGGAGTTGGTCAGTATAGATACCCAGTCAGGCCTGTCCTCGTACAAGTTTTCGTTCTCTATTGAAATCGCCCCCATCTGTCGTGACGACTTGGTTGTGCTTCCAAAGAAATTGGCCAACCAGCTTGGTAACATTTCTCGGTTGGTGATATGTTCTAAGGTGTCCAACTCCATCCACTTCGTGGATCCTTTGAACTTACAAACTGCAGACTTACCTGCTAATATCTATTGGAGAGCACCCTTCATGTCTCTTTTGGATGTGACCCAGCTCGTGGAGTTCGTTGTATTGGATGTTGAGCCCACTGGAGATATCAGAGGCAAGAACGTGTTGGCCGACGTCACCGTGTGCAGAGCCAGTGATTTGGGAGTCAATGACCGTACATTCTACGTTCGCTCGCAATTGGGAGCCATCTTGCATCCTGGAGACTCTTGTATGGGATACTACTTGACCAACACCAACTTCAACTCTGAATTGTGGGATACCTTGGACACCGACAACGTTCCAGAGGTTGTTTTGATCAAGAAGCACTACACTAGAAAGTCAAAGAAGTCTAAGAACAGAAAGTGGAAGTTGAAGAGAATGGCTCGTGAGCACAACGATATCGTTGCCAACGACGACTCGAGACAGGCTAGACAGGAGCAGGAGAGAGCCGAGAGAGACTACGAATTGTTCTTACAGGAATTGGAAGAGGACCAGGAGTTGAGACAGACCATTAACATGTATAAGGCTGGTGAGGAACCACAGCTAGATGCCGACGATGAAGATGACATGGATGATGAGGATGCACCAGAGATTGGCATTGACGAGTTGTTGGACGAGATAGATGGCATGACTTTGGACTAGGGACTCTAATGGGCATAATTAGCAATTGAGAAATTGTAGACTTAAATGAAGTATACCTAAGTTCTAGGTGTGCGTTTGATTGAAGAAAATAATTGTACTAGGTTTCGCAGCCACAAGTCATAGGTGTGCACACGCTCCTTATCACTATCATTTATCTTATACTCTTTATCTAATGGACAAACACGAACAACTCAAGTACACGCCTCTCCAATCCTTTGTAGAGTCGTCGTTTTTCACAAAGCTTTCAGAGAGAAAACTTAACGAATACAAACTTGATGCTTCCACCAAACTGATTGGAGGATTCATGACGTCTCCACGCCAGCTTAACAAGTTCAATGACCGGCCCATTATCAACCTCGATTACTCCAGTTTCGAGCCTATAGGAGAAGATGAACTAACGACTTTCATTCCTGGATTGCTTCACAATGTAAACACCATTGAGGAGTTCAAGCAGCTAGACAAACACCAACTTCTTCGCGATTGGTGCTCTGAACTCAAGAAGGGAATGGCGCATGGGAAAGTTGAAGAGACGTTCCATTTATTGACCTTTTCTGACTTGAAGAAGTACAAATTCTACTATTGGCTAGCGTTTCCCACCATACACTCACAGTGGAATGTAGTGGAGAGAAGCAATAATAACGAGTATGAGCTTCAGATCGAGGCATCCTTGGGGGAGAATACAGGTTCTTTTTTCCAGATCTTGCCAGAATCCGATGAGATGGTGGGAATTGACAAGTTAACCTCTGCAACAGAGGGAAAGTTCGCCTATTTGGACTCGTGTATTAGTCCAGATGGCAATCCTCTGATTCAGCTCAAGAACTATCTATACTTGGTAGCGACAAAGGGCTTCCAGACCATTACTGTCTATGTCTACAGAAACAATGGTCTGTCTTATACCCTCAAACTTGTCCTTGATCCTTCTTTTGATGCTGAGGATGAGCCCAAAGTGACAGGTTGGGAGAGATCGGTCCTGGGCAAACTTGGGCCGAAGCTCGCAGATTTGGGCTCGCTCATTAACCCAAAGCAATTGGCAGATCAGGCCGTTGATTTGAACTTGAAGCTCATGAAGTGGCGTGTAGCGCCCCAATTGGATTTGGATACTATCAAAGAGCAGAAGGTGTTGCTTCTAGGAGCTGGAACTCTCGGAAGTTATGTGGCACGAGTATTGATGGGTTGGGGTGTCCGGAACATCACATTTGTCGACAATGGAAGGGTGTCGTATTCCAATCCTGTGAGACAACCACTTTTTGCCTTCAAGGATTGTTTCAGTGACTCCAACCAGGGAGCATTTAAGGCAACCAGAGCAAGCGAGTCATTAAAGGAAATTTTCCCTGGTGTTACTTCTACAGGATATAATATTGAAGTTCCAATGATAGGACACCCAGTGAGCGCTGGCAGTGAAGAAAGTGTGAAGGAAAACTACGAGACCCTTGAGCGGCTTTTCGTAGAACATGACGTGATCTTCTTGCTTATGGACTCTAGAGAATCTCGCTGGCTTCCCACCTTAATGGGTGTAGCCCATAACAAATTGGTTATCAACGCAGCTTTAGGTTTTGATAGCTATCTTATTATGAGGCACAGTCCTCTAGACATGACGGAACGTCTTGGCTGTTACTACTGCAATGATGTTGTTGCTCCTACAGATTCCCTTACCGACAGAACTTTAGATCAGATGTGTACCGTAACTCGACCTGGTGGTGCATTGATGGCATCTTCACTAGCTGTGGAGCTACTTGTATCCATTTTGCAACATCCTCAAAAACAGAGTGCGCCAGCAGGTAGTAGCACTAATTTTGGGGAGGTTCCACACCAAATCAGAGGATTTCTACACACTTTCAATCAGTCTAAGCTTTCGATTCCAGCGTACAAGCATTGTTCTGCGTGCTCCAAGGGAGTAGTTGACTTGTACAAACATGAAAAGTGGGAATTTGTCAAGAGATGTTTGAACAGCACCGAATATCTTGAGAGGGTCTGTGGATTGAAGCAGGTACAAGAAGAGGCCGAAAGGGCATCAGAAGCAATGATGGAAGATATGAGTTTCAGTGATGAAGATGATTTTTAGGCTTGACAATAGGCACCACCACTCCATGAGTATTGAAGAGTTGAAGGATTGGTGAACCGAAGTTTTGAAGTTGGATGTAGCCAGACCACCAACAAATGAAATAATTAATGTACTTTAGTATTGCGAGGACATTTGCAGACAAATCACTTTGTATCGCACAGTTCGTGTATCACTGCTTTCAAATGTAGGTGTGTCGCGCATACGTAAACATCATCACCAAATACCAAAACACACCTCCGTACTACGCCATGAACTCGCTGTTCAGCCACGCAGACCGTGGAAGTATACGAACATTAAGACTCACCGATGCATATTATGTGGACCGAGCCATTTACGAGCCTGTGTTTGCTCCAGTCAATAGAACCGTTCTGTTGAGTGAACTTCAAGATGTATCGGTTCAAGAGGCAGCAATTACCAAAGATCTCCTACACAGTCTCTTGGGGTATGAGGGCAGCTACGTGCGGTTTAGTGACCGTTACAATCGAAAAGTGTTGCACGATAGGATCCATGGGCCCGACTTCAAGGTTGCAAAGCACTTGGATGTGAGTCTCAAGACTATCACAAAGAAGATTCTTCGATACGGCAAGTACTACTCGGGACTCAAGCTGTTTGCGGAAATATATGATAATCCACAGTTTGGCCGTGTAAACCAGAGCTTGTGCTGGGAAATCAGGAACTTTTTAGACCAATTTGAAAAGCTAGTACTAACGTTTGAGGGGGCCTACAATTACAATGGCTCATTCACCTTGAACCGCATGGACAACGACATCTCCACTAAGTGTGCAGATACCATGGTACATCTCTACGAGATTGCTTGTTCAGTTCACACAGATACCGAAGACAGAAACCCGGAGTTTCGATCGGCCCAGAGCCCTGAAGAGGTAGGCTTGTCCGACAAGTCCAAGGTGCCCAACTTCAATGTTTTTCTTAAGTACATACGGGAGGATCTTCATCAAACAGGTTCCATAGAACTCTCTACTGATACGAACAGGTTTGAAGTGTGCAAAGGTGGGCTAGTGTTGCAAATCGTGGCTCGACGTATTAGCCAATATATGGGCGACGCTGTGTCGTTCAGATTCTTGTCTCAACTCTTCGATTCGATCAGCAAACCGTACATTGTTCTCTTAAACCAATGGCTTGCTGAAGGTGAGATTGACGACCCATTCCAGGAATTCTTCATCAAGAAAAACGACCTTCCTACCAACATCTTCTACTCAAACATTGAAAAGCACTGGGACGAGCTTTACGTCATAAAAGTTGATGGCATTATGGAACAATTCGAGAGCAAAGAGCTACAGACACAAGTGTTGGCTACGGGGAAATATCTCAACATTTTCAGACAATGCACGGGAATCTCCAAGATCAGCACCTTGCAAGAGTCAAACTTGGTCGCAGCAGAACCAAGACACATAGAGAGTCTCTACTCGCAAGACTTGTCTATCAAAGTGAAGCAGTTTTATGATAGAGCAAACAATCTACTATTGAGACTATTATTCGAGGGCTACGACTTCCACAAACTCATGTCGTATCTCCACCAAACATTCCTCCTTAAGGATTCATCGCTAATTGACAGTTTTCTTGAAAAGTCTTTTCAAGACTTGAGTCGAAACAAATACCATGCGTCTACAATCAAACCTATCAAGACATACAATGAATTATTTTTGAAGAAGAAGGTATTTGAGACCGTTGATATCAATGTTCCCAACGACTCCGTTAAAGTGGAAATCCATGAGGTATTGCAGTACTGTGAAAAATTCACCGTTGACAGCAATAGCTTCTATGAGATGGCAGAGGAGATCATTAACATCCGATCTTTTGATGTCGTTGACGACATTCAAAATGATCACAACGCATCCAGTGCGATCAGCAGACTAGTAAGCAAGTCCTTGCAAAGAAGACCCATTGACCTGTCGAGTTCAGGGGGTTCCAGAGGGCAAGATCCAATTGATAACTATACTATCGCTGGTGTCAATATCGACATTAATTTCCCATTTCCCTTAAGCTTGATTATTAGTGAGAACTTTGTATTCGAGTATCAGCTTCTATTCAAACTTCAAATGATTCTTAAGTTTGCGAGCAAGTACACCGAGCAGTGCTGGAAAGATATTAACTTCTCGACGGTGTGGAAACATAAGAATTTTTCGAGACCCATAAAAAAGCTTATTCTTCGCTGCAGAGTATTGAACTCTCGAATGAGAAACATGCTCAACGAGATACAGAACTACTTAAACTTTACAATTGTGGAGTCAAACTTCAAACAACTTGACCAATCCCTCACTGAATTCGAGAGAACATCAAAGAATGTTCCACAAGCTGCAGCAAACACCGAAACAACGTATTCATCTCAATTATTCCTGAGGCATTTGTCCAAGAACAACGATATCTTCACTGAGAAGATTCTAGCATCTACAAATCACCACCAGAACCATTTGAAGACCACCCCAGAAGACAATAGTAACGAATTGATTGAGTTGAGCAACAAAATTGGCACCTATTTGAGTAATACATTGAGAGACTCTATGATTACCAGCAACAGTATGCTTACTTGTTTACGAGCCTTGTTGAATGGGACAATACAGTACAACAATACGGTCAGCAGGCTCAAAAAATCACTTATTTCTATGGACGAGGAACTTCTTCAAGCCTTCAGGCAAGATTTCCCGGACAAATTCGGACAGGTTGAGATTTCCGAGGCACTAGTCAACTCGCGTATTGCTGGACTCAGCGAGATATTAACAGGCCATTGGAACCTATTCAATACGAACTTACAGGAGTTTCTTGAATCACTTCGCAGCGTAGGAGCCGAAAATGCTCTCATGAACGTGCTTGTGGAGAAGTTGCAGGTTGTGTGAAGATATTCTAGTATGTAGTGAATCAAATTTGCGTGTCATCAGGGGTGGATTCGTTAAGCTCTTTTATGAGAGCATCGGTTTTGTCGTCCTTGTAAACCTGGAAGCCGCCGTCCTTGGTGACGGATGCCAACTGGGCATTCTTGCAGTCCAACTTCTCTTCCATTACCTGCTTCAAGATCTTCAATGCCAAAAGCTCCGCCTCCTTCAAGGTTAAAGACTTGTGATACTCGTTCTGCAACTCGGTCTGAGCGCCCTCAGAGCCTGAACCAATGGCTTTAGCGTCGTATCTGTAGAAAGTTCCCGAAGGTTCAGCGTGATACAACTGTGGGCCCTTTTCATCGATTCCCGCAATCAAAAGCGCCACACCAAATGGTCTGGACATCAATCTCTTCTCTCCAGAAGCACCCTCGCCGAATCTCAACGCCAAGTCACAAACGGACTGGGTCAAGCTCTCCACCTGCATTTCCTCGTCATAGTAGAGGTTGTGGGTTAACGACGAAACACGCGCATGGTCAATCATGGAACGGGCATCTGCGGTTAAACCAGACATGGCGCATCCGATGTGTCTGTCAATTTCGACGATCTTCTCAATGGAAGACAGCTCCAAAAGAGGAGAGGTTACTCGTTTCTCTACTCCCAAAATCACTCCCTCGGACGTCAGGATTCCAATGGCGGTGGAGCCCAATTTGATGGCTTCGAGCGAGTATTCAACTTGGAAGAGACGGCCCTCAGGCGAGAAAGTAGACACACCTCTGTCGTATTCGGATCTGGTTAAAAACATGGCGAGGTTACTAAGTGGAAGTTTGATAGTTTGAGTTGAGCTAGTGGCAATGCGACATTGCGACATCTGGCTGCGAAACGACACTTGTGAGACATGGCCATTCCCGTCAGCCATTCAATATGATTTTAACTGTTTAGTTGCATTTGCAGAATCTTGGAGAAATTGAAGATTCTCAATTCTAATGAGAATCATGTGCTCATTCTATATTCTTGTATCATGAATCTCATCTCTGCATTTGTTCTAATTTTCAATTCCTCCACCTAATTTACCTACCATACAGTGGATACGTCCTTGATCTATCGAGAGAATTGAATCAATCGAATACTAGTAAATTTGATCTTCGTCATTTCAGGATCTTTATTATGATTGTTTAGATGTAGCAAAGTTGCTGTCAAATTCACTAGATTACTCCATCGATCCTTCCTCCTCTCTGATTCTCTAACCACTCGTTGACGGATCACTTCCCCATTCTATTGGATTCTTAAGTGGTCCTTTGCAATTCTTCTTCTTCTATCCACAAAATTCAACTTATTCAGTACATTTTTCTATTTAGGCCTTTGGTGCCAACTCCACAATCTTCTCGGCAGCTGGGTCCAAGTCTTCGAAAGCATACAACTTCAAGCCAGAGTTGTCAATCATTTCCTTGGCCTTCTCCATGTTGGTACCCTGCAATCTAACAACAACTGGAATGTCCAACTTGAAGTTCTTAGTGGCAGCAATCAAACCCTCGGCAACGTAGTCACATCTCACAATACCTCCGAAAATGTTCACGAAGATACCGTTGACCTTCTTGTCGGACAAGATCAAACCGAAAGCCTTCTCAATGGTCTGGGGAGTGGCAGTTCCACCACAGTCCAAGAAGTTGGCTGGCTCACCACCGTACAACTTGATGATGTCCATGGTGGCCATGGCCAAACCAGCACCGTTGACAATGTTGGCGATGTTTCCGTCCAACTTGATGAAGTTCAAGCCGTACTTGGAGGCCTCCATCTCCTCTGGGTCCTCCTGAGTTGGGTCTCTCCAACCAAAAACTTCCTCTTGTCTGAACTCAGCATTGTCATCGAAGCCCAACTTGGCGTCCATGGCCAACACCTTGGCGTCTGGGGTCTCAGACAATGGGTTGATCTCTACCTGAGTACAGTCCTTCTCCGTGAAAACCTTGTACAAGTTCTGGATGGTCTTAGCAGCCTCTGGGATAGCAGCATCGGTGTAGCCCAAAACGGAGGCGATCTCGGTAGCCAACTTGTCAGTGACACCTTCCTTCAAGTCCACTGGGAAGGTCTTGATGGCATCAGGGTCCTTAGCAGCAACACCCTCAATGTCCATACCACCTTGAGAGGAAGCCACAATCATTGGCAATTGGGTAGATCTGTCCATCAAAATGGCCAAGTAAGCCTCAGTTCTGGCGTCTCTTCTCTCCACAACATACACAGCAGTCACCTCCTTACCAGCAGCTCCGGTTTGCTTAGTGATCAACTTGTGGTTCAACATCTTCTCGGCGAGGTCCTTAGCCTCTTCTGGGGAGGAGATCAACTTAACACCACCCTGGAAACCGTTGTCGAAGTGTCCCTTACCTCTACCTCCGGTCAAGGCCTGGGCCTTGATCACCAACTCGGACGAGCCCAACTTCTTAGCAGCATCGAAAGCTCCCTGTGGGGTGGTAGCTGCGTAACCTTTTGGCACACCGACACCGTACGACTCCAAAATGGCAGCAGAACGGTATTCATGCAAAGACAAGAATCTCTTTTGAACGACCTGAGTAGTTAGTATTTGAGTTGATGGTGAATGGTCTACTTTGTCCATGGATACTTGGAGTAATGGGAAAGGTGGAGAAGCTTTGTTTTTTTTTTATTGCAATTCATCAAGTGATTTCAGCTTGCAGGAGTAGTTAACCATACTTCAATAATCATTGTTGGCTTTATAATCTGGTAACTTCGTCGAGAATCGTAAACTTCATCACCTTGGAGACATCTGGAGTAATACAAACGCCAAAAAGAGGATACACTGGGGGATAACCGATGGAGCGAATGGAAAAATTGAACACATACTCTGGAGGAACGGACAACTCTGGAGAACATTGTGATATATGAAACCTCGATGGGAAAAGAAAGGTTGTGGATTTTTCTCAAGGTAGTTAGGTTAAGGCCTCATGGGTTTACCTCGGACACGTATCGTCCTTGCTTACATAATCCACAGCGCTTTTCTCATAGTGATGGCCCGGGGCTTGAAGCTTTTACCCTCGGGGCGGTACGGGTGCATAGCCTCCGATGCCTGGCATTCGGCGAGATGGGTGCAATTATTTTCAGCCAGTAGAAGATGACGATGGGATTTTAATGTACGGAGGTTGTTGTTGGAGAAATGAATGATTATCAGGGATATTTTTACGTTTTTTTTTCTACAGTCATTAATGTTTTTCTCGGATTTTTTTGGTGTTTTTCGGCATTCTCTCAGTTTTCACACTACTCTTCCCCCGCTCCATGTCTGCCCGGGACTGTATCATATTCATTAATGAATAAAATGATACTCCGAAGACTTGTGGGGAAGAACTTGGAAGAAATGGAGAGGAGAAAGGGGAACATAGTGAAATGGGGATGGTTGAGGCATAATAAACGTTGGAGTGATAGAAAGTGGAAAGAGAAGGGAAAAGTGAAGTGAGAGAGAAGAAAAGCATAAGATGAGAAGCATTGACTGAAAGAAGAAATTGGTGTGCAATTCTAGAATAATTCATTTAATAACAAAACGAAAAATGAGATTGAAAATATGGCCAAAAAATTCAATCAACGAGTAAAATCACATCCTGGAACTGGATCGTTTGGCATTTAAATCGTGTAAATACGACCCTGTTAGACTTGCTTCTATCTGCCTCGGCACATGGCTGCGAAATTTCATCACCCATATCAATTCCATCATGGTCATATCTCAATGGAAAATTCATGTCTATACTTGAAGAGAAAACCTAAAGAAAACACCCGAAGATAAACATAGTACATAAACCTCAAATTATGCGGTCATTTCCGAGCAGTCTCCGAGCATTTTCTTCACTAACTACCATCACTTGAAACTGTCCATCTAGACTGATTCAACCTGCCTAGTTGGACGTCGACAACATAATGTTCAAGCTACAAATACTCGATTTATACAACAAAATTTCAAATTCTCAGTTCTGTTCTCAGTTCTGCTGTCCGCTCCTTGTCTCCTTTTTATTTTTTTTCTCGTCCCCTTACCATCTTCCATCCAGACATTTACTAGTTCCTTCAATCTATACACGCTCATGCAGTCCTCCATATCTTCAATCATCATCTCATCTCATCTTGAATCCATAATATGAGCGGCAGATTCAGACCACAATACGACGAGCTGGAGTCCGAAGATGACTATCTCGGAAACGTCTTGAAGAAAGATCCCGAGAGTGATGACGACTACTCGTCATTGTCCTTTGGTGCATTAAACTCAGCTCAAAGGAAGCTTCGAGAACAGGACGAGGAAAAGAAGCCTAAGAAGTCTCCAAAGAGTTCAAAGAGCTCCACAGGTTCCAAGGGATCCAGGAAAACGTACACACATCAAAGCAGCTCGGAAAGTGACAGTGATTCTGACAGCGATGGTGGATTCTTCGACAAAGACTCTAAGAAAAAGAAGTCCAAGGACAAAAAATCAAAGAATAAGCACGCACCCGCAGAGTCTAGTTCAAGAAGGCCAGTTTCTAGGATCAGGGAAATTCCGGGTCTCAAGTCCAAGAAGGAGAGTACGCTCTACAACGATATACGATTTGACGCAGCATATGGAAAAGCAGACTGGAACCGGATCAGAAAAGACTACGCATTTCTAGATGAGTACAGGGAGAAGGAAATTAAGGAAATGAGAGGCATGTTGAACGACAATAAAACAAGGCTGAAAATGTCTGACAGAGACGTCCAAGATACAGAGTTCCAGATTCAGTCGCTCCAGCTGAGACTTGACACTTTGAAGAACAGAGACTTGGCCAACAAGATCGTAGGAGACCACAAGAGAGAGCAGAACGCCAAGATGCGCACAGGAGAGCAGGTCAACCCTTACTACTTGAAGAAGTCTGAGCAGAGAAAGATGATTCAAAAGGCTAAGTTCGAAACAATGAAGGCGTCACAAAGAGAAAAGGTCATGGAGAGAAAGAGAAAGAGAAGACTTGGCCGGGAGTTCCGCGAGTTGGAGTTCCGTGGAGCTCAGCAGTGAGGGTGTATAGCATTAACAGCATGTATTGAAGAAGAACTAAAGTGATACCGAGAGTAGAAAATCGAGAGAGGAAAAGTTGGAGATAAAGCAATTAAGAGACAGAGAAAGTGAATTGAAAAGTGAATTAAAGAGGCGGGATTAAGAGAAGTAGGTACTAGAAAAAGTGAATCGACACATAAGAACCGAGATAGTTGTTAATCATTCTTACAAGAGACTGCTGGAGCGTAGTGGGTCCTGTAAGGAACACAATACAATCTTTACCAAATAAAGCCCTCGCATACTTCTACAACAACCCTGCTGGTAACACGGGCACAGTCAATAGATTAACTGTATTATCGATATTCAAACAATATGACGAAGCCAAAAGACCTCAAAGTATGTACAGATCTACTTCTCAGAAGCGTTCTCGTGAGAAATCCAGTCTTCCCATGAGCCGACGTAGTTACCACGCTTGGTGTAGCCAAACGAATTGGCCAACTCCTCAGCAGCGGTCGATCTCACGCCTCCAAGACAGTAAAATACCAACTCTTTGTCCTTTCCTGGCTTCTCAAAGCCGAAGCTCTCTTCAAAATCCTCGCCGGACAAGTCAAAGGCGCCAGGAGACGACTTGAATGGAACGTTGAGGGCACCTGGAATGTGTCCCTCTTCAAACTCCACTGGCTCTCTCACATCCACCAATACGGTGTTTGGGAAAGTCTCTGGATGTGTGGTAATCTTCTTGATGTCTTCGTAATTGTACAATTTGGCGTCGCACTGTGACAAGACGCTGTACGATCTCTGACTCCATCCTGACTTGAGGGAGGTCAATGCAATGGGGCGGAAGGCCGATTGAGGAACACGCACAAATGTTCTGGAGGCAGGAACCACAATGGAAGCGAACGGCCGGAAGAGGCCCATACGCATCAAACTTCTTCTAGCGAACATGGCCAATGGAGAAGTGGTGGAAAGTTTTTAAGGGCGAACTCGTTGTAGAGGAGGATTTTTTATCTATACGGACCATTGCGAAATCGTGACCTCTGTGCAGGCACATGATCGGGAAGTATTATGGTCAATTTGCGACGGTAAGAATGTGTTGGAAACAAAAGAGAGAATTGAATTGACGGTTCTAGAATGATTACTTTTGTTTGATTTTGCACTTGAGAATGATTTGAAAGGAATTATTAGTGAGTCATGTTGAAGCGTGAAACAATCTTGACCGACCAATATTAGTACCCAGTATAAGTCTGGGAATAGCACTACTGCAATATACAGCCAATTTACTAATATGAATGCCTATGCTATTCTGAGACAAAGAATATTTCATACATGAGTCACATTAACACGGGATGCGACTAACAGATTCTGCTGATACATAAGAGCTAATGCATTCTGAGCTCGACTTTAAGTCTCATTTTTCGTGGATTTCCACTTTCTTTTTACATGTACACTAGTTCTCTAAATCTTGTATTCATGTAAACGGTTCGTAAGGGTTGAAGCTAATTATGTAGAAGTAAAGCAATTTGTAACATCACATGTTGAACTTGATGTTGAGTTGTATGCTTAGAACAATCCGTCAATCTCGCCGTTCTCATTGACTTCAACATTCATGAAACCACAGTGAGTTGGCAAGCCTGGAATGGTCTGGATCTCGGCAGCCAAGGCATACAAGTACCCGGCACCAATAGAGGCTCTAACGTCTCTAATAGGGAAAGTGAACCCAGATGGTACACCCTTCAAGTTGGCATCGTGAGACAAAGAGTACTGAGTCTTGGCAATACAGATTGGCAAGTTGCCAAATCCTTGCTTAGTGTAAAGGTCAATCTTCTTCTGGGCCTCTGGCAAGAATTCAACCTCTCCTGCTCCGTACATTTCCTTGGCAATTGTGTTGATCTTCTCCTCCACAGATGGAGCAGTGTCGTACAAGAACTGGAAGTCGTTGTCGATGGAGTTGGCAGCGTTGATAACTCCCTCAGCCAAGTCAATTGCACCCTTTCCACCCTCTTCCCAGTGGTTGGACACAATGGCGTCGGCTGCACCAGCCTTCAAGGCTTCCTCACGAATCACCTGGTGCTCGTTGTCAGTGTCGGAAGACATCTTGTTGATGGCAACAACCACTGGCAAACCGTAACGCTTGGCGTTAGCGATGTGCTTACCCAAGTTGGAGCATCCAGCTCTCAACAAATCAACGTTCTCCTGTGTGTATTCTGGAGCCAATGGGGCACCAGCCTTAACATCTGGTCCTCCACCGTGAACCTTCAAGGCACGAACGGTGGCCACAATGACAATGACATCTGGAGCCAAGCCAGAAGCTCTGCACTTGATGTTCATGAATCTCTCTCCACCCATGGTGAAATCGAAACCAGCCTCAGTCACAACGTAACCCTCCTGCTGCTTTCTCTCCTCCTCAGACAAGTCTGGAGAAGTACCGGCCAACTTCAAAGCCATCTTGTCAGCCAAGACGGAAGAAGCGCCAATGGAAATGTTGGCAAATGGGCCAGCGTGGACAAACACTGGGGTTCCCTCCAAGGTCTGCATGATGTTTGGCTTGATGGCGTCCTTCAACAAAGCAGTCAAGGCACCGGCACACCCAATGTCCTCACAGGTGACTGGTTCACCAGAGCGGGAAGCGGCAACAACCATCTTACCCAATCTTTCTCTCATATCCTCCAAAGAGGTGGCGAGAGCCAAGATGGCCATACACTCAGATGCGACAGAAATGTCGAAACCAGTCTTTCTGGTCATACCCTTCTCGGTTGGAGCCTCACCAATGGTGATACCTCTGAGGAATCTATCGTTACAGTCGACAACTCTTCTCCAGGTAATGGTCTCTGGATCAATGTCCAATCTGACAAACTTGGAAACCTCCTCTGGGGTCAAGTCATCTGGGTTGGTCTTGTTGATGCCCAACTTCTCTAATCTCTTCAAGAAGGCAACTGGGAACTTTCTGACACCCTTCTTCGATGGGACCAAACGCTTGTACAAGGCAGCATCCTTCTGAGTGTTCTCATGGAAGATTCTGGTGTCAATGGCAGCAGCCAACAAATTGTTAGCCATGGAGATGGCATGGATGTCTCCAGTGACGTGCATGTTGAACTCGTCCATAGGAATGACCTGGGAGTAACCTCCACCAGCAGCACCACCCTTGATACCAAAGGTTGGGCCCATGGAAGGCTGTCTGACGTTGGCAAAGACGTTCTTACCCAAGTGTGCACCAAGAGCCTGGGCCAAACCAACCGTGGTGGTAGACTTACCTTCACCCAATGGAGTTGGAGTGATACCAGTCACCAAAACGTATTTACCGTTGATCTTATTCTTCAAACGGTTCAAGATGTCCAAAGACACTTTAGCTTTGTAGAATCCAAATGGCTCCAACTCAGAGTCCAAAATACCGGCCTCCTCTGCGACCTGGTTGATTCTCTTTGGCTCCTGAGCTCTGGAGATTTCAAAGTCAGAAGGAACCGGAGTCTGCAAGTTCAACTTGAGTGGATTAGTGAACTGAGGAGTTTGGTTGTTCTTCTTGTAGTGGTTCTTGGCAGCAATAATCACGTTATCCAAGAGGTTGGCCACAGTCATTGGGCCCACTCCGCCTGGAACTGGAGTGATCAAAGAGGCCACAGGCAAAGCAGACTCAAAGTCAACGTCACCAACCATTCTGGAACCGGACTTCTTGGAGGCATCTTCGATGAAGTTGGCACCAACATCGATCACTACAGCACCCTTCTTCAACCACTCACCCTTGACATAGTTTGCCTTTCCAATGGCCACCACGACAATATCGGCGTTGCCCAAGAACAACTCAACCTGGTCCTGAGGAGTTCTGGAGTGCAAAACAGTAACGGTGGCGTTAGCTCTACTCAACAAGTTGGCAATTGGGCGGCCAACAATGTCGGATCTGCCCAAAACAACTGCAGACTTGCCCTGAATAGTCACGTTGGCGTTCTCGAGCAATTGCATGATACCCTTTGGAGTACATGGCAAGAAGGTGGGGTTTCCGCCCTTCTTGGACAACTCACCAACAGCGTGAGGTCCGAAACCATCCACATCTTTGGAGGCGTCCACAGCAGAAGTGATCTTGGTCTCGTCCAAGTGTTCAGGAATTGGCAACTGGACCAAAATACCGTCCACGGCGATATCGTCATTCAACTTGTGGATTTCTGACAACAACTCGAACTCGGTGATGGTCTCAGGCAATTTGATCAAGTGACAGTCAATGGCAGCCTCCTCAGCAGCCTTCAACTTCATCTTCACATAGGTGGAAGAATCAGGACGGTCGCCAACCTGGATGATGGTCAAGTTTGGCTTGAAATCCTTGTGCTTTGCCTGGATCTCGTCGATCTCGGCGTGAATCAGTGTGCGCAACTGCAAGGCAATAGCCTTACCGTCAATCAATTGGGCACTCATGAGGTTTTTTGGGTTTTCAAGATTATGCGAACACGAGTGGTTATATATAGTGGGCTAGTGGTGACTCTGGTCGCGGAGTCAAACTCGGAGCGATGGGGCCGGAACCGGCAACGGAATTGATTTTCTGTTGAAATTATAGATGGAGTTACGTTGGCGAGAGAAATGAAGAGTGGATTTGTTACATTTTACTTGTCGAGCTGGTCGTTGTGATACATTTTATAGGCGACGTTGTTTGGTGAGTCTACTGACTGGAGTCAGTGCGACCATGAAATTTTTTATTCTTTTCATGCACGTCGCAAATTACCGTTAATGATAACTACATGTAGATAGTACTTGACTTGACTTTATAGGATTTGGTCTGATTTTTTACGTGCACGAGATATATTCTAAGTTTATTGATTTTTTTTTTCTTTTTTTATTTATTTTATCACTCGTGTCTACTATGTGATCCACGTTGTCAGTCGTAGCTTTCATTTCAATCTTCACCTATTCACCTTCCGCTGGTCCTTATCTACTTTTGCAACCATTGAGTTCTTTCCACTCTCATGGCTGTCTATTCGGCTCTCAAAGCTTCTGCTAACTTGTCGAAATCCTCCAAACCCTTCAATGGCCAATTATGCACCTTAAACCGCCCATTGATTGCATCTACAGCATTACCAGGTCCCAAGTTGACTATCTGACTCACACCTTGTTCAATCAAAAACTCCATTGATTTCTTCCACTGAACGGGCAGAGAGTTTGATTTAACGGTATTGGAAAACGGATAATCTTCACAAGGTTGGCCAGTCAAGTTACTTATGACGGGCTTGCTGGACCTTCTTTCATCAATGACCAAAGCTGCCAATTGATCATCCATAGGACTGAGTACACTGTTGTGGAACGGAATGGTCACTGGAAGTTGCGCTTGCTTTAAAATCCGTTTTTTTGGCAGGTTGATGACATCTACTGCCTTCTGGAGCTGCTCAGGTTCTCCTGAAATCAGCACTTGAGTGGAGTTGTTGATACATGCCAAAATTCCATGTTCTTTAGCAATATCAACCACTCTATCGAACTCTGCGGGCTTGAACACTAACACTGTCATCGCATACTTTTTTTGCTGAACCAACTGCTCCATCAACAAACCTCTTTTTCTGACCACAGCTATCGCCTGAGGCAAAGTAAGTGCACCTCCCAAGAGCAACGCAGTGTACTCACCTAAGGAATGGCCCATGAGGTAAGAAACACGCGAATCACAGGCCAAATCTATGCCGTGTAACTCTTTAAACAAGCTGTAGAGCACATAAGTCGAGGCTACAATTGCTGGTTGTGCATTGGCAGTCGATTGGCTCCAAGAATCTGGAGTTAAACTTGGAGAATCCAAGAGATGAGAAGAAAAGTTGCACCCCAAGGTTTCGTCAACACAATCTAAGGATTTCTGTAAGAGATGCTGGTGGCTTTTCAATGCATTAAGACAGCCACGTACAATTATTCCCTGGCCGGGACACGCCACGGCGAATGTGCTTGCTCTCCGAATCAGTAAAAGCATGGTTCCCCAGATTTGAAGAATTCGAAGACTGTGTGGAGGAGAAGAATGAGCGGTGACGAGAATGAACCATAATTTATGTTACATAAAAACTTTTTGATTTCAAAGAATTCCCATATCAATGATGGAAGGGACAAGAAAATCCAGATGAAAGGCGGATGAGAAGGGTACTACGAGGTTAGTGTAGTGTAATGTACATGTAGTTAGAAAAGTAGCTTGGTTTCATGAACAGATATTATGGACAATTAAGAACTCAATGACACCTATTAACGGATTTTGATGGAAAAGGCGCCGAAAATAACATTCCAATCAAGCTTTGGTCACTGCCAAGCTCCAATTCTAAACTTCACTCGCTTGTCTCATTGATTCTCGAACCGAGAGTCACCAATTTCATGCCGAACGCGCAAATAAACAAACAGGCACCGAACAATCGCACAATCCACCAGGACCAAAACATTCGACCAATATTCAGTACAGTATACAAATAATCCATGTTCACAACAAAAAAAAAAAAAAAAAAAAATAGATGTTAGTCACCGAAGGTCACCCCGAGAACCCACAAATGTAACAAAACCTACAATATCACAATCATTGATTGATTAAATCTTTCAAAAATTCTCTGATAACTCTCGATTTTATCTCCTTTGCTTCCTTCATTTTCTTCTTGCCTCACTAACCAGGCTCTCCATGCCGGGGACAACCGTCGCGGCGCCAGTTGGCCCTGTGTCGCCCAATTCCTTCAGCCCCCCGCGCCAAATAATAGAGCCTACTGCCATTCTCGCCCGCAATCTTCCATCAGCTTTTTTTCTCCAGTAAACACTGAAAATCTGCACCGCAGACCTGGACTCGTGAATATCGTTTGATCTTGGCCATCCCATTGTCAAACTACAGCTTTTGCTAATTATAACTGGTGCACAATCTTCAAGTCTTCACTTGCTGATCCTTTCACCAATTGCTAAACTCCTTCCAGTTTACCCTAATCATCATGTCGCTCCAACAAGCCAAGAACGCTTTGGTCACTTCGCTCTTCGAGCTTTCCAACGCTGCCACCGAGGCTGCCACTGCAACCGTCAATTTCTACAAGGCCGCTGGAATTGATGCCGGAGACGCCGCCGGCGACTCCTTGTCCACATTAAGTGACACTATCCACGGTGCCGTTGAGTCTGTTCTCAGTTCTGTTCCTGAGGCCAATGGCGAAGTCAAGAAAAAGGCTCCAAGAGCCAAGAAGGCGGTAAAGGCCAAGGAGCCTGAAAAGGATGCTGAAGTGACTGACGAGAAGGCTGAGGCCGTCACTGACGAGGCACCAGCTGAACCAGCCAAAGAAAAGGCTGAAAAGCCAAAGAGAAAGCGTGCTGAGAAGGACCCTAACGCTCCAAAGAAGCCATTGACTTCGTACTTGCGGTTCAATCTCAGTGTGCGTGAGCAGATGAGAAAGGAGAGATTTGAGAATGGTCAGCCAACCTATCCTGCCACCGAACTCAACCAGATCATTGCTGATAGATGGGCCAACTTGGATGAGGCAGGCAAGGCCGAGTTGCAGAAGGCCTACGAGGGCGAATTCGAGGTGTACAAGAAGGCATTGGAGAAGTACAACAAGGAGAAGGGGGAGAAGGTTGAGTCCACTGAGGCCAGCAAGGAAGGAGACCAGAAGCCAGCTGAGGTGACTAAGCCAGTCAAGACCGAGAAGGCTAAGAAGTCGGTGACCGAAAAGACGGAAAAGCCAGAAAGCGCTTCCCCAACCAAGAAGGCCGAAGTCGACTCCACAGTTAAGAAGACCGAAACTGCTACTCCTAAAAAGAAGAAGGCCAAGAAGGTGAACGGCGAAACTGCCACCACCGAGAGTGCTGCTCCAGCTACTGAAGCAGCTAAGGAGACTGAAACTGAAGAGCCAGCTAAGAAGACAAAGAAGAGAAAGGAGAAAGAAAGTGACGACAAGAAGTCCAAGAAGAAGAAGAGCGAGTAAGCATCTTCAAGTGATCTATTCCTATTAGCTATTACTGGATAACTTTCTACTCCAACCTTCAATTCTGCCTTGTTTTGTTGCACTACTTCCATCTCATATATGTAATTTTATTGTTAATCGAATTGAACCAAGACATCTCTAAATGAATCAGAAACCCTTCTTCTTCTGCTTGGTAATATGAGCACGTAATACCTTCTGTCTGTCACGAAGAGACATCTTCTGCTTACCTTGCACAGACTTCTTGTGGATCATCATAACGAAATTCTTCTTTCTTGCCTTCTCTTTGTTTGTGGTGGAATGTGGCGCATCTCTCTTACCCTTTCTGGATCCGAATTTCTCTCTGTCCTCCCTTCCTTCCTTGGCCTGGGCGATTCTCTCTTCACGCAACTGCTTGTACTTCACCTTACCCACCAAAGATGTGGAATCCACTTCCTCTTCATTGTGCTGAGTTCCAAGGATCTTATCGACACCGGCTTGAGTTCTCAACTCTTGCAATTTGGCGAAATCGGCTGGCGTCAAAATACGACTAGACAACATTTCGTTCATAGCTTCCTCGGCGGTCTGAGCAGCAGGCTTAATGTCTTTAGAATCCTTACCATCCGCCTTGGCTGCAACCTTCTTCTTTTTCTTTGGTGGCTCATCACCTTCATCTCCAGAAAGATCAAGGTCAGAGTCCTCAGAGTCAGCTTCCTCCTCTTCGTTGTTTTCAGCATCCTTCTCATCTTTCTCATCCTCAGAGTCAGAGGAAATATTATACTCCTTGTCAGACTCCACAGTCACCCAATCTCCTTCAATGTCACTTGCCTCGGACTCCAGATCAACTTGCCAGTTAGCTTCGTTATCTTCGTCATCCTGCAAGCCTTGTTCCTTTCTCCATTTAGCCAAAAGCTCAATACCTGGAATCGAGGTAACATTCGAGCCCTCAACACCGAAAGTTGGAGTTCCCTTCTTCTCACCATGTTGCAATTCCATTGAGGCAGTCTTACCTCTGTCCTTTCTCTGCAACATCTCAGGTGCAACTTCTCTGTACAAGGAGATCAACGATCTTGCGGCCATCATCACAGGCTTGGACTTGGAGCCCTTATATTCAGTTAAGTCGTGCAACAATGGAGGCTCAATGGCCAAAGGTGCTCTGGCCAAAATTTCTCTGATGGTGTTGATACCAGCAGCAGCAACTTCAGCAGCCACACCATCACTGACGAAATCATCAGCAATTTTTCTTACCACGACAGAAATGGATTCAGGAGGAACCAAGTCATGAGATGCTTGGGCAGCAGCTGCCATAATCTGAGTAACATTTCTCTGCTTAGGAGTCAAGTACTTAAGGAAAAATGAGTAGATGCCCAACACAGTCAATTTATGTGTACCAATTAATCTGGAAATAAGATTCATGAATAGAATCTTTTGGTCTAAGTCGTACTTGTTAGCATTCTTGTGACTCAAGTGACCGTCGAAAAGTTGCTCAGCGAAACCCTGCGGGTCTCTGAGCAAATGGATAGCCGAAAAGTTCAAGTAAGTGGCCGAGATTTTTGCGCTATTTTTCTTCTTCATAGCTTTCATGGCCTGCTCCACCTTTTTACCTCTCTTGGAAGTTTTCTTATTGATCTGCATCTTGTGCTTCAAAGCACCCATGTCAAAGGACTCTTCATCGGAAGAGTTCTCCTCAAAGTTCTCCTGTCTCTCCTTATCGGCACCCATGAAGAACTTGGCACCAGCAACAGAAACCTTGACATCGGGATGAAGTGCTGCCTGTGTCATAATTTCCACTGTACGTGAATCGTCCCAGATACCTCTTCTCCAAAGCTCTCTAGTCAACTTAGTAGCCCACAAACCCTGGTTGTCTCTTTGCTCCAACAAGTTAAATAGTAATGCCTGAGTGGATCTGTTGATCTTCTGGTTCTTAGCACCAGTATTGACCGACTTCAAAAGCGAAATCAATGTGGAGTATATCTGATGTCTGACAGCTTTAGCATTCAGCGACGTAGTGGAGCTGTTCTGCGCAGAACTGCTGTATGATTGTAGAAGTGGAAAGAGCGTCAGAATAAGAGATTCGGCGCTGATGATGTCTTTGTTCCGCAACATGGTTAAGCATTGAATAATCTTCTCCCTCAAATCTGGAGAGAGGTCTCTGTGGTTACTCAACAAGATACTTTTCAATTCCTGGGGAAAGTTGGCAGTTTCCTTGGGGTAACAAGAACACACAGCACTGACAAACCCAATCAAATCGGCAAAATCGCTGCCTTGGTCGGCGGTGGGGTTAAGCAAGAAAATGTCTCTTAAAGATTCATAGTGTGAGTACTGCTGGACGAATTCCTCATGATAGGATTCTGGGTCTCGACGAACCACATTCTGCAACAAGATAATATTGGTGGGCAAGATGGCTGCTCTTCTCTTTTTTCCCATTTTTTTTTTGGTGTGTTTTCCCGTAAAGAGGTTTTACTTAGTACATCTCATCGCCATCTCAAAAAAACCATCTACGCACTCTGGTGAGACTGTATACTTGCATACTTGTAGATAGAGTCTAATTCGTTTATCATGTATATTTCCTGGCCATTTGTATCCCTATGAATTGAACAACTCCGTAATACTTCCGTAGTTGATTTTTCTTGAGAAGGATTTTTTGTGGAAGATCTGTTTGGCGCTCTCGGCCGGCGTCATGGCTCGTCCATCCTCTCCGATCTGTTTCATAGCATCTGCCACTGCAGGGTCGTTGATAACAGAATCCACATTTTGTTCTTTGATTCTCCGACGCTTTTTCGGCTGCCCAGATGTGTTTCCTGTCAATTCATCCGCCTCTACTTTCAATCTCTTCTTTTCCTGTGCAATTAAAAAGTCGTAATTGATCGCAATCCAGATGCGCTCCTTCTCCTCTCTCTCTTTTTCCAGGAGCATAATGCTGCGGGTGTATTCATCTTCATCGTCTTCATCAAGTTCCACATCGTCACGAACTTTCTGGAGCAAATCCGCCGTAGATTCGTTTGCGGCAACCAAATTACGTGGCCTATTCTTTGCGATTCGTTCTTCTTCAGCTTTCTCCTCATCAGCAACAGTGAGACCAGGATCCGAAATGGATTCATTGGCCTTGGCAATAGACTCGTCAGTCAATTTAAGAAATCGGTCCAACGTTTCTTCAATCTCGTGTTCTTTGAAGCTGCCACCATCTAAAACAGCTCGCAAAAGCGATTCCTCACGCGTCTCATCCTTCTCCCTAATTTCTTTCGTTCCCTCGAGTTTTGAAATACGCTCCTGAGAAGTCTCATTTGCTGATTTCGATCTTCTGCTCCTCGTGCTCTTTATGCTGTCAAGTCTACCTAAACTAGTAGCCTTCTCTTCTGTGTTAGATTTGACATTGCGAGGGCGCAACACTCGTGTCAGTGTGGGAATGTTGGATGATGAGCTTTGATGGTAGGCCAGATCAGATCGACTACTTGGGCGGCTTTCATATTCCAGTTCTTCGTCGTCGAGTTCTTCTTCTGTGTCAACAAACAACTGTTCGTCTTCGTCTTCAGACTGTGCTGAGTCTTCGACTTCATCTTCTTGAGCTTCGGTAGTTTCTTTTTTCTCTGCTAGATCAGTCTCTGAATTCTCTGTCTGAACTTCTGCAGTCTCTGAATTCTCTGTCTGAGCTTCTGTAATTGCTGACTTCTCTGCTTGATCTTTCGTAGTTTCTGGCTTCTCTGCTTGATCTTTAGTAGCTTCTGAGTCATTGACTTGAACAGGAGCCTCTGCGGATACTTCCGGTTCTTGCTGTGTCAATGCTTGATCCTCTGCTGCTACACTCTCTTGTCCTTCTCCAACATGATTGTCAGTTTCACCAGGGTCCGAAACTCTATCTTCACCAGACTCCTGCCCAGCGGAAGGTTCATTCTCAGCGGCTTCGCTTTCCTTGGATTTCAATGCAACCTGCCACTTTGCAATCAATTCCTTGTCACTGACAAGATCTTTGAATCTTTTAAGCGTCGACTCCCGCTTTTGCAAGATGTCCCTGATCTTCTTTTCGATGACTCTATTCTTGTTGTATGAGGGAGGCAAGGACGGATCGACATGCTCGGAATCACGAAAATCAGAGATGTTCAAGTCTGCAGATTTCGTATTTCTGAACTCGTTAAGCCTCTTCTGAATCGTCTCTTCTCCCACACGAGCCACTGCGACAATTTCTGCATGGCTTCTATTGATCTGGTTCATTCTAGCAGCCAACAACACGCATGCACCTGCTATTCCAGCAGGTCTACGGCCCTCATATATCCAATCCAGGGACATTCTGTGTGCGAGCTTAGTGGCATCTTTACATACCTTAGCAGTCTTATCTCCAAACTGAAGTCTATCAGCAAAATGCTGTATAAAGAGCGATGGGTCTGCGATTGGAAGTTTTTGAATCTGAAGGGTCCGTACAAGTTTCAAGTAGGTCGAACCTAGCGAATACACGGAGATCTGTAATCGGGAGCTGAAATCAATCAACAAGTGGTGAGTTTTCTCATGACGACATGCAACATATAAACAGGCAGCAATGACATTTTGTGAACGACGACCTTGAACAAAGTTATGTACTAAGGCGAGCTTGAACCAGCCACTGGCCGAGTCAACAATGTAGTCTGGGATTCTCATGACACTGGCAATCTTTCTGATCTTCTTCTTAGCGTTCAACAAGGTCTGTTCACGACTTTCCATGGCATTTCTCATGGTGAAATTTGCACGAACCTGGTCAGCACCCACCATGGCACCTTGCACCATGGCGGCACCACTAGCAGATTCACCAAACTGAACTTCCGATACAATAGGGTTCTCCTCAACCACGGAACCACAGTTCATACATGAAACATCTCCGGATGGTGCCAGAAGATCTCTGGTGAACTTATCGTTACCACATACTCGACATACACGGTTTCTTAGTACAGTTGACATTGGTGTAGATTATGATGTTATGAGGTAAATTTTGAGTAAACAGTGAGGGTGCAGGGATGTGATGGAGTAGATGAGTGTTTGGATCTAGGCGAGAATATACAGTGTCTACGAACTACATTGTTCAATTTAAAAAAAGTCTTTATTTATATATAAACGACCCTTACTACGTTCCGAGTTAATTCATATTTTTCCATTTTCTGATTTTTCCAGCTTTTCTTTTTTTCGACATTTTTGACATTTTTGGAGGAATGATTTTTTTGATTTACCTTATCTAACAATCTGGACTTTACCTGTAAGTGATAAAAAATGATGGCAAACTAAAATAATCAACTTATTTTATTCTAATGAGTACCAAAAATCTTACTGTGAATTATATAACTTTTTCCTCATAAATATTTCATAGTCTAAACATGATCAAAAACATGTAATACTCAGTCACTACATTTTGCCTTACTTTCTCAAACCCCAGCGCACGTTCAGATTGCGAATATCCACACTTTTATCTTCTGGGAGTATTCTCCAATAATACCAACAACCTCTTCAAATCTTCTAAAACATTCACATTTCAGATCATGGATTCAAGAATAGCATCGTCGCATAACTCATATGATCCTTCCATAGCCAGCGAAAACAACTCGGTGGTTGAGTTTTCTCCACAATTGATTCCCCAAGAAGAACTACCAGCTCCTGGGCCTACAGATTCTTATTTCCCTTTCTCCCACATCATCGATATCACTCTGAGTGAGCCTCGAGATGTACTCCAAAGCGAGCGGACCTATTTGTCGTTCATTCGCTTCTCGGTGTCGCTATATTTCACAGCCATTGGCATGATTCTAGGCTTTCGTCTTCTGTCGTCTGACGGACCTACCCACGGTACTCATCCCGGGTTCAATAAGACCCTTTTCAACCATATCATTGCATACCTTCTTATTTTCCTCTCGTTTGCTACATTGTTGGTGTGTGCAATCAATTACTTCAAGACTGTTCGCAGGTATTCACAACGTCGAATTCATACTTATGCTGCCTCCAACACCATCATAATTGCCTGTGTCACAGCCATAGTGGTTGCATTGATTGCGATTAATATTTCAATGATTGTGGAAAGATACAAACAAGATCAGTGAGTTTGCTTGGCTTGACACACAACTTTGGTACACATTTGACAAGATGAACCTATAAGATACTCAAGGCTTTTCTGGAAGTCACTATTGATACCAATGTGGATCCATGAAATCTATAATGAATGATATGCTATACAACTAGACTACTTGCTAGACCTGGAAGACTTCTTGTTTATCTTCTTTGCCTTCTCTTGCCTCTCTTCGCGCTTTCTCTTGTTGATTTGACGTTTTTCTCCAAAATTCTCCTTATCCATATCCATGAGTGCCTCACGCTTGGCTGTAGTCATCTTCGTTAGAGAGTGATCAATCACATTGTCGTCATCTACCTCCTCTAGCAACTCCATCTTCTTGTTGGCTCTCTGTTCGATGGCCTGGATTCTCAGAACATCTCTTTCGGCTACAATCGATACAGAGTCACCCTTTCTACCTGCTCTGGCCGTTCTACCCACTCTGTGGATGAAGTCGTCTGCGTCTGCTGGAATATCAAAGTTCACCACAAGCTCCACGGTGGGGATATCCAAACCTCTGGAGGCCACGTCCGTGGCAATCAAGATTCGTGCTGCCTGTGCTTTGAATCTTTGTAAAGAGCTTGTTCTTTCCAGCTGGGGCATTTCAGAATGAAGTGAAGCTACTCGGAAATCGAGCTTACGCAAAGTCCGCCGCAAAAGCTCTGCCGTCTTAGTTCTATTGACGAAAATGATCACATTGGCCTTCTCATACTTCTCGAGTGAGAGAATGTTATGGAGATATGCTTCCTTGACGTAAGATGGAACAAAAACATAGTAGAGCAGCAATGTCGATGGAATAGCCACTTTATCCACGGTCTCTACCTCATGCATGAAAACTGGGGGTTTACCTTCTGCCTGTGGCTTCTCTTTTAGAGATCTGACTGCATCAGTGACGGTAGCAGTAAATAAAAGTGTCTGTCTCTTCGAAGGGTCTGGCAAAACGTTCAAGCATCTCAGCAAATCTTTGCTGAACGAGTTGCTGAGCACACGGTCTGCTTCATCTAGAACCAAATATTTCACACTGCGAAGGCCCTTAATGGTATCTTCTCCACTATTCAAGATGTGATCTGCCAATCTGCCTGGAGTTGCAATTACAAAATGGGGTCTTTTCTGCAAGTCTATTGCTTGTTTCACGAAGTCCTCACCTCCGACGATGACGCTGAGTCTTATGTTCATCGTGGAGCCCAATGCAGCAAATTGTTCCGCAATTTGCATGGCTAATTCTCTAGTTGGTGTCAACACCACTCCAAAAATACCCATGGGATCCTCGGACCACTTCGTAAGCATAGGAGCAGCAAATGCGATGGTTTTACCGGAACCTGTTTTGGCACCACCAATACAATCTTTCCCAGCCAAAATTTCAGGGATACACGCCTGCTGAATCAGCGTGGGCGTGTGGATTTTCATGGCATCTAGGGCTTCGTCGAGCCATTTAGCTACACCCAAATCAGCAAAAGACATTCTTGTGGTTTGGAGAGCATGCGATGCCCATCTTGAAGTCAATCCAAACACCCGTACACCAGATATATTGGAGTCATTGATTCCAGCACAGTGTGGGTAATGACATTGGTAAAAAGATTATTTGCTTGATTCTGAAGTTTCACTTGTTACCATGAATTATGTTCAAGATGATTTTTGATGTTCGTGTAAGGTTTTGCAAACTAACTTGATATTTATTAACCTGTCTATATCTATGATCAAGTCACGTGCAAGTATAACTGAGTTGTGGACCTCCAGACTTTGACTCTACAACACCATGTTGCCCTGGAAGTTGAAAAGAAACTTTTCTACTGTAGCCAGGAGGCTTCAGGAAGCGCTAGAAACCTCGATTACCGAAACACCAGTTGATATTTATGCCACACTTCCCAAAACAAGTTTCCATTTCGAAACTTCAGGCAATCTTCAGCCAAATGCTAGATACAAGAATTTGGAGTATTCTGTTACTGGAAGTGATGATTTCGGGCTTCGAGATGCAGAAATTTCCATGAAAGACTATTTCTTGGGCGACACTCATCACTCTCACAAGGTTTTCAGTGGCCAACATCAATCATATAAGCAGGGCCAGAAAGTCGAGCAGCGAACATTCGTTGATCTTAGACTTCTTCGCCTACGCACAGGCAACGGAGGGAATGGGTGTGTTTCGTTCTTTAGAGACGCTAATAGACCCGTTGGACCCCCAGATGGAGGTGATGGAGGAGACGGAGGAAGCATTTATGTACAAGTGGTGAACAACATCAGTCTGTTGCATAAGATCAAAAGAAGTTATAATGCGGGGAATGGTCGTCCAGGTACTTCCAGTCAATTGGATGGAAAAACCGGGGAGGATATTATTTTGGAAGTTCCTGTGGGCACGACCATGAGGTGGATTCCAGACCCTTTGTTGGTGAAAGACCAATTGCGAGAGTCCGGGGGAGATATCTCCAAGGTGGTGATGGGATTGAAAATGACAGAGTCTCACGACATCCAGCTTTTTCGAGATGATTATGATCCCGGCCATGGATGGCTGTTCAAAGAGAAAGACGAGGAGTATCATCGTGGAAGGGATTTTTTCGTTGAGCTCGATGAACAAGTGAAAGATTACGATCGAGAGATTATTGCCGAAGAGCTTATGTTTGATCGGTTTCCAGTTCTAGGTCTCGATTTCGACAAACCTACCGAAAAGCCTGTTTTGCTCATGAGAGGAGGAAAAGGAGGCATGGGCAACATGCATTTTCTCACGGCTAACGTCCGAAACCCCAGATTCAGTAAAGTTGGCCGACAGGGTCTCTGTGGATTTTTCCTTTTGGAGCTAAAACTTATTGCAGATTTGGGGCTTGTAGGGTTGCCTAACGCGGGCAAGCTGACTCTACTTCGTGCAATTTCTAGGGCAACACCTAGAGTGGGCCACTGGGAGTTCACTACCCTTCAGCCTACTGTGGGGACAATCTCTACATCCATTGATACCGATCCATTTACTGTGGCCGATATTCCTGGTATTATCAAGGGCGCATCGGAGAACAAGGGCATGGGAATGGACTTTTTGCGTCATATTGAAAGAAGTGGAGGGTTGGTGTTTGTTGTTTCGCTTGAGTCCAAAGATCCTGTTGGCGATCTCCAGGTTTTGATGGAGGAAATTGGACCTAAAAGAATGACCAAGAAGCGCGTGATGGTAATTGGCACCAAGGCGGACTTGGTAAACAATGGTGGGTCATATCGGGCACTTACAAAATTTGTTCAAAATACGAACGCCGAGTGGCAGTGTATACCAGTGTGTGCACCACGGGGTGAGAACATCAAGCAGTGTGTTCGTATGATGGCACAGGTGGCCAAGGGGAAAGACCAGAAAGATGATTAAAGGTAAATTTGGTAAGCAATGATTGTGAAAGAAATGTGGTAGACAAATGTACATAGAACTGGAATACTGTTTAAAATAGTGAAGTTGCAAAATTATTCATAAGGTATCAAACCATTGATACGAAAAGGTACATTACGGCCACATTCAAATTAGGATACAAGTCAGCATTGTGAAAAGCCGTCAAAATGAGACGCAAATCAATTGGTCGTATTTGACAGATGATTGCACAGGGCCTTGACCGTTTAATCTCTGCAGTTGCATTGATAGCCAGACGAGGCAGGAGTGATTCCGTGCATGATCATTCATAGGCTTACGGAGCCGTCGGCGAGGCTGTGTTTAGGAGCTACGATCTTCTAAAGGGGAATGTTGCACCCGGCTACAATGCATTTGTTCATGATTATCCATCCTCTATTCGTCATCACCTCATTAATTGGCCGTGGTGGTAGCCGTGGTCGTGAGTGCACATGGCAGTGGGAGCAAGTCAAAGCGGGCGGAGTCGCAGTTGTAGCGAGCCCGAAATGTTGCTCAAAATATGCTTCGTGGGAAATTATCCTCAAGTATTCCCTGCAAGTATTTGTATGGGAATACTTAACTGTATTCCTGGGTATTATTGGTAAATTAATCACCGGATATTCTGTAGTATAAGTCGCTTCTGTTCGCGCAGGGTGGGGGCTCTATTGCGGCATGCGCATGCGAAGAATCAGGTCCACCTTACGTTGGATGTAGTTGTGATTCTCCAAAGGTTTGGGGATGGTATAGTCAAATCCCACCAGACAGTACAACTCCAAGTCACGGCTCGAGTATCTTGTTGTCACCGCCACTAGCGCAACGTGATCCAAGCCACTCAAGCTGCGTACACGTGTTGCAATGTCTGTGCCTGTTACATGGGGCATTTCGATGTCAAGGAAAATTATGTCAAAGTGCAGTAGGGCCGCCTCAGTTGTTTCTAGATGTCTGGATTCTTGCAAGGTGCCCACACTAGCTCTTGGATAAAGCTTTTGAAGCATGCGCGAAAAGATTCGGAGATTGATCTCGTTATCATCCACTAATAAAAAATTATAGGGTGTAGTGTTGGGAATCCACTCGTCCAAGTCCAGCGCTGGCGAAGGGTATGCAGAGGACCCCATGTGCGCATGGCTAAAAGTATTCCACATGTAGTTTGGTGGAGACCGGGATGAGATCTTGGAGAATGTATCGTCAATAATGCTGAATGGATATTTTGCACTATACTTTTCCATGTCAGGTGAAGGGAACGATGTCTCAACTTTTGGCTGTCGATGAGAATCAATGGCTGGATCGTAGTTTGAATCGTGCGTGGGGGCGACACCGGCATCAAAGCCAGCTTCATAATCTGAGTAGTTGGACCGAAGTCTGTCGAGTCTGTCGAGGTCCATGGTGGTATTGATGGCTGCTAGCATAACAGTTGGGCCCGAAGTAGGTTTCGCAGGTGGGACCGGCACAGGTAATATATATATTACCATAGGTTAGAACACCTAGAATGGGTGCAGCCAAGAGCACTGTCGGTAGGGTGCATCGATGCGCATCTGGGGCGACCTCTTCCTGCACCACTTATGCGCAACGGCTTTAATAATTCGGCCCGCCACGGCTATCAGAGGAGAATTTTCGCCCACTTTCCTTATACTCGCCCTATTTTCCTTCCTGTTCTGTGCATAGACATAACTTCTGCTGAGGCGGGTGTGGGGGCCAGAATCCTGATCCAGGCCAGTGCGAGACTTCTCAAGTGTAGGATCACTGATGTTTAGTTGTTGGGGCATCTTCTTTGTCTAGACCCTCGAACGTCCCTGATGTGTCCCATAACTCCGAATGAAATGAACATGGTGATCGTCTGGACTACTTCCCCTTTTTGTAACTACTTATCTTACAATAAATTAGCGTCTTGCAATGAGTCCTGCGAGTTTGATCCTTACAGGAGCTCGCATTGGGTTCTCACCGCCTTACAAAATGATATAGTTGCTATTGCCTTATTTCTCGGCTCGAGAAGGCAATTCTCTGGTGGGCAGATCAATGTTCTCTTTATACCTTGCCTTTGAAAGATTCCCATTACTGGACAAAGTTAACTACTCACCAAATTTCTCGATAGTATTGTACCTCAATTTTTTATTTCGTTGCAACCTGGTCCCCAATCAATGCTCGAAACTCGATTTGCATCGTTTGTAGATCACTTGTAGGTGATCGATCCGAATCAATGCCGGTGAGATACAATGTCTCGGCAGTCCAGGAATGAAACTTGAGGAAATATCGGAGATGCTTCACTAGCCGCAAGTTTGTAGGGTTGTAGATGCTAAATTTGACTTGCTGGCGATGGAACCCCGCTGTCCATGCAGTATCGCGCAGCTATAGGGAAAGAAGATGGTTGCAATGTAGGAAGGGCTTCTTCCCCGCTAAGCCTCCTGCCATAGTGACGGGAAAATGACCCTTCTCTAGCATCCGCACTGCGTGGAACGCAAAATTATACATGGAGATGCTGCAATAGCAACATTACCTTAACTTTACAAACCAACCAAACTTCAAACCTTTGTGTCAATCAGGTGGATCGTCAGGTTTCCCAATCCTGCAATTATCAAAATTGTCATAACCATGTACAATGTGTTTTATTGTCATAAAGTGTCGCATCCAGGCATTCCTCGAGTGCATCTAACCTGGGCCTATCGTCAATCGTTTTGGGTAATCCAGGATCTGAGTGGTAGTGCCAGAAGCTACGCGCTGTACAGTAGACTCACCTTCATTCTTGTTCATTACAAAAATACTTCATAGAGTACTCGGGATTGTTAGCATCCCCTGAAAGATACGAACATTCCAATTTGCGCGGGGGTTTTCCGAGTGTAGATTACACAACGGACGATTATCGAACAATAATCAAGATTGGCCAACCTTTCCAATTTCAACAATTGTAAAGCTTTCCGAATTGCCATCAAGTACGCCAATATACGAATTTTGCCCAGACGCAAGGTCGTCTAGGGCATCATAGTCAAGGTCGTCAAGAACACTATTTGCAACCAGTGGTTGTTGGGTGCAACTTGCCTTCAATGTTTCACATCTTGCTTCACGAGTATGTACCTTTCTTTCTGCATCGAGATGTTTATGACTTGACAATTGTTTTGATCTTGAGACATTGAACAAAAACGTGGTCTGATTTGATCTAGAATTCATGGTGGTTGAAGATTCAAGATGAAGAAGATATCGAACTAGGCCCAGTTATCCATATGAATTGATGATTTGAGAAATTTTAAACTGATTGAAAACCACTATGGATATTGTTTCATAGATTCTTGATTCCTACATCTCATGTTGACCTTCATCCCATCATCTTATCTCAACTATGTCACATGCAACACTAGCCTCGCATAGACGGTAGATAGAGCCACACTACAAACCCCCGGTTATCTTCAACAATCAAAAATGTGGAAAAGAATTTGGAATTCCAATTCAGGCAACTTTATCTGAAGCATTCAGCGATGCACGGTATGTGATGTTGGAACACAACTTGCAACTGGTGTGCATACTCGCCTACTACTTCTACACTTCCATCTGAGCCTGTACAAATACCACGGACATGTCTGGTAACCTGTTCAAACTCACTGTGAATGAGCACCTCGAGGGACTCCCAAAGGTGATCCAGTCCAAGTTGTACGATGCACCTGCCACATGTTTGTCTATCTATCGATTACTTCCTCCTTTGGCCAAGTTCTACATAGTTACCATGTTATTCAACGAAAAACCCGTGGCTGTTAAGGACTTGGAGAAATGGTGCCAGCCACAAGCACGAAAATTCCAATATGAGTCTCTTAAGCGATTGCGTGCGTTGCATTTGATCGAGGAAGATTCCAGTGGAACTCATATACGTCTCCATCAAACATTCCGGAATAACTTTCGTGATTGTCTTACTGGCTCCCAGGCATCCAATGCTTTTGGAAAAATTGCCACCATCGCAGACAAAAGTCCCATTGATGTGAAGTTTTTGGACCAGTTCGCATCCCAGAAATGGGAAACCATCTTGCATTTCATGGTCGGTAGTGACCTACCTGAGGTTCCATCGAGACCTGTACTTTCCTTGCTTAAACTGGGCGGTCTAATGGAGGGACCAGGCACATCTGCAATCAACTTGAAAATCACGAACAGTGGATTTCAATTTTTATTGCAAGATGTCAATGTTCAAATCTGGACCATATTATTGGAGTACTTGAACTTGGCTCTGGATCTCAACATGGACCCAGTCGATGTGCTCAATTTCATCTTCATTCTTGGCTCATTAGAGTTGGGCAAAGCGTATTCCATCTCTGACTTGAGCGCAACCCAAGTGAGCATGTTGCCTGATCTCAGAGATTACGGACTTGTTTATCAACGATCTGAAAGCTCTTCTCGTTTCTACCCAACCAGGTTGGCCACAACATTGACATCCGAGTCTACAGGACTCAAGACTCCATCCATGGCCTTAGACCAAGCTCTCCAGGATTCTGGGAAGACTCTGGATCAAGCTGAAGGCGGTGACTCCCAAAGAGGTCAAATCATCTTGGAAACTAACTTCAAACTTTACGCATACACGAACTCGCCGCTTGAAATAGCTATCTTAAACTTATTTGTCAGTATGAAGACTCGATTTGCCAACATGGTGACGGGTCAGATCACTCGTGAGTCCATCAGAAACGCACTTTACAATGGTATCACAGCAGACCAAATTATCAGATTTCTAGAGACACATGCACATTCGCAAATGAGGATTCTTGCCAAAGAAAAATTGGATAAAAAAATTGAATTTGACGCCAGTCATAACATTAATACAGCTGGTGGAGCTCCACAGTCGAAATCAACAGATGCGGGAGTTGCTCAGCATCGTTTGGAAATCTTGCCTCCGAATGTAGTGGATCAAATCAAGCTTTGGCAATTAGAGCTCGACCGTATCCAAACTTTCGAAGGTTATCTCTTTAAGGACTTCAAAGACCAAAACGAATATGATGTGTTGTGCAACTATGCCACTGAAGTTGGAGTGCTACTTTGGTCAGATAAGTCGAAGCTTCGATTCTTTGTCACTGCGGATGGTATGTCTCAGGTCGCAGACTTTGCCAGTCGCAAGTTTCGGTGATCGTTCGAATAGCTATTTACAAGTTAGCCGGAGCATGCTTCACAGCCCTCGACATCGCTAATATTACATGACAATGGAGTCTCGTCGTAAATGTCGTAAGTTTCATCTTGGTTCTCGCCGTTTCTGTCACCATTAACCACTTTTCTTCGTTTTTTGTGGCTTCTTGAAATTGCGTGCTTCAAGAGCATATCCCTCTCTTTATCACTCTCATATGAGGTGATCGAACAAGGAGTGGATTCTGCCAGTCGCTTGTAAAATTCCTGGGAAGTTTGACCCGCTTCCTTTTTCGGGTAACCATTAGCTTCAATGTACTCTCGTCTTTTGAGGCTCGCTATTTTCTTTCCTGTAATAGAATCCAAACTTGCCTTGATCTTGGCTTCATCAATGGTGAACTGGATTGCTCGGCTCGCTGCTTGCGTACGGAGATAATACATTCCTGTCTTGAGACCCTGTTCCCAGGCATAAAAATGGCAGGAGGTTAAAGTTTTGAATGTCGGGTTTTGTAAATGAATGTTCATACTCTGCAGCTGGTCGATGAAACGGCCACGATCAGCTGCCAATTGAACAACAACCTTCTGGCTGATTTCCCATACAGTCTTGTATAGTTCTTTGATCTCAGAGGGAATGATATCAATCTTCTGAATCAGTCCGTTGTCTTTGATAATTGCATTCTTAAGAGCATCGCTCCATATGCCCATATCCTCCAAGTCCTTGACTAGGTACTTGTTTACGACCTGAAATTCTCCTGAAAGAACTCTGCGCAGATATAGATTCGATGTAAATGGCTCGAAACATTCGTTAAAGCCCAAGATTTGCGAAGTTGTTGCCGTAGGCATAGGTGCAACTAGAAGTGAATTTCTAAGCCCGTAAATCTTGACTCTCTCTTTGAGAACATCCCAGTCATCGAAAAATCTTGGCTTGTGATTCCATAGATCAAACTGCAATTTGCCCATAGATGCTGGCGAACCTTCAAACGACTCGTATGCACCTTTTTCTATGGCCATCTCTACCGAACATTCAACTGCAGCATGATAAATAGTCTCGAATATTTGGCTGTTAAGTTTACGAGCTTTCTCTGACTCGAAAGGTAGTCTCAACTCCAAAAATGTATCAGCCAAACCTTGAACTCCGATTGCAATAGGCCTGTGTCTCTTGTTTGAAGTCTCCGAAATATCAACTGGATACTTTGTAACATCTATGACCTTGTCGAGATTTCGAGCAAGTACTTTTGTCACCTGGTGTAACTTCGGAAAGTCGAAATAGATTCCATTCTCGTGACCGGCATTCACAAACGAGGGAAGAGCTAGCAGTCCTAAATTGCATACTGCAATTTCCTCAGGAGAGGAGTACTCAACAATTTCGCAGCATAGATTAGAAGACTTGATGGTTCCCAAATTCTTCTGATTCAGTTTCCTATTGCATGAATCTTTGTAAAGCATGAAGGGCATCCCAGTTTCTGTTTGAGATTCTAAAATTTGCATCCATAACTTTCGAGCCTTGATAGTCTGCATTGCAAGGCCCTGTCTTTCATAAAGTGTGTACTTGTCCTCGAACTCTTGCCCAAAGACATCATTAAGTCCCGGAGCTTCGTCAGGTGAAAACAAAGACCAGTCCTCATTCTCCTTTACTCTTTTCATGAACAAATCAGGAATCCATAAAGCATAAAAAAGATCCCTTGCACGAAGCTCTTCCTGTCCGTGGTTCTTACGAAGTTCCAACACTTCTTGGACATCAGCATGCCACGGCTCTAAGTACACAGCCATTGCACCCGGCCTTTTGTTCCCACCTTGATCTACGTATCTTGCAGTATTGTTGAAGACGCGGAGCATTGGCACGAGTCCTCCGGACGTTCCGTTGGATGCCTTGATGAGAGCACCACAAGCTCGAACATTGCTCACGTGGATTCCTATGCCTCCGGAGCCTTTGGATATCATCGCCGCCTTATGCAATGTCTTGTAGATTCCATCGATTGAATCATCCTCTGTTGCCATTAGGTAGCACAGAGATAGGAAATTGTTATCAGTTCCAGCATTAAAGAGTGTGGGTGATGAGTGGATCATATACTTAGAAGACATAAGATCGTAGGTCTCCTTAATTCTAGCGAGCATATCAGCGTCACCATGGATCCCATGGATGCCCACAGCCACACGGAGGAAGAGATATTGGGGAGTTTCGGCCACGACCTTATCGATATGCAAGAGGAATGACTTTTGGAGAGTTCTCACTCCAAAGTATGATAAGTCGAAATCTCTCTCTGGACAGACCAAAGAATCAAGGTAGTCTGCGTTGGACTCTACGATCTCAGCCGCAGCTTTAGACACCAAAGGATATGGTTGGCGAGTTCTAGTGTGGTGGTTCAGTCTCAATGTTCGAAAAGCTTCCGAAAATCGTTTTGGAACCAACCTTCGAATGCGGTACGCTTCCAAGCGCCCTGCTAGAAGTCCGCAATCAGGGTTGATGATAGTTCGCAGCGCAACGGACTCTGCTGCCAACTCTATGAGTTGATTGAACAGAAGTGACTCTGGTAAAGATGCTTCGATGTCATGGACTAGCGAGTCCATTTTGTCAGCAGAAATAGTCAATGTGCCACTTAGCTTTTCTAGAAGGGTTCTAAATCTGTCTGCCTCGAAGGGGCCATGGGTCCCTGTTTCATTCTCCACGATCGTCATGGGTTGCAAATTAGAGATAGATTGACATCTTTGCGATGTAGTGGCGTGCAGTCTGCAATAAGATTTGATGAGTAAGCTGCGGTACTACATTACAAAAATAATGAGAGTTTGAATAGGCAAAATATGGATCATTACTCAAGAAGAACGCTTACAAAATGTTGCTGGATGTTCTAGAGTTGTCATCAGAAATAGCAAAAAAACAGCTCGCACTCAGGTTCGAACTAAGGACCAACAGATTTGCAATCTGCTGCGCTACCACTGCGCCATACGAGCTGGTTATATGAAGAAGTGATAATGGTTTAATAAGTCGTAACTTTCGTAGGTGGAAGGTCCGATTTTGCCGCTGAATTGCATATATTATATTTCTTGAAACATTTGTAGCCTATTTTATTGCAGGAATTATTAATAATATCACAATTACGCCCATTTCCTTTATTAGACCCCCTATGGAGCCGCCATTTAAGGAGTACATTCTTTTCAATCTTTCGGATTATACTATAACTTTTTTATCTTTCCAATAATCTTCACTCCTTCTTTTTCCATCTTTCATTTAACTATCTTCCTGTTCACCTTTTACTTGAAACCAACTACATCGCGGTGCACCCGTGCACCAGCTTTGCTTACAAAAAATTCAGCTCATCCTGATCTACAGTATCCAACTTCGTAGCGATGGGCAAGAGAAAGTCGTCAGAAGCCCACAACATGCAAGTGGACGATTCCTTCCTGCCACTATTGCAGGAGGAGTATAAGGGCAAGAAATTGTATGACCCAATCAATACCGTGGATGATAAATGGGAGCTCTTGCCAGCATTCTTGAAGGTTAAAGGTCTCGTCAAGCAGCACTTGGATTCGTTTAATTATTTTGTGGATGTGGACTTGAAGAAAATCATCAAAGCTAACGAGCTAGTCTTGTCCGATGTGGATCCTCTGTTTTATTTGAAATACTTGGATATTCGAGTTGGTCACAAGTCATCGCTGGCTCCTGGAACCAAAGAGGTGATCATGGCGCCCCATGAGTGTCGTTTGAGAGACTTGACATACTCGGCTCCTATCTACGTGGATGTTGAATATACTAGGGGCCGCAAGATCATCATGCACAAGGACCTAGAGATTGGACGTATGCCTATTATGTTGCGTTCCAACAAGTGTGTTTTAGACGGCATTGATGAGCAGAGAATGGCTCTTTTTGAGGAATGTCCAATCGATCCCGGAGGATACTTTATTGTCAATGGAACTGAAAAGGTAATTTTAATTCAGGAGCAACTTTCCAAGAACAGAATCATTGTTGAAGCGGATGAAAAGAAGAACATTGTCCAAGCTTCTGTCACTTCGTCTACGCACGAGCGTAAGTCGAAGACCTATGTGATTTCCAAGAATGAAAAAATCTACTTGAAGCATAACTCCATTGCGGAGGACATTCCGATCGTGGTGATGTTGAAGGCTGCTGGTATCGTGTCTGACATGGAGGTGTTGCAGCTTGTATGTGGCTCCAACCCCCAGTATCAGGACTTGTTCGCCATTAACTTTGAGGAGGCTGCTAAACTCGAGATCTTCACTCAACAGCAGGCACTTCTCTACATTGGTAAAAGAGTGAAGACAGTGCGTCGTGCCGGTGCTCCCAAGTTGTCGCAGCTCCAGGAAGGTATCGAGGCTATTGCTACTACTGTGATTGCTCATTTGACTGTTTCCGACTTGAACTTCCGCGAGAAAGCCTTGTACATAGCCACCATGGCCAGAAAAGTGTTGATGACCATGCATAACCCAACGATGGTTGACGATAGAGATTATGTGGGTAACAAGCGTTTGGAATTGGCAGGTCAATTAATGTCTTTGCTTTTCGAAGATTTGTTCAAGAAATTCAACACAGATTTCAAAGCTAACATCGACAAGATTTTGAAGAAGCCAGGGCGTACCTCAGAGTTCGATGCACTTTTATCTATTAACATCCACTCTAATAACATCACAATGGGTATGAACCGTGCCATTTCCACAGGTAACTGGTCGTTGAAACGTTTCAAGATGGAAAGGGCTGGTGTTACTCATGTCTTGTCTCGTTTGTCTTACATTTCTGCATTGGGAATGATGACGAGAATCTCTTCTCAATTCGAGAAATCCCGTAAGGTTTCTGGTCCTAGAGCTTTGCAACCGTCTCAATTTGGTATGTTGTGTACTTCTGACACACCTGAAGGAGAGGCCTGTGGTTTGGTTAAGAACTTGGCCCTCATGACCCATATCACAACAGACGACGAAGAAGGACCAATCAAACGATTGTGCTACCTCTTGGGATGTGAGGATATCATGAGCCTTGACTCTGCATCTATCTACTCTGATGGTAATTTTGGTGTGTTCCTCAACGGTACGATGCTTGGAACCACAAGATTCCCTGTTAAATTTGTTAAAGACTTCCGTGCATTGAGAAGAACGGGAAAGATCTCTGAGTTTATCTCTATTTTCACAAATTCCCATCAAGCTGCTGTCCATATCGCCACAGATGGTGGTAGAGTTTGTCGTCCGTTGATCATCATCGACGAAAAAACTGGTACCCCACGCGTTGAGGCACACCACCTAGAGAAATTGTTAAAAGGTGAATGGGTTTTTGATGATTTTTTGAAACATGGCTTAGTTGAGTACTTGGATGTCAATGAGGAAAATGACGCCTTGATTGCCCTATACGAAAAGGATTTTGAAGAGAATCCCGATCTTAACTACACCCATTTGGAGATTGAAACTTTCACTGTTCTTGGAGCAGTTGCAGGATTAATTCCATACCCGCATCACAACCAATCCCCCAGAAACACATATCAATGTGCGATGGGTAAGCAAGCTATTGGTGCCATCGCATACAACCAGTTCCGCAGAATCGATACCCTTTTGTATTTCATGGTTTATCCTCAGCAACCTATGGTTAAAACAAAGACAATCGAATTGATTGACTACGACAAATTACCAGCAGGCCAGAATGCAACTGTGGCTGTTATGTCTTACTCTGGTTACGATATTGAGGATGCTTTGGTTTTGAACAAAGCTTCCATTGATAGAGGTTTTGGAAGATGCCAGGTTGTGCGTAAGAATACCATCACGCTTAAGAGATATCCAAACCACACAAAGGATATTGTGGCAGGTATGCGCGTTGACGAGTCTGGTAAGCCTATTTTCTCACATAGTGCTTTGGGTCTTGATGGTTTGGGTGAAGTCGGTATGAGAATAGAAAATGGACAAGTATACGCCAACAAACAAGTTCCAACCAATGCTGGTGAGTCCGTTCTTGGTGATCATAACCAATCTCCTGGTGTTGAATCTCACAGGGAAACTCCAGCTTACTACAAGGGACCAGAACCCTCGTATGTTGATCAAGTCATGATGTCCGTTAGTGATAATGATCAGGCATTGATCAAGGTTTTGTTGAGACAAACCAGAAGACCTGAACTTGGTGACAAGTTCTCATCCAGACATGGACAGAAAGGTGTCTGTGGTATCATTGTACAACAGGAAGATTTACCCTTCAACGATACAGGTGTTACACCTGATATTATCATGAACCCACACGGTTTCCCATCTCGTATGACGGTCGGTAAAATGATTGAATTAATCTCAGGAAAGGCAGGCGTGTTGAATGGTTCGCTTGAATACGGTACATGTTTTGGAGGTTCCAAGTTGGAGGATATGTCTAAAATTTTGGTTGACAAGGGTTTCAACTACTCAGGAAAGGACATGTTGTACTCTGGTATTACAGGTGAGTGTTTGCAAGCGTACATTTTCTTTGGACCCATTTACTACCAAAAATTGAAGCATATGGTGTTGGATAAAATGCATGCTAGAGCAAGGGGCCCAAGGGCTGTCTTAACTAGACAGCCTACCGAAGGTAGATCCAGAGATGGAGGTTTGAGATTGGGAGAGATGGAGAGAGACTGTGTGATTGCATATGGTGCTTCTCAGCTTTTGCTCGAGAGATTGATGATCTCTTCAGATGCCTTCGAAGTTGACATCTGTAACAACTGTGGTTTGATGGGATACAGCTCATGGTGTAACACATGCAAGAGCTCTGAACACATGATTAGAATGACAATTCCTTACGCAGCGAAATTGTTGTTCCAAGAACTTTTGTCCATGAACATCGCTCCACGTTTGAAGTTGGGAGATGTCTTTTAGTGTACAATAATAATTTGCATAATGGGCTGCTTTGGCTTGAGCTGCTCGTCTATATTGATAAAAAAAACATAGATTTAAACAATTACATATAAGTAGTACTACTCATCCTTGGATTTGCCTAGGTGTAAGCCCTTCTTGAGGCCCTTGCCAACGGTACCAACACCTTTGCCGAGTCCCTTGCCGAAACCCTTGCCGACGTGTCCAACAGCACCAACTCCAGTACCGACGGCTCCAAATGCATCGCCGATATGAGTAGAACTAGCCGGGCGAACGTTAATGATGAAGTCTGGCTTGAAACTCAACTTGAAGTGAGCCTCTCCGGCTGGCTTCTCTTCCTCATCGAACAACTTGACAGTGTATTCAGTCTCACCCTCCTTGTTCATTTCAGAAAGTTTCATATAACCCTCGCACAACCAGTCATCTTGCTCTGGCCCAATATCCCAATCATAGACAACGACCTTAACAACTGAATCGTACTTGTTGATGACCGCAACCTTGGCATTCTCGTTCCAAACCGGATCTAACGTCTTCTTGACCTTCTTACTCTTGAAGAAGTCTTCCTTGTCAGTGTTCAAGAAGAGTTTGACATATGGGTCAGACTTACCATTGCTGTCTCCAGCTGGTAAGTCGTTTGCATCAATCGCTTCAACATTTAAGTAACCTGAGTTGTCGTGCGAGTCTTGAGGAGGAATCTCGCCGGAGTATACAATAGGCACCCAAGAGGCCCGGACTCTGACAGAAGCAGTGACTGCTCCACTCAATTGAATCGTCATTGGCTCCTTATAGCCATTGGACAACAACTGATGTGCTGGAATGTTCACTTCTGAAATAGGCTTCTCAGATCTGTTGTTGTCTTTCTTCTTCGAAAGTCTGATATTCACTTTAGACCAGTCGAGCTCTTTGATGATAACATCACCAGTTACATTAAGCTTCGACTTTCTCTGCTTCAACTTAGGGGAAGTGAAATCTGGAAGACCGTGGTTATCAGCAAAGAGTTGAAGGTAGCAATCATCCTTACCAGTGTCAACATCAAGAATCTCATAGACGAGCACACCACTCTTAAACTCGGTGAGCTGTTCCAAGTTCAATCTCAACTTGTTTTGAGAGTCGCCTTCTTCATCGGCTTCTTCGTCGAGCTCTTCCTTCTGTCTCTCAAGTTTTTTCTTTTCTTCCTTGTCGCCCTTTTCCTCGGCCTTCTTTAACTCTTCCATTCTCTTCTTCTCGGCCTTCTTTTCATCCTCTTCGGCTTGATAGTCGTCCAAAGTCATAACTGGCAAGGTCGGATAAAAGGACAAAGAATAGGTGAGAGAACCTTTAGGACCTCTCTTGTGAATCAACTTGGAAACTCTCTTTTCGTTATCCACAGTCTCAATGTAGCGGCCCTTCTCGTCCCTCTGAATCAACTCGTTCAATCTGACATCGAACGAACCCAAAGTTCTGTCTGGACTACGCTTCTCGACATCCATAACTTCCAAAGTCAATTTCTGGTTTGGAGAAGAGATAGAGACGTAATGCACCTCCGCCCAGGTTGGGTTCAAAGTTGATTCTGCAGCCACAGTTCTTGCACGCTCAATTCCGTTCACCAAGATACGAGCGTAAGGGTCAATCTTTCCAATAGTTTCCAAGTTACGCAAATCCTCAGCCCTGTCAATGACAACTCTAACGACACCCATTGGAGAGCTGTAGCCACCAGCTCCAGAAGCCCCTTCCAACATAACTGGCTTCCAATGGGTGCTGATTTGTACTTCGCCACCCTTTGAAAGTTGAAACCATGGGTCTTGAATCATAGTGGCATCGATTAAATCATTCAAATTACAACGGAAAGAGCCGTAGATCTTCTTATCGGTGGTTCTGAGAATAACACGAACCCTAGTCTTTGCACGGTCAAAAATAATCTTCTCTTCAGAATTTCCCCATGCTGGATTGTTGTTCTTCTTGACAACAGCTGTCTCAATAACAGGTACACCATCAAGCAAGACTTCAACGGAAGTTGACAAGGGCTTATCAGAAGGACTTTTCAAGTTTCTTGCATTAACGACCAGAATCATTGCAATACCAGTGTTCAAGTCAGGAGGAGGATTAACGGCACCATCCGGCTGTCTGGTGGCCATCAACGCTGGCATGAAGTTCAAACCGAACAGGATCTCACCAACCACTTTATTGTTACGAACAACTGGGGCATTGATATTTGGATGTTTCGGATTCTGAAGCAAAATGTCCATGTCAAGCTGAACGGAACCGATGATGTTATCATTCCTGTGGCCGTTGTGATCCATGATAGTGATGTTCAAAGGCTCAGAGGTTGTGGTGATCGGAATATTGACAGTCTCGTTCCAAACCGGCTTAGAAGTATTCTTGATGTACTTAGTAGTAGCCAAAACCTTCTTAGAAAATCCAAGGTTACAATAAGGATCGATGGTATTTCCAACACGACCGTAGTTCTTCAAGCCCTTCGCAGATTTCAAATTGACAACCAAAACACCGATAGCGGAGTTGAGTGGAGCACCAGCCATCAACTGCTCGACATTCAACTGGAAGGAAAGAGGAGCAAACAAGATAGGACCAGCATATTTCTTAATCATTTGATTAATAAATGGGTACAAGCCAGGGAAAGCCAACACCTCCCAATTGAAAGTGGATTCACCAAAAATTCGAGAGTTAAAATCAATCTGGGGAGGTTCCAACAAGGCGACGTTAATAGTCTGAATATGAGGGAATGAAGACATCATTCTCATTCTGACCCTTACCAAACTCTTGAAAGACACGTCAGAAACAGCAATTGGAAGGGTAATTCCGAAGAGCTTTACTTTCACAACAACCTTCTCATTGACCTTATTCTTCAATTGCTTGCTACTGGAATCAGCCACCTCGTTGGGAGTGAAAGAAACACCCCAGTCCATGACGACAACGTCTTCAGCAGTACCTTGCAAAGTTTTGACCAAGTCAATTCTTGGAGGTTTGGTACCAGCCGTGAACGAGTCGAGCCACAAGGACTTGATGAAAGCAGGAGCAGGTGAAGCAGCCAAAATGGGATTGACCTGTTCGGTGACAATCTGAGACACCGAGGGCTCCAAAAAGTGCCAAAATTTCTCCAAAAACACATTGAGCCAGTCCATTGTCTCGTAGTCATCCTCAATGGACTTGATCGAAAATTCTCTCTGGGCCTGTTCTCTCAAAGACTGTCTGTAAGTTCTTACCGAACTACGGTACATAACAGCGCAAGCAAGCATGATGAAAAACACCGGAGCCAACGAGAAACGAAACCATCCGACAATCCATGACAACAAACCTCCAACAATAATGTAAGCCACATTATGGTACCAGTCTCCATAGGCTATCTTGGGCAAATAAGTGTCAAAGATAGATCCACGGGTCAACAAGTCCATGGCCTCATCCTCAGAGGTCAACGCATCAGCCTTCTCCCATCTACCTACCTCTTTCCATCCACGGTAGGTTGGCTCCACGGACTTTCTTGGAGGCGGTTTGGTTTTGATGTCCGACATGTCGTAGTCTTCACTGATAGTCCAATCGATGGTGGTGGTGTTGGCACCATTTGTTTTCTCCTTAATCAATTCCTCCTCATCAAATGGAGGCTTTTGGTCAAGCTTCTTCTGCTTTGGGGGTTCCAACACTTCTGAGGGCTGGGGTTAGCAATTGTTTCTTATATATGTCATCTATGCGTTAAATTGTACGTACGTCTGCTGCTGCTGCAGCGCCAGCTTCACTCATGGTAGTTGCAAGTAGTTGTTAGTTTTGAAATGGTTGCCAGAATATGCGACGAACTAGGTTGCGGGTCGTGTATCGACCATAAATCTGACACAAGAAACCAAAACATGAGTTTGAGGAGACGATTGATGAAAGATTGATGGGTATATTTCAAGACTGATTCATTGATATTACATCATTATCTTGATTTCAGAATTCTCTTCGGTCTTTTCATAAATATGACGTAGGCCGTTCTTGATGCCTGTCCTGTATGGTATGCAGATAGGTCTTCTCTTGCATGAGGAAGTCCATGAAGACCTTTTAACAGGAAAGTGAAGGCGACAACGGAGGCAAAAGTTTATATATTTGCTTTGAGAGGACGTCAGGAACCACTATTCCACACTTTTAGAATTGTAGATGGGTTGTGGTTTTCAACTTCGAGGTCTGTCAGATAGCCGTTGTGCAGTCGATGAGAAGTAACAGTATGTAGGCGGTAAGTAAGTAAAATAAACGGCGGTGTTGTCGAATCCTTATTGATTTATCATTTGGTTCGACTCGATCTCATCTAATCTTCTCCACATTTCCTTTTTTTTGTGTTTTTAAGGAATAAGAATATCATTCAGCCTTACTACACTTTGATGTGTCGGGTCCTATAATTTACTAAAATGCCTCCCGTTAAAAGCTAGCTAGCTTCCCGATCAGTGTAGTCTAATTCTGTTCCCTCCCTATTTTATCCTTGTCATTTCTTGATAATTCAATCAACTATGGTATTACTCCCCATCCGTTGATAAGGGCTGTAAATGCTTCCAACTATACAAATAATGAGAGTACCAGCAACATTGCTGCGAAAAACAACTCCACTATCAAAAATCAGAAACTCATGAAAAAAAAACGTTCGAGGTCCATGAACTTATATCAACACCCCCAATGCATGCATACATGCGATAAACATGTCTTAGACTTCTTGAACGCCACCAGCAGTCACCACCCGCCGTTGGCAACCGTCCCCAGGGTCACACATACACCCGTACACCTCGAGGAAAACATCCCATACTTGAAGTGTAAAAAGCCAAACCAAGATCAAACACCAATGAGACGTCAGGCCAACTTGGCCATATGTTTTGGCATATTCACCACCTTACTATTAGGAATACAGATCCTCAAAGCCTGGCAGCTTGAGTTCGAAGACGCGGTGTTCCTCACTAAGAACAGTATAAAACAGCTCCAAACTCAATACTTATGTAAGAGCAGACGTATAGGTTGCGTCCCTGAAGAGGATACCGAGGATAACGACGGCACTAGCAACGTTATGCTCAAGCTGGCTCGTCATCTGGTAGCAGGAATGGACTTGGACCTTGACTTTCCCTTTTCAAATGTCATGAACTCGGTGTTCCCCATTGATCTGGTGGTATCCTTCAACATTTCCAACACAACCCAGGAATTTATTGCTCGGTATGCGTCGTTCAGCCCGGTGTTGAATGGTAAGCTTACGAGCAAGTACGCGGTGATAGATGGCCATGGCTGTTCACCAATCAACTCTACTTCTCATCCGCAATACAAGGACAAGATTCTTATTGTTCTTAGAGGGAAGTGTACATTCGTCAAGAAAGTGACTAACCTCGTGGACTCAGATCTCCGTCCGAGAGCCGTGGTGGTGGCAAACAACGAACCTTACCGTAATCTCATCACCATGTACTCTAGTACATTCAATGAGGATGGCTCACTCACAGTGCCCATATTATTCATCTCCAACGAAGACTACAAGAGACTCAAGGGGCTTGAACTGGCGAATTTGCTGCTCACGATCGAGACGGCGTCCATCGATAATTGGATCAATCTCATGCTTCTGATGGCGTTATCACCTCCACTTCTTATTGTGTTTTTCTACCTTCTATTGCGGGGAATCCAAATGTGCCACCGTCGCCGAATCAGTACCATGAACCAAAGGCTCGTGCGTAAAATGGCCGTTTTCATTTACAACTACAACCATTTGGTGCCTGCGCCCAAGTTTTACGAGTATTTGACTGCCACGGGTCAAACAGGAGACATACCACTGGTGGTGTCTTCAACTGAGGATTTGCAAGCTGGAACTGACGATACCGAAAGCAGTGCGGAAATTGCCCAGCCTCAAGCGGCCAGCTCGTATGTTATCAATGGCACCGACTTATATTCGCTCACGAATTTGAATCTTTTATTTGCACACCGCGATTACTATCCTACACTCAAATGTTCCATTTGTCTTGACAGGTTTGCACCTCTCCGTTCGCGAGTGCTTGTACTCGAGTGCAAGCATATATACCACGAGAGTTGTCTACTGAACTGGCTCATTAACTTCCGTCGCAGCTGTCCATTGTGCAATGAACCTCTCAAGCTGTTGGAGTCACTGCCTCTACTCAGTACCGAAACTTCAAATTACGACAGTTTCCGGGTGGATTTGGAGAGGGGTCATACAAGTCACCCATGGCCACATAGAAATCTGGCCTGGAGCCAGAGCAGCCATGAAGAATCTTCGAGCCAGTACCACGATGCCCAAGCTCGTGACTTAGGAACATCAGCAAGGACATCGACTGTGGCAGTCCGCAGCCTTCAACTTGATTCTCAAAGCTCAAATCATAAAAGTATCGGCGCAGCCACTCTCCTGGCCCATTCAGGAGAGTCCCCACGACCACCTTACGGGGAAGGCGACACCACTGAATCGAGTGATGGGTTCGGAGTCGGAGTCGGCCCCGGGGCCGGTCCCGGATATGGTATCCAAACCGGTGAAGACTACGATCTACAATCCGGAATGACAGGTGGTATCTCTGGTGCTGGCCCTGGCTCAAACGCTTTGCGTCCATCCAGTCGGATGCACCACAGTGGGGGTCTCAGCATTGATTCAGATGCCTCGTTCGTCACTACTCGCACTCACCCATACTCCGAGACGTCAAGTACGCACTACCTTACTCCACGGCAGAGCGTAGATAGTGGCATGGAAGACACCACCCTGAGCACTTCCAGTGACGGGACTATCAGAAATGCTAGCCCCAACCATACGTAATGAATGAACTGCATGACTTCAATGATCACTAAAATTAAAACGACCTAGACAAATATGTTAACCGATTTGTGCAGAGGCGCAGCATGATAAGCTCGCCATAGATTGTATGTTTTACGTTGACTGGGTACCAACATTATGGAACATTTGCGAGCCAAACCCCCGGGGGTTTTCGGGAGCACACAAGGACCCCACAGTCTCGTAAAAAAAAGTCCTGCACGTGACCACTTTGCACTCTACATTACATTTCAACGTTATGATTCGACCCCGGTGTCTTTCATATATATATCCAACAAATCGACCACCCGCAAATATGGACCCGAACACTTCAATCGAAAATCCTGCTTATACAGACCACACACTACAGCAGCAGCCGCAACAGCAGCAGGATACTGGTTTGGCAGACTCCAATGATCAACAACCTAAACGATCAAAAAAGAGAAAGAAGAAGGTAGAGATGGCATGTGTTTACTGTCGCCGCTCCCACATGATTTGTGACGATTCAAGGCCGTGTCTGCGGTGCATCAAGCGAGGTATTGGCCATCTTTGTCATGATGAGCCGACACCAGGACGCCAGAAGAAGAGACCTGATGGAAACGGAAACGAAAACACCGTAACGCCGCCTCCAATGACATCTGGGGACCACAAAAACGTCAATACTGCAACGAACACGAATGGAACTCCATCAGTGTTGCAAACTGGTATTCAGCAGAGCTCGAGAAATGGCAGTAATTCGATGTTAACAAAAGCACTACCTTTCAACCAGGAACCCTTTTTCTACTCTGAACACGCGGGTAGCGAGTTCAGTTCGCTTAACGACTTTTTGTCCATGATCGATGACCCTGAACTAGTTAATGGTGCTCTTAACGTGGGATCGGCTAACGCAGATGCCCTACTACCCTTTACACTTGGCCCCGACCTGTCAAGTAACTCCAACACAAACCTCAACAATCTTCTAGCATTTTCACCTCCAAATACGCTGATGGCTACATTCCCTGTGCAACAAAACATACAAGTTAAACTGGAGCAGCCAATGACGACACAAGAACAAGCACCATTTATCGACAGAAATACAGAGCACATTTCTTCAGCTGAATTCTCGAAGAATAATTCAGCAACCAACTTGACAGATGGCAACCACCAGCCAATCATATCGGATTCGGCCAGAGACAAGTTCTTCTTGACTGCCGCCGACCCTACCACAGAAATCTCTCCAGAGGAGAGATTAAAGCAGGTCATTAAGGCTAAACTTGAAGCTGGCTTGTTGCAACCTTATAACTACGCTAAGGGATACGCTCGGTTACAAAGCTATATGGATAACTACATGAACCAATCAAGCAGACAGCGCATTCTCAAACCGCTTTCGATTTTCCGTCCTGCCTTCAGAGCAATCGCAAGGACTCTTAAAGATGTTGATTTAGTTCTTGTGGAGGAAAGTTTCGAGAGAATGCTTTTGGACTACGATCGTGTTTTTACGTCCATGGCTATACCTGCTTGCCTCTGGAGAAGAACCGGGGAAATCTATAGAGGAAACAAGGAGTTTGCCTCTTTGGTAGGGGTTACAACCGACGATTTGAAGGACGGAAAGCTTGCAATTTATGAGCTCATGAGCGAAGAAAGTGCTGTTAACTTTTGGGAGAAGTATGGTGCCATTGCTTTTGACAAGGGACAGAAAGCTGTACTCACAAGTTGCAATTTACGTACCAAGGACGGTTTCAAAAGGAAGAGCTGTTGTTTCAGCTTCACCATCAGAAGGGACAGGTATAATATTCCCAGTTGCATTGTCGGAAACTTCATCCCCATTGATCCCTGATATTTATAATTGTGAACGATAATGTGTCATACTCTAATGTTTGCAAATTGTGTAATTCCTATTTTACAATGGCCGCATGCTATATTACTCGTCATCCTCCATGTCGTCATCCTCATCATCCTGTTCATCGCCAATAAAATCATCAACATCGGCATCCTTGCTGCTGTTTTTGGCCCTCTCTTCCTCTGCAATTGCTTCCTTCAAGAGTTTCACTCTCTCTTCCTTAGCCTTTCTTTGCACAACCACATATTGACCCAATGGGGTCGACTCCCAGGACACGTCCTTGAGGAAATTCTTCACTTCAGCCTTATTTGAAGGACCGTATTCGATATTCGATCTCTTAGTGGTGATGTAAGCAGCGGTAGCGTTCAACTTTTCGACCAACTGTTGCAACTGTTTGTTGAATCTAATGTTCTTTGACTTCTTCATGAAACGTCTAAGGGACAACACAGCAGGGGTTGCAAGCTCAGGGAATGCAACGCTCTTGCTGTATAAGACAAAAAATTCGCTTGTCAACTCAAGGAATTGCTCACATAAACCGTCCTGGTAAGCCTTAGTTCCCAAATATTGCTGGTTCATCTTGATGATATAATCGAAGTCAACACCTTCCAACTTGACATTCTTTCCTGGCTTGGTGAAAGCAGTGGAAGTCAAGATTTCGGAAATAAGTGGGTAGATTGGAATGTAAACACCAGTTCCTTGAGATAACCTGATCAAAGATCTGATCAAATAGAAACGCAATGGGAAAAATTGAGGTGTTGGGATGAGTCTCATGGTACCCAAAGTAACCTGGACCAAAGGATAGATCAATGATCTCAATGGAGACTCCTGGTTTTTATGATTAACTAACTCCTTCTCTGGGTTGCAATGATCAGCTAAAACTCTGGACCAGAAGTCCAAGGAATGGCAGAATTGCCAGTTGTAGATGGATCTGTATGCATCCTTACCCAGACTCTCGGAAGAGTTACTCGTGTTGGTAATGGTATTACGCAAGTGGATAGCCAATTGACGTACATACTCGAATCCAACTTGGTAGGACAACTGTTCGTCTATGCCAAACAACTCAGCTGCAGAGTTCTTGGAGAAGTTGATCAAATCCAAGGTATGTGGATTTGTTTTACGGCAGTTCTTCAAGAATGTCGAGTAAGTCTGTTTCAAGATGATTTCCAATGTGGACTTTGGATATTCTCTAGCAGCATTATTCATGAATGCGTAGGTTGCAATCTGAGTTTCGACCTGAGAGGTCATGGCCCACACATCAACCACGGAGGAGAAGATCTCTTTAAGGATCTTTCTTTGAGAAATGTAAAATGGAAGAACTTCCTGAAGAGATGCCAAAACCAAGGCAGCTGTCTCAGTGTTGGTGATATCTTGCAATAGAGTGATATATGCACCGGCCTGACTCTTCAAGATACGTGTCACTTTACCAGCGTTGACATTCTTGTCATCAACAGATCTTATACCTTTCAGGTTGACCTTATAAGGACTCAAGATTTGAATGGCCTCAGGAATACGCTGCAACCCAACAAACATTAAGTCGGAGAAGACAGAAGGGTCTGAGATAGTATACTTAGTGTCATTTTCGTCGGCACGAGTGATGTAGATTGCCGTTTTGAAAGCCGACACGATGTTCTGAAGCAACTTAATAGATGGCTTTTTCAACTGTTTGTTCCAATTGGCCACAAGTGACTTAGTGATCTCTTGTTTCAGCTTGGTCTTTTTAGTGGATGCATCAAGGATTGATTCATCTCCTTCATCCTCCTCATCCTCAGCGTCATCTTCATCATCACTAATGGCATCCAAAGGATTGACGGCCTCGAAGTCTAAGAGGTCCTTGTCGTTATTCTTCAAGTAATTATAGAATTCAGGATCTTTACCTTCCAATGCCTCCAAATCCTTCTGCATCTGCTCAACATCTTCCTCTTCGGAAGACTCCGCGTCTTCATCGATATCGTTCTCTTCCTGCTCTTCATCTTCGCTTGCAGATTCGTCAGAGTTACCTTCCTCTTCTTCATCCTCAGATTCTTCAGCAGCAACGGTGCCCTTCTTTGGCTTAGGAACCTCGAATCCACCCTCAAAGAAGTCCTCTACAGACATGTCATCAAAGACTGCCTTGGTAGCCTTCTTTTCCTTTGGCTGAGCATTCTCTTCAGATGGGCCCTTAGACTTTTTCCGAAGAGCAAGTTTCTTCTTGTGCTTCTGAACCTCCTTACGGTGATCAAGAGTATGCTTCAAGTGCTTATTCTGAAACTTCTTTGTGGCTTTGGAAGCTTTGGCCATGGTTGTTTAAATGAAGTGATGGGTAAGAAAAATTACTGAGATGAGATGTATATGTATCTATGTGCAGACTTGATGCTCTTGGGTGCGAAAAATAGTTTGAAATGTCTTCAATAATTCTTAGTCGTATGCACCCTTGAAGGCTTTTTGAAGCCATTTGAGTAATTTGTCATAAACGATAGTGTTGGCGTTATGGTAATAAATCGAGTGGTCGCTGTCTGGGAAAAAGTGCATATCATAGTTTTCCACACCTTCCGTATCGAAGTGATCCACAAGCCAGAGCGTATTCTGGATATGTACATTGTCATCGGCAGTTCCGTGCATGATAAGAAACCGCTGGACATCCAGGAACTTCTTGAAGTTGGAAATTTCCGAGATTTTCTGGTAGTTCTCGTTAGTTTTAGGACTTTTCATATATCGTTCCGTGTAGACAGAGTCGTAAAACATCCAATTGGTGACAGGTGCGACTGCCATACCATACTTGAACACCTGTCCTCCATCAAACTCTAATGTCTTAAGCGTGGTGAAGCCTCCATATGACCAACCCCAAATAGCAGTTCTCTCATCATCCACGTACTTGTTAATCTTGATGTAGTCCTTGACGATCGATGTGAGATCACGAGGCTCCCAGTATCCCAACTTCTTGTAAGCCCATTGTTTCAAACCCCAGTCATCGCTTCCAGTTCCACGAGGGTCTATGATAAGTACCACGGCGTTTAATTCAGAACTAACTATCTCGTGAAAGCCAATCAGGAAACCAGCGTCCACATATGTGGACCCTGGACCACCATAGGCATTAACCAAGAGAGGGTGCTTCTGATTGGGATCGAAGTTTGGAGGGAAGATCTCTATCAAGTTGAGCTCAACAGCCTCTTTACCATGACCAACCTTGATCTTGCTTTGCACTCTGGTAGGCACATTTGTGATTGCAAGAGTATGTGAAAGGGACTTCACCTCATTAACTGGCTCATAGTTGTCGAAGTCGACTTCTTCGCCGAAGTCTGCAACATTTATGAGTTTTTGCCAAGGCTCCGAGGGCCCGTCATAGTAAAGCTCGACAAAATTACCATCAGGGCTGAAATAGGCCAGAAATTTGCCATTCCCACTGATCGTCTTCTTCAGTCCATCTTCAATTGACACCAGACCGAACGAAACCTCGTTGTTGGTGCCCCACATTCCGTAGACAGTCTTTCCATTGGCGTCGTATGCAAATGCGGATTCATAATGGATTGGCCCTAACAACTTCGAGTATGTCTCCGAATCAGCCAGATCGAAGACTGCAAGTTGGACGAGATTGTCCAGCACCACTTTTTCAAGGTACTTGACGGTGTCTTGCTGGATGGTGACAATGGGCAGAGCTTTTTCTACCCACCCATTGTACTCGGAGGTATCCTGTTTCGAAACAAATTTCACATTCTCATCTTTCGGAAGGTATAGCTTCTTCACTAAAACAGTACTGGTCCTGTCAGTGAGCTTCAAAAGCATTGCATCTTCAATCCAAGTCGCGTCACTTAAAATGAAATCTTCCCCAACGTCTTCGTCAGCTAATCCTTCAATATTTTTAACCGTTTGCAGGTCAACATCAAACACGCGGAGAGACACTTTTGGGTTGTTGGTTCCAGGCTTTGGATACTTCAAAAATGCTTGGACAGGATATTGGTTGAGATCTCTCTCATCAAACGAAGATGCAATCTCATCAATCGACTTGACATAGAAGCTAAACTGATAATCTTCCACATCTGTATCGTCAATAGATGCAAATACCATCTTTTTCAGATCGGGCGACCACCAGGTCATCTTCTCATCACCTACAATTTCCTCTTCATACACCCAATCCGGCTTTCCATTGAAAATGTTTCTGTCTTTCGAACTTGTGAGAACCGCAATGCCCTGATTGGCCACATTCATGGCATACAAGTCCTGGTTGTGACCGAAAATTAAGAACTCACCAGAAGGACTGAATTCAACAAAATGGAGCTTTTCCAAACTATCAGAAGCAGAACCTGGAGGTTGAATTGGGAATAAATTACCGGTGCTTGGTTGCCAGAGCCAGAACAAAGAATACGAGGAGTACCGCCACTGTTTTGTGATGTCAGATCGAAGCACATGCATTGCGCTAGTGTCGTCAACCAGAACACCAGGATTTAGAACAAGATCTTCAAGATTGAAGAAGTCGTTCTTGTACTCGAAAACAGTATTCTCCAACAAAATCATTCGGTAGTCAGAATTGGCCTTGCGGATAACCACTTCAGTGCCTTCGGTAGCCAAATAGTAGCCATTGTGAGAGCTCGAGCCTTCCTCAGGAAACTGAATCGGCGTCAACCACCGGATCACTTTATGATCGGGAAAATACATTCCCCTTCGGTACGTGTCGAAGGTAACATTGGCATTGTTCGCCAGAAACGCGTTCAAGGTGATGTTACGATTCAGAAGCAGCACTTGAGTAGTAGCAGCGCCGTACCACACCCCCGACGCAACCTTCCGGGCATTTCCATTCGAATACACTATAAGGGCTATTAGCCACACTGCAAAAATAGCTGCTGTTATGATCGAGCACATTCGCTTGGATAATGTGCGTGAGCCATGGAATCTCAGAAGAGTCTGTTGAAATGTGGGATCCAACAGAAAATCCTCAAGATCGTCACTCTTGCTGATATAATTGTCAATCTCCGTAAAAACTTCCGAAGTGTCTGAGTGCTCTGACTCTTCATCCTCCAATGCATCGGGCGTAGTAACCGACGATAGGTCTTGGAGGGGGATCTGATCCACTGGTTGATAAGACATGCTGGGGAAAAGATGTGAATAGGGTAAGCCAGATAGTCACAAATGAAAAGTAAATACCACAATTGGTAGTTGAAAGTTCAAAATTGGAAAGATTGAATAGTCCGTACCCGGGCCCCTTTATAGTTCTTGCAACAAATGTACATATGATCTCAATGGGGCATTGTATGGACCACCTCACACTGCGTGGAACCTTGGTCCCACACAGGAAATTGGAGCGGATTCTTGGAACAGACTATACGTAGTAACTGACGGCAGATCGTAACAAAATCCCCACCATTCTTCTCTTTAACAATTTATAGAACGTCATTTCTATATTTTGGTGGCCATTTTTCGAAAAAAAGATGGACTACTCGAGTGTTGTGCAAGGCACCCCGACTCTGGAGGATTATGCTGACTTGTTCAATTCTCCACTACTCGCAACAAGCTTTGCCAAAGCACTTGCGGGAGTGTCCAAGTCGATCTCAGAACCTCGGGGCCCACATAAGGCATGGCAAGGAATATTCCGGAGCGGACTTGCCCATTTTTCTACAGCAGTTGGCTATAGAGACCATGAAGCCGATGTGGAAAATGCTGTAGACTATAAAGGTTCAGTACCTGAGGAGGATATTACGCAACAAACTGGTATTACAACTGAGTTGCCCACGGATGATGGTGAAGATATCACGTCACAGGGAATTGAGATTGTAAGGGAAGAGATAGGGGAGGCTGCGGAAGCGAAAGACATCGCTGATGACCCTCTGGAAGATTTGGGCGGTGACACGGGATTGACCGAGGAAACCGTTGTGGAAGGGACCAAAGATGATTCTAAGGGCCTGCTTAAAGCGTCAGATGAGAGTGTCAACATCCCTAAAGACAGCATCTCGAACGAAACCAATTTGGATATTGGCGTGGAAGCCAACTTAAAAGAGAACATTTCTCAAGTGCCAGAGGGCCTGGAAGTGCAAGGATCAACTACTTCTGGAGCTGATAACGCCAAATCAGTTTCTCTTGATTTGCATAAGTCGGATATTGAAGAGACAAATGAAAAGGTGACGCGGATCTCTCACATTTTACGCATTTGGTTTGCGGAGTTGTGGGCTGCATCGAGAAAATACAACAAGGACATGGTAGTAGCGATTTTTGGATTGCCTGGGACCTCCAGTGAGCTTACAGAAAAGCATTTGTATGACCTATTGATCAGAATCAAGTGGTATATCGACAAGGTTCTTGAGGACGCTAACTGTGAATACTCCACGTCCTTGAAGGAGCTCATCCTCTTACTTCATGAGATCTTGCATGGTTTGTTTCAGGCTGTTTCTCTTGAGCGTGACAACCAGAGCTCGAACCGCTTTCTTATTGTGAAGAGCTTGCTTTTCACGTATTACAAAGCAGATCTTTCTCAAACCTTAGATCTGTTGCTCACATCTACCAATGGATCTGGCACCAGCGAATCGAAGCTCAAAAAAGACGATTCCGAATCCATTACAGGTCTTGATGAGACCGAACTTCCCGAAATTTCAAATGTCCATTCACCCAAGAAGCAGCAAAAACCAACAGACTTCCGTCTTTCTTATGGCACTCTTATGCACATCTACGTGATGTATGATTCGTTGGCAAACAGTCCTCTCAACATGCTCCTCGTTGACAAGGTATCTTTATCTTTGGACATCACGACACTAGAGGAGGTTTCCGCCAATGTGTACACCAACTTGTTGGTACACAAAGATTTCGAAGATGAACAGGTAGTCTCGCAGTTTGAAGGCAGAGTGATCCCACTTTTATCTGCTCTCTTCAACTATTACTACGGGCTTTTCCCTGATGTGCTCAACGCTGATTTGAGTGTTTCGTCTTTTTTCAGTTGGATTACTGGTTATTCGTTTTCTCCAGGTCTGTACGTGGGAATTAAGACCGTTGAAACAATCACAAATTTTCCAAAAAATTCGAAATTGAATATTCAAGACCCCTTCTTGTACGAAGTACAGCAATATGAGGTAACAAATCGCTTGGGATCCGGAGAAGCTTATGAGACAGAGTGGAGTCTTCGTTCACCAACATACCTCACAATTTCCTTGAAAATCTATCAGCTTATCAAGAACCCTTCCTTCACGAAGTATTTGGCGAAAGTTGATTCAGAGAAAGAGATACCACTCCTTGACATTTGGCTCTGTGTGTCGTCCTACGTGCACCATTATCAGTTTAAATCGGCGCTAAACCAATATGGTGCACGTATTTCGTTGTTGACCTTGCTTAAACTCACCTCAACGAAGTCTCCTTGCGTGAAATTGCTCAGGGAATACAAAATCAACGAATTTAAGTGGAAGCTCTGTCACCAGAGGCCCCCTGCTATCCCCATCAGTAACGGAGATGGTATAAAGTCTTCATTGTTGTACATTATTGATCTTGTTCAAGTCACCTTGAGATTCAATTTGAGTAAGAGACTAGACATGGACAATTGCAAGCTTGCTTTGACTGTGCTATACCAAATCTTGCTCGAGGGAGCCGAGTCCATGTTTGAAGACCTTCAAACGTACAAATGGCTGGATCTTTACAAGACCTTGGTGCACTTTTTAAAATTTGTTGAGAAGAATTGTAACGAGGAGGACGTCAAGTACGTTATTGAAGAGGTTTTCTGCATTTTTGACCTCATCTTAGGTCCTGCTTACGACCGAATCATCGAAAGATCAAGCGACTTCTGGCTGTTGGGAAGTCATGTGGCCAAATCAGTGAACTTCGAGCTCTTCTACCAGATGCTTCAACACTATCTGTCGTTGCACGGATTATTTGTGAAATATATCACGAAGAAACACAACTTTGCCAAGGTCGCATCAACTTTTGAGTCATTGACTGAAGAGTTTGATCTTCTGAGCACTAAAGAATTAAACATTGATGAAGTGACAGTTAAGCTCAACAAATTGTCGCTATTAAACGAAGACGAGTTCGCCCCCACAGTCTTGCAAATGAACAAGTTCAACTACGCCGAGACTTTCAAGTACTTGGACAAGTACCATGACTACATTGATTTTGAGAAGCAGGTTGAGATTGTGGACATATTCAATTTGCTCTACGACAACAAGTGGGTGGAACAGAAAAAGGAACGAAAGCATTAATCCTTTTGCAAGGTTCTAAAGAAGTCCATACATGCAGTGAAGACAACCAAAAGAATACCACCACCAGGGCCCAATCTCAACACCTTAGGGATGAAACCCTTGTACAAAGCAGCGAAACCTTCCTCCTTAGCAACTGTAAGCACCGATGGGATTGTCCACCTGTACTTAGTGGAACCAGCCTGAATTCTAGACTTGACAACATCGAAAGGAGTGTTCATCACGGTACCAAAAGTACCACCGATGGTACCACAAGTCAAATCTATAAGGGTCTTCTCGGTGGAGGACTTAGGCTTTGGCATCAAAGATCTCACCTGGAAAATCAAGCCAAAGTAACCAGCGTTCCATGCAATATGTCTCCACAAAGTAGACTCCAAACCCTTGTACAAGCCTAAAACACCGTTTTCTTTGACAATGTGCTTGACCACCTCGCCCATACCGTTGAACTTGGAAGTTCTGTCCTGCAACTTGATCTTAACCAACTCAAAGGGAACAACAACAAACGACTCGGTAGCTCCGGCAGTAGCACCAGTCAACACTGCCAAGGACTGAGTCATTGTAGGGACATCGAATGCCTTTCTGTAGAACTTACCCCACTCGTCGTTAGCAGCAAATTTGGTAGCTCTCTTAGGGGCCTCCATCAAAATTGGGGCACTGATACCCTTGTACAATCTAGAGAAGCCTTCCTCGGCCACGATTTTCTTCAAGCACCTAATGGTACCATTGTAGTCATTGGTTGTAGCCAATTGCTGTCTAGTTTTGACCACATCTAATGGGTACATCACCAAGATCTCAGACACACCGGCGATAGCACCGGAGAGGAACTGGTAGACAAAGGGCAAGGGCTTTGGATCGGTGGACATTGTGCAATTGAATTAAACAAGTCAGAAACTATAAAGCTCAAGATAAAGTCTCAAAATAAAACACTTAAGAGAATTCGACACCAGGTCAAGAAGAAGAGAGATGAAAAAATGTTTCCTCTCTAGCGAGACAGGATTTGGACACTTTGCACGGGACAGGATTGGGGAAGTGCGAGTTAATCTTAACGTTCATACATAATTCCGAGCCTTGGGATAGGCCAGAGATATGGGGCCGTTTGAATGAATCTGAGGAAGGAATCAACTAAAACATGGAATTTTTTCGTTAAACAATTGTATTTAATGTCTTAATCCCATGTTTTTTTTTTCATTGGGGACTAACTTCAATTGGACCAAGTCAATATATTGCCTGACTCTGGTGTCTCGGGTGCAACAAGCACCTGCACATATATGTGGAGAAAATAGGAAGACAGGCCGGAACCGGCGAAAGGTTTAACCGGGGTTTAAATGTAATGGCGAGGGGTAAAGACATACTGAGGCAAGATTTAGTTGATGGGTTAAACACCTTTGCAATTGATTCTGGTTGTTGGAGCCCGAACACGTGATTGGGATGTAGTGAGTTATGGCTGGGGTAAGCGACAAGAAAAAAGGGACAATGAGAGAAAAATGAAAAAAAATTAAATCAGAAAACGTATCAAACTAACGGAGAAGGAAAGGAAATTGAAATTTGATAATAGTAATGACATTGAAATTCTAGTAATTTATACATCAAGAGATTATCTAAATGTCATACTGGTAGGTGATTTCTGCCCACACTCTAACTACTAGGCCGGGTAACTGTGCGCTCCATATATAGCCATCGCATTGTCACCAGAAATTTTCTTTTTCTTTGTGCGGCGGCCAGATCCATTACCGTGTTGCTTGTCTGTTCACGTTATCCCTACGAGTTGGCGAGTGTCAGGTTCTGGCCAGAATGAAATCCAGTGATGGACATGGACCATCTTAACGCCCTTTCACGTGTTTGGCTAACGTCTGTATTGGCTCTTTTGCTGGTAGAGACATGGAGATGCGTGAGGGCTGGGAGGTCAAACATTCTGTAATATATATATTCTGCTTTTGCTCCTTTTGCTCTAAGCTGCCTTGATATACTACCTTTGCTAAATTGACCTTGCTAAACTGCTTGTTTGCTCGAACATTTACAACTTTAGCGTTAGTTAATGATTGGTACTATGACTACATCTTTACCATACTCTACCCATCCATCTCTATTCCTAATTAACGTTGGCACTGCCTCGGAAGATTGCGAACATTACGTTGGTGCAGATTCCAACAACCAACGCTAGTTTCTGGTTCTTGTTGAACATGGTGTCGTCCATCATCAAGAATATGAACGCCACCACGCCCAAAAATGCTCCAAGCACAAGCCCTAGAAGCAAGTCCTCATTGTGATGAGTGCCCTCGAGCTCAGCTGCTGCACGCATGGCTGCTGCCGAAGGTGCCACATCCACACCAGTCAGTTCGCCGTTGTAGTTGGATGTGGATGGTGCAAGTGTAGGTTGTGGAGGGGTAGTTCCATTGATGGTAGACTCCAACCATCGCTCCTCGAGCTGACGAATGAATTCTTGTCTGTTTTCATCCTCTTCGACATCGCTGACTGCCGATGTTGGGAGATTCTCAAGAAAGCCGGGCAAGTATACCAGCTGAAACTGCCTGCGAAGGTCATTCACGTCTTGTGGGCTAACACCTTGTGATAACAACCGGTCAAAGCCAACAACCTGCGGTGCCGTGGAAACTTCTTGTGCCTGTCTATCAAGTTCCTTCTCGTGAGCCAACTGATCTGGAGTTAGCTGGTCTCCCACAAGGCAATGTACATACAACTGGAGTTCATCCATCGACTCGCCCAGTTCACGCATCTGACGCAACTTGGGATCGAATATGTCGGCTTTGAAGTTTGTCTGATCGTTTAGCACTCTTCCACTGTAGATCAACCGGAGACGCCTGCGTTCCGTACCTGGAGATTTGCTTCGAATCATCAGTCTAAACCATGAGGTGTTGACAAGCTTGTTGACGTCATCCCGATCGAAGTTGATGGTCAAGGGAATCTTGAGGTCACTGAATTGGGTGCTAGAGGAGTCCGAGTCCGTGAATCGGACGACAATTTCGACCTTCATGGAAAGATGTGTGGTTGAATGTACTTTGCGAGAGGTGATATGGTGCATACAGACCACTCTAATAATATAGTGAGTGAATTGAAGTCAAATACTTGAAGAAAGCTTAAAATGGGCGAAAAAAGGGCCGTATTAATTTTGGGTGATTAGTTTTCGTGAGCTTTTTTTGTGTCCTTTCACGTTTGTTTCGACTATTGTTTTCATCGTTTTCAAATGATACCCAGACAGAGCTCCAAGTGAGATGTGAAGTACACTCCAGACAAAAAGGATTCGAAGGGAAAAGCAGAAAACTATCGGACCTGCCCTCAGGATGGATTAGGTCCAGATATCAAGTCATACTTCCATTGCCAGATGAGATGGTGGCTTACTGTGATTGAAGGATCAAGATTCAGATAATACACTGAGTAATTGGGAGCCCTTATGAATACTCACAAAAGGAAACGATTTTGAAACGATGAATTAATAGAGAAATATCGAAATTTTTTTTGAAACATTATATTGGGTACTATATCAGGGACCATGCTGTAATAACATGGTCATAGTCCTAGTAAACCAACTGATTTTGGAGAAATGCTAAAAATTCTCAATCATAATATTTCTAGATCATTTATTACCAGCTTCGTTCCTCATGGCCCAATGGTCAAGGCGTCTGGCTACGATTTCGTAACCACTTCTCGGTTGGAACCAGAAGATTCCAGGTTCGACTCCTGGTGGGAAAGCTACTTTTTTGCTCCTCATTTCTACAGCTATCTGTTCGATCTACGGTTAAGAATAACATTCTTTTATTGTTTCCCATGCTCCAGGCTTTTGTGCGCAACCTTGCGTTCATCTGCGTTGTCCACCCTAAACCTTGAGATCGTCTTGACCCACTCGTATGCAGTGGGGTGACTTCTGAACCAGATATCCTATACAGGCCGGAAGAATTCTCTCCACATTCAACTACTCCAGAAACCACGTTATACTCTTCAAAAAAGATGCTTGCTGCTCCCATCAACATTAACAAGTGGATCGAAGAAAACTCCCACCTCTTGCAGCCTCCGGTCAACAACTTCTGTCTTCATAGAGGAGGCTTTACAGTGATGATTGTTGGGGGCCCAAATGAAAGAACCGACTACCATGTCAATCAGACGCCCGAGTATTTCCACCAATTGAAGGGACATATGTGTTTGAAGGTGGTGGATGATGGCGAATTTAAAGATGTTATTATCAACGAAGGCGACTCGTTTTTGCTTCCCGGTAATACCCCGCATAATCCTGTAAGATTTGCCAATACCATTGGATTGGTGGTGGAGCAGGACAGACCCACTGGTGTCAACGATCGCATAAGATGGTACTGTTCCAATTGCAAGGACATTATTCACGAAATTGAATTCTACTGTTCAGATTTGGGTACGCAGGTGAAGGATGCCATTTTGGCATTTGATGGAGACATGGAGGCTAGAACTTGCAATAAGTGCGGTACATTGAACTACTCTAAGCCACAGAGTTCGTAGTATAAATATAATATGGAGGAGGTTTGTGTTTACTCGAATTTCTCCTTGTAAAGGGACTCGCCCTTCTCAAACACCCAGTCCACTGCGTGCTCGACAGGCTCGTCGAAGATGTAGGGCAAGAGTGGCACAATACCCAAACCAATAGCCACCGGGCCGTATGTCTTCAACGGCTTAATGGTGCTGTTCTTGAACAACATCGACGAGTATCTGACGGCGGAGTGGATGGTGAAAGCTGGCAATGCCATGGATGCCAAACTCTGGAAAACTCCACGCTTGACAAACTGCACTCTCCAGTCCCTGTCAGCGATGTCCGCTCCAGCCAATGCTTGGTACTCGGCAGCCGCAGCCTTGTTTGGTGGGGGATATGGGTAGTCCCATGGCTTCAAGTGAGGCAAGTAACGGCCCTCGTTCTTCATCTTGACCTTCCATGATGCGTAGCCCACATCTCCCAAAAGGTATGCCCACGATACGGCGTAACCAAACGTCACGAGATAAGGGTGTGCCACAGGTCTGAAAGACTCTCCAATGTCAGAGGTGTAGGCAACATAACGATGAGAAGCCAATAAGATAGTTCTAAATCTATTGGCATAGGCTGCGTATCTCAACGACCCCTCATCTTTGGCGATGGTGTTATCGTCGATGGCAGACACGGCTCTGATGGCGGTGGAGTTAGTGGAATCTTCAATTGGCATGAGTCTAGAGGTCGGAGATTGTGGTGTTCAATAGGTTGCTTAAGTATGCACGGATAGGTGCAGGCTAGCATGGGGAAACGTCGGTGAAACTACATTAGTGGCGACCGAGAGAGTTGAGCGGTGACTTAATGCAGTAATGATGATTTTCGAGTATTTATGCGATCTAGACTCAGTATACGCTCAGAATTTCATAATGGTGGTAAGAGGAACGTCCTGTTCTATTAGATAAGATTATGTCAATTAGCGCGGTGAAATATGACAGAAGGGTACTTTGTCAAATAGAAAGTGTTAGTAGGTTGTAGCAGGTTCAATAAACGGAATGATTCGGAAGATGCGGCGATATCTTGTTGTGAAGCGAAAAACGCCTTCGATTTGGCAGTTTGAGAATCGATGGCGGCGGTGAATGTCGGGTTGTTGCGGATGCGAATGACTTCAAACGCAGTAAAGGTACTAGAGGGGAATCGGCACGGGTGACAAAAAAATGAGATTTGATGGATCCGGATATTACGGACCGAAGATAAACTCCGAAGTTGTAATTCCTAGTGCTGAAGCCCTGTTTTTATGAGTCTGTAAATAGTCACAATTAATAGAAAACAGGACTTCTAATGCTGAACCCTTTCAGAGAGATGAGATGCCTATGTGATGATTTTAGGAGGGAGGGAGAGAAAATGGGATACATTTTGGGGACATAGTACTATTAAAAAAGTTGAAAAAAGATTAAAAATATGATGTGTATCAAACCGATTAGAATAATACTCCACTGTAAATCAATGCCAGGGTCGATCAAGATTTTTTGTAACTACCACATTGATAGTTCGTAGAAGTATAATCAATGCCATTCATTAACAATTTTAGCCCAATAGATGACACTATACCAGAGCGTGACAATAAAATGGGTTTATTCAATTCAATATTTATACTTCAGATCTCAGTATCGTGGACACCATTTAACCACATTTACTTACTTTTATACCATACAATAAAAGCCATATCATTTCCGTTCCATTCCTTTCATAACAACAAAAACCAGATTTGCACACGTGACCTAATGGCGTAGTTTCCAGTCCGCACATGTGTAATTCAAAGCACGTCCATTCTATCCATCGGTCGTGTAATCACCCAAAACCACATTTACGCAGAAATTTTTCACACTGAATTTTTTTTTTTCTTTCAACACCAAAAGACAAAATGGCTTTCGAAAAACCCGTCAAGACTTCTGCTTACTCGTCCAGATTCCAGACTCCTTTCCGTAGAAGACAGGAGGGTAAGACCGACTACTACCAGAGAAAGAGATTGGTCGCTCAGCACAAGGCTAAGTACAACTCTCCAAAGTACAGATTGGTCGTCAGATTCACCAACAGAGACATCATTGCCCAGATCGTCTCTTCCCAGATCACTGGTGATGTTGTCCTTACTGCTGCTTACGCTCACGAGTTGCCTCAGTACGGTATCAAGTACGGTTTGACCAACTGGTCTGCTGCTTACGCTGTCGGTTTGTTGGTTGCCAGAAGAGCTTTGCAGAAGCTCGGCTTGGACGAGACCTACACCGGTGTTGAGGAGGTTGAGGGTGAGTTCGAGTTGACCGAGGCTGTTGAGGATGCCCCAAGACCATTCAAGGTTTTCTTGGACATTGGTTTGCAGAGAACCACCACTGGTGCCAGAATCTTCGGTGTCTTGAAGGGTGCTTCCGACGGTGGATTGTACGTTCCTCACTCTCCAAACAGATTCCCAGGTTGGGACATTGAGTCTGAGGAGTTGGACGCTGAGCTTTTGAGAAAGTACATCTTCGGTGGTCACATTGCTGAGTACATGGAGGAGTTGATGGATGACGATGAGGAGAAGTACAAGCAGGTCTTCAAGTCTTACATTGACGACGAGATTGACCCAGAGGATGTTGAGGAGATCTACGCTAACGCTCACGAGAAGATCAGAGAGGACCCAGTCTTCAAGCCAACTGAGAAGAAGTTCACCAAGGAGCAGTACGCTGCTGAGACCAAGAAGTACTTGGCTAAGAAGTTGACCAGAGAGGAGAGACAGGCTAAGATCAACCAGAAGATCGCTGACTTCCAGGCTGAGAAGTAAATGTGCTCAATTAATCTTTATAGCTTATCCCTATAATCTTATAGTCCATTTCTCAATAACTGTATATCTTTTTATTTCATTGTATTCTCTTTTTATTGTTGTGATGATTAGGAACTATGATTATTTGTATGACCGTACCCTTTCCGCTTCGTTCAACAACTTATCGTACGCTTCATCAACAACTGGGTGGACAGTATGTTCCTCTTCCGAGTCGATGGATCCCAAGTCTTCTCCATCACCAGGTATCCTTTCAGAAGCGTCCTCGAATACCTCACCATCATTAGCAGATTGATCTGTTTTTTGTTCCCCGTCAATTCTCGGACTCTGTTTGGCATCAAGCCCATCAATGTTGTAAATCTTGTCGAGAGAGACTCGATTGGTGTTGATCTTACTAATCAACTGGGTCACCGAATCGATACCCTTCGCATCAATGATAGCTTCCCGAAGCTCGGATCCAGAAGGGAGCGCAGGTAATGGAAGTGCCTGTGGTGTGTTATCTTGTATGCCATCAGAATCATTGTTTCTGTGCTCCATGAAATAACCCCACCGATGAAACTCTCCTTCTTCCAACTCTTGCTCCTTGGCATGAACTGACGTTTGAGAAATTGATCTCATCAACACTGGATGTCCAGTAAGATTGTCAACCGGTATTTTGCTTCCATCTGACTTAGCCTCAACCACCACAGAGTGTGGTTGGAATGTTTGATCAACTCCTTGGAACGTTTCAGCATGCAAGCTAGGACGTGAGTTTTTAGCCATTAAGATGGGACCGGCATCAAGTAAGGCAGAGGAACTCTCATGGAGTAGGTCGTGATCTCCAACTTGTGCGGCATTCAGTGGAATCTGGACAGATGGGGATGGACTAAGAGGAGTGCTGAACATTTCTGCTTTCTGCTCGAACAAGTGAACCACCTTTTCAAGGGCAGCATCAAGAAGGCAGAAACGCAAAAGATTCTCCTTTCCTTCGAAAGAGAGATTGCCTTGATTTCTCCTTTCGAACAAATTATCAATGATTTTGTGAATGTCCTTTCTAATAGCATTCGTCTTTTCAAGCAAAGCGTTGGTAATTATCATTTGTAACTTGAAATCGGTCTCGCCAGAGTTCTTATCGCTTTCCATAAGCATTTTTTCGGCACGCTCCATAAGTAAGGTGCCATCAAACATAACATCATCTTGTTCAGTCTCTCCGCTGAAGTTATTAATATCTGGTCGAATAGTCCGGTCCATATTCCTCATAAGATAGAGAGCTAGTCTCTGGGATAACTCATCAGGGACGAGATCGTAATCCAAATCAACAGTAAAGATGGCAGACAGTTTGACTGCAGAGTAAATTGCTGCAATAGACCTCCTATCTAAGTTCCTGTTACCAAGTAAGGAGACGTGCACTAGGCCATTGATTTTTGGGAGAATGTCAGATAAAGCTTCAATTGACTCTGATGACAATTCATTCAAATCAAAGTGGATTCGTTTCAAACAATAGAATGAGGGCAATGTCTTGTTTAACTTCGATATGACACTTGGGAAAAGCTGAGGCAAGGAACTCAAATCCAAGAACTTCAATGTCTTGACATTAGACAAGCCACGGAATAATTCATAGACCTCATCAACATCAGTAAGATTTGTTGAGTTCAATGAGAAAAAAATTAAGTTCACTGTCTTCGTATTGAAGACCTTGATGAAAGGCCTAAGTTGGCCATGACTCAAATCATTGTAGGCAATGTCAAGACCCACACATTTAGAGTCCGTTCTGCTGATCCAGTCAGCCACCATCTCACATTTTTCAACATTGATTTCTGTAGCTGCCATTCCAAGTCTGCAAGTTGATATCGACAAAGCATTTTCTAACAAGTTTTCAAACGTGTCATCGGAAAGCTTGCATCCACCCATAACCAACTCTTCGATTCCGTTTCTGGCGACAAGCGCCTTGATAAACAAATCCCAATTCATGGCAGATCTGAAGGAGGTATGCTTAGTGACTTGCTTGACTCTCTGCTGAGAAATATCTAGCTTTTTGACAGTATGATTTCTGTTCAAGAATTCGCAAAGGTATAACCATCCAGTGCTGTCAATGGGTACATTTCTTAATGAGAGCTTTTCCAAGTGCTTGTTATGAACAAGTGCTGAGAGCAAATGCTTGAGCATTTCTGTTGACATCGTCACATTGTCGAAGATGATAGTATTGATAGGTGTGATTGCAATGAAATCACTGAACGAGAGAACATCAATCAAAGTTGGCTTAGGGTTCAACAATTTGAGTACTTGCAAGGGCCGAGTTTTATTCTTAAGCTGCTTCAAAGTTGCAGGAATAGGAAGAATTTCTCTCAAGTGACAACATCTGGTGTATATCATCTCCAATGTTGCATCCTTAGCATTAAACTCTGCAGGGTCCTCTGTTTCCTGGAAATGATTCTCATGAAGATGCAATGGCTTGTCAATTTCAATATTCTCGACGCCATCCATTACCTCATCCTCATCAGGGACACAATTCTTACCGGTGGCCTTGTACTGAGAAATCTGGACTGCCAATTTCTTTGCAGACAAATGAGCCTCCATGGCATGCTTTTCTGCTTCCAACAATGCTCGCTTCTGAGCCTCAATTGCCAACTGAAGTTCCTTTTCGGTGTACTTTGAGTCTGAAGGCATTGTTCTTCCGTCACTCGAGGATATACCCTGCGCTAATCTGGGTATCGGAGCCGTCAAGTCTTCAGGAATCAACACATTACCTTTCCGAGGTCTTCTGGAAGGAATTTGTTGCTGTGGATCGTCGTCGAGTTTATCGAGAGCGAAAGCGACTCTTCTAAGCTGGGGCTCTTGGATCTCTGGAAGTAGGCCCTTGTTTTTGCATAGATTTTTGTTGAGTACTTGTCTCTGGCTAGGACTCCGCAGAACTTCAACCAGGCCCCTTCTCTTAAAGAAGCCGCCTTTCTCCTTCTCAAAAGACAGTTTCGGGCTCGAAGAATTTGAAAGTTTTCTTTGTTGTGCAATGGGTATACCACCTTCAGCTGGAGGTCTTACAACTAACGAAGCCAAATCCTGGTCGACGTGGCCGTGTGAGCCCGACCCGATTAGCGATGGGTTGAGCTTATGTGGTATAGAAGTGGCCGGACTCAAGTTAGGAGATCCATGCGAGCCATTTGCAGAAGCTGAAGTGGATTGTGAGCTCAAGGAAGAAGATTTAAATTTAGAGGAAAGCGAGCTGAAGAAAGACTTTCCCCTCCCCGAGCTCGACCTCGAAACATTGGCAGATGACGGTTGGGAAGTTGCTGCATCTGCTTGGTCTGCGGGAGCAGGAGAAGCCCCGCTGCTCCCGGGGATGAAATTGACACTGCTTCTCCGTTTAGTTGATGCGGATGAATTCAGCTGGTCAGAGTCGGGGATCTGGGGCGCCGAGGTTGATCTGGATCGTGCAAAGCGGAACTTCAGCCCCGTGTCGGACGCAGTGGAATCTTCGGCCACAGAATTGGGTTCTGATGGCCTTGTCGGAGATTTGGAAGTGGGAGACTTTGGAGCGGGAGATCTTGGTCCCTGAGACTTTGTAGTAACATTGGAAGCTGGAGTTTTTGGAATAGCCACAGCTGGAGGCTGAGGCATAGACGGCAGTGGTTTCGATGTAGCAGGGCCATTGGAGGCACCCGGGACTTCGAATTTGGAATCTTTTGAATCGGCGTCTTTGGCTCGGTCGTCTCTGTCCTTTTCAGCAGATGAGCGGCGGGAGTCCTTCGATTCTGAGCACACGGACAGACGATGGTCTGGGGCGAGTTTCTTGGTCAACTTCTTTGATTTGCCTCGAAAAAGCCAGTCTACATCGCCATTAGAAACGCCAGTTTCGATATCTGCGGCAGAAGGCACAGACATTCCGGCAGGGCGACAGCAGATGGTGGCAGATTACACGAGGACGATATCTCAATGTAAAGGAAAATGGGCCAGGAGGAACAAAAAGAAAGCCAATGGAGAATCAAGCAAATTGAAGTGACAACGATACTATCGAGGTAGTGTGTGGAGGAGCACGTGAGCGATAGAGACTATGTAGTGCGAGTGGGCAAGTACAACAACCAGTGGGGAAGAAAGGGGAAAGGAGATGGATTAGACGAGAAGTAAAGACGGAAGTAAATGAGACGGAAAAAATAGGGTGGAGGATATAGAGGTATGAAACGTTTCGCGTTTTCATATGTGGATGCGAAATTCAACTACGTAAGATTTTTCAGAAATTGGATGATCACGGTACCTTGGAATGTGCCGATGGGGTGCAAGAAGCTGATAAGATTGGACAAGGAGAAAAAATGAGACAAAGGATTTGAATGGATGAAGGTGCACAAAATAATGTTACTATTTTAATAAGTGATAAATATCAAGAGTGCAGATATTCTCTCCCTTGGATATAAATATATTACTTGGTAAAGGTTCATTTGATTTATCTTCTTTTCTTGTGGTATTTGTTCACTTCCCAATCCTGTTGCCTGTTCCTGTCTCCAGATGTTCCGTAGTCTCTGCGCTATTACTACATCCCCGGCAGATACTAGTTCCGGCCCGACACGTTTAAGAGAGAAAAACTCTCTGGAAATCCCGCAAACAATATAATCCATCTAAATATCACTTCCTTCATCTCCCAAATCCTTTTGATTTGATGATCAATGTCCAAATTACTAATATTAGGAATGGATGATTTTTGGTTGCCCTTTCTTAAAAATTCCTTCTACCAACCATTCGCATCCCATTTACACTATAGGAACATTTTCCCCAGAAAGTCAGAAACCAAACACCTGACCTAACTCTACATTATAGATAGAAGCTCAAAACCTTGTAGTGGGCGAGTTTCTCCACCAAACTGCACCTTTTAGCTTCTTGCTTCCTTTCGCCTTCTTACGTCACACATTTTTTATTTATTTTATTCTCTCGTCTCCCACGGACTTCAGGTGTCCATAACTATAGTGCACATGAAGTAGATTAAAGATTCTTTTTCGGCGGGGGACGACACGGCGAAACGACATAAACCAAATGTTCGGAATCAAAAATTTTCCAATAGAAATGGCAAACTTTCGATGACTCTCGCCACCACTCCTATCACCATCCCGAACTCCTTTTTATCACCGATTTTCTAAGCTTTCCTGGCCCGTGAGTTCGGGGTTCCTTCTCGGACTAGACGGCTTTATCGGGCACAAAACCCGTGTCAGGTATGCGACATTTCGCATTGGCTCCTGTTTCGCTCCAAGTAGTCAGAGTTTCGCACATTATTGCCCTAGTGTGGCTCCACCAATCATCTCCACTACCGCTGCTTATGTAAAAATGTCGCTCCCCTCCCACGGAACCGAAGTCGGCACGACACCTCCCTCCTGCACACATGTAATGAAGTCTCCACTCAAATTTGTCATGTTTCCATCGCTTATCATTACCATCAGTTCCAGGCTTTTTCACGTTTGCCCAAATTTAACCAACAACTTTCTCTTTTTGGTTATTACTGTCAATTCAAAGACTACAAGTGAACACAAACACACTGCTCACTCCACTCAAATATATTAACTTCCCCTCATCTCGTTGTTATCAGGGATCTCTCCAGATTTTTTTTTCAAAGAATGTTCAGACAAGTTGCTAGAAACTCATTAGCCGCCAGAACCTTGGTGGCAAGAACCAAATTCTCCCCAGCAATGTCTCGCGCTTTGCGTGCACCTGTCACACCTGCCTTGACTCAAAGCAGAAGCTACCATGATAAGGTGATTGATCACTACACCAACCCCAGAAACGTGGGTACTTTGGACAAGAACGACGCCGACGTGGGCACAGGACTCGTGGGAGCCCCCGCCTGCGGAGACGTCATGAGATTGCAAATCAAGGTGGACGAGGAGACCGGCGTGATCCAGGATGTCAAGTTTAAGACATTCGGATGTGGATCGGCCATTGCTTCGTCGTCCTACGTCACCGAGCTCGTCAAGGGAAAGACTCTCGAGGAGGCCTTGACTATCAAAAACACCGCCATTGCCAAGGAATTGTCGTTGCCCCCAGTGAAGTTGCATTGCTCTATGTTGGCTGAGGATGCCATCAAGTCTGCTGTCAAGGACTACAAGTCCAAGAGATCGAGTGCCTTGAAACAGCCAACGTTGGGCGCTGCCACTGCTTGAGGTAGTGGGAACTGCAACTTATTTATTCCATTAATGTCAATGACTATGTATTTGTGAACAATAATGTCTTTAGCTGATGTAGGTGTCAAAATGACAGAGTAGGAATAAGTTGACAGAGCTGGCGGAATGAGTTGACAGAGTAGGAGATGTAAATCCATGTTCTGTTATGCTTCAACAAACAAGTACTTGGCGAATTGCTTTCCCATGAATCCAGTATCAAGTGGCCACAGATTCATGCGCAAAATGGCTATGACACTGAGCGATGTGAAGGTACCGATGACTCCATAGGCTATCTTCTTTGCTCGAGCACGCACCTGTCGTCTCCACTTGAAGAGCCCACTAACTATATGATAAAATGATACCCACAGAAGCAACACAAGCATCGCATAATTGCAAAATGCTCCCCACTTGCCAAAGGGTGACTGGTGGAGGTAATGTGTAACGTACTTAAGCGTGACAAGGGAAGAGTCTCCATCCACCAACATTGGAGCCAACCTCATCTTGAACCAATGGAAGCCGAGACAGACTGCCATCACGTAGCCTGAGAAGGTCAAAGGAGTGAAAGATGGGAACGTGGAAGAGATCCATGAGCGTTTGTACCCTAGTCCTAAGAGCGTCCCAAGCCCACCCAATCCAATGTCTTCTCTGTATTCGTCTTTGATGAGAAAGTCTTTGGGTTGAGCACGGGTTCTTGAGGAGAACAGCCGCAACACTCTAAGACAGATCCCACTGGCCAAGTGAATCCCTCCAGCAGCATAGATGGCCAGGTACTCCACGAGTGGTCCTAAATATACGTTTCGGCACATTTCAAATATGTCCTGGCACTTTTCGGCGTTAATACCAAGGCCGGGCACCACCACGGTGCTGGCGATGTGGAGTCCAAAGAATCCCAAGAAGGTGTAGGATGAGTACTTTTGGATTTGGGTGAGCACCTTGATTAATTTGGTCAAAAATGTCGGATGTTTCTTTGGAGGAGGCGACACGTGGTCAGACGGTAGCTCGAAGGGTTGCGGAACCACCTGAGTCAATTCATCGAGTGACATAGTGGCTGAGAGCGGAGAAGACATGTTGTACCAATGAAGAGATTTGGATAATAAGCGAATTATGTGGAGGACGAGCGGGATGAGGACCATCACGGAGATGGCCTAGACTTTTGGAGGAACAGGAGGATTTGGAGGAAACGTAAAACGCATAAATTGACCGAATTCAAAGAAGTCAATGTATCTCATTGAGTTGGGTCTGGAAAGAATGTGGTATGTTCGATGGCTTATCTGGAGAAGTGGAGACTAAATGTAATGTACGGCATAGGTCTGATGTCTATTACTTGGGTGGTTACATGGAATGGTGGTTATAGGGAAGTTCCATGTAATCAAATATGTGGAAGTAAAGTGCTTGTGTTTTTGAGCCAAGTTGATGGATCCAAGTTTGAAGTTAAGCCAATTGCCCCAAACAGCTGTAGAAGATTTCCAAGATCACCAGCATTACTATTAAAGTCCACATAGATTGAAAACAGGCGAATCCATAAGTCAAAAAGGGAAAAAACAAGCAAACAAACAGACAAACTAGCTGAAGCAAGGTTTGATAGTTCTGTTTTACATCCTTGGTGAACGTATATCTGTTTTCATTACTTCACATGTTCACATTCCTCAATACTCGCATCTTGGCTCGGATCACAAGACTGAGAGTAGCTAGTTGACTCCAATCAACCTTTGGAAAGACTCAGCTACATTGATGTCAATGCTTTCGGAATGTATTTCCATCCCATTTAACTTCACTAAAACTGCCCCATTTTTATTGTAGTCAATCAATCCCCTCTCATTCATACAACCTTCCCAATAGTGGTGTACCTGGCACATTCGCGAACCAAAACTATCACCAACCACCAACACCATGTCTTCTGCCACCTTCACCCAGACGAGAAACTCTGCGTTGTCGCTCGAGAAACAGACCGAGGTCCTCTTGGTGCGATATTCCAAGCTCCAACTGGTGGGAAACTCCATCGAGGCCAACGATGATGAGTCGTCGTTGGTGGCCCAGATCTCCGACTTGCTCCAGAAACGAGAGGAGGTCATAGGTAACTTAAACCGCATCAGCGAGGTGGACGCTACCATCTCTACGTCTAAACTACAGCAATTGCAGCGCCATCGTGAGATCTTGGCCGAGCACCGGTCGTCTTTTCTGAAAATGCAGACGAAGATTACCGACGAGCGGAACCGCAACAATTTGTTATTTCTGATTCAGTCGGACATCTCAGCGCATAAGCAGCGCAATGTATCTTCTGCTGCCACCAACGAAGACGACTACATCTTGGACGAGAGGCGCAGGGTCGACACGGCCAATTCGTTTGCTGACCGACTCTTGCAACTGGCCTACGAGACGAGAGATGAGCTTATGGGACAAAGACAGTATCTCCAGAATGCAACTTCAAGGATTCAAGGAACTTTACAGTCAATTCCGGGAATCAATGTGTTGGTTTCCAGGATCAATACCCGTAGAAAGAGAGATACGCTTATAATGGGCTTTGTCATTGCCTTCTGCATAATTGGTTTATTCTTCTTTGCATGAGTAGAAGAAGTGGAAAGAGAAGCAACAAAGAAATATCACGCTAGAGGCCAAGAGGGATATTGGTGTTGATGTACATTGGAGATTGAAGGATGGAGATCGCGATAGCCTCGGATGTATCTTCTATTTACATCTTTAAGTTGACATCCCGGGCTTTAGAAATCTAGACTTCAAAGTGGCTACCCCATGAATTTTGTGATCTTGCTGGAATGGGGATTATTCAATGCTTCTCTTGGTTCTTAATTGTCCAGCTGGACCACACATAAGGGATCTCTATCCCCCATCCCGTTCATGACCTCATTTATGATTCCCTCCAAGACCACCATTTATGTTGGCCGTCCCCCATTGATTTTACAACTTGACACATACAAACATTGGACTTTTCTCCTTGAAACACTTTTGTTTCACATCAAATCAAGATCTACAAAAATGTGCAGGAGGTTCCTATCTTTGTTGCAACCCATTCTCCATTCTGGATTCAGAATCGCCGCTAACACATGTTGATCCGCCCCACCTGCAAACCATCTTTGGCATTTCAGTTGTTCAATCTATTCATGGTTGGCCAGCTAATGTTGCAGATCTATTCTACATATGGATAATCCTTGTTTCGCAAGTGTCAGTCCTGGACCGAGTACATCTCGGCACCATTTCCTCTAACCTCCTGAAGATTTCGACTCATTCTACTCTCTCCTTACTGCTGCTAACGCCTAATGCCGTCCAAGCTGTCCATGGAGGACCGAATTTTGGCCCTCAAGCTTCGTCGTCTTGAGCAGTTGAATGAGAAGTTGAAAGAGTCACTCAAGAAGGACCGCATTCCCGCGTCGCGTGCTGCTGCTCTCATCATCGAGACATCTCAGGATATATCTGATCCGCTTGTGCCTTCAGTATGGCACTTGCCTCCAGAACAGAATCGTTACCGAGTCTACCATGACTTGTGCAACAGACCCACACTGGCAGGCTGTTGTACCGTTGTCTGAAATTTTGATACGAATCATCTTTGGGCAAAGTTTAATACACTTCATCCGTCATCAACTCGTGAGATTTAAGACTCCATAAACTTTTCTAATTTTCCCGAGCGCACCCCACCCCAAATTCATACTAACACAACCCGAGCTATAGTTAACCCACCCTTATCTACATTCAATTTTCTCATAATCAATTATGTATGTGAAGACTTAACCTCCCTGTTTACCACCCTTTTCGTCAACTTTCACCTCACGCAAGTGCTCCAAGCTAGTATTTCCAAGTGTGAAATCATTCGCCTTTTCATCATCTCCACATCCACAATCATAGTCCTCTAAGATGGTCGTACAATCATACTCGGGCTTCTTCAACTTTTCGTTCACTTGGTTATGAATGTGACATCCCCAAAGTGCTGCTGTTTTCCGACTGTTGACTTGTGGTGGAAATGCCTTTAAAAGCTTTTGGAAGTGACGAGCACAATCTCCGCAAGGATACACCTGTCCGAAAAAGAATATGTACTGCTTAAGCGTATTCTTCTCCTGATCAGTGGGCTTGTCAGGGTACCGAGCCAATACCGTATGCAAAAGATGCCATGCTGAGTTTCCAAGTTGAGCTTTGAGAGTTTCGTTGGCCATTTTCGGCATGAAAGGGGTATCTGTGAAATCTCCCACATCCTGAGAGCTTTCATCAGACTGGGCGACTTTTTTGTTTCCGGCTACCTGGTTGTTAAGTACCAAATCAGCCTGTGTTCCTGCTGATTTGTCTGACTGAGTGGTCTTCTTAGTGGACATCGGCACTGACTCTCCCAAGGACACAGAATCACCCGAGGCAACATAGTAGATGGCACAAGCCACAATAAAAAGCACCAAAATGGAGAATACGGGCCTCCTTGTTTGCTTCATGGTGGTTGTTGACGAAAGACTGACCTTAGCAGGATTTCCTTATAGGGTATTTATATCACGTGAGAAAGACACCAACCATGGGGTGATTCACTTAACGGGACAATATGGTTACCAGGAGCAAATGCAAAAAGACAATTATAGAGAATTAGATGAATGGATATTAACAGAAACAGAAAATACAAGTTTGAATACAATCCAAAAAAAAAAAGAAAAAAATAATAAACAACTACAATTTAGCTCTACTAATTCTCTTATTATTTTAAAGTGCGCCTTATCTATGCTCAAGTGGATCTCTTGACAGTGGCAGCCTCCAAAACACCCGGCAAGGATTCGCTGTCAATGCTGTAGAGAAGCTTGACACCTCCCACCAATGTCAACAACAAAGCCACCGATGTCCACAACAACAAATTGGCCTGGGCAGCAATGTCCTTCTTGCTACAGTCGCTACCGGCCCATTTGGTGGTCTTAGACAGCTTCTTGTCGAATGTAGGCTTACAAGCACATTGCCAGCACTTAGACTGGAACTTGGTACACGAGCCGTGTCCGCTACAGTTGTTGGTGGCAGAAGTGCATGCATCTTCGTCAGCAAAGCAGGCCTTAGCTGCCACAGCTCCTCTCTTGGAAAAGACGGAAAACACATCAGCCAACTCATCGCTTCTCTTCTGCATGCGCGATCCACATCCAGCAGTTTTGTGCTTAGGACCAAGTGCAACTACGGTAACATCAAACTTGTCGCTCATGGCCTGGATGGAGCGAGCCAACGTTCTCTGTGCCAACTGATAGGTTGAAGATTGGAATCCAATCTTGATTCCGAGGGAGAGAAGCGAGTCAAGATTCATAACAAGGAGGCCCTCAGACTGATCAGCGATCTTGGCGACTTGCAAGATCTCACTGATGAAGAGCTTGTCGTTGAGAACATTCAAGCCGGAGTCCAGGAGATCCACGATGTTCTGACTGTTTCCAGCAAGCAAGTTGTTCCAGTGGCGAGGCAAGTCATCCTGCAAACGCTTGAACACATGCTTAATGGCCTTTGACTCGGTGCTTTGAGTAGCCACCATGTGGATTTCTTTGGTGACAGAGGTGACCAGGGAGTTGTGGACTTTGGCGTAATGACCAGGCAACTCTTCGAAAAGCTCATGAACAAGGTGACGAACGTGCTTCTCCTTCAGGAGACCGATCTCAAATGCCAATTTGTCGGATGCAGCAGTGGAAGCTGCCCCCGAGCCGCTGTCAGAGAAGAAAGACGAGGGGTTCTCCACGCCCTTAACAATGAAAACCACAGAAGGCTTACCCGAATCGGCAGAATGCAACTTCTGGAGGAGCTTTACAGACTTTTGACTGTGGCCGACAGAGTAGTATTCACCCACACCAAATTTGTCGGCAAAGTAGACCTTGGAGTCGTGGACCGAGGCAACAATGGCGTCATGGGCAGGCTGATCGTTCAATTCAAAGACGGCAGCATTTCCTGAAGCCGAGGCTGACACCGAGGCAGCACCAAGAAGGAAGATGGAGCCAAGTTGAGAAAGCTTCATGTCGATTGAGAGGTCAGGCTTTGGTTAATTATATTGGTTTGATAGTGAGTTTTTTATTATCGCACTCGGTCAATTCCGTCTGCAGGAATAATTTTTGGATGTACGGGTTTATTGAAATAAATCAATACTTCAAGTTAATGTAAAGTTTCATATTACACAGGTTGTGATGCGGTGGCTCAATGGCAGAGCTTTTGATTCCAAATCAAAGGGTTGCAGGTTCGATTCCTGTCCGTGTCATCTTTTTTGCACTTGTAACTGAAGACATGAACACAACTTCCATGATCTTTCATTTTTTTTTGAGTAGTTTGAACATTCATTGCGATCACCATTGATGTTGATGTCTACAATCTAGTATCATACAGTGGGGCAGGTTTTGAGGTCACTCCTCAAATATACACTCCAGACGTCTTCACAGTGGCACCAGTGACAGTGCAGTTGCATTCAGATAGGGGTGAAAGACTATTTTGATTTATTCTAATATCTTCATGGTGGTCAGTCAGGTAGTTATCATCATAATGCATAGCAACTGCCACTGTAAAGGCTAAAAGGCCCCTCTCAGGCTTCACAGTGGATGGTGAAGAAAAAAAAACTGCGATGAGAATATTTCCAACAAAATAGTGTGGTGCGGGTAACTTCCTCTCATAATTATAACAAAAGAAACTGAGGTGACCGCAACGTTCTGTCACAGAAGACAATCGCTTTTAGATCTCATTAGTCAAACTATTTAAATGTACTGAAATGGCTTCTTGAACAATTCTGCACCTCCCTAATGCCTGTGGCTTATCTCCAGTGGATTCCCACACAGAACTAGAAATGAAATCTGATGCTATGACCTATCTACACTCCAGAGGGTGTTGGGAGCTACCAGAGTTCCCCGCTGGTCGGAAAAACTGCCTAACCCAAAATCCGGACCCAAAGATGATGAAAGGGTAAGCAAACCGTATAAAATGTGTCCAAGCGGCAGTCCTAAAATAAAATTTATAAAGTGTTTTTTTTCCTCCAATCCTTTTCCCTCTTTCTCTGCGATCTACACTGGTAAATCCGATTGCTGAGAGGTACGGCTGCGTAGATAAGGATCTCCGTTGCGGCCTAGCGCATAAACTCTAGCAACACTACATTTTTCTGCCTTTATCCACTGTTCCCTTGACTGTTATACGCCACTTTCCAGACTTCTCTGAAACGTGAAGGACATCTAACTCCACCTGGTCATCTTCATCTAATATTTTGGCATCTATATATACGCCACAAACTTCCGCTGATTACAAGTGTGGATAGCGTGCCACAACTCCAACCATTACAAACATTATGGCTTTCAACCCCGCCGTGGAGCGTAGAAAGAGGGCACCTGTTCGTGCTACGCCCGTTGAGAACGAGTCGTCGCTATTCTCAGAATCACAGTCACTGTGGGTCGTTTTCAACCCACCGGATAAGCTCGAGAATGACATCCTTTCCTTCTCCACCAACAATCCTTTAACCGCCACAGACGACGAGAGTGAGTTCCAGAGTGAGTTCCAGAGTGGTGACGAGGAAAATGCAGCTGATGGTAATGCCACTGACGCTGCATATCCCGCTGATGATGAGTACGACGACGAGCTATACGATGGACTCCATCAGTCGCTTTCCAGCCGTATCAACGAGTGGCAGCTGGCCACCGAAGCCGCCGTACTGGACAATGTCGCGTCATGGGACTTGGACGCGGAGCTCGTGCAACTGCTCTTGGACAAGTCCATTCTTCGGCGGGTGCCCTCGTTCTACGGTGACCACTACTTCGAGAACATGTCCAAGGCCGATTACATGCGGTTCAAGCGAGCCACAACAATGTTAAAGAAGTCACTCTCGCGTAAGGGTTACAAGAACAGCAACCCCGAGTTGCTTACTCGAGTGCTTGAGTTGTTACTGTGGCAGAGCTTGCTTCAGACATCGGGGTCGTTGGTCAATGATTACATTGTCAATACGCTAGCACGTACTCATTTCGTGGACCCGCCTTATAAGGATGTGGAGTTTTCCGACACGGCTACGCTGTCGTCTTTGGTTATTTGCGGGGGTTCTTCATGGAACGATATATAGGATATGATACAGGTAATATTAGCGGTTTGTAGATTGCAGAAGAGTGTCTTAAGTAGACCAAGTAAGTCATTGAATATTAAATCTTGTATTTCTGTTGGCGAGAAATTGCCCCAATCAAGACTTGTGTTTCTAGCGGTCACCGTACGTTTACAATGTGTAGTATTCGGGTGATTTGTCCTCGACTCCAATGAAATCTACATCATACATCTCAACTAAAATGCACCACAATTCACTTCTTCATACTGTCACTTCCAAGTCGTTTTTAAAATATCAGTTTTCCTTGCTTATCTCTCATTTTTAGTATTTTTTTCTCTGGACTTTCTAGACATCCACGTTCTGTATCTACAATCTGCCTGACATGGTGAGACGTGTTTTGCACAGGTTATCTTCACAAACAACATTCTTTCCAATGTTCAGATCAATTGCCGCCCAAAGATCCTTCTCGTCATCTGCCTTCAGATCGCAATTTGCCAAGATGCAATTACTCGGCACCATCGGCAATGTCACCCCTAGAGAAACCAAGGATGGTGTGCCATTTCTCACCTACTCTTTGGCTGTCAACAGATACTCGCCTCAGTCTGCTGACGAGGGTAAGACTACTGTCGCTGATTGGTACAACATCTCTGTTTTTGACGACAAGCAGGTCGCTTTCTTTCAGAACCACTTGAGAAGTGGTGCGCAGGTGTATGTTGAGGCTGATGTCAGACAGAGAACCATTGTGGATGAGAGTGGCGAGAACAAGCTGATTGTTACTAGCTTGAGACAAACCAGCTATGATGTTGTTCGCTTCCCAAAGAAGCTCGAGGAGTCTGCGTAAATTGTTTAATAATGTACCAATTGAGAATGTCACAATCGATTGTAGGAATTCTGTAGATGGAGAAAGGTGTAATGGATAGACAATGTTGAGATGCGAGCAGATGAGGCCAAGTGCACTAAAGGGGAAATGGAAGTAGACGAACAAGAAATAGCAGTGCTCAGGCATAAAAGAGTAGATGACAGACAAATGAAAAGCATGGAGAATTAACTTCGATTTTTTGAATAATACATCAGCCTACAAGTGCTTGGCCAGACTCAACTCAATCGCATAGCCCACAGTCAACTTGATGTGCTCGTGAATGTGGCCAAAGTCCAACCTGTCCAAGGTGTCCAAAGTCAGATGAATCTGCTTGGCTGTGTACTTGAACTCACTCTCAATGAGAAAAGAAGCTGGGTAGCCGTTCTCCAATGCAGACGCATGGTCAGAACAAGCATATCCACATTGCGTTTCGTGATAAGGAATGGAACAGTATTCAGCCACAATCACCTTGATGAAGTCGTTAAGGCCAACAGATGTATAGTCAGAAATCAACCCAAAGTGTGGCTCAACGCCTTCATCAATAGTGCCTTTGGTATATCCGGTCATATCCTGCTGGAGCATACCCACTACTGTATGGTTATTAGCGTAGTAGCGAGAAAACACATCAATAGAGCCAAGAAGTCCACCTTCCTCAGCAGAGTAGTAGTGGAATTCAAGCGTGTTGTGTGGAGTGAACAGCCCAGTTGCAATGGCTGCAACCACTAATCTGAGTGCTTCCAACGTTGTTACCGTTCCTGATCCGTCGTCATCGGCACCAGGAGCACGGAGAAGATTAGGGAAGAGCAAATTGATAGAATCTTGGTGGGCCCCTACTACCACCTTATCAGAGGACTTTCCAACAAGACTGACGATAATGGAGTACTGGTCCCAACCATCGTGATGCACCTTGGTGAGTTCCACAACATCTGCTGGCAAAACAGACACAATGTCTTTCACTGTTCCATAGAGCCAGTCTGCGGACTCCAAACCCGTAGAAGACTTGTAGTATCTAGTGTAGAAGGAAGAGAATTCGCCCAAGTTAGACTTGACACGGTCCAAGTCAATTTGCTTGAGGAGTGGCTGCACCACCTTCTGGGTGCTGGCGTTGGCGGGGTAGTTGTAGGCTGGGATAGGTTTCTTGACTGACTTAATCTGCTTAGCAAAAAACGTCACCACGTCAGATTTTCCTGCTGAAGCCACCATTCCTTGTGCAACCGCATCGTCAATACTCACCACGGACGTTACATCGATGAACTTCTTGCCCTGGCGTTTGTACTGGATCTTGGTGGCCTCCGAAACTAATTCGAAATGTTCCGGGCCGGTTTTGATGATTCGATTGGCGAAGGTATCCAAACCGAAGTTGAGCGAGCCAATGCTGAGAGCTTGCACGAGAGCAACCGAGAGTGATACGGTTGTGAATAATTTCATAGCGAAAGAGTGTAGTGTGGACTCGGAGTGTGTGAAAGGCACTGAGGTTTGATAGTGAGGATTGAGGAGGATCACCATGGAGGACTACGATGGAGGGATATGTTGAGACAGGTCAAGAAAGAGAAAAAAAAAATCTTGCAAGAGGTTACTCGGGGTCGTCCTGAATGCTAGGACTTCCACAGTTCTTAGTAGTAGAAATTCTCCAGGATTTAGTTCGTTGGAAGGGCAGGCAGTTGGTTATTTTAGTGAGAGTCTAAATGTAACAACGTTCTACAGCCAATTCGCAGCCAGTAGCAAGCAAACAAACCAATTTGTTGAAAGCACATAATTGCGTGTATTTCAGGATTATCCAAATGAAATATGTTTGCAATAAGTGGAGATAAGAATAAAAGTAATTTTCTGATGAAACCATTGAATTAAGCCACTTTTGTCTACTCAATGCCACTCAGTAGATGAGAAACCAGATGGTATGCTCTGCATAGGTCTGCGTGCTCTTTCCTACTGGATACACCCATCTCAACAGCACCATATCTAATCAACACCAAATCTCTATGAGATATAACAGGAAAATAGAATGGTGGAAATCATACAGAATTTACACATATTTCCATATGATAATTTATTTTTCTCCGTATCCCTTTTACAAATCTCCTTCCTAAATATACCAACAAGGTCGTGCGCTCGTCAAGTCACAGTGTCTTTTTTTCCATATCCACAACACCATATCTACCAGTCTCCATGAGTCTTTTGGCGTCAGTTTTGCCAGGTAGAAATGCCTCGGGTGGATCAGCTGCAAACTCAAGGAACACTGCACAGCTGAATGTTAAATATATCAACCCCACCTTGAAATTGGCTGATGATGGCCATGATTCGCTCCAGTTCCAAAAGGAAGCCAACGAATCCGCAGGCTCATCGTCGCAGACGCTGCGGTTCTACCTCCCGCTTGTTTTGGATTCAGTCAATGAAATCAGCTACAAGATCAGCGTGCCCAATTTCGGGAACCTACCGCCTCTCCGTTTGGGTTCCAAGTACATCACAGACTTGATCAAGGTTGATTCCATGAGCCCCGGCGACTTGTACGGACCGAACAACCTCAATAAGACATCGGGCTTGGATAACTACTACTTCAACTACTCCAATGGATTGGGTCATTTCTCACGCTTCGAAAAGGCATCGCAATTGGATTTGCCTGACAAATTCTTCGAAGAATACAACTTGACCGAGTGTCTGACCAAAATGGGGCTCTTCCCTGAGATCAGCCGCTCGTGGATCGCTGTAGACAACAAGTTGGTGTTTTGGAACTACAAATTGCCTCAGTCTTCCTTCAATAAGCTGTCGCAGTTCCTCACCGTTGACCAGATCCGTCATTCTATTTTGACAGTCAAGTTGGTTAAGCCCAAGGCCGGGGTTTTTGTTGCTGAAGTGAACTACTTGCTCTTGATTGCAACCACTATGGACATCCACATCTACGTTGTCAAGTACGACCATTCGATGAATAACTTGGATATATTCAATCCGAACTTATCTGTCAATGCACAAGGTTTGATTGTCAACCAATTTGTTGTCAATGACCTTACAAATGACATATACTTTTCCGGAGAAGGCGATGGTATCAACGTTTGGAGATTGGATTATACCAGCAATGCTTCTTTCATAAAAAATAAGTGTGATAAAGTCTGTCTCACGAAGAGTGGATTGTCCTCTGTGCTTCCAATTGGAAAATTGTCGGGTTTTGATTATTTTTCCCACGAGTCTGACACTTCTTCCACGAAGAAGGATGCAAGCCAGAAGTTGGCTGCTATACCAGAAGCAATCTTGCAAATGCAAATTGATGCACAGAGAAACGTTCTTTATGCCCTTTCAAACAAGTCTGTCATCAGAGTCTATAAATTGGCACCGGGCCAAGAGCAATTCCTGCAGCACAGCCAGTTAACACCATCTGAGATCTTTAAATCCATTAACCTGATGTTTAGCGATACCGCAAACATCAAATCTTTTCTGAGATTCAAGATTGTGAGCATCCAACTCATCTCCGAACAAGAATCTTCAAATGTTCAACTCATTGCATCCACCAACTACGGAAATCGTATTCTCCTTAAATTGGGTGCTACTTCTACATACTCCAGCCTCTTATCTGCATCATCGAGATCTTCTGCCTCCGTGAAATTGTCCGTGGTTACAATGAAGTTTCCTCCAGCAAAAGAGGAGCCAAAACTTAACCCTGAGTTGGACTCCTTCACCAGAATCAAGCTGTATGTGGCACTGATGGTTGCCAACCAACAGAACTCCGAACTCTTGAAAGACACTAAATTTACCAAGATCATAAGTCCTGGAGTATTTTTGGCAGTAAAGAAGACTAAGGGCTCTGACAAATTGTTCATCAGCTCGGTTAATTACGGCTTCTTAAAGCACAACAACAAGTTGGTGGAAGACGCAGAGTTCGCAACAGTTGGAACGACATCCAAGCAGGGCTCGTCGGAATCTCCTGTTTACATTCATGACATAGTGCAACTTACGCCTTCTATGAATGCTTCGAACACTCCAAATGGGTACGCTAACGTACTCGCCTCACAATACACCAAGAAGCCCCTTCAGTTTGCCGTTTTGACCAACTACGGAATCAGCATTTATCAATATCGCCCTTCCGACCAGATCATCAGCTCCTTGAAGGATGAAGTCATTGAAAACTTCATTGAAGAAAATGGCTACGAAGAGACTTGCTCCACGTTGTTGTATTTGGCTTGTTCATACGGCCACCACAACTCGAACGATCTCTTCAAGAGAAAAGCATCATTATTGTTTTCCCATGCTGGAAACAATGCCAGATTGATGGAGAATTCTCAGTCTGCAAATTCTGGACTGGCCCACATCCCCATTCAACCTTCTGAAAGTCAACCAATGGTGGAACAAGTTGTCTTGAGTGACAGATTTTACGGAAGTTGTTTGTTGATTTCCCGTTTGTTCAGAGACTACTGGAATAGAAAGGTTTTTGCTCCATTACCAAACATTAAGATACTTGCAAACGGTTCAGTTGATGTATCGACTGTAAAGGAAGACAATCTTTTAATCAAGGGCCTTGCAATAGAGAAGACACAAGTGGAATACTTCATTGGCTCGGTGATTGTGCTTTTGGAGTTTTTCGAGGAGAATATCAACCGAATTCCTGGACTCAATGCTCCAAGCTTCAGCTCTGACCCAACTAAAATTGATCATGAAGTATGCTCGAGAGCCGAGCATATTGCCTTTACTTCCATTCTCAGATCTCTCAACTCGATGAAGGAAGCTCTTTCGTTTTTGATGGTTCTCATTGAAGAGACACAGACCAATCAAAACAACATCAATGAGATATTTAAGTTTTTGTCACTTACCAACCAATTGAATTTGCTAACATTGTCGTTCAAAGATTTGTTGTTGCCTTCGCTCGAAGTCAAGAACTTGATCAAGGACTTACTTTCTTCCATCATCAACAAAAACATTCTAAAAGGTGGATCTATTGATCTAATTGCGTCTTCATTGCAGGGTCGTTGTGGATCATTCTGCTCTACTGACGATGTCTACATTTTCAAGGCAATAGAAAACTTGACTCGTGCAAAAAACATTGGACACAGAGACAACGAATTGAAGATAAAATGCTTGAATAATGCCGTGGCCCTTTTTGAGCAAGCTAGTGACTCGCTTACGGTGGAGAACATCGAAAACTCAATTGACATTATGTTGTCGTTGGATTTTTACACTGGTGCTGTGGACTTCTTGCTAAAGCTTGCAAAGAGATTGTACGGTGTTCCTAATGCCACTTCGAATAAAATGATAGTTTCAAACGGTCAAAACCAAAACACAAGTGTGAATGACAAGCTTGCTGATAACAAGAAAAAGAGACTCCAGCTCTATGACCTCATTTTCAAGATTTTGACCAAGTTGGATGTTAAGGCAATCAAAATTCGTGAAACTAACAACCAACTTATGATCAACGAGTTCAATGAGGTCAGAGATTTGACATACGAATCGTGTTTTGCATCCAGTGACAAGAACTTCCATTACGAGTTCTATCAGTGGTTCATCAACCAGGGATGCAGTGAGCGACTCTTGACAGTGGATACTCCATACGTGCTTCCCTTTTTGCAAGAGGTATCGCAAGATAACCTTGCTTTGACGGAGATAATGTGGTTGTATCATGCCAAGAGGGAAGAGTACTTTCCAGCTGCTAAGATTCTATATTCACTTGCTATTTCTCAGTTCAACTTGACCTTGAAAGACAGAATCGAGTATTTGTCTAGAGCAAACGGATTCTGCAATTGCACATGCCCTCCAGCTTTGAGACAGCAGATGATCCAACTTTCCACTGTTATTCATGATCTATTTGAGGTCGCCAATGTTCAATTGGATCTTTTGAATGTCATTTTACAAGACAAAAGAATCAACAAGGAGAACAGAGAGGTTGCCTCACAGGCATTGAACTTCAAGATCCAGTCTGCCAGTGAGCTATTCAATGGGTATGCCGATCCTTTGGGCTACTACGAGATTTGCTTTGTCATTTTCCGTATTTCGGACTACAAAAATCCAGACGACATCTTAAAGAGATGGGAGTTGTTCTTTGAGCGCATTTATTTTGACTTCCAAGCCAACTCAGAATCCAAGCCTTTATACATGTTGATTGGCGAATCGTTGAGCACCATCGGACCGAAATTGGTCTCAAACGATGTGGTCTTCCCCGTGCATAAATTGGTGAAGTTGACATGCAAATACATCCAGAGCGCGATCGAACATGCTTCCTCGCAAACACCACCTGAGGGTGCTGTCGTCGAGATTTTCGTCAAGGCAGGTGTTCCCTACGACAAGTTGTACGTCACGATCAAGTCATTGATTGAACACAATTCCTACGATGTGGATGTCGGCTTTGCCAAGTCGCTTAAGAAAGAAATGGTTTACTTGATTCGCTCATGGTACAGCGTCGATAAGAGATTAAAGACAGGTATCCCAAGTGACAAGATTGCCACTTTGAGCGAATACTCTATTGTCAATGATCCTATTGACCAATGGGTCAGGACACAGAACACATTCATATAGTCATCATGATAATGCAAATTAATCTTATGTACTCAATTGAGTTCGTAGTATTTCCCCTTTTGGACGTCGAAACGTTCATTCTGGAAAGACTTCTCATTGGGACGAAGCACATTGGAGCTGGATGGCTCCGACATGCGCTCGATGCCCAAATATGGAAGAATCCCATCCACAATCAACTGGATAGCATTCGGTTCTGCACCACGGGGCAAAATTACGTCGGCTTGCTCCTTAGTAGGGAAAATGTAGTCGCTCATTTCTTGCTTTGCTCCGTGCAAGTATGAATTGATGACAGTCTCCAACTTTGCTTCACCCGAGCCCAAAACGTCTCTGCGGATCCATCTGATTAGTCTTGTATCACTGTCTCCACCGATAAACACCTTGATTTGCGACATGTCTCTGAGCTCTTTGTCATACAAGGCGTATAGCCCGTGCACTATAATAAGCTTCTGGGAAGATGTAGAAACATCACTCAAACTGGCCACTATGTGCTCTTTCAAAGCAGAGAAATCAAACCTCGATGGCTTTAATGCTAGTAGATTCTTATTTCCCACGGTGATAGCCGATGCTTTAGTGTCCACCAGTTTAGTTACTGTTGATGGGTCCATGTATGAATTCATGTCAATGACTTCGATAAATGGGGTAGGTTCGGCCAATGAGAGAATTTCCCTTTCGATCCAGAGTGCTGTGGACTTCTTACCTGAGGCATGACCGCCTCCAATCAACACAACAACGCTCGATGACTCCATTATGATTTTCAGGTTATATTAGGACGATGCAGAAGTTGAGAAGCTGCGAAGAATATGTAGGTGCGATGGCATCTCGAATTTAGTGAGAAGGCTACAGACTTTCGAGAAGACCTGTGAATTTAAGTATAAACATCCAGTGATATAGCATATTTCTGATAATATCGTCATGGATTTTGACCGTTCTGCTGATGAACAGCTAGAGTTCTCCTCGAAATCAACGCGCAATGTGAAAGTCCATTCAACCTTCGAAAGCATGAACCTCAAACCGGAACTTCTAAAGGGTATCTACTCATACGGTTTTGAAGCACCATCGGCCATCCAAAGTCGTGCTATCATGCAAATCATCCTGGGAAGAGACACTATCGCACAAGCACAGTCGGGAACAGGAAAGACAGCGACGTTCTCGTTAGGAATGCTCCAGGTTATTGATACCAAAGTGCGCCAGTGCCAGGCACTCGTTCTCTCTCCCACACGAGAGTTGGCAGTACAGATTCACACAGTCATCATGAATTTGGGAAACTACATGAATGTCCATACACATGCGTGCATTGGAGGAAAACAGGTGGGAGATGACTTGAAGAAGTTGGGCCAGGGCCAGCATATTGTGAGTGGTACGCCAGGACGAGTGTTGGATGTGATCAAGAGAAGGAACTTGGCTACAAGAAACGTCAAGATGCTCATTCTTGATGAAGCTGACGAGCTTATGACTAAAGGTTTCAAAGAGCAAATCTATGAAATATACAGACAGCTCCCGTCCACCGTGCAAGTGGTGGTGGTTAGTGCTACACTAACTAGGGAGGTGTTAGAAATGACACAGAAATTCACCACCGATCCAGTAAAGATCTTAGTCAAAAAAGAGGACGTGACTCTTGAAGGTATCAAGCAGTACCATATCCAGTGCGAGAAAGAGGAGTGGAAGTTTGACACGTTATGTGACTTGTATGACTCGCTTACCATTACTCAAGCAGTCATTTTCTGTAACACGAAGGCCAAGGTGACGTGGTTGGCTGACCAGCTTCGAAGAGCCAATTTCGCTGTTGTGGCCATGCATGGAGACATGAAGCAAGACGAGAGAGACCTGATCATGAGCGATTTCCGGTCAGGCAATTCACGTGTGTTGATTTCCACTGATGTTTGGGCTCGTGGTATCGATGTTCAACAGGTGTCATTGGTGATCAACTACGATCTTCCCATCGATAAAGAAAACTACGTTCATCGGATTGGTCGGTCTGGAAGATTTGGCCGGAAAGGTGTTGCTATCAACTTGATTACCAAGGACGATGTTAGTGGTCTCAAAGAGTTGGAACGGTATTACAAGATCCGGATCAGAGAAATGCCACTGGATCTCACTAGTTTGTAGGACACTTTGGGTGAGATGAGGTAGTGAGGAGCTGTGAAGTGCAAAGTGATGGCGCCACATGAAAGCCTAAACAAGTATAATCGAAGTTATGCAATTCATACATGAATATCTAAGTTTTTATTCCATTTACTGAAATCTCGACCATATCTCTATTTTCGACTATAGTCTTCATTCTCTGGCAGATTTCGATTCACGTGAGGACATCGCGATGTTTATTAGTATAAATTTTTTAGTAAACTTTTTTTTTTTTTCGATCTTCCCAAGTAAACCGTCCCAACCATGGACTCCCAATACCTTGCTGCCTTGGAGGAGACCCTCCAGCAGACATTCTCGCCTGCTACTGTCAAGCAAGCAACCACCAAGTTGTCCAAGGAGTTCTACACCAACTCGTTGGCTCTCCCTTCTCTTTTGCACATCTTGCAAAACGGCTCATCGGACCAATTGAAGCAGTTGGCTGCTGTTGAGGCCAGAAAACTCATAGGTCTGAAGTGGGAAACCGTGGATGCTTCCATCAAGCCTCAGATCAAGGAGGGTTTGTTGAAGAGCACTTTCACCCAGGACTCCAAGTTGATCAGACACTCTAGTGCTAGAGTGGTTGCTGCTATTGGAGAGTATGACTTGCAAGACAACACTTGGCCTGATCTCTTGCCAACTTTGATCTCTGCTGTCCAGAGCTCCGACGCCCAGGCCAAGGAAATGGCCGTTTACACTTTGTACACTTTGTTGGAGACTCAGATTCCTGCCTTGTTGCCTCATCTCGATGACTTTGTCACTCTTTTCGCTGGTTTGTTGCAGGACCAGACTTCTCAGGACATCAGAGTCAATGCCGTGTTGTCCTTGGATGTGCTCTCTCAGTTCATTGAGGAGGATGATGAGATTGACATTAACCTTGCCAACAAATTCAAGGCCTCCATCCCAGGTATGGTTTCTGTCTTGAAGGAGGTCATTCTGGCGGATGACACCGACAAGGCCAAGTCTGTTTTCAACGTTTTCAACTCGTTGATCTTCTTGGACAACAAATTGGTTGGTGACCAGTTGGTTCCTTTGGTTCAATTCGTTGCCGAGATTGCTGTTAACTCCAGCATTGACGAGGAATACAGATGTATGGCTTTGCAGTTCTTGATCTCTGCTGTTTCTTTGAGAAAATCCAAGATCGTTTCCAACAACTTGGGTCCTCTGCTTACTGCCGCTACCCTTAAGATCGCTTCTGAGGAAATTGACGTGGACGATGAGTTGAACAACGAGGACGAGGAGAACGAAAACGAGGAAAACAGCCCTCCATCTTTGGCCTTGAGATTGATGGCCATGTTGTCTGGTGAGTTGCCTCCATCGCAGGTGATTGTTCCATTCTTCGAGAACTTGAACTCCATGGTCACCTCCACTGACGTCTATGCCAGAAGAGCTGGTCTTTTGTGTATCGGTGTTGCCTCTTCCGGTGCCCCAGATTTCTTTGCTACCCAGGTTGGAAAGATTGTTCCAGTTCTCATCAACGGTTTGCAGGATCCAGAGGTCATCGTCAAGGTCGCAGCTGTCAGATCTCTTGCTCAGTTGTCTTCTGAGTTGCAAGATGCCATTGCTGAGTACCACGAGCAACTCTTGCCTCTTATCATTGAGATCATCAACTCTGCTACCCATGTCATGGCTTACAAGCACGCTTGTTATGCTTTGGACGGTATTATCGAGTTCATGAGCCATGAAGCAATTGCTCAGTACCTCGAGCCATTGATGACTAAGTTGTTCTCCATGTTGGAAACTGCTCACTCCTCTTCTTTGAAGTCTGCCATTGTTTCTGCTATCGGTTCGACTGCCTTCGCTGGAGGAAAGGGTTTCACCCCATACTTCAATCAGTCCATCCAGGTTTTGGAGCCATTCGTTGCTAATGCTGGCCAGACTGAAGGCATGTCTGAGGAGGATATTGAGTTAAGAGCCATCACATTTGAGAACATCTCTACCATGGCCAGAGCTGTTGGATCGGAGTCCTTCTCCGTTTACGCCAAGCCTTTGGTCGAAGCTGCCTACGTTGCCTTGAAATCGGAGCACTCTAGAATCAGGGAGTCTGGTTTCGCATTCATCTCCAACATGGCTAAGGTGTACGGTTCTGAGTTCGCTGGATTCTTGGACGAGATTGTTCCTCAGATCTTGGAGTGCTTGGAGCAAGAGGAATTCTCTTTCAACGCTAACCCAGAAGATGAGGACGAGTTTGACGAAGACGGAGATGAGGACCTTAGCAACAACTTCAAGATTAACACTGGTATTACCATCGAAAAGGAGATTGCCTCCGTTGCTTTGGCTGAGTTGGCCACTGGTACTGGTGCTGCCTTTGCTAAGTATGTCGAACCTTCCATCAAGACTTTGTCAGAGCAGGTCGAAATCTCCTACGGTATGAGAGAGGGTGCTATGAACGCTCTTTGGAGAATTGTCCGTGCTATGTTCAAGGCTACTTACGGTGAAAACTTTGCAGCTCCGAAGGGTGTTCCTCAGCAGTCCTACGTTGATGCATCCCTCTTGCAATTGATTAAGCAAGTTAGAGACATCACTGTTGCCAACTTGGAGGAGGAATTCGAGTTGACTTTGGTTGCTTGTGACTTGGACAACTTCAGCGAAGCCCTCCAGGCTTTCGGTTCTGCTGCTGTTCTTAACGACGCTTCTGACACTGCATCTTTGGAGAAATTGTGTGTCCAGTTGATGAACATCTTGAAGAAGGAGCACGGTTGTCAGATCGATGACGAGGAGCCAGTTGACGAGGGTGAGGATGCTTCCGAAACCGAGGCTTTGTTGTTCGAGTCTGCTTTGGAGGTTTTGATCTTATTGGCTGTGTGCTTGGGTTCTGACTTCGTCAGAATCTTTCCATCGTTTAAGGACGTCATCTTGGCTAATGTCACTTCTAAGTCCAAGAACAAGAGAGTCAGCGCCATTGGAGGTTTGGCTGAGATTTCCGCTGGTTTGAAGGACGCCAACCCATACAGTCAGGAATTCTTGCAAATTTTCATCGACAGATTGGCAAACGACAAGTCCTTCGAAGTCAAGGGTAACGCTGCATATGGTGTTGGTATCATTATCGAGAACTCTACTGAGGATGTGTCTGGCCACTACCAGCAGATCTTGCAGATGTTGTTCCATTTGTTGAACAAGTCTGACGAGCAGGCCAAGATCGACGACGAGGAGACCAAGGATGTTGTCAACAGATCCAATGCAAACGCATGTGGATGTGTTGCCAGAATGGCATTGAAGAACCCACTGATCATTCCAGTTGAGCACGTCTTACCAGCATTGTTGAGCCACTTGCCATTGCAAGCTGCTCCAGAGGAGAACACTCCTATCTTGAGGTGGATCATCAACTTGTACGAGTCTGGTAACGAGTTGATCATCTCTCAGACCGAAAGAGTTGTGCAAATTTTTGCTGAGATCTTCCAGAAGGAGGCTGACAGACTCAAGTTGGTCGAGGAGTCTACTTTGGGTAGAGAGGAGAACATCGACAAGATGAAGCAGTTCCAGAACGAGGAAGTTAAGCAGAAGGTTGTCGAGTTGTTGAAGTTCTTGAACCAAAAGTACGCCAACGTGGTCTCTTCTCATGAGATCTTGAAGAAAGTCATTGCATAATTATTTTTTTTTTCATAATTACCCCTTATATATGTCTATTACAAATTTTGAGTTTCAACAAGCCTCTGTAAGCCGCGAGTTACAATTCACACAAGCAAACTAGGCTTAAAATAATTTTTATGCAACTATGTACAAGTATAATTTTCCTTCAGAAACCTTGTTAGAGATTAGCGTTCCAGAGTTTCTCAGGTGTACTTACTATTCCATATTCGGCATTCTAAAGAAAGGTGCGACACAAGTAGATGGAAATAGGGCACGAACTAAACGTTATAAATTGGGCCGAAGGGTCCTAAATTTTAAAGTACAATAATTCAAATGATCGAAAAGACTGGTCAGCTCATTGCTGCCTTCTCCTTCCTCGCTTTTGTACTCAACATTCCTCCATCATGCTATCATATTGGCAAAGGTAATATTCCGGCATCCAGCTTGATCTTATGGCTCAGTTACAACAACTTAACGTCGTTTATCAATGCTTTAATCTGGAGTGGAAATGATTTTTATTCCTCTCCTAATGCCCCAGGCTATTGTGACTTGACAGTAAGAATTAGCACCGGGTCGTCGACGGGTAAGATATGTTGTCTTGCATGCTTGATTATGAATTTGTACTTCATCATCGATGCTGAACACAACAAGTTTCTCGACTCGGGTTCCAAGAGACGTACGTACATCAACTTGGCAATTTGCTGGTTAACCCCGGTGTGTATAATGGGAACAAGTTTGGTTGTTCAGAGTTCACGATACGTGATAGTCAAGTACCGTGGTTGTGTTGCCCCATACAGCATCACTTATGCATCAGTGCTTCTTGTCACCATGTGGATCTTGATATGGAGCTTTGTAGCAACAGTTTTTGCAACATTAACTGTGTGGACTTACCTCCGCAAAAGAAGAGATATTAAGGACATCTTGAAGTGCACCAACTCTGGCTTAAACATCAGACGTTTTGCTCGCTTGCTTATTTTCAGCTTGCTCATTATGTTCGTGTTGTGTCCATTTGCCATTTTCAATTTTGTCAACGATGTTCGTGAGTATGGCATTTCCAGTTTCAGTTTCTCCGAAACCCACAATGAGTTGTGGAATCATATTTACAAGCTCGAATTCGGAAACTATGGTCTCTCGTCGAGAATCGTGGACATTGTGTTGTCTGTGATCACCTTCATGTTGTTTGGTATGGGCACAGATGCCATTGAAATGTATCGTAAAGCATTGATAAGGATTGGGTTCACCAGTCTCAGAAAGACTGCACCAGATGTGATAGCTATGTCTAGCGAATTCAAAGAGAGCCGTCACAGTACCAGAGCTACTCAAAAAACTGGACAAAGTGAGGAAACGGCTAATACCACTTTTGAATTCTCCAAATACAAAGGTTTGTTTGACCCTTCTGCCTCAATAAGCCTGGCTAGAACTCTCTCCAAGTCAGCTGTTGCTTATGCTGAGACGATCGTGGATCCAGATGACTTGGATCGTTGTCTCGGATGCACTTCGGAAAGCAGCCTGAACCTTCGCTTTGATTTCAACGTTCAACGCCACTAATGTGTTTATATGAGTTTATTAAACATTTCTTCAAATTGCTTGGAATCAACCCTGCCCTGGGTCTCCTTCATGGCCATCCCTATTAGGAAATTCACAGACTTTTTCTTTCCCTTCTTGACCTTTTCCACCACATCAGGATGGCTTTCCATAACCTCAAAGCAGATCTCTTCGATAGCATCGCTAAGTTGCGATTTGTCTACCAGACCAGGTGCTGCAAGGTCGTAGTGCTCCACCAACTCAAAAATGGAGAGTGCACGTTCCAGTTCATCAGCTTGAATTACTTGGGAAAGTAATAACTTAGCAGAAGTGATAGTGATTTCGTTCTTCAAAACCATGAGAATTAATGTAGCCAACTTCTCTGGCTCCAAACGAGAAATATCAACAGGAATATCAAGTTTGTTGAAGGCTCCAATAAGCTCATGGATGAACCAATTGTTGACAACTTTCGCGGGTGTGTTATTTTGTAGCACCACAATGTCGTGTAATTGACGGTAATAGTTCAAAAGACGAGGATTATCTACCAAGAACCTGGCATGCTTGAGTTCGAGACCGTAGTCCAGTCCAGTTAACGTCTTGAGGATCTCCTCGGGAAATTCGGGAAGTGTGGCCATAATATCTTCTGTAATTTTAGGATCCAAGTGGACTCGTGGAAGCTCAATATCTGGAAAGTATCTGTAATCAACGGCAACCTCCTTCGATCTTGTTCTGACGGTCTCTTTCCCGTTCCAACTTCTAGTTTCTTGTTCAATTGGGCCAGAATTAGACTTGAGCTGTTCCACCTGTCTTCTATACTCGTACTTTGCTGCGGCAATGATCTCTGAGGTGCTTCCCAAATTCTTTATCTCGACCCTATTACCACCAGCCACACTGATATTGACGTCGCATCTCATGGCACCATTCTCCATATCACCGGTGCAAACACCCAAGTGGGTCATGAGAGAAATGTATTTTTTAACAAAGGCACGAACCTGTGACAAGTGATCGAAGTCTGGCTTCGTCACCAACTCAATCAATGGCACATCTGCACGATTGTGGTCGATAGAGACTGTAGCATCAAAATCGTTATAGTTGAGCTTAGAGGTATCCTGTTCTATTTGGATCTGCTCGATACCGATCACCTTATCTTGATCCACTCCATCATACTTCTTTGTGAGCTCAAGTGACCCACCTTTGGCCAAAGGATTAAAGTGCTGAGTGATCTGATAGCCTAAAGGCTGATCATAGTAGAAATAATGCTTTCTATCGAAAGACGACACCGGATTGATTCTTGATTTCAATGCTGTAGCGGCTCTGAGAGCCAAAAGCAAGGCCTCAGGGTTAAGCTTGGGAAAAGTACCTGGCAAGCCAAAGTCGAAAAAACTGGCTTGCGTGTTGGGAGACGAATTAGGGATATTTCTCGAGAGAGAAAAGAGTTTGTGTTTCGTGTTGAGTTGCGTGTGGATCTCAATACCACACTTGAATGCTGCTCCGGGTTCAGGCCGCCATCCTTTAATCTGTCTGGGGACCATTTGGTGAAGGTGTAGGTTGGTAGTCGTGCAGGTTGAAGAGTTTGAGAAGAGACTTGAGACATGGGTGGATTTAAGAAGATTAAATCATACAACAAAAAGAAAAGACAATAAACAGCGTGACCGAGAGTAGGAGTTTTAGTTAGATGTTGTTGTAAATAGTTTTTGAAGGTTTTCTATAATGTTTTTGTATTTTTTTCTTATATCGTTTTTTTTTTTTTTTAGCTTTTACTAACATTTCCACATTTCGCAGGACTCTTGCACTACTGACGAATAACTTTGAGCAGACAACGAATGAGAAATAACACAAAAGATACAAAATAATTGAAAAGAATTTACAAAATTAATAGTTGGCCGAATGCAAACTACTATCTTTCGAACAGGCAACCTGAAAACACCTTTTCAATCTCCCCCCAATTGAATACACCCTCCATTCTACCATGTGCAATATCTTATCTAATACTAGCAACACTCAGTCACCATGCGCGGTGACACTGAGATGGTATACACACGACCTCGTCCCCACAAGGGATGATGATAAGATAAAAACCATCAACATCTTCTTAAGCGGTTCTTTTTAAAAACAATACCCACGTGCCCCCAAATCCTTAAGTTTCACTCAGTTACAGATTTCTACACCATTGCCATCCTTCCGGTTTGTACGTATCATTATTGATTAATTGCTTTGCTTCTTGTTAATCCAACCAATACAAGTTGGTGGCGATAAGGCTCTAGAAGCAATGATCATCTCAAATAAGAACTTGTACTAACAATGCCAGAATTATGAGATCGCAATTCAAAGACGAAAACTCCTTTGGTACGTAGCACGCATTTAGACGACGTTGCCACTGTTTATTGTAATACTAACTGTTATAGACAAAAGAAAGTCCGAATCAACCAGAATCTTGCAGAGATTCAAGGACAGACTTCCAGTGATCTGCGAGAAGGTGGAGAATTCGGATATTCAGGAGATTGATAAGAGGAAGTACTTGGTTCCTGGCGACTTGACGGTGGGCCAATTTGTTTATGTGATTAGAAAGAGAATCAAGTTGCCCTCCGAGAAGGCCATCTTCATCTTCGTTAACGATATCTTGCCACCAACTGCTGCATTGATGAGCACAATTTACGAGGAGCACAAGGATGATGACGGCTTCTTGTACGTGTTGTACTCGGGAGAGAACACATTTGGTCAGGTGGATTTGAGTACTTTGGATTTCTCGGACTTGTCGGACCTCTGAATACTCTTTGCAGACTTGTCCTCGTCTACTGTGGCTGTAACGCAGTCTTTTCTCTACCTATGGCAAAACGTTGACTGGATTCAACGGTTTCGTGTTTACTGTGCGTCAATGCATCATATATTTTGATTGAATTTACCACACTCCGACTCTCTTGTCCTTCTCTAACTTCATCTTAATTCCCCACTTCTTAAGATCATCACCCTTCAACGTGTAGAACAACTCATAAAGCTTGTCTACCATAATCTCTTGTTGTTGGTCAGCCTTGTTTGAGTACTTCTGAGTGAGCTTCTTCAAAGCTTTCTGGGTCAGGTCTAGTTGCACACTTATACCATTGACAGTGTCATCATATGAGTGCTTGATTTTACTTCCCAATTCATTCTGCACGTAGTCCAGGTAACTTTCGGTCAATTCAGCCAAATGCTGCTTCATCTCCTCCACTTCCTTCGGAGTCTTACCTTCAGTCAATGGTTCAAAATACAACATATAGTTGTTCTGGAGCAGATCTTGCACGTTGTCAACATGCTTGGCCAATTCTGCCTTGGTGCTTGGGTTCTTGAAGACTACCCACAACACAGCAATAAGGGCCACAATACCCACAATCGCATTAAATCCTCTAGCCATTTTCAATACTGTTTTGATTGGTTGTAAGTGTCTATTATCACTGATAATTCAATACTTCCGTATAGTCCCGGCAAGATATTCTACCACATTTATACTTACGGATTTACCGATTTTTTGCACCTGCTCGCAAGCCGTCACCCCACATTGCTACTCTCGATTGCTACACTGTGTGTGGCGGTGCATGATACAGCGGGGAAACGCGACGAAACACTATAGTTGCTTTTAAGATTCTTGAATTTATTAGCAAGAATGTATATTGTTAGGGAAAATTGCTAGTTACTGACCATGCATTGGCTGCTAATGCATGCGCAAGTGTTTCGCATATGCGGAGTTCCTGCGGAATGAGCATAATTGGAAAAAAACCAGCCGGCAATACGTTCGGTTACACGATGTGGGAATAATTCGATAGATGCAACGTGAAATAAAATAAAAGGCAAATAATGAGAACGAATAAAGATAAAAAAATAATGACTCCGGCGTGATTCGAACACGCGCATCTTACGATAACAGAACTTGAGTCTGCCGCCTTAGACCGCTCGGCCACAGAGCCATTTTATAGTGTGTAAAAGTTTCTGAAAAATTAACTGTACTCTGAATGTCAGAATTCCACCAAAAGGGCCCCAGCGTACCCAATAGTAAAGTTTGGAGCGTGAATTAGGCCCTTAATATCATATTACAGTCTTGTAGCGACATATTCCACAATATTGTACAGTTTTGTTGGGAGATATAGTCCCTTACATTTAAGTAAACATCGAGTAAGCGTCACTTTAGCACTTCGTGCGTAAAGCCGAGTAATATCCGGTTTAACTCTCTTCTACCATCGCCCCCAAAGCTTTGGACACTTACAGTTCACTTCTAAAAGTATGCACTGAAATAAATAATTAGTCTATAATTAAACCAAGCCCTGGTACTTGTTGTAAACCTCTTCAACCTTTGCCTTCAACTCAGCCTTTCTCTCCTCGTCACACCACGATCCTTCAATACCATTGTGAGCAATCTTGCACCACTGATCCAAAGAAAATCCAAATCTAGTGTGCACAGCAATGTAGTTGTCCAAAATGTAACCACCAAAGTATGCTGGGTCGTCAGAGTTGATAGAGAAAGGAACATCATTCTCCAAGAACGTCGAGATTGGCAATTCAGAAACGTCCTTGACAACTTGCAACTTGACGTTAGATAATGGACACATCGACAACATAGTCTTATTCTCAGCCAAACGCTTCATCAATTCGGGACTCTGCTTGGAGTTCACACCGTGGTCGATACGAGAGACATTCAACAAGTCCAACGAGTTGGAAACGTAAGTGTGGTCTCCTTCCTCTCCAGCATGGGCAGTCAAACCCACCTCAGGAAATTTGTCCTTGACCAAGTTGTAGCAGTCCGAGAACAATTCAGGAGGGAAAGGCTTCTCTGAAGAGTCGAGTCCCAAGCCGTGAATAATACCCTCGCCAAAGTATTGCGAGGTGGATTCGATCATGTCAATACCAGAAGCGGCAGGCAAGTGTCTCAACAAGCACATAATTAATTTGTTGGTAGTGCCGAACTTATCATTGGCAGCCTTGCATGCTCTATCGAAGCCCCTGACGACCACATCAACGTCAATGCCTCTCTCAACGTGGCCCTGAGGGTCGAAGAACACTTCGGAGTGGAGACATCCATCAGAGTGGGCTTTAGCAAAGTACTCCATGGCCAAATCGTAGAAGTCTTGCTCGTTGATCAACACACTCATACCGATATAGTAGTGGTCCAAGAAGTCCTGCAAGTCAGCGAAGTTGGCATATCTCTCATTGCAGGCCTCTACGGAGCTTGGGAAGTGGTCCGGCAACTTGATGGAGTTTCTGGCAGCTAAATCAAAGAGAAGCGATGGCTCCAAAGTCCCCTCCAAGTGGAGATGGTGCTCACATTTGGGCAATTCGGTCAAGAAGTTTTTGACGTGGTGGGTACACTCGTACTGGGCCATCTTTTTTTTTTTGGTTCTGTGAATTGAGGTGTAGTGGGGGTATTTATAAGGATAATGGAATGTCATCGGACGGCTCAGGCTCGGGAATTGCTTTTTTTCTCCAGCGATCGCCGCGGAGATGCCGCGGCGGAAACGAATCTACCAAACTGGACGGGAGAGAGTTAAGAAGAATGTAAAGAATGAGGAAGTAGAGTTTGGGGAGACCAGATAAGTAGAACCTTGGTTTCTCAGCGACAATTTTCGACAATGGAGTGGATATGTCAGTTATGAGACAGGTTGAGTTGAGTTGGGGCCTGCAGAATTGACACATTCGACGCATAAGATCATAACAGGAACAATTCTTGCGTACAAAAAATAAAAAAAACGAAGATGACATGAATTAATTGAAATTCATTGCCGATTGTCAACCTTCTCGGGTCTCGTATTTGATTGTTACTGACAAGGACAATAAGAAGATTATGTAAGATAATGAGATGAGAGGAGATGAATAAATAAACTGAATAATTAAGGAAAACTAGGAATAAGAGGGATACTAATAGGTTTATCAACATATACTCATTTAACTTTTTAGTTGAAACATCATCTAATTGATCATTTATGATCCACCAAATACACACTGTCCATTTAGGGAAGAATAGCAGATACAAGTGGAGATACTCGAGATTCACGTAGATTTAGATACCGAAATTCACCGTTCAGACTTCGTCCGAGTGACTAGAGTATTCAAGAACTGTCAAGTAAATAATGTACAGAAAAAACCTGCCATGGATTAATATGTTGTACTTCAAGGTCTCCCTGTGTGCCTAGCCGAATTCTCCACAAGTTACAATATTCAATGAGTATTCATTGTCAAATGACTCTTAATCCCAAATGATTAGTTATTACAAAGTGTCAAGTCGACTCTCTTTTCACATATATAGTCGTTACTAACTGTACACCACTGATCGACCTGGCGATCTGGTTTACTTGACTAAGCCACAGTGGACAGTGTAATCTCGTCATCACATTTGTCAGGAGGAACGGCCCAAATCTCCATCCGAACCAAAAAAATACCCGAATTGCGACAGCACATCAATTTGCACTTCGGGGCCCGTATTTTCTCCAATTTCTAGTCTCTTGCCGTTCTCACTACCAAATCACTGAAGTTCCGCGTACTCCTCCGCTACGCGTGTATTACCGATTGAAGTAAGCCACCATTCTGAAGTCAAATGAGCTGGAACGATCTCAAATTGAAAATTAGTTTATCCATTCAATTTCATTCATTTAACTTTTTCATCCATTTCTCTTTTTTTTTTCTTTTCACTTTTCCCTTCACCGACTTTTTTTGCCCTATTAATTGCCCGTAACGGGCTGTGCCGGATCTTCGTCCAGCATTCTGTTTATCTGGTTTCGCAATTAGACGGCTGGCACCTTCTGTGGCCATATCACCATCACCAAGCCCCGAATAAAAAAAAATTTCACACTACAAACACGTAAATATTCCCCAATAAGCCACAATCTCTCGCTTCGCCCACTCTCGTCCAATCCACTTCCTCCTCATCGGCCAACTTCGCCTCCCCTGTGACCGTATAAGGCACATCTGGACCTGCATATGATCAGGAACCTATTTTTACCTGATTCATACTTAAGACTGTAGCATTGTCCAACTCCATACTCCACTTCCATTCTTCACGGTATTTTTGCTATCGTGTCCACCAATTGACCATAAATTTGCGTTCTGATCACCATGTCCGACTCAGACGAGAACGACAGGTACCGTCGCTACCCACAGACAAGTGGAATGTACAACTATTCACGAGAAACTGATGAAAACCAATACTTGCACACGCCGCCTGCTGCTTACAACACAGGCCGTTCAGAGGAAGACTTGCTAGACTACTATGATGATGATCGGCCATCGAATATTTTCAACACTTCTCATTCCAATACGAATTTGGGAAGACCTCCCCCAGGGATCGACACTCAGAATCCTTTTGGCGAAGATGACTACGAAATGGGTGTATTCCAGAGAAATCCCAGCTATGCCGGTCAGCTGGAGTATCTGGACTACCCGGCCTACCAGGGGTATCATGGATACCAAGGTTACAACCAACTGGCGGGCCAGTTCGATAAGGCTTTTGTCCCTCATGCCTATGATGACGAGGATGAAGATGAGTTTGATCGCGACATCCAGTTCAATAACATCGAGGGTGACCACTTTGACCTTCAATCGGTATTTGTACCTGAAGTAGTACAAGATCGAGAGATTCCTGAGACGGAAACGTTCTATGAGGAGAGTGAGTCTCCATTCAGCGAGTCAGTGCCTGCGCTCTCAATGCCTCCTGCCGAGGAAGAGGTGAGAACAAAGCCTAATGAGGCAATTTTCAAAGGCGTGAGAGGTCATTTGGTGTTGGATTGTCCTTTGGCTACCGAATTATTGAGTAAGTTTCCAGGGTACGATCCAAATGCTAAAAACTACGGTCTTATGAGAGAATTCTCCCACATGAGATATACCGCTGTCACATGTGGCCCCTCTAACTTCTGGAGAGATGGGTATATCTTGCGTCCGATCCATTATCCTGTGAAGCGTGAGACAGAGTTGATGATTGTCATTACCATGTATAACGAGGATGACATTTTGTTGGCCCGTACATTGAAGGGTGTGTTCAAGAACATCAAGCATTTTGAATCGAGAACTAACTCACCTATCTGGGGTAAAGACTCCTGGAAGAAAATTGTGGTGTGTGTGGTCAGTGACGGTCGATCCAAGATTAACGAGAGAGCTCAAGCACTCTTGGCAGCCTTGGGTGTTTACCAAGAAGGATTGGCCAAATCGAGAATCGATGACAAGAAAGTGAAGGCCCACATTTATGAATATTCCACAAAGGTGGGTATTTCCGAGGTCACTGACACGGTGAAATTGAGAACAGAAAAGGTTGTCCCCGTTCAAATGATGTTCTGTCTTAAAGAAGACAATACCAAGAAAATCAACTCCCACAGATGGTGTTTTGAGGCTTTTTCCCAGATTCTCAACCCTAACGTGGTTGTTTTGCTTGATTGTGGTACTCAACCTTCGGGTAAGTCTCTTTACAAATTGTGGAAAGAGTTCGACAGAGACCCTCAAGTCGCAGGCGCGTGTGGAGAAATCAAAGCTTCGTTGAAAAAGAAGCAGATACTCACCAATCCTTTGGTTTACGGCCAAAACTTTGAGTATAAGATTTCAAATATATTGGATAAACCAACAGAATCGGTTTTTGGATTTATCTCTGTCTTGCCTGGTGCATTCTCTGCTTATAGATATGTGGCATTACAGAATGATGCTAATGGACGTGGTCCCTTGGAAAAGTACTTTAAGGGTGAATTCTTGCATGGCAGTGGAGAGCTAGATCCAAATGACGATGAGTACGAGCTTAAGAAGAGAATGTTGAGTCAAGAAGCAGGAATTTTCACGTCGAATATGTATCTTGCCGAGGACAGAATCTTGTGTTACGAATTAGTCGCCAAACGTGGATGTGCATGGTTGCTTAGATATGTCAAATCTGCAAGTGCCGAAACAGATGTTCCCGAGGGATTGGCAGAATTCATCTTGCAAAGAAGAAGATGGTTGAACGGTTCGTTCTTTGCGGCAATTTACTCTTTGGTTCATTTCCCCAAGGTGTGGTCGTCGCTGCACAGTTTTGGCCGCAAACTCTTTCTCCATATTGAATTCTTTTACCAGTTTATTAATTTGGTCGTTTCGTGGTTCTCGATTGGATCATACTTCTTGGTGTTCCGTATATTAACCACTTCGCTTTCTGCATCTGACCTTAATTTCGCTCCAGGAAATGTGTTATCTGTGATTTTCCTTTGGTTATATTTGGCATCCATTGTGACAACATTCGTTTTGAGTTTTGGAAATACACCCAAAGGAACAGAGAAATTTTATGTTGTCATCGTATTGTTTTTTGCTATCTTGATGGTTTACATGATCTTTGCCGCCATATTCATGGCTGTGCATGCTATCAAAGCAATCTACGACAGCAGTACCGAAATCACTGTTACACTATTCTTCAAGAATGCACAGTTCCGTGATTTGGTGGTTGCCACAAGTTCAACATATGCGTTGTATTTTTTAGCATCGTTCCTCTACCTCGAGCCATGGCACATGTTTACATCGTTCATCCAATATCTCTTGCTTTCGCCCGCATACGTCAATGTTTTGAATATCTATGCATTCTGTAACATTGACGATATTTCCTGGGGTACTAAGGGTGACACAGGAGCTAAGGACTTGGGTGTAGTGAAGAGACTCGAGGACGGTAATTTTAAAACCGATCTTCCCGTTCTTCAGGAAGAAATCAACCAGTCCTATTTGGATCAGTTAAACAAAATCAAAAAGCCCATCGAGGACACAGGAAGCGGATATGAGCCTTCCCATGAGGACTACTATGCTTTTATTCGTTCCATGACAGTTCTTATATGGATGTTCACCAACGGAATTGTGGTTGCATTGGTTTTGGAAACGGGAGGATTTAACCAATTGTCGAATTCAACGAACACTACGACCAGATCTGAGGTCTTCCTTACTGTTATTCTTTGGACAGTTGCGTTCATGGCGCTTTTCAGATTCATCGGATGTATCACTTACTTGATCAGAAGGTTTCTTGCATCATTCAGATCAAAGAAGGTGCAACGATAAGAACATTATACAGATCTACATGCATCGAATTCGCACAAGCACCTCGTAGTTGTAGTCGCATCCTGTCTACAGAGCAAATATAAACAAAACAAGCAGACAACAGAAGAACAAACAACCAACTATATTCATTCGCTAACCCGGGACCATATAGACAGAGTATGATATGAACAGAAAAAGAAAAAGTGCTGACGTTTTGGCCCAACTTGGAGAGCCGCTCCCACTACCTTACAGGCCAACTTCGCAGAGTGTGAAAGCAGAAGTTGAAGATGAAGAAAACAATACAGAAATAATCTCACAAACTTTCAAGCCGCGGCAGGTGCTGCTTCGACACTCACGGGAAAGAGACCATGAGACCAGTCATACCAGGCTACCTGTATGGCAGAACAGGCGAGTTTCGAGTGTGGAAAGCCAGATAGAAGAAACGATATTAGATTCCATCGAGAGTAAGATTGCAAGTTTGAGGACAGAAATTGACAGTGGAAATGACTTATTCTCAGGGAATGAACTGCTTGAGCAGATAAACCAGCAGCTAGAACGGATAATCGAATTGAGACATGAAAACACACTTATGCATGAGCTCAAGAAACTACAACACACTACTGAAGGTTCAAGCGATACGAAAAGGTTAAAATTGTCCACTCTACTAATCAGCATAATTGTCCTTATAGTGGGACTCGGAGTGGTTTCATTCGTAACAGGCAGCGGTTCGTACGACTACTGCTATTACTTTTGCTGAGTTTCACTCTGATGAGTGACCTTAGTAGTGTTCTCCTCTCTAATGGGAAGTCTAAAGTGTATTATACAAAATATATACCAAGAAGTTATTCGTCATAGTCGTTACGTGGTGGCGCAGCACTCTCTGATCTCATGTAGAGATCGATGGCAGTAGAGAATACGGCGAAACCAGCACAGCCAAAAAGAGCCGCTTGTGGACCAGCCTTTATGGACAAGCCCGCACCGGTGATGCAGCCGGCAGCGACACCATTATAAATATCGTGTTTTGCTCTCAAGCTCTCGATGGAACATTCGACACCCGAGTAGATCATACCAATGTAACCAAAGTTCTTTGCCGAGTTCCAGGAGCGTCTTCCCATATCGGAGAACTGAAGTTTCATCTGCTGCTTGAACGGCAATTCGCTGATGTGACTGACCTGGGAGGTTCCAACAGGAACATCGTATGCCATCGAGGCCATGAACAAACCAAAGAAACCACCAAGAGCAAATCCAGACACTCCAGCCATGGCAGTTTTTCCTGGACAAGATTGCATGAACTCGATCATTTTCCTTGCACCGAGGTCAGCTTGCTCCTCCTGGGAGAGAAGGGCGAGGGGCTTTTGCGGCTCCTGAGGCCCCGTGTATACTCCAAACACCATGACTTTTCTTTGAAGAAGTTGAAGGCCAAATTTTTCTTGTTGTGTGCACACTGGGTGAGTGGGTGCAAAATGGTGTAGGAAGTATGTTGAGAGAAGAGAGTATGGCAAAAAACCAAGTGGAACAAAGCAAAGTGGAACAAAGCAAAGTGGAAAGTGGTAGCTATTTAATAGGTTGGTGTAAGCCAACTTGGTTGGATGGTTGGAGAAATAGAGGAATTATTTGATTGAGTTTTCGTTATGAGTATTATTGAGCTGAGTAGAGTTACAAAGAACCATTAGTAACAAATGAACAGTAGCAGAAGATAGTCTCCAAGTTGAAAACAGAAACACAAAGAGAAACTCATATTGGTGGCTCGTGATATGGACACTGTAACAGTAGAGCGTCAGTATGAAGTAGACTTGAGGGAGGCCGTTGAATGGAAAATGAGAACCTCGAACTATGACGATTGGGCATCGTAGGAATTGGAAAAATATTCAAAGTCAAGAAGCAGGACTGATGGTACATGTGAACCCAATACAGAAGGATACAATCCCATGAATTCTCACATGTTTTAAAATTCATCAATCATTAATCTTTAAAACCCGAAACAAAGGTTTTATTTCGCTTCGTAGGGGTATTGATAGTATTGATTGTATTTCAGATGATGGAAATATGGTTGGAGACATAATTGGAATTATCATTATCTCCATCATACGGTCCTGTCACCTAAAGATCAAATAACCAATATTGGCAAGGTTAACATCAGTGCACGAGTGTTGTCGAATTGGGAACCGACGCCAAGTTTGAAATTTATCTCACGGACCAATGGAATACAAAAAGAAAGTTCCTTCAGCCTTTCAAGAATGTGGAGGTTTATCGTCCTGTACTCCCAGATCTAACCCACCTTAACCCACCTATGGATCACCAAACCTGCCAAAAAGCAAACCCAACCCCATTAAACTCATTCCCCCCCAATAGTGGCGCCCCCACCCTATGAACCAACTTAAATTAAAATGACTCAATACTGTCAGGTTATTGACATACTGAGTGGCACAAAATGGCCTGCTCGTTAACCTCACCCCATCCACCTCAGTATCTCGCGATTTCCATGTCACCAGCAACCCCGGATTCTGTACATTCCAGTTTCGCATACGTCAACCTCCTATAATTGTTCCATAACATGCCGACTTTCCATTTGAGGAAACCAATCACAAAAATCCCGCATAGCTAACACCACCCCAAGTCACTCCCTATTCCACAATGTTCCCCTTCCCCAACCTTCCCCGACTCGGGCTTGTACACACCATGGCTATTGGCCCTGTCTCAAAGTCACTGGACCTGTGCGAGAAGGTCACTAGGCCTGCCTACATTCGCACTGGCATGTAGGTCACTGAAGTTGGTCAGACCCCGAATTGAATAGGAGTGTGGAGGGTCTTGATGGAGAAGAGGATGGAGAGATGGAAAAATTCCAAACTGCCGCCGGAATTCAAACTTTCGGGATTCTGTGTTGTCTTTCGCGTCAATCGCCCCACCCTGTGTTGACAAATGGCTGTGAATGTCGTGAGCATTCCGAACATCTTGACCTTTTCGATCGTCGCACAATGCATTAGTTATGCGCTACACAGGCTATCACTGCGACCCATCTCTATCGGAACGCATGGCCCACCATTGACCTTCGACTATTGCGTATGAATAGAATGCCCATGAATGCCATATTCACAGAACTACAAAAAATTTCTAGCCATCTCCAGATATCGTAGAGCCACTGGGAAACTCGTCGACCCCTAAAGTCTTGAAAGAAGAGAATAAAAAGAAAGCCTTGCCTGTACTTTGAAAAGTGGAGAGACAAAGACTGTGGAGTGACAAGACCGACCTGGATTAGCCCCATTTGGAGCCACTAAGGACAGCCAACACAGGAAAATTACGAGTGTTCACCCTAACCCCATTTTGCAATCCCCAAAACTATATAAGGCCTCTGGTGGCCGGCTCCATTTTAAACTCACCACCCAACAAACAAATTATATACTTCCAGAGCATCCAGTCTTCGGAAGATTATATACTTGTGGCTCCATTAAATTGATCTTTATACGAAGAAGCTAACAGAAACACAACCAAACTCACGACCATGACCAAATCTAAGAAAAACCAGGTTGTTGAATTGAATTTTGACAATTTGGAGAAACTTGACCACTTGAAGCCAGTGCCCAAGTCCAGATCATCTTCCATCACCTCCATCGAGTCAGATGATGGTTCCATCTCTGAGATGTTAAAACCTCCTCCAAGAAAGGACTTTGACGATATTGTTGCATTTGAGTCGTATATTAGAGACGAGACATGGGATAACGATTTCGACTACTGCCATGCGCACTTAGCCTACTACCCACCATTCATTTTGAAGGAAGTGCACGATAATTTGGATAAGATTAAGCCAACCATGAACAAGAACTCGCGCAAATTTAGAAGAAACTTGCAGCACCATATCAAGCGCCACTTGATGAAGGAGATGCAGTTGTGTTCGGGTTTCGAAATGGATTTCGGCAAAGCTGTAGTGGAGGAGACTCCAAAGTCCATTACCTGGAAGTTTGAGGATGCCGGACTCCACGGCTTCTCTGAGGAGGAAGAGGACTTGTTTGATAGACACTGGAAGTTGGAGTTGCAAGTTAAGTGCAATAATGAGAACCCATTGGTTGAGGTTGACTACAGGGCCATTCCTCTCTAGGGATTCCAGTCACCCAACCTACGCAACTGTAGGTTTTTTGTGTTGGTTTCTGGTTGATCCAAACCACATGCTTGATACTTAACTCCAGCTTGCTTTTACGATTCTACTACGATTCACGATTGTTCATAATGTTTACGAATATACGAAAGAAATATTTCAACTGTTAGCAGTCAACTGTATGTATAGAAATATAGGAATATACGACTCAGCTGGTATGAGAAGATTCTTCGACTCAAGTATTGCTAATAAATTTTTGGTCCTTCCCAGCTCTAGCCATTTATTAGTTCCAGCTCTGGACTTTACTAGTTGTAACTCTAGCTTTTAGCTAAACGATCATACCCAGGATTGGCATTCATGTAAGCACTCCACTGTTGGTGCAAATTCTTTGCGATATAGTCCAAAAGTTCCTTCATCTGGCCCATCAATACATTGATGCTGACAGCGTCCATGACAGTATGGGAGATTTGCCCTGGCAAAATCACGAGAAGTCGAAGCAAGTGCTCCACTCCATAAACCTCAGAGGGCCGTGTCCCAGGCTTGTCGCGTAATAGGTCACTGTACTGTAATCGTTCGAACCGATACAACAAGTTCAAGCTTAGTAGTTTGTCAAAGTAAACTAAAAGACCGTCCAACGCCTCACGAGTAACCAGTAACATCTCGGGTGTGGCCGTGTCACTATTCTTCTTCTCCGCATAGTATGTGTCCAAGATCTTCTTGACGCTGGTGGTCTTGTCGAGGTCAACTAGCTTGTGGTCTTTAGTAATGAACTCCCAATCGTCCACTAGAACACACTTGAGGGTGGGATGGAGCGGCATCATCACCTCGTAGTTGGATCTCCCTTCACCACGTCTTCTACGGCTCTTGGTGGGTTCCGTATATCCGTCCAGAGGAGGGGGCTGACTCAGAGCGCCACGAGGTCCTTCAGACGACTCTTTCTTTCTGCGTTTCTTCTGCGGCGTAGTAATCTCTTCTTCCTTCTTCTCTCGACTTGGATCCATCTTCTCTATAGCCTTCTTGCGGGCATTTCGTAGTTCTCGCGAGAGCCCCAAGTTGTCGTCATTGAACTCCATCACCCTTTCCGTCGACACCCACTCGTCCCATTTGAGACTCCATCCTTTATAGTGGAGGAAATATGCGTCGCCATCTAGCAAGAACTTTGGGATTTTATTGTTCTCGAGTGGCTCACTCTTGCCTTCTCCAATCTCAACGAACATCTTGCCTTTTTCGTGGACCTTAAGCACTTTGGCCTCGTACACCAAGGGACCATGGTATGCCAACACTCGTGTCCCTGGCCTGAACTTTTCATGTTCCACCATCGAAGAATGAGTAGTTGGTGTCGCGATTGGTGATATGTATAGGAGATTCGCATGTAAGTCAGAGATGTACCAAACAACTAAACTAATTATACGTTGCAGTAGAAAATTATTATTTTTAGTTTCAAAGATTTTTAATGATATTCTATTTAATGTTGTTGTTTCTCTCTGTCACTTGAATGTGTGTTCGCTTTTAATATTGTGTTTCTTCTTGGTGACATAAAGCCCAATCTCCTCTAGCATCTTGTAGAACTGCTCCGAGGTGACAGGTAAAGTTCCAGCATTCTTGGATAGATTCAATGTTTGCAAATTAGACGCTGACGCTACGTTCAAGTCGATTGATATCTCCTCAATACTATTGGAGCTGATATCAAGGTGTGCCAATGCTGAGTGACAACAGAATGTAGGAGTGAAGGTAAATTTCGTTAACTCATTCCTTCTAAGAATTAAATCAGTGAGATTAGGAGGTAAAACAACGTCAATATCAATAGTGTCAATTAAGTTTTCCCCTAAATTGAGCACATGCAAGTCCACAAGGCGATGACAGAATGTCTCGTTGAAGAGTGGTGTGTTCACCTTCAGCAATGCCTTGATAGCGTTTTTACGTAAATCAATTTTTCGAATGCTTGGAGGAGGCATCCAGCACTCGATGTTCTCGATACTATTGAAAAAAAGGTCCAACTCGTGAAGATTTTTCAATTGGGTCCAGGTGACGATGCCACTTCCATTCACAGTAAACTCGTATGAATTGAGCGACCCAATCTTGTTTCCAGACAAGGAAAGAGTCTTCAAGGACAGCGGGAACAAAAAAAACGAGAGATCAGTGATATTGCACTCGTCCAAGTTGAGAGTTGCGAGACTAGACGGGAACTTGATGCGGTACTCCACGGTATCTGTCCTCTGGGGATACTTCAAAGCTCGAGAATTCTGAATGTTGAGGAATTCCAATCCTTCAGGGAACCGGAAGTATATGTAATCGTCTTGTCTGTGAGCGACTTCAAATCCAGAGAGAAGCGTTCCTGAAATATCTAGAAACTTGAGGTTTTCTGGCAATGTGTGGAGATCATCAAGACGAGTAAACTTATTCATATCTAGCCTCAAGTTGTCTAAGAAAGGTGACCATTCTATCTGGGAAAGTTCTCTCAAGGATTGGTCATTGATGGCATTATTGCTGAGAAGAATGGTTTTCAAGTTTGGTGGCCATCTCGCCGCACCTTCATTATACTCGAAGCTAGACAAGTGGTTGTGTGACAAATCGATAGTTTCCAAGCTCTGGGGTAATTGCGAGACGTTGATGGACACCAAATTGTTGTAGGTCAACATCAACGTTCTAAGCTGCAGAGAGAATGTCATGGAGTTAAATACACTATTGGTAAGCCCCACCAGATTCCAGAAAAGGTTAATCACACTGTCAGGTAAATTCATAGATGCAACGTCCGTGTTTGGATGCCACGAAACATCGAAATTCTCCAAATTGGGAGGCAACAAGAGGTTAGACCAGTTTTTAATTTCATGACCTAAGAAGACGATCTCTTTCAAGTTCTTCATGTGCTTAAACCCAGAGATCATAGCTGGCAATGCTCGGTGCAACTTGATTCGGCCAGTCTGGAGTTTTTGCAAATTAGGAAACGAAAGTAAAAGCTGCATATCCTCCACTGTGAGTTCATACTTCTCCACATGGATCTGGAGAGTAGGAACTGCCATGAAAAAGTTTCTGTACTTCGTGAGGAGGAGTTCCATGGACCTGAAGTCCTGATTAGTGATCACCTTAACTAGCCGTGGAGTTACATCAGGATTTTCTACAAGAAAGTCTTCAATTTCACCATAGCTAGTGATGTCTATAAGCTCACGTTTCTGAGGATCAGAGGTACACAAGTGAGGCCTCAGGGTGGGGGAAAGGATGAAATGAAGCTCATTGGAGAAGTATGACTCAATAATGACGTTTCGGAGAGCTGGAACTTTGGAGAGCGGGTCGTACACGAGCTCTGCAGGCAAATATTTCAAAGCATCACCCAAGACTGTCCACGGAAGGTCCAACAAGTAGTTTTGGAGGAAGTCAGAGTTACTCATGGTGAATATGTGGAATATGGAAATGGAGTTGTATCCTACATAGAGAGAGATAATGCTTTATAAGGTATGTGTGGAAGAGGCACGACTATTATGTTACCAGTTTAGAACATTGAGATCCTTGAAATAGTTTTTAAAAGCCTAAATAGGGATTTCGGTGGTACTGCTTTCTTTCAAATTCAAAAGAAGGTCGAGTAGATATAGTTGAAGTGAGGAAGTGAAAATACAGCGAAGATGGGCAGCGAATTGGCACTATACAAACTTCCAATACAATTTGAAGTAGAGTCTCACAAAGAAAATGCATCTCTAGACTTCAAAGAAGATGAGTAGAATATTGTCAAGAACTCGAATTTTCACATCTACTCCATTAAATAGTAAAGAATAATATGGATCTTAGTCCACGTTATCCTGTATCCTGCTGGTCTCTCCAGCACACGATCAACCATGTCAAAGGTCTTCAAAATAGGGGAAACCATCATAAACATCATCATGTCTTCAAAATCAAGTAATTTCTCCGACTTCCACTTGACAAACCAATTACTAGTCAATTCCTTTCGCAAGCAATCAAAAATCAATTTCCTCTTGGATCTTCGATGAAATCGACCACTGTGCAGAGAAGTGAGCAAGGTTGATACTAATCAGCAGGCAAAACACATTTACTATCTTGGTGTGAACATCTGGCGGGAGAAGCCATAGCAACAAACCCATATCAAGAATATCTGTTTTGATTATTCGAATTCTAAATTTCTCTCACCTCTGTCCCAAGCCCCTAAAATACCCCACCATCAACCACTAGTGTAGTCAGTGTCCTGCAGGAACAAAATTTCCCTGTGGATACTTCGTCAAAAACGTTCAAACCGCTTCACTAGCTCCATTCTAAAGCCAATCACACCCGCGCTGGAGCATAACATCGACCAGCTCTTTGTATCAACACCAAAATTACCAAGATTCGCGTCTGAATACACGCTGGCCTCGCTAACGTATTGTCTCAGTCGCTCCTCACCGAAACTTGACAGTTGACCTCAACCCTCCACCAAGTTGGCGTCATCACCACCTAGTGGGTCTTCACATACGCATTAAATCTGCACTCTGGCAACCATGGCGCAATCAGGAAGCAACAATAGAGTAGGCGTGCATTATAAAGTGGGCAAGAAAATCGGAGAAGGGTCATTCGGTATCATCTTCGAAGGAATTAACCTTCTCAACAATCAGCAGGTTGCCATCAAATTCGAGCCTCGCAAATGTGAGGCACCTCAGTTGCGTGATGAATACCGCTCTTACCGTATCCTCTGCGAGGCTAAGGGTGTACCTAGAGCGTATTTCTTTGGCCAGGAGGGCGTCCACAACATCTTGGTGATTGACCTTTTGGGACCCTCCCTCGAGGACTTGTTCGACTGGTGCAACCGCAAGTTCTCCACCAAGACGGTGGTGCAAGTGGCCAAGCAGATGATTGAAAGAATCCAGGCTATTCATGACCATAATCTCATCTATAGAGACGTGAAGCCTGATAACTTTCTCATTGGCAAACCTGACACCCCTTACGCAAACATGGTGTACATTGTAGACTTTGGCATGGCTAAGCAGTACCGAGACCCCAAGACAAAGACCCACATACCTTATAGAGAGAAGAAAGCTCTCAGTGGAACTGCCAGGTACATGTCGATAAACACGCATTTGGGCCGTGAGCAGCTGAGAAGAGACGATTTGGAGAGTCTCGGCCATGTGTTCATGTACTTCTTGAGAGGATCCTTACCATGGCAAGGACTCAAGGCACCTACCAACAAGCAGAAGTACGAGAAAATTGGAATGAAGAAGCAAACTACATCCATAAATGAGCTCTGTTATGGATTCCCCATTCAATTTGCCCAGTATTTGACTTACGTACGAAACCTCAAATTCGATGAGGACCCGGACTACGCTTACTTAATTGGCTTGATGGACAAGGCGCTCATATCTATAGACGAAACCGAGGACGGACATTTTGACTGGATGGATTTGAATGGAGGCAGAGGCTGGGATGCGGCTCTTAATAAGAAAGCCAATTTGCACGGTTATGGAAACCCACATCCTCCTCAGAGGGCTCGGAAGACCAATCCTCCAAACAATACCAATGGAACCTCTCAAGGGCGCAAGTCTCCATTCCACAACTCGCAGGGCGGAAAGGGGCTCCCTCAGAATGGTTCTCAACAGCGTCTTTCCCGTTCTCACTCAGTGACCTACGGTAACTACAACTCGATTCTGGAGGATGGTGCACAAGGATTCCGGAGTGGAGGCGGTCCTTTCCTGAACGGAATGATCCCTGTCCACGACGATGCTGACTTACATTCAGATACGTCCAGCTTTAATGCTCGTCGCAAACAGAGATCGTTCTTACGAAGGCTCTTTTGCTGTTTCTAGTCTTCCCACTCCTTGCTTCTGGCCTACTTGACGTCACATTTGGTCAGACTGCGTCCTTTCATTTCACCTGCATCATATGCTTCAGTTCTTGTACATTTTGCCTACCATCAAGTGAATTTCATAACGTTCATTGATAATTATCACAGTTGGAATCAACTATCCTATATAGAGTATGCGCACAGCACCTACTCCGAAATGCTGCTATTCCGAGATTTAGGCTCGGAGTCCATCGAACTCACAGACCCCATTCTGGGCTTTACTTGCTGCATGTTGTCTGCTTCAGCAAAGGATTCTTTAATTTCTGCCAGTGTCATCCACGACTTGTTATTGGTGCCATTCTCGTGGTAACTGTAGAATCTACCTGAATTGACCTGGTTATTCATACCATAGTGGGTGGGAGACTTGCCAGTGATGGACTGTGAGATCTTTCCAAAGAAGTTGTCGAATAAGTCGGGCATGTTGATATTTTTTAGTAGTACTGATATATTCTAGCCATTAGACGGCTTTATATAGTAATGGAATCCCCTCTATTAGTGACACGGAGGGGAATTGAGATTACGGATTATGTAATCATAAGTGGAGAAGTTAATGGTGTGAAAGCGGACCTCTCTGGGTTTTCTTTTTGGCTTACACATCATTACAATTTAAGGTCCAGACTTTCCAGAATGACGTGCGGAGAGAATTTCAATTCCTCACCGGAGATAGGGATTATTGTAGACAATTCATTAGACTAGTACAAGCGATGTGTTTTAATTAGAAGTAAAATGGGGAGGCAAACAAGGAAAATCAAAATCCTAATTAAAATCAGACGTATTCATAAACTCGCCGAGCAATAGATGAACTTGCTTCTTTTCAACCAATTTGCGAGTGAGTGACAATGCTTGCAAAGATAATGAGGCAACTTGAGACTTTCGTGGACTTCGCGGACTTCGCGGACTTCGCGGAGTTCGACTACTCTTGTCCGAATCCAACAGTCTCCTCGACAGCCAATGTTAATTTTTGCTTCAAACTCTCGTATGAAGTGTAAGGGGGTAAGTCCACTCTATTAAAACAAGTGTGCGACTTTGGCAATTGGTTCGATTCTCCTGCCTTTTCGATAGTGAACCTTCTTGGACCATCAGAACCTTGCAAGTCCTTGAAACCGTTGACAGGAATTCTCGAAGTACCGGTTGTGAACTGCAATAATCTGGCCTTCTGCTCAGAATCCCATTCCTTGATGCATTTCCAGAACCACTGGATTACCTGGTCATTCTCCTGGTATCCTCTGTAGTCTGTGTGCTTCTTCCAGTCGTCAACATCAATCTCTGCCAATCCACCGATCAACAACTCTAATTCTCTCTCATCGAAGACGTTGACTAACTCTTGAGGAATCAATTCGTTAAAACCATCAATGAAGGCTTTGAACTGCTCTTCGATTCTCTTGTAGATCTTCCACTCACAAATCAACTCAACATACTCATGCTTGTTCTCTTCGGTCACCTCAATGTTTCTTCCGTTTGGTTTCAAGTCAAATTCGACAATTTCTCCGAATTTGTCATCCTCAGCACTAAATGTGAGATCCAATACATCTGTGATGTCGTTGTCAACCATCCACTGTAAAGACCTGTAAAACTCTGCATCCACACCCTCCATATCTTGCAAAACAACCTTCTTCCTCAACATCATCTTGTACAATGCACCTACAAAGAAAGCGTCCAAGAATCTTCTGTGGAAAACACCCAAACCAACCACTCTTCCGATAAACTTGAAGTAGTTCAAGTGCTCAGGATTGATACCGGAGTTAGGGTTGATCTGCAAGGTGTAGTTGTCATGACTCGAGTATTCGAAAAGACAATAGAATGGGTTAAACATATCGTGGGACAAAAGGAAGAAGAATTCTCTTGAGACTCCACCATAGTCCAAACCTTCCTCACCGTCGAATTTGATCATCAATCTCTTCTTCAAATCATCTGGAGTCTGTCTCATGATTTCCTGGTACGAGTCCTCAAAGATGTGGTCTCTTCTAACCTTGATATGACATTGACCTGGCAAAATACGCAATGCTGGCTGAGATCTGAAGTAGATGACCTTTCTTCTAAAGTCACGCTTGTACTGAGGAACATTCTGGTCCAAGGAAGAAGGCAATCTTGGGTCATCCCAAGTTGTCGTCTTGGTGTTGTGATCAACAAAGTACACTCTAGCCGTGTTGGTCAAACGCATTTCCCATCCAGAAGGCAAGGGACCCAACTGACTAACTGGCTGCTGTTGGATGGTAGTATTTGGACCGAAAGTACGGATATATTGTTGTCTTCTTGGATCAACCCATGTGGTGGTTCTCGTGTTGTGGTCCACGAAGTAGGCTCTTCCCTCGTTAGTGAATCGTTGTTCCCAGCCAGATGGCAATTCTCCCAAGCCCCTAGTGGTAGCACCAGTAGCGGCCATGGAAACAGCAGCTGCAGGACTCACAGGAGTGTTTGCACCAGTGGAGTTGACAGTGACGTTCCCACTGGAAGCAGAGTTCTGTGCAGCCAAGGTTGGAGATTGAGGTGTCTGGCCAGGCAACGTACGGCCACGGTGTTGTCTTCTTTCGGCTTCAGTATAGTCATCTCTCTGCTGGCCACGCTCAGACTCAGACTGTTCTAATGTCGGACGTTGCCAAGTAGTGGTGCGCGAGTTGTGGTCGACATAATAAGTTCTGCCAAAGTTATCTGTTCTTCTCTCCCAGCCTGGAGGCAAGCGACCAAATTGGTCCTCGAACGACGAATATTGTCTGTTTGAAGAGGCATCGCCATTGGAAGCAGGCTCGGAAGGAGGAGCACCCGTGGTAGGGGGAGCCAAAGCAGGAGCTTGCGATGACAGAGTACCGTTAGTGGGTCTAGACTCGGTAGCAGCAGATCCGTTGGCGTTGGCAGAATTGTGGCTGAGCACAATGATAACCTTCCCGCTGACAGCCAAATTCTCATTGGATTTCTTCAAGTCTCTGGTAATGGTCTCCTCGGCATTAGGCAAGGAGAGATCGATCACATCACCAATTCTTAAGTTCACTACACCCAAGAAACCCTGGTCCTTCTTCTTGAATTTCTTCTGGTCAAATACCTGGATGACGAGAATAGAGTCCTCGGATGCATCTAAGAAGAACGATTCGTTCCAATACGGGTTTAGCGTTTTTCTGGCCGTTTTCGTCGTTTTCGTCTGAGACCCATCTACAGTGATCACCGCAAAGGGATCTGGCTGGCGGAAGACATCTCTTTTGTAGAGAGCCTCGGCAGCCACCACCTTAACGTTGATTTGCGGCATGGAAGTCAGATATGTGGAGTTTTGTGGCGGCTAAACAGTAAAAGTGTTGTGGATGAAGCCAGATGATATCTGTGGCGGATTCCGGTTTAGACAGAGTGGATGAACAAAGAAAATTCAAACAAATCCAGCAGTGTACTTTCGAGCGTCGGAACGATAAGTGAAAGCCCGAGGTCTGGATTAAGTGGAAGCGACAATGGTCTACTAGCAAGATAAAAAGAGCGAGGTTTATTTAGGGAAGTAGTGGGAAAATGTATCAAACGAAGATGTACGGATGTTTTATCCGAAGTGGTTAAAGATAGGATACATAGTTGCAGCGATCCAAAAGTGATACAGAACTTTTTTAGGTGGAAAACTGTTGGAAAGGTCACATCCAGATATGAATTCTAGGATTTCTTTCTGAAAATACCTTTCGATTATACTTCTTAATCTACTAATTGCTAAGTTATTGCCAGTCGGAAGCATCACGTGATGCAGTGCAAGGTTGATGATTGGTATGGATGCTGATAAAATGCAACGAAATACTAAAGACAAGACAAATAGATTGAAAAAACTAAAGAATCTACGGTTTGACGATGATTCGCGGCGGCAAATTTACTCATATCAATCCACAGCCTTACTAATGACTATGTCCTTTTGACAATTCAGCCATCTTACTAATAATTGGTCATGCTGTCAGATGTCGCATCAGCCATAGCCATCCTGAGTGAATGGAGATGGCCCGGCATGTTATTTCTGTCCCTATATATATCCATTTACTTAATCCCATTAGCGTTGACAATTCTGCCTTGACATTTAAAGCACCAGCAATTGTGTGTGATTCTGAAATTCGGCGCAGATCTTATCTAACTCCGAATCTAGAAATGAAAGCAGCATGGTCTTGGTGAGTCCGGTCTCGCATTCATCTAATTGAGTAGCGTTAGTAGATAGCGTGTAGATGGATTCATTCCCCAGCTTTTCAGACGCCGTCGGAGAAGAACGAGTCTCAGGCAGTGAAGCATAGGAAGGAATCAAAGGAAGCGAAGGAAGAGAAGGTAGTAACGCCGTTGGCAGCCTGCTGCTTCTGTGGTTGAGACTCTTCAATGCGGCACTGTTGAAATTGAAATGGAATTCGTTGTCGGATTCAACTTCGCAGTGTGAATACTTGCCTAACGATGCATGGATGTCCAACTCTTCCACGTCATTAATAGTTTCTGATGAATTGGCAAGATTTGGTAACTTGAAAGTGGACTTGCGGGAGACCTCTAATGGCTTGATAGATAATTCGTCACTGGAAGCGACCAATGTCGAGTTAGAGTTCTCGTCCTTGGACATGAGTGTCAAGTCTTCTGGAGAATAGTACATTTTACCTGTTGCGATCTCCATATTCACAGCATCGTAGATCTTGGAATGGAGTCCCAAGAAGGCAGATCCATCGATGGATATCACTTCGCAGTCCGAAGGGTTTTCGCGTCCGTCAGAGCCACTGACTTGGCACATTCCAATGATCAGGTTGTTCAGAGCAGGAAGTTTTGTTCCACATTGTCTCTCTGACAATGAGTCCACGAGGGTATTGTGGACGGCATCAAACGATACACTTCTCAAGCCTTCCTTCAATGAACATGATCGAAGGGCTTCAGCAGATTTGGTGAGGTCTGAGTTTATGTCCGTAGTCAAGTCCCAGTGAACGATATTGCCGTCGCTGGCACCAGTGAAAATATCATTGTGATTCCATTGTAACGCAGTGACAGTCTTGTTTCTATGACCAGTGAGCTCGCAGAATGGCTCCTCCTTACGAACGTCCCAGAGTCTCACCACTCCATCGCCGTGGGCAGTAGCAAGAAGACGCTCGTCAGTTGGGTGCCATTTGACAAGATTGGCGGACAATTTGGAAGGGTTCATATTGTCAGCCACTTTGGCATTGGGTACGTTGTGACTGCGAGTTCTGGTGTCATACAATGAGACACCGAACGATCCTGAGATGGCCAACATGGAAGAGTCATGCAAACGGCAGTCGAAGTTGGAGATCCCTGGAACAACCGAAATCATCAGTGGGCGAGGTTTGGCAGAAGACTCGCATCTGTTCATGTCCCACACGAACAACGTATCGTCGTAGATGGAAACTAGACTGTTATCATCAAAGAAGCCCAACTTAGACACACACGAATTGGCATGAGTGTGAATAGATGGGTCCTTGTTGACAGACTTCAAGTGCTTGCGATGGTTAAATCGCTTGATGATTTCTGCCAGCTCGTCTGATTGGTCTCCGCCATAGCTGTTGGGCAAAGGCACCGACACAAGATGTGCATAGCCTTTGTTGTTACCGGTAACCAAGTATTTCAGGTTGCAGTTGGGCACCCATGCCAAACCGTGAATGTTGGGTAGTGAGATGGTGGTGTGGTGGGTCAAGTAGTGATGGAGCGAGTCAAGCTCGTAGATGAAGAGGTTCTGGTCAGCATTAGCACTGGAAATGGCCAAAAGCGGCAGGTCAGAAAACTGATTGCTTGCGGCCAATGCCGTCAAGTTCATCTTGACATCAGGGATTTTCCAGTAGTTGGATTTGATGTTGACTCTATCGAGGGAACAGGCTTTGTTCATGATTTCCATGTCGCCTGTGTTAGAATTGTTCAAGAGCCAACTCGACAGCTTTTGTGAAGAAGTTAACGATTCGCAGGAGCTGTTACCCGATATGTAAGGGGAACTGGTTGCAGAAAGGGGGCGTCTGATAGCGTTTTGACGGAAAAGGAACGTGGGTTGGTAGAAGTCCATCAAGACACGAGTAGTTTACGCGAAGAAAAGGTGTGATGGATCGGGACTTGGGACCCTCATTGCTATATAACTACGATTTGCAGGTTGGTGCCACATTCATGGAGGGCTGGACAGCTACCGCTTGTGGATCTGGGGCCAGGACATACACGGACAAGATGTTGCTGGCTGCGAAAAGCTGGCAGGAGGTGGCTGGTTGGGCACCCCGAAACGGAGACGCGCTCTTGACCAAGATTCGCAAAAAATTGAAGGAATGATCAGACTATGCCGGCTCTCTGCAGGACGTAACCTTGATTGGGACGTCACTCATCTGGATATGGAACCTATTCAGGCAATTGGTGCTGGCGAAGGATCTGGTGTCATAGAGTTTTCTGGATCTTTTCGCATGATGCCAGTTTTGATCCTGGTAAATTGATGGATGCTGGAGATATCATGATGAATGGGGAAGGAACAGATCTGGTCAGAATGATGTTTTGGACAACTGGCGGTCTCTGGGTGACCGGACTAACTTTTAGATCTGGCATGGCCTGACACATAAACCTTCGACAGATTCGCGCATTGGCATAGGACAGGAGTGAGATTAAGGGGGACATAAGAGGAATTGAGAAAATAGAGGTCTCGATTTGGATATTGCATTTAGACTCTTTGAGAATAAATTGAGTTGATTATAGACGGCTGATTATGGGTGTGAAATATTCATATAACGAATGTATCTTGTAGATGTGATGATGGTAGTAGTCTTTGTCCCATTTAGGAGTCATAGCCCCTTCCGCTTTTACAATTTCTTGGACGTACGCCAGGGAAGATGAAATAGGATGCAAGGAGAGTAATTCCGTTCTCCCATGTTTCATCTTGCACATCGGATCTCGATTACATTTTCGGGTTTGTTCTTCTGTTTCAATCCTCCTATCTCATCTTGCTTTGCTTGGGTTTTTCTATAGAAGTCCTGTAGTCACAATGTAATGTAGCCGAGTATTGCGATGATTTTTTCTTTATGGAAGTACAGCTATATAATCATATGTGCACCAGTTTTCTGGGACTATGTGGTTTAGTTTCAGTTATTCAGTCCTCGATCTATGCCCCTCTCAAGTCCTCCGGGTTCTTCTAATTTCACTTCCATTTAAATATCATATCTTTAGCCACCAGCGTCCTCAAAACCACCCTCAGTTGCCCACTCAACATAATTGCCTACACAACTTAATTACCTACTCGTCTCATTCAAAACTACCTTCTCTTGTAAATACATGGCTTCAACAACCACTGGCCCTCGGGACGTGTCTTTCTCTTGTTCTCAAGCTCCTCCTTCTGCGTCTCCTGCTCAATAAACTTCTTTCTTCTCTCCAACTTCTCCTTTCTCTGGTTCATGATTTCTCTCGATGGCTTAAAAAACTCAAACCTCGTGAACATCTTATTTTCATTATCGGTCTTCTTATGGAAAAACCCAAGTAACTTCAATGACTCCACAAACTCACTGCCAACCTCCTCAGGCTTCGTAGGCTTACCCTTGGAATTCGTCGACTCGGTGAATCTCGACTTAATCTCGGCAATCCATAGCTCTCCATTAGGTGCCAAAATTCTGTAAGCCTCCTCAATGAAGTCGAGGAAGTTGGTTCCCATAAGTGCCAAACAAAAGATCACAATTGTGCAAGATTCGTCCTCCATTGGAACATTCTTAATATCTGCCACGGTGATTCTATCATTGGCCTTCTTCAAGTCGAAACTGTGCACTTCCACATCCAACTTACGTCCCATTTTCCGATCTTTCCCTTTAGCCTTTTTCCCGTTGATCTGCTTGGTGAACTTGTTTACATCCAAAGCCAATTGCGCTTCACCACATCCCATGTCCGCAATCACCACCTTCTTGTTTTGCAAGCCTGGCAAACCACCTGGTGCATTTACTGGTCTAGCCGATCTTGTCTTTACCTGGTCGACAAAAACATCAACGGGATTCTCTGGCCACAGTTGAACCTGCGATCTGAAGCCCTGATGGTATTCATCGAAGAGGGATGGCTGCTCTTTGACTAAATTGAGAGCATTTTGAGAAGTTGTCGTGTAGAGCTGCTCGTTGATCCATCTGAATCTCGAACCTGAGAGCTTGGCCATCATTTTCTGCTGTAAAGGCGTCAATTTCTGCGTACTCATAGGAAGAGGAGCTGGGACTTCCTTAGCTGGGGCGACCGCTTCCTCGTCATCCTCTGTTGTCTTTTTCGTTTCTGGCTTCCGCTTCTTGTCTTCAGGTCGCCTGTCTGAGCCTTCTGCGGATCTCTTTTTCTGACTTTTATCTTTCTTCTTCGACTTTTTCTGCTCCACTCCTCCAATAGCAACCTTTGTGGACTTCAAATCCCAACCATCAACGTCAAATAATGCCATTTCGAATAGTTCTGATACTGACTGAGGTAGAGCTCATCGCTCAATATAATGGAGGTGTGCAGGATAAAACACTGTTAGCATTACAGAACATGAATAGTCAAAGCACTTTACTTGTGAAAATAAAGATTTCGTGGCCCTTATAAGTATTTACATTGGCCTTTGGAAGATTGGATCCATCAATTTTAAAAAAAAATTATAACTCCTACCTCACTATACCTGCAATACTTCCATTACGATCACTCCAGTTCTGAACTATTCAATTAATCACGTCTTATGAAATATGATTTCTTATATTTTACTCTACATTACAAAAGCTCAGACTCTGTTTCTCATCATCTTGATAGCCAGAAGGTCCTGATATCTGCAATCTTCAAATTCCAGATTATCACCACTTCCCACATCTTGTTGCAACCTGACCTTTATGTGCACTCACAAACAAATAGACTACTAAGTCTTACCATATCCCAGTTACACAATGTCATGCCCGCTGACTCTGTCTCAGAGGATCACCATCAGGGCTTCCTCATCCGAGGTAAAATGTTCTACCATCCGTCGCTCTTTCATATGGCGCCAACATATGACAGAATCGTTCCTTTGACCATAGCTGATGTAGTAAGGTCCAAGAACGTGTTGCAAGTATATGGCGTGACCGGCATTGCCGAGTATAACCAGGGATATGTTATTGTGAATAACTATCCTATTAAGGAGTTGAAGATCGCAGGAAGATTGCTCTCGTACGCGTATAATTCATACGATGTGGGAAACATTAAGAGTCCTAACAATTTTTACTTGCTTAATCTCGATGACTGCTCGGGGGACTCACTGCTAATGCGTGTTAAGATTTTGGAATCGAAAACTACATTCTCATTACGGGATCTTGACGAAGATCTATTGGTAGAGGTGACAGGTACCGTACAATATGTACACGATTTTGGAAAGCAGGTTAAAGGTGCATCAGCGAGAATTATAGGATCATCGACTGATCTCGACGTTGAGATTGCATGGTGGTCTCAAGTGTTGCACACTAGAAGATATCTTAAACATCCATGGAGATACCACCATCCTCGAAGAGAAGGAAATTTAGGAAATGAACCCGAGATATTAGATGTGGAAGCAAGCTTCAGAGAGAGTATTGTTAGCTATCCAAACCTAACACCACATACAGCGACTGCATTTGAAGAACTTGTTTCCGAGCTCCCTTCTGACGTAACTCTATTGGATAGTTTCACACTAGACAGATCGAGACTCAAGAACAAGGCAAAACAGAACCAACCGGAGCAAAGATCACCAGTGGAGTTTATTGACTTGTCTGTGTCTGACGATGAAGTCAATTCCGAGGATTCTGGCTACAACGACCCTGACTACACGGCTGCAACACACCCAAATCTACCGATCATAAAGTCCTTTCTGCTGGCCAGTCTCTCTCAGGAATATCCACAAAAGCATCAAGATGAAGACCTCAATGAAGATGATAACCCTACATCCCCAGACTCCATAATTGTTATCAACTAGCCTTCTTGTCTCCTTCGGCGATTTCCGAGTTGCTATCGTTGTGCAGTACCATATACCTATTCTTATCGAGACATCTGGGGATCAACTACTACTCTTTGTCTACAATGTCTGTTGATCCAATTACTTGTCATATCTTGGACACCAGTCTCGGCAAACCGGCAGCAGGCGTAACATGCTCTATTTTTTTCTTGTCGCCACTCATATCCGACAGGGGAGACGCTTCGTCCTACGACATCTCAACACTGCCTGAGCCATTTGCTATGGGAAAAACTGATAACGATGGACGGATTAAGCAGTGGGTACCCAATCCGTCTATTGATTCAGCCCAAGCTAGCATAATCGGTTTCGAGGACAACAAATGGTCGGTCTTGAAGCCAGGCATATATAAGATCAAGTTTTTGACTGGGAAGTACTTCCACGAATTGAATGCTAGCAACAGAACCTTTTTCCCTTTTGTGGAGATTCTTTTTCAAGTTGAGAATCCTCCTGATCATCATTATCATGTTCCATTGCTCTTGAGTAATCATAGTTATTCCACCTATCGTGGAAGTTAGGCAGGTCTCTGGAACTTCATAGCATCATTTATAATTTCCACGAGTCAATACGTACTTGTATATTGAATTAATATCTAGTTTATGTTTATTCCTCAGTAAAAGAAGTGTGTGTTCATCTGCGATTTTTCGTGAACGAGCATCTCATGGCACTTGTACGCATTTAGCTCATTCTTGATCCGGTTGACTTCAGCAAATTCCGTGAGATAGTATTGTGTCACAGACTTGTTGTATCTCTTGTACATATAGGAAGGATATGTTTCACTAATGCTGATAGTATTGGAAAACTCCACGGTTCGTTTAGAACTTGGTTTTGCTTCAGTTTTCAAAATAGGACTCTTCACCACAGCCGTGGAAGTTGCGCCGTTCACATTGAGGGTCGGATCAAAGTCACTCACTCTAATTTCAATTTCAGGGAAGTCCTGGAACTGCTTGACATGCTTCAAAAATGCCGGAAGACCACGATTCGTGTTGTCTGCAAGCAACTCAATTAAACCCTCCTTCTTCAACAAGATACGTTGCTCGCCATCTTCTGAGGGCAAATCAACAACAAGCTCTTCGGATTTCATGAGCGATAGAGTCTCATCGGGATCCACCCATCCTTCATCGGTTTCCTCTTGTTGCATATCGCCATTTAATTTCTCTTCAATCTGTCCAAATTGATCTAGTACAGGCGACTCTTGAGTGAATGCTCTAGGTAGCGATTCATCCGAAAGCTGATTGTCATTTTTCTGCTGATCAACAATCTGAGCCTCAGTCAACTCGTCATCCTTCAAGAATAAAGAGCTCAAAGATTTGGGATTAACATACAGCTCCTCAACTTCTTTCTCTGCCTTCTGTTCCACTTCATCAAACTTCAAAAGCAAATCGTCAAAATTGTCATTTCCAATTTCCAACTGAGGCAAGTCAAACTTGGTCGATGGCTGCCTTTCAAGTGGTTGAACATCGAGGGTTTCTGGTCTATCTCTAACACTGTACACTGGAGATGGTAGTTCCTCTATGCGGCCCACTGAAGCCAATTTCAAACTCATGACAAACTTCTTGCGCTTGGCAGCAAACTTTGACAGCTTTGCGGTAGAAAAGGAGACATCCTCTTGACTCGAAGTTCTCAGCAGAGACTGGACTGGAAGCTCTTTATCCTGGTAAAGTTGTCGTATAGTAACTTCGCTCAGAGAGTCTCCATTAACAGAGATAGTCGAATTGCTGGTTCTTAAGGTCTTCAAAGAAGGCAACAGAGGCTTCTTTGTAACCTTCTTCTCGGGCTTCTTGTTGTCTTTCACTGATTGCTTGGACAGCTTTGAATTGCCTTCGGAGCCAAATCTTTTGAAAACCTTCTTGAAACTGCTCATCGAGTGCCATTTTCCATCCTTTTCACTCAATGGCAGATCAAGTGTGCCTTCATCGGTCGATGGGAGGTCTTTCCTAGGAGATGGTTTATTCAACATACGGTTGTGTGTTGGTGAAGCCAATGGATCCCCGAGTAAACTAAAGCGACCAGTGTATTTGTTCTTCCGTTCTGGTGTTGGTGGCAAAGACTTGTCGAAATCAACATCCACTACGTTCAACATTGAAAGCCTGCTCTGAAGTTGCAGTGTAGACCTTGGGGGATTCACATCAGCAGCAGGTTTAATGACAGGTTCTACTTCGAGTCGAGGCAGTCTTCCTTGCAAAACAGAATTCAAGGAACTTATAGACGAAGCATTCCTCTTATGAACCTTAATGCTACCACCCTTTATGTCCAAGTCACCACGAGGAGGAACTTCCTTTTGATCGTCGGCGAGAAACTTCTCAATTTGGCCGCGCGAGTATAAGTCTGACACATTCACTCCCGACTCAGTATCACTGACACTTGATTTTCTTTTAAGGTTATCCTCTCCACCCCCAAAACTGAATTCACTACCTGGCGTTAAATTGATTTGTTGATTTGAACCAGTCCGTCGAGGAAGATTAGTAGGAGTTTTAACTTCAGTAAAAGCCGCTAAATCACCCCTAGCAGGAATTTGAGGTGTAAGCTGGTAAGAATCCTTCGAAATTGGAGTGGGTGCATCAGGCAGGACTTCTGTTACCGTTGCCAAGGTTTCAGACTGAAGGTTCAACCTTAGGTCAATGTTCTTTCTCTTAGAGTATTCATGATTAACCAACTTGAGTTCGTTGAAATCATCTGGTAACAAAAGTGGTTGCACTTCTCTCGGTTGACTTTGGCCAAGTGGGTTGCTCGATTTAACAAGTGTTCTCTCGGGATTTTCTTGAGATTTATCATTTGGAGCCATTGCCGTCCCAAAACTTGCAGATCTAGCAGTCAAAATAGGGAAATCCAGGGTTCCAACTGAAGTTGCCGGAATCGTTGGGCCGAAATCTAGCATGGATCTGATCTTCTGACGTGGAGAAGAAGGCGAATCTTTGGATATGGGTGTTGGTTTGTCCTTTGGAGAATCCTTAGAAATCGGAGATGGTATTTCTTTAATTGGAGAGTCCTTGGAGATAGGCGAAGGTCTCTCATTCAAAGACGAATCCTTTGAGACGGGTAACGGTTTCTCTTGTAAAGGAGAGTCTTTCGAAATAGGCGACGGTTTATCCTCGTATGAATTGAAGGTATTAGGCGAACCGGGGATCGTGGAACCAGCCACGTATTCGGTCATACTCTCAAATGAACGCAAATTAGAGGTTGCTTTGCTCTTGGACGTAGAGTCGAGCTTAATGGTAGGCTCAGGAAGATCACTGTTCATAGTATCAGCAATACTGGTCAAGTCAGAAGGCTTGAAAGAAGAAGTTGTCGTCAGATCTGGACCCCCTTCGAACGAATGCACTGTATCAGTGGTGTCTTGTGTGTTCAGTGTGTAGTCCTGGGAGTATCTCTGAGAGTTCTCACTGCGACTATCGTCAGATTCTAGCACAATGTCACCATGAGCATCATGGTGTATCGTGGGAGCATCCGATTGGCCGCTTGAAACAACTTGAGTAGAATGCAGCTCCACTGCCGAAGCAGGAGAATCTATTTTCAAGCCGCTATCGTCAACAACCACTTCGAATGGACTTTGTTCCTTCAGTGGTTGGAATTGCTCATCAGAGTCAGCTTGATCGTCATCGGAGCTTGAATCAGGTGCGGCACTTGAAACCGACGCAGCACTAAGTGATATCAGACTGTCACCATTATTTGAATTGGGAGACTGGCTTTCAGAGTCAGTTGGAACACCTCTGTCATTCTCTTCTTGTGATTTCCTGCTCTCTGCACTAGCGTAATCGGTAGCGCTATCGTACGCTGACGCTTCGGAAGCAGGAGTTTGAACATTCAGCGATTCATAAGGGGAAGTGCCGCCATTGAGTGCATGTGAGTCCAATCCAACTGTTTCTGCGCTAGGAGAACCTGCTGCAGTTTCTAGATCGGTCTCTGAGTGGTTTCCGACCGTAATTCTGCTTGATTTGTCGGCACTTCCAGTTTCCTTTATCAACTCTAGCGATGGCGTCTTATTAAGACTGGCCGCAGGTTCCGACTCATCTGATGGAATGGTGTCGTTTATATTGTCGCTGGTGCTGACGGAAGTCTGGGGGGTATTCGAGTTGGAACGGTTCAAATTGTAGTTGGACAAGCTCGATGGATTCAGATCCAGGCTGCCACTTTTGCCATTGACAAAAGTTTCACTCAGTGTATTGCGAAGCAACAGTTCCAGTCGTACGATGTTGGTGGAGTTTTCCGAGTATCTATTATTGGTCAACAGAAACAGGCGAGGATGGAACTGAGGACCAGACAGTGGAGTTGGCGGCGTTTGAGTCAAGGTGTTGATGTTGATGTTAGTGGGCGTGTCCAATTTGTTGTTTCGGATCAGCAGCACCAAATCATTCTTATTCTTCAGTTTGAGATTGCTGAACGAAGGCAGCGTGGTCAAATAGGAGCTTGAAATCAGAGGAACAGCCGAGTGGGACGAATTGATGGATGTCACCAGCACCATGGACGCCGAGCGAGGGATATCGACTCTGTCAGGTCTTTCATTTCTTTCATATCGTTCGGTTCTTTCGTGTGGGATCTTCTGAGGCTTATTGCGCTTGGTAGGGGCGTTGCGGGGCCTGAAAACTTCACCATTAGGAAAACAGTAGGATCTGGCCTGTAAATGGAGGTGGGAGTCTGACTTTCGAGACTTCTTCAAGAAGCGGTCGTCTAAGGTGAGGAGGGCGTCAGTGCTGGTGTCCCTGACGTCTCTGACGCAGTCCAGCCTGGCATGGGACGTGGTGGATGAGATGGAGTTTCTTCTTTGCATCACAAGGTCATGAAAACGAAAGGACGGGGAAACAAGACACCCTAAAACAGTTAAAAAGAAGGACCACGGTAGTGGGAAAAAACAGCAGCAAGTAGGTTTGCACAGGTTTTAGTTTATCGCACTGAGGGAATGTTCAGGATTGACCTTAACGGGAGGATTTCAACCAGGAATGGCAATAGGGAATCCATTTAGCGAGCCACCGGAAGTCGTGGATAATGAAAAATTCGAAGTTTTGATCAAGATAGTGGATGGAGTTAATAACAGTGATTCTAAGAATTGATCTATTTACTTTTTTTTTGTCTGATGGTGTGAATTTTACAATTTACTGTTCACTAAGTATTGGTGCGGAACCAAATGAGGGCACACCGTATAGGCTTCGGGTGCGTTAGGTGGAAAAAAAATAAACCAGAATTGGCCCCAGTGGGAATAGTTCATTGTGCTTGCGCGTCTGTACATGGGCACTAACCGACCACTTTCCAGGGTAGCCGGGACACCTTAGTGCATTTCGTAACAGAAGATTTTTTTTTTCGTTTCCCGGATATTGATTCCACATAGCACCGTGTCGGTTCTTTCCATAGACTTAGACGGGACAATCGCGATTGTCTTGTGGAACTAATCAGGTACTGAAAAGTACCGAGACCACAGGACGCAGCAAGCAGGGCTGAGGGACAAGGCGCACCGAAGGGTGCACCTTTTCAATAGTATGACTTTTTTTTGTTACCTACTGCAATTTAACCTCAACCAACACATCTAATAAATTTTATGTCGTGTAATGAAGCATTGTGTTTGGTAACTATTTTCTTGCTGTTCTTTTTTTTTTATTCTTTTTGTTGCTTTTTTGTTGCTTTTTTTAGGTTATTTCAAACGACGTGTTGGTGTCGTGAACATAGCACGACATTCTCTGGTTAAACTCCACTGGATAAAGTTGCCTGCTCTGTGAAGGTTGGTTGGGTGCCCTGGAATAATGGTTATACCTTAATGAAAGTAACAATAGGACAGAACGTCGAAGAATCTTTCGATTCCCTAATATGCTTTTCTTTTGTTGGCAGATCGACTCTTAGGTGCCTTGTCCACATGGAAGAATGCACCATTGGCCGTCGCACTGACATTTGAGACAGCTATCTAAGATTCACATGTACTTTCAATTTGAATGACCCCTACTTTACCCCTTTAAATCACTTTTAATTTTCTTTACCTTCTCTGGGTTCAATTGTCATTTTTATGAAGTTTCCTGTCGTTTGTATATTTGACAATTGCACTGTTTTGAGAAATTGGTTATTGTAGGTGTCGAAGGAGGGCTGTGGCCACTTCTTTCACTTAAATATTCTGTAGTTGCCCTTTTCTCCATTAGTACTGCCATACCCCAGTTAGAGACAACCTCACGTTGCCTGATTTTAAACTCCTTTGCCTCTTGGTGTTTGAGGGCGTCTAATCATGGTGATCTACTTCGCTATTGTTGAAAAGTCGTGTGCATTGTTTTGTGTCATTGGTGTCATTTTCAAAGAAATCGCTCTTGAGTTGAAATTGATTAGCCATCACAATTTTGTCCAGGTTTTTCCTATTATCTTAATCTCTGTCGCTTTTCTCTACCAGTACAGAAATCTGAGTTTATTTTCTCTTGTGCAAATTTAGATTCATTTCGCGAACCTATACCTACTCAATACTTTTGCGACATACGTTCATTTCTGTTTGTGTGCTCTCCAAGAGATGCTTTTGCCATACATAAATATTATTTTGCTCATTAGCTCTTCATTTGCAATGGTGGATATTCCTCTAGTCAAGCCGACTCGCCTTCGTCTCTCGATATCGAAAGCAGAGACATTATTATCATCTGGAATTCCCACTCCACAATGGCGTATCCAACTGAAAACCCCATGGATCAAAGACTACTTAGCCTTCAATTCCATCTCTGCTCTTTCAACACAGAATATTGACAAAGAGAAACCTCTAAAATCAACAATCATCAGTTACGAAGACTCGCAGGCCGACGAGAACGACTTAAGGTCATGGACTCGTTACATTGTCCAATCCGACGGTAAAGACGACGGATTTCATGACACCCACGACAACAATGTCGTAGAACTCGACGTGGACAAATTCATCAAATACCTTGTCGAACATAAGAATTTCAAAGCAGAGGACCTTCAATTTCTACGTAAACCAGATCTCGACTATGGGTATGACCAGATAGATGACGAGCTTGCTAAGATTAAACGTGACGAGAAACAGCCTCACACAATCAGTATCGGTGGAGAAGATGCTGTCGGTAGAGCTAATTCAGATTTCCCGCACAAATTTGTTCTCTCCTTTTCAATTCTCATGTCATTTCTTGCACTCTATTAGATACTAGCGCACATTCTCCAAGATCTCAACGTTTGTAGAAGCAAGTCTCCACATGATGAGCATCAATACCAGCAGGTACGGCGAGTACAACTTACCGAGGTATTTAACGTATTCGTCGTGGAGAGGGACCCAGTCACGCTTGGAAGATTTTGTCTGGAACTTTCCCTTCTTCTTGAGTCCTAGTTTCAACAATTCATCTTCATTAACTCCCTTTTGAATATCTTTAAGAAGTTGTGGCCTATTTTCTAAGTAACGAGCCACGCATCGAGCGACTCCCAAGTCGTCGTATGCGAAGATGTCTAGTTCATTGAGTGTGAAAACTGAGAACATTTTAGCAGACCATTCGCCAATCCCCTTGAGAAGAACAAGCTCATCAATGATTTCCTGGTTAGTGCTTGACCTGTAGAAGTCAAGTGAGACGAGCTTAGAGTCTGGAGATGAGAATGCCTCGCTAATGCTTATGACATACTTCAATTTCATAGCCAGAAGACCCACAGCCCTCAACTCCTCGGGTGACTTTTTCAACGTATCCTGAGGTGTGGGGCCGTCTTCAAACAACAATCTAAAACGTCCCTCAATAGCTTTTGCCGCGTGGCCTGACACTTGCTGTCCAATAACTGACGAGATCAACGCGTACCAATAGCGGAGGATAACCTCATCTTCTGTTTCAGGTGAATCGACTTTATTGGAGAATGCCTTAAACTCCAGATGGACAATGCATGGGTATAAAGACGGGTCTTTCAGAAGGATATAATTGACACCTTTAATGAATTCTGGCTTATGGCGATCGATAAATGTCTGGGGAAGCAGGAGGTCTTCAGGAATATCAACAACGGCGAAAAGTTCCTCGATATGTGGTTTCTTTCTTGGTGATGCATTTGCAGAAGGCGCCTTTGCCTTGCTCTTAGGCGTCCCTGGTATGGTGGTTTTCACTTTCTTGGTTTTGGTGACTTTCTCCACAGTCTGCACACCATTGTGTCTCTCCACAGCAGTTTTAACTACAGTAATCTTTGAGCGTGTGACAGCCATTGCCAAGGATGCGTGCGTTACTAGAGGTCGAGAACTGACTAGAGAACCGAAGACCAATGGATGCTGGAACATTGAGACTAACATCGGATCCTGTATAGGCTAGTTAAAACAGATGACAGCCCAAGTAGGCAATAGTCTAAGGCCAATAAAATTGTGTAGAGAATGGTCGGAACGAACAAAATAAAAAAAAAAATAAAGAATAAGATGAATAACAAGAAGCAATGGTTGACCAGGAAAACCACAGTAACCCGATGGCTAAGGTTATTGTTACTGTCCCAGCAACATCAAACATCTGAAAGTCTGTTTTAGTCGATCCCTCAGTCATTGTCCATTTTGGGACACTTGCATCCACACTTGATCCGATAAACTGATAAGGGGTGGATTGCTACATAGACCTGTGGCCGAGATGGAACCAAAAGAAAACAGAACCTACAGTGCACATATGCAAATTTGCTGTTCGATAGACAAGGCGGTATCAGCAAGCTGTATGTGTTAGTCAGAGTCGAGTTCACTTCTTCGCCATGAGGCTATCAGATAATGTAGATAAGGTTTGAAGGTTGAATCATCATTCACATACCATAAGGAGGAGTAGCCAAGAGCAGCTGGAGCGAGTGGTTGAATTGAGTTAGTTGAAGTGAGTGAGTAGAAGTGAGATTGATGAAGTGTTTTTTTTTTTCGTGCGCTATCTCTGAGTTATCGCACCGGGTAACTGCACGCCAGTGAGGGCTGGATCTGAAACGAGCACTGTGGCCCCCCTTTACACTTGATTGTTGTGATGGATTGGTATTCTTGACAAGTCGGTGGTTTGCTTGGTATTCTGCAATTTCTGGGGCTGCTTCTGTGTACCCTGAGTGAGACGGCGCAGATTACGCTGACGCACAGAAATACCTCTAGAGTCTTTTCCAAGTACACAACCGCAACCTAGATAGAGATGACATTTCTATGCACAAGAAAATAATATCCACATAGAAAATACCCTATCATTCAACCATTCGGTGCCCCGTCCCACGTGTGGACTCCTTTATCACAAAGTGATGTACTATTTGGGAGGTGGGAAATAGATGGTCATTGTCGCAGCAGCAGCCATATTGAGTGTAGAAATTGTCCATCGAAACGCTTTCTTAAGTCACCTCAGAAACGCTACATTGTCCTGAACCTCATCTCCGAACCTTACCTTCAAACCTCCACAGAAATCATCCCAGAAACACCATCTTCTGCCATTCCCGCTCAGGCATTTCTGGTAATCCCACTATTACCTTTACCACACCACTTGTACACAATTCGCTTATGCGGGAGCCAGCCATCCCTTGCCAAATATGGTAACGACGAGATTAGGGCAGAGAATCCCCAAAGGTAGATGATTTGAGTAGAGGGACTGAAACGTCTTGTTGTAGGGCTCGATCATTGATTATCAGCTAACTTACTCCAGGCAATTTAATACTTCGCACATGATCCCCTGTCTCCAAACCCCCTATCGTCCATTTACTAGGCGTCGGACTCTGTCCAGTCTCCCTGAAGCCTGAGCATGGAACGCTGGCTATAGTCATGTTGCGAGCACCGAGATGCCTAGCCTAGCAGAACAAGGCCATTCTAAGATCCTCCAGTCGGTGCACAGTATGGGGTGTAGACAAGAAGCTGGATCGGCGCGAAAGGCACTGAGGCAGGCCCAGAAGCCTGCTCTAAATTTAGTGCGAACCTGGAAATGTGGGCCAGTCTGGGGTCAGAGGTCGCCTGGGTACGAAGAATCGATCCACTGGGTGCAACTTTGACATTTTTACCTTGCTGCATCAACACTTATAAATTTACCCTATGGCCGAGGATATCCGTCATTCCGACCCGACTCGGTTAACAAATCACGCAGAACCTCCTTTCTTCGATTTTCAGGAACCACAATCCTCAAGTCCGACCCTTTTGGCCGGGATTCTCCCGTACTAGTAAATAGGGAAAGAAAATGGAGCTATTGTATCATTGTCTTCATTGTGGATAGTGGCTAGTGTATAGTTCTCTATCGATCGACTGGGGATATGGTTATGGAGTGCTTGTTATGTTCCATTATAAGGTTTCGGGACAGGTTATTAATTAGCTCATTCTTACACTCAGCCACGAGCCTTCTATCGTCCAACGCTCTAGCCACAGAATCCGGGGATATACCGCCATGATCTGAGTTTAGTCACCTCTAACTCCGATTGACGACCCGGGGGATAGAGCTTCTGTTTCTTTTTAAAAGCAGAAGGGCGAAAAGTTCAACAGACTTTATCTGTTTAGGCCGCACCGCATGGTCCAAGGTTCCCCCAAACAGTCCTGTATGCCTAACATGGCAATGTGGAAGCAAGAAAAAGAACAGTTGAAAATCCTACCAGAAGAAAATCCTCCTTCCATTGGAACAACGTATGGATCCCTATAATCACAATCTCCATAACCATGAAGGTACTCCTGAAACCACCCCTTCCCAGACAAAAACAAACCATGTAGCGCCACTTCACATTTCTCTGTTGTTTGCTCTCCCATATCTGCCTCCCTCTCAGTAAGCTCATGCAGGGTCTAAGATAGCTGGTTGCGGCGCCCGAGCCAAGGATAGTTTGGGGCGACAAACCGGCCAGAACGAGCCCTCCGAGCGGACTTCCTGAACTTTTCCTATTTAAATACCTCTTAGTTCCCTCATCAGTGCCTCATCACATTCAAAACAACCTCTCACAGGACTACGCTTTTCGCACATTGAACTGTTGTAGTACAAGGACAAACCCATTCAGCGCCTTCGCTCGCAAAGAATTTGCACATCCATATATTCTTTTTAACTACAAATGACTGGAACATCACTGACTTGCAGCTCTTTGTTATCAGGAGCCAGCTGTGATGCACTTTTGAGGGCAGAGAAAGTTGTATCGTACGGGGCAGCCGGGGTGATCATCATGATGTTGGCGCCCATTTTGGCCATTTTTATGGTTGACCTCGCCACATTTGCCGTGAGAAGCATGGTGGAGACGGCACAGAGACAGAAGACACACGAATTCAGATTCAAATCCACCAACCAGATGCGCAAGTACTTTCAAGACATCTCGTCGCTGTTGAAGGAGTCCAAGGCTCGGTTGAGGCGGTTTGGGCTTCGGGTGGAGGACGAGTAGAATTGCATATATATTTATTACGGGCTGGCCCCAATACAGGATTGAACGGACAATGTGTAGGAGAAATACAGGAAGTTATGAAGTAAAGGGTGAGGAAGGATTTATAGGGGAGGCAGAAAAGCAAGTGAAAGGTAAGAAGGAGTGGAAAATCTAGAAATTGCAATATTAATCGAAGAACAAAAGGAAGTAAAGAAGAAGCAAAGGTGAAATAATTGAAAAAAGTGAAAAAAATGAAAAACAAAGAAAAAAAAAACGAAATGGCTGATGGAAATAAAATAAACTGAAGTGGAATTTTACTAGAGTTGAAGTGGAAATTGAGAAGAAATTGAGTAAAAAGTAGAAACTATGCGGAAGAGAGAAAATCGTGCGAATGCCACTTAGGATCACCCTTCCATTCATTAAGGACAATGATAACCTTAAATAAACATTCCACAAATTTCACGGAAATGTTACAACAAAAAACCCAGAGAAACAATACAAACGAAAATCGAAAAAAGAAAATAAAAGAAAATAAAAGGAAAAGTAAACAAATTCAAATATCAACAACAGAGACTTGACAAACACAAACTTTGATGATCCCACAATCTTTGCTCTTAAGTATCCAGTTTCATCTTATTCCTATAACTTGAAACAGACTGCATCATCAGCCAATGGGACCCTGTGCGGAACCTGGACAAGTCCTGGATAAATTCCTCCATGCCTGCCTCCAATATTTTTCGTTACCTGCCTGTCTTTACCTGTGGTTTCCATGCAAGATTGCTAAAATCTCCCCAACCTTACCCATGAGTTTAAATTCACATCCTTGGTTTAACCGCAGATTCCATCGACATACGCGTCTTGATCTACTTGCAATTATGATGAAATTTATGGCAATACCAAAATCCTCCCGTTGGTTACCCTCTCAGAATCTAAACGCGTCGCTCAGCGTCGTCCGTCTTTTAACATTGTGGTCTTCTGTGCACATCCTGTACACGTAGCCTTTCCCATAGACTCCAGTATAAGAAAAACTTCAACGGTCCCTACCGCCTTGCTACTTCTTTTTCTTTTTCTTTTTCGCATTCTTTTCTGCTTCGGTGCATTTTCTTTGCTCATTGTACTTGCACTCGGGCCCTCTACGCTGCACGTCCATAACTTTCGTGCTCTCCTAGATCGCCAAGTTGTCTTCGCTCAGAATAAAACCGAAAATGGCCACTCCCAGAGCTGGCGGCCGCTACGTCAGGTTGGCCTTGTTTGCCATCGTGTTACTTTTCTGTGGCTACTCGCTCAATAGAGGCTCGCCTATCTCCAACAATGGTGCTGCCTCTGTCATCCCTCGTAACGACCAGGGCACGTCTCCGGATGGTCCTGAACAAGTTGTGGTTGAACACGGCGAAAAGGCCGAACCTGTTGACAACCAAGAGGATTCCCACGCTCCCGTCAAGTCATCTAACAAGGCTGCAGGTGCCAAGGGTACTGTGAAGGCTGCTTTGGTTGCGTTGGCCAGAAACTCCGATATCGCATCCATGTCCAACTCCATCAAGCAGATTGAGCAGCGTTTTAACAAGAACTACAACTACGATTGGGTTTTCTTGAACGATGAGCCTTTCGACAGCGACTTCAAGAAGGCCATCTCTGCTATTGTTTCTGGAGAGGCCAAGTTTGGTACCGTTTCTAAGGAACACTGGTCTTACCCAGATTGGATTGACAAGGAGAAGGCCGCCTACGCCAGAGAAGACATGGTCCAGAGAAGAATCATTTACGGAGGTTCCGTCTCTTACAGACACATGTGTAGATACGAGTCCGGTTTCTTCTATAGACACGAGTTGATGAAGGACTACGAGTACTACTGGCGTGTGGACCCAGATATCAAGCTCTATTGTGACATTGACTACGACGTGTTCCAGTACATGAAGGACAACAACAAGAAGTACGGTTTCACTATTTCTTTGCACGAGTACCAGGAAACCATTCCAACTTTGTGGGAGACCACCAAGGAGTTTATTGACGAGAACCCTCAGTACCTTGACGAGGACAACAACATGGCGTGGATTTCTGACGACAAGGGTAAGAGCTACAATGGTTGTCACTTCTGGTCCAACTTTGAGATTGCCTCCTTGGACTTCTTCCGGTCTGAGGCTTACAACAAGTACTTTGAACACCTCGACAAGGCAGGAGGATTCTTCTACGAGAGATGGGGAGATGCACCAGTGCACTCCATTGCCGTTTCGCTCTTCATGCCTAAGGACCAGATTCACTACTTCAACGACATTGGATACTTCCACGTGCCTTTCACCAACTGTCCTGTCGACGAAGCCACCAGACTGGCTAAGAACTGTGTGTGTCAGCCAAAGAAGGACTTCACCTGGAGAGGCCACTCGTGTACTCCAAGATTCCATACTTTACTTGGATTGAAGAGACCAAAGGGTTGGGAGAACTTTACTGAGTAGGCTAGCACCGATTAAGCAAGCACTATGTCAGATAATTCTCGCGCCTTATATATGTACTGAATATTCAACCTAGTATTGAACTTCCCAGATCTTGTATGTAGCGTGGATCGCGAGAAATGCTTCGACCTGCCAATTAGGGGAAGAACCCGCCACTTGGTAAAGATACTGCCAACCTAGTAGAATAAAAGAAAAAATTCTTAACTATACAACCAATTGACACTGGTGTTGTAGCGGGCACATAATCTTCACAATGTTGTTTGAGTTGTTCCGTGTGTAGATGCTACAAATTTCTTACATCAGTACCAAAAATGGAAATACGTCTAGTGAAGTTGAACAAAACCAAAAAATCCGACTAGCAAAAAACTGAAACTTCAACATTCATAGAGATCACCAAGTTTAATCATCAATAAAAAATTAATCAACATAATGTCGCCTTTATTATGATAGAATAAAAACTCCCCTGCCAATAAACCCCCCACCTCTTCCTTCGGAATAGTGCACCCATTCTCCCCTCAATACATCCGTACATCCCTGTCAGCCATTGATCTCGCGGCCCATTCACCATGGCGGAATCGCGCATTGTCAATCGATTACTGCCTAATTGGGGAGGTCCTTGCAGACTGTTATCGGTATCTATATATTGGGGTTAAATTCCACTTACTTTAAAGATTTCTCTTCTCCATCCATAACGTTCAATTCTTCTCCTTTTATCCGGCATCATGGTAGCTTACACAGACTTTTTTCTCCACGATACTCTCGACAACTATGAGGACAATGCCAAATTCACCTCGGAGTATCTTCCAAAGCTTGAAAAATATAGAGCAGATTTGGCTGCTGGATTATTGCCAGAAAACACCGTTGAATTGCCAGCTCCTGCTACGGAATTAGCTGCTAAACAGTTCAATGCCGTCAAGTACTTGCGTGAAAACAAACTTTTGACCGACGAAGAGTTTTCCATCACCGACTCTCCAGCACATGAGATCGTGGCCAAGATTGCCAAAGGTGAATGGACTGCTGTCCAGGTATTCAAGGCTTTCGCCAAAAGAGGAACGATTGCACACCAATTCACCAACTGTGCGTTGGATCTCTTCCCAGATGAGGGTTTGAAGAGAGCTCAGGAATTGGACGAGTACTTCGCCAAAAACGGCAAGACCATTGGCCCATTGCATGGATTGCCAGTGTCATTGAAGGAGCAGATGAATTACAAGAACAAGATCACTCATGGTGGTTACGTTTCGATGATCAACAACATCCCAACCACCCACGCCATCACCACGCAGATCTTGGAAAACTTAGGTGCTGTGTTCTATGTCAGAACTAACCAGCCTCAGACACTCATGCACTTGTGTGGTAACAACAACTTTATCGGTCACTCGAGATGTCCATACAACTTGGGATTGACCTCTGGTGGCTCCTCATCTGGTGAGGGTGCCATTGTTGCATTTGGAGGTACTCCTGTTGGTATTGGTTCCGACATTGGAGGCTCCATCCGTGGCCCTGCTGCCTTCAGTGGATGTGTGGGTTTGCGTCCTACTACAAACAGATTCTCCAAGGCCGGAGGTATCTCTGGAGGTGCTGGCCAGGAGTCCGTGCCTGCTGTAGAAGGTCCATTGACTAGATCGGTGGACGATATCGATTTCCTCATGGATGCTTATATCAACGAAGGAAAGCCCTGGATCACCGACTGCACCACTTACCCATTGGCCTGGAGAAAGGTGGAGAAGCCTAAGCCAGAAACTTTGACCGTCGCCATCATGTATGACGACGGCATTGTGAAGCCTACTCCTCCAATTGCAAGAGGTTTGAAGGTTGTGGCAGAAAAGTTGGCAGCTGCTGGTGTCAAAGTGGTAGAGTTCAAGCCCATTAAGACCCAGCTTGCTCGTGACACCGTGAACAAAATGTACTGCTGTGATGGTAACTACATGCAAAGAAAGTTGTTGGCAGACTCTGGAGAACCATTGTGCAAGTTGACCAAGTGGTCTTTGAACTACGGAGATGGTGCTAAGGTCTACGAGGTGGCAGACAACAGAAAGTTGAATATCATCAGAGATCAGTTAAAGCAGGAGTACACCAACTTCTTAAACGAGAACGACATCGACTTCATCATCTCTCCAACCTACAGTAATGTTGCACCCAGACCAGAGGAGGTGTACAATTGGTCGTACACGTCTTTGTTCAATCTCATTGATTTCCCTACTTTGGTCATCCAAACCGGATTGTTCCAAGACCCTGCAGTGGACAAGTTTGACAAGCCATTCGAGGCCAGATCGGACTTGGAGGCCCTTGAGCTTGGTAACTACGATCCAGAGGGATTTGTGGGGGCACCTATTGGATTGCAAATTACTGGCAGAAGATACTTTGACGAAGAAGTTGTTGCTGCTGGTAAGACATTTGTTGACATTTTGAAGGTTGACTTGTTCAACTTGTACAAGTAGTGGGTTTTAGAAAAATCACAGAATACAATAGAGGATTAGAGATCACATGTGCGGAACTGGAGTGCGGCTGCGAGAACATTAGAAATGTACTGTGAAAATCAACTCTCAGGGATATATTTATAAGAGTAATACGAATGTAATCAAATTAAATTTGGCTCGAACACATTCTGTTCCCATTGTTTTTTTCTTTCTTTCGAACTCTACTAATCCGTCCAAATTTTCTTCAACGTATTTCCACATTTGTTTCCTCAATCCTCGAATTTCCATAAGTAAAAATCGATTGCGCACCAAACTTTCTGTCTCAGCCTCTGACTCAAATCCTCTGGCTCAACCAGATAAAAGTAGGTTGTTCTTTCGGAAAATGCTTTCCTATTCCAAGTTCTTCATTTCTCCCCTCATGTTCCCGTGGCTAAATCGGTTACCTCACGGGTAATCCTACGGGTATCCGTGCGGCTCGTTCTCAAATGTGGGGCAGTCTGGGGTATATAACCAGGATCGTTTTCTTACCAGTGACATTCACCAAATTGTTTTTCAGTACACAGTTGCTTTTACATTCACAGCGTAAAATGCTCCGTTTTGCTCGATCTTTCTCTCGCTCAGCCACCGTTTCCGCCAACTACGGATTCATCGGCTTGGGCCAAATGGGCCAGCACATGGCAAGACATATCTATGCTCGCTTGGAGCCTCTGGATAAGCTTTACGTTTACGACACCGTGCCTTCGGTCACGTCGACATTCATTGAAACCAACACCACCCAGAAGCCAGAATTGAAGGATCAGTTGGTGGCGTTGGATTCCATCTCCAGCTTTGTAGATGGCGTGGACTCTCAGTTGGACTACATAGTAACCATGGTTCCGGAGGGGAAACATGTGAAGGGTGTTGTTGAGGAGTTGGTGAAGAGTTACAAAAAGAACCCTCAAACGGCATCAACAACCTTTTTAGACTCGTCCACTATCGACATCCCCACCTCTATCGAGGTTCACAACTACGTCAAAGAACAGCTTCCATCGTTCGACTTTATTGACACTCCAGTCTCTGGAGGAGTGGCAGGTGCCAGAAAGGCTTCTTTGTCGTTCATGCTCTCAAGAAAAACTCACGAAGAGATTGATCCAAGCTTGACCAAATTGTTGAACTACATGGGTAAGAACATCTTCCCATGTGGTTCTAAGCATGGCGCTGGTTTGGCTGCGAAATTGTCCAACAATTACTTGTTGGCCGTGACCAACTTGGCAGTAGCTGATTCATTCCAATTGGCCAAGGCTTTCGATTTGAACTTGCAACAGTACGCTAAGTTGGTGGCAGTTTCTACCGGAAAGTCTTGGGCCTCTGTCGACAACTGCCCGATTCCTGGTGTGTACCCAGCAGAGAGCAACTTGCCAGCAGACGACGGTTACAAAGGGGGCTTCATTACTAAATTGACCAAGAAAGACTTGGTTTTGGCTACAGACTGTGCTGCCAGTTACGACCGCTTCTTATATTTGGGTGACATTAGCAAGAAGTGGTACCTCAAAGCTTGCGAGCGTGAGGACCTCGGTAACAGAGACTTAGGTGTCTTGTATGAGTGGTTGGGGGAGCTTCAAGAAGAAAATGGTAAAGTAGTGGACACCAAAACCTCTGAAAAGTTTAACTTATAGGTACGTAGTTAACAGAAATAGTTAACAGAAATCATCTTCATTGTGATGCGACTTCTTGTAGATCGACGGGTTCCAAGAATGCGTCTCCTTTGCTCCCAGTTGAACTCGCAATTGCGCTGACCGTCATCTCACTTTCTCCGGAACTGTCAGTCAGATTGCGACTGCGCGTTGTACCATGAAATTCTCCAAGCAGCGGGATCACCCCAAAACTCTTCTGCCGTGGCTTGCTCTCATTGTCGATAGGTGCCACCTCTTCTGTTGACGAGTCCTGATAGTGCTTAGCGATGCGAGGATTCCGGAGTGCGAATAAGGATCCGTGGACATTGAGATCATTGTGCCCAAACAGCGTCACATCAACAATGTCTGACATGGATCCTAGAATACTCAGACGACGCTCGTAATCAAACAGGTCCTGGCGACCGTCATGAACACTCGATGTTGAAAGTGAAAGAAGTGGAAGTGTCTGATCCAAAGGTTCGTCTGAGGTTGACAGCGTGGCCAGACAGATCGAAGAATGTCTGGATAAACCATTCGTTCTCTCAACACGAAGGTGTGGCGCTGATGGAACGGGTGGAGCCCCCTCGGCCTTGATGTCAGCTATATCAGTGTCATCAACTGGCCCGGAATAAAGTCGAGGAACTTCCGCACTCTCTCTGTCTTGAAAATCATTGGTGATACCATCCTGAGATTTGCCAACTGTTTCTGATATCTCTCCATGTTCATTGATTCGAGAGCCACTTTCCAGGTTTCCCCCATGCGAATTCTGCTTGCACTTGCTATTCAAAGACTTCTTATCTTCTGAACTGTCTAAACTCTTCTTCGACGGAGTACTATGCAAAGATTCACGATCCGAATTTGAGTTGCGTTCACGTTTGTCCAACTGTTTGCTGAGAATGTCTTTAATACCAGTTAAAGACGGGTCGTGAATAGTGATAGAGGGCACAGTTCTTGCTCTCCTCGATCTAGTTTCATTGGAAACATCTATTCTCACCGGGGAAATGCTCATGGCAGGATCTTCTTTGAAATATGCTGGTGGTAAGGTGTCTTCTGTGTTAGGCCCAGATTCTTCGAACGCTGGGGGTGCCATTGAAGGAGCTCGACTTGATACCGGGGAGCCGAGACTCACGGGTTGTAAATGGGGTGAAGACACCGGAGTGTAAGGCTTGGCTTGCGGAGAGGTCAATGCTTCCAAAACATCTGATTCTTCAGGCTTGTATAGGTTCGCTTCAAGATGAACATCGAAATCACGTTCAATAGGTTCGTCGTTCATATGTGGGCTTGAAATATGCTGGAAATCTATTGGAGTCGTAGGACGAGGAGGTGGACTTGGTTTGTCTTCACCACCTGATCCCCCAAAGGGCGATAGCGCTGCTAGAATCAGATGTGATTGGTGATGAGAAAAGTCCACGGCAGTGACTTCAGGTGACACCGGAGGAGAGTTTGGAGTGTATTTTGGAAGAAACTCTGGCTCAATATCATATGCGGGCAACAACGTGTTGCAATGTGCAGCCAACGATGAACATAAATGAATAGGGGAGTCGATCAGAATTTCAAAATGTTTTCGTTTCTCTGGATTATTGGGGTCTTTCTTGGAAATTCTGAGCGAGATCTTTATCCAGTGCTCACATTTGATATTTTCTATTGCGGTATCTGGATGAATGAAGTAGTTATACTTCTTGTTGATCGCGGAAGGAACGTATAATTGGAACTCAAGTTCACGCGGGAGAACCTCATCGTCACCTTCTTGTGGGCCCTCTGTCAAGCCTCCATTTTGAGAAAGAAGGGACTTATTCTTCTTTGCTTTATGCTCGAGAAGTAAAAACTTCTTAACAGGCTCTTCACGATGTACTGCTTTGTTATGACAGTAGTAGTTTGAATTTTCTGTCACATAGACACGGATCCGATGCAATGCGACCTTACCATATAATGGGATAAAGCGAAAGACTAATGGAACATAAGAGTCGAGTACGACAGATTTGCTTCCCACCACGATTTCATAGCGCAACTGGTCCTCCCAATCTCTTTCAATGACAATGGGCTCATTTTCCTCCACACTATTGTCTGAAGGTATTCTCACCACTTGCACAGGCAATCTGGCAACCAAATTGGGCTTGAAAGCACCAATACGCACTATAGTGCTCTCGAGATGATAGGATACCTTTCCAAAGCTCATCTGCGCAGTTTCTGGTGACAGCGCTGGGATGGGGTGCTCGAAATTGTAGATATAGTCTCCCGGTTCAAAGTATCCTGGTTTTTGGCTGTCACCCATAGAGACAATAGACAGCGACGATAGCACAGCCGTTAAATCAGCCATGGAATCGGATGATGTTAAAGCGTTCGAAGAAGGCAGCCCTCCACCAATTGGCGATGTGGCTCTTTTGATCAAGCTAGCAGCAAATGTAGCAGCAGACTCTACAGGAGCCAAATTCAGAGTGGTGACATGCAAGTCTGCCAAATTCAAATTGGAAATATCCTCGTGATGTCCACTTTTAGGAATGAACAAATCGGCTCCACAGTTGCGCTGAGGAGTTTCCATCTGGTAGAACGGCCACGTATGCGACACAATATCATTTGTCTCTGAGTAAATGTTTTTCTTCGGAGGGATTCCCTCGGGCCAGTCTGTTCGCTGAGTGCCCTTGAACACAAGATTGATAGAGCGGATTTTTGTTGCTTTCATCACACGCAACACAAGACATCCTCGCAACAACGTAGGAGGAACACCCTCATACTCCACAGGCTTGAAACCTTGGACGAATAAGTGTTTTTCTGTCGGCACAATGTAAACTTGGAAAGATGAGGTCAGCACAAGCGGAGCTTCTGGAAGCTGCGGCATAAGGTAATCAGAGTGATCGCGGATTCCCTGAGGTATCGTGAGCGACGAAGCCGGGAAGAGCGGCGAATTAGGAATGTCCATGTTGAGTGGATTCTGTTTGTGGAGAGTTGACAAAGGACTTGTAGAAGATGGAACAAATGCACCTGAGGGATCTGGAGAAGATTTGGTAACTCAGGGCTAGTTAAGCAACGGACCAGCCACTTTGATCGGTGGAGAAGTAGTTGAAATTCACAGATTGTGCCAGTAATGACGATACTAAGCGCAGACGTGCTGAAGATGTAAAAATGATGATGATGGCCGAGTGTAAGTTAAAACGGAATGAAGTACATCCGTCCAGATTCCACTCCTGCACCGGGGCTGTTATCTGTCAGGTGACCGGGGAATACGGATGAATGAAAAGGAATAATGTGGAGTAAGAAAATTGTATTAAAAGGATATTGATGGTAAATGTGGATTTGGAGAAAGTGGTTGACATGGAGTCAACGGCCCAATTGCGCCTATGATGTGAGATGTATTGGCCACTTTTGTCTTACACTGCACGGCTCTATAATGTATGCAATATAGATAAGACCCATACATTCTGGAAGTGACGCTCATAAATTCCGTACCATACTTAAGGGTCATGGAGGTAAAGAGGTTAATGGTGCGAATTGGCTGTGGAAATCGGATAAATGCTCTTTTCTTATGCTTTCGTCATTTTTTTCATCTTTTAAGTATCTTTCCAGACGTCCATCGATTAGCAAATTCCGAGCTACTTCGATTCCAAAATTTGCTTATTGCTCTCTCATTTCTTCTTTCTGAGCTCTCCTCTCCCGGATAAATTTCCTGGTTCCTGGATATATAGGCCCTAGACATTTGGGCCCTATACAGACCCCATCTCTATTCTCCATGTCTTCGTCTTTCAACCTTCTACGGAGATGCTACTCGGTGGCTGCATCTATAGCTCAATGTAGACTCTCTCCGGAAAATTTTAATGGTGTCCATACAAATTTTGGTTGGGTGCTCGTGCCAAAGACCCACGTTGCCAGAGGATGGACACAGCCAAAGCTCAATGAGTATCTTTTACAGCATATCCAGCACGATAAGCCCGACTTGAACGAGGTACAATCATTGGTGGACCAATGGGCTGCTTCCGTGGACGCTTCAAGCAAGCCCGCATCAAAGAAAAAAACTGCTGCTGAGGTTAGACACGAAGAAAGCTTGAAACTCTTCCTTCGCCAACTGAAAGATGAAGCCGCAAAGGGAGATCGAAAGAGGCAGCGGGTGGCGCGTGTAAGAAAGAACACTCTGAGTGGAGAAGTCACCTTCACGCATGCATGGAACTATTTTATGGCCAAACAATACCCACTTCAGAAGCATTTACCAGAAGCAGAAGCTAGAGCGAAAGTTGGGCTGATGTGGCGTCTGATGTCAATGGACGAGAAGGATGTTTATAGAGAAGAGTACTCGCAGTTGCTTCAGCAGGGAAAGGACATATACCACGGCAAAATTGTGGATAGAGAGGTGAAGTTGAAGGCGGTGGAAAGACTCAATTTGTCCAAGGAAAAAAGCTTAGCGAAGAAATTGAAAAAGCTCGAGGAAACTCAGAAGGGCTTAGATGTCCAAGAGAATTAATGAAAACAGGAAATTTTTGTACATAATATCACATAACCACGGCTGGGGCATCCTCGTCATCTTCGTCATAATCATCCATATCATAAACCTCAAAGTTGTCAGCATCGATCTTCTTGTGGAAGGACAAATCAAAACTAAACTTGTGTCTATTCAATTCTCTGATTTTCGACCAGGTTATGTCGTTAATACGAATATAAGATAAGTCTTCCATGACTTCTGTGTATGTTTTCATATCGACAACCCCAATTTCCAGACTGCTCATATATTCTGTAGGCAATTTGTCTAGCTGTAGAACTAAGAGACCAAGGAATTCCTGAGCGACCTTCATGTTTCCGAGAAGAAATCTACTACTCGTCAGCACTAACTTCAAAAGCATGAGCCATTGGGTGCACGAACATAGATTTCCCAATATTACGAAATGTAGGAATGATATCTGGATCTCGGCAAGTAACAACTCTGGGTCATGGCCAAAAAGCTGAGTCAAATACCATGATTTTTCGAGATAGTTTCGTGTGACTTCCACCTCATCGCTGCTGCTTCTTGGTCCTGCCAATTTAAACTGAAGTATGGTATACTTTAACTCCTTATCTGTTTGATCCTCGAACTTTTGATTGGAATCTCGAGACTGTAGAGTTTCAAGAAGTACCATGTTCTCTTCTTTCAGAGGTGTTGCCGTCGAGATTGGAATGTTGGCTGGTGGGCAATATTCCCATAAAGCTTCAGCATCGACATATTTGGTCAATTTTGTCCATGTTTCTATGCTCTCAGGGTATGCTACCATGTAAGCATAATCAGCACTGAGAGTGGGAATTGGGTTGGCATTGTGGGTAAATACACAAGAGTCCTCAGAAAATTCCACCGAAATGATATCTCCATCATTACAGGAAAACCAATGACCGTATCGTATAGCTTCTCCAGTTTCTGTAGATTCAGAATAGTGGAAAAAGTGATGGCCCTCAGGAATTACCTTGATGCCTCGAATGAGTTCGTTGGCCGTAAAAAATTGTGTGTCAATTCCAATAATCGAAAGAGAGGAAACATTCCCGAGCACTAGCGTAGTCTGTGGAGGTCTAGACATGGCATTCTGATAGGAGATTAGGTATTATAGATGTGATGATCTATCGAGTATGAAGTGCATACTACATCCTACCATATGGAACATCCCAAGACAACCATGTGTTCTTTGGCGATCCGGCATTCCCTTAATATACAGTCTATGTAATGAGCTCAATGCTCTCACGTTGTCTCCTCATTGTTGTGGTGTCGTCAAAGTCGTCATAAGTTACGTCGAACTCATGTGCGATCATACCCTCTAGGTCAGCGTCCTTATTGAGCTCAGCAAATTTCAGATTAATGAGCCGCAGGAGAATGAAACGATCAATGAATCCACTCATTTCATTGTTGTTTTTGCGATGTAGTAGGACGAGGTAATTCAAGTGAAGTCTCTCAAATACCTCGATAACGTTCTTGAGCGAACTATTGTCTCGTACCAAAAGCGTTGCCGGTTCCGCTTCGATTGGAACCAAACTCACATTAGCAAATCGGTTGCTCAACTCTTCTTCGAATTCTGCTTTGGTGTTTTCGAGATACTTAGGAACTTTTGTCTCGAAACAAACGAGCTGGGAAGAAGTTTGCACATTTCCAACAACACGCTGAAGTTGTTTATAAACGTCGTTCTTGAAGACGTATCCCAAACTAACTGGATTGGTTTCACTAGCAATCAAAGGATAACCCTCGTGACAATCGTCCGCAAGAAATGAGTGAAGTGCGCTGACTGAATATGGCTCTTCTGGAAATACGACAAGATGTCTAGTTCTAACCAATGGAATCATGGCCTGAGATACTGCAACATCAGGCAACATGCTCTTGAAGCGACTCGATAAGTTGGCAAAATTACAAATGCCATTGCCTTTATTGCAATTGACTTCGTGCAAGGGAGAGTATCCTGGCACGTTGAACTCGTTGTTGAGCCATGCATCATAAATGTTTTGGTCACAGAGCCAATCATTGAAGAATTTTGAGGTCATGACGGCAATCATGATCGGCAAAACATAAGTGACTGCTCCAGTCAATTCAAACATGACCACCACAACAGAAAGGGCTAGTTTTGTAATTCCTGTTACAAATGAAGCTGCCCCAACTACCGCATAAGATGATGGCGACACAACACACGATTTTGCCGTACACGTTGATAGGTATTCAGCATCGATGCTGTTCTGTATTGCCAAACTGATGATACCCACAATTCTACCAGCTGCACCTCCCAATACCAACGAAGGCATCAAAATACCACCAGGAATATGGAGGCCATATGCATAAGCCGAGAGAAAGAATCCCTGTATGACAATGTAGCCCAACTTTAGAACTGTCGAGAACGATGAGGGGTGACACATGAAGTTAGTTGAATTTGTCTCAACAGTAGAGGATTTTTCTGGACAGTCTGTGAAAAGTAATCTCATAAATGCACTAAGAGGCAACTTTGTAAGTGGCAACATAAAAGTGAGAACAGCAGTGACAATGGCCATAAGGAGAAGTTCGAAGTATTTACCCTTGGATTCATCGACTTTGAAAAGAGCTGACAATCTGCTGCGGATTCTGGATTTGAACTGAACGTCGGAGAAATGCAAGTACACTTTGGTAAAGGAGAAGCCGTAAAATCCACCAAGAAGTCCCAAAAAAATAAATGGAATAGTCTCCATAAAGAGCCAACTGAAATTACCAAACAGAACTTCGAAGAGCACCTCCTCGTGAAAATGTTTACCTTCTGTGAAGAGTCTAACTCCAGATAATGTAATGAGGGCAATAGTAGCACAGACGAACGAATTCCACATTATTCTTGTAGGAGTGAAGTATGACGGAAGCATCTCAACAGCAAATAAGACTCCGCCTATTGGGGAGTTGAATGCCACGGCTATTCCTGTAGCCGTTGCAGCACTGAGAAGTTCTCTTCGCAAACCCTCCGTGATTGTGTTGCCATAAATGTATCTAAAACATATGGTCAACATGCAACAAGAGATATGAACCAATGGTCCTTCTTTGCCTAGCCAAACTCCCGAGCTGACCACCAAAATAAGTCCCAAAACCTTGTATACCAATGAGGATGCACCCAAGTATGTATCCATGTAGTAGTTGAATCCAAGGATAATAAGTTTCATTTCTGGAATTCCAGATTGCTTAACTAAAGGAGCCCTTGTGGATGTGATATACCCCGCTGCAACAACGAATGCACAGACGAAAATAAGGTAAATCGGAAGATTGAATAAGAAATTGGAGAAGAATCCGTCGTGGCCCGAAAATACTCGCAGCCAGTCATACCAATCGTCTGCTGGACATGTCAGGTACGGATTTAGAAGAGACCACTTGTCTAGTTTGGAAAAACATAAGCCTTTTTTCAAGTCATTGAGCCAGACTGATAGTAAGTCAATAAAAATCGTGATGTATCCCACAATGATGGAGGTGACCACCAAAACCAACCACTTTTTGGATGGAGCATTATCCTGCCATCCAGCACTGGACTCTTTCATCCAGTCAATGAAGGTATTATTCTCATATTTTTGCTTGGAGGTCCAATTCTCCGTACCATTGCGTGTATAGTCTATAGGCTCCGAGTACCTTACCGTTGGAATTCGGACCTTTGACATAATTAGCAGGGTATATTTTAGTGAATTAAGTAGTGGGTTGTAGATCCGATACTATATGTTATTAAGGATGTACGGGTGTGCAAATGTAGAGTAATGAATACCAGTTGCTTGAATCAAGTGACAAGAAAACTTCATCGAAATCGAGAACGAAATAAGACAATCAGAAACTCCTAATAGACGATTATCTATCAAAGAAAAGCCCTTTCCCAACCAATCTTCCTAAGTCTAGTGGTTGTTGTCCACCTACTCCATCACCATACTGTATGCCGGCCGTCGAAAAATCAACTACAGGTTGAACTTCTCAACTGCTCTACCTACCTTCAGCAAATATGTCTGCATTCACGTCTAGCTTGGGCCAGTCCAGCTTGGGACAGCAAAGTAACTTGGCTCTGCAGACCACCTCAGCCGCCACAGGACAGGAATTGATCAATGACATCACCATCAACAACGGACCTGAAGACAGCATAACCGACTTGGCTTTCTCGCCTCAACAAGACATTCTTGCGGTTGCTAGTTGGGACAAGAAAGTGCGTCTCTACGATATTGACCCAAACACGGGAAATAATCAAGGCAGAGCGCTTTATGAGCACGATGGACCCGTATTCAGTGCTAGATGGTCTTCTGATGGTACTAGAGTTTGCCTGGGAGGAGCAGACAAGCAGGTGAAGCTTTTCGACCTCGCCTCACAGCAGACACAGCAGATCGGTGTGCACGATGCACCAGTCAGAGTGGTTCGTAGTGTCTTGTGTGGTCCCACCAACACAGAGGTTGTTGTTTCGGGCTCGTGGGACAAGACTTTGAAGTACTGGGACATGCGGTCACCACAGCCGATCTCCGTGATCCAGTTGCCGGAGCGGGTCTACTGCATGGATCTGTCCCAAAAGCTCTTGGTGGTGGGATGTGCGGAAAGACATGTGTGTGTGATTGACTTGACCAACCCCCAACAGATCTTCAAGCTGGTGATGTCACCGTTGAAGTACCAGACCCGTTCCATCGCGTGTTTCCCGCAAGGAAACGGATATGCCATTGCATCTATTGAGGCGAGATGTGCCATCCAGTATATTGATGATGCCGAACAGCTGAAGTTGGGATTCTCATTTAGATGCCACCGTAAGAACTCCAACGGTTCCCCAGCAAACTCGACTCGTACAACCACAGGAACTTCGGCCGAGACACATCTTTATCCTGTGAATGCCATCTCGTTCCACCCTATTTACGGCACGTTCTCCACCGCCAGTACAGATGGTACGTTCTGCTTCTGGGATAAGGATGCCAAGCAACGTTTGAAGAACTTCCCATATGTTGGAGCGCTGATTACGGCTACGGCGTTCAATAGAAACGGAACCATCTATGCATATGCCAGATCTTACGATTGGTCCCAGGGCTACCAGGCCAACAGACCGGACTATCCTACTGATGTGAAGTTGCATCCACTGAAAGATGAGGAGACCAAGCAGAAGAAGAAGACGACGCGATAAGGGAAGGGAATATAATAGTAAAACATGTATTGTAAGAGTACTGGTGGGGTGGTGTAGAAAAGTGGCGATGTTGATAGAGTAGCACACGACATTGCTGAAATTAATAATTGGAAGCTAAATATGAGAGGGTATAGGTTATAACAACTTTCAGTACTTACTAGAAGCTTGTACCTGAACATTCAAGAACTTCTCTTATTCCCATACTTGGATGTTCCAATTGAGGACGCCCATTGATATCAAATTACGCTCCCAACTATTACGATACCCAACTTCATCAAGGAGCACTTAAATTTAAAAACAATTCAATCAACTAACACTGCAGTTGAATACTACCTCAGAAAGTAACAATTCAATTATCTTCCCACGACTAACAATCACCACATTGTATTGTCTAATGCGGGCCAAAGTTCCGTGACCTGCACTTCGAGGTCCATCTGATTATTTGTATGCGCATCACAGTTATCAAAACAGCCCCAAAACTATTAAAATTTGCAATAATCGTCACCAACACAATACAAGACTCGGAGACAGTCATTTGCATCCTCGCATTAACCAAATCATCTCCTCAGCCCTAGTCAACCCCACAGAACATAAACAACTGTCAACAGATCAGCGATCTTTGAACACACGGCTAAATGCAGTGCTTAAGCCATCCATGACTTCCCCATGAGGATGAACAATCACCCAAAAGCAAAAAGAAAACCAGTACTGCCTACAGGTTGAAAGAATCACCTATCAAAAATAAAACTTCCAAAGAAAAGCCACACAATAGGGAATTTGAACTATTGGAGTTTCCAAACCATTATCAAAACCACCATCAAATCCGATCTCAAAACCATTCTCAAAACCAGTAAAAAAGAACATGGGAAGACTGACCCCATCATGCCGGACATCCGTGCACCAATAATAAATCGCACCCACTCACCACTCGACGAATGGAATCGCGAGTCAAATTTTCATTCCTATACTCACTCTTTCATCCATACATTTTATTCCCAACATATTCATCTAATATCTGCCATGCAAGAGTATCCGGTTCGTTCCATCGTGTCAGAACCGTTTGTCCACCAACTCGAGGTGATCGAAAAGACGTTGATTGAAGTGCGAAACCAGCCATCATCCTACTACAGTCGCCGTAGCAATAGGATGACGGCTACCCAACAGGGTCAGGCATCTGGCCAGTCCAACCCGTACTATAACAAGTACGGCAATTTCTACCAGCAGCACCATCAACAGCAGCAGCAGCAACAGCAACAGCAACAGCAGCAGCAGCAAGTGTCGGACTGGTACCGTAGAGACTACAAGAACAGCATTAACGTTTCCAACATCAACAGTGGGATGGGTGGTACAGGCGTCAGTCTTGGAAGCGGAGTGGGCGGCAACGTAGCTGCCGGTCTTGGACCAAGCGGTGGGTTCTCATCCACTCACTCTAATGAGTCGAGTGGCAGCGTCAACGTTGACTCGGGCATCTCCAGTGTGGGTAGCTTGAACTTGGGAGCTCCGACACATGTGCCTCAGGTTTTCGACGATAAATATGAGGCTCATGGATTTGCCACGTTCGATCCGTTTGAGGCCAAAGACTACACCAAGGGCGGCATGTTCCAGCCCATGTTTAATTCTTCTAATAATATTTTGGGGTCGGGGTTTTCAGGCAACTCCAACATCTGGGGGGACACGAATAAGACCATGGCCAGCGACGCGGCCGTATGGGGTTAGTTTTAAAAGTCCGAGGGGAGGGACACGATTTAAAAAAGTTATCATGGTTTACTTCCTCAATATGTTCGTTTGTTTTTTAAGAATGGGACGTGGGAACAGAGGGTGGAGATGTGGCGAGAGATTTGCGAGTGAGAGCTCAAGCAAAGACGATGTTTATCTAAATAGCGAAGGAGCTTTTGGAGGACACGGTTTGTGAATCTCTTTTTGGACATGCTCCAGGTGTTCCCATATGTATGGCTCGGTCTGGTAAGTACAGGTAGCGACGGTCTGTAACATTTGTATGATTTTGTGTTTTATTGTTGTAGACGATTAGAATTTTTGCACCTTTCAAGTACTCTCTATTTTGTTGTACTTTTTTGTTATTACTAATTTACCCTTTTCTTTTTTGCCAACTGCTACCCTCCTCTCTTCTTCGCTTCTCAGGTGACAGCATCTCACACCACGTGACCGTTATCAATATATATACATGCACACCATATGCTCATACAAAAAGAGCCGAGCTCACCCACTGTTGCACGTGATGTCAGGCACAATGTATGCCCCTAACTAAAAGAAACGTTGACCAACTTGAGGGAAAACCCGTCTTCACCCTTACTCTGGTGTACGGGTGTTGCCATCTTCTCAACTGAGTATTCCGTGTGCTCCCCGGCCATCATCGACTCACACTATCTACATAATTTGAATAGCTTGCCTCCAAATTCGGACTCATTGGCCGAATTTTTACCTTAAAGTCACCTCACATATCCCTCCCCCTTCCCCCCTTTTCAGTATCTCCACCGCCCCCCAGTAACCACCCTCAGATTACCTGCACACCCTTCCCGTTTGGGCAGTCTACCACCATTCTTTTCATCCAGGATTTCCTCTTCCAATCTGTGCTACAAGCATTCTTCACCCATCCCCGTATCCAGCTCCACGATAATACGGCCAGACGCGTGAACGCAAATTGTGTCTCCCCCTCCATCCGCTATCTCCTCGAGTTGCGCATCTTGTGGTGCTGTTTAAGTCCGCTAAACTCATCATCAACAATCCAACTCAAACCACCCATTCTACTGAGCTGTGGTGATCAACATTAGTTTTGCGGTGTGGCCTCGTGTATTATCTATCAGTACTCGTCTTCAGCAAGCCACATCCGCCTCAGTTTAGCAGCAAATCTTCTTTCCTCCTCATTGGTTCCCCACGACATTCCCGTATTGCTACGGCCCTCCATGAGCCACCATAGCACGCCGCATTTGCACAACAAACGAACGCCAGGCATTGTCAGCGAGACGCCGGGAGTCAATCTGGCCGTTGGAGACCTCGACCACCGCGGCAACCACCCCCAGGGCCCGATCGTAATGGATGCTTCCCGTAGTGTTTCTGACACCACGGCTGCCAATGCAAAACAGTTGTTGAACGCATATATTTGCGATTTCCTTGTCAAGAATGCTTTGCCTCAGACTGCAAAGTGCTTTGTCAGTGAGGCTGACATCCCTTCCGTCGTCAACGACCTGTCACATCTGTCCAAGACATCTCCACATTTGGTGAGTAATCTGGGTCTCTTGGATAAGGATGTGGGTGGTCTGGGTGGAACAACTCCACAAACTCCATCTTTGGCCGTTAACCAGATGCTGGATGAGCATAACTTGCCCAATATCTCTTTGCTGATGAATGCTCCCCTGGGTTTTCTCTATGAGTGGTGGCTGGTGTTCTGGGACGTTTTTCAAGCCAAGAGCGATCGCATGTCTTCGCCGTTGGCCACTCAATACTATCAGATGCAGCTTATGAAGCAGAAACAACAGCATGAGATCCAAGGCTTGGACTGGCAGAGCGGAGGACAGGTGCCACTTCAGGGTCAAGTCATGAATCACCCCCACATGGGTATCCCAGGGCAACCTCCGAACCAGGTTTTCAACCAGGTGCCCGGCAGTCAGGGCCAAATGGCTGTGATGGGTCACCCCCAAGGTCAGGTTCCCCAGCCTCCATTTCTGCGGCAGCAGTTTCCCAATGTGGATCCACGTCAGCAACGATATGTAATGCAGATGATGTTGAAGCAACAGCAGCAGCAGCAGCAACAGCAGCAACAGCAACAGCAGCAACAGCCGCCACCTCAACAACCTCAGCAACCTCAGCATCTACAACAGCCTCAGCATCTACAGCAACCACAGTCCACTAATCAAATTCCTGTCAACGCTGGAATGGATCAGTCGTTGAACAATATGGGTATGGGAATGAACTTGCAGCAGCAACAGCAAATGTTTATGCAACAGCAGCAACAGCAGCAGCAGCAACTTCACCAACAACTGCAACATCAACAACAGCAACCTCAACAGCAACAGCAACAGCATCAGCAGCAACAGCGTATTCAGCAACAGGCTCAGACACAAATGAATAATCTCAGACAACAAGCTGCTCGTCAACAAACCGGACCTGCTGCCGCTGCTGCTGCTGCTGTGGCCGTCGCTGCTGCTGCTGCCTCGCAACCACAGTCCAGAGAGAACGGAAGTCCTGTGAATATGAGCATGAACGGGCCCGGTGCACCTCGTATTGCTCAACTGCAACAACAGGCTCAAGTTCAGCAGAATCCACAGGCTCAAGTTCAGCAAAATCCACAGGCTCAGCAGCAGGGCCAGCAAGGTCGCACAGTGAGACCTGTGCAACCAGTCATGGGCGCAATGCAACCATACCCTCAACAGGTCAATGGAGGTGCTATGTCTCCATCATATGTGCAACAACCTGCAAATCATAACATGATTCCTACGAATGGAAATGGTGGACCCACAAGCGGTGCCATTCAGAATATGACCCAAGGTCGTAATTCCAACGCTCTTCAGGATTATCAGATGCAGCTCATGTTGCTAGAAAAGCAGAACAAAAAACGGCTTGATATTGCCCGTGGCAATGGAGCTACTGATATGAACTTGGCTATGCAGCTGAGTCAACAACTGCAAATGCAAATCAAGCAACAGCATCCACCCAAAGCCTCTCCTGCTCCTTCACCAGTGCAGAATAACAAGCCGTCTCCAGGAAATAATGGTGCAAAGTCCAAGAAAGCGCCAGCTGCAAAGCGCAGCCGCAAGTCTAGTGTCGCTAACCTGGGATCTACCCCTCTGAATACTTTTGATGTCAATCAAACGCATCCTAACGGCAGGCCCGCCGCAGGTGCGCCAAAGAAAGAGTATACAACTCCCCTAACTCCGGCCGCAGAGGTTGATTCGAACAAGAAAAAGAGGAAGAGCACAAGTGGAGATTCACCCAAGAAACAGCAGAAAGGCACTGCAGCGGTCAAGAAGGAGAAGCAAGCACCAAAGGCTAAGAAGGAAGAGAACAACAACAACGGTGACGTTGATATCTTTGACAGTGGAAAATTGGAGACTGATGAGGACAAAATGCCACCTCCGTCCGCCGGATACTTTCCTGGCACACTTGGAGCTAATGATAAAATGATCACTGTCGACATGCTCTCAGGTGACGCTTCAGATGGAACCTTTTTCGCTGGTGATGACTTTGAGTTTCCATTTTTTGATGGAAGCGACGGTATGGGCGATAGTATGCCAACCTTCGGATGGAATAATCCTATAGAAGGGGATCGAGGCGCCTGATGTATTCTACGCAATAAGCGGAGTGATGTCAGACAGGTGCTAGATCAAATATTTCACTTCAACACCAGCTGCCTGTTTTATTAGCTATTTTTCTGTTTCCCTGTTACAAATGGGAAACAATTCGTCAAAGTCTATGTCTCTATGGCACCACTTCACAAAATACTTTGAATCATTTCGATAACCACTGTACTATAATATGGACGCTTATTCATAAACTATTGTATTATTCTGTCTTTTCCTTCTCCTCTCCAAACCAAAATGATACGTTAGCCCAAACTGTAAAGAGAGTAGTGACCAAGATCATCACGAGAACTTGTGAACTTTGCTGTGTGGCCGGAAACACGTTCCAGCACCACTCATGGAAGAGGAAGGTTGCCACAGCCAATACGACATTGGTACCCGATGCGTAGAGGAGGAAGGGCAACAGCCAGCAATACCATGAAAGGAATTGGTAGTGTAAAGATCTGGCAAACAATACGCCAATCAAGTTGGTTGTGGTGAAGATGAGAAGGATCAACTTGGGGCCATTAGTAACGTCCAAAAGTAGATTCTTGTTGGAGATCGTCTTAGATGGGTTGAAAACATCTTTAACCAATTGAAGAATGGGCTTACCAGTGATCTTTGGGGATACGAATCTTGTCAAGGTAAAGAATAAAAGAACCACCAAGTGACCTGCGATAAGCGCAATTCCAAACTCGTCTGATAAAAAGGTTTCCTCGGGTACAAACTTCCAGTTCACCGTCCACTTGTAGAGAAATTTTCTGGAGAAATCAAATGCTTTGGAGAGGTATGTCCATCTCAAGTAACGAGCCTCTTCATCCCAGAACAAGGGCAAGAGGAATCTCCAACCTATCATGACTTGAACAACTGGAATTACAGTGAGAACAGCCAAAAGGCGGAAGAAACGTTCACCAACCAAAAAGTAAACTACCACCACAAACGCTGGAAGGTATAAGATTGCGTTCATCTTAACCAGTATAGCCATACTGTAGACGTCAGCTGCGACTCCACACAATAGTGTCATGTGGAAGTCAGAAAGTCTGGAAGACCAGTACGAGCCTTGCTGAAGCAATAAGATTACTGAAATCATAGCCAATGTGGTGAAGCAGTCGTTAAACATACGCAAGACATAAATCGATACCAATCTTCTGCTCGCAAGTAAGAGATAAAGAGTCCATGGAGGAATGCCATCCACCATTGTGTAGACCACACAACTCATCATAACGGTAACAGTGAACAAATAGCCAAAGAAAGCTTGGGCAATTCTCAAGTTGACACCGCCGTCGGTCAACCAGAAGAGAAATTGGTAGACTTGAACATACCCAGCCGGATACACGATTGGACCAGTATCACCAGCGATCAATGAATAATCGAGAGCACCAGCATTAACCAACTCAATCTGTTGCATGTATGTGGAGAAGTCGATTTCTGTGTATTTGACCTTAGCGATGACTATCTTAGTAAGAATCGATGCCAAAGATATCACAAGAGGCACCACCAACCTATTCATGTTCAGGTTGAAAATGAAATTGTTGACTCCCTCATAAATGTCCTTAATTACATTAGTAACGGTGAGCTTGGGCAATTCCTGGACAGCCGGTGGAGACTTTTGTGGGTCTGCCATTTCTTTTGTGATAATGTAGGTGTTTAAGTTTGTGATTTTTTGACTGTTCTACTTCGATTCGCATTAATTGTAGGATGAGGTTGAGATAAGGTCGGGGTAAGAATTATTGTATGAAAAATTGAACTCTCGAAGGATCGATCTTTTAAAAAAAGTGAGCATCTGGAAGAAATATTAGAGAGATTAAAAAATCACAATACAAACCTAAAAAAAACTCCACTCTTAAATAAGATCTACCTTATATGTAATGAAATGTGAACTCCTTAGCTCAGGCCATTGATTCCTCATTACTCTCGTACATGTCATACTTCACTCAATATGGCTGCTGTTATTCTTACGACATCGCGTTTCTATTCCATGCTCTATTAACAACAGAAGTTTACACAGAAGGCTTAGTGGACTTCTTCTTGAATGTTCTCATGACATCTCTCTTTCTTCTCTTACACTCACGTCCAACCTCTCCTCTCACTGACCAAAACCACCGTTCGTAGGCATCTTCTTCACCATGTCCTTCATCACGAATTTCCAGCTCTTTGCCCTCCTCTTCACCGGGCAACCTGATGGTTTCACCAATATGTCCGATTTTGCTTAACTGCGTCTGGGTTTGAAGGAAAGGAGATTCGAAATGTGTCCAGAACAATCCGAATCCACCACGACGAGTAACCTCACTGACAGATTCCTCAAGTTGTTCCTTTTGCTTCAATTTGATCTGCTCAAGCAATTTCTCACGTTCCTCGTCTGCCAACCTTTGTGCATCTTCATCAATATCATCCTCGTCAAGAGCGAGCGTAAAGCCTCCTTGCGTAGATATCTTGTCCTGATTGAACAAAGATCGAAGGGTTTCGGTATCGTTGGAAACTTGGCCAAAAGTGGGCATCAAGTCCTCTTCTTCGCTACTCTGGTCCTCAACATCATCAATTTGTTCAGTGCCGGTACTATCTTTTTCGTCCTTATCTTTCTCGATTTCAATATCATGCTCCTCATCATACTGTTGCTTGATAGCCTCGGTGGAATATTGCTGTCCTAGAGTGTCAAAGTCAAGGTCGTTTCCTTCATCGTCCTCATCATAGTACACTTCTTCAACTGGTCTCTCATGCGATTCCTTGTATGTCTCCAAAAAAGATTTGGCTTGCAGAACATCCTCTATGTCATCTCCATCATCACCAAATTCAACAACTCCCTGCGCTTCGTAATCATATTGTGCAACACTCTTGCGTCCCTTACTGTCATAAGTCACATTTTCCTCCTCTGATTCTTCTTCTATTTCCACAGGCTTGTCAAAGTCGTACTTGGTGAAAAACTTAGCAAGCACTGATGAATTGGTGGCATGCTCGTCGGTATAAGTAGAGCTTTCAGTTACAGATTCTTGAACATTCGCATCATCTTCAGCCATTTCAGCGGTGCTTGCTCCTTCAACTGCTTTCTTGACATGAACTCTCTCCACAATGTGATCGTCTCCACTGTGCCATGCATTATTGTGAAATCTGTATGTGAGGTCTCTGGCCGTTTTGTTCTTTTCCACACCCCAAAGCTTGGTTTTGTAGGATTTAATTTGCTTGAGCTCTCCATTAATGAGCGTACGCATGGTCTGCTGCTTTCGGACGAAGTAGATTTCGGGTCTGGCTGTTTTTCTAATTCTCCCCTTGATCACTTCTCCACCTCCATTGCTTCTGGAGTACTGTTGACTGAATGGACCCCTAGGCACAAGAGTACTTCCATAGGACTTGGCACCAATCAAATCATGCGATGGACTTTTATTTTTCGTGTTTGCACTCGCATTGTTGTGAGTATGTGCTGACATGAAAAAACCAATACTGGAGTTGTTAGGTCCCACAACACTCGTCTTATAAATGGGTGAACTAGTGATGCTATTACTGGAATGAGAAGTCTGCGATTCTTTTATGCGAAGGGATCTGGCACGGGCTATTCCCTCTTGTTTCTCAAGCACTCTCTTGGACGTCTCAGGACGCAGAGAATCTTTCAGCCAGGCTTTCTGGAAGTCTGGCTTAGCCAACGAAATCAGAAGCTTGCGACCCATAAAAAGAATTCCATTGAGAGACAGCTTCAATTTTTCAAACAGTTTTTCAGAGAGTTCGATCTCGACAAATGCAAAGTAAAAATCATTGACTGGTTTTGTATGAAACAGAAGTGATTTGGTGATTGTGCCAAACTTTGCCAAACGGACCTCAAGCAGTGCCGCGTTTTCGGCAAGTTTTGGTGAAATATTGCCTATGTGGATTCTTCGGCTAGATATTTGGTCGGTGGCTTCCATGGTGGCTAGAACTTGCTTAATTATGCAAGTTTGAAAGTTTAAAGATACCGTCCTCTATAGTAGGAGATGAGTAGGTTTTGGTGTACGGGTGTCTACATCAATTGCTTGCCCAGTATCCGATTTCAAGTGACTTTTTGTGGAAACTGTAAAATCTACTTTCAATTTGCTTACATTTAAATTTTCATCCACTCTGAAATTTAGTTTGGTAACAAAAGCCCCTCTTGTATTGGAATAAATAAGCCCTCTAGGTGGCAGCCCACAAATCCTTCAAGCCCATGACCGAGGTAATGACACCGGCAGCACCAACATCGCCCTCGGTGAAGTGCAAGTAGTTCAAAGTATTAAGACAGATGAACAAGTCCAAGGCGTCCCACACCAACTTTCTCTTGGCCTGATAGATCTTGTCGTCAAGTGCCACAATGTCAGTCTTCTCGTCAGCACCTGCCAACTTGGCCCGGGTAATACGGTACGTTCTAATCGAGTTGACCAAACCGGCCACCAAGCCAATACCCCAAAATCTGGATGCCCAGGTGGCGACCGTTGGGAATTTCTTTTTGTCGATAAGTCCCATCATCTTGAACCAGGTGATGGAGTCAAGCGACAAGTAACCGGCGTAACCCAAGTTTCTGATCACAGTGGTGGCCAGCAACACACTATCCGCAAGCTTGTTGTCGTAAGCCTTAGAAGCCGCCTGCAAGTGGTTCAAAGGCTTCAAGAATCTCATACCCTTTCTGATCATGGTGACATGCTGCTTCAAGTCCTTGAACTTCTGCACGGTCTCGAGGGAGAATCCCTGTCTCTGCAAGTAGTAGGACAAGAATCTGGACAAGTACGCCACCAATCTGAAACACTTCTCTCTCTTGGGAGTGGTGTCTATGAACTTGATGAACTTGTTCAATGTGGGGTGGTAGATAAGAGTGTCAGCAACCATGGGGAAATAATTCTAGGGATAAATTTGCAATAGAAAAGGTATTGCAATGATTAAAAAAAAAGAGTTGATGTGATTGGCAAAAGAAAAAAGAAGTAACCAAAGTCACAAGCTAGATGGAGTAGGTTAAGTATTCTGGGGTATGATATTTTCCTCTCAACCGAGGCAACACGCAATTGGGCAAATCTGGGGCATGCCGGAGCGCTTAACCGCATGAGGAAAGTCTAAACGCATCACGGTTTGACCAAAAAACATTGAGGCGGACGGATGGGTGAGTTGCGGTGGTATCAGTCAACAGTGTCTGTAGCATATTTTAAGTTTGTGGCTAGAAGATTTGAAAACTGGCTTGAATTTTCCCCTACCGAGGTATCCAGGTTCTCCACTACTAGAGGTGTACGGGTGCCATAACGGTAGCAATATGGTTCCGGTGATAGGGAAGACAATACAACTACCATCCAGGAGTCTGCTTATGTAAGCAGAATCAATCGAAGAGGAGATGGATAGGTGCATGCTATTTGTTAGTTGGGCATGTGGATGTTGTGATATAATGGTATCAATTTTTCTACTTGAATGCTCATATATTCAAACGGCTTCTCCAGGATATTCGCGGTAGTTCTCTCCTTGATGAGAGGAGGATTAGCAATCTAATGACCTAAGGTGGAGAGATAGAAAGAAATAAAGATAGTAAACATGTAAACAAGAATTGCCAGTAATTTCATCAAGTGCAGCAATTCTTTACTCTTGTTTTTTGATTTAATTATATCCATTGGGTTGTCTATATCTTCCCTTACCAAAACATGCTCTGTGCACGCACATAAACACAAGTTCAACTACTCCATGGATCCACAGCTTCCAAGATCTCCAGAAGCTGCTATGGCTTCCCATGATAATGGAAACGTCACAGAATATGGAACACGGCCGCGCAAGAGCATTCTTAAGCTGCGGGATGGCAACACAATGCCGTTGATCCCTCTCAACGACATCGATGGTCAAGAACCTACCAAAATTGTCAACAGACGAGTTTCTTTCGCTGAGAAAGTCAAGCTCCATCAAATTGACTTGGTGCATGTTTCTCAACTGGAGTGGTCCGATTCAGGTCTGGCCAGCATGGACGATTCTGAGGAAGATATCAGCTTTCTGAAGCTTGAAGCAGATGCTGATCTGATCATCAGCGAGCTTCAACCGGAAGTTCCTCAATTAAGTAGTGACGAAGATGAAGATGGTCAAGATGAGGAGCAGACAATGGAGCTAACTGGCCAGATAATAGCGCTGGAAACACATCACAATCAAACAGAGGAATCAAATCAAACCCCAGAGCCACTTCAAGAACAATCAGGACAACAATACGAAAAACCACAGGATCAACTTCTTAGAGGTCAATCAGAAGAGTCAGCTCATGAACATCCAAACGGAATACGTGGCTCGGAGAAGCCAGAGCTAGAAGAATCGAATCTAGAAGCATTAGACCTACCACAAGAGCCACAAGAGAAGAAGAATCAAAAAGAGCCACAACACAGCGAAAAGGATCTGGTGGAATCACTAGAAGCAAGGTGGGTAGAGGGAGAAGTGGATGAGGCCGATATGGAGCTTACTGAACCCATCAACGTACACGTATCTGAAGATCAAGTTGAAACTCAAGAAAACGAGGAATTCACCATGGATATCACCAAACAATACAGGCACCCTCAGATTGTTGCAGATGCTACAGTGGAGTTGACAATGGAGATTACTAAACAATATGAAGTTCCACAACTCTCCAGTGCATTGGGTAGCGAGGATGAAAGAACCGAGCAACGTCAAAACAAGTCTTCGAGTCCGTTTCAAATTCCTCAGCTCCAACCGCTCACAGACGAGAGCGAGGAGAGCGACAATGATGTTCCAATGGAATTGACCCAACAAATTCCAACGATGAGGGAAGAGTCAATCGTGAAGCACGCCAAGGAAGACTTGGACCTCCAACTAATCGCAAATAGAAATGGTGGGACCGAGACTACGACCGAAACAGACACACATGTGGATCGCCAACTCGGAGATCTCGAGGAAGAAGTGGAAGGCGAAGAAGCCGAAGAAGAAGAGATGGAATTGACTGGAACGATTGGAAGAGCAACAGATAATTCTTCAAAAAGCGCAGCCCCAGTTTCGTACGAAGCTGGTAAACAACTCAAGCCTGAAAGTTCTTCCGTCTCGGATCAAAATAGAGAGAAAGAACCTAGCAGTCCGCCGGGACAAGTGGAAGAGGAATCGCAAAATCTCATTAATGACAATGCTCCACAGGCGCAAGCCAATTCAAACCCCAGCACTCCAAAGTCAAATAGCCTTCCTAATGGAAAGCGCTCCAGGTTGAACGATTTCCAAAATCTGCCAAAGCTCTTGCTTGCAGAAACTGCCAAAACAACCACAATTCCATTGGCAGAGGCGTCTGCGTCAAGTGGCGAAAACGACATCGACATCCCAGTTGTTTCCCTCACCGAATTTTTAACTGAGATTGGCATCAAGTTTTACGATGACTTGGAATTCTCTACAGATATGTCTAACAGATACAGGCTCTCACTCTCCGATGCACACAGCCCATTGACACAAGCGGATTATTATCGAGCAAATATCCAACTTCCAGTGTTGGAAGTTTATGAGCTTTGTTGTAAGGAACTATCTGGAAAGATCAAACAAGGGATGGATTTATTTGATGAACTCAAAACCGCAACTCTACAGAACAATCCAGATATCTTTCGAGAGTACTTCAAGGCGTCTTTTTACGACCAAATGACCATGAAGTCTCGATTTCACACATTGAAAGAGTATACAAGACAGCAAGCAAAGCAGATCTGGTATCAGTGGAGAACAAAACTCATCGAGAACATTATTGATGTCTTGAGAGGAAATTTGGAAATCATACAATCTGATAAATCTACTTTGATAGATCAGATATCTTCACTTGATACCATTTACAGGGACATACAACTGGAGCATCACAGGATTCGGCTCGATATTCTTCAATTCAAGGATATCCAGTCAAGATTCGAGGACTTGGATACGGAACAACTCAAAAACATTAAATCCAAACTCACAGATCTTAACAAACAGCTAATTGACTATAAAGCGAAGATCAAGGAGAAAGAGACGGAATTGAAAGCGTTGCAAAGCAAAATCGAGGATAGAAACACACAGATCAGCAGTCTCAAGTTGCAAATCACTGAATCAGACAATAAACTTCTCAAAACGCGCCCTTTCAACAGCGCTGAAATCGGCGCATTGGAGCTTAAGTCTCTAATATTTCAGGCTGGAGCAGGTTTGGAGTATGTCAAAGTGGTGCAAGAAAAGACAATTGAATTCCGATTCAATTCTATAATCAAAGTCACCGTGAATTTTATGGAACCCGAATTATCACAAAGTATCACCTTTCTGCTTCTTAACGAACCAAAAGAAGAGGTGCTACACAACGAGTTCTTGCTAGTGAATTACTGCCAGAAGCTAGCCGAGCATACAAGCTTCACTAATATCTACGATTCTTTTGTAAGTTTTCGGAGGAAATGGCTCAAAATCACAGAGATCGATCGAGACGTGTACCAAATCTCCGTGAAATATCCTGTGAGGTTCAATTTGAACAGTGACCACATAGATTTTACTTTCCGCTACTACTCATTTGAGCACAAGCAAAGGGCCCAGTGCAACGTGACAATTCCATTAGATACCATCTTGGAGTATCCAAAGAACGTGAAATTCCATGTTACTCCCCACAGACCATCGCAAAGAGACGAGCTCGATATTAGACGTGCAATCACCTCGGGATCCACGAAGTACCATATGTTTCGCAGTTTGCAGGAAGCTAAAATCTGAGAGGATGAATCTGATGACAGCAAGTGATCAAAAAAAAATAGAGATGAACACCATGATACAAACGCTTAATTCAATGAATGAATGAGACAGAACACCAACAAACAATCACTATTTCGAGTATGAGGATGATTTTCTGAAACCCGCATTATTAAAGCTCATCTATCAATTCCCTAAGTAAAATATAGTCACGTGCTGTTCCGGCCGGCCCACCAGGTAAAGCTCCGGCCCACAAGTTAGTAATCTCTTACTTTCACGGACATCAAGATGGCAGCCCAAGAAGCACCGACAGCTGACATAAATCGCCGTCACTCCTCCGAGTCGCCCTTTGACGATAATGCAGTGATCGAATCGCATTACGAGTCGGACAGCGATGATTTGCTGGACGAGGAGCCTGTTAAGAAAGAAAAAAACAGAAGACCTCCAGAAAACAACTTCTCACAGCAAAGATTAAAGGCTGTTAATCCTGTGTTCACTGCAGCAACTGTGATCCCCATGCTTATTCTTTTTGGCATAATATTTGTACCTATCGGAGGAGCCATGTGGTTGGCAGCTCACCGTATCGAGGACTTGATGATTGACTATTCCCATTGTGAAACTTCTGCCTCGCTAGACCACTGGTCACCTATTCCAGACAAATTTGTCAATTACAGATTCAAGAATCTGCCTGTGGTGAAAACTGCGCAGTGGAAGTTAGAGACTGATAACAGCCAGCCATTCGAGGATGAGAGACAGGTGTGCAAGATCCAGTTCCATGTTCCTCACAAAATCAAGGGCCCGCTTTATTTCTTCTACCGGTTGGAGAATTTCCATCAGAATCACAGAAGATACGCCAAATCTTTGTCTGAGGAGCAAATCAAAGGAGATGCCGCATCGGTGAGTACGATTAAGGACACAGTGGGTCTCAATTGCGAGCCTCTATCTGTTAATTCTCAGGGTAAGAGAATTTACCCATGTGGACTTATTGCCAATTCTCTTTTTAATGACACGTATGGGACTACGTTGCTGGCCGTGAATGGGTCGTCGTCATCTTACACCATGACTAAGAAGGGAATTGCGTGGTCGGGCAACAAGAACAGATACAAGAAGACCAAGTACAACTACACAGAGATTGTGCCACCTCCAAATTGGTATAAAATGTATCCAAACGGATACAACTCGACAAATGTTCCAGACATATCTCAGTGGGAAGAATTCCAGAACTGGATGTTCACATCTGCATTCCCAGATTTCAACAAACTCGCAATGAGAAACGACAAGGATGCCATTGAGGAAGGTATTTACGAGGTGACCATTGGGTTGCATTTTCCTGTTTTGCCATACAAAGGTAAGAAACACATTTTCATTTCGCAGAGATCTGCTATTGGGGGCAAGAATTACTTCATGGGATGGTCATGGATTGCTGGCGGAGGAGTTTGTTTGCTTATGGGTGTTGTGTTGTTGGCGGTGAACTTGATCAAGCCCAGGAAGGCAGGCGACAGTAACTTGCTCAGTTGGAACCGAGAAAAGTTTGCCGAGGATGAGAAGGAAGAAGGTGTTGTGGGGCAGTAGAGGGGAAATTGAATTTTGAAGGGATTGGAAAGGATCTTCTCTTCTTTAAAGTATTCTGGGTAAATTCCTTTTCGATTGGAAAACCCCCTTTTTTTTTGGGTCCCTTTCAAATATTTTGTCATATCAATGAAGAAGACAATTATGTAAAAGCAATGTCAAACATTGTAGATCGGAGTGTACAGCGATTACACCGAAAGTAGTGGACTAGACTTGCTCGCAGTGCGGAGGTTCGGGACAATCAAAAAATCCCGAAAAAAGAAATCTCTCAGCCAACCTGTCAAAGAAAGTGAACCATAGACACAAATGGCTTACAACTAAAAATATCCAGCGACGAGGTAGGTCCGAGCCAGCGACTAATCGGATCGGATCGAAACGCTCCATTGTATTCGTCATCTCATCGCATCAGGATCGCGACTTTTCCGATATTCCCGATCTTTCCGATTTTTCCTTCTCGCGGGAAATTCATTCAGTGTTAACTTGAGTGGTTTCTTCCTGTGCTTACTAAAATTACTTTTTCTACCACATTCCAAAGCCTCCATTCCTCGGCACGGCTCCCATCAATACACCTACCTGCACATCATTATGATGGAATTCTGTCTAGCCCCCCGCACAAGTATATATAGGAGGTGGGTTAACCAGGAATTGGGAAATCTTTATTAATTTCCATAGTTCCCTCAACTACACAATTAACTTATAAATCATGACCAAGCAAATCATCGTCGAGAACTCTCCAAGTGGTAAGATCAACCTCAACTTTGGTGAGGCTGACTCCACTTTCAAGATCGTGGACACTGAGCTTCCAGAGTTGAAGCCTTCTCAAGTCAGAGTCAAGGTGTTGTACTTCTCCAACGATCCCACCCAGAGAACCTGGATGGCTGCAAACCAGGATGCTTCCAGATCTTACCAGGCTCCTGTTCTCAAGGGTGACGTCGTTAGATCGCTCGCAATGGCTGAGGTTTTGGAGTCTAAGTCCGACAAGTACCAGAAGGGTGACATTGTCAACGGTATGTTCGGCTGGTCTGAGGAGCTCGTTGTTTCTGAGCAGGCCATCTTCAACAAGATCGATGTCAGCTCCGGCTTGCCATTGCCTCTCTTCCTTTCCAGTCTTGGAATGACTGGATTGACTGCTTACTTCGGTTTGAAGGATGTCGGCCAGTTGAAGGAGGGACAGACTGTATTGATTTCTGCTGCTTCTGGTGCCACTGGTTCCATGGCTGTGCAGCTTGCTAAGCACTACTTTAAGGCCTCTAAGGTCATTGGTATTGCCGGTAGTGAAGAGAAGTGTGAGTGGGTCAAGTCCTTGGGTGCAGACTACTGTGCCAACTACAGAGAAGCTGACTGGAAGCTGAAATTGTCCAAGTACATTGGTACTGACTACGTTGACATTTACTTTGACAGTGTTGGAGGTGACATGTTGAGTTACGCTTTGAGAAAGGTTGCTCAGGGTGGCCGTGTCGTTGCTTGCGGTGCCATTGCTGGTTATAACGACCCATCCAAGTTTGCCGTCACCACATGGCCTGAGATTGTCACCAACAGATTGACCGTTCAAGGTTTCATCGTTATGGACTTTGCTGCCAGATACCCTGAGGCTGTGGCTGCTATCGCCGGAGCTTTGAAGGAGGGTAAGATCAAGGCATCTGAGGGAGCCAGTGTTGTGGACCTCTCCAACGAGAAGTTCCCATTGGAGAAGGTTCCTTCCACTTGGTTCAAGTTGTTCACTGAGGAGAAGCCAGTGGGCAAGTTGATTTCCAAGATTTAAGCATATATCAGGATCATTAGATTCTTGAATGAATTCACGTACTATCATGAAGTTTAGAGTGTAATATTAGTATTTGTATTGTTCGAAGTCTGATGTTGTTCAGATCGTTATCGAAGGAAATTAGAGTCTTGATAGTTTCTCAACTTGAAATTATAGAACACTGTATCAAGAAATTACTCATTGACATGCCATATCATTTTCATTTTAACCTTAGTCGGCAATTTAATATTTCTTGTTTTCAATACAATCTGTTCATTCTATTCACTCTTCCACTACCTGTTCTCTTCGATTAATACATACTACACCGTCTAACTATCTGCACAACACCATCAACAAGTATAAACAGTTGGCCTGCACCAACCACTAAATCTACAAAGTCACCTCTTTTAGCCAAAAACAACGATCTGAAAGTTCAAATATTTATCTGAATATCTCATATAACAGAAACCACATCCAGGTCCATGCTGTAATGTCGCCATCCCTGTCTCGAGCCGCAGATTCCAGGGCTTCCAGACTACACAAATACCAAGAGAAGGAAAGTGAATCTACTTTTGCAGAAGATTTCAATGTGGGCAGCTCCGAATCCCTCGATCTTTCATTTTCCAAGTTCACTAATGTTTCGGGAAGTCATACCGCCAGAACAAAGTCAAATGCATCTCGTGGCTCATCAGCTCCAGATCTGGACAAATTACTTGAAAGAACCCAAACTGCCTATTCTGACCGCATCCATGGATCCAAAATGGAGCCTATTTTTGAAACTTCCAACATGGAAGTGCCCAGATATTCACCCTTTGTCAGTGGGCTTCACCTACCCAAAAGTCGAAACTCAAACCAGATCCAAGGTAGCTTGAATCCAGGCTTTCCTTTGACTCCATCGGACGAAATTCCTCCTCCTATTAACCGCAAAGTTTCAGAGAAAATCTCATTGACTCCAGCACAAAGAGTGGAGAAGCGACTGGGACCCAAATACAAGAACACTTTAGATAATTTCAAATTCTTCGAGAAGGTGGGCCGGGGTGCTTACGCGGATGTTTACCGAGGAGTCAACCTCAAAACCAACCAGGTAGTTGCCATCAAGCAAATAGCACTAGATCCAGGCCACGATCTTCTGGTGCTAATGGGTGAAATTGACCTCTTGAAGATATTAAAGCATGAGAACATTGTTAAGTACCATGGATTTGTGAAGAACCTGACTTCGCTCAATGTTATCTTAGAATATTGCGGCAGAGGTTCTCTTCGCCAACTCTACAAGCAGGCAGGTCACGGATTTGCTGAACCGGAAATTGTAAGCTATGTCAAACCCATTCTCCGGGGTCTTAATTATCTTCACGAACAAGGTGTGGTACATCGCGACGTCAAAGCAGCCAATGTTCTACTAACTGACTCCGGTGAAGTGAAATTGGCGGACTTCGGTGTCGCCACGAAAGTTGCTAATCTGCATAACACAGTAGTTGGAACTCCTAACTGGATGGCCCCAGAATCGGTTCTAGGCGGAGAAGGTATCTGTACGGCCTCAGACATTTGGTCGCTTGGAGCTACCATCATCGAGTTATTTACTACACATCCACCCTACCATGACTTGGTTCCAATGGCAACTCTTCATGCAATCGGTACCGACGAACACCCTCCATTACCGTCTGGGTTATCTCCATTGACAAAAGATTTTCTTTTGGAATGTTTCCAAAAGCAGCCTAGTATTAGAATTAGTGCTAAATTGCTCTTGAGACATAAATGGTTGAGCCAACTGACCCTTGAACCGACAGTCAGAAAGAAGAGCTCACTCCTTGCAAGACTCACTGAATCACAGAATGAAAACGAAAACAATTTTGATCTTGACTTTGCAGAGTCTGAATTACCTGCTCCCTCAAGGTATATATCGCCAACAGAAGTGAGACTTGAGCTCTCCGGCGAGGAACAGACTCCATCGACGCCTGAGAAGAAGTACACAAGAACTGAACTTCTCACCAAATTCACTGATATTGAAGAAGACTTGGAAATTGAAACTCAAACCAACTCTGATGAGTTGAGCCTCAAGCTCGTGATGAGAGAAGATTTCAATCCAGATGTCGGTGTGGACGATGACAATGATCCATTTCTTGAGCTTGATATTGAGAATTTTAATACCAATGAACTTGAGGTGCAAAGCAAAATGGAATTTCTAACAAACAAGCTTGCAAACAGAGTTGCAAATTGTCATACCGGTAGCGAGGAAGTGACCCAGTCATTGGTCAAAATCACAGGAAGAATGTTGCAACTTGTTAAGAAATACCCAAGTCTGCACGATGTCATCATTCGAGAGCATGGTGTTCTCACATTGATGGAACTATTAGAAAACGCTTTAGATCTTGTGGAGGAGCATAAACTTTGGTATCATGTACTTGCGACTTTGAACTACATATTTGCAGATCATGTTCCTCAAATTGAGAACTTTGCCTTACTTGGAGGCATCCCTATGATTACTCAGTTTTCGAAACTTTCTTTCAGTTTGCCAGTTCGGCTGCAAGTGGTTAAGTTTGTCAAGATATTACGCAAATCTGACAAAGCAATGCTCATGTTTGTGTCTTCGGGAGGCTTGCGAGTGTTATCACGGTTCTTGGAAGAAGATTTTGATCTTACTCCCGATTTCCCTCTAGTAGCCATAAACAGTATCCACGAAATCCTTGCAAAGGATTTGACTCGGTTCAAGTCGGATATGTGTCGAATACTTGCAAAGTACGGCGTGGTGTTCTGGCTTGTAGTGCTACTTAATCGATTTGCTCGTTACGCTTCCAACCCAATCTCAGTTGTTCCCACGGAGCACGTTGAGGACACGATTGATAAAATCCTCGGAGTGATCAAATTTTTTGCGCAAGCTGAACCCAAAGTCCGAATCCGCATTTCTAATCCTGATTTGTTCAAGCTTCTCATCAAGGTTTACCCACTGTTGAACTTTTCGAGACAACAGGCAATTCTCAAATTCTTTAGGTCGATATCTTGCATCAACCAGCTTTTGCGCCAGTTGTATTCAGCAGATATTCTTGAGTTCTATGTCAACCTTTTGATGCAATACACTCCATCTACTCCACGATATAAAGAAGTTGTCAATATTGTTTGTCCATCGCTTTACAATTGTTGCTATTTGAATCACAGCAAAGAAACTGAGATCGTGAGACTTGGTGTTGTTCCCGTTCTTAGAGATCTCTCTAAGATCAATCTCCTGTTCCGACAGTTTGTCCTTCCATTAATTTGCGAGTTTGTTTACTGTGATTCTTACGTGAGGCTGGTCCTCATGAGGCACGACGTCCTCAATATATTTTTTAACTTGCTAGTTGACCCATACTGGCATTTCAATGCCATGGACTCCATTTTGCATTGGTGTACCGAGGACCCTAGACTCCACTTACTTGAATCTTCCAAGGCTAGAGATTGTTTGACCAGTGGGTTTTTGATGTCCAAGATCTCTAACATGGAGGCAGCCCTTGACAATTACCTCACGCTTGTGACATCAAATAAAGAGGTCTTGGATCTAATGACTAAGGACTCTATAGTGAGCTCGATACTTACCAAGTTGTCTACTTACAGCAAAAATCCGGCTACCAAGTTGTCATTGCTAAGAATCCTACGCTGTATTGTTGAAAATGCAGTGGAAGGTAATCATTACGAGTCGATGTCAGCACTCAGCAAAGTGTACGACTTCATGAACATGATTCTTACCAACGACTTCTCTGTTTTGGTCCAAGACTTGGCTTCTAAAATCAAGATACTCTTGATGAATCCGGTATACAGAAGGGGCCGAGTTGACATTCTTGACGAGCTTAACTACTCAAGTTAATGTTTTGTGACGGCGGTCTTTCCAGACAAATAAAACAACCCATTAATTTCTAATTTATTTAATTTGTTATAGTAAACTCTTCACGTGCGACCATAGTATCATTCTACTTTGACGATTACATCCAGACATCCCCCATGCACACTGATACCGAGGTTTCAAAATGTGGAGAAATCAACTGGTTTATTCAACATGTCTGGCAAGCACATTTTCTATCCTTCGCCGCGAGTGTCGCAACTAGATGCGTATATACTTGATGGAGAACTATTCTCGTTGCTTAAGCAGCAACTAGCGGATTCTTTCCAACTGCTTTCTGGAAAGTCATGGTCTTATGGTCAGCAACCTGAACTCTGGACTCTAGCTCTCAAATTACTAATTTTCCGGCTTACTACGTACAAGTCGGGCTCAACATACGGGTTGAAACTACAGAACTTGAAGCTCTCAAACTCTTCCACCGGAAGAATCATTGGACGTGGTACCAAACTCTTCATCTTGGGAACTATATTTGGTGATTTCTTGTTCAAAAAATTCCAATCGTATCTCTATTCAATAGAGGGCCCTGTTGTATCTGGTGACTCTGTTTATGAAAAACTTCGAGCTGCCATTATGCGCAATAAGGATGAGATTCTCAAGAAGATTGATGACTCCGTCAAAATATTAGATCTATGTAACTTCGTGGCATTCTTGGTCTATGGCCGTTATCCAACTATTCTTCACCGTATTTTGGGAGTGTCATTGACTCCTATTATCGCCGATTTGTTGAAGTTTGATGCGGATAAAGTGAATTTCGAGTTCCAGAATAGACAGTTGGTGTGGAACGTCATGACAGAATTTCTTGTGTTCATTCTACCTATGCTCCACCTCCGGAAGGTCAAGAGACTGATCCTCAGCATCCTTCCTAACACAAGAAAAGTCGAATACAGATCAACGTCCGAGAAGCCTGTCCAGACTAGGTTTACTACTCTCCCTCTCTCCCAATGTGCAATTTGTATCGAAACCATAGAGAGAAGCGACATCAAGGCTGCCAGCACACATGTGACGAATGCCTTTATAACCAATTGTGGACATATCTTCTGCTACGTATGTCTCGCTACAAGGTTTAATGCCATTGAGAACGGAAATGAGGAAGCCGAAGGATGCCCCAGATGCAGATTGAAATTAGATCATTTTCATCAGTATGGATCCCAGGAGGATGTTGATACTGATGCAATTATGGTGGCATATGAAGACGTTGAAGAAGCATCGGATGACGAGGTCATCGAGAATACTAATGGTGCCGAAGACTTGGAGGACAACCATGAAGAAGACCATCTATTGATCAATGAGAAGGAAGATTTTAGTGAAATGGAAGACTTAGAAGAAGAGGTAGAGGATTATGAAGATGAGGGTGACGATTACGAAGACGAGGATTATGATGATATTGAGGAGTACTAAGTATACTATTCAAGAATGAAATTTTAGTCATTTAGCTTCTCCTTCACCAACTTAGCAAGATCTGTGCTGTATCTTTCGAGAATGTCGTTGTAGGTGCTTATCCCAAGTAATGATAAGATCTCTTCGAGGTCACGTTTTAATGTACTTTTATCATTCTCTGAGAACTGTCCTTTCTGAGCCATTGACTTAATTATGGCCAAATACGCAGTTGAACGTTCCATGGCATCATTCTGGGTAGTAGAATGAGGTGGGCCGAGCACCGGAGGATCTTTTGCTACTCCAAGTCTGGAATTATGAGAATATGGAATGCTTTGCGCCTTCAAGGGTGAATCTGGCCGTGAAGCGCGTGCTGGTGATGATTGTCTTGATAAATTCAACGTTGTAGATGATGACGACGACCTGGGTGTTGCTCCACTTTTCATTGGAGACGAACCTCTTGAGAAAGAATCTTTAGATGGCGATTTGGAGAGACCCCGACTATGCAGCTCTGTAGACTTCTTCTTCGCTTCAATTCTTCGTAACGTTGCACTAGTCAATCTCCTCGTGGGTGATTCAGCTTCATGAATTGAATCTGTTGGAGTGGCAATAGAAGATTTTCTGGGAGACGAGTGCGCTGACAGAAGAGGAGTCGGCAAGATTTTTCTAGCAACTTTAGCATAGAGAGGAGACGAGTCTGGAGTCAATTCTCTAGAACCTTTGTCCTGCTTAGGGCTGAGTACTGTGCTTTCGTGAAGTAAAGACCATTCGAATAAACATCCGTCAGACCCAACAGACGTGAGCACACTATCTTCTTCAAACAAGCCTAATATGGTCTCCGAATGACCCCAGGTAACACGCATATGTTTCCCGGAAATTAGGTGGAAGACTCTGAGTGACTTATCTGAGGAGGAAACGGCAATAAAATTGCCTGGCAATACGGTAAAAGTCTCGACACAGAGGGATTCGTTGGTTTCATCGCTGAATAATTTGAGGGATCTTTTGAATTCAAGTGTCGTGGAGTCATAGATCAGAAGTGTCTTGTCATTCGTAGACACAATGAGAGTAGACTCTGAAACTTTCATAGCAAGCGGAGTAGTCTTGAGTGTAAGAATTTTTTTTTGATAAACAGAAACAGGTTCTCCATCATTTTGCTTCCCATCATCTAGTATCTCATGTACAGATACTGTTCTGTCAGCAGAGCAAATGTATAAGCATGAATTCACAAACGTTGCTGAAATTAAGTTGCCGTTGTGAGTAGGGAGAGTTCTCATCAACTCCCAATTATTTTCATCACAGTAGTATAGCTGGATCATTCGATCTCGAGAAATACTGCAAAGTAATTTCACATCTCCGACCTCGAAGTAAATAATATCGTTAATAGTTGATGAATGTGCCTTTATATTGACAATCGGATTCAGATCTTTGGTAGATATGTCAAGAATGGAGAGCTGGCCGAACTTATCTCCCAAAAATAGAACATCATTCAGTACTTCAACAGCTGTTAACTCATTAGTAATGACATCATACTGTGGTAATGTATGTGAGTAAATCAAGCTCAACTTTTCATTTTTCGGTAACGTGTAGATCTCACCAGAAGTTGAAAAGAACACCAACTTTCGGCCCGCAGTCTTTTTACCTCCAGCAATTGATGCCGTTTTTTGGCCCATGACTGTCTGAGATGATTCGGATTCATAATCGTATACTTTTATTTGTTCTGTCCTTGTAAGGTAAATCAACTTTGTTTCCCATTGATGTGACTTTACCACTGGCCCATACTCTGTTTCACTGCTAGGAGAGATGTTGAGAATAAGAGGCGGGGATTTCATAGGAGATGTTGGAGTTTTAATAAGAAGACCTTCATCTATAGGGCGTAACTCACTCATACTTAACTCTTGAGGTTTCCGCTCATTATCGAAGAACCAAAGTTTTTGTTCCAAGTGATTAAGCACGAGTCCATAAATGCCTTCTGGGTGTAATAACACAGGCATAAATTTGAGAGTACTACCTCGTATCAGGAGTACAAACAATATGTCATTTCCGCGCACTAACAACTCATCAGAGTTGATGGAGAGTACTTCCTGTAAGTTTTGATCCAAGTGCTTCCCGAGCACCACATTTCTACCCTTTAAGATACTCAGCTTCAGCAGACCCAGGGTTGAAGAATCGCAACACCAGACTTTCAAAAACCTAAGCCCAGCGGTGATGATATGGCCATCTCCCGAACCTGAATCATGCCATAACAACGCATTGACCACTGAGGAGCATTTATTTCCAGCTCTTAGCGTAATGGAAAGAGGCGAGAATTTCCAAACATAAAGATAACCATCTGCCAAATTGCCTAGCGAGCAGAATGAACGCAGATCTGGCGAGAATGCGATGCATCTGACTTCGAACGAATGTTCGTATATTATTGCAAACGGAGTATCTGCAGAGTCCCGAGCTAGCGAATAAAGCAAGATTCTAGGTCTGTATCCGGCCTCCCCCACTGCTAACACACGTCCATTTGGTGCCAATGCTAGGCAACTGACGGCTCGAACTCTCAATTTACTTTTCGTTGGCAGAACACCCCCAGCACCGTCTTTATGGTCATTCTTAGATAAGCTCGCTCTCAGTGAGTCCACACCTTCTCCACCATTTCTCTCGTAGATTATTGGCGAGTGTGCAATAGGGTACCCATAAACATCTCTGCGAGTATCTGTATCGGAAGGGGAGTCTGAAAACTGATTATATGAGGAGAAAGACAGGACCGTTTGCGCAGTTTCATTATTTCCATTAGCCACGAAAAACCGCTGTGACTTAACATTCCCTTCTGTGCCAATTGTAGAGACGACCACACCACCTCCAGCAGTATACGCTAATTTATTGTCCACTGCTGCAAATTGAAATGGCGTTTTCGCCGAGGTACCTTTCACGGATTGAAACTGTAAATTAGACAAGCCGCTTTCTGCTTCTGGCATTTTCTCTCCCAAATGAACAACTTTTCGGGTGGATCTGTGAAATGTTTATCTTTTGAGCTATAGTTGATGTTTGCTTGTCTACAGGTCTGGCCCCAGATTCTGAGATGGACTTCTAGCTACTACAGTAGACAATGGCACAGGAGATCGAGCTTTCTATATCAGAAACAAATAAGCTCCGTGCACAACTTGGATTGCCCTTGATTCCAGAACCCGACGGGATAGGCGGCTCACAGAAAGCTGAAGACTATTCTTTTTCCAATGATAGTGCCAACCTACTCCGAAAGTCATTGGGACTTCGACCAAAAGAGTCGCCTGACAACGACATGTTGGAAACGAAAGAGAAGTCACGGAAGCAAGTCGATGATAAGAAGTCTCTAAAGGAAGAAAAATTGTTCTATAAAGACATTGAGTCAACAGAGTCATGGTTAGAGAACATTGGAAAGAAGAGACAAGTGGAGAGGACAGAGACCAAGACGAGCCAACCAGAGAAGTTAGAACAGAAGGCAGAAGACGTCAACCCTGAATTTACTCTCGCACATGCTAATATGATTTTGGAGCTTGGGGACGGAGATATTCTCACACTTGAAGATGGAAGTGTGGTGGATGAAGTTGAAGAGGACATTTTGGTGAATGAGAACATGAAGAAGCTTGCGAAAGAAAAGAAGGATAATCTTGAAAGAAAGAAAATGGGGCAACTAGAGTGTGGCCTGCGGGAAAGTTTTCATGAAGAAGATAATCAACAGAATCCTGAATTCAAACTCCCGTTCGTACAGGGAAAGATTGCCATGTCGGGCGTACCCAGAGAAGGAAAGGCGGCTTCGAGCAGTGGTCTGAACGATGACTGGGACCCCAAAGTCCGGAACCCCGAGGAATTGTACGAAGATGACTTGGAAATCCTTAACATTCGAGATCAAGATCAACGTGATCGGCGCAAGCGGCCGGCCGTCATGAAGAAACTCAAGAAAGTTAAGAAGCCAGCAAAGAAGAGACGGCGTGCCGATGATTTGGTGGAAGTGTCAGAGCCAATGTTCACTGCTGCTTTGGATGTCGAGGAAGACAACGATGACGAACTTGAATTAGTTCTTGCAACCTCGAGAAAGAATAAGCAGAAGCAACGCAAGATGTTGACAGCAGAGGAAATAGCCAACGAGATCAAGCTGCACCTGAGAGCGGATGCGGTAGCTGAGATTGGTGAAGGTTTTGTTTATGACGACACTAAGGAGTTTCTTGATTCGTTGATGCAGAAGAAAGAAGAAGCTACAGAAGATACAAAGCAGCAGCGGCGTGATGAAGAAATAGACAAACTGGATAGCAACAAAGATTCAGAACGCCCAGGAGAATCTATCAGCAATGACTCTCAGAAAGAAGAATCAAAAGAAAAGTCTGAAGAGAAGCTAGAAGCCGACGGGGAGTCTGAAACCAAAGAAAACAGTGAAGAGCCTGAAGAACTGTCTGATCCTGCAAATGTTGACTCCACCGTACCCAAATTCAACACTCTTCTGGATACTCTCAGGTATCTCCGTCAAAACAACCCTACAGAGGAAAACAAATCAGATAGAACCAACAGACAAGCACAGAGAGAAGCAGAATTAGTGCGCATCAAGATCTCCATCGAAGAAAGAATCGTGCGAGAAGAACTACTGAAGGATCATAGCTATATTGGTGCACCAAATGAAGAGAAAGAACAAATTGTTGACCGTGTGCTCAATGATCGACTTGTTGCGAAAGGCGTCATTCCAGAAATGGCCCGTGGGAAGTACTCCCGCTACACGGCTCAGAAAGATCCTCTTTCTTCGTACAATCCACAAGTTAAACTCCGGTACACTGACAGTTCAGGCCAACAACTTGACACCAAGCAGGCATGGAAGGAACTACTGCATAAGTACCATGGGCTGGAGCCAAAGCATAAGAAGCAAAAAAGCAAACCTCAGAAAACTAACGAGAAGGTTATCGGATGAGGCAATTCAAATTCCCAAGAAAACAAGAGATATTTTGAGATCCTTGGGTTGAATTCTGTTCCTCCAATTGGAATTTGCCTCTTAAGTTTACAATTCTTCCTTCGAGAAAAATTCTTGTCTTCGCAGATCTGTTATCTTCTCCTCACCATGCAGAAAAGATGAATACTACTGCGAGCCACATACAGTATGCTGGTGTACCCCAAAGCTAGTTGGCTAGCTGTATTGCAATCAAACATCGTTACATAAGATAAATTTGAAGACATCATGTTTCCTGGCTGTTTGGCTGACGCCTTTCGTTATTCGCTGCAAAGCTGTCATATACCATGCAGCCAAGGCGATCCCTACCTGTCAAGTCCGTCATCGGACGATGTACTGTATACATGATCAGATGTTTAAGATAATTTCCTTCACTTAGTAATGGATCCAACCTTCTCTTCAGAATTTACATCTATTCCTTTTTCTGTCCTGTTCCCATACACAAACTAATTTGTCCCATCCCGCCCACAAATGACTTCCCATGCAACATTGGAGGTCTTGGGAATGACCTGTGCTGCATGTTCAGCTTCTGTTACCGAAGCTCTACAGAAGGTCTCCAATGTCTCACTGGCCACTGTCTCCCTCTTAACCAACGAGGCCAGCGTCACATTCCTGGCACCAACGACGCCACAAATGCTTGTTGATGCTATTGATGACTGTGGCTTTGATTCCCTGGTTGTCTCATGCACTCAGGAGGCCGTCTCCAAGACTATAGTCTCCATCTCCGGGATGACCTGTGCCGCATGTTCCGGAAGCATTACTGATGCTCTCATGGCTGTGGACGGCATTCATGATGCTTCAGTATCGCTCTTGACGAGTTCTGCTGAGATATCTCACTCTCTGGCCGTTTCCACGGACCAAATCATCTCCACCATTGAAGACTGTGGATTCGATGCGGTACTTGAGTCTACACTGGGGCTGCAGCTGAGAACACTCCATACCAATTTTATCGTCAAGGGAATGACGTGTGGTGCGTGTCTGGCCTCGGTGACTGAAGCTTTGGAAAAAATTCCTGGTGTTATTCAGGCATCGGTGTCTCAAATCACCCTGTCGGCTGCAGTCGACCATGATTCTACTGCTCTGCCCGAGCAACTTCGGGAAGTAATTGAGGACTGTGGTTTCGAAGCTTCCATTGTTAAATCTGCACTTGTTTCTGTTTCCCAGGAAGATTCCAATCAAGATCTCGTTTTCCAAGTGTACGGAATCGATGAGTCCACTGAGCTTTCATCCTTCCAGTACAACGTCGAAGCTGTGCTTAATAGTTTAGCTGGTGTTGATGAATCGCATTTTGTTTTCAAAGGAGAATTGGATGGCCAAGACCTTTCAGAATCCTCTTATGCTGACTTTCAGCGTGAAAGTCTTATTGACGAGCTTCATGTTACACTTAATACCAATTTGACCGGTATCCGGTCACTTGTGGATGCTTTGAATGCAATTGACTCGCGTTACCAATTTGTCATTCTTAATTCTGTTGATCAGTCTCTTACTTCCCAATTGAAGTTGCTCTCCAAAACAAAGGATATTCAGTATTGGCGGTCAACTTTCTTTGGTTCGCTCATATTCGGCATTCCTGTTCTAGTACTCTCGTTGACCGATCATACTAAATTCTGGAGAAATCTCACCATCATGCATGGCCTTTACTGGGTTTCTGTTCTTGAATTTGCATTGACGACTCATATCTTGTTCAACCTTGGCTCGGTATTCTTCAAAAAGTTTGGTGTTTTTCTTCGTCATAAAGGAAAAAACGCAAATATGGATGTTTTGGTCTGCATTTCTAGTCTGATTTCGTATACATTTTCTGTATACTCCATCTTCCTCAGTGTTTGGACTGGCCAGACATTGAAACCTCCAAAGGTATTATTTGAAACGGTTGCCATGCTCGTCTCTTTTGTTTCATTTGGCAAATGGATTGAAAACAAAGCCAAGGGGGCCACTTCTACAGCATTGTCCAGACTCATGCAGTTGACTCCCACCACATGCCTGATTGTTGTTGATGAGACAAAATTCGACGCCTTGATGAAGTCCCAAATGAACGAAAAGACTGCTTCCATTCTGGAGCTTCAAACGAGAGACATCGTTATTGACTTGTTACAGACTGATGATATTGCCGTCGTTTTGCCAGGAGGAAAGATTCCAGCAGATGGAATTATCGAGTATGGAAGCACTGAAGTTGATGAGTCCATTATCACTGGAGAATCCTTGCCTGTTTCCAAGTCTACTGGTGATGCCGTTATCGGCGGTTCCATTAATGGGCCACATTTAATTTACATGAGGGTAACTGGAGCCGGCAAGAATTCTCAATTGCATCAAATTATTGACATTGTAAAGAATTCGCAGGTCAAGAAAGCTCCTGTCCAGAGATTTGCTGACTACATTGCTGCAAGATTTGTTGCAGCTGTTTTAATCTTATCTTTGCTTACCCTCATTGTTTGGGTGGCTATTTGTCTGCATGTTCTTGAGGAAATGCTTCCAAGGGCTTTCCAGAAAGAAGAAAACGGTAAGTACTTTGTGTGCTTAAAATTGGCTATCTCGGTTGTTGTTGTTGCTTGCCCATGTGCTTTGGGATTGGCAGCACCAACTGCAGTTATGGTTGGTACTGGTGTGGGTGCTCAACATGGAGCATTAATCAAGGGCGGTGACATTTTAGAGAAGGCAAGTGGTGTTAATGTGATCTTATTTGATAAGACAGGTACCTTGACGACAGGTGACATGAGTGTGGTTAACTTCAAAAACATAGAAGGCAGTAAAATCTCTAATGAAGTTTGGTGGAACTTGATTGGATCAACTGAGGTTAACTCTGAGCATCCAACTGGACGGGCATTGGTAAAGTTTTCAAAGGAGCATCTTGGCTTAAGGTTTGAAGACGATACTTTCGATTCACGGATAAGCGATTTTGAAGTCTTAATGGGTTTGGGTGTCAAGGCAAATGTCGCAATCAATAATACTACTTATCGTGTGTGCATTGGAAACACAAAGATGGTTGTCAAGGAATACCCAGGGGCTCGTTCCGCTTTGTCAATTGAACTTGCGAACGGTTTGTCTAAATCAAATCTGACTGTTGTGCATGTCATAATTGATGAAAAATACTGTGGATTCTTGGAACTCTCCGACACCATTAAGCCCAATGCACGTGAGGTCATTGATTACTTACAACGTGTCGAACATTACCAAGTTGGAATTGTCACTGGAGACAATAAAGCCGTTGCAGAAACGATCGGAGCAAAGTTGGGAGTACCCAAGGGGAATATCTTCAGTGAAGTGTCACCTGTGGACAAAGACAAGGTTATAGTAGATATGAGACAAAGATATGGAGGTGAAGAGAATATATCCATTGCCTTTGTTGGAGATGGTATTAACGACGCCCCAGCCTTGGTGCAGGCAGACATTGGCATGGCCATTAGCACGGGAACGGATATCGCTATTGATTCTGCTGAAGTCGTGCTAATGAGCTCATCCAGTGGCCACAAGAATGACTTAGCAGGTGTTATTACTGCCCTCCAGGTCTCGGCAGCTACATTCCGCAAGATCAAATGGAATTTTGTGTGTGCAACTGTCTACAATTTAGTTATGATGCCTTTTGCTATGGGATGTTTCCTTCCGTTTGACTTGATGATTTCTCCACCTTTGGCTGCGGCAACTATGGCATGCAGTTCTGTGAGTGTTGTTGTTAACTCGTTGATGTTGAAGAACTGGAATCAGCCTAACATTGTGGGTGCTCTGCAAACTCTCGGTTTCCACGAAGAGGAAGTTGGAGAGAGACAATTCTCATTGAAGAATGGAACGCTAGCAGAGTTTAATGGCATCAAGAGAGGAAGTTTTTCAAGGCGGCTCAGGAAATTTGGTGTTCCATCAGTCTTCAAACGGAAAGTCCAGGTGAGAGGAGCAAGTCCAGAGTATGAGATGTTGGCGTCAGGTTCACCATAAAAATGTAAATAGAAAGGTATAAAGGAGGGACAACGGAATACATTTGAACTATAGTTTTGTCTTGCATAGCCATGAGATTCTTATTCATTGTCTGGTTACTCAGTGTAAGTGTCTGGGCCCTTGCCGTCCAAAAAGAGTTCCAATCACCTAAGTACCAGTTGAGTGCCAGAGACGACACCGTCAGGCAGCTCAAGGTTGCGAAGGATATTTTAGGAGCACTTAAGAAGTTGACAGGTAAGGATTCCAGTGAAGATGAGTGCGATTCGCAGCCACTTGAGGATGATGCAGATAAATCCATCAACCAGGAAACTCCAGCATCAGTACCAGTTGCACCAATTCCTACTTCTGCTCCTCCTACTTCTGAACCTACTAAACCAGCACCCGGTCCTAAAAGTTCCCAATCACCAAAAAGTTCTCCCAAACAAAAAGCTAAATTGGCAGCTGCTTCGGCTAAAGTTAAGTTTTTGGATTTTATTAAAGCCAAGATTGCTGGCCTTTTGTCCAAAGCTAAGCTGGCTGCCAAAGCCATGGTACAGAAGAAAGTGAACAAAGTCAAAGAGGCTGCCGTCCATAAGCTTTCACCTCCAGCCAAAAGAGAATTGAGTGAATGGGCCGACTTGGAAAAAAGTTTGGAGTCCAACATTACAAATTTTCAATCGAACACTTCAAGCGCATTAGCCACCATGGATTCAAGTGTTGCAGATACCTTAGATTCCAGAGGGTTGGAAGCCAGAACTACTACTGAGGACGTGATGACACAAGTGTTTGTCGCACTCAAAAGGTCAGGACTCATTAACTACGTGATTCGTCTGTCACTTACTGACGAAGAGGTGAGGGCAGGAGTGGCTGACATCACCATTGAGTTGATTCGCGCAGATGTCATTCCGTACAATGAAGTTTTCCGCGCATTGCAGGAGTCGGGGTTGGCATTGGATGTGGTGAGATTTTCGCTTACAGATTCTGATACACGCCTGGGACTTGTGCAGTTGGTGATGGAGTTGGTTCCACAGTTGGTGGAGATATGCTCGCCTTTTGCACTTTCACAGGCGGACTTTTCTGGTTTTGCCGCCGTGAGTTCTGCAAGTGTTGAAGTTTCGCCTCTGTCGTTAGCCGAGCCAACGTCATCTTAACTTTATTGTTTATTATTGTTTTTGACTTTTTAAGAATTGTAGATAAGAGGAGGGTTTAGTTGAGGTTGAATTGACAATACCAATGATCTTCGATAGGAACTTAGGATGATTGGTGAATGCATCATGGCCAAATTTGGATAAAGCCATCTTAATTTGGTAATAATTTAAAACACATGCAATAAAGATTGATCCATGTGATGGATTCCGAAGATAAGGAGAACAAAAAAAAAAAAATCTTATGCACAATCAGTGCGAATTCTACATCCAATTAAAAAGATTATTATATATTCAATAATACACCAAGAAATGAACCGCATTGACTATGTTGCTTACAAAGCCAACAAAGCACCAGCAGCCAAAGCAACGGCACCAGCAGCGAACTGCTTGTTAGCAGCACCCTCCCAAGTGGAGACGTTGGCCTTGGTCAAAGGACAGTTAGTGACCTCTGGGCCACAAGAGGTGATGGTAACCAAAGTGGAGGAGACATCGGTCTCAGTGGTGACGTTCAAAGCAGAAACGGAGGCGACAGCGGCAGCGACGATAGCGACGGTAGAGAATTGCATTGTTGAGCGAGAGACTAAAGTTTGAATTGATTGATAATGAGAAAAAAAAAGAGATCCACTGTGGATTTCGTATTATTATATAGTGACTCTGAAGATGATTGTAAGGCGGTTGCAACGAGTAACTGCTATTCTCTTATCACAAAAGAAATGTGCATGCAGCCCGGCTATCCAAATTGAGCACTGCCAGTACTGGTTCTGGATGGCTGACAACCCGAAAGGGGACGAGGTCGCATTGTTCCAAAACTTCATGCAGGCCGCGTGTTTTGCACTTCCTCCAGTTTACAAGTTTCACTTAGTTCAGGTAAAACTGAGAACTGGAATATTGGAACTTTTCACGCTCACCTGACATTTATCCCGCCCCATCTCAGATCTGTTTTTGTGTTGTTGCCCGTTTACCTGTATGGTCTGACCTAATCCTGGTGCAATTAGATCTCTCCCCATTATACATAGAATCTAAGTCAAGAGTAAAAACGTTGTTACAATCTTCTATTTTGCATGCAAGCTGAGCTTGAGAAATCAAGCTGGATCAGAAAATTGCCAAATGCACCAGCATCCAGGTCCACCTGTCAGAATCTCATAGTTCATCTTAATTCTATTTTCTGCGCTTGCAAATCTGCTATTTCCGCCATTTTCATCGTTTTTCTCTGTATTCATGCAGGATGGTTGCGGGCAGACCTTTTTTTATCTGCTGGTGTATACTGACTTAGGCAAATGCTGCTCTGGAGTTCACATTCTTGCGAGTATACCAGCTGACAAAATCTTTAATGGACATACGGATCCTGCGGTTATCTTTGTTTGGAAGTGCAACAGCAGTGGCGTTCATGAGCTTCTGAACCTCCTTTTCACTAACATTAGGAAGCGCACTTACTGCTTGGTGCAACCAAGACAAAGCCTTTTCCATATCTGGTGTAACAGTTAAAAGCTTTAGAAGAAGATCGTTTCCGTCAGGGTCGTTATAAAACTTAAAAATGAGTCCGTTGACAACAGCAGTGACCAATTTTTGACCGTTATTCTCGGCCATAAGAAATTGTCTAACATACTGCTGAACTTCCGCTGGGTCTCCTTCGTAGAATGAAATGGGTGGGTACTGAGAACCCCACGACAAGTAATCGACGAAAAAATGCACACATGCCATTAATGGGTTATGCTCTTCACTAGTAGTGAGGGAGGTAATTCCCGATTCAAGTATTGAGCTCATGAGCTGGCCATTTCCTGCCACCTTAGCAGGAAAGTACATGAGTAAGTCATTTGCCATGTTAAAAAAGTCCTCGATAACATCGGGAATGTCACGGATATCCAATTCAGTATTAGACTTGAGCAACTCAAAGAAAAGAGCACTTTGTGACAAGCCAAACTGGTAAACTGCATTTTGTGTTTGTCCAGTACTGACTTCGTCACCAAACTCCCTTATTACAACTCCAGTAACCCAAAGATAGCATCCGAAATAGGTTTCTCTGAATCCTTCATGAAGTAAATCAGTGAGCTGGGGAAGAAGAGGTGTAAGGAATACACTGCATCCTTGTATCACGTTCTTGAATATCTTAACAAAGTGCTCACTAACCTTGAGAGATTTCTGGAATTTCTGGAGAATCTGCGAAAGCAATGGATACAACTTGTCAATAAAATAATTGGCCACGGGAAACTGAGGCTCTTCGAAGCTCTGACAGCGCAAGATATTAAAAAAGATGCTTAGCACTTCAGCTTCGTCATGCAATGCACTAGTAATAGAATCATCCTGTAGAGATCCGTTTTGACTTAGTTGGGTCAATCGAGAAACTGTGGGGGCCAAGAAGGTCTCAGCTGCTTTGTATTGCTCAGAATCCGGTAAATCCTTGATAACATGAGCCAAGCCATTCACCAAATCGTACGTGGACTTGACATCGAGGTGGCTTTGAACTTGCTGGTAAACCATGAATAATTGATCCAAGTAGTTAACAAGCAAAGATGAACAGTCCTGACAGAAGTACATGAGGGCTTGAGACGTGGCGCTGAAAATATCACGTTCAGTTTGAGTAGCACTCTCAAAACCTTTGATGATGTAGTTAAGCTGAACCTCCAAGTACTCAGGATGCTTTGCAGTCCACTCCGAGTAACGGCCCAAAACCAATGTGGTAGCATATCTGATTTTTGGATGCTCGGGAAGTTGCACGAGCATATTCATAATTACGGGCAAGATGGTGTTCTCCTTGGGTGACACCTCTTTGGCCATAACTCTCATACTGAATAAAGGTGCTTCTAAGAGCTGCCACTGTGCCAGCTGTTGAGAGAGAAAGGTCTGAACTTGTTGGAATGGAACGTTTAATGCCTTTTGAGATCCAACAACGGCACAGCAATCTTTCAACACGTCACCCATTTCGTATCTGAAATCCTTGAATTTATCTTCCTGTTCGCGGTCACCGTGGAATAAGTCGGTATCGTCCTGGTCAAGTGGGTAACAGAGATGTTTGATGATGACCGAGATCAACTCTAAGTATATATCCAGAAGCACCTTCTTCAGGCTTTCAAATCGAGGCAACGTGAGCATCTGCTTGAGTTGGTACCAGAAAAAGAATGTATACTTCACCACGTCTAAGTCTTCATCGTATTTTGAACACTCTAAGATGATGGCGACTAAAGGTTTGAAGTGTTCGGCATTCTTAGCAATAAGAACATTCCAGGCTTCTCCTGCTTCCACATAAAGCTTCGTGAGAGCACTGACAATCTCTGGATCTTGCAACCTCTCGGGGTGGGAAGTATAAAACTCGTGTACCTGCAAGAGCTGCTTGTACAATGCATCTATGAGGTGATAGTTATCAATGTCTCTTGTTTCCTTGAGAACAGAGCAGAGGCACTCAGAAGCTTTTTCGAACAAATCTTCATCCATCAAAGACTTGAAAATCAAGCTAGCTAGCGAGTCAATGGTTAACATGCTCTCGATGGGACACTCTTTGACCCAGCTATTCAAACACTCGAGAAGCAAACCATTGGTGACAGTGCCCAGTTCGGACAAATTCTTTAACATCAGAAGGACATGCGGAACGTTATCGGAAATAAGCAACTGCGTGCGTGCGTTGAATTCGTCGTCGGTCAATGGAGTTTTGTTCAGCTCAGTAAGCTCTTCGGGTAAGATCTTAAGGAATTCCAACAATGCAGGCAAAAGTTCGGGAGACGACGAAAGTTGTGAGGTAATATCGCCCATGGGATTTCCCCACTGCAAGAATTGGAGGGCTAACTGGCAGAGAGCCAAAGATAGTTGCGTTCTGATCAACTTATCTTTGGATGCATAGGTAATGAGAAGATCAAGCATAGAGTTTTTCAACTGCAATACCGCCTCTTCAGGAAGTTGCAGCAAGTCAAACGTGGCTTTCGATCTGAGTGTCTGAGAGGCAAACATTCGGAATTCAAGAGGTTGGGATGGATCAGACAAAAGTGTGTGTGATACTTCCCATGCCTCGGGGGATTTCTGAAACAGCTCCAAGAAGTTAGTGGCCAACTTCTTTTCGTCTTGACCTGCTGTGGGCGAGTACATGGCGGAGAGCGCCAGTTTCACGTTATCCATGATGGTGGAGTCGATGGAGGTTTTGTGGGTCAGGTTAGGTTCTATCAGATCGATAATTTTGCATAGTGGTTCGCACACGACCGGTTCAGTAGAGACCAGCGACAATAATATTATGTCAAGTTCGGGGATAACTCGAAGACTGACATTCAGAATAAAAGAATTCCCTTTGGTGGTTAGTGTAGTTCATAAAATAGTGTTGTTGGTGATGTCTATGAGATGCGATGGGTGTAATTTTAACAAAATGCCCGCACGAGTGGGAAACCCGGTAGGGGGAATGCGAAGGGATGAAATTAAAGTCAAGAAAGATATCAATGCTTTTATTTATCAAAATGTCATTTTTATAGTGGGGGAATTCGTGCTTTTGTTGTTGTGGTTATGGTATGGACTGCACATAATCATACGTTTGGAAAGTCAAGTCTTCAGTATGGGGAAATATACTTATTCAAAGAACCGATAGAGTTTATAGAAATGTCAAATTAACATTGTGGAATACATTGATAAATCATCCATATCAGTCAATTTATTACTTTTTCTCATTTTCTTTCTCAATCCTCCCATTCTTTCACCTCTCTTTCTTATTGTTGGAGTCACCTACCCCATCGCTTTAATTCCTGGCACGTGACAAGAAAGGAGAATCGAATCTGAAACACACCAAATGAAGATACTCTTGCACCAAATCAAAAGAAAGTAATTAAAAAAAAATCAAATCAAATACTCGCATAGAAGTGACAGTGGCAAGTACAATCTCAGCGTGATATTGATCGTTTGCAGACGCATTTCCCTTTGAGCTAAAGCCTCACATTTTCCGGCAAGTAACATCGTGTCGGAGTCGCGCTACCTCCATCGCCAAAATATAATTTATTATTAGGTCAACTTCCACTCTTTACTTTTAGCATCAGCATGCCCAGACCCATCGTTATCTCTGGACCTTCGGGTACCGGTAAGTCCACTCTTTTGAAGAAGTTGTTGGCTGAGTTCCCAGACAAGTTCGGCTTCTCTGTCTCCAACACCACCAGAAACCCTAGAGATGGTGAGAAGAACGGTGTGGACTACCATTTCACCAAAGTGGAAGACTTCAAGAAGATGATCGAGCAGAAGCAGTTCATTGAATGGGCACAGTTCTCCGGTAACTACTACGGAACTTCCATCAAGGCTGTGGAGGACGTTTCCAAGCTCGACCGTATCTGCATTTTGGACATTGATATGCAAGGTGTCAAGTCTGTCAAGGAGACGAATTTGAACGCTAGATACTTGTTCTTGAGTCCTCCTCTGATTGATGAGTTGAAGGGTAGATTGGTTGGCCGTGGTACCGAGACTGAAGACTCCATTGCTAAGAGAATTGCTGCTGCAGCTGCTGAGATGGAGTATGCTGAGACCGGTGCACACGACAAGATTGTTGTCAACGACGATTTGGAGAAGGCTTACAAGGAGTTCAAGGAGTTCATTTTGGCTGAAGAGTAAGTATCACAATATATTAGAAACTGTAGAGAATGTAGACTAGCAACGAGGCTAGTCGAGAGAGAGATATAGAATCCAGATGAATTAGATTACAAGCCTGAGGGGAGCAGGTCGTAATGAATAAGACAAATCTGAGAACAGATGGACGTACTAATGTGTGGTGGGAGGTTCTGGACAGTGGAGATCAATCGAACGATCCATTGGTTATGAACAAGCAGGAATTGAGGAATTGTCACCACACTGACGCTGTAAGCGCAAAATTTTAGCTGGGATAAAGAATGTCCTCTGTGGCATTGTCCTCTGTAGCTACCGTTGAAGAAAATAATAATGAAACATCTCAGGTAATACGGTTAAGAATCATCGAATCCATTGTACTAATAACGTCCTAAATCACTGTTGTGCGAAAGTGGTTACATAGCCAAAACAAATTATAATACACAAATCACATCTATTAATGCTTATACCAGTTACAAATTACATGCTGACATCGATATCAAAGATGAAAACCCAAAGCCATGTCGAGAAAAGAGAAAAATACAGTCTCGATCCCAGTACTATTTTCTTAATACTATGAACTACTTTTCCTTGTTCTCGTATTGATTTTCCTCCCCAGTATGCAACGGCTTCACAGAAAATAATCCTCATTGGACCCACGTTGCATTGTCAAGAAAGAGGAGCCATGGTTTGGAACGCTTCCTAGGGTAACATCGTATGTATATTGATTTAATCAACACCATGTAATATGTTGGAGCTTTCTACCCCCAAATTTCCTAGGTTCCTTTATCACTAGATCAATTACTGCGAATACCCTACGAAAAGTTCGTAATCCAAGTTTGTCTGTTCCAAAATACGAATCCAAGTCCATCACTGCCCATATTTTTTTGCATGCTTTGCCACCATACGAGTGAATATGCCTAGCATGAGTCATAAATCCTATATTGTTTTAGGTATGGCCACATCCTGGAGCTAGTGACAAATGGCCAGATCCGGTGCTGATGTGGGAAAACCAAAAGTCTAACTGGCAACATCGCATTTGTCATTGGACATTCACCATATAACTAGACATATTTTCCATAACTTTGCTTGCGTTTATTACTAATTGTAACAGTTCCACATTTTCTTCTAGTTCCACTATTTCGTATTTTTTTTTTCTGATTCAGCTGTCTTGCTTTTATCTACTCTTTCTACTATTTCATCATGTCACCTGCGCACATTGAGGGCCTACACCTAGCCTCCTGCACTGATTCCTTATACCAAGTCACACTGGCCTCCAAGACTTCATCCGGAACTTTGTTCCTGGCTTGGTATCATGCACCTAGGTCACGAGGATTCTGATCCAATCATCATCAGCCAGCCGTGCGTGCCACGGTCACCTTCCCAGTGCCCCGTACTTATCATAGCTTCGCCACAGGGTGACATTCTTCCCTGCACGAGCAACAAAAAAAAAATCTCATAGACCCTCATTAGGAATTCATCACTTTTTCTTCTTTTTCTCGTTATTCCCACGGTTATCACTTTTTATTTATTTTTCTTCTTTTACTTCTTCTTATTTATTATGGCCGAGTCCCACAAGAAAAGGACGCTATCCATATCGAAGCTCTCCAGGCTTTTTGGCCTGTCGTCGAATGTCCTGCAGTTGACTGAAGCAAAGCTGAAGAATAATGTTACTTTGGATTCTCTTCAAGCCAACGCTTACAAATCCCTGGATGTGGTAAAGTCGGCTTCCAAGAGCACGGCCGCTGCATTGTCACCCCAGATCAGCCCCAGTGTGGCCCAGAACGGCACTTATGACGCTGACAAGGACGATGATGTGCTTTTTCCTTTACCAAATGATCTTTCCCGAACAGCATCGCCTGTGGGCGGCAATACGGCGGGAACTTCGCTATCTCCCATGGTCTCGGCGCTTCTGATGGATTTGCAGCATCCTCAGCCACTATCGATATTCGGCTCAGGTACTGGATCCCAGGGATCGGGCTCTAAGACTCCTGCCAGTCCAGGTGAAAACGGTAACCTCGTTGCCCCCGTACGCTCTCCTTCTGTTTCACGACTGCTGTCGGTGACTAGCCACACTACAAAACGTAAGAATACCGTGAGTGCATCTGGATCAGCGCCAGCGGTCACTCTCAAACAATCATCCAAACTGACCCCCGTTTCCAGGGCTTCGTCAGTGAAGAAGGCAACTTCTCCTGTGGGTGGTACGCTATCTCCTTCGGCGTCTTCCACGCACCTTCCAACGATAGCACAAAAGCCTCGCTTCAAGATGTTTGAAGATGGCTCACATGAACATAACCTACGAGCTGCAAAGCGCCAGGAAAAGTTGACCAATATGTTGAAGGATCTCTTGGGCGCCAAAAAACTCCGTAGTGAAGCCAAGTCCGCAGTCCCCAATATCTTACTGCCTGGAGGAGCCGACAAGAGCCAACCCGAGAAGCCCCCTACACTTTTTGCAGGCTTGGTTTCTCAAGTGAAGAACAACACTTCGCCTTATCACGGTGAAGAACTTCTCGATCCCATGAACAAGCAGGACTCGCGTTCGTTTGTGGAAAAGTACGGCCGCTGCCAGGAAGTCATTGGACGCGGTTCGTTTGGAGTTGTACGGATCTCGCATAAGAAAGACGGAAACACACATGAAGAGGTGCTTTACGCGGTTAAGGAATTCAAGAGAAGACCGTCTGAGTCTGAAAAGAAGTACTCAAGAAGATTGACTTCGGAATTCTGCATTTCATCGTCGCTCAAACACATGAATATCATTGATACTTTGGACTTATTGAGAGATGCGAAGGGCGACTACTGTGAGGTCATGGAGTTCTGCTCCGGTGGAGATTTGTACACCTTGATTATTGCCGCAGGTAAGTTAGAGTACGCTGAAGCAGACTGTTTTTTCAAGCAGCTTATCAGAGGTGTTAACTACATGCATGATATGGGAGTGGCTCATCGTGACTTGAAGCCGGAGAACTTGCTTCTCACCCAGCAGGGTGTGTTGAAAATCACCGATTTCGGAAACGGAGAGTGCTTCAAGATGGCTTGGGAGAAAGATATTCAGCTCAGTGAGGGAATTTGCGGGTCTAGTCCATACATTGCACCAGAGGAGTTCACTCAAGAGGCGTTTGACCCTCGGTGCGTAGATATCTGGTCTTGTGGAGTGATCTACATGGCTATGAGAACAGGTCGTCAACTTTGGCAGTTGGCAGACCCTAAGAGGGATGAGTTTTTCGAAGAATACCTCGTCAAGCGGAAGGACGCCTCGGGCTACGAGCCTATTGAGTCGTTAAAACGTGCACGGTGCCGTAACGTGATCTATTCAATTCTCGATCCAATTCCAGATAGACGTATTAATGGAAAGCAGATATTGAATAGTGAATGGGGCCGCGAGATCAAGGTGTGCACTGCTGGCGAGGGACACCGTGCTGAGAAGGAAAAGCTGCCTCAACCGGAATAAGCATTATAGGACAGGAATACAGGATATAGAGACAGCTATTTGGGTTGATTCTCTGTAATAATCTTTTGTTTTCTCTTAATGTTCGTAAACTATACAACTTAAGGAAGTCCATTTGGCCTGCCCTAAATATTGTTGCCAGCAACAGCCAATATTGAACATCCGTGCCTCCCGCTAATGCTCGTTAAGTATGGGAATAGGACGCGACAACCCATTCTTCAGTTACATCTTATTTTCGACATGGTGGAACTTTCCGACTTCCATCGCCAGGAGAAGGTTGGTGAAGGTATGTATTAATGTTTTGAGTGTTGTATTTTGCGGGATCATTTTTTTTTGCTGGGAAAACACAACTTCAACCCCCCTTTTTGTCAAGGGTAACCTTGCGGCTACTAACTATGTAAGGTACATATGGAGTTGTCTACAAGGCTCTAGACACTCGCCACAACAATAGGGTCGTGGCACTCAAGAAGATTAGACTAGAACTGGAGGATGAGGGAGTTCCATCTACCGCAATTAGAGAAATTTCCCTTTTAAAGGAAATGAGAGACGACAACATTGTCCGTCTTTATGATATCATCCACCTGGACTCACACAAGCTCTACCTTGTTTTCGAATTCTTGGACTTGGACTTGAAAAAGTATATGGAATCCATTCCAGAAGGCGCAGGACTCGAGCCGCTGATGGTCAAGAGGTTCATGCTCCAGCTAGTGAAAGGCATCAAACACTGCCATTCTCACCGTGTGTTGCACCGAGACTTGAAGCCTCAGAATTTGTTGATTGATAAAGAAGGTAACCTTAAGTTAGCTGATTTCGGTTTGGCCCGTGCCTTTGGTGTTCCTTTGCGTGCTTACACCCACGAGGTTGTGACATTATGGTACAGAGCTCCCGAGATTCTCTTGGGAGGTAAACAGTACTCTACCGGTGTTGACATGTGGTCTGTTGGATGTATTTTCGCCGAAATGTGCAATCGTAAGCCATTATTTCCTGGTGATTCCGAGATTGACGAAATTTTCCGGATATTCAGAATCTTGGGAACTCCGAACGAGGAGATGTGGCCCGATGTCACGTACTTGCCGGATTTCAAGCTCACCTGGCCCAAGTGGGAGAAGAGCAATTTGGCCAACCACGTGCCAACATTGGACAGCGACGGAGTTGACTTATTAGAGCAGATTTTGGCATACGACCCAAGCAACAGAATTAGTGCCAAGCGGGCATTGGTGCACCCGTACTTCCAAGAGGACGCTGATGACACATATGATAGCTACCCACGGTCCGTCAACATGGGCTAAGCCCTACGCCGTTCATTTCTTACATTTGATTAATAATCGTTATTCATCTAATATTTCCAGTAGGCCATAAGTGCCAATATAAGGAAAAGAACTGGTATAGATAGATTGAATGAATTGGTTTTGGTATGCATCACTTCCATCCCTGGTTTAATTAATTCTTTTTTCTGGGAAGAATCCAGCTCATTCTTTAAGTCCTTATGCTCCATATACCTATCCTTTTTCTTCCCGACATTGTCTTTCTTGACCAATATATTAATTTCATGTCGAGACCCCATTTCGTCTGTTTTTAATTCCATGACATTTGATGTCTCATTTCTGTTATCTTTTTTTGAAAGTTCCCGTTCCTCTATCCGTGTATGCATTTGCTCCATTTCTCCGATGGTCCCATTCTCCAAATCTAGAATGGCGTCGGCCATTCGTATGGGTGTCAATTGAACAGCATCCACCTTATTAGTGAGCTGCTCGTCGGTGTCGCTGTCAACTAAAATGTTTGTGATTTTCTTTGTTGTTGCCGGCGAAAGATTGCCTAAATCTTCGACATCTTTAAGCACGAGCAATGCAGTGGTTAACTCATTGAGCTCTGTCCTCATATCGTGCATACGATCGCGGATCAACTCGTTGTTTGCCATGAGCTTATCCAAGAATTCGAGGTCCTTCCCGTTTTGTTCCTTGATGCCAGCCAATTTGGTGTCGATATCATGGAATCCCAAATGTATGGAAACATGGCGTGTCCGCAAGTCCTCCAACACTTTATGAAGCTTGAAGTCATCAATATCATCAACAGGACAGTCTAGTATGCTTGGAGACCGCTCAATCCAGTTGCTGTCGCAAGCCATGAGAGAGGCCGTGTCATCAATATCAGATTCATAATATTTTGTGTGAAGAGAACTGGCGGAGTCCAGGTCCAACTTCATGCAATCATTTTCATCCATTTGGTCCATGCGGTACATTATGTTGTCGTGGTTGTCCTTGTAAATTGAGTATCCATCGGAGAAGTTGCCATACATTTTGTTTCTTCGGATGTCCATTATCTTAATATCTGAGAGAGCGTTCACAGTCATATTGAGCATGTCCTCTTTTGTATAAGGAGCAGATATCTGGTAACATAGCTGTTGTAATTTCTTAATGATGAGCTCGTCCAGTGAAAGAAAGCCAGACTTCAAGTCGAGTTGCTGTTCGATCTCCTCAAGTAGGGCTATAATTCCAGGTTGGTGTTCATTAGAAAATCTTTCCCATGCCTTATCGAAAATAGATGTCCTAAGTTGTGACATGTGTCTGTCACTGGTATCCATCAGAATACCCCAATCTTATAAAGGAGAAGCAACTCAATTAGATATACTCAAGGTAAGCCGTAGGTGTTTTTGAACTTTCCCAATAAGGTTGTGTAATGACTTTATTACATGCAGGTGTTGGGGTTTTGGGTGAAATAGTACTTTTAAGGCAAAGTTGATGGATTCACCTAAGGACGTGAAAATATGGAAATAGTATCTTGTTGGTTTTTTCGTCTTCCATCTCTTCCTTTTCTTTTATTTCGATATAGCTCACACAGAACTTTGAAGTTATGTATTTGTTAAGTTTTGTACAGAGAAGCAAGTTATGCGAAATGTTGAAAATAGTCGCAAATTGGAATTATCAAAGTAGGCCAGATAAGAAGAAAATGGTTTTGCGAAACTTAACTGATAAGAAAACACATAAGATCAATAACGCGATCTGAATATTATTATTTAAGTACTAAAGAACAGTTAATTAATCACTTCATATCCACACCTTCAGACCCGAAATAGTCTATTTTGCCAGTCTAATTTGCGTATGGTTCCATGCCAGTCTGTCCCAGAGATCTAGTAACCCTCCGCTCTCTAGTCCAAAGACAGGATCGGCACTAGGCATAAGAACGTTCTGAGAAACAGCCACATCTTTCAGATTATCGTAGTTTTCTACTCGATCGATATGGGTCTTTTGCACCAGACGCCAATACTCACCTTCTTTTGGATATGATGCCAAATAACGGTACTGTGGGGAGTAGGTCTTTGAACAGTGAGCAACACCAGCTGGAATGACAATCACGTCTCCGGTGTTTAGGTTAACTTCCACGAAATTGTCACCCCGTTCATTATCAATCGTAGTTTGCTCTATAGTCACATCCTGTCCCAAACAGAGACGGGATGATCCCGCAAGTACAGCGTAAGCTTCGTGAACATTAGGGTGATAATGTGCAACGGTAATACTGCCGTAAACTCTCTAGAATGTGAGTAAGAAAGGCCAAAAATAAGCTGATAAATGTTACTTACCTCTGGTCGCCAGTTATTTGCCTCCATCAACTGTTTGATATGTTCTTTTCTTGCTGCTTCGTCTGTACTTTGGTCAATCATGGGGCCTGTGAGCACATTTCGATACACAAGCACGGGGTATTTCGAATTGGGAGTATTTGTGGTGACTATATTGATTGGATATGTTTCTATCTCTAGCATTCTAGGAAGAAAGTGGAGGGAAGTTGACATGGGAGGGTGAAAGTTGCCATTTTGGGTCAAATGATCCGGGTTCACATCCAGGATCGATTGACTAAATAGTTAAACAGAGTCAACTTGTTGACTGTGGAATAAGCGATCGGTTCTTGTATCGAACTTTGCAAATGAAGTTCGTTGATAAACATAGTGACAAGTTTTATAAGGTTGTGCAGCATTTGCAAATTAGTTAAATGTATGTAGCACCTCACGAGGCACTAAGAATGTCAAATAAGGAATTCTTAATAGAAAAGCAATCTAACAGCTTAAGCAGAGTTAATTGTTATGAGATTGTAAAAATTTGAATTATCGGATGGCCTTTGTCTCCCATAGAGGTTATTCTACCCAGCTCATAAGTCACTGCTAAACAATCCCAACCATAGACATTATCTACCAATTTGTGCGTTTAAGAAAGATCTCGAGAAAACCAGATAAACTTTCGCTAGGTCTTGCAAAATATTAGATTATACATCTTATAAATGTATCGTGAATTATATATTAACATCTCGTGTTCGCTTCACCTGGTTACTGATCACCAACTAACTTAGACTGCACACATCCATACAACTCAATAAAACTTCTTCTTCATGAGTGGCAGTAATTACCTGCTGTACCAAGGGTCTGGCCGGGGGGACCGGTCAGATTCCTACCATGACCGAAGGTATGATGGTTCTCCACGACATTATAGAGACCGCGGCGGGCACCGAGGACGTGGATACGATAACTACAGAGGAGGCTATAGGGGCCGTGATTATGGATCCTACCGTGACTCAAGAGACAGAGATCCAAGAGACAGAGATCCAAGAGACAGAGATCCAAGAGACAGAGATCCAAGAGACAGAGATCCAAGAGAGAGAGATGCAAGAGAAAGAGATCTAAGACATAAAGGCGAATCAAGAGAAAGAGATCCCAGAGATCGTGTACGGGACAGAGAATACAGAGAAGATTATCGTAGAGAAGATGACGAGCTACGGTCAATGCCAGATAAAAGAGACAGACCCGATAGACCTGACAGGCCTGATAAACATGACAGACACGAGCGAAGACCTCCCAGAGGCGGATACAGAGGCAATCGAGGAGATAGAGAAGGATTCCGAGCTGGAGGAAATGATAGCCCAGAACACAACCTGGTTTCTGGAGGAGCAACCCCTAAAGATCGAGGTTCCATCTCCAGTTCCAAATTCTCTGACCCTTGGATTACCATTCTTCGTATTGGAGAGGGAAAAACAGCAGCTCGTATGGATGCAGCCTACAAGGAACTTTCTAATGTGAACAAAACCATCTCAGAACTTCAGGCAGATGCAATGAAGCTCACGAGTCTGTTGGAAATGTTAGAGGTGTATGCTTCGCGAGACGCACTCAATGTCGAGATCAGCAAAGAGAAGCTCGATGAGTTTACCTACTTGTAGCACCGCCAAAAGCATGTATTATGTATCATTGTCCTTACCTATGTATTATTAGTTGATATCTTTATTTTTGTAGTTTAGTATTGGGCTTAGTGTTTTTTTCACTATTTTCACAGTGTTCTCAACCCAATGTTCTCCATATTAACCTCTGCGAACTCATTCTCACTCCGCGTTCACTTAGTACTCTTTTATCATCCATGTCAGTGTCAGACTTCGTGGCTTCAGCTACAGAATCCAAAGCAGGCCAAGCCTTCCTCTATGGTGCTTTGGCCATTGGTGTATTCAAAATCACCACCTTCACCTTGAGCTACTTCTCCATGGTTGCTGATTTATTCATTCTTCCTCCAACCAACTTTGGTAAGTATGGAGCCAAAAAGGGTAAATGGGCTGTCGTTACTGGTGCTTCTGATGGAATTGGCAAGGAGTATGCTATCCAGTTGGCCAAAAAGGGCTTGAATGTGGTGTTGGTGTCGAGAACGTTGCTGAAGTTGGAGGTTATTGCCGAGGAGATTAAAACTAAATACGGCGTTCAAACTGCTGTCATTGCGTTTGACGCATCCAAGGACATCGACGCCAATTACGAAAGTATCCGTGAAGTCATTGCCGAGTTGCCTGTGACGGTGGTGATCAACAATGTTGGCCAATCCCACTCTATCCCAGTCCCATTTTTGGAGACTGACTTGAAGGAGTTGACCGACATTATCACCATCAACAACTTAGTCACATTGAAGATCACCCAGACTGTGCTTCCATACATTTTGGACACTGTTAAGAATGACAAGAGCTCTAGAGGTTTGATTTTGACCATGGGTTCTTTTGGAGGTTTATTGCCTACTCCATACTTGGCCACGTATTCCGGTTCGAAGGCATTTTTGCAACAATGGTCTGCTGCCTTGGCTGGTGAATTGAAGCCACATGGCGTGGATGTGGAATTGGTGGTGTCGTACTTGGTTACTTCTGCAATGTCTAAGATCAGAAGAGCCAGTGCTACCATTCCTACTCCTAAGGCTTTTGTTGCTGCCACTTTGAGAGGAGTTGGTAAGAGAGGTGGAGCACAGGACCGTTACGCTACGCTGACTCCATTCTGGGCCCATGCTTTCATGCACTTTTTCATTGAGAATTCTGTTGGAGTCTACTCTGGATTAGCAAACAAGCTCAACCTTGGTATGCACAAGAGCATCCGTGCCAGAGCCTTGAAGAAGGCTGCCAGAAGTAAGAAGGAGACTTAGGATAGTATATATTGTATCCAGTTTGAGATAGTTGAGCCTAGTATTTCGAGTTTACATTGGGATTGGACTGTCGGAACAAGTTGATAGCAAGATGTGAAAAGAAGAGAACAAAAGAATAAGCTAGGAATGGTTCAACTTCGTCAACGTTAATGAAATAAGCCCGAATGGAATATTTTTTATAAGTAGGGAAGCATAAGCTAAGGTCAATCAATAGACAGAAATCCATAGACAAAAATCAATAGACAGTTTTGAAACATGGAAATCCGGGTAAGAGAACATTAAAAGTAGTATATTCAGAATTGAGATAGTAAAATTAATGATGGAGAGTATGCAAAAGTCACACTCATGAATTAAATACAGACAAACAATACGATTGAAATAGCAAAACAGAACTGAATGAGTGCTATCATTAGTCTGGAGGGATCTAGTACTACCAAGATCAGTCGCACTGGATGATCCCCCTCTCAAGTTAAATTCAACCAAAGAAATCCTTTGATGACCACAAACATAACATAAACTGAAAACTCAATTCAATTGAAAGAACTATGTACTTATTAATTAGAAATTGGACCAGATGACTATATTTCCTTCCCAACCATATCCCAACTCTACAATTTACAAGTTCCAATTCCTCATCCTGCACACCACTGGAAGATTCTAGAATACCCCAGCAACTTCGCAACTCAACACTATATCACCAGTGACACTTGCACATCAGATCCGCAACTTACGTACGCAAGTTCTTTTCAAAACAATAAACAATGGTGAAAGAAACTAAGCTTTACGACTTGTTGGGTGTTTCTCCCTCCGCCCTGGAAACCGAGATCAAAAAGGCCTACAGAAAACAGGCCCTCAAGTACCATCCAGACAAGCCAACTGGAGACACAGAAAAATTCAAGGAGATTTCCGAAGCATTCGACATTTTGTCCAACGGAGACAAGAGGCAGGTTTACGATGACTATGGTTTGGAAGCTGCCAGAGGTAATGCTCCTGCTGGCGGTAATCCATTTGCTGGAGCAACTGGAGCAGGAGGACCAGGCGGCCATTCGTTTAACTTCAGCAGCGGTGGTGGTGGTGGTGGAGGATTCTCGCAGGCCGATGCTTTCAACATCTTCTCCCAGATGGGTGGCTTTGGCATGGACGACGGCTTCAGCTTTGGAGGCTCCGGATTCGGAGGAGGGTCTGGATTTGGAGGAGGCTCCCACTTTGGCGGAGGTGGAGGCATGCCAGGCGGTTTTGGCGGACGCTCTGCCCGTCGTCCTGAACCAGATACCGTGGCTATGCAGTTGCCTGTGCTGTTAGAGGACTTGTACTCTGGAGGTACCAAGAAGATGAAGTTGGGTAGAAAGGGTCCAGACGGCTCCAAAGAGTTCAAGGTTTTGGAAGTGAAGATCAGACCTGGATGGAAGGCCGGTACTAAGATCAACTTTGCCAACGAGGGTGACTACCAACCTGAGTGTCAGGCCAGACAGACTGTGCAGTTTATCATTGAAGAGAAGCCACATGCAGTGTTCAAGAGAGACAACAATGACTTGGTTGCTACTGTCCGTTTGTCATTTAAAGAGTCGTTGTTGGGCTTTGACAAGGAAATCACCACTCTCAGTGGAAAGAAGATCAATATCTCCAGATCCACACCAGTGCAACCTTCATCGACAAACAGATACCCAGGCTTGGGTATGCCTATTTCAAAGACCCCCGGCCAGAATGGAGACCTTGTAGTTAACTACAAGATCGACTTCCCAGTGCTGTTGACTGCTGAGCAGAAGGAGGCCATCAGGTCGGCATTCTAGATTTCTAGAGCCACCGCTTGCATTTGGCCCCTGGAGGTCATGACATTACGGAGCTAGATTTCGTGTATATATACGTAATAGATTACAATATGGGGAAATGTGCATGTAAATCGGTTGACTTAAGTTGTAGTACGGTAAGAGACACTTTTAGTAGCTATCTGTCCGTGTGCACACCACTATCAAGACTTAAACTTATTCTTATATTATCCAAAGAAGAATTCCCGATACACCGTTAATACTTCAAAGGCATGTCGGTTATTCTTGCGTCCGCAGGTTATGATCATACCATTCGATTCTGGGATGCGCTCACTGGTGTTTGCTCCCGAACCATTCAGCATACTGATTCTCAAGTCAATCGTCTCGAAATCACCTCTGACAAACGCTTCTTGGCCGCAGCTGGCAACCTCTACGTGCGACTCTATGACATAAGGCAGACAGGAAATGCAGGAGGTGCTGCTGCTGCACCAGCCACTGTCAATGCTCCAGGAGCGACGTCTGCGTCCAATAGCTCCAATGGTAATTCCAACCCGGTGATGACATTTGAGGGCCATAGTGGGAATGTCACGCTGATAGCCTTCCAGATCGAGAATAAATGGATGGTGTCATCCCTGGAGGATGGAACCGTGAAGGTCTGGGACGTGAGGTCACCATCTGTTCAGAGAAACTATAAACATTACTGTCCAGTTAATGAGGTGGTCATTCACCCTAACCAGGGTGAATTGATCAGCTGTGACCACGACGGCAACATCCGGATTTGGGACTTAGGGGAGAATCAGTGCACACACCATCTCATTCCCGAGGACGATGTTCCCATCAACTCACTTTCCGTAGCCAGCGATGGTAGCATGCTTGTGGCGGGCAACAATAAGGGTAACTGTTATGTGTGGAAGATGCAGAATCAGAAAGATATCACATCTTTGACGCCAGCCACGAAATTTCGTTCTCATTCTAAATATATCACTCGAGTTGTCTTGCTGACAGACATGAAGCACCTTGCTACATGCTCTGCGGACCACACTGCCAGAATATGGCTGACAGAGCAAAATTTTGCTTTAGAAACAACTCTCCAAGGCCACCAGAGGTGGGTCTGGGATTGTGCTTTCAGTGCTGACAGTGCATACTTGGTGACAGCTTGCTCTGATCATTATGTCAGACTTTGGGATTTATCCAACAGTGAAACAGTCAGACACTACAATGGACATCACAAGGGTGCGGTATGCGTTGCCTTGAATGACGTGTAAGTTGATATAGATAATGCAATTGAAATGCTATAAATTGTAATGTAATGCAAATTGGGCCTCTCTTGGTCCCTAGGTCGCCAAATTGATAGGTAACCTATCTAGGGCTGTAGTCTTGATTTTTTTTTTTTTTGTTTTGTTTGATTTTTTTTCTTCTTTTTTCTTCAAATGCATTCATTTCAGTCTCTGAGTTAAGACAACCAGTCACTTTCATGATAGTGCATTCTCAGTTCGCCTTGCAAGCCGTCCAACAAGTCAACAAAGCTGGTTGTCTTAGCCTGTTCTTGACCAGTAGTCTCTAAAGACGCACTTACGTTAGCACTTATCGGACGTTCGTGTTCTTCCTTGATGGCATCTTCAAAATCAGGTCGGAACTCATCGTACAAAAAGCCTCCTAATTCAAGGCACCACGATAAGTATTCATCAACCCAACATCTAACAACCCACCACGACCCGAAGCTTCTAGCCCCACTTAAACTCATCTCTCTGAGGCATGTAGTGAGGAGATTGGAGCATACCAAGGTGAAGAGCCAAGGGTTTAACTTAGAAAATTTGCTTGGGAGTTCAAATAGAAACGATGCATAAGGTTTCAACACAGGCGACTCCAGAGGACCAATGTCCTCGAAAAGCTTAACCAACTTCGTGTCCAAAATTTCAATAAGTGTTTCTGAGTTGTCAAGTGCACATGGGACTTCTCTCATAACAATCTCATGCATATCCAATTGTAACCAATCGGCGAGCATGACATTCTTCTCGTTTGTGTTGGAAAGGATCTTTGCAGCAGATGATCCAGTTTCTATGCATTTAATCAAACGTTTCAAAATCTGTACAAATTGACGCGCGACCGCAAGTTTCATCATTCTGAACGGCTTTGGAAATTTGCTGTTGTATGCTTCGGACAATTTATTGACGTAGTTGCAAACAACCTCTTTTAAAGGTAGAAGAATCTCATCCGGAACAGTCAGCAAGTGCAATCTTGTCAACATCTTGAGCATAGCTCTGTACATTATCATGTCACAGACTTTAACCCACTCAAGTGTCGATTCACTTGTATAAAGCTTAATAACAGGGGTAGTAAGAATGGCAATAAAGGGAGAAGTCATTCCAAACATCTTATCCACTTGCATGTATCTCAACAGCTCGAACAATGATGTACAATGCACCGTATATAAGGAATGCAATGTATCAGCAATATCGTAGTCCATCTCCTCTTCCTTTGGAAGATATGGGTATATAGATGGAATGCTCAATGGCTGGTTCATAAAATCATTAGCCATGGACATTTCAATGTCGGTGAAAAGGGTAGGCAAATACTTGAGGTCCACAACTTGGAAGTACTCTTGAACTTGCATCGATGAAAATGGAGTGCCCCAGGAGTTGGAAACACTGGGACTTCCAGCAAATGGAGGGGTTTGAGGATTGAGAGACTGGGGTGAATCCAACCCGATGGAGTAAGTCGATCGTGGTGATCCTGCCTGGGACTGGTCGCCGATCAACTTAATTCCACAGTAATGATATTTCGATTTGCCTCTCATGCCCAACCGACGAGTCTTCAAATTTGGAAACAAAACACGAAGGACCTTACCGAAGTTTGCTGGAGCCAAAGGACTCAAGTTGGAAGTGGCACACTGCTGAACGTAACGAGCATATATTCTGTTTCTTGGAACCACTGAAGTATGAGAGGATTCGCATGCCAGTTGGACCCAACACATGGCGAAGACTTGCAAGGGCATATCTTGCTTCGTATCCTTAGAGACAATCAATGCAGAGACCAAGGGGTCAGACTTCAATTCCAAGTCATTTGACTCCAAGTTCTTAATTTTGGAGGCCAAGTCGCGGAGTGGAAGGGCGCCAACTTTTAATGTCAACGCCTTCAAGGTTGCGTCCGGGTCCTCAGGGCCCTCTGTTCTGGTTCTTTTCCGGCTCAAAGGTTCCGAGCTCATTGAGCGTTCTTGCAAGCTACTTCCCAACTCTGAGTAGGCGAAATGTGGCGAATTGACCTCTTCTTTGATACTCCCTGACATCAGGGGTACCACCTCAGACATTTGCTGTAATGTAGAAATATGCGGATTAGAATGAGTTCTAAGCATGTTAGATTGCACGACAGGAGAGCCATCTTGCAAAGGATGGTGCACCATAGCAGGTCCAGTAGGCGAGATACTCTGGCCCATTCCACGGCTTACACTTGACTGAATACCGTGTGGCGATAAATGAACAGAAGGAGCTAGCTGGCCCAGAGGAAGCACCTGCGAGATTTGCAGAGCAGGAGTCATATGGCCCGTTTGGTTGGGTGACATGTGAGAGACCCTGTAGCTGGGACTCATGTGGTGAGCCATCTGCTGTGGAACTTTCTGGTTACGAATCGGCGAACGATGAACCGGAGTATGAACATTCTGGCCCGGTGTTTGTCGCTCAGACGGCAACTGATTAAATTGAAATGCATACTCCACTTTTGGCTGTTGGTGCTGGACCGCCAGGGGGTGAGTGGGAGGTGGGTAGTCGTAGATGGCCAGGGGGTTACCTATGGGAGAAAACGCCAGGTCAGTCCCGGATGGGTATTGCTGAAATGCTGCACCAAGCGTTTGGGAGGTTGTGTCGAGCGACTGATGGTCAGCAGGCGGTCTTTCAGTGTCCTGGTGGAGATTCTGTTGCGGGAACAGATAATCAGGGTAAGCATAGTGTTGTCGCGCCAGGTGGTCTTGGGGCCCTCTGCTAGACGGCCGCAGTGGGATTTGATCGTTGTTATGGTTCATTTGACCCCTAACAGAAGTTGCCTATGGGCGATATGTGGATTGACGGGTAGTTTGTTCACAGTGGTGAAGGCTGATAGAAACTCAATCGTGAAGGACCCGTGGCAGCAAAAAGAGCAGCAAAATGCCGGCTAGCAAGCAGCAGGCAAGATGTGACTTTCAAAAAGACAGGTCAGATAAGGAAGTGGGCAGTGCCGAGACACAATTGACGGATGGAATGGTGGAGGCACCAGCAAAAAAAAGTCTAGTAGTCACCAATTGAACTGAAGCCAGCAGGTATCCACGGCAGGCAGACAGAGCAAGATGAAATAATTTGGAGACACACCAGCCAAGGGAAACGGCAAATGAAGGGGGAAAAATTTGTCAATGTTGACTGGTTTAGACGAGAGAAGAAATGTTAAAGGGCTTCTCGCTTAAATGAGTGTATGAGCCCGGGAGTTAGGGCTTGATCTGGGAGGTAAGGGTGTGTTAGCTTGCTAAGGACTGTTTAGTAAGGGGAAGAAAACGGAAATAATTGACGGAAAGAGATAGGAAGGAATATGACTGAGAGTGGATGTGAGGGCTTTTGAGGGTCAAACTAAACAAAATAGAAAGAAGTGGGGTCATTTCTTATGAATAGATTGTCTTGTTTGTGATTTTCCTTTTTTTTCCGCCCTTGAAACTTTATAAAATGCCTTCACCATTGAATGTTCGCACTTAGGCGTGGCACGAATGCGGACAGGACACAAGGAAGAAAAAGCAAGGCCCCAAGTGAGAGAACAGGAAGGATAAAATGGAAATAACTAAACAGAAGGCAAACATAAGAATTGGGAGAAGTATGCAAATAGCAACATCAAACAAATGTGTGGCGATAACACGATACAATCAGACCCAATAAAACAGCCGAAATGCATTAGGCACACTTGTCGTCTATCGGTCAGGAACCCCGGGCTTTCAGGTTTCTGTCAGTATCAAAAAAGTGAGGAATCTGGAGTAGCACCCGTATGCACACCCATGAGCATCGCAGTAAAAAAAATTAGATGCCCATCGCTCATTCTCCAATCTACAATGGCCATTCTCAACACTAACCCAGAGGTGCTCTTGAAAAAGAGAAAGGATGCTGACAGAAAGAGAATCCAGAAGCAAGATGCTTTGCGTGTGAAAAAGGAGAACCGCGCAAGAAAGTCTGTGGCTCCAAAGGATAAGTTTGTCCGTGCAGAGACTCTAGCCATCAGAAACAGAGCCATCTCGTTAGAGGACAAGAGAGTTGCCAATGTGTTGAAGCATGAACTGAAAGCCAACAGAGTTCTGTCCAGCAAAGAGATCGACTCTAAGCTTGTGTTCATCATCCGCATAGATCCCAAGAACAAGACGCTGAAGATCCCAGCCAAGGCCAATGCCGTGCTTGAGGTTTTGCGTTTGACCCAGCCAAACATGGGAGTTTTCGTTAAGATGACCTCTACGGTGGCTCCAGTGTTGAAGCTTGTGGCTCCATACATTGTGGTAGGCAAGCCTTCCTTGGCTTCTGTTCGTGAGCTTTTCCAGAAGAGAGCTTGCATTCCAAGTGTAGATGAGGACCAGAACGAGGTTTTGGTCAAGTTAGACAACAACCAGGCCGTTGAAGACAAGTTTGGCGATGATTACGGCTTTATTTGCATTGAAGACTTGGTGCACGAGATCGTCACCTTGGGCGAGGGTTTCAAGACTGTAAACCAATGGATTGCTCCATTCAAGTTGACTGCGCCTATTAATGGGTGGGGCCCATTGGCCAAGTTGGCAAGATTGAGATACGAATCCGAAAGAAAAAAGAAGGTGTCTTTGGCTGGCCACGCCAACTTGGAGGAGATTGACATTGACAAGTTTATTGAGGAGCAGAACTAGTGCATTTGGGTAATAGAGGTAATTGTCGATAGGAAGTAACGTGTAGGTACACAGCTTGGCCAATCCAACTGTTGTAAATCATTTGACTTGTGGACTTGATTCTTTTACAAGTGTCTTGATCAATAATGGAGTTTCAAACCATTAGAGCCAACCTTTACAGTCAACATGCTGTAAGTTTTATTGATCTCTACTTTTATCTCTACGATCTCTACAGTGAATATCTTACCAAAATCTCGACAAGTCATTGTTCTGAATCAAGTAAGATTCTATAGGATTTATTTATGATTTCTCAACCTACTATCAATGATTACCATCAAAGCATTCTCTTATTCGGCATGTCAATTGAATAGTGAATATTTCCCGTACATAGTCCATTAGATTGAGTATGTCTCGGTGTATAAACAAACTTCTTCGACATGCAGATTACCGAAAACAGCAGTCTGAAACTCTGCAGCTAATGAGCAGATTTCCCTTTTCAATGAATCGCTTCCAGAGCAAACCATGAGATTTCTTCTCAGTAAAGCATTTCTCATTGGCGATACGATAGAGGGAATATTTGGCTTTCCATATTTGATAGTTAATTTCTCATCGCTTATCTTCTGCTCAGTCTCTGAAGTCACATAGATGTCGATGATGATTCTCTCGCTTGCAACCTCGTAGCATCTATTCAATTCCTCCTCAAACCATTGAACGTCACCAATCTCCCTCACAATCCAAATAAAACGTACAAGTTGAGGTGTAGCTGAGTTGGCCAGCGAGATTAAGTATGGTATAGTGGCAGTCACACCGTTTCCTGATGCAACCAAAATGATCTGATCAAATGACGACGGGTTTCTAGAAATTCCACCGTATGGTCCATCAACAATAACTCTCTTCTTCTGTTGGGTTTCGCCAATCAGATTGAACAATCTCCGGGTGAATCCACTTCTGGAAATTATGAGAAATTTCAAATGTTCATCCTTCTCTGTACTAGCAATAGAAAATGGATGGTTCTCAAGTGGACCAACACCTGGAAATCTTAATAAACAGTGTTGCCCTGCAACCCATTCGATGCCGCTGGGATTTTGGACTATGATTTCAAACGAAGAATGTCCTTTGACTTCGAGATGAGCTGTTCGACTCCGAACGAGTCCATAGCGAAAAACTCTCACTATCCACTGGACAAACCAGATGCCCAAAGTAGCCCACATATAATTTTGCATTGCTAACATCCCGTAAACATGAAAAGTCAAGGCTGCGAAGAAACCCACACCTAATATCCAGTGAAAATGGAAGGAGATTTCATACATGCGTTGTCTGATCTCACGCTTGAACATGCAACACAACAAGAAGAGAAGAACAAATGCTGCTGTACCATGCTGATAGTCTTCAATGGACTGAAAGCTATCACGAAGATACAGGATACCACCTTCTCTTAAGGGTTGGTAGATGAATGGAATGCAATGCATTAGAGCCAAAGTTAACACAGCAACACCCAAATACTGGTGGAGCCAGTTCAACTTCTCGTAACCAATTCCTGTCAAAAATGAAATCAAGTTGAATTTACCAGACAACAGGTAGAGAAATGGCATCAAGGATGTGGCCATGACACCTGCTCTATCTCCTAATGGAGGAAATCCAAATCCAAAACATCCACGGTACCAAAAGTGTGGAATGAGGCAAACACACAAGAGATAGATCGAAGTCACCATGGCATAAAGACAATTTCCCCACGAAAATGGAAATGAGAGCCATGTCGTAAGTACTCTCGGCACAGGTTGGTATGCAATGAAACGGAAGTATGCTGTAAATACAAATACAAGCGATGTGAGGAAACCATACTCTGTAGACCCCAAAGTGTACCTCTTGTCAGCTAGCCTGTAGAAAAGGTATTTTGAAGTACTTACGAAGACAGTTGCAACACCGAAGTATATGGTAATCCTTCCAAAACGAGCCAAACTATCCTCAGAAATCTTTAGGAGCGATTGATCTCCATATTCGAGGTATGTTGCGTTGTTGATGTCTAAAAGACAGTCAAGACCTTTGTATTGGACACCCATGAATTTTTGGAGAACTTTAAAACTAGTGGTGCTTTCTCATATTTAATATTCAACTATTTTGCTAGTGACGAGCAAATATCGATTGCCTATCGGGGGTTTTTAATAAGCCGCTTGTGCAGAATGATTGGACGTCTAGACAGGTCTTGTCGCATTTGACACATTTGACAGGTGGATTCGGCCAACTAGAAATGAGGCGTGGGGAAATGAAGGACGGGCGATGTCAGAGAAGGCGAGCAAATCTTTTTGGACGACAACTTTATTGATATGGCTGGATTATTATCTAATTGCAATTACTTTAATGCAATTTATGGGTTTCCGACGGTTAGGAAAATAAGGTGGTGAAGAAAGGAGATATCAGGGACCATAGATTTCTGAGCAAGGGTCGCAAATTTGGACGTATGTCAGACTAGGGCGTGGTGCGAACAAAACGAAAAACATGCACTGTGATACGAACATTTGCATGCCTTGAAGTGCTTCAAAGTTTAGGCTAACATTGGGAAGAGCGAAAGAGCCCGAAGGAAACGCATAGTTGCTGAAATATAGAATGGATACCAACATAACTTTGATATTGGTATCTTTTTTCATGGAAGTGATGGGTGTGACTTATTTAATTGCAGTGATCTGCCCAATTTCATTGGTATGTGCCCGAAAATACACTACTACTTTCTGAGGCGCCCCACATTGTGTTGAATAAGATGTAAGTGCCAAAATAATACGAGTGGAGGATATAATCAGATAGATCTACCTATTCAAAAGTAATTCACTTAAACCCACAACAATTTTTTTTTTTTGCAGTTATGGTTGATAATCTCCACCATTAAATGGTTCTAACTAGAAACTTGATAACTAATCGAAGGTGTAAGAATGACTTTCAAAAATCTTTCACTTTCTCAGCAGCCATCATTTCATTGGCTATTCAGAATCCAAATTTCCGTGTTTTCTCCATTTCATTCCAATCCATCGAATTTACCTTCTAAACTTTAGTGTCTTTCGCAGCTACTACAATTTCTCACTCACAACCTTCTCTACACACTACGCGTACCACATGTCTTTCCAAGTATTCAATCAGATCTCTGCACCACAAGACCATGTGTACAAGTTAGTGCAACTTCCACCGGATCTAGTAGCGTACATGAAAGACTCTCCTCAAAAACCGCTTCATTTCAAGTCGCCTGCGTCCTCAAATAATCATCTAGTGCTCTGCACTGATGACTCCACTTACACTGTCCGACAAGTGAACCACTCCAATACTGTTTTGTTGGTTAACGATATGTCAGTTAATAAGTACGGTAAGAAGATGGTTGGGTTGAACGAAAACTCGACTTCTCCGGATTCCAAGAACACCTTACTCGCCATAGGTCTGTCGACTTATCAGTATCAACTCACTTCTACTCCTGGTTACATTGACTCGAAAGATATCCCTATTTACGACGGAAGATCGAAGGTTGACGTCTTTAAAACAGTCGATCAGGTCCGCAATGACTCGCCAATTGCCGTTTCAGCATTCTTTCCCGCTTGGTACCGCATTAGAGGGTGTGACATCAATGGTCTGGCAGTAATCCTCGCCCCAGAATTCGTCACTGAGGTTCTTCATACGCTAATTTCCATTCTCATTGCTCAAAAGTTGGATAATTTTACTTTACAAGATATTGAAGAAAGAGCAAAGGACCAAAATTCTAATTATACCAAGGATATCTTGGTGACAGTCACTGAAAACTTCTGTGAGAGGAAAGATGGGATGCTTCAATTGCAAAAACCAGCCATTGCGCAATGGTTTGGAATTGAAACTTTGAAATCATGTCTGCAAGCCCTTCCTGATAAGGAGTTACTTCTCAAATGGAAATCGAGTCTTCCTCCATTCTTCAATGTTCTGTTGGATCTTTCACTGTTGCATGGCTACTATTGTCGTCCTACTGTGGGAAAGATACGGTATCTTCCGCGGGACTCGCTTGCTGGAGACATCCAGACGAGAGTTAAGGAGATGTTTCTGATTGTAAAAGAGTGGGACTTCGATGAATTTCTTCCGTATGTGACTGAATTCATCCCATCTACCAAAAAGCCTGATGCTGTGATCTTAAAGTTTGCTCGCAAGAAGAGAGTTGGAAAAAAATTTGTTGTCTGTCCGAGGTAAGCAAATAAGTGAAACTAATTTAAAAGTACCGGACAAAAAGGGGAAACGTTCATATTTGTTTCACTGCACTTTTTCAGTATTTTTCTCTTCTCACTGGCAGTTTGAGTCAAAAGACTCAAAGTCAACGCGCACTTCGGTTTGAGTCAAGTGCCGGAAAATCCATCTACTACTCCAACGTCCATTTTTCTCCATTATGGATAACACGTCATTCTTGATCTCATTGGTGGTATGTTATTGGCCAAACAAGCCATTTGGTGAATCCATGTGCCTTATACTTCGCATTTTTCGTTCTTGCTAACATTCTCAGAGTGGTGCTTGTGCTGGTACCTCGACCGACCTCGCATTCTTTCCTATCGATACATTAAAGACCAGACTCCAAGCAAAAGGAGGCTTCTTTGTAAATGGAGGATGGCATGGTATCTATAAAGGTCTAGGCTCTGCGGTAGTGGCGCTGGCCCCGTCCGCTTCGCTTTTTTTCATCACGTACGACAGTCTCAAAGCATACACGAAAGACAAGTTGCCCACTACCATCAGCCATATGGTGAGTGCCTCTTCGGGTGAGATTGCTGCATGTTTAGTTCGTGTTCCTGCTGAGATTGTCAAGCAGAGAACACAGGCTGGTGTATTGGGGGTGGGGAACAAGGCTAGTTCTTGGGCCAACTTCCAGTACTTGGTGCAAAACAAGTCCGGAGAAGGTGTATTTCGGGGTCTCTACAGGGGCTGGAACACCACAATCATGAGAGAAATTCCCTTCACAGTGATCCAATTCCCACTTTACGAAAAACTCAAGCAAGTCTGGTCCGCTTACGACAACACCGAGCTTTCGCTTTTAAAGGGAGCTATCTGCGGATCAATTGCTGGAGGTGTTGCTGCTGCTGCCACCACCCCTTTGGATGTGATCAAGACTAGAGTCATGCTTCATAAAGATAGAATTCCAATATCCACTCTCGTTCGCCAAATTCTTGCAGAAGAGGGTCCACGAGTGTTTTTGAATGGAATTGGTCCAAGAACATGCTGGATCAGTGCTGGAGGTGCCATCTTCTTGGGCTGTTACGAGCTCGTTCATACTAACTTGTCCACTCTTGTTGCTAATGAGAAGGCTTTCGAGTAATAGGCGGCGGATTCGGGAAAGAAAAACTTTGAGGTGACTTCGAAGAAAATTTTTAGAAGAGAAGGTTGAGGAGAATTAGATGAGTAATTTTTTTGGACGCTAGTTGGAAGGCAAGACGACTTTTACGGACATATTTCCTGCCCTTACCATATTCACTCCTAGGCTGGATAATTATTAATGCATCTGGTCGCACTTGGTCCAGCTCATATGGAATTCAAGCACAAGTTGGTCCACCGTGTACATATTGAAATATAAATAGAATAAGCATTAAAAATTCCCCAATACGGCAAAATACAAGGTTTCAGAATATATCGTCTTCACTAATATCCGTCTCCACATTAATCTCCGTAGGTCATCTAGTCTTGACATATTAGCACTCGCACGACTCTCCGCACCGGACAGAAAAACTCACAGTATCCCACCGAGGCCAATATCTTATCAACTACTCGTTCTTTCTGAGGCAAAATGATGTTCAGAACAGCTAGATCATTGGCCAGGGCCATGGCTCATCCGCTGCGTGCAAACTCCGTGCGCACTTTGGCCACGGCTGTGGCAGCTCCTCCCGAGGGTTCCCCTATAACATTGAAGTCCGCCACTAGAGATGAATCCAAGTTCGGTACCAGACCCATTTACTTGGATGTCCAGGCCACGACGCCCACAGACCCTCGTGTGCTCGACAAGATGTTGCAGTTCTACACTGGTTTGTATGGAAACCCTCACTCGTCTACCCATGCTTATGGATGGGAGACAGACAAGGAAGTGGAAAAGGCGAGAGAATATGTGGCTGCCACAATTGGCGCCGACCCCAAGGAGATCATTTTCACTTCGGGAGCAACTGAGTCTAACAACATGGCCATCAAAGGTGTTCCGCGTTTCTACAAGAAAACTAAGAAGCATATCATTACCACGCAAACAGAACACAAATGTGTGTTGGATTCTGCCCGTAGAATGCAAGATGAGGGGTTTGAGGTGACTTACTTACCTGTTAATAATGAGGGTTTGATTGACTTGGATGAGTTGCGTGCTGCTATCAGAAAGGATACTGTTTTAGTGTCGATCATGGCTGTCAACAACGAAATTGGTGTCATTCAGCCAATTAAGGAGATCGGCCAGATCTGTAGGGAGAACAAAGTGTTCTTCCACACAGATGCTGCTCAGGCCTACGGAAAGATCCCAATGAATGTGAACGACATGAACATTGATATGATGTCCATCAGTTCCCACAAGATTTACGGACCAAAGGGAATTGGAGCTTGTTATGTCAGAAGAAGACCTAGAGTGAGATTGGACCCTATTATTTCTGGAGGTGGTCAAGAGAGAGGTTTGAGATCCGGTACTTTGGCTCCTCCTTTGGTGGCCGGTTTCGGTGAAGCTGCCAGATTGATCACCCAGGAAATGGATTACGATAGAGCTTATATCAGCAAGCTTGCCAACAAGTTGAAGGAGGGTTTGTTGTCTATTCCGGAAACCCAATTCAATGGTGTTTTGTCTGACCCGTCCAAGCAATACGCTGGATGTGTTAATATCTCGTTTGCCTACATTGAGGGTGAGTCATTGTTGATGGCATTGAAAGACATTGCCTTGTCCTCGGGTTCGGCATGTACCTCGGCCTCGTTGGAGCCTTCGTATGTTTTGCACGCATTGGGCGCTGATGATGCGTTGGCCCACTCGTCCATCAGATTTGGTATTGGTAGATTCACCACCGAGGCTGAGATCGACTATGTGATCAAGGCCATCAACGAGAGGGTGGATTTCTTAAGAAAGATGTCACCTTTGTGGGAAATGGTTCAAGATGGTATTGACTTGAACACCATCGAATGGAGTGGGCACTAACGATTGTATTTATTGGATCGCAGGATAAGAATGAACGACCTTAACGGAAGAAATATATTTACTGTAAAAGAATGTTGGGAATCTTAAATTCATCAAATTCCCTTTCTAATTTATTTACTAATCCGTTGAATCTTATTATCATTATTAATACTCCGGTCGTTTTAGTAATCACTTGCTCGTTTTGGCGTCTTACTGTCTCATTCCACTACGACTTTTTCTCCAGATTTCGCGCGACCGGCCCGGTACCGGCAGAAATTTTCGGTTTTATTACTCACGACACTGGTCATACATAGGAAAAAAAATCACTTACTCCACCATGTCTACCGTCACCAAAAAAATCACATTGCTCCCTGGAGACCATGTCGGCACTGAAGTCGTTGCTGAAGCCGTGAAGGTGCTCAAGGCCATTGAGGAAAACACCCCATATCAAAAGATCAAGTTTGAGTTTCAGAACCATTTGATTGGTGGTGCTGCTATCGATGCTACCGGTGTTCCTTTGCCAGATGAGGCTTTGGAGGCCTCCAAGAACTCCGATGCAGTGTTGTTGGGTGCTGTTGGTGGCCCCAAGTGGGGAACTGGTGCTGTGAGACCAGAGCAAGGTTTGTTGAAAATCAGAAAAGAGTTGGGACTCTACGCTAACTTGCGTCCATGTAACTTTGCCTCGGAATCCCTCTTGGAGTTGTCCCCATTAAAGGCTGACGTTGTCAGAGGTACCAACTTCACCGTTGTTCGTGAGTTGGTCGGAGGTATTTACTTTGGTGAGAGACTGGAGCAGGAAGAGTCTGCCAACAACGACGAGGCATGGGATACCGAGAAGTACTCTGTCTCTGAGGTGACCAGAATCACCAGAATGGCTGCATTCATGGCTTTGCAGCACAACCCACCTTTACCTGTTTGGTCTTTGGATAAGGCTAATGTGTTGGCTTCGTCTAGATTGTGGAGAAAGACCGTCGACAAGGTCATGTCAGAAGAATTTCCTCAATTGACCATTCAGCATCAGCTTATCGACTCTGCTGCCATGATCTTGGTCCAGAGCCCTACCAAATTGAACGGTGTGGTGATCACTTCCAACATGTTTGGAGACATCATCTCCGATGAAGCCTCGGTGATTCCTGGCTCATTGGGTCTCTTGCCATCTGCATCTTTGGCTTCTTTGCCTGACACCAATAAAGCTTTTGGTTTGTACGAGCCATGCCACGGTTCTGCTCCAGACTTGCCAGCCAACAAGGTCAACCCTGTTGCAACCATTTTGTCTGTTGCAATGATGTTGAGATTGTCTTTGGACAGTTTGAAGGAGGCTGAGGCTTTGGAGAAGGCTGTTGGTGTTGTTTTGGACTCTGGAGTTAGAACTGCCGACTTGAAGGGCACCAGTTCCACCACTGAGGTTGGTGACGCTATCTGCGAGGCTGTCGCCAAGATCTTGAAGGAGGGTGCTTAGATTAAATATACGTTTGAATGTTCCCGAAGTTTCCCTGTGTATTTATATTTATTATTCGCATTATGAGATTCGATTTAGAATTTCACTGTACCGTTGAGGAAGTCTGACAAGTAGGCAACGGAGTCGAGCCTGAGTGCAAAATTATCTCCTTTGGTATTGAGCTTGTCATTCATGAGAGTTCTATCGCTAGATGATGAAGTCAACGTGGCATGGTCCTCGGTATCAACGGGTTTTTGGTTGAAAAACTCAAGTGCCGTAGAGAATTCACTGGATGAGAAATATTCATCATCCGAGCTCAAGTTTGGTGTTCCAAGACTCATGTTCAACTGCTGCGTGCCCTTGTCGGATGAGGATCCCTTCGAATTCAGTCCCTCCTCGATTACGGGAAAGGACCTCTCAGAAATGTCGGCCTGTCCTTCAGAAGAGATATCAATTTGAGATCTGACAATTTCAAAGTCGTCATTTGAGAAGGTGGGTTCACGACTTGGCCCATTGGACAGTAAGTGGAAATCTTCTTCGAGCCTCTTACCAAAACTATTGAGAAACTCCGAATTAAACGATTGTAACGAGTCATGTTTGGGAAGACTCACCATGTAGTCAGGAATACCAGTTTTTACGACACTGTAGTAAGAGGACGATGGTTCCTCCTGTTGAACAAACGTTCCATACTCCATGGAAGAGAACGTGGCATCAGAAGAATCAAATTGTTGGGCTTGCGGGACCATAGACAAGTGAGTCCCGATGTCAATCACATCCACAGTGTCCATGTTCGCCTCCTCCTTCATGGCTTTGATTTCCTCCTGGAGATTGGACGAGTTGTCTCTGATATATGCAACCCAGTTCTTCTCTCCATCATTATAAAAGGTGCTTACTGGCACCACTTCGTATTGTTTGTACTTCTCGTACACTTCTGGCAATATACCCGATGCATTGATATTTTCAAGTGCCATGGCGATATCTTGGCTTGAGATTATTCTTTGCTTTTGAGTATTCGGTTCAGGCTCTAAGTTTTCATTAATCTTCAATGTTCCAGTTGCTGGTTTCCATTTCTGTGTTTCTGCGAGAGGCTCCTGGCGTCTGACAGTAGCTGACGAATTCACAGAAGACATGCGTTTCACAGATGTTGCTTCCAGTGGGGGTATCCCGTGGGTGAATTTTTCCCATCCACTCTCGGTTTGTAACTTCATCTCAACCTCCGACAGCATACCAGAATCAATTTCCAACTCGTTAGTAGCTTTCAGTACAGGAAACATTCTTGGAATGTCTGAATTTCTATTGGGTTGTGCTGTTGATTCTTGATGGTCCTTTGAAAGCCCCGGTCCTCTAGCTGGGAAGGCAAAGTTTGACTGGACATCCAATGATTTTTCGGTGTATTTGGAAGACGCATTAGTGTTAGTTGAAACATTACGAGCTTGCAAGCCCGTGTTAGACTCCAATGAACTGGGCATGACAGGAATTGGCATCTCACTTTCCGTTTGAATTCCGCTTTCCTTGCCAGCAACTTGAGTAATGACATTTTCCTCTCCAATTGTGGCATTTTCAGTGTTGTCCCATTGAATTGGAACCGGTGAGAGATTGGTTGGTGCTGGTGATTCAATATCGGTACTCACTGCTGAAACTTCACGCAACTCTGGTGCTGGGGTGTACAATTTCTTGTAGACCAGCTTGCGTCCCCGAGGAATCATCGTGTCGGGTATATTCTTCTGTGCTGAATTCTTGGATTTTACGCCGGTGCTCACGATAGGTTCCTCCGACCTGTGATTTTTCTTCATTTTTCCGAACAACACATGTAATAAGGACTTGCGTCTTTTAGGGATGTTTCTCAGATTATCTTCGATAGATCTTCGCTCAACAGAGGGCTCTACCTCAGCTGTGAGATTTTCAGTATTTGGAATTGCTGTCTCTGGATATCTGTCTATTCCAATCTCATTGCCGAAATCAGTGCTTCTTGATAGACCTTCTGTTTTAGGCTCCTCGAGTTGTTCCAATTCTTCTTCATCGTGTCCAGCGATGATGTAGTTGATGAAGAACAAATTGGACGCTGTGAGAACTGGAGACAAGTAACTGGATCTGAACATTGCTTCAAAAGACTGGTAAAGTGACTCAATCAATGTACCGTTGAAGTCATCAATTGAAACAATCTCGTCCACTTCAGAATGATCTATGTTGTGACGAGTATATCCAGTCAACTGGAGGGTATGGGCGTTAAGCAAGATGACATTATAGACAAAATATGCTGATTTGCTGAATGTGAAGATCTTTTTGACAGCTTCCGCGTCCATATTAAGAAGAATCACAATAGGAGACCTTGACTCCTCAGATTCGTAGTCTTCTTGGTCATGAGCACAGAAATAGGTTCCGAGATGTGTATCGCTGTTCTTGAAAAGATGGAAAGGCACAGATTTGCTCAAGACCTGAGCCTTACTGATGAGATCCATGACCTTTTGAGACTTTGATAAACCATCTGCACCTGAGGATAATTGGTAGTTTTGAACATTCAGACTCTTGAAGCCATCTTTGTCTCGGAAATTGTTCGTGCCATAAGTGGTAAAATTGAGATAATGGTGATCATCTGCCTCATATGACCGAACTGCCAAATTGTCGATGTCACACCAATACTTCACTCTAAGATCGGGGAAGTGAGAAAACTTTGGAAGAGGTTTCGCATTGATCAACGAGTTCATTAACACTTCAGGCAACAGAAGCGCCGATTTATGGTTGGACTTTTCCACAATTTCAATGAATAGTAAGTGATCAGAGAAAATGATCAACACCTCATTAACGGGATGCTCCGAATATTGATTCAAGACATTAGTGAGTTGATATATCCCAACCACCTTTCTATCCATCCATCCGTACTGAAGTTCTATGGGCCATCCAGTTGCAAGTTCGGTAAGTAACTTTCCAGAAGGTGTGAAGACTCTCTGCTTACTCTTGGGAACTTCCGTTTCGTTATAGCCAAACGAATCGATGATCTCCATGAGTACCTCGTAGTATTTGGTGAGAGGTTCAGTTTCAGTATCTTTCAAACCTACCAAGCTTTCATCCAATGCCCTTTCCTTACCAATATTTTCATATAATCTCTTTATGATCAACTTCATTCGCGGTAGCTCAAAGATGGAGCCAGAAATGACAGTTTCAATGCCACGCACCGTGTAATTGCCCTTATTAATTTCCTTAGATTCAAACACATGATCGTGGTTGTGATGAACAAACTTGGAGTAGTGGGAGTGAAACTTAGACAAGTTGGCCTGGTGTCTGACAAATGCGTTGTAGAAGTATGGCAACATCACGGAGAGCACTTTAAACACTTCCATGTACCCATATTGCTGAGCTCTTGACAATGCATCATGGGTAATGCAATTGACTCTTGTAATCTCATCAATCGTAGGAGGAAATACCAGATTGACTTTTGAAATTCCTAAAGTTGACGTAGGAGACGTACTGAGGGCATCGGCACGCAAGGGAATGATGAAGTCCTGCAAGATACACACGAGATCCATTGTGAAATGAGTTTGAACATCAAGCAACTCTTTAAGGATGGCAGTCACAATCTTGTTGTTATGCAACATGGGCAACGTAGGGTCCTGAGGAGGCATGTATTCGTAGTCCAAAGTTTGATGAGAATACTCAAGAAGTGGATCAAAAAGATGGTTGACTTGTTCGCCTAAAAGCGTAACTATAGTGTTGTTGTCCTCGACTGTTTTGGAGGTATTGAGGGGTGTTTTATTGTTGTATACCACGTCCACGACGCTGCTAGAGATGGAATGGTCTTGCAAGAGGCCCAACAGGAGAAGCTGTTCGCCAATCTCTTCCGGCGTACGACCCACCAACACCTCCATTTTACTGGCCAATGACCCTGCGTTTGTTTCGTCCCAATGCAGAGTCACTGGCACCTGCCCTTTGTTTCTCCACAATTTGTTGTAGTTTTTCAAGTTTGTGATGGCCAAGGCTTTTCTGACGTTGGAATCCTTGTGCTCTGGGTTCAAGTTGTCGCAAGCAGGCCAAAATCTGGAACCGGAATCCAACATGAGATTCTCAAACACATTGGACCCGAACTTGGTGATGGAAACACTACTTAACTTACTAGTAGCTTCGTTCTTGTACACCATGGTGATGACAGGGCCAAAGAAGTGGTCTTCGCCAGCGAAAAATGCCGCATTGGGGAAAATGGTTTTCCAATGAGATAACTGTTTGGTGATCAGGTCATGGGCTCCAAAGATATCGAATTGTCCCAGCAATGGACGGAGCTTAAATGGACTAGTTAGTGGTTGTGTCTTTGAGAGATGTCGTCTGTCATGCTCGCGTGACGTGTAGTTTTGATAGATATTCATGGTGGAAGGAACAAAGATTGTTGGATCAATGACACTTATTATTTATGATAGTTGAATGCAATGGAGATGGCAGTTAGATCTTTATCCGGTTATGGCCAAAAGAATAACAAAGTATACTGTGTGCTTGAGGTCACGTGCTCTGGAGAAAAAACCAAAAACTTCTTAGTAATGAATGGTGATGATGGTGTATGAGGATGAAAAATGAAAATTTTGAAATAGAGGATCACGGAAAGCCAATGTCGATGTTGGTTGATAAGTGGTGGCCAGCAGGTGTCGTATATATATTGGCAGGTTGCTACACATTAGTTATGCGTCGAACGTCTTTTGTGAAGGATTGTGTGCAACGATCTGGGAGGAAATTTAGGTGCGGATTACGATGAGTGGCTAGACATGGAATCAAGTGAAATGAAATGAAATGACATGGAAACGATGCAATTACTCCCGATAAGTGGAGAAATAGTCATGAAATTGAATATATTGCCCCTGATAAAATACATTTTAATGAGATTATGAGAATAGCAACGCAAGTACAAACACTAAAGAACAATAATTAGATTCGACATACTGGAACTATCCACCGTACAATGACGTAGCTTCATTTAGTAGTAAAATCATAAAATTATTATATTATTAGATCCTTCTACAATTTGCTTCATCAAATCCAGCGAATTGGCAATATCCAAGCGAAAGAATAGCACCATGTACAAGTTCTGGGTGAAGTGCATAATGGCTAATGGTACTTTGGGCCCTGATTTGTCTGAATAGTGATAGTTCTATTATTCAGGAATGGTTAAGGATTCTACAAATTTCTACATCAGTTTGCACCTAATGGTGCTCAAACTTTCCGAATAAATCACTATGATAAATTGGATCATTCAAGTAGGACACTGTTTCAGCCGTAAATGCGATCGTGACATCTGCTTGTAGTTGTGTATTTAAGAGATAAGCCAAACTTACCGATAGCGCTTTGTTACCTGGTGGTTTGGACAGAAAGCTTCATTAATTTTGCTTCACGATGTAAAATTTTTAATTATACTGTCGTTAATGGAGAATTGCCTTTATTTGTGAGTATTGAACCGAATAGTTGGAATCAAGAGTTTGTTCACAAACTTTCTTTAATCTTAAACCCAAATCAAAATTTGATTGGCCGAATACAACGTCTGAATGGCTCAAGCACTGGAACAATAAGATGGAGATGGCCGTGATCAGCATCAGTATCATCCAAATCAGCTCTTGCAATCAAGTAGCCCCGAAGAATCAAAAGACTGGCACTACAGCAAAAAAACGCAACTCCAGCAAAAACGGAGGAGTTCACGTACTGATCTGGATCCACAAATCCATGGTTTCCTGATTTTAGTGCAATTCCAATCACAGGTGAAGCAAGCCCAGCCAAACCCAAAAATGGCCATGACATACACACTCCAACACCCACATTTCGCAAGCCTACAAGCCTAGCCAAAATAGGTGGGGTGCTTCCGAAAACACTTCCCATCATACTACCCAAAATCAAGCATAACACAATAACAGTAGCAAAATTTCTAGCAGGGATCCACATAGCGATTGAAAACACTCCGCAGAGAACGTATGCACAGATAGTTATGTTCATAACACCAAACTTGTCGGAAAGCTGCCCGACAATAGGTCTACCAACCAAGTTTCCAACTTGAACCATTGCCGAGGCTATCGAGCCTTGGTATGGAGTGTAGCCCAAAGATGTGGTGAAGTTGGCCATTCCGTATAACACGATCACATAACCTAGCATACAGAAAATGTAATACAAGCAGAAGACCCAGAAACCGACGCTGCGCATAATCTCTGAGTCATACAAAGAATTCTTGGACTCAATTCGGGATCTAAGAAGAAAAATTGAGATCCAAGTAAGACAGAAACACAAGATAGACTGTACACGCAAAGCCCAAAAGACCGACTTGGCCTCCAACACTTTTTGCATTCCCAAGTTAAACACCAATCCTCCACATCCCGAACCAGCTGCTGCTATCGAAGATGCAAGGCTTCGCTTGTATTTGAACCATTGGGGCAAGATGGTCATAGTAGGAAGATAAATGAAGGCAAGTCCAAATGACTGAAGTAGACCCTGCGTGAGATAAAGCTGCCACAAACGTTTAGCAAAAGAAGCCATCATCAACGCAGCAAATTGGAAACAATTGCCCAAGATGATGGTGGGACGCATCCCAATTCTACCCTGGATGTAGTTGATAGCTGGAGCAAATACTAAGCCCACACCGAATGTCAAGCCTCCAATTAATGCGTAGTCATATTTGTCTGCACCAGCGAAAGTGTCGTTATTCAAGTAATACGACAAGTAGATAGCGAATCCCGAGTTTGCACCCCACGCAGTAAAGTTTAAAAGGAAACAAGCAAAAACAATAAGCCATCCATAGCCGCCGTCAGGGATTTCCGAATACAGTACAGAAGTCTCCAAAGGTTTGTTTTTCTCATGAGTCATTGGCAGACCTAAATTGCGAACTCTAATGTCTCTGACAGTTCCCATCGTAAATCTTGATCCCGTGAAAAAAGAAAATCGGAATGGAATACCTGGATAAAATTATCAGATCTTGAAAAAGTGTAGAAAAGTCGTCTTGAAAGTCACTTTCATATACACCTTCGACTGAATGTGCGATGATATCGGAGTTCAAAATCTGTAGAGAATGGTGATTAAATCGTCAGTTGGTAGGCAAACGAAGGAGACTTAAATACCTTTCTTGACTTTCGATTCCGTGTTAACGCCGCTTGTTTATGCCTTTCTGTCTTTAGAGAAGTCCGGTGCCGTCATTGAATCTCGGCTGTTAATCCCAATTAGTGTCTGTATCTCGGAATGTGTCCAATCTACTCGGAAAGTACGATCCGAAGCTCCGACATTTATAAGACATCTGTTTAACTATGTCTGCCTTGCTACTCAACTTTGGAGGCTTATTGCACAACGGGCCCATTTTCTAAAGCCGAATATCGGTCATAGATGAGAATGATTATAGTTCGATGGTCACAAAAAGTGCTATGCATTCACTAATTCCTTTAGAATGGATGACAGAGGCACACTGCCTGTAGTATAGTCCACTTGGGAATTAGCTTCATTTGTAATTAAATTCCCAGGTCCCCTTATACTGCTTTAGCAATTGCATTCAAATGCCCAATCTTTAGCAAGGAGTTAGCGACTCAACCTCTATGGACTGATCAAGGTTGAGATATGTGCATATGGACACTGGTGTATTTTGTGCCATGAGGTCGAAATGGTCGGCCGAATCGACAGTTCGGGACCGATAAAATAATTAATCAAATTTTTTTATCCGATATCTCCTTTTAATTGGCTTTCTGTACTATCAGCCTCATTTCAGCATAATATCCTCTATTTCACCTCTTCCTGGAGAATTGCCCAAGTTTTCAGGCAGTTCTATCTGTCATTTCTTGGGTTATTTACACCATTTCCGGGAAAAGCTCTTTCTAGGAATTAACAATTTCCGACTGTTCAAAGCTTCTCGAATATCAACTTTTATAAATTCAACTTTCCTATATTTGGCCTTTCCTATTCTCAACCTTTCGTAATCTCAACCTATTTTCACCCAACCTCTTCAGTCCTTATGTACTGAAAGTTACCGTTCGTGGATCTGTAGGGACGCCGTTAGCATCGACACCATTGGCCCGCATCTTTTCACGCAAATAGCGAAGCCTAGCCTCGTCGAATGTCAAGTTGTGTCTCTGCATCAAACTCCGAATTTCCTCCTTAGCTGCCTCATCCAACGTTCTCGGATCATTCTTGGCTATGTTATCAGTAATGTTAAAATTGTTACTGGAAAATCCATTCTCTAAGTCACCCTCAAACCCTGTAGTTGCGAGTCGGTTCCATCTTCTCTTATTTCGCCAAATTTCAAATCTCTCAGCCAACTTCCGGCGACAGTGGAAGGCAAGCACCAAAAGCACAATCACCACAAACAAAAGTACGTGGTGAGACTTCACCTTTGGCAATTTATTTGAAGGCTGCTTCTGTTCTTGTTGAGCCATATTTGTTGAATTATTTCATGAGGTCAGGTGGGGATTGAGTACTCATAAAGGGCAGTCTCAGCCTTGTTTTTTGTACAGGTATTACCCCGGATCTACTGACTTGCAACTCTCTATACCCACCCAAATCTGCGGTCCTGTATTACCATATACTCTCTTAGCATGCTAAACTTTTAAGTCTAAGCTCAATTAGCAGATACACATATCGTTTCGTCATTTTACATCAAACTTTTATTCAACATTACAAAAATACAACATCTAGTTCATGTCCACATCGGCCTCAACAGCTGGCTCTTGCTCCACTACAGGGTCTGCTTCGATTTCTTGTGCAGCCTCAGCTGCAACGTCAATAGGAGCATCTTCAGCAGCATCAACTATCGCATCCTCACCATCAACAGCAATGTCAACAGAGTCGCCTGAACCTCTTTTAGCAAAAGTTATCAGCAAGTCTCTACCTCCGTAGTTGTAACCATGCAAGTTCTGAATGGCAGAAGCAGCAAGATCCACCAGCTCAAACTCCACCACAGCATTTCCACTAGCTCTGCCTTGTTCATTGTACTTAATCTCGGCCTTGTTGACGTGGCCAATGGTCTCGAACAACTCAAACAAGTCGCTCTCAGTGGTGATGTATGGCAAGTTACCAGCAAAGATAACGGCAGATTCTGGACCATTGCCAGTGACACCCTCAGTGAATGGAGTGTTCTTATGGAAAGGGATGTCTCTGTCCTTCTTGGAAAGGTCTCTGCCTGGACGGATGTCGATTTGTCTGCCCTCAAGATTGTAGCCCTGGAACTTCTCCACAGCTGCAGCAGCCTCTTCAGGAGTGTTAAAAACCACCGTACCAAAACCTCTGGACCTACCCCACTTGTTCTGCTTGATGTCAGCTCTTACCACATCACCTGCTGATCTCATCAAGTCCTTCAATGTTTGCCAAGTGACTGAAAATGGCAAGTTACCCACGAATACTTCTGTTCCGGCCATTGGAGGTTCGTTGAAGCGGTCTCTTCTTTCAGATCTATCAACCCTCTCTGGTCTTTCGGATCTCTCGGATCTTTCACGCTCTTGTCTTCTCTTTTCCTCTGGAGGTGGGTAATCTTGTCTGACAAAGATTTCTCTACCATTCAATTCGGTTCTGTCAAACTTGGAAATGGCGTTGTCCACCTCGTCTTTGCTGGAAAACTCCACTGTGGCCATACCACGAGAACGACCACGGTTGGTGACAATGTCGGCTCTCACAATTGTGAAGTTAGAGCCAAACATATCCTCTATATCCTTGGCAGTCGTCTCAAATGGGATGTTTCCAACGAAAATTGAGTGATTGTAGTTACGCTCCACTTTGGATCTGTGGTCGTCAGCGGCAGCCACGGTAGATTCATGCGAAGGTGGTCTTCTTCTTTCTCCTCCTCTGAATCCTCCCCTATCACCTCTTTCTCTTCTGGAGTATCCGCCTCTTCTCTCTCCTCTGTCATCTCTTCTCTCTCCTCTGTCTCTGTCTCCTCTTCTCTCTCCTCTGTCTCCTCTACCCCCTCTGTCTCCTCTACCTCCTCTGCCCTCTCTTCTGTCCCCACGGGGTGCCTGGTAGTCTCTTCTCCTTGGAGGAGACTTTGAGCGAGTTCTCACAGGCGATCTGGAGCGATCCTGACAATTAGCATTTTGATATATAAATTGACACTCAAAGCAACACCGAACTCGACACATTGACGTGGTTTATGCCCGGATTCCATGCTATAGTTTCAAACATGTTGAACCCCTTTAAATAGGCGGTCTGATCTCACTGGAAAAGTCCACAATTCATAGACACATGATGAAGCTGCATATATTGAAACATACCCTTGAATAGTCATCAATGTCGATATCGTCCATGATATGATGATGATGATAGTCTGTATTTGGATGGGCGACTTTTTCATACTGGAGTCAACTCGTCATCCTGCAGGACAACTCTCGTAAGGCTCAATGAAATGGTTAGGGTATTAGGAGGTGGGGCTTAAATTAGTTGCTGATTTGGTTTATTATATTATCTCACAATACTTTCCATACGTCGTCCTCTCTCTTAAATTTCTTTTTTCTTACTCGCTTAATCTTTGTAAGTGGATTTAACTCCATGGTTAGGGCTGCACACGCGAGTTTTAGATCTTGATAACCAGCCTTTAGCAAGGAGTTACCAGCAAAACATCAAAGATTATATAACAAGACCAAAAAAAAAATATTGAAACATGTGACTTTTGAATTTATTTTGGTTTCCGAATATCTTGCCTTTGGACACTGAAAGCATCAGAGAGAATAGACAAGTGGCTAGTGAGTGTAAAGTGCATTCTCTGTTAGCAAGAGAGAGGTTTTTCGGCCAGGCACCTTTTCTGAAGTGGATCTACCACACACGAATGCAAGAAGGTTCGTGTAGTCCCCGTTAACGTTCTGGGAATGGCAACACAAGCCGTCTCTCCACCTCTGTCTCCTTGTTCACCTCCTCTTCTCCGTCGAACTTTAACCTTACCGTTCCATCTTTCTTTTGACCTACCACCACCGCAGGATAGAACGTAGTAGTTTCTGGATATCTGGCCAAAACCTTGGTACCGTATGGATAAGATATAAGGTTGGGAACCTCCAGCTTGGAAGGAACTAGCAAGATCTCCTTGTAGTTTGCCTTGAAAGTTTGGCCCGGGTTGTTATTCTCATCCGGCTCCGGGTCACGAATCTCGTACTTGGTGCCGTCTCCCAAGATTTTCGTTACCTCACACTGGATCCACTCTTCAAAGTGCCTGTTTTTAAGCTTATAAGCAACCTCCGACCTCACCATGATGGGTTCCAGAGGATCATACTTCGACACCCAATACAGCCTGCCGTATTTCGAGTTGCCTTTCTTACCCTTGAGGTTTTTCCCGCTGGATTGGTTCTTGGATGATCGCAGAGCTACCGTGGCCTGCTGCTGCTGCTGCTGTGCTTTTTCTGCCTTGGCAATGAGCGTCTGGAGATTCTGCTGTGATGTTGAGATAAGTCTCTTTGCCGTGCCAATGTTGAGAATGTGATCGTTTATTTCTTCCTTAAGTGCTTCCAAGTCTGCCTCGTTTAGGTTTCGAAGCTTTTTCTCATCATAGTCTTCGAATATTTCGTCAAAAGAGAGCGATTCATTGGCATTGCAGATATCCTGGAGCGACGACACTACAATGTCCCAGTATCCATCTGTGTCTTCCACTGCCATTTCTGCTGAAGGTAATGAAGAGTTGATTGTTGATGAATGCCTTCATGCAGTAGGCGAGGTGAAACCCGTCGATGTGATTTTGATGTGGCATAAGCAGCAAGTGAAAAAGAAGGTTTGGAATATCGAAGGAGTTTTGGGAACTTCAATTGAGCTTTTATTATATTTGAGCGATGCTCGTATGGTTTCGGTGCCAATTATTTGACATTCTGTTGCATATTAGATAGGAAAGGGCCGACTCAAGTGCTTATTATTATGCTCTTTGCACCATGAAGTTGAGGATTTTAATAAGAATCGTTACATTTATTTTGTAGGTAAATAATAGTTTCTTCTCCTCGGACGTGAATATGTGTTTTTTGACAACATCGGACATATGTTTACGTTCTTGACTTTATGCGAATAACTAGAAACTGTTTAGCCTTGTGCTAAGGTGATAATCTGTTTGTATTCAGACAATTTCAATTGAAATAACCATATAAAGAAAGAAAAAACCGATTTTTAAGTAGGGAATTTATTTACTTGATAGGCGTTTGAATTTAAATCCAGTGTCATATGAATTTTCCGTAATCTCGTCTCTGCCTGATCATCTAAATGGCAATTCTTCAGGTCAACCTATACTTACGCAACTGACCTATAGCTGCCTTCACACACTCTGATCAAAAATTCTACTCTTTTCCCGAATATTCAAAAAGTGGAAAAATTATAATCTTCACACATCACAAAAATTTGCAAAGTGTAATATCAGAAGCCGTAACCATTTGACTTACTACTTCCACTGTGCATACCATATACATTACAAATGAAGTGCGGATCGATACCTACTCTACCAGAAACCACCTGATGTCCTTGTGGTATTTCTGCCTATTTATGGCCCAACTTATCCAGCTAGGGTCATACTTTCTTATATTGCATCAGATAATTTCCAAGAAGTCCGTGGCTGGTCTATCGTGTGACTTCACTCTATTGTCATGGTTATCTTCAATATCAGCATCGGGCTCAGGTTTGGCCTACCAATATCTGGAGAGGATAAGATCCCAATACTCCATTCGGTATCCAGTTTACAAGGATATCCATACAAGCATTGCTATCTCAATGATTGATTTGGTCAGTCTTATTGTGACATCCATGATGTTGTTCCATCAATTTGTAACCTATCGAAAGTCAATAATCGGGGACGACTGGATCAGTCTACCCATAAAAGTTCTTGTTTTGGGACAAGCTGCATTCTTTTTATGGTTTGTGTCCCTATTTACTCGTGGCAGGGCTACCATTAACGAGTTGGACCTTACGGACTGTGCATGGACAATTGGAACCATATGCTTTGGTATCCGCCTCATATCACAAGTATCCAATAACTTTTGGATACGTTACTTTCGTCCTCATCGCAAGTTTTTGCTATATCAAAGCATATCCATGGCTTTGGCAATTGGTGGCTGGGTGATATCTCGACACATGAATATCAGATGGCATCAAATGCCCGCTAACGTTATGAGTCAATTCGTATTGGGCCCCAATGTAATATGTTTATTGGTACTATCAATTCAAGCATATAGGTCGGGAAAGCTGAGGATGTACTTGCCAATAGGAGGTCATTGATCCAATCGACCCTCCAACACCATATACCAAGTTACTAAACAATTTGAAATGGCAATAGGTCGGGTATTGAATTCTCATACTTTCAAATTCATACTTTCTCCATAAGTTTCTCATATAAATCACATCCGTATGATCCACATCATGTTTGTGTCTCTTAACTTTTGAATATTACAAGCATACTTCACCTGCACAGACACATGCAACCACTCCACTAGTACAAATTTTGCACCATCTACCCAGTGATGAATCTCCGGTGTTTTTCCACGTCAGTTCGGAGATGGGCCAAGAAATCTAATGTGGAAGCTCCACTGAAGTACTTAGGCCGAGTCAGCAACAATTTATCCTCGGGAGTGGTGGGTCTTGCCAATGTTGGAAAGTCTACCTTTTTCCAAGCCATCACCAAATCTACCCTCGGAAACCCTGCCAACTACCCTTTTGCTACCATAGATCCTGAACAATCGCAAGTTATGGTCGAAAGTCCTAAACTTGACCATCTCCAGAGTCTTTATGGTTCGGTCAAGAAAGTTCCATCCTCGCTCAAGATCTACGATATAGCAGGACTTACCAGAAACGCTGCCAGCGGAGCAGGGCTCGGCAACAAGTTTTTGGCAGATATTAGACAAGTGGATGGTATATTTCATGTGGTGAGAGGTTTCAGAGACGACGAGATTACCCATATCGAGACAAGCGTGGATCCAGTCAGAGACATGACCATTGTGACTGATGAGCTTATTTTGAAAGATCTTGACTTCATCGAGACTGCAGTGGATAAGGCACAAAAGGCACTCAAGAAGCCTCATGCAGACAAAGCAGGCATCCAATTTGAACTTGATACGCTCGATAAGATCCTGGAGGTGTTATATCTGGGTCGTAAGGTCGCAGCAGAAGAATGGACAGATGCAGAGATTGAAATCATCAACCCGCTCAATCTTCTTACCGCAAAACCCACTGTGGTGTTGCTTAACGTGAATGAAGCGGACTATGCGAGAAACGATAACGAGTTTAGGAGCTCTGTGGAACTGTGGATCGCTGAAAATTCACCAGATGACCAGCTTCAACTATTCCTGGCACAATATGAGACCCAGGTCAATCAGCTCCAAGAATCACCTGCAGAATTGCAGGAATACATTGGTCAATATGGTCTGAAGAAAAGTGCCATGGCTCCTATTGTTGACTCCATGAGAGATGCTCTCCACCTTATTCTGTTCTATACTTGTGGACCCAAGGAGGCCCACCAATGGACAGTGAGAGCAGGATCAAGTGCTCCAGAAGCTGCTGGAGCCATTCATACCGATCTCCAGAAGACGTTTATTCTGGCTTTGGTTTATAAGTGGGAGGATTTACAGCACGAGAATGCACCACTCGACGAGGGTGCTTTAAAGAGTAAAGGTAAGCAGCATAGGTACGGAAAGACATATACTGTCGAGGATGGAGATGTGATGACCATCAAAGCTGGAGGAGGAAAATCCAGGTAGATGAAGTAGGAAGTTCCGGATAGAAGGTGGCAATAAGATGTCGACTGATTAAAGAACATTCTGAAGAGGAGGATCTTGATAGATCAATAAATTCTGGCTACCTTGTCAGTAGCAGATAGTACATAGAATTGACATGAAAAACTTTACACATCTTTTTTTGTTGTCAATCTCTTGACGAACGCCCAATTTCTCAATGTCTCCAGATGTTTTCATTGTTAAATCAACACGTAAATCGTGCCCTAAATGCCAATTCTAATTAGTCAATACTAGGTGGTAACAATAGTGAATAATCAAATACGTTGCACCAAAAAGAAAAAAATAAGCATGACATGACCTACAATGATTTCCATATTCGTAAGTTTTCATATTTCTCCACACCGACTCTAAGCCATTTTTACCTCTTTCATCGATCGATCTGACGGTTACGAGTAATCTCAGTGTGTCCCAACCAAGATGTTGCCTTTCCGAGTAGTTTTTCCCATCCGTGACTGAGACACCAGTTTGGGAAATTCTTGGCCCATTGGCTAGTCAGTATCCAGTAATGATGGAGTGGCTAGAAAACAATCAGCCAGTGAGAAGCCTGTAAAGCAGCTATAATTGAAGTCGAAATCCAAATAAAGCCCCTCCAAAGTATCTCCTCCCTCACAAAATTCAACAATCTTGTCTCTTTCTGTTGGCGCACGAATCTGCGTCGAAGGCTTTTTCCCAATCCTACAACTTTCACTTCCAACTATCCGATCCGACGAGTTGGGGACGCACACAACACCTCAAATCCTTGTTACTATATCCCGAAGTTCCTGCGACTATCCACCAACAGAGACTTTTTCGTTCGTAACGGCCCCTCCTTTCTTTTTTGGAGCGACCACGACTTATCGCTATCTTATCTGGGAATCCGCACCAACTCACAATCAGATTCTTTTTTACCTTCCCCCTCACTTATCTGGCCTGGATTATCTCGACACAGCAAGACTGACGTTGTTTTTGTTTTCCGTGTCTTCACTTTCTTCCAGTACTTTCCATCTCTCACCCGCAAAGGTTCAGTCAATCTTATCGTCCCTTCTTGGGAGTTCATGGTCGTATCCAGAGTCTCCAAACTAGTCGTACCCACTCGTCCAAGAATGCTCGGATCTCTTTACAATTATGTGTTTGGCTCGCATTCTGTCGATGCGCCCAAGCCTTACTCTACGTCCAACACTGTGCTTGCGCTGGATGTCGCCGAGCTGTTTCATCCTCGTTTAAGCACCATCTTCCAGCAGTTGGATGCCATCTCGCCTCGCTTCACCGTCAAGGGCTCATCCATCCGAATCCTACTGGAGCCTAGCGAGTTTTACTCCACCTTGAAGCAGAAAATTGCCACTGCAAAGTCCAGAATCTTCTTGAGTTCGCTTTATGTGGGTAAAACCCAAGAGGAATTGATTGAATGTTTGGCTGATGCTTTGTCTAAGAACGTCGAATTGAAAGTCTACGTGCTTACTGATGCATTGAGGGGAACTCGTGAGGCTCCTCAACTGCACTGTCTGGCGCTGTTGCTTGTGTCATTGGTAGAAAAGTTTGGTAAACATAGAGTTGATGTCAGAATGTACCATACCCCTCATTTGAGTGGCTTCAAGAAGAATTGGGCCCCCAAGCGGGTCAATGAAGGCTTTGGTTTGCAGCACATGAAATTATATGGCTTTGACGATGAAATCATGTTGAGTGGCGCCAACTTGTCCGAGGACTACTTTACAGACCGTCAGGACAGATACTACTTGTTCCAGGACAAGCGCTTGACAGACTTCTACTTTCAAGTGCAATCGGCTATTCTGAGCTTGTCCTACCAGCTTTTGACAACCACCAAGCCCAAAGGGTTCCAAAACTTCCGGTTATCGTGGCCTACTTCCAACAAATCGTGCGAGCCCGATTTGAACTTGCAGCGTTTCATCAGTGACCTGTCATTTTTGTTGGAGCCCTTGTTGAAACAGCATTCTCTCGGCTCATTCGAGGAATACACCGACACAAACGACTTTGACACCATCATTTACCCGGTCTTACAGTTCACTCCGCTTTTCAAGCGTGACCATGATGTGTCTACCGAAAAGCCTGCAGTTTTACGTATCTTGTCATACTTAGATTCCCCGAAGATCCGGTGGTGGTTTACCGCTGGCTACTTCAACATGCTTCCTCAAATCCAGGAGAGATTGTTGAATGGTCATGCTGAAGGAACCGTAATCACGGCATCTGCTAAGGCAAACTCATTTTACAAGTCACCAGGTGTGTCATATTACATTCCAGAGGCATATCTTTTGATCGCGAAGAAATTCTTAGAGCTTGTCAAGACGCGGGGCAAAGAAAACTTGATCAAGTTATACGAATGGCAAAATGGCATTGTTAACACAGTTGGTGGATGGTCTTACCATGCGAAGGGAGTCTGGGTTACTGTTCCCGACGAAAATGAGCCATCGATTACCATAATTGGCTCATCAAACTTCACCAAGCGTGCCTACACATTAGATTTGGAGGCCAATGCGGTCGTCATCACCAAGGACGCAGATTTAAAGCATCGCATGCGTGCTGAAATTGAGAATTTGATGACACACGCCCACGAATTGACGTTGGACGATTTCAAACCCAAGGCTGTTGAAAACTCCAACGAAGAGCCTAGACTCGATGCACAAGGCAATCCAATCATGCCACCCACCGTGTACGCCGTTGATGAAGATAGACGCATCAGCTACGGTGTTCATTTGGCATTGAAACTCTTTGGAGGTAAGCTTTGAGACAAACATTGACGCATTCATTGACGCATTCATAACGTTTCTATTCTACAATAGTAAATTCAATGTTCCTTCCAGTTCCTATGTTTGGTTAACTATCTTCAACTTAACCGGCTCAGCCAAGAATTGGGTTGCGTTGGTAGTGATGAAGTTAATATACTTGTTGTACGGGTATGAATTGGATGTGTAAAATGTATCATTCCCATCATGTTGCACGTAACCTTCACAAATGGTGAATCCACCGAAACCTGTTGTAGATGCATTGGTGTACAAAACCAGGTTATGGTAGGCAAGGTCACCCGAAATTGCCAACGGCAAATTTGCTGAAGTGTCCCAAAGTTTACCATCAAAAGTGAAAAAAGGAACTTCTTCTTCACACTCACATCCCGCCGGGTGTTCAGCATCATACACCACCCTCACATTATCATCATATTTGAGGAATCTAACAAAAGATCCGTCTTGTCCATCTTGTTCAATTTGCAACTGAAATTTAGCCAACGTAAGAATAGGAAATACAATTAAGAAGAGAAATTTGGAAGTCATCGATAGTCAATAGTGGTGTATCATTCCTGGCAGTTTGATCACTACTTATAATCCACTCCCAATGTGCTCTTAACCAAGACTTCTATTAATAACGGAACAATTGTTATTTTTTGCATATTCATTACTTTTAATTCATATGAATGAACACATGACTAGTAGTGTAGTATGTGTTGTCATATAAAGAGAGAATCACACATGAAGTAATTTTAGAAAGTGTTCAGCATGTGGCTGTGTACGGTGGAGTCAATATTGCTATGGGAGGAGTTAATAAGCAAGATCTGACTAATTCGATTGACATAGTGTGTCTCATATAGTAAATCATTGAGCAGAAGAATGGCAATTTAGGGAAACGTCATCTCTCAGAAAACACTCTCGTTGGTGATAAAGCCTGAGGACGTTCCTGAGACGTATTCAAACAAACATCTTGCATTCAAAAAACTCTACAGAAAGGGTGACTTATTTTCTAATAACAGACTTTATTTTTGGCAGCTGTTACCACTTGGGAATGACTAGTTGATACCGTAGCCAATGACATGACCTGGAAGAATCGCATTGCACCTGTCGCTTCGGGCGATGATGGTATCAATTAGTTGAATTTCCTCTCCACCGGATTCAGATTAAGAATTGAGTAGCCCTAGATCGACTTTCAAGATAATTTCCTATGTTGAATCCAATTTCCTATTTTTTTTTATAAGGGACAATGACCTTTGTTTACTGTTGCAAGAGCCATTATAACTTGTTTTGTCATTTCTATCGAAAAATGAATAGATACATCGATTCAAATTCAACTTGTCACTGGATTGCAACTGAGTAAACTAAGATATCTCTCTTTTTATTTGATTTTTTTTTTTTTTTTATGATTCTCGGGTACCAAATCGTAAATGTACATACTCCTTAAAAAAATATTCCACAACAAAGTCCGAGATAGTTTAGTGGCTAGAATTACCGCTTGTCGCGTGGTAGACCGGGGTTCAATTCCCCGTCTCGGAGCACTTCAAGCGCAAGTGGTTTAGTGGTAAAATCCAACGTTGCCATCGTTGGGCCCCCGGTTCGATTCCGGGCTTGCGCATTTTTTTGATTTTTTTTTCCTATATTACGATCGAAGCAATACTTAATACTTAATCATTGATAATATCTAAGAGTTTTAACATGCTCTCTCACGCACATCCTTTCTCACGTTCTCCACAGTAATTCCCAGCACACTGCACGCAGACAGCCCGCGCCAACATCATAATCCTGCGTAAATAGCAGCACCAAATACCGAAAAAAAATCTCTAAATCCAAGTATACTATTAACTTCACTGTCTAGAACCATGTCGTTACTCAGGCAAGCCAACCAGGCTAGCCAGATGGTCAAGACCGGACCTGCTGGATTTCTTAGCCAGATCCGTACAGCCACGAAAAGAGCAGCCGGTTCCAGAACAAACAAAAATGACTCTGCGGGTAGAAGATTAGGTCCAAAGGCATATGAAAACCACTTCGTGAAGCCTGGTCAGATTATCATGAGACAAAGAGGTACCAAAGTGCACCCTGGAGAAAATGTTGGAATCGGTAACGACCACACAATCTTTGCTTTGGAGCCAGGTTATGTCCGTTTCTACATGGACCCATTCCACCCTTTGAGAAAGTACGTTGGTGTGGCCTTGAAGAAGGACTTGAGTTTGCCAACACCTCACTTTGATCCTCGTGTGAGAAGATTTGGCTACATTCCGTTGGAGGGAGCCGAAGCCGAAAAGGAAGAAGCACACATGTCCAGAAAAGAATACCTTGCGCAACCTGAGTTGCAACTTCGAGCACAAAAGGAGGCCGAAGCTGCCGCCGAGACCATCGCAATTTATCAGAAAGTGATCTCTAAACAATCTGAATTGTCTACTGAGCAAATAGAGCTTGGAGCATCTAGGTTGCATTTCATCGCCTCCAAGATTAGAGCTGGTGAAAGTGTCGAGTTTGCTGCCGAACAGGCCACGTTCAATCAAGTTTTCGGTTTGGAGTTGGCTGCTACCAGAGGCGATCTCTCTGCCGAGGAGCTTTCTTCTCAGAGCGCAGCTTATGTTGCATTTGCTTCAGAATTTGACTCGAAATTCTCTGTGGATTTCGCTGGAAAGATCTACACCCCATTGAGTGCAGAAGAAAAGACTGCTGCGCAGACTTCAGTGAAGGGCCAATTGGATGAGTTCAAGAACAAGATTCTCTCCGGTGATGAGAAGGAGACTGTGAGAAAGCTCATTGGTACTCCAGGACTTTTCTCTCACGGCGAGCAATTGGAGTTGAGAGATACTTACTTGCCAGAGGTGTTGCCAACCACTGTTCCAGGAACTGTAGTGGAATCTCCTGGCAAGAAATTGCCTAAGGGAGCTGTGACTGTGCGTACATTCAACGAGGATAGATCGGTGGACACTGTTGTGAGAACTAAGGAGGCGTTTGCCTAACCTGTTTAGTCGTCTTGTAAATAGAAATGGAAGATGGAGAGGAGAGGCAGTAAAGGAGAACTTTTAGGTGAAGAGTAATTTTAGGTACTTTTAATGACCGGAATCTAATACACTTAAAGGGGTGTTGAGTTTGAGTTTTTGCCGATTAAAGTGTCCGAAATTCACATAGGATGATCTCTGGTATTTTTAACACGATGTGAAAACCGGGTTGTAGATAGCTGGTATAAGTTTCAACAATAGAATAGGATGTCTTTGATGCGGAAATTTCTAAGCGACTGAACGTCAGAAGAGGAAAGTTTTAACCGATCACCACAGAAAGGACCCGAAAACTTAAACAAGAATGCGAAGGACTATCATCCAAAATTAAGGGACACTGCTTCCTCTTGTTCAATCCTGGGTTCTTGGTGCACCACTCAATTTGTGGGTGCGATAGTCGAATCTGTCACCAAATGTTCCGCACTTTGACACATTTGACGGATCATACAAAAAACTAGAGACTGCTGGTTGCCGGGGTTAACGATAAGAAATAGGATATTCTGAATCCGAAAATTTCCGTTCTCTACACTAGAAACAATAGACCTACTCATTACCAATTTATTTCCGCTATTGTGTATGTTCATAACCGTCGGATGTCAACGTACTTTCTTCCGAGTAGTCTAACGGTTTCCGCGCGGAAATTCCGACCACTATATATAATCTACTTATCGCTCATTTTACTCTCTTTACTGACTATGCGTGGACTCCCCTTGGATTCCTCTTCTTCAGGTAAGAGATGGCGTGTGTTGGCCGCAGCATTGGCGGCCGTAATTATTCTAGGCTTCTCCACTCACTTGTTTTCATACATTGCTATCTATCTCACTGCAGATGCCACAGATTTATGTCCAGTGTGGGATATCATGAGACCCGAGAGTTTCTACAAGGACAACAGTACCGTCTTGAAGATTTTGTACGATAGCGAGTTCAGAGCACTCTCCATTGACCATTGGTCCAAGGCAGTTCAAGTGGATACTCAAATCTACGACTCTCCTCCACCAGTCGATGAGCACCCAGAAGCTTGGACTAAATTCAAGAAGTTCCACCAATACTTGGAGGACACATTTCCACAGGTCCACACTAAGTTAGAGAAGTTCACTGTCAACACATACGGTTTGGTATTCTATTGGAAAGGCTCGGACGAGTCTTTGAAGCCAGTGATGCTTACTGCCCATCAAGACGTGGTGCCAGTTCAGAAGGACACATTGGGTGACTGGACTTATCCGCCATTTGAAGGACACTGTGATGGTGAATACTTATACGGAAGAGGTGCTGCAGACACCAAGAACGTTTTGATTGCCATCATGGACACATTGGAGCTTTTGTTGAGCGAAGGCTACGAACCTAAGCGTGGCATTGTGGCTGCTTTTGGAATGGACGAAGAGGTTTCTGGATTCCACGGTGCTGCTCATATCTCGCAATTCCTCGAGGAAAAGTTTGGCAAGGACGGAATTTATGCCCTTGTTGATGAAGGTGGAGGACTCACTGTTGACCCACCAACAGGAGCCATTGTTGCTCCAATTGGCACGGGTGAGAAGGGATACATCGATGTGATTGTAGACCTTATTACTCCTGGTGGTCACTCGTCTGTTCCTCCAGACCATACCTCTATTGGCATTATGGGTGAGCTTTCTTATATCATCGAAAAGGACCCTTATCAGCCTATTTTCACACCCAAGAACCCCATCTTTGGCTACATGCAATGCTTGGCTACTCACTCTGGTGACAAGATGTCTCCATTGCTTCGTAAATCTATCTTACGTGCTGGTTTCGATAAGTTTGCCAATGGAATTGTTACTAAGGTCATGACTCTGAACTTGGCAACCAAGTTTTTGGTTCAAACTTCTCAGGCCCAGGATATTGTGAGAGGAGGAGAGAAGGTCAATGCATTGCCAGAAAGCGTGCAATTGACCACCAATCACCGTGTGGCCATCGAGTCCACCACGGATGAGATTCTTGACCACTTTGTTTCCAGAGTTGTGGAGGTGGCTAAGAGACACGAACTTGGTGTTGAGGTTGCAGGCAAAACCTACCTCAACGCCACAACTAAGGGTAACTTTAAGGTTTCATTGAGTCACGAAGCTTTGGAGCCAGCCCCTGTTACTCCAGTGGATGACAATGCATGGAAGCATTTGGCTGGATCAATTAGACATATCTACGAGGATTTTGTTTTCAAGAACTTGACTCTGCCTGTTCTTGTCACTCCAGGTATTATGACTGGAAACACCGACACCAGACACTACTGGAACTTGACCAAGAATATCTACCGTTTCACGCCTGTTTTTATGACTAACCTTATCAAGGAGAGTCACGCACACAGTGTTGATGAGAAGATGGGTGTGGATAACCACTTGCAGTTGACTGCATTCTTCTACGAGTACGTTCAGTTGGTGGACAGTAAGAGTGCCGATAATTAGATAATAAAGAGGAATTGAAATGATCTAGTTTGTAATGATTGGAAACACTTTGTTAACGGAACAAAAAATTCTTTAAGTCATGAATGAAATTGTTGTCGGGAGCATTTCGGTGTGTAAGTACTAATTTGTCAATAAACTCATCCATTCGTATGCTTATAAATCGTTGAAGCATTTTGGTCTTTCAACTGAATTGACATAAGGATACCCAACATTCACTTTGCTATTGCTTCACCCATCAGCATCGGTCATTTTTGTCAGACATGGTCTCAAAATATTCAGACCTATTCACTGCTCTTCGGAGTCCATATGTCACTCGGGCAGCATTCAAATGCTCAAAGCCATTACTATCCAATCATGCATTTCCCTCGACTCATTTTCAAATCCTCTTGGTCTTTTTTTCCCTCCTGTTTTTCCACTTTATTCAACGTATTCTCAGTGGTATTCCCCTCAACTCCACTAACTCCCAATTTCAACCGCCTACATCCCGTCCGTAAATCTTTTATTGCCCTAATTAATGTCCTTCTTCTCCAAAGGATTGTATCTCAAGAACTTCTCAATCAAATCAACATGGGTCAACACCATACGACGACAGCAGTATCTCTTCAACTTGAGCTGGTCCAAAGCATCACCTTCCGTCAAAGTCTCATCCTGTAACAACGTCAAGTATGTCTCCCACTTGTCACCCACGACTTTTCCGCAAGAAAAACAACGGATGGGAATAATCATGATGTTGTTTTCAAAGTAGTTTGTGGGTTCAAAATCTCATCAGGTTGAAAACCTAGTCACTGTGGTGCACGGGTGCGCATCTCTCATCGCTGACATTTTTTAACCAAACTACAAAAAAATTCCCACAAACCAATAGATATGGCTGACATCCTCGAAAGATGGGCCGTGACCATGGTCTCGGGTGGCAAACCAGTGACATTTCCCGGTCATCTGTCCTTTCCTGCTGTTAGCTCGCTTGATGGAAAGTACTCCATCGTAGTTTTGGCTCACCAGCTCAGAGTCTATTTTCTCCAGACCAGACAATGTATCAGAACGGTTGATTTAAATGTTGCAAATGCTGTGGCAGTATGGTTGGACCCTGGAAATGGCAACCAGCTTGTGATTTTCTTGCCTTCTACCATTCTTTATGTGAATTGGAAAGAGAAAGTCAGTCAGCCAGTTGTAGCTAGACAGGTGATCAGTCCATTACAGAAACTCACTGAAGTGTTTGCAGTGTCTGAAAAGGCATACTATGCTATCACAAATGTGGATTCTGTTCTTTCCATAGTGAAAATCGATAGGGAACATGCAACAGTGACGAACCTCTTTTCCACGCCTCATGTTCTGAACTACGCTGTCTCTTCCCAAGGTTCCAAGTTGGCTGTGGTTAGTGACTTGAGTACGGTGCTCCTTTTCGATCTCTCCAGTATCTACACCGACATGGCCGAGCCACAGGCAGCTATAGATGCTACAGTGGAGAAGTATCCAGCTCTGACCAAAATCTCATGCATGGCGGTGTCTGATGACGGTATCGTTGCCCTGGGAACGACCACGGGTGTCATCCATTTGATTTACGGAGGTACCAACTCGTCGTTACCCACTAAGTTACTCCGCTGGCACATAGACCCAGTCAGATGCTTGGCTTTTTCTCATGACCACACCTACTTGGTTTCCGGAGGTAACGAGAAGGTGCTTGTGTTCTGGCACTTGGACCTGGACCGTCCCCAGTTTCTCCCTCGTCTCAGCGGTCCTATTGACAGAATTCATGTTGATGCGAACAGACCTGACCACTACTCGGTGGCCTTGCTCGTGGATGAGCCAACATACTCTCTTAATTCTATGTCTAAACCATCTCATGAAATTGTCACTATCCTGGCTGTGGATTTGATTTCCAGACTTTCTGTGAGCCCCATCAGACCAAACTTCGCTACTGGTTTGGAGACCCGTTCTCGCAAAAAGCACCACAAGGCTATGTATGATATCACAGCCCCCGTTTCCGTGCACCCCACCACACGCCACCTTTACTTTGCTAAAGGACCTTCCATCCAGGCTTTTGACGTTGTCAGAGGCGAGCAGGCGTTTGTCCAGCACGCAGCACCCCAGATCTCTACCGGTAGAGTCAAGAGCGAACACAATGTGGCCGATCCTACCGTAACAATGGTTTCGTTTACTCCCGACGGTAACTGGATGGCTACGTTTGATAGTATGCCCACTCTGGACTTTGACAATCTTTTGCTGAAGAATGATACTGCCTACGCATTAAAATTCTGGAGACAGACTGAAGCCGGCTGGAATTTGGCTCTGAAAATCGTTGATCCACATGGTGTTGGCTTGGATGTCGGAGCCATTTTCCCTGGCCCCGACTCATCCTTCACCACTTTGGATGTGAAAGGTGGGGTGAGGCTCTGGAGAGTCAAAGTGAGTACCGCCGCCAAAGCTGATTCCAATCCAGAAATCGCAGAGTGGACTCTTAGAAGATCCAGCGCTCCTACTACAAAGTCCTCCATAGTGTCTGGTTGTTATTCTCCTGATGGCTCTCTTCTCGTGGTTGCCCATGGATGTGCACTTAGAGCATTGCATCCTAATACCCTACAGCCCATCGCCTTCAACTTGCCCTCATCGGAACTGCCTATTGAAAAAGTGGATATCATTGGTTCCCACTTGGTGGTTGTGTCGCAGTCCCGTCTCGTTTCATTTGATTTGGTGAGAGGAACCGAAACTGAACTTTCAGCAAGAATTTCAACTTCTGGAGCTGGAAACTTGGTGGCTGTGGATGGTGCTCGTCAGCTCATCGCTGTGGCCACGAATACATTGCCTAGTGTAAACTCAACTAAGTCAAAGGGTAGGTTGACGGTCTTGAAGCCAGATAGCTTGAAGCCCACTTACTCTGTCGCACACTCGCTGGGCATCGCTTCGGTTACAAATACATCTTCAGGTTTTGTTTTCGTGGATTCTGAGTCTAGAGTGGGGCTTTTAGCTCCTCAAACAAAGAGCAACTTGGCAGACACTGAGGATTTGACTGCTCAGATGGAGAAAATCATGGTTTCTGCTCAAGCTGCTGCCAATGTGTTGTATTCTAGGTCTGCTGAAGAAAAATTGCAAAAAGAAGATGTTAGTGACGAAATTGAAAAGTGGACCTCGCACAAGCTTGTCGACACTGCTGTTTTGCTGCCTATTTTTGCCAATGTGGAAGGTATCAGCATGGACACGTTGTTTGAGAAGATTGTCCGTGCGGTTCAGTAGTGAACCAGTTCTGCATTGCCAGTATCCGTTGGCTCATATAGACCCCTGCATCATGCTCATATCTAATGTACATTATTATATACTTGTTACCACCACTTGCTGTCACGAGGTTCTCCCTTTTGCCTCTGAAGTGCCAATACTCCCTCAATCTTATTCAAGGCTTCCTCAAGAAGATCCTTACGCTCTTGTAGCTCAATATGCTTCTTGATCTTAGGGTCCTCCTTGGCGAAACTCTCCATTTGTTCTCTGGTCAAATTACCAAAGAATTCTTCGTCAAGCTTGCGTGGGAAGTTATAGTAGAAGTCACTAAGCAACTCAACATTCAAGAAAAGGATAGCTGTAGATGTGAGCTTCGTAGACACCGCATCCAAGAAGATTTCAGGGCATTGATACTTATTATCTTTGCTCTTACATTTCTTTGAGTTTTTGATGAACAGATAGCGCATCTTGAGGAGTTGCGCTCGCTCTTTCAAGAAAATTGCATACTTTCCTTTCTCGATCAAGTTTTTTGAGAATCCAAGTGCCTCATTCGAATCCACATCGATGGCCCCCTCTTGACTCTTCAATTTCTCAAGGTAAGTAACCACTTGCTGAAGCTTGCGTCCACCAACAAGATTTTTAAGTGATGATTGAGCTGTGTCACATTGTGCCATCTCTTCCTTAATAAGGTTAACAGCGTTGTCCTTGCTTGCATTCCACTCTCTGTCCTCGATTTCGACTTCGTACTTGTAAGGCTTGATGCAATTTTCGACCTGGTCAGCCGTGGAATAATATTTGGACTTGAGCACAGCCTTGGCTGCCTCTTCTACTGCTTTCCTTGCCATTGGGTGGTTAGATAATTGTGTTCTGTCAACCAAGTTATCAATTTCTGTAACAACAGCATTGGTGACTAACGATGTAGACAACCGGCCCACACCTAGCTTTGTGAGCGAACCTGTAGCTAAGTCCAATTTCTTGTGCCAGTAACTGTCTTCATCGATGTAATTCAACTGACTCAATTCTCTCAAGTCCGGCTCAGAGGACAAATATGGGGAATCCAAACCACTGAGCTCGAAGGGCTTATTCCAGTAGCGCTCGGCCAAGAGGTCAAGTACTCTTTGGTCCAATTCGTTTTTTAATAACGATCTCAACTCATTCCTCGAGAAATTACGGCTTAATTCTTTGGTAGCGACCTTCAATAAGTCGATGTTGTTTGCCAAATAAGTTTGCGGAGTTAATGGTCTATCATTAAATTCAACCTTAAATTGGTACGCAGTTTCTTCAAGCTCTTGCTGGATAGCCAAATGTGTAGGTCTAAGAGATGCAGACATGGATTTCTCTAACACTTTCATTAGCTTCTTCTTCAAATTGCGAGAACCTGTTGTGGTTCCAATGAATGCGTCCTTGTTTTCTTTGAAATAGCCAAATTCGAAATTCTGTTGTGCTACGTACGCCTGGTAGCCACCAATTTTCTTTCTGTTGAAAAGACCGACAGCTCCAGTAGGAGCCGAACTTGGAGCCTTAGTTATGACACCCACGTATCCCATTCTCAATGGGTATTTTCTGTTGAGAAGAATGGCTCTTGCTCGTTCCGGCTCTACTAAATCAAGCTTCGTAATAACCCCAACAGTTCTTTCACCTCTTGGGTCAGAGAGCTTTGCTGCTCTCAAAGCTGAAGAATTGGCCAAATCTACATCAGCCGCAGAAATGGCCAAAATGATATTCGGAGCTTCGAGATAACGATTACAAAGCTCTCTGATCTTCTGCTTCAATTCAATCGGCTGGTCCGCAGCTTCAACTTGGATGTAACCCGGCAAGTCAACCAATGATAAATCAGGAACTCTGGGTGAGCGGATAGTTATCTGAATTGGGTCATTCAGTATGCATTCAGAGGCGGGAACAGCCATGTTCAAGTCAAAAAGGGTCTTCTGGACTTGTTGGAAATCGGTAAGGTTGTACAATTTGAGAGCCGGGAACTCGGCAATCTCACTAGCCGACTCAGGCAGATTAATGAGAGTCAACTCTATGGGGCGTCTGGTCACCATATTGGAACCTTTGGGCAAGAACTCGTGGCCAACAATCAGTTCCAAAACAGAAGACTTACCACTAGATTGGGAGCCAATGACCACAATCAGCGGAAGTTTGAGCGTCTCAGACTGACTGTCTACAGCAGTCAAAATATTTCTGATCTCAATCATCTGGCGAGTCAAATTGAGCATTTCGTCTGTTGTGTCATCATTCTCCAAGTCTAGCTCCTCATCGTCGTCTTGATCAATAAGCGTATCTTCATCTTCGCCTTCGAGATCCTCTTCTTCATCTGAAGTGAGTCCCAAAGCAGCTGCAGTGGCACCTACAGCCGCTGCGTTATCCCCACCGTCATTAGCACCGCCGGAGCCTGTACTTTCAGAGCCTTCGCCTCCCATTCCTTTGAGAAAGTCTCCAGTCTTATCAAAGAGGTTGGAAGTGAAATCCTTGATTGCATTGACCTTATCCGAAGTGTAATTAGACGCCTGCTCCACCTTGTAAGCAACGTAAGAGCCACCGGCAGCGACCGTTCCACCAATGTAAGCTGGAACTTTGGCTGCCCTGGCCAAAACCTTGATGAAGCCCAAGTTCCTCTTGAAGTATAGAGAATTTGCCATTGGGAGGTTAGGGTGACTTCTGCGGAGATTCGAAGTGAGAATCGAATATAACCGGTGTGATGGTCGGTTAAACACTAGTGTTCGCCGTATGCCCAATCCTATTCTCGAAGAAAACATCCTGGGCAAATATGATTGTAGAGGTTGTAAATCGTTTTGGGAATTTGTGGAATGATAGAGTGATTTTGAGAGGCACGGATGTTTTTTATCATTGATTGCGAAATGTCTTAGTAAGAAAGAGGACGAGAGTACGGATAAAAGCATTAATTCTGGCACTCCCGCTTGCGAGGCACTTCAAACGGGATCATTCCTGGAAGTTATTTCTGATAGTTTGAATGAAAAGTCGTTTCTCTTTGTTCTTGGGCATTGCGCAACCGCATTATTGTAAACTTGGCCACCTTTGAGAATCCAAATCAAACTTGACCATCCTGCATTTCCTTGTACAAGATGAGACTCAACTCAAAACACACCCGTGCCTCCGATTCCATGCAGCCGCACATGTAAGATACGAATTAAGACCCTTGACAATCGACCCGCTTTCCCCGTAGGATGAACAGTCGCAGATTGCACAGAGGAAGAATGGTGATTCTATGATCTTATTGTTCAGAAAAAGTGCAACCTTCTTTGTCACAATTAACAATGGACAATTAGATCCCAAAGCTATCGCTCAACACACCTGCAATTTCTATTATAATGCCATTCACTGGAGTAAGTGCTAACCACTTGAACGGGGTGAACCATTCCTTACAATAGTACGTAGACGGCGGCGGTTCTCTGACATCGAAAATCCTGTGATAGGGCCCTGTTCAGCGCCAGATTCGGCCGGAACTCACTTGCGGGGTTCAGCATACTATTGTCTCACCATGTATAGTAGTGTTGGGTTCTTACTTCGGCACTTAAAATAGATATGGAGCAAAGAGAGTCTTTTAACCGCCGCCCCTTAGTGAATTTGCAAATGTGACAATTCCAGCCACGACAAAGCGCTTCGCTTTTGTGAGCACAAAACCTGGATAGATGAATTGCGACTGAAACGTGTGGGTTGTATCATATAGTTCCCCTATTCTTGGTCATCATATTCTGCCCGCCATAAGCTTCGCCGATAGTACAAGTGCAGGTGATAACGTGTCAGCAGACCAATGGGCCATTTAGGGTGCCCGTTCGATACTGTTCGTATTGCCAAAAGCGTATCTGGCAGTCAGTAGGCGGACCATTCCCCGTATTCGACGGGCTTCCGTCATCATAGTAGCCGATGTACGACCCCTATATGACAACAGCAATTCTGGGTTGATTACAAACGTCACTGAGAATGTGAAGCATTGTATGTAGACAAGAAAATATAGGGGTTGGCATGAAGGGAGTACTTGCCTGGTGGTTACATTTGGGATGACACTATGATGTGGTCCGATGTCTAGAGCTAGTCCAAGATTGATTACAAATTTGATGTGGGGGCAAACTACGAATGGATAAACGGGCCAAAATGTAAGGATTGAAGCCCCTTTCCCTTTTCCCCAGGCCCAGGGCACACACGTGACGCTGTGAGAGGACTGAGTCACATTAAAGCAATGATTCATGCAGAAATTTTTCGGCCCTCATCTAGATTAGTTCCGGGTCTACAAATTCAAAGTGTGGTGTAAGACATTGCGGATGGTCTTGATTGGTTCATTAAGAGTGGTGGCGCACCACCTCCCTAAGTTCCCACTCGCATAAGCAAAAACCTCCCGATTTCAGCTAATTCTTGGACAATTCTTAGCCCCATGACAAATTGTTTCCTGCAGGTGGGCGCAGCGAAGAATCAGGTTGCTCCGCATTTGGCTTTGTAGTGTGAAGATGAGAAGGCTGAAACTTATATACCTGGAAGTTTGCGAATACTTGTTTTCTTAACGAGTCTTTTTTCTTACCGACGATTTAGTCCTTCACTATTTATTGGATTTTATTTATCCGCAACACATATTCCAGAGACTTTGACTTTCTATTTTTACGCGCTGTTCCCCTATTATCAAAATGAAGATCCTTATGACTTTGCACCAATGGAAACGACCCAGAAACATCCGCAAACGGTTCCTTCGCCGCCTCAAACTGAGTGAGAAGAAACAACTTACTCAAAATATTCCAACTGAACCTGCTGGTCGCATTCGCCGGTCTTTGGAAAAGCTGGTCTATGTACCAAATATCGAGTCTGCATCCCAACCTCCTACTTATGATGAGTGTGTTGAGTACGCTCCTCCACTACATCCACCGCCAGCCACTGAGAAGACGGTCGCAGATACGTCAGTCGGAGAGCAGATGGCCGGAGCGAATGAAAGAGGTCGTCCACGTGAATTACTTTACAAGCTGCAACTAAATGATATTATGCTGCGCCGGCCCCGGCGGCCATCGCCTGAGGCCCGGAAACCAATGAAACCTGCTGATATTGACTATACTAATTACCGGGAGCTTATCTACTGGCAGTCGCGGGCGACTGCTTGGGTCTTGGGTTTTGAGGCTATCAGATGGGCCACATTGATATGGTTGATGTTTACATGCTTAATGCTGGCTATAGCATAGAGAGGATATGGATGCACCGGCTGCATACCACAGAACCACTCAGGTAGTATTACGAATGGATGACATCTCATAAGTACCGTAGGCCCCATGTGGTCACCGCTTGCCGATGCAAGATCATTGTAGTTTTGAGGGGACCGAAGGTTAAGTTACTTTTACTCGGACAAAACTGAATCTCGGCATTCGGTGTTTTGCACACCAAGTGCAATTCTGGGAATAGATAAGCTCACTGAAATAAAGGAGTTAAGGATCCGCGATTTTTTGCTGATCATTCGCCAAACAATGATGGCATGCTATGTATCTTCGTGCAATGCTACTTAAGGCTTTCTCCACAATAATATCCTATACATGTATCTAATTAAGAATCGACTTACAATTCACATGGGCAGAACACATGGAGTCATGCGATGGCGAAGAGGCGCAGAACCATCTCCGCATTAAGTGCATTCACCGGATGCCTGGAAGATGTTTTTTTTCCCTTTTATCCATCCGGGAATCTTTTTGTCGTGAGTATACGAGGATCGGCGATTATCTTCCTGTATATACGTCAAGTGGACCGATTTGTTATGTGGGGTGGGCATACTTGCATATTCTGGGATGTTTTTTTGTCTTGGTTCTTCAAGCCCCTATGTTGACGGACATTAAAAATGATGTGTTGAATCTGTTAGAATCAGGGGTTTTATTGCACCTATGCCAACATGAGTAACTATTTGCATGTGGCTGCAGAACCGTTGATGCATACCTGCATGTGCGGGGAGGGTCTCCTGCAACGAATCGGAAGTCGGCAAGAGATGCCAACCGGACAGCAACAGAAGAAAGCAAATGACATTGTAATGCAAAGTATGTGTCAGCTAAATATTATGAAGTGGTGAGCGATTGGGAAGTTTAGATGGGCCTTGATATTTGAAGACTAAAAGGCAGAAATTGCACTTGTGGGAAAACAGAAAAGAATTTCCCAGCTCGTCTTCACAATAATACACTTAGAAAATGGCTCACGGAATGGCTCACTAAATGGCTCACAGATTGTGGTTACGGAATGGCTCACATAATGTGCTTACGGGAACATTCGCATAGGCATACAAATTCGGCAATCACTACCATTTCTGATGTGTGTAGAGAGCGAGAAGAATGTTGAAGCTCTTCGAGGGAATTGCGCATTCTATTGTCTAGACACATTCTCCATCCTCGCTCCTCTATGGTTGCCGAAATGTCGTCCACCATTCCTCTTAACCTTGAACGGTTAAGAACTTTCAGCCAACGTCATTCTAGAACTAATCAATAGTAAACTTATTCTACATTGCAATTCATAAGTCTATCAAAATTACCTAATAAATAAATATATGTCCAAGAAGTAAACCGTCGTAAATCGTCATCGTAACATCATCTTAAAACACATGCTCCATCGAATAGATAGCATTGTGTCTTTGGTGACGATGGGGATCTTCCACCTCGAGGTGGCCGTGGCTCTTAAAGAGCTCTTCACTTGTGATTTTGTGAGCATTGGCTTTGGTGGAAATGGAATAGTTTGGCATGTCGACCTCGTCTTCGGATTCGGAATCAGAAGTAGAACGGCTCAATTCCGGAAGCCCATCTTCTTGCTCTTCAAAAATCACCAGGAGATCGTGACCGCCAGACAAATCGATAACAGGGAGCTTCTTGTAGTTTTTAACTGATGCCAATGCAACCGAGGACTGTACAACGTCGGTATCTTCTTCATCCGAGGAATAGTAGTAATCATCTTCCTCATCAGATTCGGCAAATTGGCCAAATTCATAATCTTCGGATTCAGATCCAGAATCGTAGTCAGAATCTGAGTCGAAGTCGGAATCTGAGTCGGAGTCGGATTCGAGTTCATATTCAGTGACCAATGGGCCTCTGCCTCTGGAAATAGTAACGGGAGTTGGTTTTTCTGGAACAGCAAACGACACCTTGGATGCTTTCTTCTTCTCAGCTTGTTCGGCAATGTGGTCCATCAAGTTGTCCAACATGTTTGCTTGAAGGACTAGACTTCTCAATGAAGTCTTTGGGTTGGCAGCTTCTTTTGTAAGCTTGGATCTGACCTTAGAGGCCAAAACATAAGACTCGGCAAAACTCATGGTAGGAGGTGTTGGGGGATGTCAGATTGAAAGGAGATTATTGTGGAGATATCAAATTGATAATGGAGAAAAACTATCTCTGTTTGTGCGGACTGACATATTATATATCAAGTCGGCATTAATCAGTCACAGTTAGGTCCGCTTCGGATGACAAATTTACCGTTCGGAAGTAATGCACCTTGTTACGTGCCCTGAATCCATCACCGCCTGCATAATATCATGCACCTCAACTGATGGTGTCCCCGGCCGGTTGGCTTCCACTGCCACAGTGGCTCACCAATGCAGGCTGGATACCACTCATAATTAAAATCATCCAATGTTCTTAGTCTACTGGGCCCATGGAGACGTATGACATTGCAAATCATGCTTAACAACATGCCACTTTAAAAACTCCAGGGTTGTCCATCAATTCGATATGTTTTTACTATCCGCGTAACCGATCCGTGGTTAAATCCGTCCACCCTAAGGCTAGCGCCGTCTTTTTTCCGTGGGGTTCTTTTTTTGCTCTCATAATAGCGCGGGCCCGACGGTGTTACATCCCAGATCGGAATCTATGCAGGGGCTTATAGTTGCTGCGCTCCCACCACATTTAGGTGGCGGGCCTCGCGGATCGAAAGGCTGAAACACATAAGAGATAGTTTACATTGTTTAGTTCTTTTTTTTTTCTTTTGAAAGTGTCGATAGGATGCCACTGACTTGTAGATTGGCTCTTGGGACTATCCACATCCAAGTTCTGGTGCTTGCTGTGGATGTCTTTGTTTATTACTAAGCACTAGTGTACCCCACGCATTGCTGACTCAGAGGTATTTCTAATCCAAAAACCTCATATGAAACATAGTAGTTGAGACATGTTTGGAGCGGTTAAAGCCAACCATTGCGTCATTAAGACATTGTGGAATCAACTTCGGAAACCAAAAGTGATGACTCATGCATTATCATTGACCTATTATGGCAGTATGCCTCTGCGTAGACTAACCATTGGGGTTATGGGCCGGTAGTTGTAACAAGCCCAGACCGCGAGTTGGAAAATTAGCAAGGTCGAACACTTGCTACAATCTACTGTTGGATATATTGTCGAATTCTTGTATTTGGGGTATGGTATTCATAGATAAAAGAGTGTTGAGGGCTACGGAATTTTAAGGCTGAGGAATTTCGAAGCTTAGTTTAGATGCTGTAGCCAATGGAATTTTAGAACTACTCGAGTCTTGGAGCCAAAGGGATTTTGAATCAAAGGAATCGGATGTTGTCTGTTTTTCATGTCAATTATTATTCTTCTCCCTCTGTTTTGACAGTACACTTCAATTGCTAGTCTTCTCGGCTGAATTCGAGCCGATGGTCTTTGCATGCTAGAACCATATTTGATAGATCCCCCAATACATAAGCCACTGCGGGAATTTCCTACTTGAGACATAACGCCGGAACGCGCCTGCATTGAAGCTCCGCATTTGACACATGCATGGAATGGGCCCTATCAACACTAAGGTGTGTTCCAGTGCATTCTAAGCCCTAGATGTGGCTAGTTTGGGAAGCTCGGATAAGTCGCTTGAGCAACCCTCTTGTTGGAGCCGTACATAGGCATAGTCTAGAATCGTGAATCACCTACTGTTGATTTCGCTTGCTTCGGTGGTTTTCGGTTGCCAGTCGGCCCGTACTTTTGACCATTGTGCATGCACCCTTGTAACCTAATCCGAGTGTTCATGGATAGTATGTTCCCGTGAGTCTCGACCCAGCAAGAATAATCGGCCGAAAGTGTGGGCCGAAATGAAGAAGAAGGAACTAGTCGGATCAGAAATTTGACTACTTATGGCTGTGAAAGTATCTTCCAGTACTCTTGAGCTAATTTGAACAGGTAGGATATCAAATGCAGATGTAGGAGACACAAGCAAAGTAGCATCTATTTCCAAGCTGAGCAGCATTGAAATTATAAATGAATCGAGTAAGTCTTTTTTTTTTTGTTTATTTATTTTCGAGTAAATTGAATTAGTCGCTCGTATCTCCTAAGTTTCCCGAAGCACCAGTTGCTTGTTACAGTCATATGATGCAGACAATAGACATCATGCTTAGTGACGTTTTCCATCAAGAACTCTGGTGTAAAGTACTAGCATTTGAGGAGGCTTGAGGCAAGCAGGAATACAGTGCTTTGATAAGAGCTTCAATAGCTGTCGAAATTGTCTTAATTGGTTTGGCGTAACTGTGAAAGAGAATGAAAAACGAGGTAAGGAGTAAGAGATTTGAGTTCACACTCGAGAAGTAAAGTCACATAGTAATGATTTGTTTTGACACTCGTGATGAAAAAAGGCAATAGATCTTCAATATATGAACAAGCTTCGCAGTGAATACGTTCTGAACCCCATGAGAGTTCACCTGTCAACTAGTGAACTAATCATAAGAGTACAAGAACAATGAATGAGCGCACCCAAGTTAAATTCTTCATAAAGCAACACTGACTAAGTCTAGAAGGAGCCAATAATAGAGACAATTAAGTCTAGCAGCATGTATACACCTGGTGAGACCCATGGGATATATGCAATATCCTTCCATATCGAATTAAGTAAAACCTGCTTTCGTCTACAATCTACAATTGGATATCCAATCCACTCTGTTTCACTGATGTATTAATCTCCATACTTAATCGAAAAAGCTTAATCGAACAAGCCGAATCCCATGTCGTCATCAGACTCCTCAGCAGCCTCTTCCTCCTTCTCCTCAGCAGCCTCAACAGCAGCAGCGCCACCGGCAGCAGCACCAGAAGCACCAGCAGAAGCAGCTGGAGCAGAAGCAGCGAAAGAGAACAACAACTCCTTCAAGTTCTGACCCTCCAAAGCCTTAGCGAAAACGTCGGCCCAGACGGCGTCGACGGTGGCACCAGCAGCCTGGGTGAGGGCCAACAAGTTGTCGGAGGAGAGTTCGAGTTCAGCGTCGGCCAAGATAAGGGCGGCGTACGAGACGGAAGCTTCAGCAGACATGATTAGTTTATGGAAGGAAAAAAATCGCTGGGAGAAATTTTCACTTGTGAGCGATCGTGATTCACGTGATTCAAGGTCGCGTGGATCGCTGTCACGTGTGAAGAAATTGTGGGCTAGCAGAAATAGTCGCGAAAGCAGTCACATTAGTGAGTTTGGAGGTACTGGGCTAAACCCAGCAACATTATTATTTGGTGCACGGGTGCGACAGTCAAGGCTCAGAAGTTAACGTTCTGGTACTTATAACTTTCAAAATCTCTCTTGAGGTGTTCTCGAGCTTAAGCAGCCTAACTCACGGTCTTAGAATGTTTCTCAAGTATGGCTTGAGGAACTTGAGCGAATACTTCACTTCGTTTACTGAAGGATGTGTTCTGCAGGTCACCTGTACGATTTTGCATCCATTCGAATAGAACCCTTAACACATTCACTATTGGAAGTGACAAATGTTGGAAACCGTAGGGATGTTTGCAAGTTGAACAATTGTATTAATTGTGTATAATGTAGTGGAGAGAGAAACAGAGAGACGGAGCAATGAAAGCTTAACGAGATGGTGATTAACACCATAAATTTCATATCAATCGACTCCATGATGATATATATGATAAGGAGAGCACCATGAGGATGTGATGTGTAATTACAGCACCTTACTTTTTTTTTTTGATGTAGGGATGTGCTTCAAGTATTTAATGATCACATTTGTAGATTACCTGGTGTATTGACAATTATGAATAAGCCAATGTTAGTCAACTAAATAAGAAGTGGCTAATTCATCGAGCCAGAAAACGCTTTAAAATTGATATTCACTCCACTTTGCCTGTTTTAGACCTGTCAATTTTTAAAGTCCATTTCTTGATTTGATTTCCTCTCATACGTATTTCACTTGTCTAAATTTTGTAGAGCGCTTTCTCCTACAATGGTGTGCTGACCTCTTCGTTCTTCCCCATTGCTCACCTGTAATACCGTGAGAGTGGGATTTAGTCAGAAACGAGTATTGAACAAACACTAATTAATAAAATAACAGAAAACTGACATTTAAGTAGTAATTGAAGACAATAGGAATGAGATTGACAACAGTTAGTTGATGACAAGGGTTGGCTGATGACATCGGTTAGCAGATAACAACGGTAAGACGTTTAGAAATAACGGCTCATGTGGTCATCTCATCATTGAATACGTCGAATATAGGGTGAAGCAGTGAAACGTCTTTTATATGTCCACCCTTCAGACAGACTATATTACATCACCTTACGAGTTCTGCTAATTCTGATAATTGATAAAACCGAGCTATATTTTCGGAGTGGACAAATTGACATAAGTAATGCAAGTAACTCAAGTCACTCAATTGTAACATTCATTAATTGTCTAACCTTCTTTCACCTCTCTTTTCCACCTTCATCATGTTCCGCCACCATGTGTCCTCCATACTACCTTTCCTTCACATTATTCACTTATCTAGAAATCAACTTAATATCCTAAATGTTCAGACTTCCCGGTCTCTACCGTATTGGACGCCCATTGGCGTTTGCGTGTAACACTACAGCGCCTCTCAAGTCGTCGCTTTTCCTCAAACCTTCGGCGGTTTTCTCAAAACCTACATCGCTACTTTCCCAACTCAGAAGCTATAGATCACTGACCTGGAAACGCTACAATCGCCACTATAACTTAAACAAAATCAACTGGCAGAGGCTCGCCAAACCTGCTCTTTTTACTGGTGTGTTCTGTGTGGCCACAACCGTGGGAATCCCCTTCCTTTTCCTGCTTCCGCCATTTTCGTCCATATATCGGTACCCAAAGACGGTATTATACTCCATTATTGCCATAAACGTAGCAGGTTTTCTCGCATGGAGAATTCCAGCTGCTTCGAGATTCATGACCCGTTATGGCCTTCTACTTAAGGACAACGTCTATTCTTCGTGGACGCTCTTGGGCTCGGCCTTTTCGCACCAGGACGGCTTCCATATTCTATTCAACATGATGATGCTCTATTCCTTCGGTTCATCTCTATGTGTGTTCTTGGGCCCAGCTAACTTTCTCGTCATGTACTTGAACTCGGCTGTTATCTCCTCGTTTTTCTCCTTGCTTGTTCCAGCTGCTTTACGTTCATCTTTAGCTGTGGGATCGTTAGGTGCTTCGGGAGCGATCATGAGCGTTTTTGGTACGTTTGCTTACTTGTTTCCTAGAGCTAGTATTGGATTCTTTTTCATTCCAATTCCCGGGGGTGCTTGGGCTGTATTTTTGGCCTCTATTGCTGTTAATGCTGCCGGAATTGTTCTCAAGTGGTCTCGTTACGATTTCTCAGCTCATTTGGGTGGATGTGTGGCCGGTTTCGCCTATGGATGGTGGTACGATAAACTCAGAAAAGAGAAGAGAAGAGCTAGTTACAGATTGAATTAAGCAGGGATGCGTTCACCTTCATCTCAATGGCTATTATATTTATGCTTAGACTAGTGTACAGAGTGGAGCATTCTCCTCATGCAAAAGAAACAGACTTCTTCTTAGATTTAGGAGCCTCGATCTCCAGCTCCTTCAGGGCAGCTCTAGCGTTCTTTCTTCTGGCTGCACGGGCCACATTGGCCTTGTTCTTGATCTCAGCCTTCTTGTTCTCCAACTTGCTTGTCTTCTCCTGTTCCTTTCTGTCCATCTCCTTCCTCTTCAACTCACGAACCTCCTCCAATCTTCGTGACTTCTCCAACTTGGATTCGTTGACTTTATCGTGCTTGTCGTTAATCGACTTGATTAGAAGATTGAGCTTCAATACATCATGATCATCCACAAACTTCTTTCCCTTCTTTCCCTTTTTAGCTTTGACTCCTGGAACAATGGCTCTGTTCAACGTGGGAATATCCAACTGATCCTCGCGGTATTCTTTTCCGTTCTTGGCTCCATAAAGTCTGATCTTAGCCTGCTGCTTCTTGATGGCTGCTTTACTGAGTTTTCTGACCTTTGATTTCTCGGTGAGTTTCGGTTGATTCTCCAAAAGGTTTCTTGCGTGAGAGTCGGTGGTAACCTCAGGCTCTGCAGTACGAGCCAAATTGGCTGATCTCTGCCTTTTGGCTCTTTGGTCCTGTTTGGCAGTCATACTGGTACTTGAGGAAGGTGATGAGATAAAAATTGGTTACCTCATCGGGTTTGGTGCTTGGTCACGTGACTACTAAAATATAAAGTCGACGTTAATAAAAAGGCTAAAAAATGGCATTGTTCGGTTAAAGCTGTGTGAATTAAAAGGACGTCGTCTATTGGTTGTTACTTAGCTTTTATTTTATTTGATTCTTAGCAAACTCCATTTTCTATTCTCTTCGTTGATTTTTGAGATAGTCGGTTATCTTGTGCGAAATATGAAAACTGTAGATTAATAGTCAGAATGAAGAGGATGAGTATGTTTCGGATAGAAAAGTCCAAAAAGACCCATCACAAAAGAGAACACAATTAAATTATATAGTAAATTATGCTACACATTAAAGAGAAACAAGATAGATTGGTCCGGAATCGAAAAGTCGAATTGGGCCCTTAGTGTCAGCCAAAATAGACCCTAATAACTGATTCGTTGCCAACTATGAATAACTACAAAAAGACAATATTAAACTTCACACTCTTGAGATTGATCTAAAAATTTCCTTATCTACTACGCTTATATTAACTCATGGTCTACTATTTTCTTGCTTCGTGGAACTTCCCGGCCACCCTCGGCAAATTCCGCTGATAAGGAACCTGCACTATATCAATCAGATAAACCCATCATTGAATCTTTTCACATACCCCATGTCTGATCCAGTCCGCTTCAATTGGAATCTCTTTCCATCCACAAAGCTCGAGGCAAACGAGATGCTGACCCCGTTGGGGTGTATGTATACGCCTTTAGGCGCCGAAGCCTTGGTGACCAGTGGAGAAGTGATCAAATGTTCACTGTGCTCCAACATCATCAACCCCTTCATCAAGGTGGACCGTGAAAACCGCATGTGGTGGTGCCCTTTCTGTTCAAAGATGTCCTTTTTCCCAGAGACTTTTGAGTTGCACGAGAAGGGTGCCAGTGATGGTGCTGTGCCAACAGAGATCAGACCTAGTAGCCATAATACTGTGGACTATATTCTTCCCATAGACATTTCTGCAAAGGATCAACAGTTTGTTGTTGCGTATGTTATTGACACATACCAGCATACTGATACCATAGAACAGAGGGAGTTCGACACTTTGAAGAATGCCATCGCTGACAGTATGGCACTTTTACCTAAGGATACCCTTGTCCTTATGGTAACATTTAATGACACAGTAGAGGTGCATATTCAAGAAAAGACAAATGTGGTAGCATTTCTGCCTGAACTTTTGTTTCTGGAAAACTATGATTTCTCCAAGTTATTCACGGACCAAAAGTTGATCCAAGAGGTTTTCTCCAAATTGGACATAGATCGCACTCTAGCACCATCCCCAGATATGTCCAGCCTTCTAAAATCCGGTATCATTGCTCCCAATCTGAAATCTTTACAAGACTATGTCAAAACATTGAGACCTAAGCTCACCCATTCGTTCAAACCTGCAAGAGCAACAGGACTTGCTGTTTTCTTGACGACATTACTTCTTTCCAACTCATTCACTGGATTGATTGGAAAAGTGAATTTATTCTGTTCAGGACCTGCCACCTCAAATCCTGGTAGAATTGTCGAGGAGTCTGCAACTATGAGATCTCATCATGATGTAGCCAACTTCAATGCTCCCCACTTCATCTCGGCTGCCAAGTTTTACCAGACCATGTCTTTTGTTTCTTGTGGCTATCTTCTAAATGATGCTTACACTGCTGTTTACACTTCAAGCGGAAAAGTGGTGAACTACGCAGTTTCAGACTCATCACCAAAGTTTTCATTTGATATATATACGGGCTCCTTGGACCAGGTCGGAGTATACGAGATGAAGAGTTTGGCATCAGGAAGCTCTGGAAGTATTGTTTTAACAGATGGATTTCAAAGCACCCGATTTAAGGAGAACTTGAATGTCAACACATCCAGCATTCTAGAGGAGAAACACAACTGTAAATTTACAGTCACAACATCTACCGGTATTAAAGTCATGAAAGCTATTTGTGCGGGCACCGAACTTCAATCATCATACCAGTCAGAGAAACTCTCGGCTTTACATCATGCGAAAATCTCTGATATGATCACACGATTTGATCTGTCAATGAAAAAGAGAAACTTCACGAATCAATGGTACTTGGGAAATCTCAATGATTTAGATACTATTGCTGTATACTTCGAGATGGAAACTGTGAACTCATCGTCAATGCTTGATGAAATCAGTGGAGCAAAAGAGGTTTATATCCAATTTCAAACCAAATTCTACGATTTGGAGTCTGCAAATACCATTCTCAGGGTTACCACCGTTAAGAGACCAACAACTCTTTCTGTTCTCGCAGCCAACAAAGTCAGACTCAGTAACAATACCTACAAACTTGTCAATACCAGGAGCTCTATCGTCAAGGAAAAAGCACTCTTGGAAAGCTTCGATTATAAGGCATGGATGGTGTTGTTTACTAGATTATTGATCAACAAAATCGACACGACGATTGGATACGAGTCGTTTGAAGAGGTTGTTAATGATGTTGATTCAGCATTAATTCGTCTCACTCGATTCTTTGGAGGTCTCAAAATCGATACCAGATCAAGTTCGAACCCTTATGACAATCTCAAACTCATTTATTCCATCAGCGAGAGTTTTAAAGAGTTACCTGCTCTTTCCTACAGTTTGAGAAGAAACCCTCAACTTATTCGGATATTCAATAGTTCCCCCGATGAAACAGCATACTACCACCACATGTTCAACAAATGCGAGACCGACACATCTTGTGTAATGATTCACCCTAACTTCTACAAACTTGAATCGACCGGGCTACTTGAGAAACTTTCACTTGACGTCACAAGTCTAGATACTCAGGCCGGGGATGATAGCTTTTTCGTTTTGGACTCCATCTTCAATGTGATCATATACTATCGATACAGCGATTCGAAGCATAAAATTCCACTTCACAATTCGAACAACGATGAATTGATTTACAGAAAAGTCAGAGACCCGAAATTGACCAGCGTTTTGGAAACAGTAAAGACACAACTCATTGATGGAAGGAATATTATTCCCAACATCGTCCTAACTCAAAGCGGGCACTCTCAGGCTAGATTCTTGTTAGCCAGGCTTTATCCAGTGCTTGACAAACCAGAGGAGGAGGCTTCCCAACAAACCAGCTGGTGGAGCTTTTTCGCCAAACTGAACTCCAACCATGCGTTGATGACTGACGATGTCAGTGTTAACAAGTACTATGACGAGCTACTTGACAAGGTCCAGAATTACAAGATCGGCACCAATTATTAGCAATTTTATGTATTAAATGTGTCTAATTTGAAAATTCATCTTTAATGAAACTGATCACCGTATTAATTAAATCTTCTTCAGCTCCCTTATCAGATTGAGGACCCACGTTATGTGTTGCACCCTTCAAAACCTTACTGAGGGGACTCCACTTATTAGGATCAGTACTTTTCTTCCACCCATCCACTAACTTTTGACGATCAACGAAATCAGGAACAAACTCATCTTTTTCTCCGAACAAAACCAATAAAGGCTTCGTGACTACACCAAATGACTTCAGCAACTCTTCACTAGTCAAGTACGACGAAAAGTAGTCGTCGTCTCCCCTTTCACTCGCAAGCGAAGCGAAACGGTACGCTGTGATCGGAGCTCCAAAAGAGAACTTTAGCGCACTCTTAGGAAGTATTTCAAATGGGTTTCCTTCTTCAATATGGCGCTTTGAAAGTTCAAGCAACTCGTCAAGTTTCTTACCTGATTCAAAAGTCCGGAAAGCTTCAGCATCACTCACTGGGGCCTGCAAGATTCCACCATCCAAGTCCAGAAGAACATCGAACGAATCCTTCTTAGTATACTTGCTCAAGTACTCCAAAGTATCTTGACATCCAGTGGAATGACCCATGAGCACCACCTTAGAGTTCTCAGTACCTCTTTTCGTTCTCAAGTACTTGACTAGTCTTCCAAGTTCCTGTGTATCCCTCTTCAAACTGCCAGTTCCGAACCCAAGGTACGAGGAACTTATCAAAGCCTGGACCACCACCCATGAGCCACTTAATTGCTTCGACACTCCGTCAGCTAAACGAGGAACATATGGCACTGTCAAAAATCCATCACCAAGACCACCAATGAAAACCAAGAAATTTTCAGGCGAGTCGGACTCTTTACCGAACTCAATTGCAGTATGAGTATCGTCGTATTTGTGAATAACCACAGAGTGCATTGCTTCAGAATGAATGTGTGATCTAATGAGAAATATTGTAATCCAAACTAAAGATCTTATCTGTGTGTACAGGACAACAGTGCCACACTTTACTTCATTGGAGCAGCTTGAAGAACCTTCTCATTCGATGTGTCTGCCACTCCTCCTGTGCTGTGATTGAGTCCAACTTCTGGAATCATGCGGGTACTGAGATTAATGGAGTGAACGGTAGTAAACATCACCACTACATGGAGAAACACACAATATGCCAAAAAGAGCATTCTAGTGAATCTAGTAGCAAGAATGGAACGAGTGACAAAAATGAACAAGCGTTCCAAGGGCGAAAGCCGAGAGTTCACACGCTCTTGCTCTCTTCTGCGGAACTCCTCAATTGGATGTAATTTGGACTCGTAGCTAGCGCGGTATGGATTCTCCAAATCTACGGTGTTGGTTTTGGGAGTGAGAAGCTTTCTCGACGCAGCAGTAGACGAAGACGGATCAGAATTCTTCATCAGTGCCATATATCTCGTCTTCTCGTAAAGCTCCTCGTTGTCTGCTTGCAAGGCCTTGTTCTTCCTCTTTAACTCTTGCACCGTTATAATCTGCTTCCTGAGGTCGTCTTCCAATTCTTTGTTCTTCTCCCTGAAACGGTCTCTCTGTTTAGTTATAATAGGCAAGATTGAGGACTCATCAATAGTGCTGAGACCACCTCCAATGCTTCCTCTTCCTGTCTGTCTAGTCATTCTTGTCATGCCAGACATGATACTGGCTGTGTCATTGAATGCCGACCCAGAGGCTTCTTGCATGTTTGCTAGGTCGTTTTCAAGTCTTGAATTCAATTCTTGGAAGCGTGCAAGTTCTTGGTTAGCAAGGTGCAATTCCTGATTCAATTGGGAAATCTCAGCGGCGTATCCGTCATGTTGTGATCTGAAATCAGCAAGCTCTCTTGTCAAAGCCTTATTGCGCTCAATTAACAAGGAGTCAATGTCCTTTTCTTCGAGAGCGCCTTCACCAAACTCGATCTGACGGATCAACGTCAACTCATGTTTTAATTCATCGTAGTCGCTAGTCTTTTCAAGACGCTCCTTTAAATTTTTAATTTCCTGGACACTTTGGGTCAAATCACGGTTCACACTCTGCAATTTGGCTTCGTGTTCCTTGTTATTGGCTTCGAGCGTTGCTCTCACCTGGTTTAAGTTGGCAATCAAAAGGGCGTTCTCTCCCTCAACCTCAGCCACTTTCTTGGAGCACTCCTGCTTCAAGATCTCCTTGTCAGAGTCCGTCTTGGAAACTGTCAATTCTCTACGCAAATCCTCATTCCTCCTTTCAAGCTCGTACACTCTCTTTTTCCACGTCTCCAAATCTCTGGTCACCATATCCAACTCTGCGGCACTAACAGAAGAAGCTTCAGTGGCCCCTAGCTGCCTGTTCTGCGAATTGAGTTGCAACTCAGTTACCTCCTTTGATGTTCTCAACTCTTCCACTGTTGACTTGTAGCTTGCAATCTGGCTTTCATGCTGTTTCTGGATACTCTGCCAATTTGACTCTTTTTCATCAATCAACGCATTGAATTCCTCTTCTTGAGACTTCAACTTGGCGCTAAGGAGCTCGGCTGCCTTCTGTTCGTTGTGCAATAATCTCTGCTTGAGAATGTCGTAATCGGCCTTTTTGGACAACTCGTCTTTCAACTTCGAAACTTCTTGCTTGAGAGATGAAATTTCACCCACCTCGATGACAGCATCCAATGAATGCTCCAATAATGGTTTTGGGTCGGGAGCCTCTGCAATGAGCCTGTAAAAACCAAAAAAGAAGCTTTCAACTTTCTTTTGCTTTGTGGTTAACGAATCGATCTCGTTCTGGTACATCTTAAGAATACCTTTAAGCTCCGACAACTTAGTTTCATCGTCCAACTTCTTAAACTCCTTCGTTTTGGAGGCAAGCTCCTTTCTGGATGCTAAAGACTGTTTCTGTTGGGTCTTGAGTTCGATACCTTGCTCATCGAGTTTTCTTTGTAAACTGGACAAGTCAATTTCGGTCCATGTCTGTAATGCATTCTCGAACGCATGACCTTGAGACCCGTTGGTTGTGGGTGCTGCAGCTTCGGTCATTTGTAGTTGATCTAAGGATATTATTCTGGCACTTGGAGTTTCTGCAGGTCAAGTCAACAACACCACTGGTGGCATGTTATTGTTTAATTTCCGAGCTGAAGGAAAGCACTGAATGCAGTGAAAAATTGTTCGGTGATGTCATGTCTTGATATTTGTTTGATATCGTCTTTTATTTAGTCCGCCACTAGCTACTGGCTGGTGTGGGTCACTCTGAGTGATCTGGCATTATCCATATGAGAATGTGATGGTAGGTGAAGCGTGATTTTTCTTGGAAAGTTATGCAAATTTAACATTGTAGAAAAAATGTTTGTTAAAACAATATTCCTCTTGTTTAGGAAGATATTCTCACCCTTGAGTACTATGGAATTAGCTTGGTTTAGAAGGATTGTGTCAAACCATCGTGAATCCTACCAGCGAATGAGTCTGGTAAGTTAGAACAAAAGCTCAGAGCACTATACTATACTGTCAATTTTGAAAATTTAACCGATATATTGCATTGTAATCTAAAATCTTCGTTGAATTGAGTACCTTCGTTAACCGTATAATGTTTTCAACAAAGATGTCATCTCAAATGCACAATTTCCCATGTAAATAAAGATTTTTAGTGATAAATCCTATAAGCTAACTAGCAGAGCATGGTGTAAATCACCCTACACTGTTCTCTCTTCCCATACCTAATCATTAACTAAATAAAAGTCTCGTAAGCAACTGGTGCCAAAAGCTGAGGAATGTTACCCTCAGTACCAACAACCTTGGCCTCTCTTGGTTGAGCTGGCTGTCTCTTCAAAGAAACCTGCTCACCCTTCTCCTTGGCCTCCTTCTTCAAAGCAGCGTTGGACTTGACTCTGTTCAAGAATTCCTGACGACAAGCAGAGTGCTTGACGTGCTCAACTCTCAAATTGACCTTCTTCTCGATGTATCTGTTACCAACAACCTTGTTAACAATGACACCCACAGAAGATTTTGTGACGTTGTAAACAATACCAGTCTTACCATGGTAATACTTGTGAGGCATACCCTTCTGGATAGAACCGTTGGCCTTGATGTCGACAATGTCTCCAACTTTGTAGACCTTCAAGTATGTGCTCAAAGGAATAGCACCGTGCTTCTTGAAGTCACGTTGGAACATGTAACGAGTTCCCGATCTGTAACCACGTCTAGATTGTTAGTATGAGTTGCATGGATGTTAACTGTGTACCTATGATGGTGCTTAAGTGTATTGAGGAGCGCAGTGGTACCAGCAATAACATCAAAGTATTGATTGGCTTACTATTAGCCAGCCATCGGTCACTTATACATACGATTTACCCATATTTGTTGTTGTTAGTTATTTCAGTGTAACTTTCACTAATGTGGAGTAGGTGCGAAAAACTTCTAGGGCATCAGCCCTGGGCATCACCAACACACATATTGACACCACCATATCTCCAATAATAACCTCTACAACCATTTACCGAAATGCTATATTACAAAATACTTGGAAAATTAACCAATGCGATTAGAGAATTATACAGGCGTTTACTCCTCCTCCTCGTCACCCTCCTCAGAACCCTTACCAGAGTTCTTTCTCTTGACTCTACCGGCTCTGCCACCTCCGTATGGAGACTTTGGAGCGAAGTCAATGTGCTTCTGGGAGTCCAATCTCACCATGAAAGATGGGATGTTGACAATCTGCTTACCAACAGCAATGTGTCTCTGGGTAATCAAGACTCTAGCGTGGTGGATAGATCTGGCCAAACCCAACTTGAAAACCTGAGTCTGCAATCTTCTCTCCAAGAAATCCTCGATTCTCAAAGCCAAGACGTAATCCAACTTCATCTTGTCCTCACCCAAGACACCAACTCTCACCAATCTTCTGATCAAAGCGTTACCTTCGAACAATCTCTTCTCGTCCTTGTCATCTCTGGTAAGCAAGTCACGAGCAGCTCTTCTGATCTTAGACAATTGGAAACCAATTCTGTAGATCTCTCTCTTGTTCTTCAAACCGTACTCACCGGCCAACTTCAATTCAGCGTCCAAACGAGCAGACTCATATGGCTGCTTTGGCACGGAGTAAGTCTTAGAGTAAGTTCTTGGGGCACCTGGTTTGTTAGTATGGATGGCCATTTGTGGTCAGGGCTTGGGCTACAAAACATTCAACTGCAATCTCCACATGGTGTCGTTCACAAAGGCATTATACCATTATTGATGAACACACCATGTAAATAGTGCTAGAGTGTAACTGAAGTGTCGGGGTTCAGTCACGTCCCAGAAGGGATTGAAAGTTTTGAGGGCCCGAATCCTCTAGACAGTGCTGCTGACGACGGCTGGGCCGAAATCGCTGCTGTCTATATGTCTATGGAAGACATGTTAAGTAAAACATACGAGGCATGTTGACTTGTAGTGATGATGAGAAAAAAAATTCTTGTGAGGAAATGCGAACTACTTATAGTCCTAAGAAAAAATTTTCAGGTGTGCATGTGAGGTATGAATGGAAGCTGATCACGTGCGTAAAGTCCCGGCTTTTCAGCCAATATAGGAAGGAAATGAGTAGAGATGACCATGTAGCGTAGAAATTCTTAACTGAAGTTGGATGACTTCTACAAGAATTTAAGAAGGTCAACAACTTTTTTAAGAGCACCAATATTTTTTGATTATTGACAACACAAGGATTATGTCAACAAGCTTACAACTTCCACTATTCGTAGGTTCAACTGGCAGGTAACTACTGGCAGGTTCTGTTGGTAGGTTCTGTATTAGCCACTATTTGAAGCACAAACTCCTCTTACCACCTTGCAAATTCCGGCGACGGGTTCAAATTCTACAATATCTATTTTCTCACTCTGCTGACATAAGAACAAAACACGATAGTTACTTTTTTGTCAGAGCTTCGATTCTCGCTTACACTTTCGCAGCCAATTCGACATTGAATACAACATACATTCCTTTTTACTCTATTTACCCCCAATTTCGGTCAATTATTATCAAAAGTCACCAGTGTGAGTTTGTCCAGCATCGATATTATCTCAAACTCTCTTCTCATGCATTCCCCGTTATTAATCTCCTTTCACTTCATCTTCACTCCCTCCCTCATCTCCTACCGGTATACAGTCTATAACACGACTCCATCTACAAATCACTAGTAACGAATGAAGTTTGTGGCGTTGATCTCTGGAGGAAAAGACTCCTTCTTCAATATCCTCCAGTGTCAGCAGAATGGACACGATCTCGTGGCATTGGCCAACTTGCATCCCAACGACAAGAACAGAGATGAAATTGATTCATTCATGTTTCAGACGGTGGGCCACTCTGTCATCGATTACTATAAAGAGTGTGTTGGAGTCCCACTTTATAAGAGAGCAATAACTGGAGGTTCAAAGAACGTTGCACTCGAGTATGTGCCCACAACCAGCGACGAAATCGAGGATCTATATGAGCTTTTGTTGAAAGTTAAGGAATCTCACCCCGACGTCGAAGGTGTGAGTTGTGGAGCCATCTTATCGCATTACCAGCGAACCAGAGTGGAAAATGTATGTGATAGGCTAGGTTTGACTTCTTTGGCTTACCTTTGGCAGGAAAATCAAGCTGAATTGATGAGGAAGATGTGCAATCTGGGACTCGATGCTCGTTTGGTGAAAGTGGCTGCTGTGGGACTAAACGAAAAGCATTTGGGGAAGCTGATCAGCGAGATGTATCCAATTTTGACCAAATTGAATCAGATGTACGATGTCCACGTATGTGGAGAAGGCGGAGAATTTGAGACATTAGTGTTTGATGCCCCCTTCTTCAAGAAGAAGCTCGAGATTGTTTCGCTGAAGATTGTGGCCCATTCATCCGAGGTATCGTACATCACGGACTTGGAAATAGATGTTCTCGACAAGGAGGACACTTCCGTGGAAAAAATAGTGACACCTTCGCTCTTGCTGGAGGAGTTTGCCAATGTGGAACGGCAGGTTGAAGATTCCAACATCTGGAATGCACACGAAAATACATTCGGGCCAGCAGTGTTTGCTCTTCTGCCTCGTGTTGCCAAACTCAACACCAGAATCTATATCTCTAACGTCATTTCTTCGTTGGAGAGCCTAGAGGACCAAACTAAAGACATCATGACCCAAATCGGCATGTACCTTCGTGCCGAAGGCGCCACTTTCGCTGATGTCCAGCACATGACAGTTTTGGTTCTGGACATGTCCAGTTTTTCCAGAGTCAATATGATATACGGAAGCTTTTTTGCCGATATCTTTCTTCCGCCATCTAGAGTGTGTGTGGAGACAACCTTACCATATTCCCATTTAGTACAGATTTCATGTGTGGCTTTGAGACCTACTTACCAGAAAATGGGGATCCATATCCGCTCCAGATCCTATTGGGCTCCCCAGAATATTGGCCCATATTCACAGGCAATTGTGGAAGCTCGCCCAACCTTCAAAACTGCCACATTATCCGGCCAAATCCCTCTCGAACCTGCAAATATGACCATTGATGATAGTGCCCTGGCCAAGCATAATGCTGTTCTTTCCCTTCAGCACCTCTACAGAGCGAAGAAGCTAATTGGAGTTCAGCACATTGCTGACTGTATATGCTTTATCACCAGTAAGACTTCGCCATCATTAGTGGCTAAAGTCTGGAACTCTTATGTAGAAGAAGTTGAAAACGGACAGGACTTCTGCAACAGATTGTTGATTGTGCAAACCACAGGGTTGCCTCGAGGTGCCAATGTGGAGTGGGGAGCTCTTTCTTACGAGAAGGTAGTGGATATGTACGAAGACGAGGGAACAAGCGACCACTGGAACCCAGAAATTGAAACAGTTAGTAAAAAATTCAAGGCATCTGTGGTTCCAGTCGGAGATGGACATGTTGTGAAGTTGGTGGGAGTTGATATCCTGGCCGCAATTGACTTCTTGCGCAGTCCAGCACTTTCGGTCTCCAGCGTGACTTTCTACTCAACGTTGGATAACATTCATAAGTTGTCGAATATGGGACTCTCTGCTGAATGGGTGCCAGTTTTGGGAGTGTGGGATAGTGATGGTAGTGAGTGTGCATTTGGAATGATCTGGATATCTTGATTTTGCACCCATTTATAGAGAACAATATGGTTTCTAAAAAATTAACCTTTTCCTCATAACATTCAGTTCTTTATTCTTCTCTCTGTATTCTTTTTACTATCTTTACTGTATCTGTATTCTTTTTTTTCTCCCTAGTTTTCACCTGGTTTTTCTTCTCTACCCTCTTCCTTACTCTTCTCGTTAGTGTGCACTAATGAAAATTTCACCTCAATAGTCTTTACTCTCAATGCTACGCCCAAGTATTCGCCTACCGGGGCTACGAGGCTCCGTAACCAATATCACAGCATCCAGAACGGTGTATGTGATGAGCTACGAAAAACGAAAGAAAACGCCCGGCAAAGCGAAGAGTGACGACCTAAAGAAATGGGCTGAAAAGGATAATGACCGTATTGCCAGAAAGGAACACGAAGACTACGCAAGAAAGCTCAAGGAGTTGAAAGAGCTCTCTAAAAGTATGGCAGCATATATAAAGAGGAGAAGTGTTCGAGAAGAGGAGGTCGAAAAATTGAAGAGCATTCCACTACCTTCAGAGACCGAAGCAGCTGCATTAACAGCTAAATCAGCTGCTGGGCTTCCCTCAGGAGTGCCATTCAATCCTAAAAATGCTTCACTTGCAACTTCTATGGTGTCTCTCCCTGAATCTATTCAGGAGAAGTTGGGATTAGCTGTAAAGTACTTGGTGTCGAGAGAGAATCAAAATTGGAGTCTCGTGCTTCATCAGCTAAATGACGATGGAGGCTTGCAAGGCATTCCAGAGAAGGATGTGAGAAAAATGGTCTATGCGATTCCTCGAAGCCAATTGAGACATGTTTTTCCCCAGATAGAGAGTCTCCTAACTTCTTCTGGCATCCAGTTGTCACCAAAGATCGTCAACTGTTATTTGAAATCCATGACCGTAGGGAACACGGTCAATGAGGCAGATTTGAAGACGGTAGAGAAGTATACCGACCAGCTCAGACTGTTAAGTGAGCAGGGGAAGTTATCCAGAGACACGTACGAGGTTTTAGTGGAAGCATACGGCAAGGCAGGCAACGTTGAGAAGATGAACGACATTATCAAAGAAATGAAAACTTTCAAGCTCAGCCCATCTCTGAATGTGTATTCCAACGTTTTGTCAACCGTGGTCTACAAGACCAGAGATCATAAACAAGCGGTGCAACTTTTCGATCTGATGAAGTTTTTGGCTGGATCCATGTCTCCATCCACGAGGGAATATCAGGATATCATTGTCTCATATGTGAATAATGATGACATCGAAAAAGCACTTGATCTCTATCAGGAAATGATTTTTGGGGGGATTTCATTAAGCCAGAATATTTTGGTGGCATTGGCAAGGGGATGTATGTCTCGTGAGCCTCTTCGTGTTAAGGCCTGGGATTTCATTTTCGAAATTTACAACTACAAATGGGAACCAACCGTTCAGACACTAGAGTATATCCTTTATTTGGCTGCCAAAGATGGAGATCTTGCCTTGGCTCGTGCATTTTACCAACAATTGAATGTCTCTGATGCCACATCGCCCCGGTCCTTCTCATTCCTCTTCCTAGCATACACAAGAAGTACCATTGGCGTCCCGGTGAATGAGTATCAACCGTTGGCAATCACGGCACACGAGAAAGGCAGAAACTTCCGTCGCAACATCTTGGACCTTGTTGACTTCTCGCCCAAGTTCGAAAATGCTAAGCAAGCTGTTCCATTTCTTCCTAAGGTTGCACTCACTGAGGAGAGAGAAGTGTTGGCCGAGCTGAGTGCTATTATGGCTCATGCTCTCATGGTGCATCCTGGGTATGTCAACATCGAAAGTGTAAACACTTTTATGAACATCGCAGCCAATATGGGATCACTTGAAGAGTTTATCGAAAGATACAACGAATTCACATTTTTGGATAAATCTGGTGTTAATGAAACAAGAACCATAATCGAGCCCGAGATATTGGAATCCCTCGATACTTCGATTATGTCTCAACGTTCCTCAGCCACCAAGTCTCCAATTCTCTCAGAAGTTCTCCAGCACCGAAAGAACTCATACAAGGTTCCAAGAAATACAATAACCTACTTAATTGCATTGAAGGCTGCTGCAAAGCATCATGATTACAGTTTTGCTCAAAGCATTTGGAGTGAAAGAGGTACTTACAGAAAGTCCAACGATTTCAAGTCTCTTCCCAGAGATACCAAAGACAAGCTCGATTTCAGCTTTGCCAGCGGCATGGTGAATTGTCTTACTGATCTCAAGCTCTTGGACGACGCATTGGCGATTCTTGTCAGCACAGAGTACCAATTCAAGTGGACATGGAAAGAGTTGCGAAAATTATACACCGCCGCAGTGGATGTGGGGCACACTAATGTTACAAAAACAGTCAGAGGAGTGGTGAAGAGAGCGCAGGTGACGCATGAAGGTAAAATCAGGAAAAAGGATTACAAACGATACATAATGGAGAGAGGATATTGACCATGAAAGACACTACGTGTATATAATAATTGTAAATAGCTTCAAGTTGAATATCTTCTATACTTTTACTAATTTCCTATGTACAATGATCTATTTACAAATGATGCTAATGATTCCTTCCTTGACAATAATCTTCTTGATTGACTTGTTGCCAATGAACTTCTCAGCCGGAGTTTGTTTCAAGACATGTTCTAAGATGTCCGAATTAGTTGAGTTGACAAAATCTCTGTCAGCCCTGAAGCCTCCTCTTCTCTTTCCATTGACAATAACATTGTAGGGAATCTCCGAGGAGGTGATTGGCTGAGCATCCGGGAATTTCTCAAAAAAGATGGACTTCCAGGGCTTTCCAAGACCAATTGCAAGACCTTCCCAACACTCCTCGGCGACTGATGGTGTAGCAGGGGCCATAACCACTAATAACTTTTTGTAGCTATCCAAGACAACCTCAGGATTCAAGTTTGGATTTTCTTTAATTGTCTTTTGTAGCAAGTTCGTCATCTTCATGTAGTCAGAAATGATGGTATTGAAAGACAAGTCCACATCAATCGACTTGGCAATTCGGTTGGTGTAACTCAGAATTTCGTTGTATAAATTGAGTTCTTCTGGGCTCAATTTATAAGAGTTATAATGTACTCCATTCAAAGTCAAGTTTTCATAGTCTTTCAAATTGGAACTTGGCTTATTTTTCAGTTGACAAACGGACAAGACATCATCTTTCAAGATCAAAACTTTCTTCAACCATTTTTCCACACCTTGAATTTGTTCCTCGTTCCAGTTTAACAAATCAGAAATTGGCGCAGAAAACAAAATCTGAGCTCTTACCACGTCTGCTCCATACTGGCCAATACAAGTAGCAGGATCCACTCCATTATACTTCGACTTGGACATCTTTTCGAAACTCACATTGGCTGTATCACCCGAAGCAACGATCTTTCCAGAAGATTGATCTACTTCTTCCGGTTTCAAAAACCGGCCATTTTGGGGATCAGTAAATGTTTTTCCATGAACCATACCTTGAGTAACCAATTTCTTGATTGGCTCATTCTTCCACTCCTTACCATTCCACAAGCCACAGTCACCAAGGAATTTGGCCACAAATCTAGAATATAGCAAGTGCAAGATAGCATGTTCAACGCCTCCAATGTATAAATCAACAGGCATGTGTTTGGAAGCCTTTTCGCAGTCGAAGATTTCGTTTTCGTTCTTTGGATCAGTGTATCTGAAGAAATACCACGACGAGTCAATGAATGTATCCATAGTGTCTGTATCCCTTTTTGCATCACTTCCACACGATGGACACGGGGTATTGACAAACGAATCGATCTTAGACAAGGGGTTTCCCTTACCAAAACTCTCCCCTTCGATCTTGGGCAAAAGAACAGGAAGGTCTTTGTCTGGAACAGCAACAGGTCCACAAGAATCACAGTGAATAATAGGAATAGGTGCGCCCCAATATCTCTGTCTGCTGATAAGCCAATCTCTTATTTTGAACTGAGTAGACCGGCCACCGGCATTATGTTGCTCCAAAGCATCCATGATCTTCTCTCCTGCGTCTTGAGAAGTTAATCCAGCGAAAACTCCTAAGGAATCAAGTCCATTTGGAAGAACAGACGAAGTGTAAAGTTTTCCAGTCTTTTCAGTGAAGATCTCTTTGCTCTCTTGGGCTCTACCAAGATCGGCGCTACCCACAGTTTGAACAGGGGGAATGGCGGGATTATGAAGCTTCCAGAAATCAAAATCACGTTCATCGTGTGCTGGGCAGCCCATCACAGCACCATGGCCGTAAGTTCCTAGTACATAAGGAGCAACGTAAACGGGAACATCGAAGGTTTTCTGCTTGTCACCATTAACATCAATAGGAATGGATGCGCGGATCTCGGAAAGCAAATATCCATCCTTTGTTGTTGGATCATCATTCTCCTTCGCATGTGCTATGAACTCAGCCAATTTGGGATCCTTGGCAGCAGCTTCAGTGGCAAGGGGATGGTTAAGCGCAACAGCTACAAACTGGACACTGAATAATGTATCTGGCCGAGAAGTAAACACTGTTATAGGTGAATTGTGGGAAGTAGGAAAGGAGATTTCTGCTCCGTGGCTACTTCCAATCCAATGCTTTTGCATGGCCTTCACTTTATCGGGCCATTGGTCCAAATGCTTTAAGTCTTCTTGCAACTCTTCCGCATACTTGGTGATGCCAATAAACCATTGTTCCAAATTTCTTTTCTCCACTTTCGCACCAGATCTCCAAGACTTACCCTCAGCATCAACCTGTTCATTTGCCAAAACTGTCTGATCCACTGGGTCCCAATTGATCTCCGCTCCCATTCGGTAAGCAAGGCCCTTTTCAAACAAAAGCGTGAAGATTTTTTGCGTCCACTTGTAGTAATCGGGTGACGACGTGTTGACCTCTCTTTCCCAATCAAAATCTGCCAACATCAAATGCATTTGTTCCTTCATCTTCTCTACGTTCAGTTCTGTCCAAACAGCAGGATTTATTCCTCTTTCGACAGCAGCATTCTCTGCTGGAAGTCCAAAAGCATCCCATCCCATTGGGTGAATGACGTTGTAGCCCTTCATTCTCTTAAATCGAGCAATTACATCACTAATAGTGTATACTCTTTGGTGGCCCAAATGAAGATTTCCTGATGGGTACGGAAACATGGAGAGCGCATAAAATGGAGGAGCATCTTTTGGAGTAGTATGTTTGGCCGGATGCAAGCTCCCGTCGGGTGATTCTTGTCTCCACCTCTGTGTCCATTTCGTGTCGATTTCGTTAAGTTTAGGAATTGGAGAGCTCGTTGAAACAGAAGATACAGATGCAACATGCCTCAAAGAGGAGGCAGTACTAAGCTGGACTTTGGGCCATCGTCCCCGACTAAGCATCTTCTATAGGAAGAGAGCAAATGTTGCAGGAATTAGCTATCCAATAGGTGGAAACTGGTACTGGAATGAAAATGGTGAGAATAATACTGATGCAGGATACGACACTATTTTGCACCCAAAGTGCATGGATATGCAATAATACACTAATATACATGTTGACAAGCCATTAGCCACGCAGCCTTTTATTAGCCAACGGCTTCAATGACCCAAATAAGAGATCGCAAAGGCCCGTGTAACCAAGACTGTCGAGACTGTTGAGTAGCGAAGCCTTGATGTCGTAGTAGCTCATGGAAAGCCAGGTGTTGTCCAGTTCGTGGCGTAATTGTGCCACGGAGTCCTCCGAAATGGGGCCCGGATGCCTGGTGGTAATTCCCTCTGTTTGGTCCTCTAACATCCATACAAGCTCGGCACAAGTGTATGCGAGACTCGGATTCTGGACTAGTCCTCCAACAGTTTTGAGCTGGAGTAAGTTGGAGTAGCTGAAGAAGTTTAGACCGGCCACCTTTTGCAAAAATTCATCGTCTAGTAGCATTCCCTGACTGAAAGTGCCAATGTCTTTATTAAGCGCCATTTCTCTCCACACAAAATTGAGAGAATCCATAATGTAGAGACTGCGCAAGCGTTTTTTTATCTCTTCACCATCTGGTAATTGTACACTTTTGAGGAAAACAAGGTATCCTAATGCTTCAGAGAGTATTAGTGGGTTAGTAGATACTATGAGTTGGTACATCAAAGTGGGAGGAGGAACGAGATGTCCAGCAGTGGACCATGGCAGGTCCACTTTGCAAGTCTTCACGGCAGCCAAGAACGACAAGAATCTGATTTTGGAGAAGAGGTGAAGTTTACCCCAATAGACTTCCGTGAAGTTGAATATGTGCGTGATAGCATCCAGTAGACATTCAAGATACTCTTTATAATCATTGGAAGCAACGAACACGGCGCTCCACTTCCGAATAATAAACGCGAGCTCAGAATAAAATAGACCCACTAGGCGAAACCATTCGTCCTTAAGAGAGTAGACGTCTTTTAGTCGGGTGAGCATCTTGACAAGGGCAGATATCAATATAGATTTCTCCCACGGTATGTATCTAAGGAGTCTGATCTGTTTCCTCACGGAGTCAATTGTGGTCGGCTCATCAGAATTCACAAATTGAATACATGAAGCTGTATAGCATTTCAATCCCTGAAACCTAGCAAATTCAAGGAGCTGTGAGTATACCAATAATGAGTTGTGATCGCCCATATTGAATATATGGTATCGAATAGCATACTCAAGCTTTTTAAAGGTTTGATCATCTCTACCGACAGTCATCAAATATAGTGCCAAGTATAGGCAACGGAACCTGTTGTTTCCCGATGAAGTAACGCTTAACACAGAGCTGGGATTCGTGAGGCTGATATCCTCAAAATGAGCTATTAAGGAACTCACAGAATTAATTGACAGAATTTGTATAGCGCCCGGTGAAGAAAGCGGAATCAAATCCTGATGCTGCAGAGCTTTTCTTCTTTTCCTTTGGTTGTCAAGAGACTCAAAAACTCGTTGGATTTGAGAATCTACGTCGGACACTTCATTCCATAAACTTGTGCCATACTCTGACGTTGAAGTCTCAGATTTTGCAATCAATGATGAATGAAGTGCGGAATTGGGATAATTGAATATACCTGAGGTGTCCATACTAGCCAACTTATTGACCGACGGTAGCTTTTGAGTTCTGTTTCTTAGGCGCAAGTATGCCATAAGTGCTTTCAAAGACGGATCCGATGGGAACTGCAAGCACATATCAGCTACTAATTTTACATTCCATGGACGGATTAGATAGCCTTGTGAGAGTTTGGGCAAGGCATCAGGGCCATTTGAGGCTATCACAATCAAAGTAGAAATGTAAGGTCTCAGAAACTCGAACGACAATAGGCCGAAAAGCATGGAAAGATGCCGCTTCAAATAGCGAAACAAAGGTCTTCCAAAGAGAGGAAGAGCACAGATTAACCATTCCAATAACCTTTGCTGACAAGATGTAGGTAATCTTTTCAGCTTTTGCTGCTTACCATTCTTATAGAACACTTCGGGTGTCCCCACGACACTCAACACACGCAGAATAATGTCCGGTGGAAGTAGATAGTTTCCACGAGGCACTAGACAGTCTGATATTAAGATATTCTTGTGGGACATGGAGAGTTGACTGTCCAAGATCAAGTCTAGAACAGATTTTAGTTCTGTCGGCAGTAGGCCGCTTGAAGCGGATATTTTCAGGATCTGACGCAAAGAAACATTAATTTCTGATCCTCCAGCTTCAATATCCTCTAATAGATCCAGCAAATGGTCCGGGGACCGCATACTGAAGAGATGAAGTCGAGATCTGATGAAGAGTGTGTGCAAGAAGGTAAACAAACAGAGTCACGTGAGAATGTTGTGGAGTAGGTGTTGGTAAATGGGGGAGATTGGTGATGTAAGCGGTTGGCCCTTAGTCATTAGGACAAGCAAAGAGGACTATTTTCTTATTCTTTAGTATTTAATATGGTTCTAGGGCGATTGTTGCTGAGATCTATCAATTAGAGGCCGAGAGAAATGAGTAGGCGCGAGTGAGACCACGACAAGAGTATGATAGTGGACATTTTTTTTTGTTCAAGTGGTATGTTTTCGAATAGATCCGCTTAATTGAAGTACTCATCAACAATGTGATTGGTATTGTTGAGAGCATGATCCTGAGCCACCAGTGAATATGCGTTTTGTGTTGCGTTTTATGCTGTGGTGTTGGTCATAGAGACATTTGTCATTATGACATAGAGATTCCAACTGTGACAACTAGCAAGAAGTATGGAGTTAAATGAATACCTCTTAATATCAATTGAATGAATAGATTTATCTAACCACTTTAAGCTACAAATATTGACTATCTGATTCATACTCATGGTAGATCTCCGAAAGCGACCAGTTGATGATCCCAACATGGGGCAAGTTTGCACATCACCAAACCATTCTTAGTACTTTCTAAATGATGAGGATATTTCACAAAATCCATTATTCTTTCCTAGCGTTGAAATCTGACTTTCTTCGTTGTCCCATGTCTTGATCTATTTGGGAAGTAGGCGCACTGATAAGCCCCACACTTCACCTCAACCAATTCCGTCTTGGTCTCAGGATTTATTCACCTTCTTAACCACCTTTTATTCAACATTCCTAAATAATGACTTATGTCGTCGTAGGGTATGTCTCTTTTTATACCTATTGCAATCTCCTACTAACCCTAGTGCTGGAATCATTGGTCTTTACACCGTGTACGAGCTTCTCGAAAGAAATGTTGATCCACATGATATCACCATCATTGCTCAACATTTGCCAGGAGATCAGTCCATCATGTACGCTTCTCCATACGCTGGAGCATATTTTACTCCAATTCTCGACAACAAATCACTTCAGTATGCTCGCTACACCTATCAGAACATTGAAAAACTCAGAACATTTCTTGGTGGAGATGGATCAGGAATTGGAAGAGCAGAGACAATAGAACACAGTGAAGTACCACTAGATTCTGAATTGATCGATGGCTGTCGTTTTATACCTGATTTGGAAGTAGGGAAGTCCTGGTTGCCTGGATGTAAAGACTACCTTAAATTCAATGGCATAGTTTTCAATTCGCCAGTATTGACTCAAAAGATGATAGACAAGTTTAGTGACTTGGGTGTTACCGTGATAAGAAAAAAACTCTCTTCTTTCGGAGACATCGGTGTGGCCAACGCTACCATCTTCAACTGCCTGGGTCTCGGCGCTGAAGATTTGGTTGATGATACAAAAGTCTACTCTACTAGGGGACAAGTTCTAGTTGTGAGGGCACCACATGTCAAGAGAGTGTTACTGGCATGGACTTCTGGAGCCGCTACATACGTTATTCCGCGCCCTGAATCCAAAACCCACGAGGTTATCTTGGGAGGGTTCTACCAGCCCCATAGATTTGATGCTAATACGTATGGATATGAGTCAGAGGATATTTTAAAACGAATTGCCGCATTTTTCCCGGAAGTTTTGCTGCTGAATGCCTCTGGTGGCTCAATCGATGACTTAGAGGTCATGAGAACTGTTGCTGGTGCTCGTCCAACAAGAGAAGGTGGGGTGAGAATTGAGAAAGAGAGGACAAAGTATGGAACGGTTTTGCATAATTACGGAGCATGTGGGACGGGCTACCTTTGTGGATTGGGGATGGTTGACAAATGTATTGGACTATTGGACGCTCTGGGTTCTAAGCTATAGGAGAACAATATCATACCAGAACAATCTGTATAACTTTCAATTATAATCGTTTTTTCTTCTTAAGTTTCTTCTAAGCTTGCATTTTGATTCTTCTACAGGACACCATTCATCTTCGCCTATATACCTCCAGCTTCTCTGTACCATCTCACACCTCTGTCAAAACTCACCACACACAAACCTTCGTTGGAGTCTCCACCGGCACCTCCACGTACGCCCTTCTTGATAAAAGCCACGCCACTACAGACACTTGCGTCTGCCTCTTCATCTTGCGTAGTATCTTCCAAGTCGGTGATGTTAATCACCAAAGTTGCCTCACGCTCTCTCAGTTCCATATTCCACACCCTAACACATTTATCGAAACCACAGCTGGCCAATAGACTTCCATCTTCATTAAAGCTCAATCCCATAATCCATCCTTCGTGAGCAAATCCGCCAATGTTGGTCTTTGCAGAGTGCGACAGCGTAGTCAACGATCCGACATTCTCACCATACTTGACATCATAGAGCGTGATGGATCCAGCTGACTGGTTGTCTCTACTAACAGCAAGTAGGGTTCCACAAGGAGAGAACTCCACAACACGTGGGATGGATGAGGAGCCTTGGCCCTCTTCGACCTGTAAATCAGTTGAGTGGAAGGTGAATTCTTGCTTCAAACTCTTCAAATTGAACACCACCACATCTCCCGAGCTGTACCCCACCGCACACAACGCTTCTGATGTGAGTGATATGCCTAGAGAGTTTGGAAATGACGTGATACTGCTGGCATTGAGTGTACCAATAAGGTCTGCAACCTCAATAGACAAGTCCTCCAGGTTAAGAGACAACGAGTAAACTGCCGTCGAACCATTTGCTTTAGTTACCACAAAAAGGTTCTGAACTGATTCGGGATCCTTGTAGAACCCTGGGGACCAGAAACCATCACTAAAAACCTTTCCGGTGTCTATCAAGCTGAAGGTTTCAAGGTCGTCATTCCTATAGTAGTAAAATACGATCGAGCCATCAAAACAGCCAAATGCCAACACCACGAGCTTTGTAGTCAGCCCAGTGGGAACAGTTTCAAAGACAGCGACGTGGTGGATGCCAATATCTTTGATTAACTTGTGAGTAACGAATTCCAGAGGTTGGTGAACCTCATCCTTCTTATTATCCCAGAATGCAGCATATCCATCCGACGAAACAGTGATAGTATATTTCCCTGTCATTGCCACACCCAGTATATCCAGTTTATGGGCCTGGGCCGCAGATACTGTAGAAATATATTGCTTTCCCATGACGAGGTGGTAGGTTGATGGATTGTAGAGTGCACAGTGTAACTTGTGGAGGTGAGTATTGAAGAAGCAAGAATTCCATCACGAGGAATTGTGAATAGCTCTCATGTTCTTGTTGGTGTTTTTTTTTTTTGTTTTCAATTTTATTTGAAACTAGTATTTCAATAGATTTTGTTGTGTTTGTTAGACTTTGGTTTTGCTCTCTCGCTTTGTTTCCGTTTCTCACGCTTTATTCTACTCTTCTTGATTGTGTTGTTTCTCACGTTTTCTAATAATATTCCACCGCACTTCCACAATCACCTATGATTAAGAAGTTTTTTCAAAATAAAACTGTTCCCGGTAGAGACGACTCCAGCAGCGACTCTGGTGAATCTGAATGTGTATCCCCTGAAGAAGTCCGAGCAGCAACTGAAGACAGATACTTCTTTCGTAAGCCTCTTGATTTTGCACCCACATCATCCAACATTTCTACCTCAATGAAGGCATCTCTGAATGGACAGAAAATGTTGCAAACCGATAACTTCCAGAAAATGGAAACCAATGAATCGCAAATGAAAAGATCTCGAAGCTTCTCTTTTCGTTTCAGACCCCACAGCAACTCCATATTCAAGGTGCCCAGAAGCAAGTCGGTTCATTTTGCCGAGCAGGTGCAAGTTGCAGATGTCAATACTAGCGAACCACCAAGATCCAAAGTTATAAACTCTTCTTCTCCTGACATCCCCAGTGAGGAGAATCGCTCGTCGTCCTCTATGTATACTGATGAAACCGCAGACTCTTCTGCTAGCGAGAATACAATGAAGAGAGTGGGAGAATCATTAGAAACTATATTTAAAAAGAGATCTGACTCAACAGATGAGAATACTCGAAATGAAATAGTCACTGCAGAAGATACCGATAGTGGAGATGATAGTCACAACGAAACTTTCGAAGTTGGGAAGGTGGAAATTAAACAAGTGACTCCAACGATCACTTATCTTTACAAAATTTATGAGCATTTGTGTCACACACTCGAACTTCGGCCCCAAGTAGAAGAGTCATTCACTATGGAGCACCTTGAAACTGATATTCATACTTGTATTGAAGACCTTCAGGCGAACCTCAAGTCGACCACCGAGATCATGCATGGCCTCAAGTCTAGAATTAAAAGGCGAGAAGAAGAGAGTGCTGAACTCTTTTCAGAACTTGAAACTCTGAAGAAGCAATTAAATCTATTGGAGGAAACCGTTTACCTGCTCAGAAACGAGATCATGCAGTTAAAGGAAAACAAGATGGATTCCGACGAATGTGAGCAGATGCACCAAGAGTTGTCAAAAGCATATCAAGAAATCGATAAGATTGTCTCGTGCTATGAAAAAGAATTGTCAGAATGCAAAACTAATTTGCTGTCAAGGGCTAAAGAGATCATTCTCATTAAGGAGAACAACAGCAAGGAAGAGAGTGCCCTTCGTTCTCAATACGATGACGCAATGAAACGTTGTAACGAGATGGAGAAATCCTTGCATGCCACAAATACCAACAAAACGGAATTGAAAGAAATCAAATCCTTGCATCAAAGAAACGAGAGAGAGTTTGAACTTCAGATAGGCCAATTGCAACGAGAGGTGAAAGACTTGAATGATCGGCTTGAAGAAAGTGAGAAGCAAAATCACAAACTTGAGAGAGAGAAAGACAAAATGACAAGCGACTTAAATGGAGAAATCAGTTTGATGAGAAGTAAATTGAATCAAGATTTGAGTACTGGTGTTCAATTACAAGAGGCCAATCGTATGCTCAAAACAAGCCTCGAAGAAAAAATACAGGAGTACGATCTAAGTGAGAATCAGAATCTCCTGCTCCGCAGCCAAATTAAGAAACTTCAAAGAGATTTAGATGATCAAAACAACAACCATTCTAAACATTTTGATGAAGCTTTGTTGGCAGAGTATGATAAGGTCAAAAAATTTCAAATCAGCAACACTGCACTCAGAAGCCAAGTTCTAGAACTCGAAGCTCAAGTAGCCAAAGGAACCTCGCAATTACGAAATTGTCAACTTACCATTTCCAAACTCCAACTGGAAATGAAAACAGCGGTTCTCAAGGAAAAAGCTCGTGTTCAAGACTACCAAGCAGTCCATAACTCCAACACTTTTGTAGTGGGAGTATTGAGAAAATACATGAAGACAACGTTTGAGATTTTGGCACCCATGTTCCATCACAGCTCAGCTGATGAATTCACACAAGTTTTTTACGAGTATTCAAGGGTTCAAATCTTTGATGTAACGCATCATAGCATGGTAACTCTTCTTTTAGCTTTTCTCCTAGCTGCTGTTCGCGATATTGTCAGAGAGTACATGAGAGTGGAACGGCTGCTAGAAGCAGAAATTGGCAATAGACAGAACTACCAAAAGGAGGTCCTACAAATGTTTTCAAAGATTCTCAGACTACTCGTCGACACAGGCAAATTGCATGGTATTGAAAGCAATCGTTCTTCAGTTCGAAGACCAATCACAACAAAAAAATCAAAGAAAGAGTTAACTAAGTATTCTCCTTATAGGTAGGAGTGGCTGCAAAAAAAAAAAGATAAAAGAAGCAAAAGAAAATCAAACCTGCGACTATAAAACCATAAGGCTCCCGCTACGTAAAGTTGTTTATTTTTTTCATCTTCATAATTTCCATCTTAGGCATAGGCTGAATTTAATACCACTGATTGTATATCAAACTACTCAAATCATTATGACTTCTTCCTGGTTCTGGTTTTTTGGCAAGACAAACTCACCCCCGCATACGCCGCCTTGTCGTGGAAGCAGAAAAAGAGACAGATTACGCTTAATTTTCTCGAAGCAAAACCGGCACAAGATTTGTGATTGTCAAGAGGGCCGTGTGGTGGCGGAATCGACTCCAGAGCCTCAAACAGAGCCCCATACAGAGCATCTTCCCGTGGTGGAACAGTCTGAAGTGATCCTAGACACTGTGGAGCCAATCACTATAGAGGAGGTTGGCCAATCCAAACAGAATGTAGAATGCTTTACTTTGCTCAAAGTTTTGCGTTTGAATTGGATGAAATCACAAAAGACAACTACTGTTCATTCTGAGCTACAGAGTGCTCCTCAGATACATAATGATCTGGGGAAGCCACCTCGATCTCTTTACTTACTTCAGGACATCGGCCCCGGCTCTAGCACTACTGAAGTCACCGCTGTTACAGGAATGCAAGCATAGTCATAACCCACTGCTAAATTTTTTCTCGATATGATGAAAGAAATTGCTGCTTACATCCCAGCATTTGTCAATTATTCTTGTTAGGTCATTAATTTTTTCAGGGGCAAGGAAGCTAACATACTGTTGGCCAATATAGCAGCTGGTGACGACATAAACCACGTCGATGCCCTGGCGGATTATACCGGTATACGTTTCACTTTGAATCCATAGAAACCTAGTTTGAATCTGATAATGTTTTAACGGTGAATGTGTCTATATGTTTTACCAATTGAAAGCATGTCGTTTGGTGTGCTAATATATGAAACTTGGATCTCCATGTATCTTGTGTGGTGTGCACATAACTATTTGTGTACATGTACCTTTCACTTCAACCCGAAGAGAAAGTTTCAAGAAGTTAAAGTGGAGTTGACAATTCAATCATGTCTAGCATTTCTGACCGTATCAAAGAGCTCAGTATCTTTCGGAGCTTCTTCTCACAAGATGAAGTCACTATGGTCATTAACGGCCGGTCTCAGCTCATCGTTGCTTCATCCAATGTGGTGAAGACCTCTCTTGTCACGGATAAGCACAACTCTTACAAGGTATTTCAGAGCTCAACTAATGAGTTCAATGTTGTGGATGTCTCATTCAATGAGTCAGGGAACCTTCTCGCCTTAATTGGTCTGCGTTCCGTAACAATATGCGATACAAGATCTCTTCCTCGCTTCGACGGTCAGTCAAGTCACTGGGAACCATTTAACTTCCAAATAGGTCCATTTGATTCTGATATCAAGTCTGTGTTGTGGCACCCGGTCAATCGCCTGAGCTCTGAGCTTGTCATTTTGACAGAGACAGAGATCTTGCTTTATGATGCAGTCATCTCTTTTTCAAGTCCAATGCTAATACTAAAGCTTATGGATTACGAACAGCTCAAAGGCCAGAAAGTGGAAAGCATATCCTTTGGTTCTAAAGATAATTTTGCTGGATCTATCACTCTTTACCTCACGACTTCTCAAGGTGAAGTGTTTGCCATTTATCCGTTTGTCTATGAGGGCTCCAAAATTACAGCCAAGAAGAGCCTGGTCGTACTGTTTATTCGGGAGTCCATCGAAGCCTTGGATGCTGTACAGAATTCTTTCCCTCCGGTGGCTTTGGTAAATGATGCACATGTCTTGGCTTTGCGTCAACATTGTTCCTTTGCACAAGATTTGGAGTATCAATTGAGAAGTCCTTCTAACAGCGCTTTGGAGAGTGATGACATCATTACCTTAACCCATCGCGGTGAAGATTTTGGCCATGTTCTACAAGGCCCACTTGCTGTCATTGGCCAAGTCCCTGAAATCATTCAAATCCGATCAGGTGAAGATGTGGCTGTGATGGCAGCTGTGCATTCTGAAAAATCAAAAGCTGTTTTCACTCACCTCGCGCAACTTCAGCCTTTGATTATGGGTTGGAAGAATCCACAGCAACTTCTGAACCCTCCCGTCGAGCCTATCAAATCGGAGAAAAGAAAAGAGGAAAAATACTCCAAGCCAAGAAGAGGTTTCGGGTATATTGTAGACTCCGGCTCTGAGAGTGAAGACGAAGATGTGGAGTACCTGAAAAGCTTGGTAGATTACAAAGAGGACATGGAAATCTACAAGATCAAAACTGAACTTCTGACTTATTTCAAGACCAATTTCAACAAGCTTTCAGTCTTGGCTGTGGACGAAACTTCGATGAATCATGACTTGTCTAGAAGGATGTACTTCCGCAATGTAGATGGGGAGAAGTTGCTTTGTGGAAGAGATGGACAAGTTCTTTTAGTGGATGTTCTGGATGCCATCAAACTGATCTTCACAGATGACCGTCAGTACGAGCCAAAATACAAAATGACCCATGCTTCTTCGAAAGCGAACTGTTTTGCTTACTTCAATGATACTTTGGAGGGTCTGGGAGAGTATGCTATTGCCTTTTCGCCTGGTTCCCCGGTTGATATGATTTTGTTTGAGGCTCCGGCCGACAAGGTTTCAAGTGTTGTGCTAGATCCTGAATTACCTCTGAAGTTTTCAGAGGAAACTTTTGAATCGGGATTTCTCACGGCAGAAATGTCTTCTATTTTGGAGTCTGTTTCAACGAAGCCTATCCACAAGGTTTCGAGCTTCAATCCTGAAGATACCGCAAGTATGTCCCAGATACTCGAAGTGACTGACACAGTGGCTGAAAGAACTTCTGAACTTTTGAAATTCATGCTAGCTTTACAACTCAAAGTTTGCACCCAACTTGAAGTTCTCCGTATTCAGGTTGATGATTTGAACCATATTAATGAGAGCAGCGAGTCGTCGGACGACTTCACCAAGAACAACACCAAGATTGAAGAGCTCACTGAGCGCCAAGCAAAATTGCTAGAGAAGGCAAAGAGAATTAAAGGTTCTGTGTCTGAGCGTTTCGAGAATATGAAACTGTCACTTAACCTACCGCTTTCGGCTGCTGAGAAGGATTGGTTCAGGGAAATTAATCATCTTAATAAGGTTGTTAACATCGGAGACAAAGATGACAAGTGTTTGATTGAACTGATTAAGAGTTTGAAATTGGAAGTTCTGGAATTTTCAAACAATATGAAGAAGGAAACTACAACGTCCAATAAGCTTACAAATACTATCGAGCACTTTTCACTTTCTAACGAATTGGTGAGATTGAGACAATTTTTGATTTCTGAGTCCAAGCAAATTGAGAGCATTAAGAAACAAGCAGAGATGTGCAATTTAAAATAGAGCAAGTTGGGAGTCTGTGACTTTAATCACTGAACTTCTCATGGAGGAAAGATAAAATAGCTCCAGAACAGAATTGTTCTCTCCACTCGGAAAGTGTTCCAGGTGAAATAGCCTCATCAAGAAATACACTAATATGTGTTCCATTAATGTCAATTGCGATCCTCTCAGGGTGATTCGCAGTCAAGCCAACCTTCTCACACCATCTTAAGATCTGGTCAGTGAGGATTTCATGATCCCCGAACACCACTAGAATATCTCCGTTCTGGATGGCAGGATTGTTTTCCCAGTTCACTTTGTCGCTATTGACTTCGATGTTCACCATTGGGGATTTATCCAACCATTCGTCACCATTGGTGTAAAATTTTCCAAAGTACCTAGTCATGGAATAAGAAAAACAATCCACTCCCTGGTATCTTTTAACACTTCCAGCATTCTCTGTTTTTGTAATATTCAAGTAGGGAGAAATGGCAACAGTAGCCTTTGGCCACACGACATCCTTTATCTTGGGTCTAGAGCCCAAGTATGCCAAGGTGTTGATCACCAAGTTTCCACCAGCAGAATCACCCATTGTGATAACGTTTCTGAATCCTTCACCCACCAATTTGTCATAAATGAGATTAACTTCATTGATCTGCTTTGGGTAGGCTGCCCCTTCCGTAGTTAAAGTGTAATCGATCATGAGAATCGAAATGTTAACCCCATACAATTCTTTGTATGCCCTATAAAAGTTCGCCAATGCTGTGAATGCCGTTTCTGCAACTTGTAATGCAAAGCATCCTCCATGGATGTAGAAGATAATTGGGGAATCTGTAGATGTTACAGATTTGGTGAGCCAATAACTAGCACAAGTGTCATATTCATCCTTCTTGGTGTATTGCTCAGCATAGCCAGGAAGGTCATCAAGCAGGCCAGCGTGATTAGTCAAGAGTGTCTTGAGATCTTTGTATAAGAACTTGGCGTCGCTCATTGTAGCTCCCTTTACCATATGAGCACTTGAAGCAATAAAGAGAGTCTTGATCAATGATCTCTTAGTGTTCGCATTAGTGTAAGATGTACCAATAGTGAAGTATTGGAAGGTGATCAACGCAAGAGTTGCAGGCAAGGTAACCAATCTGAATAAAATGGAGAGTGAAAGCACCATTGTTGATAATTGAAATGACTAAACAATGAAAAGTTGATTTGACCCCTTCGTTCCATTACCTAATAAGACCCCACCATGCACTTCGCAGTGCATAGAAGAGTTATAACCTCGTATTAGAAGTTACGGGCAAGGATTCGTAAATTATCTTAAACAACAACATGACAGCTAATTCTGAGGAGGTGGAGGCTTTGTAGGATTTGTAGGTGGAGCCAGTTTGGTCGAATTTGGAGGTGGTGGGGGTTGCGATGCGGCTGGAGGTGGAGGCGGTATGGATCCTGGAGGAGCAGGTGGCACGACAGGTTTTGACGGTGGAGGGGCAGGGATAGTATGTGAGGGAGCAGGAACAACCAGGGGAGGTGCAGGGATAGACGGAGGATTCTGAGGAATAGGTGGAGGAGGTGCAGGGATAGACACTGAAGGTGGAGGATTCTGAGGAATGGGTGGAGGAGGTGCGAATCCAAGAGGTGGTGGTGGTGGGTGCGTAATTCCTGGTGGAAAACCGTGTGTTGAAGGTGGTGGAGCCAGTGGGGGAACCAGAGGGTTGACGCCAGGGTAATCTGAGCCTAAAGCGTAATTAGAACCTGAAGACTGGCCCGCGAATGTAGCAGGGTATCCTGGTGCCACAAATCCTGGTGGTGGATGCATTCCAGTAGGTGGAGCACCTCCATTGATTCCATAAGGAGGATTCCACAGATCTGTTTTTTGACGTTTCCAAGGCGGAAGCTCCTCTTCAGTCTTTGGGACATAGGATGAGCCTCCACGATTGGGACTGTAGGAATCCACATCTCTTTCAGTGATGTCTGGTCTGTTGGTACGCTCGTTTTTGAACTTACAATCTCGAGAGTAATGACCCACATTGCCACATATGCGACAAATAATTTGTGTCACATCTCTTCCTGGCTGCTTTCTCTGGTTGAAGATCTCTGGAGGAACGTACGGCTTCGTTTCTCTCAATGTACCGTTGAGCACTGCCAATTCTCGAAGTTGGTCTCTCTTGAGATCGTTCTGGCCAACGGGTGACGAGATTGCCTTCTCGATGACCTCATTCGTCAACTTGATGGCCTTGCTGATCTTTGCACTCGTATCTGCGGTGATCAAAACGTGCAAGTCATCTTCTGGTCCTCTGGCTCCTGATAGATCGCTCAGTTTTCCATCCTTGACAGAACCTTTGCCTCTAATAGCCAATTTAGCTCCACTATCATCCTGAAGTTGTCTGAGAGTGTTTCCTCTGGGACCCAATAGCAATCCGACAAAGTTTATATCAGGGTAATCCTTAATAGGAATGTAGAGTTTTTCGCTAGTTTTTGCTGGCTTCTTGTAATCGACTGGTGGATCATAGTTGTGGATAGACGTAACAGCTTTCTCCACCAATGTATGTCTTTCCTTCTCGAGCAGTTCTCTGACCTGTGCCTCTCGTGTATTTGTTCTGTTTCCGTGCTGGTCATATTGTGGAGCAGGTTGAGGATCTCTCTGAAAATTGGCCATGTTGTACGACGGGAGATTATGGAGAATGGATTTTCCTGGTCCTGTGGACTTTCGAAGGATTTCAGAGATTTCCTCCACTCTGAAAAACTGCTGGTATGCATCGATCTGTTCTTGGGTTAAGTGACCAGTAATGATGGTATCGAGTTTCTGTCCGTTGATTTCGGTGAATCGAGCCTTGGTTCCTGCCCAGCGGGTGAGTCTAGACTTTGGATCAGCCATTGTGTAGGCGTAGAAGAGGCTGTGGGTGATTCAGGTGTGGATAACTAATGCCAGGTTGGTTCCTAGAAACTTGAGAAAAGTTCAGATTTCGCGATGTAGTAGGTGAAGAGAATACTAACGATACAGCTCGTCCACGTAGAATTGAAATTTCGATTAATTTTCTGACAGATTTCTTTGTTTTGTTTCGTTTGGGTAATAGAATAAACTTCTGTTCTGTGTTCTCTTTTTTATTTTTGAAGCTGCTTATGAATTGCATTATTTCACAGTGGAGCGAAATCTGACCAAAACGCAACAGAATTTTTAAATGTTCTTCAAAACTCGAAACTTACGTAAAATCATCAACCTATTAAAAAAAAGAACCGATATCTTTTAACCCTTCTTCTAGTCTATATCATTATGCCTATTTCCTAAATTCTAATACACTGAGAACCTCCCATCCTGCTTTCCGATGCACAACAACCTCTACGTTCCATCCCCTCTCTTTCATGATTTTTGCAACATCATCCGGCTTGTTACGTGCACAAAACAAAATATATGCCACTCCTCCCTCTGCCAAGATCGACTCAAGGTTAAAGAGAACCTCCCAAGTTACAACCATGCCGTCCTCTCCTCCAAGTAATGCCAAATCGAGCCATTTGTCGTCCATCTTTTCCGCAGGAAGAGCAGGAACTTCTTCAGCAGGAACATACGGCGGATTAAAGACTAGAACGTCCACTGAGTTCTTCCGAATTGCTGTAGTTAAGCTCATCTGACAAGATTCCACACTTTTGTAGGTATCCTTAGAATTGTATTTGGCTGTATCTAGAATAGCCTGACATGCAGTTGGGTTGACATCTGTAGCAAAAAAATATCCACCTGGGAATATACTGGTTTTCATAAATGCTGTCACAATGCCTGATCCAGCACCGATTTCACATACTATGGGATACTTGCGTTGTTTGAGAGCGTCAAGTTTCTCCTCCAAACAGTCAAGAAGTAGAAACGAGTCTTCTGCGGGTTCGTAAACTTTCTCGTCAAGGTCTCTAACTATAGGAGTCGGTAGCATTACAATTGGGGTAGACATCTAAGTCCATCAAGACCATCACTCGAAGCACTTTGTTGATGGTGTACGGGTGTACTGTTGGCATTTATCCATTGTAAAGAAGGTCACAAGAAGGAAAATGAAATTTGATAACAAGGATTTCCAACATTAAGTTACTAGTGATAAAGTCCAATATTTTCCAATAAGAAGTCTACTCTTCCAAGATCGTCTTTAATCTCAGCTTATATATTCACACTTTGAATCAACACTGACCTGCATCCGAATCACACCAAACTCATACTAGTCCTTACTCTTGTAATGCAAGTGAAAGTGAAAACATTGACAGGAAGAGACATCCCTGTGGATATTGAACCCAGCGATAAGGTGATTCGCATAAAGGAGATGATGGAGGAGAAGGAGGGAATTCCTCCTGCGCAGCAACGGTTGATTTTCAACGGGTCACAATTGAACGATGAAATCACCGTTCAGGAGTCAGGAATTCTGGCTGGCGCATCGTTGCATTTGGTCTTAACGTTGAGAGGAGGATATTGAGATGTGTGGGATTGAGATCTGGCAAGGTTTTGCCACTATGATTCTCAAATAAACTTGAAATGTACGACTACGGATTCTTACTATGTAAATTAGATTGTAGATATTCTTTATGAATTGTTAAGTGCCCATTTCCTTGCATTGGCAAGGAACTTGGACAAATCTGGCTTGATTTCGGGAAAAACGTACTCCACATATACCTCCTCCACACCTTCAACTGTACGTCTCTTTTTGACTGCTGTGGGCATTCTGTCGATTACTTTGTTGAGGGACTCATCGGTTCCATGTGCACTTTCATAGTCCTTCCAGGCCTCTAGAATACGAATAGCGTTTTCACTGTCACCAGCGGATTTGAACCAATTGAAGGCCTCCGTGAAAATTGCTCTTGTCTGTTTTCTATGGTAGTCCTCAACCAAAAACTGCACTTCTTCTCCCGTAGTAGACTCAAGCTCTTGCAACTGGCTCGGAGAAAGGATTTGTGACTCAAAAAGTGCAAACAGTATCCACACTTTGGCACTAGGTGTGGTTGTTAGCTTTTCCCGGTAAGCTTGTCTTGCCTTATCATAGAGCATTTCCTCCTTAAGGAATTCAATGAACGAGAAGTAGTAGCTATCATTATCAGACTCCGGAGTTGTCTTGTGGATAACAGCAATCACGGCCTCGAAAAGACCAACACATCTATCTGATTCATCAACCGACTGTTCAAATTGAACAAATTCTTTTAAAACAACCAACCCAAGATTGGTGGCGCCGTCTTGACTTTGATCATACACGAGACTTAACTCAAGCCACTTCTCGTATAATTTCCTCACTCGTGTCCATTCACCTAATTTCCTCTCTAGCGCAATGTAATGCTTAAATATTTTGTTCTTTGGTGAGCCGTTGGATGACTGACCGATAGCCCTTCCCAAAATCTTTCTTGCTGCTGTGAGCCCGTCATCACCGTTTCGAAGTTCGAATTCAGAGTACAAAATCCACAATTTTGCAAAAGTGAACTTTCGTTTGGCTACAACCTCTAATGCCTGTTTCCATATAGCCCTTGCACCATCGATATCTACCAAATTCAATTCTTGGATCCATGCGAGCTTGATCCAAAGAAATACATAGCGTCGCCACGATGTCAGTTTGCTAGTATGTATAGGTGACACCAGAGTTGCATTCTTCAATAGTTCTGCAATCTCCAAATCCAGCTTGTCACTCTCTTGCAACTTGATGTAGTCCCACCACGAGTCATAGTCACGAGGGTCTTGTGCAACATCTTTTTCATACTGATACAATCTTTTTAAGCGAACAGTTGCATCCTCGCCACCAATTAGTCCATACCTCTTCTCAAATTCACTGAAGTCCTCAAAAATTATAGCTTGCTGTTGCTTAGAGAGTAAACCCAGCTCGAGTAATATAGTGTACACCGCCCGTGAACGTTCTGCTTCTTTAACAGACATCTCCCAGTCTGCCCAAAGTTTTAATAATGCTGGCAAATATTCGTCTTGCAACTTCCCTTGTTGCGCTAGATTGTCTATGGCTCCCTCGAATATTCCTCGTACACGCGCTATCTGAACCTCGTCAGGAGCTGGCCCAGAAACTTCGAACTTGGCCCACTTCCACCATATTTCACCCTCACCCCCAAACTCCACGAGATATCGTAAGTATATGTTCCGCAAGTTATCGTACTCGTCGTATCTTTTCTCAAATGCAATGTAAGAATCCCACACCTCCTTGGGGGGTTTCCAAGTAAGCCATCTCTCGAAAACAGCACGGACTCCTCGGTAATTCGCCAATGACTCTTCTGTTTGCACATACATGAACCATAATTTGTCTGTTCTGGGTAAGGTAGTCACAGCTCTATCTAGCAAATTTCTGGCGTGGTTGACATTCTTGTGTAGCAACTCAATCTCGATATAACGGACCCAGAATGGAATGTGTTGGACATTGACCTCAAGTGCTCTTTCCATGATCGATCTTGCCCTTTTGAAGTCATGGTTTTGGTCGATCTCCCACTTGGCGTATCGTATCCATTGGCCAAAATTGAGCCTGTTTTTGTTTAGTTGCTGCTCAAACTCCTTTCTTTTTGTTAGTTGATAAGATCTGAGCTCATCGAGATCTTGGATTGTCTGCTGAGGACGATTGAATGTGGATTGTCGGATGTGATTAGCATCTTTAAGAATATCAGAAGAAGTCACCTGGATATCTGCTGGCTTGTAGTCATTGGTTCGATTTCCTTCTAGTGCCAAATTAGGCGGTAGTGATATTGGATTTGACATGGAGGATATATAAAAAAATAAGTCGTCCCGTTGAAAATGTAACTTCAGACGATTACTTAATGTGATGAGGAAACAGGAAAAAAATGCCTTCAGCCAGATTCGAACTGACGATCTCCTCATTACTAGTGAAGTGCCTTACCAACTTGGCCATAAAGGCTTCTGTTATGTGCAGAAGAAAATGTGGATTGTGTAATGCAATCAAGAACCTCAAAGACTGAATTTTGGGGAATTTCATTAAAATTTTACGTTTTTAAGCGTTGCTGCTTGCTTAGGAGTACCATAGATTTGTTGAACTAGAAAATGTTTGGGGAATGTTAATAAATCATCATTTCAGTTTAAGGGTAATTAAGTGCTTTGATCACAGATCACGTGCCATATTAACCATCAAATACCTTCACCTCACAAAGCCAAGAGATAAGATCCAAGCCATGTCTGATGAAGAAGATTTCCTCTCGGAAGAGTCTTACGAGTTCGAATTTGAAGACGATGATGATGCTGACATCCAGGAAGACAACGTGACTGAACAGGACTCAATTGTATGTTGATGATGTCATTTTGCTCCCATAATTCCATACTAACCTCATCAGGAGAAGGAATATTATTATGCTAAAGGTCTAAAAGAAGACTCTGAAGCTGATGCAATAGCTAAGTTTATCTTGCTAATCAAAAGAGCCAACCCAGAGGAAGATACAGAGTGGATATTTAAGAGTTACAAGCAATTAGCGAAATTGAGCTACCAACAACGGAAATACGATGACGTTCTAGAGTATATCAGTCTGCTTGTTGCTCTCATACCAAATTTGGGAGGAAACTACGCAGAAGAGTCCATAAACAAACTCTTGTCTCGATATGGCTCCTCCAACAATACAGCCTTTGTCAGTAGAATGTTTGACATAATTGTATCATATTTGGATACGTCCAGCGGGTCGGGTGTGTCTGGTCAGAGATTATGGCTAAAAATTAATATCAACAGACTCAACAATTCCTTAGAATGCGGTGACTGGGCCCAATGCAAGCAGCTAATTGAAGGTATAAATGCCAGGCTCGAAGATGTCTCTGAGCTGACGAAGAACTCGTATGGATTGGAGGTAATTGCTGCCGAGATATCATACACTATGAGGACGGGCAGTGATTTAGCAAAGCTTTCAGAATTGTATCAAAAAAGCAGAGGTGTCAATGCAGCCATTACCCATCCTCGAGTTATGGGAATAATCAGAGAATGTGGAGCCACCATTCAATTCTACCGCAAGAATTACGACAAGGCTAGAGTAGAATTTTATGAGTGTTTCAAGAACTATGACGAAGCAGGATCGGTGACCAAAAAGAAAATTTTGAAGTACTTAAGCCTATGTTCACTATTGACTGAGGAGGAGGTGAATCCATTTGAATCCCAAGAGACCCAGATTTATGCCCTCCTTCCAGAGTACCATAATCTTATTGAATTGACGAAATGCTACGAGAGGCAGGACCTCCACGGCTTTCTTGATACGGTAAAAAGAATCCATGATACTAACGACGAGCTCTCGTTCGACAAGATTTTTCAACATTCAGAGAAGCGGATCTTACACAATCTTAAAGTAAAGATTCTTGTCAATTACTTAGGGGCGTATAGTGTGGTTAGATACGATTCCATTATTCGAAAGCTTCTATTAAGTGGTGATGAAGAGCTCGAGCAACTCATTGTTTCCATGGTAAACAGTGGAGTTGGAGTGAACGCACGTATTAATTTCAAGGAGAGATACATTGAAGTTCCGAGCGAACTTTCCATTTCGATTTTGCCTACTGGTCTAGACGCTCAAGTGGTCTGCACCAATAGAAGAATCCTTAACATGATTAAATTCGATGGGATCTTTGGCCCTAAAACGGTATTTAAAGCGAAAGAAGATAAATCGCTTACAGCCGCCGTCACAAGTTCAGATGATGGGAAAACCACTCCTGAGGTTGACAACAAGGAGGAGGAACAGAAAGCAAGTTCGCTTCTTAAACAGGAGGAAGAGTGGCTCCAGTATATGAAGAGTGCTTTTCCTCGCAAGATTCAAAATGTTGTGAGTCAGAAAGAGCAGATTTTCTCCGAACAGCAGGAGGACAGCAAACAAGCAGCCCAGAATTCTGAAGAAAACCCAGAGAAAAAGGCGGCAGAAGAGAGTACAACTGCAGGAATTTTGGGATCAAGTTTGGATTTCGGAGATGGGAATGAGGATGAAGAAGAGGACATTCCAACGACAAAATTGGACTTGCTAGAGACCTGGACACATCTGCTTTACAATGAAGTGTTCTATGCGAGAAACGAAAAGCTTAAGAATTGAAGATTGAGAGGAAGTCTTTTGAAGTCTATAGTTTTTTTCAATTTTCAGGAAAGCATTCAAATATTGAGTGACATGCCAAAGACCAATTGAGGTGAGTTTAGTGCATTTATCGTTGGAATTGTCTTGAAGTTACAACTTACTGTCCCAACAACCTTTGATTGGCAGTTCTCAGAGTTTCTGAATCGTTTAGTTGTTCTTATTTTGCACCCAGCAGCCTGAATTACACAAGAAAGCCACTCGAAATCTCAAAATTTTCTGTCTCAATATCATGATGAATATATATGATGGTAACATTATGTTATCCAATTCATTAGTATTATTTACAGCCAGATTCTGTTGGTAAGCCCTCATTCCTGCATGAAACACAAAACTAAATCTATCTCAAAGCACAGTGCGATGAGAAAAAATCGTCGACCACTTTTCTTCTCGAGGTATGTTCAATGCTTGAATACTATGATTAGACTTATATGCGTTATCGTCATGATTGGACCCTCGGGTCTGGAAATGAAATCAGCTAACACGCGGATGAAGTATTTTTTTGATGTGAGCAAAACTAACAATTAGGAGCGTTCAATTCTTCAATTTTAGGCTGTAGACGAAGAAATTCAGCATGTGATCACACGGTTAAATATTCTTTAAGGGCCATGTTGTCGTTTTGTTTCTTTTGTTAAATTCGAAAAAAAAAACTGATTTCGCCCAGGATCGAACTGGGGACGTTCTGCGTGTTAAGCAGATGCCATAACCAACTAGACCACGAAACCAATTTCTTGGAGTGTAAAAAGCTCTAAAAGTATATGAAGAGGAATCGGAACCCAGTAAGTCATTTTTATGCTGATTTATCATCTTCATTGGCAAATGTATTGAATTGGGAACCCAGATTGGTTGGTGAATCAATATCAGCTTCTTCCAATGCTCCTCAGGTTCGAAATCTTTCCCTATCATTACTAACATTGATGTGCCTCGTGAATTGTTGATGTACCGAAATTTTGTTATAAAACGTTTAAAAACACTGAAGTAAATCAGTGATATATAATCGAGCGAAACAGACCCTGAAATTATTTTTGAATTCAAGTTTGGAAAGGCATAATTAAGTTGATCATCAATCCAGCCAAATTATCTGCACGCAAGAAACATTGAAAGCAATTTCCATACTATAAAAGTTCCCATAAAAATAAAAGACAATTCCTGGTAAACATCCATTGGTTTGATCATGAGGTCTAAAAGACTTTACTATTGGGTATTGCATCTGAAAGCTCAAGACGGATTGGCTGTCATAGATCTTAAGGGAGTAGTCAGTTACTTATCTATAGGAAGGTGGAACACGCTCGTAGATCTTGTCAAAAGAGACTTCCGAACCGCCAAAATGGAAAATTATCTTCTTCCAGGAAACGAAAAAGTCACGAACGACTCAATTGAATCGACGAAGCGCGTCTTGGAGCAGATGTTAGACAATCCATCTGAGATCGACAGCTTGAGAAGAACAATTAATTATGAGGTTATTTTCGGCACTGAATTGCAGAGAAAGGTGTGGACTTATTTAGTGGATCACATTCCAGTTGGAACCACGTCGTCTTATTCAGAAGTTGCTAAGGCTCTTGGCGTCAAAAGTGCTAGAGTTGTGGGCAATGCATGTGGAGCTAACAGAATTGCATTGATCATTCCCTGTCACAGGGTGCTAACTGCTCAAGGAACTATAAACGGCTACAGGTATGGAAAGGATGAGAAGGAACGTCTTCTTCAATTGGAGGTTAAAAAGTAATGTTGCTAGTAGGAGCGTCAGTGTCACCAACAGGATTCATCGCCAATCGAGAAAGTCACGGAAAGAGGAACTCAAATGCAAGCGGATCGGTGATTGTTGGAAATTGTGAGTTGAATGATGTCTCAATATATTGCGTGTTCTCTTCTTGGTCAGCAAGAGAAGACAGACGAGTATTGGATTCTTCAGACGAAGTGTTTCTCTTCCTGGTTCGTCTCCTTTTGGGACGGTTAGGACGGTTTGGACCGCGAGACCAGGCTTTAGGAATACGCATATTGATCTTTCCAAAGCATGAGCTGGTGGGAATGTGGTCCTGGTAGTCGGACTTTTCAAAGAATTCTGGCTTGCAGTCAACGTATGTCTTGTAAATTGATTCAGGTTTCCAGTCACAATCGGTGGGATTTCTTCTTTTCTTGTCTCTCGGCAGAGTCAGTAAACCGCCAGAGATGAGACGGCGATAATTGTCTTCAAGTTTGAATTCTTTCCTGACTGTGTTACGAATGGCACAGTGCACATGGAAGGAATTGCGATGATCTGATTGAATTCCGACTAAGGGGCCCACAGTTCCAACCACCCCTGGACGATCGAGCTGTAGTGACTGTTCTGTTGAATACATCAAGATGGTACCGGGAGGAAGAGGGGAGTTTGGCTCATAAGAGTGGTCCATATCTTTAATCATTGACACCAGTGTTTCTTGGTCATAGGTGGAGGATTTCAGGAGTGGGTAGTCCTGAAGAAATGTGAGGTCAAAGATCGATTCTTCCCATCTCATGGCACATGTGTCTGGAGTTAGGGTCATGTGGCTGGAGTGTGGAGGAAACCAGGCTAACTACGAAGATATATGGGAGGTAAAGAAGGTCGGCCAGACTACTATTGGCAGAGCATTCTCAAAGTGTCAGCAGATAGGGAGGGTGTTGAGCAATAATATGTGGCAGAACAAAAATGATGATGGCAGCAAAAAGAGAAGAGGAAACCGAACAGAAACCGTTACCGCATTCGAAGGGCGAAGAGATGCTACATCAGTTTGTGAAATACGGGGGCCAAGTACAAGGATGACAACGAGATCATTATAAGCAATCCAACATTTTACAAATAGCTTAAACAGCGACTTTCTAAACCTTCCTCTATTTTCCTCCTACACAAAGTCGCTTGTTCCGTAGTAATGAGCCAACTGACGCACTCTCTCTCTATGAAGGTAGGCCACATCTCCAGGGGTGGATATGAGCGTTTCTAAACGGGCACAAAAGTCTTCCACGTCCTCAGTTTCGGCCATTTGGGCCTGCAAAACTTCCTTATGGAAGTTTCGGTTTGTTTTGATCTTCAATATCAGACGAGGTAGACCACATAAACGCAGAGGTCTTGGCCACCAGTGATTTGACCAGCGAGTGAAAAGAGCCACGGATGAAGGAGGTTCTGAGTGAGGAACCAAGGGTGACTCGGAGGGGAGTTGCAGTAGCGTGGCAAATATGGGAAGCTGGAGGTCTAGGTCCACGTCGAGATCGAAGCAGAAATCGAGGGTGGAGCTAAAGTCGTCTAAAGGTGCATTAAGAGACATGAGGCGACAGAAGGCAAAAAAAAAGAAGTTAGGTTAAAGCAATGAGAGTTTGGTGAGGACTAGAAGGGCAACACAAACAGAGCAAGCGGAAAACAACGTTGTTCTAGAGATAATGGGTATAAGCACAAATTGGCAGAGCAAATGGGTGCAAAATCAGGCATACAAACCTAAAACACCTGGGTGGAGGAACCTAAAAGGGGGTTTGGGCAAAGGTACATTGGGGAAGCGAGATGGAAAGAAAAAATGAACAAGGCAAGTCGAAGCCGAATAAAAAATGTTGAGAAGGCTTGGAACAATGTTATGTATCTGAGTCTACAATATTTTTTAGTTCCCTTGAACAGATTGGAGTTGCTTGCTCGCTTAGTGTATCTACCATTTGAATTTCTAGATACCACTGTGACTATACGGTCGACAGGTTGGGTGTCGGTACGTCACCACACAACGATCTTGATATTTTTAGCCAAGGCGGAAGCCATTAGATGCCCGGAAGGAAACAAAACAACATTATACGCAACACGAGCTAAATAAAGGAGGTGATGGGCCATAGGATTTTTGCGAGCAAGGCGTGAGGCGGCCAAAAGTGCCAGAATAGGTAGTGGAGGCGGACATTAGTCACCTCAAAAATGAACCAAAAGAAGAAACAGCATTTGAAATAGAAGAGCAACGAAAAATCAAAAAAAAAAAATCAAAGAAAAAAGAAAAAGAGAATAGAAACCAAAAGAGAGTGAAATATTTAATTAGCTTTGCTTTCCGTGTTGATCCAGCATATTGATGGAAGCAATGTATCATCGCCAATGTTCCAAGCACTATCTCCCATAGCCTTGGGTTGTCTGGGTTGCCGGTGTTCTTTTCGCAGTCCAGACCGCATCTTTTAGGCAGTGTTCCCTGTAGTCGCATTGGTCCCTGAACATGACACTCCTATTGATAGATGCGCAGGCCACCCCACCAATAACAGAAAAAAATCCATGAAGAAAATTCTCCACAAAAACTCTGTCCGATTGAACCGTCTCCCGTCTTCCGAGACTTCCAAGGACTCCATCTCCCTCCACCCCCCTCCTTCCTGCCAGTGACTCTAACCTCTCGGGATCTCACACAGGAATACCGGTATCCTGCATCAGTCTACAGGTGTTGCGGAGCGGTGCCGTCATATATAAGCCTTTGTTCACCCACAAAGTCTGAACATACCCGTCTAGAAATTTAAGTGTTTCTATCCCATTTATCACTTCCCCATAATGTCCGACTCCGTGTTGCCACTGTCGGACAACCGCAGTCCCTTCCATGTGAATGTGCCTGCCCATGACTCCAAGCCGGTTCTGGAGTTGGTGGCATACTTCAAGCTCTGGAAACACTTCATTGCCGCGTTGGTTGCGTATTTGAAGGACTTGGTCATGGCCAAGGAGTTTGAGCTGAACTTAAATTTGCAACTTGTGGGCTCCGTACAGTTCCCGGGGGCAAAGGATTTGGCCTTCAAGTGCCTCCAATCGGTGGAGAAACTGAGCCCTCAGAGTCTGGTGAGCTCCACGCCTAAGGGTGAACACAACAAGACGTTGGCGCCAGTATCTTCAAATGTGTCGGTAATGTCTGATGGCAAACGTCCAGGTTTGGCCAAGACGAAGTCTGCTACCAGCTTCTTGAAGAACCAGACTTTCGCCCATAAACGTACAGGGTCCAACTTAAGTTTGAAGTCGGAATCTTCTACTCATTCCTCGGCTACGTCGAATTCCCATAAGAATCACTCGCTGAACCACTCGCATGGCGGCCAGCACTCGCTGTCTACTCAATACAATGGTCCAACACCCATCAACCCAATTAAGTTTGCTCCCAAGTCAGATGTCGCCATAGAGCCATCAACATTCCCCCAAAAGTCTTTGTTCACCAATATGCCTCAAATGCTTATTAACCACCACATGAATATCTATGCTGCCCAAGCAAAAATGTGCCGTGAGCTTTCAAATAAGCTCATTCCTCGCCTTGAAAGTTTGCACAAGAATTTAGCCATTAAGATTAAGGAGATTAGATCGCTGTTGAAAAACGACTCGTTCGCTAACCCAACTTTGATCAAGGAGGTCAGCAAGACTGGTGCTATCATTAGCACGTTTGCCGAGTCTGTGAAAAGGTACCTGGGTCCTCGTCCGGTTCTCAAGGCAGATACTGATGTTGAGGATGACGAAGCATCGATGGGTGACCCATTCCTCATCAAACTAAGACTAGATGCGCAACTCAAAAGTCAATTGGTTCACGAGAACTTTATCTTTGCCTCGTACGTAAATCTTCAGAATATTTCTCGCGATTTACTTAACTATGTGGTGAAGGATTTGAACGGAATTACAGAGAAGCTCATTCGTTTGGTCAATGCGGAATCCGTTTACGCATGCTCCTCAGACCAGGCAATCTACAATTTAGGACTCACTTTGCGGGACAAATTGAACAATGTGGATTATGAGTGGAATAACTTCATCGCCAACAACCCAAACTTTTTGAACGTCTACGAGTCAACTGCAAGGTCGCCAAAGCGGGAAATAAGAAGCTTCAGGGATGTTATTGTGCCCTATGCAAATTCGTTACACAGTAAATGCTTGAGATGTGGGTATATGTACAAGAAGCAAAAGGTGCTCAAGTCATATACAAGCTTCTTCTATTTGTTAACTTGCAACTACTTGCATGAGTTTAAGATCGACAATGTCGGTTCAGCAGAAGACCATAAGATTTCTCCAAATCACAAGAAGAAACAGAAGGGTAAAGTTGGTGGAGTGGTTGGACCCGATGACACTCCATCCAAATCGTACAACTTGAATAACTACAGCATCACCACCAAGAGTGAGAGTGACTTCAAGTTTGTGTTGACCAAGATTTCCAATCCTTCGCATAAGTTCACCTTCAAATGTCAGAACGCTAAAGATTTTGAAGCATGGTCTAGTGAGTTAAACGATTTGCTCAAGTTCTCCAACAACCACATGAAGAGATTCCAGTTTATCGAGGAGAATTTGGCTATGAGAGAACAATCAAAGACGCCAAGCGAGCCTTCAAGTTCTGGAACCGCAACACCAAAGAGGGACTTGAACTTGAATCTTAATAACTTGTTATCAAATAAGGCGTCGCTCCAAAAGATAATGTCTCCCACTCTTTCTGGAATTTTCACTCCGAAGGTCCAATCGCCTGAAGAAAATGACGGATCGGCACCAAAGAATCCTTTTGAGCATACTTTCTCAGATCTTCCTCAGAGTGGCCACAATGCTGCTGTACTGCCAGTGGAGTCGCCAGGCGCTATGTCTCCACTTTCAAGAAGCGTTCTGCCAAACTCCACTCCGGGTACGCCAAGCGAGCACGTACAGGAGCACGAAAACTATTTGCGACTTCAAAACGAGATTTTGAAACAGCAGCAACAATTGATCGACTTGAGCGTGAGCCAGTCCTTGGGCAGGCCATCGCTCTCGCGTAATTCATCTTCAGAATCTGTAGTGTCGGTATTGGAACAGACAAACGCCGGATTATCGAAGTTTCTTGATAAGAATAAGGACCTCATGGAACACAAAGACAACCACATGGCAGTTGAACTGACATCGTCCTTGACAATTCCTACAGTCACAGTGCTGAACATAGAAGCGGAATAATAGAACAGATAGAGAGGGTTTTGATGCCCTGTCGGATGACGTCCAGAAGATAGACAGCCGCACAACCCACAATGACAGCAACAAGAAGCCAGACAGAGAAAACACAAGTGCCAAAAGAATAAGTATTCATTGACTACATATGGAATTGAACGTACAACAAGTTTAGGAATCTTATCGTCCCTCACAAGTAGTGCGAACAAATTCAGGCTTCGTAGGCAAATGTAAGAAATCACAACCTACGCAATTGACAACCCCAACATTCCAAAAATAAAAAATAGAAACGAATTACAGCATCATTTTAGAAGGTCTGGTTCGCGTTTCTATTGCTCTTCTCGGGTATTTAAGGCGTGTTGCAACAGGAAATTTCCTTCAATTGCTATTTCTACAGTCACGTTTTGTCCATCGGGTTGGCTAGTGTGCATGCAGCAGCATTGCCCTACTGCCTAGTCACTTTCAATTTGTATCTATATTTCCTTCTTTAATATCAATTGAAGCCCACTTTTGACACCATTGACTTAACTTGAGTGCAAAGTTATCCCCAGTTTAGTTTTTGAATTTGTGCACCGCCAATCTAACCTTCCAACAGCAATCTGTTTAGGTTATCTATCTAGGTCATCTTGGAAATCTATCTGTCACATGTCTTACACGTCCGGATTCAAGAAGAACGAGAGTGCTATCGCCTCCGATGTTGAGAGTGATGTCGAAATCACCAATAAGCCAAACCCTCCATTGAGAAGATCGTCCTCATTGTTCTCGTTGTCGTCCAACTTGGAACCTCTTCCCAGACCAGAACCGGAAGATTACCAGAACTTCTTGGAGGACTCTAGACATTTCTCGTTGATCAGGAATTTGCACATGGCCGACTTCATTACGCTCTTGAACGGATTCTCAGGTTTCTACTCTATTATTTCGTGCTTGCGTTTCGCTCTCACTGGCCAATCACATTACGTGCAAAGAGCACATTTCTTCATTTGTTTGGGTCTCTTTTTCGACTTTTTCGACGGCAGAGTTGCTCGGTTGAGAAACAAGTCCTCACTCATGGGCCAGGAACTTGATTCTTTGGCCGACTTGGTTTCGTTCTCCGTTTCACCAGCCATTATTGCTTTTGCAATTGGCTTCCGAACTACTGCCGATACCCTCCTTTTGTCCTACTGGGTCTTGTGTGGTTTGACTCGTTTGGCTAGATTCAATGTCTCCACAAATAATGTCCCTAAGGATAGCACTGGAAAGGCCAAGTACTTTGAGGGCTTGCCAGTCCCTACTAATTTGATCTGGGTGATTGTTATGGCTACTTTGGTATACACCGACCGCATCTTGGACAACTTGCCAGGCGGTGTTTTCTTTGAAGGAACATTCATCGAAGTGCACAGAGTCGCCTTGCTTTTCTTCATCCAGGGCTGTGGAGAAATCTCCAAGAGCTTGAAGATTCCAAAGCCTTAATTGCTATTTACATATTCCTCAACAGAAGACTACTTGGCCCCGTTTTCGCTCAACTCTAAAACCGAGAGGGCCCAAGTATCTCAACATGTCGAAAATCCGTGCCTCTGAACACTCCTGACTGTAGCTCCTGGTAATGTTCCTCGTAGTATTTGGGATCTAGGACTCCAACATCCTGCACCAGAAATGCCAACCGATGGCTCCGTTCTGCAACATCTTCCAATCGGCACTGTTCCCAGAAAACATTGTGGATTCTAGATAGCTTCCAAATCATTGCCATTTTGAATCGAAGAGTAGCCAACTGTCCCATGTTTCTTGATGAGTGTGGGGTAATGTCGAACTTTGATAACTCGTAGTGAAAAAGCAGAAGAAGTGAGAGAAGTTCGGGATTTTTGTCGATACTGCCAATGAGTTTAGCGGCCATAGTTGCCTCAGGCGTCTCTTTTGCTATTTTATCTTGAAAATCATCCACTTCTCTAACATAGTTAAGAGCATTCACAACGATGTTGCCGGATTTCTTGAACTGTGGAGTCGAGTAGAATCGAAGGGCAACGGCATGGTTGAAGCTACCTTGAAAGCTCGTCGAAGTTTTAAAAGCTTCACCAATAGCTCGAATTCGAAGCATACTTAATGAATCATTAATCATTGGAAACTCATAATAGCATGGTGAGAAGTGTGAGGTACGGGTGTTTTCTTCAAGTGGAAAAAGAATTGTCAAAAAATTATTCTACCACCACCTACCATCACACCATGCTTGCATCAGCGATTTTACGCACGATGCCAGCCCGCGGCTTGAATGTTACCCGTGTGGCCATGCCTGCTGCTTTTCTCAGGTCGAATTTGGCCCACGCCAAGAGATTCTATGCCGAAAAGAAGGATGAGAAACCTCAAAGTATCTTAGACGACGATATGTTGGCCCGTGCTGGATTCGAGGATCAGCCAAAGAACGAAGAGGGGGGCGAGCAGGACGGAGACAAGGAAAGAGCCAGCCGTCGTAAGAAGAGAGCTCAAACTTCCAAAGATATCCAGAGAGAAAGATACGCCAACTGGTTCTACACAGCAACTTTGTTTGGAACATTTGCTGGTGTTGGTTACATGTCTAGAGACTGGGATTCTGAGGAGGAGCAAAAACGTTTGGAAGCTACTGATATCGACAACGGTTACACCCCTCAGTTGATGTACAACAGACTCAACAAGAGAGTTGGATCTTTGTTCAACTTCTTCAGCGAGCCAGCTTTCGAGAACTTGTTGCCTCCTCCACCTCCAGAAGCATACCGTCGTCCTTTGACCTTGGTGTTGACCTTGGACGATCTTTTGATCCACTCTCAATGGGACACCAAGCACGGATGGAGAACTGCTAAGAGACCAGGTTTAGACTACTTTTTGGGTTACCTCTCGCAGTATTACGAGATTGTGATTTTCGGCTCTAACTATCAAATGTACTCCGACAAAACCGTGGCTAAGTTAGACCCTTTGAGAGCTTACATCCAGTACGCTTTGTTTAGAGAGGCTTGCCGTTACAAGGACGGGAAGTTGATCAAGGACTTGAACTTGTTGAACCGTGATATGAATAAGTTGGTTGCTGTGGATGTGAATGACGATGCAATGTCCATGAACCCAGACAACGCCATTATCTTGAAGCCTTGGGATGGTACTCCAGACGACACATTGGTGAGATTGATTCCATTGTTGGAGTACTTGGCCACGCAGCCTATCAAGGATGTGCGTCCTATCTTGAAGTCTTTCGACAAGGACAGAATCTTAGATGAGTACGATGAGAGAGAGGCCAAGTTGCGTAAGCAGTGGGCCCTTGATAACAAGGATCTGTTGAACAGAGTGAACAAGCCTAACGCAGGAAACTTGATCGCATCCTTATTAGGTATTCCTCAATCTTCTGTTAACAAGGAGCCTAAGATGCCATTGGATCTTATCAGAGAGCATGGCCAGATGCAATACGAGAATTTGCAGAAGTATTTGAAGGAGAACGAGGCCAAGTTCTTGGAGGAGGAGCGTAAGATGAAGGAGGAGTATGGAAAGGTGACTTTGAATAAGTTAATGACTGAGGGTGTGCCCAACGCAGAGGATATTGCTAAGGCCCAGGCCGAAAAGCTCAGCCAGGAGGCCACAGCTGGCAAATAATGACTTGGATATAGCAAATACAAACTTGTACATTTTTAGGAATTAGTATAGTGGGCTAGGTGGGCTAGGTTTTTTTTGGTAGTTGAAATGGTGTATTACTCTGGCTAGACACGTTATTTGCGGACCAAACACTCTAAAATTAGATGAAAATAAAGAGTTTTTGGGATCTTGGGAGCTAAATAGAACCATTTAATGAAGCTTAACCATTCAATGTGCCAATCATCGTTATGGAGCTCCCGTATTATGGTACCATTGTATTAAGCATGCAAAGTCTACTATCCTTACATGTGGTTGTTCCGTGAACTAAGTCAGCTCGACATTCATAGTTTGAGCTTCCGAAAAGAGATCAAATAACTCCAATAATTCACCATCAAATGATGAAAGAATGTGTCTTTTTCTTTTTTTTTTTTTGAGCGAAGAATGCGTGGTGAAGTCTCATTTTCTGGCTGCGATAGACTCTAAAACTACTGAGGTACGATAACGTCACCAATATGTAAAAGTTTGGAAATAATTTAAATCATAAGATGGAATTATTGGAGCATTCCCTAGCTCAAAGTTGTTTCCTCTACTTCACCACTAACTTTTACATACCATTCTGAGTTTTTGAAGTACATCTTCATCAGAGATTATCTCCAAATCTACCTTTCCAAGATTTGCAATAAACTTTGGTTCCCCGGGACATCACAGTGGAACATTCTGTCAAGTATCACTAACTTGAATGACCAAATTGTACCTGTAAAATATCTTTGCCAAATATCAATGATTGCCTCTTCAAATATGGCTATACCTGAGGATACATTTCCGCATACAAGATCAATAAATGTAATCACCTACAAGACATACATCATTGTAATACGTCATGAAAAAGATACTTATTCCGAAAACATCGTTTACCTAAGTAAATTATTGAATGTCCCCAGTAATAAGCCACCATTAGCTTTTTGTTCATACTCCAGCTGTGAGCATATTTGACTTCTGCACGTGAGAGAGTCAAGTGCACTTACTGGCAACGCCGATCTCGGCAGTCCTGCACGCCGATTAATCACTCCAACCAAAGTTCCACTTTAACTTCGAAATCGTCCAAAATAATTGTCGGATACAGCTTCTGGTAGTCAATATTACCCTTCCCGTCGTGTTTAACAATTGGAAGTTTCCAGAAACCTACCAGAATATATGTATCTCTTGTTTATTCTTTATGCACACCCTGCCGTATCGGCAGGCCTCTACCAACTCCAGCCAGTCAGAGGGAAATATTTATCTAAACAATCAGTGATAGATGTCCTGCATCTCAACTCAGTTACATTTGTAGTCCTCCTCTCCAAATTTTTCTCCTTACACCACTTTTGATTCCCAGAGTCATTCTCACTTCATTTACAAATCATTCCATTTGGCTAGTGACAGCTGTTTTACACACTCACGTGTTTCCCGTGTCCTTTCTGGATTATCTTGGATAAGTTCCCCAAACAGAAAATTTTGTTGATTCACATAGTTAAGTCCCATTACACCTAGATCTTAGCTTGCCCCCAACTACTCATCCAACGCAGTCAAGTCTGCCAAGATATCACTGTATTAAAGCACATTCGCCCCTTTTTAAGAGCTACGAAGCCACTTTAGCCGCCAAATATGTCTGCACGAGGCCCATCAATCGCCCCAAGAGCTGCGTTGGCACCACTGCCCCAAGGCGGAGCTTCTTCACCGGAATCATCCTCTCCAGGTGCCACTGTTACGTCTATTGTAACCCTGAGGGAATGGGTTCTCCCTCCACGTCCCAAACCGGGTAGAAAACCCAGCGTGGACACGCCAGCATCAAAGAGAAAAGCTCAAAACAGAGCAGCACAACGGGCCTTCCGTGAGCGTAGAGCAACGAGGGTTCAGGAGTTAGAGCAGAAGTTGCTCGAAGTTGAGAAGGAAAAGGAGATCAAAGAGATGGGCTTGGTTAACACCATCAATAAGTTGAAGTTTGAGAACCAGTTTTTGACCAAGTCTTTGGACCAGCTCCGTGGCGAGTTCCAATCTTTCCGCAATACCTTGACTGGTGGTGCCTCTGCACGCTCAGACTCTACCCCAAATGCTACTTCGGTGCCTATGTCGTACACTTCTGAAACAACAAATCCATATAAATCTGAGATTAGTCAGAGTGCACAGCATTTGCTCAACTTTGCGAAATCTCTGCCTATGAACCACTCAGTGGGCTCTCCAGCACTGCTGCAATACTCCGTACAACAAATTCTGCCTGCCCCTTCCACAGATTCGCCTCCTGCGGTGCCAATGTTCCGCCCAGTGTTGAACCAATCTCGTCCTTCTCAAATCACTCCTCTTTCACAGAACACATCGCCAGAGAAGCGCCACGCACATAACTCTAATGATGATTTCGACTGTGGTGTTTGCCTCAAGGAGCAGTGTCTCTGTGAAGACGTTGGATTGAAGTCTCTGAACAAGTCACTCGAAGAGACAATCAACACTTTCACTCCTATGGCGGCTGTATCCTTGCGTGGTAAGCGCAAGAGTACCATCAGTGAAATTGACTTCACTGCCGAATTTTCTTTTAAGAAGATGCCAGATCTCAAGAGATTACGCAAGGATTCACTGGAACGTTCCAATAAGAAGGAGCCAGAATCCTCCAGTTCTGCTTTCAACGAAGATTCTCCAGTGGAGAATTGTGGTTTTTGTTCGGATGACACTCCGTGTGTGTGCCGTGAGGCTGCTAAGGAGGCTGCTCGTTTAAACGCTTCATTGAAGCCAAAAGAGGAAGAAGAGGAGCATAACGAGGCCGGCCCTACACTGCTTCCTCCAATTCAGGTGTCGTCCTCAACCATGCGCAAGTCATCCTTGCCTGTTATGCACCCCGGTCCTACACTTGAGATCCGTGAGTTTGCCAATATGTCTGGAACTGTGCCAACTGTGGTTGCCCAAGGCGAAGAGGAGACCGCAACACCAGCAGAAGAGGAGAAGTCTGGTTGCACAGGTAATCCTGGAACATGTAACCAGTGCCAAATGGACCCAGTGTCTACTCTATTTTGCAGCACTGTGGCTAGCAAGGCAGCAAGAGAGAAAGAATCGCAAGATAAAGAGTTGGAGAAGATCCCTGAAGAGCAAATTAAGGTGGAGTCTCCAGGAACTGATGCACACATATCAACGACGTCGGAGCTCCCGAGTAGAGCAGGTCTGACGAATCCTTCTACACCTCTTCCATCAACACCTGGTGGAAGCACATCGGGCATTTTCATTCCATGCGCAGATGCTTACAAGACGCTATCGCGTCACAAGCGATTCAATTTGGTAGATTTTTCATCTCTTGTGGGACGGTTGACCACGCGAGGTATGCTTGTGGAGGTTCAATCGGTTGCCAATGTCATTCGGGAGTTGGACAGAAAAGTTTACGATTAGTGTATAAATAATAGGGAAAAGTAATTCTTCAGAAAAAGAGGTAGAGAGGTAATAAAGAGTCAACAGAAGCAGTTGTAGCCAATGAAGCAAATCTTAAGACAATCAGAGATGATAACCTACACAATATTGATTTGTCGCGATGTCGCACTCATCTCTCAGACTTAGCTTGCAAAAACTTTGGAGTACACTAGAGGATGATAGGATCCCGAATTACACTTGTCAAGCGGACTAGAGGAATCCATGCATACCTACCTTTTCAAGCATCGTGCTATTCCACGCAGAGATTGACAGTCTCCGACGTTTTAAAGCAGACACAGAAGATAAGAGTCAGAAAGTCAGAGCTTAAAGAATTGAAGAATGGCCTGTTCCAAGATGAAGTGCCACCAATTAAGAAAAGATATCCCCATGTGAAAGATGTGGAGAGCATATTTGCACGAAGTGCTAGTGCAACTGAGAAAAGACCTCGGAGAACGAAAGAAGCAAGACCACAGAGAAGTACGGGCACTAACCATCTGAGCCATCTGAAAAAGAGGCTTTCGAAAGGTCAAAAGGGCCCAAGCTATATTAAGATGCTTACAAAATCCTTATTCCCGGAGAACATCGAGTTCAAACAGGCAAATGCCCTTGAAGTTGACCAGATACCCAAGTTGGCACACAATCTAGATAGGGTGCTATTTTCTCCAGGAGTACAATTTCTCCAAGATCCTAGAACTCGAATTTTTAATTACGATCCTCACTTAAATGATATTATCCATATTGACGACTTCAACTTCGATATGGTGCAAGGCTTCGTGAGTGTGTCTAAAGATGCCGTTTTGCTCAATGAAGCTACTAAACACGGGAAACAATTTTACTCCAGTACGCTGTCTATGACCCTGACGCTTCATCAGCTATACCTTTTCCTAAACAACTACAATGAAGACAATAAAGGTCGCTTTGACTTCCCTGGGTTTTCCAGAAATTGCACAACTCTCCCACTGATAGTGATCATAGAGCCCAAAGGCGTGAATCCAAATAATGGCGAGACCATCTACTCTGTATCCTCAGATAAATCTAATGACGTGGAGATATTGTTAGGTGCGATGGGTCATTGCTTAGAAGTCTTTTTGACTCACAGTCGTGAAGAATTGAACAAGTTCGTGGTGGGAGAAAATGTCATTGAACAGGAGAATGTGGACGAGATCAAACATGATACAAATATCAACGAACCTAATGAAATTCATGAACCTGCAAATGTCTATAACTACCTGACATGTGGAGACTTCCTAATGAGATCTCAACTAGACTGTTACGACTCTAGGCTTCCAGGAAATGGCACGTTCGACCTTAAAACTAGAGCAGTTTGCGCTATTCGCCACGATAGAGAGTCAGATGCCTCACTGTCAACCTATCAGATCTGGAAAATGAAGGGGAAATATGAGTCGTTTGAACGAGAATTCAATGATTTAATTCGCACTGGTGCACTCTTGAAATACGGGTTCCAAGCCCGAATTGGACAGATGGATGGCATCTTCATTGCATACCATAATGTTAGATCATTTTTTGGCTTCCAATATGTCCCACTTCTGGACATTGATCAGGTGTTCTACGGAGACCATCAAACCCAGAAGAAATTGGAGGAATCAGCAGATGTCTTTCCTGAACTAGAAGACAATTTGCCCACAGAAATTGCTGAAACACAATTCAAAGTGTCTCTATCGATCTGGCAAGACCTTTTAAAAACTGCCATTGAAGATTTCCGAGGTACCGAATATGAGGGTTCACCTTTCAGGTTGGTGGTGAAGAACAAGCAGGAGTTTACCACCCACCCTCGTCATCCAAACGTCAAATTGCCTAAGTCGTTGCTCCACGTCTATGCGGTACCGTTAGTGACAGAGAATGTTAAGAAACTTCAGCAATTCTCCGAAAAATATGAAACATCCTTCCGTGCTAATATTTCTAATGAAGAGAGACATCAGAATCTCCAAAACTACAAAAGAGAACTAGATGCCTTCAACTCAAAATTGGCTAAAGAAACCACCATTCTCCACTACACTGTGAGTGTGGACGTCTCTATCGATGGTAAAAGTCGTTCGGGGCCAGGACGTCATCCATATCCTAGCTCCATTAAGTCCAAGAGTATATACAATTACCAGATCTGGAAGGTTGGAAAGGAGGATAAGGATTACCCAAAGGGGAAAGACAAAAAAAGAGATACCCCAATTGGGAATGATAAGAAGGTCAAAAACGACTATAATGGGCCAAGCGGAGATTCTCCACACAAAGATCGCTATGATTCATCTTCCGGTCGTCCATCAGTTGGAGACCAGGAAACGTCCAAACATCAGTACCTCCAACTCATGAAGTTAATGAGTTCCACACTTACAATGTCTATTCCTGTACAAAGGCGAAGAGCGTCCGGTGGACCGAGTATAGTGGATCAGATGCGTCGATACTCGGCAGTGGGCGAACGGCGCAAAGCCGAATGGAGAAAACTCCCCGCCCGTCAATTTCACAATCTGTAAAAGTGTGAAGGTGCACGGGTGTGAGTCTTATCTATCTTACCCATCATCAACTCACCGGTGGCCCATCTTCCGGTTTCTTATCATCGGTCTAGCCCCCCAGACCATCGTCGCGCCAGTGGGCAAGGGGCCATCATAGATTTTCCTAATCAAGCGCCACAACCCACGTGAATACGTCATCAAGTGATGGGCCACAACACGTGCATGTCCGCACGCAGGTGTCCGCAAGGAAAAGCAAAGAAGCTCGGTGCGGAGTTTCTAAGTGCATGTCGGTCACCAGGTTCCGGTGGTCCTAACAAAGTTTTTCCGCGCTTTTGCACCCAAATCCGCATGGCCGGTTTTTGACTCATCTCAAGTATATATTTTCTTTCGACACCCTTCAACAACACATCAACAGCTAAAACAAAATGTCTTTTAATATGGCTATGGCTCTGAAGCCTTCCTTTAGCCCAAGTCCGATGGACAATACGAATACAAATCGCCCTCAACATCCACCTTCATCATCTCCAGTGTCGTCGACCACATCATCAACTTCCACGATGTCTCTTTCGACAAACCACCATTTTCCTATCCACTCCATGAGCTCCAGCTTGAGCTCGTTCAACTCCACCACCTCGCTTGATTCGCTCTTTCTGCGGTTTGATCTGGCGCCAACTTCGACCCTCACTCCTATTGCCACATCCCCTCAACAACACATGCTTAAGGCCAAGGATGTGTGTGACTTACTCCATAAGACCTTCGCAGCCAAGACCTTGGTTGTCCTTGTTGGGCTTCCGGCCTCGGGAAAGAGTACCGTGTGCAAGCAGTTGGCCCAGATGTTGAAGTCCAACGACTACAAGACTCTCATTTATAACGCTGGCAACATCCGTCGTATGATGAAGCAAACATTCTCTGATGCTGACTTCTTCAACCCTACAAATGAACAGGCTAAGTCTCAAAGAGAGTTGTATGCTACCATGTCCATGGAGAATATGCTTGATGATTTCCGTCACAACAGAATCACAGTGGGTTTTTTGGACGCTACAAACACCACCAGAGCAAGACGGGCTCGCATGCTTGAAATGGCCAAGGCCTCGGGCATCAACTTTGCAAACATCATTGTATTGGATATCTCATGTACCGACGATAGGCTCATCACATATAACATTGCAGGAAAGGCTTCTAATGTCGACTACTCTGGCCGTGATGTGGCTGAATCCATCGCTGACTTTAAGCAAAGAACAAATCACTACTTCAAGATTTACGAGCCGGTCTCGGAAGCCGAGTTGGCCAAGTATGAGGACGTTGAGTACATAAGCATCAGAAATGGTGGAAAAGAGTACACTTTTTCCGGCAGCAAGGCCAAGAATGACGTGGACATGTTGTTCCATAACTTTGCTTCGCAGTACTACAACTTGCATGGGGAAAAATATTATGACGAGGTAGAACGGTTCTACCTGGGAGTCAAGAAGGAATAGGGAAATAGAATATAGATTGGCATGTGCCACAGGAAACATGGTTTAGATACGAAATAGTGCTTCACACTTAGACGCTATCGAATTTTAATAGAATTAGAATTATTACGGACTCATTTACATGTGGTGTAGTTTCTTTTGACTGACAAATTCCTTCGCAAATAATAGACTACAACCAGCTTTGATTCGTCGTATATTCATCTTATCCGAGCCCAGGAATTACATTGCCTCCTCTACGATCATTCAAGGTGCTAAGCCCGGGTACGCTCATAGCGGGAGCAGATTCATTAGTAGCTTCTCCGGTGGTTGTGTTGGATGGATCTTCCAACACTGCATTCACATTGTTGTTCACTCCATAGTACCATGCACCATTCTTATCATTGGTGTACAATGGGTCTTTGAAGGACATAGGATCATTAGGTCTAGCACGAGACCAGAATCTGGCAGAACGGTCATTGCCCGCAGAGCAAAGAAGGTGTCCCAAGGGATGGTATTCTAATGCGTGAATGGCCTTCTCATGGGCATAAGGGATCTTGTGAACAGCCTCGATCTGCGAGTTCGGCGAGCTTTCGTCTGTGTCTCCAGAAATGTATCTATCAAGCACGTAATGATGCATGGCACCGTCATATGCAGCGGTGGTCAACATGGATGAATGAACAGGATGCCATTCCACACACGAGAGATCGGCTTCATGGTCTCTAATCACCAAGAAGTCAGACATGGTACGCAAATCAAATACTCGACACGAGCGGTCTCGAGACACAGAAGCTAATAACCTGTTTGTTCCTGCCTTTTGGAACTTGGTTTTGGTAACAGTATGTTTGAATCCATGAAGAGTGGTGATTGCAGTGGCTGTACGAGGATCCCACAACTTTATGAGGTTGTCTTTGGATCCTGAAACTATGAGTCCCAAGTTGGGATGCCAGTCGGCACATTTAACGTCCCAATGGTGGCCCGCCAACGTTCTTTCCTCCTTTCCGTTATTAAAGTTCCATATCTTCATCGACGAATCATCGGAACAAGTGAGAAACTTAGAGTCGTTGGGAGAGAATGCAATATCTCGAATGGCATCTGTGTGACCCTGAATAATGTTGACATTATTGAAATTGGGTTGCCAGTACTTGATAGTACCTTCTTGATCTCCACTTAGAAGCCATTCGTCGTTATGAGAATACTTCAAGGCTAAAACCGCCAGATCGTGTGCTTGCATAATAGTTTCGAAATTGAACGTCATACCGTTCCAGATGGTAAATTCTCCGCTATGGGATGCCACCACCAACCTACGGCCCTCGGGGGTCCATTTCACAGTGTTTATCGAGTGCCTGGCTTTGTTCAGCGACAAGTGCACGAATTTTGACTGTGTATCCAATACACCTGGATTCGATGGCAAATTTCCACGTGAATATGCCAATGACGGAAGCAAATCGATTAAATATGATGATTCTGGTCGAATGGCTCCGATGTGTTGGGTGGTGTCACCTATACTTCTGTTCAAATACCATCTTCCCATATTATTTCCATGATCAACGGTTCTTCTATGTTGCCCCTTCTTTTCCTGCAGCATGAGCTGCTGTTCCAAGCTCAGCTGGTAGCGACTCATGGTGGTGTAGATTAAGTGAAGAGTAGTAGTATGTAGTTTGGAGATGTTTAGTGTGCAAACCAGAACAGATTGACTGAGTCAACAACAAGATACAAATGGATGGGATCGTGAGATAAAATAGATTTATTAGAGTTAAGCGGTTTTAATCTGAAACTTTGAATTCCAAAAAATTGAAAGACCTTTCTTTTACTTTCCAACTGTAATTTAACAACAACATGTAGATAAGTTGAGCGAGAAGGTTGTATCTACTTGCAATCTTCAATAACATGTTTCCATTTATCGATTACTTTCCACATTTAGAGAATAAGCTGACATTCAACGTCTGAGTTTAAGATGTTTCCATTCTCCCTCGTTTTCAAATCCTCTCTTGCTATTATACAATGTCTATGACATTGATCCTGTACGATTCACGTGGATGGTAGCAAATTGCCAATTGATCCACACCTATATCCACTGACTAATTTCAAACAATAAAGAACAATAATGGTCGCTTTTTTCTACCACGATAACTTGGACACACCTGAAGACTTCACTGATGAGCACGACTCCGGGAGACCAGTGCCCCCAGAGAGACTTTCGGAACTTGGAGTGTTTTACCGTTACATTGATAACATGGATGACCTAGAAGCATTGGCTAAAGAGAGAGAATACAAAAACAGAGACAAAGTTGTCCTCAATATCAACTCTTTTGGCGGTGATGAGGAGGCCTACAACGCCAAAATGAAGCAATTTTATAAGGAACACTACCACGAGGATGAGGAGATTCGTTACATTGTGGATGGAGAAGGATACTTTGATGTGAGAGACACGTCGGATGAGTGGATCCGTGCCAAATTGAACAAGAATGACTTGTTGATTTTGCCTGCGGGCATTTATCACCGGTTCACACTTTCGAGTGCGTTGAAAAACGTCACTGCTTTAAGACTTTTCAAGGACGAGCCTAAGTGGGAAGCTATTAACAGAGAGGAGGGTAGAAACACAGAGGCAAGATTGGAATACGCTCGCCTGGTTGCAAGCAGTGCCTGATATGTGTTTTGGAATAACGTGTGTTAGTGATGGAGATCTTTTGTAGTCGAAACATGAGAGTGAACTGTCTACTTAGAAGGTAAGGTATCCTTCAGGTGGTTCTAGTAATAAATGTTGATATCACTGCAGAGAATTAGAGCCTCTAGTTATACTTTTATAGCAGCCTGGTCTCTTGACTTTTTAGTATGTTTTGCACGTACCTTGGTCCTCAATCATCTCTAGATGATCCTCCGAGTGAACATCTAACAAAGATTTTGAGAAGAACTCATGCATGCTTGACTTAAGGTCTCTAGTTGTCCTCTTGTTGAATGTCCTATGAATCTCTTCCATTTTACCTACTTTCCGTCTCTCGTTTTCCTACACTAACCTAATGGTTCTATTGAGCACCTCTATTCTTACATGATGTCTATATCAATTATCATCCTCATGACTCCCTATTTACTGTCTCATGATCTTCACTTTGTTTTTCGTCATCCATTGCTCCATCTCCTTTTTGGTAGTCACCAACTCTTTTTCGACTTGTTCCTTCGACTTAGCTAGCTCCTTCTTCTCCTCGTCCAACATCAAGATCACATCATCAACGCTTTTCTCCGTAAGTACACCTCCCACCATCTTGAAGCATTTACGGTTTTCTCTTTTCTCTGGGGGAATTTCCGTCAACGTTTTGTCCACTATAGTGTGCTCCAGAATCTGCGATGTGAGAGTCGACAACTGCGTTTGCAACTCCGTCAAAAGTTCCTGGTAGCTATTATATTGAGTCTGGAGCTCATGCGCTTTTCTGTCTTGAGCCACCTGTGTCTTGTGATCTGACATTTTACTCTTGAAGACAATCGATCTTTGGGTTTTGGATTTATTGTATATGTACAGGTGTAACCGATTTCCCATGTACAAGGTTTCGAGGTTTACCTACACCACTGTTCACTGAAAATTCTTTATAGGTTACATACTCTATTTATTAGCCTTGGTGGCCTTTTAGGGGGACTTTTCAGCTTTTTCAGCCTTCTCCTCACTCTTCTTCACGGTCTTCTTCACGGTCTTTAATTCCGGCTTCTCATTGCCAATGAACAAGAAATTGACAACAAAGAAAAACCAAGCAACCACAACAAAAAAAGCGCTGGCGACGTAAAGCCACGAGTTGGAAATATCCCAAGAACGCTTGAATTCGTCATTGGCCAAATGTCTTACAGCTACGATCTGCTTGTTCTCGACAAATGACAATCCATCCCTCTTGTAGTCCAAGTCGAAGGTAAACATTCCGTGATGGTCTGGAAGCTTAAATTCCACGTAGAAAATGGACAAGTCGTTCTCACCGTACTCTCTGGAAGCACCTGGGCCCAAGAGTGTCAAGTTCAATCTCTGGTATGGATCCAACATCTTGAAGGACAATTGGATAACATCATCATCTCTGGAAGGAATGAAAGGAACCCACTTTCCATTCTTCAATTCAGAAACACCAATTGTGTAATACACTTCGTCCTTGATTCTGTACAAAGTGTTGTTGCTGACGTTGGGCTCATCCGTCTTGTAGTGATGAGCGAATTGCAACTTCAATACTCCAGACTGCTGGAACACCCATTGTACCAATTCCTCAGCCAACAAATCAATGGATCCAACCCACAATCCACGTGCGTTGTTCAAACCCTGGAAAGCGGCTGCCAAGAAGCCCTGCTCGCCCACAGACCAAGTCTTTTCGCTGGTCAAGTGCTTGTCCTTAGGGTTAGCACAATACGATAACTTTGGTGCTTTGATAATGGGGAAAACAAGCTCGCTATTGGAGAGTAATGCAGCAGTTCCGTCGTAGTCGATCTCAGGCACTTCAGACAAAATAAGAGAGTCTGCGCTGTTCTTCGAGTTAAGAGTAACCTTCTTGTCAAAGTGAGAAGCCACAGCAAAATTCTTAGGGGCAGGGAAGATTCCAGCTTCATTCAAGAATAGACGAACCTGATCAGGCAAAGAATTGGTGCTGGAGCCAACGGCAAGCACATTGCCGCCGTTATTAAAGAACTCAAGCAAGTTGTGCTTATTGACTAACTCCTTAGCAGCCACAGCTCTCTTCGAAGATGGCAAGAACACCACATGATTGTAAAGATTATCGCCACCAAGGAATAACAGATTGTCCAGGTCGGAATACTCGGCCAAAGTAACATTGTAATCTTCATTAAGCTGGAAAAGTGTCGAGAGCACGTCTCTTTCTGGAGATGCGTCTGGGTCATGGACAACCAAAACCTGGGTTTTCTGCCAGTCAACATCTAACGCCGACACTAGAAGTGTGAAAAGGGCTAGCACAAGGCCAATTGGGGCGAAATGCATGATGGTGGAGGTTTTAGGAATTGACCATGAACATTGATACGTGTGCGGTGGGATTCTATATTATATACAGGATCCAAATGAATAACCGTAGAGGAGGGAAAGGATTGATTAATAATTGAAATTACAATGAATTTTTGATTTTTAACTAATCTTTCTGGTGCTTTTCTGTTTTATTAATTACATGTTATCCTTTTTTTTTTAGTATTTTTTGTGTGGTAAACTGCGAGATAGTATGAGACGGGGATGCTTAAGAATGAGTATAATCTACGAAACCTCCAAATTTGAAAATGCAAAAGTTTCCGTAGAAGTTTCAAATGAATTTCAGTGCCCCATGATATGTTTCGATTGTATACTCTTTCGTATAAGTTATTCCTTTGTATTTTTTTCTAATGATGCGATTTCTATTGTGTTACTACCTTCTACTCACTTTGAATCAATTATTCGTTACTCCTTATTTGTGCCAATAACTTCAAATCATCCCGAATTGATAAATTAAAAAAAAAGTTTAAAACGTAAAATTCTAAGTTCAGTCGTTTCCAGTAGGATCCTCAATCTCCATTCAAGATGTACTTCATACACACCTGCATTCTCTTCTCATCTACAATCATGATCAAGGTGAAGGTAGAGTTTCTAGGCGGCCTAGATGTCATCTCAAACCATGTTCGGGAGCACAAGGTCACGCTTCCGTTCGAAGAAGGTGAGGCTACCATGAAAGATCTTATTTCTCACGTCACCGATACTGTCATATGCGATGCCAAAGACATCCCAGTGTTCATCGAAGATGGAACTGTCAGACCAGGTATTCTTGTATTGATAAACGACACTGATTGGGAACTTGAAGGCATGGAAGATTACGAGGTGGAATCTGGCGATGTGTTTACCTTCACCTCGACGTTACATGGAGGCTAAATGACAGATACATGGGACTCATACAGTCATGCTAATTCACGATTTATACGACAACAGAAATGTAGAACCATATTCGACAGAACCTCCATGGCTTTTAACAAGGATTATGTGCTCTTGGGTGTATTAGAGAGCCTTAAAGAGGAACTAAAAGGCACCCGAGTACACCTCGTCCTCCCCAATTATCTGTAGGGACCAATGTAACTTGCACTTTCTGACCCTCCCGGATTAACTCCACAGGAATATCCCTCCCAACCTTCTCCCGAACTCTCCCTGCCAATGCTGAAAGCTTATTATGGTTTCCAGCATGGATATTGGAGTCAAAAAGAGTGATGGTATCTCCAGTGCGTAGTCCACTCTTATCTGCTGGGCCGTTAGATGCTACTTCGCGAACTACAGCAAACGGGAAGTAATTTTGGGATGGAACAACTTCAATGGTAGTAGTAACTTCTTCATCTGTTGGGTTACTCCCTTGCAATCTTTCCACCAAGTGAGCTTCTAGTAGCTGAAGAACGAAGGCATGGTCATTACGCAAACGTATGATCTTAATTCGGATAAGCCGTATCGTCACCACATCAACATCACTCCGAGGGAAACCATTGATAACTAGTGGCAGATGCATGTCGAATTTGTACTTGTAGGTCAAGAGATCAAAGAGTGACTCGAGAGTTCTTTCAATGTCTGACTTAGCTAGGGCTAATTGGTTGTAGGGCATGTTTTGGAGGGTAGTCCGAGAGTACTCTGTATCCTCAAGATTTATATCTTTCATTGCCCCGGTAAACGAGCCTCCGATGTCGTTGTCGTCTATGGTCATTGTGAATAATAAGTAGTTGCCTTCTGATAGATTTGTGACTCGTGCAGGAGGATAGTGATACACCTTGAGTTCAGGTATGGAAGTGTAATTAACACCTTTTATGACTACTTTCAGGTAAAGTGATTTATCTTCGTAGCTTTGTTTCAGTCTATTCGGCTCACAAAGTTGGTTACACAGTCACAGGCGTTTATTTTTGATGTTCGTCCTGTGAGATGTGTCTGGTGATAACAGACCAACTTGAAAGGAACTATTTGAAATAAACACTCCTCATACCATATAATTTCGATTGGAAACGGACGATATAGTGTTTTTATGGTGTGGTCGGAACTAGACTAAAATCAAGATTTGGAGTTGATCTATTATAGCTAGACAAAGGGATTGAGCTGGCCAATGTATATTGAACAAAACATGGAAGAAAAATGCAAGGGATAAAACCGAAATAAAATGATTCACAGTCGTGGTTTGAGAAGAATTCGTTCTAGGTCATAATCAACTACTACGGAGATCTGAGGAATAATACCTTAAGAGAGAATGGTTGTATCTCATGAAGCAGTTGCATGAATTTTATAGAACCCAAAAGGAGATGAAAATGATACATCAGCAAGAAGAAGTGAAATACAAAGGTGAACAAACTTCAGGTTCTAATCGCTCCACTTGAAGGTCGAGATATTACATTTGACTGAATTTCCCAGTGATGGAAATCCCATCTCAATGGAACAGACCCTTTCTCTTCTGAAACATTGTCACAGACTGAATTATGGTAGTAACAATATCTTCTTGGTGGGAATTATCTTAATACCCTCTTTTCACATAAGAAACCACAACTCATTCTTGGCCCAAAGGGCAAGTCATCCATTTCTTTCCTCTCACGCATGAATCTTCAAAGTATAATCAGTCCTTATACACTTCAGCAAATACAACCAAGGGCGTGACCTTCGTCACCTAAAGAAAACGTCATATTTCGTCTCAAATCTAAATCACCTACCACTCCCGATACCCCGACTTTCGAAATATTTGTTTACAATGCTGCTTCCCGAACGGTCAGTCCTTGCAAGCGTTTAGTCAGCAACACTCACATCACATACAATTAAGGTTTTACGAAAAACTCCCACATTTTCCTTGTCATGTCAATTTATTTTCATTGTTTGATATTTGCTTATCGCTCGGGCAATGTACGGACAAACTTGCGGGCAAATGACATTTGTCTAGGTTTATGTGGTAGTGTAGGAAGTTGTTCAGCCGTGCATCTGAAGCCATGCACCACAACCAGTATCGCCCGGATTTCCACAATTGGACAGGCAGTCATTAGGACATGTAGCATACACCAAATATCTGGGCCAATTTTAGTAGATTGAGCATATGGCCCGCTTAAACTGGCAGTACTTCTCTCCCCAATTAGCGGCAACACTTCTTGTCCAGATCGTTTGAATCAGCCAAACAATTTCCACTTAAGGGTTCATTGTACGTGAAAATAAGACGCCCAAAGAATGCACCAAGAATGCATGAAATAATTATGTACCCATTGTAGTACATGAACAAAAGCATGATCATATACGATAATCCCCACTCAAGCGTAAACAACCCTCCTCTGATGAGGTGCTCGGTAGTAGAAGGTCTGACTCCGTCAGCTACCAATGGCTTCCATAACCAACGGTGAGACACAGTGTACAACTCTGGTTGAGGGGGAATCGCCAAATAAGAAGCTTCACTGTCTGCTTCCTTGGCTACATTGTCCAGTTGCGAATACTTCGTGATTAGGGCAACATCGTATTCCCTAGCAAACCGATGGAGCCACTGGGAGACCATCACTAAGAAGAACACTCCGATACACGAACCGGCAAAACCCCCTTTGGATTTTACGTGCCAACTTCTTGCAATAAAGCATGTGTCGATGGTGTACCAGTTCCAGAGCATCGAAATTTTGCAACTGTGAGGTGGTGCACTACTGCCCATATCCATTCTGTTAACCAACGGATCCATAGTCGATTGTGAATATTGGTAATTAGGGGAGGAGCTTGAAGAATTAAATATTGAACTATGAATTGTACATTTCCAGCGATCGAGCTTTATTGAGCAAATTACATGTCTACAAGTGGTAAACTTTTCTAGTATGATACAACTTGAGTCAATTTGAGTCAATTTGAGCTAATTTGAGCTAATTTGTTAATTCCAGTTAATTTGAGTTAATTTCAGTTTTTATAAATTAGTATGATAATAATTAATGGAACATTAGCGTCTCCAACCCTAGATAAACATTTTCTGTTATATTGCGACCTTTATGATAAGGCATAGCCACTTAGACCCCCAGGGCACCTAGTCAGGGGTTTAACGTCACCATGACAACCAAGCGTAAAGTATGCACCTTCTGAGACATTAGTGATATTTAACCCTAGAGCCTAGTCCCCCGTTTCCCCTTTTCCCCTTGCTTTTGGCCCAGGAACTGAGCTCTGAACTTACAGATCTCAACAACTATATAGTTGCGCAACAAATAGGTAGCAATCTTCTCTTGATTCTAGACTCGGGCAAACTCTTGGGGAAAACAGTCATTAATTAGGAGAACATCACAACCCCCAACATTGAGCTGGCCAATCGAACCTTGAATCATAACCACTTCTGGAATATGCATTTTTGAATTCTTGATTTCTTGGATGTCTTGAACTAACCATTGCTTGGTCTATGGTTAATTCCGTCTTTAAACTTCTAAAACCTCCAAGTGTTCAATAAACCTTCAAATCATCAACTTCCAATTTTTAACGCTAAAATCTCAACTTGAACAGACAAATATTGGTGCTTTGATCACTTCTTTAAGTCGTAATGAGATTCATCGCTTTCATTAGACCTGTATCGTAGCATCTTTGCGGACAATGTTGCATCGATATCGGAAATGTAATGCTTGTACAGCTCTAGAACCTCCTCCTCAACCATGGATATCTGGGAGTTCTCGCTCGACAAGTATGGTTGAGCGAGTGGCTGTTGTGGTGTGGGTGTCATGTTAACGACAGAAGGAGTCACCATAGAGGTGAAATATGGAATAGCAGAAGAATGAATCGTGGAGAATGGTATAAAGTTAGCCAAAGAAAATGAAGCAAACAAGCTACGCAAAATCTGTAAGGATGTCATCGAAATCGGCTCGTGGCACTTTATAACTAATTTCATCGTCCCTACACACTGGCATAGCTATTTTACGAGATAGCAAATAATGGCAATTACTATATTTTTTGTAAGGGCAATGCTGCAGAGGCATCCCATCGATGTGGGTGCCCCGGCTATATCATGACTGTTGCATGGGACAATGTTGAATAAATTCTTTTTATGCAATTAATATTCTCAGTTACTTTATGATACCATTCTAACTACAATGAATGTCCAAAGCTTGTATTCGACTACTGAACTGTCTACTTTTAATCATTCATTTTTAAAAATAATTCATCTGTTCAAGCAACGAACTCGTAAATTATTGTTGAACTTCAACGTTGCACCGGCCTGGCCATAGACGGTAATGACCCACACGTCCTGCATGATATTTGGCGAAGTGCGACTTACGAAATCCTCGTAGTTAAAGAGTATGTGGTGATTCTGATCATGACATCACAAATGTTGCCCTCCACGGTAGTTGATGCCGAGAAATTATAGGCCCAGCACTAGATATTGCCTCTCACGCATGTTCTTCTAGTGTCAAACGACGTTGTCCCCACCCCTATTCTAGAGTCTCATCGGCAGCGGTTACATCGGGGATCGTTTACGTCTTTCCCGGGATGTCGCATCAACAGACTCTGCGTTCTATTGTTTTCACAGTGATCCCCGCACCCGAAATTATCAATGGATCTTTTCTTTTGTTTTGATTTTTATTCTGGTTTCAAATTTCAACTCCGTGGAACACTTATTTTCCAGCAAGTGATTCCATCTGTAGATCCCAAGTAAATTCTAGGAATATTCCTGCGCAGAATCTATCCCAAGTCAAACGATATTGTATCCGGAAACCTTAGAAAGTTCCGAAATATGGGGACATAGCCACGAAATTAAGGTGAGTTGCAGGTGAAATTGTGACTTTTTTTTACTATCAGTTGTTTTTGATGATTATGCAAACCAGGAGCTGCTAAACATGATGTATCGTAGTCCCTTACAAGGCTCAGTGGCGCCTCATGTACCAGTGAAATACACACGTGCTTCTTTCCGTCTTCGCACAGCTTTCTCAGAGTGAATATGTCAGATGATGCTTAAAGTATTGCCCTATACGGAAATGTCATGACTATTTGACATAACTGACGTGTTCGACAAGTCTTGCAAATAAGGATATCATGCAATAAGATGCATGTCAACAACTTCTTCAATTGTTGGCTTGCGCGTTATTACGAGGGGTACAGATGCGAAGCTCGTGCAAATAAGACATTGAGCCCGCCCAACCAGTACTCCAAAATGTACGGATGTGTCATCGACTGTGATCCGTGGAAAAAACCCTATCCTGTACATATTTTTTACTCCGGAGGGACGGGTGTTGGGGTTCACCCCGAGATGTACTGGTGTCTTTGTTTGATGTACAGATTTTTGATTCTTGGATTTCTTTTCCTGTTCTTGAATTTTTCCCTTGTAGAGGTACGGGTGTTTACCTAGATTTGGCTGCAAAGTCGCATTTCTTTTTTAGCAGCCAAAACTAATAGCAAAAAAAAAAAATACGTAAGCTCACGTGACTACCGCCATATCCAAAAAATGTGTTCCATTACTAATTCCTTCTCTAGCAGTCCTTTTTCTTCTTGATATATAAGTCGATTGTGGTCTTTCAGCTCTAAATTCAATTCTTCAACGATGCTTACTCTTACCAAAGAACACATTGATCATTTGAACAAAACGCTCACTGAGCTTTCTGCGCCAGAACTATTAACGTGGGCAGCAATCACTTTTCCAAACTTGTACCAAACCACCGCTTTCGGACTTACTGGGTTGGTGATTTTGGATATGATCTCGAAGACCAAGTCTGTTGACTTAATTTTCATCGACACGTTGCACCATTTCCCTCAGACCTACGACTTGATTAACCAGGTGAAAGAAAAATACAACCCAAAATTGCACATTTACACGCCTGTGGGCACTAAGACCGAGTCTGAATTTGCCAAAAAACACGGCGACTCGTTGTGGGATGTTGACGACCACCTCTACGACTTCTTGGTGAAGGTGGAGCCTGCACAAAGAGCATACAAAGAACTTCGAGTCAATGCAGTTCTCACTGGCAGAAGAAAGAGTCAGGGTGCAGCCCGTGCCTCTTTGCCAGTGATTGAATTGGAGGAGAGCAGTGGAATCATCAAGATCAACCCATTGTGGAACTGGGACTTTGATATGGTTAAGAAGTACATTGATGAGAACGATGTGCCATACAATGAGTTGCTTGATTTGGGGTACAAGTCCATTGGAGACTGGCACTCCACTGTTCCTGTTGCTGATGGAGAGGATGAGAGAGCAGGTAGATGGAAGGGTCAGGCAAAGACTGAGTGTGGTATTCACCAGACAGGACGTTTCACAAAGTATATGAACGCAGCACACTGATTATTTATAGGAATTGAATGGGGGTCTTAGTGTCTGATTGTAGAATAGTTATGGTAGGGAAGTAAATGATATTCAGAATCTGATGTGAGTAGTATAGAAGCGATAGTTTTCGATTGGAGAAAGTTGAAGCTTTACTATGAGACCAGTGAATATGGTTCTTGGGTACATTTTGCAATAGAATTTCTGAAGACCGTTGGTGAAGTGAGGAATTTGAACCAAAATTAGATAAGCTGCATTCAAAAAAGGATTAAATATCTGATTGCACCAATTATAGCCCATGATCTGATATTCTATTGTATCATTGGAGAGTCCATTACTAAATGCTATTGTAGTATAACTAGAGTGCGCTTGTTGCCTTTCTTGGTCATATATTCATGATATAATAACGGACATCAATGATTAGATTATTTATTGTTCCGAAAGTATTCCGTCTGTCGTACAATACCATCTGCTTTGTCTTCGATCTTTTTTTCTCTTATTTCCTTTTAATTTCAGCTCTCAATTCGTTAGATGGTTCCTTTTCCCTACATTATCCAATCGTTCTGTCTCTCATTCCAATTCTTTAGTCTTAGCGCGTTAGACCTATTCTGCGTAATTCCGCTCAATAATAATCCCAGTTTGTCCCAGTTTACAGCCAGACTCACATATACTCCAAATTCTCTCGCCTGCCATTTCCACATTCGTGAAATTATCCTTCCTCTAATGGTGTGCCACCACGAACCCTATGCAATTGGTGTGTCTCACTAGAAGCGGAATTTAGCTCCTACCTTGTCGCACGGAATTCATATCTCGATCTGCTTATCCACGCGGAATTTCCTGCCCTATATAGACCAATCGTGTTACCCACATTTCTACACTCTCAACTCTGTAACTTCTCATAGCTAGCATGTTGGCCGACGTCGTCGTTGCAGCCATGCGCTGGATCGCAGATAATCAGACGTTTGTTCTTGTAGTCCTGGCAATCTCCCTCGCAATCTATAAGTTGGTTTTATATCCATTCTTCTTATCTCCACTAAGACACATTCCAGGTCCCTACCTCCATCGAATCTCCCATATTCCCTCATTGGATGCACAGAGAAGACATAAATGGATCGAGATCATCCACAACTTGCATGCCAAGTACGGCAATGTGGTGATTCTTTCGCCTACAGCTGTGTCTTGCAATGGAGACCCCAAGTTCATCAACGATATCTACGTCAAGAACATGCCCAAGCACAAATTCTATGAGAATTTCAGAAATCATGGCTTCAAAGATAACATCTTCGCTTCATTGGAGAATGACAGACATGTTAAGTACAAACGGTTGGTGCAGAACTTGTATTCCAAGACTGCTGTGTTCAACCCAAAGAATTCATCTCGGCAGAATGTCATCGAGAAGGTTGGTCATCTCATCCAAACAGTCTACAACTCTTCTGTCACCGGCAAAGAACCTGATTTGCGCAATGCTAGGCTGGCTTTGAATGAGCACGGAAAGGGTCATGCGTTGGGGTCAGGCAAGTGGTTCAACCAGAACAACAAGAAGTCGCATTTGGGAATTGACGTGTATTCCCTTTTCGGAGCTTTGGCCATGGATGTTGTGTCTGCCTTTGAACTCGGTATGGAAAATGGAACCCACTTATTGTTGAGTGCTGAGAAGAGAGACATTCTTGTTCCACACAGAATGCAAGCAGGAATGGTTTTCTGGACCACCTTGATGCCTCGCTTCTGGGACTGGGCCGCTGGTGAAGCTATCCGCGAGGCATCCAAACAGATAGAGGAATGGCAATTGAATTTGTACGCCAAGGCAGAGGAAAATGTACCTAAGCTCAGGGATGGTGAGAACATGACCACATTGGAGACCTTCAAGAAGAACGGTTACAAAGGAAAGTATGCTTATACCTTTCTCAGTGACAATATCTTTGCTGGCCATGAAACCACTGCAATCCAATTGACATACATGTGCTACGAGCTTTCAAGACCTGCCAATAGATTTAGGCAAGCAAGATTGCGCCAAGAGCTTGTGGAGGCTTTTGGAGTTTCGAAACTGGTGAACGATATAATCAGTGACTTAGAAGTTGTGGATAAGCTCCCATATTTAGAGGCATTGATGCAAGAAAACTCCAGAGTTCACACCTCCATTCCAGGTTCTGAACCTAGAGTGACCGATAAGCCATACGTGGTGAAGGTTGGAGACAAGGACGCAGTACTGGTGGAATTACCCGTTGGTACTCAAATCTCGTGCCAACCATACTCGATGCATAGAGTGGAGTCTGTGTTTGAAATGGCTGATCTCTGGATACCTGAGAGATGGCTCCAGAAGGAAAATGAGAGTGAATTTGAGTACAAAGCTCGTATGACCAACATGCAACGGTACATGATGCCATTCGGAAAAGGAATCCGCATGTGTTTGGGGATGAACATCGCAGTTATTGAGATGAAGTTGGCATTGGCCAATTTGTATTGGAAGTTCACTTCGGATATCTGCCGGGACTGGTGTGATGTAGTGGAGACCGACGCGAAAGTTGGCAACAAGATCGAAATTGGCTCTCACTACATGAAATCGTCTACTGATGAGAGCATGATGACCATGGTGGATGCCTACACCACCAGACCATATTTTGATGAGTGTTGGTTGGAATGGCTGGATGCATAGTACATAAGAACATAGACTCTACGAACGATATAATGCATTCGAGATTTCAATGTGTTCTGATCCTTTTTTATGCACAGCTTGTAAAATCTTCAAATTCCGTCAATCGTATTCGTTTAACAGTCACCTAATTTCTCAATATTCCGTTGTTTGTATCGTCATTCATACCCTCGCATTTCGCAACACTTATCATGGCTTATCTTCATACACTCCATTGATTATTGTGACCGATTACCCCGTGGATATGTTGATCCGGGGCTTCCAGGTGGAGGACAATCAAAAGTTGACTTCAATTGAAACTAATTATATGAATAAGAGCCACCCAATGTATGAATTTTGCTACATTTCCATGACCCCGTCCTCTGCTCGCATGTCCTACCTGACGTGGCGAGACTCGTAGTAGTGCATTACAGTACATTCAAGTGCCGAGGTTAAAACGTACTCCCAACTACCATCACTGAGAAAAGGTTGTCAATTCTTGATGAAATAAAAGTGGAGCTATCCACAAGAGACATCTTCATCAATAGTTTACTATCAGCCAGTTTAGATCAATTTTTTCCAACTCCAATGCCACACCATATTCCCGTTGTAGCCGATCGCCGCATGCAGGGTCGTTCCAATATATATCAGTGACCTTGCTAATTGAGATTTCGCCATTAGAAACTGCTTTTCAAATTCTCAGAGAAGTTCTTTTTTCAAACCATGCTTCCGTTTGCCATTCCTTACCCTGCTGAGCAAGAGCATGGCTACTGGGGAATACCCACTTCCACCATCGATTGGTGCGAAGAGAATTATGTGGTATCTAGTTACATTGCAGAGGCTTTGAACACGGTTACCAACTCGTGCTTCATTGCGTTGGCTTCATTTGCTATTTACCACGGTTACACAAACAAATTAGATCTTCGCTTCATTTTGTCGGCTCTAGGCTTCTTGCTTGTGGGAATCGGCCTGTGGTTGTTCCACATGACGCTTAAATATGAGTACCAGCTATTAGATGAGCTTCCAATGATCTATGCTACATGCATCCCATTCTGGAGTGTTTTCTCACAGTCAAAGTCTACAAAGGGATCGGTGATAGTGGGGCTCTCGATTTTCTTTGCTGCCAATCTCCTTACCGCGATCTACTTGCACTTCAAGAATCCTACCATCCACCAAGCAGCATATGCTTTGCTTAACGCGGGAATCATCTTCCAAAGTGCAAGATTGGCACACAATAATATTCACGATAAGGCGGCATTGAAGCAATTGAACCGGACTATGATTTTTGGCGTCTCCATTTTCCTCTTGGGCTATTTCTTGTGGAATGTCGATATTCATTTCTGCCCTCAAGCAAGAGCAACAAGAAGAGAATGGGGCATTCCTTATGGATTTATTTTAGAGGGACATGGATGGTGGCATATTTTAACCGGAACTGGTGTTTACTTCTACTTGGTGTACGAGGAGTATTTGCATTGCTGGTTGACTGGCACCAACAAGTTCTATTCTTTTGAATGGAAATACGGTTTGCCTGTGGTGGTTTTGAAGGATGAAGCTGGTTTACAAGCATTCAAGTTAGCTGCCAGATCTAAGAAAGATCGTTAACATTATCGCAATCTCTAGAATCATTTATTAACTTTCAATTAGAGGATTATTCATTGACTTTCAAATTAGAGCATGCTGAGAACTTCCTGAATAAATTTATCGCTAGTAGCGTCATGCTTGTACTGGCCATCAACCAATCCCCTCAACGTCTCAATTGCTTCAGCTGATGATACTTTACATTGTTGTGTCTTAGGGTCGACGCACTGCTCCTTCCAAGAAAGAAGGATTTGTTTCAATTTATCCACACCAATGCTGACTTCCTCATTCGAGCATTTGGTTCTTTTACCGTTAACGTACGGATCAATATCTGATCCCACATTAATGTGCTGGAGCTCTGATGCCTTTCTCTTGGCCATGTTGATGATCTTGGTAGGAAACTTCACTAACTCTGCAACATGAATACCAAAAGACTTGTCCGAGATTCCTGGTTCGACCCTGTACATCAATGTGATATCATCTTCCTCCTTCTGTTCGTCATTCTTCTCAATATGGGCGACAACGTGCAAATTCTGCACCTTTCCTTCATATTTCTCTGCCAACTTGGTCAATTCATGGAAATGCGTTGCGAACAAAGTAAAGCACCTCTTGGAGGTAATCAAATGTTCACTAATAGACCATGCCAAGCCGAAACCATCATAAGTACTGGTACCTCGTCCTAACTCGTCAATAATAATCAACGAATTTTGAGTGGCAGTAGCCAAAATCAGCGAAGTTTCTAGCATTTCGATCATGAATGTAGAAAGGCCCTTTAATTGCGAATCTCCAGCACCCACACGAGACAAAATGGCATCAAAAACTGGTAACTCTGGAGCCTCTTCACTTTCCTCGCATGGAATGTAGCTTCCAATCTGACTCATTAATGCAATGACTCCAACTTGTCTGATATACGTGGATTTACCTCCCATGTTGGGGCCTGTAATAATAACGAAAGGACTTCCACCTTCATTGGCAAGTTCAACATCATTAGCAATGAAGTTAACATCGTCCTGAACCTCGAGTACTGGATGTCTAGCATCCTTCAACTTTATGCGTCTCTCACTGAAAGCAACATTATCCGTTTCTTCAGCCATTGCATGCAATTTTGGCTTCACAAGTGGAGTAGGAGCAAAAATAGCCACATTGGCGAATGCTGAAAGAATGTCCAAGGTGCTTAATGCCAATGATAACCGCAAGAATACAGATTGGTAAGTAACAGTGATCGAAAGAATCTCTTTGATCAATTCTTTCTGCTTCGAGTTGTACTCGCTGGAATAATCCATGTACTGTTGAGATAAAGCTCTCAACTTCTTAGTTGTGAAAAAAACTCCTGCCTTGACCGTTTGAAGTTCGATATACTTGTCTCCTGTGTTTCTCAAGATAGACGAGTCAATACGAGTCACTCTGAAACACCAACCATGAATCTGGTGCTTTTCCAATTTCAATTTCTTCTCGATATCGATGTTCAAGTCATCGGCCACTTCTTGGTGGGTCTTCTTGATCTTGTCCGAAGTACTCTGTAAGTTGTTGTTGATGACAATGAGAGACTCATCAAACTCAGGACGAATGTTGAAGTCCTTGTGCAAAAGATCGTATGAAGACAGACTGTCCAAAGGTGATAGATCAATGGTAGTTTCGACCAATTCTTGATATTTGAGCAATGAAGTATGGTCCTTTGAGACTGGCTCCAACCAGTACTCCTTCAACAACGACTGAATATGAGTATCCTTGCAATCTTCGACCGACATCTGAAGCATATTCATCAATTCAGGCAAGATAGTAACAAGTTGGTACAAACGCACCACATCTTCCAATTTCTTGTTCTCATTACCACTGGCTCTTTTCACACCATTCGAAATTTTTTTGAGCAATCTTTTTACGTCAGGAACCTGAGAGAGCCATTCTTGTGAAACGAATACACGCAAGCTAGTATCGGAAATAAAATGACCAACCAACGCCTGACGATCCAAGATGGCTTGCAAGTCCGTAAGTGGTTGCTTAAGCCACTGAGAAAGCAATCTGGTGCCAGCAGCCGTTTTGCATTTGTTCAAAAGCTCGAATATGGAGGTCACAGTAGCCAGTTTAGATCCAATCACAGAACTGGATTGTGGGAAGATGTTGAGAGCTTTCATAGTAGATGAGTCCAACTTCATGTATGTGGAAAGGTTGTACTTGTCAATCGAAAAGGAGGGTGAGTCATCTCCAAGCAAGTTTAGGTAATGAATGAGCGAATTGCAACACGAAAGTGATAACGAGTACTCAGAAGAGTTGATACCCTTGGAAGCCAACACTAACTCGATATTGTTGGTAGCATCGGGGTCAATCGAGTCAGAGGTGACAATTTTGGTCAAATCTTGATCAATGTCCTTGGTGGAATACAATGATGGTTTGACAGAGCCAATGACTAGAGAACCAATCTTCTTTAAAACCTGGAAAAGCTTAATAACGTCAGCTGAAGCTCCATCACTGTTCTCGGGATTATATGACAGCGGAACTATGACTTCCTTGACATTAACTTGCAAGAATAACAGCTCCAAGTTGGAAAATAAATCGTTATCATCGAATTCACAAACCTGGATGGCTTTGTTCAGCAAGTCCACTAAGCATACACCCACCTTCTTCAGCGATGCATTTGATACAAACTTCATACTTGCCACCATTGGTGTCAGGGCATCACGGAGCATTGACTCCAAGTCAATGCCATACTCGAGCGATAATGGCTCCAAGTTTCCGGGAGTGGCTGTCAAGAGCAATTGGAACTGTTTGTTGTAAACTTCAAGTTTGTAAGAGTTGTCAACTAAACAATACCGGGCCAAGGAAGCGAACACTTGTGGGGAGATGGTGACATAGACGGTAGAATTGGCTGTTTTCAAGACCAGCAGTGTTTTATAAATGGCCTCAGCCACCAAGTTAGCATCGTCACCTAAGGCGGAGAAGTAGTCTTTATGATCGACCACCCTGACAATATTTTGCAGGTCCTTTGGTGGAAGGTTCAGAAACTTGCGGTAGAACAGGCGTTCATCCACGGTGTCTGAAAACTTAAGGTCTGGTCTTGTGCTGGACATGACTAGAAAGAAAGGTGGAGATGATGATTTGGTGAGACGCGTAGTTGTGTATGAGGGAAGACAGATAGTGAACAGGTATAGAGAGTGTACTCATGTTAAATTCATTCTGCGAAGAAGGAAAAAATGGAAACTAAAAGTCTGATCCAGTTTTATTCAAGCTTAGTTTATTAGAAATGTGAGGTTATGCTGGTAATAGAGTTTTGTGGATTTCGCAGCCATCTGACCACTTCAGAATTCTCAACTCATCTAGATTAGAGTTTTGAGCAGATGGAGGAATGATTCCAGCGATCTCATTTGTTGAACGCAGATAAAAATGATAAAATGGGCAACCTAATAAGATGCTAGAAGCGAAAACAATCCTCTCTACATTCATTTATCCTCCTCACTATATTTGGACATCAAATCGTATATTCTTAGTAGTTGTATCTCTGGTCCTGGTAGTCAAAAGGTGGCTGAGAGTCTGGGTGCCATTGCTCCTGGCCACCGTAGTGCTGGTCGTAGGACTGTTCAACATTCTCGTAGGCTCTTCTCTTGGCCTCGTCTCTGTCCAAGTAGTCCAAGCCCTTGGTCTCGAACAACTTGTCAACCTCACCACCAACAATTCCTGCCAACATCTCCTTGGCAAATGCATGGCTCACTGGCTTGCCCTCACGTCTTTGTCTGTCCTCAAACATCTTGAAAGCAGCAAACGAGGCACCACCGGCAACAAGCTCGTGAGAGAACTTACCTTCGTGCTGCTCGCCGTAAATAGCAGCGTGAGCATCTTCTTGGTCACCGAAACCGAACATTATTAATTTTTAGAGAAATTGAGGAAATTGAAAACTCTGAAGTAAGACTTGGGCGAACTACCCGTTTATATATGTCAATTTCCTGCCGATTGCTGACACCTGTCATGGTGACACCTGCCAAATGCAGTGAACAACTTGCTGACACAAGCAGCAGGCTGACGCGATCGGCAAAGCCGTCAATGGAGAAAAACACCGATTAAGTAAGCAGACATAAGTTTTATGTATGTTCTCATGGAATTTAACTCCTTTCAATTGATAATTACAATAATAATGGACTTTAACACTATTATCATCCCTCTATACTCCCTCGAATGGATGAAATTTCACTGGATCAAGACCTGTCAAGGATAGTCAGTGCTGCGCCGAAAGCTTTCTGATGCAGGCTGATGTCGGTGACATACAGGTGAGAGAGCACATTCCCCGCTGATTCGCTCAACGTGGTCGCCGAAGTTACATTGCAGAAGTTCTTCAGGGTTCTAAAAAGTGTGTGCACTGAAATTGTAGGTAGTTACGGTAGTCAATTGGGAGTGGTAGAACAGAATTGACGAGTTGGATGATGTTTATCATTATTTTTGTCAACCTTGACGAATAATACCAATCTTGTTTTCTAAACCAATCTTAACAAATCATGGAGTGCTTTTTCAACAATCCCCACTGCCACCACCGCCACCGTCAGAAACTATAAATAAGTACCACATTCTACGTCGACGGTGTCGTGGCTCCCCCTATTCACCTGAAACTTCCAGATCTGGAATTGCACAACGAGCGGCGTATACCATGCGCAGATGCGCCTGCACGATGTCTTAATAAAAATGACGTTAATCATATACGCCTCCAAACGTAAGTAGCACTCGGTGGTTCCATTGCACCTGCTGGGAACGTAGATTGTGTAGGTGGTGAATTTATGTATTCCTGTCTTTATCTTTCCTTCACTGAGTGGGTTTCACTACCCATTTTATGGTTCGCGCACGACCGAAGAAAAAAAATCTACACCAAGTTAACCAAACTTCCTTAAACCAACCTAGCCAGCGATGTACTACGAGCTATTTGCTATAGCAAGAATTTCCGACCCTATAATGGCCAACAAAGAGGCCACCAAGATCGCTTCTACTGTGGGAAAGTTGATCTTGAACAACAGAGGAGTCATCAGAGATATCACCAGTTTGGGACCAAAACCTCTTCCCAAAATCATGTCCAAGGAGCAGGAGAGACACTTCCAAGGCTATCATTTCATTATGGGATTCGATGCATCTCCAGCCGTGCAGCATGAGTTGTTGAGAACCTTAAGAAGAGATCCCAGAATCTTGAGATCTAGTATTATCAAGAACGACATGACGAAGAAGTTGAATGCTGGAACCACGTTCCAAAGGGTGTTTGAGCATGTGCCCAACTAAGTTAATGAAGACAAGCTGTACATAGAAATGCATTATTACGGGAGAAGACGTAGGAGGTGAAAAAGGATGAATGTGTAGATTGGTGAAACTTAACCATTGACCAATATGCTTCAAATATTGAACGAGGACTTCATGTTGATAACTCAAAGACCAAATTCTCTTTTTCAAACTCAATAACAAAATTTGAATCAATGAAATATCCCTTTAATCTAAGATTAATGAGACAATCTAAGGATTCTACAAATACATACTAAACAGTCCTAAGTAAAATAACCATTCCCACTTCATTCAAAGTTCAACGTTCATATCACAGCATTTAAGGTTTTTTGTATATTAACGTACAGATCGTCTCATACAAATCTTCATCGCAAAACCTCTACCCTCATTCACCTTCTTCATTCCCGATAGATAATTCCTTCTTCTCCTCCAACTTACTACTATGCATCACCAACTCCCTGCCCTTGACCCGGAACCCGCAACACCGCTTATCAACATGTAGGTGGGGTCACCTCCAAAGTCCGAACCTCCCTTAACAATAAATCTTACCGTAGCCATATCATCCCAACTTAATTACGCTCTCTAGACTTCGTATTCACTCCGTTTCTTGACCATTCCCCAGATTCTCGTTGGCTGCGCACTGACCCGGGATTTGCCGTTTTCGGGACTTTCAATCACACGATTTTGTGCGAAGGCTAAAAACTAAAACTTTTTTGTCTTAGTGCATCCCCCTTATATTGTCCGGGGTCCATAAAAAAGCTTCTTATTCTCCTCAATATATTTTGCGGAGCTTAGTGACGGCTCAAATCGTGCAATCTTTACACATCATTTTTTTCCCTTCCATTGTGTACTTTCTACGGACTTAAACAGTCACCTCGGATTTTGACAACATCTCCCTTGCCCCACCTTATTTATCAGAGTGTCAAAGTCCGCCATCCTTTTCCACACCACTTACTTCCTCATATATATCAGCGATGTCGTTCAACGTCAACTGGAACAACTTGGAAACAGACTCGTTGAGAAGCTGGACCATTGATTTGTTGACCGGTGCACTCAACTCCGGCAAACGTCCCAATATCCTCGCGTCCGATATTGTTATCAAGGACTTAAACTTCGGCAAAGTTGCTCCAGACTTTGAGATTCTCGAAATCGGTGAGTTGGGCAGTGACAGGTTCCGTGGGATCTTTAAAATCACCTACAGTGGCGACTTCCACTTGACTCTACATACTAAAGTCCAAGCCAACCCCTTAAAGATCTATAGCGACAACTCCCTTGAGAAAGAAATATCTTCCACTCCATTCATCACTCCAGACTTCCTTCTTTCGGTGGATCCTTTTAACCTCCCCATGGACTTGAAGCTTAGTGACATCAAAATTTCGGGTATTGGTATCATCGTCTACTCCAAAACCAAGGGACTCACACTAGTGTTTAGAAATGATCCTTTGGACTCGATTAAAGTTAGTTCAACTTTTGACACTGTTCAGGTGTTGGCAAACTTTTTGCAGAAACAAATTGAAAACCAGATTAGAGATCTTTTTAGAGAGACGTTACCAACTTTGATCCATAAAGTCTCCTTGAAGTACACTACTTTAGGAGACAATGATTTGATTGATAACTTGCAGGAGCATTTGACGACTGAGTCCCATTTTAACATGTTGGACTCGTTGGATCTCGAACATATTTCTCCAAACAATCTCAACAAACTTGCCAAACTTCATAGCTCGCGTGAGACATTGAACTTCAGTGTGCCCAAGTTCAAGAAAATCGTCCAAAGAAACCACTTGGAGAAGTTCAACAAAGCTATTTCTCCAAACTTGTACAAGTCGTTGCTGGTCAACTTAGACTTGCCTGCCAACGGCAATGTTGCTACAAGCAATAACAGCATTCCAGTGGATCTCTTCGTAAACAATGACTACAAGAAAGTTGATGAGATCCTTTCGGAAATTGCTGGCATTCAAACACGTAGTTTCAACAATGGCAGCAACGACCACAAGACAGCTAACAGAAGGAAGATCAAGTTGGGACGCAAGTCCAAGAAGACAAAGGAAGAGGCCACCGTGCCTCCGCAGACATTTGCTGCTGCAAAGATGTTGCCAAGCGACACCGTGTACAGCGATGCTCTCTCAGATACTTCGACAGTAGCGAGCGAGGAGAGCAGCATTATGAAGCACCCTACTCCAATGAAGGTGCGTCCAGCCATCCGCCCTTCACTTCAGACTAACGGTGTGAATACCACCAGATTCAACCCCTGTCCGTCGCCTTTGAGCTCGAACTCTTCCTTTGTAGGAAGCGTTGGCCTCGGTAACTCGTTTTTCTATATCGCAAACGGACACCCAGTATCTGCTTCGCCATTGAGAAAAGGATCTGTGAAGCCCATGAGCTCATATGAAGACACCAAATTGAAGGTTAAGCAAACACTTAACCGAGTGGATATTAGAAAGATTAACGAGAAGCTTCAGGAGCACGTCAACGACGAGAAACACAGAAACGGTCGTGGAGAGCATGGTGGGGATGTGAAATGCCACTCGCCATTTGGACAAGCATTTGAGCTTCCTCCTCCACCATACCACCAACTTCCACGCGTCTAAATGATTGATGACTTTACTTCAACTATTCGAATTTATTTATTGGTGTATATAGGAATGCAATGTTATGAATGAAAGGAAGTAGGAACTAGCGATTGAACAAGTTTGTATCGAGAATTGAAAAGTTGGGAAGGTACTGGTTGACAATAACCGAGAATATTAAATTGAGAATGGTGAATGAGGTCCGAGAATTAACAACTGTAAACTAAGAGTTGAGAATGATAGTCATCGCTCATCAAATCAAATGACAAAATCACCTATTCTATTCTTTTGAATGACTACATCAAACCAATATATACAATAAATTTATTGATTTAAATCGTGTTCCTATTCCTAACCTATAAATAGCGGACTGTGCCTTGTGACACTGTTTAGGAAGGATATTTCTCGCAGGAAAATACTTCGCAGACTTTTAACTTACTCCCATCTCCCTCGCTTCCTCCTGGGTAAAATTACATCCACCAGCATGGGTTTCGGCAGTTTCAAGACCATTTGCCAGAACACGGGAATCCCACTCTGCTCCGTGGTTGGCGCAGTCAACGCAACATCGCCAATTTCCGTCGGTATCGTGGCCAAATGCTATGCCAGACCCGTCGAAATCGCTAACACCTTGATCTTCCAGGTGGGCAACGCTTTCATCCACTTTGGTGCTCTTCTTGTCTTCTTGATGATTATCTTCAATATCAGATCCAAGTACACTGCTATTGGCCGGTCGGAGTTGTTGTCATACTACTATTTGAACATTGTTCTAGCCATCTGCTCCTTGGTGGTGGACTGTGGAGTATCGCCTCCATCAACAAGCAGTTATCCATACTTTGTAGCGGTACAGCTTGGTGTGTCATCGGCTGTTTGCATGTGTCTTTTATACAACGGTATTGTTTGTTTCCAATTTTGGGAAGATGGTCTGCGCAAGTCGCTTTTGGCCATGTGGGTCGTTACAGCGTTGTGGTTCGTAGTCAACTTCATCGTGGCACTTATCACCTTCAAGTCTTGGGGTACATCATTGAATAACCGTACCACCACCACACTCTTTGTCGTGACATATGTGTTGAATGCAGTTATTCTAGCGGTTTATGTGATCTCGCAGTTGATCCTTGTGTTTTTTGCATTGGACTCGTACTGGTACTTGGGTGCAATCTTTATGTTTTCGTTTTTCTTTGTGGTGGGCCAGGTGTTATTGTATGTGTTCAATAACCAGATCTGTGAGGGTACCAGTCACTACACTGATGGAAAGTTCTTTGCTACAGTGTGCAATCTTTTCGCCAATATGATGGTGTACAAATTTTGGGACATGATCACCACTGAGGACTTGGAGTTCTCCGTGGCCAATGTTGAACAGGGCGTGGCTGCGTTTGGAGATCATGAAAAGAGGTATAGTCTGTACCTTAACTAGGGACCTGGTGCGAAAAGGTAGAGAATAAAAAGTATTTTTGCGGATAGGAACAAATTGACAGTAGAATCAGTGAATGTTCGGATTGGAAATCGTTTCCATTTGAAATTAAGTAAATAAACTGAACGATCTAAATCTAATTATAATCTATCCCATCGTACATTCTACGTCATACCCTGCCAAAACCGCGGCTGGGTCACGGGGCCATATTTATACAGATCTATCAGAACATCAAAACTCCAGCTTCTTTACTTCATCACATTATGGCTCAGCCACAACCATCCACCAAGACTGAAGGGTCAAAGATGTTGGAGCTGGATACCATCCAGACATTTTTGAATAGCGACGGCTCATTGGACGTCCTCTTGACCAGACTCAAACAGTCAATCAACACAGGAGATGAAATCGCCAAGTATGTGAAGAAGAAGGCAATGATTGAAGATGACCACTACACGCAATTAAAGAAATTTGCTGGTCAGGTGCGAGGACTGTTGAAGAATTCGAAAAATTTGAAAAATGACGGCTTCAGCTTGCATTTCGACCAAGTGGTGGAATTTGACGAGAAACTCCATGGTGTCGGCTCCTCGTATGTGAAGGCCTTGAATGTCATGTATGACGAATTGGTGTCTTTGGTCAATACCATTAGTCGCTCGCGGAAAGTTATCAAGGAAGAGAGCAAGAGGAAAGAAAAGGATTGTGCCGACTCCATTGCGTTGGCCGAAAAGGCGAGACAGAAGTACCATCATTTGTGTGATGATTTGGAGAAGGTGAAAACGTCTGACCCAAACAAGAAGTCTTTTTTGAAGAACAAGACCGCCGAGCAGCAGGAAGATGACTTGCAGAGAAAGGTGGATGCTGCAGACCAAGATTACAGGCTGAAAGTTGGAACTTGTAAGAAATTGAAGGACGAGCTTTTGATGATTCACAGGCCCGTGAACTCCAAGAAGTTGATGAACTTGATTTTGGAAATGGATGTGGCGATGAATGTTCAGTTGCAGAAATTTGCAACATGGAGTGAAACCCTCATAATGAACTCTGGTGTGCTCATTTCCCCAATCCAAGCCGGCAAGCTGTCCATGAAGTCGATTGTTAGCACTATCGATAATGACATGGACTTGTACAACTATCTTATCAAGAATTCCAAGAACCCAACCAATAAAGCCTTGGTTCCTGTGGAATACGTTGCACATCCCTCGTTTGCAAAGGACATCAAACCTTCCAAGCCATTTTTTGCAAATAATGCACCCAAGAACAACCACATGAACTTGTCCGCCGTTGTGGCTAACCCACACTCTTCAAGCACGCCGGTCAGTGGTGAGCATGACTTCAGATCTACTAGTGACTCTCAATCCACTGCCATTCCGTCCGACAGTCATTACGAGTCACAAACGTCTGCATATCAGTACAGCTCTTTGGACCCCGGCAATAACGACTTGAATGGTCCAAGGTCATTGAGTCTGATTGCCCAACACTCACAACCCACTTTTGGAGCCTCTATCGAAGAAGTTATCAAATTTGCTGGAATTGATAACGTTCCTTTGGTGGTGAAAAGATGTATTGATGTGATTGAGACATACGGTTTAAATATCGAAGGTATTTACAGAACAAGTGGAAACAAAGCGACCGTACAACAGTTGAAGGACTCCATTGACTCTAGCTTTGCCAACTACTTGGTCATTGGTAGCAACATTGATCCAAATAACGTGTTGGATGCGGATATTTATTGCACTGCCTCATTGTTAAAGATCTATTTTGCAAGTCTTCCAGAACCACTATTAACGGAGGAGTACTATCAATCCTTTATTGAAACGGTCAAGTCGGTTGATGAAACCTTCATTGCCAAGAAGTTGCATCACTTAGTGTACAACCTACCTGATGGTGCATACTTCACGTTAAGAAGTCTTATTTTCCATCTTAATAAGGTGGCTGCGAACCAAGATGTGAACAGAATGAATGCGAAATCGTTAGCCATTATCTGGGGCCCTGCTATTCTCAGTGATAATTCCATGTCTCCTCAGGACCTCAGTTGCAAGAGTAAAGTTGTGGAGGAGTTGATGCTCATTGCTGACCAAATCTTTGACGCCGACTAGAGTCTTTAGAGAAATCATATAACTACGAATGAACATGGCTTGCTGATCTCTGATTAATCCCTACTAATACATTAACTGCCCACCCTTGGGCCCGTAGCCTCCTCTCCCATATGGATCCCTATCGCGGTTGCCATCGCGTTCTCTGTCACGGTCTCTAATATTCTTCGATGAAAAGTTGAACCGTGGGGGCTTTGCCATGTGCGTGGCTGCTAGCTGCTTCACTTTGAAATTATTCTTGTATGCGAGTTCCTTCTCAATCCTTTCCTTCTCGACTCTCTGCTCCTCTTCCTGTTTCAACTTCTCCTCTTCTTTGAGATGAGCAGCATAATCTTCGTCACTGATACCTTCACATTTTCTCTTGATATCTTTCAATTCCACTTTCAAAATCTCGTGGAACTCTGGTGAGTCTATGATCTTCTCCTGGATATCCTTATCAACAATGTTCAAAATGGGGCTGTCTGCACTGCTATTACTAATGATTTCGCCTTGTATCAATGCTCCCATCTTGCCTCTGTTCTTGAGCAATATACTGGGATCGTTTTTGACTTTATTCTCTACCATAAGCCTCAACTTCAAGATCAAGTTCTTATGTGTCTGAGAGTCTTTGAAGTTCTCAAGGAGAAGCTTTCGCTGTTTGTCGAATGAACCCCCTTTCTTATATATAGACGCTAGCTGTTTATGGTCAGCCACTGGCTGATTCTTAATGTCGTTCTCCTTTGGCATTTATGAATTGTAGTACGTTGTGTATCTTTGAAGGTGGATTCGCATAAGATGGTTGAAATTCTGTGCATTCTATATATCTAGCAGCTAATGGCCAACTTACCAATTCTACAATTCAAGGGCGCACAAAGGCCGCCTTTGACCATTGTAGGGTCTCATTTGGGTTCAGGATCGGTCAGCTTTACTAATGTGAAAAAGAGATCGTTTGGGGATGACGAATCTCCTCCAAACTCTAGCCAACCTGCCAAAGCGAAGTTCGATCGAATCGTGGAGGAGTTGAAGGTCATTGTACAAAGAGTATTGGGCGGTCAACCACTCCAGAGATCGTATTCCTCCATTTACAAGGATGTTGAGTTGGTGTTGATGTTCAAGCACTCGGAACAGGGAAGGCTTGCTGATTGGGTTATTAAATCCATCGATGACCACTTTGATGCTTCTGAGGTGAATACATTTAGAGGTATCTTTGAACGAGAAATTGATGATCCGTATGTTCTTGCTAGGGCTTTCTTGGAGACAGAACGTAAATGGTCAGAAAAGGTGAATCTCATAAGAAGGTTGTTCCTGGTTCTAGATAGGGCATACTTATTTCAGCATCCCAAAAAGAAGGATATCTTGACTCACAATTGCGAACTCTTTATGTCAAGACTATTCAAGGATGATTTCAATGGTAACATTTCTGCCTTTGGGGAAACCTTAATCAAGTTATGTGAGCAGACATGCTACTATCCAAATCGAACAAAGGATGTGGAGTTTGAAAAGACAGCACGCGATTTGTGCTTTTTCTTGAAGATCATGAATGGTATCGTCAACTTTTCTTTCGATAGCCTTTTTCAAAAACTGACTATTGTTAACTACACAAAGCTACAACATATTTGGTTGGAAGATGAGAAATCCTACTTGTTGAATGTAATGGGGGCTCTCGACACAGAGCATTCATTTCTCACGTCGATTGGCTTCGAACCAGACTTTGTCATGACGACAATAAGGAAGTTACAATGGCTCTTGATATTTAGTGACTTAACCGATGTTCTCTATCCTTCAATACCCACTTTGATAGAGCCCGAAAACCACCAACATTGGAAGTCGCTCTTGGAAGTCTCGACAATCTCGCAGTCCTATTATGGAGTTGATTCGATGAAAGGTATTTTACATGGGTGGAGAAAATATGTCGCCGATGAAGCTGACACGGTTATCACCGAGTGTAAGTCGTCTGCAAGTCCGGTTATACCTCGATTGGTTCTGTTGTGGAACAAATTAAATGATATTTGTTTTATCTATGACGAACCTGACCAACTTACTTTTGAAGTAAGAGGGTCTATGAGTAAGGTCATATTGCAGAAGCAACACAATCGATTCGTCTTGTTGCAGCTATCTAAGTTCTGCGAAACGATTTTGAAGCTGTCAGCTGATAATGAAGAACAATTCGACAAATCGCTTCTGGATGCTCTCGTGGTTTTCAAGCTCATCTCCAACAAGAACGAGTTCCTTCTCATATATGAGCGAGATGTGTCCCGAAGGTTTCTCTTGGGTAGGAATTTCAATCTCCAAGCGGAGAAGAAGTTGTTTACAGCAATCTTCAATCTTTTGGGTGACGGTTCTGAGACCACGAACTTGACCAATATGTTCAGAGATATTGAGACTTCGGTATCTCGATACAGCGACATCCATTTGAATGCATCTCCGTCAGTTCAGTTCAATGCCTTAGTTCTTGAGGGGAACTATTGGCCCGAGATGCCCAAGCAGGGTGCCAATGCGATTATTCCTGCTATTCTAAGTGAGATGCTTGGGGAATTCACTGCCAAATATGTTTGTGAGTCTGACAAGTACAAGTTCCACGTTCTTGACTGGAGTAATTACACATTCCATCTGCTCACTATTCGAGTCAGATTCAAATCAGGCACGAAAGAATTGACTTTAACGTTGGTCCAAGCTATTGTGTTGATGTTATTTGAGGACCTGAACGTTCTCGACTTGGAGGATATTGCGAACAAGACTCAATTGGAAGAACGGCTCTTGAATAGAGTAGTGTCCTCACTCTCCTCAGACAGATACCCTATTTTGCATGTGAATGGTTCAATGATCTCGTTTAATGAGAGTTTTTTTGATAAGTCGTCAAAAATCAGGATCCCATTGGGCCGTGAGAAAGAAGTACTGACCAAAGACGAAGCTACCAGAAAGATCGCCAGAAGCCGGACTTCTGAGATTCGAGCAGCGCTAGTGAGAGTGATGAAGGCAGAATCGGTATTGACGTACCCAGAACTTCTCGGCAAAACAACCGAAATACTTAAGGTTCCAGCCTCGGTGCAAGATTTGAAGGTTCAGATTGATCACTTGATTACAGCTGAGTTCTTTAGACGAGGAAAGGAGGACAACACTTTGCATTACATTCCATAATGATTCTAATAAAGTTTTTGTATTGTATATTTAACATGTGTGAGCCATTCAGACTGGGAACGCTTAGACTGGGACGTCCTCTGGGTCTTGCTCGTGGATCCAGTGCTGACCGAAGTATGGGATCTTGGAGTAGAAAGTCTGCTGGAACAATGGCCAGTTATCAGTGAAGGTGGCGGCAGCAGCGGCGGCAGCACCACCCCAGAAAATCAAGTCGCCGGCGTAAGCCTTGACAGCAGCGAGGTTGATACCAGACTTGGCGACCTTGTAGACTGGAGCCTTGATGTACTAGGGAAGTTAGTATAGAATTTAAGCACTATGGGCCAGTTGAAGCGGTTAACATTCAATAAATTGGCCTACTATTGTGTAGGGGGAACATACGGAAACCATAATTGTGAATGTAGAGGTGATTAAAGATTTCTTGATGTGTGTTTTTTACCGCGCAGTAATTGGACAATCCTGTGTGCACGTGATCTCATGAGTTTAAGGTAGGACTTTTGGGAAACATGGAGGATAATAAAAGCAAAAAAAAAAGTTGAATAAATAAAAAAAAAAATGTAAGCTTGCTTGAGGCTTTCAGCTTGTTTCATTCTACATTTCTAGTCACATATTGCGGCTTAGTACACTCGGTGGTTGTTTGTTGAACATGCATTATTGACAGTACAAGCAGACAAATGCTGGAGAACAATTGAGCTTTGTATAGGTATGTTTACCGAATAGTTCAAGGTGAGCTCCTCCAATGCCAGATATGTAATGGTTTCTGGCCCAAAGTGAGCCGACACTTCCAGAAATGAGATTTAGGGATCCAAGATGACAAACTCCTTAGGAGAAATCCCTCAGCCATGAAGCCATTAACAAGCATCAGGCTGAGAGACAATGTAATCAACGGTCTGACCAACAGTCTTCAAGGTGTCAGCTTCATGGTCTGGGATTTGAATGTTGAACTCGTGTTCAACCTCCATGATGACCTCCACAACGTCCAAAGAGTCCAAGCCCAAGTCCTGAACAAACGACGAAGATTCAGTGATCTCCTTTCCGGAAACCTTCTCGTAGCCTTCCAACAATTCCAACACTCTTTCCTTAGCAAGGTCCTTGGTCAAGGCTGGGAAGCCAGCGTAGAAACGGATAGCCTGGGGACGAGCCACAAAAGCGGTTCTTGGCAATACTGGAGCTCTCAAGGCTCTGGAAACAACGGATCTGAACATTCTGTAGTGAAGTCTGATGTCTGGGTAGATGTGATGAATTCGAGGGAATCTTAGTGGTAGACAGTCTTATGGTATGTGCACTACCATACATAGAGTTAATTGCATAAAGACTATGAGAAAGTACAGATAATTGGCAGATTTTTAAGGTGAAGAAGTTTCGTAAATGAATGTTTTTGGATCATTTGTATCCATGGAGGAATTTCCAAACATCTCTAATCTCTTCTATTGCCATTATTCCCATCCTCCTATTTTCACTCTAAATCTACACCTCCAGCTACACCCTCCCGCCTATGCAGGTATGCACATTTTTTCAAGAGTTTGTTCCCATACTTCCTTTCTTCACTAGCAATGCTCAGAACATTATTTGGGTCCAGACTTGGACCTTCTGTGCGTACGCTTGTGCCAGTCCAAAGGCCAGTGTCGTCGTACCTTGCATCCATCCGCACAAACATCCCACTTGCTACTCCAATGGTTCCTTCATTATGCCAACAACAGAAACGATACGCTACATTGAACCAGATCAAGAGTGGGAGCCATGTTAAGCCGGTCAAGCCATATGTGTCTAAAGCACCACATTTGGGCAACAATCCATTCAAGAAAGGAGTCGTTTTGAGAGTGATGATTGTTAAGCCTAAGAAGCCTAACTCGGCCCAGAGAAAATGTTGCAGAGTGAGACTCACCAACGGAAACGTGGTGTCGTGTTTGATTCCTGGAGAAGGACACAATTTACAGGAGCATCATGTGGTGCTTGTGAGAGGCGGAAGAGTCCAGGATTTGCCTGGTGTTAAGTACCGTCTTGTGAGAGGAGCATACGACTTGACTGGTGTAGCTAATAGAGCCACCTCGCGGTCGAAGTACGGAGTGAAGAAGCCTAAGGAGTAATCTCGTATAGTATCTTGTATATATAAAAGCATTTGGTGATCCATTTGGCTGCCTTGGTGGCCCGTAGTTTACACCTAGAACCGTTGGTGACTTTAGAAAATGACTAGTTAGTGACTCTAGATACGTCCCGCGTCAAATTTTCTTCCACTGGCAGTCTTTCTGTTTTCAATGGCTTTTCCGCCGTCGTCAACATTCTCGGGCTTAGCGCGGTTCAAAACCTTCAAGAAGCCCTTAACTCTGTATCTCATTCTCGTGTGCATGTATGCTTTGGCACACTTGATGTGGTAATGAAAATAGTTTCTAAAGAACTGGATATGTGAGATACAGTTCTCTCTACGATCACCACGGGTCAAGTGTCTGGGAAACAACACGAACGTGACATATCCCTTGTTATCATGCTCCTGGCGTTTGTTGACCACACTTTGAATATCCAATGGTGCTTCCTTGTCGGTGTACAACACTTGTGGAGCCGTTTGCACCGACCTCTTTCTAGCATCTACAAACTCCTGCAAGAACACCTTACCAAAGATCTTGTCTGTTTCGTCCTTGAAGATGGTAGAAAAGATCACTGTGACTCTATCAAACGATGGCTTGATGTAGATACTCTCCTCCTCGCCACGGTAGTTGATCACCAACACTTCTTCGTTGAACAACTCCGCCTGAATCTCCTCGGCGTAGGTGTTGGAGCCCGAATATTGCTGTGATAGTTCGTCATAACGGTTGAAGGCCTTCTCAAACGCAGAGGCAATCGAGTGTCTCTTGAGCAACGCCAACTCGTCAATCAACTGTTGTTTCTCTTCATCAGAAGCACCCAGTGAAGCCAATGCCTTCGTGTCCAAGAGAAGCGAGAAATTGTATCCTGGCTCTATGTCTGTCTCACTGGCAATGCTCAAGTAACTAGAAAAGGGAGCATATTTGGACTGCAAGTAGTCTGCAACATTGCACTTGACCAAGTCCTTCCAACACTGAACATATATGGAGATCAAAATAGACTCCTTGTCGTCTGGCAATGTGGAGATATGGTAGTTGGTGAAATCGAAGTCAGTGATGATTCTGTCCAACGACTTCAACGACGACTCTGCGGTGGGAAACACCCGGTCCGTCAACGTCTTCTGGATCAATAAATTGTTCTGCTCAATTTGTAACATGATACTCGATTGATTGAGACAATTGGTATCCGGTGAAGTTGAGTATGAGATTATTTGACCTCGCATGGCGGTGTGCGAGACTCCTGCAGGTTGTCGGGGTGAGATTACCTGGTGGGGGGCATTATGGTTGTAGAATTGATGTGATGGATATTCAAGAATTTTAATGTTTTCAAATTTTGAATTCATGTTGATTGAATCCTTTTCTATTTTGAAGTTTGAGGCCAACTTTCGTGAATTTTCAGAGTTTTGACGTATTTTTTTGGTTGGAACCTCTCTTTTTCCTCAATGTGGTCTAAGTTCCGCAAAAGTGACTACTACATCACCACTTCAGAATTCAAACCTGACCTAATAAATTTTTCTATCTAAATTATTGTCCTTCACAGCACAGAATAAAATTTACAGACAACAGGAAAATCCGTATCTTTTTGCTGAGGAAGTTCCATAACTTGGTATTGTCTAATTATAGATCTCCAGCTCCCAACTTCAATGTTTATTCACCTCATAACCACCATGGCATGCGTCGCCACAAGCATGACATGCTTGCCTGTAGACGCTACAATGGCGTTAGCTTCCTTTCTTATCATTTCACAAGGCGTTGTTATTTCCACTGCAACTGTGGAGGGTTTAAACAATGCAAGGTACAAACACATGAACTACTGTTCATCAAGGTACCTGTGAAGCCCCAGCTACAATTCCTCTGGTAGTGATTATATTACAGAATAAGAAAATGCAGTATGTACGGGAGGACACTAATGTACACCAATAATCTTGGGAGTTGTGGTTTGATTCTGAATGGGATGAATTATCGAGGAAGTCTCTGATTGGGCAAACCTCCTCTGTGTAATGCAGGGGCAATAACTTTCCCCTTAAGTAAGGATTGTACATTCTCTCTGCCCTTGGCCATACCGGCAATTGCCACGTTAGAAGAAGCAGAGCTCCTCGAACCTTTGGGAGCATCGTTCTTGATCGCCTCCAACTGCTTTGTCACCACCTCAGCCATGTGAGGATCCACGCCCTTAAACTCCTGAAGCCAAGGTGATTGTAAAAGCAAATCATACAGGGGCCGGAAGTCCGCATTTTTGTTCAAGCAAGACCTGACGAACTGTTGGGCCGGTTTGGAAAAAATTTTCTCATCCAAGCGAGGAGGCTCCCCATCAACAATTGCTTTAAGTTGTGAAAAAATGTTATCAAATGTTTCCGGGGGGTAGGGATATCTTCCAGCAGCAACCTCCAAGAGGGTCAACCCCAACGACCATATATCTGACTGGACAGAGTAAGTTGCGTCATCAGGATTTTTCGTTTTGATTCGTTCGGGAGCCATGTATGACTGACAACCAATGTTGGTTTTGGCTAAAGAAGCAACCAAGTTACCACTTACTCCAAAATCACATAATTTGACCTTGCCAAGAGTGTTGACCAAAATATTCGTAGGTTTGACGTCACGGTGGATGATATTGTGTTGGTCTTTCAACTGTTTCAAGCCCCGAATAACACACTCCGCAATGTAGGCGAGACAGGCCTCGTCGTGAATACCGTCGCCATAAATTTTATCTAAGGAGCCACCATCCATGTATTCCATGCACATGTAAACGGCGCCTTCGACGAAGAAGGCACCATAGAAATCCACAATGTATGGTGAGTCACATTTATGCAACACTTCAAGCTCCATGAGAATCTGGGCAAACTTTGTCTCTTCTAACTCCAAGCGAACTTCCTTCATTGCCATCAAAACACCCGTAGGCTTGTGCAAGACCTTGGAAACTGTTCCGTAGTTTCCTCTGCCCAACTCTTCAATGAATTGCAACTCATCCAAGGAGATATGGAACGACGACCCCGAGGAGAAATTGACACCCTCCGAATGCAAAGAAGCCTTGCCAGCAAAATTAAGCGAGCCCGACTTGATATCCACGTACTTGGAATAATTTGCAAACAATCCTTGTAACTTGGGCGTAGCAGGATTGGGAGAATCATTGCTGGCATCCGACACTGGCGCATCCATGGAGCTGGCACCACTCGAGTTCGGGGTGTCAGACAAATTCAACTTGAAGTCTGGCCTGTTTTTTCGTTCGGAAAGTCGACGTGCAAGTTCTCCTGTCAGGTTCATGGGATCCACCACTCCACCCATGTCTTTCATATTCAACTTCATTCCACGTCTTTGTGACAATGAGGGCTTCTTAGATAATTCAAAGCTGGCCTTATGGGCCTGTAGCGTGGGCGAAAGCGGCGTACGAACTTCAGAAGTTGGAGTCATCACGGTCGACTCGATTGGAGGAGACGAAAGCAATTGTGATGGAATACTATCGGAAGAAGCTGGAAGAGGAGGCAACGACTTGGTAGGAGGGTCTTTCAAAGGAATGTTTTGGCGTTTTTGCTGGAATGCCATGATTCGGGCCTGGATGTCGCTACTCAAATGGCCCTGTGATGTAGAAATTGGTGGCAGATGAGACCCGTCGAATGCTATGGGTCTAGGAGAGCCGACGTTCATGCGCTCAAAGCGCGAGGCAGAGTCGGCCACATCTTTATCTTCGGGCATATCGAAGTGGTTGGGCAGCGCCTAGGAATCTAACTTCAGGGACAAGGTGAGGAGGGGGAAGGAGACTGGAGCCCGTACAATGAATGATTGACGAGAATGTGGAAACAGAGCACGAAACCACAAAGGAAGGAAATGGAGGACAACAGATGGAAGTGCAAATATATGTACAAAGGACTAGTAACAAAAAGCTGCCCTAAACCGTGGTGGGTGAAAAGAAAAGTGGAAGTTTTTGTTGGAGAATTGGTGATATGTACATCCGCACCTCTCAAGCACAGAAAGAAACGGCGACGGTGTATTGTAGTGCTCCTGCTTGCGCGCAGTGGTGTTGGGACAATCAACAGGATGCATAGACTCTTGGAGTAGTGCAGGCACTTACGGTTTGTGTAGCGAGGGGGATCAGCCCGCCTTGAAGGTCCTCCACTCTGATAATTTAGTTAGAGGTGGGAGTGATTACAGGTGAGAAAGCTTTTAACAGAAGAAGCAAATTTTATTGTAATTTATGATTCTTGCATTCATATTTTTTTTGCTTTCATTTTGATTCTCTCCTCACTTTTGGCTACAGCACCAGCCGGAGGAACCGGACGATGTAGGGGTGCATTGGGTGCATTTTGGTGCGTATTGGTACGGTTGCGGTGCGATTGCGAGCACAGTATGACGCACTGGATACGGCCCGCTTGAGAGTCAACCGTACGAGACACGGCCCGAGAAAGAGATATAGAAAAGGGGAAATGATTCGACTACCAATAAGAACTCAGCATTGTTGCTGTCGGATTGCAGTGTCACACCATCGACTCATATTCTAACGGGTATTTTCTTGTACCAGAGGATCCAGATCTGCTTTGTTTTGCTTCGAGGTCCATTGTTAGAAGCAGTAAATGAATATGATCGTCTTGATAAGAGTGGATCTTCCGTGGATGGGTTGGTATGACCATTAACAGAGGAATGATGTTTGCTGGTGAATTTGGCTACTTTCGTTGGATATGATCATCGTAATGGAAGTGAAGATGGTGAACCTGAAATTGTTGACAGTGAAATCGATTGTGAAATTCAAGATCATAATTGAACTGCACATCTTGGAACAACTCTTTAGTTTATTGCAATAGAGTCCACTAATTAAAAGACTCTGTATTATTTTTAACTAACCGTGGAGACATGGCATCCAATTCCGTATTTTTTTTCTCATTATTTTTCGATGGCGCTATTAATATGTACCTCTGTTGTGTTGTTCCTGCCTTTATCCTGTATTTCCACCGTTGGATCTCATGCTATTGCATTTCCGCCTTTGCTACACTTGCTAAATGACCCACTTCCCTATTTCTCATAATCGACATGAACCCCCGTGGCCTACCATGGCTTCTATGCTCCTGACAGTAGCCCTCGGAACCTACCAAGAAATCGAAAAAGTAATTGCCCTGATCATCTGTAATTTCCCCATTATGTGCACCACTAGCACGTCATCGGTGCGTAGAATCTCTTCTACTCAACCTCTATGGTTCTTCATATCCAGATCAGCGATTATGACACGTACAGACTGTTGCCAACACCGCTAGACCAATTGCAAGGTGCACAGAAAGTTCCCATAATCAGAATATATGGCGCTTTGCGTGTTCCGACGTCACCCCCCTCGTCGTACAATGTTGTGGTTCATCTCCATAACTACTACCCCAGTTTGTACGTGGACTGTCCCCTTCTGAAAGGACCATACGAGGCCAATTATCTACATGAACTCACGGTGTTTCTTGAGGACCACTTGGCTGAATCGTTCCGACGGAAATCGGAGGTGGTTTCAGACGAGGATCTTGACGAAGATGACTTTGATCAACCCAGCGGGACTTCCGTAAACGGCACCGCCACAAGACGCTTTATAACATCAATCGAATATTGTAGAGGTACTCCGGCTTATGGCTACCATTTGGGGTATCGTGTCGTGCTAAAGATCCTCTTTTTACTGCCCCACTACAAGACCAGATTCACGCGTCTCATGGCCGAGAGGAAGATGGACTTTGCACGGTTCGCTGGCACCCACAGAAGGAAGCCGTTGAACAGACTCAATGTGTATGAAGCCCACATTAACTACTTTTCGCAGTTTCTAGCGGACTACAACTTGTTTGGTTGTTCGTGGCTTGAGGCTGCCAAATGCCATTTTCGTCTGCCCATCATTAATAACAATAGCCTCCCTCTCGACACTTTAAAGAAGTATTTGGCTTCACATATCGCCCACAACAATATCCTCAATTCAAAGAGATACCCGCGCATGGGAAAGTCCATGTTGGAGATCGATATCTCCGTGGGAGATATCCTCAATCGATCCAGGCTCCACGAGCGGAACATCCATGACAATTTCAACGAATTTAATGCCTTGGCTCCTTCAAGTCAAATCTACCTTTCTTCTCTTCAATTGACCTATGATGAACTAATGTTCCAGTGCACCTCGAGAAATAATGAGAAGACATCTCAGCTACTCCACAAACTGTATAGTCAGGTGTTCAAGAACATTGGCAAGGGTGGCTACTGCGACTGGGAAAATTCGAAGCACTTGAAGGATCTTTTGCTTTACGTTCGAAAGCTTAATAAGGAAACACACATAGATGACCCCAACTCGTATTTCTCAAAGATCATTGTCCCAGGTTTGCCTGATTCGTCCATTCCCACATGTTTTGAGCTTGTTGACAAAACTGCTTCCTTATCGTACTTTGAGAAGGTTCCATTACTCAATTACAGAGATGATCTTCTTCGCTGGAAGTACTATGATCAGCTATTTGAAACCAACGCTGATATCACTTCAGAGAGCGTTCTCGGTACTGATTTTCAGAATGCCGAAGGCGAGCACGAGAACCGTGAGCTTAATGAAGATCCCTTAAGAAACGCACAAGAATCACCTGTCCGCCCAGGCAGTATTGTGGAAGCATCAGGGAAGAGCAGCACAAAGGTACTTGATAATTCAGACTCGGAGCTGGATTCTCAACCCCTTGGAAGTGATATCCCGCCTCCAACAGACAAGGCTGCTGAATCACAAGTTCACTACCCTGGAGTTGATTTGCATTACCTTGCTATGACCCAGAAGAACATCCAGCCAACACGTTCCTCTTTGAGTTCGGATTCGGGAAGTTTAATACTTACTCAGACACTGGATTATCTTGTGACAAATCCCAAGACCATTTGGGAAATTGTCATACCTGTTTCATTGCTGAAGAAGAGACTCGAGAGAACGATGCAAGAGACTGGGTTACTTAATATCGATTACGCCGATCCTTTCTATTCCAAGAAAGGTGATGTTCACGCTCAGCCGTTGGTTTTTGCTAATCGCAAAATCATTGTTCCTTATAATGGTGTCGATTCTCTCCCGAATTTTGTGGTGGCTGGAACTACACATACTCTTGAGGGTCAGGTTGGTGATATCATTTATGATAAGGGCAAAAGGAAAGAAGGCTCTTATTTATTACAGTTTGCTATGGAACCTCCGTCAAAATCAACTATCAGACGAGGAATTGTGGATTTGGAAAGAATGCAAATTAAGAGGAGAAAGAAATTTAAGTCACAAATTGAACCGGCTGTGACGCTAACTCACGATTACAAATACTCATTGCGTCCGCATCACGTTGACAGAAACCCTAGTGAATTCTTGAAGTTGACACTCATGCACATGGAGATCCACGTCAACACTTCAGGTGAGCTTCTACCCAATCCTCGGAAGGATCCAGTCACAATGATCATCTTCCATTTCGATGACGCCAATAACATGTACTCAACAGGTGGCGGAGTCACCTCTATTCTTCTTAACATCGAGGCTCTGCTGGACAAAGATCTAATAATTAAACAATTAAGAAGAATATCCGAACAAATCAAAACAGAAATAAGATTCTGCAACACAGAACGTGAAACAGTGTACGAGCTTGTGCGGAAAGTTGACGAATATGATCCAGATATACTTTCAGGCTACGAAGTTAATGGATCAAGCTGGGGTTATCTTATTGAGCGTTTCAAAGAGAAATTCAAAGATAACCTAATCCCTCTTTTGAGCAGATCGTTGTCTTTCGCAAATGGAAAATTTGGCGATCGGTGGGGATATACCCACACTTCTGCTATAAAGATAAATGGTAGACATATGTTGAACATTTGGCGACTTCTAAAATCAGAACTCAGCTTAACTTCTTATACCCTTGAGCTGATAAGTTTCCATGTTCTACATGAGAGGCTTCCTAAGATTTCAAATCTTGACTTGTCCAATTTAATTTGTCAATCAACCTTTGCTCAGCGACTAATTTTTTTCAAATACTACAATCAAAGGATCTATTCAATCATGAGAATCCTTGACGTCCAAGAGTTTGTTCTCAGAAATGTCGAACAGTCCCGCTTGATTGGCGTTGATTTCTACTCCAATTTTTATAGAGGCTCGCAGTTCAAAGTGGAGTCAATCTTGTTGAGAATAGCAAAAGAGGAAAACATGCTTCTCGACTCACCTTCGAAGGCTCAAGTCCATGAAATGCGAGCTTTAGATGTGGTTCCTCTTATCATGGAACCCGATTCCAACTTTTACAAATCGCCACTTGTGGTGCTTGATTTTCAATCATTGTACCCTTCAATCATGATCGCCTACAACTATTGCTATTCCACCCTCATTGGAAAAATCGAAGGATTCAATCCCAGCAGCAACGAAGTTGGCTTTATGAAGCATCTAGGGCTTCCACCAGGAATCATCGAAATGCTAGAAAAGAACGGAGGTTTGAACATATCCCCGAACGGGTACATGTTCGTTTCTTCCAAATTTCGAAAATCAGTGCTAGCGAAAATGTTAGAAGAAATTCTTAACATGAGAATCAACATGCGCTCAGTAGCAGCTGCATTTCCAGAAGATGTGGAACTCTCGAGACTTCTCAACTCCAAGCAATTGGCCATGAAATTGATTGCCAATGTCACTTATGGTTACACTTCGGCAAGTTTCAGTGGAAGAATGCCTAACTCCGATATTGCTGATGCAATTGTAGCAACTGGCCGAGAGCTTATGACTAAGTCAATTGAGATAATCGAATCGAGTGAATACGGAGCTAAAGTTGTTTATGGAGATACCGATTCCTTGTTTGTATACTTTCCCGGCAAGTCAAAGGAGGATGCGTTTAAGTTTGGCAGAAGTTTAGCTAAAAAAGTAACGGACTATCTCCCTGATCCAATCAAATTGAAGTTTGAAAAGGTATACCATCCGTGTGTCTTGATCGCGAAGAAGAGGTATGTTGGACAGTGCTTCGAGTTAGAGAACCAAGTAACCCCCAAGTTTGAAGCTAAAGGCATCGAGACAATCCGGAGAGATGGAATACCTGCGCAGCTGAAGATGGTGGGGAAAACACTTCGTATTCTTTTCGAAACAAAAGATCTCTCGAAAGTGAAGGAGTATGTGCTTCGACAGTTCCACAAGATTCTTACAAATAGGGTCAACGTCAAGGATTTTTGTTTTGCAAAAGCTGTCCGTTATGGCACCTACAAAAATGAACAATACTTACCTCCTGGCGCTATTGTGGCAAGAAATAAGATGAAGAAAGATCCGAGAAGTGAGCCTCAGTATAAAGAGAGGGTTCCATACTTGGTGATCAAAGACGTGACAAAGGAAAGATTAAAGGATCGATGTTACAGCCCCGAAGATTATATTGCATCTTATAGCACTGAGAACCCTATGCAACTTGACTATGACTACTACATCAACAAAGTGTTGATACCTCCACTTGAGCGAGTGTTCAATCTCATGGGTGTCAAAGTCAAGGAATGGTACAGGGACATGCTGAGAGATGCCAAACTGCTTGTCCAGAAAAAGGATGATATCGTCAAAAGTGCTTATGTTCGTGTGAAAGAGTGTTTCTATTGCAAGAAGGAACTAGACGGAGACTCGGACTATTTGTGCAAGGCTTGTCTTTCTTTACGAGTAGAAGTCATGACCAACATTATTCAAGCTTGGAAGGAAAAAGAGAAACAGGTTATGGAATACAAATATACTTGCAAAGAGTGCAACTACAAGAGTTTTGGAGCATCGATGAATTCAGAAATTGATACTAAGTGTTGCAATCAAGATTGCGAGGTATACTACGCCAAGTTCAAGAGCATCAATGAATGCGAGCTACTTGAGCAGGAGACAAAAGCGGTAATAATAGACGACAGTAACCTACAATGGTAAATTTACGATGCATCTACAAATAATAGACAATAAAATCTGTAATGAACTACATACATGCTAGACCATGCACCAAGCGTCGCATCAACTGATAACAGGAGCGCCAATCTTCGTCAGAGTCAAGAGCATACATTTCATCACACCAGACAAAACAACCACTCAAACCAAAATGAAAGAATAAAATCAACAGTTGCTTTGTTTTTTGAAGATTTTTTTTTTCATTTTTTTTTGTTTTTTGTGATTAATTTTTTTTGTCTTTTTTTCTTTTCAATTTTTTTTTGAACTTTCTTGAATAAACCTTGTACCTCCCATTTAAAAACACTTATGATAATTAGTAAAACAAACCAGAAATAAAATCAAAAACACAAAAACTCGTCGATGTCAATGTTAGAGGCATCGAGAGTGTTAGTAAGATCTGATCCTAATGGCCCGGATGACTCTCCAGTTAACAAGAGAGATTCAAAGCCATTATCCATCTTAGACTCAAAGGCGATAGTTGGATCATGTACATCAAGCTCGGTAGGTGCTGCAGACCTGATATTGCGTGGAATAAGTTGGGTGAACTTCCAAAGGGAGTTGCTTCCATGCTGTAAATCAATGCGCTCAAAGATCTTTCACACTTGAAAATTCCACGCATACTAATCTAAGACCATGGACCCCCAGGCCCATGGTTCCAGATTAATATACGTCTTCAAGTGTCAAAGTCGAGCCCGCGTTGGCGGTAAAGCAAAGACAAGCAGAGAACTTCCAGTGGAGCACACTCTTGCCGGCAGAGTGTGCAGTACACCATCTTACACCATCAATACCTTAGGAGACAAAATTTCTGCTGAATTTTGCGCCATAAAGTCGATACCCGATGTAGCTGAACCGATCATCAAGCCATCAGAGACTGAGGAGGACATTTCTGGAGTGTTAGGACTGGAATCCGAATCCGACGACGACATGGAGTCGTTGGACTTCAACGTCAAGTTGATGGGTGAGTTGACAGGAGAATTAATGGATACGGGACTCAAATAGTTGAAGAAGCCAGTGGAGGGGGCAACCAAGGACGAATCCATGGGCTCCTTCTTGACTGGAAAATAAGGGCTGGCAGAACCAGTAGATTCAAAATCACCGTCGGGCTCACCGTCATGAGACATGGACACCTCGGCTGACTCAGGGGGTGAACCAGACATTGAGGAAAGAGGACAGGGCATTGTCAAGTTGGAGTGGATTCTGTCCCTCAACTCAGACAAATTCTCGAGTTTGGGCAAGGACAATGCAGAAAATTTTTCTGGCGAGACCAACTCCTTCACCTTGGCGAAGTTGTCAGACATGGTGGCCATGTTGTTTTCCAAAGCCAACACATAGGCCTCCAAGTATTCCACATGTTTCCTCTTCTTTTCTCTGGAGGCGTGGGCGGCTCTTCTATTACGAAGAATACGCTCCACACGACGCTGCTCCTTCTCTTCCTCTGTCTTGGCACGTTTGCGCGGAGGCAACGACGATTTGAAGTTTGGATCTACCGAAACTGTCATATTTGAGTATCAAACTGGAGAGGCAAAAATACGTGGGATTGTGCCCACTTATATATGGAGGTTGTCCGCATATCGGCACCGGACTGCATACAAACCGCGCCAAACATTCAGGTGCGAAAAAAAAAATGTCCCCGCGCCACCCATTAATATTAATAGCACAGTGTTATGAATAAAGTTCCAGACTCCCCAAGGGATTAATTTAGAGTGATTTACCTGGTTATGCTTAGAGCCGGTCAAAGGGTTTATTTTGGTTGTTTTGTTTGGTGATTATTAACAACTTCCCAATCTGTTAATCACTGGCCATCCTTGGGATTTTTTGTTTCACCACATATTGCATGTGCCTTCAAAATTGGTCGTTTTTTTCTCAAATTTCTCCCATTTCGTTTCGCTTCCTACAGGAGCTATTCTTCATCGCCGATCTTCTGGTTCGACGCGAGCCACTTCGTATTTGAGCCTCACTACATGAAGGTGTTCCATGGGCTCTGGACAGAAGGGACGATGTTCACAGTAATGGCGCCGAGGTGCGTTGTGCTCTCCTGTTTTATTAGCAGAGGTCCTTCTCTATGACTGCACGATTCCTACATGACATTAATTGCTCATAATGTTGTCGGTAGTGATGGTTATAGAACTTAGTCTTGCCCATGAGTCTAAAGTCTTGGTGTTGCCCATAGATATTAGTCTTGCCCATAAATTGCTCTTGTTCATGAAGCTGCCCGATACCCATTTATGACTTTAGAAAGGTTTGCCGTGGAGATTTGCCCCATAGATGTAGGCCAAGTTGCTATATTTGGTTTTCTTCGCTATTCTTAATCCTACTTGCTGTTGCCATTTTCTGCCGTTGTTTGCCCCGTTTGCCCTGTTTGCCCTGTTTGCCCTGTTTGCCCTGTTTGCCCTGTTTGCCCTGTTTGCCCTGTTTGCCCTGTTTGCCCTATTCTTTGTCCATCTCCGTATTAATTTCCATTGCAACAATCTCCCTGTTTCAGATGAATTTCAATTTCCCCATTCTCAATTACTCGCCTCCGCAATCCTGCCCCGTTTGTTCGCGTACTGGATGTGGATCAATAATTCAAAGTCTTGTCCTGCGCAATTTCATAGTATAATGTCGTTTTAGGTGAAATTCCTGATTTCATGCGAATTTCAACCTCCTTTTCGGGATTCTTTGGTGCAGGGTCCTGTAATCGTCTAGGCAATAATGGCGGTGAAATTTCTTTGTCACCAGTTTGGCACTGCCACGACCGTGGTTATTGCCACTGACACCCATTTAGACATTTTTCGCGTCGGAGGAGTAGAACGATTTGTGCCTTCGACCATCATAAGGTGCACCTGTAAAGGGGGTTAGTTCTGTATGGTGGCTAATGTGTGCGTGTTCTGAGAAGAAATGTGATTTATGGTTTTTGAGTCATGTGATCTTGAGCACGTGGGGAGTTGTTTAGGCACCTACTAGGTTGAAGGAGTTCAACTGAAGTCATCATTGTACGAGACGAATGATATAACTAGTAGTAGATTAGCCGACATATCAATCCTTGTTCAGATCAATCGTCTGCACTCATGTATATTGATGATGATTTTTCCTGAAAAGATTGAGCATTGACGGCTTCATTTTGAGAGATAAAATACCAAACAATTTTTGACTGTATCGAAGATTCTTCGATTTGCAAATAAAATTTGTTCGAATGTTAGCAGGAGTTAACCCAGCTTACAATTAGCAAAGGGAGTGTGTTGAGTTCTGAGTGTTAAGCAGGATGAAAGCCTTAATCCGATTTCTATTCTTTGAAGTTCGGACTAACAATATTACATATAATAAGGGGTGTTACCCTCCTGGTCATCAACATAGGGAAGATATTACTTTTTCTTGCGCAGATTACTAAGTTTCCCCAGGAGAGCAATACACCTAATCATTTCTCTCTCTTCTGTGTGTGTACTTGGGCCTCTATTCAACTTTTTATCACATGATGATCAATCACGTGATTTTCTCTCTGGTATCTTATCTTTTTTTTGTAATGACTCAGAAGCTCATCATGAAATCTGTCTTATCCGTTCAGTCCCATGTAGCTCATGGCTATGTAGGAGGAAAGGCCGCCACATTCCCCCTTCAGTGTCTTGGTTGGGATGTGGACAACATTAACACTGTCAACTTCTCGAACCATACGGGTTACGGTTTCGTGAAAGGCAGTGCAATTTCTCCACTAGACATGTCTGCATTATTTAAAGGCCTTGCCGATATAAACTGCAAGTACACGGCGGTGGTTCTGGGATACATCCCTTCTGCAGACCTTATAGACATTCTCGCTGCCAATATCAAACGCATGAGGACCGATAATCCTCAACTTCTTTATGTATGTGATCCAGTCATGGGTGATCAGGGCCATCTTTATGTGGACGAGTCGTGTGTGGAAGCGTATCGTCGTCTATTGACTGCTGGAATTGTGGACATCATAACGCCAAACCAGTTTGAGTTGGAGCTTCTTACAGGCTCTAAGATCGACTCGGACTTATCACTACGTGAGGCTGTAGCATATGCCCATGCAACATACAATGTCAAACATGTGGTTGTATCGAGTTTGAGCGGCGAGATTTCCATGAGTAGCAAGCCTGACCCTGACTCGTTATATTGTGCATTATCTTCCCATGGAGACGAGAGTATCACTGTGTTTCGTATTCCTGTCATCAAGTCCTACTTCACTGGTGTGGGAGACATGTTCACGGCTCTTTTGCTTGACAAGTACTATAACAGCTGCGATGACATGGCCAAGGCAGTCAATCAGGTGTTGACCATCATGTCCAAGGTTCTCCACTTGACACATACCTTGGGTTTGCAAGAATACTGTGAGTATAAGAAGATTCCACTACCCAGACATACAGATTCGCAGATGGTTTTAGAGAGCAAGATGAACGATGCTGATTCGATGCAGTTCTTTGAGCTAAGAGTCATTCAGGCTAGAGATTACTATGGGTACAATGGCGAAGGGAATCATGCCAGTTTCACCATATAGAGAATGTTAGAGGTGGGTTTTCATACTTTGTGACATGATAAAGAGAGAATCACCAAACTGGAGAGTCACCAATGTAGAGAAAGTCACAACAAAATAAGTATTTGCAACAAGTTCAATGTTTAAGATAGATATAATATCATGGCCAAAAAATATATTGAATTATTCACATTCTGTAACCAGAAGAGTCACAATGTTTGAGTGCGAATTCATCTTTTCGCAGCCTACCCCAATTAGGCAGTTCGCGATAGATGAACCCTCAAACTTATCACTACTTTCTTTATCCATGTCCCAACCAAAAGTGTTGTTAGTGGGTTCAGGAGGCGTAGGTGCTATCGCTGCGCTTGCACTTACTTCCAATGGAAAAGCAGAAACCACTTTGGTTGTTCGTTCCGATTACGATAAGGTCATCAATGAAGGTTACACCATACGTTCTGCAACCTATGGAAATCTAGATAGTTGGAGGCCAACACATGTGAGTAAATCCGTTGAAGATGCAGTCAAATTGAATGGTCCTTTTGACTATGTGGTTGTCACCACCAAGAATATTCCTGATGGCCCGCAGCCTTGCGAGGACATCATTCTGCCTGCCGTGGTTCCAGGAAGAACAACCATCGTGTTGATTCAGAACGGTATCAATATCGAGATTCCTATGATCCGCAGGTTCCCAACGAACCACGTTCTTTCGGGAATCTCGTTAATTGGTTCCACCAACATCAAATGCGTGGTTCACAACCCTGGAAAAGACAGCATTTTACTCAGTCCGTTCCACAACCCCAACGTGGATTACGAAAAATCCAAGGAAAAAACTCAGGAGTTTGCTTCTATGTATCAAAACCCAGATGAATCTGTTAACAAGATCACCATCGAGGACGATGCTGTGGGCTCGCGGTGGCAAAAATTGGTCTACAATTCGGTCTTCAACACCATTTGTGCTATCACAGACTTGGACGTGAACAGATGCCAGATAAACGGTGCAAACAAGACACTTTTCGAGCCTGCCATGGATGAAGTCATTGCCATTGCGGCAAGTGAAGGAGTCACAATTGACCCAAGAACCAAACACAGATTCATGCACATCGGAGACGGTTTCTTCTACACTCCTTCCATGTTGGTGGATGCTAGAAAGAAGCAAATTTTTGAGATCGAAACCATCTTGGGAAATCCGTTGGCTATTGCTAAAAAAAAAGGCGTACCAACGCCAATTCTTACGTCGGTGTACTATTTGTTGAAGATGAGACAATTTTACATCATGGAAGAGACTGGAAAGATCAAAATCCATGAGGAGGATTACAAAGGACGTGACAGCGACGACTACCCAAAAATATTTGCTGAAAGCGGAGCATCAAACTAGAATATTTAATTAGACCATAAAATGTAAGTAGCTTCTATAAGTTCAACACCACGTGAAGAAAGGCAGCCTAGCATCGACTTTCTCAAGGCGCTCAATGATCACCTTCTTCGTACTTGTCTCTTCATCTCCTTCAAACAGTTGCCGTTCGCTATCCTCAATATTCAAATTGTACTCGAATCCGGACATTTGCAACGGGTCGCAGAAACTGTTTCCACTTTTCAAGCTTCCAGAGCTCGATTGCCGTCTCAAGTCATCACGGCTTTTCAATAGAGGTGTAGTTTCAGTATTTTGTGTAGCGAATGGTGTTTCTCCAATAGATACTCGTTTAGAAGGGGGTTCCAAATCGTAAATACTGCTCTCCATCGCATTAGTGATGTTATTATTGTTGACCAGGATCGGAACATTCATTTCATCATCCCAAATAAGAAGGTTCTCTCTTCTGGTAAGCTCCAAGGGACCAGCATAGTGCAACTTAAGGATTTCTACCACATTGAACGCTTGACCTTTCAACACAGCAACTTGCCTGGTCCATTGTTTTTCTTTGAAGTCCTGGTCCTGGGAGAACACTTCCTTCAACTTCGTAATAGTCTGCTCCCACCAGTACTTCAGTGTGAGGAGAGGTAAGTAGTGTTGGCGGGTTTTACGAGAGAATGGCTGTCCAATAATCAGATAAGGTAGAAAGAGCCAACCAAAGGGAAACGAACGCCATTCGTCCGGGTGCTTCCAAGGAAATGCTAGGCCAGAATCAATGGCTCCAACCTTCAAGTAAGGATATACTTGACGAGGACCAGAATCGAATGAGCGCTCTTTCCATACAATTTTGATCATCCAGTTATCAGCCCCTCGATCCGTATTTCTCATGATGTAATCAAGGATAACAAGCTTCTCCAATTGCTCCTGAAACTGCAAAAGCACGTCCTGGCTCCATTTGAACTTCAACTTGGCATCCTCAACCGATTCATCTTCTTCAAGAAAATACTCACGAGTCTCAGGAAGCCGATCGATATTCTGCGGAACAGGATACATCTTAAAGAATGAATGAGCCTCCATGTATCCATTAAGAAACATCTGGAACGATCCAATTTTGTGTCTGCGAATTTTTGATGTTGTTCTTTCCCACACTGAGTAGTAAAACAGATTGGATTTCAAGTATATCACATCGGTGTATGGGACAATGTACGACAAAAGTTGGCGATCAAGAACACATGCTGCTGCTTCCGAAATGTAACCCTGGTTAGGAGTAAGACACGAGCGACCAAAAAAGCACGGAAAGAACGTTCTGTGAATCCATTTGGTCCACTTCGGTGATAAGGGACCATAAGGCTCCTCATCTTTAGGCTTAAAAATCCCTCTTTTGAATATTTGTTGAGAATAAGAATTATTTTCATCTTGATGGTGCTTTCCTAAAATGAAGTAGCTACCAGATGATCCCTGGCTAATTCTTTGGGGCTTGAGATCTGAATCAAACTCTACATCGTGAGTAATGGTTGCAACGAGGATCCGAAAATCCTCCTCGGCAATGTAGTTTTCTGGCTGGCTTCCATCATCAAGGCTATAACCCTCAGCCTTCAAAATCTCCAACAAATGTGTTTGAATATCTAGTTGATCATTGATGTGATGTAAGTTTCTGATGGGGTGGAAAACTGAATACTCAATCTGATAAACCAGAGAGTCTGAAGGCACAATGCGCTTCTTTTTCTTCTTTGAAGGCTTGAACCAGTTCTTGGGAGACAGAATGTAGTCATTGCTGAATTTTGAAAAATACGCTGCCGTATTCTCTGAATTTCTTCGCTTGAGCAGTTCATCTCGTAACTTTCCTGAACTGGTCTCCACAGTCAACCTGGGCAAACTAGCCAGAAGGTTGTACGATGGCTGCGATGCTGAACGGCTGGGAAGATCAATTCTGTATTCCTGGTTTTCGATTTCTGTGTCTGGGTGTCTCTGGCTGTGATATTCGCCATAGAGATGGTGTGGTTCATCGGAGTCATCACCAGAAGAAATGGAGCGAATTGGATGCATTCTGATGACACAGGGAAGCAGTAATGATCCAGTCAATGCCAGACGGCAAAAGTTGTTATTCCTGCCACTGGCTCCTGGTTAGACTGCTGAAGTCTACAAGATGGTGCTAATACTAATATAGTTATCTGCATGTGCAGGGAGTAGGCATAGGGTTGTCTGCAACAGAATAAGGCTACGACCATAGGCAAGAAATTCTAATCCAAAGAAAACCACCGATGTTTTAATATACCTTGCTAAAATAGTCTACACTGAATACTGATCTAAAATGCATATATTGCAGTAGCAACAGAAAAGTAATTATTGGAAGAAGAAGTTATAAAGGTATGCTTGTGAACCCAGTCTATGAGCCATGAATAAGGTATCAACCTTAGAGTAGAAGAACTCCTCCGAGCAACAATGCCTGGGTGTAAACCAAAAACTTTGTGACGAAGTTGTTTGGTTGTGCTGCGTTGGCAGCAGACAGCAGCAGTGACGTACTGCTAGAACCGGTGCTTGTAGATGCAACCACAGCCTTATTTTGGGAATTACTGATAGCAGCAAGAAGTGCGAGGAGCCCGCTATCATTACCGGTAGCGGTTGTTTCCGTTTCCGTTTCTGTTTCAGATGCATTCATTTCACTTAAAAGTGCATCAAAGTCGAAAGATGAGGTGGTAGCTGTCACAGATCTCCTAGAAGTCGAGCTTCTTGAAGAACTGACAGAAGATTCAACTGATGAAGCAACCGAAGAAATGGTTCCTCTGAGTAATGAGAGGATCGAGGCAACTTCGCTAGCCGACTGAGAGTCGCCAGAGGCAGCCGAGCCAGATGTTCTACTTCCGCTTCTGGTAGAGTTGGAAGCTGCGGTGGTTCTACTACTGGTGACAGTGGTCAGGGTCTTGGTGTTGGAGCCAGCAGTCTTAGCCACAACAATGTCATTGGTAGGAACAAGGGGTCTAGTCACAGTGTGGGACTCCGAGAAGACGTACTTGTTCAAGTTGGCAAACACTCCCTCGTCTTCAACATCGGTGATGATGGACTTCAAGGCGTCAGCATATTTACCAGCACCAGAAAGATCAACCTGGCCAGACATTAACAGGGAAGTCAACTTCAATACTGTGCTTGGGTCACTAAGGAGTTGGTCAGCGTACTTGGTGAGGTTAACAGATTGGTAATCGATTGTGATGTTGGTTCTGATCAAGTCAACCACAAACTGGGCGGTAAAGTTTTGGTAACCCTCATTAGCAATGAGAGTCTTAAGAGTAGTGGTCAAAATCTGGGTGTTGTTCAAGGCCGTGAGGAGATCGCCGGCAATTCCACGTACGAGGTCGGAGCCCAATGCCGAGGCAACAATGTTTCCCACGAAGTTTTCGAGGGAGCTGGTGTCACGTTTCTGAACGTCTACCTCATCTCTTTTCAGTGCCTTGAAAATATCCTGGACGAGGTATAAGAACATGTTCTTGGAGAACTGACTGCCCAAAACACGAGTGGTGAGGTTAACAAGAACAGGACGGTACGACTCGTCCAACAAAATTCCGTCCAACAAACTGGTAACAACACCCGAATCCATGACGTCGTTGTAAATCAGTGAGATGTTCAAGGCTTTTGTGATGGCAGATACTGCCGGGCTCGAGCCCATGGATGTTAAGGCAGAGGTATTAATATTTCCAACAGCACTGGAGGTTAAGTTGGCAAGCTTCTGGATTCTCAGTGGTGAGTATGCCACAAAGTCCAAAACATCGAAAATGATACCGGAACTATTGACGAGATCCAATACGTATTCCATGGTCTGTTCAGTGTCTCTCTTTTGGATGACATTATTGAAGTCTTCATCGTCAGCAAATCTTGCTTCAACCATGTTTCTGACCTCATTTATTAATTCAAATTTGCCATCTTCAACAGGAGTGGCGATGGGGAAGGCATGAACCACCGAGGTGAGTCCGAACACAACAGCAGGAAGAACGGAGAACCTCATTGTAATTTGTGAACAGCAAGAGTCAGATGCCGATGGAAAATGGGGGGCAGTTTGGCAATATATAGCTAGCATTGGAGCAACATGAGGCTATGTACCAAAAGGGAAATTCTGGAAACTCGACATCATTCTCTCTTGGTAATTCTTACAGTGCCGGTGGGATGGTTGCAAAAATTTCCATTTCTGTTAATGATCCAGTGCCAATGCTCCAGTACCTTCTCCTTTAGGAAATGATATGACTCGCGTCTGCAGGAACTGCCTATTTGGGCAAACGTTACTGCCTACTATACATTTTGGGACCATGGGAAAACAACACCGACAAGATGTAGGCGTGGGCATGGTCTTGGTAGACTGGAAAAGAGACGTATAAATGAAATCTTTATACTGTTTTCACAAGTTTCAACCTACTCAATGGCTGTTTAGTGGTAGTTCATGTCTTGACCGTTTATTCCTCTAAGTTACCTACTACCATCAAAATGCGCGAATGCGTTCGTTCTGCAGGACGGCCAACCAATACCCCATATCTTTTCCCCAATGCGGAAAGTCTCATCACACAAGCCCTGGCTGTTAAATATCATGTTCTCGCCTACTCTAGACCTTCCATCGCAATTTGTTCGCTTCTTCTTTTATTCACCCTTTGCCTGTGGCTTCGACTCACCCTTTATTGACTGTTTGACTTTAAACTTTGTGATTGTGATTGTTATTGTGGTCTATCGTGTTTCTTGCAGTCTTTCTACTACACTTCAATGAAGTTTCTTCCTATCCTTGCATTAATACCCTTTTTTTGGAGCCTAGTATGGGCTGAAAAAGCTCTCCCCAATTCAGAAGTGTTCTTCGTGGATTCTGTCGAGTCTGGACTCGAGCCCATGAGTCCAAACTTCTCCAGGTTGTACGACATTATATCAGAGTACAGTCCACCTTTCGATATTGAGTCATTGGGTTTCCTGAAGAGGGAGGTGAATCAGGCTACCGCAGACAGGTTGGCCCAGTTGATCGTCGCCGTCAATCAGTCAGGAGTCGTGGGGAATGTTTTGCATGAGGTTGCTCTGTCCACCGAGCAGTTGGATAAGATCTCGAACAGCATTTATTCCTTGCTTACCAAATTCATGACCTCAGGCTCTTCATCCAACTCCTCAATTGCCATCAACATTACTGAAACGATGCACATCGTCATGAACTCTGGCTTGATCCAATCTACAGCCCACAACTTGCTCAAAGATGATACTCAGCTCAGAATGTTTGCTGATAGTGTAGGAGAAATCATGGTCAACTACACATGGGTACCTGAACTAGTGAAATACTTGGGTGAGAAAGGAAAAATTTCTTTTGACACTATTTTTGAACTTGCCAGAAATTCAAAATCCAAGGACCCCGGCTTCCAGGGTGCAAACTATGTTAAGCGGTCGTTGGGGAAGCGTGCTGACAACTCGTCTTCATCGTCCGGAGCGTTCAGTGGCTCATTGCTGGCATTCATTAACAACCTCTTGGGTAGTGCGTTATCTTCGGAGCTCGCGTCAACTTCTTTGGAGACCATCTTGGCTGCTGTTAACCAGAGTAACGTTGTGGTTCCAACAATCCAGGCAGCTGCAGGCGATCCAGTTCTTCTTAAAGCTGTTGGTCACATTGCCAATAATCTCTATAACTATGGTGTTTTCGACTACATTGACATCAACAGTTACTACCAGAAGATGAGAAAGGATGGTACTTTAACCAGAGGAGCACAGCAAGTGTTTACGGATCCTGTGTGGTCTCCTCCTATTGGCAAAATTCTCGAGCAGTTGGAGAATACGGGTGTTTTCGCTCAGATTCAGCGAAATCTTTACGGCTCCACATAATACCCTCACGATATTATCTCTAATAAATAAATATGAAACGTATGAATAATCGGTGAAAAAGGAAAAAGAAATAATAACGTAGTTGGTAGATGTTCGAGAAATTCGAAGAATATGCCAGCATACAATCAAAATTAACAAATGAAGAATTGATCTAAAAAAATCCTTACAGGCAACAAGAGTATTATAATAATCTAAATTTGTGTAATGATGAATCTAATGAAATGAACCATAAATGAGTAATGTACAAAATGTGCAAGGTGACAAAAATCAGTAGCTAAGTGCACTCATAATACCGTAGCCAAGAGTGACAACAAAGATGTATGCAATAATGGATGCTGGAACACCTCTTGTAATGAATGTGTTAACCGTCAAGTATCTCTTGCCGACCTCGTCGGTCATACTGATGGCAGTAACGTTGGGGAAACCAGAAGTAGGCAATCCCATGGCAGAAGATGCAAGCAATGCAGTTCCCATGACCAACATCAATGGGTGTGGGTGGCCCATGGCGTCACCAACCTCCTTGACCAAAGGAACAATGATAATGGTGGCAACCGTGTGGGAGACAAAAGTAGCAACCACCAAGATCAAGAGACCGAAAATGAGCAAAATGACGAATGCATCAAAGTCCATGACCTTGGCTTGCAATGCCTTGGCAATAGTAGCCAACAAGCCAGAACTGGTAACAGCCTTACCCAATGCAAGACCTCCCATGGCCAACAAGATGATAGTCCATGGGAAGTTGTTAACATCGTCAATCTTCAAAAGTCCGGTACCGAAGAACAAGACAATAGGAACGACAGCAATGATACCAGCAGATCCGAAGGTACTCTCGATTTGACTCTCAACACACCACAAGATGATGGTTCCAATACAGACAGCTGAAACGAAAATCTGCTTGGAAGTGAGCTTGTCCTTAATTGGCTTGTAAGCCTTGATCTTAGCAGAAGAGATTTTGAAAGTAAGAATCAACTCCATCCAGATACCAATCAAACAGGCGATGGCCACAGGAATGGCCACAGCAAACCACTTACCCCAACCTGGGTTAGGGTTCATGTACTGAATAGCAATGACGTTTTGAGGAGAAGCGATTGGAGAGGCCATACCACCAATGTTGGAGGCCAAAGCAATACCAAGAACCAAAGCCTGAGCAAATGGAGATTCGGTTGGCAAAGTACGCAAAACAGGTTGGATCAATGAATAGGCCAACACTGGTGCAGCCACGTTCGAAATCCACATGGACAAGAACAAGGCGACCGACATAATGGCAAATAACACATTACGTGGCTTAGTACCTGCAGCAGCCAACATGTACGAAGAAACAACCTTGGCGACGTTGTACTTAGACAAGGCAGCAGCCAAGGTGAAACCACCCAACAAAATCATAAGAGTAGAAGACCACATCTGCGATAAAATATAAGAAGCAGCACTAGAGGCCTCCATAGGACCGTCCCCGGCAGTGTTCTTCAACACCTTACATGTGACGACCAACATAGGTACCATCATGGAGGTGACCCACAAAGGCAATGCCTCAGTAGCCCACAACATAGCAGACACAGCCAACACAGCCAAACAACGGGCCTCCTGTTTGTCATTCATGGTCTTGACAGTCAATAACACAATGAAAACGACAATGATGATCATCAACTTGATCACCTGAGAGGTGAACAAGAAGTTTGGAAGCTTCATATAGTCACGACCGAAAACGGTCATTCCAAATGGATAGTGAACCTTCTTCATCAGCAAGTGGATCAACGAGTTAATATGAGCCTCTTCACCCATTTTACTGGATCTGACAACATCATCATCAAGGTGCAAATTGTACTGGCGCTTCTCCAAAGATAACAAGTCCTTCCAAACGGTGTTTCTTTCCCACACAATATGGTCTCTCAAGTACGATCTCAACTCGTCACGGATGGAGTTCAATTCCACGCTGGTGGCATGTGGCCTTCCTGAGAGGAAAGCATAAATACTCACCATGTGGTCAATGGAGTACTCAAGCTTTTCAGAAGTTTGAGGAAAGAAAGTTCTGGAGTTCTTAGGTAAGAAGTTGTCAATAAAGTCACTCTTGATGGCGTAGTTACATGTCTTGTCGAATTTCTTACAGATCTTGGTGAAACCAATTCTGTTCAACTCAATAAAAGACTTCAACTCACTTAAAGTAATGAACAAATGGATAGATCTCTGCTTCAAGGTAATTTGCTTCTGCTGCTTGATGTCAAAATCTTCCTTAGTTAACAATGCCGAGTTGGTAGAGGAATGGTGATCGTCTTCGTCTTCATCATCATCGTCCTCTTCCTCATCTATCGCAACTGCACCTTTTTCGAGGTCTCCATCGAGATGGTTGACAGTGTCGAACACAGAGGCATTAGTGGTTGTTCTTTCCAAGGTGGACTTGATATGCAGTTGACGATGCTCAATGTTCACATTGTCTGCGTAGTAGGCGTTAGTAAACAAATAGTGGTCCACATGCAGCTTGTTAGCCTCCAAATCCTTGATGAGGTTGTCGTACTGCTTGTATACCTCGTATTCTTTAGCCTTGAAGAATTTATCGATTTTGGTCAACTCGTCTACCAAGTGCTTAGAGAAGACGGGCAAGGGATCTGCTGCACCTTCATGCGAGATAGATTCAGCCGCAGCGGTCATAGCTGTCAAGTCAAGTGAACCACAGTAGGTGGACTCGTCAGACTCCAACAGATACTCATTGATATCTTCAGTTTTTTGGTTTTTCTCTGAGTCAGTGGATTTGAGAACACCATCGACACTCGTACCTGCGTCTGTGGCACCAATCTCAGGCGTAGGAGACTTGGCACTCTTCTTGAACTTAAGTTTGTTGACCAATTTACTAGGATAAAATTTCTCCACCGATTCATCATCGTCATCTCTTGCAGCCTCATTGGCAGCAGCGATGGCAGCCTCTCTTCTTTCCTTGAGAGCCTGGTTCCTTCTGGCGATTCTAATTAAATCGGAGATAGAAGCCTGATTGGGAGCAGCAGCATCTTGACCATCCAGGTGTTCGAGCTGATTTTGCTGGGCAGTGTAAATGACCTTCTTCAAGGCCGGATAGTTCAAGTAGTGGTCCTGCCATTCAGGCACCACATTGAACTTGAGCGAATGTGAGAACTTCATGCCAAGCTTTGAAAATCAAGCTAAAATATCGACAAGGTAACTGCTCGTGTGACAAAGAAATTTCTATTTATTCTTGGGGCAATTGCTCGTGTGACATAGTTCCCCGAACAATTTTTCTGCTCTATAAGATTTCTTTTTCTCGGCTTGCAGGTTAATAATTGCAATGAGGTCCCACGTGGGGTTCCCAATTAGGAAGGTTGTTGAGCGGGCCCAGCAAATTAAGTGGCTCAAGGGTTTCTTTTTACACCATGAATTCGGATTCTACGACAAGATGGCCGACAATGCCAAGGTACAAATCGAAATGACAGATCTGTGTGAAAAACTTAATGTCTGAATGAATTATCGGCTTTATACCACCGTCGGCATCGCCATCAGATTGAATTAAGTTACAAGGCGAGACATTCCGCATTCTCGATGCACGCCAGGATTGTCCTTTCGGGCGATCCAGATAGCCGTTAGAGGAGTGACGAACGCACGGCACTTTTTATACTAGGAATAGTTTTATACTTGGGAATAGGAGAGCAAAGTATGCAATTGTCGATTGATCGGAGAAAAAGAAACAATTGAAATATGCATAATTTCTAAAGATATATATTGCAATGAAGCGCTTGTGTGGGCAGTTCAATTACAAACACCCGTACATCTTATACACCCAAACATCTTGTACACCCATACACCACCAATTTTCAGAAGAAACCTCGAAAAGATTGAAAGACCCGTACATTCTTAAACATAAAAAATGACACCCTTACATCCTTCTCTCACATCCTTACCTTCTTATCGCGTGTTGTCATTTTCTCTTTCATCATTCACTCACGTGAGTCATCGACCATATGCACCCCATATGTGGCTTTCGATATTCTTCACACCTATAGCCAGTTAGTTACTACTTCATGGGTGTTTTAACCACTGGTAATATCCACGAAGCGGAATTCGTGCCGAATCCGGCTAGGATGGCGCTTCCAATCAGCAGTACCTCAAATTCAGCCATGGCAACCCCTGCTCGCTTGAATCTGCCTCTCATCACCAGAGATAGAGACGACTCCAATTATACCGATACAGAGAGTCTTTTTTCAAATAAAGACAACGCAAGATCCAAAGATACATCGGTACCCGATGAAGTACTTCCGTTGGTCCATCGTTGGTCCCATACACATTCGATTTTGAGTGTGGTGGCTGCTCCATCCAGAGGGTTGATCTTCTGTGGAACCCAAGACTCCAAAATCCTAGTGTTTGACATAAAGACCTACAGCCTTCGGCATGTGATCAACTGCGGCCATAACCAGTACTCCACTTCCATTCTCTGTCTTACGATAACTCCTGATGAACACTTTTTGTTTGGTGCTGGGTCAGACTCTCTCGTCAAAGTGTGGGACTTGACTCCATTTGACGATGCCACTGCTGCGGAGTATACAGTGCCATGCACTCATATCATTTATACATTGGTGGACATTGGAGACATTTTTTCAATTTCATACTCGCTGTCCCTCTCGGCGTTGTTTGTGGGAGCTCAGAATGCCTCCATCTCATGGTGTGTGCTTAACTTGGAGCAGAAAAGAGATCCAACCTCCCACGAAACTTCCATCGATAAGTTGCCCCACTTCCGTTTCGACAAGTTTTTTGACTCCAAAGGACCCGGTGGCTCTGTCAATCGCTTGCAACTGGAACATGAGCTTTTCCGCTCTGCTAAGAAGAACTCAGATTCTCCATCCTTAGTTGAGATGTGTAACACCATCAGATTTGCCCACAATGGCTATGTATACTGTATGGAGTTTCTTCATGCTCAGAACGCCCAGGAGTTCTGTGAGATATACAGAGCTAGGTACGATCACTTTCTCGTTAGTTGCGGGGGTGACGGAGTTATTTGTATATGGGGCATCAGTGTTCACGATGAAGGAATCTCGCTCGAGGTTATCTCAAAGTTGGATAATGATGAGTCCATATTGTCCATGCATGTCACTGACTCATCCATTTATGTTGGACTTTGCGACTCTAGCATTAACGCATGGGACTTGACAACCTTCCAACTCACTCGTTCATACCGGTTTATCTCAGGAAACGACAGTGGCGATGAGATTCTATCCCTCTGCATTTACAACGGCTGTATCTATAAGGCCACAAACATGGGCGGACTATGCAAATTCACTCTCCGGCATGACTTGAACGACACAAACTCCACACTGCCCAATGAACTTATAGAACGAGATTTAGACTTTGGCCTGTTCTTGCATCAGGAGTTCATCAATGTCGAAGAAAGTTCGGTATTTGCTGTCCAAACCTTCCATCACAACGATACTACCTATTTACTATCTGGAGGTTCAGGCTCATTATGTTTATGGAACATTACCAATGTTGGTCATACTGACACCTCAAAAGACTCGGCCGAATGTGACAAATCTCCCTGTGAATTGGGCCACATAGCAAGCGATGAACATATGCTCGAGTCACTCAAAAAATTCATCACTTACAAAACCATTTCCAAGTATCCACGCTTGTATTTGGAAGAATCAAGACAATGTGCAAGGTACCTAAGTGCTTTGTTCAAATCACTTGGTGCAGCAGAAACAAAGCTTTTACCTGTTCCAAATGGCAATCCGGTTGTTTTCGCAACATTTAAAAGAAATTGTGAAATAACGTCAAATGATGTCCCTGTCCGGGTCTTATGGTATGGACATTATGACGTTGTGGAAGCAGTGAAGGATAAAGAGTGCTGGTCGACCGATCCTTTCAAGTTGACAGCTGCGAATGGAAACTTGTATGCCCGTGGTGTTTCCGATAATAAGGGCCCCACCCTTGCAGCAATGTACGCTGTAGCAAGTCTTTATGAAGCAAAGCAGCTCTCTACTGATGTGGTTTTTGTTGTTGAAGGAGAGGAAGAGTGTGGCTCCATTGGCTTTCAAGACGCGATTAACAAGCATAAAGGTTTAATTGGTAAGATCGATTGGATCATGATTTCAAACTCCTATTGGTTAGATGATGATATTCCATGTTTGAACTATGGATTACGGGGAGTTCTCAATGCAAATATAGTGGTTGAATCCGAAAAGCCTGACAGACACTCTGGAGTGGATGGAGGTGTCTCAAAGGAACCTACCATGGATTTGATTCAGATCATTTCCCAACTTATGTGTCCTACCTCAAGCAAGGTAATGATTCCAGGATTCTATGATGACGTTATGCCTGTTGATGACAACGAGTTGCGCTTTTATGAAAAGATCAGAAAGTCTTCTGCCAGTGTTGAGTTCGTTGGTCACGACTTGGAAACCCTTCTCGCAAAATGGAGAAATCCATCATTAACTGTTCACAGAATCGATGTGTCAGGTCCCAGAAACAACACTGTTATCTCTCAGAGAGCCAATGCTTCCATTTCCATCAGAGTTGTTCCTTGTCAAGAACTTTCCAAGATCAAAGAATGTCTTGTACAATTTCTTCAGCTGAAATTTGGCTCCTTGGGAAGTGAGAATAAATTGACCGTCAACTTTTTCCATGAAGCTGAGCCCTGGTTGGGTGATCCTAACAATCTTGTTTATCTGATTCTTTACGAGAAGATGAAACTCAATTGGGGACCATCAGTTCCCGAACCGTTGTTCATCAGGGAGGGTGGATCGATTCCTTCCATTAGATTCTTGGAAAAAGCATTTGACGCTCCCGCGGCCCAAATTCCTTGTGGTCAAGCAAGTGACAACGCTCACTTGAAAGATGAAAAGCTTCGTATTGTGAATCTCTACAAGTTGAAGAGTATCTTATCTGACACCTTCAGTGAACTTGGACTTGCATCCTCCAACGCATCTAAGACTTTTTAAATAGTAATTAGGTATATTGCAAATTCTATAAACTCTCGACCATTAATGGTTCGTACTCAAATTCGTACTCAAACCTTCTCTTGGACATCTTCCGTCTCCGTCAAAACTTGGTTGCTCTCTGATGAGGCATCTTGTTTGGCACCCTCTCTCGACTCGTCAGAGCCAACCACTGTTTTCTCAGCAGCAGCTTTCTCAGCAGCAGCTTTGGCAGCAGCCAACTTTCTGAAGTATGCGACGTAACCATACTTGGAGTGGGCTCTGATTCTTCCTCCAAACTTCATAAACAAGAATGGAATTGGAACCATGGCCAATGCAATGAATCCAAGGAGCGATGTTGCCCAGTCGATATGCAATTTCTCGTACATCTGCACAACAAACAATGGGAAGGCAGATGCAACGATATAACGCAACAAATTGTTAGCTGCCAAAGCAGATGCAAGATATGCAGGTGGGAATGACAATGAATAGTAAAGAATGACACCAAAGAAGATCCACACCAATCCAAAACCAAATGGAACACTGGAAAGAACTGGTGCAATCCAGTGGATCGATGCTCTTGAAGTCCAAGCTAACCAGAACAAAGAGATTGGCATCAAGATTGCACCCACTGCAGCATTGAACAACTTCTTCTCTGGTGCAACCCAAGCTGGAACTTCATCCTCAACTTCCTCACCAGCAGCAATCTTCTTATGTTTCTCGATCGCGGCTGCCTTTGCCTTCTTAACGGAAGCAAAGATATTACGGACGTAGACAGCAACACCAAGTAACAAACCAACACCAACACCAATAAATGGTAAGCCACTAACACCGGTGCTCATTCTGTAAACACCTCTGAACACAATTGGGAAAGCTTCGAAGAAACCAAACAACACACCAAACACGAAGGCGACGTAGATAGAGGTCAAACCCACAATTGGCTCAACAAAAAGCATTTCGATTGGACGGATCAAGTTTGTTTGAAGCAATTGCACAAAGTATGCAAGGTTGATTTCTGGCTCAACAAGCTTGATGCCTCTGCTTCTAGCTCTCTTCTTCAAGATAGCCAACTTGTAAGTCTCTGGACACAAGAAAAGGAATGGCAAGATGAAGCCCGAAAAGATCAAAGAAAGCCACATAGAGAATCTCCAACCATGTGCTTCCACACCAAAACCAGAGACAATTGGACCAATAACGGGACCCAAGAAAGGTGCTAAACAGAAAAAGGCCATGGCGATAGCAATGTCAACCGGAGAGTTACCCCAAAGATCTGAGATGGTACCACCAGCAATGGACATTGGTGGAGAAGCGACAAAGCCACTCAAGAATCTTAAAATAAGAATAGACTGAATGTTTTGAGACAATCCAACACCCATGGTTAAAAGCAAGGAAGCAGGGAAAGTGGTGAGGTAAATGTTTCTTCTACCAATCAACTCAGAAAGAGGGGCAGCGAAGACGGGGCCAAGAGCCAAACCGAGCAAGTAGAAGGACAAACCACTCAACGCGAGCGTTTGGGAAACCTTCATCTTTACCACAATCTCAGGGACACCCTCCACGTACAAGGATGAACCCAACGAGATACAGAGACATGTGTATGCGGTGACAGCGGTGATGAACCACTTTTTAGTTCTAGACCAGTTGTGAGGGTTTTCCTTGTCATCAGGACCATCCCACTCCAAGTCATTAGGGTCGATGTATTCACCATGAGTAAGCGACTTGGTCATGGATCTACGCAACACTTCACTCTGGTGGGTCTGAGTGGTCATGATTCTGTTCAATTCGTTCTCGGACATGTTTGTTGGGTCAAAGTCTTCCACCTCAGGCTCTGGCACAACGTAGTCATTGTCCACATCCTGAGCAGTGGAAGGCTGATGCAATTCGATCACCTCAGTGTCGAAGTTCTGGATGGTGGAGTCATCACCTTGAACACTTTCTTGAGAGTGCACCGTCTGTTGAGGAACAGACTCATTATCGTCAAAATCCTGACTCGAAAATTCTGATGCGGTCTCATAGTGGGACAGACCCGACACTGATTGTGATATGGAAGTTCTAGAAGCTCTCTTGGCTTCATCGTTATTCGAACCGGTAGCAGCAGCTCTCAATGCCGCCTCTTCGTTCTCACTAGTTCCAAAAACACCCATGTTTGCTAGGTGTAAGATAGTGGAGGAGGCTGGGATAATATAGCATCATTGAAATTTTGCCGATATGCATGCCGTCACCAGAACAGGAATAAGAAACTTTTTGATGAGACTTGCATCTCAACGATCCACAGGAAGGTGCTTGTCCCGAAATCTACCTTTATGCCACATTTGCTTAGAGGCTGAGTGCTACCAGTTCTTGTGTGTCGTAAGACATGCAAAACTTAAATGGCAAACTTAAAGGTGAGCCCACTATCGGGTGATTGTTCCAATTGAAGAATGGACAGTTTGTGGGCACGGCCCATTCCAAAGAAATTTTTGGTGCGGCAGGAATACCCGACTTCGCAGCCATTTCTAATGGCAGTCCTACACACACTATGCAAACGCCACGATAAATGCCGCAATACATCCTCGGTCATAGCTATCCGCGGTCTGTTTGCAGGCCACAATCTCTATTGTGGATTGCTGTAACTCCGATGACTTGTCGATCCGAAGCTACCATTCTCCGATAGCGATTATTCCGTCGGATTTCCGCTAGGACCCCAGCCATAGTATGTCTTAGCACGAACATAACCAAATGCAAAATTGCTGACAAAGACAAGCACCATTGCCAATGCGAACACCACCAACACCTTAAAGCTGAGTGGTTCAATCAACAGATTAATAATCATAGCAATTGTGTGTGCGCTCATCAGTGACTTATTACCTCCTCTGAATGGGTCCTGGTTCATGCATTTTTCCCAATACCCACACATCTTCTCCAATGCTGGCACAATTGTTTCAGGCTGGCAATTATTTTCGTAGTAGGACCGTTCACACAGCGCGATCTCCACCAAGAGGTTATTGGCCTCCGTTTCAAGCTTATAAGCAATATCTTGTTTGATTGTGCGAACGATAGTCACCAAAAGGTGGCCTGCGTATACCGATAGACAGATGTTGATAAGAAGTTGAAGATACAGGGAGAAAAGGTAGGGAGTGCGCTCTGCGGGGGTGGCATGCGAGTCCCATGGTGACGGGAGTACGAGATCCTTACTGAGGAAATGGCCATGTCTTGCTGGGTATCTTTCACCATGATTGTAATGTCCGGTGTAGATATCTCCGGGGCCACTGTTGATTAATCCGAACTCCCTGGTTTTTCCGATTTTTCCGATTTTTCCGTCATTACTCCCAACGGCATACCCTATGACGGGACCCTGGGGGTAATCTTGGAAGCTTTGCTTTTGAAGCATTGAATGATAGCCTGCGTATTCAGAATTTGACATTGTTCCTGAATGTGCCAAACCTGGGCCTGACTGTACTGATCCTGGATATGCTTGGAAGCCAGTTTGAGCACCATTTTGGCCACCGTAGTAGTGATGATGATGGACCACCGAGTATGAAGCTGGTGCCATTTGTCTGCGATACTGAAATGAGCGATTCATGGAATTTTCATATACCTCTGGCTCTTCAACCAGTATAGAAGAGTCCATTGGTGATTCGTTGAAAAGTGACGTTACTGCCACCGGTTCGAAAGTGCTCCGATTGGGCAGGTTGACCGCCCCCGAACGCACTGCCATGCTTGTATCATATACATAGTCCAGATCAGATAGTCTGTGGTTGGTGTCTTTATCTGGTGGCGGCATTAGTAGTCTCTGTTTAAGTGCGTATTGGACACCTAGGCTAGTTGGACTGAGAATGTTCATGATCAGAGTATTCTCCTCATCTTCGCAAACATTCTCAGTTTCTCCATCGTCTGCCTCTTGCAATACAATGTCTTGCTCTGACAAATCGGATACCGAGTCGATATCCATGGCATCGCCATCATCATGACTTGTATGGAATGCCTGGTTATTTTCAACTTCATGTCTTCTCACATCGTCGAGAGATAGCAGTCCCAAGCCAGTTCCTAGATCTTCATAGTGGGACATAGTAGTAGATGGGAAGGAATTGGATGTCCAGAGTATGGCAATCTACTGAGTGATTCAGTTTTCCTCACAAAAGTTACGCGCAGGTAGCTTCTCGAATTCGTTCATTATGATGCGCTCGATATTCAGATCAAGCAAAATTCAGTTTGACTCGAAATTCCAACAGGATCTTGGATTCACAATGTTCAAATAATTGAGTAGTTAAACTCTCAAAACTATCATCATAAGCGTCAAAAGTCGCATTCTCTCCACATTATCTTCGGGTGAGATGAGATCTACTCTGGTGGCAGGAAGGCTTGAGTTTGCTTCAGAGCAATTACGAACCAGCTGTTAACGACTATGCAAACAAAGGCATGGACAAATCAATATCGTTGAAGTATTGATGAATATAGTTATGCTCCTACTCAAGTGCTTTTATAAGTGTTGTATATTTATTAACAGGTTTACATAATAGATCTTATGATGCTTCAAGAGCACCACTATTATACTTCCTAATGGGAGAAGTTACTCTTGCTATAATTTTATTAGCTACTTATTTCATATATGGTTAAGCTGTTTCAACCAATTTATCAGATATAGCTTAGGATGCCCGCTTCTCAAGAACAACTAATACTAGTACCATACATTTCTTTCAAGATAAGGAAGACATGTAGTAGTACCTTTAGACGTTGAGTGGATGCAACGATTAGAAATTGTTTCCAGAATTGCACTAAAGCGCAATTTGCGCAGCAAGATCTCAAGCCTGGTTTTGCAAGAGAGTGATAAACTGATTACGCGCACAATCTTCTATTTTAACGGCGATGAACAAAAGCTGTTGGCTTTTTGATAATCTTTGTGAGGCTCAAATGTTTGTATTCCTAGATCACTCGATTATGAATTTGAAATGATAGCCTTTTCTCTTCAATCACATCTCTGGCTTAACTCCCTCTATCGCCGCAAAACGCCGCTAATTGCCGCAGCAGATCGGTGTTGGATCCACTATAAATACCTTTGAGCATTCATCATTAATCCTTAGCGGTCATGAGTGATCTCAAAAACTATGTTTGGAAAGCATACCAATACACTCCATCATCTGTTGCTGCTATTGTTGCATGTACCCTCTTCGGAATCGCTACTGCCATTTGCTTGGGCCAAATGATCAGAGCTCTCATAAAGACTCTGAATGACAGCCATGACAAGAGACAAGTATTGACGCATATTCCCTTTGTTATGGGGGGCCTTTGTGAAGTCGTTGGCTACATAGCCCGTATTCTGTCCAGCAAAAATCCCACATCTTTAGGCCCTTTTATTGTCCAATCAATTTTGCTATTGGTTGCTCCCGCCTTGTTTGCAGCCACAATTTACATGACCTTAGGTCGTATAATCGGCGACTTGCGGTGTGACAACTTATCAATTATTCCCTTGCGGTGGCTCACCAAAATCTTTGTTATGGGAGATGTTGCGTCTTTTCTTTTGCAAGGCTCTGGTGGAGGACTCCAAGGTGGAGGCACTCTCAACTTGCTTCACTTGGGGGAAAAAATGATCATTGTAGGCTTGTTCGTTCAAATTGCAGTTTTCGGATTTTTCATCGTGGTGATGTCAATATTTCAATTCAGGGTCGTCAAAAATCCTAGTGTCACTTCCATGGAGACTAGACATGTACCCTCTAGATTTAGAAACTGGCAGACGATCATCATTACTCTTTTAGCCTGCTCCTTGTTGATCTTTATAAGATCTATTGTGCGTGTTATTGAGTACATTCAAGGCAATTCAGGTACTATCATCTCCCATGAGATATACCTCTATATCTTCGATGGACTCATGATGTTCTTGAACATGGTGGTTTTCGTGCTGCAGGATATTGGAGCTTACTACGGCCAATTCTCCTCTTACATGAAACAGTATAAGAATTATGAATTCGAATTACACACGAGGGAGGAATTCTACAGTCCAATTGTACCTTCAAGCCTCGGAAATGTCGCGTTATATTCGAAGTCCGGGAGTTTATCTTGAAATGTATGTGAATGATACATAGTAAGAACCAACTGCTGACCCGCGGCACTGTGAATTTCCAAGCAATGAGCATGCAATATATTCTAAGCTTCTCTATTGGAGCCAAATATTTAGAATTTTATAGACTTTCAATACATTGGTAATTAGTTAAAAGCTCTTGCTCGTATTTTTCTGGAATGCTCTTCAACATATTCCTTAATGTGAATGGTGGTGCGTATAAATCATACACTAAAAATGGCTGCCAGGCAACGTCATCGAAGAGTAGTTGTCTGTACTAATTGTCACCAACGAAAAAGAAAATGTAACAGGAGCGACCCTTGCTCTTCTTGCATCAGGGGCGGCTTAGAAAAATCGTGTCGATATCAGTCCTCTCCTTCCGAATTGACCCATCCATCTAGACTTAAGGACGCCTCTCTTGAAACTCTTGAGACCACAACGCAAACGATAAGGCACACTCATGATTCTAGTCCATTGACCTGTGACGATTTGCTGCTTCCTTTGTTCAACATGTCGAAAGCACTAAATCGTAACAAGCTTGGCCAGCATAGTGTTTTCCATTTCCGGGGTATACTCTCTCATTTGATGATGGTCAACGGTGATCCTTCTTCAGTGATAGTATGGGATTACATTTTCTCTCTGAAGGATGATCAAATGTCACTTAAAACGGTGTACGCGGAAAACAAAGTCGTGGCTAGAGAACATGTTGAGGCTTTGGATCGACAGTCTATGAATTACTTTGGGCCCAAGTATATCAAGCGCTTGACGACTAGTCCGAATGAAGACGAAGTTGTTAGTGTTCGCCAGGCTATCTCAAGGTATGGTTCGGCAGTAGGAATTGTTTTCAGACCAGAATTGGAGTGGCGCCAAAGCTCAATGATACATCAAATTGATATCCTTTTTCCATCGCGTGACGCTATAGAAATGCTTGTCGATATTTACTTTTCACGATGTTTACCGGGGAGCTGTTGTATCTCAAAGCAAAGGTTTCAAAAAAGCTATAGAGCTTTATTAATCTCTGATACGGGATATAAGCAACCGGAAGAGTTGAAGATTCTCAATGTATCTACAAAGAAAGATATAGCCACGCTTGCGACACTCATAATAGTACTTCGATTTGCCTTTTTGTCGCTTACAAACCCTTTTGGTGGTGAAAGTGTCAGAACGGATATGAACAAGGCTGAAATTGACGATCTATCTCAGAATCCAATATGTCTCGATTTGATCAACTGTGCAGATAGAATCCTTCGTGAACTAGATATTTCTGTCGATATTTGTGATGAGACCATGCAAGCAATGTTTCTTTTCTTTCTCTACCGTCTTACCTCGCCTGAGAGTGACATTCACTCATCGGATCGGGATATCCGAACTTGTTTTAGGCTGGTCGTTCAAATGGCGCAGTCGCTCAATTATAATGAGGATCCGAGAAACATACGAGAATGGATGGGAGTACGAGAGCAGGATGAGACATTGGAACACTATCGAAGAACGTTCTGGTATTACTTGGTAACACTTGATGCTTACCTTGCAATATTATTTGGTGACTCTCCTGCTATACAATCCAATGCCTTCAATACCGCTCTACCTATTCTCGGTGCTGAAATTCCCCAGGAATTGGTTTCGATCCTGAAAACAATTCATGACACCTGGCCAGTTATGTGCTTGCTTAAGACTCTATGCAATATGGCCACAATAGGATCTGAAACACCACTTCATAAAGTTGAACAAAAGATAGAAGAATTGGAGAACGTTTCTATGAGGTTGCTTGGTAATGCCGAGGACTACTTAACTCTCGTAACAGGACAAGTTGATACCGACAAACTCTTCAAGTTCATTTGTTTTGTGCATGTCAGATGTCTACTTCTGAGCTATTATTATTCGTTGTATGTGTATTTTGAGTCAGCGGGAAATTGCGATAAAAGTGTTAGATATATTTTGAAGCTTTTCAAAACTACGCTTAATGATTTGGCAATCTTTCAAGCCGGGCTACTTCAAATGAGTGACAAATTTTTCGGCAGCGGATCATGGATGTCACTTCTTCTACCGTCTATTGCGTGCAACAAGTTGAGGATGATCACGATTCAGTTTAGACTAAGAATGGGTTGTACCATTGAGCAACTTACAAAAGATAACCAACTTCAAAATTTGCGGAAGATCAAAGTCCTTTTGGGGACGATAGAAGACATTGACATTGTGGAAGATAAAATCATGCATTTCGTGGACATTTTAAGCAAAGTCCTGCAATGTTCATGGTTCGACTGCAAGGCCTTTAAATTCGGACGCAGGCTATCGCGTAACAAAGAAGTTTGGGAAAGGATTCCGCAACTCTTTAACGAAGCGTTTCTTCGGTGTTCTTCAGACACGATTGAAAGTCTCGAATGGACAGTGAAAGAAGCGAAGAGTACTTTCTGTTTATATGAACAACTTTACCTTCGCTTGCATTGTGGAGAAGCAGAAGCTCTACTACTGGAAAGTCCCACGGTAAAGTTGATGGACTATGTGCAGCTTGACAAGATGTGGGAGCTGTTGAGAATTCTCGAGAAATACTTTGCAGAGAAGGACTTGAAATGGAAGTTGTCACAAACCAGCCTAGTAGACTCTGGCTCAGATGACCTATGGGAAGCGGACTTGGAGGTCCTTTGGAACTTCGAAGGTCCACTATTACTAGAGAACATGGATAAATAGAACTGGGAAAGTTTGATTGGCGTTCTTCTTCCCTGTTCATGGGTGAAAGCGATGCATCCAAGTTGAAGGAATATAATTTGCTGCAATTTAACTTTGAAGTTAGCAAATCAATCATGGAAACTGGAGCAATTGGCAATGCATGGCAGCTGTAAAGGGCCGAAATATTATTACATCTTATTATGATTAGACTGATATTCTCAGAATCAGATTGCTGACTTATCCATCAGAACCTGAGCAAATCACTATCTTCTTGAAGAGAGATAGCCACTTCTTGCAATCTACGACAAGTTGGATTCCTTGAGGCGTCCTGAACCACCATTCAAAGATCGCACACTAATCAACTTAAATCATACACCGAAAATGTCGAGTCCGAAAGAAAAATAGTAAGCATTTCCCATCTTTTAATCACTGCCTAGCATTTAATCTGATGTCCACTTCAACGAGAAACAAACAGGTCAGATAATTGAAAACCGTCATCGTGATTGTGGATAATGACAGTTGTCGGCCGTTGGGGTCATTCTAAAGTCTCAATATTATCGTTAGACCATAATCCAGCTTGCGTTTTGAGTCTCCCGGTACAGAGAAGGTTATTGGAATTCTACAACTCAATGCTGTCAACAGTTAGTGTACAAGATAAAGTTGGAGATTTCTGAACCAATCTGAAGATTTGTTGAGCTTTACAATGAATCCCCGGTTGGAAAGCTGACTCAGAGTGATCTTAAGAATTCGTTAAGTATGTACTGGAGATAAGTAGTGTGCACTCTGGAAGCATCGCGCGTGGATTTTCAGACTTACTTACTACTAGCTAACCAAGAATGGGGTCCAAGAAAAAGAAGGCTGAAAAGAAAAAAGACTTCCAGAAAACGAAGCTTAAGGTTGGAAAGACCACAGCAAAGCCTGACAATTACACAGATACCTCGTTCACGGCGCGGTCCATCTCACTTCCTAATCAATCTATTGCAAAGAAGGTCGATGCTCATCTCACAGGTCAGGTGGACCTCACCCACCATCTTCTGCTCACGAAACACCACTCGGCTGCTACTCGAAAAGAGGTTTTAAACTACATAGAGAACCACCTACCGTCCAGTCCGTCGCTCTACAAGCAGATCCTTACATTGACGGTGTCATTGGTCACCGACCAGTCTGCCAGCGTTCGAAGAGCTTTCATCTCGCTTTTGGCAGCATGTGCCGACAAGCAACCGGGCCTCCTCGAGCTCCATATGCGTTCCATCATTTTGTTCGTCCACTCGGCTATGTCTCACATCCAAGGTGACATTCGCTCGACGTCCACTGGCGTTCTTGAGGTTTTGGTTGATAAGGCTCCTGCGGCATTGGTCAAAGGCTACTATGTCAAGACACTCCGCCAATTTTTCACCTTGATGTCATGGACTTTGACTGATGACAAGAGTGCTGTTTCACTTGCAGTAAACACTACGTCGTCACTCGATGGCTCCTCCAAGAAGGCTAGAGTGGGCCATTTGACCTTCTTGACCAAATTCCTCGAGGCTGCATTATTTGAGCAACCGGTAAAGGAGTCATCCACGTCAATTGATTGGTCAAATTGTGTCACCACTCACCCACAGACTCCACGTTACATGCTTCCTGCCAACTCCCTGGCCTTTGCTCCGTTGAAACTCTACATCACCGAGCTTCCGTCCAACATGCTCGCTGCACAGGCTGCCAACAGCTCCGTCGACGGAGCATACTCCTTGTATGACTTGGAGAAAGTGTCGTCCGAAGACCAGGATACCAGACGCAAAATCACCTACGATGTCTTCTTAAAGCCTCTCAAAAAGAATCTTACAAGTATCATGAAGGAGGGGGGAGAAGCAGGCAAAGAAGCCAACACATGTATAGCTGTTGTCGACCGGTTTGAGAAAGACTACACCAAAGCCAGTACTCTGTGAATAATAATGAAACTACAAGGCCATTGTGACAAATTATCTGTGTAGATGTTAAAAGGTATTTTCTTAGTGCGAACAATTTATCTGTCCACCATTTCTTCTCCACAATGCTTAGGTCATTGATTCTCACACAAAAAAGGGCCCTCATCCCGGCATTTGCCCGTCCTGTTGCTGCTGGTCCTGTTGCTGCTCGGGTTCTTCCTTCTAGAAACTTTCATCAATCATTTGTTACACTCAAGAAGAAGGCCAAGAAAGGTGCTAAAGATGTTGAAGAAGACACTTCCAGTGAACCTCCACTGATTGATTTCGACGATGCCACCAAGCGCCTCCAGAGTGTGGTTGACAAATTCGCAAAGCAGGCCAACGAGGCTAAATTGGGTAAGACAAACCCCCAGATCTTCGACCATTTGCATGTTGAAACTGTTGATGGAGAAGTTCCATTCACCACTCTTGCTCAGACTGCTATCAAGGGGAGAAACTTTATCATCACGGTTTTTGACCCAGCAAATACCAAGCACTTGGTGAATGCTATTCTTGCATCGGACTTGAACATGAACCCAATTGCTGATCCTTCGAATAAGCAGTTGTTGAAGGTGCCATTACCTCCCGTGACCACCGAGTCCAAGAAGGAAAGTGTCAAGCACTTGAAAACCGTTTTCGAGAAGGTTAGAAACGGACCTGGTGGCTCTGGTAAGTCTTCGTCAACTCTTGCAGCCATTAGGGCAGATATCAAGCATAAGATCAGTAAGAAGAAGAAGATGACCGACGCTGAGACTCAGGTGTGGAACGACTACGAAAAGCTTCACAAGCAATACGTTGAAAAGCTTGGAGAAGTATTCAAGGCCGCAGAAACCGCCATTTTGAAATAAGCTGGTCGGAATCTCCCATGTATATACATTAAAAAGTTACTCCCTTGCCCACAAATAGTCTCTTTTTGTATCTCTCGCACCATCGAATAAGTCGGAGACTTTGACTGATGATCTCTTGTGCTTGGACCAGCCCGCCGCAGAGACAGTAAAATTCAAACTTTTCGTCGGCCAACATAAATGCGGTGACCCAATCTTCGTTCAGTTGCCAGCGTGTGTAGCTGAGCTTCTTTGGATTCAGGCTACCTTGCTTGACAATGGTCGCCTTGGACGATGCCAAAGCCGAATAGAAATAAAGAATATGACTATGTGCCTTAAGTGTAGTCATATCACAATTCTCCGAAGTTGGGAAGATCTCGTCCATGTAGATCTGATTGTACCCTTTGCGCTTATAGATGAAATGTTTGATTGTAGTGATGTTCAACTGCTTGAAAATATCTTTTGTGTCTCCAGACAAAGAAAGTTCCGAGGCCAACTTCTTGCTAAATTGGTCGTTGGTAATGATTTTGGAAATGACGTATTCTGCCACTTCCTTCATTTCAAAGAAGCTATTCTTATTGCTGCTCAATAATGAAATTGTAATGGCCTTAGGGCAACCCTTGATTTTGAATTTTTTAACAAATAAATAGAGAAAGCCCGAACTGTTGAAATTGGGCATGCAAAGTGGAATCCATAGATCGGCGGACTCTTCTTGGTCAATGGCTTTATACGACGCAGATATGGTAGAGAGGAGGGTGTGGATATCTTCGTGAGACAAATCATGGTTGCGGGGCTTCATGTAGTTGATAATTTTGTCCTCAAGGAATAGTAATCCGAAGAGTAAGTCCGCAGCAACGTACTTGGCCTTTTCGGGCTCCGCCAATCTTCCCAGGAGTATGGATTGAGCATCTGGTGAGTCAGCCTTTACCTTTAACTTTCTCGCCAGGGTCATGATGGAAACGAGCTTTGTTCGAGAGGTGTTTGTAATTTTGGCGCACCTCAATGCATTCTTTAGGATGGAACAGATATATGGTGTGCCTTGCAATTGAAACTTGTCCTCGTCTGACATACTGAATCCATATGTTAAAGACATGCTGAGAGTGTCGAGAACATGCATATCCTGGGCAGACAAGATTCTGCGGAGGTCGTAGTTCATCCTTTTCTCGAAATTCTTAGCAATGACTGGCTTAGAGAGCACCGCAAGTAAATAATTATGAAGGATCTTCAACTGGTTTTCTATGATGGCCGAAGACGTAGAAGAATCTGTGGAGGGCACAAGCTCTTGCGGAACTTTAGTCATTGCAACGTAGAGAAGTGGACTCTTATTCATAACAACCATACGGAACCCGTCCTGTGAGATGTGATGAAACTCGGTCTTCATGCTTTCCTGGAATGTGCTGACGATAGTGGTGAGAAGACCCATGTAGCCCAAAATGACGTCGTCTGAACCATTCATCGAGTAGATGGGCTTCCCCGCCGTAGATAAGATGAAGAATTGCTTGAGTTTGCCCTGAAAGTTACTAAGGGTTCCAGACTTATCGAATACAAGCTTGGCCCGAATGAATCCCTCGTCGAAGTTAGAACATTCGTCTGAGAAGATATTAAAGTTGTTTAACGATGCAACACTGTCCCTGGCTTGGCTGAGGTCTTGGACCATCAAGCCATGAAGCATGTTGGAAAGCGTATCGTCCTCAAAATTTGCCTCGTCGTCTACCGAGCTAGGGTAATTGCTGGAGATGGAATTCCTACTCAGAGCCAGGGCATTAGTGCCTGTCAATTCGGTCAGGCCATCTCTGTCAGTATCAACTCCGGTCAATTCAGCCTGGTCGACTACACCTAGTGTGACGGCAGTAGTGGCATCCGCAGCTAACGTCGGCGAAAGGCGGCCATTATATTGTGAAGTTGGGATAAGTAAGGTAGGCGATGACAACCGCAGCTGCAAGTTAGGTTTGGTGGGCAGGACATGTGGGGTTGAGTCCTTGGTCATTGTGGAGTAGATGAAGTTGATATTGCGCACTGAGAATCGAATTGAGGACCATGAACAGCAGATAGGACATCAGAAGATAACACTTTATGAGAACCAGGGTAATTCAATAAATTTAAGAGGGGGAGGGGTTGAAAGTTCAATTGGCATTGGTTTTTCTTTTGGTTTAATTTATTGGTTTTACAGAGGGGGATTTGTCTAGATAAATTCATGATCATCTGAAGCTGATGCTTCTTGGTAACTATGAGAATCACTCTCAAAGCACTAAAAAAATCAAAATACACAGGAGATAAGAATCCAAAGATAAAACCAAAACTAAGAATCGATGTAAGAACCAAGTTATTCTCAATTCAATTTAGGCGAATTTCATCATAAGTGAATCTACTTTTAACATACACGGTAAAAACGATCAGACACACATCTCCATTATTAATTTCATGTCTAGTGATTAGGTGAATTATCTGCGGAGAAACATGAACCAGATAACAAACACTACAAACAATCCAGCACCCACAATCGGAATATACTGCTTGATCATAGCCTCGAAATTGATTCGCTGGGCCTTCTTTCTGTACTTGATGGAGTCATTCCTCAAACTCGAAGACAAGTCACTCATCTTGTCCAACGAGTCACCTCGATACAACAAATCCTCAATATTCTTCGTCATGACCTTCTTAACATCCGCCAAATCTGTGTTGAGACGGTCAAGATTGGACTGTGCTCTCTGATCCTGGTAAATCTTCTTGGTCTTGCTCAAGAAGTTGTCGAATGAGCTGAATCCAAACGGTCTTGCAGTGCTGCTCAATGCCTCCCTGCCGTGCGAGTGTTCGAATTCATTACTGACCTCTGACAAGTACAGAAAAGCTAACTTTCTGGGATATGACTTCTCACAGATCGTCAAATAGATAATGTTGTTCAGAATCAAGTAATGGATGTTGTAGTCACCAGATTCGATGGTCGCCTGTGGCTCCGAATTGGGAGTGATTCTGCTTATGATAATTTTGCATTTTTTCTTTTGTTCGTTCAACGCCTGGTCGGCTGCATTGTCTACTGATCCACAGAGTGGGAGTGCTGATGTTAGTATGCTAAGTTATTGATGGGTTACAGGTCCAGTGACGTTTGTCATAGGAATTGCAAAGCTGAAGGTTCCAGGCTTTGTTCGTTTTATCTTAAACGTACCATCATAACGGTATATCAAAGTCGATTTGACCATGGCTGCTATTTTGAAGCGTGAGGTTCTTTGCTTATTTGTTCACTTTATCTGCCATTTCCGAGGGCAGTCCACCTGACCAGTGAGTTTCGGGGGTGAATGAATCCAATAAGTATTAGGTGGGTGAAACTGGTCGAAATATAAAATGATCAAGACTTTAAGTTTCGAAATTGAAATTTAAGTAAAAAAAATACTGGTATCGATATCGAAAGGTACTGTTCTCTGCATTTTCTCCTCGCAACTAGTTGAGTGTACAATAGATATTGCATATGAAGGTGGAACTCCATGAAATGGTAGTCTTAAACAAGTGGAAAAACATGAGTATATCAAAATGTGAATGTAGGAGTAGATATTAAAAGATGACTATTATTTACTACCTACTCTTTACTGTTAACTATCTACTCACCACCTTCTCTATTTTGAACTTTACTAGCTACTCTACACTATCTAATATGGTGAATACTCTATGAGTATTGCCATTAGACAACCATTAGACAAATCATAAGGTTACAACTACATCGAGCCGGATCAAAGACTATCTACCGCAAAACAATAAGAATTTGATCTACAGTAAGCTTCTCCTCTGTATTTCTCTGACCTCTACTATCGGTCAGCGCACCGTCTACTAAGAGGAAGGTCTATCAGCTCCATCTCGATGAAATGACATACATATGTAATTCTTCTTCTGATTACTCAATATTCAAAAGTAAAGAAATATCACATTTGTAAAGTATCCATTATCTGCCATCTGGGTTCAATTACCCTTCGTTCCTTACAGAATCTGCGCTTTATCTCTGTGATGTACTGTACTGTCATGCTCAGTACTGCCTTGTTACCTTTTACATCCTAAATCACAGATTCATCCATATTCTTTCTTCCCACACTACATCCCCCACATAATCGACTCCGCAATGGATTTATCCAAATTATCCAGCGATCTCCCTCCAACAAAGTCCTTGGAACAAATATCTGTTTCCACCGTCAATAAGGAACTCACCGACGAATTCAAGAACGCAGCTAAATCGGTTGCTTCACTTTACAATGCTTCAGGAAATGGCGCCGAAAAGCACGCAAAAGCGGAATTCGCCAATGCTGCAAAGTCGGTGGCCTCTCTTTACCGTCTAGCGAGTAATTCCAATACGCTTTTGATGGATAAAGGCTACTTGGAGTGCTTGGACGACCTCTTAGAGGTGATTGCCAATAACGATGACATCGAGAACTGGGCCTTGACAAGACGAGCCGAGGTCACTAACCACTACAAAAAGGACCGTGACCACGTATCTGCATCGTCGGATCCAGTGGACACTGTAGATGCTGCTGACTCTGCTGTTCCGGAAAGTGCCGATGTGGTTTTACCTACTGAATATGAGTTCATGGCGCCACAGGAGCTCAACTCGAACATGCGCTTCCGCCCATCACTTGCTCCGTTTTCTGTAAACTACAAGCGGCCCAAAAAGGTTGATCGGACCAAAAGATCGCTTGCGCAGTCTCAAGAGAACAGTGGCTCATCTGATGTGGAGAGCGATGTGGCTGAATCGGAAGACGTAGAGATGAAAAAGAGAAGAGCGTTCCAGAGTCTCCACGACGTTACAAAGAGACGTCGGAGAGAACCTCCCAGTGATAATGACTAAGCAGTTATCGCACGCTAATCTCTCATTTCAACATTCTGCATTTACAATTCTAGAAGCATCAACATCAGCATCGGCATCAGCATTTATCCAGCATCTCCACCTCATGTCTACCTTCATGATCCATCTAACTACTATTATGTTCACCATTACATTGTCATTATTATATGCATTTTTCTATCGCTAGTATCCAAATAAACCGTCGGAATTATCTCCGTACTCCTCATCATCGTACTCGTACTCATCGTAATCGTCATCCGAGGAGCCTTCCAGAGAACTTGTCGACTCCACGGCAGACTCAGACTCTACTAAGCCCTCCAATGTCAAACACAATAACGTATCTCCCTTCGACTGCGTACCCTTGACAACCTCATTAGTGGATTCCACGTAACAATTGGTCAATTTACATTTGCTGCGGATGATGGCTTTCTGTCCAATGATACAGTTCTCCAACTGTGCGTCGTCCTCAATGACTACATTGTCCAAAATAATGGAACCTGTTAACTTGACTCTCTTGCCAATTACACAATTGCGGCCCACCACACTGCGCTTGACGTTGGTCTTTTCACCCAATACCGTGCCGTCGCCCACCAAGGCGTCAGCACCAACATTGGCGGCTGTTTTGTCCTTCGGAGCAGCAGGCTTACCTGCATTGTCTCTCGCCTGCAATTTTAAGTATTGTCTGTTGGCTTCTAAGAGAACAGGTAAATTATTGGAGCGCACAAAGCTGGCCACTTCAGGAACGACCAAGAAACCCACGGTGGAGTCATGACTAACACTCTGCCATGGTTTACGGGCCAAATCTCTGATGACTTTGATTAGTGGCCTGTTGTTAAAGTATGCATCAGTGAACTTGTGCTGGTTGTCATCCAAGATTTCGGCGATTCTCTTGCCGTCACCCAAGAAAATAGAACTGTTCAAGAGCGTCAGACTGACGGTGGAATTGGGGTAGTTCCAGACCATTTGGGTTCTTATCTTGAACGCCTTGTGGAACTCAACATCCTCGGCTGAGTAATAGTCCAACATCTGGGCATCACCGTTGGGCAAGTCCGTGAACACGGTGAAATTTTTAGGAAAAATGCGATGTTTCTTGTCCTCGATCTCCAATTGGTTTCTGTAGCTCACCGCAAGACCCACATCGGAATCTTGTCTGCTTCTATAGGCTTCAATAAGCACCTGTGGAGGCAAGTCGGTTATGAAGTCACAGGGAAGAAGTGCAAAGTGCTGGTATGGTTTTAGAAGCGCCTTCTTGACTACATGCTGCAACACCAGCCCGTTGGTAGGTGCTGGTAAGGAAATGACATCGATGGACTCAGCAAACTGCACGGTATTATCGTCCAAGTCGGAGGAGTTGCCCGCCAATTCCGAGATCTTGCGGGATTTGTATGCATCCAATGCTTTCTGGATGTCATCCTGTGACTCTGGATCACATACCAAGGTGACTTTAGGGAAAAATGCCTTCTCACACCAGTCTAGAACGTACTCAACCATGGGTCTGTTGGCCACGGGTAAGAGCGCCTTGGCAATACCGGTAGATCTCTCTTTGGAGAACGGTGCAAGTTGTTTTCCAGGGCCACAAAGAACAAACGTGTGGAACTCCATTGGTGTGTTTGAATTATGAATCAGAGATGGTTTAACTTTTTTTTCTTTGAACTATTCTGAAGTATTTAGATCATGTGATCAAAGATCATGTGACTTTCTCCATTAGAAAATGGTCGACCAAAACCGAGGTGGTGTACACAGTTAAACCAAACGTCAAAAGTGGCAACTCGACACTAATCACATTATTATGAGTGAAGAAAACGACCCCCTTTTGGCTGAATTGCAAGCAGAGGAACCTACTGGTGCCAATGAAGAGCAACCCGTGGAAGTTTCGCGCGAGGAGCAGGAAAGAACCAAAGCGTTGACTAAGTTTAAGGAAAAGTTGGTGGAGCATAGGAAATGGGATGCTAGAATAAAAGAGATGCGATTGGGCATGAGGGACCTAGAGAAAACTTACGACAAGACGGAAAATGACATCAAGGCGTTACAATCTGTGGGCCAGATTGTGGGTGAGGTGTTGAAGCAGTTGACTGATGAAACATACATTGTCAAGGCCTCCAGTGGGCCCCGTTATATTGTGGGATGCCGTAACACAATCAAGAAGGAGAACTTGAAGAACGGTGTGCGTGTGTCGTTGGATATGACCACATTGACCATCATGAGGATCTTGCCCAGAGAGGTGGATCCATTGGTGTATAATATGACTACTTTCGAGCCTGGTGAGATCTCGTTCAACGGAATCGGAGGTTTGACCGAGCAGATCAGAGAGTTGCGTGAAGTCATCGAATTGCCCTTGAAGAATCCAGAGTTATTCACGCGTGTGGGTATAAAACCGCCCAAGGGTGTGTTATTGTATGGTCCACCTGGAACTGGTAAGACTTTGTTGGCCAAGGCCGTAGCCGCCACCATCGGCGCCAATTTCATTTTCTCTCCCGCATCTGCCATTGTTGACAAGTATATTGGTGAGTCAGCCAGATTGATCAGAGAAATGTTCTCGTACGCCAGAGAGCATGAGCCATGTATCATCTTCATGGACGAGATCGATGCCATTGGAGGCAGAAGATTCAGTGAAGGTACCTCGGCTGATCGTGAGATCCAGAGAACCTTGATGGAGTTGTTGAACCAAATGGATGGTTTTGACACCTTGGGCCAGACGAAAGTCATCATGGCTACAAACAGACCAGATACTCTTGATCCTGCTTTGTTGAGAGCAGGTAGATTGGATCGTAAGATCGAGATTGGCTTACCTAACGAAGCTGGAAGATTAGAGATCTTCAAGATTCACACGGCCAAGGTGGCCAAGCAAGGAGAGTTCGACTTTGAGGCTGCCGTGAAGATGAGTGATGGTTTCAACGGTGCCGATATCAGAAACGTGGTGACCGAAGCAGGATTCTTTGCCATCAGAGATGAGAGAGATTACATTTTGCAGAACGATTTAATGAAGGCTGTGAGAAAGGTTGCTGACGTCAAAAAGTTGGAAGGTAAGTTGGATTACGAGAAGTTGTGATCATATAGAAGAAGATACGACATGAAGAGAGAATGTGGAGCTGGAAAAAATTATGATTCCATATGTTGTAGACTTACCGTAAAAATCCACAAGATCCTAGACTTCCGTTGAACGATTCTATTTCGATATATATATACAAGTTATGTCTCTCTATTTCTCATTCTCTGAGAGCTTCTTCATGGTCTTTTCAAAGTCCGGAACCTTTGCCTTGGACAAAGCTTCCAAGTGCGTCAACAATGCAGGGTTTTCGATCTTCGCAAGGTGCTGAGCAATCTTGGTTCCGATGAAGTCCTTCACTTCGTCAGACAATGGCTCAAGCTTCTTCTCAGGCTCCTGAGCCTTCTTGGCCAAGTAGATCTTCTGCTCAGTAGATAATGGCATCTTTGGAGCAGTGAGCTTCCTGGCCTGGACTTCCGTGAGCGTCTTCTTCTTGTAGGACGAGTATGGGTTTCTGAGCTCTGCCAACACACCCTGTGGAAGAGGGGATTTGGCGACAGTCTGGTCCTCGTAGGTCTTGGTGAAAACTGCATCGGCAGTGGTCGAGTTGCGGTCATCCTCAATCTCCGTAGGTGGCTTTGGCCAAGGGATCTCGATAGTTTCGTGGTGTTTGACAAATCTCTTGGGTAACCATTTCTTGTATCTATCATCATAGTACTTCTCCTTGTAGACAACCTCATCGGCTACAACATACGAGATCTTACCAGTGTCATCTCTATCCTTTGCAGCCAACTTGACGTATTCTCTTGGAATGTTGTCTGGGTACTCCATAACATGACTGGTTTGGTTCTGGATCCACCATGCCTTGGGAATGATTCTCTTTGACAAAACATCGGTCAAAATCACGCTGTCAGACTCCTGTGAGTATTGAAGTACAGAGGTGATCTTGCCTTTGTGCTCTCCCTCTGCAATGTACACCATGTCTCCACTTGCGAGTCCAACATCCTCCATCTTCGTCTTTCTCTCGTGCTTTGGAACATACTTGGTAGATTCAAAGGTAGGCAAGTTGAACCTGTTGGATCTCTTGACAAGAACCTCACGGATGAGCTCCGGGTATCTGTCCAAGTCCTTCTGGAACCTCTTTTTGGCAGTATTCCACGACATGCTACTGGGGAAAGTCTTTTTGGTGGTTGGGTTTAACTCTATGGAAAAATTCACCTAGGTTGGATGTGCACTACCTGTTGGCACGTGACCCAGATGGAACCATGGGTTTCAATCTTGTGCCAACAACAATTTAAAAGCCAGAGACGTATCTACAATAATCATCGTTATTTCGAATTGATGTGTTCCTATTATAATGTTACAAAAAAAATTTCTGCCCTCTCGCACTCATTCTGTGCAAATATTGATGAACTCCTGTTCGTTAACTGTAATGTTAGTATAGACTCAATAAGCTTAGGTGGGAAGTACAATAAAAATAAAGACTCCATAATAAAAAGGAAGATACGTACTTTCTCCATCTTCGTCCAAATCGAACTCATCGATCATGGCTCTTAGCTCCTCGTCTGACAAGTTCTCGCCTAATTCTCGTGCAACTCGCTTCAAGTTTCTGAAACTGATCTTCCCCGTGTTATCGTCGTCAAACAACTTGAATGCTCTCCGAATCTCCTCCATAGGATCTCTGTTGACGATCTTTTCTCCCACTGTTAGTTAGTATCTATGGCTTTTTATGGCAATTCTGGTGTCTGGATTTGTAGACATGTTTGGTGGATGAGCTTACGCAAAAAGACTAAAGGGTAACATACCAGCATGGAAGAAATTCTCGTATGATATCAAGTTCCGGTCATCTGTGTCGTACTCGTGGATGATTTCCAATACCTCTCTCTTGGATAAGTCAAAGCCCAAAGCCCGAAGTGCAACCTTTAACTCGTGGTAGTCGAGCATTCCATCATTATTCATATCAAACAACGAAAACGCCTCTCGAATCTCCTGCTTCTGTTCATTGAGAAGCTCCACCTTCAAGTTGCTCAAACCCTTCTTCTGGCTGTTGTTGTTGGCCGCAGACATAGTGACTAGTTAGTGAAGACTAATCTGTTTATTGTCCGCGGTGTTGTGTATGTATTATGCTGGACAGGCTAGTAGAGAATGGATATACCTTGCAAACTGAGAAACTAGCTGTGAACATCGGGAATTATATTAGATAAAGATTATCTTTTACTCAATTGATTTTTTTGCCTTTCATTGACTCCGTTTCTGCTCCATCATGGCCACGCTTGAGATAGGCCAGAAGGTGTCAGTTAAAGGTGAAGCTGGAGTGATTCGATTCCGTGGCTCCACCAAATTTGCTACTGGAGAGTGGATTGGGGTAGAATTGGACACTGGCGTTGGCAAAAATGACGGTTCTTTGCAGGGTGTGCGTTACTTTCAGTGTCAGAAACAGGGTAACTACGGCGTGTTCGTACGTCCCAGTATGCTTGGAAACACGTCTCAGAATGAGAAGCTGCGGCCCATTCTGGAAGTACAGGCGATTGTTGACAAGCTTCAGACCAAGCTTCGAGCTGCAAGAGCAGAAATCGACAAGAATAAGAAAGATCTAGAGGAAGCAGAGGCGAAGCTACAACAGAAGTCCGCACAGGTAGATGATCTCGAGGCAAATCTCGAACGAATCAGCGTGGAAGGAGATTACTTGAAATCTCAGAATATTACCTTGTCATTGGAACTACAGCAACTTCAGACTAGTTATGCGGATATGTCTGCGGAGTACGAGATCCTACAAGAAGAGATGGATCTCAATAAGGAGCTTGAAGAGGAGGTCAAAATGCAGCTAACTGACTCTCATGCTGTCACCGCTGAGGATTTCCAGTTGCTAGTGCAGCACAACAAAAAGCTTGAACTTGCAGTTTCGTCATTAAGGAAACTCTCCAGTGAAAAGGAAGGTAAGTTCAGTGAGGAAATCCAAAGTCTTAGAAGCGAGATTGTAGACTTCGAGGAATTGAAGAAAACATACCAGCTCACAATTGAAAAATTGAAGCAGGCAGACACAACCATTGCACATCTTCAGGAGCAGTTGGAATCGGCGAATGAACTGGATCTGATCATTGAGTATCTCACCAGAGAAAATGAGAGCCTTAGCTTGAAAAATAAGGATCTCACAGAGACTGTGAACGAGTTGAAGGAAATCCATGAACTTGATAAGTCCCTTGAGGAAGATCTGCGAAAAGTTGAACAAGACTTGAAAGATCAAATTACATCCTTGCTGAGCCAAATTACTCAGGAAAAACGAAGGGTGGAAGTTTTGAATTCCAAACATGAGCTGCTACTACATGAGATGGAATCTTTAAAGAAATCAAACAATTCATCCTCGTCGCTGGGCAGCATGGAATTGGAATCCCTTAATCTCGAAATCAAGAAACTACTGCTTGTGATTGAAAATTCGAATTTCAAATCTAATGTCAGTCTGCGAGCTTTGGATTGTCTTCGATCTCTCAACCTTAAGTCTGTGTCTGAAAATTTCCGTGAGGTGATCTCGACATTCCAGAATCTCGGAATGGCGCAATCAATTGCACGAGAGATTCAAACTGCATTATCCAAATCACCTACCGCTATCAAGATCGAGATTTTGAACGTCTTTGAACGTCTTTGCGGCCTCTTGGATGCTGCGTCGTATCAACTTGAGTATGAGTATGAAGATTCTGATGTTACATTTCTAGGTACCCGACTTGAATTGCTTTATTCTGACCTACTACAGGCTTTCGAGAATCTGCACTTCGAAGATAAGACATCATTGGGTGCTTTAGATTCACATTTTAGCACTTTACGCTTGTTCTGCAAGGATGCGAGATTCTTAAGATCAATTTCCTTCTTTTGTCTTACGGAGTTAGGGCTGGAAGTCAATAACACACATCGAATTTGTGAAAGCATTTTAAAACTCATTCCTCAAGATAAGGGACAAGAACTCCGAACTATGAAAAAGCAAATCGAATTGGTGAAAGAACAATGTGAAACTGCATTGGAGGAGTCCAAATTCGACAAGATTATTCAGCCTGGAAAGTTACTGTTAATTAAGTTACCAGATCTCAGTGATAACTTACTCATGACTTTGCAGCAACTTGAATCCGATTCGTCTGTAGATATGGACAATTCGATTACCCTGGAAATACAGAGGTACACTGCTGCTTTATACGAGCTTTCACAAGTCATAAAAGGTAATCTGCAAGATGCTATTGAAGAATCAATTTTTCAATGCATAATTGATCGTCGCGTTGAGGTAACAACTCCAAATGAATTGCTATCAGACAGAATAGAGAAAGACAAGATAATTAATGACTTGAAACTCAACATTGAGGTCTTGGAAAAGAACATGGGCGCCACCATCGAGGGGAAGTCATCCAAGATTCTAGAGTTGAAAGACATGCTTCAGCAAGCCAAGAGTGAATTTCAAGATTTGGAGGCCAAGCATAAAAAGTTGGTTGCCACTAATAAAACTCTAGAAAATCAAGTCCAGTCCCTTTTCGAGCTGAATGCTCTGAAGGCTCAAAATCAGATACGTGCCATTGAGGATCTCAAGTCAAAAAAGAGTTACACTACTGAAATGGCTCTCGCTCAAGAAATTTCCATGTTGAGGAACATGGTTGCACTTTCGTCTCGAAATCGTGAACATGAGGATATTTCATGGTTGGCTGAGCCAATTTATCCTCAGTACGGATGTATTACATATGGACGGCAAATTGAATTCGAAGCTAGAGCCCGTGAGACAAGGGCGCTTGCTTCAAGAATTCTGCAACGGATTCTCAGGTCTTAAAATACATGGCATGGAATTAGCATTTGATCAACCTCCCTTTTGAATTAATTAGTTAGTGAAGTGCGTCTTCTTGGCCACTTTGAGGCCAAGTCTATATGCTCTCTGGGATAGAAGTACTCTAATAGAGCATAAATGAATATATCAAGAATCACAACGACACAGTAAAGTTTCCCTGCCACAGCACCACAGAAATAATACTTTTTCAATCGCTGCAATAGCGGTTGGTTGATCTTGCGGTAATTGAGCGAATGGTAGACGTTCTCTGTGCGTTTGGCAATATTGGCCCAGCTGTACATCGTAGCCACTTCAGCATGGAAACGAGAGGTATCTATTCTTCCAGACCTAACCAAGTCAACTGCATCAATCGCAGCATCCACCAATGAATCCTCATCAGGGTCAGCAAAACTGGTCATATGTTGTGGAAGTACTTCTGGAATACCACCGACCTTTGTTGTCACAACATACAAACCGCAAGATGCAGCCTCCACAATCACAGTTCCAAATGCCTCTGTGAGAGATGGGTGAAGGTAAATATCACCTTGGACCATTACGTCTCTAACCTTCTCGTGCTTGACAGCACCTATTAAAGTTACTCGTTCCTGAAGGAAATACTTTTCTCTCATTTGCTCCAAGTCCAAGAACTTGGGCCCATCTCCTGCAATTAGGAAGTCAACCTCAGGTCGTTCGTGGCATATTCGGGGAATTATGGCGGTGAGTAGGTCGGCTCCTTTATTGGGGAAAAGCCGAGAAATGACAACGATGGTGATCCTCAAACGATCTCGAGGTTTAGAAATATCAGGAGCAAAATCCTCCAGAATAACTGCATTAGGAATCACTGAAACGTTCAACGGGTCGAGAGAGCCTCGTAGAACAGTATTCTCTTTACATGTATGGGAAACACAAATGACGTGGCTGACATCGCTGAGACTGAACTTAAGCAACTTATTGCCCATGATCGACCCCACGTCAGCGAAGCCAAATAGCGAATGGTCTGTGAAAACAGCTTTGAGTCCCATGGTTCTTCCGTGGAGCATGGATTCTGCTCCTAAACTGGAGAGAGATCCATGACTGTGAACAATCTCGATTTGCTCTCGAATGAAGATATTGCGAACAATTGGGAACGCCGTGAACACCGAGGGCACCGTCGAGCTTCGATAAACTTGTAGTAGTGGAACGTAGTATACTCTGAGGCCATTTGTTAGCATGCGTACACCTGTTCTGTTGCCGTAGTCATGAGTGATGATGATGACTGAGTGGCCTAAATCAATGAGTTTCTGCGATAAGTGATAGACGTGGAACTCGACTCCCCCTGGCTGAGGGTAGAAGAAGTCGGTGACCATAGCAATATTATACGATTTCTGCATGGTTTATGACATTCTTGCTCGTAAGTTAATTTAAGGAAATGAGATCTGTCTGGTCAAGTGCGCGCTACTCAAATTCAAATAAAGTCAATGATTCACTGTCCATGTAGAAACCAGTGCCAATTCCGATCGTGTATTACAAATTTTATATAGTTATCAGCGAGCAAATGCATCAGGAGGTAGCGATCCAGCAGAATTTTTGAAGTTGACAATGCATTGTTGATAGTCCCAGTTGCTCTGCTGGCAAAGCATCACTCCGTACTGAATGGTGAGCTTAGTTTCCAAAAGCACCTTAACAAGCATTTCTTGTTGTATGGTGTTCAAGCCTGCTTTCACTTCAGGTGGCAAATCGGCTGCCGATGGTCCTGGTTGCGTGGGTGGTGGAGTGCCGAACGACTGTTGTCCAGGTCCTCCCAAACCAACACCAGGTGCGGTTACTGTGGCAGAAGATGGTGCTGCTGCTGGTGATGGTGTTGGAGTTGCAGTTGGAAGGGCCACAGGCTTGAATGCAGCGGGATCCGCTTCTGTTCTTATACAGAGTAAGTCACTGGCAACAATCATGCTGTTATTAGGTCCTGGAATGACAATAAACGTTCTGTCAAAACTTTTAGGCCCCAAAGCGATTTTCAGTTTCTTCTGGTAGGCGTACTTGTTTCTACCCATTCCAGACAGTTGGTTAACGTGTTCTAAATTGGCAGGTACAGCTGTCTCTTCGAATGATCCGTGCAAAGTAATGGAGATTGCACCGATGGCAGCCAAACGGTAACTCTCCATGCTGTAATTGTCAGGCTTCAGCATTAAGTCATGGCGAGTACTTGGTAACTGGGAGAATGACTTGAATATTTGCTCTTGACCTTTGGCCACCTTGGACATTCTTGCCTTGGCAGACGAAACACGAGTCAAGTTTCTGGACAGTGGAAGGTAGTAGGAGAAATCTGGAGGTGGCTTATTATCCACAGTGTGAGGCAGTGTCGAGTCCACCAGCAATGAGAACTGGGACTCTGCCTGGTACAACACCATTAGGTCTGCTCTGTTGGAATCCCATAGGTTGTAGTAGTTGGTGATGAAATTGGTAGATATGTTTTGCACGTCATTGTCCTGGAAAAACATAGGCTGAGGGTCTTTGAATGAGAATGTCAAGTTCGTGTTGAGCACTTGTTCGTTACGGACGATCTCGCCATTCAACACCACCAATCTTGGGAAGACCTTCAACAATTCCAATTTGATATTGAGAGCTTCATTGAGGTCATTGGTGTTGGTAAGTGGGTTTCCTGTGATGACCAACTCCCTCAAGAAATTGAGCTTCTTCTTCCAAATATCAAACGCCTTTATTCTGGAGAACTTGTTGTTCTGTAATGATAAGTTCTGCAACGTGGGGAACGTGTGTGCTAACGTTGAGACGGTACTCAAGTCACTCAAATTGTTATTGGAAAGATCTGCGCTGGTGACATTCAACTTCAAGTCACTAGCTATCTTCATCAACGCCGGGAAAAACTTGGAAGATGTGGAAATGGTGCCGAAGAAGCCTTTTGCTGACAACGTAGGATCTTGTTGCACAGCACTAAGGTTCAAAAGCGAATTCTCGGGATTATATCTCGATTTGAGGAACATAGTCAATGTTTCTATGGTATTGTCACCAGATTGTTGGCCTGGCTGGTTTGGGACATTTCCATTGCCGAAACCGTTGTTCACCTTTGAGATCTTCAATGGATTACCAGCGAATCTCACACCAGACCATTGGATCAAGTTGTTTGCCTCTGTTTCGGAGCGAACAAAGCCTCTCATTGCCCCGCTAGCATTGTTGACGGAGTAGTTGGTCACGCTGATCTTACATTTTCTGTTGATGAATGCAATACATTCACCTGGAGTCGAACCGTTCCAGCCAAAAATCTCCACTTCACATCCGGCTTGATTGCCGCCAAACTGCTGCGAATTGTTGCGGTCGGAATTGTTATTATTGTGGAAGCCGCCTCTTCCTCGTCCTCGGTAACTCATAACTTGTGGATGCTCCAGAAGTGGATGGTGGAGATGGTTTGGAATCTAAGGTAATTTTTTTTCGTGAGCACTGGGCCGGTACATACCAAAATGGCCAGGAAGTGCCAACCTTAGAGATGTTCTTAAGTTTTGATAGAAAAGAACAAAAAAATTTTTCTTTCTACATAGTCTACAAGTCTACATACATTTCTTAATTTCTCTGACTTTAATTCTGTTTCATATTTTTGATTTCGTAGCCATAGTCGTAACCATTCATGTAACCCTCAGCCATGGCATGCTCGGTCGTATAGAGGTGCCAAAGGCGGATTAAAGTTCGAGGGCTCAATTTGTGTTTTGGACACCGTTCTACTGCTTTTCGTTGGCCTCCAATTTGGCCAAGTCCTCGGGGTTGTGCAATGTTCCCACAACCTTGTACTTGCCATCGAAGTGACTCTCCCAGTTATCCAAGGATTCTTTCTCTTCTCCACTCAAGCTGGTCAATGTGTCCAAGGGCTGGTCAATAGGTGTGAGCACTTCAGGATCGAATGAATTGAGAGCCAATCCACGCGAAGCATCTCTTCCTGCAAAGTTCTCGTATGGTCCTCCTGGACCATAGAATGACTTTCCAGAAGAAACGTCGTACACAACTCCCTTGACACCAATGTACACTTTAGGGTCGGACCGGCCATTAAATTTGGCTAATGTTGCTGGTACAAATCTTGTCTGAACTGGAGGCTCGACACTGTGAGCTGGTAAAGGACTCGATCTTATATCGGAAACGATGGATTTAACGAAATAGGCGATCACTAGGAAGATAATGATGGCAGTTATCATGATGAAGGTGAAATTCGAGACAGCTTAGGATATTATCACTGACGTACAGAATTCAAATTATATAGAATCAAACTGGTATTCCTGGTCAATTGGAATCTCAGAATCAATAGATAGTTGTGGTTGCTCAAAAGGACTCCATTCTGGTGATCCTCTCAAGAATGTCGTATATGTCAGCCTGTGGGGACCAAGTCACATGATGTTGGGCATATGAATAATATGTGCAACGTTCCATTCGAGTACCGTTTAGAAACTAATGCAAAATCATCGGAAAAACACATCGCCAATCTTTATGCAAAAGACTTCGACTATGCAGACGGTTGTGTGTACGTTAAATGCCCTCCTCCCCCTTGATGGTGTTTCTTTTCTTTTTTTTTTTCTTGTAGGAGGAACTCCTATCGTGACCTTTCTATGCAAGTGGTTTCACTTAGAGTTTTAACCTTTTACATCACCCAGAGCCAATACACTATCTCACTAATGTGGACATATCTGGTGATATGCCATTAAGAAGAGAGGTTGATGTGGGCTGATGAGTGAATAGTAGCCCGCCAACCAAGAATTAATTGCAACGATTTTTCCGACATTATTCCGAAAAAGCAAATCTTTCCGAAACATGGGGAAGATGTCCCAATACATAAATTTGCGTCCAGTTCCAATGTAAAATGTGGGAGCAATCCAATTTTTGGACGATATACATAGTGAAGTTCTTCAAGCAATCTTTGGTAGCAGGCATTTGTTCCTGTATTTTCATTTCTTACTCATTAGCCTTCACTATCGGGCATTTTCCGTCGAACCCTTCGATGATTGTAAAGGAGAGACAACTCTCAACTACCAGCGACGATGTTAACAGACCTCTCATCCACTACACTCCTAACTATGGCTGGATGAACGATCCAAACGGTCTTTTCTACGACAAAAAGGCTGCTGTGTGGCATATGTACTACCAATACAACCCTAACGATACTGTCTGGGGCCTTCCTTTATATTGGGGGCACGCAACCTCGAAGGATTTGAGTGTCTGGGAAGATCAAGTTCCTGCTATTGGTCCCGATAATGACAATGATGGCATTTTTTCGGGAAGTATTGTGGTGGACCACAACAACACTACTGGTTTCTTCGATGACTCTATCCATCCAGATCAGCGTGTAGTTGCCATTTACACCTTGCATACCTCCGAGAAGCAGACCCAGGATCTTGCATATTCTCTTGATGGTGGTTACACCTTCACCAAATATTCTGGCAACCCTGTGTTGGATGTCAACTCGACTCAGTTCCGTGACCCCAAAGTGTTCTGGCATGAGCCCACAAACCAATGGATTATGGTTCTTGCAAAGAGTCAAGAGTTCAAGATCCAGATCTTTGGCTCTATCGATTTGAAGTCTTGGTCGCTCCATTCCAACTTCTCATCGGGTCTCTACGGTTTCCAGTACGAATGTCCAGGTCTTGTTGAGGTTCCTATTGAGAATTCTACTGAAACAAAATGGGTGATGTTTTTGGCCATCAACCCAGGTATGCCCTTGGGTGGTTCTGCCAATCAATACTTTGTCGGTCATTTCGATGGTTTTACTTTCGTTCCTGATGACACTCAGACAAGATTACAGGACTGGGGTAAAGACTACTATGCTTTCCAGGCCTTTAGCGACGTTCCAAAGGAAATGGGCGTGCTTGGACTTGCATGGGCTTCCAACTGGCAATATGCCAACAAGGTTCCCACAAGTGGCTGGAGAAGCTCCATGTCTGTGGCGAGAAATCACACTTTGAAGAATATTGCCATCAACCCAGAAACCAAGGTGTTATCTTTGGTTCAAAAGCCTGTCCTCGGTAGCACAGTCCAAAAGACAAACTTGATTGACCAAGACTTCTGCATCTTTGGTAAGAATACTCTGGTGAATGCCACGGCTTCGCAATCAGGAGTGTTCGAAATCGACTTTACATTCAAGGTTCATAAAACAACCGAGCTCCAGAAAACACTCGAGCTCGAAATTATTTCCAATACTAAGGATGGAAAAACTGAAAGTATTAGAACTGGTTTCGATGTTGATGGCGGATCTTTCTACGTTGATAGAGGCATTGATAACGCGTTCAACAAGAATCCATTCTTCACCGACAAGACTTCAGCATATGTTGACCCCATGGAGTATGACGATAGTGGATTGCCAATCTACAAATTTTATGCCATTGTGGACAAAAATATCTTAGAGGTGTACTTGAACGATGGCGCGGCCACATTAACCAACACTTTCTTTATGAGCGATGGGTTCACACCTGAATCTGTCGTTTTGTCTTCAACTTGCTCTTCTACGTTTGAAGTGAAGTCTGAGATTAACGAATTAACCATTTAAATTTGAATAGTAAGTAATAGATCATTTTTCATGATGACTTTTGTAATTTGTAATTTTGTTCTAAAGTTGGACTGGCACTACCAAATTGACTATTCTCATAATGTGAGCGAAAATGCATTATCTTATAATTGTTAACAAAAGTGAATAACAATATGGGCAGAGACATTATCACTTTAGATGACTTGACAGTCAACAACTTGGGAACTTTTAAGAAGCTCATACTGGTTACATTGCCAACAACTTACCCAGAGTCATGGTATAAGGACTCGTTGAATAGTGATCAAATTGTAAAGATTGCATTCTACAGCGAATTGCCAGTGGGCGAGATAAAAGGCAAGCTTATCAACTCGTCTCATAACATTCCTACATTTGAAGTTGCCAGTGCTGTCCAGTTAAATTCGAAAATCATTCCAAACGCTGTGTACTTGGAATCTCTTTCTGTTTTGGAGGCATATCGGGCATTGGGAATCGGATCGAAACTTTTGAACTGGGCAATTGAGGAAGCCAAACAGAGATTTGTTCACGAAATTGTTTTGCATGTCCACGTGGACAACACTGCTGCCATCGAATGGTACAAGAAGAAGGGATTTTCTCAAGTCGGAGAGAAAGTAGTCAACTACTACAAGGAGCAGGGCTTAGAGAACCCAGATGCCGTTATACTATCATTGAAATTTTAGACTTAGCTTTTATTAATAATATACAGCTAGAAGTTTATGAGACATCAGCAAGGTGTTAGCATGGACGACTAGTGGATTATTTCTCACTTTCGTCTTCGGTATCTGTATTTATGTCACTGAACACACTCTCATTGTCAGAGCCCTCATCTTCCTCGTCGACAGACTTTTTAACAGCACCACCTCTCAAGGCAGCCAATGCACCAGCAAGACTATCCTCTTCGGGGTCCGAAATATCACTATCGGAATCACTATCGGATTCTTCTTCACCAAGGGCCTTCTTGACAGCTTTAACGTTCATAGGAGGGTTGGTCACATTCATCTCCAACGGGATGTCGACATCAGCGCCAAAGTATGCGTTGTTCTTCATAATTAATCTGAAATGGTAGTTGGCAGCAGTAGGGGGAGTTGGGACGTTAAGTTTGATCTTGAAAGTGCTCATGACGACATTACCTTCTTCACCCTTAATCCACTCCTCTTGCTTCAAAGAAAGATTGCTCAAGTCAACTCTTTCCATCTGAACAACCTCGGTTCCGTCGATAAATTTGCTGTCTCTCTGGTTCACAATGAATGCTGCCCAATAGTTCTCAATCTTACGTGGGAAGTATGGAGCATAAGACAATGGTAATAATGGTGCATCTTCGTTTGATTTTAATGGGTTCTTCAAATCTTCAATAGTCTCTTCCTCAAGGAATTTATCTTCTTCCACGTCCGCGCAAGATTTCAAGGCTGGGGACTTGATGAAGAACTTAACAACCAAGTGAGACATGGCATTAGGAGGAATGAAGTCCTCACCTGGCACACGGAAACTGGCGTCCAAGATACGAATGAAGGGAATCTGCTTAGCGACATCCAATGCAACCTTCACCTTCTTTGGATCCTCGATACCCAACACTTTGGATGCTTCTTCCTCAGACAAGGTTACCAACTTACCTAACTTCTTGATTGGTTGTGCTTCCACCACATTCTTGTTAACGTATGGCAATTGTAACAATTCTTTGTGCTTTCCCAATGGAGAAGAAGCCTGAAGAATAGCCTTTTCAAGGTCATAAGCAGCTTGGACGACATCTGGGGTTCTGAATACGGTGGCAATTTCAACGAATGAATTGATTAGGAACGGGAGCTGGGAAACGATCTTCAATTTTTGAACTTCGTTGTCACCGGAAAAGTCTCTGTTCAAGTACTCAAGCACCAACTTTTTAATTTGATCAGCGGACAAGTTCAGATTCTGAGAAGTAATCTCATCAGATTGGAGAATCCAATCCAAAATATCGAAAGGAGTATACACCTTTCCTGGGTTCTTATCGGCCATCTTTCTGGTGAAAAGAGTGGCGGTATCCACTCTCAAGCCCTTCTTGGTGTGGGACTTGACATTGGACCACCAGCTGCCCACAACATAAGGCAAAATGACACCAATCAACAAGAAGTAAACCACAAGCATGATAGGAGAGTACTTGCCTTCCACCAAAAACTTGGGGATAGCAATACCTTGAGAGATCTCTTGAGGACCATCTGGGTGGCCGTACAATTTCAAGTTATTCTTCGTGACTTCATCTGTCAAAGCCTTGTAAGCGAGATTAATCCTAATAAAGGCTGCCTCCATCTCCTCTTTCTCCTTTTGGGTCAGATCTTTCTTGATCTTATCAGGGTGGAATTTCAATGATAACTTTCTGTACTTAGACTTAATTGTCTTGTCGTCAGCATTGTATGGAAGATCCAAGATAGTGTGAGGGTCAAAGAGACCTTGCAAGCTTACTTCCTTAGCGTAAGTGATCCAAATGTAGGCCACTGCAGCCCATCCAATTATGAGAACCAAGAGTTTCTTGTTGAAGATGCGGTCTGACTTCCGGCGTGTCTTGAGGCTGTCGATATTGGATGCAGAAGGCAATTCCAACGATTTGTGATCGTGATTGATGGCACCCTTGACATTTTTACCTCCCGAAACAGCGTCACTAGGCCACACTACACCAATGAACCAAGAGATCGTGAGCGGCGTCAAGCCAAACACTAACATGGCCAAAAGAAAATAGGGCCAAGTCTCGGAACCCTCATCATACTTATATTCCGATGCCATTTTATAAAGTGAGCTGGGTCAAGTTAGATGTTGGGTGTTGATTGAAGGTGGAAACTCGCTTACTCGACTAAAGACACGTATAAAATTTTCTATATGGAGGTATGGGTGTTTGCGGAGATCCATGGAAGCATGATAATTTTAGTGTGAAAGTGCGTCACCATGTATTTGGATGAAGAAAGCAGCAAAAGGGAAAGTAAAAAAAAAAGGCAAAAAGGCAATTTTCGGTCCAAATGGTCTTACCGTTTTGGAAACTTTACAAAAGTTTTGCAAAATGTGAGAATTAAATGGCTTGTAGCAAACATTGTATATATGACTAGCAGTTGAACATATGCCAGTAACCTTAGTGGTGGAACAAACGGATTGGGTTCTCAACGTAAACCATGTCCTGGGAGTCAGCGGCAGCGAAGACAGCCTTGTCCATCACAGAACCAGATGGAGCAGCAACAAACTTGACACCAGATCTAGCAGCTCTGTACACATTGTCTGGGAATGGGAAGAAGGCGTCAGAGGACAATGCAACGTTGTCCAACTTGGCCAACCACTCCTCCCTTTCGCTCTCAGTCAAAGGCTCAGGCAACTCAGCGAATTTGGACTCGAACTCGGACTTCTCTGGCTCAGTCTTTGGAATCTGGTTAGAAACGTACAAGTCAATAGCGTTGGACTTCTCTGGTCTTTTAACACCCTTAGCCCACTTGAAGCCAAGCACTCTTGGGTGCTGTCTCAACCACCAGTTGTCGGCCTTGTCACCAGCCAATCTAGTGCAGTGAATTCTGGATTGTTGACCGGCACCCAAACCAATCACCATACCGTTCTTAGCGTAACACACAGAGTTGGACTGAGTGTACTTCAAGGCAATAGTGGCAACAGTCAAGTCCACAATACCTTGCTCGGTCAAGTCGGTGTTCTTGGAGACGATCTCCTTGAAAGAAGAGCCCTTGATAATGGCATCGTTTCTCTTTTGCTGCAAAGTGATACCGTACACCTGTCTAGACTCAAGAGTGTCAGGAGAGAAGTTAGGGTCGATCTTCAAGATGCAATACTTACCACCCTTCTTCTTCTTCAAGATAGCCAAAGCCTCGTCGGAGTAACCTGGGGCAATGACACCGTCGGAAACTTCCTTGGAGATGATTTGTGCGGTTGGAACATCAACGATGTTAGACAATGCAATCCAGTCACCGAAAGAAGACATTCTGTCGGCACCTCTGGCTCTGGCATAAGCGTTGGCCAATGGAGACAAGTTCTCAATGTCCTCGACAAAGTAGATCTTCTTCTCCACGTCGGACAATGGCAAGCCAACGGCGGCACCAGCAGGAGAAACATGCTTAAAAGAGGCAGCAGCAGGCAAGTTCAAGGAAGCAGACAACTCCTTGACCAATGGCCACGAGTTCAAGGCATCCAACAAGTTAATGTAACCAGGAGAACCAGCCAAAACAGTGAATGGCAAAGTGCCCTGAGGAACAAAAGCCTGAGCAGGCTTCTGGTGAGGGTTGGCACCGTATCTCAAAGGCAATTGAGAGATGTTCTCAGAGTACTGCTTTCTGAAGAAGTCAGAAATGGCAACGTCGTAGTCAGCAGTGTGCTCGAAAGCTTTCAAAGCCAATCTGTTTCTGGTGTCCTGAGAGATCTCACCCTTCTTCAACTCCTCCAAGAAGCCGGCGTAGTCGTTAGGGTCAGACAAAATGGTGACTCTAGCGTGGTTCTTAGCAGCAGCTCTCAACAAAGTGACACCACCAATGTCAATCTCCTCAACAGCCTCATCAACGGTGACAGCAACCTTGGATACAGTCTCCTTGAATGGGTACAAGTTGCAAACAACATAGTCAACTTTGTCAATGCCCTGAGCTTGCAAGTCAGCCTCATCGCTGTCGAGGTTTCTGGCTAAGATACCTCCGTGCACGGCTGGGTGCAAAGTCTTGACTCTGCCTCCCAACATCTCAGGAGCGTGAGTAATAGATGAGACGTCCTCAACAGGGAAGCCAGCCTCACGGACCAACTTGGCAGTACCACCAGAGGCCAAGATTCTGACGTTAGCAGCAGTCAAACCCTTGGCCAAGTCCAACAAACCGGTTTTGTCGTAAACAGACAAGATAGCAGTTTTAGAGTTAGCCATTATGCTAGCAAATGTTCAAAATACCAATCCACAAGAAGTCTAGAAGTCTCTACTAGGCGGAGAGAAGAAGAATCCAATGAATTGTGAAGAAAAGGAGATCAAGGAATGGTTTTTTTCCAGGTTTATCGGTATTAATTGGTGTACGGGTGTCCCACTAATTTATGAGAGGAGATAGAGTCAGATTGGTGGGGGAGTCTGACTCGGGTCTTGCGGACATTTGACTTGTTTCACTTGTTGACTATCAAGTATACTTTAAAGGTGATAATTTTAGATAATTGAAGTTCGACTCTGAATATTTAGCCGTGGAACGTTACTTTATCTATTGGTTGCTAGTTTGGCCCCTCAGTCACATGACTAACGATGGATTTAAGTAACTCATCATGGACCACACCTACTAAAACCTTTTGCTTGTTTTTAGATATTCACACTAAATTTATTCTTTTCAATACACAAATAAACCTAGCAAATTCACAAAGCACCCGATTAAAGCGCTTAGTGTCTGTATCTCCACAAGGACAAAGTGTTGTGCTTCTTCCAAGTGTGACGACGACCAGCCTTGGTCTTGGTGAACAAGTGACCCTTGTTGATACCTCTGGACTTCTTGCCGGCAGCGGTAAGACCTCTGGACTCTCTGTGCTTGTGCACTGGGTTGACGATCCAGTTGTATCTTGCGTCTCTTCTGATAGCGTTGTGAGATGGGTCCACCAAAATGACCTCGTAGTACTTGTAAGTGGAGTCCTGGTTGACCCAGTAAGAGTTCAACACTCTCAAGTTACCAGCTCTTCTACCAACTCTCTCCTCGGCGGTAACTCTCAAGGACTTCTGGTACTTGAGCTGCTTAACACCCTGGTTGGTTGGCTTACCGTAAGTAGCACCCTTTGGAACAGGTCTCTTTCTGCCACCTCTTCTGACTCTAATACGGAAGATCACGAAACCCTGCTTGGCCTTGTAACCCAACTTTCTGGCCTTGTCTGGTCTAGAAGGTCTAGAAGCACGGTGGATGACGTTCTTCTGTCTGTACTCCCAACATCTGACTCTCAACAAGAATCTGGAGACATCAGATTGCTTCTTTCTTTGCAATTCTTCCAAGTATTTGTAAGCACCCATTTTAGTGTAACTTTTGTAAACGAAGAGTAGAAGAAGATTGTGAAAAATTTTTTTTATTGGGTAGGGTAGTGAGAGGTGAGCATACTGCAGATAAAACGATGCTTCTACTATTTGTGCGGGTAACTTTGTATTTGCAATTGTTATGACGAGAAGAGGTTGAGGGAGGTATTGAGTTTGAGCACAATCACGTGATCTAAAATGCATCACGTGACAATTCGGGACTGGTTATAATCGAATTAACACTATCCCTCCCATGAATGAAACTCTTAATGATTTAAAGTGTTTATAAAATCATAAGGTCATTGGATCATCTGGAGTCATTAGGATTATCACAATATACATTTAGAATAAACGTGCAACGTTTAAAACCATAAAAATGAAAACGAGAATTCTCATTTGATACGGTGTGATGGTTCGACGCACCTGAGCAAAAAAAATGGAGCTGGCGAGCTATGCACAAATTACTCCATAGAGGAACAATGTTCCAATAGGACATCTGCATCAGTTTAATGTCCCCGAAGATGTCAATGGCACCCTCAACTGGGAAGCCAATGAGCAATCTTTCCTTTGTGCATTTTGGCTGGCAGTTACGAAGAAATGTTCCACCAGCCAAGACTCGGAGACGTTTAAGAAAACAATAATAACTTACCCACAGGATACCAAGGCCCAACTAGTAGGCAAACAGGTATCTTTCCCGAGATTCTACCCAAGATTTTACCCAAGATTCTTCCCAAGATTTTATTGGAAAATACGTAGTCATATTATTCAAGCACGATAGTCACTTAAAATACCCATATGAGATTTAAACTCAAGATTCAAATTCCAGATTCAAACCTACCCATTCCAAAACGGCAAGCTAAACCCAAGATCCAAACCCACACGTCAACTCTTCCCTGTGCAATAAATTCCTTGAGAGGCGGGTCTCACAAGTCAGGCTGGGAATGTCCCCATTAGGGATGGTAGACGTGCGATCCAACATGAAACACCTCTAAGTTGTGCGCCTAAATAAGCAGCTTACTAGCCTTGAAGTATCTGACAGCATGCCTATTATTGACCAAATTGAAAATAATGTGCCATCGTAGCAGATGGAGCTTCATGATAATTCCGAGTATTTTCCTTACAAAACATAGAAAATATTCCCCATAATATTAACCATCGGCTGCACTTTGGTGCTCCATTTCCCTGCGAAACACCAACAATAGGTTTAACGTGGCCACCTGATGATACAATAAGATTCTTTTGGTGCGCTAGCTGTCTGTACACAATAGATAGAACTTGAAAGAAGTGCCCGTGCACGCATTTTCGGCTATGTTTGACGATCGTTTTGGGCCAATGGGGACACCGTTCCTATGGCGACGGATTGTTGCGGGATCAGCCTGGCAATTCCACCGATACAGTATTTCCGTCCCGCCACATTCCTCCAACAGCAACAATCAGTATGAGGTGGAGGAACTGTTTACAGTGACACCTCGTTTGGCATGGATCCTCTTCTACAGGATTACGAGCAATGGCTTGGGTTGGAGAGCCAGTGCATTACTGATGTGCCCCCACGCACAAACCTATGTATGTTAGTTTTCGATATTGCTCAAACGGCTCTCTCCCTCTCTCTCACTTTCCCTCGGTGGATTTTTTTTTATTGATTATTTTTGAGGAAAAAAAAAAAAAGAATTTGATTTTTCTTGTATGATCCGATATCCACCGGATAATTTCTGCCCACCATTGTCAGTTCATTGCTGAATGTGTCGATCTGGAGTCTCATCTCCGAGAAAAAGAACAATCGTCGATCTATTTGATGGATGTCGGAATATTCGGCAATCCAACGAGAAAAAATGAAGCTTTTTTGTCGGAGTATCGACTCTTGTAGGGCGCTCTGGCAAGGCTGAAGCGAAAATTCCCGGTCAACAATAAACCGCAGACAATAAAAGACCTGGTTCTAGTATGATGTTGAAAATGAACAACGCGAAAGATTTGCGCTTCAGCCCACCAGTTATTCAATCCCACCGTAAATGGAGTGCATCAAGCCAACAAACTGGTCAACCTACGAGGAAATCCCATCCTTGATCCCCACTATATACGTCACTTCAATCAGTAGCCCTCGGCTCCTCAGAAGGTCCACCTTTTATCGCAGTAATAGGCCACCGCCAACACTTTCCGCATTAGGGAAGACCCATATGCCCGCCCCATGTTAGGCGTCCAATCTTTCAAACCAGCAGACCCTTTCCATAGCAAGATTCACTACTGACGTCAGAGGGCAATGAAATCTGACTTATTAGGGTCCCCGCTTCCTCGCCGAAACCCTGAATTCCCCCACCAAATGTTAAATAATATTTGTCACGACCTTTAGGTAGAATCATTCTTCACTGCGTAGATTAACCGAGAGCCACGCTCATAACTTAATACCGCCCTACTTCAAGTGCTCGGCTACAATAAGCGATCCGCATAGTGGAAATCCTTATACTGCAGTCACACAAAACAACCGTAAAAATGTACGATACTCTCCCCTGTTCCCATTCTATTCCGACACGTGCTCCCATTTTTAGCTTTTGAGCCACTTCCAGAGTCAGTTGGTCGGCAAACTCAACGGCCGCTTATTGTGAAAGGGAATTCGTTCGTAATCGCACCTTCTGATGATTTCTTCTCGCATCCAGGAAGTGATCCCCCTTCATGCAAAGAGATGGTACATGCACTCTGGCAACTTTCAAGTATTCTTTGGGAATGGACCTGAAGACACCATCATAGAATTCACGTGGCGATTAAAGAGGCCGAGGGATCGGCAGATTCCCTTACAGGACCCCACACCTTCGATGCCTTTCGTTGCGTGGAACATCTGAAGTCACCGATTCGTCATTTTGACTTTTGCTCACAGATACCACAGCTAATCGTCATCGCGATCACAGGCAGCAGTCCTGAACTCCAGCAAAGAAAGAAGCAAGCATGCATAAATGCAGGCGCATGCAGTCGAATTGGCCGTTTTTTCGCATACGATTTGCATTTTCCGAGGTTCGCTTCTACCTCTATCGCTTAAAGAGCCTCTTTTTGCAATCCCCGAAAGTAGGATTCGGATATCTTTAATGTAGGGTTAAAGTTTCAGTTGATTATACACCAAGTTTGGAATAGAAAAAACACCAAAATTGGTAATGCACAATCAATCGCTTCCATTCATATCACCCTACTTAGACTTGATTTAGATTCATCTAGTACCTATCCATTCACCATCGGTGTTTATTGTCTGGTCACGCAACCTTTCACATTGTTCGCAACCTCAGATAGAAGCCATGCTCCAGCCTTCGTGCATCTTCTATGCGCAAAGTTGAAACTCGACTCTGCACATGCATGCAAGGCAGTATTTTTAGATGCACAGTTGCAGCAGGAGGCTTGCTTAACACGTCCTTCTCTCTGCAAGAGTGATAGATCGAGGTCCTTGCGAAACTTCTTGTTATAAATACGTCACCAAATTCCAAGATTTCTTGGTTTATTCTCAGATCCTTATCTACTTTCTTCCGGCTTTGAATCTCATTTATTTATCCATCATATTCCTATTGTTTCTCAGGGATATGGAAAGTTTACTTTGAACATCAAAGTGTTTCTTGCTCAATCATACCCTATGCTGATGGAACTAATACCCACCTACTCGGGCCCTCACTACGCAGATTCTTCTAATTGCTTTCATCGCGAATTGTTTATGCCAACGCTACCGAACCTTCTCTTGGACTCGGAGTGTTTCTTTGATATGCACCCGAACACAAATGAAGCTGGTCTCCCTGGTAGCCATGACAATCATCCGATCCAACTTCGACAGGATGGGTTTGACTACGAAGACGACAATGAACATACATCCTCGAACCCCCAATCAGTGACTGGTACATTGGCGGGGTCTCACTGGCCAGTCCAAGGCACCCAGAGTCATTCATCTTCCAATGACGATGCCCTGGGGATTTCCTATGACTCCCCATTCAAACCTTTTTCGACAGAAAGCATTAGCCACTCTTCATACTCGGCTCATCTGACTCATTACTATAATGCCCTGGTGGTACCAGACATTTCTCACTCGGTTACCTACCTGCCACTGAATGATGTTGCGAGCCTGACCTCAACATTTGCTTCTCCTATTCACGGGAGCCAGCACCACTTTGCACCACTCATGGCTCACCCTGACCATGGGGCCGTCAAAAAGGAGACATATGACGAACCTGTTCACCTGAGATATCCAGGTAATTTGCCAAGTTTGCCACAGAGTACTCCAAATGCCGGTCCTGTTGAGTTGTCCACCTCCTATCCCGGTAGCACTCTTGGAGATGTGCAACGCTACCCCGATATGACCACAATGGTTAATTCTAACGCTGCTATTGCGGCTCCGATGGTGGAAACCACATTTGTCGACTTGAAAGTGTGTAATGTATGCGGGAAGAGAATCACAAGGGACATGATTCGTCATATGAGAACCCACCAGGCCCACAAGAGGTTTAATTGCATGTTCCCCAAAGATTCATGTGATCACAAGTCGGGCCAATTCAACAGAAGATACGATTTTAAGAAGCATTTGCTAAACAAACATTTCGACTTTGTCAATCCAAGTGTGAAGAAAGTACACAATTTGCGCGATAAGCTCAATGATTGGGGTTATTGTCCTTGTGGACGGCAATTTTTATCGAGTGACTGGCTCGAAAATCATATCCTTACGGATGATGAAACGAAGAAATGTCCAATGATGACAGAGAAAACAAATAGGTGATAATACGGAATAAATTGATGATACAGACACTAGTGCGTAGGACTACAAGACATGGAAAACATATGAGGCTGAATTATCAGAAACAAAAGTTGACTAGCAATGGCTCTTGGCGACTCGAATGAGCAATTTCAATCGGCATTGATCAGGCACCAGGAACCAGCAGTCCACAAAGGGCAATCAGGAAATGCATGACGATCGTTCAGCAATCAGCAATCGGTGCTAAATTATCACCAGAAACCCAACTAACTCAACAAATATTTAATAACTTGCAGTAGAATAGATTTAAATTAATTGATCGTGAGAATTGCCTTGAACGTAGAATATTTTCACCTCTCATATCGGAGCAATTTATTAGGAATACATTCACATATGACACACACATAAACTAAGAAAAAGATACACCCTACTTCACCTCGAAAAGCTCTTTACCAGAGACAATCTCAACCACGGGCTTGGACGAATCGAAAGGTTTAGCAATTAAAAGCTCAGCAGCCTTGCCAACCTCGTCACCATAAATTGGAGCAAAAAGCGACTTCGTAAATGAAAACTTGTACATGGGCCTCATAAGATATTCTGTCGCACTATTGAGAAAACCCTTCGACTTTTCACGTTCTCCAAGCAATGGTCCTGGGCGCAAGATAATGGTCCGAGGAAACTTGAGAGCAATCACATCATCTTCCAAACGACCTTTCGTTTTCATGTACAAGAAGGGCGACAGAGCACTTGCACCAATGGAGGAGATTAACACAAACGTCTCCACGCCGGACTCTTTTGCCGCCTTAGCAATGTCATAATTGATACCGTAATCAATATCCACAAACGCCTGAGCTGAACCAGCTGCACCTCTGGTAGTGGCAAGACTGGTGTAGCAAATCTTTGGCTTCGTGGCGGCAACTATACCAGGGTACTTTGTGGAGTCTGCTTCCACAATCTTTTCCAATTTGGAACTTTCGTAGTCTAAGCTGCGGCGGGTAACCGTGACCAAATGGTTGAGAGCATCCAGCTTGTCTGCGTACTTCAAGAATGCAGCACCACACAATCCTGTAGAGCCAAAAATTATAGTTGACATTGTTTGCTGTTAGATTTGATTATCAAGTGCGATTGAAACAGGGTATTTGTGGCCGTGCAGGCCACGGACCCCTACATCTCGAGAAGGTCGAGGGCGGCATAGTGCTGGCAGAAACTCTTCCTCCACGAAACCTTATAAATAAGCAGTTGAGCATAAAGGACCACATATAATTGGGGGAGTGTGCATGTGGGGGTCCCAAATGTGGCTCGGGCATCTTATCCAAGCTACTGGTGCCGAAAGTTGCAGATCTCTCGACCTTTTTTTTTCCTGATCGAGATCATCATGAATACCTGGCATAGTTTGTAGTAATGACGATTTATTGCTTCAGGGAATAGTTGCTATTAACCATGGCCAACGATAATATACGAGGTTTATGACTTTGATGATAGGAGGGTTCGCAAAGTGTTCAATGAATCGATGTCCCCCTCCCACACAACGATTTAACTGACACCAATAGAGAATGTCTAAATCACGACGTTGCCTTGATTTTAGGAGGAGCAGAGAAGGTGTTGATGAGGGGGGCAGACTGGTTGATGGAGCTACCCTACCCTGTTGATAGCGCGATCCAATTATAGTTGCAATTCATGGATGTCCGAAGAATATGTAGAAGCATGCACCAGTGGCTGCCCCTCGCGGGCAGTCGGACTTCCATGTTCGCATGATGCTCGCGCAATGCAAAGACCCTACGTGATGGCATCCCCTTTGCATCGAAGCAAGAGGTCTCATTTGAAGTCCTTGGTCCAAGACACAAAAAAAAGCTCGATCCTCACTTCCATGCATACATGCAGGATGTGCATCGAACCAGTCAAACTGGTGACGTGGTATGCACCACGAAACAGGACAGTGCAAAGTGGGGAAAGATTATTTTTTAACCATGAAGTACAAAGGCTATTAGCACATTATGCTGATAGATAAGTTCTCAATGAGTATTCGAACTCGGCAAACAGAAAAGAAACAAACTTTAAAATCACAACCAGTATTACGTCAAAATGTACTCAAAAAGAAACAGATTCCTCCACATTGCAAATCGTTAGCCGTTTTTCAGATTTTCAGATTTTCTTTTTTTTTTTTTTTTATTTAATTATTTTTTAGCATTATGCACGTGCCGTGATCGTTGGTAATCCTACTATATTCCGTTGAAGTGCGTGCGATTACCCAAAGCCACTAAACCATTATCCTTACTAACAATAGGGGAAAGTTAAGCTTAGCAAGTCTCATCGCATCCAATTTTTTTCCGGAACCTTGCAATATTGTCTTATTGCTTACTTTGAATCGCGTGCTCTCAGCGTTTATCCGGACCTCTTAACGTCGCTGAAAGCTTAATTTCGCAAGCGTTTGCTATTGCTATTGACTTTGCCTTCTCCCGACATATCTCCTGTCAAGAGAATCTCATGACCGTTGAGCCAATCCCTTAGCACAATCTTCTTATGTATCATCTCGGCTCGGACCTGGACCCCCAGGAGGCTCACCAGCCTGGTTTCCACTACTTAGACAAGGATAACCACTACGCGGAGTATTGGCTCCATAGCCAACCACACCACCAACATGGCCACCAGCCATATCCCAGTTCGGCACCTGCAGTGGCCACCACTAGCGACGATTACTTCAGTTTTCTGGCGAATCCGCTGCCTCCAGAACATACAAACGAACCTCCAATAGACCACTTCCCCTCGCTCTTCAAGCGGAATGACGGCGACAGCTATGTCGACACTGGCAATCTTCAGCTTAAACCACAAAACCCATCTGCTGGTGTTTTTCCCAACAAGATACGGCATCGTTCGAACTTATCTCACTCCTATACAAATTCCAATCGCTACAACCATCCCGAGTCGACATCGGAGCCTGAAACCTCGTTCCAGCCTGCTCAACAGTTCCAGCAACTACCGCAGTCACATCTCCAGCAGCATCTGCATCATCTCCAGCATCTCCAGCATCAGCAGCAACAACAGCAACAGCAGCAACAGCCACAACATCTGCACCAGCATCAACTGCACCAGCACCAATCTGCGCATCTATCTCATCAACAGCACCAGCATCAACACCCGCAGCAATCAAAAACAATGATGCGGCCTTCTTCTATTCTGCGTACAAAGAAGCGCAATCCAGGCTTTCGGATCCAGCTCGATAACTTGGAGTCAGGAAGCCCTCTCCAGAGATTCCAGCTGCAGATTCTGGCTAGTCCTCACTCCGACTCGAGTTTCGAAGTCAACTACAACCATATGCAAATCTTGGGCCCCGATGTGTACCTTCAGCAAGGAACTGGGGACATGGACAAGGGCCAAGAAAACATCACACCTCTCATGAATCCACCACAGACTACAGAACATGGATATTTTGGTGCTTATGATACTCGAGATGCTCCTATCGGCGATGGCTCTATGCTTGGAGGATACTTAACTGTGCCACCAGAGGCTGATGAACAAGACCACAGAAATCGTAATAGTGAGATTGACAACTACCTTAACTACCCCGTCGATGACATCGGTGGCTACTATGATTTCGACGAGAGGAATGGGCTAGACAACGAAGCATTCAACGGCTTTTACAACCACGAGAATGCGCGAGCTGATGTTAGTTTCATGCCTCTTTTGTTCGAGAATGGCGCTAGACCCGATCCCGAATCCCAAGCAGAACTCAGACCTCCTCATTCTAATGTTCCAACTGGCGGTGGCACGTTTCCAAAGGGCATTCACGACGGACCTCCTAATGGCTATATCCCACAACATGCCCGAGTTAACGCAAATCAACAAAATGAACAATTGGAAAGAACTCAGAAGCGTCCAGTTGTTCCCCTTCAGGATGGCGGCCTAGACAGTCGTCAAGAGCACATCCAGGCACCTCGCCAAGCACTTCACCAGAATATGCGACAGGAGCCATTGCGGGAACCAAGTCAAGAACAACACCAGGAGTCTCGCTCAAAGCCTGTTATTCGCCAGCCTCTTGAAGGATCGCATGCTTTAGAAGCGGAGGGGAACTATAAGGAGCTGCGTCTTGGGGAACATCATATTCCAGTTCAGGAAAATATTCAAGACGAACTTCGAACACAGGGACTGCCACGAGCAAATAACGCGCTTTCTCCATCTCGCCCCGAGTTGGAAAGGTCAATTTCGGAGCCTATTGCCACCGAAAGATCTGTTGACAAGAAATTAATCAAGTTGATGAAAAAGAAGAAGTCGCCGAAGGGAACAGTGTGTTCAATATGTGATAAGTTTATCAGTCGTGATTTTAGTCGCCATATTCGTATCCATAACGAGGTTGGACGGTTTCAATGTGTGTTCCCTAGGAACTACTGCAAGCATAGGACTGGGAAGTTTAACAGACCATACGATTACAAGAAGCATCTACTCAACATGCATTTCAACTTTGACGAACCGTCTGCGAAAACCGCACCCAATTTGAGCGATAAGCTTAATATCCCTGGACTGTGCGTGGCATGTGGGCAAAAATTTGTTGGTAACGACTGGCTTGACCATCATATCTTGACCAAGGACCTTTCTAAGAAATGTCCTGAGCTACAGAGGCTAGAACGGATTTATGGCGAAGAATCTAAAACTGAAAATACGGTGGAGGAGAGTGTTGAAGACAAGTTCCTTGAAGACCGGAACTCGGATATCATTGATGAGGATTTCGATGACTCCAATTAATGTATTGTATCTAAGCAAATTCTGGTGAAAGTGAATCCTGTCACAATATCAGTGCTCGCTATCTAACAATTATGTGAGCATTTTAGTTCACCATATGTGAGATGGATTGTGCAGTACGCTGTCCATGTTAGGCAACCATAAATGCTCAGTGAAATTTGCTCACTTAATATATATACAATGTCTAGGGGACGTCTTCACCTGGACTGATACTTTTCGAAAACACAAATTCAATTAATCTTCATTTCTTCCAAAATGGATCTTTTAAGAAGGCACCACGATTCCTCCCATACATCTGTCGTCGTCGATATGGCCATGGCTTCAGCAACTGCCTCCATGTCAATGGATATGAGTTCTGAAACCTCAAGTACAATGGATTCGAGCTCAATGCACATGAAATCAACGAACATGTACCTCACAAAAGCATATGCCGATTATCCAGTTCTTTTCAGCGGGTTGAAGGCCTCGAATGGTGGACAGGCTTTTGGAATTTTCGTTCTTATCTTCGCAGTTTCGTTCTTGAGCAAAGGTCTTGAATTCTTCAAGAACTACTTAGAACAGAAGGTTTGGAACAACCCAAATTATCTCATTCCACAACAAACCACCATCATTGAGAATTGCGAATGTGACGATTACGATAAGTCTGACGCGGAAAAGGTGATTGAGAGTCAGACATCCACAGGTAGTCATACTAGACTTTCACTTGCAAACACTTTGGTGAGAGATGTGGTGAGATTTGCGTTGATTTTCATCTCTGAGCTTCTCGGTTACGCTATGATGTTGGTAGCCATGACATTCTCTTTGGTTTACTTCTTTGCCGTGGTTGCGGGTATGACTTTCGGCAGATTCTTCTTTGAGAGATTGAGTGATACAATGAGTGTCCGGCCCGGAGCCAACAACTTCCAGGGACACCACTAACGAGGAGCAGTTCATAGATTCTAATAACTAAATTATTTCATTAATCTTTCTGGCAAGCTCGTTGTACTTTGATTTGTTGAAGGAGCTGGCATTGGACGATGCAAGCTTCTCACTGTAAACCAACCGCAAAAGATTCAAAATCTCGTTCTTGGTATATCCCTCCCTGTTTTCTGTAATCTTTTGCAAGAATTGATGCTCACTGACTGTAAACAACTCAAAGTACTTAGATGCTTTGCTTAGGTCAACAGAACTTTGTTGCCTCAGAACACTTCTCAACATCTGTTGTAGAGTGAGAATGTTCAACAAGATCCGCTTGATTCCGTTTCCATTGGTGATCTTAATGATCTCACTACCTTGCAAGAAGGCCATGTTAATGAATTGTGGGAGTCCCAAGAAAACACACTCGTTCTCCTCAATGCTCAAAACGTCATGGATTCTGGTACCAATGTAGTAAAGTTCCTTGTTGTACTGAGTAACAAATTGATCGGCATCCGCAGGTTCAGTTGCTAACACAAAATTGTCTTGGTAAGATTTACCAATGTGATACAAGGCTTTCAATCTCACGTCGTATCTCAAAGCAATTAACGAGTTGTCACGGATGCTTTCGAAAACTTCGATGATGTTATCGAACTCAGAAATCTTTTCCAGGCTGAGAGTTAAATATTCATGCAGAGCCCTTTCGGATATTCCATAGGACGACCGTCCGTTCTCTAAGAAGGAATAATCATATTTCAACTTTTCAATTTCTGACACCTTCAGGTCATTTGAATTGTAAATGGAGTAGTTGGATTCTTTACGCATATTTGGAAGCCACCCAAGAATCCATGTGGCTGTTAAAAGGAAGTTACAGACTTGATTGAACCAGTCATCGTCGAAAAAATCATCCTTTGTCAAGTCGAATATCTTGTCTGAAGAGTTGTAAAACATGAGTTCGATCTCCTTCGCCAACAATGCTGTGCAGCTCTCTGGCTTTTCATGATTCAGCAATATTCCACCAGTAACCTCTATCATGGCTGGGGTACGCATCCACTTATTGAGCTGCAGAATCAGCTTAGTTTGTGATTCGAGTCCATATCTCATTTCTGTAATGTCATGAGTAGCACCAGTGGACAAAAGCTCACGGTATGAATCTTCATAGAATTTTGCAAATCTATTCAACAAATTCAACACCGTCTCACTGTAATCTCTACGGTATGCAAAGGAGGTATTCATGGTATGACACACATGAGTGAAAAGTTGCTTGAACTTAACTGCACTCAAATAGACTTCACGTGTGGTGATATTTGACAGTTTTTGAAATATGCCAGCATCATTAATAGAGACAGTTGACTGGTCAAATTGAAACTGTATCATTCCTTTTGTTGAATCAGTTGGTAGGCGTGAGTAGTTATCTCCACCCATACTCTCATCCAATGATTGGTTGAGTTCTTCCTGCAACTTCTTCAAAAATGAACCCTTCATGAACTCATAAAAATACTGATATGCAACCATACTAGTACCTTTACTTTTGTCGAAATCAGTAAATAGTAAATGAGATCCAGTGGTGAAAATGAGAAGAAATTCAAGAATGATTCTCATATTGAATATGTTCTTAGGAACAAGAATCTCCACCAAAGTGTTGTAACGCTCACTCGTAATATAAGGTGATGAATCGTTCCCGCTCGATTTCTGAGTGCCAATAGAAAATCCTGGGAACATTTCGTCAAGAACCTGCTTCAAATTCTCGGAGCTTGTCGTCGATGAGTCGTAAGATACATCATCAAACTGAAACAACTTATTCTTATTCATTGCCTGGTGTAGTTTGCTTGCCGCATAGCCATGCTCACCCTTACTTTGTAACCTGTCATCCTCTTCGTAAATGTAACTTAAAGTGAAGTTATTGATTTCCTTCTTCATAATCTCCCAAACGTTCTTGAAATCGTATGTGGAAGTTACTGTGGAATTTCTTGCCGAGGAGCTAGGCAAAGTGCGACCAGATTGAAGTAACCTCACAATCTCACAAACGGTCTTGTGTTTCAGCAAAACAACAAGACATTTCACAAAAAAAGTTCCAAACAAATCCTGCAAAATAGGGACAGAGGCGTCGCTAAATGTCTGTCCACTTATCTTATCATATGAGGTTGCCTTTTCGAGTGACTGTACTTTTGCAATTCTTGCTAAATGAGTGTAATTTTTCAGTTTGATTTCATCAGTTGTTTGATTAATTAATGAATGAATTTCCAGCTGTACGGTGGTTGCAAGAATCTCCAAGATCTGCTCGAGCCTATTCAACTTAGATGCTGTGCTCAACAACATGTACATGTAGTATAATGATTCAGTAGCAGGATTCAGTGCTGCTTCAAGGAGAATGGAGTAATCAATTTTGTTTTCATGCTTGGAGTAATGAGCATGTAATTTTGGAAGTTGAGATTCAAGGAAGGATTTAGTAGAATCTGTGAAACACTCTGTAATTTCTTGGATATCCAAATTTGCAGAGTTATAAATGTACAGCTCCAAACTTGTCAGCTGACCGAGCAAGCTTTTAAATGAAGCAATCTGATGATTATTGGACTGTATCAAACTGCTCCACGAATCCTTTCCCTGACTGAGAAGCGACAAGTTCTTAAGGTAGATCTCATTTTTCAATTCATCCACGATCATATCATAAAGATTGTTAGACTGCATTTCAAGGTATACTTGCGTGGCATTCATGGCCGATAAAGACCACAAGTTGTACTTCGCAGCGGTCTTGTGACCCTCTGCAATTACATCGTAGACTTCATGAATCTTTTTCTCGGTGATCAACTTGTCAATCTGCTCGGGTAACTTATGCAAGTCCTCCATGGCATCCAAGATATCAATCATCTCAGCATACTTGGTGGAACTGTTGTCCAAATCCTTGAGATAGAGGGACCGGTCCTTCATATCTCGCGTACTCGTCTCAATTAAATTCTTGATGTGCGTGGAGTCATCCTGGGATTCCTTTGCCATGGAAAGAAGCAAATGATACAGACCAACACTATTATTGAAAGTATCGTGGTTTTCTACCACAGCAGCCCGGAGCGACTCCGCTGTGAGTTGGCACAACTCGTCAAATTCAGACTTGCGGTGTGCCAATCCCACCGAGGTATCGTCTAGAAATCCAATTGCCAATTCTAGCGGAGATACTTCACCTGATACTAGTTGAGGCCAGTCGTACCGGACATCTTTATAGATTGAGCGAAGATCTGCGAGTGACTGCTGTGACTTCTTTTCGTCATCTTTCGACATGCTGCCGCTGAACGACATGCTGACCGCACGATGTCGATTTCCCATGGTGGAGGTTGGGCTTAGAAAGTTAGTATGGAAGTTGTGTCTTGATCTTGGACGAGTATGTGAGGGGTACGGGTGTAGAGAAGGGCGGAGACGATATTCACATTAGCTGGGGAGGGTGTAATTATATTTTTGATTAATTAAGTTTTATTCTACTTCATGTATCTCAGAATTGTTTATAACCGGATTTACAAGGAATAATGTTGTTCTATTTTATTGACTTGTTGTATATGGATTATGTATAAAGTGGTATGGGAACAAATACTATTCGCAACAATCAGCTATAATCAAAATAATCATACAATTCGATAGTTATGAAAATGGCAAAATTCTACAATTTCTAAAAACTTAAGATCACCTTGACAAGGTTGAATTAATTGAATACTTCACATCCGTATCAAAACATAAAATCAATACCTACTTCATCACATCATAATCATTACAACCATCTCAAGGATGTATAGATGCAGAACTCATATGAGATCAAAATCTAAAAATTCATGGAATTGATAGAGCTTCTGAGTGATCCGAGCTCCAACTCGCTGCCAGTAAGACATGACAGAAGCCACCGTGAGATCATCCTGTAAGTCTCATTGTTTTTTGATCACTTTTTGCCTCATACTAACCCAACAGCGTCTCAGATGACTCTGAAATCCATAACGTTGATAAAGACACCAAAAGCGATGGAATGAAACCATGTACGGAATTGGAGACTGAAGAACTCTCCGAGACTGACCCATCGAAAAACAAAGAGTCCTCTCCTCCCAAAAAGAAAACCAGCATCCTCGATATGAGTTGGCTAACTAGTTCAGAAGACGACGCGTTCTACCGTGATCTTATAGTGAGTGCCAGCCAGAAATCTAGCATGAAACCTCCTAGTCTCCGCAAGCAAGTTCTTAATTCATCTCCGACGCTCGAAAGAGTGAGTAGGGTGGACTTTACTGGTACTTCATCTGCATCGTTGATTCTGGAATTGTCGCAGGCGAGACAAGAGAACCACAGCTCGAAGCGAGTTAAATATTCACCCACCGGAGAGTTTTCTGACCCAATCAGCAGCTCTTCTGCTGTTTCCTCTCCTCCACCAGCACCCAAAGTAGCCAAGTCGAAAGCAAAAGGAACAACCAAAGGAAACAAACCCAAAGAATCCAAAACCAAAAATGGCTTTTCCGACAAGGATTGGCGCTTGGCTAACAAATTGAGACGTACCAGAGATGAAATCCTCAAAGAAATGATCGTGGAAGTAGCTCTTTGCCTCGAGGAATTGATTTCAACCGAACATTTCAAAGAATGCTTTTCAAACTCAGCTGTTCGAAGGACGTATTTGGAAATTCCATTGGTCTCATGGAAAAGGAAAGTCACAGCTGACTACAATGCTGAAGAGGATGTGTTTGTTCCATGTGAACCTAAAGAAATTTCTGAAAGAGTGCTCGCTCTCTATTATGAACCGCAAGATCTAATCGATAGAATACAAAATGGGAGCTTGGAGGTCCACATCAGTACAGCACTCAGACGAGCAAAAATAGAGAATCCGCTTCTGAAACATCATTTGGTAATTCTCGTGCCGTGCTTTAAAGAATACCTTCGCAAACTCCAATCTGCGGAAGACAAGAGATATCGAGAGCAAATGTTGCTGCAGATGAACATGACAACTACAAGGCAACTCGACGAAGATGACCATCCTATGAGCGCTAGCGAAGCTCAAAAATTGCTAATAGAGACCGAGGTGTCGTTGGGTGTGAATATTTTTTTAACCAGGTCAGTCGAGGAAACCATTGACTGGCTTACTAGTTTCACTTTCACTATCGGAAATTCGTTGTATGACAAACATGAACGAAATCCTGAGTTTGCTAACTTTGGACAGACTAGACTGGGAAGTGACCGCAAGAGCACGTTTGTGGAGATGATGAAAAAGTTCAACTTAATGTCTAAAATGAAGGCAGAGAAACTCTACGAATTCTACACTTCTCCTGCCAGCCTTTTCAAAAGACTCAGCGAGAAAGATAATTTGGGCACAGTCAACGGTAAGACCATCGTGCCTCCTACAGTGAATTCGGCCATCAGAAGGGTATTCACGTCGTCCGACCCGAATCAGGTAATCAATGACTAAAGTTCATGTATTAAGTGCAATCGTTGCGAATGAAGTCTGCAGTGATGAATCTGCTGAATATGTTAGTAATACAAGGAGAGAAGAATGGATGACACTTCATGGTCACCTTAAGAGGAAGCTACTTGCCTTGCTGCATCAAAGTCGTCATGTGAAAGCTGGTCTCTCATGTGCTCGATGGTGTCCAAGTTGGCAGCCAACTGAGAGATCTCCTGTGGGGTGAAGTCGAACTTCAAGTGATTTAACTGGGTGAGAATATTGAGGGCCTTGTCGATGCATCCAACGTTTCCGTCTTTGGCAAGCACGTTCACAAGCTGCTCGACCAACTTGTCTGAATGAATATGCTGCCTCTTTTCGTCGTCCAATCCCGTCGACAATACCGCAGAGAGAAGAGAGAGCTTGCGCAACAACATTCTGTGGTCAGAGCCTTGCAACTTGATGGCCTCGAGACCGCCGAGCTTGACGAACTGCTCGGTACCAGGCTGGAAGTTCCTCACCAAACTGGCCATTGCAAACAAACACTTCAACACAAGAGAAGTTGGGGTGGCAGAGTCAGACGCCAATTGCACAAGCTTGGACAAACCGTTGTCCTTGGCTAGAAACGCCGTCTGCGAGTCTGGGTTATTCTGTGTGGCAATGCCTACGATGGAGGCAGCCAATACTTGGAATTCAACGTTGGAGTTCAGCAACTGAGCAATGACTGCGGGCCAGAGCTTCATGTTCTCGATGTTGTTTGCATTATCCAAGTTTTCGATCAACATCTCGAAGTTCTCCAACGCGACTAACTTGTCATCGTCGGAGGCCTCCGGGTTTTCCACCACACTTATGGCCTGTCTCATTAGAGCAGGCTCATCTGGAGCACCAAAGAGCTGCTCGAGCATTTTTGGGTCAGGTTGGCCGATTTTCTCCATGGCCTCCTTGTCCCCGCTTTGTTGGGCAATCGACCACTGCAATAATTTTTCCATGTTATTTTTCTGTATTGTTCACTACGAAATGTCTCCACTCTATCTTTCACTTATAGTAAGCGATGGATTGATGCTGGTGCTGTCTGCAGTACGTTCGAGAAGATTCGGGAAGTGTCCAGGCCAAAAGAGTTCCCGCGATATAATGGTAGTGGCCCGTAAGCACATTGAGCGCATGCCATGGTTGTATGCGCTTGTGCAGGCCGGGGTCACTGGGTCCGCCAGTCCGGGTCCGGGGTATTCGGGATTAGGTGTTGGAAAATACTGAATTAATATGTGAAGACCACGAAATGAAGAGAGCAATTCTAAAAAAAAAAAAAAATTTATGATGAAGAAATTGAAGTAAGAAAATTGGTGCTGAAATGTTTCCCCACCATGATTTCTACTTCCCAGTCCTTTAAGTTCTATGCGACTATGAGGAAAAGAACTAATTCCAGCACACATTGAGAAAAATCCCCGTGTTGGCAGTATCACCACAACACTAGACAATTCAAAAAGCATTAGATACACTCAATTGCTTCTACACAACCAACCACCACGATACACCCCCCAATCCACACCCACCAGGGTCTCCTGACTGAGTGGTGTCATATCTCAGGTGACGGATCAAGGTAAGCCGTAGGGAATGAAGTCCGAGACACAGGAAAAGTGCACTGAGGCCGCGACTATATAAGGTGGTAGGGCCCCGGGCACAATCGTTTCTGTCTTTTTCAACTATAGCACTTGCTACTATAAGAATTGTCATGTCATTGTCTAAGAAATTGTCTGTTAAGGATTTGGATCTCGCCAACAAGAGAGTTTTCATCAGAGTTGACTTCAACGTCCCACTCGACGGTACTACCATCACCAACAACCAGAGAATTGTTGCTGCCTTGCCAACCATCAAGTATGTGTTGGAGCACAAGCCTAAGGCCGTGATTTTGGCCTCCCACTTGGGTAGACCAAACGGAGAGAAGGTCGAGAAGTACTCTTTGGCTCCAGTTGCAAAGGAATTGCAGTCCTTGTTGCCTGATGAGAAGGTGACCTTCTTGAACGACTCTGTTGGTCCAGAAGTCGAGAAGGCTGTCAATGGCGCTTCTGCTGGTGAGGTTTTCTTGTTGGAGAACTTGCGTTTCCACATTGAGGAGGAGGGCTCCAGAAAGGTTGACGGTAAGAAGGAGAAGGCCTCTGCTGAGGATGTGGAGAAGTTCAGAAAGGGCTTGACCGCATTGGCTGACGTTTACATCAACGATGCTTTCGGTACTGCTCACAGAGCCCACTCGTCCATGGTTGGTTTCGAATTGGACCAGAAGGCTGCCGGTTTCTTGATGGCCAAGGAGTTGGAATACTTTGCTAAGGCTTTGGAGAACCCAGTTAGACCATTCTTGGCCATCTTGGGTGGTGCTAAGGTGTCTGACAAGATCCAATTGATCGACAACTTGTTGGACAAGGTCGACATTTTGATTGTTGGTGGTGGTATGGCCTTCACCTTCAAGAAGGTGTTGGACAAGATGCCAATTGGTGACTCCCTTTACGACGAGGCCGGTGCTGCCAACGTCGAGAACTTGGTCGCTAAGGCCAAGAAGAACGGTGTTGAGCTCGTCTTGCCTGTCGACTTTGTCACCGCCGACAAGTTCGACAAGAACGCTAAGACTGGAGTGGCCACTCAGGAAGAGGGTATCCCAGACGGCTGGATGGGTCTTGACGCTGGTCCAAAGTCCATCAAGCTCTTTGAGGACGCTGTTGCCAAGGCCAAGACCATCGTCTGGAACGGTCCACCAGGTGTTTTCGAGTTCGACGCCTTTGCTAAGGGTACTAAGGCTTTGTTGGATGCTGCTGTCGCTTCTGCCGAGGCTGGTAACACCGTCATCATTGGTGGTGGTGACACTGCCACTGTTGCTAAGAAGTTCGGTGTTGTCGACAAGTTGTCCCACGTGTCTACTGGTGGTGGTGCTTCCTTGGAGTTGTTGGAGGGAAAGGACTTGCCTGGTGTCGTTGCCATCTCTGAAAAGTAAAGGAATGAGCAAATTTGATATTTGTTTATATTCAATAAGAAACGATAATTATTTGGATATACGCTGTAGCCCTATCTAAAGCTTAGATTTTCCGCTCATGATCTGAGCCCACGCATCTTGAGTCAATTCCTCATACTTGTTGCCGTTCAACCAGTAGATAAGGTCCCTTCCATCTTCACCTTTGGGCAATTTCTGATTCTTGAATTGGTTCTTTGGAACCTTGTGGTTATGAGATGCCTGAATAGCATTGGCTCCAATCTTAATAAACTGTGGAACAGCATACTTGGGCAATGCAGTGTTCACATGAGCATACACCTTGTCCAAGACATCTTGGTCACTCAATCCATCCACAGGGTCAATCACGGCAAAGCCAGCTCTGCCTTCATGGTTGGGAACACGCACACCAACCACCACGCTCTGTTTGGTTACCTTGGATCCCATGATTTCGTTCTCCACTTCGGTGGCAGAAACATTTTCGGATTTCCAACGGAATGTGTCACCCAATCTGTCCACGAAATATAACAAGCCATCCTCGTCCATCTTCAATAAGTCTCCACTTCTGAACCAAGCGTCTCCCTTTCTGAATACGTCTCGAATGACCTTCTCATTGGTGGCTGACTTGTTTCCATAGTATCCCTGGAACGAGCCCTCGACGTTCTTGGCGTCCATAATCTTCATCAATAATTCACCAGGTTGGTTGTTGTCGGCCAGAACACAGAAGCCTGACTTTGGATCTCTCCAGATTTCATTTTCGTCATCTGGATCCATCTTGACCAATACCTGCGTGAGACCCAACACAGATGTGATTAACGTTCCGTACTTACGACAGGCGCCGACACCAAAATCACCAAATTGGATATTGGTGGTGGCAATTGGAGATTCGGTGGAGGCATAAAATTCTCCAACTCCGTCAATGGTGAAGCGCGACTTGAACTCTCTCCAAATATCCCGACGCAATCCATTTCCGTAGGCAATTTTCACGTTATGGTTCTTCAGGTCTGGATGGTACTTCGCATTCAACAAGTAACGACAAACTTCTCCAACGTACTGGATGTGGGTTGCATTCACCAACTTGGCCTGGGTCCAAAACGTGGATGCAGAGAACTTTTGGCAGATACTCACAGTTCCTCCAGTCAGAAGTGTAGGACATACACCAAGCATGGCGGCTGTGGAATGATACAATGGCATGGCAGTCATGACATTGGAATTCTTACCGATCTTCATGATTGTTCCGAAGAACGCACTTGCCATGAATGCCTTTCTCCATGACATAATGGCTGATTTGGGAAGTCCAGTGGTTCCAGAGGTGTAGATCAACGCACAGCACGACGAAGTGGAATCTTCAGGTCGTCTAGTATTATCTGGAGCTCTATACTTGGGACGATTCTTGTCTGACAATACCCGGAGCAACTCTGGTTCGTTGATGTAGTGCAATTTGACATTGGGCAACTCTCTATTGATCTTGTCCTCAGTGGCACGAATTGGCTCAGCACAGTCCGGGTCAATCAACACTTGGCTGATACCGGCAATCTTGATACAGTGCACCAAAGGCTTATCCTTGGTGTTGTAGTTCAAAAACGCAGGCAACGCACCAATGTTCCACAACGAGAGCCAGATGATGATGAACAACGGCTTGTTCATACAGTCGACACCGATGGTATCCTTAGAGGTCACGCCATAATCATTCTTCAAGATGTAACTGAATCTAAGCACCATGTCATACAACTCTTCGTAGGTGTAGGTCTCCAAGCTGAACTGATCATCATAGATGGGATAACCTTCCGCGTCGTAGGTAATGGATGGAGGGTTTTCCTTGGGCCTTGGGAACGCCACGGCCCTGTTCTTGGGGAACTTCTTGGCAGCATGCTCGAAGTAGTACCAATAACTGGCACGGCCTCTAGCAACGTTGTAGTAGTAAGGAATGACCTTCTTTGCAACGTTTTTAATCAAGATGAGATCTTCTTTGACGTGGTACTTTGCATCAAGTAACTGAGAGCCCACAACGGCCGCAGTAGCCAACTCTAATCCGGACATTTCTATGTAATAAATATGCTAAGCGATAGGAACTTGGTGGCTGGGATGCCCTTGCTATATATATTGTGAAAGTAGTATATCTCCGCAGCACCGTCGAGTGCATGTGGTTGGAAATCAGATGTGCGCTACCTCGGATAAATATGCTGTAACAACAGAGATTCTTATTTCTTTTCTTTCACTTTTTTCTCATGGAAAAAACAGTCGCACTCACTAGATTAATCTGGACATAATCATAGCATTCAGACCAATCATGTTGTAGACTTTAATGGCCATAAAACTTGTCACATGTCATTAACTGGCATTAACCTCCAAACATCCCTCTGATAGTTAAACGGTAGTGCATGGTGGCTTTATACCCGAAACTCGCATGGAATTAGATGCCATTTGCAGGGAACTTTTTAGAGTAAGCTTCCCGGTTAGGAAAATAATGCTTAGCGACCACTCACTGAGGGAAGTGATTTAAGAGGTTTCAGTGGGTTCCTGTACCTGAAGATATCTCACAGATTGTGTAATTGAAGATATTTCAAAGGCATTGGGTTAATAATTACCGAATCAAGTTGCTTTTTAATCTAAGGCACAGATTGTAGCCACATAGACAACGAGGTATAATGGCTCTTTTGGACTGGTCAGACAGTACTACCTGAGGTTCTACTGAAAGGGCCGCCACGCCCCAGGTGCAACGTATGAAATTGCAATCTCTGAATTCGCTCTCACAGGTGGTTCGGTTGTTGCCCATATAGTCAATTCTGCAAACCGTTCTCCTATGGAACGACATAACTGTGTCACTTTTTCTATCACCGAAGTACTGGAGGCATCTAATCCGTGCCGTATCAAGGCATGAAGCACTGATTCCAGTGAATATACATCCTGGGCTTTAAGGCAACAATGGATGTGTGGCTTCACGGTTTCTAATAGGACAACGTAAAAAAATGACTTGGTGCTTGACTTGTAACTGCTGGTCACGGCTCGGGCCAAATAGGGCAACATAAGGTCGTACTCCAGACACTCTGTTTCTGCAGCACACTCCAAGAACAACGCAACCAACCTGCGAGTGGCTTCTGATTTGGGCCGACTGGCGAGAGCGTGGGTGCAAAGCTCAACAAATATACCGTAGATAGCAGGACGACTGAGCTTGAAAGGCTCGAGGTTGTGGACGAGAAAGTACTGTTTGTAAAGGGAATCTAACGACTTTGCCCCGAGAGAATGCTGTTCCTTCTTCGTCGTAAGCAAATATAAGAGATGCCAATGCTCCCAACAAAAACACGAGACAACATCGACAACCAAACTTTGCAAATCTGGGCTCTGCGTAGATATGGCCAAGGTGTGGACAGCCAGAATCACAATGAAGCAATAAGATTCAAAAAAGTGGACGGGATTCGAATAGACTTGGTCACTTGCACCCAAGTGGAGAAGCTTGAACAATCCAAGATTTTTGGTAGCTGGGTCTGCCAGCTGTAAGAATACGGTACACTCACTTACACTTCTTTCGAAATTTTGCAGCGAGACCCATCCCGAGGTAGGTAATGTGCATTCGTAGCGAAGAAGCGACGATAATTGAATATGGTCGTCAGGTGGTGGGTCTCTCACGGGAACGGGACGAAGTGACAAGAGCTCCTTAGTCAGATATCGTTTCTTGAACATGAACGGAGACCCTGTAGATGCAATCAAATCAAGATAACATGGAGTACTTTTCTTCAATCCAGAAATGGAGTTTTCCCCTGTCAATGTAGCCAGCCCCAGTGGCCACTTGAACTGTCGAAACTCTTTCGCCCTACTCTTTCGAGATGTTTCTGATGTGCCGGGTTTCCCTGACATTTGGAGACCAGGCTCGCCAAACCAGCGGTATGGAGCAATCGAGTCGGTTGATGTAGTTGAGGATGAACCTCCGTATTTGTCTGGAGGTTTGTGAATAGGTGTAGAGACAAAGCCATTCAAACCAATGCTTGCAGCATAGTCAGGTCTGGTTCTGTCCATCCACATGCGGATGAAGAAGAGTGCAACAGCCGACAAAGTTGTGATGGCTACAAGCACAGCAAAAATACATAGTGAGGTTTGGATTATGTCTGTTTGGAAAAAATCCATGAATGTGGTATACGGTTTGTAAATCTATATACTAGGATAGAGAATCTTAAGTTTTCGCAGCCATTTGTACCACTCTCGCTGACACTAATGATCGACCCTTCATCACTTTTGAATAACAAATTTTACAATAACTTTACAAAATATAAAACCCGCTATTTTGCTATTTTAATTCTACTCTCTTTCTTAAACAACAAATCTTCCTGGTTATCGTTTTAGTTAATATATTTCATAGCAGCTTCCTCTGCAGTCTCCAGCCCATAATAATCGTTTGATTTCCAATGGATCCTCTCGTGATGCAGGAGAACATCCCACCACTTTATTCACCACCAGTTGGAAGTCTTCCCCAGCAATGTTTTGCAGGTCAGGATTCTACTTCACAAAGAACACCAGTGTGTTGAACATACTTGCACGGGCCAATGTGTCTCGTTTGTCCATTGCCAGACCACGCACCTCGCCGATTACTAGGCTCTGGCAGAATTTTAGACCTACAAGAAGCTATTCATCTACAACCCTTGCAGGCAATTCTCCAGCAAGCCCGGCCACTTCGGAGGCTGTCAAGAGTATGTTGAAGACCAAGAACCTCCCTCCTGTGGTGTCCAGTAAGATCACTGGCTACTGGCTAGTGGCTACATCTGGGTTAATTTTTGGTATTGTCGTGATTGGAGGTTTGACCAGATTGACAGAGTCGGGCTTGTCTATTACGGAGTGGAAGCCTGTTACTGGAACCATTCCTCCTTTGAACGAAATGGAATGGCAGGAAGAGTTCGATAAATATAAGGAATCGCCCGAGTTCAAGCAGTTGAACTCGCACATCACCTTGGAAGAGTTCAAGTTCATTTTCTCCATGGAATGGGGCCACAGACTCCTTGGCCGTGCCATTGGAATGTTTTTCATTTTGCCTGCCATTTACTTTTGGAAAACTAAAAAGTTCAGTCCCCATGTTACCAGAAGAGTGGTTGGACTCACTGGTTTGCTTGGATTGCAAGGTGCCATCGGTTGGTGGATGGTCAAGTCAGGTTTGGACGAGGACCAGCTTGCAGAGAGAAACTCCAAGCCTACCGTTTCTCAGTACAGATTGACCACGCATTTGGGTGCTGCTTTCTTGATGTACTTGGGAGTGTTGTGGACTGCGTTTGAGATTTTCAATGAGAACAAATGGATCAAGACCTTGAAGACAAACCCTGACAAAGTCACTGAGTTACTTGCAAAGTTAAATAGTCCTGCTTTGAACAAGACTAGAACCATCGCTCGCAGTCTCTTGGTTCTCACCTTCTTCACTGCAATGACTGGAGGTATGGTGGCAGGCTTGGATGCTGGCTTGATCTACAACACATTTCCTCACATGGGAGACGACTACTTGCCTTCTCGCAACGAGCTTATGTCTCCTGTTTTTGCCAGAAAAGAAGACCTTTCTGATTTGTGGTGGAGAAACCTCTTAGAGAACCCAACTACTGTTCAGCTCATTCACAGAATCTTTGCAATCACCACTTTCTTTTCTGTTGTCGCTGCTCAGTCGTTTGTCAAGCGGAACAAGAGCATTATTCCCACTCTGGCACAGAAGAGGTTCCACGGTATTATGGGCTTGGTGACTCTTCAGGTTGCGTTGGGTATTTCTACTTTGATCTACTTGGTGCCTATTCCTTTGGCTGCTGCTCATCAGGCTGGAGCTTTGGCCTTGCTCACCAGCTCTTTGGCCTTTACTGCTGCTGTCAAGAGACCTAGACCCCAGACTGTCAACTATATCAGCAAATTGTTGAAGGAGCAATTGTTGAAGACAAGTAAATAGCATCTCCTTTCTGTAAATAGCTACATTTGTATATGTTAAACAATGAAATTACCAGATACGCTTACTGGACATCTCATACCTGTGCACGTTCCCGAGGTCGTCCTCCCAACGTTCCGTCTTTATGGGCGAAGCAATATGTTTTTGCTTAACCTGCTCGTTTCGTTTCTCCTCGAGCGTGGGTGGTACTCGCTCTCCCCAGTCGTATAGATACGACCTTGTTTTAGGATTTATGCTTGATTGTTCTGTGTTGGGTATGCCAGGAATAAAAGATGATGCAATTTCTGTTTCAGACTCAAAGACAGACCGGTGGTGCAATTCGTAGTTCAAATACGCAACCGAATCATCTTTTTCGACACCAGACGACGTTGCAATATCCATGTCATCATGATGATTTCTGGGTAACGTGTCAAGCAGAATCTCGGATGGCGAAGGAGACATGGGAAGTTCAAGACCTGGTGAATTGACTCTCTCATTGTCATCGAATGGTGAATCAAGTGGGCTCTTCAAACTCGAGTCTTGCCCACTTGCCTCTCTCACTTTGGATTCAGCCATCCGAAGTTCTGCCTGATGAGCGTCACGATTATGCCTAATGTGTCTAGCCCATTTGAGAAGCCACAAGCTCAAGAGCAATCTAAAAACAAGAGCAGCAATCAATGCCAAGCTGATCAAAGCCAAGCTAGCCAATATTGGACCGAGCGTAGCTGCGGAAGGTAAGAACACCATCAGTAAATCCCGAGACAACATGCTCAAGAAGCAAATGCAAAGTGGCATGACTGGCAAGCCAATACGTTTGGTAACTAAAATATGATCGGAGATCTCATGCAGTGTCAAGGTCTTTGAGTTTTCTGAGAAGATCTCCATGAAATCTTGACTCAAGACGTAAAGAAAATTATCATAGACTCTGGGTCTAATTCTGTTGAACTTATTAATGAAGCAATGCTTGACCCAATCAACAAAGATTTCACTGCCAAGGACGACGACAGTGGGTCCAAAGATGGCACCAATCCATTTATTCCAAGAGTTCCAACTGTCGGGGATTAGTCCCAATTGAGTTCTACCCAACTGGAAAATATTCCGTAAAGCAATCACAGCCAACATAATGGTCAACTGAAATCTTTCAGTTAAGTCAGACATGGTGACCTGAAACAAGCCTTCTCTCTCGAACTTCTTGAACACTGCACCTTTGAGCTCGGCAAACTGATTGGATAGAAGTAGTGTGAGCAATGCATTTGAGTATGAGTTAGCTGCCACATGTAATGAAACAGTTTGGTAGATGAGCACATAAGAATGACAACAGGAATACAATAATGCAAGGGAGAAAAATAATAGGAGCTTTGTGATGTTGCGTGGACTAGTCACAGTAACTGGAATGCCTAAAAGTACCACTAAGATCTCCTGGCCAAGCGACGAGAGAAGCTTGTCAGTGACTTCTAAAACGCCAAACATCACATAAAGTTTGATATGGGCCTGGCCACGAATGTCATGGTACAATCTGGAGACCTCAAGAGATGGACTTCCTAGAATGTAGACACTCAATGCAATAAGTATTAGAGTGGTCAAATCCCGCTTGACAAAACGGAATCTCGATGCAATTATGTCAAACAGTCGCTCTGCTGGATTGAGGAGTGTTCTTATGGCTCGATATGTGACAATACATATCTTCAAAGGTACCAATGTGAATAGGGTTAGGAACGAGTTGAAACACACCAAAAGCCCAAAAAGCATGAATTTCTCCAAATAAATGGGAATCTTTCCCATGTTCACAAGCATCTCGTAGGAACGTTTTTCCTCCTCGAGGTCCACAGCAGACCGATGCTTCAAAGAACCTGGTCCAGGAAGGTTAAGTTCTAAAAGCAATAGCCGGTATAACGAGATCAAGCGGCCCTTCCGATGATTTTGTTTCAGGATTCCAGTCACTGAGCCGTTATTAATAAGGTTCAAGAACCCACTTGTTGTGGATGACCGTGACCGACCACCATTGACATCATCGTTTGAGATGGCCAGTATGTGACTTTCCAAAGAGTCCTCACTCCCATTTGAAGCCGGAGCGGGACTGCCTAAATGGATGCTATCCGCAGAATTTGGGGAAGATGTCGCATCCATAAGCCACTATGAACTGAATGAAAATGTGGAGTTATAGAGCGGGATTTGGTCTGATAGTGGACTGCACGAACCACTGTCAAATTACTCGACCAGATTACGCAACAGAACGGAGTGAATATAGGGGAGGAACCGAATGTTCATTCATGATTATAGAATAGCTTTTAAAAAATTAAACTAATTAAAAATTAAAATTAAGATTGAAAATTAGAAATTAGAAATTAGAAATTAAAAATTAAAAATTAAAAATTAAAAGTGGATTGCTGTTGTTTTGTTCGTAGGGCTTACGAAACCCGCAGCTTTTTTCTTTCCCAGTATTCCTGTGCTTCCTCCGAGAATCTGAAGGCAGGGTTCAATGTTAGGATGTTCTGAATATTGCACCCATGGAGGAGGAGTAACTCTGAAATAACGAAGTAGTCCTTAGAAGAGTCCCCCGTGGCATCCACCTTCACTGCTTTCCGTAGCGAATATTCAAATAAAGAGATAATGCTAGGTTCAATTTCGTGAGTTGAAGATCCCACTTGAAGACGCAAGTTGGGGTCTGCTCCACAATTGAGACTCTTGATCACTCCAAAAATATCAACTTTCCGCACTGATTGAACAAGTAGTGAATTTATATCAGCTATGGGTTCCATGAAGGCCCTCTGAATATATTTTTGCTTGATGAACGATAGACGATCTTCGTCATTACTATCTGATGCAATTGTTTCCTTAGTATCCTGAAGGTAGCTGTTCACCAGGCTGTTATTGACATACTCAAGTAACACAAGACCTTCTGCGGTGAAATTATCCAACTTGAGTGAGCGAATCTTGGAGACATGCGAGCCCATGTGTCTATGACATGACGAGCATTGAACGCACACCGCAACAAGGATATTGCTGGAAATCCACTCCACAGAATCCATTGAACCACAGTCTGCGCAAACGCTATTACCGGCACCTTCTATTGATCGCACCAATTCCAAGCAGTCCACATTGGAGCCAGAATTGTGAGCAGTGGAAATGATAGAAACAGGTGAACCGGGTCGGTCTAACTCAGTGGGTGACAAAACCTGCGGGGTCAGCGGCTTGTACAGTGTTTTAAGCTTTTTTGGATGGGCATTGCTCTTATTGATGAGTTTCAGAGTGACCTGTCCAGCATTATAGAGTGATTTCATCCACTTGTTCCTTTCGTCATTGTCCAATGCCTGAAAAACGTGCTTTTGATTCTGCGAGGTGACGATCTCAAAACAGAACTGTCTCTTTTCATACTTAGTAGCTTTAATATTGGACAAAGCAATGTCAATAGGCTTGTTGATTGGCAGTCTTCCTTTTCGCCAATCAGAAAACTCCATCAATTGTCCATCACGTAAGACTACCCACTCCTTATGCCAGCCGGGCTTTCCCTTCCCCCCAAGAGCATAAAGTATTCCAGACATTTGTCCCATTTCCTCTAGATTATTAGTTGTACTTTGTGTTGAATTAGGAAATACCAAGTCAAGCGTGATGGCTGTTTTGTCAGAAGTGGGAAGTTCCCTATCTCCAGGATGAGAAAGACCACTGTCATCTGTTTTGACATAAGTTAGTGAGTTATTTTTGATCAAATTTGTTAACTCCTCGTTCGTGCGAGAAGACTCAATCAACTGACGAAGCTGCAACTTCTCACTATTGAATCGAGACAAACTATTAAGGAAAAGTTTATCATCGTCGCTTAATAAATTTTGACTGGACTTTGTGTCATTGTAAGTTTGAAAATCGAAAACACCGTTATTTTCAACCTTAAGGTTGCAGAACTTCAAGATGTTCTCCAAATGTTGGTTAAAGTACTGATTGTTAGTGGCAGAGTTCAATGCGCTCAAGTAGTCTAACTTCGAGAGTTCAAATGCCTTTCTCTTGAGCAATAATTTCAGCTGTGGCCTATCCTTCTCGTTCGATAAATACTTATTGAGCCACTCATAGTACTCTTTCGAATTTCTTTCGAATGTCTTCTTGCTGGACAGCTCACCTTCGCTTGGGAGAACCTTGTTGAAGTAGCCAAGAGTCTTCAGTAGAGTGGAAATGTTGAGAACTTTCTTTAAGAGCATTCCCACATTTTTTTCTATAGGTGCAAACATCAAGTTAAACTGTCGTGCGAGACGTTTGGTTACTCTGAGTTTCCGCAATAAGGGATTAAATTGCATATGAATAGTTGAGTCCAAGAGTTCAATGATTTTTGATTGCGAAGACATTATTCTGCGAAGGCTGGCCTCCATTATTCGAGCTTCATCCTGGATCGAGGTCAAAGTCTTCTTTAACCTTGGCATCAGCACCTCATACTTATTTAGCACTGAGCGGAACTCAGGACCATCGTCTATGTTGAAATTATATGCTTTTCGAAGCTCAGCCAAGGTGAATGTTGATGTTGGGGTCTCTGATACTTCGGTTTTGAACTCCGGCTGTACAGTCAACTTAGGTGTCGAGGTCAGGCTGCTTAACGATTCCTCTATCCATAGTTGAAACGTGAACAATTGCTGAAATCCCTGAGCACTTTGTTCCCACAAAGAGACATTGAGCTGCTTGCCTGATAGACCTTTACTGTCAAAGGTATCATTGACAACCACTGTCTCTGGAGCATCACTCAGGATGAATTTGGCCAAAGAGATTTTCGAGACATCCCTATTTCTAACTCCATATTCATCCAGAAGTAGGTATTCTTCCAAAACAGCCCGGTCGGTGTCGTCGCCTTGAGTTTTTAGTATAATAAGGAAGTTGTCTCTGTCTTGTGTTGTCTGGGATACCTTCAACTGTAGCTTTAACTTATGGAACTCGGGAGCAACACTCAATAGAAGCGGATTGGCCTCCGAGAGATTACTGACAAAATTTAGACGGCCCTCTAATGGTTGTTTCGAGTCAGTATAGTACCTATCAATGCCGTTGCATCTTCCATCTTTAATGCGTAAGGAATACCGACACGAATCGTCGTCATTGGTGAGAATGAGGGTGGACAATTGAGTTTTGCTATTCTCTGCAATCCTATATGGAAATGCTAGAGAGCATATTGTGGGATTTTCCATGATCCGAAAGATTGTTGGAGATGGTGTTTGTTGATACTAAAGCTTAGTATATGTGGGCTGAGTGCAGTACAATCCGTCTAGGATAGCTTTCTAATGGTGAGCTGTGATTATTGATCATTTGCTTTCAGCTAAGAAAATGAAGAAAGAATTGTAGTTTGGGAAGATCTTGTAATTTACGGAGTAGCTAGAAATCACGGGAGAAACCATTGAACTTTTTTTTTGAAATGGGACCCATGATCAATTCATCTTTTAGGCAGAAATAGCCGGAGAATCGAGACGGTTGACAATTCTCGATGACTTTATAGCTTGACAATTCAACAGATAAGAATCCTGATTTTCGTTTGATTCAGTCATCCTTTTAGGCACCTACTACTCACTGAAGAAAATTTAAGGAAACTGGGTGATAGACAACGGGATTGACGCGATGTTCAACGCTTAGACATTTAGCTGGTAGAGGTGATATCACAGTTAGTCATCGTATTGTCTCTCTAAATGGGTCACCTAACTGTAATTAGGGATTAGGGATTTAGGTGTAGTGTATCCTTTCTTCAGAAGACAATAACATACGTTGAATTGAATTTACATATAGCGATCAGCAAATGTTGTGTAGAGGTTCAAAGAAATTTGTTTAAAGGTCATCCTAGAGTAATAAAGTGGACTGAGATTCAAAATGTCAATATTGATTTTTCCAACAATAACAGCATTCGTGAGAGATACGGTAAACAATCCATCACGCCATCAGAGATGGAATCCAAAAACTATACAACCAATGACACAAACATATTTCTTTGAACGATAAAGCTTAAAATCTTGGAGACGTATGGAACGTCTCTAGTAACGCACCATATGGATACAATAGTTAGCAGTCAAGCCAGTTAAGTGGAAATGAACGATAAAGGAAGCTCACAAACGCAACACTACTTATATTGTGCAACAGTATCTGCCTGTTAAAAATTCTCAAATCACACATAGATCCAACTGCCGTTTTTGATTTCACTAGGTATGGAAGTTACGTAAGGAATCTCACCTTGAGATTTTATCAAAGCACGTAATAGTAATCGTAGAAAAGTAGAAAATAAAGACAGGCGAATGACTCAAGATAGACATATTGGCACTTGATGAGCATCCAAGCATCCTTTTCAAAGCTTCATGTTGAGTCAAATTGATTTCATGTATTTCTGCTTCACATCTGTTAGAAAACAACAATGACAACCAACTGTTCAACAATCCAGTTGACAAAGCAGCAACCTTAAAACATAACAAATTTTTACTAGAGATCTTCCTATAAAATTCCCAACTCTTGTACTCCAGGTGGATAGCTTCTCTGGATTTGTCCTGCACCCACCATTATATAGACTTGACTGGTGGATTAGAAATGACAAAACTTCAAGTACAATGGCTCTGGTACTAATGGAAGATGACAGGTCGAAAGACATGTGTCCGATCTGTAAAACAGATAGGTACTTGTCGCCGAACATGACGTTTCTCATCAATCCTGAGTGCTACCACAAAATTTGTGAATCTTGTGTGGATCGTATCTTCTCTCTTGGACCAGCTCAATGTCCCTATCCAAAATGTACGAAGATGTTAAGAAAGAATCGCTTCAAGAAACAAGTCTTTGAGGATATCAAGATTGAGCGAGAGATTGACTTGCGTAAGCGTATCCAGAGCATCTACAACAAGACTCAAGATGACTTTGAATCTTTGAAAGACTACAATGCTTATCTCGAACATGTGGAGAACCTCGTCTTCAACTTGAGCGAGGGAGTCGACGTTGAGAAAACACAAAAGGAAGTGGAACAGTATGAGGCAGAACACAAGATTGAAATCTTGGAGATTGCCATGAGAGAAAGTCAGAAGGACGCTGACCTCGCAAAGTATCAGGAGGCAACGGAGAGATTAAGACAAGAGAAGCTCAAGATCCAAAGGCAGATGGAGGCTGAGGATGTTGAGTTCCAGCAACAACAGAAGGTGGAGTTGATGGAGAAACTCTCAGCATCTAATGCCAATGCAGAGGAAATCATGAAACAGCAGAAGAATCTACAAATCAAGAGATCATCTCAAAGAAAACGACAACTCCAGCAGATTACAAACAACTTGGACAAACAATTTCATTCTGGTGCTGGTCTCAAGCAAGGAAAGGGCGACGAAGTTGTCAAGAAGGCTCCGTTCACTCCATTCCTTGGAGACAGAGATTTGCGTAAGGGTTATACATTCTTGGGTCGGAGTGGAAACGACAACGTGGACATCTCTGACACTTACTATGATCCATTTGTCAACAGGTTGGCCCAAAACAAGGAGTTCTTGGGTGGAGGTTGGAGACTCGAGAATGTGTTTGAGCGTGCACTCGATGAGGCCTTTTTAGGTCTCAATTGTATTATAGAGAACGAGAAGGCTGCTGCTAGGTAGGTGCTGCCGACGATGCAAATGCATTGAATATCGTCGCATAGATAGCATTACATGGGTTTTTGGTTGCATGAGCAGTTGTTAATATACAATATGGGCGTAACATGTAGAAATGGAATTCCTCATTCCGAAGATACTGTTCATTTCCTGAACGGAAGCTGTTCACTTCGTAAACCTGGGACTTATGACTTTTCCACTGGAAGCTTTTTGGGTTCTAATGCAATGAATTGGTTGGAAGAGAAACTTCTCTCTATGGGGCTGGAGAGAATGTCACCCACGGAGTTGTTCTCTGACTTGGATGGTGCAACATTGAGAGAGTCTAACATGCTATCTAGTCCTTCAAACCCGGCTGCCACGTCGGTGGTTTTCTCTTGATTATCACCGTCATCTTCTGAGCTAATGACGCTGCGCGTGCTGCCGTCATCCATGGATGGTTTAGCCACAGTGAATTCTGGAGAGGTAGAAGCAACACCTCCCGCAACCTTGGTAGACGAGCGGAAGGAAAATAATGAAGACTTCTTGGGTTTCGACGGAGAAGCTGTTGCTGACCGCATCGGCGGCGTGGCTTGTGTGAATGTTGGGTATGGCTCTGGCTCCAGTATGTCTAATGTGAAGCTACTAGAGTTCTGCTTCTGAGAGAAGCCAAAAAGGGATCCGAAAAAACCCGACTGCCTGTTCATGTTCTGTAAGGCAATAGCAGCTTTAAGTGAGCGCTCGTACTCCGCTTCCTTGCGCTTGATACGTTGTAGGTGCATTTCGTGATCTTTGCGCTTTCTCTCGTCAATTTTCTTGGATGCCTCGCTCTTGTGATGAGCTTTAATCACCTCAATTCTGTCCTGGATAAATTTATTACTTTCCCTTTCCACTACACGAGGGAGTCGTTGCAAAGCCAGCGGATTTGAACCTGCTGATGTCGGTAGTGGCAGTCCAGGGTCACTTCGGTTAGAAATCGTTCTGTTCAGCGACTGTGACGTGGCTGAACGTTCGAGGAGCTGCCGCTTTCTTGCAGCAATGGAAACATCACTGGTTGACCATGAAAATAGCGAGTTGGCGGCACTAGGCGACGACACAGGCCCATTGAAGTCAGAGTCAGGATTATTGAAGGAATGTCGACCTTCTGAGTCAATGGCATCCCAAGCATGCACCATCTCCCGCAGACGGACCCCCAAGTTGGAGCTGGAAAACTGCATTATATTTTTGGACGAATTGTCATCAACGAACTGGCGAGTCACCTGCTGTAGTGAACCATAGTAATGGACACCATGTGGTGCTTGATGTAGTAGCAGTTCCGGGTAAACTCTCTCCTGGAAAGTTGCGGGAGGGGTAGGTGGAGGCGACTGGGAGGAGAAAACTTTATCGAAAAGTTCATCCGGCTCGCTGCCCATCGTATGTGGTGGTTGATTCAATGTATAGTAATGTAATTACATTCGCGGTTGTGGATAAGAGATTGAAGATGGCAGATGGGAAATTATGGCCCAGGGCCAGATACTAAGAGTTAAAAAAAAAAATACTATAAGCTTTATTGAATTTGCATATTATAGGCCTTTGTTATAGATCTGATAATTTTAAAAAGTTTTTACTTCTGGTTCTTCACCTTTTTGTATGAATTGTCGACATCTTTACTACTCCATCTACAATGTGTGCACACCAGAACTTCTCTAACCTTTAATGCCATTTCAGACGGTGAAATTCCCCGAGTATCCACAGCTAGCCACCTTTTTGGCATATTACCAAGGTGTGGAGCCTGAAACTCTTTCAGAGGTAAAGTCGGAACTTATAAACAGAAATGAAGACTACGACTACTGCTTCTTGAGCACCACTCACATCATCTCATTGGAACAGCTCTATAGTAGTCTCCATTCTTCCATCCAGAACCATGTGCGTGGTACTATGAAGGCGAGAACTCTCAACACAGAGGTAATTTTCAATTTGTCCCCGGTTAACAAAATCAACGATGCCTTGAAGATATTTGGCGTGGATGATAAGAGACAAGACGTTATTGTCGTTAAGGTTTTCAGAAGTGAGGAGCAAGAGCAGTTCCAGGACATTGAGCAGGCAGTCTCGACAGTGTTGGGAGTGAACTCTCTGGATCTCACTGACGATGTGTTGGAGAGCAAAGTTGATCTTAAAAAGTTTAGAAAGGTGTTTAAGTTGGCCCCAGAAAGCTTATCGGGACCAGAAACCTATACCAAGGGGGCCATAGCAGCTAGTTTATTGCGTGGATTATAGAATGAATGTAATGGATCGTTATTATCTGGTAAACGCAAAGCGCAGAAGCTTCAACGTGGTGCTGGGTGGGGCAGTAACTGAGGTTACTAGGTCATCTTCACTTTCGCTAAGAATGTACTCTTCTCTTTGCAGCGACTTCACTTGACTGTCTGACTCTACCACTTTCAACTCTTCCGACGAGTTGGTTGGAGTAGAAGGTGACAGGCTACTATCCGTTATTTCTCTGGAGATTTTTGCCTGTATGTCTTTCTTGAATGCCACTGCATTTCCCAGTAATTCGCCCAAGACATTAGAATCCATCAGAAACTTTTCTCTCCACAGGATACCAATCTTCTTGCGCTTCACCGGGGATTCATCAATGTCATTCTCGTAGCCATCATCTGACATTTCCTCCTTGCATAGACTTTTTGTAGAGGTTAAAATAGGAGGATCCATCATACTTTGTTTCAATGAGTCCTCCACACACTCGTCATCCATATCTGTGAGGTAGTTGGTGTCCTTGAGATCTTCGTCAATTATGGTTGTTATTTTAAAGTCGTCAATCTTGACAGGAGATGACTCGGGCACCTCTGAATCGCCAGTAAGAAAACTTGAATCCTTTGGGGACAGAGCTTGAGCTGGCTGTTGAATGCTGATGGTTGAATTTTGAGAAAAGAATTTGCTGGTTGTATTGGACACTTTTTGAGTTTCGATAGAACGTAATTTCTTGGAAGTTGGAGAAAGTTTCGTTCTGCCATCGTTTATGCGTTTTGAAGATGCAAAATCTAATTTTGGAGTATTTGTGATCTTCACAGACTTCTCCACTTTAAAATAACTCTCAATTGACTTGGAGGGTCCAAATGACTGGCTCTTGGTTGCTGTATCTTTGGAGAGAGAAGGACGACGAGCTATCATGGAATTGCTCTTCTTAACTAGTAAGTTCTGCTCTCTAGATATAAGCATGCCATGGGATTCAGGATGTACTTTTCCAGTGCAAATTCCCGCATGTAAATCTTTCTCCAAAGTTCGACCACAACACAATTCCACAAATTCCATTTCAATGTCCAAGGAGTCTGAGTAGTCGTTCAAAGTCCGAAGAACATGCTCCAAGGGGTCAAACACTTTCTGGTATTGGAAAGCCAAGTCTGCACGAAGCGCTTCTTCCATGAAATCATCAGGCACTATTTTATTGTCCGCCTTCAATGAGGCCACGATTTTATCTAAAGAGCCCAATTTCTGTACGATATTGAAGGCAGTCTTAAGACCAACACCAGGAATACCTTTTGTATAATCACACCCAGATAATATAGCGATCAAACGCCACTGCGCTGGAGTGAACGTGGCCAAATATGGCATCCTCTTTAACTGTACTAGGTTATTTCTGTCGATCTCAATACACTCACCGTAGTCATTAAGTTTTGTGATGAGCTTGGTGCATCCGAAAACAAGCAAGTCCGAATCCTCCGAGAGTATTCCATCTACTAATCCCAATTTCTCCAAGTACACCATCTGGGGATCAGCTTCATAAGGTGCAACCACGTACTTTACGTGTTTTCTGTCCAACTCGACCATGACAGATTTGGCCATTTCTGGAGTCACTGCTGCTGCCTTCATAAACTCCTTCCATGCAAGTTTTCTGTTTCCCTTCTTCATAAGATTTGTCGCTTCTTCTCGAGCTTTTTCTCTCTTCTGTTTTCTCTCCAAATGAGTTCCCTCCTTAGTGGGTAAAGGAGATCCGTCGAAAACCATGTAAGGTTCGACGCCAAAATGTCTTAACATATCCACTTTCTTCATCACTGAGGTGACATATCCTCGAGTTGGAGCATCTGTGCAAAGGTCTTGAGCACACAGGATGAGTCCACGATGTAGCCAGCCGTAAGTGTCAACTGCCAAGGTCTTACCTTTATACTTGGACAAGGAGATAGGCTCCTGGATGTCCTTAATTTGCTGTAGAAGTCCGGTAACACCCATTGCACATAATAGTTGAGAAAATGTGGTCGATGGATGTGTTGATGTATGTACATGTCGCGTCTGAGAGTAAATAAAGAGTTGCGCAGACCTACACAATTGAACCTTTACCAATGAAATGAAGGACAAAATTTACTAACGGATTTCAAAAAAATGCAATGTCATTCTATAGTAGTCATATAAACCGCAACAGTACCAAATTTTATAATACTAGTCAGCTCACTTCTTCTTGGGCTTGTACATAACCTGGGGGTTCTGAAGGAACTTGTGGAAATTGATTGTGGACTTGTGCTTCTTTGAATGCTCCTTCATGTCTTTCGAAGGATCGTAGCCTAGGATCGGGCCAAACGTGATGGTGGGCCCGGATTTAGTCATATTTTTGTGATCGATTGCCATTGGAGCAGAGTTTTTGGGGAAGAATTGAACCTGAGAAGCAGGTGCAGAGTTGATGGGCTGTTGTCCAAACGGCTCTGTCCCGTGATACATCATTCCCCATTGCTGAGGAGGTACTAGTCCTCCCAGCATAGGTGGAGCCACTGGGACATTCATTGGTTTGCCCATAGGCTCGAATCTCATGTTCTCTTTTGGAACTTCACCATGTCCTATTGGCATCATATGCATACCTTGCGCATAATGAACCGGAAACTGATTATGTGACATAGCTTGTTGAGGTGGCTGCGAAATGGGGGCCTGAAATTGACCATTTGGTATGCCAGCCTGGAAAGAAGGTGGAGGAATTGGATGCTGTTCCAAGGGAATCGCATCATGGGGAAGATGGGGCATAATCTGGCCAGCAGATTGATGACGACCTCCCAGTGTGGACATACTCGCGGGTGTATTCATGGCATCCGGAGACTTCTGATATGAAACATCCAGATGGTATATAGCTGATGAAGATACCAGTCTCATTGAAAGAAGATGCCTTGGGTCGGGCTGTTGGTAATTCGGATTGAATTTATGCAATAAGGAAGCATTGTATGTTGGAATGCTCATTGGCCCAGGAGTGGTGTTCATATTAGCCAACTCTGTGTCGACAGACAAGTTAGCTTTTGAAGAAGGTGGCTTTGCTGGTGACGAAGAAGCCAACACTGTCTCGTTGTCATCAACATTGAAATCTGGACTTGACTGTAACCTAATACAACTACAAGTTGTATTACCTTGATTCATTCTTGCAATGTCAAACCGATAGGTGAGGTAACCATGGATGGTTCCGAAGGAATCGTCGTCGCCATTATATATAACTTGGACGATTTTGATGTCCTTGAGATCATCAAATGCATTTGAGCCATTGCTCAAGAAAGTTAAGTACCCAGCCCAGAAATTATTAAGGAACGGAACATGGAGTTCAAATGATCCATCTTGTGTCTTATAACCATTAATCTGTTCTCTGGATCTAAGGAGAACATTATTGGTGTCTTTGTAAAGAGTGATGAAAGATTTCCAGGAAAGAAAGTCATCGTTCGAAACGCGTTGAGCAACCTTCATTTTCAAGTGACACAGAAACTTCCCATTCTCGATTGAAAACAGCTTAGGATTTGTAGAAGGAGATGCTGGAGTAGAAGTTGCATCTTCATTAGGCCTGAAGTTAATCTGACTTGTCATTGAGTAGACAGGCACACGTTGAGACGATAATTTTGAGGAAATACTGTCGAAATCAGAAGAAAAGACCGAGTTTTCGATCAGAAGAAACTTCTTAATATCCATTATATTTGGAACACTCATGCTGCCGGGATCGGTGGGTACAAGCTTAGAGAAGCTATGCTCGCCTTGAATCTGGGATTTGTAAATGAAGGACATGTTAAATTCCTCCATGGCTAAGTCGGGAGATACTATGTTGGGAGGAGAAAGCAGGATGTCTTCGAGTGGAGAAGACACGATGGTTGGCACATTGGAAATCAGTTGCACAGTGGATTGCACATCCATTTCAGAACACGCAGACCTTGCCGAGCGGTTCTTATTGATGCGAAACAAGCGAGAAGAGACCTGCTTTGGTGTCCGTTCGATGCCAGTCTTATTGAAGAGCATTCGTGACAAGACTTTGTTCTGCGATGCATGTTTCAAAGCCAGTGCTTCAGAAGGCTGTTGCTCCTTGAAGTGGAGGTATTTAGCATAACAGGAAGCTAATGCTGCATCCAACTGGGGCGTCCAGATCTTGCTGGATGACTTTTCTGTGACATCGGAGAATGTTGCCGGAGTCACAGGAGAACCGTAGTTGTCAATCTGCGAGGCTAGTAGTTTGCAAGGGGATTCTGGAGCGTCTGAAAGTTTTCGTTTACGCGAAGCTAGCGGCTTCTTTGTATCGTTCTCGATGGGTGAAGACAGGAGCTGTGCTTCTTTTGGTTGCAAGGTCGCTGGATCCTGAAGGAAAAGCTCATCTGGGGAAAGGAATAACTCTGAACCCTTGTTGTTGGATGCCTCTTCGTGGATCGACGTCAAGTTCATGGTGGCGTTCTGCGTCTGTGTGTCGTTGGCCAACGACCAGAGGTCTACCGATGTGGCGGTACAGATCAGATCTGCTGTTGAGTCGACATCAAAGCCAGATTTGCCATCGGTAATGTCATCAATGAGTGCGTTCTTGGCTTTGGGCGACGAAAGATCAAAAGAGTCTCTGTTGTTGTGGATATGTTCGATTGGTTGGGACAATTCGCCAGGAAGATCCATGTTGTGCTCCAAGTCCGATTTGCCCTTCGAGAGGCGGTTGAAGAAGCGATGAGGCGAGAGCGAGCTCAACAAGGACATGTTGCGGGGAGATGCAAACTTGAATGAGGGCAGCAACCCCAAGCCAAACGTAAAGGAGGGAGTCAAATTGCTCCCTGATCTGGTAGACTTGGACCGGGGGGTCTGCGGAGGCATCATAAAAGCAAAATGACGGGAAAGCCACGAGGCCGGATGCAAATGAGAAAGAAAGAGCGAAGGCTAGAAGAGACGGCCAGCAAAAAAGCAGAGGGCTATGAACAGACGATGAAAAGAGTAGTTGAGATAAATTGTGCGATTTGCCTACAGTATAAACAGACGCGAAATCAGAACAAATCTTTACAGGGTAGGAACGCATAATTCGCGTCGTGGTGCCCTTGTGTGCCTTGCACTAAATGAATTGGAGCCAGCAAGCAGGAAGACTCCACGAAAAAGGGAAAGGGAAAGATAGGGACAAATCCGATGAGATCGTTGGGTGATTCTGTTTTTTTCTTTTCTTTGAGAATAAAGAAACGTTTTCGATCTTGTATCATTTCTTTTTACTTTTTCTTCTCTTATATCCTCTTTCATTTGTATTTCCGAGTTATTGGTTTGAGCCTCACTGGTTTTCACTCGTCTCGGTCCTCATTGTAGTGGTGCCATATTTGACAATACCTCTCAGAACCCATTTCGCAACTTCTGACCTACTCATTTCTGAGCCTCTTCATTCTCTCGTCCTCGCGTATCAACTATTGCATAGACCTCTTCTACAAAGGCGTAACATAGACCCTTGTTGTCAAGCTCTGCATCGACGAACTCCTGGCGCAATTGGTCCACACGTTCTTTGGCTCGGTCATTGTTGGCTCGATTCATCACGGCACTGAGTGCATCGTAGATAAGTCTGGAGTAGTTCAGCGACATGGATAATCCACTGGGAATCCCGCATGCCTTTTTGAAGGTGCCAGAAAGGTCCCAGTGTATGGTGAGTGGCTTATCCACTTTCTTTTCGTGTCGTTTCTGTTTGGCTGGAGGTAGTGCTTCCTCTCTAATCTTCTTCTCTCGAACCAAGGTTGCGATGTCTACTTCAGGACATGATGTGATAAAATGATGATGTAGAAGTGTAGATGCGCTGGGCCGTTGTGATGGTGATTTAACAAGGCAATACCGAACAAAATCTTTAATGTTGTTGCTATGCCGTCTGCCATCTAATGATGGTGGCTTTCGCTTGGGTATCTCGAAGAGTGCCTTCATGGGATCCATCGACGAGTACGGAGGATGTCCCGTTACGAGCTCAATGGTGGTGATACCAGCTGACCAAATATCTGCTTTAGTTCCATATCCTTTGGCACTTCTCTGGATGACTTCAGGTGCCATCCAGTAGGGTGTTCCGACCATAGTATTTCGCTTTGTTCGAGTGAGAGACATCTCTCCACTCACACCAAAATCTGCAAGCTTGATCTCTCCTTGGTCAGTCAAAAGAATATTTGCCAGCTTGATGTCACGGTGCACCTTCTTCTGAGCGTGAAGGTACTCGATTCCTCGGAGCACATCCCGGATTATTCTTGCTGTGACGTCCTCGTTAAGTTTACCAAACACTTTAAGGAGATCCGAACAAGAGCCACCACCGCAATATTCCAAAACAATCCACATTTTTGTCTCTTGAAGAAAGGTTTCGAAGTGACGAGTCAAGTATTTAGACCTAATGTGTGAAAGGAAATGGATCTCTTTGATGAGCTCGTCGATATCACCTGCTTCATCCAAGTCAATTACTTTCAAAGCAAGGGTTTGTCCGCTCTTCAAGTTTCTTGCACGGAAAACCTCACCAAAAGAACCTCTTCCAAGAAATGTTTCCACATGGTAATCTTCGGCTGGCATGTTTGGCGGTTGAAGAATCTAGTTGAATTTTGCAACCACAAACCACCTCTGCAGTCTCGCAAAACTATGCAGAAGAAGTGATAGTAATCATGATTCGTCGTCAAGGAAGTCAACGATTAAAGGATTCATTTAGACAATTAAAATGTTAACTAAAAAAATTTTATGGAGAATTTTGATACTTTTTTCTGTGCTTTCAATTGAAACATTTCTATGACTACCTTGATCAATGGGCTTTATGCACAACTCAACTGTCACTCATCATTACTCTTCTTAGATGGATTTAATCGGGGAAATTGTCGAACACGAAGTTACAGAGGCTGTTCCTCCTTCTGCTCATGCTGATTCACAGAGTGGTGGATTCCCTGTTTTGGCTACATTTAAGAGGAAATCTTCAAGATTCAGACAGAAGCCTACAACTCAACCACCTCAAGCTCAAACTCTAGCTCCAAAACGCGAGCAGGCTCCCAAGAAAGTACTCACTGAGGCGGAAAAGATTCATGAAGAGAACATGCAGAAGATTCTGGCCCTTTCCAGTGAAGAAATCGCTAAAGAGAGGGAAGAGTTGTTGCTGGCCCTCGATCCCAAGTTGATCCAGACTTTACTCAAACGAGCAGAGGAACATTCGCCCGCTCACGAGTCCCACTCGCATGCTGAAGGGTTTGATGGATGGATTGGTGGAGGTAGAAATAATGTTCTGTTGCCTCATCTCGATACTGAGGATGTTAACAAAGCCTTAGGTATAAAGTCCGTAAAATTCAGCTCAGAACCTGAGATTATGGAAATCAAGGAAAATGAGCAAGACGATGATGATGTTGAAGGTGCAAGTGCTTATGTGAGCGAGAATGCTCCGGAGGTTGAAGATGCTTTGGTGGGGGATATTAATGAGGACTCAGAAGATGATGAAGTCGCTCCCGAAGGCTACCAGATTGTCCCCGACGCAGAACCAACAGTTGATGTTCACTTTCCCAAACCGAGAGGACCTACAGAGGATCCAGACATGGATATCAATGATCCAAACTTCTTTGATAAGCTCCATGAGAAATACTATCCGGACTTGCCTAAAGAAACTAGCAAGCTCGCATGGATGAAGGAGCCTTTGCCACAGCAGAAAGTGACCACATACGAAGCTATCAGTGACATGAGATTTGACTTCAAGGGAGATTTGGTGGAGCTCAATGAGGAGAATGCGGAAGCTCCAGCTTACCATGGACTCCATCATCACTCTGATAATCCACAGTTGCCAGGATACACATTAGCTGAGCTTCTCCATTTCTCCAGGTCGGTGGTGCCTACACAGCGGTGTCTTGGAATCCAGACTTTGGGCCGAATCTTGCATAAGTTGGGGTTGCACAAGTATAATATTGCCCCTATTGCTGACGAAGAAGAGAACCCTGTGTTGGAGAAGGAAATGGCCCTGCTAGTTACTCAGTTTGAGGATATGATGTGGGAGCTCATTGACCAGCTCCGGATCATTGACTCGTTGACTGAAGCTACCCAGGCCAAGAATCTATCTGTTAAAAACTACGCTATTGAGGCATTGTGGTTGTGGAAACAGGGCGGTGGTAGGCCAAAGACTGAGCGGCCCACAGACGAAGAGGTAATTGCAGAGCATCTACAGAATATGTAATATCGTTGAGCACAGGAAGAGAAGTTAATTCCTCGAAGGTGTTCATCTCCCTTTGCTGACTTTTGAGCAACCCAAATCCTATACCACGCTCCAACCAACCCTTGAGCTCAACAGCCACCACATTCTTCAGAACGAAAAAGCGATGGGCTAAAGAGCAAATAGGGCGGGCCATATGGCTCATGGTAGGAAGAAATTAGGGAGAGAAATGTGGATTGTTTCCCTTGAGTAAGAACACATATTCATCAGAACGATTCGTATGGTCCATCCTCGGAAGCGACCTACTAGACTCCATTACACTCAGTCATTGAAGATTCCAAGATATGTCAGTTTTTCTCCGCACAGAGACACATTGAACCGATGTTCCTTCGAAAGGTGAGTTTCCTCAATCGGACAACTTAAGTTGTGCAGTGAAGAAGAAAAATCTGTTGGTGGTGAGAAAATGTTGATAGAGGATGGGGATCGGTGATATCTGCAGGATCCAATACTAGTAAGGGTAACCCACTATTAGACAAAGCTCATTCTTGAAGGTGTAGCGATTAAAAAATAAGTTGAGTTTATGCTCTGTGTGTGTCTTCTTTGACTTGAAATATTTTGGTTTGTTATCACCAAGTTATGGAATTCATTTTGCATTCGATGAATGTTAAGGTTCGGAGTCCATTTCTTGAACGTTCATAACTGAAGAATTGGATAGAGCACAGTAGAGAATATTGAATAGACAGTTGATATAGTGAGTAGATGAAAAAAAAAATGAAAAAAAAATAATTAAAAACTTTCATGATTGTTCAATTGAGTTTGTCCAGTGAGACTTCACTGCATATCTTCTCTCAATGCTTTGGCAAGTAACTACCTATATTTTCGTTACAAAAAGATTAGATAAAACTGAATCGTAAATTGACATAATTAATTGGCAAAAGTCTTTTGAAAACTCATGCATCAAGTTTGAGCAGTGAGAGCCATCACAGCGGAGCAAATCGTAGAAGCAGCTAAAGCAGCTCCAGTGTACTGGATCACATTGAAGTAGCTGGAAGTATTGCCTGGATTGCCCTTAATTAATAATCCCGCAATTGGAGACCCAAGAAGATTTCCTATTCCTCTAAAAAGATACAACATGCCAGAGACAGAATAGTAGGTCTGCACTCCAAAAGTTTCTGACAAGCATGCTGGAATCAAGGATATAATAGGACCAGACGTAACACCATAAAGAACAACAAAGCTGATGAATGTTGACCTATTAGGAATGAGCCAAAGTGCATATACTGTAATCATGCTCATGCCACAACATAGTGTAAGCATATTGATTTTGCCTATATTGTCAGCAAAATGACCCAATACTACTTTGGATATGGCGTTGACAACATTATTGATTGCAATGAAAGTTGCCCCTTGGTTACTGCTGAACCCCAATGTGGTGCCGTACGATGCCATGTACACTAAAGGGACCAAATAGGCCATTGCCTGAAGAAGGGCACCGAACATTTGGAGATTGAACTTTCTCGACTTCAAAACAGATGAGCTCACGAGAATTGATCCAGTATTTGACAGAAAGTTTGGATGTGGATGGACAAATTGGCTGCAAACCATGGTGACGACCATGGAGATAAATCCGAGAATTCTGACAGCCCATTGCCAGCCCAAATGAACAATAAGGTATCTTGTCAAGAAGGCAAATACCAAAGAGCCGAATCCTGTGCCCGCAAACACGATTCCCATGGCTATTCCTCTATGTTTATTGAAGTATTGTGGAGCGAATACTATGGGAGGAATATATGTTGCCGAAGATCCAAGTCCAAACATGATTCCTTGGGTCAATGCAAACTGCCAAACTTTTGTGCACCAGCTGGCACATATTAGTCCCATGGAAAGAAGAATTCCACCAACACACATGGAGATGTTCGTGGGGACGTATTGTCTGATGGTTGACAGAAAGACTGCCCCCATATAGGTGATGGAGGTTGCTAAAGTTCCTATCAATGCTACTGTAGCAGCGCTCTCATGACTTAATGGACCCTCTGGAGACAAGTAGAACTCTTGAAAAACACCATAGGTGAATCCCACACCAAATACAATGAAGTTGGTGAAGAAACCTGCTATGAGGATCTGAATACCCTGCCTGCGGATCTTTTCACTAGACGACTCCACTTCGGGGTCCTCAATCTCCATAGTAGTAGCTGGTTCTGGGATTACAGCCTTCGCTTGTTGCGTAGGCATAATGATTTAGGATCAATATTTTTCTCCACACTTCATGCCTTTGTATTACAAATCGTGTAGTGCACCCTCCGAGATACTCGGGGCTAATGACTGCATTCCCGGAGCTGCAAGGAGATATTGATTTTTCAACATTGGTTCATCTCTTATTTGAACGGGTAGCTTTAAAGCTTAGTATATGAAGAAGATTTATACTTGGTTGCTATGTAGTTGTACTCCCATACCACTTTTGATCAACACTACGAAATGCAAAATTCAAAGAAAAGTTAAATCTTTTACAAAGGAAAAAATAGATAATATTGTAACCGAATCTTAGGTCCATATATTTTTTTCCTCTTTTGCCATTCACCCTGCTCTCTCCATGTCCAACTTCACCTCCTCTATCCATGTCCAACTTCACATTTTACACTGTGGGTGTGCAGGGAAGCATTTTCAACCTACACCACCAACATTAGAAATATAGTGTTCATATTCCACCATGAAGTCAAAATTCGCCATTTTATTGGCAATTCAGCTACTAATTTCGTGTGTGGTTGCCATTTCAGTCCAAGATGCCTTCACCAAGGACTGGATCTCTTACAATTATGGTGACCTTGTCAAGTGTTCCGTTCTGGGAACCGACTCAGTCTTGTGTCTCTCCAAATCAAACATCCTATACCAAATTGGAGCATCTGACGGTTCAATCAAATACTACATCGATCTTCGGAAGGTGTCCAATAATGCCTTCACGATTGCAGGCTCCAATGTCATAACTTATGCTGATGGTTCTCCAAAGGTCTATATCTGGGACAAGGATTCGGGAATTTTGAATGACGAATTGACCTTCGACGGTAGTGTTCACAGTATTAGTGAATCTCTGGGTGATGTCTTTGTCACCATGGAAAGAGGAATCATTGAAGTTTTGACTTTCGATACGTTGAAGATAGTTAAGGATGGCATTCAAGACCCTCACAAGTCCGTAGACGAAGTCTACAGAGCTGTTCAGGACAAGAAATTCGACGAGACTTACGCTAGAGACGAGTCCTTGAATGGCGTTTCAAACAAAATGATCTTTGACCAAAGAAAGGATGCTCGGATTATCACTGATGGCACCAAAAGCTACCTTGCTGTCATCAGTTCATTTGGAATTCTTGTTGCCAACGTTACAGACTTACAACTGACTTCTATTCCAGCTTTTGTTGTGTCTGTTGTCGACAATTTCGAAGATTTTGGTATCTTTGGTGATAATGTCGTTGTTTTGTCCTCTAATAAGTCGAACTTTTACGTTTCTGTGAAGGGGAAGGGACTCAGCACAATTTCTGAGTCCATTTTAGCTAGAACGAAGCCAGTATACCATGGAAAGGCCATTCTTGTTGATAAACCACTCTCACTTTCCACTATTGATGAAGTACATCACTTAGTTGAAGAGACTCATTCCAAGAGCGTGTTGTTCCGTTGGCTTCTCAGAACCAAGACCCATTTGGCTCAATTGGGTAAGCTTGTCAGTGACATTGTGTCAAAAAAGGACTTTATGAGCGGAATTAATGAAATCTCGAAAGATCAATTTGGCTTTCACAAGATTCTTATCTTCTTCGATGACCAAAAGAATGAGCTTGTAGCAAGAGAATCCAGTGATGGCCTGTTATTATGGATTACCTCAGTGAACTCGAGTGGCGATTTTGTTGACTTTTTCGGAGTGGATTCTGAAGTTGTGGTCATATTCACTCATCTGGTAGTTGCCATTGATTTACGAACTGGAGAAGTCTCGCACTCTGAGCATTTTTCTGAAGCAATCGATGCAGCCTTCAAGATCTGGTGTGAGGCAGCAGGTGAAGATGAAGAAGTCAAAAGTGGATTTCATGTGGCAGGTTTAAGATTCGGTGATGGCTTGAAAACCTGGGGTCACAAGAGAGCAGTTGCACCTTCCCAGTTTGTTCTCACAGAAAACGATGACATTGTTCATGCTTACAAATTGTCTGGAGAGACCTTGATTCCAACCTGGTCGTTTTCTGATGGTGATCGTATCCTTTCTGTCACCAAGAACACTGATGACATTACATCGGCTATTGGTATCACCAGATTCGATAGATCGGTCTTGTACAAATACTTAAACCCCAATCTAATCACCGTCATATCTACTCAGGATAGCACTTTGAGAATTACTTTACTTGATGGAATCACTGGCTCTGTGCTTCATGTTCAAGAACATAATGATGAATTCATTGATTTCACCTCCGTTAATGTGGTGCAAAGTGACAATTGGGTGATCTACTCTTACCAGGCTAACTACCCAGCCGTTGAGCAGCGTATTATTGTTTTGGATTTGTTCTCCACTAGTGAAAATGCGCTTGGAGGTGACAAGTCAGTGGCAGATGGCACATATAATTCGACGATAGCTACGGTTTCCAGCAAGTCGTTTTTGTTCCCAGAACGAATTCTAGCAATGAAATCTTCGACAACGAAGTTCGGAATCACAATCAGATCTGTCATTGCACTCACGGATTCCGGAAGCTTGGTTGAATTACCAAAATACGTTCTTAATAGCAGAAGAATCGATGACAGGAAAATGACCCAACAGGATGCAGAGGATGACTTCCGGTTGATGCCATATGAACCAGTTGTGAATATTGATACTCAAAAAGTCTTGAACCACAAGATCAAATTACAGTTATCAACTTCACCACAGCAGATTCTTGCTCGTTCTACTGGATTGGAGTCGAGTGGGGTTATTTGTTTCATCAACGAGTTCAATGAGTTCTGCACTATTGTTCAGCCATCTTCTTCATATGACTTGCTTAGTGGTAGCTTTGAAAAGGTCAAGCTTTTCATCACCATAGCAGCTTTGTTCGTTGCGTACCTTGCTTCCAAGCCGTTTGTCTATTCGCAGAAGTTGAATGCGAAGTGGATTTACTAGCTACAAGCTGGAGTTAAACCTTGTATATGCATAGTCCCCTTGAAAATTATATCCCTAATTAAAAATTGAGGTTGAGCTGGTGATGTAATCGATAATAGCGCGATGATTTGGATAGTCCTTATTTAACCCAAAATTTGACCAGTCAAGCTCATCAAAACCAACTTCTAAATCCATTTTTTCCGTTTGATAGATATGCCAGATTAACTCATAATGCAAACCAGAGACAAGGTAATTAGTCATTCTGTTTATGAGGAAAAAAGAGTTACCTTGGCTCCTCACACTCAAGATCTTAGCTCTGTCACAAGAATTGTATTTGTCAATGATTTTGAAGAGCTTCTTATTGAGGTTGCCCCATTGAGGTGCGTCAAATGTCGAGAGCATCTTGTGGGATTTCAAAAACAATTCTTTCACCTTTTTGTAGTCGTCAACAGAGTTCAACAATGGGCATGAATGAATGTCCAAGAGCGTGAGAGCGACCAACTCTATACTAAAGCGATAGTAGACTGGAACCTGATAAAAATTCTTCACATCACCAAACTGCGATTCGAATAAGTCGAGAATACACATGCAGCAGTTCACAGTACGGTAAAGAACATGTTTGTACTCATTGAGAGTGATATCCACTTGCGAGAAGTAATAAACGTATAACTGCAATTTCGAATACTCCATGGAAAGTGCAATCAATGGATTGTTCAAAAGTGGGGAACTTTTAGCAGCGTAATCATTCAAGATGTTTTCAAACATATTGAGGTGAATTAACTTGCTGATTGTGCTTGGATTTTCGATAAGATGAATCATGCTCTCGTTCATACGCAGCTGTACAAGAGAAACTTTCAAGAGCGAGTTGATAAAGTTATCTTTCTCGCAGAAGTTCTCTTTCTTAAATATATCAATGTTGGCAGCTTTGTTGATGATGTAATCTTGGTGAAAACCGTTGTAGCTCGAGTTGGAAAGTCCAAGGTAAACGAGCCAGTAATTCGAGTTGATGGTGACAAACTTATAAATTCTTTCACGAATGTTTTTGTTGACTTCATCTTCATCATCCAATTCAATCTTTGTCTTTTTGCTAAATTCTTCTATAAGGTTCAGTCTATGAAGTCCGAATTGTAGTGACAAGCTTTTCATGAGTGAGATATACTTCACGGACACACTATCTTGAATCTTGGAAGCACGATCATCAGGTAGAGTCCAAGTGGTGAGAATGAGAAGAGCCACAATAGAGTACAACGAGCGAGGAGTATTAAACCAGCAATTGACTACTACCAAGTTCTGAACATGTACAGCCAACTGAAAATACTCTTCGGAAGTGCCTTTGTTCAAAAGCGATGTGACAATAATCGCCCAAAAGAGCAAATCACTTTCAGTGTGAATTGCATGCAAATTTTTTAGGAAAAAAGACTTCGGGAGCACGGCCAAATGATGGTTAAAGTTTTGTTCGAAGTTGGAGAATAACTCCTTTGCTCGTTCGTAGGTGAGAGACCATGGCACACTTGTTTGGTTTGAGTGGATGGTGAAGGACTCAGAAAGACATAGAGTGGGAATTGGATCGATGTAAACGGATGCCAGGCCAGCAGGGAGCAGTTCTGGAGAGTTTAAAACTGCCTGAATCTGGAGAACAGGAGGTGTGGAAGGAGTGGATGGCACTACTGCAGCAGCATTGGCCCGTTTTTTGCAAAATCTGCTGTACGAGCATGGCTTTTCGAGAAACAACCAAGTCAAGTCTGCAGTGGAGCTCCTGGACGTCACTAACCAAACGCTCCGTCAAGTCATGAGGTCTTTTGGAGACGTGAGAGACGTCTAACGCACATACCAAACCCTTTTTGGCACAGTAGGAACATGGGTTCGGTCTTGTGGCATTGGCATCACATTTGATTTTCTTATTTCGACACCGAATACACAGTCTGAGCACACGCTCGCCTTTAACCAAGGACTTGGGTACCACTAGGTTATGTCTTTTTTGCATAACGATGGACACCATGAGGACTGGGGAAGATGGAAGAAACCACGATAGTTATAGCTTAGATGGGAAGCAGAATGCGGAGGCAGAATGCAGAACGAGAAGTGTTGAGTGTGAATGGAAGAAAGCTAAGACGTGGAACTTATGAAACTTGCAAGCTGTCAAAGCAATGACGAGAAGAAATAACTAATTGATATTAAAAAATGCTGACACCCAACTACTTCCATATACCTCGCAGATTGTTACACCTGCATTTGACAGGTGACCAGTCACTTGGGTGCGAAAAAGACTGCCGCTTATCGGGCTTGTGTGCGATGAATAATATTCGCGCACCCATTGGTCACTGAAGGCGCCGGACATCGGCCCTACCAAGAGGGTCCGGGGCAACCCTCATAGCCATGGACACCTACATTGTGAAGGGCCATTGGGCGGAGAGATGGTTTGGAGATATGAATTGAAGGGGAAATTGTGGCAGATATGAGGCATGTTAATGTGAGCCGATTGGCTGGAGGATTATGATTACGAAACAAAACAAAAAAAAAAATTATCGGTTTTTTTTCGGTTCTTGATGGGTTTTGCTTGTTGTTTTATTGGTTATACATTTTATTCTCACCTTTCCACTGGCATCGTGGGGCCAATTTTAAGGTTATGGCACATTTTTTCGCGCAGTGTTGTACACCATGTGCCAACCTTCAGATACCCATTAATAAAAATAAGTTACCAATCAGTAGAAAATTTGAATGATCCTCATAAATTCAATTGCAGCTTGCTGGGTTTAAGATTGTCTCAGAATATACATCTGTTTCTTGCTCTTGATATGCCAAACTAATGGTGTACAGTACTATTGGGATTTCATAACCTAGATTGTGGTCCTATCTACCTTCACGTCAAAGTGCGACTCGGGATTCAATCTTCTATGCCTGTGGTATTATTGGCCCACCACCACCTCCTATTCTCAGGAAAAGGTGTCAGTTGGTTTCCCGATCGGACGTGGCAATCCCCTCATTGCCACTTTTTCCATTGGCCGATAAGACTTTTCTGATATGTATTATCGCCCCATTCTAAATCGCTTGCTGCCACAGTTGCTAGTGCTATTTGGTGGTGGTGCAGGCATCAAATTCTCCAGGCATCAAATTCTGTAATCTCGAAACCTCATCTCAACATGGATACTAAGAGGGCCGTACATCTTTACAATTTGGCACTTTATAACCCACTCAACGCCATCCTGTCGAACCATGCGGTGACCATAGATAATTTTGCCTATGAAAATGGAATCAATATGCCTGCGGGCATCACTCACTGCTCCAGTTGTGGAATCATGCACATTCCTGGATTGACCAGTTCCAGTCGGATAACATATACGAGAAAATCAAAGGAAAAATCGAAGCCTTCCTTCCGTAGACGCCAGTACCAAGTGACGTGTTTGGTATGTCACAGCAAAATCACAAGGGCCGACCTTTTGAACAAGAAACGTGCTGTTGATGCTCCTACTGCACGGACTGACAAGAAGAGGAAGAAGAAGAGATCAGAACTTGCATCGATGCTTGCTTCGAAAAAGGAGCAAGACACAAAGAAACCGCTTAGTTTATTCGAATTCATGCAATAGTCTTCATTATATACGCATTACGACGTTGTCAGCGAAAGGTTGTTCAATGTCTTACTCAACCACTCAGTCGACTGTGATCCACTAATGGATGACGCTCTGGTTTCCTGTTTCCGTTTGGCTGCAATGTTCTCCCGCTTGCAATTACGGACCCATCTCCGGCGACGATAGATATTTCCATCTGGTGACTCCGTGCCGTCAACAAAATCATACACCCACTTTTCTTCATCGTCCACACTCACCAAGTCCATGATACAATTATCCTTTACCCACTCAGTGGGTTCCAAGTCAATGGCCCAAGGAGAATTGGTAAAGACCCAATTTCTAGGTGGCTTAATGCCTGCCAATGTGGCCTTGCGAGAAAAATGTGCGTCTGGGTCCAATTCCTCAATGTGGGATACGGACACTTCATTAACATCATTATCTTCATCTTCATTTTCCTCATCAAGGAAGGTCTTCTCGTGCTCTTTAGTATCATCATCTTTCAGCTCGTCTTCTCCAATGGAAAGCACGCGGCTAGGATGGCTAAGTGCATAGAATGTGGTGCTGAACCCTACTGGCTTCCACATATTATTCTTGTCGAGCCTATGCAACTCAAAGATTTCCACTTCTCTTAATTCATCTTCAAGATCATCGTCGTTGGCAAGAACCTTCATCAATTGGTTTTCAAACTTGACCACCCGGTCGAGTCTGGCCAATCGAGCATCTTCTGATTGAACATGGTCTAGGATTCTATCGGCAATCTTAGGATGACAAAGGGCAATCGCAAGCCATAACAGAATGACGAAACAGAGCTTCACCGGGAAGTAGCGGACTATCAAAGGAACAATGTATGGCAACGAAATCAAGTTTCCAGCAGAAATCGCTAGTAGAGCTAAATACACCGCAGTAGTTAACTTCTGGTCCTCGAATAGGAAATAGTGTTGCCCCCAGTCAACAAGAGCATCATATAAGTGAATGTAGCCCACTTGGAAATTCTGCAAATCTGCGAAGTTCATCAAGAACTGTCGAGAGTACTGTGAGCACACCTTAGGTGGTTCGTACTTGTCAAGTGGTGGGCCATCATAAGGAATTGGATTGTGCAATATGTTAAGACCATCCACCAATGAAGAATCGGGAGGATAGAGCTTCAAGTAACTGGGTATGAGGAATTTCTTCAATAAAAGCGCCGTAGGGATTGCCGAAGCCAAGTATGGATTCAAAATGACGTGGGTCATAAGCATCCCAGACCCTACAGTGAAGAATGGATTATACCAACCCACGATCATTAGCACAGTATCAATCATCTCGAAAATAGGACCCGATTTCTGACCCAATTGAGTACTATTTGTTGCCATTAAATTAACAGAGAATGGAGGCCTAGTCTTATGAATATCCATACGTCCTTCTAACCCCAGGGACCCTTCAGTTTCAGGTCCAACAATCAAGCTCATGACCCTTTCCATCAATTTTTCGGAAAGTTGGTTGGGTGCTTTCAATGGGTCATCATCCAAGTACCAAAAGCTGGAGTACTGAGACGATTGAACCATTTGAGCCGGCGGGGCCGACTCCAGTTGCTCTGTAGATGATACTGAAGTTCGTTTGGCCCCAATGTCTGTTGCCGGAGCGTCGTGGCTTGATGTATGGTCAGAGGTGGGGCTCTGGACCACCATGATGTTTTCGAGCATTTTGGACACCAGATCCATCGCGACTACTTTGGCTTGCTTGCTTAGGAGGATGGTTCTAACTATTGGAAGTGTCTTGCATGTGGAGTAGACACCTCAACCGTTACCATGCACCTCGGCAAGATTTCGGCTTACACAAATTTATGAGAACGACTGAGCAACTAACAAATTGGAGTACCCAAAAGAGGAATCTACATTCAAATTTGTAAAATGCGTTTATGTGTGCCATCACGGCCGCTGTAGTAGCAAGATGCTGGTTCTTGTGGTGGTAATGGTAATGCTTAAGGATTAATGCTAAGGCTGGTCATGACCCACAATTACACCCGAAGTCTCTTCAGGGAATGGGCTAATGTATCGTCGGTTTTGATTCTTTTGCTAGAGCTGCGGTTGAGTTCTGATGTGCTGAACGACTTCAATGGAACGTCGTCATCGCAGTCCGTAGCAACATCTGAATCGCTCTCAACCTTAATAATGTCTTCTGAGAAGCTTGGAGATGGCGAAGGAAGGTTATTCGGTTTGTTCTCACCGAAATTTCTCTTTAATGAAGGCTTGCTTTTGGGCAAAAGCACAGTGCGGTTCTTACTAGGAGTTGTAGGCGGCGTAAGCACATCTGACTCAGATTTCATATCAGCTAGAATCTCCTTCTTGACCTCCCTCTTAATTTCCTTCTTCACTTCCTTGTTACACTCCTTCTTGACATTAATCGTGCTCTTTATTGTGGAGTTGCCCTTCGCAAGCTTTTTGGAGTCAAGCTGTTCCTGAGTCAAGAACAAATCAGGAATCTCGCTCTTCAATGCTCTGACGAAATCGTCGCAATCACACAAAACTTCATAATCAACGAGACCAGCCCATTGCTTGGATAATGGCGTTTTGTTTACAAAAATGACCTTTCCTCCTCTTTCGCGGATGGTTTTTGACAAACTTCTCACCAATTTCTTGACACCGTCGACTTTCAACGAGGTACCCATAATGAGGAGCAAATCACATCTCATGCTCAAGTCAATATTCAAACCTTTGGCAAGAATTTCCGACTGTGGATGGTTTTCTCCATACAACACAATGTCGGGTCTCAAAATGCCAATAGTGCCTGTCAACCGCTTTCCCGAGTACAATCTTTCTTGGTACTTGAGGTGGCAGTTTTCACACTCAGGATACTCGCCCTGCTCCAACATCAGCTGGGTTTGTGGTGTCCACTCAAAATGGCTAAAGCACTGAGTACATGAGAGCTTGTGAAGGTTGCCATGCAACTGGACCACATCCAAGCTCTTCCAGTTCTCTCTGAACAACTTATTGGAATTATGCTCGATCTCGTTAAACTCGGCAGTGTTGATACCACAGTTGAGGTTGATGCTCTTCTCTAAACTATCGATATTCTGTGTGTAACATCTAAGAAGTTTGTTCTTCTCCTTCAACGTTTTGATGAATTTATGGGTCTCGGTTGCTTTGGCCCGCAAAGAATGTTTATAGAGGCCCTCCATGAAAGTTCCAAATATGGATAATGTCGTGCTGTTTCTGAAAAGCGAGATATCGAAGAGATCCTGACCCTTAATGAAGCTGGTAGGGTACTTTGCTTTCACAATGTTGTACAAGCCATCATCTGATCGGAAATCCGGGATACCTGCGTTGCACGAGATACCAGCTCCAGTGAGAAGCGTCGATTTCTTGGCCTTGAAGATTGTTTTAGCAACCTCATGGAGCTTGATGGAGTCCTCGGCCGAAATGTGGTCTTTGTTCAAAAGATTCACACTCTTTAAGGTCATTATAGAGGATGATTCCGTGATTTTCTCTGATTTCCCTTATTATCAGATTTGAAGATGGTACTTCAGTAATTTTATGTTGAATAGGCTGGTGGTGGTGTGGAGCCTAGCAAGAATCTCAGAAAAAGAATGAATGTTATGTTATAAAGACGAAAGCCCGTTGTTCATTTTTTTTGTGAGACTAATGGAGCTATTAGGCAGGTGTTTACATAATGCCTCTTTGGTTAAATGAGCTTGGATTTGCCTATTGCATGCAGGCCGGAAATTGAGAGAATAGGTATGGATAGAAATTTTGAATTCTGAAATTTTTAACTTCGTTTTAGATGGTTTTCATTTCTTCAACTTTCCAAGTCCCCTATCTGAGTTCAAGTACCTCCACTTTCTTCTTGAAACTGACGGGGGCTTACCGGCAGTCACGAATGCACCATTTTCCTCCACACAACAGAGCTCTCCTGTTCCCCAGTGCGAGTTTCCTATGAGACAGTCCAAGTTACCTGCAGAGTGGCCCGTGCTGGCTCCTGGCAGGAATTAGTCGTGTCACCGTGTTTTCAAAAACATAGACGTGTAGACGTGGACGTGACGGGAGGGCGTGCAATGTAAAGTCTTTTGCACCGTTTTCTCGTTTTCTCTCGCTGATAACTGCTATTCCATGCATAGATACGATCTTGATTCAACAGTAACCTTCTCTGTGTTGAATATTGTCTGCAGGCCGTATGAACTGGTTGTCACTTGATTGCTTGTCATCCGAACTACAATACCTTAAACAAATGATTAAATAATCTATATTCTTAAGCTTGCGTAGAATTCACAGCCAATTCCATAATAAGACGGGTGGCCAAGTGCAAGAATGGGTACGCAGAGAAAGAACTCATCTCATCAACCTCCTGTCTAGCAGGTGCTTCTCCAGAAGAGCTTTCCCATCCATCAAATTTAAAGTCAACAAGGTAGTTATTAGGCTCCAATTGGAACAATTGGATCTGCATCTTCATCAAATCAGGTGGCACAACCTGGTCATCCTTCATAGTGTCGTCAACGATACATGGGCCATACTTCCATCTGACTCTGATAGTCCACAATTCCTCTTCCGTAGGTTTCGACCATTCTGCTCCCAAATTCTTTAATGCACGGTAGATTTCGCCCATCACATCTAATGGGTACGAGCGCGATCTGATTCCAAAATGCCATTTTGTTTTCAGCTTCTTGGTGGAAACAGGATTGATTTTGGCTTGTCCTGAAGATGTTTGGTTCATCATGAATGCTCTATGAATAGACGGAAGCGAAGCGGGTAAAATTGCAATTGTAGAGTTTGGCAACGTAGATAAATCCGGAACTGTGGCCAATGTTTGGTATGTCAATGACTGTTGGACTCCAGGAGCTCTGTGCGAGGAAGGAGCTTCCTCCGTATTGGTTGTATTCCAGGAAGGAGGTGGACTCTGAGACAAGAAGGTGTCCATTCTCTCTGTCTTGTTCTTTTTCAAATCCTTGACTAAGGAATGATTTTCCTTCATCAACAAGTATGCATCAAGAATCTCATTAGACTGCTGCTGTGGGTACTGTTGTTTGTTGCAGGAGTTGATGACGCTTAAGATCTCATCGCGGTCGTAACCCATAGTCATAGTTAATGCACTGATGACGTCCTCATCGATGTCGATCTTGTTGTGGATGGTCTTGGATAAGTCAGGAGGTAACAAGTACTCCTCCATTCCTTGCTTGAACCAATCATCTTCCATGATTTCATGAATTGTAATTCTGTTGAGTGGGTTCACCACCAACATTCTTGTCAACAAATTCTTTGCACCGGGCGAAAGATAGTTGGGCAAGGTGTAGACACCGTTGCTGATCTTCTTGAACAATGCAGGGATGAAGTCGTCGTCAAATGGCAACCGACCACACAACAACACGTACAAGATAACACCGGAGGACCAGACGTCCACCTCAGGACCAGCGTACAACTTTCCACTGATGACTTCTGGAGCTGCGTAATTGGGCGAGCCGCAACTCGTCTTTAAAAAGTTACCGTCAGTCATGATATTGGATAAACCAAAGTCGGCGATTTTCACGTTGAGTTGGTCGTCCAACAACAAGTTTTCAGGTTTCAAGTCTCTGTGAACAATCTTGTGTCTGTGACAGTATTCAACGGCAGCAATGATTTGCTGGAAGAATCTTCTTGCTTCATCCTCAGGCATTCTTCCTCTCTGTACGATGTAGTCAAACAACTCCTTTCCAGCATACTCAATAACCATGATGATCTCGTCCTTCGACTTGATGACATCGTAAAGCTTGATGATGTGAGGATGTCTCAAGAGACGCAAGTAGGAGATTTCTCTCTCGACACGGCCTTGCATGTCAGACTTGGCCAACGTCTTTCTGTTGATGATCTTCAATGCCACCTTCTGGCCAGTGGTCAAATGCTGGGCCAACTTGACCTTTCCGAACGATCCTTCGCCCAATGTTTTTATGATTTGATACTTGCCAATGCGATTCGCTGGCGCTGCAGCAGCGTCCTGGTTCTGCTCATTGCGGTGGTGGTGATGGTGGTGGTGATGATGGTGATGGTGGTTTTGCGTGTCCTGAGAATTCTGCTCCGACATGGTGTTGTGTGTATTGTTGTGGGGAGAATTCAGGGTTTTCTTGTGGTGATGTCCACTATCTTCTAATGGTGGTGGAGGTGAGGGGGCATGGAATATGAGCCACGCACACCCTGTGACTCAGGAATCGACGATACTGTAGAGGGTCGAAATGATCGATTTATGAATATTTTTCCTTTAAGAGGGGTTTTCAGGTTGATTTTTTGATGACTTTTACAATATTACTTAGGTCAGGGTTGGTGTTTTGCTTCAGTTTCATGTATTGAAGGTGAGGCATGTGTCCATGCATGTAAGTGAGAACAAGTCGTCAACTACGAGTGAGACTTCAGTCATGGTGTGTATCGGAGACAATGGGTACATTGGGCACTTTAGAAAACCTGCCACATTTTCAGGCGAAGTCATCATTTTCGAATTTAATTATTCTTTTCATTATCTCTGTGATCTCTCTCAACTGCATTTGAAATCTTTTCTTCATGATTTTTCCCCTTGTCGTGTCTCTTTTCGTATTTGTTACCTCTACCTCTATCACCTCTACTTCTCTCATTATCTCTTTGATACATCCCTCTATCCTTTTGTGATCGATTGTAATTGGTCTTGGAGCCGTAAATGTTCCCCTCGGGAGACTGTCTGCGTTGTGGAGATTTTGCTCTCTCGTCGTTCCTGCTACTTCTGTCTCTCGGGTCGCTGGCATCTTTTTGGCCCCAGCGATTACTCCGAGACCTACTGTAGTCCGGCTTCAGTCGTAGCTCAGCAATCATCTGTTGGGCTTGTTTGGCTGTTTCTCTCTCTAACTGTTTCTTTCGCTGTTCCAAGAGCTGCTCAGGAATACCATCCTTGTCCTTTTGGGCACTTAGAAGCAACTTCCAGAGGCTCTCGCAGAATATCAAACTTTCCCTCTCTCCGAGAAAGTCATTCATTTGCTCACGGATGGTGTCGATGGCCAATGATTCCTCACTCTTTAGTAACTCGTAGATAAATTCCACTGCGATGTCATCTTCTGGAAGATGTTCATGGATGGTTTCCTCCAACCACACTTTGATCACGGGGAGATTGACCTTAGAGATATCAACTGGTTTCTTGAATGTAGAAGGGGTTTTCCCTTTGGATTTGCTTTTCTTTCGAGCATAGTACTCGTCGTCCACCTCTCTTATGGCGAAGGACATTAATGATGAGATGGGTGCGAATATAACGGTGTAAGATATAGGAAGAGTAAAGAAACAACAATGGAGTGTAGAGAAAATAAGAGGACAGAAAGAGAAAGACGATTAATTAAAAATTACAGTGAACAAGATTGAATTCTATCATAATTAGCATGTAATTTTTATGGTTCTTCATATTTCAATGATTATTTGGGAGATTGGACTCTGGTTGTTTTTTATCTTAGGTTCGCAGATAATGGCGAACTCAACAGTTATCTAACACAAAGTGAAAACCAATTTTCTGCCAAACTAAGTTCAATATGCTATCATCTTACAACAATCCAATGATAAGCCTAAAATAACTCTCTCAACTCTTTTGATTATCTAACGAATTCAATATAATTGATCACTTTTCCCATCTCGTTTGTCTACGGTTTGATGTGTGGTTGAAACATCTGTTCGCGACCTTTTTTGGCTGCAAACTTCACTATAAATACAAGGGAATCTCCCCTTTCTTCTTTCCTCACAAAATGAATTGGCCCCTCATGGATTCGCCACTTATCATCTTCAGAAGCCCTCCTTCAAATGAACCCCGCGTGCTTTGCACAGACAACACACTCTACAAAATGCTCTACGTCACCCAATTGGCTCAACTCACTGGCGATATCGATATAGCCTGCTTACCCAATATTTGGTCATCCAAATACACTGCCAACACCACCAATTCAACAGTACTGTCCTCCGTTTCTTTCTCTCTCCGCTCTTAACTGATACGATTTTCTCAGACCCTCCGAGCGCTTCTCTTTCTCCGATGGTTGATTATGAGCTGCCCCTACATCGTGACATTGAACCTTACATTTACGATACGAGTCCTCTGTCACGGTTTTTTGTTATCAAGTCATTCAGCGAAGACGATGTTCGTGCTTCTGTTGTCCACGGTATTTGGACCTCCACCCGACTCGGAAACCAGCGACTCAATGCTGCCTACCACGAGTCGCCCCACTCGAGCATCTACTTATTCTTCCTGGTGAATGGTTCTTGTAAGTTCTGTGGCGTCGCTAGAATGCTGGGCCCTATAGATTACTCCAAAGAAAGCAACATTTGGGTAGAGGCCACCCGCTGGAAAGGCATCTTTCCCGTGCAATGGCTCCAGGTTCAAGATATCCCCAATAAAGTATTCCGCTATCTTCGTGTCTCCACAAACAACTACAAATTTGTTACCAGTTCCAGAGACACCCAGGAGCTTCCACACCATATTGGAGTTTCAATGCTCAATATCTATGCCAACTTCCGGCACCTGAAGTAAAGAGTTGACCAGTGCGAATATCGGCTCTAGATTGAGAATCAGGCAATCTTTGAAGCTACATCGGATTTAACATACGTGAGAGCCGATTACCGTTTCTTCTTTTTCCCACACTCTCGTCCAGATCTCCTCAATTACCGCTATGCTACGTACCGCCAGTGCTAGACGTGGATTCTCCTCCGCCAGAACTGTGATGCTGAAAAAGTCCTCCAAAGCTGTTGCTCCAGACTCCATCGAGTACGGTGCGTTGTCGAGAGCACAAAAAGCGTTCCTCGATCGTGTCATTCGTGTGGACCAAGCTGGTGAGCTTGGTGCCAATTATATCTACATGGGACAATACGGTGTTTTGGCCAGCAAGTATCCTCACTTGAAGCCAGTATTGCAGCACATGTGGGAGCAAGAGATCCATCACCACAACACATTTAACCGACTCCAGACACAGCGTCGCGTAAGACCATCCATTTTTACTCCATTGTGGAAGATAGGTGCCGTAGCAATGGGTGCTGGCACGGCCCTTATCAGTAAAGAAGCTGCCATGGCATGTACCGTAGCCGTGGAGACCGTGATTGGCGGACACTACAACGAGCAATTGCGTGTGTTGATGAACCAGTTTAATATTCCCATCTACGACAAGACTACTGGAAAACCTCTCAGCAAAGAACAGATCACTGAAACCATCGCTACTAGTCCCGAGCTTGCGCTGTTGAAGGAGATTATCGGCACATTCAGAGATGAAGAGCTAGAGCACTTGGATACTGCTGTGGAGCATGATGCCGATAAGGCTGTGCCATACATGCTTCTTACCGAGACCATCAAGTTGGTGTGTAGGGGAGCCATCTGGACTGCTGAAAGAGTGTAAGAAGGTAGCATAGTCCACCACACAAATCATACAAGCTAATGACGAAATACCAAATGAAAAGAGCTCGAATTTGTTTTTCCGCGATATCATAATTTTTTGAAATCATGAAATTGTCAAAGCTTCACATCATCTGTATCATCCCCAGTACTGTACTGTACACAAGCACAAACTCAAACTCTCAGAAGTAAACAATACTCACATACTCACATACTCACCCATCGTACCCCATTCTGATCCTCCTGTCTATGACAAACTCAGCCTCATGTCTCGAATCAGCATAATTAATCGATCCGGCGGCCTGACATATGGTGGGTCAAGATCTGTTCTGAAACACCGGGACGAATTCCCCATACTAGACTTCAAAGAGTTATCTATATGTCTACAAGGATGTGACTTCACCGCCAACGAAGATTTGGTGTCCAGACCTACAAGTCAGTATATCCGCTCACTCTTTGAGCAGCTCCTAGATACGTTTATGGGATTCTCTCCTGAATATTGCGTCACGGCAACTAGCAATCTACTCAGATCAGCAGCCAATTCAGAAACCAGCAAAGAACTTAGCGACGACGACATCTCCAACGACGATACTGCGAACACCATGCACATATTGGTGCTCTTTCGTGCTGCGGAAACGATGCTCCAGACATGCGGCATCCATGACTTCACCTTGATGGATCTTATGAGACCTGAACCACAACGAACGAGGAGAATCTTGAGTGCAGTGATCAACTATGCCAGGTTTCGAGAAGAGCATCTCCGAGAGTGTGAACCATTAGTTCGCATCTGTGAAAGCAATATGGAAGAAGTTCGTAGAGTTGAGGATGCCAATAACCTGATTTCCACCAACATAGGGATATTGAAGGATCGTTTAGAAGACGAAGAAAATGGACAAGATGGCCACCGGAAATCAACACTTGTCCAATTGAATAATTACAATTCACGCCTTGAACTGAAACTCAAGAAACTACAGCGTTCGCAAGAGATTCTCAAACACGAGCATGGACAATACAAAGAAGAAAAGGCTAGACTCTTTGAGAAGCTTGAGGATAATCATTACCTCATTGGGGAATCGACGAATGAACTTGAGAAACTCAAATCGTATTCAATGGCCGACCCCTCCCTAATAAATCGAATCGTGGAAGAGTTGCGAAACAACCTTAGTCAACACGAGGAACAGCTTCGCACTACCGAGGAGGCTCTTCGTAACAAGACAAGGACAGTCAACTCGATCCAACATGTTGAGGATGAATTAAGAAATCTTATCAAGATTGTACAAGAAATTTCCAATGACCTAAGAAAGCTTCAAGATGAAAGAGATAAAATGGTAAAGCAGACCGACGAACTTGAGCATAAGAAACACTCATCAGAGGAGCTTGAGGTTGTCATACAGCGAATGAAGCGCAGACTTCAAAAGTCTGAGGAAAAAATCGTGAAGTTGAAGCAGCAAGCTCAGGAGAGAGACGAGAATGCCAAGGACAAGCTAAAGGCACTCGAAAAGGAGTACACTCTTCTTGCACAGGAGAGACAGAGTAAGGAGAAGAAACTCGATCAAACCAAAGCGGAGATCAACCAGTTGGATACGCAGATTATTTCGATGAGAAACGAATTTGATTCTGAATGGAAGAGCACAGAGTCAGCCGTTGCCAAGTTGAACGCTCACATCAAAATGTATTTGTCTGACATAAACAGTCAGCTATAAGTGAACGTTTCCAGCTTTGTATATTACTGTATATTAATGATATTTTGCATTAGGACTAAACGTCCGAGGTCAGAGAGTTCAAATCCGGACCCTCCTTTTCTTCGGGTTTGTCATCGCTATGCTGTAGTTGACTTTTCTTTGGGATCTTCTCGTTGGTTGTGAACAATGCAAATACGAGTGCCACCACAGCAAATGCAAGGTTGAGATAGAAAACATCCCTTAATGCTTTCATGTATGCATCCAAAGTAGCGTTCCTGGCATCCTCAGGTAAATTCCAGATCGCCTGGGGAGCCTGTAATAACGCCTTCTTGGTCAGGGACGAGAAGGATTGCTGATTACCAGAAGACCTGAGGGCTTCATCAATGTAAATTTGACCTCTTGCCAAAAGTAAAACCTGACAAGCCACCACACCCACAACGCCACCGAGTGACTTGCAGAAGTTCAAGAACACAGTGACCATTATCATGGAGCCTTCAATATGGCCCGGAGCCTTCACTTGAGCAGCCAAAAGAGTGCTTTGGAATTGGAAGCCAACACTTACACCAGCCGGGATCAACACACCAATCTTTGTAGACGTGCTAGTATGGCGACCAAGCAAAAGGAGCAATCCCACTCCGACTGGGCCAAGAATTGCCGAAGTCATCATGGTCAACTTAATGAAACGAGTAAATCTCATGAAAATGCCGTTGAATGTGGCGGTCAAAGAAACGGTGATGACAAATGGTAACAAGTCAACACCAGACTGCCAGGCGGAAGCACGGTGAATGACCTGGAAGTAAATAGCTAAGTAGTTCATGAGACCCATGAAGAACATGAATGAGAAGCAGGCAGAGAGACAAGCAGCCATAATTTGAGGTACAGCAACAACTCTACCATCTATGAGCGGATTCTTAGACAACATGAAGTTCCAACCCATGAAGAGAACTAACACTACACCCCCCAATACAAAAAGGACAATGACAGCAGCTGAATTCCATGCGTACTCGTTTCCTCCAAAAGTAAGAGCCAAGAGCACCAAAACCAAGCCGGCTGTAATAAGAAATGTACCAAGAAAATCAATCTTGGCCAATTTCTCCCGCACACTTCCCTCCGGAGGAGGAGGATGAAGTGCAATAAGAAGCATGATTAGTGCGAGTGCTCCGATGGGCAAATTAATGTAGAAACACCATCTCCAGGTGACATGTGTAGTGAAGGCTCCTCCAATGAAAGGTCCACAAACAGAGGCTACTGAAAATGTTATGCCAATGAGTGCCATTGCAAGTGGTCTCTTGTGGATTGGAACAGATTCTGAGATAATCACAATCACCATAGCTTGAATGGCTCCTCCACCTATACCTTGAATGACTCTTCCTCCTATGAGCATGTCCATGTTCTGGGCCAATGCAGCAATAAGAGAGCCAATCTCAAAAATGATAATGGCTGCAGCCAATGTGTTCTTTCTTCCAAATGCAATGGACACTTTTCCATACGAAGGGGCCAAACATGCCATAGGAAGCATGAATCCAGATGTCAACCAGCCCACTTTAGTAAACGAGCCAAAGTCGCTACTGACATCCGTCAACAATGTCAGAACAATAGTCTGATCTAGAGCCAGAATGAACAATGTGGTGACTAAACTCGCTAGCGTAAGCACCAACTGGTAGCCATGAAGATATTGTTGCGATGCCCTAGTTCCATCTCCAGCATCACTTTGAAGAAACTTCTTGGGGATCTTAATGACACTTTTCCCTTGGCTGTCTGTCAGTGAGCGGGCAATCATTTGTGAGAAGAAGAAGTGATGGAAAGTACTTTTAGTGAACACCGTTGGCAAACGGTTTAAAATTATGTAGAAGTGTTGACCTCAAGATTGTAGGGTTTTGAGCTCAGTTATATAGCTATGGATATATCGCAGGTCACTAATGACGCATGCTAGATCCAGGATCTGGAGTGGAGAGAAATTCTAAGATTGCTTATTAGTAATTTATTAATGCTGAGTTCAGAAGCGAATATTCCGCTCGAGTGCGCTTGTAGATAATATTTTTATGTTCAAATGGGGCCCTTGCGCAAGAAATCTAAAATGTCTAGCTCGGTGTCTTCTCCATGAGTGGAACGATCACTGTGGTTAAGGGACGAGCGTTTTTGAGATACACTGGCGCGGTTGCTTGACATGTTAGTGTAGGAATAGGCATTGTCCTCAGGAATTGCGGTGCGTCCAGTGTCGAAGGCTGAGAATCGACGAGACCGGTTGGATTTGTTAGAGAGCGATACCACACTCGGTCTCCTACCTCCGGAATGCTGCGCCGAATGTGACGCCGAACCTCCAGATGTTCGACGACCCGAGAACGAGAACCGGTCCAAATTCAGACGGAAGTCGCCTTCAAAGATCTCACCACTCAAAAGATTAGAGAAATCATGCTTGCCCAGCAAGGCAGAAAACTCTGCATCCAAACCTGTGCCCGATCCGGAACCTGATCCCGAACTATTTTCCCCAAACTGTGAAATGCGACATTTGTCTATGCGGTTAGTGATGTAGGACTTCAGGAACTTGGCAACGTTATCTTCTGTTGGAAGGTGCATCAACGGAAGGCGCAAAGCACTGAAACACCTCCTCCACCATGAATATTCTTCAACGTCAACATGCATACTGGCAGCCAAAGAAGTCTTTTTCATCTGGGTGTCAATAGTGCTCAGGTCTCCATTACTATGATTGCGCAACACGTAATGATCAAGCTTGCCAGAATGCTCCCGTTCAAAGTGTTTCATGACGGTGTACTCCCAAGGCGTTTCTCTGTAAAAGAACACTAAGGAATCTACAACTCCATTGAACGGTTGCATGAACGCACCCATACAATTGAGCCAGTATATTGGCCCATGCGTGCGTTCGTAATTGAATTGAGTGCACTGCAAGATGAAAGGGAAGAGCCAGATCAAAAAGTATGCAAAAGGATAGATGAAAATCGACTTCATTTGCTTCTCAATGACCTTTTGCCTTTTGCGGAAACTTTCGAGGTTGGCAGCTTGGATTTCAGGGTCGCCAATGACTGCTTCTGTGTCAAGAGGACCTCCAGGGTTATCTCTTGCAGCAGAAGTTGTAGTCGGGCCCACAGCTATCGGATCTACGCTGGAGCTTGTTGTGGAGTGAGGAGAGAGCGTCTTCTCTTGAGGTATGACCAACTGGGGCAATGCAAAGTCCTTGATAGAGGCCCAGAAGTAAGCCAAAGCCGAGAAGAACGAAGGTTTTTGGTTCAGCACGCTTGGATGAAGGCCATTCTTTTGTCTCAGCTTGTGCATGGTGGTGAACACACCGCCCAAGGTTCTAAACTCGCGGAGCACATAGAAGTAGATCAAGCAGTAGACAGAGACAATAATGATCATGATACAGTATCTGGGTACCCAACTGAGCACCAACCGGTACCAAACAGGATGCTGAGGTAGGTAGCACCAGCAAACAAACGAGATGTAGCCCTTTTCCACATAGGGTAAGCTGGCAAGCACCAAAGGAATAAGGAAGGAAAGGCCGTACACATAGTATCTGTACAAGTAGAGGCCACCTTCCACTCGATCAGTTCCGGGAACCTTAACAGTGAGCGTCGGCCTGAAAATTAGGAGAAAGGTATGTAAAGCAAAGGCGAGGATGGCTATGTCTGCGCCCTCGATGGCGGTGGCGGTGAAAAAGCCCACCACCTGGCAGAAGCGGTTGTTGTAGTATGATTGCGCATTGGTGAAGACGCGGGTTGGGAATATGAGAAGAATCACGGCCTTTAGGAGATCAAAGAAGATCAAGAAGGTGATTAGTTGGTGGCGAAACACCAAGCGTCGAGGATCTATCGCCAAAAATAGGTAGATGGCTATTAGGCACATGACGATGGAAGTGGTGGAGGATACAATGGCTAAAGTGCGCTGGGTCTCATTCTGTGATAAAGTGAAGCGGTTGGATTGGTCCTCGGCGGCATTCAAGGCTTCTAGTCGTTTGACAACGGGAGCAGCCCATTCTTGCCACAGAGTCGTCATTTTGCAAGGAAGAAGACGCTAGCAATGGCCAGTCATGAAAAGAAGTCCAACCAGTGGAGACGAATGCAACGCGAAGAATACAGCCCAAAGACAAACGCAGCGACTAAAAGGGAGTCACAAGTAGGTCGAAGCGTAAGTGTAGTAAGATTTGAAACACAACAGGCTTCTCTCAGATAGCGAAAGAGAATTTCTGTGGTAGCGAATGAGGACTCTGTAATATTAGCGGTCCTCCAGTTTTTTTTTTCTTGAAGGTCTTTGCACAGGCTACTGACCACGAACAAAGGGGCGAGGCGCGGAATTTCGGATGGTTGCCAGATTGGGATGGAACTTTGGCACCATTCTAAAATTGCCGGGAAAATATCGGACTTCTTTGATCATGCATTTCTAATCGATTTTTATTTTTTATGGTTCGAATTTTTTGACATGCTCATCTTCGGGACCCTTTGATGGGTTACCTATTGTTTCCTGCAGATAAACATGACTCTAGGGTCACCATGTGAGTGATTTGGGTGCAATCCGAATTAGATAAGCAGTGAGGCATGACTTGGAGATGACCGGATAGGATGCAAAAGCGACGGAATGGACGGGAAGAGAAAAGTATGGTCAAAGTTGTGTATTTGGTGGGAAATTGATGACAGAGAGTGGCACACAGGAATGAAAAAGATTACTGCCTGGACTTTTGGAAAGGACTTCCGATGGATTAATGTTTGAGAGTCGATTGTTACGAACTCTGTTGCGAATTCCGCGACTACTGAGAATCCGAGCGAGGAACATAAACGACACTTCTATCTTAAAGAAATACGACAATTATATAACTTTTGGTTTGAATGGTTTTCAAGAAATTGATACATTTAGTGGCAATAGTGGTTTCGGCAAGTTGAAGAAGTTTTATGATTTTTTTTTCTTTTCTTAGGTTTTGTTTTAGGTTTAGTGATGGCCAGTAGCATGTCAGACACTCTGATTGCCTTATCCATAACAGAATCAACCAATGATAGGGTCGGATAAGAATCAAGCGAGAGTGTAAGCAATAAGCCAGCTGAAGCTCGAATCAGCTGGAGTTGTAAACAGCTGGAGTTGTAAACAACTGAAGTTACAAACAACATCATCCTATGGTCTTACTTCCCCCAAATATCATCTAGAACTCACTTCCGAAAAGCACCGTGGAGATCCGCTGCCATAATGTCCTACGAATCTGACCCTCTTCATCCATTTTGCCCTCGGCAGCAAGCTTCTGGTAGAGCCACAGTTCGTGCTCCTCTACCTCCTTCAATCCCGTCACCAAGTCTACCTCGCTGGCCTTCTGCCACTTTGTTCTTCTAATCACCTTGTAAATGACGAAGATGGCAATGTCAACGAAAATCATCAAGTACGAAAACAAAAATGATTTGTAGTCCCAGCCCCCAGGCACAAACAACGTATAGGTGCCTACGAAAATCATAACGAAAGCCAGACCTCCACCAATAATGGCGAGCCACGGTTGGAACCAGCCAACAAACGGCAAGGACTTGCGGTCGATTCCTTGTGCCTTCAATGCCCGATAGAAGAAAAGATACGTAAAACACAAAATAGTGAAGTTGATCAATTGACACGAGGTGATCAAGTTGATAATCCAGTCCAACACAACTGCTGTTTGCTCACCCATTTGCAAAAACGAAATCAACGACCAGCACAAAGAAATTATCACACAGTAGATAGGAATACCTGTCTTTGTAGTGGCTGCAAGGAAGCGAGGAGCATGTCCGTCCAATGCAAATCCGTATAATGTTCTGGACGAGCAGAACGTATAGGAGTTTCCAGCAGAGAATGCAGAGGTGACCAACAACACATTGACAATATGGGGCAACACCTTAATTTTCAAGTTCGTCATGGCAATGACATAAGGTGAGCTGCCAGCACCAGGCTTAGCGGCAGTCAAGCTGGCCACTAATAATGGATCGTTGTATGCTACCAAGATACCCACACAGAGGGCACCACCAATGAAAAAGATGGACAAGCGGACAAACACCTGTTTGTAGGCGGAAGGTAATGTCTTTCTAGGGTTGATGGTTTCACTAGCCACAAGTGAAACATATTCGGGTCCAGCAAAGGTGAAGGTAGCTCTAATGAGACATTGCAAGAAACCTTGAAAGCGACCCAAGTCGCCAGTATGCATAAACACAGACATGGGGCCTGGGTCTTTCCAGTAGCGGAAGCCAAATGCATCGTGTTGGGGATTTCCTCCCACCATAGTTACGAATGTGAAGATGATAAGTCCCGTAGCCAACAACACTTTTCCAGAACATAACCAAAATTCCACCTCACCGTAAATGGCTACACCAAACACATTGATAAAAAAGTATAACACTACTTGGATAGCCAATGGGATGGCAGGAGAATAGTCGTTCCTCCAAAAGTGAAGAACAGAGTTGACAGTGACCACCTCAAAAGGAATCTGCGCACAACATAAGAACCAGAAATTCCACGCCGTCATCACCTCAAGTGCACTGTCACAGCATCTTCCGGCCAAGCGGACAAATGGCGAAGGAATTGGCAAGTAGGTGACCATTTCTGCGGTGGAGATGGTAATAAACAAAATTGGAAATGACCAAATGATGAACCCAAGCAAAAGATTTAAAGGGCCATAGCTCAAACCTTTTCCAATGGCAACGAAAAGGGCCGAACCAATAGTGGCTCCAATACCAAGTAATTGAACATGACGGCCTTTCAATTTTCTGTGAAGGTGGTTAGAACCTTCCAAGGTCGATGCCGAGGAAAACGAAGAAATTGAGATCTTGTCTTTTTCTTCGTCTGCTATTTGCTCTTCCGTCACCAGAATTCTACTTTGCGCTTTGGGAGGCACATGGGGGATAAAGTTGTCTTGTAGAAACGTAGCAAAACCCATTTCAGCGTGAAATTAAATTTTCAGGCATTTTATGGTGCATTTTTTTTCGTCTATATATATTTACAGTGGTACAGGAAAATCTGGGGGTGGGGAGTGCATCTACATCATACTCTCTCCTTCGACTGTTCTATATTTGGTGGTCGCTGCGCATGATACAAGTCACATGCTCGAGGAATATATCAAGGGAGAGCGAGTGAACAGAATAGAAGAATGGAAAGCAATAAAAGGAAAGAGAAAAGGACAAAAGAATCCTTATACCACGACCTATCACAGAGAAAATTTAACGCACCATACTTCAAAGAAACATTGGCAGACCAATCAAATCCTGTATGTGTATGCACTCAAGGTTATTATCACAGTACTATGCAAGGAACATACACTCATCCATGTGGATCGCCATACTATAGGCTCGCCGTATTTTAGGATCTTCATGATATATGATCGCCAGACCTTAAGGTTCTTTTTAATATTTCGAGTTTTCTTATATTTCAAGTCGTCTAAATCGAGGATTATAATGCTCAGAGCCGGGGCAATATAATGTGAAATTGTTCCCAATTAAAGCAACTCCACAATTACTTGAAGAATAATATGTTTTCGATACACAGATTTCACGCTAATCGCCATGTTTCACAGTAGATGTTGGAAATGGGTGCGCAGGCCACCGCATGTATGTCTTGGGTTTCTATCTAGTTTTCTTCCTTGGGTCGTGGAACCTCCCGGATTATTGTTGCAATGGAGCATACAACACCTGAGTTACATACTTTCTCTTGTATCTCACAACCGATGCCACCGCTAACGTATTATGCTTGATGCTAGTGGTAGCCAAGTGGTTGAGCACCACATGGTTTGGAATGGGCAAAGCTCCCGAATTGTTGTCTCTGTCTTGTGAGTTGAAGTTGTTCAAGATGACGTTCTCCAAGTGAGGAGGTAATTGTGGTGGATGCAACCATGCCTGCTGCTGACCATTCTTTGACTTGGCCTGCTCATCAATAGCAAGGTAGTATTGTTCCATCACTTTAGGGTCAACGAAAATGGGAGGAATATCGTTGATATAGTTGAATCTCTTGTTGTTGAAGCTCTGATCTCCATCCTCATCATGGTATCTCGAGTATCCATTGCCCATGTCATCGTCGTCGTTGATGAGGCCAAACATAGAATTGTTTCGGCCCTTGTTCAACGACATAGACCGGCCCCGCGGCTGTGATTTCTGCTTCTCTTGTTCTTCTTGCTCGTGACGCTCCTCATCTAATTCCTGCTGCCTCTTCAAGTGCAGACGTATATGCTCAGGGGTCACTTCTATGTAGTTGACGAAATTGCCCATTTGGTCTGTTGCTGTTGGCAAGAAGTCTGAGAATCTCAACTCGTTATCCACAACGAACCGGAATCGATGTGTTCCAACTGGCAATCCGAGCGTCACCAACATGGTTCCATCTTGTTGCTTTTGCAAGCCAATCATTTTTCTCCATCCGGTAAAAGATCCGGTGACGTACACCTTCTCTCCTCCTTGGACCCATTTGATATCAACAGGAACAGTGACATTAGGGTCAGGATCAGATTGCGATTGCGATTGCGATTGTTGTTGTGGTTGCAGCAGCTGCTGCAGTTGCTGCAGCGCTTCAGCTTGAGAATGTTGGCTCTGTGGAGACTGGTGTTCAGTAGTGGAAGCGTGAGCCTGGGATTGCTCTACGTTCATTTTGTCTACATCGTTCTCATCGGTGAAAATCAACGTGGACTTTCTACGCACAGGAGGCGCCGGATTCTCGTGATTGTTCTCTTCAGTATCTCTGGATATGCTATCGAGGGCGTCGGAAACGTCCACCATGGAAATATCCTTCTGTTCGGACATGACGGGATGATGTGCGATGTTTAGCGATTGAGCAGAGGGAAATTGGGGATTGGGGACCACAAGCAGAGAATGGAAAAATCAAAATCTCAATGGATAACTGTAGATGGATCTGCGATGCAAGCAATCAAATGGTGTTTTGAATTGCCAAGTTCAGGCCAAACTGATGGTGGAAGGATTTTTCCGTCACAGAAGTGGGGGGCACTGGCGGAGTTGAGACGATACAGCAGGAGGCTGTTCAATACCGAAACGCTGAAGATAATAAGAAAAAATAACACTAGCAAACTGGCGGGCTTGTAGTGTAAGAAAAGGTGATTTGTGGGATTTCAAAACTTGCACTGCGACGTTATCATGACTTGTGTCCAATTCTGGGCCACCTCGGCCACCATTAAAGTATCACGTGACAAAGTGCCTCAATTTTTAAGAGAAATGGTGGATTTAAAATGGAAATTTTCTGGTCGATTTCGGTAAAATTTTCATTGTTAACTATTAAGTGAGTCCCTTCAAGAGTGGGAGTATCAACTTTGAGAGAACATTCAGAAAGATAACGATGGTTATTTGGCAAGACTTGTACCTTATGTTATGAGCGCGCGCACACTTTCTGACTCACTGTGAGAATATGAAACAGGCTAATGAAAGCGAGGTGAAACTAAGAAATAGATAAAGATATGAAGGCTGAACCAAAAGCAAAACAAGACAAAAGAAAAGAAAAAAGGGTTTTTCTAAAATGTTTTCATTAATTGACTACTGTTGGAACTCATCATTAATTTCATCTCCATCTCCTATTGTTATGTTTAATACCTACCCACGATTCCTATCCCTCTGTCTCCTGTCAAGAGTACGAACACTGAGTCTCATCAAGAGGGGCAGGACGTATTGTATGATTGCTCATCATGAAACAAATCAGAGAATACTGTTTAAGGGTCCTTTGAATTGTCCGTAGATCTCAAAGTATTGTGTTGTACCTCCGTTCAACGTTGTCATGGCCTAAAATGGTAAGTGGTTGAAACTCCAAACACATTTTGCAACCAATGGACCTCCCACGTTAGCACTATATAAGTTGGTAACCAACTCCGTATAAATCATCAAACAATGGCTGAATATTTCGATCCCCTGGCTCTCGTCTTGAATTACACTTTAGGAGACTATCCCTTGCTGGTGACATTTGGCCAGCTTGAACATTCCACTCAGACATTCATGAAGTTTGCAATCATCCACGGCGTGGCTGCGGGCGTGGGACTTCTCTTGCTAATGATGTCGTGGATCATTGTCATCAATAAGAAAACACCAATTTTTATTCTAAACCAGGTGACTTTACTACTCTTGGTGCTCAGATCTACTCTTTATCTTGTATACTTGAGAGGTCCGCTCACTCAATTATCATACATTTACACTGGTATTTTTAATGGGTCTTGGAGAGCATATCATGTCTCTGTCGCAGCAAATGTTCTCTTCTGCTTCTTAGTCGCTTCGGTTGAAGCTACCATGGTTTTTCAAGTCTATGTGATGTTCAAGCCCAATAATAAGAAGGTATGGGGCCACACTTTGGTTCTTGTATGTGGTGCTTTGGGAGTTGGAGTCGTTGGACTTTACATTAATTCTTCAGTTCATGCCACAAAGGTTTTAACAGCACAGTTGGCAAACAAGGAGTTCACCCAGTATGCGAGTTGGATTGGCAATCTTCCAATTATCATGTTCTCAGCAACTGTTAACATTCTCAGTGTAATATTGATCTTGAAACTTGCTAATGCTGTTCGGACGAGATGGACACTCGGGCTAAAGCAGTTCGGTAGTTTCCATATTCTTATTATCATGATCTCACAAACCTTCATCATTCCTTCGGCATTGGTGATCGCCAATTACAAAAACACTTCTTCAAATTTCTTATCTTCTCTTAGTTTTATTATTGCCGTGTTCAATTTACCTTTGGGTTCTTTGTGGGCCATTTCGTCGAACAATGGTACACATCCCACTTCAGCACCCAATACTCTTTTGAGTAGAACTGACACTTCAATATCTTCCCAAAATACGCTTGCTACCAAAGAGAAGTATTTGGGTAAATTTATTACACCACCAGTGACGGACATCGAAAAGAGCGCAGGTTCTGTCAATCATTTCGATGGCCATGAATTGGAGTCACTTGAGGAAATTTTCCAGAATTTTGAAGATAGAGGAAAAGTGTCGGTGATTACTAGCGGCTTTAAGTAGTGGGTAATATTTGGTTTGAGACTTTGTTAATTAATTCTGTTCTTATACTATTGTTGATGTTTCAGAACCTCCAAAGAATTGGAGCCATCGTGCATTTACTGTAAGTAACTCAATTGACTGTACTCTTGTATAGCTTGCTTTTGAGAGAAGTATGCTTGCTTTTGAGAGACACTTCTAGGTAATTACATAACTGAAGACTTGTCATAGTATGAAAGTCAGTTTATATGGTTCTTTCATGTCAATCTCTCCGGCCCCTATAATGCTCAATATAGTCATGTCTGAAACACACCCACAGGCACCACATATTTAGAATGTAAACAGAAAAATCAAGACCGAAATCATCCTATAATTTACTCCGACAATCAATTCGTCAAAATTCTCATTCTTTCGATGATTCCATCAACCACCGCCGGTCATCTCCATCTAATGTACTGCACATAGATCTTAATCAGACCAATAGTTGAAGCTCACCAAACCTGGAAACTCAACTAGATAATCACAAATAAAAAAATGACAGACTATATTGATGATCCCTTCCAGATGGATGAGGATATAGGAACGAAACTGGAGATGCTGCCGTCTCCTCAACCCGAGGCGGTCGTAATAGCGAATGTTGACGTCGATATTACTCCTCGGTACACTGATCCAGCAATGATCTTAGACCAGAACATAATGTATAAGGATTCGAAACTTCTACGAACTCGACTCCAACATATCAAGTTAGAGGAAGGTGCGGGAACCACCACTGAAGAGGATGAGATGACATACGAGGAAGATGCCGACGACAAATTCGATGCTGAAGCAGCGGCCCGAATTGAGGCGGATTTCATGTCCAATGATGCCAAAATCATGCGGTCACTCACTCCTCCAGAAAACTTTGGACCAGTTATCAATAAAATTTATAGGTCGTCGTTCCCACAGCCACCGAATTTTTCCTTTCTCAAGACGCTTAAGCTCAAGTCAGTGCTCTGTCTCATTCCAGAGGAGTATCCTAAGACACACGAAGAGTTTTTCGAAAAGGAGGGCATTCAGCTATTTCAGTTGGGAATGTCGGGAAATAAGGAGCCATTTGTGAAGATCAGCAGCGATTTAATCACTGAGGCTGTTAAGATCGTCATGAATCCAGACAACCAGCCAATTCTCATCCACTGCAATCGAGGCAAGCACAGAACAGGATGCTTGGTGGGAGTCTTGCGAAGACTTCAGGGGTGGTCACTAACCATCATCTTTGATGAGTATAGAAAGTTTGCTGCGCCAAAGGAAAGACCTATGGACCAGCAATTTATTGAGTTATATGATGTGACTGAAGCATCACGATATGCAAATGAGAACGGGCTACTTCCTATGAAATGGGACTAATATGTCAATTGACATGCTGGCTACAACATTGAAAAAGAATGCATTGTCATGAATCCACCACCAGTCATACCTCTTAGCGACTTCTAATTCGAGTATTCTACTATTGCTAAAACTGTTTATTCAGCTAAACTTTTCTTATTGAGGAAGCAACTTTGACGATGGCCAAAAGAATTGCTTACCATAGATAGTGGCATTGCCTAAAGCGAGCGTGCCCAAGGCAATCGGCGAGACCCTTCCTGAGAACAAACTGCGTACTGCTGGTCTTCCATTGACTAGCAAGTAAAGCACTGACCACGCAAAAGAGAAACCAGAACCATTTGCAACATCACCATCAAAGATTATCCAGCCTCCCAAAGCGTTTGCTGCACCAAAGGCGAAACACGAAGTTCTGGAAGGTTTGGCCAGGGCCAATTGCTTGCTAAAGTGCGACGACCCACCCGTAGAGCCCAACTTGGCGTCTACAGCGGAATGTGCATTGAGGCCCTGAAGAAGTAATGATGCAGAAAGTGCCCAAGCAGGTAATGGCGACTTGCCTGCTTCATTAACGTACAGTTCAGCAGATTTGGTAAATTCTTCCATGATAGTAAAGAGCAATCAAGATGTGCACACAAATTGTGCGACTCCACATTTCGATGAAGACAGACACATGACTACATACACTCCAATTGTGACAATATATAACATATAGATGGGATTCTGAACAATGATCCATTTCATCAGATTATTCGCCTATTTTCTACACGTTGTTTCAACAAACTGTTTCTCCACTTCTGTGTATTGTACACTAATTTACAACCAAATATTTCATAAAGAACTAAACTTAAGATCTCTCGCCTCTCAATCTTCTGGCCAACTGGATGTCCTTCTTCTGGATGGTGACTCTCTTGGCGTGGATGGCACACAAGTTGGTGTCCTCGAACAAGGAAACCAAGTAAGCCTCAACGGATTCCTGCAATGCACCAATAGCAGAGGACTGGAATCTCAAGTCGGTCTTGAAGTCCTGGGCGATTTCTCTAACCAATCTCTGGAATGGCAACTTTCTGATCAAAAGTTCAGTAGACTTCTGGAATCTTCTGATTTCTCTCAAGGCAACGGTACCTGGCTTATATCTGTGAGGCTTCTTGACACCACCAGTAGATGGGGCAGACTTTCTAGCGGCCTTAGAGGCCAACTGCTTTCTTGGTGCCTTACCACCAGTGGACTTTCTTGCGGTTTGCTTGGTTCTAGCCATTGTTTGATAATAGTAAAAAAAAATTCCTCAAATGGAGATTCCTTCTCTTATATATGACCCTAGTGTTATTGTTTGGAGGTACGATGTGCGATATTTTGAGCCGTGACTCAAGTTACCTCGCGACTTAAAGCCAAATATTATGAATGGCTTTCGCAACCACGAAAAGACCCGGTCTGCATATAAGCCGAGCTCTAACTACCAAAAGCTCTCTATATATGGTGCTGTAATGTACAGGTCTCAATGCGTAAATTCTAGCATGCAATTAAGGCCACTTTCGCACAACCAACACCTTCCCTTATGGCACTTTTTACTCACTATCCACGCTCCTGTAGACACCAAAGGTGCCAAAACAAACATCCTCGTGTGCTGAGATATTCCGCACTGCACGCAACCTCAGTCCCATCTGGAATCCTTCCAGTATAAATATTTCGACAATCCCCACAGTCTTTTAATTCTATATCATACAAACAAATTAACAATGTCCGGTAGAGGAAAAGGTGGAAAAGGTCTCGGAAAGGGTGGTGCTAAGCGTCACAGAAAGATCTTGAGAGACAACATTCAAGGTATTACCAAGCCAGCCATCAGAAGATTGGCTAGAAGAGGAGGTGTCAAGCGTATTTCTGCTTTGATCTACGAGGAAGTCAGAGGTGTCTTGAAGTCGTTCTTGGAGAACGTTATCAGAGATGCTGTTACTTACACTGAGCACGCCAAGAGAAAGACTGTCACTTCTCTCGATGTCGTTTACGCATTGAAGAGACAGGGTAGAACCTTGTACGGTTTCGGTGGTTAAGCTATCGACTTTATGTATTACTAGTTCCTTTCATCAGTGTATATTAGAATTTATTATTGATTCGCAATTATGATGTAGTTGACTTTGGTTGATCAATAGTAGCTTAATCTTCCTGTTTTTCTTTTGGAGGGTCATTATGTTTCTGAATTGCCTCTACATTCAACCTCTGCGTATTTCCTTTATCGAGTCTTTGTACATTCAATCTTCCATTAATTTACTCCATTTTGTCCAACCTCTCCTCCATTTATCAAGTACCGCGCAATAGATCTATCAACTGTGCGTTCCAACACGTCAAGATCAGCAGCTGTTTCAGACTTGTAGCCATTGGACATCACCTTCGCAAAATGCTTGATACATAAAAGATTACGGTCTTCCAAGTCAACGTGCTTGGGAGGACATCGGCATCGACATCCCACTCCGTTCTTACCTGGCTTGTCTGGCGCATCGGAAACAAATGAACTGTACCACGTCTTCTTCACGTCCTCTTTGAAGTTGGCACTTGGCTCATACGGAAGTTGCTTACCTGGAGCGTTGCCTGGGCAGTGACCCAATGTGGTATGCTTATAACCAATATCTCTGAAGTAGTGAATCTCTTCCCTGTTCAACATCATGGCAACAGCCAACGAGTGCACAGGTGCATCTCCCCAACGCTCTCTATAAAATCCTCCACTATTCTCGAGATAATTGAAGTAGTCTTGGTACGTTTTGGACTTGAAAAGGTCAACACGAGCGATCTCAAAATTGGTCCAAAAGTGACACAAGTTGTACTCTTCACCTTCATATTTATCTTCGAAAAGTGGTGGCTTCTCGTATGCTTTCTCAAATATATCCCTGACATATTTGAACTCTTTGATCTTCTCTAAGTCGGCGTCGGTCTTCTGCTTCGTTGCCAATATTCTTTTGAGATTTAAGTTCTTCTCCACTTCCTTGCGTAATGTATTTGTATCTCTTGCACCCAAATACTCATGAGCGTTGGATCCCTTGATGGAGAAGAATTTGGTGGCCACTATATCCCACGCAGAACCCACATTGATGCCATAATCTCGAATATACGATTTTGTTTCTCTGAACAATGAAGGAACCGTGTAATACAATTCCTGAATGGTGACGGTGAAGCCATACTTCTTGTTGTTTTTCTCCATCTCCAAGAACGGGTCATAGGTCAAGTCACAGAAAAACTGCACGTCTGGCTCCACACGCCAGTACCATTCCCGTTTGGCCACTAGCGGGTGGTCGAAGAAATGACCGGAGTAGAAGCGACACATCTTATGGTAGGATTCCATATTTCCATACATGATGGTACGGTCACCCTGGCTTTCAATGCTCTCGTGCAACAAGTCTCTATCGATGTCTTCAGGGAATTCCCATTGTTCTTTGGGAACCACACCAAACTCCACCTCCGAGTTCGTGTACTGCTTAACGGTTTCACGGAACTTATCGTCAAATTCAACATCATTCAAAAACACCCATGGATAATTAAACCACTGATTGAAATGACGCTCCATAGACTTCATGGAGCTCACTACATCATCAAGCTCCGAATTACGCGCCAACATAACAAATGCCGCGTTGGCTCGAGGTCCATTGGTATCTGGGACCCGACATCCCACCAGGAAAGGAAAGTCCAGCTCGGACTCCAAGATTTTCTTTGAGAGCTTTTCTCTAGGCTTGGAGAAATCTGGATAGTCAGACTCAAGCGCCTCCTGCCTTCTACGAACCAAATCCTTGATGGAGAAAACGGCTATCACGATCATCACCGTGATCGCAATGATAGCGAGGAATATTCTTCGTAGCGTACGGTAGCTGGGTCTGTTGGTTCTGATGTGGTGGACCACACCTCCACAACGGGAGCGGAGCCTTTGAATTAAAGGCTTCTCGGCGTCACTATGAGATGCCATGTCTCCCTTCGAGTAGTCTCAATAAAATTTGTAAGGTACAAAATTGCGAATGGGTGAGGCTTTGAAAGGAAGATGCATACACGAGAAACGGTTACGATACTGAAAATCGGGGTTTGTTTATGAAGAGAGGAGAGTTTCATCAGACCAGAACTAAATTCTATATCTCTTTTTTTTGCCTCTTAACTTTCTTTGCATGTGTCTATACTCGTCAATCTATTACGTCAAACTGCACACAGCCCATGGGTTGGAAGACTCGGTACATTTCCCCTGTCGATAGCCTGGAAAATAAAGATAAACATGCTGTCATTGTGGTCGACAAAATGTAATGGTCAGCTGGTAATTTTCTTTTGAAATTCAATTCATGGGTGTCTTTTGACTTTTTCGGAAAGCCCTTTGAAACGATATTGTACCATCCATTTTTCCATGTTTAATATACTCCGCTAGATCATCAATTCGGCACCTTCGTTTCCAAACGCTTTCCTTGCACAACCTTTCCTTCCATATCTTTCTTCTTTCCAGTTCCTTCCATTAGCACTTTTTGGATCGTGAATTATTCAGCTGTGGATCACTTTTCCTTCTTCACCAACGCATTCCGGAGCAAGTTCAAGTCATTGTTCAACTCCTCCTGTTTCAATCCTTGTACTCCGATAAACTGCTTATGAGAACCCCTAGTATTAGGCCTGTTACTTCCTTTGCTTTCTGTAAAGATCTGGTGTACACCTCCATCCTCGTTGTTCATGATTAGATGGTTCAACGTGTCGTAATCCTTATCGCTGAGATTGCTATCATTTCCGCTGCTTGCCCCATTGCTCGTCAGTTTAACAATGTTGCTACCATGTGCATTGCTGGAGCTGGCAATTCCAGACGACAACTCGTCGTTGGACGAGTATCTCGTGGCGTAATGTCTTCGTCTTTTGCCTGATGCAGAAACGTAGCCAGAGGATCCAGCCCCAGAACTACGAAAGAACCCGTTACCGCTAGAGTTACCAAGTCCGCTATCAGAGAGATCCTCGGCTTCACCTCCTGTAAACCGGGAATGGAATTCTCGTTTGCGGAGAGATCGGCGGTCATTGAGATTGATGGAGGATGCAGAAGCTGCCGCACTCAACGCCGAAACCGTCGAATCCTGGCTATTGGAAGTATTCCACAGACTGGCATTGACCAAGTTGAGAAGGAGTTTGTCCTCTTTGAGTTGCTTGACTTGCCGCTGAAGCTTGTCATAGAATTTTTCCTTGAGTAGCTTGATCATCATGTCATAGTTCTGTTTTGCCTTGGCAATATCCTCTTTGTACTCATCATCCACTCGCTTGACCTGGTACTCCTCCCAGAGTCTTAGTCTAGTCAACTCGTAGTCTCTAATCTCCTCTAACTCCACCTTCTTGTCGAGGTACTCAGAGTTTGTTCCCTGTTGGATTGATGCCAACGTAGTCTGCAAATTGTGGAGAATGGCACGGTAGAAGTTGTTACGGTCGTCGTAGAACGTTGACTCCAACTTTCCAAGTCGAGTGCTGATTTGCTGGCGCCGTTTATCTTTCTTGTTCACTACTGATTTGAGTTAGTACTGGCGGGTTCAGAGCAATGCGTGTCAACATTTGCTGAAACTTGTCGGTTCAGATTTGTAAAACATACTCTCTGATACGGAGCCGTTCCGTTTATACTCGTCCATGGTCCGATTTTTGTAAGTTCTAAGGTATGGAAAGTGTTGTGAGGTTTCCTATACGCTAGTCCGAGGTGAGGTCTTCGGGTCTATGTGCAGTACAAGAGGCATATAGAAGGTGGGGGTGGAAGAGCCCAGTTCGGAAGGAAGGTAAAGATAGACGAGAACGTATTTGAAGATGAAAATGACAGTTTTATGCATTCTCTATTGTAAATGATAGAAGCTAGTATGAGGAACAAGAGAAGGGATTCGGGTTACCGCATTGGGTCAGGATTGGTTGGTGGAAATTGCCAGGATTCCGTCCTGGACAATAAGTGTGTGGATTCCGACTAGAGGTTGCAATGAGCCCAAAGCAGAATATTCCAAAATGATAATTTTCGATGTATTGGTCCGATGGCTCCATTTATCACATTTTCTCTCCATGGAAGCCTATGGATTCTTCCATGGATGCCTTTTTCTCCAGATCCAGGATTCCGTGAGTCAACGGGCTTGATAGGAGATTGATTTCCGCGCCAACTCCACACTCAATAACCATATTTACCAATTAATTCGGCTCATTACAAGCACTTCTTGTGACCATGGCGTACGACTTCGACTTACTCAAAACGCTTCCTTTCGCTGACCACAAGTACTCGGGGCTTCCCAAACTTACAGGCAGAGAAGTTTTCCAATTGGAAAAGACTGGCGAGACTGTGACCGTCTTCTTGGCTCACGGACCGGAAGATGTACCTGAAGCACTTCTCGATGTATGCCATGATGAATTCACCTACGTGATCGAGGAGGGCCGCACGTATCCTCATTATAAGCCCATGGACAAGCAAGAGTTTTTGGCATATCTTTTCGACCATTTCGCTGCCATTTGGATTAAAGGTGAGTACACTGAAGAGATGGCAACGCAGCCAAAGGAATTCTGGGAGAAGCGTTATCTCGGCCATTTCTACATAAAGCCCAACTACATTGGTAGATGCTCGCACGTATGTAACGCAGGCTTTACCGTTTTCCATGAGACCCGAGGAAAGGGTTTGGGAAAGGAAATGGGCCGCAAATACTTGGAGTGGGCGCCTAAGTTGGGATACGTGTACTCCGTTTTCAATCTTGTTTTTGAGACCAATGTGGCTAGTGCCCGGATTTGGGAATCTTTGGGATTCGAGAAAATTGGATATATCAAGAATGTGGCAGCATTGAAGGGTGAAGATAAGCTTGTGGGCGCCTACATGTTTGGAAAGGATCTCGTTTAAAATTTACGAGCAAAATAAGAAGAAGATTATGATTAATAAGCTTATTTCAAGTCTTCCTATTACTGGTCCACTCAGAGGAGTATTGGAATGCTCTCCTTAAAATCATAATCTTGAGACTAGGTACATTTCAAGAAGAAGCACCCAAGTACTAATGCATCATTGTTCTCAAGTTCATTTTCATTTTTCTCTGTACTCTTAACTTGACTACATTCCCTTCTGGTCTATTCCTCCCACCTTATCTCACGTACTAAAATCTTCATCCTACATAGGGAAAGGAACTCATCTTCTCGCGATCTTTAACAAGCCTACGATATACACAACAGTACCTGATCTACTCTAGGCACAAGTAGTTGCAAAAAGTCAACTTGGAGAAAATGCCCGAATTCGATGATACGTTGCAGCCGCCACATTACAGGCCGCAACTTGACTACAATCCCATGTCCAACATTGAACGGTACACGGTTCTCTTGAAAGACGGCGAGACAACTGCCACTATTTACCCGATCCAAAACACTGACGATCTTCCCCCAGGGTTATTGGCATTTTTGTGTGATGAATTCAACATGGAAGTAGAGAGAGGTGACACCTTCTCGTTCTTCGACACTTTGCATATTGAGTCCTTTCAGAACTACTGGTTTGGCGCGTTCGCTGGCATTATGGTCTTAGGCGACTCGCCAACGCTAGAAGGTCCCAAACAATGGGAAAAGGAGTGCCTTGGAACTTTCTTTGTACGTCCAAACTACCCTGGTCGTGCTTCTCATATTTGTACCGCAGGTTTTTTGGTCAACGCAGGTATTAGAGGCAAAGGTATAGGAAGAACATTGACGGACTGTTTTCTTCAGTGGGCTCCACGGTTGGGTTACACTTATTGCGTGTTTAATTTAGTGTTTGAGACCAATGTGGCTGCTCGTAGAATCTGGGAATCCCTGAATTTTAAAAGAATTGGCAGGGTGAAGTCGGCTGGTATCTTGAAGGGCCATGACACCGCCGTCGATGCAATAATATATGGAAGAGAGTTGGTTGTAGTCACAGATACCAGCATGGGTGCATACCGTTTCGATAAAATCAAGTACTACTTGGAAACGGGGAAGTATCCTGCCATGGCTGACCGTCAGGAGAAATCTAGACTTCGGTCCTCTGCTTCGCATTACCGTCTTGAAGGCAATCGACTCATGTTACGTGACAAAGAAGTAGTGAGTGATCCTATAAGGCAGCTTCAAATTTGCACGGAAATCCATTTGTCAAATCACGGTGGAATCAACAAAACAACCTCAGCTGTCGCTGAGAAGTACCATTGGACTAGGATTAAAGACACTGTGGGTGCGGCAATCAAGAATTGTGTGACTTGTCGTGAATCTGCAAAGGAAGAAGTTGTGATGAAAAGAAGCGGCATGTCCAAGAAGATGTTTAAGGGCATTCCTGATTTGCGTCGTGACCATCCCGCAAACAACAAGAATTTACAGGGTATGCGTGGCATGATACGTCGTGATAACGACGATGTTGAATCTATTTCTGTGCTACATCGTGATACAGACGGCCTCTTGTCTCATGATTTATCTGGGTTGGATGACGGATTGATTGCAGTGGTGGAGGCAGCTCAGAAACGACAACTGCCTAACCTGGATCAGCAATCCGCAGGGCACAATGCATCGCCACATCATCAAGTCAGAAATCATGATTCCCCTGTTCCCACCTATGCTGCAGTGGCTGCTGCTGCCGTCAATGGTCACAATAATCAGTTCTACACCAACGATTACCACCATGCATATACAAACAAATATGGCACATCCAAAGAGCGAGATACAACAAATGATAACATTAATGTGGACCCGGATGTCTCTGCATTTGACCATACAGTAAACCCTGGTGGTGACGAAATTGAAATTGCCCGTGCGTTAATGCAATCTAATGAAGTGGACGAGCACAATGAGGGCAGGGAAGAAGCCGAGCATTCTGGACAAGACTCAAAGGAAAATAATGGAACCGCCGACGAGTCGTCGCTATTCTTTAAGAGCAATTAGTTCATTTAGAAACTTAAATTGTATTACTATATTTTTTTTTAATGAAGTTGTAAGTCAAATTGTCTCAAAATCATTCCCCCAAACGATTTGAGCATTTGCAAACTGATATGTAAAATAAGTGACCCGAGAGTCTATGATCCCCTTTCTCTTAAAAGTCAACACCGATAACCATAGCCAACAAGGCCATTCTCACGTACAAACCGTATCTCATTTGTCTGAAGTATGCAGCTCTCTGGTCAAAGTCAACCTCTTCCTTAATCTCGGAAGTTCTAGGCAATGGGTGCATGACACACATGTGCTGCTTGGCGTGAGACAAGATCTTGTTATCAACAACGTAGGTGTCCTTCAATCTCAAGTACTGATCCTTGTCCTTGAATCTCTCTTCCTGGACTCTAGTACAGTACAAGACATCTGACTTAGCAATAATTTCTGGAGTCAACTCCTCAGTCTCAGAAACCAACATGTTGTTAGCCTTCAACATCTCCTTAAGACTAGATGGCAAGGATAACTCCTTTGGAGAGACCAAGTGCACTCTAACCTGGTAGTGACGCAACAAGTACAACAAAGAGTGAACTGGTCTACCGTATTTCAAATCACCCATGAAAGTAACAGTGATACCATTCACAGTACCCAACTCCTCTCTGATGGTGAACAAGTCCAACAATGCCTGAGATGGGTGCTCCTTGCTTCCGTTACCACCGTTAATGATTGGTACAGGAGAGAACTTAGCAGCAATGTCAGCAGATTCTTCGTCTGGGTGTCTCAAGACGATAGCATCAGAGTAACAAGCCAAAGAACGGATAGTGTCCTGCAAAGTCTCACCCTTCTTAACAGAGGAAGAGCCAGCAGCAACAGCAACAACTCTACCACCCAATCTCTGCATAGCAGCGTCGAAAGAAGAAGATGTTCTGGTAGATGGTTCGTAGAACATGGTAGCCAACAATCTACCTCTCAACAAATCCAAAACACCCTGTCTCTCAACAGCTAATCTCATTTCCTGGGCAACAGTGAACAAGGAGTGCAAGTCAGAACGGGAGAACGACTTGACAGACAACACTGAGTTTCTCAAGAAAGAGTTATTGTTTCTGATGTAGTCAACCAAAGCGTTGGACTCAAACAAGTGACCAGCAGGTGGCTGCGACACCAACTCAGTGCCCAATCTCTCCAATGTAGCAGCGGGAGTGTCTCTCTCTTTGAAAGATGGACGACGGCCCTCACCGAAGGACATTCTAGCCTTTCTGCCCAAGCTTGGAGATGCTGGGATGCTAGTGATAGAGCCAAATCTGTCTCTAGCCTCAGTTTCGTTCTTACCGGAAGCGTCGGTGACAACGGTACCATCCAAGCAGACAGTCTCACCGTGGTTGGAGACTCTCTCGATGTAACCTCTCAAGGTGGAGTTCTTGAAGATGGAAGAAACAGTTTCGTTGATAGACACGATCCTGTCCAATTCAACATCAACATAAGCATCCTGCTTTGGAATGTTCAAAATCTTGCTTGGGTTGATAGTGAAACGCTTAACAATGTCGTCAATGGTGAGCTTACCCTCCTTGACAGCAGAAAGCAACAATGGCAACGACTCCTTCAAACCCAAACCTGGGACAATGTCGTGGCCAAGACCCTTAGCAACCAAGTATGGCAAGACACCAACAGAGAAACAGTCAATGGACTCCAAACCGTTCCACAATGCCTTCTGGTCCTCCTCAGTTGGTAAGAAGTTAAATTGTGGATAGTCGGCTCTAGATAAGAACAAAGAGTATACGTTCACGTCACAGGTCACCTGCAAGCTTCTGGCCTTGGACATCTTGATCAACTCCAAGTCCTCTTCAGAAGAGACACCAGTAATGTGAATAGAACGGTTGTGCAAGGAAGCCAACAACAAGACGGAGGCTAAGTCAGTAGCCTTTGCGTCAGTGATGATTGGCTTAGCAGTTGGCCAGGAAGCAAAGTGAGCCGAGATCGAAGAAACCTTAGAGTTAGCAAGGTCGTTGAATGGCAAAAACAATGCACCTGCGTTGGTAGCAGCCTCAGCAGATTCCTCGGAGTTGGTCTCGGAACCAGCAATAGAGATGGAGAAGTCAGTGTAAGCGGACTCAGAGGCCAAGTCAATTGCATTTCCCAAGGAATCAATGTCCACGATAGTGGAACCACTGACAGTTTGTGGCAAGAAAGAGTTGAAAGTGAAACCAGCAGCCAAAGAGGTCTTGGTGGCAGTCAAGAAGTCGTTCAAAGATGGAACGAAAGAAGAGATGTTAATCAAACCTGGCAAAACAGCAGTGGAGTGAGAGGTCTGGGCATCGCTGTTGGAGACATCCAAAGTGATATTTCTGGAAAGAGCCTCAATCAACAACTTGGCACACTTAACGTTGGTAACCAATGGCACAGAGTAGTCAACAGCCATACGACGGGATTCGTAACCCTTGGACATGTAGTTAGCAGGACGACGGAATCTGTTGGAAGATGGCAAGTTGATGTACAAGTCAATCAAGTTGTTGGCCAAGTGCTGGGTTAAAGAGTATTCGGACTTCTGGTCCTCCTCCTCGCTCAACACTTCCAAGTAGTGGACTGGAATACCATGCTCCTTGATAAAATCAGCTGTACCAGCAGTAGCGAACAACTTGTAGCCCATTTCATGCAACTTCTTGATGGCAGGCAACAATTCCTGCTTTTCCTTGTAAGAACCGATAGAGAACAAAATGTTTTTCTTTGGCAACTTGAAACCAGTAGAGATCAAGGATTTCAAGTAAGCCTCATACTTGTTCTTACCGAAAGTAGCAACCTCACCGGTAGAAGCCATCTCAACACCCAAGATTGGGTCAGCACCAGCCAATCTGGAGAAAGAGAACTGAGGAACCTTAACGGCACAGTAGTCCTCTGGCAACTTTTCGCCTGGGTAAGGAGTCACTGGAAGATCAACAATAGCCTTAGTGGCCATTTCAATCAAGTCAGTACCCACCACTTTAGAGATGAATGGGAACGAACGGGAAGCACGGACGTTACACTCAATAACCTTAATGTCATTGTCCTTGGCAATGAACTGAATATTGTAAGGACCAGTGATATCCAAAGCCTTACCGATCTTGGCAGTGGCCTCGACAATTCTCTTGACAGTCTCGCGGTCCAAGTCCTGTGGTGGCACAATAAGAGTAGCGTCACCGGAGTGGACACCAGCGTTTTCAACGTGCTCAGAAACAACGTGCATGATCATCTTACCATCCTTAGCGACGGCGTCCATCTCGATTTCCTTAGCGTTCTCAATGTACTTGGTGATAACGACTGGGTAGTCTGGAGAAACATCCACAGCCTGAGACAAGTAAGAAGCCAAGTCAGCCTTAGAGTAGACAGTGTTCATAGCAGCACCAGACAACACATAAGAAGGACGAACCAAGACTGGGTAAGTGACCTTCTCAGCGAACTCCTCAGCTTCTTCGAAGGAAGTCAATTCCTTCCAAGCTGGCTGGTCAACGCCAATCTGGTCCAACATTCTGGAGAACTTGTATCTGTTCTCAGCAGAATCAATCATCTCTGGAGAAGTACCCAAGATCTTGACGTTCTGACGATGCAAGGTCAACGCAATGTTGTTAGAGGTCTGACCACCCATAGAGATGATAACACCTCCAGACTGCTCCAAGTCGTAAATATCCAACACTCTCTCCAAGTTGATGGTCTCAAAGTACAATCTGTCGGCCTCGTCGTAATCAGTGGACACGGTTTCTGGGTTGTAGTTGATCATAATGGTCTTGAAGTTGTTCTCTCTTAAAGTTCTGATAGCTCTGACGGCACACCAGTCGAACTCAACGGAAGAACCAATTCTGTAGACACCAGAACCCAAAACAATAATACCGTGATCTTCAAAGTCGACATCTGAAGAATCAGCGTTGTAAGTAACATACAAGTAATTGGTGAAAGCTGGGAATTCAGCAGCGACAGTATCGATCTGCTTCACAAATGGAACAACACCAGCCTCCTTTCTCAATCTTCTAATGGCAACCTCGTTGGAGTCCAAGAACTTAGCAATCTGTCTGTCCTCGAAGCCCAACTGCTTGGCCTGTCTCAACACAGGGATTGGCAAGTTCTCCTTGGCGCCGAAGCTTGCAATCTTGTTACCGAATTTGATCAATCCATCTAACTTGTTCAAGAACCACTTGTCAATGTTGGTCAATTGCCAAACCTTTTCAACGGAGTAGCCGTCAGACAAAGCGTTGGCAATAGCGAACAAACGCTGGTCAGAAGGAGTTTGCAACTCGGTGTCAATATCGATAGACATCAAAGCAGCAGTGGAGTTGAAGCCCAAGTTGTGGTAGTCAGTAGATCTAATGGCCTTCTGGATAGCTTCCTCAAAAGTTCTACCGATAGACATGACCTCACCAACCGACTTCATGGAAGAAGACAACAAAGAAGAAACTCTGGTGAACTTCTTCAAGTCCCATCTTGGGATCTTGACAACAACGTAATCCAAAGATGGCTCGAAACATGCGCAGGTGGATTTAGTAACGGAGTTCTTGATCTCGTTCAAAGGAATGTTCAAACCCAACTTGGCGGCAGTGTAAGCCAATGGGTAACCAGTGGCCTTGGAAGCCAAAGCAGAAGAACGAGACAATCTAGCATTAACCTCGATAATACAGTACTCCTTGGAGAATGGGTTCAAGGCATACTGGATGTTACATTCACCAACAACTCCCAAGTGTCTGATGACATTGACAGCGGTGGTTCTCAACATGTTGTAGTCCTCATCGGACAAGGTCTGAGATGGAGCAACGACGATAGAGTCACCAGTGTGGATACCCAATGGGTCGAAGTTCTCCATGTTACAAACAGTGATACAGTTGTCGAAAGCATCACGAACGACTTCGTACTCAACTTCCTTCCAGCCCTTCATGGATCTTTCCACAAGAACCTGAGGAGAAGTAGCAAAAGCCTTCTTACACAACTCGACCAACTCCTGCTCATTGTCAGCAAAACCAGAACCCAAACCACCCAAAGCGTAAGCAGCTCTGATAATCAATGGGTAACCGATGGCATTGGCGGCATCAACAGCCTCTTGGACGGTAGAACAAGCCTCAGATCTGGCGCACTTCTCGTTGATCTCCTCCATAGCACTGGCGAACAACTCTCTGTCCTCGGTGGTGATAACAGTATCGATTGGGGTACCCAAAACCTTAACACCCAAGGACTCAAACTCGTCCTTCAAAGCAATACCGACACTCAAGGCAGTCTGACCACCGAAAGTACAGTAGATACCATCTGGACGCTCGTGCTGGATGACTTTTCTGACGAATTCAGGGTTGACTGGCAAGAAGTAGACCTTGTCAGCCAAACCCTTGGAAGTCTGAATAGTGGCAATGTTAGGATTGATCAAAACAGTGTAAATACCTTCTTCTTTCAAAGCCTTGATGGCCTGAGAACCAGAGTAATCGAACTCACCTGCTTGACCAATGGACAAACCACCAGAACCCAAAACAAGAACTTTCTTGACATTCTCTCTTGGGTGAGCAGCTCTGTTGTCAGCGATCTTTCCGCCTGGGAACTCAACTGGCTTGTAGACGCCGGTGTTCTTGAAGTCAACAACAGCATCGATGAAGACATCAAACAAGAACTCAGTGTCTCTTGGACCTGGAGTGGACTCTGGGTGGAATTGCACGGAGAAGAAAGGCTTGGTCTCGTGATAGATACCCTCGTTAGAACCATCGTTGGCGTTGACAAACAACTCCTTCCAGCCGTCGGTCAAAGTGTCAACATCAACTGCGTAACCGTGGTTCTGAGAGGTGATGTAACATCTACCAGAAATGGTGGAGGTACATGGGATGTTGTGACCACGGTTACCGAACTTCAACTTCAAAGTAGAAGCACCAGTAGCTCTGGCCAACAACTGGTGACCCAAACAAATACCGAAAACTGGAGTCTTGGCCTCCTTCAAAACCTTCTCCAATCTGGCAACAGTCTCGGTCATGACCTGAGGATCACCTGGACCGTTGGAGACGAACAAACCATCGTACTCCTCAGTGGTAAAGTCGTAGTCCCAAGGAACCACCTTCAACTCCACACCTCTGGCGACAAAACAACGAATCTGGTTGTACTTCATACCAACATCGATAGCGACAATACGGATTGGCTTTCCGTTCTTGTCAACCTTGGCGTTGGACTTTGGAGTGTACAACACTGGTTCCTTGGTAGAAACATGAGCGACCAAATTCTTGACATTAGGATCATCCCACTCTGGAACATCAAAGTATTTGCTCCAGTTCTCAGCACCAACAGCTTCGTCATGCTTTGAGTCGGAAAGCTGAAGAGCCATTCTACCCAAGGTAGAACCTTCAGTTCTCAACTTCTTGGTCAAGGCTCTGGTGTCCACACCGTACATGGCAGGAACACCCTCCTTCTGCAACCATTGGCCCAAAGAAGACTTAGCCAAGTAGTGGGAGTACTCCTCGGTGTAGTGAGCAACAATCAAACCAGCAATGTGGATACGGTTAGACTCGAAGTACTTTGGCAATTTGTCAACGATGTCGTCCTTCAACTCACGGTCTGGGACACCGTAGTTACCAACAAGTGGGTAAGTAATAACCAAAATCTGGCCCTCGTAAGATGGATCAGTGATGGATTCTGGGTAACCCACCATACCAGTTTGGAAAACAACCTCACCAGCAGCAGAAACTGGAGCACCGAAAGAGTAACCCTGCAAGGCATCACCATTCTTGGTTTCCAAGGTCATCAAACGGTCACCAGTGGATTCCATTGGTGGGGAAATTGGAGCAGACAATCTAGCCATCTTTGAAAGTTCTCTTGAAGAATGTTCAGTGGGGGAGAATATGTTGAATCGATATGAACAGAGGTATCAAGCTGGGGGGATGCAAGTAATACCAATATTGAACAAGAGAGCTTGGAGACGTTAGTAAAGATCTGGAGATTGACTAATCCGATATGTAGATCGAACGGAGTGTAAAGATTGTAAAAAAAAAAACGGTCTTCAATCTTGTGCAGTGCAGAGATGCCCTTTCAATGATAGATGTGGAGTCATATCTGATAACTCACAGAAATTATTATTTCTATCAGGCATCGATAACAGGCCAGTCAAACTATCGAGATTTGTCGATGAAATTTTTACAAAAACTACGGGTAGATGCATCGTTGGATAAGTACAAAGTAGCCTCTCTCAACAGTAGCATCAACCCATAGTTCCTGTGATCAAACATACCTTAACAGTCACGGATGTGGCGATTAATTCGATCAAAGAACAGCAAGGAAGATTGCCTATTGTTGAGAGAGGAGAAGAGAAGAGAGGAGAGGAAGGGGAATAAAGAATGTTGGTGGAGGCAGGGTCGAGGGATATATATAGGAACCCGATGGGAAAATTTTTCAGTCATCATAGTGACTCCATCGCAAAAGAGGCCGGATTGCGGGTGGTTACCCTGGCAATATCACGTGAATGACCTCGTATATTGATCTTCCGAGGGTAAACGTAATACATGTTGCGTTCAAGATCTAATGTTACTTGCGGAATATAACGTTTTCTCGATGGTGAGAATCCTGAAGATTTTGGAATTTGGAAAATTGAGTGAGGATGAGGAATATATATATTGGCTGTAAATATAATTTTCCCCTCGTCACCATTCTTTTTCATTGAACAAAGTGAATTTGTTAAAATTCCGGAATACGGATAATCCTGCGTGTACTGTATGCCTCCATGTAGTTGTCACTAAATTGGCATGGGTTTCGAAGTCAAGGCGATTAATTGTTGACGCGATGAGGGTGATGAGGACGTTGAGGCAGATTGCCACTAAATATTCAGATTGATAACTCATTTCGTGAGACAAAAGCCAGACGTATTGGATTCTTTTCATGTTTCATGTGCAGGAAAGATTAAAAAGGGTAACTCATATCAAAGCATTCACAAATCGATGAGTAGTATTTCCTTGAGGTACTTTGTAAATAAAACCATTAAAGTGGTCTAGTGAATGGGTTTTATTGCGAAGTCTTTAAAGATTTTTCATAAGTAACTTATATTCATGTTTGATATATTTGTAAGTTGGGTGCAGATTGGTGGAAATGCGGAGTAATAAGCAGACTTGCTAAAATAAGATTAAAAAGAAATTGGAAGCTTCAGAAAAGTTCAATTCGTTGATTTACTGTAACTCACTGGAGAGCGATCAAAAAGTAAAATTAACACAGAGACTTCGCCATAGATCTTCGTGAAACTCCAAAATTGATAAGGCAAGTTGGAATACATTTAACGTTACTAGTAAATAGAACGCAATAGATGAAGGTAGAAAGAAGTCAGTTTAAATCAAAAGAAAAAGAATTGGTTCCACGATTCAGAAATGAAAAAATCTGCTAGGGCGTACTTCGTAAAACCATGTCTTCCTCCAGCCATTCCAGTCTACGCGTGAGGAATCATAAAGGACAATATCCATTGGAAACCTAGTTAAAATCAACTAAAACCATTCAGAATACATCGTCCGAACTCAATGAAACCATTGCTTAACCAGACAAAAGACCCAAATCCCATCTGGAACGCTCACCCGAAACACAATACTTGAGTGCCACCGAAACCCACATACTCGTCAATGTGAAAACTTTTTTCTATAATTCTACACTTCAGGATCTCTCCAACCAACTATAATTTATTCAATTAATTCAATATTTTCTCTACTCATAACAAATTGATTTTTACATCTTTCCTAATTAATGCAGAGAAGAAATGCAAGACATGGCGGAATTGTGGTTTGTCTGCCGGAGATATGTCAAATTATCGATGCCTCGTTTCCAAGTGCCAAACTCATTTTATTACGAGCTTCTGAATATCTTGAATCCTTTACTCTGAATTCTTGAGCACATATTCAAATCTCTAGTTAGAGAAGCTGCTTTATCATACTCTGCGTTTCTCTCTCTTGAGACTTCCGTTTTGAGCGGTCATACCGGGCATTCTTTGTCAGTCCCTTAGGTCACCCAAAATGTTCTCCCGAAAACCAGCCATGAGGAATCGTCCCCCCTTGGGGTATAAGGTGAGGACCCTCATTCATAAGGTTACTCTGGCACTTCATCCGTATGTCAAAGTCGTTGTTCCGAATTTCAGAAGAGCACATTACGTCTACATTATCTCCATGTCCTTCTTGGTGGCTATAATTTGCTACCCAATATCCAATTTCAGGTTTATAGATATTTTGTTTTTGCTGAGTGGCACATGTACTCAAGCTGGCTTGAATACTGTCAACCTCAATGATCTCTATCTACTGCAGCAGATTGTCATCTACATTGCAACGACATTGACAACGCCAATTTTCATCCACGGCTCACTACTTTTCATTCGGCTTTATTGGTTTGAAAGACACTTTGACAACATCAAGGAGAGCTCCAAATTGAATTTTAAGATGCGCAGAAATGCCACGCTAGCTGCCCGAACGAAATCCAATGACTCGACTAGAGTGAACACTGTCACCAATCAGGGCTTAGGTTTTTCTAATACGGCCACTTCAAACATTGCACCTCATGTCACTACGAATGCGTTGGAAACTATTGAAGAACCTTCATCTCCATCGCTGGCTTCCCCTAAACTGGGTCTGCTAGAAAAGGAGTATGGTACCACTTTGTACAGTGAGCCTAGTGACAACAACGACGACAAAGAAGCAGAGCCAGTTCCACCAGAACAGCGCACGGTGGAGACTCGAAATGCTATCAAGTTCGGTGACTTGCCCCATCCTTCCGCAGCAAGGAGAAAGGAAATCGACCCTTCCGATATGTTCAAGTCGATTGCCATGCTTCAACACAATAGACGTGATAGCACAGTCGATGACGATGTGTTGGTGATCAAATCGCCGAAGGAAATAGAAAAGGAGCTGAATGGCCCTATTTTCACCAGAAAAAACCTCAGTTTGTCATCCTCTCCTCGGAGGCCAAGTATGTGGAAAAGAAAGGGATGGTCGCTTCGCAGATCGTTGTCGAACACGCCAGCTCCCAAAGTATTAAGGCGTAACTCTACTGCTCATTCGGCTAACGAAACGGAGTCTATTGATAGCGAGGATGAGCCTCGTTCTCCTCGAAGCCCTCGCAACTCCACCAGCAGACTGGTTGATATGGGATACGATGGTGACGACAACGATGACGAAGATGATGATGACGAAGACGTCGACGGAGATGATGAGCAGAGTGATGGAGCCAGTATTCGCTCATTGTACTCTGACGAAGATGTCATCGAATCAATGGATAGTGAAAATGATATGGCTTCAAATAATGATACTACATTCGGTGGCCATGACAGAAAGACAAAATTCGCCCTGGAACCAAAGATCAACAGACCAAATAGGCGAAGAGCAAGGAGAAGACGTAGTGGGCTACGCAAATGGAGAACTCCTATGACCAGAATTATATCCCGAAATTCAGATGTACTACAAAATGATTCCGACGATGAAGAGCACTATTTCAGTGAGGGAGGTAACTCATTGAAAAGGTCAATGAGCACGAATTATTTGTCCTGGGAACCTACGATAGGAAGAAACTCGACATTTGTTCACTTGACTGAAGATCAAAAAGAGGAGCTTGGAGGTGTTGAATACAGAGCCATCAAGCTTTTAATCAAGATTATAGTGTTGTACTATATTGGATTTCACGTCATTGCATTCTCCTTCTTTGTGGGCTTCATCAACGTGGCCAAATCATATGGTAGAGATATGGAGGCGTTTGGTATCCTGCCAACATGGTGGGGATTTTTCACTGCTCAATCTGTGTTCAATGATTTAGGACTTACTCTTACACCAAACTCGATGGCGACGTTCAGTCGGTCGGTTTACATTTTGGTGATATCATCCTTTTTCATTGTCATTGGTAATACGGGCTTCCCAATTCTACTTAGATTCATCATTTGGGTCATGTTCAAGTTTGCAAAACCATTGTCGTTGTATAAAGAGAGTCTTGGATTTTTATTGGATCATCCACGTCGTTGTTTCACATTGCTTTTCCCATCCGTTCCTACCTGGTGGTTGTTTTTTATTTTGGTCGTCTTAAATGCCACAGATCTTATTCTCTTCATCATCTTGGATTTGAACAGCAATTACTTGTCATCAATTCCTACTGGATTCAGAGTGTTGGATGGAATGTTTCAGGCATTTAGTACCAGAACGGCCGGGTTCAGTGTGATTGATTTATCTCAGCTTCATCCGGCGGTTCAAGTGAGTTATATGATCATGATGTATATCTCTGTCTTGCCATTGGCTATCTCTATCAGAAGAACCAATGTTTATGAGGAGCAATCTTTGGGTATCTATGCACCTGGAGATGAATCAAAGCATGATGAGGATTCACCAAGTAATTTTGTTGGTACCCATTTGAGAAATCAGTTGTCTTTTGACTTGTGGTTTATCTTTTTGGGATTATTCATCATTTGCATTGCCGAAGGAAACAAAATTGATGCTCTCAACATCCGATTCACCGTATTCACGGTGTTGTTTGAGATCATCAGTGCATACGGTACAGTGGGACTTTCTCTCGGATACCCTAACACCGATCAGTCCTTCTCTTACAAACTCACCACTGTCTCGAAATTGGTTATCATTGCTATGATGATTAGAGGAAGACACAGAGGGTTGCCATATACATTAGACAGAGCTATCATGTTACCAGATGCAGACATGAAGCGCAGAGATGCCATGCAAGAACATCATGCTGTCCAGAGAGCTCAAACATTGGACATGGCACCAACTGCATCCACTGAAGGTGTAAGCTCCTCGCGTGCTGGAGGACGGCTTGAGGGATTGAAAAGGACAATCACAAGGACTGCAAGCACATACAGGAGAAACTCCTTGTTCCCGACTCCGACTAGGTTACCAGATGAACGATATGAGCACAATGAGACACATTCTTTTCCATTTCCATCTCGGCCTAGTGTTAGTCTGACATAATGCGAAGGACAAAACTTCTAAAGATAAGAAGAGGGTCCAAGACTGTCTAACTAGCTGTTACATAGTGAATACCTAACGAACAGGTCATATGATTGTGGCGTAAGGATTTGCTGAAGCGTAGCTAGCATTTGGTCGTGTCTTTTAAAGTAGGCAATAATTAAGTGGTTACAATATAATTGTGCCAAACCTGATTTTTGAACGCTCACACAACACTTTCCAAGATTCAATAATTATCATAGACCAATAGCAGCCATATTAAATTTGGTTTCTTTACAGTTTTCAAGAAAGTAAATAGAGCAAGATGATCATCTTTTCCTCGATTCTTATCCATGTGCTTTGCAACCCATCGACCTGTGTGCAGAAAGGCATCCTCAAGACAGAAAAAATTGAGATGACTTAGATAGATACTCTACAAACCACGATGATTAGAAGACAGGCCAGAGAGAGAAGAGAATATTTATATAAAAAGGCACTTGAGTTGCAAGAGACTGCTCAGCTTGAAAAGAGACAAAAGTTGAAAGCTGCACTTGCATCTGGTAAACCACTCTCAAAAGAATTGAGTGAAGACACCGAACTTCATAAGAATTTCAGATATGATGAGAGTGAACAGACAGAAATCGATGACGAATACCTGGCCATGAGTGGTGTAAATGATCCAAGAATCATCGTGACCACATCCAGAAACCCATCGGTCAAGTTGCTACAGTTTTCGAAGGAGATTAAATTGATGTTTCCAAACTCCATGAAGCTAAATAGAGGAAGTTACATCATTCCCGAGCTTGTCAAGTCGTGTGCCAAAGCCAACATTAATGACTTGATCGTGTTACACGAACACAGAGGTGTTCCAACGTCATTAACTATCTCGCATTTCCCCCACGGCCCTTCGGCCATTTTCACCTTGCACAACGTCAAATTGAGACATGATTTGCCTAACATTGGAAATATTTCCGAGGTTTATCCACATCTCATTTTCCAAAACTTCTCGACCAAATTGGGTCAAAGAGTGGAGAAGATCTTGAAGCATTTGTTTCCTCCTGGAGCCAAGAAGGACAGTTCAAGAGTCATCACATTCATCAATAACGACGACTTCATCAGCGTTAGACATCATGTTTATGTCAAAACCAAAGAAGGAGTGGAGTTGAGTGAGGTGGGCCCAAGATTTGAGATGAAGCTTTATGAATTGAGATTGGGGTTGATTGATAACAAAGATGCTGATATTGAATGGAAGACCAGAAGATTTGTCAGAACGGCCAACAGAAAGAACTATTTGGCGGAGTAGTCAAGTAACTAGCAATAAACGGCAAACGATCTCAAATGAGCAATTCTTGCTATAAAATACTTAACTAAAATACACAGTAAAAGATCACGCGACACAATTGTTCCTTAGCATCTTTCAACATTGACAAGCAAAGTCGAGGCAGGAATTGCAATAGCAAGAACTTGGAAGCAATCTGACAACTCATCTCAATGAGAAAAGTAGAAACTGCAGAAATGAATGACGGCGCAAAAACTCCGCTTGCCTTTGGACTATGTTCCTTTGCAATGTAACCTTCATCCTAGACGTTTTTCTGTTTTGATTATTATTAATGTCCACTGATCTCAGTGCTGCATTGTCTAATGCAGTCACCAACCGAGGTTGAGATCAAACTCTCGCTATCGACGTTCGAGTGGACAGAGGAGAACGACTTTCTCTTTGAAATGGAAGAGTTAGAGGTGGCAGGATAGTACACTTCTTGGTCCTCAGAGTCAGAAGACTCTGGACTGATGAGGAATTTGTTCAAGTTTCTGCTCTCTCTCTCACCCACCTTCGATGGGGTTCTCTGTGGCACACCAACTGAATTAACACGCTCCTTGCCCAACTGCTTTGACAACTGCGACTGGGAATTTCCTGAGGTAATAGAGTTCAGTGTCATCTTTCTAGACAACTTGTTGAAATGAAGTGCACTAGAATTAGAGTTACCGTTCAATCCTGAGTTTCCGTTGGAGGCGGTGGAGTGGTTGGAGGTCACACTCATCTTACGACCAATGGTGGGTACCACACCGTGACTGTACGAGTGCATGACGGATGGTCTGCGGGAAAATTCGTCGTTGTTGATCATGTCGGCGTATGAATAGAACGAAACCGAAGACCTGGAGCTGCTTAACTTGGGAGGAGAAATGGGGGACTGTGGCTGGTGCGACAACGAGGACATGGAGGCCGCATTGCCATTGGCTGGGTGCATTTGACTCATGGAGTAGATACTGTTCTTACGCAGTGGAGTGTAGGGTCTACCCAAAGCCATGTTTAAGCCGATCACGGACGAGTTACGTCTGGAGGAATACACCATCTCCACATCGTCCAAATTAGTGTCCTTGTCACCCAAAATCTGGGCAGTGGCATCCAAAGCAGGCGGAATACAATCCTCTTGTTTAACTTCAGAGAATTCTTGAACAGAACGCTCGAAAATGTTAGACTCTGGCTTATCACAAAGAGATTCAGTCTCCAACACTGGCGAACACACGGGCGAGTTGAGTTGGCTGTTTCTGGGAGGCATGGCGACAACTGGTGATGCAGAGGGACTCGATACCAGGTTCTTCTGCTGGGTAAACTTTGTGTTTGGCGAAGTGGAAAGTGGGGGAGGAGCAGAACCCTTTGGAGAAGAAGAGGCGGAGTGGGAGGACAGACCAAACGAGAACAACGACATACGCTTCTTACCAGACGCCGCGGTGGCGGTGTTCAGCGCCAGAGGCGAGACAGAAGCGTTCGTCGCACCAGCGTCATGTTGGTTGTGATGGAAAAGGGTCATGAGGTGAAGTTGTTGACAAATATAGACAAGGGGCGCAATGCACAAGAATCAAACGGAACAGTGGCGAGTCAGGGAAGGCGACAGGTCACGGTAGCAGGTAGCCAAGGAGACACAACGGGTCGACAGCACAGAACAGAACAATTGAAGCTAAAAACAGTGACCAATTCAACACAACAAAAAGTGGTGAAGAATATAGCAGGTGGAGACAAAAATTGGAAGAAACAGCGGCGGAGGTCGTGAGACGCACGGAAATCAACGGCTGAACAAACAAACAGAAACAGGGGACGACGACTCTGGAAGAAAAATCACAGAATCTTGGTGTGTGCAATCAAGGATTCAGAGGAATAGATTATGATTATCTATCGGGAGAGTGGATAGTGTTGGCGGGCATGGAGTCAGGATGCTTACATAATCAGAAACCCGAGATAACATTAGGATGATCGCTTGAACACGGCAATATTGGGCGCTTGGCACCTTGTATCCTGCAGGGTAAATGTCGCGATGTACTTCATGGGGGTGGGGGACATTTAATGGGAAGGAGGTGAAGGGGGCGAAGTTTTGTGGGTCACAGAAGTCTTGGAATTTTACAAAATGCTAAAATTAGACTCATACTGTGATTCAGAAGTTAATCAATTTAAAATATTTACAAGCTGAATGGTATTCCCCCCGTTTGATTTACCTGACCTAACCTGGTGTACGGGTTTCAAGTCACCCAAAAAGTCGCATGTCGCGATGGCTTATTCCTGTGTATTCCCTTGTCAAGAGGTCATACTGCATTATTTGTGTCATCTCCGCATCCCACGGATGACTTCGTCATTCCAAATTGAAAACTTCCATTGAATTCCGTGTTGAGCGCCTCCGCATTTGCCTCAACTGTTTGACTCGTGCAAGCTGTAATTTTGTCAGGAACTTCTAGCGAATTAATCCCCTGGGAATTATCTCCGTCTCTTACTTCTATGCGTCAGTATTCGCGGAATCACCACCACATTATGCTCTTAGGTGAGACCAAAACTTGGGATTGCCGTCACGTGACTGACATGAAATCAAGGATGAGGAGAAGTGGGAAAAGGGAAAAAAAGAATGGGGATTCCCAAAGCAGGAGTCCGGTTGACAGGCCCCGAAAAAGCATATCGGTGAATGTTTCGGAATGTTTAGGGGGTTGTCCGCAAAGATGACAATTTTTTTTTAAGTATTTGGGGCTTCTGAGAGATTTGAAGATCAAATTATTAACTTAAGCGTTATTAGACTACGAAGATACTTAAGTAGATTAGTGAGTAAAGCCTCAGTATGGCTTCAGTGGTGCAACTAAGGCAAATGTACAGAAAAGTGCGAGTTTTATGAGGAGTCTCAATAATACGACATTCCCAGCGATCGTTCCAAAAATTCGACATGAATATCTCCTCTTTTCAATTTCTTCTTCTTATTCCCCCACTCAGAGTAAATATATCTAGATTTTTAAATCTTGGTATTTGTCAATGGCAATATAGCCAAAGTTAATTTGCATTGTAAATCAAATCACTAGATGCCTTGATGGAACATTTGTATCGGCATCCACACGTGACCTACCATAGTTTACAGTAGGGCCCGTAGGATTCCAAGCTCATGCAATTTGATCCAAGAACTGTCCACAATTCCAACCTGATTTCCACAGGCACTGTCGTGGACATGGGATCACTAGCACCAGACTCACGTGGGCGATCTTACACCCTAGATACCCTCAATATCAGCTCCATTGAAAGCAGACGAGAACATGGTCATAATGACGAAGATCCCACCACCAACGTTGAATCTGCTACCTGGCTCTTCAGCGACCTCTTGCAAAGCATCTCTATCCGCGATAAGGACGATATCCACCTTCTTGTCTCCAAGAGCAACGAATTGGTATCGCTTTTGCGAGCAAATCCATCATTGAAGCATGAGATCGTGATTGAGAATGTCATCAGTAAGGTCCAGTTCATGCTTTATGACCAAAACTCCCAACTACGATGTGCTGCTTATAGAATTCTTCGGCATTCTACCGCTGGTCAGGATGGCTTGCAATGCTTAGTTCGGGTCAAGCTTCTTATCTTTATCATTGTGACCTTCTCTACACCTTCTCCACTTCTCGAGAAAGAAGAGGCGTTGAAAATGGTCCGTCACTTCATGGATATCCCTGATGGTGCCAACTACCTTTCTATCGGTATCATTAAAGCATTGGTTGCATTGGTTGAGCATGAGAACGAGGAGTCGCAAGAATTGTCCGAGACAATATCATCCGAGTTCCATGTTCCTGCCCCATTTTCCCGTTTATGTATTGAAACTATCTGTGAGCTTGCATCTTTCAAGCCAGACATTGTTTTCCATGGTGGTGGTCTACGACTCTTGATTACATTGATCATCAATGCTTCCTCAGATATTGCTGCATCATGCATTATTGCTCTCCTATCTCTTTTAGATAGACCTAATGCTAGACTCTTCTTGAGGAATGGCTTTGATTTGGACTCCTTGATCTCAGTGTATTCTCTTTTTGAGGACAACGACGAAGGCAAAACTCCTAGCTCCAAAAAGTACTATAACCGAGCACTCAAGATTTCATTTCTCCTTTCCCTTTTTCTCAAGTCATGGACGGGAATCATTTGCTTCTCGCATAATAAGTTTGATGCTCTCAAGCTTCTATTGTCTAACCTTCGAAAGAAGAATAACAAGCTTCGAAGTATGATTTTGGATTTACTCCTCGACATTTTGCGCATCAAGGCATTGCCGTGGCTAGAGAACTCATCTGTGGGAGAAGCCTTGTCTAAGTTCATGAGCCAAATTACTTGCTCTCCTGAGCACCAGATGACGTACGAGTACTCTTCAATTGATTCTCAGAGTTTCGAGTTCTCTATTGTTTCACATTATCAAGGTTTGCTATCAAAAGTCTTATTTAACTGTGACGTCATGCCTTTACTATTTGATATTATCAATGAGAACAGAGACGAGGAGATCACCATGAAAGCAACGTATTTCTTAACGCATGTTGTCAATTTATCAGTGAATCTCCTACCACGAGACTTTTACAACACCCATATCATTGACGCGTTGGTACGTCCAATGACATTGAACTCCATCAGTAAGATTGAGGTGGCTACCAAGTCACAACAAATAAGTGAGCCAATTGCTAAGAAAAGTGAGATCAAAAACATCGTAAAGGATATTACAATCGAATCCAGGCTATACATGGATGATGTATCTTTCAAAACTCTAATTGCAAACACGAAAGTATTGGCTGTTAAAGAATTTGATGAATGGAATTGGACCTACATCTCGCAGCTATGTCAGGGCCCCTTGAGAAATCCAAAGCGGTTCGCTGAGATTCAAGAGAAGTATCCTAAATTCTTGAAGACCATATTATCATTCTTCAGGCCATTCAAATATCGCTTCAGCAATCTTCCACTTCACGCATCTACTCGATTTCCAAAGTTGAAAAATCCAAAGAAGATTATTTTAATTGGTTGTCAAATTTTCGAGTCGCTCCTAAGTTTCGAAGATGGTTACAAATTTTTAGTGGCAAATAAGATTATGCCCCAAATCGCGGAGACTTTTGCTCAAGTTGATCCATTCAGTGGTATTCAATCGAATGATGCCATTCTTTCTCGAAAACGGTTAGAAAATACTCTTAGCATCGGGTATGTTAAGTTTATTGGTGTATTTTCTGGCTGCCAGAATGGAATCCGCATTTTGGAACAATGGCAGATCTTCCAAATCACCAACAATATTGTGGAGGCAAGCAATTGGAACGATGATAATAATCATTTGATTTTCAACTTGTTCAATAATTTGGATTTCACAAACGATAGTCCTTTCACTATTCTTTTGTCCAAAGCTTTGAATGTGTCTAACTGGAAGGTCAAGGTGTTTCTATTGGATAACGTGCTCCCTAAATTATTGAAGAACGAAGAAACTGAGCGTCTTTGCATTTCCAATCTTGTTTCGTTGCTCTATGATGAAATTGATGTGGTTGTGGAGATGGCAGTTGACATGTTGCACAATTTTTACATTGTCAAGAACAAGCTCGAGAGGATCGATTTGCTCATTGGCTACAAGCCTTCAATTCGGATACTTTCAGATTATGAAAGTGGGCGCGAGTTACTCTTGAACTTTTGTAAAACGTCAATTGGCTTTCGTTTCCTTCATAAAAGTGGATTTATTGAGTCCAGCTTTAATAAAAGCATAAAGGACCTTCAAGAATTTGAGTACCTCAATTCCATTGAAACATCTCTCAGGGTGCTATTTTATCCCTACTTTTCAAGAACTGCTGATGTGAAGACAGGTCACAAGAACAACTTGCATCATTTTTTTAACTACTTGCTTTCCACTGAAGAAGGGTTCAATTACTTCAATAGCAGAAGATCATATGTGGACGACGCAATATTTCGAATTCAAGGAATTTGTCGAAGATTGGATTTGCTAGAGAGCTACCAGGAAGGGCATGATCATTCTGGTTTCAACGTTCTGGCTACTTTTGATCCCGAAATATTTGATGACCTGATGGCTACTGAAGAGAGGACCATGGTGAAGCTGCAATATTCTAGTGACACTTACCTTGGTAATAGTCTTAATAACCTGGACGATATCGCAGTAGAGTCACCAGGAGCACCGATTCGAATGTCCCTCGCCATTCCGGAATTTGAAACCACTGATGATGAAGAAGAGTTTTATTTAAGAAAGTTGAAACAGTACTTGTGGGTTATGGGTGAAATTGCTTCAGCGAACTATGGTATTCAGATTCTTGATCCGATTTATAGCTCCAATTTGCGAAGTGAGCATATTGTTGAAACTATTTATCAACTATTTATGAAGTCTGCTAATTGGCAGCTTCGAGGATTAGCATTTTACCAACTTGGAAAAATCGCCTCAACACTCGAAGGTGTTGAGATGCTAGATGATTTGCAGTGGATGTCCGTGGACTGCGTCAATGGATTCCAGTCACTTTCCCTTGCATACCCAAAGGCAATGCAAAATGATGACTTCTTCAATGTTGAAATCTTGAATCCATATAAGGACGCGAGCTATTTCACTCTTTTCGGAAACAGTGAAATGATTGCAGTGAATGGCCAATTGGATTTAGAGGACGAGATAGTCATTGAAACCTATGAGGAGCTCGATTCCAAAGTATTGGCTCTCATCAACTATTTGAGCTCGGTATTGAGCAGAATTGAAAGGAAGGCCAAGAAAGACTTGAACAGAATCAAGGCTGAGAAACCACAGATTTTCGGGAACTGCAATCTTTTCTTGAAAGTCATCAGGTTGATCGACAAGGGTAAGTTCAGTTACAGAACTAGGATATTCATTTTCCATTTATTCAACACCTCTAGGGTTTTGGAAAGTTTGACCAAGAGAGACCGCAAGAATTCCAACATCAGGAAATAGTATTTGGAGCATGCATTAAGGTGTAAGCCAATCATTCTTTGGCTAATCCCTTTTTCTTGCGTTTGGTGTTTAACGTGGGAGAATTAATGTACTCCCTGACGCCCTTACCTCTGATCTCCACAGGTTTGAACTTGGAAAGAACCAAATGAGCGTAATTTCTTCTAGTCCACATCTCAGTGTCTTGCGGATTCACCTCTACTGTATCTAGTTCATCATTAACCATATCAGGAATTGCCTCAATCACCGCAAGATCAACGTTGTAGGAATCTTTCACTTTGATTGTAGCTGGATCCTGGCCACTGGCGATCTTCATCACCGGATCTAGTACATCAGCAAGATCAGGCTTAGCTGCTATTATTTGCGAAATCCTGTCTTCGTCTATACTTAAGGGTTCGTCGCTCATTTCGTCGTCGTCTTCCAATTCATTTAGAAGATCAAGAATGGCATCGTTACGACGCTTGTAATGATACATTGTCTGGCGCTGAGTCTTCTCTGTGACGAACAACTTCTGGGAAATCGAGTAGACCTTGTTGAAGCGTTCTTGCAACGCATCGTAGATTTTACTGTAATCGATTTCTTCCTCTTGTTCTTGAGAATCATGTGGATGTTCGACAGACGGCAGTTGGGCAGGCGGTTGTGTCCATGTATTCAGAGGCTGCTCAATTTCAGTGTTAACGCTGGTCGTCGTTGGATCCTGCGAATTGGCCATTTCTGTTGGTGTAGTCATGGTTCTGTCGAGAGAGTGGGAACTTCAACTCATTTTGAAGTTGAGGTGTACGGGTGTAGAGCTTGAATAAACGGGTAATAGGTTGATACACCTGGAGGAAAATGGACTAGCTGGGACGAAAATGAGACGTAAGAGAAAGTCGTTAGCATGGAATTTCAAACACTTTTATGAAGATTTGTTATGCCACATACAAGTTTATAGGTGCAAGTTGCGAGGTCTCTAAAGTGTGGAAGGGACTACTTATGTTTACCTGACATGTAGATAAATAACTAAGAGACTATTCAAATGATACAATATTCTTGCTACAATACAAGAGGGCAAAGTTGATAGTAAAGAGAGCAAAAAGAAAAAAAAAAGTGCCTGATTCTTCCACTCGAGCTCGACCACTACCTACTCTATAACCTATTCCTGCACTACCCATCAACGCGTCTTACAATTCCAATTCAACTTCTACACCCACAAACCACACATCCACAATGTCGATAGTCTCGTTGCTAGGTATTGAGGTGTTGAACAATCCCGCCAAGTTTGCAGACTCATACGAATTTGAAATCACCTTCGAATGCTTGGAACCGTTGAAAGAAGATTTGGAGTGGAAGTTGACCTATGTGGGTAGCTCAAGATCGCTAGATCACGACCAGGAGTTGGACTCCATCCTTGTTGGTCCTGTACCCGTAGGAATCAACAAGTTCTTATTTCAGGCTGATCCTCCTTCTCCAGAATTAATTCCTGCTAGTGAGTTGGTCAGCGTTACTGTCATCTTATTGAGTTGCTCGTATGCTGGACGAGAGTTCGTCAGAGTGGGATATTATGTCAACAACGAATATGACTCGGAAGAATTACGTGAGAATCCTCCAGCCAAGGTACAAGTGGAGCATGTTGTTCGTAATATTTTGGCCGAGAAGCCCCGTGTAACCAGATTCAATATTGTGTGGGACAACGAAGACTCCAACCCTGATGAGTATCCTCCAAACCAGCAAGTAGATGATGAAGAGGAGGAAGAAGAGGATGAAGATGAGGAAGAGGAAGAGGAGGAAGAAGAAGAAGAAGCTGAAAATGAAGACGAAGATGAGGATTTAAATGATGCTGAGGAAGACATTGAAGAAGATGGAGAAGAGGATATTGTCATTGAAGATGATGCTGAAGGGAAACCCACAGACAAGGATGAAGGTCTTGAGTCGCAAGGAGGCAGCGGTGCAGCCACTCCGAAAGACAAGGCACAGAACTGAAACTACAAGTCGTTGTATAGTATGCACATAATAGAATATACCCTCATGGATGTCCGAGCAGATTAAAATCTTTCAATGATGGAATTGATCACTTGACTAAGACTGTCAACTATGTCTTTATCAAAGATCGATCCGTCGTACTTCGCCACCCACTTGTCAGGATGCCACCTGAGCCGTTCCTTCTTCAAAAAGACGAGTCCATCGTCCTTTGGTTCATTCATAAAAATGTAATCGTAAAATGCAGAAACTGATTTGTTGTCATTGATATATGCCAACATTTCCTGTTTGGTCAAGTCCTGCTTAAAATGCTGTAGCAAAGGTAGCTTGTCCGAAACCATATATTTGTGACGGAGATCCAAACGATCGTCATCACCTTGCGTTGATGGCGAGGACATAGCGTAAGGGTCGTTGATTCGCTTGTCGCCAACATGCAAGTCGTCCACTTCCTCCATCATTCCTGCTGCCGAAGCACGAAACTCACCTACTATCTCGTATCTACCTGGCAGTTGAGAGTAGTCATCAGCCACATATTGGTTAATAAGTCTTTGGGAAGCCTCGTATGTTGCTGAAGGTCGCGCCTGCGGAGTGCGGTATGAGAAATTGGACGATGGCTTGACAAACTTGAAGTCATTTACATTGTCTTCATTTGCTTCATATGAAATGCACGGAGATGGAGCACGCGAGTTTGCTGGCGTTGATTGGCTGATGGGCGTGGAGTTGACATTCATAGCCGTAGTTGAAAAGCCCGACAGCGACCTTGCAGACTCTTCCGGGTCGTCTTGGGCGTCGTTGAGCTTATGTATTAGTGGAACCCCATTCGCAGAAAGTTTGCGAGAGGAAGAGAAGTCCAAGAGGGGTCTCTTGATTTTCGACGACTGTGACGGCGTCAATTCTTCTGAGTCGGACTTCTTGAATCTGAGTCTTTTGCGGGGATGCGATGGACACGGGGTGGAGTCCGAGGCTGAGAAACTGATCTTCAGGATCGAGTCACATGTCTCATTACCTAGGATCCCTGTCATCTTTCCAGAAGATCCATGAGGAATGGTGTGGTTTGTGGCCATCGGTGTGATTTCCATATCCAGAGGCGAATCTGTGTGTCTTCTCTTGCGCTGAGGGATATAGGATGGAGGCACATCTAGAGCACCAAATGAGGCGTTTTCATCGTCCGCATCTGCGTAATCAGCTTCCGGATCAGCATCATCTGAGTCATCATCATCGTCTGATTCGGAGTGTAATGTTTGGTCGCCTGCTCCATAGTCATCTTCATCTTCCTCATCTTCTTGTTCTTCTTGATCTTGATGGTTGATACCTGCGTCATCTTCATCAGTGGTCCGTCTCAAACACATCGACAGCGCCAGATCTCGGTAGCTTGGACTAAGATGTAGTTTGTCGAGTCTCTTCATGGGCGAGACAAACATGATGGACTTGTTGTAGTTCACATGTAGTGGGGTGGAAGCTCCAGCTAGAAAGTCGAATTCAGGCTCATTGTGATGATCCTCGGTGTCGGAATCGGCGGCGGGACGTTTGTACCAAGGAGGTGAACTGAGCACTTTGTTTGGTGACAGCGTGATCATCGGATTTGGCGGAGGTCGTGCCATTTTGGGGTTTCAAACTGAATGTGAGTGTCTTGTTTACCTGATGTGCATGTTGGTAATTGTGGAATGTACGGGTGTGGTTCTAAAACGGTCAAACAATGTTCGGTGCATCAAAAGATTATGAAGGGGAGGTACGGATGCAAGCTACCAAAGAGATTGTGTCAGAAGACCTGTTCTGTTTAGTTAATGAGATATCTGCAGGAGTGTTATCAATTGCGGGATAAAAGAAACGTCAATGGAACGGGGTGAGAATGGTTAGAAATCCATCGAAGGAAAATGTGGCTAAGGAAGCAGCAAGAAAGAAAAAAGCAAACACAAAAAAAATATAACTCTCCTACTAATTTAAGTTGGCATCAAAATTTCAAAACCAGTTCATATTTCCCATCATACATCCTCAAATCCTAGGATGCCATTTTCTGAGGAAAACCAAACATCCGAACAATATCCCACCAAAGAAATATTAGCGAATTTCCTCACAGAATTTCCTGCGCCAGGCCACGTTGACCCAGTCGCACCCTCACATTATTTACCTACCCCGACTAGCAAGTGTTGCGGCACCCCCTAAACTCAACAATCCCCACTCTGTCTACCTCCATCTGCACCGTCTCTAATTCTGAACTCACCGCCCCGCCGATCAAATACGATTGCTGGCCCAATCACAGCCTCGTCATCGTGGCAAGTAAAATCATTCCATACCTGCAGGCGCCTTATCTCATCAGTAAAATACGTCTATTGTGGCAGAGTAGTGCGTCCATATAAGCCAATTATCTGACATCAACTCGAGGTTTGCCCCACCACATTTTTTCTTTCTTTCTTTGCCTTTGCGTCTTCAAATCATATCTTATATGTTCTCGCTACTATCAGACATCACCGTACCCATCGTCGTCGAAGCCCCATTGAATCCGGACTTATCCTTTGGCTCCATTTCCTTCCTTACGTTGGAAGCAGTGTTGGAGGTTGTCATCATTTGCTTTGCTGGTTTCGTGGCTGCCAAAACAAAGCTACTCACGCTCACAGGTCAGAAGGTCATTTCCCAGCTCAATGTGGATTTATTCACGCCATGTTTGGTGTTCACGAAGCTTGCGCCTTCGCTTTCCTTGAATAAAATGGTGGATATCATCATTATCCCCATTTTCTATGCCATCACAACTATCACATCCCTTATATGCTCGCGGGTAACCGCTCGAATCATGATGCTTAACAATGCAGAATCCGACTACGTGACTGCTATGGCAGTGTTTGGAAACTCGAACTCCTTGCCTGTGTCCTTGACCTTGTCTTTGGCATACACCTTGCCAGACTTGCTCTGGGATCAGATTGATGACGACAACTCCGAGAAGGTGGCATCGCGTGGTATTTTATACTTGTTGATTTTCCAACAGCTCGGTCAAATCTTGAGATGGTCCTGGGGCTACAATAAGCTCTTGAGAAAGAGATCTCAGGAAGAACTAACTGCTCATTACGCGTACGAAGATGGATACCATCGCATTCCTTGTGCTGAAGAGGATGAACAAGCACTTTTTATCGAGCCTGTGATGTCCCCTGTTTCTCAAGAACGTGAAGAACTGGCTGTGGCTGCTGCCATTGCCGAATCAGAAGAATCATCTATTGATGATGCTTCCAAGAGTGCTATCACCATCAGTGTCGAGTCCATCAAATCTAAGTGGCATGCCGTTACTAACTGGGGCCCAGTCAAAGGCTTTTTAGCATTCATGAACCCTCCATTGTGGGCCATGCTTATTTCCATCATCATTGCGTCTGTGCCCGTGTTGCAGAGAGAATTCTTTTACTCGGACTCGTTCATCCACAACACGCTCACCCAGTCCATTGCACAGCTTGGTCTGGTTTCCATTCCATTGATCTTGATTGTATTGGGATCCAACTTGTGTCCATCTGAGGATGTGCCTCCACCTTCTAAGCACTACAACAAGATTGTGTTTGCTTCATTGCTTTCGAGGATGATTCTTCCGTCATTGTTTCTTCTCCCTGTGATTGCTGCATGTGTCAAGTATGTGAACATTTCTATCTTGGATGACCCAATCTTCTTGATTGTTGCTTTTGTGCTTACCGTATCTCCACCAGCCATCCAGTTATCGCAGATCACTTCGCTCAATGGTATTTTTCAAAAGGAAATGGCCGGAGTATTGTTTTGGGGATACGTGGTCCTCACTTTACCTACCACCATTTTCATAGTGGTGGCCAGCTTGGAGGTTTTAAAGTGGGCAGCATGAGCATGTTCAACCAGATAAAGTGCGTTTGAGTGGTGTGAGAGATTTAAATTGGTTTTAGCACTTCATACCAATCGAATAAATTGGCACCATTGAAGGCATTTTACGATGGTCATTCCAGAAATTTGCCTTGGCTTTAATAGTGTCGTAATCCTAAATCATTTGCTTGTAAAAGAATTCGCAGGGCTCGCGGCCAAGGCGGAGAAGAGATGTAACACCTGTGCACCCCCCGCAACAAATGTCACCATACAATACAAGCGAGAAACATCGCCCAAATCCTGTTAGCCAGCAAACGCTTCGAAGACACATCGTCGTTGGCAGGTTAAGCTACTTTTGCAGATGGTTAAGGCTAGAAAAATCGCCATAGTCGGCTCGCGGTCCGTTGGCAAGCTGTCCATGACGGTTCGCTATGTCGAAGACCACTTTGTTGAGTCGTACTACCCTACTATCGAAAACCAGTTTTCAAAGACCATCAACTACAAGAACCAGGAATATGCCATAGAGATCTTGGACACTGCGGGTCAGGATGAGTTTTCCATCATGAATGAGAAACACCTCATTGGTATCCATGGATACCTTCTTGTCTACTCTGTAACATCACGCCAGTCGTTTGAATTGATTGACGTTATCCGTGACAAGATTCTTAATCTGATTGGCTCCGACTCCATTCCCATGGTTTTGATTGGTAATAAGTGCGACTTGAACTTCCAAAGACAAGTGGAGACCTCGGAAGGAGAGGAGTTAGCACGCAAGTTCAAATGTAACTTCTTGGAGACGTCTGTGTGTGACAACATCAACGTCAAGAAGTCGTTTGAATCCTTAATAGACGAAATTGAGCGCATCCAGAATCCTGAGGTGGCTAAGCAGGAGAAGTGCGTCATTATGTGAGGTTTGTTCTTGGTTTAGGGTAAATATCTGGTAACATATATTGTATTTGATAACTGTAAATGGGATGGCATCATGCCCAGTTTGAATGATAACTATCAGCATCAAGCTATTATGGCGTTTAGGCGAGAAACTACTGTGAGCGTTTTCGCTGGTGGATGTTCTTCATCAAATCGAATCTTGTTGATGCACACACATGCGTATATGGTCCACTTGAAACTTGAAAAGCTTCTACTTAACATGATCCTTAAATCATATTTAAGTTAAATAGGTCATCTACATTTAATGAACAATTCGTTCTAAAACATTTGCTTGAGACAATCAGCTCTTTTTTTTTGTTAACTTCCTAAATGATAAACTTCAAGTTGGTATCAATTGGATGTGAGGAACACAACTGTGGCTTCTGACTATATTTGTCCCTGAGAATCTCTCTCATGTTCTGCAACAATGTCAAATAAGACTGGTCGGGGTTGTTCGCTAAGACTTTGATGAACGCATAACTCATGGCGCCAGTGCTCTGGCCCTGCTCTTTGGCATCTGCTGAGGTTTGGTCATCCTTGCAACCACTAAGAGAGATGACATCAGCAGGAGAGGTATTGTTTTTCTTGGTGTACTCGCTGGCCAGTTGTGCCTTGTCCTTGTTGACCACGGTATTGAATAGTCCTTTGATACCCTTGATCATGCCACCTTGATCACCCTTCGAGTAGGCGCTAAAGGTTGACATCAAATCCTCACCAGCATCCTTGAAAAAGTTGGGCTCCTTCAATAAGCCCTTGGTCGAGTACATATAAGGCAAGTCCAAGGCAGTTCCTGAATGACAAGAGTCAAACAAAGCGGTCAACCGTACACCCTGAGGCAATCTTGACACCATGATATCGTGCATATCATCATCGTTCAAGAATCCCGCAGTTTCGAAATCCAATGGACAAATGGCTTCGTCGAATCCGTCATCTTCATCGCCATCCTTGTCTTCAACCTGGACACCATGGCCAGAGTAACTGAACCACAATGAGCTGGAAGGTCGGGCATCTTTAACCAACCAATTCATACCGTCGATAATGTTCTGTCTGGTTGGAATAGTACGAGCCAATTTCTGGTCGTCAGTCAACATGACAATGTTGTCCTCTTGGAAACCTTGAGTGAGCAAGAACTTCTTAACGTTATTGGCGTCGTTGATACACCCATTCAACTGGTTCTTGCTTCCAAAGTAGTTAATACCAATAAGCAATGCTTTCTTGGGTCCAGTACAGTCAGAGTATTGATATTTGGCATTGGTGTTACCCCCAAAAGAGTGCTGCTCCATACTTGGCATGTTGAAGCGGCCACTTCCACTCTGTTGGACACTTCCTTGTCCCGTCAGACCTTGAGAGTCATATACCTGATTCTGATATCCCTGGTTTTGATATCCCTGGTTCTGATATCCCTGGTTCTGATATCCCTGGTTCTGATATCCCTGGTTCTGATATCCCTGGTTCTTATATCCCAGTTGGTATCCTTGACTCTGGGAATCCAGACTCTGGTACTGGTTCTGGTTCTGGTAGCCTTGTTCGTAGCCTTGGTTCCCAAATCCCTGATCATAGCCCTGGTTTCCATGATTCCCATGGCCCTGATTCTCATAATGTTGTTGCCCATAACCTTGCTGTCCATAACCTTCTTGTCTATAGCCCTGATTTTGGTTGTAATTACCTCCCTGGTTGTAATTGCCTCCATGGCTGTAGTTTCCACCTTGGTTGTAACCGTCCTGGCTATAACCTTGGTTTTGGTAGTCGTTTCTATTGCGTTGGTTTCCTGGAAACATTGTAGGTGCTTGATATTCTTATGCAGCGCAGAAGGTAACGAACATCCATGCACGTTCTCTAATGCCGAAATGCCGGTGCCTTAATTATCAGTACCATCTTTTCTTCAGTAGATTGTTAATACTATTTTTCTATTAGAACAGTCTATCTACAACTTGGATTTGTTTAACACCATGCCAACAGCTTTTTTGGCCATGCCAAATCCTGCTTGGTATCCATACCCACTGGCTCCATAATTGTGGATAACAACTTTACCTTCATCAATTGGCTCTTCTTCAATGCGTACACCACCATGACGACTAGGCCGTAAGCCTGCAGCAGCCCTAACAACTTCCAAATTTTCAATTTTCTGTCCAGAAGGATTCTTCTCAAGGATTTTGGGCAAGAGCGTGGTTGTTCTCTGCAAGATGTCCACGTTCTGTTCTTTGATAGTGTCTGGAGTCCAGTCGTCTTTCTGGAGGAACCCACCCAAAACAAGATGATCATTCGAGTACGGTCTCTTGATAATATAAGTGGCATAGTCATCTCCCCATCTCATAACGTTTTCGTTGATATGTGGAGCCTTCACAACCAATACTTGACCTCTTGTAGGGTACACCTTTGTGTCCTCCACACCGCCTATACTACGGGCTCCAATACCAGTGCAATTGAATACAAATTTGACGCCAGTGGAAAATCCCTGTGAGATGTGGCTGAGTTTACGTCTTTCAAATTGCACACCTTGGCCAGCTAAGTACTTCTGCATGGACAGCAAGAACTTCGGACAATTGAAGTTCCATGTTAGAAACTTGATTCCAAAAGATACTCCCAAAGGTAATTCCGATGGAGATACTTCCTGGTATCCGTCCAAGTAGCTCTTCAAAGACGCGATTTTTTGCTTGGGTGGAGCTGAGTCCCAATACTCAGTGGATGGCATTCTATCCAATCCACACTCAGCACCACCCAACTTTTTCTGAATCTTTCCAAGGTTCAAATATGTTACTTTGTCAAATTGCAATGTGTCTTGGTCGTTGCCCGTGATGCAAGAGAAGTTTCCTCCAGCATACGGAGAGGTGAACTTGATGGATTCATCTCCAGGTAAGAATTGAGCAGTGATCTTGACATCGCCGCCACTGACACCCGCCTCTAGCAATTCGTAGGCAGTGTATAAACCAATAATTCCAGATCTGAGGTTAGTAATCAGCAATTTTTTGTAATTTTGTGGCACACTTACCCTATGATTGCGTATTTAGCCATGAAGAATGTAGTTGATAACAGAAAGTGCGAATGGATTGGTTAATCCGAAACGTACCGGGTCTTGGGAACTTGGGTATCTTTTAGGTCAAAAATCCAAAATTCTATAGATATTGCAAATAACAGAAATAATCAAAGGAAATTGATTTCATACATTTCATCAAACAAATGATTTTTTCTCTTAGTTTAGCTTTCATTCACCTACTTGTGCCAAACAAAACCCTTAGTGTTGTGTGCAGACAAGTAATACTATATTCCAATCTGGGTATCTATTTCTAGTTTCCATTGGAGAATGGCTGTTTCCAAACGCAAAAAGCAAGTACAGATCAAAACTGCCCCGGTTGCAAATAAAGATGGCATTCCATATGACTACTTAGTTGTTATCGACTCGGGATCCAAAGGTTCCAGAGTGTACGTGTACAACTGGTTGAACCCTCAGCATGCCTTAGAAGCCGGGATTGATTTGTCACTGGGCCCTCGACTTAATTTGGTAAGAGAATTCACAAGAGATAAGAGCGGCGAAGGTAAGGAAGACCAGGACCAGGACACAGATTCCGACACAGACTCGGATGCAGAATCCGACCTTGAACCAAATGACAAGTCAGGCTCGGTAAGGTTTCCCAAGATTCATTCAGGAAAAAAATGGCATCACAAGATGACGCCAGGAATTTCAAGCTTCAACCAGAGTCCTCAGAAAGTTGGTAATCACCACTTGAGTTATCTTCTCTCGTTGGCTAGTGTTGTGGTTCCCAAGTCAGAACATTCAAGAACACCAATCTTCTTACATGCCACAGCAGGTATGCGGATCCTTCCTCCCAATGAGCAGGAACCTATTTTAGAGAATGTGTGTCTTTACTTCTCCTCCAACTCGGATTTCTACATTCCGGATTGTAAGTCTCACGTCAATATTATCGATGGAGACGTGGAAGGTTTATATGGCTGGCTTTCCATAAATTACATGTTGGGAGCGTTTGACCACCCCGAAGATCACCAGCATGGCAAGAATCACAGCACTTATGGGTTGTTGGATATGGGAGGTGCATCTACTCAAGTGGTTTTCCTGCCTAATTCTACAGAAGCTGCTGAACACAACAACAATTTGTATAAAATAACTTTAAGTGCGTTGCCCCAACTTGCAAATTCAGACAAACGGGAAGATACCATCGGTAATTACCTGCTCCCCGAGCTGAAGGAATATGATGTGTATTCAGATTCCTTCTTGGGATTTGGCATGTTCCAAGCTCGTAACAAGTACCGAAAATTCCTACTTGACGATTACCGGAAAGCACAAGACTTGCCAGAAGATGCCTATCGATTCCGTACACCTATCTCAGATCCTTGTTTGCCAAAAGGCTTTACAACCACTGATGAAATAAATTCCCACAATTTGGATTTCATTGGCGAGAGCAACTTCGAAGGTTGTTTGAAGTCTATTTTCCCCGTGCTTTCGAACGCTACGCATACATCAGGAACTGGCAAATTTGAGGGCGATTGCCAGCAATTGAGCGAGACAAGCCGCGTGAGCTCATGCTTGCTAAATCAATTCATACCATCTTTTGATTTTGACATCAACCATTTTGTTGGCGTCAGTGGATACTGGGATGCGCTCAACAAATTGCTATCCACTGATACCAATCCCTCCAAAGATGAATACACTGAGAAGTATGATTACAATGTGATCTACAAAAAGACAAAAGAGCTATGCTCGCAACCACTTAAAGAGTTATTGCAATTAAACCACCTCAAAACCAAAAAAGAGAGATTGAAGGAGGATGAGTTGGCCGAACTTTGTTTTAAGTCTTCTTGGATCCTCAATTTTTTGCATGTGGGGCTAGGGTTCCCCAGATTTGGAATAGATGAAGTGCCCAACAAAGATGAAAAATTCAAATCACTCGAATTAGTTGAAAAAGTGGGAGGGTCGTCATTTTCGTGGACTATGGGGAGAGCCATCCTATATGCCAACGATGAGTACGCCCAGGCTTTCAATAACTACACTTTGAAAGTCCGGGGCGAGAACAAAGATCCAATTCCTCGCCCAGGATATTTGTTTTCTGCTGCAGAAGGATCCTTCTATTATGGCGCCGAACCATTAGGTGTGCCTCCTCGTCCGCTTTATACACCAGCAGTGGAAGGTGCTACATATCCACACTTTGACTACGAGAAGAATTTCAAAGACGGATCGGAGCTGAAATGGTACATTCAACCACATCGGTTCTATGGAGAAGTCATTTTTGTTTTGCTTATTGCGGGAACGATTTTCTTAATGATGGGCAGATCTGGAAGATCTTTAATTATTCAGAGATTGTTCGACAAGGTGTCTAATGTGAAGCGAATGGTACTCGCGAAATTCGGTGTTCACAATGGAGCTTATTTGAGTGTCGCTGGAGAAGAGAATACGCTTCCTAACTTTGAATTGGAGGATCTTCCCAGCTCTGCAAAATCTAGCACCAATGACGATGAACAATTCACAATTGACAGCGAAGAAGAAGTATGAGAAGTATACGAGACCAGCATTAATTCTGTAGTGTGGAGTTTATCGGCCTGCATATTAACACAAGCACCATAAGTAGTAAGTAATTACCCTTGACTACTTTATATTGATACGTAATGAGTGAGCCTACGATCAATTTTAGTATTCAAACGCAACATGCTCAGTTTTCAGTTCCAAATGAGCTCATCAAAAAGAACTTTAAGGCTATTCAGAAGCTGGTAGAGAAGCAAAAGAAGCAGATCGCCGACGAAATAGCCAAGATCAAGAAAGATCCCACAATGGATAGTCAGCAAAAACTAGCTATCATAAGGAAACTCATCAAGAACTTTGAGTCTCTGCAGAAGAAAATAGAGCAAGCCATCAAGAAAGATGACGACTACCGGAAAAGGTTTCGGGCTCGAACGCATCATTTGGCTAAATTGGAAAAGTTCGTTGTATCTACTCCAAAAGATATGGGAGATAAAGAAGAACAGGCCGATGACAAAGTGTTGGATTTACACAATGAGGGTCTCATTAATTGGTACCGAGAAGTGACGAACCTTCTAATTATTGACTACTTGATTAAATCAAATAATCGGAAGGAGTCCAATTTGGGCATTAAACTCATGAGAAGCCTTCAGGCTACTTCGTTTCCACAAATCGCAGAATTGATAGATTATGATGTTTATGAGAACTTCAACCAGGTTTATCTCTCTATTAACGATGACCATGATCTCGATCTCATTAGTGCATGGTACAATGAGAATAGAAACTCGCTAAAGCGAATCAACTCCAATCTACAGTTCGAGATTCACTACTGCAAGTATCTCTCAATGGTTGAGAAGGGGGAAGTGGCGGAGGCAATCGAGTATTGCAAGACAAATCTTGCACCCTACGCTAACCGAAGCAATTACAATGTGGATGATCTAGTCAATTACGAACAAAACAAGAAACGGTTGACTGAGGTTGGTGCTCCTTTGGTGTATTTGGTTAAACTAACACCTGAAACCAAGTTCACCTCCGACTATCCGTGGAAATCTCTTCTCAAGCCCTCCGAAAAGGCACCAGTCACACCAATGTATCTGAGCCTTATCAAGCTGTTTTCCGATAGCCGGTGGAAGGGATTATCACAATGCTTCACTGAAGACTTCACGAAGATATACGGACTCTCAAACACATATCCTTTACTCGTCTATTTATCTGCTGGTATTTCGAGCTTAAAGACCAAGTCTTGCTATTGCAATCAACAGAATACTATCTTCAAGTCAGATGCTGGCCGTGATGTTTCTCTCAACTTGGATTCGAACTCCTACCGTGATTTATCATTAAGGGGTCCCAATCAGTACTACAAATTGTTACACAAGATCAACCAATGCCCTGTGTGCTCACCAGAATTGTACCGGTTGAGTCAGAATCTTCCCTACGCACAACTCATCACCAGTATTTTTGACAATCCGTTCAAATTACCCAACGGTAACATCTATCCATTCGACAAGCTATTAAATCCTATTGACAAAGCCGAAAGTGAAAATGTCGTGAGAAAGGGTAAAGTGCAAGACCCGTTGACGCAAGAGATCTTCTTCATCGATGACTGTGTTCGTGTTTTTCCTGCTTAATTCAATCTTCATCATCACTGTCCTTGGACTTTTTCTTTTTGGCCTCTTGTTCCCTCTCCTCCTTTGTGAGTGCCTTGTTGAACACGTAGATTCGAGCGTCTCTCTCAGCGGCTGGCTTGGTTGTGTCTCTAATTCCATTGGTTCTCTTGTGGTGATAACCTTCGAAAGCACCCCAATTGAACGCTCCAGAACGTTCAACTTGATAGTCTTCACTTCTGGCAAGTGCCTTGACTCCCCAAGATATATATGGCTCACCTTCAAAAAGAGAGAGAATGATTTTTTGATTGTTGTTCGGCTGGATGTCTTCGTAGCCTCCAAGTGCATTCTTAGTGTCATCATTTACCAAAGATAGAAGTTGTTTGGCACTTTTAAAGTAGCCCAAAACCAACTTTTGATGGTCTCTTACGTTTCTATCCATATCCTTCATTCCACGACCAGTGTGTGGGAAATTGAACATTACGTAGTTGAGCTTCTTGTGTGGAGTAAACAACTTTGCACTACCCTTTTTGGCGTTTGTAGGAAGTTTGAACGAATGCACCATATTAGTGGCATCAACGTCATGGATCACTTGGACACCTTCGTCATGAAGATACTTGAGGTTATCCTCGACCGTTGGATACTTCTCAATGAGCTCATCTTTGGAATCGTAACTGGTAGCTATGAGGTTGGCAGGATCGATAAGTGCTTGTCTGACGATGGAACAAGCGAATGAAAAATCTCCTTCACCAACAAGTAGAAGGGTATCTTTCTGATCGAAAGGAATGAATGTTCTCTGCTGCTGTGGTTGGTGTTGCTTCTTTTGCTTACCTCCACCTTTAATAGACTTGGACTTATTCTCTCTTCTTTCTTTCTCCAGTGTCAATGATTTTTGACGCTCCTGTTGGAACTTTTCTTTCACAATATGGTGCTGGAGTGCACCCTTGAGACCCTTTCCAACGATTTGGCGTCCCTTCAATTTGCGAGCCATCTCTCTCTATCGTAATGATGATTTTCACTCCATCTCCATCGCATATCTTCATCGCATATCTACATCAACCTGCATACCGTAAGCATATAGTTCACTATACATGGTAGGCCCTATCTTCTCCCATGTTGAATTGGGCATTTGGGAATAGATCGGAATTGGAGTCCGAAGAGGCGGTTTCCAAAAGTGTGTTCGAAACATCCTCACTCACCTTATCGACCTCTTTGCCCTCATCTGCTTCCATCAGCAGTACCAGCAGCAGCAGTAAGTTGTCAGCCTTTACTTCCTTTGTAACATCTTCTTTTTCTGACTCATCGTCTGTTAAGTCCTGAAGAGTTTCCTTATGGCCATCGTCCATCTCGTAGAAAAGCATGAATGTTCCTTGCGACTTCAACACCTCGTTTTCGGTAACAACATAAACAGACTCATCACTGATTCTCCACCATGATCCACGCAATCTTCTGTAACAGATATAATGACCATAGTTGTGGGTTCCATAATGTGAGATAACCGCCTTCAAGTTGTAAATGAGCTGGCTATTTTGAGAATCAGTCACCACTGGCACAATTTCTTCCTTTGGTTCTTCTTCCAAATCTGACGAATCTGAAGCCGATTCTTTCTCGTCACCATCTCTATCGGGGGCAACTTCTGCGGGTTGCTCATCCTGTTTTCTAAAAGCAAGTCTAGCATCCATGTTAATATCCTTTGGCTCGGCCACATAAGGATTCAAGTCAAGCTTGCCAGGGAAGCTGACATTTTTAGAGTTTTTCACAATCATATATGTGTTTGGATCAAACACCGAACGATTGATATGAATGCACAATAGTGGAGGGGGTCTGCTCAACAAAATTTGCTTTGTTTTTCTTGTTTTTCTAATCATGCGCTTGGTTGTCAAACGCTCGAAAACCTCATCAGAGATATGGTCCTTAGTGAGTTCGTCATCGATTTCAGCAACCCTTTTGGAGAAATCAGAGACCAATTTCTCATTATTTGTATTGCTGATGTTTTCGAGAAGAAATTCTTTTGTCTGAATCAAGCCACATCTGTTACAGTTGACCTCATCAATAATTTCAGGCTTAATCCACTCCTGAAGCAATTGTGACAAATTATAGCCGGGGAAGTAAGACTGATCATAGGGCAAATTCAAACTCAATCCACTGAGCACTGAATAACGAATTCCTCCCACTTCACCACACGAAATACATCCAATTCTTTCAGCAGAAATACCATCAACGGGGGTGATAAGTTCAAGAGGATAAATCAAGTTCTCGGAATCAGGAATGTTAGGGTCCACCTGATGAGCAGGAACATAAACATTGCCGAGCTTTCCGAGTGCGCTGCAACCGGATCGGTAATTTGGAACAGACAGTGCACTCACGTACTTTGGCTGCTTCTCGTTCTTATCTTCACCTGACTCAGGTTCCGGAGTGGCTTCTCTGGACTTGGAAATCAGCTTGTATTCTTTCTCAACAATGCGCATGACAAGCTGATAGAACTCTTGAGCATCTTCCTGGTTGTAACCAGTGAAGAAGTTCTGCTTCGGACTATTTGGCATCTTGTTTAACAATGGCTTCGTGCTAAATTCTTTTCCACGAGACCCGTAAGCTCCGTTGACTTCATCTAGTAACTTCTTCAAAGCTCTGGTGAAAATCATTTCAGACCGATAGTGACCAGTTCTAACCCTAGAAACTTGGCCGTGGTTCATGACTTCAAGCTGTGCATAAACATTGGAGTTAATGAACTTCATCAACTCCGTAGAAGAGGCTAACGACTGAATCACTGAGTTCATGAAACAAGTGTTTCCTTCATTGCTCAAACCTCCTAGCTCACCGCCATTCTTCAATGCAAATCTTGTCTCCTGCGACCGGCTGGAGCTCACGCCGTTGTTAGAAAATCTCGAGCCAAACCCCAGTGATCCCGATAAGAATCTATAATTTGCATTCATGTAATTAAGGACTTTGTATGCGATTTGCGGTAAGTTGAAGGTGGATGGAGCAACAAAGTGCAAGGAAAATAGAATAACAAGAACAGTAGTGGTGATTCCAACGACTTTGTTCTTCTTTGCTAGCGCAGAAATTATGTTACTTCTCCTTTGAAGTGATTGTTCAATAATCCCGTTGAGAAACAATTTGTCTAGTAATGCTGTAACGAGTAAAATACCAATGATGAGAACTGTACTGAATAACACTCTGGTCCTAATCATAAGCAAATTTGGACACTGGATGTCTTCAGTGGTGGTTCGAATGGAGTAGGAATGACCTCGATTATCTGCGAGGGAACAAACTTTTCTCGAATTCGAAAAAGATGGACTTTTGTGGGTACTTGAGTAAACTTATTATACCTCTTACTTATATTGTTCCGAGATAGAATGGAGAAAATAAGGAAAAATTGATGATATGGGTATATAACAATTTTTTTCGTCTCCACTTAGATTTTTTTTCTGGCTTTCTCTACAGGTGCGATCTAATTTCGGTACAACTTTCATTATGTAGGCGATACGTGAGAAGTATTAGTAAACTACATCATTATTGGTACAAAAACAGAGGTATTATTTGTAAAGGAGATTTATAATGCGGCGGAACCTCACTAAGGGTTTATTGCTTTCTAGGATACATGGGCATGGGGCCGTTGATGGGAAAGTTTTGGTATGGAACACCCATTGGTGGTCGACTTTTGCCCCAACCACATTTGAGCGGTCTTCCATTGACACCAAAGCCAGCCAATTGCACAATTGCTAACGCAGCACGTTCGTGTGTGTCGTATTTGACGAACGCACAGCCCTTTTCGGGATGGAACTTGAAATCAACAATGAAACCGAAGTTTTGCAACAATGGAATAAGATCATTTTGCTGAGTGAAATGGGCTATATTGCCCAAGTACACCGTGGTTTGCCACGATGGAGTCTGTCTCAAGACAATATCATATGACTGGGGAGTGATGACGGGACCATTGGTAGGGATGACATTAGGCAACATGGGTTGTTGGCCCTCCACTGGAGGTCTTTGAGGAAGGGAGTAGTGGGAATCCTCAGGAACAAACACTGGTGGTTCAGTGCGAGGCGTGTTCATACCCATGGACATGCCCATATTCATACCCATGTTTCCGTCATTATATCCTCTGGGATACTGTGACCGATACCCACGCTGGTTATTCTGCCGCATACCATTGTTTCGCGTGTTGGCCTGCTTGTGCGAGGCCCAATTACACCTGATGGCCCTGCCATTGAGGATTTTCCCGTTCATGGTTTGCAACGCCATCTCGGCATCTGCAGAGGAACCAAACGTAACAAATCCATAGCCTCTCGACCGAGAGGTTTGCATGTCCCACATGACATGGGCCTGCTTCAAGGTGGAATAGACGGCAAAGAAATTGTGTAATGCTTCGTCGTCAACCTCGGGTGACAAATCGCCGACGAAAATATTAAATGTTGGTTCTTCAGAGTTTTGCGACGTGTTGAATGTGGCGGACTGATAAGCGTAGTTGATCTTCAACTCGGATTCGTTAAGCGAAACACCGTTGAGCTTCTGCAAAGCAGTTTCTGCGTCAGGCTCGTTCTTAAACTCGACGAACGCATAGTTGAAGCCCGGCTTATTTTTGTCGTTGAGAATCTTCACCGAGTGCACCTGGCCACACGGGGAGAAGAGGTCGATTATACCTTCTTCAGACACAGACTTATGCAAACCGCCCACGTACAACACCTTTCTTGAGATTTCACGACCGCCGTTGGTTGCACTGGCGGGAATGAACTCCGAGGAAGACTTCTCGGAGCCACTGTCATAGACAGGCGTCGCAGGCGACTTAGAGGGAGCAGCATCTTGTTCGTCTAGCATGGTTGAAATGACAAATCAATAGACGAGAATGAAGATATGAAAATGCGAGAGAATTTTGAAAACGACTGGGGAAGACAAGCGTCGAAACCAGGAACTAAATGCAATGGAAATCAAGCAATACGGACGTAAACAAATCTCAACAGATTTGTCTGATAACGCAGTGGAAGAGTTGGAGCCTCTGGTTCAAAAACAGATAATGGGATAGATACACCTTAAAGTCGACACGAACAATCTTCAGTCAATTGATGCCAATGGAGAGCCACTTGTTATGTATGTAATCCGGTGAACACAGGCTTGTCGGCACGTATATCCTAGGATTCGAGGGTGGGAAGTAAAAAAAAAAAAAATGAATGAACGAAGCGAGAAGAACCAAATGGCTTGAGTTCGAGGTTGAAATCTAGGACGAATTTGTCCAACTTTCTGCGAAGGTTAATACACAAGACCATTGTGCACGGCCAATCCGAGCGAATGTATACCCATTGAGGAAATGTGCGGATTCAAATGATGGTAGAAGACAATAAACGACACGTCGAAGATGTAATGTTTTTATGAAAAATTCGAGACCTGATTTTGCTTTTTCTTGGTGAATTGTCAACGTTTATGTTCGGCCTTCGAACCTTCGTCTCAGGTCATTATACAGTCCAGAGGTCTGAAGTTCCATATCATCCCGTGAAGATGCCATCTAAGGTTGGAATTAACAACAAGCACATCATCAAATCTGTAAAAACGCTTCTAGAGAAGCATGGAATCCTCGATAAGTCAACTAAAATCTCGTCTAGCGATGGATACTCATATATATACTCGGTTGCTCCTGTGGAAGATGTAGAGTCGATTTTAGACGAATATTCCGATGAGATCGTGGTGAAAGAGTACCTGGTCCCTTCAGCCGCTAGGTCGATATCTCGCTCTCTAGAGTCTGTTGTCCGAGCATACTTAGAGGATGCCCGGGCCGCCGGTGTGGATGTGAATGTGGATCTCCTAATGAGCAAACTTCCAAGGAAGTGGTCCATTTACACACCTATGGTACTTTTTAACACCGGCGGATTTGATTCGGAGATATGGACGGAAGTTTTTGCAAGCAGTATCAATGCTTCAAGCTTTTTCAATGTGGTTCGTGCCGCATTCCCGGCCACCATCACGCATTTTGCAATCAACAAGCCTATCGTTGAAGAAGATGTCATGCGCAGACCTTTTAACCTTGTGGCTTTGCACGGCGACTTTGGGCCGGAAACTTCAGAGGTGTTGTTTGAGCTGCCAAAACCTGATGATCTCGAAGATGCGTTTTGGTGCCATGTAGTCCAGAACGGCATCTATCAGACCTGGGCTCCCAGGTATACTATGTTTTCTCGAGGCAACATTACTGAGAAAAAAAGAGTGCTCGATAATTTCAAGAACTTGAAGGGACTGGTGGTGATGGATTTCTATGCTGGAATCGGCTACTTCACTTTATCGTACTTAGCTAATGGTGGTACACTTCTCTGCTGGGAATTGAATCCATGGTCAATTGAGGGGCTAGTAAAAGGATTGTCAGAAAACGGATACAAGTATCAGGTATTTTCGAACGGAGAATTTTTGACCAAGGAAGACTACGATCGACACCTTGCACAAGGGGTGAGGGCATTTGTTTTCCACGAGAGCAACGAAAATGTGGTGACTCGACTCCAACAACTTGGACGTCTTCCTGTTTCTCACATTAACTTGGGTCTACTCCCCAGTCTGCAAGCATCGTGGTCTACAGTCAAAACTGTACGTGATCAATGGACGTCTCGCGATATAGTTGTCCATGTTCATGAAAATGAACATAAGGATCGGTTCGAGCAACTTCTGAGCAAGATAGGCGACTATTTTAAGGGAGAAGTTATACATTTCGAGAAAGTGAAAACCTTTGCTCCAGACATCTGGCACGTTGTTGTTGACATAGGCATTGGAGGTGGAAAAGAGAAGGAGAATTGAGAAGAGATTGAGATGGAGATTAGGTGTGTTGGATCACATCGAAGGAATCTTCCCGTTGAGAATATGCACGTCACGGGATCTTATTACTAAAAAAAATTCTTGGCTAGATTATCCATGGGTGGAGATTGGAGTTATGTTTAAGCAGTCATAAATGGAGTCAATTGTAATTAATTGCTCAAATAAAGAGTTCTTCCGGTGAGGTTGCATTAGAATTTCATTTCGCAGCAAGGTTTCTCCGATGCGAATTTCCTCTTCAAGATCTTCAATGTTTCCTGTTTCCATATGCCTCACACCACCTTAATCTCCCGATAAAATCCAGGTACCATCTCCGGCGGGGCTTTTTGGGATATTTTGAACAGACACCGGAGCAGGCCAGGCTTTCAAACTGAGATCCAGACCCCGTCAGTATGCATCTCCTCACCACACGGCTGGGCTGAGCCTACTCAGCACTGCCTCGACTCGTCATTTATTCCTGTCAAACTGCAGGAAGTGATGGAGGTATTGGCACCCATGCATACTTGCGAAATCGGCCCGAGGTGTTAGAACCAAGAACCGGGGAAAAAAAAGGGAATGACATGAACTAAAATTATCGGAGAAGTCTCGGCCGGACCTCATCGAACAAAACTTGGACAACCATGGCGGCCTACTTTGGCATATTCTTATTTTGTCGCAGTGAATAATGACTAGAGAACTAAGACAAGGTTTCGTGACGCTCTTCCCCTGAAGAATACGGGCAGCAAAGAACAATACCAAAAATAATCATGTTCCTTGAACGGCTATAATTCTAGGCATCGATTCTTATTACAAATAAATTGGTAAGCTTAACATCCTGCTCGTTAGACTGCGGATGGAACCAGTTTACGGGTATCACACCACAGGAACAGCCAACCATGGGGAACAATCCCACTAACATCCGTGGCAGCGCCAACTAACCATTGCGACAACAGAAGCCTTACACATATAAAACTAGACAGAAAAGCCCACCTCAAGCTCTATCATTTCTTTTTTATCTTTATACTATTTATTCTTTGATTGAATCGCTGTCCACAACAACCGTTGACTAGTTGCGGCCACATGCAGGTATATTTTGTATCAAGTATCAGGGTAACATTTTTTTAATTACTCCATCGTCTTTTACCATTCCTTTCCGCTTTGGACTTCTTTGTGTGTTTAGGGCCATATATTCATTTCTGTTTGCTGCTGATCACAAAGTTTACACAGACCCCCGCATCCTCGTCGTTATACTCGGCTGCTAATGTCAAACCCTGAAATGAAGAAAGAGGAAGACCTCTACGATATTCTCAACCTATCTCCGCCGTCGTTCAATGTCACCAACAATTTGACGTCACCTTCTTCGATGGCTTCCAAAGACTTTGGTGAGTCTCTGCACCACGAGTCGCCGGTCTTCTCTGTGCTTCCAGACCAAAACAGTGGATGGGAGAACCCCGGACAACCGAACTCATTTCAGGCCAGTGCAAATGTCAACTTGACCAATTCCAATCTTGCAGTAAATTCATTCTTTGCATCTCTGGGTCCCCAGATGGTCAACTCGCAGAACTTGCTTTCGCCACACAACTTCCAGGGTTACCAAAATCACAGAACTTCCGATAGTTACTCAACCCACTCGCTATACTCCGATGCGTCACTGAATCCTGGCTCTCCGTTTCATGATGCTGCATCTCACTTCAGCGATGCGTACTCCAATGTGAACTCACAGGCAGACCAGCAGTTGGCCAGTGGATTCTTGGAAACCGCACCTCGTCGTGTGGATACTTTTAGCGAGGAGATTTTATTGGGTCAGTCCATATCCTCTACGAATTTGACTGATATGTCATACAATGATTATCCGGTAAGCCAACCACAGGTTCGTGCTCAGAGTAACATTTTGGGAGAACAGTACTCCCAGCCAATAATCCAAGAACCAGTACCACAGGTATCTTACAACGTTACCTCGTATGGTAACGAATTTGACAGACTCACAGAGACCAATCTCATAAATTACACAGAGAACAATCTAGAAGCGTTGGAGAGCAAGGAAGTGACGATATCCATCCACCAGGCTCCAGATGTCGTGGCAGCTAAAACTCCATCTTTATTCAGCAATTCGTCGCACAATTCTTCTGCCAACAATTCGCCTAGACCGGGCCAATCACAACTTGCTACCAGATCTGGTTCTGCCAGCCCGCTTCCGAACTCATCTTTTGACCCGGTTAGCCCTGGTTCACATTCTGATTACGAGAACAAGTCCCACCTTCGACCAGACGAACTCCACAGTATACGTCGTGGAAGACAGAGAGCTCATTCTTTGAAGGTTCGGTCTCGCCTGAGATCTAGATCAGCTCTGAATGCGTCAGGTTATGAAGATGTATCGGGCGATGAATCTGACGATGCCCAAGATGAGATCCCTACAAACATATCTACACGTGAAAAGATGTTAGAGCTTGCTTCTACTCCACAAACCTCCAAGAGAGTTCAAAAGCATCCTTCATTGTACGCCTGTCATCTTTGTGAGAAGAGATTTACTCGTCCTTATAATCTCAAGTCGCACTTACGCACACATACGGACGAAAGACCATTCATTTGTAACGTCTGTGGCAAAGCATTTGCCCGTCAGCACGATAGGAAGAGACATGAAGAGTTGCATTCAGGAGAGAAAAAATTTCAGTGTAAGGGACTACTCAAAAATGGTACTCCTTACGGATGTGGAAGAAAATTTGCCCGTGCAGATGCACTCAGAAGACATTTCCAGACCGAGTCTGGTAAGGAATGTATCCGGCAACTCATTGAAGAAGACGAAGCAGAACGAAAAGCTGGTAAAGTATCTGGTGGCATCCAGCTCCCTGGAGGAGAGTTCTTGAGCCCAACAGCGATATCTGCTCAATTTCTCAACCTACCCTCTGTGGCCATCCTGCCACCAGAATAATGTTGTAGTATATCCAATCTTTGCATTGTCTGTGTATGAATAAAACTGGATGGTAGGCTTTGATCCAGCATTACGTATTCGAGTATGGCCGATGACCATATGTAGGCTGTTGAGAAATTGTTCATTGAGGTCGCATAACAATTATAGTCAAGACAAACGTAATCTTCAATTATGTCATTAGAGCATGAGGAGCTGTTAATGGACAAAATATCTGCCCATGCAGATGATGAGTCGAAGCTCACTCCAGAAGAGAAAAACTTGAAAAAGCTCATGGACTCGAAGCAAAAAGTGATGGTTGACCAAAGTCGATCGTTCATGGAGACATTATTTGGTGACAATTCCACACTTCCCGTTAAAATAAAGAACGTCCAAGTCACAAACGCCGAGAATTTCAGAGACTCTTTCTTGCTACATCAACTACAGCCGTTGTTGAGTAAGGACTTGTACACCTTGGCAGACTTCTTCTCGAACTTAGATGTGGTACATAGGTCGCTTGTTAAGCACGATATCTTGGAGAACTGTGTTATATCCCTTCATCAGTTACCTAAAAACATGTGGACTAACTCTAGCCCTGCAACCGTGGACATGGTGCCAGTGTTCAACATTCTTCCCCAGAAGAGATTTTATGCGAAGACTGGTACCAATATTGGAAATGGTGAAGGAGACGGATACATTCAGTTTCAGTTAAAGAATCTCTTCGGTGGAGCAGAAAGTCTTGTGTTTGACGCTGTCACAGGAACAAAAACGCCGTCATCGTATCTATTGAACTATTCTCAACCAGTGTTTGATGACGCTAATTACTTACTGGATACTCAGGTGTATGTGAACACTAGAAAGATCGATTGGATTCAGAGTAGTGTCACCACGCGAGGATTCACCACTAAAGTGTCCACAAGGTATGACTCCAATCTAAATTATTCTGCTGCTTTTGAAACGAGTTGGAGATCCTTGCAAAACCACAATTCAAAATCCATGGAAGTAATGTCGCATCTGAAGGATACTTTCAAGTCTTCATTAATCTTCAATATGATTTACGACACGAGAGACAACCATGTGCTCCCCACGGTAGGAAACTTCTTCAAGTTTGGCTTTGAACAAAGTGGCTTGTTTTCCTTTAATAACATCAAGTTCTCAAAGTTGATTTGGGAAAGCCAAAGTGCTTTGAAACTCAATTCCAATCATTCGCTCGTGTTCTCGAATAAGGCTGGACTTCTATTTGGAACAGGTAGTTCTGGCAGCAATATTCTTGACCGTTTCCATATCGGGGGTCCCAACGACGTCCGATCGTTTCGTGTCAGTGGCCTTGGCCCGGTGGATAATGGCTCCGCTTTGGGAGGAAACTATTTTCTTAATGGAGGAGTTTCCCTCGTGAGTCAGATACCATGGGCCCCTAAAGACACCAACTTCAAATTCCACAACTTCTTCAACTTTGGAAAGATTTTACCAGCATTGGGACAGCCATCATTTAAATCGCTTGTGTCAGAACTTACTGGAACTTACTCATCCAGTATTGGAACGGGCATTCTCTACAATCATCCCATGGCTAGATTCGAGTTGAATTTTGTGTTACCAATCACTGCACATGCCAATGAGTACGTTAGAAAAGGAATCCAGTACGGAGTGGGTGTTTCCTTCTTATAAATAGAATCCTTGTCTATAGTGAATAATAAACTATTTGGTTGAGTGAGTTTTAGCATAGGCAGCTATCCATTTTTGGTGTTCTTTCAAGACTTCAGGAATGATGAGGCTCTCGATTTCGACCTTCTTCTTCTTCTGGTCTTCCGTGAGTTTAACCCAATTCTGTTCTCCACCAGGTTTGACAAAAACAACTTCGTCTTTACGAGTTTGTAGCAAGTTACCAATCACAAGTTGGTGTTGGTAGCGGGTCAAAGCTTCACTGGCTTTCTTAATCAAAATATTGCTATCGGTTTCGAGTTTGAACGACACGATCATGGCTTGTGGAGCCCAGTTGTCCACCAATCTTCTTAAAAACTTAGGTACTTGTTCAAGGTCCACCACCAACTTTCCGCTGGGTTGGGCTTGGATTTTGTGCTTTGGCATTCTAGAAGATGGAAGGAAGAAATCTGAAACTGCTGCAGCTAAGTAGAACAAGGCATTGCAATCTAATTTCTGCAAGATCGTAGCAACCGATTTCAACGTGTATAGATACTGATTAACAGTCGTGAAAGGAAGAAGAAGAAGCGAATTGGAGCTTCTGGCTTCATTATACTTGCGCAACACCACGAGCATTTGGTCAGCGAATTCAGGATTGATCTCAACTCTGTTATCCTTCTCAATCATGTAATCCAAGAAGCAATTCGTAGTGTGACTGTAGTGTCTGGAGTATGGCAAGAGAGAGAACTCTCTGTGTAAGAAGATCACTGCGTATCCATTCTCCAAAAAGTATTCTGCCGACGTAGCACCTCTTGTTCCAGCACTAAAGTTGTCGATGAATCTCACGGTATTGTTTTCCAACGGAACAGTAGTACCTCCACTGGTGACCAATGCAACTTTTTTGCCAGTGGTTTTAACATGGAAGTCTACAAATTCATTCAATTGATCTTCGATCTCTGGCAAGTAACTTGGAGGTGTGTGGGTATTAAAATACCTGTCTTCGTCCAACACCTGGGCTACAGGGAAGTCCGGAGCATTCCGGTCAATTGCACTTTCGTAATCCGGCTTACCAGTATGGTAATTTTTTTGCAATGGAGACATTTGGTAACCAATAATGTCTGCGAAATGACTGTTAAAGTATGGGGAAATGGGTACAGGTTTCTGAGTTGGTCACGACAAGTTCATACGGGTAATAATGGGCAGATAAGTTGAAATATTACGTTTCAAGTTTTCTTTTTTTTGTCGAATCTATTCTTGAATGTCTAAAGTTTGAATTGTTTATCCAATTATGTATTTCTTCAATTCTATGACGTTTATTTATTCTCTTTAGCATTAGTAGGTGCTCGCAACCCATAATCAATACTTTCTCATCTAAGAACCATTACCATCTTATTACTATGAACCAGGTGGTCTTTTTAGATGTATGTATGCAATTTTCTAATTTGCTAAATTTTACTAACCTCAGATTGCCATAGCAGGTATGTTGCGATGAAATCTTTCTTCTTTCGTCATATTAACAATCAGATGTGCCAATAGGCCGTGTCAAGATTGAACTCTACAACAATGAGCTTCCAAAGTATGTACATTTTGAAATTTCATGCCTATGTGCTACTAACAGCAGAACCTGTGAGAATTTTAGACAGTTTTGTACTGGCGAATACAGAGAAAATGGCCGGCCAATTGGTTACAAGGGAAGTATCTTTCACCGAGTGATCAAGGACTTCATGGTGCAAGGAGGTGACTTCGTCAAGTCCAATGGTACAGGCTCCAAGACTATTTATGGATCCAATTCGTTCGCAGATGAAGCATTCCCATATGATCACTTGAAGTACAGCGTATCTATGGCCAATTCGGGACCAAACACCAACGGATGCCAGTTCTTCATTTGCACGGCCAATGCACCACATCTAGACGGTAAACATGTTGTTTTTGGAAAGGTAATCCAGGGATTCGATGTTGTAGATGCCATGAATAAGGTGTCTGTTTCAAGGCAAGATGTCCCGATAGATACCATAAAGATAGTTGAGTGCGGAGAAATGTGAATTACTTCTCCATTAGAAAATATATATAAGCTTACTAATGAATTTCATGCATTATCTCAACAATCCCAACAATCCCATATTTTGATCTAGTATCTATAATATTCTCTTTTAAAATGTACAATCATCACCCAGTCTTTCTAAAATCTCCATACGGTCTTAGTCATGGGGTCTGCATACATGGATCCAGTGAAGGCCAGAGTCACTCAACTGGCCAAGCACTCTCCACCTAGTTTAATTCCCATAACCTTTAGTATTATCTACCAATTCCACAATGTCTGCTGACTACTGGTCGTCATCACAGCGATTGAAGTGGCAACTTACTCGTGAAGGACTTTCCGAATGCCGCCAGAAGCTCATTCTCTTAGAGAAGAAGATGATTCAGAGTGGGTTAATCAAAGACTTTCCTCAGATCACCTACGACGTCAACATGCGTATCTACCTACATACGCTTCTCGTGAAGTTGGGCCGACGCTTGAATGTCCGACAGGTTGCATTGGCCACCTCCGAGGTGTATCTTACAAGGTTTCTTACCAGAGTGTCTTTAAAAGAGATCAACGTCTACCTTTTGGTGACTACATGTCTCTATGTCTCGTGCAAGATTGAAGAGTGTCCACAGCATATTCGGTTGATTATCTCAGAGGCCCGGAACCTTTGGCCTGAGTACATTCCTCACGATGTGACCAAACTTGCCGAGTTTGAATTTTACTTGATTGAAGAGATGGATATGTATCTATTCTTGCACCATCCGTACAAATCGCTTATCCAGCTTCGAGATTTCCTACGGGAACGGCAGCTGCATTTCGGCTTTGTCCTTTCCGACGATGAGCTTCAACATTCATGGTCGCTCATCAACGACAGCTACATCACCGACCTCCACTTACTTTTCCCGCCACATGTGATTGCATTAGCAGCCGTTTACATTACCATTGTGCTCAAAAAGAACTTAAACTCCATTCGGAGCGGCACTGGCCTGATCCCTGAACGCCAGGGTCTACAAGGTGACTCGTCTTCGATGCATATTGACGATCTTATGACTATCAGCAATGGAGGCCGAGCAGACACTACTATGGACCTCCATAACCTGCAAAACAACTTTCTGGACCCACGTCTTGACGAAGATACCGTGAAAATCGATTGTTTCATGGATTTCTTTAACTATTCCCATGTCAACTTGGACGAGGTGGTGGAAGCTATGCAGGAAATGATAAACTTGTATGTTGCCTGGGATAGGTACAATGAGAATCTGGTCCGAAAAGCTCTACAGTATATGCTCTTAAGTCGATAAGCCACAGGAAGGACATCAAAAGTAAAATGCCCTCAAAGTTTTTTTTGACTTGATATCGGTTGGTGGTTCGCCAAAACCGACCATCTTATTGGTTCGTTAATAGGCTTGACACATTTTACACAATGTCCGGCAACTGAGTCTTGGAATTCGGTAATGACAAGTTCGGTCTAATTTGCCCAACTTCCTGGATACATATTGGCTATAGTTCGCAGTGAACACCTCATCGGACGTGACATTTCCTTTCTCTCCTGACCAAAATAAGGAGTGTGTTTAACACTTCAAACGGCTAGGATGTCTGCATTTAGCTTGTCTGCACTTAGGGCTCACCATAAGTCGCATTTTTTTTTTCCTGGTCAGTGTGGACGTTGCCTCGTGTCTATAATATCTCCCAGGTGGCTCCATTCCTGTTGCATTTTTCTGGTCACACCCGGCTCTTCTGAATACTTTATTTGGTTCATTCTTTTGTATCCATCTCGCATCCGCTAATACCCGAGGCACTCGCTCAATATCCGCCATGGCTGCCTCCAAATCCCAGTCGATTCTGCAATTTATCGACTCGAATCAGATCGTCATATCAAGAAATATCTTAATCTTTCTATATTGCGCTAATTTCCTCAGCGCCCGCTACGCCCCCAAAATCCATGCTGTCACCGACCGCTTCTTCACGTTACAGAACATGATCGATAAACAAGATGGTGAAGCCATCTACGACATCGACATCCACGACACATACTTTGTCATTCACTGGGTGGTTTTCCTCACCTTCTTGAGAGCAAATTTAATGACCTGGGTGTTTGATCCGGTTGCAAAGAACTTGTGCAATATCCACTCAAGAAAAGCAAAGACGAGATTCTCTGAGCAGAGCTGGTCTATCTTCTACTACTGCTTCTCGTTTGCTGTAGGGTTGTACCTCTACAGAAACTCACCTTACTGGAACAATCTTGACAACCTTTATAGTGGATGGCCTCATTACTGCATGACTTCTTTGTTCAAGAAGTACTATCTCGTTTCCATCGCCTTCTGGTTGCAGCAGGTTGTGGTGTTGAATATCGAGGAGAAGAGAAAAGATCATTACCAGATGTTTAGTCATCACATCATCACATGTGCCTTAGTGATCGGCTCCTATTACTATTACTTTACAAGAATCGGCAATTTGATTTTGATGATCATGGACTCCGTGGACATTTTTTTGTCCACCGCTAAAGTCTTGAAGTACTCGGGTTTCTCGAACCTTTGTGATGTTATGTTCATGTTGTTCCTTTTTGCTTGGATTGCCTTACGTCATGGTGTCTACAACTATCTCTTCTACCATGCTTGGAAGTACTCTACTGCTTTGATGAAGGATAGCGAGTGTATTGTGGGACAAGTTCTGAAAAGATGTTGGACGCCTTCCATCATCAACTCTTTTCTTGGGCTCTTGGGCGGCTTACAAATTATCACTTGCATCTGGATGTATTTAATCTTGAAAGTTGCTCACAAGGTTATCATGGGACACAGCGCAGAAGATGTGAGAAGTGACGCAGATGACACTGATGTGGAGGAGTCACGGTCTGACGCTTCGGGAAACTCCGATTCCCTGATTGAAGAAGTGGATGAGAAGGTTCTTTCTAATGCCGATTGAGCTTGATGGTTTTAATGGCACCTAGAATGCCAAACTGGAGTAGAGACACACCACCATCACAAATACACCCCATATAGCTAACAAAAGGCCCATTGATTTCATGATCTGTTCGAGCTTACTTGGATCATCTGACTCAGACCCGATCAATTTGTAGCCAAACAACCCTGGGAGAATGAAAGAAATCGACGTAGATCCAGTTGCTCCCACCACTGCTAAAACTAATGCAAAGGACTTGATAGTGATTGCGGCTGTGTAGCCCACAAGTAGAAGCACACTAGTTATGATATAGAATGCCGTCTCTGGTAAAGGAACAATATAGGCCTTGGACTTCTGAGGAGCGAGAGACTCTTGGTTTGCCTGCTGCTGCTCAGTCAACAAGCTGGTGGACTCACTACCTACATCGATCTCTGGAGGGTGTTTGTTGAAAACATTGACCAAGACCCAATAGTAGATGTTGTTGATGGAGATTCTTGCTGGGTGAATCATGAGTGGGAAAGAGAACACCACCATGAACACAATACAAAGTTTGCCCAAACTAGTGGAGAATGCTGGCGGATACAGCAAGATGACATTTCCATTTACCAAGCTTCCAAACGTCAAATAGCCAGCCAATCCAACCAAAACGAAGAGGATGGCAGTAACTCCAATGGTGATGTTGACAAGATAAGATAACGAACTCAAGGACTTGTCTGTGGCTTCGTTGATGATGGAGAACATGTTTTGATGGCCAGTGAAAGCGAAAACAATGATGGAGAATGTGGAAAACACATTCTTTGCGGACAATGGGAAAAGGATCAAATCGCCTTTCAACTCTTCAGGGATATCTCCCGCGATGTAATGAATAATGACCAATAAGGCCATGTAGCCAATGGCCACCAAACCAAGAATGGAGCTATACTTCAATGAGTCCAAATTGTGCGAGAAGGACAATGGCACACAGAACACCGTCGAGACAAGAATCCAGAAAGTTCTATGGTGTTCCACAGCCACAAACGACAAGGTGGTGACAATGGATGGCATAAGATCACCAATCAACACCAAGTACGATATTGCACAACCAAAACACTGAGTTGCAATAGCCACATCAAAAGCAACGGACAACGTTGGATACGTGATGGAGCACACGTTGAAGAATGTAGCATGGCCAGCAGGAACATACTTGGACACATAGACTTGCAAGAATAATCCAAAGCCAGAGGTGACAGCAGCCAATGCGATAATGAACACTCCGAAAACCACACCATCGGTAGAAAATGCGTAGGGCATGGACATGAGTCCTGCGCCCACGATAGTTTTAAATAAACTGATGAAAGACGATTTGGCTGAAGCGCCCGTCGTCAATTCAGGCATTGTTGGGGGTATAAAAGCTGGATGGGATAGTCCGGATAGTTCAAATGGAGTAGGTGGATTCAAGTGATTCGTGCTTAGGTTGTGTACACTCCTAGAGCCTCACCTCCAGATCCACAACCAGTGGTATAGGTAAATGAGCCGGAAAGCCATGTCGATCTCGTCCGTGACCGTTGCACGGGTATTTCATGATATCTCATTCAAAAATGACCAAACGCGTATTGCATCGTCCACTGTGGGCCTTTCCGCAGAGTACATTCGGCTATTTGTTCAGGAAGCCATCCTTCGCTCTAATGCCCAAAGGCTCGCTGATCATCCTCCATCGGAGATAGATGGTATCGATAATGTGCGAGACCAGAAGGGAACACAAGGAGATGATTTAGATATTGACATTGAAAATGACCAATTCAGAGAGAATTCATTCGAAGATGAGTTGGAGGAGCGTGGTCTGGGTGTATCCACTCAGATGCCTCCACCAGCTGGAGGAAACGATACGTTGGATTCTCGCCATTTGGCTGCGGTGGCTGGAATGTTGGTGATGGACTTTTGAAAGGAATGAAAGGAACTATTCAACTTGGCAAACGACCCAGAACCCATACTTGAGTCCACGCCGATTGGCATGAGGTTTCCATGTGTCTGGCAACTTTGATTCAATCGTAATGTAGAAGGGTATCTTTGGGTAGGACAAAAGGGGAGTATTGCTGGTCACTGCAACAGAAAAGGGTACTGAGACCCAGTTGGCACCGACCTCTTTGAACTCGTCGCCCTCGGTCTTCCTCCGCTGCGCTTCTCGCCTGCTGGCACGCATGAGCTGCTCTGCTCGGGCTGTTTTGGTGTTGCTGGTCAAATATGGCGAGGGTATGGAGTCGATTATGGCCAGTTTCTCTCGGCGACCTTGAACGCTGAAATGAGTGAATGGAAAAGAGATGGAAATAGTGGCATTATTGTTCATGAACTGCTTAGGCAACTGTGACAGTATTGACACTGTGACACTGATGCTCAGGTCAGTGACATTAACAATGTTCAACGAACACTGAGTGTCTGATCCAGGCGTGAAATTGAGTACACTTGCATGGTCGACTTTGGCAGTAACCGTTGGCACAATGTCGCTAGCAAACTCTTTGGTCACGATTTTCATCAGTCGATGATCACCAACTGGCATGGAGAGCGTGGTTCGACATGTGTCACACAGGTAAGAGCGTTTGGCTGTCAAGTGTCTACCCAAAGGCAATAGCTTTGAAGGTCGAAAGTTAAAATCGTCGTCTGCGTTGATCTGCAATGGCCTCTTTTCGGACAATTTTTGCGTGATGTTGCTGGCCTCATCTTGGTCACCTGTGGGCCGCTGGATGTCCATGGCTTTCATGCGAGCTAGAACTGTCAGATTTAACTTTCGGGGCACCTGCGACTTTTCTTCCAACACAGCAAGCTTATGAAGTAGCGAGAACCGCTCAAAAAAGTTGGTGAACGGTATGGGATTTTCGTTCTTGATGATCGTCTTTAGTGCAGCTGGTTTGGTAATAACCAGTGTCTTATAGGTATAATCACACACAATACACGCAAAGGTAAAACACTTACCCTTGGCACCATTCGCCACGGCATCCTCCACGGACACCGGCAATGGCGACTTACATTGTGGACATTCAAAGCAATTCTTAGAACACCGCACCACACCTTTCTGGTCAGAGTAATTCGTCATGCAATTGACACAATACTTGCACTCCACGGCCACATGGCAGCAGTGGATACATTTCACACCCTGGCAGCTTGGACAGAAGTACAAATCTCCCAAATGATGCATATTTGACGGACTTAGCAGGGTCGGAAGTTTAGTGATCGCATCAGTCGAGGTATCTCCACATAGACATACGTAGCGAGATTTTTCATAGTACATCGGGGCAATTCCTGAACTTCCACAGTACTAAAGATCCAAATCAAGCCCAATTAGCAATGAAATATGACTTCCTTCGAATCTATGGCCAGTAAACTATACAAGGTACTTTAGTATTGTAATGATAATGACCTGCACATAGTGCCAACTTGGATTAGACATCACGAAAAAAGAAAAAAAACTAACCTCGTACCTATTCCAGCTCCATCATGTCTTCACCTCAAAGAGAAGGATTCAGTGCTCCAGCATCCATCTCCCATGCTGCACATGGTCACGTTACCAACAAATCTTTGGGTGTCAAGTACAACTGTGCCCAATGTGGTGCATCTTTTTCGTTGGGAAAGAGCGATGCCATCAGATGCAAGGAATGTGGACACAGAGTGATTTACAAGGCCAGAACCAGAAGAATGGTGCAGTTTGAAGCACGTTAATGGAGGGATATTATAGCATAGAATAAATGGAAATAGTGATGATGATGTAGAATGTCAACAGGGCAGTATTATTACACAATTAACTATATAGAACAAACAGATAGTGAAAATTAAAGAATGCGAAGCATCTTTTTGAAAGTGGCAGGAATCCAAGTTCCTGGTGAGCGAGCGGACAAAATGATTAATGCAATTGTGGGTAAGTGTCTTACTTGAACAATTTCTTAAGCTTGGAAATGAAACCGCTCTTCTTCTTCTTCTCGTCCTTCTTGGTGGACTTTGAGGTCTTAGCGGCTGGCTTAGCGGCAGCAGCAGACTTGCCAGCTGGCTTAGCTTCAGCCGGGTCGATGTTTGCCTCCTCTGCCAATCTCTTGGCCTCAGAGGCGGTAGGCTGGATCTCTTCAGCGTTGATGTCACTAGCTTTGAGCTGAGCCTCGATCTCCTTGCTCAGTCCTCCCTGAGCGATGATGATCTCATCATCCGAATCGTAGGAAGCCTTACCCTTGGTGACTGGGGCAGCATCCACCTCCTTGGCCTCGACTTCGTCAGCCTGAGCAATTACTGGGGCAGTCTCGATAGGAGAGGCGACAGGGGCAGTTTCCTCGATTGGCTCAGCAGCAACTTGTGTCTCGTGGACCTCGTCAGCCACGACAGAGGTCTCAAGCTCGCCGTTTTCGATTGGCTCGTTGATGGCTGGCTCAATAGTTGGCTCAACATCCTTAACGACTGGTGTCTCCACTGGGGCAGCAGAGACTTCCTCAGTGACAAGAGGGGCGGACTCGGCAACCACTGGTGCAGTCTCACTGACGCTTTCGGTGGTTGGGAGTGGCTCGGTGGCAGCTGGAACTGGCTCGGAAGTAACTGGAACAGCTTCGGAGACCTCTGGAACAGCCTCAGAAACTTCTGGGGCAGTCTCTGGAGCATTGTGTGCCTGGGTGGCGGCAAGGCCAGCACCAGTAGCACCAGCAAGTCCGCCAGCGCCAATGGCACCAACAACAGCAGGGTCAAGGGTCTCTGGCTCAGGAGATACTTCGCTGCTCGAAGTACCGTTGGCCTTCTGCTGCTTTTTTCTAGCCTTGTACTGTGTTCTCTTCAACTTCTTCTTCTGCTTCTTCTTCTCCTCGGCACTCAAGACTGGGGTAACCTCTTCTGGTTCGTTCAAGGTCTTTGGGTCGACGTTACGAACCGTCTCGAAGGCTGCCAATGCCTCAGGATCCTTTGGCACGAAAATACCTGGCTCACCCAAAGTAGTTTGCTGGCCCTCAGTAGATGGCATCACAGTGGTCTTGAGGTCAGAAGATTGCGCACCATCAGTGGCAGCGGTGGCGGCAGCAGTAGCAGTGGCTTGGTCGGCGACAGATAATCCGCCAGCCTCTGGAATTTTGGACTGGGTGCTTGAGGCAGCAACCAAGTCATTGGCCTCCAATGAATTGTTTTCAATGCCGCTTCCATCACGAGTAACGTGCTGAGACTGGTTAACAAGCCATTCTCCATCAACAACGTATTTGTATAAGATGGTCTCGTTGGCCAACAAAGGCACGGTCAATTCGTAGGAACCGTCAACCTGCTTGACTAAAGGCAAAGTCTTGCCCCAGTTGTCGAAGGTACCAGTAACGATGACTTCTTTAGGACCAGCTGGCCTGGAGGGGTTAGTATGTGCAAGTTTGAGACACTCGGCGGCGATGTTGGGCAGAGTTGGGAAGGGAATGACAGTCTGCGAAGACCTTTATCAGAGAGATACAGAACTTATAAGACCCAGCCATGTACTAGAAGCTCATACTTCGCCTATTCTGCTTGGTACAAGCAATTGGGGCCCATGGTGGGATACATCAGCCGTACAAGGATAAACATGGAGGGTTGAAGGTGCAGATATGCGTGCCAGCGAATAAAAAGAATAAAACATACCACTTGAAAGTATAAGATGCAGACATGAGCGATTAGTAGTAGCAAATAGAACTTCTCGATGAGTACTTGCTGAATGGTAACCCCCCGCTAGACGAAAAAATATAAATTGATTGTGGGCACTGCATACTTCCGTTTAAGGTCACGTTCGCCTCTGTTTGGCCAGCCACCATAGAAATCCCAGCAAGTGTTGCAAGGTGCATGTGCAGGAGTTCTAAAACCTGCTCAACCACTTATTTCTAATTATCCTCACCAAACATGCTTAAGAGAACCGGCATAAGTATAAGTGCATGGGTAGATGCAATCACTACCAATGAGAGCCACATGCGGAAATAGTATACCTCAAAGATCTGCGACCGTGTAAAGGCAAGCACAGCAATGCCAATAAACTTGGTAAGGGTAATGCCTCCAAGTACAGATCCTCCAACACGGGTCAATGCCTTGAATGCAAGGAGGCATTTACGGTTGTCCAAAAGATATTTGGGTCCGTCTTGCATGTTCATGAAACTATTGTAAAGATCTTCTTCGTTTTCTTCTTCGCTTGCAGTTAAGTATGCTCTGGTGATATGCACAGTAAACTCCACTGCAAGCCCGAGACAGATAATGAGATTCACCAAACTCACTGCATTGAGAGAAATACCCCAGACTGCCATTACTCCACCAATGTTGACAAGAATTGCAAGAACTGTCAACGTGAGGATAGTAGACATGCGAGGCAGACCGAGAAGCACGGCACTAACCGACCATATGATGACAGATGCCACCGTTAACGTTGTGAACGTCAAAGTTATAATATCAATGTATTGAACAAAGAAGATGTAGAAAGGCGAGAAGGCGAACGCATCCAATTTGTTGTCTGCGAAGTCCTTCATTTCACTGACTACTCTTAATGCATTCTTATAGGCAACAATGAAATCCAGCTGTGATCTTAATGGTTGGTGGCTTGTGCGGAAGTAGCTGCTCTTAATGGAGGAAGCATTGTAGTTGATCGAGGAAGAATATGGTGCTTTCCCTCCAAGAGGACATGGATCACTGGGCTCAGTAATCCATTGCCTGAAGTACATCATGAATTCCTCACCTTCCGGAAGTCCCTCCATCGAAATATTATAAGGTGGAGAGTGGTCTGCGTAGCAAGATTGGCATTGTCTTGGAGGTGCAAAAGGTGAGCAGAACTCCTCGCCCAATGCACTCTTTTTAAAACGACAACATTGGTCCAATTCGGGATTCAACCATGTCAAGAAATCATCCAACCAATTTGAAGTCGGCTCTGCAATAGTCGACAAGTCTCCTCTTTTATATTCTTGCTCAAGGATATTTGCAATTGAGAACTCGTTGCATGTGGAAAACTTTCCACACACGGTCTGTTGGCTTTCACGGTGAGTAACATCCAAGTCTTTCACAACAAAGAAAACTGGTGGACCGACACTCAAATAATCATAAACGGCATCAAAGTATTGCACAAGATAAGAATCAGATGGTAATGCCATTCTTTGATCGAGTCCCAACTGAATCCGTGGGAAGAGTGACAAGGAAATACCTAGCCAGAGTAAGAACACGCTGAAGATCTTTCCTCTATTCGATGGGGTCAATAACCATGGTGCATAGTAGCGGCTGACGAAATGGGAAAAGTTGTACTCAATATGTTCCACAGTTTCTGCACCTTCGCCAACTTGAATCTTGTTGACCTGAATCCACGGTGCGATGTCGAGACGACCTTCTTCTAAACGTTTTTGATCTAAAGACAACAAAGAAATGAACGTTGTCATCTGAAGAATAAAATTGATGGCAACTGCACCAGCTGAATAGAATGCAAAATTTTTGACTGCTGGCATTTGCACTGAAGAAGCAACCAAAAACATCAGGACCTGCAAGATTGCACTAATGAAACATGAAGGACCGATTTTCTCCAACGCCAACGAGATTCTAGACTCCACGCCTGCCTCGGGGAACCTTTCTCCAATCACATGTAATTCATGGACAATTAAAAAGATGTTGTCGACACCGATTGCTAGAACCAAAAACGGGATAACTTCAGCAATGATCAATGTTGATTTAATTCCAATGAAAGAACAAATTCCAGCTGAAGCAGCTACTGAAAGCAAAATAATGATGATACCGGAGAGGCCCAACAGGAATCTAGTTAAAACAAAGCTTTTCAAGCTGAAGCTAGATGGGATTTTACCACCCAAAGCAATCGAAGCATACAAGAACATGAATAGATATGAAATCACGACAATCTTCACATCCGTGTTGCTAGATTGATTCAACTCCTCCAGAAGTGAAACTTCTGTACTGTAAGAAATCTGCAAGCCCTGTTTTTCCTCTTGTAATTTCTTCACCCATCTTTGTAAAGCACGTTCGTAATCAGTTGCCTTATTTGTGTAATCTTCATTTGTCAGGTTACTGTTGATCAATAGCGTGATTACAAATGCCTCTGACTCCAAGACATTTTCCAGTGAAAAAAGGAGATTCTTCTTCAATGGTTGCTGGAATGACGGTAAACAATTCACTGGAGACTCAGCGCACGCATTAATCTCACTAGCCCAATTGTATTCATTCAAATAGCGAATATCACCTTGAAAGTATTGAGTGAATGACTCAATTGCGCAAGTATCTTCCAAGGGTTTGAAACAAAGTGGATCGAGATACTGGGTGTTGTTGAATTCGTCCTGAAGTTCTTGCAATTCCAATTCCTTCTCGAACCACCATTGGACAGTTTCCCACGACAACACTGGTGAGTTATCCTTGTTGCTGATGATAAGCTGCTCAATTCTGAACCACTCTCCGAAGTTGGACTCAAAGTATTGGCGTTCGTGTAAAGCCTTTTCATTAGGGCTGACCCACAAATTAATCGGGTTTGTCTCCCATTCAAGTTTAGTAAGTCCAGTACAACACAAGAGTGACAAAATTAAACTGATAGCGATCGTCCAGTAGGGTGATTTAGCACAAGTTAATGCTAATCTAGCGAAAGAGACTTCAATGGATGACATCAACCAGTCTCTGAATCTCAACCAAGCAGCAGTGAGTCGGTATTGATCATCCATGTGTGGACTGATGAAGCACTCCACCACATTCTGCTCATCTTCCATGCCATTATCTTCGTCTATATCATCGCCAATAAAGTCACCTTCCAAAATGCTATTAAGTCTTTCAAATTCCAGCCTTCTGACTCTAGCAAGATAAATATGGTAGCCGCCAATAATGAGAAACAAAGTGATCCATACCATCATCACAGCAAAAGAGAAACATGGCATGATACCGACATAGCATTCCAGTCGAAAGTCCCTATACTTGGGTAAAGTTGGACATGACACAGAGCAATCTGAACAAGCACACTTATAGAGTGTATCATTACATGCTTTCATATCACCGGTGGTGAGCTTCAAGTCCAGCTTGGAGTCATGGGGCAATTCGTACTTGTAATTAATTTGGAACGGGGAACCACCAAGTAATGGCTTTTCGTCTCCCAAGAACTTCAAGAACAGGCTGTAATTCTTGGCTCCTCCTCCAATTAAATCCATGGCATATCCATTAGTAGCAGAAAACTTCAACTCTTTGCATGAATCAAAGAATTTCGATGCGTACTCGGGGTCGGTATAGACTGTAAGTTCCGAAACAACTTCCTTTCCAGTATCTATGGCATTGGAAATCTTGGTCACTTCCACAAACGTTGACTGATCCGGGGAGCATGTGAAACGGCAAAAAAAATCATAGAAGTTCTTCTTGCAAGCAGGGCATGAGCTGATTAAGGGCTCCACCTTCTTGAGATTCTCTTCCAAGGTCTGCAACTGATTGTACGAGCAACAAACGCCATCGTCTATAGGAAACTCAGTGCCACATATACGGGTGAGAATCTCAACACTCTCTTCCAGTGGATCTACTGCTCTGGTGTTGTTTGAACAGGGTAATGGCTTCCCGAATACGGACTTCTTTCCACAGCTATCGTATAATGAGCAATAACCGGGCTTTCTGATTGGCTTCGGGGATGTAGAGGCTAGTACTGTCACCACTGATTGGGTGAGCAAGAGCAACCACACGAGCAAATCAAGCATTCTGAGCTAGGATAAAAAAGAATTTTCGATTGCAATTGGTGGGCAGAGATTGTGTGATCGATTGGACTTTGGTGACTATCGCTTGCTGCAGGATGATGCATAGGAGCAAGTTGATAGGAGGTTTGAAGAATCGAGATGATTGAAATACAATTGGTAGATGTCAATGTTTATTTTAGTTAAACTTTAATACATTGATGTTTGACTTGACGTTATCATGTACAATGAAATCAGAGATAATGGAAATGACATTTACAAAATTGACTTCTGATTTGACCAATTCGCATTATTTTTGAAATTTCCTTCGAAATCACCAATGATAGAACGTTTAGCCATACTAAAAAAGTCAAGAATAAGTACCACTTTTCAAGTACAATATGCTCCATACATTGAAACCTTTACAAACTATAGGTTGACTATTCAACATTAATCGATAGAATAAGCTCTACTATATAGAACCGCCTTTGAAAGTCTACATAGTTAATTTCCACTTCACGTCTATAACTGATGCGCACTAAATTACATACAAATAGACACAGATCCATGTTGATTGCAATTTCGGGAACACTAGCCTCAGGCAAGACCGAGGTGGCTAGGTACCTCACATTCCAAGGTTTTAAGCTTGTTGCTGTCGATAACGAGAATGGCGGAAACACCTCTGAGGGCCCCTCAGAGCAGTCAGAACTTGAAGCACACAAGTTTTTCAACATCGACGACCTCTTAGACTACGTCACCGCCAATTGGAGACTGAATTACGTGATTTCCCACATAGAGGGCATGGAGGATCTCCAGAAACTACAGAAAAGACCATTTTTCTTGCATATCAGCATCGATGCTCCTCTTCTCTTGAGGTATAAACGTCATTGCCTTAAAGGTGACAACATCTTGACCACCGACGAGTTCACCATCAAGTCTGACGATCTATTGTTCAATGCATCGAACCCACTAATCGAAATCAACAACCAGGCTCACATTAAGATCATCAACACCACCACGTCGTTGAAAAGCTTATATGTCAAGCTTAGTGAACTTGACCTCTTAAATCCCGAGCGACTTCGCCCAACCTGGGATGCATACTTCATGAGGTTGGCAGATTTGGCAGCATTGAGGTCCAACTGCATGAAAAGACGAGTTGGCTGTGTCATCGTCAAGGATAACCGAGTAGTTGCAACAGGATACAACGGCACTCCACGTCACTTAACTAATTGTAATGAAGGAGGATGCCCGCGATGTAATCAGGGCCAAGGAAGTGGAGCGGCGCTTTCGACATGCTTATGTTTGCATGCCGAGGAGAATGCCTTACTTGAAGCAGGAAGGGATAGAATCGCTGGAGAGAACTCCATATTGTACTGTAACACATGTCCATGTTTGACATGCTCCATCAAAATTGTGCAAAGTGGAATCAAACAGGTGGTGTATGCTCAGAGTTACTCTATGGACGAACACTCCCACCGGGTCATGAGCGAGGCCAAGATCATTTTGAGACAATATGTTCCTCCCAAGGAAGGCATTTTCGTATAGAAAGAAACTCGTATAATCCTATAAACATAAGCACTTTTAGGTTTCCTTGTAAACATAAGGTCCAGGCTTCTGTTCGGCGTTGAAGTCCAACGATTCAATTACCTCATCTCCAACGCTCAAGCTGGCAGTGATGTGGTCACCTGGCTTTACTGCGCCAACACCCTTGGGAGTACCGGTCAAGATCAAATCACCCTTCTCTAAAGTCATGATGGATGACATGTGACTCAAGATCTTGTGGATAGGGAAGAGCATCAAGTTAGTCATGTCGTCCTGTTTGGTTTCACCATTGACAGACAACTGTAATCTTACATTATATGGGTCAGCGATCTTGGACTTTTCGATGAAGTTAGACAATGGTAAGAACGTATCAAAACCTTTACCAATACTCCAAGGCAAACCCTTCTTTTTGGCTTCGTCCTGGACATTTCTGGCCGTGAAGTCAATGGCGAGTGCATAACCATCAATTGCGTCCAAGGCCTCCAGAGGCGAGAACGATTCTGGCAAGTTCTTCAAGGTTTTGTTCAAGATGATAGCCAATTCTACTTCGTAATGGGCCACCACTCCGCTGGGAACCAAAAATGGTCCGGAGTTTGGTCGCAACACCGACGACGAAGGCTTCAAGAAGAAGAATGGCTGCATGGGTGCAGCATTGTTCAACTCTTTGATGTGAGCAGCATAGTTGCGGCCAATACACAAGATTTTCTTTGCGTTGTCGATATACTTCAAAGACATGATGATGTTCTGAAAGGTGGACGCTATCTGAGTTCAGTATATGGTCCGGAACTTCACTCTTCATCTACAGGAAAGAGGGAATGCATGAAGCCCCGGAGTTCAGCTATGGGGGGTAATTCATCCAGGAAAGCGTTTATGACATTAATCGAAAATCTGCAAGTCCATAGACGCAATTTGGTGAAGCTTGATGAAGTTAAGTGTGAAGACGCCTGGTATAGTGTGGTTATGTATAGTTGCGAATAGTGAAGTGTTTTCTGCAAGCGGGAGAGATCGGAAAGAATATACATGCCAACGCACCTGCAGAATTGGTGGTGTGAGAGACTGTCAGAGGGTGAGAAGTCTCAAGTGAAGCGGCCTATGAGAAGCCACATAATAGAAAGCACCAACGGGAAGGATTTGAAAGGGATAGATGAAATTATAATGTTCTGACGTTGAAAGGAAGTTCAGGGCCAGAGTTACTAACGATAATCAAGCCCCGCCCTTCCAATAGAGTACAATAGAGTTTACCATAAGTTGTGGATTCAGAGGTCCATGAAGGCTGCAATCACCAACCGGAAAAAACCACCCGATATGCGGCCGGCAGTTGCCTTCCCTCTCGTAGATAATCTATGCTCGCCTGTAGGCAGTAAAGGAAAAAAAAAAATCGATACAATAGGAGTGCAATCTTGCTGACTGTTAAGAGAAGAGAAACAAAAAATGGCGTGTTGAAAATGAAACAGGGAGGGGAGCAAAGTGGGAGACTGGGCAAAGCATCAATGGTCCAATTTGAATTAAAGAAGATCGCCCATCCACTACGATTGGGCGAGGAGGAAGGAAGAGCAAATGTTATAAAAAAAAAGAAAAGGAAAATTAGGAGCCTTGGAAATCGAAACCAACGAAAGAACCATCTGGTGATCAGGTGTTAAGATCACGGCTAACGGGAGCGGTTAATGGTGAGGGAAAGTGACATTTGAAAACGTGAAAACATCAACGAAAACAAAGAAGATTGAAAAATCCACCCGTCTACTATTGTCACCTCTCGCAATACTCCTGATGATGCGGGCAATAAAAAGATCAGTTAGCCAGTCAACAATTAGACACAAGGCAATATGAAGGACCGCCCATTAAATCCATAAACCGAACCGGACTTACATGCACTATCTGGGAGGAGAACGGTCAAATCCATCCCTTCTCCCGGTCGGTACAAAGACTGATCCTTCATGAGTGGCTGGATCTTAGATGTAGGTTTCATTCTCAAGCGTGGTGCTTCGGATTGGTTCAAGTGCCTTGGATATTTTTGGGCCTGTCAATTGATATCCTGCCTCAAAAAAAGACAGTCCGACTTTCTGCAGGATGTTAACCAGAAAAGGGTATGTGGTGAAAAAAGATCGATGCAGGCCGACAACTTGATTGGATACTCACTAGAGTGTCAGTTATGGAAATGTGACCATTTCCACCCTCAAATACCCCACTACCGTCTCCTCAACGAACCGTCTTTAGCAGTAACCTGATTCCTCGACATGTCATTGCTAGTTGACGTGCCAAGGGTATTTTTGACTCGTACTGAAGCCGCAAAGTAAATTTCTTGGCAGTAACGCAATAACTGGTCAAATGCACATTGATTCATCTGATTACATGGTGGTGAAAAAAAATTTTCATGTGCAAGCACTTACACATAAACAACCGCTCCAACTCAATTTCACCCCACAGTTTCACATTGTGGATGTTGGCTTGTTCAGTTGGGTTTCTTGAGTTGGGTTTGTTCAGTTATCCTTGTGTATCATTCCACCTATCAAAATGCCGGCAAAGGTGCTTCTTCTCCCAACCTTGACTGACAAGTTGAGATCTGCACTAACCCATCAAATTCAGGATGCTAAGGCGAATTGTCGTACTCCCGCCGTGTGCATGCAATGCACCCAGGTGAGTTCGGTCTGTAGCACCGTCAAATAGAAGTGAGGCCTGTCATTGGTGCAGTTACCTGTCTACTTGTGCGAAACGGGGCCCTCGTGCACCTATATGCAGAACCATTATGCAACAGATGCTGAAGATAAGCCAGTTTGTACATTCTGGCATGGAGGCCCCAATAAATTAATGCATCACACGTTAATGTCCCCCTAGGAGAATCTTCCGTATAAATATAACCCCCATCCCTCCATTTAAACCCTCAGTATTCTACTCTCTGTTACTACTGTTCTTTGCGTCCGTAAGAATTGCTCGCCAGCATATCTTCGGTGATTAACCCCCCCTTAATACTATTGCAGAATGGTTAACGTCTTTAACGTGCAAATTTTCTTTGTGGTGTTCAGAGAATCCTTGGAGGCCGTCATTGTGGTGTCGGTCCTCTTGGCCTTCTTGAAGCAAGGTCTCGGTGGTGCCACTGAGGACCCTGTGGTTTACAAGAAGCTTAATCGACAAGTTTGGATAGGAGCGATACTGGGTGTTCTTTTATGTTTGATTCTTGGTGGTGCATTCATTGGTGCTTTCTACTCTTTGGGCAAGGACATCTGGTCCAAGTCGGAAGACTTGTGGGAAGGTATTTTCTGTATCATTGCAACCGTTTTGATTTCTTTGATGGGTCTTGCCATGTTGAGAATCAACAAGATGAAGGAGAAGTGGAGAGTGAAGTTGGCCCAGGCTCTCGTCAAACAGCCAAAGGGTAAGGGTCGTTTTGGTCTTGGTCACTGGGCCAAGAAGTACGCTATGTTTGTTTTGCCGTTCATTACCACCTTGAGAGAAGGTTTGGAGGCAGTTGTCTTCGTTGGTGGTGTTGGTTTGAACTCTCCAGCTTCCTCTTTCCCAATTCCAGTTATTGTTGGTTTGATTTGTGGTATCCTTGTCGGTGTTTTGTTGTACTACTTCGGATCCAGTGTTTCCCTTCAGATCTTCTTGATCATCTCCACCTGTATCTTGTACTTGATCGCTGCTGGTTTGTTCTCTAGAGGTGTCTGGTACTTTGAAAGTTACAAGTACAACAAGGCCACTGGTGGTGATGCTTCAGAGAACGGTTCTGGTCCAGGTACTTACGATATCTCCAAGTCTGTGTGGCACGTCAACTGCTGCAACCCAGAGACCGACAACGGTTGGGATGTGTTCAACGCTTTGTTGGGATGGCAAAACTCTGCTACTTACGGTTCTGTTATTTCTTACAACGTCTACTGGATTGCTGTCATCCTTGCCATTTACTTGTTGTGGTTCGAGGAGCGTAACGGCCACTTGCCATTCACCAAGAACCTTGTCTTGGCTGAATTGAACCCAATGTACCACATCAAGGGTAAGAAGAAGCACAACTTGACCAAGAAGGAGCAGGAAGACTTGTTCGAGCAAGTCAAGCATGCCAATGTTGGAGCTGAAGAAGCCGACAACTCCTCTGATTCTATCACTCACAAAAACGAGAAGACCGTTGAAGCCAAATAATTGGCACACAATTTTTAAGTCGCATTTCTTGAATGCCAATTGATCTCCAAACATATCATACACACACACACACACACAAATATATATAAGATTTGGAAATCAGTTGGTGTTTGGTGATGTTGACTCTGCTTTTTTTTACTATTAGTCGAGCCGTTCTGCATCTGTAAACAATTTTTAATGGGGGTTATTCTTTGGGTACTTATTAATATATCACGGGATTAAATTGATTGTAGTTATATTGGCAGGGGAGTGAAATGATTGTCAAGACTTTCGACATGTCAATTGAAAACTAGTGACGTAAACTTGATATGTCAATTGGAGAGCGGTGATGCAACATTTAAAACTCCCGTCACATTTATGCTTAGGATGGTTGGTTGCAATAAGCTTACCCAATCTATTGTGAAATTCCGAATGCGCACTTCCGACAGACTTTTGAAGGCGCTAGGACTAATATGGCAAGCGATATGCGATAAACACCCAGATGGTCATTCTAGAAGAGGCAAATTGGGAAAAAAAATTGTAAATTGTCTGAGCTCATTCCAGGTGATAGCAAGATTATAGAAATTGCGTCTACTGTAAAATCTACATTCACTTTCCACAATGACTTAAGCAAACGCTTGATACCCTATTTGGAGTTCCGCAATTATGTAGATTACGTAAATTGACTGTGTACACTCCGTGACTCCACAGATAAACCGGCACTATATAAGAACCAACTACCCCATTGGATATCTTCAGAGCTTATTTTCTCAATTACAAAAAATTAACAAATGTCTAAATCAGTTTTTGTTTCCGGTGCTACTGGTTTTATTGCCCAGCACATCCTTGTGAACTTGCTCCAGAAGGGCTACAATGTTGTTGGTACCGTGAGATCCCAGGCCAAAGGTGAACATTTGGCTAAGTTGTTGGGCTCGCCAAATTTCTCGTATGAGATTGTTGCTGATGTGGAGCCAGCAGGGGCTTTCGATGAGGCTTTGAAGAACCACCCAGAGGTTACGATTTTCTTGCACACCGCCTCTCCATTCCACTTCAACACTTCTAATGTTGAGGATGATTTGCTTAAACCTGCTGTCAACGGTACCAAGAACGCCTTGGCCGCCATCAAGAAGTATGGACCTCAGATCACCAACGTGGTTGTGACATCGTCTTACGCTGCCATCTCGACGGCTGGAACAGAGGAAGACCCTAACCAAGTGAACAACGAAGAGTCTTGGAACAAAACCACTTGGGAGGAATCCAAGACCAACGCTGTTTTGGGCTACCGTGGCTCCAAGATGTTTGCAGAAAAGGCCGCTTGGGACTTTGTTGCGCAGGAGAAGCCTTCCTTCACCATCAACTACATCAACCCATCCTTCGTGTTTGGTCCACAGGCTTTCGACTCCGAGGTCAAGGACAGCTTGAACACCTCTTCTGAAATTATCAACAGCTTGTTGAAGTTGCAACCAGACTCCCAAGTGCCAGGTGTAAAGGGAGGATTCGTTGATGTCAGAGACGTTGCTAAGGCTCACTTGGTGGCCTTCGAGGAGCCAATTGCCAACAAGAGATTGTTGTTGAACGCAGGCAGATTCTGTGGTCAGGACTTGGTGGACATCTTGAACGCCGACTTCCCAGAATTGAAGGGTAAGATCCCAGTCGGAGAGAAGGGTGCAGGTAAAGCCATTAACGATGCCATGTGTAAGATTGTCAACGATGAGACAAAGAAGATTCTTGGATTCCCCTTGATCGACTTGAAGACCAGTGTTGATGACACCATCACTCAGATCATTAAGGCTAAGGGCAAGCTTTGAAACGTAGGTTTATAAATTATTCCGATATTACTTTTAGTTATCTGTAATCTATTATAGAGGCATCTCTGCCTGCATGAGTTGTCATAAAATTTCAACCACTACATCTTCATCCCCAGATGCCTGGTAAAAACGACGTTTCATCTGTCAACGAGTCGTTAATTCTGGAGATATGCCATTATGGTCCTGTCACAGCCATCAAAGTCCATAAAAATTCCATCTTCGTTGGTTATGGACCCATACTAAAGGTGTTTGAGATCGATTCGTCTTCCAATGCCATTACGTTGAATTCCAGCCAAAGAGCTTTCAAGAGAAACAAAATCCATTCCATTGATGTCCTTGGAAGCAAGGTTTGCGTGGCAGGTGCTCGTTCTTTCGCAGTGGTTGATTTGTCCAGTGGATCTAAAATTCAAGAGAAAGCCATCAATGAGTGGATAGTTTCTGGCAAATTCCTTGACACCAACACGCTTTTGCTTTTGACATCGCATAATGAAGTTCTCAAGATCGATATCCGTGACCTCATGCATTTCCAGTTCAATGTTGTGGACAAAATCCATTGCAATGAGAAGTCCATCCTATACAGTGGCTCGATCACCATCACCAACACGGGAAAAGTCTATGTCGCAGCAGGAACTGTGATGAGTGGAGTGATTGTGTGGGACTTACAGACGAGAGAGATTTTGCGTGTGTTGACAGCCCACGAGGGATCCATTTTTGGTGTCATTATCAGTCCGGATGGGAAATACATAATTTCGTGCTCTGACGATAGATCCGTGAAACTCTGTGATTTTAGCACTGGAAATGTGTTGGCCTCAGGATGGGGTCATGGATCAAGAATTTGGTCTTTGCAATTTGTTTCTTTTTCTAATGAATCGGTTGATATTTTCAGCACTGGAGAAGATTGCACAGCAAGATTATGGCACTACGAGGCGGGCTCTGATTCGCTCGTTCAGACCCAGCTTTGGGACCATTGCCATCTGGGAAAGCACATTTGGTCTGGAGATATCGACATGGCTAATATTGGTGCTGCTGTCACTGGAGGTGCAGACGGAAAACTTCGTATCCATGATATTTCTGCCTTAGGAAAAGGTGTATCCTCATACTCTCCTCAAGACATAACTTTCATGACCGGTGCTGTATTTGAAAAGAAAGAGGTCATAAAACAATTCGCAGAATTGTCAGAGTGTGACTTATTGGTGGTCGTTACAACTTTGGGAAAGGTCTTCACCCTATTCCAGGCTTCTCAATGGACCCAGGTCAGCATTTCTGAAAATGACACATCCATAATTAAAGAATCTGGAATGTTGCATGCATTTTCTAGTCTCAACGCTGCAGCTATTTTCACCAGACTAGGCGATGTCTTGGCTTTAAGTTTTCACACCAGTGGAGAATTGAAGTCCCTGGAATGGATAAAGGGTAATGATGAGCCTTCAAAGAAGATTATCAATGTCTTGATGGATGAAGATAAAAAGAAAAAGGAGTTTTATGCTCTTCTTGATTGTCCCAACCCAAATATTCCCTTTGAAGTCAAGAAGTTTGCCTTAAGAAATGACAAGTTGACCGTCACCGCTTCCATCGAACTCTTCAAGCCCGACCCGAAGGTTTTCACTCCAACATCGGTTCATTTCGATGCCAGAAACCAATGGCTTTTAGTTGGGTCCAGACATGCCAACTTCGCCATCTATAATCTCGCGGGAGAACATTATCAGCTTCCCCTGCTCGTTCGCAAGGTCTGTCCTGGCGATACGATAACCACTATCTCTACAGTGAAATCGGCCGATAATCATTTGGTGGCACTACTTACTGTACGTGATGGCACCTACCTCTACATGTCGATCAGCCAAGAGAATGAAAAATTCATGTTTGAGATCATTTTACAAAACAAAGTCTCTCGTGGTATCATCGAAGGTGGCTTTGTGGAGAAGGATGATCTTTACCTCTATGGGTTCCGGGCTTCTTCGTTCTATCTCTGGAATGAAACCAAGCAAATTGAAATCGATCACCACCTGTGTGGTGGTGCCCATAGACAATGGGAATTGATCAGGCACAAGGGCCAATTTGACTATAAATTCATCTATTTGAATAAGTCCAGTTTGATTATGAAAGGTTTTCATTGCAGATTCAACGATTCTAATCGCGGATTGCTTATTGGAGGCACACATGGTCGTGAAATCAGAGGTGTCGCTGTATGTCCTGTTCAAGAACAGGATGGAACTAGACTTCTCGCAACGGCTTCGGAAGATGCAACCATCAAGTTGGGAAAGCTTGACTTGAATGGTAACGTAGCAAACCTCTGGACCATGAATAATCATATCTCTGGATTACAGACTATTGATTTCATGAATCAGCAATACCTTGCCAGTTCAGCAGCTAATGAAGAACTTTTGATCTGGAAAGTTCATCGCATCTCATCCTCCGTACTTACCATCGTTGAGCATTCTAGACTTTCCGTTTCGGATGAGAACCCTGACTTGAGAATCATGGACTTTGCATCTCTTGAAGTGGATGGAGGATTCTGGGTTGCTGCTGTGTTCTCCAATTCCAAGATAAAGGTATTCTTTTATGACACCGAAAAGAAAGCTTTCACGTTGTGCATTGATGATACTTACAGCACATTCTGCATTTTGAATGTAAATTTCATCACCCACAACAACCAGACCTATCTCATGACTGGAACAACAGATGGATTTATCACAATTTGGGATGTCTCATCGAGTCTCTCAACCTTGAACATCCACAAATTGGAAAGATTGGTTGTGCAGCAACAACTCCATCAGAGTGGTGTTAAGGCTGTAACAATCATTCCAGCGAATAACAAGTGGAAGTTGATTACAGGTGGTGATGACAACGCTTTGGTTTTATCGATTTTGACTCCAACCGCAGATGGAATTACATTGGAGACTGTTTCCTTCGTTGAGGATGCGGCCTCTGCAACTATTACGGGTCTCAGCAATGTTGGCAATGACAAAGTCTTTGCTACTTCGGTTGACCAAATAGTCAGACTTTGGAGTATTTCTGATGACACTTTGACTTGTGATTCTGCAAGCTATACTACAGTTGCAGACACGGGATGTTGCGATACTACCGAATTTAATGGCCAGCACCTTGGAGTTGTGGGTGGTGCTGGATTGGGGTTGTGGACAATTACCAAATAGACTCAAAATCTTCCTTGTATTATATATTATAGAACATGAGCAACATTAGTTAAGAAATCTATATGTAGCAAAGACTAAAGCTTCAACAATCTCAAAGCGAAAGTGGTATCGTTGATGGATTGCTCCTCGGTAATAATGACTGCATTATCAGAAGCAGAGGAGAAAGTCGACAATGGTCTCTTGGTACACTTGACCAAAAGTTCGGAGTTGTCTTTCACAACGCTCTCGAAGTTGATGGTGTCCTTCACCAAGTCATACTCGACGTTAACTTCATCAGTAGCATTCAATCCAGCCTTCTTACGCAATCTCTGGATACGGTTGATCAATTCTCTGGCCAAACCTTCGCTCTGCAACTCAGGGTAGGAGTTGACATCCAAAATAATCAAGACATCCTTCTCAGCTCTGGCCTCATGACCAGAGGCGGTCTGCTCCTCTGGCAAGCCACGCTGGACCTGCAAGTCTTCGCTGATCAAGTCAATACCATCAACAGTAAGCTTACCGGTCTCAGCAAACTGCTTGACCTCCTCAGAAGAAACCTTTGGCAAGGCAGCCTTGACTCTCTTTGCATCCTTCTTCAACTTCTTACCGAGAACTGGCCAATCAGCAACAGCTGTGTACTGGACGCCGTATGCAGCCTCATCAGAGGTGATGACAATGTTTCTGACATTCAATTCAGATGTGATGTAGCTCTTCAAAGACTCGATGTCCTTCAAGTACTCAGGGTCAGCATTCAAGATGACCATCTCCTTCAATGGGGTTTTCAATGAAATCAACTTCTTTTCTCTGATGTTACGACCCAAATCGATGACCTTTTGCATTCTTGAGACGGCGACCTCAATAGCAGAGTCGAACCACTCCTCTCTGACGGTAGGGTAAGACAAGAAGTGGACGGAACGAATATCCTTGATCTCCTGGTTCACAGCGTACTTCTCCAACTCTTCCTGAGAAAAGAAAGGCTTCAATCTCTGGTAAATACCATCAGCCAAGAATGGAGTGAATGGAGCCATAAGTCTGGACAAAATGAACAAAGCCTCAGCCAAAGTGTTAAGACCCTTCTTGGTGTCTTCAAGTCCAAGCTCAGTATCACCCTTGATACGACGACGGTTGAAACGAATGTACCAGTTGGTCAAGTTGTCAATCAAGTTCAACAACTTAGGAACGACAGTGTACAATCTGTAGCTCTGCATCTCCTCGTGCACGAATTTGACCAAGGATTGAATGGAAGCCAATAACCATCTGTCCATGACATTGTCAGAGGACAAAGAAGTGTCGTAGACGAAAGCAGTACCGTTCTCCTTCTCGAAGAGATCAGCAGCATCCTTCAAGAACTTAAAAGAGTTGTACCATGGCAACAAAACAGAGGAAACGACCTCCTTGACACCCTCTTCTTTGAACTTCAAGGTCTCAGCTCTCAATACCGGAGAGTTGATCATGTACAATCTCAAGGCGTCAGCACCATACTTCTCCAAGATAAGACCTGGGTCTGGGTAGTTCTTCAAACGCTTAGACATCTTCTTACCATCAGCAGCCAACACAATACCGGAAACAATGACGTTCTGGTATGGAGCAGTGTTGAACAAGTGAGTACCCAAAACAGTCAAAGTGTAGAACCAACCTCTGGTCTGGTCCAAACCTTCAGAAATGAAGTTGGCAGGGAAACCACTGTGGAAAGTGTCCTTCTTCTCGAATGGGTAGTGCTGGGAAGCGTAAGGCATAGAACCAGACTCGAACCAACAGTCGAAAACCTCTTCAATTCTCTTCAATTGGCCCTTACCCTGTTTGGAAGGAATAGTTATGTGGTCAATACTGTCTCTGTGGATGTCAGTGATGTCAGGGTTACCAGACAACTCTCTCAACTCCTCAATGGAGCCAACACAAACAATTTCCTGAAAGTCTTCACTGACCCACAATGGGATTGGAGTACCCCAATATCTGTTTCTGGAGATGTTCCAGTCTCTAGCGTTAGCAATCCAATTCGAGAATCTCTTCTCCTTGATGTTGGCAGGAACCCAGTTAGTTTTGTTCACGTTGTCCAACATCTGAGGAATGATCTCACCAATACGGACAAACCAAGCTGGCACAGTTCTGTACAACAATGGGGTGTCGGATCTCCAACAGAATGGGTACGAGTGCATAAGCTGGGTAGAGAGCAACATACGGCCGTTCTCGGTCAAGTGCTTAATGATCAACTTGTCTGCATCCTTGACGTAGACACCAGCAAAGTCGGACACCTCGCTGGTGAACTTACCGTTGTCATCAACTGGGTTTGGAGGGGTTCTCTTCTCATTGATAAGACCGGATTCGGTGGCAGCAGCAAAATCCGCCTCACCAAAGGCTGGAGCCTGGTGGACCACACCTGTACCGGAATCGTCAGTAACGTAGTCTGCACCAATAACGGTGAAAGCATGGTCCTTGAACTGCTCATAGAAGTAGTCGAACATTGGCACGTACTTAAGACCCACCAAGTCCTTACCCATGATCTTCTCCACAACCTTGTACTTGGCAGCAGCAGGCTTCTTGTACAAGGTCTTCAACAAGCTCTCCAACAAGATGTAGTGTCTCTTCTTGTCCTCGTCGTAGATCTTAGTGTACTCAAGTTTAGGGTTGACAGCAAGAGCAATGTTAGAAGGCAAGGTCCATGGAGTGGTGGTCCAGGCAACCAACCAGGTGTTCTCGTCGTCCACCAATGGGAAACCAATGGTAACAGCAGGATCGTTGACATCCTTATAATTCTGCTGGGCCTCGAAGTTGGACAAAGGAGTAGTACAGCCAGTAGAGTATGGCATGACTCTTAATCCACGGTACACAGAGTCCTTCTTGTAGAGTTCCTTGAAGGCCCACCACACAGACTCCATAAATTCTGGGTACAAGGTCTTGTAGTCGTTGTCCATGTCAATCCAACGACCCAATCTGCGAATGGTTCTTCTCCACTCGTCAGCGTATCTCATGACAATGGAACGACATTCGGCGTTGTACTTGTCAATACCCATCTTCATAACGTCTTCCTTTCCAGTAATACCCAACTTCTTGTCGATCTCATGCTCGACAGGCAAGCCGTGGGTGTCCCAGCCAAATCTTCTCTCCACGTGGTAACCATTCATGGTTGCGTAACGTGGGATAATATCCTTGACGGTGGAGGCCAACATATGGCCGTAGTGGGGGGTTCCCGTTGCAAATGGAGGACCATCGAAAAAAGCGAATCTTGGGAAGTCTTTGGTCAACTCAAGGGATCTCTGGAATGTATCATCCTGATCCCATTGCTCGATGACCTTCTCTTCTTCTTTTGAGAAGCTGAAAGTCTTGTTCTCTTCGGCCATTGTAGTCGAGTTGGTAGCGTGGAGAGTGAAAATTCACTATTACTCATAAATTTTTTTTCTACGGCTGGTGTACGGGTGCGGACTCCAGTAGTATGTAATCAGTCATCATATAAAAGGAATTAGGTAATGTGGAATGTTGAGTCATAGCGCCACTTCCATATTTCCATTGTATTATCATTAATATTTCTTTCTTTTCTTTCTTTTTCATTCCTTTTCTGCCCATCACCTCTGATGTTATGTTTATTCAATCGTCTTTATCATTGATGACTGTAAACGCATCTATCCGCGAAAAGTAGCTTTATCAGTGAGAGTGCATGTCAGCCTTATGGTGGATACTCTTTCTTTCAAACGTCTGCTCCTACGATGCTTCAACGGCAATGTTCCGCTGAAAATCATGGTTGCACTCTCTGGAGGCGTTGACTCTATGTGTTTGACATACTTGCTTTCGCAATATAAGTCCCTGTTCCATCCATCATTAGCCATTCACGCAGTAACTATTGACCATGGTTACAGACCTGGATCGGAGGAGGAGGCAGCGAAAGTAGGCAGATTGGTGGCCAAATGGGGTGTCGATCATCTGATTTGTCGTCTTCACTACGATAAGAATGTCGAAGATATATCCAATTTCGAGGAAGTGGCTAGATATATGCGCTACAAGACCTTCCAACAGAAAAGTCAAGCATTGGACATCGATGCTCTTTTGGTTGGACACACTTTAGACGACAAGTTGGAGACTTACTTGCAAAGACTTCAAATGAATTCCACCATTTTTGGACTCGACGGCTTAAAGGACAAATCTCAATTTCCACTTCCTCCTACCAGTCCACTCCACCATCTCAACGTATACCGGCCACTTCTACCATTCGAGAAGTTTCAATTGCAAGAAACATGCAGGGAGGGAGGTGTAGAATGGTTTGAGGATCATACCAATATGGATCGATGGTTGACGAAGCGGAATATGTTTCGCTACTTATTAAATCACTATATTCCAGGACATGTGCATTCGAGGCCAAAACTTGCTGTAATTTCGAAGTCTGCATTATTACAAACAACCAAACTGATTGATTCAGTGCTAAATCAGTTGCATGAAAAAGTTCTAGCCTTGGACAATTATGTGACTAATTATGGAGGTTTTGAATTCCTCGAGGACCGAGCACTCATCAAATTCAGTGTGCCAATTGATTTTTGGAGTAATGTCCATTCGCTGGTGGCAAGCAGATGGTTATACAACCTGATATACTCAATTTCGTCAGCACAGCATTTTCACTGGTCGTATGCCAAAATTGAGCGAGCAATGATTCCACGTTTAAATAAGTTCATTGTCGAGGAACTGGACAAAACCTCAATGACATATCTCAATGTTTTGTTCACTATTGAGAAGAGAAATGGAACTTTGAATTTCGCGATATCTAAGCAGCCGCCAATCAGAGATACAATTCCAGATTTGTGCCATTCTCTCGTTGCTACAACCACATTCTCACCTTGGATCCTCTACGACAAGACCTGGTGGATGCGAATTCGAGATACTCAAGGAACAAAGGTCAGGATTCACCCATACACGCTGAAAATGCGCAAAAGTCTTCAAAAGGCATTTCCTAACCTACGGAATCTTCCACAGGGCAACGCCACTGTACCAGTAATCACTAATGAGTTGTGTGGGGACATTTTAGCACTACCCACCTTTGGTCTAGTGCGCGAAAACTTGGAAGTCGAGTGTATTCTCAAAAAGTAATGACATAAGTTGGAGGAAACCATTAACTGTAGCTTCTTCAATCATCTAATTCTTTGAAACCTTCTTCCAAACCAGAATTCTCATGGTATTTTGTTCCTTGAACAGCCAATTGCTATGGGAAGTCCTATAGAATGTCTGGTATATGCAGGTTGTAAACTCATGAAAAAGTGACATTCAACATACTAACCTTCTATCCACATTAATCATGCTGAACAATCTACATGGTGGACGTCTACTGGCAGTTCCGACACCAAAACACACGGGACAGACAGGTACCCCTAAAGCGCGGAGCAACCGCATCAAAGCGGCCAATTTGCAGACCCAGGCGTTCAAGGTGGCCCACCAAAGAGTAAACTTGGATGTGGATCTAGCTAGAAAGCTGATTGATGGTTTCACTGAGATCACCATAATACCTCTGTCAAGCAGTCTTCGAGTGGTTCGGCTTGATGCGCGCGAGATGAAGATCAAAAATGTTTATGTCAACGGGTCTAAATGTACAAACTATATTCATCGAGACATATTATATGTGAATAATCCCAAGGTGTTTGAAGACTGCGTTGCTTCCAAATCGATTAATCTTTGGGATGTATATTCTCCCACATTTTCCATACATCATCATCACTTGTTACGTCAAAAACTTAATTATCTTTTCGGGGACGTGATCTCAGACCTATATGCTCCAGACAAATTCGAAAACACCAATACTGAAGAATTGGGAATCATTCTCCCCGAAGATTTGAAACTTGAGTCGATGGATTTGAACTCTTACCATACTCCCACATCACTGATTCCTACCGCAGGGATCACTCCTTCCCAGCTTCGTGCCAGAAATACGCACAGCGATAGTTATTCTCCAGTCCAGATTGGAATTGAGTATGAGGTAGTTAATCCTAGAGATGGTGTAAATTTCATGTGCGATCCAAATGCCAATAAGAGACTCTGGCATGTGTACACTGTTAACTCAGAGTATAATGTCTCGACTTCATCATGGGTTCCCTGCATTGATAACTTGTGGGAACGAAATACATGGTCCATTGAAATGAGCATACCAAGATCCATGAAGCATATTAAGGATCTTCTGCTGTCTAACAAATTGGCCACTGAAGAAAAAGAAGACGCTATGGATATCGATTCAGAACCTATCGAGAGTGGTCCGAAGGAAAACGGCGGGGGCGAAAACGAATCTACCGAACCTAAGGGGGAGGAGAATGAGGAGGATGAAGATGAAGATGACTCTGAGAACTTCGACTTGTTCGTCTGCACTGGCGACTTCAACAATACCAAAGAAACGCCGCACCCTACAGACTTATCAAAGAAACTTGTTTCATGGTCTGTATTCAATCCAGTATGTGCACATCATGTTGGATGGGCAGTTGGATGCTTTCAGTCCTCTGAATTGTCGGATTTCAACGATGGTTCTGGTGCTCCACAGGTGCAAGAAGAAGGCTTCGAAGATTTTGAGGAAATCGAGAAAGAAGAATCCACTGCCTCCGTGATGTTATACTACCTACCTGGTCAAGAAGAATTGGCCAAAAACACCTGCATTTTTGCTCATAAGGCGATAGACTTCTTCCTGAAGGAGTTCGGCTCTTATCCGTTCACGTCTTACAGTATCACATTTGTTTCTGGACCGAGCTATCCATATAACAATTTTGCTGGCTTGTCTATCCTAAGCGACGCATTATTATATCCACCTGATGTTATCGAACTTATGTTTGAGACGACCGAAGACATTCTCGAATGTATTGCTGGCCAGTGGTCGAGTATCAATATTGTTCCCCAGGTTTTTAATGATATTTGGTGTACAGTTGGAATTGCAAAATTCATGAGCTTACAATTTCTAAGGATTTTGATGGGTCAAAACCAATTAAGGTACCAGATTAGACAAAAAATGGACAGAATTGTCAATGAGGATGTTGGACAACGTCCAATTGGATTACATTCTTTGACGTTTCCGGTGTCTGAGGCTGACTTTGCTTTCTTACGTTTGAAGGCACCTTTGATATTGTTTATTCTTGATCGTCGAATGACCAAAACTGATAAGTCATTTGGCCTTTCTAGAGTTTTACCTAAAATCTTTCTACAGGCCATGTCGGGAGATTTACAGAATGGAACGTTGTCCACTCAACATTTTCAGTATGTTTGTGAAAAGGTGAACAGAAATAGACTTGAATCTTTCTTTAAGCAATGGGTTTATGGAGTCGGTACACCTAACTTCAATATCACCCAGAGATTTAACAAAAAAAGGTCAATGATTGAGGTTGTCATCAGACAAACACAAGCGCAGCATACAAAGGATTCACAACCCAACCTGAGTTCTTTTATTGATGAATCCTTGACATTCTTAAACGACAGACCTGTATACTCTGTTCAGCCTACTTTCTTGGGTCCGATGACGATCAGAGTCCATGAGGCGGATGGTACTCCATATGAGCATATTGTGGATATCAAGGATAGTGTGGTCAAGTTTGATGTGCAATATAACACTAAGTTCAAGAGGCTCAAGAAAAATCGCGAGGAAAATAGCGATGCTAATCCTGTTTTTGCCAAGCTTGGGGATATACTTAATAGTGAGAAAGATTTGAAGAATTGGAATTTTGAAGAATGGCCCAAACGCGATGAAGAGTTCTTGGACCCATTTGAATGGATTCGAGTGGATACGGATTTTGAATGGATTGCGAAATTCAATGTCAAGCAGCCAGACTACATGTTTGGATCACAATTGCAACAGGATAGGGATATTGAGGCTCAAATTGCTGCCATTGAATATTTTGGCAATCAAGAGAAGCCTAATGCTATTTACTGCACTGCTCTCACTAGAACTTTGATGGACCAGAGATATTTTTATGGTGTGAGAATAGCTGCAGCAAAAGCACTTGCGGAATTTTCTAGACCTTCTAATGGGTTTGCTGGACTCAACTATTTGGTTATGGCATTTAAGAAACTATTTTGTTTTGACGACAGTTTAGTGCCTAAAAGTAACTCTTTCGAGGATTTTGGAAGGTTATTTTTGCAAAAGGCCATTCCTAAGTTTATGGGCACAATTCGAAATGAAGATGGCATAACACCAATGAAGATTAAGATATTGCTTTTCAATCTACTAAAGTACAATGACAATGCGAACAATGATTTCCAGGATTGTTTTTACGTTTGCGATATCGTTGAGGCATTGACCGAAGCTGTTATCCCAACAACAACAGAGCTGCGCTCCTTCGATTATCATATGGAAAGAGAAAATGCGGCATCTATTATTTCAGAGGATAAAAGTTTTGTGGAGAAGGTAGTTCATGAAATCAATCGGGTCCAGAAGTTGGATAGCTGGGTTCCTTCCTACCAGTCAAAGGTGTCATTTGCATGCATTAAACAGAAAATTAAATTAGCTTGCTACGGTCTTGTTGATTTTTCATTCGAGAAATTGATCCTTCTCACTTCGAGGAAACATCCATACGATATTCGAGTATTGGCCTTCAAAGGAATCTTTTTACTTGGTGGCCTAAAAAATGCCCACATAATGAAATATTTTTTGGATGTTTGCTTGTTAGAAGAGTCGAGCCCTTACTTCCGCACAGGCTTGATTAAAGCATTGCTCGAAGCAGTGAGCGAAGCTGCCGTTTATGGCACACCAATCATGTTTGATGACCCTGAGTTCCAATCTCTTGAAAATCTTTTCGAAGCAGGACAAAATGTTTCGAACCATACTAATTTGGTTGTTATTGAAGAGTCTCAAAATGCCGAAATGAGCACTAGACGCGATGCGGTTGCCAGAGCTACTATCAAGGGTGCAATCGACATTTTAAGAAGAGATTTGTCGATAGGCAAGGGTCTCCAAAGAACTCTTTGGGAACTTCTCCACTCTTCGCTAATTGGTCTTATTGATCGCCGAATGGTATTCATGTTATGCGAATTGCTCTACCAAGAAGACGACTCTTTCCCGGTCGTGCTTTCCGTGCCTTGTGTTCCATTCGAAGAATTACGTAAGAAGATTGTTGCTAAGCATCTCGGTGATGGAAAGGTTGTCATCAAGAGAGAAGGAAGATTCAAAATTCTGTTGAGCACTAAGATTCTGTTGGTACTGAACAAGGCCAAATCTGGCCCCAAAAATCAAGTGTCAGTCTCTTCTAAGAATACAAGAACTCGCTCTAATGCAAGTGTTGATGAACCACAACCACAGACTAAGGCACCACCACCTCCTCCCCCAAGTGATCCGATTGTTGTTGATGAAGTGCCTGCTGAGGTTGTAAAGTCACTGCTGGTGACCAGAGATGAATCGAACAAGATGAGTATCAAGATAGCTTTCAAGAAGCACAAACTTTCTCCGTTGCGCACAGAATTAAGGTCCCCAGCAAGACCTCAGGTTGAGCAGGCGATCAATCCAGTTCCAGCAGTGGCTCGTGTTAAGGTTAACAACACTGAAGTCAAGTTCGTGTTCACTTCACCAAGGAGCGTGCGAAGATTCAAGTCACTCATTGCTCCTACCAGATTCGTCAGAATCTCAACCAGAAGAGGAAGGGTGTCACTTTCGGCAACTCCCTTCCCTGAAGGTGAGGAACTGAACCCTGTTAAGGTTGAACCTGCTGAAGTATCCGGTAAGATGGAGACAGCAAGTGCGGATACAATCACACCTATTGTCAAATCTGAGGAACGATCAAATGCTTTAGCGGAGGAAAATGAAGACTCAAATAGTAACAATAGTCCTGGGAAATCAAACAGCCAATCCAGTTCTTCGGGTGATGCTACAAACATCACAGCCTCCACGGCAAAACCAAGCGAAGGACAAAAGACGAATGGCAAGCAAAAGTTGAATGGTACTCCCGAGCCGTCTTCCACTACAGAAAAGTCTGTGGAGCTCAAGGAAACAACCAAAAGGTCTAAAAGTCCATTTTCGCCAGATCCACCTACAGGACAAATCAAACGGAAAAAGACCAAAATCTACATTCACGGAAAAGACTCGCAGACACTGTCACCCAAATCCAAAACTCCAGAAGAGGATAACACACCTCCAATCAAAGAAGAAGAGCGGGAAAAACCGCGGCCCAAGTTGAAGCTTAAGCTCACGCTCAAGTAATTATTTGGAGTTCCTTCATGTAACAATACATTTATCACGGTTGATGATATCTATGCACTTCCCGTTGTAGTTACTGTAGCATACCTCGGCTTCAACTTGGACATCCAACGCTTTTATAGAATCCACACTGTCGGAACGTCGCTGAATTAATCTTCTGCTCACCTTAGTATCCTAATCCGGTCACAATGTCCTTCAACAACCATTTGGCGTTTAATATATCAAAAGCCACACCAACCACTTCAACAACTAATACGAATACTACGTCAACGCCGTTATCATCGCCACCACTCAAGTCCACTTCAACCAATGAGATCTCGGCGGCTCCTAGCAACCGAGGCGATCAGAATATTCCACTAATCCACAACATTCTCTCGAAACAATCGAATGATTCGTCTCCCAAAATTGCTGGTGTTAGCACAACCACTGGCTTGAGTGGTGTCACCCCCACTGCGGTGAGTCTGTCTGATCTGAAAGATAAACATGACCTCCTTGATCTTCTTGGCAAGTACGATGTTGAACATCGAGACTCGCTCATTTCAGACATCAATGATGATGTAGACCTGTTGGAGGAGAAAATGAAGCAATTTGAGGTCAACAAGAAGGACGATGACGATGGTGGTCATCCACAAAACAGTGATATCATTCTGCTTGATGAATCTCCTTCTGAGAAGGTCCAATACTCTGGCAAGCAGACGGAAACTACTGACAATTCAATCACGAAGACGGCGGAACCATTAGCTGGCTCCAGTGCCGACGATAATCGTTCGCCAGACATATCCTCCATGACCGTGCAACCTTATATCATTCCTGATGATTCCATGTCAGCTCAACCTTATTTTATTGCTGATGAACCTGTGATCCAGATCAATGATGTTCCTGCTACAACTGATAAGACGAACACAGGGGACATTCAAGGTTTCGATCAGGATGGAGACCTTCTCAACATGAATTCTATTCACCCAGCTGAAGAGCTCCAGGGCGTCGCATCGATGACCCCGCAACCCACGCAACCTCCGGCTGTTCGTCCAAAGCTGCACAGAAAGGACTCTATTGCTAGAGCTAGTGAAACCGTGAATCCTCGTGAAAGATACCAGCAATCACATAAACCTTTCGATTTCCAGATATTCCTCAACCACTTGAAAAAGAAAAGTGCAGATCCAATTGTGAGATATACACGGTCGTTTTTGGTTTCCTTCTCCAAACGTGCCAACTCCATGACTGGAGAACAAATGATTTTGGCAAACCGTCAGTTCAAGGAATTCCTCAATGAAAAGTTTAAAGATTATGAGCCTTTTGCTTCAATGGATGATGTGGACTTGGAGAATTCTGGAGAGGGTGTGGAGAAATTGATCATGAACAGATTGTACGATTACTGTTTCTCTCCTGAGGCTATCAAGAAATTTGGCTCCAATTCGTCGACAGTAGTCTTTGAAGATCTCAAAGAAGACCAGGAGTTTATATTGAGTGTCGAAAAGTTCAGCTGGATCCTGGGAGTTCACTTGGATGTCGACCTTGACGATATAGCGAGACGCAAGCATGAAACATCTAAAGAAAGTATGAATTACTTGGATTATGCAACTGAGCAGATCAACAAGATGAATACCTACCGTGCTCCAAGAGATAAGATCATTTGTATATTGAACTCATGCAAAATCATCTTCAACATGTTGAAAGTCAGCAATCAGGAGACCAATGCTGATGCTTTTATGCCATTGCTAATACTTTTGATCATAAAGGCCAAAACGCCAAACTTGATGAGTAATTTGCATTACATTGAGCGGTACCGTGGAGAGGAGTGGCTTAATCATGGTGAAACGAGCTATTATCTTTCTTCTATTCAGGGTGCCATTAGCTTCGTTCGCAATATCAAAAAGGAAGACTTGACAATTGGAGATGACGAATGGAATGCCAATATGGAAGCCTGGGAGGCAGAATTGAGACAGCGACCACCCGTTGTCAATCCCATTCCCATCCGAGGAACACTTAAGCAACAGGAAACAACGAGGCCGATGTCTTCGTCAGAGGTTATCTTTGCAAGTGCAGAAATGTTCACCAAATCTATCTCAAACTTCATATCTCCGTCTCCTCAAGAGCGTTCGCCTCCTCCACCTCCGCCTCAGTCATCAACATCCGGAGGAGATACTCAACCAAGCGAAGAAGAAATTGACCTGGTGTTTGGTCAATTGATAGAAGTTTTTCCAACTCTTGACAAAGCGATTTTGAGAGACATTATTATAATGAATGGGGCTAATATTGACCAGTCTTTAGATATCTGTCTCACATTGGTGAGTGAGAGCTAAATATTCAAGTTTGGGGTTCCAGGTCTGAATTGCTGGCGAAGAAAGACACTCTACACTTATGTATTGAGAGCAAACTGAAATAAGAATATTTCATTCAACATTAAGTGATTGTCTATGAGCTCTGTGAGTATGAAAGACAAACCTGTAAACGATAGTATCGAAGCTTATTAACCATTACAAGCATCCAACACCCAATCTTTATTTTTAGTACAGCTTGGCCTGTGATTGCCCGATAATCAATATACCTTTATACCTTAAGGTAAAAGCACACATGCCAATGAGATGTAATTTACTCATACTACAGAAAGTAGTGGAGTACTTGAAGGTCGAAGATGTGAGCTTCGAGATCGAGTGGCTTCTTCTGTCACATCTCTATAATGATGGAGTAGGAATTCCCGAATTGAGAAAGGTTCCAACATCTATTTGACCATATATTTCCAGCAAATCAATATTAGACATGTTGAGAAGTCGTGAATGACGGTTAGGTCATCGAATGTTCCAACGACAAGCACTTTATCAATAACATGAGACAATTGGTGATTACAAGTGGAACTACAATAATTGTAAATGAACTGAAGGGGTTCGGGATATTCGGAACCAAAATCAGTTGAAATAATATTTTCTTCCGAAAATGGAGTACGTGATTGCATTGTTGTAAAGAGAAGACCTCTTGTCGCAAACTTGTCGCAAAATTAAAGGTAGTAGGTGTCGGACTTTCTGTCGGACAACGCTTCGTCTCTAATCCTTTACCTAACATCTCTAACATTATTGCATCATGAGAGTTTCCCGTCTATCTTTCTAAATCAGCATTTATTCAAGTGACGTATACTACCCAGATCCATTCCCTCATTATTGCAAAAATACAATGAGGAATTTAATTTATTGAAAGTCATACCACATCCTGCCTTTTGGTATGGAACTCGCTTATAACGGAGATAGGTAACGGACATAGGTAATGGAGATAGTGTTGAGAACCCTGAAAGAATAACGAACTGAGGTATGAGAGTATCGTGAAACGCTAAAAAGCAGAGTTAATCCAACAAGTCGAGAAATCGACTTTTAGCCCAAATAAAATAAAATAAAAATGAGTATTTTCCCGGTTGTCGGCTTCATTCTAAGTGAACTTCCCCAAGTCATTTGTTCTTTGAGATTCAATATTCAAAGTCTAAAGTCTCCGGGCACATAATCAAGTCAACTCGGCATCATCCAATCTCTGCCGAGTTGTCAGGTCATAATGAACCTTCTGGTTGGGATCCAATATCGATAGAACAAGAATAAACACACTGTCACCAAAACGAAATCGAAAACTGTTGAAAAGTTCAAGACCCTAGGTCTTAACTACATTACGTTGCAAATTCCAACTATAAGATAACCCAATGTTCTATGAGTGTCTGTTTCTGTATTCACTTAGTGTAACTTTCAACTTTTGGTGCCGATCTTACCGGACGCTTATCTATCACACATTAATGCACGGCACCATGCATTAACCTGTCAACCGAAGTAACCCCACAAATAACTGCTGCGAGGTATAAATTAGGCTAGATCCCCATGGTTGTGAAAGTACAAACAGATTTAATTTGATCAATACAATGGCTCCATTACGTGGACAAGTTGAGCGTGAGATTCCTGGTTTTGGAAAATTAAAGGGAAATACCTTCGATGGTGGTGTTTGCCAGTTCATGGGTATCCCATACGGTGAACTTGCAAAGAGATGGACCCGAGCAACGTTACTGACCAGCTGGAAAGACAACTTTCACGACGGAACCGTATTAGGTCCCTGTACACCTGTTCCCCACTTTGGTGGATTGGAAACAGGTGATATTATCACCCCAGTGTATCAGTTTGATCACTACAAGAGACCATTTGTTACCGACGAGCGTCATGCTTTGGTGTTGAACATTGCGACAGGCCCAGTAGCTGAAAAAAAGAATCCAGTTTTCGTTTTCATCCATGGAGGCGCTTGGGTTAATGGTACAAGCAATTTGAGTATTTACGATGGTGTGAGACTAGTGCAAAAGTCTATTGCTGAAAAGAAACCAATCGTCGTTGTTACTCTCAACTACCGGTGTGGTATTAGTGGATTCTTAGCAAGTGACCTAATTGAGAAAGAATTGAGGGAGGATGGATTCTTTGGGAATGGAAATTTCGCTCTAACTGATCAGGCTTTGGCCTTGGATTGGTTAAACAAGAACATTCACTTATTTGGCGGAGATGCTGAGAACATCACCTTATGTGGAGAGAGTGCTGGTGCTTGCTCGGTGAGTAACCACATTTTCAGCAACATTAATCCAAAATTCAAGCGTGCAATGGCAATGTCTGGGCTCAGTGGTACCATTCCAGCATATCCCAAGTCCTACCATGAAAAGCACTTCCAAATGCTTCTCAAGTATTACAATATCGCCAACGACGAGCATGCTTTGGAAAAGTTGAGAGAGATTCCCGAGGTAGACATGGCCTTGGCCACAAGTGCAATTGAAGAAACAAGCAGGCCAACAACAGGAAATCCATGTATTGATGGCTGGTACTTGGATTACAACCTCAACTTTACCAATTTCGTGGAGCCTCCTGAGTGGCTTGAGAGCCTTGTCATTGGTAATACCAAAGATGAAGGTCTCTTGTTCTTCCCACACTACACTGGACTTACATATGACAAGCTCCTCGAGCATTTTGACAAATTTGTGCCTAGGTCTGTCAGCGAGATCTTCCTTTCATTGTATGAAATCACACCTGAAAGTTCTTTAGAAGACATTAACTGGAATGTGAGCAAACTTCTGGGAGATTTGACATTTATTTTTCCTAGTTATCAAATGCTTAACGCAAGTGCCAAATCCAATACTAGTGTTTATTGGTATCACTTTGATGAGCCATCAACGCTTGACCTCAAATGGAAGGGTATGTCATGCCATGGAATTGACTTGTTGTATCTATTTGGAAGTAGAAGCGATATGAATGAATCTCAGGAGAACTTGGTTAGCGATTACATGAGCCGCTTGATCAATTTTGTCAACGGAGAAGAGCCATGGGAGCCTTACACTGAAAGGAAAGCGCTGATGGTGTTCGGTCCAGTGCTCAACGGAAAGTCCAAGGGTCAAATGATGGACCAGGAGCATGATGTAAACAGGAACTTCAAGAGGTTTGAGAAGCTAAGAGAGATTCCAGGGAAAGTGCTTGACGATTTTTACACTGCACTTGACTGCTTGACCAACGAGAGAGAGTTCACGAGTTAAGTAACGTTTATTTTGAAATTTCTAAGTTCTATGCCACATGTAATTTCCAATTTTTTCCTCTTTAGCCTTGAGGCCATTGACTTGGCGATACAACGGTTTATGTTAAAACAGGCTTTACAAGCTCCAAAAAAAATTGAACGCTCTTTATACCTTTGAATGATTTAATATTGTTGTTTATGACAGCACGGACCATACCATGAGCGGAAACAAGCAAAAAGAAAGCAACTAAGGTTATTCAGCGTGGGCATTTGGAACAAGAGCGCTTACATACGCAGTCGAACTTTCTCTTATGTATAGCACTGGCAATAAACTACCCATTTTTCTTGTGATGTTTACGAGAGAAAATCATGTGATGTAGATTTGATATTCACAATGAGATTGAAAATCCTTACCCTGCAAGAGTATGGGTTCAATGCCGACTAACCTAGTTTTACAAGATATTCTCTAAACTTGATCCACTCAATTTGGAGGCTCAATATCCTCTACAGAATCGAGTTTTTTGGCTTTTGCACTTACCTAATATATGTCTAATCTCACTGTGAGTAACATTAATTGATAATAATCATAAAATTCCGAAATTATACATATGTGATGCTTCTTATAATCAATCTAGAGTCCCTCACACTCATTCAAGATGCCTTGCTAGCTCAATGGCTAGAGCGTGTGACTTTTAATCACAAGGTTGCGGGTTCGACCCCCGCGTAGGGCTTACTTTTTGCATTATACAATTTAATTTTTTCTAATCCCCAATTCTCTAATTCAGGAACAATATTCTTGGCCACAACAATCGCCCGTGAAATAATATTTCTTTCTCGTTCTGTTCGTTTCCGCGATAACAAACGCGGAACAAGTCTGAGATGATTGGTGAGTATGGTTATGGGCTACCACTTCCTAATGCAGATAAGATATCCCGCACTCCATAACCATTTAGGGCAAACAAGTCCCGACAACTAATAGATAATGGCAGTGGAAGGTGTTGCAACTAGTGAAAAAACGGTATAAATGCTGACCAATTTCTCCACTTGGAGAATTCTTTTTCTCTATCATCGTCTCGAGTTTCTTCTCTGACCACTACCAATCGAAATCACACTTATTCAAAATGCCTATGTTGTACAAGCCATCTGCTGAAGGAAAGGAGGTCAAGCCACCTCAAATTCCTTCTCCAGGTAACAACTCTTTCTTGGGAGACATTTTCACCTCCGATGCTCCAGTGGCTGAACAAATCTCCTGTGGTTTCTACAAGCAAGAGAAGGGTGAGCCTTTGGTTTACACCTACGACTATGACGAGATGAAGATCATCTTGGAGGTTGAGGGTGAGTACACCATTGCCGACGAGACCGGATACAAGGTTTCTGTGAAGCCAGGTGACGTGTTTTACTTCAAGAAGGGCACTACCATCACTTTCGAGACCACTGGTTATGGCTATGCTTTCTTCACTGGTTTGAGACCAAACGGAACTGCTTAAGTGTGAATAGACCCAAATAAAAGACTTTATTTATAAAATGGGAGTAGAGTAAATCACGAGATATTGGAATACATCTGGATTTTGAATGGCATTTGCTATTTTCACGTTTGTGTAATAAACAATTGAATAATTCCTCTTCTCTTATCTGGCTTATCATGTACACTGTATAATGCTCGATGCATTTTGTCCAGATTTCGCTGTAGGCAATCAGGTCCTATAACATGAACAGTTTGATTGTCCCGCGATAAAACTCACCAAGGTGTCTCATTCATGTTCAGCCAGCTTAAGCACACCTCCACTGAAATCTTTAACCGGGTAAAATCGTGGTCAAAGATGCTGAGTTGATCACCATACTAAATGTCCATATTCTAACCTAATCTCTTAATTTGGTTCAATCAGATCTGGTCTGGATCCTTGTCCTCCAGGAAAAAAAGGCAAAAAAAAAAAATTAAAAAAAAAAAAAGCCGGGAGACGATCTGGAGACAAATAACTGTCACACATGGTGAGTTTACCTCTTTGTGTTAGAAGTGTAGGATCGACGTCTAGCCCTTCCTCTCCGTTTCTTCGCAGAAGGTCTATATTTCCCTGGGAATGAGACAACTTCATGTTCGAATTGCACTGCGTTAACCAACTTCGAATCAGCTACCCCACGAAGCGTTGGGATTGACTTTGAGTCCAAGTACTTCATGAGAGCATTGTATTCAATGCCTCCACTCCTAACGGGCAATGTACCAAGGTACAAGTCGACGAGTTCTTCTGACAACTCCGAGATTTCAGATTGTACTGGAAGTAATATGTCAATGAGACATGATTGGGTACCTTCTACTGTGTCAGGATGGGATTTGTTCCAAAATGCTACCACTGCATTATGAATCTTCACCCACTGGACAAGAATTTTCACGATCTTATGCTGTCCTTGTGTTTCAGGTTTCGCCTTGACAAGTCGCATAAGACAAGCATTTTCAGACATCAGAAGATTCTCCAGAGCCAGAATCTCATAGTACCGTTCCAAATTTCTTTCGTTGAGGAGCAGAAGGAGATAAACCCAAAGATACGAGCGCATAGTAAGAGTGGGAGAAGCACTTCCAATACATCTCTCGAGCCGTGTTTCCAGAGTAACAGCTTGGGAAGTTCCACAATCCGATACAGCACTTGGATGGCAGCAGGCACTCATTTCACCCTGAAGTAACGCCTGCCCCTCTTGTTTCTTTAAGCAACGTTCTTCAGATTTGTTTTCGAGACAACTTCCATCAGTAAGGTACTTAAACAAAGGGTAATTAATAGTTCTCCATGCCTCGCCGTAAGTGATGCCCCGAGCATTGAAATTCCCTGGTCCCCAAAAGGGGAAAGGCGTAGCATCCTTCACCTTTGCAATCTGGTCAATACTAAAATTGTCCAGTACCATAATCGATAAAATATTTGGTTGTTCTTATGTAGTTATTTCAACTTGTTTAGAGACTTTTACTGGATAATGTATTGTCTCTTAAGGAAGGTGAGTTGGAGATATTTTTATTTGATCAGCTGTGTCGATTTTTTGTTTCTTGTTTTTTGTTGTTTTTACTAGCAAAGTTTCACTATTTATATTATAATCGACCAGCCCACTTTGACTTATCGGGGCACAGATTTCGTGTTTCAGATTGTACATAACTTGGAGTTACTAATCATGCGCTTTTGGTTTCTCATGCAAAATGAGAGATTAAAACATAATTTGGATTAAAAAAATGGTCTAGATAATATCATTCAAAAGATCAATTGAATATACAGAATCAATTTTTTAATGTCAGAGTTCTGACTGACTGAAAAACACATTATTAGTACATAATCCAATTCTTTACTTAGACTAAACTCACTTCTAATACAGACCGGACTCACTTCAAACTCACTTCAGACTCACTTCAGACTCACCTCAAACACTCAATCCACACACACCTTTCCATGGAATTTTGCTCTTCCCTCAGCCAAATTCTCAACAAAAACATCCTCCTTGCGTTTTGAATCAATGAAGTCTCCAGATAAATTCTCGTAGTCATCTCTAGAAACTCCGTCACTGCCTGTAGAGAGTCTAGCAGCCGATAAAGAAACATCGTTCAAAACGCTTTTCCATACCATTTTGTTTTCATTGACACACTGGGGGCACTTGTAGGATGTGTGAAATGCCTCCACCGACTCATTCGTGGAGCTAGCTACTACGTTCTTGCTCATGAGATTCTGCATTCGGGAAGCTGTGAAGGGAAGCCGGGCCCACACTTTTTGGATATCGGGAAGACTATTTCGCAATTTTTCGGACTTTGGAAGTTGTGATGTTTGCGATCGCTGAGCTGTTTGTGGTCGATTTTCATTGGGATAAATTGGTGACGTTTGTGGGGTTTGTGGAGTAATGGGTGAGAAAACATCCATTGGCCTATGGTCGTCAAAGGAAGATGTCTCATCCAAATTCACCAACGGCTCTTCTTCCTCAAGGTATATATCCATGAGGCTTTGTGTATCAGTTGCTTTCTCAAGGGTAAGGAACTCGTCAGCTTTGGGCAAGTACTTATCGTGAGGACAAGTTCTCAAGGAAAATAGCATCTGGTCCTGAAGCTTTGTGTGGATGACTCTGGGGTTTCTGGAGTTGCTGTAATATTTTCTTCGGAGCTCGATTAGATGGTAATCGATTTTGTACCGACATGTATGGATGACATGGTAGACATCTTCCCAATGCATTGAAGATGAACGATTTTGTAATTCGCAGCCAAATACATAAGATTATTACAATATGAAGGTTAAGAATTTGCTCTGCCAAAAACGAGTAATCTAATACAACAAGATTAAAAAAAAAAAAGATAAAAAGAGTAGTAGTTAAAAATTTACACTTTGTTTACTAAATTAGAGGCGAAATCATACCAAAGATATCAGCCCAACTCACTACTCTTCCTAGTGTTCGTCGTAGATTATATATACATGATGTGCTTACAACAGAATGTAAGCTCTGTGAGCAATGGCGTTCTTGTGCAACTGGGTCTTCTTGTCGTATCCGGAAGACTTCCCTTCCCATGCAGAAATGATCTCCTCGGCCAAACGAACAGAAAAGTCCAGCGACTTCTTCTTCTTAGATCCCTCCAAAATCCAGAGAATGGCGTAACGATTTCTCTGTCTCTTGTCCAATGGGAAAGGCACTGTCCTACTTTTGGCTGTACCGGTCTTTTGCACTTTAGTGTGAAATAATGGTCCCAATTTGTCCAAGGTCTCATACAAGAGCTTAACTGGGTCCTGTCTGGTCTTCAAGTACACAATGTACAATGCTCTAGACAACTGCTTACGAGCTCTGGTTTTCTTTCCATCTCTCATGATTAAGTTGGCAAAATTGTCAATGACAGGGTCGCTAGGCAAAGGCACCGATTTGTTGGCGTAGTTTTCCACCTGTGCTAGTTGCTCGTCAGTAGGCTCGAACTTCTCTTCCAAGAATGGCTCAGGATCCGCAAGTTGGCTGAGATACACTTCGGCCTCCGACTCAGGAGCCTTCTTGCCGGCCTGCAAAGTCTGGACGGCACTCAACCATTCGTCCACATCGGCCTCTGTGATGGTGTCCTTTTCTAGAGGATACACCTGGGCCGTGATGCTGAAAGACTCAGCTTTTTTAGCTGTGGAGTTGTATCTGCAAAGAGGCAACGCCACGAAAGGGGCACGGACAGGCGTGACTCGGGGAAGGAGCCTTGTTGCCACTCTGAATAACGACATGGTTATGCTTCTTAGGCTGTTGAAGAATTTTTAGTGAGGTAGTTGGACTTGGTGCACGGGTGTGCTCCAGACTATTGATATTACAGATATTGTCAAAAGAGAAGATAGAGGACGATAAAATATGGTTAGAAGTCAAAAAAGTGAGACAATAAATAAGTAGAAATGTGATAAAATGTCTTCACCATTACTGCAAAGAAATCGGAAATTGATTTACCTCCACTTATCCTTCGTGAATCGGCTAGGGTCCCCGATCTGTCGCACAATCTAAAAAAGAAACAGACGTTGGACCAACCGTTCCACACAAAACACCGTGAACACAATGAAAATGTCGCTAAATACCAAATAGATTGTGAAATCCTCACTAAATGTGGTCACTTAAGCACCTGTGATAATTCACCTGATGAGAATTCATCGGAAGAATTCACTGGGCCATTAATTACGAATGTGTGGCTAAGATTTCCAAAAATTGCTTTCTCGCAGTGTCGATGCTATTCCGCGGCTTACCTGCAGTACATCGGGTGCGCTTCTAGAAAACGTCCTCGTGATGTATGACAACCAGTAAACCACCTTCTTCACAGAGATTTCATAGTTGATTCCGAATTTTCTAACCACAAACACTTCTTAGGTGACTAGAGTTGCAACGATAACCGGTTTTTCTGCATCCAAAACGCCCGAAAGCTTGCCCTCTACCGCGTCAGAGCCAAATTCAATCAACGTATCCCAAAAGTCCGAGTAACTTTGCTATACCCACCATGGCCAAACTCGTTGTGCCACCCGCAGACTCTCGATTGGTGGCCATTCTTAACCAAGTTTTGGACCAGAAAGTGCTCCACAATGACGCGCTATGGACACTGGAGTGTCTTCCATTGCTCTTTTCAAGGCTAGATGTCCTCCACAGCCTGGTCCGGGAAGCCCAAGTGGCAAATGCAAATACTCCCGACTCCAGAATTGTCAACCACATCTTCCACACGCTCACGAAGATCCGTGGCCATTTGGAAGACCACTTTCGGGAAGGTGCTCCGTTCACAGTTCATCGTTTAAGTGAACTCATTGTAGACCACGATGGGAGCGGCTACCTGCTCACGACAGTCGTTCTGGCCCAGAAATATGTGCTGGCGTTGGCACGGACCGTCATGGTGCTCTCCAAGGAGTCCGACTTCAGAAGCATTGAACTTGGAAACAGGGCCGAAGGTGTTCGTCCAGAACGAGCTGGAGCAAAGGAACATGAGAAGACAGGCAACGGATTGCTTTCAAGTGAGTACATTGTCAAAATTGCTGGCAATGGCTCATCTGCTCTCGTAACTGATGACTCGACCACCAAATACAATCAGACAAACATGCATCCACGAGATTCGACTCCCGTGGCATCTGCACAAGACTACGAGGAGTTTGACCTACCGACGAATATCCGCTTTGTCACCCTCCCATGGGCCGAAACTACAGAAAAGACTGAGTCAGAAACAACTAACGAAACATCGGTAAGTGTCTCCGTGCAAGACTTCGATTTAGATAATAGTGTCAGTGGGGTTGAGGATGTTGAAACGGATATTCCTGACGGTGTAAAAGAGGCCAAAACGCCACCTTCCAAACGCTTGAGAATGTCTAAGTCTAATAGCGTGAGTCCAGAAAAACAGCTGTTTCAGCTACTTAGTCCACTCCACATGGACGGCAAGATTGAGGAGAGCGAATGTGCACAGCTGTACTTTGAGGAGAAGCTGTTGGACTACAAAGTGGACCGAACTGAACGGTATAGTGAAGAGGTTCTGTTTTAGGATTCAGATTCAAGGTTCCGTCACCAATAGAGGCTGGAGCCATGAGTAAGATTTACTTCCAGATCAATGAGGAGATTAACTCTGGATGAATTGAGTTGAGGCCTTATCCTAATTTCTTGGGCTGGACCCAGAGAGTACACGCCAATTCAAACCTACCTTCTCTTCACCCTTCTATTTTCCGGCTCTCTTTCTGGACGACAAGTCCTCAGATATGATCTACGGCCAGAATTTGATCCAGCAGGAAAATAAGTCGTCCATGGTTCCGAGACCTCTCTAGGCCCATAGACAGGCCGAAAGTCACCCTCCAATAATGTGTGCTCAGCTGCTACTTCGCCATATTCGCCCTGTTTTCGGTAGTCCACCCGCCACACGGCGTTTCGGGGCCCATAGTCTTCTTCAAAGATCCATTCGCTCATCTGACGAAAGTGCAAGTAATCCACAAACAAGTCGTGGTGGTTTAGGCTTCGCATGTCCTTGTCTGGGAAAGCAGAATCCCCCATACCAGATGCTAACCGTACAAGGTATTGTCTTTCAGCATCATCTGGATACTTTGATCCATTCAACTTTGCTCGAAGTGCTCGGGCTGCATCTACACTTCCTGTGAGCACCAACGCATGTGTTCTGGATCGATTCATCCACACACGAATTACTCTGTACATTGGATGGACTTTCCTAACCACCACTCTCAAATGGTCTTGGAATTTCATTGCGTCCATAGGTTTTCTGAGGTTTCCTACAAACACCACTCTAGTTGGCTGGTGGTAGGCGTCCTTGGTGACAGTGTACACGATATTCTCCTGGGACAGATGTTCCGAGAACAGAAGCCCAATATGGTCAATGTTTCGACCAGAGAACGGTGTGTTTCCATAGGGAGAAGGGAGGTTATATGGAGCTGGTTTCGGTGAGATGTTTGGCCGACTTGGAAACAATGGCCTTGAAGGAACAGACGGTTCAGATGGTTCAGTGGGTGTCGCATCACCAGGTAATGTCTTGGAAGGTGGAGACTCAATAGGTGTTGATGCACATGGAGTTATGCCAGGCTTCACTACCAGATCATCATCGCTATACTGTAGAATATCATCAATCATGAATAAAACGCACGGCAAGTGAATTGGAGGGAGAAGTTATAATGTTTTGTATTATGTTGGTGAAGTTTCAAGTCTAAAACATGGTGGTGTAGCACAAAACATTCACGAAACACATACTCCTGTAGGACCACGGGTGGTTTCTATAGCTCTCTCATTGGGTTTCGATGATTTAGCAAGCACGGCAATCAGAATTTAATAGTTCTAGGATCTTTCTTAATTCTTCATTCACCAAAAGACCAAAATTCAACCCCACATGCAGACATTGTCAAAGATGCATGATGAGGAGAACTCTATGGAGGATATCAATCCCAATACATGATCTAAATAATAAACCAATAATAAAACCTTTGTTTCCTTACTCAAAAGCTCTTGCTTGGATTGTTTCACAATGGGAAACTCGTCATCTAAGCTTCCAGAGGTCAATACCCGTAAACCCAAGAATGGAATTCCAACCAAAGTGAATATGACCTTTAAACAGATATACACTGGCACGGAATTTCAACTTGAGTTCCCTCCAGCAAATCCATGGTCCGCTCGCTGGCTGAAGTTATACCCAGGTATGTTGCAATTCTGTGAGGGAACCATGAGAGGAGATCCAATGGTGTTGGCAGCGTATCCTGCGGAAGACAATGACTATGCCATCCAATTACCACCTCGTAAGGGCGATAAAAGGGCATTTTTGAGAGTTCAGAATACATCATCTGGCATGGTGTATTTGGTCGAATACACAACAGAAACTGGCGAAAAGTACACCTTCGAGTGGCTGCGATACCACGATGCCAAAGACGGAAGCTGGAGATTGAAACAGAGCATTCCAGCGTATGGACAATCAGAATATTCACAAGAAAGCGTGGCGAAATGGATTCCTGGAGATCAATTTAAAGGCGAATTAGGATATTTTGAAATGTGTGGAGACGGCCTGGATGGGAAGTTTGGAGAGTACTTCCCATTGGTGGCTATGGCAACAGTACTCACCATTGAGTGTACGAACAATAAGAATTTGTGCAATCAAGGCAGGTCGACAGATTCAAGTGCCGATGGTACATCATATTATGGTTCCGCAGGAGGAATGAGCTAGGTTATATGTATTGGTATAGTTTGTAAATAGAATACAAACCTTTTAGGGCCACAATCACTACTACACCAACAGTATGAAGAGTCCTTCTATTGCAAATATGTACATGGTGAAACATCTCATGATAACCGTTTATTTTAAATCTGGTCAAATACATCATCTATAATGTCACTGACAGTATATTAACCATTACCCAATGATGCGTCTGCTTTCTTCAAATAGATCTGTCTAGATCTGTTTAAGCACCCCAGAGTCTAGCAATCAAATCGAAAAGACCATTCTCGGTTGTCTCAAGAACGTAGATACCATACATGGACACAAAAGTACCCAACGACAACAACTTGCTGGCTGCATGGTGCCAGAACCCGTACACTCTAAGTGGGATGTAGTCAATGATACATGACTTGAAGCCGCTGTGAGCGTGGAATAATACTGTCAAGCAGAATGCTGTGTCCACCATAGGAAACTCATAGCCTAGAGCAAATGGGAAGGCAGTGAGTGGAACAAGTCCAATAGCTAAGATTCTCTCGTATGTCCAGTGGTAGTTACCTTCATACGGACTCACCAAAGGAATTTTGTATGCGTCGTTGACATTTCCCACGATATGGCCTGGAGGCTGCTCGATCTTCTTTAATTTGGAGAAATCAGGTTTTAGCAGAAGATTTCTGGTGGAGAAAATGGACGAGATGGGGGAGCGGACGCCGATTCTGGTGGTGAAAACCAGACTTTGTGTGAACAGCCTGGAAGAGATCATTGTAGGGTCTAAAAAAAATGGTAACTACCTGCGAAGATTGATAGTGTAGAAATTCTGACAATTTAGCGACGTGCTAGAGGTGCGAAATGTCGATGAGTGCCAAAAAAGAAGAACCCATGCCGGGACTCGAACCCGGAATCTTTTGATTAGAAGTCAAATGCGCTAACCATTACGCCACACAGGCGGTTCTTTCTCTCTTAATTTTGATGGTTTTATAACACTACTAATACGAAGTATTTCTCCCAAAAAATTTAGAAAGATTGTCATCCGCTGACTAAGTAATTGATAGAGAGTGTCAAGGTTTCAATAATCGGAACTGGTTTTACTTTGTTATCGGAATAAGTACAGGTCTTGAAATTCTTCTCAGAAGTTACACAAATCCTAGTAGGCGCTTGAATTATTAGGGATCGAAACTATCATCTCTTAAGAAATGACAAAAATTTCAATGTTGGGATACAGTTACTTTGAAAATGAACAAAGATTAACCCACGTACTACTTAACCCACTCACTCCCAGCCAGTTGCGCAATCCTAAGATTGGTGCTCCCTTATCAAAAAATTTGATATGATCTCATTGAACTTGTTTATATTTATGACGGTTGTATATTCCTCTGTTTAAAGATTTGGCATTTATGAGCAGTATTCAAAGCAATTGATGTTGTAGATTTCTAATTGATGGATTGAAGATTGTATTGTTTTTATTAAAGTTGATACAATCTAATTTCAGAGGTTCACTATGCATGTATTGCTACACATTGAAATTAGGAAGCAGAAAAGAGATCAAATGTGTTCACCTGATGCAATTTTGAGTTCAAAACGTCACTAAATTCCATCTACATTTCCGTTCCTGTTGCTACAGTCCTGAGAGTGTTGAAACGTTTCAACACTGAGACGTTTCAAGTTTTTTGAGACAAGGGAAACTCTCTCCATATGTCAAAGGCCCAATTGCCTATTTCAAAGGTCTGGTGAAGCAATTTCACGAACATAGATACCGGTTTGATATTCGATTCAATTGAAATACTTCTAATTAAGTATCCATTTCAGTAACATGTAGACCAGCATTTCGGATCAACCCTATGAAAGCCATGTTTAAAGACCGAATTTACACATTCTCTATTTAATCCTTGTTTTGAAGCAAAAGTGGGATTCTTTTCCCATAACTCTCTTCTACATGATACTATGTCCCTTTGAAAGGTCTCATCTCATAATGAACAAGCTTATATCGACAATGCAACTATTGTCCACTAAAACATCATAGTAAAAGAACACCAAATGGATTATCTATGAATTAATTCCTAGCATTCTTATCCACGTTGGTCATTTGCCCAACCTTAATCACCAAAAGCAATTATTCACTTATACTTCTCCCAATCCATCAACCTGCATCCGGCTTCTTGATATCTAGCCAATGTTAAAACTCCTTTTAAAAGAAAACCCATTAAAACTCCACAATTTCCGTGTACGAAGGTATCTATCATTTTCGGTACCCACATCAACATCACCTTAGATACTTTTAATTCGCCAAATCATACTCTCCAAAATCAACCCTCGTGGCCCATAAGAGTAGTCACAAATGTCGTGCAGCTCATCACTTTAATGTCGCAGTAAGAATGTCGCGCCATCCATACCGCGCAGAGCGTTTTTGTGGGAAAAATTTTTATACGTTGAACTTCTTTTCTTCAGAGAAATCTCCCCAAAGTCCCTGATTTCAACACATTCTTGACGGTAGTCTAGTGCGTTCAAATCACCTTTTACCCAGAAAAAAAATCAAAAAAACTGGAAAATCTGAAAAAAAAAATCATAAAAACATGTCTGCTGACGCTGCTCAAATTACCGAAAACTTGGAGAAGTTGAACATTGACACTCCTGCCGCCACCGAGGCTGCCGCTGACTCTACTACCACCGAGTCTGCCGCTGCTGAGGAGCAGGTTGCCGAGACCTCCGCCTCCTTGTACGTGGGTGAATTGAACCCATCTGTCAACGAGGCTCTTTTGTTTGAGATCTTCTCTCCATTGGGTCAGGTTTCCTCCATCAGAGTGTGCCGTGACGCCGTTACCAAGAAGTCTTTGGGCTACGCCTACGTTAACTACAACAAGCACGAGGATGGTGAGCGTGCTTTGGAGCAGTTGAACTACCTGTTGGTTGATGGCAGACCATGCCGTATCATGTGGTCCCAGAGAGACCCATCTTTGAGAAGAAACGGTGACGGTAACATTTTCATCAAGAACTTGCACCCAGATATCGACAACAAGGCTTTGCACGACACCTTCTCTGCCTTCGGTAAGATCTCCTCTTGTAAGGTTGCCACCGATGAGATGGGCCGTTCTAAGTGTTTTGGTTTTGTGCACTACGAGACTGCCGAGGCTGCTGATGCTGCCATTGAGAACGTCAACGGTATGTCTTTGAACGACCGTGAAGTGTTCGTTGGTAAGCATCTCTCTAAGAAGGACCGTGAATCCAAGTTTGAGGAGTTGAAGGCCAACTTCACCAACGTCTTCGTTAAGAACTTTGGTTCTGACTTCTCTGAGGATGAGTTGACCAAGTTGTTTGAGCCATATGGAGCTATCACTTCTCTCTATTTCGAGAAGGATGCCGAGGGCAAGTCTAAGGGTTTCGGTTTTGTCAACTTCCAGGACCACGAGGCTGCCACCAAGGCTGTCGAGGAGTTGAACGACAAGGAGATCAACGGCCAGAAGATCTATGTCGGAAGAGCCCAGAAGAAGAGAGAAAGAATGGAGGAGTTGAAGAAGCAGTACGAGTCCACCAGATTGGAGAAGTTGTCCAAGTACCAGGGTGTCAACTTGTTTGTCAAGAACTTGGATGAAACCATCACTTCCGAGGCTTTGGAGGAGGAGTTCAAGCCATTTGGTACTATCACCTCTGCTAAGGTCATGGTTGACGAGACTGGCAAGTCCAAGGGCTTCGGTTTTGTGTGCTTCTCTACCCCAGAGGAAGCCACCAAGGCTATCACCGAGATGAACCAGCGTATGGTTTTGGGCAAGCCATTGTACGTTGCCTTGGCTCAGCGTAAGGATGTCAGACGCACCCAATTGGAGCAGCAGATCCACGCTAGAAACCAGATGAGAATGCACAACGCTGCTGCTGCTGCTGGTATGCCAGGTCAGTTCATGCCACCAATGTTCTACGGCCAGCAACCAGGTTTCTTCCCAGGTAACGGCAGAAACAACGGTGTCTTCCCAGGTCCAAACCCACAAATGATGATGCCAAGAGGCCAGATGCCACCACCTCAGGGTCAGTGGCCAAGAGCTGGACCAAACGGTCAGCCAGTTGTTTACGGTATGCCACCTTACGGTGACTTCAACGGTCCAAACGGCCGTCAGCAGAGAGGCTACTTCCCAAACAACCGTAACCAGAAGGGACGTCAGTCTAGAGACTTGGCTGCCATTGTTGCTTCTGCCCCAGTTGAGCAGCAAAAGAGAATCTTGGGTGAGGAGTTGTACCCAAAGATTCTTGCCACTGGTAAGGCTCCAGAGGCCGAGGCTGCTGGTAAGATCACCGGTATGATGTTGGACTTGGACAACCAAGAGATCTTGGCATTGTTGGAGGATGACGACTTGTTCAACAACCACTTCGAGGATGCTTTGACTGCTTACGAGGAGTACAAGAAGACTTCCGAGGAGGCCCCAGCACAGGAGGAGTAAGTGCAGTTAGTGATTGGCGATTTTCTTCTTTGTTTGTGATTGTTAGTTTTTTTTTTGGATGGGTAATTGGATGATATATAAACCAAAAGAAAAAAAAATTGAGTGAATGTAGACACTGTTTAATCTGTTGGCATGAATCATTGGTCAAGTTTTGTATTGGGTCATCAAAGTTGACCTATTTCTACTATCTTTTTAAGATTATCTCTTCAAGATATTGATGATAAACCGATCTCTGTCAGGTGATAAAAATTTATATATGACGTACTTCCACACATGGAACATTCGGCACCCACTTTATGTACACTAAATCCCCCAGCCCCCCGCCGACATCATATGAATCATCTAATAGCCAAAAATATCAACAAACATACGCACTGAAATAAATTCGATTTAAAGTCTCCGCTTCCCTCCTTTATCCATACATACAATTTCTAGCCCAATCTAAGCGCATCTAGCAACCTTCTAGCGCACTGCATCACCAGTAGCAAAGTAACTCCGGGCCAATATACCGGCCAGGAACCACCCACCTTCACCACCGATACCCAACACCTATTCTTCGTCAAGTGTCACCTAAAAAATGCCCACTACGGTCTTCGACGAGCTTCAGGCGTATGCATCTGACACCCCCGTGATCTCGCCAAAGCAATTGGCCTCCAATGAGAAGCTCAAACTTACTGGACGTATCATTGAGGTGGTGACTTCGTTGCCCACTCAGATTTGCAAGAAATCAGAGGTTAATTCCGTTGCCACATACTGGGATGTTGAGCCTGTGCGTGGCCAATCTGCTTTGTATCTGTCACTTTTCTTTCTTCAACAACAGACGGACTGGGAGACTCATATTGTTGGATGGACGGGTGAGTTGGTCAACAAGTCGGACCGTTCCAGCGACTTGAGCACAGAGAACATTAAGGACGATCCATTGTATTTGGACTCTGAAGACAAGACGGTCTTGGAGATGAAGTTGCGCAAGGCCACCAAGAGTGACCATGTGCATCCGGTTTGGTTGTTGCGTAGAGACCAAAGCAGATGGAGACAGTATGCTGAGAATGTCATCTGGCCGCTTTTCCACTACATTCAGGGCCAGCCATCTGATGGTAAGGAGGATGCTCAGGCGTGGCACGACTATGTGAAGTTCAACGAGGCCTACTTCCAGAAGATCAAGTCAATCTACAAGCCTGGTGATATCATCTGGATCCACGACTACTATTTGCTTTTGTTGCCGCAATTATTGCGGATGGAGTTTCCAGACGCCTACATTGGTTTGTATGTTCATGCTCCGTTCCCATCGTCTGAGTACTTCCGATGCTTGCCCAAACGAACTCAGTTGTTGGACGGAATGTTGGGCTCCGATAAGATCGCGTTCCAGAGTGACTCGTTTCAGAGACATTTCCTTAGTTGCTGCGCAAGAGTGTTGGGTCTTGAGGTCACGCAGACTTCAGTGCAAGCGTATGGAACAAGTATCTCCGTGGAGACGTTGCCCATTGGAATAGACACCAAGAAGATCGAGCATGATGCCTTCTCCGCCGATAACGGCGTGGACGACAAGGTCAAGGCACTCCGTGATGTTTACCCCGACAAGAAAATTATTGTGGGACGTGACAGGTTGGACATGGTTCGTGGTGTGGTTCAGAAACTCGAAGCCTTCTCTATGTTCTTGCAAATGTATCCAGAATGGAGAGATAAGGTCGTTTTGATTCAGGTGTCATCTCCAGGTTTTTCCCACAGCTCCAAGGTGGAAAAGAAGGTGACTGAGTTGGTCAACCAAATCAACTCCCAGTATGGTAGCTTGAACCATACTCCTGTTCTCCACTACCATATTCGAATCAATAAGGATGAGTATTTGGCGTTGCTCCGTGTCGCCGACTTAGCACTTATCACTTCTGTTCGTGACGGCATGAACACTACCTCGCTTGAATTTGTTATTTGCCAGAAACAAAAGAAGTCGCCCTTGATCTTGTCGGAATTCACAGGAACTGCGTCCGTGTTGAACGAGGCAATCTTGGTCAACCCTTGGGATTCAGTTGGAATTGCAAAGACCATAAACGACTGTTTCTCCATGTCTGATGCCAAGAAAGCTCAGCTCGAAGACAAGTTGTATAAGCAAGTCACATCGAACACTATTCAGAGCTGGACCTCGAAGTTTTTGGAGCACCTTATCGAGCAAGTCGACCAAACTCACCAGACACACTTTACACCTACCTTGAATCGTCCATTGTTATACAATAATTATCAGCATCTGAAGAGACGGCTCTTCCTTTTCGATTACGATGGTACATTGACTCCAATTGTCAAAGACCCGGCTGCAGCTATTCCTTCTTCCAAGCTTCTCGAGATTGTCGATAAGTTGACAGCAGATCCCCACAACCAATTTTGGATCATTTCTGGCAGAGATCAAGCCTTTTTAGAGAAATGGTGGGGCTCCAAAAACGTCGGTCTCTCTGCTGAGCATGGCTGTTTTATGAAAGATATTGGTAGTGACAAGTGGTACAACCTTGCTGCCACTTTCGACATGTCGTGGCAACTTAAGGTGGACGATGTTTTCAAGAAATACACAGATGCGACACCAGGATCAAATATTGAGCGGAAAAAGGTGGCATTGACCTGGCACTACAGACGGTCAGACCCAGATTTGGGTACGTACCAAGCCGAAAGGTGCATGGAGGAGCTCAAGAATGGTATTGCAAAGGAATATGATGTGGAAGTGATGGCTGGAAAGGCCAACATTGAGGTCAGACCCCGTTTCGTTAACAAGGGAGAAATCGTCAAGAGACTTGTTTTAAATCCCCATGGAGCTAAGCAAGACCCTCACGCGGTAAAGCTCGACCCAGATGCTACGCCAGTGGACCAGTTGCCAGACTTCATGATGTGTCTTGGAGACGATTTGACCGATGAAGACATGTTCCGTTCGCTTAAGGACATTGAGGAGCAGTGGCATTTGAAGGAATTGCCAAAGAATAAGTACGGATCCTATGGAGTTTACCCAGTGCTTGTTGGTCCAGCAGCCAAGAAGACCCTTGCAACTGCCCATTTGAACGATCCATCGCAAGTGATCGATACTTTGGGTCTTTTGGCAGGTGAAGTGTCGTTGTTCGAAAGTGCTGGATCAGTTGATCTTGATGACCGTGGCCATGTCACCAACAGTGAGTCGAGCAAGCAGTCTCAACTCAGAGCTGCTGCTTCTAGAGAAGCTAATATGGCCAAGTCGTCGAGTCGCGAGTCTACACCTCAACCTTGAGAACCATGAGATAGGAATATTTTGATGGATAAGTTCATTCTACATATTAAGACATTCTAAATCCCAAGATAGTCAATAGAACCAAATTTAATTCTTTTGTATAAGTTCATGTATTCTTCGTCCTTGTGTGTTAGTGGAGTTCGTTTTTGAAATTCATTCTCACAATATCACTTACTCTCACTCTTTATCCAAGTTGTTCTTCACTTCATGATTCATTTCATCGATCAAATATAGAGTCTTTATATTGTTTTCTGTTTTATGGTTAAAAACCCATTGCGATGTTCAATCTCATATAATTGTCGTTGCGTCTCGGATCTCTTAAATTCCGTCCGCCGTTACTTGCTTTTTAGTGAGATGCCGTTTTGCCGAGGATGTTCCACCATCTCCGGTGCACCTATTTATGCGACACTGTGGCCATCATTTTACACCCAACCACCTTTTTTTTATTCATCATGTCTGGATTTTGGAAATGGGGCTTTCGTGCCTCTGTCAATCTACACTCTAACATAGATCAGTCGCCAAAGATCGCCGATGGCGTCACATTCAGTGATTTCCTTACTAATGATCTTCCCATAGTTAATACCAAAGAGAAGCTATGGTTGAACCCATTATTGTTCAATGGAACGCTCCAGACCTTGTATTATGCCATGCACAACTCTGCCACCGAGTTCCTGGTGTACTATGGAAGAGAATTGTTCACTTACAAAGACAAGGGTAAATGTTCATTGGACTGGATCATCCCAGAACCCGAGTCCAAAGAAGAGTTCCAGAAACTCTACAAGGAAACTCTTCCAGCAGACTCTCCCAGACTTCATCCTAGAACACGGTTTTTCACCGATGCTGAATTGAAAGAGAGAAGTACCCATGATCAGACATCCACGGATCCGATTTGTGTGGTACTTCATGGATTGGCCGGAGGTTCTCACGAGCCATTGATCCGTAACTTGGGAAAGATCTTGAAAGACAGCGATGTCAATTGGGACGTGGTAGTGTTGAACGCTCGTGGATGTTGTAGAACAAAGATTACCACGGGTAAGTTGTACAATGCGTTGTCCACTGATGACGTGAAGGATGTCATTGAAGAGATCCAGAAAAGATACCCATCTAGACCAATTTACGCAGTTGGTTTCTCTTTTGGTGCCGTTCTCTTGTCCAACTTCCTTGGAGTAATGGGCGAGGAAGCCAAAAAGATGGTCAAGGCTGCTGTTGTTATTGGATGTCCTTGGGATTTGGGAGCTAGTGCACGTCATTTGGACGGCACTCTCACAGGCCGTTACTTGTTTGGTCCTAGTCTCACTGAATTCTTGAACAAGCTTATCAAGAGCAACTTGAAGGAGTTGCGTGTTCACGAACCGGAGATCTTCTCAGAGGAAATTGTCAACAAGGCCAAAGCAGTCAAGAAAACATTCGAGTGGGATAACATAATTACCTGTAAAACAGCCGGTTTTGACACCGTTTGGGACTATTATAAAGCTGGATCTCCACAGCAGAGGTTGCCAAAGGTTGCCGTGCCCACGTTGATCATCAATTCTACTGATGATCCAGCTGTTGATGACAAATTGCCCATCAAAGAGGTGGAGGCCAATCCTAATTTGGCAATGGTGGAGACTAATTTGGGAGGACACTTGGGATTTGTCAAGTATTCAGGAGATTTTTGGTGTGTTGAAGTTGCAGATGACTTTTTCAATCTGTTCTACAAAGTGACTAAATAGAGGTATAGACTACGAACAGCATACAATTAACGGTTGAATAAAGTTGAATAATAATCGTTCAGACGTTGACAAAAAAACAATTGTAGTCAAGAGGCAAGACGATTACCAACAGAATTATGTAAATTGCTCAAAAAATGCCATATCCTATGTAGTCAATATTTTTAGCTTTGGCTGCGAATGCTGAGAATGGTTGCTATGCATAGACTGGTGACTCTACACGAATAACATCTGATGATGTCTTGTTGTCATTTTTACTTTATACTAGCTTCACGTGTTTTCGTGTTGATCACATGATTTACTCACTTGAACCTTTTGAGCAAAAAGTAGTTGCTTTCACAGTCACTCCGCCAGAGTTGTCATGACAAGTCTGGAGGAAAATTATTAATAACTCATGAGTTATTCCCGACTATTTCCGAGAACAGATAGGCTTTTCGGTGACAGCGCGAGCCGCAGACACGGCGCAAGTCGTAGAGACCGAAAAGTTTCTCCGTGACATGCCGGGTTCCGGGCCCGAACGTCGGAGAGGCTGTTGGTGAATTCACGTAAGTTGACAAATTAATTTCAAAACAATAAAAAAAACTCGGAAACCAATGATATCAATGACGTTCTACAAACCATAATGTTTCAATACATTTTATATGAAAACAAACGACTCGCCGAGCAAGATGTGGTCGCGAATTTTATAGCAACTCTTAACTACTTATCTGCGTCACGAGCCCGTTCCCATCGTGCCCTGTCATAGTTACTTCAGGGCTCACAGCCCTTCCATCGACATCACTTTCACTCAAATTGTATCCATATCCACCTAGACTTGGCAGCTTACTACTACTTGATTCTATTGGCCTCCGCTCAGGAATTCCTGCTGTAGATATAGATTCTCGTTATGTTTACGTTCCATCCCAATAACAGCACCAAGGATCTAGCCTTCTTTGATATCAGGCTCAAGACTGGTGGTCACAAGAATACCGTGTTAGTGAAAGGTAATGAGTTCGAAGTGGACAGAATCCCTATAGACGGTCACGTCAAGATCCTGACTCAGGAGGATTTGCATGTCAAAAACGTCAAACTCCTGTTAGTGTGCGAGTATCACATGGACTACTACGACCGAACTCCGTCTGGACATATAGGTGGGCAAGTGTTTGAAAAGGACTGTGCCTTGAAGGTGATTTGGCCCAATTTGCTCACCAGTGCTGACGGAGAAATTGTTTTCGGTAATTATGGTGAAAACTTGATTAAGTTGCACAAGCTTGACCACTACATCAAGAAGCTGCTGAGGGACAATCTGTCCAGCGACTTAAGGTCGCTTGGGTCACCAAATGCGTCGCTGACCAACTTGTCTAGTGATTCGAACTCCAGACTTCTGCTTCCAAAGAGACCTGGCTACCTGAGAACCAACTCGCTGTCTGCTCTTTCGAAGAACCAAGAAAAGTCCTTGTTTACTATTCCAAAATCGGGTGTGGATGGAACTCCATTCCCGTTGATGGGTCCTAGTGACCACCACTCATTTTTACTTCCTGAAGGAAACTACAGTATGCCATTTAGCGTAAATTTGCCAACCAATGTTCCAGAATCCATCGAGGGTTTAACTAATGTGAAGGTGCTCTACAAGTTAGAATGCATTATTGAAAGAGGACGATTTGAGCGTTCCTTCCACACGGGAAAACATTTCCGTATTGTTAGAACATTACATCCAAGAAATTTGAATTTGGTGGATTCCATCGAGTTCAACAACACCTGGCCCGGGAAAGTGGAATTCAAAGTCTCGATCCCCAAGAAGGGCCTAGCTATGGGAACAAGTGTTCCTATTGAGCTTGTGATGGTTCCTTTGGCCAAGGGCCTCTCGTTTAAGTCCATGACTGCAGAGATTGTTCAACATCATCATATGGTGGGAATCACAGGGCGTTCCCCCGAGTTTGAGAAGGTGGGCGGCAGAGAACGGTTAAAATGTGATACATCCGAATGTGATGAAGACCACTGGGTTGTTAAAGGCATGTATCACCTCCCTAGTTCATTGAACCAGATCACTCAGACTTGTACACTCAAGAATGATATGGTGGACGTCAAACATAGAATTCGTGTGTCGATCCACATCAAAAATGCCGATGGTCATGTTTCAGAACTTCGTGCCAATCTTCCCGTCCACATATTTATGAGTCCTTACCATGGTAGAATCACCACCAGACACTTAGAGGTGGACAGCCGTGGTAATTTCACGTCTGAGCAAGCACCAGATCGCGAGGATGTGATCTTCCATCACTCCTATGACAATGATTTTACTGAATCACCCGAGGATAGCTCTAGTGAAGCAGAATATGATGCTGACAGAGAAACAGATGGTGCTCCCCCGTTGTACCAACTGCATAAGCAGGACACTTTGTATGACTATACCAGCCCACAGACACCATTGGAGCAGCTTCGGAGTCATGGAATCGCTGTGGAGAGCTATTTTGATCTTCCTCAGGCTGGATCGGGAGCCAGTACTCCTCCGCTCGATTTGAACGTCTTGCTGAGGGTTCCAAGCTACGAGCATGCCGTGGAAGATGACTCCGATGATGATGGAGAGGAGCTTGCACCTCTGTACCCACTGGGTTCAGACTCAGGAGTGAGTTCCCCTCTTAGTTTGAGTCCTTCACCATATCCTGGACTTGGAGATAGAAGTGCCAGTATGACGAACTTGCTCTTTCACAAGGACCGCCACTCGTCCCAAAAACATGCTAGTCGCTTAATGTTTCTTCGGAAAGAGCATGCGCGTGCCTCTCTGAGAGGATAGAAGCCTAGTGACATTGCTAGCAAGAGTAAAGTCCATTTAATAATTAATGTGTGATGATTTATTTATGAGTTTAGCTGAATTTACAAGTATTTGATATTCATTTTGCGTTATATCCGGTTGCTATAATTTTCTTATATTGAGATGCGTTTGTTTCTACTTGTTTCAATTCTAGTCATTTTCGTTCAGTTTTCTATAGGGTACTTGAAGTTAGCTGCGAACGTCCTTTCTGACAATATTCAATACGAAATCCCACTTATACCCATCGACAATAAAAGTCAGACAAATATTGCAATTGGGTCAACTCCTCCAACACTTTATTCCCAAAGTTTTCTCTCTAAAGTTCTTCTTGATATGTCCATATACCCATAGTAATTAACTCTATACACCCGTGCACCACCGCATTCAACCACGTCTACAAACAAGAATTTCACTATCTTATTCTCCACCAACAAAATGGCATCGCCTATCCCAGATATTGCTGCCTCCGAAGGCTTACAGCAGGGCACTCGCGTGCCAGTCACAGACCAGAAACCACAATTCATTGTCAACATTGGTAACTTTCTCAGAGACCACAAGCTTCTAAAGATGAGAACTGGGTTGTTGAACAATCAGCAAGATATTTCTTTCTTCAGACTCAAGCGGTTGATCCGTCTTCTCTTGAGTGACGAGTACAAAAAGAAGTCTTCAAACCCAAGAAACCAGTTGGTTCCCATCCCTAATCAGGAGGAGGCTCAGAAGATCCTTCTTCTGTTGATTCTGGCTAAAATGGTGATCCCAGTGGAGAAATTACACTATGCACAGATCAAGGAGAACAAGGGCTGGAAGCCTAATAGAGAAAAGCCCACTTTGAGGCCACACATGAAGGTGGACTTCCTGCCTGATTCTTATTTTGCCTGGGTGTATGAGAAGCCTAATCCATACATGATGTTGTATGCTGTGTTGATGCTTGCGGGAGTGTTTGCCGTTGTGTTGTTCCCATTGTGGCCCAGATTCATGAGAACTGGTGTGTGGTACTTGTCCATGGCCTGTTTGGGTCTTTTGGGTTTGTTCTTTGCAATGGCCATTGTACGTTTGATAATTTTCTGTGTTACGTACTTGGCCTTGCCACAGGCGTTTTGGTTGTATCCAAATCTTTTCGAGGACTGTGGATTTTTCGAGAGTTTTGTGCCATTGTATGCCTGGAGTGATCCTGCTGGAAAGAAGAAGACCAAGAAGTCTAAGAAGTCCAAGAAGAATGTTCCTAAGATCGAGGAGATTACTGATGATACCACTGGTGCTGAGACTACTGGTGCTGAACCTTCTGCTACTTCTGCCAAGAAAAGAGCCGTTACTTTGGAGGAAGTTGACGAGTAAGTGAACTTTTAAAGTTTGAGAGTTGGCAACTTCTAATTTAATGTGAGACCTTATGGAAATCGTGCACTCAAAGAGCTATAGAGAAATTTTCCAAGTTTTTGAGGCTTCAAATATCATCAGAATGCTATCAATACCAACATTGAACCTTTATGAAGTCCAATTATCTTTGCTGTTGTCAATTTTCGTGTCCTGTCTATCACATACGTATATCATTCTCACACTGCACCATCTAAGTAACTCTTGTAAACCGAAAAGCAATCGTTTTTTTTTATTTCAATTGTTTAAATTTCCCTATATTTCCTCTATATTGTGTTCCTATTTTTTTTTTCCTATCTCCCTTTCTATTACTCCCTTTTCCTTCTCGTTCAGTATCTGCCCACTACCCTGACCTTCTATACCGGCAGGTTCCCCAGATTGCCCTTCTCCAGCCTCTACTATATCATCAACAATCGACATCCGATTCTCCCTACCATGACCATTCACGACTTGGCATTCAACCAGGACTTCACGTGCCTTCTGATGTCCACAGATGAATGCCACAAGATCTTTAACTGCGATCCTTTTGGCGAATTCTACCTGGCTGGGAAAGATACAGACAACGGCGCCACGGCGTTTCTACGTATGCTATTCTCGACGTCTTTGACCATAATGGTACCCGATGGTGGAGCTGAGACGGGAAAACGTGTGCTCAAAGTGTTCAATTTGAAACAAAACTTAAAGATCTGTGAGCTCACGTTCCCACTGAATATCGTGGATTTGATGCTCAACAGAAAGCGTATGATAGTGTTCTTAGAGGTGGGGCAGATCTACATCTACGATTTGAGCAGCATTCGACTTATAAAAGTGCTTGAAATTAACTCATTCATCAAGAAACACGAGGACGACGATCTGACAGTGGTGGCCGATTTAAGTCCTGACGATAACTCCTACTTGGTGTTGCCCTTGCTGGCTATCAATGAGCAAACGGACTTGTTCAACACTGAATGCGTTGCTGGTACCAGTCAGCCGGACACACCGGTGCTCAAACCCAGTGATTCTCGTATTGTCAGCTCATTAGACGAGCTTATTGAGTTCACCCAGAAGAACAAACAATCGTCACTTGCAAAACAAGAAACCATCACGTTGGAGGACCTACAGAAAGACTCACCGGGGTGGATTCTTGTGTACGATACTATAAACCTCCGGCCCCGACTTATTTACAAGGCACACGATGCTGGCATAGCAAAAGTAGCAATCTCGAACACTAGCGGCGAGATCGCCACGGCCTCGACTAAAGGAACTATTATTCGTGTTTGCCACCTTAATTTCGAACTACTTGACCATTTCAAAAAGTTAAAGATCTCGCATGTGACCAATCTTCGTCGTGGACACAATCTCTCCACCATCAATGCGCTCAAGTTTAACGTGGACTCTACCATTTTGGGATGTAGCTCCGAGAGCAATACCATCCATTTTTTTCAGGTTGATGCAGACTCTTCCGCCAATGCAGACGACGAAGAGGAGGCCTATTCCAGCGACGAAGACGCTAAAAGTGGACGTTCGTCCCAGGAAGACCTCAATGAGAATTTGGCCAGTTTGCTTGTTCTGAAACGACCCGATGAGTCGCCTGTGAAGGAGGCGGAGCATTCGAATTCATACTTTTCTGCGTTCAGACGCTCCAGTAAGATCTTGAACAATCTGTACACGAAGTTGATCATGAAGAAGCTTCCCTACAGAGACTATCTTGACAACTTGCTCTGGACCAAGCCACGACGGTCTTTTGCATACATCAAGTTACCTGAGCAAAGTACACAGTCACGAAAGAAATATGTGGAAATAGGGTTTAGTGGAAGTGGCTCATTGATGTTGGCATCGTATATTACGGGCACTTTCTACCATTACCAATTGCCCAAGCCGCATGGAGGAGAGGAAAGAGAGAAGTGTGTTTTACTTTCGCAAAATAGCTTGCTAGAGTAGGAGATTGAAAGATTGAACATTTAAAGTAACGACATGCGAGACGACTTTTGATTTTATTAAGTTGTAGGGTCTTTTCGGATTTAAGATCATTCTCATGATATTCCAGGGTCCTTGTTGACGAGCAAATGTAGAACAAACAGTTTCAAAATATACCATCACCACTCCTCATGAACTATGAAAGCCATCAGTGTATAAAAAAAGTAAACAATACAAGTCATACAAATCTTGCGAACATACAGTTTCATTCACCTTTACTGAATATGTTTTTCTATCCAGGCAGGTGTCCATTTAATCTGCTACAGTTTGAGTTTGTGGGGGGAGCGCAACCATTTTGCACCCAACAACCTTAACCTCAACGAGTCTTTCTTTAAATTATCCATCCCTTTCATTCATTAAAATCTCCTTACTCCACCGAAAAATTCCTGATAATTCTTCTATAATTACTCCATAGTCTGCCCTGAATTTCTCTCTATTTTTTCCTCTATTTTCCTCCCAATCTTCTCAACTCCTCTTCTTTCACTGTTCCGTGCTTATCCACTATCGCACCCCACACATTCGCACTACCGGAAAATTTTCATGCTCCGATTCCCCTCCTATAAGTACCCCCGGAACTTCCACAGTATATAAACCCCCCACCTTCGCCATGTTACTGTCTTCCCGTGTGCGTTTAACCAACGTCAAATCGCTCAAGACTCTCAAATCCCTCAGAATGGCTTCCACCTCCGGCTACGCTGCTGACGACGTCTTGTTCCACAACGAGAATATGGCTAGGGTCATCACCTTGAATAGAGTCAACAAACTCAATTCCTTAAACACTTCCATGGTATCTAAGATCATTCCTCGGTTGGTAGAATACGCCAAGCTGGACGTTTCCAACATGGTCATTTTAACTTCCAACTCCCCTAAAGCCTTGTGTGCTGGTGGAGATGTAGCAGAATGTGCTGCTCAGATCTTGAAGGGTAACCCTGGTTATGCTAGCGACTTCTTCCAGAAAGAATACAACATGAACTATCTAATTGCCACCTACTCAAAGCCATACGTGGCTCTCATGGATGGAATCACCATGGGCGGCGGTGTGGGACTCTCTGTCCACGCACCTTTCCGTATTGCTACCGAGAAGACCAAGTTGGCCATGCCTGAGATGGACATTGGTTTTTTCCCAGACGTGGGAACTACCTTCTTTTTGCCTCGCTTGGATGACAAGTTGGGTTACTACTATGCGTTGACCGGCGAAATCTTGTCCGGTTTGGACGCATACATGGCTGGTTTTGCTACTCATTACCTTCCTTCCGAGAGAGTTTCTCAGTTGGTGCAGAGATTATCCAACTTGAACCCTCCAGTGATCAACGGCACCAAGGACGAGGCCAGTGTGTTACGTAGTCAAAAGGACTACTTTGCTCAGGTCAACGAGGTTATCAGCGAGTTTGCAGAGACTAAGTTACCTCAAGACTACAAGTTCCACTTGTCTGCTGAAGAGACCTCCTTGATCAACCAAGCATTTTCCAAGCCATCATTTGACGAAGTTTTGGCCACTTTCAAGAATGCCGGTACCGATTTTGGTACCAAGACCTTTGAGCGTTTGTCTGCCAAGTCTCCAACATGCGTCAGAGTTGCATTTGAATTGATGAACAAGGGTGCCAAGAGCACAATTCGCAACCAGTTGGAGTTGGAGTTGATCACTGCCACCAACATGATGAATGCAAAGTTGGAGGAGAACGACTTCGTCAAAGGTGTCAAACACAAGCTCATTGACAAGATTAAAGAGCCAAACTTGCCAGAATGGACTACCTTTGATGCTGCTCGTGTGGAGAAGCTCCAGTCTAAGTCCATCTACACCGCCAAGCTCCCATCACCACTTCTAGAGAACTTCTTTGGTGTGAACTTCAACAACTACATCTTCAATATGGGTTTGCCTTCCAACTCGCAGATTGAAGACTACATCACTGGTAGAGACGGATCCAACAGATCGTATTTGCCAACTCCAAACGAAGTGTTCAAGCATTTCAAGCAACTCACAAACAACAAGTTGGGAGTGGAGGAGAAGGTTGCTAGAACTTTGGCTGTGCACGGCGAGGCTTCCAAATACGACAACAAGTATGTTTCCTGGAAAGCTTAAATCTGTCTATAGAAACTAACGAACTATACGAACAACTGAGAAAGAAATTCGTCTTTACAACTTGTGCACATCTTGTACTATATTACATTACTATACTTTTACTTGAACTTCTCAATAATGAGGTCTTCTCCAAGCTCTTCGTAGTCGGCCTTGGAGATAAACCAATTGTCTAGAGCGATATTAACGCTAGCTCCGTCGTCCTCGACCGTCTCGTTGAGCATGCTGGCCAAGTTGGCTGCACCCAACCAAGAACCAAACTTCCTGTCCAAGGTATCGTTGATATCTCCGTTGGAGTGGTTTTTCAACGGACTAATATACAATTTATAGGATCCAGTGATCACGTAGTTAGGCAACAACTGTGGGGCCGTTCTTTGGAGGTCGCCGCAGATTCTTTCGCTAAAGCCCGAGAACAACGAGCCACCGCCAGTAATAAGTGTATTGGTGAATAACTGACGCAAAACTTCATTAAAACGGGCATTGGCGTTAGAGCTTTGACTGTCGTTGGACATGTTGGCCATGAATGCACTCTCTAAGCTTTTGATGGAGAATAACACCAAATTAGAGATACCATGAGTACTGGCCTGGTCAAAGGCAGGCTCAGGCACGGGAACTCCGGGAAGCTTGTACACGTGAGGAAGAAAAAGTGGCTCTGTGAGTGGAATAAGCTCCTGGTTGGTATATGGCACCTGGAATCCGTTCGGGAACTGGAAGAATGGAGGGTGCGAATGGTGGTGTGCTTGGTAGTACTGGTGTGTCTGAGCCATTCCTGGAGGGGGTTCGCTGACCGAAAGCATGGTCTGCTTAAAGTTGTACAAGAGATTGTGGGTGACATGGTACAGCTTGAACGAGTCCAGCACCGTTCCCAGTGTATACTTTGCAGGCAACAAGCGGTTGTAGTCGAGCTGGGCGGGCGCATATCCTAACTTGGCCTCCAAGCTCCGCAAAGAGTGCAAATTGGCGAAATCACCTGCGTACTTGGTGTGGAAACACGACTTTCTTTGGATTATACCATCCAAAATAGGCGTAACACTAGCCGTAGAGGCTCCAACATCTACCACCAAACCGCTCGACAGTCCCATGTGGTAAAGCTGGGCCAAAGGCGTCTTGACCAACGAAAAGAGTGGCACTTGCAACGATTCGAACGCAAGCTGCGCCATGGCAGCCTTATTCTTCAGGGTATTCCAAGTTTGTTCGGTCATCATCAACGGATGGTCTTTAGAGTCAACACCGTTACCGCCGTCCAAGCTGGAATATACGTGTTCCCAATTGTAAACAATGTTGTCAAAATTGTACACCACGCCATTTTCAAGTAACGTCATGACCTCGAGGTCAGGATGTTGATTGATTTGCGAGTTTCCTATGATGGTTTTCCCTTCGGCATCAATCTGGTAGTTTGAGTTGAAAACAACAGAAGGAATGTCTTCCAGGGCGAATCCGGCACGTGTAGTGTCGGAGCCGTTGTCGATGACGACAGCGGGGAGACAGTTGGCCATTGTTGGAGTGATAAAAATGGGTCTGGTAGTTGTTTTCAGAGAAATAAGTTGAGGTGTACGGATGTGTAAATGGAAGTTGTCTAGGAAAAGAAATTGAACAAGACAGGTTAATTTCATTTTTCTACGACGTTTATTCTAAGCGGTTGTTGTTTGATATAATTGAAGTGTTGAATTGTTGATTAATTTTCTCATTGATTTTTTTTTCAAGTGTTGCTTGAAGGTAGCTGTGGAATTTTGAGAGTTCAATACAAGGTGAGGAATATATTGAAAATGAGAACCACGGCTCACGATGAAATCGGATTGCAGAATTAATTTTCTTTTGCCTGGTGTTTATCCACCCACCTACTTAATCCGGATTCTCAATTTTGTGCCCAATTACTGCCACAAAAGTATTTTGTCTATCGAGAAACATTGAAATGCTGAGCAAAATAGCGAAGCTTCTTTTTTCGCTATAGGAATCACCATTAAGATCAACTTTCAGAAGACATTAGTTTCATCTGCTACCGATTTCTAGAACCCAAGTCTATATTCCTTTCTATTTACCATGTAAATGACTCCAGTTGATGGTGAATGGCCATCTTCTGACCAACCTCCACCTTCTTGGAAATGCTGTTTCCAATCTCGGTATCCATACTGCCAGCACCACACGAGACGATGAACAAATCTGTTGCAGACACCTTCTTTCCAAATTCCACAGCGTCTGCAACCAAATCGGCCATAGCCGGCCTTGTGCCTTCGACACTGATGTAAGGGTGTGACTTCACAAGCAGAAGAGTGTCGTCTGTCTCATCAACGCTTGTAAGAAGCACCTTAACATCCATTCCTCTAGAAATCAAATAGTCGATATCTCTGGAGAGAACAACAACATCGTTAGCGCTGTTGATCACCCAGTAGAGTTTCGAATTGGCTGGGGCATTGTAGAGACTAGGCAAAATACCACAAACTCCCATTCCTCCAGCGATTCCCACAACTGAATCCGTTTCTCTATACGAAACAGCTCCTTCTCCATAAGGTCCATCGATAAGTGCCCACATGGACAAGTATCCCTTTTCATTAGTCCTTAACTTGGCAAGTTTAGCTGTAGTGCCCTTCTTAACACGAACATAGATAGTGAGAACTTTACTGGACACCACGGGTGACGATATAACCGTGAATGGATGCGATTGGAAGCATTGGTACCAAATGGGCCAGTGAAAGAAGCTCAAGTATACGTGGCTACCAGGACGGTACGCAACATCATAAGCCATGGGCTTTGGGATGGAAATTCTCAACACCTTTTCGTCAACAACCGTCACAATGATATCAGTAAAGCCACGGTTGACAACGAAAATCTTAAAAAAACGAACAAGTCGGTCATAGGCGGTAAGTGCAATCAACGAGTAAACCCAGCCCATCCATCCGAGGATGTTACAGTGGTACCACATGGATACGATGAAGAGCCAGCCAAACAACTTATGCACCACCAAAAACGTCTCGTACATCAAGGTTCGAATAAATCTAAAACTTTGGAACAAGATCAAGAATGCCAAAATAGTTCCGACCACTCCCCATTTCCAGTAGGCATCGACAGACCACACAGTGTATGGACCAGCAATAAAGGCATAGTGAGTCCATACAGCCGAGTGAATCATAGCCTCAATCGACATGAAGATAGCAGCGACCTTGTGATAGATGATAAATTCGGAATGTGGAAGCCCCGTGAGCCAGCAGAATGGGTTGTTCCGGATGCCGAAGATAAAGGTCAAAGGCATAAGCGAAAACGAGATGATACCAGTTCGATAGCCAATCAAGTCCAACTTAAGAAGGTAGGGGTCTTTGATGTAGACGTTGGGCAGCTCCACTGTGTATGAGAGTGCCGACACCAACACCGTCTGGATGGTAAAAAGCGAGAATATGACTATGTTCCATCTGGACAACCCGAAGAAGGCAGTTTTGGGTGAGAGATACTTTTGGTGAATCTGGTAGAGTGTGGCTCCAAAGATGTTGATACGGAAAAGTCTCCACATGAAGTTAAATACCGTGTGAACAGCAAGAAGAGCAGCCCAGAAAAACACTAGACCCCAGCCGAACCACTGGGTCTTGAACACATGATGGTTGATCTGTCTGAAAGACCTCTCATAGATAGCAAAGTCTGTCTCGTTGACAGCTAATGGATGGTACACCTGGACCTTTGTGTCATTGGCAGTGGGCATTTGCAAGTAAGCCGTGGCATTCTCGGCCCATTGACGGATATCACTACCAACGTAGTCTTTGTTACCTCTCTGCTTACATCTCAAGGCAGCATGAGCAAAAGCATGAGAGATCTCACCAGCATTGGTGCCCTGTGTGGCAATACAATTACCCACAGACCCCAACCAGTCAATATTAGCACACCGACATTTGTACATGTGGTGGCTTTGGCCCGTTCCTCCACATCCCCAATCGAAGCCTTTCATGTAGTAGAGACATGAAGATGCGAGTGCCGAGTCGATGATAACCAACGCATGAACGGCACAAAGCAGAAATAAGGTGAAGAGAACCACCAGGAGCTTCATGGATAGGTGAATATGTAATTTGGTGGTGAGGATTGGCTATTAAACAATGGGTGCAAAATGGTGTAGCGTGCATGGGCGTATTTAAACTAGATGTTCAGTGCGATGTCCAGCCTCAATGGGGTAATGAAAATGACTCGTGAACTGTGTGGAGGACGTAGGTATGGACGAAGAATTTCCCGGCATTGAGTGGATATAACGGATTATATTTGCTCATGTTGAGATAGCCGCGGTAGAAATACTAGTTTGGGACGCAGTGGGTGATTTGCGACGATGAGTATTGGCTGGTTTTGGTGTATATTTGCTCATGTATTTGCTCAAATTGATGCTCAAGTGCATACTCACTAATCTTTATGCTCATGTAAATGCTTCTACTGGTAAATGTTCGTCTGAAAAGCTTGGCTAATGACTGTGAATTTGCTCAAGTGGTGGAATTCAGGGAAAGAAGATATTGCGAGGCTGAGAAGTTAGAGAATGAATGTCTATAATGTATATTGATAGGAGTAATAGTTTTGTCTTGCGATTCTTCTTGAGGGAGCGCTGCTTCTATTCAGGCAGGTCGTTCCGCGATGTATGGAATCTATATCTAAGCTTGAGGTCTTTATCAATTTGATCAAATCTAGAGTTGGATGTATTAGAATGATTGTGTTTATCGCTTGATCATTTCGAGGCGAAAATTTTTGATGATTGAATTTAATTTCCTTGCTTTTTGGAAATTCATTAGAAAATGATGCTCATCTAACTTTAGTAATGGGCAGTTACATTAGTAGACATTGTGTGAGAGAAATATACTGGTGAAGCTCTCAGAGTCTTCTCTACTACTACTTGATTTAATGATCAACATGCCTTCGTCCAACAGTAGAATGCTATCAACATTTGAGAACAAAGTAACGGAGATTTTGTTTGATCAACAGATCACAATTACCTTTAAAAGACTTCATATTCCTGCCAATATTTAAAATATTAGACCAGTCTCTGACAGCTCTCCAACCCTCGTTATAAGCTCTCCACCCCTGGTTCAGTAGTGGCTAATTGGTCCATTGTCATATCTTTTCTCAGCCTCTCCCCAGTCAATGACATTCCAAATTGCTTTGAAGTAGTCTCCTTTCACGTTCTGATATTGCAAGTAGTACGCATGTTCCCAAGCATCAATAGCTACCAAAGGAATTAATGGTGCAAGAACAGTGTCTTGATTGGCAGTGGTCACTACATCCAATTCTCCTCCATTCTCGGGATTTTTAACAATGAATGCCCAACCAGAGCCTTGGATGCTAGCCAAACGACCATTGGTTATGCCTTGCAAGTTCTCAAGACTTCCGTATTGCTCAATAACCCTCTTGTAAAAGGCGGATTCTGTCGATGGAGGGTTTCCTCCACCTTGAGATTTGGGTGCCAAATTGTTAAAGAAGAGGACGTGATTGATGTATCCTCCACTGAAAAAGTTCTGAGCCTTCTGCAACTCCACAACTTGCTTGACATCTTCTTTCACAATTGCAGCAACTAATTTCTCGACAGTATTGTTATATCCGTCGACATATGCTTTGTGGTGCTTCAGGTGGTGAATTTCATTGATCTGTTCAGAAATGTATGGCTCCAAGGCATCATATTTCCACTTTAAAGTTGGAAGAGTCAATTTCTTCAATTCTGGCAATTGAGACGACATAGTTGTATTTGGTGATCAAAAATTTGAGGGGGAGTGGAATTTATATATTTTTTCCCTCAATTGTGGTAATCCATGATTTATTAGTATAACCACTTTAATACTAGTGGCTGGTGCAACAAACCACTTATCTTAATCGGTAATGTGTGGCTATCAGCCATAGTGATATCCGTCACAATTCGATTTCTATTAGTAATCATTGAAATTTCAAGACATTTGGGCTTAATAGACATCAAAGAAATTTGCAAACGTATTTGCTCAGTGTGTAATAATTTGCTCATTATTTGCTCGTTCCTTATCAAACCTTCATGATAGTATCCTTTGGTAAAAGAAGACAAATTTCGAAGGATGTTATTATTCTGTCCACATCAAAAGGTTCAAACGAGAGCACTTCTTATTATTAAAGCTCAGTTTAGCATAAAACACACCGATCTTTTGTTCGTTTCATAGCTTGTGTTTCATGTCTCGGGAGCTCAACGTCTTCCCAGACTGTGCGACCCTCAACAAGTTGAACAGAAATTGGAAGTTGAAGTTCAGAAATTCGCACATGGTCTTGAGGTAACCTAAGATACCGTAGATTCTGTGGAAATGGAGGAGCATCTTTTAAACGAAACCCTTTAATCGTCAAGTCTAGAATACTATCTGGATACTCCTTCAATGGCGCAAACACCGAGAGTTTCCTCACTCCATATGGAGCACGGAAGCTCTTGAATGGTATCCAATCCATATCACAATCAAGGGTAAGATCTTTCACTGACGGAGGTACAGCTCCGCAGCAGTTGACCATGGTGAAGACTTCCAATCTGGGAAGGTTCAGCTCGAACAACTGACGTGAGCTGCAAGTTATTGAAAAGATTCGTAAACATGAAGGAAATGTAAAGCATAAGGATTCCTTTTGACTGCTTGTAAAATAGAGGTTAAAAGTTTCTAAATTTGGCGGAAGCCTAGTATCATTCAGAAACTTGCTTGTCTGAAGAATGAGTGTCGTTAATCCTGGTGGAAATGGGGAACCTTTGACGGTGTCACAATTAATCAATAAGGATTCCAAGGATGTGGGCAAACTTTTCAAATCTTTATACCTTATCTTGCGACCATGCAAGTGAAGTTTGCTCAAACGGTCGGGAAAACGTAAATTTTCAATCAGATCCAAGCCTTCCATGACAAGTTTCTTGAGTTGACAGGGAAAAGTGACATGCGAAAAACCAGAAAAATCAATATTTGCTAATTCTAATGTCTCTAATGTGGATGGCCATTGCATTAGAACTTTGCCAGCATCTTCAAGTTCACATTCCTTAACGGACAAGGAAAGAAGACCTTCTGGATAGTTGGGAATTTCGAAGGAATAATTAAACAATATCCGCATCTTCTTCAAACTCGATGGGAAGGCTTGCCAATCTTCTCCTCTGTAACTACTCGTGCATTGAAATTCTTGAAGGGTATCTGGAAGCACAAACTTTGATAGATCACATTCAATTAACTCCAACCTTTTCAAGGTAGAAGGCCAACTATTCACAACTTCTCCATCATATTTCAAAAATGAAACATACTCCAAATTTAAATTCCCGAAATGGGTATATCTCAGAAGGTAATTCACCGATCGCATTGATACACGTACCAGAGTTTTCATCAGCAAGATAGAGGCAATTTCCCAGACATCTAGAGGATTTAGAAATTGAATTGAAGTGACACCTGAAAAATATTCTGGATGCCTCTTAATACTTTCCTCAATAATGCTTATTGGTCCATCTATATAGAGTTCTTTTATGGGAATCCCTTTCAGTATTATGGACTCGAATTGGTCAGCACCGTTCACATTGTGCATTGCAGGAAAATAGTACCAACTACCGATCAGGACTTTTTTGTATAGTTTCTCCTCCAAGAGTCGTTTTAGTGGGTCTTCTGAAGGAATATAACGGTTAAAGAACTTCACATCTTCAAATTCTAAATGATCCAAAATCTGTTGAACAATTTCTCTTGGTAAGTATGGAATCATCAGGATACAAGCAACTTGGATGATTACCAATAGTCAGAACAAAACGAAACTATAAGGTCAGCGAGACAGTTAAATGTACACAATACTTGTAATTCGGGAGCGGAGTTCCTTATATATGCCACAACCTTATCTTGGCCGGCTCTTCTCGCCGTCTCCTACAATTATTACCCGGATAGAAGGCCAAAGCTTGACTATCGAGATATCATGGTATATTTTCTTGGTAAGGTTTCAGCTGACATTTAGTTTGACATCGGACGAAGGTTATGTGAGAGATGATTACCCCAGACTCCATTGAAATAGTGTATGTAGTACAGTAGAAGGAAGTGTGAAGACTTCCTGCCCGATAAATTCTATTAATATCGTGTTCAATAAGTTGCTTGAAGAAGTAGATGTTGCCGTAGAGAAAATTGAATTTTAATGAACTTTTGACTGTGGTTTTGCGAGTTCGATGGAGCACTCTTTCTGGTTGCTGCAACGTCAATTTACGTTCTCATGAATGGATACTTTGTGGTGATAAGAATAAGCTAGAAATAGGTGTATGGAAGTTCTCTCATTGAAACTCTCTGCATTTTTCATTCACAGTTATTACATTGCTTTGAATAGTCTACCTAATGAATTGAACCAGCCTGGTGTGAGAGCTATTACTTCTGACCATGTAGAAACTGGCCATCTGAACTGAAAAATTCGTGTCGACTTTCGTAACAATCTTGTGGTTCGATCTTCTCTATCATTTGTAGTCCAACCAGCTTGTAAAAACATCGTGTCTATCTTTGCAATCTATCAGTTCACATATGATGGCCATGTTAGTGATACCTTGAATCTGAGCTGCGACTACGAAATCAGAGAATATGTGGTGGTTTATGATATTGTCAGATTGTTCATCTTCACATACTCTGCAACTAAATCGAATTTGAGCCAATCTCTTCATGTAGCAACCAACCATCGTGGCAGTTATTGCCAGCCTAAATTGCTTACAATGCATTGGAGTGGTCCAATGTCGCATCACTAATTGGCATAGTCTGTGTTTATCTACATAAGACTAATTTCTCGTTTCCATTCTCCATTTTCCCTTTTCATTTCCCACTCATTTAATACATTTTCAATATTCATTTACATCATCATTTCCCATTTTAATTTCCCACTAATTTCCACCATTTCTCCTTCAATTTCAACTTCCATATTCAATTTCCTTCTTCAATCTTCTATCGCTAGATCCTGCTTATCTACAGGACACACACGTAATGCGGAATCAATGGACTTCAACCCGTAACCGTCTACTTTAACCATATATCCCCAAAAAAATGATTTGCCTAAAGATTTGAAAAGTAACATAGTATCCACCCAAGCGGTTTTTTCTTTCAAAACACCAAAAGCCCAACCCCCTCCATTTACGTCACGTCTTCCTCTCCGAACCGGCCCAAATTCGCCGGCAGATAAGACTCCTCCATGCACGTGACGAGGCAAAACCTATGAACACCGTGTTAAGTCGGAAAATTACTAATAGACCTGTTCCCGCTCCCCACTGCTGCTTTTCCTCAACAATGCAATTCTGGAAATTCTCTACTCAGGCTGTCGCCGCCCTTCTCGCCTCGGTGTCCGTTGTTTCTGCCTCCGGCCCTTCGGACGGTGATGCTATCGCTGACCCAAATTCCGCCGTGGTTCATTTGACCACCAAAGAGTTTAAGAGCTTCTTGGACGAGAACCCCTTGGTTTTGACAGAGTTTTTCGCCCCATGGTGTGGCTACTGTAAGCAATTGGGCCCAGAACTCTCGAAGGCCGCAGACACTTTGAATGAAACCCACCCAAAGATCAAGATTGCCCAGGTCGACTGTACCGTGGAGGAAGATTTGTGCCAGAAGCACAATATCAGAGGTTACCCAACCTTGAAGGTCATGAGAGGTGCTTACCAGCAGCCTACTGACTACGACGGTCCACGTGATGCCGATGGAATCGTTGAGTACATGATCAGACAATCTAGACCTCCAGTGGTTCGTGTTTCTGACTTTTCCAACTTTGTCGAGACCGGCTCCACTGAGAGAAAGCCATACTACGTGCAAGTGTTCCCATCTGCTGCTCACAAGAAGTTCGCTTCCCAAAATGAGACCTACAGCGACATTGCTTCCTTAGAGAGAGAGAAGTCTTCTTTCTACTCTCTCGAGGATGATGCCGTCATCGCTGAGCTTAAGAAGGTTGTCAAGCATGAAATCTCCGACAAGGAGCCAACCTACTTAATTGTGCATCCAGAGGACTTGTCTGATGCCAGAGTATTCACCGGTGAGTTCTCCAAGGAAAACTTGTCCGACTGGGCCAGCAACGCCAAGGTTCCATACTTCGGTGACATTAACAGAGATACCTACTTGGTGTACATGGGATCTACATTGCCTTTGGGTTACTACTTCTACAACTCTGGTGAGCAGAGAGCTGCCGTCGAGAAGTTCTTCGCTGAGCAGGGTAAAAAGCACTTGGGTAAAATTAACTTTGTCGGTTTGGATGCCTCCCAATTCGGTCGTCATGCTGAGATCTTGAACATGAACCCAGAGATTGTTCCTTTGTTTGCCATTCAGGACAACAGCAACGGCAGAAAGTACGGAGTGGACCAGACTGAGCACCCAGACCCATCCACTGACGTGATTGAGGAGTTCATTAACAAGTTCTTGGAAGGTGAGGTTGAGCCTATCATCAAGTCCGAGCCTTTGCCAACTGAGGAGGAGATTGCCAGCCGTGAGGTTGTTAAGTTGGTTGCCCACAACTACGAGGATGTCCTCAACCAGACCCACAAGGATATCTTCGTTAAGTACTATGCTCCATGGTGTGGTCACTGTAAGAAGTTGGCTCCAATCTGGGATGAATTGGCTGGTATCTATGAGTCAAAGTCTGACGATTCTGAGGTTATTATTGCTGACCTTGACCACACTCTTAATGACGTCGACACTCCATTCATGATCGAGGGTTACCCAACTCTTATCTTGTACCCTGCCAACGGCGAGGTTGACCCTAAGACTGGCTTGAGAAAGGCTATTGTCTTTGACGGTGCAAGAGACTTGGACAGCTTGATTGAGTTCGTCAAGAGCAAGGGTGCTTTGGGTGTTGATGGAGAACAGTTGAAGGCTTCTAAAGCTTTGGAGGACGAAGAGGAGGAGATTGTCGCTGAGGATGCCGAGGAGGTTGCTGAAGAGGAGGTTGAGCACGATGAGTTGTAAAATATTAATCGCTTAGTCGAAACAATCCGCGTTGGTGTATTTGAAATAAATGAATTCTAAGAGCGAGGTCCCCAGATCTTAACGAGTCTGTCGTCACCAACAGAACACCAGTAGGTTCCGTAATCTTTTCCCTGCTTTGCTGGTTTGTAAAAGCGGTTCCAGTCCACTGAATTGCACAAACCATGGTGTGCACGAACTCTTGTCACAAGTTGACCCGTTTGGAGTCTCCAGATGTAAACGTATCCATCGTCACTTCCACTCAACACTAATTCCTCCTCATTGGTAGACAGTGGAAGATACCCGAAGCAAGAACGCACCATATATAATGCCTGGCTCTGGCCCAAAAATTTCTGCTTCAAAAAAGGTCTCTCGAAGTTCTCAAGAGGACTGATATCCCAGACTTGAATTTCTTCGGGTGCAATGCTGATAAGCATGTATTTGCCATTAGCAGAAACAGAACAAGATGTTAAACGCCCATTAAGGCTCAACAGCGCTATACGAAAGGTGGTCGACGATGGATCGAAAAGATTTGGAATGCGATAGAAAAAGACCTGCTTATCGTTATTGGCAGTGATCAACACTTTCCCATTCGGAGTGATCGCGAAGTCGTTAATGCGGTTGAATTGGCTGGCACTATTGGAGTCGCCATTGCCACTGTTCCCCTTGGTCGAGGACTCTGACTTAGACTGTTCCCCAGATGATAAATCCATACTTGAATCTTGAGTCTTGGCTGTTTCCTCCAAGATGGTCAGCCATTCATCAGTATCACTGTAAAAGTCGAGAACCTCCTCTCCTTCCACAGAGAAAACCTTCAAAACCTTATCGGGGGATCCCACAATAAAATGGGGAGTCACATTGATTGGATAATGCAAAAACTCGCATGGCCAAGTACGCATGCGTTCACCAAGTGTGAAACAAGCAATTAAGCTAGTTGGCTTGACATCGTCCATTGATCTGGTAATTCGTTTGCTCTGAGTAATGTTCTCTACTCGCCAAACACGGATCACCGTATCGAGACAACATGTGACTATAAATCTTTCATGGGGTTCCCAACAGAGGGAAATAATACCTTTCTTTTTGTCCAAACCGGGCTTGTGTGAGCTCTGGACGAAAACATTCTCCTCGTCTTCCTGGCTGGAGTTCAATTTAGCCACAATACTGAAGGAATTGGCTACGTCGTAGATGATGCATGTTCCGTCCAATGAACCAGTAGCCAAATAGCGGCCCAGGGGAGAGAATCGGGTGAACCATACCTCATCAGAATGGCCCGTTAATGTGTGCAAAAGATGAATGGGGAGATCTTCCCTAGTTCCATCGGCCGTCTGTAATGGCAAAAGATGCGAATTGATCAGTGATTCTCCTTCTGCGGGTTCTATGCGTGGTGGTAAGTGGTACAACGACCTTGCCAGGTTGTAAATGGCAGCATTCTTGATGATTTCTGCAAGACAGTTCTTCGGGATGTTTGTGTATGAGTTTTCGCCAGGTTGACTGGACTCTGGTGTGATTATTGACCGCAAATGGTAGCATACAACGTTGTAAAGCCTAGCCAGCAAGGAACTATATGTGGCCTGGACATCATCAGTCCATTTAGTTCCAAAGGTTGTAAGCAAGATCTTTTCGTTAAATACTTCTTGCAACAAAGCCGAAGCAACTGGTGGGTTCATTGAAAGGGGCACTAGGATGGCACCTTCAGAGCTTCGAGGGATTTGGGTGACCAAAGCCACAGTTGTATCGCTAAAATTAATTCTGTTGTACACCAGCATGGCATTTTCAAGCGTCCACAGTAACAGCGAACCTGCTGACTGGGAAGGGTAGCCGCCATAGGCTCCAAACAGCTGGTGTATTACCTGTTGGAGGAACATGAATCGGCATATAATGTATTCTGCCACCAATCGCTGTTGGTCGGAAAGAAGCGACTCAACATTAATATCCCACGAGGGTTTCGGCTTCAGCTCAAGTCTCAAGATGCTCAAGGCGGCATCCCATTGTCCCTTGATGACAAACTCTTGCAAAGTAGCTAACAAGACACGGATGTCGGAGGTGGGATTCCACAGGAGGGTGGATGGCCGTTCGGCCATGCGTTCGGCCAACAAGTCAGCGACTGAGTAGTAGCCGAGGTCCTCCAATGATTTTCTGATCAATTGTAACTGAATTTCTTCGGCCATGGCTAGGAAGAAAGTGGGGAGTTCGTAGATTTATCGCAGTGGTACGGGTGTAGGAGGATAATAGTTAAAGAAGTAGGTTGAACTTGATGATGTGGAAGAGACAGAGGATGAAGTGGAGGTAGGAAAAAAGGTAGTCAGACGATAAATGAAAGTTATACATGAAAAAAGGGTAAATATTGGGAGGCAATGGAAATTTAGAATATATGTTCAGAAGGTAGAAGTGGAATTATGGAGATATGGAGAATACGGTCATATTGACGTTGGTATGGATAAGAGGAAATAAGAGTAAAAAAAGAAAGTATTTTAATTGTTGAAGCAAAAAAAAAGACAAAAAAATGATTGCAACGGTTGTTTTGTTGGATGATTGTATTTATTCAGTAAGGATAGCAAGTGGTGGCTGCGAAAAGTTCAGTGAAGGCAACTCTTGCTCGTTCTGGATATTATGGCAAGGATAGTCTAGATGGAATCTATCAATCTTCTAACTAATCTAGACACAGCTGGCTTGGTAAAACTTTTGATGTTCTATCGGCGAAGTCTCTTTTAACAACTTTTGCTCATACAATAGTAATGTCTTAAGTCAATTATTGTACGAATAAGCTACTCGTTGATGTCAACCAGAGTCAGGAGATTTGCAAAATCCCTTTCTTGAGAATTTTTACCATACGACAGCAGTGTTACAATGCTATTCGAGTTGGAATTAAAAAGAAAAAGAGCATGTTTTCAAGATATTTGCAAGGAGAAACAATACATTGGATAACCAAACTACGTGGAATACATGAAGCGACACAATAACAACTATTGCTAATAAATAAAGAATCATAACAAATTCTTGAGTTCTTAGGATACTTTAATCCATACATATCATTCATATAATCTGGTTTTTCTTTCCCCATCGATTTAGGTGTTGTCCCATAAACCGTTGAGCACAAGTAATGACTTGGAACAAAAAGTCACTCGCGGGTCTCAGCCAGACTTCGGAGACCGAGCTACAGCCGAAATTGTCTATTGTTTTCTTATGTTCATTCAAGGTGATTAACCTTTGGTGGTTCACATGCAAGGGGCAAGACGTGCGTTCTGAATGGACGAAGAATGGGTGTAGATGGATGGAAGGGAAGCCAAGATACTTTCCAGAACGTAATAGAAGGTTATGTACCAACGCCTTCAAAACTCGAATAAACGGAAGCTTACCAAAAATAAATGAAACTACTGGGTGCTCCCTATGCTTTCGGGATAAATGAAGACTTGACTCACTTAAGAGAAAGTCACGAGTAAATCAGAAGGGCTAACACAAGTTGTGCTTAACATAAATCAGTCATCAAAAACCGAAGGAATAATGACTTGCCATGTGGAAATTACAAAGTGGCCAAAAGTTAAGACCAACGATTTCGGTCTCGGACACAGCGATGACCTCCCACCGAAGTTACCTAACTACATTTGCCCATACATGAACGATTTTGATCTATACGAGAAAGGTTATAGAAATAATGTAGAAGCTAGATGCAAGGTACTACCCGTTGCTGTGGTGCAACTTAGGAACAATGAGTTGGTTATCTATTCGATCATGTATCCCCACAGATTTAACTTCTACCTAAGAATCCTGCTTCTGAGCTCCGAATTTCCAAATTATGACAGTCATCAATTACCGTCAAGCATGACTTCCGTCGTTGCTCTGACTTCAAAGATCCCCGAGATAACTTTCGGCCTGAATAGATACCGAATGTCCGTAAATAATATACGGCTACATCTCAGGTCCCGTAACCCCGAAATTCCGGGAGACTCGGCAAAAAAGCTACTTCCCATGAGCAAATTACCTCCTCAATCCTTAGCAAACTTGGCGACACCCATCTTTACATCATCTGGGGATGGGAGGTGGCAAATAATTTCCACAAGGTTCTGGTGCTCTCAATCAATACTTCCATTTTTCTTTTTTTCAGGACGTTAAATCAACTTTCCCAAAGCTTAACCTTGGCGGTAATTAACCATGCAATAACAAGAGCTGCACGGTATGGATCCAATGCAACATGAATGTTTTGGTCATGACGAATTCTGCCAGATGCGGCAGTGGTGATTATTCGAAACCAAACAGGCGAACAGGAGTGAATAGGGTGCGGAAGTTCGAGCGATGACCACCACGATAAAAAATCGGAAGCATAATTCATTGGTGGGGGGAGCAGCGATCGGTGTATCTATTTGTAAGCAGAATGTTTGACACTTAGAGAGAAAAGATAGAAATGTAGGGAAAAAGACAATTCAAGAGACGGTTTCACTCTGCGTATCTAATTCAACTGTAGTCCTGCGAGTCTCCAAAAGTATTCAAGAAGGTGTTCGCGCATTCCGTCGTCAGTTTCCGTGTGGAGTCGTTTTACACCCTGCGCTTCAAATCCCTGGCATTGTTGCCACCAGCCCCATGGCGTGCGGCTGCACGAGGCTTGACAGTAATGGCCTGCAAAATGGTGGCAAATGCGGAATGGATAACCACATTCAATTAGTCTACGTCAACACCAATAATTTACGAATCTCAGGGTTGTGACCAGGAGGAATGGGAAACATGATATGTGGGTGTCAGAATTGGTTCTAGAGTGCGAACCTTTCTGGGATGTCTAGGAACGAGAAATAGAGAAAAAAAGTCATCAATGGCGCCGATGGAGAGAAAAAATATTGGCCTGCAGCACCAAGAATAGAGCGAAAACGGCGCGAATCCATCCTCCACCGAAAATACATCCGCACATATCGACCCAGGGTATCAAGGACAAAAAACATAAGTCGTCTTGAGATAACGGCAATAAACTCCACCATAAAGGTACGTACAGTTGTGTCCACTCAACCACTTGGCTACCGACATCGGCTGCGGCAGACGCTATGAGAATGACGCTGGAACTTAAAGTCAAGTACCTATTTGACATTCCTCTGCACAGAATAGTATCGTGGGCTTAAGTAAGCGCAAAGGAACAGCACATAACCACAACCTAAAACAGCATCGGAATCGTACGGCAGTGACTGGTGCGGCATGGAACGATCCAGACCTGTGGGGCTGCCCCCCTATACAAGGCTGTGCTAAACTAGATACGAGAAATTGACGACAGTTGAAGAATTTGAGAGTGACAGAGTGAGATTGGAAAGCATTGCGGCCTGTATCAAATCAATTGACTAGGTGGAAGCGACTGAAATATGAAAAGGCGCGACAACTAATGTGACTGAACATTTAGGACGCAAAGGATGCGTAGGATATGCGAAAGGACCTGTACGATGGTGAGTCACTCACAGGCAGGTTTTGGCAGATTATCAAAAATAACATCTTCCAATTGAGTCAATAGATCAGGGGGGCAATGGAGCGGAATTCTACCCTTCAACGGCGAAAAACCTGAATTTGGAAAATAATAACATGACCTTTGCACAACTCACAATCTTGTAAACCTTTCTGACCTATTGTCAATTGCAGGCACCTGCGGCTACCCTGTCAGTCACTATTGCATAGTCGCAGGGTTTCACGCACTAGATCGTATTCTCCAAAGTTCTGCCCCAAAAGCAACCCTGGCCCCTAACTTCCCGATAATCATCATTCCATGCACGTTTAGCACCCGTGGCGCTCGCTAGGTAATCGCCGCATTTGTCTATCTTGTGCTGCGCTCAGGCAGGGCATGCAACCGATGGACCTCTCCCCCAAAAGTTATAAATGTCATTGGATTCGCGCGACCCGGTTGCGCACCCTGCCAGGCCCAAATCTCAATCTTGTCTGCCTGCCTCTTTTCCACGTTGTTTCCGTCTCCTAGTTGCTCCCAGTTTGTTTCTGGACTATCGCAGTCACTTCCCCAATCCACCCGCAATCCATCAAATCCCACAGAGTATTCCACGACTGACTCGAATCTCGACTCCAACTTTGACTTGAAGCTTGACTCCAACATAGATTCCAGTTTGACTTCCAACTTTGTCTCCAATTCCAATTCGACTTCATCCAACACCATTTTTCAATCTGGTGCATCCACTTCCTCCCATACGTCGCCTCAGTCTCTTCAGTTTCCTGATCCTGTCTATGCATTGAACACAGGCAACTCCACTTCTGAATATACGTTGGACTCCTTAACTCCAACCGTTTCTGCCATGTCCCAGCCCCGCAGACGACACCGGAACACATCGGTATGCACCTTCTGCAAGCGCCGGAAGGTCCGTTGTGACAAGGGTGCCCCTTGCTCCACCTGTGTCAAGTATGGCAATAAGAACTGCGAATACGTCAATGATGTTTACCAAACCAAGGCCGCTCCTCACTCCAACGGCTTCAACGAGTCTGTTTTGTCTTTGGAAACTGTTCCCATGACTCGCAAACCAGCGTCCATGGTTTCGCTGATTCCAAATTCTGCTCACAGGCCTGGCTCAAACTCGTCCAGTTCTCGTTCCCATTCAACTGGCAGCCTTACAAGCCGCTATGTCAACGGAAGTGCTCCGTTGCTAACTCCAGCCGTGCATTCTGAGCTCGAGCTTCTAAAGCAGAAAATTCTGATGTTGGAGCAGCTGGTGTCGTACTCGAATCATATCGACGGTACCAGCTCATCAACTTCCGCTTCGTCGCCTTCTGAGCCAGTTAGATGGCAAGGACGTTTGAACGGAGAGGAAAATTCGCTCTTAGGCTACTATCCCAGCTCTTCTGCTGATGAAACGTTCTCTTTCCATGACAACTACCTCCCATTTCTTTCAATGCAGAATATGGGCTCGAGATACTGTGCCCCGTTGAGCTGGATTGCCTTGATCAAGGTAGACAACGCAGTTTCATCGATGTTCGCTTACAAGCGTAAAAATGTTCTACTCAAACGTTACCTTACCAAAGAGCTTTCCAAGGACATCGAAACTCTCAAGCCTGCCGAGCGATTTTTCCGGGAGAAAATATCTAACGAGGTTGCTTTGAACGATGACTCGCTATTCCCGGATTCCTCCAACTTATATCCTAACAAGAAAAACAAGAATGTTCCCCAACGGTTTGTTGAAAAGGCAAAATCGCTGGGTCTTACTGTATATGAAGGTGACCTTGACAGTGTTCATGATGTGCTTGATAAGATTCAATTGATTTTGCCTACAGCAAAGATTGTATGGATGTTAGTGGATCGCTTTTTCGCCAGAGTTTACCCTTTTTTTCCATTTATTGACCAGTTTGATTTTGAACATCACTTGGAGCGCATTTTCGGCTCCAACTCAAGAGCCCATGAGAAAATCAAGAAGCTCCATGTCCAGGGTCGTATGGATTTGGCTTTTCTTGCTCTTTTATTAATGGTTCTCAGGTTTGGATATTTAACTTTAATTACAAACTCTGATGCCATGAATGAAGCCAACTTACACTCCACGGACCCATCTCAGAGAGCCCAGGAGATCAAGTTCTTGATGATGAATCCTATTCACATGGACTTTGTCGATGTTGCACAGGTTTGTCTCCTGCAATTTGGATATCTCAGGGTCAGCAACCTCTCACTTCTCCAATTATCATTATATATCAAGTTGTACTTTTCTTTTGCTCCTGAAAATGGTGACAGTCCCGAGGATACGAACTCGCAATCCTACACTTCCATGTTGATCAACATGGCCATGAGCTTAGGCTTGCATCGTGAGCCAGATAATTTCAAAGGGAAAATTCGTGATGACAGAACGAGCAACCTTTGCAGGAAAATTTGGTACTATTTATTGATTATTGACCTTCATAACGGCATGTCAAATGGCTCCGCTCCTTGTGTTTCCGGGGAGATGTTCGACACCAGCCCTCCTTACTATAAGCCAGGTAACGAAAATGTTCGTGATATCGAGATCGAAAAAGAAGCTGTCAACGGATTTCGCATTGATAGATGCTACAATCTTTTGAACAGTGTGGTTAGGTCAATATCCTCAGTCCATTCGCCCATCAATTTGAGAGATCTCTATCTGAAATTGAGCGAGTTGGAAATTGAGTATATCGGGGAGCAGCGAGCTTTAGTCATGGAGCCAAATAGTCAGCGCTTGGTCCCTATTGATGTGTCCCAAGCTATTCAGACTAAGATTTATTTCCAAGCAAATTTCTTCCTCGCAGGTATTGCCTTCCATTTATTCAATCACTATGAAAGGAACAACGAAATAGACCTTGCCTATTTTTACTTGAAAAAGGTGGTTTCTATTGTCATATTCAACACTATGCCATTCTATGAGGACTATGTGGATAAGAGTTACATTTGGTTTCAAAACTCGACAGATTTGGCAGTTACACCCTCTTTTCAGGCGTTGGTCCACAAGTGTATGATTGTGATTCAATCGACAATGGCCCGTGCGAGGTTTTCGCTGCTCCAGTGCGAAAGTCTGCCCACCCATTCCGAAGACATGGCAACTAACTCTGAGTATAAGAAGAGATACGATTTGCTCGTTGAAATATTCAGTTTATGCGACAAATGTTTGTCGTGTTTTGTGAGTACCTTAACGAAGCTCAGCAGCAGATTTTACTACAGCTGGAGATGTCTCAAGGCTTACGAGGGATTGAAGGGAGCCCGTGAAGGTACCGACTACTATTTGAATTTTTGCAAAGGGAGAGAGGGGTACATGTTGTTCACAACTCCGATGCTTGAGGATTTCGTATCTGTTCTAAAAGAATCCTTGAAGGTGGTGAGGAATAACCAGCTCCTGAAAGGAGTCACCCCCATGTTCCCGGAGGAGATGTTTTCCATGGATAATGAAATTAACTCGATGCCCCCGATTCCCGAGACTCCCGTTCCAATTCTTGGTGAGAATATTGATGCCTTGTGGATGCAGATGATGACTATGAAACCACAGATGACCAAATCTATCTTGTTTAGTCATACTCCTCCGACTGTGGAACTTGATATCGGGTCAGGTACATTCGATTCCAATCTTGACAACTTGGTGTTTGGGAACGACTATAGTATCTTTGATTCCATTTTTGAAGATCCCATTTAGTGTCACCCTCTTACAATTCTACTTCTTGTATATATTATTTATTTTTAGCTATGATGTTACGTTACTTATGAATACTCCACATGTAGATGCCACTAGCCGTTCTTAGAAGCACAATGTTTTGGCTTTCGGACCGAGCAAAGACTGAAATCCATCCCTCTGATGAGATTAGCAGAGTTAATACACTTGGATTGATATCCCTGGTAACCAGAAGATGCAATTCACGAATATCTTTTTCGAAGGTGACCTCAGGTATTTCATACATGGTGGTTGCTTGAACGTGACTGTTATTGTAATCTGGAAGACCATCTAGATGAAGCAAACCCAAGTACTCGTAGAAATCATGAGCATCGTCAGAAGAAATTTGCTTAACTGATAATGCCCTAAGATCCGAATGACTGGAAACCTGAGTGCTCAGATACTTTGGCTGGACAATGCCAAGTGGAAATGGAACTTCATGGGCCAGAAGTAAACTGACGGTGCAGACAGCAAAGACTTTGGCCAAAAGCACTGACAAATCCTTGTAATATTTCGTGTTGGTAGACAATGATACCGTAGCTGTGTAGAAAGTATCTAGATGGGGCCCGTATTTCGGAGGAACATGCTTGATGAATCTGAGATATCTTCCCACGTAGGAATTATGAGCATATGTGTTTTCAGAGAGCGTCAATGTAAGGTTAGTAACGCCTGATGTGTAAATGAGCTTATTCTGATGCAGTTCTACCCGTAAATTATAGTTTTGGCTATCTTGTAGGTGAGTCAATAGTTGTGGAAGTTGAGTAAATTCTGTTTCTTTGTAGTAGTAGCTTGCGGGCCAATTCTGGATCTGCTGGTGAAACGAAGGATCTTCTGACGATATACTGAGATACTTCAATGGCTCATGGATGCTCGGAAGCGTCTCCAATATTGAAAACGAATAGGAGGCCATGAAGACGGATTCCATAGTTGGAGATGGTGATGGCTTATGATAATAAATGCATCGCACCCGTACACCAGGATCAACCTCAGAACACAACTATCTCTTGGTCTAAATGTATATTTGTATGCTACCAATTAGTGATATTCTCGGCCTCGCCAAAAACGGAGTTTCCTCCATTCTCAACAGACTTAACGTGGTCGGCCCAATCTGCGAATACCTCAACCTTTCCTGAGTTATCGTCGTAGTAATCGGATAACTTGGTGTGGAGGAAGTCTCTGCAGAATTTGTCAATGATTTCGAAGTCCAACAAGAATGCATCGTGACCCTCTGGGGAATCCAATGTCTTGAGGATGTTGTCAGGAATGTGAGATCCTAATAGCTGCTGCTCGCTGTAGGTAAATAAACCATCTGACGTGATTCCAATGACCAAATGAGGTAATGTCAACGTCTCAAGGTACAGAGGAAGAGGGTCTTCTGTGACGTTGGCATCGATACGGCCACGTGTGATATCATGTGTATCAAGCTTTCTGGTAATGGAAATGTAGCAATTGGCGTCGAATCGCTTGACAAACTTCTCTCCCTGGTATCTTAAATACGACTGGGCTGTGAAGTATGTTTGAGGCTTATCACCCTTAAATGAGGTGGCCGATCCTCGTGACGATCTTGAACCCTCGTTATGCATCAACCAGTTCTCCTCGTCCTTGTTTCTGGGCAAGCGAATATCCGACTTACTGGAAGAGTTGGAGGTAGATGCGGCGGAGGAACCTTGTGTAGATGGCAAATTCCTACCAAAACGAGTCTCAAAAGAGTTTCGTGATCTATACGTGAGCAACGCAGCCATTCTGGCCGCACTCAAGCCGCCATCAGGCCTAAGGCCAGGCGTCTCGAAGTAGTAGCCATCGTCATAGTTTGGGTCGCTGAAAATGCACTGTCTCTGAGTTTCATTCCAAGAAATGCACCAGGCACTCGCACGTGCGGATGTTGCCAACGCTATGATGCTCTTAACGTAGCCAGTCCCGTCATAGGTAGCCGAATATTCAAGGGCAGCCATACCTCCCATGGAGCCTCCAATTACACAGGCGATCTTCTTCACACCCAACGAATCCAAAATTAGTTTCTGTACGCCAATGTCATCTTTCACAGTCACTAGCGGGAACAGTGGGCCATACGGTTTCCCACTGGCCTTATCTATACTGACTGGAGAGCACAGGCCATATGGAGATCCCAAGAAGTTGATGCACACGATATAAAAACGAGAAGGGTCAAAAGTGAGTCCAGTTCCAAGAAGTGGACCCCACCAGTCCTGAACGTCTGACGATCCTGTCAAGGCGTGACAGATAAGTAGAACATTATCACAATCTGGATTTAGTCTTCCCCAGGTCTTATAGGCAACCGGGAAGTCAATGAGCAGCTCGCCACATTCAAGGTCATATTTGGGGATTTCCACCACGGTCTGACCTGGAACCATTGCTGCATAGGCATTGGATTTGTTCGTTTCAGCGGTGATATCTTTATAGGTTGGATTAGTCATGGTTTAAGGAGCCAATTGGTAGATGATCCGGAGTGGCACGGGAGAAAAAAGATTTTCAAGACCAAATTCAACAGTCTTTTGGCCTTTTACTAGTTGAAAACTCGCTGCTGACAGAAAAGACCTGATGATCCACTAAATGGAAGTGGTGAATCATTTACGCATATTACTCACAGTGAGTATATTTCACGTGACCTACAGATTAAAACGTCAGATGATATGGAACAGACCAAGGACCATAAAAATGATTTCTGAAGGTTAAATTATGAATTTATGGAGCTTTTGGGGTGCATTTAATAAAACTTCTGAAGTTTTGAAAGTCATGAACTTATCGATGCTCTCGGTGTCTTATTGTGTCACTTCCTCAATTTTTTCCCACTTCAACTATTCCTGAATTTTTCATTAATATTAATTTTCACTATTCATAAATAATCGTTTCATTTCATTCACATTAATCTGTCGTACGTCATTAATTTCTTACTTCGTGTCTGCAAATGCCTCTGTCCCACTCTCAAATTCATCTTCCTCCTCCGAAGAATCTGACTCTTCTTCACTAGTATCGCTCGGAGCCTCATCGTCATCGTCATCGTCATCGTCAGTTTCCTCATCACGTCCTCCGGCAACGAACGTAATTGAGCTCTCATCAATAGTAGGCGTTTGCACTCCAGACTTGTCATCGAGGTTCTTCCTCACTTCAGTATTCTGTCTGATAGTGGTGATGATTGACTTTGAATATGCAAGCTCAGTGTATATGGCAGCAATCGCAGTGAGAACTCCGGTTTCAGTCTGCATTGCCAGCGACACTGCTTGTGCTTTGTAAAGGTATTTGGTATTTCCTGTAATGGCATTCAATGCCTTGGTGAGCGATTTCGTGTTGAGCTTCTTCAATGCAATCCCCACACCAAGTTCCTCTACTCGGGAGGCGTAGAAGAATTGGTCGCCAAAAAATGGCTTAATAATGGTTGGAAGTCCAGCACGTAAGGTTGCACCCGTAGTTCCTGAGCCTCCATGGTGGACTGCGGCATCAATTTGGTTAAATAGCCAGTCATGAGGAATGCTTCCCGAATCAAAGATTTGGGGAGGGAGCTCGATCACCGAGTCATCCTTTGATTTGTTCAATCTATCCGACCATCCCTTGTTCAAGATACACTTGACTCCCAGCTCAAGAACGGCCTCAATCACGGCCCTTGTGAGTTTTTTGGCATCACTCACAACGATCGATCCAAACCCAATGTAGACAAGCTTTTCATTATTCGTTTTGGCGGTTTCGATGAATTCCACAAGCGCTTTTGGAGGCTCGTAATCCTGTGATCCTTCGTCCAAAAACCAATACCCCGTCACTTTTACCCAGTCAGGGAAATCAACGGAGGGAGGGAACATAGCGGGGGAAACATTGTACAAGAAAGGGATTCGGGATTGCTGAAGCTTAACCAAATTTGTTCTCGAGAGCCCAAGAGTTTCCACTCTCCACCGGTTAACTTGACTTGAAATACCCTTCCAGAAGACATTTTCAAACATCACATGAGTCAAAATGTTATACGAGCCTCCCTTCTTGCTGTCAGGAACAATAAAAGCATGTGGATATGCTCTTGTTCTTGTCCATGGCATGGTGAATGCCCTCAAGTAAGGAATGCCAAGGGCCTCGGCAATATGAATACCTCCCATTGCTGAAGGACTCTCAATAAGAATATCTGTGCCCTCGCATGCCTTCCAACTTGTATCCAAAAGTTCCGTTATCCATCCTTTGAACTTTGAATTTGCCTCTTTGAGAAAGCTCACCGACATGGACCCATGTGTGACCATTAGAGACATCAATTCTGCTGGGTTCCCTGCCACTTCTTTAAAGCCTATACCATGGGTTTCAATCCACTCCTTGAATTCAACATGTGTGGCAATTGTCACATTGTGACCCTCAGCAATAAGTCCTTTACCCAACGCAATGTACGGTTGTACATCTCCTCTTGAACCAATCGTCAAAAGAGTAATATTATAAGGTTCTGTAGGCACAATCTCCGTCATCACAAAAGGATTATCCTCTAAGACAACTGGGAACTCAATTCCTGAGGCAGCACCTACTCTATCTTCAAGAAGACGAAGTTTGGCAGCGCGAATCTTCTTCTTAGCAAGTTCAATGGCATCTTCTCTCAGTTGGAATTCTTTTCCCAGGAGAACAGAATTTTCGTCATCCTGAAGTGTTGCATCGGATGGAGTATCGGCATCTTTGGGCTTTTCTATACCAAACTTCTCCATGATCAGCCAAATCGTGTGGAATGCATCGTCTCTGATCTTGCGAGTCGCAAATTCCAAAACCAATTCCTTTCCACCTTGAGCAAGAACTTTGATCCCGAATTTGAAGCTTCTGATTTTCGTACATGAGGTTATTTCCTTGATGGGAATGATCATTCTGGTAGAAACTCCAGGAAACAACCTTCTAAAGCAAAGTCGGTCATTTCCAAGGTATAACTTTCCATATATTGGAAAGGTACGTTTCAAGTAAGCATAGTACGCCGAGACCAAAAATGTGTCTGGAGCCAATGAAAAGTGCTTCTGATAATGAGATAATGCGCTTTGCCTTTCGTGAATTTCTTTGATATAATAAGGATCCTCAACTCCAAAAGGCTGATAGTGCAATGGGTCAGCAGACCAGATTCCACCCATAGAAGATACTGTTCTCACACTTTGTTTGAAAGATTGGAATTTGCTCTTCTTTTGCGGTGCAGATATGCTTAAACTCGAGTCGTCTGTCAGGTACATCTTACGCATTGATTCACCGAAATCAATTGTGGAACTCTCATTGACGGAGGTTATAGAGCCGTTACGCATGTTCTTCTTTCTAAGTTTCACTTGATGTTGCATTTTGATTTCCTCAAGCAAAGGAGAATCCTTGAACTTTCTTGCAATTTCGTCAAAGCTGCGCCGTTTCGTCACCATGATCAATCTCAAATTTTGTAGTGTTTGGACAGAAAATGGTTTAGGAAATTGAAGTGCTAATCCGTCTTCCCAGTTCTCGAACGCCTTGTCCATTCGATCGTCCCAAAGCTTCGAATCAATTGAGATCGATTCCTTAACTCCTGTCGGAGAAGTGCTTCCACTACCCAAATATCTCGGTTTGATGACGTTCAAGAGTCTGGCCATTGTCTTCTTTTTTTCACCAACTGTCTCGGAACTTGAAAGCTCGGCATCGTAGCGTTGACGTTCAAGGTTTCGGAACTGTACGATCTGTTCATTTGTCTTGACGATCTTGTCAATTAGTGATACTCCTGGAATTTGAGGATTAAGAGTCGAGATGAAAGTAGAATGATGCTTGCTCTTTAATGATAAAGCATCAGGATCCAACATTTTCTTCGCCTTGAGGCGAACTCTTGTGTTGAGTGGAAGTTCCAGAGCTCCTCCCACCTTATCTGTAAAGATCAGGTTCATCAACTTCTCGAAGTCAACTCCACCTATGAAGAAAAGAATATTCACAAAATCATGAGGAGATGTCCGAGACATTGCGATGTTAGATTTCATCTTCATTTTTTCTATCTTAGAATTTGTCTGAGGCAGAGTTGCGAATTTAACTGTAAAAGAAACAGGGGTGTTATTATCGTAGTTCTTTTCATCCAATTCACCCGTAAGAACATAATTCTTTTTAACATCCAAAACATCACTCATTGGGATCTTGAAAATAACCTCTCTATTCGCATTAGTGTTTTGTAAAGTAAAAATCACTTTGGTAATTGCATTATACCAATGGCGAGCAGAATAAATGTTTCCCGTATGGAAACGGTAAGTTTTGTCTTTACACACAATCTTGAACCACACTCCCGATTGGACGTCTTCATTAGCCAATGCCTCATCAGTCAAACTGGACGATTCTGACGTCAATTGAGAAAGCAGTGTTTCTGAATTAGATCTGGTCATGTTCACTGGCAGGGGTGGCAGGTCATGCAGAGTTGTGGCTTGAGACGGAGAGAAATTTTCAATTTCACAATATGACGCTTCGTTTAAGTCAATCACTTTAACGGGGAAATACTGTTCAGTGGGGGAAGTGTAGATGCACATTGAATGTGGCTTGAGAACTCCCCAGAATTGGTGGGTGTAGACTGAGGTGAAGTAAGAATCTCCATAATGGCCCAATTTGTGTCCCAATGAACCGGAATAGAGAGTCAAGTCTGCATTATTGGGCTCCACTTCAGGAGCTTCGTTGGGAAGCAAACTATAGAAGCAGAGGGCGTCCCTGGTGACGTGGACGTGGCCCTGGAGAAGGACATCTTTGATGAGCCATGCACTAAACCTTGCATAGTAATAGTCGTCATCTGATAACATAAATGAATCCCGAAGCTTTTCTCCGGTAAGCCATCGGAGAAAGTCTTGGTCGCTCTCATTTTCTGGTTCCTCTAATTCATCCTCCGACTTGATGAGAACCCTGTCTGCTATGGTAGTTAGACTCATGTTCTTCATCATTGACTTTTGCAAAACGCTACGCTCTTTGGGAGGAGGAATATAAAAAGTCTCGGGTTGTATGATTTCCGCAAACGTCATTAGCGGATCTTCTGAGTTCATTGTGCTGGTAGTGTCAGTACGTTTCATTTCTGTGACCCTTGGGTTGCTAGAAACGTCGCTCTTGATAATTACAGTTTGGTCCTCGCTTTTCGTCGTGGATCTCTCTGTATCGATTTGATGTGTAGATCTCTCTGTGTCACTTCTCTGTGTGAATCTCTCTGCGTCGCTTCTGTTCCTAATAGTGAATTCTTCGTCTGCCTTTAAAGACTCTGAAGCTGGCAGTGCAGACTTCAGTGAGCGAACCCCCATGAATGTCAGGTCCTGGTCGCCCAGTTCCTCCTCGGAATCTTCGGAACTGCTTTCGTAGAGAGAATAGCCCACGAGTTTTGGTTTGCTGACCTCCAAGCCGATTCCAAGGCGTTCATGTATGTTATTTCTAATGTTCTTCAAGGAGTCCACCGCCAGTGCTGTAGCTAACATTCCCAAAAAGGACTCCAGAACGCTATCAGCACCCAATGGCACCGCAACATCGACATCGTCGGTCAAAGGTGCCTCGGTCCCCGAGGCCGAGCCCTGCGGGCCAGCAGCATCGGAGGTTTCACTATTTTTGGTATTTGAGTCTCGGGAATTGTCACCATGGTCTGAGAGAGCACCATTCTCGTTTTTCGACTCATCCTCATCGTGGCCCATAGCGAACCCTAGTGAACACTGTAATGGCGGAATGAGAGCCAGTGTTATCTTGCGATATAACGGTAGCGTGTTCTGCAAGAACTCATGTTTCTCTTCGATGCCCAATTTTGCTACTAGACCCTTGTCTCGGGGTCCAGAAGCGACGACTTTCTCCATGATAGATATGCACTATCAAGGTTCTGAGGTATAATGTGGGGTGCGTCAGCAATAAGGACAGCAAAAAATTTCAGTAATGATGTCAATGGAATGATGGCGTGGTTGAAAGGGAAAATGGTTGATCTTGCCGTCACTGCCACCACACTCCAGGTTCTGTAATGGAATTTAGCAGCATGTGAACAAAGATTAACTTGTTTGCCCAATGCAGGTTGGGGTTGGGGTTCTTTGCATCTAATGGTGGTTAGAAGGGATTCTGTCCAGGAGGTGTACACGATTAGTTACATTGAGGTCATTGATCTGAAGCAGGAGAACACTTATCTGGGCATTGTTGCGCATTTCTCGCATTATGGGGAGAATAAGTAGTGGAGATGGTATTAGAATCGATGTGTGATTTTAGTAGATGGGGAATTTTCGTCATGGAGTGCAGAATGGATAATCTCCGAGACATGCGGAGATTCATAAATATCATTCTTGTGTTTCTAATTCTGATTTTCCACTTCTTGCATGATCTGATTTTTCTGACGGTCATTTCTGTTCTTGTCCTTTGTCTTTTTTGGCTTTTTTGGCTTTTTAACTTTTACCTTAGTAGAGGCAATTGGTGGCATCATTGTAGGTTGCTAGTTAAATGGGAATTTCTTTGATGATGTAATTGGATGGTTGTGTAGTCAAATATTTCCTTTCATTGCTCACGATGGTCTCATCTATATTCTATAACGCCTCGGCAAACTCATCGCTCTTCAATAGCTTGTTCAACTTGCTTCCTGGGTCCGCATAGAGACTTGTAAATTGGCCATCCTCCACGATTTTGCCGTGGGTGTTGAAAACAATGATCCGCTCACTATTTTTAATTGTGGAGAGTCGATGTGCAATAGAGATGATTGTGATCTGACTGACCCGGGAGAGCTCAGTCAAATTACGTGTTACAGTCTCTTCCAGTCTCGAGTCTAATGCTGATGTGGCCTCGTCGAGGATAAGCAATTGTGGTCTTTTGATAAGTGTCCGTGCCAACGAGATTCTTTGTCTCTGGCCACCACTCAACTGAGCACTACCACTGGACGTGGGCCCGATGACAGTGTCAAGTTGGTTGGGGAATGCCGAAATAAAGCCTTGTGAGTTGCTGATGCGGGTTGCATAGTCGATATCTTCTTGGGTGCTGTCAGGCTTGCCAAATGTAATGTTGTCACGGATAGTTCCGCTGAAGAGAAGCGGCTCTTGCTGAACGTATCCAATTTTGGATCTATAGAAGTTGAGATTGAGATCTTTGATGTTGTGATGGTTGACAGTTACACTGCCGGAGTTGGGATCGTAGAATCGAAGAAGAAGTTGCGACACCGTCGACTTTCCAGATCCACTGGGTCCGACAAGGCAAACATGCTCGCCCTTTTTGATGGTGAGCTTGAGATCGCTGAAAATGGGGGTGTCGGGACGGGATGGGTACGTGAATGTCACGTTGTTGAACTCCACGTCTCCATGCAAATCGTTCACCTTCTTACCGAGAGAAGTGGTGATGCTGGGTTTCAGATCAATCAACTCGAAGATACGCTCGGCTGCACCGATTCCTTTCATCAACTCGGTATAGAAGTTACCGAGACCGAACACCGAGCTTCCCGTGTATACAGCGTACATCATGAAACTGGAGAGATCTCCAATAGTGATTTCTCCACTAGTAATGAGCCTTGACCCCACGATTAAGAGCCCAATGAGGGTAATGTTGCCCAAAAAGCCATTGATACTGTAGTAGAAGCCACTTAACTTTCCTTCAAGCATGGACTTCGAGAAGATGTCCTTCACTTCATAGTTGTACTCATGCACCACTGCTCTCTGCTGGGCAAAGCTTTGAATGGTTTTAAGGCCATTGAATTTCTCCTCCAGAACCTTAGTCATTGCACCCAAGCTATCCTGAATAGTTCGAGAGAGCTTCTTGATCCTACGTCCGTACACCGTTGACATAAGGATGAGCGGAGGAAATATAAGACTCATGCAAAGTGTCAATTTCCACGACACCCAACACATCATCAGAAGACCTACACAGCCGGAAATAAGAGCTCGTGCTCCATCACTGATGTTTCCACTCAAAGACTTACTGATGATTTGGGTATCGCTCGATAGCCTCGAGATCAAGTCACCAGTCTTCATTCCCTTGAGTGTAGGTCCAACATCGAAGAAGTACAGGTCTTGACTGAGGATCTTTGCAAAAAGACGTGATCTCAAGCGTGCTACCAACTTCTCGCCTACGGTACGCAAAAGATATATCCGTCCAAAATTTGCAGAACTACCCAAGACGAATATGAGAGTAAGGCCACCATAGAACTGAGCAGCAGGAAAACCCATGATGATTTGAGGTTTGTCCTTCTGGGCATTTTTGTCTTCATCTTCCTCTTCTCGAGTGGTGTCAATGATTTTTCCGATGAAAAACGGCAATGACATGGTCACAGTGGATGTTCCTATTAGGCATAAAAGAGCACCTGCCATATTGCCGTATTCGGGTTTTGCCAACCGCAAGAGACGTATGATGTCTGATTTGAGAGTTCGCGGACCGCTAGGCAGACTTTCTGGGCCTGTGCCATTGCGTGAAGATGCCAGATTCTCGCCCACAGGTTCGTTGCTAGATCCTGATCGAGAATAGAACCGGATAGATGCGGTGGAGAAAGTTGGGTTGGCCATTTTTGATGATGAGGCAGCGAAAAGTGCTGCCGAGGTCCGTAGGGGACACAATGCAGCTGCCAGAGCGCGTGCCAGGCGATTCCAGATCGAGAACAGCCGCAATGCCGACGTTCTCCCTATCATGGTGAATGAAATGGTAGTAGTTGGGCTTGAGGTTGACCTTATGGCAGTGTGCAGGGAGTTTGGTTGGTTGGGTGCAAATGTTGGAGAGGAGAAAAGAGAGTGGAACGAGAAAATGGGAGATTTCGAAAAGGGGCAAAATGGGCAATTTTGGGTGTTCTGTTGAAAAATGATGTTTAGGTGATTTTCAGGTGGGCATGTTGTGTGGATGAATGAATGTGTTAAGAAGCGAGCATTGGCGCAGACAGAACCTGGAGAATGGCAATTAACAACATGAAAATAGTGAGAATCGTGTGAATTATCGATTAGCATATCTTGATCTCCTTATTTAGAATGTAAACTGGCGAGAGAAATAGTTCAAGAAGCTATTAGAGCCAGAGTTGATAATCACCAGAAGAAGCGATCATATACAACCTCGGGTCCGAGTTTTTCTGTTATCCTTTTAATCCGGATATTGTTTGTTTTGTTTTTGATTAGTGGAGAGTATGTTATTTCTAAAGAGTACTGAAAGGTAATATGCTGCTTAAGGTTTGCTTCCTCATGGTTGCTATTGAATGTTTCCATTAATTCATCCTTTCAATTTTGGCCCTGTAATTTGGTTATTTCCAACATTCCTTTTGATAAACCTTATTTCTTCACTCTCATGCCAAGTCTGTCACTAACCTCACCCCATTTCTGTTGGCACTTTGAATTAATGTCTCCAAATGTCCATCACAAACATTACACCCCTCGATGGATACTTCAAGCTTACTTGCTCCCACGAATAAATTAGGATCCACCAACACCAAATGGCTGTTTAGTGATAAATTCAATATCCTCAACTTCGGAAGCTTGTCAACAAGCGTGAATGTCTGGTCATATGGAAGTCCAATGCATTCTAGTAGATTCTGTGAGAGATCAAGAACCTCCAAGGTCTGCGGCAATTTATTGAAGGCTCCGACCCTGAAATGCTGGAGATAATTCCTGGATAGAGAAAGTACCCGAAGCTGGGGCGGCCACTCAAAATACCGCTCCAACAAAGGCTCGTGGCCCACCGCAAGCTCCAGCCTCAACTTATTGTCTTCAAGTGAGAGTTCTTGAACCAGCACGAACCCTCCAAGTACTTTGCCCCACTTATGAGGAAGAAGATCGCCAATATCTGCAGATTTCAACCTGATCGATCGAAAATTGGCCGAGGAATGTCTGGTGAGCTCGATGAGTGTACTCAAGACCAGTGCAGGCATCAGGGTTGGGTTTTCTGTGGTGATGCTACGGCCGTTGATATTCAAAGAGAGCAGTTGAACCTTTGAAAGGTACTTCGGAGCCCATTCGGACTTGAGGATCTCCCGTAGATCTGCCAAGTTCTGCTGGAAGTTGATGTAATCTCGAACATGTCGAACGAAGGTCATCTCGAGCTCTTTGGGAACGTTGGCTAGAAAGTTCGAATCTTTTGCTAATTCCAACACCTGGCTGGGTGTGATACTGACATTATAGTATCTCAGGGCCTTTCCTCCAGCCCCAAGAACAGTATGGCCCAGGTAGAGCCTAGCATATAGAAGATTGATAGCTCTCTGAGCGTTGGAGTTTGGGAGGTCGGTTTTGAGCAGATCGATTAAGGATCGGGATTCTGCTGGCTCTAGACACTGGAACACCTGTAAAATGACCTCTTGCGGTAGCAAGATGAACAGCATCATAAAGAAAGGTGTAGTTCTGAAGATTCATGCAGGTGATAAGATAAGGTGCCGAAGGTATAAAATAGAAAGACGAAAGGACAGGAAACCACAGAAAAGGAGAAAAATTGAAGAGTTTGAAAATAAAAAAGGAAAATCTTGAAAATGGAATTCATGATTTGGCTTGTGATTTCAAGGGTATTGTGACTAGGATACTTTCAGAATACTGGGCCTAGAGTCCATCATTATATGCTCAAAACCTAGCTAACTAAGTATGATTATGCAGCTCTAGCTTGAAAACTTATGTTCTGTTCTTTATTCTTGCAAAGGGCTACATGGTTCAATGTTTTCACTTCTTACTATCATTTAATTTTTCTCCTTTGTCGTGTACTTTGACTGTTACATCCCATTAATGCTATTATAAGGCGTTTAATCCTGTCCTATTCCTTGCCATACTCCCTATCCAACTTCATGTTGAATTGTCTGTTCTTTTCCGTAATAAAGTCTCCTCCAGATTCTTGGGTCTTTCTTCTCTTGAGACGTCTTTCACTAGCTGCTGCTAGCGAGTTGGCCAACGCCTCTATGTCTGCCTGCTCCAGATGAATGTTCAAAAGCAGCTGGCCACCCTCCATGGCTCGCTTATATTTGTCCTTATCAACCAGCTTCCGTGATATTTCTTTCACGTATGTAGCATGAGCCAAATCGAAATGGCCCTTAAAACCCTGTTTCTTGCCACGCAACTTGGACTTCTCATACTCCTCCCATTGTCTGGCAGTCCAATTGAGTCTATCTTGTTCATTTTCCTCGACGTTGTCTGAGCTTGGCTCTTCTCCATTGGTCGACTTCGACTGGTTTCTGTAATCTTGAGACCGGATCCTCTGCCTGGTCACTTCAGCTGCTCTTTCCGCCGCATTTGCTTCCAAACACTTTCTTCTCTTTTCTGAAAGTCTCTTTAGCCGATCTGCCCGGTTAGTTATTTCCGTAGGCTGTTTTGACCTTTCTGTTTCCATAAGTAAATGAAGAGATGAGTACCGGATGTCAAATACCGGATGTCAAATTGGTGTGCCGGATTAGGGGCTTGACCGGGACTAAGGAAACCGGAATTCAATTCGGTAAGTAACTCGGGTTTTTAGTTCCGAGGGTTTTTCTCCAAACGGGCCGGAATTTCTTGCTTAAGGACTTTTCATAAGGTAAGATAGAAACTACTACAAAAATGAGTGTTTCCTCCCTTTAAAATAGAAGCAGATCGCTCCAGAATTACTGAAGTAATTAAGTTGCATTCTTTTTTCCGCAAATTGGCCCAGTCTTCCCGTATTTTGCATGGGGTCGTAAGTCTAGTGCCAGTGGGGTGAGCCTGACGTTTCCGACTACCGGATCTCATAACCTGGGGTCAAGCATCACCTTAGGCACCAGTCACTGCTTTTTAAACTTCGGAACTTCCTACAACATTGACTTCGATACCTTTTGGTACTATCAGTTAACTATACAAAGTAGCATTTTGCCTAACTTTATTTCATCGACAGTGTGACAATGGGAAAAGAACAAGACCTTTTAGAGTACGTGCTTTCCAGACCAGATTTGGAGGACCTTAGGGGAAACCCACAAAAAGTGTTGGATGCCATTGACAAATTTGCCGAGAAAGTGCCATTGATGACGGTGGGAAAGTACAAAGGTGAGTTGATCTTGAAAGAAATCGAGAAGCTGGAACCTACGCTCATGATCGAGTTGGGATGCTATGTTGGGTACCTGGCAATTTTGTTTGGTGGAGCATTGTCCAGAGTGAACGCCACAATCAGCGATACTGGATGTACGCTTTCCAAGTACTTCTCGTTCGAAATCAATGAAGAATTCGCAGCCATTGCCAAACAATTCATTGAGTTGGCTGGGCTTTCAGATTGCGTAGAGATCATTGTGGGAAAAGCGGGCAACACGCTTCCAGACTTCGAGGAACGCATTATGACCACCTTTAAAAAATACACGGCCGTCGACTTGGTGTTCATTGACCACTGGAAGGACATGTACGTGCCAGACTTAAGGGTATTGGAGTCTCTTGGTTTGGTGGCTCCAGGAACCGTCATTTGTGCCGATAATATCTACTACCCTGGAGTTCCAGATTACGTGGATTATGTTCATGGATCACCACAATCTCGTAATACTCACAATTCCACCGTGGTCAACGTCAGCAACCGCATGTATCCTGGTAGATGGAACATCTTGTATGATTCCAAGACATGCCCTGTCACCGACCCAGCCAAAGGAATTGATGATGCTGTGGAGATAACGAGATGCGTGTCGTATTTATCAGGATAAGTTCACACCAATAAAATGTTTTCCTCTTAGTTCAATTCGTTGTACACGTTCTTTTGCAACCTTCTACAATACACACCCGTACACCAAGCAATATACCCATATAGCTCATAGATTCCCATCAACTTCCCCAACCTATATACCTAGACATTACCTTCCCGATGGCTGATTTGACGCCGTTATTCAGACAATGTGTGGATATCGTATCCAAGGAGTTAGGCACAAAATCTTCTCCCTCTGTCAAACCCCCCTCATTTTTGGTTAAAGATACCTTCATCAGAGAATGTGACTCTATGTATGGAAACTTGGTCCAGATGGCACAATTCGTGGGTGAAATCCGTCCTTTATACCTTCAAGTCAATGATGAGTTCTCAAGATTTGATAAGCGAATCGGCAGTGGGCTCAGCATCGAAGACAAAAACAAAATTGATGAAGACTTCAAGGTCAAGGTGCAGCAAGTATACGAGAAGCTCAAGTTTCTTCAGTCATACGAACGGAAAAGGACACAGGTTGTAGAATCGAAACAGAAAAGCAAAGGTTTCATTTCGGGACTTTTCTCCTCAGAAGAGGATCCTGAACTGGCCTATGATCTTACGCTTTCTTCTCACAGAACACAGATTCTAAGGTTTCTCAGTGACACCACGAAAACCGTCAACACAGCATTCGAGAAAATGCAACAAAAACGTCACAATCGTGAAAAACAGTTGAATCTTTTGCATTTCCAGAACTTGAACGACGACGAGTTGGAAGCCGTGGATGCTTACAGACAAGATTACCAGTTTGATGTGGTAGAAGACGAGAAACAAAACGCCTCGTTCCAGGAAGAGCTCAGCCAGCAACAAATCCAAGAACTTAAGCTGGAAAACAAGGAGCTTCTCACCATGAAAACAAACCAGTTCAAACAAGTGGAAAAATTGCACAACTCAATGGTGGATATTGTCAAACTACAGACGGAATTGACATTGCACTTGGAGACCCAGGCTGAGCAGATTGATAATCTCTTAGACAACCAGGATCAAATTGACTTGGATCTTCGCATGGGTAATAGAAATCTTGCCAAGGCTACGGACCGCAACAAGCGGGGGTCGAATTTGATTGTCACCACATGCTTCGTATTAGGGTTTTTGATTCTATTGGTGGATTATGTATCTTAAGCTGGAGCCACGACTCCGGTGACGACTCCAGCGCCGACTGTGGATCCCTCACGGCGGATTACAATTCGGCCGAGCGCCTTGTTATCAGAAAACTTGGTTACTGGCAACAATCTGTTACCCAAGATTTCGATTTCCACATCAGCGCTTTGTTTGGACACCAAGTGCTTTTTCTTCTTCTTTGAACCATCAATCTTTATGATCTTGCTGATTCTCGCGGCCACCGATGCATTGTTGCGGAAGAGAACAAATGGCGTACCCACTAACATAGGCTTATCCATATTGAACATGTTCACCGTCGCCTCAAGCGTTCTGGCCGAGTGGAGCTTGGAGTCTATGTTCAGGATAATGTCTCCAACAGCTAGGTCATCTGTGGAGTTGTTTTTGAGCTGGTTGATTTTGAATGTTGCCGAGACAATTTGACCACGAATGGCGACGTCAACTTGTTTATCATTTAATGATAACGACTGCACACGTAAGTAATCCTCTGTAGGTTGAACTTCGATTGTCTGGCCAGGCTGAATCATACCCAGTGAGATCTTTCCTTTAACCTTGAACTCAGAACTTGTCACATCGTACACCTCGTTGATGGCGAGGTTGAAGTCAGCATTGTCGAGCAGCTCCGCCGTGGGAATACTGAGTCCTGGGATTTGAATAGATTCCAAGCGGTCCACAAGGGTAGGACCCTCGTACCATGCAAGCTCTGGGGTGGATTTATCGTTCTTCACAACGTTGATTCCCGTCAATCCAGAAATGGGCACGAAAAAAACGTTCTCAGCAAGGAACCCCACATCCTCACTCGTGAGGAACTGTAGAAGCTGTGTCTTGATGTCTTCAAAACGGTCTTCAGACCAGTTCTCCTTGTCCATTTTATTGATAGCCACACAAATGTTATCGATTCCCAAATTCTTGGCGAGTAAGGTGTGCTCTTTCGTCTGTCCATCCATAACGAAGCCAGCCTCGAATTCTCCTGTAATGGAGTCAACAACAAGCAACGCCATATCAGCCTGAGAAACTCCACTTATCATTTGGGGAACGAAATCCTTGTGGCCAGGAGCATCAATGGCAGTGAACCTGGTAGTTGGGGTCTCGAAATTAGTAGCACAGATATCGATAGTGACACCTCTCGATCTCTCTTCGGAGGTTTGATCCATAATCCATGCCAAAGCAAAGGAGCCCTTTCCGGACTTTTCGGCCTCTCTTACAAGCTTGTTCACTGTTTTGGCATCCACAGTTCCTGAATCGTAAAGAATTCTACCCATAAGAGTGGACTTGCCGGCATCCACGTGGCCAATGATGACAAAAGACTTGTTTGGCTTAGTGAAGTTTGGATTTCCTGCCAATTCCTTGGCCACGTCAATATTCTTAAAAGGTTTAGAGCTTGCTGGCACCTTTTTCTCTTTATCAGCCAGCACTGGCTCATTAATGGTCAACTTACTAAGGTCCTTGGCAAAAGCTTGCTTTTGTGCTTCCAAAACCTTGTCATCCGGACTGGGCAGTGAGAAATTTGACTTTGCCTTGACTATATTGGGTTCGCTGTTAGTATATGCATGGAAGAGTTGAGGAGCCAACTGTCGTCTTTTTTTTCCTTGTTGAAGATGCAAAGTTTGTTGCGGAGAGTCAAAGAGGAAGACCGACATGACATTGTCGGGCACACTAAGTAGCTCCTTCGTCACCGAGAGTGCAAACTGAATGCCACGAGTATCACTATCTTCTTCTATCTTTCTTTTCGAAGGTGCAGCCGAGACAGGATTAACAACCGGGGGACATGGGGTCTCGACAACAACAGGCTGCTTCAGCAGCTCCAATTGTGCCTTTTTCAATGCAGCTTTCTGTCTCAACGAAGCACCCAAATTAGTTTTCCGAACAAGAAGTGGTTTGTCGGTGCTTGGAGTGCTTGGAGACAGAGAAGGGCCCAGAACGTCCGAGTTTTTAGGCTGTGTTGACAGTTTGGAAAGCCCTGAGAGCCCTGAGAGCCCTGAGAGCCCTGATCCTGGCAGCTTGAGCCCTGAAAGCCCAGCTAGTCCCGTGCCTCGATTTTTCGCTAGAGAAGACAATTTGGACGCTCCGCCTATTGGTTTAGATATCAGGGTGAGCGAGAGCAGAGCCTCTCCTGCGGCTCTCCGCTTGTTCGCTAGCATGGCAAGTTTGGAAACCTTGGCAGGAGGGTCGTCTAATGAATTAGCAATCTAGAACTTAGTGAATCTCCAGTGTACTGTGACGGGGTTGGCAGAAACGAAATCAACATACCTTTTTTCTTGGGGAACTTGCTCTTAAGCTCTTCGAGTGCTGGTTCTAACTCGAAATAATTATAATAAAGTGCTTCTTTGATGGCCAAGTCATCAATATCGCTATTATACGATGCAAGTGCCTCTTTCACCTTGGGCAAGGCATCATATAAGGCATCGTACTCTTCGTTAGTTAACGAATCCTCGTTAAATTCCTCGTCGCCCGAATAATTGTCGTAATCGTCGTCGATATCCATAAAGAAGAAATAGTTTGAAACTTGCTTGAAGAACCTTGTGCAGGCTAACAATTGAGTCACCAAAAGGTTGAAGAATACATAGGATGAAACTGAAGGCGAACTTATTAACATTAGAAAAGGTACAGAAGGTTTAGTAATTATCTTAAGGAGATCTGGTTGCGTGAGATTTTGAGTGTTTCTAAGAGCTTTTAGTATTAATGATTGGTATGGACGAAGTCAGTTCGCAAGCTAGTCAGATCAGTGATCAGAATGCGAATGGTAAAAGAGGCAAAAAATTGACACCCACGAGGTTCGAACTCGTGCCTCCGAAGAGACCAGGAATGTATGGTAAGGTAACCTTACCCTGGCGCCTTAGACCACTCGGCCAGAGTGCCAATTCGTGCTGGTGATGTTCTTTTTAAATATATGATTGAATCTTTAAAGCCTTCAGCCACAAAATCCTCTAAAAAGCCTCTATTCTCGATGTATATTTGTTAAAGTAAGAAATTTGTATAAATCTGCATCAGCATTGTCTTACTTCAGATCGAAAAAGAAAATTAACGGCGATCAAATGGAGGTTTGAGAATCCACGGTAAAAAATGAGAATATAATACAATTGGGAAGACCAAATAATATCAATCATTAGCCAATTTATCAGTATCGAATTTTACTACAGTTCTTTCAACATTGTAAAATATATCATTATGACTCGTGAACTTACTCGGGAACTTACATCTTCCCCTTCGAGCACGCAGAATCAGCGAGACATTTCAATACTCCATTTCACATAACGCAGGAAAATATCCATTAAAGTAAGCAATTCCAAGGCGACACCATTGTCCACTTTTTTCAAACAATCATAAAAGTCATCCCTGCACGAGGATATGGTGGAATCCATACGCCCCTCTGGTACATTTGATATTTCCAATGATTGATCTGTTTTCAGTGAATCTTTTTTATTGCAATTTTGAAGAAGTTCCAATTTTAATTTGGTATATCTTAACGCCCATACCCACACCGGAGGCTCATCATCGGCATCCACCTCAGCAAAGTCAGTTGTGATGGGCTCTGTGCTGCTAAATCCGTTGGGGTTTTCGTTCTGAAGGTGACAGCATGTTTAGCTCATTCGCCTAAAGTCTTAATGATGATGACAGCATTACAAAAAACTCTTAATAAACCTACTCTATAGGTCTGTGACTAGGTTTTTCGTAACATAGAACACGAAATGGAATCTAATACCTTCTATTTCATTAAATTACAATGCTTTATTGTTCTCTTTTGACAGAACAATTTCAGTTATGCTCTAATTACTGATTTTCTCCACTCAATCTGTGAGGGCGATCTTCTTTATCATTTACGGTGTTTTATGAAATACGTTGGGATCTACATGTGGGATCTGCCTAGTTGGAGATGTTAACCGTTTATGGAAATTGCACGTACGGCCACGTCAAGAATCTATCATTTTCAAATTTGCCTTGCTCTGCCAATTACAAACTGAATTGCTTACTTTCTAGGTTAACGAAAACTGATGAAAAGTAATTCCTAGAAGTTTCAACTTAGAGTATGTTTGTTTGTTTTTTTCCGCTATAAACAAAAGGACGTGTACAATTTTTCTTCAAGTTATAGAGCCGTACAAACATGCTCTCTCCAATTTTAAGCGTCCCCGCAGGCATGGGAATGAGAATGTTTTCGGCATAGTCTGCAATCAAACCAAAGTGGAGAAATTCACCGAAAATGGCAACACATTTTCCCCATTTATTGTCTACACCATTCTTAAACGTGTTTTAATCATCTCCATTCAGCCAATGACCATTCTCGTGAAATTAACTTCATTGCTAAGGTGAATTTTGAGATATCCTTTCCTATCTTAAACAAGTCACTTCGTGGCATGGTTTTTTCAGGGTATCTAGATATCATGGAATAGTGAATAATCAGCGAGATGTGCAACTCTGTTGGTTTTGCATTGGCAGATCTAAACCTACTTATGCGATAGAAGCCGGGCGTCACTCATATGTCACGGGTGTCAACCTCCTCAACATGTATAATTCATGCAATGTCGCTAAATTCGGCCGACCGCGGTGTCAATCCCGGTGCCTGCGTCCACATGCATGAAACACCATGTTTAATGGTTTTCATACTAACATTCAGCGGGAAAAGACGATTGGAACAATGAGGTGCACAGAGTCGCCTGGATTTGTAATACTCTAATTGACGGCAAATGCGCAAATCGGGGGAGTGTTTAATGGTAACTTTTGACGGGGAAAAGCACAGATCACCACAAGTTGCAAAAAAGATGCATGTAGTATGATATGACAAATTGAATAAAAGCCCATGGATCTACTCCATCATCTTCTCTACCATCCGGCTTTTTCTATGAAGTTTTCACTCATTTTACTTCTCTTGTCAGTCGTCGCTCAATTGGGCTTTACAAATGCCCTCTTGTACATTCCTCCATTGCCAAAGAATGATCCATTCTATGCCCCACCTGCCAATCTCAGCAAGTACCTGGTTGGAGACATCATCGATTGGAGACCCACTCCTCAGAAGATCAGAACAATCTATGTGCCCGTGAATATCCAAAACTCGTGGCAATTCAAGGTTCGCAGTACCGACTCTTTTGGAAACCCTAGTGCCATCATTACCACTTTGCTCCAGCCATACTCGGCTGACCCCACTAAACTTTGGTCTTATCAGATTGCTGAAGATGCAGCGCAGCTCAATTGTGCATCATCATACGCCATTCAATTTGCGACACAGCTGAATATTGAGCAACAAGCTGAGATGATCATTTTGGAAACAGGCTTAGCCAAAGGTTGGTATGTGGTAGTTCCAGATTATGAAGGTTTGAAGTCTACTTTCACCGCTGGGTGGCAATCTGGTCATGCAGTTTTGGATTCCATCCGTGCTGTTTTGCAGACTAAGGACATTACCAACCTCAATCATGATGCTAAAGTGCAGATGTTTGGATACTCTGGAGGCTCTCTTGCTACCGGATGGGCTGTCCTGCTTCAATCTGAGTATTACCCTGCTCTCACTGGTCAGTTGATCGGTACTGCTATTGGTGGTGTCACTGGCAACTTGACTGAAATCGCTATTCGTAATGATGGCACTATTTTCGCAGGTTTCGTTGCCTTGGCATTGAGAGGTCTCTTGAACGAATACCCTGCGTTAGGCCACGTATTGAACGAAGATGTTAGTGCCATAGACAAGGCCAAATTCTTGTCTGTCACTGGAAACTTGTGCTTGATTCCAGCAGCGGTCACTTACCTGTTTCAGACTTACTTTAAGGGTAAATGGCCATTGTTCAAAGACGGGGAGCAGTTCTTCAATAGGGCAGATGTTAAGGCTGTGCTTAACAACAACACCATGGCCCTCAACAAAGATTATGGAGTTCCAACGTGTCCTATTTTCATTCACCACGGAAAAGCAGATGAGATTATTCCATTTGATGGTGCTGAGAGAGTGTACAACAATTGGTGTGAATGGGGAGTACAATCCTGTGAATTTAATGTGGCTAACACTACTGGCCACATTTTGGAACTTGTTGAAGGTTGTAGTGCAGCTCTTACTTGGCACACCAACCGTTTTGCTGGAATTGAGCCGGTTTCTGGATGTCAGAGAGTGGAGAGAGTCACTAACTTGCTGTACCCGGGCGCTGATTTGAGCACTTACCAGCTTCTAATCACGTTGATCGAGTCTGTTTTGGGTAAGCAGGTTGGAGAAGGATTAAACAGAAGTGTCAACAAGGTTCCTGTTGGATTTAAGACCTTGGAGGACTTCCTCGTGTCTGCTCTCGCCAAGTTGGGCAACCTTCCGTTTAGATGAGCCAAGAGTTAGGTCAATCTGTACTTTTTACTAATATATCAGAATCTCAATATGACCAGCAGATTCTAAAATTTTCGTGAATTTATTTTTCGTGCTCTTAGGTCCATGAATATATGTTCCAATCAAACTTTTCGAAAAATTGCACAAATTTCATTAGTAATTTACTGTTATATTACTATACTAATTTCTTCTACAGATCCAGCCGGCCTAGTATAGTGGTTAGTACAGTTCGTTGTGGCCGAACAAACCCAGGTTCGATTCCTGGGACCGGCATTTCTTTTTTCCTTTTTCTTATGTTAAATACCATTCTTTCCGCTATCTTTCCTCCAGATAGATTCATGGAAATTCTCAATCTTTGTATGCTTCTCGTCGTTGTTCCACACTTTATGTCTTGATGATTTATCACCCCTAAATTTTAGAAACAACTAAAAATCCATCTATATTGTTTCAAATTTCGATCTAACACCCAATTACAATCTATAAGTCTCTCAATTTATTGAAGTACTAATTTTTTCACTATATGAGTCCAATCCCAAACCCTTCATCTTATCACCATATGGAAACCACCGAGGTCGTGCCGTGCACACCAAATACTCGAATAATTAGATAAAGTATCCAACCTGAATCCACGATCTCCCCATCTACATCTCCACCATGGTTAGCTACGTATGTATAATCGGCATTTGTGCAATTTGTGCCGCTTCAACACCCTCAATTCGTATTTTCCTTATACTAATAGCAGTCGCCTTTGGTGATCGATAGCTCCCATTTGTCTGACTCCAAGAAACTTATCCGGGAGAAAATCATCCCCTGGGAGGGCTTGGCCCGTGCCGGCATCATTTCCAACGACCAGGCCGATCTCATAAAGGTGTTGGAAACTCAAAATGTCGACAGCAAGCGCCAGACCGTGTTGAACTCGCAGGAATTGTACTCGAAGACCATTTTGAACTTGTTGAACAAATTGGACGTTAACTCTAGGGATGATGTGTTAAAGAGCGTGTTGGTGTTAATTAACGACTTACTTGTGGACCCGGAAGCGGCTTCATTCTCGGAGGCGCTTTTGCTGTTGTCGTCCATCGACTCTTCTTTGCCATTTTCTCCATTTATCAAACACTTGGATAACAACGACTCGCTCATCAAAACATTGAGTTTCTACAACGTGACGATCTTGTTGACTCAGAGTGCCAAGCTGGGAGCCTCGGCCGATAAGGAGATCTTGATAAAGCTCTTTGACTTGGTATGCTCAGATGCATTCATTGGTAACAATCTGGACACCAACTTGCAGTCCATCGGTGTTCAGTTGTTGCAAGAACTTGTGGTAAGTAAGGCCTACCGTCTGGTGTTCCAGACACATAACTTGGTATCGAACTTTTCCAGCGTGAACAGCTTGATCGAGAAACTGGCCAAGCAGCCTAACGTCACTAACTTGCAACTCTTATACAATGCCTTGATGACTACATGGATCTTATCTTTCAGCGCCTCCATTAACAAGGTTTTGGTCCACAATTACCCACAATTGGTTGGCAACTTGTTGGTCATCTCCAAGGACGGTATTAAGCTCAAGGTCGTGAGAGTTGCTGTTTCCACTTTGAAGAACTTTGTGAGTGTGACCACCTCCAACTCTGAGAAGTTATCTGTGGTTAAATTGGTGTTGTTCCAGGACGGACTCAACATTGTCAAGACCATCCAGACCAGAAAGTTTGCCTCCAACGGCTCGGACGAGGAATTGTCCAACGACTTGGCTTTCTTGAATGACACTTTGAACGAGGTTGTAACCAGTAAGTTGACGTCCTTGGATGAGTACTTAGTGGAGTTGGAGAATCCTAACTTGTTGAGCTGGTCATCTCCTACCCACAAGTCTGCAGACTTCTGGCAGGAGAACTCCCACAAGTTTAAAGACAACAACTTCGCCTTGATCAAGAAGATGTTGGCTGTTTTGTCATCTGAAGACTCGTCGTTGAGCGGCGTGCCTAAGGTGATTGTGTTGAACGACTTGCAGTTTTTAATCCAGAACTTGGGCAGCGACGTGATTACCTTCATCAACGGCGAGAAGGGTGGCCAGTACAAGTTGTTGATTATGAACTTCTTGGATAACAACGACGGCAACAATGAATTGAAATATGAGGCCTTGCGTACCATCCAGCACTTGGTTGGCCATGCCTAGATAGATAGAGCAATTGTTTAGTCAATAAAACATTCATGTTTGAGAGAGTACTGCGGGGATCCAATTGACAAGTAACTATTAATTATCTACTTTAAATTCCTTTGTGAAGGTTAATTCCAGTTTAATTTAATTACAAATTCATTCTTCTGGAGTTGTTTTGTTTTCTCAGTCGATTGTCCTACTCTGTCTTTTCTGACTACATCTATCATTCGCGAATCTAAGGTCAATCCCATCTTAAAGTAAGTCCATGGTCAAAAAAGACTCGGACGCTCTCCAATACAGGAGCAAGCGACTACAAACCTTCACGGAAGGTGTCAAAGTCGGCAATAGCAAGACTCCAAAGCAATGGACTCAGACCACTGTGGATGTTGGCCATTTGGCAGATCTCGGTTTCTACTACTCTCCAGCCAGAAACTTGCCACACCAGGTGACGTGTTTTTGGTGTGGCAAAAAGGAGAAAACCCTTGAGAATGTCTCCTCGGTCGCAGAGTTCCATTTGACCAACAGCCCTCAGTGTCCATATGCGACGATTACCTCCAACTTGGAGAAGTTCATCATGGACTCTGACAAGGAGACTTTTTGGCAACGACTCAGCGATAATTGCCACAGAAATCATTTGACTGAGTCTGTCTTACACCCTCATAGCATTTCATCGTGTCTGCTACGACAGCTGACCTTCAAGAAGTTGTGGAAGTTCGATAAGGGTCGTAAATCGAAGGTATCAAGCCGAGGTCTAGCAAAGGCTGGTTTCTATTATTCTCCTCTCAGTCCTGATAGCGATAGGGTCATTTGCATGTATTGTGACTGTCCTCTTGAGGAATGGGATGTTTTGGACGACCCTTTGGAGGAACATAAAAGCAACTCATTCACGTACTGTTACTTTCTAGACACCATAGGAGTTGAGTTCCCCAAACTACCGAAGCCAGGGCAAAGATCTGAAGATCCTGAGACAGGTACTGATTTGCTGGATGGCACGAATAACGTCAAAGAAAATGATCGCGAGCCACACAATGCCCATACATCAAAGGCAGGTGGTGAAAGTGATATTGATGACTATCATAGTACGTCACACCATGACTCGCCGTTGAATCTGAGTATTCATCATCGTGACTCAGGAACGCCGTCACCAAACATTCTACAAAAAGCATCCGGTGCTTCAGATTTCGATGCCTTTGATTTTTCGGTGGAAGATCTCGAGAATCATGACCTGGGGACAATTTTTAATAACAAGAAGTCTCAAGATAAGAAAATTCGGAGACGCAATCCGAAACGTGGCACTTTGGAATCAAAAATTAAGGGTAAATCAAGACCAACTGATACTGGGATGTCATTAGTTCTCGAAATCCAGAAGGTTCCCAGCAGAGAAGACGAATCTGGCTCAATCCAGGAAGTAGATGATCTGACTCTTGGCCACCAAATTACCGTGTCTGGATCGAAAGGTAACTTTATCAGGGAGGACTCAAAAGTGTCTGCTTACTCAGAGTCTTTGGAATCTCATTCTAGTGAGGAAGAGGTTTCGAATATAACGGATCCAAGTTACGGGAACTCTACAAATACTGAGGAGAAACTGCCTGCAAATGGGCAGAAAAAGCGGAAAAATGTCGCCAGTAACGGCCTGGTAGCCAAGAAGCAGAAGTCTTTGTTCAGTGATGACGACTTGGGCTTGAATCAAGCTCAGCTTGAAGAAATCTTGAATTCTCCACGCAAAGGAAGGAAAATGAAGGTCATCAATAACAGAGCTGCCTCAACACCGCCCGATATCTATGACTTGTCCAATCAGAACATTGGGGACTACGAAGAAGAGAATATAAGCTTCCTCGAAAACAACATTAGATTGAAGAAAGAAAATGTAATAGTGAAGCGAGATTTGCTTTCGAAGGAAGTTACCACACCAAAGGAGTCTACAATCATTGATACGACTAAGACAAAGGAGAGAAAGAAAGGCAAAAAATCATTGCAGGCGCAACTTGATGATATGGTCAAGGATAACTCGAGGACTTTCGATAAACTGAAGCTGAAGTCGCTCAAGGAATTCGACTCTAACGAAAAAACGCCTGATAAAACTGGCTCAAACGACCTTCTTGGAGATCACTCAGTACCTGAACTTTCTGCCAGCTTTCCCTCGACAAGCACACCAACCAAGAAAAATGTTCACGTCAATACGATGATAGGCTCAATTGAGAATCAGAGCAATGATGAAGGGGAGTTCAGGAGCCGTGATGAAAAGCTGGAGTTGATTCTGGAAGAAGTACGTAACGTGAAGGAAACAGGAGAAGCAAAGGAGAGCGATCAAGAAGAAAAGGTTAAAGAGATAGAATTGGAAGTTTTCCCTGGTGATGCGATGGATGTGGACGAGGAGGAGTTGGTGGAGGAAGTTGAACCAGTGGAGAAAGTTAAGAAGGTGGAAGAGCTGAACAAAGTGGTCGAAGTGGATGCTGTTCATGTGGAGGATGCTGAGATTCAAGCGGTGAATGAGGATGCTGAGAAAGAAGAATCGAAATTTGATGTAATGAAGGTTGACCACGAGGTACTCTCAATAGAGGAACAAAATCAGATTATAGCACAGGAAGATTCGAGAGTGCAAACGGACGATGCTAATAGTTCCACCTCAAGTCAGCCTTCTGAGGACAAGGATGCGAAATTTTCTTACGATAACGAAGAGATTGTCCAGGATGTCGAAGACCTTACAGGCTCGAATGGGCCCCCCTCAGAATTCATGCCCAAAACAAAGACGCTTGCTAATGCTACGCCAACTTTGCCTATGCCCAGAGTCTCAGCGTTTGATAGTGATTCGTTTGAAATTCCCGATTTAAGCTTCAATGGTGAGAGTGGTCACGGAGCTCTCAAGGATGCTACATTGAGTAGAAACAAAGAGAGTGCTAATGAAGAAGTTACATATGAGGCACCTAACTTGAACGAGGCGGATGTCCAACTCAATGAAAATGAGGTAATAGATGAAGGTTTAAGCTCGAGTGTTGAGGTAAAGGCAGTTGCAGAAGTTGAAGAACAGGAAGCTACTGATCACAAGCTTTCTGAAAGGGATCAACCAACTAATGAAGTGAAAGCCAACGATTCCGACGGACGTGGCAGTTCAGATATCTATGGCGTTAATGAAGTGACTTCAAAACTGGAGGCTCAGATATCTGACATTCGAATCAATCAAGAGGAATCAAAGATGGAAAAAGAGGTAAATGAAAATGTTGTGGCAATCGAGGGCAAACATGAGGAGTGCGTCGATGAAGTCAACCTTGTTGGACTTATACATGAACAAGATTCAAATCAGGATGAGAAGGATATAAACCAGATTGAGAAGGTTGAAAAGGTTGAGCCATTTGAACAAGTTGAACAAGTCGACCAAGTTGACCAAGTTGAAGAAATTGAGGATGCTGGCCAAGTTGACCAAGTTGACCAAGTTGACCAAGTTGACCAAGTTGACCAAGTTGACCAAGTTGACCAAGTTGAAGAAGTTGAGGATGCTGGCCAAGTTGACCAAGTTGACCAAGTTGACCAAGTTGACCAAGTTGACCAAGTTGAAGAAGTTGAGGATGCTGGCCAAGTTGAGGAAACTGAACAGACTGAACAAGTTGAGGATGCTGGACTCGCTGAGCAGGATGTACACTGTGATGAGCCGAGTAAAGATCAAACTAATAGAGGTTCATCTGAACAGAGAATGGATACGAGTAAAACTGAGATCAACGAGATTGAGGTTAGGACAGAGGAAAATCCTATCGAATTGGAACATGCTGACAGCCATCATGATGAAGATATCAGGGTTCCAGATTCGACCTTCAATTTCGATGAGCGATCTGAACAAAGGGACCTAAATCTCTCACCATCATACCAGGAGTACGTGAACGACATGAAGGACATGGAAAACGAACTTGTTGGCGATGATAATAATCTGCTCTCAAAAACAGAAGTCAAGTCTTCCGCAGGATCGATAATTGAAGACTCGGCATCTGAGTTGCTAGCACTTTCCACTCAATCTCCCATTAAAGGAGGCAGTCCTCAAATCGACGCAGTCTCTGATGTGAAGGAAATTTACCCGGGGATACCACCTTCGAGTATCGGAATTAACCAAGAGGAAGCTACGAGTGAATCACTGAATGCTGAACCCTATGATCAGAACGAAACAGAGTCATCGATTAAGAAGAACCGATTTGAAATCGACAGTCGCTATTCTGAGGTCGAAAAGTCACCTTCTCCCCCTTCTCATGTTGCCAGTGAAAGAAGATTTCCAATCTCATCACCCAGAAAGCTTGCAAGTTCGGTTGGAGAAACTGATGATCTTGATTTCACTCATTCTACTTTGAGGAGGCTCTCGTTTACTGATATCGAGGCTAGCACTCCGCAAAAGAAAGCGCCACGAAAACAAGAGAATGGTGACCAGTCAGTTAGCAACGTCGATAGGACAGAAGCCACAGGTAGGCTTGTTGAACATGAGCAAGGCCATAAGGGAATGATCGTTTCTACAGCCCTGCGTTTTGGGATCAATAAGCAGCTGGAGAGAATACCGGCAGTGAAAGTGGACAACTTGGCCAAGGAGATTCAGACGCTACTGGATACCATTGAATACTTAGCCGAAGTTTCTGCGACCCAGCGAGAACTTCATAACGATGCTGAGGGATTATTGACTCACTTTATCGCAGCAATGCCGGAAGAAGAAGAAGCAATGAGCATTCGAGAGTGGATCGACCACAACGCTACGACATGCGGACGAACTGTGCGAGAAATATCAGAACGGGTGATTAGAACATATGAGGAAGCCTTTGACAAAGTTATTGACCAAGTTGCCCAAATGGATACGGTGGATTAAGCAAATAGAATTTCAGAGCTAATGGATGTGTGATGCCTGAGCAAAATTTGATTGAAACTACAAATCAGACGCTGGCAATAACATGGAAGGAAAAGCTTGACCAACTGTAATATACTAACAGAATTTCTATAATTTCCTGAGAGCCCTCCTTTATGATATCCACCAGTTATCATTATTAAATATATCAATGCCTGCATATAATAATTGAGATAATACCAATCCAATGTCATGATCACAGATCTGATTATCCACACTACAGGTTCAGTCCCAAATCGACCGCTAGATCCAAAAAATATCGACCCAATTCGAGCCATCTGGTAGCTCGTCGATTGAATTTTCTGTCCGTCTAAGTTTTGTTGTCAAACCTTTGCTTCGGGCTGTGACACTGTAGGTGATTTGACGTCTCCAAAAGCCGCCATTTACCATGTCGTTCTGGCCGTTTTCAACCTCCTACAACAACCACAGCAACTTGCTGAAATTCTTAGACTCGATTCTGGACTTTTCAACTGTCACCGTGGATAATTTGTTGGATGATCGTACCCTTCAAGAGGAATTTATTGCTGAGCTCGGCACATTGGCTCTGAAAGCTGGAAATAAGAACAGTTTTCAGTTAGTACAGCTGCTTAATGAGGGTCTGCTGGGCAAAAGTGGAGCCTTAGGCGCCAATTCTGATGCCGTTTCGGTATCCTCTTCCAATAACGACTCTTCAGGTGGTGGCTCTCTTTCCAAAAGTGCTAGGGAGGCCAAACTTCTTGAATTACTTCTACAGCCGCACATTCTCAATGGGTTCTTGGACTACATTGTGCTAAGTGTGGATTATTTTCACGACTTATCCCAATTGCCCGAGGATGAGCTCCCTAAAAAGAACGTTGGTGATGATAATGAAGATGATTTCGAAGTTCGTCACCGCCGATTGGCTCAGATGATGGGAGAAGACGTGGAAGATAGTGGAGAACGTCTACGCCGATGCATACACTGCTCTGCCGAAGTACTTTCCACGGATATGTGGGTAATTGCCAACCGAATCATAGAGACGCCGATTATAATGGATAAATTGTGGCTGATCTTATCTTTGCCCAATTTACTGGAAAATTCGCCATCAGTGTCGTATTTGGTCCAGATTTTGGACCATCTCATGGACCTGAACAGCATTGAACTTCTCAACTATATACGAAGACAAGACAGTTTGGTGGACACGTTCTTGAATCGAATTGACATCCCGATCTTCATTGACTTTTTCCTCAAGATTATCCAGACCGACAAGGCAGAGTCCCCAACAGGTATTTTGGAGGTGCTTCATAGTCAGCATTTGGTCCCCAAGTTGATTGATATTTTGAAGCCAACAATCACTGAGGTTGACGAAAATTGTAACTACATCGCCAATCATGATCAGTTATTTCGCCAAACTGCTGCAACTGAGTTTATCAAAGCTCTTGTCACCATTTCTTCAAACGCTTCGCTTGCTGTGGATCTTGAGACAAACATTGGTCCAAATCAGATCACTCGGGAACTTGCATCACCAAAGATTATTAAGATCATGATTGAGGATATCATTCTTGCTCGAATCAAAAGTACAAGTGATCCATCTATTACTTATACAAACAAGCATGGCATTAGCAACTGTGTTGCCATATTAATAGAACTTATTCGGAAGAATAACTCCGATTATGATTTGAATTGCGGAACTTACGGTACCCAGCTTCAAAACAATATTGAGGGCACTGGAGAAGTTAGTGTTCAAGTGATGTTTCAATGGTTGAAAGACTTTGATCAGAACCCTCCTGGTAGCAGGGATTCCGTCTACTTAGGTGGATTGCTAACTGTTTTTTCGCAATATCTCCCTGAATTAGTGGCTTTGATGGATATTGAACCACAAGTTCCCATCGCTCTTAGTGGTGAGCCTCTGGTATTGGGAATCACCAAGTTTAAAATTTCAGAATTGATTGCCGAATTGTTGCATTGCTCCAACATGATCCTTCTTAACTCCAGGAAGATTGCGGCAATCGTCCGTATTAGAGATAAAATCAGAGAATTGCAAGAAGACAATTTACAACTTGCTATCAATGATACTATCTTGGATCCTGTTGACAAAGAGACCGAACTGATACAGGGAATCCAAATTACAGATGTAACGAGTGGAATGGATGAGGTTTCGTTACATGATGTCCACCCCGAGCAGCCAGCTAAGAAATTAAAGCAGAGCACATCTACGGAGAATCAGATCTCGCAGGAAGGCTTGGAAGATCAAAAATACCGTGACATGATAGATGTATTGGATTTTGAAGACTCTGATGACGATGAACCAACTGTGTCAGCCGAGAGCCCATTTGTGAACGAGGAACGTAGGGAGCAGTTCATGGAGAATCCATGTCTTGGTGACAAATTCAAGTTGAGCCTTCACCTGCTGGGAATGCTAATGAAAATTGTGAGCAAGTTCACGGAGTATCCATGGCACAATTTTTTTCACAACGTTGTATTTGATTTGGTTCAGCAAATTTTCAATGGAAAGTTGAACTCATATAATTCATTTTTAATCGTTGAGCTTTTTCGTCTGGATAGGTGCGCAATTACCGAAGTCATTGTGAAGTGCTTCAAGGAGGAGATAACGCCACGTCCAGGTTATATGGGACACTTGATTCTAGTTAGTGAAGAGGTTGTGAAATTCACTTCGTTGTACAAACCTGCGCTTATTTCACCAATGATTGTGGAAGCAGTTACTTCAAAGGATTGGGAGTGGTTTGTTAGTGCAGTTTTGCTCAAGACCAGAGAACTTTACAATGTTATCTTGGGCGCTGACTCTGAATATTTGGATGAAGCTGAGCAAGGTGAGGAGAATGGAGATGAAGATGCGTTCGGATTTGACTCCTCCACGGTTGGATATATGGACCTTGAGCCTTATGAGAACCGGAAGCCAATTATTCTCGGAGATCTGAGTAATCACGATGAGTTTGTGCTGCCGGTGGATGTTGAGGATGGCGAGAACGATGAAGAAAGTTTAGATAACAACATGAAGATTGCTGATGTTCCAATTGAGAACATGTCACCCAAGCAGGACTTGAATAATGATTTCGCTGATTACGATGACTTCGAGGGAAATAAGTTTTCTTCTTTGCAAGAGAGTGACTTCTTGGACAATCTACTGGGATCGAGCTCGTCTGATGAAGAAGAGGACAGTCATCAGCTCCGGCGAGTTCCCAAGCATTATGCCTGATTACCTTCTGAGGGTAATGTAAGGTGAGAGTACGAATGATGAGTTTTTATAATTCAGGTGTTAGGCGTAAATTATTGCATAGCTAATTCTTCTTTCTTTTGTACATTACTTTGCCGTTGGGCAACTCAATCTTCTCACCCTTGTTAACACCCTTCTTTTTTGAAGGTTTCTTCTCTGCTGGAGGCTCCTTTCTGTTTGGATTGACGTAAGTGCTCTTCGTGTTCACGGTGTAGCCTGTGAGTTTTCCGAGAGATATGTTCCACAAGCTGGAAGGAATTCTAACAAAGTACGACTCTTTGAAGCCAGGATTGACGTCAATATCGTTCTCGTCCATCAAAGTCAACACCACATTTTCCTTCTGGTCATATTCAATGAGACTTACTTCTCCAGTAGGAGAAACATGGAATTCTTTGCCGTTAGGAGCGGTGATTTTTCTAGCAGAGCCATCCAGAGGAGGAATATATGAGCCTCCCCAGGCTTGATTCTTGATTTGCTCTCTCATGGCAGCAATTCTTTTGTAATCCTGCTTTCTGTTGATTCTCAACGAAACATACTGAAACGTTGAAACCACCACATACACAACGAAAAGCGTGAGAACCACTCCTGGTCTGAACCTTGAGTAGTAGTAGCCAGTTCCTTTCCACTTAGGAAACCCTTTGTCTAAAAAGTAGTCGTAACGTTGTTTCAACGAGTTGTCTCTCAAGATGTTTCCCACCAACGAGAGTCTCTGGAACCTCTCCTCGGCTTTCTTCTTTTCCGACTTCAGGTTCCCTCTATACTTGTCAGGATGTAACTTCCTAGACATTTTTCTGTACGCCTTGGAGATTTCCTCCGTGGTGGACTTGTGACCTTTCGTCAAACCTAGCCATGAGTAGAACGTAGTTCCAGACCCAAGATCTTTTCTAATCTTGTCGTTCAAAGTGAAAATCTCATGGTCCTGGGGAGTCCAGTTAGCCACTACAAAACACGCAATTGCCAAATAGACTACTGCTGTCGAAAACTTCATGGTTCTTGTAGTAGTTGACAAGTTTCATGGTGTCTGCAGGTTATGCCACGGTGGTAGTCGATCAACATCTGATAACGGAAAGAGGAATTAGAGGTTACAAATGATAATGGCTCTGATTTTGGCCTACATTTCCATTTTCCGACTTGAGAACACGTATTTTGGACCTCTTGTACCCCTGAACACGTAGCTGAAGAAGTTTCAGATGCTATGGTGGTACGGGTGTACTATACAAGATGGCAGTGCTAGGCATAAAAACCAGTGTAGCAATAGTGTTGATCGAGACTAAATATTAGTGCTATTTTTGCCAAAATGTCCCGCTATCCATTGTCGAGAAAACTCAAGGTGGTTTTTTTCTATAATGTTATGGCCACTACACTTTGGGGCTGCTGTCTAGGACGGTTACTTATACTACTTCCACTAGTAGGCAGACGATTCTTACCAGGTGGAATCGCCGATTTTTTCCATGTGGTGTCTACATTGCCGCTTGTTGGCTTCTTTGTTGTCAATCTCTTTGGTCGCAGCGTTTACTCGGCTTCAGACTTGTGGTCCTTCGTGAATGGGGCCCGTATGGTCTGGATCTGCTATGGAGTGATCTATCCCCACCCCAGAATCGCCAGACACACTTCGTACTCGTTTTTGATTTTGTCATGGTGTATCCAGAACATTGTGAGCTCGTCTTACTATTCGTTCAAGGTGAAAACCAGAACGTCTCCAGCATTTTTGTTCTGGTTGCACCATCACATCTTTTTCTTGACTTTTCCCATGGCCTTTATCAGCGAGCTCATCCTCGTCTTTCTTAGTTTAAAGTTCGTGAGTATTAAGTGGCATAGAATCGCCATCGAGCTTTATGTGTTGTCATATGTGCCATTGGGTTACTTGACTTTCCAGCATTTGCTCTCCAGAAAGCATTCCAAGTACGACGAGTACATGGAAAAGAGACGCGCGGGAAGAAGGCCCGGTGTTGAGCTCCAGCCTATTCCGTCATCATCTCCGCTAGTAAATGTAACTTCTGCAGACTCCGACGTGACTTCCAGGGTGAATTCCAATGCTCCATCAACGGTGCATTCCAACATCCCATCTATAGCGCATTCCAATGTGCCGTCAGCTAGTCATTCTACTGTTCCTTCTAACGCTGCATCGAGAACAGGGTCCACGGCCGCTTTGGTGGACTCTCCTTCTTCTTCCATTCAAAAGCCCGTGGCTGGGTCTGAGAATCTGGATTGAGTTGTCTCGGAATCCAGAGAGAATGCAATGACAAAGGAAGCTTTTGGACATTGATTTCCGATTGAAAGAGGTCTTGTTTCAAAGTTTCGAGAAGGTGTTTTGGGTGTGCGGTGTATTACCTTGCTGAGGGCCAATGTTACCTCGCTACTGGCCCCGTAATTTACACCGCCAATGCGTGAATCGAGTCGAGCTTAACTTTAAGGTTCTCCGCTTGGGTCAACTAGCACTGTTCCAGTGCCATCAATGGGAAATGTTGGCTTTGTGCCCCGACTTGTCTATGCTCAAACTGCCCATCGAGTTTTTTCTGCTTTAGCATTTGAAGCTGCTGTATCTCAAAGTTCTGCAGTGGACTTGTCAATTTTGAAAAGTTTCGAAATACTCATACAAGTAGCACGGACTACTGGTTGATTTGTCTAACGAAGTGATCGGATGTGTTATATCTGCACTTTGAATTGGAAGCTCTCTGGTGGTAATAATAATTGAGAACGAAGGTGTCCTCTTACACTATTAGTGCCATCATCAAGAACGCTATATAATAGCAAGCTTGTCCTGAGTGATCAGTTCTACCAAAATATTTAACAAGATTTTTATCGTTGTGGTTTCCTCTCTTATTGAGGTAAGCATCTCTAAGTGGCTTAATTTTTGTTATTGCGCGTGGCTAAGAAGACATCAACCTTCCAGTGTTACATGATCTTGATGATAGGAAACCATTTTATGATCTGTCTGTGCAGATTTTAACACAAAGAATCGTTGTTTACGAATTCACAAAACTTTTGCTCTTGCAATTTATACCCTCCAACCCTACGAGTCATCTAACAGTGATCACTATAATAACTAAACAAGAACTAAAGTAAGGTATCCTAAAAGAAGTTAGCACATTTCAGTAATTGGAGTGTTGAACTACTTGAGTCCAATGATCTCATTGAGAAGACTCAATCCAACGTCTCCCAAGAGCTTAACAATTGCTTGCAAGAGATGACGAACAAGCTGCTCAACTGCACCGATAATAGCAGGAACATCTCTTTTCATACCAGCCTGCTCAGTGTCGCCAATATCTCTGGCAACCTTCTCAGCGGCAACCACTTTATTTTCGATAATTTCATCTCTCTTGACAACTTCTTCAAAGTCCAAAAACTCTCTCTTCACAGTGAGCTTGATTCCAAGACCTCCCAAGACTTCAGTGACGTTAACACCTGCAGCAGCAGCTACCAGTCCAACATCCGTAATCAAGGTTCCAACAAGAGACTCGACATCAGCGAGTACCTGGTCAAGATCGATTGCTCTCTTCTCAACCACAATGTTGTTCTCCACAACTGGAGGAACAGGAGAAGAAGCAACGGAAAGAGCAGCAAAAGCGAAAGTAGCAATGGTAGAAAATTTCATTGAGAGAATTGACTGAAGAACTGTTCTTGTTCGGACTATTGTCTCTCCTTTTATATTCGAATTTCGACGAAGTTAATGTCAATATTTCAATATCTATCACCTTTTGCACCCACTGCCATGAGCCCGGAAGTTTATTGTATCTGCAATTTTCATATGACAGTGCCGGTAAACACTTATCAACTCCAAGGGTATTCAAAACAATGCTTCCTGAAATATTCTAGTGACATTATACAGAAGAAATATGATTATTTATTATGAGCTGACGGAACGAAGGAAAATTTTCATTCATATGAGTAAAGTACTTCGATGGAGTATTCACCGAAATACTTTTCCATGGAATAAGATTAATACATGCTACTGCATCCTTAATAAAACTACAAACTTATCGCTATTGTTCAGATCGATGCGTTCTTCAAACCACGTTCATGATGGTGGACATGAGTGTACCTTTATTTTGCGCTTAGTGATTGAAGTTGTGGGAGAACCTGGTAGCCACAGTTGAATGTGTGGTTTCTTCCTTCATTTGCTTTATCGAGTTTGCAGTTTGCCAGTAAAACGTTGAATCGATCACTTTGGCAAAAATAGACCCTTTGATAGATAATGCGCTTCCGGAATGTTCAAGTGATGCGCTCCTAACAATCTACTCAATACGGGAATCGAATCTACTTTTCCAGAAAATGAAGCATATTGTTGAACCAAGTTATCTATCCAAATTAATTAAAGTTCAGCACATATATGATTGGCGAGAGATAGAGTGGTGTTCATGTGAATGTCTATATGATTTAGGTGAGGACTGATTTCTGCAAGGCTTGAATCTGAAATTGCGCTCATTATCTAACGATCTGTTAAGGACTACTGTCCAATACGTCAACACTGTGGGTGATATCCAATCAGGAAAAGATGAGCATTATCTCTTCTGTTTTTCTGTTCCTTCCTTTTGCGCTCACAAGTAAGTTCTGAAGATTGCGTTATCTTTCGACATAGATATGCGCAAATGAGCAATTTGGTTCCTGATCACAACCTAAAGAAATCCAAATGCTCAACGGTTATTTTTGATTTACTTGTGTCACCAGAACTGTGGCAGTTATATTCCGTGGATATAGAGTAGAAATTTGCTCAATTATACTCTTGAATACAGAGAGTTCTGGGAAGTGATTCTCTCAGTTGAAAATCTCAAGCTAGCAAAAACTCCACACTAGACAAGCATACATCGACCTGGATCCCCAACTTTGTTGTGGATGCATAATTTAATTAGCTAATTCGTATTAAATGGGGTCCTTTAAAATGCCAACTGATCCTATTGATGTCATTAAGTAAAACGCTTCATGGCTTGAAGGCTTTTTAGAAACATTTATGTAGGCAGCAGTGATCATGTTGCTGTGAAAAGAACATCATCATAAGAGACAGCTGAATATAAGTCATTGGAGTTATTTCAACTAATTCGTCTTCAGAGTGGCCTATGAAATCAACTCACTACTTTGCGGTTCCAATGATACATTGTAAAGCAGATAACTCACTCAATGATAAGCTACTATCACACATAGAGACAAGACCATATATTAATTTATGCAAAAGACTTTTATTTAACAATCTCAGCCAGGTCTCTACATTTATAGGGTTGCCGTGACCATTCATTTGGTGGCCGTATGTGGTGACGTGTTTAGGAGGTCGGTAGATGTAGATCTCTACGCACTTTATGGACCATATGTTTCTGATCTTACTCTTACAATTTACTTAAGCAAGATGTTGTTTGGTTTTAGAACGGAATTGAGTAAGTCCCAATCTCAGTTAAGGTTCCTTGTTCGAAAACTGAGGAGAAGAAAAGTTATTTAGCAAGACTTTTCAGCCACTGCCAACAAGTGAAATATATCAGTGTTTGTCTTCTCTTGGCTTCTCGATCCAATAAATCAACAATCTACATGTGCATGTACCAAACAAAAATTCAGAATACCCTTTCCACTCTTAATCTCGCACACACAGTACTTGTAAGCGCATAATCCGGAAAATATATATATAATAGACGTCCCACTCAATAATGAAAAAACTCCTTAACCAGTCGTCAATTTCAAAAATGTCCTTTGTTGATAAGCTTTTACAGAAATATCAGGATAAAGTCCAGAAATCTTCGTCCCACCCTCTCACCAACGAGCTCTGCAATGGAACACTTCCAGACTACAAGCTCTATACATATTTAGTGCAAGACCTCAAGTTCTTCCAACTGGGTCTCCAAATGTTAGGCAGCTCACTCTCACATTGTGACAATGCCGAATCTAGCATTGTTTTGGCAAAGCAAATTGGATTCTTTGCCAATGACGAGAACACCTACTTCCAACGGTGTCTTGCACAGTTGAGAGCTGAAGCACAGGATCAGATCCACCACCATGTGCCGGCTATGGAGAAAGAATTTGCGCCCACCTTGCCGCAGGTGCTGCAGTACCTACAGTTCATAGCTCACTTGACCCACGATGCTCTGAGCTACGGAGAAATCATTACCTGTGTCTACGTGATGGAGGTTGTTTATCTCATCTGGGCTGAGCTGCACTCTAATAGCAAGGATACGGTCGCTTTGGAGTACAAGCATCAGGAGTGGGTGGATTTACATCGGGGACCGGCATTCTCTGCATGGGTGCAGTTTCTTGCAGGTGAGGTGAATCGGGCTGCTGGAACCAATCTGCAAGAGAAGATGGAGCAAATCTTTGAAAAAACCTTAGACCATGAGATTGCCTTTTTCGATGCTTGCTATCAGTATGAAGAATAGACAGATGTAATCTCTGCCGGCTCGCTGTTTATAAATCAACAATACTCGCAATTATAGGTACCTAGCGTAGTGAAATCTGAGGAGAAATTGAGGTTCATAGATGGTAGAGAACATTGTACATTTCATTTTAATTCCATTTATACTTGTACCGATAGTAGAATATTGCACACAATTCTGTATGATAATTGTAGATGGAGTATTTTCAAAAAGTGACCCTACTCCGGTCCAGTCGCATTCCTCATACAGTTGATATAATGAATTCATCATTGCAATTTCTACTCCAACTTCTGAGTATTGAGTCTCTTATTTCACTATTTTCGTTTCTCAAAACAACTTTCAAGTATCTGGAAAAGCAGGCTCGCTTATCAACTTTCACAATATATGTGAGGAAATACCGAGAATAAGAAAAATTCATTCGTATTTGAAAATTTCAAGAACACCAAACATCAAACGAATAAAGGACATTAGATATTGTGTTTGATACGAAAATTTGTTAAGAACTGAAGAACTACAAAATTTCCTGCTAAAGTTGACAGTATGTTTCATTATTACACATTCGGCCAGCGATACTCTTAATACTAGGACACAAGAAATACCATAGTGTCATGAAGTGGCATTAAGGAGCAACATACAGCCCACTTTCAAAATCTAATTTTTCAATAAACCACATAATTACTATTTCTGCCCTCTCTCTCCCATTTATGTCCCTCAAATATTCTAATCCTCATGTACTTCCCCACTACACCCGTACATCCTCAGTTGGTACACTTCATGAAAAAATTCCTCAACTAACCTGCTATCGACAATGATCACCAAATATTTCACCAAAGTGGCCGTCAAGTTCGATCCATTTGCCGCCAGCGCAAAGCCTGTTCGTCTTTTCCTCGCCAGAATTCCTGCCCAGCAAAAATCGGGCTGTGCTGTGGATTTCAAAATCTTGTCTGCCAACGAAAAGCCTTCTGTCTCTGTCACTTTCAAGGACAAGCACGTCATGGACGCCGACCCAGAAGCAATGAGTTTTCAAGACCTCAGTGAACACTTTGACCAGCACTCTAGAAAGCTAGCCTTGAAGGCTGCCATTTCAGACTAGTTTATCAAATTAGCATCTCTGACTAGCTGTCTCCACCTACTTGTATATAATATGGGAATACATGGACTATCGATTAACCGTAGCATTCGGGACAGTGACGTACATTCCATACATAAAATCGATACCTATGCATTAGTCATCACCGAGAATGCTAGAGCTCGGTGCTAAATTGACCAAATGGCCGAACCAGTTAAATTGTTGTTCCGTTGTTCCGGTGTAGGTTTCAGTCTTATACATGACGTTGCAACTCCACATAAACGTAAACCATTGAGCAATAATTCTTAAAGAAAGAAATAAATTTGGAAACACTCACAAATGCCCACCATCAACAAGTACACACAATTCATGGAGCGTTTGGCGTTACGAACGCCCATAATTCAGGCTCCAATGGCCAATATCTCGACTCCACAGGTCGCAAGCGAAGTCTACAAGGCTGGCGGCCTCGGATCATTGCCCATGTCGACAGTGGACCTCACCAAGGACACAAATCCCGTTTTTGACCTCATCCACAAGTTCAGAGCTGGTGCAGGCGCCAATGCTCCTGTCAATTGCAACTTCTTCTGTTTCGATCCCAAGGAACAGCATGTGCCCACGAAAAACGAAGAGGAAAATTGGAAAAAGCTCTACTCGAAGGCTTCTGGAGAACTGGTTGCAGAGATTGACGCCAAAGTGGCCGATTTCTCCTCAAGGGCCGTGGTTTCGTTTGCGGAGTTCGAACAGAACTACCCTACAGAATGCTCTGACTTCATTGCTCGGCTTGTAGACGCCAAAGTGGGAGTGGTCTCGTTCCATTTCGGGATTCCATCGGTGGCTAACATCCGCAAGTTCCAGCAAGGAAACGTGTTGGTGTTGGGTACAGCTACCTCACTCGCAGAAGCTCGGCATTTGATGGAGGCCGGAGTTGACGGCATAGTGTGCCAGGGGTACGAGGCTGGAGGCCACCGAGGAAACTACTTGGGCGATCCAAGATTAGACGAGAAACTCCCGACGCTGTCGTTATTTCAGCTAGTGGTTAGAGCAGTGACTACTGGTAAGTATGGAGAGGCACAACGAGAGCCATACATTATTCCGGCTGGAGGAATCGTTGACGGGAAAACTGCAGCCACTTACCTTAAGGAGGGAGCAGCAGCGGTTCAACTCGGAACGGTGTTTATTCCTGTGAAAGAGTCGGGAGCTCCAAGCTACATTGGTGACTCCATCGCAAATGTCCGTGAAACTCCGACCATCATGACTCCGTTAGTGTCGGGACGAAATGCGCGCACACTTGCAACGCCGTTCATTGAGAAATTAGTCACTGAACAGGAAATTGCGCTTCCGCTTCTCCCATTTGGATACTCCACATCTGCCTACAGAGACTTTGCGAATAAACGAGCAGAATACGGTTTCTATTTGGCAGGGGCAAATTATCATTTGGTAGACACCGATATGTCCACTGGAGAAGTAATGGCTTCACTCGTGGCTGGTCTAAAGAATAATGGTGTTTGAGGCTTTGATTCCGAAGGACCCGTAATTGGGCACAGTCAGACGGCGTAATTTACTTTTTAGGTTATGACACGTTCTGATCTGCCAAAACACACCGAAGCGGCGTATTTTGGGGGGTTCAGATTCATTTTTGAGTTTAAAGTGGTGCAATTGTAGCTTGTGTTCTGTCGATCATCGCCTCAGTCGCTTCCTTCGTTTATCCACACAGTTGGCCTCATCGAACCATCACTTCTCCACATCTACTGCATGGTTGTTTCCTCTTTTTTTTCTTCTTTCCATTACAATCCGACACTCCCGTATCCATTCATGAGTCCATGTCGAAGACCCTAACTATTAATGATGCACAAATTTTCTGCGTTCCAAGCATGTCCTGGAGGCATACATATCTTCACTAGCATGCGGCTTTTTTGACAAATGGCAGCCACTCCTAAGGTAGTGTAAGCGCCACAATTGCATTCTCCAAACTCCATAACACAAAGGGCCACGATTTAACTACATTCATAGATTTGACGTTTCTTTTTTCTCGCTTTTTTTGGTCCTGGAGCGTCATATTGGACGATGTTGTCCTGAAATGCCCTGGTTTTTCCGATTTTCATGACTTAACTCCATGCACTCTGCGTCAAATGGTGCGGGTGCGAACGGGCCCCTCCAAAGTGGTCTGAGATGTTACATTAGCCGTTCTCCTATTCGTTAGCAAGATGTAAAGGTTGCAACATTTAACGCTGGCCATGGGCCATTCACTTGAACAATCCCATCATGTTTCGTCAATTCGTATCTCCATATAAAGCCGGTCTTTCGCTGTTCAGACTCGCCAACCAAAGATTATTCGCATCCACTATGTCTGCTGCTCCACAATTGTACACCATCAAGGACCTCACAGAGGACCAGAAGGACCTCATCAAGGCTTCCGTTCCAATCTTGGAGCTGAGTGGTGTTGAACTTACCAAAACATTTTACAACTATATGCTCAACACCTACCCGGAGGTGAAGCCATTCTTCAACGAGACTAACCAGGTCACCTTGAAGCAGCCTAGAGTGTTGGCATTTGCCTTGCTCAACTATGCTAAGAACATTGATGACTTGACTCCATTGACTGACTTTGTCAACCAGATTGTCATCAAGCATGTTGGATTGCAAATCAAGGCTGAACACTATCCATACGTGGGTAACTCTCTTATTACCACCATGGGTAACCTCTTGGGTGAAAAGATTGCTACTCCTGAGTTTGTGGAGGCTTGGTCTACTGCCTATGGAAACTTGGCCCAGATCTTGATCAATTCTGAGTGGTCTCAGTACCAGAACCAGGACTGGCAGGGATTCAGAGACTTCAAAGTCACCAAGTTGGAGGACGAGGGCTCTGAAGTCAAGTCTGTCTACTTCACACCTGCTGATGGGGGAAAGATTGCTACTCCTGTCCATGGTCAGTACTTGGGTTTCAGATTCAGCCCTCCAGGCTCGACTTTCGAGAAGTCTCGTGAATACTCCATCTCCCAGTTCCCAGAAAACAACGAATACAGAATCAGTGTCAGAAAGTTGGACGGAGGTGTGGTTTCCACCTTTGTGCATGACCAGTTGAAGGTTGGTGACATTATCAAGGTCTGCCCACCTACTGGTCGTTTCTTGTACCAGGAGAACGACAAAGACGTTGTTGCCTTTGCCGGAGGTATCGGTATTACCCCTATTGTTCCAATTATCTCCAAGGCTTTGGATGATGGCAAGAAAGTTACCTTGTTGTACTCCAACAGAAGTGCTGACTCTCGTGCATTCGGTGACTACTTTGGCAAGTTGCAAAAGGAGAACCCTAATTTCACTTTGAAGGAGTATCTTTCCACCGAGAAGAAGTTGGAGGCTGGCGACTTTAAGGGTCTTGACTTGGCATCCAAGGAGGTTTACATGCTTGGCCCTATCGACTACATGAAGTTTGTTCGTCCTGAACTTGAGAAGAACGGTGTTGCCAAGATCAACTCCGAGTACTTCGGTCCTACTGACGTTTAAATGTATATATTTAGTAATGATTATTATGATTTAGGAATCATGTGTATGGAGTTGATGTTCATGTTATCTATAAAAAATCCGTGCATTGCCTGGATGAATAAATCGGTTGCAAAATCATGAACGCCTAATGGAGACATGAGGAGTGCTTCCAGATCTTGGAGAAGATATCTTAACTTAAAATTGCAGACACCATTGTGGCGTGGGGTTCTTCTTTGGATTAAAAAGGCATTCACCTTTTCTCATCTTCCACCATCAACTATATACATTTGTGGTGGATAGAATTAAACAGATTCCATAGGCTCCACCAACGTAGCGAAGATTCGTATCCAATATGATCAAGGTTTCTACACATTAAAGTATTACTCCAATAAATAATGAGTGTCAATTTATCATTTCAGATACTATAACTTAATATTTGATAATTGAGGACTATCTATTTGTATTGTGAATGGTATAAGGACGTAAATCATGTCTGGCAGGTAATATTGGGCACATCAAACAGTACCTCCGGTAGTTGATTTCCGCTATCGCGAGGTGATCCGTTATCGGCAGCGTTGCACCGGTTTTTAATACCCGGACAATCATACATAAGAATCCAAAAATCCAAGAAATCGATTCGCTTGCCATAAACACATACCTATTGCTTATGACATCTGTCTTTAAAAGATACGCATTGACCTTCGGTCGCTCTCCCATCTCCCACTTCAAGAACCTCACCAAGGCTCTTGGAGGTAATGTGGAGATCTATGCAAAGAGAGAAGATTGTAACTCAGGATTAGCATTTGGTGGAAACAAATTGAGAAAATTAGAATACATCGTTCCAGAAATCTTGGACGGTGGATACGACACTTTGGTTTCCATTGGAGGTATCCAATCCAATCAGACCAGAATGGTTGCAGCTACTGCTGCTCATCTTGGGCTCGATTGTGTTTTGGTCCAGGAAAACTGGGTTCCGATCCCTGAAAAAGAGGTAGATAACTACGATAAGGTTGGAAACATCGAGTTGTCGCGTATCATGGGCGCAGATGTTAAGTTGGTCCCAGATGGATTTGACATTGGTATCAGAAAATCTTACATTGACACTTTGCAAGAGCTCAAGGACAAAGGAAAGAAGCCATACGCTATTCCTGCTGGATGCTCCGAGCACCCATACGGAGGGTTAGGATTTGTTAATTTTGCCGATGAGGTTGTTGCACAGGAGAAAGAATTGGGTATCACTTTTGACAAGATCGTGGTGTGCTGTGTGACTGGATCATCATACGCTGGTATTCTTGTTGGATTTGCTCAATACGGAAGAGAGAAAGATGTTATTGCCATTGACGCATCGTTTACTCCAGAGAAGACCAAGGCTCAAGCATTGAAGATTGCTCAGAACACCGCTAAATTGATCAAGTTAGACAAGGAATTGACCGAGGAACACATCAACTTGGACGAGAGATTTGCACATCCATGCTACGGTATTCCCAATGAGGGCACGTTGGAAGCTATCAAGTTGACGGGCCAGACCGAGGGTGTACTTACTGATCCAGTGTACGAGGGTAAGTCTATGCAAGGATTGATTCAGTTGGTTAGAGAGGGAGCTTTTGCCGAGGGTTCTAATGTGTTGTATGTTCATTTGGGAGGAGCTCCGGTGTTATCGGCATACCTGAGTTACTTCTCGTAGATTGGCAGAAGATCATAATAGAAGGTGACAATAGAAGTTTAAAAAGAAGATGACAATAGAAGATTATTATAGAGAGTGAAAATAGAACCGACGATTGTTGGAAGTAGGAAAGTTTATGGTTGAGATGAGGGAAGAATCTGAATAGATGATCCGTTAGCCGCATCAAATCCCAATACAGATGGTTACGAAAAAGATGACATTAGAGGATCTTGAAAAAACAGAGAATTCCAAGACATTGAACTCACTGGGTCTGTGGGAAGATAACAGAATCCAAACAACAAAGCGAGTTGCCAAAACAAAATTGGAGATAGAACGATAGGATCATCTTCTAAACCTTCAACAAGTTCAACACATTCAGCACATCCAGCACTTCTAACATAGAAAGCCTCCAGATGAGTTCATCTGACCACCTAATAACTACTTAAATCCTCGCTACCTCCTCACAATTCCCCACAAGCAAATTCATCGTCCTCTTGTACCTACTCCCCATGGTGTGCACGGAAGTGAAATGTGGGCACCAATAGCATACATGCCATAGTCACCTTACAAGTCGCTCAAGCAGCCCAGGGACCCCTGCGACTCCAAAGCCTCCGCCAGCAAGTTCAGTGCTTTCACGCCAAACTTAAATCACTCTATGTGAAAATTCTCACCCCCACTTTCAATTTTACATCCAAACAACTAAATTGCCAAAACTCACATTCACCAGTCACCGTAACCTTCCGGGATGCGGAATCGGCCATGAAAAGCACGCACAAAGGAAAAGAAAAACAAAAATTATAAGTCTAGAAAATTTATTTGCACACAAAAGAATAGAATAATTCTATCATAGACTTCCCCATAAACCACCATCTCCTCTCCAAATGCGCCAAAAATCCAAACCTCCAACTCCGACCCCGTTTGCTGTTCGTCAAGAACATTTATCCTGGTTTCCGGCCCCGCCGGGCTAAATCACGTGGCACAACCTCGGAGCCGTGGGTCATGACTCCACAATACAATTAAGGAAAACAATGACTAAAGCATAAACACACCTTTGAAAAATTTGAGAGAGTTCAAGCCATTAGCATAGCTGACGCACTCCAATCATTACTTTCTATAATTTGAGCCATTTTAACCCCTCATCATCCTTTAGACACCCTCCGCATCTTCGGAGGCACGGATGCACAATCCGGGGTTGGCCAATCACCACCAAGCAAATTATCATTTGTAAATCCTGCAGTTAAGCCATGAACCACCTCCGGGAGAATGGGTTTTTCGAGCCTTTTTATATATAGCGTACGAGCTGCCCACCGCATTTCTGCCACCAACCAGTTTTTTTTTAGCACACCATGTTCAGACAACTCGTTCGCCCCATGGCCCGCATTTCACATGCCAGAACCTTGGCTACTGCCTCGGCTCCAAGAATTAAGACCTTCCAGATTTATAGATGGAACCCCGACACTCCAGAGGTTGAACCAAAGTTGCAGAAGTACGAAATCGACTTGAACGCATGTGGACCTATGGTGTTGGATGCCATCTTGAAGATTAAGAACGAACAGGACGCTTCGTTAACCTTCAGAAGATCATGCAGAGAAGGTATTTGTGGCTCTTGTGCCATGAACATTGGCGGTAAGAACACATTGGCATGCTTGTGCAGAATAGACACGGATACCAGCAAGGAGACCAAGATCTACCCATTGCCCCACATGTACATTGTGAGAGACTTGGTTCCAGACTTGACTCACTTCTACAAGCAATACAAGTCCATCCAGCCATACTTGCAAAGAGACACTCCTCCAGCAGATGGTAGAGAGAACTTGCAGAGCATGGAGGACAGAGCCAAGTTGGACGGTTTGTACGAGTGTATTTTGTGTGCTTGTTGCTCCACGTCCTGTCCTTCTTACTGGTGGAACCAGCAGGAATACTTGGGACCAGCAGTGTTGATGCAGGCATACAGATGGTTGATTGACTCGAGAGATGAGGCTACCAAGCTCAGAAAAGAGATGTTGCAGAACTCCATGTCGTTGTACAGATGCCACACTATCATGAACTGTTCGAGAACGTGTCCTAAGGGGTTGAACCCCGGCCGTGCTATTGCCGAGATCAAGAAGTCTTTGGCCTTCGATTAGCTTGCATAATATTTATCTACAAAGATTCATTGAGGCATGTAGAGTAGAGGGTATGTGTTGAGTCACCTATAATACATCGAATACATGGCATATAGCATTACAAGATGATGTAAGATAGCACGGCTTTATGTGATGAGTATATTGATTGACTATCAGACAGGAATGATCTGTGAGTCTTTTGTCTAAGGTCGCAAACACGTCTGTTCAACCAAGTTCTATCTCTCAATTTACTTGTGAGTTTCCCGGTAGAGAGTTGATAACTTTGATGTTCATTTATGTTTGTAGCCAGAATTATCAACTGAAATTTCTCCATTTGATTCAATGAAGTTCAGCCGTGATCTAAAATTGATGCTTCCTTCAATTTTTTTATTCCTCTTACTCCTATTCCATCACACCCAAACATATCGCTCTCATACAATCAATCTCATCTCGTCACCCCATTGTTCTGCTCGATTCGCCTCCTCAACTCCTCTAGAGCAACTCCTTATTATCCACTTTTTCCTAAACACAGTCCCTATACTCCCCACTTCTCCCGATATGGTCAAATATTCCTCCACGACATCCCAAAATGGGCCAATTCTCCAGAGGTCTGGGGTTGTCTCTATGATACACCCGTACCTCCCAAGAAAGTAACATTTGAAAGTTCATTCACGGAGTTGCAATGGAGGCATATTTTCCGATTCGGAACCTTTTGGTATTCATTTTGAACTAGTCAACCATTGATTCCGACCGTCCCGATATGGTTTCCTAGCGTTGGTTGACCATCGCTGCAATGAATTCTCGAATCTGGGGTAAACAGCCTGCAGGCAACGAGGTCCTTCTCCACTAAAACTGGGGTCACCTACATATATCGAGTGACCTAAACCTTCATAATGTCGGTGTTTGACCCCGCTTAAAAGGGGAAGAGGTATCCGAGCGATTAAAAGCCTTGGTGAGCGATTAGTTAAATCACTCGGAGTACGGATACAGGTATATTTAAAGAAGTGAGATGGTAGGTTTTCTAACCCCAGACTTTTCCAGATTGACCAGACAACCAGTCCAGTGAATCATTAGATTAAATTCTATCTACCAAAGTCCAAAACTTCTCTATTTCTTCGAATTCTTCGACTCAACTTTCACAGTTGCAAAAAAAACCCCCACGAATTCTTCAAAAATGGCTAAACCAAAGGTGTTGCTCGTCTTGTACGAAGGTAAGGACCATGCTAAGGATGAACCCAAGTTGTTGGGATGCTTGGAGAACGAATTAGGAGTGCGTGAGTTCGTAGAGTCTCATGGCTACGAATTGGTTTCCACTGCCGACAAGGATCCAGTTGGATCGTCTGAGGTGGATCAGCACTTGGAAGACGTGGAGATCATGATCACAACTCCATTCTTCCCAGCTTACATCACCAGGGAGAGAATTGCTTCTGCACCAAACTTGAAGCTTTGTGTGACTGCCGGTGTGGGTTCTGACCATGTGGATTTGGGTGCTGCCAACGAACGCAAGATCACAGTTGCTGAGGTCACTGGATCCAACGTTGTTTCTGTTGCAGAACATGTCATGATGACCATCTTGAACTTGGTCAGAAACTTTGTTCCAGCACACGAGCAGGCTGTTTCTGGAGGCTGGGACATCGCCGCAGTTGCTAAGGACACCTACGATTTGGAAGACAAGGTGGTGGCTACCGTGGGTGCTGGAAGGATCGGCTACAGAGTGTTGGAGAGACTTGTTGCCTTTAACCCTAAGAAGCTCTTGTACTTCGACTACCAGGATCTTCCACAAGCTGCTGTGGACAAGTTGAATGCCGCATCTAAGTTGTTCAACGACAAGGACAACATTGTGGAGCGCGTGGAGAAGTTGGAGGACATGTTGGGTCAGGCCGATGTGGTTACCATCAACTGTCCATTGCACGAGGGTTCTAAAGGTTTGTTCAACAAGAAGACCATCAGCCACATGAAGGACGGTGCCTGGTTAGTTAACACTGCTCGTGGTGCCATCTGTGTGGAGCAGGATGTGGCTGATGCCGTGGAACTGGGTAAGTTGAGAGGTTACGGTGGTGATGTTTGGTACCCTCAACCAGCACCAGACAACCACCCATGGAGAACCTTCAGAAACAAGTATGGAGGTGGAAACGCCATGACCCCACACGTGAGTGGAACTTCTTTGGATGCCCAGGCCAGATACGCTGCCGGAGTTGAGGAGATTTTGACTCAATACTTTGACAAGACCTACAATTATGCTCCTCAGAATGTGATTGTTATTGACGGAGACTATGCCACCAAGGCTTATGGTCAGAGGGAGAAGAAATAAGTTTTGCAAAGTACTCAAAGTGATTGGCGAGAGAAAGAATGATATTGATGAATGATGACCAATGAAAATTGATGTTCATGACCCACCAAAGCGTTAAGCAGAAAACTTCCAAGGAAGAAATTGTTTTTAAAATTTGTATGAAATTGTTTTTACCCTATTAAACATTGTAGATTACCTATATCCCAACGAACTATAAAGAGAAAGCTCAACCTTTACACTCCAAAAAGGTCCTCAAACAGGAGCAAATTGAAATTGGGCTCAAACTGGGAAAACGAATTATTTGGCACGGAAGTTGTAGACGATGGAGACGGCGTCATCAATTGAACAATTTCCGGAGATAATTTGTTCACATAATCCTGCTCAAGACATTGATTGACATAACTGGTGATCTCTTCAACATCCGTCACTGTTGATAATTCGATGGTGAGTACAGCATGCTGCTCATAGTACTTAGTAGACGTGGCTAATTTCAGAATCAGTTCATGGACTTTGAGAATCCGATTGTAAAGTCGATGTCTATCCTGAATCACGGAAAGTGCCTTGCACATGACATTGATTACCACATGAAGCAGGTTAGTGACCTCATTCAATGCTGAATACAAACTCTGGTACCCTGGTCCCGAAACTGGGTGTGAAAGAAGTCCAGGGCGAGTTTGAATATAGTGCATCTGAGTCCTGAAATCAATGTAGGTGGACCAAATAAGGGTAACACTCTGGATCACACAATGACAGCTTATGGCCGAGGTGAACATATCTGAACTTGCGCCAAATGGAGTTCTTTCTTCATCAAGAAGTCTAATGGTGAACGGAAGGAAGTGGCTGCACATCACAGATATTATTTTACTTCTGTACTTGAAGGCTAGGTCGCTCTTGTGTTCTCTCACAAAGTAATAATGTAAATGGGTGCAAAATCCCACATACATGAAGTAGACCATGAGATATGAGTGATAGTCAGAAACCCGAAGAAACATATCTGCCAAGTTGTGGGTCTGTGAACTGGAATCTTGAATCACCTGGTCATAGAGCTCCATTTCTTTAGCCTTGAGAATCTCAGTCATTCTCTCTGTTTCGTGAAGCAGAACTTCTCCACTGACTTTTCCCAGAAGTTTTAGGGCTTCAGCAAGCAAAACTCTCAACTTGGCAAATTTGGCGAATTCTTCACACACAGCAGCATCAAGTTTTGTATACTCGATATTCAGTGCAATCGATTGACTGACAGGAAGTTCCACGTCGTAGGTATCGGGTCCAATTGTAGGTAGATTTCCAGAGAACACCAGCGTGGAAAAGTCAAGGTGAAGGATGGTGTACCATATTTTGCGTAGCAACGCTGTCTTCCGGAGACTGATCGTCTCTATATTGAAAACCTGCCTAGGATCTCTATGTAGCCATCGTGTATATGCCAACAGATTCAAGATGGCCAGGTATGTCAGATTCTGGATGTCCGGGTTGACGTTGCCTGGGTTGAACATCATCGAGGTCCGAAGCAACGTCACCAATTGAACCACCTCTAACTTGACATCCTTGATAAGATCAAATTCTTTGAGGCATTCCTCAGCAATGTTGATCGAAGTGGGCAGAATCTCAACCTGGGCCAAATATTCCAATTCCAGATGGGAGTTGCAGAAGCAGAAGCTGCGAACATAGTTTCTGACATTGAATAGTGAAAGATGGGACATACGAAGTACAACCAAGAGAATGCCCATGAGAGCGAAGTCTGTCTCCTTGGAGATTGTGACTATGGTAGGTTCTTCCGAGAGAGATCTTTTTCCCACAATTCCTGTGATGGCAGTCCGGAAATCCTGCTCATCCAAAATAGGAACAAAAGGGTAGATAATGTGGAAAAACCGGTCAAAAAGTTGCCAGAGCACCCGCTTATGTGGAAGAATCTTCTGGATCTCAACAGCCAAGCCGTTTTCTCTTTTGAACTCAGATGTTGTCGCCCCATCACAACCAGACTCTGAACACAACTGACCTGTGACCAAAACATCAGGACGCATCGAAGCTTCCTGAATCAGGTCTAGCCTCTTTCGTGGAATGGCATGCTGGCACAATCTGAACAAGCGTTCATCAAGAGATACTGGAACGAGCCATCTCAACAGGCCCGGGCGCCGCATCCCCACAGTGTCCAGATAATCAACAGTTTTGACTTCCTTGTAGAAACTGAAGCCAGCATCTGGGTGTCCTGGGGTAATATTTGCCATTCCCGTGATGTTGACCCGAGTTGGCCCAGATGGAGCAACGGAAATGCCAGAGATAAGCGATTCCAACGAGGAAAGTCGTTGCTTCAAAAATTCAACATCTGAGCCTTCAGGTGGCGGCTTCAGCACACGATTGGCAGCAGCCATATTTGGAGTCCAACCTGGAACCAGGGCAATATCACAATCTTCTTGACCAAAACGTACGCAATTCTGACATGGGGAGGCCATGTCACATTTGATTTTCCGCTTGCGGCAGAAAGAACACACGACCTTTCTCCTTCCTCTGCTCATTATGAATCTTAGTTTGGTGGTTTGACTTTGTTGAAGCCACTTGAGGGAGAGAAGCTTTTATTGTATTAATGAATTTCCCGTTTTCTCCGTCGGCGGAGACTCTCGCGCAGGCGTGCATCTTCAGTGTTGGGTTCCATACATATAACCTTGCCTTCCGCATGCTTTTAAGACGTTGACACTACCGCTCCGTAAAATGTTACAATCGGAGTTTTGAAATGGTAATTCTGGACGATTGGTTGATCTTTTTGCTTTCTCTCTCGGGTACATTCTACGTTGAATATTCGGAAAGTTTAGCATATGAAGTGCATACAGCCAACTGTCAACATGTAGCGAAGGTGCATTATCAACGCTCCATTCACTTAATGGTACAAATTTCTCTATCTTGATTGTTGAGATTAGTACGTAAGGGTTTTGTGTAGTTGGGCCAAAAATGAAATATCCTGAGATGATTTTAAACAGTATATTGAGGGCTGGTTATCAGTAAGAGATGTTGGCGATAGCTTTGACCTTGTCGGTCATGAAGCGGCTAACAGTGGAATTCATAGAATCAATGCTTGTTAAGCCTGATTCAGTCCTTGTAAATCCCTTACACATACTCCTTGAAGAAATGAGGTCAACTTGTAACGAGCCTAAGTTATTCACGATGACTAGCTTGGAGTTATTGAGTGAGCTGAAACGACTTCTATGACTATCAGAATCAACTGTATCCTGATGTATAGGTTGGCTTCAAGAGTGGGTTGATTATACGGAGTAGGTGGAGTCCACTAATCATAGGGAGAACAGCGTGCAGGCAAGACTGAATCTATCCTTAGACATCTTGTAAGATCTGATTAAACCTAGAAAGTACAATGAAATTAGGAAAGTTTATAGCATTGTTTTTAGCGGTTGGCATTAACGCTGCAATGACTAGGATATAATTACATACCAGAACCGTTGCTGCCGTGCAAGAATGTAATAACAAATTTGGCGTGTTCGGTCGGGTGCTTGTGGAGAATGGAATTGAAACACTCATTCAAGTGAGCATGAATGGAACATTTCACGAGGATGTCTTATTCACGGATGAATGCGACAAATACACTTCATGTGTAATGGAACATAATGGTGGGGGTTCAATCGGTTTGTTCAGCGAGGATGAAAAGCTGTGGGCAGAAGCAAACGAATGCTACTTTACGGACTCAATAACTGACGGGCATGACGATTATGTGCAATGGAGCTTAGAAGAATTGCACGACGACCCATTATTGGATTATCAGTTGCTTAACTCAGCGAAGATGACAAACTGTGGGCATGAGCACTAGGTTGCTATTTAATGATTAATTTACGTGACGACTTTATGATATAGAGATGAGATCAATTAAATTACGATATACTGGTACGGGCCAACAGATCTTGAGACTGCCAGTTTCGTTTGTATACTCAACAAGATTGGGCTTACATGCACCGTTACTATCCCAATTCCCTTGCAGCCTATATTTGGTTCCATATTTTTTTTGTGGTTTTAATCGATTGGAAGAGAGACCGGAGTTCTAGCATCGTGACCTGTCCGAACCCCAGACTGAGCAACTGCACTAAATAACCGATAACCAGCCTACTCATTTGTAATCGTTCCAGTTCAGGCATCACCTGTTGTGAATGGTTTCTGATACTCTTAGGAGTATACCATAGTATATTGGATAAACACTTTTTTATTTTTTGGAAACGACAAGCTGACTCTCAGCAAGGACTTCGGAGATGTTGGTCTGGATGCGCACCAACAGTAACCAGGAACAGAAATGAAGTTTTAACTCCAGCGGATAACGAGGGAAATTTAGTAGTCAACTCACGGCGGTATTCACATAAAAGAAAAAGAAAAAGAAAATTAGTAGAGTCGTTACACAACCATGCTTCTGACACTTGTTTATTAATCTACAAGGCGTACCTGAAGCCTTTGTTCTCAAAGTCCGTCATTCCCTTGAATCCATTGATGATCGCCTCTTGTCTGATCTCTTCAGTGTATCCTCCCTGCTCCTTGTTTCTCTTCATGTTTCTGTATCGAAGAAGGAAGTAGTAGCTGATACCAAGAGCAATCATCACCGAGTAACAAGTGATCAATCCGGTCATAGCACTAGTGTATTTTGGAGCTTCCTTTGCCTTGAAGATGTTGGCACCAATAATGTTGCCCGCAGCATAAAGAGTAAACCAGAATCCATTGGTAATGGTCTTTTTGGTTGAGCCACCAATATTAGCGTTCATGAAGATCCAACATAAGATCACCGGGCCACCAATAATGTATTGGAGCCATGTGCATCCGACGGATGCCCATCTATTGTCCTTGATTAAGTGAATCCCGACTAAACCTGCTAATCCTGGCACACATAGGAAACAAAAGATGAAGCAACGAGTGTTTGGAACCTTCAAGGCAAAAATACCACTCGCGAAAACAACCACAAACTCAATGGCTCCAGTTGGCATTTGCAATGCAGTGGCATTCAAGCCTGAAAAACCAAAACCCTTGATCAATGCCGACTGGAAATTGGAAACACCTCCGTTGATCACTCCGCATCCTAAACCAATGGCTGCGAAAATGTAAATGGAGATATCCAATGCAGCCTCCTTGACCTGTGGCCATAAGAAACGCTGGTCTTTCACACCCTGGTTGTTCTTGGAAATGTGCTTGATCAAGATAGTTCTCTCTCTTTCAGTTAAGAATTTGGCCGAGGCTGGAGTGTCTGGAGTGACAAGCAAAAAGACGATGGACCAAGCGAAGTTGATGAGGCCAATGACCAAGAAAATCAACTTCCATGAAGCCAATGCCGTGTTATGTGCGTGGCCAAGACCAAATCCAAGAAGTGCACCCACCACAGTAGCAATACCATTGCAACTTAAGAATGTGCACATTCTGAATGGCTGATCCTCTCTAGAGTAGAACATACCACAAATCATCATGCACGAGGGCGAAATACCGGCCTCAAACATACCCAAGATGAATCTCAAGGCCAAAATACCGCCATAATTAGTTGCTCCGATGTGTCCAATCAAGATGATAGCCCACACTACGAGCATTCCTCCAGTATACTTTGCAATTGGAACTTTCTGGATGATATAATTAGATGGTAGCGCCCAGAACAAGTACCCGAAGTTAAAAATAGCTGCAACCCACGAATATTTCTGTCCTGTAAGTCCCAAATCTTCCTTGAATGAATATGCCGAAGCATAGTTCAAACTTAACTTATCCAAGAACTGCAAAGTGTATGTGACACACAAAATGGGCAAGAGACGCCAATCGATCTTTCTTCTGATCTTTCGCAACTCCTCCGCAATTTCATCATCAGACAACTCCTGGGCATGTTCAAACAAATCCAAGCCGACCACCATGTCTGCATTCTTGCCAGCCTCGTCTCTCAACGAGGTGACTGAGGTGATATTTGCAACTGCGGAGTCTTTCTCGTTCTTGTCTATAGAAGACATTGGATATAATATAGAATAATATTCTGATGACAGTTAAAAGTTTTGGGAAGACCCAGTCTTATATAGACCATTGCTCCGAATTCCGTTATCGATGTTATCAAGGCACTCACGCCAAGGTATATGTCTGTGCGCTTGACGCAGACATACACAGGATGGACGCTAAACCTTGCAGGGTGGTCCTCCAAACCTCAAGTGCAGGAGATACTAACTCTACCGCATTGGGTTAAACGCGACAATACCCCACCATATCTTTCCAAGAGATCATGACATCTTGATTGAACCAATGTGAGGTAATCCTTTATTTCTACCACTTCTCTTCTTTCTAAATATCCTATTCCACCTTTTTAAATGTCTCCAACTGCAAATCTGACTGAAAAAGGCTACGACTTTGGAACTAGAGGCGGCCACAATATCTCCAAAGGTGGAGCTAATCCACATCAGATACCCACGTTTACAGATAAGTATGAGCAGCGGAAATGGATGTTGGAGCACGCCGCAGGCACCTTCAGAGTATTTGCAAGGTTTGGCTACGCAGAAGGTGAGGCTGGCCACATCTCCTTGAGAGACCCTGTAGACCCCCAGACATTCTGGATTAATCCACTTGGGCTTCACTTTGCAATGGTTGAGCCAAAGGATATGGTCCATGTTGACGCCGATGGTAATATTTTGCCTGATGGAAACCAGGCTCCTATTAACGCCGCGGGATTCGCCATACATCTGGCTCTCCAAAGGGCCAGACCAGATATTAACGCAGCTTGTCACACCCATTCTGTGTATGGAAAGGCATATTCATCATTTGGCAGGCCATTGGAGATGCTCAACCAGGATGTGTGCGTATTCTACCAGAACCAGGCCGTTTACTCCAACTTTGGTGGTGTAGCGCTTGACAGTGAAGAAGGAAAAGAGATTGCCGAGGCTGCCAATGGTGCTAGAGCGGTGATTTTGCAAAACCATGGATTACTTACCATGGGACTGACTGTTGATGAGGCCGCTTACTTTTTTACGTTGATGGAGAGAAGTTGCCAGGTGCAATTGGCTGCAGATGCTGCTGGTCATAAGAAGATCATTATTGGCGACGACGTAGCTGCCTACTCTGCGTTCGTTACCAATGATCCCGAGACTGTGTATGGAGCATTCCAGCCTGAATTCAACTACCAGAGAAAGTTGGACCGTGATGAGTTTATGCTGAAATGATCTTAGTATAAAAAATTAAAGAAAGCCTTGTTGCTACTTGCAAGAGTATGTTTGCTGTAAATCTGTAAATACGACATTACTTTCTACTGCATCAAGGGTTGATAAGATAAGCTACGAAGGAATTTCGCGGAATTATCTATTCTGTTGTACCTTGCTTGGATTTGAAACTATGTGTGGTTACGAAACGGGTAATCCGAGCGATGTATGACCTCTCCCCAATAATGGTACTGCGTCGGATTACCTAATCGAGAATTCGGAAAAGTACCCTTGCTAACCCATTTCACCATAATATGGGCTTGAATGACATGTTTAATTGATTACCTCCCTTTCTTGCATCTCCGCCTTAGAATCTCCACTTTAGTGCCGAGTCTTGTACAAGTTTTTTACTGAACCGAAGAAATCGCACCAAGTCCAACACTATCAAGGGTCTTTTCAACTTCAATATTTCATACTATCATATCTATTTGTTTGTAATGTATCTGCAATCTAAAGTGTTTTTTCATGCCTTAAAGATAAGATCTGACTTGTTTTCTCGTCAGATACTAGAAATATGGTCCTCCTGCCTAATGCGGTATATCGCGAACCTCAATCGATAACGATTTAACTAATACCAGTTCCTAGCATCATCTACTTCTAGTTAATTAGGGCCCGCCTGCTGTTCGGGTATTGCCTTTTTGGGATGTTTGGAACTATCAGTTGCTCTTCTGCAAGTGTACCCAGGGGCGCAAAGTCGAAGGTCAGCTCCAAGAACCCGGGCAAGTCTAATTTCCACCAGAAGAAGGTCAGACTTGATAAATTTGTAGGGGCCACCTTCAGATCCAGCACAGGATGCTGGGGCTGTCGTAACCGCCGCAAGAAGTGTGACGAAACCCATCCAGCATGCAATGCTTGCGTGAAACGGAACATTCAATGTATATGGAGAACGAAAGGTGAGAGGTTGAATAGACCACATAAGATCAATGACTATCATGTACCAAAAGAAGGCAAACCATCGGAAAGTTTACTCAGTTGTGGTAGATCGCCTCCAGCATTTGAAAATGAGCAGGATCATATAGAATCTGGAAGCTCGGGACGCTCAGGAAATGATAATTCTGACCACTCAAACATTGATGGCTCAGGCCGCTACCAGGCTGGTTTGTCAAATCCAAAGATTGAAACCTCTCTTTCAGATGCTAGAAATTCACATTCAGATAGTCCAATGATCTATGCTGAGGTCCAGGATTCAAGCCAGCCAGAAATCATCTCTGATGTCATAGAGATATCCACCAAGACAACCTCTCTTGATCTTTCTCCTACAAGAAGCTCTTGTCTTGTTCCTAGAGACAGATCCATGTCTCTTGCACCGCAAAATTTCCACTTTGAGCCTTTCAGGTTTTATCCTCCTCAACTTCTCCCAGATTTCTGCGGATTCTTAGACTCCAAAGGGGTATCGTTTGTGAATCACTTCGACCACAAGGTTTCTGGTGCTCTAACTGTGAGTCCCAGCGTCTCCAACTATTTTTCCAAAACTTTCCTTCTGTTAGCTGGCATAGATGAAGCTGTGGGCCATGCCATAGCTTCGTGGGGTGCCTATTATGTGCATAGGTCGCTTCATCTGGATGTGGAGCACCATTTTGGCCAGGCAATCGGGCTGATCGCCAAAAGATTTACTCGGGGTGTGGCAGTGACAAAATACGACTACTTCGTTCTCATATGCTTCCATTTGGTTCTTCTAGGGTTCTTTGTATGTCAGGGAGATGCTTCTCAATGGTGGATATGTTTCAAGAAATGCCACGAACTCATCAAAAGGTTCGGAGGCTTAGAAGCACTTTGTGAGGAATTCAATTACCTGAACGATATCAAGTTTCTTGTATCGAACTTTTTTTACCACGACATCATGGCCTCACACGCTTTTATTCATGGCCCGCTAATTGAGGTGCAACAATACGCTCGTGTGTTTGGAAATGGCTTTTTTGATTCCAGTTACGGCATCGATCCCTTACAAGGATGTCTTAATCCGGTTTACATGTTGCTAGCAGAAGAGCTCGAGGTGCGTACGGTGATGCGATCTCGAAAAGAAAGGTTAGATGCTATCCTCAACGATGAGCTTGGAACAGAAGATGATCCAAGTATTCTTCATGAATTTGATGTCATGAGGACACAATATTTAGAATTCTGTGCCGAGGTTCAGATTCAATTTGAGACTAATATCGCCAATTGCCAAATTGATCACAGTTTGCTATCCAAAACTGACCAGTTCGAGCTGGATGTTCATTTACAGACATTTGAACTTTTCAAGCTCGTTTGCAAGCTTTACTGGGTGCTTTTCATCAAAGAAACATCTCCAACTTCCAACGAGCTGCAGCTCTTATTGATCAAGCTTATGGATGGAATTGAAAAATTGGTTGATTCCCGCATGATTGTTGTTCTTTGCTTGCCATTGCTAGTTGCTGGAGTTGCGAGTTATACCAAACATGATCGTCGAAGATTAGAGAAGATTTTTGTGAGAATAATAGCCAATTGCCCCATTCAAAATGTCAAGAAGGCGTGGGTGGTGGTCAAAGAAACATGGAAGAGAAACTCTGGCGGGGATAAAACGTTGGACTGGGCCGACGTGTGTGAATACCTTGGGTGGGAATTATGTGTTTGCTAGTATAACTGGCAATAATTACGGTAGCTATATAATGCACAAATGTGGAATGTAAACTTTGATCCTATCGGAAATACACTTTCGATCTTCTCTTCTTCTCACCAGGAGCGTTTGGTGCATTAGTGGTCGTCTCGCCTTCTCTAGAAGTGGTTCCATCTCCACCAGTGTTGTCTTGATGTGCTCCATGCGGGAAGTATACCACATTGATCGGTGGGAGATAATATACGTTCAGGATGGGAAAGTAGTGGTAATTCTTCTCTGCGTCCTGAATTTTCGATGCAATAAAGTCTCCCACACTAGCCACTCGTGAAATTCCAGTCTGTACAGCTCTGGAAGACACTTGAGCATCACTCTGGTTAGATGTTTCACCGTCCCCATCGCTGGCATCTGTACTATCTTTAGATTCTTTCTCTGGTTCAGATTCCACCTCCTTTTCTGGCTGCACATCATCGATGTCTTCTTCTTTAACAAGCAGTGGGTTCTGAACAACTGGGACTGTCACAGTATCTGTATGGTGTTTGTTTATGTTGGTGACTTCAGAACCTTCACCAGGACCTGTTTTGATGCGGAAATCCTTTCTGTCTTGGAAGAATGTCGGGTTTCTGCCTCTGACAGTCATGCAAGCACCCATGATATCATGGAGAACCGCAGAGGAACTGTTGGTTTCTGCCTCTATACTTGCAGTGATTCTGTAGTAAGTTTGGAGGTTAAGACTGGAACTGTTGGATGTTGCACTCCGAAACTGGAGCTTCTTGATCCAGAAGTCATTCTCACGATCACATTCCTGGAGCTCAATTACGCTGTTTTTGTCCAGGAGATTGATCCCTCCAATGCTATTTCGGTTTCGTTCCTTTTTAGTGCTTTTGTCCTTATCGTTGACAATCATGAACAGAACGCCCTTTTGCTCCTTACCGTCTGTAACAGCCCCGATTTTGATGCGGAACTGGGTGACTGGTTCACCATTTAGGTAGAGGCCCAGTGGAAACTTGTCCATTGTGAATTTGAGATGAGCAGAAACGAAATTTCGCCGGTAGCATGAAATCACCCGAGGAGTATATACCTCGTTAGGGTTGGGCGTTCCTGAGTACGAGCATATAAGATTGTAGTTGTCATAGTCGTTGGTCAAGAGTCTGCCATCTAAAGTGCCAGTGAAGTACGTCTTGACAGGGTTTCCCTCACCATCTGTCAATTGAACCGGAGGATGCGTTGCATAGTCACTTGGAGCTAACTTGAGAAGATTATCCAATGCTGATGGTGAGTAGTCCATCTGAATGTCTTGGTCACCCTTTGTTCTATCTGAAAGCAGGGGTTTCTTTGATTTTCTAGTCTGGGAAGCTAGAGAGTCAACTTCTTGTTTGATTTCCAGTTTTTCCGCATTCTCTATCACCAACATTGGACCCGTTGACCCTGCTAATGCTCCCATTTCGGGCGTACCACGGCCATAACTAATAGCTCCCGTGTGGCCCATATCGTCGCCCTGAGGCCAGCCCACCGAGTCAAACTGGCCAATAACCGTCGACAGAGAAAACGCCTGTTGCACAGGCATCATCTGGTGATGACAATGTGATTGCTGGAAGCCAGCTTCCGCCGGAATGAACTCGGCATAGCGCAGGGCATGAGCGAAGTCCAGATCGGGAAACATCGAGTAGTGGTGCCTTTGGAAGTTGTTGTGTACACCCATGTCTGTGTTTGGAAACGCCGGATTATACAGCGGCTGTGGGTAGTAGCCCATTTGGTTTGGATTAGGACCCGTAGGAATATAAGTTCCAGGTTGATATGGTTGGGTAGCACCAGGGCCAGAACCTGCCGTAGAAGGACCCGAATTGGTCGAGGGACCTAAGCTCGGCCCCGAGACACCATTGCCAAACGGCCCAGAGCCAGAAGTTACAGGCGCCAGGTCTGCATCTTCAGAAAGTGCCATGAACATACCCAAACCTGAAGACAGGGGAGTGGAGATGTCGGAGCGGCCATGGAAGACAAATTCCTCCAGAGGTTTTCGAGACGGCAGGTCTGCGAGAGGCTGAAGAAGATCGGGGAGAAAGAGCGACGCAAGGTCGTCCATGCGACCCTTTTCGTTCATGGTTTGAGAGGATGACTTGAGATTGGAACTTGAGATAATGCACAGGATGCGGGGGATAGTGAAGACGATGAGATATCCGAAGAGGGAATAAAATATTTTCGGAGAGAATTTTAGGATTGAATGGTTTTAATGTGGTTAAAATGATTGTGATTATTGAATGGTTGGGGTTTGTAACATTTTACTGGATCGGATAGGCAGTGTTTGGGTTGGAAAGTTGGCGACCTTCGTATTTGTATAGAAGACACCGAAAGAATAGTGAGTGGAGAGAATGAAAATCGCAGAGAAAACACACAAATGATGAAATTAACGAATAATGGACGTTAAATATTTTGAATCCGGAGGATATGTGAGTAACCTGATGAATCAAAACAGTTGATGATTCTGTAAGGCTGGTAATTTTGGGAGATTTGGGTCCCCTGTGAGAAGATAATGTGGGGGTGCGAAAGCACTTCAACCAATGGAATGTCCTGATTGTTCTAATTGTTCTAATTGTTCTGGAAAGACCTCAAATTTTTGGTTTGTTTATTTTTTCGATTATGGCAGCTTTTCGGATTGAGTCATAGATACGTTTCTCTCAACAATTCGACTTTCCAACTCACTTAATCTTTTTTAATCTCGCTTGACAGCTTCACTCTCAATTCTCACTCAGTCATAATCTTTTCAATCAAATCATACACCGCAAATATATTTTCACCACGCAATGCAATCTTCTACCAAGTTTTGGGTCCTGTCCATTTACTTCTGATCTGTCACATTCCCGTTGGCCGGTTTCCATCAGTTTCTATCGACTTCTACTCGCCTTCTCCTGCCGTTTGCGAATTCCGCTCAAAATAACACCCTCTACAGATCACCTCTATAGGTATCTGTCAATTGTCCATTTCCTCCCCATAAATACCTCTCTTGGTCCCCTTATTCTATCCTTTTTCCTGAACCCTGATTGTCTCCACTTCTTTATCTCTATTTCCCCTCCACAATGGTCAAACAAGAGCCATTTGCCGTGGAACAGTTCATGGACAAGTATGAGACCAACATCTCCTATAACATGGGTGAAACTTGTGTTGATTCGCTCTCCATGAATGACATTTTGGCCAGTTTACCACCACAGGCCCGTGAAGATGCTACCAAGGCACTTCTTGACACAAAACTCACTTATGGGCACATCCGTGGCTCGCCCCGCTTAAAGAAGGCAATCGCTTCTCTCTACAATGACAATCAGATCGGTCCAGACAACATTGTAATCACCAACGGTGCAATTGGTGGCAATTTCTTGACCTTCTACACGGTAGTAAACCCAGATGATCACGTTTTGGTGGTGGATCCTTCGTACCAGCAGCTTTCATCGGTGCCCAAGATGTTTGGAGCAAAAGTGGAGCCATTCGAGCTCAAATTCGAAGACAATTATTTGCCTGATTTGAATAAGTTGGAGCAGATGATTACTGTCAATAATACCAAGCTTTTGGTCATCAACAATCCCAACAATCCCACCGGATGTGTGTGGGAGAATGATATTTTGGCCCTGATTGTAAACATTGCCAAACGTTACAATGTGACGATCTTATGTGACGAGGTGTACAGGCCACTATTCCATTTTGAAGGTGTAGAAGATATTAAGTCTATTGTATCATTTGGTTACGAGAATACCATCTCTACTGGATCGATGTCCAAGGCATTTTCCCTTGCGGGACTTCGATTGGGCTGGATCGTGACCAAGAACGCCAAGTTTTTGGACGGCTTCTTTGAGAAGAGAGACTACAACACCATTTCTGTGTCGATTCTTGACGACGCAATGGCTGCTGTTGCTCTTGAGAACGTAGAGAGCATTCTTGCGAGAAATCATGAACTTTGTCAGAGAAATTTGGCACATATTGACAAATTCATTGAGGCGTCGAACGGCTTAGCGCAATGGGTCCGACCTCGAGGCGGAAGTACCTGCTTCATTCGAATTAATGGAGTGGATACAATGGAACTTGCAGAGGATTTGGCTGAAAACCATGCAACGTTGGTGGTTCCGGGAGAGGTGTTTGGCAAGCCGGGTTCGATAAGAATCGGATTTGGCAACAGTGAAGAGGGGGTGAAATTGGGGCTTGAAGTGTTGCTTCGTAGATTGCAGAAGTAATCCACCAGAAAATATTACAAATTGATTGTCGTTTATAAAGTAGAGAGAAATATTATATGTGTTTAGATAGTGAGAAAGGTGAAGGAAGTCGAAGTATGAAAGAGAAACGGTAGAAGATGAGAAAATGAAACAGAGGTAATGAAAGAGATAAAAATAAAGAGAATTGAGTTTTAATGAATTGTTGGGTGAAATTCACTAACTAGAGCCACATCACCCAGAGGTACATTAATGCAACAGTTACAGTGCAGCATCCACCCAGTGCAATATAACCATGACATGATCTATAATCATGACACGATCTATAACCATGACATGAACTGATATTGGCTAGCATTTCCCGAACAGACTAACCCGAGCAACCCGATAACGGTGACGGTATTCCGAAGCACCGGCCTATGTTGGATCGTTTCTGGCCTGCCTCAAACGTCTGCATGTACGAGCGGAGATTAGTAAGATTCGTGAATCACAGCCTCGTGGAAAATATACCTAGGTTATTGAAATCACTTCAAGTTCTCGACGACAGCAATAATTCTTCCATCAGAGATATTGAAATTTGTTGTCAAAACTAATCAATCGTTCTTCGAAACTAGGATGACGATTTTTACACCAGATTGAAACCAATGTATGAGCCAAGGGAATCTAACCGTAAGGATACAGGGGAAATTGGTTTGGTGATGGGAGAAATTTTTTTTTAACTATTTTTTTCGTATCATCTATCAATTCGGGCTTGTGACCCTGATCAACGCATTTGGGATTGGCCAATAGAATGTCTAACCGTGCCAGTAGTACACAATTACGACAGAGACTACCACTCATTTTGCACATTCGACGAAGACAAATTTGCGCCTGACCTTTCTATTGTTCATCGGTACCACAATCTACAACCAATTGGAGCTTTCGACCGTTATTTTATCTTCATGCGAAGATGTGATTCGCCAGCCGTAGCTGGTGAGGAGTTTAGCAAGCCTAAAATGACACTTAATCATTCGATTGGGTCACATCCCCGATTTTCCCCTTTTTCAAAAATTCTTCACAACCGTTTCGATTCTTCCATTTTAATTTCATGTCTGAGGGTGTAGTTTTCTTTCTCTACTATTCCACTACTATCTATACATCGAGTAATCTGAAATTTTCTGACTCTCTTCATGCTCACTAATTATCTTCTAATCCATTCTTTATTTTTCTGATTTTCCAGTTCGTTGGTTTTCTTGATCCATTAATAACCTCTGTTTATCCATATGTAATTTTTTCTCATCCTATTCAAATAAAATTCCCAGCATAATTGACCATTTTCACCATTTCAATTCCGTCATCCTTTCTCACTTGCATTTCATCTCGCACCAACCCACATCCTCCAATACATTCATCTCCACAAACAATCCAAAATTTACACTTTCCTAAATCTCTTAATGTCTTGCGTCAATATCCTTTCTTTTTTTTTTTGTCAACGTCATTTTCTCGGATTCCCATCCACCGGTCCATTTTCTCTTTTCCCGCCCCACCGTTATTGTGCTATTTATATCGATGTATGGAAAAGCCTCTTGCCTGCACACCTTCGTTGCTTAAAATAGGCTCAAGGCATATTCATCCAAACGGCACCTCCAAACAAAAACAGACCCCCACCAAATTACGCAAGCGATATGCTCACCATGCTGCTCTCACAGCCAGCATCCCGTATATCTGCCTATATAACTTGCCCTGTTGCCCTCTGCCCCACCCCCTTATTGTAATCATTTTCCTCTATATACTCATTCTGTATAGATCGCCGCAACCTCACCTTGACTTTCTGGCCGATCTCTACCACTTTCTTTTCAATGCTGTACTCGGGAAGATCCGTCAATAAAGTGTTCAACCAGGACTTTGTCATAGACAAACGCTTCAAGATCGTCAAGGAGTTGGGACATGGTGCATATGGTATCGTGTGCTCTGCCAGGTACGATGACGGCCTGGAGGAGGAATCGGAAGGAAACTTCGTTGCCATCAAGAAGATCACCAACATTTTCTCCAAGAAGATATTGTGTAAACGTTCACTTCGAGAGTTGAAGCTTTTGCAGTTTTTCCGTGGCCACAAGAACATCACATGCCTCTATGATTTGGATATTGTGCCCAATCCCATCACGGGCGCTTTTAATGAAATTTATCTCTACGAGGAGCTAATGGAATGTGATATGCACCAGATTATTCGCCTGGGTCAGCCATTGACTGACTCGCACTATCAGCTGTTTATCTATCAGGTCTTGTGTGGGTTGAAGTACATTCATAGTGCTGATGTGCTTCACCGTGATTTGAAACCGGGCAATTTATTGGTCAATGCAGACTGCGAGCTCAAGATTTGCGATTTTGGTCTTGCCCGAGGTTTTCTGGAGGACGTGGAACAGAATGCCGGCTTCATGACAGAATACGTGGCAACTAGATGGTATAGGGCCCCTGAAATCATGCTTTCGTTCTCCAATTACACAAAGGCAATCGATATTTGGTCCGTGGGATGTATTTTGGGCGAGTTGCTTGGTGGAAAACCGCTTTTCCGTGGTAAGGACTACGTGGACCAGCTCAACCAGATCCTAATGATCTTGGGAACTCCCAAAGAGGCCACTTTGACCAAAATTGGGTCTGTCCGGGCCCAGAATTACGTGCGCCTGTTGCCTATAATGCGCCGTGTACCCTATCTGGAGTTGTTCCCCGGGGCCAATCCATTGGCTCTTGATTTGTTGGAGAAGATGTTGACTTTGGATCCATTCGAAAGAATCACCGTTAATGATGCGCTCAACCATCCATATTTGGCCATCTGGCACGATCTCCAAGATGAGCCCGAATGTAAGATGAAATTCGACTTCAGTACATTCGAGACCGTCGATGACATCGAATTGATGAAGAAGTTGATCATAGAGGAGGTTCAGACCTTCAGAGATTTTGTGAGGAAACCGATCCACGAACAGCAGCAGATTCAGCTACAAATGCAGCGTGAACAGGAGAACCATCAGCAGCAGCTTCATGAACAGCAGCAGCATCAGCAACAACAACAGCAACAGAAACTTCATGAACAACAACAGTTCCAGGAGCAACAGCATCAGCAACAACAACAACAACAGCATCAACAGCCACAACAACATCTACATCAGCCACGTCAACAGGAGCAAATTCATCATCAACAACTTCAGCAACTCCATCTGCATGACCCGGATTTGACGATTAAGGATAATTTTGGTCAATTTCCAGAAATTTTCTCTTCGGCTGGATACTCTGGCATCAGCAATGGAGGGGTATTAACCAATCCAGAACAACTTCATAACGAGAATGAGTTGCTGTACTACCAGCAGATACCCAAGCCACAAGAACTCGACGAGTTCAGTTTTATGGGCCAGAAATCGGACAATCCTGAGCATTTCCGCTTGGAAGAAGAGTTGGGATTCGGGTTGGACGGGGTGCCCTCTTTGAACCAGTGAATTGGTTTCTCTCATTTTAGCATTTTCTGATTTTCATACTGTAATTGGTTTGCAATGGACATCTACGTCTCAGGAGACGATAAACGTGTATATTCTATATTTGGCGCAGTATTTTGGTCACTTTTCCTTTTAATGGCAAACTTTCTACTATTGTTTTTTTTTTTTTTTGGTATCACCATTCTAATTTTTGAATTTTCGGCTTTTCCCTCATTAATCCTTCCCTTATTAATCCTTCAACATCCCAATTACAACTCATGGACTTAGTAAACTAAGTTGTACTTGAAAATGTCTCCATTACGTCCGAACACCCAGAGGTTATGGGGATTCAAGTGAAAGCTCTGGATTTTTCCGTCCCTTACCAAACATGACATGTCAATGCTCAACAACGGGATTTCAATCGAAGGAAGCGTCTTGTCATTAACCACAGCATGAATAATACTGGAGTACTTTTTTCTCAAGTCCTTATTCTGTACCAGTCCATAATGCTTTTTAAGTCGGACCTCATATAGTGACCGGTAGAGGGAAAACACAATCTTCAGGTGTTCTTCGGCATTCTCCAGATGTTGCAGCGGCTGAGGACTTTGACTGAGAAGCTTATTGATTCCCAAAGCACTGAAAGAGCTGGTCAATGGATTCTCATCATTTTGGTGGGAGAAAGACCTGTTGCGATGGTGGTTTCTCGAAATGGTGGGCACCATCATCCTGCTTCTATTGGGTGTCGGTTGTGGTGAGACAACTCCTTCACGATGTACAGACACACGCCTCTTTGTTGTAATATGGCTCTTCTTGACTCGGGGGAGCGCTTTGCTGTCGAAATCCCACAATATTAACTTTCCATCTCCTCCACAAGAAACCAATTTGTATGTCTGGGAATTAGCACTTTCAATACTTGAAGAAACCAAATCGTCATTGCGGATGAATGCAACACATCCCACGGTGTTAGTGTGACCCTTGAGTCTGCTGACTATAGTAATGTCTTTGATTGCCGGAGGATAATGAGTGTCGTGATGCTCCTCTCGTGCAATATCGAAGCTGGCACTAGGTGTGGTACTGATTGGCGACAAGAATATTGAAGGAGTGGTGATATTGCCTGAGTTTCCACTGTTGACGGTTCCACTGCGTGAGCGTCCGCCTTTGTGGCCTCCTTCGGTGTTTTTTTGGAGCAACCCGTTGATGTTGTAGTACGTCATCTTGAACACCTCTATAAGATCACCTTTACCAGCCAAAACAAAAAAGCGGAAGTCGGGGGAAAAATCCACGCTTCTAATACCATCTTGAAAATAATTAGATACGATATCTGAAACGATCAGCTTGTTGTAGAAATTGGACGTGTCGCCGTAATTTTCTCCGTGAGTACTGATCAAGTCAATGAAACGCACTAACCCGTCTTCACAGGCAATGGCTAAAAGTTGTGGGTTGTGACTGCTATAAGAGGGCAGATCATAAGCCATGGTGCTGGCGATAGACGTGACGGCCTTGTGGCTGACTTTGAAGTGACCCACTATATACTGAGGGGAGGTCTCTTTATCGTCCAGAGACTCGGCATGGTACAACATACTGAGGTCGAATTTCTTGAAATAAGTGACGAACGAATCTTTTCCCACTACGGTCTTTTGGTATGGAGCCAGACGGGACGCAGGGCCAGCCTCTGGGTCTAGAATTATCACCTCACCATTGCCAAAGCCTACCACCACCAAAAGTGGATGCCTGGAGTGCCATATAGGACAAATACTGGTAACTGAATTCGCACTAGATGGATGCCACTCGGGATCAGACGTTTCCTGTGAACCTAACAAGTCGAAATAGCGGTATGTCAAGTCTATGAGGTTGATCATGAGTAAATCACCAGTGTTGAGACCAAGAAGCACGGCTGTATCATTTTGAAGCGTCACCATGCTTGTAACAATGATATGACTCTTGAACTGGAGTCTGAAAAGAGGGGTTTCCGTCACTTTTTTGTACGGTTTGCAAGTTGTAGTTGTGGGAATGGCAGGATTCTGTTGACCAGGTGGGATTTCCACCAGCAAGTCACGAAGTGGGAAAATGGACGTCGTTGACATGTTCTTCTGAGTGTTTGAGTAGTTGAAATGCTCGTCTAATGCAAACACATTGAGCACACTGACATTGGCGGCCACTAATAATTTTGAAGTAGAAGGAGATCGAATCTGGGATGCATATGTCTTCTCGTCGTAGTTCAAGAGTTTATCAAACAAAAAATGGTTCTTGGAGTTACTCCGTAACGTTCCAGCGCTCAGAGTATTCAGTGGGTGAGAGATATGATGCGATGAAGCCAGTTCTCTGAATACGTCCAATAATGGAATAAACAATGATTTCTGGTTGTCCGCATCCTCAGAGACGCCCATACGGAGAAATTTGTTAATACTGGTGGTCATTTTGTTGAATGGAGACCGTGTTTCCGGAAAACTGGGTCCATTGCTCCGAGATATGTTTCTCATTACAATCATGCTTGTGAAACAGCCTGGGTTTAAGTGTACCAACTTGAAAGGGTCTTGCATGAGCGGATTGACGTTGGCTCCTAGGTGAATTTCGCCTATATCCCGTGCTGAGTCGGTCCCAGAGCGCACCTGAGTGAAAACTGAGGAAATATGATAAGGAAGCGGTACATATGTCGTAGACTCGATATTTCTGCGTACATCGTGAACAAATGGGGGTCTTGCCACGTTTAAGTAGGTCAGATCGAGTTGAGCACGTACATTCGCCGATGCTGAACGCACGTCTGTGAGTGGCCATGCCAAATCATCAACTTCCCGGAGTTTATCGGTGCTGAGGGCATCTTTTAGCAAGAAATGGATGTTATCATCAAGAAACGGCATCCCGGGACACACCGTTTCGAGAAACACCGAGAGGGGCGGTAAATTGGAAGGCTCTAAATGTGTCAGAGTCATTTTTGTCTGGAATTCTAGGAATTTAGGCAGTCAACTCGAGGACTTTCACGTTAAATATGAGCCTGGTGAAAATAGGAATGGTGGGGAAAGACGCGGGAATTGAAGGGGGGCAAGAAAAGCGGAATTTTGAAATTGAAAATGCTTTCCCTAATTTGAGATTGGACTTGTGGGAGATTGGAGCCAGTCTAGCCAGTTTTTGATGGCAAAGTTATCTGCTAAGTTGATTAATAGGAGATGGTAGATTGACGATCTGCAGGATTGCGGGGCAAGGTGGGTGGATTCTTTGTACTTCCACGTGACCTTTAATTCTTTGTACTTCCACGTGACCGTTAGTCACGTGGAAGTACAAGTATCTTTGAAGATGATACTCTCAAAGTAATCATTTCCGAAACCATTCTGAACCACCTCACATCATGCTCCCCTAACCATTAAAGACATTCCGCCTATGGTTTTCTCTCTATTACATTGATCTTTATGCCCTCACTTTCTGATTGGTCCTCTTCCTGTATACAGCGGAACACTCACTCAGGCACTGAGATGGGTCGAATTTATCTCCATAACCACCTCCATCTTTTCGAAGAATCCTTCAACTGGCCATATTTTCCGATTTTCATTTCAAAAATGATTTGAAATCGGCGTATTATCTGTTCCATACCGCCTACCAGGCCCCTGGCCTCTTCCATGAAAATGTCTCCTTAGCACCTTCTTGCCGCCAGCAACGTTAATAGAGCTTGAATTGGAAAACCGTGAAAAGCTGTTGACTTTGATGTTGCTTTGGAATCACCTTTTACCTCTTTGAAGGAATAATTCGGTCTTTACGGGATTTTGTCCAACATGTGGCGATATTAATTTTGCTCCGATTTTGCACGGATTCTCGAGGTGAAATTTGCTCAGACTATTCCAGACGTATCTCCAGCCTTTCGAGATCCATATACTTCCTTCTAATCATGATATTATCCGAATCTCCTTATCCAAAGTCTTACTCGCCCATCGTGGGTCAGATTTAAAGTGATATTATATCTCACGTGTTGAGGCACGTGACTAAAACGACAAATGTCGCAGTTGTCTGTGATACAGAAAAATTTTCCCGCACCTCCCTAGGTACCCCTTTATCCACCATCTTCGCCACTCACTGCCCTCGGCAATTTTTATAGGATTTCCGTCCAGAAACTTCCTTATACGGATCTTCGACCCCGTACAACATCTATATACTAGTTCATAATCGCGATAAGGCTAGTTTTTTGCACGCTTTTTCCCGAATTTAGTTTGTGTTGTTGATTTCCGTCGAACGTGGACGACATTTTTGCCCGCACAAGCTTGGACAAACACCCATACACCCATACTTAAGGGATTGAGTTCGTCGTCAACAACAAACCCAGCAAATAGGGGCCATCAATCCTACTTTTGCCGTTTCTTGTTCAGGTCCTACCTTCTGAAACGCCTGCTTCTCGTGCTGGCTGCTTTTTTCCAGCGTTTTTTCGCTAGATAATATGGCAATTCTACCTTCCAAGAATGCTAGCAGCGGAAAAGCTGGTGCCGGCGCCAGGTTTCGTCAGCGGAAGATTTCGGTGAAGGTTAGCTTACCAATCTTCAATCAGAAGGATGTTTCAGGTGGTGAGCTGGAGCTCGAACCCTCTCAGCTCCACCATTTGAATGCTGGTGCAGCTCAACAACCACGCGATCTACATGCTATCGAAACAGGTGTCGACAAAAACGAAGAAGATGAAGTGCATCTTCAGCAGGTAATCAATGCGGCCCAACGTGTCTTGCTTGGCGCCTCAGACTCCAAAGACGACAAAGGACTGGCATCCTCTGTATATATTCCTACCCCAGATGCCTCCAAGTTATGGAAAGACGCTCCAAAGTATTACAACGACCCAACATTCATTGAACCTGAGTCCTATATCAAGTTTAGTGCGACCGTGGAGGACACACTTGGTGTGGAGTATAACATGGATGAAGTTGATGAGGAATTTTTCAACAATACCTTAATCAAGGAGTATCCGAAACCACAGAAGAAGACCGATAAGAGGAAGTCTGAAAAGGATTCTCCTTCTGACTCCTCATTAGATGAATCAAAGGTTTGCACTGAACTTGAGTTTGAAACTCTTTGTGACAAATTTGAAAAGACTATCGAAGAGAAGCAACCATTTCTCTCAATGGACCCATCCACTATCCTTTCTTACAAAGAACTATCAACCATTATCCTTGATGAGTTCAATTCCAGTGCAAACAAAGATTATCCTTATCTGCTGACTGGATCCAATTTGAAATACATTTCCACTACCACGTTGAAAGAAAAGCTTTCCAAGGAGTTAAGCTTCGAGCCCTTTGTGACAGCTTTTGACAAAGATCAGCTGTCGACTTGCAGTACGCGCTCTATTCCTAAACTAATGCAGTTGTTCGGACAACCTATATACGAGCACTGGAAAGGTCGGAAGTTGGAACGCAAAGGTAAAGCAATTACTGCTTCTTTGAAATTTGAGGATCCGAATGCAAACGAGAAGGACAATGATAACGATCCTTATATTTGCTTCCGTCGTCGTGAATTCAGACAAGCAAGAAAGACTAGAAGAGCTGATAATTTGGGTGCAGAAAGAATCAGACTCATGCAGAAATCTCTAAAGCGTGCACGAGAGCTCGTTCTCAGTGTGTGTAAGAGAGAACTTCTAAAGCTCCAAAGTTGGGAATCGGATTATGAAATCTTTAAACTACGTTGTGAAGCGAAGAGTGTCAAGCGCAGTGTGGGAATTAAGGGTGATGATCATTTGTTCTACCCCCACAAGAGGAAAAAGATTATCAAAATCGAACCAGAAGAAGAGGAAGAAGTTGAATATACCAAGACAAAAAAGGAAAGAAAGAGACAACAGGAGTCTGGCACACCTGCATTCCCTGCGTCTAAGGAGAGGCTGCTCAATGGACAAACTCAACCGGAAGCTTCTTCTACTCAGCCATATGTCAAATTGCCACCTTCAAAGATTCCAGATATGGACCTTGTCACAGTGTCGCTAGTTCTCAAGGAGAAGAATGAAGCAATAAAACGTGCTGTGTTGGAGAAGTTGAGGAAGAGGAAAGACCACGACAAAGGATACGTCAATATCACATACGACCCATATCAGCCTTTCTTCAACATTTCCACAAACAAGGGAAACAAACAAATGGAGCTTAGTCATATACCATATTCATCTATTGCTTCAAGCAATTACCATCAGGTGAACACCACAAATGTCCTCAGCGATCAATTGAAAAAGTTGTTGGAGGAGGCTAAGCGTCCTTTCCCAGGTATGAAAACTTTCAGTGGCAGCAGCGGCGAGCTCATTCCTTCGAAGCCTTTTCCACATTTACAAACTTTGCTCAAAGATCACTTGAATTCTAAGATGAACGATTCCGGGTACATTGCTCAACTCCTCTCAAACATTGAAAGCAACAACTTTAGTACATATAGCAATGGGTTTGGAAAGCAAGAGGGTGAAGAGGATGAGGATGGTTCCGATATATCAGGACCAATTTTCAGATTGAGGAAGCGTGCTGCTAGGGCTAACAGAATTTTTGTTGATAGAAAGGGTCTTATGAATAGACCTGACGATGCCATTAATTCTTGGTTGAACGAAACAGATTCCCAAGAACTGGATGCTATCGACCAGGATATGATGGACTTGCACAAGGCAATCCCCAATGCCTATGATTGTAAGGCAGACGCTGTGAAGCGTATGGACTCACGTTGGCGTTTTGACGATGATTATCCAGAGTATGATAAGGGTATACGTAATCCATTCAGCTTGGATCCTTCTCGTCTTAACTCAATTAGCGATGATACTCAATCTATTCGATTTGGATCGATGTTATTATCGAAATCTTACGACTTGTTGAGAGAGAGTGCTCACCAAAGGCAAGTGTTGATTCAACAAGCGAGAATGAGAGCATTGCAGCAGCAGCAACTTAGTAAGGGTACAAGCAGCCAAGTTGGCGGCGTCCAAACCGGTCGCATCGCTAACGCTCCTTCATCTACTTCAGCCAATAATGCGTACCGTCGAGTCTCGGGTCAGGGACCACTTGCTACACAGAATGGTAATAAGTTTACGGGTGCAGGAAATCGAGTTCAACAGAATTATACCCCACAGCAAATTCAGGCCATGCAACAGTTCAGACAACTGCAACAAAATTCCCAGAACTCGTCGTATATGGCGCAAAAGCGAGCATCGGGAATGGGGTCAGGCACTACGGGAGTGCCCAACTCCAAAGGGGATTAAAGCGAAAGAGAAGGACATAGTGTTGATCTCGAGGTATTTCGTCGACATGCATAGACCACAGTACTCATGAGCCTCTTGAAGAGGTCCAAGAGATGGGCCGGCGGTTCCGAAGGTGTTTGGCCGGCCGTGTAAATTAGCTTGACAATATAACAGAATGTCAACCCCAGATATCCTCTATAAGCATGCAGGTGGAGTGTGGCTAGCGAGCCAAAGCTCCAAACTCAGCAACATATAAAGTCTCGAATCCCATTTTTCATTGCTACCATATACTACCCACAATGTCCACCAAAGTTATCGTTTTCGGTTCCCATGGCAAAATTGGCCAGAGACTCATTAAGCTTATTGCAGAAACCACCACTTTTACTGCTACAGCTGTGGTGAGAAATGCTGAACAAGCAAGCGAAATCAAGAAACTCTCCAAGAACAGTGAAAACATCACCACTACCGAGCTCACTTTGACCGATGCTTCGGTTCTGGACCTTGCTGGGGCCATTAAAGGCCATGATGCTGTCGTCTTGTCAGTTGGGTCAGCAGGTAAGGATCTACTCAAGGTCGATTTGGATGGAGTTGTGAAGGCCTTTGAGGCTTCAGTGGAAGCCAATGTTCGTAGATTAGTATTGATCAGTGCTGTATTTGCCAATGACAGAGAATTTGGCAGTGCCAGTGGACTCCATAACTACTACATTGCTAAGCACCATGCAGACCGCATTTTGAGACATGAGTTTGGCTCTCAGTTGGACTATACAATTTTGAAGCCCTCCAGATTGCTTGACGGCGATGGAACTGGAAAAATCAAGTTTTTGTCCAAGTATGATGATCCAGGCCACGTGCAGAGGGAAGATGTTGCCAAAGCCATTTTTGAAGTGTTGAACAACAAGAACACCTTTGGAAAAGCTTACGACTTCTGTGAGGGAGACTTGCCTATCGACAACGAATCCACCTGGAAACAGTAGTTAGTGCAGCAATAGTCGAGACTAGAAGTTGACAATCAATGAATGTATGACCAGCCATTTTTCAATTTTACAAATGGTTTCTACCAAGTCTTTTAAATTCTTATTATTACAAATAATGCAACTCTATAAATGACTAGAACAACCCCTCGATCTCTCCGTCGTCGTTCACCTCGACGTTCATGTATCCAGCATGCGTAGGCAATCCTGGAATGGTCATGATCTCGGCAGCCAATGCGTACAAGTACCCAGCACCAGCACTACATCTCACCTCACGGATAGGAACAGTGAATCCAGTTGGCACACCCTTCAATGCTGGATCGTGAGACAACGAGTACTGTGTCTTTGCGATACAGATAGGCAACTTGTCAAAGCCTTGCTGGGTGTAGGTCTCAATCTGCTTCTTGGCCAATGGAGACAACTCGATGTCCTTAGCACCATACATTTTGGAAGCGATGGTCAACAACTTATTCTCAACAGTGTCGTTGACATCATACAAGAAGGTCTGACCCTCAGCCTTGTTCTGGGTAGCAGCGGTAGCCACGGCCTCGGCCAATTGCAAGGCTCCGGATCCACCTTGAGCCCAGTGGTTGGAAGGAACAGCAAAGTCGGCACCAGCCTTCAATGCCTCTTCCTGGATCAACAAAAGCTCGTTCTTGGTGTCGGTCTCAAACTCGTTGATGGCCACAACCACAGGAACGTTGTACTGCTTGATGTTAGCGATCTGCTTGGCAAGATTAGCACATCCTTTTCTCAAGAACTCCAAGTTTTCTGTAGTGTACTCCTCCGGCAACTCCTGACCTGGCTTCACGTCCGATGCTCCACCGTGCAACTTCAAAGCTCTGGAGGTGGCCACGAGAACAACGGTATCTGGCGAGACACCCAGGGCTCTGCACTTAATGTTGAAGAAACGCTCTCCACCCATGGTGAAGTCGAAACCGGCCTCAGTGATAACGAAACCCTTCTTACCGTTGTTGATAGGGTTGGTAGGCGAGGTCAACTTCAATGCCAATTTGTCAGCGATGACGGACGAAGCTCCAATGGAGATGTTGGCAAATGGACCAGCATGAACGAAAACAGGAGTACCTTCTAAAGTTTGCATCATGTTTGGCTTGATGGCATCCTTCAAAAGAGCAGTGATGGCTCCAGCACATCCAATATCCTCGGCAGTGATGGCAACACCGGTTTCCTTTTGAGTTCCCACAACGATTCTTCCAACTCTCTCTCTCAAATCCTTGAGCGAGGTCGACAAGGCCAAAATGGCCATGATCTCCGAAGCAACGGTGATGTCAAAACCAGAGGTACGTGGTGGGTACTTCGAAGCCTCGTTCTTACCTTGACCAAGGGTGATCTCACGCACGAAACGGTCGTTGCAGTCCACGACTCTCTTGATGGTGACAGACTCAGGGTCGATGTTGAGCATAGCGAACTCTTGGATCTCAGCATCGGTCAAGTCATCTGGGTTGGTCTTGTTAATGCCCAACTTGTTCAATCTAGCCAACATCTGCTTGGTGAAGGTTCTCTTTCCCTTCTTGGCTGGAACCAAACGCTTGTAGAAACCCTTGACAGTCTTTGAAGTGTGCTCGTGGAACATTCTGGTGTCCACAGCAGCACATAAGAGGTTCTGGGCCGCACCGATGGCATGAATGTCTCCAGTCAAGTGCATGTTGAACTCATCCATAGGAATAACTTGGGCGTAACCACCACCAGCAGCACCACCCTTGACACCGAATGTTGGACCCATAGATGGCTGACGCACGTTGGCAATAGAGTTGAAACCCAAGTGGCCACCCATGGCCTGAGTCAAACCAATGGTGGTGGTGGACTTACCTTCACCCAAAGGTGTTGGAGTGATACCAGCCACAAGGACAAAGTGACCTCTCTCATCACTAGATCCCTCGGCCTGCTCGTCCAATCTTTCTTGAACAAGTTTAGGGTCAACCTTAGCCTTGAAGTGTCCATAAGGTTCGAGCTCCCTCTCCAAAATACCGAGTTCCTGAGCAACCTTGGTGATTTTCTTTGGGGTCTGTGCTCTGGAAATGGCAATATCCAGCGGAACAGGACGCTGCAACTCAAGATGCAATGGCTTGAACTGGTGGTCGTGAGCCTTCTTAGCCTGTGCAACTGCTGCATCATAAACGTTGGAACAGAGCATGGCAACGGTCATTGGACCAACTCCTCCTGGAACTGGGGTGATGTAGGAGGCCTTCTTTGCAACCTCCTCGTAGTCAACGTCTCCAACAAGCTTTCTGCCGTTTTTAGCGGTCGGGTCGTCTTTATAGTTGATACCGACGTCAATCACCACGGCACCCTCCTTAACCCACTCGCCCTTGACGTATTCAGGAATTCCGACGGCAGCAATAACAATATCGGCATTGGCTACCACTGAAGGCAAGTCCTTGGTTCTACGGTGGCAGATGGTGACCGTACAGTCTTCGTTTCTCAACATGGCAGCGACTGGGGTTCCAACAATGTCCGAACGGCCCAAAACAACAGCATTTTTGCCCAGCAACTCGATTCCGGTGTTTTTGATCAATTCAATGATACCGTTTGGTGTACATGGCTTGAACATTGGCTTACCACCTCTTTTGGAAAGCTCACCAGCGTTATATCTGTCAAATCCATCGACGTCCTTCTCGGTGGCCACGGAATTGGTCACAAGTGTCTCGTCGATGTGCTTGGGCAATGGAAGCTGGATCAACACTCCATTGACCTTGGGGTCCTTGTTGAGTCTGTCAATTTCCTCAAGAAGAGTCTCTTCAGGCAAATCTTCGTCGAATTTGAGCAATCTGGACGAGATGTTAGCAGACTTGGCAGCCTTGAGCTTCGAGCGCACATAAGCACTGGAGTCAGGTCTACTTCCCACTTGGATGATGGTCAAGTGAGGTTTGAACTTGAGCAGGTCGAAGTCCACGGCTTCGTTGAGAATAGGCATATTGGTTGCAAGTGCATGTTCTCTGTTGTATTCAATTACCTTTTGGGCAATTTGCTCCTTAATTGACTTGGCCAATTTAGAACCCGAAACAACCACGGCATCGAGTGTTCTTATGGATGTGGAGAATCTAGCACTGGGCAAGAGCCTGGCTAGTCTTGTGTTGGAGAATCTTGCAGATCTTGCCAACATGGTTGAGTAATAGTACCTATGTCAAACAACGAAAAAGCGAGAAATACAAAAAGGTACAAGCTAACGCAGTCACAATGTTCTCAATGGCTGATTATAAGCAAGGCGACGAGAAAATTCGGGTAAAAACTCCTGGCAAAAGTATTAAGCCAATATGGTTATTAGTGGGGTTTCTGCAGGACCGAGATGAGTCGAAGGTTGAAAAAAATGGAGGAAAAAATCCAGGAAAGCGGTGACTCATAGCGATTTCTGGCTAGGGCACACGCCCTAGTCAATAATGGCACCAAGGGTTTGCTATGGTAATGTTGAGGTACAAGAGGGAGAAAAATGGAAGTTATTGCTGCTTTATGGTTGCAAATGTCAAATTGCTTGTGGTTCCAGATTACGATAGCGATGGATGACTCTGAATGCTGCACTCCACGTTGACTCTGGTGACTCTGACCTAGGCACCATCAGAGTCGCAATGGTTGACTCCACCGATAAGAACATGCCCCAGATAGGAAGCCATACAGACATTTCTCCTCTTGCCCCTTGTATTTTGACATCATAAGAAGACCTTCCATGGCGGCCCCTTACGCATCGATATTAATCTATATATTCCCAGTTTCGCTTTCTTTGTCGGCGTTGTTTCGCAAATCTTGGAGCATGCTCTGTGCTCGCAACATAATCAGATCGACCTTGTCACTTTTATTCGTCAATTCGAGGTTCTTCTTCCTCGTAGTCATTCTGCGTCTTAACAGATTCACATTCAGGTATTCTTTGTAAGGTATGTCGTTTCCACTCAGTGGTTCGCTGCTTGAATCTAGCAAATCATCAGTTGACTCACGCTGAATGATTGACTTATCTTCAACTCGCCTGCTACGAGTATTAATGCTCGAAACCATTTTAAGTTGTCTCAAAAGCTCGTCAATTGGAATAGATTCCAGATCTCCCTTGTCACTCTTGATTTCATCTTCATCTTCGTCGTCATCTTCATCGTCGTCATCTTCTTCTTCTTCATCATCGTCATCTTCCTCATCCTCTTCGTCATTTGCATCGTTATTTTCATCTTCTGGAGTACGATTCGGCTCCTCTGCTGTTCCCAGGTCATTAGATTTGATAGCCACAATCAACTTGGACTTTCGTTTTCCGGGACTTCCAGCAATTCTTTCCCTTCTCGCCTTCTCCTTCTTTTCGATTGCCTGTTTCTTCAACTGATAAGTGCGTTCCTCTTCTTCCTTTTGCACATTTTCGGCATGCACTTTCTTGAACTCATTCAAAAAGATGGCAAACTTGTCGAAAAAAGTGTTTCTGCTGTTCGAGTCCGAGGTGCTCTCTCCGAAGTTTTCCATTAATGCATTGTGGCTGTCGATAGTTCTCTTCAAATGAGCCTTGATCAACGAACTTCGCAGCTCAGCCGCCTCCAAAGGCTCCCTAATTATTTCAAGAATCTTGTCATCCGGATGAAACTTATCTCTGTTGCTGAGGTTACCTTTCACTATGGAATTCAGAACATTGCTGATATTTCTTTGAAACTCCTCACAATCAGACTCGATTTGCTCGACGGAAATATTATGCAAAAGGTTTAAAACCGACAACTCGTCAACAAAACTTCCATATTCAGCAAAATTATTTCTCACAATCTTTTCCACGTAATGTAAGAAGGTTATCTTGTTCGTATCATCCTTCATGAATTTCAAACGCTGCAAGGTGTCAAGCTTGAAACCCATCGCTTGTTTTGATGTGTCATTCATGAAATTTCCAACTGATCGAATAATTCCAAGAACCTGCTTTAAACTTTCACTGGATTTGATGCTTTCGGTGGCTTTGTCAAGCAAATCAAGTTTCTCAACCAAGTCACGATAATCCTTCTTATACGTTTGCATTATCAAAAGTGCTCGTGATCTAGACTTCCAGTAATCACGCATATTGAAAATCTCGAGAAATATTCTGTCAGGTCTCTCCAAGTCATCGGAAGGCTTCTGTGGCTTCACCTCTGGTCGGGCGTAATCAATTGAGTACGGTTGAAAATTCCTCACCACAGAGTCAGGCATCTCGTTCAAACCGTCCCTGTTGAAAAATTCCAAAACGCTTGTGTTCTCGAGGATTTTCTCGTCACACGATAGGATTTTCTTTATTAATTCCCCGACACTCAAATTGCTGAACATGTGTAAATTGATTCCGAATTGCTGAGCAAGGTCTCTTGGCAAAAGCGAGACCTTACTCACCTTGGCCCTGATAGCCATATTTGCATCATTCTTCTTCTTGATATTGACTTCCTTAGCCGCAAAAGCCTTCTCGACTTCGGTAAGAATACCCTTTTGATGAAGACGGTCAAAAACTTCATTATTGGAAATTGTACTCCAGAAAGTTTTGTCAATATCGTCTATTTTGTTCCAATGCATTTGCTTCAACTTGGCTCTTGGTCTAATAATCAGCTCAGGTGGCACTTCGTTCTCGGTATTCATGTTCTCCTTATCGTTCTGTAAGTCCGAAAGAAGCGCTAAGTCTGTCGAATTATCTCTCGTAATGGCGGGTGATGCGCTTGAGGATTTTTCACTCAAAATTGCTGATAATGGAGGTGGTGGTGGTGGTGGCATCGGATTCTTGCCAGCCATTGGGAATGGCGGTGGCGGCGGTGGTGGTGGTGGTGGAATGGCCATCTTCGCTCCTAGTAACAGGCTTGGAAGAGGGGGTGGTGGTGGTGGTGGAATGGCCATCTTTCCTCCTAGTAACAGGCTTGGAAGAGGGGGTGGTGGAGGTGGCAGAGCGCCAGATTCTGCTGACGAGAATCCCGGCAATGGTGGTGGCGGTGGTGGTGCTGGTGGTGATTGCCCATTGTTTGCAGATTTCGAAAAGCCTGGCAATGGCGGTGGGGGAGGGGGTGGTGGTCCATTTCGCAACAGATCTGGCAATGACGGTGCTAATGGCGGTAGAGGCGTTGGCACACCACTACTTTTGAGATTATTGGGAATCGGAGGTGGTGGAGGAGGTGCATGGGACAGGCTCTCTGAAAGGGAAGCAACTTCTTCCGCTCCTTGAAAAGTAGATTTGGTATCTTTCGAATTCTTTCCAAACCATTGTCCAATTGGAGGAGTATGGGATCTAGCAATACTCTTCGATGATGTAGCAGTTTCTGAATCGCTGCACAATTCCACCTCTTGGTTAGGAATCCATTTTGATATGTTGAGGCTTCCAATGGGTTTGGATTTCTTGAGAGCAATTTGCTTTGGAACCTTTGCTTGTAAGCTGGCCTCGAGCTCATCAACATATATAGCCCTGTCGCCACTTGAGATCTTTTGAGGTATATGTCCTGGTGAACCGAAGGCAGTCAAAGAGGATCCGGAATTATTCATGGACTGGTAAACTGAGTGAGTGCTTGGAGCATCGATTTTCTTCAGTCTCGAAAGTTCTTCCTCAAGTCTCTTCTTTTGATTCTGCAAATGTATGATTTGACTCTTTTGCATTTTCATAATCTCCTGGTTGCTCACACATTCTTGTTTAAACTTCTCGATAGTTACATTGGCTCCCATGCCAAGTTCTTGTTCCAAAATTTCTTTCTCTGCGGTGATAGCTTGAATGGTATCTCTTAATTCCATAGTCTCCAACATGGCTCTTTGAGCTGTGTCTGAAGTCTCCAACTGATCCATCAAACGCTGAATGGTTATATTTAGTACTGATTCGGCATCGGACCCCACAATAGTTGACTCGGCAATTATATGTACCAATACCGCATCAAATAATGAGAGAAGCCGAAGAGCCTGGTTCGAATCACGTCCGGAATTGATCATTATGAGCTTGAGAAGGATAGACTTGAGTCTATCCACTCTCAGCAGTTCGTCGTCTATCGACTCATCCTCACCCTGGTTAAACTCCTCTTTGACTTTTTCAAGCACATCATCAAGAGTTGTGAACTCAGGTCTGTCATCCCACATGTGCAAATTATTGTTTGCCCAAAGTCCGGATACATTATCATCAGCCAATAGCTTGAACTCATCAATCTGCTGCTGGATACTCTCATCCTTCATCTGGAATAGCTTCTCAAATATAGTATTGAGTCTTGAGTCAGCAAGTTCTCTTCGCATGTTTGCTCTATCCCTGGTCCTCTCGCACTTCCTCATCATCATATTGATAAAAATAAGAGTAGTGACAACATAATTCTTGAAGCTGCTGTCAAACTTGGTTCCATAGGTAAGATGCTGGTCTATTGCGGTCTCAAAATTAGTCAACCAAGGCTGAAATTTAACGAAATCACCAACAGTATCTTGAACGGTGACAAATCCTTCTAGTATGTGCGGAAAATAGTCGTATCTGTCGTAGTGAGTCAAATAAATCAAAATTTCTGTGACAATCAATCGGGTGTTTAAGCTTGGTGAAATCAATGAAAGCATGATGGACTTGATGCCATGGATTCTTGCAATGGATTTCGTTGTTGAGGAAATCATAGAAGTATTATCAGCATCAAAGTAGTCATCTCCTTCTTCCTTGTAATTGGTAGTCAACAATATTCTTAAGCATTGACAAATGAGCTGTTCTCTATCAATGGCATCATTTGATTTGATACTTTGACGATTGATATTCTGAAGGACAGCAGAAAGAGCACTCTCTCCTTGTGCCTCCTTGAACTCTTGGATCCATCCTCGACTAGACTTGCTTTCTAGTTTTTTGAGAACCTTCCTATACCCTTTCGTGGCAAGACTATTGTTCATGATCTTCTGCACAATCCACGAAGGCGAGCCTTCTTTCAAGGAGAACTTTTTGGGCATCATGTTGCTGACGTTAGCTGCAAAGGAATTACTGCCTCTTCTTGAGTTCTCGGAGAGCTTTCGTGGTTTCTGAGTATTGGATGACGATCTGGACAAGCTGGGAACAGTATTAGAAGCTTCCTGAGTCTTCTTGACAAAATTCAGAGATACTGACCTAGTGAGTGACTTTAAGTCAAACTTGGTGTTAGTCTCGTTTTCACTGAGAAGAAGTTCCCACTTCCTTTTGGTGGATATGTTCTGGAAAGACTGCTCGGGGAATACACGAGACGAAAGGAGGATCTCAAACAATGCATCCACCACTTCTACACGCGGCATAGAGTTGATATTGGACGCAACCATATTGAAAGACTGGATAGTTGCACTAGTTGTAAGCTGCTTGCCTTGAGAAAGAATGCTCGACTGTCTCCGAGGTGGTGGCATTAGATCTCTGTCTTCTAAAGCTTTTGGCTTCGGTAGACCTGCAAAAAACGGCATAGGAGGCTCCAATTCTACCTGTGAGCCCGCTGAACCCCCGGAGGCAGATCGAGCACCTTGAGAGACAGACATGGGAGCCCTACTTGCTTCAGTACCACTTTGAGTTCTCGATTTGGGGTCCAATGAGCTGAGACTTGATGCACTATGGTTATCTGACCCTCCATAGATGGCCCCATTGAGTTGAGTATGGAGAGTCGAGTTCTTGGGGGAAGACAGATAAACTTTCTCGGCAGAAACCCTATTGACGGGCGAAAACTCGCCATCCGAGCTCATCAGGAGACGCTGGGGCAGCGGGGGTCCCAGCGCTGCCAGCGATCCAAAGTGTCGGCTGTTATTGGTAGATACCCGAGGTAGGTGACGGACATGAGTGGGCCCAACGGAATCATTCACAGACTCGTATCTGATGGCATGGAAGTCGGAATCTGTGTCCGAGGTGGATGTACGCGAGTACGGCAGCACGATTCCAGACGGTAGCTGGTGGTCAGCGGCTAGATTCAATCTGGAGGCTGTCCTGGTGATTTTCTTGATTGATTTGGAAAAGAAGCTCTTGGACCGTAAGGGCGGATCCAGAAGAGAAGCCTGAGAATTTCGATCTAGATCGTCGCTCATCGTGCAGATATAGGGGACGGATGTAGTGGATCTAGTTTCTAGGATGTTTTAGTTGGCAGTTAAAGGTGGTAGTAGATGTAGGAGGAGTTTGCGATATGGTTAGGATCGTGGATCGAATCACCGCGGTGCGGCTGAAGGAAGGAATATAGAGATGGTCGAGAACAAAATGAGTTTTACAAAGAGAAATACTGAAGAAAGGGAAGTGGGGGATTACTTGAAGAATGAAGGAGGAAACAATGGTGGGAAAACTCGATTTCTATATATTATTTAAGTTTGGTTGTGAGGTTATCATACCAGGCATTATCCAGGATTGTTGGTTATTTCCAATTGTAATGTTGAATAGACGTGATTCATTGGTCTCTTTGCATTGTTAAGTCTTTGAAGAAATGTGGGTGACTCTGGGAGACTAGATTCAAGCTGTTGTGTGTTCGCTAGCAGGAGGCATGGATGCTGAATGTGTTCGTGAACACTGAATTATGATTGCACTTAGAGATACAAAGCCCTCTATTGTCTGCTAATTTCTTGTTGATTACTCGAGGGAGATGCACAATTGGCAAAATTGTGATTTCAACACATTGAAGCTTTAAAGAGGTGAAACATACAAAAAGAACTATTGGCAACACATTGCCAACCACATCTTTGACATGAGAAGCTCCCTTCACTTCACTTTTGGTAGTTTAATGTGAGTCTCAGTTAAAGTTGTTATCATTTTGTACCTTAGTCAATTTCGAATTTATCATTATCTAATGGTGTTTTTAAAGCAAAAGAAACGAGTACTTTCTTCTAGTTCAAGTTGCAATGCGAACAGAATTATCTGATTAAGTTCACTAATCCCTGTTTTATTAGAACTGTTTATTAGAACTGTTTATCATATGATCTATTATGTTTCTAAATTAGCATTGACGACACTTGAGGAGTTGCATGCAAAGACAATGATTTTGATATGGACTACCAGAGCACTAGAGAAAAGTTAAAAGGAGTTGTCACATGATTTTCATCTACTTGGAGCACAATCGACTCGATTATTTATACTGAGTAACCCCATGCGTTCCGGCAAGCCTCTTGTCCCAAAATTGAATTGCTATTTATGCGAGGTATTGAACTATTTGCCAACTTCCAAATTATCATCTTTAACTAATTAAATATCAGATAGATTGGAAGTATTTAAATGAGCGAATGTACTCATATATCATTATGAATTTTGTATCCTATGTCGTATGTCAGTAAATATCCTGCGAAGGCATAATCCCCTCCTATTATTAGTGTGCTGAACTGCTTCTTACTAGGTCTTTCTCAGAATGTTCCAGAGCATCAATTGAATTGGATTGCCAAAAGCTTACATCTTGTACTTCATTCTTTAAAATTCAATGGGTTGACTACATTTTTGAAGGTTGTGAAGTTGAGACAAAGAACGAACACTTAGTTTCATTTCTTCCAGTTTGTGTTTAGAACCTCTAAGAAAAACTGAACTGCAAGAATTTCTAGCTTTTTTGGATGATAGCTGAGTTTGGATTTAGCATTCATAAATTATATTATTTGTGTGGATTTCCAAAGATCTTGTTAAGTTTTCCAATATTTTCAAAATAACGCGCTTTCATTCACAAACTAGAAAGCCGTAAAGTACACGCAAAAATCGATTTTTGATTGTAACAAAGTGAAAGCTACCATTTCGAATATTTTCATTGATTGAGTAAAATTAAATAAAGTAGATAGACACCGATTTTGTAATCACTAGCTATTTTATTCTCATTTCCAGAAATGCATGAAGGATATCAAGCGATGTGCATCTATAGAGTAATAAGAACGTATTCAAAATGGTTCTTATCACTGAAATCCCTTATTTATGAAGACAGCCAGCACTCAAGACATCCTATCGATCGTCATCACCTGTCTTTGTTAGCTTCTCCCTTATGGCGATAGACACACTATATCCTCCGCCCATTGTCCATAATGAGTCAATTAATAACAATTGAAATGGAATAGTAAAGACGCGGTAGAAAAGATTTTCAACCAAACGGTCGTATGGTTTCATTTTCAAAAAGTGAGCGGCAAAATCGATTTTCATTAACTACTTATAAGACATGCCCGCTCAACACTGCATGTATAGATCGTATCATGTAAAGTGCGAATCAGGAATACATGTCAAGATCTCAATGGCGGATTTAACTCAATTGCTCCACTTACGAACGTCCATTGTGATAAAAATACGATGGAAGCTCAATTTTAGGCCCTTTTCTTGACAAATTTATGGAATTGTTGCCATATGGTTTAGAAAGCCGCCATGGAGGGGATTTGGTATTACCTATACATCATCGAATATTTTGAGCCGCACTCCTAATAAAGCAAAAGGAGGCAAACGAACTATCAAGTGACAAACGCTCTAAAATGATAGTTTGCTGTATTTTAGCAAAGCAAGTGCTCCAAAGATATTCAATTGCTCATTGGTAAGCTATGATTTTATCATTAAGTATGTTCGAAAAATTGGGGAAGATAAGATTTGCATAGAATAAGATATTTTCTATAGTTGAGATAACAGGAACAAATATGATAAAGTAACGGAAGTAATGAGCGATAGGTTGTGAAATCAGTAAACTTTCCTAGTTACAAGAAAGAATGAAATTTGAGTCACTTTGAACTCAAAGGCATTAATTTAGTGGGCAAACTCCGGCGACGATTGATCTATTCATCCATAAATTGACCATATGTACTTCTGCTCCAATGATTGCGAGAAAAACAATTAAAAACAATTTCAATTTAACTACTTCGCCATTCTCTCATGGCGGAGTTCAGTTTTGTTCCTGAGAAGCATGGCAACACTATCACCTCCACGAGCAGTTTGAATCGTGTCAACAATCAATAAAGTAATAGGAATTTTCCAGGCGATATACTCCACAAAGGCTTTGGTGGGCACCATGTTGAATTAAAGTGTTTGAGCGAAATTTCACTGTGAAACTTACCCTTTATTTATCTCGCCTATGCAAGACTAATCGTGCTCACTACTATTCAATATTAAGTCCTTCAAATTGGTCGAAATGCTAAGGCACACATTGAATTGGACTTATTTATTAGATGCTTGTATTGATGCAGGAGGCTCCCAATACGCCCATCAAATGTAAAAAAGAACTTTTGTAGGTAGTGCGTTATGATGAGCGATACGTTACTCTTTACCTTACGATGAGTATTCAAAGTCGCTAAGAGACTAAACAAACTTGGTTCTAGTATACTAGCTTTATCTGGTAATGGATTTAACTTCTTCGCTTTGTCTTTTCGTCTGGACCTTAACCTTCCAACACGGACATGCTCAGAGAATGGAAACCAAAAAGATTAAAAATGTGAATATCTGTAATCGAGCCCATCTATTGCATCCCCCGAGGTATTTGGTCTGATATCGCACTGTCGAAGACTGTTAATCCATCTGGGGAATCACCACCGAAACTTCATGCGAACTGCACAACCGATTAAGAAACGCTCTAAAGTAGTACATATAGTACGCCTTCAGGCTTTCAATCTGACTAATAGTCACCCTATCTCTACACCATGCCTCAATTCAAACAAGTGGATGTATTTACTACCGAAAAATTTAAGGGCAACCCCGTAGCCGTCTTCTTTGACAGCGAACATTTAACTGATAAGGAAAAGGGCCAGATTTCAGCTTGGACTAACTTGTCGGAAGCCACATTTATTGAGCCCACTACTAAGCCAGAGGCTGACTACAAAGTCAGAATCTTTAGTATGGAGCACGAATTGCCATTTGCCGGGCACCCGACAATCGGTACTTGTCATGCTCTATTGGAAGCAGGAATTATAAAGCCGAAGAATGGTAAGGTGGTGCAAGAATGTGGGGCTGGGCTTGTCTCTTTGGAAGTAACTGATACGACGCCTCCAATCTTTCGTTTCAAATTGCCCTATGCCAAACGGAGGGACCTCACGAGACAAGAAATCGCGAAGGTAACTGAAGTCCTTGGCGTCTCCGATGCTATTGATGCCGCAGTATATGATGTTGGTCCAGTTTGGTTGACGATTCTTTTAGATAGTGCAGAGACTGTACTTCAATTAGACCCACAAGAGGTTCGCTTGATCGAAGTTTCCAAGGACTTGCAAGTCTCAGGAATCCAAGTAATCGGTCGGTACAGCGATCATAAGTATGAAACAAGAACCTTTGCACCATTGGTTGGTGTTAAGGAAGACCCAGTTTGTGGTTCGGGGTCTGGAGCAACTGCGGCATTTCTCCGGGATTCGCAGAGGATAACTGGTACTACTGAGTTGAGTCAGGGTGCTGCATTGAACAGAGCTGGAAAGATCACCATAGAAGGCGGAGATGAAATTTTCGTTAGTGGATCCGCTGTCACTGTGATTGATGGGCATTACTAAATTGACCTAGAACTGTTACGGGAGTCGAGTATAATTCTTTGGAGATAATGGCTATTGCTGTTGTGACACTGGTACTTCAACGAGTGACTTTCAAAGATTGAGAATTTGTTTCGTTACTTTCAATATTATTGCCAATTACTGCCAATTACTGCTCTTGATCTAACTTCTCGGCTATGCTTATTTGAGTGATACCTGTCATCTTCAAAGATACCACAAGATTGCTATTGAAGGTATTGCTTAGGTCAAGTAAAGCTGGACTTCATTTCTCTCCTGGGTGCTGGAGGACATTTCTGAGTTTTACAGTAGTTTACCCAATTAGCGTTTGTTCGATACATTTATTAATCAAATCCCACTCTCATAGTGATAGAGAAATGCAATTAGTGGGAACAGATACCATGAGTATCAATTCAGCAGTGAGAAGTAGTATCTATTTATCTTCATCTCTATATATCCATTCAATAATTTGTTCAATAGATTATCGGGAGTGATGCATGAATTTAATCGGAAGGGCCAACGGTTTAATTATAGAATTGTTGCAGTAAATTATATCTCATTGGCAGTACAACGATTTCTTATGGACATGCAATGATGACAGGGTAGTAATGTCTAAAGTCTGATTGACTCATGGCAAATCTAATCAAGAGATGGAGAAGACAAAAACTCAAAGGAAGGAATTGTAGCTTTGGTCACTTAATTTCAGGGATCCCGATAATTAAGTGAGTTCAATGCGGACTAGTCAACCGCAGGACAGACCTGAAATTTGCGCCAACAACATTAAAAGTGGTACCTTCTGTACCTGGCTGTTTCAGTTATGATTCAAACTTCCGGAATGTGGAGTTATAACCTCGAGTTCAAAATTATCAGCTTGTAAAATGTAGTCTAGTGTTGACGTCAGCTTGAAGTTCATAACTCTTTCATTGGTGTTTGATGCCAGATAAATATAAAAATATACTTAGACACAATAGATCGTTATTTATGATTGATAGTTCCATTTCTAATAGGAGTTTGTAATATAGTCTGTCTGAAGGATGGACATATAAAAGACTTTTCACTGCTAATACCCTAGATCCTACTTAATAAATGATGAGATTACCACATGTGCTGTTGTTTCTAAACGTCTTACCGTTGTGATCTGCTAACCGATATCATCAGCCAACCGTTGTAATCTACTAACTGTTGTTAATCTCATTCCTATTGTATTCAATGACTACTTAAATGTCAGTTTTCTGTTATTTGTTAATTGGCGTTTGTTCAATATACGTTTCTTACTAAATCCTGCTCTCACAGTATTTCAGAGTTTAAGATCTTATAATGAAGCATATTTAAACAAAAATGATCCCCAATCTGAAGTAATTATAGCCACTTTCTGATTCACGACAATTATTTGCTCATAGTTCGCTTCTTGTGGTAATTGTTACAGATTTAAAGTAATATTTTTCAAAAATTGACGAAGGTCGAGGCTTTGGTTTCAACGAAAGCAGGCTATGACAGGTCGTTTATTGAATCATGTATTGCAAAACTATTTGTGATCGAAAGAATCTACAAGGTCTTTTGATCAAAATCTTACCATATTCAGGAGGACTACAGCATATCCGTGACGAGCTTAAGGGTTTGCAATATGAAGATCTTTGCCTAGTGGATTATACTACTACATTTACATAGACAGAAAACTTGAGAGAAGAGAATAGAGACTGCACTATGATGTTCTTCATTCATGGGTGAGGTGAAAGTTTTGTATTGCAGTTGAGAGATATGACTAAGTTGGGAGAGTAAGATAGAGAAAACAATAGGTACTGAGCCAATACCTTCAAGTAAAAGGTTCTGTTTGGTAGGGTACAAAGAATGCTAAGAAGCTGTCCAGCTGATTGTCGTCAGACTACGACAGAATGTGGATTGATATGAACGAAGGAATGCCAGCAATAGAGGGAAGAGAAAGTGCTACAGAGAGCTAAAAACACACTCAAATCTCCTTACATAGAAGTAAAGAACAATCTAGCTTTTTTTTCGAGACGTCGATTACAGAGAAGTAGATGATGATAAAATCTCAAAACCGTAAGGAATGACAAAACTACAACTAATTGACTTGGAAGAAGATTATATTACTAAAAAAGATCTGTAAAAGCTAAAGAGTCCATATTGGTTAAATAATTAGGATCAAGTTCTAAAACTTCGAATTCATTTTCATCAACTGAAAATTCAAAATCCATGTTATACGGATTAATAATAGAAAAATCTAAATCAATTTTAGGTTTATCATAAATAATTTCATGAACATATTGCTCATTTTCCATATCTAGGATTTTAACAAAATGACCTATTCTATAATACATTTCTTCAATATAATTAATATAAAATAAATTTCCAACTTTACATGCTGCAACATATAAAGTATATTCAGGAATATCAAGAATGTCTTCTGGAACTTCAAGATTACGCAATACCATACTATACATATAATTGTATTTGAAATTTTTAATAATTTTAGAATATCTCAAAATAGGAGAATAATTATAAAAATTTATTGGAAAATAACCTAGAAATGTAGTAGAATCAAAAAATTCAACGCTTGAAATAGTCGCTCTGCTAAATATGGAAGTAATGCATTTATCTTTGAATTGTTCGTTACCTGAATCTAATAATCTTTTAGCAAAACTAGAATTAACCATTATACCATGATTTATACATTTTATCAATTTTTTATCAGTAATATAATCTATATCGCAATGAACATCTCCAGTAAAATAATCATAATAATCATAAGAAATATTAATATCATCAGATTTTAATTTATTTATGAATAGACTATAATATTCTAGATTTATTATGTCGATATTATTTAAAATATACTCACCAACCTCAGACTCACTAGAAGCAGTATTATAATTACAAATATGAAATTTGGAATTAGGAAGAGAAAATTTAGTAATATCAAATTCGCAATTTGTTGATTCATCTGGTCCAAAGTAAAAAAGTGATATATAACCAGAAGACATATCAAAATATTCATTACTTTCATCTTTTAAAAAATTAGTTAATTTTAAATTAAGATTCATTTTAGATACAATATCTTCAATATATTTATCATAGTACTTAGGCAAATAATTTTTATTAATAAAACCAAATCTATTGACAATAAATTTATATTCATCTTCCTTTAATTTAAGAACATTACTATTATTAACAAAATTAAAATTATTAATAACAAATATTTCTGAATCTCCTTTCAAATGTAAACCATTAGCAGCATGTATTTTTTTACACGCAGAAAAAACATAAGGATGCAATTTCAAATTTTGTGACAATATAAATCGAGCAAGCCTAAAATTGATTAAACATCCATTTTCAAGACAATATGATAATGTAAAAAAGTAATCTTCATAAATTTTTTTATTGAATAAAATTTTGAATCTATTATATTCTCCACTATAAGCATGAACATGCATAAAATATATGTCTTGTAAATTCATGTTATGTTCCCTTCCGTGTCGCTAAACACCCAAAGTAGAAGTAGGTTGGTCTGCGCGCGAGACATCTTTTGGACTCCTGCGAATCTGTATTCTCAAGATTTTGCCATGTATTTTGTTTCTCATCCGCATTGACGGAGACATCGAAGAGCAGACCACCAGAGGAGGTGAGAGCAATGTCACAATAATATTCGGGGAACTTTCAAATTCGACCTGCAATCATTATAGGAAGCATTAAGTTTGAGGTCGGGTAAACTAAGAGTATACTAAGATGGCAATTATACTAGTTAGACGGATCTTTCAATCGAGAACGCTAACAAAGGCTCTAGAGAAGCTAGTGAGTAACTTCCAGCATTCTCATGCATTGGAACCATCTCAACCATTATAGAGCCTCATTAGCTTACTCGTCAACGAATTGTAGTAATTAACCAATTCATCCCGTCAACGGGCATATTTGGAATCATGAATTTGACAGAAGTTTAGGGCGACTTGCTAAACTAGCACAGAAGTATGCAACTATACAATAGGAGATTCATGGAGACAACCGAAGCTAGAGGATGAGGAAAACAAAATTTGACAACTAAGCAACAGCAAGTCATGGCATGTCTTGGGAAGATATTTCGTGGAATATATCACAAGGTAATGATGAGAGAAGCAGCCGATAGATCAAGTGAAGAAGCTTATCTGGTGCATTTTGCTCATCCACAAGTGTACGTACTAGCACTCGCCAAAACATACATATCATCCAAGGTACCAAACACATAGGCAATGGGGTCGAGGAAAATTTTCCCCGTCCTGTTGCTATATATCCCGCCAATCCCCGTCCCCTCCCGTCCTAAGAATGCCTTCCTCTCTCCAAGGGCGAATGTTGGATGAGAAGGCCTATTGTAGCCCCCGGGGTTGGACATATGGTGGCCGCGCGCTAAGCGTTCGGTTGCGGCCATATCAAGTGGAAAATACTGTTTCCCGTCCGATCAACGTTAGTCAAGCCACTTAGAGCCACAGTGAGTAATACAGTGGGAGACCATGTGTGAAATTGTGGTGCTGCAATCTTTTTTTGGAGCCAGTGCGGGAGGCAGTGCGCAGCACGGCCGACCATTACCGCTGTGTTGAGCGCAGCACGACCTGGCCTCACTTACTTTTTCGGCCCTGTTACATTTTTACTTTTTCGCTATTTCGCCCTATTTCGCCCTATTTGCGCGAATCCCGTAGCCTGAGGATGGCCCTAACTTCATCAATAATCCCCACTTTGGCCCTAAATTCATCAGTATTTTACCACTTTGGCCCTAAATTCTTCAGTATTTCTATCAGAATTTCACCACTTTGGCACTAATTCCACTAGTAGTTCATCACTTTGGCGCTATTCTCCACCACTTTGGCCCTACCACCAGTGATTCATCTGTTCCACCACTTTGGCACCACCAACCTGGCCATTCGCCTCCATTGAATGAATGACATGAGCTTCCTTTAGAACACTGCACGACCGTGGTATAGCGAGTGCGCTGCGAGGCAGCTGGGCCACTTCGCAGATATTTT